AATAAGAAGGGCTAAAGAAACGAACGTCTATCTAATAGAACTCGAAGCGATATAGATGGCTATTAAAGGTCTATTATACGAGAATAATAGGATGGTAAAGATTAGGGTCTTTTTCGATAGCTAGAGCGCGCTTCGAAGCATCTAGTCTATAAAGATTAATAATAGCCTAGGCCCAGTTATAAGAATTAGAGAGAAAATTGCTAAAGTAACATTCTTATTATACTAGGTTCTAGGCCACGAAAGAATTAAAGGTAACGAGAGGGCGAATAAACTAGCTTAGAAGGCAATAGAGGATGTCTCTCTAATGCCTAACCCTATAAGTAGCGTCCTAATTTTAGCGATATACGTAAGAGTAAAGGTTATGAACTTTAAGCCAAAACTCTAAGAGTTCTATAGCGTAATTATAGGTAAACATCTCTAGAAGATTAATAAGGCGCTACTAGGAAAACACATAAATAAGCTATATAACGTACTTAATAGGACAGTAGCTGCCACACTAGTCTAGCTAAGAACGAACATATTAAGACTTAATACGTACCTTTATAAAATTAATGTAGTAGACACCGATAGATGCGAATATAGAATGAAAGAAATAGTATAACACTTCCTATTCTTATGCCTAAGATGGACAAACGAAAGATAAGCCATAAAGTTAGCATATAGCAATAGATACTAGGACCTGTCGTATGCATTAGGAGGATACTTAATAGCAGAAAGAGAGGGGAAGAAGGTTAATAGCGATAAAGACAAATGGTAACTAGACCTAAGCGTAGTTAAGGCTACCATCGAATACGCCATTAGAATAGGAAGGATATAGAGGCAGATATAAAGTAGCGAAAGACAGAAGGAGCCTAACAGATTGGCATAAAAGTGCTCCCTATCTAACTATAACAACACTGCTACTACCTTAATCTAATCGCCTTTAAGTAGCGTTCGGCTAATAAGGAAGAACGCGACATAAGGAATCGCCCATATAGAGGAGGCTTACACTAGCTAACAATTAAGGGAAGGAAGCGTAGAGTCACTCTTTAATAAGAGCACATTAGAGTACCACGAGTTTACGATGAGTTTAAGGTCTAAGAGACCTTCACCCTCCTTATATAACTAAGACCGATGGCTGTGATTGGCGGGAATGCTTATTAATTATGGACAGCTCATACCCCTTACGGGGTAAATAGCTTAAGAAAATCAAATCAAATCAAATCAAATCAAGCTGTATGATCTCCAGATCTTGTTGGCTGACATTGGACGATCAACCTGGAAGTACATGGACTTGGGAAAGGCCTGGTTTTGCTTACTTTTGCGTTGAAGATGGTGATTGCTCTCACAGACTCATATGGCATGAAATCACTTGAATACTGCCTCGAACTCGGGAAGCAAAGATGGTGCCATGCACAGCGACACTACAACTCTCGTGTCACGTCACAAAGCTCTACAATGCTATACATAGCGACCAACGAACATCTCTCTGCCGTATCTTCTACAAGAATCATGTTCAATAGACAGCAAAACGACAGAACTTCTAGTCGAATGCTGCGGACATCTCTCGGACTCGGCAAATGCGCTTACAGTCGGCAGTGCTTGGCGATTTGTCGTCGCGCCCCACCGCAGCATTTTCGATATCTCTACAGGACTTGAGCCCCAAATGAGGCATTCCAACCACAAGAGTCAAGGATTCTAGGGAGCAGTTCAGAGGAGGGAGACTACGAGATAAGCTATCTGATGAACATGTGTTCAGTGAGAAACACCGTCGATCGGAGTTGAGGCTCAAAAGATGGGTTTTGTCAATGTCCACATCCCGAAAACAATGACGAAGTCGACCTCCGAGTCCGAGAAAGCTGCTCCGAACCGGCCCGGTGCGTGTGGCTAGCGATTCTCAGCAAGCGAGACCAACCTCACAATCGACAGTATCTACAAATCTGATGTAGGCCCTCACAATTGTTTCAAAGGGTATGCAGAGGGCAGGAGCTTGCAACGGTATAGACAGAGAAAGCGACAATGCAATAGAATCAAAAAGAGGCAACCTATCCCCTTATATATGTGCAGCAGCATGATAACACGGTACTATCTCGGAGCAACTTTATCTATGGGAGGCGCCGTTTGTTTAGATTGCGAGAACGAAAAGCAAGGCAAAAGAAGAGGATACCAGGAGAAGACGAGAGAACCCCGAGCTTCGACCCGGGGGACTCTGACACACGACGATGGGCAAAAATCTCCATCTCGAGGGCGCGCTGATGCGGTATGGCCATTCATCTTGCATTTAACCTGCTTCACCATACGATATTTGCTTTCTGCCTGTTTGACGTGGCTCTCTGTTGTTGAAACCAGAGAAGTACAGCTTATACAGCGTGGATGCCTATCACATTCTGGCCGAGAGAACACCCGTTTGGACGCGCTGGCTGCTTTGCCTCTTGCACACCGAGATCAGGCATGCCCAATAGCTTGAGCGAGACGACTCTTGCTGTCACGCAGCCTCCTTCAGGGGTCTTGACTCCGGTCAACCCATCAGAGTTTCCAGATGCTCAGTTTGGGGATCTCGAGAAGGGGCTATCCGACAAGACGGAGATTGATCTTCCTAGGCAGGATGACCATGGTTGGCGACGGATTGTCCGTGGGTTTACTCCATCGTATGTTCAGACCTATCTTTTCTAGGCGACCATGGCTGACTGATATTGCAACAGCATGTTTTCTATAACCATGGGCACTGGTGTTGTAGCGATCTTGCTACATCAGATGCCATATAACAGCAGTTGGACAAATTACCCATGCTATATCGTGTTCGGGCTGAACGTCTTGATCTTCGTTAGCGCTCTCTTAATCTCAATCTTGCGGTATACTCTATGGCCTGAGTTGTGGCCGGCGATGATCAACCATCCGACACACTCTCTGTTCTTGGGATGCTTCCCGATGGGCCTTGGAACCATTGTCAACCTAATCGTATTGGTCTGTGTTCCAGCGTGGGGCCCTCGGGCGGCGACAATGGCGTGGGCTTTGTGGTGGATTGATGCTGCTCTCGCGGTGACCATCTGCTGTTCAGTCGCGTTCCTGATGTATGTTGCTACCTTTGGCTTCCGAATCGATAAATGCTCCTGACTGACACTTCACCCTGTAGGATATCGGTTCATGAAGTATCTCCTGAGAAGCTGACTGCCGCGTGCTTGCTACCCGCTGTCAGCTGTGTCGTTGCTGCATCAACTGGTGGTCAAGTCGCACAGATGGAGGCTCTCGAGGCCCACGAGGCACTCTGGACGTTGCTTACCTGTTATTGCTGCTGGGCAATCGGGTTCTTCGTCGGATTGATGATCCTTTGCATCTACTTTTACAGACTCTTGTTGTTCAAGCTGCCTTCACAGGAAGTTGTTGTTAGCGTGTTCTTGTCGTTGGGGCCTCTCGGACAAGGTAGCTTTGGGTGAGTGATCTTGCCAGTTCCGAGTTACGAGTTGACGCTTACCTCCTTCTAGAATCATGCAATGCGGAAAAGCTGCAAAGATGGTCTTCCCAAGACTTACCATTCTGCCATCAGAAGCTGGTACTATACTTTACGTTATGGGCATCATAATGGGACTGATCATCTGGGCCATGGCGATTCCGTGGATGTGCTTCGCTGTAGGATCTGTCCTGCGTTTGAAGATGAGGTTTCCCTTCAACATCGGCTGGTGGGCGTTCTTGTATCCAGTTGGTGAGTTCAGCTGATATACCACTAATCAGAATTACAACCAGAATGCTGACATGAGAATACTCAGGTGGCGTAGCTTCAGCGACTATTACGTTGGGAGCAGAGCTGGAATCTGCATTCTTCCGTGTGGTTGCAGAGGTCCTCACAGCTATCATCGTCCTTGTTTGGGTCATCTGCTTTGCAAGAACCATCCGAGGAGCCTTTTCTGGCGAGCTATTCCCCAAGCCAGGCGTCTGCGAACTTCGTCCAGACTCAGGAGCAAAGGTAAGGATACCCGTCGTCCAATGCGGCAGGACAACCAAAGCAAGATACTGATGATGAACGAATAGACTCCTTGAGACATGCTGCACAGGAACAAACGAACGCAACAACAATCGATCACGAGTCGCCTCGCGCACGCGAACAGATTGTCTCACGTCTTTATGCAACCCTGCGACACTTGCGGCTCGGTTGATGGCATGTTCAGAATGCGGAGTCGTCCCGCAATAGCCGATGAACGCATCGCAAGTGATCTCGCCTCTTCCCAGAGTGTTCCATCGATTCGAACAACCACTGGAGTTGACGACACAGCGATCTATCCGGGATTCTCTATCTGCAACAGCGATACGAACATGTCCGTCGATCCAACGCTCTACTTCAAACACATCACACTACTTGCAGCCGCTTAGCAGACCACGCCCAAAACACTTACAGTCCGGAACTAAGCCTGCAACCACTTTCAACGCATCCTTCTCGAGATTCAAACAGTCGCATACCGTCGGAAAGTGGTGAGCAGGATTTTACGACTTACGAAAAACACATCTGTTGTCTTCGACACTTCGAGATCACCGTTGCGAGATTATGATGAGGATATGATGAGTACCTGACGCACGCGTGCCTGCGATACCCCACACTTCCACTTTCTCATTCGGACTTTGCCCGGAGGAGACCAGATGACGATTATGTCTTTGCTTTGAGCATCTGTTCCTCTGAGTCCTTGTTGATTCCTTGCATTTTTCCCAGGCGATTTGCATTGTTCTCCAGCTTTTCGAGCATGCGCGTAATACCCCCCACTCCCCAGAAATTACTGTATAGATTAGACTAGACATTAGACCCATCTCTTCTCCAGCATCATCGTAGATGAAAGAGAGTACATCATGTATACCACATGACCAGACCGCTTTCTCGCATCTGTAGCATGCACCTTCCCGAGCCAGGTAAACCAGCCTCAAGAAAAAGGCCATCCACTAACAGGGAATAACGGCAAACGACAAAGCAAAGTTTCTGATACCGAGACCTCGAGGCTGAGCGAGGCTTACGTGACAGCTCCACAGGTGTCCACAAGCTGCCATGCGGGCCCAGGCATAACCCCGGATCCACATCCTCGAAGGACAAGCCCACGAGGCGAGGGTCATATGACCACTACACGGCGAATTCGCCGCTTATGCCAATTACGCCCTGGAGCACGAGACTCTTGGACTCGAGATTGCTCACCCAGTCTCTTGCAGAAAGCGGACCCGAAACCGAAGAGGGCCGCGCAGCTAGCCCAGCGCCCCCAAGGACTAGCATTGGATGATTCCAAGAAAGCCTCGAAGAGACGATGGCGAGAAAACCACAGCCACCATCCAAAACAAAGCGTTTTCACAGAGGTTGTAGTCAAACAAATGTTGACTCAACACTGTTCTTGACTCGACATGTCGGACCACAGACACTACGGGCGACAACAAGCGATCCATGAACCATTCCAGGGCAGGAAGGCGCATAGAACAGCCGGAAGATAGCCACTGGACATGCGATTCTGCAGAAATCCATTAGCAAAACGGCGACCAGGTCCACGGATCGGCCGGTATGCAAGACAGATGGCGGGACATCAAGAGACCCGTTGCAATGGTGAACAGTAAGGGAGGGAAGGGATGGAAACCACACCTACCGGAAGGAAAAAAAGAAACGAACCGTGTATCTGCTTTGGCCAAATCGACTGTTGTGGTTAAACCACTTTCTAACAAAAGGTACAGTTGCAAACAAACGGTGGACATGGAGCTGAATGAACCTAGAACATTGCGGCTGAGTTCGGTCAGATAGACGGTCCACAAGACGTTCGGCGGTCCCAGGTCCGCCCCTGAGAGCACTACTAGAGGACTGCATGAACGGTTTCTGAACTACTGTGACAGCGAACGAGCGCCAGCGTACTTTTGCTGTCATCTTTCCCCCTAGGAGGTACAGACCGTGAGACTCGAGAGCAATGGCGGAAACAATGTCATCATGAGAAAGACATGACTCGTGCTGGTCACAGGTGAGTATGCATGTGTAGTCACACACAACGCTCGGATAATCGCATAATTGATCGGGACGGATCGGCTATATATATATACATACGTATTCTGCTTATATCCTGGATCTCTGTTACAAAGAAAGTCTAGTATCAAAGGGTTGGTGCATTTGGACAAGGAGAGACGTTCAATCCAGGAGAGATCTGGCCAGGTTCAGCTCTGGTTAGGACAGGTTGGCAACACTCGGGTTCTCATCCGGAAACCGGATTGTCCTGTTCAGAGGTGCAGGTGAGTGCGAGCCGGCGGGCGTGACGGCGCCGGCGCGGTCTGCTGTAGGGGTAGCGCCAAGTGGAGACTCGCGGTCAATGTCTTTGGCGATTATTTTACCAAGAGGGCGAGGATTCGAGGGCTCAGAGATGTTCCAGTTGGTAGTGTCGTTTGACGGTGCTGAAGCGTTCTTGGTCTGCTGATGTCCTCGGCGCAGGTCCGAGACCACACTTCTGCCTATGCGATAGAACGAACGGGGTAGCGATGAACTGCTACCCGTGTCTTCTTTGTAGCGACGGAATCGACTGGCCAGAGCTGAACTCCCAGACATGGTTTCCTCGCCGATCGGTGTAGGCTCGTCCGTCGATCTACGAGAGATGCGTTCAGTTGAAACCGCGGCCGAGATAGTCCGTGGAAGATAGAATCCAAGTTTCCCAAGAGGGATGCTGATACCATGCACAACCTATAATGCATCAATTAACGATTCGACAGCGACGGTTTTACCACTTACGATGCTGCAGATGGCCAAGAACCAAATCACAACCAGCATAATTTCCGACAAGTGTTCTGCATCGTCTCGAACAACGCCATCTCGCTTGATGCCGCGGAGAAATTCACGACTGATGTACAGGTAGAAAACTGCACTAACACCAATGGGGCCGAAGAAGCCGACAACGAGCGCCTGGCGCGTCTCTTCAATCTGGTGAATCTTCTTGTGCATAGCGTAGACGATGGGGAGTCGGCGAAGGAGCAAGACCAATATACCCAGTGGTATGAGTCGGTAGATCGGGATAACATCGTTGTGCACAAACTTGTTCCATGGCGTGACCGCTCCAAACCATATGAAGATCGAGACGTTGAGCAGCATGTCAATGGTCGGTTGCAGAGAGTCATCGAGGGTCTCCAAGCGAAACCAGTCGCTGCCACTGGTTAGCATAACTGCCATCGAGTCAAACGGAAAAACCCACTCCCAGGTGAAAACGTTGCCAGCAATGAAGCAAGCGAGCACATCGTCAGAGCCAATCATGCCCACAGTGCCAACGATGAAGAGCTGTCAGAGTTAGGTTTGCGTAGGAGGGGATGGTTGTATCGACTTACAGCAAGAGTTATGGCGAAGACAAGGAAGCTTTCCCTATCCACATATCTCTTCTCTTCTGCCCAGTGGAGAAGTTCTTTTGCAAGATATCCAACGACTGCCCCGTAAACGACACTGAGAAGGATTGTATAGCCCCAGGTCTCACCAAACCACAGACCGATCGCTCTCGAGGCACCATGGTGACCTGCCAGTTCAGGATGACCAAGATACTTGATCAGGTACAATGGTAAAAACAAGAAGGGATATCCAAGACCGTCATTCGCCCCAGACTCGGCGATGATGATCCTTTGAAGTTCTCTAGGAATGTTCTTGTCGGCGAATTTGCCTTTGACAATACTGTTACTCAGCACTGGATCAGTAGGGGTGACACAAGCTCCCACAGCGAGCGCGAATAGAATGCTGATATCAGGTACCAAGGCCCAAACCAGCAGGCTGGTCACTATCCACATGACACACATGCCTGGGCCCTGTTGTTTACTCAGCGCACGGTCTGTCACACGATTAGAGATTGCAATCAACATACTAGAAGCAACGACAGAGGTCTCCATTCTTGCTTGAGATATTTGCTAGGTAGCTGAACGCCGGCCAGAACCAACTGCACACCCAAGACCAATCTAGTGAAGTAGAGCGTTATTGTCTCGAGGTCTTCCTCGTTTCCTTGAGCATAATCAAGTGGACGGACGAGGTTGGCTGCATGTGGTGAGAAGACGACGCCTCCGACCAGAGAAATTACTTGGAGGGTGGTCAACACGAGATATGCAGTAACGAGAATGTGCTCAATACTTACGAGCCTCGGACAAGTAGTACTTTTCTTTGAGCAGGTACGATACCAAGCCAAAGAGGGTAATGAAGCCTCCGAGAGTAGCGCAGACAATGTTGAAGTTGACTACTGAAAGAGTAGGCATGCTTTGCTGATGCCGAGACGCGTCTAGGCAATATTAGGTGTGAGTCCGAATGTCCAAGGATGCAGAAGCTTTTGTGTCGTTAATGTGACAGAGGCAGGCGGCGAAAGACGACGGTTTGTCATGGCGCCAAGGCGCGGCACGGCGCTCCGTGTGGATACGGATACAGTACCTACTCCGTACAGTTGCGTGAAAAGCATAACTTACTTGTGTTGCATGGCATCACACTCAAGGCCTTTGAGTTCTGGTGTCTGTCCAATTTATTGAGCTCAAGCTGAATGCATACCAAGCTTGGCTAGCCATGTACTCGTGTACACCGAGCATCTTTTGGAGTAGCCGTTAGGACGTGGAGCCCGAGGATACCCTTGTTCATCGTACCTGCACGAATCCTCGACACCAGCCCGTAACAAAATACAACGCAACTGAGACAAGATGACCTTCATTGTGTAATATGAATTTTTGTAGCTGGATGCTGGCCAACATTGACGAAGCCCGTTCACCTGAAGAGAACCATTCTTCGAATACTCCGAGCCCATCCCAATAGTCGTCCAGGAGCCACGCAATGCACCTCGAAAATGCCCACCCAAGTTGTGTATGCTTTGACAATAGAAAAAAAAAAAAGAAACCACTCGAGAAAAGACGCCTGTCGTGTATATGGAGCAATGCCTTCATGCCCATCTGTGCTATTAAAAAGAATACAAGAGTCTGCTATAGGGTACTGTTTTCTCCTGTGAAAAGGTGAAGAGCCAATCGAATTTCTCTCAATTCATTTCGCTGTCTGAGGCTTTGTCGGCGAAGGGGCTGACATATCGCTTATGCATGTGCTGTCGGTTTGGTTCAAGTGTTGTTCGCGGTTGAGGAATGACAGAATCGCGTGCGCTGTCTGCACGCGTTCTGATGTCTGCACTGTTGAGTGAGGTCGCACTGTTCCTACGTGACCTCGCGCTCCCGGGTGAGAGAGGATGAGATTGGATCATCTGCGGCAGAGTGTGGTTGTGAGTTTGTTGGGCGAAAGTGTAAGGGAGCTGGTAATGACCATGGGCCGAGGTTGTAGGTGAGGTGCTGTTGCTGCGGGGCTCACCAGGCCCGGCAGAAGCCGAAGTTGAGCTTGATGCTGAGTAGTAGTGTTGTGCTCTTGCTGCATTTGTTTGTGACTGTGACTGGGATTGCGAAGCAGAACCGGCAAGATGAAAGACGGGGACATTGGCACGACTGGCCATCTCGACTTCACCAATTTGCCAGTGCATAGCCTCAGCAGCCCGCCATGGCAGGGCCATCTCCTTGGCGATCTTCTCCCACATGTCCTTCTTGAACCTGGATATAGTTGTCAGTATGCATGAAACCTTTTGAGGGAGATCAACATCAGTCTTTACACACCTTTCATAGAGACGAGCAAGCTTGTTCTTCTTCTCATCATCCCATTCTGAGCGACGCTCAAGGTAGTTCTGGAAGCGGAGTCTGCAGCTGATGGCACTGCGGCCGGGCAAGTGCTTAGAAATGTCTTCCCATTTCATTCCGTTACCGCGAAGCTCGATGATTGCGGCATCCTCCTCGGGACTCCACTTGGACTGCTTCTTCTTGGCAGGAGACTCGGATGGATGAGGTCCAGAAGGTGCCAATCGCTTGTTCACGGGACCCTTAGCCGTGTAACCATTGACAGGTGGTGGTGGTGGTAGCCTTTGGTCCCGTGTTGTGATAGGTGGTAACTGGCCGAAGCTCTGCTGGTGGTGGTAAGGTGGTAGTTGAGGGTTGAAGCTTTGTGATGAGAAGGTAGATGGTTGAAAGCGAGTAGGCAAGGACTGCTGAACGCTTGGCTGGAGAGGCGTCAAACCAGGTTGCTGTGTGCTGTGGGGGTAACTTAAGTCGATGTCAAGTCTGGGCAATGAGTTGTTGGTGGGGTAGCGCGAGATAGAGCCTGGCGAAGGTGCAGGAGGGTCTCTAGATCCCTCCAACAGGGAAGAGATGTCCATTTTGAAAGCACTGGAAGGCTTCAGAGCGAGCATAGAGGACGAGGTAGTGAAGGAGGTCCGAAATGATGTTGTGTTGATGTGATATAAGAATGGCGGCGGATGGAAGTGGGCAGGGTGAGGTGTGATCTTGCGCGAGGGAGGGATATGATGTTTATGTGGGAGTGAAGCGAAGTAAATGCTTTGCGGTGAGTTGTGCGACCTTGTTATATAACTGAGTGGCCAGAGGTGGTACTAAGGAACGGTTCCGAAAAACGAGTTCAGTGCTACCAAATCTTGCGAGTCGCGTGCCCGGCAGATCAGTCCTGAGCTTGGTTTTGATCGGCAGGTAGGGGCGTTTGTGGTGCGAGACAAGAAGAGGTCGGGGCACGGTGGAGTTTATCAGGACAAGAGACGGGATGGTTTGCAAATGACTCCACGAGATCGCCTAAAGGGCTGTAATAGAGTTATGGCCGTGACTCTGCTGACATCAGAAGCCGTCTGTCGCCTTGAGTGGGGAAGTTTCGAGTAGGAGTTTTTTAGTGTGATTAGAACAAAACAGACGAGGATAGAGTTTTTCTTCGTCCGCAGAATCCGACGCCAGACATGAAGGTACCCCGACAGATTGCGCAGCATGACAAGCTTATATGACGATACGACCAATGATCCGGGTGTAAGATGTACATACGATCCAGAGCAAGGGATGAAACAACTGTCAACCAATGGCGAAAACTGGTGCACTAAGGCAAGGAAGAACATCAACAGGAGCGGTGTTGCGAACATGCGGATCCCACTCGGCATGGGCGTACGGACCGGTGCTCATTGGCGACTATTGAACGCACGAGTCGTGACAGGACAGTTGCGCCACGACATGCACTCGACTGAAGGATTGGGAGCCAGGGCTTAGCGCTGGAGCCACTGGCGAACGGCTGACCGAGGATACACTCCAGCTCATGCGCCGAGACGAGGAGTGATTTGCTTTTGCTTTCCTGCGGCCCTTGAGGCTCCTCTGAATCGTGCATGCGATGCGGCGAAACGTTCTTGCAAGTGGATAATCTGCACAGCTTGTCTCAACGTCTTTTCTACACCTGTTCCATGTTGCCGGCAATATGAACAGTTATGCGCGGACTCAACACTATGCTCAAGAGGGTCATTTTGTCCTCACGGTGTTGGAAATCCATGCACTTGCCCATGTGCGGTGAGCGCAGTGTGATAGGAGCCGCAGGAAGCCACAAAAACCACAGGGGTCGAGGTTCAAGACGAACCATGATCTGCGGGGCTTTGTCATTCTGCATGTCAGACCAGAGACAGTTGTAGCCGAGCCACGTCCCATTAGGGTCTCACCCTAGCATCAAGAGTTTGTATCGGGAGATATTGCGAGCGTTTGCAGCGGTCGATGGCAGCTGTAGACAGGCTCATGAAAGGAAAAAGAAATCGCTGCCTACTCCGTGCTGAGCTCTGTGAGGCATTGATTTTGTCCTCGGCTCGGATGGGCAGCAGTCCGTGACGAACCTTCAAGCCAAATGACAAGGAGCACAGTGTGTACCTGTGGCAGGCGAGCGTGTTGAATAAAGCTGTTTGGCTGCTAGATACTTGATGCAGGTCTTGTAGCGGTGTGGAGCGCTTGCAGCCTTGCAGACCACAGTTAATATAGAATGCATGTGTTCGATGCAAGTCATGACTGGCATACAATCTGGATTCAAAAGCACGGGGCCGCTGTTCAGCGCACCTGCCTTGGCACAGACTTCCGAGATGTTTCGGCTCGTGGTAGCTCCTTCTCAAACAGGATCAAGCACAGCACGCCAGCGCTGAAGTTCACATATCGATATTGGTGTTGACATTGAACAGCAGAAACCTTAGCTGACTGAGGCATTACGCATACAGTGTTCATCTCTTCTGTCAGGGGACGGGGGAAGGGTTTCAATGGACATGGACGGGGATACCTAGTGCCGTCTCGAAGCCGCCAAGGTTGAATTTTCGCCTAAGCGGTCAAAGCCCTGAAGCAACTGTCGCTGCATCCAACACCAGCACATCGCAATCCCGAGCAGAGTCATTCGAGACTCATTGTCATATCTCATCGACTTGATTTCCCCAACGTCCGTTAGCTACTTAGTGCGCAGCTCATTCTCAATCGGTGCTGTCTCGCTTTCGCAGCTTCGCTTATTGAATCCCGGCATTCTCTTCCGCAGCAACATCGCCATCGCACGCTGCTCCAAGTGTTCGCTGCCAGCACCACGTCCGCGATCCGTTCACGTCGGCTCAAACCTAAGGCGCCAATCCAGCTCGGAGAAGATGACAACAACGGCAGATGTACCCCTTCTGATCATTTCAGAAAACGCTCGATCTGAGCGACGCATCTCGCCTGCCTGGACCATAGCTCAATTGAAGGGGCGCTTGGAGCCCATCACGGGCGTCCCGGCCTCTTCGCAGAGGCTGACCCTGAAAGTCGCTTCTTGGCCTGACCAGAACCTGCAGACTGTTGATCAAGAGAATACGCAACTCGGCGCATTCACTTTGCAAAGCTATGCAGAACTTCACGTAAGTTCCAATTCCACTGTTCCAATACATGCATCGAGAAGTCTTGTCATGACTGGCATCTCCTCCGGCCGTGCGCCCTGCAATCCGGCGGGTCTCCGTCGTGTTTAGTCTTGCGCGGACATCTCATCGTCCCCTAGAACGTTCAAGTTTTCGCTCGTCAGAATCAGTGGCTAGACAAACCCACCCTCATGTGCTCTGCATAGGAGAGCGTCTGACCCCACTTGCACGGTACTGAACAGGTTCGATGCTGGCATACATACCAAGACGGTCTCGACTCCGGGCCCTCTCCGTATGGTGCTTCATTGGATATGATCGCCGGAGAAGGCCGATGAACCTGGAGTCGCTTGATATGACAGGACCATACACTTACACCTGCTCACACCAATGTCGATCTTTACTGATGATTTGTCAAGGTTGCAGACACTCGTCCAGCAGGACTTCGCGCCAACTACACAGATGTATCGGCAGTCGAAAAATACGAAATGCCGCCCGACGAGTACGAGAGCCGGACTGACAGCGTACTGCACTGGAAGAAGACACATCAGCTAGGCCGATTCGATCCTAATGCCCCAAGCATAGAGCAGCAGAAGGTCGCTGGTGTTGACAGGGAGATCGAAGAGAGAGGTATTTTGTCTACCCGAACATTAGCTTGGACAAAGATTTACTTACAGTTTACTCCAGGGATCAAATTGGACGCACGTTGCCGTCTCCTGGCTGCGAATCAAAGCGAGAGCTCAGTTGAACGTCGCGGAACCGTCAAATTCATTGGACACGTTCCTGAGATCCCTGGTATTGGTGCTTGGGTTGGTATTGCATTGGACGAACCTACTGGCAAGAACGATGGCACTGTGAAAGGTACCCGCTACTTTCAATGCGGCGCCAACTGCGGTGTCATCGTACGCCCTGGGAGAGTTGAGGTCGGCGATTTTGACGTCATTGACGAATTCGGCAGCGATGAAGAGTTCTAAGTCCCGGCTTCCAAGTGGCAGCAAGCAGTCAGAGTTGAAGACTGGGGGGTCATTGATCGCCACGATACAAAATGTACAAATCTTGGTTCCAGCTCAGACCTTGACTCCGCAATCAACGAGATTCGGGACGGCAAGCCATAAGAATTGAGATTTGATATCCGGATCATCAGGCCGATCATCTTTTCTCTATCAAGAGATCTAACGTAGACAAGATATCGGACAAGCGCACCTGCTCGAGGCGCGTTGGACGTCCAATCCAGACGAAGACAACGAGATACAGTTAGACCATACATCCTCCGATGTCATCTTCAGATGGAGCGGTGTCACAACAAGACCCCTTGGGTGCTGATAGGAAGAAACATCTGTAGGCCCAAGCCACTGCACTGACATTGAGGTAGAACTTAGTTTATGAATTGTACATCAGGCACGAGCAAGTGCAGACGAAAATGAGAACCTTCAATGACGCGAGCGTTTCACCCTTGTGGCGTTTCGTGGTCACTGAGCATGACCCGAAGGATATTGGCCTGCTCGAATGCGGGTTCGTGTTTCTCAACAAGAGAGCTGAGTTCCAAATACATACTCACGCGCGCCCACACGTGGAAATCGCGTGGGACACTTGAATGTTGGCGGCGGGCTGAGACAAAGGCATGGGCGTTCTTATGAAACCAGGCAGAGATCAGGTCCTCGGAGGACAATCGCCATGCCGCTGTCATCATGAGAAATTGGAAGATATCTGCGAGCAAAATCTTGTTCGTATGTTGCGAGTCACGCTGGGCGGGGCTGGTGTAAGTTCACGCTTCGTGTCAAGTCAATGTACACGTGGTTGTTAAGGTTTTGTTCGCAACGTGTCTTGTGTCTTGACTCGTCGCGACCTTGACTCGATGTCCATGGATGCGCGCTCTCCGTGGACGTCCAGAAGCCGGTCTGCATATGGCGACTCATGCGCCGTTCTCATATCTCCTAGAGTGTATGCACACACCCTTGAAGTGATGTCCACATCTAGTCGTTGTTCAGCCCTCGCAAGGCTTGCTTTGGGGGCGAACATTATGGAAGTGGAGGCACCTTCGCGAAAGCGAGGCTCCATAAAAGATAGACGCCCTACCCGCCTGCGGCCGGCCAGCGCCAAACTGCCGGGCAAGGGGTACAAACTCCCCAAACTCGTTCTTCCAATTTCGCATCGTTGACTAACAAAACCTTCCGGTGTACTTGTAGCTTTTCGCTAAGGCTCAACCGCATCCCACACCTTCGTGAAGCAGCGACCACTACCACCCAAATTTGGCTATCGAGGTCGCCATATGATACAGCGCCTGTTCACGGTTTGCAAGTCGAACTCTACTCTCTCTGACACGATCCCATAAACTCAGGCGCATCGGATCTTCTAAAGTCAGCTTTAACCTTTTCCCGTCCCCTGCCTACCAGACCCTCTGTTCATCCGCAACTGATTCTGTTACGTTTTGGACCGCTGAACAACTCAAATACTTTCGCAGAGCGGTTCATTCTTGCAGCGATAGCGCGATGAGAGTTTGAACCCTTGGCAGTTCGGCTTTGTAATCATCAGCCCTACACGTGGAAGCCACCTAGGTCAACCTCAAAGTGGAAAACACAAAGACCTCGGCCGCTCGTTCGCGATCGCACCTGAATGTAGACTTGAGATCAGGACACGGACTACGAGTACGACGTGAAGTTTTGTCGTAGTCTTCTGATGCCTAAGTACAGAGTACGTCGTACACTGTAACCGATATAACAAGCGCGTGCTGCGGACGGTTTCGCCGCCCTGCAAAGTCAGCCCGGATTAGGTGAGGCACGATCCAGGACTGTCATGCCCAGGCATGAGCAGCCGGACTGACTGCCCGCACTACTTGGTTTCAGGAACTCATGAATCATCACATAAAGTATTTATCACGCCATCTTTCCACCCAGAGTCAGCCGTGGATCATTTCGTACGTGCTGCTCAAGTCCAGATGTTCCAGGCTCTGGACCAGTACTTGGGATAGCCAAGACGTGACAATGATAGGCTCGGATCCGGCACCAAATCTTCATCGAGCTCCAAATTCGGACGTGGTGTCCGACGAAGATCACGCTGGAATTGTCTCCATGCTATGCTATGGCCAACACGAAGATCGCAAACACTCATCTTCGTCCGCCGCATAGTTACATTTGAATGGCCGTGTTACTTGACGAACTCCGAGCTGATCGATTCAATTTTTGGTCACTCAATCCCTCAGGATTCGAAGAACACACCAACAGTTACTAGCTTCCTCAAATGGAACAACGGTTTGTGGCTTTTCGGACTTCAGTCCGGATACATCTCCCCCTTTAGAAGCCACAAATCGCTCGCCACGATGACTGTTTGATTGCGTGTCTTATGGTCTGCCTATGATGACCAAAACGATAGCCCAACGAGCCGCTTTCTTGTTTTTATCGATGATTCCGGCCAGTCACCGCGAATTGAACATGAAAGGGCGCTCCGGCTCGTCGGCTTCGGGCAAGATCGGACCCTTCCGTCCTGTACTGCAAACTCCTGGGGCATGCCGGCTGCCCTGCTTTAGGGGATATCATCTTGGATAAATGGCAGTTTGGCCTTAGCCAGATGTATCTGTAGAGCGCTCGACTATTCTCCAACAGAAGATCTAGATGTCACGTCCTGACGATGTTATCGGCATCCATACATCTGGGCCAGTTAGTACACAGCACGATTGTGATAGCTCATCATGGGAGGAGAAAAGTCACTGTTAACACATCCCAGCTGAAACGAATCGCCGGCTACGTCCTGGGGACTCACGGTGATCGTGAAGGAATTCGCTCGCCTTTAGCTCATCCGCAAGCCAAAAATCGCGAGTGCGGCTGAGCACCTCCGGCCATCGTCGGTACGCGGTGGAGAGACACGAGTGACCGCATCCAAAAGCGCAATTTTTAGACAGCGTGAATGCTGATACATGCTTTGCCTTTGCCAGAAAAGTCTCCATGATCCCATGCAACAATGACAACCTGTATTTCATCAGATGAACATCTTTCGGGGACTCGCAGTACAGACCGACGAGTGCAAGTATGCCGTCGGCGTGCCCGCCGTCGGCGCGTCAGTCATCGCGTGTATCAACAACAGTCGGTTCCCATCGGTCGTTCACGCAAGGAACTGTTGCAGACCGGTGGCACGCATAGAGAGCTGCTAACGACCGGTTTATCACGTCGTCGTGAAACGTCAACAGAGTACGTTGTAGCTTCCTCTTACACGGCAAAGCTGGAAGTCTGCGGGGTTCATCCCCCATCACGATCCTCACAATCCTCCACAAGAGCCTCGCGATCCTTTACCGAAACATCCTTTCAAAGTTTGACGCGCATTCCTTCATCGCGTATTGTAACCCATCACCAAATCCCAACTACGTACTACGGATGCGTTATTCTGTTTTCGCTTTATCTTGCAGTTGAGACTATCGTGTAACGAGAGAGTTACGGACGTGTAGTGCTGTTTGGGTTGAAATTCGGAACTTGAGCCCCGGGAGCGACCAGTTCGCGCGAACCGCTCGTTTACATGCTCAACCAATGAGCGGCCCTTGTCGCTGTTCAAGAACTTCAGCCTCATCACGCGGTGACGGAACCCATCGATCGCTAAAGGTGTCCCACCCGTGTTCGGAAGTCTTGTAGGATGATCTCCTGCTAAAGCGCTTGTCGATCCTATCGCCCTCTGAACCTTAGAACCACGGTGGATGACGCTCAGCTTGACTCGCGAGGTTTCTGTTCTCATTTCTTGTTTCGAGTCGCTCGTGTTTGCGATCTGCATGCTTCACTGGTCATACAAAAAGTGCACAAGATCAGCGCGGGTCGACGCTGTCCGGGGCAAGGCCGCGAGAGTTGCTTGGCTGTCGGAACTTGGCCGTGAGGGTTGTGTCTTTCTGCCCCATCATCAGAACCTAGGTTCATATTAACTTTCACTGCTTGATTCCTCGTATCCTTATACGTCGTTTATTATTTCTCTGCCGCGGACTTACGGAAGGAAGGGCGAGTGACGGCTTCTCAGCAGAGTTTGCGGAGGAAGGTTCTTTCAAGAAGCATGTTCACTTGTTTGGCTTTCTGCCCACACATGGCCGAACTAGCGTTTGACCTGGGAGATAAAGTACTCTTGGCGACGGACGGGAAGAGTGACTGACATCGAATATTCGATGTCAGTGATCTGACTGCCCTATGACGCCCGACTCAGACTTCCTAGCTGCCACACCTCTTGCGCGGACGCACTTCTACCCACAAACACACTTCGATATTAAGTTACCAGTCAGGAGCAAGGGAACAGACTTTGCACGGCCTACACCGATCCACCACATCAAAGTTGTCGAGTCTAAAAGGGTACGATTCTGGGTTTTGATGGCTTGCACCACGACCTCATTATTCAAGGTTTGAGGAGATAGGCAGGTATACAGAGCACCGCGATTTACCTATCGTACACGGAAGGAACAGCGAAGGAAAGACGTGCTTGCTGATACTTTTGCCCTTGAGTCGCAGATTCGATGTCTGTATCTTGCTCCGAAAGCGTGCTCATTGGTATACTCCCGTCAGAGATGCCATTCAGCAAAGCAAGACGTGCGAACAGACCATTGAGATTGGCAATCTCAGCATTTCTTACTTGAACAAGCAAGTGCATTGGAAACCAATGATGATGTGGATTAAGAAACACGAGTACATTCATGCCTGGACTATCGGAATTTCCGCTCGGTGGCGGTCCGAAGAACAGAGCTCACGATGGAATCTCTCAAGATCTTGCTGGTACCACAGGACTCTGATGGGCGTGATTCATGGATACGATACCTCTCAATAGATTTGTGGTCTAGGTCATGGCTCTAGTCAGTCCATCGTAGGCAGCACCAACGTCCATCGACACCTCGTGGACCCAGACGGAGTCAGTGGCTCCACACACGGTACTTTCAAGTATCCACCAGCCCTTCAAGTGCCGCACGTGGAACAGCGACATTCTCAAGTCCCGGCATGAGAAATTCAACAGGCGTTGTTCTTATCAGCAGCCGTGCTCGAGCTGAGAGCAAACGGTTGTTCTTACCATCAGTTCAAGGTCCCATGTCAATAGGAGAACAGAGTGGAGTACTTCTTTCTTTTGTGTGAAAGAATGACTCTCGTCACCCTCTATTCCAATCGCATAAAATTCTACGAGTCCTTGTACAGCACAACGGGAAAAGTCCAGAGCCGTGGAGTCGAGTCAGAGGTGAGGCATACCGCTTCCTGAAAGACATCATTGACAGACCTCAACGTGAGTGCAATGTTATCTCCTTTTCGAATGATGCCCTTCAGACATGCTGCGGGACAATAGACTTTGGAGCGCACCTGCTTCTATCATCTATCTATATCAGCATTGCCACTGACTCAATCCGTCACCAATTGGCTACTAATACCTCGAGCACTTATTGTGCTACAGCAGACATCCTGCGCTGCACTTTTGCTGGCAACAGTAGTCTGCTGCCGTCTGACCAGCGCGAGGCTGCCGATACCCTCACTCTAGAATCAAAGCTCGAATTATGGAACTCCGCGCTATACAGACTCTGTATGACCACCTCATACAACTCTTCGTTTTTCCTCTGCGTCGATTACCACCCTGTGACCTGTCCACCAATCTCAAGAAAAAGACCAACTTGCTGTGGAACGTTTTCTCAAAGGACGTGTTCGATTGAGTCTTCGGTTTTGATGGCGATCAGTCCTCCGATTCTGATAGCGATCAGTCCTCTGGGTCTGACAGCGATGACTTTGGATCTAACGGTGATGACTCTTGCTCCTCCGACAGTGTTGACGATTCAGACGTGTCGTCCAACCCTTACGCTGACCACCATATGTACGTCGACGATTACAGCAGCATAAAACGCCTGACTGGAGATCTACCCAGCTTTGAAAACTCCAAAGTTGAGTTACTGTATTCCATGTTCGTTTCTCCAACAAACACACACCTGATCGTCCGAATAACTGCAACCACGACAGCTATCCGTCAATACCGCCCAGCAAAACAACCAAATACAACACACAACACATGACACCAAAAAAAAACACAACGAAAAGTGCAGCAGCAAATCAGGCAAACAAGAGCATTTTCTCATTAACCGTTCTTGATTCGTCAGGAAAGAAGGAAAGAAAAATTCGTGATGAAAACCGTATTCGGACAATGAAGAGAAAACAGAGCCAGAAGAAAGGCAAAGAACAAAAAACCCTTCCTTCCTTTCCTTCCTTTCCTTCCTTTCGTTGCCGATAAACCAAACAGAGCGAAAAAAAAGGGGCCATCATCAGACCCAAAAACGCCAAAGCCCAAGATCCCTGATACGGAAAAACAGAGATGTTGTCTCTGGTGCAAAAAAGGTGCAAGAACGACTCCGACCGACCCAGACCTCGACAGACCACGAGAGGCAAGCACGATATTAAAAATTCAAGACTGCGACTGCGACTGCGACTGCCTATCCCTATCCCCATCCTCGAATTGACTCTGCATCTCGCACCCTTGGGCAAAGAAGATTTTGGCTGGGTGGGTTGAACTCTCATTCATAATGGCGTAGTTGTTTCCTGTTTGATTGCACGTTGTCAGCCAATTCGTTCTCGCATGTTGTCAACCAATGATTTGATGACGGTGATGGCAGTGATGGTGAGTGATGGTCAGCGGTCAGATAGGTGACACAACAGCATCGCACCCCTCGAGTCAAGCTTGCTTCCGTGACACAATGCCGTTCGCAACAACCAGCCACAGATCTTCAAGGGCAATAAGTCCCAATACCATGGGTCGCGCATATTGCGGTTCCCCAGGTTTCTTGCCTCTGCAGTGGCACGGTCTCAGGGGGTGGACCGGCGAACGTTCCACAGAAAAGACTCTATTTTGACATCTGTTCGTGTTGCTGTCAAGGCAAGTCTTCCCGGGTGTTACACTCGAACATAGTCGGTGTGTATCGAGTCTTGCTTGAGCTTTTCGATTGCATTGTTGCGGTGAAGATCACATCTCTGACCGCTGTTCCTTCGCCATCTGCAAACTCAAGGAGAGGTGACAATGGTGAAAACAAAAAAAAAAGATGAGAAGAAAGAAAACGGAAAAACCCACCCCTCGGTACCTGCCAGACACCACCTTTGGTCATACCAAACTGGACGTCTTCGATATCAACCGTGACTTTGCCTTCGTGCACAAAAAACACCATTTGCATTTTGCGAGAATTCTTCATGCGTTTATAGCCGTCTGGTGGAATTTCCACCATGCCAGATCCGAAGAATGGAAGGGTCATAACCTTCGCATAGCGAAATGACGAGCCGTGGACGTCTTGTGTTTTGATGGCTGTAGATGCAAACGCAATGTCTAGAATCTTGTTAGTGAGTGTTGTAGAAGGAAAAGAAAGGTCAATCATACCCTCATTCACTCCTTCGACTTCAGTACTGCCAGTGCCGGTTCTAGGATCCCAAGCTCGAACTGTGCTGTTGATAACACCCAGTTCCTGCTCCCAGGCTTCTGGCAATAAATCTTCGTCCTCCTCTTCGTCTTCCTTGATGGGCCCCAAGCGCGTTCCCTTCTTTCTCGACGGAGCAGCACGCTTTGGCTTCGGTTGCTCCACAGGTTCGGCACGAACAATGCCTTCCACTTCACCCTGGTTCCATATGTACGTCTCATTGCACCAGTATTTCAGCGGCTTTATCGATGTACGGCCAGATCTCGTAGTTTTGGCGCCTTCGTCCTCAGCGGGAGTTCCGGCGCGAAGATTTACTATCGACTTAGGACCGGGTTTCTTAAGACCATCAGGACCGACAGATTCGCTGTCTCTTGATGTTCTTGGACGTGGCTCGACGCTGGCGCATGGTTGTTTCTTCTTTCCCTTGGCTTTTGCTGCGCTCTTGCCGCGCCCGCGCTTCTTGGTGGGTTCTGGCTGAGGCTCGTGTTCGGATTCGTCCTGTACATCATCTTCGGGTGGAGGAATGAAGTCTTGGGCGGCATGTGAAGGTGAAGATAATCGGAGTTCTTGATCGTGATCGCTCGCATCATCCTCGTGAGGCTGGGCGTCTTTTCGTACTTCGAATGGCCTCTTCTTCTTTGTTGAAAGAGGAGCAGACGCTTCAACTACAGGTTCATCGGGAAGCTCTGTCGTTTCTGCGATGTCTTCTTCGGCGATGTCTGCCATTGTGCGGTCGTAGAAACGCGTCACATCCGTCTTGTCCATGACCGTCTCATCTGCTAAAGTCGGTTCCATCTCTGTCTCATCTGCCACCGTCTGATCGTACGCTGTAGGGTCGAAGACCGTCTGATCGACCCAAGTATATTCAATTCCCGTCTCTTCTGGCGCTTCGGTCTGGTCCATGACTTCAGTCTGGTTGACGAGTTCCGTTTGGTCAGGCAATTCGGTCTGGTCTGGGAGTTCTGTCTGGTCGGGCAACTCTGTCCGATCGGGCATTTCTGTCTGGTCTACGGTGATATACGTGTAGTCGGCGTCGGTCTGGTCAGGCAATTCTGTGTGGTCCATGACTGTCTGATCGACGGTTGTGTAATCTATCGCTGTCTGGTCCGCGACGGTGTGATCCAAGACTGTCTGATCTTGCTGATGTACGAGGCTCGTCCTTGGGCGCTTGTTGGACTTTGAGACTGACCGAGGTTGTGTTACGACGGGCGAGGACGGATTTGAGAGTTTGCGCTTTTGCGATCTGGTGCTGCGTGCCGAGGAGAGGATATCATCTTGTTGAACATGATCCTGGAACAGCTCATTGACAGCATCTTGGACTTGCTGAACGGAATTGTCGAGGTCGTCGTCATCTCGCTGATTGTGTTCAGGCCTGCCGGGAGATTGCTGCAGGTCAAAGACGCTCTTACGCGACTTTCCGAAACGCGGCTTGAAAGGACTCGGGCTAGGAGCGACTGTCGGCTGCTGCTTGTTCGCAAAATCAAGACGTCTACTTGTACGTGTCGTCGAAGGGACTTGGGGTGATGATTGAGTGTCTGCGGGCTTGATGGCTGAGTGACGAAGGGGCGAGCCCTGGATGTTTGAACGGCGCGGAGTCTGAGCCTTGGGTGGTAGATGGGGAGTCTTGCGAAGGTTGAGTGTTTCGGAGATTTCCGGGATGGAGCCTGGAGGAGTCAGCATACAGTTTGGTAGTTTCGAGGAAATGGACCGTCGTGTACTGTCTTGCAGAAGCATAGACGAGGATCCTAGCGCGGTGTCGTTACCATTTGGTTGTTGGCGCTGAGGTGAGCGGAGGGGAGAGGGTTGGGGCGATGGCTGTTGCGGTGTAGGTTGAGGTGAGGAGAAGATGCCACTGACGGGCTCGAGACCGTGTTCGTCGCGGACACCAGAGTCTTTCAGGACGAGACCAGTGCGACGACCTTGCTTGCCGGGCTCGAAGAAGTTGATGTTTTCCTTGAAGTTGTTGTGTCGTCGCGATTGCCGTTGCGGCGTGTGTGAGGTGGCGGGCTGTCCAGACATGTCGTCGCAGGTGGTTGTAGGTGTATGCGACGAATGCGCCGGGCGAAACAATGAGGTCGAAGGTGGTTGTTGGGTGGATTGTGTCTTTGTTTTGGGCGGCTCCAAGCTTCACACCGTAAACAACACGCCAAGCCAACCTCATGACATTTGCTTCTGGTTAGCGCTGCTTCCCCACACTTTCACGTCGCGTGCCTTCGCGTCTGCCGCGAACCCTCTGTCTTGTCTGTTTTCTGTCCAACACCGTCTTCTTGAAAATCATACATTTCTTACCGGAAGCATAACATATCATGGACGATCCAATTGAACAGCCAGTAGACTCTCAGGAGCAAGACATCGCCCTCGAAACTCCCCCTGAACATGTCTTTATGGCTCCCTCAATCGACAAAGTCAACATCGCCAAAGGTGACTCGTATTCCTACATTTCGCCTGTACCCAAGATGCTCAAGGACGACATGTCCATCGAGTGCGTTCTAGGAGTCGACGAAGCTGGCAGAGGTCCCGTACTCGGTCCCATGGTCTACGGTCTATACTACTTGCCCCTGGCAATCCATCGCTCTCTCCTGGCTGACACTCACCACTTTGACGACTCCAAGGTCTTGTCGCCCGCTGTCCGATCTTCCCTGATGCAGGCCATCTGTACTCCCGGTACTGACTTATACGAGTCTTCTGGCTGGGCTACCCGCGTCATGTCAGCCAAAGACATCTCTTCTGCCCAGATGAGGCCTACCGCCACATACAACCTCAACGCTCAAGCCATGGATGCCACCATCGACTTGATTCATACCGTCTTTGCCCAAGGTGTCAACTTGAAAGAGATCTACATCGATACCATTGGCCAGCCTGCCGCATATCAGAAGAAGCTGGAGCGCATCTTCCCCACTGTCAACATCACCGTCGCCAAAAAGGCTGACTCGCTCTACCCCTGTGTTTCTGCCGCCAGTGTCTGCGCAAAGGTCACCAGAGATGCTGCTCTCGAAGTCTGTTACCAAGTCTTCGAGGACGCTGCTTCGAACGCAAAAAATGTGCCCGAACAACCTGCTGAGGGCTGGGGGTCAGGATACCCCAGTGATGCACGCTGCTCTACTTGGTTGAAGAAGAACATGGACCCCTTGTTTGGCTGGGGCAACGAGTGCCGTTTCAGCTGGTCGACAGCCAAAGACTTGCTTGAAGTTAAACCTGCTGCAAAGGTCAACTGGCCTGTTGCTGATGATGAAGACTCGACCAAGCTGACAAACTTCTTCATGTACTCTGCCGAAGAACACGCCCAGGGAGAAGATCAACTCTCTACCTGGTATGGCAGACGTGTCACCGAGGATGTCTTCTAAGCCGTGACACTTTTGCCGGAATCACTGCTAACCTCGTGGCCACCAAGCTGTCACCTGCCCTCATTGAGCTTGCCCTTGGAGCGTCAAGTGTCATCGTGGCCGGCATGTACTTTCAGGATCTTGTCGATATATGTAGCAAGAGCTCCTTGATGCCTGCCATGGGCTATTTCGGAGCCTGTCGTGGCCGCCATGTCCCTTGACGTACACACTCGATCGACAGCGCGCATTCGACTACTTGTACGAACGTTCCGCCCACACTTCTCGACCACATCTACAACAATGGCTGACAATACTGGTCAACAGTCCATTTGGTGGACGATCTTCTCCCGTAGTACTCTTGTCATCGTCGCAACCTGCATCACAATCTGCACTGCCACCATCTCTGTACCGGTCCTGTTCGTTATGTTTGTCCTCGTGGCAATATCACCAGAATATTTCTCCAACATGTCCTTTGGAATCGACACAAACCACATTCGTTTGGATTTGAAGATCACCTCCGGTCAAATGCGTGCCGGAGTCGCTAGTCCTCACCCAACGATTTCTCCTCCAACAACCCCACAGGACAATCGATCTTCAAGCACTCGATCTACAACACTTCAATCCCCGAGCCGTCAATCTCCCAGCCCCCGATCTCCTTCAGGTCCAGCCGCATACACATGGGTACGTCAGTACCACTCTCAGCAACCAACACCCCTCAACACAGCCTTTGCCGCCCAGCAACCGTACACATGGCGAGCTGCATCCGGCCACCTGCCCTCAAACGCGAACATTCAAAACTCCTTGCCACCATATCTCCCACCCATCTCAGAACCAGAACCCATTCCTATGGCACAACTGCCTTCCCGATACGGCGCATACACCTCCATGGACACCACGCCTCCTACTCGTTCTGCCCCCACCACCTCACCTCCGCTCCGCCGTCGTCGTCGACGTCCCAGCTCCAATTTCTCATGGGATGCGGATGATAGGCTGCCTCCTGCTCGTCCTGATGAAGTGATTACTCCCTCGCGTCCAGGAGCTTTGAGAAGGACGACTGCAGAATCCATGCCAGGCCTAGTTCACATTGTGGATGATGACTCTGGGGATGAAGCCCTGCCGGTTTATGATAGGCCTCCGGAGTATGATGACGAGGCGCACAGTCAACCACCGCTGAGATGAAGAGGAGAGGTGAAGCTGGGAGAAGGACTGCTTGTTTGCGTTTGACTCGCTTGGATCGGTCATCGAAGTACCTTGGGATCATGGGAATTTAGAATGGTATACGAGGATATCCGAGTATGGGAACGTCTGTCGTCCTCGAATGTACCTGATAAAAAAAGAATCAAGCAGCTGTTGAATAAAAGATGGCAAACCAAGTGTTGATCAAGTCGTTCTCCGCTCCACTTGCTATTGCCAGTCTGTCTCGACATCTGTACCTCCCTCGTCCTTCTGTTGACCTCTGTTGACCTCTGTTGACCTCTGTTGACCTCTGTTAACCTCTGCCCATCTCCGATTCAACTCCACTACATCTTTTCGCTTTTTCTTCGGCTACTGTATGTTTATTTACATCCCTTGTCTCTACTTCTCCCCAAGAGAACCATCCGTCAAGCCTCTCAACGCAGTCTTGACCACTGCCTATCTATCCTTACCAGAGAGAGAGGCGCTATCTCATCGCCCACGTATTTCAGCAAAGAGCCACAAGGAGAGTATTTCACGATCGTTTTCTGAGAGGCAAGAACAAGAAAGGTCACGACGAAGCTGAAAAGTTGTGTGAGAGAAAAATCAAATCTTTTGAACTGCTGATGGCTGGAATACTGAAAATGCCATATCTGAACGTCTCTCCTTTTCGAGAACAACGATCTTGGAGCATCTTCTGCCTGATTGAATAAGATGTGCTGCAGGCGGTGTAGTGAAATGCAAATTCCCTCTCCTTCCTTCTCTCTCTTGCAAGAAATCGTCTTCGCTCCTTTGGTGAGCTTTGTGTGGTTGTGAAAAATCGTAGAGCCGTTACTGTTTATCCATCTTTTTCTCCTCCGCTTTTTGAATTGTTTTTCGCCTTTTTCTGGTGTATGCGTGATGTAGTCGTCCCTCTCTTCGTTTGGTCATTAGTTTGTAGACTCTCAAGCGTGTCGATTTGATCAAATAATGTCAGCAGCATAGCCATCGAGATCGGCCTGCAAAACGGCTCTGGCCTTCTCCATAGCAGACTTGATGGCAGGAGCGATCTGCTCGCGCTTGGCATCTGGCATCTTCTTTCCCTCAAAAGACTTGAAGAGAACGTCGCCGAGATCTCCATGCAGCTTCTCAATACGTGCATTGGTCTTGTCTGCCTACTTGTCGATGACAGGACCCATTCCACTAGCGATCTCATTGCTCATCATGAAGTAAGGGCCCTTGTTAGTGGTGATCTGTTCTCTGATGTACTTCATGCGCTCCTTGGAAAGGTTCTTGGTCTTGGGTGGGAACTTGTCGAAGGCGGTCTTGAAGATTTTGAATGTCTCTCTGACAAAGATAGGCGAGTCTTCGTCGCAAGGTTCGTCAGCGGTAGACTTCATGGCGGTCGACCTGCGCATGTGTCAGTAACTTGCTATGCCGGCAGTTCAGCTCGGAGACGTGTAACTTACTTCAGGTTGTTCTTGAGCTCAATGATGTCGTCATGCAAGTCGCGAACGCACAAGTCTCTCTCATCTTCGAAAAGCGAGAGGACACCTTCCAAGGTAGCATCTCCAATGGTGTCCAGTGTCTTGAGTCCCCGACTGATCTTGTCCACAACGTTGCGAGTATACTTTTCAATGCCTGATTCAACCTCGTTTATGGCCGCCCAAGTGGGCTTGAGGAGGTCTACGACATCATCTTCGGCAACGACCAGAAGATCTTCAGGCCAAGAGACAAGCTTTTGCTTCTTAGCTGCAGTCTTCACTCCTTTCGTGTTCGGAGAGTGTCTTCCGCCTTGTCGGATGAAGACGCCTTGAGTACGAGCAGCGTATGAAGCAATCCAACGATCGATAACCTTCTGGACGGCCTCCTCCCATGTGTCGGTAAAGCGGGTGTAAAGTGACTTCTTGTACTGTACCACTGCTCTGGTTAGCGAGGATTTGAATTCCTTGATGCTCCAGCGTGTGTATTGCTCGAAGAGCGCCATTGCAGTATCGCGAGGAGGCATCTTGGGTCCATCAGCCCAAATGGAAACGCGGAGTATCTTTGTGAGGCACAATGCAAGGTGGCGTGCAAAAGCTCTGACGCGATCTGTGCTAGGAGCTTCACACATGTAGGCGCGGAGCTCCTTGATACCAGTCTGGTCGACAGAGAGGATGGCTCCGTTCTTGCCGAGCATGTACTGTTCGTGACATTTGTTGGCCACTGTAATAACACGTATCTTGCTGTTGTCGTGCTTGCTTCGATACTCCTTTTGAGAGAAGTGATCTGTGACCACACGGTCACGGACGCTGATTCTGTACTCGAGTATGTGGCGATCGCACTTTTGAACATTGACTGTGGCTTGCGCAGCGAGACTCTCATCATCGATAGTGTCAAGTTGGAGTTTTGCGGCCTTCAGAGATTTTTCCAGATGTTCGAGATGAGAGATTTCATCTTTAGTCCACTTACTCGTGGATTTGTCAACGTTCTACAAAATTTGTCAGTACACATCTATCATATACTTTCACGCTTGTCACATACCTCTTTTCCACGCAGAACCAGACAGACGTTCTCTGTACCTCTCTGCTTGATGGTTTGCTTCAAGCTCTTCTTTAACTCGGGCGTAGTCAGGCATCTTGAAAGATCGGCGACAAAGACAGCTTTTGAAACATTCTGCGAGTAGTCCTTCGATGCCTGTCGCAGGTGAGCGTTCGTGTCTGTATATCCAGGCAAGTCGGCGATCTCGACACCCATCGCAAGTAGAGGTGAGTGAAACTTTGTACGAACACTGCTAACGAGAGGTGCGAAAGCTCCACGCTCAGAGAACCTGGCAGTCTTCGCTCGGAGTTCTCCGACGTTCCCAGCAGTGAGACGAACTTCTCGGGTATCCAAGTCGATACCATCGGAGGAAGCACGTTCTCTGATTTGCTGGTGAACGGATTCGACAGCGGACTCCGAAACGTCTTCACCACTTTGAGGAAGAAGACTTCTGGTCTCCAGGAACTCTTCGACATCATCCAAGCTCTTCAATCCGTCTTGATCAGAGAAAAGATCGTCAAATACTTGCCTGCTTGACTCGGCTGCCTCGCGAACGTCGTCATTCTCTTCTTCCGCGTCGTCGTTCGATATGTATCTGACGTACTTGACCAGATCACTGAGGCATTTTCTGATCAGCTTCTCGTTGCTTCGACCATTCAGAAACAACACCTCCACTGAAAAGCGCACAAGCTGTCCGGCAAGGTGATTGAAAAGCTGAGGGTTTTGAGTAACACTGGCCAATGAAGCGTCGGCGTTGGCAAGACCAGCTTCACCCAAGAGGTTGTTAAGAGTGGTGGTCTTTCCCGAGCCACTGTTGCCGAGCAAAGCAAAGACGGTTTGGGGGATCTCAGGGACGTTGGCGTTCTTGGTGAACCACTTGACCATGTCGTCGATTGACTTGTCGTCGTCCTTGTAAGGAGATATAGCTGGCAACACAACTTCTCTTATATTGTAGAGAAAGTTTTCGATGGCCTTCTGGTGGTGGTGGCTGTTCACTTCAAGTTCTGGCACAGCTTCATGCCTTGAGTATTTGTACTGCGTTCCAGGAACGTAGTCCTTGACAGGACCACCGCCGTAGGCTCGGGGACCGAGCTCAGGAGAGAGTCTCGATCTCTTGACATCGGCAATAGAGATCTCATCATCATCAATACCTCTCTTTTGCTGAAGTTGACTGTTGTGGTTCAAAGAGAGGCGATTCACATCCGGTAGGCTCAGCCTTGATCTCGGACTTGATCTCGATGTCTTCCTCAATGAATGGCATGGCGGATCGAGAGGAGTGAACAGAAATCTCTGTGCTAGGTTGCGCGGTGTCAGAGATGGGTTCGGACATCTTGATAGTGTGCTGGGAGTGTGTTAGTTAATCAGAAGAGTAAAGGCAAGGTCTCAAAGCGCGTACGGAAAGTGAGAGGAAAGATCTGTCTCTAGGATTGCCAGACTGGTGAAGGGGTCGGCAGGTTCTAGAGCAGAAGAGGAAGATCTGCCGTCAAGATCTATAGATGACCAAGTGCTGAAGAAGATTTGTCGAGAAGATCTACCGCAAAGATCTTCGAGTGGCGATCTGAGCAAAAGAGTTCAGAGTGCAAGTCGTCAACGTGCTGCTACCAGAGCAGAGGTCGACGTAGTGTAGATGTAGTTGTATGGAGCAAGCGATGTATGAAGGAATCGGTGTAGAGTAGATGGAAGAGAGAAGAAGCAAAGATGGGAGAAGAAAAGGAAGGCCACAGGTCAAAGGTGGTGGAGGTAGTGAGTGTAGTGGGGGAAGAAAGGCCGAGATGGATGTTGGGATGAGAGCTGCTTAAGTACACCTCAAGGCAGCAGCAGCGGCTCCAGCTTGAGTGAGAATAAGTGAGGGTGTTGCTGATGAGTGGTGTATTGAAGGTGTTGCTGATGAGTGATGAAGGTCGAAGGTGAGTGATGAGCAAGTCCAGGAAAAATAGTCGAGTTGGAGACTGAGGTGAGTGCTGCCAGAGTAGGCTTCCAGGCAGCGACGACGGACGTCCAACTCAAGTGAGAGCAAAAAAGGCGAGTGGCGGAGAGTTGGCAAGAGCACTCAAGGCAACACTCTCTCTACCAAAGAGTAGAGTGAATAAGAGAACAATGAGTGTTCGAGGCTCGATGATGTACGAGTCGTGATGAAGAGCTCGAAAATGCCTGGAGATTGGCTTGATGATCCGCTTGATGATACGAGGTGCGTCAGAGAAAAAGCAGTGAGTCTCTGTTCGATGCTGAGGGTCTCCGGTATGTTGTGAGCAAGTAGCTTTGCTATGGTGAAGCTCTTTCCCATCTTCTGAACTGGCGATATCGCGAAATTCCACTGCACTACTGGAAAGTAGGCCTTCTTTAGAATTGGCCGTGTCAGGGCATCTCATTTCATTCATAACATTCGTTAAAGCAAAAAGCCAACGCTCAAAAGCCACAAGACCACTCCATCAAACTAAGAGGAGTAAGAAGTAGCAACACCACACCCACTCTCATCACAAGAATCCACCAACATAGCCGACGGCACAAAAGCACCCGTAAAACTCGAGTTTCTGATCCCATTGTCCTCCGCGTCAAGAGCTTCAACCCTCACCCATTGGTAAAATCTATCAGCGACCCAGAGAGTCTCAAAGCCTTGCTTGTCTGCTTGTCCAATAACTGCAAACTCTTCTCCGACAGAACCAGCGCCGTAGAACTGCCATGAGGAAACAGCAGTGCATCCATTCCAGGATACGTAAATCCTAGTGGGAGTCGTGGCATTGACAGCATATGCGTAAACATCAGGAACGGTGGTGGCTGGCAAAGCATCCCAGTCGGCTGAGAAAGCACGATAGTTTTGTGCTGAGCCCTCGGCTGCAAATTGAGCGGTGAATACAGCGGTGCCGTTGGCAGAGTGCTCGGAGAGATAAGGTTGGTTACCCCAAGAGTGGAAAGTGCCTCCGTTACCAAGAATATGTGTGTTGCCTTGGGAGGTAGCCAACAAGCCCTCGGTCGATGGGTATGTGGTGTTGGAGATCATAGTTGCAACGCCAGAATTATGATCGATAGCGATGACCTTGCCCGAAGATTGAGAAGTTGTGGTCGTGTAGCCATTAGATGCATTATCAAAGATGGACAACACAGTAGTGGTGTCGTTTTCAGAAAGCAGACGTGCGTCGTGTTGGAAGCTAAAGTTGAAGTTTGAGCATGAGAAGTCCGAGTTTCCTAGATAGCTGAGCTTCCAGATGATGTCTTGATCCGTGGCGTTGACGTAGTATAATGTGCCGGTGTGTCTAGCAGAGACAAGATAGTTTCCTGTAGTCGCAGACTTGTCGACAGCGTTGATGTGGAAATAATCGAATGCAGTCAGAGGACCAAATCCATCACCGCCTGTATCAGTGCTGTTGGGGGTGATTTGGCTCTCGCTAGGGTCAACATGGTTGGTGGAGAACCATTCGAACAGAACTGCTCCAGTAGTCACGTTAACTTCCTGAAAGACACCTTCGGACAGCCATCCCAGACCAGTCGTGATGTTGAAGTAAGACAGGTCGAAAGGCACAATCTGGTAAGCACTGACGATTGCCGTCTCGCCATCGTTGAGCAACTGGAACTCATGCATATCCACAGGTTCGGCATTGCCTCCCGTCTGCACCGTAGCCACAACCTTGTAGTTCTGGTCCACAATCACACCCTGTCCAATTCCATATCCATTCTGCTGGTTGACCTGATTGAAGCAAAGGTGAGCAGCACCCTTGTACTGGCAAGGTCGGAAGTTATGCGCATTCGAAGATCCAGTTACTCCATAGCCATCCCAGACAAGGTTTCCGAATTTGTCGTAGATGTAGGGAGCAGGTTTGTCGGACTTGTAGGGTGACATGAAGACATAGCCGGGAGAAAAGTCTGCTTGGAGGGTGATGTTCAGAGCAGGTGCTTGAGACAGAGGGCGAGTGTAGAAGAAAGAAACAGGTTGTGTGGTGTTGTCTCCAGCGCTGCTCTGAGCAACAGCATTGAACGTGAAGAAGGCCAATGCCGCGCAGGTCAACGAGGTAAGGCGCATGCTGCAAGGTCAATCAAAAAGAATGAGTTGTAGGAAGAACCAGTAGATGATAGGTGCAATCAATGAACAGAAGAGCGTTTGTGTTTGAAGTCAACGCGGAAAGAAAGAAAGAAAGTTAGAGTTAACAGTGTAGGCAAGCGATCTCTTCATACATCTGCTCTTACAACGTGAGACCAAAGCCTTGTTCCGGTTTTCCCTACCACATTATCCTTGTCTACCTCGATCTTGGAAGCCGCGTTGTGAGTGCCGATCATGATGAGCCCTCGCACTTTACTCCGGCAGAGCAAATCGTCATGGACTATGCACCGCCAACCGCTCGAGCCGGACATGTGTACAAAGCAAAATTCAGGAACCATCGTGGCAGAAGGAGATGGAGTCGACAACGTGTTTGTGAAACAACATGCAAAGTGCATCAGACATGCTGCTGCCACGTCCCGTGCCTGACAGCTTGGCACCCGTATACCGCTGCCATGCGGAACATTGCTTGATGCCGTGCTTGCTTGAGCTGCGTGTCGCGTGCCGAACTTCCCACACCAGCCTGCCTGCCTGCCTGCAAACACTCGAGCAGTCTAACAGGTTTATACCAAAACTCTAATCGTCATAGCCCGCAATGTCTCGATCGAGTACAGACAGCAAAGTACCGTGCCGACGTCAGAGGCTGGTATAGACGATGCAAGCGGGACGTTCCCTCTCGGCTGATACGCCTGCCCCACCACAAAAAACCAGGCGAAATAGCAGAGCCGCGGAGAGGCTCTACAGAAACCGCTATATTATCATCAACAGCGATACAGATAGCATGACCAGAATCAATCACATTCACAATTTGGTGGAGACACAAATCATAAGTAGAACCGCCATAAAACTTCGTCCTTTGACATTGGGTATAGTAGGTCGTGAAGAAAAATCCGTATCGCTCTCTCTCCTCTCTCGTCCTCTCCTCTCAACTCTCAGTCGGTGGCATGGCTTTTGTGAAATAGAAACAAAGCCCTTGGTAAGCATACCAATCGTAGAAAAAGAGAAAAAAAACCAAGGGCTTGTTTCTGTCCAAAATGGTGTCGGCATCAAACAAAGGAAAATAAGATAGTAGGAAAATGCATGATCGGTCTCTTCTCCTCATCGCATCGAATGCCCGTCCATGTCCGTTCGTAGTTCTTTTTCTTCTCCTCGTCCTCAGCGGTAAGAAAGGTCCAGCCTTGTCTCCCCACCTGTAAACAACCCTAGATGATAAAGGTGAATACAAAAATGCTTTTTTGTTGGAGACTAGGCCGTTGCGATCAAAGGTCATGACGGTCGTGAATGGAAGTAAGGCAGAACGGAGTAAATGCGCAATGGTTGGTCAAGAAAAAGAGATTGTCGTCAAGAGCAGGCGATCAAGCCCTTAGTTGGGGCAGGCGGCCTGGACGTGGCCGGGCTGCTTGCACTTGTAGCAGACACGGTCGTGGCTGATCTCGGCGGAGCAGTCGCGGGAAAGGTGACCGACCTCACCACCTGTGGTTGGGTTAGCAGATGTTCAAGAAGTTATAGATTGATTGGTGGACAAACAGTTGTAGCACTTCTGGCCCTGGGTGCAGTCGCGAGACATGTGGCCGAAACCGCCGCCTAATTCCTATTAGCACACGTCTAAGGGTCATAAAGTGTTGGGTAGACAAACATGAGTAGCAGGTCTGACCGCGGGGGGCGCCGTAGCCCTGGCTCTGGTAGCCGCCCTGCTGCTGGAAGCCACCCTGACCACCCTGGGAGCAGTTGCGAGCGATGTGGCCGACCTGTTCTCAGGAGTTAGCAGATGTTCACTGTATCTGCGGTTTTGCTGAAACTGACCTGGCCGCACTTGTAGCACTCCTGACCACCGCCCATACCGGCACCACCGCGGGGGGCACCACCCTTGGGGCACTCGCGGGAGATGTGACCAGTCTCACCGCATCCGTAGCAGGACTTCTCCTTCTGGGGGTTGGTGCACTCGCGAGAGAGATGGCCCTGGCCACCGCAGTTGTAGCAGGTGGGGTTGCCCTTGGTGGGGCAGTCGCGGGCCTGGTGGGTAACGTCGCCGCCTGTAGTGAAAGAATGTCAGTCTGAGATAGGTGAAGTGATGGTTGAAGCCTTGAGCAAAGATAGCGCGCATCGTTGTTGGCAGTTGTCGAGCCAATTGCGCAGGGCAGCGTACTCAATGCTCGGGGTGAAGAAAGACGTACAGTTGTAGCAAGCACGACCTCCCATCTGGGGAGCGGGGGCACCGAAGTTCTGCATGTTGAAGGTGTTGTGTTGTGAGAAGATCTCGGGAGTGTGTGGAGATATTGAAGTGGTAGCAAAGAGCTGGTAAGTTTTGGTTGTGGTTGAAGGTTGGTGGAAGAAGTGGAAGCGACGAGAAAGAGGCGAGTGTGGAGGCAGAATCCGCGCTTCCTCCAGCAAATCTCGAACGGCAAGTCCGAATTGATGTGGATCAACGAAGCTTGGACCGTTCACTTTGGGCGGCCGAGGTCAGAAGTCCAGAACGAGCAGGCGGGGTTATGTTCACGAGTTTGTCGAGAGCCCACCAAATACTCGTCGGGAGTCCGTCAGAATTTTGTCGAGAGCTCAGCGATATTTTGTCGAGAGTCGTGGTGTTGGTCGTACCTTCCTGTTTGAGGATTCGATGCTGTGTTTGCGTTCGGCTGTCAGTCAGCCGCTCCCGTTGGCTCCTTCCTGCCTGCAGCATTGTAAGACAACGCATCGCAGTGCAGAGAGCCATGAGTTCGCAACATCATTCCCGTACAAACATCACCATCATCAACATCATCACCATCAGATATATTCCTCGTTCACGACATCAACTAGAGCATTTTCCTCGTTCTGGGGGTGGTGGATCTTCATCTTCATGCATCAAAATCTCTCTTCTCGTTCTCGTGATAAGCCATTTTCCTCGTCCTCGTGCAATTCTCTCCAAACGTGCTTCATACTGCTCGCACTTTCCCATCTCTCCAAAGCAAAAGCGTTGGTGTCTCCTGCATCATCTCAAAATGCAGCGCCGCCATCAGTCTCCCCAGCAAGCGCTCTCACATTCTCATCGGCCAGTTGCGCTCTGAAACTTGCAGTCTCGCTCTCGCGACTGAGCTTGGCCCATTCTTTCAATCCTTTGCGCTTGCGTTCTTGCTTGTCTTCTATGACTTGTCGCAACTTCTCCGCCTCGTCCTCCAGCTTGTTCAGGCGTCCTCTGTCGTAGAGCTCGGGTGCTTTGACTCCGCCGCTGATGACACGCGGAAGATCTGCAAGGTAGGCATTGCCAGGCTTCGGTCCCCTGTCGAACTCACCCATGCCACCCATGACCACGTCCGCTTTGGGTCCAGAAGGTAATGGTGCGCCGTTTGGTGCAAAGCGAGTAGTGCGTGGGTATGTTCCGGAAGTGTTTGCACCACCGCGAAGTGGGGGTGGTGGAGCATGGGAACTCATCGAACCACGAGGGCCTGAAGGTGGTACTGAAGCAAAGTCTTGGTCCCTGTTGTACTGTGTAGCATAACCGCCGCCACGGCCTCCGCGATAAGACGGCCCGCCGTAAGGTCCTCCTCTTCCTCGTGATCCATGGTAATCATTACGCGAGCCAAAGTCTCGTGGAGGATAATCCCTTTGGAATCCTCCTCTTCCCATCATGCCTCCTCTTGGATGTGTAGGAGGCGAGTTCGCCCTCAATCGCGGTCCAGTAGGGATAGGTGCGTCGCCAGTAGCTTGGGCGTATGATCTGGAAGCACCAGGACCTGTTGGCGGCGCTCTGACTTGCGGGGCGTCGTCTTGTTTTGCCGGGCCTGTCGGAGGGGCACGAGCGGCTGGACCAGTGGGTATCTCGCGCTCGCGAGGAGGTGTGGGTTCGCGCTTGACACGCAAAGGCGAGCGGACATCTGCTGGGGGTGCGATTGGTGATCTGGGACGTGAGGGAATAGGCGATCTAGGTCTAGAAGGAATGGGTGATCGAGGTCTCGAAACGACAGGCGATCTGGGCGGAGCGGGAGCTGGCGAAATAGGTCGAGGGACGCGATTTGCGAACAAGTCTTCTTTAGGCAGAGGGTCGATCGCGGCAAGTCTACTGGGGTGGATAGGTGGGGATGAGCGTCTTGAGCTGGTGACACTGGCAGCGCCAGAGTGTTCGTTCGAGATAAGATCAGGACGAGGTCTTTGTGGTGATGGCGAACGACGTCTCCAGTCGACCTTGCGTGGGTTGATGTTCTCATTGTGATGTATAGGCGAGCGTGACAAAAGACGGTAGCCGCGAGTGACACCACGAGGAGGAGTCAAGCGCATCTCTCGTCTATCGCGTCCAGGTCCAGGGCTAACGTCTCTCGATGGAGGATATGCATTGTATCTTGAGCGGGGCGGTGAATCCAGTCTCTCACGCTTGGCTGGGGGAGGAGGTGATCTTCTGCCACGGCTACCAGCAGGTGAAACATCACGACCACGCTTCAGAGGAAGAGGTGAACGATCGCGAGGAGCACGTACTGGTGAACGGGTGTTGTATGGCAGTGTGTCTCTGTGGAAGCGCGAGGGAGGAGGTGGTCGATAACTCTCATCTCTCATGAAACCGCCCCTCCTAGGTGGTGGTGAGCGAGCTCTTCCTCTATAAGAATCTCCTCCATCTCTGGGCCTAAATGGGGGAGGGCTTCGTGAGCGACGACGGAATGGCGGCGGCGAGCGGCTACGGTTTCTTGGTGGAGCGCGGTACGAGTCGACATATGCGTTTCCTCTCGGCGGAGAGCGAGGAGCGCGGTAAGTATCTGATCGAGGCACGGGAGAACGAGGAGGGCGATAGGATTGACCTCGGCCGTCACCGTATTGGTCTTCGCGAGGGAAGGGTCTGGATCAGGCATCAGTAAGAGCGGCGCTTGCAACGAGACCGCCGAGTGCATTACCTTCTGTCTCGGTCGCGATCCCTGTCCATGTTTGCTGCTTCTAAATGAAGCGTCTGTGTCGAAATCTTGTGACGAAGCTCTGGTGAGGCTGGCGTCAAACAAGGGACAAACAGAAGCGTCCGAGCGAGCTTCCAGTTTGCTTCCCCAGCTTTTCTCGACCCACGTGATATGCTTCCTGAGTGCCCTTATTAAGCTCCGAACTACCTCCCAAAGCCTTTCTGCCGGTGTACATGTATAGCCATATGACAGGTGAATTACTCATTCGAATGGTGGTCGTGTGTACTAGTTGGCTGGCCTCGGTATTGACCGATGTCCTAAAAGTTAGGCACATTCAACAAGGCAGTGCTCTCATCCAGGTGCACATCTGTTGCTGGTAATTCAGACTGGCTCATTAATCTGTGTGCTTCATTTGGTTTCGCTTGTCTTTAGCTGGGTAATGAGGCGCTCCATCCATAAGGCTTGGTCCAGAATGCAAGGTGACGACGTAGAGGTGGCTCCAGTGACCATGTCTTATCTCCTGCTGCTCCTGTTGTCGCCGCCTCCTCTTCTGCGATCATTCCTTTCCTTATCTTGCTTCAGCCTCTTGTTGCTCTCTTCGGCAATCATCTGACTCAAGTCTTCCTGATCCACTCTTCCCTTCCATTGTCCCTCGGCCTGTGCTTGTCTTTGAGCCTCGAACTGTCTTTGAATCTCATCCTTGCTCAAACGATCGTCTCTTTCAAGCGCATCTACGTCTACGCTGACGTCGATATCGCCAACCTTGCGCTTGCTTCCTCTGTTTTCTTGACCGAGCACCGGAAGATTTTGCTGAGCTGCGCGCATGTCGTATGCTCTCTCGCCTCCAAAGAAACCTTGAGCGCGAATGTTTTGCTCCGGTAGGACCTGGTACGCTGATCGAGGAGCACCGTTGTCTTCTGATTCGGGAGCTCTTGCGTTCTTGCGCAGTTCGAAGTCGCCTCCAACACTCTCGATTCCAATTTCCGTAGGAACAGCAGAGGCCATTCCGCTTGGCGTCTCGAGTCCAGCGCCGATCTCCTCTTCATCCATAGCTTCGTCACCATCCTCCTCTTCCTCATCTTCGTCCTCATCCTCCTCGTCCTCTTCCTCTTCACGTTCTTGAAGCTCACCCCACAGAGTCTTCTCTACCGGTGCTCCAGTTGGTGCTTCATCATCTTCCGCGCTGCTAACACCGAAGATGTCGCCACCGAACAGAGGACGGTTCGTGTGTTCGTCCACAGGAGGCTTACCATAACCACCAGGGTGAAATCCCCAGGATGCGCCCGGTGGTGGAGGAGCGTTCAAACCAGGAATCTTGAGGCCAGGGTATGAGGGAGGGGGTCCGAAACGTTGTTGATTGATAAGCCATGGCGGGGGAGCACCAGGTGGCATGTTGAGGGCTTCTCTCAGCTCATCACTCAACTCACCAGGTCGTAGATGGCGGAGGTTAGTCTCATACTCCTTACCCTCGTAGTAGACCTCACCGTAGCGGGTAAGCGGAGGCTTTGTTTGATGGCGGAAGAAGGCTTCGTATAGCTTTTGATAGTCAATGTCAAGCTTTCCGAGCTTTCCTTGTACTCTCTCGCGCTGCTTCTGTTTCAAGGTTGCCTCGGCCTGCTTCTCAAGCACGGCATCACGCATCTCAGCAATACCAGTGTCGGCGATAAACTTGGGCAGATTGAAGTGTGTCTTCTCGATACCACGCTTGGAGGAAAGGTATTCGCGCTTGAGGGCCCAATGTGATGGCACGGGAACAACATTGCGCTGCGACTTGATGCGCACAAGCAACAGCGGGTCCGAGGCGTCAATGTCTGTCCATTCAACCAGCTCGGGCTTGCGCACCAAACGCTTGAGCTCAGCGATGGTCAATTTGCTGGCGGCCTTGCGTGCCTTCTTTGACAATTTCGGCTGGTTCTCATCATCCTCGTCGGGAATGTCGTCGTTGTCGTCATCGTAGTAAATTTCAGGCTTCTCTTCCTCCTTGGTTTGTGATTTGTCCATGTTGTTGAACCTGGAGAGGACGCTCTGGAATTCGGCATACAAAGGGTCGTCTTCGGGGAGGGTAAAGTCGTCATTGGGTAGATCATTGTTTTGCATAGGATCATCGCGAGTGTTGATCTGAGCGTCGGATTGGCGGCCAGTTTCTAGCTTTGGGGTTTCTGCTTCGGAGAAGTCGGTAGACTCGGCGACGGAGGGAGTAGCAGACGCCTGTTTTACATGATTGTCAGACGAAGTTGAGGCGAAGCGATTGTGCACAAGGCTTACGGAGCGTTCTTTTTGAGCTTTCTTCTGTTGTCTGCGGAAGGCGTTCTTGCTGAGCTTCTTTGCGCCTGCGCCGCCATCGACAGCTGCGGCTGCCATCTTGGCTATTGATTGATCTGTCCTGGCTGTGCGTCGACGAAGATTGGCGCGAATCTGCTAGGGTATAATATGGTCCAAGAGCACAAATCGGATCAGAGGTAGTGAGGCTCGAAGGTGTCGTGGTGGTGGTGGTGGGTAGAGATGGATGACTTGTTGGTTAGACTTCGCTGTTGCTGCGTCAAGAAGATGCTCGGTTTGTCTTCGGCTTTTCGCGCCTCGTTCCTTCCTCTCCATAAAGCAAGAGACCATCAACGCACCATATCAATACTGGAACCCGTTCAACATGCCAGTCTTGTTGCTCGTACTCTCTACCGCTTTTCTCAATGCTGCAAGACACCCGTCGCAGACCCACCACGGGCTGATGCGGACCTTGTCTTGCGTCTTCTTGCACAGTCCCACTACATGTGCCGCACACGCTTCTGTCTTGTGAATATACTCGTGTTCGCAGCCCTCGTTCCTGACGATGATTCTGTTGCACATTGCTAGCAGTCTTCCGGTTGAGATGGCTTTATTCGTCAGAGATGGACTTGCTTCGACTGATATACTGAGTGTTGTTCGTTTGTTCTGACATCTCTTTGTCTGCGTTCGTCCTCTACTTCATGCGTGCCTTGTTCCGGCGCTACCACATGGGCCATCCCTTGCTTCGTAGTCTCATTGCATAATTTACCATACTCCGTGGGCCGTCTGTGTTGATACCCCTTGGCTTGTGGGACTACTGCCAACCGTGTGTGCCTCTTTTTGCTGCTTACCCTGGTATCAGCTTGCTTCTGCCAAATACTAACATCATCACGGACGGCGAGGCAAAGAAGAATTTTGTAACAACGAGCTTCAATGGTATAAAAGGAAAGGAACTAGTTACACATCATCGTCGCCGAAATGCAGGCGACTTGGCAAGGATTGACCCTGCTCCCATCTTTCGCTCATCTCCTTCGCTGATGCTTATGGCAAGAGTAGCAGAATCGAAGATTGAAAGAAAAGAACCAAAGAAATCAAAGAACAGAAATGTCGTGTGCCGCGCGCTCTTCGCCTTCTATTGTGCACGTTGGCCGTAATTTGGGTGTCGTTATCTTCGTTGGGGAAAAAAGCGCGAGTTGAACAGTTTTGAAGAGCTCCCATATGTTCAACCCTTCTCTTGCGCCCTTGTCGATGGCGCTATGCAATAAAATGCTGGAAACCGATCTCGTAGAAAAAGTACAGTGGTGAAGGTAGGGTGCGATCAGTAGTGTCCCATGTTGGACGACTGAGAGCCCTGAGAAGCATGGCCGAACTGCTGGTAACCGAAGCCGTTGCCATTGCCGTTGCCGTTGGTCTGCTGCTGGAGAGGCTGAGCAAGCATGGTGTTGATAGATCCGTGGTGGCGGTTGTGAGCATTGGGAGAACCCATAGTGGCAGCACCGTAGCCACCGACTTGGTGACCAACAGGGCTGTTTGTGCTAGTGTAGGAGGTAACGGTGTTGGATCTGCTGGTGCGGAAAGGAGTAGCGTTGTGCTGGCCAGGAGACATGACAGCAGGAGGCGAGACCGATCCAGGCATGCCGTTGAGCTGGTTGTCGTAGTCCTGAATCTTGCTAGAGATACGACGGCCGTAAGGAGTGTGACGGATTGACTGAAGGATAGGGCGGATGTTGTCGATGAGACGAGCCTTGGTCTCAGGATCGGCATAATCCATGGCAGTCTGGACGACATAGTTGGCGTACGAGTCGCGGAGCAACTTCTCGAGGTCGACAGGATTCATAATCTCGTCGATGAGGGCGCGTCTGGTCACCTCGTCACCAGTGCGAATGGATTTCTCAATGACGTTTGAGCTGAACTTCTGTCTCGAGAGAGCAGCAACGTTACCGAGGAAGCTCTGAGCCAGAGGCTGGGAGAAGGTAGGCTCACCGAGGTCGAGAATGTACTGGACGACGTAGTTGCCGAAGGGATCCTGAACGAGAGTGAAGGCGTTCATAGTGATGTAGTGAACAAGCTGGCCCTTTTGGTGGCCGGAAGCGTGGTCAATGCAACGCTGCAAGACGCAGCAGCCATGACGATGGGTACCAACAATGACACAGCTAGTGCCAACAGCATCGAAGATGAACTGGGCGTCCTCAGGCGACAGGTGGTTGAGACACTTCTGGATGACGTGGTTGCCGTTGAGGTCTTGAATGAGAGGGACGACATCATATCTGAGAGCCTCGGTGATGACCTGAATCTGCTCAGGGGTCGAGATAAACTCGATCATCTTCTGCAGGGCGCGAGTACCGTGCTGGTTGAGTGCAATCTTGACCATGGAGGGTGCGGCTGCGCGGATGAGAACGGTGCGCTGATCATCGTTGGCATGCTCGAGCAGCTTCTGGCAGAGGTAGTTGCCGAAAGGATCTGTGCAAAAGTTAGCCAGTGCGCGGCCAAGAAAAAGCGTAGACAAGCAACTCACCAGTCATCAATTCGATCATGTGAGGGTTGGTCTCCTCGAAGATGAGTCTGATGTTCTCAGCATCACCCTCTTCCAGCTTCTTCTGCAGGTAACGGCAGCCGTGTTGATCCTTGCAAAGAGTGTAGATCTCGCCGACGAGGTCCAGCAAGTTGACGTTGGCGTAACGGGAGTTGTCTGAATCCATGTTAGCTTGAAGCGTGGTGAGTGAGCAGAAAGGGTTGAAAACACACCATCTCCAGCCTGGCTGCGGCGAGGCTGCTGCATAACGCGGGGCTGGTTGTCGTTGAAGCGGGCGGGGCTTTGCTGGGTGTGCTGTTGAGCGTAACCACCACCAAAGCCGTGCTGCTGGAAGCCTGGCACCTGTCCCCACTGGCCACCACCTGGGTAGCCAAGGTTCATCTGGTTGAAGCCGTTGCCCAACATGTGCATGCCATAGCCACCATAGTATGCTCCGGGACCGAAAGTCTGCATCGAAGGAGGGCTGATGTGGCCGTTGCTGGTGCCGTTCAAGCTGCTACTGTGAGCGCGAGCAGGTTCGAATGAAGGCAAAGTAACCGAAGGTCCGAAGGGTGCAGCACTGGCTTGGAGCGCCGATCTCTGAGAAGAAGATGGGTTGTTGAGCTCCTCGGGCTTGACCTGTTCTTGGACCTGGCGAGCAGGAGTGTGGAAGCCGTTCTGGTGACCGTTGCTGAGGATAGCCGTCTGACGAGCAGGAGAAATGAACTCAGGGCGAGGACTCTGGACAGCACCCGAGTTTTCCGAGAAGTTGGCAGCGTTTGTGCTCTTGAGAGTGGGAATGTCGTTGGTCGAGTAAGAGCCCTGCAACTTGGGCACACCGTTCGAGCCAACACTCTTGGGCGAGGCCAACAAACCAGGACGCTTGGGTGTGGCGAGACCGCTGAACTTGACCTCCATAGATCTTCTGTTGGCGGCAGTGTTCTTGACAGTGTTGAGCTCGGTCAAGATGCCATTGAGAGGAGACATGGAAGCATCGACATGACCAGGCTGGCGCATGGCACTGGGAGGAAGAGACTGTCTGTTGGTACGGGTAGCGGTAACACGGTCCTGATTGTCTGAACCATTCTGCTGGGACTTGGCTAGCTCCATGGCTGCAGCAGAAGCGGAAAGCTGCATGCCCTCGCCATCGCGGCGAATGAGGACGGGGAACTTGTCATCGCTGGCCTGGTACTGGAGATAGTGTTTGGCATCAGGCGATGATGCCGGGTTCTGGACATGGGCAGACTTGTGATCATCCTCGTCACCAAACAAGAAGCCGGTGGTGTTGACTGATCCGAGAAGGGTAGACAACTCAGCCATCTTGACAGGCATGGAGTTACGATTGAGGCTGCAAGAGGTGGATGTTAGAAGAGGAAGATGAGATCGTTGTGAGAGATCGTTGGTGATGTATAAGATCGTGGAAGTGTTTGAGGGAAGAGGAGCAGTGATCACTGGCCAGCAGTGTGAATGGGAAAGGGTGAACAGATAGAACTGATGTCTTATCTGAGAGGAGATGGAAGGTGTGGGGTCTGAAGCAAAAGGAGGAAGGTGGCAGAGCTGGTGTATGAGTGGATTTAAGTGTGCTGAAGGGGGTGGAGTGAATAAGTTTCAGCGTATTGTTAAACTCCGAAGGGGACAATTAACCACTCGTATTGAAGCCAACTATTGATAGTACCCGGCGGGTGATCATATGGCAGTGAGGTGTGAAGACGGGATCGGAGCTTTGGGACAATAGCAGAGGGGAAACACGGGACATACTTTGCAGCGCGACGATTAATGTCCGCGAATGAATAGGTACTATCTTCCTCGTCTTCGTCGGAGCCACGTCGTGAAGCGGGAACCGATCTAGATGGAATAGAGGTTGAGTGTACGTGGGAAGTGATTGGTCTCGAGAATGTTGCTTGAGGAGACGCAAGCTGAGAGCCTGAACGGCTGGGACGGATCGGGAAACCAGGAGGAGAAGCCATACTAGCGGTGGACAGGCGAGCACTGTTTACGCGGTTGACAGAGCTGTAGTACTCGGGTGGTGTGGTGGGTTCGCTCAGGTGTCCAGCGGTAAACATGGTGATATCCTGCTCCAGTCTCTGGTGTTCGTCAACCTCGCGACGAGTCTCGGGGTCAATCATTGCCATCTGAGCTTGGATACGACGCTGCTGGGCGAGAAGCTCCTCGTACTGACGGGCTTTTCTCTCGGACTGAGATATGTTAGCACCCGTCGTGGAAGGAATGTGAGGTGCAAATTATTTCGACGCAACGACGATTCGCAGCGGGAGAAGCAATGAAAAAAAAGCGAGCGGCAGGTAGCAGCCCATTCTGAAGTCAGGGGGGTCTGACACATGTCTTGAGAAAGTCACAGAACAAAAATACATCTCTACGCTTCAAACTCGGGACAAAATTTAATGCTCAACCAAAAACACGAGAGACAGATCGCAAAGCGTAACAGTTCAAAAGACAGAGATAGCGGAGAAGAGCGGACTTACGGGAGTGATCTTGTTGAAGGCCTGCAGCACAAGTGGTCTGTCAGCATGTATTCTTTGACCAAAGGTATTCTTTCGACCATGCTGTCACACTGCACAGGCAGCGGCAAGCCGACTTAGCACAACTACCACAGCATGGTACGTGTATGCACAGCTCTGTAGCTGGATATAGACAATCCTCCTCTTTGACAACAGAAAAGTATGAGAAATGGGCTCACGGTCATGGCGGGATCGGCAGCCTGGCGTCTCTGCTGAGCGATGGGCGACAAGGTGGGCAGCGCATTTGTGGTAAAGCGGCGTTGTAGACTGGCGCGACCCTCTGCAGCAGTAGCAGCCAGGCTGAGGTTCCGTAAGGGCGACAAGGGCGAAGGAAAGGTGGTGGCAGATGTTGGATAGGGCGCATCTTCTCGTGGAGACTGCTGCGCACGATACAGCAGCCCGCTGTCGGGTCGGTCTGACAGGCCCTTGGAGAAGGCCATGGTGATACAGATACGAGCGTCCTGCTGTGCTGGTTAGTACTGCGACTCGTGGACAGACGACAGGCCAAAGCACTCACGTATCGCAGCTACTCGAAACAGGCGGTGACTTGAATGTGGGGGCTGGCGCTTTGGTTCAAGGGGTCCAGGCAGAAGAGGCACGGCAATAGCGAAGGTGCTGCTGTCTCGAATCGTACATCCAAGGCAAGCCTTGGGCGCTCAACAGTAGAATACAGACCCCACACTTCCAATCATACACCACGCGCGAACAGAAAGTAAGAATGAGCGACGGCGAGGAAAGAAGAAGCTCGAGAGTCAGATGCACAGCACGTTGCCAGCCTGCCTAAGTTGACTGTGGAGAAAGCATCAAGCCTCGCCGTCGGTCGGCTTTGACGCCGCGGTTACTAACGTCCAAGCGTGCTCCAACAGAGCATGGCGTCCGATGATGCATCGCCGACCTGTTCTTTGTCGACGCTGTTCCCTCATGCAGGGCAAACACCACCAGCATGCTGACCTGCTTTTCGCCTGGTTCCGCTGCCTATCAGGCACTAGTCCTCACATGCTCATTCCGCTATCACGCTCGGGTGTTTGCTGTCTGTACACGTGCTGCTTCCTGAGCCGTCTAGACTCGGTCTGCTTCTTGCTCATGCTTTGAATACATGACACGGTGCTACTCGGCTCTGTCGCCATCCAACACATCACATCTCTGTGTCCCGCGTGCATTGAGGGTTTTTACTGTATTTGGCAGGTGGGAATGTGGAAACTACAGAGCTAAGTTGTTCGTCAGATTAAGGGATTGATTTGGCCGAGTTAGGCTCCCGATCAGCAAGCGCCATGTACAAGACACATCAAATCCTTCTGACACCGTATAGCGGTGAGTGCATCTATAGCCATTTAGCAAAATCACACAAACTATAGCAAACAGTTCCATCTATCACTGCCAACTTCCAACGCATGTCTCATAAGTTGTTCGAACAGGTAGACCGACATTGAATTTAGCCAAAGGTTGCTGTCAGCATGATAATTGGCGAGACCCTGTCCGGCAGCCACTCGGCAGCTTTGCCGAGAGGGCTGGCTTCCGTCTTCCGCTTTGGCAGCTTTGACCCAAGAAGAATCTAGAGAAGGCAAACTCGCTCGTGAACATTCCCTTCGAAGGCGCGTACTGCTGTCAAATAGTCCTCGTATCTTCTGAAAAAGAAGGACGCTGTATATTCGAGGTGCTGCGAGTGACCGAGCCATACATAGCGCCGCCGTAGCGCAAGTCGCGCGTTCCTGACAGTGGCTCATCCAACTTTTTGACCCCGCCACTTTTTTTTCCGCGACTGGTCCATCGCATCGAGAGCTTTGCATCAGCCGAGTGAGGACCTCGCGCTTTGGCGAGAGCATACTAGCTCTGTGATCAGCTACTCGCATCTAGTGTATTAGATCTTGACCGTGATCGCGAAAATGCCTCCCAAGGCTCGCGTTGCTGCGCCCAAGGTAACTTCATAACAGGATCGAGCTGTTGACTCGATGCACGACTGACCACTTGCAGGCTCAGACGAGAAAAGCATCAGCTGCGGCAAACACAACACCGGGGACATCTGATGTGAACTTGCAACCACAGGCCCCTGTCGATGGAGAAACTGCCGCTCAGGATGCCTCCGCTATGCCACCACCAGCCAGAAAGAGGCGGCACTCTCATTCGACTGACCCCGTAAGAATTCAGTTCATCGGCCAGTTTGACAAGAAGCTAACTTCCCGCAGTCGGACACATTACTCGAACCCTTCTACTACGGCAAAGGCTTGACAGATCCTATCAATACTGCAAGGGTGAGTTTGCAAGGTATTTCACAAGCTCTGATCACAAGGAATTGACAAACCCAGGACAAATGGAACCTTCTACCAGCTTTCCTCAAAGTCAAGGGTCTGGTGAAGCAGCATATCGACTCGTATAACTTCTTTGTCGACACCGAGCTCAAGACCATTCTCCGCGCCAACGCTACAGTTCACAGTGATGTTGACCCTAACATGTTCATTAGATACACCGACATTCGAATTGGCAAACCGGAACGCGTCGAGGATCGCCATAACACGGTGCCTGGTCTGTCTGGTCCTGGAATCACTCCTCATGAATGTCGTCTTCGTGATCTGACCTACTCGGCTCCAATCTACGTCAACTTCGAATCCAGATCGCAGAGTGGTCTGAAGATGGAGCGCAACGTCTACATCGGCAGAATGCCTGTCATGCTCAGGAGTAACAAGTGTGTCTTGTCCGGCCGCTCAGAAAAGGAAATGGGTCTTCTCAACGAGTGCGCTGTCGATCCTGGTGGTTACTTTGTGGTTCGCGGTCAAGAAAAGGTTATCCTGGTTCAGGAACAACTGAGCAAGAACCGTGTCATTGTTGAAATGTTCAAGGGAATCATTCAGGCCTCTGTTACCAGTCACACTGCCAACGTCAAGACAAAGACTTATGTTTTGCTCAAGAAGGGTCTGATTGTTCTCAAACACAACTCTCTTACGGAGGACATCCCTGTTGCGATCGCTCTCCGAGCTATGGGCGTTCAGTCCGACCACGAAATCATGCTTTTGGTTGCTGGCGACGATGCCGTATACCAGGACGAGTTCTCTGTCAACCTCGAGGAAGCGGCACGCTCTGGAGTGTCTACACAGGAACAAGCGCTGGAATACGTTGGAGCTCGCCTACGGCCTGAGCGCTTTGGCCAATATGGAGTGCCAAAGAAGACTAACAAGCAAAACGCTGTTGAGAAGTTGTCTAACACGATCATTCCTCACGTCGGCGTGACGGCCATGAACTTCCGACCAAAGGCTCTTTACATTGCATTCATGGTCCGCAGAGTGCTCATGTGTATGCACGACCCAAAGTTGATCGATGACCGAGATTATCTGGGTAACAAGCGTCTGGAACTCTCAGGATCAATGATGGCTCTGTTGTTCGAAGATTTGTTCAAGGACTTCAACAAGCTTATTAAGCAAAGTTGGGACAAGGTCTTGAGGAAACCGAACAGGACTCGTGCCTTCAACCCGGCAGACTACATCACAATGCACGAATCTCGCATTACTCAGGGCCTGGAACGTGCTATCTCGACCGGTAACTGGACTTTGAAGCGTTTCCGTATGGATAGAGCTGGTGTTACCCATGTCCTGAGTCGCCTGAGTTTCATCGCTGCTCTTGGTATGATGACCAGAATTTCGTCACAGTTCGAAAAGACCAGAAAGGTCTCCGGTCCTCGTGCACTTCAACCTTCACAATTCGGTATGCTTTGTACTTCAGATACCCCTGAAGGTGAAGCCTGTGGTCTGGTCAAAAACCTGGCGCTGATGACACATATTACCACTATGGACGAGGAAGATCCTGTTCGCAAGATGATTTTCGTGCTTGGTGCCGAGGACGTTACATCTGCAAGTGGTACTGAACTTTACGCCGATGGAGCTTACATTATCTTCCTCAACGGTACACCTGTAGCCTTGACTCGCGAACCCAAGCGCTTCCTGCTTGCTTTCAGAAGATTCCGTCGCATGGGAAGAATCTCTGAATTCGTCAGCATCTACATCAACCACCATCACAACGGTGTACACATTGCGACCGACGAGGGTCGTATCGTCCGTCCACTTATCATTGTCGAGAAGGGCAAGTCAAAGGTCACAACACGTTATCTCGAATCCCTCCGCAAGGGCACGCTCGAATTCGATGACTTCCTCTCTCGTGGATTGGTGGAGTACCTTGACGTTAACGAAGAAAACGATTGTAACATTGCAGTCTACGAACACGACATCAACCAACACACTACGCATCTTGAGATCGAGCCTTTCACCATTCTGGGTGCTGTCGCTGGTCTGATTCCCTACCCTCATCATAACCAGTCTCCTCGTAACACCTACCAATGCGCTATGGGTAAACAAGCTATCGGTGCGATCGCATACAACCAGCTCACACGAATCGACACTCTTCTCTACCTCATGGTCTACCCACAAAAGCCTATGGTCAAGAGTAGGACAATCGAGCTTATCAAGTACGACAAGCTTCCTGCCGGTCAGAACGCTATGGTTGCGGTCATGTCCTACTCTGGCTACGATATCGAGGATGCTCTAGTCCTCAACAAAGCCTCTTGCGATCGTGGTTTCGGACGCTGTCAGGTATTCAAGAAGGTTAGTATGCCTTTGAAGCAATACCAAAACGGCCAAACCGACCGCATCGGCGACCGCGACCCTTCCAACCCACGTCACAAGAAGATCGGTAACGACGGTCTCATCGAAGTCGGCGCAGAAATGGAATCAGGCGAATGCTACATGCTCAAAGAAACACCAGTGAACCAAGGCATCAACACACAAAATGCTGGATGGGCACCCCAACACATGTCCTACAAACTGCCCGACCCGGCCTATGCAGACAAAGTCATGATCTCGGCCAATGAGTCTAACACACCCATCATCAAGATCCAAACACGCCAGACCCGCCGTCCCGAAATTGGTGACAAGTTCTCCTCTCGTCACGGACAAAAAGGTGTCACCGGTCTGCTTGCAGAACAAACAGATATGCCCTTCAACGACATGGGCATCTGCCCGGACATCATCATGAACCCCCACGGTTTTCCTAGTCGTATGACCGTAGGCAAAATGCTTGAGCTCCTCTCCGGAAAAGCGGGAATTCTTCGCGGCGGTCACGAATACGGAACTGCCTTTGGCGGCTCCAAAGTCGAAGACATGGGCGATATTTTGATTTCTCATGGTTTCAGTTACTCGGGCAAGGATCACTTGACTTCAGGCATCACTGGCGAATCTCTACCTGCCTACGTCTTCATGGGACCCATCTACTACCAGAAACTCAAGCACATGGTTCAGGACAAGATGCACTCTCGTGCCACCGGACCTCGCGCAATCCTGACTCGTCAACCTACCGAAGGTCGTTCGCGCCAGGGAGGTTTGCGTCTCGGAGAAATGGAACGTGATTGCTTGATCGCCTACGGTGCCTCTCAGCTTCTTCTCGAGCGTCTGATGCTCAGTTCAGACGCCCATGAGGTTGATGTGTGCGAGACTTGCGGTATGATGGGATACCAGAATTGGTGTCAGAGTTGCGAGAGCTCGAGAGGTGTGGTGAGGATGACGTTGCCGTATGCGGCTAAACTTCTCATTCAGGAGTTGTTGAGTATGAATGTCAAAGCGGCGTTGAAGTTGACGGATGAGTTCCCTAGGGAAGAGTAAGTGGAGAGGTGGCCAGGGGATGGAGAATAAAGGGGATGATGAATTGGCAAAGAAGGAGGAAGGAGAAAGCATAGCATGGATTTTCGTGTCTTCTTTGATGTTTCTCTTCTGTACTTTTGGTATGTAAGAATTGGCATTATATGCTCCTTTGCACTTGGTAAACGTGATTCAGGCTATCATGCATGGGTATCTCGCTGTCAGAGCGTGAGGTTGGCGGCTAAGCTCTCATGCAGTTGGGCTTGGCACAACATTTGCCAATGGCTTGTTTCCATGCACACCTGGTAATTCCCAAAAAGTTGTCCATTGTCCAACCTCTTGATGAGTCCGATGGTTCTGGATAGGCAAGCGACTCTTCGTTTGCTATCACAGCCACTATGCTTCGCGCACTCAAGCGATGGACTCGGCTCGGACGATGGCAGCCCCTGGACTTCAACAACCCGAGTTTCGCCCGTATACCTCCCAATGAAGCTATTGAAGAAGAGACCATTCCCGACTACGTTGCTTCACGATACTATCCAGTCCGTATAGGCGAGGTATCCCAGGACCGGTACCAAGTTGTCAGTAAACTTGGTTTCGGAACCAGCTCAACCGCATGGCTCGCCAGGGACTTGAAGTAAGATGCATCTCATCGTCGCAAAACGCAATTGTATACATACAAGTCGTTGACCTTTTTCGCGATGAACAGCTGTCGTCGATATGTGACTCTGAAGATGCATATCAGCTGTGCTGCACTTGGAAAACATGTGGATGACGAACTAGAGATGTACCGACGCATTGCCAAAGGCCCAGAAAGTCACCCTGCTCGTCAAGCTGTACGGTCTGTTCTTGATTCCTTCCATGTCGACGGTACAGGCGAGCAACATCGCTGTCTAGTTCATCCGCCTCTTGGTGACAGTCTTTCGGATCTCCTGCGCCGCAATCCGGTGAGGCGGCTGCCTAGACCCATCCTCGCATTTGTTCTCCATCGTCTGTTTCTGGCTCTGGATTATCTACACAGGGATTGCCACGTCACTCATACAGGTACTTACTGTCGATCTTCCTTGACCATATTTCCCCACTGCTTGCGTGAACACGATGGATGTGCTGATGTTGTATGGATGTGCAGACATCAAGCCAGACAACATCATGTTTTCCATCCCCAACGATTTGGTCTTTGAGGAGCTCGAGCAAGATGAACTCCGTAACCCCTCTCCGAGGAAGGAGTTGAACGGAAGAACAATCTACCTATCCAGCGAGCTCGGTACGCCCACGGAATGGGGGCCATCTGTGTTGTGTGACTTTGGCTCTGCTGTGCTCGGCAGTGTCGAGCACACCGAAGATGTTCAGCCTAACATCTATCGAGCGCCAGAAGTCATCTTGGAGGCCCCTTGGGGATATAGTGTTGATGTGTGGAATGTGGGATGTACGGTGAGAGTTTATCCTCCCTTCCGCTCCTTCGTTTGCTCTTCTTGTTACTCTTCTCCTTACCTTTCCTCTAATTCTTTCTTGTGCTCTTCCTTCTGTAAAAAGATCTGCGCCCACGGAACTCAATTAAACTGATCCGTCCACAGATTTGGGATTTGTTCGAGGGCGAATCGCTGTTTTCGGGTCATGGTGAGCAGGAAGACGAATATCGCAGTCGAGCTCATCTGGCCGAGATGATATCTCTCCTCGGTCCTCCTCCACCGACTCTGCTTGCACGAGGAACGGCCACTTCTAAATTCTTCTCCAAGGACAGTGAGCCTCCCTTCCCTCTGAAACCTTCCAGACGAAACACAGACATCCCTGAATCGGGCAAAATCCTGCAGTATCTGACAAACTTTTTGCTCCCAGGTAATCTCATCACCACCGCCACATTATCGAAACCAAGGCCATTGGAGCTGCGTGAAAACGTCCTCGAAGGAGAAGACAGGGCAAGCTCTTTACGTTTCGTGAGCAAGATGTTGCGGTGGGACACCAGTGAGCGAAGTCACGCTCATGAACTCATCGACGATGAATGGATACATGGCAAAAACTGATGGTACAGAGACGAAAGAGCCAAAACACAGAATATGAAAAAGGTTCAAGTCACGGGTGAGCAGGAATGCTGCATGGTTGTCGAAGGAGCGAGCAAGTCATCACGAAACTCAGGACAGGTCTCCAGGAAACAACTCTGGCAGATCTCTAGGGTGAGAGAAAAATCAAGGGTGCATTGATTCTTCTTGATTTTTCCTAAGCAAAGGGGTTCCATCCACTTTCAACCATCTCAACAGTCCTTTTGGTAGCTTGATCCAAGTCTTCGCTAGCCAACCCCAAAGCCTCATTGTCCAACCCATGACTGCTCTCGAAATCGCCACTGCCGTCTGTGTAGAAACATCTTGCGTACATTGCTGATTTGTACCTGTTAGTTTCATGTCTCTGCTGAAGGGAATACCACATACCTTTAGCAAAAGCCCTCTGATCTCCATTCTTGACAGCCTGCATGCTCTCCTCGTAACGCCGCTTTGCAGATTCGTGCTCAATCTCCCAATCCTCATCACTGGTTCCTAGAACTCTATGCACCGAGTCCAACATCTCCCTCTGACTGACTCTGAAGCTAGAAACGTAAAAACTCTTATTCTTCCACTTCTCCTCCAACTCCTGCTCTGGCAACGAAACAATGTTCGCAACAGCCTTGCCACACAACTCCCAGGTCGACGTATTAATAGCAGTGTTTCCATCATCGTAAAACACCGCTCTCTTGGTTTGCAAATCGATTCCGTAGAGTGAGGGCACGCCCAGACTCCACTCGTACCAAAAGCCACAGACCAGCGAAAAATGCATCATGCCCAACTTTTCAATCTGGGAAAAGTAGCCTTGTGCGAGGCCAGAAACATCGATCGAGGCAATGAGCGCGGGATTGCGGAAATCGAATCCATAGGCATTGGGAATGATGTATTTTATCCCGGCGGCAGCGGCGGCGGAAACGAGGTTGGAGTGCACGTGAGGAGGGGTGCCGACGGAGAGGGTGATGATGAGGATATCATGGCCTTGGAGAGCTTTTGTGAGATTTTCGATGTTGGAGTAGTCGACTTTGGCGATGATGACGGCGGAAGGAAGGGAAATTGTGCTGGTGGGACGGGTGAGGGCGGTGATGGAGTGGTTGCCAAGGGCGAGGAGTTCGGTGAGGATGTGATGGCCTATGTTTCCTGTAGCCTGTCACAGTTTTCAGATATTTGCGTAAGAGAGGCGTGTAGAGAGTGTTAGAAACTCACGCCTACAATGGCTACCTTCTTGAGATAGGAAGGCATGGTTGATACGATTAGATTTGGCTGAGGAAGACTGATTATCTCTTGCTCCTTTTGAATGTGTTCTGATAATTTATTCTCAATGTATGATGGATGTACCGCTGCTTTTATATGTTTCTTTGATCCTCCTGCTCGAGGTGGAGTGAGTGTATGCTACAGTCGGATATAAAGACTTCCCAATGGGGCGATTCCTTCGGAGTTGGCCAACCCCGCCGAATCAAAATCCGGGTCCGGCGGAGGAAATCATTCTACCGACCTGCATAACAGACCAAACAGAAGCAATGTCTGGCAATAAAATCATGACAAAGCAATCGTCATGGGAAGGATACGTGCAAAGTAATCGTCACGAGAGAGGAAGGTACGATTCTGAACGGAGGAATCAACTCCACGAACAACTTCAGACAGCGACAATTCTGCACCCTTCCTCACCTCTCCAGACCCGCCGTTCCTTTCTCGTCAACCCTTCTTTGCCTGCTTCAAAGTCTTCAACCGTCTCTACCTCCTCGCCAATCTCTTTGACGTCTTCAGGCACTGCCAATGCAATCTCTTCTATCAGAGCACTAATCTCAAATTCACCACTGACCAAAGGGCAGATGCCAACTTCAGCAGTGATGAAGGCATGTGGAGCAAGAACAGGCAAGCATTGCTGCAATACACCACTGAACAGCAAGCGGCGAGAGATATCCAGACTGGCTTCTGCAGAAGTTTGATTTGCGAGTGTGGGTTGAAGACGCAGGAGCGCTTTTACAGAGGCATTGCTCCTGTTGTGTATAGTCGTGCGTAGTGTCAACAGACTTTCTGCTTTGACGATGAACTTGCTGCGGCCAGTCTGTTCAACATGCTCGTTTTCTGTAGCTGCAATAGACATGGAGATGTTGACGTCTTGAAGACGTATGGTTTCAATCATCTTCTGACTCAGTCTTAGACCACGGAGATCGATGCTGCCGTTTCGGTCTGAGCCTTTCTCCTCCCATGTGCCGCGAAGGTACTTGAGTACTTCCTCTCGGAACCAGAAATGTTCTCGTGTTGCGCGCTCGAGATCGGCAGATACGGGTCCGTCGGCAGAAACAACAAACTGACGTTGATTCTGCTGGGAGAGGATTGGAATGGGTGCGTGAGGGTTGACAATGTGCAGGCGAGGCAGCAGTAACACAAGACGAGCCACATGACCAGGGTGAATGACTTCATGAACCGTGTAGGCGCGGTCCCAGCTTTTGTCTGAAGATGAGGAACGCACCTGTACCGATACAGTCAATGGATTTGGCCACGAATTGCGCAGGTCGAGAAGGAGTAGACAATGTTCTTCATTGCTCGATTCCAAGCCCACACGATCTAGCAATGTGCGGAAGCGGTCGTTGCCCTTCTCTACCGGATGTGATGGCGACCGCGGTGTTTTCGGCCGTTGACCTTGTTCCTGCAGCCCTCGGTTCGTCCAGGCAAAGTCGGCGGGAAATTCGCTGAAATCCATTCGGTGGAGTTGGATACTTGCATTGACAGTAATATCGATTGGTACTGCGACTTGGCGAGTGAACGCCCGGCCTTCGACCTCCGAAAAAGGCTTTCCCAGATATGCGTAGTCGAACATGATCTTGGCGGCTGCAAGACCTGGCTTTCCGAGTACGGTGATGTCAAAAGTTGCCTTCTCTCCTGGCAAAATGGTCATGTCTTGGCCACCATTTGATCGAGCCCATGTAAATGTAGGATTGTTGGACAACTCAAGCTCAAGTCCATACATATCTGGCTTGGTCAACTCTTTGGCTGCTAATGCGGTGTGGATAGAGGACGTCAAAGAGTCGTCAAACGATATGTGAAGGAAGTCAACGGTGACTTGTGATGATGTGTTTCGTAGAGAAATTTGGAATGTTTTCTTCTGGCCTTCGAGAACCATTAAAGCAGACTCGGAGAGGTCAATGCTGTCAACAACAACATGTGGTTGAGATTGAATGGCAACAGCTGCAACGATGGTCGATTTAGGGAGGACAGGTCTTGCTGAGCGGCCCTTGGAGACTCTTGACTGCGCGGTAGCAGATGCTGACTCACGAGCCGCGAGGCCAAGCTCCTTCATCTTGATAGGAAACTCTGGTTTCCAAGTCGACTGATGGATGGGGAAGACTTGCTCTTTGCAGCCAAACACCTGGATAGAGCATCCGATGATACGAATATGGCCCTCTTCCTTGGCGCGTCCAGTTATTATAACATCTTGCAGTCGAGCAGGCCCCAAGACAATGGTACGATCGTCGACCTCGACGGAGGGGCCATCGGTGACTAGAGACAAATGCTCAATGCGGATCTCAAAATCGTATGGATTTTGCAAGGTAACAACAAGCTCGGCCGGCTCGCCAACAACGACAACCTTATCTTCTGTCTTGTGGATCTCTTTGACGAAGGGGTTGTACAAAAATGGTGACTTCCCAGGCTTGTTGTCGGTGTCAAACAGATCAGACCTGTGACGCTCTCGCAGCTTTTCTTTGTTTGTATCGTCAGTCCATTGGACATCGCGAACAAGAAAGTCGTCCCAATATGAAGTTCGAACTTCTGGTAGGCCGATCTTGTCCGCAGCGTTGATCGTTCTTGCCATATTGGAGACTAACCTGAGTTGCTCCTCTGTGACCATCGTGACACGGCGGTTGTGCTCATGCGCAGTCATGGTGCCTTGCGGACCAACCACTCGTAGCAACAAAGCAGAAAAATGCACGACGCCAGGTAAATCTGGCATTGCCTCACAAAAATCGATACACGCTCTGAGTATATCGATCTTTAGATTGATGCTGCCGAACGATTTCGTTCCAGCCGACTGGGTAGCCAACGCAATCGTAGCATTGATCATCACATCCAGAACGTTTTCTTGCTCACTTTCTGACGCCTCATTTTTCGAGTCGAGATGTTTTCGATCACGAGCACCATATACAGAATGTAGATCGCGTAGAATATTTCCAAGGCCCACTTGTTCATCGTTGTCTTCTGCAGTGGGCATTCCAGCACCAAAGGCAGCAGACAGACTTGCAGCAGGGTGTATACCCATCTCAGCGGCACCTACTTTTCTGGCTTGCACCAATGCTGGTACAAGAAGGGTAATCATCTCCTTTACAACGACAGCTTTCTTTCGCTCAAAACCAAGCATGGAAAGGACAGAGACTATGCCTGACTGTATGGCTATCGTATCGGCAATGGGAACGCCAGCACTTGGCGGAGGGTATGCACGAATAGCCATATCAGCAATGGCATGCTTTGAGTTTGCACCAGAGAAACCAGCATTGACTTTTGGTTGATACAAGGAATAACTTGATGTGGATGCGATCTTTTGCAGTATGGTAGAGTCTAGCTCACCGCCTGCATTTTGTAGAAAGGCAAGCAACTTTGAAAGTCTCAAGACACTTTCCGAGTAAGCAACGGGAGACATGGGCTCACCAGCTAGTGTGCTCGTTCTCTCGTATATAGATATGATCATAGGTATCAAATCGGGAAGTAGTCTGGAGGCTCTTGACGCGGCTTGCTTGGCGGCAGCAGGGTCTTGCTGGCCTATGGGTGGTACGCCATCTCTGGTGATGGCCGAGGAGATGATGGACGAAGATCTATCGGGACCAGAATTGCAGATGGCAGGGATTGGAAAATCGAAGCCAGACCAGATGAGCAGAAGCATACAGACTACAATGCTCTCCAGGCCCTTTGCATACCACAGATAGTCAGAGGCGGTACGAGCCTTGTTTGTGTACTCGACAAGCTCTCGCCAGGCATCGTTCCAGCGTCCAGCTAACATGTACAGATTGCCGACAACAATGCCAACTCTTGCTTTGCCTTTGTTTCTTGCTCTTTCTTGGGCGCTGTTGGAAGCGAACGACTGGGTGGACATGCGATCCCTATTCGCAATCTTGCCGCTGTCTGATCTTGTGTGCGCGCCCATGTCATCAAAGTTGGTAGGTGGACCCCGAGGTGGGGGAGTTTCGGAGGGCGACATAACGGCAGAAGAATCGGCGGGCGACGCTGGTCGTGGAGATTCGATGCGTAACGACGAAGAGCGGTCTAGCTGCGGACGAGAGATGGGAGCGCCTGGTGACTGAACGCTTGGGAGAGCTTGAACGGCTGTGGCATAGGTCCCCATCTCGGAGAGCAGCTTAGCAGAAATATCGCACATGATGGTGTTCATGGTAGTTGTCTTTGAGGCATGCGATGGTGGAACACAGATGGCCGAGTCCAGATTCCAGGCTTGCTGCTGCTCTCGTGTACAATCCATGACTAGCAGCTGCGAGACGAGTATCTTAGGGTGCTGTTCAGCCAAGCTGTCTGATACGGCCTGTAGCTCATCTTTGGGTGAAGACTCGTACTCTTTCGCATCGGCAATGCCTATGACCATCATATGCTCTCTGAACAGGTCGAATGGGGCCAATTGAGTATGCGACGGCGGAGGCATTGCAGTGGAGAAGTTGTACAGAAGGGAGCCATTTGGAAAGGCCAAAGGCGAGAAGAGGTTGTTTGCGGTTTTGGCATCTGGACTGATGTCTCCTAGGCGGACGCTGTCGTGCTGGTGCAGTCGTTGTAGGAAGGAGCTGAAGCGGAGCCTCTTGATGCGGCCGGCGGGTAGGACGAGGACTCGGACACGCGCCGGCGCAACGGGCGAAAGCTGGTCGTTTGTCATGTCCTCATGGTATGCGACGGCTGCTGCTTGTTTGTATAGGGAGCCACGCATGTGATTAGGGTACTCGCTGTCGTGCTTGACCAATCACAATCGTTATCGCCCGACGGCTCCTCCGCGACTTCCTCCCCACGTTCTCGAGTCAACCGCTATCTCACACAAATACCTATGACACCCAAGTCTAGACAGAGATATCAACTATCCTAGTCCTCGACTCGCGAATCATGATACCCATATCTTCTAGACCCTCTATAAACTGCACTCCAAACTCATTGTTTCCTGTTCTGACCTCACACGTCATCTGCCTATCTCTCTTCCTGTCAGTTGTCTTCCACCTGAGGGAGCCATAACGTAGACAACCAACATACCCAGACATGGCGCTACTCCGAGGCCTGAGGGAGCCTTATGAGCGAAACTTCCTGGCTGCCCCGAGACCTAGGTTTAACAGAAGGTAAGCAGCCCTCTCAATCCGATCCCCATACCGTACCACCAAAGCCCGGGCCACGTCACGTCAACGCGGCTAACGGCGGGGCATGGATAATAATTCATGCCTTCTAAACATCACCTCACCAAATCTTTTATCATTCACCCAAGACATGCCTATGCTAAGCAAGATATACAGTGCATCGTCCAAACTCTCTATTCCGGTATCACTGGCCTCGTCAAAAACTGGGAAACCACAATATCACCTCAAAAACTTGCTACGAGAATTAGAGTCCGATGACCCGGAGAAAGACCTTGTCCAACTTCAGCAAAGAATATGCGACTCAATCAATGACTTCCCAGTTCCTGACGTTGAGAAGGTCTTTCGTTCTGCCGAAAAACTTCTTCGAGAACAAGATCTTGTCAAAACCGACCTTGGTTTGGCCATCATCGCAAAACTCGCTTTCAAACCAGAGTGCACCCCCGCAAACCGCCTACACTTCTTTTACACTTTGTATCATGATGGCACCACAAATCGCTATACCGACTTTCCCTCATATCTTCTCTCCATACTTACCGATAATGGCCGTCAACTCGAAGGTTTCGAGCCTTTGTTAGCAGGCTTGATACCTGCCCTTCTGCGCGAGGTCGACTTCGAGTTTGCGTCAAAGGACACCAAGAGGCTGGAGGCTCGAGAAACCGGCCAACCTGTCTCAACCTCACTCGACCTTGTTAACAACCTCGTCAAGTATAATGCCAGATTTTTCAGCGATTCCGATATAACAACTTTAATCCAGGGCATGTTCGATCTGCGATCTCGACTGGCTTTCGACGATCCTGAGAAGATTTGCGACATTCTGGGCACTTTAATCATCTACACTCACATTCCGAAAGATGCAGTCGAGATTGCCACGAGGACGCTTTGTTTCATGAGGGAGCGGAAGGGCCTCGAAGACAAGACGAGCAAGACTTTTTCATATTTTATGAATACCCATTTAAAGGAGGAGACGATCGAAAGTCTTCTTCGCAGGTTCGAAGACGATGACACATGTCCCTTGGAAGCTGCGGGAGCTGCTACTTTGCTAGAGTTGTCATTGGCAAATGCTACCACCCGCCATTCAATCGACATAGACATCAACCGTCTGATGGACGCACTGGCGAAATCCGTGCCGGAAGGAACAGCCTCCGCATATGCCAGGTTGCGCTTGGAGCTGATCAAAGTACTTGTTCGAGACGGCGAAATGCAACAGAAGCTCCTCGCAGCTCCGGATTGGATACACATACAAGAAGCCATCGTTCAAAATGCTAAAGCTCCGCTCGAATCTCTTGCAGTCGGAATGGACAACGAAGATGGCAGTCTTCAGCGGTTCATGAAGGATCGCGAAAACAGGAGAGAGACTGTTCGTGATATTGTCACGTGTCTCGAGCATCTTGATGGAATCAGCCTCCAGCAATCAAGGACACTCCGCAGGACTGCTCTCTATGTAGCGCCCTGGTTGACAGAAGCACAGTCAATGAAGTTGATCTCTGCTTATCAACCATCTTCATTCCGCATCTCGATCGGTAATTGGCTGGGCGAAATCAGAGAGCTCGCCAACCATTTCATCTTCAACACTGCTTGCCATCTTACGCTTCGTCAAAAAGCCCTAAGAGTCATCAAGTCCGCCTGGCGAACGGCTCAGCAACTCGGCGAAGAGGAGGCCACCAATACATGTCGCGATCTGATTGTGACTGCTCTGGATAACGAAACGAACTATGCATTTAGGGGCAACCTGGTACATGTGCTGCTCCATTTCACTGTGGGAGTGAGCGATGCAGTCTTCTATCGGACGCTGGAGGTGTTCGTCAAGTCTGCACGGACGGGCTGTTTCCATGAGCTCATTGAGACACCATTCTTTGCTGAGCCCGAAGCCTCCCAAGACTCGAGGTTCGAGAACGATTCGCAGAATCAATCACAAGATGAAGAACTACCTTCCATCCTTCCTGACGCCGGACTAGTGGCTTTGTTGATGAGAAGCAGTGTCGATCAGCTTGAAAGATCACGAAGAGTGTACGATGAGATGCTCCAACTGATCACGATACCTGAACGACCTGCTGAAGCCACTGTCATGTTGCTCAGAGGCCTTTTCCGCATTCGAAGTGATCTGGATCACCGCATCTTCTTCCTTGCAAATTCGGAAGGCGAGAGTCTTGCAAAGGTGCTTCACAGAAATTCAGACTCTCCCTTCTTACAATCTCGCAGATCCTCTTTGCAATCAGGAGTATCCATCATGCCACCTGTTTGGAAGTATGGTGACATTCACGGGTTGCCCGAGTCTCCACCAACAACAGTAAGCGCTGTACTTCGATCAGAATCAAAACCTGTTGATGGCGTTGACTGCAGTCTAAACATGAGATCTTGGCTCGAGATCATCATACAAATGTTGGAGTCTGCTAGCTGTGACTGGGAGGTATACAGCTACATCATCGTTCACGTTGGTCCTCAAGTCTCGAACCAGTCGTTGTTTGCAGAGAATATCTACGAGATCAGGTTACTGAGAAATCTGGTTTGCAGCAAGATACAGTCTCAAACGATATTCAGACCACCAGAGACCTCAAATTTGCGACAAGGCGACGTGGCTTTGTGTCTGTACCACATTCTCACGACCTGTATCGGATACCATTGGAACTTCCCCCGAAAGGAGAATGTTGACACGGTTACGACTCTTGTCAAAGGTCTGACACTATGGGATCGCACAACTATAGCTTGCGTCAACGCACTAACCTTGAGTTGTTACGAGTTGCCAGTTTCGTTGAGTCGAGATCTTGTCCGCATTGTGGCGCAGATGTCCACCATTGTTACCAAGTCAGACTCGGCAATTCACGTACTTGAGTTCCTTGCAGGGCTGTCTCGTATCGATGAGTTGGTCAACCAATTTCATGGTGACGAGATTAAGACCGTCTTTGGTGTATGCACCAGTTACATCGACTATGCCAGAGGCAAGAAGTTCGATGAACAGAATCGCGCAAGACCAACAGGGCCACCTACCAGAAATGGCTCGATCGTGGATAGTAACCACCGACCTTCTACTGAAGATATCCCGCAGTATGTCTTTGCGCTCAGTTATCATGTCCTCACTTTCTGGTTCCTCGCTCTGAGCAAAGAGGATCAGAAGAGACACTTCCCGTGGATGGAGCAGAGACTGCTCTCCCCCGACCAATCCGGGCAGGTGCTCGACGAAGCCATCGTCACTGTTGACCATATCTGGCGAGTTACAGAAGGCAAGGATGTCGTGAAACCACTCCCTCTGGAACTTAGTACGACGAGCGACTCATCAGCAGATCCAATCACGCAAACGTGGGCCTCGGAGTACTGTATCCTGACGATAAAGTGCCACCTCGACAATGGACTCGTCGAAATCACCGAACGAAGGAGTTCCGGCACTGACGAGAGCCACTTTGTCTATGCCGGCGCAGACCCTCTGACCCCGGACTTGATATACCGCGAACGCTTTGCCGCAACCATAAATGGAAACTTCAAAAGCGATTTGGAAGTCGTCATTCTACCCACCAACGACGCCACTCGTCGTGCCCTAGGTATCTTTGACCGCATCTCGCCCATCGATTTCTTCAAAGCAGGCGTCATCTACATGGGCGAAAACCAAACTCGCGAAGATGAAATCCTCGCCAATGTTTCCGGCTCCCCAGACTACAACCTCTTTATCTCTGGTTTAGGTACTCGGGTCTCCCTCGCCAACAACCGCGAAAACATGGCTGGCTTGGATACCTCCGAAGGCATGTTTGACGGCAGAAGCACACTAAGGCACTCCGACACAATAACTACTCTAAACTACCACGTCACCACCATGATGCCCACGAACCGCGACACAGATCCCCAATGCACGCGCAAAAAATCTCACATTGGCAACGACTATGTGAACATCATTTTCAACAACTCAGGCCTCGAGTTTGACTTTGACACTTTCCCCTCGGCCTTCAACTACGTTTACATCGTCGTCGTCCCTGAAGCACGTCAAACCTTCATCCAAACACGCACTCGCTTGCACAACACTGGTTGGTTTGAAGACTCATGGTTTAAAGTGCGTGTGCTTACTCGCCATGATTTCCCGGACATCTCGTCAGCGGCTGAGACAGTGGTTGTCAGTGGAGCTGCGTTAAGTGCGTATGTGAGGAATTTGGCATTGAACGCGGAGGAGTTTTGTAGGGTTTGGGGAAACAGGGGGATGGGAGAGTTGCCGAGTACGTGGAGGTCAAGGTTACAGCAGATCAGGATGTTGAGGGAGAGAAATGTACCGAAAAAGGAGTAGGAGGCAAGACATTAACAACGTTCAGTGTAGCAAACTGTTAACGACACGGTTTTGTGTTGTTCTTTCTATTTCTTTTAGGAGGACTCCTAAAGTGTATTATTTTGCGTCTCTGCGTACCCTGCCGCTCCCGGTCTTGGGGAATCCGAATAAGAATTGGCGACAACGGATCAATTGCAGTACTTCTCAAGCCATGAGCAAGTAGCCTTCGAGACAAGTAGCAGCAAATTGACGGTGGTGGACGCTGGACATGTCATGTCTCAGAAATTCCAAAGACGTGGCGCGACGAGGGTACGAACCTCACGCTTGTGGTCAAGCCACCATCATGGCATAACCTCAGATCTAAGACCATGGCTTACTGATACACTTGATCTTGGTTGTCGTTGAGAGCATGTATCATAGACCGAGATAGCGCTCTCGTGGTCAATGTCTCGCAAGTTCTTTGAAAATTCCATGATCATTGGATAGAGCCTCTCTGTCCTACCCAAAGCACCTGCGATCTTTTCTGTAATCTGTAAGGTCGTGTTCTGGAAGTCGTGCAGTTCGTTTATGTCACGAGTTTGCCTGCGCTAATGCTGAAGCCAGTGCAGCACGACGAGCAGCCATCTTTTGCAGTTTTTTTACTCTGCGAGGGCATTGCAAGGAAGCGCCATTGCGGAAAGTAATCAGTCACTGTAAACGTCCAGTCTCCGTACGATGGGTGTTCGCGCAACGAAGAGGACAGTACATAATCGCGCAATCGAAAGTCGCACAATGAAATGCAGGCTCCCGAAACGTGATACCAGATCTCCAGAGCTTTACCTGGTTATGAGGGAAGCTGGTGTTCTGCGGGAGGGTCTGTAGACTGCCGTTCCCACATGTAACAGAACGATGCGATGAGTCGTGTTGATACGAAGATACTGGACCAGGTGGTTGGATGTGAATCGTACTCGGTGTTCGGGCCGCTGGTTTTGAGCGCTTGGTGGGTTGAGTTTTGTTTGCGAGGTCCCCCGGATATCTTGAGTTGTGCTTCTGTAACCTGAAAGAGCTTTTGCTGGTAGTAAACGACGGCTTTGGACGCTGTTGGATGAAGCGGTGAATATCCTGGTGAACGAGGTTGCATTTCGAAGCCGAGGCTGAAAATCCGACCACCTTCACGGGACCATGCCTTTGACAAGACATGCAGTTACCTACTCTGTAAGCAGGTACCTTATACAGATACCCAAACAACTCGCAACGGCAACTAACTACGGCAGACATGAGACCATGAGTGTCGCACGAACTGCACGCCATGGGTTCAACATTGGCTTTCCTGCACCACCAATGATGAATCGACTGCGGGAACCCGTAATATCGTCCTTGTTGAGGTTTCCTGCGCAGGAACGCTGCATCTCGTCCTGCTTGGCACTTGGAAATGTCCTCGAGACTATCACCCACTCGGTACGCGGATACAGCGGCTTGCGCGAAGCAAGAGATTACCTTCAAGCGACCGAAAGCTCGAGGGGCTGGCGAAACGATGGCGTTCTTGCCTGGCATGGTGTGTGCGCGCTTAAGAGAGAGGGCAGGAGCGGGAAGGTGAGGTGTCGGTCATATATATCACCCAAAGACCTCATAGCCCCGTTACCACTCTTCCGGTGTCACCACTCGTCGGCTCTCTGTTATTTGCCGTTTTTCAAGGATTTCCAACATCTCTTCTTCTTTTCGCTACACTTTTGTACTGATACCCCGATACGCCATGGCAGAGGTTCTGACACCACCTCTATCCAGTGGCGATGAGAAGGGTGACGAGAAGGCTTGCAAATCTTCCCTGGAGAATTCCCAAAATGATTCACTGGAGTCGATAGAACGGATCAGAGAGGTCGATCCGGACATTGAGAAAAGAGTTGTACGCAAGTGTGACTGGTGGGTTGTACCTGCCCCGACAGTCATGTTCATGCTTTCTTTCATTGATCGGTAAGCTCAATCATATCGATAGGAGATGCAAACCTGACAACGACGCCAGCGTCAACATCGCGAATGCCAGGATCGAAGGTATGCTGACGGACCTCCACATGGTCAAACACGACTACAACATCGCTCTCTTCATCGTCTTCATCCCGTTCATGCTTTGTGAGACTCCAAGCAATATGGTTTTGAAGCGCATCACTCCTCGCGTCTGGTTGAGTTTCTTGCTATTCGGCTGCGGGCTTATGGCTATATGCCAAGGTGTAACCAAGTCTTTCAGCGGCTTAGTTGTCTGCCGGTTCATCCTTGGGATCTTTGAAGCTGGTATCTCTCCTGGAAGCATCCTCCTCATCACGATGTACTACCGTCGCGAAGAGCTACCTCGCAGAATCTGCTGGTGGTATATGTCTGGAACCATAGCAGGCGCTTTTGGTGGTTTGCTTGCATATGCTTTGGCAAACATGTGAGTGTCATCAAGCATGCTGTGTGTGTACGCTAATGCCCGTCAGGAGTGGCGTCAGAGGATACGGTGGATGGAGATGGTAAGTCGGTTCATCCTTGGCTTGTCTGCAAAAGAGCTTACATCTTTCGAAGGATATTCATCATCGAGGGATGTGTCACTGTCGGTATGAGTATCATCATGTATTGGTGGCTCGCAGACTGGCCAGCAGACTGTCGATTCTTGACTCCAGATGAGCACAAGGTTCTTATGTGGCGTTTGATGGATGACAACGAAGGCGAAGCCAAGATGGACCGTGTGAACTGGTCCAGATGTGCGAGAGACTGGAAGGTCTGGGTTGCGTGAGTCTTTCCTTTCATTCTTAGTCTGCCGTGGCTGACGGCCACCCACAGGACCGCAATGTACTTTGGCATTGTGGCTCTCAACTACTCAACCAACAACTTCAACCCCACGCTTCTGAAGGAGCTTGGCTACACTTCTGCAGCGGCTCAGGTGGGTTATCATAGATGGTGACAGATGCAGAGCTGACACGACCAGATCCACTCGATACCTTTGTATGTTGTCGCCAGTGCCTTCTGTCTTGGATCGTGCTACCTCTCGGCATATGTCAACAACCGTTTCTGGCCATTGCAGTTCGGAGTGCTCCTGGGCAGCGTGGGTTTCATTGTGCTTCTCGCTCAGAGATCACCTGCGATTGGACCTGGTGTCACATACATGGCGCTTTTCTTCATCACCAGTGCCGGGTATATTGTTCAGCCTATGGTCGTGTCATGGGTCATGAATAATGCCTCCGGACATTACAAGAGAGCGTTCACCTCAGGTACCATGATCGGCTTAGGGAATGCCGGTGGGCTGGTATCTAGCAACGTCTTTTTCCAGGAAGAGGCACCATACTATCCAACCGGATACGGGACATCATTGGCGTTGTTGATCTTGACAAGCGTGGCAGCAGTAGTGTTCTACTTCGGGCTCAAGAGCGAGAACGCCAAAAGAGACGCTGGCAAGCGTGACGATCGGCTTCGGCTGCCAGATGCTGACAACCTTGGAGACGACCATCCCTCTTTCCACTTTAGCTTCTGAGCATGATGGATGAGCCGGTGCTAGGAAACATGAGCTCTGTGCTTCTTCTAGAGGAAACCGCAGTCCGCAAGGCGTGAATCACGAGACACGACCGGCGTTAGTTTTTGGATGGGATTCTTCTTCTCGGCGCAATAGGGTATAGATAAGTGTTTCAATGTCAAATTGTCGCGTGCTTTTTTCAATGACGATGTGCACACCCGGAAAAATCAGAAGAATTATTGGAAGAGGTTGGGAGATGATTGACAAAGCGGAGGTCTGTGCAGTGCATCATGGTTCGCGTCTTACGCGCTTCCCTTTCTTCACTCTCATTCTGCAATCACCCGTGTTCAGGTGTGACGGAAGCTGGACTATGTTCTCACTGGTCGCAAGAGAGCTGTCAGATGGCGGTATATTCAAAATAGTGTTGGACGAGCTCAAGAGATGATGGCAGCATCACTTGTCGCTACAGCTGCTATTAACAATCTGTCCGGCCATGAATGACGGCTCCAAACCGAGAGCCAGGGATGCGTGTGAGTTCTCGAGGTAGGTGGCTGCGAGTCCATTGCTCCTGCCTGCCTCGGAAGCTCATGTCCCTCATCCTGGTTGCCGTCAAGATGCAGCTTCCCGAGTGCCATCAAATCTGTAACACTCACTCGTTGGTTCTGACGGGACAGGCGTTTGCGAAAGTGAACCTTCTGAGAGTTTTGAGTGCTTGCTCGCGTCGAGGCCTCACTTCAGTTCGAGATCATTATTGTCGTTTGTGAAGGACTATCATGTTAATCGCTGAAACGTATTGTCGTTCGCAGTGCCTTCTCGGTTCGACATGAGCACCTTCTTCCTCTGAAATTCATCAGATAACTCGACTCTTTCTCATTTGCACTTTTACCCTTCACCACTTCGCAGTAACTGGTTCGCATCTTTCGCAATGGCTCCAACTCAACACCCAGCTCTCTGGCTGAATCTTGCCATCCGCACTGCGAAGGAGCACCATACCAGAGTTCCTCTCATCCAAGGTGTTGCCAGTGGTCTTGTTACACTTGCATTCATCATCTGTACACTTCGCCTTATCATTCGCTTGAAGCGACGTACCACAAGCTATGAAGATGGTTTCATCGCAGTTGCCATGGTATGTCTATGCACGCTTGGTTTCGAGTCTTCCACTAACGCTCATCCTCGAAGTTGTTCTCGATCCTGGAAAGCACAGTCGCCTTTTTGGGTATATTGACAATCATTGCGATCTCATAGACGACCTCTCTGACTTCTTCCTAGCGGCTGCCAATGGTTATGGAGCGCTTGTGTCGACTCTCACTGATCAACAGTTGTCAAGAGCTCTTATGGTATGATCTCTCGGCGTCAAACACTTTCAATCGCATCGCTAACATGGCCAGTGGTTCTGGTGGGCCCAAGTCATGTACAAACTCACCATCTGGCCTACCAAATTGTCTATCCTGTTTCTCTACCTTCGCGTTTTTGGCGACACACCCAACGTCACTTCCTTTGGGGTCAACTTCCGTAAGAGTGTGTACGCATTGATGCTCTTCTCGGCTGTCTTCTGTATCGTCACACTCGTCGTTAACGTCCTCTCTTGCATTCCTGTTCATCACTACTGGGATAAAAACTCTCCTGGTCACTGTAACGTGGACCCTTTCAGCTGGTGGTTGTCACAATCTCTTCTCAACACCATCTCCGACATCATCATTCTGGTCTTGCCTATGCCGTTGGTCAAGAACTTGCTACAGATTCCTGCTCGCCAGAAACTTGGCCTTTGCTTGGTCTTTTCGCTTGGCGGCTTGTAAGAAACTACCGAATCGACCATATCTGGCTCTGCTGACATGCTTCTCAAGTGTGGTCATCGTGACTATCATGCGTATTTCGACTTTCAAAACTGGAGGTCTTGGTGACGATATCACTTGTAAGTCTTTGTACATCCACGGGGGACAAGACATGTACCTTGCACTGTTCGAGACCGAGGCTAATTTCCAACAGATGACGGTGCTGTCACGCTCTGCTGGACCATAGTCGAAACCAACGTCGCCATCATCTGCGCGTGTCTGCCATTGCTACGCCCATTCATCGCTCGTATGATACCCGGCTTCTGCGGTGGCTCTGGCTTGCGTAGCGGCAACAGCTATCCTATGGCCCAGCCTACGACCACCGAAGACTCTCCTAGCGGCAAGCCCCGCAGCAGCCACGTTCCTGGGAGAATGCGGCCTCGTTCGTGGGTCGGCATCGAGACTGTCATTGGCCAAGGCGACGGACAGGCCGCAGCAGCCGGCATCCACAAGCAGATGGAAGTTGATATCACGACCGAGGCCGTGAGCCTTTGTGGTACTGACTCTCTGCTTCGTCTCACGTGTCAGGATGATGAGATCAGATCAGTGGACGCTAGAGATTCTGAGTCGTCGAACGAATGCAAGTAGACTATGTGTCAAGCATACGGCTAGGCGTTTCGAGAGGTGGAGAGTTTCGAACCGATTCTAGTAGTAACTGATGACATGAAATAAATCGACATTTTTGCTTCAACTTTTCTTGCACTTTCACATACTCTTTGTGATCTTCATGTTCATAGCGAGCAAGGGTGCAGATAGAACCTCGAGGTATAACAGGGTCGTATGCACGACAATGCCTTTTGAGGTCATCGCCGGTATATCTGTTCAACCACGCATCATTTGTGCTTTGCAAGGGCACTGGAGGTGTCATATACAGCTTGGAATCGGTCCGATTGACCGTGGTGCTCTACTTTGTCTCAATTTCCCAGTATAGACCAGAAACTGTTTTTCAAATGTGTGTATAAGTCCCTAAATGAATAATTAGAGGTGAGCTTTTGGGCGAGCAATCACGAAAAGCATATTGTCAAGATAACACGGCAACAGCACCCTTTCCTGTCCTGAGAGTCACATAAGTACCAAACGCATACCGTAGTAACATGTCTCGAGCATGACATTGGAAAAGTATCAAGTTGTTACAGAGTTATGCCCTTATTGACTCTTACAAGTATTGTATGATGGATGACCCTGTTCTCAAGCACGGACGCAATCACAACCGCCGAAATCTGTTGTGATTGAGACAAACTCCCCAATCATTAGATGTTGGTGGAATAGAATGCATGTGATATGCACTGCGAGAAGGGAAGCCGAAGACCTGCAGTGATAATTGTAGGTCGTATAGATCCAAGGTGATCTGATGGAGAGGAAGCTTGGATAAAAATAGCTGCCACTTGGCCTTGAAGTTGCAAACGCGGAAACCCCTTGGCTTGGCAGCGGGACCGCGTACTTCGGGGACGCGAGAGCTTTCTCTGGAGGGCAAGGAGCGAAAGTGGTAGTAGTGGCCGTTCCATCAGCTCCACGCTGGCATCTTGAAAGGGGTGCATTCTCGTTCAACTATCCCATCCTTCAGAGACGTTTCTCCCCTTCTCTTCTTTCTTCTCCCACTTGTTGTAATCCCTTCTTTCTTTTCGTCTGTCCGACGACTTTGACTCTTTTCTTAATTGTTGTTGCTTCGATTCCGTTGCTTGTGCCGGCTCGAGCTCAGCTAGCTTGAGTAGGCGCTTCCAAAAAGCAGGGCCAAGCACACACTCCCAACAGTCTGACCACGTTACTTCATCCAACATGGCTGCGACGAACCAAGGATTCGCAACCGGCGCAGACCGCGATGCTGCTGAGTTGAGGAGAAGAGCCGCGGCTCCGGCACAGAACGGTGCTGTTCAACAGCAGCAGCAGCCCATCATCGACGACAAGAAGAAGCAGCAGGTGAGTAGACCTCTCTCTGACTTGATACGCACACGAGCTGACCCGTGTCATCAGGTCAAGAGCATTGCAAATGTCATCGACGACTGGGAGCCCGTCTTCGCACCCATCATCTTCACCGCACTCGCCTTCTTCACCCGTTTGTGGAAGATCGGTCTTTCGCCCATTGTCACCTGGGACGAGGCGCATTTTGGTAAATTTGGCAGTCACTACCTCCAACGCGAGTTCTACTTCGACGTTCACCCTCCGCTGGGAAAGATGCTGGTTGGCCTTTCGGGTTATCTGGCCGGTTACAATGGTACCTTTGAGTTCAAGTCTGGTGAGACTTATCCCGAGGAGATCAACTACGTCTTTATGCGCCAGTTCAACGCAGCTTTCGGTGCTCTGTGCATTCCCCTGGCCTACTACACTGCAAAGGAGCTCAACTTCCGCAAGACCACCACCTGGTTCGTCACCCTGATGGTTCTGTTCGAGAACTCGTACGCCACCATCAGTCGCTTCATTCTGCTCGACTCTATGCTTCTCTTCTTTACTTTCACCACTGTTCTCTGCTGGGCTCGTTTCCACAGACTCCAGAAGCAGCCCTTCTCCGCCCAGTGGCTGCTGTGGCTTTTGCTGAGCGGCCTCTCAATCGGCTGTGTCTGCAGTGTCAAGTGGGTTGGTATGTTCGGAACTGCTCTGGTTGGTCTGTACACCATCGAGGACCTGTGGAACAAGTTTGGCGACCTCAAGATGCCCAAGGTATGCTACAATGGCGATATGGTGATGAATACAAATTTGCTGACATGACATCTTCCAGACTGAGCTCGCAGCTCACCTCGGTTTCCGCGTCGTCGGTTTGATTGTCATTCCCATGATCGTTTACATGTTCTCGTTCTACATGCACTTCTTGATCCTCGAGAACAGCGGTCCTGGTGATGCTCAGATGAGCTCTCTCTTCCAGGCCAACCTCAAGGGTACCGAAGTCGGAGTCGACAGCCCGCTCGAAGTCGCCCTTGGCTCTCGTGCCACTCTCAAGAACATGGGCTACGGTGGTGGTCTTCTGCACTCGCACGTTCAGACCTTCCCCGAGGGCTCGCAGCAGCAGCAAATCACTTGCTACCACCACAAGGACGCCAACAACGACTGGTTCTTCTACCCCAACCGCCACGAGCCCGAGTTCGATGCCGATGCTCCTCTCAAGTTTGTCGGCAACGGCGATACCATTCGTTTGATCCACGCTCAGACTGGCCGCAACCTGCACTCTCACTCGATTGCTGCTCCTGTTACCAAGGCAGACTACGAAGTTTCGTGCTACGGCAACACTACCGTTGGAGACACCAAGGACCACTGGGTTGTTGAGGTCGTCAACGACGCTTCTTCGCGCGATTACACCAAGCTCCGCACTCTCACCACCGCCTTCCGCCTCAGACACGTTGATCTCAACTGCTACCTCCGTGCTGGTAACGTCAACTTGCCTCAGTGGGGTTTCAAGCAGATTGAGACCACCTGTGTCAAGGAGAACCACCCTCGCGATGTCTACACTCACTGGAACGTCGAATCTCACTGGAACGACAAGCTCCCTGCTGCCGACACCGGTGCCTACAAATCTCCTTTCCTTCGTGACTTTATCCACCTGAATGTCGCTATGATGACTTCCAACAATGCCCTTGTCCCTGACCCGGATAAGCAGGATGACTTGGCCTCTGCTCCTTGGCAGTGGCCTCTCCTCAATGTTGGTCTCCGCATGTGCGGCTGGGACGACCACATTGTCAAGTACTTCCTCCTCGGCAACCCCTTCGTCTACTGGGCCAGTACTGCTTCTATTCCCGCTTTCGGTCTTCTGGTCGCCTACTACCTGATTCGCTGGCAGCGTGGTTACAACGAGCTGTCCCAAAAGGACATTGATCAGATCCACTACGCCGGTATCTACCCCGTCATCGGTTGGGTTCTGCATTACGCACCTTTCATGGCCATGGGTCGTGTCACCTACGTCCACCACTACTACCCTGCTCTTTACTTTGCTATCCTCTGTCTCGCTTTCTGCACCGACTGGGTGACAAGCCGCTTCCCTCGCGCTGTGCAATACGGCATCTACGCTGCCCTTTACACTGTTGTCATTACTCTGTTCTGGATGTTCAGAGCCATCACCTTCGGTATGGAGGGAACCCACACCCAATGGACCCACCTGAAGTGGCTCGAGTCGTGGCGCATGACCGATTAGAGGAGGCTTATGTGGCATGAGTGACTCAAAAAGCAGTCACTGCATTTGGGGACAGAAAAAGGAGTACGGAAAACATATCGGTCTCGACATAGGCAAAATGTGGAGTTCACAGGGTCGTATGCTACGAGATGGGCAAGACGAAACATTTTCCTTGGTATAATTTTCCTTTTACAAGTCGAACAGAATATCCTTTTCCCTTGTTCCCTCGATCCCCCATCCAGTATACCGGTTGCATAGTGCATAGAGTTCAACGACTACGAAGGACTCGAACCATGACGTACGCGATACAGCACTCTGAGTGGCTAGAGCACCTAGTCCAACTGCCTCGCATCTGTGCCCTCAAGTAGTATGAATGCTGACTCACTGAAGCCTCGTCCATCGGAGTTTATTTGTTGCATTGCCCAAATGTGGAGATCTTGAGCTCTTGTCAAGCCACATGATTCTTTGTGTTATACACTGGCAGTTTTGTAGCTATGTCGGTGCTATCTGTTGGAGCATAGAGTGAGCGTATAAGGTTTTGAACAATCTCCAAGGAATGTGACTGTCTGAGACAAAGCTGGCGGGCAGATGAAGTAGGATGTTCGTTGAAACAAAGGCGGAAGACGCACGGACCTGAGACGGTTGCGGGCTAACCCTGAAGTCGAAAATGTGGGGAGGGCGAGCGAGATACGGCAAGTTTGATGAATGTCGGCATGTCGCCCTCGACCTTTGTAAGCCGAGTGCTGAGAGAGAGCTCGTGACAGCAGCAGAGACAGCGAGTAATACCTGGATGTACCGAGCGACTTGACGTGGCAAGAGCGTGGGAATTCAAGGAAATAGGAGGATACCTCTCTCGAGAGTGATCATCAGGGCAGTCGCCAGTCAGCCGCTTTGTGCTTCTTTCCCTTTCGACCCGAGATTGGATTGAGAAGGCATACGACGCCGCCAATCTTTTTTGCTCCTTCCTGGAAAGACCCCAAACCCTTATTGATAGCGCAAGAGTCGGCTACCTGGACCCCTTGTTGGCTACGGCATCTGTTTGTTGGAGAAGCTTGTCGAGGACGGAGCTCTTTTTGGACAGCCACAACCAACACGGACACGGCGCACCTGACATGAACCTCTCCCACTAAAGCGGCCATGTTTTCTTCGGGCTCGGGCGATGCCAAAGGACGGCAGACATCGGGCGGCAAGTCCTTCTTCTCGCGCCGTCACCACAAGGACAAGCACAACGAACACGTGCCCGACAGTCCCTCGCTGTCTTCCAACTGGTCGCAGAACCCCCTACCACCTGTGCCCCCTCCGCACCAACAACACCAGTACCACCAGCAGCCCCCCTCGTCGTCGCATTCGCACTCTTCGCGCCAATCCATCGACCATGGCGGCGGCCTCATGACTGCCATCCCGTACGACAGTGTGACGCGAGATACACGGTCGCCAGTACGAGTCGACTATTTACCAGAGCACCCTTCACAGCTACCTGCGCCACCGCGGCCGCCGCAACATGCATCACAATACTCGCTGGCCAGCACTGGCCGGACGAGCTCATACGAGAACTCAATACATTCGCAGTATGACCAATATCCTGCCTCGGACAGGGCCAGCGTACGCTCTAGTCACAGCCATCGCACGTCCATATCCATGCACCCACAACATTCGCCATCTTCGTTCCCCAATATGTCGCTTGATTCGACCACCCTCCTTCCTCAATTAGCTCCTTCATCCACCCGTGGATCTCAGCAGAATGGCTTCCTCAGCGCCAACCAGCCCTCAGCTTTCAGCTCTACCGCATCCTTCACCCCTGACGGTTTCAATCTCCAACGACCGACCGACGATCGCATAATCGAGAAAGAGTTTTTGGACCTCATGCACAAGCGTGGGTGGAAGAGCTTGCCTGAACAGGCGAGGAGACAGATGGAAGCATACCCTATAAACAAGAAATGGACGTTGGTACATCAGGACAGGCTGGCCGAATGGCAGGGCGAACAAAAGAGACGTGCGCACGCAAGGACGTCAATCAATCCGGACTCGAGCTTGGGCTTACTGGGTCGCGCGGATGAGGAGGGAAGTCCTGAATGGTATGTTCGCAAAGTCCTCGACAACTCGATCAGCGCGAAGCAGTTGCAAAGTTTGGCCGTCAGTTTGCGTACCCAGCCAATCGGATGGGTCAAGGCATTTGTGGAGGCACAAGGTCAGGTCGCTTTGGCAAATGTGCTGGGCAAATATAATCGCAAGCAGACCACCGGTCCGACTAATGCTTCTGTTAACGACAAAGACTTGGACCGCGAGTACGACATTGTCAAATGTCTGAAGGCTTTGATGAACAACAAATATGGTGCAGATGATGCTCTCGAACACGCCCCTATCGTTAATGCTCTCGGCGCATCTCTTATTTCTCCTCGACTCAATACCAGGAAACTTGTCAGCGAAGTGCTCACCTTCCTGTGTCATTGGGCAGAAGGAAGAGGCCATCAAAAAGTCCTCCAAGCTCTGGATTCGCTAAAATCTACGCAAGGAGAAAATGGTCGCTTCGATGCTTGGATGCGCATTGTTGAAGTCACTATCGATGGCAGAGGCAAGATGGGCAGTCTGGTCGGGGCCAGTGATGAAGTCCGCAGCGGTGGCATTGGTATGGAGAACCTGCTCATGGAATATGCTGTGGCTTCCCTGTTCCTCGTCAACATGATTGTTGATGCACCGGAGAGAGATTTGCACTTGCGATGCCATATCCGTGCTCAATTTACAGCATGCGGTATCAAGCGCATTCTCAACAAGATGGAGCAGTTCCAGTACGATATCATCGACAAGCAGGTTGAGAGATATCGGGCGAACGAAATCATCGACTACGAAGATTTGCTCGAGAAGGAGAACCAGGTCGATGGTCAAGAGCCAGAACCCCAGGATCTTAGCGATCCTGTACAAATTGTTCAAGCGATCATGTCCAAGGTGAGCGGCAGTCATTCGGCGGATTACTTTGTGTCGTCTCTGCAGCACTTCTTGCTCATGAGAGACAACGAGGCCGAGGATAGACTTCGTATGTTCCAACTTGTGGATGCTATGTTGAGTTATGTGGCTATGGACAGGCGATTGCCTGATATGGATCTCAAGCAGAGTCTCAACTTTACTGTCCAAAGCTTGATGGACAAACTGTACACGGATTCTGAAGCTCGACAAGCAAGAGACGAAGCCTTAGAAGCTCGCCAGATTGCCGAATCAGCATTGGCAGAGCGTGACGAGCTGAGAGCCCAACTTGAGCTCGGTGCAGATGGCTTGGTCAAGAAGCTCACACGCCAGCTCGAGGAACGTGATTCAGTTGTCCAGATCCAACAACGCCAAATCGAAGGCCTGAAAGCGGAGCTTGCAGAAGTACAGCGCGTGAGAGCTCTAGAATTGCAACGAAACGAGCTCGAGACCAGAGAGCTATATCTTATGCTGCGTGACGCTCAAGATATCGCAGCTTCATCAGCGAAGAACGGCAACAAAAATGGGGTTGCAGCTGATGCAACCCAGATGCAAGGTATCCTGGATCGTGAAAAGCTCATGGACCGTCTGGAGATGCAGCTTGAAAGAGCAAAGACACAGGCAAAACTCGAAGGCAAAGTCTGGCAACAGGTTGACCCCTCGGATAAGCTCCGTGAACTGCGTGAGAAGATGGATGGCCCTGGTGGACCCACCGGAGCACTTCCCGAGAGCTTGCCTGATGGTTACATCGGAAGTGTTTCCAGAACAGCAAGAGGCGGCATCACTCGTAAGCCGCTTCCTAGTCAATCTCAAACAGACGGCGATGTATCGCTGGATGAGGATGACGAGGATGCCACTGTGTATGAGAAGCCTCGTATTGTTGAGATGAAGCGCCCGAAGATCAGCTCGGCTCATGCTCAGGCTGGTTATCTCAACGACATTGTTAACAAAGTACGCCGCATCGATGCCAGCGACGATGAAGAAGACAGTACGGTCACTGGCCCTTCACACTCCAGGAACGTTTCCACCCAATCCAGACATGTGTCGTCGCAGTCCAGACATGTCTCCTCCCACTCAAGAAATGGATCTGCTCAGCACGTCAGGAATACATCCGCTCAGCATGTCAGAATCCCTTCTGCTCAGCTCAAGGCAGACGGCGAGATCAAATTCGATGGCGCAGTGCCTCCACCTCCTCCACCAATGCCTGGCTTTAATGGAGCTTCTGCTCCGCCTCCACCACCTATGCCTGGTTTCAATGGCGTTGCTCCTCCCCCAGCCCCGATGATGCCAGGCTTCAACGGAGCTGCACCTCCTCCACCGCCTATGATGCCAGGCTTCAATGGCTCTGCTCCTCCTCCGCCACCCCCACCGCCTGGTATGGCTGGATTTTCTTCTGGCGGCCCACCACCGCCTCCAATGCCTGGTTTCTCAGGCCCGCCTCCCCCGCCTCCACCAGGAATGCCCGGCTTCTCTACCGGCGGTCCTCCTCCGCCCCCGCCCCCGCCTGGATTTGGCGGACCACCACCTCCCCCTCCTCCAGGCATGCCGGGCATGATGGCTGGTGGACCACCCCCGCCGCCGCCTCCTCCAGGAGCACCTCCTATGCCTGGAGCCAGACGCGGCGGATTCTTGCCTCAAGCTCAATATGCAGCTACCTCAAGCATCGGTATGGGAGTTGCAAGACCTAAGAAGAAGCTCAAGGCTTTGCATTGGGAGAAGGTCGATTCTTCCGAGTTCACCATGTGGGCTTCGCATGCACCTACACATGAGGCGAAGGAAGAGAAGTATGCCGAACTTAGCAAGAAGGGTATTCTTGACGAGATTGAGCGCCTGTTCATGGCCAAGGAGATCAAGGCGATTGGCAAGAAGGAGAAGAAGAGCGACAAGAAACAGATCATGCCCAGCAACCTTATGCAGACATTCCAGATCTCACTGGCAGTCTTCTCGCAACGGCCGTTGGAAGATGTTGTCCGCATGATCATTCACTGCGATAAGGAAGTGTTGGACAGTCCTGTCGTCATGGATTTCTTACAGAGAGAAGACATGTGCACAATTCCTGACAACACATCCAAGCTCATGGCACCTTACAGCAGAGACTGGACTGGACCAGATGCACTGAAATCAGCGAGAGAACAGGATCCTTCGGAACTGACGCGCGAAGATCAGATCTACCTCTACACAGCCTTTGAATTGCACCACTACTGGAAGGCCAGGATGAGAGCATTGGCATTGACCAAGAGCTTCGAGCAAGAATACGACGAGGTCTCTGACAAGCTGAAGACGGTCTGCAACGTATCAGAATCCCTCCGTGACTCTGTTCGTTTGATGCCTGTCTTTGGTCTCATTCTAGATATCGGAAACTACATGAACGACTCCAACAAACAAGCCATTGGTTTCAAGCTTAGTTCGCTCGCTCGTCTTGGTATGGTCAAGGACGATAAGAACGAATCCACCCTGATGGACTATGTCGAGCGTGTTGTGCGCAGACAGTATCCTCAATGGGAAGGCTTTACGGAAGACATTGGCGCCGTCGTGGGAGCTGCCAAGTTGAACGTCGACCAGCTGATGGTTGATGCTAAGAAGTACATTGACAACATCAAGAATGTGCAAATGTCCTTGGATGCTGGTAACCTCAGTGACCCACGCAAATTCCATCCCGAGGACAGAGTCAGTCAAGTGGTTCAGCGATCAATGAAGGAGGCAAGAAGAAAGGCAGAACAAATGGAGTTGTACCTCGAAGAGATGAAGAGAACCTACAACGACATCATGACCTTCTTTGGCGATGACAACCAAGACGAATCGGCGAGGAGAGAGTTCTTCTCCAAGCTGGCTAATTTCGTCAATGAGTATAAGGTGAGATCGAATGAATTTGATATGACTACTGAACCTTTTACTAACGTCCATCTCAGAAATCGCACGAGAAGAATACCGCTCAAGAGGAAACACAACGGCGCAATGAAGTTTCAATGCGTCGCAAGGCCCAAGCTAGTCAATCTGCTCTCGAGAAGGCCACTTCAGATCCTGCCGGCCCTCCTTCACCAGCTTCGCAAGGTGCCATGGATACGTTGTTAGAGAAGCTTCGCGCCGCCGCTCCTGCTACTAGAGATACAAGAGATCGCCGACGACGAGCCCGCCTCAACGAACGCCATCAACGCCGTGTAGCTTCTGGTCAACAAATGCCTGAGATCGCCGGCGTAACATCACCCACAGACGATGGCGATTTCCTCTCACCAACTTCGGATGTCGCACCAGATCGTCCATCAACATCTGACAGCACAACACTTGCTCCTCATGTCGAAGAAAACGACAAGGGTGCCATCAGCGAAGGAGAAGACGTCGCAGATCGAGCCGCCAGCCTTCTGCTTGGCCTCCGCGGCAGCACAGGCGACAACGACGAACCGCCTCTCCCCCGCGACGGCGAAAATCTGCGCGTCCGCCGCCGTCGCGATCACGCAGAAGGTGAGCGCGAGCGCCGCCGCCGAAGACGTGCACCAGGCACCAGCACCGCCTCCACCGACGGACGACCCCAAACCGGCATCAGCGAGGCCAGCGCCGATCATCATGACGATGACACCAGATCTGAGATTGGAGATTCCAGGTCAGAAGCAGGCAATGGAGATGTTGGGGACGGATTGAAGATTGATGTGCAACTCATGACGCCGTTGGCTAGTCCTGCGTTGACGTCTCCACCTATCACTATTGTTAGTCCGCCGTCGCCTACGAACACTGCAGAGAAGAGAGATATCAGCACGCCGATTGGGAGCCCGAGGTTGTCTTGAGCAATAGAGGTTTGATGAGTTTTGGGGGTTGGTCTGAGTAAAGGTGTCTCTGTTGGATTCTCGTTCTTGCATACAGCAAGCAAACCAACCTATTGTAATCTTTGTCGTTTTTTCTGTTCTTTCCTTCCATCGCATCAATACCTAAGCGTTTCTTGTTTTCTTGCATTTCGTCATTGGTGGGGTTTCTAGCATTCGTATTTCTTGAGGCGTTTTTGTGAGAGGTGTGGGTTTTTTTTTTTTTTTTTTTTTTTGCATTGTAGAAGAGAAGCAAACACAAATACTACCTTCAATTGACCAGCTGTCATTCTCTCTCTCTGTGGTCATTACTCCGGTTTTAGAAAAGCTTTCATGCATCTATAAAGGAAAGAGGTGCGCACGGGATGCCACGAAAGGGAGCCGATTAGAGGTTTCCACTGTGGAAGGATTGAGTCGCGTTGATGGGGGTTATGGAGGACATAAATTTCCCTCTTGTATGCCACAGGAAAGAGAGAGCAAAAAAAAAGAGAAGAAAAACGCCGTATTCCCAAAAATACTGATGTCGTTAATGTTTCCCCCCTGACTACTTTTATGCCTGCCCAATGTGTTGTTCCTCGTCGAGCAATATCTCTCCTCTCTCTTCTCCCTCTCTATCTCCTCTGGTTCTTGGAGCGAGCCTGCAACTTACGAGCCAACTCATCTCCCGCAGCGCCCAAACGACGAACACCAGGCTGAGCCCTGGTGAGATCGCTCTTAGGCACAATAGTGTAGGTTCCGAGTCCACCATCCACACGAGCACGATTGGTGACCGTAGGATAAGCCAAGGCAGCTTTTCTGGCCGCTGCGGCACGAGCAGCTTTGTCGACAGTTTGTGTGCTGCGCATGGGTTGCTGGCTGGGATCGTAGGTGGCCTCGACGAACTCGCGCTTGCGGAAGTCATCGGTGCGTTTGAGGATTGGTCGTGTCCATTCGCCAACGAGTTTTTCGGCTTGGCGACGAATGCCCGGTTCGGCTTTTGTGCTGCGGGTGTAGAAGTGGGTCACCTTGCCGATGCCTGAGGCCACCAGTGCGTCCTTTGAGATGGGCAGTTTGGCCAGGCAAGCAAAAAGTTCGCGTTGAATGTTGTAGGCAGGCAGAGAGCCATCGTTGAGAGGCTCGAGGAAGAAGCGCACGGACTCGAGGAGGTTGATGTCTGGGTCGACGAGGGCGTTTTGGAGGGTGTTGCGGTTCAGCAGGGCGACAACCTCTGGGAGGAGCTTAAGCTTGTGCATAGCAGGCTTTCCTTCGTCGCGGGCTTGTGTGTCTGCTTGGGCGGCTTCGGCCATGCGACGGCGCATTTCTTCGAGTTCCGTATCGGCCATTTGCTCGAGGTCGATGCCGGCCTTGCGCCTGTTGTTTGTCTTGGGTTTCTTGAGGGCCTCATCCAGCTTGCGAGAGAATGCTTTTCTGCGTCCTGTGATGTGTTAGTACGGTATGGTATCCTCGACTTGCAGCAACAACTCACTCTCTTCTGGCGTCAGGTTCGAGTCGTCCTCGGGGCTAGGTGTCCTCTTCTTGCGCTTCTCGCCAGGAGCCTTTGTCTTTCTCCTACGTCCTTCATCCTCTCCTTCGCCATCAAAGTCTCCACCATCCCCGTCTGCACGCTTACTGCGCTTAGGCTTCTCACGACGACCCTCTCTGCGCTTCTTCTTGCCCTCACCATCAGCATCATCGCGCTTGCGCTTGTGCTTTCCCAGCAGCGCAACACCACTGGCATCAACAACTCTGGGTCTCTCCTCGATAGCAATGGCATTAGGATCGAAGTCTTGGAACTGGGCCTCGTCGACATCACTCAGAGCGTCAGAGTCTGCGTCATTGTCGTCGTTGTCGGCGGCGCCGGGCATGGACAGTTCTGGGTTTTGGTCGTCTTCGGCGAGCTCGGTGTCGAGGTGGGGGTCAGCGATAGGAGGAGTGCGAGCAGAGTCTTCTTCTTCGATCTCGGGGCGGAGAGGATCTTGGGGGTCGTCGTTGCCAGCTGGTTCGTGGCCGACGTCGTTGACGGGAGGTGAGTCGGCGCCTGGAAGATCTTCCATGTCGGCGGTGTGTGTGTAAGAGGTTGTGTAGTTCAGTCGCGAAGGGTTCGTAAAGTTGGTTGATGCGGATGGGCGAGTGAGAGATAGAAATTAGATCGAGATTGTGGTTGTTGCTTTGTTTTCTGAGCTGGTCGGTCGCGCCTTCCTCCAGCGTGTTCAGGTTGACGTCGTGCCTCCGGATTTTACCGCAGACTCTCCTCCATCACAAGTTTGAGGTAACCAGCGACGTTAAGCACAACGAGCACATCAAGTCACTTCACATATACACAATGTTCGGTGAGTGGTAGAGTCGCTGTCATCTTCTGCGCACCATACTGACTGCATCATAGCACCCCAACAGCAGAGCAAGGCCGAGATCGAGGTACTTTGATTATGACGGCGCGCATTCTACATCCAGGCGCATACTGACATCTAATCGCTAGGCTCAGGAGCAGTCCGCATCTGTCACTGTCAAGCAAGCCTTTGCCACTTGCGTCCTTCTCTACCTCTGTACGATTTCCCGACTCTCCTTGTCAGCCAGCACAGTCTAACACCCTCCCAGCGCCTTTCGCCCTCGAATACATCCAGAAGCTCGTTTAGAGTCGCTACTTCGCTCTCCTACTAGTCACGATACACTTGTAACAACATACTGTACAAAATGTTATGATCTGAACCGTCCGTATATTCGTCATAGACGGCGCTCGCCAAACGCTCTACCTAGGTAGCCTTCTATACTTCACCTACAGCGTGTTATCCTGTAGCTGCGGTCCACCCGGTCTTGAAGCATGATAGACGACAAGAGACTAGAATGTATATCGACATGTGGTATCATATTCGTCAACTTTCTCTTGCGCCTTATTTGCTGGGCTTGCTAGCAGCTTCCCATTCCTCATACTCCTTCTTGATTTGGTCCATCTCTTTGCGCAAGTGCTGGATCTGTGTGTCGTAGTCTTGAAGAATCTGTTCGCAATGTTAGCATGCGCCGTCATGGGTATTACACATTTTTCAGCATCTCACCTTCTTTGCCTTTTCAATCACCTGCTCGTCGAGTCCACCATTCTCTCCGGTAATCTGGCGGCCGAGCTTCTCACTCTCTTCCTGGAGCCATCTCGTTCTTTCCCGTATGGCCACCATGCGTGCCCAGATCTCTTCCTCTCTGCCCGAGAATGCTGGATCAAACACTGCCTTCTCCAGAGTCGCCAACTTCTTCTTGAGCTCTTCCTCAGCGCCGTCCAGCACGAATCCTCTGTTTGCGAGTACTTGAGCGCGAACCGCCAACGCAAGACATCTTTGACTCAGACCAATGTGCTTTCTCTTGGCTTCTGCCGCTCTGACACTCAGCACCAACTCGTGCTTTTGCATCATGGCTCCCAGACTGTTGTTCATCTCATGTAGGCGCATCTGCAGTTGCTTGACCGCTTCCACCTGTGTCTTCAAACGCGTGCCCAATGCTTCAAATCCTTTTGCGATTACGGGTACGGATCCTGGCGTGGGCTTGTTGCGCAGAGCCTTCTCCCACTCGCGTTCATCGGCATTCGGTGGCATGCTGATGAAAGGAGTCTGTTCTTCAGGTACTTGGACGTAAAAGTAGTGTTGCATCATGCATTCGGCAGTTTCGGGGTTCCATTTCTGAGAGATAGACTCGATTTGCTGGGGAATGGTCTTGTCGCGTGGAGGAGCCATGGACTGTTGGTTGAATCCGATGGTTGAAGATTTGTTCACGAGGGCCGAGGGCAAGGCGGACATGGAGGCACTGAGCAGAGAAGCACCTAGAGAGTTTGCATTGTTGGTTCCAAACATGCCGGGCTGTTGTTGCTGAGGTTCATTGGTTGGCTGAGCGAAGAGGCTGCCCGACTGCTGAGCAGGTTGTCCGAAAAGACTCGCATTTTGCTGTGTTTGAGCGCTGTTGTTGTTAGTAGAGCCGAACATGCCGCCAGATTGCTGTTGCTGCTGCTGCTGTTGTTGTTGTTGCGGCTGTTGTTGAGGTTGCTGAGCGGATGCGCCGAACAGAGAAGGGGTAGAAGTCTGCTGTGGAGCAGCACCGCCAAAGAGGGATGGAGTCGACGCCTGTTGCTGGTTCTGCTGGTTCTGCTGTGTTGCGCCGCCGAAAAGCGAAGGAGTTGTGTTGGATTGCGCGGGCTGAGCCTGGCCGAATAGAGAGGTTGACTGAGCGGGTTGTGAGGATTGAGTGTTGTTGTTATTGTTGGCATTGCCGAAGAGTGAAGTCCCAGAGGACTGCTGGGCATTGTTGCCCAAATTGCCGAATAATGACATGGTTGGTTGTTTCGGGAAGGCACGCCGCGAATGCAAGGGAGGAAGGAGCTTGGAGCTCTACAGCAAAGAACGACGCGCTTTCTGTTTGCTAGAGCAGCGTCGGCGTCGCGGGTTGCTGAAGCATCTGGACCAATCGGCTGCTCCCGAGCGCGCTGACGGTCGACTTCCAGCTTCACGCCTATACAGCAACCAGAGCCAGCCTCACGTCAATTGCACAACATTCACCATGTCCGCCCGTCAACCAAGGTCCGCATACTGTTTTTCGCTCCAGATTCCACCCTGACACGCGCGCAGATTCAACCAGCACACGCTGATCGACACCACACCTCTACCCGACGACATCCCCAAGGTCCAAGAAGTTGGTGCCAGTTCCGCTCCTCTGCTCTCGGCCTCGTTTTTCATTGGCGCAAGATGCAAAACCTACAATGACGACTACATGATGTGCAAGGCCGAGGCCAACGGCAAGGGAGAGCTCGACTGCTTGAAGGAGGGCCGCAAGGTCACCAGATGCGCTGCCAGCGTGTATGTCGTTTGCCCTTTACAACTACACATCTTCTGACCTACGATAGCCTGAGCGACATTGACAAGCACTGCCTCGAGGAGTTCAGAAAACACTGGTCATGCCTGGACAACAACAACCAACAGCTTTGGCAGTGCAGAAGATATGAGAGACCTCTGAACAAGTGTGTCTTTGACAACCTGGTGCGTTGCATTGAATCTCCAAACCTTTGGGTTCGTATCTCTAACCACAACCGTTGTATAGAAGCTGGACAAGACCATCCCAGGAACCCCGGCAAACGAGCTTCCTGTCCACGAGCGCAAGAGACAGACATACGCTCACCACAAGACTCTGACCTAGACCACTTTCACACCTGTACGATACCACAATTTCAAACCTACTTTCGAACGCTCATACACGACGCCTACATGGAGGCTGGTACTCACCCAAGAGCCCGACTTGTTCATATCAAAAGACAAAAATGAATCCCTCGAATTAGACGGTGATCAAACACTCCCATTGCAAAAGCCTCTTTTCCTTATGTGTACAAACGATCTCGAACTGGTAGGTTGTGGAGGAAGATCATGTGAGTGTCAATCACAGATGTTGTAGTACTACCTGTTCTTGTTTGGCCTGAGCGTTTAGTAAAGAAGCCTACAACTAAGTTATGCAGATGCAAGATAAGTCATGAAGTGATTGTATAAGAAGGATGAAGTTTCATCGCATGCCAATCACATGGTCTGGCTGAACAATCAGCCGTCTTTCGCTATCGCTTCCAGAAGACATACGTGTAAGCAGTCCAACGCAATCGTCCCGTCATCACAGGCGGTCTGAAACAACCCAAGATACGATTTTCCTCCGTCAGATCTTGCAAGCCACATACCACAATCTTGCATATAAGACGGCCCTCGTATACACAGCCCAGCCAGGGGTCATGTCACGGAAACGTAGGGTTCAAGTAGATGAAGCAAGACCCTGTCTTCACTTCCCAACTTCCAACCAATAACGTATTTTACCGCATCAGACTAAATGTCGCAACAATTTCCACTCTTCTTCAGCCCTGTCGTCTTGCTTCTCTGCTGAAAGTGCGATACGACTTGTAAGACTGCGAATCGCGTCTTTTGCTCGTCTTTCGATGCTTCAGGTTTGTGCTGCCGAGGCATTGCGGAGCCAAGATCTTGTTGAATCTCGCTTGGACTTGTCCAGGTCCTCTTGTTTTTACGCGCGAAGGATCCAAAGAATTTCGAGATTTCCAAAGGCAGCAACAGACGCGAAATTTCTTTGCATGTGCTCTTCATTTACGTGCGTATGAATATATGCAATGATTCAGAGACATGACTTATGGGGAGTGCAAGCATGGCAATAGGCCATGTTTCCCGTTTTGGGTGCGCCCATGACAACAACTGCCAGGCGAGCGAAGGAGCCGGGAAGCATGCCCGTTGGGTACCCTGGCTATTTAACGAATATGCAAGCCAATTCAAGCCACTGGTTTCTGAAGCAGTGAAGATCACTGGGTGTGCTGGAAGGTTCAACATGCACTCTCACAATTTTGGTTTAGCGAGGCAAGGCTCAACAACACAAACAGTGCGATTTGACAGCTGAGCGAGTGGGCAAAAAGGGTTTGGCGCAAACGCAACGACACGACCCGGCTTTTCTCTCGCGCACCAACGAAAAAGAGGCTTCCCCGTTCGTTCCTAGAGTCAAGGTGTTCACCTTTCTTTTGTACATGATTCGGAACCGAAAAACAGTAGCCCTCTGCAATCACCTCGGGGAGTCCAAGCACCTGGGTAGTGTTATCTGAAACGGTCGACGGCTCTTTAACCGGGTTTAGGTTCGATCAACCTGGTACACAGCATCCTTGCCGGCGTCGGGGCAGACGTGTAAGCAATACGGATGCTCGTTGACGAGGAACGGAGGCTGAAATATTCAAACGGTTCCTTCTAGCGAAACTTTGGAGGATGGAGGGGGGCGCGCGCGCGCGGCGGATCTGCAAACCATCAACTTGTGGGCTTTTTACAGAGAGCCCAGCTAGATATGAATATACTTGGGTACCCATTCTCCCCTCCTCTGCTGCTCTTTGCGAGTTTTGCGACTACAACAAGATACACATTTGTCTGAGCATCGATCCATCTTCGGCGGCGAGTCGTGTCGCTCCATCCACAGCTTTGGGCCCTTGCAAGGGCTGCCTGACAACCAAACTTGCGAACATGGGACATTACGTTAATGGCTTCTACGTCTTTTCTCCGGTATCAGCAGACGACCGTGCTGGTATACTATATGTTGCGACAATCCTGAGTTTGATCTTCTCCGTGCTCACCCTCATCGTGCGATACCACATCCAACGAAGGACCTTTGGACTCGATTTCTGGTTCATTTTCGCTGCGACGGTATGTTTGCTGGATTTGCGTCTGCATAAGCGCGTTCAAATGTACTGATCGGCATCTGCGGTAGATTGTTGCATTAGGTCAATATGCAGCTATATTCGTAGGGCTGGACAACTATGCTTTGGGCAGGGCTGTCCATCTCATGTCCAAGAGTGATCAACTCAATGCAGCGAGGGTATGTATTCCCCAACTACAAACATCGTCGCGTTCCGTTTACTGACCTTTGCTGTGCGATTAGTCCGCTATTGCAAGCAATTGCCTTTTCCTCATCGCAAACGCTCTCTCAAAATGTTCAGTCATCTTCTTCATGAAGCGCCTCTTCTCCACCGACAACAGGACCGCACGAACCCTCTGTAACAGCTTACTAGCTCTGGTCGCCGTGTGGGTAGTAGCCTCTATACTAGGCCTCAGCATCACCTGCGGCCCAGCCACCAAACTCGCCCAACATCGATGCGATGGACAGGTTAGTTCCCTCTCTATTCTTGCTCTTACTCAAAAAGATGGACATGCAACTAACCCACCTCAAAGATCGCGCGATGGAGCGTCGTCGCAACCTTTGACTCGCTCTTCGAAATCGCCATTTTCCTCCTCTCAATCATCCTCGTCGTTCCCTTGCAAATGACCTCCGAGATTAAGATTTCCGTAATCTTCGCATTCTGCTTCCGCCTCATCGTCGCCGTATTCGCCATCATACACGTCTACTACATCGCTCAATGGAGCACTTCCTCCGACCCTAGCATCGCAGCAGTCTACTCATTACTCTGGCAACAAGTAGAATTGGGATACGCACTCATGGCCGCCACAATACCAACATTACGATCCTTTGTCAGAGGATACGAAAAAGCAATGGGTTGGGAAAGCAGCTACTACATCCGCAACACCGCTTCTCGCACCACTGGCACCTACGCAATGAGCACGATGAACAAATCGCGACATGAAGAGGAAGGAGGAGGAGGCCAGGTTATCGGCTTGCACAGAATGGAAACGAACGACACGCAACCCCTGCGTCCGGATCGCCAAGGCTACAAAGCTAGCATCTATGGTGGAGGACAAGGAGCACTGGGCAGTGAGGTTTCGGATGCGAATATGCCGAGGAGAACAAAGAGTAGTGGGAGTAACGATAGTCAGGAACCGATCATCCGCAAAGATGTAGAGATACAGGTTTCCTCCGAGGCAGCGATATAGGCCTAATTGTTCTCTTTTGCTGCTTTTGGCATTTTGGATTCTTTGTGGATGGCTTCTTTTTCTTTTTCATGCAAATGATACCAAATCAACGTCTTTTCTCTCCCTTTTTTTCTCCAATCCGCGGACTCATCTCCTTTCTCTCTCTATGCTTTCGCCCGTAAAGGAAAATGGTTCGCAGGCCGAGGATGCGTGGTTATTGAACCCATGACTCTGCTCTCCACCTTCGAATCAATCATCGAGTCATTTTCCGCGTATCCGATCCCGGCCTCTAAGTTAGATAGCCGCCTAGAACACGTTCATCCGCCTCGGGGTCTCCGGCTCTTTTCGACGCTAGAGAACCGCATGAAAACAAGATCGCGTGCTTTGGAACAGATGTTAGCGAGGATAACGCCTGACTCGGACGCCGAGAGAACACAGATGTGTTGACTGCCAACGTTTTGAAGCGATTGAGGACATTGCAAATGCATTATTGCAAAAGGGAGAAATGATATTTCTAGTGTTGAATGATGCCACGCTATACCGCTCATGCAAAAACCCTAACCAAGCGCCACTTGTATATGCCTGGTTCCTGAACTCCGTATGTCTACTCATATAATGCCCTCTGTACAAACAAATTATCCCTGGATAGCAGCCTGCGGCACCTCAGCAGCATACTGCCCACACTTTGCCATAACCTTACCAAAATACTCTGTAACAAAACTTTCGGTGTAAAACTCATGCTGCTGACTGTGTTCCTCAACAAGATTATGCGCCAACTCATGACACAGCGTCACGAACCAATACACCGCTGCCTTTTGCTTACCCTCTCCTGCTGCACTTCCAAAGCTTGGCCAATGCAGTTGCAAGAAGTAGCGTAGATTGCAGAAGATGGATCCTTGGCGATTAAATGCAATGCTGTTGCCAGACTCATTGTAGTAGATGTGCAGGGACTGTGGGCGGAGGAGGAACACGTTGCCAATGTCGAGCAGCAAAGCGGCAAATGCGTTGAGTTGGGCAGCGTGAGCTTGTAGGAAGGTTGCTCTAGAAGATGCGGGAACAGCGTTGGCGAGGAAGATCTTGACGCCTGCTGAGGTGTTGCCGATAAAGGATAGGTCTTGACCGGGATTTGCGTCGCAGTATGATGGTGTCTCCTTGACTGTGTTTTGGGAAGGAGGAGAGAAGAGTGCGGACGAGTCGTGTGCGCGCGAAGAATTGACTGCCGAGATCAGGTTTTGTGTGATCTGATGGGGCGGAGTAATCTTTTCGGGTTGCTGGCTGACTGTGGACTTCTTCACGACTTGTCCAGGGTTCTCAGTATAAGGTGGCGGAGCATCAGAGGGTCCCCCTCCAGATTGAGGCGCGTCTTGCAACTGCTTCTGGCGTTGCTGCTGCTGCTCTTGCTCACTTGGGCCGGACTCGAATCCGAGTTGTCTCTGGAGGTTGGAGAAGAAGCCAGTACCTCTCTTGGGACGCTGCACAACATTAGTCTCTGGTGAGTTGTCGAAAGCACCTGGGATCGGCTTGGCCTTTTCAGGGGTAGCCTGCGGTGCTTGAGGTGCGTCAATAGCCCGTGTCTGTTGCTGGGCGTTCCATTCAACCTCGCGCTCTGCGATCTTCTTCTGCTCCTCTTCAATTTGCTGTTGTCGTTTGTTCTCAGCCATGCGGTTTTCGGCGGCCTTCTGACGTAGGATACGGTCTACGTTATAGCCCTTGGTCTTCAAGCGACGCAGGTCACTCTCCAGAATCATCTCCAGAGCGAGAAAGTCTTGCTGCTTCGGTCTCTTGAGCAAAAGAGACATTATCGCACGTGCGACCTCGTAAAAGTCAGGACGAGCGGTCACAAACAGTGTGGCGTCCTTCTTTGTGTCTCTATGCAGGGCAGCTGTTCTCTTCTCTTTGTACGTCGCGTTGTACCCACGCAATGTCTTGGTCAAGGTCAACGAGTTGACAACCTTGACAGCCAGCACTCCTTCAAGCCACTTCGAGTCGTGGCGGATTACCTCTGCAGTATGATCGTGCAAGAACAGACGACAACGCTCAACGATCAGGTTCTGGAGCTTGGCTGCACTAGATTGATCGGGGAGCAGACCGCCCATCCGCTGATCATCTTCGATCAGGCTACTAATCCAGGTGGCTCCAAGACCAGCGTACAAGTTCTCGAGTATTTCTTCCTGAGGACCAGCAAGCAATCTCTCCTTGAAAAGGCGATAACTGTAGAAATCATCGACGAGGATGATACTCGATGGCACGGCCAGATGCCACTCCTTGATAGCTGATTCATTCTCCTCAAAGTAATCGTGCTCACCCTCAGTCACTTTACTAGTGGTGGGCGCAATTTCTTTTACGGCAAGCAAACAGGGAGAACGCTTCAGTGCAGCCCAAAGCATTTTGTCGTTCTTCAGACCACTTGCATTGTCTGCTATACGACGCAGAAGACTGAGATATTTTTCCTGGCCGAGAGTACTCAACAAGCGAGAAGGCTCACGAACGAGCATGCCAGCAAGTTCCGGCGCGCTGGGTTCATGCTTGGAGCCAATCTTCAGCAGGAAGGAGTTGGCCTCGGACCCAAAGTCGACGAAATCAAAGATCTCGCCATAGGTAGCGCTGTCGCCCAAGAAGCAAGCTCTGGGAGCGGTGTAGCGGAGATTCTCGCTCTTCTCATTGCCAGAACCCGATTTGACGATGGGAATGATGCGAGACTCTCCCAGCCTCTCTGCAAGATTACCGGCTGGACCGATCTCATTGAGGCGACCTGCAAAGTAGCCAAAGATGTTCTTAGCGTCTGTTCGACTCTTGGGTGGGTTCTTGATAAGGTTCTCAGCGCAGATGGCAATGGGAGGATTTTGCTCTACGTTGAACAGAGCAGCATGCTTCTGCAGATCGTCTCGAATGATCGGGAAGCCAAGGATAGCAGACCTCTTGTTGGCAAAGCATTGTGTGGGTGTCGCCAGCTTTTTCAGATCACCGCCTTGAAGCGGTAAGAACGGCACCGTGACTCGCTCGACTGGGAAGGTGCGATATCCATTGGTGTAGTGGTTGGTGATGTAGTACTGTAACGTCTTTTCGTACAACCTTGAGTCACCCTCGGCAGCTGCTTTTGTCATGATTGGTATCAGGTCTTGAACACCAGGGCAAGCCTTGAGCCCTAGTACACTCAAGAATTTCGATTCTGGACTACCTTTGCGGAACTCGCCAGGCCAATGCAGAAGTGGCAGCCCGAGCTCTCTCAGGACGGGCAGTGGCTCATACAGATCCGAGACCTTGTATAGCTTGCCCTCTGTGGTCTTAGAATCACCTTGAACCTCCGCAGGACAGATCGGCGTCTTACGCAGTTTCTCGTAATCTTCAGTGGGAATATCTGTCTGAACACTGACAAGATATTTGATCAAGTCAACATGACTCCACTTGCCCTCAGCAGCACCTGAAGATTTCGCCATGAGTCTGTCGAAAACTACGGACAATTCCACAGTCTTACGAACTCCAAGTGGTAGAAGGAACTTCTCCTTGACACCCTGGAGACCATGAACAGTAGGCAGATCGTCAAATAGTTTCACGGAGGAGAAGTAGGACTGAGCTGGCTTGCGCATACCAAGCTTGGTAGGTATGACTGTTCTTGGCTCAAGAAGTTGCACAACAGTACCCTTCGAGGACTGGCTCAGGCCGTCCCACGACTTGGAGACCACAGAGAGCACCTGTCCAGAGAAGTTGGGCGATATGGTGATGCTTTGCTCAGCGGTAAGACCTGCGCCATCCTTCTCGATCAGGTAACGTAACCAAGGCACGATCTGGATTTCACTCCAACCAAAAGCTTCAAGCTGGTTCTTGGGTATGTTCTTGACGAAGCGGAAAGGTATAGTTGTAGATGGAGCAGGAAGCTCAGAAGGGATTTTGCTCGGATTGGGAAACGAGTCAATGCTCCCCAATAGCAAGACTGGACCAGGATACGTGCTACTGTATTCCTCGGCAATCGTGGCAACAGTACCATCGAACAGTGAGCGAAGCGCGGAAACGTCTATTTCGTCTTTGCTCAACTTGCTAGCTGCCCACTTGATCAGTTCAGTCAACTGCTTCTCTTCCAAAGCTCGAGCTTCCAACTCTTTCTTGATATCATGAGTAGTGATATCAGATAATAGCCCGTACTCTTTGAGGTTACGCATGAAGACTGAAGCTTTCTCCATGATTTCGTTCGGGACCACTGGAATGCCATCCACGAAACTAAGATCTTCGGTCGCAACACGAACCTCAAAGCTAGGAAGTACACCACGTGTAGACAATAGATTGATAGAGCCTTTCGAGTTGCAAGTCCAGAAGGCTTCTTCGATGATGGAACCAACCTGAGATGATGGTGTTGACTCTGAAAAGGTGTATTGCTTGAAAGTGTGGATAGCGGATGCCATGACAGCGTCGAGATCTTCTTTTTGAACCTTTTTCATGCCGGAAGCTACCATTTGACGCTCGAGCTTGGCCTTTAGCTCGGCCATATCGCCTGTGTAGGCAACTCGACATGCTATGCCAGCGACTCGTAGCATCTCCACGTTCCAGTCCCGAACCCAACGTGCATTCAAGTCAATACTCTCACGTTCGACTGTGGGGATGACAGATGGTGCGGAGATGTGAGCAAGGAGACCAGTCGTCTGCGCAGTAGGGAAACCGATAAACACACGTCCGTTCTTGCTCGGAAGCACAGAGGCAAAGATTTCAGATGCCTTGCCGGATGACGAGCCTGAAAGAGTGGCCATAGACACTGCACTCTCATCATATGAGGATGTCAAGATGGCGATTTTCGTATGCTTTGGCGGAGGCTTTTTGGTAGCACGTTCAAGTTCAGCAGCCAGAGTCTTGTTGACGTATGTTTGTACATTGACAGTGCTGATCCGCAAGAACACTGAAGCAGTACTCGTGCCTGCGAGATCCTCAGATATGGCTCTCTGGACAGCTTCTTCTTCTTTCGCAGCTCGTTTGGCGGCCGTACTAGGACCGGCCGCAGCGGATGCAAAGCGACTGAAGAAACCTCGCAGTGACTGAGTTGGTGGCTCTGATGATGGCTGTAGCTGTTGCTGAACGCCAGCTACACGCGTCCATCCGATGACATTGCACCACTTCGCATCGATCTGGGCGTTCTGGTATTCCACACCAACAATCTTCATGAGGCCCGCTTTTGTCTTGGGATTGACATCGGCTGGGATACTAACATCAGCCGACGGGGCCATCTTCTTGTTGAGAGTGATCATATTCCATTGGTCGACCCATAGCTCAATAGACTGGAGGCCGACGAAGGTGAGACTGGTGGCAAGAAATTGGCAGATGGATATCAGATTTGGTACAGGGGATGTTGTGTTGCGGTAGTCGAGAACAAAGGCAGTCTCGCCTGTTGCTTGTTCTTTCGGTAGCTTTCCCCTTCTGGTGAACAAGCTGTTCCCTTTCCAGTAGAATGCCATGGTCTGGTCTCCTGAACTGACAAAAGGGTTCTCACAGTCGGCAAAGACACTGTAGAAACCAACACCAAAAGCACCAATCTTTGTCTCGTCTGGGTTTCCTTCTGCGATTCTCTTTAAACGTTGCCAATCCGTCTCAGCAAAGGACTGGCCATTGTTGGACACAAGCAGTCGTTGTAGGGTATGGTTGGTCAGGACGTGCTTGAGTTGAGCGGACGGGTCGCTGGCGGGTGGTACGGGGACGCTCGGTGACGGTAGAGTTTCGAACTTGATCGAGACCTTGGTAGCCTGAGCATCGGCAGCGTTCTGGATGAGCTCGCGCAAAGTCGTCCATTCTCCCGAGTATCTGGCCAGGACCTTGTCGATCAATGCTCGAGTGTTGACCGTAACGGCCTCTTCATCGAGGCCGGAGCCCATGGTTTGTTCGCGCAAACGCGCATAGTCGATGGTGCCTGCCATCTATGTGTGTCCAGTGGCAACTTATAGCATGAGCTGAGAGACCAGTGTCCAGCAGTGGCGAGGGTTCGGGGGTTGATGTCGAGCGGTGAAGGCGGTGCAGTATTCGACGTTAGAATGGGATAATGCTCGAATTATTAGGTAGTCAGAGGGAGTGGTCAAGTCTTAAAGGATACAGCTTTCGAGTCGAAGCGAGAGTGGCACATGGTTCCTTCTGGAAGAGAGACAAAGACATCCGCGCCTCAAGGCACTTGCGCCTTCCTCGACGATATCCCCGGATTTAGCTGAAACAACACCCTCTAATCGCCGCATGACGCCTCGCGGCTCCGGAGCCCTGCCAAGGCTAGGCCGAAGATTCTCCGTCTACAGACTCTTACACCGGGCGTCTCTCATTTCTCTTCTTTCTTTCTTCAACTCATTACCGGTGCTTATTGTAGGAGTATCCTTCGCGAACTTTGTTTCGTTCCAAAAGGTTTCTCCTCTACACATGTACCGCAGACAGATGCCAAAGCGCCACAGCTGGAGCAACTAGGGTCAAAGTCATTTGATCTGATGATGTATCTGTTCCTTACCGGTGTCGCTACAAACCGCCCTGAAACTTGTCTTCTTCAAGCTGCCTATCATTGTGATATCAGAGCTTGTCTCCGCTCGTTACAAGCAGCCACGCTGTTCTGCGACATATTATGCAGTTCTGGGCCAAGACGCGTGACTCGAACCAAGCCAGGGTGCTGCCGGCAACAGCTAATAACGGACATCCAGGCCGAGCTAGCATATGTTCAGGTGCTTCAACCAGGTATCTGTAGGCTCGTGTTAGATGTCCTGGCTGCCTGGTAGTGCTCGCTATGCAATTCATTGGGCTGTGATTGAAAAAGACAGTCAATACCGCGTTCTGTGTTTCCCTTGTCTCGAAAGTGCAAAGAACACGACTTTGCTCGAGTTTGAAAGAGACTTCGAACTCGAAACTCAGCGCCCTGAGCCTGACTATATATTTTGTCTGTCTCAAGCTTCGGATTGAGATTTGCGTTCTTCTCATCAGATGGCGTCGTACAACATCCACTTTCTGAAACCATGTATTAGTGCTCTGCACGCATGCCTCGGTCATTTATCCACTAGTCTGTGAAACACTCGAGACTTAACCTGACCTACGACAAATTGTTACAGCCGCGATCAGTTTCTGTTACCCCCATTAACTACTAGCCTACACCCTGCGATGCAACCCCATCTCACCGTACGTCCATTCCGTCCACGTGAAATGCTCGCGTCGAGAGAGCATGAAGCAAGATGCGTCATGACGTGTGGAGACCCCACATTCCGATTTGTCTCCACCGCTTCTCGTCGATCACAAAACGACCTCCCTCGAGTTGACCTCGTGCCTGTATCACCGGTTCGTATGCGAGTTATTTCCTTACGTGCGAGCGGCTCTGTCAGCTGCACGAGCCCTATGGACAGCCTCTGACTGTTGTGTCCGAGGAGCCAAGACCTGGATAGAGATGCCGTCACTTGAAGAGGTCGCCCAACCTTGACAACTTGAGGCTTGAGCGACAGTGCTTCGCCTGCTGCGCCTAAGAGTACTGCCAAATGTTTCCAGAACAAGGCGGATAGTCTCTCAAGTCTCATTCGAAGCGACAGTGACACGCTACAAGTATGGGCGCTTTACGAAGGACGAATGAGCAGCAAGATCATACTATTCTGGTACCACATGTTGCAAGCCCAACAGCCAAGCCACTGGACGTGTTGCTGATCTTCGGTCGGCACCCTGCGCATGCCAACCTGACTTTCCGTCTAACCTTAACCATGAGTAAGATTTATCCTAACTTCGCGACAAGATTATGATCAACGAGGTCTCGGGACTTTGTTCAGAAGATGATCGCTGGATTGATCGACTATACGTCTTGGCCGTTTGGACATTCCTTTTGTACGGACAGCACCAACTGCCCAGCGCCTTGGCTTTGTCAGCCATTCCGACCTCCAACCAGTCAGCGTCTTGTTACTACAGCGCATAGCTACAATCTTGTTTGTAAACGTCGCTGCAGCTTGAGGGAAAGGACACAGGGTCGACCGTTAACGGGTGTGCCTGCATGGCGACCCACGATGACTACCACCGAATACTTCCGACGTCATACAGCAGAAAAAACTACCTGTCAGGAATGGACCAAAGGATCTTCTGCTCACGTTGCACTGCCCCTTACTCGTTGGAGATGAGGTATACAGATGTAAGAACGCCAAGATGACGATGGAGGCTGCGAAGGAAGTATGTTGTTGGTCAAGTGATTGCACATCGCTACGGCCGTGTGTTGTTATTGCTAGTCTGGGTGGCCGGCAATAGGTGATGTGAGCAGCGAGTATCAATGTGGTAAGTCTATGGTAAGAGAAGTTGACAGCGGGTTGACTGATATAAAGGTCGCAAGCCCTCGACGATGTTGAGCTGAGTATATCGCATCTTCAATTGTGCAGACACAGTATACTTACCCCTACACTTCCATCTCGTTCTTATCTTGTCATACATACACAGCATATACACTTCTATACCTTGCCCTAAATGTTGAGCACAACTTTGACTCTGCTGGTAACAGCACTACTGTCCTCAGCAGCTCCAGTCGAAAAACGCTCAACGAGTGGTGCTGTTATCACGGTCGACTTCCCAGATCCAGCACTTGTTAGTGTTAACAACAAGTGGTGGGCGTTCGGAACCCAGTCTCTCTATGACAACAAGCAAATACACATTCAGGTTGCTTCTTCTTCTGACTTCAACTCTTGGTCTCTCCACAATGGTCAAGATGCCTTGCCAAACTTGCCTGGCTGGGTAGACCAGAGTAACCCTTTGGTGTGGGCTCCTGATATCATGCATCTGGTAAGTCAAGATGTAGCGTCCCCTATGTGAAACACGACTGACATATCAACAGGACGATGGGACTTTTGTGATGTACTTCAGTGCCACTACCAACATCGGTGGTAATGGAAACTACCACTGCATAGGCACAGCTACCAGCTCCAATGTTGAAGGTCCCTACACTCCATCACCAAACCCATGGTACTGCCCCGTCAATCAGGGTGGCGCTATTGATGCGGCAGGCTTCCGAGATGCAGATGGCACCTGGTACATAACCTACAAGATCGACGGCAACGCCATGGGCAACGGAGGCATTTGCAACAATGGCAATGCTCCTATTGTCAACACACCCATCATGATCCAGAAGGTCGGAGCAGATGGCATGAGCAAGCAAGGCAGTCCTTCAACCATCATGAACCTTCAAGCCTCGGATGGTCCCGATATTGAAGCCCCTGCCATGATCAGAAGAGAAACCACATATATACTTATGTTCAGCTCTCACTGTTACAGCACAAACAGCTACGACACACTATACGCAACCAGCAATTCGCCCACGGGAGGCTTTGTTCGAGGAGGAAGCCTTGTGGGTGGTGGAAGAGGTGGCATGGATGCTTCATTGGATGCCACTCATGTTGCCTTCCATGGACTGCAGAGTGATGGACGCAGGTTCATGTACACTGGCATCCTGAACATCAACGGCAATACTGTTACGATCTAGATGATGATGGACGACTTGACGGACTACGACATTTCACGACCTGATTATGATTTGATGGATGCATCTTGTACTACATATACTGCGACCTTGGTGCAAGATTGCACTGGGTCTTCTTACCGCCAAACCGACGATCCGAGGACGAATGGGGTTCTACAGATCACCAGCTAAATCTCAATTGTAACCCCCATAGTTTTCCATGCTTCCCTATATTCTTCCTCACCCATCCATCTTGAGTCTCGAGTAAGGTCGTACTGGTTTGCATCCAGGGCGTCGCGTGTTTGAGACAGTCCTCGAACTTCAGAGTCTCCCATTGGGCTATCTGTCAGCTGATCTGATGCTATCTCGTGAGTAGAATCAGAGTCGTCTTTGATATCGAGTGCTTGGCATATAGCCTCTCTGACATGGCTGAAGATGAGCGATGAATCTACTTTCCCTATCGCTGCCAGATTCTTCGCCCAACAGGATCTTAGAATACCTTAAACCGGACGCGCCGAGGTATCGATTTCGAAAGTCCCATCTCTCAGGGCAGTTTCTACTTGACGTAGAGTTCTCCGATCGGGTATATTGGCGAGAGGGTCAATGCCACTTAAGAGAAAGTGGAGGCAAGTAGCCAACCGGCTTATATCTCCCTCAATGAAACGATCGGATGATTCATCGCCGCGCTAATGGACTGAGCCAAAGTCGAACAGCTTGAGATCGTTGTTCTTATCCACTCCCATGTTTCTGATTGCCAAGTCGCCGTGCGTATACCCCAGCTCCTCGATTTTTGCATTGGCTCTTAGTAGTTGCCTGATCCAGCAAAGGCGAGACTTGACTGATGCATCATGCCAAACTGTCTCGAGTGGCTGCAGATGTTCAAGTAGAATTGCGTCTTCGAATGTCGAATGGTCAACTTTGACGATGTCATGCTGCCCTGTGCTTTCCAGCACTCGATAGAAGGCTCGTTCGCAATGGAAGCTATCGATGCTGGATTGCGAGAGCTCAAGCTGTTCAACGGCTTCGTCCATGTCAAACGATTCTGTGGCCTTCACGGGATACTGGTACGGCATCTTGAGGACATGATGCTCTGACAGCTTGTAGGCAACTCCCTGAGAAGCGGCAATGCTTAGGCAGTCTTTGTTTGGCAGAACATAGGGAGTGAACCAGGTGTTGTCAGGCATCTGTGACTGTGAGTATGTCCCTCAGCTTGGAACTGGGATGTTTACGTTTACAAGTCAGTATGTGCAATCTGATGTTGCGTCCATGGTTCGGCTGAACACAGGAAGCTATGGCACGAAATATAGCCTTCGTAAACACCATACCTCGCATTCACTTCTTTGGTGGCCGAGCATCTTATTCTCGTGGACGAATTTATCGGGATTTTGAAAACGAATTCCCCAAACAACAAAACTTTTAACGTTCCGACGTTCTAAACGATAATTTCGCTATTTCGTCGCTATTTACGTAACAACGGTTAGCTATAAAAACATAAAAAGTTAATAGGTATATTTAAATTGTATGGATTTATAGTATATTAGGTTTTTATGTTCTTAAAAGCATTATATATATAGTTATCTTTACTTTCATTAAATTTAGCATTCGAACAATAGATTTAGGATCGTAAGGTGATTTTTTATAACATAAAAAATTATAAAAAATTCTAGATTTTACCTTTTTCTATTTTATGTAATTATATAATAACTACTTATTTTAATAAGGTAAGTATATATAGTATACTTATATATAGGTATATATATTTAGTCTAGATACTTAGAAATGTATAATCGATAATACTTAGATAGTTATTTACGAAAAACATAAATTCTACTTTTAATCGTTATATAGCTTACTATATACTTATTTTAAATACTAAAAAAAAGTATAGGCCATATAGTTATAGTAGTAATAAGTAGTTTATAAGAATTTTAAAGCTTTAAACTAATGTAGTCATGCGCTATTATACTAACTATTTTACATTTCGTTAAGCGGAACGTACCTTTTGGAGTTTTGACGCTCGGGATTTCGTTTTCAAAATCCCGATAAATTCGTCCACGAGAATATCTCGGCAGCTTTAGTGCGGTGGACTCCTCCTCTTCTTGACGTAATTACTATGCTACGCCAATAACGCAATCATCATCTCGCTGTGCATAGACATTGAGCCGTCGAGGTAGTCTGAGTCTCAGATCTAGTAGCAAGGATGGGGAAAGAAGTGAGGTACAATGTCGGGCTCCGGGAGAATGTCCAGCAATCTTGGGTTTTGATTGAAAGGTACGTCAAGAGTATCTGTAGAAACTCATCACGCTCTTTTCCTACCACAACAATCTAATGGATATAATACTAGCTCGCACAACGGCAGGTATAGCTCCAGGAACTTTGCACAATCTACACAACATGCATAAACTCGCTCACGGATCTTGAGCCTCCGCTCCGCTCAGCTTTAGCTTCCCCTCCTCCTTCGCTTGACCATCAATTGACAACAAGAATTGAGTCAAGTTATGCACAAACGGAGTGTCCAGATCCGTGAATTTTGCTGTTGATGGTAAGTATATAGGGAGTAAGTATCGCTTTGCTACACCATCGCGCATGTTCCTTTCCTTCTCGATCCTTTGATCAATCTTTCAATAGCTTTTCCATTTTTCCCTTAAGCCCGCCATGGCCGAACATAAGGAGAGCGCTGTGTCGCCACGTCTAAGACGTCCTCAGACATCGACAGAGCCACGACATTACACTCCTACAGGGATGCTGAGAAGCAGAATGCCACCACACAACAATCAAACGAAACGACCGACCCGAACATCGTCTCCTGGGATGGCGAAGATGACCCACAGAATCCAATGAACTGGACATCCAAAGCCAAAATCACCAACTGCGGCGCCATCATCTTCCTCACGCTGTTGACACCACTGGCCTCCTCCATGTTCGCACCTGGCGTCCCCGAGGTCTTGAGCGACTTCAAAGAGACATCTGTCACACTTGCCGCCTTCGTCGTCTCTGTCTTCCTGCTCGGGTTTGCTATAGGCCCGCTGTTGATCTCACCATTGAGTGAGATATATGGTCGTCGTCCTATATACATGGTCTGCAACGTGGGCTTCATCATCTTCACTGTCGCGTGTGCGGTGGCTCAATCCATGCCTCAACTCATAGTGTTTCGATTCCTGTCTGGATGCTTTGGAGTTTGCCCTGTGACTCTCGGTGGTGCTAGTATTGCGGATATGATCCCGCAGGAGAAGAGAGGTGGTGCGATGGCTTTGTATGCTATAGGTAAGTTGCTATACCAGTTTCGACGTCACTGTTACTTGACGTACCTCAGGACCGTTGTTAGGACCGGTCATAGGCCCCGTGGCGGGCGGATTCTTAGCCAGTGCTGCAGGTTGGCAATGGTACGGTTCCAATTCTTTCGCCCTCATCTACGACAACTCAGCTGACAATCCCCTGCTTGCAGGACCTTCTGGTTGATCACCATCGCCTATGGTGTCGCCACCATTATACACGCCCTCGTCTGCAAAGAAACGTTCGCACCCACAATTCTTCAACCCAAGACCACAAAGCTGCAAAAGGAAACAAACAACAACGAGCTTGGCTCAAAGCTAGATGATGGTCTCTCTAAAGAAGAACGCATGTCGCGTGCGCTTGTCCGACCCTTCAAGATGCTCTTCTTCTCACCTATCGTCTTCTTGATGTCTCTCTACGTCGCTGTAAGCATTTGAAGACGCCTTTGCACCAATGGTTCGAGTACTGACACAATCGCTGCAGGTGGTGTACGGCATCTTGTACCTTCTCTTCACGACTTTTACCTTTGTCTACGAAGAACACTATCACTTCTCAAGCTCCACCGTCGGATTGAGTTATATCGGCAGCGGTATCCGAATGTTCATCGGTCTCATCGTCACCGGCAGCTCTTCCGATAAAATTCTCAAACGCCTTACCGCTACTAACAATGGCAAATCGAAGCCAGAATTCCGCCTGTCGCCCCTCATCTTCCTCGGTGTCTTTATGCCCATTGGTCTTTTCATCTATGGGTGGACTGCTCAGAACCATGTTCAGTGGGCTGTTCCCATGTTGGACACGCTCTTCTTCGGCATCGGCTTGATCTCTTGTTTGATCTGCATTCAGACCTACTTGATCGACGCATTTACCCTGCATGCGGCGTCTGCTATGGCTGCCAACACTCTTCTGCGATCTATTCTCGGTGGACTTCTTCCTCTGGCGGGCCTGGATATGTATGATGCGTTGGGGTTGGGCTGGGGAAACAGCTTGATTGGCTTCGTTGCTTTTGCGATGTTGCCCATCCCTGTGGCTTTCTACTTCTATGGTGAAAAGATCAGGAACAGGTTCCCTGTCAAGCTTTAAGTTTTGTAGTTACAGTAGTAAAGATTCTGGAGAAATGCCATCCATTGTTCAACTCTGCACATGTTCAGACTTTCGTCCAAAGTGACAAATGTGGAGCAGCAGACGCTTGAGATTGACGAGACTAGCCATTTTGTGTCGGGATACAAGATGTCTGCATTGGAGTTTACGGTAAGGTCGTGGGTAAAGAAAAGTTCGGGTCGATTCAGGGGCTGGAGAGCTTTGGGTAACTTTTGGCAATCTTCAGAGAATCAAACAACTGGTCTTGATTATAAGAAAACGATGAATGGAAACAGAAGTATCGTGAAGGAAGCGGAAATTTCGATTGTAGTTGCAGCTATGGAAACAACCCTTGCTTATGGTGGGTGCTGGACCAGATATGAAGGCGGCGCCTATAACGTGTCCTTAGAGCATCTTGCCTTCACAAGTTCAATACCACAAGGGCCTCTGTTGAAGCGTCAGACGCGTGTAGAAACTTCTGTAGAGAGAACCAGGGCGTAGGGCACAGCAGTAGCCTCCGCGTATGATAGATACAGGTCTGATCAGGGGCTGCTGGAGATGTTGACATAGGCTGAAATGATAACCACACAACCATCTAGATCAGCAGCGAAGTATATCAGGGGTGTGCGAGTGTCAGAAAGCATCGGGCGCGCAAGCTTTGCATGTGACGGCGTGAAAGTGAAGTGAATGGTCGCGAGCGCGACTTGACAACACCACTCTTGGCGTCGGTCGAGCCACGAGCTGGTGGCTATAATTCACAGCGCGAGCGCCGCCAGCTTCTTTCCTTCTTCATCTCACCCACCTTCCTTTTCCTCCATCCACACTTCATCGCCAACCTGGGCCGTCTGCTTTTTGTTGCTTCTAGAGCTGCGTTCCAGCTCGCCCCCAACCTCGTTTCGGTGTTGCCCGTCCTTCTTCTTTCTTGTTGTTTCCCCCCGAGTCGGCGTCCTTTGTTCGTTTCACCTTCTGCGCGCCTTGCCCAGGTCACGTCTGCTACACTTTGTCATCTTCTTTCATCGTTTGCGCCTCTGCTGCGCAGTGCCCCATCTTCCTGCCCTCATTCGCCCATGGTCTGCCGCTTCACCCGCGGTGTACAGGCTGCCATGGCGCCGCGCACCTCTTCTTCTACGTTGTCCTCACTCTCAGGAGTGTTGATTTCTGGATGGCGGCAGCACCTCTTTAGGTGTTGCGCGACCTTGGTCGATCGTTGCTAATAGGCCTCGCCTACGTGTGTCCGCCGAAGAATCAAAACCTGGACTCTCGACCAGTCACTATACCCGGATCTGAATCCTTTTGCCGCAAGGCCTGGGGAAGCTCGGAGGCCGGGGCGTGGCAACCAGACTGTCGATGACCATATCCAGCAGCGGAGGCTTTCATGCCTGTCCTAGCCGGATGAGCTGCCCACGCAGACATCCAATGGTGGTCCACTGAACATTGTGATATGGGAATGGGCAGCAAAGTGGGGACAAGACAAGACGTATCGAGACCTTCCGGAGGGAGCTGTAACGGCCTAACTCCGATCGGTGTAGTACCGGCGAGCTGTAACGAGTCAATGGTAATCTTGTCGAAAAAACAACAGTCCCCCTCATACGTGTTCAACCACGCCGGGGCCCGCACGTCGACCGGAGAAGCCATTCACGGTCTGCATGGCATGTGAAGTACCGCAAGGGAACCTATGCCATGTCGCCATGTCTGGTCATCCGAAGATGCGAGATCGGAAGAGTAGCGTGGAGCTCTATCCGTGGATAGTCGGCACAATTTTTGGAACTTTTCAGTCGACTCTCTTTTGAGAGTTGACCCAACACTTTTTTTTTTTTTCATCGTTGTCCTGGCTTCTCAGCTAGGCGCCGGAGAAGGAATCTCCATTTATCGGTATGTGTTGACTTGTCGTTCCTGTCGCTCGGTGTCTGTCCCTCTCGTCTTGCTCTACGAGTAGTCGGTATGCTGGCGGCTTTCTGTTCATCATACACAAGCGCGTAGCTTTCCTTGTTCCTTTATCAGGGGCGTCTTTGTGTGCATCCTGCCATCAAACACATTGCACTTGCAACTTTGGATGGCAACATACCCAACGTTTCGCGCTTGCATCGTCGCTTCTCTTGAGTCTTGTCGAGTTGTTACGAGAACCAGAGGCTTCGCGAGCTGTCGTTGAAAGAAAGGTAGCCGTTCGTGCGGAGAACGCACCGTATTCTCATGTGCAGAAGTGATGAGGCATATCGACCTCGGTCAATCGACCATCTCTCAACCACGACCATCACCACAAGTTTTCATCTTCTCAAGAATACGGAGCCGACAAAGCAATGCCTCCAACAGTTCCCGCCCACGTCTTCAACGCCCTCAAGCGCTTCACCTCCTGTGACGTATGTCTTTCCCCCCTCTCACCATCCCACCACAGCTAGCTAAACCTCATCCTCACAGGTCGGCGATGCCCTCATAAAACTAAACGTCCGCTACGGCGGCTACCTCCACGGCCTACGCATGTACTCTCCCACCCCCCAAACCTGCACCACAAAAATACTCGGGCCGGCCTATACAGTGCAAATGGTTGATGCTGCCGACACCACCTCTCCAAAGCCATCTCAACACTTTGTAGATGGAGTGAGTAAAGATGCAGTAGTGTTTATTTCGCAACCTGAAGGCTTTTACTCGGCGTGTTGGGGAGGCTTGATGACTACGAGAGCAAAGTATTTGGGTGCAAAGGGAGTGGTGGTGGATGGGAATGTGAGGGATTTGGGGGAGCATAGGGAGATGGGGTTTCCGGTACGTTTGTGTCCTGTCCTTCTCTAACCTATCCTTGCCATCGACTGTAAGAGAGGTTTGCTGATGATGGTGGTATGTTGCGACAGGTTTTTGCAAAAGGCACCTCAGCACTGGGCTCCAACACTTTTACCAGAGCGTCAGGGCTCAACGTTCCTGTGCAATTTACCTCGGAAACACAGAAAAGGCCTCTGACTATCAATCCTGGAGACTTGATCTTGGCGGATCAAGATGGTGTTGTCGTTGTGCCTGTTGAACACGCAGAAAAGTGTTTGAAGATTTGCGAGGAAAGGTTTGAGATTGATGAGAAGACTATGGAGGCGCTGAAGAATGGAGAAGCTATGGGTGATACGCTTGCTCGTTTGAGGAAGTAGGGTGTGCGAACAGATGTTTATGAATCTTTGAGCTTTTGATATTCGAAGACAGACTATAGACTTTTTGATTTGCTATGCTGATTCTTCCATCACTCAGACCTCAGAGCGAGCTGCAACGGGCTTCTGCTTAGGAGGAGCATCGATTCTAGCCGCCAAACCAGTAAGCTTGACATCCGCTGCCGTGTTGTTCGTGACATCAAACTTCTCAGCAAAGATAAAGGTATGAGGGAATCCAGGGTCAAACGGAGCCGCAGCCTCAATCTCGTTCAAATCCTCTTGGGTAAGAGTTATACTCAAGGCTTCGACATTGGCCTTGAGGTGTTCGACCTTGCGTTGGCCAACGATGGGGAACACGTTGGGGGTCTTATGCATGACGTAGGCGAGAGCGACGCCATGAAGAGTAGCGTTGTGCTTTTCAGCGACCTTCTCGAGGGCATCTGAGATGGCATCTTCGTGCTCGCTGGACTTTGAGGCGCGAGCAGAGCCTTCGTGGTCTTTGCTGCGGGCTTCCTTTGTCTTGAATTTGCCCTGGCCCAGAGGACCCCAGGGTGCGAGTGCCATGCCTTGATCTTGACACTACAAATTTTATCAGTATCGAATCCCAGAGCCAGCTTTGAGAACAACTTACCATGGGGATAATCTCCCTTTCCATATCTCTGTACGAAGCATTCCACTTGCCCTGGTATACCGAGAAAGGACGCAGACCATGAGACCGAGCATACTCATTAGCCTTGACGACGACCCAAGCAGGTGTATCCGAGACTCCGAGATACAAGACCTTGCCAGCAGTGATCAAAGCATTGAGACCATGCATGACTTCCTCAACACTGGTAGTGAAATCCCACCAATGCACATACAGCAAATCAATATAATCCGTACGCATCTTCTTCAGCGAGCGGTTGACAGAAATATGCATCGACTTGAAGGAGTTGCCGACAAAGTTGGACTGGAGGGGTTCTGCATCACGAGCGTGGCCGCGGTATCCGGTGGTGTATTTGGTGGCAATGACCATCTGATCGCGGTTTCCTTTCTTCTCCATCCATTCGCCGATCCATTCTTCAGATTCTTCGCATTGGTACGCGTTTGCGGTATCGATGAAGTTGCCGCCGAGGTCGAAGAAGGTGTCGAGCACAGCGAAGCTGTCTCCTTTACCGCACTCTCCCATGACTGTGAACTGTCAGTCATATACTTTGAGTCAGGATCGGCTGGTAGTCACAATCTTTCCTGCGGGTCAAACATCAGTCAGATACTCTGAGTCGGAATTGGCTGGCAAACCTTACCATCCAGTGCCGAAGTTCATGGCTCCCAGACACAATGGAGAACATTTGATGCCTGCAGTAGGTGCTAGGACTCTATGGTAGCCAAGAAGACTCTTGGGCTTGGGTGCAGGATCGAAGAAAGACATTGTGTATGACGGGTATATTGTTCAATGAGTTGAAGAGCTTGTAGTATTCTGAACTGTCAATGATCGAGGCACAGCTTCCTATTTGTACTTGACTTTATCGTTCGAGCAGCTGCAATGACGTGTGGTAGACGCGGGGTTAGGATGTTTATGTCCAGACTCCGGAGTTATGGACGCTCACCCTTCCGCTCCTGAAGCCTTAATTGTGGACTATGCCAATCCGATATCTTCTAAAGATGGGTCTCCTATGAGAAGCCCTAAGGATTCTCAGTGCAAGAAACATGTGATTCGGCTTGGAAGACGAGCTCGGAGGACCAAAAAGTGTTGGTATCGGATTTAATCTTACTTCCAGTGAAACTATCTGGACGACTCGCCATCAGGGTATGTGGTTGTGAGGGCAAGGTAGCAGTATCCTATCTGCTCAATGGATTTATGAGACTGTTGAATACGAGAGACCAGAAGACTTTGCGTTGATTACAAGTACCGTGCCAATTTCATCGAGCTTCTGTCAGCCTTCCAAGATCCTTCAGCGGGACCTGCGACTCATATGAATTTTTCCTGCTCCTATTCCGTCCTTTGCCATTATCAATACTCTCAGTGCGGAAGTCGCTATCTGAATCTCCAACGTAGACTTGCACATCTCTCTGACGAGATATACCTTGAATGTGTTCCTGTTGCGCATGGTCGGGTTGCGAATGGGCAATTACGGCAGTGTTTTTGGGACCCATATGCATATCATCGTCGTCGCCGTGGAGCGCGTGTGGATGGCGTGGCCTTTGTGATTGCTCACCAGACAGGCCCAAAGAGGTCGATTTTGGCTTTACGTCGTTTTCAGATGTTCGGGCGACTTTGACTATCATGTCTGCCATCTGTACCAAATAATGTCAGCATATTTCTTTAGAAGTTGTGGAGTGGTTCAGCTGGTATACGTACAGACATCTCTATATTGAGCTTTGCCATATCTTGGGAGGAATATCAGTGATTGTTCGAATGGTAATATGGATTTTGCATACTTACAGGCAACAGGATGGAACTGCACAAAGAGTGTATGGTTTCTCAATGACATGAGTCCAATGAGCATGAGCTGAGAAAGCATCAGTATGTGTCACGTACGGAGTGTAAGATGTTCGGAGGCAACACACATCCATAGCTACGGATACAAGGCCTAAGCGGGTATAGTAAGAGACAAGTGGTTTGTACTTTCTGAGTCCATGATATTTGACGAGACGCGCCCGCACGGTGAATACGAAATACCAGTTGAGAAAGGCACTGTAGTGTCATCAGCAAATGTCACTCATATGGCGGTAGAGTCTCGAAAAAACTCACTCGACGAGCATAATCAAGACCTTGGATAATCTATCCCAATACCGATTAATATGAACAAATGTTTGGTTCACCGGCGGCATCATATGGCTTGGGATGAAAATGCAGAACACCGCGATGTTGATGCACGAGATGATGACCGCTGTTGCGATCTTGAGTTTCGTTGCAGTAGGTCTCCGTTCTGCGATGACGGCAATTCTATTGATGATGATTTGCATCAAGAGTTGCACTTCCAGTGCGTAGAAGACAAGGATGAAGAAGAGGAGGGTTGGCCTGCGGTTGTCATCAGTGTATGATCTTAGTTCTATATACTACAGATCCACGAGAGTTTGTGACCATCAATCGAGTTGTTCGTGGCCAAACACCAAACGAAGGAAGGACCTGGCCATGCACCTTTGTACGAGCAAACGCCAAATATAAATGACTTTGTTCAGAGCGATGGTCCATAAGCCAGAGTTGCTTTCCGGATGTCATGTAGCCCATTTTCGATCGCATATTCAGCAATTCCAGACGGAGCAGATCACAATATACGCGCAAACCTCGCGTGTCCGTCTAGCCATAAACGAATGCAGTACTTACGTAGTCTTTACAACGTCCTTGAGATAGAGCCATGTCAAGATTCCAAGGATAAGATTTGCCAGGATCTCGCCCCAGAGCATATCTTAAAGTAAGGGTACAATTAGCATAGTTCTTGTGCAAGCATGGTTTAGAATGCACGCGATAAGCCATGTGATAACTCTCGATCGGTGCTCGCTCGACGTACAGATATACACGCTCCGGGAAGGAGCTCGATTCGCCCTCGTCTGCTTGTAGGCGCGGACCACAGTCAAGAGCCCGAAGCCAAGAGAGAACCCAGCAGCGGCTGCTGCGAGTTGCAGGTCACCGGATGTCGTCGCGTTCGCCATGGCGGAAGGTTGGATGGATGAGAAGTCAGATAGTGAGGGCCGGATTAGAGAAGAAATCGCTGCCCTTACGAACTTTGCAGGGCACAAGGGTGTACACAACCATCGTATCGAGAGCCTAGGGAGGAGAGTGCACTGTGCGCAGAGGCAAGTTTGCGAATGTTGTTCTGCATCATCGCCGCTTGCGTGGCCCAAGCACTTCGAGCTGTAAGCCTCGATCTCAGAGATTGATGGTGAGTAGAGAAGGGAGTATGTAGAGCCGGCCACGACGCTTGGAGGCAGCAACTCGAATTTGGATATGCAAGCTATACAGACTGCTCCGTATACCCCTCGCTGCATTAGAGACGTCAATCATGGACGCACCACCTGGTTGAAAGCTCTACGAATGCCATGCAGAAGAGATCCAAGGCACACTCGTTAGAGAACCTGGGGGCCAGGTTCTTTACTGTGGGTCTAATATTAAACACATGGCTACGGCCAAGTAACTTCGTTTCGAGTTCCTTTGGCGGCATCTGCAAAGGTATCACTGCGGTGTCAAAGATGCTGCGGAGCCGCGTCGCACCTATTCTGAAACCTTCGTCCAGCCCTACAGTATAGCGCTAGAACAGATCTTATGTCATCAATAATGGTCTGCCAGACACAGGCATGTCGATAGCATCCAGATTACGACGGAAGACGCAGCAGAGGTCGTTCCCTCGGTATGTCGCGGGATGTTTAGTCGACAACATGTGATGTTGAGTCAACAACGATACTCTGGTCCGAGAGATGACAGGAAGTTTGGTGAGAAAGCGCGACAGCCCCCGCGTTTTGCCAGCCTCGGTTCTGTTGACAACAGCATGTGATATATAATCCACGGGTAGGCTCTGATCAATAGATGAACACCTCTGTAGCATCTGATCACAGCATCGTCGAAGATCAAGATGGCAAGCACAAAACCTGTAACATTAGTCATTGGTGCTTCTCGTGGCATGGGTCGACAGATAGCAATTGGTCTGGCAGGAGAAGGCTACACAGGTGAGATGATGATAGGAGCTCTATTTACAACTCGAGGGCAAGTCACTGACAGTGGAAAATAAAGTGGTCGTCGCAGCAAAAACAACCTCAGATCCCGAAAAACTGGCTACCTTCCCACCAGATCCAAATTCATCTCAGAGCACTATCAATACAGTCGCAAAAGAGATACACTTGCTCGGAGGAACCGCGATCCCCATGGCAGTTAACACACGCTCAACAGAATCAGTGGATAAACTGTTCGCCAGAGTCTCCACCGAGCTCGGTCGACTCGATGTGTTGGTTTATAATTCTGGAGCCATCTGGTGGTCTTCGGTAGCCAAGACGCCAGTCAAGCGATTCAAGCTGATGCAAGAAGTCAATATCGAGGGCTTGTACTCTAGCATCCAAGCTTCGTTTCCGCTGTTCGAAAAGAGTGGTTGGAAGGGACGCGTGATTGTCGTTTGCCCACCAATATACAGCCGATTCTTTAGAGGCAAGACCGCATATGCTGTGGGAAAAGTAGGAATGAGCGTGTTGGTTAAGGGGTTGTCTATGGACTGGATCCGAGAAGCGAAGACAGATATGGCAATCAATGGTATCTGGCCTGCGGTGGCTATCGAGAGTGCCGCAACTCAAGATGCCGTCGCAGCTGATATGGACAGGAGAGGCGATCTTAGGAAGCCAACCATTTTCTCGGACGCCATTCTAGCTATGCTCAGCTCGCCGACGAGAGAGGTAAACGGGCTCTTGACAACCGATGAAGACTTTCTCCGCGACGTTGGAGGTGTGGCTGATTTCAGCAAATACAATCTTGTGCCTGGATCGATTCCAAGGAGAATCATGCCCAAAGAGTTTCCGGACCTGACCGTTGAAGGGCAAGATGACGAGGGTGTGAGGACGGATAGCACAATTTTGCGTGCAAGGCGTCATGCGAGGCTCTAAATCCTTGCGAACCAAAATGATTTGTATCTTCCTCTGGATGTTGTGCAGCAACAGTATGTCATGAGGCTGTTTAGTTCTGCCTTTTACATGTTTTAGACGCACAAGTTGAGCGCAAGACATAACAAGCACGGCAATGCCCTCTAGCACAAGACTTTAAATATCGCGAGAGAGAGAGAGAGAGACTACCAGCTCGCGTCACTTTCCATATCAGACTCGTCTACTCGTCTCCACTGGTTGTGTTTCCGTCCAGACGCATTGCATCCGGTTCGGGAAACTCGTTGGACAAATGGACGAGACGCGGGCGTATCTGTTCTCTTCCCTTGACTTCGAGCTCTCCTAGATTCTTCTCAAACACCGGGGAGTCAGGAGAAACGTCAACTCCCGCCCATATGTTGGTAAAGCGAAGATAGTCCAGCTGGTGTGCATAAGGCAAGATGGCCTGGATCAGACAATGTATAGAAGTTCTAGGGGAGGAGGAGGATTTATCGTCCTCAGCCGTTTTCTTGTGCAACACCGTATCGACTATTGATATATGTCGTATAGGATGACTTTTGGCTATCGCCCCTGCTAGCATTCGACTGAGATCGCTGGGATTGAGATTGCATCTTTGGATTCGAAGACTTTTGCATTCGAGGCTGAAGATCCAAATTCGAAACTCGGACCAATGGAATGTGTGCAGGTTTCGCATCATCAGACGTCCTTTGAGATAGTCGAACGACATGTCTCCGATGCTTGGATATTTGGCGACCAGTAATGGAGGGAATGTCGCAGTACCCTGCCGACTTTCAATCTGCAGTATCTGGTGAATGTATTGCAATATCGTTCCAAGCTCAATGCCAGTGAAAGTTCGATGTGGCTCAATGAGAGAATAAGACGCATCCAGTGGCATGTGTCGTTTATCCCAATCTTCCCTTCGAGCTCGAACATGGATGCTGCTGATCGCCAGCTTGCTCACTGCAATCAAGACCAAGATCATATCGAAGTAGTATTCAACCTCTTGGGTGTCTATGTCGTCTTCGTCTCCGGGGTCATCGAAGTCTGCAAAGGGGTCGAAAACGAGAATCAGTTGGCGATTCAATGAAGCCAGAGTATCGAGAACCTCTTGAAGCAGAGGTGCGAGCTACCAAAGACTCAGACCCTTTCTCTTGTACACAAAGGTGATCTTCTCGATGGTAGCCGCATGGATATGGCTCGCGAGCACCGCCTTCGTGATTGACAAATCCTCGTCCTTTTCAGTGTCGACGACCCACTCATGGAAGTAGAGCAGAAACGATTGTGACAGGCACGCTCCAGAGTTTTGCATGTTTCTCGCATACTAAGTAAGGCATCAGTCGGATATTCATCCCAGCCGTCTTCGTCTTCGATTATGTCCACAATCTGGTCCAGAATCTCCGGAGGCAGATTGTCTAGGCTTGGGCCCGTCATAATTGAGATCCTGGTGAACTCCAGTCGTTTGCCGAAAGTTTCGTTGGCGGGATAACTTGATCGATACAGATCCAACCAGTGCAGTAATGGTTCCTCTTGACTTTTCGATATTGAGTAACACAGAGAAGACTTATAAGTCGCTCGCTGTACGCTGTAGATTAGAATAATAAGAGTCGACGCTTTGACCACTTCAGCCCCGGGCAAGTCGACCCTGCCCGCCAGCTCAACGGCCTCTCCGATGTTCATCGTCCGCAACCACATCCATTTGTGAAATAAGAGTGTTATGTAGTCGCACCTCATCCGGGAACCCGTCGTACGACTCCTAGAAGCCTGCTCGCATCAGTAAGAGACAACAATCTCACGGGTTGCATCAGTAAAGCAGCACAAATCCGATCGCTCAACCAACCTCTAACGGCTGCGGACTTTCAAACAACCATGTTCGAGGTAAATATTCCAAGGCTTCATTACCTATCAACCAAAGCGTTCGAATCAAGCAAACTCACCATAAATCTTGCTGCAAAAAAACAGACACGACATGCGGCAGACCGTTATCACCTCCGTATGCATCGCGCACGCTCAGTAGTCCTCACAAACACGGAGCTCGTCGAGATCCGCGCGGCCCAACGCACCTTCGAAGGCGCATACATTCGCACCTCACTAGGACAATTCAGCTTCGCTCTGGTGGTTCTCAAGATCTTCACAGCGGAATTCTATAGTATTGGAGCTTTGTTTGCAATCTACGGAGCGGGTGTTTTGGGGGTGAGCGCGTTTAGGAGGATGCAGGGGAACAGACAGTTCTTTTCTGAAGTTGGTGAGGATGGATTGAGGAGGAAGAGGTTTAGGACAAGTGGGAACGTGGTGGTTGTTTTGACTGCGCTGAGCGTGTTGAGTTATATCAGTTTGCTGGTTCTGACTTTGAGATTGTGATGAGAAGCGGTCTCTGTTCTGCATCTTTGAGATGTCGGAAGCCGACTGGTATAGATTTATGATGTATGGATGATGTTCACATGATTGCTGAGTATAGTTGATCCACTCCTGATATCTCTGATCGTGGACACGTCTGACGAACATCGGACGTCCCAGGTCCATGGCGTTCGTCACTTCTTTCGGGACCCCTTTCGACGTCCGTCACACTTGCTTGTGTTCGTATCTGGTCGGATTCTACATCCGGAGGTGTACTGTACCTTGCAACCATTCAGGCAGAAAGCTGAGCTGAACATGGTTGGGACCAACGCGCATTTCTTTCTTAAGATATCGACGAGAACAACAATAGAACATTCAAATCACACGGCTTTCCTCAATCGTCCTTTCGTGAAACAACGATGACTTGGTCAAGCACCGCGCCTTGAAGACTGCAAGAAGAAGCGCTCCGGATTACTTCGTATGAAGGTGATGGAGCAAATATTGGCTGAGCTTCGATAGGCAAGGCAGCCGCAAAGCGGGCGTTGGCGGGGTCCGAAGGCGGAGAGTGCGGCGTGCCGATAGTGACACTTGCGGAGAGAGGGTTGCATCGTCCAGGGATCGCGAGGTGATCAGAATTGCATAATCAGATACAGGTATGGGCAGGGGAGGAGCTGATGTGTTGTTCTGGCAGGCAGCTTGTTTGACGCGAGACAAGGGCGATGGCAATCTCTTGGTCGTTCATCTCAACAAGTTTTGGGTGGGCGAGACGCAGCGTGGGATGCATCCGCAGTTCGATTGGCTGCCCCTTGTTGATATGCATTGTTCTGACGCCGACAGCCTTGGAGGGATGTAGCAAGAAGACAACGGTCTATTCGGCCCTCTTCTGTCCTTGTCGCATGTGTTATCATCGGGTCAGCTGCTGCTTTGGAATAAACAACCTGATTCCCAATCAACCATCTTCTGACTTCCAGCGCCCTCTTCCGCGTAGTTCCAGCGCACTTCGAGAGTCACAGCCATAGCACCTGCCTGAGCTCGTGATCGACCCGGGAGCGCCAGAAAGTGGTACTTTTGTACTGGGCTTCTTTTTGGCGAACCGTGGAAGAAGCAGAAGATTTACTCCGGACTGCATCACGCTCTGCAAGGCAACCTTATTTCCATTGCGGGCTTTGAAGTTATTTATGATTCACGCGCCAACACAGTCACAATAATTATTCTGACTGGTCGCACAAAATCCAGCCTCATCTCATCCAGGATCAAAAGCTTCAGCCGACACGTCCGACAGCTCACTTCTTCTTCCTTCACCAAAGCGCATCGCCTATTACCTACCAGTTATACATATCGGACGGTCAAGGGTTCGCCTATCAAGACCCAGGCCCCAGGCCGTTCTCGGCGTTAGTCAGACTAAACGAACACGAATCGCGGGCCTCTCTCCAGCGGCGCCGCGATAGGAGACAGGGCGCTGCCGCAGCACTCGGACCGTGGAGCGTCATAGGCCGTGGGAAATTCAATTCTGGACCCTCTTTTTCTCAGCATGCCACTCATCTGCGAGCCCGCCGAAATCCTGGCTGCCTCTTCCACCACTCAGTCCACCCTCCCTTTCCACCGTCGCCAGAGCCAACAGAGCAACATTGCAAAGTCTGTGATGATGAGCAACGTGCAAGATCAACAGCGCCGCAGCATTGACGAAATCACACACAAAGACTTGAAGTCCAGCCTCAACACCAGCTTGGGCAACTCGGCCAACAAGAAAGGCTCCCAAACACCAGAGATCCAATCCTTCCGCCCCCCGCCAACCGCCCGTACAGCGTCCGCCGTCGGTGCCACCAATACTGGTGCTCTCAACGACACCCCCGATGGCACAGCACCCAACAGCCCAAGGCTTCTGCCAGTAAGGCAAAACTCGGGTTCCAGCACCCCGCGCGTCCGCCCTACAACCCTCGATATCCCCGGTCTCACAAAGTCAAAAGTCTCGCCCGATGGCAGAATCGCCAAAAGAGATGTTGGTGCCAAGTTGGTCATCGTCATGGTCGGTCTGCCTGCACGAGGAAAGAGTTATATCACAAAGAAGCTAGCACGCTACCTGAACTGGCTACAACACGACACGCGCATCTTCAATGTAGGAGAAAGACGCCGTGTCGCTGCTGGCGGGCCGAACACCTTGGAAAAGACGAGAAGCCATCGCCCTTCTTTCCTACCAAGCGAACACCGTCCCAGTCTGGCCAGTGTCAACGGCATCGTCGACACAGCGACACACCTTGGTTCATCCGGTCTTGCTGCTCAGATTCAAGCACACAGTAACCACAGCGAGAGCCAAGACAAAGACAGTAAATCTCGTAGACTTACTATGCCCGTCATTCAGCTACCGCCCGCATCCGAGGACGACGGCGTAGCTGAATCCGTCGACGATGGTACAGATGGTGTCGAGTTGACCAAGGTGTCAACGCCCGAGATGCCCGACCCCGAATCAATGGACCAGACGGCCAGCTTCTTCGATCCCTCGAACAAAAGAGCTGCCTTGATCCGTGAACAGTGCGCCATGGACACTTTGGACGAACTCCTCGACTACATCCTAGAAGGCAACGGCTCCGTCGGTATCCTTGACGCCACAAACAGCACTCTCGAGCGCAGAAAGGTCATCATGAAGAAGATTCGTGAAAGAGCTGGTCATGAGCTGAACGTCCTCTTCCTCGAGAGTCGATGCGTCGATGAGAACCTGCTCGAGTCAAACATGCGCCTGAAGCTTTCTGGCCCCGACTACAAGGACCAAGACCCTGTCACTGCGCTCGAGGACTTCAAGAAGCGTGTTGCCATTTACGAAAAAGCCTACGTTCCGCTTGGCGAGTACGAGGAAAAGAACAACATGCCTTATATCCAGATGATCGATGTTGGTCGCAAGGTCATCTCACATCAGATCCGTGGTTTCCTCTCTGCACAAGCCAACTACTACCTTCTCAACTTCAACCTCGCCCCACGTATGATCTGGATCACGCGTCATGGTCTTTCCATGGACAATGTTTCTGGCAAGATTGGTGGTGATTCTGACCTCAGCAGCGAGGGCATCCAATATGCCAAAACACTCACCAAGTTCATCGAGCATGCGCGAAGAGAATGGGACATGAAGCAGCTCCACAAGCTCACTCACTCACACTTCCCTCCTCAACCCGGTGACACCACACCTCCCAACCCCCACTACCAACCCAACGACAACAACGAGCTACCTCAAAAATCCTTCTGCGTGTGGACTTCCATGCTCAAGCGCAGTATCCAAACCGCACAGTTCTTTGACGATGAAGAATACGACTCGAAGCAGATGCGCATGCTGGACGAGCTCAACGCCGGTATCATGGAAGGCCTCACCTACTCCTCCATCGCCGAAGCCCACCCTGCTGAATACGCACTGCGCAAGAAAGACAAGCTACACTACCGCTACCCCGGTCCTGGCGGTGAGGGATACCTCGATATCATCAACCGCCTGCGTCCAGTGATTGTCGAGCTCGAACGCATGGAAGACCACTGCTTGCTTGTTGGCCACCGCAGCGTTGCCCGCGTTCTACTTGCATACTTCCGCGGTCTGAAGAGAGAGGAGGTTGCGGACTTGGATGTGCCTATCGGTATGCTGTATTGTCTTGAGCCTAAGCCTTATGGTGTGGACTTCAAGGCGTACAAGTGGGACAAGAACACTGAGTGGTTCTATGAGCAACCCAATTTCCAACTCAAGCGGGCTGAGGATGATATGCAGTAAATGACATTTGGGGGTGGGCTGGTTTGATAAAGGCTTTTTTTTCTTGATGACATTTATATCTGCTTTTGGGACGTTGGGAGTCGAGATTTGGGACGTCGGGGGTTTCTACAAGGGGCGTTTCTTCTTTTGCATGTTGCTTCTTTTTTCTACAGGCTACAAGGGGCATTGCGAGCGAGTGACAGTGGGCAAAGGAAAGGAAAGTGTTTATCTTATGGAGAGGACTGTGCTTCTAGAGTATCTTGAATGACGACTGGGGTTCATGCCTTTCAACCGAGCTTGTCTTTTGCATCTAGTCTTTGTTCTCTGCCGATAGGTGTGTGTTCTGCTTTTCTTGATGTGGCCCGAGATCTTTCGTGACTGCGAATAAAGTGAGACACAGCCAAAGCGGCTCTAAGAAGTCAATTCTTTTCTTCATAGGCTTTTTTTTTATCTTGCGGCAGAAAAATTTGCTTTACCAGATTATGATTTTTCCTTCCTGCCTGCCTCTCTACTCTATCACCGTTGTCTGTTTTCTTTTTTTTTGCTTTGCATTCTTGTTCTCGCCATTGTGTACAAGGTGGGAGCTTTTTTTTTTTCTCTGAGGGTGATTCTCCTTCTAGAGACGAACGATCATTCATCTGCCAGAGCGCGTGGTTCATCCCCAGCAAGTCGGCCGCCGCTGCATCCTTCTGAGCAGGAAAGCGATCCTTGCTTGCTTCCAGAGACGAAAGAGGGGATCACCCGTCCGTCTGTTCGTTTCGCTCGAGCTTTCCTCCGAGACATCGCGGAGGTTGTTGATCTTCCACAAAGACAAGTCGTCGCTTTGGTCGGAAGGCGGACGGATGCTGCTCTTCACGGTGGTCTTCTACCTGGACCCCGATGCCAATAAGCACTTGTACCCTCCAGACTGTACGTTTTCCCCGTCCACCTTCGAAATCTAACCAATTTCGGCTTCAAAAGGCGCTTTGGCGGAGTGGTTAACGCGATGCCCTGCTAAGGCATTTCCTTCGGGAGCGCAGGTTCGAATCCTGCAGGCGTCGATGCTTTTTGCTCTTTACAGCGATAGTGACATCCTTTTTCGATTTATGAACAGACCGAAATGTAGAGCAGATGATGGCGCATCTTTTAAGCTATTTTATGTGATTTTTAGACTTGTGGTCGTAGAGATATGTGTTACTTAGGTTAGCCGGCGTCTCGCGTTTGTCGGTCTCTTTTCGTGTTTCTGCTTTCGTTCTTGGCAGGCTTCCGTCTAGAAACTATACAACAAGGTCAACTAAACAACTCTTGGTTAGATATAGAGTTTTTTTTTGGTGCAAACGACTCGTACAGTGATTTATTCAACTTCTACTTACTAAATTACCATTATTATCCTTGTAGTGCATCCCCTACTAAGCATCGTTCTCGCTTCGCTCGAAACGACGCTCGTCCGGGGATGCGGAGCAAGAGTTCGAATCTCTTAGGCGTCGATAGCTTTTTGTTTTTGGCCCTTGATGGGGTGTAGAAATATCTTTTTTCGATGAGTTGTTACAAAGAGGGAGAGAAAGGGGAGGTGAAGGGGTTGTTGTGGTGGAAAAAGGCGAGTTTTGAACTCCGCTGATGGGACTCGAGGATTTTTCGTGTTCATGATTAGTTTTATTCTAGTATTGCGCTGTGACTTATGTCTTCTTTGAAGAGAAGAGAAGAGAAGAGAAGGGAAGAAATACCTAGATTGTAAAATGAAAGGCAGGAGGGTAGTTCGTATAAAGAGTAGAATAACAGCGGAGGAATAAGAACCATACAATCTAGCGAATATCGACTAGACACAACCAAATGCCGTCTGTACCTGGAGATCGTCTTTACGTATGCTGGAGACACCTTCTCCCGCAGCAGACCTAGAGAAGTCGTGTCTTCCAAAAGACAAGGGGCAAAACGCAATCGCACCTGCGAGAGGACAAAGGTACCAGGGTAGGTATCAAGATAGAAAACAAGACATGTAATCTGCCTTGTTGCATGTGGGAAATTTATTCATCAATTGCTGGCGAATGGGCATAAGATCGTGATATTCTACAGTTTAGCCTTAAGCCACATGCCCAACTTTTCAAGACCAGCAGGACCATCGTAGACATCTCTTTCCACAGCTCTAGCATTGACCTGTTTCATCACGTCAGCAACATCACTCAAAAAAAACATCTAGCACGCCAAAGACTCACATGTTGAGGTCCCAGATCTTCAACTCTCTCCACAGCAAGCAACCTCATCGTCGTCTCGATCTCAGCCTTGAGGATCTCATACACCCTCTCCACACCCTCTGTGCCTCCTGCACCAAGACCAAACAGTGCATTCCTGCCCATACCGACTGCTTTGGCTCCCAAGCAAAGAGCTTTGACGACATCAGTGCCGCGTTTGATGCCACCGTCGACCCAAACTTCAATCTTGTCAAACACCTCTGGGCAATACTTGCGAATCTCGATGAGCGTGTGAATAGAAGGGGGTGCTGTATCAGCAGCTCTACCGCCATGGTTTGAGAGCAAAATGCCTTGCACCTGAGGAGCATACAAAGATGCTATATAAGCGTCTTCGTGTGTTTGCAGTCCCTTAAGCACAATAGGCAGTTTTGTGTGCTTGGCCAGCCAGGGCAGAGTAGTTTTCCAAGTCAAATCTCCTGCTGTGCCGGCGAACATTGCAGAGGCTACACTGCCACTGCCGCTGTTTCCTCCCTTTTTGGGGTCGGGGGAGGTGGTGCTGGAACTGCCCTGTTGGTGTGCACTGCGGATAGGCAGATTAGCGCCTACATTTTTGCCTTCTCGTTCGTCGTGTTCGCGTTTGCCGGGTACGGGTGCATCGAGGGTCAAGACGATGAACTTGATTTGCTTGAGTGCGTTGATGCGAACCAGCATATCTTCACTCTTCTTACGGTCGTTTTGGACGTAGAGTTGCCAGCCAAACACTTGGTCTGCGGGCGCGCCTTCGAGGATCTGTTCGGGTGTTTGGGAAGCGTTGTTGGAGATGATCTGGCAGGCGCCGAAGGTGTTGCATGCTTTTGCTATTCCGTGTTCGCCATCTGGATGTCCTAGTCTTGCCATTGCGGCTGGAGAGACGAACAGTGGGATGTTGACTTTGTTGCCCAGGATAGTGGTGCTGGTGTCGCATTTTGTGATGTCGACGAAGACGCGTGGGCGTAGCAGGATATCGCTGTATACTGTATTGTTCAAAGCCTTTGATCTCAAGTCATCGGCGGCGGAAAAGTAGTATGCCCATGCTTTCTTGCTCATTTTCTTTGTAGCCACCGCCTCGATGTCGTCCATGTTTAGACAGTGGTCCAATGGCATGATGGCCTCTTCATCAACCTTGTCCTCATCCACGGGCGACTTTTCCACCGAAGGCAAAGTGCTGGCATCGAAAGTTCCCAGTTTGCACTCGGGTGCTAGTGTTTCTTCGAGGATGCCCGGAGGGTGGATGGGATCGTATTCCTCGGTTGCGTCTTGGCCGGCTAGTTGGAGTATGATCTTTGCGCCGCCAGGGTGCTCGGGGACGAATTTGGTTACATCGTAGACGTTGCCGTAGAGGATTACCCAACAGCTGTCTTCGCTTCTGTGCTGGGAGACTGTTTGTGGTGGGGGCAATCAGACTTGGGATTGTTGTGGGGTTGGTGTATGTTCAGGTGTGCCTACCTTCGTCGTAAGTGTACACTTTGCCCATCTTGTCGGCTTCCAATCGTATGGACAGTTAAAGGAGAGGAAGACTGCAGTACTGAGGACCAGACTGGCAGAAGGGGAGAGCGACGACAAGACGTGGATGGTCGCCATCCTTGTACCTTCGGGTCGCCGATGCATGAGGGTCAATAGCCGACGGCTTCAGCCTTTTGGCGTCATCTTCTCGGTCGCAGATGTACCGAAGTCCAACGCGGAAAACGATTCCGAAGCCTTGGAATGGTCAGCAATTTCATGAGACCACAGTATGATTATAGTTTATATGTATATAGTGTTGAATCGTCTACATGATGAATCCAATCTTTGCTGCGAAGTGAGGAGTTATCTACGTCTAACGAGTCTAGCCAGAGTCATCGGTAAGGATCTCCTGGACCATAGTAAAGCCACGATAGTAGCCATGCCAAACAATCGACATGCCAAAGCATATGTCACCCCTTTCCTCATACAAGCGTAGTAGCCTTCCAACATGGTTCCGACAGCACTCTCGAAAGAGTACCCTCTCAAGCTACGTCCAGAACTCAATCCCCCCATACCCACCTCGTTGCAGCGTTCGTCATCTGGTAACGAGACAGCGTCTAGACCTTCTTCTACAGCTGCAGCAGGTGGTCCTGAGCGGATTTCCGATTCGAGTTGCAGCCGCTTGTTCTCTCTGAAATTGTAAGTCGCGAGCCATATCACCAGCCGGACGTCGGGCATGGTAAATGTAGGATATGTCCAGAGCTCCAGCGCATTGTGAGGTGGTAGCAGATCGAGGAAATCCGCTACTACTCCAAGCGTCAAGCCCCATAAGATAAGCGGTTGATTTTGCGGTGGAGCAGGTAGTGTTGGTGACTGAGTGAGATTCACCAGTCTCTTGATTACGTTTCTTGGTGGAGCAGACTTGTGTCGACTCGAGTCATCAGTAGGCGATTCATGGCAGTAAAGACTCTCTGTGGGAAGCAATTGGATAGCGCTGAACTCCATCTTCCCAAGCATTCCGGCCAGTGCCCATTTCTTGATGCCAGTTTCCTGGTTGGCTAGTCTGTTACTGACATCCTCTGTATGGACAGTGCGTTGGCCGGGATCAAGCAGAGAGCCGATAGGAACCCAATGAGTTGATGCGACCTCAGTGGGCTGCAAACGGAGCGGCGGAATGTCATGACGGGTAACAAGAAACACGTAGGGACACAAGACCATTAGTGGCACACGACCCCAGCTGGTTGTAACAAGTCTCTGTGGAAGGTTCCCAACAGCGATACAATTGCGATGTGACAGGTCAATGCCAACTTCCTCGACAGCTTCGCGAATGGCGGCATGCTGATCGTCTTTGTCTTGGGGATCGCGTCTTCCACCAGGCAAAGCGACGTGAGAAGTCCATCGATCACCCTTTCTCGCAGCACGCTTTATGAAGAGAATCTCAGCTTGTCCATGCTTGACCCAATCCTGAGCAAAGAAAGAATCAATGCTATCAGCGGGCTCGGCGGCCTTGACAGGTTGACGAGCATAAGATGGCTGTATGCGCACGATCAAGGCGACCGAAGCACGTTTCTTGGTTGATTCTGGGCCAGCAACATAGGGACACGGATTTTTCTTCAACCAGACAAGAGTTTTATGGAGATGATTGATCGAGTCGCTCTGGATGCGAGCGTCGGACATGTTGATGCAAGAGAAGAGGGATTGGTTGGCGATAGATTAAAAGAGGAAGGCACGCTGCACATGCAAGGTTGGGCGTCGGTGATTGGTTGGCGTCGCAGCAGTGACATAGCATCGACCATGTTCACTCCATCGAGGTCGACCAAAATTCTCTTTCTCCAGCAGCACTGTCGAAAGTCATACTCTTCGTCGCAATCGATTGAGAAGACGGTAAGATGAAGTTCGGGACTACCTTGGGCAATGCCGTGTACGAGCCATGGAGGGAGTCGTACATTGACTACGCCAAGCTCAAGAAGCTGCTGAGAGAGGACGACTCGAGCAGAAAGGACGACGCCTGGACTGACGAGGATGCCCAAGCCTTCTACGCCGAACTCGTCAACTCGCAGCTGGAGAAGGTCACCTCCTTCCACAAGTCGACCTACCAGAAGCTGCGCGACCGCACTGCCAAATGCGAGTCCAAGCTGGACCCTGTCGCCAAAGCCGTCCAGGACAATGACACGCCCGCAAACCATGACCCACCTGCATCCTATGCTGCTGCTGCAAAGAAGCCCTCGCCCTCGGACGGCGAGAGGAAGCGTATCCTGAAGGACGTCATTGAAGAGCTGGACAAGATCACAAAGGACATCAACCAACTGGAAAAGTACAGCCGCATCAACTACACTGGCTTCCTCAAGATTGCAAAGAAGCATGACCGCAAGAGAGGTGGCCGCGTCTCGAGCATCCGTCCTCTGGTCAAGTCCAGGATGGCTGACGTTCCCTTCAACAACGAGGACTACTCACCCCTACTCTACCGTCTCTCGGCCATGTACTCGTTCGCTCGCCAGAACCTCGAGGGCCAGGACCGTCCCCTCTCGCTCGTCGAGTCCATTGCTGCCGAGGAGAGCTACATCACCCACAAGTTCTGGGTCCACATGGACAACCTTCTCGAAGTCAAGACCGTCATCCTCCGTCGTCTGCCCGTCCTCGTCTACAACCCTCAGACCGAGAAGATTGCCGACGGCTCCCAGCAAGACCCCTCCATCACCTCAATCTACTTTGACAACCCCGACTTCACCCTCTACTCTAACAAGGTCGAGCACAAGACCGACGCTTCCAACCTCCGTCTGAGATGGTATGGCAAGCTATCGCAAAAGCCGGAGATTATGCTCGAGAAGAAGACTGTCAAGACAGAGAACACTAGCGCCGACGAGAGGTTCCCCATCAAGGACAAGTACATCCAGCCGTTCATCCGTGGAGACTATCACATGGAAAAGGCCATCGAGAAGCGCTCATCTCGTTATGGCGAAGAGGCACTCGAGTCTTTCAAGAAGGGCGTCAACGACATCCAGTCTTTCATCAAGGAATACGACTTGCAGCCCGTCATCCGTGCAAACTACACCCGCACCGCCTTCCAGATTCCTGGCGATGACAGAGTCAGGATCTCCATTGACACAAACCTGGCCTTCATCAGAGAAGACGCCATTGATGCCGACCGCCCCTGTCGCGACCCCGAAGACTGGCACCGCAGAGACATTGACGATGCAGAGATGGAGTGGCCCTTCAAGTCCATCCGCAAGGGTGAACTCGCCACCTTCCCTCATGCAGTCCTCGAGATCAAGGTCAAGAACGACAAGCATTACGAATGGATCGACGATCTCATGAACTCGCATCTTGTCAAGGAAGCTGCCAAGTTCTCCAAGTTCGTGCATGGTGTTGCTTCCCTCTTCGAAGACAACGTCAACACCTTGCCCTTCTGGCTTTCGACCTTGGAGGAGGACATCCGTCAAGACCCCGAGGTGGCTTTCGAGAAGGAGCAGGCCAAAAAGCAGAAGCAACAGGAAGATGAGCTCGCCGTGGGCAGCTTGATGAAGAGCAAGAGCCACTCTTCCTACAAGCCTGGTGGCATCTCACCTGTCGGCTCGCCCACCGACAAAACAGGCAGCTACCTTGACCGCCGCGCCTCCCGCCAGAGTGCCATGATGAAAGGCAACGGCCAATCTCTCGGCAGCGTCGCCCGCTCCCAACCTACCGGCATGACTGCTGTAGCCGATGAACCCGACTCTGACGACGACGGCCGTCAAGCACCCCTCACCGATGTGCCTCAGGCTACCACCCAGTCTGGCCTGCAAACCCTGTTCCCCTCCTTCAGCACCTCCAAGTACGCACGCAATCGCCGTGACCGCGATCAGCCCCTGCCTCCGGGCGTCCAAAAACCAGATTACTGGATCAAAGACCAAGGGCCCGTAAAGGTAGAAGCAAAGGTGTGGCTCGCCAACCAACGCACCTTTATCAAATGGCAGCACATTACCGTCTTGCTCGCTTCCCTCTCACTCGGCCTTTTCAACGCAGCAGGCGAGACCAACAATGTTGCAAGGGCATTGGCGCTGGTGTATACACTTGCTGCAGTGTTCACTGGCGTTTGGGGATGGGGTGTCTACCAGTGGCGATCGAGGTTGATCGAGCAGAGATCAGGTAAAGACTTTGATGCACTGACTGGCCCGGTGGTTGTTTGTGTGGGACTGTTTGTGGCGCTGATTCTGAACTTTGTGTTCAAGTATCAGGAGATGAGGCATAATGCTGAGCATCACCATGGTCACCACCACAACCAGACACATTCGGTGTTTGGCGGTATGGATGAGTTGAAGTAGAGAGGGCACAGTGGAGGTCGTTTGCCCCTTGTGGAGGCGTGATGGTGTAAAGTTTGTTCAGCGAGTTGTAAAATAGAAGGTTCTTCTTTATGTATATAGCGCTGACAGTAATTTCCTTTTGTATCTTGCAAAATCGAAAGTTGTAATTAATTACACTACATCATGAGTCACATGTAGAATGAAAAAAAAAGCCCAAACGCACAATGGTTTGGTCAACGTTAGAAGCAGGTATTGTGGATAAGCGAGGGGGAGAGAATAGTGAAAAGGGCTTTGAGAGGATCTCTAGAGCAGAAAGATGTTGCGGATACTCGCTTGCGGTCAAACAGATGTCGATTCAGAACAGCTCGGCAAGAAAGAGAATGCAACATATCTAGGAAACCATGTTTGTGCACAACATGATGGTGATGTGGGTGAGTAGATCGGCCAGGTATAGCGATGTGGAAAGCATCATCTTGTAACGATCAGGATGGGAGCACAGAGAAGCATATGCAGCAAAAGGACAGCATGTTTCATCTTTGGAATTCGTGTTCTTGTGTCAGAAAAGGCCAAGCTTCTGATACAGAAAGGGGAAGGGGGGGTATATACACAGTTTTGTTGTTTTCTTGCCACTCATGCAAAAAAAAAAAGCACCACTCACTAGATGAAATCGACAAATCTAGTGCAAGTACTGCTTGAACCAGTAAACAGCAGAGTTCTTGGCTCTCTCCAGACCCTCCTTTTGCTTGGGATCACTCTGATCGCCACGAGTAGCGAAACCGTGGACCAGACCAGGGTAGTAGTCGTAGTTGAAAGGCACATTCAGCGTAGGCAGAGTCTTGAGCGTAAACTCCTTCAACTCGGGCGTAAACATGGGATCGGTCTCGGGAACCAAAAACTGCACCGGCACTCCGACGTTGGCAATTTCAGACTCTTCGAGCAGAGAAGGGTGAGCGACTGCTGCAGCATCAACGATGCCGCCTTCCTTGGCTCCCAGGCGCAAAACAGCCCAGGCGCCGTAGCAGAAACCGATGGCGGCGACCTTCTTGTAGGTGGACTTGAGTTCCTTTGCGTTGGCCGAGATCTCGGGGTAGCGCTTGTCTTTGCCGTTGCGGCCGATGAAGGCCATGATGTCGAAGTTTTTGCGCTTTTCCGGGTCGTCCATCATTTCGGGGCTGACTACTTCGCCCTCGAAGCTGTGAGAAGAGCGTGTTAGTAACGATGATGCACTAACAATTGAGTTTCTAGAAAAGCGTAGATGGATTGAGCGAGGCAAAGTGGGGTAGATAGCAGCTTTGTTCAAAACATGAAGCCGTCACAAGATGAGAATAGCAAAACACTTACTAATCGGGAACGTAGACGGTCACATTGGCCTCCTTGGCATAGTGGTCGGCCAACAGACGGATGTTGGGCAGCGTCCAGCCAAAGACATCGCAGACGATGAGGACAGCGGCATCCTTGTTGTCGCCAGTGACGTATGCCTGGTTGTTTCCGAGCTTGGTCTCCTTGCCGACAGACTCGCCGTTCCACTTGAATCCCTCTTTGCAGCAGGTAGACATGATTGTGCGTTTTGTCTTTAGGTGATGTGTGTGTGTGTGGTTGGGTGGAATTGAGAAGATAAGAGTGTGAGAGAGGGGTTCAGTTGACGGGGGGCAATGAAGGTTATATAATCTAGATAGATTGAGGGTCTTGCTTGCCTTACAAATTGTCTCCCGTGTCGGAGCTCTCAGAGCTCTGCTACGTCGTTTGTGCCCCACCTGCTTAGGGTGGGCGAGAGCCTCGGGCACATCTCGCGGTTTTGAGACAGGCCCGGAACCGGCCCTGTTGTGTATTGCAACAGTTCGCCCGAGTCAGTGACATCTGTGTCGCAATGCTGTGCGAAGAACTGCGATCGGCGTGATTGAGAGCCGCCAGAAATCGAGAAGAGCGGACATAAGAAGCCATTGACCCGTTCAATCTCCGGAGGTCGCTACGAACGAAGAATTGTGTGCATCCATTGGAGACAGGTTCCGGAGTAAAGTCAGATGGGTCAAAGTACATACATGCCGCGTATCCGTGGGCTATCGAAAGCAAATGCTCGTTGTAGCAACTGGAGGGGCTGTCACATCCCGACTCATGTGATTACCTTTTGTTTCTGTGCCCCCAAACGCCACGCTAATATGAAAACACCTAATCTAATCCACGATATCACCATGCCTCTACTTTGGAAGCACAAACAGACCGGGCTTCATGTTGATCCTGCAGAGCTTTGCGACACAGCCAGAGAGCTGAAGGTAGGTCTGCACGCCCTCGAGAATTCTCATGTGTGTGAAGCCAATCTCGCGGATGAACTCGAGTTTGGCATGCTCTGAGAGAACAGGAATCGTCTTTGTGACTTTGAACATGGTGCTGATTATGTCGTGGCACGAGTAGCCAGAGTCCCTGTGATAGCCAGGTCAGTATACTTAGTCATTGATTTCCGTTCAACAGGTTCACATACCAGAGCTCCTTGAGCATTGACAAAGCAGCATCAATGTTGCACAGATGGCAATTCTTGATCATAGTCTCGACCTTGTAAGGGTGAGGCTGATCAACAACTCTGAAGACATTGTTTCCATCAACGAAACCGAAACCGGCGTGAGTACTTTGCAGATTGTTGATGGCTTGTCTCATGTCGCCCTCTGCACTGAAGACCAAAGCAGCAAGACCATCCTCGGAGTGTTCGACCTTCTCAGCTTCGCAGATCTGGTTCAGACGCTTGACAATCTGAGCATCGGTCAGACGCGAGTATCTGAGGATTGCACAACGAGACTGGAGTGGCTCGATGATCTTGTTGGACTGGTTGCAGGCAAAAGCGAAGCGAGTCGTGCTTGAGTAGATTTCCATCGTTCTTCTCAGGGCTTGCTGGGCGCCCGATGTCATAGAGTCGGCCTCATCTAAGATCACAAGCTTTTGACGTCCTGCGGGCAGTGTGACCTTCTTCTGAGCAAAGCCCTTGATGCGGTTACGAACAACGTCAATACCGCGTTCGTCCGAGGCGTTCAGTTCGAGTACGGCTTCCTTGTAGGCGTCTCCTAGCAATTGTCTGGCCAGACACAGAATCGAGGTTGTCTTTCCGATACCAGGCATGCCCGAGATGATGACGTGAGGCATGTTGCCATCTTTGGCGATGATCTTGAGGCGTTCAATGGTCTCTGTGTTTCCGACGACATCGTCCAGGAAGACTGGTCTGTATTTCTCTACCCTGTAGATGGCTTAGTCTCTGCGCGTGCGAAGGAGAGCGTGTCGCGTACCATGGAAGCTCATAGCCTGGGGCAGCAGAAGTTGCCGGACGTGCTTGAGCACCGTTCTGAGCTGATGAAGGACCTGCGGTCACCATTGTGAGATGTGTGGGTTTGTGATGATGTCGTCGACCTCGGGGGAATGCTTTCTTGTGAGCTAGGCAGGGCACGCGTCTCTGATCTACGCGACTGGCGTAAAGTGGTCTCTTTGTTTATGCAGGTTGTGCAATCTGACACAAATTCTGAATAAAGAGAAGCTTCGCGGCTGCACTTGCGTTTGGAAACAAGCTCTCTCAATTCGTCTCGCAGGAACTCTGATCCTCACAACCATCCACTTTGACCCGGAGGTATCGTACGCTCGACCACTGAATTCCTGTTTCCAACCTGTAAAGACACTGTGAAAAGAGCAAGTTATCCGCGGCACAAGGTAGGCGGCTATCGACTCGTCCCAGGAGAGCAAGGAGACAAGCCTTGGCCAATCGTTTTAGGATCATCGCTGCTTCCGCATTCTTGTCTTCTCTTTGGCATGCGCCTATCTGTCCCTTGAATCCTCTCGTCCCATCAACTCTCTTGACTCTCGCTCTCAAAGACTGGATATTGGGCAATGCTTACTCAAGCCGTTCCCTACTCTTCACCAACGTCATGGCCATCAGTCCCAAAATGAAGAGCTACCGGCTCATACTCCTCTTTACCATATTCGCTGCTGTCCTGTTCATCCATCGCGATCGCGTCGCTTATGCCGGTTTCAAGTCATGGAGCGCTTCCTCGAGCGTCATGTTTGGCGGCCATGTAGACTGGAGTCAGGTTCCCAAGAAGCACACAGTCACCTCCATGTATCCTCTGCCAACTGGCAAGCCAAAGCAACTACCAAAGATACAATACAGTTTCCCTACCGAATCCAAGTCGGAGAGGTCGCTTCGTGAGGAGCGACAGCACGCTGTCCTCGATGCTTTCAAACGCGCCTGGCTCGCATACAAAGATCATGCCTGGATGGCTGATGAATTGACTCCCATCTCTGGTGACAAGAGAAACACCTTCGCAGGATGGGCCGCAACTTTGGTCGACGCCCTTGACACACTATGGATCATGGGTCTGAAAGACGAGTTCAATGAAGCTGTAGCGGCAGCAGTCTCCATCGACTTTGCGTCCACATCACAGGACGAGATCAACGTCTTCGAAACAACCATCCGATACATGGGCGGCTTCTTGTCTGCATACGACCTGAGTGCTGATGAGAGACTCCTGGTCAAAGCTAAGGAACTCGGTGAAATGTTGCTCCACGCATTCGACACTCCAAACCACATGCCCATTACTCGCTGGAGAGTCATGGACGCACGTAGAGGAGCTCCACAAACTGCGGATCCAGTCACTCTAGTTGCCGAGATCGGTTCGCTCGTCATGGAATTCACTCGACTTTCTCAAATCACCCGAGATCCTCGCTGGTTCGATGCCACTCATCGTGTCATGAAGCTTTTCGAGGAGCAGCAGTCCAAAACAAATGTGCCTGGTATGTGGCCCATTCTTGTCAATGCTCGAGATATGGATCTTACTTGGCATGACACTTTCACGCTTGGAGCCATGTCAGACTCTGCATATGAGTACCTGCCAAAGATGCACGCGCTCCTCGGTGGATTGGAGCCAATGTACGAGAATATGTACAAGGATGCCATGACCGCCGCTATCAGATATACGCTCTGGCGGCCTATGACACCTGACAATGCAGACATTCTGATCGCAGGAATGGCTCACGTCAATGGAGAACACAAAGGTGGGCTTGACTTCCAGGGTCAGCATCTCGTTTGCTTTGCCGGAGGCATGCTGGCTTTGGGCGGAAAACTCTTCAACGACCAAAACCACCTCGACATGGGCAGGAAGGTGACGGATGGTTGCATCTGGACGTACAAAGCCATGCCTCTGGGGATCATGCCTGAGGTCTTTCACATGGTTGAGTGTCCTACTAACGAAGCTTGTCAATGGGATGAGAAAGCGTGGCACAAGGAGGTTCAGAGAAGAAAAGGTGGTGATGTCGATCACTTGGAGGATATACAAAAGATCATTGCCGAAGAACGTCTTCCACCTGGATTTTCGAGTCTTGATGACCGCAGATACATTCTGAGACCTGAGGCAATTGAAAGCGTCTTCATCTTGTACCGGATCACTGGGCGCAAGGATCTACAGGAGACTGCATGGCAGATGTTCAACGCGATTCAGGACAACACCAAGACAGAATTGGCCAACGGTGCTCTCTCAGACGTTTCGAGAGCTGACGGAAAGGTGACAGTGACGGACAGTATGGAAAGTTTCTGGTTGGCCGAGACGCTCAAGTACTTCTACCTGATCTTCAGCGAACCTGGGTTGATCAGTCTGGATGAGTATACCTTCAACACAGAAGCACATCCGTTCAAGATTCCAAAGTAACAGAGATAGAAAATACCTTATGCAGGCAATGAAGCAGGCAGAATTATCCTTTAGTGTGCGTTCCTTGCAGAATCCTACAGAGATCGATTCATGGGCATTTTCTGGGAGGTTGAGAAGAGATCCTAGTTCTTGCATCTCAGCAAAGAGACGGCACCTGAAGAATGTCCAGGCATGTGCTCTACAGGGGTGCAGCAAATGGGAGAGCCAACCAATCAAAAGTACATTTCCTAGTACCTTCTAGTGGCATGCAGGATAGCCCGTCCCTGGCGCATGGAAGAGCAAGTGATCTCTTTGTTCTTATTGTTAGATATGACCGAAGGTCCCTGCCCATCATGTTGTAGGAGGCGAAGACGACATGCAAATGCGAATACGAAGGTCTATATGAAGTAGAATGAAGAGTCGAAGTTTGTGGAGATGATGGGCGCAATTGGTTGTCTCGCCGCTTCCAACTGCGACTGTTGTCCAGACGCACGTTTAACAACGCGGGCGGCCGATCAGCCGCCATCATGCAGCGGGACTTGAACGTTGCACGGCGAGCGCGTAGCGAAGAGGAGCGAAAGGCGGAACACATGGGACTTGTACATGAGCCTTCACCAGAAAGTGTTGTGGGAGAGGCGCCTCACAGGTAAGCAAGGCACTACAGTTATAAACGGAAGGTGTACGACTGCTTTGCCTCTTTTTTTTGCAACAGGCTGTGTTGGTTCTTCTTTCAACTGTCCAGCGTACAGGTCATTCTTCCTTCTGACATCAGTCAAATACACTCCTTGATTTGCCTTGGTTCTGGGCCCGGACACGAGAGAAAAGCTTGATCCACTCGAGGACGCAATCTTGCCTAGAGACTAACGCGCATCTGCGTACGTTGCAAAGTGATCACACGGCAACGGGGGGGCGACAACAAAGTTGATTTTCCTCTGCGAACAAGCAAGCCTTCTGCTTTGATCTCAAATCTGATTTGATCTGCCCTGGGAGTCCGCGGATCTTCCTGTCTTGGTTCTTTTTGCAGACAAATATTTCCCCAGGAAGTCGGGCGTCATCCTTCTCGGGACGAGCGGATCGCGGGCTTCGACGACATTCGTGGCTGGGCACCGCCTGTGGCCGCGTCATACAAACCCTCTCTTGTCATCTTTTGTGAAATACTTCGCTTCTTGCCTGCTGCTTGTCTTCTACCAACTTCTTTGCTTCTAACAACACTGCCACCTTTGTTTCCTGCATCTTCCGCCACCGCTGTGTATATCATCGACGCCGAGTCCATTCACTACCTTAGTCGTAAGCCTACCGGATTTCCAGGACCAACATGAAACATATTTCGACCTTGGCACTCGCTGCCAGCACCATCATTGGAGCCGAAGCCATCAACCTACAAAAACGTTCGAATGGCGCACCAAAGGTTGTCGAGTACGAGATCGAGAGAAAGACGGTCGTCAACCCCCTGAAGAGAGACCGTCTACGAAGACGCCAAAACACCATTAGCGAAGACTTGGACAACGAGCAAACACTTTACTTTGCCAACGCCTCCATCGGAACACCGGCGCAGTCCTTCAGGCTTCACATCGACACCGGAAGTAGTGATCTCTGGGTCAACGTCGCCACCTCGTCGCAGTGTGAAAACACGCAACAGAACGACTGCTCCATCTCCGGCACATACGCTCCCAACTCGTCCTCGACATATGAATATGTCAACAGTCTGTTCAACATCTCATACGTCGATGGCTCCGGTTCATCGGGCGACTACGCTACCGATGTCTTCCGCATCGGTGGTGCCGAGCTTCAGAACCAGCAGCTCGGTATCGGCTACGTGTCGAGCTCAGAGGAGGGCATTCTTGGAATTGGCTACCCCACCAACGAGGCCATCCTCCAGTACTCGAGAGAGTCTTATGTCAACGTACCTCAGCACATGATGCAGGCTGGACTCATCAACACCAATGCATACAGCTTGTGGTTGAACGACCTTGATGCCTCCAAGGGTTCCATTCTCTTCGGTGGTGTCAACACTGAGAAATACACCGGATCCCTCCAAACCCTGCCTATCATCCAAGAGCAGGGCATCTACGCCGAATTCATCATTGCCCTGACCGGTGTTGGCTACAACGGCAACGACAACTCCATCGCATCCAACCTGAACACCGCTGCCCTGCTCGACTCGGGCTCCAGTTTGATGTATCTCCCCAACGACGTCACCGAGTCCATTTACCGTATGACCGGCGCCAAATACAGCCAAGAATACGGCGCCGCCTTCATCGACTGCAACATGCGCTACAACGACACCACCATCGACTTCACCTTCTCCTCCCCCACCATCCGCGTCAGCATGTCCGAGCTCGTCCTCGTCATGGGCTATCAAGGCCGCACTCCCTTGTGTATCCTCGGTATTGCCCCCGCTGATGGCACAACTCCCGTTCTCGGCGACACCTTCTTGCGCTCTGCCTACGTCGTTTACGACATCACCAACAATGAGATTTCGCTGGCTCAGACAAACTTCAACAGCACTGGCAGCAACATCATGGAGATCACCAACACTAGCATTCCTGACGCCACTGGTGTTGCCTCAGCGGTCACGTCCGTGTCTGAACAGACTGGTGGCGCTAGACTTGGTGGTGTGCCTTCGGGCAGCGTTACCAGCAGTGGTATCGGTGCTGTTATTACACCCGGGCCCAAGGGTGTTGCTGCCCTTGCTGCTGTGGGTGCTGCTGCTTTGTTTGCTTTGTAAAAGGATGGTTGATAGAGGGTTTTCACGAAGGTCATGACCTTTTTTCGTTTTTGTTTTTTTCCATATTTGTACACAAAGATTCTTTATTTCCGTCTTGCATACATGGGCGTCTGTTTTCGTTATCTTTGAATGATACTTCGTTGATAGCGGTGCTGTTTGGATCTTCTGGGTTGTTGGATAGAAAGCAAGGCAATTCTCCATTGCTAATCACTCGTTTTTCTTTTCATATCACATTTCTTTTTGCTCCTCTTGATCGAAACCCATACACTCAAAGCGACTGAATGAAACCATGTCGCCTCTGAGTATCTACGCGTGTGTGCCCCATGGTTGTGAAGTGCCTTTGGTCGAACGGGGTTTTTGAAACAAGATGAACCATTTCATCCTACTGCCTCTAGAACAAAATTTGTGAAATACTCTCAACATCCCTCTTGGTAGAAATGATGTGAGTCCTGTTTACCCGCCCCATTTGTTGTGCTCTTGTTTCTGCGACAGTTTTGGATGATATGATTGTGATGGAATGGGGGTTTGCGGTTGTCACTTTTGAAGTCAGGGTTGCTCTGGTGACGTTTGATGGTATTGTGCAAAGTCCAAACAAGAGATGAGCCTCGAAGGTCTGGTCTGAGTGAATTCGGTATGGATTCATTCTTGTATATTTTGCGAGGATAAAGACAGGGGGTATAGAAATGATTTGGAAAGTAGAGGTCTCGAATACACAGTGTGACGGGATAGCGTCAATGTATAACTCATTTTCCCACCAAAACAGTCAGATTTATGATCACCGTACATTCCGAGCCCTTCACTTTTGATCTTTCGCCCCTTGGGAAATACACTCGAAGACAATGCAATGTAGCAAAATACTGCTTTTGAAATTTCGATTTTTGGCTGTACGAAAAGTGAATTTCTGTATAGACTTTTGATTTCCACCTTTCTTGTTTATGAGGAAGCAGAGCACATCCCATCTGCAAGTTTTGGTCATGTTCCTTGACCCTGATGGTAAAAACGCCAGCCGCTATGCAAAAGGAAGAGTAAATGGTATTTTTGGATCGTGAGAAAGAAGCAAAGGGGAAACACCGATCAAGCCGAAGCAGCATTGCGAACATCAGGCAAAAAGTCGCGTAACAAGGCAACGAGATCGTCCTGGCGAGCGAGTTGAGTCAAGAGCTTTTCTTCAAACTCGCGCCAGGTGCGCAGAACTTGCTTGTCGCCCGCAGTCAGGTATTCGTCCTCGTGGCCAATGACATCCAGACGTTCGGCTTTCTGGATGACTTCGCTGACGACGTCCTTTTCGTGTTGCATGCGTTGGATCAAGCGAGCTTGTGCTTTGTAGGTGTGTTGCAGCAGCATTTGACGGCAGCGGTCGGGTTCAAAGTACCACAAGAACAGAGTTCTGCTAGGCTGGCGCGAATTGTCTTTGGGGACTTCCTGAGCTTCGACATAGCCATGCTCGTGCATGGCGGTCAAGATGCTGCGAATGTCCTTTTGGCGCATGAGCGAGAAGTTGGCGACTTGCTTTTCGTCGAGTTTTCCTTTCGAATGCAGCATGCGCACGATGCGTGTGGCGATACTGCCGTGGCCGGCATTGATGACTTGCTCTACTTCGTTACGTTGCATCCAGCGGACGAGTGCTGGGAAGTTGACTCTCCACTCTCCTTTACCGCGGGTGCTGACTTTTTGGGCAAAGCCGTGTGGGTGTTCGGCCAGGATAGCCATGTGTTGTTCGACTAATGTCAAGCGCTGGTTGCGGTCGGCAAAGGCAGAGGCACCGCCCTTGAATCTGTCGTTGCCGTTTTCTCGTTTCGGTACGTCGTCATCTTCTAGGTCGTAATCGTCGTCGTCGCCATTGGACAGCGTAGATGCCAGGTCGATGGTAGAGTCCAAAATGTCTGTGATTTCGAGTGTGGTAGAAGTGGGCTGAGCAGCTTCTTCGTCGGCGTCGTCTGTATAGACGGCAAGCTCGTCGTAGCACCTTGGACACTTTCTTTCCAGCAGTTCGAGTAATGCACCATAGACATGAGCTGTGACATCTCCGATAGACTTTGCAGCCAGATTCTGTAGGGCCTGACTACGCAACGCAACGTTGCATTTATCCCAGCTGACCTTCAAGACCATATCCTTGTCCATGGTCACATCGTCTTCGTCTTCAGCGCCGTATGTGCCCACTCCGTTTGCCGCACCTCCGTTCATCTTTACTCTTTTGGCGGATGGACCATATCCATTGGCTCTTTTGGGGGCCTTTTTCACACCAGTAACAGCGTCCTCTGCAGCATCCCTCCATTTTCGTTTCAGATCTCTTAGAGCCTGCTCGTACACAACCTTTGCCTTGGGACCAGTGACCTTTCCATCGGGGAATTGCTCGCGTTTGACGACAAGATCGGCTTCGTTGTGGGAATCGGCGGGGGATAGAAAGGTAGACGGGCGAACTCTTGTCAGGAACCCAGCTTCGAGAAGCCTGCACAACATGGAGTGAAGTTGTTCGGGCGTGCTGATCTTCTTGAGGCCTCTTTGCGCAGGCATGCCCTCGCCATTGATGTGCTCAGCTTCGGTATCCACTGCATGTCCAGAGTTCTTGGAAAACTTGTAGGCATCCTCCAGATCTCCGACACGTGCGTGACCAAGTTGAAGCAAATTGGAGACGAGCTGGGCGGCAGCTTCACCAAAGCGTAATTGAACAATGTTGATGATCTTTCCAGAGCGCATCAAGTTGTATGCGCCATTCCAGTCGACTTCGTAGAAGGTTTGCGGATCACTACCGGCGGCAGACGAGTGGAGAACCAGATGTTGCTGGATGAGAACACTCAGAGCGTATTTGACATGGCGAGGAGAGAGCTGGGCGTTGGAGATCAGGGTCTGCAGGTTGACACGGCCCCAGAGAGCAAGAGTGCGAAAGACGTGGGCCGAGAGTTGACCATAGGACTCGTCGACCAGGAGAGCGCAAAGCTGCGAATAGTGCTGTAAAGAAGACTCAGAATGGGCGATTCTGGATGTAGAGCAAGGACTCGGTCATTACCTCGGCCATGGTTGGAGCGCAGCGGCGACGTCTTCCTCGGACAGGTTATACAGGGTAATCTATGCTACCGCGACATGAGTGGACGCAGTACGAGGCAGGAACAGAAAGCTCAAATCATTTTGAGCATGGGCTGGAAAGCGCAAAGCAAAGCAAAGCGGAAAGCGCGACCCGGTCTGTGCTCGCGACTTTTGTGCTCCAAGGCTCGTTGCGCAGGCGGCAGGTGCTCGACGAATCAGAAGCGGCTTATTCCGACGGACAGCAGGCCAGGAAGGAACCTCGAGCGTCGACAGCGTTGGCTCAAAGACATCGCCGTATCTCACAGCTCTTCTCTCCTCCGCCAATTGCTCCCCGCCGGCACAATCACAATGCTGTCCTGTTCGGCTTTCAGACGGCCAGCCCAGCGCGCCGCCCGCAACCTCTCGGCCCCCTCGACTCGCGGCCTCGCTGCTCCCGCCTCGGGTTCCTTCGCCTTTGAGACCGGCACCGCCAATGGCGTCAAGTTCGCCAGCAGAGAGATGCCTGGTGCCATGACCAAGCTCGCCATTGTCTCCAAGGCCGGTACCCGCTACGAGCCCCTGCCCGGCCTCACCCTCGGTCTGCAGAGCTTCGCCTTCAAGGTCTGCGCCAACCACCAACAACCCGTCCGTCATACTTGAAACTCATCCGTACATACAGGGCACCCACAGCCGCTCCACCCTCCGCATCCAGCGTGAGGCCGAGCTCATGGGCTCTCAGACCTACTCTTCGCGCTCCCGCGAGAACCTCGTCGTCGGCGCAAAGTTCCTCAGAGACGACCTGCCTTACTTCGTCGAGCTCCTCGCCGAGGTCGCTACCAACACCAAGTACGCCCCTCACATCTACCACGAGGAGATCTACCCCCACATCCAGCTCGCCCAGAAGCAATTCCTCGGTGACGTTACCGAGATGGCCGTCAACTCGGCCCACGGTCTTGCCTTCCACCGCGGTCTTGGTGTCCCTACTTCGCCCTCTTCCTCCACCCCTCTGAACAAGTACCTCGACGCCGACGCTATCGCCGACTTTGCCGAATCCGCCTACGCCGCCCCCAACTTCGCCGTTGTCGCCAATGGCGTCGAGTCTGGTGAGCTTTCCAAGTGGATTGGTCAATTGTTCAACAACGTTCCTTCCACCGCCAGAGCCGAGATCTCCACCCCCAAGTCGCAGTACTACGGTGGTGAGGAGCGTATCGCTCACGGATCCGGTAACGCCATGGTCCTCGCTTTCCCCGGCTCAAGCACCCCCACTGGTGCCTCATACAAGCCCGAGATTGCCGTCCTTGCCGCTCTTCTCGGTGGCAAGTCGACCATCAAGTGGTCTTCCGGTTTCTCTCTTCTTTCCAAGGCCTCTTCCAAGTTCCACGGTGCCACCATCGAGACCAAGAGCGCCATCTACTCGGACGCCGGTCTCCTTTCCGTTTCCATCAAGGGTTCCGCCAAGGACGTCAAGGGTGCCGCTCAGGAGGTCGTCAACGCCCTCAAGCAGGTCGCCGAGGGCGTTTCCAAGGAGGACTTCACCAAGGCCAAGGCCGCCGCCAAGTTCAAGGAGCTTGAGTTCGGCCAGAACATCGACGCCGGTATTGAGCTTACCGGTGCCGGTCTCGTCCAGGGCAACAAGGCCTACCAAATAGATGAGGTCGCCAAGGGTATTGACGCTGTCACTGAGGAGCAGCTCAAGGAGGTGAGTTCTGTCGTTTGGATTGCGATCATGACAAGTACTAACAAGATGCACAGGCTGCCAAGGCCATCTTCGAGTCCAAGGCTTCAGTGTCATCTGTCGGTGACCTTTACGTGCTCCCTTACGCTGAGGAGCTCGGCCTCAAGGTGTAAAGGGTGTATATATGATTCGGGAAGCGGAGGCAGAAAAAATGTACCATTAAAACTGTACTCGCGATTCACGCGTAGACTTGATGCAATTTTTTCGTTTGTTAATAAAGCAGCATTTTCTTCTTTTAATGCTACGAGTGTGTATATGCAAAGTTTTGGCAATTGACTTTTGTGATCAAAAGGTTGGGAGGAGAGCGGTTGACGAGCTCTTTCTATGGGCTGACTCCTGTGTGATGCTTCCACGGACGAGTCTTGATATGGATCTGAGTCTTGATATGGATCTAAAGGCATTCAATTGGGTCACTTAGCACTCACTGTATTGAAATGAAGCAGGATGATCAGTTTGATCTGTAGAAATACTGTAGTGCTGAATTCACGTGATATGCGGGCGGAAGTGGATGCCAAGAACCGGAGAGAGAGAGGGTTGGAAGTCGAGGCAAGTCGAAGCAAGCGCATTCAGACGATTGCGTGCCATCTCCAAGCTCTTTACACCTTCCACCACCCACACATCTTCAATACCGTCACAATGGTCGCCGCCTGGAAAGCCGCTGGTCTCAGGTGAGCGTCTCCGCCAACGTCGCAACAACCCAAGCTCGGAACCGACGGAAACAAGAGAGGAAACAGAAGGCTGATTGTTGGATTCGAATCACAGCTACAACCGTTACCTGGCCGTCGCCGCCCGTGTCGTCCGCCGCTCGCTCAAGGAGGACAAGAGATTGGCTGCCGAGCGCAGAGGAGAGATGGACCTCAGATTTGCCAAGTGGGAGGTGCGTTATGTCTGATCCCAGCCCGAATCACACCAACCAACACATACCACGCCCACGCCACGGACCCTACACTATCTTCCACGACGAGTAAAAGAAACCGCTGACGAGTTTGTCATCAACACAGAACGGCAAGCAGGGTGAAGTCAAGAACCTCGCTGCCGCCGTCACCGAGGCTTCTCCCGCCGCCCAGTCGTAAATCCAACCAGATACCATGCGCTAGGAAGACGACGAGATGAGCGAAATGTCTTCGAGGCGTCGTTGTAACAACATTGTCAGAATGCGAAAGTCAAAACCCCCCGAAATGCCATGAATGCTATCATCAGTCGCCATTACTAGTGCTTCGTTCTGTTACTGTCTTTGAATGTCTTCTATGCGCGCCTTAAAGTGACGTTCCCATCCCAAAATTGTGTATATACCGTGACTCTCTCAATAAGCTGAAAAGAGTACTACTCGTGCAGCCAGTCATGCCAAATCGTAAAGCCATCAGCCATCATTGTCAAACAAATCCCATCTCGATTGCGAAGCCGCTCCAAACGCCGCTCAACAGACCTCCGACTAGTGATATCCAACACTATTTGGCATCCATAATTCGACCCCTGGCCAGCACATCATGCAACCAGATCTGACGCGTCTAAATCTGGGAACTGGTGCTGTCCAGCCTGCCATGTCTTCGATACACAACGGAGGCGTCACACGATCATCTCAATATGTGCCGCGACAAATGACGGTCAGAGATATCACTAAGGAGTTTTCAGATGCTTCTGCAGGTATGTTTTTGATTCTTGAACTACATGTCACGCGATCTCTTGTTCTCTCGCACTATAGAAATCATCTACGTGATTTGCAGAGAGTTTTTATGGTTTGCTGATTGGCATGTTAGAATTGCAGCAGGGACAATTGGTCAAGGATGACTTCTTTACGCTCTTTGAGGCTGTCGGCGCGCTCGAGGCATGTCTTTTTGCTTCCTCCGTTTCTGGACTTTCTGCTAACGCCTAGTCTAGATCATGGATCCCAAAATGGACAGCGGGTTGTTGATACCAGACAAGGATGCTGCGGTAGACAATTTCGACCCACTGCAAAACATGCTGCCTGAGGAGATGATTGGCATCATGGACCAATTGCTCTCTTTCGAAGTACGTCGAGTTGATTATCTTGAATTGGTGTGAGATTCTGACACGAGCTCTAGATGGCCTGGCACCAAGGATACGCCCTTTCTCAGACATTGTTCACCTCCCTTCACATGTACTCTCTGCTCACGCCATACTATCGACCGCTCAATGCTGTTCTGTTTGGCCGAAAGAGAACGAGTCCCGAGAACCCGCATCCACTGATCAGCAGCGTCCTTCGAGCATTCTGTCTCGGTATCATCAAGTCTTGTGATGCTGTCATCCAGGAGATCACCTCTGAGCACTACTACGAGGAAGAGGATTTTGTCACTCAGACTTTTACTCAGTACATGTTGAATGATGTCAACAATGAGGAAGTCATTACAGAGCTGCACGGCGCCTTGGTCATCCTGGATGCGCAGAAGTTGTCTGAAGATGTAAAGCATGCACTTGAGCAGCGTTTGCTGTTGCGGGTTCATCTCCTCGAGGCTCTGGAGCCGTTGAGCCATGTTGAGGTGGTCGACAAGACTGACATGTGGAAGGCAGTACTCGACTCTCTGGAGAAAGTGAATGACACCGGCAAGCTGGGTAAGGCAAGACCTGACCTGTTCTCTGAACGAGTACAGAGACATCTGGCCAGCAACACACCTCCTACTCCTATGATCAAGACGAGCTGGGAGGAGGCGTATCCTCGCTTCAAAAGACTGGCCGAGGACAACATTGAAGCCCACCGATTTGCTAGTATCGAAGATCCCAGCCCCTTGAATGTGACTGTAAGTTCAAGTCCTCCATGCCATGTTTCTTTGCTTGTGAGGCTGACGAAACATGACAATTCCAGCGTTTCGCATGGGACTTCTCCAATCGCAATCCTCAACCTTCTACTTACTCACGATCTGTAATGCAAGGCCTACTCTTCAAAGGCCAAAAATTACTCGCCCAGACTCCTCACCTCTCTCTTCTCCTCGAAGACATACGTAGTCTCTCCATGTCCGGAGACCCCCTTCTCAGCCCATCAAACTGGGAGGTCGAACTGCCAACAGATCACCGCTTCCTATCTTCCCGCATCATCGACGAATTCATGGCCAAAGCACTGGATGAGTACATCAACATCCCACGCATGATACTCCAGAACCGCTGTCGCATGAGACGAACCTTCTGCCAAAGCGTTTCCGTACTAGATGGCCTGCAAGCCGAAGCCGAAAATGCAGATGCCGAACTCCACTCTTTGTTCCCTGCTGCTGCCGCGTCGCCGCTAGAGACTTTTTATCCTTTGGCTGCTTGGGCATATTTCCACAAGCTGAGGGTCATGGAGTGGAGTTTGCAGCTTGGCTTTGAGCTTGATGTGTATCAAGATCAGGAAATGGCTTATTTGTATCGCTTTCTGGGGTTTGTGGCTGCGACAAGAGCAGAGCATTTGCAACATATTGATCTTTATCTGCACTTGAGGCAGAGAAAGTATAGGAAGCAAGGGAATGCTGTCATGGCTGAGCAAGTTGCTTCGTCACAGGCTTCTATCGCTTTCCTCACTGCCAATGCGACGTGCATTGCGGAGTTTGCGAGTGCGTTGGCGTCACTTTACGCTTTGCTGTACAGTCTGCATCTCATCAAGCATTTGGACGATGGAGAGGTCTACTCTACGTCCGCTCTTCGCCATGAGCTTCGCATGAAACCGTATCTCCCCATCGGCACACCCACCCTGCCTTCGTCAGAAGATATGGAAGCATCGACCCTGCTCTCTCCCGACGCAACCTTCTCTGCCATCATTACCACCATCTCCTCCCGTTTAGCTGCCGCCAAAACAGCGCTCTCAGCATGGAAGTCCACAGATGCCGCAACCGGAAACTACCGCGGTTGTGAAAAGGCATTTAAGCAGGAAGTGCAAGGTGTGTTGGGTAGTATCGTTGCTACGGGCATTGTGGTTTCTTTGTTGAAGAAGACGGTTGAAGAGTGTGGGTTTAGAGCTGTGAGAGATGTAGAGGGGCGAGAGGAGGAAGTGAAGAAGAAGGTGAAGGTGGAGGTTGTGGGAGAGAAGAGGTACTCGGGTTTCTGGGCTGTTCCGAAGGTTGTTGGTGTGACGAATTAGATGCAACACACTAGGGAAGGAGTGATGTTCCCATGTGCGACAAGACTTTGATTACGGCATCGGTTCGTGGAAAAAACAAGATACCTTTTTACCAGCAGTCAATGCCCCAGGCAAGATCTCGCTACAAGCAAAGGCAGGAGGGATGTTGCTGATATGATGTTACAGCAGAGAACAACTTCGACCACATCACTCGTCTCATCAGGCAAGGTCCTTCAGATGCGTCTGATTCATCATCTCTATGCATCGTTGCTCCAAGTATAGCCACCCTTCATCGAACGTACTGTCAAAAGCATGCAATGAAAAGCCATAACAAAAGCAGGGAGGTAGTCTACTCACGTGTGATATCCTGAGTCATAGATTGCTCAAAGCGGCTGCTGCTTCTCTTGACGCTTTTTAAAGTCATCGGAATGTTTGAGTATGCACCCCTTTCCTTGTCAACTCCTTGTATCATGTCATATGTTGTTTCTACAACTGGTGACAATGGCAAACACTCATGATACGACATCGATACAGTAATCAGTAATAGCATGCATATCCAGGTTTCCCCTCCGACTACATACAGGGTGAAGATAAAGCTATCGAAAATGCACAGTCGTTTCCAGACAGTAGGGATGTTCGGGAGAGCCACTGTTATCACGACTCTCAGTTGATACCTTATATCTCTCGAAGCCACTGTGCATCTCCATAGCTGCATGTCGCTGCATGCTCCTGCCCAGAAAAATGGTCCCAGCAGCACTGCCTTGGCGCCATCCTGCCGACCTCGGAGTAACACCTTGAAGCAACATGTCAATTCGGTATACCACTTCCAACACAAAAACACTTCATTCTGAGTCCAATCCACAACGATGTCCAACAACCCCACCGGAACACCTCTAACCCTCCCAAACGCAACACAACACAATTTCACGAACCCTCAAACTGGCCTTAATTACCGCATCCAAATCTCTTGGCCTTTGAACTGGGACCGCACGAAACAACTCTGCAACTCCAAGATCCCAGTCATCTATATCCTAGACGGCAATACTCTGTTTCTTACAGCAACAGAAATTCTCTGGCGAAGCTCAAGCAACACTTTTTACCAAGGCGGCGGCATCGTAGTAGGGATCGGATATCAAGATATCCCTACTGAGACTGGGAGTTTGTATAGTAGCCAGAGAAACACAGATTTGACGATCAGCGAGCATGAGGTACATGCTGGATTAGGTGGTGCCGATGCTTTCCTCGAATTCATTGGCGAGGAAGTGAGGCCGTTGGTGAGGAAGCAATTCACGGATGTCAGTATTGATAAGGAGGCTATTTTCGGACACTCCTTCGGTGGATTGTGTGTCTTGCATGCGCTGTTCAGCAGACAGGGAGGTATTTTCGACGCTTATTTTGCAGCCAGTCCTTCCATATGGTGGGATTTGAAAATTGTCAGAGAGGCGGAGGACTTCTGCAGCCGCAAAGAGGAAGGACCGGCAGAGCGTTTGTTGCAGCTGTCGTATGGGTCCCTGGAAGACAAGCCGTCACAGCATCACTCGGAGTCGGAAAGCGAGTTCGAGGAGAGGGTGAAGCAAAGCACGGGACGCAAGATGGGAGAGAATGCTGTTGTAATGGAGAAGATGTTGCAGCAAAGCAGGAAGCTGAAAAATCTATCCATTGTCGAATTCGAAGGTGAGGATCACCTCACTGTCGCAACTTCCGCGTTACTCAGGGCCATGAGTACGTTTCTGGACCACTGATCACTTCTTTAGGACCATAGCAATGCACAGTTATGTTCAGAAAAAGGGTGTTGCCAGAGAGAGAATACGAACGCTGCTATCTGCACAGACTCACAGTGGAAAGCTTGAGATTCTCGAAGTATTTGTGCACTTCTATGAGCTGTCGGTGGTCACGAAAGCTAAGTTGGGAGCTCTGATGACCATCACGCACGTGGGCCAAACTCTGTATCATGACTGAAATCGTGACTGATTATCGGCGCTCAAACTTGCTCACTGCCGAGTCATCTCTTCTACTCCTCTCCAACTTCTGACTTCTTTTCTTTCCAAATTCCTTCTTCTAGAGTAATCTACAACAGAACACAAAGATATGGAGCTCCACAACAACACTGGCTTGACTGTATCTCAGCCCTGTTGCTGCACTTATCAAGGGGGTCCTCTGACATAGGAATCAAGCAGCAATCCACAATCTGGTTGTAGGCTATCTGAGAACAACGCTGACAGTCAAGCACCGCCACCGTATTCCAATCTGGATCCCGATTCTTACGTGAGTGACTGGGTACAGCACGACAGCCGGATCTTTTGGGTCCGCAGTATCAAACGACGTGGCAAGACTCGGTATCAATACAGCATCGAGAAGAACGACGCCTTTCCTTGGGCTGGGAATGGGAAAGCCTTCTTCACCTGTGGCAGGATCCCTCGCGAGGGTCATAGCGAGGAAAGCATCAGAGCTATCTGTGAGAGCACTGTTATGCTGCTGGACGCCCACCGTCACGATTGTTCAACTTGCACGGTACATCACATACAGACTGATTGACGTGGTTGCACACCGAGCATATCAGGCCACCATCTCAGAGATTCTATGACCCGTCATAATATGGCTTGCTCGTGCAAATGCTTTGACATCCACGTTCCACCGCGTCAGGCACTAGCCACGTCTACAGCCTTTGAAGGCGCTTCACAAGGAGCCGAGGGATGCCAACACCGTCCACCGAACCCAGCATGGGAGTCGGAAGTCTTCAGCGGCCAATTCTACTGGTTCCGTACAATACCGCAACGCGGTCGAACTCACTTTCAATGTGAAATCAACACAAAAGAAGGAATTTGCCGCTATAACGAAGAACCAGATCTCATGTTCACTTGTCAAATGGAGCCCCGAGTAGGTTACACTCAGGGAGCGGTCAGAAGGACTTGTAAAAACGTGGCTTTGGCCCTGAAACAACATTGGGGGGCCGATGGCGAACATTGCAGTGTCTGTGACTTTTGTCAAAGACAGTCTAGCATCACAATGCAGAAAGATCAACCAGAGTTGGTGCAATCCACTGAGAGCCCCACTTTCAACCACACACCTGGGGCTCTCAGTGGAGGTATACAGTATATGCAAAACACTGTGCATTTTTACAAGCACACGAGTATGAGCGAGTACAGAAGAGAGGTAGCACACTACTGTCATACAACTATTGACTGTATGAACTGATGTAGTATGTTATCACCGATTCTGGGCCAGCCGCATCCTCGTTCGTGAGATAGACATATAATATCAAGGCATGCTCATCGCAAAAGCCTAGGATTCGTTAGTATGCGTGTACCGTGAGCAATGAGAATAGAGCTTACAGGCAATGACTCGTCCACCCACTCTGCCAATGCCCAGTACCTTGCCCCAGTCCTTGCCATCCAATCTCACCACTGCCCAGCCTTCATCACTGATGCCCTCGGGATCACCTCGCGTTCGCATTCGAGTACTCGGATGTTGTGCGATACCCTCCTCACCGCCTTCGATCGTCTGAGGATCCAATTCGGGATTGTTAAGCCCTGTCCACTTTGAGCTGATATCCATGGCGTCGGTCTTCAGCCTTAATCTTAAGCATCCGTGCATGTTGGCGCTTAACTCCAGTTTCGGTGCCCGCGCTGTGTTGCCTCGAAAGCCCGTGGATCCGTTCGGCGTTTTCATGCTCGAGACGGCGAGCTTGGTGAAGCGATCGGAGATGGACTTGAGCTGCAGTAGTGGTGGAAGCTGAATGTGAACGTCCGGCTCTCTAGCCCGGGGTTCGCTGAGGCCTGCTACCACGGCTGGCGAAAGGACTTTGATGGGGATGTCTTGAGTGATGATGGTTTCTCTATTTGGACGATCGTAGACAGGCTCGTCGAGCTCGTCTGTGAGGAATGGGTTGCCGAACTCGTCGTCTGTGGGGTAGCCCGGATCGTAGCCATGTTGGTCTGGTGGAGCGCTGTGTGCTACCGGCTTGGGTGCACCGGCGAAGATGGCGGTTGTGATTGTCAAAGAAAGAAGTGGGATGTTGTTCTTCTTGGTCAGACGGATGGAAGCATGGCTGGCATTTTGAGCCGACTTGAGCGCTCGGTGTAGATTCTGTAGCGGCACTTCAAGGTTGATTGTGTTGTTCTCTGCTGCAGACTGGATGGTGTATGTTTCGAATATTTGATCCTTCCTGAAATTAGTCTCCCGTATAGCATGGCAGAGGATATACTGACAATCTCGAGTGCACTAGTTCGAGGTCAGATCATAGATGGCAAGGACTGTTCTTTGAACTTACGCCCAGACCGATGAGCCATTATCAGGAATCACAGTGAAGCGAACATCTTCGTTGCTCAACTTGACCCAAGCGACTGGTCCCAATGACGCGAGTGAAGCTGTCAATTCTGGGAGAAATGTCAAAACTTGTTATTTCTCACAAGTCACATACACTTACTCGTAAACACATTGTTGTTCTGTATATCTGCTCGAAAACGCATAATGACTCTTTTTGTGTGTGATTAAGATGGAATTGAACGCCACATTGATGGTCAAAGATTCCATGGAGCTTTGGCTGGAGGTCGGACGTGTCTCAGGCAGCGTCATCAAGCGCGAGGTCACGTGTTTGCAATTCGGATCAGGAAGGATCATGATCTCTCTCAATTCCAAGTCGTGCATGTCTTGTCTATACATTAATTCAATCATCGTCGTGTCCATCGTTCCCAGAACTTCCACTTGATTCCTTGTTGTCTCCCTTGGCCGTTCTTGCCCTTCATTCTCCATGCATACAATGGGAATCCAGCAAGGATGAAAGCTACTACTAAAAGCGTCTGCAGTGGCTGTGCAAAGACAGCTCTACTAAGCAAGAACAAGCTGACGCAGCAGAAAATGATTGGCGTTGTGATCCAGCACTTATATGGTCGTTCGAGGTCGGGCTCCTTGACGCGGAGAACGATGAGGCCAAGAACCGTGAAGAAATAGAAAGTGTATCCAGCAACTCCGTAGAATGTTGTAAGAGTTCCAAAACTCCCCACCACAACATATATCATAGTCAGAGCTGCATTGAGCATCATAGCATATGCTGGTGTGTAAAACAAGCCGACTCCGTCATCGGCGATGAATTGCGTCAAGCGAGATACTCGAGATGGGCGGTATGGAAGACGGACAGCGCTGGCCTTGGTAAAGCCAATCTGACCAAAGAAGGCGGGCAGCCATCCTTCTTTGCCAGCAGCGTAGACAAGACGCCCGGAGGTGAAAGTGGTCGCATTTAGACTGCCAAAGCATGATCCAGCTACGACCAGTGCAAGAACGAAAGATCCTACTGGGCCAAGAACAAAGCGACCGAATGCTACAGCAACAGTGTTGGACGAATTGATCGTTGCTAAAGGCAAGACCAAAAAGTAGGCAATATTGGCGAGCAAGTACGATAGGACCACCGTAGACAGCGAAGTGTGGATGGTCCGTGGGAGGTCTTTCTGCGGATTGATGAACTCTCCAGCAACGTAGTTGACCTATGATGCGTTAGCATGATTTATATCAGAGGTGCGACAAGACGGTAAGCATACATTGTCCCATCCATCGTATGCCCAGAGACCAGCATAGATAGCAACCGCCCAGTTACTGGCGTCGTTCTTAGTGCCGTCTACCCAGAAAGAAGAGTGCTTCCATTCTTTCGACACATTCCCCTCAAAGCTCCAGCCCGTGATGGCTACAACAACGCCTGCGACGGTAACCCCAGCCAATGCGAAGAATTTGAGAAGCACGAATACATCAGTGCTGCGTGTACCGACTTTTGTGGAGACACAATTGAGAGCAGTGACGAGCACGACTCCAGCTATGGCGACAGCCTTGTTGATCCAGGTACTTGCATCCATGGCATCTGCACCGATAAAAGCTCTGACCGTGTATTCGCCAAAAATGATGGCGACGATGGCAGCCGAACCGGGCTTCAGTACGACGACAGCGCACCAGGTGAAGAGGAAGCCGGCCCATTCACCATAGATCTTGCTCAGGTAGATTTGCGCACCGCCATTGAGCGGCATAGCACTACCGAGCTCTGCATAGCTCGAAGCACCGGTCCAGGCAAGCAGACCTGCGATGACCCATACTACCAAGGCAGCGACAGGAGAGCCGGCATTGATGTTGACCTGAGCAGGAGACGAGAAGATGCCAGAGCCAATGATGAGGCCAACAACCAGCGACAGACCGCCTTTCCACAAGGTCAATGTTTTGTGTCTTTCCAAGCTTCCTTCTCCTCCTGCTGGCATGGGCTGTCCGCTCGGGGCGCCTATGGCGGTGTATCCTGCTCCTGGACTCGACAAAGGAAACAATGCGGGAGCAAAGTCGAAAGCGGAGGACACCGAGTATGATCTGTTCATCCGACCGCCATTGCCTCGACTGCTGGGACCAAGGGTTCCAAGATGGTCATGGTCAAAGGAGAGGTTGCGCGACGAGGGCACGCCCGAGGCCGACGAGTCGATGCTGTCACGCGAGTTGTGGTCCGAGGAAGCGAGAGAAGCCAGTTCCAACGAGTCGCGCTCGAACTGGCGAGGGGGTGCGAGTCCGGCCATGCAAACAAGCAAAGTCAGCTAATCGTGTAACTGCTGTGTTATTGTATCATCGCTCGAGTCGCTCGCAGCAAAACAAACTTGTCGGCCGCAAAGACCGAAGTTTGTTCAGGAGACGATGCTGCTCCGCATTGGGCAAGTTTCAGGGTCTCTGTGTCATGACGTGGGGTCTTTTTGTTAGACCGCTCGAGGCCGCTGCAATCGTCCTTCAATAACATCAAACACCGACAAACATGACATTGTGCCTATCTTCGTTGCGTCGAGCTTCCTATGTTCAGTAAAGTGCAGGTCCAACTGGGGAGAGCCTTCCTTCTGTCCCGTAAGGATCGCCGAAGCCACAAGAGCATACAGCTCGCTCCTCATGCAGCGACAACGCAATTCGCCTGTCGCGTCAGAGCAAGACGGGGAAGATCCTCCAGGATAATATCCAGGTCGTGAGATATCGCGTATGCTTCTTCACCTTCAGCAGCGGTCCTCATGCATGTCACTACAGATTGGCGTTCATTTGGCTGCGACTCTGATGCATGCCACGTCTTCGATCTACAACAACGCCTTTTCCGAGGAGAGCAAACACAACAATACGTGGCACATGGACCCGGGCCTTTTTATTGAACTATGAACGGCTGTCATGCCTCTACTCGTCTTTACAGTACTTATACGACACGTGAAGTACAGCTACTTGTCGAGTTATTCTGCCGCCATCTCCCGAGCTTCTCAGGTGAGTTGGGCATCAGGGATATACACGCTACCTATGATCGATTGATATGTCAATATACGAGGTTTGTATATTGGTGTGGTCTTGCCGATGGTCTCGCTACTGTGTTATCCTCACGAACCTTTAACCGGCCGCTGTTGCCATACTATTGCTCACACTTCAAACACCATGGGCATATCGTCCTCCAAGTCGAGTACTATCACCGTACGGCCGAGTGCTGCTGATGCCGCACCTGCTGCTGCTGAGGAAGCCGCTGGCGAGATAGAAGAGGAGAAGGTCACGGTAATCATACTTGGTCCTCGGTGGGTGCGTGACAAAAACACAGGGCAACAATATGTCGAAAAGAATAGACGAAGAGACGACATGCTTGAACGGCGTGGTGAAGTAACTCATGTTCTACGTGAACAGGGCAAGAGATTTTTCACGAGACACAAAGACGGAACTATGCAAATGGATCCCAGACGGGCACCGATTGGTAGGTGAAAGGAATTGAATGTCACTATAGCACACTGCTGACTCTGAGCAGGTGAGGCTGTTATTGTCGAGGTTCCAGCAGAAGCCCCTGCAGTCACAGTTGTTGCTCCAGTCGCTGTTGCTGCTTGAGAGCGAGCGTTAACGCCTGCAATTGAGAGGATGGATCAAGATCGGCTCTCAAGCACGAGATATCTTACCCTGCGTGCTGCCGCCTCTCATAGTGTAGCCCGCAGAAATACACAAAGCTCTTCAGACCGGAGCATTATCCACGGAGAGGCGACACGATGTGCGTATCTCCATGGCTATACCTCTTATCTACGAAATAACTGTGCATTCTCATAGTCCGTACTATGACTATGCGTCGACGTGAAAGATTTGGACTGTATAGTGAAGCCACGTGAAGGAAAGAGCACTAGTACACAGTGCAGTCAATGTTAGGAAAGAGCGCCGCGGATAACTTTCCCTCTCAACAAAGTCAAGCATTTCACGAGAACACAACCGGATCATTCCACAACATCAATTTTCTAGGTACCTTTGACCTGCAACACCTAATGCAGAGCTCATCAATCTCGGATGAGCAGTCTCATCGCTACAAAACACGACCTTCGCAGGCGGTTCGGGAGAGCAGACCATCACTAGGCATCGAAGAACTATGGAATCTGACATCTGGTATGCTAGCATGATCTGTCTGGTTGATGGGCAACTACTGAACAGCAACAGCGAACATACAAGTTTTGGACGATCATCTACTGTCCGCTCATCCGACGTTCTCCACGCCGCCCGATAGACAGCAACCATGGGTCCGTATGGCCGTGTCCAAGAACACAGACGACAGCTTCCAAGCCATGCTTCTCGAGCGCGGGATACTTTTTGCCGAAACAAAATGCTGTCAGAGCCCGTATGAAGCAGTGTTGGAGATGTTCGAGCACACAGGTACACTGGTTGCCAAAGTGCTGGCAGGAGATGTGCGAGCATTGAGAACTGGAGGCCAGAAGGAGGACGAGACTGTCATGAGGTTGGATCTGATGCGGAGAAAGCCCGGAGAAAGTTTCGAGACGGCGTGTGAGCAGTGGACGGACGAGAAGGGACGAAGAAGATCCAGTGCGCAAGAGCTCGAGAAGGATGTCATGAGGGGTGTCTGATCTGAGATTGACTGGCGCGTGTTGATATGGAGATCAGAGTCATGAGTTTCTCTTCATGAGGTTCAGAATCCTTCTGGCGGCCATACTTCATTTACCTAATTCAGCTCTCCCTAACAAGCACGTCAAATTCAAATTCATTGTAGCTCTACAAGAAATGCAAGAGTGTTTATATGTGATGGCGGAGATGGCGGAGCCGAAGGCCGAGGAGTGGATTCATCTCGATGCTGACCAGGCCATGACGTTGACCGTGTCTCCATCATGTCCAAAATCATGTCGCCAGTTCGCTCTCTTTCTCACTTTCACAACAACTACACGCCATGGGACTAATTCTTAGGGGGACCAGGCTCGCGTCGCGCGTGCCCAGAACATCACTATGGACATCACAATACCGCAGCAAATCTCGAGCCACATACACAGTGCCCATTGCCCAACAGCAACCCGAGGACAAGCACCACATTCCGACACTCGACGAATGCCCTTCACCGACTTGCCAATGCAGGGAGACGCCCGAGGGCTTGGACATCGATCGTGAAAGCAAGCTCAATGGAACCATGCCGGCGTATGCTTTGCAGGTCATCGTGTCAACGGGCCGGACCGATTGGAAGAGCAGGATACAGGACGATGAGGACAGCGCCCTTGTCAATCAGTTGGCCAAATTCACTGGTCCCAAGGGCAAGTATTCTGATGTACGCACACACCTCAACACATCTATCATGCGCGACGTGTTGCTGACTCGTCTACTCATAGCCATACCACAATGTATCCGTCATCAACTCATCCATCCCGCCCACGCCTTTCAGAGACGCCGAACCGTCGACGCAACCTGCACAAAAGGCAAACACAGTCCCTGCCGCAAAACCAGGCTCAGATCCAGACATTGTCCCCCAAGACGTGCCTGAAAGCGCGCCCGCATCTGCCTTCCTCTTCCCAAGCTTCCAATACGTACCCAGCATCCCCACCGACGACAGTTCAGTCGAAACATTTGTCAAAGGCTTTGTCCTACCTCCGACTCTAAACCCACAACACGAGTTCTTGACCAGGAAAGAGAAGAACACAATTCTGCACGAACCCGACGCGCGTAGAGAGTTCCCCGGTGCACGATCGGTCCACGAGATTGTCGTCTTGATCTGTGGCCACGGCGGACGCGACGAAAGATGTGGAAAGATGGGTCCTATTCTTGCAGCAGAATTCGAGGACAAGTTGGCGAGACAGAACATTCCCGTCATCAGCGAGGCACCTCCTCACGAAACGGTGCGGCCCGACTACTCGATACAAGGGTACCAACCTGCAGCTAGAATTGGGCAGATCTCTCACATTGGCGGTCACAAGTGGGCTGGCAATGTGATTGTGTACATCCCACCTAGCTTCAAGAGCAACCCTCTTGCTGGCTGTGGTATCTGGTATGGCAGGGTGGAGCCTCAGCATGTCGAGGGTATCGTTGGAAAGACATTGATTGACGGCAAGGTCATCAAACCGCTCTTCAGAGGTGGCATCCGCGAGGGCGGCGAGATTCTGAGACTCGATATAGACTAGATATAGTGTATACCATGTACGATTACAATATGAACAGAAACGAACATGAATGGAAAATAACCATGTTGTCGTCATTGACATGTGAAAGCTTGGCGGATTTTGGTGTTCTGAGAAGCGAGCAACCAACTTTTGATCTGTTGCACATAGCATCACCATGCCTTGTACTCTTCGCCCTGGCCTCCGTCTTGCAGTCAGGCCGCGATGCTCTACGCTATTCCAGTCTCCAAACCTCCGTCGACAGTTTGCGCGAAACCAACATACATCGACTAACATTCACAATGCTCCCGTCAAGGCGAAACGCAGCTCTCTCCGAGGCATTGCAGCATCTGTCGCCTTCTTTACTACTGGCTGGTTCTTGAATGAGCACTACAATTTCATCTCCTTCTCCTCGCCGCAGCCTCTCAACAACCAGACTTTCACGCCTTTTGCACTCAAAAACAAAGAGACCGTCTCTTCCACCAGCTCCATATTCACTCTGTCGCAACCGCATATACCGAATGGCTCCTTTGACGATTGGTGGAAAAAGGGTGTCTGGAGCATAGAGATCAAACAACCTCAGCTCCAGATAGCAAGAGCATATACCCCTTTGCCTCCACTCGATGGCTCAGACCCCGACGCTTTGCGCCTGTTGGTACGCCGAGAGAAGAGAGGAGAGGTATCGGGATACTTGCATAGAAGACCTCTAGGCTCTGATGTCGAGATCAGAGGTCCTGCTGTCGAGTACGAGCTGCCAGACCATGTCGACCAAGTCGTCTTCTTAGCCGGAGGCACTGGTGTGGCACCTGCCATCCAGATAGCACATGCTCTGGGGGACAAGGCTCGCATTGCTGTGCTATGGGCAAACAGAGCAAGAGAGGATTGTCAAGGTGGCCAGAGTGATGATCCAGTCACACCGGGTTGGTATGCCACCTTCAGCAACCTCTTTTCGAACACTCAGCACCCCAATCAGGCTACCACTGCTGAGAAGAGCTTGATCGTGAAACAACTCGATGTACTCAAGCAAAACAATAAAGGACTCACCGTCGACTACTTTGTCGACGAAGAGAGCACCTACATCCAACCTCAGAGCGTGCGCAAGGCTGTCGCTCGACCCTCAGACCAAGTGGTGATTCCTGGTCAAGGCAAAAAGATCATCCTTGTATCAGGACCCGAGGGGTTCATCAACTACTGGGCTGGACCCAAGCAGTGGTTGAACGGTCGCGAAGTCCAAGGCCCACTGGGTGGTGCACTTGCACACATGGATCTCACAGACTGGCAAGTCGTCAAGCTATAAGAGTTCAATCACACCACTTGCCTGGCGAACAAACAGACTCACAAAAACAAAGCTCGCTTAGACTCACCATTTCCATGGATAAAGCTACCCATTTTCGGCAGGTCCATAAGCTTGTTCTTGCCGTTTTGTCTTACCGCATCCCCGCCACATTGCTTCTTGCCTTCCCCACGGCTTCGTTCCGTCAATCTCATGGCGTATTTGCAATCGTTGCACATACGCATCTTGAGTCTTTTTCATGACTCCCGCTCCTCTTTGTGACTCTCAATGCCTCGACCCAAGGAACATTGCATTCATTCATTGACACGTCATGTCGACTGTTGAGATGGCCGTCGCGCCAGTAGCCCCAGCTTCGGCAGCAACTAACACGGTTGACGAGAAAGCCGTCATTCCTTCCACAGTCGAGATTCCGAATCCTGAGGGTCGCCCATCATGTTTTAAATCAACGACACAAGAAGTGCTCTTTGTTCTCACGGCCACCATGGCCATAGCAATGGGCGCGTTCCTGAGCGGGGCTGTCGCTGTTATCTCTGCTTCTGTAGGAGCGGACCTAGGAATGACTACAGCAGAGATCACCTGGATAAGCTCAGCAAGCACATTGGCTGGTGGTGCTTTCTTACTGTTGTTCGGCAGACTCGCTGACTGCTTTGGACGAAAGTCAATGTTTGTTGGCTCGCTCTTCTTCTTTGCCGTCTTCGCCTTGGCTGCGGGCTTTTCCCAAACACCAATTACATTGGATGTACTCAACGGGATGATGGGGTTGATGACGGCAGCCTCTATTCCTCCTGCACAAGGACTTCTGGGCACTATCTACGAGCAACCTTCGAAGCGCAAGAACGCAGCTTTTGCGTGCTTCTCTGCTGGCAATCCTTTGGGCTTTGTGTTTGGAACCATCTTCTCTGGAATTGCTAGCGACATTTTCAACTGGCGAGCGAGTTTCTTCCTCCTGGCTATCATATACCTGGTGTTCAGCATCTTGGCTGTCTTTACAGTGCCCAAGGACACAACACCAAAGGAACCGTTCAACTGGGAAACGTTCCAGAAACTTGATCCCATTGGTGTCGTCTTGACTATTGCTGGAGTGGGCATGTTTTGCGCTGCGCTATCTTCAGGAGACACGGCATCTCATGGCTGGAAAACAAATTACATCATTGCCTTGCTGGTCATTGGCGCCTTACTCATGATCGCCTTTGTCTTCTGGGAGAACTACTATCCACACCCTTTGGTTCCAATGTCCATCTGGCTGGATAGGAACTTCTCGCTGGTCATTATTGTCTTGCTGCTTGGCTCAATGTCCTTCGCCGTCGCTGAATTCTTCCTGTCTCTATATATGCAGGAAGTCTGGAAATGGTCGCCGCTTATCACTGCAGTGCATCTACTCCCTATGGCCATCATGGGCATCATCGTCAACATAATCGCTGCTTTTATCATGCATAAAGTTAGCAACAAGGTGCTCATGCTCACCGGCTGCTTCGGATTCATCCTTTCCTTCACTCTCATCGCCGTTAACACAATCCACTCTTCTTACTGGGCCTTTTGCTTTCCGTCTTTCCTACTTGCAGTCGTGGGCGCAGACTTGGAGTTCAACGTCGCCAACCTGTACGTGGCGAGTTCGATGCCAAAGCATCAACAATCGATCGCTGGCAGTATCGTTCAGACCATTACCAAGCTTTGTCAATCTGTAGGCTTCGGTATCGGGACTGCGGTATTTAATGCAGTGGGAAGAAGTGCAAAGACTGGAGGGTACTGGGATAAGGAGACGAAACCTTATTCTGCCGTCTTTTGGTTTGCGACTGCGGCGAGTGGGATCAGTGTTTTGTTTGCGGTCTTCTTGACTATTGGGACGCAAGGAGGTAAAGAGAAGGAAGTTGAGGATGGTGGGGATGATAGGGACGAGAGGAGTGCAGAGGTGCAGAGATAGGCATGGTTGTTATAGTACGGCAAAGTCAGAGATGGCACACACAGGTTGAAATATAGAACCACAATGAAGCCATAGTATCAGATCTACAACAAACCCTTTACTCTCAGCGATTATCACACTACATGATGTACTCTTCATACTGGCCAGTCTCGTCGCCCTTGCTGAGCAGTTGCTGCTAGTTGAGATGCACAACGATGTCATGAAGGTCGACGGGAATGGAAGGCAGAAGAAGGTCTCTCGAAAGTTCAAATGTAAGAAACACGGACAAATGTATACTACTGTACACGGTCTCTTGTCTGACCTCCTTTGGATGATCATAGATCTAGGACTCCTCAGTCACTGGCTCGAGCAGGCCAGAGGGTGCATAAGTCTCTTCAAGCCATTGTTGTTGATCTTGTATCGTGAGATCAGGGGCACACTCATAGCCCGAGAGACTTGATTTATCGACAAAGCAAGCTAGAAATGCAAAGTCGACTAAAACAAGCGTAACAGATTGCTCAGATCAGAGAAGAGGGTCAAGAATACTGATGGGGAGTATAGGTAAAAGCGAACCAGGTTCTATCAAGTGATGAGAGCTATCTACCAAAAAAGAACGTTTCTACTTTTCGTTCACCGATCATTATTCCAGCTCAAAGTCGTTGAGATATCTCGAGATACCGTTCCAATCATTTACATCTTCCAAATGATCCGAGATCGCTGCTTCAATCGCTTCAAAATTGCTGCTGTTGCATCAAGAGGTTGGCTTGAAGGCACTCTGCACACTACCGTATCTATCACAAAGTCAGTAAATCATACTCAAAACAGAAAAAAGACAGCAAAGAAAAAACAATACCCTTGGGGACACTTTGATCCCAGCGCCACACTACCACTACGCATATAGCATGCTTTGGCCTGCGCACAAGCAATGTTGGTACAGTTGGGACTCATCACACTGCTCTTTCCTTGATATGTGTTGAAAACACTGGCCAGTGTCGTGTTCTTCGCAATCTGCTCAGAGACCTCGTGCCAGAATGTAGCATTCAAAGGGGCCTCAGCAGGCCAATTGATACTGGGACCATAAGCATCCCTGGTGTTGTATTCGAATTTGAAGGTCGGGCCAGTGGTATTGAGACCAGAGAAGGTCTCGACGTCGGAGTAATAAGTATACGCTTCATAGACGTTCCAGTCACCGGTATCGACGGAGTAGCTGCGGAAAGCGGAGTTGACGTTGGTCAGGGGAGTGATGCTGGGGCCTACCCACGCGGTCGTCAAGGCGTTACCAGAAGACTGGTTGGTTCCGTTGTTGGCATACCACACGTAAGCAAAATCCTCGTGCGTGTGTCCGAAAAACACGTTGGCGATTACATGCGGAGAGTAGCGGTCGATGATTTGGTAGAAAAGGTTGGTGGGGTTGGGCATCGGGTTCGTGCCGTCAAATCCACTGAGCACATGCCCCAAGATCCACACGCGCTCGCCAGCGTCTTCGGCGGCTTGGAGCTCCTGGATCATCCAGGCGAAAACACCGGACTTGTCTGGATTTTGGGTGTCGATTAAGTTCAAGAAGTTGGACTTGTACCAGAAATCGGTGTTGAAGGTGATGATACGCAGGCCTTGGGGTGTTTTGACGGAGTAAGCGCCGTAGTGCAAGCGAGCTTGCTTTGCAGCAGTTGCGTTGAGCCATCCTTCTTCATGCCAGAGTCCGGCAACGTGATCGAAGTTCCATGACATCTGCATGCCGAGGTCTCCCGGAAGACTGTGAGGTGCATCGATGGCTTCAGGGTTGGTGTCGTGGTTTCCGAGGACAGCGTAGACGGGTGCTTTGCCCATAAACTTCTTGAGCATGTCGTAGACTGACAGCTCTGCATACTCGACATATTCTCTGGAGAGTTCATTTTGGCTTTCATGACTGACCAGATCACCAGTGTAGATGCTGAACCCGAACGGGTTTTGTTCGCAGGTACCGGTGAGAGGACCAATGGAGTCCAGGGCTGCAAGTACCAAACCATAAGGGCTGTCACATTGGAAGTCACCATAGTAGGGCGCGGGAAGTGAGATTTCACCAGAAGGAAGTGCAGTGTTGAAGTTGTTGGCGCGGCAACAGAGCCCAGATGTACAGTTGGCTTCACTTCCGACAGCGTAACGAGGATCCAAATGGATATCAGACATGTGAAGTACCTTGATGCGATTACCACTAGCCTTGAGGATAGTGTAGTTGGTCGGCTTTGGCTTGGGGAAGAGTCCAGTGGTGTTCAACGGACTGGTCTTTGGCATAGAGCAGAAGTTGCTGGAAATCCTGTTGCAGATGTACTGTCCGTCCAGGCCAGAAACATCGGCCAAGGCTAGAATTTGCGTCCAGATGGCACCGAAGGTAGAGGCTTCAAAGTCTTCCTCGCAGGTCTCGTTGTTGTGGAGTTTGAACTGCTTGCAAAGTGATACCATAGCATCAGGAACCAGCTCAGGTGCCAGTTGAGCCGCAGTCTTCGCTACTGTCAAACCAGCGATACATTTTGAGCAGTTGGTGGTGAACTGATCGCTAATAACAATATCCTCGACCTGCGAGATGACGCTCTTGAGTACAGCTTGCTTGCCAGCCAAGGTGAGGTTGGCGATTGGAGGTGCATAGAAAACAGGATCTCTGTCTTCTTGCGGGATTGTGTTAGGAGAAGTCAGGTTCAAAGGGAAGGTGATGTTCAACACTGGATCGTAAAGAGCTGGCTGTGGCTCTGCTGTAGCGACAGGCTTGACCCAATAAGACGAGAAGACTGAGGTTGGGAAGCCAGAGGAAGCAACATGCGAAGACACTGCTCCAGACGGTATGTTCTGGGCATTAACAACACCTATACAAAGGGCCGCGGGGAAGAAGAGTTCACGCAAACCCATGATGAGCGCTTGTGGTAAGAACAATGAGATGGAGAACCAAATCCCGTGCAGAGCTGGGTGAAGGTCCATATGTACTCAATGCCTCTACCATCATACCTGTGGCAATCTCGACTTGAAGAGCCGTCGGTCCCGGTGATAGACCAGCCATTCGAGTGAAGACGCAATTGGCGGCCACGCTCGAAACACGTGCGCGGGAAAACGAGAGTTTGTCCCGCGATATGCTCCGCTATCGTCGACACCTACATCATTTGACGTACCCTCATCCATCGGAGCTGCATCTTCAATCTTTGACATGAAGCAAAGAAGACCAGAAGTATGCCTTGAAGCTGGATGGTAGTGGGATGATGGTAACCAGACAGCTGCCTCGTCACGAGCCAACTTGGCACAGGTCATCATCCTCGATCGACAGTCATACAAGCGGAGTGCCGGGACGACATTCCGCTGTGGCTGAAGTCCCGCAACCCTTCTGAACACGATCCATACTGGAGCAGAGTGTCGCGAAACAGAATCCCTTGGAGATTTGAAAGGCTTCTCGCCGTCAACATCTTGTTGCAAACGACATTGCGAAGAAGCATATGTTCTTAACGAATGCCTAGCCCTATCCCGGACCGACACTCTAGCCTTACTTCCTTCCTGTTCTCTTGGTATTGCTTCGCCAAACATCAACTCGTACAGAAGAACACGTACATCCTAAGAACAATACTTCACTATAAAACATTGCAATCCACATCTCTCTTCTCAAATTCGGTATCCTCATCTCTGCACTTCACTTTTTCCGATCATCTCAAATATGGAGCCCGCCAAATCCAAGAACGAAGCCATCATCGCTCGTGCCAAAGGCCTAGCCAATGTACCATGGTGCGAGGAGTATGAGAAAATGATCTCTGGTATGCTGTAAGTGCTGACCTTTTTCGCTTTCCTTTCTGCTTTTGACTGCAAGCAAACAACCGTCCTAAGACCATATTTACTAATTCCAATAGCTACAATGCTTTCGTCCCAGAACTCTTGACAGGCCGCTTCCGTGCTCGCAAGCTCGCATCACAATTCAATGCACCTATTCCAGATGAAATGACAGAAGAAGAATTGATGTCGCGCCGCGCCGATATCCTGAAGCAATTCTTTGGCTCTCTTGGCAAGAACAGTTTCATTGAGCCGCCTTTGAACGTCGACTATGGCTGCAACATTCTCATCGGTGATGACTTCTACTCAAACTTCGGGTCGGTAAACTGCTCGACCTTGCAATAGAAGTCACGCTAACATCAATCCAGGTTGACCATCCTCGATTGTTGCTTGGTGGAGATAGGCGACCGGGTCATGTTTGGCCCTGGCGTGAATATACTATCCGCGACTCATCAGACTGATGTACAGTCTCGCCGTGATGGTGTCGAGTTCGCGTTGCCCGTGTTCATAGGGGACGATTGTTGGATTGGCGGAAATGTCAGCATTCTGCCTGGCGTCACGATTGGCAACGGCTGTACTATCGGAGCAAGCTCGGTTGTTACAAAAAGCATACCGGCATACTCGGTGGCTGTGGGTTCGCCGGCTAGAGTCATCAAGAAGGTCGCAGAAGCAGAGCCTGTTTCTAAGTAAACAATGCAAGGCTAGCGTACGAACATCATGATCAGTGTCTCCACGGCATTCTCTCTTCCTGTGCAAACACGTGAAAGACGTGGACTGATGGAAACGCACGGTAGTCAGTACTCGACACGAGAAAGCAAGATTGCATCAGAACGTGAGAGTGGTGAGAACGTGATTATATTATATACTAATCTTTCTAATCTGAATAAAAAGCAATCATCTTTTGTCTATCATGATCATAAAAAAGACACATCGCTTTAAGCGAGCTGAGCAGTAAGAGGAAGGTTTCTCGAACTGCTGCCAACATACACGTTCTTGGTGTAGTTGCTGACGAACCAGTCCTGAGCCTCAGGGTTCCAGTTCATGATGTCTCTTCTCATGATGTCAGCGGAGAAAGTGACAGTCTGGTTGGGCTGGATGCTCAATCTCTCGAAACCTCTGAGGATCTTGGGAGCATCGTAGGGGCCACCGAGGGAAACGTAGAGCTGAGGAACCTCGTCACCGGCAAGCTTTCCGACGTTTTTGATCTGGGCAGTGACGCGGTAGATGACGTCCCACAGCATTGGGTTACCACCGGAAGGACCAGAGGCAGGAAGGCGGGGCTGAGGAGAAGAATCAACGGCACCCTCAGGGAGGAAGCTGTTATCACCGTAGGGAGCGTACTGCGACTCGCCAGCAGCAGAAGAGAGATTGGTCGAATTGATCCAGGGGTAGAGGTAAAGAGGAACGCGGGAGAAGTTGCCAGGGAAGACGGCGTCAGCAGGGTTCATGCTGACGTTGCCGTAGGTCTGAGCAGCAGGGGTCATGCCAGTGGTAGGAACATAAGCGCTGGTGTTCAGCTTGGTGATCTTGATGTCGCTGTAGGTGAAGTTGGTGTACGAGAGACCGAATCCGAACTCGTAAACAGGCTCAATTTCCTGCTTGTCGAAAGCTCTGTAGTCGATGAAGATACCCTCTTTGAAGTTGGTCTGGGGAATCTGGTCGTTAGGAGTGTAAAGGACATCAGTGCCGTAGTCAGAACGCTTGGCAGCCATGGTGAAGGGAAGCTTAGCACCAGGGTTGACACGGCCGTAGAGGATGTCAGCGATCGAGTTGCCGGACTGCTCTCCAGGAACACCAGCCCACAAGATGGCGGTGATGTTGGGGTTGCTGGCGTATTCCTCGATCAATACAGGGCCGACAGAGTGGATAACGAGGATAGTGTTGTTGCAAGTAGCCGAGACATTGGCGACAAGCTCGTCAGCTCCTTGCCAGAAAGTGAGATTGTTGCGGTCACCGAAGTTGTTATCAACCTGGAGATAACCCTCGCCCGAGTCGCTGTTTGCGAAAACAATGGCCACTTCAGCTTGCTTGGCCAGGGAGAAGGCCTGATCAAGGTTGGAGTTGTTTCTGAGAGACTGGTAAAGGCCACCATTCTTTCCAACAACTTCATTCTGAATGGCGGTGTTGGGGCTGATCAAGTAGGGGAAGTTGGCAGAGCCAGATCCCCAGGCCATACCGAGAGTACCCTCATCTCCTGCTCTGTCTGTGAATCCGTTAGGACCGTTGATGTCCTCGAAAGCATCCTCGCCAAGGACAGCGGTGAACTTTTCCTGGCCTGTGAGGGGAAGAGCGTTGTTGACGTTCTTGAGAAGGACGGTAGAGGCAGAGCCGATCTCACGAATGAGCTTGCTGTGGTCTGCACGCACATCGACGTGCTCGTTGATCAAACCGTAGCCCTGACCGACGGCGTTGTGCGAGTAACCGTAGGTGTCAAGGGAGTAAGAGTTGAATGAAACAGGAACCTGGTTCTTGTCACGGCCAACGAAGTACCATGAAGCAAGGATACGAACGGCAGCATCATCCAGTCTCCATTGGGGAACAGTTCCGTTGAGAACAGCAATTGTCAAGTTGGAGCCAAACATGGCACCTCCATGGTTGCCGAATTCCTGTACCGGATCACCAGGCATACTCATATCGAGTCCAGCAAGGATACTGGACACGCCAGAGTGGGTCCCATACCAATCACTGACCACAAAACCAGCGAAACCTAGTTCGTTCTTCAGGATGTGGTTGAGGATGTAGCTGTTTTGGCAAGCCTGGGATCCATTGACCTGGTTGTAAGAGCACATGATCGAGGTGGCGCCTGCTCTGATGCCGTCGGCGAAAGGCCAGAGGTACAATTCATGCAGAGTAACATCGTCCAAGTTAGCACTGACACTCTCAGTGACATTGAAGCCCCAATTTTTGGCCTCCTGCGACTGGCGGAAGTGTTCTTGCTCGTAAGCGATAAAATGCTTGGCACTGGTCATGACGCCAGCGCTCTGGATGCCCTTGATCGACTCAGCGAACATAAGTCCGGTAAGGTAAGGGTCAGGCGAGAAACCCTCCCAGTTTCTTCCACCGGCTGGGGCACGACCAAGAGGACCAGCTACCGGGCCCAATTGCATATCGACACCTTTGCCGTGATGCTCCTGACCCATAGCACGTCCACGAGCGTAGGCAAGTCCGCGATCCCAAGTCGCTGCAACATTGACTCCAGCAGGGAAAACGGAGTTGCCATCGGTGAGACGAACGCCAACCGGAGAGTCCTGGAGACAGAGGCCATTGATTCCCATGCGAGGAACGGACCCGGTCTGACCAACGCAGTTGCCCTGGTCTAGACGAGAGTCAGTATGGCACAAGATCTCGAACAGCTGGATACTCACTAGTTCCAACGCCGCTAGTAAGATTGACCTTCTCCTCGAGGGTCAATTGAGAAACAAGGGCGCGAGCCTTTGCGTAGGGCTCCTTCCAGTCACCAGAGCCCTCGCCCCAAGGACTAGGGTACTTGGGAGGGCTCCATTGGAAACTGCTGGAGCCCTCGACGGTGTAAGGGTTCTCCGACTCGAATCCAGGATATGTTGTGTTGGGAAATGGCGAACCGAAGTTACCAAACTGTGCGTTCACTAGAGAGGCCCCGGCCGAAGCAAGAATATACGAAGAAAGAGAAGGCATGATTGTGAATGTCCCTCAGAGGCGAGCTACTGATGGACCTTGGACAGAGGACCTCCAATCCCTTTTATAAGTGGCTACTCTGTCTCTGGAAGATCCATGTCTTACCAGCCCTCATCCGGGTCACCTTCCTGACCCACACTTCGTGGCTCTCGATTTTAAAAGCTCAAGCAACAATGTGACGTGGATACCTGACTTTTAGTGCGCACGGGCATGGTCTCCAGCCTCTGCCCCAGGATGAAGATCATCTCCCCACTGGAGGCCCCATGGCGAATGCGGACAAAGTCTGGCAAGGATTATCGGCATCGGACATGGCAGTTGAGCTGTGTTGTTGCAAGTTTTGAAGTGACCATCAACTGATCGAATTCATACTCTTTCGCCAATTGCTATCATCTGCATTGTGTATATAGCAACAACACCACAGCGATATCCAAGAGTCCAAGACTATCGTCGGGCAGGCCACCTACGTAGTAACCCGTTGCCTCCCGATGTTGCGGGCCGTACTAAGCCACACCTACACAACACTCGGTCGGCTGAGGCGGCATCCGACAAAAAGTTCTCCTTCATATTTGCCAACCGATTCTGATGGTGATGATCGTTCGAATTTGTGGATCGTCGCCGAAGAACTCTGGCTGCAGAAAACTCTGGATCTGGTCGTGCCGACGAAAGGAAACAATTTTTTGAGCCACTTGGAGTGTTTCTTCGATCTTGCCTACAGCTCGAGATATATTATCAAGTACCATCAAAGCCACGAACTGATCTAAGCACGACAAGGAAAGCTTGAGTCGTCAACAAGAGGTAGACTGCAGTAAATTTGGTAACGTGGATGGTGAGAAGATTTCAGAAGGATCATGATGGTTTCCTTGGCCTTCACAGACAGCGAGTCCCCACTCATGACTCGTTGCCGGGTAAAAACGATCCCCACGAACTCGCAGAGACATCGACCCACTTTGCTGGTCTACCAGCGAAAGGCCGTCGGCAAGTCTGAAATTACTCCTCTCGAGTGCCCTGCCAGCGTGACTGAATAGGACGAACCGACCCACTGTCGCTCTCTAGCCGGCAAACATGAACTAATGCCAAGTCATTCAATCATCATGCCCCTCACACCGAGCATGGGCATCTGACGATATAAAGACCGTCCACGGCCGTACTTCGCTCCTGTTCGTATTGCACTACTGCGGAAGGCATCTCCAGATGCTTTCAGGTGTTGTCCCTGGTGATAGGTGCAGCTGCCTCCAGGATTTCGCAGTCCCAGTGCGAAACCCCACCCACAAGGCAGCTTCCCCATTATAAAGTAAGATGCGGGACATCCGGAGAAGGACCGAATGCTACCTGGCTGCCATGCGGTCTTTTTGGAGAAAGCTGGACAGCCCCATGCCAGCCCTCGTATGCCCCGTCACGAGCATCGAGCGTCGACATACTCTACCGACCCTCAGCACTTGCCCTTTCGTGCCGATAGCGGTCAGGCATCGGCAATACGGTCCGCTTTCCGGAGCATGTCAGCGATGTCTATATGCACAGGGTGACATCGACCTTGGGATCATCGAATCGTTAGAGCTTTTCGAAAGAGGTGGAACCGCCGAACACTCGATTCTCACCTCTCGATAGCAGCGCTGGACGCTAGATGCCGAACCACTAAAATGATCTAGACGTGCTGAGTCGACAAGAAGCACCACAACACGTCGTTCGGACAGAGATGATGTATCGTAAGTGTTGGCATAGCAGCTGCCGATTCGGAAGATTGACAGCAGTCAAGACTCGCGCTACCATAGCCTCACAAACAGGCTTGATGGCCGAAGTCTAGACCAGCTGAACAAATCCTCTCAAAAAGGCCACCAAAGGAAATGAACGACCTTTTGTGTAAAGCGGAAAACGCTCAGGGTCCGACATGTCGACAGATAAGCATCGGACTGTACGACCCAACTACCAAAACCATTCTCCCCGTGTGCAGAATTCTGGCACGCCGACAACTATAGATGCACAGTCCTCCTAATGGAAAGGAAGCATCCACAGAGCGCCCATGAGGAAACCATGATATCAGGGGCTCTCAGTGGCTGTCGTCTAGAAACAACTATGTATTGTGATAGCTTCAGTTCCGCCTTGTCGCTGGAACGAGAGCAGGTGGTAGTGACAAAATTTAGCACACGGGGAGGATGTGCTGACCACTAACCCAGCTACCTGGCGCTAGGACGCCTAATCGTGGCGTGGAGGTACTTGTGCCCACGATATTGTGCCTGTCTGTGAAGCTTGATATTGGTCTGGAGAGTGCACTTTCGGGATGCACTCGTAGCAATCATGTTGCAGAATCCATTCTGACTCAAGCGTTGCATTTCACAGACAGTTGGTGTTGCTCTCTGCTCGGAAGCATCCCAGGGAACGAGCCATACACAGGCAAGCAGATGTCGGGTCGTTGTGAATGGACTTATCCCTGAAGACATCAAGCATGGTCTACAGACAATAAGGAGGCCAAGACGGGAAGGCGTTTGATACACATTGCAATACTCGGATTCTCGGGTTTGGAAGACAATGAAGCTTTCCCAGAAAAGGAAGATATACGTAGGTGGTGCCTGCCAGCGAGCTGAACAAGCCACATAGCGAGGATGATTACTGCATGTCAGATCCACGGTCATCCACGTGTATAGTGCATAGGGCTGCATGTATCCCAAAGATAGCCTTGCCACTTTGTCCTGTATATCCATGAGGAATGTCGCATTCCGTTCCTCAGTAGGCAAGAAATCAGAGCGTACCTGCATGAGGCTGATAGAATGGTAAAGCACGTTGCATAGCACGGAAGTCATCCCTCCGCGACACCCGATGGGGAAGCGAGTCACTCCTTGGTAGACATGCTCAAAAATAGCCATTATTGACGGTCTATTTCGTGTCAGTCAGCACCTTACTCGAATTATCGTCCTATCGGGTCGTTCCTACTATGCTTTATCTTGAGCCGTCCTTACCTGCGACCACACCATGACCTGAGGCTGTGGCAGATGCCGAACCGCTGGGATACCATGTCTGAGGTTATCCCGATGACTGTGAGCATGGAAAGGCAGGCCTTTTTCTTACTCTATCCATCTTTTTGCGAGATTTGTTGTAGGCAGTGCACATCCAGATGGGGAAGCCGATATCGAGAGCAGACACCACGTTGATAAATGCCAGTGTTACGGTTGGTATGTTGAACAAAGGCAAAGAAGGTATATATGTGTCTACCAACAGTCCAAGTTTCCTCTTCTATCATCACAATCATTACATACGGACTTTCAAGGATATACAGAGACCAGCAAAACCTCTTCTTCTCAACTTTCTCATCACCACCATCTCCAAAACTCAAAGACTCCATATCTCCAACAACAACAACAACAACAACAACAACAACAACAACAACAACAACAACAACAACAACAACAACAACAACAACAACAATCTCATCATCGACATGCAAACCCAAGCAATCATGGGCCGCGGTGGCTACAACCGCATCTCACTCCCCACTCTCGGCCGCGGGGGTTACAACCGCGATGTCAAGACCAGCGGTATCAGCAGACCCAGCAATCCCTCCAGCTTGACCGTCCGCTCTGCCCGTTCTGCCGCCGACGAGGGCAGAGGTGGCTACAACTAGAGCTATCATCACCAATAAATATCCTCCCTCTCGATTCAGGCATGATGCTGGTCATCTTGCTGAAGACACGAAATTGCATTACACATGGCGTTTAATGGGCTGTCTTTCGATCTTGTACATTCGCTTGTTGCATTGGGAGGCGTTCGTGCTGGATATACTTCGATATAGACATAGACGCATGGTCTGCCACGACATCAACAACATCATATCGACAGTTTCCTATGTTCTGAGACGGCATAAGTGGAGGAAGGTGGTGGCAGTACAGGCGCTAATAGAGGAAGACGGGTGTGCACTGTTGTAGCGGACACGGATGGCTTGTAAATAATTTCCAGGTTGAGACTACATAATCGTCAAAGCAGGTCCTTCGCATATCGTTTGCATAGTACAGTCGTGCTCAATCTTGAGTTTCATTTGCCAACGCAAAACTTCTCGAACACAACACCGAGTACTTCTTCAACATCTCCGGCTTCACCCTTGCCGGTGATTCTAGCAAGACAGGTTGCAGCATCGCGCAGGTTCTCTGCGGCAAGGACAATGTCGACATCCTGTTCTTCCAGATTGGAGTCTCCAGCGGGCCGGGTTCCTGCCTCGACATGACCAAGGAATTGCTCAAGATGAAACTGGCATTCGTCGAGGAGAAGTCTGTGGCGTTCAGTCGCTCCTAGCGACTCTTGCCAAACAGAGGGATCTGTGTCGTCATCTGTAGCTGCGACAGCCGAAGTCATGTCTTCGAATTGCCGAATGAGGCCAGAGAGGAAAGTCGGAATATGCCCAGCATCTGGTGAAGTTGATAAATCTGCATCCTTGCAGGAGATGGCAAAAATGTTCTCGAGTCTGACATGTGGGAGTGCATCGGCGACCTGCCGTCTATAGTTTTCTAGCTCTGATGCGTGGCCCGAAAGCAAATCGACCTTGTTTAGCACGACCAGCACATTTGACTTTTGTTTCGCGAGCTCGGCAGCAGTGTCGGTGACCTCCGGATCTGGTCTCAAGACTACGTTCTTGCCTTCGAGCTCCAGAGACAAGACAACAATGACAACGTCGCTCTCGATAGCTCTCTGCTTAGCGCGTCTCATGCCCTCCTTCTCGATCATGCTTATCTTCTCCTGCATGTGCTCCCTTCGAGCTTCGGCGGTCGCAAGAACGGCACTTCTCAAGCCTGCAGTGTCGCCTAAGCGGCAGAGGTAGCCACCCAGGTCAATCCCCACTTCGACCACATCTCGGGTAGTTCCTGCTTCCTGGCTGACGATAGCAGCTTCGCGGCCCACAATACGGTTGAGCAGACTGCTTTTGCCAGCGTTGGGAGCACCGAGCAAGCTGATGGCAATACCGTTTCTGAGCAGCTCACCACGCATCGCATTGCGACGATGTGTGTCGATCAGAAGAACCAGATCCTGGACTTGGCCGGCAACGGAAGAGGCCAGTTCAGCTGGCGATTCGTCGAAGTGCTGGTCCTCGGAGAAGTCTATTAGAGCTTCAAGCTCACCTCTGGCTGCAAGAAGCATCTGGCGCCAAGATTCATAACGAAGAGACAGATTGTTGGTGGTGCCGCGGACCGACAAACGACGCTGCTGCTCAGTGTTTGCAGAGAGAGTGTCTCCCAGAGCTTCGACCTGAGTCAAGTCCAGACGATCATTCATGAAAGCTCTCCTAGTGAACTCGCCAGCCTCTGCGTAGCGAATAGCTCCCATAGTAGGCGAACACTGTGGAATGGCAGACAAGACAGCTCGCACAACAGCGGTACCTCCATGCACATGCAGTTCGAGAAGATCCTCTCCAGTGACTGTGTTCGGAGCTGGAAAATAGAGAAGCAGAGCACTAGAGTCCAAGAGGTTATCAGGCGTGGGTTTGGCCCCAGGACGATACAGGGTGCGCACAGAAGCGTAACGAGGCTTTAAAGGCTTCTGTCCAGGGCAAAGGCTTCTGTAGACATGATTGCATGCTGGGCCAGAGATGCGAATGATGGCAATGGCAGCTCGACCAGGAGCAGTTGACAAAGCATATATGGTCGGATCACCGTAGAATCTAGTCGAAAACTCAGGAATGCTACTTTGATGTCTTGAGAAAACCCAAGAGCGTCGGATATTTGACGCTACAGATTGGTTGGTATTGGTTGCAATTGGCGTGGCTAGTAATACAGCCAATGAGCCAAGCTTAGCCGTTGAGGAGAGACATGATGGGCGCGTGACAGCAAGTGACAATGAGCTCCTGGCAAGCCTCATCCGCTGCAAGCATTCAGTTGTTGTGATGAATAGTTGTGATGTCGGGCAGAGACAGAAAATCAGGAGGCATGGGCGTGCTGACCATGGCGGATGCTCGGCTTGGGCATGTCGGGCCGGGCCGAAGGCGGTCAGCAGCCAAGAATCTCGACGCTGGCAATCAAGTTCTGCTCAGAAAAAAGTCACGGCGGCGCTTGCGACTTGTTAACGCGATTCCGCTTAGCCATTTGTCTTCCAGCATCTACTATATTCGACTGTCGTAGTCGCATCACTGAGAACTTGCACTTCTCGCCACTCTTCCTGGATTTCAGATATACATCGAACCCGATCAGTGATATACGAACGATAAGATGGCCTCGGACGAAATCGTTTGGCAGGTTATTAACCAGCAGTTCTGCTCTTTCAAGCTCAAGTACGAAACATGCCCATACGGTGCACTTCGACTCCGACTGACTTGCTCTCAGGACAACCAAGGAACAGAACTTCTGCCGTAACGAACACAACGTCACCGGTCTTTGCAACCGTCAATCATGTCCCCTCGCCAACTCTCGCTATGCTACCATCCGCGCCGACCCGCAAACACAGCGTCTGTACCTCTACATCAAGACCATCGAACGCGCACACATGCCCAGCAAATGGTGGGAGAAGATTCGTCTCAGCAGCAACTACTCCAAGGCGCTTGAGCAAGTAGACGATCGCCTCAAGTACTGGCCCAAGTTTCTGGTACACAAGAACAAGCAACGTCTCACTCGTTTGACTCAAGTCAGAGTCCGCATGCAAAAATTGGCCCGTGAAGAGGAGAGACTCGGAGAACAGCTGGTGCCCAGACTCGCTCCCAAGATCCGCAGAAGAGAACAGACCCGTGAGCGCAAGGCCGAGTCAGCCGCAAAGATCGAGCGCGCCATCGAAAGAGAATTGGTCGAGAGACTGAGGAGCGGTGCTTATGGCGAACAGCCCCTCAACGTCGACGAGAACATCTGGAAGCGTGTCATGCGCACTCTTGAGCGTGGTGGCGAGGCTACCCGCGACGAAGACCTTGACGAAGGTATTGACGAAGACGAGGAGGAGTACGAATATGAGCAAGAGGAGGAGGGTCCTGATGTCGAGTACGTCAGTGATGTCGAGGAGAGCGACGACGATATGGATGACCTGGAAGACTGGCTCGGCAGTGAACAGGAGGCCGACTCTGATGAGGACGAGGAAGACGATGAGGACGACGAGAGTGGATCCGAAGCAGACGACAAGGAGCTGGCCAGAAAGCTTGCAGCCCTCAAGAAGAAGAAGCCTGCACCGAACACAAAATCAAAGAAGGCAGGCTCAAAGGGTCCCAAGAGAGAGATCGAGTACGAGTACGAACGTCCTGCCCGGGAAATGGACATTGCCAAATGATCTGCAAAAGCATGAATGGGTCTGTTTCAGCGCTGGCGTTATATGGGAAGGCATTCAAAAACATAGGTTCCATCTATCCGACTACGAGGCTCGACGCGCCTTGCGAAGCCGTACGAATAAAACATCTTCATCACTTCAACACTGTATTGATTGCTTGTGGCTACACGACAACCACCGAATACTCAGCATTTCGGTTGTTGCTGCGGTCTGAGGACTGTTAGTGCATGGCCAAAAACATGAACCGCATCGCAGCCACCGAGTGTACATGTCCATTTTCAAGATACAGGTGACTGACCCAACTAGGAAGTATTTCTTGGTGGTGGACTCCGAGAACCGCTGCTTTATCTCCACGAAAATGGCAGGCGTCGGCGATTGAATCAAACGCCGATGGAATCCACCTTACACCACAACTCCGCTCTTTGCACCACCACATCTCGGAAATCATAGTCCAGAGATGGATCACATAGCTACTATATACTCCCGTGTAGGTAATCGCTTGAACTATCGCTCTCAAGCTCAGCCATAATCTCGATCTTGCAATCTCGCGTGAACGATTGTAAAGACACACAGGACTTGATAGAACAGTACACATACAATGTCTCCCAAACTCTCAATCCTTCACCTAGGCGATCCACCTCGCTGGCATGCAAATCTATACAAGAAGCTCGAAACAAACTTCACAATCATTCGTCCTTCAGCGGCAGAACGCGAACGTCCCGCCTTCCTCCAAGCCCTTAGGGAAAAGCGATGGGGCAACTTTGTAGCCATCATGCGGCCATTCTGGAATACTGGAGGAGAAATGGGAAGAACCGACCGAGAGCTGATCTCTTTGCTTCCTGACAGCGTCAAGGTCTATGGCTCTGCTGGTGCAGGCTTCGACTGGGTGGACACCGACATTCTTGCTGAAAAAGGTAAGCATTATTCCGGGGCCTTCCTTATGTGTAATGTTGTGCTGACCGTACGTCTAGGAATCGTCTATTGCAACGGCGCAGCAGCTTCTTCAGACTCAGTGGCCGACTCCGCCCTCTTCCTCATCATCTCCACCTTCCGCAACCTCGCCTGGTCACAGATCGCCGCTCGCTCAGGAAACCCAGACGAGCTCTTCGACGCCCACAAAAACTCTCCAACAACAGCCATAAACCCTGCTGGTAGGATACTAGGTATCGTCGGTCTAGGCAACATTGGGTACAGAATTGCTCAAAAGGCTCATCTCGGATTGAACATGAAGATTGCCTACCACGACCTTTTCCGCAAACCAAAATCTGTGGAAGAGGCGGTAGGTGCTTCTTTCTACGATACTCTTGATGAGATGTTGGGAGCTGCCGATTGCATCATCGTTGCAACACCATTTTCTGGTAAGCAACTCTTCACGGCTGAAAAGTTCAAGAAGTTCAAGCGAGGAAGTCGACTCATTAACATCGCACGTGGTCCTCTGGTCAACGAGGCCGACCTTGTGGAAGCGCTCAAGTCAGGCCAATTGAGTGCATGTGGTTTGGATGTGTTTGAGAACGAACCGCATGTCAACAAGGAGCTGTGCGGGCTGAAACAGGCAACCTTGACGGCACACACAGCTGGTGGGACCATCGATACACATATTGGGTTTGAAGAGTTGTGTTACAAGAACGTATTGGGAGCTCTGCTCGAAGGCAAGGCCATCACTCCGGTAAATTTGCATCTGATCAAGGCTGGGAAGAGTAAATTGTAGGACACAGAGACTTGACCTTGAACCTCAATCGACTGATCACATAAAGCACATCCGCATCGCCTCCAGTCTCCATAATACGATCAACATCAATTTTGATTCATAAAATCATAACAAAATCTTTCGTGCTCCAAGCTCCACTTCTATACCTCTTCATCTAAGCTCCTGCCCTTCCTCATCCTCTTCCTGCCTTGCTCTATCCCTAGCATCATCAGCAGAGCTTCCTCTCATTTTGCTCTCAGCGAACCAATGCAAAAGCCCCAGATCGTATCCCGCCTTCATGCATCCAGCCATGACAAACGCAACACCAAAGTGTTTGTTCTGCGCAAGAGCACCTGTGAGCAATGGGCCTGCGCTCTGTGCTGCCGTCTTGACGGTGTTCAATGTGCCCATCACAGCCGTACGCTCAGCTGGCAGCACGACTGCAGACAAGAATGCAGCTTTGGGCGCTTGGTCCATTGATGCCAACGTCGCCCTCGCAACAATGAAGAAGACCGTCAAAGCTAGAGAGTGCGGTGCCGGCATCATGGCAAGGAAAATGGCGGAAGGCAAGTGCGTGAACACCATGGTGTAGATGAACCCGATACGTTTGGAGACACTGGATGCAGCAATATTGCCAATGCTCGACATGAGAGAAGCAAAGGCCATAATCGTGCCCAGAGATGAGGGTGCCGAGCCGAACTTTGTGGCTAAGAAGTAGGTAGTCAAAGATATGGATGCCATTCCAGAAGCCAGGCTGTCAATGCTGAATAGACCTGCAAGTTTGAGAAGTGTTTTACGAGAGGAAGGACTGATTTGAGTGAATGCCCATTTGCTTGATGGTTTCGGCGTTGAAGCATTCGACCGAGGCTGTTGAATGAAGGTCTCTGCTTCTTCGGCATCACCGACTTCAGCACTGGGCTTCTGCGCCACAGCCTCGAGTTCGCAAGCATCGCTGAGGAGCAATGAGATACCAGCTTTGGCACAGCCTAGTAACGCGTACAACCAGAAGATTACTTGATAGCTGCCCAAAGCATTTCCCTCAGCGGCTCCCAGGCTCGTGGCCAGCCATCCAGCCAGCAGGGCGCCGATACTGGTGCCGAAAGTGCCGACAACAACATACCAAGCAAAAACATCACTGCGCTGAGCAGCAGGAGTCAAGTGAGCGAGGGTAGATTCTTCGACTGCACGGAAGGGACCAATCTCGTTACCGCTTGGCGAGATCACACCGATGACTGCAGCAACCAGAAGAATGGAAAAGCGAGTCTGGGTCGCAAAGACAACACCACTGAGCGCCATGGTCATCGATCCCAGAAGAATGATCTTGCGTCGACCCAGGGAATCGGCGACAAAGGTGAGAAGCAAGGAGATGAAGACGTCGCCAACGAGTGTCAGTGACATGAAAACTCCAATGAGGGTGTCCGAGTTGTGGAGGGCGGAAAGGTGGAGGGCCAGGACCAATGTGGTCGATCCGTAGGCAAACATGCGGAGGCATCTCATAAGGAGGATGAGATGCACATCTCGTGGAGCAGCGAGCAGCGTCTCTACTCCGAACTCCTCTCTGATTTTAGCAAGCATGGTCTTGGTGTGCTGAACATGGAGCTCTTCTGATCATGTACGCGTGAATTGCTGTTTGGGGATGCTATCTTGACGCGTCACTAATCCCGCGGGTCACGATGTAGTGCGCTGGTATGTGAGCGAAAGTTCCGACTGCAACTAGCTGTACGTTGTCGACAATCGACACGACCAGGCGAAATATGTCAAATGTCTAGATGGTGCCTCAGATGGAGATTCTACATAAGTATATTAGGTGGAGGCTGTAATCGCTCTGTAGGATCGAAGGTTGTGTGCCGTTGTTGCCGTTTCGGAGTTTACTGAGCTTGCTCGGCCGAACAATATCTGTCCCACTGCGAAGCGTCGCTTTCCAAGATCAATTCCATACACGTCCATCAGTGATGACGATGATCGTATACTCGAACATCTATAGATGCTTGACGGTCTTTACAATGGTCGTTAGGCCGCGGAGATCAGTTGGTTGCAACAAAGCTGAGCTCGAGATCATCTTAGATCGTTACATTCACCTTCTCCGCTCATGCTGATCACCGCTGTCGACTTGAATATCATCAATGTCATTTTCGATATCTGTTCATTCTACTATCTGAATCTTCCATAGGCCTTTGTGGTCTGCCGGAGACTTGCAGAATTTAAAGCATCACTCATCGCCTGTATCACTGCAGCAACCTCCAGCATCACAACAACTGCTCTCAGCATCGTTGCTGTCATTAACGCCGATATCGACTACTCCATCTCCCGATACATCATGGCTTTCAAGGACAGCTTCTATGGCTTCGAGCTCGAATACACGCTGGTCCTCAAGAATAGCTTGTCGGTGTTCGTCCTCGGAGACGCGAGGTGCACGACCAGGAGCTCCATCATCCCTTAGATCTTGTTTCTCGGAGAATCCACCTGCAGCCCCCAACGAGCCTGCAGGGATCCTCGAGTCTACACGATCATCTGGTACATCGGGAGCACGAGGAACCCTACTCTCCTCGCCAAGACTGAGATGCGAGATGGACATATCGATACCGCTGCGGTAAATGTATCCGAACTCATCTGTCCAGCAGCCTTGGCCGTCATCGTGCAGCGAGGATAGTTTTATGTGAGATGGTATCTTTGAGGCTATACTTCGCCCTCTTGGACCCGGGATCCTTGGAGGCTCGTCTGATTCGTCTGGCGACCCCGGTGCTTCTGGCTGTCTCGGTTCTTCGTCTGACTGGTCTATTGGCATCCGCGCTTTAGGCTTGCGTCTCTTCAAGCGGGTCGTGACCAGGATTTTCTGGAAGCGCTTGGGGAAGCTTCGTTTTACAGAAAAGCCACAGTGTTCAGATGAGTCTACATGGTCTGGGGCCGGCTTTGTTGCGATCTGAACTGGGGTTGGTTCTGTCGTGACTTGATTTTGGATCGACTTGATTGCGGCTTGGTCGGGGAACGATATTGCTGTGACTTCTTTTGAGAGCATCTTTGCTGCAATTCGATCTGTGGCCGACTCTGTTGTGACTTGGTCTGGTGTAGACTTTATTGAAACCTGATCTGTGGTTGACTCTGCTGCAACTTGCTTTGTGGTCAGATCCGTCACGACTTGGGGTATCGGCTCTGCCGCGACTACCGCAGAAGAGTTTTCAGTTGGAGTGGGCCACGACTCGAACTCATGCGACACGCTTCCCGAGGGTATGACAATGTCAATCTGAGGCGGTGATATTGAAGACATGACTTGCTGGCTGTCACCCTGAGGCGGTAGTGACAAAGACATGACTTGGTGGTAACACGGTTGGAAGAAGAGAGCTGCAACATACCGCAATATATATGTAGAGGTGAATCAAAGAATGTACGTATACTCTTTTGCTATATCAGACTACCTGGTCACCCGGCCTTCGACTGAGGCAATTAGCCACGTGGGGATGAGGTTAATGTGGCGACTTACCGGTCCCTCTGTAATTCGCAACCAGTCTGTGGGCTCTGTCAGAAGACAAATTATCTCATTGCGCCATTACTCTATCGTTCTAACAACCGCAAGCGTTACCACAAGAATTTGCACAGGCTGGCCCTGCCCCTGTAAAGGCTGCACCCCCAAAGGCTGCTCCACCAAGGGCTGCCCCTCCAAAGATGGGATCCATAAAGAATGGTTGCGTCACTCCAGGGTTAGTGTATTCACCTTCGCCATCTCTCATTCTGCGACTCGAAGATCTGTCCCTCTTCTTGCTATGTCTGGGCTTCTTGCAATTCTCGCTTGTCCTCTTGGGGTTCAGCTTCGAAATCATCTTTATGCAAAGCTTGAGCAACCAGGTGTTCTTCTTTGCACTACGATGAGGTTCTGTAGAGGGAATGACTGGTGGTGGTCGTTCTGAGTCTCTTGCTTCGGAGTATTCCTTCATCAGAGTCTTCATCTTGAGAGGCCTTTCATCGTCAGGACTCGATGAGGTGTCTGGTGAGTTGCTTGTTGTTGGTGATGGAGGAAGAACAATGTCGACAGGCTCTGGATTTGGGCAGTCTCCATATTCGATGGGATGGCAGAGATCATCCACTCTGTCTGTTTGATAGATGGGGTGCATCGTGAGCGGTGACAAAGTCCCGGAGAACTTTTGGCTGGGGATGTCGTCGTTGGACTTGATAGTGGCCCTGCGGCTCTTGGGTGATGTTTGAAGGTTGAGCGAGATCGTGTCGTTGAACCCGTCAAATGTCTAGTTGAGATACTCTGGAGTGTGTTGATCAAGCATGGAGGAAAAATGGAGCTGGAGTTGGATGCAACGATCATAGTTTGCTTTTATAGTCGTGCCATGGCTTCCTACAGTTGGTTTGAGGCCTTCTCTGCGCCTCGCCGCGAGGCTGTAACACAAGCTTTTTTCACCCAGATAGGAATAGTCAGGAAAGCGTGGAGAGATTATTTGTTCGTAGAGAGTGATATTGGACAAGCTCGAGTCGTAGACGCCAGCGTCTATCGCGAACATGTCTCATCGCAAGACAAATCAGGGCAAGGGTGATGAGGGCGTAAACTCAGAGTTCCACTCAGGCCACTGCTTGTCGACAGCCCAGTCACCACAGCTGGGCTGACCATGGTCTCCCTCAACCAGCCTCCTCCAGACTGTGGATATGACCCTCTTGTTGTCCGGGTGGGATCGTACTGAGACGTAGACGCCAGTGCCGTGTCTTCCTCTTGCGACCTCCATGTCGATGAAACCTCCGCAGACGTTGCGCAAGATGACAGAAGCAGGACTGGAGTCGTCCCACACGCGGGGATATGAATTCTCGCCTGGGAAATAGATGCGAGCTTCGAGCTTTTCGATGGGGAACCGTGGGGACTTGGCCAGAGTTGTAGACACGAGACCTGCCAGCTGATCCAAGTGATCGAGGTCTGACTGGGATGTGGGCTTGGGGCAGCTGCCGGCGATATGGATGCTACGAGCGTGCTGTATCAAGTCGGGACATTTTGTCTTGAAGACGTGCAGACCAAGTGGGTATTGTACGAAGAGACTGGTGTCTTTGTTGTTCTTTGGTCGGAAGTGAGTGCTCAACTCGGCATTGGTTTGGTGATTCAGCAGTAGGAGCGAAGACAAGGTTGAATGATGTAAAGCTGGACTTGATGCTGAGGACGCATCGACGCGGGCAGGATCTGAGACGGAGAGGAGACGCGATGAGTAGGTTGATATGACGGCGGGCTCGTGGTTCGGTGGGAGGCCTGGCAGAGGAGCGCGTTCATCGCCATAGACTCGGTGAACAATGTCAGCACCCTTGCCCGTCAGCTCGCAAACTCCAATCGTCACGGCTGCCCCCTCGACCGCTGCATGTTCGTAGATAATGAGACGAAGCTCTAGGGGAAGTTCCAAGAAAGACATGCTACTGTAAGATGTTGCTGCAAAGCTATACAAGAAAGTAAAGTGGTAAAAAGATGCAGCTCTCTGTTGTTGCAACGGCGGGGTTTATCTTTCTTATCATGATTGTATCGCCGTTGAACCGTCGTCCCGTCCGCCTCTATTTACTGTCCGGGAGACCCACTTGTAAACAACCTGCACTAATCAACACCCGTCCTTGTTGTTGTGCCGCAGAAACTTTATACTCACTGATACCAGCCATGCGCCATTAATCCATCTTGTGAGCTTATCACGCACTCCTTCCTCCGCCCTTCCAAATCGACCAATCTTCTTGTTGCGACATGCAAGGGCTGTGTGACCTGATCCACAGTCGAGTGCCTTTAGCCAGGTTTGAGGCTCATCCTCGGCAGTTGGTCCCAATCTATCTCTTGCGCGAGCAACCAGCTGGCTCGCTCCTTTCGAGAACATCAGATTGAGTATGGTCTACATGTATTCTGTCTTCAGAACGATTCTCGTATGCTATTGACAAGATAAGTTCCGAAAATTGCAGGCCCCTCATTGGAAAGAACACGTTGTCCGTGATCCTTCAAGCCACAGTAAGATTTGACCTTGTCCTTCCACTCAGGCTGTGTCAGGCAGCAACATATCCTGACACCACCGCTGCGGTGAAGTCCCGTGGGTACAGAGTATAAAGCCATCGCAAAGGTGCATATTCAGGCTCGTACATCTACCTGTACCTAAACACTTTCTTCCCCATTACCACTCCATCTTCAGCAATCATGACCCGAACCATTGCTTTCCTAGGCGCAACAGGTGGATGTGCAGGTGCTTGTCTCATCGCCGCCCTCAAAGAAGGCTACACCTGCCGCGCACTCGCCCGCACACCCTCCAAACTCACCACTTCCCTCTCCACTCAAGGCCTCTCTGAGACCTTACTCGCCAACCTCGAAATCATTCAAGGCAATGCCAAAGACATCGACTCCATCAAGTCTCTCCTCCAAACTCCCACCGGTATCGTCGACACGATTGTCTTCGGAGTCGGTGCAGCGCCAAAGTTGAGATTACATATCATGCCCGTGACACTGGACGATATAGAAGTCTGCCGCACAGCGATGGCAACACTTTTATCTGCACTGGATGATCTTAAAGCTGCGACAAAGCCGAGATTACTCGTCATCTCTACCACCGGCATCACAAATGGTCCTCGAGATGTACCTCTGCTCTACGTCCCTCTCTATCACTGGTTTCTCCATATCCCGCACGTCGACAAGCGAGTCATGGAAGAACTTGTTTGTGCGCAACGACAGAAGCCTGCTGCTGAGAGGACGGTCGGCGAGTTTACTATTGTAAGGCCAACGCTGTTGATGGATGGGAATGGTGTGGGCGTGGCGAAGGTTAGGTATGGACTTGAGAGTAATCCTGCTCTGGGACGGACAATTGACCGTAAGGATGTTGGTAATTGGTTGTTTGAAAAGGGAGTCAAGCCTGCGGATTTGGGGGAGTTCAAGGATCAAGCTGTTAGTCTGACTGCTTGAGGTCTGCTGGATGGAAGACTACAGAGAAATGTGGGTGGACTTGGTATGGCGGATCAACATTTAACGGAAAGGATCGAAGATCATGGCTGTGGTCACGTTTTGCATTCTCACTTTGAATCGGTGTGATAATGTTAAGATTTCGTCCGTGTTCGTTCCGCAGAAAGCAACAGTATGCATTCTCTGAAAATGAAAGCCGATGGGCACTGGTGGTTGACATTGTCAGCTTGCAGGGCCTTCTTCTGGTCTTCCTCCATCCAACCTTCTTTGCGAAATAGCAGTGCTGAGTGCACGATCTTCATAGGCTTGCAACCATGAATCCCCGTCCCAACCCTCGACCGCCATGCTTTCATAGTCCTGCCAGAGGCCGGGCGAGGGCTCGCTCTGTTGCGGGCCATCATCATCAATTTCTCTGTCAGACTTAGACCAGAAGTCCGCTCCCCCATAACCTCTCTTGAATTGGAGCACAGGAACTGAGCCTCCGAATACGATAAAACGTCCGGCTTTCTGGGCGCTTTCTGGTGTCATATTGGCATACGAATTCTCCTTCAAGTGTTGGAGCTGCACACGTCGAAGTGCCGGCAATCTACCAGCGACATACTTGAAAACCGGTAACCAGCCATCAAAAGCAGATCCGTGAGAAAGTCCAAGTCGCTGCAGTGACGGGGCGTGGTGGAGAAGAACTTCGGCCAAGGTACTGCCTTGAATCCTACGAAAGCGGAGAAGACAAACTCGAAGATAGTCCGATCGAAGTGATTCGATGATGTCGGTGATTTCGTGCTCGGGAAGTGCGAGACTCAGTGTCTCAAGCGATTTTGCGCCACGAAGGATGAGAGCACAATTGGTCGACTCATTCCCGTACAAGAGCTCGCTGGACAAATAGTTGATTCGAAGGTGCTTTAGGTTTGGTAGTGCAAGATCTGATTGATCAGCAGGCTGTCCCTCGAAGCCAGTGCATAGCAGGGTAAGAGGATTGAGCTGCAATAGGGATCCCGAGATCTTGATGAGATACCCGAACCAACAAGGCATATCACGAATGCCATGTGCAACCATGCCCAGCATGTCGAATCTTCTCTGCTCGACAATTGACGTATGATGGCTGGAGAGAACAAGATTGCGGAGTTGTGGACATTTTTCGAACGCTTTCCGAAGTGTCGATGTTACTCTGAGATGATGTGCTTCACCTGGGTTCTTGTATACCACTGCTTGGTACCAGTCCCGGCGAGCCTCTTTGTTCCTTATCTTCGCCTCCCAATCTTTGAAAGCAACCTGATATTCCTGTTGTGCACGTTGCACGACTTGTCCGGTCGTTGGAGCATAGCTTTCCGTATCGTTGAGAAGCAGAGTTTCTGGACAGTAATCGTCCCAAGAAGGCGGCGGCGGCGCAGGCCGACAATCCTCATAGCTTGGGTATACTTTGAGCGTTGAAGTGTCGCAAACTATTGCGGTAAGGTACTTGCTAAAAACTTCATGCTCAACAATCTCGCCAAGTGCGAGAATACTGTCCGGGTAGTTGAACAGGAAGAAGCGGTTGATGAAGTAGCGTTCGGCTGCCGTGGTAAAGATCTGGGAGGTGAGTCTGAGCGGCTTGAGGTCTTTTGGTGTCAGGAAGCTACAGATACGCTGCTTGAGTTCTAGAGGTAGCGCATCCATGTTGGCATCGTTGACAGGCTTACTCCTGGATGGGAGTGAGATTGAAGACCGAGCTAGAGGCGGATTGATCATGGCGATGAGGGTGGTGACGTTGAAAACAATGTAATCAAACGCTTAGTGTTATGGAAGATCAGTTGCACATGGCAGTGTGAACGGATAAGTGGAAATGTTGGAGTGAGAGACAAGGTCTCAGTGAGGAGGTAGCGAGAGAGTTTCGCAAAGTGAAGAAGTTGGAAGCAAGTGTCACCTTTCTCTGTTGAACTTGCTGTCTGAACTCACAGAGTGAACACAGACAGCAGAGTTGCCATCTGGAAGAAATATCTCTCTGCCGCACACCGACGCACTCTTGAATTTATGGCCTTGTTTCACTCTTCTCAACTTTGACGTGGATGAATCATTCTACCTCTTTATCCTAGACCAGCACGTCTGGGCGTCCTGTTTGCCGTTCAGTCGTAAATCGTGTCATGTTTCTCATGTTCCTCATGCTTCGTCGGATGTGCCTGTGTTATCATCCGGCTTCTTCGATCTAATGCCTTCCTCGCAAACCTCAAACTCGACACCGTCTGTACCATTGTCATCACGCGACCAAGCGGAGAAAGCAACTTTGAGGTGACGCCTCCAACCAACGATGTCCATGCCTGGTCCTAACAGGTAGTCTTGAGGTTTGAGTATAGGTTGTTTGAGTAGCACAACGCGAGCTGACAACTGATTTGTCCAAGTTAAGCCTAACGAAGGCGTTTTGAGGTCGCGCATGAAACGACGATCGCCCCATCCTGTAAAGAAGCGTTGTTGGTGGTCTAACGACAAAGGGTCGTTCGTGGACAGAAGTAACGGCGATTGTTGTGAGGGCGGTGGGAGGGCAGCGGTATTGTTGTTGGCACTCGAGACTTGGGTAGCGACAGAATTCTGCGATAGAGGCGTCGCGGTAGCATCGAAGAGAGAGGCGACAGGGCCAAATCGATCGAGGACCTGGTTGGCAACCACAACCGCGACATTGTGAGAACGAGCCAGGTCACGCAGGTGAGCACCGAGTTGTGTTAGCTGTAGACTACGTCGAGCCAAAGCATCCGACGAGTTTGCGCCAACACGGTCGAACTCTGCACGGAAGTTGGCTGCTACCGAGTCGACAATGATCAGACCAACATCGGCTCGAGCGATTTGAACAGGGACTTGGTAACGCAGGACATGGTCCTGTGATTCGAGGTCGCGGAGCTGAGTACTCTGCACGCGGGATAGCGAAGGCTTTTCGGATTCTGGGAGAGAGGACAGATATGGATGTTTTGTCAAGATCTGGTTCAGTCGAGTAGTTGACAGAGCGGCTTCAGTAGACAAGTAGAGAGCGCTCTTGCTCAAGCCGTATGGTGGGGCCAACTGTACGGCGAGGAGCAAAGTCAAGAGCAGTTGAGTCTTGCCTGCCGCGCTCTCTCCCGTGACTTCACAGACTTGACCAGCAGGGAAGCCTCCTCCAAGCGCTGCGTCGAGCTCGTCGTCCAGGGTGCTGATCTGTGACCATGCGCCATCTTTCTTGGCCGAGTTTGCTGAGTCATCCTTCTCTTTTTCTTTCTCGTGAACGTTCTCGAGTGCGTCAAAACCAAGTTGAGCATGGAGCTGGGTGATCAAAGTTGCTGTGAGTTCGCGTACTTGGTCAATAGACACGTCGGCGCGGCGGGCAACATCGATGGGACCGAGAGTCATCAAGTCATTGCTGCTGATGTTGGCCTTTTCCAGGCGTTCCAAGACCTTCTCGAATGGCTCCGTGTCGATGTTCGGCAGTAGCTGCAGTATGTCGCTCATGTCCAACTTCCTCGACCTCTCACGTCGGCGGTCGCACTTGCTTCCAGACTTCTTTACGCCTTCCAGAAGGCGCGACACTCACGCGTTTTTGCGTCTGTGCTCTCCGTTTCCCCGGCTTCTCCAGCTTTGCGTCTGGGCCTCGTCACCGCTGGTCATCCGAGGTGACCACCAAGAGCCTCCGATCAACTGCTGAAAATCAGAGAGTCGACTACACGGCCCACAGAACATCGAGACATTTGCAATAGCCGAGCCTGAACGTCTGAAGACTGCTCCTCTCTGGATTCCTTGTCGAGACAGTTCATCTGCTATATCGTTCCAACCGAGTTGTTGGTCATCTTTGCGACAATTTCACTAGAACAGAGACGGCATCATTACCCCACGCCTTGACTCCAGTGCAGCACCATTGTACTTGTACATGCAAGTCTAAAGCAACTGCCCGTCTTCCACTGGTCCGCTTGTTTTGTCTCGTCAAGGTGAGTGATAACCGAGAGTCGATGGCATAAAAATGGCAAGCCCAAAAATCACATCGTTCCCATTCCCCTCATCATTCCAAAGAGCCGGAGGACCGGCTGTCAACACGTGCCCCTCCATTTATCCTCAAGCCTCAAGGTCCCTGCATGACGCTGGCACACGCGATAACCTTCGATATATCTGTATCAACCTCTCCAGCCCTCCCACCTGTTTCATCTTTTTCTCCTTTCCACGTGCAATTCAAATGCCATCTTACTGTCTGCAAGACTGCCATTATTTCTTCCGCACCGCTCTTCGTGGCTTGTCCATCTCGACCACCGTCTCACCTCTGTACACCTAAACTGACAAATCATCGCCATGACTGCCAGAAGACTTACCAACACCTCGACCTCTCTAGACCAGGTTGTCGCCTCGTCTAGTCCTCCAACCTCCGCTCCCGCCCAGTTCAAACATAACAGGTCTCCATCCAAAGACACACCCAAATCCTTGTCTGCCCCAAATCACAAGACCGAGAAGACCGCCATGACTTCTCAAGGAGTTACGTTTGCTTCCCAAGAGAAGCTGCCCAAGCTTCCCATTCCTGATCTGGATAAGTCATGCGACAAGTATCTTGCATCCTTGCGGCCCTTGCAGTCTGCCAGAGAACATGCAGAGACCGACGCCGCTGTGCAAGAGTTTCTGAGAGCCGAAGGTCCAGAGCTTCAAGAAAAGCTCAAGAAGTATGCCACTGGTAAATCCAGTTATATTGAGCAATTCTGTACGTTCATACAGCCCTCAATCTGCTCTAACCTCATCCGCTGACCTTCCCAGGGTACGACTCGTACCTTAACTTTGACAATCCCGTTGTTCTCAATCTCAACCCTTTCTTCTTGCTCGAAGATGATCCCACTCCGGCCAGAAACAACCAAGTTACCCGCGCCGCATCCCTCGTCATATCCGCACTCTCGTTCGTCAGAGCAGTGAGAAAGGAAGAGCTGGAGCCAGACACCCTCAGAGGTCAGCCTCTGGACATGTACCAATACTCGCGTCTGTTCGGTACTGCTCGCATCCCCACCGAACACGGTTGCCAAATTGGCCAAGACCCTTCATCAAAGCACATTGTGGTCTTGGTGCGTGGCCAGTTCTACTGGTTCGATGTCCTAGACGACAACAACGACCTGATCATGACCGAGAAAGACATTACTGTAAACCTCCAGGTCATCGTGGACGATGCACAAGAGATCCCCATCCAAGAGTTCGCACGAAACGCTGTCGGTGTGCTCAGCACCGAGAACCGCAAGATCTGGTCCAGTCTGCGCGATGTCCTCTCAAGAGAGGAAGGCTCAAACAACTCAGACAGTCTCAACATTGTTGACTCTGCACTTTTCATTCTCTGCCTCGACTATACAGAGCCCAAGTCTGGTGCTGATCTCTGCATGAATATGCTTTGTGGCACCTCACAGATCGAGAATGGTCTCCAAGTCGGTACATGTACCAACCGCTGGTATGACAAGTTGCAACTCATTGTCTGTAAGAACGGTAGTGCTGGTATTAATTTCGAACACACCGGAGTTGACGGCCACACCGTCTTACGATTCGCATCTGATGTCTACACCGACACAATTTTGCGTTTCGCTCGTACCATCAACGGCAAAGCGCCATCGTTGTGGGCATCCGACTCGCCAGATCCTGCCAAGCGAGATCCAAACAGTTTCGGTGATGTCTCGACAACTCCACACAGATTGGAGTGGGACATGTTGCCCGAGGTATCGACTGCCGTGCGATTTGCTGAGACCCGTCTAGCGGACCTTATCCAGCAGAACGAGTTCGCCACTCTCGAGTTCATGCAATACGGCAAGAACTTTATGACTAGCATGGGCTTCTCTCCAGACGCCTTTGTACAGATGGCTTTTCAGGCAGCCTACTATGGTCTGTATGGTAGAATGGAGTGCGTTTACGAACCTGCAATGACCAAGGTCTTCTACCACGGTCGCACTGAAGCCATCCGACCAGTCACTGATGAGTCTACCGAGTTCGTCAAACTCTTCTGGGGTGAGAATCCACCTGCTAAGAAGGTGGAAGCATTGCGCAAAGCATGCCAGAAACACACTGAGATCACAAAAGAATGCGCCAAAGCTCAAGGACAAGATAGACATTTGTATGCCTTGTTCTGTGTTTGGCAGCGCATGATCGATGGTGATGAGGAGATTTTGAGTCATAACGGCGACAGTGGGGATGGCATGCATGACGAAAACTCCTCTGATGTGATGAGCGATGATGGCAGCTCTCGCAGCTCTATGAACCGCGTACAGACCAACTCAGGTGTCATGCCGTCACTATTCGCCGATGGTGGATGGGATCGATTGAACACCACAATTCTTTCTACATCGAACTGCGGCAACCCTTCTCTGCGTCAATTTGGATTTGGACCTACTTCTGGCGACGGATTCGGTATTGGCTACATTATCAAAGATGGCAGCGTCAGTATATGTGCTTCCTCCAAGCACCGCCAGACTAAGCGTTACATCGATGCCATCGAGAGCTACTTCTTGGAGATGAGAAAGGTTCTACGACAGACACAGAGAAGGGGCACAAACACCGACAAGCTCGCCAGTCGTGCCAGAGAAGCGGAGGAATTGAAGACGAAGGCAAGGCCGAAGAACAACAGACTGAAGTCCCGCGGTATACTTGTAGATGGCGCTAGAACGCCCGCTATGGACAGCGAGCAGGTCAGCGATGACGACGGCTTGGGTGGCTGTAAGTTTTGTTTTCGTATGTTGCGTAATCATAATACTGACAACTTATCACAGATGGCTTCTTCGATGCTGGAATGTTGCTGCAAGCGCTGAAGCAAGAGCAGAATGGCAACATCAAGCCTAGTCAGAAGGCTGCGGCGAGGAACAAGGTTGGAAAGAAGTTGCAGCTGATGGACTATTAGCATGTCATGATGTATTGAAATGAACGTTTACTGTATGAAATTTCGTCTTTCTTTCTCTAGTGACTTGGTGAGTCGGTCTTAAGTGACATCTGCCACTTCCGGGCCAATCTCCTCGGCCCCTATCGTACGCTACAGTGTTAGAAACGATTACGATCAGATGGCTCTTAGCATACGAAGCACTTTCAATGGAACCACGTTATTTGGATTCGTGGGTGTCTATCTGAGGGTCAACCCTGCTAAAGTATTTGAGAATGTTCGGCTCTCCCAACAATCGATAGCACGCATATAGGAACGATGCCCCAGTTTCTTCTGGTCACTCTCGTCAGGAATCGTCTCGTGAAGACTAGCTGCCACCAGACGACGAGCCTATGCCCAGTCCTTCACCTCCTCAGTCTCATCAGCAACCGGCTCCTGAAGGACCAGCTGCCACCAGACGACGAGCCTATGTTCAGTCCTTCACCTCCTCGATTGCGTCAGCAATCGGTTCATGGAGACCAGCTGCCACCAGACGACGAGCTTCTCCGCAGCCCCTCGCCTCCTCGGTCTCGCCAGAAATTCATCCATGAATACCAGCTGCCAACAGACGACGAGCTTACGCCCAGTCCTTGTCCACGTCGATCCCGCTTGACAACAGTCCATGAAGACGATCTTCCCTATGGCCCTGAATAGAAGCCGTAAATACCAGGATGACGGTCTTCGAGCTACTCTACTTGCATTGGGTTGACAAGCGAGTTCTTCGATTCAGTAGGCCAATGTCCGTCCTTATCGGAGATGGAGTATCCGTAGTGTGAGAACGATCATAGCCAGCAGCCGTACTTCTCCCAGCTGCATGTAGAGTTGCATGAAGCATCCAAGGCATCGAGACAGCCAAATCCTGCAGTATATAACACTTCTTGCAGCACACCCTGCCAGACAATAGAGTTTGCATGAGCCACTTACAAGATGCAGAACAGCCCTGCACATGTAAAGTATGCTCGCTCGCATGGTGCATGGTGCATAAAAAGCCAGCCAGCCAGCCAGCCAGCCAGCCCTTCTTCAGCTCGAGCGGCTTCCGTTCCCGAACATCTATCGAAAAGCCTGTTATATTAGATTGCATACACAGCCCTGTGCTAACAGCAACCACGCGTAAGGAGGTGTGCAGTAAGACAACCAATATAAATCTGAGAGAAATGCTGCGGAGCTCGCGTGTCCGAGATGGACTTCTACCGAGATCCCCCAATGCAGAGCGTTTTGCGTAGATTGTTTTGACTGGAGCTTCCGAGATTGATGTGTGCCGCTCGCTGTCCGATGGATGATTCTGAGTCCGAGGTGAGCATCGCTTGCGCGATCCGAATACCTGGTCATCAAAGATGAACGATAGATGCGATGGAGATCAGCGATGGAAACATGGTGCTGGGACGATGACGGTGGTGTGTTTTGTTCGAGAGACGATTAATTAGATTGAGGGCGGAGTTTGTGCTCCGGGGCGTTTCTGCTGCTCCTGCCTTCGCGTTTGCATATCACCACCACCAACACTTTCCATTTCCAACTCGACCACGAGGCTTCAAGGTCTCCTGACCAGGCTAACTAGAAGAGGCTATTTCACCTCTCGCCTCCTGTTGAGATTCTTGTTTGATCTCGATATCTGACATCTCGACACTTCGATACAAATGTAAACGCCGTCTAAACTCCGATGCTGTTCTCTTCCCACAGTGATGCTCTCCCAGATGTCGGTGTGTAGACGAGTCGCGCAAACCAAACTGTCGAAGATGAACAGCTCTCTAGCTGGAGAAGGACTCTGGTACAAGATGAGAGCACTGACAGCACTCTCTACACCGCACATGATGTCTCACTACCAGCTTTCGATGAGTTGCTCCCTGCCAACCACCCATAGAAAATCCACCACGATTCATAGGGCATCGCAGAAGCTCGCGATGTGCACTAGAAGACATGGAATATTCTTGGCTCTCATCTCAAAGTCCAATCAGACAGTTGCTTCTGGGTTCTGATGCAATGCGATGCAATGTCTACAGCTAAAGCAATAGTGGTGTTTGCCAACAGTGCATGTAAAAACAGCCACCAACACAAAGAAAACACAAAACACCTCCTCCAAACCACGGAACACTGCACAACATTCGCCATCCCATCATCCGCCTCCGTACCGAACACATCTCTTGCTCAGCAACACGGCAAGCCGAGCCACAGTGTTCGCGCGTCGTGTTTGAAATTTGACCGTCCGCACGCAAGAACGTTTCTTGTCAGGCGTCAGCTCGCGAAATTTAGAGTTTGAAAAGGATCAACGGCCCGTCTATCTAAAACGCACCGCGCGCCGTGCTGCAGAACAACGAGATTAAAAAGAGGCACATCATACATGCCACCATTGAATTCAAAAAGTCATAAGTTACTCGTCTTATAGTTTGTGGCTCGCTATAGTGGGTAATAGGAGAAAAAGGAGTGTAAAGGACAAAAAGAATAATTGTACTGAGATGTTTAAAAAGAATATAGAGACAAACGCTCAGGGGATATCGGTAAACATGAAGGCAAGCCCTCGGCATAGGAAAAAAAAAATACCAGAAGGAAATGACAGAGGAGACGTTATATCGTAAGAGGTAAGATGGGGAAGGAAAAGGCGTTGCATCTAAGCGGATCGTTCACGCTTGTGCAATGTCGGCCGTGGTTTCTGAATGAACTTGTCACTCTCGGCCCTTAGATCTCCAAGACTGGGGCTCATGACCACACGGGGTCTCTGCTGTGCTGCAAGACCTCTGATGCTCCGTGAACTGGCAGGTCTGCTGAGGCTCAAAGCACTACCAGAGCGGTTGACATCGGGATTTGGACTGGACGGTCGCGAACTCAGTACAGACCCTTTTCGGCTGCGGGAGCCAAATGCGACGTCGCTAGGGCTGACAACCTGGCCTGCAAATGGTGAGGAGGTGATGATAGTGCCGGGAGAGGCAGCAGGAGAGGGTAGAGGACTATCGCTGCGGAACAAAGGATGAATATGTCCCTGATCCTGGTTCAATTGTTGGTGAGATGGGCGGCGATGCAGAGAAGGTGCGAAAGGAGGGAACTCTGGTGATTCAGGGACTTCGTCAGCCTCTTCATCTTCCTCGCAAGCCTCTACGAATGGGCCATCGAGAGGATGAGCGGGAGATACTGGTCTGCTGCCAGGAATAGTCTCGAGTCGGTGTGGCTGTGCGATACGCAGAGCTGTCAAGGCATCTGCTGCCTCGGCCGTATCTGGAGTGGATGCGACGTTCCAGGTCTCAAACCCATCGGAAGGTCTGCGCTCCGAAGTCGAACATGATCGCACACTCTCTGAGTTCTTGATTGAGTTTTTGGAACCTTTGCCGTGTCGGAGGAATTGTTGTACAGAATTGCGAACGCTGAACTTGGCACTGGTCGATTGTTCATCTGAGATATCGGAAAATGTCGACACTGGTCGACTGAAGTTAGGTGTGTAAGGCGAAAGAGTGTTTAGTGAGAGGGCTTGGGTCTTTTGCTCGCCAAGATCCATACAACTTTGTAGGGGATCTGAGGTGAAAAGAACGGAATCGGGCAACGAAGATTTCGACCTCCAGTAAAGTCCACCATATACGCCGAGCGATATAAGTGAAAATGTCCACATTGCGAGAGCAGCGGCGATCATGGAAGGGAGATCTTCGAAATGACCGTGCGTCTCGATAAGCGGTAGGTTGTTGTACATCCATCCCAGGACATAAATCGACATGACCATAGCGATCGCAAACGGCAAGAGGGTAACAACTGCAAGAGCCCACTTGTGATACTGCAAGTTGCGAGCAGTGCAAGTGTAAAAGACGACAAAGACAAAGAGGATTGTGATCGCCAAAATGTCAAACACAGCAGCTACCGTTGCATGCATATGTATGGGGGTTGGTCCGAGGACCGATGCTGCGAACAGTGTGATGAAGGTCGCGAGAGCAGTAGTGGAAAAGCAGGCTGCCAGGCAGCTAAGGATACATGCCGGGCTTCTTTGTATCAAAGCCATGATAGAGATTGATGCCGAGTAGAGGATGTGAGTTAGCAGAAAGGAGTGTCGTATGCTTGCGCGGAGTGTGTAAAGATTGTGGTGGGTTCTTGAGAAGTCTTCTCGAAGCGATTTAGAACACAAAGAACTGTTCCAGATGTTTCAGAGATACATGAAACTTGAATGCTTCGGACGATGCTGCTTGTGATCCTGGTACTCAGACTTGGAGGCCTCTCGACGTTGCGGATACGCTTTTAGAGTTGGAGATGTTGAAACGGATGGAGGAAAGAAAGAAGAGATGTAACGGGCGATTGTAAGCTGAGCGATAAACGAAGATGCAGGATGACACGAGTTTGTCTGTGTTCGCAAGCCTTGAGCCTCAAGCATGAACGTTGTGTGGTGTCTGCAGCCAAGGATTCTCGGTCGTCGGGGATGTGCGCTAGAATATCATACCGCACGGTTTCATGCATGGAATCGATAGTGATCCGGGGAAGTGGTGATGATCAAGACGAAAAACGAGGCCTGAAAGGTAGAGGATAGAAGGGATATGTAAGGAGAGTTGCTGCGGGCCGGCAGAGCTCATCTAAATTTCTTCAAGGATTATCTCATAGAGGGCGGCAGCAAGCCAACAACACACACGCCCGGTCGTTGTTTGCGATCGTCAACAAGGTCTTCCCGGATTGCGCGCCTGTGTAATCCGGGTTCTGGGGGCTGTCCATGCCGTGGGTAGCAATCAGCGGCGGCATCTCGCTACCAAACGCCATTGTTGAGCATGGGGGACGCGCTCGGCCGCGAACTTGACCATTTCGGGCTGGCGAGCATTGAGCAATTGACCATGCCAGTCCGGTGCCCAGACTGCAGACGGCGCGAGACAAGTGCAGCTGCAACCCACCGTGCTGTTATTATCTCTAGCCTGTTGTCGTATGCAGGAGGAGGGGGCTGATTCTCGACATGACACGAGAGGCGCTGCTACAGTGCAGCGATGTCGTCGAGATGTCGGCGACAGCGAAGCTTCTGAGCAGTCAGTCAGTCAGCTTTGACAGGTCACAGGTGGGGCCGCCTTGGAAAGCCAAATCGCAGCTCGCAGGCCAATCGAAATTGCAACACAAAGGCGATGCATACACGGAAGAATAGCACATAGCGTGTACGACGGCGTCTGATTATTTTCGTGACGCTTCGCAATATCGCTCCAGCACATTGGACAACGTCACAGAAGAGGAGACCCTGAAATTGACAAGCCTCTTGAAACCGCGAGGCCGTCCATTCCAGAACGAACGGCTAATAAACATGACGCTCAGGGAGCAGCACCTGTTGCTGAGAAGCGGCCTGAAGGTGGTACAAGGACTCGGAGAGTTTGTGATTCCTCGTCGCACGGTGCAGTGAGGTGGAGGCCTTGACAAGTTGACACGACTGGCTCGGCTTGCATGTAGGGCCTGGATTCGTCTGCATGCTGCTGCTCCTGTTGCAATATTGGCGGGAAGTAGGGGCACGAATGTTGCATCGACCAAGAGTGGCAGAGCAGGCTGTCGAAAGACATGGTGGCATAGAAGGAGGACGGTTGCCCAATAGGAGCAAAATCTCCAATGAACAGTTCTATGTACCAAGACAAGGGCATCGCGCATGTCTATCACAATCCCATGTCAGCCTTCAGTAACTGGACTGCAGAACATCGTTCTAGACTGCATCGTGTTATATCGCAGTGATTGGTTATAGTGCGTCATGATCGAGAAGCATAGGATTGTAGAACAATACGGTCGCATCCAGTGAGAACTGTCAATCACGAAGATTTGCTACATTCTTACTGCATCCCCACAGTCTCTGGTCCGAGTCTCTCTATTGGTGATGAGATGGTGTGGCCGTATCACACGGTCCCTGCGAGCCCAAGCCATATTGGTGCAGGAAGCGAGGGAGTGATATCGAGGGAGAAACACGGGATGGGTGGCGAGAAGCAAAGTTAGCAGACTCAATGGATAGCGGTCAAACAACGTTGCTACAGATGCAGCAGTAAGAGACAGAGGATGAGATCTGAGATGTGAATAGAAAGTGGTAGACAAAGCACAGTGCCAAGGTGAATGTGTATGACGCTCGGGGAGTGCGGGCGCGCATTCTCGAAGCTCAACCCACACGCCCAGCTTGCCACACTCTTCACGCTCTCTACAACTCTTGCGACTATCACAAACCCTGCCGAATCTTCTATCTTGGGCCCAGCACTCGCGTCCAACTGCACAACAGCAACTACACTCAACACGCGACACCATAAGATCGATACGATGAAGTTGACATTCAGTACGTTCTCGATGGTCTGCGCCTTGTTGGAGCGCCCCCACTAACAGTCGCTCCAGAGGATCTCAAGCAGCAGAAGTTCGTTGTCGAGGCCGAGCCCTCCGAGACAGTAAGTTTTTCCAGTGCTCACAATGACATGTTCAACCACTGACGTTGCATAGATTGGCGAAGTCAAATCAAAGATCGCGTCTGAGAAGGGCTGGGAACCGTCGACACAGAAGCTCATCTATTCGGGTAAGATTCTGCAAGACGACAAGACCGTCGAGTCATACAAGATCGAGGAGAAGGGCTTCATCGTCTGCATGGTCTCCAAGGTAACACACTCTCTTCCCTGCTGCTCAAACACAGCCGACTGACAGCTGCCAAAGCCCAAGGCTGCTCCCTCAAAACCTGCGGCTCCTGCGACCCCCGCCCCCGCCGTGCCCGCCGCTACCCCTGCTGCTCCCCAGGCACCGACATCATCTTCCACCTCTGCCTCCGCCCCCGTGCCCGCTACTCCTTCTCCTGCTGCGAACGAGGGCAGTCGCTTCAACGACCCCTCAGCTCTCACCCTCGGCGATGAGCGCGCTGCCGCCATCTCGAACATGGAGGCCATGGGTTTCCCTCGCACTGACATCGACCGTGCCATGCGCGCCGCTTTCTTCAACCCCGACCGTGCTGTCGAGTACCTTTTGAACGGTATCCCTGAGAGCGCTCAACGTGAGCAAGAGCAGCAACAGCAGAATCAGGCCGCGCCCAGACAGAGCCAGACTCCATCTGCGGCCCCTGCTGCTGCACAACCCACTGGTGGTGAGGACGAGGATGTCAACCTCTTTGAGGCCGCAGCCCAGGCTGGTCAGGGCAGTGGTCGCGGAAGCACTCGTGCAGCTCAGCCCGCTCAAGGAGCCGAGGCTGGATTGGGTGCAGGTGGTGACCCTCTGGAGTTCCTCAGAAACAACCCTCAGTTCCAGCAGCTTCGCCAGCTTGTCCAGGCTCAGCCTCAGATGCTCGAGCCTATTCTCCAGCAGGTCGCCGCTGGTAACCCTCAGATTGCTCAGCTTATCGGCCAAAATCCCGAAGCCTTCATGTCTCTTCTCTCTGAGGACGTCGACGATGATGCTGCTCTGCCTGCTGGCGCTCAAGCCATCAGTGTTACCGAAGAAGAGAGAGAAGCCATCGAGAGAGTGAGTTGCTCCTAGACCATGTTTTTCAACATCTGCTAATTCTTACAGCTTTGCCGTCTCGGATTCGAGAGAGATCTTGTCATCCAAGCCTACTTCGCATGCGACAAGAACGAGGAGCTTGCAGCCAACTTCCTCTTTGATCAGCCTGAGGATCCGGAGGAGCAATAAGTTCGTCTGTTGGAGGAAACCAGGAACGACATCCGACTGGGTTACAGTCAAGGCGGCTCTACACGATAGTCATGATAACTTCGGCTTTTTTTTCTAGTTCGCCATGTCCAAAGGGACTCGGTACATAGCGCGGAGAATTGATTTCATTAATCTCAAGTGTTGCCATTTCAATTTGTGATAATCTCAGTGTACGACATCCTGGAACACGTCACAACTGAAATCAGGAATGAGCAGTAGCTTCTTTGCGGATGCGAAAATGGCGTCTAAAGAATCGAGTATGCAAAGAGCCGTTGTCGCATTTATCTCCACGAATGGTCGAAACCCGCGAAACCGTGTCTGGCTTCGGCACAAGTTTCGCCGCAAATCATGCAGAGGACTGATTTTGTCCTAGCCATATTGAAGTCCATGCCACTCTCTGATGAGTATTACGTACATGTATTCACAATGATTATTTCTCGGCTGTCTTCTCTAAAGTAACAATTGTTTGCCTCGTCTCTGGCCACGTCAAGGAGTTCGGGTGGAGCCGTCGGCATCCAAGATATGGCGCTAACGTGCCAGGCGTTGCATGATTGGCTGGGCGTAACTCGCTTTGGAGGCTCAAGGTGTGTGTGTCCAGGTGAGAGAAGACTTCGAGATGTTGTTCATGATCAAGACCTTTCAGTAATCGACCGTCGTTGCTCCTTCGTCCGTCTCGTGTTCTTGCCCATACATGTTCTTCTTATATTCTCAACGTCCTGCTATTCGTACTTGGAGATTTTCTCTTTTGGGGGCGATCAAGTTTTGCACAAAAGCAACATCATCTCAACCAACTTGACCATACAAAGTGAGTAGATCTTTCAGAAATTTGGCGTCGCTTTGTCCTATCGAACATCTTGCCGCCTGCACAGTCATCTGAGGAGTTTTTTTCTCGTGGTCAATCACTCTGTCTATCATCTCTGTTCTCCATGTTGCTTTGAAGCTGGCAAGATGTAATTTCCTTCAACAGCACACAACCTTGCCCCTCGTTCAGTCTAGACTCGTCTGCTGAACATCGTATCTTTACATCACATCAGACTCTTCGCATGGCCTGGTCTTAGTGATATCAATTATCTGCTGACACTGATTCAGCACAAGGCTTTTACGTCACATCGACTCAGCACACGCGTATCGGAGCTTTCGTATCTTTCCACTCGTAAGTGTTTCAATCTTGTACGTTGGTCATCTCAGTAATCCTGTATGATGGTAGCCTGCGGTCACGATGGAGCTCAGGCGAAAAACAGAACCCCTACATATGACTACACGTGCCGCGTCCAAGGCTGTTTCTTCGAACGGAGGTTCTAGTCGACGTGGTTCTCTCTACTCTAACGGTCAAATCAGTCCAATGACCGGCATCGACAATGAAGGAGAAAGATATCCTAAGAGAAGAAGAGTCTCAACGGCATCCAAGTCAACACCAACTGGAGCCATCTACAACTCACAGTCATCTTCGTCTAGGCCTTCAACAAGGAGCATGTCAGGTGGTAACCTTCATCCAATTGCCGAGTCATCACCTGTACCTCGTAGAAAAAGGAAACGAATTTCCGACGTAACGGCTGAGAACATCTCGGTAGCTCAACCTATCAAGAATAGGGATGAATTCGAGAATGCTATATACTCTCCAGTCACGAAGAAGCAGCCTCCCAGGAAGGTCAAACGATCATCATATTCATCCCAGGATCAGGACTCTGCCGAGGATGAGGACGAGGACGAGGACGAGGAGTCCGCAGACAGTGAAGCAGACGCTGATGAGGACGTCCCGCAAGACATGGTAGAGTCTCTTGAAGTCTCGCAACCTTCTGCAAACGGTGACGACAAAGAAACGTCAGGCAATGGTACCAATGAAATTACGAACGGCACAGCAGGCGACCTCGACGAGGATGACAGCATGCACGATGTTGACGTCTCCCTGACTGAAGAAGACATGTCAGATAAGCAGCAAACGCAGGTCGCAGAAGCAGATATTGCGGAGCAGGCAGGCGATACTCAAACCCAAGGCAATGCTCTGCAAGAGTCCGGTGATTCTCAGGAAGAGGAGCCAGAAGTGGGACGAAGTGGAGGTGATGCAGAGCGTATCTACGACGAAGATGCAGACTTGAATAACTCCCGTGACGAACTGAGCCTGCCTAAACAACTTGGCATGGCAACAGTTGATCCTACGCCGGTTGTTTCTGCCACAGCATCCCCTGCCGGCTCAAATCAAGACTCGAATCTAGATCAAGAGTCCCCAAGCAAACAACTGGCATCAGTTCTTGTTGGAGGGGCTCCAACAGCAAGTCAAGACGGGGACAAGCCAGTCAAACGTCTACCAGGGCGACGCAGAGCTCCTCACGCCAATCCGAAGGTTGAAGCAGCTTTGCGTAGACAACTACACCTGCGTATGGCGTACCGAGCAGTGGCAAAGAACTTGAAGCCAATTCTCGCCGAGCTCGCGAAACGGAGCCTTAGCAATATTCATAAAGATCCTGAAGCGCATACGGCCTTCTCGGAATACCCTGTCGTCAAGACTAGTCTCAACGAGCATTTCGAGGAGCGTCTCGCCTGGATACAGAAACAAAAGGAGCTCAACAAAAAACGCCTGGACGACATACTGGAACAAGAAACGGCGACGCGGAAGAGGAATTATGAGGTAAGCATAGTCCATCCAGGTCTTGCTGTTGTGTCCCAAATTGATTGGTCGTATAGCACGTTGCCCAGAACATCAAGGAAGATATGATAATACACCTACAGCACGACTTTCTCAGAAATTTGCGTCAACAGCAACAGGCTGAGGACGACGAGTACAGCGACGATGAGGTTTGTACAGTAAAGCTCGATATGCGCTCACTCTGCTAACATGTCATCTCAGGGTGACGATGTCATTCCCTCGCTGCGACGTGTCACAGCCAAAGGTGCCCTTCGAGGGATACTGGGTCCGGAATATCATTGGCGGAGCCGACCTGCCCTGGAGACTGAGAGATTATTCAAAGAAATGTACGATCGGCACCAAGTTGCCCACGAACACCTCCAGCACGACGAAGCGTCCGCTCTTGAAGACCCGCGACCATTCACCATCTTCGATCCGATTGTCAGAGATGCAGCGGATGCTCGACAGAAGATGCGGGAGCTTCTTTCTGCTTTAGGAGATGCTGCAGAGGAAGTTGACAAACCACCTCCAATACCAGTCGTTGAAGCTCCACCTGCGATTCCAGTCATACCCAACAACGAGGCACTTGGTCTTCTGATGTTGGCCGAAGCATCGACCACTGCCAATACAAGCACAGCTGCGCAGTTTGATAACGTGTCATCTCACATGGATCCGCCATCAGAAGTACCCTCACGGCAAGGCAACCTTAGCGTGCCACGACCCAGCATGTCTCGTGCTGGAAGTGTGGCCACACCGACTCTCTCCATCAACACTCCTGCCAGACCCCTGGAGGAACCGGTTCGCGAGCAGCGTCTTCCGTCAATTGCGCCTATCAGTTTCAGTCAAGCAGTGCTCGAGCCATCGACAACACAGACTGCTCCTCTCTTCCCAAGAAACGTACACCATGAACCGCAAGAACAGAGGACCCTATCAGAGTTTCCACAGCTTCCGTCAATCGGTCAAGTCGTGGCATCGCAGTCACACGCCGATACACTACCGCAACCAGTGGCTACGTCTTCGTCGCTACCAACGTCATCAAAACCAGTTGCTACCGACTTTTGGTCAAGTCTGGCCATGAACAACATCAAGACCAACCCGCAGGGCAAAGCTGAATACACTCCTAGAGCAGGAGTCCAGCATGTCTCTGTCACTGAGCAGCCTGCCAGCAGTAGTGCAGACAACGTCAAGTTGGAGGACAGAGAATCCCGGCAATCGTTGTCTGGTCCCACGACTACACTCGAACCGTTGCACCAGACTTTGAGGAGTACGTCAGATTCTTTCGGCCCTCTGCTTGATAGACCTGGTGATGTCGATAACCAGAAGCCACGAAAGATGCCTGCACCCAAGAAGTCTCTGTACGGACCTTGGCCCCGCAGTCGAAATTACACGCCTCTGGATCGGAGAGCGAGTACAACAAGCACGGCTCCGCCTCAAACTACCTTACCGGGCATCCATACAAGGCCCCCGAGTGGGCTTGGTGGAAACACGACGTATAGTACAGCAGAGTCTCGGCACACGAGCTACGCGCCTGCACCTGCGGGGCCGATGGCAGGCTTCCCTAGTTCTGCACCACAGTCGGGACCATATGGTCCTGCACCGATATATGGAGCTGCACCTCCAACTTCTTATGCATACGAACAACGAGGGCCGTACCCACCAATTACGCCATACGCACCAGCAGCAGGATACTCGGGATTGCCCGGAGGACCCATGCAACAAGGCCAAGGGCCACCCCCGTTCTATAATGGACCCCACAACCTTGCACCTCCACCGCAGCAACAGGGAGGGTACGGAGGACCAGCAACAACATCTCGAGGTCCACGAACATCACCAGGGTACGGACAACAGTATGGTGGACAGCCTATACTTCCAGCCAGCCACGACCCTCGGTTTGGAGCCAATGGACAAGCAGCAACAAACAACGCGGGACCAGCATTTGCACAATATCAACAACATGATGGAAGGAGAAGGCGGAATCAGAGCCTTGGGCACCGAGAGTTCCAGCATTATCATGGGCCGCGATGATTGATGGAAAGGAATTGTAATTGATTAGTGGTGATGCAGACTACAGGCAAGAAAAGCAACGAGATTCTTTTGTTCCCCGCGATTGTCAGAGTTGTAGATTGCAAGCGTGATGATGGCGTTGTATTGGTTGGCACGAGGTAGCGAGCGGTTGTGACAGACTACTTGATGCAGTGAGGGGATGTGAATATGCAAGTCAAGCGCATTCTGCGGGAGTGGCCATGTCGACACAGCCAATGGCAACAGAGATGTGAACAAGTGAGTCAATGTAGAAGATGAAACGAGTAGAGGTTGTAGGATGTGAGTCAAGATGGTAGACGGAGGTCGCATGTGATTGGTGGAGAGGGGTCGAGCTTTCCCTGACGTCCTCGTACAAAGATGCGGGCAAAGATTATCGCAGAATTGCATCAATCCCACTCGAGACTTCGCCTTCTTCTTTCTATACACACCCCTCTTCCACCCACTACCTTCCTTGTCCACCACCAAACTCTACTTAGCAACACTCGACGAATTCCCAAATCATGGCTGTCCGCGCACAATTCGAAAACTCCAACGAGTACGCAGCAGAATCAAACACACAAGCCGCAGAAATACTGACTTGTTCGCTCAGGGTCGGTGTCTTCTCTACCCTCACAAACTCGTACGCCCTTGTCGCTGTCGGCGCCTCCGAGAACTTCTACAGGTACCACCTCCTGCACATCCGATTTTGTGACAACAGAAACTGATGACCGCTGCAGTGTCTTCGAAGCCGAACTCCAGGACGTCATCCCCATCTGCCACACCACCATCGCCGGCACCCGCATCATTGGTCGTCTCACAGCCGGTAACCGCAGAGGCCTCCTCGTTCCCACCAGCACATCAGACCAGGAGCTCCAACATTTGCGTAACAGCATCCCCGATGATGTCAAGATCCAGCGCATCGAGGAGCGCCTCTCCGCCCTCGGCAACGTCATTTGCTGCAACGACCACGTCGCCCTCGTCCACCCCGATCTGGAGCGCGAGACCGAGGAGATTATCGCCGATGTCTTGGGTGTCGAGGTCTTCAGACAGACTATCGCCGACAACGTCCTTGTTGGTTCCTACATGAGCTTGAGCAACGCTGGTGGTATCGTCCACCCCAAGACCAGCATCCAGGACCAGGACGAGTTGAGCTCCCTGCTCCAGGTTCCTCTTGTCGCCGGTTCCGTCAACAGAGGTTCGCCCGTTGTCGGTGCTGGTATGGTTGTCAACGACTGGATGGCCGTCACTGGTCTGGATACCACTGCCACTGAGCTCAGCGTTGTCGAGTCCATCTTCAAGCTTGGCGAGGGCATGGGTCCTTCGGCCATCAACACCACCAACAAGGACACCATGGTCGAGTCCTTCTACTAGATGCATCTTTGTTTTTGCCGAATCACAAAAAAGAGAGCTTTCTGGCTTCAGCGCCCTTCAGTCCGAAACACATATGCGCTCATGCATGCGGTCGACGCCTCTCGTCTCGGTCTCACCTGATATGCTAGAAACGCGACACGCAAAGGACAAGACCGGCCCTCACGCCACACATGGCCGTCGTACCGAGTGGTGCAAAATGAACATGCGGTGGTGGTCGTGGTGGAAAGAGGATATGCATGTGTGGATCTGGATTCATGGAAGCCGCACAGTTGCGTGCTAGATACCCTTTCGAGAATAGATAGAAGTCGGCTTGATCTCTTGAAATCTTGCATATTTGACCTTTCATATCTCGAATGAGCCCGTCTTGGCTATATCTTTATTGTGGATGCCATTCCAAGTGCCCTATTGCGCAGCCCAAAACCAGGTGGTTGGTCCAATTTTCGGGCCTAAATCCTTGTCGCCCCTACCACCCTGTCGAGCCGAACAAGAAACACCACCGATCGCTTAATGCTCAACCTTGAGTTTCTGGAATGCATAAACAGTCTTTCCGAGTTGCCTGCTATGCTCTGCTGTCGTTTGAAGGCATATTAATGCTTCGTTGTCGACAATGTGAATTGTTCTATCCTAACAGAAAGTATAAGCTCGGATCCCCAGACGTGAGTGCGTCTCTCACACAATGTCCAGCACAAATGTCTCATAAGTCACACATTGGACATGAGATCGATCCATATGTCACGAGGAAGAGCCAGAGTCTTGCATGATATGAATATTATTTTGCTGGACATCATGTTTGCGAAAACTTCACTGGATTGAGCTTCATGCGTGCTATCGATCATTGCAGCTTTCCCTTCTCCTCTGGACAGACTCCCCCAGAACACTTGACGCGATTATGCACATGCTCAACTCTTCGGGGAACCGGATTTTCGAGCCAAGTAGCATGACGTGCATGCATATGCGGCGAACCCATCTCAAGGCTAACTGCTTGCCAATAGCATCATTCCAAGTTCGATAACCTACAGGACAATCGTTAGCACCCATGCGATAAACAGACTGCGTGTTTTTGTATGAGAATGACATGTGGTAACTCAGAGAGAAGATTAAGGTCCCCAGCGACTTCGTGGTGGTCAGAACACTGGTTATGTTCCTTGTGAGAACTAAACACGGCGTCGACCTTGGCTTTTCCCACGCAGCCATCGGTCTAAGGATGAATGTCTCATCACGACAAGGAAATGATGGGAAGGGTAGGCGGTACATACATACGCTGTTGATTCGTCTGGCGGGTAACTTTTCAGGAGGGAGATATATGCAGCGCTTCAGTCTCCCGAGCTGCCATCCTTTGCTCCTAGTGTCGGCCACATGAACTTTGGGTTATTTGAACTTCCCGAAGCTGACAGTACTGACGCGGGCTCATCATATGTGACTTGCTCCCGGCGATCCGGTGCGTCGGAGACGGCATTTGATCGCTTCTCTGTGGCTGCTGGATACGTCGAGTCTTCATCGTCGCCATAAGCCAAGTCAATCGAACTTGCCTTTTGCTCATCCAGTTCGCGGGCGATCCTGCGGTGAGTCAAATGCTCAGGATTCGATTCGGACGAATCGATAAACCTTTGCCATTTTCGTTTGCCTACGCCTTGAGAGCCCGATGTGCTGGCAGAGCGCTGCCTGTCGGTATCGTCGGCTGTGGCTGGCGATCTAGTATCACCTACCGGCTGGATAGATTCTTTAGATGCATCATGGCTGGTTCCGCCTTCTGAGTTTTCGCGTCTTCGTCTCCGCTCTCGCAGAAGAGCTTGGATCTCACTGTGTCTGAACATGGCAATTTGGTCATCGGTGAGTGTGCGCTTGACGCCGTCAGGATAGTAGCCGAGACCATCGTCACCGTAGTTTTCTTCCAGATCTACGTGAGCATCGCGGTGCCTGTTGGAGGCTCCAGCGCTCAAGGAAGCAAAATGCTTGTCGTGGAAGAGGCGCAAGTCATGCTGCGTCGGTCAATTTTGAACACGCGTTTTGGGACATGTTGTTTTCATTTACACACCTCAGTAACCTGCGGAATCTGTAGTTGTTGAGCCGACATGAGTTTCAATTGATGTCGTGTCGATAGCCGGCGGATGAAAGTGGAAAGAAGAGTGTCACGCGCGTGTCGGCGCTCTGGAGATGCCAAGAGCAGCAGTCTGGAGTTGTGGAGTGCAGGCAGTCACGAACAAGCACCTTGATTTCCATCACCATCTCTACCATCTTGTCCCACAATCATGAGAGCCCGCACAACCTTCGCCACCTCACTCGTCGCAGCCTGCCTAGTCACCGCAACTTCCGCAAAGTTGTTCTCCCCCAACGCCCCTGACACACAGGCACGAATTGTTCTTCCCGGAACACACCACGACGTCATGTCAGGCAGCGGCGTCACCATATCCGACGTGCTCAGCAGAGAGCGCAACATCAACATCTTCGCTGGTTTCACTCGCGATATCGAGTCTGTGTCGAGACGCCTCGAAGCTGGCTCGCACAACACCACATTGCTCGCGCCCCTCAACTCGGCCATCACTAGACTGCCTAGAAAGCCATGGGAGGATCCACAAGACTATGCTGCTCTCGGCCAAAACGCATATGACGGTCAAGACGGCGAGGACAGAGCGCATAGGAATTTGAGGCGTTTTGTCGAGGCACACGTGGTTCCAGAGTCGCCATGGGCCGAGGGCCATAAGGTACAAACCCTGGGTGGAGATACAGTATGGTGGGAAGAGAAGGACGGAAAGAAACTGGCAAGTTTTGTCTCGTGCTTTGGCTACCATCAACTAACATGGACATCAGATTCAGCCTGGAGGTATTCAAGTCTCGAGTATTCCCAACAAGGTCGCCAACGGAGAAGTCTGGGTATTGGAAGGTGCTCGCAATTATGCTTAAGTCTTGTCTCGACCAGACACGACATGCCCGATGTGTTTACGATTAACGTTGCCGACTTTTGCTTCCAATTTTCATGTATTTGACAATGAAACCAGGGCCGATTGCAGGGCCCTATCCTGTATGCAGCTTCTTGACCCGCTGTGCACCTTCGTACAACATTCTGTCAATGGCAGCCGCTACTGTGAGTGTACCACCAATGACGGCGCAAACGCCGACAAGGAAGCCCGAGAAGCTCTTGCTTCGTGCTTCACGATTGATGACCTTCATGGGTGAAATGTCCTGCAGACCAAATTAGTAGATGCAATAGTGATAAAGGGCGTTCGACTGCTTACGTAGGAGAAGAAGACACCAGGGATACCGCCTCTTGCGTGTAATCTCTCCTTGTGGCCCTCCTGACGATCATCACCACCTGCCAAGCTTCTCTTATGGCTTGTTACACTGTACTGATGTGTTTCAATACTGCCAGCTTCACCGTGACCATAACTTCCCAGCTCGACGAGCTCGTGGGGTAGATCAAGGATCGAGCCCTTTCTCTCCCAACCGAGAGGTAGGTAGGCAGTCGAAACCACCTTGACAAAGTACATGAAGTTGTAGGCCTTTTCGTCTGTCTTGTGCTCGGTGTCGTCTAGCGGGTTCACATGGTGGTTGGTCCAAGCCATGCCCTTCTTGCCAATCCTGCTAACAATGTCGTCAGACAGTTGGGGGCCGAAACGAAGGTGGTGAATCTTATGGGTGAAGGTGTGTTCAATGTTGTTGGCTCCAGCCCAGTAGTTCTCGAGATCGTGGACGTGCATATTGCCGTTGCTGAATGATTTGCCAGGAGCGAAGTGGAAGTTGCCAACGACCTTGTTGACACGGATTCCACCTTCGATACGACAGCCCTCTCTACGCTGCTCGTCGAGGTGTTCCGAGTAGTGCTCGCGTGTACATTGCTCAACGTTCTCTCCTCTTCCAAAGGACCAAGAGACGCTCGCATAAGCGTCGCGGACTTCAGCACAGGTGTTGCAACAGCCAGCCTTCTGTGCGTTTGCAGGGGCTGGTGCACCATAGCATTCTCCACAGTAGTCAGGATCCAGGTGGGTGGCAGGGTCATCGTTATGACTGGTGAAAGTCAGTAAGCGTGATCAGAGGGAGGAACTAGGCGATAGCATTACAGGTCAAGTGCCTTGCTCTCAATGGCATGGCCGCCATCAGACTCAGGTGCAAGTCTGACCTTGTTGACTCCATGCATGACGCCAGTCTGGATCTCTCCTGACACATCCATGACGTCGAGCGTGAGGAGCTCGCACGGCACTCTAGGGAACGATATGTTCATGTGAATCTCCATCTTTTCTCCTCTGCCCTTGTCGACGATAAGCTCAGGGTGTACCACGACCCTGCGGTAGTCTGCATATTCTCCCCATACGAGCCACATGATCAGGAGCAGAGACGAGAGAGTGACGATGCCGCCTGAGGTCGTGCGCACCCGTGCATCTTCGACCGTCTTGGTAAAAGCGTCCAGACGCGTGAACCGAGACTTGACTGGCATGGTGATGTTTGGCGGAATTTGGGTCGAGTCGCAAAGACGAGACTAAGGACAGGCGGGAAGGAATGTAGAGGCCGGATCTAGCTCAGCACAGCATCAAAGCAATTCTCAAGCCCGGAGGCTTTGGCGAGGGTCGTTGTAAGGTCGAGTTTGAGTCGAGAAGGCCGAGTTGTGCTTGAAGCCACCTTTCGCTGCCAACGAACATGCTCCCAGACCCTGGAGAGCGCACGTTCCTCTCGGCTCGGCTTTCACCCTCTGGATAGCCGGTAGAATCGACAATTGCTTCACACAAACACAGCCTCGAGCCCTGACTCGTACTGTCCATCACTAGAATGGCGCGTGTGTCTGTTGTACAAAGACTCGGGTCGAGGTTTGGACCGTCATGTCTGTCTTATAACTCAACCTATACCCTTTCAGCCAGTGCCACCACAATATCAACGTCTTACAAATTACCATCATCCCTGTCTTCCGAGCCGACTATGCTAGACTATCAGATACCCAGTTCTAGTGTCATAGCCTTCTCAGTCTCCGGTCCACCTTGCTTCATGTTGCTCTCTCTGGCCTTGACCATGTCTGGTTCGGGCTTAACTCCGTTGCGGAGAGATTCCCCACAATCTGTCAGAGGCTCTTTTCAGCATTCTTTATCCTCAGACCCTGTCTTCAGCTTCCCAAGTGCCGCCCTCGCGGAATGGCAGGTTCTCAAGATCACCCTTGCGCATCGTGAGAACATCTAATCAGCCCCGGGCCGAGCAGAGATCCCTACCTATACATGGACGAATTCGGGCAAACGACGTAAACAAATGAATACAACACTGACGTAAACAGCATCCGTGGCCATCGGATGAACAAAGGACAAGACACAAATTTGGAAGAAAGACAGGTAGGTGGAAATCAAAGAGGAGTGGCATTCTATAGAAATAACTGAATTCTGGGGGCAGACGTCAGAGAACTGGACTATATGCCGTGAGATGCTCCGCTAGCTTGGGCAATTCGCAATGACCCATGTTGAGGCCGTCATGTTCATATCGTTTTGATGATCCGTGTCGTGTGTGTGGTCCGTTTCCTGGGTGCGCTTACTGGCCGTAGCCACCGTCGCCGCCGTTGTTCTGGTAGCCACCCTGCTGGCCGCCGTAGCCGCCCTGGTTGCCGCCGCGCCAGTTGGAGCCGCCGCCACCGTAGCCGCCGCCCTGCTGGGACTCGTAGCCACCACGGCCACCGCCTGGAGAAGAGTCAGTTGAGGTCGCGATGTATGCGTTGATAGAATGAACACATACCGTAGCCGCCCTGCTGCTGGCCGCCGTAACGGTCGCCGCCTCCGTAGCGATCACCACCGCCGTAGCCGCCACCACGACCGCCGCCGTATCCGCCACGGCTCTGGAAGCCACCGCCGCCGCTGCCGCGCTCGGAAGCCTTGTCCACGCGAATGGTGCGACCGTCGAACCTGAAGAGTTTAGTATCTCGTGTCCAATGCGTGGCAGGTAGAAGGCCGAGGTGTGTGCGCATGTCATGTTTGCGCATCGTAAAGAATCTGTCGACGATATTTTTGTGACTCACTCGATCTCGTTCATGGCCTTGATGGCTTCATCAGCCTCACCCTCGTTGGAGAAGCGCACGAAGCCGAAGCCACGGCTGCGTCCGGTGTCACGGTCCTTGACGACAACCTGAGAGTGTCGCATTAGTAATCGTAATTGTAGCTGGACCTTTTTGTGAGCGCATATCTTACAGCTTCCTCAACAGCGCCGAACTCCTCGAACTTTGTGCGCAGAGCGACGTCGTCAGTGTGCCAGGCAAGGCCGCTATTGATACGAGATTAGCACAGGGCCGCTGGCGTGAATTCAGACGACAGTTACCCAATGAAAAGCTTCGACATGATGATTGATGATTTTTTGTGTAAAAAGGTCTGGAGAAGAACAGTTTAGAAGGAGCTTGCAAGGTCTTGGTTGAGGATGACGAAGCGACTCAAGCGAGAGGATTGCGTGCGGGAGGACGTCGGTTGATGAGAAACTCACTGGGTGCTTGGAACTGGGGCGATTGGAAGCGGGGGAGGGGAGGGACACTTGGACTGTAAGCGGAAGAGAGCTTCGTTAATTAGGTGCTGAGCCTCTCAGTCGATGTGAAGTGCAAACGACTTACAAGTGACAAACTGTCGAGTGATTGCAGAGTTTCTGAGGTTTGAGATCACTTCTAGATCCAGCGAACTGAAGGAAAAAAGTGAGGAATGGAAGAGAGGTGACAGGACTGGCGTGAGCACGTGGAATGCCTCCTCTGCAGCCCAAGACCCAAGCTAGATACTGCCGGTAAAGGTTGATTCGTGATCCGCAACAAGATAGCGCGTGCGGGCGTGTTTTTTCTGGGCTGGTGATGGTGGGGTCAAGGATGGCAGCACACGATTGGAGAGAGCTCACGACATGACACGACACGGCTTTGCGAACACAGCGGCTACACCTCAATACTTCTTGCATTCGACACCAATGGGCGGTGACTACACAGCCCCATCACTGCAGTGGGTGGGCCAGGTGCACCCTGAGCTACAAGCTCGCATGCATGAACAGCTGTTGACATGCGGCCGTCCTTGAAGAGAAATCTGATGCACCTCTCGGGGTGTTGAATATTTGTCTAAGCGACAATTGACGAGCATTCTTTCAACACTACTGCTCAGCAGACACGTCAGGAAAGTATCCAGAGTTTGGATTACTATGACATCCTCCCCGTGTGCAAAGGTAAGTGATGCGTGTGGCTATGAAAGCTACATGGTGGTAATGAGTAACAAGATGGTATCCATGAGATGCGATGTCTTGTTCTCTTCCCTTGGTTGCAATGCTCGATTAAGAATAGTGTGCATTTTAATTGTGAGGACATCGCCCTAGATCTCATAGGAGGGACGTATGAGTTACATACAGACTTCGTCGATTGCTTGGTACATGCTTCTCTAGCACCCTTTCTCAATCATGTCTCTTTGTGTTCAACAGATCGACTGCATATGAGACTGCATGTCGCTGCAAACCGGAGCAAGAAATACTGCTCAACAGATCGTAGTAACTGCCTTATTGGAAACGAAGCGTGTGATGTTGTAAGGCACAGCATGCTGGCTCCTGTCTGCGCAACTCTAATACTACTCAACGACAGCGGCTGTCAACAACGATGCATGAATGCTCAAGTGTCATTGAAGGAATTTGGCGGCTCCGCGATGCAGTTGCTTGTCGGTGACGCTCTTTCCTCTGCAACACTTCGCATGGTGTTCAGCCAGCATTAGCATCTGCGGGCAGGCGACTTTTGGTCATCATATTACCATGACCCGAATCTTTACGAAACATGGATATTAACCAATGGATCGAAGATTTAGAGTACGCAAAGCCACCTAGCGAGCTTCCTCTTCCTGATGATCAACCTCATGCGACCCGAAAGCGTACGCGAGGGTCCAGGACAAGCTCTTTGCTAGAACCATTCGCCAATCGCGACAGTCAAGGCCTCAAGGACGAACAACCAGCAATATTCGTGGGTTCGTCAGAGCCTGCGACAAACGATGTCACTTCAACATCCACGTCTTCTCGTTCGTCCTCGCCATCGTTCTCGTCATCAGATAAGAAATACAAAAGGCGGTCACGCCATCATACAAGAGCAGACAAGTACCACCTGCAGTCGAAATCAAAGTTGCAAGCGAAACAGGCGGGAAAGAAGGAGAAGGAGAAGAACCCAAAACACACCCGTCGCAAGAAGCACAAGAGCAATGCAATCACAGGTTTGGTTCAAAGTTTCAAGGCCAAGAATGTTCCACAGACCCGACTCACGGTATTGTCGAGACTATGTCTGCTAGTCATGACAGTTGCTGACACAGACCGACAGCTCGACCCTGCGACAAAGTTTGGGTTGTATACCAAAGGTCGTTCCTCAATTCCCACCAGAGGCAAAGGCCGTAAGATACAAGCACTCTTGTTGGTTTTCCAGTGTTGACTCGAGTAGTACCAGATCTAGTCTTCTCCGAAATGAGATTTCTACAGAAGCCCGAATCCGTAACGAAAGACGAGCCCGATCCGAATCCCAAGAAAAAGTCGCGAAAGAAGAAACCTCGCCAGACATCCGAGGAAGAGATCTCGAGATATTTTGATACTGGCGAAACGCAGCCCCGCAACGAGGAGAGAGACCAGAAGAGACACACACCGCCTCATGAAAAAGCTGCAGCCGAGAAGGATCTCCACACAGTATCTCCTGTGGTATCAGGTCTTCTGGAGAAGCCTTTCCTTGGGTTTAGAAGCAGGGGCACACATCCACCCACTACAAGCTACTACAGCTGGTCGGAGTCTGGACGGGAAAGCTCAGTACGAGCGAAACATTTTGCTACAGATCTTGAGCCGTTAGTAGCGGGCCAACTTCAGAGTAGCCGGGCTCGAAAGCAGGAGAACATTATCCTGCTCAAATCCGATACAGTCCAGGGTAATTCCACAGAGACAGCGGTCACTGAAAGACAAAGCAAGAACCTATGTGTGATATCTGAGCATGCTCGTGGTATCGAACAAGCTAGCCGCCCACCAGCCAAGTCTCGACCCGTCCAACAGACTGACATTGAAGAAGTGCCCATACCTATTTCTAGTAAGCATGAAACATTTGCTCCTGCTGCTACTAGCCTGGCATATCAGAGCGAAGCGAGATCAAACAACACAACAGAAAACCTAAAGGTTCCTGAAGCGGCGCTGAATACACCGCAGAACGACAATGATTATGGTGCCAGATCGGTACAATCGAGGCCTACTAGCAACCATGTCTTCGAACAGCATTCGGAGGCATGGGACCAACTGCTCCAGAGTTGTGAACTCGCAGCTCGTCCTTTGATGCCAACAAATTATGACGAAGGTTTAGCTCGACACGGTGCAATTGCGACTCGGGGTCAGCGTACACCTGTGAGCTATGGTCACGCTGACCTTCGACTTTGGAGGACAGACATTGATGACTTTCCAGAGCATGACTATCTGGACAATACAGCCTTAGTGAGTGAACATGTGGGATGGGCTCAGCCTGAAGCCATTGAACATCAGGAGGACAGTGCTGCACTCTTCGAAGAGACGATAGATGATGACTCCGAGTTTCTGGATTCGGAGAATGGTTACGAGTTTCCTACGGAAGATGGGGTTGAATGGAATGAGGGTGATGCTAAGCAACACGATGCAGTGCCAGGCTACGGGATGCAAGAGGGCGAGGCTATCGATGAGCTTGCGATGTTCTGGCAGCCGAACAGATTATATTGATTGCATATCATGCGAGGGTGGGGAAGGGCCAGTGCTTGGGGGCAAAACAAATTCAGACCGAGGTCAGAAGGCTATTGACCGAGCAGTCAGCATCCCAACAACACCCGAGGACGATAATTATATCAAGACAAGCTGCATGTTTGCATACAGAAGCCAGGCAGCGTGCAGACGTCAATTGACACTGAAATCTAGCCCGACGCAAGCCAGGCCTTCTGTTGGGCGACTGGCAGTTTCCACGCTGGCTCACCGCACCAGCCGCAGGGCTGACCCCACCACGACGGCCAAAGCCGCCGACGCTGCTGTTTTCAAATCTCGCACTGCTCAGGTCGCTCGTCACTTGTCTGCAACGACACGTTCATCACACAACATGTCTTCCCCCAAGTACTCCGTCCGCTCTGTCGCGGCTCCTCACACCCTTGAGCACCGCATCTACATCGAGAAGGATGGCCAGCCCGTCTCTCCCTTCCACGACATCCCCCTCTATGCCAACGAGCAGCAGACCATCCTGAACATGGTTGTTGAGATCCCTCGCTGGACCAACGCCAAGCAGGAGGTAAGCTGCACCGCTCTCCAATGCTCCGTCCTAGCTCTCTGACAATCTCCCAGATCTCCAAGGAGGAGGCTCTCAACCCCATCAAGCAGGACACCAAGAAGGGCAAGCTCCGCTTCGTCCGTAACTGCTTCCCCCACAAGGGCTACCTCTGGAACTACGGTGCCTTCCCCCAGGTATGGTGATCGACTCCGCATGCAATTGACGTACTGGAGCTCTGCTGACGGCCTGTCCAGACCTGGGAGGACCCCAACGTCACCCACCCCGAGACCAAGGCTCAGGGTGACAACGACCCGCTCGACGTCTGCGAGATTGGTGAGCTCGTCGCCAAGCCCGGTGAGGTCAAGCAGGTCAAGGTCCTCGGTGTCATGGCTCTGCTCGACGAGGGCGAGACTGACTGGAAGATCATCGTCATTGACGTCAACGACCCTCTCGCCCCCAAGCTCAACGACATCGAGGATGTCGAGAGACACCTGCCTGGCCTTCTCCGCGCCACCAACGAGTGGTTCCGCATCTACAAAATCCCCGACGGTAAGCCCGAGAACCAGTTCGCCTTCAGCGGCGAGTGCAAGAACAAGAAGTACGCCATGGACGTCGTCAGAGAGTGCGCCGAGGCCTGGGAGAAGCTCATCACTGGCAAGACCAACAAGGGTGACATCAACCTGTAAGTTCTGGGCCGAGTCCAAGAATCGACCAACAAGAGCTGACAAGACGAACAGTGCCAACACCACCGTCTCGCACTCCAACGACCGTACCGATGCTAGCAAGCTCGACATCCCCCAGGGTGACAACAAGGCTCCTGCTCCCATTGACCCCAGCATTGACAAGTGGTTCTTCATTTCCGGTGCTGCCGTTTAAATGGCATGAGTCTACATATGATGGTTTAGATATACAAATCTACAAGCAACGAAAAAGGAATTGCACATATCCTGTATATCTTTGGTCTTTGACTGGCGGAACAAATGACGGCGCGATGTGTTGTATGCAGTGATAGTGATATACATTTGAAGTGACATTGCCAAAGATGCAAGGTCGAGTGGAAAGTCGAATCGAAGTACTACAGTGTGTAGCGTTGATAACCGTAACGCCTCGCTCCTCCCAATGCAAAGTGAAACCGAAAACGTAGGCAACGAGGCGAATCAGCCAGCCAGCTCTTCCTTTCTGCCAAGCATGCGCGAGTGTCGGTCGACTTCGGTCATGATATCCTTGATCTTGAGCGTCTCCAAGTCGAGGTTCATCTCTTTGCCGTCCTCTGTGGTTGCGTGTAAGCAGAGAGCGTGTCAGCGAGGAGTGCAGGAGAGCAGTACTGAACTTGAGAGCCAGGAGAGCGGGCTTGGCAGCATCGGCTCTGGGCAGTTGCTTGATATCGATCTTCATGGTGGTGCGGGCATTTGGCGGGAGGAGGGCGAGGAAGTTGCGGGCTGTCTTGCCAGACTTGGGGTTGAAAGGCGAGAAAGCGGTCGAGACGGAGGTCAAGAAGCGAGTGATCATGTTGGCGATATGTGCGATGCAACAGTAGAGGCGTCTGTGGAAATTGGGCGACTATTGACCTTGTCGCAAAAAAGCCGGAACGGTATGAGAGGCAGGTCTGAGATGGCGGCAACACCCGGCCAAGCAGCCGACGTGGACGTGGGGAAGTCGCGAAGAGTGGGTGGACTGTGGTGGCATGTTTAGCCAGCCCGCCGGCGCATAGCGCATACTTCGTAGCTCATCCTCCACCCATGACGAACCAAAGCGTCCTCGACACCTTGTCGCAACTGTCGGACAATATCAGGTTCACCTTCCAGCTCATCGGCCGTCTCTCCAAACTCTCCTTCCAGCCAGGATCAACGCCGCTTCAAGGAGACGGTGACGTTCGTATCGAGCTTGCACACGACATCCGTGACGCTCTCAAACACCACGACGACACGCTCGACGCCGTCCGCCAGGAACTCGAAGACGTTACTGAGTTCGGCACATATTCCCAACGTCGTCGTGACAGTCTCAAAGACAGAGAGAGGGCTCGTATCGCTGCTCAACTAGCCCGTCTAGACGAGGATCTGAAGCAGTACGTCCACCTCCCCACTTGTGTCCTGTGAATACCCGCCTGATTGTTTGTCTAGCGCTCGAAGCCAGTTCCGTGCCGCCCAGCTCTCATCCAAACGTGCCTCAGAGGCTGCGAAGCAAAAGGAACGCGAGATCCTCTTCTCCTCTATACAGCAAACACTCGAGCCCGACTCAACCTCATCGACTCCTGATCCTTTCGCTTCTCGTCGCCCGCAACCCAAGCAACTTACCCAGGACGAGCTGCTCATCAACACTTCAACCGACGTAACTTCTGCTCTCCGCCGCACACACAATCTACTCACCTCGGAGCTCTCCCGTTCACGCTTTGCCCAAGAGACTCTCGACCAGTCCACTGCAGCTCTCGCTGATCTAGGTGAGCGTTATACCGATCTTGATTCTCTCCTCAGCAACAGTAAAACCCTCCTTGGAACCCTTGTGAGGAGTCAGAAAAGTGACACCTGGTATCTTGAAACTGCCTTCTACATCCTTGTCACTACCATCTGTTGGCTGGTCTTCAGAAGGCTGATCTACGGTCCTGCTTGGTGGTTCCTCTGGCTGCCCTTCAAGTTCTTCTTGCTTAAGCCCGTCTATCTTCTCTTCGCCGTCCTCGGCATCACCGGTGGGTCTTCAGCTACTGCCGCTGTCTCTTCTACTTCGACAAGTGTCTCCATACAACCAACTATACGTATTCAGCCCAGCGCCTCAGGTGATCGACCTACTTTTCGCAAAGGTATGGATCAACGCCCAGCAAACGTCGTGCCAGTCGGTGGCGGTGGTGCGAAGGCCGGTTACAATGGCCAGCCTCAAGACCCCAGTCCTGTTGGCAGCATGTCGCAAAGCATTGGCCAGATGGCAGAAGCCAGTCGTGAACAGGCAGCACCGCAGAACGAGGAACCACAGCAGCCCAAGGAACCTCAGAGAAGAGGAGACGGCACAATCCTCCAAGAAAGAGGTGACATTCCTCGCAATCCCAAGAAGAAGGTCTGGGAAGAAGATGTCGAAGCGGCCAAGCATCAGATGAGGAAGAGAGATGAGCTCTAGCATTTTTACGATTATGAAGTATCCGATTTGCACGGTCAACCCTCCTTTTCTTGCTCAATATGAAAGGGTCGTCCACCGTCTGTGTCATTGTATCCGTCCTCCTATTGTACGACTCGTATCGGGTTCAGTGGAAGGACATCAGGCAGTTCAACATGTTGGAGTAAGGGTGAGACTAAAATGGAGTTTGACGAAATGCGCGACGCTCCGGGAGACTGAGTCGTATTGCCGGAGTTATTGTCGGCGTTAGGCTCTCACAGAATAACTTGACCAATGTTATAGGTGTCGTTCGTCCCAATAGGTGTATTGATGCTTCGATCGATTGACGAGGTTATATTATCTGCACTCAAGTATGCCGGACTCAGGAGTCGTGTCTCGGTTGCTGGCTGGTATGGGCGAAACAAAAGCCTGAGTTAGAAGACCCTGGGACGTTGACATGTGACAGTGACAGCATCGTCCCGTCTTTTGCTTTTGACTTTTTGACATGATTCCTGGGACAGAGCCTCGGAAGCCGTGACACGGGCGGGTGACGAAGTTTGACAAAGAGACTGAATATCATTGGGGCTGTATTCCTCGCGCCAAGGGGGAACAGCGACATTCATCGAGTTGCCTGTAGGCTGTGTCTCTGCGAGGGTTTGGGATGTGAGATGTTATTACACACAGTTTGAAGGCTGGAGGAGCGGGAAGCCTGTCGGAAACAAACGGCGCAAGAAGCAGCATCGGCTCTGATTGGTCAGGACTTTTGCTTATCTCTGGACACTCGACCTGCTATCTCTGGACCTTTTGAGAGCGACTGCGCTATGCCAGGAGTGGCTTTAGGCCCTCATCTATTTGGTAATCTGTTACATAAAACAACGTAGATGTAGGAGAGGGTGCAGCGTTGCAATGGTCTCAACCTTTCACCCGGTCATTGGCATATCAAATGACTGTCGCCGCTTTCAATCATCTTATCCTGCTCGCAATGCTCTGTGGCTCGCTCGAATCCGCCGCTTGATTGATTGATCGATTGATTGATTGTTTGTTCGTACAATTATTCCTCTGGACCCTTACCATCGACCATTCTCAGCCCGCTCGAATCATTCAGCTACTGCCCACTTGGGCCTATCTTACGATAAGCCGTCTACTATAATTGCCATTATCGAACTCGTGCCCCGCGGCCTCTTTCGCATTATCTATCAGTCCCCGCTGCTCAATTGATTGTCCGAGGTCGGGACCTCCGGGTTGGTTCAACAGAGTACGATAGTGATACATCATGGCCGCTGCTGTAGCTATACAACCTCTGGCCCCTCGCTCTGGCCCAATGGCTTTCAACCAACAACAACCAAGGACCAGTAAGGTCATCTTCTTGCCTGACCACGTGCCATCCACTAAATGATTCTTCTTGTAGTTACCAGTTCGCGTGGTCGTAGAGAAAGACCCTGTATGTATATATCTATATTGCTTCGTGCCAAGCTTCGGTACTAACCATTCTACAGGTGACGGTTGCCGTAGACGTAAGAGCAAGTGTGTACTACAAGACTCATTACCTTGCGTTCTGTGTGAATTCCACAAGCAAGACTGCACCTTTGTCGAGGCCGCTCAGCCACGCAAGCGAAAGGTAGACGATTCTGCCCTGTCAAAGGATACACCAAACTCCAAACGGTAATGGTCGCGTGCTTATATCAAATGCTTGTTTCTTACTAACACATGACAGTCCAAAAGACTCCAAAAGTCCAGGCCAAACACCTCCTCCGCAGCAACAACCTGGTGCCCTTGTAAACCGTTTGGAGAAGCCACAGCATGCCCCACAACCCGTACGAGGCGTGGTTCTGGGAGACACTCTAAGTCTACAAAGAGAACAACACTGCAGGCTCATTGGACGTACATCGGCCTTGGACATTTCTCTTCTTGGATTCTCGGACTTTGGTAGCCGCCACGAGACAAACACAGGCTTTGGCAAGATCAGAAGGGTTGCGAACAGTGACTTCTTCAGCATGCATACCGATGCCGCGTTTTCGACATACGAAGACGAGCTACAGACCCTGGTTGCTGTAGAACAAACAGTTGCACCTTATGGACCCTCACTGATCGACTTGTACTTCCGCAATGTACATCCTAGCTTCCCCATCCTCCAAAAACACACCTTTATGGACCGGCATCGATGCGGAGATCGACAATTTCATTCAGGTCTGTTGGCTGGAATGTACTTGCTAGCTCTCCGTTGGTGGAATAAGGATCCTGTGCTCTCTCAACACCCTAAGCCCTCAGTATACCGACTCGAAGAACTCGCGGCACGATCACTCAGCATGGCCATGCAACACCCCAAACTATCTGCTCTGCAAGCTGGATTGTTATTGTTGCAGAGACGACAGTCGACTGATTGGGGATTGACTGTACAGTTGGTCGCTCTGGCACAGGATCTCGGTCTGCACATTGATTGTTCAAACTGGGATATTCCAGTATGGGAACGCAGACTGCGCAAGAGATTGGCATGGGCACTCTACATGCAGGACAAATGGACCGCTCTGGTACATGGCCGACCATCTCACATCCAAGCTGCGGACTGGGCTGTGTCCACTCTTTCCCTAGACGACTTTAACGAAGAGTTCGAGAACGCCGACCAACAGATGATTGCAGATGATGAGAATGAGGAGGAAGAAAAGAGCAGAGTGATTTTCATCCAGATGATCGAATTGACGAGTATTATGGCCGAGGTCATTGATGTCTTCTACACACAAAGGGCCAATGCAGAATTTGAGGCAGGCGGCCGTAATGCAACACGGTTGATCTTGGAGCGCGCAAAGCCGGTCCAACTCAAGTTGAAGGAGTGGTTCTCAAGGCTGCCCGCGGTTGCCAGAATGGATGCGTACACACCGGGGAAACTATCTTCAAATGGTGAGCGACAGAATTCGACTCGAACATGACGGCACACGGCTAACAGCTGAAACAGGCTACCTGCATCTTGCATACTTTGCAACCGAGATTTCGATTCACCGACGCATTGTGCAGTCGCTGCAACCCTCGGCGACGGACCCATATGTCTTGTACATCTGTCGATCAGCGGCAAAGACCAGATTAATCTCAGCCATGGACTTTGTCAACCGTCTCAAGCCAGAACACCTCGACTCGTTCTGGTACTTTGCATCGGCTACAAATTTCGCCTTGATCAACACATTCGGCAACTTGCTGCGAGCGACGGCGCCAGGGGAAGAAGAAGCAGGATTCTATTCGTGCCGCCTCAAGGAATACAGATGGGCATTGGGAGCCAGCTGCCGAAGAGCAGAGTGGCTTGAAGGAGCTGTCAGGATGCTTGATGCGACAGACAACTTGGTCGATGGCTTGGCCAGCCAACCACGAAACGTTCGACAGACCATCCACGAGGAGATGGAAGATGAGACAGAAGGAGATTACTGATGTTGGGAGCATTGGGAGGATTGACGAAATTTTGCAGCATTTTTTACGATACCCTTTTGATGATTGGATCAGACTAGAAGAGAAGAAGGAACGATAGAGGGATACCCGGGCATAGACAGTCAGGATGATAATGAACACTTTTTACATCAAACCACCTCCCCATGTGCTGAATTTTGTCACTACCATCTGCTCTCATTCCAATGACAAGGCCGAGTTGGAGCGATCATAATGCATAGTTGTATCCAGACGATAGCGACAGCCACTGAGAGCCCCTGTGCGAGGAAGGTGCAAGTGAATGACGACCTTGATGGCATGCCCCGAAATGGAACAGAGTGGCTTGGCGACACGTCCGGCCCGCAACGCGTCATCCTGCGGTAGACGGAGAAGTTGCGACCAAGCGCGATCGTTGTCGGACTTGAGTTGTGCCAGATGGAGGACAATGGTCACCCTCAGCAGGAATACACCGCGGTTACTGAGCAAAGTCAAAGGAGTACCGTATGCTACATCCGACGACCACGAGCCAGACGACAAGCGCGCGCCCGACTCGGACAGCGACGACAGCGATGATGATAACGACACATCAAATCTCGGACGTCTCCTTGCCAACAAACCAAATCGACTGCGTCCACCAAGAACGAATATAGGCAAACCTGTTGTCCCGGCGAAGAGAGGTGCTGAGCCCGAAGAACCCCTGGACAACCCATCTTTCACATCCTCCTCGTCTCAGTCAAAACGTCCTACCAAGACATTCAGCAAGAAGCCATCTTTTACCGCAAGGAGCAGGATTGCACAGCAGCACGAGACGCCAGGTTGGATGCATTGCCCTTTCCTAGTCTATCCTCTTGTCTGACCCTTGACAGCCACTTCCTTCCGAGATACTCCAGCCGTCCAGTCCAAGCCCGAACCCCCTAAGAAGAGAGCTGTCTTTCGAACTCACGGCCTGACCGAGCCCCTCTCGTCGCAACAAGATGCTACATCAGCATCCTCCGCTTCCACCTTCCGCCGGCCTGCAAATGCCGCTACAGATCGCACCGACATCTCTGCCCAATCCGAACCAATAACCCTCGAATCGTCACAACTCTCCCCGCCGCCTTCGTCACCTATGTCTAGTGTATGCGATTTCGATCTCGAAGAGCCTATCGAGGACCTTGACAAACGCCCTCGCTGTCCCATCTGTGCTGAGAGGATCGAACAAGAGTTCTGGGACAAGTTCCAAGATGAGATCAATTACAGGCGTATGAATCTTCGTCTTCAAGAAAAGTTCTGTCAGGCACACAAATCTCGTACCGCAGACGACGTTTGGCTGGACAGAGGTTATCCCAAGATCGACTGGTCTGCCCTGAGATCTCGACTCGACGCACATCAAGATCATATCCACGCCGTTCTGGACGGCGACTATGAAAGTCCCTACTACAAGCAGCATGCTAAAGTCGTCACCGATATAAAGAATCGTTCCAACACTGCAGCTGTTGCATCAGGACGTTTTACTGGCTTGCGTGCCGGCTACTACGGAACAAAAGGCGAGAAGATCATGTATGTATCAGAAACCATCATCACTCCCCCGTCTAAACCTAACGCAAATCAGGGCCGAAAACATCATCCAGACATTTTCAGACAAACTTCGATCTCTGTCCAGGACCGACCCACTCATGGCTTCCGGTGGTGCATCCGGTGGCGTGTCGGGCTATGTGCACGCTATCCTAGTACCAGAGATGGCCCTTGGCCTAATCATGGAGGACATGAACTGCGACAGAGACAAGGCCCAAGTCATCCTGGCCGACAGCGCAGATATAGGCGAGCTATTCAACGCAGAAGAAGACGAAAAAGTCCCACAAGTCGAGATCGATTTGCTGGAAACGAGCAGAGTCAACGATGATAGCGAGATCATCTACGCGACGCAAAAGCCTCGAAAACAGTTTCGAAAGGCCTAGACTGATGATCAGATGGCTTCAGGTGTGCTCTTTACTCTTTTTTGCACTTTCCTTGTAGCATACATACTACACAGCACGACATCATGACCGATACCTTTCTTGAGCGAGAAAAATGGAATATGCATAGCGGTTCTTTTCATTGTACATATCCTATGAACATATGCTTGGTTCACTTTTTGTCTTTTCAACATTCTTCAAGTTGATTAGCTATAGAGATGTACAGAGCTCTTGTGTGTGAGGCGATCCTCCATCTCGTGTGCTCTCTCCAGACATCATGTCTATCTGGAACCCATATGGCCATGCATTCTTGCAGATAGACAATGGGCTTACGAGGGCATTGAGACATCATCACCAACGATAGACACCGATGTACGGTAGGTACACACGACATAAAAATTCAACAGCCATAATGTATTCATCCATTTTGCGATCTTCCATGACTAGCATTCATTCAACCACAAAGCCTTACGTCCAGAAACACATCTATCCATCGAGCTTCAACTTCTCAAACTGCGCAATACTCTCCTCGTAATTCTTCTGCTCGGCCATCAAGTCATTGAGCTTGACCTTCTCGGCCTCAAGCACAGAATGCGAAACCTTCTCAGCGAAACCCTCTGCATCGAGAATCTTACGCTGCTTGGTAGCGCCCTCGGCAGCCTTGCGGAGCTTCTGCTGAGCGCGAGTGATTTCGGCATCGATGTCGACACGGCCGGCGACTTCGAGGAAGACGGCGGCGGATGAGGAAACGGCGAAGACGGCGCAGCCGGTGGGTGTGGCGTCCTTGGGTCCGATGATGCTGAGGTTGGTGAGGGCCTTGCCAGACAGAGATCTGATGGAGGCTTGCTCGTCAGCAGCGGTCTTGAAGGTCTTGTCGTCGTAGCATTGGACGATGGCCTTGGCGTCTTCCTTGATCAGGTACTCGGACATCAAGCTGCGGACGCCCTTGGAGCAGCCAAGAATGACCTCGTAGGCGGCTTCGCTCTCAAAGTCCTCGAGCGAGGCGTCGTGCTCTGGGTAGGCGGCAACGACGATACTCTTGGTCTTGTCTTCGGGGCGGCGGGGAAGGCGCTGCCACAGCTCTTCGGTCAAGAAGGGCATGAAGGGGTGGATCAGGCACAGGGCGCCCTCGAGGACGGTGTAGAGGGTGTCGACGGCACTGCGCTTCTCCTCCTCGGTACCGTCGCGGATGATGGCCTTGCTGTTCTCGATGTAGACGTCGCACAGGTTCTCGTACCAGTACTGGTAGGCGAGCGAGGTTGAACGCGAGAACTCGCGAGCGTTGAGGGCGTCGTTAATGTCCTTGGCAGCGGTGGTGAACTTGTGCAGAATCCAGCGTTCGGGCAATGATTCCTTGCCGGTCTTGCCACCCTGTGCTTGAGGAACAAAGTCCTCGGGCAGGTTTCCAAGAACGTACTTGGTGGCCTGGTAGATCTTGTTGCAGAAGCGACGGTAACCTGCCATGACCTTGACATCGAAGGCAATGTCACCGCCACCAGTGGTGTACTGGATGAGAGAGAAACGGAGAGCGTCAGCACCGCACTCGGGGATACCTTGAGGGAACGAGTCCTTCTGGTACTTTGTGGCATTCTTGACCTCCTTGGGGTCGAGGTTACCTTGAAGCAACTTGTCGTGGAGCTCCTGAAGAGTGATGCCCTCCATGATATCGACGGGGTCGATGACATTGCCGAGGGACTTGGACATCTTTCTACCATCCGAATCGCGGATAAGAGAGTGGCAGTAAACCTCAGTGAAAGGAACCTTGCCGGTGAGCTTGAGACCGAACATGATCATTCTGGCGACCCAGAAGAACAGAATATCCCATCCAGTCTCCAGAACGGATGTGGGGTACAGCTTCTCGAAGTCGGGTGTCTGGTTGGGCCAGCCCAGGGTAGAGAAAGGCCAGAGACCAGATGAGAACCAGGTGTCGAGACAGTCGGGGTCGCGGACAAGCTCGTACTTCTTGCCAGGGAACTTCTTCTCGGCTTTCTGTTTAGCCTCCTCCTCGCTTCTACCGCAGACCCAGTAGTCATCAGTGGTCTCGTCGTTGTCCTGGCCCTCAAGCTTGACAAAGTAAGCAGGAATTTGATGACCCCACCAGAGCTGACGTGACAAGCACCAGTCGTTGATGTTGCGCATCCAATGATAGTAGTTGCGCTCAGCACCTTCGGGACGGATCTTGATGTCACCGTTCTGAACAGCATCGATACTAGCGTCTGCAAGCTCGCGCATCTTCATCCACCACTGAGGCTTCATCAAGGGCTCGATGACGTCCTTGGACTTGGAACACAAAGGAACCTTCATGGGGTTGTCCTCCTTCTTGACGAAAAGACCAAGCTTGGTAAGCTCCTCAACGACAGTGTAGCGGGTATCGAAGCGCTTCTGTCCCTCGAACTGTCCAGCGTTGCCGTTCATGGTACCGTCATCGTTCAAGACGGTAATGAATTCAAGCTTGTGCTTGGTGCCGAGGTTGAAATCGTTAGGGTCGTGAGCAGGGGTGATCTTGACGGCACCAGTACCGAATTCGGGGTCAACGTATTCATCGGCAAAGATGGGGAGAAGGCGGTCAACGAAAGGATGCTTGGCCTTCTTGCCGACCAAGTGCGTGTAGCGATCATCTGTAGGGTGGACAGCGATACCAGTGTCACCGAGCATGGTCTCGGGACGAGTGGTAGCAACCTCGATCATCTCGTCGGTGCCCTCGATAGCGTACTTGAAGTGGGTGATGACACCGAACTCAACCTTGCGTTCGTAGCCAGGAACGTCCAGCAGGGTACGACCTGTAAGCTCCTTGTTGTCGACCTCGAGGTTGGAGAGAGCAGTGTTCAGCTGCGAACACCAGTTGACGAGTCTTCCTGAGCGGTAGATGTAGCCCTCCTCGTGCATTCTGACAAAAGTCTCCGTGACAGCAGCCGACAAGTTTGCGTCCATTGTGAAAGCTTCACGAGTCCAGTCGAACGAACCGCCCATTCTCTTGAGGACGTCGTTGATCTTCTTGTGGTACTCCTCCTTCCACTCCCAGACGGTGTCGACGAACTTCTCACGTCCAAGATCCTACAGCAGGGCCACGATTAGCTTGATCTCGCGAAGCCTAGAGTGATGACTTACGTGTCTGGTCTTCTGCTGCTTGCGCCAGAGCATCTTCTCGACAACGCTCTGGGTTGAGATACCGGCGTGGTCGCATCCCGGCAAGTATAGTGTGGTGTAACCTCTCATTCTGTTCCAGCGAATCAGGGTGTCCTGGAGAGATGTGGCAAGGGCGTGACCGCAGTGCAGAGCACCGGTAACGTTCGGTGGAGGCTCAGAGATAACGAAGTAACCGCGGGGCTTGACGTTTCCATCGGCGCCAAACTCAGGCTCGTGGAAGCCCTCCTTCTCCCACCAGTCGTACCATGCTGACTCGACAACCGAGGGAATGTAGGCCTTGTGGTATTCGTCGTCCAAAGGCTTGAGAACTGTACTCTGTCAGTAGCTGTTGGCCAGCACCTTGATGTGCAATCCTTACTCTTCTTCTCTCCCTTGGGCGTCTCTTCGACGTACTTGGGCAGAGCCTCCTCCTTGACCTTGGGCTTCTTCTCCTTGACCTTTCCAGCAGGGGCAGCAGCAGTTTGCTTTGCCTGCTTCTCGGCGAACTTGCGTGCCTTCTCAGCCTTGGCTCGTTCCTTCGCAACTAGGTTGTGTCAGATGGCCAGGTTCCCTGATCTCTCGATTTTGACTGCGTACGCTCTTTCTCGGTCTTCTGCTTCTTGGGTGCGTTGGCGTCACCACCATCTTGACCGGGGGCATTCTGGCCTTGGGGATCCTTCTCGGCGGATGAGATGAGGGCCTCGGTGGTCTCGGCGGACAGTGCTGGTGGCTGGCCACTCACGGGGCCGGTCGTCTCGCCCGCTACGGTGCTGGATTAGTCGGCGGGGTCTCATGCGCGAGCAAGAAAAGAAGCTCACGAATGTTGTGGGATGCTGCATTGAGAGCCATGTTTGCGAATGGTCTTGTGCGATTGAAGAAAACAGGCCGTACGACCGAAGCGCTCCTGAATAGCGCCCTCGAAAGTATCTTGATGGTCTGAGTCCAGCAGGGTGCGATTGCAACACGGCGGCGGATGGTATATAAAAACGCTCGTTTCACTGAGCAGCTGCCTTCCCCACACTTTTTGCTCACTGAGTGTGAAGGCATTGACTCATTGCCAAGATTGCGCTATGCGCCTGCGACCCTGTCTGCCTAACGATTGAGTCACATTCACAATAGTGTATGGTTGGTCGTCGGGCAAGAGGACATTAAACTGAACTTCATGGGATATCTACAGCCCTTGGGCCTCTTTTTGACCCGTGCTGTCCGTTCGTACGGCAGCGATAATAACGATAGAAAGAAAAACCCATCCTCCTGCGCCCATCTTTGCCCGCCCTATCGCTATGCCAATTCCCCGCGCCGGTCCATCACTCCTCTAACCCTGAATTGCAACCGGCTGGTTGGCATGCGGGACTTGCTTATATGCAGTTGATTCATCCCCGAAGAACGATCGTAGTGCTTCCCATCAGATTAAAGATGCAAGTTGGGAATGCTTGGGTTTGCTGGCCTTCTGGCTCAAGCAGCCGCATGTCTCATCATCAAGCATGTCCAGTACCCGAGTTCTGTTGCGCAGCGGCTTGCTGCTTGACGGGGTTAAAGTAAGCGTGACCCATAGCTTCTTTGGCGGTCAATCGTTCCTAAGCACTGTCAGTTGCTGCCTTCTTTGCTGTGCCTTGTGCACTTGCCTGATGATCATATTTAAGGAGGTTATCGAGGAAGTCAATCGCATCATTGCTGACAAAGCGTTGGTTATCTGCGTTGACAAAGCTGTGCCAGTTCTTCTTCGGGAATCTGCCCAGAATGTCGTCGTACTGCGCGTCAAGCTCAATGTCGTACTTGTCCAGGTAGTCAAACAGATCTTCGGTACCCAGAACCTTTGCGATCTTAACGAGCTGATCAGAATTGCTGTTGCCGTGGAAGAAAGGCTCTTTGCGGAAGATCATCGAAGCAAACATGGCACCTAGGGACCACATATCGAGCGAGTAGTCGTACTCCTGGTAATCGACCAAGAGCTCAGGACCCTTGAAGTAACGCGAAGCGACGCGGACGTTGTACTCTGTTCCGGCATGGTAGAACTCAGCGAGACCCCAGTCAATCAGGCGCAGCTTTCTCTTCTCGTGATCGATCATGACATTGTGAGGCTTGACGTCGCGGTGCATGATGCCCTTGCTGTGGCAGAAGTCGAGAGCCTGGCACCATGATTAGTTGGTGAAGTAGCGATCATCGGGGATGTGTCAATCACCTTGAGCAGCTCAAAGATGTAGTATCTGACATCGATATCGGCGAACTTCGGATAGAGGCTTCGGAAGTCGGTGTTGTTGACGTACTCGAAGATGAGGGAAGGAGTCTTACTCTGCAGAGATAGCATTAGAAGAGAGCAGGTTGAGAGAGAGGGACAAACCGACCTGGCTATCGCGCACAACATCGAGCAGACCAACAATGTTGGGTCCTCCACTCAGGTTCTGCAGGATCTTGATCTCACGCTTGATCTTCTTCTTCTTGACAGGCTTGAGGACCTTGATGACGCATTTTTGGTAGTTGACGACGTTGATACCCTCGAAGACCTCCGAGTACTTTCCGCGGCCTGACCAGCAAGGTTAGCTTCTAGTCTAGCAGCAAGCAGACAGGCAGGCAGGCGCACCAATCTTGCGAACGACTTCATAGTTTTCCAGAACACCCCAGGAGATGTTGACGCTGTCGTAGTCCCAGTATGCACGAGGCATGTGCTGGTTTACGTCGGCGTAGACGCGAGCCATGCTGGGCAGCAATGGCCGTTGGCTGATGTGGCAGGCGCGCGAGGTGGACAAGAGCAGTGCGCAAAGCAGCAAGAGGTGGACGTGGTTGCGCAGACGACGATGGCCTTTGGTATACGAGGGGTAAAATGTGGATGTTGCGGTGATCGAGGTGGAGCACAGCAAAGCCGCTGCTGCATCAAATAGCATGGCGCAACTCTGCAGAGTCGCGGTCACTTGCAAAAGCCCTGGGTTCCTGCCTGACTCGCGTGCCAAAACCGACAGATCAACTTGACCTTCACTGACTGTACTCACATGGAGAAGCTGTACTATCGAAAGAGTGACCACCTTAGCTGAATATTTACCCTTTCGCTTGGTGTAAATTCAGTTGAGTTAGCTGCAAAAGGCCTCGTTCTTGCTACAGACGGATACCGTAACGAGTCATGAATTCTCGAGAGTCAACTTTCACATGTAATATTCATAGCCCGCATCCTTGATTGAACAAGACTGTAATTCTGTTGTTGAAACACTAACTGTTTCTTTCCCTGTGACATTTCTACATAGACGCCTACCCAATGCATATTGTCCTGATGATCATGTTCCATGCACGCCGCTATGCCCTTGGCTGGGGCTTCCTCGACCATCGTTTGCATCGTCCCGATATGTTTGCTCATCTTCGTGACCCTGCTCTTCATCGTCTCCAACACTGAACACGTCTTCTTCGTCGCTGTCCTCTGCGAATGCATCATAGAGTTCACCTGCCCTACGCTTGCCCTTGGCCTTGGCACTCATGCCATTGGCGCCGTTGCCTCTTGTTCCTTCGTCGTCGATATCCTCCTCGTTGAGCATTTCGAATTCATACTCATCGCGCGCGTTGCGTTGTCGCCGTCGCTTAGTGAGGACGTACCAAATCGTGAGTGACGTGCAGAATACGGCAATCAGTGCCAGCGCTCCATAGATCCAGACCTGGGTGCGCTTCGACGCACCAAAAGTGGGGAATGGTGATGGCAGGAAGTTGGACTCCGGCTTCTCACTGACTTCATCCTCTTCCGCGTCAGGCTTGGCCGTTGGCTCTGCGGTCATCTCTGATGTCGGTTCTCCAATCGTCGCTGACGTTGGTTCTGCTGTGGTAGTCGTAGTGACTGATACCTTGGTGTTGACCGGGCGATCAATATGGTCGCTAGGGTTGCCTTGAGGCTCACCCGTCACTACAGGATGATCGACACTCGTGGTAGTTCCGCCAACACTGGTGGTCTCAATATCATGGTTGTCATCGTCGTGCTCATCAGGTAGAGGCAGTAGCCCCTGTTTGGCTCCATCGATAGACTCGCCAAAGAGCTTCAAGTGCCAATCGATGAATTTGCCAGTGTGGCCGTTCTTGGTCGAATCCTTGACGATCACAGTCCACTTTCCTACTCCACTCTCACCCCAGTGGGCAACCGACATGAAGGTCCAGTCATCATATCCAGCATTTGCTTCGTCCCTGCGACGAGAAGTCGCAATGTGCGAGATAATTCCCTCAGGCGAGCGCAGCTCGACGCTCAGGTCGCCACGGCGCGTGTGTTCCACGTTCATAGTCACTGTGACATGCTCGATACGTTCCAGATTGGCGCCTTTCAGCATCTCTTCGGTGATCTCAAAGCTGGAAGCTATTCCTTTTTCGCCTTCAGGAATAGCGTGTCTGACATGCATCCACGGTGAGAAGAACCATGCTTGAGGCTTAACGTTAGTCCAGTTCCTGGCAGCCTCTACGATAGCATAAGCGTCGATCTTGCCGTAGCCAGAAGCATGGCTGAAGCGGCGTCCAAGAGGGGTATCCTGCCAATCGTCTTCGGGTTGATCGATAGGGATAGCAGTGAGGACGGTGAGCCATTGGATGTCACGCCAAGTGAGGTCAGGTCGCACTTCCAGCACCAGGGCATATATACCCGCAACCAGTGGGCCAGCGGCTGATGTGCCTCCGTGACTGACATAGCACTGGTTTGCTCCAACATCTGTAGTGTGGATAGCATCACCAGATCCGGAGCTATAAGTCACAACGAGCTGCGCCGAGCACTTCTCACTGTAGTAAGGATGCAGGCCTTTGCGGTCAATACCCCCGACAGACACACTGTAGATGCTGTTGGTATAGCCATCGAAGTTGCAATTGTCGTCATTAGCTGCACCATTACCGATGGCAAAGACGAAGATACTACCGAGATTTTGGCGACCTTGTTGGACACCAGCGACCATAGCTCTTTTGATGATGATTCCCGGTGCTTCCATGCTTTGGCCGTCGTCCGGAGGGCCCCACGAACAAGAGTAGATCTGATTCTCCTGGTACGCGAAGTTCAGGGCAAGAGCTTCGTCCAGTTCGGTCAGAGCGCCTGAGAGGATACGAACACCTGCGACTTTGGAGTCGTATGCGACACCTACACCACAGACGTCGTTCCTCACGGCAGCAACTTCACCCGCGCAACGAGTTCCATGATGATCATCCGACAGTCTCGGTTTTGGTTCGGGGACATGGTCGTTGAAGTCATGGGAGCCAGCGGCAAAGTAGTTGTCGCGCAAGTCTTCGCTGTCCATATCCAAGCCATCGTCTACGATGCAGACGGTCGAATTCTTTCCAGTGATACCCTGGAGCCACACTCCAGTGACGTTGATGTCGTGTCCAATCTGATTAGGATTATACAAGTGCCACTGGTCCATGTATATAGGGTCCTCGATATCCAAGCTCTTTGCAATATCCAGGCCTTTTTGAACTTGGGAGTCAGCCAGCTGCTTGTCGGCACGCAAAGCTAGTGCAGCAGAAAGCGGCGGTGGTGCACGCTTGAACAGACGCTGGCGACGCTCCTGCTTCTTGTTGAGCAGAACTGTATCCAGAACATGTCGGCGATCCCATCCAGTCTGTCTCTTCCTCCTTAGACGCTTCAAGTCCTGCTTGGCTTCATGTATGACATCGTGTGAGGCCTTTGGTGCCTTGAAGACGTAGTGGTCCTTGAGGGATTCAATAGCACTGTCTGAATGGACACCAAGGTGGGCTGCGACGGTATCGGGAGATGCATCTGGCGAGAGATGGACGGCATAATAATCATAATTGTCGTAGTCGGGTTTGGTTAGGGCGAGAGTGGACGCGGCCAGCGGCAGGAGGAGCAACAGTGGCAAGCGCATGATCGAGTCGAGAGTTTGCAAATTCAGTCGAATCTCGCTAGATGCATGATGGTTGAGACAGGAAAAATATGGCGAACAAAGGACGGAAAGGGGGCTCAATACACGCCGTCCTTGTGCGGTGCTGGCGCATTGTCAGCTGTGAGGCAGCGGACTTTAGCACGGGCGAGAGCTGCTCAAAGAAGCCACTTGGCACGCTGCCTCAACGGCCTTGAGCCCTATACCAGGTCCCCGAGGATTTTGATTGACCCTGATTACTCAAGTACTATACTACTGTACACGGTGCTATCGTAATACACTCCTCTCTTGACCGTCTCGCATGCGATTCGCTGCACTCGTCGTGGCGCCTTTTCCCAAGCCCGCCCCGTGCTCCCCGAACACCAGCCACCGAGCTGCAAACGCTTCCTCTTGTGCCATGAATCCATGATATCGTCTCTGCAAATCATCAACTTTCATCTATTTCCCGCCCTGTCTTCCTCGAGCCACTTGTATATAGCCCAACGCATACCACCACCTTTCTTCGATCAGCGCCTACCCTTTCACCATCCCTGTGACTTGTCCATCTTCCTCTAACCAATTGTCGACATGTCAAAGAACTGCTGATATATCTGTCCAGAACATCCATTCTCGGCTGACTATGGACAACCGACGGAACAGTGGCTCCTATGCCAGACTAGCCGATTATTTTACTCATAACGATTCTCAACCAACTGTCCATGTCCCCAAAACCCGCAGGTCGGACGTTCACCACGGACCGAACCATCGAGAGCCACTTCCACAGCTCGATACTCAAGGCGCTACCTCATACAGAAACTCTGCTTTCGACAGGTCCCCAATCTCGCCTGAAAATGCAAGCCGTCATCGTTCCAAACACGGTACCGTCTCTGACCGGTCTCCCCTCCAAAAATTGGAAGGAAAACTCGACGACATAAGCAAAGAAGAGAAGCGAGCTCGCATCGAGAACGCCGAGCAGCGAGCCCATCAGAAGTCATCAGCGAATCAATCTCGAAGAGTCGATGCTGGCCACCGCCAACCTCTGTCTCACCGCCAAGACTCAGGTTACCGTCGCCACGAACGAAGATATTCGTCTGCGCCAACCTCAGGCCCCGAACATAACGATAACATGCAGCAAGCGCGATCGTCGCTGGACTATGGAGGGAGACCGTCTGATGCCACCGAGGCAAACGAGTTGAAAGCTAGCCAACGATTCAGGCGCGCCTCTGACGCCTTGAGGACACAAGGTCAAGCACAAACCGCAGGTGAAACCCGCAGCTACTCCGACTACCCAAGTAATACTGGAGAGCAAACACGACCCGAGAGATCGAGTTCAAAGAACTACCGCCATCGGGCTCGTGATGCTGGCTTCGTTGGGGCCGCTGCCGCCGCCGCCATGCCGTCTCATGACCCTCATGCATCTAAAGGTACTGGTAGCCAGGAACGTGGTCGTCGATCTTCGGATCACTGTGATGAGATGCGCCTGGCCAGCCGTGACAATAACTACAGTGCTAGTCAGTATACCAGCTCCCAAGGACAGCATGCAGGCCACCAAGGTTCATCACATGTTCCTAGCGCCCAACAATCGCTGCACACTTCTCGTACAGGGGCAAACGGAGGCTTGAAAGCTGCTCTTCAGCACCAAGATCCAGATCCCGTCCCAGCTAGGTCTGTCAGAACAGGCCACAAACATGGACCTGCCTATAGCGTCCCCCCTCAAACTGCCGGTGGACAAGACGCAAGGAATCACGTAGGCTTCTCCGACGTCCAGCCCATAGCTCCGCTTAAGGACGACAAATCTGCAATACGGCATCAGCATCACGGTGCCAGCAATCTTTTCCATCGGAACCAGCATGAGGACGGCGTCTATCGGAAAAGACCCGAGCTTCAGGAATGGCGTCAGGCTGGTGTTGCAAAGTTGTCCGCCGATGACCATGATCTGCAAGACTCAACTCAAGCGAGCGCTAGCAAGAACGGTCATTGGTGGGATGGTAGAGGGACACGACACAGCAATTCCGTCAACAATAGCTCAGGGACCCTTGATGGAACCTACGACGAGCCAGCAAAGACTTTTCTTCCTCCACTGTTCCTCAAATGTGGTCCATTGTTACGTTATACCGGCATGCGCAGGGAGAAACTATCGCACAAAGGCCATACTGGCCATACCGAAAAAGAGATATGGAGAGGCTCCGTGATGATCGTGACTCAGGATGAGCACTCTTCATACGAGGAGATCCCAACACTTCGACTGTTCGCGCAGTCCATGGAAATGTTGCCGCCATTGTCAGCGGAAATGCAGCAAGATCCACCATCAGAATATCTCGATCCAGTCGCCGGTCAGATGAAGATCTCTCGAACTGGACAACCACTCTTCGTGAGACCTGTGACCTATCTCGAAGACGGTGTGGACATCTCTCGTGTCGAAAACGAATCTGGTTTGTTTGAGCTGACCGGGGCTTCCAATCGGGAGCCTCAGCAAACACAAAGGCCCATGGCTCAAGAAGACCAATCCGGCAACCCGCACAACAGACCTCGGATCCGAGCTCGTGACGGCGAGAAAGCTGGCAAGTATCGTGAAGTCAAGGCAGTTCGTTTGCATAGAGAACGTGGCGTCACTTTTTGGCGATTCAATCTGGAGATTGAACTTGGGTTGAGACAAGCGCGAGTCGCGTATCGAATCAACAGAGGTCCAGCGATCGGCTTCTGGGTTCCCGGAAGAGGTCAAAGCATGAACATCATGTTCCATTCTTGTAATGGGTTCAGCCTGTCCGTAAACTCGAACGAGTTCACCGGACCAGATCCTCTCTGGCGAGATGTTCTGAATAAACACCTATCAAGACCGTTTCATGTCATGCTTGGTGGCGGAGATCAGATCTACAACGATGCTGCCATGCGTGATACAACATACTTCAAAGAGTGGTTGCAGACCAAGAATCCGGAGCATAAGCACAGAGCGGACTTCACAGAGGAAATGCAAGACGAGCTTGAGTCGTTCTACCTTGATAGATATAGTATGTGGTTCTCCCAAGGGTTGTTTGGTATGGCCAACAGTCAAATTCCGATGGTCAATATCTGGGACGATCATGACATTATTGACGTAAGTTCCGTAAGTTCCGTAATGCATGTATGGTGCCTGTGCTGACTTTTCTTCAGGGCTATGGATCTTATCCGCATCATTTTATGAGTACCAGAGTATTTACCGGCTTAGGTGCGGTTGCATTCAAGTACTACATGCTTTTCCAGCACCAGAGCGTAGTGTCCGAGACCCAACGAGATGAGCCATCATGGGTGCTGGGCGCCTCTCCTGGACCATACATCAACGAGCTCAGTCGCAGCGTTTTCATGTTCCTTGGCCGAAAAGTTGCACTGCTAGGTCTGGACTGCCGAACGGAAAGAATGAGAGATGAGGTCTTAAGCCAGCAAAGCTACGACATTGTGTTCGACCGTTGTCGATCGCAAATCATCAAAGGAGAAACCAAGCACCTTATCGTCTTGCTTGGTGTTCCAATCGCATATCCGAGACTTAACTTTCTGGAGAATATACTGACATCGCGAGTCATGGACCCCATTAAGGCTATTGGTCGGACAGGTCTCTTGGGTGGCTTCGTCAACAAATTCGACGGCGGAGTCGAGATTCTGGATGATCTGGATGACCATTGGACGGCAAAGCATCACAAGCCGGAAAGAAATTGGTTCATACAAGAGCTGCAAGAGCTTGCAGCCAGCAAATCTGTGCGCATCACCATCCTGGGAGGCGATGTACATCTTGGTGCAGTAGGACAGTTCTACACGAAGAAGAAGCTGGGTGTCGCTAAGGATAGAGACCATCGATACATGCCCAACGTTGTCTCTTCTGCCATCGTCAACACACCTCCACCAAACATCATGGGCGATGTGCTTAACAAGCGGAACAAAGTCCACCATCTGGATGCTGAGACAGATGAGGACATGATTCCGATGTTCGAGCAGGACGTCAATGGCAAAGCTCGAAACAATCTTCATCTCCTTCCCAGAAGGAACTACTGCAGCATTAGAGAGTACATCCCAGGCTCTACTCCACCTCCCTCTCCAAGCCCGGAACAGCCAGATTGCCGACAATACCCTCCTGGTGCAATGGCACGATCTACGTCCACCAATCGCGCAGGATTTCGTCCGGGAAATCTAGTGCGTAGACTCTCGAGTGCGTCAACGAAAGAACATCAGCCTGTGATGACAAGAGGTGAAGTACATTCCATGGAGGCATTCGGACCAGATGAGACGCGAGATGGCGCTTTGCATGGAGGAAATGATGACGGCGGATCTTACTTTCCACAAACACAATCTCGCCCGACCAACCATTTCCACAGGAGACCTACAAACTTCTCCGAGAAGGAGGCACTCAAAGCAAGTGCCAAAGGTGGACCGGATGGCGAACAATTCGGACATATCAACCTCGAAAGTGGATTGGACATCAGTCTCCATATGGAGATCGACCAGAAAGATCCTGCAGGACTTACCAAGCCATACAGATTATTGGTGCCTGCTTTGTGGTATGAAGGAGCTGCCGACATAAACACAGCTAGGTTCAAATCAAGAGGTGCCTCGATGATGGACCGCCTGAGGGGCAAGTCAGTTCATAGGTCGCCCAGCTTTGATGGTCACTCCTCCCAGAACGACAATGACCGAAGTAGCTCAGAAAGTCTCGATGAACGACTACCAGGCAGATTGGATGATAGAGCCCTCAACGCAAGGGTGCGAACGAGTGGGCAGAATACGACTGCACGTATCAGAAGCAGGGATCATCCTCTCGGTCACGATGGTCCTTCAGACGCAGGTGGATTTAACAAAGAGATTGGATCGCCCCCCGCTCGTCATCTCCACCCTGCAGTAGCAGGTACAAGACACGACAAAGCTCACGAAGCCTCGATTCAACCGCCAGCTGCGCCTCACCCTTCAGACCTTTCTACTCCAGAAAAACGTTCATGGAATCCATTTGGACGTAGACAGCAACATGAGCCCGATGCCCTCGATCGAAGATCCGACCATGATAGCACCGAATCAGAGGGAAGTTACACTGAATCTGAATTGGATGACGAATATCACCAACAGCAGCCACGAGGTCGCAGACCGAGTATCGCTGATCGAATCTTGGGCAGGAGTGGTGCGCAAGGAAACGAAGACAGACCCAGAGTCGAAGAGCTCAGACAGGAGGATATCCCGAAGAAACCGGGATGGAAGATTTGGAGATGAGGAGTCTCTTTTTGATGGAACTGGATTACCCTTCGCGTAGCATTGTTCTATACCCATTTGTAATTTTACTGTTTCCTTATGTCTCAACACTCGGCGTGACCATAAGATTATTGACCCCATCGCTATGAACGCTTCTCACTCTTATTTCTGTTCGCTATAGCCTGATACTCCCGCCTCCTTCACAAGGCTACACACAGGAAGGTCCAAGCTGTCATGCTTGCCGGATGGTATGCAAGTCCACAGAGAGTCGATGACCAAATGGTCTCAGCATGTGACTCTTATTCCTCGTCATCATTGCACATGTCGACAGCTACGCGCGTGACATTCTTCTTATGTGAGAGCCATATGCCATCCGATCAGCTCGCACTTCTTGCCGAGACCATGTATACCGTACCGCAGATCTGCAGCATCCGAGTGCGGGGTCATGTGGAGATATCGCAGTGTATAACCGGGGTGTAGAGAGTAATTGGGTAAAAATACTAGCATACAAACGGGAAAATGCAGAGGATCAGCAATACATATAGAAGAGCGAGGAGCCGCTTCACTTTCATCCCAGACTTGTGCCTCTACCGACTAAGAATCAACATGCGATTTCTCTCCCGCCAACCACAGGCGGATACTATTTCTCGAGTCGAACCGTATCCAGTCGATGTAAAAGATGGAACAAAAGCTGGTGCAGAGCATCGAGAGCACATCGATACTGTCGAAGACCCTGCTGAGTGGAAGAAAGTCAACTTGAAGGAAGATGGCGATGTCGCCCAAAGACTCTTTGCTTCACAGGCTCACGAACCTATTGACCCAGCCGAAGAAGCAAGAGTCGTAAGGAAGATCGACTTCATGATTCTACCATACCTGGCTGTCTGTTACGCCTTTTTCTATATTGACAAGACGACTCTGAGTTATGCTGCCATCTTTGGTATACGCGAGGACCTCAACATTCATGGACAACAATACAGCTGGCTTTCAAGCATATTTTACTTTGGGTTCCTTATTTGGGCCTTGCCGACCAACTTCTTGATGCAACGATTTCCAATTGGCAAATATCTGGGTTTCAATATCTTCATGTGGGGCGCTCTTCTCATGTGCCAGGCGGCTGCATCAAACTTTACAACATTGGCTGTTCTGAGAGCACTCTCGGGGGCTGCAGAGGCGTGTTCTGATCCAGCGTTCATGATCATCACCTCCATGTGGTATACGAGACGTCAGCAACCCGTTAGAATGGGTCTCTGGTACACCGCTAACGGGTTTGGTATTGCCTTGGGTGGTCTTCTGGGTTATGGGTAGGTATGGTCGAGTCTGTTTGGTATAACAGTGAGCTGACATCTTCCAGAATCGGGCACATCAAAGCAGGCTTACCCTCTTGGAAATTCGAATTTCTCATTATCGGAGCCCTCTGCTGTGTGTGGGGCGTAGTGATGATGATCTTCCTTCCAGATAGCCCGGTCACCGCCAAAGGTCTCAACGAGAGAGAAAAGAGGATAGCAGTTGAGAGACTGAGAGATAATCAGACTGGCATCGAGAACAAGCATCTGAAGTGGTATCAGGTTCGCGAAGCATTTACAGAGTGTGTGCGTCCGTTACCTATCATCTTATATATGCTAATCACGTTTTCAAACACAGTTATAAGACCTACCTCTTCTTCCTGCTGGGTGTGGTTGGAAACATCCCCGTCAGTCTCCCTGATCGAAGATTATGTTGTGGCTTATGCTAACGAGAATTTATATAGAATGGCGGAATTAGTAATTTTGGTACCATCATCATCAAGGGCTTCGGGTTCAGTACCTTGGTCACGACATTGATGCAGGTTCCTTACGGTAAGCACCTAGAACTGATTAAAAAACAGCTCTGACCTTTCCAGGTATTTTTATCGCCATCAGCATCCTGACATGTGTATTCTTGAATGACAAGTTTGCATCCAAGGGCAGCCAGACGAGGTGCTATTTTATTCTTCTCTTCTTGCTACCAAACATTAGCGGATCTTTCGGACTTGGTAAGTCTGTTCGAGTTTTAGAATGGAAGCCAGAAATAGTCTGACGCGCTGTAGCATTTTTAGCAGCCGACAACAAAGCCGGACGATTGATATGCTACTACCTGACTGGGTAAGCAAATCCAAGCAAATCCACCATCGACCATACTGACCATCGTCTCAGGCCCTACAATGCGGCTTTTGTCATGATTCTGTCCTTGACCACTGCTAATGTCGTAAGTTCACACAACAATATTACTGACAGTTGAAACCGGATCAGTATTGACATTGACAGGCCGGACATTCCAAGAAGGTCGTGACAAATGCTATACTCTTCCTTGGGGTGAGTAGATTCTGCTTCGCACGAATATCTCATACTGACCACTTTCTACAGTATTGCACAGGCAACATTGCAGGACCGTTTTTCTACAAAAGTACACAGAGTCCTCGTTACGAGCTCGGTATCTGGAGTATGATCGTCAGTCATTTGATCGAAGTCTGCGTTATACTCTTACTACGTTTGCTCCTGAGCAGAGAAAATCGTCGCCGAGACAGAATTCAGAGCGCTTTGCCTGGTGGTCTGGAGGGCAGAGATCTCAATGCGACCGCATTTGCAGATCTGACTGATCGGTGAGATTGTCCTTATACTTGTGATGTACAAGTCGACATGCTGACATGTCTAGTGAAAACGACAATTTCAGGTATATTTACTGAGATGATAGATCATGGGTGGATCACTGGGTCCGCGTGGCCCAACGACATCGTCCGTTCATTTGGTAGCTCAGATCTTAATGAACCCTTGTTTTTCGGTCGAGTTAAAAACGAGTCAGATCTGTTGGTGCCTTTTTCATGCCGCTTTCCATATCCAGAGAATTCAATTAGGTCGGCGATTTTGCAAAATCTTGAATCTGGTGTGTGAGGTGGTCGTTCATCACTGTGTGGCCATGCGAGGAGGAGCGTGCCAGCACAACATGAAGTTCAGGTCGGCCGATGTAAAATCATCTGCCCCACGCGCGGATTCAAGCCACAAACATCAGCCTGCATGTGATTGGCTCGGCTATCTGCAGCCCTCTGAGAATCTGGGCGACGACAACCTGACCCTTCAAAGGTCTCGCCAAGAACGCGACATAATCGTGCAAACGATGGAGCGTATCAAGTATGCGCATGGGGTTCATACCAATTTACCCTGGGCCAGGCTGCTGTTACATGCTCTTCTACAATCTGTCTGGTCGTAGTGGATACATTGCACGACCGCATGCGACTACCGTCGTAGATGCAGGGCACCCGAAGATTAATTCGACGACATCGGAGTTTCGCACATATGCTATCGAAGAGCATGCCGCTTTTGGGACCAGGGCAGCTATAGATTGAGAGTCGCTGATATACGCGCTCATATCAAATACTGACGTAGGTGTCGAAGGATCCGGGCCATCTGGGAGGTGCCTCGAAAGCGAATTCGATGCAGCGCAGTTGTGATATAAGCGAGATGTACAAGTGAGCGAAATTGACTGCGACCGTGATGCACGTAGACAGGAACGTCGTAGATAGCCATAGGAAGCACCGAGCACTTGATGTTTGACAGTTTTCGGATGGCAATCGTGATCCGCCAGCCGTCGGCCGGGCTCGCAGAAGCTTTATCTCTTTTTGAAGAAAAGTGGCCGTTGAAGCCGAAAAAACGCAGCCAACTTTACCATGCTGCATACGAGAAGCCGTATGCTGATGAGTAAAAATCCGAACTGAAGATTGATGCAAGATGGAGGATGGTCATATGAGAAGGGAATTGGAATCTGATGGTCTGTTGGTGTTGTCAGATGAGTCCGGCAAGGCGGAAGCGACAGTGCAAGCCTTGGCGCTATTGCAAGAGTATCGATGAGGGATTGCAAGAGAGGGCGTTCGAATTTAGGTACAGTAACAATAAAGACGGACGGGCAGGGGGCCTTCTGATCCGCGTGGCCTTCACATCATCCAATTGTTCACACTACTTTCTTCTTCTGTCATCACACCTGCCATCAACTTGTTGACCACGCTTTCCCCCAATTTTCGTTGCATCCTAACCCTGCTTCGACGTTCTCGCCCTCGCTTGAATTTCCGCTTGCCGGTACATTCAAATACCCTAACTGACACGCGCGCGCAACCAGCTTCGTTCGGGCCAGTACCCGTGCTCCGACACGCATGTTGTCTCTCTCGTCCTCTTGACATCTTCCACCCTTTTTGCTCATTGCCCATAAACACTCACCCGGCTTGTATGGTACCCACCTGACGCTTGTGCTCTGCCTGTCTGGACAAAGTCTCTAACACAACTTACCCATTTCGTCCGTGGAGCGGTCCGCCAGTATCTCGACGTTCTGGCTGGCGTCGCTGGCATCCCGACATGGATTCTCGCGCGTCCAGCGCCATGAACGATGCAGATTCTCGCTCCCCTGTTGAGCCAACTGGCATCAACAAAACCATCAAAGCCGAGAATGTGACAGATGACACACCACATGAAATCATGAGTGCTTCTCAAACTCCAGCTCCCGCTGCGGATCAGCCAACTGCATCGAATTCTCGACAGTCATCATCGCGGCCTGCGGACAATTCGTCAGCACAGGATTTTTCAGATGTTGCAATGGGCGATGCGATGCCCTATGGAACACGTTCACGCAACCGCCCTCGACCAAATTATGCAGAGGATCAAGATATGGACTTCGAAGCCCCCCCGCCACCAGCCAAGGCTGCATCTGCCAAAAACGCCCCAGTCGGTGATTTGAAGCGAAATCAACAAGTTGCGACAGAGGCCAAGAAAACCACTGCTGATCCTTCCATTGCTCGAGTCAATGGTGCCGACCAGGACGAAAGGTCGCCATCTGCTTCTGGTAAAGAAACAATTCCAGGAACTTCGTCTTTCTCTACTGTCCCTCCCAAGAAGCGCAAGGCAGCTGGTGCCGCCAACACTGCCATTGTTGCATCTGGATCTGGTAACACCACTGCAAATGCGGCTGCGCAACCCACTACAAAGAGGCCAGCAACTTCCATCCCGTTGGCAAACATGTCTCGTGAGTCTAACATGATGACTTTCGAAAAATCAAAGGGTGTTTTGAAAAAGGGAGGACTTGCAGCAGACGACGGTACAGTATTGCATATCGACGGTAAGAACAATTTTCATCTTGTTTCTGTTCGGCACGATTGACTGATTATGTCTAGATCATGTGTATCTTGTCTGCGAACCACCTGGCGATCCTTATTATCTCTGTAGGATCATGGAGTTTTTACACACCAACTCTGACGATCCGAAATCTCCCGTGGACTCAATCCGGGTGAATTGGTTTTATCGCCCGCGCGACGTACAGCGTCTCAACAACGACAGCCGTCTCGTATACGGTACCATGCACTCTGACGTTTGCCCCCTCACATCTCTGCGTGGAAAATGTCAAATTCTCCATCGGTCAGAAATTGAGAACCTCGATGAATACCGTAAAGGATCGAATTGTTTCTGGTTCAACCAAATTTTTGATCGCTTCATTCGTCGGTTCTACGAGGTGATACCGACTTCCCAAATTATCAATGTTCCTGATAAGGTCAAGCGAGCTTTGGACGAAAGGTGGAAATTTATCGCTGTGGAAACCAACAGAGTCAAGGAGCTCACGGCAGCAGTCAAGCTCTGTAAGCGGTGCACTCAATACTGTGCAAGGTATGGATTACACATGCAAGTTCCTGTGACATGGCTGACTCTACTTTTAGCAACGACTCTGTTGACTGCGCAATCTGTGGAAACTGTTATCATATGAACTGCGTTCGACCACCTTTGCCGAAGAAGCCCACACGTGGTTTTGCTTGGGCGTGTGGTCCTTGTGGACGCGCCGCAGAAAGAAAACTCGAGGCGCGCAACACTCCTCTTGGCGGATTCGATGAAGAAGAAGAAGTCGTTGAAGAAGAGGAAGAGGACCCAGCATTGGCAGCAAGCACTCGAGCACCAAGTCCTAGTGGTCCGGATGTCCCCACTGACCAACATCCTGGCACACAGGCTGAGATCGCCATGGCCAAGATGTGGCCCTTCAGATACTTGGGAATCCACTGCAGGGTTGAGGATGCGCTGCAGTACGACGACCGTGCAATCTACCCCAGAGCTAGCTCGCGCCTAGGACCACGTCATCAAGCGAATGTCAACGTCTGGCATGGTAGGCCGATCGAGCTTGTAAAACCAGCTGATATCAAGAAGCGCTTCGTCAAGGGTGGTGGTCAGAAAAAGGATACAAAGCTCACAAAAGAAACTCTTGCCGCAATCGAGGCGGATCGAAAAGAACGAGAAAAACGACCCAAATGGATTCAAGACGAACCTGCAGGTTATGTCCACCGCGGCGAGGATTATGACAACGATGACCCAAGAAACACGGCCAGACTCATGTTCAAAATGCCAGACGAAGACGAAGAACATGCCCCTGCCTCCAATGAAGCCTTTATCGACAAGTTCATGGATCGCGCAAAAGCTACTGCAAAGTCACTCAAGGTCACGACTTGGGGTTGCAACCTTCAGGACAAAGCGCTTGAGCTTTTGATCAAGAACAAATACAATGCAGACAAGGCAATTGAGCAACTATCCAAGGTTGATCGTGTAAAAGATCTTAAGGAACCTATACTTACGCCAGACGAACTGAAGAAGTTTGAGGAAGGCGTGATGAAGTATGGTTCAGAGCACAGATCAGTCCGGATTCATATGAAGACGCACCACCCTACGTCTACAATCATTCGCTTCTACTACCTATGGAAGAAAACGCCACGCGGTCGACAAATATGGGATAACTATGGGGGTCGCAAAGGACGAAAGCGTCAGAACATGGATCCCGCTGGTAAGCTTCATGCTGAGGTCGCCGATGATCTCGACGACTCTGCTTTCGACACCGACAAAGCTAGAACCCAGAAGAGAGGATTCCAATGTAAGCATTGTTCTACACGCCACTCTCGACAATGGCGCAGAGCTCCTGGTGTCACCCCCGGCCAAACAGTACCCTCAGGTGAAGGCAAGATGAACAAAGACAAGAATGCTCGCTTACTCTTGGCACTTTGCGGAAGATGCGCTGGACTTTGGAGAAGATATGCGATCGTGTGGGAAGAAATCGACGAAGCAACCAAGAAGGCCATTCAGGCTGGTGGAAAGGCTTGGAAGCGCAAGTTCGATGAAGAGGTTGTGCGCGAGATTCTGGCTGCAAACGAGGCCGTGGTCGAAGATCCGACTATCGTTCAGTCAGTCGAAGGAGTGGAGCCGCCGAAGAAGAAAGCCAAACTTGCACTCGACGGCGCCGAGAAGAAGAAAGCACCGAAGCTTCCGACACCCCCTCCTCCACCCATCGTTCCTGACCAGCCGAGATGGAGAGATCTGCCTTGTTTCGTTTGCAACGTACTTGACTCGGCGGGCGAGAGTCCCATTGTTTGTTCGCACTGCAAGCTCAGTGTGCACAAGAGGTGTTATGGTCTTTCGTCCCAAGCTGTACCGACAAAGTGGGTCTGCGACCAGTGTACCAACGATAGGACGCCAGCAGTGTCAACTGAGTACATGTGCACATTGTGCCCGATTGAAGAGACGACTCTTGAAATGCTTGAGACGCCTAGAGTCACCCACAAGAAGAAGTCAGATCGTGAGCGCGAGAAGGAAAGACTGGAGAAGGAGCTCATGGATAGTGTGCAGCTGGAGTACAACAAGAAGCAAGCCAATCTCAACCGGCCCAGCAACCCCAGAGAGCCACTGAAGCGCACTGATGGCAACAATTGGGTACACGTCCAATGTGCGATTTGGACGCCTGAGATCAAATTCAGCGAAGCGAGCCTCTTGGAGAGGGCGGAAGGATTTAGCGCCATCCCTATGGAACGCTATGAGGCAACATGCAAGGTTTGCAAGAAGAACGACCACGGCGCTTGTGTATCTTGTCTGCAATGTCGAGCCAACTTCCATGTTGGCTGTGCTATCCAGGCTGGGTACACACTAGGCTTCGACGTGACGCCAGTCAAGGGATCACGTAAAGACCAAGTCATTACTGCGACCCTTGGTGATGAGACTGGATCGCTCACAGCCGCCATCTGGTGCAAGGAGCATGCCATCAAAACTCCGGTGCACCCAATCAGTGAGGCGGCTGATGACAAAAGCCCAAATGCTTTACAAGTGTTTGTCGAAAATTATAAACAGGCAGATCCAACTCTTACTGGAACTGCCAGGAAGGCCAACCTTCTCAGTCAATCGACGAAACTTGCCTCACAAGCGACTGCCGCGAATGCCGCGGCTCTTCGTCGTATCTCCACAGCAAGCAACATGGCACGATCTGCTCGCAACTCACCAGCAGGAGCCTCTAAGACGGACGAAGTGGATGGTGCAAGCTCTGCTGAAGACGAGTCGACTAAGACATGTCTCAAATGCCGTACTGACGCCAGCCCGAGATGGTGGACTGCCGAAGAGACGCTGAAGAGAGTACAGGCTCAAACGCCGGTCACAGCTCGGAGTGAAGACAGTCTCAAAGGCTACCGATGCAACAAATGCCATTTCAAGCGGATCAATGCCCCGCAAGACGCATCACCATCGCCGCCCTCGGCTCGCAAAAGAGTGTCTCTATCACCTCCAAAGCAATTCCCCCTCCAGATAGGGTGGGGCACCGGGATCGCAAACCAAAACGCACAGCCACAGCCACAGGCTCAAGCTCCAGTGCACGCATTGCCGCCAGTTCCAACAGCAGCGCCAGTTGAGGTAGTTGGTCAGATGCAACCTCCAGCCCCTCAAACATATCCCGGAACATACCAACCCCCACACGCACAGCCAAATGGATACGCGCCTGGAAACGTGCCGACTTATGGTCATGGCACACCACCAGCTTTTGCGCAGCCAAACGGACAAGCCCAAGTTCAACGTCATCACTTGCCTATGAGCAACGGAATTCATGGAGTGCATCATCAGCAGCAGCAGCAGCACGCGCCGCACCCATCAACGCTAGCACCAATGACTAATGGTCAACAAAGCTCTGGCGGAAATATCGGACATGGCAGTCCGCCTTCAGGAATTGTTCGAGCAGCAACACCACGAGATGGATCGGTCGATGTGAGAACGAACGGAGCAAGTGCAAGTCCGAGTTTGAGGAACCTGTTGCATTAGTATTACTCTGGGTATTAGTTGTGGATGGAGGAGCTGAGTGCAGAGGATGGATGAATGACCGATGTAGTCAAAGCCAAAAGCTGTGATAGTAGATTCTGTAATTGCAGCAGAATGAATCAAATATTAATTTGAGGTTGCTCTGTGGTTTGCATCAGATGGGAGGTGCGACCAAGGGCGATGGGATGGGTGGCAGGTCACGTGGGCGGCGCGTCAGACCCATGCTTTCTGTCACTTTGAACGGCAGTGCCAGTGACAGAGACATTGGCATCGCTGTCATAAGGATGGGTGCGTATTCGACGGCCAGGCCTCGGCACCAGCTTGCTGACCAAATGTCACAGGCAAAGCATACCCCGAAGAGGCACGCAGCCAAGTCAAGCAGCTGCTGCAGCAAGGCGTCGCCGAAGATGACATAGAGAAGCAGACGGGCGTGTCCGACAGGACTATTCGCCGCTGGAAGGTACCTCACCAACCACCGGCATGCACACCTCAACATAGCCTAACCTTGGACTGATAGCTCGAGCTCGAACGCTATGGACGCATCGGAAAGCCGCCAGAGAGCCGCACTGGACGACATCGCGTCATGAACAAGGACGTTGAGCAGGCCTTGTTCGATCGCGTCGCCCAGAAGCCCGACATGTCCGTCGATGACATGCTTTGGTGGCTATACGACACATACAAGCTCGTTGTCGGCACCCGCACCATTCGCAGAGCCTTTGAGCGCCGCAACACTTCGCACAAGAAGTTCCGCTCCAATGCCCGCAAGCACTTTGGCATCGACATGGGCGTCGACATGGACATGGATACCGACGTCGACATACATGTCGACACTTCACACCATGATGACCATGAATCCATGCAGAATCTTGTCCAGGACCCAACACCTGCTCCTGCTCCTCAAGCCCATATGGTCGTGTCGCAGCCAGACACCACCTACCAGAGCCCGTATGCTCCCCTCATGACCATGGCTGATGCTACCGACGACAGTGGCCAGCCGCCTCCGCCAGACATCAGTCCTGAGTTGGCCCGCGCTCTGGGAGGGTTGACTGACTCTACCGCTATGCATCAAGATCTCATGGCTGATCACATGGACCCTCTGTCCGAAGATGAGGAAACTTTGCAGTTGCAGCTTCAACAAATTGTGCTGCAGAAGAAAGAACTCGAACTCAAGATCAAGATGCGTCGTCTGCGCCAACGCCGTGAATCGCATACACCGAATGATGATTCTCTGTTTGACCACCTTGACGTAGACACCACTTCGGCTCCGCACATGCATCCAGACTCGACTGCGAACGATCCATTTGCTCCACAATCCGACACTCCAGGCACCAATTCGTCGACGACTCCCAAGCCTCGGGATTCTCGCAGCAAGAGCAAGGTCCAAGAGGCCCGCAAACGTACTGAAGAACGCCAAGAGCGCATGCTCAAGGATCTAGAACGCCGCAGTCGTCGTCGCGAACATTTGACTGCCGAGTGGGTACAGAGCCGGGACGTATGGGCAAAGGGCCCTGAGAAACTCCTGGTGCAGCTCATGCATAAACATTCGACCTATGCATACAACCAAAACTCGCTTGAAACTTTCGAGGCCATATTTGCAGAGCTGTATCACCTGGTTGATCACACCGAATGGTATGCTCCGGTGCATGACGATCTTTTGCGTGAGCGTACACGTCGCAAGATGAGTCAACTCCGCAGTAAGATGGTCAAGAGTGGAGAGATTGTCAGTCGTGGTGAGGGTTATGGCGGGTGGACCAAGCCTGACGACCATGACCATGATGCTCTGGCTGGTGCATCTGATCTCACCGGTACGGGACCTGATGACACAAGCCTCGACATGTCACAACATCACCAGATCGGCGGTTTGTCAATGGACCTTCACACTCACGATACGAATCACGACACGCTTATGGCTCGCGACGCCATGATGCAGCATGACCACTCAATGCTCGAGCACTTACAAGACAACACGACAGACTTGCATCACACAGATTTCGATCACGATCATTTGGCGCGTCATCAGAATGAGCTGTTAGCACAGCGTGGCATCGCGCATCAAGAGCATTTGTCGAATCAGCGCGCCATTGAGGAAACCATGGCCGCTGGACTAGCTTCAGTTTGAGATACCGAAGATGAATCATTATACTATCATCATTGCTAAGACTTGCTGTCTAGACAGATACCTCGCTGTCAACAACTGTATGGCTACTCACGACTGTTATGTTACTTGTCAGTAGTTGCATGTCATTGCAACCACTTTAATTACAATTCTTCTCTAGTATTGCCATGTATCTTGTGACTTCATGTGCTCTTTGAATAATTTGATTATGCTTAATAATTGCGTCAGTCTCGAAGCCTTCGACCTGCTTCTTCGGGAGAGCAGCTTCCGGGCCCAGAACATCTTGAATCTTTGAATGCGACAACGCAATTGAAGCAACAAACCTCATCATCGCACATCACTGAACAGCCATCAACCAGACATATTCAACACTTGACACGCTTCTACCATCAACCCCGACCTCGCGCAAAGCGACACACCACATCCAGCCCACCCACCCACCATGGCCGACGCCACAGCATCCGCACCCGTCATCTTCAAAAAGCGCGCCGGCCGCGCCAACGCCAAAAAACGAGCAGCAACTCCACCCTCAGCTTCCGACTCGGACTACAGCAGCGCCGAAGACGAAAGCGGCGCACGCATAAAGCGACGACGCAAAAACGGCATCACCACCTCTACCTCTTCAGCCATCACAAAAAACCCCGCGGCTACTTTCTCAAAATCCACTCAGTATACTGGTGATCGCAGCGCAGCGATTACGAATCTCGATGATGCGACAAAGACTAGTAATTGGTTTCATGCCGATGAAGCTGCAAAAGCCGCAACTGGTGCAGAGGGAGACGCAGCAGAGGTAGAAAAAGACGGCACCTACAAGGGAGCAAAAAGCTATGGAAACTTCATACAGAAGAATCCCGACAAATTGGCCAAATCAGTGGGACCGGTAAAAGCACCCACGAACATGAGAATGATCACATTAGTCGACTTTGCGCCCGATGTGTGCAAAGATTACAAGCAAACCGGCTTCTGCGGTTTCGGCGACAGTTGCAAATTCTTGCACGCCAGAGAAGACTACAAACAAGGCTGGCAACTCGACAAAGAATGGGAAAAGGCGGGCAAATCAAAGGCTCCTCCCAAGTCTACAGTCGTGGGCTCTGCGAACCGTGGCTCTACCGAAACCGCAGCAGACGACTCCGACAACGACGAGGAAGCAAAAGAACTCGAGAAGATACCCTTCGCGTGCATCATCTGCAAGGAACCGTACAAGAGTCCAGTCGTCACAAAATGCGGCCACTACTTTTGCGAGGCATGTGCGTTGAAGAGGCATAAGAGTAAAGGTGGCAAGCAATGCGCCAATTGCGGTGCTGACACTGGAGGTACCTTTAACGTGGCCAAGAATTTGAGGAAGTTGTTGGATAAGAAAAGGGAGAGGATTCGCAAGAGGAAGGAAAAGGCTAGGGAGAATGGGGAGGAGGTTAGCAGTGATGAGGAGTAGATGAGCTTTGACGTTGAGGCAAGAAATAAGAATATATTGCCTAGTCTGCTCGTGCAGCATATATCTATGGGACGTTATTTGAAAAAGCAGCCTTTAGCAGGGTGTTGCTCTTCGAGAGCAAATCATATCTTAGCAACCATCCTCCCTTTTTCCCTTATAGCAGCCCCCTTCCTGCAAACGCTTATCGATGAGACAAGCGTCCATCTACTTGACTCAACCCCTTGCTCGGCCACACCCTCCCTCGATCATCCTCTCAATCGCGGCTTGCCTCTTTGTTGTTCTTTCTCGGCTCTTCACCTCGAGCCATTGAGGCCGATGTTCTTGACTCTTTTGGCGAGCTGTTCTCCGTCGCTGCCGTAGCCTGACCCTGCACCGCTGCCGGACCACTCGTTCTGTCTCTTTGGTCGACGGTCGCCGCTCAGCTCAACGATAGTCAGCAGGGACTTCCAGCCTATTTACGATCGCACGCACCCAAACGTCAGCCAATCTCTTCCTCTTCATGAAAAAGCAAAATACGTATCCAAGAACATTATCACATGTCAAGGATAGTCTGCAGGGTAGCCCAACCTGGTGTTTGCTGCAATGCTGCACCGAGGCTGGTGTCCTTCTGTGTTGCCACTTGACAGAGTAGACGAAACTCATCCTATATACCGTTAGCTTGTTTGCCGTATCTAACACTCGTTGCCACATACCTCGCTGAGAACGCCCATAGTATGTACGAAACATAATGCGTGGAAGTCCGAAATCTTCTGGGCTCCGTCGGTGGTGTCAAGTCTAGCCACCTTGCTCAAGAAGCTCCTGAGGGCTCTGTGCTCCTGAGATTGGCCAATCATCTCTCTGTTCTCCACAACGAATCCCTCCTCGCTCGTGAACAGAGGTTTGGCTTCCAGTGGGAAACCATGAGTGAGCGTGACCAATAGATAATCGACTGGGAATGAGGGCTTGGCGTTTTCTTGCACGTTCGCTCCATGCTCGTTGATACGGCGGTAGAAGACTTCTGGGATGTAGCGTGTGCGACCTAATCCATTTTCTCCGTCTTCGTCGCGAACTAGCATGACAGTCGGATCCGCAGAGGGTTCGATGATGTCAGCTCGTGTCATCTCCACAGCAGAGTCGGATGCTTGATAGGCTTGGACGGCAATTTGATCTTCGTCGTCACCAGTAATGACGCATGTGACAAAGTTGGATCCGAAAGAACCCGTTTCACTCCATCTCGAAGGGCGCGGATACTTGGCTTGATATCTCGAAGCAAACATAATCTCCAGGGACGACATGTAGTAAGAGTCGTTATGGCGTTTGCACACAACGGTTCCATCGCCCTTGCCAGCGTCGATCAGGTCAGTGTAGATGACACCAACCCTCTGGAGGCCGCAGAGAGAGGCTACTTTGTCAATCTCATTTTCGTTTGCCCACTCGTTAAGTGTCACACCATCAAGCTCGTCAACTTGAGGAGGCTCGTAGATAGCCTCGATCACGGCCTTTGTTCCAAGGGGAATCTCAGAGTAAGGTTCGTAGCGGCCGTACATGAAACCAATTCTCTGGGCAGCCGAGTTTCGCCAGAAGTCCAGGATCTTGTTGATGATTGCAGGTGATGAAAACTCGACGTGATCGACCATGCGGTAGGGCTGAGGTTGGAGGGTGATGGCACTGGGCTGACACTTTGTGCAGATACCTGCAGGGAAAGGCTTGTGACCAGAGGGACAGCTCGGATTTACGCGGTAGTAGGGTTCGGTGAGTGGGGGCATCCAAGAACTTCCCGACTCATACTTGTTCTTTCCTTGGTTCATTTTGCGGAGGTATGCATGGTACGAGAGATGCTTGATCTTTTTCTCAGCCAGATAACCAGCATCGTATGGCTCGATGGGCTGACAGTGGTCGCACATGCCATTGGGGCCGTGTCTGCACATTCTGGTATCGCGAGGTCTCTTGATCTTGCCATTTTCCTTGTCCAGAGCGTCATCGATCGGTAATTGCTTGACTGTATCCCAGGGGTTGTCGACGCGTGTCTGGGCTGTCAGATTTGGGATGGCGATGGTGGTGGTGTCCTGAGCAGTGACTTCCTTTCCGTTAAGTCTGTAGGCGTTGGATGGAGGGGGTGGTTGGGTTTCAGTCGGGGCTTGGCCTTCGGTGAACTCGACGAAGATTTGAGCACCGTTACTAGAGATGATCAGTAGTGGTTCGCGTCGAAGTAGCAGCAGTACATACGCAAGGCCGAGTTTCTGAACGGTGACGCCCTTGAGGCTCTCGAGAGACCGTGATTGGCCACCTCGTTGTGGACTTATGGAAACAGACGAAGGAAGAGTGTCGGGAGAGAGCTTTTCGACGACTTGAGGAAGTAGAGATGCGAGGTCGGTCGAGGGCTCGACGGTGAGGCGAAACTGGCCAATACGACTTGAAAAGCGCAAGATCATGATGGGCAATGTGCTTGTCAGGATCGAGTCTGAGTGTAGGAGGGGCAAAGGAGGGCGATGAGGAGAGGGGCAGGTATTATGGCAGTTGCGAGAGCTGCAGTCAGTGAAAGCGGACTGGCCAAGTTGTTCGAGGAAGTGATGGAAGGTGCTCTCGGAGTCTATTGTTGCATGTCGCACGGGTTGCAGCTTCCTTACATGACGTGAGACAGCGCGGGGCTAAATTTTATGTCCGTCTCGAACACGTCGCAGTCTCTCCAAAGTGCAAGCGCGCATCAACCGATCCTCAAGAATCTCCGTCCAATACAAACTTTCGCAACCATGGTTGACTGGGTCGGCCTCCTGATCCCCCTGGCATATCTGTCCATCCTCATCGGTTCTCTCGCCACCTTTAGCTCTCTATACCGCCGTCGCAAGGCCCAAAAGGCCGCCAATCTTGCTCCATGGTTCCCTCCTCATCTGCAACGTAACATCTACCTGTCGCTCCTACATATCGATCCTCAGGACCCCTCATCTACCCCCGAAGGCTCCGACAAGTCATTGAGCCAGGTTCCTGACAGCATCATTCGTGCTGCTCTCTTGCGCCGCGCCGTCGAAGACATCCACCGCATTATCCAGGTCCGCAACGCAAAGCCCGCTCTCCAGACCCTACTACAAAGGGGAAGCGTGGGAGATGAGCTATGGCAGCGCTTCCAAATAGCCGAGCAGGAGATTGAGGAGGAGGTCAAAGATGTTGTTTCCGAGGTATCGTTTATCCGACAATACCTCCTTCCCGCGTATCCAAACTGACTTTGACTCCAGGCCAACGCCCTCGTACCAAATTGGGGCCAGATCATCTTCCAATCAGCCAACGAAATCGCCAACAACCAACTGGCCAAGCAGCGCATGGAGGATATCCAATCCAAGCTGCCCGAGGAGAAGGCATGGTGGGACAAGAGAAAGCAAGGAATCCAGTCTTCGTTCATGAAGGAGCTCGACGATGAAGCTGCAGGCAGCAGAAAGGGCTCTGTGACCTCGAGCGCCGGTCAAACCGAAGATGCTGTCTTGGTCGAGACACCAGGCAGCGCAAAGAAGAAGAGCAACAAATAGACGACCGTTCCGTCTTTGTGCTGGGTCGCGATCAAATTTCAAGATATCCATTGTTCACGTTCGAGGAGCTTTTTCAATTCGTCAAACGGCTTGCCTCGATGATCAGAGAGCAAAAATTCATGCACGTATTAGGAGTTTGTTTCTAGGAGCTGAAGGCTTTAGTAGGTGCGGAGAGAATGAGTTGAGGAGAGAAAGAATCAAATGCATGCTACGTCTTCACGACGATGCGGATATCAATGTATAGCCCGAAAAACGATGTAACCGCTCATAGACGCCCTGCTGTTTAAAAACGCAAATCCATAAAATCAGACGCCATGTCATGCTTTTTCCGCAAAAGTCGTATCGTTTCGTCAGTCGCCGCCCTTCGGTGACTGTCTCCGCTGTTTGATGGTCCTGGGAGTCGCGTTCACGACAGAGAAATGGCTAGCCTTGGGATCGTAGAAAGCTTGCACGTCTAGTGTCAAGATAGATCTGCTGCCCTTGAGCTGAATCAATCCCTGAACGACAAAACTTCCTCTCGGTGGCTCCATCTTCTTGGGCATTTTTCCCTGTGCCAATGTGGCGAGGAAGATGTGTTGGGCTATCGGCATTTCTATGCTCGAAGGGGCTTGGGGAACCTTGAGTGCCCATGGGAGCAGCGATGAAGCACTGGCCTGGGATTTGTCTGCTTCTGGCGTTCCAGCACCCGTTTGTGTTTTTGCCTGCTCGGCCTGCTGGGCTTGTTGAGCCTGCAGCAGTTGCAGTAGTTGTGTGTATTTGGCGTCTTGGCTGCCAGGCGTGGAGTCGACTTCCCAGCCCAGCAACTGTTTCAGGCGATGATATTGAAAGCCAAGAAGCACCTTACCGCTGTTGTAGGCACCGTTAAAAGCAGCTGTTGGCCATAGGGTGCGATTGATCCGGTGTTGCTGTTGGGCATCGATGCGTTGGATGCCATATGAGACGTAGTCGTCGCCAATCTCGATGCCAGCACGTGCGTATTCCTGAGGAGGGCCATCTGGAAAGATGATGTCGAGCCAACATTGACCAACCTTGGTGTCGCGACCGAGCTGCTTAACGAAAGCCGGGTGTTTCTGAGCGGTGTCGTAGACTATTTTGACCAGTTCGGCTAACAAGGGATTAGCGTTTGTGAAATCGAGAGCACGACAAGGGATGATTACATTGAATCTTCTTGTGGCGAGCCTTGTCTTTTGAGACCTTGACAAACTCTTGCCACTCAGGGTCGGAGCCTTTGTAAAAGGAGCGAGGCAATTTTTTGGCCCAAGTCAGAGGGATGAAGAATACAGGCTCATCGTCCTCGGCCTCTTCCTCCTCTTCTTGTTCCTCCCCTTCCTGTATCTCAATCTCGATCTCGGGAAAAAAGTACCAGACGTAGCCAACAAGACATGATGTGTAGAGGAAAAAGGTGGCGATGCGAAGAGGGGTGAACAGCGGCGGTGGCTGGAAGCTGACCGTGTGGGATCTGGCAGGGTCGGTGGGCCGGGCGAGACGGCGAAGATGGGCGGTGGTGCTAAGCGGGCGGTAAAGAGTCGAGGGACGTGCTAATGGTCTGAACTTCGGGGCGGCGCGAAACATTTGGACAGAGCAAGGGAAGAGATGGAGCGAACAGAGACGGCTGCCGCGACGGCGCAAGTTTGGATTCCAGGATACCTAATGATGAATGACGATGAGTGTTCAGGCGTTGGCTCAAGGGAAGGCGCGCGGAGGGCGGAGAACGGGGAAGAGTGCTGCCAAGGCGCCGACTGACGTTCCATCATAGGGAAACCTCCCAAGACTCGTCGGTAGATACCCAGCCTTAGACAGCTAATCGACCAAAATCACAACCAGCAAGCATGAGACTGGCTCCGTGTTTCTTGCTGCCCGCCGCAGCTGCTGCTGCTGCACAGGCCTCGTATGGCATGCTCTACGTCTACGACCACCAGGCCAACAACGCCGTCGGCCAGCCCATGGTGAGCCTCAAGGCCGACGCCGCCCGTCTGGTCATCGCCTCGCGACTGGGCCTCGATCAACACCATTCCCTCCAAGGACAGTCTGAATCTGCTCTGGAGGAGATTGATCGTCTTTCTGGACAGTCATCTTTCCTTTCGTCAACCGATGCCTCTGTCGCCTTGATCCTGTCGACCGCCGACCAACAGGGCGTTCCCTTTGTTCCCACCGACTCCATCCAGATCAAGGAATGTCCCGATCTCAACTCTGCTGAGAAGTTGCTCACCGACCTCGCACATCAGTCCGGCATTGACTCGTTGGCCGACGTTGAACGATCCACCGTCTCCTCCGAGACTGGCCCAGCCTTCAGAATCGCCAAAGATAGCCTGGTACTTACATTCTCGAAACTGTTCGCACCTTTAGCTAACAGAAACAGGAATTTGCCGATGCTGTCAAGACCCTGATCACCCAGTACAACACTGTCCTCGTTCTCACCGTCCCTAAGGCGACCTCGAAGAACACATTCGGCTCTTACGATGGTCTTGCTCACCAAAAGCGCTACGTCAAGGAGGCCCCTCTGATCACCGAAACCACAAAGACCGCTCCTCACCTCAAGGCCACTTTGACCCCTGACGCCAAGTCAAACAAGACCTACAACCAGACCGCTCCCCTCAGAGGCATCCTCCCTGGCTGCTTCGCCTCTCTGTCCGCCTGCGAATCCATGACCCGCAACTGCACTGGTCACGGCTCTTGCACCTTGAAGTATACCGACAAGGATGCCGGCGACTTGGGTGGCAAGTGCTACTCATGCGCCTGCAAAGCTGAGGTTCGCACAAATGCCGATGGCACCAAGAAGACCACCAACTGGGGCGGCCCTGCTTGCCAGAAGAAGGATATCGTCATGCCTTTCTGGCTCATCAGCTCTTTCTCCGTCTTTATGATGTTCACTGTCAGCTGGGGAATTGGTCTGCTCTACACCATGGGTAGCCAAGAGCTTCCCAGCGTCATCGGTGCTGGCGTTTCTGGCCCTGTCAGAAAGTAGATTTGTCTCCACCCCTTCACCTCCCTATCCTCCACATTATCTCATCCAAATTCTTGTCGCGAACCTCATGTAGATATATACCAATTTGATGTTTTGTCATGTTCAAAATTTGGAAAGTTTGTGGTGAGCTGACGTGACATTGAGACGTCCTTAATGCTGATGAAGCTTTGGAGGCTAGGGCGACCCTGACCGTATATCGACAACGATAAAACACAACGAATGTTCTATGAATACCACTCCAGCACCAGGGGATCATCAATAACTGGCCGCAATGTGGCTCTAGGTCGGGATTCAGGAGATGCTAGTCTATGTGGGCGGAGAAAACACGTTTAGTAGAATTGTTGAGCCCGTCGACCAAAGACCACCCTGTATCCCGACTGATCAAGGGTGTCATTCACCACCTTGAACAAACGTTTGTGCAGGCAGAACAACAAAACAGGGCTGCGTTTGTACAACTACGTATGCTTATCACCATAATACATCTTGCCATCATCCACCCACTTCCTCCCAATCTTCTCCGCCTCCTCAACCCCCAACCCCAACTCCTCTCTTTTATCATCTGTGATCCTCCCCCACTCAAGCAACAGCCTAAACATGTAAATCTCCATATCTTCTTTCCTCAATACCTTATTCGACCACTCCCTACCAGCCTCTGCAATATACTGTCCTTGCTTGTCATGGGCAGGCAGCATGATCTGTCTGCCTTGCACCTTGGCTTCAAGTCCCATGAAGTATACCAAAGTAGCCCAGAAACCATGGCCTCGGAGATCAAGAGGTACGAAGTGGAGCCAGGGCGTTAGTCTGTCGTCCCACCATTCGCGGAACAGAGCTGCTTTGAAAGGCAAACTGTGCGATTGCAAGAATGGGATGAAGCGGCCGGAGAACGCGGCACCGTCGAGGTCGAGTAGATAGCGATAAGACCAGTGAGTTTGGAAGTCAGTGGGTGAGGCCATGGGCGCGAAATGGCGATCTTGATCTTCGCAGTCGATGCCGCCGCAGCGGATGATGTGTTCCACGAGCTTCACGTCCACGGAGACGTGCTTGGCGAGCTCGGAGGCGGGTACGTCCACATAAGCAAGTTGCTTGCGCTTCTTGGCGAAAGGATAAGGAAGAAGAACTGGCTGTGGTGATAGACTGGAGGCGATGTTGTTGGCTAGGTTCAGGAAGCGCTGACGGCTCATACCCTTCCATACGCCCGTGTTGGAAGAGACACCTTCGGAAGTGCCACCGCGCCAGAAGAGTGTTCGCATCTTCTCGTCCCACGGCAAGTCTTGATGTTCGTCGTTGGGATCATATTTGGCTTTGTCCATATAATTCCATGCAGATGGATACATAATGTCGTTATAGCCATGAACTTTGGACTGTGAGAACACAGGATATAGCTCGTGAGTCGCTTTGAAGGCGGCGGGTGAGAGGTAGAAGCCATGCAGAGTTGCTATGTCAGGTTGATGGCAGATGTTCGCACTCTTGGTCCAGTTGGACAGATATGCTCCCAGCGAGTGTGGAGCCGCGCATGATGTACATAGAGTCCTGGTGTCCCAGTGCAACGAGGTACGTGCGGCAGAGCTTGGTGGACAGCCAGCCATTCCAAACTCATTGAACGTCTTCTGCCACGACATCTCTCGGAACGGCGTGATGCCACTAGATTCCTCAGGTATGGGCTTCCAAGTGTCTCCACGCTTTCCACTGAACGAGTTTCGTGTGCTCTTGCTGAGATCGCCGTTACCCTTGGCGGCCTTCTTTCTTGCTTGTATATCCTCATACGGCACAGCGACACGGCACTCATCATTCAAGTTGAAGCCCAAGTCCATGTCCGGTAAGAACTCGCTGAAGTGACTGATCATGTCGACGATACCATCGAGCATCCATCTGTGGGTCGCCATCGCATATGGACTAATCTCAGCTTTGCCTTTACGTATGCTGATTCCAGCAACATCGTTCCAAGGGTTAGATGTAGTGTGCCATGTCCTTTCTCTGACCTCCGATGGATCCAGTGTCCAGAAGGGTAACAAGTCTTCGTGAATCTTATCAAATTCATCAATGATTAAAGAGTTACGGCCGATCGCGTATCGGTACCATTCGTGAAAATTTGGTGGAGGGTTCCTGCCGTGACGATACTGATACCCAATCACGGCAGCTGTGAGGTTTGCGCTTGAATATGCACGTCCAGTATAAACTTTGTGGCGATCGCCGGCTTCGTGTATGAGGAGATCGATAGGGTGATATGCGACATGTGTGATATGACCAAGCCAGATCAGGAAGCGAATAATAAAGAGCACAACCATGAGCCCGATAAGGAGAATTGGCGTCTCAGAAAACATTGCGTTTTTCTTGCGACGGTGGTCTTCTGAGACCACCTGAGTATGTATGAGCGCAACGAAAGCGATCACGAGGCCGAAGAAAGACAACAGAGACAATGTGTCATTATCAGGTGGAAACGCTGGTACAGTATGCCAGGACCAACTGACAGTTATCGAACACGATGCGACGAATATGAGAACAGAGACAGCTGACATTGCACCGGAGTAGAAAATCTGAACATCTTAGCATTTTTGTGACCTCTGAATGCGCTAGGACTTACGGTAATGCATGTAGATACTGCTGCGATACAAGACAATATGGCTAGTTTGACCACTCGCCAGATGAAGCCACGGGGTATCTCAAGTACCCAAAATCTATCCTCGGGAACGGCAAGGAACCAAATTACACCCCATATGCCAATGGCCGAGGCAGAAAGAAGACAAGCCCATCCGGTAATGCTCAACGATCTGGCAGGAGAGATTTTGCCGGTATTAGGGTAGGAACGTATCAATGCGTCCAAGCAGAAAAAAATACAGAAGTCGAGAATCAAAGCTAGGCGCTGAATCGTAATCATTTTATCGTGAGTCGCAGGAGTGCAGATGTATGAAGAAGAGTGGCTGTCGCTCCCATGCAGAATACTAGCGCTCGAAAGAGCGAACACAGTGGTGATGATGATATAGCGAAAGCGATTGGTGGACCAGGTGTACTCCAGCAGTTCGTACATACTCAGGTCAGAGTTGTTTTCTGGAGAAGAGAATTTGTGTCTGCGATAGATGCAAAAGTCGACGATAGCGAGCCCCAGGGGAATAAACTCAGTGTAAGCAGGACCAATACACTGGACATCTCTGACAAGACGTCTAATAGTCTCAGCGCGCGCGCATATCAGGAGTGCCAAGAGCACAAAAGCGAGTCGCATCTTGCGCAGACTAGTGTGAGAAGCATGAATATGGTTTAGGCTGGGCGATGCAGGCGAACGTGGCGAGATGGAAGCATCGGTATTGGATTCCTCGAGAGGTAGCTCGTCATAGGCGGAAGTGGAATTTTTGACAAGGTATCGCGATAGGGCCAGTAGAGAAGCACCAATACTGGCAAGGATCAGGCCGACGACATGCAGGGTCCGTCCTAGTGAGGGTAAGTTGTGTGTAGAAATATCAAAGTGATTGTGTATTACCATATGCGAAGACTTGGGCCGAGTTCAAGGCCAGAAGACATGAGGAGATTGTCAAGGCAATCAAGGCGTAGGGTCCCAGCGAGTCCATTGCGATGCAGAGTCTCGGATGTTCCTTCTCCTATTGGTGTCCAAGATGTTGTAGCAGATCAGAATGTGCAGGCGCATACATGATGAGGGGCTGAGTATGTAGGATAGGGCTACGCGATACAGATCCAGCACCTAGATGGGCGATATAGACATAGTAGAGGCAATGCTATGTGGAACACGACGGCCTCTTGGTCGCAAGTCGTCAACGAACAAAACATGCGGGCACGCGCCACAGCCGTGCAAAAGTCTGGGGCTGGACGCTTAAATCCGCGAAGCTCCGAGATTCTGACATTTTCCTCCAAGGCGCCTTTGGAAGCCATCTTTTTCTTCTGCAGCAGCATTCCAGCGTATTTGATTCAGCGACTCGAGTCGCAGCTTCAACATGGGCAAGAAGGCCATGTATGATTATCTCACGACCTTTTTCCTCCACTGCCACTCTTGCTAACCTACCATAGCGACTCGCGCATTCCAGCCCTCATCCGCAATGCTGCCCAGGAACACAAGCGCGGCTTCTTCGTAGTCGTCGGCGATCGCCAAAAGGATGTCATCGTCAACCTGCACTATATCCTCCAGACTGCCAACCTCAAGGCAAACAAGTCCGTCCTTTGGGCTTACAAGAACAAGCTGCTAGGCTTCACCAGCCATCGCAAGAAGAGAGAACAAAAGATCAAGAAAGAGATCAAGCGCGGAATCCGTGATGTCGACAACGAGGACCCCTTCGAGCTGTTTGTCTCGACCCAGAACATCCGCTATGTCTACTACAAGGAGACGGAGAAGATTCTGGGAAACACCTACGGCATGTGCATCCTGCAGGACTTCGAGGCCATCACTCCCAACCTTCTCGCCCGTACCATCGAAACCGTTGAAGGAGGAGGTCTTGTCGTTATGCTACTCAAGGGTATGAGCAGTTTGAAGCAGCTTTACACACTCTCTATGGATATCCACTCTCGCTACCGTACAGAGGCCCATGGTGATGTTGTCGCTCGCTTCAACGAGCGCTTCATTCTGTCTCTCGGAAGCTGTGACTCGTGTCTGGTCATCGATGATGAGATGAACGTTCTGCCCATTTCTGGAGGAAAGACTATCCAGCAGTTGCCTCCCCCGGACCCGGAAGAGCAGGGTCAAACTCCCGCTGCCAGGGAGCTCGCAACCATCAAGGAGAGTCTTGCCGACACTCAGCCCGTCGGATCTCTGGTTACCCTGGCCCGTACTGTCGACCAAGCAAAGGCCTTGCTTACATTCGTGGACGCCATCGCCGAGAAGACTCTGCAAAGTACCGTCACCTTGACTGCTGCTCGTGGTCGTGGTAAGTCGGCCGCATTGGGTGTTGCCATCGCTGCCGCTGTCGCCCACGGTTACAGCAACATCTTCATCACTTCGCCCAGCCCCGAAAACTTGAAGACTTTGTTCGAATTCGTCTTCAAGGGTTTCGATGCCTTGGGTTACCTCGATCACGTCGACTACACCATCATCCAATCTACTAACCCCGACTTCAACAAGGCCATTGTCAGAGTCAACATCCACCGTCAACACAAGCAGACCATTCAGTACATTCAGCCTCAGGACGCCTACACTCTTGGTCAAGCAGAACTTCTGGTCATCGATGAAGCTGCCGCAATTCCTCTGCCTCTGGTTAGAAAACTCATGGGCCCTTACCTGGTCTTCATGGCCTCAACTATCAACGGTTATGAAGGTACTGGTCGTTCGCTGTCGCTCAAGCTGATCCAGCAACTCCGTGAGCAGTCTCGCGGAGGCTCCAAAACCAGTGACGAGCAGGTCGCTGATCGTTCCACCGGAAGATCCGCCAAGGATGAAAATCAGGTCGCTACTGCTGGTCGTTCCCTACGCGAAATCACACTTTCGGAGCCTATTCGTTATGCTCAGGGAGATTCTGTCGAGAAATGGATGAACCGCCTTCTCTGTCTCGACGCTACTCTTCCTCGAGCATCAACCACTCGTGGCTGCCCTCATCCCGACCAGTGCCAGCTTCTCTCCGTCAACAGAGATACTCTGTTCTCCTTCCACCCCGTTTCGGAAAAGTTCCTCCAGCAGATGATGGCACTCTACGTTGCTTCACACTACAAGAACACCCCCAACGACCTACAGCTCATGTCCGATGCTCCTGCTCACCAGCTGTTCGTACTTGTGCCTCCGGTAGAAGAGGGCAGCAACCGTCTTCCTGAGCCTCTGTGTGTCATTCAGCTGGCTCTGGAAGGTCAAATCAGCAGAGAGAGCGTGATCAACAGCTTGAGTCGTGGCCAAAGAGCAGGAGGTGACTTGATCCCCTGGTTGGTCAGCCAACAGTTCCAGGACGAAGATTTTGCTGGACTTTCTGGAGCACGTGTTGTTCGTATTGCCACACATCCCGACTACATGAACATGGGCTACGGTAAGAAGGCTCTCGAGCTCCTGACCGATTTCTTCGAGGGCAAATTCACTTCCTTGTCTGAGGATGATGGACAAGCTGAAGCAGGAAGCGAGGGTATGGTGCGTGTCACAGATGCCGAACTCGAGAATGCAAGCTTGTTGCAAGATAACGTGAAGGTCCGCGACATCTCGACTATGCCTCCACTCTTCGCCCGTCTCTCTGAGCGCAAACCTACCCGTCTGGATTACATGGGTGTTTCATACGGTCTGACCTCACCGCTGCACAAGTTCTGGAAGCGCGCAAACTACGTGCCCGTTTACCTCCGCCAAACTGCCAACGACCTGACTGGCGAACACACCTGTGTCATGCTGAGAACACTCGATAGCGCTTCCTCCTCGGATCCTGCATGGCTCGGAGCATACGCTAAGGACTTCCACCGCAGATTCCTTAGTCTTTCATCTTATCAATTCCGCAAGTTCACCAGTGTGCAGGCTTTGAGTCTTGACGAGGCTGCCAACGCTGGAATCAAGCTCGACAGTAGCGTACAACCCAAGCCCCTCACCAAGGGTGAGTTGGACGATTTGTTCAGCCCCTTCGATCTCAAGCGTCTGGACAGCTACGCAAACAACATGCTGGATTACCACGTCATCCTTGATCTGCTGCCCAAGATCGCCGAGTTGTTCTTCACCGGCCGTATCAAGGGCGAAGAGGCTGTCAAGTTGAGCGGTGTGCAACAAGCTCTGCTCTACGCTATCGGTCTGCAACGCAAGACTCTTGAGGATCTCGAAAAGGAACTCGGTTTGGGCAGCAGCCAGCTGCTTGCCATGTTCGTCAAGGTGATGCGCAAGATGTCGACGCACTTCCGTGGCCTTGTTGAAGGAGCCGTTGCAGAGACCATGCCGAAGGGCATCGGTGGTGGTAACACTGAGGCCGACAAGATTGATGGCGAGGAGGAACAAAGATTTGCACCTCTGCAGCAAACTCTGGAGGATGACCTTGCTGAGGCTGGCGACGAGTACATGGCCGCCGAGAAGGAACGCGCTCGTGCTATGATCGACGCACTTCCTCTGGACAAGTACGCCATCGCCAACGGTGAGGCCGACTGGGACGAAGCCGAAAAACAGATTCAGAAGTCAGGAGGTCGCAGCGGTAAGAGCACAACGGTCAGCGTCAAGTCAAAGAATGCATCGAGCAAGCGCAAGGCCGGCGAAGCTCTTGAAGAGGCACAAAAGGAGGCAGCCAACTTCGAAGGCAAGAAGAGCAAGAAGGGCAAGAGTTCGAGGTAAAGTGGTGGTGGTCTGAATGATTTGCATAGAGGATGGAGTTAAGGGTGTACAAAGCCATGGGGAAGGGAAATATCCATTCTGTATTCGATATGTGTTTAGCAAATGTCATAATCCAACATTTCAAGAGGCGATGACCATGCGAGCTTAGTGTGACGAGTGACGGACATGCCATTGTTTGTCCGTTCGTCCTCGGACTTTTGAAAGCGCATCTCCGTTGCTGCGAACCGCATCTTTCACATCACCCAACAGTTGACTTCTACTTCACTTGGATAAACACAAACACCACGCTACATCGTAAACCGCATAATCATCCCACATACTCTGTCTTCATCTTAGAGATTCAGCTTTCAAGTTTTCCGCGACACTCAAATTTCAAAACAACCATGGCAAACGAACCACGGTATACGGCATCACCAGCGCAAACATCAAAAAACACATCTAACACAACTCCTAGTGGAGCATGGGCACGACCCCGTCCCTCAACCTCACGCACACCTCAACAACCACGGTCTTCGAACGCATCGCCCGCACCCGCATCCTCCTCCTCCACTGCTGCACCTGCTGCCGCGGCCGCCGCCGCGAAACCTGCTACTACACCAGCCGCACCCGCAGCAAACGTGTGGGCTCAACGGGCGGCAGCACAAAAGCCTGCTTCTGCTGCTGCGGGCAAGGCTGCGAAGAAAGAGCAAGGCGGTCCAGCTGCTGCAACACCGGCGGCGCATGAGAAGCATGTGCCGGTGAATAACTTTAATGATGGTGAGGTCAGGCAGATGATGGGACAAGGAGCGACGAGCTCTGTGTACAAGGTGGAAACAAGTGCGAAGACATTAAATCGTAAGTTTTTTTTTGGTATGACTAGGAGACACAAAACCACTGACACTCATCACAGCAGCCAGCATGGCAAACGGGAAGAATTTTTGGACTCATTTAGAAGAGCAAGTCGCAGCTGCTCGGCAAAAGGAAGGCGAGAAGCAGTAGATAATGACGGCTTCACTCAACATCCGATGCGCAACGAGCTGCACAGCTATAGAGAAAAACAGAGCGACTCTGCCTGACATAATTTATACCTTCGACCATCCCTCGACGCCCAAGATACCACCATCAGTAGCACTTGGATCCATGGACCACGTTTTGATCGGCCGCACCGACAACTGCGATCTCCAGCCCGCCTCCCACATTTCGATACCCGCCCACCCAATCATAGCCGCATTATCTGTGCACAGCTCGACAGGCGGGAAGAACAACTCAACATGGCTATAACCTCTGACGTCCAGGAAAGCACGCATCACATGGCGCAAGAAGCAGTTCGCTGCCACACCTCCAGATACAACCACAGACCTGACCTTGGCAGCCTCTGTGGGCGGCAGAGACGACAGGTGCAGCAGAACGCGAGAAGCGAGATGCTCAAAGGCTACGCGCATGACTTCTCTGGCCATGTCGCGGCGCTCATCGTCGGACAAGTCGCCTGGCTGGCGTATTCGGCTAGAGATGGTCGCGTTTTGGTGGTCGTACTCGAATCTAACAAAACGTTCGATGCTGCTCAATAGACCGGAGAAGGAATAGATCATCTTGCGACTGCTACTGCCGTTTTTGCTTCCGGCTAGGGGTGCACCTAGACCCCAGCCCCATTTTGTGACTCTGCGTGCGAGTTCGGCGTCTCTCTTTGCAGGTGCTGTGTAGTTGTAGTCCGATGCGCCAGCGGGGAAGGCGAATTGTTCGAGTGCGCGTCCGTAAGGAGGCACTGCTAGGTGAGGAGGCAAGATGGCGCGCGCAGCCTTGTCCAAGCAGTCGCCTAGCGCAATATCGCCAGTCGTGGCTAGGATCTTGTGATCGGCCAATCCAGTAGATTCGATCAACATCGAGTGACCTCCGGACACCAATGCACTAAGGAAGGGAAAGGTTGGTCCAGACGACACCTTGGATTCGAGTGCAGATACCAAGCGTGGAGTCAAGGCATGAGCTTGCATATGGTGGACGCCTATGACAGGAACGTTCCATGCCACAGCTAGTGCTTTGCCAGCATCCAGGCCAACCGACAGATTGGAGCGCATACCAGGTCCTCTTGTGGCCGAGATGAAGTCTGGCTTGATGCGCGAGGTGTTTCCATGGTGTAAAGCATTACAAGGATCCGAGTGTGGTTGCGAAGGTGGTAGATGGTTCAATGCCTCTTGCAGTAAGGGTGCAAGGGAGGATTGATGCGACTCGAGAGCGATGACGGGATGGATTCCGTTGTAAGCAGCTGTGTTGGCAGTCACTTTTTTGTGGAAGTGAAGGGTTGCTGAAGCATCTTTGTGTTTTTCGACGATGGCAACGGATGTGTCGTCGCAAGATGTTTCGATGGCAAGAGTCAAGAGTGATCGACACTGTGATGCAATTCGGTGGTGGCCGGGAAGAAGGCGAGTGCGTGTGAAGACACGCAAAGGTGACAGCATCAACGTGCGGGTGTGCTGAGATAGAAATCGAACATGAAGGTCGAAGGTTGGAAAGTGCAGAAGTGTATCGGACGTGAAAGCGCAACTGACTCCGATAGACGCTGCAAGGGCAGTTCGGCGGTTTCACCCCGCAGATCTTGCATGTCACCCACGTGGAGCCGCATGACGCGGCGGCTTCCCTGTTTCTCTAACAATGCGACCGCGCCTTTCCCATTCGTCCCACCATGTCTGTGTCGCAACCTTTTCTGTCGCTCGCGGTCTCTGTCCCTCTGCATGGCTTGACATGCAAATGCGCCCCTCTCAACCTGGCAAGATACACCCATGGCTTATGAGCTGCCGTCCAAGGAGAAGCTACGCGAGATAGCTGCCCGGCAAGATGAAAAAGAGAAGGAGATAAAGGCCGCTCGCGCCAAACGCCAATCTACGACGAACACCCCGCCGAACAAACAAGAGGCTGCCGCCGAAATGATCCAAGTCGGTGACGATCAACCTACGAATTTGTCTGCATGTGATTCTGAATCCGACCAGCGCAACTACCGCGGCTACCGAGAGCGTAGAGAAATGCGCGGCCTGGGTCTGTCTGCCTCTACAAGATGGTTTGATGTATGTTTCCTGCTCAGCTCTGTCCGTCCATATCTAACCCGATTCAGGCTGTCCAAGAAGGTACATAGTTCTTCGCCCACTGTCCAATACTCACTGCTCATGCCCGAGTAGCTCGTTACCGCAACAGTACCCAGCCCATGTCCCCCAATGAACGTGCCCGACACGCTTCCACCCAAGTCTCTACTCCGGGCAATCCTGTAGCTCGCGACAAATGGAACAGAGCAGGACAGATAGCAAAGCACGCCGAGAACGACGATACCAGTTCCGACGAAGATCTTGAAGACATGAATCCTCAAGACCGGGAAAGCTACGTTCAGCGCAAAAGAGAAGCCAAGGCCGAGCGAGAGAAGATGGCAAGAACCATGGGCATAGAATACTTCCTCGAGATGGTACGTCTGCATGCTTCTTGCGTTGAGCATTGGCTTATGCGCCTCTAGGTCGACCAAAAACATCGCTACGGCTCCTCGCTTCGGAAGTACCACAAGGTTTGGCAAGAAAGTGACACCAACGAGAACTTCTTTTACTGGCTGGACTTTGGCGGAGGTAAAGACGTCGAGCTTCCGGAACGCCCAAGGACCCGCCTAGACGAGGAGAGAGTGCGATACTTGTCACGCGAGGAACGCCAAAGATACCTGGTCAAGGTTGACGACCAAGGCTTGTTATGCTGGGCTAAGAATGGTGAACATATATCAACGTCTCCCGAATGGAAGGACTCTATGGACGGCATCGTGCCAATCACCGATGATACTACACCGACGTGGCGCAACACACCTGGTCGTCAGCAGTTGTCAGCATCATCGAGCGACGAAGAGAGTGATTCGGACATCAGCGTAGGCAGTGGCGAAGACGCATCTCGATATGTAAATCAAGAGTTGCACGACGCAAAAGGTCTCAGCAAGCTCAAACACCTCTCGGCCAACACCATCATGAATGACCTTCTACGGTAAGCAGACTGCGCATAAGCCACTATCAATTCCTGGGGCGTCTGGTGTACTGACCAATCTTCTAGAAAAACCACCAAGAAGAATACATGGATATTCGTGGCGGATACTTCGTTCCGTCTCTATATCGGCATCAAACAATCAGGGGCCTTCCAGCACTCCTCTTTCCTCAAGGGGGCCCGAATTCTATCAGCAGGCTTGATTCGTATCAAACGCGGCCAGCTGAGAAGACTGAGCCCCCTTTCTGGTCACTACGCGCCGCCAGCCAAGAGTTTCCGAGCCTTTGTGCACAGTCTTAAGGATACCGGAGCTGACATGTCTCGCGTGAGCATATCCAGAGCATATGCTGTCCTCGTTGGTCTCGAGGGCTATCTCGGGGCCAAGCGCAATCTGAAGCAAGGAGAGCAAAAAATCAAAGACGTGATCAACCCCGAAGCAGCCCGACAGCGTGAGGAAGCCGCCAAAGACAAGAGCAAAAGTGCTCAGAAAGAGCGAGAGATTCTAGAGGCACAAGCGCAGAAAGAAGAAGAGGCCAAGCGACAGAGCAGCATAACCGACCGGATAAAGAGCAAGCTGCATATTGGTAGCGAAGGATCTCATGACGGTTAGAGGCGGTCTTGTTCCTTCTAGCGCTATATATCCTTGCTTGCGCTCTCTTACGATTAACGATATCAATGCATGTAATGTCTCAGATTGAATGCCATCAAATCTCATGTCATTAGCTATACTTTAGTGGATTATACTGCGAGGACCTGCTCAGTGGTCACTGATCCAGGGGCTTCGGATCGTGAAATGTCCAGTGGTATGCTGGGCTCGACCTCGTCCGCCTGACGTTTTGCCTCTGGTGGCACGCTAAGCTCAGCATCATCAGCTTTGCGCTTTAGAGATTGTGAACCCTCAGCCTCTTTTGCTTCCGCCTTCTTGTCCTCCTTTGCTTCCGCCTTCCTTTCCTTCTTTGCTTGGTTCCCCCGTTGCTTTCTCTCCGATCTCGTCTCTTTCTTGCCAAAACTGATCTCGAGTTTCTCATCCACCTCGCGAGCGCGAGTCACGAAATCTTCTTCGTAGCCCATGATTTCGACAATGTCGCTGTAGCTCTTTGCTTGGTTCATGGGGCGGTACTCCTTTGCTCTGCCGTGTATCATTTGACCGAGGAGGTACTTTGTGTTGCCCCATCTGTTTTCGACGTCCATGGCCGTCTTGATGTATTCCTTGACCACCTGATCCCAAGGTGCCATGCCACCGTCTTTCTCGGAGCGGAAGCACGAGGGGTTTGTTTCTGCGGCTGTCGCGATCATGGCGCCATCCACGCCGTACTCCTCTGCTAGTTTGAGGGCTTCGTCTCTGCTTGTTACATCGCCGTTCATTAGGCATGCGACGCCTGCTTCGTGGCAGATCTCGCCGACCATGCGCAGTTGATCGCGGATGGCGCTTTCGCGTGGTCGCATGGGTGTCGTGCGGCAGTGGAGTGTGAGGCCAGTGATTCCTGTAGCGACCAGTTTTCGCACCAGCGCTGCTGTATCTTCAGGGTTGTCCAGCATGCGAATCTTGACACTGATGCCGATTTCAAAAGGTTCTCCTACTTCCTTGACCAGTGCTTCGAGGATTGCGACTAACTTGTCTGGTGTTTTGAGCAGTGCAGCACCCATGCCTCCGAGCGTGCTGAATGGTTTGGGACATCCTGCGTTCACGTCTATGCCGGCTACATCTCCAGCGATCAATTTCGAGGCCGCGACAGCTCTTTCTGGATCCGAGGTGCCGATTTGGTGGATGAGTTTGCCGCCTTCGAGAGCTGGGTATAGTCTGTAGATGATGCTTTCGCGCTGCGAAGGGTTGAGGTCTGGGTTCTTGGAGCCATTGGAGGAGAGGCGGGTGAAGTCGATGGTGTTTGTGACGGGGTTGACGCGGCGAGTTGTGCCGATGAGTGCTTTGTCGATGGTCTCTGGACCTGTAGACACTCTGTCAGTACATTGTCGTCAAGCTGGAACAAAGAAGACATACCCCATACGAGATCAGCACCATACTTCAAGGCCATCAGTCGCGAAGGACACTCGCCGCTGCGGACCATGGGTGCGAGGACCACTTTGCCGCGGTAATCGACGCCATTCTTGGGGATAGGGACTCTCTTCGCCATGCTGCCTGTCATGATATGTGTAAATGTTCGTAACATCCCATGACTTGGAATGTCAAGAGAAGGCGCAAACCGCTCCCGTCGATGCAAAAAAGTGGTCCGGGGTCGAGGCCCTTAACGCCGAGAAAGCTTAATTTCGCTCACCTCCGAGATCCAAAGGCGCTGAATCTCTGCTTCCTTCTTGACTAATCATCTTCAATATTCATGAAATTGATCTTTTCTATGGCTTGTCGTCTAATCCATCTTCTGCTTCCGTCTATCGATGCCTTCGCTCATCAGGACCGCCACGTCTTCCGCTGTCTTTCCTCTGTTCCTCCTTTCGGTCTTTTCATTGCCCAAATCCGTGCCATGAGCAACCAAGTCATATGTCCTAGCAATGCCTCCAAATATTGACTCTTCACCTTCAAATCCGCCATCTTCTGCCAGAGTAGCTTCGATCTCCTCCATCTCTCGTACCCAACGGTAAGCTTTAGGTGGCATTCGAGGCATTGAAGCATTGGCCAAGTCAAACGTCTTTGGACTGTATTGTTGTAGATGTTCCTGCAATTCGGGTAAAACACCAAGGCGATGAGCAGTGGTGAACGATTGGATAGCCAGTCCTGTGAATCCCTTTGTCAAACATGCGAAACTCATCTTCAGTCCTGAGGCTGCGCCTATATCGTCTGAGATGTGTCGGGCGCCGAGGATAGAGGCGAGATGAGATCCACTGGGTTCTGCATCTTCCAGTCGATGGGGTCCAGACATGGGAATACTGGGTCTCTTCCATGATTCAATTTTTGATGAGTCGGACTGGTCGTCTTTCAAACTTGGCGCACTGCCTATCACAGCCCCATCGATGAAACGGATGCGACCGCCAGCAGTTTCGAAGAGCTCGTTGATACTTCTGATCAATTTGGGGGAGACCGCGTTCATGTCGAGGAACCACAGGGGACGCTCTCTCCTGGAAAACGTTGAGGTCGTGCTGACCTTCGAGATTCGTTCCGCAGTAGCCACTGCGTCTCGTGGTGGCACGATAGAGATGATGTAGTCTGATGTTGCTGCTAGTTCTTCATCTGTAGACACCAGTTCTACCGATGCTGACTTTGCTCTGGCGTGTGTATCTTGACTATGTATATGGTGTTAGATATCAATCATTACCAATCTGTATGAGGCCTTGGTTGATGACATGCCTGCGACCAGTAACGTTGGTAGTGACGCGGTAACCACTTGCTACGAGCAGCTTGGCTATGCCTAGCCCCATCTCACCAATCGAGATGATGCCTACTACGGCCCTTGAAGCAGCCATATGAGATTTTCCACAGATTCTTGATATCGTTGTTATGGAAATGATAAACTATACACGTTCCGCGTGTCGACCGATGACGAGCGGGGTGCTCCTGCCGAGGGACGCATCATTAAGCCCAACTCGGCAATACTAAACCTCCATCATTGGTCAAACAACATACATTGCTATATTCCTCGACGTTGATTGCCATGATCCCTAAAATCCCAATACATCGTATACCTCTATCTCCTCGTCTTATTTGTCCCTCCACCATCCGCACAATGGCAACCGTCCGCTCCTCTCTCAGCCATGAAGAACGCACAGCCCAAGAACCACGTGAAGCACGTCTAGAGCCCGTCACAGTATCCCGCATCGATGCCGTCAACGACACTATCCGCTTGATCAGGCTAAGTGCCATGAAACCTGACCATGCACTAAAGGTTCATATGTCCCTCCCAACATCCTACTAATTCACAACTCGGACTAACAGCCGACTACCAAAGTAAAGTTCCTCCCAGGCCAATGGCTAGACGTCTTCATCCCCTCCTTACCAAAAGCAGGAGGCTTCACCATAACCTCCACACCTTCGCACCAAGGCACCCCAACCTCCAATCGAGCAGCCTACTTCGAACTCGCCATCCAGAAATCAACCAACCCACCCGCTCAATGGCTCTGGAAACCCGAATCTGAGATCCTGGACGCACGGATTATCGTTCGCACAGGGGGCAGCTTTGTATGGCCACCACCTGGTATCGACGTCGACGAGATTGAGCAGGTGGTTTTGGTGGCAGGGGGTGTGGGGATTAACCCGCTGATATCGATTTTTGCGCATTTGATGAGTTCCAAAGAGAGACCGAAGAAGGTGAGGTTTGTGTATGGGACTAAAGTTGAGGAAGTTTCGATCAAAGCTTCGAGGATCCTGTTTTTGACTAGATTGATGGAGTTGATCAAGGAACAAGGAGATACTGATGTGCAGTTGGATCTGTTTCTTACTGCGACATCGCAGAAGGAGATTGATGGAGCTGCAGATCTGCCTGAACATGTCAAGGCAGGAAGAATCGAGAAGGATGACTTAGAGGCCGCGATTGGGGAGGACCGCAGTGTCAGGCAGGCGACAGTGGCGTATGTTTGCGGTCCTCCTGTCATGACCGATCAGTTCGTGGACTTTCTGAGCACGAGGGACGGCATGGACAAGCGGAAAGTTCTGTGTGAGAAGTGGTGGTAGTGCCGACTAACAGCATGATCCTGGCTTCGTAGTAGGATCATGGATCTCCTTCGTATCAGGCATAGAACTAGAAGAGAAGAGAGGATATTGGAACAGTGAGCATTTGCATTGAACAAAACTACAACCAAAACAAGTGCCTAAATACCAACTCAAATCTGCCTAAACATCAGAAACTCATGGCGAGGCTCCAGGCATTGGCGCAAGAGGACCGTCGTGACCCATCCCATGCTTATCGAAAACACTTCTCTTCTTCATCATCTTGCGACCATGCATACCGTTGAGGTAATTGGTGGCGTACGTCCTACAAGTAAACGATACGCTGCTGCTCGAAGGGACAGCGTAGCTTGTCACGACCTGTGTGACAGTGATGAAGTTGCCACCTCCAGCTGTGATCGTAATCACTTGTGGACCTGTCGCCGTGGAAACAACAGTCTCACCCGGAGCAGTAGAGACCACCGTACGCTCTGATATAGACACCGAGATAGAAACTGTGGTCGTGGTGACTGTGCGCGTGCTTGCTGGCGGATACACGACGCTGACGGCTGTGCTGACACCATATGTCGAGAGTATCGTTTGTCCATTCGAGACGATGGTTGACACGGCAGTCGAAACTGCATAGACGGTCGATCCTGGGCCCGTTCCAGGGCCAGTCCCAGGACCTGTACCTGGACCTGTGCCTGGACCTGTACCTGCTCCCGTGCCCGGACCTGTACCTGCTCCCGTGCCCGGACCTGTGCCTGGTCCAGTCCCAGGTCCTGTCCCGACTCCTGTTCCTGGGCCGGTCCCCGGGCCTGTACCGGCTCCAGTTCCCGACCCATTACCTGGAGCCGAACCTCCTCCATTGCCCGATCCTGAGCCACCACCTCCAGCAATAACTGTGGTCACACCTCCGGGAAGGACAGTTGTGACACCACCAGAACCTGGAGCTGTCACAGTGAAGGTACCAACGACGGATCCGGACCCATAATCACCGTTACCTCCAGTACCTTCATTGCCAGTTGTGCTGTTTCCAGAGCCAGTCGATCTTGAAATGAGACGAGCAGAATCGGCATCTGGATCGGTGACATTCGTGTAACCGTTCTTCAGCTCGCAGTTGCCTGAGGTGAGAGCCGAGGAGAAAGAAATGGCCAAACAAGGGCTGGGTGAGTTGAAGCTCATAAGGTTGTACATGTCGCAAGCATCGATGCAAGAGGCCAGAGAGCTCACATTCGAGGTGAAGATGGTTTGGTCAGTGACACTTCGTCCGCATCCGATCTCATAGACTTGACCCAAGCTATCCGTGAACAACCTGCCGTTCGAGGCAGGACAGATCGGTACTGCTGTGGCGCTGTTTCTCGGAGCAGACCCGGTAGCCACGATTGTGGAAGTGGGAGAACTGCCTGCACCAGGTCCTGAACCTTCACTCAAGGATGCAAAAGAGCTTTGAGGAGCCACGCCGAAACTGCTGAAGTTGGATCCGAACAGTGTACCACCCCATCCGAAGCCTTCTGGTGGACACATGCCGGGAGTTGGGCAAGCAGTAACATATTCGGTGGTGAAGACAGTCGTTGTTCCAACAGATCCAGATGCTTGAGGAGCAGAGCATGCACTAGTAGTAGCGGTGTTCACGGGAGGAGACTCGTATGTGCCACCTCCAGTCACTACGGTGGGAGTCAAGAAGCAAGTGAAGCACAAGGAGCCTGAGCCGGTACTTCCGCTACCAGGGGGCAGACTGCCGCTAGAGGGTAGTCCTGTTGTAATGAGCGTACTGACGACAGTGACTGTGGCACTCGCAGGATAAGCTATATGGCAGTCAGTAAAGATGAAGACTTTGTGATCTCATGAATACTTACATGTAGTGATAGTGATTGTTGCACTGCTGCTGCCAATGCTCGCGAATGATGCTGTAACCGAGCTTGTCGAGCTCGATGATGGGGAGAGTCCAGGATCGGTTGCACCAACACGCACAGCAATCATGAAGCCCGTGCCGGGTACCTGAGTGCCAGTAAAGGTAGATTTCATCTGACAGGATGAAGCCACTGTGTCGTAGACCACACCGATACATCCTGTTGTGACATCGCAGCTAGGTAAACAACCCAGAAGAGAGGTAGCGCGGTAAGGGCTGGAAAGATCGCCTCCTTGGACATTCAGATGACAAGCGACAGTATAATTGGCTCCGTTCGAATCTGTGTATGTTTGACCAGCAGCTCCGGGACACGATGGTGCAGCAGCGGACGACGGTGCCGCTGACGAAGAAGAAGTAGACGATGGCGTGGATGAAGAAGGGGAAAGCAAGATACTCGATAGAGAGATAGAACTGGGAATCGAGACTGAAACGGAGGTTGGCAGCGAAGATGCTGTCGGCGACGCGATAGCAGCGTCTGTGGCCGTTGACGAGACCGGTACGGGAGGTAGAAGAGTAGCGGCGACATTATCAGGATCAGGCACAGTACCTGTGATCTGGCTGAACAATGTACACTCGTCACCCTTGTAATTGACACCGACACAGCCAGACGTATCGTCGCAGATATCAAGACAGTCCGTGTATGATGGCTCGGTCACACGCTTGATTATGCGTACTCTGCTGGGATCCATGGTGGCTCCCGTGTATGAAGTTCCGCACCCGACATTGAAGTTGGCGCCACGAGCATTGGAGCAGGTTATTGGCGTGTTGGAATTGCAGATACTATCGACACTCGAGGGACATGGTGGAGCGACGTAGTAGATAGTTTGAGGGGCTTCGGAAGAAGTGGCCAACGGCAAACTGGATGTTACTGATGCAGAAGGTGACACACTTGGAGGCGTTGACGCTGATGAGAGCCCGGCACTCGACTTTGTGGCAGGAGCGCTTGAGCTAGCTGCAGCAGAGCTCTTTCCAGATGATTCCGAGGCAGACAAGGACATACTAGGCAGGATGCTAGAGCTTGCCATCGCCGAATTCGAGGCAGCCGCAGACGAGGCACTGAAAGTGGAATTTGGACCCTGCGAGAGGAAAGCGACAACGAAATCAGAAGTAGCCGATGAGGGGCTGCTGAACTGGTCTTTGAAATGGCAAGTGCCTGCCGATGTACCTTCGAAGGTGAAACCAACACAGCCATCCGTGACATCGCAGATAGTCATGCAGGCCGTGAAACCACCTCCGTGAATCATCGTATTGTTGAAAGTGCTCACGTTGGTGTCTGAAGAGCAATACACATTATAGGCAACTACGTTCTCGTCCACATACACGGAGTTGTTCGCCTCAGGACAAGTCGATGCTTGGGCAGTAGGTCGTAGAGTGGCTGTTTTTGGAGGAGTGGAGGATACCGAGATCGTTGCCGTTGCTGTCGATACCGTCGATGAAGCGGCAGATCTCTTCAAGCTTGCCAATATAGCGATAAAAGTGTGACCATCGTATTCCAGATCGCCTTGACCAGTCTTGAGTATGCAAGTTCCAGCTCCGTTACCACCGAGGTGAGTGACTCCACCGCACCCAACTGTAGCATCGCACAGCTCTATGCAAGCTTCGAAGCTATTGACTGTCTGACCATCACCGTTAAGATTTTGGCCTGTGAGATCATAGCCACAGCTGATGGTGTAGTTTATGCTATTATAATCTGTGTAGTTCTTGCCATCGAATGGGAAACAAATGAGTGGAGTGGCCAAAGCGGTAGCTGTAGATGAGGTCGTAGAAGATGCGGAAGATAGCGGTCCACTGTATGGTACTGAGAGTGGCAAAGAAGACGTGGACTGGCCCATACCAGGGTTGATGATACTGCCACTGACACTGACAGGTGAAGATGAAGTCACGGGTACAGTGCTGGTCGGGACAGAAGATGGATCCACATTGACCGGCAATTGGTAAACCTTGATCGAGTTGATCTCCCAATAAGCTTGTGTAAAGTTCTGAGGATTGTTGCCCACAAAGTCGACACAAGAGTCGTAGCCGTTCATGCCAGGTGTTATTGGACACTCAGGGAAGTTCGAATATGCAAATCCAGCCCATGCGCCACAGAAGTCGGTGTTGATAATGATACTGTGATTAGCAAAATGAGTATCGATGTCGCAGGAGCCTTGGAAATTCGCCATGGGTAAACCAAATTCGGAGATGTCAGGAGTACCCTCGGTGACACTGACGGGGATACTGCTACGAGCAAAAAACCAAACACGGACAAATGCTGACGTCCATTCAGTGATGTAGACACCACCGCCGTTGTCACTGAGTCCTTGGCCATAATTGTTTGGGGTCGCAGTGTCGTTTGCCATACTTCCACAGCCAGAATTGTCGTTCGCATCGTGGTCGCAGTTAGCACTCGTGAACAAACCAGTCTGTCCAGAACCAGCAATGGTACAGTTCGAGTCGGTGTGCATAGAGATGGTGTTTGTCTCGCTGGTATGTACGCCCTCGATGATATCTTGACTTAATTAGTAGGGACTAGCATAAACAATAGCAGCTGAGTTTGACCAACCTATCTCGCCATTGGTCGGCCAATCTGGCCCAAGAAGCCAGAACGCCGGCCATGTTCCACAACCATATGGCATGTGGTTGAGATCCAAGATGAATAGACCATGAGTATACGTGTTGTCACTGATGAGTCTGACGGCTGGTCTTCCCGGCCCTCCACTCGGCCATTTGTTTGTCGTATCAACGCTGATCGTAACACTGTCGTTGTTGGTAGTCGCGTAGCCATTTGTGGTGGCCACTGATCCGTTCACATATCTGTCGTGCCAAATCAGCAAGTGTAGTGTAGCAAGATGAATCGAACTTACTGAACATGGCCATATGTCGGGTCATATGACTACTGTATTTCAGTGTCGTGTCATACCAACTTCGTAGAAGTAACTTACGTTGTAGAAGTTGAATTTACTGAAGAAAACACTTGGCTCATAGTCATCAACCAGTTCGTATGCTCCTGATCCAGGTATACCGCCACCTTTGAAGAAGCTTGCACCAGGAATACTCTGAGATACAGCAGGCAAAACAAGAGAAAGAAGTGGCAAGAGTCCAATGCCGAGTGATGATGCCATTGATGGCATTTTCGCCATACGTCTTCACGAAGATCCGGACAGTGGAGAGGGAAGTAAAGACTGGCCGTGCTACCTACATCGAAGAGTCTACACACGCGCGAGTTCGATATGTTGTTGTGGCGGCGTGATAACATTCCTTATACCGTCAATTACATTCCAAAGCGCGCGCCTAGGGCGAGGCCCAGGTACGAGGAAGCTGCGACAACATTCTCAGACACTTGGTCGCTACACTAGCATAATCGTCGAGAGTTGGCGAGGTTGAAGAACGTAAAAACTAGATTGATAGTCACGCGGTCGAAAGCCGACGCGATGAAACTCGAGACGCTGCACCGACCTCGGCAAGGCATAACAGATTTTTGATGATGAACAAATTGCATTTCCTATTACCACACATAGTCCAAGTGATTCTAGAAGAGACCCACAGACAAAACAGACTATTGAACAGATCTTTTTCCAATACATCTCCATCAAGGATACTCGAATATCGCCACAGTGTCTGCGAAACCATTAGGATTCGCGGTTGCTGGCACAAGATCCACTCCATCGACCGAAACCAGGTTCTGAGAGCCCACCGTGTTGACTGCGTATAGATATATGCCTTGGCTTTCCTCGACGCTCACCATGTTTTGTTGACAGTTAGTGGTTGCTAAACATCCAGAGTCGTAGTTATTGAAGAACGAATACATTCCAGCACCGTAGGCAAAGACGTATGTGCTATTGAAAACACGCAGGCCCCATGTCTTTGGACAATTGGAGGTAAAGCACTCGGCAAAAGTCGGGTCATTCCAATTAGACATTGGCGGGTACGGCGCAATTGCATTGGGATTGTTCTGCATGTAGCTTCGGATCTGTCAGTACGGGTTGGAAGTGAGGAGACATCGTGACTTACGCTGTTTCCGACTGAATAGCGCTGATGTAGATCTCCTTCGCAGAAGCGATTTGGTAATTGTAAAGCATGCTGTGCTCGAAAGACGTGCCTACCATCCAGACAGGACCTTGACTTTCGACCAAAACTCCGCGGCCGCTGTAGAGGTTGATTTGGTTGTGATCTAGGAGAACAGTCAGCTTTTAAAGATCTAGGGTTGACGACTCTTCTTCTTACCGGCCAAGTCCATTTCATGATCGCTGACCCAGCCCCAGTTGTTGGCCATATACATGGAGGCCGTTCTTGTGATATGAAGAAGTAAGAAGGCACCATAACATGCAGGATTGGGTACGGTGGGGACGTTGGGTGTTTTGGCACAGTTGTATGATTGTAATTGAGTGCCGTTGGTACCACCAATACGCCAGTGGACATCGAACATTCCTGCACGTGAGAGTTAGCAAGAGGTGATTCTTGAACAGAGCAAACGACTTACCAGCAGAGCCTGGCGACGACTGAGCGAGGTTCCACTCCATCATAATCGCGCCAGGAGCAGGACCCAGAGTCTGGAATATGAGTTCAACAAGTTCGATGTCACCAACCTGGCCGGGCTCTCCAACGCGGAACGCAGGCTGAGGATTGTTCTTGTCGCTGAACTTTGGTGCAGTACCGTCCACCATGAAGTAAGGCCATAGCTCGCCCTGGACTTTGATCGGGATCGGGAAATTGATGGTATCTCTGATGACATAAGCACCGTAGTCGATATAGGCAATCTGATCTGGTGTGATCGAGTTCAAGAAGCTTTGTACGCAAGCGGTATCGTCACTGACACCATCACCTGCACAACCATAGGTCTTGATCGACTTGAAGTTCTCAACAGGAACACCCTCATACTGAGGTCTGGACCGTGTGAAAAACGAGCCATCAGGAGTCAGCAAGGACGGAGATTTAGGGGCAGGATCGGCGACTTGTTGGACACGCGCATATCTGGCCGCGGGTCCATAGCAAGTAAGGTTGTTTTCTTCGTAGGTTGACTCATAGGCAGTATAGACTCTGCCCTGAGCCCACGATGCAACTCTTTGGTTTCCTTCAAGAAGAGTGGCATTGCTAGGAGAGAGCTGGACCGCGACCGGAGTGTTGACAAAGTTTACGTTGTCGAGAAGGAAAGTGCCAGCAGAGACGGGTGTTGAGTTGGTGGAGAAGGTAGTGAGAACACCAATTTCTACGTTGTTCATGACCGCATCTTGCAGACTAATGGAACCAGTAGTGATGACGTCTCCACCTTGTGTAAGGTCTATACCAATCCTAGCATTGTTGATGACAACATCCTTGTAAGCAAACAGCCAATTCCAGTTCTGGTAGATGGCGGTCTGACAATTATTGAAGGTCAAGTTTCGACAGGTAAACTGCTGGTTGCCAGAGAAGAAGCCAACAGATCCACCATTGAAAATCAGGTCTTCTAGATATAAAGCCGATCCATTGTCCATGAAGATGCCCTAAAGGTAGTCAGCAACAAAAGTTGTAGTGTCGAAATCATTCAAACCAACCATTTGCTGGTTGTCGTCGCCACCCTCAGTCATCTCGAAGACAATGTTCTGCAGTGATGTTCCTTGAGCGACTTGCCAATGCAGACAATGTGCTGTGCCAGGGGGTATTTGACGAATGTCCAGGACGAAGTTGCGGACTTGGCGCCACATATTGTTCTACAGCACCTTTTGTTAGCACCGCACTGTCATCGTAAAGTGGGCTGACATGCCTGATTTGCCCACCAGCTGTATCCGAAAGCCAGATAAGGATCCGAGTCAAGTAGAGCAATACCATAGAAGTTCGGCATGCCCATAATCACAGGCAGATTGTTGGCATCTCCGATGAACTGTGTGTAGTACAGCATGACGAGCGGTCTGCTGATGGCATATGTGCCAGGAGGGAAGTACACGATAGCCGGGGTGGTAGTTTGTGAGTCGCAGGGGTACGCGCATCTGTTGCCATCGTAGGTTGCATTGTTGATAGCATCAGTGTCATCGGTCACTCCATCGCCTGCCATCTGTTAGATCGATGAACATCAGTGTAGACAGAGCCAGACTGACCCTTAGCACCATAGTCCAAGACGTTTCTCCACACAACATACGAAGCGTTTGTGCCGTACACGACTTTGCCTTGTCTGGTGATTTCGGACATCCAGTAGGGAGCCCCTGAGCCATATCGCTTCACATGGTTTGTAGTATGCAGCGGACCTTCCTTGTCTGCTTGAGCGTGAACCTAGACATAGATGAGTACTTGAAATGCGAGTGTTGCAATAGCGACCAACTTACGAAAGTAGGAGAGAATGAGCACAACAAAAGAGTGACAAAGGCCAACAGAGGGAGTAATCGCAATCGCGCCATGATCTGTATCAATGAGCGAGATTGGAAATCTCTCGAGAGCGAGAGGATAGAAAAAAGTTGGACATATTGCAGATGGCAGAGTAAGCGGGGTGGACGAGAGATGGATGTTTACGAGAGCGTGTAGAGGAATGGAGATTCCTGCCGCGAGGACTCTTCACGCAAGGAAGCTGCGAGGAAGCACGCCCAGCCAGGCAAATTCCTCGCATCCACGGGGCAAATCAGTGGCTCAATGGCTATTCCTGAACACATTGAATGTCCATTACCAGTCCTGAACGTGTTGGGAGTCCAGTAGTTAATTCCTGGAAAGGCCGAGTCTTTGTTCCTTGGACCTTGTGTCCTTCCTTGGACCTTTGGAAGGATCGAAGACAGAGTTGCCAAAAGGATTGATGTCTCCGCGTTGCTGATGGTTCTTCTCCTGGTCCTTCTTGAGTTTGTTGGTATCATAAGTAGCGATGTCGTCCTGAACGAGAGTGATCTTGGTGGGTTGTCTACGAAGCATGATTGTGGTGTTGACAGATGTATTCGTTTGTGATTTGGTGTGAGGAATTGATTGAAATGGTTTTGAGATGGTTTCAAGATGTGGATTGAGTGGAATGAAGAATCAAGCGTGATACCAAGATATGGTGACAGAAGATTGTATAGCGATAGAACGGCAATGAATGTTTGATGTTGTTTCGGGCTTTATTCTGGATAACGCTACACATGGTCTGTGCTTTCCTCGATGGCCAGAATTTGGGAACATGCAAGACAGCAAGCATACCGCGTGCCCGTGACTTTTTGCAATTCACCATTCTCACAGCCCCATCGCCATGTTCAAAAGACAACCACTGACGGCCGTCTCATCGGCGAGACCGCGATGCTCCGTCAGCATCCGCGCGCAGTCGGTGCGCTCCTACAGCGACATCAATTGGGCCAACCGCCAAAGAGGCCAGGAAAAAGGCTCAAACACCATGCGTACGCTCAATCGTCTATCCTATACTACTGTAGCCATGACTAACCTACCACAGCAACAAACCCGGCTCCTGAACACAAACCCACACCGCACAACCAACCTGCCACTGGTCGCTCACGGCAACAGCGCGCCGCCCAAGTCTCAGAGGAAGTCCGCATGCTGAACCGCGGCAGCACCGCCGCCACCGTCTCGGGCGGCAACAACAGCGTCTATCCCACAACTCGCTCCAAGGATGTCGACGCAGACGCCGTCGGTGGTGGAAGTGGACAAATGGGGGCCAACGACTCTACAACCCGCGAAAGTGCTTTCAACCAAAGCCCCGGCCGCCCTGTCCGTGCCGGTAGAGCCGCCGACGAGTCGAGATCCGAACACACATCCTCCGGCGTCGTGGTAGATCCCGAGGAAGGCGGTGAGGCAGTACTGAGAGACAATCAGGGAGAAAGAGGACAGCAAGAGGCGGTAGAGGAAGAGGAGGCACTAGACGAAGACGAAGAAGGCAGCGACGAACTCGGTCCCGACCCCCTGGGCGAATCCACAGCAAACGAGCTCACCATGCTCGAGCAGTTCGACAAGCAAGAAGTCACAGCCGTGCCCTTTGAGCCCGAGACCGTCTCGCGCGACGAGTACCTCAAGCTCGGCCAAGGCGGTGCCACAATCGCTGCTGGAAACTTTGCTGGTGTCATCGAGGATCGCATCAAGATTGTCGCCGAAGCCCAGCAGGACGAGTTCCGCTACCCTCCCCATATCGCCAAGCGCATGCTCAAGGGCGAGCTTGTCTCATTCAAGGACGAAGCCGAGAAGGAAGCGGTCCTTGCGACCGTCAAGAAGGAGGACTTCAAGTTTTCTGCCCTCAACTCCAACAGCCAAAACGTCATGTTTGACAAGTTCGTTCGCGGCACATACCCCGATCCCAAGGCCGCGACACACAAGAACAAGATCTTGAACGAGATCGCCAGCACCATTTCGCGCAACTCCACATACCTCAGCAAGGACTCGACTAAGCTCCTCAGAAAGATCGGTAGCTTGTTGCCTTCAGAGGCCGCTGCACGCAAGCCCGCCGCTAACCCCAAGAAGTAGAAAATCTCTCTCTAGGGGTTTGTATAATAGAAATGTATCTTTCTTGTAACAATTTACGACTATTGAATCACTTCGTTCACACATCTACCAATCCCCGTCGTCATTCTGCCTCATGGCCTTTGATCGTGCTCTCAGCGCTTCTGCCAAACCTCCTGCTAGACCACCAGTTGGTGGTGTGGATGTGCCGCTGTCTGTGCCACTGCCGCTACCTCCTGGCGCAGGAGGTGCTGGTTTGCGCCCTGCCGGTCGCTTTGCTGGTGGCGGTGGGGCCATCTTTTTGCCTGCCACAGCGCCATTGGCCTTTGGTGGTGCTGGAGGCATCGAGCGTGCCTGCACTGGCGGAGGAGGTGGAGGCGCTGGTTTCGCGATCACTTCTTCCAGATATGCTGATGGTGCCCATCCTGACGCTGAGCCGTCCATGCGTTTTGCGAGCCACCATCCTAAGTAGTTATTAGCTTGTGCTCTTGTATCTCGAGATTATATAACATACCATTGTTTTCCTTTTGAGTGATCAGAATAATCTCATCCTTTGTGAGACTGAGTTCACCACTTGTTTGACCAGCAAAGTCGTACATCGCCCGGAACTGTGGTTCTTTTGGCGCCGCTGCAGCAGGTGGTGGAGGTGGAGGCGGAGCGCGCCCTGAGCCTGATCGCGAAAGCCCGGTACCATTCAGTGCTGCTACGGGTGCGGGAACTGGCTTGTGGCCCAAGGCTGCTTGTACAGCGGCAGCAGCTGCTTCAGGAGTATTGACAAGTGTCGAGGAGGGTAGGCCTGATGGTAGCCCTTGGTTGCTGCTTGGTATAGTCACTGGAGTAGCTTGGTTTCTGCTTGGTAGACCTGCTGGGATACCTTGGTTTCCGCTTGGTAGAGCACGAGCTTGTGGTACGGGTCGTGATTGAGGTGCTGGCCGAGAGGCCAATTTTGACGGCTGGCCACCAGGACCTCCAGGTCTGAGCAGCTTACCGCTGGTAATGGGTTTGCCAGGGATGGACTTGGCTTTCGGAGTAGGCTTAGATACAGAGTTAGGAGGCTCACCGGGTCCAGTGTGAACAGTACCACTCTTGTACAGATCATCGCGAGGAACAGTTGAATCCTTGACAACCTTGACAGTTGCAAGTTTACCAGGCTTCTTGTTGTAGCTGATCGCCTCGGCGATGCGAATATCGACTGTGCCACGCGATGCCTGCTTCAACATGGTGAAGAACTCGGTCTTGAAAATGCAATTCACCAACGGGTCGGGCTCTTGGGGAGATCCAGCACCAATTGCAAACCAATCGTCCTTGAGCGTAGAGGCGCTCACGAACTTGATGGCACCGATAGCGATGGTGCGCTCAGCCATGATCTGCAGCTGCTTGTTGAGAATAGCTTGCTTGACAAGGTACACACTCTTGTTGGTCAAGATAAGGAAACGTGGTTCCGGCTTGCTAGAACGTCCAAGTTTGGAGACGAGGAGTTCGCAACGGCAAGAGAACAACACCTGGTCAGAGCTGGGCAAGTTGATCGACTTCCTGATCATCTCACCAGATCCACCATTGTTTCCAATGCCGAGATAGTCACCCATGAATCTTCTGTAACCAACCAGAGAGTAACGTCTACGCTCTTTGCGGCCTCCAAGTACTTGGTGACCTTGGTCGCGCAGTTGTATAAACTCCATACCACCCGTCTTGCGTCTCCAGAAGCGTTGAATACGTGTTGCACACTCTATTCTGTAGCGGAGATAGTTGCGCCAAGCTCGCTGGATTCTGATAGCCATGTTGTGCCAATACCTATCGCGCATGGTCTCAAGCGCGAACAGGGTCTCGGGAGTCTTGATAAATGCCTTTGTGACACCCATTTGATACTCTTCGACAGGGATACTGCTGTCTTTGAGAATCTGCTTGACACCAGACTTGGCGTCGCCGGTCCAGGTGTAGTCTCCAGCATAACTCGTCTTGGGCGAAAGCAGGTAGAAACGTTCCACGAACTTGTCGAATGTTTGTCTGTAGGCAAAACCAGCACGACGGATGCGGACGTTCTCCTGGAGACCCAGGTACTTGATTTGATGCATGACGTTTCCAACGTTGTATTCAGTAGGCGACTTGTTCTCGTTGGGCTTGATTGTGCGGATATAAGAAGGCGAAGCTTTCATCAATGTAGAGACCAGGTCGTTGGCAGAGGCTTTGATCTTATCACCAGCAGTAGGAGGACGTCGCTTGTTATCCTGGTCAACCTGGTTAGGGAACAGAGTGTGGACGAAGTTGTTCGAACTCTGTCCACAGAGGTTAAGAATATCCTTCAATAGCTGATCCTTGTTCTTGTCGGTCATTCCCTCGACAGCGTAGGCCACATCACCAGCATAATGCTTAATGACGAACTGACCTTGTCTCGGCGCGAAGTTGGGATTTGAGGACAGGGCATTCAATTTCTGAGCAAAAGAGCCATCCGCAGCTGCAGGGTCAGCGTGGGCAGTCGCACAAGCATCATTCAGTGCCGCAAAAACGCCAGGAGGTCTCTTTTCCTCGATCAACTCGCACACGACCTTGTTGTCGAAGTACTTGATCGGGGTCCATGTAATTTGCTCTCTCTCATACTCGTCTTGCTCGGCCTTGAGAGTCAGCTGAATGAAAATCTGCTGCAGCTTTTCGTTGACGTAGTTAATACAGAGCTGCTCGAAACTGTTGCGCTCGAAAATCTCGAATCCGTAGATATCAAGAATACCGACTGACTGGGCAACTACACCCTTAGCCCGGAGTGACACGTTGACTCTTTGCACAATCCAATCGAAAAGATTGTAGTAAATACCCTTGGCCAGGGCATCCCTGACAGAGGTCGCTTGCGCCGGGTTGAGAGGAACGTCATAAACAGATCCTCTACGGCCACCGCGGCTAGTCTCCATGACTCTAATGGTCAAAGCCTTGTTGACATGCGCTGAGTCGACCTCGAGGAGGTAGGCGACAAAGTCAACCACAGACTGATCTGCGATGGCGGCATTTCCTTGGTCGTCCTCGGTAAATGTGCAGTTTCCGAGCCAGAGGATTGCAGCAAGCATGCGGAAGATGTCGTCTTGCTCGGCTTGCGACAGACCAATAATCTTCATAGCATTCAAAGTGTCCTGGAACTCGGCGTGGTCATCAATTCCCTGCACATCGTAGCACTTGGATGCGCTAGTGTAGACATAAGACTGAGGTTGCTGAATGCCGAAAGTCTGTCTGTAGTTCTCGGAACAGGCCTTTGTGAACTGGTAGAAGATATGGAAGTTTCTCTCGTTCGTGATCTGACCAACAACTCTTGACTTTTCCAGTAGGTAGTTGGTGATATTGGCACCAACCGGCTCACCCTGAGCGTTGAACTGGATCTCGAGGTACTTTCCAAATCGCGAGGAGTTGTTGTTGCGCAGCGTCTTTGCGTTTCCGAAGGACTCGAGCAGAGGATTTGTGGCCAGGACCATGTCTTTCACCTCTTGAATGGACGAGTTGCTGCCACCAGACACGTTGGCGATGTATTGCATGATACGCTTAGCCGCCTCGGTCTTTCCGGCTCCTGACTCTCCCGAAATGATGATACATTGGTTCTCTTTGTAGGCGTTCATGTTGTAGTAGGAGGACTCGGCGATGGCGAAGACGTGAGGAGGCACCTGGAACATGTCAGCTTTGCGACAATGCTTTGGCTGAGAGACGCACTTCTAATCGGTTCTTTCCCTTGTAGCTGTCAAGCACCTTGTCGGTGTAGATGCCCACTAGAGCAGAAGAGTCAGCATACGGCAAGCTTGTACAGTGTGGAACGCGACTTACAGTCTCTGAATGGATTGACGGAAACCAGCACATGGCCAATGTACGTCTGCGCAAGACATCAGTCAGCATTCGATGGGCGGGTATGAACCAGGTTCGCAGGGCGCATACATAGATCTCGCCATTCTCGAATCGCTTCTTCAAGTTGTCGTTGATGGCCTCGTTGGAAATCTTGCTGATAAGGGTGAGATCCGAAACTCCGACTTCCTTCTTCTTTGTCGACTCGAAGGCCGCCTTCTTGACCTGAGGCTTCCCTCCACTGGCTCCAGGCTGTGCGGCGGCGGCGTCCTTCTTTCTTCCAGCTCGCTTGGTGACGGCCTGTGGGTGGTCGGTTAGTCAATTGGCATAACGCGACGGCACTGGCAATCGAGGCTCACCATGGTGGGCCCGATCTGATGGCGGGGCAGTCGATGCTTCTGTAGGTGTAGCGCCGAGCTTTGGCTATGTTGGACTGTCGAGGTATCCAAGCAAAGAATGTCAGAAGAACAGACACAAGAAAGGGTGCAAGTCTCCAAGAATTGGTTGTGACCTGGCTAAGATTGGTGTGCCATCCAAGCCCAAAGTTGCTCCACGTTTGAGCACCAGCCACGATGTCATTGCGCGCCGCCGCGAGCCGACCACTTCCAATATGATAACGAACAATACTTCTCTGTATGCAGGGTCCGATTGGTGCTTGATCGTCGAGTGCGTGTGTCGTATGGAATATGGCTGGCGCTGCCTATCGTTTTCGCAACCGCCTCCGTTATGGACGCGCAATATCCTGTTGCTCAGCCATCCATAGAGCACATACTTCCCCATTGTCTTGACATGTTTAGGCACCGGCATTCGAGACATTCGTAACACAAGCCTTGGAAATAGTCATTTGCCTCTTTATGCATTCGTTGCTAAACAAAAATTCATGACAGCGATCATAGGTATCCAACAAGAACCGAAACAAGAAACCAGTCATGCTAAAGCCCAACCACCTCGAAACGCCTCGCTATCCAGCACCATGGAAGAATCAAAGAATCAGAAGACACAATGAGATCAAGGTCATGACCGTTATGATCTGACCTCGTCGCCTCCAAGCCTGCCCACTGTCACCCAGTCGATCTTGCGCGCGTGTTCGTTGACCCAAGAACCCTGCCACTGCAGTCGTTCGTCTCCGACACCGGTACAACCCAGACCACCGCCTTCGATCCATTGATCTAGTACTTGAAGAAGCAAGTGCATTTTGTCTTCGACCATGTTGGCTTGGACAATCTCGGCGAACAGCTTCTGTCCACGGCCCCCAGGCTGTGAACCATAAAGCAGTGCGTGAATTGAATGAACCAAGGTCTGCCGGTCTCTGAGCAGCTTCCCTGGCAAATCGTGTTTCTCTTCGATCGCACGCACTCCTTCCACTGGCACGAGTGTTGCAGAGGTATGCAGACCATCTGCCGAGATAACGAATTTGGTGTGGTCAGGGAAGTGAAGCTAGTCATATGTAAGTCTCTTGCATCTTTAACAACGTCACTACCCAAACATACCTGTACGCAGCCGTCCGAGAATCCCCAGATGCCGACATTGCCTGATCTCTGGTAGAATCGCACGAACAGCAAATCAGAGTCTGTCTCCAATTCGTCATCTGCACCGTCTGCTGTCTCGGTCGCATTGAGCGTTTGGCTCATATATCTTCCAAACTTCACCCAAAGAACACGGAGCATCCGCAATCTTTCTCTCGTCTTTTCATCTCTGCTTCCGAGATCCAGCTTTTCGAGTCCAGCAGCTCCATGGTCCTCGAATATCCTGAATGGAACACGTTCCAGATACTCGAAGCGTTTTCCTATACGAGCGAGCCATCTTTCTCCGTTCTTGACTGCTACGTGGGTCACAGGCGTACCGCTGGCCGCAGAACCATTTATGACGCATCCTACTGTGCCATCGTCCAGGACATATCCTACTCCGTGTTTCTTACTGTAATCCACCCATCGGCTTACAAAAGGTAGTGATTTCGATGGTTGCTGTGGAACTCGCCTGGAAGGCATGAGGTGTTTTCTCTCCAAAGCTGATGCTAGATTATCTCTGAATGCATTCAGACGCTCCAGTACTGCTGTCGGATCGGATCCCGGGAATGTCGAAGTCGTCTCAATGATCTTTCTCCTTGGAATCGGGAGTTTTGCGCTCATGACTGGGGGCGGTGGAAGGACCGGTCTACCAAGGTTCTCCTGTTCATCGAATATTTCGACCACTTCCTGACTCGGCTGTTTTGACCTTGATCGCGAGCTTCTAGTGTTTAACGTCCTAGACGACGCAATCTCCAGATCGTCGCGTATCGCATCTGCTAGAGCAGGAATATCCCGATCCGTAGTGTTCTTTCGAGGACGTCGTGCCAAACTGGCATCCACGCTTCGTTTTGAGGATGGAATAATCTCGCCACTCTGGGGTTGTGAAGATGACGGGAGGAAGTTCGTTCCACTGAAGGCAGTTTGGCTCAAAGTGTTAGTTTGGCTCAGAGTGTTCAGTCGAGATGACTGGCGAGTTGACTCGGGAGTGCTTTCTTCCTTGTCGTTTGCTTCTGTTGGAACCGTGCGTGTCCTTCGGATTGGGCCTGCTCTTCGGACACGTGGAGGAGGAGGCATCATCTCAGCATCTTTCTTCTTCTTGATCTCGTCTGCGCTGTTTTCCTTGCCCGATTGAACCTCGTTATGGGATATCTCCTTGAGCTGTCTGGTGTCGGGTTCGCGTTCCTCGGCAATTTCTGATAATGCGTTCATGGGCTGGAAAGCATCGATGCTGTTGCAATTCGGGGATGTGTAAACCGTGTCTGACGGAATCGGGATAACAGGCTGGCGACCTGCAGCAACTTCTCGCTCGATATCTCTGACAATGCTGCGGATCTTCTTGCCTGCATTGAGCTGGAAGCATTTGCCTGGTGCATACTCACCAACTCCAGATTCCTTGCAAACATACCACCAGGATTCGCTGTAGCCTCTCTGAAGCACTTCTGGACTCGGCGGTTGTACGTTAGGCCACGAGGGGACTTTGCTGACTTGGGCGCGGCTCATCTGTCTGGGAACAAAGGCGATTTTGAAGAAAGGATGTGATACGATCTGATCCGGAGAAGGTCGCAGTTCCTCCGAGACCAGTAGAGACGAAACCAAATCCCGTAGGTCTGCAGAAATTTCGTTTGTGATTGATGATAACTCGGGCCATGAATAGTCGCCTGCTTTTAGCTTCTTGTAAATTTCTTCCTTGGATGATGCGTGGAACGGAGCCCTTCCGACGGCAAGAGTGTATCTGTACGGATCAGCCACGGGATTCGCGAAACAGGCCGATTGAGCTTACGCGATGATGCCAATAGCCCACAGATCAACCTTCTCGCTGTGGCCTTTGCCCTTCTCCAGGATCTCAGGGGCCAGGTAGTTGGGGGTGCCACACATGGTGGTTCGTCGCTTGGCGTCCATATCCTTTCCACTGACAAGCAGGGCAGCGAGGCCAAAGTCGCCAACCTTGATGTTCATCTTCTCGTCGAGGAACAGATTTCCGGTCTTGAGGTCGCGGTGGACAATGTTGCGGGCATGTAGGTATTTGACGGCGCCGGAGACTTGGATGATGAAGCGACGGATTTCGGGCATAGTGATGTTTTTGCGACGCTTGAGCATGTCTGCAAGCGAGCCACTGGAGCACAGTTCTAGGACGACGTAGGTGCTCTCGCCAAAGGAGAAAGCGCGGTGGAAGGCTACAATGTTAGGGTGGGACAGTTTGGAATGGATTTGCAATTCGGTGATGAACTGGAGGAAGAAGCCAAGTCAGTAGGGAACGAGACGATATGCGCGAGGACAACCAGCGGACCTTCTGAGCTAGCTTCGCGGGCTCCATCCTGGACTTGACAATCTTGAGAGCAACGACATGGCCAGTGGGCTGGTCGCGCTCGAGACGCTCAGCCTTGAAGCAGATGGCAAAGCCGCCCTTGCCCAGTTGGTTCGAGGTAGCATAGTTGATGCCATGCGGTTCCGAGACGATAGATGGCGGAGGATCCGCGTGGACAGACATGGTTAGTATCTGCTGCGAGTATGATGCTGGTGGATGGCTGGTCGTTGATACAAGAGAGAAGCGTCAAGCGCTCGCTTGCTTTGGCAGTGTTATTTTGTTTACCCACGCTTTCCCGCACAGCAACCGCGCAGCCAAGACCACAGCCAGCGCTAGACCCAGACGCCAACTGCCGGGCTCCGGCGCTCCAAACCCTGCCGAGAAATGCGTGCCTGCTGCGTCATGCGAAAGCTGTTGTTGACTTGTGCGACTTTTGGATACCTCGCGTGTTTGATGTTGGCTGTTCCTCCATGTCGTTGACCTTCAAGCTCGCCTCTCTGGTGATCCGTACTGTTGCCAAGCCCATAGGCGTATGCAATGCTTAGCCTTTGCCGATTCAGACTCGAGACTGACTGTCACCTAGAACCGAATCAAACAGTCTGCCAGAGAACATGACACCTTCCGTAGATACTGCGTGGGCTTTGCTCAGGGCCTTCATCGTGTAGACATGCGCATGCGACTGGGGATTCTGCACGACGCGGCCGCCCAAGAACGCATGCATGCCCGAGAAGCTGCAGAGGCCGCTGCCAAAAAGAGACAGACAGAGACACCCACCGTCAGGACCGAAGCGCAACAAAAAGCGGACGATGCTGCTGCTGCAGATCTCAAAGAGAAGAAGGCCGAAGCCCCTGCGAAACCCAGGATCCGTCCGCTCTCCGAGTCAAGGGCAATCGAGCTAGGGGCTAACTTCCTCTCCGAATCCTTCATCTTCGCTGTGGCCGTCGGCCTGCTCGTCTGGGATCAATGGCGTACGAGGAGGAAGGAAAGCACTCGAAGAGAGGGTGTCGAGGACCGCTTGGACGCATTGGAGGACCACACTCGTCAAATCGTCGCTCTCAAGTCAGAGGTGGATCGATTAAAATCGAAATATGAACCACTGCCGAGTCCGGCAGAAGGCAGTAACGATAGCATCGAGGTGGACACTTCGACCACCACAACTCCGGATACTCAGACACCTGCTACGCCAAAAGATGAAACATCAAAGTCAGAAGAGTCTCCTAGAAATGAGGAGCAATCACAAAATACTTCGCTGGCGCAGCAAAGTCAATAACCAGTCGGGCCATTCCAGTCCGCACCCATGTACATACTCATCACACCTCTCAAGATACCCTGCGAAAAGATATATATCTCAACTCTTATATGACAAAACCAATTACATATACACAATGATCGAACTGTCCTTCGGAACGTGAGACAATGATCGAGATGAAGTGGTACAATGCCATTACAGTATGTGAAAGACTGAGCTGCACCAGAATATATTCTATTAAAACAGCAACAAGAAACCCCGAAAATTCGAACCTCCAACGCCAAACATGGAAAAGAGACAAAGGACTTGACGAGCCTCATGCTATAGTCAAAAGGACTAGAAGATGGAGTTGACAATGTTACCACCAATCGTGGCACCAGCACCGAAGATGGCGGCGTTTCCAAGCTATGAGACAAGTCAGTTTCAAGAACCAAGCATTCAGGAAATAACGATACCTTCTTGCCGAACTTCTTGCCCATCTCCTCGCCCTTGCTGGGAACCTTGCCACTGCCATCGCCCTGGCCGCTGACATCAAGAGGCATGTTGCCGTAGTTTGTAGGTGCAGCTTGCGGTAGAGTGTTCTCAATGACACGGACGTACGAACGAGGGAAGATACCCTCCTGGCCAGTGCGAGAGGATTTGCCCTTCCACCACTCGGCGTTCATGTACTCGGTGACATTGATGTGGTCGTTGGGGTGGAGTTCAAGATCGCCGGGGTCGGTGCCGTTGTATGCGTACAGAGCGGTGGCCTGGGCAAGTGGAGGCATGGATGGCGGTGGGGCGGCATAGGCGGGAGGAGCCTGAGCTGGTGTAGGTGCGGGCGAGGGCTGGTAGAAGCTGTTTCCGTGCTTCTTCTCATCGTCTCTGTTGATGTTCAGGTTGGCCATGGGCGCTGCGGGGACGGCATCGTTGACGGGGACAGCGCCAGGCACGGCGCCGACGGACAAGGGCGCATGCAGAGCAGTCTGGGCGGGGATCTGTGACAGCAGCGACGACAGCTGCTGCGGTGTAATGACAGATGCGTCGCACAAGAATTCGAGTTCCTGTCTAGGCGTCAGTCGGCCGTTCGTTGGTGGCTTTGGACATTGCGCTGTCTCCGCACCGCTTTGATGGTCCGGATGGACCGGTTGAGCTGAGCAATCTGCATTTCTTCGAGCGGTGCCATGATTGAGGTTTGTTGAACGACTACCCTTGTTCGGCTGAGGAAAGAGAGGTTTATGTGCGAAGCAGTCGCCGAGGGAGTAGTGTCTCAGTACGAAAGGTCGAGCCTGGGTGGGCAGTGCACTCGTGTCGTCGCGTTGTTTCACATGACAAAGCCCTGCTGCAACGTCACGTCGTCGTTCGCATCCTTTTTATTCTCCGTCTACGTATCTAGTATTTGGGTATCCTGCCTTTACTCCGAATGCTGTGCCATCATCTTGGCTATGTGGGCATTCATGCCATGGAACGCCTTTTGTCTTTCTTGCTCCCATCCGTTGAAGGAACTCTCGGACATACCAACGGCAATTTGATCTTTACCAGCATCGAGTCCCGCCCATGTGGCATCTGTGAAGTCCTTAAGAGGCATGCCAATCTGTCCACCGTTCTTGATGTCCGGTTGGTGCTTTGCGTCGTGTAGCTCGGTTTGAACTGCAGGAGGGAAGATCTCAATGACTTGAATGTTACCAGGTCCGTTCTTGAGTTGTTCGCGGAGCACTAGAATGAAATGGTGCAGTGCGGCCTTGGAAGCACAGTAGTTGGGGCATCTATTCATGGGCACCTGTTCTCGATCAGCATACTGCATTGTACGACTTTTTTGCCCCTCTCGACTGTGATCATGTTCCAATCAGAATGACCATTGCAACGCAGTATGCCGTCATAGTAGCCGTCTTCTCTGATGATTGGAACACGATCACGGAAGAGCCGGTAGAATCAAATTGCTTACCAGAGCCAATCCAGAAGTGGTAAAGATGAAGGAAGTCTGCTTGCTCTGCTTCTGAAGGTATGGGGTGAAAGCAGTGACCAGATGGATGTACGAAATGTAATTGGTGTTCATCTCTTCCGAGACCGAGCTAAGATCAATGCTCTCGGGCTTGGAGAAGTCGAATCCTCTCTGGATACCTGAGTTGAGGAAGATGCTGTCGATGTCTGGGTGAGACTCCATGAGGTTCTTCACGAAGCCAGGAATCTTGTCCAGCTGTGTAATGTCGAATTGTACTGCCTCGGCCTTGTCCTTGCCATGCTGGGAAACGAACTCATCGAGCTTCTCTTGTCTGCGGCCAGTAACGACAACTTTGACGCCATTCTCGACGAGCTTGCTTGAGAGAGCCCAACCGATACCAGATGTGGCACCGAGGACGAGGACTTTGTTGTAGTTGAAGGGCATTTTGTCAGCGAAGCTTGTTAATGTAGAGGCGATTGAATTCTCAGATTTCAGATCTTGATCAAAACAATCGGCAGTTGTTATATAGCTCATACCTAGGGGTTACATCATCAGAGTCTAGACTAAACACCGGTAGTTAATGTCCGATAGATCCGAGTGTCCGTGAAGTCTGAGTGTTTCCAGATGAAGCTTTTTAGAAGCGGCTCTCTGCCTGCGAGTATCAAAACTCTGTTGCGTATATTGATGCATATACCGCTATCACTTGAATGAAGAGCGAATGTAAGTGTGATCGCGTCGCGGCACTCTGCGGCGTGCTTGGGAACCACATTGGCGACCCCGATCTGTTTCTCAGCTCCCGTTAAATCTGCCGTCGGTCAAGCCGACTACTTTGACTTGACGGCAATCCAATCATCCCCTGCCACCTCGGTATTGCGCCTGTCGTTCCACATGCGCAGAACAACTCGCTGTCAAATGCGTGCACGTCTGAGCATGTGTTGATCTATCGTTTCTTACCTTTCTTCCGCATCGTTACTCGTTCTTCGGAACTGTTCGTTCGTCATGACTGAGAAAGAGATACGACTTGCATGTTCCCCGCTCTCGGTCGAGCAGCCGACCAAAGAAGTTTCTACTCTCGAGCGAGAGCTGGAAACACACACTATAGAATCAGGTGAACAGGCTCAGTCACCCGGCGCAGGCTCGTCGCAACCTCCTCTCTCAAAGGCTCGCACGATTGCCTTGGTGGCTACACTGACCGGAGTAAGTTCTCGATATAATGCTCTCACTTTTCAGCTCGCCGTTGCTGATACTGGACAGGCTGCGTTTCTCAATACTTTGACGGTGCAGGCCGTTGTCATCGTACTCCCAAGTATTGGCAAGGCACTGGACATTCCAGTAGCTCGACAACAATGGATCGTTTCGGCATACTCTCTGGCCTTTGGCTGCTTCCTGTTGTTATGGGGTAAGCTCGGCGATGTCTACGGCAAGAGGTCCATATTCATTCTGGGATCACTGTGGGTTGCCATCCTCACTCTGATCAACCCCTTCGCAACCAACGAGATTGCCTTCGATCTCCTCCGAGGACTACAAGGCGTTGGTGGAGCTGGCAATGTTCCAACCGCCATCGGTATCCTGTCCGCTACGTTTCCTCCTGGAAAGGCCCGGAACTATGCTTTCTCTCTGTACTCGGCCGGTGCCCCCATGGGCTCTGTCATGGGCAATCTGCTCGGTGGACTTGTCGCACAATACGCATCCTGGAGATGGATTTTCTGGATCCTCTCGATCATGGCATTCTTGGTAACGGCAGCGGGTTACTTCGTTATTCCCAAGCCACCGCCGCGGTCAAACACTGAGCCGAAGAAGTCCATCGACTGGGTCGGGGCTCTCTTGGTGACAGTCGGTGTACTCATTCTTCTCTTCGCACTGGCCGAGGGCAACGTCGTTGGATGGAGCAAGCCGTATATCCCAGTTCTGATCGTTGCATCGATTCTGTGCATCATCACCTTTGTCATCTGGCAACTGTATCAAGAGAAACGAACACGACGCCAGCCTCTGATGAAGATTACATTGTTCAAACGTCTCAAGGTTTCTGCCGCTATGTTAGCAATGGCTGTCTTCTTCTCGGCCTTCAACAACTACCTCATCTTCTCGACATATTTCTACCAAGAGTACCTCGGACTCAGCGCCATACAGACGACTCTCCGTTTCATCCCGACAGGTGTCGTTGGTATACTCACGGTACTCGTAACATCACAACTACTAAGCCGAGTACCTATTCATTACATACTCATGTGGGGAATGACTTGTGTAGGATTGGCAAACTTGTAAGCTCGCAGGATTGTACCTAGCTTTTCCTGAAACATGCTGACTAGTCCAGGCTTATGGCTGTCCCGATACCTCCGACAGAGACGTACTGGGCCTATGGCTTTCCAGCCATGTGTTTAGCCGTGTTCGGCGCAGATACCTTGTTTCCATCACTACTGCTTCTCGTCGCGCATAATCTACCTCCAGAGGATCAGGCCCTAGGTGGTGGTCTCGTCAACGCTCTGGGTCAGATCGGGAGAGCCATCGGTTTAGCCATCGGTACTGCCATTCAAGTCGCCGTGCAGAAGAGCCAGGAGGGAACGCGTGTCGTTGACATGGAAGACAATGTTGGCGACCACGCCTACCTGCATGGATTGCACGCAGCCCAATGGCTCAACGTAGGCTTTGCAGCGACTGGGTTTCTCGTTGTCGCGCTTGCGTTCAGGGGCGCGGGAGTGATTGGAGGAGCTCCCAAATGCCGAAAGAAGCAGTCTCGATAGATAGTTGGCTGGTGAGAAAATCAGACATCGTCATAGTTACTCTCAAACCATGCATCCACCACATGTTTCAGATTTCTTCCTTCAGCTCGTGCATTGACAAGGTGACAAGATTACAGACAGAGTTCGAGTGAGATGCAGAAAGCTTCTGGTGTCCGTCAAACGTTCTTGTCGGAATCACCGGCCGTAGAGACTCAAGACAATCTAGCTTTTCTCTTGCAGTCAGCGCGTTCCTCGCTTTTGGTCAAGCACCCGGAAAGAGAAGGATGTCAAAACAGACAAGACGCGCGAGTGCGGGCGGCGCAAGCCAGCTCATGCAAGCCAGTGGGAAGTACCAGCTCCTCGGAGAACAGAGGCGCTCTCTCGAGACTTTTTTGTTTCTCCTCTCTCGCTTCAGCCCTGAAGGCTGACGACTTTTTTTCAGCAACCGCAGATCTGTTGTGACAGAGCAGTGATGCAACTTGCAGGTTTTTAGTGGCCTGCCAATGGCGCTTGCCTCCGCACCTCCCACAAGAAAAGGAAAACAAGAGCTTGGTCGTTTTGCTTGCCCTTTCAGCGTAGAAAGAAAGAAGGGCATGAGCGACATGGGTGTCTGACACGTGGTTAGGCATGTTGCCCCTCCACGCGAGCCCCGCATCGTCGACCAAGATGGGCTCTAGGTTTGCGAGACGAAGTCACCAAAAAAACGTAGATTCGTAGAATTGAGCTCGGAGTGTGTGTTGACAGTGTCAGGTGGTGCGCGAATGACGCTTGGCGCGACATGTCAAGGTATGCAACCTGAGAAGCAGTCAGCGTTGGATGTGCCGTTCCTTGCACGTAGTTCCACCGCCGGAGTCGTACCAACCACCCACCACTGGGTTCTCTGTGGATGAGTCGAGATGTGTACTGCAGAAGGAAAAATCCATTGCATGTACATGCTCGCTGTCGTTTGTATCCTGCAACTCTTGCTGCTTGTTCATGCACTTGAGCGGCTTCACTTTTCGATCGCGCGGAAATTTCTGAGCTGCATACGATTGACAAATGTCAATTGGTACTCCTCGTATATGCCTAAAGCGATTCCGCAGGTTGTGGTCCACTCAACGCTCAGTGTTCGTGACCTTCGAAATAAAAACAAAGTTTCCATGGGTATCATGCATCCCAAGCGCCATTTCCCCTCCATCACATGCCCAGGATTTTATTTCCTGGCCAAGACCTCGCTCCCTCCCGTCTTCGAACCGCTCCTTGCGCGCTGCCATTCGAACGCGTAACTGCTGCGCCGCAATGAAGTATCGCAACTCCATGGTTATGATATGGCTTCCGCAGGGGCAGGAGAAAGCTGTTGACCAGAATAACGTGTCGCAACGTAGTCGCATTTGGTGACACGACGTCTAGGTCTGATTCATGCAACGCTGTACAGCTTGCAGATTTTATTTCGCTGGCAGAGTGGTACGTCAAAGTCTGTAACCTCTGACCGACCTCACTTGCCGAACTCAAGCTGCCTCAGACAGGGATTCCTCTCTCGGTCTTCCAGAGCTCAAATGCCAGAGTCGGAGTGCGCTTGATGACACCAAAAACATCCTGAGTACTGGCGAGTTGAGGGTGACTCCTGAAGGCTTGGAGGACAACATCCCGGAGACCACGGTCGTTGTCAATGGTCGAGCAGTAAACTTCCTCGATGGCATCGGCAAACTCTGGCGAGTCGTAGTAGCAAGCCATGGCCATTTCGAATTTGCTTTTTGCGAGATCCTTCAATGCAGGAATGTCGTACTTCTCGGCCAACGCGTAGACACGAGTGTGAGTGAGGAGGTTTGATTCGTCGGTTTCGTACTCGCAATCTTCGTCCTCTTCAGAATCACACTCGGACCCAGAGTTTGAAGGGCTGCCGGCACCGGCGCCGCGAAGACCGGTCTTGCCTTTAGGGCTCGTTGCACGCGGTGAGTGATCAACGCTCGAGTCGTGCCTTGCGCGCGAAAGGGGGTCTATGCCTTCCGTGGGCGTAACTGGCGTGGGTGGGGCGCAAGCAGCCGCCTGAGCGAAAAGGGGGTCCACGATGTGAGAGAGATCAAGCTTTTGAGGTCTCTGGCGGAGGGCCTCTTGCGCACGGTGACGGAAGACAGGAGAAGCCGGCTCTTCCTCATCCTCGCTAACAAGGTAGTCCAGGTGGTAAAAGTCTAAACGACGGTCAGGCTGTGTCAGAAAAAGGAGAACTAGCACGATTACAGCCTGCATGTCGTGGCGTCGAGGAAAATGACCACCAGCAATGCGGATCACGCCGGCGTATCCGAGTGTTCAGAGACTTACAGTGGATCATGTGCTCGACGGCTTCTTCGTCCTCCTCGCTCAGGTCGATCAGACCGGTCTGAGCTTCGCGAAACTGGTTGCTACAGGCGCCATCGAAGAATCCAGATCGTGAGCAAAGAATGGCTCGGTGAACGTTGTATTCCCGAGAGTTGCATTTGACAGTAAGATCAGAGTATTTACCACCCAAGTGGAGTCTAGTGATGATCAGCAACCATGTCGAAGACAGAAATGCCCGGAAGTGGGAGCTCACGTGGAGAGGGCAGACATCAATTCCTTCCTTGGGGATTCCATGACGGCCAGCAGACGCTCTTCGGGGTGTGAGGTGGAGAGCCGACGGTGCAGCGTGATCTTTAAGGTTATTTGACAATGGAGAATATTTTCAGGGGCAGGAATATTCTCTGAGCCGTGGACAAGTGGAGCGGAATTGATCGATTGCAAAAAACTGCAAAGGAATCGGTAGGTAGAGGTGAGGCTTGGATAAATAAGTAGGTAGTGAAGAGCTGTTGCTCGAGGGCAAGCTGTGACATAAGTAAGCCCAGACCAAGCCAGTACTTGCTACCACCGCCAACGCGTGACCCTGATGATAGAACGATCGGTCGCCTTGGGCACTGACGCGTACCGAGGTGCTCCGCCGAGTCGCCGAGTCGTCGGTGATGATGGGGGTTTCGACTGCCGACCTACCTTGGAAGTGTTGTGTGATTGCAGCAATCTGCGATCGCGAAGGCCAATAATCAACTCGGCCGTCCTTCCCCACAATGACCAAGATTGGGAAGCTTCAGACTAGTCCTTGTACCAGCGCGTGGCAGTAAAGATTCCGCCAGGCACGAGGTTGGCGGCTTGCTTAGAAATAAAGTCTGTAAAGTGAAGGGGGAAAATACTTGATTGAGGACCGAGCTATTGAGGTTCGAGGGATTCATCCTCACTTTAATGCTGTCCCCGATCAAGATTGCGTAAAATCTAGAACTCTGCCTCTGACCCTCAGGGGCCACACACGCGGAAGTGACTTTCGGCGTGTCCTTTCATGCTTCGGCATCTCGCATGTGCGTCGACCGACTCTGTGTTTTGTCTTGCGTGCATGGACGGTGGTTCGAACTAATCCGCCGTCTACTTGATAGGCTGGCTCAAAGGCTACTAAACTCTGGCGTGCGCTTGCCACTCCACAGCACATGCTCTTTAAGGCTAGGCGAAACCACCTTACAACATCGACGACGACCTGAGCTTAACGTTGTCCGATTTTTGGTGCAGGGTTATAAAACTATCCTAACCTCCTTACTACTGCATACCTCACATTGTTGTGGAAGCGTTTTGTTCCGTCGACGCATATGGACATCCGAAAGAGCGAGAGAGTCAGGACCCTAAACCATGTCGAGTCCCAAGGGAACGACCGTCGGGACCATGCAGAGTGGTCGAGAAGGCCAGAGCCTGGCTGCAGGGTCTCGACAGGTCGCGTGCCGGCGGCAGGGCTTCTGCACGCGGACGACTCGAGGCATGGCGCCGTAGCCATGGATGATGGTTCGGACCATCCGTGCCCCAAGACTGCAGGCGTTGTCTATCAGCCCAGAAGATGTTTTGGCTGTGGACCTGAAACATACCCTTGCTATGGGTGCATGAATAACGAACCTGGGTATGAATCGTCTGGGGCAGCGCACCTCGGCCTCGAGAAACGCTTGTTGCACAGACTCACAAACTCAATTCAAGAGCTGTGCACAGCCTTACGCCAGAACTAGCTAGTCAACGGATGCACAGTATTGATCAGGTGTGCTTGGAATGTATAGGGGATGGACCTTGGTCGTTTACGGCTATAGGTCGACAAGGTTTCGTGCGGAGAATTCTCCGTTCGTACCTACAGTTCAGTACATGGTTTGGAGAGTGCCTCAAGCATGCCTACTTTTTGGGCGACCTATCTCAGAAGATGCTCTTGCAGTAGTCTTCAGTATGTTGTATCACTTGGTCCTGCACCAGACTCCATGAACGAATCGATGGGATGCATCGGCCATTACACCAACATGTGAGGGGCATGGTCTGCAAGAGCAACGCGTGTAACCTCGATGTTCTCTCCGCTACACCAGTCTCTAGTTGACAGAGCTGAGACGTTGCGGTTGATATCATCTGAAAGTTGGCATATGCAAACTGTTGAGGGCTGCCCGCTGCAACTGCGAGGCTTGTAGAATGGGAAATCCAATGTCTGGACAGCAAGAATGCATCCGCCTGCCCAAGCTTCCACGAGATTGAAGGCGTTGATTAGATGATACATACTAAACGCTTTGTGAACGCTGGGAACAAAATGTCCGAAGAATGTCTCCTCATCAATCTCCGAAAAGGACATAACGCCTACAAAGAGATTTCAGGAGGACGGTATGAATTTAGTTTAGGTCCGATCCTAAGCATACTTTGAGTGTGGTTTGAGGGGCCACAGATGTTGGGACGATCGTGTCGAGTGATGTCTTCCTGTTGTGTACCATGTTCCCAGTCCAGTGAACGGCAGAGACGAAAGACCGATCGGACTCAGCGCCAACTCAACATTGTCAAACCGTTGACAGGCGACTAGTAGGTTGCTTGCTTCGTGGTCATTGTGGCTGGAGAAGAAAGTGGTGGATGTGTGTAACAAACGATTGTATGGCAGCGGAGGCGGTCCGGTGAGCAGCTAGACGATGAATGGAGGCGCAATAGAGACCAGTTCAAGGTATGGCTGAAGGGTCTTGCAGAAGTGAGCATTCCGCGCGGTTTTGGTACAGGTTGGTGGGATGAAGCTCAAAGATGGAGGTGCGCAAGTGGGTTGTGATTCTCAATGACGTGGGGCGAGCACCACGGTGACGGTGGTTTGATGCGCAAACAACAACTTCAATGAAGCACTTTACAACCAATGCGCGTTTGCACATCTTGAACACTGCAGAGTTCTCCAATCATACCAAAAGTCTGGCGACCTCAAGCCAACCCACAATCTTCTCATCATGGCCGACTTGTTCAAGCTGTCGGCGTCTCTAAGAGGGCACGAAGACGACGTAAGCGAGTGGCACCGCGACACCAAACTCCTCAAGTGCTGACTGTCAACCCCCTCAGGTCCGCGCCGTCGTATTTCCTTCGGCTCGTTGTATCTTCTCGGCCTCGCGTGATGGCACCGTCCGACAGTGGCTCCTCACTTCGCCCAATCCGCCCACCTACGATGACACCATTGCCGTCCAGGCTACCTCGTTCATCAACTCGCTGACATACGTCGCTCCCTCATCTTTGCACTCCGAAGGCCTACTGGCTTCTGCCGGAAAGGATACTATCATCGACGTCCGTCTTCCCTTCCAGAGTCCAGAGACCGATGCCGAACGTTTGCTTATTGGCCACGCCAACAACGTCTGCTCTCTCGACGCCTCGTCCGATGGCGACACTCTTGTCAGCGGTGGATGGGATACCCAGGCAAGAGTCTGGAGCATCTCCAAGGGCGAGTGCACTGCTGAGCTGAAGGGCCACGAGGCTGCTGTCTGGGCCGTCATGATCTACGACGACAATACTATCATTACCGGCTGCGCCGACAAGACTATCCGTATCTTTTCGAATCGAGGAAAGCTTCTCCAGACAATCCCTGGTCTGCCTGATGTCGTACGCGCGCTCTGCAAGTTACCCTCTGGCCATCCTTCCGGCGCTGCCTTCGCCTCTGCAGGAAACGATCAAGTCATCAGACTCTGGACTCTCGATGGTGTTGAAGTCGCCCAACTGCATGGTCACACATCGTTCATTTACGCCCTTGCCGCCCTACCCAACGGCGATTTGGTCAGTTCCGGCGAAGACCGAACTGTGAGAGTATGGAAGGGCACCGAATGCATTCAGACCATTACACATCCTGCAATTTCGGTCTGGGCTGTCTCTGTGTGTCCTGAGACTAACGATATCGTTACTGGCGCCAGCGACAAAATCATCCGAGTCTTCAGCAGAGATCCGAGCCGCCAGGCGAGCGCTGAGGTCAGTTGTCCGAATGAACACCTCGTTCTGTTCTAACAAAACTCGCAGGCTGTGCGTACGTTTGACGAGAGTGTCAGCTCGTCCTCAATACCTCAGCAAACGGCTGGTGGAGGCCAGGAGATCAACAAGGAACAGCTTCCCGGTCCAGGTGCGTTCGCAAGAAGTCTACACCCTTAATCACCACTAACTGCTATGAAGAATTCCTGCATCAAAAGTCGGGCACCAAAGAAGGTCAAGTTCAGATGATTCGAGAAGGAGATGGTAGCGTGACCGCTCATACCTGGTCATCGGCCGCTCAAGAATGGATCAACGTAATTATCTCCAGAAGAACTTCTGACTGCAAAATACTAACAGATGCGAAAGGTTGGTACCGTAGTCGACGCAGCTGCGAGTAGCGGTCGCAAAGTGACGCACGAGGGAAAAGACTACGATTTCGTCTTTGATGTTGACATCACAGACGGCGCTCCTCCTCTGAAGCTCCCGTACAACATCGGTCAAAACCCATACGATGTGGCAAGCAAGTTCATTGCTAACAATGAGCTACCCATGACCTACCTGGATCAGGTCGCCAACTTCATCACTACCAACACTCAGGGAGCAACACTAGGATCTTCTGCGCAACAACAGACTCAGACACCTGGAGCCGATCCTTGGGGCAGCGAAAACCGCTATCGTCCAGGCGAGGCCGGTGCTCCTGAGCCATCAGGTGATACGCGCCCACGATCCTTGCCCCAGACCCAATACCTCTCAATCGCCACAGCCAACTTGTCCGCAATTCGCAAGAAGATCGGCGAACTCAACGACACAATGTCGCCCGACGTCCAACTATCAACCGATGATCTCAAAGCCTTGGACAGTCTAGTCAAACAACTCCAGACCAGCCCCAAGGATCCCAAGCCTCAAGCAGACCAACTCAGTGCAGTCCTCAAAGTCGCTACTCAGTGGCCATCAGCAAATCGCTTGCCCGGCATCGACCTTCTCAGATTATCTGCTGTCGCACCGACTTTTGCTATGCACACCAGTGGCGGAGAGGGCACTATCGTAGAGATCCTCGCCAAGAGTGGTGTCTTTGAAGCAAACACCGACAAGCCTAACAACACGATGCTCGCTGTTCGTGTCCTTGCCAACCTCTTCATGACAGAAGAAGGCAGACTGATCGCTGATGGCTGCTTTGAGGACATCATCTCGTCGACTCAGCCATTTTCCAGTACTTCTAACAAAAACCTGGCTACGGCGATCGCGACCTTGTACATCAACTACGCAGTGTTGCTGACATCTAGTGCCCCTTCATCAGAGTCGAAGACTAGGGAGCAGCGTGCTGCAGCCGTTGTCAATGCTGCCTTGAATATCATCAAGCCAGATGGCGACAGCGAGGCCGTTTACAGAGCGCTTGTTGCAGTCGGTACACTGATGTCATTGGGTGACGAGTTCAGGAAGGAAGTTGCTCAAGCAAAGGATATTGGCAATCTTCTTCAGAGTATCGAGAAGAGTGCTTTGGGCAAGGAAAACAGAATCAAGGCTGTCACCAACGAGATGAGAGATCAGTTGAGGTGATTATAGCAACACAAAAGCGAGACATGTATAACGAAAGCTATTTACCATAGACGACAAAGCATCAAAGCACACGAGAAATGTTACCTCAACATGTTCCTCCAGTGACACGCTCAACCTTACTCGATAGCCCAGTCCTCGGCCCAGAAGTCTACCATGTTCTCTACGACTCCAGAGTCCAGTTGCTCTGCCAATACACAAAAACCGGATAGGTCGCTCTGCAGAGATTCGTCTGACGAAGTAATGCCTCCAGAGTCGTGGAGCGATGAGTTCGCACGACGAGCGAGTGCAGCCCGAGCTACATGACTCAAAGAAGGGAAGACATCTGAGGCCAAGTTGACAGCGAGAGGAGGTAATGGTAGATCAGGAGAACAGTGTGCTAACATATCCAAGGGACGCACAGCAGACGAAGGCCTGGGTTTGGGCCGACTGATCGACTGTGCATGTGTCTTTATGAGCTCAACGATACCGTCCAGCTTTGCCAGAGGCAATATTGGCACCCAGGCGAGCTCCGGTCTGGTCAAGAATTGTGCTTGGAGAGATGCGTAACTGCGTAATCCATCCATGCCGTTATCCGGAGCGTTCAGAAGAGCATTTGCTGAAGAGAAAGGTTTGGATGTCGAGAGTGATAGGATGATGGCAACATCGAGGCCACCGGTGAGTGCAATGAAGTTTTGAATACGTGCGATTGTGGCTGGAAGTCTTTCTTCTGACATGTTGTTCGGCGATAGCAACAGCAGTCGCAGTGCTCGATTTGACTTGGGGCCATTGTTGGTCCTTGGAATTTCGACCAGTGGCAGAGCAATGTCGTGTGACTCGAGCGATGATTCTGTATGGTTGGGCAATCAGAAACAGTGCTTGAGCGTGCGAGAAAGCTTGACGTGCCTTTGACTGCAAGTCCGGACGGTGCAACCAATAGAGGAGCAATCGACGCAAAGGACGAGCGGCGACGAAGAGATGTGCAGAACATTGGTGTAGTTGGATTGAAGGTGTGGATCAATGAGTGCATGGAGAGCATTTATTTGACAAAGAGGAATGAGTTTTAGGTCAGAAAGGCTCAGGCGAGTGCGTCGTCCCTTCTTCAAGAACATCTCGCTAGTCGAAATCTTCCTTCCTCATGGCCGAACGACCTGCAAGGATACTTGGGTTATGGCTACATCAACACGCTCTCCATCATGATTCGAGCGCTCACCGACAATCCAGCGCCTGGATGGCACTACAGATCTGAGAAATCTGCGACATCAACTTGCGGTATACACATTCCAAGTGCTGACTAGGTTCATGACCCATATAACGCATCTCCATATAGCTAGCAAGATACATGATATTCTCTGAGAAAAGATCTTGTCCACGGAGATACGGTAGTCCGTATCAATCCCTACGGTCAAGCTCATAGTGAACAAAGTATCTTGTATTGACATTGCTTCGTCAGATCAACAAATCTTGGGGAAGTGAAGTCGCCTGTACAGTCACACTTTCCGTATCGCTTGAACAGAGATTCGCCGCATTGGAAGAAGACCTGCAGTAATCCTGGAACCTACTATCTGAGTAATCTTTCGACATTCAACGTTAATAATACTACAGAATGATTGCGGATCGTGATCGTCGGGTCCAGGAGTTTTGGTTCTGGTTAGATATTACAAAATCATATTCTACATGTTACACTAACTTATATTCTTTCCCCGAACGCATACAACATTTTCCGCGCTTCTTCCATCTAGTCGGTGGTCACATTGGCAGTGATGAACTTCAAGCCGTTGCCAAAGTTGCCCTTCTGGGTGCTGAAATTGGTCTCAGTGCCGAGAGTCTTGACACGTCCGAGAAGCTTCTCGACCAGACGGTAAGCCGACGAGGGAGCATATTGAGGGATCATGTGGCCACTCAATTGCACGGTTGCAAAGGTGAGGCCACGCTCGGTATTCCATTTGCCCTGCACGCCCGAGCCAGCAAGGTCGCCCTGGTTGAGCTCGGAGTGGTAAGGAACAAAGAAGTCGCTCCAAGTTTGGGGACCGTGACTGAAACCTTGAGCGCCGTTGTAAGTCATGTTTTGGATCGCTGCTAGGGTTCCGTTGAAGGAGATGATGTAGTCGAGCATGCCTTGTCCGATGATGACGTTGTTGGTGTGTTCGATAACTTTGGGCAAAACACTCAACGAAGTGTATTCGCTGGTGTCTTTGCGGAGAATGCCACCAGTGCACTCCTCCCACTCTTGAACAGGGGCATTAATGGCCTTCTGAACGTCAGTTCTGTTGAAGTAAATGGAGGCACCTTCAGGCAGGTAATCGAAGCTTCCGGGGAAACCGAGGACGTCCCAGAGCAGAGGGCAAGTAGTAGCGACCTGGTAGATGTCGAAGCAAGGATTGACAAGGCTGACAGCGTTGAAGATGTCGTTCCAGAGCTCACAGCCAGGCATGCTGTAGTCTACGTTTGGAGGAGAAGGAAGCAGACCCTTGGGAGGGAAGGTGAGAGCCTCCTCGAGGAAAGAGGTGTAGCCACACTTGTCGGAGCGGTTGTGAATGTCATCCATGAAGGTCTGATTCAGGTTGAATAGTCCACTCCAGTTGTCAACAAAAGAAACGGCTGGGATATCCTGCAGCACAACATCGTAGGAGATCGAAGGGTCGTAGATCATGATACCATGAACATCGTAGAGGGCCGAGTTGTTCTTCTGGATGAAATTGTTGGCAATGTCTTGGAGTGAAGTTAGCAAAGATCCTCTCATCTGCATCTTGAGTGTACTGACAAGGGACATAGAAGCCAGCATAACTCTCGCCAGTAACGTAGACTTTTTTGTGCTGAAGACCGAAAGTCTCGATGAAGTTCTTCCAGAACCCAGCAAATTGTTCTGCGACTTCCTCCTCACTGGTCGCACCAGGAGTGCTGCCCTTGGAACTGAAACCAGTGCCTGCAGGCTGTTCGACCCAGATAACGTTGGTAAGATTGTTCCAGTTGTAGTTGTTCTTGACCGGAGCGTAGGTACCGTATTGCCATCTGAACAGAGGTTTGATTAGCATTTTTCTTACTAACAACAGTATTCTCGGATACGTACAAGAAGGGTCCGTTCTCTTGCAGCAAGCCCTCAAGACTACTGCATCCCGGGCCACCATTGAGCCAAATGAGAATCTCATCGCTTGCTTGGGTATCCTCAGAAGGGAAGAACCAGAAGTAAAGCTCACTGGCGTTCTTCTGGGAAGAAATGGGCATCAGACCAGCGTAACTCTCGCCTAGGATATGGTCAGACACTTGACGGTAACCCTTATTGCATTCTGCTTACCAATATCGAAATCGACGTCAGGAATCTTGGTGCCATCAACAGCATACTCTACATTTCGTTAGCATGGTCTCTACTTGTACAGGCTTCACCACAGCCGGATTGGTGGTGTGCGAAGCCTGAGTCCAGAACGACACCTGGAATGTTGATACATACTTGTCGTGTTTTTGTTCTGAGGAATGATGTGGTGCTTCTTCTTGTTGGTAGTTCTCTTGTCCAAACCTACAGCAGGCAGATTCGCAGGCTCACGACGCATACGCTCGGGGAGCTTCTTGTTGACATGCTGAGGGCTACGGCCGGCAATGGCACTGGCGGCCAAAAGTAGTGTAGAAGCCACAGAAACCTTCATTGTAGTGTCGAGAAACCTGGTGAGAAGTGTTTCCCAGGCTCAGAGAGGGCAAAGGCATTGCTTTATACTCACGGATAGCGAGCCATTGATACGAGCTGCAGCGCCGGATCGCCTGGGATCCGCACAAACAATTGCCTCGGACGCTATAAAGATGTGTTGATCGCATTGCACAGGATCGCGAACAGATCACCTTGTGCTCCATGAATGTTAAAGCATATCCGTCCTTCCACTACGGGCCTAGCAAAGCGGCTAAGAACGTCACTCCACAGAATAGGAAGCTTGATTGCGATAAGCAAGGGCGCAAGAATTAACGACGTCCATACCATGACAAACTTGAAAAACTCCGTACGGATGGTCTGACTGTAGGGAAAGACGAGAACGGAATTTTGTGGTAGACAACATCAGCAAACACAACAAGACAGGAACCTGACTAGGCCTGTCGCATGCGTCACGAGAGCTCCACGCGTCAGATCAAAGACATGGGTTTAGATAACGTTATAGGTCCAGGACAGAAAAATCCCTGCACCCATGATCTTCTATAGCTGATGTATGGTTGCAAGAAAGGCATCTTTCTCATCAAGAACACCTCTATCCCGTTGCTCAATGGATGATGGATTGAAAAAGTGAAATAGTCGCATGTAAGGGGGACGACCCTGACGTGAAAGTTTTCACAATGCTTCTCAGACACTATTGACATAGGACCTCCTTTGGCGGGAATGCTTATTAATTATGGACAGCTCATACCCCTTGCGGGGTAAATAGCTTAAGAAAATCAAATCAAATCAAATCAAATCAAACATAGAACCTCCTTACGTGTAGAGATACGTTGGTGCAGCTATAGAAATGCACAGTCCTTTCGAAAGGGTAGCAAGATCCAAAAAGAGCGCTATCCGCGTGACATGTCTTTGCACATGGGGAGGGAGAGACAGACGAGTAAGAAAGTAAACATTCAAAGATAACTATTTTCAGTTCAAAGGCTTATTCAAGTAATGCTATGTGAGGTTAACCAGAGAGAGAAGAAAAAAGCGCCAACGCTAGAGCATCCACCAGTGCCAGTCCACAACTCCTATGCTGAAATAAGAAATCATGATGTTCTCGTCATCGTGAGATGATGCAATCAAAAAGCAGGACTAATCCAGCATAACAGGCAAAGAATCGAACACGACTTGGTTGTCCTCGTAGTGAACAATGAACCCGCCTTGAAGTGCACGGCGTAATGATTGCAAGCGATGGAGCTTCCACCACTTATCGATGCTCATTGAGTTCTTGCCAATGTGGACAACCATACGCGAGCCGTATGCTTTGTTGGTGTACTGGTCGATAGCGTTGCTGTAGCGAGGGCCTCTTGTCGGGTGTTCGACAGTGTTGAGGATGTCAGCGAAGCTGGAATGTAGCTCCTTTTTGTCTTTTCTAGATATGCGTTTGCCGTGTGCTTGCGCGAGAGCGCTGAGTGTATGCTTGAGCTGATGCTCCTGACGCCACACAGTGTAGCGCTTTATCATGCCCTTAGCAGTGGGATCTGATTCTTCGTCGTCGTCGTCTTCGTTGGCTTGCTGTTCCGGTTCTTCATCTTCCTCCAATTCTGACCAGCTCTTTTCGAAAAGAAGAGCGATATTCTCACCAGCCGCAATTACGACACTCGAATCACTAGACTCGAGCTGCTCGACGAAAGCCTCCATCGGCTCTTCGCTTGTGTCTTCCATGCCCTCGAATTGTGTAGCAAGGAAGCCCCACTCCTGCAAGGCGGCGGCTACGACGTTTCCGTCATCAGCTGCTTCGACAGAGTGACCGTCAGACTCGATAATCTCGAGGTAGAAGTCCATGATCTCTTGTGTTTCATCCAGGCCGACACCGCCGTAGAAAGTGGCTATTCCAAGAGTATGGATGGCGGCGACCATGACAGAGGACGACTCGGAAGAGGCTATTATACCCTTGAGGGGACGAATCATGGCGTCGTAGATGGAGTCAGATGGCTCGGTGATGATCAACAGACTCAAGGCCTTGAGCGCCAGAGCGGTTTCGTTGTCTGACTGACCACCTTTGGCGCATTTGACAAGAGCGGGAACCAGTTCACTGAGCTTCGGACGGACGTGACGTTGGGCGTAATGTGCCATGAGGAGGTGAGAGAGGACCGAGAGACTCTCTTCGCGGCCCTGAACACTGCTTCTCTTGCGTTCGATGAGATGCTCCATACGCTCATTCAATTGTGCAACCCAGGCGTCCTCGGGGGCCTCGATGTCTTCGGGTCGGAGTTCGTCGAAAGAGTTGACACTGGTGAGAAGTTCAGCAAACCAGATGATGCAAACCAGGTCAAAACAGACACACACCTGAACTGCGTTGTCGAGTCACTGAAATCGGCCTCATCGTCCGAGGCCTGGCGACTGGCGACTCTTGAGCCGGCTCTCGAGGTGTTGGGTGAGTTTTGCTTTGAGCTGGCGGCAGAGCCCATGGCCTGCTTGGCTTTCGCCTTTTTTGACAGCGTTTTGCCGCTCTCGAGGAGCACTTGTTTGCGCAAATCGTGCATCTTGATGTCTTCTGTGTGTGTAGTGGGAAGTGTACAGGTGGCGGTGTGAAGAAGAGGGGTCGCTTATGATGGTGCGGCTAGTGATGCGGGTTACTGTATGGGAGTCGAGACGTGGCGAATATTGAGAGATGGTTGAGACAACTTCACTTCCATTAGATGCTACAGAAGATAGGTCCTTGGGCTTCGTCAACAAGCAAAGTTGGACAGTGGGAAACACGGTGGAGCGTGACTATTATGCGAAAGACTTTTCCTGCCCGCGCGCTCTGCAGCCTGAAAGAAGACTTGAGTCTACGGAGCACACGTCATAGGTCAGCAGCGCTTGGGCCTTTCACATGTCATTGAACAATGCTCGAGTCAAGATTTGAATGCCAGACGATCGCCATGTCTCTTTGAACGCTACTTCTATGTACACATTATTACTTGTTCAAAGGACTCTTCCTCTCGTCGTCTTGCTTCGCCTGTTCATCAAGAACCTGGAGGAGGGCGGGGTCCGATGATCTGGCGTCGTCCACCAAATCCAATCCCACTGCCCGAGCTGGAACCTCGGTTCTGGCTGTCTCCCCCCATGTAACCATATTGATGCACATCCCAGCTCTGCCCTGCGCCGCTTCCTTGGCTCGAGTCTTTGGCTACATCCTTAGTAGCTTGCTGGTTAGCTTCCCATTCTCGCTGCCTCTCTCTTTCGCGTTCCATCTCGCGCTCCAAGAGTGACTTGGATGCCCACCCGCCAGCCTTAGTCGTCTGCTGTGAAGCCATCCGACGGTCTCTGTCATTCTGTTCTTCGTATGTTGAAGTGTAGCCCATCTCTCGTGGCTGGTGAGTGACGGGCTTTGACGACACCGGCGCTGGGTTTTCAGCGAGGTAGCGATCTGTACGTGTCGGCGCTGGTGAAGCAGGACGATATGCTGAAGGATCCGGTAGGGGACGTGGACCCGCTGGTGAGGCTGTACGCTCAGGTAGCATTGGCGTTTGCCTTGTCGCTGGTGTCGGAAGAGGTCTTGATGAACCGTGAGGCATCTCAGGCGCAGGCATCTTCCTGTTAAGCACTTCATCCTCTATCGGTGCCCAAGAAACGTCGCTATCCTTAGGTGAGGGCGCTCTAGGTATGGGGTCGGCTTCCTGTTCCGATCTCGCAGTAGAAGGCCTTGAGTGGATGCTGTTCTGACGCACGCGCTCCTCACGCTCCTGTTGATACTGACGTTCACGCTCCCTAGCCTCTTCGAGTTGTTTCTCAAGTTCGCGAACTCTCAATCTTTCCGGCGTGTCTTCGTGTGCGCTAGATCTGCGAGCACCTTGATCGGCTTGATGTTGACTCAGATGTTGCCCTTTCAAATCTGCTTCGTGCTCTTTTTGACGAGCTTCTTCCTGAGCCTTCCATCGACGCTCTTCCTCCTCCCATTCTCGCTTTTGCTCCAGAATCCGTTGTCTTTCTTTTTCTCTTGTGCGACGGGCTTCTTCTTCCCACCTATGTTCTTCGGCAATTCGATCGCGCTCTTCCTCAGCCTCCCGTTCGTGCTGCTTCTTGTATTCGGTTTCCTCGGCCTCTTGTCTGAGGCGCTCTTCTTCCGCTTCCCTCTCACGACGTCTCTTTCCGAAATCGGATTCGCCCTGTCCAGGAACGTGAGGTGCAGCAGTGGTGATTTGTCTTCTGCCACCAAACATGACTCCCTGGTTGCCTTGACTAGCACCACCCATATATCCATACTGAGCGATGTTCCATGCGGGCGCAGTGTTTCCTCGATCACCTGCTTTAGTCCAGCTACTAACTGTGCCTCGAGGTGATTTGAGGCCGTTGTCTGTTGCGCTTGAGCCGGAGAAGCCTCCACTGAGAGCAGGACTCATAGATCTGGCCGAGGGGACAGCGAACGAAGGCTTGGCGGAAAGGGGATTCGGAGCGACAGGTCGGGCATTCCTTGTAGCGGGACCAGTAGCGGCAGGGCTCAAAGTTGCGCTCCTTTGTGGGCCGATGGTGTTGGGGAAGTTGGCCGGGCTGACAGCATGAGCAACGCGACTAAAGGCGCTGATGCATTGAAGGACCTGGGCGGGATCTTTGGACTCGAACAAGTCGACGGTAAGAAAGCGGTCGTGAGCAGGCATGTTTAGCGGAGGGGCTTCGCAGGCCCGCAGGAAATGCGAGATGTTTTCCATCTGTACGAAGGGCATGGCGGATCTTTTGAACTTGAGTCCTGGAGCGGGCAGAGCTAGGTTGGCGAGTCTGCACAGGATAACACCATCCTTGAGTACATCCTGCAGAAGATCTCCAGATGGTAGTGTTTCGCCGAGCGTTTGTTCAATCCACGAGCGGATTTCGTTGGCGGCTTGCGGAGTGTATTTTGACATGCGCAGGTTGCGCATGTCTTGGTCTAGCGACGACACAGAAGCCATGTTGGAGGCGAAGACGTAGGTGGGTTGGTGATGGAGGGGTAAAGGAGGGCCTGTGAGATTGTCAATGTTTGGGCGCGGACAGCGGACTGCATTGCATTGCTTCGCGTCTGTGCATGCATGCGCCTCGGCCGCGTTTCATCCCAAGAACGTCATCAAACTCGTGCCTCGCGCAGTCTTCCAACTTGAACATGCGCCGTTGCCTCTACAACTCGATTTAGATTTCCCTAAGATACCATGGCAAAGCAACCGGGGGCCATCAAGCAAGCTTGGTACAAATGGAAGGCCTTGCGTCTTCCGTGGCGGAAAAAGTGGCTTGTCGGTATGTTCAAGAAATTGTCAAATCACCGCCTTGACATAGCTGACCAGATATAATTGCAGGCGCTGATCTTTCCGGCAACACCTTCTGGGAGTTCAAGGATGCCATCAATGCTGGCCGAATGAGAAGAATTGTCCAGTACAGCACTCAGGGGCATTATGCTGATGTCAAAATCTCGCGTACGCCACTCAATTGACTGTATTCATCTAGATGTATCTATTCTAATCCCGAGACTTTGTAGCACAATGGCATCAATGGTTGCGCCAGGTTCGCCCTGAAGCTCCTACAATCCAGGAGCAACAACTTGAAGTCACTCGTCAATCTCAGATGCGGCAGCTGGCTGCTCAAGCAGACGCCCGCTGGGCTGCTCAGGAGTCCTTCTTGGATGCACCATCAAAGCAACAACCAGCACCAGCTATCGGCGTGAAAGACCCCGCAGGATATATGCACCAGAATCAGACTGAGCCAACTGAGAACGAAGGTGTGAGAAGTGCGGTAGGTGATGCAGGCGAGGTCGATGCTTCGACCGAGGGGAGAACCAAGGACGACGGCAGATTCAAGGGTAGAACCAAAGACAAGGAGGCAAACCCATGGAAGCAAGCACGGGGTAACCCAGGAGACGACTGGCAGCCACAGAGTTGGAGTCCTGGTGTCGGCCGTAGATAAGGGCGTTCATTTCGCTACACTGTACTATTACTGTATTCAACTATATTTCTTGTAGTTCTCGAGAGTTTCCAGAACGTCCTAAGCAGTAGTGAACCGGATATAGCAACAGTAAACAGCCCTACATCTTGCCAAGGGCCGCGGAGGGCGACGGAACGTGTTCAATAAGGCGATGAGGACACGCGGCAAAGAAGGAAAGAGAGGACTTTGGAAGCGGTGGGACAGAAGCAATACAAGGCAATAGAGCTGTAGTTGGGCAGGCAGCAAACGAGCAGAGAGCACCGACGAAGTGGGGTGGGTGAAGAATTGTAAAACGTGAGGCTGGCTGGCACCTTCGTCGAGCCAATTTCTCCAGGACACCTGCGCCACAACTCGTCCGAGTGCTGGCTTTAGACCCTTTCACATCATATCATTTTCGCCCGTCGACCAACTTTCCTGCTCCATTGTCTCGGACGCTTGTCGCCGCTCCCACACCTTCTGCGCTTCCTTTGTCGCCTTCTCCATCTGTATCCCTCCCCCCCGGTGCAGCAGTGCGCCCTCCACCGCCACGATTCCGCTCCCCTCAGCACCAGCAAACACCGCCAAGCTGTCTTCTACACTCTTGCAACCCACCTCCGGCCTTAGCTTTGCCGGAGACACGAACCGCCCGCCGAACCAGAGGAGACATTCAGAAAGAGCAGCTTCCAGCATGGACACCAAGGCAGCACGGAGGAGACGGTCTAGCAGTCTGATGTACACTGAGCCCCCTGAGTCGCTGGAGCACATTAGCGACCAGGCCGCCCTGCCCAACCTCAACTCGGAATGGGTCAACGCCAAAGGTTTGTAGCCCTGTCCCTGTCGCTCCTCTGTCAAAACCGCATCCTGACACGTTTCTCCCATCCCAGGTGCCTGGGCCATCCATTTCGTCCTCATTGCTCTGCTCAAAATCATCTTCGACATCGTCCCCAACATCTCCCAAGAAACCTCATGGACCCTCACCAACATCTCATACATGGCCGGCTCATTTCTCATGTTCCACTGGGTGCGAGGTGTGCCCTTCGAGTTCAACGCCGGTGCCTACGACAACCTCAACATGTGGGAGCAGATTGACAGCGGCGACCAATATACCCCCGCCAAAAAGTTCCTGCTCAGTGTTCCCATCATCCTATTTCTTGTCAGCACTCACTACACGCATTACGACATCACCTACTTCATGATCAACTTCATGGCGACCCTCGCTGTGGTCGTGCCGAAGCTTCCTGCTGTGAGTCGTTCTGCCAATAGCTTTTAGAACCCTCTTCTGACCAACTTGACAGCTTCACCGTATGCGCATCGCTCTTTTCAACCCCGATGTGGATGACCGATGATCCATATCTTTCGCACTATTCTTTTCCTTTCTCGAGTCGACGCCAAACTTGGCCCCGCATTCCTTGACCAAAGATAGCAAATAACACCGCTTCATCTGCCAGAAAAATCAAATGAACAAATCACTGGCTCTCCCAAAGTTCTCCATCCCGGTCGGTACGCCGCCGTTGATACATCTTGTCCTCGATCATGGTCCTTAGCCAGTCCGTACACGCAGACTAACCATGCCAAATCATACGCCAATCACCTTTCAAGCCCACCGTGCTGTGCGTTGGTCACCTTGCAAACGACCCATGTATCTGCTCTTCTGTCACACACGTCCCATCGAGACGATGCCCGAATGCAATAACAAGACATGTCACGAAGGGATAAAGGCAAGATGAGCTAGCCGGATCATCAGGTATGGTAGTAGAAGCATAGTAAGCCAGTCTCATGTGTCTAGGTAGAGTGAGATGCGTCCCATACAGATCTGAAGCTTCAAAAGTCGGGTAGTAAGGTAGCCGGGGCGTAGAGAGGGCAAGACAAGACTAGGCTCAAAGAAGAGCAATCTAGAGAAAACATGATCCAGCAGAGTAGACGACAGTAAATTGTGACAGAGAAGTCAGAAGGTGGATATGAAATTACTATTAGATTAACGAACTCTAGCAGACCAGGCAGAGCCGAAGCTGTAAAGACCATAGGCAGCAAGAAGACTCAGGCCAATGGGAAGAGGCTTTCCGGACTTGATTGCTCTCGGGATACTGCTTCCAGCGAGGACAACGCTGGCCAGCAGAGCCAACTCGATGCCATAGGGTTGACGGTTGGAGATTCTCATGGCACCGAGGGCGTAGAGGGCACCGACCGAGCAGCCGGCAGCGATGGAGGGGACGGAGCCAGTTCTAGCAAAGATTGGATCAGTATGGTGGTGGCTAGTTAGAGATTGGGGTATGTTCTGCTCGCACCTGACATAGCCAGTAATGCCGCCGCCGGCAGTCAGGGCAGCGAGGATGTATGCAACGTTGTCGAGGCTCTGTTAGGCGTTAGTACAACTGGCAATTGATGATGCATCGTGTCGAGAAGAAATTACCATTCTGTTCGAGTGGTTTGACGTGATGCTGGCTAGTATGAAGTAGTGTCTGGAAGGGATGTATATAGATAGACGGGTGGAAGGATCGAGTAGGCGGGGGAGACGATATGGAGCTCGGAGGCCGTGACGCGGCATCGTCCGTGCGAGCATGCCGGCGAGCTTCAGCAACCTGGCCATTCGGCTTGCTGCTCTCCTGCAATCGCGACCCAAGAGCATACCGCCTCGACGTCTATCACCCGTCTTGCCTCGGGTCCCAAATCACATCTCGACCAACATTCATTCCATCCCGAGAAGAACACCACCCTGGCAATACACCGCTCACATACGACCGATCCGACACCTTGATCATGGCTCCCAAGAAGAACGCCGCCGCCGCTGCCGCTCCCGCTCCCTCGATTGTCCCTCCTTCGACAGCCAAACCTGCCCACGGCCAGACATCTGCTTCGTCTCAGCCCACCAAGCCCCTTCCCGCATCTGTAAAGCCCACCTCGGTCAAATCCACCGTCCGCAACTCGTCAGATGCTCAAGAGATCGCTTTGGCCGTGTGGGACCGCTATGTTCACGATACTCCCCAGCGTGTCAAGCTGATTGACGTCTTCATGACCTTCCTCATCTTGGTCGGCCTTCTCCAATTCCTCTACTGTGTCATTGGTGGAAACTACGTGCGTCCAAGCCCCCCTGTCGCATCCTCAATCTCTGGCTAACCACGACATGCAGCCCTTCAATGCTTTCCTCTCCGGTTTTTCTGCCACTGTCGGCCAATTCGTCCTTACTGCCAGCTTGAGAATCCAGACCAACCCTCAAAACAAGGCCGACTTTGGCTCCATATCACACGAAAGGTGCGTTCTACCATACACAGCACTATTACATATATCTAACATGGTCACAGAGCTTTCGCGGATTATGTGTTTGGAAGTCTGATTCTGCATTTCTTCTGCGTCAACTTCATCAACTAAGGCCGTACCAAAAGTTTCCTTTTACATCTCTTGTCTATTCCTCTCTAAGCGCCATGCATTTCACAATCCGAAATGTCAAAACCTTCCGCGTGTACCCAGAATCAAAAAGCGTCTACTGGCTCTTGAGCCCAAACTCCTCTCTGACTGCGTCTCCGAGACGCTTGATGGCCTCCTCGATCTTCTCGAATGGCGCAGCTGCGTATGTTGATCTGAAGAACATGGTGTCGTGCTTGGCCTGGCTGTCTGCATAGAACCACGAGCCCTTCATGACCAATGCGCCGTGGTCGACGATTGTCTGGAAGATCTTCTCTTCGAGCTCTGCGATCGACATGTTCTTGTGGTCAGGGTGCTTCTCATACTCGATCTGAAGCCAGTGCTGTCATGTTGTTAGCTTCGTTTCAATCACCACATCACGATCAATCCACTTACGAACATGCCAGCCATTGGCGGCTTCCAGCTCATGACCTCTTTGGGCAGGTACTTTTCACAAGCTCCGAGCATGACGTCTCTTCGCTGCGTGTATTCCATTCTGATGTGAACGAGCCAATCCAAGAAACCTGCGTGGCCCCAGTGCTCATCTAGCAACTTGAACAGGACCAGCTGGCTGATACCGCTAGGTGCTTGTGTGCTGACATCGATGTGCTTGATGAATCTGTCGACGATCTGCTGCGATGCTGTGATCCACCCAACACGCGCTCCAGGAGCAACAACCTTTGAGAATGAATCCATACGCATGACACGGCCATCTGTGTCCAGGGACAGGAACGAAGGCACCAGCGACTTCAAGAACTCGGCATGAGTCTTTGGCGGCGGCACGTCTGGCGAGTCTGGACCTGTGTATGGCTGCATCTGCAAGAAGTAGTATGGCTCGTCCTCTAGAATGTAGACATCGTGCTTCTGAGCCACCTTGTACACCTCTCTGCGTCTCTGCTCGCTCTGAGTGGCTCCAGTGGGGTTCTGGCCTGTGGGGACGGTGTAGAGCAGGAAAGGCTTTCTGGCACCGCGAGCCGCTTCGTCCCAGTTGCTTAGAACATCATCGAGGGATTCTGGGAGCAGACCTTCGTCGTCCAGACCGACTCCAACCATGCGTACACCCATAGGTGCTGCAGTCTCAACAGCAGTTGCAAAGGTGTAGTCCTCGGTCAAGACGACATCGCCACGCTGCACGAACATTCTCAATGCGACATCCAGAGCAGATGTCGACCCAATCGTCATGTTGCAGTACCAATCTTGGTAAGGAGGATTGTGCACAATCTCCGTATGCTCTATGAGATAACGCAACAACTGCGCGGACCCAGAGCCCTGGCCATAGTTGAATGCAGTAGTGATATCGAACAGACTCTTGTCATCTGCCAAATCAGACTTTCCAGCTGTCAGCACAGCACCGTTTTCACGCGTCTCTTTTTCTGAGAAATGCCCGATTTGAGGCACCTTGATGGATAGTTCGTCAAAGGGGAAGTATTCGGCCGAAGGCAGACCGCCGCCTAGGGAGATGATGCCGGGTTTCTTGAGGTATTTGGCAGCGGCTTTGAGGGAGTTGCCTTTGCGTGATGAGGCTTCGACGTTCAGGTAGTCTGTGATTTGGATTAGCTATGGCCTTGCATTGGCTGTCTGGGCTGGTACTTACGGTCCCATCTCCTAGCCTTGGGCTTGTGGAGGTGGTGCTTCCCGCCTTTGAATTGCTCGACGTTTGCTACGGCGGCGACTCCGGCGATCAATTTTCCAGTAGCTTCGCGTCTCTTGGAGACATCTTCGAGTGTGAGAGGGTTAGGGATGGTGATGGCAGTGGTGTCGTCAACTGCCTGAACGTCAACATCGATTGCGCTTGGAGGTGACATTTTTGGTGTGTGTATTCAGCCAATATAAAAAATCGGAATGTACAACAAGAGACAAATAGTAAAGACAACAACTTAAGGTCAATCGAGATATGTATATCTACTTGACTCACCCATGCGCCTTGCGCCCAGCGCCCTTGTTTCTACAACGAACTTTGTCGACTTTACGCCATGCGTCACCTCCGGCATCGCTGCGTGGTGGATTCGTCCCTGATACGACCTCGGCACCCTGGTGGTCTGGGGTATGTTTGGAGCATCAACAGAAGAAATGTCAAAAAATTCTTGTTGCGAATCATGTCAGAGATCGAGTCGCTTGGTCGAACCGTGGTGATTGAATTAAATACGAGTGTGATCGCAGTCGTTATTGATGCCCGTCTCTGGCTTACTATGGTCCCCTCGAAACAAGTCGCTTTCTTCGGTATATTCGTAGACGTTCATCAGAACAGCCTCGATGTCCCTCGTTCTCCGCTTTGCAAGCCCGATGTGGAACGTGTCGGACGCTGTTGCACCTGCATGTGGCCGTCATGCGTCCGATTCTGTCTTCAGGATCCTAGATTTGCTGTCAAACAGCCATAATTTGGTAGTGAGGCAACTGTGATCATGAGAAGTCGTGATATGCGCGTCTTCGCCGACACCTCGTCGGAGTACGTGCTGGTCTCTGTTCAAAGACGTTGAGATGCAGGAGGTGTTCTGGCGTGCTGATGATGCTGATACTCGCGTCCCGCAAACACATACGTGTCTCTGTCTAGCCGCACGCTAATATTCATGAGCCGATTGTTTAGTCTTCGTCGCTTCATGCCAGTCCGAATCTCTTGTTAAACTCGTCGAAGAGTTTAGGAGTAATTTCATCACTGCTGTTGCCATCGACACTCCAGAGAACACCAAGCTTATCATAGTGCTCGAGCAGAGGCGTGCTGGTCTCTTCAAACTTCTTCAGACGGGCCGTCCAGGTCTTTGGGCAGTCGTCGTCTCTTTGGACCAGGGGCTCGCCGGTCACGTCATCTTTGCCTTCAACCTTGGGTGCGTTGAAGGTAGTGTTGTATACTCGACCGGACGCGGCGTGGATCCATCGGTTGCAGATGCGATCGAGGATGACCGAAGTAGGGGTGTTCAACTGGACAACAAGGTTGATGGGAACGAGTTTGTCGAGTTGAATGGCCTGCTCGACGGTGCGAGGGAAGCCGTCGAGGATGAAAGAGGCGTTTGGCTGATCACTGAAGTCATATGGACCCTGGTGTGAGGCTGTGGGAGTGATATAATCGTCTTGAGGAGAAGATGTGAAGGCGTTCATGGGGTTGAGGGAAGAAGCCACGGAGTTCATGACCAGAGGCTTCTGTGCGGTAGACGGAGTGAGCCACCCTTTTGTGGTCAACTCGTTCGTGATGAGGCGCAAAATGGTCGAGTCAGGTACAAGCGAGCCTGCCTTCATGAGGGATTCGGCCTGGATGCCTGAGCGTCAAGAGTCAGCGTTTGCTGCGGCGTCGAGGATGTACGAGCGATTGTACCGAGCGGAGTTCGTCTGCGAACGTTGTCTCTCAAGAGGTCTCCAGAGCTGATGGAGGACAGTTGGGGGAATCGCTGGAGCATGCGCTCAGACTGAGTACCCTTGCCCACACCAGGAGCGCCAACCAAGATGATACGGGCGGCTTTGCGGAGTTGCATCGTGTACGTGTCGTAATATGAGAGAGTGTATGGAGTTGGAGGGTAGAAACAGCCGGACAAGACGGCTAAGCGACGTCTGCGACCTCGAGTGCAGAATCGAAGTTTAGCAAAGAAAGAGAAAGTCTACAGCAGTGCTTGCTAGAGCAGCAAAGAGAGGGACTCGGGATGCGGGAAGTTGGGAGACGCAGCAATCAACGAGCACGAAGGAACAATTGTTCGGATACTTGAAATGACCCGTCACCCGGCTTCGGCATTGCGGGGCAGGAACTCGAACTCGTACACAAGCCTCGGCCCGTGCGTCACATGTTGCCTTCGTTTGCCAACATCGGCCTCCGCAGCTCCCGTCGGCTCAACCACAGTGTACAAAAGGTTGTGCAGCTTGTGCACAGGCGACGGGGGTATGCTAACCTAAGTCCGCAGCGCGCAAGAAGTCCGTCGAAGCCGTGGAAGTTTCCTGGACACCACTTCCTCGCCCTGTCCATCTTCGTGTGTTGCTCAACTTTTGGTCATTTATCATCTATTACCATTTGAACTTCTCACATCTGCCCAAGGCGTCCGCTCGCCATGTCGTTCAACCGTACCGCCTCACAAATGGCGCCTCTGCTGCTTAGAAACAGCACAAGGACTGCCCTGTCTCGCTCCATGCGCCTCCCCAGGCAATTGCCTGCCATCGCCATATTGATTCCGAACCGTTCCGTATCTGGCGACACCTCTACATCCAACACCCAGTCCAACTACCCGCCCCCAGGCTTCAATGCCGACCAGGCCAAGAAACCCCTCGAGTCGCAAGACGACAAGTCCAAGCAGTCGTCCTCTTCCTCCCCGGATGTCAACATTCCCGTGAACAAGCCTACTGCACACGCACCCACAAAGGCCTCAGAAGATCAGGCTCTGAATGAGCTTGCCAGCCAGAAAGCCGACGCCGACAAGGCAGAAGAGAAGAGACTCGCAAAGAAGAAGGAGGACAGCAAGAAGCTCACTCTCAAGCAAAAGATCATGAAGGAGGTTCACCATTACTGGGATGGTACCAAGCTGTTGGCCGCCGAAGTCAAGATCAGTTCCAAGCTGGCCTTGAAGATGGCTGCGGGTTACGAGCTTACCCGCAGAGAACATAGACAAGTGAGTACATTCAACTCAATCCACTGGACCCAATCTAACCTCCTGTTTAGCTGCACCGTACTGTCCAGGATCTCGGTCGCCTCGTTCCCTTCTCTATGTTTGTCATTGTGCCCTTCGCCGAGCTGCTGCTTCCAGTTGCCCTGAAGATTTTCCCCAACATGCTGCCTAGCACATACGAAGGTGCAAAGTCCAAGGAAGCAAAGGCCAGCAGTCTGCGTGGTACCCGCAAGGAAGTCAGCAGCTTCCTGCGTCAGACCCTACAAGAGACTGGCCTGCCTGTGAGCGCCGCCAACGCACAAAAAGAAGAGTTCACAGAGTTCTTCCGCAAGGTAATCAATTACTCTACTTCGTCAAATCAGGATGCATACTGATTCAGTCTAGATTCGCACCACTGGCGAGGCTCCTAACAAGGCCGATGTCATTCGTGTTTGCAAAATCTTCAAGGACGACTTGACCCTCGACAACCTTTCTCGCCCGCAACTTGTTGGTATCTGCCGTTACATGTCCCTGACCACTTTCGGCACCGACACCATGCTCCGCTACCAAGTCAGACATCGTATGCGCCAGATCAAGCGTGATGACAGAGCCATCTCTTTCGAGGGTGTTGAATCTTTGTCTGTGCCCGAACTCCAAACTGCATGTGCCTCGCGCGGTCTACGCACTCATGGTGTTTCTCCCGCTAGACTCCGCGACGACTTGGGTCTTTGGCTCGAATTGCGTCTCAAGTACGGAGTTCCAAGCACTCTTCTTGTCCTTTCCAACGCTTTCATGTACACGCAGGGCAAGGACGTAGAGTTCGACTCGCAGATCGATGCCTTGCAGGCTGTCTTGGCCAGCATTCCCGAGGAGCTATTCCACGAGATTGAGCTGGAAGTGCACACTGCAGAGGGAGCTGCAACCAACAAGCAGCGTCTGGAGGTTCTCCGTGAACAGCAGGAGTTGATCGAGGACGAGAATGAACAGAGCGAGAAGCAGAGCGAAGGCGGCAAGTCGGCTCGTGTCAGCGATCTCGACAACATTGACGAGAAGGAGGACGAAGCACGCCCTGAGGACGCGCTCAGACGTGAGCACGAAGCTGAGTTGCAGACTCAAGCCGGCGCTTCCACCTCTTCTACCGGAGGTCAACAGACATCAGAGGCAAAGAGCGAGGAGAAGAAGGCTTAATTGTATTATATACTGCATGTGAGGATTTCTGGATGGTATAGGCTGGCGGGTTTGCATACACTTTCAAAAGGCGTTCTGTTTCGGAGAGGTCAGTCAAGGCCTCGTTGCACATGTTTACTCTTCTCAACATAGACAATCAAGTAGATGCTTCTGCATCAGTATGACTTTGTCCAAGATTGGCTGTGGAGTGGTTTCCAAAACAGGAAGTTGTAGACGGACTTCCAAGAGCCGCCAGAGCCGACATAGGCGGCCGCCTTTGGCCGTCAGCATCATTCGAGGGTCCAGCGTGTGTTTAACAGATGCAGACTGATGTGATCAGCGACGAGTCGGCCAGACTCAATTTCGCCTGGGCTCCAGTCTCGGCAGCAGCATGTACGCCAGTGGAGGCATACGCTTGCTGACCAAGAGGCTCCAAATCCATTCAGCCATCCGATTGCATGCTCCATACCGATTCGCGTCGTCGCGCAGCCAGCAGAAGAACGAGGAACCCAGAGGCGGCACCACGACACCTGTGCCGGACGAGGCCTCGGTTGTCGTGTCAAAGTCAGCATACTACTTCGAGGCCGGCTACGGTCTATTCGCCAAACGACCATCTCGCCCCTTCCCGCCGCCCTTCTTATCTCCTCCGTCGGGCTCCTTCTCAGATCCTCTTAGTACCCATGACCGAAGCCGCGACCGTCGCCCGTCTGTCAATGGCGACATGATCCGAGGCATCACCAACGGAGATGATGCTGTTCTAGTGAGCGACAACTTTATCGGCGCAAACGACGGCGTAGGAGCATGGGCTAGTCGTGAAAGAGGACACGCTGCGTATGATTTGTGCTCAACATCACTCCTTCCATACCTCTGACTTGTGTTACAGCTTGTGGTCGCGACTCATACTGCACTTCTGGGCGCTGGAAGCCGAGAAGGATGTCTACGGAGACGATTCGGAGCCGGACCCCGTCAAGTACCTTGAAAAGGCCTATCGACATACCATAGACGCAACTAGTAAACCCAACGAGTGGCTCGGCACTACCACTGCTTGCGGCGCTCTCCTACACACCGACACCAACACTAAACCAGCTCATCCTATACTCTACGTAACTCAACTAGGCGATTCGCAGATACTCGTCATACGGCCAGAAGAACGCGAAGTCATCTACAAGACTACCGAGCAATGGCACTGGTTCGACTGCCCACGCCAGCTTGGCAGCAACAGTCCCGACGTGCCCGAAAAAAACGCCGTCATGGACAAAATCACAATCGCAGAGGACGATATCATTCTCGCAATGTCTGACGGCGTCGTGGACAATCTTTGGGAACACGAAGTGGTTGATAACGTCCTACAAAGTATGGAGAAATGGAAGTCTGGCAGTGTTCCTCAGGTCATGCGCTCAGACGAACAGAGCACGTATGCAGGAGGCATGCAATTCGTTGCCCAGGAGCTTGTAAAGGCAGCTCGCACTATTGCCCAAGACCCCTTTGCAGAGAGTCCGTACATGGAACGCGCAATCGAAGAAGGCCTCTCCATAGAGGGCGGCAAACTCGACGATATCAGTGTCGTCGCAGCTGTTTGCAAAAAGCGGATAGGCAGATGAGGATTCTGATTATGAGCCGCACTCTAAACTGCTAATTGCGATCCTTCTTCCGCTCCTGCTTTTACGGGTTCAGGTCGAAATGCATCAGCGCGACCGGCTTCCTTGAGCAACATGAAAACATGCATATGCTATGCTATTAAGCCTCCAGTGGCCCCTTGAGGACTTGGAGAAGCTCGAACCTGGGGACCGAACGACGGAGCTCTCTGCGCCGGGTGTTGAAGGCATCTTTTCGGGAGACGGGCACTTTCGGTTCAAATCTCAAAGCCGTCAAGTTGTATCATGTCCAGCCAGGGCGGAATGTTGGTGTTTTGGGTCGAATGTCTGGGGATATCTGAAAAGGGCAGGTGGACATGTTGGATCAATAGACGGGTCTTCTCTTGACAAACTCCTCGAGATCCTGTTTTGTCGCAACACCTAGAACGAATTTACGGCCAGCGTCTGTGACGACAGCAAATTCCTGTTCTGGCATCTTGCCGTCTTCCGTCAAGCCTGCGTAGAATGCCTCGAGCTCTTCCAGAGGAGTGTCCATGGTGATGACGTGGTATTTAGTGCCCTTCCTCTTGAACTTTGTCATTGCCTTGTCCACTGTGTCGGTGTCGCGAACACTGCCGGCCTTGAGCAGATCCTTGAGATTAGGCATGGACAGGTAGCCAACCAGCGCACGTGTCTCGGGCGCAACGACTGTCAGATGGGTGTACTCTCTTTCGTAGGCGGCCATGAGAGCACTGGAGATGAGCGACGACGACAAGGTCGACAGGGCCGGTGGTGGATCGAGGTCTTCCACGGTTGCCTACATGGGGCAGGTTAGAACATGGTCGGGAGGTATGGCTACAGGCTGCGGGTCACTCACCCCTCTGTACTTGTCAGCCCATTTGGCTAGAAGCTCTTTGTATGATTGTGTCTCGGCCATTGTGCTATTACTACTGACGTATGTGATATTACTGTTCTCAAGCTATTGATCAGAACTCGCGCGTGCTGGAACTTTTCGTGCTCGCCAAGCAATCTTGTATCATTGGTGACCCTGGTCTGGTTATGATCAGACTGGCACTTTGACATTCTAGCCCAGCGACTCGAGCAATGTAGTCCATATCTTCTGGTAGACAGTGCTTCATGATATACATGACGTTCTCTTGACCACGCTCTCCTGTATAGTCCAGATATATAGTCACCATGCGATACGTAAATACCGTCACTAATCGACCCCACGATCCTTATCTAGCACCGCAGAACCATCATGATGCCCCATTCCCGATAAGCACCCAACCTTAATCCCAGCACAGCAGCACCTTCCTCCAGCGCGAAACAGTGCCGCCGGAATTGCGCGATATCATGATGAAATACCCACTCACTTGCACGGTTTGTCCAAGGGCAAAGCCATCACGGTAGTGCAATCATGAAAGAAACCTTGGCGTTCTTCTTTGTTGGTCGTCCTTGACGTCACACGTCATCGCTTTCACATGAGTGAAGGTCAAACAAATAGTCGCGCATTCCTAATAATCTCTCATTTCACACCACGAGTTGTGAATTCACCCTGCTTGACTCTGTAATTGACACCTTGAGCACTTCTACGTAAACCAAGAAAAACATGGCAAACGAAATTCATTCTACTGGCCGTGGAGGTATGCTCGTCCAACACGCCTCGAGTCAAGTGTGACTGGCTGATGACATATCAACAGGCGCCGGCAACATCGGTCGCGATGACACACTGTGAGCAAGTATCTCAGCAGTTCGTGTCTGCTCAAGTCTAACTGAGTCATCTCACAGTTACACCGACGGCAACATCGTGCGCGAGGGCTACGTTGGCGAGTCCTCGAAGCCCGAGTACTCCTCCGGTCGCGGAGGCATGTAATTTCCAGCTCAACAGATAACAAAACACACGGCTAACCAGTCCTCAAAAGGTGCCGGCAACATTGTCGATTCGCCCAGAGTCGGTCCCGTGCGCGACAATGGCTCCAACTCCGAGGACGTGATCCCCGAGCCCGCCATGCGCAACGCTGCTGGCTACGACAACTTCCACACTGGTGTAAGTTCGTCTACACATCATCTCTCAACCTCTGTTGCTAACCGGAAAATTCAGCGCGGCGGCGAAGGCAACATCTACAAGGAAAAGTACGGAGGCCACAGTGCTGCTCCCGCCCAGGAAAAGGAGAAAGACAACAAGGAAAGCCTGGGCGACAAGGTCAAGCATCTTTTCGGCAAGAAGGACTAGAAGCGCCTTTTTGACAAGAGGCTGTAGACGCCCTGGTCGTAAGTGGTAGCGAGAATTGAGTACGCGAGTGACGACGAGACATGAAGTAATAAGAGATACCCCATCCATGTCCTAGGACGTCACAGAATACAAGCAATCAGAATGATCTCCTGCCAGCAAGCGTATCATATTTTGAGAGGAATGTTTCGAGCGGCTACAATGTGACATATTAGTGCAGGCTATAGACGATAGCTCGAGTAATGAGATTCTATGATGCACTTTCTCTCTCGCGCTCAAACTCGTCTAGGACACTTTTGGCCACGGCGATAGCTGTATCAGGTAGACCTAGAGTCGTTAGCTTTGTGTAAGACAAGTCAAAGAACCTCCAACTTACCAGCAAGCTTAGCGACCTTCAAGGCATGCGAGCTTCTGTTGACTCCCTGCCGGAGCTTGTGCACGTAGACCCATGAGCCATCTTCCTCCTCTGCGACATCCGTACAGTGACAGGCAAGATGGTCAAAGCTCTTCGTCATGTCGACCAGTGAGTGGAAATGTGTCGCGAACAGTGTACGGCATCGGGTTGTGTTGTGCAGGTGATGCAGACAAGCATATCCCACAGCAACGCCATCTTCTGGAGTGGTTCCTCGACCAACTTCGTCCATGATGATCTAGTATAAGCGGTCAGCATTAATCTCAGCTAGATGTGAGAGCCGCTTACGAATGAGTGTGAAGTTGCTTGGTTGAGGATATCGGCGACCTCGAGCATCTCCACCATGAAAGTCGACTGGTGGTTGTACAAGTTATCCGCTGAGCCCACCTGAAGAATCATTAGCTATCGTAGCAATATAAGTATGTTCTCTGCTGTCTCACTCTGCTGAAGATCTTGTCCACGAGCCCTAACTCTGCATAATCTGCGGGAACAAAGCAACCGGTCTGGGCTAGGATGGTGATCAAGGCGTTTTGCCTGAGAAAGGTACTCTTGCCTGCCATATTAGGTCTGCAATAAGTGTTAGTATGACGATCGATGTGTTTACATGGTCAACATACCCTGTAATCAATAGAATACTTTCATCTCCGCCAACGGCACAGTCATTAGCAGTAAACAGCCGACCCTGTTCTTGCAAGCCCATATCTACCATCGGATGACGACCGCCAACAATCTTAGACGTTGTGCTATATTCAAATCAGCAAGAGGATGCATAAGGCGCGGAACGAATAAGTCTTACCCAGAGTGCAGTATGGGCCTCACCAGATCCCTTTCTCTTGCCATGACCGCTGATGAGCACGCAACATCCAGCTCGTCAAGAATACTGGCATTGCGCCTAAGCTTGACCAGGTTTTCGATCACCTAGCTTCTCGTCAACAGGATACAAAGGCGATAGAGTCCCATTCGAAATTTACCCGCTTGCGGAGATCATTGAGGACTCTCTGCTCTTCTGTGCGGATACGCAACTTTGCATCTTCCAATCGCGACCCTAGATGCGACCAATCTGGAAGATAGAAAGCCCTGGTACTTTTCGAGGAGCTGACGTTTCTAGCATCTGGGATCTCCGCCCGAACATCTTTGCCTCTGACGTGACAGAAATGTCCTAGCTGTGGAGTCCACTTTAGGGCCAAGGTGTTACCTGCCCATGTTAGACTGTACGAGGAGTTGATCAACCATGTTATCAGGACACACCTATTTCTGCTCGTAAACGTTCGAAGAGTTGTGCTTTTTCCTCCACGACACCGTCGAGATTCTCATGTCCCGTCAGTAAGGTCGTACTGGCACTAGTGACGATTAGAAAAGACGACACGATGACCAAAGGCTAGTAACATGCACTTACCTTCTACGCATGATCCAGAACTCTCCAGCATTGAGTTCTGCAGGTACCGCAGCCTTTTGAGCACTAGCTTTACCACGTTTCCCTGCTTTGGTCTTGGGATCTTCCACTTCAGCAATCTGTTCTGCAAGTTCCACAACGCCCACTGCTTCTGCCTCCTCTGCCATGTGCTGTTGAGATAAGCCTTCCTCATCAATTGCATCCAAGATTCGAGTCGCCAGCTTTGAAGGACCATCCAAGTCGAGGCGATCTACTAACGCCCTCAACGGAAGAGAGTCCATAGCACTCTTCTTTGACGGCAGATGTGTGTTCATCATATTCACAATCTGGCTGACGATCTGTATCGTTTTGGCAAGAGCCAGAAGATCATCGGCATCTCCTTTGCCAATCGAGAATCTCTGCAAGAGCCGCAGAACATCTGTCGTTCTTGTTAGCGCAGACATAGTCTCCTCGCGCACCTGATCGTGCTCCAGCAGCTCCGATACCAGATTTAAGCGACTATTGATCTCTGAAAGTGACATGGATGGTGATACTGTCAAAGGGAACATAATTAGTATGAGAGAAGTGTACGTGAAAAGAAACATCTGGTACCTAGCCTCTGACTCAGTAATCTGGCACCACTCTTGGTCGTTGTTCGCCGAATCGCATGTAGCAGACTGCCCTGGAAAAGTCCGTCTCGAAGAGTGGACCGGATCTCCAGAGCTTTCAAGGTTTGTTTGTCGATGCTCATATAATCACTCTGATTGCGGCGGATAGGACATCTCAGAGAAACGTTCAACTCGAGCAACCTGCCTTTGACGTAATCTAGTAGCAGTGACCCTGCCAGTACCTCTTGTGTAGAGAAAGTGTTCGACTCTTCTTTGGAGACAGGCTTTTCTAACATAGGAGCCCAGTGTTCAATGGAGGCAAAATCTAGGTCCGGGGTGTGATATGTCACAGCATGACCCCCATCACCCAAGAGTCGATCTAGCTGAGATCGATCAACTCGTTCAAAGCTAGAATCTAGCACGATTTCACGGGCTCCTACGCGAGCAATGACGGAGCCAAGGGAAGATAGCTCTGTGCGTTGGGTGAAAAAATCGCCGCTTGAGAGGTCTACCCATGTAAGTCCCACGTCTGTGTCCTGTGGTGTCGACATGATGTCTGTCGTGTCAAGACTGGCATGTATGCTCAGTAGGAAGTTGTTCTCGAAGGGGTCCATGAAGGTTTCATCGACCAATGTGCCGGCGGTGACGATGCGAGACACTTTCCGATTGTAGAGCAGACCACCGTTCTTGACTTGATCAGCGGCAGAATTTCGAACTTCGTCACTGATGGCGACATGCTTATCCAACCCTTGAACAAGAGATTTCAGAAAACGATCCAATTGAGTGTACTGGAAGCCTGCCATGGCGATAGGGCCTAGGGCGGTTTTCCTTTGAGCGACTTTCAGATTGAGGAGAGGGCCATATTCCTCGGCTTGCTCGCCATAGAGCTCGTAGAAGTTGCCTATGCGGGTAAGTACAACACAGCCGCTAAATTTGCTGACATGATTCAAATGTTGTTGTATGACACGCGGGTAGGCGGGAAGCTGATCTTCTGGATTGTCGTCAAGCGCAGGAAGCGGAGCAGGCGCAAGAGGACCTTGGGGTAGTTCCTGAAATTTGATAGTGCTCTTGGTTTTGGCTCCGCGAGTTACGATGCAAGGCGCATTCCATCTTCTGATTGGAAGCGAATAGGCCAGTCGAAGCAAGGGCAGACGAGCCCGACGAAACATTGCCAGCTTCAAAGGTCAGGTCATGGGTCGAGAGTGGTCGGGAGAAAAAAGCTCTCGGTCATCATGTCGATCGAGAGGTCGATGCGTTCATGCGGGGCACGCTCTGTCTACGAGCGAACTCTCTCTTGTGCTGCACCACTTCTTGTCGCGACATCCAATATCACCAAGCCAACGCCGACATGCCTGAATTCCCTCCTATGAAGAACGACCTGCTCCTGCGCGCTGCGCGTGGTGAGAAGGTCGAACGTCCACCCATGTGGGTCATGCGCCAGGCTGGCCGCTACCTGCCCGAGTACCACGAGGCCAAGGGCTCCCACGACTTCTTCGAGTGCTGTCGTTCGCCCGAGATTGCCTCGACTCTGACTCTACAACCCATTGATCGTTATGCTGGCCTCATTGATGGCTCCATCATCTTCTCCGACATCCTCGTCATTCCTCAGGCCATGGGCATGGAGGTCATTATGGTCGACAAGAAAGGCCCCCATTTCCCCGACCCTCTCATGTCCCCGAGCGACAAGCAGTACCACGAAATCATGGAAAGAGACGTCGATGTCAAAGAGGCCCTGGACTACGTTTACAAGGCCATCACCATGACCAGACAGAAGCTCGACGGCCGCGTCCCTCTCTACGGCTTCTGTGGCGCTCCCTGGACTCTGCTCAGCTACATGGTTGAAGGAGGTGGCACAAAGATGTTCAAGCAAGTCAAGACCTGGATCTTCAAGTACCCCGAGGAGAGCAAGAAGCTGCTTCAGAAGATCGCCGAGCTCTGTGTTGAATACCTTGCCCTGCAAGTCGTTGCTGGTGCTCAGGTACACCCCGTCCATCCACATGACCTTGTCTTGAGCTAATTTGGCCATGCAGATTATTCAGGTCTTTGACTCGTGGGCCGGCGAGCTGTCCCCCACTTCTTTCAAGGAGTTCTCCCTACCTTACTTGAACTACATTGCAGACCACCTGCCCAACCGTCTCAGAGAAATGGGCCAGGAAGTCGTTCCCATGACTGTCTTCGCCAAGGGTGCATGGTACGCTCTCGACGACCTCTGTGATACCGCATACAATGTTATTGGATTGGACTGGCTGCACTCGCCCAAGGAGGCTTACGCCATTGCTCAAAAGAAGGGCAAGGTTGTCCAAGGAAACGCCGACCCTGGCGTTCTTTACGGCGGAAAGGAGGCCATCACCGCAGTGGTCAAAGAAATGGTAGAGGGCTTCGGTGGTGGCAAGCAAGGTTGGATTGCCAACCTGGGTCACGGTATGTGTAACTTTATGGGTTCCAAGCTTGTTTACGTGCTGACAATCCTAGGAATCACACCCTTCGTCAACCCCGATGACCTCAAATTCTTCTTCGAGGAGATCCACAGGCTTTCAGGTAGATGAAGATTCGGCCATTCCAATTGTTTACCGTTGCGAATGATGCTCTAGGAATCCAAGATACAACCAAAACTTCTGCCCTAGAGGCCGCCGAGCAAAAGATGCACGAAAGGAATATCATGACCTCTGATTGGTGAAACACGGGCGTCAAGCCTACTGCTCACCAATGTCCTCGTTCCTGCATCGATACGTGTCAGCAAAGGGATGAATATTTGGTTGACAGGGATACCCACCACTCCCCAGGGTGCTCTTTGATAAACTTCTTCATCAAATCTTCACATTCGGCAGACTTGACGTTGATAACCTCGACGCCTCTCTGCTTGAGGTAATCTTCGCCACCAACAAAAGTGCTGTTCTCGCCGAGCACAACACGCTTGACTTTGTACAAAAGACAAGCTCCAGTGCACATGTCGCAGGGTGAGAGAGTGGTGTACATAGTAGCGCCTTCATAGGCAGAAGCTGGGAGTCTACCCGCGTTGTTAAGTGCAGCAATTTCTCCCTGCATGCTTCTTAGCATCATGTGCTGTCTTTTGTGAGGTACAGAGTACATACGTGAATAGTAGGAGATCCCTCTTGCATTCTCAAGTTGTGTCCACGGCCCTGACAGCTATGTCAGCCAAGAACCTCCGATGCAGCACTTCAGAGACCTACCAAGATCTTGCCATCTGCCTAGACAAGGTATGGTCAGCACATTCCTGGGAATTCGGAAGAAAGGCACAGCTAGAGTCTCCCTGGTCGGCTATATGGCGCAGCAAGAATGACTCTTAGAATTGTATCTCTGATTGAACGTACCGAAACAAGACAAGCACCAATGGGGACACCACCCTCGGAAGCGCCCTTTCTGGCTTCTTCAAGAGCAGCCTGGAAACCAATATCGCTCTCAGACATCGTGTAGTTGGGTATGATTGAGTGCTGAAGATGGCAGTGGAAAGAGCAGAACCCCAGATAAAGCAGATTTTTGGTTTGACTAGTTTGCGGCTCATAGCGCCTACAGGGCCGATCATAGGAGGTCGATTCAGTGGACTGCTTGCCCGCTTTTGCTGGCCGGTCAACTCTTCAAGATTGACGATATATACAATCGCTATTCGAACAAGATCGGGATGATCACAAGATGCGAACACTGCTGCTACGTAGAACTGCAAATATGCCCAGCCATGCAGCCTGATCAGTATGGGCTCCTCCGAGCATAGGGTAAAAGACGTCTTGGTTTACGCTCAGAAGGATTCACTGCTTGCTACATTACATGTGGTTGTTTGACATGTCACTCTATCAAAGTGTGTTGCTGCAATCGAGTGAGTGTGCATGAACCGGAGTGAGAGAGGGTTGGGAGTGCTTGCGGCTTGGCGCTCCAGCGGCATTCGGAAGAAAATCGTCGAAGGCTCTAGAAAGGCTATCGGGAGCCAAATCAATCAATCGCCTTCCCAAGCGTTCTCGTTCCCTCTCAGAGCCTGCGCTTACCACACGTCAACTATAGTCCTTGGCTTTTCCGTCTGTTGATTCGATACCCCCTTCAGTTTTCTGTTAACATTCGCTTCTGTCCTCGCGCACTTCAACTCAACACAGCCCCCTCAACCCTACCACCACCACCATGGTCAAGGACACGAAATTCTACGAGACTCTAGGCGTCGCTCCTGACGCTTCCGAGGCTCAACTCAAGTCGGCATACCGCAAGGGCGCTCTCAAGTTCCATCCTGGTTTGTAGTCACGACATCTGCCTTGGCGGGCACCTGGCTGATCTGTTATCCTAGACAAGAACCCTTCGCCCGAAGCCGCAGAAAAGTTCAAGGAGCTGTCACACGCATACGAGATTCTCGCCGACTCAGAAAAACGCCAACTCTACGATCAATATGGTGAAGAAGGAATCGAGCAAGGCGGCATGGGTGGTGGCATGAACGCCGAAGATCTCTTCTCGCAATTCTTCGGCGGCGGCGGCGGTGGTGGCTTCGGCGGCATGTTCGGTGGTGGCATGGGCGGTGGTCGTGATCCTGGCCCCAAGAAGGCCCGCACCATTCACCACGTCCACAAGGTCTCGCTCGAGGACATGTACAAGGGCAAGATCTCCAAGCTCGCCCTGCAAAAGTCCGTCTTGTGCCCCAAGTGCGATGGTCGCGGTGGTAAGGAGGGCGCCGTCAAGACATGCACAGGCTGCAACGGTCAGGGTATGAAGATGATGATGCGCCAGATGGGTCCCATGATCCAGCGCTTCCAGACCGTCTGCCCCGACTGCAACGGAGAGGGTGAGATTGTTCGCGAGAAGGACCGCTGCAAGCAGTGCCACGGAAAGAAGACGACTGTTGAGCGCAAGGTTCTGCACGTCCACGTCGACAAGGGTGTCCAGAGCGGTACCAAGATCGACTTCCGTGGCGAGGGTGACCAGATGCCTGGCGTTGAGCCCGGTGACGTTCAGTTCGAGATTGAGCAGAAGCCTCACGCTCGCTTCCAGCGCAAGGGCGACGACCTCTTCTACCAGGCCGAGATTGATCTTTTGACCGCTCTTGCTGGTGGTGCTATCTACATTGAGCACCTCGACGAGAGATGGCTCACAGTTGAGATCAAGCCCGGCGAGGTTATCTCTCCCGGTATGTTGTCATGATTACGATTTGCGCATCACCATACTAACAACTCAAACAGGAGAGATCAAGGTCATCAGAGGCCAGGGTATGCCTTCATACAGACACCACGACTTCGGCAACCTCTACATCCAGTTCGACGTCAAGTTCCCAGAGATCTTGACCAGCGCCGACGGTGCACCCATGACCGATGAGCAAAAGGCTGCTCTCGAAAGTGTCTTACCTCCTCGCTCTCCCCAGAACGTCCCTCCTCCGGATGCCATGACCGAAGACTTCTCGCTCGACAAGGTGGACCCCAACCGCGAGTCGGCACGCGCACAACGCGCTGCCATGGGCGAGGATGATGATGATGAGATGCACGGCGCAGGTGGCGAGAGAGTCCAGTGTGCCTCGCAGTAAAAGAAAAACGATGCTTATGATATGAAACAAGGAAGAGCCCAGGCAAAGTTGTCTATACCAGCAGCCTCCCTGGGTAGCCCCTCTTTTTGCGTTTTTGTTTTCTTTCTATTCCCTTTTATGCTTGTGGGTAGCGTTTGCGGCATTCTATAGAACTGCACGAGAGTTTCTCGTGTTCCAAAGTCTACGATTTTCGTTTTCCTGTATGCTACAGCGAGACTCTTTTTCCCATTAAACAAGAAGGCGTTGGGCGTCGAGTCATCGGAAGGCACGGCAGGAGCTGGATTTAATAATCGAAAGCACGAGATCGTAATTCATTGCTTCCTCCACTTCTCTTCTCTCCTGGCACCGTGATTGTTCAGACAACTTGAGGCAGCATGACAGGCACCGAAATATTCGAGGTGTCCAGTGAACAACAGCAGGATCTGATTCAATGGCTGGCACCTTATATTCCTACATGCATCGCCCTCTATCGACGCATACAGTTCGGGCACTTTGAGCCAGGCGCTAGAATACTCAGCTCCATTGATTTTGCCAGATCTCCTCATGAGAGGAAGGCTAAGGACTCCTGGATCATCGCATATGTCGACCGTGCATGCAGACCAGAGACTGAGGTCTGGCTGGCCGCCAGTTGGGAACACGATACACCAACGGATGACTCTAAGACTCCATGTGCAGATGATCTCGTCAAAGCCATGATCAAGAAGATCAGTCAGTTCGAAACTCCTCCGAAAGCTAGCACGATTGTCGACCCGGAAGGGGCTACAGACCAATCTTCAGCTACCAATGGCAGTGTGCTCGTCGATAGAGACCAATTTCTATCGCACATGCAGAATGAGAACATTGTCTTGTTTGGTTCAGTGCACAGGGCCACGTTCACAATTCTGAAAAGGCTGGGCTTTGTCGACCCAGATTCCGCCGAGGTATCGGGTATACCATACAGGAAGTACATCTTTGATATCACGAACGGGTAAGTGTCTTGAACAACCGGATCCATAATGGCTCTCCTGCTCACAAAACCACAGTATGGTTTCCAGAGAACTACCTTCTGGCTTTGAGTACGGCAAGGTAGACCCCAAGAACTACTCGCTGGTCAAGTCACGTACGCAGATTCCCCGACAGGACAGGACTCTATGCAAGCTCCCCAGCGTCGCGATTTATCCTGCTAAAAATCCATCGACTACACGGGAGCCAGTCGCGTGGGGCTTCCTTGGTTTGGACGCTTCACTCACAACCTTGCATGTTGAACCAGCATACAGAGGTCTCGGACTGGCCAAAAGCCTAAGTCTCAGATTGTTCTCGGAAGACATGGACATATATTGCCAACATAACCCGACCCCTACAGGGGAGAACAACTACATTCAAGAAAGATATGCTCACGCAGATGTGGCAACAGACAACACAGCAAGTCAAGGAGTGTGCGAGAGTTTGGGAGGAAAGTGGCATTTTGAAGTGTTTTGGATACGAGTTGATTTATTGGCATAGACTGTGGCACGATAGACTTGGCGCATAGGTAGAAGACATCTCACGGTACATCTTGTGTCTGTCATCTCAGTTAGCCATGTTCAACAAAAGGTGTTGTGATAAGCGAAAGTGAGATGATAATGTGCGTCATGAAAAAATTAGAGTGTTGTTGTTGCGTTTTATTCTTCATTGAAGATCTCGGGGTTAAAAATGTATAATCATTCGCGAGTGTGTGAGGGAATTGAGACAGTGTGGTACTAACCTTTCAACGAAAGCTGTGACCAGTGAACGGTTCTCACTAGCAGTACGGATGCCACAATGTTTTGGGGACGAGGTGCGTTTTCTGTTTCTAGAAAATCTATGGCAAGCGACACGCTTAGTCGAAGAGACCGAAGCCCATGTCGTCGTCCTCCTCAGACTCTGTGGGTAAGCTGTTAGCATCTTGGACGGTGTAGACATACAAATGGGAGTAATCTTACCCTCCTTCTCCTCCTCCTTAGCGGCGGCAGGGGCGTCACCAGCAGCGGGAGCAGAGCCGGCAGCGGGGGCAGCGGCGGCGTAAGCATCGGGGTTGGCGATGCGGTCCTTGAGCTCGTGGATGGCATCCCACTCGTAGTCGATCTCGATGGCGGCCGAGATGACGTTCTTGTAGGAGTTGACCAGCGAGTGCATGACCGAGGGGAGGGTGGGGTAGTTGACAGCCAGGGAGATGGTGGCAATGGTGGTGATGGCGCTGGTGAAGGCCTTGAGGAGCTGGCTCTCCTCAATGTCGAGGACGCTGGCATCGAAGGTCTGGCCCTGGTCGTAGATCTGAGCAATGCCCATACCGTAGGTGAAGGGCGAGATGTTCAGCATGTTGAGCAGGGTGGCCTCGGAGGCACCGACCTTGGTGCCGGCCTCAACGAGCTTCAGATCGGTGGTGATTTCAATGGTACCACGGGCAATCTTGGTGGGGACACCGAGAGCCTGGAAGAAAGAGGTCTTTCCGGGCTCCATACCAGTGTTTCCAGCGGGGATGAAAACATCGAGAGGGGCGACGGCACCGGCACGGGCAGGGGCGGCGACGCGGTTGGAGAGAATCTTCTCACGGGTGTCCTTGAGGTCGGAGTTGGTGAAGATGAAACCGACGTTACCTGGGAGCGCATTGCGTTAGTTGGGCGCACTCGAGACCAATGCGCATCTGCGCAAGCTGCGTGCGGACTCACCCTTGACGTGAGGAAGGAGACGCTCGTACTCGGGGGCATCAGCGATGAAGCCCTTGAGAGCACGGCGGACCATGGTGTTCTTGCCCATCAGGACGACGGATTCACCACGGAGAGCCTGGCGGATCTCGTGCATCTGCTGAGACGAGACATTGTCGACGGTGACGATGAAGATGGACTTGTAAGTCTCGAGAAGAGACTTCAGCTTGTCGAAGTAGACGGCCTTGGTTGCTGACTTGCCCCCCATTTCTGCTATCTTGCGATGAGTTAGGGATGTTTCAGGCGAAGTCTGGAAAATGTCCCGTAGTTGGTTGTTGTAGAGGTTCAAAGGCTCTTCGGATTTCTGATCTTTTGCCAGACCGCGTGCCAGTGAATTTGGCAGTTGTGGGTGTCGGTCTTGGCGTCGCCAATGCCCGATCTGGCCGAAACCAAGCATCGACCATGACTTTTTCTGGGCCCAGCCCTGCTGCTGGCTCACTCGCGCTGCATGCATGCTCGAGTAACCAATTCTTCGTACTCTCGTCCACTTTGACTGTTCGTCACCTTGAATCATGAGTCACCCATACCAGATCACTGCTTTGTGCAAATCTCAGGATTTCGCTCCCGAGGGTCTGCTATTGGCTGCCTGCGGTGCTAAAATTGTCTCTGTAAAACTTTCAGATGGCTCGATTTTGTCTCAATGGCCAGAGCAAAACGACAACAGCTCCGTAAGTAACTCGGTGTGGGACCCTCCTGCAGTGGCCCGACTGATAGGATATTCAGTCAGCTTGATCCTGCCAAACGCCAGCTGAACCAACTCTCAGGTCGAAGCCGCTTCAGATGGTCCTCCTGGCAAAAAACGCAAACTTGATTCCGAGACAGCACCTACTCCAAATGTCATCAAACTAGCTATTTCTGCTGACAGCAAGCATGCCGTTGCTGTGACGGATGACAAGTCCGTCAGAGTTCTCGAGGTGACTGAGAGCGGTAAGCTGAATGAGTTGAGCGAAAGGTAGGAGTTTGATCGTCCCATTCCCCGAATCTTTAATTGACTTTGACAAAGAAATATGCCCAAACGACCTTGTGCTGTCGTGGTAACTCCGGACAACAAAACTATCTTGTGTGGTGACAAGTTCGGAGACGTGTACTCCCTCCCTCTGTTTCCATCTACCTTTGTGGACAAAATTGAAGACAGCTCCAAGACAGAGACCAAGGAGGACGCCGGCTCTAAGAAATACGTTCCTGCAGCCTCCACTTTAACTGTTCATTCTGGTCGCAACCGAAGAGCGCTCGAAAATCAGATGAAGCAGAAGGACCTGCAAGCCAAAGCGAGGGAGGGGCCCAAGTTCGAATACCAACTGCTTCTTGGACATGTTTCCATGCTGACCGATGTCCAATATGCGACTGAAGAAGTCGATGGCAAAACCCGTGGTTATATCATAACAGCCGACAGAGATGAACACATCAGAATCTCAAGGGGGCCTCCTCAAGCACACATCATTGAGGGCTTCTGCCTCGGACACAAGGACTTCATCAGCAAGATTTGCCTGGTACCCGGTAATGAGCTCTTGGTAAGTGGTGGTGGAGACGACTGGTTGGGCGTGTGGGATTGGCGAGCTGGCAGCCTGAAAGAAAAGCGCGATATGAGGTCCGCTCTTACAAGTCTCTTCTCTTCTCAATCTTCGGACGTCAACTTCGGAGCTAGGAGCCCAATTGCGGTTTCGGGACTCTGGGCTGTACCTTCCGGTACGGAGATCAAGGAAACGGCAGTGTTGGTCGCTTGCGAGAGGCTGCCATGCCTTTTGGTGTCACAACAGGGCTCGGCCTTGACTGGTATCTCTCTACCAGGAGTGCCCTTGGATGTTGCTGTGGTTGGTAACACTGTCATCGTCTCATTGGACGTCACAGAGGTACGTCGATTCTTCACTAGTCTGTCGGCACAACAATCTGACCACACAAAGGCACCGACCCCGCGTCTACAAGCTTACGCAGTACACAAGACCGGATCCGAAGTTGGCCTAGAGCTCGATAAAAGCTTCAGCCTGAAGCTGAATGCTGCTAACAATCTCATGCTTCCTGCGCCAGAGCGGAAGCAACTCGACAACTTGTTGTATGGAATCGAGAACTTGAGGAAGAGAGGCACTCCAGAAGAAGCACAAGATGCTGCAACAGAACAAGCAGTCGACGGTGCAACTAGCGAGATAACAGAGGATGACCCCACGGAAGAATAGACGATATGTAGACAACCTGGAATCACCACGCATCGATTGATTGCATCAGATAAGATGATGCATGGCGGCTGCATCAAGCTTCGGGCTTCAGACTTGGTACCCGGCGCAGGCACGTGGACATCCGAGGTCGCGGCGCCTCGGCAGACAAAGACCGGACCGTGATCGAGTCGCGATTTGGAACGAAGCCGAGAGAAAAACACGGCGTCGATTACGAATTGATCAGAACGCCTTTGAGTGAAACATAATTCTAGCATCACGGAACCAGCCGTACCCGAATGGTCTGACTAGAGCATTGCTAAGCAACTCTGGCACATCGTATATACAATCAAGCCTCTTTTGCAAACCATTTGTAAATCACCGTCAAAGTGTTCGCCTCGACTCTCCGCCGTGCAGGCATTACTCCTTTCCGCGCCTCTCTCGCTCTCCCGTTCGCATCTCTCCCCTTTGTCGCCCGCGAAGCCAGCGCACTTGCTCCTCCTCCAGCCCGCAACATGCACTCCAAGGTCGTCATCATTGGCTCAGGCCCCGCCGGCCACACCGCCGCCATCTATGCCGCTCGTGCAGACCTTCAGCCCGTCTTGTACGAGGGCTTCCTCGCTCTCGGAATCGCTGCTGGTGGTCAATTGACTACCACCGACGAGGTCGAGAACTTCCCTGGATTCATGAACATCCAGGGTGCTACCTTGATGGTGTGTAAAACTTAGATCTCTGCTTGTCATGAGTAATTTTCTGACCTCCGTCTAGGACAACATGCGCGCACAGTCCGAGGCTTGCGGTACCCAGATCGTCACTCAGACTGTTGGAAAGGTCGACTTCTCCCAGAGACCCTTCAAGTTTTGGCTCCACCCCCTGGGCGACGACGAGAACCTTGAGGAAGAGACACACACAGCCGACAGCATCATCATTGCAACCGGTGCTAAGGCAAGAAGATTGGACCTGCCCGGCGAGGAGCAATACTGGGGCAACGGTGTCAGTGCATGCGCTGTCTGCGACGGTTCGCTGCCAATTTTCAGACAAAAGCCTCTGGTTGTTATCGGAGGTGGTGACTCGGCGGTTGAGGAGGCCATCTACCTTACCAAGAAGGCTTCCAAGGTCACGGTGCTTGTTCGCAAGGATCAGCTCCGTGCTAGCAAGGCCAACGCTCGCAGATTGAGCACCAATCCCAAGGTTGAAATCAAGTACAACACTGTTGCTACCAAGATCACTGGTGAGGACAAGCCTCGTGGTCTCATGACCGGTCTCACCATCAAGAACATGAAGTCAGGAGAGGAGGAGAGCATCGAGGCAAACGGTCTCTTCTATGCTGTTGGTCACGAGCCTGCTACTACCCTGTTCAAGGGTCAATTGAAGATGGACGAGGACGGTTACTTGATCACCGAACCTGGAACTACCCACACCAACGTCGAGGGTATCTTTGCCGCGGGAGATGTCCAGGACAAGAAGTACCGCCAAGCCATCACCAGTGCAGGTTCGTATTGTGTAAACACCAGCTATCTACTCCCGCTAACAAGTGTGTCAGGTTCTGGCTGTATCGCCGCTCTCGAGGCAGAGAAGTTCCTCGCCGAAACCGACTCCGAAGTCGAGAAGTCGATCGAGAACCAGGAGGTCAAGAAGAGCCAGACTGACAGCGACGTTCCGGAATACAAGCAAAACCCTCTGCTCTAAGCCGGGCATATCTCAAGAGTGGTGGGTGTGGTATTTGTATAGAAATAGATTTCAACTTTTCGAAGACCTGGTACGATTTGTATGAACCTAGGCTTATGAGCTTCTCATTTACAACTCCATATCAGTCCGTGATTTGCATACTCTAGCGAGTGGGTATAGAGCAATCAAAGAAAGCAAAAACGCAAAAACAGACTCGAGCAATTCCTTTCTCAAGACGCAAAAATACAGATTCGGGTAAGAGGGCTCAGCATCATGACCAGCAAATACTCTGGGATGAAGGAGATCGCGCAGCCATTTCCCGAGGTGATGCTGGTGTATCGAAGGATTTTAGTGCTCAAGCATGAGAAGGGCCCTCCGAAATGCCTCGACAACTTGCACATCTGTGACTGATTAGAAAAACAATGCCAAGAGGTCATCTTTTGCCTCGATCTTACAATGCTTTCTGCGCTCTTCTAGATCGTCTTCTTGTTTCATGACCAACGTGCTTTGCGTCCTCAGGCTAGAAGTTGAAAGGTTAGACGAGATTCGTTTCCTGACTGCAAATGAGCATACCGCTGGTGGCTTCTTTTCTGTTCGTGGCCAGAGATTGTTTCCGCCCAGACTCCAAAGAACCGTGACAGAGAAGCGAATTCTTGGAGATGAGCGTCTTCTTCTGCCTTGTGTTCGGCCATCTTGTTGAGGTACTCTGTCTCTAGTGCTTGCCAGTCAAATAGATCCATTTCTTCCTGTGGTTCGACGGCGTCCTCTTCATCGTGATCGTGCTCGTCCGGTGGGGGACTGATTTGATCGTGAGGAGCAGTGTTCTCGGATTCCATGTTGCGAATGCTCAAGCGGAGCTTTGGTTCCCAAACATTTATCAAGGTGTTTGACAATTTGGTGAGCAGGCAAGCACGGGCGACGCGATCACGCGTGACGTGTGGAGGCGTGACTGCCATCCATGAACAACTCGAACATTTCTTCCTGGCTTGTGGGTCGACTTTCAATGCTCTACAAAGCAAGCACGCTCCAAGGTGTCTCATGCCTGTGTGAAATCGCAGAGTGTTGATATAGTAGCCGCCTGAGACCACAAGAGTCTTATCTGCAGCACTCCCGCGAGAACATAAGAACTTTGTATCGATGCACGAGCGGTAATTGCACGACATCGGCCAAACGATGGAGTGTGCTATATGCTCTGCCGTTTTCCCCTCTCATGGACAACCAACATGCATATCTTGTGCTCGATCACTGGTGTACCAAGCTCGACTGGACAGACTGGCAGATTTGCTCAATATCGAGAGCCTTAGCAAACAGGTTCACTCTGTCATCTCACCGCTCTCAGGCTTCTCGTCATCATGTTCGCCTTCCAACTCGCAGGTGGTAGATATCACAGAGAGTGCAAAGAAGCATGTCCATGCCCATATCTTACGAGAGAGCCAAGCTACTCACTTGCGCTGCACCATCATCAATGAGCAGATCAATCTTCTCAGAAAGCAGATGGAACAAGCCCGGAGAGACAATGCCTTACGCCACCTTGATATCAAGCAGCGACACGCCGAGATCAAACGCGAGCGGACCGAGATGACTAGCCGTGTGCCTCAGTTACTCGAACCACTTCATGCAACTATCCGCCGGAGCCAACGTAGACTTGACAAAGTGCAAGCACGCACCCTCGAGGGTAGGACCAAACTGTGTCAAGAGACGGCAAGGTTGGCGGGACTGCAGCAGAAAAGACGGCGCATGCCAGACGGCAGTATCGTGCACGACTACGCTATCGGTGGCATCTCCATCCTCGATTTGCGCCAAATCAACTCTGCACAGCCTCAACTCATCAATGCTGCTCTGGCCAATATATGCCGTCTATTGATCACATGTTGTCATTATCTGTCGGTCCGTCTTCCGGCCGAAATCACTCCTCCTCACGCAAGTTATCCTCACCCCACTATCTTCTCCTTGCAATCTTCGTATCAAGGCTTCCAGCTTCCTTTTCCCGGCTCTTCATCGACCCCGGCGTCCTCGCGTACTTTGGATCAACGCCCCTTGCCTAAGCCGCGTCTTCTCCATTTGGATCGCCCGTTGGTTGCTCTCGCCAAGGAAGATCCCGCTAGGTACAACCTTTATATCGAGGGCATCTCGTTGCTGGCATGGAACGTCGCTTGGCTCTGCACCTCTCAAGGTCTCAATCTCTCCAGTGCGTATCAAGCCGTTTGTCCCATGGGTCTCAATCTCTACACATTATTCCGTGAACACACCGGTAGAGGTCCAACTCCTCATCAAACCAGCGCGGGTCATCCTGCTGGCACGAACCAGCTCTTTGGTCAATTCTCTCATGCTAGCACTCGTCAGACTCCTGGCCCAACCGATGGAGTCGATGTGATGCACAATTGGAGAGCTGCTTCTTTTACTCGTTTTCTCGACAAGATCAAGCAGATTCTCTTCCAAGACATGTCGGGCGCAGAATGGGAGATGATATCTGGAGACGACTTTGAACAAGAGGAAGCGGTGCTTGTGGGCGGCTCTAGAGGTGCCCGTGCAGCCACTGCGATCGGCTCGTCTTCAATGAAGCGAGTCGTAGAATCTGAGGATGCTTTCGGAGACGATGGCAATAAAGGTTACCTGAAGCTCAAAAGCCGTACAGGAGGGAGCGATCGATCGTGACAAGGGACATAGACGATGGCGTAACGAGCCAAACTCGCCTAACCACATGAACAGATATCACAGAATAATCGTAGAAGATAACAGCTCACAAGAACTCGAAAGGACTACAATGTCCGTATATCATTTGCTCAATGATAAACGTCCACAGCAGAATGTCAGGTTCTGTTCGGGTGTGAAAATAACAACTGTTTTGAATTGTTGCAGCTATGCCAAAACTTGGTTCATTCCATCGTCTATCATCATCATGTCTTTTACATGAACTTGCTCATGAGGCCCATCAGGCCACCTCCACTGCTGCCACCAGCACCACCACCCTGGCTCTTCATGTACATCTTGAGGGCCATCTGAGCGGCCGAGGATACAGCATCCTGCTTTGAGGCTTGTTGGTGGACGTTGCCTTGAGAGCTTTGCTGGTCTGGGTGAACGTTAACAATTTACCCTGTAGATCGTGATTGATGCACATACCGAAGAGCTTAGCAGCCTGAGACATGGCAAGACCGATGAAATCGTTCTGGCTCTTGCCTCCATTGCCAGAAGAGCTGCCTCCCTGGTTGAACATCTTGAGGGCCTGCATGGCGGCGGCTGAGCCCATGCTACCAGAGCTGGCTGGGTGGGGCTGACTGGCTCCGCCGTAGAACTGCTGGTGGTGTCTGACGGCCTCGTCCTCGTCAACGTCTCCCTGCTGTGCCTTGTGACCAGAAAGCATGCTAAGGGCAGAGCTGAACAGGTTCGAGTCTCCAGAGTCGCCAGCGTGCTGAGCTGCAACGTGAGCTGCAGACGAGTAGTCATCATCGCCGCCGGGAACACCGCCATAAGAGGTGCCACTGGAGTGTCCGTGACGACCGTTGCCGCCGCCGTAGCCTCCTTCGTTGTTGCCACTGTTGTAGCGGTCGCCATCATTGTAATCGTTGTTGGAGTTGAGTCTCTCGCCGGGACCGCCGTAGCCTTCCTGTCCCCTGCCGTAGCCTCCAGGACCAGCAACCGAGCTAGGATGTACCGTTAGTTGTAAATTCATCACTTGAGGCAGCAAAGTGTACGAACCCGTAGCCGGACTGTCCGTGGTTTCTCAGCTCATCTCTGCGCTGGTCGTAGCCAGAGTCATCGTCGCGGCGGGGCTGGCCACCACCATATCCGGAGTTGCCTTGACCGCCGTAGCCGCCGTCCTGGGCGCCATATCCTTGTCCGCCAAAGTCGTCCTGGTTGTTTCCCTGATGGCGACCGCCGCCGCCATAGCCTCCTCTGTTGTTGCCATCGTATTCGTCGCGGCCACCGTAGTTACCCTCGTTGCGACCGCCGTAGTTGCCTTCGTTGCGGCCACCGTAGTTGTCGTCACCACCACCGTAGCGATCGTTTCCGTATGACATGATTGGGGTGCTGCGGGGTGGGAAGTTAGCTTGCCACTGCTCACGCCTTTGAGCTCGTGTATTAGTACCTTGTGAGTATTGGTATTAGATTGTATGATGCTGCAAGGTTTGAGTGGAAGATTGAGTTCGTAGTGGCAGCAAGATGGAATCTTGAAGTAATCGGAACCTGCTAGCTCGCATGTCCTATGATGTCAATTAGCGGAGCTCTGACATGCATCATGCTAGCAGTACGACCCTGCCTCTGATCACACTTGCTTCTCACCTCCATCGTCATTGCAATGCATTAACCGCATGGGTCAATTTTTGGTAAACCTCCAGTCAGTCGACTTTCAGCCGTCTCCTAGAGGTAGTCTTTCACGTCTCACGAAAGTTGTCGTGTTCTGGTCAGTATTTGAGGCTTTGTAAATATTGAAACTTTGAAACACCACCGACCACCGCCCACGTTGCTCATCTACACCGCACATACTCAGCAACACAGATCAAATCAAGCAGTTTGTCACTCTTCTATCTTCAAATCCTCAACAACCGGACTTCAATCACACAAACTCTGCCTCAGACAAGATGGCATCGCCCAACCCTGTCGTATTCTTCGACATCACCCTCGGCGGCGAGCCCTTGGGACGAGTCAAGATGGAGCTGTTCTCCGACGTCGTGCCAAAGACTGCCGAGAACTTCCGTCAGTACTGCACCGGCGAGACAAAGAACCACCTGGGGCATCCTCAAGGCTACAAGGGATGCAAGTTCCACCGTGTGGTGAGCACCATCATCATCTTTCCACGCGAGAATACGAGCTGACGACATGAAAAGATTCCCAACTTCATGCTCCAGGGAGGTGACTTCCTCAATGGCGATGGCACTGGCTCGGCTTCGATCTACGGTACAAAGGCCTTTGCTGACGAAAACTTCAATCTGAGACACGATGTCGCTGGTTTGCTCTCCATGGCAGTAAGTCTTCTGTATTGCAATGGCCGTGTCTTCACACACCACATGACTAACATGGTGCGCCAATAGAACTCTGGTCCAAACACAAATGGCTGCCAGTTCTTCATCACGACTGTGCCGCTACCTCATCTCAATGGCAAGCATGTCGTCTTTGGAAAGGTTGTCGATGGCATGGACGTCGTGCGAAAGATCGAGAACGTCAGGACCAATGTGACAGACAAGCCCATCCAGGACGTCGCTATCGCTCAGTGTGGAGAGATGTAAGCCAGGGGCTGGCACCAGCGAAAAGCACAATGATCACAATGGTTTCACGAGCTGAAGACTATTGTGAGATCAAAGACACCAGTAGCTTTGATATTGCAACCATGAAATATGAAGAGATAGAGAAAATGAGACAAGACAAAAACGCTCTCCCTCCAAAGACCTAGCCCGGACGCCTGAAAACCTCCATGAGTCCCGACCGACCATCGCCGTGGCCTTGCGCTGACACAAAATATCGTTCAATGAAACACCAATCCCTAAACCCGAACCGTTGCTGTTGTACCGGAGAACCAAGATATGTCCTGCTGCCAGGAAGACCAAACACAACTGGGTGTTGCGGCGTTGCGCATCTTCCGGAGACTATCTCGAAGTTCCAGCTTCGAGATCGCCTGGCGTTGTGGTTGTCGTGTCGCCCTGCACCGCATGGTTTCCACGTCGAAGAGGGTTGGAAATACGAGGTAGTCTGCTGAGCCAACCGCCTTGGGTCCCTTGTCGATAGTCTGTACTGGGACCGACTTGTGGGAAGCCATGCTGATCGGTATGTGATTCAGCAACCAAGAATCTTGGACCACCTAGCATCATGCGCCGCCTGCCGGCGTTACCTGACCTACGAGCACCCATCCAGACAGCGGCAGGGCTTGCAGGCAAACGCATACCGCGCTCTCTGCGGCCAGTATCATCAGCGTCGTCTGCGGCACGAGGCTTTGCAACATAGTAGTCGGCCTTGCACAATGGGCAGCAAGCGCGACGACAAGTGAGCCAAGGGTCGAGACAGGCAGCATGGAAAGCGTGGCCACAAGTCAGGCCACGAACATCGTCATCATCTTCGAGGTTATCGAGACAAATGGCGCATGTGTCTCCAGGCGGCGCAACCATCTCGGGCGGCGCAGCAGTACGAATGGGGTCGTCTTCGTCGTCAGACTCGTGGTCTTGTTCGTGTATGGAGGATGCAACGGTGTGAGTCTTCTCCAGAGGGACCTTGTCATAAGTAGTGGGGACAGCGGTCGACGGGGCGGCGGTGATGGCGATGGCATGGTGCTGTTGAGCCATTTCGAGAGTAGTGCGGGGAGATTGAGGCGACTCGTGCAATTCGGCAGATTGTCGAACGCTGGGAGCGCGACTCGGAGCGGCACTGACACCACCAGCAGCAGGCAGTCCATGGGCCTCGCGCGAGGCTCTCCAGATCTTGTACTTTGTGAGGGGGAAGCGCTCATTGACGTCGTCCATGGTCATGAGCTTCTTGTCTCTGCGACGTCTGTGAGGGCGAGGCATGGCCATAAGATCGATGGGCTGGCCATCTTCGCCGAGGGCGCGCTGACGATTACGCTGATTGTAGCGGAAACAGTACTTGACGCCGACAATGATCCTGAGGCAGGGGTCAGAAGGCGAGACAACAAAGACAAGCGAGTAAGCATGTGTACCATAAATTCGTGAAGACGACACCGAAGCCCAGAGCGACGAAGAACAGAAGAGGTGAGCTGGTGGGACCATTGCCCCCACTCGACGAGCCGGAAGTCGTGGCCGCGGGCGGAAGGGAGGAGGCGGCGCTCGGCGCGGTCGACGTCGTGGCAGACATTGAGATTGTGTTGCTAAAGCGGCATACCACTGCCCACTGACGAGCCTGACCAGGTGACAAGCGTCGTTAGTTAGTAGGAAGACGAGTGGCGCAGTTGTCTTCGTCGACAGAGACAAGAGACAAGAGACGAGAGAGGCAGGGACGTCGAGGCGGTCGAGTGCGGTAAGAAACGGCTCGCTTCGGCGACGAGTGCCGCTTGTTCCAGGACGATGCTTTCTTGCTCGATGCGAACGATGGCCAAAACAAGATAATTACGGGCGCAGAGAAGCGTTTGTGAGACGACGAGTTGGCACGCCTTGGTTTGTGAAGGGGATCGAGTTATTCTGGTCGACCTTCATGCGACATGGTGACTAGCGGCGGCTGTCGCTTTGACTCCTCATCTTGACCATTATTAGTGTCGATCATTGACTTGTCGCCATCATGCACCCTGCCGAACCTACATGTATTGCCGTCAGCTCCGACCGTCCAATTCTTGATCTCGACCTTGACCTTGACCAAACAACAAGCTTTGAGCCTTGCCATTATTGTCTCCCATCGCCATCTTGTTCACTCAACCCTTTTTCAATCACTGCACGATGCGCACGAACTGAATCGTTCTGTCTGGATATCTTTACACTTGTATTTTGTACACGTTTCTCACCTGAGACATGTTTTAATACCCTGTGCTTTCCCATGCATAAAACCCTAAGCCCATGCACCAACCAGCGCCATCAGTAAACTTCCAGCGACCACAGCTCCACAGGCCTGGAGTCGTTTCCGTCCTCTAAGCACCTCGTAGCTCTCGTCGCTCAAAAAGTCCTCTGCCAATAACTCGACCAGTCCAGCAAACAACAACAATCCACTGCTGATCGCGTTCATGATGCCCACCATGAGTAGTCCAGTCTGACTGAAAGGGTCGTAGAGGTTATGTACCAGCAGCCCAATAGCCTGTCCCAATGGCGTAGTCGTTCCGTAGGCCAGCGCCATCAGCCACGGCCGCGGCGATCTTTTTGGAAATATAGTAATGGCAGCAATACGAGACCCTAGAGCCAGGCCTTCAAAAGTTTGGTGGAACGAGATGGCTACGAGCAAGACGATGAACGATGTCCCCGTCGCCACAGACACTGCCATGCCTATGAAGACACTGTGGAAGAGAATGCCTGCCTCCAAGAGTAGACACTGTAGCAGCATCTTTTGTTGCTGCTGTTGATCCGACGGCGAACCAGTCCGCTCCAAGATGGGCTCGACAACATGCCCATGGCCGTTGCCATTTACGTGCGGGTCCAATTCATCCAAATCCAGATCCGAGTTGCTACCTGTGTCGTCCAGACTGGGGCGCGTCTTTTGAGCCAAAGGCTCCGCATCGTTGTAACTCCCGTTCTCTTGCCACGGCGAAGCATCTTGCAGAGCCAGACCATCTGAACTATCCTCAGCTCCTATCTTTCCCTGACTGAATGGCCGATAACTGTCACTCCGTCGGTGCAGTGGCCTTGAACTAGCGCTTCTCAAAGGGGTCATGTCTTCGTGTTGTTCGCCGGGGGTGACATACTCGCTGGAATGAGAGTGACCGGCTCCCTTGGTAGCGAAGAACATTTCTACTCCCACAACCACCATGACTGAGATCATGGCAATGAAGCCGGCCATGGCGGGGTATCCATGATTCCAGAAAGGCGGAAGACACGGATCGGTTAGGGAAGTGAAGGCGGTGGGCAAAAGATGCACAAAGGCGGTTGCGATCAAAACTCCAGTGCCGAAGTGCCTCGATAGGAACAGGAACTGTCGAGGAACGGGCATCCGAGGAACCCGTCGGACAAGGAGTGGAAAGGAGCATGCTGTAGAATGGTCAGTGGGTGGAGCAGCGCGAGGTGCACGCAAGACTGACCTAATGTGCTGAGGATGAGGATCAGGACCAAAGCAAAGACATGCAGAGGCATGTTGTAGTCCTTGGTGTTGCCGGCGGTGCCACAGGCAGGGCGGTCATCGTGGTTGTTGGCTTGTCGGCGAAGCAATTCAGCTTGCAGGACAGAAGTCGGCAGGTTGCTCCATGAGGCGGCATTCTCTTGTCGCATGTCGACAGATGCGCGCGTCGAGAGGATCAGGACGTCAACATTGGATGGGAGACAGCGCTTCCCCTTATTCCTGCCCTCAAACACGTTACATGTAGATTCGTCTTGTCCACCTCCGCACACGCCGTTGTGACTTTTGGACAAAGCTCCGGTTCGTCCCGCAGCCACTCTGTGCCGATCGACGAAGCTTCCATGCACCCGGTTTCTGCTGCTTCCATGCTTCCATATGACACCTTGGCGCTTGCTGACCATGCATCTAGCTCAGGTACCCTTTCTACATCCTACTTGCCTACAGCCTTTACTTCTCAATCTCCTCTTGCTCATCTGTGCTTCCTAGTCTCTTCAGCTCGGACCCAACAATGCTAGTCTCTGTCTGGTTGTCGTCATCCTTCGACGTTCTACCCTCGAGCTCTCTGCAGCGTCTGGCCAAGTCGTGGACATGCTCGTCTTCGCTGCCTTCTCCAAGTTCCACAAGCGCTTGATCGAGTCCGTAAAGATAATCCTTGTTTTCTCCACTGGGCCCTCTGCTATTGACAATATGTTCGGCGAGAGAGTCAAGATCCTGTGGACCCATGAACTGCGGATTGTCTGGGAGTCCTACATAGACCAAGCAATTGATAGGCGCAGGTAGGTCGTGTGTAGCGTTAAATGCTTCCGACACGTGGAACGGAGTGTACTGAATGCTGTATCCATTAATCTCACGAATATCAAGATATTCTCTCACTTCTGCCACATGAGGCCCAGGTATCTACAACACACGTGAGCCGTGGTTAGCCTTGACTTTATCATGTCCAAGTTGCTCCATCATGAGTCGTTATGGCTATCAATCTGCGCCCATCGGACGAGCTACTCATCACAAGGACCAACTCTCTGTCTCATTGACTCACCCTATAAGCAGCACCCCATGTTGTTGGAGGGGCATCCGAGTGTTGATCGGTCAAGGTCTCCCAGTGCGATCTATCAATCAGGGTGACAACTCGGCCAGGTGCCTCAGGAGTCCCGCGATGATCTTCACTGTTCCCTGTTATTTAAGAGTCCGAATTCAGGCCTACAAACTCACCTGGCTTGCCAGAAACGGCGTACGTAACCTTCGACGTGGCCAGGCACTCTCAGATCTGATTACAGTTAATAAACACGGCAAGCATGAATAGGCCAATGGCATGCTTACCGAAATGTGGCGGTGGTTTCCAAATCAGACTGCCATATCCAAACAGCCATAGGTCTTCTGTCACGTCCGAAGTCATCACTGTGTGACGGATGATAAGATATTCTTAGATAGGCAAACAACACGTGGACCAGGTTTGGAGATGGGCTGCCTCTCAGATGAGCAAACACAAGCAAACACTAGGGACTCATGCAGTCAGTCTACGAATCATCGACCCAGAGCACCAAGTAGGCCGAACATCACACAACGTTTATCTCGTGGAAGCCCAATATTCTTTGGAAATGTATCTCTAGAGACGTACATGGTACAGTTGTAGCCCGAGAATGTCCTTGATTAACCCTCAAGCCCCTTGACCCGAACGCCTGACCTTGACCTATGCGTAACCCATGCCCGTACTCCCGCTTAAATGCAGCAAATCGTAAAATGTTGGAGATATCATTCCCGGCCGTAGGTAATCTTGAGTCTCTTGGACGGCTTGTCTTCGTCATCGTCCTTGTCGGCAGCCTTCTTCTTCTTGCTGTTCGCCTTTGAAACAGTACTACTCGGAGTGGCATGATTGCTGTCCCTCGAGGTCAGCTGTGGAGGTACGGAAGAGGCTGGCGTAGGCGCGTGGGAAGGAGTGTTGGTGGCCGAAGTGGGCAGATCCGAGTCTTGGGCCTGCAATTCGTGTGTCAGTAACTTGTGCGAACGGAAGAAGATGTGGAAGGAACGGCGCGTACCCTGATCCAAGACATGGAGCTCCGAGAGAATATACGGTCTTCGTCGCGAACTCTGACTCTGGCCTTGCGGTCGTCGACGGACTTCTTGTCTCCTCCCACCACGACACCCTTGACCCATCCATCGAAGCCACGCACGATATTGCCAGCACCGTTTGTTTCTTCAAGATAGCTGCTCTCCATTTTGAAGATGTTGTCTTCGAGCGCTTGCAGTTGCTCGTCGAGTTGGCGCTTCTTGACCAAAGTGCTTTTGAGCGTGTTTCGCAGACTCTCGTAGTAAGGGCGCCCCGGCTGGTCGGCATTGGTCACGCTCGCTGGCGCATTGTCTGCCATCCTGATGCGCGAGTGCGAAAGGTCACAAGATGATGCTGTCGAACTGAGGATGGATGCTTTGGGATTTGAAGCTATTCGCGATTCGCAATGCGCACCCGGGCGCGCGATGCAGCTTTGAGCTGACCATCTTCTCCACACTTCGTCCACCTTTCACATTGATGAGCATGACAACAGAGCTTCACTCTAACACACGACAGTTGACCTAGCCCCCTCCACCTGTCCTGCGCATAGCCAAAATTTTGTTTTTGAGCAGTCTTTCTCTGAGTTCACTTGTGGTGGGCCTCTTACCGCTATTCTTTGCGAGGGCTGCCGACGGACTTTCCAACCTATGAGCCATCTATTGTCATCAGCATCTACCTTGATTTCGAAACGCGTAGAGCCTGCACAGCGCCATGTCGAAGCCCATAGACATGTGGTAGACCAATGGATAACACATCAATGTTCGCTTGTGCCCTGTAAGCGTATAGTAGAAATGATGCAAAAAGAGCATATGCTCCAATAAGCTCTCTTGAAACACTAAGAATCGATACCCACCTCCTCTGCTGCACCAGCACTGCTCTCCCCATGAATTTCGTGGTCTCTCTTGGACGAAAGTCCTTTGCTCTCATGTGCTTTACTCAAAGACGTCGAACGCTTGCGGCTGTCTTGGGAGCGGTTTCGAGAACGTTCTCTACTACGGCTGCGATGGGATCCGCGTGTGTTAGCGGAGTGACGATCCTTGACAACGTTAGCACGCTTTGTCTGTCTATCTTCGGAGTATGAAGGGGAACGTCGACGGCGTGGTGGGGACACGCTAGCATTGCCCATTCGGCTGTTGTGGCCCAGTTGGCTTCTAGATGGTGTACGTGAGCGATGGCGTCTTGGTCTGGGAGAAGAGCTCGAGTCTCTTCTACGCTTTGGAGGTGGTGAGCGTCTTCGAGAATAGGGCGATGCCTCACGACGCCGGCGTTCTCCTCCTTGAGCTTCAGCAGATCTTTTGGAGTATCTGGGCTCTTCAGAACGACTGCGGCTACGTTCACTTGAGGTGTTGCGGCGTACAGTTCTTCGTGATCGAGGAGGAGATCTACGACGAGGTGACACAGTGCCGGGACTGCCGCGAGTAAATGAGGGGGAGCGTGGTCGTCTCACGCCTCTTCGTCCGTTGCTTTCTCCGGTTGGGACGTACGAGTCCGTTTCCCTGGGCAGGGGTCTGCTGCGATGGAAATCACCTCCACCGTGAGGTTGTCTGGATGGTGGCGATTGCGACCTGGAGTAATCCCTAGGAGGTCGACTATCGAAACCACGGCCTCCCCCGCGACCACGTCCTCGTCCACCTCGATCTCTGCGATCGCGATCTCGGTTGCGAATGTTTTCTAGATCTCTCTCACGATGCCTTTCGTCATCTCTGCGTTGCCGAGCTGCTTCAATGGCTCTTTCTTGCTCGACCTGTTGGGACGTTAGCAACACACTCCATGGAGTTGTGATATGATGAATCTACTTTTTCTTGAAGAAGCTCCAGCTTCTTTGCCTCAACAAGCTGCTGCGGGATGCCCGTATCACTCTTTTGGGCGTTCAAGCAGAGATTCCAAAGTTCTTTACAGAAGGGTGCCGCGTCTTTTTCCAGGAACCCTGTGAGCTGAATCTGCAGTGATTTGACATCAGGCTAGAAGCGTTAGTAAATATGAGATTGAGCAACAAGGACACACTCACATTCTTTGAGCCCTCTAGGAGATCGAAGAGAAGATTGATAACGACATCATCTTCATATCCCAAAATTCTTGACACCTCGCCAGCTGCCCAACTTTGGAAACAATCAGTAAACCACATCTACCAGGCCTGCAGAACTCCTCAAAGATATTGGGATGACCAGTTATAACTTACTTTTTGATGACTGGGATGTTGATCTTGGTTGTGTCGACTTTCTGGTTGAACTCAGGTGGAAATTTCGTGGTACGCAATAGTTTTTGGTCCACATTCGTGGTTATACGGTTCATGATCCGGCAGTCAGTGTTCGGCCGTGCTTGAACTCAGCGAAGGACGAGTTTGTGGAGTGGGCAATGGGTGAACAGAGAAGTCGAAATAGTAATTGTTTGGGAGATCTGGATGGTGACGGACGCGAGACTTTGTTTGACGACGAAGCGCACGGACCGCACACTTCTTTGCTCTTCTTCTCAGTAGCCTACTTCCCTTCAACCTTCTATACATTACCTGTACTGCTGAACGGGGAAAAAGAACGATAGTTGCTGTCATACATCATCGTCAGCTTTTCTGTAGTCTCTTTGGCCCCAGACAAAGATATATGCAAGTTAGCACCACCTTATCAGAATGCGCTTTTGTACAGGTACACTTTTAGCTTGAAAGATCACCGCAGATGGTACCAACAGGAATGCCTGATTGAGGACATAAAATATGGTTTTCCGGTAGGCAACAACTAGTATAAAACCAAAAACAATGAGCCAGAATGAAGGTAGGGAAACAACAGAAGCTTGCTTAGCTGCTTCCTTCTCAACACCAATGTTTTGTCAATGAGCAATAGTCACTTGCATATTGGAAATGGCAAGCGCTCAGGACGGTACTTTCTCGACCACCTCAATCTTCCATCTGTTTCCTTTTCTCTTCACAATCACACATACTCCACCATTAATACAGCTTCTTTACACCATCATATCACTCTTCTTCGTCCAGTCTCTCATTTGTTGTTCGATTTGGAGTCGTTATTGAATCTACCAGCATCATCGTCGCAATGGACAACCCTCCTGAGCCAATGCCCAAGGTTTCGATTGATCCTCTGCCTCCAGCAGCAGATTCTCCCCCATCTCCTCCACCTGCTTCGCCCCTACCAGAGCGTAAGAGTCCGATGCCGACCATCAGTCACTTCGTGCTACTGACCTTCCGTCAGATATCGTCGTTACCAGTCATGAAGGCTCCGTCGTTGCGGTTCCTGCTGCAGAACCCACACTCGAGAAGGCTATCACACCACCAGCTTCTGAATCCAAACCTCCATCGCCACCTCCAGCACCTCCAATTCTCCCTGCTGCTCCCGAGCCTGTTCCTCCACCAAGCTCTCCTGTCATTGTGGTCCCTGAGCAACCAGCTTCTCCTGTCGTCTCGCCAGCCCCGGTTATTATCCAGCAAGTGGAACCTGTCCCTGCCCAAGCTGCTCCTGCTACCACTCCAGCACCTGCCTCACCTACACCGGTCATTGTCGAGAAAGTCAAGGAGCCACAACCTCCTACTCTACCACCTGTGTCTACAGCAGCGACAGTAGAGTCGCCAGCTTCTTCCGCCAATGCACCAACGGCTCCTGATGTACCACTGATGACGAACACCCCGACTGTGGTTGCGGCCATCGGGAGAAGCGACACGGCGACTTTCGAGCCACAGAAGAAGTCTGACAAGGTTCCCGTTCTCGTTGCAACTAGATCAGCACCTGAACTACAACAAGACTCGCACGAAGTACAGACCAGACCGTCGACATTGAGTTTCTCTTCGGCCCCTCCTGAGACTTTCGTCAGACGTAACACGCACGTCGTGGTCATCGATCCTGCTGTGAACGAGGAGCCAAAGAGGCATTGGAGAGACAGGGTCAGAAAGTTTTGGGTCTCTAAGCTTGGTGGTCGATTCTTTTTGCGTATGCTTCTGGGACACCAGGGAAGCAATGTTGCGACTGCCGTGGTTTCAAGATATTGATATACCGCCTATAACAACCTTGCCTAATCCTAACTGATGCAATTCCCTAAGAGTAAAACAGAACTGCCGTGACTGTGCATGAGGTTGTAAACCAAAATCTCGGGGAGGAATCTCACGTTGCATGTTTGGACAAAGGGGGCGTCACAAGACCAGGAGGCGCAATTGGTTGTCACGGTCTCATGTAATCAGTCTCTTGAGTCAAACATGATCGTCATACCCTATTGAGGAGACTATTTGTAGACCGAGAAGGCGATGAAGTCAGACGTCTCTCAGAGCCGAGTTGACTTGCTGACGAGCGAGGTTCAAAGCGTCGTCGACACCACCGCGGTGAGCCAACTTTACACTGGCGTGTAGGTCAAGCAGATCCTGAGCGCGCGCAAGATCGACATCTGAATCTGATGCGCTCTGCGCCCTCTGCAGTTGTTGAGTAGCCACGTCTGTGACACTGCTGGGTGGACGAGCCAGCACGAGATCCATGGCAGCAGCTGGGTCCTTGCTCGGATGTCAGTCGTCTTGTTTGTTCGTCTCCATCTGTTGTCGAGAACATACGCCAACACGAAGGGAAGTCAAATCAGAGAGGATGTCGGCTATCTTAAGCATGATTGGCTGAACCGTGTTTTTGAATCTAGGTTTGTGCGAATGAAGCGAAGTCGAAAGGTACAAATTGTGAGTGGTCTGCGACAGGGATCTGATGATTGATTGATATGATATCACGACACAATCAAAACTTTACAAAGGAAGTCTCGGATGTCCATTTGTAATTATCATTATATGATCTCGAGTCTGCTATCTGTATCCTAACCATGAAGATTGTTCTCACGTGCTCATTCGAGCTTTCCAAAGATACTGTTCGCTTTGCTGCGCGATTCTCACAGCAGGTTTCCACGACTTCTATGTAGCGCTCTCTGGCTCGAGAATTCAAAGCAAGCATACGATGCCAGTCTGGCAGGCTGTTGCTCTCAGGCGAGTAGAGATGGTGACTTCCAAGACCTGATCTTATGTCCAGTCTCGGTTGATAATCCGTAGAGGTTGATCCATGCCGCAGTTGTGGATCGCAGTCTCTGGCACCAAGTCTGACCGTGGACTCTCTGAGTCGTTCAGGAAAGTAACGGGGGTTGTGTTGTGCATGTTCTCGCAGGACTCCGATCAGCCTCCGCGTCCCCTCCAGCCACCTCTTCCTCTACCTCTACGCTTGCCCCATCCTCGACCACCACCACTTTCACCTCGCTCGAATCTCTCACGGCGCTTCTCCTCCTCAGCAAAGAACTCTTCCTCACGTTCCTCCTGCTCTCTGCGCAGCTCTTCTTCGGGCTTGACACGACGAGGCTCTGGCTTCCTGAGGTCTTTGCCATCAATCCACTTGGGGTGAGCGCCATATTCACAGGATACGACATTGTCCCTGTCTGGGGGCCCAGATCGTCCGTTTGGACAGAAGCCGGCAAGGTAGAAACGGCAGAGGGTGGTGTGCTTGATGTGTCGTAGACTGCAGTAGGGACCAAGGGGGCAGAAGCCTCGAGCAAAGTGAGGACAGGGAGCAATGCGCAAAGGCGAGGTGGGCGCGATGTGAAGATAGGTGCCTTGTTGATAGTCAGCAAAGTGGACGGGTTGTCAATATGGCGTGTACATACACTCGTCACCTTGAGGGCAAAGACCAAAGCGGCTGAATTCCTTGCACTCTCTTTCACCACGCAGGTCGAAGGTGTGAGCGAACTCGCATTGGTCGCCCTTCTTGCAGAGGCCGCGCTGGTAATGCTTGCAGATGAGATGGCCAATTCCAGATCGCTCGTTTGGCGGAGTGTAGTGTCGATCAGGACAGGCAGGGCCAAGAGGACAGTGGCCGTTCTTGTAGGCAGCGCATGTCGGACGATGGTGCTTGTTGGGAAAGGCGAAGGGCGGAAAGGTTGCTTTGAGATATGGCAGGAAGGACAGCTGAGGGACGGGGGCGGTGGCCGGGTTGAGGATGTGATCAGCAATGGCAGCGGCCATGTTGCATGCTGGACGGAGATGGATGGAGGAGCGGCGCGAGTAGGACGAGCAGCGAGGGCTTGGGTATTTTCACATGTGATTGTAGACAGGCGTCACGAAGCTTTGGAGGGTGGCAGATTCGTGGAGGCTAGAGGCCAGAGGCCAGAGCTCGATGCAGGCACGGGCCAGCCAATGGCGTAGAGAGTGAAGCGTGGAGAAGCTGGCAACCGCAACCGCAACCTGCAACCGCTCCGTCTCCCGGAACTCACTCGCTCTCATCTCCGTCTCCGTCTCCGTCTTGTCGTCGTCTCGTACACCGCACCTCGACCCTCCCGCAGTGACCTTCTTCTACTCCGTACACCATCTCGATGCACCAGGCATAACACGACCATGGTGTCGGACACGGTCTACGAGATATGCCTGCCCGTGCTGCAGGACCCCACCCTTCCTGAGGATGACAAGGTCGATCGCGTCGAAGACGTCCTTCGCCAACAAGCCCGCCTGACGGGCAAGGCCCTCGAGGATGCTGTCCTGGCCGTCCTGTGGCGCCATCGCGATGCTATCCAAGGCTCTACCTCACCACCGCCCTTGCGCCCTACTGCCATCCGTCGCCCGTCGCCCGCCCCGTGGCAGCCATCCTCCTTCTCTGCCACAAACTCGCCGCGATCCCAGAGCGCCACTATCCATCCTCCTCCAGGCTTTGGTCCTACTCCTCCCCACTTCAGTCGCGCAAAGTCATCCACTGCCTCTCCCTTTTCCTCGCCGCGCCCTTCGCCACGCCTTGCCTTTGCGACTCCTCAGATCCCCCATAGTCCCAGTTTGAGCGCCTACCAGTTCAGCGAACCCACCTCATCCACCGAGCAATACGGAGATTATGGAAGCGACAACGTCGACTGGTTGGTCAACGACGATGCCAGTAGTAATGCTTCCTTCGGTGACTCCGCCTTCGGTTCATATCCTTCCGAATGGGTTCAGCCTTCCATGGTAGAAATGTCGACATACGATATGTTGCGTTCTGTGTTGCGTGACGACAAGTCTGACCAAGAGCTCGAGCAAGTCCTCCAACTCAATGGCTACGATTTCAGCCAGACCATCATGGCCCTGGCCGACCCGCAAGCCCTGAGTGCCACTGAAGCCCAGAGCCAGACTTATCTCGTTGGAAAATCCATGAGTCCTACGTCCAGGCCTCTGACCCCTTCCAACCTGTCGAAAAGTGGCATCGTGTGCAAATACTGGCTCTCTTCTGGCCATTGTGCCAGAGCCGATTGTCGTTTCAGTCACGATCTAAGTAACCATTTGTGCAAGTATGTTGACTGTGTCTATCTGTATGCCGTCTGAACCATCTCTTAACACACTCTCGATAGGTACTGGCTAGCCGGATCCTGCCTCGCTGCCGAGTCTTGTATCTTCTCTCACGACCCTTCTGCCCTTATGACCAGGTTGACGGTTGATGAGAACGCTACGCCTCCTACTCAGTCCCTGCAGCCAAACTTCCAGCTGCAAGATTACGATTCTTTTCCTGCGCTGCAGCCCACTAATTCGAACCCGTATGACCAATCTTATGACCCTACTCTGCTTAATTCACTCCAATCACAGCCATCTGCTGTGTCTACGCTAAACCCCTTTGCCATGTTTGTTCCATCAAGCAACGCAAGCATTCAGTCATCGTCGCGGCCTACCAGTCGTCACCAGTCTCGCACTGCGACTCCATCAACCTTGGCTGTCAATGATGACGAGGCTTTCCCTACCCTGGGTTCTGCTGCGGCTGCAAGATCATCTCGCCGCCATGGAAAGAGAGGCCATGGCAACAAGGAGAGCCCCGTACCTACACCTTCATCTTTGGCTGATGTTGTTCGCATGACGCCTTCGCCGTCACCTCAGGTCCAATCTAGAAGAGGTCTGAGGCCTACCAAATCAAGCACCGGCTCCCGTGAGAACAGCGCAACCGCCATGGCGATAGCAGCACCTGAACACATCCCCTGGCTAGAAACCGGAGAAACCGCGAACAAGGCATACCTCAAGGCTAGAGCAGAAGCTTTCCGCCATGGTGGCCTAAGAAACAAGTTTCTGCAGAGTGCGGCAACTGCGTGGAACAGAAACGATGCCCGTGGCGCCAAAGCTCTCAGTCTCAGGGGCCATAACGAGAACCTGGCGATGAAAGAGGCCCACCGCGAGGCTGCCAAATGCTTGTACGAGGAACGTAATAAAGGCAATGGAGTCGGGGAACTGTTTGTCGACCTACATGGTGAGTAATGGGAGTCTGACTGTTTATCGTTGATGTCCTGAATACTGATCGCATCACAGGCCTGCATCCTGAGGAAGCCGTTCAATACCTGACGTCCTGTCTACTTGACCACAGCTCCTCTAGCAGACCCGTCTACGCCATCTGCGGCACTGGGCATCATTCTAAGAACGGCAAGGACAAAGTCGGCAAGGCAGTTCGTCAATTCTTGAACGAATGGCGATTCGCCTTCCGCGAGTTCAGTGTGCCCGGCGACCGTAACAATGTTGGTGGCATCCTCGGCGTGGATCCGAGTAGCTACGACAAAGAATGTGCGAGGAAGATGCAAGAAGCCGGGCCTGGATCAGAGTGCGATAGTGGAGTGTTTTTGAGCAGCAGTGCAGAAGACACTAAAGTTCGTGTTCGAAGACAGGAATAATAATCGTAGTATGACTCTCGGACGGAATGAATCACGAAGTTATGCAAGACATGAGCAGTGCCTTCAGTGTAACGCTATGGTCAAACCCCGACACCAAAGGCTTGACATACATGGTATCAACGACTAAGCATTATCTGTGAAGGCATCCACAATCAAGAGAAGGTAAGACTTTAATCGATCAAGCAGCTCATGATACCTCCCCATGTGTTGAACCTTGCGACTTCCACCTCGCTCAAATGAGAAGTCCCCTACGCAATTCGAGACTCATAAGTAGGCACGCCACTAGAATCATGCTAAATCACGAAGAGCTAATGCTTAGGTTCCTTCAAACAGTCTCCCTATCTCCGTAATTAGGTCTATGTACTAGCTATAACCGTTTCTTCGTTTCGTACAATGACAAATCCTATGTGCTAGGTCTTTTTGAATCTGTCTCTAGCAGCTTTGTTTTGAGCTTTACACATCTTCTTTCTACAGTCGTTCTCGGCACGCGCGGGGCTATGCACAACGACGACAACGACGGCGACTAGTAAGACATCTGGAGTAGATTGAGCGGCCATTGAGTACTCCGGTCCCCACACGTCATTGTCGATGACTCGAGCATTAACCTCAACGTCTTGTTGGTCTGTCTACCGCGTATTACAATGGTATTGGAGACACGGCGCGGTTGAGTCAACAGGTCGGCGATGAACACCCATCGGGCTCAGAAATACTACATCACTCGTATCTGACTGGATTGATGCATTAATATGCTCGCTTATGGCCTCTCGCAACGCTATCTGAACCGAAGAGGCTAGCCTGGAGTTGGACAGTCATGTGATTTGATCGTTTGAGAGATCACTCATAAAGCCACCTGATAAGACAGCACCTTCAGCTGTGGCTCTATCAGAGGTTGAAGATAGTCGCTAGTGACATGCATCAGGAGAAAATGTGGTAAGCCTTGGATAAGGTGAAGCATCGCAAGACCTCCAGTGGTGAGGATGGAAAATCGTGGTCAAGTAAGGAGCAGACCTCGAAACCACGAAGAGACTGATGGGACTCACTCAAACGCTGGAGGTGAGTACAATAGATCAGCAAGGTCGTATCTGATGCTGGCTAATGCCAAGGCCGATACTGTAAGGGATGTGAATGACATACGATCTAGAAGTGACAGCATCATGATTATGCTGACGCTCAGGTACTATGCCCACCACCGCAAACTAGGATCTTCTACCCATACCAACCCAGAACTCCTGGACTTTAGTCCCAGGTTCCCGAAGACTCTGGCGACCTCCGGCCAAGAGTCACAGAAGATGCACGAGAGTAATCGTGACCAGATTCGTCCTTGATGAGAGTTTCCTAAGGCTCGCCCGTTGCTCCCTGGCCACCATATGCGTAGTCGTAGGAACCTTCGGCTGCTTCCATCGTATTGGTTAGAACAGCACCGCCGTGATTGCTGTCTTCGAAGGGCGACGTCTCCTGTGCGCCGCCAGAAGAGTTCAGGGTGGTCCCTCCTGTCATGGGTCTCTGATGTTCGCCTCTAGCGACGAGTGTCTGTGAACATTGATCAGCACGATGGTGGTTCATCTGGCGATAGAGGCGAACACTTACTTCACGGTATCTAGCGAGATAAATCTTGAGTGCCTCGGCGTAGTTTTCGAAACCAAGTGAGGTCATGGCGAAGAGAATGTCTTCACCATTGACCGTTTTGCGCTTCTCTTGCTGACATTTCTCCGAAGCTACGAGATGTCAGCACGCCAGTATAACATGGTCGTTGAGGTACATTGGCAGTAGCAAGACGTACCTTCACTAGTGATGAACGAGATGAATTCGCTGACACATTCTTGCATGCATTCCTTGGCTTCTTTGGCGATTTTGGCATTGTCTGGCAGAGCACCTTTCATGATTCGAGCGACTGGTGCAAAGTTGCGTATGTTAGCATCGGAAGCGACATCGTTCTTAGTATTTCGGGGACGCAGTGGCTGTGGTCGCGACGGTACTCGGGATGCAGAAGACATGACTGTTCGGCAATCCGCGCGCTGTCAAAGGCCAAAGCTGCAGATCTGGGCTGGCAGAAGCAGCTCTGATTCGACGGTCAAGATGTCGAAACGCGCGATTGGGCTGTATATGGGGACGTGAAGGGCAGGTCAATTGATGGCATTGGTCAATACGCAGATGGTGGTGCAGAGGTGGTACAGACTCAGCAGGCTCCCTTGTCTGTCGCACCCTGTCCGACCAAGAAGTGAAAGAAGTACCGAAAAAGACATACCATTCGCGATAGGCAACCATCGGTCTTGCTCCTTGACCTCGAAGTCATAAACACCCATACCATGATCACCGGGATCATCAGGACCTCTGCTCATTTCTTGCTGGTCATGCTCGTCAGGCGACGGCTGGTTTGCGTCTGCTTGCAATGCTGCTGAGTTTGACACCTGCTGTCCCTCGACATCCGTTGTTCGCGGGCTTTGTGACATATTGTATCCGGCGACTTGCAGAAAAAGGACCCACACCTGTTCACTTTGACGTTTGTTGCGCTGGCAAATTGATTCGCTGGCGCGATACGTCACGGTCTGTGGTTTGGACCCAAGGTGTCTGCAGCCCAAGACACTACGGTTCGCGTTGTGTTACGATGGCCGGAAGCTGGAGGTTGATGCAAGGCACTGAATAACAATAGTGTGACGAACCAATAGATAGCCCTTCCAGAGAACCTTCTGTGGCCAGTCAAATTCCAACACAGCAGAGTCTAAAAGAGTGTTAGTGGTACACTTTCCATGGTAGGGACTTCTGTTTTGCATGTTCCCGGTCCAGACGGCTGGCAAAAGGTGCACTGCAGGTCTCGATGGGTAAACTCACCACTCTGAGAGCAGCGGCTGCGTTTATCCTCGGGTATTACGTGGATCGTTAGGAATCAGGGGCCTGTCTTGGAGCCCAATGAACCGAGGAAAGTCTGAAGATGGCGGCTGGATGCACACAGGATCGCGACGAAGCGCCTTCACTTGGAGTTGGGGTTGGACGACGGAGCGGGATTAGTAAAGAGACTACCGAATGTGATGATGCCACTCGATGTTTGGCGCGTAACTTGGATAATCTATTTTGATAAATCGCGACAAGCGTCTCGAGAGTGTGATACAAAAGAGGAATGAACCTGGTTCGCGCGTTCAGTGATGGACGTCTTGGTGGGGAGTTGGAGAAAGCGGCCCAAGCTCACTTCAAGTCGCTCTGGAGCGAGTTCAAGCGTGATACTGTCTTGTCAATGAACGGACGGCATTAAGCGCCTCTATCTGTCTTTATTCCTGAGGATGGCTTCTGACATGCTACGACACATAGCCTTGACTTGTATACAAATTTCAGATGATCATATCATCAAGAATCACCATGCAACTGAGCCCGACATGGATTGACCTATATTGCTGATCTATCCGCGTAGAGCATAGCTACCTACTGGTGTTTGGGACGATGTGAAATCTCGTCCAACTCGTAAACATTTGGACTGCTAGTATTGAACAAGATACTTGTCCATAATGCCTTGCTGAACCAGAAACAGCATCTGTTCTCGCTCAAGCTGACCTCTGTCTGACAATTCCAAGCAAGGACATCGAGCCGGTTGGTCTTGGCTCCGCGATCTTCGCCAGCGAGCCTGCCAGACAAGGCTTGTGACAACGAATAACGCCTCATGCCTGACACGGCCATGCTTGAATCGACTTGAATATTCTTGCCAACAAGACATTTTACTGTTCTGGTGAGGATGAGGGCCGAGCTGCATGACAGACGTGATGTGCTCCTGCGAGCGGCCGTACATGTGACTCCAGTAACATGCTCACTGTGTGACAACTTGGATCTTGTTTTGACGCTGTAGATGTATCAGCGGGCTGTCTGACAAACACACTGCATTTTCGGATTGACGGACCTTCCACTTTTCGAGTTCCTCCTGCTTGGTGGTATATTGTTTCAAGAGGTCTTCAAGTACCTTCTTGAGGCCATCTGCGTTGGTCTTGAGCTGCGGTAAGACATCTTGTACGGTTCGCTCCACCAGGACACCGTTGATCATGCGGAAACACTTGCGATCGCCTGGTAGTGGTTCGAGTGTTTCTAACACAAGTCTCCCTCAGTGTTAGTGGCATGATAATGCAATGAACGCTCCGCAACTTCGCCGTATTGAGGTAGTTCCTTAAGTAAGAAGACAGAAGGGTAAGCGGAATGTAGCAAACGTACTTGTGTTCTTCGGCTTCAGTCTCAACATCACCAATCTTTTGTGCGATGGCCTGGAGGGTTTCCTTGTAGTTTGAGTATTGCGCCTGCAGCTCTGCACCCCTTTGGTCAGCAAAGAGAAGAGGAAAACGATAGCCAAAACATACCTTGCTGCTTCTTAGCCGAAACTTGTTGCGACATTTCAACACTGAATTGTCTACGTGAGATTGATAGTGCTCAAGACACAACACGGGCATCTGATTGCCAGAGCGGCGTTCGGGAAAGCCAAGACGCTAGTGCTGTTCGACTGATGATTTGCCTCCACTCTTTGACACTCACCACTAGAGTCCCAAGAGGGTGACCAGACATCAAGAGAAAACATATATTTGTCGCCGAGAAATCAGCGAGAGCGACATCAACGACCATGCATCCCCACCTGCACACTAAAGACAACAAGAGTACGCTGTTAATCACGTCTCATCATCACGGTCCATTCGCTAACCAGGACTAGACTGTGAGGAGGTCATGAACGCACTCGAAGAATGCCATGCGCGCGGATTCCTCTGGAAGTCGATGGGCATGTGCACAAAGGCAAAGCATCAAGTCAACATGTGCCTACGCGCCGAGCGTCTCGAACGTACCCGTCAGAACCGCGAAGTGGCCAAGGAGAAGCGAGCAAAGTACGAATCTGTATGGGCCGATATCGACGCCAACTCATGAGACATAACAACCTTTCTTATTCAACTGAGCCTTTAAACAGCGAGGCGCTAGGCGTTACGGGGGCATAATCACAACAAACGGACATCTCAACTCTCTGTATTCTATCAGCTTTCCTCACATCGTCGCATGCAGAGGGCCAGCTATGATACCATTACATTCCCCAATCAGCCATGTCTCGACGCATCCCACCACCTAGACCGGTTCTTCCGAGGCCCGGTCGCCCATCTCCATCATCCGCGTCGCTATCCTCACTATCTTCAGTACGGTTGGGTGTAGGCTTCTGGTCGATTGTGGTGATCTGTTGATCATCATTCTTGACTTGCAAGCCCATGTCCTCTCTCAACTTCTGATACTTCTCGCCCGTCTCTTTCAGAGCTGCCTGAACTCTGATCTCTTCCTCGCCGATTCTTGATTTTTCGTCCACCAAGCTCTGCATTTCGTTCGACTTGTGAGCACGAACGATCTCCATCTCCTCCAACCGCCTTCGCAGTCTTTCAACCACGCTATCCATTGTCGGCAGAGGGACAACTCTGGGTGGTGTTTGAGGCCTTGTCGAGTCGGCTTCTTGTTCGCGTGCAGCATAGGTTCCGTGGCGCGTTTGCGCAACTTCAAAGGCAGCATTTCGTTCGGCCTCGCTCTCGTCGTCTTCGTCGTCATCATCTCCGCTCTGACCCTCGGCATCCGCGATCATAGAAGCCATTTCTGCTCTGCGTTTATCGTCTTCCACCCTTTGTGCCTTGCGTCCAAACGTAATTTTGCCATCCGTCGTGAAATCGTCGAAGCCTTCGAGCATGTCCTCATCATCGTGCACTAAACGAGTCTCGGGGTATTTTTCCTTGGGTTTGAGGATCAGCCGACCCTGGTCGTCTCGTGTGACTGCGTCGTCATCTTCCTCGTCGTCACCATCGTCTTCCAGGGAGATGAAGTCGTTCTCTTTGGCTAAGCGTGCGCGACGTGCCTTCTTTTCCTGAATCTCGGCGGCAGTGGGTATGGCGGTAGGAGGTTGATACCTAGAGAGATCGGATCCGAATTTCGACCTGATATCGATTGCAGTACTAGGCGCGACATGCTCAGTGTCTGTGGTTGCGGTGGATGCGACGTGTTGCGGTGTGGCTGGGGTGCTCTGTTTCAGCTCGTCCAGGTAGTCCCTATTGTAAGTTGGACGATCCAATGTAGAATCAAGGCCTGGGCGAAAGACGACATCGGACTGTTTTTCGGCGTTCCGTTGGATAGCAAGGCGGGAGAGGTTTGCGCGTTTGGGAGTGACCAAAGTGGAAGAGTCGTCGTTGTCGTCATCGGAAGCAAACGACGGACGTAGGGCGGAAGACTTGCGATGCTTCGCGACGGGTCGCCTGACTAAGGATGAGGCGGTAGAGTCTGTGAGGAGGGCCGTCAACCAACTGCCACGACGAGCTTTGTTAGAGCTGGCAAATACTGCGGAGGAGTGACGACTAACCATTGTTGCTTGAGGCGTCCGACGGGGTATCTTGTTCATCATGGCCAATCTTCCGTGGCACGCGACGAGCGGCAAATGACTTCTTCATGGTGCATGGAAATAAGAGAGAGAGAGAGAGATGTGTGTGTCGGTGATTGATGATTTTCGGGCAGTCGCAGTCGCGGATGACGCGCGGGGAAGTCGCAAGTGAGCGCAAGCCTCTGGCGCTCGCGACTTTCCTTGTCTAGAGGTCTCTCCGGTACCATCATCCCCGATTTACGAACACTAACTCAACCATGCCTCAAGCACAGCCAGAGTTGAAGAAGGTCAGCTGTTCTGTCTGCTCCACGTTGCGCCCAATCTGACCAGTATACAGTATCTCGACCGCCGCCTGTTCGTTCAGCTCAACGGCAGTCGCAAGGTCATTGGCGTCCTTCGCGGTTACGATGTGCGTAGATTGTCGCTTGATACCGTCGCTCACGTATGTTGACCATTCTCAGGTTTTTTTGAACATAGTTCTGGACGATGCCGTCGAGGAGAAGGCTGGCGGCGAGAAGGTCAGAATCGGCCAAGTCGTACGTCTCTTCCACACCACCTGCACCGCATCGCATACACCTTACTCACATCCTCCAGGTCATACGCGGCAACTCGGTTGTCATGTTGGAAGCACTGGAACGCATGGACGAACACGACCGACGATGAGCGCATCCCTCCTTTATACCCACCCACAGCCACCGACCGTGATTCGACTCTCATACCCGTCCGCCATCACGTCGCAGCCTTCCGTCGCGTTAGTCGACATCATTACCATTCGGACTGACACATCTCGAGCCCTTGCTTGTCCAAGAGAGCATCTCACATATCTGTCAAGAAATTATTATGGCCTTCTTCGAGAGCGTACCAGTCAGCGACGCCTCGATCCAATGAATCAAAATCTTCTTTCTCCTGCCATCTCTTACATCGACCTTGCACTGACCTTCTGGTACACGTGAGGCATTCGTGATAGCTACAGTGACCTCGTGAGAGAGTACCACCATCCCCTGGACAACTACTCGTACGGTGTCATAGGTTTCGAAGACGTATTCCTTGAGGCTCTGAGTCTATCGCCAATTTCGACTATTTACATCGTTTTCGCAATCGCGCCAACCCAGCGCTGGCTTTTAACAGATCTGCCGAGAGGGGTCAAGTCCAAATGGAATTCAGTGGTAGCACACTTGTTTACCGGTCATGCTACAGCTTAGCCTTGCTACCCTGTTTAGCTCTTTCCTTCTGACATTGCTGGACCAGATCCCAACCGACCGTGGCAAAAGGTTTCATCTGCACTGCGTACTCCTGTGCTCGAGCACTACTTGCTTGCCGAAGGGCATATCTCGCCGCAATGCCTTGCATAATGATGCTGCCACGATATATTCCAAATGCTTCGCCCCATGTCATATCTGGCCGTGGATCCCAACCGGCTACTTGTCTGTACCACTCGATACACTGCTGCTTTGTGGGAAGACCAGGTGTGTTGCCAGGAAGGAAGGTCTCACTTCCCCTTCCAATCGATCGAGCAACCGGAGAATCCGCCGTGGTGAAGGGCGTGAGCAGGTTGCTTAGGTCCGACAGTGGATGACCTATCGTTGACATTTCCCAGCTGTACTCGTCAGTTACTGCTCAAGATCCAATCTACTGATCGACTTACTCCAAGATTCCTATAACCTTTGGATCTGTCTTGTGGAATACCACGTTATCGATCTTGTAGTCGCCGTGGACGAAGGTGCTACGATCTTGGGGCTGGCTGTCTTTGTTGCCGAAGAACGCGACCATATCATCAAAATGTGGAATCTTTCCCACTGGCTCTTTTGATTCCACATCGACAGCCTTGGCCTGGGCATCCTGGATGGTATTGAATGTCGCGAGTTGACGATCGTAGAAGCCATTTGCTTTTCCATAGGATGCGAGGTTCACTGAAGCGGGAGCCACGCGATGGAATTTGGCTAGAGTCGTTACTGCCGATCGCCACATCTCCTTCCTGTGCTCAGGACTGACATCTGGCAGACACGGATCTTCAATGATCCTTCCATCGAGAAACTCCATAATGTAGAAAGCCGTGCCGATGACTGCGTCGTCCTCGCACAGACAATATGTCTTTGGCACCGGGACATCAGTTGTTTCGAGAGCATGCAGGATTCTATATTCTCGTTCGACTTTATGAGCAGTCTTTGACAGCAACTTTCCTGGAGGTTTCTTGCGTAGAACGTATTGCTGCTTATCCGAGGATGTCAAGAGATAAGTGGGATTCGATTGACCGTAGCCAAACTGTTGATCGAACACTTAACAAACTTGCAGAAGATTCGGGTGAGATGAACTGATATACCTGTTTGACATCTAGCGGTGTCTTGATTTCTGGGACCTGTTGCTGCAGGTAGCTTTCGAGCGACTTGATGTCTATGGGCTGTCGGATTGGGCCCGCCATTGCAAGACTTGGTAGATTGGATTGAGAAACACGAGAGACAGGCTCAAGAGGAGACTTGAGGGAACAGAGTGATTTTTAGCTGGGCGAATGTATAGAGAGTACCTAGGTATGCACAGAGGAGAGGTCAAGGCGTGGGGTACTGGACCGTACAACCTCGGCACGATTTAAAGTCACAAGAAATGCCATCATGTTGCCGAGAGCCATGCCACAAGACGGTCATCTGTTTGGAAGTAAACATTGGGAACGAGAGCAAGGCATACACAGATTCTGGCCAAGTGCAAGCGCAGAGAGTGCACACGCCAAAGATTCTGGTCTGCTAGCTGGTTGCCCTTTTAGTACTAAAATGAGATGAGATGCGACGAGATGAGATGATTGGGCAGCGTCTTGAGTCGCGGTTGCATGGGTAATCGGATCAGGCGCTGATGGGCCTGACGTGTCTTTGTTTTTGTCTTGTATCTTGTCTTGGAGCTGGAGCCGCGACGGGAAGGAAGGTGTTTATATCTTGTCGTCTTGTTCTTGTCGGTCTTGACACTGTTTTGCTAGCATGTCAACACCACGGCAGCGCGTGCGGCCGTCCAACTCGCCCATGCACACGACGGACGCTCACCGCAAAGCTTCTTTCAACGCCTTGACTGGAAACACTCCTCGATCACCTGCACTCGCATCAACCATGGCCGACCAGTCTGTCGCCTTGGGCGACATGGTCAATGTACCTGGCGACATGTATGGCACTGTCAAGTTTGTCGGGCCCGTCAGGGGCAAGCAGGGCAAATTCATTGGTGTTGAACTGGCCAGCGAATTTGCTGCCAGAGGAAAGAATGACGGCGATGTCGATGGCATCCGCTACTTCGATACCGACATCCCTGGCGCGGGCATCTTTCTGCCTGTCCACCGCGCAGAGAAGCGTCCCTCGCCCGCACGCTCTCGCCCAGCCTATCCTGCTACTCCTACCACTCCCTCGCAATACCGCATGGATACCTACACTCCCCCAACGGCCGCTATGCCCAAGTTCTCTCAGTCTATGGGCCCTGGTGCCCGACCTCCGAGTCCTCTCTCCAAGCTCAAGTCACGTCGCCCGTCGCTGCCACGCCCCGAATCGCCCTTCCGCAAACAACCCAATCTAGTTCCCACCCCAGCCCGCAACTTCTCCATGAGTCAGAGATCTGCTGTCCCTCCACGCTTCACCTCGAGTCCTGCACCGCCATCGTCCACCACTCCTCGTGCTGCCAGTCGTTCTGCCGCTCCTTCGCGACCCTATTCGCGCACTGGCTCTCGTGTTGGAAATCGCTCCGAAGCACCGCGCCCATCAACCAGTTCTGCCGCCTCGATTGCTAGACGCTCTCCCTCCAGACAGGTCACCGTGGATCAGGATGGCGAGATTCAGAGACTAATGGCTCAGCTCGAAGAAAAGGACAGACAGTTGCAAGAACAAGCTGGATCACTCGTGGAGATGGAGTCTAGTCTGAAGGAGATTCAAGAGTTGATACCCGCTGATGGTAACGACGCCGAAGATAGTCCTGATCTGTTTGAACTGCGCCAAGCTGTACACGACAGAGAAGACAAGATCCAATCTCTCATCGACGAGTTTGACGCCCACCGTGCAGATTTCCGCAGCACGATAGACACCCTGGAACTTGCATCAGCCGAAACCGAGCGTGTATACGAAGCGAAGATTGCTGATTTACTGGCCGAAATACAAGAATTGCGTGAGCTCGGCCATAGTCGTGAGGATGTCGAAAATGTCGCTCGCCAGCTTAAGGGATTGGAAGAGCTTGTTGCTGAACTCGAAGAAGGCTTGGAGGACGCCCGTCGTGGAGAAGCAGAAGCTCGTGGTGAGGTCGAGTTTCTGAGAGGCGAAGTTGAAAGAGGACGTAGCGAGTTGCGACGTGAACGAGAGAAGGCCGCCAAAGCACTACAGGGAGCCAAAGAAGCAGAAGGTCAAACTTCCAGAGACAAGGATGTTGAGTTGAAGGATGATGAGATTAGGGGTCTCAAAGCCATTATCCATTCTCTGAGCTCTGGACCGGAAGCAAGCCCTATGGCACGACAAAGTTCAACATCTGGGCGTTTTGCCGACCCAGAGGAGTTGAAAAAGACTCAGGCAACTGTGCAACAGCTTGAACGGGAAAAATCGGAACTCCAAGGGTTGATCGATCGAAAGGCGTTCAGAGAAGAGGAGCTTGAGCGTGCGGTTGAGCAACTAAGACGAGCAGCCGAGCAGGAGAGGAACAGCATTATGAACACCGAAGCAGCCGCAGAGGAGATGCCACGTCAACACCTGTCGAGATCGCCCGAAGCGACCAGATCTCCTACGCGTTACAGATCACCACGAAAGGACGAACAGAAAGCATGGTGCGAAGAGTGCGAGACACCTGGACACGATGTTCTGACGTGTCCAAATGCTCAAGATACCAATGGCCATGAAAATGGTAATGGTCATGAGAGCCATGCAGGACATAATGAGTCCGAAGACGAATTATCCGGCCATATGCGAAACTTGAACGTCTCTGCACAACGCAACGATAGGTATACCGACAAGCTCGAGGCACCTGCCCCGCTTTCACTGAGAAAGACCTTGAGCAACACCAGTAACAATGGTGCGGAAAAGGGCCGGGAAGTTCAGAATGCGCCGGCAGCAGAGCCGGACGCTGATAAATGGTGCGCACTTTGCGAAAAGGATGGTCATCTAGCATTTGATTGTCCCGATGAGCAGTATTAGAGGAGAGATTGTTTGAGACAATTACAATATGCTGTATCCATAACATTATTGGATTCGAACCTTATGAACGTGTCTTCCTGTCTTGGGTATTACGTTACTGCTCGCTCCAATGGGCATGCTCGCTTGGAATGGACCAACTCCATCTTTTCCACATCGTCGAGAATGTGTTTAGACGTTGTTGCTCATGAGGAATGACTTCTTGAGATAACATAGTTGTGAAGTGTGGTTGACTGAGACTACGGCACTTCTTCATCATCGTCTCCACCAAAGCCGAAAGAGAACCCACCTTCGACGTTGGCGTCCTCGATCGTCGACTTCGTCAGCTCTGCCCACTTGCCTTTTGGCCCTTTGCTCATCTTTTCTAGTTTGGGCAGTGCCTCCTCCAGGGCTTCTGGCTCCTGTTCTCTGAGCTTTGCAACAAAGAGCTCGTAAGGATTTTGCACATCTTTGGCGAACCCGCTGACTTGATCAGACTTGTCTCGGAGGAAATGCAGTACTGAAGCAAGTCTTTGACGGGGAACGAAATTTTGAGTCAACGCAATCGAATCTTCGAGGTTGACGACCAAATGATACCAGCCAGCTGGCACATATAGCAGTTCACCGGCCTCGCAGATGCCTTCAATACATCCTTCTGTGCGACGTGCCTCCGCGTGGAAGCCAAGGAACCATTCTGCAATACTCAGAGGGGATGTTACCTCGCTTTGGTCTGCTGATACAAAGACTCCGGGTGGTGGGGGTAGAGAAGCGGAAGAAGGAAACATGATCCAGTACTTGCGTCCCGTCAAGACCGCGTTCCATGCGCAGGTCGCATTCGGGTCTTTGTGGAAAGTCGAACCACTGCGAGATGGGCCAATGATCAACCAGCGGTGGTCGGGTCGTTGATCTCCAAGAACGCTGAACAGGTCAGGACCAAAGAACGAAGGTGCCCAGTATGCCACTTTACGCTCATTTTCGGCGTCTGGCACATCGGGAGAGGTGCCATCGTACAAGTGAGCATTAGAGCTGTCGGCTACTTGGATATTCATCTTCTCTGCAAAAGAACGGTCAAAGAGATACAGAGGACTCTCGTCATGATTGTCCTTCATGTAGTCAACATAGACGTCGAAGGGCCAATCGACGGCTTCTGCTCTGAACTTGACCTTGGAATACTGTTTGAGCAGAGATTTAGCAGACCACGACCCAAACACCGGCCAACGTCTAGTAGGCTCAGTGATGATGAAGGGCTTGTTGGTGTACGATTCAGTAAACTCAGCAAAGGTCAAGGACGTGAGACGATGGATCTGATTACGAGTGGGAATGTTGTTTACAAAGGGGTCCAGAGGCACGTGAGCACAGAAATATGGCCGATGAAGAGCATCAGAAAACAGATTACTGCAATCCACGTCGGGTTCTTGAGAGCGTGGTTGTGAAAGGACTGTCGATCTCCAGGTACCACGCCAGTTGAAATTGTCCGGGTGTGATCTCGAGTGATGTTAGACTGGCATGAAGCGAATGACAAATACAGGTACATACTCTATGAAGAGAAGTTTCCATAGCTCCTCAGACCTAGTGAATGCATGCAGTGCACGGCAAGTAGCACCCAATCGAAGCAAGTCCTGAGCGTCAAGGTATTCCAGGAATTGAGTCAGCAGTTCGTCAGGCAGCAGAGCAAAAGTCCCAATTGCTGCTTTTAGATTGGTCGTAGCAGTAAAAGCATTTCCAGAAGGACGGATTCCGAGCGGATGACTCCAAATGGTAGCAGACTCGTCAGGATTGGCTGCTTCGTCAACGCCGGGGTCAAGTCTCTGTTTTTTAAGCGGCCTATGTTCAAGATGCTGGTCTAGCAGAGCCGCTGGAGGAGTCATAGTGAGGAGTGAAAACGTAGTGTCCAATGGATTTCACAGCCCACAAAGTCACGAGAGATGGATCGAGTGACGGTTGAAGAATGGCGGGCTGTCAGTGGCCAGAGACAGACAGTCATAAGAAAATGTGAGCACAACGGATGATGGTGGTGGTTGGTCGCAGGCGAAAGGCGAAGGCGGGTGCGGGTGCGCACGGACGGGTTTTGCAGCACAGCGAAAAAATCTGGTTTCATTATATTCGAGCGCGCCCCTCTTTTCCTCCAGCCATTTTCATCACTCCCAACAATCTAGATATCCTTGCAGACTCTCACACACGAGAGTTTTGGTTTCTAGTCCCCCTTCAAATACCCAGCGGCGCCCTTTCGCCCTCCGATCCAGCTTTCAACACAACCCACCTACCAACAACTCCAAACCGCAATCATGGCTTCCGGTCTTGAAGAGGTCCCCGAGGGTATGTTCATCCCCGTCGCCTGAGCTGTCGCCCGCACGTCCGCCTGCCTCGAAAATCTGAGCGCTTGCGACGACGGCGAACGCTGCACTGCTTGCTCGCAACGACTTGCGCTGACCACATTCCCGCGCTGCAGGACAGATCGAGTCCAACTACGATGAGACCACCGACTCCTTCGATGCCATGAACCTCAAGGCTGAGCTCCTCCGCGGTGTCTACGCCTACGGTTTCGAGCGCCCCTCTGCTATTCAGCAGCGCGCCATCATGCCCGTCATCAAGGGTAAGCTAGTTTAAGCCCGCTGTTTGCCCTCGCATTCCACTCACACACAATTCTACAGGCCACGATGTCATTGCCCAGGCCCAGTCCGGTACTGGCAAGACCGCTACCTTCTCCATCTCCGTCCTCCAGAAGCTTGACCCCAACGTCAAGGCCTGCCAGGCCCTTATCCTCGCCCCTACCCGCGAGCTTGCCCAGCAGATCCAGAAGGTCGTTGTCGCCATCGGTGACTTCATGAACGTTGAGTGCCACGCCTGTATCGGTGGTACCAGCGTCCGCGACGACATGAAGGCTCTCCAGGACGGCCCCCAGGTCGTTGTCGGTACCCCCGGCCGTGTTCACGACATGATCCAGCGTCGTGTCCTCAAGACCGACTCCATGAAGATGTTCGTCCTCGACGAGGCCGATGAGATGCTGTCTCGCGGTTTCACCGAGCAGATCTACGACATCTTCCAGCTTCTCCCTCAGTCTACCCAGGTTGTCCTCCTTTCCGCCACCATGCCCCAGGACGTCCTCGAGGTCACCACCAAGTTCATGCGCGACCCCGTCCGTATTCTCGTCAAGAAGGACGAGCTTACCCTCGAAGGTATCAAGCAGTTCTACATCGCTGTTGAGAAGGAGGAGTGGAAGCTCGACACCCTCTCCGATTTGTACGAGACCGTTACCATCACCCAAGCCGTCATCTTCTGCAACACCCGCAGAAAGGTCGACTGGCTCACCGACAAGCTGACTGCCCGTGACTTCACCGTTTCTGCCATGCACGGTGACATGGACCAACAACAGCGTGATGTTATCATGAAGGAGTTCCGCTCTGGTTCTTCCCGTGTCCTCATCGCCACTGACCTTTTGGCCCGTGGTATCGATGTCCAGCAGGTCTCGCTGGTCATCAACTACGATCTCCCCGCCAACCGCGAGAACTACATCCACCGTATCGGTCGTGGTGGTCGTTTCGGTCGTAAGGGTGTTGCCATCAACTTCGTCACCGCTGACGATGTGCGCATGATGAGAGAAATCGAGCAGTTCTACAGCACTCAAATCGAGGAGATGCCCATGAACGTTGCTGGTATGTGGAGTGCAATTGATCCTACCTGAGCAAACACCAAGCTAACACAATACGCAGACCTCATCTAAACGAATTTCAAGCCAGGAAGAAAGGGACTGCAGCAGTGCATGTCTGCGGCAGGCCAATGTTTTACGAGGGATCTACGGCTGGTCTTACCTTAGAATGTGATACCATGGCTGGGACGGATCCCACTTCTCATGCATTTGGGCGTTTGTCTTTTATGGTCGAAGTTTTTTCAAAATGCGAATACATGCCCTATTCTAGATGCTAGGTTGGGGCGAGTTTCTTGTCTCTTTTTCAAAAGAATCTTATCCTTTTCAACTGAATCTGTCTTCGGCCTCCATTTGCATGTGACAGGGAAAGCACTGTAGCGCTCTCCGCTTCCTACCAAGTTGAACCAAGAAGGTGCCTCTACGCCAAACGTACCTGCCCGGAGTCCTCCTTCACATGGCATGAACTTTTACGTTCGCCCCTCTTCTGTCTCGCAGTTCATCTACTCTGCCCTGTTCCGAGCAGATCAATCCTATTGCCTCTCAGCGTTCTGTCATTCCAAGGCAACCATAGCACTTATCCATTCCTCAAGGTCCGGCCTCTCTCACTCTTCTCTCACCAGCCAAAATGCCACCCGTCTCTACTGCACCTCGCGAGCTGCTCTGGTACCACCAGATCCAGAGAGAAACACGCCATCTGCTCGAGCAGATCAGTAAACAACAAGCAGACCTGGACAAGCTCAAGAATCAATCGTCTACCGACCAAAAGCAACGAGAACAGAGTCAGCAGCTTCTTCTGGAACTCGAGACGAAACAAGCCACAGCTCTTGAGCGCAGGAGGGAAGACTTTGAGCGAGAGAAGGAGATACTGAAGCGTATCGGCAAGCTCGAAGAGTCTGTAGAGGCGCTTCGCAGAGCCAACGAGAGCCAGTCCATGGTCACAGGAGCGGCCAGCCAGTGGCATACACTTGAACGGAGGCTTGACATACTTGAGCAAAACCAGGCCAAAAGCTTACAGCAGGACGTACAACGACTCAATCTGAGGATCGATGCTTTGGCTAAGGAGATGAAGAATTCCATCAAGGATCCAAACACATTCGCTAAGCAGCGTTCCGATCCTAGCAATGACAAGGGGTCTGCAGCAGAAGCGGAGAAGAATGCAGGAACCGCAAATGCAGGAGACAAGGTCAGAGGAGCAACGGATAGCGAGGAATTGCAGGCCGAACGAGAGATATCAAGCCAGAGACCTTCAGACTTTGTTCAGAAGAAAAGACGACCTGGAGAGAAGCATATTCCTTTCAGACCGACTCCTCCAGAACTGAGTTGGTAGATGGGAAATGGAAGAGAGAAAAGACAGGTTTGCGCACACACCATGATCTGGCTTTAGTGAAACTATGGAGGGGATGGATATGTACAATAGTCTAGCTTTTCAGGTCTCGCTGAACTCATAAGGACCGTCGCGATCCTTGACCTCGACCTCAATGTTAGCTTCCTCAACTTCCTTGCCGTCAATGCGCATGCCAGCTCTGATAACGTCGCCTGTCTTTACAGAGCCCACACCCTTGGGGGTACCAGTCAAGATGATGTCGCCCTTCTCGAGGGTCATGACTCTGCTGATGTCGGCCAATTGCCTGGGGATCTGGAAGAGCATGAGGTTGGTGTTGTCGTTCTGCTTCATCTCACCGTTGACGCTTAAGAACAACTCAATGTTGTGAGGGTCGGGGATCTTGGACTTGGCGATGGGACCAGCGATGGGGAGGAATGTGTCGAAGCCTTTTGCGATGCTCCAAGGAAGACCCTTCTTCTTTGCTTCTTCTTGGACGTTACGGCCAGTCATGTCAATGGTGAGAAGATAACTTTCGATGGAGTCTAGAGCAGCCTGGGTGTCGTTGGGGTCAAGATCCCTGACCTTGCGACCCATGACGAGACCTAGTTCGACCTCGTAGTGCACATTGACACCTCTGGGACGCAGAACAGGACCATCGCCCTTGAGAAGGATGGATGATGGAGGCTTCAGGAAAAAGAAGGGGTTTGCTGGCTTCTTGTTACCCAACTCGGTGATGTGGTCCTTTGTACGATCAGCCATGTTTTTGGTGAATAGCGACTTTTGAGGATTCAGGTTGGCATTCGTACCATGTAGTTTCTGCCAATGCACATGATCTGTTGTGGAATGTCAGCTTTCTTAGATAACTTGTTACAGTGGTCGTGACAAAGATAAGGAGTAAGTGGAGTGGAGACGTGTGTGAGAGACTGACTTTACGGCAATTCGAGGCAACATTGCGAAGAGCAGGAGAAGCCATGGCGGAAGAGATTGCGAGTCTGCAGATGTAGAGATGAAGAGAAGGGAAAGAAAGTGGTAGTTGTGGTATACAGTAGCAAGTAGTAGTAGGTGGGGCGGCGGGGAGCTTGGGGGGGCTCGATATCGGTATCGGGCAAGCCGCGGCCGACCACGGGGCTCCTCATGGCCAACTCTACGAGACTCATCCACCGACATGGACGCAGTCGACTATGACCCGATTGCACATCTGAACGCCCTCTTCGGCCATCCATCGACCCTCGACCAAGCCGCCGCCGTGTCGCAGCAGCTACACAAACAACAGCATGACCTCTATCAACACATGGGCCGCATGGTCGCCCGGCAGGCAGAGAGCGATGCCGACAGCGTGCGCCGTATAAATCAAGCAAAGGAAGAGCTGGGAGATGTCTTTGGCCGCATCGATCGCGTGCGCGCAAGAGCGCTGGACACCGAGAGATCCATCACCGATATGACGGCCGACATCAAGCGCCTCGACCATACCAAGAGGAACCTGACCCTGTCCATGACCGCCCTCAAACGCCTGCAGATGCTGACCACCGCATACGAGCAATTGCGCACACTTGCTTCAACTCGTCAGTACCGGGACTGCGCTCATCTGGTCTCGGCCGTAGTCCAGCTCATGGCACATTTCAAGACATACCGCAGCATTCAACAGATTGCCCAACTCAGTCAGAATGTCGCCGATCTCCAGCGACACTTGCTTGACCAGATTTGTGAAGATTTTGAGCTTGCCTTTGCTAGAGAATCTGTTGCTTCGAGTCGCAACATGCTGGCCGATGCCTGTCATGTCATGGATGCTTTGGGCGATCATGCTCGCGCTCGTCTGACTACCTGGTACTGTAACACCATGTTGCGTGAGTATCGTCAAGTCTTTCGTTCCTCCGACGAAGCTGCTTCGCTGGACAACATCTCCCGCCGCTATTCTTGGTTCAATCGTATGCTCAAAACACATGACTCCGACCATGCTTCCTTGTTCCCTTCCTTCTGGCGTGTCGATGAGATGCTAGCAAACGCTTTTTGTGAGACTACCCGGGAAGACTACAAGCAGATCTTACAACGTTCCATGCGCCGTGCAGATGGCCAGCCACCTGATGTCAACCTACTCCTATCATGCTTGCAAGAAACTCTGGATTTCGAGCACTCCCTCGAGCGCCGTTTCTCTTCTGCTGAGTCACGCTCCTCTTTGGACACGCTAGATGAGAAGCCACGTGCCTTCAGTCAAGCCATCTCTGAAGCTTTCGAACCATATCTCAGTATCTGGGTCGAGTCCCAAGACAAGCAGCTAGCTCTGCTTATCCCAAAGTACCGCCAACAACCCGTTCGAAACACCGAAGACGAGTTCCATGCCCATACTGTCATGCCCTCTTCTACCGAGCTCTTCCACTCTTACCGCATCACATTTGCACAATGCGCAAAGCTATCGACTGGCTCACGGCTCCTGGACTTGTCAAAAACATTTGCCAAGTATCTCGATGTCTACTGTCAGCAGGTCTTGTACCATGCCTTGTCCGAACGATCGGCGTCAGTTGAAGATATAGTCACCATCCTGAACACTGCAGATTATTGCTATCAAACTACCAACCAGCTAGAGGAACGCATCAAGTCGCGTGTCGACCCAGATTTGCGTGCCCAGGTTGATCTGCAGTCTCAAGCCGACTCTTTTATGGGTATCGCATCAGCCTCCGTTAAGGCCTTGGTGAGGAGAGTCGAGCTAGACTGCGATGCACCCTGGAGAGAGATGCGCAATGTCCCTTGGAGCAAGATGGACAATGTCGGTGACCAAAGCCCCTACGTTGCTCCTTTGGTGCAGCGTGTCAAGGAGAAGACATCCGAAGTTCTCAACTACTTGCAGAAGCAACACTACGCACGTGCATTCTGTGACAATTTGATCGACGCTCTTGCCAGCTCCATCTTGACCAACTTGGTGGTCTGTCGACCCATATCGGAAACAGGTGCTGAACAGATGCTACTCGACTCTTATGTCCTGAAAAAGGCATTCACCGAGCTGTCTACAGTCAACGCCGAAGCGGGAACTACACCCAACGCCAACTTCGTCAAGAGGGTCAACCAAAGCATGGCCAAGCTCGACCCCTTGTTGAAAACACTACAAGTGCGCGCCTCGCCACCTGAAGGATTGGTCCAGGCATATTTGATACACATGCAAGATCGATCCGAGCCAAACTTCCGCAAGATACTCGAGCTCAAAGGCATCACGCGTAAGCAAGAACAGGCTCAGTTGGTAGAGCTGTTCAACGCACACAAAGCGTCACCGGCGAACGAAGCCCTGCAGCTGTCCAACCCCTTGATCGCCAACATCTCACTGCAAGCGGCAGGTGCGACTGTGCCGGGCATTGCCGCACTCAAAGACAGCGCTGCCTCGCACTCGGCACCAGCTTTGGCAGGAACGACTGCTCGGTTTGACCCCTCCACGTTTGGTTCTGCTCTCATGAACGCCGCTCGTGATGGCGTTGACCGGTTTGGTTCACCAGCCCTAGGTGGCACGGCGTCGGCTGCAAGCGCCAGTAGAGCAATCAGCCCGCCACCTATGGGTGCTCTGGGTCTCAATGCTGAAAGCGCCCATGCTAGCATCAACGAAAATCTCAAGAATATTGGCAAGTTCTTCCGTCGCGATGTTAGCGGATTCGGGGGTTTCGGCAAGAAAGAAGAGGGCAGGAGGAGCATGGAGAAAAGATAAAGATCTACATGGTGTTCATAGTACATTGCCAAAGTAGATCGTTCTGCATAATACGTTTCTTCGTGACTATCATTTCCCATATCTTAGACCTTGCAGCATCAAATCATCAAAGCTCAGTCCTGACCCATGTTGATCTCTCGGAACCTGGTCAGGGTCGTCCAGCTCATCGGGTATATGCGACCTTCTCTCAAACACCATCAGTCCACCAACCGTCTCGTCGCCATTGGCCACGATCAATTCGTGCCCATTGTCCACCGACACTGCTCCGACCACCGAGCCAAAGAAGTCGATCGTCTGCTTATCACACCAATTCATCGCGTCGTACACGCTGACAATGTCATCCGACTCGGCCACCACCAATGATGCTCCTCCGCGATTCGAAGCGGTAAAGTGCAGCGATCTAGCACAGCTCATCTCGCATGAAAGATTCGCCAACGGCACATCCCACCTTCGAGCATCGTATACCACAACTTTGCCATCCTCACTGCCCGTCGCTACATGCCAGCCGTCAGCAGCCCAGGCGCACGCGAATCCATAGCCTGTATGCTGCTGCATGCTGAACAACACATTTCCCCTTTCGGCGTCAGTGATGAGCGACTCGCAAGAGTCTCCAACAATCATTCTTAGTCGGCCGTCGGGTGATGTTGCAGCACAATTGATCTGGTGCTCGTACGCGAACTCGGCGGACCAGGAGTTGGAGTCAATGTCGAGTAGGCGGACTTTACTGTCGTTGGAGCAAAAGGCAGCCCCCAAAGCACCCGTGCGGCGATGACCAAGTATGTGGACGTGAGTTGTTTCTTTCTGCTCGGCGACAGTCACGAATCCTTCGGTGGGACGATCGCCTAGGGCAGAGTTGAGGTTGAGCAGGGAATACTCGCCCTCCAGCCCACCAGTAACCAACACGGCATCGGAGCAATATCCTTCAAAGTCCGTGGCGGGTGAGACAGCAATGGTAGTAACATGGGCGTCTCCGGCTTGGTTTGGATTCGTTGATGCGCCACTGAAATTGACGACTACATCGGTATACGCAGGACAACTCAGCGAAGTGTGCATTACTCTACTCTTCGATGCATAGAAGACGTCGTTTCTGCTTCGCGCAGCGAGCACATTTCGAAGTTGACCGTGCGAGTGACTGGCCCTATGGTGGGGGTAGAAATCCTTCGAGGCATACATGCGCTGTTGGCGGCATGGCGAGTTGTCGTTATATGCAGCTGGTGGTGTCCAGGAATAGCGAAGAGGATAGAGCATCTTTCGTGCGAGTCGGGCTTGGCTTCTGCTTGTGCTGAACGCTGCCCAGTTCAAACCTTGTAAGTCGTAGTTCGCCGGAGGTTTTTGGTTGAGAGGCCGCCATCGCTCTTTGCGCTCACCGTCTACGTGCATAAGGCCGGCCTCTCCCATGTAATATTGAATGTCCCAGTGGTTGAGAAACTCAGCAACATCGTAGTCAACCCAAGCAGAGGCGTCATGATGGAGTTCCTGAGTAGGCTGTATTGGAGGATTGACAGGTCCGACATCGCCGACGGTCCAACGCGTGCTTAGAGTCTCTGTAGGCGAAGGTGGAAAGACGGTCGGTGATACCGAGTGGGGGACGAGATGTGCATCGACGGTCAGATGTCCTGGTGACCGGCCTGACGCTGAGGTATAGGACGCCCGAGATGCAACGCTTGTGTGTTGGTATCGGGTAGTCATAGAAGCATCATTGACGGCGTGTCCCGGTGGTCTCTCTTCAGCACCATACCGTTGGCCCAGGCGGCCTTCGTAAAGGTCGACATGAGTTGCAATACCGACACCGCCTTCAGTGACATTCCACGGAAATTCTATTGTCTCATGCGATGACATGTACTGGCGACTATAACGAGCATGGTCCGGGACTGAGTCGAGGTCGGCCCAAGCCAAGGGGACCCCGCCATGGTCAGGGTCTTCAAGATGGCTGGGTAGATGAGCAGCAGAGTCGTCGCAAGGATGTGGTGTCTGACCCAAAGACGATATAGCGGACGCTCGCCTCGACCGGATCATTCTGCTGTCGAAACGAAGACCTCGCAGCGTCGAGCCACGCCGCAGCGAATGTCCTGGATATGAAGAGAGATGGTCGCGAGCGTCAGGATCCGACATGGTGCAAGAGGCCAATCGGTAATTTAGATAGGAATCACGGGCGCCAAGCTCGGCAGTGCGAAGAGTCAGCCAGTAACTCGTCCTTGTTTCGATGTGACGGCGGGTGATGACAAGAAGGCTGCCGGTGACTGAGCTATTGGCCCTGCCACGCGTGTCGCAGGAGATTGGTAGAGAATACGTAGCGCATATGCTAACAATATGATCAAAAGAGGGAAACGATACGGTGGCGACAGGCTGATCTGCCACCTGCAGTCGCCGCAATCTCACGAGAGCACCCGCTGTCCTCGAGGACAAGGACGTGTTAGTTATCCAAACAGTGGAAGCACTCTGGCGGGAGACAGACAGGCGCACTTTTCGGGCCGTTGCTAATTGCAAAGTGACAGCTCCGGAAGCGAGCGAGTCTCGTGCAACGCCTTAAGGGCGGATTGACAGGAGGTCAAGGCCTTTTCCGCGTGGTTGTCACGTCGTCTCATCGTCTGCTGCAGTGTAACCATCGCTTAAGCCTTGGACATGTAGAGCCCGAATCTTGCCCTTTCCGTCGAGCGATGCATGGATTTCATCTGTCACCTGCGCCCCCCGAATGAAACAAGCCAATCGCAAACCGACTGTGCCGTGATACTGCATATATTCATTAAATAGCTCAAGGGTGTGAATACTCCTTGATTGTTATCAGGCTCTGGCGCCAACAATTATACATCATGCGATTCATGCAGTCCGGCTCGACCGGCGTTCCTTTTCCCTCCTTCGTAAAGACTCCAAAACTCCGAGATCAGACATCATTGCCCCTTTTATCTTCAGAAAGGTGACCGCCTTTTCTAGTTCAATATTCGTAACCGGACTCGTATGGATATGATCCCTGTGCTGACGACGAAGTGTAATTGGTGCCACCAATCTTCATGCGTCGCTCGTGTTCGAAATCGGCCCATCTCTTCATGGTGATCTTACTGCTGTCAAATTCACCCTCGGCATCGTCATGACCTCCCTTGGTCTGTTCCCCAGCCGTCTTGCGAGTGTCACCCCAAGAGAAGTCGTCAAACTTCCAATAAGCGTAAGTTGGGAGGATGAAGTTCCAGACTGGGAGTGAGAGGAGATAGATGAGCATCCAAGCAACGTAGGAGATGCGATGCGCGGTCAAGATGATGAGGACACCAGGGAGACCAAGAATTAGTGCCAAGAGCACCAAGGACATGACAGGAATAGTTGTGTGTTCAATAGCAGCCTTGATGGCGATAGCAACTACAATCTAGTTAGCATGGAGCTGTCAAAGGGTGTATCAAGAATTACTGACCAACGTAGAAGGTGAAAGCAATGGCAGCCGGAAGCACGAGTGTACCAACCAGTTCGACGAATACAACAAACTGCATGCTGAAGCAGAAAGTGCCACACAAATCACGAACCAGAACCAGCTCCATAAGATTGTGGACTGTACTGTTGATCCATCTTCTCCTTTGAGAGAGAAGGACCTTGAACTCATCGGGTACGGTCGTTTTGCAGACAGCCTGCGGAACGAAGACCTGCTTTCGCTTGGGGAAGGTTCTCAACATCAGAGTCGAGAGATAACGATCTTCACCAAGAAGGAGCAAGTTTTTCTTGTGCAAGGTATCGACGACGTTTTCGGAATAATGCTCCACGATGTCGGGATTGGCCAAGATTGGCACCCAGTAATTTTGATCGCCCTTTGGTGCCTTGATTCTGTACATGCAGAAACATCCGGGAAGGCAGGTGACACCACCAAAAACGGATTCGAAGGACTTTGACTGATGATGTGAGATGAAATATCTGAAATATTTGTCAGTATGGCTTGGGCCAACCAATCGGTTGCTCAACTTACTCGAATACTTGGATCATAGACACCCAGCTGGCCCTCTTGTTGGCGATCTTTGTTTCACCACACAGGCCCATGATTTCAGGGTCCTTTACCATAGCGCTAATCATATGGGTCAGACTGTCGGGGAACACCTTGGTATCAGCATCAACCATGAGAACAATCTCATAAAAGTCGGGAGAGATGCCAGTAATCTTCCAAACACCATTGAAGAATTCGTATTCAAGCTCGGTCATGCGTTCATCGAACATGACTTTCTGCAAGAAGGACATGAGGATGATTTGGCTGTCACGCTTGCCACGGTTACCAGGCTTGGATTGAGTTGCTTCCTCGGGAGTGCCACACTTGACGATGATCACCATGGGCACGCGTTCTTGCTTCTCCATTGGGATGATAGAGTCCTCGCCGTAGTCGTAGAAGCCGGAGTAAATCTTGGCCATATTGTGTCGTTTGGAACCACTAGCGACAGCGACATACGAATAAGGCTTTACTTCATCAGGAACGATGGTGTGTTCCTTCATCATACTCAGGGCGACTTCGGGAGTGGTCATGGTCTCGCCATGGCCCTTGATGATACCATCGCAGATGACGAGGATCAGCTTGTGACTGTTTGGATACTCAGTTGTGGCGACAGAATCAAGAGTGGTACGCATTCCCTCAGGGCCCTCGGAGTAAGCGGTGACCAGACAAATAGCATGTGCAAGAGGGAATCCAAACGGCTGCCACTCTGGGGGAGGCTGGGGCACGACAGCTTCGTGGATAAAGCCATGTGGACCAGGCCCATCTGACTCCATAACACTAGAGTACCTTTTCTCGCTGCTGTTGGGAACCATGAGACTTGCACGGCTCTCTTGCAATGTGTTCTCGCTTCTGTTGCCTTGACCATACACACTTGCACCAGGGATCAAGCGCGCAGTCGAGCTTTGACTGGCCATGGTGGTATATGCTGGACGCGAACGCGCCATAGACCTCTCAATAGCATAAGGGCTGGTGAACCTGGAGGTAGTGGGAAGGAAACTGCCTCGCTTGTTGGCGCGCTCGGTACTGTTAGTGACAGGGTCGGCAACCTTGGGAGCCGGACGATAGATATCGTCCGCCCATTCCTCAATCTGCTGTTTTCTCTTCTTCTCGTCACCACTGAAAGCAGTTTTGTCGGCGGCATACTTGCGGCAGAGGAACCACTGGAAAGCAAGAGCAAGAACGAACTTGGCAACGACGATCGACAGGATAAAGACAAGCGCGACGTAGAGAACGATCTTGGAGGCGATGCAACCAACGGTCTCAGTATCAATGGATCCGACCTTGATGATTTCCTGGAAACACTTTGCGATCTTCTTATCCTGGCCTGAGGAGAAGGCAAGACTCATGTCCGTACCTCGAACGTTTGCGTTCTCACGGATGTCGTCGAATCTGGATGGGTACGAGACTTGCGAGGCGTTGAACCATTTGAGGAGGTTGAGATCAAGAACATCGCCACCGTAGACCATGAGATTGCGGCTTGAATTCTTGATATCATCCCAGGTGAAGTAAACATCTCCTCCGGATTTGAGATCGTAGAAGTTTGTACGAGCAAGTTTGGAAGTATGGCAGGCGTAACCAAGATAATAAGGGGTTGTCAGGTTCGGTTCGCTCGACCCATCCTGGTTGAAAGCGTTGCACGGGAAATACCATGCCAGATTGCCCTCACTATCGGTCTTGACATCAGAGTCTGGAGCAGCAGTGATGAGGCCTTTGCAAGCTCCATTGACATTTTGGAACATGAAGCTGCCGTCCTTGCCTCCATATGGCTCGTCCAGATCCCAAAGGACGTTTTGGTTACGCAATATACCTCTGGCCTGCGGATGTTGCGATCTTGTCAGATCGTAGGCCTTGCCGTGGAAGATCATATAGCCCGAATCGACTTTGTTTACGCGAAAGCGTGAGGAAGAACCCGCGGGGCAGACAGTGGCAGTGAAACCGAAGGTGATGAAGCCAACGAACGCAGCGATCATGAGGATGATGCTGATCAGGCCCATCTTCTCCCTCCAGGCTTGTTGTTGAGCCTTTTCAGGCATGCCGAAACACTTGAGGACGGGATTGGGACACCAGAAAGTGATCAAATGACAGTAAGTGCCCCAGAGTGTAGGCGGACTAGCACCGGCTTGCTTTTGTCTCTTCTTCTTCTCGTCGGCTGTGTCGAGGGTAGCCTTACGGTGCAGTTTACGGCTTGCGTTCCTTGCTACAGAGGGGTCGGTGGGACGGCCTTTCTGATTGAGTTGCTTCAGCTCGATATCGTCGGAACTGAGAGTGGCGGCCTCGATGTCTGCTTCTTCTAGCAACGGGTCGTGACCAGTAGTCGAGGGCATGATTGCCATATTCTGAGCGTGCTTGCGGTAATGGTATTGCGGATGATCTCTGTCGACCTTTGTGCGTTCGGGACGGATCAGACTCTTCTTGCGGCCCAAGTCGGAAGCGCCAATCATGGGCTCATAATCTGTGGGCGATGTAATTCTGGGGACGGGGGATGCGATTTGAGACACATAGGGCTCGGGCTCGAGCTTGTTGTGACTGCTGGTTCTGCGGTGGTGCATGGGTCGGGGCGACTCGAGATCGGATTGTTGTCGCCTATGTGAATGCGACTCGCGGCGAACTCTTGATCGCGAGTCCCGACGTCGAGGCGACGTGGGGTTGTTAGACGACATGATGTCGGTAGGTAGTCGAGGATATGGTGTGTGACTATCGATGGATCTCGCCGCTGCTCCCGGGCAGAGGGTGAAGGAGAGGCACGGAGATGGGTTCAGGCGAAGAAGAACGAGGGTGGGTGTGGCGGCTCAGCAGCAGTCTTGGACAAACAAACTTCGGCTCGTCGTGGAAACGGGTGCCTGCTGTGGTCTGGCTGCCAGACAAGACGGATGACAGGGCCAGAAAAGAGCGAGCGGTGTGAGAAGTGCTCTCTGTTGCAACAGGCAAGGAAGCAGCCCTCGGGGCACAAGACTGTTGCAAAGTGTCGACTTGTGTTGGCATGGGATTGTATTCTTGTAGCACGGCTCGTCGCCGACCCGGCCCCTGAAGCGCTAGCAGCACTTAGTTTTGCAGCCGCTGTGCCTGCATCGCAGATCGGCCCGCTCGTGCTCACCATCTCCTCAAAACAACATCGCCCTCGTGTCTACCTAGCCATGACGTTGTCTGTCTGCCTGTTGAGCCATGTCGAGCCCTGCCTGTCTACCACGCTTTTCTACCATGTATACACACCTAGCTATCTATCTTCCTTCGATCCCTCGACCCCAAGGGCTATGTCTGCCACTCGACCCCTTGTTTCTCCCTGACTCCTCTTGTCTCATATCTGAAGCCACATCCATCCCCACAAAGCATCGAGCATGTGCAGCACGTACCCTCATCTTGCGTGCATCATCTTGGTTTCGATGGCCTTAGAGTCGATCAAACATATCCTCGCCTCTCGGGCAACCCATCTGGCTGTTCTTCTCCAGGCTCGGCATACGGAGTAGAGTGTGGTAGCTGGAGCAGCCACCGTTGAGTCGTCGCCAACAGTAACAGCCAGTTGCCGAGTTCTGTCTACTCAAGTAATACTCATTTGCCTCTCTCCCCTCTCCATGTTCTGCAAACAGTCTTGGGCGAGGAAATCATGCAGATATGCTAAATATGGCTGCTATATTCGGTAGTCTGGCTGATCATGTGGTCGGAACTCTGGTTCAGAGGGAATTCGTAAAACTGCACTTAGAGTTCGGACATCTGCATGTGGAAGGCCACTTTTGCCTTCTGGGGACCCTTGTTGAAGCACTACTTGGGCACGAGACGGAAATTTTGCTCTCGTGTTTACTCCATCGAGCCAGAGCACGCGGGATCTGTGAGCATTGTATTTGAGTCTACAAGACCATGGCTAGAAGCACTGACGGCTCAAGAGGTGGCCTCCACACATTCATGACGACCCTCTTTGTACTTGTAGTCAGTCAACGGCGCGACCGCTACCAATAAACTCAGGCACGCGCACAGCCGAACGGAAGGAGCGCGGACCGCGAATGCAGATTAGGTTGTCACTCTCGTCAGCCCCTCTGCTGTTTCGATTCCACTTTCTTACATTTGTTCAACCCATTCTATCACGTCAAGTAGCCTTAGCTACTTTGTCTTCGTTTCATTTATTACTCCAACTCGGTACCAACTTGTGCAATTTGCCCTTGTCCGAGATCGCTGCCGCTTACTGGTACACCTACGCAGACCAAAAGAGTCGACCCTCATTACGAACACATCCGCGGTACCGAGCGATCCGAATATTCTTGCAGGACTGTCGACTCCTCACGCTTCTTTCATTACTCCAGGCCACAGCCGTCGTTTCGCTCCGACCTTGGACGAGTAGAGAAAAATATCGCATCTCTAGGCGCATATATCACATCTGAAGACATGGCCGAGGTGTACCGAAGCCAGAGGCCGGCCTCTCATGGCCACTTCGATGGCACACAGGATCAGAGCCGAGCTTCCTTCTCGCCTAGAAAGAGCAGCATGGCACGGCCGACCATTCGCATGCAAGAAGCACCCGCTAGCCCAGAGAGCTCAGGCTCGCCACGACCAGGCACGTCCAGGTCTTCATCTGGCCAGGTGGATCATCCCTCGGGCTATCATTCAAGATCCGCCTCCCAACATTCGTCCGTCAAACATCTCGACTCCATCAAGCATCTCGATTCCATAGGCCGCATTTCTTTGAAGGACCTTCCAACTGTTGGTGCCGAGGAGCTGGAACCAGAACCTTTGCCTATGCTACAATACCACCACAAGGGCCTCGATGAGTCCCCGGTCAAGAGAAACAACCCCAATCGCATTTCTCAAGCAACCATGAATAGTGTTGGCTCCTCTTCAAGTGGTGGGGCCCTTAGGCCACCGAGGACGGTAGGATCTCGTGTCGTCTCGCAGAACTCATCATTGGGAGCCGATCTTCGAGCAAGCACGTATTCGCCCTTGTCTGCGGACGACAGCTTGTCCGTGAGCGGTTCGCCTAGAATCTATGCCCGCAATCAGGCTGGTAACCGACGTTCGCCTGACACCAGACCAATGTCGTATATCGACTTGCTGAACGAAGTGCCCTATTCGCAGCAAGTGGCACCAGCCCCAGTCATGAACAACAGCAGTCTTCAATCTGCCGTCGGAAACAATGCCTCGTTGCTTGACAACAAGAAAACCCTTGACATGTACCGTGCCAACGTCAAGAAAACCAACGATCCCAGCATTCAATACGAATTTGCCATCTTCATGATCAACGCAGCCAGAGATCATGCTGAAGATACGGAATCAGCTGCAGAGCTGATCAAAGAAGCCCGTGGAATTCTCCAGCGTCTCTCAGATCGCGCATATCCTTTTGCGCAATACTACCTTGCCGATGGTTACTTCTCTGGATTGTTCAACAAGGACAAGCCAGATTATGACAAGGCTCTGCCCCTTTTTGTTGCAGCGAGCAAGCATGGTCATGCAGAATCAGGATACCGTGCTGCTCTGTGCTACGAATTCGGATGGGGTTGCGCGAAGAATTATCCGAAGGCTGTGCAGTTCTTCCGCGCTGCTGCATCGAAGGGTCATCCAGGAGCAGCAATAAGACTGGGCAAGGCATGTCTCACTGGTGATATGGGACTTGTAAATCGATATCGGGAGGGTGTCAAGTGGCTGAAGCGCGCTACAGACTCTGCCGACTATCAGTACAACAGCGGTCCTTATGAGCTTGGACTATTACATATCACTGGCTTCGGCGAGGATATCTTCAAGGATGAAGCATATGCCGCTCAGCTCATGACAAAGTCAGCCGAGCTGGGCCATCCGGAAGCGAACTACCGAATGGGACAAGCATACGAGAATGGAACATTTGGATGTCCCAAAGACGCTGCATTGAGTGTTCACTTTTACAACGGTGCGGCATCGAAGGGCTTGCCCGAAGCTATGATGGCATTGTGTGCCTGGTACATGGTTGGCGCAGAGCCAGTCCTCGAGAAGGACGAAGTTGAAGCCTACGAGTGGTCAAAAAGAGCTGCTGAGATGGGTAAGTGTTATGTTATTGAGAAGTTCTGAAAGATCGATGCTAACATGTGCAGGACTTGCAAAGGCCGAATACGCTGTGGGCTACTTCACAGAGATGGGTATCGGTTGTCGACGCGACCCCTTAGAAGCCAACGTGTGGTACGTCAGGGCTGCGGATAAGGGCAACGAGACTGCCAAACAACGACTCGATATTATTAGAGCAGCAGCTTCTGGAGATTCGGGCATACCCATGGCCAAGGGCAAGGCAAAAACCAAAGAACTTGGTGGTGGTAAAGAAAAGGAGTGTCTTGTCATGTAAAATTAATGAGGTGGAGCATTGAATGAGGAGTCTTGGATTTTTGGCGTTACAGCAAACTTTGCATCAAGGAGCATATACCACGGCATTCGGGAGGGGATTCTCTAGGGCATCTACACGAAAATTGAAGGCAAGAGCGTAGCGAGCTCATACATAGCGATGCAGTTGCGATATAGCATTCACTTTCTGGTTACGATGAGAGCCCGCCTCAAGCTGGCGTTCGATGCGCTGAGATCGGTCCCTTGGATTCAGTGCCCTGCTGGCCCGAGCTTCCAGCTCCCATTCGAGGAAGGAGCTCACGTCGATTGATTGCTGTCAAAAGGATGTCCTTTACCAATCGCCGACTTTTTGCAACTTTCACACACTCAAACGCCAGATATCCCGCAGTTGTCTGTTTGATCAAGCCACTCAGCAGAAGCATAGCGACCATGACCAACAAAGCGTCACTCAAGCCGGCCGAGGACTTTATCGAGTTCGTCAACGCCTCTCCAACCCGTATGCCACTTCCGCTTGGCCAGCTCCGGGACTAATACTGACATCCAACAGCATTCCATGCCGTCCGCTCGGCCACGCAACGGCTTGATGCCGCTGGCTACACCAAGATCAAGGAACGCGACGCCTGGGCACATTCTCTTGTCCCTGGTGGAAAGTACTATCTCACCCGTAACTCGTCCACTATCATCGCCTTCGCCATCGGTAACAAATGGAAGCCTGGTAACCCCATCGCCATGGTCGGTGCACACACCGACTCGTGCTGTCTCCGACTCAAGCCTGTGTCGAAGCGTCAGTCCGAGGGATTCATCCAGGTTGGCGTAGAGGCATATGGAGGTGGTCACTGGGCAACCTGGTTTGACCGGGATCTGAGTTTTGCTGGACGTGTCATGTGTAAGCGCGCCGACGGCGGCATGGAGCAAAAGCTGGTCAAGGTCGATCGACCCATCTGTCGTATCCCCAATCTGGCTGTCCACTTTGGCGGTTCTGTTCCCTTCGAATTTAACAAAGAGAACCAGCTTTTCCCTATCGCAGGCTTGGTCGAGGCCGAGCTGAACAGGCAAGGCAAGGCACCCGAGGATGCCCAGAAGGATCAAGAGTCGGACAGCACCGATTTCAACCCTCTGAAGAATCCCACCGAACGCCACCATCCCTACGTCGTCGAAATCCTTGCTCAAGAAGCTGGAGTCAAACCCGAGGATATCCTCGACTTTGAGATTGTCCTGTACGATACGCAGAAGTCTTGCCTGGGAGGACTGAACAACGAACTCATATTCTCTGCCCGTCTGGACAACCTAATGATGACCTATTGCGCTGTCCAAGGCTTGATCAACTCTACATCCTCGCAAGGCAAGCCCCTGACTGATGAGAACACAATCCGCCTGATTGCTTGCTTCGATCACGAAGAGATTGGCAGTACTTCGGCCCAAGGTGCGGACTCCAACATCCTACCTTCGGTTCTTCGACGTCTCTCTGTACTTCCTTCTTCGCAAGACACCGAGAGCGACAGTTCGTATGACCGTACCGACCATGCCACCCACAAGGATGCCGACCTAAGCACGGCTTTTGAGCAGTCTCTGTCAAGCAGTTTCCTCATCAGTGCAGACATGGCTCACAGCGTCAACCCGAACTACAGCGGCAAGTATGAGAGCGAACACAAGCCGCAGATGAACAAGGGTACAGTCATCAAGATCAACGCCAATGTTCGCTACGCGACCAACTCGCCCGGAATTGTCCTCTTGCAGGAGCTTGCGAAGAGGGCGAAGAAGAGTAGTGGCGACGTTCGCAGTAACGGTCAAGGAGTGCCTCTGCAAATGTTTGTTGTTCGCAACGATATGCCCTGTGGAAGCACCATCGGACCCATGCTTTCGGCCAACACTGGTGTTCGCACGTTGGATCTTGGAAATGCGCAGCTCTCGATGCACAGTATCCGTGAGACTGGCGGAGCGTATGATGTCGAGTATTCAATCAACCTCTTTGAGAGTTTCTTTGAGCACTACGGCGAGTTGGAAAGCAAGATTTTTGTGGATTAGGAGATGGGGACTGTGTCGTTTGAGAGGATGACAGAAAGTACCACGGAGTTGGTGAATGAAATAGATTGAATGGTAGGGCTTGATACACAGAACATCAAATCGAAATGAGCATTGGTCCTGGATAAAAATGGCCCGCTGCACGGTGGTATACAATGTGGCTTGAGCCAAGGTGTGGAGAGGAAGGAGGAGTTGGCGCGTGCGAGAGACCCTTGACGATTCACTGTGGCAACCACGGTGCTAAGGGTGGGTAGGGCCTTGCTTTGGTCTGCTTTTTCGAAGCCGTGATCGACTCTCACAAGACATTGTTCGCGACGTGAGGAAGCAGTGACTGGACCGGTTGACCACACTTCACTTTGCAGCTTGCTCCCCTGTGCTCCCATCACGGTTCACGTGTGACTCTCGTAGCACAACAGACGGACGACAACAAGAGGCACGGACGCACGGACCAAGCGAGCGGAGGCTGGCAAGTCGCACATCGCAAGTCGCGAGTGGAGAGCACCCTGGCCTTGGCCCTGGCCCTGGCCCTGACCGTCCTTCTAACTGTCAATCCAAACACATACCGCCATCGCTAGTCGCCTGTCGCAACATCACTACCCTCTCGTCGCATCGCTCCGCTGCCACTATCGCTATACCGCCCATCACAACACCCGCCGCGCTGCCCGTCGAGTGTCGCCAGCGGGCTGCCTCTGCCGTCTCGATCCGAGGCGCCGCGACAGTCTCTCGAGCATCACGACAGGATGCGCTCCGCTCGTTTGGAAGCAAAGTTTGGCGCAAAGTCCGAGCCCGACCATGTACATACACCCAGGCTTCCATCTCCTCCTGGCACAACCACTCCGCCAACTGCGCCGCATGCTCGTGCAAACGTCAACAACAATGACAACACCTCCACTTACAAGAATGAAACATCGACCACTTCGCGCAAAACATCAGAAGCTATTGACCCGGACGCCTTGAGCAAAGCACTGCAGCAGTTCGAAGAAGCCGGTCGGAATCGGGAACACACTCCAGGAGAAAGCCCCAAGCGCAAGAGGCAGCGCGTTTACACAGATCGCTTCATACCCAATAGAGCTGGCCAGGACCTTCATGCCAGTTACAACCTACTGCACGACCAGGCATCTCCTGCTACGCCACATCGTGCCATCAAGAAGCCTCCTGCAAATGAGCTCCACGGCCAAAAGACCGACGAGGCCAACCGAACATATTCATCCATCCTGCGCTCCGAAATGTTCAACGACGAGATACCCCAGTCCATCCCGCAAAACGACAAGTCCTTGACCCCTCCAGCCAACTTTAATCTCACTCCCTCCACGCCACACAAGAACCTCTTCTCGTACAAGTCTGCACATCCCACTCCTTCATTGACCCCACGCTCGCATTCACGCACCGAACGAGGGCCCAACATCAACGCTCGCTCCGACATCTACAGCTTGTCACCTGTCAAGTACTCGTCACAGTCCATGCTGCTTTCGCCGCGCAAGACCCCTAGAGCTGTCAGCAAAGTCCCCTACAAGGTCCTCGATGCTCCTGAATTGGCCGATGACTTCTATCTCAATCTTGTAGATTGGGGTTCAAGTGGTGTTCTGGCTGTCGGTCTCGGTGACAGTGTCTATCTATGGAACAGCGAGTCTGGAAAGGTCGAACAGCTGTGCAAATTGACCGCCGACACCGTCACTAGTGTTGGTTGGATACAAAGGGTGCGTATCGCTGCTGTAACGTCTTGTGTGTAGTCTGACACTAACTTTCACAGGGCTCGCATCTGGCGGTCGGTACAGGCAGAGGACACGTCCTCATCTTCGATACCGTCACACAGCGGAGGTTGAGAACAATGATAGGCCATTCGGCCCGCGTTTCTTCGCTGGCGTGGAACGCTCACATCCTCTCCACGGGTAGTCGCGATCGCACTATTCTCCATCGTGATGTGCGTTCACCGCAGCAATACCTCACGAAGCTCGTGGGTCACAAGCAAGAAGTTTGTGGACTCCGCTGGAATAGCGATACAAATCAGCTGGCATCTGGTGGTAACGACAACAAGATCTTCATCTGGGATGGTCTGGGCGATCGCTGGTTGCATCGCTGGGGCGAACAGGAAGGAGGCCACAAGGCTGCAGTAAAGGCCATCGCATGGTCTCCGCATCAACGTGGCTTGCTTGCGAGTGGGGGCGGTACGGCAGATCGCTGCATCAAATTCTGGAACACAATCTCTACAGCTCAGCATTCCGCAAACGCCGCCTTGACGAGCGCAAATTCGACACACGCACACTTGGATCTTACGTCCGCTTCCCTGTCGGCGCTGCCACATCATGCCTATCCCGATCCAATGGCTTCGTCGCCTCAGAATCCTCATCTTCTGCGTACTCACGACACCGGCTCTCAGGTCTGTAATCTTCTCTTCTCGACTTTGACATCAGAGCTCGTTTCGACCCACGGTTTCTCACAGCACGCCATCAACATCTGGAAATACCCATCCATGTCGCAAGTGGTCAGTCTGACTGGCCACACATATCGTGTACTCTACCTGAGCATGAGTCCTGACGGCAGTGTGATTGTCACCGGGGCTGGAGACGAGACACTCCGCTTCTGGGACGCGTTTGGCGGCGTTGGTAAAGCCAACAGGAATGAAAACAGTGTCACGGGCAAGGGAAGTCTCGTCAAAGAGTGGAACGTGATCCGGTAGTGGTTTGTGCCCTATCTGACTGGAGGCTTGCATCTTTCTTTCATCTGGACGTGTTTCTTTTTCTTCTTTCCTTAACCGTTTACTCATATTAACGATCTGAACGAACATGAGACGAAGGGCGGCTGGGCGGCAAATCATACATGGGCAACAACAGGACGATTCTCATGCTGGAGAGGCTGGCACGGAATGGGGTTACTTGGGGAGTTTCTGCAGAGCATTAGCGTTTGTTTTTTCTCGGCACAAAGAGGGCAACCCCTTCTTTTCGAGTGCTTATTTCGAGGTTAGCATGGGACTTTCCATCAAAGCGGTCTTGACAGGAGTTTCTGCAGTCATTCATCGAGAGGCCGCCTCGCCACGTATAAGATGGCTGAGAGTTGGTCACTTTCCCACACGTGTACCTTCCATCCACTTTTGCTCACTCGTCGTGGCAATCGATCTCGATCACATCGTGTGTGTAACATGTCACTGGGCCAGAACCGAACGCCGATACCTTTACTCTCGGCGAGATTGGTTCTTGGTATAGCACGGTTTGCATCGGTTTGAGATGGAGGTCAGTTTTTGAGCAATTCGTTGGTCCATGGTGACGATTGATGATACCTCCAAATCACGACGACGACATCGTGATCCTCCAAGCTTTTGTCAACTCGATTGCGCATCATATGAGATGCACATATCTTCAAAAAGTATGTACGTCTCATGGATGGCACCAGAAGGTAGTTGACAAGAGGTGAAAATCAGTGTCAGGGTGTCCCGATCAACCACATCGAAAACGGATGACGATCTTGATACAATCACAACTTTTGAACGGCTTGTGCTTTCAGCCAGATGTTGACAAGAAGACTTTTCGAAAACAGAGAGCATTGTAGGTGAATCGTACATACTTCTTTTAATACATATCCTGAATTACGTCTATGCTTCGCTTTCAACCTCTGCAGTCGCCGGTGCATGCTCAGAATGCTGTTCCTCCGTGCTGTTCTCGTCGGTGGTAGCTCCAGCAGCAGACGCATCTCTATTCGATGATTCTTGGTCTGTACCGCGCTCATTGGCATTGACACCGGCGGCAAAGTATGGCACGGACTCATCGTCATCTGCATCTAGCTGTAGTAGATAGGTCTCCCAGAGTTCGATGAGTTCCTTCTGCGCCTCGATTGCTGACTCGAGGAAGGTCTCGACACCACTCTTGAAATCATCGACCTTTTGGCGCTCGAATCGGTCCAGCTCGCTGCGCATCAAACGACCCATGTCTTCGAAGAGCAGACGTGCCTGGTGGACGCGTCGCTCGGCATCTGCAACATCTGCTTGCATCTGAGAAAGGCGGTCTTGCTGGGTGCGGCCAGCTCGCAGTAGCTTATCGTGCGTGTTTTTGAGTTTCTGCAGAGCGGCCTCGGCTGTGTGCCAGTTGTGATAGGCTTTCTGGCGTTGCTGGAAGGCTGTCTTGATGCTGCCAATCAGGCGGATGTACTCGTCGATAACGATGCCGAGAGTCAAGACGTCCTGCTGAGCCTGGCGATCGTTGAGGTCGCGGATGCGCATCTGAACGTCAGACAAGGCATCAAGAGGAGCAGACAGTTCTGGTGACAGCTCGACCGAAGCAAGCTGATGCAACGAAGCAGAAAAGTCCTGGCAGCTCTCGGCCAATGATTTGCGTTGAGCAACAACGGTATCAGTGGATTTGAGGAGAGCCTTGAGCTGAGTCTCAAGGGCATCAAGATAGATCCTACGGTCATGGAACCACTGCGACATTATTGTGTAAGTGTGGTAACTGGGGACGACGGGTTCGGGGAGAGCGGGAGATGGAGGAAGGGTATCGATGTACGAGGAATAGGCGGCACTTACGTCGTCGTGTTCGACAAACTTAGTGCTGGACCCGACCGACAGGCCAATGGCGCCCAGCATGCCGCCGCCCGACTTTGTCTCGGGCAAGCCGACGTCCTTGCGCTCCTTGTGCTTGATGTCGACATTGAAGGCCTCGCTCTCGAGGAACAACTTGAGATCACCATCGTGTTGCAGGACGGGATGGGCGGCAGATTTGGTGAGCATGCGTTCCAGAGCGGCGCGACGGCTCTCGACAAAGTTCTGGTCAAAACGGTTCATGGCCTGCTTTTCCGGGGGCGGCGGCACCACGACGCCAGGGTTGTTGTTGTGCAGTTGGTTGTACAGCCACAGGAAGTCACGGTAGCGGCGCGAGACAGTGAACTCGGGAGTTCGGTAAGCCTTGCTGGTGGTCTTGGTGCGGACCTGGTAGACGGTGTGGGAGCTAGTCAGGTCACCAACCTTGTGCGGGTCACCAACGCTGATGTCGAACGAGGGTTTGGCAGCTTGCTCGATGCTGACGCTGGGTTGCATCTGGCGTCTGGGAGCGTCGGCCACGGGTGCAGGCTGAACAGGGGGAGGAGCACGTCCCGAGGTGGTCGAAGTGCCATCGGCGTCCAAGGTGGTAGACTCCATGACAGCGGTCGGTGGAGCATTGCGGGCATTCTGCTCCTTTTGCGGCGGCGCGGGACGTTCTTCGACAGGAGCAGGTTCGGCAGGCACTTCCCCCAGAGGACCAAGCGGGCCCAGCGAGTCGTCGAGTGCTTCGAGAGTGGTAGACTGGGTGCCGAAGCGGCGCGACGGACGCGTCTTGGACGGCGGGCTCTTGACTTTGGATCGAGTGCTCTCGGGGACGGCTGGCGTGTCTGTTTCTGTCGTCGAAGGCGCGGGCTCGGTCGCCGTCGATGTTGTCGGCTCGTCTTCTGTAGCTTGGGCAGCCAGGTTGGTGTTGGAGTGCGATCGTGACGGAACGTCTGCGGTGTTTGAATCAGCCAAGGTTCCGAGGAAGCGAATGCAGCCATACTCACCACCCCAGGGCGAGTCTTCATCCATGGTTGCTTCGTCTGTCTGCTATGATGGTCCAGGTTGTTCGCACATGCGATGCTGCCTCGCACCTTCCCCACGACGTAACAAGCCAAGCCTGTCCAGCGCCGTCACCTTCCGACCACTGCCGACCGCCGTCGTACATCAACCACCATGCACCCTAGCCTCTCTATGCTCACTTCCCCCTCGAGCACATATCCTCCTTCTGCTATATCTGATACCCATACCGCGTTTGTCTAGTCTTTACTCGCCAGCAACTCATCATGACCATGGAGGCCTTACCATAGACGGTGGAATGAATCCATTCGTCAGGAACTATATGTTCTCTGTTCACAAAATCTGGTCACTCGACAAACCAATTCCAGCTCAGCTGGTCTCATCTTCATTGGTCTAGTGGTCATGATTTCCGCTTGTCAAGAATAACTTCTCGTCAAGCGCGGGAGACCAGGGTTCGATTCCCTGATGGAGAGGCTTCCTTTTGCTCTTGGTCCAGGACTCACCAGAGATCGCAACCATCTTGTCGTTTGGTATGGTGAGTTAGACAGTTTTGCCATCTAGCGGTAGAAGAGATCGAATATCGAAAGAACGCGTAGTAATTTGTAAGTGAGATGAACACGTTGGCCATCCGTGCAAAAATACTCAAACCTGGCCATGCCCCCAAACGCCTGCTATGCTTTATCGATCCTGACCCAAGCGCTCAAAGTACATTAGTATTAACAGCATCCACCCTGCTTGCCACGTTTTTGTACAGAGGCAGCATCATTCATACCCAAATTGATGGTCCTTGCAGTGTTTGTGCCAGCAGATGCGCCAGGGCCTTTGACTCCGGAGCGCCGGTCGTTCAAGTCGTATTTGCCGGCTTCGATGTTCTGGTATATCCTTTCTGCAACCTCACGGAAGGCTCTTTCGACGTTGTCGCCACTCTTGGCCGAGGTCTCGACGTATTGCATAACCTTGTTTTCTGTGCACCATGCCTCGGCCTCTTCTCGCGTGACTTGTCGCTTGTTCTCAGAGCCGCTACCTTCGGCGACTGTTGTCGATGAAGCAAGATCACTCTTGTTGCCGACGAGCACTACAACGATATTCTCTTCTGCTATCTGACGAAGATCATTCAACCACGCTGTCACGGCGTCGAAGGTTGCGCGACGGGTGATGTCGAAGACTAGCAAGGCACCGCTAGCACCTCTGAAGTAGGATCGCGTGATTGACTTGTATGTCTCTTGTCCGGCGGTATCCCACAGTGATAGTTTCATATGCTTTTGATTTTGCGAGTCGGTATTGGCGATTGTCTCGGTGGGAGGAGCGTCGGTGGACGGGTTGTTGACTTTGAGGGCCAATGAAGCGGGTGGACCGACGGGTACAATGCGACTGCCAAACTCGACTCCGATGGTAACATCATGATGCGGGCTGAAGCGGCCTTCGCACAGTCTTATGGTGAGCTTTAAAGGCATGGGTAAGTTGGCACTCTTTGAGTCGGATATGGGGCAGTCAAGCACGTACACTCGACTTTCCGCAGCCAGAGTCACCCAGCGAGACGATTTTGGCGATGTAGTCCCAGCTCTGCGTCATGTTTGTCGTGTAGGCTGCTGGAAAAAATCAGACCTGATTGAGAAGCAGCAACAATCAAACATCGGGCCAGATCAAGAAGCAGCGACAGACATCTGGGTCGTTCCTGCGGCTGCCGGCTCCGCAGATCTGGAGAAGGATGCCCTGTGCGTCAGCCCCTCGTCATCATCATTCAAGAACGATTTGTTCCTTTGACCATTCTGAACTCTGTACGCCTTGCTTGTTCAATTGTACCATCTGGCACGGTCTATCGTGTTCTTCTGGTCACTTCTTACTCCCTTCATCAAGCTTCAGCCCTTCCCCGAGCATAGCAACCTAGTATATACGGATGGTTTGACTCGGTGACGACCGTTGAGAACCGGAGCCGCATGACTCTCGATGCGTCGCCAATGATCCAAACATGTGCCATGTGCTCCTCCATGTCCAATAGTCGCAATATCAATTCATCATCCGTCTTTGCGCTCTCTCTCTTCTTCCCTTCTTGACTCTCTCCTTTGTGAGCCTCTCCCTCGCTCTACTCAGTCTACCTCCACGCACACCCCTCCTTCTCACACAGCAACCATGGCCATCAACGCCAAGATGGAGCCCAAGGCAGGAGATGCAGTGGCCTCTTCCTCGGCCACTTCAAACAAGCCTGTCGTCTGTGTCTTGTAGCTACGCCCTTCTCTTCCAAGTTTAGAGCCATATCTAACCCTCTCTCCACAGCTGTGGTGCATCTGGCGGCAACTCACCTGCTCACCTTGCCGCCGCTCGCGAATTAGCCAAGGCCCTCCATGACAACAACATGAAACTGGTTTATGGCGGCGGCACCGTTGGCATCATGGGCGAGGTTGCAAAGACGCTCGTCTCCTTGGCCGGTCCCGACGCTGTCCACGGCATCATCCCCGAAGCCCTTGTCAAGTACGAACGCGATTACAAGGAGGGCGCCCCTCTGGACTCTGTTATCGACGAGTCTACCTTCGGCCGTACCACTGTAGTTGCAGACATGCACTCGCGGAAGCAGGCTATGGCCCGTGAGGTCATCGACGGCGGCGAGGGCGGCGGTTTCGTCGCACTGAGCGGTGGTTATGGAACCATGGAAGAGCTTATGGAGGTCACAACTTGGAACCAGCTGGGCATCCATGCTCGCGGTGTCGTCGTCTTCAACGTCGAAGGTTACTACGATGGCCTGCTGCAGTGGGTGCGTACCGCCGTCAAGAGCGGTTTCATCGCCAACAACAACTCAAGCATCATGATCGAAGCCAAGACCGGCGAACAATGTGTGCAGGAGCTGAAGAACTACCAGAATGCAGAGGGTAGAATGAAGCTGAACTGGCATCAGAAATGAGCTCCCGGCTACCAGCAATCTACACTACTATCAGGCCACGGCATTGTCTAAAGGATGGATTGTCCTCACCGCTGAATACCACGCCTCTCGCTTTCGCCTCTCAAATAAGACACGGCCACGACGTCGTGCAGCCAACCCAAGTACCGGCTGGAAGGTCAGAATGTACTAGATAATGTCTAGACTCGAAAGCATCTGGAAGCGCAACGTTATAGATATACATCGAGACGCAATTAGAATCCACACATAGACGCCACGAATTTCACAGACCCTGGTGTACAAATCCAAAACGCATAGTAACATGAGCCAGAACAGAATCTCGATCTTCCCAAGACAACTTGTGATGAAATACGCATGCAGAGTAAGCCAAGACAGCAAGGACACTTCCAATGCAACCTTGATCAAAGAGGTCCGTCAGGTTGCGACAGGCTAACCACTAATCACCAAGCATCATAGCCAACAAGCGGTCAACCCCGATGGTCGATCAATATCGGCGGCGGCCTTTTGGTCGAAGGCGTTTTCGACAAGGGGACCCAATTTATCCAATGTTCCCGCCGCGTGTTCACCAATTCCCTCACCTGCAAGGCTGTTCGCAGCGACCCGGGTCTAACATTCAATCGGATGTGGACAGATCAATATTCGACCGCAGCCAACAATTCATATGCGTGATGCAACCCTTCGAGATTGAAGAATGCTTTGCCGTTGGTTTCTGCTATACCTCCGTCTCGGGGCGGCGGGATGGACGCCGTGGGCGTCTCTACTTTTACCGATTGGACATGCATGAGTGATTCGTTGGCTTGCATCGCATACGCGTCTGGAAAGCTATACATGTCTGCACGTCTGCATGTTCCCGTGGCAGCCCCTTTGCTCAGCATCGCATGGGATTCGTCGAGGGCTAGGAGGGGTTCGCATGGAAGAAATGCATGGGTGAGCCTAGACTCGACCACTGTGCAGCCCATGCGAGTCACTCCAAACAACAGGGTACGGATCTTCAGTGAGCACAATTCGGAAACAGAGCGATCCGCAACATGTCGTACCGTTGTCTTCGGCCGATGATCATTCTCGTAATGGACATCAATCGATGAGGGACTCAAAGCAGCGCGAAATAAACCATGGCATTCTCCATCTCGACCACGACGACGAGTCAGCCGTTGACCACCTTTCCCGAAACTTGGACACCCCCGCAATCATTACGAGATATTGCATTCTCACCAAGGCACAGATACATCATCTTGAATCGCTCATTGAATTTCCGAGATGATGTCGTGAAGTCGGAGTTGCAAAAGCGAAACATGCCTCAACCTTGCTCTCAGGTATGAGCATTGGTTTTTAGCACATCAACATTGACGCAACTTTCTCCATGTTCGCCATCGAATAAGAAGAGCACACGACTACGTTGTCGTAGCCATTGGGATTCGCCGGTGAAGCAACGGAAGGATTAATATGAACACTGCACAGTGGGGGTTGCGAGCCGCCGTGGATACTGTGCAATACAACTGCCACTTGGGTTGCGAATTTCGTTTGACTAGGCATGTTGCTATTCGTCTTCGTGTCGATCAATAGGGCTGGGTCGCAATTGACCACGACAACAGCTCCTGCTTTTCGTATCCATGCGGCGTGGAGATCGGTCAGACCGACTTTGGCCACAAACGGCACATGCCGGACCCGAGCGTGGCGCTTGCTAAGAGAACGACCCAAGCATTCGAAGGGGTCTTCATGGCCGCTAGCCGAGGGAATTGCTGGCGTGAAAAGAACGACGAGTTGATCTGTTGGGAGAGAGCTGAGGGTCTGTAGGCTGGAGGAGGAAGAACGTATAAAGCGGACGGTGGAGGAGTGAACCTCCGCATTGACATGGGTTGTTGTTGGTTTGACATCAGCCATATTTGTGACTCAAAGATCGGCAGGGTAGTGACAAGGCAGGGTCATCGAGGGTCCAGTGTTATCTTGATGAACGAGATAGAGTTTGGCTCTGGACTTGTAGCATTGCGGAGAGAACAAAGGGACTGACAAGGGGAATTGTCCAGGGATTTATAGGTTAAACCCCAGGTAGAAATCCAAGACTCACATATAGATGCCGATCGAGTGCCTTAACAGCCTCTCAGAGTGATAGGCCAGCCGGAAAACTTTGCTCGGGCAACTAATTCATGCATCAAATGCATTGTCAACAGACACTCTTCATCACCATCTCTCATATCTGACACATGAGGCTTTAGACAAAGTGGCTAAGATCGACATAGTGCTCGGTTGACTGTGGGCTTTGCTGCGGGCCAGGGAATGGACAGGACCGGAGGGGTCTGGCTCGCGCGAAGGAGATGAAGCTTATCGATAATAGTCCATCGATATCCAGTCAGAAAGCCATATTCAAGGTCAACACACCTGATCTCGATCCCGCAATCGTACTCGCACTCGGTAGGAATGGCCTGTTCTTACTCGATGGACGTGTGAGGCGTCAGTACATCTCGTCGGTGTATATTTCAACATGTCACAAATCGAAAACGGGAGCGCACGCCATGCTACCAGAGTTGATCCGACGTTCCGACGGCCAGGCGAGCTATTCCGGATGCCATGAGTAATGACGATTCGCCTCTGAGGATGAGCTCTGTGCCTCGATCAAGATGGTTGCTCAGCTAGTAGGCAGGAACCGCGACATTCGAAACCACATAGCCAACGAAGTAGAACAGGCCCCACATTGAAGGTCGCCGGAGTGCGGGTCCGCCGAGGACGCCATGAATGCAGTTACACCTTGTGTGGTACAATCCTTTCGAGGTCCACCTTCCGCTTTTTTGCTCTGATTCGAATTCAACCTGCGATTCGTCGACCTGCGGCGCCTCCCGCTGCTCATACCACCAACCCTGAAGTAGCTTGATCAATCCTTAAGACAGCTAGATCAATCACGTGTAGCGGGATCGATACCATTAAAGACATAGAGCAGCCGCAGCTTGGCGGCTTGCAGCAACAGTGAAAGTTGCGAGAAGGTGAGGGGAAGCGGAAGGTGGACCTCGAAAGGATTGTACAGTACGACATCGGCGATCTGCCAGGGCGGTGATGCTGAGCGATAGCGAATCACTCGGTCCAGGCGAGAATCTGCAAGCAGCCATATTGATGACTTGCATGTGGTCGGAGCTTTGTGGCTTGGATATCGCTCTGGCAGTCCGAGTAGTCACGTATTGGCTCGACTGAGATGATATAGTCCTGTAGCGAGCGGAAATGAGGACTCAGCGCATGCAGTAGCCGACGCCCAGACACGACCCGCTCAAGCGTGGTGGAGCATGAGGAAGGGCAAACTACACATCTTCTCCGTACAAGAGAAGGTCTGGTGATGATGCTCCACCGCACTTGGCGCCATCAACGCGCCATTCCCTGTTGACAACGCCGTGTCGGCAACAGCAGCCGTCAGTGAACACTCGAGGATCCGTCAACCCGGCCTTCGTCAGCAGTGTGCGGCGGCAAACCATACGTCTGACAAGACTCCAACCGAGTATAGAACAAGGAATCCCTGCTCGACGAGTAATCGATCAAGTCAAAGGACGTTGTTGGACTGCTGATCTTGTAGGTCGACATCAGCGCATTGCAGCCAAACACATATCACCATTTGCCAACTCGGCGCTTAGCTCAGCCCTTGCTTCTTGGTCCACGGCGTGGCATGTTGATTAACTGAACCAAAATGTCGCGAGGTCACCGGCCGTTCAACGAGGTCAGCCTCACCGTCACAGGAGCCCAGTTTTTCAAAGAAAGATTTCCAAACTCCAGACGACGCGATGAAAATGTGCCAGCGTGCTCCGAAGTGATAACAGGATCCTTCAAGATTCCATCCAACGTGGTGCGTAACACGACCAGCATACAACAAGACACATCGCTCATGGATTGACCAGACTGGTCTCTCTCATATCCACAACCTCTACTTTGTTGCCTACGTCGACAAGATTTACGTCTATCAACCACAGTTTCCATCTCAGAGCATCGAGCAAGAACCAGTCTTGATTATACACACAGAACCAAAGCCGAAAACTCCCGAAGAGCAGAGACACTACGGACACTATTCGAACAACGGCACTCGAGCTATTAATAAACTACTGGTGCAATTACTAGGAAACGAGGAAGTGGTTGCCGTAGTTAGAGATGATGGCGACGTCGAAGCATACTACACACGGCACATATACAATGCCATTGAGAAGCGAGCTTACTACGATAGTGCTCTTGGCATATTGTCTGCAGATGTCAGGCCGTTCTTCCACAGAAGCGTGGGACTAAGTGCTTGGGGACTGGCCATACACAGCACGGCTCGCATGATAGCTGTGAGCGCAAACACACATGCAACTACGGTCTTCACGTTTGCGCTCACCGATGGCGAATTAGCTGACGACGACGACCTTCCCGACGAAGACGAGGTTTACTACTACGGGATGCGTGGGCCGGTGCCGCCGAACGATAGACGCAAGAACGATGTACGTATACTGGCTCACGAAGGCGGGACACAAAATCTGCCGGATATTGCCTTCTGTAATACTGGCAACGATCCAGCCGGCAGGTGGCTGTTGACCGGAGATCTCCTAGGCCAAGTGGCTGCGTGGGATGTACACAGCCTGCAATTGAATCAAGTCGTCAACACCGCTTTCAGTCCTCCCATCTTCCAGATGCCCAAAGGTGCGATGGATGGACGTAACGGAATCTGGGGTCTGTTGTTTCTCGATCCGCTTTCTTTCCGAAACACGACCACGATCGAGGAAGCTCTGGGGGTCTCTCCGGAGCAGACCAATATAGATCTGGACAGGGAGAAGGACAATGCTATTTGGGATATGGGGAAGACAGTAGACCGCATTGCTCATGTCCGTCGTCCGTTTAAGGATGTCGGAAGGCCGGTCGAGGTACAAAATGGCAACTTCGCGCATCCCCTAGAATTCTCGCGACACAGGAGCGATGGTCTTTCTGACAGGCATCCCGTTGATTCAGAAGTCGACAGAGGTAGCGAAGCAGGAGAGGAGCAACCAGGAGAAGAAGAGGAATTAGAGGAGGGTGCCGATGATAACAGTCTCTGGGACAGCGACGACAGTTACGACGAGAATGGGTACGATTCGGCCGAGGATACACACATGACATTCCACCGGCGAGACGGAACTACCTTCGAGGTCGCAAAGCCAAAGTAAGTTTACATACTATATCTCTTGTCCTACTTACTAATCCCATACAGACCTGGAGCTTCATTCGGACGTGGTGATAGTATGTGTGGCGACCTGCCCTGTCCCATACTCCAGCTTTCGTTCAAAGACATCTACCTTTACCAGCCATCACCAACCGGCAAGGCGTGGGACCACTTGCCTATGCCATCTACACGACGTCTGTTCCAGCAAGAAGTATCTGTTGCTTTTGAGTCGGGATCTTACAAGTTCGGTCGCATCAACATGTATGCGCAAATACCGAGTTTAGGAGTCGTGATCATCGCCACACAAAAAGGACGTGTTGCGGTTTTGTCGCTCACACAGACTGTGACGCGTATGCTCGACTACGAGAAAGCCAAAATGAGCGATCCGCCGCTCGAGAGACTGCAAATGGAGAAACGCGTCTTCGGATACAGAGTAGACCATATCTTGCCTCTTTCCAGCCAAGAAGAAGCTGGTCATCGGCCCAAGGCTGGAATTCATGGCATCGCTGTGGGACCCATCCAAGGAACCGAGCACCTTGACGAGGGCTTCCAGAGATGGCGACTACTGGTACACTACCAGGATCTCTCCGTGTTGGCCTATGAGATTGGGAAACCAGCGAGAGATCAACTCGACCTGAGTCTAATGTCCATCTGAAGGCTGGGCTATGGCTTTTTGCGGCCACAGTGTCAAAACCATTGATCACGTACAATACCAAACAACACCCACCTGTATCTAGATCTGCACCAAAGTGCACGAATGACATGTATATTGAACTCGACTCTTGAAACTCGATCTACGTTTGCTTTACTTGTGCCGTGAACAATCAAATTAGCTCGAGTCCATTAAATCACGTCTTCCGATCATGTCCATTTTCAGATGATCAACACGGACAGTATCCCATCCGTATTACAGTCCAAGATTGCCTTGCTTCCGCATAGTAGTCGTGGAGAGCAGAGAGATGGCGAGAAGATTGATTATATATTGAAAGGAAGAGACAAGAGAGCGGGCCATTATTGCTGACAGCATATCTGCCGCATTTTGAAGCTGAGAACTGAGACGGCTGCTCACACCAGGGCCCTCGTCTGATAGTGGTCGTTGATTAAAAAGGCGGTATTAGTGGAAAGGAGAAAGGCAGAAAGTGGCCGCAACACGCTGTGTCTCCAAAATTTGATTGGGTGTCCATTTTCCTTCTGAGCGCCGTGACCCTACATTGCTTGAAGCCGGATCTGTAGAGTGGGACGAGAATCAAGTGATACGGGTAGAAGGTGTGGAGAGTCTCAAGCACTACCGGCTACTTCAGCGATGGTAGTGGGTGTCAGGATATCGGCCGTAGTGCCCAAGACATCACTCGCTGTTCCGTTCTTGAGCAAATCTCCAGAGAGATAGTAATATGCACGGTGGGCAATGATGCTGACATGGCGGGGCAGGTATAACGCGACGGCGATGGTGACCATGGATAGGAAGAGGAACAGGATAGAATCTGTAGATGTAATGTGGTTAGCAAATGTCAAGTGGGTAGCGAAAAGCACAAGGCAAGTACGGAGAACGCACTGAAGATGAACTTTTCGGTAGGCGTCAACATGTACAGCGAGAAGGTGACTTCGTATTGGTAGCGCTTGCGTTGGAACCAGCGCAACAGCGACGAAGGGTACAGTGCGAGGGCGAAGAGGAAGATGATGGCGGCGCCGGCGAAGACGGTGGGGAGACTGACGGGTGCGGCCAACATGATGGGAGTGGTTGTGGGGTTGAAGAGATGGTAGTCGGGAGTAGAGATTCAGTTGCGCGATGGTTCAGGTCGACCAAACAGAAAGAGTACCGAGATGGAAGGTGCAATGGACTTGGACCCTTGGACTTCAGGAGAAGCGGCCGGCCCGGCAGCCGACAACCGCTCCGGCAGCCCCACCATACCTATGCAGGCCATCCATTCTTGCCATGACGTCTGTCACTCGTTCCTGCCTCCTCTGTTCTTTCTGATAGAGCACACTCTGTAGACCCATCTGCAATTCTTCAATGTTGCTGCTACGCCGCCTCTTTCCCATGACGACGTCTGTCCGAACCCCATGTCGACCCACGCTCCACGCTTTCTTCAGCACAACCATCATTATTTCTCAGAAACCACTCCCACCACGACCCACGATCCTCGAAACCGACATCACAGAAGCCTTTCTCAAAGGCACTGGTCCTGGCGGCCAAAAGATCAACAAAACTTCCTCGGCGGTACAGCTGAAACACTTACCTACCGGCATTGTAATAAAATGCCAGGAAACTCGTTCCAGGACTCAGAACCGCAAAATTGCACGTCGCATATTGGCCGAGAGAATCGAGCTCTTGGTCATGGGAGATGACAGTCGCGCCGCCGTGAAAGCCGAGAGGGAAAAAAAGAAAAAGGCTAGCAAGAACAAGAAGGCCAGGAGGAAGTACCGCAATCTCGAGCATGCCAACGAGGCCGAACTTGACCACGACGACACAACCGAGACGGATCAAGCCAGAGACCAAAAAGACCACCACACACGCGACACCCAAGTTCAATCAGACGCTGTGGAAGACACGACTGCACCTGGTCCGCATGCTGCCCAGGCGCACCACAAGCCCTGAAGAGAGCACATCCGCAGTCTTGTGCCGGTGCCTCAGCATCCTCTTCCCAAGCTGCCATGTCCCTGTCAGTCGCTGCTCTCTCAACGCCACGTCCATCATCCATGCGCCCTTCGAACGCTAGCGAAGCGCCGTCCCTGTCCAGAGCAACTTCCAGAATCAGTACTTCTTGCCTACATCGCACAAGGATCAAGCATTGCCCCTGCACTTTGCATGACTCGGAAACCACATGGAACAAGCCTCGAGGATACGCCAGCACCCTAGCTTTTCCTTCTTGAAATGCCCGATTCGTTGACATGCATACTGTGACAAGTTACTCTACATCTGCTTCCGAAACATGGTTTTGGGCTTCTCGAGACCGTACTTGGCATGCTCCGTGACACGTCGGAGCCTGGACTTTCCCATTATAGGACTTTCGAATTCGTACCACTGTCTTCGGTCGGAATAGAAATAAGGTAGATGGACAGAACAATGATTGATAAAGATAGAGCATTATGATTAGACGGTAAGTATGTCGATACATCTTGACTTCTCGCCGTCTGGCTTCGGCTCGTGAAGGGGAGGAAAGGAGAAGAGAAGAGGAAAAGATAGAAGAAGAAGAAGAAGAAGAAGAAGGAGAAGAAGAAGAAGGAGAAGAAGAAGAAGAAGAAGAAGAAGAAGAAAAACAACAAAATCATTCCCCAAATTGAGATGCAGAAGAAGAGAAAGGGATATAGTGAGAGAGCAGGCAAATACGTCAAATCAAGGTCGTCGTGAAAAAACAGACCCTCGCAAAAAGCAGGCGAGACGGAAAAACAGAAAACTTGCGACCACCCTGGACAGAAAAGACGTGTTTACCCCCATCTTTTTCGTCGTCAACTCCTCTTCCGATATAACTCCCAGGCATGTGAAAAATGAATGATCCAGCCGTCAAAGATGATGATATAGATAGCGCGCACAAATGTTGGTGATATGCAGATATAAAGTCTCGAAATGTCCTCGGCCACGTCGTGTCTGTTTACAATCGCGAATCACGAGATCACGAATGGAACAAGTCCCATGCGCGCGAGCATAGGCGCAAGAACTCGTCCCTCTTTTCTTGGTTGCTCATGCCCGAACGCCAGTCGGCGCTGGGATCGGAGTGATATGTGGGCCGCTTGGCTTCCTGCTGGCCCAGGGGACTACCATGTTCACGCTCATATTCGTCGCGCGGACGTCTCCTACCAGCTATTTGCGACTGGCTATGCTCCGACCTAAGGGCGTCCACGCGTGCGGCTCCGGAAATGTGGGGCGATTGGCGCTGGGGAGGATGAGGGTACGACTGAGAGTGGCCGGGATGTTGAGCTTGCTGACTCGGGGGCATGGGCGAAGGAGGTGTGGGCGGTTGTGCACCGCCATAGTGGACAATCTTGGGCAGCAGGTCTTCACGGCCACGGGACATTTCCTGCACGGCTTCTTCGGCACTCTTGAACTCTCTGCCACGTCCCGTGAGCGGTCCTTGGCTGTGTTGGTGCTGCTGTTGTTGCTGTTGCATGAGTCCGGGGCTCTGAAGCGGGGGAGGACCAATACTGGGCGAGTGGCCTGTTGCGAACATGGCAGTCGGTGGGCGAGCGGACGGAGGGGCTTGAAGACTGTCGTGAGCAAAGACGTCCGAGATTGGAGGAAGACGGTTCGCTGTTTGTGTGGCAGGCACATGATGAATATGGCTGGTTTGGCTGAGACCGCTGGGCTGGTGAGCATGCGGGCGCAGTCCTGTGAAAGAATGGTGCAGCGGAGCAGACTGAACAACGCGTTCGTTCGAAAAAGTCGCAGCCGATGGGGCCGTGATTGACAAGCCAGGAGGAGGGCCCTTTCTACGCGATGTTGAGGGTGTCCTTTGAGGCATGCCGAACTGTGCGGATTCAGCGCCGGGCGCAGTGCCTGGAGCATCGAGTGGAGGTTTCACGCCTTTCTGGCGAGCCTCGATAATCTGACGCTGCTGCTCTCTCACGTCCAGACTACGCTGGAGCTGGGAGCGCATAGTTGGGTCTTGGGTCTGGAAGCCTGGTGATAGACATGCAACGCCGAGGTCATGGATAGCAAGTCCCGTCGAGTCTCTCGCTGTCAGAGGAGCTGGGCGGGCGGTCTGAGGACCACGACCAGTGGCTCCGTGAACAGACAGGTCAAGGCGTCTGGGTCTAGGCTTTGCCGATGGGTTTGGCGATGCTGGAGGTTCCTTCTTGATCTTTGTAACGGATCGCAGTCCGGCGGCGCGGGCACTGTGGGACATGGTGAGCACAGAAGCGCCAGAGTCAGGGGCAGGCGGATTAAATACCTTTTGGGGGAGATGTTGTCTTCAGCACTGTGTCGCGGGGCAGACCTGGGAGAGGTTTCGGTCGAGACAGGCGCGTTGGTGCCTGGAGGAGTGGTTCTGGTGGCCATTGGGGGAGCAGAAGCAGCGAGATGGGCAAGGCTGGAGAGACCTTGGTCTCGGGGGACGGCGTGTGCAGCAGGAGCAGCAATAATGGTCGTCATGGCGCCGGGGAGAAGGAGCGGCGGCGGCGGCAGCGGCAGCGGCAGCGACGATGATGATGGAGAGGGTGTCAATTGACGGGCAGCTGCAGGGTCAGAAGAGGATCACGACAGTGGACTCGAAGGCACACACTATTGACTATCGACGGAAGAGATGCGGTGATCGGCAGTCAGCCTTTCCTTTGCAAGGGCTGTTATCGGACAGGCGGCTAGGATACGAGGGTTGGCACAATGGGGGGAAAGGGCGAGTCGGGCGAGAAGTGGCAGTGGCAGTTGCAGTTGCAGTTGCAGTTGCAGTTGCAGCAAGAGACAAAAAGACGCCGGGAAAAATCGGTCAGTCTGGGTCAGAGTCGATTCAAAAGGGTGGACAGCCACGCGCGAGGGGCACGGCGGACGACGTCTGCTAAATCTACTGCGACAAAGGCAAGCGAAACGGCTGTACGTTACATGGAACAACCACTGCTTTAACCTGTGACAAAACAGATTTAGCTCTCCCCATACCTATCCGCATAGGGACATGTGCCCGTGCGAGCTCCCCTATGAACCACCGAGCACACCCTTTCCGTCCCAGAAGAGCATGACGAGCCCCAATGCCTTGAGCCCTTGGCGCCGTTTCACTCTTGTCCGCGGCCTGCCAGCCATCCTCTGCTCTGCTGTCATCTGCACGCTGTGAGCGAGCGAGCGAGCGAGCCTTCTGCTCTCCCACCGCGGCCTCTGTCGACAAGTGCGCCAACAGACCTGCCAACAAGGCCTCGCCGTCTCACGACCACGCAACACCTCGTAAAGCGCGTCGCGGCCAATGGCAATCTTGCAACATGCGCTGCTGCAGCCGCACGCCCCCCCTGCAAGGTGAAGTGAAACAATCCGGCTAGCGGGAGATCCCACCCTTATGCGCGCCGCAAGTCTGGATCTGAGCTAACTCTGTTCTGTTGACTCTCCTTTTCCTCCTTGGTGTGCCATCTAACTCCCGTGGACTCGACCTCGAACGCAGTGTATACCTGCCATGCCCAGCCCGTACATTCTCACCAGACGTCGCTGCAGGTAGCTCTCGAGAGCAGTTCGTTTGACATGCAGTTTGAAAACTGGGTACTATCATCTCACGATAACAACGACACAATTCAGGCAGTCTGGCGCCCTTGTTTCTTCAACGCTTGTGTCGAAACGTCGCAAACCCATACATCGTTTATCACAGCTATGGCAGGCACATAGTTCTTCGCTCTCTCGTTTCCTACACAAGATAGATGATGTGTTTTGTAATTGCTTTGCAAGCTGTATACGAGTGGGCATCTCGTCAGAGTCGGGCCGCAAGCCATGTCTAAGATGTCCAAGTTTTGTTCTCCCGGTTACCATGATCTGTCTTAAGAAGTGATTCAAACCCCCAACCTCCCGAACGTTCTTCAAACGTTCTTCGCTCTACATCGACGCCCCCAAACTGGTTTGCATCGCCGGGGGTCCTTCATTGACTATCCAATACGTGCCCGCATCGCCGCGCGTCTCATGGGTAGACACGCGCTTCTCCTCTGCGTTTCCTACAGAGCAACTTACAAGTGGGCCTGTATTTACGATGCAATATGCGTGTCAAGTCGTAACTCTAGGGCACGATTGCGTCTACACGCTCCTCGTGGTTGAATCACACTCAACAACTCGTGCAGATGTCGTGGGTGTGCCTCTTGCCGAGGTGCGCTGTCAGAAGTCCCAATGGTCCCCACAAATACCTTGCAAAATCGTTCATCTAAGAGCGACTACTGTCTCGACGTCCTCGAGTAGCGCATCCTGCTCACTCGCGCCAAGTAGCTGCATACAGCAGGTGATAGACAGACGACTGCATTTGCCTCAGCATTCATCCTCCACCCTTGATAACATGTGCATTGAGTTCATGAATTTATATTGCGATTCCCGCGCGTCTCCTCTTCTTCGGAACCGTCAACCAAAGCACAATAAACAATATTTGTTTATTGAGTCTGCTCACCCTGTACTGAACCTTGGCGGCGCCTGGCGCTTGTTGCTCATGCATATTGCCTACATATCGCTTGCGGCAATCTTGACCATCTTGGTTGCCTCACCCACAGTACCCGCCTTGCCGACAGTGGCGGGCGTGGCTCAAATCCAATGTCGGCCTGATCGTGATCGTTTCAGTATCGTCTGACGGATGGACTGCTTGTGTACAAAAATGTGGAGACATTATCGATTCACCACCACTATATGAGGCACATCTGCTCGAGTACTCCGTTATACAGAAGTCCATGCATATTAGAGACATTCCTTACTCACGGACATATCTGCGACCTCGTGCAAAACGATAGTATGTCAGAAGGCTCGAGATGAAGGTGTGCCTCACCTGCGTGGCTTCTCCGTGTATCACAAAAGGTGATACGAGGCTTATATACATCTTTGGTGTCTCATCCATGGACTGATTTCAAACCAGAGATTTATATGCCCAAGAGGATCCGAGCTGTTGATATTGATCGATTCGCAATGGTCCCTAGGTTTCTGCTTTGTTACTTCCGATCTTCATTTCCCGCTCAGATTGCGATTCGTCGAAGGTCATCAACATCTCCCCAGCCGTTCGTCGCAGATAGAACAAAGTGGCAGGTGAAACCACAAGCCCTAATATGAAGCAATCGGAATGGGCTTTGGATGCTCTGAGATAAGTCGAGAGTCCAATATCAATCACTAAAGATATATATGGTTTGGAATGGTCAATCAGACTGCCGCTTCTCGTAGGCCAAACCTGCTACTCCCACTTCGTTCTCACAACAACATACAGGCGGAGTTGGTGCCATCACAAAGTACAAAGCATTCCAGATGGTAGCAAAGTCCATAAAGAGCCGATAACATCAAGACCCTCAGTGGATGCTTCCTATCTGAAAGAAACTATGCATTTCCACAGCACCCGCGTGACATATCTCTGCACATGAGAGACGTCGCAATCGTGTACTGCTGTGTCCCGGCATAGCCGAGCGATACCTTTGAGAAGACCTAGAGAGTCGCTCACCCAACGATCACGAGTATGCTCTCTGGGATTTCGTGCACGAGAAACCCTTGAGGCATTGAGCATCGCAAGACGTGGTTCGTCTGCCACTATGCGGCTCCGGATCACGTTTGGCTCATCCCGAAAGCTAAAGTCGTTGAAGCGATGCGGAAAGGGACTCAGTACATAGAGCTTTTTGCAGAATCTGTTGATAGACTCACTTACTCAAGGTTGAGCATGTATACTGCTGTTGTGGTAGCTGTTCTGCTGACACCGGACTTGCGGCTACCAGAGTTGTTGCAGCATGACGGAGTGTGGTGTCAGCTCAGGTTTACTAGCGATGTCGTCGTTCGACGTAAGTGCCTGACAATAGGCAGACGCCAAGCTTTGCGTCTCTATATCATGCACACTTGCTCTTGCAGTTCTAATGGCCTTTTCGTGTTGATTTGCATTGCAGACCGAAGTGTGCGAAGAAGAAATCAGTGTTTAGCGTGTCAAGCGAAGGTACAGTCTCGAGGCAACTCATGCGAGCTCTAAGTGATCAGTCAAACTATACCTGGGGATTGATGAGATCTCTCGATGTCGGGTCACTTATCCAGGCCAAGCCAGCCAGCCAGTTGAGGCGCAATCATCAGGCAAACCCAAGTGCCTACATTCGTCAGTTCTGGGAGACATGGCGGACTCTGGAAAAACGCCTCCGGAAGCACGACTTCGCTGAGATTCGGCGCCTCCTATCGCGAGATTGAGCCCGAGTATATATTTTACCCAGATGTCGTTCCATGACAGCAGGATTCGGAGTCTGGCCGCTCAAACTTGCATGAGAAGTCGCAGACCCTCGCGCAATCTTTTGACGGCAATCTCGGCAGAGAACAGACACGCTTGGACCTTGTTCAATCCGCCCTATCTACTCTGGCGCGTAGACACTATTGTGTACTCTGTACAGTGCCTCAGGCCGTGGATTTGGTCAGTCTACGTGAGTATCTTCAGGCCAACCACGATACCAGAGCCGATACATAGGCCAAGCTATGTCGAGAAGCATGGTTTTCCTTGGCCTCTCATGTTCACCAACAACCTGTGCGTCACTGACAAAGAAGAGTTGACAGACAACTCTTGTCGTCGCTTCTATATCTTGGCGGATGTATGCATCATCTATCATTGGTCGCAAATCGAGTCCCCAGTTCTTATCATGACTTGGCACCCATATCTTCCGGGAATGTTGCTGGAGTATTGATGTTCGTCCGAGGGCTGTCTCGCCTATCCTGAAGGAGCCAACACCACTGGGCTTGATAAGCCTGCTCGCTGTTGTCGTTGGAAATCGTATTTGATGCACCGCTAGTCAAGATGCCTCCGACGTACTATCGAGAATTCATGTTCTGGTAAAATCGCAGAAGCTCTGGGGCGCATCAGAGCGAGGTATCAAAAACCGCGAGTGTTGTTCTCGACTTGCAATATATCTACAGCACTCGTGGATTAGAAGACACCTCTGCGTGGGTCTCGTTAACGATAATAGATATCCGACTGCTAACCGGTTGTCATGTTCTTGTCGGTCATCTTCTCTCTGCAGATCTTTGGTGCCAATCAATGGACTCGAGCGTTCGTGACGAATCACAACCAGATACGCTATCATCGCACATCGTTGACTCCACTCATGAATGTTATAGTACATCGGGTTTTCGGCAGGGCCTTACATGCTATCGCTTGTAGGATCTGGTACAAACGACACCATGCATACACGTCAAGCTATTCTTCGCCTCCACAATCACTCCACCGCGGCTCTCGATGCTTCTTCTCGTATCCTTTGCCTTATCAGTAGAGTTTAGAGGGCCAATTATAATCCAATATTCCTCTGGAGGGTCAATCAATTGACCTTCCATTTGAGGTTGTCTCATTTCTAGCTATCTACTAGGGGGTGGGCACGTCAATCCCTTGCCATGCTGTATAAGTATGTGCTCCATCTGGCATCGGATGGTCATAGTTCTCTGACCGACTGCTTCTTTCTCATGATTCCCGTCGACATGCCTGGCTTTCTAAAGAAGTTAGGGCTTGGCTCGCCTGAGGTCAGCGAAGGTATCGCAGTCGATGAAATCCAGAGCTCAGGTACTTCCAGTCCGCAGGGTGAGAAGAACGAGAAGGAAATAGGTGCCTCATCAGCACACGAACTTTCCGAAGCTGAGGCTGCCAGACGGTTGAAAGGTTAGTTCTTCCCGATCGCTGTTGACAGCTTGGTACTGACTGATTCTGCCAGTCTTCAAGCATAACGCAGACGCACTTTGGGACCCTAATCTTGAGAGCGATGATCTTCAGGCAGTTGACGAAGCTGTCGAGCATCACGACAAGGATGGGGAGAACCAGCTTGTGAATCATCTCCTAGACAACAGCCCTTACCCGGAAGTCAGGGCCGCCGTCAGGAACTACGATGTGGATTTGTGAGACTACACAGCCATCTTGTCGTCCCCATCCCTCCAGCTGACTGTATCCAAGGCCATGCAACACTATCCGAATGTGGGTCATCTCACTTCTAATGACTACGATCGGCTCTGGTCTGAACATGCTCTTCTCTCTGCGTTCGCCTTCGATCACGATAACTTCTTATGTTGCGCAACTCATCGTCTACCCCGTAGGCCTTGGTTGGGACAAGATCATGCCAAACCGTCAACACACAACCTTCGGTGTGAGATGGAATCTGAACCCTGGTCCATTCAACTTCAAAGAACACGCTATGATCGTGATTATGGCCAATGCCTCGTTCGGAACTGGTGTGGGATACTTCACCGATATCCTCCAGGCCCAGCGTGGTTTCTATAAGTTCAACTGGGGATGGGGCTTTGGAGTGCTTGTTGCCTTGAGTACCCAATGCGTTGGTTTTGGTCTTGCTGGTCTTTTCTCTCGCTGGCTGGTAGAGCCAGCTCCTATGATCTGGCCTCAGGATCTGGTCAACTGCGCCTTTATGTACACTCTTCACGACAACTCGAAGACAGATCCTGCCAAAACAAACGGCTGGCGTATCTCCAGATATCGCTGGTTCTTCTACGTGTTCCTAGGCTCATTTGTCTACTACTGGTTCCCCGGTTACATCGCTCAGTTCTTGAGTGTCTTTGCGTTCCCTACCTGGATCGCGCCCAACAACATCACTGTCAACAAAGTCTTTGGAGGTTTTAGTGGTATGGCTCTTCTGCCCCTCACCTTTGATTGGACCCAAATCACTGGATATGTTTTCAGTCCCTTGATCCCTCCATGGCACGCTATTGGAAACACCTTGATCGGTCTTGTCCTATTCTACTGGATCACCGCGTCGGCAGTCCATTTCAGTGGAACCTGGTACGCCGACTATCTGCCATTCAGTGACTCCAGCTCTTACGATAACACTGCCAACGTGTACAATGTCTCAAGGATCCTTACCCCAGAAATAACTTTGGACCTTGCGAAATACAAAGAGTACTCGCCTCTCTTCCTGTCGACTACTTTTGCACTCTGCTATGGTCTCTCCTTTGCTGCCATTTCTGCCGTGGTTGTCCACACCATTCTCTTCCATGGAAAGTTCATCCTCGACAGATGGAGGCGCTCGCGTGACGACATGAGAGACGTCCATCAAGAGATGATGGATAAGTACCCCAAAGTACCTGCTTGGTGGTATATGACCTTACTCGTAATTTGTATTGGGCTTTCCTTCGCTACGATCTACGCTTATCCTACAGAGATGAGTTGGTGGGCTTTGATTCTTGCTTTCATCATCAGTTTCGTGTAAGTCAGAACTTCGTCTTCGCAACCGGGTGTGTTTGGGGTGATCGTGCTGACAAGCTATCGAATAGTTGGTTCTTGCCTATTGGATTTATCCAAGCGATCACTAACGTACAGCTCGGTCTCAATGTCTTTACCGAGTTCCTGATTGGTTACATGCAACCCGGCAAGCCCAACGCCATGATGTTGTTCAAGACTTACGGCTACATCACCATGACCCAAGGTCTTGCTTTCACTCAAGATATGAAGCTTGGTTAGTCGATCAGAGTTTAGAGGTGTTCAGTTGTTCCTTTGAAGCTGACTGATATCACTCAGGTCACTACCTCAAGGTCCCACCCAAAACCATGTTCCTTGGTCAGCTGGTTGCAACCATATGGTCCTGCGTAAGTTGTCCGGATACACATACTACGAGTCAGCAGCTACTAGATGGTGTCTGTCATGACTTCGTGGTAGTGTATCGCTCATAGTGGAGAGACACATGCTAATTTTGCTCTTACTCTGCACAGATCGTTCAACTTGCGATCTTCGAATGGGCCTTCGGCGGCGGCATCGAAGGTCTCTGCGAAATCAGGCAGCCCAATCATTTCACATGTCCTGGTGGAAGAGTGTTTTATAATGCTAGTGTCATATGGGGAGTGTAAGTAAAGTGAGGGTTGAAGATGGTACAGGTCAAGAACCATCATGTGGCTTTTCGACCGACGTCTCTACCTCTATCATCTTTACCAACACATGCTGACTGTATCATTTCTTCCAGAATCGGTCCGGCACGCATGTTCAGTGGCGATGCCACCTACAAAAATCTTCAATTTTTCTGGTTGGCTGGTGCCGCTGCTCCGGTCCTCATCTACTTCGCAGCCAAGCAGTGGCCAAAGTCTCCCATCCGATTCCTCTCGGCCCCCCTCATCTTCGGTGGAACTGGACAGATTCCTCCTGCCACACCATTGAACTACCTTTCGTGGGGTGTTGTTGGCTTTATTTTTAACAAGTGGATCAGAAACCGATACAGGGGATGGTGGATGCGATTCAACTACATCACTTCGGCTGCCTTGGACTCTGGTCTTGCTATTTCGACCATCTTGCTTGTGTTGACAATCAGCTTGACCAACACTGATGCTCCGAAGTGGTGGGGCAATGACGCTATCTACAACACCATGGATTATCTAGGTACCGCTGTGTCGAAAATCGTACCCGAGGGTTCTACCTTTGGTCCTTCTACATGGTAGAGGGGTGCGGATCCGCTATGATCATCGTAAGTGGTGAACTTCCCAGGCGAAGTCTCTCCTTATGCTGAAGTCTGTACTTCACACTCTCTCTACGAAGGCTTGAAGCGACATCTTCGCTACAAAGAGGCACAATGGTCTCCAACTTAGAGTCGCAACCAAGGAGAGCGTACATGATGTCCTTTCTCGATGGAGACTATCCTATTCCTCGAAACTACTGTGCGTCTCTACAGCTGTACGCGTTGCAGACCTTTGTACTGAGGGGGAGGAGGTTTCTGTCAAGCTGTTTATGAAGTTGTTTAATGTTTGATACTTGTTAATGGAAACAGTAATGAATTCTACTCATGGTTTTCTGATTGCACATTTGGCCTTTGCATCTTTTACCGTGTGCCAATGTTACTTGACATACTCATTGATCACACCAGTCAGACGAAGGCTTAAAGAACATGGCGCGGGTACTGCTGTGTGTGAAAAGGTGATATTACGGCTGTTATATTAAGCCCAGAGGACATGATTCCCGGAAGATCTCCCACTGGACAGATCTATAGAGAATGATTTCGATCGCGACCATAATCCGAGAGACGAAGGTAAGCAATCGCGCTCTCCAATTTACTGTATCTAGGCAATTTGTTTCTTCTCGCCTGGCTTTAGCCCTTTGGCTATATCCAACTTCCATGGTGGATTGATGCCATCATTAAACATGGCATCGGTGACATCCTGGCACCAGTCTTTTTGTGCCTTCATTCCACGTGCCTCGAAATACTTGAGTGCAAACACTAAAGGCATAAAAGTGGCGAAGCGGCCCATTGACGAGGCTTCGGGCTCGCAGAAGTATGGCATCATCTGACACATGTAGATAGCGATCTGTAAGATTCGCCTGTTCAATTCGTCGAGCGGGTAGGTGCACTTGCTACCAGGATACTTCATCAAGATATCCTGAAGCGTGCGCTCAATAGTGAAGAGATAAAGCCAGTATATCGACTGTAGGTATCCGGTGAGGAAATCGGGGAAGTCGATGGCCAGTGGGAATGTCTTGTTGTGGCATAGTCGTGTGTACCTTTTGAATGTCGCTATGTCGACGTTGGTGAAAGCCGGTTCTTTCAGTTCGGCGTGATACTCGACTTCCCATTCTTGAAGCTGGTCAATGGCGGTGACCAGGTCTGCAATCACACCATTGAGATACGTAGGCTCGCCGCTTGCGATTAAGTTGTCAGCACGCTCAAAGAGGCCTGGTACGTGTACCAAAACGTCGAACAGACGGGGCGATGAATCCGTGTAAGGCGTGTCTTTCGTGACTGCCATCCACTTCGGCTCAGCAAATGGGATGGCCTTGCGTTTGAGCACACCTTGAAGAATCTTGAATCCGTCAGTGGTTGTCATATGTCTGTCGTTGAGAAGACTCACGGAAGAGTGTCTGGCATGGAAGAAGAGCATGTTGTCAAGTTCTGTTACCAGCGGGACTGGTCCCCGCTGCATCAAAAAGTTCTCCACTCCATTAACGTGGCTGATCCAACTTCCTTGCTGTGCTACAGGATGGAACAGCTTCGTGTCTGTGTTAGTAAGAATCCCATCAGCTCAGATTGAAGTAGCTCACCTCGCAAAATTCTAGTAGCTTCATAGCACCCAAAACATCATTATTTGCAAGGACGTTTGGTCTGTTGAGTGCAACAACCAACGCGGCCAATGCTTGTCCATATCTCCGCCTGGCATGCTCGAAAAAGGTCTTATCTTGGTATGACACTCCCAGTTGCAACAGACTGATCGTGTCAACAGCCGCAAGCAATGCTGGTGAAGACTTGGAATTGATGGTCTTTTGTAGACATGAAAAGTCCGAGATATGCGCTCGCAGTGGCTGGTCATTCAGTGTCGTAGGTCGGTACAATCTCATGCTGACATCAAACATCTGCGACCGGTTGGTCGCAGCACTGAAGACAGCCTGCGGTATGACTGTGTATTCGGTCGCGACAGGCCTGTCGACTAGACTCAGCTCCTCGACATTTTTGGCAAGGGGCGCACCACTGTCGGAATCGCTACTGTTTTCAGGACTGCTGCTGCCGGAACCACCCTTCCATCCCTTTTCCACACGTCTCGTTACCGCCTGAGTTTCGTCGCGCCATTCCAGTCCGTCAGGTTTGATCCCTCGGTATCCCGGGCATGGCGTGTTGTGGATTTGGCACTTTTTGCATCCCGGACGCCCTTCGTCGCACTTGATCTTACGTTTCCGACAGTTGGCACAGCCGGTCGACCGTGGCGCCATTGCAACAAGTCCATAAGAGAAGAAGAGAATAATTCGGTTGGAGGAATCTTCCCGCGTCGCTTTGCCCCCCTTCTGTCACGATGTGGAAGTTGATTCGACCTGAGAGCGTGGACGGCTAGATCGGTCTATCGTATTGATTGGACTCGATTGGAGCCCGCATCCGCTACTGTTCTCGTCGACAAATCCATCGGGGATTCTGAACACTTGATTTCCGGTCGCTGAACCTCAAGACTTCGAAACTGTCGGACAATGGTCACGCAAAGACTATGATTACTCAATTCAATTAAGTGTTGTCCTATGCTCTCAGATCCTCGGTATTCTCTCATACTTTTAACCTTGAAATCTGTCTATAGCGAGCCTTTTGAACATTTATTAAGCTGTTTCATATCAATACAGGGTGGTAATAATACTTAACGACTACTCTATAGAAGTACTTCAGTAGTATGTATGCACTGTACAACAGGTATATATTACGTATTAGGAAAGGCGAGTAATGAGATAGTAGTCAAGCTACCACTTCATCATGTTCCGTCTGGAAAATCTAAGCGTCGATTATTGGGTAGCCTACCGTGTCGTCCGCCGTTTGGGAGCCTGATGAAATTATGATGTGTTGCACAAATGGTGCATTAGCAACTAAATTATTGATCAACGCGTGATTTGCTCTTCTATCAGAATCGGTTATTGTCACCACGTCCAACAACTTCCATAACTGGTACGCCATGAGTGTCACAGCTAACTATGCTCTTTCCGGAAGACGAGCCAAGAACAGCGGCATCATAAAATATCCTCCGGAGATCACAAGGCCACGAAGTGGTTGCAGAAGACGTACACATCACAGTCATATGCAGAGCTGAAAACAGCAGATAGTGGGCGAACGGAACCAGAACATATCTGTATACACTTTTAATTGAGCGAGATATGAATAGAAGTAGGTGATTATAAGTGCCGTAAACGATGTAAAACTGGACAAGTGTGTTTCCATACTGTCTACTCAGCGGTGGACATCTGAACTAAAACAGAACATCAAGTCTCGAAACCCCACGCAGGGAATCTACTACCCAAAGTAGCATCACAAGGGAAACGTACGATATCAATTGACGAGCTTCCCGTACCCAGTCCCCTGTTGGAGGCCAATACCGTGCTACCATCTGGAGCATAGATATTGAAGTCGAGTTCACCGGCACCACCGCCATTTCCAAACATGACTCTGAGGGGCAGATAACTACCAGTGGTGAGGTAGATGGCAACTGTCTGCGGAGTCTGCACAGCGATCTGGCTACTCCAGAATTGAACGATATCGGCATTGTCTCTGGTCCATCCGGATACTGCTTTGTCACCGTACCATACCATCTGGATATCGTCCGTGTAAGGAATGTTGAAGCTGTAGTATCCATCTTGACGAGCAAACACATAGAAGGTGTGGTCGATGACCCAATTTTGGGTAGTGGTAGTTTGGCCGTAGTAGGCTACGTTGCTGCTTCCGGCATTGACTTCAGCAATGTAGTTTGTCACACCGGTTTGGGAAGGTTTGGCGGATTTGTAGACGGTAGGGTTGAACTTGGGATAACCGGAGGTAGCTTGGCCGCCGGCGAAGGAATTCGTGTAGCCAGCATAAGCGATACCAGTGTTACCGCATGTGGTAACGGGGGTAGGATAGACAATCTGAACAGTAGCTACTGTGCCGATCGTTGGAAGGATGGTCTTGGTTTGAACCGCGGTGAATGTGCCCGAGTCGGTAGTCGTGGTCATGTAGACGTAACCGCCTGAGCTGGAAGTCGCTGGAGCAGTTGTTTGGACCACTCCGGGCGTAAGGACGATAACAGTAGCAGATAAGCCATTGAGTTGAGTTGTTGTCGATGTTGTCTTGCCCGTCCAAGCTGAGCTGATTGTGGTGAAAGAGACAGTGGCTTGAGCAGAAAGCGAAGGTGCTTTGGTCGTGGTAGCAAGAGTGGTAGGGGTGGGCGTCGGGGTGATCGAGGAACTTGAGACCGAGCTGGCAGCATTGCCTAGAAGACCGGTGACTACCCCTGTTACAACGCCACCAGCGTTGGTGACAGCCGATGTAGATGCCTTGCAAACAGCGTTTCCGCTGATGATATCCGCGGCGACCGATGTTCTGTTGAAGTATGCATCGATGCTTCGGATCTGGAAGACAGAGTCGTCGTTTCCGTCCGACCAAGCATTCCACAGCCATAAACCAGGAGCTGTCTCGCTGGCAGTGCTGTCAATGAGCGTGCCATCAATGTAGTAGCTGGTCGTTCCGGGTAGCCAGTCAACACGATATTCGTGCCATGCTGTAGATGCGTCGGACACCACGGAAGTATCGTAAGTGGAGTGATAAGCAAGCCAGTTGACGTCGATTTCCATCGTGTCACTCCTGAACGAAGTGAAGCCAGTAGCATTGCTCAATAAGACAACGGCTCGGACGCTACCATAGAGGATGTCGTTGTAGGAGGTGTAAAGTTGGGTACTAGAGCTTACTTCTGCCTGTGCTGATGCGACTGCTGCACCGGCTCCGGAGACAATAGATTTCGCTGCACCTACAGCAGATCCTGCAAGATTGCTTGCACTCGTTGTCACCGAATTGGCTATCGAGGACGGCACAATCCTGAAAGATAGAGAGCTGGAGAACAGGGAGAAAAGGTTACCAAGACCTCTCTTGAATTTGCTGCTCGTTGTGGGACTAGTGGAGGTGCTAGTAACTCCGACTGTGTAAGCGGAGGACACAATGCCAGTCAGGTCTTGTGTAACACCTGTCGTCCAGTCTGCTGTCCATCTGGTATTGAATTCTCCCGCCCCATCGACGTTGTAGTAGCAGTTTGAGTAAACACCGGCCTTCGAAGACTTGAGCGTAGAGACTGGTGCTATTGAAGCAGTAGATGTGGCCGCCACAGATGACGATGATGAAAGAATGATCGGGCTAGTTGAAGAAGAAATGATTGACGATGTTGAAGTTGCAGAGAGTGATGTGGTGGTGGAGGCTGCGCTTGTGCCACAGAAGATCAAGCAGAAACCCATGGTAGTGAGTTGTACAATGAGTGTGTAATTTTGAAGATGTGGAAAAGAATGTAGAGCCCGCAGGCTATAAAAGGAGAGTATGGAGAGTATGTGGACAGAGATGTAGAGCAAAGATGAGCCTGGGAGGAGACTTCTCAACTTACATACTTATATGAACACCGTCTCAACTTCTGACGAGTGGTACAGGATCTCGGATGAGGGCTCAGACATCGTAACGGCATAACTGAAAAGACAACAGTCGGCACTTGGCTAGATGTTGACCAGAGAAACTCGTCGGTTCACGACTCAGAGGCAAGAAAGCCGCTACCACCTCAACAAAGACGACTCAACATGCTCACGGCATGATGACTGCGAGCCCTGTAGCATCTCTTCAGTCGGAATCATCAATACCTACCTCTCTTGGTTGCGCTTGGAAGATGAAGGAGTGAGGCTGGGCGCGGTGCGAGTGGTGTTGCGGGCGAGACTGCCGAACGGGTGAGCTTCAAGAACAAGGTTTGAGACGCGATCGACAAACCTCTTCTATGCTTCCATGCTTCCATGCTTCTTAGAACGGAAACATACTAAGCACATTGTGAGAATGCATGCCGTGATCCTGTATCCGTAAAGATTGCAAGGTACAAGACTATCTATTGGGCGTTTTATACAGTAACAACGGCGAAGGAACCTGGAAGTTCGTGGCCCTGAATCGCGACTTGCGATTCGAAGCCCTGCCCTAAGACAACTGACGTTTTCGGAACCACGAACATCTAGATATGTACATTTCACGACTCACGCAAGACTAGTCAATGAATGTGGCTGTCGAGTACATGACGAAATGGCTCAGATCACATCTTTTGAGGACTCATGGTTCGGTGACAATTCGGGAGGCTAGGGCAAGTTGTCCCTAGAAGAATATTGCAGAAACGAGAGGTGAGCATCAGCTTTGGCATAGAAAAGGAATCTGAATCTTCAAGGCCAGTCTTGGCTAATCTAGTATATGTCTATAAGTCCCGCCTAAACGCCGAATGAAGATTGGCACAGACGACCATCATGTTAAGAGTAGAGAGAAGTCAATGTTGTTCAAGCATAGCATCAGCCTTCCTAAGCGATGCTATAGAGAGACTTGGGGTTTGCGTCAAGCATCGGTTTCAGCGTTGTCTCGGCCTTCTCAAAGGCTTTTTGGTATGCGGGTCTCTCTCCAATCTCTTTTAGATATCTCAGGGTGTTGGGGTATGGGCTCAGGTCGAACGGTATAAAGGATCTTTGGGTGGTGAGCGGGAAGATCATCTGGATATCGGCGGCTGTGAGCTCATCGCCAACGAGGAACCTTGACTTGCTCAGGCGCTGCTCAATCAAGTCGAGATAGTGATCGATTCTGGAGTCGATTATTTTTTGGCTAGGGTTGTCCTTCGGAAGCGCTCCAGCGATCATTTTCATCTGACAGGCGGGTTGGAAAGAGCCATGTGTAAAGTGCCACCTGGAAGTGAGGTTAGGACGAGTTCATCTGGTAAACATGATCAGGACGTATCCCTTACCAAAAGAGCCATTCCTTCCAGTTAGGGTCCCAAGGCTTGTTCAGCAACCGTCCTTGACCGTGTTTCCTGCAGATCCATTCGATACAAGCCTGAGATTCTGCCAAGCGGATGTGATCGTTGTTTGGTGTATAAGTATCGACATCCTCTATCACCGGGGCAGTTCTAAGCGGACTGAGCTCTTTGTATGCATCGGGGGCCAAGAGTGTCTGCTGATCGCGGTCGTGGCATACCAGCTTGTAATCGAGACCAAGCTCCTCGCAAAGCCAGACGATAGACTCGGACTGACTGACACGCAGGTGGTGAACGACAAGAGTGGCAGACATTGCGGTAAATAGATGGGTGGAGACGGCGTGGTGGATAGAATGCAAAATCTGGGAAAAGTAGAGGAGGCTCTATGCAGTGCATGGTGATGCAGGGATATATATATACCTCGTACGGACTTACATGCGGCGATAGCATCGCGCTCCCAAACCCTAAATGCAACGCAATGGTGATTGACTCGATCGTGTCAGGTGGTTGCGTAGGTCGATGCGTCAGTTGTTAGCAAGCACGACTCCTTGGGCGGTGGCCATGGCCCGACAGAGTGCGAGAAATCCTAGCATATCGAGGGACCGGCGAGTCACGGGAACGGAACTAAGGCTTCCTCTCAGACTCCCGGTCAACATGGGCGTGGTTCGATGTTTAGCAACCGCGACTCGTTTCGGTGAACAAAACAAGGGGCCGAAACGTCATTGCCAGAGCTGAGCACCAACCAGAAGAGCATGTGTCAAGTCCACTTTGTGACTTGTGCGCCCCCACTTCCTCTCGGAGCTACAACATAACATCCGCTCTAGAGTATGTCGAGGACTCGAGGACACCGAGGACAGGCTTCTCGATGCTCTTGACCATATCATGTAAGCTCTGCACTTCGCTGTTGCACGTTTGGTCGCAATGGAAAGAATGTCTGATGTAGCCTTCCTCGTATGGTCATTGCCAAACAGACTGCCTTTGTGGATTGCCATCTACGAAACCAAGTCATTATGTCGTGAGCTTCTTCCTTCCCCTCGTCCATGCCGATCAAACTCCACACTGCAAAGCAGTCAAACCCAATACACGAAGAGGGGTCTACGGCTCTTCAAAGTCAGCAGTGGCGATCAGTTCCCTAGCCTCACGCGCGCCAGCGACAGCAAGCTCGTCGGCCGCAATGTTACCCTCGTTGGTCGCATGCCCCTTGACCCACACAAACTCGACCTTGTTAATGCTGCTGATCTCCTGGGACATGTTTTTTCGTTGCTCGATAAGTGTAAGGATCTTCTCTATCAAATCCTTGTTCTCGACCGGCTTCTTGGACGCATTGAGCCAGCCATTGGCTCGCCACTTGACGAACCACTCGGTCACGCATTTGATCGAATAGTTGCTGTCAGTGTAGATGGTGACAGGACGATTGCGGGGAGCGATTTCGAGTGCACGTTGTATGGCGGTGAGTTCGGCGCGTTGGTTCGTTTGGCGAGTACCGGATAGAGGCTCGGACAAATTGCTGTAGAACATGTTAGCGCAAGGCAGCAGCAAGGATGGAAGTGATTGCCATACCGCTTGTCCTTGGGACCAAAGTACACGCCAACTCCAGCAACAGCTCCGTGAGCTCCATTGCCTAGCGAACTGCCGTCTGTGTATATGATGACCGGCTTGCCGTCTTGAAGGTTGACCGCCTGCCACTTAGTTGTGGGCTCTTTGTACTCGACCTTACCGGTCAGAGGGTTCAGTGCGATGCGTGGATCGAAGCCGTCTTCGGCCCCGGCAGGCAAGGGACCCTCTCCGGCATTGTATTCGACCAGATCTTCCAACTCATCTGTATCTTTCTTCTGTTTCTTTGCTGGAGGGCTTTGTTGCGAAGGCTCCTCGGATGCTCTCTTGGGCGGATGGCCATCCTTGAAGAAAGCGTGCGCCTCCTCGCGAGTCTTAAAAGACTTGTACACCGCGCCCTTGAAATCCGTTATTGTGTTCTGGGCGTCTGCCCATGAGGTGTAGACGCCTGGCTTGTGGCCTTTGTGCACTCCGTAAAATTTGGCAGGTTTACTAGACGCCGTCGATGTCGAGTAATTGGATGCTTCGTTACCATCCAGCCATGCTTTGGCATCATTGAGTAGAGGGAACGACTTGACTGGGTCTAATTAGTTGTGTTTGGGCGGTCACACTGTTGACTAGATACGAACATGCGGCGCCTCTATAGCCCCTGACTTGCGACAAACATTCATCCCAGCTGTTGTAGATGCCAGGTTTACGGCCGGCTTTGACGACGTAGAATTTGGCAGGCATGCTGCGGGTAAAAATGTGGAACAAGGATCCGAAGGATAAACGTCTGATTTGGCTCGCGTATGAGGCGCTTAGTGGGCGCAGCGCTGCGACAAAGTCGAATACTCGTGGTCGGTGAATCTTGCCTTGACTTCTTCGGTGCTACCTGTAAGTCGAGGCGGTATGGATAAGGTGAAGGTTGGATTAATGTCGTGTTGGTTGCAGTGTTGATGAATTACCAAACGCGGAATTGATTGATTGATGCATCCATGCAGCTCCTCACCGCCTTTGCGTCATCACGCTGCTTGTCGACTGGACCACCCTGCTCGGCACTGGCCATCGTTACCTTCCTGCTCACCAAGATCATCTAGGGTCATGGCAGTAGTCAGTCAGGTTGACCAAAGACACAAGAACCAGTAGGGTCTGCTTCACAGTACTATGTTTGTTCAATTGTGGTTGTGCTCGCACGATCAGGACTTAACGATTTTTTGGGCCGAGTTTGGAAGAGAGAGCAAGCAGATAAAGAGATGACCGCACAGCACCATTGACACCGCATCGGAGTACAGGAACATGAACCCGTCAGATACATGTCTCTCAAGGGCATAGACAGTAAGGAATAGAACACTGTTGGGACGGTACAGCTAAGATATAATAACCAAGCAGACCAAAGGTTCACACCAACTCACGCGGCATTACGTCAAAAATGACAAGTGAAATATGCTGTCATTCGATGTCCAAACACTAGACAAGCTACATGTACGTGTACGGCCTACTAGAGCTGCAGGTTGTAGGTGTAGTCATCCTCCATATTCTGTGAGACCCAAAGGACGACAGAGCTAAATAGGTGATTAGCAACGGTCTTGAACGAAAGCAACGGGTATGATACCTGAGAGAGACCAGAACGTTGGCGATGACATTGGCGACACCAAACCAAAGGGTAGGGAAGGAGTATTGTGGGACAATGTACTTCAGAACCATGACGGTGACACCACCAGCGAGACCACCAGCCATGGCAGCAAAGCCCATGAACAAGACAACACGGGCCTTCCAGGCGACGCCATCACCGCTGTAGCTGAAGTTATCAGCAGAGAGGCGGGTCTTGTCGATTGAGTTGACGATAAGCATGCCGAGGGCACTGAAGATGACGGGGATCCAGTCGATAAAGGTCAGATGTACGTCGGAGCCGTTGAGTGCCGACTTGGAGTAGACGGCGGCATCAACGAAGACGAAGAGGGCGATGGCAAACTGTAGCAACCACGTCAGCTATGGCTCGAGCAGGCAGCAGGGCACAGGTGGGGTGTACCAGGGCTCCGGCAAAGTAGACGCCGGCGGTACGGGTGGTGGCGCTGTTCATCCATTGCGGCTTGCGGAAGGGCAGGCGGAAAACACGTTCGCTAGACATGGCGGTAGGTAGTAGATGTGGAGAGCGACGACGTGTGTATGGTATAGCCGTCGGACGAGTCGCGAGCGACCGAGTACGCGGTCGGAAGCCGGGAGTCGGCCACCTTGGACCCGTGGCGCTGCTCACCGCCCGGTGCCCGCCCTCCAGCGTCTTGGCAACTCTTTATTCTGCCCAAAGTTGGCTGGAAATTCTCGACTTGTCAACTCGCTGCCTCCGCATACTCGACACCCGACAAACACAATGGCACCTACCAAGTCCTCGAAAGGAGCTCCCGCAAAGGGCGGCGCGTCCAAGGGTGGCAAGTCGGCGCCCAAGTCGGGTGACCGCCCCAGACCCAAGAAGCCCACTGGTCCCAAGCCAAAAACTGTCGAGCAAAAGTCAAAGTCGACTTCCCACGGCCCTGCAAAGAAGAAGAAGCGCGTCTACACCGAAAAGGAGCTCAATATTCCCACCCTCAATGCCATCCGCCCTGCTGGAATTCAGAAGCCCAACGGCGTCAAGAAGGGAAAGACCTTCGTCGACGACAAGGAGTCTTTGATGACCATCCTCGCCATGGTCCAGGCCGAGAAGGAGGGAAACATCGAGAGCAAGATGATCCGTGCTCGCCAGATGGAGGAAATCCGCGAGGCGAGGAAGGCAGAGGCCGAGAAGAGAGAGGCTGGTCGCAAGGAGAAGCTGGTAATTTCATACATCTCTACAACTCTAACCTACACTGCTAACACCACTACAGGAGGGTGTCAAGGATGAGCTCCGCAAAAAGAAGAACAAGAAGGGCACAAAATCCTCGGATGTCGACATGGATGTTGAGCCCGCCGCCGAGAAGCCCAAGAAGAAGAGAGTTTCATTCGGTTGATTTTGATTGCTCCTCTGGCTGCATTTTGTCTATCTCCGCGCACGATACCCACGTCTATCTGTCTTGCTCCGTCCCCAGCTCGGGGAGATACATCTTTCTACGCATTGGCTCAAACACGAACGGACTCTTGAATCCCGTGCTGGATGTGGCTGTCCTGGTCATCTCTGACAGAACCCCAGTCGGGCCGCCCTCCCTACCGCTATCGTACTCGCGCGCCATTTTCTGGAGGAAGTTGACTGCCTGTCATGCTATCGTGTCAGTACACCAGCAAACCCTAGCGATGGACACAGAAACATACCGGCTTGGAGAACCATCTTGTCCCACCAACCTCGAACCAACTCAAGTGGCCACCAGTCGAGGTCGAGCACATGACAACATACGGATTTTGCTTGATTTCCTCGTAAGGAACAGCCTCGTCTACAGCAATCTGAGGACAGTCAGCCATCGTTGTATAAGTCAGCACAGGGTGATGACTTACCGGATCGTCCTCAGCATGAATGGCGAAAGTGGGAATTCGAATGGCAGTAACCGAATCTGCCGATGATGCGTCCCGGTAATAGGCGTATTCCGTTGGATAACCCCAAGTCGGGCATTGAATCTCCCTGTCAAACTCGTGCAGATATGTAACCTTAGCAACCCTCTCTGGGTCAATATTACCATTTCTCACCACTTGATCTGCATGTCTGTATCACTGTCTTTAGCTTCGTCACCGCTCCGCATGATTTTGCAACGACTCACTGTGCGAAAAGCTTCTTCATGCTGGTTCCCATCGTCTTTGAATAGACATTGAGTCCAAGCCAAGTGCGCTGTAAAGCAAGACTGGCAACTTCGAGTTTCCAGGGGTTGGAACAGATTACAGCGGCTTGCAGTTCGCACGCATCTCCCTCTTCACCTAGATACTAGAACAGATACAACGATTAGAAATTGGACCTTCATACTGTTACAATGATCAAATCTACGTACGTTTGTGAGAATGTTGGCACCCAAGGAGTACCCAATTGCATAAAGCGGACGGTGCGGGTACATCTTTCTGCACCACTTGACCGTCTGTCGCAGATCCCAGGTGGCTCTTGCATTATACAAGATGCCGGTGGTGATCTTGCTCATAGCGCAACCGCGGCTGTTGACAACAATAGCCTCCCAGTCACCCTGTTCACTTTGATTTACCAACGGCTCCAGCACGTGTCTGAGATAGATTTCATGCGATCCGCCACTCAGTCCATGCAGAGTGATCAACATGGGCTTCGCATCATCACTGCCAATATTCGCGAACTCATTCGCAGTGAAGTATGTTGTGCGAGGAGGGAGGCTAGAATCTTCTGACAGTGCCTGCTCATGGGCCACAAAGTCTACGGCAAAGGTGCCAGCAAATCGGGGGTCATCAGACTCGAATATCTGACGCTTGTACACGATAGGGGGTCCAGCGGCCTTCACGGCTGTCCAGGCAGTATGGAGATGGCCGTTAAAGAGCAGGGGGTTCAATTTGCATGGAGGAGTCGATGCTTTGCAGATATCAGACAAGGCTGTCTTGCCAGACTTCGAAGCCAGAGATATGGTGTTCTTTGAGTGATGAAAGGAAACACGGGCGTGACCAAGCAGCCATGAAAGATCCATGATGTTTCTGTCTCTGTTTCTGTCTCCAGGAAAAATGTATTACTCGAACCTTGATCCGGAAGGGGGCCGTTGGCAATGGGCTGAGTTCCGGAGAGCAGGTCCTAGTAGCAGTGGATAACGAGTGTGGTGGCACGAGCAAGAAGCAGCACCGAGTCTAGGGGACGTTTGATATATTTGTACGCAGTTTTTAAACTGCGATAGAACGCTCACGGATCGGCGTCATACCGCACCGGGCACCTCTGGCGGGCCCGGCACTCCCGAACAATCTCGGCTACTGCGACCGCATTGAGGAATCTTCGCGAAGCATGTGAATTCACAGCCAGGTGCATAGGTCTCTCTGATGCCTTTGATATAAGAGAAACAGAGTCAAGTGCTACACATGTCTTGCGGGTTCTCGTCAACTGTCCTTTGGAGGTTGTCGCCTCGGCTGCCAAGACCGTGTTTCTCACCACGCGTACTTCTCCAGAATCGCGCGTTTCTTGTAATTGGTTTCTTGACGGTCTTCATGTGATAATCTGAGGTTGGAGATCCATCGTAGAGAAGGGCGGACATGGACAATACGCATAACAACACGAATGGATTTGATCCTCGGCGAGGTTATGGGGTGCCTCCGCAGCAGCAAAACGCCATATACGGCTACCAACCACCGCCTGCAGGAACTGGATATCAACAGCATCCCTTGAATGTCATGCCAACGTCTTCGACACCCGGGCACGGGTATAACATGCCACCACAGTACTCGATGAACAGACAATCAGGGCCATCACAACCACAGAGCTACATGACGTCTCCGGGAACGTTTGTCATGGGACAGGTTATGCAACAACCACAGTACTCCATGTCTCAACCACAATATCAGCCGCAGACTATCTCATATCAGAGTCATGCCCAGCACTCTCAATCGCTGCCACAAATCCTGGTAAATCAACAGCAGCAGCCCCACCAGCGTCAACCTCAGCAGTACATGCATCCGCAACCGCTACAAGCCTACCAGATGGACGGTGCTCCGAGTTACTCTCCTTCGGCATCGACTCAACCGCAACGGAACCAAAACCAGCATACAACATCAAGTCAGCAGCGACCACGCCATCACTCAAACTCCAACTACGCTACACCAGGAATTCTTTCCCAACCGCGACCCGTCTCGAGCACTCCTTCGAGACCGCAACAACAGTCACCGCCGAAATCTCAAGAAAACCATGCGAAGATATCCTCACAGTCGCACCCTCAACCCATTGTACCACCGGCTCAGTCACACAATAGGACGCCCAGTCAGTCTCAACCTAGACCAACTCCTCAAACTTACAAACGTGCCATGTCTCCACCTCAACCACAGTCACGGCCCGAGCAGTCGCCCGATGCTCAACCCCAACCGGCACCGCAGCAACGTCCACCAACGCAGACGCGTACTCCACAGGTAGTGATCGAAACGAGACGACCAGCTACGCAGAACCCACCGAATCCAGTGCCTTCGCGAGCGCCTGTTGCTCTGCCTCGAGAGTCAGCTATAGACTTGCAACCCGTGCTTTTAGGTCTAGCTGATCAATATGTCAGCAAAGCTCATGGAATGTCTTCATATTTAGCCCGCAATCCTCAAGAAGTCGATGTCGATCAATACTACAGCCTCATGTCTGCCGGTCTTGGCTGCATGGAGTCAGTACTGAAAAACTGGAAATTTCCGGATCCGAAGATCGAGGCACGGTTGCAGCTACGGTACGCGAATCTCCTGCTCGAAGAGACGGAAAATGACGGAGAGCTGCAAGATTTACTTACCAGGGGTGTTGCGTTGTGTGAGCGGAATCGCCTTGTTGATCTCAAGTACAGCATGAAGCACGTTCAAGCTCGATCCTTGTTCCGCACACATCCTCGATCTGCTCTCAAAATGGTGGATCAAATGATTGAGCTAACCGAGACATACGCGCATTATTCCTGGATGTACGTCTTCCGATTCTTGCACGTATCATTCTCGCTTCAATTGTCGCGTCCGGACTTGTCAGCAGCTTTGCAACAGCTCCGTCGGACCTCTCAGCATGCAGAGAAGCAAAGACAGTACCCCGTACTCACTACGTGCTCAGCTCTGGAAGCATTGATTCATCTGCGAAGTGGCCAAGCGGACTCGGCGGATAACTTCCAGAGATCGTTGGCGGCAGCACGTACTCACCAGTTGAACCGCGAGGTCACTGACATTTCACAAATTGCGACCTTGCTGGACTGTCTTGATCTATGTAGTGATCTCATCAATGGAAAGCCGGATCAGCTTCCTGACAAGATGAATGTCATGCAAAGAGCGTTGGACAGTGGCAAGAGAAAGAAATCCCCAGACGGAAGTTTTGCTGTACCAACGGCCGAGACTGCGCCCGCTGATATTTCTCTCGACACGGGTGGCATCATGCAGAGAACAGACGATGGAAAACGTGCCATTGTCTTCCAATGGCTACGTAGAAGTGAACTGTTTGCTCTCGGCTACATCCTGAGCGGACTGGCCAGTTCTAGTAAGAATGCGATTGATCACAAGTCTGAGAGATACGTAGTCGAGGGCGACAAACTCACAACAAGCAAGTGTTGCGCGAGACCCGTGTCCTTGCTCGAAAGATGCTAACCATATCTGTGTAGATGACTACAACCCCGAGAACGAGCGCAAGGTTCAATCGCTGCAATGTTCCTCGGCCCACTTGGATCGACGCGTGTTCTATCACAAAGTGTGTTTGCACTTGCTCGCTTCGCTCAAATGTGAGCGCGCCGATTGGCAAGGCGCTAGAGAAGTGTTGGAACGATTGACCGAAGGCATGAACATGGAGGACATCGACGAACAAGACTTTGTGCAAGTATCTGCGCTCTATCTAACAGGCACAGTCAAGCAGGCGACAGGTGATCTTGAAGGCGCCTTGGAGTGCTATAGGAGCCCGGCGTTGACGTTACAGCCCACGCAAAAGCCAACGGCCAACCAAGACCTTCGCATCCTGGCTACACTCAACATGATACTGATTCTGAGACCCCGCCGGGAGTCGCGAGAACATATCGACCATCTCATGAACCTTGTGGAACCATTATGCGAGAACCATCCGAACGTCAATTACAAGTCTGCATTGTACATTGTCAGAGCATCGTCGACAAGCGCACTACCCATTCTCAAGATGAAGCACTATCTATCGTCGTCGGCCAACATTGCCAAGAAGCAAGGGAACGCCCTGCTGCTTTGTGTGGCAATCAATCTGATGACATCGAACTTCTTTGTAAGCATCATAGGGGAGAAGGCAGAACTGTCGGCAGGATCAGGAAAGAGGCTTGCCGATAGAACGCATGTACCGCTGTGGCAGGGTGTTGCTAATCAGCTGCTGGCCGATACCCTGAACTTTGGCGGCAAGAGAGCCGAGAGCAACGAAGCAAGTGTCGAAGCACAGAAGTGGGCGCAGAAGGTGCCCGAGAGGGTGCAAACGCAGCTCGGGGTGACCAGGTAGAGGAAGTGAAGTGGTCTACACAGAAATGGTCTGCCGGCGTGACAAAGACGGTTTTGCTTGTGAGGTATCAACGGAGTAATGAGAAGGCGGTGTGCTGACCGGACGAGCAAGGGTCTGGACCGGAATCAAGGCTTGCTGCATGATGGCGGATCTCGCATTTGTATCTTAGGAGGAAATTATATAGCTGTCACAAACAGCTCTCAGACGACAGAGCTCATGATATTGTAGCAATACGAGAGACATTTAATATAAGACGATAGGATGTCGAGAAGAGTACATGGCTCAGGGATGAGCAGAGTGGTCGTGGATTTAAATGACTAGATTGATAGATCAGAACTCTTCGTCCTCGCGGAAGGAAAGCGAGAAGCTGATGATGGTCGAGTAGATGAGGAGACCGCCTGCTATCGACATGGCGGCGGCAGGGACACTGATCTGACCCGTGTGGGCGAGGACGATGGGCAGGGCTAGCGCAATTGTATAAGCATCTTGAAGAAAGCGTATGTCTGTTGCAGGGAGATGGCATACCAACACCCATGACGACCAAGAAGCCTGTTATGAAGCGACCAAGCTCGACGATCGCATTGCTGCCTCCATCCATGAAGTCATCGGAGGACTGGGCGCGTGAGCATATCCAGTTGGGGACAGGGGCGATAACATAGGTCGCAACAACCAGCAGAGGCAGATAATTGTGCCACAAGGCCGACGAGAGGATGACGAGCAAGAAACCAATGGCGAGCACCTATCGGGGAGGGTTAGCTCGCGTGCATCAAGGTGGTGGTCGGGGAGGAGGGGAAGGTGGGGAGGGGAGCATACGAAGGAAAGAGCGATGATTGTTTTGAGGCCTGCCATGTTGGGCTTGCAGGAGCGAAGAGGGCAGGTGGGAGATTCGGTCGTCTGGTGTCTCGATGGGTGATGGGCGGTGCTGCTCTGGCGGTCGTCGTCGGCGCGTCGCACACTCGTGGCAGTCGCGGGCCGGAGGTTTGGCGGCGCGGCGCTGGTTCATGTCGCCAAGCAAAGTCTGGGGAGCTTTGGCCTCTAGCTATAGAGTACTGTAGACAGTACAGGCGGCGCCTCGCCCATGTCATTCCATCATCGGCTGCAAACATATACACTTCTTCATCTTCACTCGCCTTGTTTGTCTCCTGCATAGCCATCTCTCGCCAACCCTCTCCTTCCCTCCGCCCACTCTCTGCCACACCCGCACTCTCCACATCACACCTCAGCCATGTTCCGCAACAACTACGACAACGACTCGGTCACCTTGTATGTGCCAACCTGATCCGCCGTCCATCAGCCTCCGCTAAACTCGCTCCTGTCCAGCTCGCCGCAAGGCCGCATCTTCCAGGTCGAATATGCCCAAGAAGCCGTCAAGCAGGGTTCCGTCGTTGTTGGCATTGTCAGCAAGACGCACGCCGTCCTCGCCGCAGTCAAGGTCCGCCGTTCATCACTGCCCGCTGCGCCGTCCCCAGCACTGACACTGCCATCTACAGAGAAACGCCGAAGAACTCTCATCATACCAAAAGAAGATCATTCCCGTCGATTCACACTACGGTCTTGCCCTCGCCGGTCTCGCCTCAGATGCCCGCGTCCTCAGCAACTTCATGAAACAGCAATCCCTCTCGTCGCGCTTGACATACGGTCGCCCCATCCTGCTCTCAGAAATCACCTCGCGTGTCGCCGACCGCGCTCAGACAAACACCCAGCAATACGGTCGTCGCCCATACGGTGTCGGCTTGCTGGTTGCTGGTGTCGACGCAAAGGGTCCCCATCTCTTCGAGTTCCAACCTTCAGGCATTACCCAAGAAATGGTCGCTTGCGGCATCGGCGCCAGATCCCAGATGGCAAGAACCTACCTCGAACGCAACCTCGATCAATTCGAGGGTAGCAGCCGTGAGGAGCTGATCAAGCATGCTCTGCGCGCCCTGAACGAGTCTCTGCCCCAGGACAAGGAGCTTACTGTCGACAACACTTCGCTAGGTGTCAGTGGACTGGACGAGAACTTCACCATGTACGAGGGTCAGCAGATTGCTCAGTGGTTGGACACAACATTCGAGAACAGGAACGACGATGCCGGTGACGCTGCTGCTCCTGCTGCCGATGCGCCAGCACAACAAGAGGGCGCTGGAGAGTCGATGGAGGTTGACTCATGATCATGCATGATGCAAGAGAAGTAGATGAGGTATCGAGGAGAACAAGCAGAAGCATAATCATTACAATTGACGTCCTGACATGATGTGTATCAAATAAATCACGTTTCACCATTTTCAACATCTGTGTCAGTTTTGGCATCGAAACTCGCATGCACCGGGATAATGACCTTTACGATTCGCATCATCGGAACAGTGTGTGTTCACGAACAGGTAACAGAAGTCGAGATGACGGATCGAATGTTGTACATGTTCTCCACCTCACCTAAAGGTAACAAGACGAGCATGATGGCTTGCTTACTTTTTACCAGCCATCCAGCCAGCAAGGTCGAAATTCTGAATCTGCTGCGCCGTGTTCTGGGCCTGTCCTCCTGAAGCGCCACCGCCCATGCCCAAGGGCCCTTGCTTTTGAATTTCTGCAAACTCGGCCTTTGTTTCTTCGTCCACTGTTGTAAAGAGGTTAGTACAAGTCGATTTTTCTGCAACGAGCAAGAGAAGAGAGGGTCAAGACTTACTATTCTCCATCAGGTAGGGCATGCCGAATACGAAGCCCATAGAAACGACACCCATCAAGATCATGGGATTCTTGAAGAACGACAATAGATCAAACCCTTGTCTCTGTTCGTAGAAGGCCTTCTTCCCCAGAGCCGAGACGGAGAGCTTGACTTGATCTTGTGACGCGAGAGGAGCAGTGGACGCAGCAATCTTGGCTCCCAGATGCGACCATTTGTTCGAGGGATGTGTGAGGTATACAGTCACTGTCTCTGGTGTCGGAGCAACATGTGCTGCTTCGCCATCGCCTTCTTGCTTGATGGGTAGTATAGAGACGGGATCCACGACGTCGACTCTCAAACTAGGGAAGACATGATCTCTAGAGTGAATGTCCAGAAGCCATTCCCCCTCTTCTAGGTTGTCAAAGACGAATGAGTTGTCGACGCGGAGAGGTGCAGTGGCCCTTTTGCCAGAGGGGCCGAAGAGTGTTGCGTGAGTTGACGAGGGGAGCTCGCCGAGGTCCAGAAGGGAGGATGAAGGTGAGATGCTGAGATGAAGCGACGTTGCTGCGCAGGTGCCTAGGAGTGCTGATAGCGTTGAGAGGAGCTTCATGGTTGTACGAGGTCGCTGGACCAGTTGTATTCGAGAGAAGAGGATGGCCGCTGAGATGTTGCGATGGTTGCACGGTCGATGTTCTGGATGATGCTGTCGCGGAGTTGCGGGATGGAAATGGCCGAGCTTCTCAGTTAAACTCTTGCACAAGATTCGCGCCACTTTTTGTGCAGCTATGCCACGCTTCTACCAAAAATATTGACAGCCACAAACAAGATCTATACCACTACAAAAAGCATGCGACAAAGGCAAAAAGACATGCCCCCTAACGGAGTCGAACCGGTGACCTCGGCATTACTAGTGCCGCGCTCTACCAACTGAGCTAAAGGGGCTTGTTACTGCAGGTTTCAGATACGTAGATTTATAAAGACTACATTGTGATCGGCACCAACGCCACACCACGTTGTTCGGCTCGCACCACTCCGCGCTGCACCTCCCAGCGGCTAAACATCAACCACAAAACACCTTTCTCGACACACCTCATAGAAGTCTGAGAGAATTTCTGCGGCAGCACACATAAACCTTTATCTCCTAAGATGGCAGTTCCTGATACTGTGAATTTGCGTAACCTTTCGGGAACGTATAACCTTGTAAGGTGATATCTGTGACTGCATCCTACCACATCCAAACCGATCATTGTGAAGAGCGTTCACTGACACTCACCAGAACAAGACTCTGTCAGATTCAACCGATGCAGCCCTTCAGATGGTAGAAATCCCTCTCCGAGTCCTCATCACGCACCAGCTCATCGTTATATATCTAGCAAGGCATAGGCTGGCTCGTCCGTCAAGCCGTCAAGTTCTCAAACGTCACGCTCATTGTCAAGCAGGTAGCCAAATCTCAGAACTTGCGAACATAGAAATAATCTGACGACGTGATAGTTCGTGGATGAGAACGGCCTCGTGCATGTAGACAATGAACAGATCACAACTGGAAACATCCGCAACCTCGAGGAGCGTATAGTGGACTACCAGTGCCGTGAGAAAAACGACAGGATCTTTGGGAAGGTTAATGGTCGCTCGCGCTATGTCAAGCTGGGTGAAGTAGAGACCGAATATCTCAAGCAAGGCTGGGACGAAAAGTTTCTGGCCGATGGGGATGGTCAGGTTATTCAGGTCTTTGTGGACAGTGTAGGCAAGAATCCCAACTGGGCAGCAGAACAAGTATGGGGCTTCGAGGTAGTGGATGGGCAGAAGCGACACACGAGACGTATCGTCGTCAGAAAGGGCAAGGAGGAACACAACATTAGATTGGTCTACGACTGGGTTGTGGAGAAGGACGAAGACGCCGATCTGACTTATTGAGTTGACACTTGATGTACTCCAGATCAAGCGCGAAGCATTTCCTCTATCGTCTCCTCCACAGGGATGGGTTTCCGACCCTTTGATGCCAACAGCTTCTCCAGGGTCGGGTCATTGATCAGACATTCTTGGTCTCTTAAAGCATCATAGCTTGCAGCCCACCACTGAGCAGCAGGCTCCGAGAGCTTGATGTCTCGAACGTAATAACTCTCGAGCTCCTCTCGTGAGACAATCTTTGTTGTGACCTTTTTTGACTTCACAGCTGAAACTTTCTCGAGTACCTCTTTGATGGTTCTTGCACCTTGAGTAGCCGAAAGGTAGAAGGTTTTGGCAGCATATTCGGATGATGGTGCAACAATGACTAGAGCGCTAGCGAGGCCAAGATCAGAGATGGCGGTCCAACTGATGGGAGAATCGCCACCAATAGGCACCTCGGATCTTTGGTCGTCGTTGAGATGGTAGTAGCTTGCATACAGCGGCCAGCTCTCATTGTACAGACCCTCACGCAGGAGAGTATAATCAATGTTCTGCAGGTCTGCAAGGTATGCCTCGGTGCGAATGTGAGCCTGCATGACACGCGACTTGGAAGGGCTTTGGAAAGCTAGAGAGCTGTAGTAGATGTGCTTGACACCTGCGGCCTGGGCAGCATCAATGGCGGTGAAGTGATGCTTCTCGCGACCTTGACCCAGAGGGGCATCGTTGTAATCCATTTCGATCTTCGGGGTGGAGACGAGGAAGAATTTGTCACAGCCTGCAAGAGCTTTCTCAATCGAAGCTTTGTCGTCGAACGAGGCATGGCGGACTTGAACACCCTTCTTTTCCAGGGAAGTCCAGGTATTACTTCCAGGTTCAGACGAGGTGCAGCATACGATCTGAGATTTGGGAAGCAGATTGTGATCAAGGAGAGCTTTCAATGTAGCTCCACCAAGCTTGCCAGAGGCTCCAATGATAGCTAGCATAGTTGCAGGTCGAAGAGATTGAGTGAAGTGGTCAGTGGACTAGGTGAGACAGGAACGAGCACGGGATGAGTTGTTCAATGATTGAGCAGCTGGGGGCAGGTGGGGCGGGTCATTTGTCATCACAGATATTACCAGAATGACGGCACTTGAGCAGCGTCCGACCTGGCAGGAGATGGGCGGATGCAGTAATCGAGGGAGCATGCATGACGATAATTTGTGCAAGAAAGTGAGTTGGATATGGAATGTTTTGGTGAAGGCAACCCCGCGCGCCTCGGGTCTGGTCGTCGGATTTGCAGCTGCCAGCGTCGAAGCTCAAGGACCATGCCAGTTTTGATATTGTCGTTTCCTTGCATCTCTCCAGACATCAACCTTCACCTCACGCTACTCCACTAAAAACACGCGCATCCGAAGCCTGAGCGGCTTGCGACAGCGACTGGCCCACCAACGAGACGCACTGAGCGATTGCGCAATCACTCACATACACACAGCATGGCCACTATGGAAGCAAAAGACATTGAAGAGCGCGGTAAACAGCTGGCCAAGGCGGCATCGGGCGGCGACCCTCCGGCAACTCTGCTCGCTCTTCTAGACGGCCTCAAGGGATGGACGGCCACGGAAAAGCTGTTGCGCCAGACAAAGATCGGTGTCCACGTGAACAAGCTGCGCCAGAACGGCGATGCCCAAGTAGCCCGTACTGCTGCCACCCTGGTCAACAAGTGGAAGACGGACGTCAAGAGAAGCCCTGCCACCGCCGCCTCGAGTGGCACCAACTCTCCTGCGCCAGCAAAGTCCTCACCTGCCCCAGCCGCTGCCTCCAAGCCAAAGTCGGAACCTCATGGTGATCCTGAGAAGCGCAACAGTGTGTCAGACAAGATCGACTGCGGAGTCACTGGAAACCAGACGAGGGACGCCTGCATCAAGTTGATGTACGACGGCTTGGCCTTCATGTCGTCTGATGGTATCTATCGCCGTCCACCGACTGCCTTGGTCCTATCACCCAACTGACATGCTCTACAGCTTCACAAGATATTCTGACCGTTGCCCGTTCCGTCGAGCTTGCTGCTTACAACGCCTACCAACCCGAGGGCAGTCCCGAGTACCGCCAGCGCATACGCTCCCTCTACCAAAATCTCAAAAACAAGGGCAACCCAAAGCTCCGCAGTCAGGTGCTGTCTGGTGTTGTCAAGCCCGACCGCTTTGTGCGCATGACCCACGAAGAGTTGAAGAGTGACAAACAGCGTGCCGAGGACGAAAGACTGCAAAAGGAAAACATGGACAAGGCCATGGTCGCCCAGGCAGAAAGCAGTATCAGTGCCAGTCTGACATGCGGTAAGTGTGGTCAGAAGAAGGTCAGTTACACTCAGGCCCAAACCAGGTCTGCCGATGAACCTATGACGACCTTTTGTACTTGTACGGTTTGTGGAAAGCGTTGGAAATTCTCATGATGCAAGAAAGGATGCTCCTGAAAATCAAGTAGTCATGGGAGGGGGGGCTTTCCAAGTCTCGATGTGCGCGCAGTGTTCCTTCCCATTGCTCCTTCCACCCGACGACTTGCGAAATAAAGGCCCAGATGGAAGTTCCACGATGGATCCTCGTCCGTCCATCCGTCCGCCTATTCAACTTCTCCTGCGCCTTGCAACCAGCCAGCGCCATATTAAATGCTCGCTATGGAAAGGCACAGTGGTTTCTAGGTTAGGCGTCTATCCCTAGAGATCCCAGAGAGTACCGCGTCTCGATGAATTTCATCTAGTTCTCGGAAATATTGCATTGGGGGTTAGCACTTGAACATCGTGACCCTGTGATGATCGAATTTGCCAATGCTGTTTCGTGTCTTGTCTTAGGCCTGCTCATCCTTGTCCAAGATGGCCTTGACAGCAGCGACCTTATCCTCGGCCGTCTGCTTCTTGTCTGTTCTCGATCCAACTCTGATATCGCTTTGGATTCTCACAACACCATTCTCATGCAACAGCGAGTGCGCTTGACCGATAACTCGCATGACTTCGTCCCAAGGACCCTCTGCGATGCGTCATATTAGACGTACATCTCTTCTTGATAGCGGGACAGACGTAACTCACCCACTGTTGTTCCGGCCGAGTGCATATGGTACACGAGGCCGCTTTTCTTGAGCAGACGCTGTACTTGAGAGACCTCTTCAGAGACAGAGGCGGTCGGGGTCCCAAGAGGTATAATACAGAAATCTGTGGCTGGTCAGTTTTGCTGCTTCTTTGCATTGCTGGCTCTCCTTGTGCAGGAATCTGCGCTTTCGTGTTGTCGGGAGAGCGGGGTGAGAGTGGCAGAATATAGCACATGGGTAGGCCCTATCTTAATACACTAACCTGCGATACATGCCGGAGGTGTTGCAAGGTCAAGCAAGTGGTTGTCTGCCATTTTGTCGGTTTATTGATGCGATGCGAGGCGAGTGATGGATGTTGAAGCTCTGGTATAATGACGCTGATCCCCCGTTGGCGATGGAAGGTATGTCACGCAGCTGAATGTAATAACTGTTAACATACTCAACCCGTTCGAGAAACAGAACGCAGTCCTTCGAGGGGCATTTCACTCTCTACCCTACTCTGTATGGAAGTCTTAGTAGCAATATGATGATAATTTCAGCACAAGTGATTAGATCTTACCTTGCTTTCGATCCTCCCCATGTGCCAAAGCATGTAGGTAACTCCAAAACCTCTCCCACAGATCATAGTCCCCAGTGAGTCTCTTCTGAGCCTCGAAACTACTGTGCATTTGTACAGTTGCGCGCGTTACAAACCCTTACTTAGCACATGGGGAGGATCTATTATCCCCTCCGATCGTCACATGAATAAGCAAGTATTCTTTTCAAAAGTCGATTGATGCTAACAATTAACAGTCCTAGCCTTTTCAAGCTGACCGTCCCCATTGATCTTCTACTGCTTGCCCCGATATGCTTCAACCTCGATCTCAATCGACATGTCAGGAAGCGCAAGCCCCGAAACACCCAGAGCAGTCCAGGTAGGGCGATGTCCAGGAATACGTTTCTGCATCTTCTGGACAAAATATTCGAACTGCACGCCGATATTCGTCATGTAGGATCGGACAAGGTAGACGTCCTCCCAACCAACTAGGCCCGCTGCCTGAAGCACTCGATCGACGTTGTCAAAGGCATTGTCAATTTGTCCCTTCCAATCTTTGCCGTCCAGGCTACCGTCGTTCGTCCAACCACCCTGTCCTGAGCATTTGACGATATCGCCAACAATGGCAGCTTGAGAGTAATGACACTGGTCACTGAAGACTTGGCCGGCGCCTTCACCATTGAAGTACATTAGGGATGCCATTGTATCGTGCTGCGTCTATGGCAGATGTTGCGAGTCTCGTCGTTGGTCTCTGATCCTGCTTCAGTCTGTGTCAGATCTCAAGAAATGCTCTTTACTGACTATAGAGATTGAGATCCGGTTTGCCTTTTGCTTGGAACAAGATGCTTGAGCGACCGATGTATCTTCCAACAAATCATTAATCGCCCAGTGATACGACACAGTCACTCTATTTATGTCGTCCAATTTGAAGGATATCCAATGCTCAAGTTTGCCCATCTTCCCCTCATTTTCAGCTATGCTGTTGGTGATGGCGTTTTCGACAAGGAAGTCAAACCAGTGCTAGCTAACGCCAGTCACCACCATGGTGAGCAGAAGTACCTGTCCGTACGGCTTTTGGTGGACTTGGCATTTTGACTACAACTGCCATGTGATGACTGGCACCCGATCTGAACACTAAGCTGAGGGACCTGTCAGCTGCGCCTCCATCTCAGCTCTCTGGAATCAGCTGCGCAGATGCTCTCAGAGGCTTCGATCCTTGTAGTGTTCGTACACAAGTACACAGTCGCGAGTGCCTCTCGCAAGCAGTCATGGGTGGTCAGATCAAGTCATCGTCTTTCTCCCCATGTGTCAATCCTTGCTCCACTCTGTATCGCTACCTTATGACTTACCGCTGGCTCTTATGACTTCTCACACACACAGTCTCGCCGACTCTCATCCAAGTCGAAGCTCTTGACATGTCTCTTCGTGTTGGCCGTCTATGAGCTTCATAGACTAGATAGGTAAGCATAGTTTACCTCATGACAACTTTCTGGATACCGCAGACGCTCCCACAGATCTACTCGTGCTTTCCAGAAGTCATTCGATAAAATCTTCTAGAATTGACGATTGATGTCAGCCCAGCCAGCCGCTCGAAATCATTGCATGATAGCTCACTATGTGGCTCGTAGTCTTGCCTTTACATTGTCAATTGCTCTTCGTGTGACAGAGGATTATCATCGGACCTAATCACATCTTGATCGTGATATCCTAGTTGATGGAGTTAGCATGTACGATGTATAGATATCTGTATATATTAGTCTCTTCACGTATCCGATGCCTCGGCAAGGTCCGAGTTCAACACCGTAAGCTCTCCAACTAAGAAGGATCTACCAATTGAATGAACTTCCGAATGCAGTTGGACATCCAGAGCTACGGATGATCGTACACGAGGTAGCTGCTACTCTCGAGAGGTCTGCTTTCAACGGCAGTCTAGCCAGATGTAGCTAGTGTAATACAAGAATCACGAGATCAACTCGATCATGTCCGTTGTCTGCCATCGATGCTTCACGAGAAACTATGGACTACCGTGTGCTGCATTTTCTCCTACTGTTATTATCTGTGAAGCACAGTAATCATTAGACCGTGGACAAGCACAAAAACGTAGAAATTGCTATAAACGAAGGCTTTTGATACACTGGCTGTAGTCGTGTGAAATAATCCAATACCAAAATAGAGTGCGATGAACCCAATAAACAATGTACTCCATTGCTCCACGCTTGGTCATAATAAAAATACAGTCGACCTTTCGGACGATCACCGTGACAGACAATCATATTCATGCAGCATAAGCTGGTGGTGGGTGTTCGGGCTCCTCGTGTTGGTGCCAAAAGCCGCTGCCCGTGGCCTTCTCTTCCTGGACGCGACGAGTCACCTCGGCAGCCATCTTCATCATCCAAGCTTGCTCTAGAATACCACCAGTAGAGCCCTCGGAGTTGAAGCGCAAACGCGAGGCTGAAGAGGAGCGGTCTGCAAATTCCGCCCTCTTCTTGTCTCCTCTGGAGACAGGCTGAGCCTGAACAGCGGATAAGGCAGGTCGTTGTGGTTTCGGCGAAGGAGTGGGAGTCTGGTTGCCAGAAGCCGGTTTCGATGGATCCTGTGAGGCAGAGAAGCGAACATGCGATGTCGGCGTCTTCTGCACGGACTCGAGTTCAGGTTTTGCAACACGGCGAGGAGATTGGGGAGGTTCAGTGAGTGTGATGCTAGGGGCGGGTGCTTCTTCGCTGACGTTACTCGTGACACTATCAGCTTCATCGGAGTTTTCGTCAGGGGCAGTCTTGCGCAGATTGACGACCCTGTTCTTTCTCTTCTTTGCAGCATGCGCCCTTGATCTGCTAGTGCCCATCGAGTAGACTGTTGACGACGTAGACTGACTGGCAAGAGAGGGTCTACTAGAGTGTGTAGGTGCGTCCGAAACATCAGACGACGCAGAGGACCAAGACTTGGGTGTCCCGATAGACGAATGTATGCGGGACAAAGGGTTCGGACGAGCAAGTGGCGTGGCAACGGTCGAAGAGTCCTGAGATTCCTTGGAACTGGCCCAAGCCCGGAAGACGGTGTCACGGATGGCAGGAGTAAAGAGGGAGAGGGTTTGTTGTGATTCGCTCAGAGCAGCAAGGCGGAGGAGGTTCTTCTGAGAAAACGAGGCGTACGTCTCGGAAGACGAGTCCAGAGAGAAGGGAGAGGGATCGAAGCCGTCAGCCCATGAATCAACAGGATCTTGCGGCGGACTGGCGAGAGGGTCGATGGGGCGCTCTGAAGCTTGCACAGGGTCCTTGGCCTCATCGTCTTGTGCTTGTCGATATTCAGGCACGAATGCACGTAGAGAGAGACGGTGGATGATGGCTGGGAGATCGTCCATGAACAAGACACGCAATTGAGCTTCAATCTCTTTCTGTAGATAGTTGCGGACAAAGGGGATGGAATCGAAGGTGGAAGAGACCTTGAGGGACTCGAGAGGATCGTTGCGGAAGACGAGGGTGATGCCCTTTTGGCGTGAAAAGACGAGAATGACGAAGCCTGATAGACGGATGTCGGAAAGGGTGATTTGAATGGGGATGGTGAGGCCCGAGGCAGCGGCCAAGGGCTGAGGAGAGGCAAAGGCGGGCTTGGTGGACAGCGACGTGTTGAGGGGGTTCGCCTGGACACGGGTCTTTAGAGTAAGATAGGCATCGCCTGTGTAGGACATTTTGAAGATGCCGCGGAAACGGTCTTCAGCCAGATCGCCAATCTCGAGAATTTCGAGCTCGGGGGGGACCGAGCCCAGGTTCAGCTCATTGACGATGATGTCGTCAACGATGATTGGCGGCTTTGGAGACTTGTTCAGGGCGGCAGTGAGCATGTCGCGGGCGCGCGACGTGTCGCCGATGAGCGGAGACCAGTTGAAATTGAAGGCCATGGTGGTCGGTCGTGGTTGTTGGACGCAGGTCGCAGGACTAGAGGCTTGTGGTCGCGTGCCGGCGCATCGAAGGGATGGAAATCACTGAGTAAAAGCGGCGTCTGTGTCGTATGGGTAGACTGTAGCAGGATGGAATACGCAGAATCGGCAGGGCGCCGAGGTTTTGAGCCGAAAGGGTGTTTCAAGAGGTTGTTTACTCTGGCAGTTGTGTGTGTCAAGTGATGATGATGATGAAAAAGCAGAGCGACTGACCAACGGCCAGACGACAGCCAAACCAAGAAAGACTTTGCCGACCGATGCTCGCGGGCTGATGATGCATTCCGAGTCCCGCCGGTTCGACCAACACGTTCCTTTGCGAAACTACACAGACATGGATCGTCCTCCCGACTCTCGACGCACGTAATTATATACGGTTTCCTGGAAACAACTTTCCATCTGTGTGAACCAGTTCATGGCCTTTTCTGTTGGTCCAACCGTCGACTGCAACTGTCGCGTGTGCTTACAGGACCACTCTGTTACCCCGTCTCTACACTGTGCTTATAGATGCAAAGAGATACAGATGCCGTCGGTTGTCGCTCGGTAGGCAAGCACGCGCAGCATTTGTTGCACGTGAAAGGCGTGCCATACCTAAGCCCGTATGACATGGATTGTCTCATGATTTCAGGCCTGGGCTGGCGTCAGTTTGAAGAACGACGGGACTCGGGAGTACGGGGAACTGCCCAGTGCTCGGAACTCTGCTCCTTCCGTGTGGAGTTGACCTAGGCGGCCAGCTTGAAGCTCTACCGGTGCACTTCTCATACAACCTGATTGCGACACTCTGACCCTTCCGACTCGACCAATCTCGTCGCTACACCTTACTCACACAACTCAAAGATGCTGGACGAACGCGAATTGACCATCAACCCTGTTGTGCAGGAGAGCATGATGCACAATGCTAGAGTAATCCAACTCCCACCACTCGACTCCCAACCTCCCTAGCTGACCCACGATTTGCAGACTGTCTCCAACATTCGCTCTCTGACTGCTTCCCTCTTTGGCGTCGCTGCTGGTGTTCTCGGTCTTGAATCCTTCCCCGGCTTCCTCTTCTACGCTCTGGGCTCCCTGGTCGTCTCTCTGCTCATCTTCTCTCTTCGCGCCAACGTCCAAGCAAAGTCCTACTTCCACTCGCCCATTTCTGAGCTGTGGATTGGCGATCTTTTCGGAGGACTCATGAGCTTTGTCCTAACTTGGACTCTCTTTTACGGCCTCGTTCGCGCATGATATACCGCCTTTTCGTCGCCATCTCCTCAACCATTCCTCGTCCAAGGTCATCGACAGCAGATCAACTCCACGTGGAAGCCACCCCTTCCGTCCAGGTGGTACGACTCATGCGTCCCGCGTCGTCTCCGGGATACGTTGTAGTACAAGACATCCTCTACCCCCCTGCAACAGTCTCGACCTGAACAGTGCTAAATTGTGGATCGGGCCAACACGATGCAGCGTGGACCATAGACGGATTGGATCAGAACCCAGCAGAGAGATTCCGACTGTCCGGGACCGACAGTGCTGGTAGAAAGAACGCCATCGGAGACGTCGAGTCGGGCCAAGAAGCTATTAGCAACAACGCAATGGGTATGCAATGCTTTTGTAAGAATACAAGGATCCGCAAGACCACACAAATTGAACACGCCTAAATTCGACAACTATACGGACGGAGCAGGAAAGAGGCTGGAACTCGTCTTTTAGAACCATGACCTTGACAATCAATTGCTTTTCTCAACATGGATGACTTCCTTAGTAATCATCTCTCTAAGTGCTAGATTCTCTCGCTCCCACCTTGCTCTCACGGCAACACACCTGTGGAGCTGAGCCAACGAATTGCGTAGTTTTTTCTGAAATGTAGCAACGTCCATGGAGAGTTGATGACTCTCGACGGTTGTTTCCCAGTGGTTACTTTCTAGTGGCTCAAGAGAATGTACCTTTCTATAGTTACCCGCGTGACATGTCTTTGTATGTAGAAGTATTCGGGCTCCAGAAGATGATGCTGCCGGACGGGATGTCACCCGATGGTGACGAAGGCGTAGCTAAAGTGCTGCCAAGCACGGAATCCACGCGACGCGTTTCGCCGCGTCGACTTCCAGTTCTTCAATCCCACTTGCTCTTCCTCTACCATCTTCTTACTCGCAAACAACCACGTAATCCCGTCTATCCAATTCACTTGACAAGACCAATCGTCTGTCACTCTTGTTCTCACTTCACCTCACACCTCTTTTCATCAACCATACATCACCAGTGAGAAACAGCTCCTCGTCTCTCGACATGACGACGGCAGACTAACTCGTCCACAGTGCTTGAGGCACGTCTCGAACAGGCCAACCTTCTGAAGAAGGTCGTCGAAGCCATCAAGGACCTTGTCCAAGATTGCAACTTCGAATGTAACGATTCTGGTGTCGGCCTCCAGGCCATGGACAACTCTCACGTCGCCCTCGTCTCCATGTTGCTCAAGGCCGACTCCTTCTCCCCCTTCCGATGCGATCGCAACATCGCCCTCGGTATCAACCTTGTCTCTTTGCAAAAAGTCCTCCGTGCCGCCCAGGACAAGGACATCCTGACCCTCAAGGCCGAGGACTCGCCCGATGTCGTCAACCTCGTCTTCGAGAGCTCCGAGAGCGACAGAATCAGCGAGTACGACATCAAGTTGATGGACATTGACCAGGAGCACCTTGGCATTCCCGACACCGACTACGCCGCTTCCATCACTCTGCCCTCGGCTGAGCTCCAGCGCATCTGCAGAGATCTGTCGGCTCTCTCAGAGTCTGGTGAGTTTCTCCAGTTGCGACAATGATCTTGGGCACAGCTGACATGGCATGACTAGTCAACATCGAGTGCACAAAAGAGGGCGTCAAGTTTGGCTGCACCGGCGACATCGGTTCGGGATCCGTCACTCTCCGCCAGCACGCCAACGTCGACAAGGAAGAGCTGAACGTCGACATCCAGCTCTCGGAGCCCGTCTCGCTCACCTTCTCGCTCAAGTATCTCGTCAACTTCTGCAAGGCTAGTGGTCTTTCGAGCAGAGTCAAGTTGTGCCTTTCCACCGATGTGCCGCTCATGGTCGAGTACTCGCTGGCAAACAACAGCTACCTCAGATTCTACCTCGCTCCCAAGGTCAGGCAAATCACTTACATCCGGGACAATCACCAGCTAACACGGCGCAGATTGGCGACGAGGAGTAGATGCAGGCTACAAAGGAATAGAGAGCATGATTCTGGCATGAAAAGGTGTTTTTGGCGTTCTAATGATTTGCTTGAAGAGAAGGACCACACTGCCGAAGAGCACGTAAAGGGACTTGAGAGGATGATGAATGTTATTATACCAAATCGAATAAGATACCATACTACCCCACGCGCGCTGCCTATCTAATCTCCAAGTTGAAATTGATGACCCTGTCCGAGCGCTGTCGACGTCAACCGGCGTTATCGCTTATCTCCCCATGGCCGTCATGGTTTTGTGAAAGATAGATGGAGCGAGGGCAGCTTGTCTCTCTTCCCAAGTGACAATCATGGCCGAAGTTCCAGAAACGCACGTTCTGGCAGTTGCCAGCCATGTAAGAGCGCAAGAGAGACCGAGCCTTTGATGGCCATGGACGATGACTGACGGCAAGCAAAGGTAGCATACGGGTAAGAAGCCCCTCGACAGCGACATGAGCGAGCAGACGTCTTACATGCCGATAGCTATGTAGGCAACACCATGGCCACGTTTGTCATGCAGGCCCTCGGGTGTGAGGTATCGGCCATCAACACGGTTCAATTCAGTGCGCTTTTCGCAGACAGCCACGACGCGACAGGATCGACGCACGTCTAACACATGGCCAGGCAATCATACTGGATACAAGCAGTTCAAAGGACGCAAGACTCCTGCTGAAGAGGTGGCCGAACTTTACGAGGGTCTTAAACAATCACGCCTCAACGATTTCGATGTGTTGCTATCCGGCTACTGTCCCAGTGCGGGTGTCGTCGAACAGGTTGGCAAGATAGCACGCGAGACCAGATTTGCATGCACAACTAAGCCTGGTGCCTTCTTTTGGGGTACGTCTAAGGGAGCCCATGCGAGTAAAGACGTAAGCTGAAGAACACAGTGCTCGACCCCGTCATGGGCGACGAGGGCAAGATCTACGTCAGCGAAGAAGTAGTGCCGGCATACAAGAACCTGTTGAAAGATGCAGATCTCATCCTGCCCAACCAATTCGAAGCCGAGTACGTCTCGAACGCAAGCGTTTCGTCTATGCATAGACATTTCACTGACGCGCTCTAGGCTTCTCTCAGGTGTTACCATTACAGACTTCAAGTCTCTCGCCGAGGCTGTCCGTGAACTGCACCGCTCGCACCGTGTACCGCACATCATCATCACATCTGTCCGTCTGCCCCACGACAATGAGCAAGGAGAAGAGCCCGAGCTCTCAATCGTAGGATCTACTGCTGACTCAGACTTCAATCCTCGCTTGTTCCGTCTGAAAGTGCCCGCTTTTCCCGTCTTCTTCTCTGGAACGGGCGATATGTTTGCGGCATTGATGGTAGCAAGGTTGCGCGAAGCATGCCTTGCCGCCGATCTTCTAACAACTGCACATTGGCAACCGCCAGACGAGGTCACAGCGACCGAGCTTCCTCTGGCAAAGGCTGCCGAAAAGGTGCTTGCAAGCATGCACTTGGTGCTCAAGAAGACGATGGACTCGCGTCAGCAAGAACTTGAAAAGATGGAGGGTACTGAACAACTCAATTCTGGCATTGGTGAAGAGGCAGACAAGGACAACGAAAGCGACAAGTACCTGCGCCTGACAAAAGCGGCCGAGGTCAGGGTGGTCAGAAACTGGAAGGACTTGGTATATCCTCCAGACATCGAGGCTTTCAAGGCACATGCTGTCAACGTCGAGCTTGATTGACACCGTGTGTCAAGAAGACCGGGCGAGATTTGAGGTTGGCACTGGTCGAGAAATTGAACAAAGTGCTGTGCACCAAGCTTGACTCCTGAAGACTTGACTTTTTGCTTCTTCTTTTGCATCATGACCATGCCACATACCCCTTAATCATTTCAAACATGACACCGCTAGTATTCCAGCTATTCCTGTACGCCAGTCCCCAATGCTACACTGTTGCCCGTGATATGTCTACAGGCCGTTGATCGGGCCGCCTCCGTTGGCAGGAAGGTTGACAGGAGGGATCATGTTGGCAAAACCGCCGGTCGAACCAAAGCCGCCTGCTCCACGAACACTGTCAGGAAGCTGCTCGACCACGAGAACCTCGGGTGTATAGATCTGGCTAGGGTTAGTCACGTACATCAGGTAGTGGACAGTTGCACTGCATACTCTCTCAATGATCAGTTGTGCAATTCTGTCGCCCTCGTTGATGGCGAAGTCGGTCTCGCCAAGGTTGAAGAGTAGAACCTTGACCGGGCCGCGGTAATCAGCGTCAATGACACCGGCACCAACATCGATCGAGTGCTTTGCAGCGAGTCCGGAGCGAGGAGCTACTCTGCCGTCTGTATATCCTGTCAGGGGGGGGGCTGGAGAGACAAATAGCAGGTCGTCAGAACATACACGTGTCGGCAGGGACAGCGATCGAGATGTCAGTGTCGGCAAGCACCTTTCCTCTGGCAGGCACGGTGGTGCTCTTTGATGCATAGAGATCATAGCCGGCAGCAAACTCACTGCCACGTGTAGGAGCGCGTGCCGTCGCTGAGAGGAGCTTGATTTGGAGGGCTGGCGGCGGAGGTTCGAGGTTCATGTGGGGGAGGGAGGTAGCTGTAGCAGACATGTCTAGTTGCTGGTGCTTGTGCGGAGGAGATTCTGGAGTTGGAGTGGCAGCTGGGTCGTTCAGCATAGCTGTGGACGAGTCAGTACTACAAGATCAATCAAGCTACAGAGTATACTATACACTTACAAGCAACCGAGAGGCTTGGTGCGGGCTCAATATGCTTGACACGCTTGGGAGAGGGCGAGGCAGGCGGCGAAGGTGCTTCTCTTTCGATGGCAGGGGTTTGAATTTGCTCCATGGTGGTTGTGAAACTGATGAAGGACAACGCGCTGGAACGCGTTCTGACTTTCGGTGTCAAAGTGGTTTATCTCATCTTGCACAACTCTTGCATCGCTTGCACGTGAGCTTGCACAACTCTAATACCGCCTTTCCCTCCATCTACCGAGCTGCTGGGCACATGAACAGACACCTTGACCTGTGTTTCAGTCCAGTCTTCCAGAAACATGTCAAGTCATGACCAAGGCCCTGGAATTACTTGCAACCAGAGCAGAGCGCGATCCAAACACTCCTCCTTGATCATGTCTGAGGACCCTTGGCTGCACCCTCACGCTAAGCGTTTATGCTTGAACACTTTCCACCAACTTTATTTCTGGCCGCTGCAATATCTATTTGAGCAGTGAGAGATTGCAGATGCGCCCTGATGCCTGACTCATCACAAAAAGTGCCCGAAATTCCTGTCGCCTGAAGAACCAAACTTGAACGGCCGTTGACGATGATGGGCGTGTGGCTGAACCAGGTTGATCATTCGTCAGCTCTTCCTGTTCTCCGAGCTGCGCAGACCCTGTCGACCTCTCCGCCAATTCTCCAAGTTGCTTGGTCAACTCTGGTTATCTAACGGCCGAGAAGAACTGTCATGCCTAAAACACGTCACCACTACTAAACATGATATGTGCAGCAGCGATATGTCCGGCCGTGCCTTCCTTAATCCAGCTTGCTATGGACTGTAGGGCTGATGCCCGACACCGGAGGCATAAACATTCCCCGCCATCTCCCACTAAGGACCTGTCATGCCGAGTTCCGACCACCTGGTGAGCATTGCTCATGGAATTGTCAGGTTTCCCTCTTGTCTGTTGTTTTGGAATCACACTAGCTCAATCGATCAAGTCCTTTGTGCCCAACGCTCATGTTTCGTAAACGCTGCCAGGCGGCGTGGTGGCTGAGTGCAGTGCCTTGGAGTCCTTGTTCTTCTGGGCTTACGACTACGCCGTGACGCTCGTCATGCATGGCGTCGATTTTAGTTTTGGATCTGCACTTTTTGACCGAGACACTAGTTTCTGCTAAGGTGCTTGACTCTCCGCAGTGCCGTGTACATCAATACATATATCTGCCTGACCATCTGCTGCGGTCAGCGCCTTTTCCCATCTCCAACGAGCAATCATTCAAATTCAACCCATCTTCGCTACATCTCTGGCTCCGACAATCAATCCACTCTACCATCACAAACAATCGCCAACAAACATGTCTTCCACATCCTCAATACACTCCGTCTTTTCCGACGATGAGCTCCCGACATATGAAGAAATTGCACTGCCTCCCAATGTCACTATCGAAGAGCGAGAGATCTCTTCCGATGACGAAGACGACGACGACTACTACAACGACCAATCCGAGCACAAGAGCACCACCATCAAGCAAAGCACAAAAACATTCGCCAGTCTGAAGTCATTCCTCTCAGGCTCGGTCTCAGTTGCTCCTTCGGCCGAGTTTCAGAAATCCACAGTCACATTTGACCAAACTGCCGCGCCGACTCGTCCCAAGACAGACCGCAAACCGTCGTTCAAACGTGAGTACACATCGAGTCGTCATCAAACACTTTGACACAGTACTGACCCCTCAATGTTAGTCGCTCCTATTCAAACATCAACTTTGCAATCGCGCAGAATGGCCATGCGCTCGACGTTACAAATAGGCAATACCGTTTGAGGATGTCATGTTTATCCTGAACGGGGCCTTCTTGATGATTATTATGACCGACACGAAGCTGGGTTTGAGCATATGCAGGACATGGTTGCTTCGGTGTACTTTTTGTTGTTTTTCGTCCAGTTGTTTTTCAGATACCCAAGCATGGCAGGAACCGGCTTTGTTCTTTATTCGCGCGAGCTCTGTTTTCTTGGCGAGTTTCCAGGTCGTGGAACAGGATGGTCAATCTCTGGATGAGTCCAGGAGGTCTGCATGTGGATGTAGACTGGGAGGAATATTTTCGAGTCTGTGTATAGTTTAGTACCGTTTGTCTATATGTACAACAGGCTAGTAGCCATCTCCGATCAATGTTCTGGCAGTTTCATGTATGTGCAGTGTTGATCAATTATAAGCGCAGAGTCTGACGGCATTGTTCACCGCTGTCTGCTCTCGAAGCCGTTCTCCAGAATATCGATTAGTTCGTCCAAGCTGTGGAAGGGAGTCAGGTCAGCGGATTGACGGTTGGGACTATCATGGATTTTGACACGTACCGACTGATGACTATGTCAGTTCTGGGATCCTTCTCAAGGTCTTCTTTGCCTTCGCTTCTGAGTAATACAGTAGCAGCACCAGCGTCATGACCGGCGACGATATCGTCGATACTATCGCCAACCATGATTAGAGGGATTGGTCTCTTCGCAGTAGGTCGGCCCTCTTCGGACACATCTGACTCGCTGATGATGCCCCATTGCTTCGCGATATGCAGAATTCCGGCGGGTGATGGCTTAGCAGGGCGAAAGTCTCTTGTGACAATAGGTGCGAATGCGTTGATGTGGCCTGGCAAATGGTTGCTTAACAGGTGTTCCACGGGCGTGTTGAAGTTTCTTGTACAGATTCCTTTCAGGATGCCATTGGTATCCAGATGTTCCATCAACGTGACGAGTCCAGCTTGCGGGACTTGTTTCGCCATGGCCTCTCGCTCGACATCTTCGATAATCTGGTGAGCCTTTTTCTGTTCATCTCCGGACAGGCTGTATACGTGGTCCAGGATGTCCTCTCCTTTTGTGATTCCCAATTTGTTCCTCATCTCGGTGAACATGTAATTTTGCGGTTCACAAAGGGTTCCATCAACATCGAAAACAATGCCTTCCAGCACCATGTTGCCGTCGATGGCGTCATGACCTTTGCCTTTGCTCAAAGGCGCAAATCGTCTTGTGGGATATGAGCTTGCCATTGCCAGTGTTCTGACGCTGTTGTTTGACAATATCTTAGCGGAGCCGATGGTTGAGCGAAGGAAGATATTCATGAGATGCGAGTATTGTAGTTGAAAGGAAGAAGTTCGGCCAAAGCTTCAATGTTGGAGGTGAAGCGTCAGAGGCCCGCGGGTGCCAACCGTCGACATCATGTCAACAAACCGACAATACTTTCTAAACTACAGCATGATCACTGTAAATTTCTCAGAATCGCCTCATAAACGTCTAAGTCTAGCGACTCGGACAGAGACTCGGGAACTTGTCAAACTCAGGTATCTGGCCGAGGGCAACGCAAATATTGTTTACTCGTTCACGACAACTGCCAAAGATGCACTCCCTGATGGCGTTCAGCGTAAGCTCTTGCGACTGAGAAAAGAAAAGTCGTTCATTCAATCTACCAAGTCCCAGCTTTCAACATTTCAGCAAGAATTTGTTCCATTATTCCGACCTGAGAACCTTATAGAGCAGACTCTGGTCGCAGTGGACGAAGCACTCATCAGGCGTCTCAACCAGGAACTTGAAGAACACGAGAATAGTGAGCTTCGGCAAGCTTTACGCCACAGCGACCGATTGGCGACCGATGGCCATGGTTTGCTGATGACTGACATGACTGCTCGTTACGGCGAGTATCTGTTCGAAATCAAGCCTAAGTGGTTATTACAGTCGCCTGATGCGCCTAATGATTCCAAGAGGTGCAGAACTTGTGCGTTGAGATTGCAAAGGGCCCACGCATCGGCTGAAAGTGCCGTGGTACCGAAGCCGGGCGGATTCTGTCCTCTTAGTCTGGTTGACGAGGATATTGAAGAAAGAGAAAGAGCTTTCCAGAGCATCACCGACGCGCAGGCTGGTGATATATCCAAATCCTCCTGTACGTTTTCAATGATGAGTAGTCCTAAAACCTCTATCATTCATGCCTTGCTTGTTACATACAAGATTTCTCAAAGCATCCATTGACTCGATACTAGTGAGAGACGTTGTCAACTTCTTGGCTGAGAAGGGGTATCAAGTTTTAGAAACTCTTCGCAAGCACCAAGCACATTTTGACAAGCACGGATTGTTAAACTCGAACCCGTGAGTCCGAGGCTTCTCTTCAAGAAGTCTTTCTAATGACTAGCAGGGACACATTATCGGACGACTACTCGAAAGCCATGACACTTCGCGACTGCGTTCTGTTCGTCAAAGGTTCGATAGACGCATTCGAAAACACAGCAGATATCCGTCTAGCCGACCTGGACTTCAAGCATGCTCACCCAGATAAGGTAGCAAAGTGGACGAGTACGGAGAAAATACTTGTAGACCAAGGCTGGTACACGAACATTGAGATCGATGGGAGAATTGACTCAACGTGTTTGCTTACTCGGCGATCACTTCCAACCATCTAGGCAACACTCTGAGATATAACAGTTCTTTGTCTTATCTGCAGTACCACAAGGGGCTTCGAGCAATCCGGGCGAGGCGTATGTGAGCACTCAGATGCATGTTCCCGCTTTTAGCGCGGGCCGTTTAGTTCTGTTCATTTGCATGACAGGAGTATATGTATATTTCGTCTTGCTATCTGATGGTCAGATTATTGCTGTTACCTTCAACCCTCGAACGAAGACTGGCTAAGTGCTTACCAATTAATAGTTCGTCGATGGCCAAGACGTCTCTACCGCAGGACTCAACATCGCAGCGAGTCGAGACTGTTGGGTGCCCATACAGACCTTGTGGTCCACAGGGGCCTGCAGGCCTGCGAGCAGAGTCACCGAGGATAGAGCCCGTCCCTTGATAGCGACTCCGGGTTCGGAGCTCTGGCGATGATGTTTATGATTGTAGCCTCTGCTTCTTTGATATCTTCGGATTGAATCGGCCTTGCACTAGGCTCGGCAGTCGTTAGGGTGTGGACGAGTCTTGCGATTGTCGGATCGATTTAAGATCTTGCTTGTCGAAGACGGTATGCAGCACCGTCGCTACAGAAGCTGAAGGTGCAAGGTACGTGTAGAGCATTGAAGATCATGACCAGGTGTACGAGGCGCGAACAGTGACCATCCAATGTGATTTCGAGCCGATCCATATGTATGAGGTGTCAGGGGTTTGTCACCGCTGCAGGACCATAGCCAGATCGATGTTGCTGCTGTCGAGTGTCAGGGAACTCGAAAATACAATTGGCGGATAGATCCTCCTGCCAGCTGTTTGCCTGGTTCAACGCAAATGGTCGAATGTAGAGAGGGAGGACCGATTGGGCATATCCCGTGACTGGTTGGACATATCATGTTGTATCGACCGGACGTGTCGGAGCCTTTTTGCCTGAGAATCCATCACACTATACTTCGGTACGATGCGGTGGGGTGGAGAGTGGTTCCATGTGCACCTGCCTTGCTCGTTCAATCTCTTATGGGGTAAGTATCTCTTGGTGCAAATTGATTGTTGCCGGATCTCGTCGTCCGGCAAATTGAACACCTAGTTTTCTACTCGAGGTTTGAGTGGTTAAATATACTGCTGGTGTTTCGTCACCTGCTTTAGAACTGCAGACTTGACCCACTATCGACTTCGTACTCGTTCCTCTCGGATCGTTTCTTGCTATGTTTATCGCCAAGCGCTTGGTCAGGCATTGATGCTGAGCCCTGTCATTGAATCATCATGGCGAAGTTGCTCACAGCCTCCTGCTCCTGCTGGCCGACAAAAAAGGACAAGATCATCGCCAGCCTGACCATTTGTTGTCGGTATGATAGTTCCAATTGCTGCCAACCTTCGCAAACACATCAACTACTTATCCATCTCCTACCTTGGTTCAAACCCACCTAGAATCGTTCAGTCATAACTGTGGCCTCGTCACAAGATACTGATACAGACCCAATCTCGACACTATACACTCTTACACCCATCATGAGTACTTTCGCGCAACATCCAAACAACGCCACCCTGAACATACCTCATTCCGTTATGCAAGAAGTGAATGCCCAGCCATACGTGCCAGCTCAAACCAGTGAACAGCAGATGCTTGGTCGTCAGCGTTCAACACCACGCATGCAGCCATATACCGACCAAGATCGACGATATCAGCAGTCTGGATATGTACAGCAAGCAGACCGGCTGCCCAGGTACGACCAACGTCCCACCTACCTAGCTGCGTGTTCGTATGGTCCAACAACGAGCGGGTTCGGCTACGCTCAACAGCCCCGACCTTCTCTGCATCAGAGGCACAGCGAATCGAGTCTCCGTTCTGCACGTTCCCACAAGTCGACAAACTCAACAAACTCGCATCAGTCACATCAATCAGCGAAGCCAGCCCACTCGCCTCGATCACGCCGTTCTCGTCACGGTGTGGATCGTGAGCTCAGACGTCGTAAGAAGGAGAAGGATATAGACGCTAGGCCGACGATGGGAGATAGCGTGATGCTCGTGGTTAACCACTTCCGAGATCTGCTGTCTGGCGATAAACATTGATCGTGTTGGCAGAGATTGGGGGGTTGACGAGTACGATTCATGATGGGCGTTTGGAGAGTGCTAGATTGTTACCGAATCATACCTACGCGTATCTATATTCTTTGTCCGGCTCGGACACTTGTATAGACCTTCTGCTTCCCGTTGCTCGTGTTGTAGATGTGGAAGTTGAGTGTCTGCTTCGAGCGGTACGTGTTTTCCAGGATAGCATGGCCGAGCGCCTTTGCAGTAGTGACGGGACGAGCACTGCGAGTTAATGAGTGTTGTCGCGGAGCGTGCACGGACGGCTTTCTGCACTTTGTCGCATCATACAAAGTCCGAGATCACAATTGTCGTTTGAAGCCAGCGGAATAGAGCGCTTTCCGCTTAGCTGCCTGGGTACGTGATTTTCGGCAGCCTACAACTCACAGATCTTGGTCGCTCCTCCCTTTGTTTAAAAGCCTCCGCCCCCCACCCACTTTGTTCCACCTCAGCCTTTCAGTCCCTCTCCAATACCAAATCATCAACCAAGTCGTCAGACATCATCTATTCCATCAACACAACTTCTTCTAACTCCACAACAATTCACACATCATGTCTGGACGTAAGTTATTATATTACACACTCTTCTATCACCACCACGTCGTCGCTGTCGCCGCCGCCGCCGTCGCTTTGCTTAGCGGCAACGCGTTGTCGCGTCGGCCTCTGTCCGCCCCACTCCACCACATCATCACAACATCTCTTACACCTTTACTAACATTGCTATCACAGGTGGTAAGGGTGGCAAGGGTCTCGGAAAGGGTGGTGCCAAGCGTCACCGCAAGATCTTGCGCGACAACATCCAGGGTATCACCAAGCCCGCTATCCGTCGTCTCGCTCGTCGTGGTGGTGTCAAGCGTATCTCTGCCAGTAAGCTCACCTCACTCCTCTCGTCCCAGTTACGTGTTACTGACCCTCTGCAGTGATCTACGAGGAGACCCGTGGTGTCCTCAAGACCTTCCTCGAGGGTGTGATCCGTGACGCTGTTACCTACACCGAGCACGCCAAGCGCAAGACCGTCACCTCTCTCGACGTTGTCTACGCCCTCAAGCGCCAGGGCAGAACCCTCTACGGTTTCGGTGGTTAAACGCTGCCTTCCAACTTGGACATGGTTCCCGCCTCTGGTTCTCTTCTTTTCACGAACTTCTTTGCTTGCTACTACCACTTTGCTTTTCACACTCAAACGGCGCGAGGATATGTGAGCATGTCATCGATGCAGCCACTGGGACACGGTTTACGGAGTTATCACGGATACATGGGTCATGAGCAAAGGAACATGCTCTTCTTCAGATGAAGGAATGTCTATCAAATCAAACGAATCAAACGTGAATGGCGCATAGCCTTCATGCATTATCAACTTCAACACATGGCGTGCCAATTCTCCCTTGTCTGCATTTTGATTTTGTACAGTTCACCAGTTGCCACGAAGCAATCTGATCTGCTCTTCGAGCTTTCATGCTAAATGGAAGCATTGTCGCTTCATCTTGATTCTCCAACCGATTCCATAACGCCTTTTTGCCATGCAATCCCAGTAGATATACCCTCTTTCTTCCCAATCGTACACAGTAGACGCAGGACACGAATTACGAAATTCATGCAGCAGTACCCTCCTTGTTGATGTCCTGTCCTGGCCTGTACTTGGGCTCCATGAGACCGATCTGTTGTGAAATACTTGTTAGCAGATGCTCTTTCCAGGATCGTTTCCCTTTTTGATTGTCTCTTCGAGAGTCCTCGCGACTCTGTGCTCGTATCTTCTTCTCTTCCGTATTCTCATCGCTCGTATCTTCTTCTCTTCCGTATTCTCATCGTCTGCTGGTGGAACAGAACTGACCATGCTGAGCAACCTCCAAGCGGGTTCACTCGGTTGAGCGCCAACACCCAACCAGTACTTTGCGCGGTGGATATCGAGCTTGATGTCCTTGAACTTCTTGGCCGTCTCGTTGCCGTCGGTAGGGGTTTTCGGGATGGGATCGTATGTGCCGAGGACTTCGAGAGGTTTGCTGCCGCGTGCGGTTCTGTATGTTGGGGATTCGCTGTCAGATATGGTTTCCTTCTTCTTCTTCTTCTTCTTCTTCTTCTTCTTCTTCTTCTTCTTCTTCTTCTTCTTCTTCTTCTTCTTCTTCTTCCTCCTCTTCTGATGTTTCCTTTTTCTGCATGACGGGGTGCTAGGGTGGACTGGAGGGAATTCCGCAATGATCGAGGGAAGAGGGTGTTTCGGCTTGTGCGCGCGGAGGGGTTTGAGCGTACCGGGCATGGGCGACGACGATGTTGTAGAAGGGCGCATGGCGCTTGCCGAAGCGCGCGAGACGGATTTTCAGAACCATGGCGAAATGGGTTTGATGTGTTGTTTATGGTTGTATCGCGGAGACTATCTATCGCCGCTGCAAAAGCTGATGGCTTTCGCGATGAGTGAACAAACGCCAAGAACAGCCATTCCCCAGTGGTTGCGGCCGTCAACCTTCACTTCACGCTTGCTTCACATTCCTTTCACTCTGTCACTCTGCCTTTCACTTTCAATCTCAATCAGTCACATGATCAACTTCTAGGTCAGATGACAAACCCTCGTCTTGATTGTCGAATCTATGTTACATCATGTGATCTGCTGGTATACAAGTACATTGTTCCAACAGGATACGAAGATCGTTCAACCCATGCTACCCCCTGACTGTTGAGCAAAGATAAGTAAATCTGCAACTTTGTTTTGCTTACGAGCGTATGTACTTACTGCCTCTGAGCTCCGTAGCCATTGCTTCAATCCTTGTATGGATGTTGTTGAAAGACTCATGGTGGGTTTTGCAGATGGCTTCGACTTTGCTTTGCCGTTGTACGATACCCCTCAACTCATTAGGGACGCCGTATGCTTGACGGAACTGAGAGTCCATCTGTCTATACAGTTCATCTGTGGTGACCGAATTGAGCCGCACCTCATGCCTTTGTAGGAGATCGATATGTGTCTCAACAGTCCTACTGATGTAGTCCAGCTGGGGCTTCAAGTCCTCTGGGACCCTTTCCAAGGTTGCTCGTTTGACTTCATCCACGGCAGTCTGCAATTCGTTCAACTTGGCGTGCATTTTGTCCAAGTCTGTTCGTAATTCATCGAGCTGTTCGAAGATCAACGAATCCTCTCCCTTAGCATCTTCTTTGAGTTCTGCCACTGAATGTTCGGCTGCTTTGAGTCTACTCTCGATGTTTCCAAGGAAAGGGTCAGGAGGGTGGAGGGCTGGCGAAACAGATGGGTGAACGGCTTGATCCTTGAGCTCCTGCTGCAATGATTCGACTTTTTGTCTGTAGAGCTCAAGACTTTGAGTATGCTCTTCGTGGCTTGCTTTGCTTTTGTAGACATAGTCGTCAAACGCTTTGTGTCTTGTTTTGCTCTTGTCGATCTCGGTTTCCAAAGCGGAGCAACGGGTCCTGAAGCTCAGTCGATCCTTAGCCGTCAAGTCTTCTAAAGACTTGTATTTCCCGCATGTGGCATCGATGGTCTTGGTCGTCCTTCGGCTGATGTTCTCGAGATCATCTAGGCGATTTTCGAGCCGTTTATTAGCTCGCATCTCGCGGTCAAGATCGTTCTCCACTCTCATTAATGCTTTGTTCATCTCATTGTTCTGTTCACGCAATTGCTCCATCTCGTGCGCGTCTGCACGGTTTGCGCGAAACTGGTCTTTTAGTCTGTTGAACTCGGAGCGCGACACGCAATCCTGATGCTGATGCGGTGCCGGACCTGGTTGGAAGTGTGCCTTGAAAGCGTCTAACAACAATGCCGTAGCCTCTGCCGTCTGGGCCTCGGTTGTCTCAAGGTCTTTTCGAGCCTGATTTAGTCGAGTGGTTTTCTGGATTTCAAGAGCAGGAAAGTCCTTGTGTCTCGGAAGCATATTCTCGTAGTCTGTTTCAACGTTTTTGCAATGCTGACTGCTCTGAGCGTGTTTGAAGACGGCCGTTACGAAAGCCTCGATGACTTTTGGAATAGCTTCCATGTTATCGGGTGTGAGTGGTTGGTTTGGTTGTTTGGACTGTGAAAATGATGACCGTCTTGAACTCGAGTTCGAGGCTCGACCGCCGTTGCTCATGGATTGGTAGGTTGTGGCATCATCCCAGCGGGCGATTTTTCGACCCGATGGATTTAGATCTGGCGAGTACGTAGGGTGTGAACGTTTCAAACTCTCGCCAACCATGTTGATATGGTCGAGCTAGACAAGATCAGTAAGTATGTTGCACAAGGGACAGACTCGAGAGCGGTTTGGCAGAGTGGCAGTGCTTGATAAGAGTGGTTGAAAGGTCAAGACTGATTGAATCAATCAGGATGCAAGACAGCAGATTTTGAGTAAGTGAAGAGGTTCATGTAGTAGAGTGAAAGTGAGAGCGAACTTACTTGAGGAATAGAAACTGACGAAGGTCAAAGTGATTAAAGGCGTTTGTCAAGGAACATTTATGGTAGTAGGCCGTGGCATGGATGGAGCCAAAAGGCGGGGCCAAAACGGGAAATGTTGGTTTGACGCGCAGGGAGGAAGTTCAAGCACGCGGCCGGTGTTGCACAACAGAAGATCGAGACTGGGTAGGGTGATTGAGAGACGAGACTTGGGCAGAGAAAATGGTGTAGGCGTGTGCAATTACTCGATGAGGTTGGCCGATGGATTGGAAAAGCAGTACGGATACTTAGGTATTGCGAAGGGTCTTGGAACGCTGGACTGTGTGACAGGATGCCCAGGACTGAGTGAGTGTGTGCAGCAAGTGAACTGGCAATTGTTGAATTGCTCGTTCCTCGAGTGCAAGAAGCAGGTGAAGGCAGTGTAGGTAGCGAAGGCAGTGTAGGCAGCGAAGGCAGTAAAGCGTGGCGCGTAGAGTAGATTGACCGCGTCGGCTTGAGCCGCGCTGAGATGCGCAAGGTGCCGAGTGCTGCAACAAGACCAACCTGTCGCATCCCATCTCAAACGCATCCACAGCTTCAATTGCCCTTCCGCATTCAATCGCGCCCGTCCATCTACCGCTCCATCTCCGACTTCAGCTACACGTGCATATTCTCCTTCGCGGCACGAACCCATAGACGCAGTTGCAATGGCGGCGCAAATCTCGACCATCGCCGAATCCAAAGAGGTCCGCGGCCTCAACCTCATCGCCGCCCACTCCCATGTTCGCGGTCTAGGTGTCCAGCCAGACACTCTAGCTCCCAAGCCTGCCGCCGAGGGTCTGGTCGGCCAGCAGAAGGCTCGCAAGGCTGCTGCTGTTATTCTGCAGATGGCTCGCGAGGGCAAGATTGCAGGCAGAGCTGTACTTATCGCCGGTCCCCCTTCTACCGGAAAGACTGCTATCGCCATCGGTATGAGCAAGGGCTTGGGCGAGGATGTTCCATTCACCATGCTGGCTAGCAGTGAGATCTTTTCGCTCGAGATGAGCAAGACCGAAGCTCTGGAGCAGGCTTTCCGCAAGAGCATAGGAGTCCGCATCAAGGAAGAGTCTGAGGTCATTGAGGGAGAGGTTGTCGAGATTCAGATCGATCGCAGTGTCACTGGCGGCAACAAGCAGGGAAAGCTCACCATCAAGACAACCGACATGGAGACTCTGTACGACATGGGCACCAAGATGATCGACAGCATGACCAAGGAGAAGGTCCAGGCCGGCGACATCATCTCCATCGACAAGGCTTCCGGTCGCATCACCAAGCTCGGACGCTCCTACACACGCTCGCGCGACTACGACGCCATGGGCCCCGACACAAAGTTTGTCCAATGCCCCGACGGCGAGCTTCAGGTCCGCCGTGAAGTCGTACACACCGTTTCCCTCCATGAGATCGATGTCATCAACTCGCGAACCCAAGGTTTCTTGGCTCTGTTCAGCGGTGATACTGGTGAGATCAGATCCGAGGTCCGCGAGCAGATCAACACAAAGGTCGCCGAGTGGAGAGAGGAAGGCAAGGCCGAAATTGTGCCTGGTGTCTTGTTCATCGATGAAGTCCACATGCTCGATGCTGAGTGCTTCTCCTTCATCAACCGCGCCCTCGAAGACGAACTAGCACCCATCGTCATCATGGCCAGCAATCGCGGTCAAACACGCATCCGTGGTACCAGCCACATAAGCCCTCACGGTCTGCCGCTGGATTTCCTGGACCGCCTCGTCATCATCAGCACACAAGCATACTCGCCCGACGAGATCAGAGAAATCCTGAGCATTCGCGCACAAGAAGAGGAGGTCGATGTGTCGGCCGACGCTCTTGCTCTTCTCACAAAGATTGGCCAGGAGACTGGGCTGAGATATGCCAGCAACCTCATCACCACCTCACATCTACTGGCACAAAAGCGCAAGGCAAGAGAGATTGAGGTCTTGGATGTTCAGAGGAGTTTTGAGCTGTTCTACGACCCCAACCGTAGCATGAAGTTTGTCGCCGAGTTCGAAAAGAGATTCATTGGTGACGAAGGTGGTGTCGAGCTGGGTGGCATGAACGGAAACCCAGATGCCATGGAGATTACTGCCTAGATTAGTGCGCAGGACACGGTCCAGACGACTGCATGTAAAGGGCGTTAAAGGAGTCACAAAAAGAATCGGAATACCAAGGCTAGCAGGGCAATGTAATGGAGGTTTATTATAGATGGCAAGAAGCGTTGGCTTCAGCATATCTGAGTTTGGGATTTGAGCGTGCAGATGTCATAAGGTCGTGTCTATTAAATGCTGTATGTGCTGGTGCATGGTCTCGTCTAGTTCAGACTCTGAGAAGGGAATGGCAGTCATTCGTCATATGTACATGCCTAGAGTTTCCCTGGCAGGTTGAGTGAAAGCGATACTGTACAGCTGGAGGCGGTAGAGCTGCATCCCTGGTTTGTTCCGCCTGTCGCAAAACACCATCTCCAAATATCAAATCCCTAGAGCAGGGAAGAAGAAAGCGCAGAAACGGCATGCTGGGAACAAGTGTCAAGTAAGAAAAAGAAATCAGAGGCTCAGCCTGTCAGCACTGAGGCGATCAGCACTCGTGTCGCGGCGTACCATGCTGAGCTTGTAGAATCTCTCTTCGCCTGCAGCGGTCCTGCCGCCAACGTACCACTTCTCAGCTCCAAGAACGTCTCTGTAGCCCATGCCGCCTTCAGAACTACTGTCTGACCCTCTGCGATTGCGCCTAGCCTCTGAAGCTGTTGGATAACTGGGCGGTGGACGATTCGGAGGGCCATATACAGGCATGCCTGCCGAGTTTAGACCCAGTCCGGGAGAAGGAGGAGATCTTGGACCGTGGGTGAGCGGCGAGACGTTGTGTTGTAGAGGAGATAATGCTGAGTGAAGGGGTGTAGGCTGGACGGGGGTGGTAGTGGGTTGATTGGAAGATGGCGTCTTTGAATTGATGGCACGAGGAGCCGAAGCGGAGGTCGGAGAAGATTGAGCAGGATTTATTGCTGGAGTCGATGACCAGACAGTCTGGGAGTGTGTAGAAGCAACAGCTACGGCGGCTGAGGAAGTGGTCGAGATGGATGCATTTGACTTTGGTAAGGTGGCAGAGTGGGCACGGAAAGTGGCCCAGAAGTTTGAGAAGAATGGGCGGTTACTGCTCATGGCTGGCACACTGGGACCGTCAGGTCATTTCTGCTCCCGGATGCGAGTCGAAGAGGTGGATGGTAGGCGGCGATGTGGACAGGGACGACTGCGCGCCCGTTGAGTCCTGCGTCGACGTCAACGTCTCTGCTGCAGCAAGAGGTAGATGAGAGCAAGCGGGCGGGCTGCTCATGTACTGTATGTATGAGCAAAGGATTACCAAGTGCGGGCAGAAACGGATCTAAGGTACATCGACAATCGACAATCGACATGGCCTTGTGGGCAGGACGAGGGGTGCCCCGGATTTTGTCGGCTTCCGTTTTCGTTCTCCCGCTCGCTATGACAGCCTTTCGGTAATATGCCATGCCTGGCAGACAAGGCCTATAACAATTGGCTCCGTGGCAACTCCTTACGGCCGGCATATCGTGAGGGGTGCTTGATGGCAATTCGACGACAAGACATGCAGAAGAGCCACCCACTGACCGCACATCGACTCTCGACCCATACACCAATGTGTTTTCTTTTCCAAAGCCACTTTCGCCCACTCCACCGAGCCGGCCCGCTCAAACAACCGACTCCTTCGTCTTGTCGAAGCTTTTTGCTCCTTGATACATCCATCGCAAACGTCAAAACTACCGTGCAGCAAAAGGAGATATAAAAGGAGAACCAACTCCTCAAAGCTCCACACTCGTAAGGCCAAGCTTTCTTTGGGCCTGTTCACGGTTCGCCGATCGACATGACGATCGCTCGTTGTGGTCCCCCTTCAACTGCTGTGCAGCTGTTTCACGCGTCCTTTGCTTTCAGCAGCGCCAACCCTTGAAACCGTGTCGTAAAATACGGGTCTGAGTGACTGCAAGACCATTCGTCTGAACAGGAGTCATGCGCGCCCGCTGTGGTCCACCGTCATGCTCATCGTCACCGCCCGCGTGAACCCTGTTTTGATACTGCTTGTCTCCTTGGTTCGCGTCAGTCTCACATTCCTTGGTGGCGTGGCGCGTACTTCCTTTCTTGAGTATATATATTTTCTTGAAACCGCCTCTTTCACCTGTTCTTCAACCTTTTCGCTCGCTGCGCAAGTGAACCTTCACCTCAGTACACCCATCTTATCCACTACACCTCTCAACCATCATCCACATACATCAACATGAACTTCGTCCTTCCTATTCGCATCGCGCAGCTCATCCTCGCAATTTTGGTCCTTGGAACAGCCGCCTATGGTAAGTCCGCTTCTTGCTCTGTCAGCCGTCGCGTCGCATCGCATCGTATCGCTGACGACTGCCTGCCTCTAGCCACCAAAGGTTACTATGGCTCGCACTCCGAGGTCAACTTCCTGATCTTTAGTTCCATCTGGACGCTCCTCGCCTTGATCTATCTCAGCCTCACGTCGTGGAAGCTTGAGCGCTTTGCACACCCATGGATCATCTGTGGTGTGGAGAGCTTGACAATGCTCTTCTGGTTCGCTGGCTTCATTGCGGCCGCAGTCTTCCTCGGTCACCTCAGCGGCTGTGCTGGCAGAGCTTGCAGTTCTGCCAAGGCCGCAACTGTCTTTGCTGCATTTGAATGTGAGTTTCGTCTCCCCTGGGTACTTCAATTCGCGTTGTTGACAAAGTCATGCAGGGGTCTTGTTTGCCGTTACAACAGCCTTGGCCGTCATGGGCGTACTCGGAAGAGGTCGTGCCACCAAAGGGCCCAACACCATGGGCGCCTAAAAGCTTCACCTCTGATGATCCCGTATGATGATGATGCTCTGTGTCACGGTTGATTTGGTTTGGTTCGAGGCGGCGTTATTCTACGGCTGGGAAAAGAATGAGATACCCTGGGAGCTCTGGCAAGACTTCGGAAGTAATATGGTCAGTTTCGGGAGCGATATGGGCTAGATCGGCAAGGGATGATGGCCTCTTTCACATGCAAGGCGTTTCCGATCAAGCCACACCCTTGTGGCGGTGCGATCTCAGGGTCGCTCAATGACGCCGATTAATCAGCATCGAAGGCGCGCGAAACACACCAAGGCGAGTGCTCTTTGTCGCGAAGCAGTTGATACCAAACTACAAGTTAATATTCCTCACACTTTCCGTCACTCGTCACTGCATCACTCGTGCAATCATGGCTGCAGAGGTTGATCGTGTGCCTTCGCCCGAAGCGCTACTAGACGACGAAGCAGACAGTCTCGCTCTGACAGTGCAGTACCACGGCCAACCCATAACTCTCACTCTCTCCACCGAAGCCACCATCCAAGACCTCTCCACTCTCGTCGCCGAAGACCTGCAGATCCCGCCTTCGAACCAAAAGTTCCTCATCTCGCCGAAACCAGGTCTCCTCCGCCCACCCTTCAAAGACCCAACTCTACGCCTCGACTCCCTACCGCAAAAAGCAAAGATTACGCTCCTAGGCAGCACGACCCAAGAAGTCGCCGATGTCGAAACCGCAATCGCATCTCTGAAGCAAAAACAGCAAGCCCGTCGAGCAGCCCTGAATGCCGGTCGCAAGGTCCAAGCAAATCGCCATCGCGACTGGAAGACCGTGACCGAAGAAGCAACGTATACGTTCACCACATTACGTCCGCTACCGCAACTGCACCAGCCAGAAAAGTCGCTGCGGTTCTTGGAGCGTCTGCGCGATGATCCTGGCATCAAGGCTGCAATGCGCAAACACAAGTTCAGTGTTGGTTTGCTGACCGAGATGGATCCCGCCGAGCATACAACCCACGAGTCACGGACTTTGGGTCTGAACAGAAACAGAGGAGAGGTCATAGAGTTGCGATTGAGAACAGATGCATACGATGGATACAGAGATTACAAGGTCATCAGAAAGACCTTGTGCCACGAGCTCGCTCACAACGTGGTCGGCCCGCACAACGCAGAGTTTCATGCTCTTTGGAACCAGATTGAAAAGGAGGTTGAGAAGAACGATTGGTCAAGAGGTGGTCACTCGCTTGGGCAGGAAGAATTCTATAACCCTGGCGACGACTATGTCGACGACGATGATCACTGCGATGCCGGTGGTTGGGAAGGAGGCTCCTACGTTTTGGGCGGAAGCACTTCAGACAACCAGACCTCTGTCGAACCTCTCACGCGGCGAGAAGCTATGGCTAGAGCAGCCGAAGAGAGAGCAAAGAAAGAGAAGAGCGTGCAGAAGGCTACTAAGCACGATTCAAACTCACCGTCGAGCTGATTCTGATACACGACAATTTCATTCGGTATTGTTCAATAGCGTAGCATGGTATAATGACGATGAAGCACGATTAACGTCATTTGGTGAAGAGGTCTCAATTGTGTATCTGGATTGCATGCTATAGAAGCTTACCGTAAGGCTTGTACAACACCTTGCATGCCAGGCTCTAACTTCTGTTATGCCTCGTTGATCAACCCGAGATTACAAGGAATGCTGCGAGCCGACCTCAGAACTTCAACAACAGATGTTTGCTTTGTATTGAGCATCACCTATCGCCAAGCGGCTGAGATGGCGCAGTCATGTAGTGCTCACCTTCATAAATCATCGATCAAATAGACAGTATTGACCAGCAATATCTCATGTTGCATCAAGTCTGCCAGCAGTCAGCTCCATCTTTAATAAAGACCCACCTGATCCCGAATGTCAAGGTAGCGGTTCTGGCCAGTTGCCGCAAGTCCCTTGTTGAGAAGGTCAGACGAACAAGAAGGGCGCTCAGCATGGTGTTCACGGATGTATCGAATTGGCGATTTAAAGACTCAGAGTCCAAGGTCGAGCGACGTGGCGATGGAGAGCGCCGCGAGCTGACTGAAAGTTATGGAGTGTCGCACGTTATTATGTTGAATTGCTCATTTAGTTGAAGCAATTTGATGAAACCGCACCACGGGATGTGTAACTGTATTGGAAAAAAAAGTCGGACTGCCGAACTAGGAAATCCACTGGAAAAGACGCTCGAGAATCGTAAAGATGTATAACGTGCGCGTGTCTCTGGGTGGTGTCGCCAAAATAGTTGCAGAAGCACGTCTCAAGATTTCTGATTCTTTTCTTGCCGTACGACGAGCTGAAGCCGGAAAGAAAAGACCCGAGATATTAATCTGCTGATGCGCCCCGAACGAACCGTGAATAGCGTGGAAGAGCGGCAAGAAGATGACGAGAAAGGTGAAGAGGTACATGATGGTGTGGTTGGGTATAATAACCGATGGGCCGTCATGCCAAAGTGTGCTTTTTGAATTCCCCCTGGTCATTAGTAGCGCTCTAGCGGCGTTCGTATCTGTCAGCACCGCGCTCCTCGCCGTAGGCACGACGGCCGCCAGAAGCAGCAGCGTCGGCAGCGGGAGCTGCAGGGTCAGCATAGCTAGAAGGAGCATCAGCGCGGGCACTGCCACGGTCGTAGCCGTATCCGCCACGTCTGTCGTCGTCACCACCAGAAGCACCGCCGCGTCCAGCGTAGCGATCTTCACGGCCGCCGCCGTAGCCACGAGAGCCACCACCGTAGTCATCACGGTCGCGACGGCTGTACGAACCGCGGTCCTCGTAGCGATCGTAGTCGCGACCACCACCGTAGCGGTCATCGCCGTAGCGATCGCCACCACCGTAGCGTCCACCACCAGATCTGCCACCATACTCTTCACGTCTGCCGAAGCCGCGGCGGTCGTTGTAGCGGTCACCACCACCACCACCGAAGCGACCAGGAGGACGGCGATCGTCGGCTGGAGATAGAGTCAGTTGAGGAACGTACATGTCGAGGACGTGGTTGCTTACTTCTCTTGGGAGGGCCGAAGTACTTGCCAGGGGTAGGGGTTCTGGGTCTGGAGCGACGAGCCTTCTCAATGCTCAGAGTGCGGCCCTCGTAGACCTCGCCCTGGAGACCAGACTTGGCAGCGTCGGCCTGCTCGCCGGTGACCATGTTGACGAAACCGAAGCCACGCGACTCGCGGGTGTGAGGGTCGCGCATGATGCTGCAAGTCTCGACATCACCGTACTTCTCGAACAGGCGACGGACCTCCTCCTCAGTCAGACGGGGGTGGATGCCGGTAACAAAAAGGTTGGAGCCGGGGTTGGCAGCTTCTTCCTCATCCTCACGGATCTGCTGGGCGGTGCTGGGTTGGTTGTCAATGACATGTTGTAGATGGATGATTGAAGTGTTTGGTGACGTACCGGTCATCACGGGCAGCGGCAGGCGAAGCGCTACGAAGTCTGCTGTCGCCGTCACGATCGGGGCGGGGAGAGCGCGAGCGCTCACGGGGGTATTGGGGCTCGTCTGGATCGGATCAGTTGGATGGTAGTTGGTGTAGCGAGTCAGATGTAGATACCGTCGTAGTCGCGGTTCTCGTATTCCATTTTTGCGGTGATTAGATGGAGGGTGGAAAGGAAAGGGAGAAGAGGAGACGAGTTCAATGGGAAGAAACAAGGAAGGGATGGGATGGATGCGATGGAAGTCGCAAAGGATGAGTGAGGAAAGGGATAGACGACGGTCGCGCCGTGCAGCTTCACGCTGTTTGCGCCTTCCTTGGGCTCGGCGCGTACTGCAAGCTTGGGCCTCTCGAGCTGGCCAGAATTGGTGACGCTTCCCGCCCAACCAAGATATCTGTCAGCCATCCAAGCTGTATGATGCAGATTGTGTCTGTCAGTTTGCTGTGTTTGCACCAACAAGTCCTAAGGTGAGTTCGCCGTGCTTTCATTCACTGCTACGCTTCACTTCAACAATCCCGACATGATGACGCCGCTCGCCACGACTCCAGTCTTGCCCAAGACGAGGCTGACCCTCAACAGCAGTCGACACCCTTTGCCCCACCCTTGACGAGGCGAGTCACTATGGCCTCGAACGGCCCCTACTACCAGCCTGGCCAGGCGCATGACCAACCAGTATCCGACGAGATGCGCCTTGCTCAAGGCATCCTGGACTACACCACCTCGGCTCCTCAAGCATCCATGTATCCTGAACCCAACTCGGAATATCACCATGCTCAGCAGCTGGCCTCGGATCAGGACGTCGAGGATCATGCTCAGCTACAAGGTCTCGTCGAGGCTGCCACCAGCGCTGCTGCCCAAGAACAAATTCGCCAACGCAATCAACAGCTCCAGTTTGCTCACTCGGACCAAGACCTAGCTTCTCTGCTGCGCGATCCATCTGCTCGATTGTCAACCTCAAAGCGCAAGCGTACCCATTCTCTCCACAACGACGATCCGGCTTCTGCGAGCGACTCTTCCAAGCGTCAACGACACTCGGAAGACATCCGTCCCCACTCTCCCCACCTCGATGCTCGAGCTGCTGGCGTCCACTCCGCCGCCGCTCTGTTCCGTCCCGCTTCCGACTCATCCAAGAAGTACACTCGACCTCCCATGTCCAAACTTTTCACATCCCTCGAGCTGTCTCCGGAGAACTTCCTATACCTTCAGGCTGCCGCCAAGCAATATATGCTCAACTCCGACTATCCCGATCGACAGGCATGTGTAGGCAACAGAGGCAGAGGCGACAACGAGATGGTCAAGGCTAGAATGTACCAGTGCGTGCGTGAGTTCCTCGAGGCCGAGGGTTGGGGAGAAAAATACTTCGGCGAGAATGCTCCACCACCAAACGATGGAGAAGTCAACGCAGCACCTCAGCCACGCCGCTACATCTGGCCGCGTGACAGGGACCGAATCATCGCTCTTTGCACCCCACTGCTGCGTCGCATGGTCACCAACGAGCGCCAGAGACAGTACGCCATAGAGACCCGCAAGGGCGGCAAGCCCGAAAAGAACTCCCAGGACCCCACCGATCCTCAGATTCAGCATGCAGCTCCGGAGCAGGACGTCGTCTCCAACCCCGCTCACGACAGCCACTCAGAACCGTACGACTCGCGTCTGGACACTACTCCGGCATACCACCTCTATCTCATCGCTCCCGAGTCTGGTCAACTAGTGCGAGACCGCATCTCTTTCACCATGGAGGAAGAATTCAGCTGGCAGTGGCTGGTTGACACACTGGTTAGCAACTGGTGTAGTGCCTTACAGATTGTCCACCCTCCGCCCGATATTGCAGCCAGCATACTCGAGCGCTTCACCATCAAAGTACTCACTTCATCTGGTTTGACGACCGTTTCTGGCGAGGGTGAATGGCAGTTGGCCGTTCAGGACATCCATCAGACCATCTGGCTGGATAACATTGTCAAAGTTGTGGCAGAGGGCCCTGCTACACCCTGAGAAGAGAAGCAATGAGTAATGTGTTCAGAACTGGTTATACACCCTCGTACATGGTCTCAGTCTTGCTTTCCTTCGCTAGTGTAAATCGTAGATGTGGTATTACAGCTGTCAACATGCACAAAGGTTCCAAGAAACAAGATAGTATCCGTTGAAAAGCAGCTTGCTCTCGGCTCTCCCTGGGTATGTCTGCTGTCCGGAAAGTACTATGCCTTTTATAGCATCTAGACCTCTGTATGAAGAAGGGAGATACAGGGAGAGTATGTATCTCCCATCCCCTCTCACAGAGGATCAAAGCTACAGAAATGTGCAATCCCTCTACCGAATAGGAAGCATCCACTGAGAGCTATAGTCACATCACAGATCAGAAACGCAGATTGAGATCAGAGTGTATTGACTTTCTTTCATTCGGGTAGTTCTCTCCTAAGCCATCATATTACAACAAGCATCTATCAACATCCAAGTAGTTTTATGAAGTCCATCTGTTCGGACCGTGAGAAGAATAGAAAAAAAGAAGTGAAGAAGGGGAAAAGGCAAAGCCAAGGAAACAGTCATGTCGTAAAGTTCGTTTGCGTCGGTCATCATCAGTGTTGTTTGTTTCTCCCAGAAAACTCCGAGGAAAGCAGACAGCAAGAGAGCAATGGAAAAACGCTGTCCTCCTGCTCCGTCCCGATGACCGGAAAATGATATTCGTAAAAGATTCGCTTTTTTTCCTTCTCATCAATCATATCGTGGTGTTCCCCTCAGCTGATGAGAGGGTTCGTAAAAAATGAAATGCGTATTAACAGCTCGGGGTCAAACGACTTAGAGCATTTGGCCGGCAATGTCACGGATGGCCCATCGCCAAGAGTCGTCAGATCGACGGCAGTCACCATGCACAGGGAACCAGGATTCGCATCTGCGGCGCCACGTGTTCTCCTCATCACGTTGACGACGGATGAACTCGGGACCCAGGTCGAACTCTTCGCCAACCAGCCACTCATCACCACCCGTAGTTTGTGCGCCGTCAGGGGCTGATGTAGGACCTTCCTTGAGATCTTCGATGGCAGCGAAGGGATCTTCTTCGTCCTCGGTGACGCTAGGGCTGTTGTTCCTAGAATCTCCGGCACGTAGCTTGAGCCAGCACATGCGACGAGGGTCAAAGACCATACCACCAACAACCTTGATGTTCTGATTGGAATAATCGGAAGCGAGCGGGGTGATAAGGGCAGGCCTTGGTGGCGAAGGCGGCAAGGGTCGTGCAGTCATGTAAGAAGTCTGTTGTGCATCATGGGAGGTTGGAGTAGGGGTTGGCAGTAGCGGACCAAGCTCGAAAGGAGCTAGACTGTTCTCATTGCCTTCCCATCGAAGAGCCTGAGGGTTGAAGGTCATGCCCTTCTCGACGATTGGCTTGCCGACATTGGTAGTGCTGGGAGCGATGAGCTGAGGACGCTTGGCCTTGATCCTTGAGGCACTGGGGCTGGTATGGGGGCTGCGGGCAGCAATCTGAGCCTTCCAATTGGTGCTGACAGGCATGAGCGGACCCTCACTCTTGGGACGGCCGGTTCCTGCAGCCCTGAGGCGTGATTCGCGTGCAATGCGGCTTGCTGCAGTGTCGCGAAGGTAACGCGGGGTGTTGCTCTGGTCCTGGAAACTCTTCATGGGCATGGGGCTGCGAGGTGTCACGGGAGCGGGTGTCTGCATGCGCTCCGGCAAGGGAATCTTGGTAGATCCGGTAACATCGATCCTGCTCGGAATGTTGCGGACAGACTTGGGTGCGCCTCTGGCTGAGGGTTGCTTGAGATACCTGGACTCCTTGGTCGATGAGGTGGGGAGGTCATCGAAGAGGTCTAGTTCGGTTCCGTCTCCGAAATTGCGCCTGCGAGAAGGCTTTGTCACGGTGCGCTTGGAGGCAGCTTCTCTTGCAAGTGCGGCTGGGGCAAGATCGGCACGACGACCGGAGCGCGAGGGCGTGTCAGGTACATATCCTGAAGAAAGACGAGAGTAGGGACGAGGTGTAGGCGATTGACTGCGTTGAGGCTCGCCCTCGCGACGAAGGTGGTATGCAGAGGCGCGCGAGGGAGGCTTGGCAGTAGTTTGGTGGTGCGACTGGGCTGAGGAGCCGGCTGGTAAGAATGGTACAGGCTTGGCAGTATGCTGAGGGGGGCCGCGCAGAACGGGCATAGAACGCTTGTTGCGCAAGAAATTAGAACCCGAAGTAGAGGGTTGAGGACGTTGACGTGTAACAAGGGTCGCTCCAGGCTCAAAGACGGGTTCCAGGCGGGAGGCTGGCTTGGACGAGGGAACAGGCCGTGGGATGCGCGTGGCAGAAGGCTTCTCAGAGAAGGTGAGGGTCGTGGTCGGAGCACGGGTAGATGACGAAGACTTGGCCTGTCGTTGCTGGATGTTGCGGTGCAGAGTGAGTTTGCTGGGGTCGAATACGTTGCCGGCACCGATGTCAAGGCCACTCTCGAAGTCATCCTCGTCATGGGATTGCAGAGTAAGAGGGACCTCGACTTGTTGCTGACGCTTCTTGAGCATCTTGCTCAGATCGATGGGTCCCTCGGGGAGCTCAAGGCCGCCGAAATCGTCCTCGCTCTCAGTCATGACGCTGCCGAGACTAGGGCTCATGGCGGAGCCCAACTGGGAGCCGGAGAAGCTTCTGTTGCGCTGGTCGCGACGAGTGCCAGCGAAGCGTATGCCCAGGCTGCCTTCGGTAAAATCATCGAAGTCGTCATGTTCCTCTTCATGTTCCTGGTACGAAGGCTTGGGTTGCTTGAGCGAGAGCGGAGCATCGTTTGAGATTTCCAGATCGTCGGCCCAGTCGTCGTCCTGGCGGGGAGGCAGTGTACGGCGAGAAGGCGCGTTTCCTAGACGCTGGATCTTGCCGCTCATCAAGGCCGAAGGAGGGACATTGCTGGGAATAGGGATGCCGGCTTGGAGGCGGGCAGACTGGATTGCGTTGTTGGCCGACGAGTCGTCGTTGGGCGGCAGCATGACATGCCAGTCATCGTCGGCAGGGGCAGATTCGGAGCGGAGCGACAGGCGCGAGGAGAAATGGGTTTGCACAGTCGAGACGGAGTTTGTGAAGAGATCGCCCTGGAAGTCGACATCGTCGTCCCAGCTCTCAATGTCGGCCGCGGCCATGGCAGGCGGTCAGTCGGCAAGCGCGCGACGAGGGCGAGGACGGAGAATCGGGGTGATCGAGATGGGGGAGCGAAAGACGAACGAGGCGCTGGGAGCGACAGTAATGAAGGAGCTGGCAGGAACGGGGTTGCATTGAAGACGCAGCGAGCGTGCAGCAGCAGCAGCAGCAGCAGAAAGCAGAGTGGGCGAAGACACGACGCGGGAGGCTGGAAAGCGGTGCAACGCCTGTCGAGATATGCAACCCTGGACCGAGCTGCTCTCTGCCCTCACCCGAACGCACAAGCCTCCAGTACCTTTCCTTTTTCTTTGCACTTTCCTCGCGCTACGCCGCCAAGAAGGGTCTGCCGTCGCGCCAGCTCCCTCGCCCGCACGTCACAATCTCAGTAAACAATCATCAATTCCACGCGACTTGACACCGGCTTCAGCCTTCTCTACCGCTGCAGAACCCTGCCTCACGTCGCTGCGGCTGTTGCCTGAAACGTCTCCCTCGGACGCGTTTGCTTGCCGAAACGCTCGCCAGCAAACGCTTGAAGCCTGCGAAAGCTCGCCGTTGTTGTCGAGGTTGTTTGCATCTAAACAAACGTCCCCGCCCCGGCATCCAAACCCTACCCTCTTCCGTACTGCTCCCTACACCACTCCTTGACTCAAGCTAGCCACATCAAATCTTACTCAGCCGTCATGCCATCATTGCCGGATCCCAAAGTCTTACGGCTACCGCGGACTGACGTCGACAATGACTTCGTTCTCGTCAATGTCCAACAGTCTGGCTCTGATCCGCTCGACCTGAAACTCGTCGGCACCGATGCCATCTCTCCTTTCGTCACCCACCTACGCCAGAACCACATTCACAAATTACAGGCTTCTACTTCGCAGTCCGATCCGGACCATTGGCAAGCAATCCTGTCCGCTGTCTTGCTTCAATCAATTCCAAATGATCCTACTTTGGTCGGAGTAGAAGCCGTGGCCAATGTCTCTTCCTCTCAACTTACTATAACCATCCGCAACAAGATTAGTGGCATCACTGTACATTTCCGTCACAATTCCTTTTGCTTACTCTGTATGCTGATATCCGTAGCAACGACTTGGCGCAATCACTCTAGAGAAGGACGAAAACGAAGATGTTCAGCTATACGACTGGACGGGCTTTGCAGTAACCCGAGCTGATGCACTAGCCCACCAACTAGCAACTTTCCAATCTACTGTTGCGGAACATCAAAAGACAATCGATGACTTGACCTTGCACTTGGACGATTTGGTCAAAGCGAAAAAGTCTCACCAGGATGAGATGCTCAGGAAATTCGCTGCCCTGTTAAACACAAAAAAACTCAAGATCCGCGATCAGCAGCGCCTCTTGACTCACGCTAGGGTAGACCCCGGAGCCGCAGATCAGATCCAGCAAGCTAGATCTGTAACCGCTGGTCGTAAACCTGATTTATCTCGTTCGAGCAAGCGGAAGGCCGATGCCAGCAGTCATGAGCCTGAAACAGATGACGAGGGTTTCGAGCGAACGGATCTGGGGAACCGCATGAACCAAGAAGATGACATGCGTCAGGAACATGATGAACCCCTGGACTCTGACAAATCTGATCTGGATACCGAGGACGACGACAGTGATGGTGGCTTTGCTCCAGCCCCCATGCCGCCACAATCGTCACACTCCCAAGCACGTTCTCAGATCTCTGTTGGGTCCAGGGCAAAGACATCAGAGACAGCCAAGCCAGACGAACCCAGAGCTGCGCCTATGAAATCACCAGAGATAGAGCTCCCGCCTAGAAGGCAGTTGCCTTTCTCCAAGAGAAGTGTTGCCACTTCTTCGCAGATACCACCGAAGTCGTCTTCACAAACTCTCCCTCAAGCTTCTGCCATCATTCCTTCCTCCAAACCGCTACCAACAATGGACGATGACGATGAGACAGATGATGAGCTGTAGAGGGCTGTAGCACAACATCACTATTGCTTGTACGCTACCGAAACGGGCGACATACGACATTTCAATATGTAAGCCAGTGCAAAAATTTGACGGAAAGTAAATTGCCTTGGTTCAAAGCTCTATTTACAGACTACTAGAAACTAGTTATATTATCGGCCATCGGGTCCTCCATACTGCTCCCTGAATGGCAACGTATTGGAGCCTGTTGCGGGACTTCCTTCCAACGTCTGGAAAGCCACCGTTCTCGGTGTCATCGGATTCAGCACGTTCGACGTTCCTGGCGCCAACGAGTACTGCCACTCCGCCTGCGACCTCATTTTTTCCCACTCTTGCTCGTCGAGCCGGGCTGTCTCTGGCGAGTATTCTGGTATTTCGGTCTCTTCGAAGTCGGCGGCTCGGGCAAGCTTTTCATTTTTGGTAGGCACACAAGAGTAAAGTGAGACGGCTAGCGTTATGGCGAAGAGAATCCTAGAGCCTGCGATTAGTCTTATGACACCTCAACGTGTTTGGAGACTACTCACAAGAGACAAAGCGTCACTGCAAAGCTGGCTTTTGCTTGTTCACAGTACCCAATGTTCTTCTTGTCCGAAGCAACATTACAACTCTTTGTGATGTACCAGGGTGCGCCTTTCTGTGGATGGTTCTTGTCGGTCATGTCAGGTGCAGCTTGTCCATATGCACTGTATGCATACAGGACGACCAGCAGGGTATGAATCAAAGCAGAGAGTATCGGAATCAGGGCGCGCATGAAAAATAGGACAGGTTTGACCAGCATTATGAACATCGAGAGCACTGAGATCACGACATTGTAGTCGGTAATACTGGAACATGGTTAGACTCTGACGATACAAAGACCCGAATCGACTTGAACGAACAATTGACTCCAAATGATAGGAGGACTCATCGGTCTATGGTTTGCGTAGGAGTAGAGAATCTCAGCGGGCGAACTGTTGAAGCCATTATTGTAACCATCTTCCCACAGTCTAGTTCGGTAGGTGTTCGGTTGTGCAATGGCGAAGAGGGCGAGAGCGGCCACAGTGAAGGGAAACTCTGCAGCGAACAGGTAGAGCACGGTCTTTCGTGACCTCCATTTTCGCGCGATAAGCAGCATCGTGGTAAGAGTGTGCCTTTCTGAAGGATGCAAGAGCAGCACTGTGTTGTTTGGCAAACTTGATGAAGGCTCGTCGAGTAACAAGCCTCACGCTTTGTCGTGGTCAAGCGCCGAGGGAAAGAGAGGAGTCAGGAAAGAGATAGATGCTGACCTCCCAAGACGCGGGAACAGACATGATCTGTACTGTACAGGATTACTGCGGTACAACCTACACGCATGATCTACATTTGCTCTCACACTATCACTGCCGTCAGCAGCGAACGGGGTAAGCTGTGTAGCCGCCGTGGATGTGAGCGTGGCACATCTTACGCTTGTCGTTCGTGCATGTCGTCCAATCAAAGGGCTTACTCTGGCGCTTGGCTGAGTTTCCTTGCATATCCATCTTACGTCCTGCTCACTCCAGTCTCTCGGCTCGTGTTTGTATCGACCCATTTGCTCATGTCTCTTGACAGTGTTTGGTCGGGCATGTCGTTGTCGTCCACCGAAACCTGTTATGAGGCTACGCAAGATATTCGAAGAGGAGTGACAATGACGCGTCTCGCCCGCGAAGCTTGCCCTAAATTCAATATTGATCGATATGGACATCTGACCAAGCAATCGAGGCCTAGAAGCAAAGGCTTGTATCTAGAACTCTTAGCATTGAATCTCCCGCACAGTCCGTTCTACACGACCAGAAGAAAGACCACCATATGTGAGAAGAGGGTCATGTTTCGATCGAGTCAGGGTCGTACCCTCAACGATGCAATGTGGAAACAGATCGACGTCAGCACCTGAATAACCATTCCTTCTCAAACATCATCTTGTCAACCATATCAACTCAAAACCATGTCCAGACCTTCAAATATACCCCTGAATATGCTCTACGGTACAGCATGGAAAAAGGAACGAACAGCCAGTCTAGTCACCCAAGCTCTCCAAGCAGGCTTCCACGCCATAGACACAGCCGCCCAACCAAAACACTACCAAGAGCACCTCGTCGGCAACGGCGTGCGTTCCTTCCTCTCAATCAGCCATCTCACGCGTCGAGACCTATACCTCCAGACGAAATTCACATCAATCGATGGCCAACTTCCAGACAACCTCCCCTATGATCCCTCAACCAGTATTACAGAGCAGGTCAAAGCTTCTGTTACCTCTTCACTACATAATCTACGACACAGCAAAAGACCAGAGGAGAGCTATATCGATTGTCTGGTGCTTCACAGTCCTCTGCCAACCCTCAGCGAAACGATGGAAGCCTGGGATGCAATGTCGTCATTCGTTCCTACAAAAGTACACTCTCTGGGCATCTCAAACACTTCCCTTCCAATACTTCAGCACATCTGGACAAATAGCGCCGTCAAGCCAAAAGTGGTTCAGAACAGATTCTATGCTGCTACCGGGTGGGACGTTGCGCTCAGAGAGTTTTGCACGGAGACTGGCATCCAGTATCAAAGCTTTTGGACATTGACTGGAAATCCCAGGTTGCTGAACATTCCAGTCATACAGAGCACTGCTCAAGAGGCGGGTGTAAGCAAAGAAGCCGTGCTTTACTCTCTTGTGCAGGGTCTTGGTATCACACCTATCAACGGTACAACATCTCACATTGAGAGCGACGTCGCCGAAATGTCGAAATTGGAGCACTGGAAAACCGTGGATCACAATGCTAAGACTTGGGAGCAATGCATGGAGGTCTTGAGATCAATGCTCACATAGTGAGCATAAGACGTGTAGCGTCGGAAGAGACTATGGCCCACCACTGTCGTTGGTGGAGTACAATCAATTCGCCATGGAGCACACGATGAATTGGCAGTTCAGCTATCAAGGCTCTAAGATGTTCTTATCAAAGGTTTGAAGATATACAGGCAAGATCAAACAAGGGTGGTACTGGTTGGAGAAGGAAGGAAGGAAGGTCAAGCCTACCAGCCATTCAAACTCCCTCATACGACCATGCTTCCCGCAACTCTACATTCCACTACCAACCTTCATATTCTTCCAATATCCATTTCCCCATCATACAAGTCAAGAAGCCGTGGTGGTGCAGTGGTCAGCACACCCGATTCGGTAACCTAAGTCCCTACGTTCGTTTACCTAAGTTCCTAATACTCTCGCTCTCGAGGATCGGGAGGTCGTTGGTTCGAATCCAGCCCATGGTGCTTGTCTTTTTCTAACTTTTTTTTGTGTCGCTGTGTTATCGAAGGACTACACTTTCGGTGCTACATATCGAGTTATGTAATTAATTGCAAGATCTATGCCACCACTCCTCACCGTGCGCTAAAATCTGCAGCTTCCACCCTCCTCTCCCACGAGGTCATAGAGCGAACTGCTCACTTTGGAGATGCACACTCGTATTCATAGTAAAGTTGTATCCAAGGAGACTCGATGTAACGACTCTCGGATTCTGCTAAGCTCATCAAGCTCTTTAGTTGAGTCTTCGACAGATGGTTGTGAATGGACCCGGCGAGCTGCCCATACATTACTGATAGGAAACGGGAAGCTAAAAGATCGGAAGGTTGTGTATAACGCTGCTGTCGTGACTGTTCTCGGTCGTATTCTGTTGGACGAAACTATACGCAGTATCATGAACGCAGAGTTTGATATAGATTTATGAAGTGTGAGGGAGAAGAGAGATAGGCCGCCGGACAGCTTGTTCTCTGCTGATTCTCAGCATTACATCCGTGAAAGCATGACTTGTATACCAAACAAGACCCCAGCCTGCAGAATAAAGTAAAAAAATTTCAATCAAAACCATCCTGGAAACTATGTACTATGCGTGTATCTGATGCAATTATCTTCGTTCATTGTGTTCGTTGTCAAATTTCTCATGCGTCGTTGATGTCTCAAACACTCGCTGTGCGCCTCTTGACACAGACTGGTTTCTGCGCATAGCAGAACAGCAATCTGAAGCTCGTTCTCTGGCGCTCGCACTCTCGCAACAAACCAGGTGTATCCCACAATGCGGTTGTGGTTGACTGGCCAGGGTCAGGATAGCAGGACGAGTACCACCAACGTCCAATCTTTGCCACAGTCTTCGTGATATCTTCATCATTGCGTCTTTCATGTCGTTCATCTTCTTCATTGTTCTTGTTGCCGCTGCTCCGCATCCACTCTGTGAACCGAAGGTATTCGGGTTCTGGTTGTTCTGAGGTTCTTCTCCGCTGGCTACCAGAGCTCGAACTGCTGCTATCGTGACTTCTTCGTATGCGTCCAGCTACGGGAATGCCGACGACGCACTTGCGTAAGTTTTCGAATTCACGCTTGCCCAGCAGGGTGAGGAAAGCGTCCCCATGGTTCCAGAGACTGATCTGGCTATCTTGTTGGTGCATGCGAATCTTCAGGTCGCGGATTGCTTTTCGAGCAGTTGGGCCCATGTTCACGAGATCTAGATCTAGCACAGATATCTCGAGGTATCCGGATGGACGCATCGTGCGTTTGATTTCGTTGAAGCATACCTGGTAAGCATCATCCGCATTGGCGACGGGAAAGCGGAAGACCACCGCCGAAAAGTAGTTGTTGGGGAATGGGAACGGTGTGGAAATCGATGGGTGCGTGACATGATGGTAGTTCGATAGTGTCTCCCAAGATGATGAATTTGGTTCAGGACCAAGGTTGTAAAACTGACACTTTGGGTAGGTCAAAGCGCAGTTGTAGGACCACTCCTTCCCGAGACCATCGACAATCAGGATGCGAGTATGATCGCCAGTCATGGCTTCCTCATGTGCAGGGCTGAACAAAAGTCGCCCGAAAGACAGCCACTTGCTTGTCATGAGTGCTGCAAATCTCAACTCCGCGGAGGCAGAGTTGTCCACCGGTCTTTCCTGCTTGCGAGAAACCGACTTTCTTTGAATCCTTGGACCAGGAAGAGCAGGAGTGACCAAAGAGCTTCTATTCTTGCGAGGGGACACAGGAGCTTCGGAAGTGGCGTCTTGATCGACGAGATAGTCAGATATCGAAAAGGTCGTGCTTGGACGACTTGTGTCGAAATTGGAGGCCCTTCTACTGGCTTCCGGGTTCGAGGTGCTTCTCGGTGTGCTCGCTTCGTTGTGAGTTGTAGGTTTGTGATCGATCATGTCCCCATACTGAAACGGTGTGCTCGCTTCGTTGTGAGTTGTAGGTTTGTAATCGATCATGTCCCCATACTGAAACGGTGCACCAAAAGAGGACGTGTCTGATGCTCTCACCCTAGAAGGCGAGATCTCATCCAGCAAATTGTCGTATTCGTTCCAGACCTCGTCCTCGCCTACAAATGATGTCCTTGTAATGCAAGGGCTTCCGAAACCAGAGCTGCTGGTGTACGAAAGCTCTGAGTCCTTTCGTGGGGGGAACGCAATAAACTCTCGTGTCTCATCGGCAATCGAGGCAACTTGGTTCGCTTCCACACCATGGTTTGGAATATCTTTGGAGACGCCAACATTTTCTTGATGTGGTTGTGCTCGTGAGATTTGACCTGCTCGTACAACCTGAGGAATTCTGCCCACGGATCGAAGTCTGCCCTCGGGAACATCTTCTTGATGTGATATGCTTGAAGCTTTGGATATTTCCACGAGTTGAGGGGCTTGAAATTGAGTTATAGTTTTTGCTTGGAGAAGAACGGGTGAGCTTAGCGATGTTCTCTTCAGGGAAGGCGTCTCTAGCGGACTAGGCAGAAGTCCTTCGTGTCTTCGGCCATAAGACACAGGCGGATTGACGTTCTTTAGATCGACGTCGGAGCTCTTCGAACTTTGGGAAGAACGATTGTCGCCATTGAGAAGCTTCTCTATGTCTGTCAGATCGAGGTTGGTAGCCTGATCTATGGAACCAAAGTGTAGCGAGTTAGGTATTTGCTGGTTCCGAGGTTCGTTGTTTGGGCTTTGGCTCGTGATTTTCGACTTGAATCGCTGCATGAATGTCGGACTCTTGTTCGATGTGGGTGAGTTCAGCCAATGACCTTCTTTACCTTCACCTCCTAGCTCAGAAAGTGAAGGCTTCCTGGCACTGCCCGTTGGCGTGACCGTCTTCGTAGCTGATGAGTCTGCGCGATGCCTGGCCTCGTCAGAGTGACCAGACTTGGGTCTTCCGGTGGCCTCTTGCTCGCCCGATTGTGTTCCATTCCCGATTCCACGGAGAATTATAGGCTCTCTCCTTTCTTCCAGGAATTGGTCGAGGCTATCCTCACCGTCATCTGCCATGCTCTTCTTTCTGCTCAGGAACGAGAATCCCGAGTGACTGGTTGAGCTGTCTTTGCTCGATGAACGAGTAGTCCGGCCAAAGATACTGCTCCCCCTTCCTCTGAAGCCGAACTTGCCATAACCTTCATGACCAGTACCCGCTGAAGGTCCTTTCTTAGGTCTTTCCGATGCTATTGGAGGAGTAGACGGTTTCGCGTGAAGGTTAGAGAGTATATTTGTCCTAGGAGAGCGAATGGTATTCGGGCTCGGTCCGACCATCGGCGAATCTTTGCGACTCAGAGGTGTGCCCATTTCGGAGCGTCCGACAGGCGTTCTAGGTGTCGCTGGATATGTCTGAGACTTGTTGCTTTGACGAGAAGAGCTTCGATGAGCGAATCCGAATGTCCTTCTTGGGCTCAGCGGTGGCGACTCTACGCCTGTTTCGATCGATCCTCGAGACGGTACTCTGGTGATGTGCGAAAGATTACTTTGCACCACAGGTATATCTAAGGAGAGGCCTAGGCCGTCGATTCCGTCCCTGCTGGGTCTTCTGGGAGGTATAAACCTACTAGTTGACTGATTTGGTGGTGGATCGACGTTGAGGTGCGCAAATTCTGGCGGGATACCGTCAACAAGTGCTCCTTGAGACGTGCGCCGAGCTGTGGACTTTGCAGCAGTGGATCCTCTCTGGCTCTGAATAGATGTGGACTTAGTAGAGAAGGGATTCGAGAACAGTAATCCTTGTCTGGTCAGCTCTTGCTGGTGTTTGATTTGGTCCCTAGAAATAGGAGCAGCAAGCTTCCCAGTTTCTTGCTGTAACGAGGAGCTGATATTGGCGATAGAAGACTTGTCTTTCTTCGCGTGTGCTTTCGTAGCAGCACGAGCCAAGTCCAGGCTATCTCTGTGACGTGTAGAACCCAAAGTGGATGCGGCCAACGAGGAGTGCGACGAGGCCGAAGTTGGTGTAGATCGATGACTGAACGGTGAGTCGGAGTTCCTGCTCGAGACATCGGAAAATGGAGCCTGCATATCGACCACAGGGCGTGTGACCTTTGCGTTGGTTCTTGAGTTGGTTGTCCTTGGTCCCGAGCTTGGTATACGGCTGACAGTCTTCAGAGATGCAAGTCCAGAAGTGGGAGGAAGAGCTATGCCAAGAATGGCTTCTGGAAAAAGATCATCGTCATACTGAGCTCTGTGCACTGTCTTGACTAAGTCCCGATGTTCTTGCATGCTCTCAGGATCAGTCTTGACACGCAGAGCATATTGGTTGATCGTCGAAGGCTTCCTCCGTAGTGCCGAATGGGGACTGTCCGGTGCTGATATAGTCGAGCCTGATACTAAAGACGGTGTCTTTGTGCTCAAAGCAGGAGCACGTAAGGACCGGCGCCCCAGTGATTGTGCCTTGCTAGCATTACTCTGGACCGATGGGGTGGCCGATGGAGGTCGTGCCTGTACAACACTTGGCGTAGCGTTTTTGGACGGTAGGCGAGAGTCTGTGACTGTACGACTCGAAGTTGTTTCGCTTTTGAGCACGTGGCGAAAGTTCGGATTCTTGGGAAGAGGTCGTGTTGGTTCGGTCACAGCATGCTCTTTGGGTGATCGAGTCGTCACCGGTAAACGAGTTATTGATCTCCTGAGGCTTCTTGGTTGCCGTTGGGTTTCCGAGCCCGAGGGAGGGTCCGGTACTAGTGAATGGGTCGCCATGTTGTGTTGTACCTCGTGAGGTTCAATTATAGAATGACCGAGGGCAATCTAGACCAGAGTTGGGACCAAGTCTGCAAACTGGATGGAATTTCTCATATTCTTCATGGTAGGTGCCGCCAGAGTTATTGTTGGCTGTTGCTGATGGAGATGTACTGGAGACCGGAAGCTCGAAAAGACATTCAAATATAATTTTGAAGTTTTGACTCCACAAAGATCGAAAATAGAAGAAGCACAATGACCATAACCTGTATCAAGGAATCCTCATGCAAGCACGTTTCGTGAACCCTCAAGGGAAGATGGTTTGCCGAGCACCGCCACCGACGAAACCGAGGTATTCGAGAAGGAAACAGAGAAGACGGGCAGAAAATATGACGCGGTCTTAGTCGGTGTTCGCAGTGGCAAGGTCAGCTTTGATCGGACTTGCAACGTGTACGACCTGGACTGGATGTGTTCGATTAGGGAAAAGGGCTTCTGAGCAGGCGAGATGCTCAAACCTAAAGTGGGGATGGCGCAGTGCGGCAGTGGCTTCGCTCGCGTGTCTCAACCGCGGGCTCACAACGGTGTGCTAGCCGCAGATCTGGCCGACGTTTCTTCGTTATTCCCTTGGGCTGGGAAACGTTGACAATATCCCAAGAGGCATCTCATCTTGAGAAGGCGAGCAGCCGTCTATATCCATTGTTTCTGCCGTTGGAGTGACAAGTGATAACACGCCCGTCTTCTGCCGCAATTCGAAATGCCGCACGCCGCAAGCGCTCGCTCCTTTCGACGCCGGATCCGCTAGCCGCGTAGCTGTATGCGGGCTCAATATAGCATGACTCTTACTCGCCAGATTCCAAGTGTTCAATCTCGACGATCGAGGGCTCTAGATTACGACTCACAAGCCTTTGTTCGGTGTGTTCCATCCAGAAAAACACATCATCACTCGTCGACTGCACCGGAGTGGCCGCGCGAAATGCTGTTTGGCCAGCTCAGAGCCGTGGCTGTGTGCATATTCCTGCATGCACGCATCGCGCCAATGATCTGAATCATGCTCCTTGCTGGGTCAACTGGTTTGAAAACACACATAAAACATCCAGCTTGGTTGAGTTGAAATCATGCTGTGATGTTGTTGACGCCTGAGGAAGTCGAAAGACAGACGTCCAGAGTCGGAAGCTATCCACGCGAGGACTCTGCAGCGGTCAAGCAACAATTGCGAATCTGCTCTGAAGCCACAACTCAAGCAGAAACAAGCACAATTGCCATTGGAGGATGGGCTCACCTTTCCCGCATGACATGCCAATCATGTGATCTGTAGTGGTGTATGGCGACTCGCCAGCAGACCTTGAGCAGACCAAAGTTGCTGGGCTAGCTATCACTCTAGCCATCGGGACTGGTTCTCCGCACGGCACACTGCATCTTTCAGAATCACTGTTGAGATTCTGCTGCATGAACATGTAAAGAGACTCCTGTTCGTTGATACATCGCTAAGAATCTAGTCAAACCTCCTCAGTAATTCCCACATGAAACGCCATGCTGCAAATACAATGTGATAACAGGCCATGAAGATCGCTCCATCTGTGATTGCGAATAGGAACCCGCTGTCATCAGGAAAACTCCACACGAGCACCTTGGTTGGCGCCTCGCTGGGCAGCTCGTTCTGCTCTTCGCCTCTTTCTGTTGGTTTCAAAGGCACTAAGATCCGTTCCAGTACCTGTGTCGTAGGGTCCAGGACTACCGATTGCGCTGTTCATGCCACTGGACGGCATGTTTACAGGACTCATACCTGTACTGTGGACAGGTACTGGTGGAGGACCCTGCATTGGAGGCAGATTCAACTCATCCGAATGTGATACAGCTGGTGGTCTGGCTGCAGCGTTGGGAGAGGGCATGGTGCCTTGAGCGCGTCTGTACCTGACATTCTCATCCTCTACCCCAGAGCTCAGACTCTCAGCTCTCCTCCTTCTTTGACGTCTTTCCCGCCTTCGTGCCTCTCGCTCAGCTGCGGCTTCATCTTCGTTCAGTCGACGAAGTGTGACATGGCGTCCATCATTATGCATCTTCACCTTGACGCTGACTGGTGGAGAGGCAACGCTTGTCGGACTGTTGGCGACTTTGATTTGTGAAGCAGTGTTGTAATGATCTGTTCTTTCGTGATGATCAGGTCTCATATGCGAATGAGAGGTATCGACAGCTGCAAGACCTGATGCGATCGGCTCTGCCGGAAGATGGGCTCTAGATGTGTTGTTGGACCTTGCAAGACGAGAAGCATCTGGTACAACGGCTCCTTCGGGCATTGACACGGGGCCAGGTTGAGTTGGGTATGCAGGACCCATTATCGGTGGCGCCAAACCTGCAGGCCCGTCGTTGCTCGGCAATTGAGTTGTACTGTACTGATTACTTGCGGGTAGAGTTGCCGCAGAAGCGGGCAAAGGGGGCATGTTGCTGGTGGGCATGTGATGTCTCGAGAGCTCTGGATTACTTCCGGCAAATCCGAGATCATGCGTGGCCTCTGTCTCGGTGACGTTTGGCCTTCTGTGCCTGTGACGATCCGAGTATCGCTGGCTGTTGGCACGATTGATGCGCTCAGCATTCTGTCGTTCTTGCTGTCTCATGTCCACGACCCTAACATTATCCTTCTCAATCCGATTCTGCTCACGCCTCCGTCTGAAGTACCCGAGCAATCCTAAGGACCCGATGCCAGCGATAATACCAGGCTCGGAGGACTTGATTGGCCGAGAAGGTTGTTCGTCTTCGAAAGAACTCCTACTATCGTAAGATGAGAATGAATCACGACTTGTGCGTGATCGGAGAGGCTGTCCAAGGGAAGCAGTTGCTGGCGCTGTGCTGATTCGGTCCGACCTGATAATCCGATGAGGCTCGGGTGACAGAGGTGCTTCTCCGTCTTGAACTCTTATCACGTCAGCTCGGTTGACGGCCTGGCTCCCACCGACTGTAGGAGCATATGAGGAGCCAGCATAGCTCTCTTCGTCTTGTGGCTGTTTGCGTGAGAAGGCCCTCTTCAACCCTTGATATGCCCCGAGTCCAGCACCAGCACCTAGTAACCTGTTTTTCCAGGTGTTGTTCTTGGGACGTCTTTCGATTATCTTTTCCTCTTCGATGTAAGAACCAGAGGGGTACGATCTGTGCGACGGAACCTTTGCTCCCTGAGACCTTTGAGCATTTCTACTTTGCGAGCGTCGACGAAGCGCTGCCAGTCCAGCCAAACCTGCACCGAAGAAAGCCGTGTTTCTCAGCCCGTGATGACTAGCATTACTACTAGTACTGACAGTTCTTCGCGTGCGTCCACTTCGACGGTCGTCGGTGATCTCTGTTCTTGTTGGGCCTGAGGTATAACTCGAGTAATCATCATAGTCGGCAACAGGTTGGTATAGGTAACAGAGGATAAAGTACAAGGCGATGAGGGCAAAGACAGCCATAGCATAGAGGATGAACAAGTACTTGGGAGAGCCATAGAGGGTCATGCCGAGAGGAATTTGTGCAATGCCGAGCAAAGCGATTGCTCTTCCCAGCCATTGGTGAAGCTGACAGCGTAATCAACATCGTGTAGAAGGACTGAACGGTTGACATGAGGTTCTCGCTTACCATCAGCTTGAGAGGGATCTTCCATCGTGACTTTCCCTTCTCGATTCGATGGATCAGTGCACCACCGAAGAACTGAACAAGCACAAGAGTGTACAGAGCGACGCCGATGCCGTGATGGGGGTTGGACAAGCTTCGTTCAGGGCCGACAGCAAACCAGCCAAGAATCAGCACAACGGTGATGAGTGCGACCGTCAGGATCTGTAGATGGATGTGGAGTCGGAGAGCAAGTCGCGGGTTTCGGTAATAGAAGCGAGCGACAAAAATAGCTGAAGGGACGATAAGGAGGAAGACGAGGGCAGCAACAACTCCGTGGCCAATGATGAGACGGTGGTACTGAGGGAGTGCGGAAAAGCGACTGGACATGCCTGCAGAGTAACAAAGAGTCAGGTACACATCAAGGCTGGTCAAGTCTCGGCAATCTCACTGTTCAACTGCATTGTTGCAAAATTGAGTCCTTGGAGATTAGGCAGGAGAAAAGTATTCTTGGAAGAGATCCATGTTCCATCTCCAACAAACATAGTGCTGGAGTCGTAGACACTGCTGCCCGGAGGGCTGGCGCCATCGGTCGACATGCTGTCGGCGCTATACAAGCGCACGATGATGCTATGGATGTGCTGGTCTCTCGATTAATGCTGGAGTGATGGGCGACGCTGATGGTAGAGATGCTGGGCTTTGTGCTCGACAAGTGGGCGTTGGTTCCGTTCTGTTCAAGTTGGTCGTCAAATCATAAAGTCGTGATAGTCGTTTCTAGCCACAGTCGATTGCTAATCGATAAGCACGTGTCTGGACTGCTGGAACGGGTCGCGGTATGGAAGCTTTTTTCGTGGACAAGAATGCTGGTTCGAGGTTCAAGAGATGCGCGTTAATTACAAAACGAAGAAGACATGGACAGAGGAAGCAGGCGCAGAACAGGAAAGTTGGGCAGCTTCTGCATGGTGCCGTAGCCGCAGCTACTTTGCAGGTTTAGAGAGGATATGGATAGTGATTATTGGCAGGAGCGTTGACCGAGCAACTCGCTTGTCATCGCCCCGCGCTGCTTCTTGCCGTGCCCGGTGCACATTTCGGTCATTGCGGCTCACAACTTGATCATAACTGTGCACGGTTTATGAAATATCTAGCCATCTCCAACCACCTCCAACGCTAACTATTTCCTGTCTTGCCGTCAGACACGCACTCGATTCTGGAAGACACCAATCAGAAGCCTCTAGCCCCCTACGAATTCTCCACGAATGAATAAGAACCATGGTCAAGTCAAAGGAGTTTCTCAAGAAGCCCAAGCTTCCTAAACAACAGAAAAAATCAAAGGTGTGTCTTTCATCAATTTCTGCCATGGCTTATTTTCCAGAGTTGTATTAACTGTCTCAGGTCTTGGTAACTGCATATGACTTCCAAGAAGCTGCCGACGCCGAAGAAGAAACTGGAGGCAAATGGAGAGCTGGCGATCCTGCTAAATCGAGTCGTGCCTTTGTCCGAGCTATCGAAATCTACAACAATGGCTTGCAAAAACATCCCAAGGATGCTGATCTAGCTTACAACAAGTATGAAACATTTCTCTTGGAAGTCCTCAAATATCGGCTAATCGCGAACATAACAGAGCTCGTCTCGAGTTCGAACTATCACAACAACCAACTCTGATAGCCAAGCTCACGGTTCCACTACTCGATTTCTTGCAGCAGGCTCTGACTTCTCATCGTTATGCTCTCCAACTCAATGCCGACTCGGCCGACGTTCTGTTCAACACTGCTCAAGTCATGATTACGATTGCCGAGCACGTAACAGAAGTAGGCATCTTCAGTGCACAAGCTGATTCGATAGCTCTTCTTCGTGAAGCACTAGAACTGCTATCGGCATGTTTCACTCGTCAGGAGAAGATCATCGAGGAGCAGAATGCGAATTCGATGGAGGCAGAAGGTGGTGTCTCGGTCGAGCAGCAAGCTCCACCAGCTGAGCCTGTAGCTTCATCCTCTCGAGCGGCAGAAGATGCAGATTCAGAGGGCGACGAGGAAGGCGAATATGTTTCTGTGCAAGCATACATTACACCTTCCGATCTACTGGACACGGCACGCTCTAGTTTGGTTGCCTTGACCCTTCTCATCGCACTCGATGATCTTTCGAATGTGTCTCCGCTAGCAAAAATGGGCATCAGTCTGGTTGAAGAGAAGATTCCCCAGTACCTCTCCCAGATCGAGGCTGAAGAACGCTCTCAAGAAGAACCCGAAGCCGCTCTCGAACGTGCCCAATTCCACGCAGCCCTCGCAGTAGCAGACCTCAAACTTGGCACTGCAACCGCAGACGACAGCCTCGTCCGCCTACAGCAGGCCTTTGAACCCCTCGACAGAGCCACGAACGTAGCAGTCATGTGCACCTACGCCGATGGCCTCGTCGAACTAATAACCACGGCGCAAAATTTCAGTCCCTCGAGTGCAGCCACAACATGCTGGTCCACTCTCTCCAAAGCACAAGACCTCTACGCCGCTGCAGTAAAGATCAATGATGCTGAAGCTAAAGCACGCAAGGCACGTGTTTATGAATCGCGCGGCGATGTCGAGTTGTTGCGCTTCAACCTTGCTACCACACCTGCTGCTGGCCTTCCAAATGCGATCCAGAAGAGTGCACCTACACTGATAAAGAACGCACAAACATATTACCGCGGTGCCATGAACCTCTTCCGTGCCGAGGGTGATGCCGAGGCAGCTGCCAAGGTCGAAGTTAGAGGTTTGATCGCTGCCATGCTCGAAGGTAAACTTGGAGGAAACGTTGAGCAGCAAGTTATCGCTGCATTGGGCCAGAAAGGAGATGCTGGTAGAGCAGTGGCCATGGATATGTTGAGGGAAAGCTTGTTGCCCGAGGACTGGGACCAAGGTGTCATGTAAAGGACCGACATTCCGTGAACATAAGTCTGTATATTTGGTTGTACAAAAGATCGGTACACGATTGGAGAATTGGAATGATCTCATCCGTTTTGCTGTAGAATTGACAGGCGGTGAATTGTTCCTACAGAGTCTTGGACTTTCTGCTACCATTGATGTAAGCATCTGCTTCATCCTCACTCGCCGTGGTATCACCGTCTCCATAGTCACGCCAGTCTCGCTGAGGCCCGCCATAAGGCGCAACATCATCCTCTTCCCCTTCGTCCTCTTTCTCACTCTCCGACTCTGGGTCGGCGAAGAACACGCTCGTCTGCCGTGTGATCTCCTCAATAACGCTGCCTCTTCTGCCAAGGTCACGCGATTCTTCACGCTGCAACTGTGCAACTCTCGGACGCAACTTATCAGGGGTAGCGCGTGCTGGTATACCTCCGAACCATGCACTGAAGCGTCTGACAAACGATGGAGAAGGCGTTCTACGCTCTGCGAAACGCGAACCCATCGGCGATTGGTCTCTCGAGCCCTTTCCACTTTGCGATAGATCAGGCGATTCGGAAAATAGCAGGTTGGGCTTGAGCTCAAATCTATTCGAGCGTTCTCGCTCCAGCATAGATTCGAAGTCGTCGGGGCCCAACATACCGTGCATTTGACTCTTGTCAATAGAAGGCGTTGGTAGAGCGTGGGGGTTGGGTCGCAAATTCTTTCGCGCGTCTTCCACGATTTTCTCAATCTTCATGCGGTTGGCGATAAACTTGAGTTTTGGGAAGGCGGCCTGCTGGCCATTCTGAATCATGCCTGCCAGACGTTCTTTGGATGGATCTGCTAGGATATGCCAGAAGTCTGAAGGTTTCGATCTCGGCCAGATTGTGATTGTGCCAGAAAAGCGTTGCAGCCAAACCTCACTCCAATCTTGACCCATAGGTCGTGGAAGCAACTCCAAATGTCTAAGAACCTTGAGCCACTTGGTCAGGTCCAATTTAAGATACTGCTCAAGAGCAGAGCCAAGGAAGCCGCCTCTCCAACCTCGACCGCGTCGATGTGTTACTGGTTTGCCAACACTACCGCGAGACGAGAAGAAGAAGAGATTGATGTGTGGATTGACTTGCGAGACAATGCTGAAGTTGACATTGAAATGTAGATTGAGTGCCTTGAGCGGGATGTCAGTGCGTAGTGAGCCATCCTTCCATTTGTGACCAAAAGCGTAGGGCTCCAAAGTGCCGTCTCGCTTTTTCCTCATCAGTACTACTGGATTGAGGACTCCGGGAACAGCTGCGGATGCAATGACAGCAGACCAGACGACACAATCAGGAGCTGTCAGATAGTTTGCAAGAATGGTAGGGGAGTGTGGATCTGAAGGTACGCAAGACACGTTCAAAATGCGACCTGTCCTCTCGAAAGCTTCCAGAAAGGTGAGAGAACCATGGCAGAACCAGGCACAGCGTCTAGCCCAGTCGACAGAATCGAAGCGAGCACCGGTCTGATACCAACGGCGGGACCATATCGAGAAAGACTCTCTGCAAGCAGTGATTCGGGCAGCTAATGCAGGAACCAGCGTCAACTTGAGCTCCTCATTCGTACGAGTGCCAAGCAAAGCAGCGACAAGAGCACCTCCTGAAGTGCCAGTAATGATGGACGGCAGAAGGTCAGCATCCAAAAGGGCTTTTGCGATACCAAAGTGATAGTATGCAAATGTTGCTCCGCCAGACAAGCACAGAGCAGTCTGTCCAAAGTTGGTGCTGAGGTGCTTAACCATGGCACGCTTATCTTCTAACGAAAGCTGGTCCGAGTCTAGTAAGAGCTTAATGCTATCCGAAGCTTCATCAATGAATTCCTGCACGAGATTCTTGGTTCCGTAATATGTCTCCGAGTAGAGACGGGGATTTTCGAAGCCGGCAAAGTTGTTCTTGACACAGGCTTCGACAAGGCCTCTGAGCTCGTCGACAGCACGCGTGCCAGGAGACATGGGAGACATGGTAGGTGGGCTGAGGACTTCCTCCTGTACTTTTGCTTTCAAGGATTGCAGGCGATGTTTGACGCGACGGACAGTCTTGCTGTCGTAATAAGCGTACTCATCGGTGGCCTTCCACTTTTCACTGCCCAAGTGGCTGTCAAGCTCTTCGGCGGCTCTGATCCAGTCCTGGTAGTTTGACATGTGGCGTAAACTGGCGCGTATCTGTTCACGCTTTCCCCGCCATGAGACGAGGTGTTCATACAGGCCAATGTACAGACGTGTGAACAGATATGAGATTCCTAAGGCGGTGATCCAGCCCAGGACGACAAAAAGCAGCGGCCATTTGAGCAGGCTGTATGTCCATCCTTCTCTTGTCTCGTCCTTACCTCGACGAGGTGCACGCTTCTTCTTTGCACTCCTTTGGTTCTGGCGGCCTTTGACCTTCTTGCGTACAGGGGCCCAGTCGTTGAGAGCGGTAAAGAACTGTGGAGGCTGACTCGAGGGGTTCAGAAGATCGTCTTCGGAAGGAGAAGTAAAATCGGGAGCGGCGAGGGCTTTGGCGAACTCTTGGACGTCGTCCTCTCCTATGAAATCATTGTCGAAATCTGGCATGGTCGAGGGGTCCCATGCTGCAGGGTCCCACGGACCGGGCCCATCGCTCTGTTTGGACACGTCGGCCATGACGCGAATGGATTGGAGACTCTTGCTGTCACGAGACAAAGCAGCTTCGGCTCAGCTGCATGCTCGCGAGGAAGGTGCGACTGGAGGAAAGCGGGCATTGAGGGTCTCGGGAAGTACTAATTGCACGGGGAGGCCGTTGCGTCACTCTATTGCTCTATTGCTTTCGGCCCGTGCCGCTAGTGCTGCTGCGCATCTTATCTTATCTTATCTGCTCAGTCGATGCATCTACATCAAGGTCGCCGTCGCCTCGCCGCCTCGCGTCAGTCTTTCAGCGGACAACAATGCTGCGGGACAGCGGCTTGTCCAAACACAATGCCATGGTCAATCGCAAGACGACCGCCGCTATCAGCGACGACGCGAAGCGGCCTGCCAAAAGGCTGAAACTGGAACATGCTCCCGAGGCAGATTCACCAGATGACGCCGAACTTGCTCCCGCCGACCACGAACACCACAAAGCTACCGATCTCGAGACCGCTCTCCCTCCCATAGATACCGACAAAGACGCCATCAAAGCCTACGAAGCCACCCGCGCCACCGACTACTCCGAGTCTCAGAAAGATCAGCCGAAATGGATACCTGGCCAGCGTTCAATCTACGTCGACGCCTTCAATCTTGCTCTGGACACTGTTCTCGAAGACGAGAGCCATCTGTTCGATGATGCTGAAAAGAAGGTCTTTGACACTTGGCGTGAGCTGAACTACGAGGCACAATATCTCTACGTCCGTCTATTCCTCCGCAAGACATCCGCCTGGCATCGCGTCAACCGTCTTGGCTACCACAGCGACATCTCCGACCTGTTCAGAGCTGTCGAAACCTTGCAGATCTCCTGCGACCTTCCGCCGCCCACTGTCGACTCACTCCCAGTGCCGCGCGACTTTGATCAACCCGAGGACGCTTTGCTGGGTCACTCCTTCACCTTCGCTGACAAGTCTGAAGAACACATTACCACGTTAGAGGAGGCGTCCTCGCTTCTCCTGCTAGACGAGCTAAAGTCACTTGCCAAAGACGCCAAGGTCCAAGGGAAGACGAAAAGAGAATTGCTGAAAGCCCTGAACAAGGCAAGCGGGAAACAAGCTGGCCTAGGCTGGTCTTCGCTCAAGCGCTCCGACACGGAAGAATCAGCTCTATCTGTAGCCGATGATGACAGTCGAGAAGGCACTCCTCTACAGAACAGAGATACGCACTTTCTCGACAAGATCATGGCAGAGACAGGTCCCTGTATTCGACTGTCGGATCCTGCACGAAGATTGTTCGAGCGCGTTCATCTCGTCTTCTATCGTTCCACCATGTGGACTGAGAAGTCTTTGACCACCATCATCCTCGCCAAGATTTCACGCTTGAACTTCCCAGACTATCTCGTGTGTCGCTCGTCCAACATCTTCGCATCTAGACCCATGTTGCTCGAGTTTGAAGCTTCGCTGCGGATACAGTACTATCTCGACAGCGTTCTCGAGTTCGGTGGTACGCCAAGTAAAGAGAATCTGGATACGATACTCGACCTCTGTGATCAAATTCTTCCGAGATGGAGAACGATACTGCAAGAGGAACAAGAAAAAGAAGACAGCATTTACATGACTGGCGAGGGTGCGTACTTGCGACGCCTTTCCCCAGCCTGGGTCTACACTCGTATCATCCACAAGGGTGCATATGTCATGGGCAAATTCAAAGATCACAAGCGTGAGTACGAAACGTTACAAGAGCTACTCAAGCAGAAGCTCTTCCACACTTCCAGACGAGGTGATTGGTATCAGAGAAAGGCTCTTCTAGAAGAGCATTACATGCATGCTCTAATGCCCGATCAGGGCCGTGGAGAAGAGGCTCAGAAGAAACACTGGAAACGTGTATCGCTTCAGACATGCGAGGAAGGTCTTCAAGACCGTCTCGTACACCTCATGTACCATCATGATCTTCAGAAACGAGTCATGAAGTTGGAGAAGGCCCTTCGTGTGCCAATGCGAGAGCAACATGACTTCAGCCACGTTCGACTGGCCAAACCTGTAGAACGTTTTTTCCACGGTACGCGGATACAAAGGCCTGACCAAGGTAACGAGACAAGGAGGGGAGGCAAGACCATCTGGATCGATCCTGGCGAGAATGAGAACGAAGGTGAATGTTCTGTGGAAGCAATGTGTCTTTCGCAATACCGCTCCCTCGGCTACAGGGGATATCATGCTGAAGGCGGCATTGTACGGACTTTGTTCGCTTACCTCTTCTTTGACGTGCTTTTCGTCTACATTCCGGATGTGTTTCAGACGCCTTACCAGACATGTCCATTGGATCTACACACGGATGCATTCTATCCTTCGCGGATCTCCGAGATCAATCAACGTCTGAACGAAATCAATAATGGAGAGGCGCAGAATCTGATCCAACGAGTGTGGGATGACCATCACGAGAAGAACACATGTGTCGTGGGGTTGAGTTGGTCATATGAGCTGGAAGATCTCTTATCCATCGCTAAATGCTTCCCTCCTGCGGCTCTGAGTACCGTGTGCAAAGTCATGGCGCAGGAATACGGACAGCGAGGAGGAGGCGTACCTGACCTCTTCCTGTGGAAAGAGAACCTTGACACAGAAGGTGGAGAGGTCATGTTCGCAGAAGTGAAAAGTGAAAATGATCGTTTGAGCGACACACAACGCTTGTGGATTGACGTGCTCACAGGCGCGGGTGTCACGGTGGAGTTGTGCAACGCTGTAGCCAAGGAAGTAAAGGTGGTTGGTTAGCTAGAATCCTCATGACTTGGATGAACTGTTCTGGCTTCCAAAAGACGTTCTCGCACGACACACGCTTTTTCCTTTCTTCTGTGGTTGCTAGCAAACTCAATCAACTTTCGAGCCTCCACTGCCAACATCTATTGAAGGAGGCGGCACGATGATATCGATATCGAGTACAATAATACCAACAACTCAGCGTCTTCTTGCAACCTCAGAAAGCGTACACAGCAATCTACAACATTGTTCCACGAGCTGGAGTCGGGGGAGAAATCCATAAACTCGGACACAGGGTTGTACCAGCGACCATGCGAGTGAAGTCGCGAGTCGCGGGCGATCTGCATCTCGCGTGCCAAAGAGATCAGCGCGACCATGATGCTGGTGTGGCTGCCGTGAGGCGCAGCGCTGCCCACTTCGAGAGCAGACTTTTCCAGCACATCGCTAAGCGCTTGCAACTCCACCCGCCGAACCCGCAACTCATTTCGGATACCGAAACTCAAAGTCCAAGACTTCAGCTTTCGACATGGCACTCGACAATTTTTGACAACCTGGCATTCTTCCCCAGCATGAACCACCATCCGCATTCACTCAAACAACCTTGCATGCTACTGCAGGTCCTCCCGTGGGATGCGATTGTATAAATGAGGGCATCGCGATGCTCTTCGATGCTTGTTATGCTCACCTTCGTCACGATTTTCAGGGCTGCCCTACACTGATTGACCCGTGTGGAGCTGAAGGTTGTCCATCGAAAGCTTCTGATGTCATGTTTCGTGTGTCGCGCGAGGAAGAGCAATCTGAGACAAACTGATGTTCAGCGTTCCAACGGCCCAGCCAGCTCGTCGGGGTCTTCTACCGAAACTCTAGCAGTTGATACTCGCAGCTCTAGACGACGACCAATGCAATGCGAAAAAAACTCCCCGAAAAGGCAGCAACGTGAACGGCTGGTCGATGGTTCGTAGCTTGCCATGTTGCTCAAAGGAACTTTCTCGAGCTCACTCCAGCTTCATGCATCATAGCTCCAGTCCGAGACCCTGGTCGGGATGCAGTGTTGCCGTTCTTGCAGGGATGAGTATGCGTAACAGACGTCACCCGCCAGCGATGCGCGCCAATCATTTCAACATCCACGCTTACACTTGCTGTCCTTACTCCGAGACTGTTGACAGGTCGCGGTTGCGGTACTGCTGCCGTCTGTAAGTCTTTCTCCGTATCGATCTCTCGTGTCGCACAAAATCCTGATCCGTGCCGATGAGACGGCTTTCTCTGATGGCCTCGAGCTGCAAAGCTCCCCTCGAGGCCCCTCGATCCTCGCCTCGCAGCCACTAATGGACCGCCCCGTCTTCTCCGCATCGTCGATACAGCTGCCTTGTAGCCACTCTTCTCCAGCCGTCACTCCATATTTTCGTGGCTGTGACGTTGAATTGCAGCTCGAGAGCAGGGCCAACCGACATCTCACCAGCCGCAAAACCTGCTGATGCCACTGTGAGGCGCTACCTACCTGGCCTTTTCATACGTCACATGCTTCCTCGACAGTACGTTGCCAGCCAACTGCAGTGCTAGCTTGCTCCGTGCTCGAGGTAGGTACCTTTATATGTTTTGCAAGCTCCCTTCCCTCGTCTCAATTTCTCTATCAATTTTCTCCCCCCATTCCCCCAAATAACTTAATCATAATTGTTGTATGACCAACAATTCATCTTCCTCCTCTTACGCCTACTACTCCTTTCCTCCAACACCAAACAGAGCTTCTTCCCCAGCGAGCTCTAAATCTAATTCCCCCACCCCCAAAACAACACGAACTTTGAGAAACATGGCTCCTTCTCCGGCTGCAGGCAAGGCCACTGGTGGCGCCCCCAAGACTCCCACCAAGTTGGGAAGAAAGCCTCAGAGCTCAACTCCTCAGCCTCCTAAACTCGGACAGCAGGCCGCTTCGGGCGCAAGAAAAGCATCCGCCCCCGAGGGTGCTAAGAAGCCAGAGGTTCCTCAAACGTCTGAGAAGCCAGAGGTCGGTGATGTGCAAGAAAAGGCCGGCGAGGCCGCCCAAGGTGCACAGGACAAGGCTGGCAAGACCGCCGAAGACGCCAAGAGCAAGGCCGAGGGCGCTTCTGAAGAGCCCAGCAAGGTCGAGATGAAGGACGACACCGAAGCCGCATCCACCCAGGCTGGTGATGATGAGGACGAGGACGATGACGAAGGCCCTCTGAGCAAGGTCTCCCAGGCTGGAGACAACGCCAAGGGCCAGCTCCAGGAGCAAGCTCCTCAGCCAATTGACGACTCTAACGACAACGACACTGCTGCTGGTGCAGCTGATGACGACGACACCGAAGACACCGAGGACACCGCTGACGACGACAAGACCGTCAAGGCTGGTGACGAAGCAGACGATAACGACGACACTGTTGATGATGCTCAAGACACTACCGGCAAAGTGGCTGACGACGCCCAAAAGACTGGCAAGCAGTCCGGTGGCAACCTTCTCAAGGGTGCTAAGGGACTCGCTGGCAAGGCTTCTGGTCTCGCCGGAAAGGCCGCTCAGGACCCCAAGAAGGCTGCTCAGGATGCCCCTAAGGACGCCCAAGACGCAGCAGAAGATGTCAAGGATACCGCTCAAGACACTGCTCAGGATGCTTCTGAGAATGTCCAAGATGCCGCTGACGATGCCAAGAAGGTTGCAGGTGATGCTACCGACGAGGCCGGTGATGCTGCCGAAGACGTCAAGGACTCTGCTGAAGATGCTGCCGAGGACGCCGAGGACACTGTCGAGGATGCTGCCGGTGACGCCACTGACAAGGCTGGCGATGTCGCCGACCAGGCCAAGGACACTGCCGAAGACGCCACTGAGGATGCTCAAGACACCGCAGAGGATGCCACAGAGCAGGCCAAGGGCACCGCGGAAGACGCCACCGAGGATGCTCAGAATGCTGCCGACAATGCCACTGAACAAGCCAAGGGCACCGCTGAGGACTCCGCTGAGCAGGCCAAGGGTACTGCTGAGGATGCTACCGACAAGGCTGGCGAGACTGCCGAGGGCGTCGAGGATTCTGCCGAGGACGCCAAAGACACCGCCGAAGACGCTGCCGATGCCGACGTTCCCGAGATCAACGACATCAACGACCTCCCTGTAGACCTCTCCGTGCTCAAGGGCCTCGAGGTTTCCGAGGACGGCATGGTCAACGACCAAGACGGTAACCCTATCGGCAAGCTTGCTGAGGGTGACGCTGAGGATCTTGCTGGTTACCCAATTGGTGACGACGGCGAGATTCTTGACGACGATGGCGATCTCGTCGGACGCTGCGAGCTCCTCCCCGAGCAGGTCAAGAAGCAGATGTCTGACCTCAAGAGCAAGGGCGAACTTCCCAAGGGCGCCGAGAACTTCGTCGACCTCCCTGAAGATGATGAGGATGGTGATGATTCCGACAAGTTCAACCTCGCCATCCTCAAGGGCCTTACCTGCGACCCCACTGGTAACATCTTCAACGAAGATGGTGATACTATCGGCCAGGTTACCGACGGCAACCCTGAGGAGCTCATGAACGCTACTCTCAACGAGTACGGCGAGTTCATTGACGAGGATGGCAACGTCATCGGCCATGCCGATATCCACCCCGAAGCTCCCGAAGACATTCAAGAGCAGATCCAGCAGGCTGCTGATGAGGCCAAGGAAGCTGCCGGCGACACTGCCGATGCCGCTGACAAGGTCGACAAGGCTGCCGATAACGTCGAAGATGCCGCTGATGATGTCAAGGACGCTGCTCAAGACATTGAGGACGAGCTCCCCGGCATCGAGGCTCTTCAGGGCAGAGAGCTCAACGACGCTGGCGAGGTTGTTGATGACCAAGGCGAAGTTCTTGGTCAGATCGACGACGAGTCTCTCAAGGAGAAGCTCGAGTCCGGCGAGCTCAAGGCCGAAGACCTCAAGATCAACGAGGATGGCGAAGTCGTTGACGCTGACGACAACGTCCTCGGCAAGGTCGGTCTCGCTGAGGGTGCTGCCGAGAAGCTCGGCGGCTCTCTTCCTTCTCTCGACCTCCGCATTCTTGATGGCAGAAAGGTCAACAAGAAGGGCAAGGTTCTTGACGATGAAGGTGAGCAGATCGGTGAACTTGCCGAGGGCGACCCCAAGGAGTGCGCCGGCAAGAAGATCAACGACAAGGGCGAGGTTCTTGATCAAAACGGCAAGGTCATTGGCAAGGTCTCCGTCACCCCTGGCGAGGCTGCCGAGGAGGCCACCAAAGAACTCCAGACCGAGCTCGGCGAGAACGTTCCTGAAGAGGAACAGGAGGGTGAGGATGAGGAGCAAGCCGATGAGGAGGAGGCTCAAGGCCCTCAATTCAAGATTCCCGACCTCGACGTCCTCGAAGGCCTCAAGGTCAACAAGAAGGGCAAGGTCCTCAACGAAGACGGCGAGGAGATCGGCGAACTCACTTCTGGTGATCTCAGCGAATGCGCTGGCAAGAAGATCAACGAGAAGGGCGAGGTCCTCGATGCCGATGGCAACACCATTGGCCGTGTCAAGGCTTTGCCTCAAGAGATCCCTGAAGAGGAGCTCGAACAAGCCGAGGAGGCTGCCGACAAGGCCGAAGATGCTCAAGACGCCGCCGAAGATGCCGTCGAAGATGCAGAGAACGCTGAAGAAGGCGCTGAGGATGCCCAGGAGGGCGCCGAAGATGCCGAAGAGGGTGCTGAGGATGCTGCCGAAGATGCCGCTGAGAACCTCCCTCCTCTTTCTGTCCTCGAGGGTCTGAAGGTCAACAAGGCCGGCAAGATCGTCGACTCGAACGGTACCGTCGTTGGTGAACTCACCGAAGGTGATGCCAAGAAGCTCTCCAAGTCTGGAGTCAAGGCAGACGACCAAGGTCAGTTCTGGGACGACAAGGGCCATGTCATTGGTCGCGCCAAGACTGTTCCTGTCGAGGAAGACGAGGAGTCACCTTTCGCTGGTCTCGACGGCCTGATCGTCGTCAAGGACGGTTGGGTTGAGGACGAGAACGGCAACCGCGTTGGTCAGCTCACCGAGGGCGATGCCAAGAAGCTCGTCGGTCGTGCTGTCGATGAGGATGGTGATATTCTTGACAAGAAGGGTTCCGTTGTTGGTCACGCCGAACGTTACGAGGAGGCTGATCAGGAGCCCGAGCCCGAAGAGGACCCCGTCGACCTTTCTAGCCTCAACGGCAAGGTCCTGAACAAGGCTGGCTTCGTGATTGGTGATGAAGGTGTACCTGTCGCTCGCTTGGTCGAGGGCAAGGCCAAGGAACTCGCTGGCAAGAAGCTCGACGACCAAGGTCAGATCTGGAACGACCAGGGCAAGGTCATCGGTCGCGTTGAGTTGATCCCCGAAGATGAGCGCGAGGCCAAGCCTGACGGCCCCTTCGCTGGTCTCCAGGGTCTCCGCGTCGTCGCTGACGGCAAGGTCGCTGATGAGGACGAGAACATCGTTGGTGAGATCGTTGAGGGCAACGCCAAGCGCTTGATCGGTCTTGCTGTCGACGAGGACGGCGATGTCATGGATAGATACGGCAACGTCAAGGGCCATGCCGAACCTCTCGCAGAGGAGGAAGAGGAAGGTCCTGTCGACAACTCTATGCTTGACGGTAAGAAGCTCAACAAGAACGGCTTCGTTGTTGACGACAAGGGCATCCCTATCGGTAAGCTCATTGATGGCAACGTCAAGGAGCTTGCTGGCCGCCAGTGCGACGAGAACGGCGACATCCATAACGACACCGGAAAGGTTGTTGGACACTGCGAGGTTCTCCCCGAGAACGAGCGTGTCTCCAGAGCTGAGGGACCCTTCGCCGGCCACGAGGGTCTTCGTGTCAACAAGGAAGGTTTCGTTGTTGATTCCGAGGACAATGTTGTCGGAAAGGTTACCGAAGGTGACGTGAAGAAGCTTGTCGGCCTCCAAGTTGACGAGGACGGCGACATCAACGACAAGTACGGCAACGCAAAGGGCCACGCTGAGCCTTACGAGGAAGAAGACGAAGTCCCTCTCGACAACTCCATCCTCGATGGCAAGAAGTTGAACAAGCAAGGATTTGTCGTCAACGAAGATGGCATTCCTCTTGGTAAACTTGTCGAGGGCAACGTCAAGGAGCTCGCTGGTCGCCGCTGTGACGAAGAGGGCAAGATTCACGGTGATACCGGCAAGGTCGTCGGTCGCTGCGAGGTTCTTCCTGAGAACGAACGCGTTTCCAGACCTGAGGGTCCTTTCGCTGGACTCGAAGGCCTCCACGTCAACAAGGAGGGCTACGTTGAGAACGCCGAGGGCGACCGCGTCGGTATCGTTACCGAAGGCAACGTCAAGCGTCTCGCAGGCCTTCAAGTCGATGAGGATGGTGACATCTCCGACAAGTACGGAAACACCAAGGGCCACGCTGAGCCCTGGGAGGAAGAGGAGCAAACCGCTGAGGACCTTTCCGCCCTTGCTGGCTGCACTGTTAACAAGGCCGGTAATGTCGTCGACTCTTCTGGTACTATCATCGGTCGCGTCGCCGAAGGTGACCCGTCCACCATGGTCGGCAAGAAGGTTGACGGCCAGGGTCAAATCTGGGACAATGCCGGAAATGTCATTGGCAAGGCCGAGCTCGCCAAGGGCTCCGACACCAAGGCTGAGGGACCTTTCGCTGGGTTCGACAGCATCACTGTCAACAAGGAGGGATACGTTGTTACTCCCGATGGTGGCATCGTTGGCCGCGTCATCGAAGGCGACGTCAAGAAGCTTGTCGCCCACAAGGTCGACGAAGACGGTGAGATCCAAGACAAGAACGGTAACCTCATCGGCAAGGCCGAGAGATGGGAGCCTGAAGAGAAAGAGAGAAAGATCAACCCCATGTCTGGTCGCCGTGTCAACAAGGAGGGTGAAGTCCGTGACGAGAACGGCGATGTCATGGGCAGACTCACTGCTGGTGATCTCGGCCACTGCGTCGGCCTTGAGGTTGATGACAATGGCTACGTTGTTGACAACGACGGCAACAAGGTCGGCGAAGTCACTCTCATCGGCAACATCATCGAAGATGAGGAGATTCCTGAGGAGGAGCTCACCGAGGAGGAGAAGGAGGAGCGCAAGAAGAGGGAGCAAGACCGCGAGATTGCTGAGAAGATGGGCACCATCTGCACTCAGACTCTCGAGAGAGTCCAGCCCATCTGCAAGCAGATCACCGACGTAAGTGCTTACCGATTCCATGCCATTGTTCGAACCCTTACTGACTTGCCTTTTCTCTACAGCACATCGAAGCCGCCGACCGTACCCCACGTGAAGAGTTGGACGAGGAAGATTTGGTCAACAAGGTCAAGCCTCTTATCGAAGAGGGTGGTCGCATCCTGCAAGAGTGCAACGGCTCCCTTCGCGGCCTCGACCCCGACGGTCGCATCGCTGCTCAAGCCAAGGGTCGTGCCGGCACCAAGGAGGCCACTCCCGAGGAGTACCGCCTGGCCGATACCCTCAAGGAGTTGACCACTACCGTCGTCACCACCATCGACAACGCAAAGAAGCGCATCAACGACATGCCTCACGCCAAGAAGAAGCTCAACCCTCTCTGGGGCCTGATGACCCAGCCTCTCTTCCAGATTCTTGCTGCCGTCGGTCTTTTGCTGACTGGTGTCTTGGGTCTGGTTGGCCAGCTGCTCAACGGTCTTGGATTGGGTGGACTTGTCAATGGTCTGCTCGGTGGACTTGGTATTGACAAGTTGCTCGGTGGCCTCGGCCTCGGCAGCGTCGCCAGCTCGCTTGGCCTGGGCGGTAAGAAGGGCAAGAAGGAGGGCAGTGGTGGTGGTGCCAGCAGTCTGCCCATCGTTGGCGGTCTGTTCGGCAAGAAGTAAAACAAAAAAGACACATCACAAGATTTGATGTTCTAATCCTGAGCCTGACTGGAGGATGAAGAAAGAAGACAAACAAAAGAGGAGGAAACTACACCAACCATTTCTGGAGGAAAGAGCAAGGGATCGGGGGGTCTTCTTGCATCGGACTTACTGATCATCTTTGGAGGACGTTCTTCCCCTGTTTGCATTCTGTTTTCTGAGCCCGGCGCTGGTCTCCCTTCGCTTTCTTTTGACGAATTTCCTTTGTTAATCTGTTCAATGTGTTTGTATTTATACCACTACTCTGTTGTTGTTTATTTAGTACACCCTAGCTAGGTAATTTCTGCTATTTACAGTATAACAGTCTCATATGTTTGATTCACTATTCTTGCCAGAACACTCAAGGACTTCTGAACAACGTGTGATCGACCGACCTATCTCATGGTGTCAAATAGAAGCTTAAATTGCTATAACAAGGCACAGACACCTTATGAAGACTGTCGTGGGCATGGAAGCACCCTGAGATAATTTCACTCTCAGGATCTCACTCGGATGAGAAACTGTTCTGCATCTCGATAGTCACACCGTACTAGCCTCTGGCCCACGACAAAACCAACTCGATAGAATGAAGTGCTGGCTCAATGTAGTTAACAGCTAACAGAGCAGACACCACACGTTCTTTGGAACCTCCAGATGTCTGACCCAAAATCATTGCAGGACCCCTTACTGTATTGCCGTTTGGTAGCAAGTGTTTTTGTTAAATTATGCGGAGCAGTCATTTCCCTCGGCTCGTATTGACACGAAAATCCATGTGTGGACGTGTTTCTCATAAACCAGCGTGATCTGAGCGTGGCTGAGTCGCGTTGCTGCACTGCTTCCTTCGCTTTGCGAATGGCTGGTATGGTGGAGCAAAACTCTCCACCAGCACAATCCGGAGCATGTTTTTCCGTTCAGGCAAAACCATCTATTCTTGTCCGTGGCGAGTGTCTTGCCGTCTATGATGCCCAGCAAAGTTCTATGATGGCGGCATGCCGAGTAGACGACTGCCGTTGACTCTCAGATCCAGATCCAACGACGCTGAGATCTTGTTGACTCGTGCTGCTTTCGATACCCTGTTGAGATCACTTGAACCATACTCGCCCGTTCACAGCCGCTCGTTCGCGAAGCCTGCATGGTGTGGCAGGCAGAGTGGAGGAATGCGCGCTCTATATTTGGGACATGAGGCGATCACATTGATAGACGATGGATGGAGGTGTTCGTATTGAGTGGCAGCAACTGGGAAGGACGTGGCGCCCAATCGGTCGGTGGTGGCCGGTTGGCGCACGCGCGAGTCGTGAAGGTTCTGTTAAGCTTCTTCCTGCCGAAGGAAATGACGATGACCGGCCTTAATTTAGCAAAGTGTTAGCGGAGGATGGCCTTGTTCCGCTTAGCAGCACACGATCACCACATGATCCGCCATGGCTGGGAAGCACATTGATCCATCTCGTACTACTCTTGGCATCACATCGAAGAATTCATGATGCGTGGTGCAGGTAGGTGTCGTAAAGAGGTCCGCGCTCGAAGGGTAGGTACCTGACGTGGCCGCAAAGCTCGAGATATATAGCCCACCCCTACCCTCCCATCATTACTGTTTTATCACCAGCCTTTTCCTATCAACAGTTTCAACATCTCTATCCTCCTATCACCAGCAATACAAACGTACTTCAACGGGACCAGCCACTTAGATCCACATACAAACTCTCAAAATGGCTCCTCGTTCAGCAACCCTGCTCTCAGCCTTCCTGGCTGCCACCACCGTCTACGCTCTTCCCGGTGCTCCCGCTCCTCTTGAGAAGCGTGCCGATTGGGTAACAGCCGTAATTGATGGAAAGACCGTGTCTTGGGAGAACAACTGGAACGTCCCAGCACAGTCTACCCCTCCGGCTGTAGTTCCCTCTGCTTCATCCGCACCTCAGAACAACAATGGAGGCGATTGGATTACGGCAACATACAATGGACAGACCTTTTCGTGGCAGGCCAATGCTCCTACTGCCGCACCGGCTTCGTCTACTCCTGCATCGTCCCCTGCTCAGCCCACCACCGTAGCTGCACCTGCACCTGTTTCCACAGCCAGAAACACCAACCCTGAATGTAGAGACGTCCATATCTTCTTGAGCAAAGGCTGGAACGAGCCTTACCCTGGTCGTCAGGGTAAGCTTGCCGGAGCCATCTGCTACGGTCTTGATTCTTGCGACTACGAGGACATCCTTTTCTACAACCCCGATGGCAGCGATTATTGCACTGCTGTCAAGGAGGGTGACACCAACGGCATCAACCAGATGACCGCCTACGCTCAGAAGTGCCCTGGCTCCAAGCTTGTCTTGTCAGGTTACTCTCAGGGTGCCAACGTTGCTGGAGACATCCTTGGTGGATCAGACATCTGCGGAGGCCCCAACCCCGGTCTTGACCCCTCTACCAGCCCAGGTAACCAGCTCGGTGCCATCCTTCTCTTCGGCGACAACAGACACGTTGCCAACCAGCCCTACAACTACCTCAGCGGTGCCTCCGTCAGCTGCAACGACCCCCGCTCCACAGACTCTCTCAACCGCATGAACAAGTTCTCTGGTATCATGAGATCTTACTGCGATGAGTCTGACCCTGTTTGTGCTGCTGCCGGTCCCGGTCCTTTCGACGTCAACAACCATCTTAACTACTTCGATCTTTACTCGGACGATGCTGCCGGTTGGGTCAAGTACATTCTCGGCTACTAAGCTGTTCGAGCGCCTTTTCTACCTCTCTTCTCGCTGTTGAGAATTCCTTGTTGATATTCAAAGGACCATTTAAAAAGTTGTAATTCATAATGAGCTATTAGACTGCTAGTAACAGTAATGACCATTCATCCACCAAATTTGTCTTTGCAATCATAAAACCGTGCCTTCTCCACCTCCTCGTTGTCATTCTCTCGAGTCTTTACGTATGCACTTGGTTCTCAGACATGGTGGATCCGTGTCTCAAGTAAGTACACTCTATGAAGATCTCAGTGGAGAACAATCCATACCCTCGAACACATTGCATCTCTACTGCACTTCACGTCGGCAGGACAAACCACAAAGAATGAGATCCTCACCTCTTGACGCCATGTCACAGCAAAGGATTTCTACACACAACGGTCTTGCAGGCGTGGTGTGCATGAGTGCATGCTGCACGCTGCATGCAACGCTGTCTAGCATCGACCCCACCGTAGATCCCATTCAACCAAGCCTTGATCTCGTCAATCTGTCCATCAGCATTTCTGCTGAACGAGACACGACACCTTTGACGATCGAAGGTATATCCATAAATGACGATGTTCACGAGAGTTGCGCGTCGTTTGCTTGCCTTGTAAGAGACACACAAGGCGGCCCAGCCTGTTTCGGGTGGTGTTGCTGCTGGCCTGGCCTGGCCTTGCACCGTGCTTTCCCTTTCGCTTTCCCTTCCAAGGCTGTCAAGGCAAACCGATGTCACTCGCCCAAGAACCATCACCACTTCCTGCCTGGTTCGGATGATGTTCGCTTGGCAACCCATTTCCATGTTTTTATGCTCTTTTTCTCTATATCATTCCGCTTCCTTAGGAAAAAAAAAAATCTCGGCAAGCAAAACGAGTATTTATAGACTGCGTGACAGATTAAAATCTGCAGATGGTGGTGTGGAGTGCAGGGTGGATTTGATACCGGCAAGAGAAAAAAAAAAGATACAAAGGAAGTTGTACATGTCTTTCATGAGTCGCGAGATCTGCATCAATCGAAAGCAAAACGAACAAGGAAGGTGAAAGCGCAGCACGTGCGAGGTAGGGTTACCTCGAACGACTTGCGCGTAAGACTTCTAAAGGACGAAATGTCCCATCATGATTTGAAGAGTCAAGATTAGCAAATTGGCATGCCAACGAACGCCTATGGCGGAAAGGGCACTGTACGAGGATACCGTCCTTTCGATACAGGGGTCTAGACTATCGCAATATGCGAACACGAGCATAACAAGGGTTGCAATATCCAGCACACCACATTGTTTGATCTACCCAATTTCATCTGAAACTCGCATATCATCAGTGTTCGACATTAGATCCTCTATAGCCTTTGGCAGCATCAATGTTTCCTCGATTTCCTCATCGTAGCGTCAAAAGCGAAAGTTGTTGTAGAGACAGGGCTACCCTACCTGACACCATGGTTCGGATACCTGCTGGCTATCATGACAAGAATATTCATCTGGTCACAATCGCGGACATTATGAACATCATGAACATTGACAGCTACAGGCATCACGAGGAAACGTGCCAGCTGGTGTGCTCTGTTGAGGGGTTTGTATGTAACCTGGAGCCTGTCTTCTGGAACTGCTTCTACGTATGCGTCGATAGAAGCCTGGGTGCGGAAGCCGTTGCGAAATGGGTCAGAGGTATTGAAAGTGTTGAGGATGTCTATGAAAATGCCTTCAAGCAAGATCATCCGGGGTATTAGCACCAAAGATCTGTCGATAAGGAAAAGAGGACGCAGATCGAGCTGGTATCTAGGCTGCATGACATGCTTGATGTAGGATGGAGAACTAGCAGGAATCGTACCTAGACGACGGGATCTTGCAACAACGTGGTCATAGTACCAGACGCGCTGGGATACACCCAGTTGGCCTGTTGCTGATCCGATGTATACACCAATGACCTTGCCATTTGCATCCCTAATGATGTATACGTAGACGCCCCATATTACAAGATCCTCGACTGATGCACATGGAATGTCGAGGTACTCTTCTCAAGTGACAATACGTTCTTAGCCTAGGATGAGCTCCACATGTATAATGACATTGTTGATGATCCGGTCCTCAAGAACTTTTGGGTTGCAATGGAATAGAATGGAGAGCATTCCCTTTGTAAACGGACAATTTTTCATAGTCCTCCAGTTGATGACCATAGCACGGCGCTTGTGTGAGATTATGCTGTGTCTGACACGAAGACGAAAGGTCAACCGGTCCTAGTGGTCGCTTTGGGTGTCTAGGTTGTAGTTGGGTTGGGAGCCCTAATTGACAGCAAGCTACTTGAATACTTTGGCCTCTTTGAGAGTCTGTAGACGATCTCTGCGTGGTCTTGACGACTTTGACGTAGATGATTGATTGTTTGAGGAGGCACGTTGCGATAATTCTCTTTAGTTGTGCCTGGACGATGCACGGAGTTCTTTACCGTCTCCGGCTACTTCTTCCTGTTCGTAGATGTATCACTCGTCTCGGCAGCGAGCGGCGGAGTTGGTCGTATTGGAGTATGGATGTGATATCCGAGTAAGGCTCTTTCGATGGTCCCATGGTGTGGTCCCGTGCTGTCATACCCGGCGGGAAGGGCTGGTTCTCCTTGAGCGGCATCAGATGCGACGAGTAAACGCGCGCGTTGGATAGCAATCGATGGATAGCGTGGTCGTATGTGTCTTGTGGTTGGAATCCTTGTTATCTGGATTGTGGCGATTCCTGCGCGTAGGGACACATATGAGCATGCTGCATGCATGCGAGGAGGATGCGCTTGCGGTTAAAGTCACGGATCTTGTGGGCAAATTCGAGCTTGTCTAGGACAGCAGTCTGACTCCTTCTCAGCCTCAATGTCTTTAAATAATTTGCTGCCTCTCAATTTAGTCAAATGGTCTACTTGCAATGCATTTGTTTGTATTTGTAAGTTGATTGCAATATGTATATGTGAGCTAAATGAAGTCTATGTTTTGTGTCCTCGCCTCGACACGAGATTCCGAATGCAATGATCTAATCTTTCTTGACCTCTTCAGAAGTCTCTACTGCTGCTGCTGCTGGTTCAGGAGCTACAGGCTGAGCTTCCGGAACAGGTGTTTCCTCAACCAGTGGGCCCCAACCGAACACTTCTGCCACACTGCGGATGCTGCTCCTGATGCCCACCAGGCCAACAATAATACCCACCAACTCCACAACCAAGAGTACCACGACACCGAGTAACATGCGAGGCATGAAGATACGATAGAGCATCAGGTGACGGCGAAGCCAAGCAGCCTCAACGACGGTGGCAAGAGCAATGGCAGCGTAGAAGACTACGTGGGTAGCGAGTGCCTTGGCGACCTGGTTCATCAGGCCTGGAGTGCGAGGTGGCACCTTCCAGAATACAACCGCAGGAACAGCAAGTGCACAGAGAACATAAGGTGCAAATGTGCTGATGATGACTAGCATGGGCGACCAAGGATACTTGATAGTCTTTAATGGGATGAATGCAGACTCCCACTGAATCGACGAGAGTGTGGCTTGGTGTCCGGTCTTGAAGAAGTAGAAGCCAGCCATCAGAGCCAATGTTACAGGGCCCAGGGGCGAATTGCGCAAGTCGTTTGCATCGATGACTTCAAGAAGGTTAAGAATGCTGAGTAAGCACAGGGAAAGTGTGCCCTGACCCATAGGTTTTTGGAGAAGGAGAAGAACGAGTGCCCAAATGGTTGGCAGGAGGAAGTATCGGGTACCGTGAGTATTGGCGTAGCCGAGAATGATGATCTTCTTGCGCTGTTGCGGCTTGATCGGTGTAAACATGGCTGACATCGGATCGTTGGGGTCCATGAGTTCTGTCTCGGGTGCAGGTGTCTCAGTCTCAACACCTAAGAACGGAGCAGAGTAGAGATACGCGCTGTAACCAGCTGCCCAGGCAATAGCCAAGATGGCTTGGGCGATGAACACACGAACGGTCTTCAAATTCTCACTCGAGACTTGGGGAATCCAGTCGTTGTCATCAGCTGCATCCAGGATCCAGTAACTTGCAGAGAGTACAAGACCAATACGGAATGCAATACTCAACCATAGTACAGCTGTACCTTGGTAGTTCTTGGTGCGAGCGAAGAAGTCGCGGATAGCGCTTGGCAGAATAACAGCAATGATGAAGGGAATAGTAAGCTGCCACCAAGCCGAGGTCGAAGAAGTGGCCGAGGCGTAGTATGTTGATCTGCAGAAAGGCATTTGCTCTTCACGGCAAAGGCGAGAAAGAGATGCGAGTCGGGTCAAGACAATGAATGAGAGTGAATGCCATGAACCAAGCAAGCGCTCCTGAGGATTCTGCAGGCGCAATGAAGAGGCAAGCATCAAAGCACCAATCGAGCAAAGCATGTAAAGTAGGATCTCGTCTTCCCAGATTGTGAAAGAGTTTGAAGCGAACCCGATGCAAAGAAGAACAGGAGGGATGGTGCATATCCAACCCCAGAAAGAGGCAGGTACTGGAGCACGGAGCTTCGAGGGTGTGGATACGAAGCACGAGAGTGTACCCAAAATGCCGCTCAATCCAGAGAAAAAGACAACGGAATTAATCCAAGAAACCGGAATCAGACCTCCCAAAAGAAGGCCAGCACCAGCTCCGATGGCCGCACCCACAACGCCACGGACACAGAGACCAGAGACGATCTCGCCACGATCTCCACTGAATCCGTTCGCGAAGAGCACAATAGTAAGGAGTGCGCCAGTAAGTAGACTGATACCCATTGCCATGCTGATCAGATCGAAACGGGCCCAGAGACTCTTGCATACGCGTAGATTCTCGTGTTGGTAGGCGCGGAGCTGAGTGTAGGCTGCTTGCCAGAGCTCGACAGAAGGTTTCTTGGCCTGTTCGACCTCATGCCAAACTCTGGAAGCTGCTTCCCAGAGAGTCTCGGGAGGGAGGGTACTGGCCGAGTCGAGTTTGCGAACAGCAGAGTACTCCTTCTGGTACCTATGAATCTGACCGGCAGTCAGATGGCTGACCCGAGCGAGGTTCTCGTAGTCATTGGAGTTCTTGCCGATGAAGGCCTCCTCGATGGGCTGGCCGAGATTGTTGAAAGGGATAGGCATGCCGAGAAGCAAAGACAATGTGGGAACCAGATCAATCTGTGCGACAGGTCTCTCCTTTGCAGTGATCGGAGGCTTTGCAGCGGATGCATCGCGACGACCGAAAAGGCCCTGTTTCGAGTACATCCAGAGAGCGGCCTCGACCTCGTCATCCGACTCTCCGCCATGGTCACCCTTGGCGTCCATGCCATGATCGCCCATAACAACCAGCAAGGTCTTGTCGTCAAGTGCAGCAATCATCCTCTCGAAGACACCGTTCATCTCGTGAAGCTTCGAAGCCATTGCAGGGTGATCAGGCCCATAGCGGTGGCCAGCGTGATCAACACCCAGATAGTGACCGAAGATGACATCCCAGGAGGAAGTGTTGGTTGAGTGCAACAGGGGGAAGATGTGGTCGTTGACACCATTATCGACCGTGTGCAAATCCCAGACGTTGAAGGAGTCGTAGGCGCGAGTAAGCTCAGGATCAAAGTATTCGGGGAACAGCGAGTGCCATGTATCGTCTCCAAGGTGGACTATTCTCTTGCCAGCAGCCTTGAGCTGTGCGACCAAATTGTCCTCGTCAATGGCAGTCCCAGCGAAGTTGGAGCCTGCATCGATGAAGGTGGGGAGAGTGCCGGTGGTCAGCCCCTTTAGACGTTGCAGGGTTGTGGTAGGAGGGTCGGCGATGAAGGGCAGAAGGAAGGCGTTCTCGGGTTCAGCTACAGCGGTGTCCCAGAAGATGGGCAGAGCATTGTGGAAGTGCTGCGAGGCATGTTGCGGGTGCTTGGGGGCCCAGGGTACGGTGAAGTCGTAGCGAAGGGCATCGACAATGATGACAACAGCCTTGTCAAAGGACTTGGGGTGCCAACAGCCATCGTCTGGAGAGCCAGGCGTGTAGGACAAGGCGAGCGGGACTGGAGGCACGGCGCACTCGGATTTGTGGTCCAAGACGAGGCGTGTCAGGAGGAAGCCGCTGAGGAAAAGGTAAATGCCCAAGGCGTGGAATACCCTGTATCGCTGTAAGTGACTGGGACGACAGCTGTCATTGAGAACGGGAAAGCATACAGAATCAAGGCGAAGAAACCAACGAGGAAACCATGGCGGCGCTTGAAAGTCTGGCGGCGCTCGTTCTGCACCTGCTTGGACGTCTCAGTCTTTGGAATATGAGCTTGCTGGTTTCCTGCTCCGGTCAATTGAGCCGCAATACTGGCCCCATCGCTTGCTGACATTTGGGTCGAAGCTACCGTCTAGGCATCGATGGGTGTACTGGTGGATGGGAGGGGAGTCGGAGCGATTGATGGCTGCAAATCTGTCGAGCACAAGAAGTAAATTGAGGGGTGCTCACTGACCATGCGGGGGGTTAAACTCGACCTCGTCTCATCTTACTACTCGATTCTTCAAACACTCGTCTCATCTTACTACTCCACGCTTCTAACGCATCCCTCTAGCTTGACATTCAACTCATCTCTCAGGACCCTTAACAATCACGTAACGATTCACCATACACCGTCGACATGTAGTTGCTTGAGCGGGTCGAAACCCTGCTTTTCATTGTAAGCGTCTGCTACTCGACCATAGGTCCAGTGCGCGCTGTGAATACATGAAATGTGTAGGTAATGATACAGACCACCTCACATTAGCTTCGTCTCCAAGACAAGAGCCCTTAAACCATGGACAAGAAAGAAAAAAGAAAAGGCAGACTCCATCTAACCGACTCCATCAGGACGCCTTGGCCTTGAATGATTCAGCCCCGCTATGCTGATAACGAAAGAAAAAAGAAAAACGGGAAGGGTGCTTAAAGGAGTGTATGAAGCATAAATGAAGTAACTGCTCAACGTCGAGGCAGCTTTCCGAGAAAGCAAAAAACAAGAAACATTAACAATATCCGACGTATCGTAGTAAAGGCTTCGCAAGGTCCGTCGAGGGGTGTCGGCAAGCAACGAACACCCTGTCGCGGGTAACTCGTAGCCAGAGAAGCGAATATGTACCATGAGCGGCAGCCATGAGGTGGACAAGCACCTGCACACATCCGGTTCAGGGGTCGTATGTATGAGATTGAGGGAGGGAAAAAAAAAAGAAAAGGCCGAAGTGTGTCCAAGAAGAAAGAAAGTAATGGACGGTCGAGCTCCAGCGGGTCATTACTTTTAATTGTCGTTGAAGGTTGTTAAAAGATGTCGTGCGCCATCGACTATTGGTAGCGAGCCTCGACGTTCTTCTCCTTGAGCCCGCCTATCCTCTCAAGATCAAGCGACTGGAAACGATCCGACTCGCTCTTCTGGTAGGGAGGAAGGTTCTCCGATACGGGCTCGAGACCAATGCTGTGGTCACCGACACGCACGACGACAACTCTGCCAGATTGGCGCTTTCCCGAGGTGTCAACTTCCTCAGGGAAATGGATACGGATCTCGGGAACGGAATTGGCCGATGGGGGAGCTTCCGAGTTGTCGATGAGGCTTTGCTTCTCCTGGTAGACAATGATGGACTCGTGAGGACGGACAGTGACACGGTGGTGGCGGGCTGAAGATGATTTCTCTTCATCATCAAAGTCGAGAGAGCCGGCACGCATCGAACGCTTTCTCCAGCGCATGAAGTAGAGGGCGACGACACAGAGCAGAGCGATGATAAGAAGGACGACAAGGGCGATAAGAAGAGCAGCCATTGTGGGAGAATAGGATTCGTCGTAGCTGTCACGGGCGACGAGGGTCATGAAAGCGGCCATGGTGATTGTCGAGGGAAACGAGAGTCGGTGAAGAACGAGTGTGTGTTGTTGTAGAAGTTGGAAATGGAAGGCAGGGAGACCTAAGGATTTGGTGTCATGTAACGTCCAGGTACGAGTCGTCGCAGCGATGCCGTTGTGGTGATGGAATTAAAGTTTTCAAGGTGCTGGGGCGGGACAAGGTCAGCATTGGCAGTCGTGGGTGTGCGGTGTTGATCAAATGTCTGAGGCTGGTCGAGTGGTAGTGCATTCTGCACAGCGCGACTCTTTGACAGGCATCGCGTCGACAGATTGTAGGGATGGTTGGGTGGTTGGAGTTCAACGGAGAGGAACGCGGGGGGCCGCTACGGAGTGCATACCTCGAACACGCAATCGATTTTGTGGGCGACAATTCTTCTCTCGTGGGTGTGAACGAATGGAGTGCAGAACGACGGCTAAAAGAGTGAAGCCGGGGTTGCGAAACTAGCTGTAGGGGCGAACAGGTCGAAACAGACGATCGAAAAGCTCTCAAACTCGTCTGAGGGCGCGCGCTCCATCTTTTGTTGATGTCTCTCGACGACGCCTAAGATTGCGACGAGCTGTTAGCGCCGTTGCAAAACTCAAACGGCCAATCAACCGTCAAGCACTGCAACTCCACTTTTCAAGCAGCACTCGTCATTTCATTTACAGCCAACTAGCTGCCTTGACCTTCTAAATCCGACCGTGAAGCCGCTTCTCTGATTATCATGGGGACCAGACTCCAATAGGTACAACTGCCTGTCCAAAACTGTATCTCTGCAAGACCAATCCGTCCACCCGGAGTGATGAACACTCAAGAGGCCTTTTCTCTCAAGGTCCACAAGTCTGGGTGGGTGGGAGAAGCCAAACCGGATTTAGATTGCTCGAGATCACCAAGATCATCAGGAACCAACTCTCCCAAGCCTCTAGCCGACATGCGCACTTCCGGCATCAATTTATGAGTAGAGTGCATAATCACCACACAACAAGGCTTCCATCTCGATACGTGCACACGCTGGATTCCTCGACAAAGCCACGACAGGGGCAGAGAAATGCGTCGTGCCTGTCTGACCTGCTTGTTTTTGTGCACCGACGTGACCTCACCTTCGTGGTTGGCCTTGCAAGCCTCGTTGCCCTATCTGATGTCGGACAGTCTGATGGACATCTGATAACATGGCTCTGAATCAAATGGTCCTAGCCCTCGGTTGCCTTTTGAGCTTTCCGTCGGCCGTTCAATCCGCAACACTGAGAATCTTGCACAGCCATGATAACCTCTCCCGTCCAATTTCGCACACATTGCCCCGACAACTTTGTCTGTTTGAAAAGCGAAGCCCGAACGGTAACTTGAACGACAATAATTAGAGCGAGAAAAATCAATGAACGGAAAGAAGGGGCTGTCTACCATCTCCAAGAACGGTCTCAAAATAGGAGATGTTGTTTACATGGAACAGGAGTGTCGAAAACATGTGCTCACAACAAGCAAAGCATTTGCTGTGCGGTTTTCTACCATGCACCCCTGGCCGCACCATGCTGCAGCTCCATGTGTGGTGCATTGAGGCTTCCCTCTCATTCACGCACTCGGATCTGATCAGCAACTCACAGATGACGCCGCAATCGTACCTCGAGGAAACATGGAACTAGCAGAACATGAGTACTTGAAGTGTTCGTGCCGATTGATGATCGCAGTGACTGTACCGGCCTATCACACGACAGTGTCTTGAACAAAATGTGTTACACTTGAAATCCCTCAACCTCTTTGTAGCTCGTGAAATGAGTGGCTCAAGTCATGTATCACACAATCTTGTCCAGTCTATAGAAGGTCCAAGGGCTCTTCCTGATGTACGTACTCGAGTAGTGTCATATTTGTCACCGCTCGTGTCCATGCTTGGTTTGTTGTACTTGAGATGCCAGAACGCCAGGGTTACACACACGGATTGGGTAGGTGATCGGTGAGCAGGATGAAGGCTCATGCCGTCGATCCTTGACACTAACGCACTGCTGTCAAGATGGATCATCTACTTGATGCGACATAGAGTCGCTGGTCTTCTCGGGAAGTTGATGGCAGAAGACGCAAAGAAGACGTCTCTGCATCAAGATGACCGAGATCGAAACCGGCTACGGGAGTGTTGTGGCGGATAGGCTCGCTACCTGCAGGGAACCACATTTGTAACAGTGGCTTCCAGCTTTTATTTAAAGGGATTAGAGGCACATTTTGGGATGGCACGTTTGCTTGTCTCGTAACGGAGGTGAAAAGAGCGTGGTAATTGGCCGACACTGGCAGGCGCATGCAGGCAGCACGCAGGGTGGCCTTTGTCTGGATCGCTGCACAAGGAGGAGACGGGTGGTAGCAAGGCCAAAAAGTGGTATGCTAATCGCTGGGCAATGTGATCTGCGATACGCAAACCACCACGCTCTTGTCCTTGACCACGACGTGTCGAGGGGCGATGCGATCACAGAAGACGGCAGGGGAGAAGAGAAGGCTTCAGACAGTCATTCGCAGGAGAAGGTGTTTGGATGTAGGTACCTATCTAGTGGGCCAAATCACGTGCAGGATGGTTTGAACTCTGAGCATGATGTTGATCGGACCCTCGCTATCGAGAGGCTTGGCCAGCGGCCCGCAGCCGTACCAACAACCGGGACGTGGAAAGCCATAGGGTAACTAGTAATTAATCGCAAGTGCTCTTGGGCAGTGACAAGTTGGCTGTGTTGTTAGCAGTCCTGATAAAAAGAAGAGTCCTGTCCCACGCAGCCCAAGCAGTCCAAGCACGCTCTTTCCCCTCTGTGTCGGCCGGCTGAAGCCTGCAAAGCACTCAGCTACCATCCCCTCGCTCCTTGTCCCTGGCCGCTCGAACTGCCTCATTCCTCAAGCTTGACGCCCTTGCCTTTGACCACAACCAGTGAAATCGGCCCACGACGCGGACTGTGTGCTTTGGCAGATGCTCGTCCAGACTGCCTTCCTCGCCGACCCAGTGCCGCGCAGCTCCTTCTGAAATTGCACATACTTGGCTGCTCGGCCGCCTTGCAGACGCTCGCTGTTACATAACTGCCTCCTGCTTCCAGACCGACTCTCGACCATCACCACCGCCCGAGCCCGCCCAGCTATCCCCGAGTGTACATGATCTTGTGTCGTATCCTTCCAGCGCCATAGGTCTTTTGTCCGAGTAGGCTGCCTCGTCTGCTGCCCACGTGGGTTGTGTGTTGCACTTTGCTGACACCTGTGACTAGTCTTACATAGTCACTATCCCTTCCCTTCCTCGCCAAATCATCTGTACACTGGTCTATAATGTCTTCGTCCTTCTCCTCGCAACCACGTCCCCTGACCATGTCTGGCTTTTCGCAACCATTCAGGCCCCCCACGAGCGAAGGTCGCAACACGGCTACCACCTCAGCCTCGTCCAACAATCTGAACAAATGGCAAGGTGCATCCAACATCTGGAGCACCAGCTTCAACTCGTCATCCTCGACCGCCCTTCCCACCCCTGGCCCCAGAAATAGCCTCAGCTTTGGCACACACAATGGAAACCTTAGTGGAAAGGACACAATCCAAGGCAGAAGCGGCTCTAGCCAGCTCATCGATTCTTCTTTCAGCGACGAATACAACACGCTCCGCTCTGCCTCTTTCGCGAAGCGCGACGATGCGACTCGCCTCGGAGGGCCGCTGCCCAAGTCCAACGACATCACATTCCCTCAGCATCGCAGCAACAGCAACTCAGGTCTGCCTCAAGCTTACGCCGGCGCCGCTCGTGGCTCCATGTCCTTCTCTTCTTCTTCCAGACCCGCAACCAGCGGCATCGGCGCGACGACTTCTATGGCGCCAAAGACGCAGCTCAGCGGCACATTCGACTCGCCTTTGTCCTACTCAGCTGATGCTCCTTCGGTATACACAAAGTTCGACCGAGCAAACAAGCCCGCTGCTTCCAGACCCACTGATTCGGCCTATGGTGAATGGATGGATGGTGGCGGCATTACCCAATCTCCTGTGGATGAAAGAAGACGCCCCTCGGCTACTGGCTACTTTCACGGACTTCCTAGTGCTCCGCCATCGCGCAACCACAGCCTACCGCCTTCGCGACACAGCGACATCCAACCCGCTTGGCCCAACTCCACCAAGACTGATCAGTTCTCTTCCTCTCAAGCTTCCACAAGCTCTTTCCGCGTCAACAGCCTCTCTTCTACTACTAGGCCTAACGGTAGCTTTGGCGCCGCCGATGCTCAGCCGCCTCATCTGAGTCAGTTTTCGCAGATGAGCCTGCAAGACGACTCTCACACCTTCGCTCTTTCGAGGCCTCCTTTCTCGATGCCCACGTTCGGCCACCAGCCAGGACCCGCTGGGAACGAGCCTCGTAACTCCACAGCCGATCAATACGACGATGTCGAGCAGATTCCTCGCGTGCATCCTACTTCCGCCTCTGATGCTTACTCTAACGGACTCCAAGCGTCAGTAGATCATTCTGCTTACCGCATGCCACAGTACCCCGAACGCTCGCTCATGAACAGTAACGTGTATAATCCAAGAAACGCAAATTCCAATACTCCCAACTTCGTCAACCAGAGGTTCCAACAACCATCAGCCCAGGATTTGGACCCTCGCTACCTGCTGAACCTGCCATACTCCCCTGTCCCAGGAGGCTACTACTCCTACCATCTTCCTAATGGTTCTGCCATCCACAATATCCCTGCTGTGTATCCCATGCATTCCCAGATGTCAATGAGTGGCGCGCCATCCATGCTCTCGTCGAGAACTCCCAGGGAGCTGGAAACTGGCCACAGTCTGCGCAGTGCTCTTCTGGAAGATTTCAAGCAAAATCACAAGACCAGGCGTTACGAGCTCAAGGTAATTAGAAACGTATGACGCTCATAGCAGCCTCTCACTGACATCCTACAGGACATTTTCGACCATGTAGTGGAATTCAGTGGAGACCAGCATGGATCACGATTCATACAGCAGAAGCTGGAGACAGCCAACAGCGACGAGAAAGAGCGTCTCTTCAGAGAGATACAGCCAAACGCCATACAACTGATGACTGATGTTTTCGGAAACTATGTCATTCAGAAGTTCTTCGAACATGGCGACCAGAATCAGAAGAAGATTTTGGCTAACAAGATGAAGGGACGCGTCCTGGACTTGTCACTTCAGATGTATGGTTGTCGTGTTGTGCAAAAGGTTAGTTCCATAACTCGCTTTTATTTCTCCCCCACTAACTGAACTTAGGCCCTGGAGCATATACTCAACGATCAGCAAGCGTCACTCGTTCGCGAACTGGAGAAAGATGTGTTGAGATGCGTCAAAGACCAGAACGGAAACCACGTCATTCAGAAGGCTATCGAACGTTGCCACGCTGAGGACATTTCGTTTATCTTCCAGGCCTTTACTGGCCAAATTCAGCATCTGAGTGTCCATACATATGGATGCCGAGTCATCCAGCGATGCCTCGAAAACTGCGAGGATATGACACGAAAGGCGATTCTCGCCGAGTTGCACGACTGCATGTCCACCTTGATTGGTGACTCGTTCGGCAACTACGTGGCACAACATGTCGTCGAATACGGATTCTTGCCCGATCGGCAGAGAGTTCTTGAACTTGTGCTCAAGGGTCTCGAAGGCTACAGCAAGCACAAGTTCGCCAGCAATGTTGTAGAGAAGTGTCTCACACACTCTGAGGAATCCTGGAAGCACGATGTCATTGCTGTGATTGTGCGCAACAACAACCGTGAAGGCGAGAGCATGCTGCTCGGTCTGATCAGAGACAACTATGGAAATTACGTGATTCAAAAGCTCTTGGATCTCCTCAGCCAGCAGGACTTTGACCATTTCATCGACATTCTTCAACCAGAGCTCGTCAAAGCGAAGCGAACGGGATGTGGCAAGCAAGTCGCCGCCATCGAGAAGCGCATGCAAAGACCATACGATCAGGGCCTCCTCACCCATCCGGCTGTCTTTGGTAGCCACCCAATTTCGCAGAACACTACACCTCCGCCCCCTCCATTGACCGCCGACCAGCGTAGCCTTCAGAACAGCTCCGTCGGTAGCGTCAATGGAGATGCTCTCGAGGGCGCCACCAGTAGCCGCAAAGGCTCTGTTGAGCATGTGATTCCTACTGTCTTTGAGACTTAGCGGTCTTTACGTCGTCTTGATCGACCTTCTTCTCTATTTATGGCACCACAGGCCACTCTTCGGTTACTTATTATTCTCTTCTTGTTCTTGATTACACCCGTTCATCTATCTTTATTCCCCTACGCATGGATCCAGGCGTATTACGACTACAAAAAAAGCAGCAACGGGAGGGCGTCAATGTTTGGACATTACCAACTGAAATTCGAATGGTGGGCGCGCAAAAGGGACAGATGCGCCTCTATCCTTCCTTGTGACGATTAGTAAGATTTCGGTTTCTCGGTTTTTTTTTTTGGTTTTTTTGGTTTCTTGATATTCTTTCTTCTTCTTTCTTTTTCCTTGTTTCCTCGCTTTCTGAAGAAAGGGTACACACGACTAATGATGGAAATTCTATGTTCTTCTTGTACTGCTTGACTGTATGATGGATGAGCAAAGGGATGCACAGCGTGGAAATATAAATGCGATATGGCAGGGTGGCTTCTTATTGGAAGCAATGGGAAAGGGATAGCAGACAGATGTGTCCAAAGCCAAGAAGAAACAAAGCATGAGATTAGCGCAGATACCCCTTTCTTTTCCCATGTCAATAATGAGAATATCTTTTCTGGTATCCCTTGTTCTTCCAGCCGACATGTTTTCTCGATGGGACTTTATTGCTCTGCTGACACTTGTGGTTGTGATGTTGGCGCAGGTTGAAAATGTCTTGAGATATCTACAGGATGTAGTCCTTTTTAGTATAAGAGCTGTTACTCGAGGAGATCAATGGCAAGGACACGCCGTAGATTTGTAAAACTTTGCTTGGTTTTGAAAATTATGCTAATCGATGCTTTTTTTGATCTGTAATGAATGCTTCTTTGTACAATGCTGTTGTTGAGCCTTCGAATCCACCTCTGTGGCATGCCAAAAATGAATGCTTGCTTTCAATCGAGATGATGTTTGCTCTACTATATCAATCCGAATCTCGCTTCAATCAGTCCGTTACTAACGGAACTGAGGCATACCAGGCACCATAAAGCCAAAGCCAGGTACTGGGGGAGGAGGAGCGATAGTAACGGGCTCAGGACGAGAGACGTGGTGAGATTCGGGCTGGTTGAACCTGCCGCCGCCGCCGCCACCGCCTCTTCCGCCACGACGACCACCGCCGCCACGGTTGCTGCCGCCATCCGGACCAACTCGACGACTCATAGCCTTGGAGGAAACACCGGCGCCGATTTCGATATCGGGTTCTTCGACAACGAGACCGCTTTCGATGGGACGGCCGCCGGTGCCACCGTATTCGGCAGTTAGCATCCATTTGTGGTCGGCTTCGGTGAGTGTATCGATGGGTATGACACTGACGCCATTGCTGTAATCGCAGCATTCGCGAGGGCCGAATCCGACCCCCCACTTGGTTTGGCGGGCTTTGGCTAGGATGTCAGGGTCCCTGGTTGTTTCCATGGCGGTCTTTGCGCTGACGGCATCTTGACGGTTGCACATCTTGACGAAGGCGTGACGTTTATCTTCGTTTGCAATGCAGGTCTGGACGGGTCCAAAGCGGCCGAAGATAGCGCGCAGTTCGGCTTCGTTGCCGTTGGCGCCACCGACAAAGAGTGTTCGGCTGAGAACCTTGATGTGGCCAGGAGGAATAGTGCTGTCCATGTCTGTCCATTTGGGGTTGATGTTCTGAGGGGCAAGACCTTGGTCTGCTTGGGGTGTACGGGCAGAAGGAGGGGTGCGCTGGCGATAGTCGTTGCGACCACCGCGGCCACGGCCTCTGCCTCCACGGCGATCAGAGTTGGAGGCATGATCCTGAGCAGACTGGGCAAGAGAAGCATCATACGTGCCATAGACTGGACTTGCACGGCGGCCAGGGTTGTTGTTGTTGTTGTTGGTGTTGCGAGTTGGTTCTGGTGAGCGACTTCGGTTGCGGCCACCACGATCCCTGGATCTGTCTCTGTAATGTACATGGTCCTCTGAGCGAGAAAGGTATGCGTCTTGTGCAGGTGGGCCTTGTTCTGGGGGTGGGTATAGGGCGCTAAGAACAGCTCCCCATTGCTCTTGTGGGATTCCTTCTTGAGACAAACCTTGAATCAACTGGAGCACATTGGGCAGGATCTGCGGGTTGCTCAGAATGTGTGCAGGCAAGAATGAACCGGCGGGCGAAGGAGCGGCAGGTGCGGGAGGCTGAGGTGGTGCTTGTTGATAGGGAGCAGGAGTATGATATTGTGGTGGGTATGCAGGAGGCACTGCTGCTACGGGTGTAGGTGGCTGATAGAGCTGGCCGTAGGACTGCTGAAGTGGTGGGGCAGGATAGCCATAGGACACGGGCGGTGCTTGCGGTGGTTGACCTTGATAGCCTCGAGTGGCACCAGCCATGATGGCAGCGAGATCTGCAGGCGGAGCGGGTGGAGCAGCTTGCACAGGTACGACAGGAGGAGCTGGCGCGGGAGCTGGCATTGGCTGGAGGCGAGAGAGAGCAGCAAGGATACTCGAGGCATCAGGCTGTGCTTGGGCTGGAGGGGCTGCTTGAGGAGCGCTCAAGGCCGGTGGTGCCTGTCGAAGTCCCAGGGAAACGAGCATGCTGAGCGGAGGGCTGCCAGGAGGAGTCGTCGAGGGAACGTCTGGTTTGGCAGTCAGAAAAAGCTACCCGGGGGATTGCACGTCTGCAAAACTTACATTGGGCCACAGGTTCAGCCAGCTTCTTCTTGATCTCTGCGAGCGTAGCGGCAGGGAAAGTGTTGCCACGTTCCCAAATCTGTACCAAACTCTCTACCTTCGGTTTGTGGTCAGAAGGAGCATTCTGGATAGTGTCATCGATCAACGAGGGCAAAAGTTCAGTGACTCTGTGTACACCCGAAGCAAAGGTGCCCTCAGGTGCTGCACTGCCAGACAGATCCTGTGATGATTGGCGAGCCTTCTCAATCCATTGACGGGTCACTGAGTCTACAACATAAAGAACTCCGAGCTTGTGGGTTCCTGGCGTTCTCTTGAGATGCCTATAAAGCTTCTGCGTAATTGACGATTCAGACTGCGAGATTTGAGTTAGGTGATGATCCGATGAAGCTGCGTGAATAATGAATTACCTGAACGTTGTCACCGCAGAGCTTGGTGATGGCAGTGATTTTTCCTTTGGTTGCACCTGGAGGCTTGAGAGCCTGCAAAGACAGCAGCAATGCGTCTAACTGCTCCATGCTTGCCATGTCTACTGTGCTAATACAGTACCTGTATTCAAATTGTAGGAAGTAGGGTCCGAAAATGCGCTACGCGTGAACAGGAGCGAGGACTACTGAGAGCTACCAGATGACTGAAGACAGATGACTGATGACTGCGGCGCCAGAGAAAAGAAAAGCAAACGCAGTAGTCGGAGTAGAAGAAGAAAGGATCAAGCGTGTATGCTACAACCGGAGCCTTTTCTTTTGCCTATGTCTTCCAAGTGAAAGTGAAAATCACGCTGACAAGCGAGTGCTATTCAACTGAGACGAAGTTTTTGACGTCGACGTGTCTACAGCTATCGGGTCAGCTCTCTTACGCAGACAGAGCGACCGGTCACAAGAGCACAGTAAGAGCCGCAGCGACACGATGAAAGTGAAGCGAGATGGTGGAAACGCGTCGGATGTTGATTGTTACGGTGGTGAAGAGGTGGTTGTGTCAGTGAAAGCAGGAGCAGCGCGTGGACGGCGAAAGGAAAAGATTCGGCATCGTCGCACTTGCCACGGGCCGAGGTGGAGGGCAACCGTCCCGACTCGACCACGGCGGGCCCATGCGCTGTCGGACTCGAATCGACACGATTCGAAAGCTCGTTCGCAGAAACAACGGAGAATAGCTGGACTGGACAAATGGATCACACAGGCCGAAGCCGAGGTCAAATTACTTGGTCAGACCTGATCGGTGTATCAACCTGATCAGATAGGATCCACTGGCGATTGACATGTATACGTAGAACAGTACAAGACACCAGCATAGCGTCAGAGGAGCACAAGATAGATGAGATCACCCGTCTCAACCCCTCGTCGAGAGCTGAGGTGCCCCGAGAAAAGCCCCAAGTTTAGGCCGGAGGTCACGTCTGGGACAGTAGTGGGACTCTGGGTGGCTGCAAGCCGCAATTACAACAGAATGGTGTAGGCCGCACGTTGGGCTTGGCACACCCGGTGCAGCTCGGGAGCTCGGGAGCTCGTCCTCCATCTTTCTTTTCTCTCCGTCTCTCTATCATCTCTCCCTTATCAATCAACATCCGTCATAATGGCTTCCATGAGAGTTGGTACCTCTGCCCTGCGCGCCTCCATGGCCGCTCCCTCCACCATGAGACAGGCCCTCCGCGCCTACTCTTCCAAGAGCACTGTACGCCGAGTCCACTCCACCTATCTGCCGCCGCATCCCGCTCGCCATACTGACTCGCCCGTCTAGTCGCTCAAGGAGACCTTCGCTGCCAAGATCCCTGGCGAGATCGAGAAGATCAAGAAGCTCCGCAAGTATGTTATATCACTCGTCCCAACATCGACAAACCACGACATCAGACGCTAACCTACTGCTCCAGGGAGCACGGTAACACCGTTGTTGGTGAGGTCACCCTCGACCAGGTCTACGGTGGTGCCCGTGGTATCAAGTCCCTTGTCTGGGAGGTACGATATCTTCAATTCGCAGGAGAAAAATTGTTTCGGCCGCTAACAATATACACAGGGTTCCGTCCTCGACTCTGAGGAGGGTATTCGTTTCCGTGGCAAGACCGTAAGAAGTCCAATTGGCTTATCACTGAGCCGCAGCTAAGACAGTATAGATCCCTGAGTGCCAGGAGCTTCTCCCCAAGGCCCCCGGTGGTACCGAGCCCCTTCCCGAGGGTCTCTTCTGGCTCCTCCTCACTGGTGAGGTTCCCTCCGAGCAGCAGGTTCGCGACCTCTCCGCCGAGTGGGCTGCCCGCTCCGACCTCCCCAAGTTCGTCGAGGAGCTCATTGACCGCTGCCCCAACACTCTCCACCCCATGGCTCAATTCTCTCTGGCCGTCACTGCTCTCGAGCACGAGTCTGCCTTCGCCAAGGCCTACGCCAAGGGCATGAAGAAGGCCGAGTACTGGGAGCACACTTTCGAGGACTCGATGAACCTCATTGCCATGCTTCCCAACATTGCCGCTCGCATCTACCGCAACGTCTTCAAGGATGGCAAGGTCCCCGCCACCCAGAAGGACAAGGATTACTCATGGAACTTGGCCAACCAGCTCGGTTTCGCCGAGAACCAGGACTTTGTTGAGCTGATGAGACTCTACCTCACCATCCACACCGACCACGAGGGCGGTAACGTTTCCGCCCACACCACCCACTTGGTCGGCTCCGCCCTCTCCTCTCCTTTCCTCTCGCTCGCCGCTGGTCTCAACGGTCTTGCCGGTCCCCTGCACGGTCTTGCCAACCAGGAGGTTCTCAAGTGGCTCACCGAGATGAAGGCCGAGGTTGGCAACGACCTCAGCGACGAGAGCATCAAGAACTACCTCTGGTCCACTCTTAAGCAGGGCCGTGTTGTTCCCGGTTACGGCCACGCCGTCCTGAGAAAGACTGACCCCCGTTACGTCTCTCAGCGCGAGTTTGCCCAGCGCAAGCTCCCCGAGGACCCCATGTTCAAGCTTGTCTCGCAGGTTTACAAGATCGCCCCTGGCGTTCTTACCGAGCACGGCAAGACCAAGAACCCCTACCCTAACGTTGACGCCGTAAGTCTACCTCCAGATTTGAAATCGCAAGCACAGCCAGCTGACATGCCGCTTTCTAGCACTCCGGTGTCCTCCTCCAATACTACGGTCTCACTGAGCAGAACTTCTACACTGTTCTGTTCGGTGTTTCGCGTGCTCTCGGTGTCCTTCCCCAGCTCATCATTGACCGTGCCGTCGGTGCCCCCATCGAGCGCCCCAAGTCCTTCTCGACCGACGCCTGGGCCAAGCTTGTTGGAGCCAAGCTCTAGATTTATAACCGATCGAAACATCGGAGCTAGACTTGTGTCTAGCATGTATTCTACTATGACTTTTGTGATGGAGCAATTAGGGTTGATATCATATAAAACGCCTTGATTATTTTCGTACCACTGATGCCGAAGACTCTGTTGGTGACACCAAGTGCTGATGGGTCCCTGTATGACATGATTGAGCGAGAGTGACAGGTAGGCGCATGATGTGCTCAACGAGTTGTATAGCACGGACATTTCGGGACCGGGTTCGGACAATTGAATGTATATCAGGTCGGCTCGTACTATTTTGAGCGGTGGTGAGAATGATCCGAAAGTCGATAGCAAGGTTTATGAGATGCAAGTGAGCCGTAGAGGTATAGTGAATATGTAGGGTATCGGTTGCTTGCATGGTTGAACGAGGTTGTGTGGTATTGAATTTTGTTTATCTCAACAACGTTATCGGGAAGGGAGCTCTGCTTGCACGAGTCAGCGGGCCGACAATTAGGGGATGGTCAGCAAGGCCGAGCTGTATAGCAATGGCCAGCTTTCCATATGTGATCTGCCAAAAGACATGAAACTTGAGGGTGTGGAATTCAGTGAGTACAGAAATGGGACGACTCTGCATGAGATGAGCCATCGAAGAGATGAATTGGAGATAAGCGGTGAGGATGCCGAAGTGAGTGAAGCGGGTAGTCACGGACAATCGGTTGTGGTGGTTAATTGTCCGAAGCAGCGAAACAAAGATAAAGTGAGAGACGTGTCGCAAGGACGGCTCTGCTGCTTTTGAAAGTCCTCTCTCTCTATCCTCACTCAGCAGAAGCACCTTGAGCTCTACAGGTCAGTTTCCCAACTCATGCACAGTGGTTGTGGGCCATAATCTTTGAATGTGGTGCACGCGCCGGGGCTCCCAACCACTGAGCCAGCAAGCAAGCTTTCCCCATATTTAAATTGACACTTGTTTCCAGTCCCTGAGCGCCGTCGCTTGTTCCCCTCCCTCTCGTCCCCCCAAAACTCTCCGATTACGCCCGCCTTCACCTCGACCTTTAGCCGTCGACTTCTTTAAAACTGTAGCGAAGAAGCACACTCCTGCCTCGGTCCGGCCTTGTCTCCCGCTGCCATCTTTAGAAGCATGAGCACCACTACCACCGCTGCCGCCCAAGTTGGCGTTGCCGCTCCTCCCAAGCTCGAGAAGAAGCCTGTTAAGTTCAGCAACCTGCTGCGTACGTTCTTCTGTCTCTACACCTGCTTCTGCTGGCAGTGCGCTAACCCGTCTCTGCAGTGGGCGCTGGCCTGAACCTCTTCGAGGTCACGACCTTGGGCCAGCCCCTGGAAGTCGTAAAGACGACCATGGCCGCTAACCGTGCCGACGGCATGGCAGGAGCCATCAGCCGCATCTGGGGCCGTGGTGGTGTCTTTGGCTGTGAGTCTGCATTCCCCCGAGCCGTAAGCGACAGCAGCTGACAGAACCCGCGCACAGTCTACCAAGGTCTCATCCCCTGGGCTTGGATCGAAGCTTCCACCAAGGGCGCCGTCCTCCTCTTCGTCGCATCCGAGGCCGAGTTCTACGCCCGCAACGCCGGCGCCAACAACTTCGTTTCTGGCATCACCGGTGGTATGGTTGGTGGTCTCGCCCAGGCCTACGCTACCATGGGTTTCTGCACCTGCATGAAGACGGTTGAGATCACCAAGCACAAGGTGGCGGCGGCTGGCATCAAGCCCCCAGGCACCATGGAGACTTTTATGAACATTTACCGTGCCGAGGGTATCCGCGGTATCAACAAGGGCGTCAACGCCGTCGCCGTCCGCCAGGTCACCAACTGGGGCTCCCGCTTCGGTCTGTCCCGTGTCGCCGAGTCCGGTATCCGCAAGGCCACCGGCAAGGAGCACGGCGAGAAGCTTGGTGCTCCCGAGAAGATCCTCGCTTCCGCCCTTGGTGGTGGTCTCTCCGCCTGGAACCAGCCTATCGAGGTCGTCCGTGTCGAGATGCAGAGCAAGAAGGAGGACCCCAACCGTCCCAAGAACATGACTGTCAGCAAGGCTTTCAAGTACATCTACTCGCAGAACGGTATGAAGGGTCTCTACCGTGGTGTCACTCCCCGTATCGGTCTGGGCGTCTGGCAAACCGTCTGCATGGTTGCTCTCGGTGACATCGCGAAAGAGTACGTGGAAAAAATAACTGGCGAGGCCCCCACCTCCCACAAGTAGGTTTCGGTGCTCTAGGCTCGAGGGTATGCATTGGGCTGCGTGGATACGAGATGGAGAGACTTGCAGCATTTTGTGGCTTTTATAGACAAAGGCTTACCAGCATCTGCCAAGAACGTCTGTTGGAACACACAGTACGTTTGGCACAATCATAAACATTTCAATTATCTCAGCTCATTGTCGTCGTTGTGGTCGTGGAACAATACTCACTAGAAAGCTGCAAATCTTAAGTGCTGATTTGGATGACCCTGTCGCCAATATGGCCTCAGCGCCTTTCTTGTTGCTCTCAGGTCTCGATTAAGCGCCCTGACTTCCATCATCGTGCTGCTGACTACACACTCAGGAACGATCTATCAGGCACGTGCCTTCATGTCACACCGCCTCTGCCATCTGCTTCCTATCATGCATGCGCTTCCTCCTGTCTCTACTCTACCCATAAGGGACTGCCATGGACCACATCAATCAGGGCTCAACGGCAATTGTCAAGAGATACAAACCCGGCATCGTCATCAAATGTCCTGATCCTCCTGGACACGACAAGGTCGACCACGTCTCGGTCGAGAAACAAATCCTCGAAATTCTAGGCCATCACCCTCGGATTGTGAAGTAAGAGTATATCGATTACAAGTTCACTCCATCAGCGCTTAACGCCATCAAAAACAGCTTTCTAGGCTCTTCACAGGACCCTACTGTAGGACTGTTGTTTGCGGAAGCAAACCGTGGCGACCTCCAATGATACCTAGACAATCAGAACGACACCATCAACGGACCTCTTCGACTGAAATGGTGCCTCCAAGCCGCCGAAGCCATCACCTACATCCACACCAAAAGTGTCATACACTCCGACTTACGTCCCGAAAACTTCCTGCTTCACGCGTCTAACGACAGCAATGACCCGGATCTGCTCTTGTGCGACTTTGGGGGCTCTTATTGCAAGATAGGCGACAAAATCATCGATGGAGAAAACTTACCAGACCCCGGTTTCTTCGACCCCAACTGTGATTGGTCGTCTACCAAAGACACCGATATCTTTGCTCTAGGCTCAGTATTTTATGTTATCATGACTGGGCATTGGCCGTATAAATCTCCTGGACCATTCCTCTCTCTGCAGGAATGGAATGAGTATGATAAAAAGGTGGAGGACTTGTTTACGAAGAGGGAATATCCAAGTGTGAAACACCTCGTTGGTGGGGATATCATGGGTGGTTGTTGGAATGGGAAGATCAGAGATGCTGAGGTGATTGTGGTGAGGTATGATGCTTTGATTCATATGAGGAAGAGTGAGAGGACTAGAGAAGGTTCCACTGCCACCGGTTCTCATGTCAATGACTAGGCGGAGTTGAAGCCGTCAAAATGCACAGTTCTCTCTGAATTGTAGCAAAGGCCAAGAAGAGAAGACAAGATCAGTAACTCTCGATGGATGCTTTCTATCTTCTGAAGGCACTGTGCATTTCTATAACTGTCTGCGTGACACGCTCTTGTATATGAGAAGTGGCTATGTACAATAGATGATCATTCGAGCATTCTCAACCCCATTCGCTTCCCAATAAGATTTCGCTAGCATGGCCAAAAAGAAGACAATCAAATAGTATAAACAAGAATCGAAAGGGCATCAACGGCGTTGTTTATATCAACACAGTGACAAGAGCCAGAAGCAGAGCAATGCTTCCCAGCCCTCCTAACCCTTTGCTGACCAGCGAAGCAGCACCGGTCGAGGGGACAGTGGGACCACTGGAATTGACAAACTGTCCGCCACAAGTCAAGTCGATCATGGCTGCTGCAGTGGTGTAGAGCTTAGAGATTGGCTGCGAGCGATTTGTAGCCGCGCTTGCAAAGACAGACATGGTGTTTTGTAAGCAGCTCGAGCAACTGGGTGAGGTGGTTCCAGGCAAAGAGACGCCTAGAGGTAGATAGTAGACATAACTGTCGGTGGGCGAAGTTGCATTCGTGACTGCGTCTGAGAAGCCTATGATGGTCCATTAGTATGTGCTGATGATGGCAATGCAGGTAGGACACTCACAGTAGCTGCCCGTGTCATCGTTCAGTAGACATCCGGCGTGATAGAGTGATTGGTAAGCTACAAATCCAGTATAGGCTTGCACAACCATAGGGTTCTGGTTTTGCAGATCGGCTGCACAGTTATTTGGGGATTGGATTTGTCGAGCCAGCGACGCCATTAGGGTGCTACAGGTGTCAAAATTGACACCGCATGAAGCACCAAGTGTCTGCGCCAGTTTGACAGGCGAGCGTTGAACGGTAAAGAAAGAAGTAGATGTCTGTGTGGTCAAACATACATCAGTTTCATAATTTATACAGATACTCAGAATGATCGAGACTTACCTGTAAGAGAAGAGATAGCGGAACACATTCATTAAAAGTATCATCTGACAAGAAATCCTTGAAGAAAGCAGGACAAGAAGAAGTCGTAAAGTTGTTCCCATAGCCGGCATCGAAGGCTCTGGGAAGCGCGTTTGAGGTGGTGGTAGAGACGGGAGAAGCAGAAGAAGACGTCGGTGCCGCTGCTCGTTTGAGAAAGTGCTGCAGGAAAGGCTCCGGTGGAGTGCTTGGGTCGAAGAGAAGAACACTTTCGGTGTTTGTTAGGGCTTGCGTTGCTTGCTCATCACCATAGTCTAACGTGGCTGCGGCATCGACACATGGGCTGCAGAGCCCCAAAAGAATGAGTAGACAGACGAGTGTGGATGCTAATCGCGAAACGCCATCTGACTTCTTCGCGCGGTTCCACCACGCAGTCCGTCTCGAAGGTGAGTACGAGGTCTGATCGACCAAGAAGAAGGCGTTCGAGGACGTTGATGCAGCAGCGTCAGAATCAAACCCGACCGTTAAGTCGTTTCGGCACTTGGGTGAAGCACCCCATCTGTTCATCCCGGCAGCTGCAAGCTGATCTGAACGACGCGATGTGAAAGTCTGTTGTTCGATGGTTCTTCCTTTCTTTCCTTTCAACGACGTCCTCTCATGTTCAACTTGAAGCCCTGAAATTAAGGCTTGCTTGGTTCCTCTTTGCAACCTCAAAAAGAAACAAATAGATTCGATCAAGATATGACGAATTCTGTAACAATCGGTGTCGCAAGTTTGGCGGGTGCTGTCCGAAACGGCTGGGCTAGATGTATTTCCAAGATGAAACGAGTGTGGGTTGTAGACGTGGCGATGAGTGATCGTATGTACAGTGTAAAAGCGAATGTGTGATGAATCGAAAGGAGCCAGTCGAGTTGTATATGATGGCGCCAGGCGCCCTCCACAGGCTGTCAATGAGTTTGGGTCATGAACAATCTAAAAGCTTGACAGACGGTCCATGCCAATAGCCTCGATGCATAGCCATCACTAGCGCCACGGCCATGGCGGTCGTGGCTTCCTTCTCGAGCACATTTTCATGTGAGGCCCGCGAAGCCCTCTTCGTCGGCCATCAAGCCGGCAGCTGAGTTTTGTTCAGCCTTCAACCACTGGAGTATGCTGCATGGGGGAGGGGAAAGGAGTGCCACCAACGGCGCCAGGGCGCTGTCACTCAACAACAACCTTCCGAAGGTCTTTATAGGCGATTTGTTTGCTTGTACATTGGCATTTCAACCGCGTACCTGCAGTGTTCTCGTTCGTGCGTCCCTACGGAGTAGATCGACGCGAAGGTTGTGAACCGCATCCAGACCCTGATTGCCACGTATTTTCGCATTGCTGCTGGCACGGATGATTGATCCTGTCTTACCTGCACGGAAGCGGCCGAAATGAGTATCAAACCTTCCGACTTCTACAACCTACTGATGAAAAAGACATGGCAAAACAGAAAATTTCGCACGGCAGAGAGAGACAAGAGAAGTCTTTGAGGAATGGCGTGAGTGATGAATGGGTTATCCTCGAAATGTCTTAGGTGTGAACCCCTGTCACTATATCCCAACGCTCTACAGCTGTAAGCTGATTGAATTCACGACCATGAGTCGAATGTAGTCGAGGGATACTTTTTTCGCATTCGATAATATCAGGTGCATCGTTGGCACACGCATGACAGGTCGATCCGGGATGCCTATAGTCTTGTTGATCACTTTTCCTTTCGAGAATCCAATAAAAGCCACATCTTGGAAGCCACCCAACATTTGTACCACGAGTGGTGAGAAGGATTGAGAAGTTCTTTGCATTCGGTTGCTAAAGGGAAGTACTGGGGTACACTCTCACAAGGTGTGTTGCTTGGTGTATATGATATAGACTTTCAATTAATTTATGGGTGTCGAGGTACTTAAAAGCAGAAGGCTTCTCGCTTGCGAATATGACCAACAATTAAAAAAAGCATAGCACCTTTGTGCACGCGTCATTGCTTCGAGATTGAGTCTTGAATGCGGCGGTCCCGGAGTAAACTCGTAGAACATTCGATGCTTCTATCGAGCGGCTCAAAATTGGTTCATTAGGTCGCCCTGTGGATGTAGGGCTAGGTCCAATTGCTGCGCCAGCCGCTGCTCTTCGAAATCAGGCTGAACTCCACCAAGCCAGAACTGACCACCAGATAGAGCTTCGCGCTCGACCGTGGCCTCGATAGCTTCAGTCTTGGTGTATCCGTGAACAATCTCAAGATGGACCTCTAGATCGAATGGTTTGACGAAACGGTGCGGACACGTCTCGTCGATGCAGGTAATGTCTCTTCCATGTTCGTAGCCGATTCCGGTGAGTCTAGCCAGCACTGTGTTGTGTTCTTCGGGTGGGAAACCGTTGAACGATTCGTCCTCCTCTTGCTTGGCTTTCTTTCCTGGACGGATGTATCCTGGAAGATGCAGGTGTTGGGTGCGGACGTGCTCTTCGAGGTTCGCCTTTGCACTAAAAGCACGACCGCAAGCACCACGACCGTCCCAGGCGGGAACGCGCTTCGAACCAGTAATGTCTGTCTCCCCACAGATGAACTGCTTCTGCTTCGCATGAACACTTCTCTGATGAACAACGAGGTTACCCTTCTTGGTGAAGCCACGACCGCAATCAGGATACTCGCAGACGTAGTTGCGTCGATCTTCGATATCGCCATGCTGAATCTCCAGATGTGCCTTGAGGTCGCGGTTTGAGACGCAGACATGACCACACTGCAAGCAGGTGGGTGGATGGATGGTCTTGATGTGCTGTTGCATCTCGATATATGTAGGGAAACCAACAGCATTGACAAGGGCGTGTTGGATCAGACCTGGGTCGATGTCGGCCATTTCGGGCGAGCAGATTTTACACCAGAAGCGATTGCCGCTGTGCTCACGGTCCTTGTGAGCGATCAGGTGGGTTGACGTCTTGAAGCGGGCATCGCATGCTAGGCCGGTGAAGCGATCGATTTGGTCGCAGACGAAAGGCTTCTCGTGCAAATGGACAAGTTGGATGTGTCTGTCAAGGGTTTCCTGTTTGCGGAAGTTCTGGTTACAAGGAGGAAATCCGGTGCAGAGAAAGTCGGGCTTTGTATTCTCGTGAGTCTTCTTGTGCTGTTTCAAGCGCTGAGCTGTATGAAAACCTTTGTCGCAGTCGGGCCAGTCGCAGACATAATCCCGGACGTCATCGTGTTTGGCTTTAATGTGGTGCTTCAGGTGGCTCTCACGAAGGAAGGTCTTGTCGCAGCCTTGTTGAGGGCAAGCAAAGGGTCGATCATTTGTATGAGAGCGTTTGTGTTCTTGGAGGCGGACAGGACGGGAGTAGGACTTGGTGCAGCCTTCGAAATCGCAGGCGTACTTGTTCTGGCGAGGTCTGGGTTGGGCTCTGATGGACTTGGGCGTTGAGGGTTGGGTCGAGGTACGTGATGTGGCGGCAGGCGATGCGATTGAGGACGTGTCGTTCTGATCTTGGTCGTTGTCGTCCTGGTCACTGGCTGCTGAAGGGCGAGGCGTTAGAACAGGATTGCTGACAGACGACGGGATTGATGCTAAGTACCGTCTAAAGTTTCGTGAATGTCGTCGATTTTTGTTCTTTTGACAGCATCTGCCGTGTCTTCTGGCGCCGCCTTGCGCTTGACACCGGCTACAGCACACATGACGCCAGTCTTGGTCAGGAAGCAGTCATGCAAGTCGAGAGTTGAGAGGCTTGTTTATCTCATCACCACCTTGATCACGCTCTGCGAAAACTTGTCTCGGAATCTGGGGTATTCTGCCAACGCCGCTCACCGCCCGCGCCACAGTTCCCGGATTCGACTTCCCGATTTGTGGTGTTATCGGCCTCGTCATACTTCCTAGCTACTGCGGGGCAAGGTGGGCAAGCATATCCGGCCCACCTTAATAATATATACAGACCATGCCGTCTCTGCACTTGCTCTTGCCCTCTCAATTCTTTGTCACTACTACACAAACATGTCTGTCGAAACCACTGCCACCATCGCCTCATTCGGCGGCAAGCTCTTGAAGCTTGCCCACAAGGCTGCTTCAACCAACTGCGAAATGAAGTTCAACTTGTTCCTTCCCCCTCAAGCCCTCAAAAGCTCGGCTGAGAAGATTCCCGTCCTCATCTATCTGTCTGGTCTGACTTGCACTGGTGACAACTGCTCCGAGAAGGGTTTCTTCCAGCACCGTGCCAGCCAGAAGGGCATTGCCGTCGTCTACCCCGACACCAGCCCGAGTACGTCTCTACCCGCCCTGTACACTCACCACCATCATGACTGACCCCCCATGTAGGAGGTTTGGGAATCGCTGGCGAGGATGACTCGTACGACTTTGGCTCAGGTGCCGGCTTCTACCTCAATGCCACAAAGGAGCCTTACAACAAGGGCTACAACATGTACTCATACATCACCGAGGATCTTCCCAAAGCTCTCTTTGCTTCCTTCAAACAGTTGGACTCGGACAGAGTCAGCATTACTGGTCACAGCATGGGTGGTCACGGTGCCTTGACCTTGGTATGCCCTTTCTTTCCACCTCCTCTTGACACAAGCTGACGCGACTATTACCAGTTCCTGAAGAACCCCGGCAAGTACAAGTCCGTCTCCGCATTCGCACCTATCGCCAACCCCAGCAACTGTGACTGGGGCAAGAAAGCCTTCTCCGGTTACTTCGGCGAAGACAAGAAGGAGAAGTGGGCAGAGCACGATGCCACCGAGCTCATCAAGAAGTGGAAGGGTCCCCTGGATATGCTCATCGATGTTGTACGTGTCAATCTGATGACTGAAACGAGGAACAACATACTGATACATTTCTGTAGGGTACTGGCGACAACTTCTACAAGCAAGGCCAACTCTTGCCCGAAAACTTGACCAAGGCCGCTGAAGAGTCGGGCAACGACAAGGGTGTCAACCTGAGAATGCAGCCCGACTACGACCACAGCTACTACTTCATGGCCACCTTCGCCGATGACCACGTTGATCATGCTGCAAAGTACCTCCTGGGCTAGTGAGTGTTCACGCATCATCTGAGGAGCAGTGAGCACACTAATTATGCTCCAAGCCGGCGTCCCCTCAAACAAAAGCTCTAGACTATTCCAACTTTTTCCACATGACGATACGCCCAATTTATGAACAGCGATATTATGGCCTGTGGACTGCTCGAGTTCAATGTAAATAACAACAATACACTGTAGGAAACATTCTCACTACAATCATCTCTCCTTCCAGATAAATTTGTTGGAACGTGGATGCGCAAAGACATTGCAGTTTAAGGCATCGCCATCGCGCCTCCCTCCTCCTAGGACGACGCGTCAGCGACGAGACGGCTGCAAGTCGTGCTGGTAATGTCTTGCTGGCCCCTGCCTGGGCAAGCTTCCTAACAAGCCAGGGAAGCATCATAAAAGCGCTGTTATGTCAATCATTCTCCTGACTTAGGGTATCACGTCATTGCTGCTGGCTCCTGAGGCTTCCTGAGCATCCAGACGTTGCCATGTTTCCGCATGGCAGATAATCTCAACCCCAAATTTAGGTTCGTTACACCCTACCGACAGTATTCTTCCTCTTGGCATTCAATAATTCACTCAAGTCTCTCGACTGCGTCTCGGCCAATGCAGCTTGAAGCGGTATTTCTGGTCTTTGGCCTTGTCGCCTTGGTTGAAGGACAGCAGACCGCGTCATACGTAGGGCCAGATGGTATCACTACTGTCGCTACTGCCACTTGTACAGCTACTGGCACACAAATATATGCCTATACCGATGCTGGAAACGTTGCCTACGAGTACATGTGTGGAGGAGGGTCCGGGGGCGGTAGTTATGGCTCTATCCCGTCTGCTAGCGGCGTAAGGAGTTGGACGGACTGCTTCAACTTCTGCGACACCTAAGTTGACGCCAATGGCGGCAGTAACTGCACAGGTTTTACATATGTGAGTCACGCAACTCTAAGGGACATCTTGTCGATCGAACAGACCAGTTCTATGCGAACAAAGGCCGAGATGTCACCCTGTACAGGAAGATATCGGAGTACGGCAAAGCTTGTCCATGCTTGTTCCCTATAAAGATGGAGTTCTGGTCGACCTGCCCAGCAACTGCTCCACAGAACCAAGGTGCTGCTTATGGTAACGGAGCAGGCCAATGCCTGCTCTAGTCTGGCGCTCAATCATTCGCCAGCACCACAGTGCTTTTATCCACTCGTATTGCAGGTATTGGATCACGATATATTGCCAGTGAGTTCCGCAGAACCTAGACTTCCATAATCTCCAAGCTGATAACGAACAGAGCCGAGTCCGACTTTCTCCTGTCCGGCAGTAGATCAACAGACAGTGATCGACACTTACGGCCAGGCATACCAGGTCTCGTGTGGAAACAACACATCTGGTGTCTCTCCTGGCTTCATGGGATTCCAAGCGGCCAACAATTTCGAGGATTGCTTCGGGTTGTGCGATAACTATACCCCTCCCTCGACTGAGACTGTCTACACCAGTTGCAACGCATGGGTCTATATTGGAGGAGCCAATGGTGTAGGAGGTGGCAATTGCTACCTCAAGTATGTGACGTCTGCTTCTTTTATCCCAGGTTCCAGCTCGAACTCTGTTGGTGCCATCAGGATCGCTGCAGCAACTACGGCACCAACCACAGCGGGCACCTCTTCGACTGTCTTCACATCTACCATAACACCAGCACCGGGTCTTGGGAGCGCAGCGTCATCATCCTTCAGCTCTTCAAGTTCCAGTAGCTCAAGCTCATCCTCGTCGAGTTCCTCGTCAATTTCTTCGAGCTCGTCGTCTTCAGTTTCGTCGAGTCTGTCGTCCTCCGTTTCTTCGAGCTCGTCTTCTTCGATTTCATCCAGTTCGCTGTCCTCTATAAGTGTTGCCCCCTTTTCGGCCTCAGTATCGTCGTCGAGCTCAATTTCTTCCTCTTCAAGCAGCAGCGTGTCAAGCTCACTTTCTTCTTCCTCGTCTTCCTCAGTCTCGAGCAGCCTCAGTTCTCCGAGCAGCAGCATCCTATCCTCTTCATCATCCTCGGTACTAAGCAGTTCAGCTGGCGCGGCCACCGCTTCATTATCCTCATCATCCTCGTCGATATCGTCGAGTCCGAGTTCCTCGGTTTCGAGCAGTCTGTCCTCTTCCAGCAGTTCTAGTCTATCGAGTTCGAGTGGTTCCAGTCTGTCGAGTTCGAGCAGCAGTGCAGCCGTGCCGTTTTCGTGCGGCTCTACAGTCACAGTCACGACTGCATGGACACCACCATCTAGAATGGAACTTTGATCGATTCGGTTGGCATGGAAGAATCATGGTAGTGGTCATAGCATAGCTAGCTTTTTTTGGAAATGGAAAATCTTGCATATTCATGCTCTCTCGATCAACGTTCATGACACGCCGCGATGTTTCCATGCAGAGAGTACCGGAATTCAATAGGAGAGATGGCTCTCTTCATGGCAACATATATGTTGTATATCACTACAAGACCATAGAAAGGCTCCAGGAGTGCACACGGAATCGGAGGAAACAAAACTTTGCATTTTTGGAAATCATGATAAAGTTGGAAGGAACTGGGCTTGAGTACCACGATCCTTCCTCGAAAAGAGTATTGAGCAAGAAAAGTATGAAGCCACGACTTTCCGCTCCATCGTGGCTTCCTCGTTCGAGTGATGAGTAATTATGCTTGTGCTTGTGCTTGTGATCATCAAAACTGGGAAATTCAATCGTGACTGTCGTTGCGTAAAGGCCGTCAAAAAAGCAGAAGAAAAACAAGAGGCAAGGATTGCAAAAGGTACAAGAAGTGGAAAGCAGAAGGAGAAAAACAATCGTCAGGGTGCATGCAAGAAAATCAGAAAAAGCAGGAACAAACTCGAGGGCGTATCTCTGAGAAGCACGGGGTCCTCCCAGATCGGACCTTCAGAAACTAGGACGATGCCGTATGTACTGTCGATAGATTCTGTACGGTTTGAACCCATATGTGCAATGTTGAGGCTTCGTGTATGCTTGGGATCAGATGCTCGATGCGATGACGGAATCAGAAGACATCATCAGGCCAGTCCCATTGCTTGTTACCGGCGCCAGCTTGATCACCCGTAACCTTCTCTAGCGCAGTTGGCAAGACGGGGACGGAGCCAACACCAGGAGTGGCAGTGATAATGTGGTGCTTCTCGTGCTTCTCGATGGTGACGAGCGTAGGCTTCGTATATACAGTGTCGGGTGGAGGCGAAGAGCGGCGTTGCGAGGAAGAGGGACGCTTGTTCGAGCCTCTGGAAGAGCCTCTGGATGTAGGACGAGCAGTCTCGTACCTGTTGATGAGGATTGATTTGAGAGGGTCGGTGCGTACATGAGTGGATTCGGCATCGGCGGCGCCAATGGCAGAGTCGTGCTGCGAGGGGACGAGGGAGTTGGTCGAGTCAACACGGGGGGCGACTACAAAGCTGTCTTCTTCGTTGATGGGATCGAGGGTGTCCATGCTTGGGCGGCTGGGAGGAAGATCGATGGCCTGGTCGAGAATGTGCTGCTCACTGCTGTCCTGCTTCTTGGTGTTGGTTTTGTTCATCTTGCCATGGCCGATTTCAGGTCCAGGTTGATCGTTCGCGGACTCAACATTGGCTGCCTTCTTGCCGGTGGACTTACGCTTCTTCTTTGGTTTCTCTTTGATGAACTCTAATTCGTCTTCTTCCTCGTCTGCTGGAGGCTTGTAAATGCCGTCTTCCTTGGAAGCACTTTTGCGCTTCTTGGTGGGCGTCTTCTTGGCTTTCGATTTGATGCTAGCATCGAGTGCCTTGAGTTTGGCATCCAGACTGGGACGGTTGTCGACTTCACTTTGATCAGCAGCCTCAGAAGAAGCAAGAGCGGCTGGATCCATGGGAGCTTGATTGTAGTAGTCAGCTGGTAGAAAGGTCTGGGTCGCTGAATGAGGGGTGTCAAGGATGATGACCGAGTCTCTTTGATAACCAGGGCTTCTTAGGTGTGTCAAGTCAAAAGACTGAGAGTGAGTGGGCTTTGGTCTGACGAGCGAAGGAGTATTTTGAGCCTGAGCCAACGACTCTGCTTGTATGAGACTCTCTGAAGGAAGAGAAGGTAGCTTGCTACCACTCAATCCAAACCTAGCCCTGGTTGACTTTGATTTGGAAGTGGGAGTGAACCTCTCGAAGCGAGAAGGAAGGGGTGGTAGTGGAGAGGCGTTCGTGATAGCGTTGTTCAGCTCACGACGAGCGTCGGCAAGTTTGGACTCGAGATCACTGACACGTTTGTTCAGCTTCACTGCTTTGTTGAGCTCCTTCTTGGACTGAGACCTGGGAAGAGATTGTAAAGTGAGATGACTGTGAATGGCAGGCTTCTCTGGCGATGTGGAAGGAGTCCTCTTAGGCTTGTCCTCTGACGTGCGTACGAAGGTTTCACTTATATTGGCATGAGAGCGACCACGCTTCAGAGAGCTCAAGGAAGGAGCGCGCAGAGAAGCACCACGTAGGGCGAAGAAGGACTTGCGTTTACTCAGAGGCTTCTCGGGTGACAAGTGCTGGGGTGACTTTGGCTCTGTGATCGGATCATCATCTCGTTTGAACAGAGCAGCCAACTGGGGTGGCGCGGAGGTATCGGCAGCCAAATCAAGCGAAGTATCCCGCGAGTGTGGAAAATCGGCATCCGGGCGTAGATGGGCATAGGCGGCAGCACGACGGGGCGAAGTCAGAGGCTGGCGTACAGGCGAGCCGAATTGGCTGTTTCCACCAATGCGAGGCGATGTTAAAGCCTTGTTGGGTACGACGGTGAAGTTGAACTGGCCGGACTTCTTAAGTTCCTGGTATGCCTGTTCATACATGGCCTTGTCGTCCTGAGCGCGCTTGCGGTTCTCTTCAATGTTTCTAACAGTAAGATCTTCCTTGGACTCTTTCCAGGTGCGTGAGAAGGATTCCCACACATTGGTGGGATTGAAGGTTGCTGCAACCATCTTGCCGAAGCGGAAGAGGCCGCCCGCAGGCTTGACAGATGCTGTCGTCGATGGAGCAATTGAGTCGAAGGTAGGAGCACTGAATGGCGGAGGTGGACGAGGCTCGACAGACTCGTCCTGGAGGGGATGGTTGACGACAGGTTTGAGGGGGTGGTTGACGGCGGTCTTGACAGAGCGATATACAGCGGGGGTCGAGTTCTCTTGATGGTACTGGGTCATGAGGTCGTCGACGTTGGCCAGGGTGGGCACACTATTGTCCGAGTGGCCGCGAGTAAAGACGCTCGGTGGTTGGGCACTGGGTTTGTCCGACATGCTGCCTTCTTGGAAGCGAGAGGGGCGTGTGTTGTCCGGGACATCGAGGTCGGCGGGTTCTGCGTGGCGCTTGCTGAGCGAGGCCAGGCCGTAGCGAGCGTCTTTGCGGCGAATGCTGCGAGGTTGCTGCTTGGGCGACGGCGAGGGGCGGCTGCGTTTGGGTGTGTGGCCGTCGTGCTTGCCATGGTCGTCGCTCTCGTCGTGCTGGCGGAGATCGTGATTGGAAGAAGCATGGGCGAGCAGATGCACATCTGCCTCAGGCACCTTCATGGCCCATTCCATGGTGCGCTTTCGCTTGCTCCCAAACTCGCCGCACATTCCTGCCGAGTCTGACATGTTGTTTGCTGCCTTTCTGCCATGTAACACGTCAGCTTTTGGTTTTTGCGCTGAATGTGTCAAGATCGGCGTTGCAATCAGACCAATGCTAGACACCGTTGTCTTTGTTTACGCCTTGGACCCCTTGGGACTCGGCGCCTGTTGGTACCGAGAGCTCCTTCTCTACTTACCGTCAGATTTGGCTGCAACCCTGCATCCAGCTACTCGAGATCTTTGCTACCGATTGACCAATCCGAGTCGTGTCTTGCAGAGTCGTGAGCCCACTATGGCCGGGATGCTTGTATTGTGCGAAATGCGGATTGACGTCTGGTTGTCCCGACACTGCCACCAAACACAACAGAACCGCCGTTTTTCTGCGGATCCTCGCACTGACCGAACCACCACGGAACCACTCAGCCGCGCCCGCCCTCGTCTAAATACATGATTCATTGTCACTCGACATTGTACCTCACAATTCACTCAAAAATAGGCCGCCGTTGCTTCAGCTGTAATTCGTGTGCGTGTCTTCATTGTGTCTCGTGTCTATCCTTGCTCTCGTTGAATAACTTCATAATCTCTGATTGGTTGCGACACTTCTATTCCCTCCTCGATTACATGTCCCACATCTTCGCTTGCCCACACAAAGGAGATCAAAGTCGTTGTTCCACCCCTGTACAAATGAAACTTGCCCATCGACACTTTCCCGTGCCGACATCTGTCCGCTACTAGTCTTTTAGTCATGGCTGGGGGGAAGAGGGCGAGCAATTTCGCGTCCATCTGCGCGTCTGTAGCTCATCTTCAAGCTCTCCAACTCTGCGACTTCGCTGTCGTTTCCGTCATCCGCCACGATATGACCGTAGCCCGATACTGATGGTCTGGCGCCCTGTCTCAATGGTCCGTTCAGGTGACGTGTGTCAAAGACACGATCGTACGAGCGCTTGCCGTTGACCTGTCCGTTTTCTGAGCTTCTAGCCATGTCATAGTAGTGGCTCTGCGACACTGCACTGGATGGTGGTGAGATCTCGAGCTTGGTTTGAGCAACCAGCGATGTGTTGATTGGAGGCAGCACATGGGGTGCAACTGCCGATGCACCAGCTGCAGAAACCTGGCTCATCTGTCTCATCTTAGGCGTCTGCTGGGGTGTGTAAGCAGGTTGGTGGTATTGGGATGAGTATGCCTGAGGCTGGCTGCTGTGAGGATACGAAGGTGTCTGGATCATCGAGTGACGGCGAACATCGGCAGGAACAGGAGCAGGGGCTCCGTGAGAGTAGTCAACACTCATGGTTCTTGCAACAGCTGGTTCCTCGTACTGAGCATGCTGTTGAGCTGGGTGTCCATAAGCGTAGTAGGCGGCGTGCTGGTGGGCAGGAGCAGGTGCTGCAGCCTGGGTATACTGATATTGTCCGTAGTGCATCTGGGGCTGAGGAGGCTGCATGGGTGGGGGCTGCATTTGAGCCTGCTGCTGCGCGTATGGTGCAGCGTACTGATGAGTAGGGGTTTGCGAGTACTGAGGCTGTGCAGGGGCGGTCGGCTGAGCTCCAGGGTGCTGAGCGACGGCCTGAGGAGGGTATGCAGGCTGAGGGTATACCTGGCACATGTCATGTCCAGATGGACGGCGAGACGAGGGAGCAGCGGCAAGCGATGCGTGGCTGGCAATACTGGCCGACCTTTCGCGGTCTGCGGCTTCAGCGCCGGGGTGGGCTCCAGCCAGATGAGATTGGTAGACGTCAGGGGTGGCCGAATGTCTACCACGGTCCGAGTAGCCGTCAAAGTCCTTGCCCTTCTCACGTCTACGCATGCGAACTTCACGTCTAATGCGGACACGACATCCTTGGTCAGCCACGGTGCGGCTGAGCTGGGTGCTGGAAGCAAGTCCCGGAAATTTCTTGGCACTGTAGACAGTGAAAGGCTGCGACTTGACTTCCAGGCGATGGGTGATCTGTGCTTCTCCCTGAGCAGCGGCGGCTGCAGCTGCCTCGTCCAGCTGGTCTGCATCCTTGGGGTCCTTCAACTCCTCGTACAGGCTGAAGCCCAGTCTGTACTTTCCCTCGTGACGGACAGAAAGATCAGGGAAGATAAAGTATCCAGCTTGATCAGGGCGATCCAGGTAAACCATGCCAGCGACCGGAGTGCCGGTCAAGACGGTCAAGCGGGCAGGGTCGTTAGGGACACGGCCCTGGGCGATTGGACGGGCCTGTTCCAGAGTCGCAAACAAGAAGTAGTTTGCGTTCATGGCGAAGGTGATATCATTGTCTTTGTGCTCCTCGCCATCAAAGATACGGAGCTCGACGATTGGAGGAGGGTCGACAGGACGACGGTCGGCAGAAGCTAATGTCGCGTCAGTATGATGGTCAGCGTTGAATGTGGGAGCCACGCACACTTGGCGCCAGAACCACAAGCGCGAGCACGCTCTGGCTGTTGGAGAACCTTGAGCTTGTAGAGCAGATGTCTTCCATCGCACGTGGTACGCGAGAAAGAGGCTACAGTCTCGTTGGGGACTGAAATGACTCTGGGTTCCATGACGACGGTAATAACAGTTTAGATGTGACAGAATTTGATGCGCGACAGTAATATAGCAGTGACTGTGCTGTTTAACGGTTGGAAGAGTCAGCGACAATGTATCAATATCGAGTGCCGGGTCCGTGACAGCGGTTTGGGGAAGGAAAGAAGGTTTGGGCGAGCCTGAGCCAGCACTTGTCTGGCTGGTAACGAGCTACCACCGTGTCGGCGTGGCCATGATACTCCCACGAAAAGAAAAATGCAAGGAATGGAATATTGTATGAACTCACCCTTACTGGTTGTATACGGAAAGGGATGGATATGATGCGTGGTGCAGGCGCGATCAATGATGCTCGGAATAAACACAGCCCTCGAGGTAAACGAACGCGTTGGTCGAGACTGTGGAAGCCTATGGACTTCTTTGAACAACACCCTCGAGATGAAAGAACAGTGGACACAGAAACGACGAACGATGTTCTCTCCTCCAACAGAAAAAAGGACTTCTACCCAGGGATTCGGTTCTGAAGAGTAAAAGAAGGTGGGAGTCGCGGAGGAAAAGGCAGGTACAAGGCGACACTTGGAGGCCCGGGCGTTGTTGCCGTACGCCGCACGCAAGCGAAGTGCCCTAAACTTGGGAACTCTAACGAGAGTCTGGCTCGGCTTTCCTTTTTCTCACCTTCGGCATGGCAGCGCCCATTCCCAGCTGCGGCGATCTGCATCTCCTCCGGCATCGATGGCCATCTGATATCAACCTTTGGTAGACACGGCGCAAGTTTCGCTGCTGGAAACTCTGGTGATTGCAATTGCTGTTGCAACTCACCTCCATATCTTTGCCCGGGCGGGATGTTCGGGATTGTGTGGTAAGCTAACGGGCGGTTCTCGCGCCTCATTGCCTGTTGTCTGCTCCACACTGCGCACCGTCCCGCTTGTGGGTCCTTTGGGGGCTTCCCAATGTTTGCTTTGCCATGTTCGCAACCCTCTGATCGACCGGCGCCTCATCCTGCAGCAGCGTCTGCACTACCACCACGCAGGAATCCGGTAACCGGCGTTGTGTCAGTATTCCCGCTGAGGCTCTCCTCAAGTGGAATGTGGTTTCAGGTTCATGCCCGTTTGTCTGTACCCTCGCCTATTAAGATTATCACTTTCTGTCAAGATAAGCCTGGGGTTATACGCGGTGCGATATAACATCAGACTGCGGATTCTGGCTTCCTCCCAGCCAAGCGACGCAATATAAGCCGAAGCAGTAACACTGCCCGGTCGGGTCCTTAGTGAGCGCTTCCGACACCCTCCTGGCAGGCTGGAGCTGTGTTGCTCGAGCCTCTCGAATTCTTCACCGTTCTGACGACCCAGACGAGGCGCATGCAGGGAGGAAACGCGTCACTGAGTCGAAGAGCGTGTCGAGCAGAGACAGGAAGCCCAAAGGGACGCGAACTGGTCGTTTGGTTGTATCGCTTACAAGGTTTCGAAATAGGCGGAAGAAAAGAATGCACTAACTCACCTTTTGAGCGTAGCTGCAGCTCGGTTCCAGCCGCCGCCATGGTAAAAGTTGCTCTGCATAGCGGTGCAGGGTCTGCCAACACATCAGACTAACGGACGAGTATCCACCTCTACTATCCACGCTTCTACAGAGCGCCTGGTGGCCTTTTCGAGGAATTGCTGTGTACGGAGTACAACACGCCATCTCGATCTGACCCGGAGGCTTGCTGTTGTATGCGAAATGCATGTCGAGAAAGTGTCTTGCAGGCTGACCAAAGATGATGAGAGTAAGGGTGTCGTACTTTGCGATCGCAATGCAGGCCCGCACGACATCCACAAGCGGCACCGCGATCAGTCCAATCGACGCAGACCCCGACAAAGGCCGCTCCAAAAACGAGTGGCTGGGTCAGGTCACTCACCAAGCGAAAGTCGTCATTCCAATGCATTTGGATCTTCACGCTCCAAGCGAATCAAGGGGCGCCATTTTTCTACGCAAAGACGTGAGGCATATGAAGGAAACGAGATTGCACACTCGTTATCCGAACTGCGGTGCCCTCATGCATATCGTAATAGCGCGGAGCCGGTGTACGTACCTGTTATAGCCTGGACTTTTCTCCCACTGCGCCAGACACAACAGATTGGAGTTCTGCATTGTCTGGCAAGGCAGAGTGCTGTCGACACTTTCACGGATTGGCATTGCACTCTTTGACGTCTGGTGTTTAGTACCACGTCCGGGCTCGCCCGAAAGAGCGGAGGATGTCAGAGAAGTTGGTTGATCTGTCTCAATAATTCTACACATCACTACTTACCCAGGGCTCGCTTCTGGATGTTGGAGTACAGAAGCTAACTTTTGAGTATTCAAGCTACACATGCAAGTCGCGAGACAATTGTGATAGTCGCCGAAAACAAAGATGGGCGCGATCACGCACAGTTTGTCTACTTGCACAGTAGCGAAAAACCCCGAAATAACCATGCTGCAAGAGAACGAATGCAGTCGACATTGCAGCGAAAAACATCCTGCTGACTCTCACCTTCTGACACTCGCTCACACGCTCTTGTACACATCAAGCAAAGCCTTGAATGCAATAACGGAGGGTCAAAGCTATAGCACGGAAATAGGTGATCTTGACCTTCTTCTGTCTTTATGTCGCCAATCAGAATAAGACCCTCGACCAGGTCTTTGTCTTCGGTCAGTGCAGACTGTCACCTGCAACCTTAAAAAAGGTGAGCAAGCTTCAACCAACGAGAGGGCTTCATTCTCCAAAAATTTGACGACCGGTCACCAAGCTAAAGCAGCCGCGCATCTTTGCTATTCAACATTACATGGGCGTCTGGATCCTCGTCGCTTAGAGATATAATGTTCCTCGGCTGCCCCCCTGGAGTGTGCCTACAGACCCACATCAATGCCCACACCATCACCTCATATAACCGATTGATAGTTTGACATGCAAGCATTCAATATCCTCGATACAGCCAACTACATACATCTCCTAAGGCAGGAAGAACGCTCATACCTCGACTGACACGCAAACGATGATCCAGGTCTATGGCCCCTTTCTTGAACAACCCGGTCATGACTCCTCGGCAAGAAGGGTCGGCATGCGTATCATGACGGCAAAGTTCTGCATCGGTGATCGCAATGCTTATCCCAATCACCTTTTCACACCCTCTCAGAACCGTAGGTCTTGTTTTTCATTCAAGTAAACATATTGGATGCAGGCGGTCGCTTGTTCCCATCCCGCAATCGAATCTATATTAGAAAGCGGAGCATTGCACTCGCTCGTAACAACTGTAAGGACATGCTTTGAAGCCTCTCCTGTCATCGGCAGGCTTAGAGGTAATCACTTCTCAAGAGCTCCTTCATGGTACACGAATACCACTTGACTCTGTACAGTGCACTCTCAGATTACATCCAATGGTTAGTAGACTTCCACGCTGACCGTCAGGTGCAATTCCAGTCTGTAGACGAAACACATCAAAACTACGTTCGAAAAAAAAGTCTGTACTCAATCCACTCCTCTACAACGAACATCCAACATGACATCAGTCCCCCACGACACGATTGGGTAATTTGTAGGTAAACAAATCTTGTGCGTGTATATCTTGTCCAGTTTGTTTACCGCTCGAGATCAAACAACATTCTATATTCCAAGATAAGCCGTCTGAGCATCCGACCGGCCAAATCGGCTCTGTGATCCAGAGTTTGCAAATGCTTCTCTTGTATCTCTCACTCCGTTGATATCTTTTGTAGTGAAGGACCGTCGAGTATTTTGCAATTAGAACAACGAACTAAGACCAGACAGGGTCATACTCAACACCGCATAGTTCACATCTTTTTGGGATTGTTGATGCATGTCAACCGCACAATGAGTGGATCACAGTCTATCTCGCTGTTTCGACAATATGTCGAACTTTGATTATTTTCGACAGTCAGCGTGATGATATCTCAGAGGTATATGCAGTGACGTAGACCAATGATCTGTTGTGTCAAGGAAGTCACGATTCATGGGACATCTTCCGCGGCGCTATTTGCAATTGGATACACTCCACACATGAGAAGTAGTTAAGGAAGGTGCGATGGTGGTACTCCAACCTGCGAGGGGTGGATTCCTCATTCATTATGAGGACAAGTATCCTGGTTTCATTCTTCGTCCCAGTGATACGATTGTTTCCATATACACGCACAACGCAACGATAAGCAGACACAGGAAGTTTTCAGCTGTTATGAGCCAAGTAAATGTATACAAAAGAAAAGTGAATGTATAAAGAGAATGATGATGAAAGAAAACACATGAAACAGAAAATATGTAGAGAAAGGGTAGCTGGCTTTACCCGTCATCAGTGAAACAAGAGTAAAAGAGAAAACGCCTTGAAGACCCTTCCAGATTGGAGAAACTCCGTCTTCCAATGTCCCGCGTTTGTACCAGTTTATTCATGATATGGATGGGTTTTGTTCGTCACCGACAAATTCAAACCATAACTCCGCCGAAAATAGTGATAACGAGCCTGGAGATGCCGTGCTCAAGCAGTGTTGACGTTGCGGCAGTGATGTGGAAGGATCGAATGTCATATGCACATATCCACATCGCCGCTTCGACGGTCGCAAGGTCGAGAGATGCCAAACTATCAGTTGCGGGTTACGATCGCGAGCGCACAACCCGAGGCTTGTAGGACAGGCCATCTTGGTCTGATCGCAACGAATGCTCTTCGTGAAAAGACGTTTACGCATACCGCATGTCTGCTATGGAGCCCTCGAAAGGCGCTCCTTGTGCTGTTTGAAGACCTGTTGGAGCAGAGCCCTGCGACATCCAGGCACTCGCAGCACCTTGTGCCAACGCTTGCCATTGGTCAGCACGACCCGTCTCTTTTTGACTGTAGAAACGAAGAGCCATCTCCATCATTTGCATCTCTGAGGTCTTTCCCACATAGTTGAAAACCTGTGTTTGCCCTGGTGGCGGCGCTGAGTATTGTCGCATAGGCGAGGGAGCAATTGCCACCGGCACAATTCCGTTCTGGCCTGGAGGCAGGACACAACAAAGTGCCTTCTCACCCCAGAATGTGGTGGCCGTGGCAACCTGATCACCAAACATGACTTCCATGCCGGGAGTAAACCCACTGCCATATACTGAAACCTCTATACCGCCAGATGGCGGACCTTCAGATGGTGTCACCTTGTTGATGATGGGACCTGGCCGTTCCGGCTCGCTCATAGCACTAGGCATGGATGAGGTCGACATGGCAAAGGGGTTTTGACGATTTGACATGGCGTTAGCTCCACCATGCGCTTGTTGTCTCTGGAAAGCAGCCAAGTTTGGTCCGACCAAGACAGGACTGGGTGCACGACTTTGGTGAGCAGAGCTTGGAGCGGAGTAGAAAGCTTGGTATGCAGCGCCATCCATACTGTTCGTTCGGTTCAGAGCAGCAAACGGAAATGTGGTGGTTTCAATAGGAGTTGATGGACCAGTGTGGAAATGAGAACGCGATGCCGAATGTGGCATGGAGATGTAGGAAGGGTCGTTGTTGCTGCCGATAAAACCAGCATTGGTGGGTGAAAAGGGCGTCTGAGCAGTGGGTTGAGCTATCTGCTGATTGGCCTCCATCTTAGTCATGGTAAGCGTGCTAGGAATCCTTCTATGAGCAGATGACGATTTCCGTTTTTTGCTGGGACCTGCTTGACCTGCACTGTTGGGGGAACCAGGGCGCGATAAGTTGCGTGGTGTCATTGTTCCTGGGGTAGTGGCTTGCGATGGTGGGAAGTTTTGCATGTGCATATTGTTGGGCTGGTGGAACTGCTGATTCCCGTAACCAAGACTCTGCAAATTTCCAGTCGATTTAGAGACGGACATTGCAGGCATGTGTGAATGCAGGTCAACCATCGAGTGTGAGGTAAAAGGAGCTTGAGCTGGGAACTGGCCGTCATACCACACCTGGCCGGGCACACTAGACATTGGATGTGTCTTGTGGTCGTCGGTGATCAGAATCGAGTCCGAAATGTCTTGGGCCACGACATTGCCTTGGTAGTCCTTGATGGTGAAGATGACCTGGAAGCCATCCTTCTCATTCTGATGGCGACAATAACATGCAATGCGCATGGGAGCCACAACCTGCATTGCTGTCTCCGGAGGGCGGAAATAATCAGAAGCTGTGACACTGTTGTCTTTGGGCGCTGGCGATTGTTGCCAGTCTTGCCATGGCTTGTACTCGTTAGTGTTGAATACGATGACGCGCTCCGTCTCGTATTTCTCCCAGTGTGCTTGCTCTTCCTCCTTCTTCAGCTTCTTACGTGCAGCTCTCTTGCGCTCACGATTGATACAGTTGGTGCAGATGCGCACTTCTCCGCCATTGGCCGGCTTGTCGTTCTCGTCCACTTCCTCTTCACCTGCCTTCTTGCCCGCGTTTTGACCTCTCACTTGAATCTGGGCATTGTCCTGCTGAGCTGCTTGATTCATGGCCTTCTCACGCAGATGAGGTTGGTTCATGGCACTGGTGCACACGAGCATGGTGTGTAGCTCGAGGGTGTCTTCGGCCAAATGGACCTCCTTGGCTAGAAGTTTGGCCTTTGCAATGGTATGGGTCGGCAGATGTAGCATCTTGACGCGTGGCGGCAGATAATCCATGGTCAAGCGAATGTTGATTTGTGTTTCGACTCGAGACTTTGCTGGGATGGGGGCGACGTGCAGAGGAATTCGATCGCCTTGCGCTGTGGGCTTCTTAGGCAGTGCCGGCTTGGGGGCATTCAAGACAGGTGAAGGTGTCATGGCTAGCGCGCCTGGTGATGCGAAGGCATGAGCATAATCGTTGTTCCACGCAGGATTTTGTGCCGAGTTGTTCCACATCTGATTGGCGTTGAATATGTCGTTTCCGTCCGAAGATGGTGTTGGGTTGTTGAACATGGCGCTGGGCGAGGCGTCTTGGTTTTGTGAAGCCTTGACTGAGACGGGCGATGCGGTACTCGAGCCAAAGAAGAAGTTGGACGGTTCGACGGTTCCAGCCTGCTTGTGGGTCAGTACTAGTCGCATCAGATGGCTGCTGGAGGGCAACATACCGGCGGTTCGGGCTTGATGTGCATGCGATGTGAGTAAGTGCGGTCGACCATATCCATGGGCTGGCCACCAGGACTACTTGCAGCACTGCCAAAATGGTTGGCAAAGTCCTGCTCCAAAGAGAGGTTGTGTAGAGAGTGTAGCGGGGCCATGTTGGTGGTGCTGGCGGGGTGCGAGTGCATCATGTGTGGGCGTTGCTCGAGCTTGATGGCTTCAAAGTTTCCTGGCGGTGACTCGGAAGTGGCCGAAGTGTTCTTGCGCTTTCTGCCACTGGTCTCGGACGACGAGTCTTGCGACGAGCTCTCGGCGGAGCGCGACGAGACGAGCGATCGCGAGTTGTATTGTTGGTGAGAATGCGCGTGTTGAGCGTCGTCGGTCTTGATGTGGTAGCTGGGGCTGTCGGCTTGCACGGTCGCGGCCGACATGTCGAACAGGCGAGCGCCATCGAAGGGCGACTCGGCGGCGGCGCCCAGGTTGTCGTAGAGGTTGGAGAAGGAGGGGTCGTCCCACATGGACATATCCGTGTCCTGGACGACGTGCGGGTTTGGATCCTGATCCATGACTTGTCGGTCGTGGTCAGTGGTGCGAAGCGGCTTCGCGGGGACGAGGGTGGGGGAGGGGCGTAGAGGGCGACGAAACGATTGTGGCCAAGTTGGCGGTGGGTGTAGTCTCAGCGAGATAGCTGCGCGGGATCCGGAGTCGGTCGCTTAGAGGTAACAGAGGCCAGTCCGGCTTGCGCAGGGCATTGTGGTTCTGGATGGTCGTGTACTGTGCGGGCGACGCGGCGTCAGCGAGAGCGGGTAGCGGACAGCGGGCGTGCACCAAGTGGCTGTGTGTCGCAATGTTGCGACCGTCAATGTCAGTAGTAGCTTGCAGGAGCGCGGTGCCAGCAGCAAGTCGAGCGAGCTAGAGGATGCGGGTCGTGTGTCAAGCAAGAGCGAGTGGCAGCCGGCGACCTTACAGTGCGAGCAACAGCAGCAGCAGTAGCAGCAGCGAGTGGCAGTAACGATGGACCGGAGTACTCGGTGCGTGCGACCGTGCAGCCTTCCTGCTTCAGTCAGTGTGGAGATCTGGAGCCTTGGGAGTTAATTTTCCGATCTTCTTTTGGTCTATCGAAAGCTATTCTATCATACCAACTTGCTATGGGTATATCCGCCCTATCTCTGTTACTCTCACCTTCACAACCACCCATCTCTTCAAGACTTGAGACTCGACATACCGGCCTTCGAGTCCTCTCTGTCTTCCAACTTCCCGCTCGTCCAACTTCCCCTCGCGAATCCGTCATGCACGCCAAGTGTCCGAGCTTTGGCGCCTCCCACAATGGTTCCCTCGTGCGGTCGTTCCTCTGAAGAACCGCTGCAGCGACTCGCTCGCTCATGTTTGCTGTTTTGAACCACATTTTCTTGCGTATCCTTCTGTCTGCTACACTAGGCACCTCATGCAACTGCAAATTGCTTGCGATGCGTGTCGTCTGGCACTTTGACAGCTATCTGAAAGTAACTCGTCGCGCCATATCCTGCATGTCATCTTTCATGTTCGGTACATTTACCGCCATCGGTCTTCTCCGTAGCCGCAACCAGATACAGTCTCAAACTTTCTTGGAACCCGCCATCTCTCCCAGCCCTGATCCTTTGGCTTTCTGCCCTCGTGCTTTGGAATAGGTACAGTGGCATGAACTGTCTAGACATGAGAGGTCATCTCGAGTCTTGAGACATGCCTTGTTTGTGTTTCGGTTACACATGGGAAGTATTGTTAACGGTCCGAATACACCGCCGTGCCGTCACCTACACAGGGATCTGCAAATCCTACGAGGTACGAGCGAGTACCGTCGAGGTTGGAGTGACACGGCATCCCGATCACGATACCCATTTCTGCCGAGTAATATCAGTTTTTTGTCTGTATTTTCAACCTAGTGATGTTGATAAGTTCTATCCATTTGGCAGACCCCACTCCTCGAGCAGCTGCTGCATGCGATACTCTGTCGCCCATCCTGTCTCTCGCTGGATGCTCTGCAGCAGGTTCAACACACAACCGCGCATAGCGTCGACTTCGTCCGGCGAGTTTCCCTCGCCCTGAGATGGCCTGGCACTGGATTCTCGCATGCCTAGTACCTGTCCAGCCGTATACAAAGGCTGAACACTGTGGATTCTCGCACTGTCATTCTTGAGGCCAAGGCCAATGCTAACAATCTCCTCTGCATGTTTCCTGCTCTGTCGTAAGATGGATGCATAAGATGCGTGCCGTTGAGCTAGAGACCACGTGTTGCCTTTACTGCCTGTGCCTGATGCTTTGATATGCGTCGTCCCTGTAGATTCGTGAGGTTTGTTGAGGAGTAGTTGGATCTTTGCAAAGTGGAATGATTGCATCGTAGATGCACACATGGGCCGAGCGAACCATTTTAGCGGAATCTTGGTAGCACTCCTCACGTTGTTCTGGTTTGAAACGTTTTAGCTCCACATATAGCAAATGATTTGGTCGGCACTCACGTTACTTCTGTCAGGCCATTCTGTAGCGCTCGGTCTGAAGCTATGTGGCAATCCCTGTACGAGTTGAGAATTAGCATCAATCAACTGAACTTGTCCAACTTGACTGTTACCTCAAACCATATGTCCAATTGCCGTTCCAGGCCTTGCCAGTACTCTAACAATGCTATCTGACGGACACCCAGGCCCATCTCGTGGGGAAATTCGTCACCAGCAGAAATGAAGTTGACCAGTTTCATCATGAGCCAGATCAATGCGTTTGATACCATGTCGTCGGCCATTGGTTCATGTACTGCTGGATCGTTCGATGGCAAGATGTATCCTGCCTGCGAGATGTGCAGTCCAGCATATCGCCACATATACAGATCCATTGTATCCAGCCTAGTATTCGTATTGTTTATGACTAAGACAAGAGTCAGCTCGCTTAGATTCGATTGTTTGAATGCTGTAACTCACAGGCATTCAACATTTCCTGCCGACAAACGTTCCAGAACACGGCTCGACGTCCCTTCGAGGAAGTGGTTGGCCTAGAGGTGAGTATTGGGCTTTGATCCGTAGCCGCATTCGATAGAGGCATTGTGCCGTCTTTGGCGATATCGAACAAACTTTTGGCACCGTCCAAATGCCTTGACCATTCTGTGCCTGATGCATCGAGGAATTCGAACACACAAAGTATGGCTGTTGTGGCGATCAGCTCATCCGTGTCCGGTCGAGAAGGGACTGGCGGAGATGGTGAATGATGATCAATGTCAATTCCTGTTACGGCGTCTGTCGTTCCCACGGCCGTAGTTGGTGATTGTTGGCCGGCGGATGCATGTCTGGTTTCGTTCTCGAGCGCTTGTCTAAGCAGTGTAATTGCTTGATCGTAGTAGTATCGAGCCTTGTGTGACCATTCCGCTGGGGTACGCTTTGAGCCGGAGCCTTTGGGTTGCTGTGCTGTGATCCTAGTTCTCCCCAGAGCCTTGGCCGACAATGCAATGGACGCGTAAAGTAGCAGAGAGCTGGAAGCCGCTTTTAGTGGTACGTCGACTGCAAAGAACGACCCGAGATCAAAGAGATCCATCCATTCACCCGGTCCTTCCGAGAAGTGACGTAGCAGGAAGGGTACATCCTCGTCGTTTTTCGGATCGAAATCAGTCGGCCCAGTATCTGATTGAGGCTCGAACAAGCTCATGCATGTCTCTGACAGCTCCGTATCGAGTCTCGGGTCTATAGGTGGCGAGAAAGATTCCGATACGCCTGTTCGTCGAGTGTCATTCTGGAGGTAATGGTCACCTGAAGCTGCGGCAGACAATGCCTCTAGTCCGTGGGTCGAACTCGGCATGAACGGATAGGGATACTCGGCTGTGGTGTTCCAGGTATGATCTATCCGTGGCTCGGTATCTGTCATCTCCGAAACTGTGTGGAAGTGCGATGTGTCCGGATCGTTGTAGGGGTTGGTGGTGTGCACAAATGTGACTACGCGATATCAGTAGCTGCCTGGAGTCTCCGACTATGCTAGAATACACACGGTTACGCGGAATGTCCACCCAGACACTGTTCTTGTTGAACGTTTCTTTGTAGCCATAGAATCTCTTGAGGCCGCCTTCAACATTACTCGTGCCGGATCCATTCATGGATGCATTTTGTTGATGTCTGAAGACAACACCTGGACTAGGTACGCATTGACGACTAGCTTTTGTGCACTGTCCGCAAACTGAAATCAAATCTCGTCAGTCATGAGCATCATCTTGAGCATCGTTCTTGAAGTTTTGTTCAGTCTGCCAGCTTCCACACGGTGTGGGGCTCGCTGGAGTTGTGTGTACGTGTGTAAGGGCATGTGCAGGAAATGGAGGACTAGCTGATATATATCACTTACCCGGCTTTTGCTCATCGCATTTGAGCTATGCTGTTGTCAATGATACTGTAGAGTTGCTCAAGGGAAGAAAGCGCACCTTGCGATTGCGACATGTCAAACTGAGCGAGATGATGTCAGCCATTTGCAGGACTCTCCCACCCAACTACGGGACATCAAAAAACCCACCATCCTGTTCTTGATCGCATCGTGTGCCACTGGCTTCACCAACCATAGTTTTTCGTTGATAATGTACGCCTCTGGATGCAAAAGAAGGTTGGGAGAATGAGCGAGTGAGAGGCTGAGGCCGAATCTGGGGAGGTCAGGGTTGTCCTGTAAGCATAGATCTACTGGCGACTCCGATGCTCAAAACGCAGTTGAAATTGTCCAGATCGATTTATGCGATGTTTGGTGAATTCAAACGCCTATATGGCTCACTATAGTTGTATACTACTAGACTGTGGCATGTTGGGTGGACTGTGTGGCCTGCGATGTACTTCTTAAGGATACCTTGTCGATAATCCCTTGACTGCAAAATCCACAAGCCATCTACCAGTTTTGCAACATCGCTCACAATGCACCAACAGAATTGGCTGAACAGTATTGTACGTTTCTTCTGATTTTGTTGAAAGTCCATCAAGATTACATTTGCTTTCATCATGCAGCAGTAATTACTGCCTCTCCTTACGAAACCAGCCATTCCCCCTCGCACACCCCTGTCTCCAAAACGCCTACGCCATGCCGAGCTTTGAAAATCATGTGTCTGAGAAAGGGTATCGTGGGAAAGCAGCGACTACTTTGCCGTCTTTGCCTTCTTCTTGGGAGGCTCCACTTTGTTCTCGGCGTCGCTTCCTCCAGCATCAGCCATCTCTTCGTCACTGTCACCACTGCTATCGTGGGCACTGTCATACTCCTCAGCGACATCTGACTCGGACTCGGTATGGAAGTCTTCATCAACAGACTCATCGTCCTCGTCGGCTGAACCACGAACCGCGACAACCTCGTCGTCCGAAGAGTCGAGGTCTCCATCCTGCAGCACAGCAGCCATCAGAGCACCTTCTTCCTCCATCTCGTTCTTGGTCTTGATGCCCTTCAGCTGGAAGAAGTTCTCCAACGACTTTTGCTCTTCGCGGTTGATGTTCGAGAACTGGTGCTCACCACCACCCTTGAGCGAGACAGCAATGTCAAAGGTACGGGAAGCGCTCACAGCGCCGCCCACTCTAGACATGGTAATGGCGGAAACGTTGTCAAAAGCGATGTAAGTAGCAGGCTTGGGCACGAAAAGGAAAGCGCGTTCCAGACAGAAGAGGTGGCCCTCGTTAGCCTTGACCGAGCACTTGACACCCGACTGCTGGTGGTGTGAGTTGTAGTCGCGACTGGGTTGCAGAATCTTCTTGCCGGTCAGGCCCAAGAAGATCTTTGAAATGACAGTGGCAATAGGAGCCTCGTATCTGGGCTGGAGTTTGCCCTTGTACTTGTTCTCGAGATCTTCCTCGGTCATGTTCAGGTCGAGGACAATGTCTTCTTCACGCTTGAACTGCATGACCAAGAACGGGTAGCGAGTCTGACCTTGGCGTAGCGGGGGGTCGAGGCCGATACAGATGAGTTGGTGTACGTCGTCGGGCTTGGGTAGAAGGAAGAACTTCTTGATCGAGTCGTACTGGATTTTGTAGTCGTAAGTTTTACCGCGGAGGCGGAGAGAGGACTCGTAGAGATCGATGTCGAAACGTCCACGGGGGGTGAGGTGCAGAATATCGAGGAAGGTAGCGAAGGTAGCGCCTGCGACTTCGCCGATTTCTGCCTTGTCCATGAGCATTTCATAGAAGAGGTTGGCGGCATTCTGCTGGTCGTCCTCGCCATCAGCTTCACTGCCATCTTCATCGCCCTCTTCTTTCTTCTCCTTGCGGGTAGCTGTTCCAGGGATGTAGAAGCGCATCTCGACCATCTGGTCAACCGAGCCGCCTGCCTTTTTGCCTCTGCCTCTTGCACCCCCGAGAGCGCCATTGGTACCCGTCTCATCGCCGTCGCCAGGAAGGGAGAATTCGACAGCGACCTCGTTCTTGCCGGCAAGGTTGGTGTTTGAGATCTCGGTGTAGGGGATCTCGAAAGCGGGTTGGTTGCGCACGTTGAAGGCGAGTTCAGCCTTGCCAAAGTCGGCCTTTCCCCAGTTCCAGCCACGCAGGGCATGCTCTTTCTGTTCGAGGTTGATGCTGTACCACAGCTTGAAGCATCTGGAGAGACGGTCGTAGTCCTGCAGCGAGTTAGCGTCGTGGCAAGCAGGCGATAGGTGTACAGGTGCAGTCATACATCGAGCATGAAGCCGTCCAGCTGGATAACGCCCGAGTTTCTTGAGTAGATCTTGACTTCGAAACCCCTCGCGGCTCTGCTCCATTGTGATGAGATGATCTCGGCCTTGTCGAGAGTGAAAGTGTCGCCAGGACCTGATGGCTTCCAACCCAGACCAGACTCGGCGAAACGACATTTGCCAGTCTGCTTTGAGAGGTCGAGGTAGATGTTGTCAAAGGTCTCCCTACAGCGCCCGTGTCAGCCTTTGGACAGCAATCTTGGGCAGCGCCGTGGAACGTGGAGTACACGACGCAACAGCTGCGCTTACATGGTCGGTGACTAGAGCTGATGTGTGGTGATGTGTGGTGATGTGTTGGGCAGTCTTCAAGGTGCGAGTGTAATACCACGAAGCGGCGGCGAAGCGAGCTCCGGGAGGGTTGCGCGGCGTGTTGTGACGCCGATGGAAGCGACTACTTGGTCCTCGAGATGGAAAAGAAGCCGTGGAATCGCTTGCACGGATCGACCAAGGTGGTGAAATGCAGTATATGCAATTGTTGATACGGACAGATTCGGTGCAAAGAGCATCTCGTCGCGCTTCGCGTGTCGCGGTCGTTAGGCCGACTTTTGCCGCGACCATTTGAAAGCTCCACCCTGTTCTACGGAGTACTCTACTCGCGCCTCGTTGGTAGCCATCCAAGCAGCATCTGCATCTTATCATCATCACTCATTGCGCTGACCAAGTCTCTCGAGCAGACATGCTGCTTCCAATCTTCCGCTCCAAGTGACAAGCCATACTCCTCACAGCTCGGGTCGTGGATGAGCCGTGCCTCAGCCAGCTCAGCACTTTCTCTATCAGAGACGCTTCCTCCTGACTCGATTGGCTGAGTATCGCAGCGTCGACTTCTCGAGTCTTGCCGATCAACCACATATGCAGCAGCAGCTTGATAACTCTGCTATCGACAGTCTTTTGAACTATCACTTTGCACGGCTCCACCGCCACGCCCATGTGGTTGCTTTTAAGCCTCGTTTTTGTGTCAACCACCATAATCCAGAAGCCTTCCGCAGCCCATGGGCAGATCTCGAACCATCTCTCTGCTGTGATTGGACACTATACCAATCAAGATCGCCCGGATTAGATGCGTATGCATCACTGTCAAGCCAGTCGATCATAGCCCACGAACCATATCGACCCTCTAACCTGGACGCAGGCTGAGCACATCATTCCGTGCTTGATCAAGGTTGGCACCTATCCGGGCACTGTACATGTACCTGTTACATGTCTTGCTAATCTTGTAATTTGATGGATCCTCCGAGCGCCCAAATGTAGCCTGCCATACCAGCCTGAGTCCAGGCACATCCCCTTACGCGACACATGTTGAGCCCCAGACGGTTGTCTGTCAAAGTTGCACTCCCTGAGCTGACAGACCAGCTGCGGCAGCCTTGCACATGTATTTCTAAGGGGGTGCAGCAGCAAGTTGCAGGGGAGGCCGACATAACTGTCCTAAATGCAGGAACGTCGATATCCTCCCGACTCCGGAGTCTATTCTTGCCAAGCCATTTGTACAAAGTGCCATGACTGTCTGCCGCAGCACCATCCCGTGTGTTTTGGCCCGGGCTCTCCAAAAGCAGGAGCACGCTCATGGATGCTTCCAAGTACTTGGCTGAGTATCTCTCCAGTCTGAATCCTTCCGCCGATACTGCAAAGTCAACCTTATAAACGACTGTGAGGAGAGCATGTCCTTACTCTCCCCACGACGTGCATGAGCCCTATGCCGCTACCCAAGCGAATCACATGCCTGCCCTTGAAGAATCGTATTAGGAAAGATGACATGGCCGAATCCATCGGTACTTCTCGTCGCGTTCGAATCGATATGTGGAATGTGGAAGGATCACCATCATAAGCAAAAAGTAGTGCTTTGCCGATTACGAAACAGGTTCAACACGCAAGCGAGTTTTGCTCAAGTCCATGCGCTTCTACAAAGCATCTGGCCTTCTTATCTTGCCTACCACCAGCAGTACTGCCGAGCATACTCGAGTACCAACGGCATTTGACAAGCCAACTGACTTTCTCACGACTCGCAGCTAGTCATTGGCACCGGACTCGAATTCTTCTGAAAGCCACATCGTCTTCCATCTCGCGTGCGATTGCTGAACCTAAAACAATTCTGGGGTCAAAGCCTCTTTCCAACGAGATTCGCATGGCCTTTTCGAGGAGCGGTATGCTTCTGCCGACCATCATTATCCCAGAAGGGAAAGATCGCCTGCCTGCGCACGGCCCACTGCTTGGGTGTCCTTCCCTGAACAACGTGCCTAGCCCTCGCGCTGCCCGGCGCGCCAACTCTTAGCCGTTGCGCCATTCGTTGACACTCGGGACCACTGCTGTGCACCTCGCAGCTTTTTCGCCCAACACGGTAAGGCTCGTTCGGTGACTCCCTCCCAATCGCTGCCATGGCACTAGGACATGTCCGACACCAAACGGTCGGGGAGACCATGCAGTCTGCTGGCGCGACAAGCCTGCACCAGAAAGAAATTACCTTTTGCATCTTGGGCGGGTGCATTCTTGTCATGTTCTGCGGCGTGGTATGGCTCGACTGCCACGAGCGAAGACGAAGATCGTCCTCCCAGTTCTCTGGTTGAGCTGAAGCCGGACAATAAAAATCAGCGGGAGCAAACGAACCCAAACCAACACGTCTGACGCCGGTATATCGTCACTCTACTGGCTGCCAGACGATTTGATCTGCAACCAGATGAACTGATCCGCAGCCATAGAGTACCCGATCCAATAAACTTCCCGCAGCGACGCCATGGTGTAGGTTGTGAACCTCATCAAACCGTAGGGCAGAACCGACAGCGCCCATTCCTTCGCCATTCACGACCAGGGTCTACTGACTGAGTCAAAAACAGCATGTGGTTCGAGTGCTGCGATTCCGTTTTGAGAGGCGCATTGTCTCCCACATGCCATCTAGTGAGTCCATAGCGAAATAGATAAAGCTCATCTTCACCCCCTCCGAAGCGAGAAGAACGCAGTCCAGTCTTTTTGATTTTCCTCTTGTATATACGAGCTCAGCTGTGCCCTTTGCAGCCTCGAACAGGAACGAGCTTGAGCTTCAGACAACCGCTCCCATTAACCGCGTCCCGCTTTACCCTAAGTGGCAAGGTACCCATCTGTCTCTGGGAAGATCTTCTGGGCCATCACTGCATTTGTCCTATCATCGGATATCTGCACCTATAGCGCGGTCGCTTGATTCCATTTGTTTTTCGTCTTCTTGGTAGGTCTTCGAAGATGACGGATTGGGAGCACCCACATAACAGAAGCTTACCCCGTCCTTAGGACCCTCTCAGATTTCTGTGGGACCTCGCCTCGATTACCAACTTGCCGGGACAAATAATCGTCCATACGATACCAAAAGCTATGCTTGCTTTCAGTCCCCACCCCATCGACATGCCGAACACTGTAGAAGAGGAATATCCTCTGTACGCATTCTCTGGGCTTCCGACACACACCTCTACTTATCAACCCGTCCAATATCCGATGCAACAACCCGACAATCGCTACAATCCATACAGCATTGAGCAAAACAGTGTCTCTGCAGCACCTTCCAACTACATCCTTGCATCTCACAGCTCTTCTAAATACACAAAACAGAGTGCTCAGCTTTCAACACCTCTATATTCGCCCACCCATCCCTCTGCCAACTACTTCGACCTTCGTCCCATGGGATCGGTCAAGTCCGAGTCGGCTGCTTCAATGCTCTCCTCGTCCAGGGGATCTCCTCCGATGGATTTCAACTCATCTTCAAACTGGACTCCAGTGCATGGGGTTGGATCCAACGTCCTCCACCAAGGTCACTATGACCAGCAAATCCTCGTCAACGACACCTTTAACTATGCTGCCCTCTCTTTACCCGCGAAGGCAGGATGTGTTGGTAAGTCTTGCATGCCCTATTGACGAACGCACCGATATCCTAACCTCTACCTGACAGATCCTACCTTGATCCAGCCTCTTTCACCCACCCCACCAACAACACAGATGCACTCTGACTCCAAGCACCTGTTCCCTCATCCCCCATCTCCAACTCCATCATCAGTCCATTCGAACAGAAGCTCGGGCGTTCTCAGAACTAGCTCAGTACGGTCCAAGAGACCAACATCCCCTTACATTCCCTCACAATCATGGAACCCCTATCCCGTGTCATCGTCATCTAGACGTCAGTCCGTATCATCAGCTCACTCCCACCACTCCCATCACTCTCAACACTCCCATCGCAGCCAGTCGTCTTTGGACTCCGAAGAGACCAAGGGCGTCTGCCCCATCGCGTCTTGTGGTAGACACATCAAGGACTTGAAAGCACATCTGCTTACCCACAAGAACGAGCGACCCGAGAAGTGCCCGATCACTTCATGCGAATACCACATCAAGGGCTTTGCCCGAAAGTACGACAAGAACAGACATACCTTGACCCACTACAAAGGTACGATGGTCTGTGGATTCTGTCCAGGCAGCGGCAGCTCTTCAGAGAAGAGCTTCAACCGTGCTGATGTCTTCAAGAGACATCTCACCTCAGTACATGGTGTCGAACAGACCGCACCCAACGCTCGTAGAAGAAGTGGTGGAAGCTCCAGTTCCAAAGGCGCCCTCAACAAGATCGGCACCACTGGCATGTGCTCGACCTGTGGCGTGGCGTTCGCCAACGTTCAAGACTTCTATGAGCATCTCGACGACTGTGTTCTTCGCGTCATCCAACAAGGTGACCCTTGCGAAGCCATCAACGAGAGAATCCTTAGCTCGATGGTGGATGACAAGTCTGTCATGGAGACCTTGGAGCGACACTCCTTGAGCAATGCTTCGGGCTTCTCGGGACCCACTGTCTTCAATGATGATGATGAAGATGACGAAGATGATGAGGAGAGATACATCAAGGATGAGATGGTCTCTCCCGTCCTTTCCAACAGCGGCGTCACAGATGTGACTCGCCAAGGCATGACCTACTCCAAAGGAGGTGTTGCACTACACTCTGTTGCAAAGAACAACAAGCGTCGTAAGAACTATCCTCCCTCATGGAACGCACCGCCAGAGAAGATGAAGATGAAGAAACGAGTCTTGTGTGTGTTTGATGGACCACGAAGACTTTGGAAGGATGACTTGATGCTCGGCCTTGACAACCAAGTACGAGAGCCTCTATCCGGCAGAAACTGGGTCACCAGCCTGGACGTCCAGACTCTTCGAAGGGCCGAGGGCATCCTCGAGGCAACAGAAGAAGAGAAGGGCTCATGGTTGGACGAGCAAGGCAATCCCTTCCTTTTCGCAACGGCTGTTTGATTATCACGATTGACTGAGACTTGGATATTGATTTGCCTGTTTGTGTACAGCGAGCGCATGGAGTCCTGGTGCAATATTGGGCGCTTATAGATTTACTGTCGCTGACCTTTTTCTTATACTTGATACCACTTTGTTACTATACCACAACCACAGCAGCGGGCTTCGTTCCGATCTCTAGCTAGACAGATGAAATATTCTTTTTTGTCCTTGATCTAATTGTCCGTCTCCACTCTCTCACTGTGTTCGTTCTCCCTGCGAACAGAAAAGAACCCGGGGCTTTGTTGAGGAGATTACTGATCGACGAAGTCCCTATCGAGGTACCAGTACAAAACCCAATGCAGACCGTTGTAGACTTTAACGTAGTCTAGGGGAAACGTCCTAGCGACTTTCTGGAAACAGGCGTTCCTATAAGAGACAGTGGCTTGCCCACTGCCAGCTGAAATTCTGTCGATGTACAATTTCATCGACACCCTTGCTTTCGAAGGATTGCGCGCGACTGTTGATGGGCAGACTGGAGACGTTGCCGAGTTGAAGGGGCCGCCAGGGCAAGTGGAGGAGTCGGGTACCTTGCTCAATAGACGCCTCCCTGCATTTGCTCGACAAGATACGTATTTTTTGAGCGTGCAAACAACGAAATTGCAGAAAGCCGGTTCTCTGGACGATAGCGACTTACTCACCTTGTTACTCATCCGTCGCTTTATCTCACCCCATAGCTCTTGACGCATGTTGGGACGTTCATTCCTGCTTGAGACATGGGGTTGAGGTCTAGTATGTGCGGTGCGGGACTCGCGACAAAGTACTTGGCTTTTGCTCGGATCTACACAAACCTTTCGAGGACTAGTACGGTCCGCTAAAGAAGCCGAACAACATCCGTCCCTGGGACGAGAGACTCACGGGACCTTGGACTCGACTTGGTAAACTTCGTGCTGCTCAATGGATGCCTTGCACTCGGTATGGCAAGTGGGGCGCTTGAAGGATGCGACTCGCGCTCTCCCCAGCCTGGGGGCTGACTCTACCAGACCCGTCGCTCTATAGAGCCCCGCAAAAGCATGTCTTGCTTGACAAGATAGCACGCGTTTCTCGTACACGCCTGTTGGCGAGTGTCCACCGGCACGCACTTCCGATATCCTCCACCTTCTCTCTATTGACTGCCCCCGACATTTGCCCCCTCATGGTGTACCAAGCATCTGACCAGACGGGATGATGTAGAAAGCCTTGGTCAGATCATTTGGGTTACCGAAAATGTGTCCGACAGCTGCACCAAAGAGGCCCGCCAGTCGAGACCACAAGACTGTATCGCATAGTGGAAGATGTCACCCCTCATCATATGACAACAGCTCCCCTCGACTAAAATCTGGCTACCGAACTCTCATTCGAGCGTCTATTCCCCACCTGTGTGCAACAATCCTTCGCTCTACATTATACCAAAACTTGGAGGGGCATGATGTATGGATGGCTAGCAAAGAAAGCTTGCTCGGTGACACGGCTGTGCCTGTTCCGTCTCAATCACAATCACGGAGGCCAATGGTGCTAGGCTCTCTGAGAAAATTGCCTCGGAAATTCTGCTGTCGGAAACGGGGCGCGGATGAGTTGAGTTGACAGACAAAAGCTGCGAGCGAGCACATACCAGCCAGTCTTTGCATAACAACTCGAAACTGCTCGCAGAAACTAGAACACTTTGAGTTGCTGTCATAAACTGCATCACGTGGGGAAGAAGAAGATCAGTAACAACATATCATTGTTCGTAGAATCGGACGTCAACTTTCATGACCTCTGTAACATCGTAAGTTTGATCTGAGATAACCACAACCTGGAAAGACTGTCTTCGCTCAGACACATCAGAACTCCTAGAACAAGACATGAACATTATAGTAGAAGGACAGATCGTTCTCTGCCAATATTCCCGTTCCGTCATCAGAGCAACAAAGAACGAAAATTCAAGACAACAGCAGCAACATATACTCTCATCGAATCTCTCAAGAACCGGGTGGGAAGTCGAGGATGACTTCCAAGTTGCCGAATGTCAAAGAAGCCAAGTGTGCGACACCGCTCACGACTTCCAAATTTTGCTCCTCAGATGCCTGAGTCTGACCGTCACTGACAGTCTTGACTGTAGGCACGTCTGCGACTTCCTCGACAGGTGAGGATTGCGTTGTTGCAGCAAGGTTGGCCTTCTTGGCAGGAGCAGCCGATTCCTCCTCGCTCTTGCCGCCTTCTTGTGTAGCAACAGTGACACGCTTGCGCTTCTTGGTGATGCGTGGTTGAGCTTTGATGGTTGTGGGATCGGCGTTGACGGATTTCTTACCCTTCAACTTGAGTATGATCTTCGGACGAACAGAGGGTCCTGCCAGGGCGGAGGCATTGTTGGCAGTTCCTCCCTTGCGAATATCTTCGGTCGCATCTGGACCAGTGGGTTGACGAGTAGCCGGCAAATCAGCCTGAATTTTCGGGGAGGAAGCGACGGTGGTGGCTCGGGATCTGTTGGCATGACGAGGCTTCTTCCTTGCACCAGCTCTAGCAGGACGGTGTGTAGGCGTGTGTTCCGACTCGGTGGCCGCCTCTGAGGTAGACGCAAGTTCAGTCGGCACTCTCATGAGCAGTGTCTTCGCGAATGCATCACGACCCTGCTTTCGAACTTGTAGGCGTCCCTTGTCTTGTGGACGCTCCTCAATAAGAGCCTCAAATGCTGGGAGATCTTCAATGGTGCCATCTGCCAACTTGGTATCCAGCCAATTCAACAGACTGTGGAGATCTGCTGTGGTCTTGTTGATGCCTCCAAAGCGGTTCTCTAGTTTGATGGCGATGAGTACAGGTGTGTTGGCGGCTCTCGAACTCTTACCCTCCGAGTCTTCAGCATCGAGCTCTGCCGCTACAATACTTCTCACAGATCCCTCTTCCTCCATCTTTCTGTTGAATCTCTGCACCTTTGCTTCAATCGCAGTTGGCAGCTGGATCGTGAGGAGACAACCAGGACGCCATCTCTCGAGTCTGTCGATGAATTCTCGCAAGAGAGGTAGCTGAACAGGAGCCATGTGCGAGTGAAGTCTGTTTTCGTGGCGTTGGTAGCATTTTCTGCACAAGAACACTCGCACGCTCTTGATAACATGGTTCCACCCTCCCTTGTTGTGGCCAAAGAAGGAGGAAATGACAGGGCGGGCTACCAGTCTTGATGGAAGATACTCCTGGAGAGTAGAACACGGCTTACCGCTCACCAGGTGCTCTAAACACTCAAAGTGCTTAGGTTTGCCTTCTTGGAAGAACTTTGTTGCTCGCTCGGTTTCCCAGACCTTCTTTTTGACAAGAGATAGTTTGTCATAACCTTCGTATTCACGGAACAGTTTCTCGGGAAGATCGGCGTCGCTCATGTAGTCGTGATCAACGGAGTCGGCGTCGGCGGAGAATGGTGATGAGGCTCTAATCTCAGGTACTTCACCGTCGTCTGGTATTGCGATGACCTCGGCAGAGACGGGTCCAGTTGTGTATGGAGCAGCATCTTGGATGGTGCTATCAGCACGGGTCGATTGACTGTGAGGCTCGGACTTGATCGATGGAGTTGAAGCAGGAGGCTGAGCATGAGGCGAGGGGTCGGAATCGGTCTCTTCATGTCCGCTATCGATGGCTTGTCTCGGCATCTTCACCTTCAAGGACTTGGAAGCGATTGGGCTCTGTGCCAATAGTTGACTGAAGGTGTTCGGAGCAAGGTACTGGAAGAGGCGCAAATCCTGCGCATCTGGAGACAAAGACATCTTTGTTCTGTGCTGGTGAGTTCAAGGGGCTGTGGATACTGGTGTGAATATGTACTATGTTTAACAATGTTGAATGGAGAATGGTTGTTGGGTTGTTTGGGAAAGGTAGAGTGTTCAGGAGAAGGATGAGAGAGGATGGGAGGTGGTCCTATATACTCCAGGGATTAGAACTGTCATGCGGCCATCCAATGCATGTGCTCTTGTTGTCAGTCAATTCGTGGCAGATCCGTGTATTGTGATCTCATGCTGGCAAGCGCGCCAAAAAAGCCGCCCACGAACTGGATCCGATGATCCGCTGGAACATGAACGCTCATGCTTCTGACAGTAGAAGCAGACAGCCTGATCTAACATCTGTCGTTGTGTGATGGTTCCGTCTTGAGTTTGACTTTGTGATCACACATACCTTTGGAAGGTATCATATCCTGCCGTCGGTTGTAGATCACGGTATCTGCACATGAGAGATGTAGTCACACAAGACAGGCTCGACACATAGGGACGAGATTCATACGCGGTCTTCAGTCTAGACTAAGGAAGGCTTGTGTCGGAGACCTGCAGCGTTTCTGAACAATGCGTTCAGCCCAGTTGCAGATTAGACGTGGTTCATAGCGGTCGGAATGTGATCATTCGCGCCTGGCAAAAATGAAGCATGTGTATGGACCTGTATGGTTACCTACATATTGGATACAAAAAAGTTGCATGAAGCAGTAAGTGTCGATCATGAAACTTGTGTAGTTTAGAGTGCTGAGCTCATGAAATGAAGGCCAGATCTCGCGTGAGATTTGCAGCTCTGATTCTTGGGCGGTTTGTCGTCACTGTTATACGGTATGGCAAGTTGTCTTATGACATTTCGGAAGTGTACAGTGATCGGACGTCGCTCGATTCGAAGTGCTTTTTCGGCAAGTCGAGCACCCGAAGTGACCGCTCGATTGGGCGTAGTGGAAGCCATCTGATGGGAACAGCTTCCGACACGGTCGCTTCTCTTTTTGGAGATTCGCCGACCGCGACTTCTGTCAATATCATGAGAGATTGCTCGGTTCGACGACTTGAAACAACCCAGCCTCTCCTTGATGGATCGAAGGCCTTGAAGTCTTACGCCAAAGAATACTTACCAATGACATCCATCCTGACTTCTTTTGTTTTTCGACCACAGCACATCACCTACCGTGTAGTTCATCGAAGACTGCCTTCCACAGACTAGGGGAATGACTTAGTGGTCGAGCAGCTGGCCGTCTCTCTGACTATTCGCTCTCGAGAGATGCACTTGCCAAGATACCGGCTCTCTATATCTCCAACGAAGCATCTACTTCCTTCACGATGAGACTCGCCCGTACTCTCCCGTTCTCCCGTCTCTCCATGAGAAACCGAGTTGGCGCAGTCTATACGGATCTGTCGACGAAGTTAGAAGATGCTACTCTCTACCTGACACCTGTAGCAGGCTTGGCTATGTCTCCATATCAAAGCGCCTACAGTCTCCCCTGCTGTTTTACTTGGCCTATTGCTTGTTCGTACAACCAAGACTGCTATTGCTGATGGTATGTTTCAACACTTGACTTTTCCCTATGGCCAAGACTTTCAGGACAGAACATGCCGCTCGCGAAGCTGGTATCGGCCGAATGAATCGCCCTCAAAGCACTAGTTTCTGGCTACTTGCATGTTTCTCAAACCTACAGACCTGGTCGTCTCTCATGATCCATCTATCTTTAGCTGGACACACATCTCAACTTGAGTATGGTTGCTCTCCAAGTCATGTTTGACCAACCTGGGCAGGTTCGCTAAGAGGGTTGGCAGATTGACATGCCATATCAATCAATGGTCAAAAACAGTGCATACCAAGGTAAGCATGGCTATTTAAGTACTCGGAAACTACCTCAATCCACCTCTTTCTCCCTCATCCAACACTCGCTACATTTCACTTCTCCTTGTTTGCAGCCGGCTCTGCCTAGTACTCAACTTTATACACACCTACGGAAAAATAATCCCTACACATCACATACACAATGCATTTCACTGCCGTTGCCCTTGCCGCCCTTGCAGGCTTCACTCCCCTGATTGAGGCCCACTACACCTTCACTCAACTTTTGGTCAATGGTGCCCCTGTCGGCAAAGACTGGCAGTACATTCGTCAGCACACCAGAGGCTACATGCCCACCAAGTACGGAGAAATTCTCCAGAATGACTTTCGTTGCAACACGGGTGCTGGATCGGGTGCCAACACTCAGGTCTACACCGTCAAGCCTGGTGACAAGATTGGAATGAAGCAAGGCTTTGGTGCGAACGGAATCGAGGTGAGTTACCAGTATCGGTGCGTCCTATTAGAGGATAGATTTGCTGACGTGCTCTGTAGCACCCTGGTCCCGCTCAAGTCTACTTGAGCAAGGCCCCTGGATCGGTCAAGAGCTACGATGGTAGTGGTGACTGGTTCAAGGTCCAGCAAGATCTGCTCTGCAAGTCTGGAAATGCCCAGGCTTTGAAGAATGACGCATGGTGCATCTGGAAGAAGAACAACATCGAGTTCACCGTCCCCAGCAACATCGTGAGTTTCTCGGAACTTCCTTGGAACACATCTCACGGCCCAATGCTAATTTATATCTCTCTTCCGCAGCCCGACGGTGAGTACCTCGTTCGCAGCGAACACATCGCCATCCACGGTGCCCACGACAAGCAAGCCGAATTCTACTACTCCTGCGCTCAGATCAAGGTCCAAGGTGGTAAAGGCAACTCTGTCCCCAAAGGCGTCAAGATTCCTGGCGTCTACCAAATCAACGACAAGGCTATCAACTTTAGTGTTTGGGGCTCCGCCACTACTTATCCTGACCTGCCTGGCCCTGCTGTTGCTGCTGGCGGTCGTACCACCGGCTCTATTGATGGCAGGACTACTGGTACTACTGTTGCTAAGCGTGCTGTTCAGGGTGGTTCTCCTGCTGTCAGAGCTGCTGCTGAGGTCAATGCTGAGGTTGATGCTTAGATGGCGCTCTGCATACTTGTGGCATTATGCAGACCGTCATTGTTCATGGCATGATGGCATGGGCATGTTTGTCAAGGGCATGTGTGTGTTTGGTTGCGCTTGATGCCTGAGTGATCCGGACACTCATGGCTAAAAGCTGCTGCGACATTTCTGTTATATCTTGGTATCTGGAAGGGTCGTATATATATATGTTTCTATATTGCAGGTCAGTATTCAGAAGTATAAATCGATTATGATCCTCTTCGCTGTTTCATTTGATAGATTTGATGATGTATACCCTAGCGGCTTTTAGAAGAGGTCGAGCCAAGTCTACGCGGATAAAGAGGCGTGGACACACACCTCTCAACTCCTAGATACACTTCTGTTTGTATCACAGCTCGTCTTTGGCATCACTAGATGATGATCATGACTTGAGAAGCAAGAGCAAAAGGTTGGGGGCCAATAACAAAACAAAACATACAGCAGCAGGGATTCCCACGTGGTCACCCACCGTAGTACTAATCTGCCGTTCAACTGCTTATGTATGGCAGAGCGGACGGGATGCCCAGTTTTCAGCTGACTGTGGCCGTATGTGCTTGAAATGCTATCTGTCAGAAATATATCTACTTAACTTGGCACATAGAGTGCTGTGCCCTCCCCATCCGATGAGTGTATCGCACAGCATGAAGAGGGTGGATGACCTTGTCAACTTTGGATGATTGAAACACCAGCGGACACAACATGGCTACGAATCCATGATCGATATAAGCGATAGAGAGATGGTAAGGTATCGCGTATTTGTCAAAATTGCCGTCGTTCCATTTCAATGGTTTAACTTTGCATTGGTATCGGGCGTCGAGTTTGTTATGTTGTGGAAATTTTACATCGACAGGTCTAAATCGTGTTCAACAAGTGCACAGTTGATGGCACGACTAGAGAGGCATGATTGCGCAGTCAAAGGTTCAACGAGACAGAGGAAGAGTCTCTATCTACGAATATAGTACCATCTTTGATGTCGGTGGTTCTTTTGACAGGGTCATACCACATTCAAGATGGCCTTGGTCCGGTCGTTCTCAACGTAAATCATCGGCCATAGGTGAGATGTGTAGGACTTGGTTGCCCAACCACTGAGCGATCGACGGGGCCAGTGCTGCAACAACAATCTCACGAGGATCATCATCGGCAGAGATACGATGCAGGTGTGTATGCCGACCTGACACCGGGGTGAAAGCTGCCGGGAAGTACTCTGACATGAAGATACACGGTCTGCGCAGATGCCCGAAACTGCGATTTGGCTGCTGAAATTGACTTTCTGAAGCTATCTTTGGAGGACTTGCGAAAGGGCAAGAAGTCTAGCGATCCTCGCCAGACAGCTGGAACATTCGGCATGATCGAAGTATTCGCAGCGTGTGGTTCGATGTCAACGGCAAAATCAAGCCACACACGCTCGTATGTAGACTGTTGTCGATCAAACACGAATGCATTGAGCCTCATGCTGCGACATTGCCACAACTTTTCGATTAATGACTTGGAAAACAGATGTTCCGGATAACCATAGTCTTGTCGAATCACCAGATATGTCGATCTCGCCTGGATTGATCACGCTCCACTACCCACCTTCGGACTCTCGCAACGATCTCCAGCCGTTGAAGACTACCATGAATATAAAGAACATTTGCATTCATATATCCTGACCAAGATGGGCTCATGTGGTGCAGAGTAAGAGGGCAACTGGCCTAAACCGAAAGATTCTTGTTGAAGACATCTCTAACCTGGCGTGAGAAGGATAAAAGCCAACCATACCGTGCGGCATTTCAAACTAAGAAAAAGTGTCAACCTTTGGATTAATCAACTTGCACCGTATACTGGCGGACTATCAAAAAGACGAGGCGCCTTTCAAAAGCATAATAATAGCACGGAACATCTGCATACACAACACCTTAACCAAGGTGGATCTATCGGATACATAGAACGAGATGCTAATGGCCTAGCATGAGAGATTCTTCTTGGGGATATCTCTCTCCGCTGGCACGGGCAGAACGAGACCCATCGTGCTGCATAGCCAGCGGCTATCACCTGGGTTGATCACCCTACACTACCCACCAGCAGATGGGAAGAACGAGAAAAACCCCGCCAAGGCAACCATGAATCCGAGGAACATATGTATTCACAACATTCTGACTAAAATGGACCTGTCGGGTGCAGAAGATGAGACGTCTTTGGCTTGGATCGAGAGATTTTTCATCAAGACATCTCTTAGCTGGCGCAACCAGAACAAGAGCCGCCCATACGATGCTGCATTTCCGGCTGAGGTCGTGGAACTCAACCTAGACTTCCACCGAAAGCGTGTCTCGGCTGTGGACTATAGTGTGCGTCTTGTATGTGGCAGTATAGATGTCAAGGACAACTTGGAAGGGCTGCCCTTTCACTATCAGAGACTGAAACGATGAGCATCCAGTCAAGACTACGATGAGTCCGAGGAGCTTATGTAATATTCTGACCAAAATAGGCCTATCGGGTGCAGAAGAAGAGAGGACAATGGTCCGGCTGGAGAGCCCCCTCAGAATATCTCCACCCTGGTGCAAGCAGAACAGAAGCTAACGCCGATGTGCTATGTATTCAGCGATGATTACAGTGGAGGTCCATAGGATGCTTGTCTCAGCTTTCGACTACAGTGTGTATCTCATGTGTGAAGCTCCAATGCCAACGAGGAAAGAGTGTATTTTCCACTCTCCGAGATCCCACCATACGGCCAGCCATAGCATGGCCACCTGCTCCTGGCGTCCGGGAAAATACATCTCTACTGTCACCATCCAGAGGCGATTTTACGAGGCACTGTAAGCGGTATAACGATCATCACTGGGAGCTTGTCGGATCTTAGGCGAGATAAATTGGCAATTTTATTGTTCAATAGGCTAGCTTGAGTCTTCGAGTCGATTTTCGACGCCGAATAACCACTGAGCTTGGTCAGCAGCTCAAACTTGATGCTCGTGTTGACCGGCCACTGTGAACTTTGATAGCTCTTTTGGCACACAGAGCCCCGTTGGAGGCACAACTGAGCAAGGAGGAAACTACATCGGATTTCGGATGGTACTTGAGTATAACATTGCAGTCGGGTCAGCTGAGGCTGAACGACTTGGTCAGCCCTAGTATGGTTGCCTTGATTTGGAGCCAGAGAAGATTCACTTATATTGTCACCATCCCGAGGCGATTCTACGAGACATGCCAGAAAGGAGTCACGATCTGGCCGATTTGGTCACGAACACTTTTTGTGCGCTGCTCGCAATCAAGACTGTTCGGCCGTGCTTTTATCAACAAGTTGCCACCTCGAAAGAGAAAGGGAAACTCCATAGAGGCGAGAACACTCTGCTCGTCCTTCTCAAACTACTGAAGACCGAGGAAGATGGCAAGGATAGGTATACGATCGCAACTCTCCCTACAAAGCTCAAGCAGTAAGTCGACATCGAGAAACGACTGGGCCTTGTCCTTGATGAGAACCATCCTAGTTGTCAATGATAGGACAGATTCATCTTTGGACCTCACTCAAGCACGAGTCCGAGTCAACCAAGCAACAGAAGCTATCACCTGTCGGCCCTATCACCAAAGAAGGCATTGAGTATCAGGAGACCTATCTCATCCAGAGGCTTCGGCCTCAGAAATGCACCGAGTGTGGCAAAGTCTGCGAAGATCTGGTCGGCTCAACTCCCACATGCAACGTCACACTACCGAGAAGCCCCATCAATGCACGGAGTGCCCCAAAGATTTCAAAACAACCTGGGAGCTCCAACAGCATATGAATGTGTACACCGACGATCGACCTCACCGGTGCCAAGTACCCAAGTGAAACAGCTCATTCAAGAGCATAAAGAGTTGGCTGCCCATACGTCACATCACGCAAAGTACCCTGGTGGCCAATTCAGGGGCGTCGTCGAGGTTGACTCTCAATGGACACGCTTAAACGAAAAAAGCTATAGAAATGCACAGTTGTTTGAGTGACCGGACGTTAATCATTGAGACCAACTAGCAGGTTCCAACTCAGTGGATGTTGTTCAAACCATAAAAGCACTGTGCATTTTGATAGCTGTTTTGACAAAACAAGGTCCATAGAGAGCGCGAGCGAGGGAAGCAAATGTTGTTGAAGAAAAACAAAGCACAAAACGATACACCTGGAGAAGCAAAGTCACAGCAACAGTCACATAAAAGGTCGAAAGAAACATGTTTGAAAGGAAAAGAAAGCTTCGTTACACTCATTATGAGCGACATTAAAGTAACGTTTGAATGCAGTTTCTCTGCAAACCGTTTTTCATGATATCAAAAGCAAAAAGACAACTCGAAAAAGTCCTTGTTATCCCTCTACCAACGCCGGCTGTAAGATGCTGAAGACGAAAGATTGTGCTGAAGCGATGCGCTTAGTCAACCTCCTCAACGGAAGGGCCATCGTCGTGGGCGGGAGCAGCGCCACCGGGAGCGGCACCGGGCATGCCACCCTCAGGAGCACCACCAGCCTGCTGATAGAAAGCAGTCATGATGGGGTTTGCGACTCCTTCTAGCTCCTTCTGCTGGGACTCGTACTCCTCCTTGGTGGCGGTGGTGTTAGAGTCGATCCACTCAACGGTCTCGTTGATCTTGGCCTGGAGCTTCTCCTTGTCATCGGCGGGGAGCTTCTCCTCAACCTTGGGGTCGGAGATGGTGTTCTTGAGGGAGTAGGCGTAGGACTCAAGGCCGTTCTTGGCACCGATACGGGAAGCCTCAGCCTCATCCTCCTCCTTGTACTTCTCAGCCTCGGAGAGCATGCGCTCGATCTCCTCCTTGGAGAGACGGCCCTTGTCATTGGTGATGACAATCTTGTTGGTCTTGCCGGTACCCTTCTCGAGGGCAGAGACGTTCATGATACCGTTGGCATCAACGTCGAAGGTGACCTCAATCTGGGGGACACCGCGAGGGGCGGGAGGAATGCCAGTAAGCTCGAACTTACCAAGGAGGTTGTTGTCCTTGGTGCGGGCACGCTCACCCTCGAAGACCTGGATCAAGACACCGGGCTGGTTGTCGGAGAAGGTAGAGAAGGTCTCGGACTTCTTGGTGGGGATGGTGGTGTTGCGCTTGATGAGGGCGGTCATGACACCACCAGCGGTCTCGATACCAAGAGACAACGGGGCGACGTCGAGAAGAAGGATCTCGTTGGTGGACTTGGAGGAAGTGTCACCGGAAAGGATGGCAGCCTGGACGGCAGCACCGTAGGCAACAGCCTCATCGGGGTTGATGGACTTGTTGGGCTCCTTGCCACCGAAGAAGTCGGAGACCATCTTCTGGATCTTGGGGATACGAGTGGAACCACCGACAAGAACGATCTCGTTGACGGAAGACTTGTCGATCTTAGCGTCACGAAGAGTGCGCTCGACGGGCTCCATGGTGCCACGGAACAGGTCCTGGCAAAGCTCCTCGAATCTGGCGCGAGTGAGCGAGGTGTAGAAGTCGATACCCTCGAAGAGAGAGTCGATCTCGAGAGAGGTCTGAGCAGACGAAGAGAGGGTACGCTTGGCACGCTCGCAAGCAGTTCTCAGACGGCGCAGAGCACGGGGGTTGGAGGTAAGATCCTGTGAAAAAGTTAGCATGCTAGTTCGGACGACAATGGTAACATGGATTGGCTCACCTTCTTATGCTTGCGTTTAAACTCAGAGACGAAGTGGTTGACGAGACGGTTGTCGAAGTCCTCACCACCCAAGTGAGTGTCACCGGCAGTAGACTTGACCTCGAAGATACCCTCCTCAATGGTAAGGAGCGAAACATCGAAAGTACCACCACCAAGATCGAAGATGAGGACGTTGCGCTCACCCTCAACCTTCTTGTCAAGACCGTAGGCAATGGCAGCGGCGGTGGGCTCGTTGATGATACGGAGGACGTTGAGGCCAGCAATCAGACCGGCATCCTTGGTAGCTTGGCGCTGAGAGTCGTTGAAGTATGCGGGAACAGTGACGACAGCGTTGTTGACGGTGCCACCAAGGTAAGACTCGGCAGTCTCGCGCATCTTGGTAAGGACCATAGAGGAAATTTCCTCGGGAGTGAAGGTCTTCTCCTCACCCTTGAACTCGACCTGGACGACAGGCTTGCCAGCCTTGTCGATGACCTTGAAGGGGAAGTGCTTCATGTCGGCCTGGACCTCAGCATCGGCGAACTTGCGGCCAATGAGGCGCTTGGCGTCGAAGACGGTGTTGTGAGGGTTCATGGCGACCTGGTTCTTGGCCGAGTCACCGATCAGACGCTCTGAGTCGGTGAAGGCAACGAACGAGGGGGTGGTGCGGTTACCCTGGTCGTTGGCGATAATCTCAATGCGGTCATCACGGTAGATACTAGAGGGGCAAGTCAGTAGGATGTCTCGAGAAAAACAGGTGGCGAAGCTTGTACATACCCGACACATGAGTAGGTGGTACCCAAATCAATACCGATAGCGGGAGCCATGTTGGATGTGTTGTGAATTGAAGGAAAAGAAGATGGGTATCAAACAGAGAGCTTTTTGTTGACGATATAAAAGATGTCGTCAAGGTCGTAAAGAAAAGTGCTTTTGATTGAGTGTGAGAGAAGAAAGTTGTGAGGTGAGGTGTGAGAAAGAGAAGTAAGTTTTATAAATCCGTGCAGCGGCGGTTTGGTTGCGCAGCGACACTCCAGAATCGACGAATTCGTTCCATCGTCTTCCACAGATTTCCACCACTACCTACCTAGGACCCATCTGTCTCGTCACGCTCCGTCACTTTTGACATGGTTGTGATATCTAGTTATTTCGGTATATCGCTTGCAGCTTCTGGCTACTTCGAGAAGGCAATTGCCCTTTTCAATTCACTCTGGAGCGCACCTGCCTCACTTCTTTCTGTTTGCGCACCGCCGCGGGGTCTGGTATGGAAAATGACGTTTCGAGATGGTCCGAGCGTTTATGCTTTCTGAATCATATTCTGGGGCAGGGTCGCTTTGTTCTGGGCTCCAGAGCGGTCAACAAAATTCACGCTGAGGTTGAATGCACAATGACGGACCCACGGTGGCAAGCCCTGTGAGCAGAGTCTGCCAGCTCAGAAAAAGGAGTAAGTGCAATAGCCTTGCTTACAAAGAGAGCCTGAGCCGAGTATAGAGCCGGAGAGCAAGAATCTGTTATCCAGACTCTCGATGTTCTCGACGGCTTCGAAGGAGCCTCAGGCTGCCAGCTGCAACAATACACAGTACTCCCGAGAGATGACCCTCGTCCATCGAAAAGCGCTATCACGCTGAATCTCTTTGGTTACCTCTCAGTCATGGAATCTATCGTGCATTTCCATAGCGAGGACGCCGCCCTATGTTTTCGTAACAGATGATGGGCCTGAGGAAGACGCGTACGGCGCGTACAAATGCTTCTTCATTGACAAAGCAGTTGTCGTCTGCAGATGTTGCTGCCCTACTTGACATCTCAAACTATATCCCTTCGACTGCCAAACCACTTCGATCGGTTGAGAGGATCCTGCCAGGCTTTTTGTCTTTCGTCGACGATTCGAGCGCAATCTTTGCGTAAAAGAGTAACTGCAAAACTGGCCACCAGGAGAGTCCAGCAAGTCCAACATGTTCAAGAGTACGCCAGTGGCGCACATATTAACAGCAACAATCGTTTAACTATCCAACAGACCAGACACTGACTAGGCAGTTCACGAAATCTATCACAGCTCTATCGAGATCCGGCTAGATGTATACTCTTAGCGCAATCCTACATCATGGAGCTTCAAAAGGCGACCACGGCCACCTTGTCAAGCGCAGAGAGCGGATAGTTGTTGTCAACAAAAGCCATAATGGTCCTTGTCGACAATTATCGACGATGAACTCATCAAACAACTCGCATGGAATGAGTTATACTTTGTAACATGATCGATGCAATCTCTCGACTATTCGGATCCCCTTAATCATCTATAACATAGACTGCGTTCACTGTATGTATTCAGACAGTGATGAGAAGGTATGTTCGCTCGGGTTCACCAGAGAGCAGCAACATAAAGTGTAGCAACAGGAAAAACAGGTCTTGAGACTGAAAAGCTGGTGTTCGCTTGTGCTAAATCGAAATATGCAATGTTTCCCTTTCCCGCTGAAAGTTGTCCCTTTGTGCGCCCAGACCAAACACCGCGAATGTCAGAGGAAAAGAGCAAGGCAAGGCATGGCTTGCGCAAGATGCTTCCATTAATTCGTCTCGGTTTTACAATCCTCGCATCGCCAATCGGGTATTCGTTTCCGAAGACCAACGCAAGCCATATGAAACTCAGTGCGTGGGCAATGCTGTTTCAAGAAATTAGTCGACAGTTCATCTACGACTAAGTGATAAGCTTACGATGTTTTGACAGCTGATGACCTTGTGTGAGCCCAAAGCCACTTTGCCGCACACGCAGACATTTGGTGCATGGTAAACAGCATCTTGCATGTCTGTATCGTCGTCCTTCGTCTGTGGAAATGTTGCTGGAGAAACCTCAGCGCCAGGTTCAGAATCACTGTCGTCAATCATGATAATGTCCAGCGCGTTATGACCAGGCAAGTTAGTTGATGGTGGGACGCGACTATGTTGAGATGGAAACTCTTCTTTGATCGCAGGGCCACCGTTGATGTGTCCTTGCTCTCGTTCTGCGACCAAGGCGAGGCAATAATCAACGTATTCGTCTGAGATCAGATCCATTTCCCTGAGTTCGTCAAGTTTGAGTTTGAGTTCTTGTCGCAGATGTGGTTGGCGTAATTGAACTGTAAACCTCCGCACGAAACGAACGACTGCTTCACCAATATGTACGTTCGCCAGATTTCTTGGCTCATCTTGTAGCAAGTGACCATCGAAGAGATCTGCAAATTGTCTCGCTGCACCGGTGAGCTGAGGAAAATCCTCTATTCCGTGCTTGATTCGAAGCCATGTGTCATCAGGCTCAGCATCGCTCTCGCTGAGTCTTTCGCCGGGCTTTACCTCGCGTTTAGACTCTGCACGAAATATGGTGACATCCAGGATGTCAGGGACCAGGTATCTCTTTCGCTTTCTTGACGGTACCTCTTTGACCTCTGCAGGCGGACCCACCTTTGGCTGGCGGTCCGATGGCGTAAATATTGATTGTCCGTTGGTAGAAAATGTCTTTGTGCGCGCCACTCCCTTGAACATGAAGCTTGGTTTAGCAGTCTTGGGGAAGGTCCTAAGAGGCAACTGTTTACCACTAGCCCAGACATTATTACCGCCTTCGGAGAGATATTGTTGGAGATCGAAAGGGATCTTGGGCTGGATCCAAGTGATTTCCCGCTCATCGCACACGTTATCGCTAGCTCGCTCGTACTTTGGTGTCGCGAGTTCGATGAATACTGTGCGAGCAACCAAATCAGAGTCTGTCGTTGCCGGCTTATGCACCTTGAAGGTGAAATGATCATGGAAGCTCAAATAATGGAAATGAAGTCTGTCGAATGTTGGATGAGGCAGACGGTCCGGACAGAAGACACAGTTGAAGTTGGTGCAGATAACACTTCTCGATCCTATCGGACCACCATCAAAAACATAAGTGATGCGACGGATCTGTTGATGTTGCGTCGTTGTTGGTAGTTGGGTTCGAACTCTAGGGGCGAGCACCTGCATGATGTGGTTGCATATAGCTAGCGGAGTTCCATTTGACTTGGTGACTGGGCTCCAAGAGATATCCGCTCTGAGAAGGTAACCTAGATTCTTGACGTCGGCACGCGGTGCTTGGTTGTTGGGCTCATGCTGAGATCGCCGAAGGGAATTTAGGGTAGGTATCGGACAGACAGATAGCCTCTTCCAATGCGCCCTTAGCTGAGCCTGTGTTGGGGACAGAGTTGTCCCTATGCTGTCCGGATCAATCACAGAAAGAAGTTGGGAGGCATGCTCAGAGTTGAAGCATTCGATAGCGAAACTGAGAACAGTCTCAGGATGAGGTTTTGTTCTCCATCTTCTGCCGCTGCTGTGGTTTGCTAGCATCTGACTTTCGGTGACTTTGAAAGGCTTCGTGTCAATGGCAAAGTCAATATCGCCTTTGTCATCTTCGACGCCAGTCAGGGTAGCCAGATGCGATTCGGTATGCAGATGGGCGCCGAGTCTGTCATTCTCAGCATCATAAGCATGGATGCTACAAAACATATTGCATTTTATCTGAACTTGGTTGGGGACAGGAAGCCACGGAGTTGCAGATGGCACTGGCTTGGCAACTGGCATCGGTAATGCTGACACCTGTTGACCATTAGAGTCCCATCGTTTCTTGACAATGCTCATTGGAAGAGCTCTGAGTGTTTGCTGTGTAGGTTTGGTGGCTGCTGACAGCATTTTCATGCTTGGAAGAAGTCGTGGATGTTCATTGTTGGAGAGCATATCTGTCGCTGCCAATTCCGAGGTAGCGTTCGTCGAGGGATTATTGTAAGTGTTCAGACTGTGTTCATGGTGATCGAGAACTTTTCTCAGGTTTCGTTGTAGAAAGACAGGCTGTCTGATCCTGAATTTGTCGTATAGAAGTTTGGAGCCGCAATATTTTCTGTGATGGTCGTCTACTGGGTTCATGTCTGCTGCAAGTTGAAGGTTGAAGATGGACAGATTTGCAAGTGTAAGTATGGATCGATGTCTTCAGTTGCATCGTAACGCGTGCTTGCAATGAGTTGGGAAGAGACATAAGAGCATTTGGACTCAAGCAGTGCACATGATGCGCCTCAGCGCGCGCATGCAAGGGAGTAAAGTCTTGTTGACGGGCGGCTGTTTTGAAAAGTCCCGTCGCACACGTTCAGATCGTGGGGAAGGAGCCACTGATTGAATTTGAAGCCACGGTTATGGCAAGTGCAATCTCCTTGTTCCCTGATGGGAAGGCGGTAACTCGTAAGAAGCAGTGTATGAACTCAGGGAATGTAAATCAGAGCAGATGATCTTGGTATTGTCATTGAGACCAAGTGAGAGCGAGTGTGTTGGTCAGAAGCAAGTGCCCTAGCAACCCGGCACCTTGTCAAGATGAACGGACAGCGCTACAAACAGGACAGCTGGGCACTGAGGATGGGTCTGGTTGAAAGACACCACTCTTACCTCAGCAAGAGCACTGACACCAGCCGAGACAGTGAAGACATGGTATTGAGAGGGTGATCCACCAAGAGTCAGATGATAGTAATAGTGACATGCACAAAGGAGGCTCAAGGGCAAAGGCGGTGACCCCACATGTCGCCATGTGTTTCCGACCATCACGGCGACGTCAATCATCGTCAATGCATTGTCACCTCGAGGCGAATTTATACAAATACGACTGATTCTCGCTTTCTTCTTAGCCGCATACTCATCCTAGCAAGACAGTCCATTCCTACCCACCCACCTTGTTTATGCTATCGAGAGCACGCAGCCTGCGTCCATCGCCAGCCCGCACCCGCATCGCACTCATGGCCGCCCACATCACCACCGCTGGCCACCAGAATGCCCTGTACGACTCGACCAAGACCAACGAGAAGACACACTCGATCAAGGACCTACCAAAGTCCAACAACTTCACCACCAACCTGCCACCCGACCAGAACTTCCCCACTCCCTCCAGTTCGCATGCCTCCGAGCGAAAACATCTCGGCCCTCGCTTGGTCAAGGGCGCTCTTTACACATACGTTCGCCCCGATCCGCCTACCAAGTACGAGGTCCTCGCCGTATCTCCCGCAGCACTCCAAACACTCGCCATCGACCCATCCTCGACAGACTCACAGGACTTCAAAGACACGGTATCCGGCACAAAGATCCTAACATGGGATGAGGCCAAGGCTTCAGAATCAAACATGCTGCCGGAAGAGCAACAACGACGAGAACAAATCTACCCATGGGCACAATGTTACGGCGGCTACCAGTTCGGCCAGTGGGCAGGCCAGCTAGGTGACGGCCGTGCTATCTCCTTGTTCGAGGCCACAAACCCCAACTCGAATGTACGCTACGAGGTTCAACTCAAAGGCGCAGGCAAAACACCATACAGTCGATTTGCAGACGGCAAGGCTGTTCTTCGAAGCAGTATCAGAGAGTTTGTGGTTAGCGAGAACTTGCATGCTCTTGGTATCCCTTCTACCCGCGCGCTAGCATTGACCTTCACTCCCGAGGACAAGGCTCTGAGAGAACGTATCGAGCCTGGCGCCATCGTCACTCGTTTCGCTCAAAGTTGGCTGCGCTTTGGAACTTTCGATCTTGCACGCTCTCGTGGCGACCGGGGCCTTATACGGAAGTTGGCAACCTATGTTGCCGAAGATGTCTTTGGTGGTTGGGAGAATCTCCCAGGTGCTTTGAACTCCACTGACAAAGCTGAGTCGGTCGTTGACCCCGAGCGAGGTGTCGCAGCCTCTGTCGTACAGGGCGAGAACGAACTCGAAGAGAACCGCTTCACACGTCTCTACCGCGAGATTGCTCGCCGAAACGCAAAGACGGTCGCACATTGGCAGGCATACGCTTTCACGAACGGCGTGCTGAATACCGACAACACATCAATCTTTGGTTTGTCTATTGACTTTGGCCCATTCGCCTTTCTCGACAACTTCGATCCTAGCTACACACCCAACCACGATGACCACATGTTACGTTACAGCTACCGCAACCAGCCGAGCATCATCTGGTGGAACCTTGTGCGTCTAGGTGAGGCCTTTGGCGAACTGATCGGCGCCGGAGCCCGCTGCGACGACAATGAGTTCGTCACAGAAGGCGTCAGCAAGACCTGGGCCGACGAGCTAATCAAGCGCGCCGAGGCTTTGATCGAGAAGACAGGCGAAGAGTTCCGCGCAGTTTTCATGGCAGAATACAAGCGTCTCATGTCTGCACGTCTCGGTCTCAAGCAGTGCAAAGATTCAGACTTTGACGTCCTCTTCTCCGAGTTGCTGGATACACTCGAAGCATTGGAGTTGGACTTCAACCACACTTTCCGTAAACTCAGCAACGTCAACTTATCGGAGATTGAGTCTGAGGAACAAAGGAAGTATGTCGCTGGTCGCTTCTTCCACGGCGAAGGCCTCGGCGGCACTGTAGGTACCAGCGAGGATGATGCCAGAACTAGAATCGGAAAGTGGCTCGAGCAATGGCGCAATCGTGTCATCGAGGACTGGAGTGAAGGCAAGGATGCCGAACGCCAGGAAGCCATGAAGAAGGTCAACCCCAAGGTAAGAAACTGCTCCTACTATTGCTTACAAGAGCCAAAGACTGACATGTATCTTCATAGTTCATCCCCAGATCATGGATCCTCGACGAACTGATCGACAGAGTGGAAAAGAAGGGCGAGCGTGACATTCTTCAAGGTGTCATGAAGATGTCGCTCAACCCCTTCGAGGAGTCTTGGGGCTGGAACAAGGAAGAGGAAGACAGATTCTGCGGTGATGTGCCTCATGTCAAGCGTGCGATGCAGTGCAGTTGCAGCTCTTGAGCTGTCGCATGTTTCTCAAACCAAACGAAGTGTACGAACCATATTGCCATGCCATAATAGAAGTCAACTTTGCCGTTTTAATCAGGATCGCGATCATGCACAAGGAAGTGTCGTGTAGTTGTTGGGTGGACATCATTCACAATGGAAACTTGAGTGAGAAACATCGTTTTGTAATATATTGACTTTGGGGGATGCCCGTAATCATAGCCATTTCATCCGTCTCGTTTTGTTCATGTGCAGAAAAAGGGGTATAAGAAACGCTCATCACACTGCCACCGACTGACCCATATTGACGCCTGTATACCATGCTCGCTGTTGTGTGCATAACGCTGCTGCCATTCATTCACAGGCAGTCTTCAGAGAAAACAAAGCCTCCCCCGGAAACAAGCGGGGCCGACACACTATCTAACCATGTCGGTAACAAAGACAAGGAAAGAAGATGAAAGAAGAAGATAGAAGAACTCAGGTCGAAGAATGAAGCAAGATTTGCGGAGAATCATTGGGGAAGGACGCATTCAGACCTGAGTCTTCTTGTCGAGGAAGAGGTGCAAGTGGGTGTCGCCATCGTATGGGTCCTTTTCCTTCCACTCCCAGCACAAGAACTTCCAGTTGAGCTCGGGACGCCAGAACAGTCCATAGCCGAGACCACCTCCATCAGCGGTCAGAGCGCCAGTCTTGGGCATACGGATACCGAAGACGCAGCGAGCGAAGCGTGAGTGCAAGATGGCCATGGTGCACATGACGCAAGGCTCATGGGTGAGGTAGATCTCGAGATCAACGCAGAGGTAGCCATCAGGGATGAGGTTATCCTTGTTAAAGGCCTTGCGCTCCATGGGCGTCAAGGGGTAGTCAAGCAGAGTCTTGTCAACGAACTTGGGAGCACCGGGAGCGGGCTTGTGAGAAGGCTTGTTGATGTCCAGGGCGGCCATGTCTGGGTTGAGCTTCGTAGGGTCGCGGGTAGCGTTGCGGACACGTTTGCGTGCGACCATACCTATAGCTCGCATAACGGCGTGAGCCATAGGGTTCTGTTGACCAGCGACCTCGTCAAGGCCCTGGTAGCGGCCATCTCCAGCGACAGCGATGACTTCGATGGGCTTTCCGGTAGGTCTTTCGATGATGACACATCCAATGCCAGCGCCGCAGCACTTAGCCTTCGTCTCTCCGGCTACCTTCTTGGCCATTTCCATGAGGCGGGGCACGTTGTTGTCAGAGAGAACTTCCTCCTCGGCGCGGCCGATAATGCTAGGATGAGGGCCGAAGGGATTGGTCTTGCGGTAGATGGTTGGCCAGTACTGTTGAGACCACTGTTCGGCTTGCTCTGCACTTGTAGGAGGCAGCAGAGGAAGGGTGACCTCTCTGAGGATGAGAGGGAAGCCGTCGTCGACGAAGGGAGGGTTGGCAAGGAGGATCTCGGTAAGGGCATCTTCACCAATGCAGCTGACGGGACTAACGATCAGGTGCAAGGTGGCCGGGACACTACCCCGGCGTTTGTTGCGCGATGAACGAGAGCGAGACGAGCCACGAGAGGAGCCGTCGGCATGATGTTCGCTGCCACTTCTGCTGCGGCTGACGGCGACGGTCTCGGGGACGAGGTGAGTGGGTAGGAAGCGGGCCTTTGCAAAGCGACGGATGTGTTGCAAGTCGATGGCGTCGAGTTCAGGAACGTTGTCCTTGATAAGACTGTGCGAAAGAGTCAGCTCGAGGGAGCAGTGCGCGCAAACAAAAGCGAGCATACCCCAGGACGGTGTTAGCAGCTCTGGATGGCAATTCTATAGTCCATGCTTGGACAGTAGCAGTCGAGGCACGAGCCTCTGCCTTTGTCTTGAGCAACCAGAGGCCAGGCTTGGAGGGTGGCATGTCGTTGTCGTCGATGAAAGAGGGTGATGGGGAGTTGCGATTGCGAGCATCCAGGTCAGCTTGGGACGCATCATACGCGGGGCTGAACGCAGGTCCAACACCCGGCGGTGCGGACCTTCCTCGTTGTTCTTCACTCATTGCATGGTCTGGAAACCAAAGAAGGCACAGTTTCACATGTCGCGACTTCCTCTACAACAATTTCTGACGCACGGTTCATCGCTAGCGTGCTCTTCCCCAGATCTGCTCGGATGGCTGTCCTTAACTCCGGCTCCTTGCATAACTCAATCCATCTCCATACTGCCTGCTTGTGCAACGCGGTGTTGATCTGTTGACAGGCTGCCTTCCATTCTTTGTGACTACCCTTTTATTCGCACTGAATGAGACCTACACCTACGCCCAGAGTACAAAATCTACGAGAAGGGCCAATCTGAGCATTGGACGAGACTCCCAAGCCCGTTTGCAGCCACCAAAAACCACTCAGCCCAGTGCAGCAGCGCAAACCGGCAAGAAGCAGTAAACCTGACATCTCTTGAGACACGGAAGGGAACAAACATGGGCTTGGAACTGCTCCCGGATGACTTGTCTCTATCCCTGACAAACCAATGGCCATGCAGAGATTTGCAGATCAGGACTCTCTCTGCCCTCCTTTCTGTATGCAACCCCATCGCAAACGCTTGTGGTCTTTACTGATATCGCCTAGCCAAGGCTGCAAAGTTCGGGGACACTGATTGTACATGGTCCAGAAGCCACTGGAAAGACTGGTCTGCTGAAATCCTACTTGGACGTTTCTGGCCTCAAACATGCTTTCATTCCATGCACCGAATGCATTACGAGTCGTCACTTCTTGGAGCGGACTCTGGCAGCTTGTGTCGAAGCAATCGAGACGGCGACCAATGTTTCTCTGGACGGCATCATTCTCCCAAGGTGCGAGAATCTCAGCACTTTGACAAGCTCTCTGGAACGTCTTCTCAAAGGCATCGACAAATTTGTACTCGCTCTGGACGGCATCGATGAGCAGAGGGAGGCTCCTCCGACTCTGTTACCTACTCTTGCACGTCTTGGTCAACTCATTCCCTGCCTCAGTGTTGTGATGATTGTCACATTTCCCCATCCACGTCTTCTCCATCTTCCAGGTGCTCCACATATCTATTTCTCGCCTTATACTCGGGAACAAGTCATCCAGATTGCGTGCTGCCAACCACAATCCATCTTCAGTGAGCCTTTATCACCATCAGCCAACTACTCGGAAGAGCTTGCTGCCGAAGATGACACATGGCTCTGGTCGCGATTCTGTGCTGCCGTTTGGGATTCGTTAGCGAGCGGTGCAGCGCGAGATGTTGTCGCCTTCAAATCGATTCTCGACAAACTCTGGCGACCCTTTGTACAACCGATTGTTGATGGCACGTACGGCACTCGAGACTTTACCAAACTCATGGTAGCACAACGTAGGCTCTTCCAAGCCGAGAGCTGTCTCCTGGATTCGGTCATCGACGAGCCTCAGGCGGACACTAATATACTTACTGATGGTATGTACTTCTACTGGCCGCCATAACCAAACACACTCGCTGACTATGCCGCAGTCACCCACGATCTACCATACTACTCGAAGTGGCTTCTCTGTGCTGCATATCTCGCGTCCTTCAATCCGCCTCGTCAAGACAACGTCTACTTCATGAAGACCACAGAAAGAAAGCGACGCAGAAAAGGTGGCGGTGCCGTCGCTGGCCGTGAGTCGAAGAACCGCAAAATCCCTAGGCACCTTCTTTCGCCCAGTCCATTTCCTCTCGACAGACTACTAGCCATCCTACAAGCTGTACTACCACACGACCTCACGCCTACGATAGACATCTACACACAACTGGCGACACTATGCTCCTTGAGGTTGCTGTTGAGGACAGCAGTCGTTGGTGGTGACGTACTTGAACCAGGCGCCAAGTGGAAGGTCAACTTTGGCTGGGAGTACGCACTCAAGTTGGCTCGAAGTGTAGGCTTTGATATCACAGACCATGTAGCTGAATAGAGATGTAATATCAATGCATGTAGCAGATCCTTCAAGATGACAGCACAGAAAAAGAGGTAGCCAAACATTCTCATCTACCTTCACCTGACCACCACAACATGCAATATATTCCCCAAGAATACCCTGAATTCCATCGAACCGATGGGATGGCGCAAGCGGTCAAGCAGTGTTCCTTCCGCTCAGTCGGCCAGAGTCCACCGGTCCGATCCTCGGCGAGGCCGATTCAATGCCATGACGACAAAAAACAAGGAAGCAAAACCTCGTGAGTGTTCTCTTGATCAATCTAGCAACACGGCGGTTATGGGGGTGTTCTGTTTTTGCCAAACCTCTTGTCTTTGGTTATGTTCTTCTTCTTCTTCTTTTTGCTTTGTGTCAGAGACAGGTGATGAATGGTATCATGCGAAGGAACCCTCTGGATTCGATGACTGTGATGAATTGGAAAAAGTACTCTTGCCGTCGCGTCACTCTTTCATGCTGCTACCAATTGTTGTTGTTCTTTTGCTCTATGAACCACCATGTGCAATCTCCTCGCTATACTGTTCTGTCTGTATTTCCATGTGGCCAGCAAGAGTCAGAGGTCACGATGCTTCTCGAGGTCAAGGACATTAACATTCCGCAGATCGAGGAATCACATAGCAGCAATACATTCTGACATCAAGTAACGATAAAATGGTCTACGAGACATACATTATATAAAGACAAGAATGTGGTCATGGTAACAGTGGATGTGATTGTATGCATATGCTTCAGCTGCATTCTTAGCAACCGGGTCTATATACTCTCCATAGCTTATGCAGCAACCTCTCTCTTCAACTTGGTCTTGAGATTGGACAAATCGGCCTCAGCCTTTCGTTTACCAAGCACACCGGCATCTGGAGTAGTGCTTCTACCTCTGTCTCCACCACTGGCTCTCTTGACCTCATCGTGACACGAAGCATGGAACACTCGACCGCCAACCTTGACGGCGTCCATCCATACCCATTCCTGTGCATCTTCGTGCCACTCAGGCTCGAACTTCTCCTGGCAGATTGGGCAGGTAGCATTGGCTGCGGCGCCAGTGGGTGCGGGGATGTACTTCTCACGCACACTGACAGGCTTGGACGTAGTGACGGCGGTGGAAGTCGTGTCGGCAGCGGCTGAAGAGGCATCTACTTCGCGCAGACGGATCCATTCCATCTCATCGATATACCAGCTGCGGGTGAGACCAGCGGCAAGAGCTGCGTCGGCGATGCGCTGATTGCTGCGGAAGTGCCAGTCGAGATGGCGAGCCTTTTGGGCACGGCCCTCGTCGGTGGACAAAAAGCGGCGACCACAAGTTGTGCATTGGTTTGGCTGTGCATCGTAGAGGGTGTGCACGACTTCTGGACGGAAGCTGGAACGAATGTTAGTCGGGTGTTTCACATTGATAGGATGTAAATATGCATACCTCTTCAAAGCTGCAGCGTTCATGGGAATGCGAACTTTGGCAGGAGTGCCTGGAGGCGGCATAGGCGTGCTGCTCAATTTTGGAGCAAGCCCCTGAAGTTGTTGGAGGATAGATAGCGCAGGAGGAGCTGCTGGTGGAGGAATAGGAGGACCCGATGCAGGCACAGGGGTAGCACTAGCTGACGCAGGCAGGATGTTTGCAGCACGGAGAGCGTCAAGGAGAGGATTGCCAGTTGGTCCAGCAGGAAGTGCAGCAGCGGCACGAGGTGACTGGTTGGCAGGCGGATGTGGCATTGCCTTCAAGGCAGCTTGGACCACAGGTGTGCTCGGTTTCTGTCCGTTTGCTGTAGATGCCAACAGCTGCTGAAGAATACCAGGAGCAAATGCGGGAGGAGCGACAGGCGGCTGTGCTGAGGGAGTAGGCGCAAAGCCTTGAGGGATAGGTGGCGGAGGTTGGAACGGGAGAGCGACAGGAGTCGGAGCCTGCCATTGAGGTTGTTGTGGTGTAGCCGAAGGAGGAGGGTTGGGCTGTGATTGTACTGCCTGCAACTGTGCCACCTGCTTCTTGATCATTCCAATGGCATCTGAGTTGAGTTGTTGAGATTGCACAACAGCTTGCAAATCGAGAAGAGCCTTAAGCTTGGTCTGCACTTGGGAGTCGTATGGGTTACGGGCGAACTCGGACTGGAAACCTTGGATCAAGCCATGAATATCGGCCTTCAGCTTGTTGAGATCATCTTGTGGGTTGAGCACAGCCGAAAGTGAACGAGCAATGTCAGGAGGCAACTGATGCGATGAGAAGTGTTGAGGCGTTGGCTGAAACATGTTAGTCATACAGAATAATACCAAAGGCGTGATGATAATTACCTGTTGGCTGCGGAATCCATTCTGATAGGGATCCTGTGGAGGCGGCTGGAACTGACTAGCATTGTGTGGTGGGGTAGGCGTGTTTCTGTAATTTGTCGACATGGGCCTTCCTGGCATGTTGAGAGGAGTGCGATTCCTGGTCTGCAGTTGCACCGCGGCTGTTCTTGCCTTGATGAGCGCATTTTCAATCGTGCGAGTGACTTCTGCAGGGAAAACTGGTCTTGGATCCATAGAGCCAGGCACGGGTTCTTTCCAAGTCTTCAACATGGCTTCCATGCTCTTTCTCGTCTGGCTATCTACAAGAGTGTATGAATCCATGAATGTTGAGAAGAGATTCCTTCCAAGATAGACTGTGTATGGGGTGCCGACGTTTTTCACGATTGAGTCGAGTACATAGAGTGCAGGCAGCTTGCGTCCAGGGGCAGTCTGCAGTCGGGTTAGTCACCGATATTCCATAGGGATTATATGCTCTTTCGGATAGATCAAAAAGATGATGTCTCGTTGTTCTTCTGAGTCTTACCGTCTTGATGTGCTTTTCCAAAACCATAGCTATAGCTTGCGCATGTTCGGTATTCTCCTTGGCGATGATGGTCAGGTTGCTAATCTCATATCTGTTGTTGTTCTGAAGATCTTGCAGAGATTCCTGGAAGTCCAGAGCGACCTCGTCAGAGATTTGGTCGGCAGACATGATTCTTCAAAGGCAATATATTATTTGCAGCAGTAGAAAGAGAAGAGAAAAGAAAGAAGACTACAAGTCACAGATAGCTTCCTTCGAAAGTGGCTCAAGAAAAGAGGCAAGTCAATGCGCTATCCGGTCCGTAGACGGTAGAAGATGCAAAGCCCTTTGGTCGACTTGAACAACCACAAGAGGTGAGTAAATGGCAAGCCGCAAGCGAAAAACACTTGCTTCACCAAAAGGCGTGAAATCAGAAGAGTGTGATGGATCAATACTAGCTATTGTCTCTTCTCGCCCACAATAAGCAGCCCACTGCTCTCAATAGATGTCGTCAAGAGCCGGCTCCTGGTCTTCTGCGAAGACGCTGTGAAGAATCCTCCACTTTCACCCCAAGCCTTGGTTTTTTTCTACTCGCGCTCACAATCTGCAGCAGCAAGTTGTAGGGAGGCTTTCTTTGTTCTTGCTCTTTCTGGTTGTGCTCTTTTGTTTCTCTGTGCGGACAGGTGTCGGATCACGGGTGGTGTAGCACAGAGGTTAGTTGTGCCTCTCGGAGAGCACGTCTGTCGACCGGATGGGTGTGTGTGGTATTGACGGATGGTCGATGTGAGCGATGTTCCAAGTCGGAATGGAGAGAGCGGTGAAGGAGGTCGCCGCGAGTGGATGGTAATGGTTTGGTAGGCATGCGACGTCTGGCATTCTTCTTTCAAGGCCCCATTCTTGGCAAAAGCCAAGGCGAACCTTGCGACGCCCATGACATAAGGTAGCTCAGGCAACTGCATTCAGCACATAAAGTCGGGCCATCCCCGCCATCTGCATCTCCCAAACCACCGCCTTTGACCGAGAAGATAATAATATCAAAAACCATAACCATCACAATCATAATCAATCAACATGAAGTTCACCATCCATCTCCTCTTCATCGCGTTCCTCATGGCCTTGGCCTACGCTGCCACCGACAGCAAGCAAGTCATCGTCAGCTACCCCAACGATACTCCCGACTCTGTCATCGAGCACGCAATGTCCGTTATCAAGGAAGCTGTAAGTATACATCGCACTTCTTTGATGTATTTACTACACAGACTAACAGATATCAGGGCGGCATCATCACTCACGAGTACAAGACTCTCATCAAGGGCTTTGCTGCCACCGCACCCACCAAGGTTGTCAACAGCGTCAAGGCTTTGGGCGAGAAGTACCAGGCTGTCGTTGAGGATGACCAGGTCGTATCTGTTGCCGGAGGCTCCTCGTAGAGCACATAATCACCCGATATGAAATCAGGAAGGAAATGAGGAGTGGAACAGGCGTTTGGATGAAATCAATACAACCTACAGGAATACCTCACAGGGTAATTAGGACGGGATGGGACGGCTTTGGTCACACAGTACAGCGGGACATGGCAAGGAAAGGCGTAGTCAGTTTTGTATCATTGCCGCAGGCACAAGAGAAATACACACGTGTTTCTCCACTCATTGTTTCCTGTCAAAAGTCTCATCCGGCTTCCATCCATCGCTCTTTGAATGTCGAGCATACAATCATTTGAAGGTCACGTGATCTTGGTTTCCAGTCGCATCAGGTCCAATCTATGCGCTTCCAATGTTGATTCCGTCTCAAGACTCTGCAAACACTCTCCAATATCACAGAATTGCAAAACACTCATGATCTTCCACGTCACTTTTCCAACTTCGCCAACCTCTCCATCTCGCCCTGACCGTCGAGAATTGGCCGCATCTGGGGTACCACCTCGAACTCAAAAAGAAGCGCCATGGCTGGGGCAAAGAAAACAAAGCAGCACGACACAGTAAACCCCTCCCTTCTCACGCTTACCTGTTTTTATCCAAAAAGTCTCAGATGAACATGCAAACTGACACGCTGGAACATCAGACAATGGCAAGAGCGGTGATGCTGCCAATCAACAACTTCAACCCGGGCACACCCCGTCTCGATGGCGTGGAACCTCGTCTGAAGCAAATGATTGCCAACTCCGATGCCCTCGACAGTCAAGTGAGGTAAGTCACAACATCGGATCCACATTATCAACAGACACTGTTTCGGACTGCTCGAGTTTTCTTCTTCCATTGCAAAGTGCTAAGTTCTACTTTTACACCATCTAGAAACAGAATGTTCAACGCTGCATTCGCACCCGAAGCCATAAGGGCAAACCAGACACGCCCAGAAATCTCGGAGCAGACTACTGCTGAAGTCCTCACTGCTCTTGACTCTCTACGCAGAGTAGGAGAGTACAACGCTCGCGCAAAGGAGTCGAGACAGTTTCTGGTCGACACATTGAAGAAGTACGACAAATCCGGTGCTAGTGCTGCTATGGCTGGAGCAGAACGCAGGAAGAGTAGTGCAGCTGGTCCGGCCCCCGTTGCGCCAATGGGAGGATCTGCTGCTGTGGCTACTGCGGAGACCGGAAAGAGGATGCTCGGGAGTCCGACAGCGGCCATGGCGAATGCTGCTTTGCCTGCTCCTTCTGCGGCACAGACATTCCCCTACACGAATACCTCCAACATTGATGCGAGCAGGGATCCTAGAAGACGCTAGAGGCGTATGGTTGCTGAGGACATGCAACCAGAGGAAATCACTTTTTAGCGGCCCCTTTTGTTTTAACGCGCTTGCTTTGTTTTACAGCATGATACCCAGATGAGCATAACTTTATCTTTCGTTTCAGCCATATGATACTGATCCCAGAGGAGCAGAGATGTTCTCATTGGCTATGCTGAGTCTGGCGCAAAGTCCCAGGAATACCACAGTCTCTGTAGCAGCGAGATAGTTCAGCGCGTCAAGTAGGATCTTCAGGTGTCTGGTGAAATTATCCTCGAAGCGTTTGAGATGGTCGTCGAGCTTTTCCATCCTACGTGGGTCGGGTTCCGCTTTGCCGGTCTCGGTCTTAGCGAGATCCGGATCGCTCAAAGCAAGGTTCCGAGACAAAGACGCAGTATAATCGGCAAACATTGTGCAAGTAGTCATGACTTTGGAGTTGATCTGTCTATACGTTAGTTACCGTGCTGCAAATGAAATCATCCACGACATACCCTGAGGAGCTTTGAGTTTGTCAGCATGCACTCCTTCAGACACGTGGCCAGGAAGTCGACGTGGTCTTGCATCAGTTCGTCAACGGTACGCTTGACCTTTCCGCCTTCGGCCACACTTTCTGGTGCCTCCGCCTCGCTCAGTCGAGTCATAAAAGCAGTCCAGTTGGGCTCTATCACTTCGTTCGAGCAGAAATACAGCAGCTGCTGCACGAAACAAAGCATACGACTACGCAAGCACCACGCTCTGCGTTTCCAATCTTCAATACGTCGGTCGGAACTCTTGTGGCGCCAGCTTGTGACCTTGGAATGATCGATCCAGGAGCTCACCAGTAGCTGTTCGAGATGGCGTAATGAGAGAATGTAGCGGAAGAGCAGTTGGTATCTGGTCAGCGTCACCCTCGAGACGACCAGCGAGAGGGGGAATGGAACAGCATAGTCAAAGGTAAGCGCACCAAAGCCGGTGATGTCTGTGTCGTCTCCAATGACACTGGCTGCCGGTGTGTAGGAAGTGATGCTTCCACCATCGGCATCCAGGCCTTTGACGTTGACGACCTGCATCAACCATCTGGTCAGACCGACCTCATTCATAACAACCTTGACATCCTCCTTGAAGGGGTCCTCGGCTGCAACGCTTCCAGGCTGGCGCAATACGATATCAAGAAGTGACTGCAGCTTTCCGGTATTAACGGACTTGACAGGCTTCTTAAGCTCTGAATGGCCGAGTTCGAGGAAGTGAGAAAAGAAGTCGGATCTGTCCAAGAAGAAATAGTGCTTCAAGCTGCGAAGACGTGCAGGAAGAGCATGTGTTGTGAGTAGGAGAGTAAGAAGCGAAGAGTTGGCGAAGGCGTAAGCTGAATTGGCATTGTCCAAGAAGCGAACATCATCGAACGTATGAGGGACTTGATCATCCATGTCTCTCGACACGTCGACTCCACCACACTCTCGAACGACGTTCAAGTATTTACCAGCCAACAGCACTTTGTCCTTGACAGACTCAAGTTGTGGAGGCACATCTTCATGACGAATGGTGTAGCGTTTCTCCCAGTACTCGTCAGTGTAGTCTTGCTCCAGACCTTCTCGACGAATGCTCTTCTGCTCTTTGATCAGGAACTCGGAATGAGGATCTCGAACGTTGCCGTGGTGGAGCCATTCGTTCAACATGGCCATATAGGGCCTGGAAGACTCGCGCAATAGAGTGGTAAGCAAGGTCCGAGCGGCAGGGTCACCAGACATGGTGGCTAAACGCTTGGTGATGAGGCGCAAAACGCTACCTCCCTTGCACACCTTTCTCCCGACGTTTCCAGCGTCTCTGCCCTCTCGCAAAGATTCCAGGATGTTTTCAAAGTCGTCGGATTCGTCCAAGTCGTCATCATCATCATCGTCTTCAAGCATGGAATTCTCCTTCAATATCTCGTGAGCCAGGCTGTACAATTGAAACATCATGTGGCTGGTAGGTTTGGTGTGGAGATTCAGGACGTGGAGAGTGAAAGACTGGTTGGTGAGCATCTGGTGTTCCAGTTGAGCGATGAGAATCAGGTAGTCCTTGAGCAGTTTCCTCATGGCGGCGCAAAGGGCATGGTTGACGGCTCCAAATTCTTCACGACTCTGGACCTCGACAAAGGCTTCGACAGCAGCATAATGTGTAGCCATTCTCAACATAGAGAGGGTCAAGTCTCTCAAGCTTGGATCCAGACCAGGTAGCAGTCGAAATTGTGGGCCAGCAAGGCGACTCTTTTCCTCGTGCGGATGGTAGGCATCGGTGTAGCGGACGTATTGGCCCTCAAAGCCCATGAAAACGAATAGCAGATCCTGGATAACGGCAGTCTCTTGAGCGTCGAGGGTCATGGACGACAGAGGATCTGGCTGGAGAGCAGAAGGCGCATTGGCGGCCAGAGGTGGTACGGAGACGCGGGATGCCAAGGGGGCAGAGGTATGAGGGATCAAGGAAGCCTGAGGGTTCCAGGCAGGAGTAGGGTCGACGTTGGTGGGAATTGCATCGGACTGCCTCGATCTCGAGGGCTGGCTGGAGTGGGTAGAGGGCTTGTGGACGCTCCGGACACGGGTGACGGTAGCAGAGCGAGATTCATGTTGATGCGACTCGACGCGGACGTGGGCGCTTCTTTGCGAGTAGGGGTCGGGTTGAGGATTCCTTTGCGGATAGGCGTCTGGCTGAGCGCTAGCACGAGGGACTCTTTGGCGGTGCGAGGCCGACGTTCTTCTGTCGGCAGCTGACATTATCCAGTATTCGCATGGCTGCAAGCTGAACAAAGTCGGACTGCAAGCGCGTTGCTGTGTCTGGCCGCGGCGGACGACGCGCGCGAAACAATCAACGAGGCCCAAGCTCGCAGCAATGAATGCATCACCGCTCGCCGACTGCTGCTTCGTGCTTCGTGCTTCGTGCTCTACTACTAGACAATCAGCTCGCCATCTGTCATCCAACTCTCTCTCGCCCCTCTGTTTTCCCACAACCCATCGCCTTCACTCTAGACAAGTCATCTTAGCCACTACTCCTGCTTCGTATCTCATCGCACACCTACATACGCCGCCACCGCTCGCTCTTCCCCACCAGCTCCCGCAGCCATGTTCATTGCTCGTTCCGAATATGGTGATTATCACGATCCACCTCTCCTCTACTAGCTTGCTAACATCTCTATCCAGATCGCGGTATCAAGTATGTCTCGTCTTCCTGCTACATCTCCGAACAGCACACTCATTCTATTCCAGCACCTTCTCGCCCGAAGGCCGTCTCTTCCAGGTAGAATACTCGCTCGAGGCCATCAAGCTCGGTTCTACCGCTATCGGTGTATGTCCTATCGCTACACATCCGACTGTGTCCTCCCGCTCTGACCAACAAACAGGTCGCAACCTCGGAAGGTGTCATCCTCGGTGTGGAGAAGCGCGTCACTTCAACACTGCTCGAGACCAGCTCCGTCGAGAAGATTGTCGAGATTGACAGACACATCGGTGCTGCCATGTCTGGTCTCCAGGCCGACGCCCGCAGCATGATCGAGCACGCCAGAATCACTTCGCAAAGCCACGCCTTCAACTACGCCGAACCTCTGTCCGTCGAGAGCTGCACCCAGGCCATCTGCGACTTGGCCCTTAGATTCGGTGAAGGTGCTGAGGGCGAGGAGAGCATCATGAGCAGACCTTTTGGTGTCGCCCTGCTCATTGCCGGCTTCGACGAGAACGGCCCGTCACTGTGAGCACCCACACCTCCTATCCAACCAAACATGCATTCTAACCATTCAGGTACCACGCCGAGCCCTCGGGTACATTCTACCGCTACGACGCAAAGGCCATTGGTTCTGGCTCAGAGGGTGCACAGGCCGAGCTACAGAACGAGTTCCACAAGTCATTGACACTGGCCGAGGCCGAGGTTCTGGTGCTCAAGACGCTGAAGCAGGTCATGGAGGAGAAGCTAGACTCAAAGAACGTGCAGTTGGCCAGCGTGACAAAGGACAAGGGCTTCAGGATATACGGCGATGAGGAAATGGCATCGGTCGTGTCCAGGCTCGAGGCCAACTAAACTTACGTCATGTTGATTCTATGTATTAGGCGCATCGCATGGGCGCAAAAGAGGCGTAATGATAAATGCATCCCAGAGAGACAAAGAAATGTGTTTTCCTGATGGTAGCTTTTGAAGGGTGGAACAGAAGGTCTAGAAAACATGCAATTTATGCTGCAACCCCGTCTGAATTTAATGTACACAGCAGCCAACTCCAGAAAGCATCACCATGATGGCCGAGCGTTTAGAAGGGGTTGTCCTCGGGGGCAATCTCCTTGACGAAGTGGTTGCCAATGAAGGGAATCTTCTGCATGATGTCCTTTCGTACACGGGGGATGTCGGCGAAGAAGAAGAGGGCGAAGATACCGGCAACGGCACCGAAGCCAGCAGCGGTGGTACCGCTATAGGAGCTGTGTTAGCGAATTGAACGAGGTAATGCCGAAGGTGATGGATTTGAGAGCGAGAGAATCGAGAGTTGAGGGATAGGTTCGAGAAAGTAGGCAAAGAGATGTTGATGTGCGTGTGGGAGAAGAGTGAGGCGGTTGACGTACAAGATTCTGGCGCGGTGGAGGTCGATGCCGTGGAAGTTGGCGCCAATCTTGTAGCTGGAGGTCGAGCGGATCAGTATGCCGATGCGATAGTTGGACAGACTAGAGGTCGTCTCACTTGGGCCCGTATTTGCTCTGGTAGGCCTTGTAGTTGGGAAGGCTGACCCAGGGCTGCATGCCGTGGTGGCCCTCGAACTTTGTGCCGAAACCGGCCTGTAGAGTGGTTAGTATAGGCGCATGGCTGGTGAGAGGGACAAGGCGTACGGCTCTGATCTGCGACGGCTGCATTGTGAGTTGTGTGGTGGTATCAGGGTGATGAATCAATCGACAGTTCGCCGTCGTCGCTTTGTCTACCCGGGCCTGCTTGGGCTTCCGCTGCTGACCATCGAGCAAGCCTGACAAAATGCTCGGCCCGCCCGGCCACAAGTCGCCGTCTCTCCAAGCTGCCACTCCCTATCCACATCCTAAACAAAGCCATCTTGCTGCGACCAAGCATTCACTTTCTGGCCAATTGCTTTCTGTCCCTCTTCTACTTGGTCGTCTCGCACACATAAACAATGCGCTGATCTTTTGACATGTTTGGTCATCTGCACGCCTTGGCTTTCCTGTAGCATACCGCAACCACGCATTAATCAAGGTCGCATTCAGCTATGGAGTCGACTATGAGTTCCAAGGTCACTGGTGCGTCGCATAACTTCTCACCTAGCGCCTTCCTCTGACACTCCATCTAGTCGAGTACCACGATCCCTCTGGTATATTTCCTTTGATCTCGCGTGACCTAGCATCCAGGCTACCTTTGCGCAACCTGAACTGGAAGTCCCCCTCGAGGCCTTTGCGATCCATCGGCGCCCTCCATGTCGAATTTGTTCCCGACGCCCAGACCGAGGCTTCAGAGAGCGACAAACTGCAGCGTGTCGACTCCTCTGGCTCCAGACCTGGCGCTCCTTCAGTAGCCAAAGAGAGAAGACACCAGATTCCAGGCCTCCGTCAGACTCCCTATCTCAAAGTCTTTCTGCTGCGGTGCGACGACAAAGACACATACAAGGCTTCGTCACGCCAGCTTCTCCGCGACTGGACCAACGACATTGCTCCACCTCCTCAGAGTTCCTCTGCCATCAACCGCTCGGAGGATCACGACGCTGCCGAGTGGCTCATTCTGCATGTAGTCATTCCTGACACTATCGCCGCTTCCGAACCTCGCTGGACCGCCGCATCCAAGAAAGATCCCGACGAGTTGGTCGAGAGGCCGTCAAGCACCACCAAATGGCCTGGCAAGAGCTCAAGAACTGTATTGGACAAGATACGCGCTGATTTCACTGCTTCCTCAAGGTCTGGACCCGAGCGTATCGCACAAATCAGGCTGCAAAAGAAAGATGTTCCTCCACAGCTACTGCCTCAGACGCCTGTTACCCAACCTTATATTGAGAGCCCGCAAGAGCAAGACAATGCCTGGCAGGATCTTATCGCAAAGTTCAAGACTTTGATACTGATGTCTTTTGATCTGCGCGTGCTGCAGTACGAGGATGATATCCGTGAGAAAGATTCCCAACGCGCTTTGCCCGGCTGGAACTTTTGCACTTTCTTCACCCTGAAAGAAGGCTTGGCCCGCGGTTTCGAGAGTGTTGGCTTGGTTGAAGACGCCTTGGCGATATATGATGAACTTTCAGCAGGCCTCGATTCTGCTCTGCGAGACAGCGAAACTGGCGCTGCCCAAGGCACCTTCCTTGGCGATCTTACGGCCCAGAAGAAGTCTCTTCTGGACATGATCGATGCGCAATCTGATACGCCCAAGCTTGAGCAACTGACTTCGCAGTTTCGAGATACGTTCATTCAGCCCCTAGATCTCACTAACAGGGACTACCGTGGTGAAATTGTTTCGAGCACCATATCTCTTTTTGACTTCCGATTGTACATTTTCGCGAGGCAGAGAGCACTTCTGCTTCGCCTGAGCGCTGGAAGTGGTAGTCTTCAACAGGCCAGACCTTCCGGCGCCAAAAGTAATTTCAAAGACGACAATTTGAGCTTTACTGCTGAAGTATGTAAGAGGGCAGCTCTGTTTGCCGCAACCAATGCTCGTGCTCTTCGCAACGGCCTTACCGACGGGTACGGTCAATTCCTTGTGCATCAGATAGATCGTTGTGTTGATAGCTGTGTAGGTCTGAAATCAATTCTCATCTTTCTTCTCTTGTGGAAAACATCACTTCTTCCTGGACATACGCTGTGCTTGATCAGGTGCTTAGTGAGACTGCGTCAGAAGAATTCTCATCATCTGGTGAGAAGTCATCACCAGCGCCGCACAGTCAGACGCTGGGTGTCTACTCTAGGAAAGAGACAGCCGGCAACTTCAACTTTCCTCAGGGCGCAAATACTCACCCGACGCGATCAAGCTCTTTGCAGCGCAGCGCTTCGTCCTCGTCGCAATTAACACCACAGACCATATACGAAAACGAACGATATGCAAAATCGAGTCCCGATCCTCAGCCAGACGCTGCAATTGCGAATGCCTCTGGTCTAGCCGTCCTTGCTTCTGCCCGAGCTCAGCTTTTCCTCATGCAGCGAAGAATTGTCGAGGCCCTTGCCAAACAAAAAGGGTGGCTCTCGGGCTGGGCTGCGATCAAAGCGACACAAAACATGACTGATGTTGACCTTGACAGCAAAGACGAGGTTGAGTCGAGTGAAGATTCATCGATATCACCTGGAAACATCGAAAAGATAGCACAGATGCTTCTCAGTGGCCCACTATCAGCCGCGCTTGCCTCTTTGGAAGACTTCAGGACTGTTTACGAGGTAATAGTGTCGTGTCCGCTTTGTTTGATGCATCGACTGACCATTTGAAGCAATTGAGCACGCTTGCAGTGTCACATTTCACAACAGCAAATCGCACTAAGTCTGCAGACTCTGTCATAAGTGACCTCGCCATACTCAAATAGTAAGTCTTCTTGAGTACCGTGACAACTTTGAGTTCAACTGACTTTCCGCACAGCCAACTCGGCGATGTTGCTCAGGCAGCTACTTACTTCCAGCGTTCATCTGCGACCTTTTCCAAGACCAGTTGGTCCTATGTTCATGGTGAGATGTTGAGGATATACGCCAAATGTCTAAAAGATCTACACCGACGAGATGAATATATGAGAGTGATGCTGAGCCTTTTGGGGAGGGTTGTTGCACGCCGCACGACAAGAACATTGCCCAGAGTACGCGGTGGCTCTGCATGGCTTGACGAAGAGACCGTCGATGTCAGTGGTGTGCTTGGAGAGCTCGTGAGCTTCTCAGAGGAACTACCCTTTAACTTTAGCGCTCCAATGTCTGATTTCTTCGCCGAAATCGATGTCAGTCCAGAAGTTGAACTCCATTCAGACAAGGATGGATTCGATCTGAACGTACGTCTGAAGCACCTTCTGGATGACGATCTCACTGTCGATCGTGTAAGGCTGCGATTGGTGCTGGTAAGCGACGCCAGCCAGGAAATACTCCTGCAGAGTGATGGGCCCCTAGAGCTGAAACGAGGGCTCGTGGAGATCCAAGTCCACTCAAATGTCACAACATACGGACATTACCTGATCGACAAACTTGTGATCGAGTCCAAGAAGCTCCACTTCTCACGCGAATTCCAGCCCAAGCCACACACGACACCCTTAGGCATAACCAATGCCAACATGTCTGGAAGAGGACCCAGCATGAGTGGGCCCTCACTGCTAGTGTATGCTCATGGCGATTCACTGGAAGCTCGGGCAGCACTTTCCAATGACATACACATCGACAAACTGCGGTCCATCGTCCTTACAATCGCGACAGGACGCAATAGTACGGAGAGTCTCGATCTGCGGCTCAAATCTGCCTCTGCTGGACTGAGATTACATACTGCAGATGCTGAGATCACAGAAAGCAATCACAGTCAGCTAGACACATCACAGGCTGGCATGCTCAAACTCGGTGCTGTGAACGCAGGGACAGACGTCAGAGTCCGAGTGCCCTACAGTATAGAACGCAGCCTCGACGAGCTTACTGTGAAACTGGATGCGAGCTACAAGACCAGCCAAGGGATGTTCTCATACCTCCGCACTTGCGTCATTTTAGCAGCGCTGCCCCTAGACGTGGATGTTAACGACATCTTCAAGTCGCAGGCCCTCTTCTCGCGCTTCAGCATCAGGACGACAAACTCGATACCACTAAAAGTCACGAATGTAGAGGTTCAAGAATCACAGGCTTATGGAGTGCGAGCTTTACCATGCCCTCTGCCAATGACTGTGTTTGACAAACAGCCAGCCAGCCTGACGTACAAGATTACGAGAAGAGATGCCGAAGGAAGCAAACTCAACAAGAAGGAAGCCGCATTGGCACTGACTGTCGAATATGTCCGCTCGGATGAGGCCATCTTTGAGAAGCTTGGCGATGTGCTTGAGAAAGCAGTCTCGAACAGTCCCTTCGCGGCTTTGCGACGCCTGCTCGTACCTACCTTGTTGAACAGAGCCAAGTCTTATGCACCATCTCAGCAGCTTGAGCAGGCTGTGCTGCTCAACGAGTTCCAAGTGCCTTCATACGAGGCGACGGGCTGGGGAAAGATCGTTGCCAGTCTCACGGCCGACAAGCGACAAGGTCTGGACGAGTGGCTGCAAGAGTGGCATTCGGTAAGTTCTTTTCATTTCATGGTCCACATGCAATCTGTCACCTTGCTAATTCCTGTGCAGAACAACCAAAAGCTGGTTCTCGACGAGTCTGTGGCAGCTACCTTGTCAAGGAAGATCAGACTTTCTGTCGAAGTCCCAACCGTCGATGTCTTGCACACTGTGACCCTTGATCTTGACAACGAAGACTCCAAGAAGGCCTTCGTTATCGGCCGTCCAATGCCTGCCATCCTTACTATCAAGCATACCAGACGCTGGGCTGCTGCAAAACTAGCGTCAGATACACCTCTTGCGTTCGCATATACCATCGACGCTCCCACAGACGGCCCATGGCTTGTGGCTGGACCTAAGCGCTCACGCTTCTTATACAAATCGGACAACGAAGTGACCAAGATCTCGCTTGTGTTGGTGCCGTTGAAACCAGGCATGCATCTCCTGCCTTCTGTGGATATCCAACCGGTCTCCACTTCTGCTGGCACCTCTGACTCAAGCGGCCTATCGAGGATGCTCAGCCCGGGACAGAATAGTGCACCTGCTGAAGAAGAAACAACACAGCCGCTGGTCAGCTGCGAGACTGATTACCGCAACTCGGGTGAGAGTGTTTTGGTGGTGCGGGAAGCGAGAACGACAACAGTGACGGTCAGGGAGAGAGATATCATGCCGGCGCTGCAGAGAATACCTACGGCTACAGAGTCAGTGAGAGCAAGTGTGGACAGCACTCGGACGTCAAGACTCCAATAAGATCAATTTGGACTAGACAGATGCGTATACGACTAGACAGTTCACCTCCATGCCCGTTCTTCTCATCACCATTATCCTCACTTGCGCACGGATCTCTGGAAACTTCTCTCGTTTGCTTCTACTCACGTCTTCATTTCATATCGTCACTGTATATGGTGCTCGGACCTCCTTATGCTCTATAAATCGATGGAGTAATTGCACTTTGCTATCTTCCACTTCTCTACTAGCCCAACACAGATCGCTGGTCTTCACGTCTTTCTTTCTTGCACCCATCACAGCGATCTCGGTCCACATCAAACATCACTACCGACAATCAACACGGTTCATGTAAGTTCGTCAGCACGTGTTATCAGCAGCTAGAGACTGACCTTTGACCTCCGTAGATCGTCACTTGCTCTAGTAGCAGTAACCTTGACCAACAATCTCACACCGACTTCCTCCTCTTGCACTGCGAAAGGTCATCCAGGCTTCGTCACTCTGATCCCACGATCTCTGCAACCGAGCACCTTCCCCGATCATCCCCTCCAACCATCTGCCTACCCTTCTATCCACCTCGACTACAGCAACAATGCCAGTAAGTGTCTCTCTTTCCTCTCCTCACCTCATTCCCAGCTAACACCTTACCCCCACCAGGGCCACCACCGTACCTTCCTCGTCCTGGTTCTTGCCACCATCACCTCCTTTGTGGGCAAGATGTCCTGGGACAGCAAACACTCCAAGGACGGAGCTGGCCCCGCCAACAACAACAACAGGAAAAAGGGCAAGGGAAAGAAGAGTAAGAGCAGAAGAAGCAAGAGCAGAAGAGGAGGTTCAGGCTACGATGAGTCCTCTGTGGGCAGACGTGAACACTATGGTCCCGACGAGGTGGGCAGATGTGTTTCTGTCTTTGAAGATTGAAGATGGCCGATTCGATCAATTCTGCTCGAGACATGCCTGAAAAAGAAAGCAGCATTGATTTTGCAAGGAAGAAGGGACAGCTGAAATGACAAGAGCAGAGAAGATGCAACAAGGGGAGGCAATGGTTTTGTAACAAAAGCACATGGAAGCAGGAAGCAAAGAAAGTGATCTGAGAATTCACAATTCCCTCTAATTCTGATCGAAGAAGGCTCGATCAAACAAACTCATAATTACACATTTCGGCTGTTCCCTCATTGTTCCCATCCATTGTTGCGCCGTTGGTCCAAAAACACATTGTGACAGACGGTTCAAAGTCCTCAACTCGTCACTGACTCCCTCTGCTCACGTTCCATCTGATCGATAAACTTCTGCCACGTATCGATGGTCGAGCGGAAGTATTCACAATTGGCATCTGCAAGCCCACCGAGCGTCTCTCTGAATTCTGTTGCCTTGATACGCTCGAAATCATCCACCTCCTTGACCACTTCAATATCAAAGGCCTCGCTCGTCTTCTTTGCAGCCTCGACTTCGTTCTGCAGACGTTCGATCTGCAACTCAAGTTTGCGGACGCGCTCTTTACGGGCGGTCTCGTGGTCTACACCGCGCACATCTTCGATCTTGGCGCGGATGAAGCCAGAGGCTCCCATGCTGGGCCCTGAGGCCAGGTGGTCGCGCTCGCTGGCAGCTTTGGTCAGGTATTCGGATAGGCCTTCAAAGTCGAGTTGTTTTTGCTCGCGCGTCTTGAGGAGGGCTTTTACAGAGGCAATGTAGGCTTCCATGTCACGCAAACTACCGAGATAGTCCTGGTCGGTGTATTCGCGCAGCTCCTTCCATGCTTGCGAATTTGACTGTATGCTGGAGCCGAAGCTGGTGAGGTCGTTTTGCACACCAGGTTCGAGTTGTGCGAGCTTCTGGAACTGTGTGGCTAGGTCGGCGTAGTCGGCTTCGAGATCTGATTCGCGGCGTGCGAGACGGGAGACGGATTTGGAGACGGTGGAAAGGTCGTCGTCGAGCTTGTCGGCACGTTCGCGGACGTCGACGAAGCGGCGGTCGGTCTTGTGGGCTTTGGCAAAAGCGTTGAGGAAGCTGTCTGTCCATGTCTCCAAGACGCTGGGCGCAGCGGGCTCGCCGGCGCTCATGCCGCGGGCGGCTCGGGAACGCATGGTTGAGTTCCATGCATCGCTCTCGAGGAACTGGGTGAGAAGGGCAGCACGACGGAGGACAGGATGTAATGTGAGGCGGCTCAGGAAGCGGTTCAGGGCGTGTGCGCGGCGCGAGGTGAAGTCGGGGCCGAAGCGGTCGCCGCGAACATACTCCATCTTGTGCTTGTCGGGGAGAGGTGGAACGGCACATTGCGGGTACTCGCGGGTGAGGTGTTTTTGCAAGAAGACAAAGTCTGTGAAGCGGCGGCGCAGAGCCGAGTGGTTGTTGACAAAGGACTTGAAGTCGGTGTCGGTGGTGACGAGGTAGGAGATGAAGGGGTTCTGGGTGCCCTCGTTCTCCTTCTGGGGGTCCGTCACACGGCACTCGAGCTTGCCGTGCAGACCGGGGCCGGCGAGGTCGACGTTTGCGTCGTCGGCAGTGGGTTCGTATTCCATGGCCATGTGTCTTGAGAGGATGCGTTGTAAGGATTGGCAGGTCGCAAGTCTAGATGCACTCGGCTCCCGCTCCAGAGAGCTGCCACTGCCCGAGTTGAGTCTGGGGTTGGCCATGACGTGTATGCTGTTTTTGTTCCCAACCTCTTCTTACTCTTCTCTCCAATATTGAACCTGTCTCCGTCTGATTTCATCTTCATCCTGTCGTGAGACACGAAACTGAGCCTTCTGTCACGTATGGTCTCTCGAGAGGCTCCCTAATGAAAAACTCCGTCGTCGACCCCGTAGCAAACACATGCTGCACCTCAGACCCTCGCACACCCTGACCATCGCCCCGCAAAACACCATGATACCTATCGAGCCTTGTCGGGCTCCTCTCTCGAGAATGCTCTTCCCGAATTGAGGCTCATCTCAGCCATGACTCTAGCCTCCCTTGCATATCACATTCGTTGACTCTGCTTACCTCCAGCCTCTCCTCATCTGCTTGATGACGTCTTGTTCTGCGCCATAAGCACCAGAAGGATGCGATAGCCGCCAGCCTCAGTAGGTGTATATGTAAACGAAAGTCCCTGGACACTCTTCCACGTCGCCCTTTTGAAGTCCACCCCAGTGCACAAACCTTCTCAACATGAACGCTCTTGTCTCGGCCATTGTGGCCGTCATCTTGACTGCACTTGCTCGTTTCATCTACATAGGCTACCTCTGGAGACGATGTGCTGCGACACTTGCAAGTCGAAGGAATCTTTTGGTACATCCTCCTCTACTGACCTTCTACTCAACAGCCTGGTCCACCTCATCACCCGATTTTTGGTCACCTGATGGCCATGGCCGAAGCCTCGCGAGCCTCTCCTCGAGCTTGCGCAGGTCAAAGTATGCCCCTGCTCATCAAGCAAAAATACAACTTGCCCGACTTGTTCTATCTGGATCTGTGGCCCCTATCACTCTCGCTGTGCATCACAACTCATCCATCATACAGTAGCCAGTTCATCGTTCAGAGGTCTATGCCCAAACATCCAGGTATGCTGTTGCCTTGATGGTCATACATTAAGCTGCAGACTGATCAATGCCAAAAGTCATCGAAACCATCCTCTCGTGCATAACTGGAGGTGAGAATATGCTGACTAGTGACGGCGCTCAATGGAAGACATGGAGATCTGCCTTCAATCCGGGTTTTTCTGCCGCTCATCTCATGACCGTTATGCCCGCAATTGTTGACAATGTGGCTACATTTGCTCAAATCCTTCAGAAACATGCCATGGAGGACAAGCTGTTCCGCATGGAACATTATGCAACTCGTTTGACCATAGACATCATTGGTAAAGTAGTCCTGTAAGCTGTCTCCCAGCATTGTGAGTCGTTTTGCCGAGCTCACTATCATCAGGGATGATGACTTTAATTCTCAATTGAGAGAACATCCTCTCGTCACAGCCTTCGAAAGCCAAGTCAGATGGATGAAGGTTTCTCGTAAGTCATGTCACATCCCACAGAAACCAAACTAATGCCATCAGCTGGCATACAAAAGCCTCTACAAGTTTTCAATATCTTTCGACCGTTTGTACAGTGGTGGAACTCCAGACAGATGGATACCTACGTGGATAACATCCTCGAAGAAAGGTTTGCGTCACGCAATACCAGAGGCAAGAAGAAACATGTCATCGACCTAGCACTCGAGACTTATCTCAAGGAGAACAACGTGGACGAGTCCTCGAAACTCGATCCCAACTTCAAGGCTGCTGCTTCACATAATATCAAGATCTTTATCTTTGCTGGCCACGACACAAGCAGCTCGACGATATGCTACTGCTTTTATCGACTCAGTAAACATCCGACGGCACTTGCTCGACTGCGAAAGGAATGCGAGGATATCTTTGGCATGGATATTGGCGAGACTGGCGATATGATCAAAGCTGACCCGTATCTGCTCAACCGCATGAGATATGGAGACGCAGTCATCCGTGAAACACTAAGATTCTACCCTCCTGGAAACACTGTCCGTGCTGGAGCTGAAGAGTAAGTAACGCCTCACAGGCCGCACGTTATATTACTTACATATCGCTAGCTTCTTCATTGCTGATCCAGAGACTGGTGAGCGCTACCCTACCGATGGGTGGCTTCTGTGGGCTCACAACCTTGGCCACATGGTGAACCCTACCATCTGGGGCGAAGACGTCAACTCTTTCCGTCCCGAACGCTGGCTCGCCGAAGAATCACAAACGAAGAACGGTGCAGACCGTGACGCTTTCATGGCATTCTCAAAGGGCCCTCGTAATTGCATTGGTCAAGAACTGGCAATGCTAGAGACGAAATTGGTGCTTGCCATGACAATACGCCAACTTGATTTCCAAGAAGCGTTTGCAGAAGTGGAGAAGCTGAAGAATGACGGTACGGGTTACCCGAGTGATTTGAGTGGTGTACAAGAACAGTTTGGTGACAAGGCATATCAGATCCAGTTGGGTACTGCCAAGCCAAGGGAGGGTATGCCTTGTCGTTTGAGTTTGGTTGCTAAGTAGGAACTCTCGCGTGTACCGCTGATGAACGAAGGCTATCTAAGCTCCTGCAGTATTAAGTCCTCGTTTCTTAAATCGCGAGAGATACTTTGAGACGGAAGGAGTGACCGGCGACTTAGGATTGGCCCCTGCCAGGGTCGTACCATCAACTATGATGCTCGACACCTTTTTCTCCATCACTGTTCGCCTGATAGACTCTATACGATAATATCTCTCAGAGTGGGTCTTGAGACATCTTTTCAGGTATAGCAATCATTGGAGGTGTTGAAAATCATGTCGTTGTGGAGACATGAGTTTCTTCGTCTTGGGAATTGTGCTCGATTGGAGACTCGACATAGATTCGTAGCTTTCCAAGGACACTTGCAGTTTGCAATTTGCATCAATATTCGCCAAGATGTTCGATTTGCGATAGGAACTGACTAGAATTCGAGACATACCATGATATGAAGTGAATACCCCTTAAGTCGTTGCTGCAACCAGAACAACTAAGCCTTCCTTGCCACAGCGCGAAGCCTAACATAATTGAGATACTGACTCCCATCCTCCTCTCTCGTAACCACAGTCTCCAAAACATCACAAACCTGCCTCACGACATCCTCCCTCTTGCTTTCCTCTACAACACTCAACATCTCTGCCCCCATCAATTTTATCCATCCTTCCAAGCCACCAGACCCATCTGCAGATTTCGGAGTACATTTAGTAGGTCTATACTCCAATTCGCATTTTTCGACTTCGAAGCCGGTCTTTTGCAATTGCCGCGTCATCCATGTATCGCTGGGGAAGAACCAAGGACACGACTCTCTAGCGGTGGAAAGAGCGTAGCCGTTTGCTACTAGGACGGAGAGGATAGTGGAGTGGACGGCTTCCACGTTGCCTTTTCCTCCCATCTCGAATACAAAGATACCACCCGGTTTCAGAGCCGAGTAAACGTCTTTGAACACTGCATCCCTAGTGCTGGGTTCGCGTAGAATCCAATGTAGTGCAGCATTACTGAATACTTTATCCCAAGAGCCGTCGACCGCCTCAGCACACTCGGCGATACGGCGACAATCTTGGAGTTTGAAGTTGCAGTTTTGACTCGTGTGGTTTTCTTGTGCTGTTTGAATGAAGGAGGCTGATGCATCCAGACCGAGGATGTGGCCTTGTGGTATGGAAGCAGCGATTTGAGCGGTCAAGGGTCCGTCGCCGCAGCCGATGTCGAGGATTTTGTCGGTTGGCTGGGCCGAGAGGTAGGAAATAACGGTGGTTGTGAGTTTTGGGACGAACCCTGCAGCTTTTGAATAGGCCTGGTCTTATGTCAGACTCCTGCTTCAAGCGACACAAGATATATGGCATGAAGCATGTTATATGTTCTGTCTCGAAGTTCCGTATCAGTGGGCATAGAAGAGATGATTGACATACCTCAGCAGACCATTTATCGTTGGATTGACTCATGTTGTGATATTGCCAGAAGATGATGAACTGCGAAATGGAATGACCTGGGTTGCTTGTATTGATATATCAACCTCATAGATGTACTTGGACAGATGCGGAGGTGAGCATGTGTTGCGACATCGGGGCACCAACGCCGCGATCGGCATCCCTTCTATCAACCATCCAGGCAGGACCAACGCACCCAATCGCTCAATGCGTGGTACCATTATTGATCAGGTTCTTCCGTTTCATCAACTCACCAAGCGGCACGTCGTCCTCGTCATAGAACTCAACATCTTCGTCAACACCAAAGTCTTCTAATCTTTCACCCTCCGAGTTTCGCCAGCCCTCTTCACCTTCCCCTGGCTTTGGCTGCCAATCATGTGAATCTTGCTCGTGCTCTTCGCCGTCCGAGTCGTTATCAGTGCCGTAAGCATAGTCTTCGTCGCGACGTCTTTGGCTGCTTTTCTTATCGTATCGCACATGGAAAGGCTGCCTGCGGCGAAGCTCAGAAGTATCTGTATCGAACGAAGGACGCATGCGATCAGCCTGTTGCCTCTTGTAAAACTCGTCCGGGTCCATGGAATGGGTAAATGCTTTTGATGGATCGAAAGCTCTCTCTGTAGGCGCAATGCGGAACATGCGATCCGGATCTGGCGGAGGCCATGTAGTACCAGGAGCTACCATATATTAGCCCTGGCGCATCGAATATCAGCAAACACATACCCTCGAGACCATTATCTCTGAACTCTAGTCCACTCTCCACGGATGGAGTGAAGGAAAACGGCCAGAACCAGGCAAGAGGATTCCAGCTACCCATGCCTTGAGCAATGTTTGAGAAGATTCCAATGTCCCATGGATATTCCTGTCTGGTGATGCGTATCTTGGCTCCATTAGGGCCTTCGAGAACTCCACCAAGATACCTCGCGCGACGAAGCAGTGTCTCGTGTCGCTCAATCTCCCAACCCTCGATAGTGGTTGTGTTCGCCCCCAAACACCACAGAGTGCGAGCGAGCAGAATGAACAACGCAAAGACGACCACAGAATTCAAAGCGGTAATGAAGAAAAGGCCGAACATCAGGCCTGGGCTTGGACCAAGATACTAGAACGACAATGAGATGATGGCAGACGTTGCAGCACATAAACAACATACACTTGGTAGATCGCTCTGCGTCCATAGATGATACATCCGCGACCCAAGAAGACATTCGAGATGTGACATGCCAGCAACAGCATAGAACAAGAAGCGAACAAAGTGCGGAAATGTAGTATGAGAAACGCAATTGGCTGTCCAAGGGCTAAGAGAGTAAGAACGATGTTGGCGAAACAGATATGGGTAAGACCTACCAGTGGTGATCCATCCTGGGGATACACCTTGTATTGTCAGATGAGAGACGAGGTCTGCTATGTTCTAAGAAGCGACAAACCTTTCACATGTCTTGCAGTGATGAGCCCGCGGGGGCTTAAAGGCCTGGCACTTACGACACCATCTTTGACGCTGACGTTCCTCCTCCGAGTTTTTGCCTCTGACTGATTCGCTCTGCTTTGGCACCCAATCTTTGGGAATTCTACCAGGGTCCGTGAAGCATGCCTTGTAGTAGCAATAAATGATTACCGCGGCATATACATGGAGTATGATGGATTGTCGTTGGGTCAGGGGCTGAGGTCCCAGTCGTCGAAGTAGCCACAACGATGGATATGCTATGAGGCAGACGAGAAAAGTCACAGCAGGTATTGCACACTGCTGTATGGTAAAAAAGGGCATGGTGGATGGTCGGCTTTGGTAGCAAAACTCGTCGATTCGAGGAGCTTCGGCGGAGCGATACAAGCAGCAAGTGGTCGGTGCGATCGATCGGGACCAGCCTCCCACTCCCGTGCAGACAACAGAAGAAAGTGCAGGGAGCAGAAGCGTACCTGCCCAGCAACCAATGTTGTGATCTTTAGCACAGAGGAGATGGACGGTATGCAGTTTTTTCTGAGCTCCTTCCGAGGATCGATGTATAGAGTGATCATCAGAAGACGGGTATCAGGATGCTTGTTTCTGTCTGATGCAAGCGTTCTAGAACATGTTCGGTCGAAGATCTTGTGGGACGGTCGGTCAAAGCGTCAATTGCTCCAGGAAGTATTGTATCGCTTGCCGGAGGGAATTGCTTTTCGACCTTTGCTGTAGTCTTCCGTACCTGCATAGTTTCCAAGCACAGCTGCTCTCTTTGGACGACTCTGAAGATTGCCCGACGGCCGCAGCACATACAGCACGTACAAGGCAAAGTGGATCTTGTTGATTGCATTCTTGAAGCGTATAAGCTTTGAAACGTTGGCAAGGATATTGGAATTTGGAAGCCGCGCCAGCAGCTGCGCAAGGCGGTCGTTCACGCAGCAGTCTTGACAGCAGCCACCTTTAGCCGGCCACTCCCGCGCTCGACGATTCGTCTTTTCAGCTCTCATAGACTACGCGTACCAGTGCCATCTTCCCCTCGTCTTCCGGACAGACGCCCGCCGTCCATCACCAACTAGTTGGCCTTGTCAGGCAATGCGCGCGCCATAGCGTCGCAACCCTCACCAACGACATGGCTTCAGACGCACCCCGACACGCGAGACAGCCCTCTCCCTCGCCCAGACAGAGGAGCGCCATGAGACTGGACGACATGCCGGCTGGCAATCCTGGAGGCTATTTCGACCTTTCGACCTGCGACGAGGACTATCGAGACCACTCGCCGTCCTCTCCCTTGTCCATCCGTATTCCCTCGGGTCCCAGCATGACCGATACCGCCCTCACTGCCTTGCAGTACCTACCGATGCCTGTCTTGGTCCTTTCGAGCGAGAAAACAATCGTGCTAGCCAACGAGGCTATGGGCAGGTTGCTGGGAATAGATTTGCAGCAGTCGCCCGCAGTACCAGACAGCGCCGGGATCAACGAGCATGAGGATCTAAGAAGTGCCAGCGACGTCTTGGGTGGTGTGGCTATGGACAATCTCGGAATGGATCTTCTTCAGAATGCCAATCCGGTGTGGATGCGCTGGGAGGACTTTCTCAACACCATCAAACAAGACGCTATCGATGCCAGTGCCCAGTCCGAGGCAAAGTCGGATGGGGGTGACATTACACCCACTGCCGAGTCATATGATGGCTCGGCTGTGCGCCCAAGCCCTGTACCTCTGACCCGCGCCAATCTCGCTCGCACCACTGTACACGACGCCGCTGTCGATGTTGTCTTCTCCACCAACCGCAACCCTACCACTGGCCTTCCGCGGACCAAGGAGGTCAATCACGATGCTTCGGGCCACATCCAGGCCACTGTCATCATCACTGTCTGGTCTGCCGATGATGTAGACTATTATACCTTGATGTTCACTTCCGCTGCCGAAACTCAGTCTTCTTCTTCTCGCTCAAGTCACCGTACTGTTGCAAGAACCCATACAACCTTCTCTTCAGGTCTAGGCTCTGGATCAAGCTCTAGTTCGAGTGGCCGCCGTACTCAACACCAACACCGCACAAGTCTTTCTGGAAGCCCCTCCGTCTTCGCTCCCCAAGCTTTGCCCAGTGGACCGCCCTCTCTCACCACATCTGCTGCTGCTCCTTCGCTGTTCTCCAAATCCAACCGTCTAAAAGATGCTCTGCTGAACTCATTGAGTGACCCGGCCTTTGCCATGTGGAAAGATGAGTCCTTTGGTATTCCTAACAAAGCCGCAATCAGAATGGTCGACCCGGACAGCGAAGAAGGTATTACCGGAGTCCGAGACCAGCGTGATTTTCTTCAAAAGTATGTTCTTTGGAAGGAAGACTTTTCGGAATTGCTACCCATGAGCGAATTCCCTATCATGCACCTCATGACTACAGAAAAGCGATTCTCTGGCAGACGTCTAGGCATGCACCATCCCAAAACCGGGGCCAAGATAATCTATGATGTTGATGGCGAGACAATTACTGACAGCAAGACCGGCGAATTCCTCGGCGGCCTTGTCATTTTCCACAATGTTACCGAGTATGCCAATACCATCACTGCCCAGAAGGCCCAGAACGAACGTCAATTCGAAGACATCACCAACATGATTCCACAAATGATCTGGACAACAACTCCAACGGGCCAACATGATTACTATTCGAGAAGATGGTACGAATACACAGGCATGACAGTTGAGGCAAGTCTGGGCAATGGATGGGAGAACCCTTTCCACCCGGATGACATGGAGTTAACGGGAAAGAGATGGGCACACAGTTTAGCGACTGGAGAAGAGTACAGAACAGAGTACAGATGCCTTTCCTCTGATGGCGAGTGGCGCTGGATGTTAGGACGAGCGGTGCCTATGAAGGACGACACCGGCAAGATTGTCAAGTGGTTTGGCACTTGTACTGATATTCACGAGTTGGTACTTGCCCGTGAGGACGCACGACAAACGAAACTCCGACTCTCACAAGTCATCGAAATGGCCAAAATTACGCTATGGTCGGTAAACCCTGAGCGCAACCTGTCCATGCTTGAAGGCGCTATCGTTTGGAACGACAATTCCAAATCATCTGACGAAGAGATTCGAAGAAAAGCTATCGGCAAGAACGTTTTTGAGCTTTTCGACAAAGATGCCATTCTAGACGGTGACCATCACCGAGAATACATTGAGAATATCCTTACTGGTAAACAGATCGATGAAACTACAGAGTTGCATCTGAAGGAAACCAACAGATGGGTTCGTACAAGGTTTGTCCCGCTACAACGTATGGAACGTAACGCTGGTGTCGAAGGCGGCACCTTCGTTGACGGCGTTGTTGCTGTCAGTATGGATGTGACAGACTTGAGAAAAAGAGAAGAACAACTCCGAGAACGTGACCGAGAGAACTCGCGTCTGCTGGCACAGAGCGAGGCCGCTAAGGAAGCAAGCAAGATGAAATCGCAGTTCTTGGCTAACATGTCTCACGAGATCCGCACTCCCATCGCGGGTGTCATCGGTATGTCGGAACTCTTACTGGACGACACTGAAAGCACTTTAACCGAAGAACAACGCGAGTGTGCCGAGAACCTACAACGATCTGCTAACGGTCTGCTCACCGTCATCAACGACATTCTGGATTTCTCCAAGGTCGAAAGTGGCCGACTAGATATCGAGGATGTTCAATTTGACCTAAATGTCGTTGTACGCGACGTCAACAAGATGCTCACGTTCGCGGCCGAACGCAAGGGCCTAATGTATGTCGACGAGACTCAGGAGCTAGAACGCCTCAAGGTCATGGGTGACCCAGGCCGATTACGACAGATCCTGACAAATCTCCTTACCAACTCGATCAAGTTTACCTCAGAGGGCAGCGTGACAATGCAGGTCAAGATTAGAGAGGAAACTGCCGAGACGGTGGCTGTGGAATTCACTGTCGAAGATACTGGTATTGGAATTGAAGAAGAGGTTCGGAAAAGACTCTTCCAACCTTTCTCACAAGCCGATTCTAGCACTGCCAGGCGCTTTGGCGGAACTGGTCTCGGTTTGACCATCAGCAAGAACGTGAGTGGCATTCTTGAGAGATGATCGTTGACACGTACTGACTATGACAGTTGGTCGAGCTCATGCATGGTGAGATCTCACTCGAATCTTCCTTAGGTCTCGGTACAAAAGCATCGTTCTGGATTCCCTTCAACAAGGCAACATATTTATCCGGTGACTCGCCACTATTGGACATGGGCCCAATACCACACCGATTGCAATCCGAGCTATCAATCTCAGAATATAGTGGGCCACAACCCCCAGGCTCACCATTGAAACCAGGCCTCCGTCAAGCATCCCTCGATTCGCGACGAGGCTCTCCAGCGCATTTCGACGTGCCTCTAACGCTCTCAGACGAGGAGAGGCGGAACACTCAAGTCCTGGTTGTTGAAGGTCAGTAAATGTGACTGTAAACCTCTGAACAGCTTCCTGACGATCATTGCACAGATAATCCTATCAATCAACAGATTGCTCTGAAAACGATCAGAAAGCTCAAGTTCTCAGTCAATGCTGTATGGAACGGACAGGAAGCACTCGATTATCTTAGCAAACCTGAAAGTCCCGACCACCCAAGACCGGATGTTATTCTTATGGATGTCCAAATGCCTGTGATGGACGGTTACAAGGCGACATACACCATCCGACATTGCGAGCCTTTCATCGCGGATCAGCAGATCCAGAACACGCCCATTGTTGCAATGACCGCCAGTGCGATCCAAGGCGACCGCGAAAAGTGCGAAAATGCTGGAATGAATGATTATCTAGCAAAGCCTGTCAAGGGCAAGACCTTGGAGCAAATGCTGTTGAAGTGGGCTGTCGAGAAGAAACGCAAGGCGGCCCTGTCTTCGAGCCCAGCCGCCGCTGCGAGAGCCGTGGATGTCCCTCAGCCTGCTCTTCCAAGGAGTGTTGTGCAGAAGGAGCGAAAAACATCAGAAGATTCGCTTACCCCTAAGAAGGACCAAGGAGCCTCAGATGTCCTTGCAACAAAACTCAACAAGCTCAACTTCCAAAGCGATACGGTGTTTGCGCGTTCTGCGGAGACAGCAGAGAGTCGGTCGATGGACCGTTTACGGAATGAGGAGAAAGCGATGCAACTCCGTGATCAGCAGTTGTTTGCTAGCGCAGCTACACCCAAGAAGCTCTTGGGCGTTCTGGGAGACACAGCAACTCAGGAAGAAGCGACTGAGACCCGGCCTTCGGCCCTTACGCGTGAGAACATTGAAAAGCTGACTCGGAACGCACCCCTGGACCACGTAACCCAGCCAGATGTGGATACGTCGAGTCTAGATGTCACTGTGGACAGCAACACACAGTCACGTCCTGGGAGACCATCGATGGGGACACGGATGAAGTCAGATGGTGACAAGACAGTCCTGCCAGAGTGATAGATCTACTGAGCTGTTACAATAAGAGATGAGAGATGAGATTGGTGTTTTGGCATGGAACATAACTAAAAGAGGCATGTGACCCAAGGGCCTTTCAAAATGCATGGTTGGAACATATTGGCCGTGCATGCATAGCTTTGACTGTAATCCTTGACGATAGAATTGATTCCAACCCTGGATAATGGAGTTTTGACTGTGCGGCAGGCACCTGCACGTGGATGTCTGAATTGAGCATGCCTATCGCGCATGGGACAGACACTATTTCCATGCCCGGACCAATCTAACAGGGGAGCCATCTACATTCCATGGACTCAGATCCGATATTGAGTCTGCACGGATCGCATGCGACGGACGAAAGGCAACAAGGAGAAAACTTTACATAGAGCAAACCGGTATGCTATTCCAGATGTCCCTCTTACGGGCGTACAAGACAGTAGAGAGTGGGCGCACGCATGCGGACGACACGGGGAACAAGGTTTGAGCGATTCCACCAGAGCCAAGACACTGGTACAACCACCAAGGTGCGCATGGCAAATGCCATTGAATTGACCGGACCAAGCAAGATGTTCCACACTAAAGCACCAACGAGATGGGTCGGTCGGGGAAATGGGCTGTCGTTGCTCGGACATGTTGAGAGCACATGGGAAGTGCTTCGTTCGCACGACACAGAATCCACAATTCATGCCAACTTTATCTACAAAGACCTGGTCTGGGTCCCGTATCAAAGCATAAGAAATGTGTCCCCGACTATCAGCCGCATCTAATGGTCCCCATGTGGCGCGTGGCAACAGATCCCGCGTTTGACAGGCCTAGCAGAGCAAAAGGAGTCATGTTGAATGAATCGCAGACCGGAAGAGGACCATAGCACATCATGAAGGGGATAGTAAGGTGTCCAATTTGGACGAGCTTGGAATCAGGGAACGCAAGCAACATCAGATGCAGCCAACTAGCAGCCATAGCACGCATGTATCACACGCGCACCTAAGCATTCTTGTCTTTAAACGCCACCAATCGAGCAAGAAAGACTCATGTTGTTTCTTGCGGCCGTTATGAACGGCCCAGCTCCGACCTCGTGCTGCTGGGATTGTTTTTCTTCTTCTTGGGTCGATGGCTTCTGGTGCAAAAAGTCCCGACCGGCAGTGCAACCCTGGGTTGCGACGGTCGAGGGGGTACGAGCAAGAGCGGTGCACTTAAAGTGTGGCTGACGGAACGATCGGCATGTAGTGTGCCTTTTGACCGCAACGAGTTCTCTGGGCAGACAAGCGTAGCTTTCCACAGGCTTTTGTGGCGAGCAATGTTTCCACTAATCTTTAATCATGCTACCACGGAATCGAACAACGCTGTGGACCAGCACCGTTAGTGGCTTGCTCACACTCTCTAGGCGACGAAGCAAAAGCAAACGCCATAAAGTGTATAAGAGTCAGTGACGGATGTTTATTGGGGGGTTCCGGACATAGCATGACGGTTTGCATTTGGGAATTGGAACGCTTGCAGGACCGATTACGGCTGCGGCGTTTTTCGAAACATACCTTTGGCAGCTAAGCAGCTGCAAGTGGCTTGGGAGCATGAACCCAATGAAATGGCGTTGCTCACAACGAACAAGACAAGGGGTTGTGGGCTCACATTATGGTTAAATGACTTAGCTCTGCACGGAATCTCCACCTCCGAAAGCCACCGACCTGCCAGCCAAACGCCATGTCCAAGCTTCGCAGGTGCCAGCCAGTCAACGGCACGAGGGACTGAATCCGACAACGGCTTTTTTGCTTTCGTACGAAAGGACACCCGGTCGGACGAGAGAGACACACACTTGCAAGAGGCAAGCAGCTCTCGAGTGAAAAGTCAACTTGCCAGATGGTCCTTAAAGCTCAGACATTGAGCTGAGCAGGTGGAATGAGATTAAGGCCAGCGAAAGCCAGATGGTAAACAAATGTCTGTCAATAATGCCGCATGATGCACGGGACAAGTTCCAGGTAAACGGAGCGACAGATATCGAATCTCGTCTGGTTGGCAGCTGGAGGTGCTTAGAGTAGCAAGGGCTTGCAAGATGGTGAGGGCGTGCAAGATGTGGAGGTGGCAGTGTAAAGTTCGACACACAAGGTGAATCGCAATCAATTGAACCGCTCGCACTCGAGGAAGTGTATGCACAGCTAAAAGGCCACAGCTTGACGAGTCAAGAGGCACCGTTGCGCTAACCAAAGCTAGGGGTAGACGGAGTGGAGACGGCACGTCGACGGCGATTGGCTGCTAAGGTTGAACCCTGCAGTGAGCTAAGACAGCCACATCGGCCTGTAGGTCGACGTCAGTGGTGACTCGCTGAGGCAGGTGCGTATTTCTACCTCTGCTCCCCGCTGATCGTCGTTGGTGATCCTCTACATTTCACGAACTGGCCCACCTTTCCACCAAGACTTGAAACGACTACGGCCTCCGCACACATCTTAAGACCCAAGACCTCAAATCTCTTACCTCTTTCAGACTCGTCTGCTATCAGCACCCCAACCTCATCTACCCTTGCTCCGAAATCGCCTCGAGCTTCTCTCTGGCCCTAGCATCTCTCTCCTCTAGCGTTTAAGCTTTTTGGGCAGTCCACATTCAGAGGCTTAGCAAATCCCGCCTTTGGACGCGACACTTGAGCGTGCTTTCCTCAGAGGAAACTCGAAACACATAAACTCGCTGATCCCCTCGTTGGACGCACACTGATCGTCCTCTCCACGTTCTGTGAACCCCTCTCCAGCGTTGATCCCAAACCATCAACACACGCTTCGAGCCTCATCTCTCTACCAACCATCATCAACAACACTATCATTGTCTCTTCTTTACTCTTTTTCTCTCAATCCCCCTCGCATCTCTCTACACAATGGCAATGGCCGTCGACAACCGCCAGCAGGTCCCTGGCCACCTCTCCTACGACCACATGCGCTACCCCGCCGCACCGCATTTCACCAACCCATGGGTGTCTGCCGGTCCTGCGCCGAGCCACATGTACGCTACCTCGTTGCCTCAACCTTCGATGGTCAGCGATCCCGGCGCACATCACTTGGTGGCAAGAGCCCCCAGTGTCAGTGTGACCATGCCCATGCACTCGAGTGCCATGCCGGCTCCTACTCTGGCTTCAGGTATTGATTCTTTGGATGCTCTCTACGCGCAATCCAGCTTACCAGGCCAAGACGGCCTCAGTGCTCCTCGTCCCTATGGTTCGTCCTATGTCACATCGGCTCCCTCGTCTGGCGCCATGTACGCCCCGACCTCTGCTCCTCAATATGCCCGCGAGTACCCTCAGACCTCTTCATACGCCGCCTACAACCAGGACCGTCGCTCCTCGCACCCGTCAGTAGCTTCCGCCAGTTTCCTTGGAAACCCCGTGCTCGCTCAAAAGCACCGCCAGAGCAGCTTAATTGACGTCAACAGACTGAATGCCGCTCCCAATGAGACAGAGCAGCGCAGCAGCTTCAGTGATGCTCTTGATGCCAGCCGAGGCATGGTTGCCATGAGCCAAGACATCACTCCCAGAAACATCTATGGAAACCAGGGCTCCGCCAGAAGCTCAACCGACTCATATGGCTTCCCCTCTACACATTCAGCCCACTCTTCCATCTCATCCTCCAGCACCTACCCTTCATCATACTATGGATCTGTCAGCGAGGCTTCATACGGCGATTACAGCTCGGCAAGCGAGTCCGTCGACACATCATCTCGCACATTGCCCCGCCCTACTGCTCTGTCAGGGGGTGTTGCCATGCCTCCTGCACCTCAATCCATGATGGGTCAATTCAGCTCAAAGGTCTCTTCGAGTTCTCAGAAGAAGCACAAGTGCAAGATTTGCGATAAGCGCTTCACTCGTCCCAGCTCTCTTCAAACCCACATGTACAGCCACACTGGCGAGAAGCGTAAGTTCCCAGTGCACTAAGATATCACAAGAAACACCAGCTAACTTTATGGCAGCATTTGCATGCGATGTTGAGGGATGTGGCCGCCATTTCTCAGTCGTATCCAACCTTAGACGCCACCGCAAGGTACACAAGGGCGAAGACTCGCACGCCTCGCCGGATGACGAGTAAGCACAAAGCGCCTCCGCTTCTGTCTGACAACACCTCATCAACACCCTCGCATACGTTCAACATTCTGTTCAACGCCTTGTATCATCATCATTTGGTCTGGACACTACATTGTTCACGACCTAATCGTCATTGGCAATACCCGAATACGCTGGCGTCATTCACGCGCCTGCCTCCGATTCGGAAGATGTTCTTCTACTTTTCCAACCTGGAGCTTGGATCACGAACCTCATATCGAAACCTAATACCTTTCATCGTCAATCGCTACACTTTCTACTTGATACCCATGGATTTGGAGATGGCTTTTTGTGGATCCCACTATAGGCGTACATGGCGTTACTTTATCTGTTTTTGCTTTCCTACCCAAGACTGGCGGTATGTTCTGTACAATAGTATCAAAAGAGGGCGCTGCTACACGAGATGTGGCATACGCCCACAAGCTCTTATGATCTTGCAACAAATATTCAAACACTCTCAATTATTGTGACGTCCGTTCCACCGAGCACGACATCTCGGTTTCATGACTCTTCCCGGACTGCTGATCAAAACCTGCCAAAACATGACTCGATGCTTGATCGGAGCTGGAGGGTACGCTAGTCCGACGCCATCAACGTCTAAGGCTTGCGAAACGGGGTCGCGCCTTTTGGTCTGTGGTCCTTGGCGGCTAAGTTCGGTTCAATCTTGCCCAATGACGCGTGTTATATGGGGGGCCAGCATAATGGCCACCGAGGTGACCAGGGCCTAAAAGGTCAGGGTTTGAGACGCTGTACCCAATCAGAGAGCTTCGGACTGGGAGCGAGTATCCCCGGTGAGGCAATGATTGGCCACGCGGTGGCATTCCGCCGCTCGTCAGTGACACAAGTCTTGGGACTCCGAAAGGGCGCAACGCACCCTCCACACGCCGGCCGACCACTCGGGGACCTAAGCACAAACTGAGAAGGTCGATGATGATGATGTAACTCCGAGTGTGACGTTGATGAGAGATATTCCCAGGACCTAGAGACCGGTGCGTAGATTGCTGACAAGGGCAGACCTTGATCGTGCTGTATGTGGTCATCGCGGGGCTCTGTTGAGGACTCGTCTCTAATTTTTTAGGTTCTATTCTTTCATTTTGCGATTTGGCTTCTTATAGGCCGTATACAATGATGCTGATGACGGTGGTACAGCATCGTGATGAGAGGCTTGAATCGCCAACGACGAGAAGCAGCATGTCGAATTTAGTCAACGGACAAGAACCGCAACCTGCGTCAGGCCCATGAGTGGTCATGCAGACCCGTTGTGTTAGGTGGAAAAGCGTACCCACCGCTACGGTAACGACAATTTATCAATTTTTGTTTCTTCTCGTAGACAGTAGTGGGGTAGCTTGATGATGAACACGGTCGGCATACTTGGACTAATGAGAGATGCGATCAACTGAGGAGTGCGTGCGTGCGTGCGTCTGTGTCTGAACCAGTCATGAGCCGTGCCTCTACCATTCCACTCACCCAAAGGCATTCTCCCCGACTCCGCATAGAGGCTTCGTAAGAGTGCATATCAGAGACATGGAAGCGGTATGATATTCTCCAGGCTGGACCGTGCAGATACGAGATGCATCATGTAGGCACAACGATCCGAGTCCGACACACCATCAGATATGTTCTGTGCCTCTTGCATTGCGTGGACATCTCCACACAGCTTTGTGTGCGTTGTGGATAGATCCGCTGGCTGTCACACCTTGGACCGTCCGTCTGGAGCTTGAGAAGGCTTGACATGGGTCGGACAGAAGGGAAGCCACCATTACTGTGCGATATAATCGCTAATTATCTCTTACTCGAGGGCTTCTGCTTCGTCGATGATCGACTGCACGTTGCAGAGCCCATCTCGAGTGATGAAGCTCGGTTCATGTCCTCGAGCATTATCCCACCAACGATGTGGTTCGTATGCAGCAGGGATGTGTGATGGTCTTGTTCAAGCAGCCGTTTCACTCGTTTTCCTCCGCGACCGGCCATGCGTCTATACGATGTTACGTGTATGTGCTATCTGCGTTGCCTGTCAGATAGACCTGAATCTGGTGAGATTGCAGCAGGATCAAGTCGAGTGGGGGGTGCTGTCACAGCTTCGAAATTGATAGATGCCCCCTTTGGAAAGCAGTGTCTCGTAGGCTCTCTGCTAACAAGAACTTGTCTCCGCATAATATTGCAATGTCCAACAGCCATACCATATAGGAGCATTTATCAAGCTAGGGAGACTTGGCTCCAACGCGGCCCCCTTCTGTAAATCCAACTGCCCATGTCGCAGCCTGCAACATATTCCTTTCGACGTTCAAATCAACAATTTAACAGCATTGGAGAGCTGAAACACAACACTGGTATGAGGTGAGGTTGTACAAAAGACGATCAGTGATAGTCGTGTTCATCTACACGTGGAGTTCACATGGAGGATAGTCAGTTGATCCCACGGTTTCTCTCTGTCTGATTTTCACTTGGCCGTCCCGGTCGCATGGTTTCTCTCTCCTTTGCAACAGAATGATATTGTGAAGAGATGTACGCTCAAGCTGAACTCTGGAGGATCAAACTGACAATACTACGCCTTGCTGGGTTCTGGACTCTGGACTCGGATCGCAATGAAGAGTGTCAGACTCGGAGGGATCTCACTCTCAGCGTTGTATCGTGGGCTTGGCAAAGGGATGCATGACTGAGACTTGGTGGATGACGGCATAGACTTTAACCTTTTGTCTTCCTTCGACATCCGCAGCCTGGAACAAAAAGCACAGAAAAGGACCCTTGAATGGTTTTCTGTATACCACTTCCCTGCAGATCTGTTCAGATAGAACGACACGACATATCGAATTACTAATATCATATTTTCATTACCCATCGAATCACTTATACGATACCACGTCAAGGACTAGGTGACAGCGAACATGGCACCGGTCCATGTTCTTGATGATTACTATCTCGCGATCAGTTTCTTGATCACTCTTGGATATCAAGCCATTTTCTTTGGTATCTCTGTCGGATTCAAGACCGATCAGCTGAACGATGTTGCTGGCGGAACCAACTTTGTCCTCTTGGCCATCATCACAGTCTCTATGTACGGTGGCCACAATGCGCGTCAGATTGTCGACAGCATTTTCATAATGCTTTGGGGAGCACGTCTTGCGGGTTTTCTACTTTTCCGCATCATCAAGACTGGCAAGGACGATCGTTTCGATGACAAGCGTGGAAAGGTCCTGCCCATGCTAGGCTTCTACTCCTTCCAAACACTCTGGGTTAGTCACTATGACCTCTTGCTTTCTGGACGTTGCTGATGAGTTCGACGTCTAGGTCTGGACAGTCAGTATGCCTGTGACTATTTTGAACAGTCCCATTGTCAACAGATACCCGCAACCTGCCTTCAACAAAGCTACTGATATTTTGGCCGTGATTGGTTTCGCAATCGGCATCATCATGGAGACCGTCAGCGACATTCAAAAGTACAAATTCAAGCAGAACCACAAAGAGCGTGGTGCTGTATGCAACAAAGGCTTCTTTGCCTGGTCTCGCCATCCTAACTACTTCGCCGAGATTCTCATCCAATTCTGTAAGTTTTTGCCCTCGAAAAACCTGGCGATATCAACCTAATATCTTCATTCCAGCCATCTTCATGCTTGCCGTCACTCCTGCGTCTTACAACTATGTGCATGGCGGCGCAAAGGCAGCTCTGTTCGCCAGTATTGTCGGACCAATCTTCTTGACAACATTGCTGATGTTCGTGTCCGGTCTGACTCTACAAGAACGTCCTGGAGCCAAGAAGAGATATGAAAAGGGAGAAGGCTGGAACGAGTATGCTGCTTACCTCCACCAAACCAGCATGCTCATTCCCTTCCCGCCAGCCCTCTACAAGAGGATGCCTGTCATTCTCAAACGAACCTTGTTCCTCGAGTTCCCGATCTATGTGTTCGACCCAGCAAAGCATGCAGACCAGGAAGCTGTGCAGAGAAACGCAGAGGAAGGACACAATTGATATGTTTCGTAAATTAATAGTTTGATGATGGTATATGATGCATAGAATTGAGGGCTAACAGTACCGGTAATTATGATTATAGACTACACCTTAATGCAGATAATTCTTTTTGAAGGCCCCCGGACACACTGCTGCAGCATACATGACAAGATCGATCGATTCGAGACTCTCCCATTCGGGATTGTAGATCGGTATGGGTACTCTGCCCGCTTCCTCCCAGGCTGCAACTATCTGTTTGGCGATAGGATTCAGATCATCGGTCGAGTGGACTCCAATACCCAGACACGTTCCAAATTCTCTAAAAGCCAGGCGCTGGGTGATCGGCACATCTAGATAGTGTGTTTCGTGGAACACCCTTCGCATATCACGGATAGCGGCGTCTGCGAGTCCCGTTGCGCACTCGAGTTGATCAGAGTACCAGTGAGCAACCCAAAGTGCCATTCCAAGATCCAAAGTATCTGAGGAGGTATAGCTTTTCCATTTCTGGTCGACTATCCTCTGGTAGTCATGGATCTCGTCTTGTAATATGCTCGGGTTACTGCAAGTTTCTTGAAGTACGCGATAAGTAATGAGACCATTTATCGGGTCTAGGTTACCTTCACCACGGCACAGGGGATGAGATAGGTCCATCGACATCTTCCTGTGAATCCGATCAGAAAACCAACCACTCTTTATGCATTCTAGCGTTTGCTTACCAGACCATACGTGGAAATGGAGCATCTCGCTGATATACAAATGCAGGGTGTACTGCTTTTGCTAATGCCACAGCCTGGTCGTTGTAACTCGATTCGCCCGTCGCAATGGAAAGTCGATTGAGCGCAAACATCCACATGGTGAGGTAGTGATGATACTGTCCGTCTCCATCGGCTCCAGCGGCTTTAGTCTTGCCTATGCGCAGTCCACCAGCAAGCGGAGTCTGGTCCGAAGCTCCTGGTAGCCGGGCAGACGAATCTCGCGTTCGGCCAAGTGTGTCGTGTACTGTTTCAACGAGGATTGCGGCTAGGACTAGGAAATGAGGTTGTTTTGTTTCGACGAAAAGGGTGATGAAGTTGAGGACGCCAAAGGCATCGGTCCAGAGATATCGTCCCTGATGGCCTTGGCCTTGCTTCAAAGGCGGTGGTTTCCAGTCAAGCCTAGTGCAGTATCAGATTCAATTTCCGTGTCTATGCGGTGTCTCCATGGCATCAATGTTCGAGGATATGGTGCGAGAGGTGTCTTACTTGTCGTCTACAGCCATAGGGAAGTGATAAACTTGCTGCATAGCCGTGACAAACTTCTCCATATGCTTCGGTACCTCCATCATGGTAGCTAGCTGGCGAACTCTTGAAGGATTTCGAGGTTGGAAGTCAGTTGTCTCGATGCTCTGGGTTGGGGATCAACAGATAATCATGTACGGCTGCTGGATAGATTAGAATGTTACATAGGGTCGACGCCATTGTACCTCTGTACAACCGCATGTGGGATCATTCGGAGACTGTGTCCGAGCATGCACTTGTTGGAGCTAGCTGTTCGCCATAACCATGTTCTCGGAGCTGGTCGCGCCCAACCCTGCTTTTGAGAACATAGTTGCGTCAGAACGCATCAACTGTCCACCTTGTGGTGAATCCTCGAGTGTTAGCAGCGATGTGCGCAGTAAACACAAATAGAAGAGCAAAGCGGACCGGAGTACAGTTCTAAAGGTTGCAGATCAAGAGTCCGTGGTGCAGTGGTGTTTCCTTGAATCTCCAGTTTCACGTGCGAATGCCCCGCCAAGCCATGGTATACAAACAATCCTTCACCGACTCATCAACATAAGTTGACCACAACCAAAACACATAAAACATGTCAGATCTGGTGGATCAATGTCCTCTACCAGAGCTCGCAGAAGCTTTGAGACCATACATCAAACCGCGGGAGGAAATTGCTGAGATACGACGTGGCATAGACTCACTCCTGAGCCAACACATCAAGGATGACAATATTCCAATTTCGAAAGTGACACTGTCTATTGCCGAGACATCTGCACAATCTGCACTGAACAGTCCTTTCAACGGAGCACGAAGAGCTTTCATGCAAGCACTTATAGCCCGTCAAAAAGCACAATCTCAGTACGATGTTCTGAAAGCGGAATTGGATCTCCTGCAGCACACTCCCACGGAAAAGGAAAATCACGAGAAAGAGAACTCAGTAGCCACAACTGTAGCGCTCATTCGGCAAAGACAGCGACGAGACAAGCTTTTAGTCATCGACAAGGCACTGGACGATCTGGAAAAGGTCAGGCACACTTCACAATATGCGGATCCGAGCGAGCTATTGAATGGAATGCAATCACAAATACCACCACCTCTTGCGCAACAATCCCAGGATGAGTCACTAGCGGAGGCGCAGTCTCATGTGTTCGAGCTGCAGAAGGCTGTTCTGCGCGCGCAGAGCACTATCCAGTCAACACCACGCATTGATTCTTCTCAGAAGCCCGTCACGGAAGAGTGGAAACAAGCGTATGCGCTTCGACGAGCCCGAGACGAGTTGATCGCCTGGATCGAAGATGAGCTTGCAAAGTTGTCGGAGGGCGAAGAGCATGATGACCCTGATCCGGACATGCCAGGAGACATCGGAGCAGAGTCAATGGAAGATATTAAGACAACTCTTTCAGATCTCTACAACAAGTACATTACTTCACGAAAACGCCTTGCCCGTGTCCTGAACACCCAATACACGGAGACCGACTCGGAAATCATGAAGCCACTTCCTGAAAGACAACAATCAGCGAGCAGCAACACATCGTCACATAGTGCTGCACTTGCCTCAGAAGTTCTGCCTTTTATCGGCATCCTACGATCGACCGCACAGGAAGAAGCAGCCTTGATGCAACATACTTCTTACCTACGGCGACAAATTACCGCTGTTTCGGCTGAGACAGAGCAACTACTGGTTCGCCTGTCAGACGAAAGTCACATGGTCAGACCAGGTACATCACACACTACTGCCTGGGCCGAAGCAGCGAGAGATGCAAGAAATGGCGATAAAGACATTATCCACTCTCGTTTGGTAACTGGAGAAACAAGCATTGATGGTGCAAGGAAAGTTTTGGCTTCGGCTCAGATGAGCAGGTAAAAGGCTTTGGATTTCCAAAGGACAACTTTCTAGGATCTCAAGCTACCAATTGCTAAAATAAACACAAGCTCTTCTTAGAGCTTGGCTTTTGTACCCATCAGACTAAACTCAGTAGTACAAATCAATATCGTATCCTCCAAAGCCTAAGCGTATTCAAGTCAGCCATGATCAAATGAAGCCTGATAAATCTCTGAACCCCAAATACTCACCGGAAGCCTATATTTCTCATTAATAGCCTGATAGTCGTCGCCAGCAAGCATGTCAGCGAAGTGACGAATGCTAGCGTAGTGTACTATGGCCACCTCATTCCAACCACCCTTCTCGCCATCAGCAGCAATGACATTACCCACAATCTTTGCATCTCCACCGCGTTTCCCTGCCACTTCGATAAAATTCTGTCCATACTGGTAGTAGCTCTGTTTACCATCGGGTTTGAACTTTAACAGATTCAACATTGTAACAGGACCATCATGTTCCTTGAGAAGTTGCTCCATGAATTCCAACATGTCAGGCGACAGTTCCAAATTCTGGCTCGAGTCTGGCATTTTGGGGTTGTCGAGGGAGCCTGTCAGACCAGCTGAGGGAGCTTCCTTGATGAGTCTTGCATTCTTCTCTGGGTAAGCTGATAGTAGCTTTCCGGGTATGCCGACGGGAAGACTGTATTTTGAGGAGATGTGTTGGAGAACAGATTGTGGGAGTGAGTCCTTAGAACCTTGAAGAAGAAGCATCAGGTCCCAGGGCTTGTTCAGGATATCCGCATCTTGAGTAGTGGCTTTGACAACAAAGTGGCGTGGTTTTGATGCCACTATTACCTTGATAGATGGGTCGGCCTTCTGGAGGTGAGTGAGGAAGGTCTGGGGTTGGATGTCGTCGTTGAGGCGGAGAAGGTGGAAGTTCAGGAGAGGCATGGTCGTCAGTCTGTACAATTTCTCTTGGAGATGGTCTTGGTATGTGAAATTTGGATATTCGTTTGCTATGTAATGTGTCGATTCCTTGTCCGGATATCCGAGGACATTTGGTGCGGAGTCGTGCCTCGGAAGCTTCACTGATGGATCAGGGTCGCTCGACGTCACCGATAGTCAAAGTCAACAAGAGCGATCAACATATCCTCCTCTCATGTTGCTACATGTACCCACATGCTGAGTGAGCCCGAGAAGCGGATTCTTGTACAGCGAGAGCAAGAAAAGCTCTCTCTGGGCTTGTTTCTGATCTAGAGATAAATATGCATTTCTACATGTCTTGTCATAAGAGAAGTTTTACACAGACTGCTTTGTCTTCTACATTGCTCGTGCAGATTCCAGTAAGGCCAATGCTTTGGTATATTCGGCGCTGTCAGCGCCGCAACACTTGTTTTCAATGTCGAGGTCCTTCTCAGCCCATTTGATAGCGCTTTCCTTGCAGTCCATGGCAATATTGTACACGGCAGCAACCTCGTATGCTTCGCCCAGGGTATCTGTTTCTTCTAGCCCGTCCTCCAGCATGAGAGAGATGACCTGCTCCACGGTCGTGAGGGCCTCAGCGTAGTCCCATACTCCCCAATTCTCGAAGGATCTTTTGTTCTCTCTCCTATGCATGACAGTCGTAAGCTCTCCCAACTTGTTTCTGCGGGCCTCGCGAGCTGGATCCTGTGCTTCGCATGCTTCGCAACGGCATTTGAATCCCCAGTGTTGCAGCACGCGACGTCTTTCGGCCGTGTCATAACATATATCAATGTATGCAGTGCAAATCTCCTCTCCAGGAGGAATGTCGCGAAGAGCGTGTATAGTAAGACGATCGATGTTGGGGTTGTAGCGATGATAGACGTTGGGTAAGCATGAATGATTAAATCGCGCAGCCTGTAACCTGTCAGTATCTGCCCCATAACGGGAGATGGGCATAGAGAGGCTTACGTTCGGAAAGACGCCGAGTTTGTTGGGTGAGCCGTCGGGATAGCGCAAAGTGAAGCGGTTGGTCTCAAATCTCGAGTATGCCTCTTCGTACTTCTTGACCAGATCGTCAAAAGCATCACCTATGTCTTCTGGATCCTGTGTGTCAATACTGTCCGAGCATCATTCTAAGGACGATTCGCATACCATCACAGACGTCTCGTAGTTCGGCAACCCAATCAGTGTCCCCAGGAGGAGGAGTGGATGCTGCAAGAGTCCAGAAGAGCGATTGCTGGTCTAGAGATAGAGCCTTGATTGTAAGGTAACATTCAATGACATCGTCGTCGTCAGGAAGGGCAAAGAGCGGAGGTTCGCAAAGGATTCGAGTTCCCGATGGAATGTGGGCAACGGCGAAGACTCCAATGCCAGCAGTGGGCGATTGTCGCTGTTCGTAAAGACCGGAGAGAGTTGGGACTGTTGTAAGAGCCATGACTTACCAAGAGGCAGGAGAAGACTGGAAGACGAAGAAAAGAACGAGGTAACGCCTATTGCGTAATTGCTCGCCGAACCGAACCTACGGCGCAAGTGAAGAACCTACATGTGGTTGTCATATCTCAGGAACAACTCGAACGACAGGAATTGGTCGAGAGCTATGATGGACGAGCGTGGCATGCTTGGGAATGTTGTCGGTCGCTGACGAGGCTGGAGAAAGAATGACGGCTCGCGTGCGACGACGACGCTACACATCGACTTCAAGATTGGCAGGAACGCTCCCTCAACCACGTGTCGAACAACCACCATGTCGTCGCCGCATAAACTACCCCGTGTCGCCATCTCGTACTGTACTCAGTGCAAATGGATGCTACGAGCAGCATATTTCGCCCAGGAGCTGCTGTCGACCTTCGGGACAGCTATTGGCGAGATTGCCCTCATACCCGCTACTGGAGGCCTCTTCACCGTTCACCTGACACATGTACCACCTGGTTCCGCCGAGACCGCCGAAGCTCAAGAGATATTGCTATGGGATAGGAAGGCCGAGGGTGGATTTCCTGAAGCCAAGATATTGAAACAACGATTGAGGAATCATATTGAGCCGGGTCGCGACCTCGGTCACTCTGACAAGCCCTCCAAGACTCAGAATTCGGACACAACTGCACAACCGACAGAGCCAACAGAGCCCGCTCAAAGCTCTGTCGCTGCTACAGCCGACGGCACAAAGGACTGCGAGGACTGTAAATAGAGCCTTCGCCTAGCTACATCATGCTACACTTTCGGCTGCTCAGTAGCTACATCTTGCTTCATCTCAGTCTAGCTACATCTCGTCATAAGACCATCACATCGTCCGCCGCAATTTTCTTCATGCTGCTTCAGCAGACTTCTCCTTCTCAGAAGTCTTTGCTTCGAGCGCTTCATGGAGTCTCTGCATCTCCCAGCGCAGGCCTTCAATAACAGAATCATCTCTGCCACGTTCATACTCGACCGTCGTCTGCAGAGTAGAGTCGAACACTTCATCCATCCCGTCCTCAACCTGAGCCTTGATCCGAGCTTTGAGCCTCTTATTCTCTGTATGTTGAGCTTGTAGCTGTCGGCGTAGCAGCAGTATCTCGACATCCGGACCATACATTCCCATGTTCTGTACAAGGCTAGCATGTGCTTGCCGAGTCTGACCAAGACGTTGATACAATCTCGGTGTTGAGCTTATCAAATGCTGCAACCGTTCAACCAAGGGGTCGTAGTGACATGAAGGGCCCCACAACATGTAGAGATTCGTGATCCAGTCTTCCAGGTAGTTGAGCTGCATGCTCAGGGAAAGCGACTCGGTACGGGCGTGGTCGCGGTCAGAGATCAGATGACGCATCTGTTCTGCTGTCTTGCTAGACTCCCATTGACGAAGATTCAACCCTGCTCTTATCAACGCTTGGCTTTCTGAGATCTCGTCTGAGAGACTTGTGATTTTTCTCTTTAGCATTTCGACCTCTTCTTCAGATTGTTGATCATGCGCGACTTGCTTGCTGACAGGATGCGTAAAGATCAACGCTCGAATCTCAATTGTCTCGGAGAGCATGTCTGTTGCTGTGTTGGGAATGTCGAAAGTTGCGCGGAGACATGTCGAGGAAGGCTGACTCTTGTCGCTGTCGTAGGTCTTGAACAACACGACGTCTTTCTCAGCCTGTTCGCTCATGTAGTACCAGTGGTATCCATCTCTGTACCTCACGTGACGCACAGGCGTGCCTGTATCGACTTTTGAAATATCCTTCAGCGAGTCGACTCCTCTGCCATCTGCGATCGCAATGGAAGACCTGGACATGACGCCCTTGATTGGCCTCCATATGCTAGAAACACTGATCAGGAAACTCGTCAATTCAAAAGCACATTCAGAAAAACAACCCACTTGATCAATCGGACCCTTCCAGTGAGGAGATAGTTGGCCTTCGTCTCGTCCGTCTCGTGTAACAGTGACTCCACGCTCGATGCGGTGTAATCGACGTGGACCGGTTGATTGCAACAATGGTCGAGCCCCTATTGACCGTGCTTATTAGGACAGGCCACTTACGAGGCTCACAGGATCCACCTACCTCGATACTGACCACATGTATCTCATCGCAGCCATCCACTTCCTGGCGCAACAAGTTTTCGATCTCTGGAACATAAACTTTCGTTATTTCCTGCTTTGATGCCCAGCCTTCGAATTTGGTTGGTGCTCTGACGAAGCGGAATCCTTGAAGGTCAAGGTTGAACTCCTCGTGAGCTCCGCGAACATCATGAATGGTTTCGAGTACACTCAAAGCGTTGACTGCGCATGATAGCTTCGTCTTTGATGGTTTGCCTGTTTCTTTCTCTCCATTGCGTTGCCCGTTGAGATAATGCAATCGGACGTGGACATCCTTTGGAAGCATCTTGCTGGATTACGAGAATACCGTATAGATTAAAGAATGAGGTGCTTTACTGAAAAGAGTTTTGGAAGCTTGAAGATTGGAAGAGGATTGGCCGTGGCCCTAGACAATACTCTTTTGCAGATTATTCGAGCAAGATGAAGCAGGCACGAGGTGAGGCACGCGCCAACACCAACTTCGTTGGCAGTCACCACGAGACCAGCGCATGAGAACGAGTGGACATAGCCCTCGCGGGAGACCATCTTGCAACTAATAATCTTCTTAAACTAAGATAGTGATATGGCAAACCAGAAGAATGCACAATTACTGTCCAGATCAGAAGCGGTTTCGAATGGTAAGCTTGCTGAAACAGATCTTCATAGCCAGCGCTGGAGTGTATTGAGAAGCATTGTGCAATCTCATAGCTAGGTACATGGTGGGTCGCGACAGTTGGCCGATGAAGGAGATGTTCTGGACGATCAGCAAGCGAACAAAGATGCATGGTCACGTGGGTGAATTGGTGGTCTAGCACGGCGCACGGGCCGGGTCTTTGGACGATAGATTCGACTAGAAGGTGAATCTATCGTCACCTACTCATAGACACGCCTCAAAACTCGCCCAGCTCCAATCCTCTTTCACTCTCTCGCCCATACTTCTCCAGCTCTCTCCTCTCTTCTCCAATCACCTACCAAGCTCCTACCGCAGCTTGACGCAAAAACTGTAGATCCGTCGAGCTGCACGAGATAGTTTTATATCGGCCTGTTTTACCGTCACTCTAGAGGTGAGACTCTGCCAAACCGTGAAAGATTGGTCGGCCACCCCGCTGTTGCTTCGCTCTGGATTCGTCGCATCGCAAGAAGCAGCGCTGACAGTCTTTCCTCACCAGACCTTTCCCAACTTCCCCTACCGCCAACTCTTATATCTGTCCGCTTCTTGGTTTCCTCACAATGGCTTCCGAATCCGCTATCAACGGCACCTTCGTCCCCCAGAACGGCTATGGCTCGATAGAGCAGTCTGGCTACACCGCTCCCAGCTACCCTTCCTCTTCCGCACCTGCTCAGTCGAACAACTCTGCCGCCGACATTCCCAAGGATGAGGTTGGTTGGTACTTTGTCGAGCAGTACTACACCACCCTCAGCCGCAGCCCCGAGAAGATTTACGTATGTCAACCACCAAACAAACCTGCGCGTAAAGCACTTTGATTGACTGGTCACAGCTCTTCTACAACAAGCGCTCACAATTCGTCTCCGGTAACGAGACTGAGAAGGTCGAAGTCTGCGTGGGACAACGAGTACGTCTTTTTCTGATCAGACCGCGCACAGGATTGTCGAGGGACTAACCGCTAGAACAGGCCATCAACGAGCGCATCAAGGAGCTCGACTTCTCCGAGTGCAAGGTTCGCGTCACCAATGTCGATTCGCAAGCCTCGGATGACCACATTGTCATCCAGGTCATCGGCGAGATTTCCAACAAGTCGGCCCCCCATAAGAAGTTCACCCAGACTTTCGTCCTCGCCGCCCAGACCAACGGCTACTTCGTCTTGAACGACATCTTCCGTTACATCATCGAGGAGGAGGATGAGGCCGAGGCAACCGAGGAGCCCGCTGCTGTCCAGGAGCCTGCTCAGGAGCCTGAGCACGAGACTCTGACCAGCTCTGAGGATCCCGTTGCCATCGAGAAGGATGCCGCCAAGGTTGACAAGGAGATCGAGGAGAAGATCATTGCCCAGAAGCCCGAGGAGGAGACCGCTGCTCCTGCCGCTGCCGTCGAGGAATCGACTAAGGCCGAGTCCGCTGAGGTCGCCCAGGCTGAAGAGACCCCCGCCGCTGCCGTCGCTGAGACCGTCGAGACTCCCGAGGTCGCTCCTGAGGCCACCAGTGAGGCCGCCCCCGAGGTTCCTGCCGCTCAGGAAGAGGAGAAGCCCAAGGACCCCGAACCTACTCCCGCTCCCCGCTCTCCCGTGAAGCAGACCGCCCAGCCCGCAAAGGCCGCTGCCCCTGCTAAGCCTGCTGCTCCCGCAGCCCCTGCCGCCCCCAAGACTTGGGCCAACCTCGCTGCTGCTGCTCACCGCGTCGCTACTCCTGTTTTCACTCCTCAGCCTTCTGCTTCTGCCGCCCCTGCTCAGACCAAGGCCGCTACCCAAACCGAGGCCGCCGCTAAGCCTGCACCCGCAGCACCCGCCCAGGAGGCTGCTACTGTCCCTGCACGCGAATCTTCTCCCGCTGCTCCCAGCGCTGACCAGCAGGAAGAGTGGACCAGCGTCGGCGACAAGAAGCAAAACAAGGGTCAGGCCGCTGCAGGTGCCCAAGAGACTCCTCAATACCGCGCCTACGTCAAGAACGTTCACGAGAGTATTACTCTTCCCACCTTGAGAGAGACTATTGAGAAGTATGGTGAGCTCCAGTACTTCGATGCCAACAGACCTAAGGTAAGCTTTGTGTTTCAAACCAAACGTCACAGTGACTGACTTGCGAATAGAACTGTGCCTTTGTCGATTTCAAGACCCTTGACGGCTACAAGGCCGCTCTTAAGGCCAGCCCTATTTCGATCGGTGAGCACGCTATCACCATCGAGGAGCGCCGTCCCAAGGACAACAGACCCTTCTTCCAGGGTGGCCGTGGTGGCGCCAGAGGTGGCCGCGGCGGTGCCAACCAGGCTCCTCGCGGTTCCTTCCAGGGTGGCCGTGGCGGCGGTTCCCAGAGAGGCCGTGGTGGTGCCGCCTCGCGCGGTCGCGGAGGTGCCCAAGCTGCCTAAACGCCTTCTACAAACATGAGCCGAAACCACAGAAGCGATTCGGCTCTCATCTGTAAAATATGACGCGATATGCCCTCCCTTTCGAAAAAGTTCTTTCTCAGCGGTAGAACGACTTGGAGACGGACTCCAGAGCCGTGGCGCGCTGCTCAAAACATCACACATTTGTCACTAATGCATAGCGGCGCGTGTTTCTCATTTATTTCTCTTTCCATTCTTCCGACTGTGTTTCTGTTGTTTGTTGCGGAGTTCCTTTGGCTTTGCAGTTTGTATCAACACGGTTGTGGCTTGGTTCTGGAGGGCGTGGATGGGATGTCGAAAAAGGAGACTTTTCCTCGGAGCACGCAGGTCATCTGGCGTAGTATGGCTCGAAGGGGTGATGGAAGAAACAGGCCAGGCTGGGCTGTGAGTTTTGTGCATGCTCTTCATGGATGATGGTAGATATGCAGAATGAACGATGACGTTTCTCATGACACTGTACTAGCTTGATCATCTCTGCTTTGAATTGGTTCACCTTTGAAGACTTGGAAACACGAATAGCACAGATGTTATAGGTCATACAACGGAGAGAGTGGTGGACGTTGGAAAGGTCCATGCGTATCGCATCGAGGCCGGCAAGCGGGACGATCAAGACCCCGTGGGGAATGCTCTTATCGTCATCATTCTGTGCCTGCGTGTTGCACTTGTCACAGGAGTGCGCTTGATCGAGCAGATTGGTCGTCTGATCGTATCATGAGCCTTGTCGTCGCCGTAGAACTTCCTTGTCACCACCCAGACGTCCTGGATCCGACATCATCGCCACCAACATCCCACCATGAGCCATTCCGAGCGAGCGTGGCCACGATTGAAGAAGCAGCCTGGTACTGATGCAGGTACCACACCGAACCCGGGACACGCGCAGCCACCGGCTACCTTCTTCTTGAGAAGCGAAAGAGATATGCAAAAAGCCGAGCAGGCCGAGAAGAGCAGCCGCCACCAGGACCATGACGAGGACAACAACTACGGTGTCGAGAGCTTGAACGAAACCCTGGAAGCTGCCTTTGCCCCTAGATCACCAGACCGACCATTGTCGCCGTCAAATACTGCGTCCGAGAAGAAGCGAAAGATTGGAAATCCTGTTCACCCCAAGATTGCTGCAGCTGCCCAGCGCATCATATCGTCCGAGGAGCGGCCTTCTTCGCGAACGGCCTCCATCTCATCCCCTGCACAAAGACCATTGACTCCATCGCCAACTCGTCGCCGCGTGCGAAGCGAATCTCTCACATCGCTGGGCCGTTCTTTTACCCCTCTACGTGCTAGCGATGACAGTACTCGATCACCAAGCGTGAAAAGCGTACGCCTTTCCGACGAAGAAGGGAGCATCATCGATGACACTGCTAGCCAGGCTCTCCACTCTTCGAGCGAGGATGACGATGTCTTTGCTGATGACACTCTGATCGAGTCGACCTCTCCTACTATGGCTCAGAGCAGTATACCTCAGTTGGTCATGCCCAGCATATCCATGCCTGCACGCCGACCCTTCACAGAACGAGGCAAGCGCATACCGCGGCTCAGAATCATGGTTGCAGGACCTTCTGGAATAGGCAAGACAAGCGTGATCAAAAGCATCGTTCAAGCGTGCGATGACATTGTTCATGTCGACCCTATCGTAGCCGTCGATTCATCCTCCGCCTCGGCTACGCGTGCAGATAATGTGCTCGAAACTCATGCTTCAACCAGATCTTACCCGTCTTGGTGGTCAGAGGAGATTGAGCAAGGCCGTGGTCTGAGACGTCGAAAGAGCATGGGAGATTCTATTCTGGAACGCAATATCTCTCTAATCGATACCCCTGGATGGGTCATGAGCGGCGCGAGCGATCAAGGGAACATGGCAGATGCGATCGACACCATCCGCGAAAATATTGAGGCTTCCTTCAGAAGAAACGCTCTAACGGGAGAGTTGAGCGATACAGATCTTCTGGGTGTTTTGAGTGGCAATGGAGGATTTCAAGTGGATGTCATACTCTACATGTTCTATCCGAGTAGGTTAAACGTGTTTCCAAACGGCTTGAGAGATCGCTGACAGTTTCCAGCATCCCACCAGATCAATCCTCCAGAAATCGATGTCCTTCGGCGCCTCTCTACACTCACTAATATAGTTCCTGTTATTGGCAGATCTGATACCTGCACGACTGATAATCTAATGGACACAAAGACAGCTATCCGGTCGAGTCTCGAAGCAGCTGGAATCAGAACGTTCACCTTCCACGCAGTGGATGCTCCTGATGCCTCCACGTCGTCGCCTTTTGCAGTGTCATCTGCCTTGAGCGAAGACGCAGAGACTATGGATGCGAGCGTGCTCATGTCCTCTGAGTACGTGCAGCCTTTGGTCTCGAGCGATCTTGACCAGTTAGTAAACCAGCTGTTCGATCCTGATAACGCCCAATGGCTACGACACTGTGCTGTCAAGAAGTTCATCCAATGGCGAAGGGATTATCTGAAGACATCGTTCGACTCACACAAACGCGAGCTTCGCGAGCTGGCGCTCGAGCGACTCGGCTGCTTACAAGACGCTGCACCGTCGTCTGTCTCTTCCATGTTTTCCTCGCCTTCAGGTTTCCTAGTGCCGCAAGTACCCACTCCAAGCCAGCGAGGGACATCGCCCACTCCCTTTAAGCTTGTGCCTGCTATGGGCACGACGTCGCAGTACGATTTCGGTCGTCGTGTCGATGCTCACAACGTTGACGTGGAAAGCATGCAATTGCCGCAGTGGGCGTATAACCTGAAGATTGCGCTGGACATCGAGAACCGGGAAAGAAAACAACTGACCATGGGTGCCCACGAACGAAACAATACCAACTCGGCCTTGATCAGATCTGGCCACGAGACATGCCCACATAGTAAGAGCAGTGAGCTTGGTAGCTTCGACCACCGAGATCCCCTAGGCTTGCTCGCACTGAGCCATCGACTGAAAGTCGGTAGATGGAGTCTTCTGCAGGTGGTCGGAGGGTGTGGTGCTGTAGCCACGATTTTGGTGTGGGCAACGAGGAATTGGGCGACCGTGTCAGAAGCGTTAGGTTTGAGCTCCCCGAGTGTACAGATTCCTGGGTATGCTGCAGTGTCAGCCAGGGAGAACAGCAGGGCCCCTCTTGAATTCTTCAAAGCCCTCCTGACCGGAGGCAAGTGGTAGTGGCATAGGCAAGGAGAGCTGATATGATAAAATGAATGAAACGAGACCAAGTACAACCATTGTAGCATGACTTTTCATGTGCCACGAGCAAGCGGAATGCGTGGTTCATGTGCTCCCTCCCTTGCCTTACAATACATCATACTGCCCGCACGTGGCGCCGATCGAGGCCACGTTGACGTGACAGTCGCACCGCTTGCAGGACAGATCCGTTACCTGTTTATTGAAACGTGCGTTCTAGCTCTATCCTGTAGTGGTGATACAACGAGACATGAAGGTGAATCGGTGGATGCCAGCAGACCCTGACTGGCGAGTAATCGTGTCAGTCAGGTTCTAAAGTCTGAAGCAAGATGGTAGAAAATCGTGTTCAGCGATTGCACCAGGCAGGGCCAGGATGTTTCTCAGCGGCATGATCCAACGTGTCGAGCGGTACAAAGGGGTCCGTCTTCCCGACACCATCTACAAGGATTGAAGAATGCATTTCGGGGATTGCTATTTGTCTCGTAGCTTCTTGATTCAAACGTACTCTGCTCCTTCTTGATATATCTTTGCCAGCAGATACAAGTTGCAATTGAACAATCCACTGGCCAGGCAGCGGGTGAGACATCATCGACGGCCGATATGAAAAGAGCGTTCTAATGACCATGCAGCTGACGACAAAAGAGCCTAACACAAGATCGAGAACTCCTGAATCTCCTCCGCATATAGACCTAGTCATGGTACGTACGATGAACAGGCCTTGTGCTCTTTTTCTCAATCGCCCGCTCGCATTTCATTGCCAATTCTTTTTGTGGGATTTTCCTTGTCTCGAGAGCCCCTCACCGTTTCCGTGTTTGCTTGCTACGCCAATATAACGCTTCGCTGATCTCCTGCCTCTGACATTCCAACCCTTTTGGCAGTCGAACGACTTGTCCTCAGCGCACAATCAGTCACTCAGATTCTCTACACACTCGGGCGCACCATCTCTGCACCCGTCAATCGCAATGAGCACTTCTTCCACCGTCACCAACAACACGGCCGATGCCAGCTTCAAGCAAGACGCATACCAAGGCTCGCCCTCGACAACCACCACCTATGACACCGACAAGATCGCCGTCGCTGAGCCCCGTACATCCATGAGCACCGTCGGATCCGCAGACCCTCGCACCCAAGACATCAAGTCATGGAAGGCTGGCTTCCAGCGCATGTCGGATGAGCGCCTCGAGAAACAGCGCTATCAGCTCAGCGAACAGAAGGTCGACGAAATCAACACCATCGCTCTGGGCGCAAAGGTTGAGCGCGCACTCGGCAGAAGAATGACTGGACAAGACGCGCAGTTCACACGCAGAGAGTCGCTGTCTGCTGCACCCCCTGCGCAAGGCCAGCAAGACCCCGTTGAGCTGCCCGATAAGAGAAGCGTCGAGATTGGCTCATAAACAAAGCAACGTCTGGCAGGATACGGCATTGGCTGAATATCGATCGGTCTACAACAATCATTTGCATGGGCTTGACCCTCTAGTCTGGATGAGCGGAATGGTTTTCATTTTTTTTTTTTTGATGGTCGGCGTCGATGGATACAGTTTCTTTGGGCATTGAACACAGGCGACGTGGTTTGGGGCCCTTGCATGCCCTTGTTTGGTCTTTTCGCGTGTGGTGATGCTCGATGGGGGGTTTCGTTTGACTGGCAGGGGTCACTGATATTGCATTTTAATCACTACAATCGAGCTGCATAATTTGAATTGATTCGGGAGGCTTTGCAAGTGGTTTCGAGCACCCTCATCAAGTGCATTGGCAGCAACCATGATGCTTGAACAGGCCAAGTCTTGCTCGGCAAGCGCGTAACCTTCTCCATCAATGGGAGCATGTATATTATCACCTTGAGGATGTTGTGTTTCGGACGGCCACTTTCGTCAGGAAAGTTTGCCTACAGTGTGGACTTTCTCTAGCTGAATCCGTGACGCTACAGATGCAATGAATACTCCGTGAGCAATTGAATGATGGGCAAACAAAGCTGCTATCCTGTGTCCAAGGGTTTGTAACGCATGTGACTATAGAAAAGCATAATAATTTCGAGCATCAAGACAGCGCCCGTTAAAATGCTATGTTCTGTCGGCTTGCTTCGGTAAGGTCTTCGGTGTGGAAGTGACCATGCCTTTTGATAACGAGGACACATCCCCAGACCTCCAATACTCGAATGAGATATTTGGAAATCTGAGCAGTTGGAAGGTTCGGGTGGCAACAAGGGTCGCCGCCCACAGGGATCCCCACAAAGTCTGGATTCATGGAGGTTACGAGAGACTGTAACGAGGGACTACAACGAGAGACTTCAACCACCTACCCATCCAGATTGTCAAAGTGATGGAATTGACTGTTCTAGCAGACATCAAGTCACATGCCGTAGTCAAAGTGAATGGTGAATGCTCATGTGCAAAATAGAGACTTCTAGTAGCATCTGCACCATTCGGCGGCTGCGTTGTCTGCGAGACCAAGAAGCTTGGACCAAGAGCCGGCGGTTCTCTCAAGGGCCGCTGATTCTTTTGGGTTCTATCTGGAAGCTTCCATCTTTTCGTGGAGTGAGGCGCATATTTGACGGGCACTCCTTCTTTTCCTCCCCTCTTCACATCACACCTCTTCTTTTCTCTTTCAGATACCCGGCTGTCTCTATCCCAGCAGTCACTTTTTGCTTTGCATCTCCGTGTTTGTCTCGTCTTTGAACCAATTCCCCCATCACCACCATCAACATGGCCGCCGAGACCTTCGAGTTCCAGGCTGAGATCTCTCAGCTGCTCTCGCTGATCATCAACACTGTCTACTCCAACAAGGAGATCTTCCTCAGAGAACTCATCTCCAACTCGTCTGATGCCCTTGACAAGATCCGCTATGAGGCTCTTTCCGACCCCAGCAAGCTCGACTCTGGCAAGGACTTGCGCATCGACATCATCCCCGACAAGGAGGCCAAGACTCTTACCATCCGCGACACTGGTATCGGTATGACCAAGGCTGTAAGTTATCAATGCACTCTCCAACACATCACTTGAACCGTGACTGACTGTTTCCCAGGACCTCGTCAACAACCTCGGTACGATCGCCCGTTCCGGTACCAAGCAGTTCATGGAGGCCCTCACCGCCGGTGCCGATATCTCCATGATCGGTCAGTTCGGTGTTGGTTTCTACTCTGCCTACCTTGTTGCCGACAAGGTCACCGTCACCTCCAAGAACAACGATGACGAGCAGTACCTCTGGGAGTCATCCGCCGGTGGCACCTTCACCCTCACCCAGGACACCGAGGGTGAGCAGCTTGGTCGCGGTACCAAGATGGTCCTTCACCTCAAGGACGAGCAGCTCGACTACCTGAACGAGGCCAAGATCAAGGAGGTCGTCAAGAAGCACTCCGAGTTCATCTCATACCCCATCTACCTCCATGTCCTCAAGGAGACCGAGACTGAGGTCCCCGATGAGGAGGCTGAGGAGAAGACCGAGGAGGGTGACGAGAAGAAGCCCAAGGTCGAGGAGGTCGACGATGAGGACGAGAAGAAGGAGAAGAAGACCAAGAAGGTCAAGGAGAGCAAGATCGAGGAGGAGGAGCTCAACAAGACCAAGCCCATCTGGACTCGCAACCCCGCCGACATCAGCCAGGAGGAGTACGGTTCATTCTACAAGTCGCTCAGCAACGACTGGGAGGACCACCTCGGTGTCAAGCACTTCTCTGTTGAGGGTCAGCTCGAGTTCCGCGCCATCCTCTTCGTTCCCAAGCGCGCTCCCTTCGATCTCTTCGAGACCAAGAAGACCAAGAACAACATCAAGCTCTACGTCCGCCGCGTCTTCATCACCGACGATGCCACCGACCTCATTCCCGAGTGGCTCTCGTTCGTCAAGGGTGTTGTCGACTCTGAGGATCTTCCCCTCAACCTGTCCCGTGAGACTCTTCAGCAGAACAAGATCATGAAGGTCATCAAGAAGAACATCGTCAAGAAGACTCTTGAGCTCTTCAACGAGATCGCTGAGGACCGCGAGCAGTTCGACAAGTTCTACACTGCTTTCAGCAAGAACCTCAAGCTCGGTATCCACGAGGACGCTCAGAACCGTCCCCAGCTCGCCAAGCTCCTCCGCTTCAACTCCACCAAGTCCCTCGACGAGATCACCTCCCTCCAGGACTACATCACTCGCATGCCCGAGCACCAGAAGCAAATGTACTACATCACCGGCGAGTCCCTCAAGGCCGTCCAGAAGTCTCCCTTCCTTGACGCCCTCAAGGAGAAGAACTTCGAAGTTCTCTTCCTTGTTGACCCCATCGATGAGTACGCCTTCACTCAGCTCAAGGAGTTCGAGGGCAAGAAGCTCGTTGACATCACCAAGGACTTCGAGCTCGAGGAGACCGAGGATGAGAAGAAGAAGCGTGAGGAGGAGGAGAAGGAGTACGAGTCTCTTGCCAAGAGCTTGAAGAACGTCCTCGGTGACAAGGTCGAGAAGGTCGTTGTTTCCCACAAGCTCTCCGGCTCTCCTTGCGCCATCCGTACTGGCCAGTTCGGTTGGTCCGCCAACATGGAGCGCATCATGAAGGCTCAGGCCCTCCGTGACACCTCCATGTCCTCGTACATGTCTTCCAAGAAGACTTTCGAGATCTCGCCCAACTCTCCTATCATCAAGGAGCTCAAGAAGAAGGTCGAGACCGACGGCGAGAACGACCGCACCGTCAAGTCCATTACCCAGCTTCTCTACGAGACCTCCCTTCTCGTCTCCGGCTTCACCATTGAGGAGCCCGCCGCTTACGCTGAGCGCATCCACAAGCTCGTCTCCCTCGGCCTTAACGTCGACGAGGAGGCCGAGACCACTGAGGAGGCCGCCAACACCGAGGCCCCTGCTGCCGAGGCCGCCGGTGAGTCCGCCATGGAGGAGGTTGACTAGATGCTCTTGACCACAGCCATCAGCATTATTTAATGTCGTCACGTCTTCTCTTTTTCTGTACTTCAAAATCGTTTTCTTAGATTTAATGTCCCTTGAGGAGGTCCTGGGCAGGAGGAGAAGGAGTTGATGAGACCTCGGGTTGATACAGATTTCTGGCATCGCATAGGCGTTTCGCAAACCTTTTCCAAATACAAAAATCCCAGTCCTCTGAACTCAACAATGACTTGCCCTTTCATACAATACATGTGATGATGTTGTTCTTCCTCCAATCGATTTCCTTGACTATGGTACCAGAGAGAGCTTGGACGTTTGTCTTGAGGCTCCGTTTCAGACTCTTGTCTACCCTGTCTCACGTCTACGAACGTTATAGCATCTCGCCTCATATCAATCCCGGAGCAACCATCGCTCTTCCTTTCTTGCGATGTCGCTCGATCCCAGCCATGGCGGAAGGAAGGAACGAAGCCACACAAGACGAACGATTGCGTGCTCGCTAATCATCAACCTGCCCCGCGCCTGAAAGAGGGGCAGGTGCCAGCCATCCTTGACTCTCAAGGCCAACAATTCTTCTCAGGTTCCCATTCTCTTGGTATCTCGAAGACACAAGCAGGCATAAAGAAGTCGACGAACATGGCTGGAGAAAAGACCCCTCATTTTGATACCTTGCAGCTGCATGCTGGTAAGGAAGACTGACCATTTTATGTCCCGGGTATAGAGCTGATCATACAACGACAAGGCCATGAACCAGACAGTGCTACCAATTCACGTGCTGTTCCTATATATGCAACTACAGTATGGAGAGACTGAAAGTTACACACAAGGCCATACACTAAACGTTCTTTACAGTCCTATGTCTTCAATGACTCTGCACATGGAGCTCGCCTATTCGGCCTGAAGGAGTCAGGTAATATCTACAGCAGAATTATGAACCCTACTGTGGATGTTCTCGAAAAGAGAATCGCAGCCCTCGAAGGTGGTGCTGCAGCCGTTGCAGCATCTTCTGGTCAATCGGCCCAGTTCATGGCCATTGCGGCACTTGCTCATGCAGGTGACAATATTGTCTCGACTTCCAACCTCTACGGTGGAACTTACAACCAGCTCAAGGTCTTTCTTCCGAGATTGGGCATCAAAACGAAGTTTGTGAACGGTGACAATGCGGATGACTTCAAGAAGGCTATCGACGACAAGACTAAAGCTGTGTATGTTGAGAGCATTGGGAACCCGCGATACAACGTACCCGACTTCGAAGCAATCGTCAAGATCGCGCATGAAGCTGGTGTGCCGGTCATTGTCGACAACACTTTCGGTGCCGGCGGATACTTCTGTCGTCCTATCGATCATGGAGTCGACATTGTTGTCCACAGTGCTACCAAATGGATTGGCGGACATGGCACTACTGTCGGAGGAATTGTAGTCGATGCTGGCCGCTTCGACTGGGGCACTCCCGAGGCAAGAAAGCGATTTCCTGAGATGAGTGAACCTTCGGAAGGTTTCCACGGCCTCAAATTCTGGGATGCTGTCGGCAAGCTAGCTTTCATCGTTCGAGTCCGCGTGGAGATACTTCGCGACGGCGGTATGGCTCTCAACCCTTTCGCAGCCCAGCAACTTCTACTGGGTGTGGAGACTTTGAGTCTACGCTGCGAAAGACATGCTCAGAACTCGCTTGCACTGGCACAGTGGCTTGAGAAGAATGAGAACATTTCCTGGGTCAGCTATCCTGGTTTGAAGAGCCACGCTAGTCACGAGCTGGCCAAGAAGTACCTCCCAAGAGGTTTCGGAGGTGTGCTTTCCTTTGGTGTCAAGGGAGATGCCAACGCCGGCAGTCAAGTTGTTGACAATTTCAAATTGATATCGAACCTTGCAAATGTTGGCGATGCAAAGACATTGGCAATCCGTAAGTTGACCAGAGAGTCTTCGAAAGGTTTGCGCTTATCTTGCTAACCCATGTTCTACAGATCCTTGGAGTACCACTCACGAGCAATTGAGCGACGAGGAAAAGATCAACAGCGGAGTCACTGAGGACCTTATCCGTATTTCTGTTGGCATCGAGCACATTGACGACATCATCGCAGACTTTGAACAGTCTTTCGCAGCATCCAAGGCTGGACCCAAAGGCGAAGATCATCCCGAAAATGCTGACAAGAAGCCTGATGCGGACGAGCCAACGAGACTCGAAGTGTAGAGAGTGGATAATGCGGGAGTAATGCAATCAACGAAGTTTTCCACCGTTGGCTTTTACCTTACATACCACCATCTCGAACCATCATGCCAGTCGACCTTTTAAGATTGAAAAGGACTCATAAGATTGGGGACAACAAAGGCTGCTCGTGAACTTTGACCAGGCAATGTGGAAACACCACACAACGTGCTCATAGACTTTCAACACTCGTATGTTTCAATCTATGGCATCCTCCAGTACCTATATAATCATGATCAGAGCCTTGTACCGCTGACTTTCATCCTCGCACATCAACCATGTTCGTCCTCAAATTCTTCGGGCTCGTCGCTGCTATGGCAGTTGTCGTCAATGCTGCACCCGTGGATGACCCACATCCCATTCATCAACTGACACCCGAAGAGGAAGCTGCACAGGAAGCTGCTTTTGCAGCCATGAGCTTGGAGCAAAGACTGGTGTATCACTCTGAGCACAAGGTCTACAAACCCGAGGGGACAGTCAAGTGTCTTGTAAGTACCTGTACCAGAAGACATGCTGGTCAAATGGCTGATCCAACGATGATTACAGAAGGAGTGCATCGGAGACGCTCCTGGTTATCCTATCCATACCGCTACCTATGGAGAGGTGTGCAAGAACGACAAGACTCAGTCGGACCTGATAGTTTGGCTGCGCGAAAAGGTTCGTCCTTGCATCGAGACCAAGAGGTATGCAGGAGACTCGGACCGTCTCTCAGAAGACAACACACCGTGTAATTCGGGTACGTTTTCCAAGTTTCGTGTACAGAGGGTTGGGTTTATTGTGTACTGACGAGACTCAAAACAGCCTTCAGCTTTTTCGAAAGCAGAATCGACGACATGTGCGCATACATACAACAAGAGCTCAGCCACACCCAGCGTGAAGATACTTGGGAAGAGTGAAGCAGTGGTGATGGTGGAAAGCTCTCAAGGTTTGGTGAGGTGGTTTTGATGTATTGGAATCGATGGCTTTCTTCAACGTATTGTACAACTTCTCGGTTTGCTTACAGTCCAACTCTGCATTGAGAGTGATGAAGAAGGTCGTGATGACTACTATGAAAGAATGCGATGAATTTACGATGCGATGCATGCATGTCGGTCGGAATTGTGGAAAGGTGTGGATGAATGGATAAGTAATTCTGCCAAGCAAGCGCACATCCGAGGCCGAATCGGCAGCAGCAGCAACAGGCATTTGGGCGTCTTCTCCGACCTTTGGTCTTGCGCTTCCACTTGACTTGATCCACTCAATTCACCTCACACAACTATCACAATGGCACCTCTCGGAGAGCAACTAGTAGACCAGCTCAAGGGCACCATCGACAAGCTCGAGACTCGCGTTGCCGAGCTTGAGGCCCGTCTTCACGGCAAGGCTCAATCAGCAGCCTCGTCCTTGTCCTCGAACTCGGATGAGATGAGAATCATCCTTATGGGTCCCCCTGGTGCCGGTATGCGCGATTGCACGCCTCCTCTCTGTTTTCTTCCGCGACTGACCGGCGACTAGGCAAGGGTACCCAGGCCCCCAAGATCAAGGAAAAGTACAACGTCTGCCATTTGGTGCGTCTGCCCGAACACGCTGCTACGAAGGAAGCCACCCACGACTAACGCGCGCGCAGGCTACCGGTGACATGCTCCGCGCTCAGGTCGCAAAGAAGACCGAGTTGGGCAGACAGGCCAAGAAGATCATGGACCAGGGCGGTCTCGTCAGCGACGAGATCATGATTGGCATGATCAAGAGCGAGCTCGAGAACAACTCCGAGTGCAAGAGCGGCTTCATCCTCGACGGCTTCCCTCGCACTGTCGCCCAGGCCGAGCGCCTCGACGCCATGCTCAAGGCCCGCCAGCAGTCGCTCAAGCACGCCGTTGAGCTCCGCATCGACGACGAGCTCCTCGTCTCCCGTATCACCGGCCGTCTCGTCCACCCCGCCTCCGGCCGCTCCTACCACAAGATCTTCAACCCTCCCCAGAAGTCCATGACCGACGACATCACCGGCGAGCCCCTCATCCAGCGTGCCGACGACAACGAGGCCACCCTCAAGAAGCGTCTGGCCACCTACCACGACCAGACTGCACCCGTCATCTCCTACTACCAGAAGACCAACATCTGGAGAGGCATTGACGCCAGCCAGGAGCCCGGAGCCGTGTGGAAGAACATCCTGGGCGTCTTCGAGAAGGGCGGCAACGGTAACATCCCCGCCTCGGGCAGCCTTCTCCAGAAGATTGGTCTCCAGAAGTAGACATTTGCTCCTAACGATCAACGAGAACAATCCATTTGCAGCGACGGCGAGGGTGAGTATGCTTTTACGCGGACATTTTCTGTACAATAAAACGAGACGCCATATTTGCTAGGTTGTCTTTGTATTTTGAATCACAAAAGTCGGCACAATTGGACACCTTTTTTTTCAATCTTCCTACTTCCGGATTTGGGGCAGGAGCGTATAGACCAAAATCCAGCCTCGCTCTTTCCATCTTGCACGCCTAGCTCCTCTCTTTATCTGCACCTGACTCTTCCCTTTGACACTTCCCTCTTACATGCCTTTGCAAACAGCCATCGTCCTCAGTCTGGAGACCATGACTGCGCTATCACCCCATCCAATTCCAACGAGCACTCAGATCCGCCATTCGGCGCCCGTCCGTCATTCGTACATTTCCGCTCGTTTTCTCGTCAAACTAACCTTGTCTTAGATGGGACTCTTCTCGGCACATCGCAGGCGTACCGACGGTGCCTCCGAGTATGTCACATCTCGCCTTTGGCGTGACACACCAATCTGACATCAGACGCAGTCCCGATCCATCAACGCCAGTCAAGCCCCTCGGGCAGCCAAAGTATACCATCACAAAAGAGACTCCACCCTCGTCCTCGAAGCTTGCCAGCAGACCTCCCACTCCAGTTCCAGACTGTCCACCACCTCCTTTGACCAGACCATCTACCGTCAGCAACCTCAACGCTCCGCCAACTGTCTCTTCCAACATCCAGCAATCAGTATCGAAACCCTCATTTGCCGCTCATGAAGCACCATCGCCCTCTTCCACGGCCTTGCTACCTCTAGACGTTCCAAAATATCGCTTCCCGCCTACTCCTCCTCTGCCCAAGGAATGGAATGGAACTCACGATCATGCAATGTGTGTTCTCGATACCTGCAACTACTCTCTCAACGCCATCGTCAAGAAGCTCCGAAGTGCTTTCCCTGAGCTCTCCAAAGCTCCCTTGACTCCAACTATGGTCGACAAACGTCTGCGTGTCCTCGATCAGAATCCTGACATTGACTACTTCCGTACTGGCCTTGAGCATGCCAATCGCGAAGGCATGGAGAAGGCACGTCGTGGCAAGGCCATCAGCACTGGCACTGGCCCTTCCGGCTACGACACACGAATCCCAGCCGATCCAAGGGTCTCGACTCTTACATCTCCCACGTCTACCATCGATAGCAGCTTCTTGAGCAGCGTACCAAGTCTTCCTGACCTTCCAAAGACGCCGAGAGAAGCTCACCATGAGTCGGGTCTCTCCACAAAGACCACCGACTCTCTCACCTCTCAAGCTCGTCACTTTACTCGGCCGTTTGACATTGGTTTTCTATCCCACAGAACCCTTGCTTCTGAAAAAGACGAGTCGGAAAGATGATTTGACGAGATGGACGGTTCCGAGTGCTGGGCTGCCAGCAGTCTGTGAGCAGGGGCGTGTTATTGACAATACAACTATACAAACTAATGGATCGGTTGAGACGGATTATGATCAGATACTAGAGCTTATAGATTCACACGTATGAAAGTAATCGTAGTGGGTGTTCGAGTATCTCTCTCTGACTTCCACATTTAATCCGTGACCTCAAAACGAGCCACTTGATTTTGTTGTCGAATGCTGACTTTCTCCACCACGCCTCATCTGCTTGCTAAGACAAAACGGCTAGCCATCACATGCCTTCATTGGCAAATAAGATTGAAGTGCAAAGACGGTGTCGTGGAAATATGTTGATGGGTAAACATGACCAGGGTCATCCCATTTCCATCCGCAACTGGTACTGCGAAAAAAAAAAAAAGCAACACACAGCCAAGCAACGTGTCAGAAAAGACATTGAAAGAAGCCCCTATATGACCCACGGCGATTCCTCGCAAAAAACCATAGTCATCCGGCATAACAAGCAACTAAGCTTACAGACAAACCATATGTTAATAGGATGGGATGGAAGAGAAAGATGGATGGCTATGACTGTGCAAGAACGGCAAACAACACCTGAAGAGAGAGGCAAAGGAAGGACATGACACAAGAAAGGCATTCATGCTTTTTTCTTCTTCTCATCATATATAATTATACACAATAAGGAGGAGTGAGGCTAAGAGATGAGGACATCCAAAGAAACAATAGGTATGCAAAGACAATCGACATGCAAAGTCATTCATCAATCATCAGATATCGTCATCTTCATCAGCAGCTGCCGCAGAAGCATTTTTCTTGCCCTCGCTGTTTAGCGTGTCCATTCTGTTTCTACCAGTCAGCATTCTTACTCATCAGAGATATCAAAGGGGGGAAAAAGGAGATGGTCTTACCTGTATTGTTCACGCTCAGAAGGTTTGCTGCCAGACATGGCCATGGCTTGACGACCAGTATCAGATGTCTCGAGGAACTCGCGCAGACGCTCCTTGAACACCACAATGCCTTGTGCGCTAGCAGCGTTGCTCATGCGGATGATTGGGCCCCAGAGGTTGAGTGTGTAGGTGACATAACCACCAACACCGAGAAGAATGAGGAAGACAAAGTACAGAGGGTTGCGAAGGACTGTATTTAGACTGTTAGCATATAACAAAAAGGAAAAGCTGAGAAGGGAAAGAGGAAACATACCTGCGACAATCTCGTTCCAGCCCAGAGCGAGCAAGAGACCGTAGAAGTAAAGAGGTACTTGAGTGACACCGCCAATCGCACTACGCTTGGCTTCGACATAAACGCCATCAGCAGTCTTCTTGAACCGCACGCTGAGATCCTGCTTCTTCGCATCGCTGAGGACAGTCATTTCCTCGTCGAGGGTCTTGCCGTCTTCTTCGTCGACACCACCGATAGGATGCAAGTCCTCTTCGTCAGCAGCAGAAAGCTCGGCAGGTGTCTGGCCGATCCACTCTTCAAGCGGCGGCAAAGACTTTGTTTCATGAAGCCTGAACTTTGAAAGCAGAGGAATGAGCTCGAGAGTGCTTTCCCTCGCACGCGTGTAGATACCCTCGATATCGTCAGAGGGACGCCAGATACGGGGCACGCCTTCCTCGTCATAGCGGAACTTGTCTTCAAAGTTTTCCCTAAGCTTGAGAAGAATGTTTCCTTCCATGACCTCCTCGTCAATCTTGGCCCTCAAAACACCCCAAGACTTGCGACGCAGGCGCCAAAGCCCGACTTCAACTTCTTCGGGGCTGGCATCGAAGCCCTTTGCGCGCTCGGTGAAGCGAGATTCTGCGTGCTTGACGGTTTCGGTGAAAACGAGCCAGATGCGGTCCCAGAGATCTTTCTCGATCGAACCTCTCTCACCGGTCTCGGGTGCACCAGAGCCACCGCGTCCTGAACCGATCTTGTTAAATTGCACACCGATAGACTCGCTGAGATGAGAGCGGACCCAGCGTTCTACGCGTGAAGCGAGACGGCGCATCTCGTCTTTGCGAAGTTTGCCGCTGGCCTCGTCAAGATCTTTGCGGTACAAGTCGAGCTCTTGCTTGTAGTTGCTCCATGAAGCACCTTCAATCACAAGGTCCGATGCTTCTTGCTCGTAGTTTTGGAGAGACTTTTGCTTCTCGGCGTTGACAATCTTCTGGAAATCGTAGTTGCTACCCTTCTTTTGACCAGCCTTGACTGCAGAAGAGACAGACTCGGTGAATTGTTGGACGCCAGTCTTGTGAGCTGCGGAAAGTTGGCCCTGGAAGAGAGTCTTCAGCCTAGCATCGACGTTGGTCTCGAGCTCGGCACTCTTGCGCTTGTAGACGCCCTGGTGATATCTGCTTGCCTCACCAGTGAAGTCCTTGAGCACCTTTGCGCGAGCTCCACTCATGGCTTTGCCGAGGCCTACGAGTACACTGGGAGAGCCAGACTTTGCAGCGTCCGCTTGCTTGGACTCGAGGGGAGTAATGACTTCGTCAAAGGCAACGAGTACCTCGCGAGCAATCTCGTCGCATCTGAATTGGGCCAAGAGCTCTTGCTGGGTTGGTAGATCGAGATCTTTGTTGCTGTCAATCTGCTCCCAGACGTTTCCAGCATACATGGAGAAGCCATCGGCGGGAATCCTGCGGTGGTACTCGGGCAGCAAGATAGGCTCAGCCTGCTCATCGGAGAAGGGGTTCGTCCTAGAACTCTTTTGGCCTTCGCGGAAGCGCGAACCCAACTTGGCGACGGACTCGATGAACTGTTCGGGCTGTAGAATCTTGTGGGGCAGAGCGGTGAAGGCAAAGTCAAAGTAGTCTTCAATCTTGGAGTTCTCGAGGCCAGGAGGTTTGGAGAGGGTGGACCAGATGCGGGTAAGGTCGGCAAGCAGAGTCTGACGCAGGTTGGACAGGGGAGTGGTGCCAATGTGGTCGCGAATGACAAAGAAGAGGAGCGATCGAGGCGTCGAGCTGTGGGAGAAGAAAGTCAGAGGATTGAAGACCAAAACAGGGGACATGCGCATGATCGTACTTGTTGTCCTTGAGGAACAATTGCAGGTTGACCTCGAAGACGGTCTTGAGCAGACCCATGTTGGCACCCTGGTACAGACCAACCTGGTGTTCCCAGATATTGACGATCAGGACCTCGCTGGTGGCCAATGCAAACAGGGCACTCTTGCGCTCAAAGTCCTGGTCCTCTCCACGTTCGCGGCCGTCGGTACCTTCGACGTCCATGACCAGGATGTTGTCTGCCATCTTGACGGCACCTCGTTCGGCCTGGTCGCGCTTGTTCTTGCTCATCCATATTCCTTTGGTGGTCTGGCGGCGTTCTGACTCGGACATGACACCAAAGTGGGTGCCGAAGAGGTGGTTGAGCAGAGTGCTCTTTCCGGTGCTCTGGCTGCCAAAGACGGAGATGAGGTGGTAGTTGAAGCCCTGGCGCAGGACATGTTCGGCGTCGAGGTATGCGGGCAGGTTTGCGTTGTACGTCTTGTTCTCGTCGATGACTTGGATGCCGTGCTCGAACGACTGCAGCTGCGTGTTGCTGTCGTCGCCGACGCTGGCGAAGTGGCCGTTAGCCGCTGTCATGATTGTCGGGGCCGAGGGCGAGTGCACAGGAGAGAGTCGTCGGTTGCCAGGTTGGACTCCAGAGGTGAGCGAGGCCATCGTCTGCAGCTTGCGGGATCCTTGATTGGCTGCCACGCTTAAACATGCGTCTGTTGTCACTGGCGAACGCCTGCCGCTCCCTGAATTGTCCCCCCCAGCCACACTGACATCACCCCTAGAAGTCGAACACAACATCATCACAACAATCATCACCCTCACCCCGTCATCTCATCGAGTCTTGTTTTCATATCAATCATCTCTCTTGTTTTTGTATATTCATGCTATTTCAAGCCGACCTTTTGTCCTTCGTCACATTACCACGTCTTTGCTCTGAGAAACCATTGATGCGCAATCTTCCGCCCATTACATCCCCGGCTTGCGTAAAAAAACATAGGAAAAAAAGAAAATAAAAAGACAACCGTCTTCAAATAGAAAATCTCCTGCCTTTCTGTTTTGTCGCCAATTCTTCTGCCTTTTTGCTCTCTGCTGAAACATTCATCTTTGTCGAAAGATAAAAAAGTGCTTTTGATCCATCCAAAAGGTTGCGCCAAAAGCGAGCTTCCTCCTTTTTCTGTCATAGACGGTGAAGAACTTCGACATGACAGATGCCTGTGAGAACGACTGACTAAATGAAAAGATACTAACATGCTGGAGCTAGACGATGATGCGTTCGTCTGCATCCATCATCAGACGCGCAGTGATATTCCTTATGTATGCAGCCAGCTCGTTTGTCATGCCAGCAATGCTCGTGCAACCACAAGATTTGCACACGAGAGCTTAGGTAGTGAGACATGGAGTATGTTGTGAAGATATCTGTTGTACACCAGGCCCAAACATGGTCGAGTAAACCACAAGATTGATGACCGTCGGCACATGCGAGGGTCTGAAGCTCAGCGGTGGGCTCCACCGTAAGGGAAGTTGCGACCACCGTTGAAAGGACGCTCGCCGAAACCGCCAGCGCTGCGACCAACGGGAATGCTAATGGGAGGGCCGGGACGAGTGGCGACAGCAGGGTTGGAGCAAAGCATGGCCACGCGCGAGCCGTACTTGGAGCCACGAAGGGAGACCATGTGCTTGCGAATGTGGGTAGCGACGACCTCACGACGCTGAGCATCGGCGTGACTCAGAATGTACTGAATCAAGTAGTTTCCGAACTGGTCGCCAGCGACGTCGATGAGAGGCATGCGAGGGCGGTCAGCGTGAGCCTCGCAGACACGGTCGAGGTAACGGTCAAGGAACTCGGTGCCACCAATCTTGAGGCACTTCTCGACAACCTTGCTGGCAAACTGGTCCATGCTGTACTCAGTAGCGAAGCGGAGGACGTGGTCAATGGCATGGTTGCGGTCAGGGATGGCGCCGTGCTCGCAGATGTGCTGGATGCACCAGTTGCCGAACTGACCATGAGCGATGACATCAATGCTGGCAAGAACCTCGTTGATGCAGGGACGCTTGTCATCCTCAAGGCAGTTCTCGAAGATGTTCTGAACGACAAGACTGCCAGTCTCGCCGAGGGCGACCTCGTGCCACATGCCGTGGAGAGCCTCGTTGACGTACTTCATGATCTGGGGAGGAGTGTCGGTCCAGCGGAGCTCGAACAGCTTCTGCCAGACGTGGCAAGCGTAGCGGTGAACAACCGTCTCAGGGATACGGCAAAGAAGCTCGTGGACCATGACGGCCTTGTACTCCTCAGGAACACTGTCGAAAGCCTTCTGAACGACGTGGCAGCCAAATGGATCCATGCTCAGGTTGAGAGTGTTGCCGCGGATAGCGCGAGCAATGGCGATGATCTGTTCAGGAGTGCCGTGCTCAAAGCAGCGCTGGACGAGGAAGTTGCCGAAGCGGTTGACCATGAGAGGATAGGCCTGGTCGATGATGGCCTGGACGATCTCATACTTCTGCTCCTGGGTGCCGACCTTGAGCTTCTGCTGCAGAAAGATGGAGGCCTGCTGATCGTTGCTGTGGACGATCTTGTCGACAATGTACTTCCAGTTGCAGCTCATGTTGCGGTCCAGAAGACGGCGGTAGTTCATGGGCTCGGCGTTGGTGAGGTAACTGCCGGGCTCAGACATAGTCTGTACATGATCAGTGAATGCGCGCATGACGTGAAGTGATGAAGAGACTTACCTGCTGGCTGGCGTTCCATCCAGCGTTGGCGTAACCGCCAGCCTGGAACTCAACTGCAGTGGGGGACAGTCTGGTGCCATTGGATCTGGAAGTGAAGGACATGTTGCTCATCAAGGCTTGATCCGACATAGGGTGAGGCATGCCGGTCAAGTTGTGCATGTTCTGCATCGACTGGAAAGAAAGTGGTGTCAAGGGTGGAGTGAGACCGGAATGCTCGGGTGCGGCGTTGTGGGGACCGAACTGGCCCCAAGGGTGGAGGTGGTTGCCGAAAGCTGAAGCTGGACGGCTGTGGACGCTGCGCATCGACAGCTCAGCGGGAGAGGGCTCGCTCAGATAAGGACTCAACGCACTCGTGTCGATGCGAAGACCAGGAGGACAACCGCGAGTGTTGGTGCCGATGGGGAACATGTTGGTGTTGTCAGCCTCCAGACGAGCACCAGCCATAACACGAGGGTCAGGAAGAGCCCAGCTGTTAGTGCTGTTTGATGCTTGGCCGATAACACCAGGACCACCAGGACCGCCCAGGCCGCCAGGGCCGAAAGAGGGTCCAGGGCCCCAGATACCGCGAGCAGCGGGTGGGCCCATCTGAGTGGCGTGGGCGTTGAGGCTGGAGTTGACAGGAGGAGCACCTGGCTCGGTCGACTGGACCCAGTTGTCAATACGGGCAGCAGCACCGTGAGGGCGAAGATCACGGATGTGGTCAAAGTCCGAGTCGAACTGAGAGCCCATGGCCTGCTCGAGGGTGTGCTTGGTGATACGAGACTGAGACAACTCCTGGTCCATGCGAGCGATCTGAGTCTGAGCAGTCTCGAGCTCCTTCTTGAGTCGCAACATCTCAGCCATGTCAGCCTGAGAGAGGTCGTTGAACTGAGAGTCAGTGCGGGGAGTGGTAGCGTAAGGGTTGGTAAGAGCACCAGAGCCGGAAGAGTCTGGAGACGTCTCACCACCACTCTGGGCCTGGAGGGCAGTGTTCTGCTTGCTGAGCTTGACTTGCTGCTGGGACAGCTTGGCCAAGAGATCGTCGAGGTCCTGGTTACGGACGGGAAGGTCCGAGTTACGGACAGCGAGAGCCTGAGAGACACCAAGACCGAGGCCGGCGTTAGGCATAGACATGGTAGGCATAGCGACTTGACCCTGCTGATAGAGGTACGAGTCAACATAATGTCAATGTGGTAGACGTGTTGGTGCAAACTTGCCTTGTAAGAAGAGTTGCGAGTGCTGGGAGGTGGGGGAGGCAGCTGGTTGCTGAAGCGAGAAGTAGCCAGAGGCATGGCGTTGAAGTTGGGTGTGTTGGAGTCACGCTTAGGTTGCTGCGAAGCCAAGGTTAAGTCGAAGGAATGCAGCATGATTACAGTATCGGAACCTACAGCACCACCAGAGATGTGAGCGTTCTCGTCTTCGAATTGGTCTTCAGTGTTGAGGAAGAAGTTAAGAGGCGTCTTCTTGCGAGGAGTCGGTGATCCGTCCAGACTCAAAGAAGCCATGATGGTTCCAGCGAGTATTGGAAGATGAGAGAGGACGGAAGGCAATGGGAGAGAGGTGTATGATCCAGAGATCGTTGGTAGGTAGGGTGGGTTGATGCTTACTTGGAAAGGAAGATGCTATGGTAGGAGTGGACCAAGAATTGGGCGCAGACAAGAAAGATGCCGGCTAGCTCTTTGCAATTAGAAGATCGTCCAACGGCAACTGGGATGAAGGAGCGACAACAGTTAGAACAAGAGCGTGCGCACAGTTCTATGCGAGAAAAGGGTGGAAAGGATTGTGGGTTAGGAAGTGGGTGGGTGAGGTAGATGCCTTCCTTGACAGCGACCACAAGAAGTCCGTGCGCACGGTCCACCCGCTGGGAAATCTACAGTATTCAGTTCCCTTCAGCACGACTGGAAGTGACGATTGTAGACAGCGGAGTCTAGTCCATGGAGATATCGGTGTTAACGCCGGTCGTGCGCTTGGTCTCGGGACTCTACTATCTCAAGTAAAGTATGAGTTCTCTGTTACGTTCCACAGATGATCAAAAGATCCCATTGCCAGGACACCGCCTGCACCTTCCAAGAGCATCCGCCTGTCTGCTACAACAAAGTCTGGCTGCCCAACCCCTGGAAGCATGGGTACAAGGCGTGATGCTACGTCCAATCCGTCTGCATCATGACCCCATACCACCAACTCCACCGCTCCTGCTGGCAGCGGTCTTAGGAATATGGCACCTAAACCTGCCGAGCTGGGATACTTGATCTGGCCGCTCGATGTGCGTATACTGATGCCGGTGGAAGAATCTACCTGGAGAGCAAAGTCCTCAAGATGGCCAGCGGGTGGATTATCCGAGCGGACAACACGAACAACGTTGCTGTATTGCTTTGCTGGCTTTGAACCAGATTCCAGGACTTCTGTGTCGGCACCGAGGTATTGACAGAAATTACGGGATATCTGGACAGCAGTATGGCGACATTCCTGAGAGTGGCTTATGATTTGGAGAGTGTTCTGAGTGCGGAATATGGCATCCATGCCGCCTAGCTGATTCTGGTCTCGCAATGCCAATAATTGATGTTCTGAAAGAATCTTGTACTGGTCAGCATTGCCAGAAGCAAACATCTCGTCGACAGTACACATACCTTCCAGGTGCCATCTGGGAAAAGCCACAGATCACTGCTCTTAGCCTGGAGAGACAAGTCTATCCTTTGATTGTCGACAACAATGCCATGTGTTCTTGGATAAATGTCGGGCAAGCGCAAGCTCAGAACGTTGGAGCTTTGGAGAATGCAATCCGACGAAGAGAAGGATACATGGACCTTTCCTGGCTGGCCTGGACGACGCAAATAGAGGATCTCCACTCCGAACTTTGGACCCGAATCTGCTGGATTTACGACCGTTAGGGTGAAAGCTTCAGGAGCACGTAAGAGCTGTGCGAAGTTGTTGAGTTCTTGTTCGAAGAACTCGCGTAAGGGCTGCGTGGTGATGATCCCATCGAACCAGTGATTCTTTCCTGGGAGCTCAATATACGATGCGTTTGCGCCCTGCGTGTTGATCAATTGATTCATCAGCCGCGAGTGGAAAGCGGGAACGTTGTCGTCTATGCTTCCGTGTTGTTGCAGGATACTAATACCCTTCACGTTGTCCAGCAACAGCTCATGCCGGTGACTGCTCAACGACGCATCCAACAGGGCACGTACTGAAGGGGGCATTGGCTGCCAAAGATCGTACGGCACATAGTCTAGAGTGTTAGCTCAAGAGTACAACGAGGATCGATTGACTCACTCTGTATGGATGAATAGCCAGATATAGGAGCAGCCGCGAACACGTTGTCGGGGCGATGCGTCAAAGCATACCAGGTTCCTTGCCCTAGAATAGTCACTTAGTATGTGCAGACACGCATTCAAATAGTGACTCACCACCATTGGAATGACCAGCAACAAGCCAACGCTTTGTATTCACGCCGGGACCGTCCCACCCGATGCTCTCTATCCATGCAGGGATTGCCTCAATAGCAGCCTCTACATCAGCGAAGCCCCAAACATGCCAATCGTCACCACTCCATGGAGTTGATCCAGTGGGAAACAAAGACCAAGCACAGAGGTCCACCGAATCTAAAGCATGCCTCACGATTTCATTGTCAGCCTCTACGCCCGCGCCGTGCAACTGCAAGAATACCGGCAACGATCCCTCCAAGTCTAGAGGACAGGAGATGTTCGATGGTGGAGGCTTCAGAATCGCATAAGATACCATTCCAGCTGGATGATAAAAAGTCACCTTCAGTGGTTCATACATTTCCCGCTGAGCGAAGTGATGATCAAGATGCAACACGGAAGCTTGAGACCGACTCTGACCAACGATACCATACTCTACGTCAATACCGAGGTATGGACCGCAGTTCGTCTTGCATGAGATAGCCACAGCAACAGGTCTGGTCTGTCCAGCGACAATCAAGAACTCATCAGGTTGCAAGAGCCACACAAAGTAAGAGGTATCGTTCGCAGAGATTGCGAAAATCTCAATGTCATGCACATGGTCATTACGAACCTGAATAGAACCCAACATGCTTGCCAAACGTCCATTGACCAGGTCAGGCATGAGAGCATCGTCTGCAGCGATGTGAAGGTCCCGGGTCGAAGATCGTGCTTCGAGCTGTATATCGATTGTCGGAGAACCAATGCCACCCATGACTCGCACATCGCGGACGAATCGCAAGTCAACAATGTGGTCTCCTGGCTCGAGGTATAGCACAATTGGCGCTCTCCGAAAAGCATAATAATCTCCGCCGAAGTGATGTTTCCCATCGAGGTAGAACTCGAGCAGATTGTCTGTTGCAAGAGTCAGAGTGAGGGGCTCTTCGTCACTGACGTGGAGGAAGCCTCGAGCCCAGCCTTGGTATTGAAGAGCTGCCCAACCGTAGATTCGTTGGAGGAAGTCCAGATCGATGTCAGGAAATGCTACAGACAGACCAACCCGAGCGGACAAAGTATCGCAAGACGAGTGTTGAGCTGTAGTGGTGGACCAGGATACCGTTGCATTAGGGGCCAGAGAGCTTGGAAACCTTGCATTTTCATTATACTTCAAGGAGCGGAAGCCACCAAAGAATTCAAGTGGGTCGGCGCCCCACGTTGCTTCTATCTTGCAGTATCAGTTTCTGATGCATCCAGCGATGATGGATGCATCATGCCTCGAGTGCCGACTTGGAAGGGACCCATGACCTCCCACGACGTGGAGAAGGCCAGCGGGCATTTGCCTGTCTGCACAAGTGTGCTGACAGGCTGCTGGACACGCCAAAGAGCGTTGAGAAATAGGGAAGCAAGCTTCATATCTGTTACATGACCCGTTGACACAAAGGACGTGTTTTATTTGAACGATTGAACAAGGAGAGAAGGGAGAAAGCTTCAGGCTTCAGATACGGGGGCGGCATTTGCCGCATGACGGCAATGGAGATCAAACACCTCGCCAGTCTGTCCATCCCAAGCTGGCAACAATGAAACTCATGTCCAAGGGTTGAATGCGCATCTGACCGGATTTGCTCTCGATGGATTGACTGTAGTCGACTCGATCCGAACAAACAAGACCGCACTCTCGAAGCTTGTACAGCAATGTCGGCGTCGCAATTCGACCGACGGAGCTCGACCTCGCCGTCACCAGCAACCTTCAAGTTCCCAAGTTTCTCAGATGAGACGCTGCAGACGACACAGCATGTCTACGACCCGACTCCAGCGTCACCTATGCCACAACCGCTCGGGCTGCCAAACCATCTGCACAGCAATGAGCGTTGGCAGGCGCGCAGAGGGTCGCACACCACGAACGGTTGGACGCCCAATGCCGGCGGAGCAGTGGGCCGCCATGGAAGACAAAAGAGCTTGAGCGAGGCAATTCGGACAGTACGAGGGAGAAGAGGCAGCGTCAGCCAGAACGCCCACGAGATAGCCGACGCTCTCAAGGCCCCGGTCTCTGGACGGCTCATTGTACGTTGCAGCTTGAATACAAACGCATTCCCGTGCTTACTCTTCGGCCCAAGTTCCTGTGTGCCATCTGGTACACAACCTCGATCATGTCCAATACCTCGTCCAAGGCCATCCTGACCGCCTTGCCCAAGCCCGTGACCTTGACTCTGATCCAATTCATGTTTGTATGCTCGTGGTGTCTATTGCTGTCCTGGGCTGCTCGCATCCACCCACCTCTCCGGAACTCGATGCCTGTACTACGTCACGGTATTCGCAAGCCTTCCCGTGAACTCATCATGACCACCCTACCCCTGACTGCTTTCCAAATCGGTGGCCATATCCTCAGCTCAGACGCCATGAGTCGCATCCCAGTCTCGCTCGTCCACACTATCAAGGGCCTGTCGCCTCTCCTTACAGTCCTCGCCTACCGCTTCGTCTTCGATGTCCGATACTCGTATGCCACCTACATGTCGCTCGTACCCCTGACCCTGGGTGTTGTCATGGCCTGCTCCGCTAGCTTCAAAGCAAATTTGCTGGGCCTCGTATACGCATTCGGCAGTGCGCTCTTGTTCGTCACTCAGAACATCGTGTCCAAGAAGCTGTTCAATGAGGCCGCCAAAGCCGAGGCCGATGGTTTCAGCACGCGTAACAAGAAGCCTGACAAGCTCAACCTGTTGTGCTATTCTTCCGGTCTTGCCTTCATCTTTACTCTACCCATCTGGCTCTGGTCAGAAGGCTTCTCAATGATCGGCGACTTCCTAGCCGACGCCTCCATCGAATTATCCGAACGCCCTGGCTCCCTCGACCACGCCCGCCTGGGTCTCGAATTCATCTTCAACGGCTCCTTCCACTTTGGTCAAAATCTCGTTGCCTTTGTCTTGCTGGGTCTCGTTTCTCCAGTCACCTACAGCGTAGCCAGCTTGTTCAAGCGCGTCTTCGTCATCGTCTTTGCAATCATCTGGTTCGGCAACCCCATGACCAAAATCCAAGGCTTTGGCATCGGCCTCACGATCCTCGGTCTCTACCTCTACGACCGCACCAGCGATGCCGCAAAAGCAGACAAACGCGCTCGCGCCCTGCAAGAAGGAAAAGACACACTACTTCCTCTAGCGGGTGGAGAGAACAAAAAGTCAGATGCAAACCTTTACTCGCAATCACCCGCCAACTATGGCCCACCCTCCCACGGGGGCTATGGTCTGCCGAATGGAGCCGAGCACAGTATGCGTGCCAGAGCATCGAGTAATGCTTCGCCTGGCTCGTGGCTGCCTCCCGGCACCAAGGCGGAGGAGACGTGGAATTCAGAAGATCGCTTTGGTCCTAAACAGAGTATAGGTGTCAGATAGAAGCAGCCACTTGTATCTCGGTACACTTGACGAGGAAAAATGAATAGATGTTAATCTTTGATAGTGCACTCCGTGACTCTCTCATGTTAGACAACAAAACAATGCTTACAGGTCGCCGCAATGATTATTAAGAGCATACAATCTCTATTGGACACATATCGATTGCTTGCTGTACGCAGACAAAAAGCACAAAAAAAAGATCCTGGCAATGGGCGGAATCGAACCGCCGTCGGGTCGGCGTTGCTGGACTTTAACCTCCACAACGACACATGCTACCACTACACCACATCACCTTAGCTTGTAAGGGTTGAATCTGGTTGGCCAGATTCAGGATCCGATGATTAGCCACAACCTGCGTCGTGTATATCCCTCACGATCCATGCTCACACTCTCGATGCCCATCACTTCGTCTCTTCGTTGTCAACATGCCTATGGTCAAGTCGTCGCCAAGTACAAATTTGTTCATCGCGTTGTATGATCGCTCAAGATACCGTGTGGATATCACTCTATTCTGACAATGCTCATCTACCTCTTCCATCTAACGACGATGCTACTCAAAATGTCAGTCTTTGAACCATGCATAGTTATCAGCATATTCATCTCACCTGTCCAGACACCAACCCAGGCGTCACCAGCTGCCGCTGCTTGCCCAAAAAGCTCTTGGGACTCTCCTTGCGTCTACCCAACATGACGGTATTGCTCTGCAGCCTGCTACTGAGGTCGAACCATGCGGATGTCATGAGCTTGTTCTCACGCTGTAGTGCTGCGAATTCGGCTGAAGGTACGTTGCCGGTCGCTGTCGTTGTTGGCGGGCTGATTTGCTTCTTGAGTGTCGTGATTTCTGTTGCGCGGTCTTCGGCGAGCTAGGAGGAGGTGTGTCAGTATATTCCCGTGGAGAAGCATTGGCTAGATGGTTTACTTTGTTTGCAGCAATAGTGTCGGAACGTGCTTGCTCCATACGGTCCGCAAGTTGCGCGGCCGTGGACTCCAAGAGCTCATCATCGTCTGGCGCATCCCTGACTGCTTGCAACTGCTGTAGAAGCAGCTTGTACTCGTTCTCGTTGCGACTCTCAGCAGGCTCCTTCAGCAACTGTGCAGCATTGAGCAGAGCATGTCGCAACAAAGCGCGCTGTTCTGCCAATTCTGCTTCGACACCTTCGCTGTGCTTGTGCAATTCAGAGTATCGATCGGTCAAGGTCTGATACTCTGCATTACCGTCAAGCTGCACGTCCTTGTCAGTGAGTTGTTTCTGCACAGCCATGAGCCTCTCCTTGATGTTGGCCATCTCAGTATTTGTGCCAAAATGCTGGTTGCGCATGTCTTGTATCTCAGCTTGAGCTGCCTGCAGCTTCTTGCGTTGTTCCAAGAATGGTACGTTTTCTTCTGGTTCTCGACTTGGTTCACGGAGGTCTTGTAAGGCAGTCTCCAGGCCCAATTTGTCCGACAGAATATCTAGATACTCGGTTTCCAGTTTGTGGTTTCTCGCGGTGATGGCATCGAGCTTCTGTTGCAGGATCGTGGCGTCAGCTGAGGGGATTGTGTCGGTCTGGCTTCTGGTCATTGCCCTCTCAGCTCTCGCCTTCTCAGAAGCTTCGAGTTCTCCATCAAGTCCGCCGTTGGCACCACTGGGGTTCGACCCTCCAATCTCGAGAGTTTGCAGCTTGTTCTCGAGTTCAGTGATACTTTCGTGATCTTTGACCTGCCGCTCCTTAGCCGCTTCCCACTTCTGGGTCAGGACCTTGTATTCATGTTCAATGCGTTTGCGAGTCGTTTTCTGGTCGAATATTTCTTGTTCACCATTGGCGATGAGTTTCAGATTCTCAGCGTTTGCTTTCTGCAGGGTGGTGCATTGGTCTTTTAGGCGGTCCAGATCTTGTAGCCTGTCGTTGGCTGAACGAAGATCTTCTCTCAGAGTAGAATTGGCCTTCTCCTGGTCCTGTAATGCCTGAATCTTCTTTTTGAGGTTCTCGTTCATGCGCGTTTTCTGCAGCAGATCGTCTCTTTCGGCTCGAAGAAGTTGCATGTCATCTCTCAGCTTCTGCTTTGCGTCTGTGTCTGTCTTGTACCGCTCGATTTGGCGTTCCTGGGCTTGCGACTTGTCTCTCAGGGTCTCGAGTTCTGCCTCCAATTCTGCAATGTAATCTCGATCTCTTTCTGCCTTGAGTTGCATGTCTTTCATGTTGTCGTTCTCGGCAGCCTTGCGACCCTGATTTTCGACTTCATACTTGAAGGCATCGAATGCTTGTTGCAGTTCCTCCTTGTCTTGTCTCAGCTCTTCCAATTCGTTCGCAGCCTTCGCATTGTTGTTTTCCAAGTCCTTGATTACTTTGTATGCCTGGATGAGCTTCTCTTCTTGTTCCAACTCGGGATCGCGTTCGCCGGAAGTACCAAAGGAGAGACGATCGTTGACGGAAACGGCAGGCTTCTCAAGCATAGGCTCGGCGGGGGTTGATGTTTCGGAAGTGACTTCGAAGTCAGATCGATCGGCGACGCCTGGTTGCGGTGTGTCCGTGTCTTCCATTTGCTTCATGGCTGCAGCAATGGTGACAGCGACCTCAGGACCAAGGCCGACGACTATGCGGCCCATTCTCTGGTTGGACTCGGGCGAATACATGGCGGCACGGAGCATGGTTTTGAGCAGCTGCAAGGAGAGATGTTAGCCGGGAGGTTATATTTGAGCGGAGGTATGGCAGGGACACACCATGACGGTGTCGGTCGGGCTAGCATCTGTAGCAATCGCCTTGAGGTCTGGGTCACGGCTGCCTGCAGGGTTCTCGATGGAGCCGCTCGAGTCTCTGAGGTAGGCAGTGACCAGACGGTTGACATGCTTGAGGTTCTGCCACCGTGGGATCCAGTGGTCTCTTGTTTTGGCGGGAGCTTCTGGGAGGTCGTCTTGAAAGTAGCCCGGGTCGATGTCCTGGAGAATGTCCCACAGGACTTGGCCGTCTTGTATGTCCTCCCAGCTCTCTACTTTCTTGGACGTTTGGAATGCTTGCACCTGGCCATGTCAGCAGACTGTATGATTGTTTGGGTGTGTCGTGGTGTGGTACCCATTTGAGCAGGGCCGCTGCCAATTCGGGGGCAGCCGAGTCTGCCATCTTGTTCCAGCTGTCGAAGGCTTGTGTGCTACGGATCGTGCTGTCGAGTCTACCGCTCAGGAGACATGGCGAATGACGAGCGATTTGCACTACGACTGGATTCGTATGCTGCGGTGATTCCTTGTTGATCTCAAAGGTTCAAGGGTTCATCAATATGACGCGCACGTGCCAAGCGACTCCTTCTCGGTTCGTTTCAGGAGTCGTGTCAAATCTCCCATCTCTACATCTTCCACCTTGCAAGACCTTCATGGTCAATTTTGTGTCTACATAGGAGAGAGTTATTAGATCATGAGCCTGGTTCTATCAAGTTACGATACAGCCTACAATGAATCGCCTTGTCCGGTCCCAAACGCCCGCATAGCATGTAAGTGATGCGCTTTCTCTACAGGCTTCGTCTTGGTAACCACCTTCGTCGTTGTGTTTTTTGTCTTGTTCAATCACTCGTTGCTCATTCACCCAACCTTCGCTTCAATTCCTCGTTTTCTTTCCTTAACTGGTGGATGTACTCCAACGCCCCTAACAGTACCTCACACTTGCTTGGCTTCATCGGGTCATTGATGTCGCTCGCTCGGCGGCGTTGAGCTGCTTGTACGTGCGGCACCGCTTTTCGTAAGTTGTCCAGGTGTGAGTTGAGGTTCTCGCGGTATCGACGCTCCACCGCCGTGTGTGGGATTCGCTTTCGGCCTCGTCGACCTTCCTTGATCCCTGTACGCTGCATGCTGCCCGCTCGGTTCTCGATCGACGGTTCCGTTGCCGTTCGTCTGATCGTATCAGGGCGCTTGGGGAGCTGGCTTCTTGGGTGCGTCGTATCCTTGGGTGACGCGGCATCTGAAAAGCCATCCTCACTCTTGACACTGATTGCGTCGTCGGTCACTAGTGTTGGTGTGTTTGGACTCTGTGAGATTGTGGCATCCTGCTTCATCGGATTGAAGTTGTGGCTTAAAGTCGCTGTGAAATCGACCGGCATGAAGGCTTGGCCGGGACCATTGACTTGCTGCTCGTTGGTCACGAAGCTGTACGCGTCGAAGCTCGGAACTGCGGCATTGACTTGCTGGCCATAGACCATCTTGAAGTCCGCACATAGGCTGCCGTTCTCAAACGGGTTGGCGTCGTCGCCAGCGTATCCAGAGTCCATGGAACTTCCGGTTGGTGGAGGAAATCCATAAATTTGCGGCTGTGCCTGAGCCTGAGCCTGTGCTTCCAAGAGGAACGATCGCATGTTCGGATCATGCTCGACCGGCTGGAATATTGGCTGATACTGCATCTCAAGGATACCTGGGAGAGCTTCAGCGAAGCTGGTGTGACGAGGGTGGTTTGTGTATTGGGCCATCGAAGCTTATAGTGAATTCTTAAGTTCGCAAGTCGTTGTGGAAAGGATCGGAAGATCAACAACTTATCGCGCTGGATTGGTCTCCAGGGACTGCGATTGATTATCAATGGAAAGCCTCGAAGAATGATAGCGATAAACCTGGAAGCGCTCGAGGATGTACAATAAGCCTTGACAAAATCGAGGGGTATTGAAGGAGGGGAGGACAAAGTGACTTGTATTGTTCTCGAACTTGGCGAAACACACTAGAGGCTGAGGAGGAAAGAACGGCGAGTTACATATTAGAGCTTAAGCTCTCAGACTCTGTGTATCTAGTGCCAAGCTATGTCGACCACGAGGAGCAAGTTTGCGCGAGAACGACGATCTTTTCTGAACTGAATCCGACAGGCAGTGACAGCTAGGGCAAAACAAATGCACAAGCTGCGGTCCCCTCTCATATCTCGATTCCATCGTCCATATCACGTAAAGTAGCAGGGCAATGTGGTGAGTTTCTCGGAGACACTCGGTAGCCTGGGGGAAGGATTGATGAAGTCCCTCGACAAACGCATGTTCACTGCATGTAGGCACAGAGAGCTGGAAACCAGAGCCGGGCGATCCGAAGACAAAGACCGAATAGCTTGCAACGTTACGGTACAGCTAGAAACAAGCACGAGGTATAAACGACTCTTCGACGACGGCTGGGATCGCGTTGCCATTTCCAGCGATGGCAACTTGCAAGGTCCAGCCTCGCAAGCCTAGCTTCGTAACGAAACAAGAAAAACACTGGAAGAACCATGTAAAGTGCTCGCAAACTCATGAAGATTCGATACACATCTATCGATGTCTTCGGGGGTATTCTGCTTGGATGCTGACTAGGGCAACTACGCGTCGGCGATACTCTTCCAACCCTCCAAGTCTGCGATTTGAGACAAGCTGTTCGAACAAGTCCGAGCACCACAATCGATCGAGCAAGAAAAACAAGTTGCCGACAAGGGCCAGAAGCGTTGGAGGGGTTTCTTTTAGCTTCCTCGACACGGAGTATACGCAAGATGGGAGTCAAGTGATAGGTTGATGGACGAAGGCTCGAGAACGCTCCCGCTTGCCGTGTCAAGGCTCGGCGGCCGGAGCGACCAACCGAACCAACCGAGAGCCCCACTCTGACACGGCGTCAAAACTCCCCCCGCATCCAAAGCTGTTGGCGCATCGACTCAGATTCAACCAAACAGCGGCGTTCGGGGCTAGAACCTAGACAGTCTGGCTTTTGGTAGATCGTCAATCGTGCAACAACTCTAGTCTCTGTTCGACATGCTCACATAGACACACCCGCCATCCCACAAGCCTTGGACTCGAGTTTTCTGGTCACCCCCGTCTTCCCCTCACCGAGAGGTTAAGCTTTCAAGGCGGAGAGGGACGATGATCCGCTTTCCTGCACGTCTCCGCAAGGCTGTTGTGATTGCCTGTCTCATAGTGCTCGTGTGGAAGTTCATCCTTGGCGGCGACTTCTCATCGGCTCCGGCAACGATAGAGTCGTATGTGCTCGTGTTATCGTCGAGTGTTGGGTGCGCAGAGCTGACGAGCGTCGCAGGAATGCTGCAAGCATCCTTGGCTGGCAATCCTCTGAGCCCGAAGATGGGGATGCTTACGTTCACTTCAGTCGCAGACTAGTCCGCATCCTGAAGGAGACCAAGCCCCGGGTACCATCCTTGACTAAAACCAACAGTATCTCTGCCATTGGCTTCAACGACAACAAAAACAAGCCGTTGAAGCGACCGGACTATGTGCCAATCACTCCTACCCAGGTCGAGGAGATGCGATTGGCACATCAGAATTTCGTTGAGGAAATTTCCAACTTGACATTGCCCTACAAGCCAGGATCTCGTGGCATAGTCTCCACTGCAGGCGGAGCACACCTGCCAATCTTCATCGTGTCCCTCCGCATGCTCAGGCGCTCCGGTAGTATCCTGCCAGTTGAACTCTTCCTACGAGCCGATGAAGCACGCGGCGATAACTATCTGTGTCAAGAACTGCTTCCCTCTCTCAACGCTCGCTGCGTGATTCTGGACGACTTTTTCCCTTCTGGACTGGTCAAGCTCGAGAAATACCAGTATAAAATATTTTCGGTGTTGTTCTCGAGCTTCGAAGATGTGCTCTTGCTCGACGCAGACAATTTTCCTGTACACAATGTGGACCACGCTTTCAAAACAGAACCATTCACGTCAACTGGTCTAGTGACATGGCCAGACTTTTGGGTTTCGTCGGCTTCCGAGAAGTTCTACAAAATCCAAGGAAAACCTTGTCCTCTGACTACAGTCAGAGCATCAACGGAATCGGGTCAAGTCATTGTGTCCAAGCGGACCCACTCGGCAGCACTGCTGGTGTCTACATACTATAACTACTATGGACCTTCGCACTACTATCCCCTACTCACCCAAGGAGGTCCGGGCGAAGGGGACAAAGAAACGTTCCTTGCGGGTGCAGTGGCTGTCGATGCAACTTTCTACCAGGTTTCTGACCCCGTCAGGATTCTCGGTTACGACGACAACGGAGAGTTGCGCGGAGTGGCCATGCTTCAGTCGAACCCTGTCGATGACTATGTTGCACTCGTCAAGCCGATGCCATTTACTATCCATGCAAACTTCCCGAAGATGGACCCCAACACATTGTTCAACCAGGACGGACCAGCCATCAATCACCAGACTGGCGAACACCGTCGACTATGGGGAGATAAAGAGCAGACCATCCAAACTTTTGGCATGGATGTCGAGCGAGAACTTTGGGCAGAAATCAGGCATGTCGCCTGCACTCTTGGAGGCGTCTTCGTACATTGGAAAGCAGATGCTCCTCGAGAGTGGAAGAAAGGAACGTGCGAACTGGTTGAAGAGCACATTATCAAGGTCTTTGGCGTGGACGAGGATGAGAACTCATGGGGTTCCCTTGCCACATAACGACACCGAGCTCGAGCCATGGGCTACGGCTCCTACCTGTTACGCAGGATTTACTCACCATCTTAGTCGTCAGCCTCTGTACAAACATATCTATACACATTCAGAAAGTGTAACTGAACGAAATTCTATCAGGCTTTGTGATCAACACTTACGCATCACATACTCCCGTACTCCGTCCATCTAGATTTATCTGGCCCGATCTGGACTTCAGATGATCATCAACGCACTGTACTTCTCAGATGTATTCATGTCATTCTTGCATCTGAGGAGCTAGGTACTAGTTGTAAGGGCGAAGCAGCTTATAGGAGCAACTCGCAACAAGCTGAGTGAGCCACATGCATATAAAGTCAAGAGCATGCAAATGTTCAGCTCACTGCCCAGGTACCTTAGTAGCTCAACAATCCCAATCTCAACATCTCGATCGCCGGGTTGAGTACGAAAGAGAAATGTCGTTGCATCCGCACTTGAGGGGATGCACCCCAGGAAACGGGACGGGCCATTGCCGAGTGATAAGATGGATACAAGGATCAGATATGCCCAATCAGGCACCACGAAGCATTCATGACCGCGCCCGTCGTCATACAAACTCCTGCATCGTGGATCGGGAGGCTTCTCCTTGGGGTCCACCTTATTTTGGGACGACCTGACATCACGACTTGGAGATGAGGGGTATTGTTTATAATGCACTGCTGGGCCCTTTTCTGCGTTTGCAATACATCAGCAAATCAAACCAATGAGTGAGGTTCCAAGCATTTCAGGCGCAATGGAGACTATCAGAAACACGATCGCAGAGAACTTGGGCGGTCCTGCCCATGCTCTTGCTTCCCCAGAGAACAGCTTCAGTTTGGATGAAGTGCCAGACCTCAGCGGCAAGGTAAATTCTTGAGGCTCTTGTACGAAGCAGAGACCTAACATGGCGTCAACAGGTTGCTGTTGTCACCGGCGGCAGCGAAGGTATCGGATTTGGATGCACCCACACCCTGCTCTCGAAGAACATCTCCAAGCTTTTCGTCACCTCCATGAGACAAGAGGTCGCCGACGAAGCCTTGAACGCAATCGAGGAAGAGTTTGGACCCGAGGCACGCAAGAAGTTCATCTGGAAGCAATGTGATCTTGCCGACTGGGTGCAGACCGGCAAGGTCGCTGCAGAGATCGCCTCGCAAACCGACAGAATCGATATCCTCATCAACAACGCCGGCCGTGGAATAATGACCAGACAATTGAACAAGGATGGCATCGATCTTCACCTGGCCACCAACCACTTCGGCCACGTTGTCTTGACCAGCCACTTGCTTCCCACGATCAAGGAGACCGCCGACAAGGGCAACAAAGTCCGCATCGTCTGCGTTTCTTCCAATCTGCACGCCCAGGCTCCTAGCGAGACTGAGTTTGCATCTGTTGCCGAACTGAACAAGGACTACGGACCTCAACCTCAGTACGGACGTAGCAAGTTGGCCAACCTCTTGTATGCCAAGTGGCTGGACCAGCACCTCAAGACCGAGCACCCCAACATCATCGTCAATGCTATCCACCCTGGCATTGTCGACACTGCACAAACAAATGTCCACATCCACGAGGCGTTCCCTCTTCTAGGCTACGGCATGTCGGTTGGACTCAAGCCTTTCCGCAAGAGCCAGTTCGAGGGTTGCGTTTCGTCCATGTATGCCGCAACCGTGGCTCCTACTGGCGGCAACTACATTGCCCCTCAGAAGGTTTACGAGACACCGAGTGAGAAGGGTCAGGACATGGCTCTGGCAGACCGTCTCATGAGACTGACAGCGGAGATTGTCGAGTCCAAGACGAGAACGGAGAGTTCGGCCAAGGGATGCCCTTTCAAGGAGGATTAGGCATTGACTTCTGACATATCACGACATGTAATGCAAATATGAATGATTCAAATTCATCACAGTCATAATTCGATAATTTTTTACGTGCAGGGTGTATCAACAAGAGATCCAACACAGGTGTGACATCGAAGCGGTCACTTCTTCCCTGTCAGCGTAGGTACTTTGACTTTACTGCCGACTTTTTGCATCTGCGCGACAGCATCACCCAGCAAGACCCTGACAGCGCCCTCGAGTCGCATATCCTTCTTTCGCCGTAGATAGAGTAGCACAAGCCAGAGGATGAACACATCGACAGCGACCAGCTTGACCAGAAACCACGATGCTCGTAACACCCAAGCCAGTAAAGAGCGTTTCCGCTGTTGTGCTATGAAATTGCGCGATTCCAGTTGTTCTCGCAGAGCGGCAATCTCAGTCGTCATCCGGACCAAAGCAGTGTCTATACTCTTCCGCCAGCGTGAGTCGCGTGGACTTGATATCCTGGATCGCGGTGGCCGTGAGGGAGAGGCTTGTTGATCGTCTCTATCTTGATCTTCTGCGTCCATGTCTGGATCCTCGGTATCGTCGTATTGGCTTATGGGCGCGTCGACAAATTCCTCGTCATGCTCGTCGTGCAATTCATCCTCGTCGGCTTGACTCACAGGACTCAGTATCCGTAGCGGCCTCGAAGCGACATTATCGTCCGCAAAGGCAGCGGCAGAGCTCGACACCATACCCGGGTAGCCAGACCTCTGCTCATGCAACACACGCAACGGACTCGACGCATCCGAACTTCCACTCGGGTTCGAATTATTCCGCACCTGATCCCAGACAAACTCGAGCTCAGCAACCAGTTCCCTAGCCTCGGGCGTTGCACTCGCATACTCATGCATGGTATGTATCAACGTCTCGATATACTGTCTTTTCGCCTGCGTGCGCGACAAGCCAGAATTGGAGGCCCAGGCATCCCATTTGTCTTGCTCTTTCTTGTCGTGGGTGGTGGGGCGTTCTTGCAGATATGCGACGTCGCCCTCCATTGCTTGTTTGTAGAGGCCGTAGAGGCGGAGGCGCTCGCTCACGGGCGGCTTTTGCGAGCCCGTGCGGATCTTGTTGACTGTGTTGAGCGCATGTCCGAATACTCGGTCTGTGTTTGCGTCAAAAGAGTGTCAGTGGTGCTGAGTGGATGGAATGTGAGGGGGCTTCGAGCATGTGATGCTAACCAACCGAGTCGGCCATGGTAGTGGTGGTGGAGGGTGCGCGCTGGCCAGGCTTCTCGTTCGATGCTCAGTCTGTAGTTGACTATCGAGGCGCTATGTGTAGGGATATGATGAGGGGCTTCTGCAGCTCCTTGGGAGTGGAGGTGGACGTGTAATGCATGGCATGATCGTGTACCCGAGATGATTGCATCCCAGTTCGCCGCCCTCGGCCAAACAACCTTGATAGCCTGATGCCGAGGTCGCCCTAGTCACCCTGTTGGACGCACGTGCTTGTATAAATGTCAACCCACAAATCACTTCCTTTATTGGTCTAAACATCCCGCCATGTGATTTTCTCTGCTTCTGTCATTGCCGACTTTATTCTTTGAGTGACTATCAAGATAAGTGTGTTGAGTCTTCGTTGTGACTTTGTGTCGAATTCTTAATCTCTGATGCGAAATCCGACGTCGGCTCACCATTAAAGTCCCATCACCATCCGAAGTTTGTGCCCCCATCTCTATGCCTTATAAAGAATAGGCCGCCTTTATCTTTTCCTTCTCGACCCCGCGAGCTCGAATCTCATGACAACCGCAGCGTCTTCCCACACTTCAGCGCAAGCTTCGAAGCTCGTTCACATCCATCTCCTCCCGGAAAAACTCATGATTCAGCTTGAACCAACCAAGAGAGAAGGTCTCAAGCTTTGGCGCAAGATGTAGGATTGCGCTCAAGTGATCGACTGCTATCGTTCCCTTGTAGTTTAGATCACTACACATCATCATTAGCACATGCAGAACTGGGTTTTTGATACCGCATACAAGTCAGGGTTGGTGCGGTGCGGTCTGCATTGTAGTTTGAGAGTACTCAGCCGAGGGAACACGACTCCAACAAGTTCTTCTCGGAGATCAAAGTCCTGGTACCCAGGATCAAGGTACTCAAGCAATGGGAGCTGCTCACTCAGACGTCTCAAGGCTGATCGTGAGGTAAGACTACCCCATCTGTATACAAGCCTGCGTAATTTTGGGAAGTTGAATGACGAATGGAGGAGGTACTTTTCAGGATGAATGAAGGAGAGTTCAGAAGCGAGCTCGAGCTCTTCCAACAGAGGGCACCTCAGGCATATCAAATCCATTACATCTTCGGTCAAGACGAATAGCTCCCTGAGGTGAAGCTTTTTCAAGGTTGGCTGCAGAAATGAGCTGATCCGTACCGTTCCGAGACGAGGGCGATAATCTGGTATGTAGTCCGCGCCCAGGTTGACCTCAAAGAGAGCAGGAAACGACAGGAACCTAAATCGAGAAAAGCACCATGAGCTCTTCACCTCCAGCTTGACAACCTTGTTGGCATAATGTTGACGGCGAAGTTCTTCAATCATTGCGAGATCATCTGCCGAGGAGTGTTGCCACAGCAGATCAACAGTGTGGTTGTGCCATGTCTGACTGACGCGTATTGAAGAGTATAGCGCCTCCTTATCGTCGGCGAGGAATTCAAAGATTATGGACTCGATCTCTGTTGGAAGATCCGCAAAAGAAGGCATCACTGAGAATGGTGGTAAAGCTGTTCTCCAGAATCCATGGAAGAAAGCAGGCCAGTATATAGTGCAGAATCTCCGAATATCATGTTTGCAAGACATGCAATCAAAAGAACATGTCTCGTGTTGTCCTTGCGACAGATGTCTACAGCCGAGCACATATGCAGATGAGATTTCTCTGGACTGTTCCTTGCTTTACAGCAAAGACACCTTATCCACTGTATTAATGTGATCTGAGAGATCTCACGGGCTGCGATTACCTACACTTGTGAGAGACTTACGATCGAGACCATGACAAGAGGATATTCATTCATGTTCCCAGAGTGCAGTACAGCAAATACTTTGCATGTCTCCCAAAGAACGTCGAACGATTAGCAAAAACACCTGGCAAGTGCAGAGCTGTCTCATGTAGAGTCGAATGGTTGACAGTGCTGGACGATGATGTTGTCGGATTCGAAGGTTCTTCCGAAGGCTGGTCAATGACCTCAGGTCGAAGTTTTATAACCCCGCAACAGCTTGCGACTGGAACGGCACGCCGAGTTGGCACTTTTGGGTGAGCAAGAGGAGTCGTGGCGTATCATCCCAAGAGTACGACACCCTCAGTCATCTGATTCTACAATATCCAGTGGGACATGACAATCTCAAAGCAACCACTGCAAGTTCTGATGGACGAAGCGAGCGGACATTCTCCGATGGATTATCCGCTCGTCAGCGGTATTCTCGCCGATGAGCGGAAAAGTCGATAGGCCAACGAATCCACACGGCAAGTCAAGATTTTGCCGGCTCATCGGCATCACTATCTCGAATCTACCTCAATTCTTCTCGGCCTGTTCATCCTTCGGATCTCCATGATGCCTTTTGACTCATTCGGCCTTGTATCATTTCTTCCGCAAACAAACCATCTTTATAAGGTACACTCGCACTTAATGTAATCCCTGCAAACGGCAATCAGTATATGAACGACACAATGCCGGGGAACAAGCACGCGACCGCCACAGAGACTCGGGCAGAGGAGCCTGTAGTCCATCCAGCCATTGAACAGGTTCCCGAACCTTACGAAGAGGCCCAAGGCGTGGATTTGGAAAAGGGCAATCAGAAGAACCCCGACCTAGATCTTGTACATATCCAGAGCCATGCCTCCGCACACGATATACCCCACATACCTTACCGGGAATCTGGAGACGAAGTCTACGACAAGTTCACTCACTCGAAAAAGATAGGCATAGTATCGGTCCTGGCTTTCTGTTCCTTCTTGGCTCCTATGGCATCAACTACTGTACTTGCTGCCGTACCTGAAGTGGCAGCAACATACAACACCACCGGTACCATCATCAATGCCAGTAACGCGTTATACATGCTATTCATGGGACTGTCTCCAATGTTCTGGGGACCGATGGGTCAGGTGTATGGACGAAGATGGACTCAGTTGTTGAGTGCCATCTTCTTTGCCGCATTCTCAATCGGTACTGCATTGGCTCCCAACTTGGCTTCGTTCTTCATCTTCCGCATCTTGACGGCTTTCCAAGGCACTTCCTTTCTCATCATTGGTAGCTCCTGTATTGGAGACATCTACCGCCCGACAGAGCGTGCGACTGCATTGAGTTGGTTCTTCTCGGGAACTCTCATCGGACCTGGTAAGTCTCAACTATATCGTGAAGCCGGTACCATCTGACTTTGTATAGCCATGGGTCCTTTACTAGGCGGTATCATCGTTACGTACAAGAGCTGGCGCGACATCTTTTATCTACAGACTGGACTAGCCGTCGCCGCCACTGTGCTGTGCTTCTTCTTCCTCCCAGAAACAATCCACTACAAAAAATCCGTCGAGCTCGAAGGCCTCAAGAAAAGCGAACAAGCAAAGAAAATCTGGTCTTGGACCAACCCTGTTCGAGTCATAAAGCTGTATCGATACCCGAATCTGCTGTTTGTTGGGCTTGCTTCGTCATCGCTGGTCTTCAACATGTACAGTCTACTCACACCAATCCGATATGTCATCAACCCTCGCTTTCACCTGACCTCGCCAATCCAGTCTGGACTCTTCTACATTGCTCCTGGATGCGGTTATTTGTTCGGTATGAGTGCCTCATCACGTCGCAGGTTACCAAAGCTGACATGCAAACAGGCACGTTCTTCGGAGGCCGCTGGGCTGACCGCACTGTCAAGAAGTGGATCGGAAAGCGCAATGGTGAGCGCGTACCCGAGGATCGACTGCGGTCTTGCCTCATTTCCATGGGTGTCATCATCCCTGGATGTATGTTGATCTACGGATGGTCGATTGAGAAGGACAAGGGCGGCATCCCTCTACCTGTCATCGTCATGTTTGTCCAAGGCGTGGCACAACTGTTCTGCTTCCCGTCACTCAACACCTATTGTCTGGATGTGATGCAGAAGCGATCTTCGGAAGTGGTGGCTGGTAATTACATGCTACGGTATCTGTTTGCTGCCACTGGGACAGCAGCTTGCTTGCCTGCTGTCGAGGCCATTGGCGTAGGGTGGTTCAGCACGATCAGTGCGGCATTCTTGTCCTTTTCGGCGATCTTGACCTGGACAGTCACAGTATGGGGACGTGATTGGAGAGAAGGCATAGTCCGCAAGAAAGAAGAAAAGAAGGCACGAAAGCAAGAGAAGACGGGCGGTACATGAGAACATGGACTTTGTCAGAGTCACTAGATGCTGGAAGAAGAAATCTTATCGTCAATAATATATGATAGATGAAACATTAATATTACGCATCAAGAGAAAGTCCTTTCTTGAAAGCACCACGAATCAGTATGATGAATCTCACCAGATTGGTTCGCTAGAAATGAGCTTTCAAAACCAAGTGTTGCTTCGAGTTGTCAAGGGTTATGCAACTTGAAGTCCCGGATTGTGCCGGCTTCAATTCCAAAACAGCAGGAGCCAGCAAAACTCGTGTTAGCGTCGTATGCCACGTGCATGCTAACAACGAGTGCTTTGGAAAAATAAAATAAAAACAGACGAACAATCACTCAGCATGAGATGTTTTGACATAGTTAGAAAGAGCAAAAATCAATGCCTCCTAACGGAGTCGAACCGGTGACCTCGGCATTACTAGTGCCGCGCTCTACCAACTGAGCTAAAGAGGCTTAATGATATTCAGGTGTCAAGATACAAAACATATATTGTAAGAGATATTGGCTTTGGTGCGTGCATTAATCTTGGCGCCACCTCAGCTTCGGTCCTTGGCTTCTAGTGCCAGGAGGCGGGGTACTTGGCAGCAGCTCAGTGTCAGGCAGATAGATTGATCTTTTGCATCAAGGTGGAATACAGGCACAGCCCTGTGAATAGATACCAATAGAAGAAGAGAAGCGAGAAACAGGACATGGAAAGTCCGAGACAAAGATGGCAAAGTCGAAGTGTGACAATGAAGTGCTCACCTGCGCCACAATCCCCTCACAGCCACCACGAACCTTGAATGACGTGGGTGAAGTGTAAACGGCCACGGTCACCTCGACCATTTACCTGCTTGTCTTCCGTGTCTCGACCACCTTTTTGACCTTCGATTCACTCTTCACTCGACATCCCAGTCCATCTTACGCTCACCTCGAAAGCTCTTGGATTACACCCAGGACACACCACCACAGCTTGCCACAACACACACCATGGCCGACTATGCCCCACCTCCGGTATGCGCGCGTCCTCAAACAGCTAGGCACCAACACGATCGCTGACAAGCTCTCAGGGCCCTCCTCCGCCTCAAGTCCCAGAAGGCTGGAAGGCCCAGTGGAACGACCAATACAAACAATGGTTCTTCGTAAACCTGCACACCAAGCAGTCACAATGGGAGAAGCCCACCGAGCCCGCCTACGCTTCCTCGGGTGGCGCCCCTCCCGGTGCTCCTCCAGGCTACGACCACAACCAGTCTCAGTACACCGGTCCCGAGAAGGGCGGCTACGGTTCAAATAACCCCTACGGCTCAAGCATTCACTCGGGTGGCTCAGCACACAACGTCAACGACGACGAAGCCCTTGCCCGCAAGCTTCAAGCCGAGGAAGAAGCTCGCGCTCGTCAGTCTGGTCAATCCTCCACTCGCACAGGCGCATCCGACAACTACTACAGCTCTGGAACCCCTCAATACCAGTCCCAATCCCAGCCTCAGTATTCGAACCAGTCTCAGCCCCAGTACTCGAACGAGCTGCCTCCTCGCGACCAGGACCGCGGCAAGAAGGGCGGTCTCATGGGCAAGCTTCTCGGCAAGGTCTCAGGATCCAGCTCGCGTCCCCAGCAGGGTTACGGACAGCAGGGTTATCCGTCTGGTGGCATGATGGGCGGTGGTGGCTATGGCATGCAACAGCAGCACTACGGCGGATACCCTCAGCAAGGCTACGGAGGCTACCCACAGCAGCAGATGTACGGCCAGCCGCAGCGTAAGACGGGCGGTGGTATGGGCATGGGTGGCATGGCTCTTGCTGGTGGTGCTGGTCTGCTTGGTGGTGCTATGTTGATGAACGGCATCGACGATATGGAAGACCACGCCTACGAGCAAGGCTACGAGAACGGAGGTGGCGGTGATGACTACGGCGGCGGCGGCGATGATTTCGGTGGTGGCGATGACGGCGGCGGCGACTTCTAGTCTCGCTCCTCGCTTCTCGCTATCTGATGCCTCTCCTTTGTTTACGAGATTCGCAAACATGGACTGCGACTGGGTGTCATACGTATCATGGTTTTCCTGATGACGCCTTTTTTGCCTCTACTTCAATTTGATACGTACTGAATGCTTTTACGACCAACTTTTCCGTATCAACTCCTTCGAACACATGTGACGTCTCTTGTCTCTTCTGCTTCCCAAGAATATCTGAATTTCTCCAATCCTATACATCTAGCTTCACATATCAGCAGCCTCCTTAACCCCAGCATCATCACCTTTCCTCGCTCTCTCCAAAGTCATAGCAACAATAACCGCAGCACCGATACCCGATCCATCCTCCGCAGGTGTCAACACAATCGGATCTTCCGTCCTCTGCTCATCCCACTCCAGAATCTCAGCCAACGCATCAGCCCATCGTCGCTTGAACTTGGGATGCTTGTTTGCAACCGAGCCATCAGCAGCCACATGACCATGCTCGATGTTTTTCTTGCTGCAGATCGCTGCGATACCGCAGGCGCAAAGACGTGCTCCGCGGATCGCGATGAGTTCTGCCAGGTAGCGACAGAGCTGGCGTTCTTGTGTGTTCAGTGTAATGCCTGTGTGGGCCTCAAAGGATGTAGCTGTGTTTTGGAGGCCAGAGGATCGATCGTCTTCGATTGCGCAGAGAAAGCCGGTGTCGAGGATATAAGACTTGTCCAGTCTTGAAATGTCCTGGTTATGGAAGATGAGATTGCGTTTTGCGAGGTCGATCAAGGCCAGTCGGAAGATCTCGCCCAGGTAGAGGCCAGCGCTCATCTTTTCAAAGGCTTGCTCGCCTGGTCGCGGTGACTCTTTGTCGATGATGTGGTCGTATTTGGTCATTGGGAGGACGGTGTGGCTGTTGTCGAAGGCGCCGTATTCGCAGTTGATGGCTACGGGGCAGGCGGGTGGTAGGCGTCCTGCGATTTTGGGGATGGAGTCGCTGTCTTCCATGTATGCGGCATTGCAGCCTGTTCCGAAGATAGCACCAACAATGGTCTCGGGGTCGTGGTATGCAGATGCTATCATAGCACCTGTCGTGTCGTTGATCAACGCGACGAGTTTGACAGGTAGCTTCCTCTTCTCCATTGCTTCACGGAGTTGTATTGTGACATCCTCGCCTTCGACGCCCTTGACGTCCCAGCCCTTAGTCCAGGTTTGAAGCACGCCGTGGTCGATAAAGTCTTGCATGGCAGGATAGGAGAAGGTGAAGCCAAGTGGCAGAGGCTGAGTAGCTTTTTCGTCAAGTCTCTGATCTCGAATGAAGGTTTGCATGCGATCGGCTACCTCATCCCATAGTTGATTTGCTGTTCCAGTCTTGACTTCCTTGGACAGTTGGTACTTTTCTTGGACGATACTGGGTTGACCGCGCGATCCCGGTAGTGTGATCCAGCAGACACGAAGGTTTGTGCCTCCAAGGTCTACTGTCAGGAAACTGCCTTTTTCGTCACCGTGTGGTTGACCCAGGACCCAGGTAATGTTCATCGGCTGTGACGGGTTGATTAGCGATCAGTTTGTAACGATGATCCGAGGTCCGAGAAACATACAATGTTCTGGTTGTTCTTTTTGAGGCCTTGATCGAGTTCTACTTTGAATTGTTTCGTGATGTCTTTCAGCTTCTGCTGATCGATCCAGAACATCTGATCTAGTTTTTGCATCTCTTGTGCTAGCTCGTCACTCAGCGGCAGCGCCGGTTTTTCTGTTTGTCAGGCATGTTAGCGCTGAGCATTCATGTTGGAATCCAGGAGGGGATATACCGAATCCAGCTGCCTGCACAGGCGAGTCTACTTTGACCATGTTGACTGTGTTCGTGGTGGTGATTTATATATTTGTCCAGTTGGTATCCGCTTTCGTTATAGCAAGGTGCTTATAATTTAATGATGAGTACGACCAAAACCACAATGGTTTAGAAATTGTATAAGGAATAGCAGACAAGTAGAGCAATAGAAAGGGCAGAACCAGCTATTCGTATACTTATAATATGCAGGAGTCTCGGGCAGGCTACAACAATGGTCATATCAATCTCACCTCCTAGCCAGTTTTCCGAAGAGCTCGGACGAAGTCGAACCCACCGCGCTGTCATTGTTCATCATGCGCCGGCGATACCGTGGTCGCTTCGGCCCTATGCAAGAAAATACTGTATCCACACGATGGGAAATCCGGTTGAGGTTTGAATGTCTCGTTCTCACAATTCTGTTGCCTTCGTTTAGGCATGTGGTGTAAATATGACGTGCTGATAACGTGTCAATGATAATCAGGGCATGGTCGCTGGGACACTGGTTATTGAGGATCGTGACTGGGCAAGTTGATATGCGTTGATAGCGGACAGCTTCACTGATAAGTGTCTTCCGACCAGGGAATGAGACATGGATAGTTGGAGCCTGGGATCGAATCCAAGACCCTCTCGTGTGTTGTTGCTTCTGTCGAATCTTCGGATTCCGAGGGCGGGTGTGCAGCTCGAGGCAACAACATGACGGCGACTTCTTCAGTTCAGATCATCTCTCTACTCAATGAGCCCAGGTCTCGAAGACCAAGAGTCTCGCATGCTCAAAGTCACACCTCGTCAGCGAAGTTGTCGGTCGTGAAAGAGGGAGGGAAAGAAAGGACCGTCGGACTTGCTTCGGCGAGATGATTGCCGAAGGATCATGATCATGAGGGGAGGACATCAGCACTTACAGGACCACGACCATCTTGACAACCATTCCATCACATCATAACAACAAAGCATGACTTCTCAAGAGACAAAGCCTGTCGTTGTGATTATACCAGGAGCTTGGCATGTGCCAGCACACTACGCACATCTCGCGCTGAAGCTCAACTCGGCCGGCTATACTGTAGACTGTATCGAATCGTCTTGCACCAGCGACGAAAAGGACTTGCCCGAGAACACATGGACCGAAGACATCTCGATCATCCGCAATGCCATCACTTTGCACACCGAGGCTGGCAGAGATGTTGCAGTTGTGATGCACTCGTTCGGCGGCATGGCGGGATCGGAAGCAACATGTGGCCTGGGCAAGAAAGAAAACGAGACATCCGGCAGAGTTGTTAAGCTTATCTACATGACTTCGTTCATGCTCAAAGAAGGCCAAACACGTGCAGACTTTCCAGATTGGCCTGATATCGCCCGTGTCGACGATGAGCAGGTATGCAAAATCTATCCTACTATTATCGTGAGCTAAACCAAGTTCCATCGCAGAACCCCAAGTCTCTCGTGCCTCTGGAGCCAATGCACTTCTTCTACTCCGATGTGCCAGAACAGATGGCGCAGCGCGCAATTGACAATCTGGGAGGGTTCCCACTTTCTCATGTGATGAACTCTCCTTCGAAAGTTGCATGGCGCGAGATTCCAACTGCATACATCGTCTGCGAAGACGATAGAGCATTGACCAAAGATGGCCAAGAGCAGATGATCAATGCTGTCAGGGCCGAGGGTGTGGAAGTGGAAACTGCGTACTTGAAATCTGCTCATAGTCCTTTCCTGAGCATGCCCGCCGACACAGCAAAGGCGATTCGTGGATTTTTGGAGAAGGCTTGAGGTGGACTGCGACTTCCCTCTGAAACGAATGTTACTTCCCCATGTGCTAAATCCTGCAACTCATGCCTTCCCTCGCTTGAGAAGACAAGTAGGGGAAGTAGCGGCTTCCTCCGCTGCGTGGAAAGAAATATGTTCGTCCTTCTTCCAAAAACGATTTCAATCCTATCTCACTCGTCGATCCCTCTTTCCATCCCAAGTCCCTCTGATGCAGCGGATGTTGTAATCTGGGTCCCTGTCCAGATTAACGATAGGTACACACGCCCTCGTACACTGATCCGTCTGATAGAATCCATACTGATGTTTGAACGTAGTCCATCGCCCTGCAGCCAGTAGTCGTGATCTATATACCGTCGATCATGTCGACCCAAACTTCACACTTCCTTCGACTCCCTGTTGAACTTCGCCTCATCATCTTTGAATACATCTTCAGTGACCCTAAAGAGGCAGTCCTCCGCCACTCTCTCACCTACGTCTCGGATCAAGTTAGCGAAGAGGTCATGCCTGTCTTGTTGCGTCGGTTCTCGGCCTTCTTCTGGACAGCGATTTCTTGCGATGAGGAGTGGTATCTTGCCATAAAGCCTCGCGACAAGATATGGCGAATGCGATTGACAAACGTCAGCGAGTGGCCCCTGAGCACAGTGCCCACTCTTCACACGACATTCAGCTTTCATGTGCTCGTAGGTCGTCGAATATCCACCAGTGACGATCTTATCGACAGGCTAGACAAGGGCTATGTGGCCTATGCGTGCGATCATCGATTGGAGGACGATGACCAGCAGGATGGTGTCAAGCGACTCATCAAAGATATTGCTGACAATTGCCATGAGTATGGTGGTCTGGATATTTGGATCGAGAGAGGCAGAGCAGGGGCTCCTGAGATGAACATGAAATTGACCAAACAAGTCTGGCGACAAGAGTGGATCGGAGGAGGACGACGAGGACCCTTGATGGCACAGATGTGCAAACTGAACCTTGATGTGAGCAAGACTGGACGTCAGAGCTGAAGAGAGAACACACAGCTCTGGGAACAATAATGGTTTGCAGGAGGTGGCTTGGCATAGTCACACGATGACGGTCTTCGGAACATGGAAAGACTAGAGTTTGCAAACGCAAAGCCATAATCAGCAGTCGAAAAACCAATGTGGGTCGGTTGGGGCAGCTCGAGGGTGAAATTGTTATCGCTGACAACACGTTCTGTACAAGGACTTATGGCTTGGGAGAGAACACACTGCATTCTTCGATAGTCGAATTCAGCAAGGCTCTGTAAGGGAAAAAGCAAATTTGTAAAAAGACAACACTTGACGCCTCCACGAAATCGAAATCAGAGAGTAGTACCTCTTCGGACGTGGATTCATAATCTTTTGACGTCCGTTTGCCAACTGTTTAAGCTCCTGGCTGTGCTCAGGTGCGTCGGTATCTGGTGGGATCCGAGGATATACTCTTCGGCTCTGTCATGCTAAACCCCCGGGTGATGGTGCCAAGGTAGTAAGAAATGCGTCCGGCTTAGACGTATTGCGACAACCAGCGGATACCTTCACCGTAGCCCTGTCTCATGACAACACTGCACATGAAGACCTCGATGGGGCGGATGCCCTCGAGAGGGATCTTGCCCTTGCCGGTGGTCTGGTAAAGACCAAGCTCGTGTCGCTGCGGAATCTGTTAGTCCTTGGAATCTTTGTATTAGCGGTCACATAAGACGTACGAGTTGGTCCTCGCTGACGGCACTGGGGTCTACATCGAGTCAGTCGCATGTTCTGTCAATCGACACTGGCGGTCAAGCTTACGATCAATCTTGTTGCCGAGAATCAGGAAGGGGGTCTTGGAGAGATCCTCCATGGAAAGGACTGTAAGACATGTTGTCAGCACATGATGTTGGTGTTCCGCATTTGTGTAACGTACGAGCATCGAGCTCAGCCTTGCTCTCGATGAAACGCTCGGGGTCCTTGGCGTCAACAAGGAAGACAATGCCTAAACACTCTATCAGCTCGCGTGCTCGCAGACAGACTGAAGCTCTTTTCAAGTACCAGAAACCTCGGGGAAGTACTGTATGGAGCCTGTCAGTGTTTGAAGCCAATAAGTGTGTCCTGACAGCAACTCACGTCCTTCCACAAACGTCTTGCCTGCTGGTGACCTGTTTCCAATCTCAGCTGTGTATTCCCATGACTCTTGCATTCAGATGATCGTACCGCCCAAGTCGAAAGTGGTGAAGCGGACGTTGCCGATGCTCAGCTCCTCAGAGGCTGTGTGCCATGTCAGTCAAGCGTGTTGCGGTGTGTTCGGTAGGATGGAAGCGTACTAGGGTGGAGGGTAGGGTTCAAGACGGCGCTGTTGATTGTGAGTTGGACTGTTTGCGGGGTTCGTAGGCAGGGTAGACATACACTCTGTCGTTCTAGGAGGAGTCAGCTACTGTTGAGCACGTGAGGCGCAAAGACAGGGAGCAAAGGTACCTTGAGCATGTGAAGAAGCTGTTGGCGAGTTCAGATTAGATTAGCTATCGAGTCCGACTAGGGGGGAAACAGGCCATGTCGGACGCACCGTGGTCTTTCCGGCATTGTCGAGACCAAGGAACAGCAGTTTCTATGGGCGTCGCTATCAGTATTGGGATCGCAGGCGGTTGGAATTTTGGATGTGGCATACGGCGTGCTTGTTCATCAGGCCAAGGTTGGCGAGGACATCCCAGACTGCAATGGCTCGTGTCAGCGCTTGTCTCCCTCTCAGGCCCAAACGCCATGGCGACAGCCGTCACTTACACCAGTCGACGAGCCACATCTTGTCGGTCGCTTGTGATTGTGAGTCGGTGTGTAGAGGAGGACCTTGCGATAGTCCGGGGTTGAGTGGATGGCAGATGTGAGTCTGGACAACTATTATCACCAACTAGGCAATGTCCACGTTGGTCCCGCCGCCGCCGTCATCTGGGAAGCTGCCAGTGCCAAGACAATCACCAAACCCATCACAAGTCGACCATCAACCATAAACTTCATTCGTCATCGTTGCATTTAAACTCCAATCTACGAGCACTAAGAGACATTGCAACAGAACCAAGTGATTAGATAGTTGCTAGCGATTGTGATTTCTTCTATCTGCAATCCTGGCTGGGTCCAAAATGAGAAAAGCCACTTGATCCTGATCATGGATAAGCATGCTCAACTCTCGTACCCTTATTGAAAAAGACGAACGCCAATTCTGATGTCCATCCATGCAAGCAAAAGTGGTATCTTGGGCCTCCAAATCATCGCTGTCTAGAACAAAACTGAGCAAAAAAAGCTCCCCTAGCCACGAGGTACTGAAGGAACAGGGGTATGTATTATATACAGAGAAAGGTATCATTATGTATTGATGTGCGCGCATCGGCCAGCCGGAGGTGTTCTGTAACCTGAGCCGCGCGACTCCATCGTGGACGAAAGGAAATATCAGGACTACGAGCTTCCAGTGGGCGATTCGTGCGCAGCTGGAAAGAGGCCCGCGTCAGTAAAGATGCTCTGTTCGTCGATCATCTGTGTACCTGCGACGACCAGCAGACTCGTACGAGACTGTAATGTGCCAACTGTGTTGACGGCGTCGCAAGCCCGTGATCAAGACGAGTCTTTTAGTAGGAGAGGACGTGCTGTTTCTTGCCTTTGTAAGCAGCCAGCTCGAGTCCAACTTCTCTCATTCTTTCCGCGCCCTTGCCAGGTTTTGGTTTGCGTTCTTGGTCCTTTTTACCCTTCTGGCAGTGCTTCTGGTAAAGCTTCTCCTTGCGTCGCTGGCGTTTCTTCTCCAGACCTTTGACAATGTCAATAGCGCCACGAGCTGTTCTCATACCGGATAAAGGATCATCGTGTTCGTCAAGCGACGGGGTCATTGCGTTCTGCCCAATCTTGACCTGACTCTCGACTCGGGGTAACGAGGCAGTATGAGTAGGCTGAGGGCGGCGGCCCAGCGCAGCTCTTGGAGTGAAACTGATAGCAGAGACACCTTCCACGGAACTGCGCAGAGATGGTGGTGGAGATGTAGGACGACGGGGTGGGGGTGGAGGTGATCTCATGCGTCTGGGTGATTGACCGAAGAGCTTGCGAGGAGGTGGTGACTTGTGAGTAGTGCGCTTGATCGGGGCAGGCGATCGCAAACGCTTGGCTGACGGTGGAGGAGAACGGTGAGAGCGATGCTTGGGAGGAGGAGGTGAACGGAGTCGCTGATGAGGAGGGGAGATGGACTTCTTTTTGAGAGCAGTCTTGGACTTGCGACGTCCACGGTAGCCCATGTCTTCGTTCATCTCAATCTTGCCGTGCATGATAAGAGGATGATCGCTCTCCTCGACCTCTTCGTCGTCCTCGTCGTCATCTTCCTCATCCATATCCGGATCAGAGGTAGGGAAGGTAGGATCGATGTCCTGGGGCTTCGCCTTGTGCTTGGCAGCTTTTCTTCTCTCGAGGCTTATGATGTATGCTTGCTCGAGAGGGCGGTCCTCATCGAGGGTGCCACAGACGAAGTCGGTGCTGTCGGGAAGGTCTGGAGTCTGGGGACGGTTGATCTTGAGTGCTCGGCTTCTGCGTTTGACCATGCCGTAAGGAGCAGATGCGGTCGTATTCTCGCCGTGTGCTGATCCTAGTGAGGAGTCCGAGTTGGTTCTTTTACGAGTAAGCTGGGCATTTTCCAACTGTTCCATAGAAGTAGCAGCGGTTGAGCGGCCTCGAGGGGCCCACCATTCATTTTCGCTGTCGTCGCCTTCACTGTCAGAGACCGCAAAGCCGTCTTCGTCGTCTGTCTGGAATCCAGCATCAGAGACTGCGTCGTCCGAGATAGCTCCCTGGACATGGAGATCTTCAAGGTCTTCATCATCCTCATCCTCGTCTTCTTCGATCTCTTCGTCATCTTCGTCCTCTTCGATAGCCTCCTCCTCGACCTCTTCGCCAATCTGTCTGATGATATTTTCCTTGTACAAGGTGTCGTTGACGGTCAAGCGTTGACGATAGCAGCCAGATTCTTCAAGCCACTGTTCGCTTTCCTCCTCTGAAGGTCCGAACTCGTGAAATCTTCTTTCTTCGCCAGGCACATCGTCATTCTCCATGCTGTATTTACGTCTTCTGACGGGCAGCGACGGGCCTTTGCGAAGGCTTTTCGGCGAATCATTCTTGACAGTCGAGTCGGAACCACGGTGACTCCTAGGAAAAGATTTTGGCGAAGCTTGGGTCTTGGAGATTCTTGGTCCGGGACTGACGATTCTTGATTTGGGTCCTTGCGTGGGAGCCAGAGTAATTGCCTTCGTCTTCTCCTTGACAGGGGCTGTTTGGACGGCAGGCTTGGAAGGACAAGCAAAGGTGATGCATGTCTTGCGCTTTGGAGGCTCTGTAGGAGCAGGCGTTGGGGCTTGCTTCTTTTCCTGCTCACTCTCGGAAGTAGCATGGTTCGAAGCGGGCTTCCTGCCACCACAAGCGAAGGTGATACATCTAGGACGACCGAGCTCGGCCTCCACTGTTTTCTCAGGCTGGGCTTTAATGTCCTCAAGGATGACCGGTTCCTTGTATGGAGATTTTTCCAATGCGGATATAGAATCCCTGATCAAGGTTGGTGGTAGAGGAGGACTTGGAGTGCTTTCACGAGTTCCAGGGCTGGTTAGGTCGTTATCGCTGGTAAGCTCAGCAGTCGAGGCGATACTATGGTTGCTCCATGCTGACATGCCACGCACGATGGCCCTGGCGCGATGGTGTTCATCCTCGTGGGGGTGTTCGGGTTCCGGTGAGTGTAGTTGGCGGGTAAGAAGAGATTCCCTGCGGGTGAAAGCCGGGGGTAGTGATTTGATAAAGGCGGCGTCGAGACGAGGAGAGTCGAGCGGTGGTTGATCCTTTCTTTCCGGTGGTTCGTCTGCTTCGGCGAAGAGTTCCGAGTCGATGTGTCCCATGGCTGAAATGCTTCTTTGGGAGGGAGCCATATGTGCCATGTCCAGGGTGAGGAGCCTATTTGAAGTAGGCATAAGTGATGCAAGCGTTCGTGGGCGTTTGGTGGCTTAGCCGGCGTCGTAAAAAGCTGTATGCGCGTAGACTCGATTTATGTATAGAGCGTGGCGCAAACCACAGGACAGAGACTCCCTTGGTAGGACGACGCGCTTTGGAGCCGAAGGCTGTTGTTACAGATCCTGAACGGACATGGTAGCTGGATTCAAGAATACAACGACGAGGCCGATGCGATAATAAGACAAGCGCCTAGCAGAGTGTTAGTCGCGACAGCATTCGGCAATGCGCAGACATAGCATAGCCCATACTGCTTGCTTGGTGGTGGCCAAGGATCCAAGAATGACGCTCACTTGCAGATCACTCGGGTTTGCCGGGAACAAGTCGAAAGACGACGAGAGGGAACAAGAGAGTCTTTAGGTCAGCTGCAACTCACAAACGCACCGCGCACGCGACCCAGAGAGGGGCGAGAGGACGAGAGGGCGAGTTGATGGAGTGCAGGAAGAGAGCAGGCGCAAATTGCTGCTCGGAAGCGCACACTTGGAAACTAGAAGGCCCCCCAGTGCAGAGGGCACTGTGCGATTGTTCGGGGCCGCGGCCATTTTCACGGGCCCACCCACAGTTCCCTCTCGCCCAACCAACAACAATCGAGCCTAAACCGCTCGTGCTCCTTCCACCCCCTCTTCCAACCTCGATTCGATCTGCTGTCTGCTGCACACCGCTTCGCACTTGGGCTTGGAAGCCCGCCGTTTCGTTGTTGGTTGCACATCTTGCACGTGTTGGCTCTATCAAGAATGTTGCCACTCTGAAACCCGCACCGGTTGCCATGTTGATGCTGTAAAATTGTCGTCGTTGCGCGACAGACCACAAATGCCTCACGTTGACGTAGTGAAATTCCCGACGCTACAGCGAAAAGCGGGATTCCCGCGTTGGGGCTTGTGTTTTTTTCTGAATTCTCATCGACTGCCGGCTGTTCGCGACTTTGACACTCTCTTCTGTCAAACTCAAAACCTCGTGACAACTCCTTCGTGTCGTGAATTTGACACCGCGTTTGTGATGTGTCTTTCTCGCTTGGATTGTCCTCTGCCGATCTCAAAGACATGTCTGTGGCTGCTGCCGGCAAAGGCATTTGCAGGATGCAAGTTGCAACAGGCAGGAGCATGAGCCTGCGGCATTTTTGCTCTTGCGCCAGGCGGCGTCTTCTGCTGCAGGTGCAGCAACGCCATGCATCCACGTAAACGTCGTCCGAAGCACCTTTCCTCGTACAATCAGTTGTGACAGAACCTAGTCTTCACCGCTCAACGCACCTCTTTTTGTGCCTCTTGTCGCAAATAATGGCGGCAATCTTGTTCGACAGAGGACAACACACGTTCTTAACCTCTGCTTGTGGCAAGTAGGTACAGTAGCTGGTATTTCTCCGAGTCCTCAATGTTTTCAGCAGAAGACCATTCCCAACATCAACTTGAGTGCATGTACCCAGTACCTCAGAGCACAGACTCGAATGCTGTTACTCGCAGCTTGCAGATGCATACGCGTGGGGGCTGTATATCTTCACGGATAAAGGGTTCGATATCTATTACTCGAACCAACCAACATGCCAGCCCCGCTCTCCTGAGTCTGCAGTTTCGAGTCCGCGCCTTCTCTTTCCGTTCAGCTAGTCGCGACCCTAGTTGTTCGAAGCTGGACCAGACGTGATACCGCCACAGAGCATCTGACACGCTCACTCTGGCCCACGAATCACCTGCTGTCTACTGATACCGAGCCCTGTTCCAACCGCAACCCGGGTCTGGCTAGTCAAATGAAGAACCCCAACTTGACCCGCAATATCGACTCCCCCTCCTTTGGCTTGAGAACAAATGAGGGTTGCTTGCATGGATTGCATCTACGCTGCCGTGAATGACCGGCTCGCCACATCTGACATACCGACGAGTCGCTAATGGACCACTATCAACGCTACCATAAGGATCTCCACCTTCAACGCCTATCTGAATCACCAAATGTACATACGTATCAGATAGTCCGTGTTTGTTGGATCGCCTTGGTACCATCAGCCATGGCCCTCTATCATACGCAAAGGGACAAGGTGTGCATTAAGATATCGCAGACGGATGATATTACGATGACTATCGTTGCATCTGGTTGAGTAAGGGGATCTGTCTAGGCGGGAGCCCAGTTGCATTTGTGCCACTACTCCTCGTGTTGCTTCTCAGTACTTCAGTTCGAACCCCGTCATATTTCCGTTCACAATCTCGTAGAACCTTCTGGCCCAGGCCTCGAACTCCCGGCGAAGCTCGATCTGCTGCTCTCCTTCAGCCACACCAGCCAGATACATCAAGGCGTCCACAACTGCAACGGTCGGTATTCCATGAGCAAGATCTATGCTCAATTGGGAGCCTTGCAGAGTCATCCAGTAGCCATGACTCTGAAGAACCTTGATGGCACAGCGCTTGAGCTGGCTTCTGTTGAGATTCTGGCAGTATGTCTGGCAAAGCCACTGCCAGATGTCGCCCATACCAAGGCAAGGTAGACGATGCATCAGATTGTCAGCATACATCTCCTCGAGGTCCTCTGCAACGATCTCAGCCATCGCGATCAGCTCTGAATCGGCAGCAAGGATTGTGTCCAAGGTTCTGTCTGCCACGAATGCCATAGAAGTCTCGACATGTTCAGCAAGATCGTGCATCTTGGCCACGGAGCTCGCCTCCGATGTGCAGAGAAGGCAGTTGCATTGAAAACGCCAAGAGTCAAAAAGAACCTTCTGACGGTCTGCTAGGAGTGGCGCAGGTTTCTGATAGGAGATAGTAATCTCTTCGCCATTCTTGATATCCCTTGCGGCTCTGAGAATGATCATATCACCGACAAAGCTTCTCACCGCATTCGACAAGCAAGCGTGATTGGCGTTGGCGACGCGTATCCACAGGCCAGTCGATTTGGGGCTCTCTCTGGTCATCATCGCCGAGGTGCCGTATGCGTGTGATTCACGACCCACGGTGTAGCTGAAGCCATTCAAATCGAGAATCCTTGAGACCCTGAAGGTGTCGACCACCGGAACACCATCCATGATAGGAGCAGAGATGGGCGAGGTATGTGGTTGTCCAGCGTACAGACCAAGCAGGTCTTTGCTCTGCGAAGGACTGTCGACCACCTTCTGGACGCTGTCGAGCCATACTGGCACGGTCGATCTTGGTGTGCGATCATTGGGGTGTGCGGTCATAAACGCCTTCTCACACAGGATGAGATCGCCCATGCGCAAGTCCTTGGTTGCGAAAAGTCCACGACCACGGTCTTGAGTCTGGCGCGCTTCGGTCTTCGAAATGAAGCTGGCACGATCGGCAAAGTAACCATTCTTGGTAACCTCCTCGATCATCTCTGCGAAGTCGTATGCTCCTTCCCGCTGTTCCAGAAGGCGCTTTTTCGTTCTGTCCAGTTCTTGGTGGCACTGCAAGTCAGTCGGAGCAAGCATGAGCATGCGCTCGTAGGCGTGGAGAGCATTAGCATAATGTCCAAGCTGATAGTTGGCTCGACCGCGGCAGAACCAGGCTTCTGCGTCTTCTGACTTGGCTCTGTCATCCTGGCGATTGGAGATCGACTTGAAAGCGTCCAAAACGGACGCATCATAGCGACTGAGATGGAGGTCGGCCAGCGAGCGACTGCGACATAGGTCGCGCATCGGGTTGCGCATACCCTCGTATGCCTCTGGGTCCACGCAGGCAAGGCCACTGGTATAACTGGAAACACAAATTAGTCGTCTCTCTTTGGACACGGGTAAGTCAAGTACTGGTTGTGAAAATGCACGATGTATTTGACATTGAAGAAGCTGTCCAAAGAGAGTTGATGAGAAAGTCGCTCTCTTTGGATACTACTCCGTGACTCGAAACAATTGTGCATTTCGATGGCCATGCGAAAAACATGTTGTGCAGTTCGGAGTGAGTATTTGGTACTTACCAGCGGTGTGCTTCCAGGTACTCTTCCCCCATGACGGCTCTGTCACCTTCGAGCTTCCAACTCATAGCCGTCATTTGCGTCTCTTCATGATTCTGCCACTGCTCTGGATACAGCTTGTGGAAATGGTCCAATACCACCATGTCGGACGGGTGGTCGACCCGAAGTGCGTACCGGCCGTCCTCTTCCATGTGGTAGAATGGCTCCTTGATCGTAACCACAGAGCTCTCTGGTAGGACTTCGAAGGCACGAAGGGACTCTCTGGTCTGGTAGACAACCAGTCTGTCGACATCTCTGGTCTCATCTTCGATTGCAGCCACGACAGCTGACTTGCGAAAGGGCTGGCAGAAGACGCGCAGGAGCAAGAAGCTGCCACGATGGTGAGTTTCGAACTTGAGATCCTTCAAGAGAATCTTCTTTAAGTGAGCGGGAGGGAGGTAGCAAGGCCTGTAGAAGTCCTCGGGCACAGGACGAGCAATCTGTCTTGTCTCAGGACAAGAAGGTAGAGGTCGCTACGACATACCGGTCAGTATTGAATTGAGTTATAAGTGTGTCTCCGTCTTCTGCTTACATTGGTAAACTCTTTCGTAAGTTGCTTGCGAGACTGCGAGACTCTGCGAAGATCTCCTGCCTGTCTGAGTCTTCGTGCCAACATCTCGTCTTTCAGGACAGACTTGTGATAGGCGAGCGGGTCTTCTTCCATGGTTGGACGTCGCGTCGGGATGTTACAAGGTTGGTTGCTTGGTGAGGTACCCGACTCTGACAGAAAGAAATGTTTGCATGGAAGACAAGCACCTTGTGAAGAGAAAAGAGGCACGTTCACTGCGGTCCTGGATTGTTCGACGGTATCGTCGCTGCCTTGGTCGTCCGGCCGAATGTCGTTTGCGATGGTTCGACTGGATGATTTCTTTTCACTATTATCAACGATTTGACAGGGTCCGAATATCTCGACGACTCCGTGGACAGTACAAACACAACCATCGGCCGGGTCTTCATCACATGTGAGTTCTTGGAGCTCATCGGAGTTTCTTGTCCAATGCTGTGGTATAATCACCGATGTCTCTGGTTCCAGGCAGAAGGATGATGATGCGATCACTCCCGGGCGATGTTAAACACAAACATCATCACAATGTACAGGTATAATCAGAAGAGTAGACTTATACCTACGAGCAGCATGTTTATACCGTGCTTTCATCGGAGCTTGCAAGTATAGATTTCTCCATTGTGTTCACTCTCCAATACGTTGCTTGCTCCATCCGACCGTGATCACTGCCCGCTCGTTCTTTTCTTCGGATCTCTCTTCTTTTCCTTTGTGGTCGCATCCTGGGGAGCTCGTGTCATCTACCCACATTGTAAAAGATAGTTAGTAATCAGGTCGCACGGTTTGTGCCCTGATGACCCTATGGACGAGATCGAATGGCTGCAGAAGCAGTCCACAAGAAAGCGCTGTAAGCAAGTCAGTGATCCAAATTCTGGTGAGAAAAAGAGAGGAAAACTTACGTCTCAGTGTCGGAGCGACCATCATGAGCTCCATCATCTTCGACCTCATCAGAGGAAGAGAGGCTCAAATCACTGTCGTCGTCGTCGTCGTCGTCGTCGTCGTCGTCGTGGTCGTCTTCCTGGTGAGCACCCTCCTGAGCTTGCTCATCGTTGTCTTCCTCGTTCTGGCCATTGCTTTGGTCCTCCTTGCACTTCCTGATGGCACGCTTAAGATACAACTCAAACTCTTTGTGCTGATACTCTGGCTCCCGAGCATCCGAAGGCTTCAACACAGCCTTGCGTGAAGCAACCAGCAGAATCTCAAGCAACTGCAGAGGAAGCTGACCCGAATTGATGCCGTAGCAAATATCTCTGTGCAGAGACAAAGCATAATCTCTATCCTCAGTCGTAAACACATCATTGTGATCAGCATGACGGAAATTGAGTCGTATCAACCCCACATTGATAAGTTGAGCCAGAGGAACAGCGACAGAGAAAGGTAAAGCGCCAGAGTTAATTTGATCGGTGAGGGAGTAGAAGTAGCAGGGTGGGCATTGACAGGATTGTCTGTCGGCCCACCAGCCGTTGGTGGGTGGCTTTGTGAGGTTTGGCCAGCCGGTGCAGGGTTTGACTTGGGCTCCTTGGATGAGATCGGGGATGAAGGTTCGGGGTCGGTGGGGTTGGTGGTTGCTGAGGCAGTGGGCCAGGTCGGCGGTGTCCCTGTGGGCGATGGCTCTGATGATGACCATTGTTGGCTTCTGTTTGTTCGTGGGCACTGTGTTGAGATCGTGGTTATATGAGTAGATTGGGAAGAAAGACAGCTGTGGTCATGCTCGGACTCAGTGAAACTTCTATTCTTGTGTGCTTTGTGCGTAACAAAGATGCCAACAAAGTGAAGGCAAAGCCTGCTGGTTCTTCTTGTTGCTTGGTGGTACACATGGTGGACTGAAAATGAGGAGAAGGTAGCAAATGCTTGTTCGTGGAGGACGTGCAAAAACAGGTCCCGAACACTTAGTCCTAGTGCATGGTTGGAAGTCAAGTACAGCTACTGGTGTGATTGAATGAGGTAGGATGCACATGCGTTTTACTGATGCTGGAAACACCATAATACCTGCTTGTAAGAGCTACATGATTCGCTGCACACAGTGTATACCGAGATTTGGGTACTTTTGGACTGTATGTGTGAGACACAGGTCTACCGAGAGTTGGTAGTTCTTGAAGATAGGTGGCTTCGATGTTGGCAGTCGGAGGGGTGCAGAAAGATGGATGCTCGCTGCGGACAGCCGAAACGCGGGCCGGGTTCGGAGAGTGACGATGATGTTGGAGGGGCATGCGCTTCCAACAACTTTGTTGACTCGATCTTGTCCCAAACACTTGTACAACCATCATGGCACCCAAATTCCTGACTGGCGACAAGGCAGGCATTGAGGAGTTCCTCGACAAGTTCGATGCAAGTCTTGACACGGGACCACAGATGAACAATGTACTAACTACCTGCAGGTCTTTCTATTCGACTGCGATGGTACGCAACTGCCCCGAAACTCGATCACCTACACGCCCAACATGACGACTTGCAAACCAACGAATCTACCGAGACTGACGATACGAGAAGGATAGGCGTCCTGTGGTCAGGCGATCATCTTTTCGAGGGCACCAAGGAGACCATCGAGATGCTCAGAAGCAAAGGTCGGCACACAGTGGTCACAACAGGAAGAGACAGCCATACTGAGCTGCATGTACAGGCAAGCAATTGGTCTTTGTGACCAACAACAGCACAAAGTCGCGTGCAGACTACAAGAAGAAGTTTGACAGCATGGACATTCCTTGCAAAGTGGTACGTCGCCATGCTATCTCATTACCGAGTCTGAGCTGACTGGATACTACAGGAAGAAGTCTTCGGCTCTGCCTACAGTGCAGCCATCTACATTGCGCGCATTCTCAAGCTCGAGGCGCCCAAGAACAAGGTCTTCGTTCTCGGAGAATCGGGCATCGAGGCCGAGCTGGCGTCTGAGAATGTCCCATACTGCGGCGGTACCGATCCCAACCTTCGTCGCGAAATGAAGCCAGAAGACTTCACCAACATTGCTAACGGTAGTGCTCTCGATCCTGACGTCGGGGTTGTGTTGGCCGGTCTCGACTTCAACGTCAACTACCTGAAGCTGAGCATGGCATACCACTACCTCCGCAGAGGAGCCGTCTTCCTGGCCACAAACACCGACTCGACTCTACCCAACTCACACACTCTCTTCCCTGGTGCTGGATCAGTGGGTGCTCCTCTGGTCAAGGCATGGGGCAAGGAGCCTCTAGCACTGGGCAAGCCTAGTCAAGCTATGATGGATGCGGTCGAGGGCAAATTCCAATTCGACCGCAGTCGTGTTTGCATGATTGGAGACCGTCTCAATACAGACATCCAATTCGGTATCGAGGGCAAGCTTGGAGGTACATTGGCCGTCCTGACTGGTGTGAGCAAGAAGGAGGAGTTCCTGGCGGAGGACGCTCCTGTGGTTCCATCGGCCTATGTCAACAAGCTCGGTGACCTCTTGGGTTAGATGATCGATAGAGTATTATATGTATAGAGAGCGAGCATTACATTATGCAAATTAGTGCAGATGCTGCATGACGCGCCATCCTCGTTGATTGATTTCTTGGCATAACGCGTCGCGGTACAATGAGAGCGTCGCGTCTCCATTGCAGAAGGAGCGACTCTGGTAATCACAATTACTCGAACAATAGACATTCAAGATGTTGGCAGCTAGACCAGTGGCACGACTCGACAACAAGCGAAGAGCGGTGCTCGATCCTCGCAAGAGGCAGTTTGCAAAGTCACAATGGCAGGAGCAGAGTTACGAGCATGCCATGAACTTCTACAACCTGCCTCCCACCGGCGACATTGCACTCGAACAGTTTGAAGAATGGGGCATTGCCAGACTGAAGGGTATGCCTTCCAACTACCACTCGTGATTCACACACTAAACTTTCATTCTACAGTCCTCGCCGAACTTGAGTCATGCCAATTCCGCAACCGCAGCGCCGAAGAAACCTCGACATACATGAAGCCCATCTTGGACAAGTACCTACGCCTGGATCAGAACTCGTCAAGGTCCACCGAGCACAAATTCCAACGTAAGCGCGATCACTACTCACACTGGACTCTTCGACTTGCCTTCTCCGCAACGGACGACCTACGGAAGCGCTTTGCCAGACTCGAGACCCAGCTCTTCCGCCTCAGACTCAACCAGAACGATGCTCGAGAACGCAAAGACTTTGTTCAAAGTCTCAATATGAGCTGGGAGACTGTATCCGACGACGAAAAGGCCCGTATGCTGGACGATCTGAAGAGCGCTACTGGTATTTTCAAGAACGACGAGGAATCGTGGTTCAAGGTCGACTGGGAGAATGTTCCCGAGCTGGTCGAGCAACGCAAGGTTCTCCTCAAGATGGGCAAAGCCTATGTTCACATGCGTGAGCAAACGAGCATGGTTGTTGGAGAGTTCAGCAGACAACTCGAGGCCGGTCTGGAACTGGCTGCTCGTGCCCTGCCTCGCATGGATGAAGACAACCGTCTCTCCCCCATTCTCACGCATTTGTCCAAGTCCTTCGCCTCGCCAGACGCCCATTACAACGCTGACGCCTCGTCCATCTCCGACACAACCGTCATCACCGCCAACATGATCGACGCCCTGGCCTCCCACTTCCCTCTCTGCATGCAAAGTCTGCACCGCGAGCTACGCAAGAACAGCCACTTGAAGCATTTCGCCAGACTGCAATACTCTCTCTTCCTCAAAGGCATCGGTCTCGACATGAACGAATGTATCGTCTTCTGGCGCAAGAGTTTTAAACTCATGACCGACGACAAGTTCAAGAAAGAATACCTCTACAACATCCGTCACGCTTACGGCGACGTTGGCGGTGACTCCAACAGACGCGGCAGAGGATACACACCTTATTCGTGCCAGAAACTCATCACCGACGTCCCCAGCAGTGGTCAAAGCCATGGGTGCCCATACCGCTGGTTCAGCCAAGATAATCTTATGGGTCTACTTCAAACTACCGGCGTCAACGACCGCGAAGTCCTCAAAGCAGTCAAGGAGGATGTCACAAAGACTCGCTTCCACATTGCTTGCAACCGCGTCTTTGAACATCAACACAAGAATGAAATCAAGAAGGTCAAGGATGCTTCGTTGTGGCCGCAGAGTGAGCTTGATACTATCACGCATCCCAACACTTATTTCAAGCGCAGTTTCATGCTCAAGAATCTCAATAAATTCCAGAGTGGTGATATGGGTGTAGACGGGCCTTCGCAGACCTCGCAGGGTTAGTATTTTCTCCGGCGATCGTTGTTGTTATTTACGAGCGTTTTTATTTGGGTTCGAGGGAAGGGAAAGAAACTGTGAATCGAGCGTATTTGGCGTTTGATGGCGTTGTAAGAAGACAGCGATCTTTGATTTTTCCCACAAATGACATTCTTGTAGAAGTTTAGGTAGATACCAATCTTGAAAATTCATGAACAAGGCATTCTGTATTCTCAATGATCGAGTGCTCTGCTGGGGATGTAGATACAGCTTCTTCTTGTTTCACACTCTGTCTGACATTAACAGATCTACCAAATATCTAGATAGCTGTACAGTAGAGAAATTGGGAAAAGTATGTACGAAAGTGTGAGAAATGTTCTTCGGACCTAACGAAATCAAAGACCGTACTTTCTGAAGATAGATCTGCTATATCTGATGATCCGAGCCATTTTCTTTTTTGGTGCCGGAAAGCACGAGAACGTGTCGAGAAGTGATATGGTCGCCTTCACCGCACTGTTTTCCGGTTCATGAAACGTCAATGGTGTCGAATCCACAGTGACTCGTATGGCCATGTCACTCGTCGTTCTTTACAAAAGTCTTGGTGGTTTACATTGAGTGCTGCGACACTTGTGTGCCCAGAGACATGTCGAGATTTGGCAGAGGCTGGTAAGGCGGAATGATTCACGTCGTCGACCGGGGTGTTTGTGCATGAACACACGGCCGCCGATTGTGGATCTTAGGGCAATTTGTCTTAGCAGTGCTCGATGGGCGAGCTGGAAAGTGTTGCCCCCAGATCTTTGCGAACACTGACTTGGATCCATGCCGACCGTTCGTAGAGGCTCGCGGAAGTCTCTTTTATGTTCCGTGGAGCGTACACCGATGGTCGCTCAGTCCTGTGGTCAAGTTGGTCATCGGTGTCTTTCGAAAAAAAAAAGCGGTAGAGCTGAGACTTGGCAGGTCAATGTTGCGTGCGTCAGAAGATCTTGTGGTTTCCCAAAATCCAGTATGCATGTCTTCAAAAGAACATTTGATACAGTGCCTCTTTGTCTTTGAAGATATTTCTGCCATACATCAACCCTTGCGGATCGGTCTTCCAAGCAATTCTCAGAAATCTCTCGGCTCTTCTTAAAGAAGCTGGACCAAGGCCTTGATGAAACTGGGGCAGAAGCGAGATGATGTGCTCTTGTGCCGCTAGATCCGTGGCTGCTGTTCCAACGACAAGTAACGGCCATAGATGATTGTTGATCGTGTGTTCATGTTCAATGAGCTGGTCCAGTAGTTGCAAGGTCTCAGTAACAAAAGCATTGGGATCGAAGGACAGAATAGGACTTGCTTCTTGTGCGAGTTGCGTTGCAAGGTGGGAACATGCGCACCAATAAGCCTGAGCGAGCAACACCAAGCGCCTGGGCGGCAAGTCGAGGTGTGTTGAGGGTGATTCTTCCAGGCAGGCGGGGGCGGTCCACGATGAAAGACGGGCTATTATGTTCTCCACTTCCTGGTGATCTTCGATATCCAGACCTGATTTGTGAGTGAAGAACGAGACTCTGTACACCAAGTCCGCTAGTTCTGGACCTCCAAATCCAATCCAGGGGCTGTTGCGCCAGTTGCAGTCCATATTGAGTTGTTCCAAAGCCGAAGTGAGTGTTTTCAATGCCTCTGATATATGTGTAATCGATAGTTGCGAATCTGGTTGGAAGAGATGGTTGTTGACGGTGTGCATGATGTAAGCTTCCAGAACCAATATCTCGTGATGGCTCATGGGAGTCTTGTCTTTAACAGTCATGTTGAAGAGCTCGTGTGCTCCACGGAGATGGGCCTTCCCGAGAGCGGACTCTTCATCTTTGGATTGGAATCCCTATCCTACAAGTCAGCGGTTGATGATCGCATCTTGTAACGTCGATCTTACCTCGAATAAGTGCAGGAGCAGAACGGTCTCTCTTTTCCACATATCATCAGTCTGCTGGCCATGCTGGAGAGCTTGACTCAGCCCGCTAACGGCACTATCGTAGTGTCTAATTGCTTTCTCCTGCCAGTAGGGCATTGAGCGAGAAAGTGCTATGACACTGCACGCAACCCAGGCATTTAGAAGAGTCGGGTGCTCGAGAGCTAGAGGAAGACTACGCACAACAATCGAGTCCTTGAAGTCGCTGTCGAGACATAGAATCTGGTTTTGGAAGGCCGCAGAGATGCTCAGAAATGCTTGCGGTGATAGATCGCTGTGAGACGTTACTAAAAGCCCACTTGATGGAAAGCTAGCCCTGTCCGCACGGTGATATGTTCGTCACAACATCTGGTATGCTCCAAGAGCAGAAATTCTCGAACCCACGATCCATAGGATAGTTTGCACTCGGACTATCACATGGCTCAATCGTTGTCACTGAACGTGACAAACTCCAGGAAGTGCTTGTAGAGCTGCTCGGGGTGCTTGGTGTGGATGATGATGCAGGTTCCGACTCCTGAGTTGAGGTAGTTTTTCGAGATCGACTTTGACGCCCTTTATGGCCGTCTGACCATACACACTCATCTTGGCCATAACTGTTTCGACATCTTCCACATATCGGCTTGGTCAGATCGCATTTCTTCTTCTTCCGTCGACCTTCGGGTCCGTCACACGTCAGCACTACGATGGCTTGGAATCTTGCGGGCAAAACTCACAGGGCAAGCAACTGATATTCAATCCACTCGATCTCGGCCGGGGTTTGGTTTCTACGAGACCTTGGCTTGTGTTCGAGAATCTGGTAAACATCGCATACCAATTGAGAGGACGCGAAAGAGCGTTGTAGGCGCTGCTCAATGGCTATCGTCTGTCAAGCAGGACAGGTGCGGGGTGAAGTATTGATAGCGGCCGAAGCACAGGAGTCCACTGAACATTTCAATGTGACCACGTCATGTTGTCTTGGATTCGAAGAGTCAAGCGTAGAGAAGAATGTATGCGAGATGGAAAAGAGAAGCTTGGAGATCGCTCTTGCGCAAACGATTGACTTGCTGCGGGAAAGACCCTGACGTATGATAAGTCGACCCGAAGGACACCTCGGTTACTACATCGGGCAGGTATAACCTGGCATTCGATTGAGAGACGATCCCGTGCCCTAGACAAGTATATATAAGTCTGCATTGCGCCTCCCTTGTGCCTGCAAACTATCATTCCTCTCCATCTACAGCATGTCTGCCCAAAATCCACAAGCAGCATTTCCCGGTAGTGCCTTCTCTGACCGATCGATCGAGATGCGTACACCATCCATGAAATTCATATACCGCCTTGAATGTGAGATGGCGAAAGACGACCACGTCGTAGGGGCTCAAACTGGCACAAGCAACGCGAGAGTCATTATGCCCATCGTTGGCGGCACCGTCAAAGGCCCCAAAATCTCAGCCATCATAGAACACATGAGTGGAGCAGACTGGGGTCTTGTAATCGGAGGAACAGGGGCAAGTCGCAAAATTTGCGATCGCTTATCTCTCGCTGACATCGCCTGATAGCTCATGAAACTGAACGCTCGCTATACGCTGAAGACCGACGACGGACACTATATCTATGTGGTCTCAAAGGGTATCTTCAAGCCTGGCCCTGGTGTGGATATCGACCCTGCAACTCGTACTCGTATGACTCAAGACGAAGTGGAGTGGTTCACTCGGTTGCAATTCGAGGCTTCTGGACCATATGACTGGATGAACAGCGTTTTCGGTATAGGTGTCCTCGCTATGGACGAGAGCAGGATCTTGATAGATGCTTATGAGCTGACAAACTTTATGTGAATAAAAACATCCCCCCTCCATGTGTGCAGAAGTCTTTCTTACACGACGTAGAACACCTAAATTGTGATCTGACAGCGATGTCTGCATACAGATAGCTCACATATTGTTCATCTCATGCATGCTTGTTGAAGAAATCTCTTGCATTTGAGCGAGGTACGGCAAGAACAGATCCGTAGCCTCATGAGTGATTGAGGATGCTATCCACAAGACCAACAATCTCTGCCAGTGCTTCATCCTCTTGCTTCATTCCGACGACTTGTACAGACAATGGTGCATCCTTGTATGTTTCAGGAGAATCATCTGGGAGCAACTGTTAGCCAAACATCCATGAGAACTGCGCGTGACTACTCACATAGCTTGTAGTTTTTCAAGTCTTGTTCGCCATACAACGCTGAGTCGTCTCCGTCAGCGACATCAGATTCGCGAACTCTGCCAGTGGGAATGATAGTCGCAGGGTAGTCCAGGAAGTTCCAGAGCATAGTATAACTGATAGGACCCCATTCGTCGAAGCGTGTCGCTGTTTGAGGGGCTCCAGGCAGTATGATAGCATCCAGTTCGTTCTCGAACCAGAACTCGTGGTATGCGGCCTGTAGCTTACGTCTACCAGCAGTCAAGTCCATATAACCTTGCAGACTGCTTTTGGGAATAGCAGCAAGATTGACTCTCGTGACAGATTCGACTTCCGGCTCTTTGCCTTCTTTGATGAGATTCTGAACAAACTTTGGAAGATACATGTTAGATATGGCTTGAGCTCGGGTCAAGTTTGCTTACCTCGCAACCGTCAACTGCAAACATGCCATACGTTATACCCACTGCAGCGGGAACGTGAGGCAATCTCAACTCCACAACGTCTAGACCTGCATCTCGTAGCTTCTGTGCTGCCTCCCGGATAGTACGGCGTACAGGCGGGAATGGTGTGTAGACACCATCATCGAGGACAAGACCTATGCGTGGTTTGCGACTGCTCTGATGGCCCTGCCAGCGGAGATGCAAGCATGACGTGTCATAACGCCATGCTTGAGCGCTCATGATTGTCTTCATGAAGAAAGCGCAAGCTCTCGACGATGTCGCCATAGGTCCAGCCACGACTTCGATACCGGGCATTCCAGGATCCTCTGGTGATTGCTGGCCATCGAAAGGCACGATACCAGAACTGGGCCGGGCGCCGTAGATGCCGTTGCAGATGCTGGGAATGCGGATACTGCCTGCAATGTCGGTGCCGATTCCCAGTACACTGCCTCTCATTGCGATAAGTGACCCCTCACCCCCTGAAGAGCCGCCTGCGGTCAACTTCAAGTTCGAAGGATTGAGTGTGCGTCCAAAAACGTTGTTGTCCGAGTCTGCTGTCATCATGGTCTGTGGCACATTCGTCTTGCAGTAGAGCACAGCTCCCAGATCAAGTAGCAACTTCGGTAGAGCTGAGTATTCGGTAGCTGGCTTGTTCGCAAAGTATGTCATGCCAATAGTCGAATCAAGACCTGGCACGTTGAACGAGTCTTTGAGCGAGATTGGAAGCCCATGTAGAGGCTTCCATGGTGCTGAAGGGTTACTAGCGCGTTCCTGGTCGAGTTGACGAGCTCTTTCGATTGCATCTTCGAAGAAGATCTCAGTGAGGCAGTTGGTCTGTGAGAAAAATTAGCTACGAAGCTGGAGAAGTTGTCGAGAAAAGCTTACCAACTGTTGTGCGATGGCGGCACGCTTGCAGAAGGCCACGGTGACTTCCTCTGCAGTGTATTCCTGCTGGCGTATCTTTTTGACGAGATCCACGGCGTCATTATCTTCCGTGATACCGATCTCTCGCTCGGTAAGTATGCCACAAGTTTTGGGCACTTGGGTAACATTGTTTCCTAGGGACAGCTTCTTCGAGATCCTCCAATCGTCTCTGATGAATCGATCTCTCTGTTCACACTTGGCCCGAGAGATATCCACGTATGTTTTGTCGCCAGCCATAGTGTTTCTTGCAACGATGTATAATGGCACGGAAATCAGAATGAAGTAGAGGGTGCGCAAGGTAAGGATTGGCCAGCTCTAGCCTTATATTGAGATCATGGGGAGACTGTAGATATGCCTAAAAGACCTCGCTATCTGTCAACAGCGGTTCTGCTCCGCTTCGGCAGTTGAGTGTTTTGATTTCAGACATGTCCGTATCTCGCTCGACGTGAGGGGTTAGTTATCGCGTGACGAAAGGCGCTATTTCCTCATGAAGACGTCCGCCTGTATATCCACCGGTGGGCGAAGACAAAAGACAAAAGTTTATCAGTCGCGAGTGTCAAACAAAGCGCGGGGTTTGGTGATCGCAGAAGCTAAGGAGGAGGTCACATACCGGCGCTCCGAAGAGCTTCGGGGGACAGCATTGACGCCTGTGATGACGCTGAACTGCTATGACACTCTCAAGAGTGATTGGAGAGTCCTATCAAGATAGATCTCTGCTCACTACTCGCGCAAGTTTCCGAAAGTACGTTGCAACCTCACAAATCTGCTACGCAAAACATCAGCGATGCTGCGTCGAAGGCAGCGGATCACCCCCCCAGAGTTTGGCGATTGACAGTCCTCCTTAACCATTACACTAAAGGGCGGTATTTCTCGATTGGGAATACATAGCCGTTGCTGTCAACGCATCTTATCTGGCGCGGCCCTCGAGTTCAACAAGCCACCTTGTGCATCTTCGAGATACTGCCACACCTTGACAGGATGTAGTATCAATCAGCTGCGGCGAACGACCGCCATCGGCGGAACTCTCACCCTCGTTGATAGCTGCCGCTGATCCTGAACTTGATACCCTATACTTCATCTATCATTGAGCTCTTGACTTGGGGGGTCATACATAAGACCACTCGATCGTCTTCACAGATCGTTCCTTTCGAATACCGGACTTGTATCTTCATTGACTTGTACCTCCACTCTCAAACTTCTATCGACTTGCACACCCAAGTCCCATTGCCTCTCTTCTCATGGAGTCTGTTCGACAAGACATCCCTGACTATGATGTGGTGCCTGGTACAGTGTACCTAGTGCAAGGTGCACACCAGAATGGCTTCTCGTCCAAAGACATCATCTTGATGCCTACACCTTCGAGCGACCCTCGAGATCCTCTCCGTTGGTCCAAATGGCGAAAGTCATATCACCTTTTCCTCCTGGTGTAAGTGGCCCCATCGAATTGGACTGAAAGTGCATCAGCTAACATCTGCTCAGGTTCTACAGCGCGACTCTTGGAGCCATCACCAACGGCGACTCTGTCGTTTACCTCAATCTGTTGCAGATCTACCACACCGGCATCAACCAACTGAACTATGCAGGCGCCGTCATGTTGCTGCTACTCGGAGTCGGAAACGTCTTCTTCGTGCCATTGTCAAACAGTATGTGACCACTATACCTCACGTGAGAGCTCGTCACTGACATTCATGCAGAATTCGGTCGACGGTCCGTATACATCTGGACGCTCCTTCTGGTTTTTGTGTCCGAGATCTGGATGGCGGTCTCGAAACAATACGGCGAATACTGGGCGGTCAACATCCTCAGAGGACTTGGATCGGCTCCTTTCGAGGCATTGCCTGCCATCTCGATTGCAGACATCTACTTCGCCCATGAGCGTGGTGGTAAGCTGGGTGCCTATGTCTTCGGCTTGGCCTTTGGCAGCTTTGTCGGTCCAGTGTGTGGTGGCTACATGGTCGTTGGACAGTCCGTTCGCTGGATGTATTACTGGGGGGTGATAGTGATTGGATTCTTGCTGGTGCTGTTTTACTTCACTCTGGAAGAGACTCACTTCATCCGGCCTTTGGATGCCCACGATGAAGCTCTGGTTAGCACTGCCGACATGCCCGAACTTGACAAGACGTTGACAAACAAGTCCATGGCCAAAGAGGCCGACAGCCAGAGCACACACCAGCATGCCGAAGCCATCGTCGGAGAAGTCTTCGATGCAGAAGGGTTCAGGGTCCAGTACAGTCTGTGGAAGACATACCCCACTACTTGGACTGCCGTATTCACCGAGTGGTGGATGCCACTGAAGTGTTGCAGTCTTCCAGCAGTCGTCTGGTGTGGCATCAACTACGGCACATGTGTCAGCTGGCTGGCAGTCATGGGTACGACCGTCGCTCTGATCTTCGCACCACCGCCATACCTGTTCTCAAACAGTGCTATAGGACTGGTGTGGTTCGCACCACTCATCGGGTCTTTGATCGGCGCATACTTCTCGGGTCCATTGAATGATCGCCTCACAGTATACCTCAGCAACCGCAATCGAGGCTGGAGAGAGCCTGAATACCGTCTTTGGGCTTTCATCCCAAGTGCGTTCATCATGCCCGGAGGCTTGATCATGTATGGCGCCACTGCCGCTCATGGACTGCCTTGGATCGCACCTGTTGTCGGTATGGGTCTCGTGGGCTTTGGCCTCAGTGTCGGCGGCACAGTAACCATGAGTTACATCCTCGACTCGTACAAGGAGATTGACACGCAGGTCGTGACCACCATCATTCTCATCAGAAACATCATCGGGTTTGGCATTTCCTTTGGCATTCAATCGTGGATCCAAGGCATGGGGTTGCAGAACACTTTTGTGTTTGTGGGTTGCTTGAGCTTTGCGATCACCGTGTTTGCACTCTTCTTCATCATGTTTGGGAAGAAGATGCGCAAGTGGACTACTTCGCAGTACCAGCATTTGATCAAGACCAAAGCGATGTAGGCCGTCAGTATGGGATGGAAGATGGTTCCCCACGGCAGTCGAAGGGGTCCACGGATGTAGGCGATGGTTGTGGGTACAAGAGAGCCGTTGATGTATGTATATGTTGATACGATTTGTTATGACCTACTCTATTCCTTAGCGAGCACCTTGCAGTCGCATCGTCGTGAGCTGTTATGCGCGTCGTCCTGGAACATGCACGTCAACCTTCCATCTCTCAAAACAAGAAATAGACCTTCACGACGCGAGACACGGCTATCATCGTCTACAAACATGCAGGCAAAGACAACAGTAAGAAATTGGAGATCGTATAGAGATGAGTTTTCGAGAAAAAGGACCGGCGAAGTTCTCCCCGAGCTCAGCTGCCGGCGACGCGGCGGAAGGAGCCTGTGGTGTGACATCTCGCATCACCTCATTCATCACCAGCCATCCCGCTCCATGACAACAACAGGCGCTTTCCGCGCGGCTGCAATCGTTCCGGGGTTCTCATTGATATGTGTCTAAGCCATGCGAACAACAGTTCATCGATCCAGCTCTATACTGCTAAGTGTACATAAGCGAGCATCGGCATGATTCGGCAAAGGTGAATCCTACGACGGCGTGATGACCAGACACTTGTAGTCTCGTGGTCTTGAGAGCCCTATATTGTATACTCAGACAGGCAAAGTTGGTTCAAAGGATGAATTGGGTCAGCAATCTGATATCTTGGAAGGATATATAGAGTCAATGCATCAAGTAACAAGCCTGCCATTCTGCTCTTTCCAGCATAAACAACTACACATATCAAGCCATCAATCACTGTGACGCATCTCCACTACACTCTGTCCTATATCAGTCGTTCAATCTGATACGAAGACATGCTGCCAGCTCTCACGAGCAGTTCGAGCAACATCAACACGATCCCTCCACTCCACACCCAGACTTCTCCAAACAGCAGCCAGAGAGGAACAAGCAGCTCACACAGCCACTCAACGAGTGCGATTCTGGATCAAGTCTCTACCAATAGAGACGTATCCATTGTGTAAGTTCTGCTTCTTGCCGATATAGAGGTATAGTTGCTGATTGGTCATAGTTGTTGTTATGGGATTCTCACTCAGTTTCGGAATATATTCGTTTGTGAGGCCGGCGTTGCAGGATCCTACTTTGAGGCTGAAGAGGAGTATTGCGAAAGTTGCTGGGGGTGGTCATTGAGGAATGATCCCTGAGTAAATCATGTTGTAGAAAGTCGAGTTGTTTTCTGTATCCTCTGGCGTGCCGTTTTCTCCTTTTTCGGTCTTGTTTTCTCGACGTGGTTCCAAGTTGTCCAAAAAAGTGTTGCACCTTAACAAGAAGGACAGATGATCAAGTAGCCAGTAATCCAGATCTGCTTTGGTTGCTTTGACCCGACGATCGAAAATGATTGCCTAGTATTGTCGTCCTAATTCTTTCTCTGACTGTTTGGTAAGCAGTCAATGATCCGAGCCTGACCTCGTGTCTCCTCAACACAAACTGCAGATGTTCTCTGCCATCCCAAGAGCGCCATCGCTGGGACCGTAGCTCTTTTCTCTGCCGGCGGCCATGACAATGCTCACAGTCTCGTAGGACTAAGCGGCCTGTTGAATCCACCAACACGATTCATGTACTGTCTGTACTCTGTCTTCTTATCCTTCCTCACGCCATAAAGCTTGTCATTTCCAGGCACTTTTGTATTCTTGGTGCTCTTGAAGCCCACAAAGCCCATCAGCCTCTTCATGGCAGTCTCCTCATCCTCATCAGGATCTATCGCCATAGCAGCAGGCTCTTCAGCCTTCACATTCGGTTTGCGTGGCTGACGGGAGTTGGCTGCATTTGCACCACGAGGCGCGCGCGGAGGGGATCGTTGACGTGCAGAGGTGTTGTTCGAAGAGCGGGTCGGTGAGCGTGAGCGAGTGGGTCTGGTGTCGCGATCCGAGGTTCTGTGGGAGGTGTTGGCGCCGCCTCGGCCGCCGCGGGAGGAGTGGGGAGCGCGATCGCGAGAGTTGCTGCGGTCGCGGCGTGGTGGTCGGGTGTCGCGTGTATCTCTTGGGTTGTGATCGCGGCGGTCTGAGTATGGGCGGCGGTGGTCGCTTGCGCGTGGACTCGAGTCGCGAGGCGCCATTGTGGTTTTGCTGTAGTTGTGGAAGAAGAGGTTGTTGTGCGAGAGTGTGGATGGGCAAGAGTTGTGAGATGGATGGATAGATGGTTCGCGACGACGGAGATGGCGATGCGATGGTCGTTGCGCAAAGTGCTTTGGTTGTCGCAAGTGAGTGATAGTGTTGGTGCTTAATGTCACACGAGCTTTGGAAATCTAGATTCACAGCTGAAAGGACAGGGTCACTTTTGGACTTAGACTTCGAAAACTCGATTCGATGATTTTATCATGGATTCGCTCTTGTCAAAACTAGATCTCATCCTCTTCTTCATCAAAATCGTCCTCCTCGCCCATGTCATACAGGATCCTACCACCTTCGCCACCACCCTTCTGTGCGTCAAAATAGGGCAACACAACACCCTCTCTGGCCTGCCTCTGCCTATCAGTAAGACCCAACTCAAACGTAACGTCCATATCATCTCCAGCCTGCTCTTTCTCCTCAGCAGGTCTGCGATACAGAACATGATCTTCCAACAACATGGCTGTCTCCCTGAACCTGTTCTTCACCTCCACAGTATCTTGCTTTTGCGATGCAGGATGAGGTAGGAAATACCACTCTCGCACACCGCGTCCGGATTTACGACGGTACTCCATCTCAAGCACCAGACCAGAAGGTGAGTTGCCGCCGAGACCGAGAAGTACTCCTTCGGCTTCTTCGGCTAGACCAAAGACTGGTTCGGCGACGCTGCGTTCGCGAGCTGCTTTTGCTGCAAGGATGTGGTTGAAAGCGTGTGTGGTTAGGATGGTAGTAGCTAGATATTTGAGCACTGTGAGTGGTTGAGGTGTGTACGGTGAAGCTGAGGTTATGCTCGGCGGAATTGGAATATCAGCATGGTACGTTGCAACCAGTGATACTGTAGGTGAGAGAAAGGAGGATAGGAGTGCTGGAAGGTTGGCCGCTGTTGCTGGATCTGAGGCCAGTGTGTTCAAATTGTCGATGATCAATAGTTTGCCTGTTTGATTGTGATTAGTATTTGCTAGCTTCCATCATGGTGATCAGAACACTCACGTTGTTGAGTCTGAGTCGCTTTCGCAATGAATGCACCGACTTCTTTTTGAGTCTGTTGCACACCAGTCTCCCACGCCTTAACAAAAATGCCAACGTCTTTCGGTTTCTTCAAAGTCTCAAAAGACACAAAAATGACTTCGGTCTTCGCTACCTACCCAACCCATCATCAGTTCTGAGGTTTTCCGATCACGATTACTGGTGGAGGCTTACTGTAGCCCGTCGAATATATTCTCTCAACACAGGCTTGCCAGATTGTTCCAGATTATCCACGATCAATGTGAATGGCGATACATTCTCGCGTTGAGACAACAGTTTCGAGATCAGCAATAAGTTGTGAGTACGGCGGTGCTGTATCGTTGTTGGTGCCATGTTGAAGAGTTTTTGTCAATTGACGCTATGCTTTGCAGGCCAATTTCGAGCTGAATTCGACAGTCTTGAATATAGCCTCTGATTATGAGAAATTCCAGGTGAGTGTGATGTTGATTACAAAGTGTATCTTCGATGGTCGAGAAAATATTCGACTTGCCAGACTTGACTTGACTTTGGTTGCGCCTTGGGCTTGTTCACATGGCGTTGCAAACATCATGCGTTCCCAACAACACAGCTTCACAAAGGGCATACACGAGTCACCAGAAAAGTAGATACGCGGCGGCTTTCACGTAGTTATATAATACTCTCATTGGCGAGACATGACTGCCATGCCCTATAATACAAAGTCGTGTCCCCAATCCTTGATCATGAATTTCGTTGCGTCGTTACAATATGAGATCTTCTCATTGCTTGAAGCCCTTGAAATGCTCGGGATCATACTTCTGACCCCAGTGCTCCTCGCGCTCCTTCTCCTTCCACTCGTCATAAGCCCCTGACATGCGTTCGCCGGTAGCTTGCTTGGCCTCTCTCTGCCACTTTGCAGTGTTGCGACCGGCAGCGAGGTCCTGCTCCCACTCGTAGATGAAGTGTTTGATGTACTTCGCGTAGCTAGTCTTGAGAGGGTGGACGTCTGGATCAGGAGCAGAGTTGTTGCCCAAGGGGAGCATGTTGTATAGCTCGCGTCTTGTTTCCAGGCTCAGTGAGGACCAGGCTTCCTCTCTCGTGAGTAAGGTCTGTACGACCCGTTAGCTATGGCCATGAGTCATTATTGATTGTTTCCTTACGACTAGATTGGCTTTTGTAAGCCTCGAGTTGGCTTGGGTGATGAGACGGTCTGACATGGTGAACAGAAGCGTCTGGTGATGCCGATGGTGAGTTCGCTTCTATCTTGCTCCTTAGCGGTAGAACGATTGGTGATATGTTGAAATGTTTGCCTTTCGACGCCAATGGTTTTCTTGATGAGATGTAGCGAGTGATTGATGGCGAGGCTGTGTGAACGTAGGTGAAGGGTTAAAGTGTGCTATGGTTCGATTTCGATGTCAAAGTTTTGATTGTGAATTGAGAGAGGAAAGAGCCCTGGAGCGTTGGTGCTCAGAGTAGAAGGGATTGAAATGGTCCGTGCGCATAAGATAGGCATCTAGAGCGACATGACTGCCTACCTTTTCGAGCTGCTTTGACTTGCGAAATTACACAAAACGACTGCAGGGCTCGATTTGAATTGAGACACTATGATCGGGTGTCTTGATGGCAGAACTTCCAAGACCGGACAATGACTCGAATGCTTTCAGATCAAGAGTGCTGGGACAGGGCGAGGGAGAATTCCAGATATCTGAGTTCACATCTGAGATACAATATCTCCGAGACCACATGGGCAAGGGGCCACAGCTGTCAGAATTGGGAGAGCGTCTATGATTGGATGATCAACAACCAGATAGTTGGTCGAGAACGGTATGGACCAGAGGCTCCACGGCCCAGAAGCTCAGTGACCAGAAAGACTTTTGACAAGAGTCCACGCACACGACAAACACGAATGATTGACTGCTGAACCTGAGGATATGACCGATACAGAAGTGGACTCGATGCTTCCCAGAGCGAAGCTGGTGAGCTCTTGTATAGTAATCGTACAACGTATGTTGCTTGAGTGACAGTGACAAGAGCACAGTATACCAGTGGCGCTGAATACCGATGGCAATGATTTGTGAGATGAAGTAGTCAGAGTTCAGAGGAAATCGAATTTCAGGTAATCAATCAAGAGAGCCATGTCTTGTCCTCGAAGGAATATGCTTCATGGCAGATGGTCACCGCCTTCGGCAGTCGGAGCTTGTTGATCCCTTGCGTGCCCCTTGCCAGAAGTGGCATGTGTGAGTTGACAAGCTGCATCTTTGTGCTGAGCCATTCCATAATATTTTCAACCAGAACATTAGTATCTTTCGGATTGCGAGAGACCTTACAATAAAGACCCTGCGACCCAGGAACTACAGCCTAGATTGTAAGTGTACCTTCTTTGTCCGGCAGAAGTTGGTATGACGCCATTGCGACTGCCTCGAAAGTGCCAATCAACACTAGGTTGCCAGTAAAGAACAACTATTTGGTCCCGCAACCTCACACATTCATAGCACACATCCAACACACAGCCGTACCAGACCTGTTGCGGTAGCACCTAGAGCATTGTGACAAGAAAGCTGACTTCAGAGTTCAGAATAACAAGCAACTCCAGAATGCCCATCTACTCGACCCAAATCGTCCGCCTGGACGGTCTGATGCTGGCTGCCTCCATCGAGAACTCTCCAGTGCGTACAAGCAAAGCTTCAGCGATGAACGGGTACTCACAGCTTGTAGCACGATGACACCATCTCGAACCTGAAGAACCAACAGCGAACGCTCGTTCGCAAGATGAACAACACCTCTGAACCACGAGCTGCCATTGAGTCGGGCGAATACAAACTTCAGTGAGCAGTCCATATCTCTGTCTTAGTCTTTCATGTCTAACTTGGATGTCACAGCTACTATCGTCACGAAGACCTTATCTTCTTCGCCATCACCGAACGTTCTTTCCCCAAGGAGCTTGCCGCCATGTATCTTGACGACGTCTCGGCAGAGTTCTTGAGCACCCACAGAGATACCGAATACCGTTCGCCTGCATTGCGCCCGTACGCCTTCAACGACTTCGACACCTTCATGCAGCGCACGAAAAAGTCATACGAGAATCCGAGAGCCTCCAACAACCTCGACAAGGTGCAAGCTCAACTCAAAGAGACGACTCAGATCATGTCCAAGAACCTGGAAGACTTGCTCTACCGTGGTGACAGCCTGGATAGAATGGGTCAGATGAGTTCCGATCTGAGGGAATCCAGCAAAAAGTACAAGCGTGCCGCTGTGAGAATTAACTGGGAGTTGCTATTGAAGCAGGTACGTCAAGCCTTACAATTTGCACCTTGGCCTCTGCTTACTGAATGCAACAGTACGGTCCCTTTGCCGCTCTCGGCGCCATCATCTTGTTCTTCATCATCTGGCGCTTTTGGTAAAGGACTCCGACAGTAAAGTTTCAATGAATTGATGCCTTTGACGATCCAGCGAAAAGATTGCATGCACGGCGTTGGGAATACCGGCAACCTTTTGATATACCCATCTCGCGAAACCAGACCAGAAAGCCACTTTTCGCGGTTGACACATTTTTCCGATTTTGCTTCCGACTTGTCGACTCATTCGTTGTGTAATGTTTATTCTTGGCTCAGATGAGAACACTCGGTGTTGATGTTTTGGATTCGGCCGGTCGAAGCTCAACGTGCTGTAATGAAGTTCTGACATCCCTCACTTTCAAACAAGCACCTTGTGGATACAAACACTTCGACCTCTGACAAAGGACCGACCCGGGTTCATGACGAAACTCATCACCCCAGAGCTGCTCGGGACTGTACGACTAGGCAGGAGGGATTCTGTTCGGACTCGGGCTTGCCAAAACGTCAACCTGTCCAGCTGAAAACCATGACGATGTCAAGACACCATAACACATACATAAGATCAAGTCACTCACACACGGCACAAGTCGAGTTACCACAAAGAAGCTTTCATTCTCGATATTCAAACCTCCTGAACTTTTGCTGTCTGTCTCGCTCCAACATGTAGAGGTGACTCAACCTCGTGCTATGCCCTCGGACCGCAACAAGACCTCGTTGGCGACTCTCTCGGGTGTGACCTGGCCTTGACATGTACTTTTCAATATACGTCAGTATCGTTGGATCGTTATCGGTTGCTGAAAGTATGAGCGTACATTTCCTGCTGTCTCAAGCGTTGAGCAGCATGAGATGCTGCAGCATCTCGTCTTCGAAGATGTACTTAAAGCGCGAAGGCTCAGCAATGAGCTTTTGGCCATTGCCTCTATTGACGGTATTGCCCACTGTGAGGTCTTTGGTGATCTTGGCCTTGGTGGTGGAGCCAGCTGGGTTGCTTGTAGGAGCAGAGCCCTTGCTAACGCTTGTGGGAGCGGATGCGGCGGTGTCTGCATTCTTGTTGGTAGGCATGATGGGTACGTCTACTTGCATATGGTCAGAGGTGTCTTCTACTGCACTCCTGCGACTGCAACTCACGCAGTCGATGCTTCTTCTCACCATGGCGCGTTATAGAAGGCAATGTGCATAGCTAGGGACTTACAGGAAAATACGGTCGGAGTTGTTGATCAGGGAGAGGTCTGCTTGGTGCGCACAATTTATGTCTACAATTTCGATTGCCAGGACCAGACTCCACTCGCAAGGCAGGCACTCCATCAGGTTGCTGGCACTCCCTGGACAATTGTCCGATTAGCTTGCTGCTATAGTGCAATGGTGCTACCCCAGTATATACGAAGGCGTATAAGTGGCACAGATTCAGGATCGACGCGCAGATTCTCCGTCTTGCTTGCTTCTACACAACCTGGTACAAGTAGAGCAAGAGGGGCGATGCTTTACAGCCTTGTGTAGGAATTCGGCCAGCGACAACACTGTGTGCCACTTCCCCAGTAAGTTTTGGCTGCTCCCTACGCACATGTGAGAGTCTTCAAGACTAGTTTGCGGGGTCTGCACTACCCTTAGAGCAGTATACTTGGAGAAGCCTCAATAGTTTAGCAGGTTCTAACCAGGTTCTTCTGCATTCTTGTGGCCTGCGGTCTAGTTTGTAGATTGGCTGGGGAGCAGGTTCCTCGGGCCGCGTATCACCAAGACGCTCAATACTCTGCCACCACATCATCCTTTTCTTCTTCGTTCCCGTTTGAATGTTGTCCCTGCGTCCATCTCTGCTTATTGTTGATGTCATTTCAGTTAGGGAAAGTGTGATGGTAGCGATGTAACGGACCCAAGGCCGTTGATGTGGAAGATCCCGAATGTTCACTCGATTATCTGCTCGCTGTCGGTGTCCGTCCTTGTTCAGGGGCCTGGGAGAGGTTTTTTCCACGATGGGAGATCGTCGAGGAATGCTGACATGATTGTGGAAGACAGAAAGATGTCGGTTCGCTGGTTGTAGTAACGGAGATGTCTTAGTTGATGAGGTACTCCGGACCTGGTACCCGATTATAGTATTCACGCGAGCGATTTCATTTGTTGCTTTGATTCTCGGAGACCCCATCGACAAGCCACAACGATTGCCATTGTTCACGACTCTGGTGATTCTTCGCCCGCTACTGCAGGGAACGAACTTATAGAAACCTCACGACTATCAGGGCTCTATGTTCCGATGGACCTGGTTATTGTTCTGCTTGCTCCCTAGCAAACAGACATCTTTGGTATCTCCTTGTTCGCTTTACTATCAGTGTTTCTCATACTACAGCACCAAGCCTAAAGCTACCTTCTATAAACTCCTAAACGCATGATCTTGTTACTCGTGCATCCACTTCGCCCCCTGCCTACCCTTATTGAGGGTTTAGAAGCCTAGAGAGGAGATAACGTTCATCGACCGGATGCTCGTCTTCGCTCTGTGTCTCCGAGAGAATCTGCATGAAAAACCAACTTTCTCCATGTGAGATTTGCAGTTGCTCGAGCAGTTGCATATTGTTGAAACATGCAATTTGTTGTGTTTCTTTGTCATCTGCGTTTGGACTAGAGGTATAAGATCTCGTCAAGTATTTGGTCTACAGAATTTTGAAACTTCTAGAATTCGAAAGGAGAAAATCAGATTTGGAATGAGCGATTGAAGATTTTCTTTTCTGCGAGAGAGTGTTGTGTTTTGGCGTAGCTGTCTCTGTATCTGGGATTTCCACCTGCTGAGTCGAGTGATTATGAGTATCTGATTTAAAATCTCTTTCTATCTTACTTATATTCATAATCTGTCCGACTTGACAGTCGAGACTGAAACAGTATGACCGACTGTCGTCTGATGTTTGAGGCATGGACTTGCAATCTTATAAGAATGTGCAGACGTTCCTATTAATCTTTGAGATGCTCGGATAGATGCTCTCGCTGTTGTTCCGTTTTTACATTCTTGAAGAAATGTCATCGTTATCGTCAACTTCTTTTTTATATCTCGAGAGTCTTGCTCAACACTCCCCGGGTCTATCTGCCCCTGAGATCTAACCCTGATCTCCACTCACGTAGCTCTCTCGCATACAACATGTATAGCAGTCGACTCGCTGACTGAGAACAAAAAAGAGAAACAAGGAGAGCAAAAATCTACTAGCCTTCGGGAAATGCTTTAGAATCAAAACGTACGATCTCCGGGTCGGGAGCCTGAAGTCAGGGGTCGAGTACACTTGGGAGCGGATATACGAGTGACCTGGTATTCTCGCTCGATGGAGCCCGATGACCTCGGTGTGCTGTCGGTGGGTCGGTGTTGGCCGTGTGCAAGTTTAGTGGTGGCAGCGTGATGGATTGTTGGCGTCGAGCCTTCGTTGTGTAGGCCATCTGGCCATAAGCGATGACCATGTCTTTGGAGGACGTTGTGTGATAAGGTCAGAGAGGCGGATGGAGGTGCGTTTTATACTAGTGAAGTGAAGGGTTGGAGCTGAGTTTTCATGACCGTGTGTTCACTGGGATGGGATGTGAAGTCTTGTGTTGGGCATTAGGCAAGCAGCAGTTTATCGCGACTGCCATTCGAGTTGTGGTTATTCAACAGAGTTAGCAGTTGTGGTATTAAAAGCCATTAAAACTGTTGGCTAACAAAATGAGCAGAGCGTGACCGTGAGATGTGTAAGTCTCGCGCTTGCTTGCAATGCGCCATACTTGCCATGGCTCTTCTGATCCAAATCTTCTCGACACCGTCAACCGACTCTCGGCTCACGTTGTGACACACGATTCTCGTCTCGTTCTCCATCTAGCATTCCTGCTCAGTATCTTGGCCTTGAGAATGATGAGATCCTTTCGTCCCCTCCCCATATTTCCATCGACATGCCTTACTCGACCTGTCTCGTCGGTGACATGGAAGAAAGTATCAATGCAGCTGTCAAGTTTGGTGCGACCAAAACTGTTTCCCAGTCCTCGAGATCGTAAGGTGTATAGTCGAGACTCATCTCTGTCCATACTGATCCATAGCCAACTTCCCAAATACTTTGTAGTGCTGTTATAGATAGGTCACAGGTGAGTCAAAATGTCATCATTCTACTAAGAACCTTTTTTCATTTAAACAGATAATTTGGTATATATAAGGTCAAGTGTCTTAAGGTTCTTCTCTATCCAAGGTTTTAGCAATCTTTGTGAAAGATGAACAAACCATACGATAAAAGCGTTAGGCGCGAAACCTATAGTCAAAGATTTGCAACACTAAGTTATAGACTGAAGAATGATTAAGCATTCTTTTATATTGTAATTTATTATTACATGCAAGCAATGATTAAAGATGGCGAGGTTCTAGTTGACTGGATTAGAAGAATTATGCCGTCACACATAATGCAAATTGACCTCAATACAAGGGACCCATGAACTTCAACCGGCTTTGTAAAAGATGTTGGTCTCACAGGACTACACAGAGAACCAGATGAAGCTTCCATTCACGGATGTCTCTAAAAGTGATTCTCGTTTACATCAGCGAGATTGCTGCATTGATATAGGTGTTTCTGTACCCATCTAGAAGCTTTGGGAAGGCTCTTTAGTAGTGATGCTCAAGGCGACTGTCTTGTGTCGACAAAGAATGCGAATAGAGGTATTGTCTGTAGTGTTCCATGGCGTCGATGTCGATTGTCGAGTTCCTATTGAGACGAGAAACGACAACAAACGTCAAGATCCGGTCTCTCTCTATCTGAACCTCAGGTTCGACAACCTCATCCGCTACTTCTTCTCTCCCTTCACCAAGCTCATCACCATGTCGGCCCCCACTATGCCTGAGAACTTCGACAAAGTCTGGAAAGAGTTGATCAAAGACAAAAGTGTCACAGAGAACGGCGTCTCGGTCCCTCGCCCTGAAGGCCCTCCCAAAGTGTCCTTCTCTGCTCTCCCAGGAGATCCGCAGCTCGACGGCCCAGTCCTGACCTGGAACTCCGAACGCATGCTATCGGGCCACCGGCCGCATGATCCGCGCATCATCAATGACATATTGATAAGCCTCGTGCCTGACGACAACATGGAACAGCTCGAGAAGATCTACCAGCATGAGTACGCCAATGCAATGCTGCAGGAGTACTGGAAAGTCAGGTCGGAGAGGGTCAAAGGCCAGTGGGAGGAGTGGAAGCACGTCGCGGCCAAAGCTGGTGTAGACCTCGCTGCTGCAGAGTCTGGCAACGATGGAGTCGCTACTGCAATGCAGTATGCTATACTCGACCGCGCCCAAGGAAGAGTCATCCACTGGTCCAAGGTTGTCGCGCAAGAAGAGGCTCGGGTTCAGCGAGAGAACTAGTTCGTTCTCGCATACTCTGCTACCAGAGAGAGTGCAAGCGTGTCGGTAAGTGGATTTCAACGTCACAAGCTGTTGAAGAGCAGTTCGATTGACGATCGGTTACCTCGCAGGGCCCCGACGATGTCCGAACAGCGGCAAACAACTTTGCCGCTTCAAATCCATCTCCTCAAACTCAGCCTTCGGCGAGGACAGCACAGTAACTGCTCCACCTGCTCCGATGCGCCATACACCTTCATCATCCCACTGAAAAGCAGTTCGAATCACAACTGAGAAGTCTCCACCTCCTCCGACGTCAAAATACCCAAGCACACCACTGTAGATGCCTCTTGCGTTCCCCTCTATTTCTGTCAACAACTCGCATGATCGTTTCTTTGGTGCACCCGTCATGGATCCTGGAGGAAGAGAAGCTGCTAACACATCAATGCCGCTATGTCTTGATCCTTCTTGCAGCTGTCCCTCAATGACTGACACAAGCTGGAAAACAGTTTGGTACTCTTCGACGGCCATCAACTTCTCAACTTTGACATTTCCAGAGCCCACGACGCCGTGCAGGTCGTGCCTGATTAAGTCGACGATCATCAGGTTTTCAGCCCGTTCCTTGTCCACATTCAACAATGCTTCTGCTTCTTTCCTTGTAAGACCATTCTTCTTCTCCACAGTGCCTTTGATAGGTCTGAACTGACACTTTCCAGCTCGCGACCAAGACAAAAATCGTTCTGGGCTTGAAGATAGAATGGTGACACCGTTTCCCTTTTGTTCCTCTTGTTTCAGTCGGAGGAAGGCGCCAAAGGGTGCCGGATTGAAGCTCCTCAATCGTTCATAGAGCTCAAATGAATTCGGCTGTAACCCTTCATCGTACGAAACAATGCTCTGGTCAGTCAAGCAAAGTTCGTAGGAACTTCCAGCACGGATGTGATTTTGGCAAGCTTCGACCTTTCGCACATACTCTGCCTCTCCCGGAGCAGCAATCGCAGGTAGTATTGGCTCTGTTTTGTCACTGCGCGTAGATCGGCTTGCGCTGGGCTTTTCGATGAGCTCCTTTACAGTCGCTTCGACCTTTTCGAACCAACAATCATCTTCTCCTTCCAAGCTTTGAATGTAAACTTTCCTCTCAACGTGATCGACAACGATACTGCGTGACACAAAGACGAACCAGACATCCGGGCGATCGTTGTTTGTGTGTTGCGAAACATCGATCGTCTCCAAGCCAGCTTCGTAAGACACGAAACCAACGAGTCCTCCCCAGAATGGTATGTCAGCACTCCCGTCAGTTGCTCGGTTTGCGTTCATGAACGATTCGACTTCAGACCAAACTTCTGTCATGGATCCTGGACATGACGTGTTTGAGCCTGAGAGGTCGCTGGTGATTATGTGATTTCCCGTGGAGTATCGAATGGAAGGGGCGTTTTTGGCACAACCGATTATGCTGAAACGGCCGGTCTCAGGTCGTACTGGCTGTCCGTTCTTGCTACCAGACTCTAGCATGATTGCCTGTTGATCAATGTCTTGCAGGTTCCGGAGCAATAGAGCCACATCAACAATGTCAGAGCACATTTCAACACACTTCCAGCTGACAAATCTTGTTGGAACTGATCGTCTCGATCTTGACGAATCCCGAGTTGCAGCGGGAGTCGTGGCTGTAGTATCTCTGACTGTGGGGTTGACGGCATCGAACAGAGAAGACGACGTGCTTGCTGAATCGTCACCACTTTCGCTATTAGCCTCGTACGAGTCTACGTCAATGGTTGGACTCGGTAGTTCTTTTCTCTGGACTCTAGCTGCCCGATCGATAGTCCAAGCTAAAGCCTCGGACCACCAATTGTGGATGATTTTTGCACCAGCAGAGCTCGTGCAGATAGACTCTGGGTGGTATTGCACACCGTAGAAAGGTTTGTCTGAGTGTCTGATACCCATCAGGATTGGACCATTTTGATCATCCGACAGATCCCAAGCCAGTGGTACAATATCCGGGCAGCTTGGAGTGATCTTCCATAGCTCCGGGGAATTCTTAGGTACAGTATGGCCGAGTTTTGCATGAAGCGAATGATACTGAGTGACCGTGAGGAGACCGATGTCTTTAAACAGTGATTGACCTTGGTGAGAGACTTCCGTGACGAGACCGTGGCGAGGTTGGTGGAGTCTATCAGCTGTGCCACCAAAGGCCAAGGCGAGACTTTGGAACCCAAGACATATACCCAGGACTGGCAAGCAGACTTCGTCTGGTAGGTTCCACAGTTTGCCGATGAGACCCAAGTCATGCGGGTTCCTAGGATCTCCAGGACCAGGACCAGCAACTACAGCATCGAATCGACCGAGGAAGGCGTGGAAGGATGCATTATGAGTTTTGGCGAATCTTTTATCATCGATTTTGATTACTTCGACAGTGGCATTGAGATCCTGTTGAAGCAGATTGATGATATTGTTGCTAAAGGAGTCATAGGCATCCAGGAAGAGTAGATGGGGGCGGTGCATTGGAACAAGTCCCTAACAGGTCCAGAAATCAAGAGAAGGGGATATCGGGAAAGAGGGTGAGCCTTTCGATGCAGACTGTCAAGAACATGCGAGCCAGATGATGTCGAGCGGTGATATTATGAGAGACGGCAACTGAGATGATGAATCGATGTGTTCTAGAAAGAAAAGCTGGAGAAACTAGAGCCGGATCGGGTAAGGCTTTCCCGTAAAGTCTATATCAGCCCTACGGCTCAGTCACGTCCGGCGGCGGGCAGTCGCGACAGCTTGGCGATATGACGCTCTTGCTTTTCACATAAACAGACACAGAAGCGAAGATTGGGCAAGGCACTCAAGTCTTGACTGAGAAAGATGGCCAACACATGGAACGGCACACCGCTGGACGAGGTGCAGTTTCGTCGGCCAGACGTGATCGGCTGGTGGGGCATCAATGAAAACTCCAGTATGCACGATATCTATCACCTTCAGTTCACGATTAACCTTCTCTTCAGTTCACGCCATCCTTCGCGAAACACCCTTCTTCGATCCGACCAGCAAGAATGGCCTCTTATGGAAGCAAGCCGAGGTCCATCCTCCGATCTGGGAAATGTGCACAAACAGACAAGCCTTCGAGACACGACTAAAGCAGATGAACGGCGTTGAATACCTGATCGTCGGCGAACCCCAACCAAACACAGATCCAGCATTGGGCCCAGACACGGGTATCTGGGTCATCCGCAAGCAAGACCGTCGCAAGAGACCTCCACAAGCCGATGAGATCACAGTCCTGGCTACCTACTACATGGTCGGCGAGAATATGTACCAAGCGCCCTCGGTCTACGATATCGTCGGCAACCACCTACTCTCAGCCATGAACTCTCTCACAAAGTTTACTCAAGCCGCCGCTCCTCTCCCGCTCTACGCTCCTGCGACAGGATACACCTACTTCCCGCCAGCCACAGCAAAGTCTCTCGCCGCATCACAAGCCTTGACAGCTACTAGTCGAGAAGCAAGCACAGCACCCACACCAGCCGAAATACCTCCCACAGCAACCCTGGAGCCCACCGCACAACCCACAACCTCAACCCTCGAATCAAAAGCCACCACAAAAGACGCCGATCCCCGCGCCCAAAAAGCCTTCTACGAATCCCTCCATAACATGGTTCTCTACGGCGACGAATACATGGACGAAAACCCTCTCCGCGGCGAACCAGGCAACTTCACCTTCTCAGCCACAAAACACCACGTGCGTGCAAAAGCCGAAGCCGCCGAGGCTGCAAAGCTCAAAGAAGCAGAATTGGCAAGGAAATTGGAAGAGGCAAGATTGGCCGCCAAAGCCACACCGTTTGCGTCAGCAGCTGCGAAAAAGGATGAAGAGGAAAAGACAAAGAAGAAGGTCAGGGATAAGATTAAGAAGAGGAGGAGTAAGGGGTTGGCTACTAATCCGAGTACGCCTGCTAGTCCTGCTACTCCGGCTGCTTAGCAGACACATTGATGATAAACATGATACCCACGTCGCAAACCATTCCAAACCCTCAGCATATGCCACTACCTTCGAGCTGCTTACTCGAGTACAAGACCATTGGCACACCACCCTCAATCTCGATATCCAAATCGCCCTTGTCGTCCGTCGTAAAGCTATCACAAGCCAGCACGTCCGTAACGTTCATCTCAGCATCGAATCCCGAACTCGTCCCCAGCAACGTAAAGTTTCCACTTCCGCTTGCTCCGAAATTGTTGAATACACCTATAACCTGTGTGTCATTGTTTCCCTTCCTCATCACAATAATATTGTCATCCGTCCACACTGGGTACGCATTGTAGCTCAGATACCCATCGTCTCTCTGAACAGCCAAGTGACGGATAGCATTGAGCTTGGCGATATGCTTGTACAACACAGCAGAGGTATCGTAGCCAGATTTCCAAAGCTGCTCTCGTTGTGTAGGTGTCGATGAGCCGTCAAAATGCTGTTCTTGGCCTTGATAGACGATGGGAATGCCATCAGCAAGCATCTGAAACGCAATCGCATTCTTCGCCAACGCCATATCAGACGTCAAACTTGCAAATCGAGGATTATCATGGTTTTCGAGAAAGGAGCCGAGCAGAGTCACGTCTTTGCAAGTTGACTTCATGGTCTCGATGCCGGTGGCTAGTGCTGCGATGGAGCCGGATGTGGAGGCAAAGGCGGAGGTTATGTTGTAGTACATTGGGTAGTTCATTACTCCTGAAAGGTAGTCTTGGTATGCGCAGACGTAGTCGGCGTTGTTGTTGAAGACTTCGCCAATGGCGTAGATTTCTGAGGCTGATTCGAAGGCTGCGAGGGAGTCTTTGCTGACTTCAGCGGCGCTGTCGATGCGAAGACCATCGACTGGGAGGGGTTAGCTGTAGGTAGATTGAAGGAAGGTGGTGTCTAGTACTTGTATAGTTGGAAACTAGTTGTTCAATCCATGTTGCCCACGTATCTTGTATGGATGTATCTTCAACGCGAAGGTCGGGCAGCGAGACAGTGTTGTCGCCTTCCCAGCACTAGATTCGTGTCAGCTGAACTCCAAAGCAATATGCGATGTAGCTCACAGTCTCCATGCTGGTCTGATTGTTGTAGTCGATCAAGCAGAAAGGATGATAGTATGACTCTTTGTCGAATGGATTGAAGATCGAGTAGTCCACACAATCGCCACAGCCTGCGTATCCCATGTGATTGGTGACTACGTCAACCATCAAGTACTGGTGGATGATTAGTTAAAAGCTTATCGTGAACAAGAAGTCCGTCATACCATTCCTCTCTTGTGCAGGGCTTCTGATAGTGATACTAGGTCTGCAGCAGAGCCAAAGTTGGTGTTGACGGCATATATATTTTGTGCCCAGTACCCATGATAGCTTGATCCATCAGCAGTCGAGGCATTGAGGTTCTCCACTACCGGTGAGATCCACACCTGTTCATCAATCAGTACTTGCTGGCATTGGGACACCTCATACTGACAGCTGTGAAACCCATGTTTTGGATATAGTCCAGGTGGCTGATGAGTCCTTGCCATGTGCCCCCACAGTAATCGCCGAGGTCACAGGACGCAGTCGTAGATCCATCAGTGCGAGCAAATCTATCAGTCATGACCTGATAGATAGATTGGGCTCGCCATCCCGAAGGAGAAAGGCCGTGTACAACAGTCAAGATTGCAGATGATGAGAGAAGTGTTCTGAGAAACATGATGAAAAGGGTCCAAATTCCGATATGATAATCGATGAAAGGCCATCTGAAGAGCGGACAGCAGCAGAACATTTATTCCATTCTTTGCTGCAGGACAGTCGAGTGCCATCAGCGTCATCGTACCTGCGCCTCAGGATGCAACACAAGGCTCTCAATCGCGAGCCTGCTCAGATTTGCGAATATGCATCTCTTTTGAGATGACAATCCTTACCGCTGATGGATCGTCCTTTCTCAAAGTCAGCACCTGACGCTGAAGCTATGATCCGTTGCCACAATCGTCTTTGAGTGAGCGCATGATCATTGGAGATTGCCGCTATAACTCTGAAATGCAGAGAGCTTGGCTTTGTTGTTTCGGAAATATACCAAGCAGGATGTTCTCCTTCATGACTCGGGCTCATGGATATCCAGTCAAGTAAGAGTATGCTTGTTTTCGGGGGGCGACCTGAAACGCCAATGGGAGATAGTGGTGTTGTCGCTGTACCTGGAGGCTCCAGTGTCAGACCTCACTAACAGTTAGATTATGCCACCACCATTGTAAGGCCGTGGCATCCTTATGCACGTCGGGTGAGAACGACAAGAGCTGGTAGGCTGAGGAGCGTCACATGCTGAGTATACTGTAACTCGGTTTAGCCCGTCGGACAATTTGAAGAAGGCTTAAGACGTTGGATGATTTCTCCTGCATAGTGGCTTCCTGGTTTTGTGACGTTAGCCTTGAGTCAAAAGACGACTGAGTAAGACGGGCGGTTGACGCGTCGACCTATAAGCACATCTGCGACACAAGAAAAAGGTGATGGTTATTGGATTAGATCCAGGGCAGTATAGCCATTCACTAGATGCTGAGGAGGAACCAAGGTAGTGAGAAACTTTTCTCTCCGGCTAGATTGAACGTGAAGGCTGCACTCTGGGCGGTGGGTTACATGAGCAGGGTTGGAGGCGAGTGTTACGTTGTAGCGGCCGGAGGGTGGTGTACTGTTTCTTGTTACATGTACACGATTCGTGGCACTTGACGGTTGGACATGCATCAGGATGGAGGACCGAGATGCGCAAGGCGGCTTCACATGGTTATGTGGGGGGCTGCGGGGTTGGCAGTGATGCTGTTTTTGACCGAGGGCGGTAAGCCTTTAGCATGTGCAGGTCGCAGTACAGAAGTCATGTCGTGACACGACGTTGCTATTTGCATGGAAGCAAGCCATGTGGTCGGTACGACTTGAGAAGTTGCAATCCTCCGTCGCAAAACATAGATTCTGACCATGTCGTCTTTGCTGAGGAACATGACCCTGTCCTTGCACCACTCAGGGTCTTCGAGCTCATGACGTAGCTGGAGTAGCGACGATCGGCGATGTCATTGTGCCGGGCGGCCATGTGCCAGTCGAAGCTTCTGCGCATGCCGAGTGTGAAGATACCGTGTTTTGGCCAATCTTGTACAAGGCCGTATCAACCGTCGCTACAAGCATGAAACAGCCTGGGGATGCGACAAACAACGAGGACGCCGACGAAGCCCTCGACTCGCTGCTTCTCATGAACGAAGCCTGGTATGCAACCAATCTCTCGACGTCACGCGTCTCGCCCATTCTCCGACTAACGCTTGCAGGGATGAAAGTGACATCGGCTCACAGAAAGACTGGCCAGACACTTTGCGCGCACTGGCGCCATGCGTCTTCACCCTCTCACATCCAGCTGCTATCTTCTGGGGCGACAAGCTGTCCATGATATACAATCCAGCCTGGGAAACATCATCACACCAAGCTTTGAAACAAGGCAAACCGCCCACCGACGCCTTCCAGAAAGACACATTAGATACCCTTCGCCAATATCTTCAAGGCCGTATACCACGATCTGTAGTCGCCGCCGAACTACCGGGACACCACGCCGCAAGCACAGGGAAATCATCCGTCGTCTGCAGCCCCATACACGATGATGCCAAGGTCGCTGGCGTCCTGGTACAAATATTCAGCGAAACTGGGCATTCACAGAACAACAAGACAAAAGATAATTCTTCAAATGAGGAGAAAAGTCATAAAGAATCAACAAGGGAGAAGGCAAATGACTCTGACGATAATGACGAAACCGCCTTGGACCGACAGCCGTTCTTCCAAAAATTTGCTGAGATGCTGCCGACTGGTCTCGCCATCCTCAATCACAAAGCGGATCCGCTATTCGTCAACCATCAATTCCATAATTTGACTGCTCACCGTGGTCCAGACCAGTCTTTCAGAATGTGGCCAGAGACGATTCATCCAGACGATTATGAACGAGTTATGGATGAGTATCACAAGGCCTTCGACTCACAGACGGATTTGGAAACAGAATTCAGAGCGTTTGGAGAAGATCAGTGGAGACTCTTCTTGATGCGGCCACTTGGAAAGAACAATCTCCAACAGTTCGATCTCCGCCGATTTGGCGGATACATCTGTGCCCTGATTGATGTATCTGACATGAAGAACGCCGAGATTGCTCAAACCAGGGTTGCAAAAGAAGCTCGGGAAAGGAAGCAGCAGCAAGAACGTTTCATTGACATGTACGAGCATCGCTGGATCGAGAGAAGTGAACCCAACCTTGCTAACCTTATACAGGATTTCCCACGAGATCAGGAACCCACTCTCAGCTGTTTTACATTGTGCCGAGAACATACTGGATGCCGTGAAGGGCGGCGAAGCAAAGTCATCTGACGTTGCTGTGGACGAGATTGTCGATGCTGTACACACAATTCAACTTTGTGTAGATCATCAGGTAAGTCTTGCGGACGAAATTCTCCCCATAGTAAACTAATACCTCCTACAGAAAACTCTCGTAGATGATGTGCTCAGTTTCTCGAAGCTTGATGCATCCATGCTTTCGCTCGCCCCCAGGTCAGTATACTTGTTCCAAGACGATGTTCACCCACTGACTCCTGACAGAGCTACGAAACCGAAAGTCCAAATGGCAGACACACTCAAGATCTTCCAACCCGAATTGCGCAAGAAAAGCATCGACTTTAGCTACAATATCATGCCTGAATATGATAGATGCAACGTGAATTGGGTCATGGCAGATCTTGTAAGAGTGAGTCAAGTGATGGTCAATCTCATGACCAACGCCATCAAGTTCACGACCAAGTCTGAGCGCACAAAGAAGATCGCTATTGAAGTTGCTGCTTCGATAGAGAGACCGACATCATATCCACCCAACGTAGTCTTCTTCAAGACCGACGACGTTGCTATCAAAACTGATGCAACTGGAAACCCTGAGTGGGGAGATGGCGAACCTCTATACGTTATGGTCGCCGTCAAGGATACCGGCATTGGTATAAGCGAAGAGAACCAAGCAAAACTGTTCGAACGATTCCAGCAAGCTACACCCAAGACGGGGCAGATGTATGGTGGGTCCGGACTTGGCCTTAACATCGCCCGCAAGATGTGTCAGTTGCATGGAGGTGAGATTGGAGTCAGCTCGATTGAGGGTGAAGGGTCATGCTTTGGCTTCTTCTTCAGAGTAAGACGTAGTGGCGAACCTGAAGATGCCGACAAGCTGGAGCCCAAGGAGCTGTCAGATAAACTCAAGAAGTCTGGACATGTGGAGACCACAGAAGTTGACGAGGACAAAGTCTCGAGCGACTTGAAAAATATCTCGACGGAGAACACTGGAACGCACAATGAAGGACCACCAAAGGATCGATGGCAAAATACAGCCGACAAGGCAGATCCATTGAGCGAACAGCACAATGACGGCAAGTCTACGGGCGATCAAGGAGGAAAATCACATTCCAGAGCTCAAGATGATGAGTCTCAACGTCAACAGAAGAGACCGGCCAACGCAGGACGAAGCTCACAGCGACCTGATCCCACACAAGAGAAGCAGCAATCTGGCCACTTTGAAAGCAACGACAAGCGCGCCACGGACGACACTGAACAAGAAAGAATGGCCGCGAAGCAGTATGAGGATACTGGTAAAGGTGCCGAACAAGTCTCAAATCCAGACAGCGACACCAAGCCCACTATACTTTTCGTTGAGGTACGTGACATCGTGCCATCACAAGATAAGCTACTGACATAGCTTGCTAGGATAATCTAATTAATCAGAAACTTCTGAAGAAGAAGATCGAGTCCAGAGGCTTCCGGGTCACGACCGCAGATAATGGCAAGGAGGCCTTGGACATGATTACAGCCCGTTCTTCTGAACACAAACCTCCTTTCGACTGCGTACTCATGGACCAAGAGATGCCCGTCATGGACGGCACCACTGCTTCTCGAGAGATCAGGAAATTCGAGGGCGACAACAACCTGCCGGCTGTCAACATCATCGGCGTGACGGCGAATGTGAGACAAGAACAACAAAGCCAAATGACAGACGCTGGGATGAACGACGTGTTAGCCAAGCCGTTCAAGATGGAAGAGTTGCTGGAAAAGGTCAGGCGAGGCAGCAAGTCGTGATTATGAGGAATGTTTTGCATGAGGAAAAGGATTAGGAAAGCGAGTTTGTGATATCTCTACTTTTGGTTGCATTGTATAGGCTTGCGTATTATTGACGACGATTTACGATGCTACAGACTCGGACCGCGGAGTCAAGTTCGAGTGAGAACCGAACGAGGCATGAATGTGAAGAGAACAAGTTTGAACAGACAGATACCTATCGTTGCCGCCGTGTGTGACAAACTTCCTCGCAAGCCGCGGACGCCATTCGGCGGCAGTCTCGGCTTTTTTGACCAGCTTTCATCACACGAACCAACCACGTCCTGCGAAAAGACGTACTTTGTCTCTACTGTAGGCGCTCGATACGAAAATCGGTCGCCATTTGTGATGATGTGGTGGAGAGATAATTATAGCACGCCGCCGTTACTCTACCGAAGAGAAACCTTCAACCATGTCTGGTTCACGACTTCTCCCCCTCATCGTGTGATGCGCAATGGATATTCTACGCCTGGCAACGTCTGCTTGCGATCACAATGTCGAGCAATGCCACCAATGTAACTATCACGACGGAGACATGCGCATACTGGATGAACGAAGGCGCTATTCCCGAAGCTGATACCGAGATCTCGGGAATAGGTGCCATCTTGGCTTTTTTATTGAGTGCATATATCACCTTTGCAATCGTACTGGTCTCATATCTACTGGGTTCCATTGATTCGAGCTTGCTTCGACCTGTTGATCGCTATGTCCACCGCTGTGGTCGACGGCGCACAAGTCCCTCCTGGCATAAGGCGCTGCAGCAATGCGTTCTTCTCCTCAGCGACCAGCAGATCGTGACTGGCATCGCTATCTGTATTGCAGGTTTCATCGGTTTACATGGCCACATCTCGGTGTATCATTTCCAGACAGTCATCATGCTGGCTTGGATGTCGAGTTCAGTCCATCTTTCAGCCCTCACTATGCTCGGAGAATATTTTCGCAAACGACCTGCAGTGCTAGGCTGGCGTATTATCGGTATGCTGGTGTTATTGGTCCTCCTCTTGGTGGCCCTGGTGCCTACTGCATCCAACCTTTGGGCCTTGTGGTGGGGACCAAATCAGGAAAAGTACGATGAAAGGACTAGTTGGGCCATTCCAGCCAGATGCTTCTTCTTCAAGACATGGGGAGAAGGCGTCAACCCCGATGCACCTCTGGCATATTTGATTCTTATCACCTCGTACGTCTGGAAGATTGGAGCCTTGTTCAAAAGCTCCAGAAACATTTTCCATCGCCGAATCAGAGGACCATACGAGTATGTACTGGAGCGTATACTACATGCCGAAGCAGTCAAGGCTTCAAGCCGGCACAACAAGCGCAAGGCTTTATCGTGGAAGTACTATGCCACGATGATAGTCTATATCATCCTTCTGGCCATCTTCGAATTCGCCGCATCATTCGCGGCGTCACTGTGGTTGTCGTATGTTGGTCTTGTCTACGGCACCATCCAAATCGTGATACCACGTCAGCAGAATGCTTGGTGGAATAAGAAAGAAAGCGATTGGACTTTCGGTCAGATCACGCCTCTTGTTTTGCTCATCCAGCCCATGGGCGCAATCCTTGAAAATTACAGAGGACGCAAGCACAAGAAGAGAAATGATCGCAATTCACTCGACAGCGAAGAAGAATCCTACGAGCTCAACTCCTCCACCAACTCTGCCATGCTATCTCACCGAAACGCCTCGGACACTTTCCAACCAACCTTCTCAGAGACTTTCGCAGCACTTGAAGTCCTCAGACCTTCCGAGCGTTCGGTGGACACGCTGGAACATCAACTACCTTTCTACTCCTCGACCTTATTCGCCGCGATGATTGTCTGGATACAGATTGGCATTGCGATCATTTCGTCAATCGTGTTTTGGATCGATGCTGAGAGTCTTGGGTATATCACAAGTCACAATTATTTCTTTGTGCTTATAGGTATCGGCTCTTGCTTTGGCGCGATGATTATCTGGACTGTGGCTTCTATACCTTTCAGCCGGGTGTTCAAGTAGACGATCGGAGTTGCGACTTTGTTTTTCTACTCTGGCAGACACACGCGGAGAGTTGTTGCGGTGTCGCACTTACCTCATCTTTTGGCTACAATTCAGAAGGTCGATTTGAAGAAGGCCATGACAGATGTCAGATCTATTTATGAAACCTGGCTGCGAAGCCGAACGCGGCAGTGTCGCTCTGCTTGGTTGTCCCTCATCATCTGCTCGATTTCTAGGAATGTTCGCTCCGTTTGGAAGCCAAGCTGATGAAGCTTCTGCAATCTGGCACCCTGAGCCTCGAGGGCGTGGCACGTTCAATATATTTTATGATCTTGTGTGTGTGGACTGCAGTACACCTCAATATTCCGGATCACAACGGGGGAAAAAGACAGAAATTCCTGCACAAATCTGGCTGGCTACTTTTGGCTCTGCTCGCTCCGGAAATCCTCGTCTGGAACGCCTGGGAGCAGCGCCAAATGGCTCAAGATTTGACGAATGCTTTGGATGAAATACAATTATCTCCGTCTATTTGGATTCGACTTGCGCGGGCATGGTACACCGCGAAACAGTATCTTTTGTGTTCGAAGGTATGGGGTCCAATGCTCGAGGACCGAGATCTACTGCTCACTTTACGCCAGCAGAAATCTCGTTCGGACCTTGAAAATGGAAAGAAGTCCAACTCAGATGCAAAGATCACTTTAGTTCACGGATTTTATGCAGCTATGGGTGGCTATGCGATACCATCCCACTTCATGGACAATCATTATCCCATCACCGGTCGAACGAGGTTGACTCTGACCAAGGTAGGCATAATTTTGCTGTTGAAGATCGCCCCGGAAGTATTCCCCAACATTAGCGAAGCCGAAATACTCGACAAAAGCAAGGCCAGCACCTTGGTCAAGACCTTGACATGCTTGCAAGCATTGTGGGTTTGTCTCCAGTGTATCTTACGACTGACTACGAACAGTTTAATCACTCTTCTTGAACTCAATGTTTTTTGCCATTGTATTTGCACATTCATCATCTATGCGGTCTGGTGGAACAAACCTATGGACATTTCCGAACCGACTCTCTTAAGAATCATGGAGAAGCTAGAGTATCAAGGACTGATCGGGCTGCTCCGCTCGTATACCTCGAGAACGGTGCCGCGAATACCTCATCCTCTTGCCGAATGTGTTGTGGCAGGACACGAGTATAGACGTAACAATCTGAGAGCACACGAGTATGGGCGTGACGTTCTGAGAACGCTTGTGCCCCACCCGCAGTTCTCACAACAATCTTGTCTGACTACCCGGTTCAAGACGAAGGATCAACCAGTCAGCGATCACCTCGAATGGCTCGATCGTGCAAGATCTCTGGATAGATGTTAAGATACGGGTTTCATATGCGGGAATCATTGTCTTTGCACTCCTCTACGTCTTCGCCAGAGTTTACCTAGTGGTCGAAAGCTTTCTTAGTCTTGCATATTTGCCGGAATCGGCCTGTACCACACTGCAGTTCTCGCTTTATTTCCCCCATATTGGGTAAGCGGTTCGTGTCTACTCCAGACCGGCTATCCAGCGGGTCACAAGGGCGGTTCCACTCAGAAGACCGACAAGATACTGGCCAACCGAGATACGGCAGCGACATATTCATGTGCTCAACGCATGGGTGCATGCAACGGCCATACCGATATTCACCAAAACCGACATTTTGCCTTACGCGAGGCGATGTATAGCTCCGGCTATTTCGCTGCATACCGCACTATCTCTCGCCGTGAAAAACAAGCCTCGGCTGTCTCTTGGCCACGTGTGGAAGAACTCTAGAGTCTAGAATCCATCTCAGACTCCTCTCCAGACTCTTCTTCAGGCTCTTCTCCAGGTGCGGCGTATCGTCCCGTGTCTGTGGGGTTGTGACCATTATCCGACCATCCATCTCCGCACTTTACCCGCAGGCAACTTCCTGTCTTGGTTTAGGTGCGATGGTACCTGAACACGTTGTATGTGTGAAGCCATAGACGAATGCATGAATGAATGCATGATGGGGCCACTTGTCCAAGTCTGTCTACGCCTTACGACACCTTGTGCCAGAAACATTTTCAAGGAGCGGGGTTCTCTATACCTGCTCAAGTCAAGCGCTGCTGCATCTAGTATATTGCCGGACTGATGGTATAGCAAACATGCAGCAGCCGACCCCTCTGGACTACGCCTACACACCTCGACTTGCGGCAAACCGGCACTGTACGGGCTATGTTGTAGAGTTCATGGGCTCATGAGAGTATATAAGACAACTGGCCGCCGTGGTGAATTGATTGCAACAAGAACATTATCACCACCGCCTCATAGCAATGTCTTCTATCCTCGCTCTTACGGGTTTGCTTGCTATCGCCGCTGCCCAGCAGATCGGCAAGACTCCTGAAGTTCACCCAAAGCTGCCGACTCAGCTCTGCACCACCCGTCATGGGTGTGTGACCCAGCAGACCTCAGTTGTGCTCGACGCCCTGACTCACTCGATCCAGAACATCAAGACCGGTGCTTCCTGCGAGAACTCGACAGGCTTCCCGGATCAGACCATCTGCCCGAATGCCCAGGCTTGTGGCCGCAACTGTGCCATTCAGGGCATCAACGACTATGCTCAACACGGTGTTACAGTCAGTGGTAACTCTATGACGCTTCATCAGTATCTAAACGTCAACGGCACCGAGACTAGCGTCTCTCCGCGCTTGTATCTACTCGCTCCCGGAGGCCAGAATTACGATCTTCTGAAACTCCTGAATCAAGAGTTCACCTTCACCGTAGACGTGAGCAATCTACCATGTGGCATGAACGGCGCATTATATCTCTCTGAGATGTCTGCCACCGGTGGTCGCTCGTCCCTCAACCCAGCAGGTGCCGCCTACGGTACTGGCTACTGCGATGCTCAGTGCCCGAAGTCGGCATGGATCAACGGCGTGGCCAACATTAACGATAATGGCGCCTGCTGCAACGAGATGGACATCTGGGAGGCTAATGCTGTGGACACACAGTTCACCCCTCACGCCTGCAATATCACTGGCTTATATGAGTGCTCTGGTGCCTCCTGCAGCAGCACTGGTGTCTGCGACCAGATTGGATGTGGCTACAACTCCTACGCTTATGGCAACAAGACCTTCTATGGTCGTGGAGATGTTGTCAACACGAACAAGGTAATTCGAACGTGGTCAAATATGGGCAGAACCGTTCGCTGATTCTTTGTACAGCCTCTCACAGTAGTCACGCGATTTTACACAAGTGATGGTACTGCCACTGGCACTCTCAGCAACATCACCCGCCTTTACATCCAGAACAACAAGGTCATCCAGAACGCTGTCGTTCAAGTCGCCGGTATGGGTGTCAACTCCATCGAGGAACCCTTCTGCGAGATCGTGGCTTCGTCATTCCAGCAGCACGGCGGACTTGCACAGATGGGCAAGGCACTCGGACGCGGCATGGTCCTCGCCATGTCCATCTGGAACGACCCCGGTCAATTCATGAACTGGCTGGACAGCGGCAATGCTGGTCCTTGCAATGCTACCGAAGGCAACCCTGCTCTGTATGTGATCTTGATCATCCTTGCGTTTTTTTAGGTTGGCTAACATTTGGTTTACAGTATTGAGGCCAATGACCCTACTACGAGTGTTACTTTCAGCGATATCAGAATTGGAGATATTGGCTCGACTACCAACACTGGTCGTGGTGGCTACCAGTTCTTTGCTTGAGTGCTGGAATAGGTCTGACTCAGCTGAACTTGCTGCTTTTCGTTTCGTATTGTTTTTGGCTATCTTTTCTTTCTACTTGCCATATTCCTACAAGCTACCTTTTTCGCATTCAATTTCTTCCTCAGACATCCATGGCTATCAAGTCTCTTAGCATCCAGCACACTGCCTTCCGTCGACAGTTTAGAATGTTGATCTAAGATCCTTATATTGGACAGTTAAAGGCACATATTGCTAGTATGACACCAAATAATGTATGTCTGCCTTTCGAAGAGCCAAAGAATACTTGTCATTCTGAGAAGACTGCACGTATCATATTTTAACTCCTTGATGGCACATGGTAATTAATCATCACTCGACGTGCTTGATGTCAATACTGGCGAGGACGAAGGTGCGCGATCGTGAGGCAGTTTTACACGAGCTCGGCTGTTCTTACTGCTTAAAGTCCAACTACTCAACAGTTCAACGCGCCCACGACGGACGGGCGAGGAAACAACAGCAACCAACCGCTGGAAAATCACCGTTCGCACAACGTTGTGGTCCTGGAACTGATCGTCAAGATTGATACCTATTCTACTTGAAACAATGATTCTGATCTAGGAACCCGCTATTGACAGCTTCGTGGCATTGGCATGCAGAGAGTTCCAGGTCTACCTATGCATGGCAACCTCCCTAACGGCGTTGCGACTTCCGTCCCCTGTGTGATTTCCTACAACTACGGTTTTCGGTGATGGAGGGCAGACGTCTTGGTTTTCGATACACCGTTGGCGGTCGCGGCATGGGCGTTCGTTTCACACGTTGACTGTTAGATTGTTCCTTGCGGTAGGTGAACTTGGCTAAAGGAGATGCAAAAAGGTATATCTATGAGGCGGCGGCCTGTGATAACCTTCTGCTTCTTTTCCTTCAAGCCTTCTTCTCGTCGTTGACGGTGCTCTATACACTCTTTCTCATTGCAGTCTTTCGTGACTGCTAACCACTCTCTTTTTCTTGTCTCGACTCTGGAGTCAGACATCATCCATCAACAAGCCTAATTGAGCATCGAATCATCAGACAAGGATAAAAGGCACCATGTACTCGACTCTAGCCATCCTTTCCGGTCTCCTGACCTTCATCACCTTCACCACCACAGTCTCCGCCCACGGCTTCGTCCAGGGCATCGTCACAGGCCACAAATGGTACCCGGGCGCCCAACCCTGGTGGCGCGTGAACCCCTCCATCCCTCACGCCAAAACCGCAGGCTGGTCATCTCTGAACCAAGATCTCGGTTTCATTTCTCCCTCGGAATACAACACTGCAGCCATTGCTTGCCACAAAAGCGCCAAATCTACCAACACTCGCATCCCCGCAAAGGCTGGAGATAAAGTGAGATTGCTATGGAGCGAGTGGCCGGCGAGCCATAAAGGACCTGTTCTCACTTATATGGCAAAATGTCCTGGCGATTGCAGTATTGTGGATCCTACTACTCTTGACTGGTTCAAGATCGATCAGGCGGGTCTGATTAATGGAAATCCTGCACCTGGGTACGTGACGTCCTCTCTCTCTCTCTTCCTCCTCCCTTCCTCTTCTCTCTGTACTCTCATCACTAACAATCCACAGCACATGGGCCTCGGACACGCTCATCGCAAACAACAACTCCTGGACCATCACCATTCCTTCCACCATCATCGCTGGCTCCTACGTACTGCGCCACGAAATCATCGCTTTGCACAGCGCAGATCACGACAACGGAGCCCAAAACTACCCCAACTGCATCAATTTCCAAATCTCTGGAAAGGGAACTGCTAAGCCTGCAGGTGTCAAAGCTACAAAGTTGTACGGTGCCAAGGATAAGGGTATTGCGGTTAGCATTTATTGGCCCGTGTTGAAGAGTTATGCTATTCCTGGGCCGGCGGTGTGGAAGGGAGCGGTCAAGAGGTGGGTGGAGAGGATCTGGGAGGCATAAAATGGCGAGGAGGAAGAAGTGGGAATAGTAAGTAATAGATAATAAGAACATTTTGCAACTTTAATTTCCCTACGCCTGGGTAGTAAGGGTCGTATAGGAGGCTTTACGGTCAAGCATCGCAGCCTGCCCAGTAGTGCAAGCCTTTGCATTTCATCGTGTTATGGCTCTTACAGGATGGCTCCACAGAAAACAGTGAATGTAATGAGGTGCTCTTGATCTGGAAGCATGCCTCGTGATTCTTCGCCTTTGTTCAAACGAGGCAACGGTACGTACATCTAGTATACCCAACTTTTGCTACACTTCAACTCTATGCAGACGCTTCAACAAACTTCTTCCCACTAACCAACCACCTTCTCAATCTCCCAAGCACCGCCAACACGTTTCTGAACCACCTTCCTCGCGCCCACAGGCCAAGGCGTGCCTTCCTTCTCACCCCTCAGACTCAGCCCCACCCAGACTTCTCTGCGCTCCCTCCCATCAGCACCTCTAGGCAACTGTTCAATCTTACCCACCGGCTTGCCAATCTCCAGCAATGGCGTTCCCTCCGCAAGATTGGCGAGTTGCTTCGCCGTCACCGTGGTCAAAGGATGCAATCTAGTCTTTGGGATGTTGTCAAACGGAGGCGAAGGCGCTTGCCGCGACAAATGCGAGTAGATGATATAATCGGGCATTTCGGGCACTGTGAGGCGCGCGAGTACGGAGGAAGGATGGACGTAAGAGAGTTTGGCTGCGGCGCGGGCTTCGGGGTCTTGGCCTACGATGTCGCCAGAGCTGGAGGTGAAGAGGGTGCGGTAGGGGACTTCGATTGCGCGGCGGGGGTTGCGGGATAGTGCTACGCCGATGATGTCGGCGCGGACGGCGACTTGGTCGATGAAGCCTGCAGCGACGAATTGTTTGAGGATGGCGCGTTGTTTGTCTGTAGGCGGTGGGAGTGTCTTTTGAGACAGTGTAGGGTCGTCGGTGCCGGTGCGGGAGTGGCTGCGTACGATGGCTGTGAGTTGTTGTTTTAGCTGTCCGGCTTCCTTCATTGCTTTTTCGCGCAGGAAGTAGTCGGCACAGAAGGATGCTGGGGATGAGGAGGCGGAGTAGGCGGCCATTGCTGTCAACAGTTTTAATGCATCGCTGCGGTCGTCCCAGCGGGAGAGTGTGGCGTGTGCTTTGCCGTATGCTCTTCTCTTTACTTCTGCTGCTGAGGCGGCAATGTTGTCTGCTTCTGAGCGGATCTGGCGTTTGGCAAAGCGTTCTCTGGCTGTGTCGTTCTCATCGTCTGATTCTGCCTCGTCAGGGGCGTTCTCAAGATTATATTGAGTCTGTGGGATGAACAACTCGGGAACAGCTAGAGAAGCTACGAGAGCTATCGTGTGAGCGGAGAGGTTGTAACGTCTTCCCAACAACAGCATCCTTGCAAATCTTGGTGACAAGGGATATGCGGCCAACTCTTTGCCAGTCTCGGTGATCTTGCCATGAGCATCGATGGCACCGAGGTAGGTGAGGAGTTTCTCGGCCTTGGCTAGTGCCTTGCGATCTGGAGGTGTTGGGAAGGGGAAGTTGACTACGGTCTGAATGTCCATGTTCTTCAAAGACAGAACAACACCTTCGATTGGTGATCTGAGAATCTCAGGAATGGCGTACTCTTCGAAATCGCGTTCATAGACGGCAGACGAGTAGAGACGGTAACAGTGACCAGGTCCCGTACGACCGGCACGACCGGCTCTTTGAGCAGCACTGGCTTTGCTGATAAAGTCAATTTCGAATGTCTGAACACCAGTCGAGGCTTCGTATTTCTTTTCCTTTGAACGACCGCAGTCAAAGACGTAGCGAACTCCAGGGATTGTAAGAGATGTTTCGGCGACGTTGGTGGCAAGAACGATCAATCTTGAACCTGCTGGTGGCTCCTCAAAGACCTTGAGTTGTTGTTTTGTGGGAAGTTGGGAATACAGGGGCAGAACGTGGACCCTGAGCGCTTCCACAGGCTGCTCTTCGCCTTCAATCACGAATTCTTTGTCGTCCTCTTCATCTTCCAAGCCTGTGATCTCGACGTCCGAGTCGTCATCGTCATCGTCTTCGTCCTTTCTAGGCGCAGGCTGAGCTTCGGCATCCATGTCATCAATCTCCAGAGGAGCATCTGCTGCAGATACATGAACTCTGGGTTGCTTGGCTTGACTGCCAGTATCGGCAGGGAAATGTTGACGCAGCTTCTTGGCGAGCTGAATAATCTCTTGTTGACCAGTCAAGAAACAGAGCATGCCTCCAGGTGGTAGCTTCTTGTGGCCTCTAGTGACCTTGTGGAACATGTCATCAACATAGTCGTGCGTCGTCTTGCGGGCAAAGTGATCGGTGACGGGGTATTGTCTGCCCTCTGCCTTGACAATCGGAGGTGGGCCGTTTCTGAAGAGACGAGTGTTTTCGGTGAAGTCGGTGATGCGGAGAGTGGCACTCATGATGACGAGCTTCAAGGGGTAGTACTTCTCGGGCTCCTCCTTTGCCATTTGAGCACGAAGGTCGACAATTCTGCTCATCATACCAATGAGAATATCAGTATTGACCGAACGTTCGTGAGCCTCATCAATGACAATGGCAGAGTATCTGGACAGGATAAAGTCGTTGGCAATCTCTCTCAGCAGGATACCATCGGTCATGAATTTGATGGCAGTGTCTTTCGAGACGGTGGTGTCGAAACGAATCTGATAACCGACGCGATCCTTCATATCGCACAGTTCAGTACCTACACGTTCAGATACACTGACAGCGGCAACACGACGAGGCTGGGTGACACCAATCATGCCCTTGGCCTTGCCATCTCCGTCTGTTTGACCGATCTTGCTTCCGTAACCACTTTCGAACATCATCTGGGGGACCTGAGTTGTTTTACCGGAACCGGTAGCACCCCATACAACCAGGACGTTGTTGTTGTGAACAGCTTCCATGATCTTCTGCTCTTCTTGCACAACAGGCAACTTCAACCTGGCCTCTTGAATTTCGGGGGTGCGAGGAATGACGAGACTGATGGCAGGACGGTTGTCTGATTCTGTAGTAGCGGATACAGCGAGCTCTGGAGGAAGCGTTTCCGGTGAGGGAGCGCGAGGCACAAAGTTTGTGGGTTGTTTGACCGTCGTCGAATTTACAGCTTCGAGGTTTGATGATGGGACGAAGCCTATGGCCTCGTTGCGTTTCTCAGTGGCCCACATCTTGAAGGCCGAAGAACGAGCTTTTTGTGCCTCTTTGGCAGCGTCTGCGTCTTCCATATCCTCGTCGTCCGAGTCGGACTCTTCTTCCGAATCTTCGTCTGAATCCTCGTCGTCCGAGTCGTCTTCCTCATCCTCCTCTTCCGAGTCTTCTTCGCCGTCTTCAATATCCTCCTCTAAACTTTCATCTTCGTCTTCACCATCCTCGCCATCCTCGTCTCCAGAGAAGCCGTCCCATTCTGGCTCCTGAGCGACTACGGGGGCAGACTTGGTGATAACCTTTGTGCGTTTCCTGCTCTTGATGACGGGCTTTCCTTCCTCGTCTGTCTCGAGCGGTCTCTTCAGGCCACTGCCAAACAGGCCACCGGCAGCAAAGAGCCCGCCCTTGCCTGGTGCTGCTGCAGGTGCGGAGGCGGGTGCTGAGACTTTGGCGGGTGCTGATTTTGAACCGTTTGCTTGTGGTGTCGAGGTCTGCTCATCATCAGACTCACTCTCCAAGTCTTGCGCCGGCCTCTTTCTCTGCTCAAACAGTATAGCATCGTTTGCTTCAAGATTGATTCCTTGCTCTTTCTCCCTCAGCGCCCTCTCCAGCCTCTCCCTCGCAGACTCTCCACCTCGACCCAATTTCTTCGAGCTCAGCAACAGACTCGTGTCAACCTTCTGAGCAGCGAGCTTCTTGATCAAAGCCAAGTTCTCCTCTTTCTTGAGCTTGTTATCGATGTATTTGTCCAGTCTCTTCTTTTTCTTGCCAGAAATTACAGCAGTGCTGTTTTGAGCGCGAATCTCCTCTTGCAGCGCAGTGCGACGGGCTTCCTTTTCCGAAAGCGTGGGAGGGATGATTTCGGCGGCGTTTACATCTTCGGGTTCGTCGTGTGAGTGCGGGTTTCTTGCTTTGGCTTTGGCGATTCTGCCCTTTTTGCGATCGCGGGGCACGAATTTGGGCGGCATGGTTGTAAGAGTGCGCGCCGACGAGTGTATGAGGGAGGAAAAGAATGGACTCTCTCTGATGAAATGGCGATTGCAACTTTTCTGATTTAAGCTCATGCATGCGCGTGGCTCGGCCCGCTTGAGCTGTGGGGTCTAGCGTTCATGTGAAGTTGTGCTTGTGCTTGTGCTTGTGCTTGTACTTGTCTTTCGTTGCTGCGAAGAACAGCGAGCTCCATCGACTTCATATTCTCGATATTCGCTTCACACAGCATGCAGACTCAATCGCTGTCCACAACTACCATGTCTCAATCTCCAGACCTCACCTTTTCAACCTTTCCCGCGCCCAGCAAATCGACCACCAGCACAATCGCCAGCATACCCACCCAGATAACCGCCCTAAACTTCTCCGACAAACTCGTCCTCACAATCTCTCAATCCGGCCGCCTGAATCACTGGCTCCACGTTCCCCTCTCCGGAGGTCGCCCTCTAGACAGCGGTTTCTTGAACCCATCTTCTGAGACAGACGTCGATGCGAGTCTGTTGCCTTTCGCGCATTTGACTGCAACTACCGTCTTGGGAGGCACAAGAGGAGAATTTGAGGTTTTGGGACAGACTTTGGCGACGACGCTTGCTACGGCGCTGTTGATGAGGAATCCTGATGAGCAGAGGATGCTTGTTGTGGGTCTGGGTTTGGAAAAGGCTGATCAGGGAAGAGAGGCTTTTGATGAGTTGATTGGTGCTTGCTTGGAGTGTTTGTGAATGAGATACAAGAGATCGGAAGGACAGCACCAGAGACACTACGCTAAGATCGTCGTGCGATGATTGCTCTGGACTCGTTGAGCGCGTCGACATGGCTGGAGCGGTATGCAAACGAAGCCAGAAAGGTTGATTGCACAGGGCACAAGTCACGCTCTGCAAAGGAATCGCAACGGAGAGCACGAGCAGCCTCAACGAGTCTTACAGCAATCTAGCATATCAAGATCAAGACTGCGCCAGGAGGAAGAGAGGACTATGGATCACAAAACAGAGCAGGACAGCAGCAAGATTCGCAAGCGAAAAATCGTTCAATTCGAAGACAGCCTCTTGGCCGCTTGTACTCGTATACCCATAAGACCTTTATCCGAGACTTCTTATCAGTCTGGCCCGTCCAGAAAACGCCCGAGTATCATGCAATTACATCTTATGATCCATCTCTTTCTAAGCCATCTTGGCACTTCTCTCCCTCAATGCGTTGACGAGCACATCCACGCTGGCCATGTCCTCGGCATCAAATTTGCCCTCGCCAACAACCTCTGCAGGCAGGAACTTGACTGCCTCGTCCAGAGCAGGCTGGTAGTTTCTAATCTCGGAGCTGATGACACGGATGGCCTTCTTGCGCACACCTGCATCTTCGTCTAAGCAGAGCTTTGCGACTTTGGGGATGGATCCAACAGCCAGCGCCTATGATCACGGTCAGCATCCTCGCTTCTCACAGGTCCAATAGAGTATAAAGTAGAACTTACACGCTCCTGACACTTGATATTATTCTGCACCGCGGTGCCCAAACACCAACAAGCCATCTCTCTGTCTTGCTTCTCCGCACTCTCCAACATATCGCACAGCGGCGTCCACAACTTCAGTGCCTCCATGTTGTTCGCATTGTCTAGATTCTCCACCAATTGCTCAAAGTTGTCCCAGGCTATTCCTTTGTTTTCGTGGTCGACGGAGGGGTCGTGGATGGCTTGCATGGCTGAGATCATGCGATCGGCGTCTGAAGGCCCGCCCATTAGTTGCGCGAGGAGCGCAGGATCGAGTTGTGTGCGTGGTTGGGTGGGCTCGGCGGTTTCTGATACGGCGGAGTTTTCGATGCTCCATTTGAGGAGGGTGTTGAGACCTGGGTCGTTCATTGTGGTGGTGGATTGGTTTGTAGCAGTGGTGTTGAGTGCAAGAGTGTCTCCTGATTGAGTATTTTTGCTTGGTGTAGAGGTACGCTCAGAGACTTGTGTTGATGTATGCCGTTACGACTGCAAATTGTGATGTGTGTGATATGAGGAATTATTTTTGTGGTGACGCAGCAGTTTTGATTTCGCCAGGGCCGAGGCGCTCCACGAAGGTGTTGGCTGCTTCGAGACGCTTCGATTCGCTTTTTTCTTCTTTTTTTTCTCTCGTCTCTTGCTTTCGCTACAGGCAGGGTCGCCTGTAACTATCTCTGACATTATTGTAACTGCGAGCCGTTACACCCATATACGACGATTGATAATTAGCTGTCGATCGAGCACTCAAACAGCACGACTTGCTACCTTCTGGTCCAAGGTTTGTCGGCCCCCACGAGAAGCAATCTTGTAGGAACTTGTATATCCACCTCAAGCAAAGCCGTGGACGCTGTGATCATTTGCACATATTGACTGCGCATCTCAAATACACCGCCATGAGCTTGATTCTACGAGCATTGGCCCACGCGCCAGAGTCAGTCTCGTGTCCATTCTTCTCACGATCCTTCTCTGTCCACCGCGGTGCACAAGAAAAAGGAGATTACACCAGGTTGCGCCAGCAAAACTCAGAGAATTATAGACAGTTGCTGGACAAACACGCCTTGTACAAAAAACAATGGCTTACGAACCCAGAGAACGTCCAAAGAGCTCGAGAGACGACCAGATTATATTACCTCGCCCACAAAGAAGACGAACGTAGGCTTTTCTACATGCGACTGATCAAATGGTGTACGAGGTATACGTGGTTCCGCGAAACCCTGCCGTGGAAGTCTGACTCTCCTGTGCTCTACGAACATCGGGTAGAGCATCACTGCGAGGGCTGCAACTGGACAAAGAGGGGTGGACGCAAGCTGTGGTGGAAGAAGATTCCATCATCGCCAGCGACAGAAGTCGACAGTTGGTTGTGCTCTGATTGTTACGTTCCTAAAGCAGCAGACTGGGGAGAGGCTATGCCTAGAGGCTATGAGGATCTCACCACTATTAAGGAGGTTGCCAAAAGAAGAGATCAACTGGGCCATGGCGCATAAACGACACCACAGTAGCAGCAACGTTTGAGCGAACAGTACACGCATTGAGCTTTTATGGATCACCCAGCAATGGCGGTACATGGACCTATACAATCCGTGTTGACTGAGCTCTTGGAAGGAGGATCTTTGTCGACATTGGAAACGTTCGTGTAGAGATATATTCTCTTCCTCTGCAGCACGCCATGGATTCAGCGACCGCATCTGCGGATGGGACTTTTGTCTTTCTGCCACAACGGTATATCTACTCACTGCCTAAAGCATGGGAGAAGGACATTACACGATTGTAGATGGGCAGGCCCATTGGCATTCTCGAACTCAGTTGTTTGTTTGGGTCTCAGGACACGTCTCTGATCATAAGACAACTGTGCCTTTTCATAGCGAGAACATTGCTCCAAACCATCGTAGGAGGAGCATGAGAGTTACAGACTGTTGAGCACACGGGGAAAACCAAGTTCTGATTCGAGATGCTCGAGACAACCAGACCATCCATCGCCTACCGTTCCGATAACCAAATTCGATGAGTTGGCAGATACAGCACAGTATACAAGCATTTCTTATCGCTTTCACGAGAAACATTACCCACTCGTCTGTCGCGTGCCGGATCACATCGGAGCGTAGCCTAATCGTCACGATCGTATCACATGAAGCGAAAGCATACAATCAAGGTATCGCAAGCCTAACTGATGGCTGGTCAGTGGTCGCGCAACCGGTATTGCTGGGAAACGTTGGCAGTTTCGCGACTCGGGCCCAGCAATCAACCGCGCTTGAACGTTGCCGGACCGGCCTGAGGCTCCGCGAAGCTGTTGATGTTGGTGGGGGAAAGCGATTTACTTTTCTTTTTCCTCCATCAGGCAGGAAACTGCAAGTCGATGACAAGGAGGCGTCTTATTGATAGAAGCCGATCCAGAAGACGGAATGAATGTGAGCACTTCCTGCGCAAGAAATAGATATTTCCGTGGGCATAAATGAATTACGGAGAGTCGTATTGGAAGGGGGCCTTCTGGAGCCCTGGGAAAGTGGCAGAACCCCACTCCGCGTTCAACAATCCTTCAAGCGCCGAGATGGTTCCAAAGGGCTGGCAAAGCGATTGCTGCTGGGGCAGCCGTTCGACACTCGAGGCTGGGATGTGACTGACACGCGTGAAGACACGAAATACGATGAGGATTGGAGAGAAGAGAGCCGGGAGAGGGCGCAACGTTCTAGCCGTCATGCAGCATCGCACTTGGCATGATGTAGGTAGCTTGAGGATGGAAGGTTGCTGAGCTTAGCTTAGTCGTGGGCGTCTGACGCGTCCGCACGACGCAGCAAGGCAGCTGCATTCGGCAAGAGGTATAAAAAAGCAGCAGCGAGAGCAGGCACGAATAGACAGATGTGTGCACAGCTTATTCCATCAAAGACACTCCTTCACTCGTGATTAACGGACAGTCTCGTGCAGCACACGCAACGGGGCTTTGGCAGTTGATAACCGGAGGCTTAGACCAGCGGACCAATCGGGATTAGTTGGCTAGCATCCTGCACAGGCCAAGGAATTGGACCTCACACACCGCCCGAGTGGACGACAAGTGTTCCAACTTTCCCCCTTCATCACCACCATTGACCCCACCGCGCGTGTTCCATCCAAAGCAGCTCAAATCCTCGCTGCAGCTTGCTCTCTTCAACACCTTTTCTAAACCACATCTACTAACAACACCGCCGCAATGGAAGGTGAGTCTCCATCTCTTGTGCCGCAACGTGCTGTCGGCGCATCCCTCAGCGCCCAACACCTCCTTGTCCTCATCGCCACCTCGCCGTCTCACCTCCAACGAGCTTTCGCTGACCACTTTTCGCGTCTACAGAGGAGGTCGCAGCTCTCGTCATCGACAATGGGTAAGAATCATTGCTCTCCGCGCCTTCCGCCGTCGCTGCCTTGTGGGATTACACGTCGTGCGCCATTGGGCCGCCGGCGCCACGATCTCGCAGCTGCTCCCAGCTTCACGGCGCGCAGACTCGAAGCTTGGAGACCATCGCAGCTAACACATTGGCCACAGTTCGGGTATGTGCAAGGCCGGTTTCGCCGGTGACGACGCACCCAGAGCCGTCTTCCGTAAGTCCCCTCCAGAGCTTCCAAAACTCGTCTCTTGCACACGATCTAACGCGCTGTAGCCTCAATTGTCGGAAGACCTCGCCACCATGGGTACGCAGCCCTCTTTCAAGCTGTTTTCCAGACTCGAATTGACAATGACGCAGTATCATGATCGGTATGGGCCAGAAGGATTCATACGTCGGTGATGAGGCACAGTCCAAGCGTGGTATCCTCACCCTGAGATACCCCATTGAGCACGGTGTCGTTACCAACTGGGACGACATGGAGAAGATTTGGCACCACACCTTCTACAACGAGCTTCGTGTTGCCCCCGAGGAGCACCCCGTCCTGCTCACCGAGGCCCCCATCAACCCCAAGTCCAACCGTGAGAAGATGACCCAGATTGTCTTCGAGACCTTCAACGCACCCGCCTTCTACGTCTCCATCCAGGCCGTCCTGTCGCTGTACGCTTCCGGTCGTACCACCGGTATCGTCCTCGACTCGGGTGACGGTGTCACTCACGTTGTCCCCATCTACGAAGGTTTCGCCCTTCCCCACGCCATCTCGCGTGTCGACATGGCCGGTCGTGACTTGACCGACTACCTCATGAAGATTCTTGCCGAGCGTGGTTACACTTTCTCCACCACCGCCGAGCGCGAAATCGTTCGTGACATCAAGGAGAAGCTCTGCTACGTCGCTCTCGACTTCGAGCAGGAGATCCAGACCGCCAGCCAGAGCTCTTCCCTCGAGAAGTCCTACGAGCTTCCCGACGGTCAGGTCATCACCATCGGTAACGAGCGTTTCCGTGCCCCCGAGGCTCTCTTCCAGCCCTCCGTTCTCGGTCTCGAGTCCGGCGGTATCCACGTCACCACCTTCAACTCCATCATGAAGTGCGATGTCGATGTCAGAAAGGACCTCTACGGCAACATTGTCATGGTAAGTCTTGTCTGAAGAATGCAACGGCCAGCGGCAAAAGCTAACAAAATCCTAGTCTGGTGGTACCACCATGTACCCCGGTATCTCCGACCGTATGCAGAAGGAAATCACCGCCCTTGCTCCCTCATCCATGAAGGTCAAGATCATCGCTCCCCCAGAGCGCAAGTACTCCGTCTGGATCGGTGGTTCCATTCTCGCCTCCCTCTCCACCTTCCAGCAGATGTGGATCTCAAAGCAAGAGTACGACGAGAGCGGTCCCTCGATCGTCCACCGCAAGTGCTTCTAAGCGCATTATTCAACTTCTTCGGCGCGCTCGGGTCGAGGTGCATCGGCACCTGTGCTTCCATCTTCGGATGGTCACGTTTGTAGCACAGTGAAACGAAAACAGCAACCAGCAAAGGGTTTTGGGCATGATATGTGTCAAGAAAGCAAAACTGGCAGGGCATTTGCATGCAGATTGTAGTTTAGAAGTAGCTCATGTCTTGCCCTTATTTCTTTTTTTGTTCATCATGCTCGCTCCTTTTTTCCTTTGCACATGTGATGACACGGCCTGTTTCCTCTTAGAATAGGTTTGCAGGTCTCTACGCAAGACAGACACATTATCCTTGCCAAACCATGTCTGCCTGCCTCAGTAACTGAGAGCTCTTGAAACGAACTCGAAACACACTCGTGTGTATGACGTCGGCATGTGCTACCTCAGGTACTCAAAGCTCAATGTCTGGTGGGACGAACATTCATCCTCAGACGACAGCACTCGTAAAAGATGAACCTTCTCACAATATTCTCCGGTCTAGCCTTAGCCAGCGCAGTAAGTGCGCGACACGACGCAGCTCTGCACTCCCTCCTCTTCAATCAAGCCCCTCTCCAAGAAACAGAGACAAGCTCGGATGGCCTACCCTCTTCCACACGAGCCCATTGGATGCGAGTAGCGAGTTCAGCAAACCTCGCCATCTCGGCTTGCCCCTTTGCACCATACGGAACTGCTGTAGTTAATCACACGCTTTCACTATCCAACTCTAGCCACCCAGGAGAATTGATATGTACGGGAGTCAATGACAACCATCATACTGGCAATCCCATACTACATGGAGAGATGGCAGCTTTTGTGAACTGTAGCAACATCTTGACTGATGCTACGGGAAAATATCAACTTTCTGCTACAGAAGCACGAGAGGCTTGGAAGGAATTTTCACTGTATACTACTGCTGAGGTAAGTCACATGTACGAGAAGCGAACTGCATTTGAAGTTGGAGCTGATGCATTGGTAGCCGTGTCCGATGTGTGCTGGGGCAATTGCTTGGGCTGGATTGAGAGAAGTGGTGTATGGAACTAGTATACAACGATTGATTGAGCTAGGTTGGCCGCAGATTGAGATTGGCAGTCAAGAAGTTATGGATAGGGCTTGGAGGCTAAGTGGTAAGACGGAGGTTGTGGAAGGTGTACTTCGAGAAGAGATGGACAGGTGGTTTGGATGGCAGTTTAGAGATGGAGTATGTCCTGAGGGATGCAAGAGGAGGGGTGGTGGTTGCTTGCCAGACGAGTAGTCCGTCTGACTCTTCGGAAGCTCATCAACAATACTGTGTGTGTAGAGCTAACAGTAAGATCATGGCAAAACAGCGAGACTCGTGGAAGAGCAGGGTCATTCGAGCAGGTGATTCTTGAGAAGGCCGATTCACACTGCCAAGGCCTTCTAGGCACCCTGGCGTCCCTAGGCTTCGCATACTCGTCGCCTTGTTCTTGATAGCTAGACGCACCTCTGTCGATGGAGCGATGAGCGCAAATGCAGCAGTGGATCCAAGGCCACCTCGACAGCCAAAGTTCCCGACGCACAATTCGCCGCGCGTGTGGTTCCTGACCAGCGCCAATTCCCCCATCGGCATCTCGCTGGCGCGCCATCTTCTCGATCACGGAGACTACATTGTGGCCGGCGTGCCTCCGCTAGAGTTTGAGAAGAACGGCGAGCAATCGACACACTTTCGCGACTTTCTCGACGAGGTCAAAGAGCAGGAAACATGGTCAGGTAGACTGAGGGTCGTCGGCGTCGATGTGCGCATCATGGGCCAGTGCCAGAGCGCTATTGCAGAGGCCGTTCACAGCTTTGGCCGTATCGACATTCTATTCTGCTGTACCTCCGAGACTCTGGTCGGCACCACCGAGGAGCTCTCGCAGACGCCTCGCACCCATTCGCTCATCCGCGACCAGTTCGAGACGAACTTCTTCGGGCCTGTCAATGTCATCAAGTCTATTCTGCCCACCTTTCGCACAAAGAGAAACGGCCATATCGTTATGCTGTCCAATCTCTCGGGCCACATGGGCACTCCAGGCATGTCTGTCTATTGCGCCAGTCAATGGGCTATAGAGGGCTATTGCGACAGTTTGGCCTACGAAGTTGCTCCCTTCAACATCAAGATGACCATTATACAACCCAACATGGAGATTGCTGTCTTGACCAACCGCATCACTGCTGCTCCTCCCATGCCTGCCTATGCTGCCGACAACAATCCTGCTCCACTGTTCCGCGATATGCTTGCAGCTATGCTCGACCGCCTCGAAGGTTCAGATGAGCCCACAACTGGTGACCAGCTTCAATCTGACACCATCAATACCATCTATGCCCCCCTGACCAAGGGTATGAAGGAGTCACTGGTAGCCGAGACGGTTCACGCTGTGGCCGCAATCGGTGGCCATGACAACCCACCTGCTCGGCACATTGTCGGTCTTGAAGGCACTGCTACCGTCAAGGAGAAGCTCAAGACTGTCAGTGAGGAGCTAGAAGACTTTGTTGCCAGCAGCGCTGCTGTCGATATCGTCAAGAACGAAGATCCCAACCTGCAGCAGAACCACCACACTTGAGATTGAATTCGAGCATAAAAACAAACATCCTTGTATGACGACTGCTCAACAACCTCCTCTAAGCGTCCGGTCCGAACAGAGAGAACGCCCATTACACATCGAAACTCAGTCTCAGGTGTCCAGCTCAACGACTGTCTACCTGAGGACACGACTTTTTGACATCCAATACGGCACGGACTCGTTTGTTGGCGTACGGAAGTCGTGCCGATAGCCCTTCTCCGGTTGGGGATGCCTGTTGGGGTTCGCGTTAGGAGCCTGGGGATACCGATCAGCGGCAAGCTTGCAGGTAGATTCGGCCTGCCCTCGGCGGCTTGGCCCACCTTTTTTGCAGAAGTCTTCCCCGCATTTCAACTGCATGTCATCCTTCCGAGCCCTCGTCCAAGATCTCGCTGTCCCTTGTTGCACCATTTCTACATAACCGTCCGGGTGCTACTGCGCTTGGAGCTTGTCCTTTGTTGCAGATCCCTAATGCTTGCCTTTTGCTTCTGGAGGCCTGTTAGATCAAAGTCGCCAGCACACTAACATCTGCTGCTCGCCCCGACACTCAGGCTTATACGGATCTCCATAATTCCTGGCATCGATCATGTGCATGGCCGCAACAGCCGAAAATGACTCGGGAGAATCCGCCTCTGGAAGCACTCAGAAATCACTCAAACGAGCATGCGACTGCTGCAGGAAACGTAAGGTCCGCTGCGATGGAGAGAGTCCGTGTGGCCCTTGTCGAAAGGCTACTATTCGCTGCGCCTACCTCCAAGCGCCCAAGAAGAAGGGCCCGAAGGGTCTCAGGAGTGCGAGAGTGCTACATGCATTAAGGAAGATTGACCAATCTGCTTCCCTCACGCCTGACGGCCCCCTGAGCCCAGGAGCACTCCACGACGGTTTGAATCAATGGTATGGTAGCTCGTCTTCATCACCAATACCATTGTCAAATCACAGCACTATCGACGGCGCAATGCCAACTAGCACACCTGCAGAGCCACTCACTACAGGCTATGGTTACTATGGACCTCCGGAACCACAGAGCTATGCAATGATACCACAGATGGATCGACGTGTACTACCCCTCGACCAGAGTATGAGCCAGCTCTGGCCATCACAGCCATCTCAACCGCAACAAAGCTACTACGCGCCGCCTCTGAGACCACAGCCTACAGTACCGCGCATACCGAACCAGCGCTTTCTACCATATGTGCAGCTGTTCTTCGAGCATCTCTACTTCATCATGCCTGTCGTTGATGAACAGATCTATCTGGACCCATACATGTACAACTCTACGAACTACATGCCGCCAGAGACTTACGCCTTCCTCTGCGCCTTGTGTGCTGCTACTGTTGTACAGCTGGACGCGGCGATAGCAGTGCCCGAGATGGAGCCTTTGCCTGGTCGACCTACATCGGCGGCTGATATGTTTATCGAAGAATGCCTCAAGGTCAGACAAGAAATCGACTACATTGGCAATTCGACCACGGTCACAGTCATGACTAGCTTCTTCATATTTGCATACTACGGCAACAAGGAGAGCAGTGACAAGGCATGGCACTTCCTTCAAGAGGCCATATCGTTCGCCGAGAATTTGGAGATGGACGACGAGAACTCGATGCTCAAGCTCGACCCCCTTGAAGCGCAATGGAGGAGACGGTTGTACTGGTTGCTCTTCATAACAGAGAGGTACTTTTCTCCTTTACATGCATTCATTGTTTCGCCTGCTGACATTAACGCGCAGAGCATACTCCATACAACGCCGCAAAAACTGCCGACTACATCCCACCATCGAGCTACCACTAGCCTTCGAATCAGAAGATCCTCGCCTCCTCAACGGCTTCGTAAACCTAGCCCACCTCTTTTCCGCCATCGACGACAATTTCGTCAGCATCTGGAAAGGCAGCGCCCGCCGAAAAGCTTTGTGTTCAGAACCCTGGCTAGCAGAGACACAACGCTCTCTCGACACAGTCGCGCTCTCTCTTGCCGAGATCACGGAGACCACTAGGATAGATATCAGTGTGTCGAGGGAGTGGCTACACATTCTGGCTTGGCAGATGGGCGTCAGCAACGGCTTGGTATGCGACAAAGGACAAACAGGCACCGGACGCCTCGACTACCCAATCGAAGTCGCCCGCCGCACCGTCGACATTGCCGAGCGAGCGAATCCTCTTGCTTTGGACTCCCACGGCATTGGCATGGAGCAAAAACTTTCAGACATTGCTGGCTGTCTTGCCGATGTCCTGCACGTGTCTTCTGGCGACACCTCTGACACGTTTTTGCACGGCAGACAGTACTTGCATCTGATGCTGAACAAGTTATCTATGATGAGGGGTAAAGAGTCGAGATATCTTCGACCCCTCGTTGCCAAGGCGGGAGGGATACTGGACTCGCAGGTACCCAGAGGTATGCCTGCGTTACCGGCTCCGGCAGGCTTCGAAGGTAAAGTCGAGGAGATGGAGGGTAATGGGAGAGTCGATCGGCGGTTGCAGTGGGCTGCGTAGATTAAATGCGACTGCATGGTGGTTTTGAGCATTTAGCAGGCATATTGAGATATTGCATTGGCGATCATTGTCATATATAGAGACGATTAATTCATCTGACATGGAGTTCTGAAGATTTTGCTGTACCGGCACCACTTCCTTTGGCACATTGAATAGATAAGATAGTCGATGTCTCATCATCACATTCGATGACAAGTTTTGTGATGGTGCATTTAAGACTACTGATGTAATGTATTCATTGTGATACACTCTTATACAACATGAACCTGGCTATTCTAACCAGTAATCAGCGGAAACTTGCCCTTCCCATCCGTCGACTCATAAGCCCATCTCGTATCCGCAAACTCGTCTCTGACCTCCACAGTCACACTGAAAGGTTTAGCCGGGAAAGGCATACTCGCCGCAACAGCGCCCTTCCAGAATTTCGGCAACACCCACTCGCCTCCCTCGGGGACGATATCATAGCGCAACATCATCATAGCAGCCATTCCTAGAATTTCTCCACTGGCAAAGTGGCGGCCGGGACACAGACTCGGTGATGCACCAAAGGACATGAAACTGGTTGGTCGTTGTTTGAGCGTTTCCTTTTTGAAGCGTGTAGGGTCGAAGGTTGAAGCGTCGTCGCCCCAGATCGAGGGCTCGTTGTTCATGTTCATGCCTGGCATAAGTAGCACTCTTCCCTTTTTGAGTAGGTACTTGTCGGCGAGCACGACGTCGTCGGTGACGAAGCGGGTGGGTGCGCTGTTGGATCTTATGCGCAGGACTTCTTGGAACGTGGCTAGAAGCATAGGACAGTGGTCGCGCATGGCGGCGAGATCGATGATCATTTCCCCTGAGGGGAGTTTCTTTAGTGCGTTGGTGCGGACTTCGTCGCGGAGGGTGGCGAGTAGAGAGGGCCGTGAGTAGATGTCGTAGAGCATCCAGAAGGAGGAAGGCGTGGTGTTGGAAACGACTCCCAGCACTGTTGCTGTTTCCATACGCGCGATATCTTCGGTAGCTGCGCCGCCGTCGTGCTGCACTTTCCAGCGTGCTTGTGCCAATTCCGAGGCTTGATGTTGGCCACCCTCATTGTAGTACTTTACAAACGCAGCTACGATTTTCTCGCGACCGAGATATGCCTTTCGCGCAATCAGTGATGGGAAAATCTTGAAGACCAACAGACGCAAGTGTGAGTCAAAGTCCCAGAACGCTGCTTCGTTAGCTGGGTCTTTGATGGGGTTTTGCGGGCCCCAGACTGCATCTGTGCTGGCGATTGTGATTGCGTGTTTGGCCCAGGCGTAGAGGTCAAAGGTTTTGTTGTGCATAAAGGCGAGTTCGTCGACGGATTTGACGAGATTGTTGACCATGTTGCGGTTTGCAATGTCCAGGCCTGGTCCTAGGAGAGCTGGATGCATTGCTTTTACAATCTGAATTGTCAATCTCATCAGCTCGATTTTCCGACAAAGAACACGGGGGGTGCAAGTATACCTTTCTATTGAGATCACCGCCTCCGTTTTCCTTGCCAGTAAGCAGTTTCAACCCCTTTGGCGAGACATTGACCATACGCTCTGCAGCCGAGTCCAGAAAAGGGTCGAAAGTGATGACTTTGGCATTCCTCTGCACTTGAGCCACCGCACTTGATTTGTTGACCAGGTAGACTTTCGAGACCAGGAAATCTATCGTCACGATGGGTTCATCGGATCCGTCGCTGCAAATGATCGTTAGTTATCAATCTTTACAAGATGGAAAAATTTCTGTCAGAGACACACCAGGCTTTGCCAAAGTATCGGAGGCCATGGATGGCGATGCCAATGATATGCCCGATGATTGGAATTCTCGTACGGAGGGCAGGAGGCTCTTGGACTCCTGTCTTTGACTTCTGTCCCACAACAATGTAACTGATGAAGGCAATCGCCAAGCCAATGATCAGATGCTTCAATTCCATTGCTGATCGGAGGCACCTGTCACGAAGCACAGTTGAAGAGCAAAGAAGCAGAAGCCCAATTTGGCCTCTTAAGAGAATAGAAAATCACATCTCTCCTTGACTTTTTTTGTTATCCATACTTTCTTTCCCATCTGCCGTCCCAGGGGACGCTTTGTGTAATTAATATTTGGTCATCGTGTCATCGGAAGCCGTGGATTCCGCGGGAGTGGCTGCCGCTTTGGATCTTGACGTTTCACAATTTTGTTCTCAACGACAACCATTCAGCGTGCATGTCTTGCCTTCCAATCGTAGGAATTGCATCTGATGGACATCTGCAGTCCCTGACGCTTTGGCCGGGTCATGGTAGCTATGCGCTTGAGGAAGGAAGGTAATCGTACGACCTCGAGTTGCACTTCATGTGGTCATCATCTGTTCCAAACGAATCGTGATATCGATCAGGCATTGGTGGTCAATAGAGAGCAAAGGGATGTCGTACGATGACTGCAGACCTGAAGGAGTGATGCTGTGGTATGCATCTTCAAGGACATAAATAGCAGGTCTTGCTGCGTGAAGTGATAGATCATCACGACAAGAGCATTTCAGATCTACCTATTCGACTTACCTACGATGACCGTTACTGCTATACCATCAAACGAGCAGGAGCTCACAAAGCTAATGCATGGTAAATCAGCTACCGAACGCAATGCTTTCATCTCAATGCTCCGCAAAGATGGTCAAGCCCACCGTCTGGTCACAGATGAATACGTCAAGCGCTGGTCTGCCGACAGCGATGAGGCACGTAAGACAAGACAAGACTCCTACATGTGCTTAGTGAACAAGTAAGACGATCCAGATATTAGTCTATACCATCCATCGCTCATAAAAAATAGCTACTACGACTTGGCGACTGATCTGTATTGCGAGGGCTGGGGAGAGTCTTTTCATCTGTGTCGATTTGCTCCCAAAGAATCTTTGGTGCAGGCATTGGCTCGTCATGAGCATTACCTTGCCCATATGATCGGTATCAAGGACAACTACACTGTCCTTGATGTGGGTTGCGGTGTTGGTGGGCCAGCAAGAGAGATTGCTACATTCGCTGGCTGCAAGGTCGTCGGTGTGAACAACAATGGCTATCAAATCGAGAGAGCCACTGCACTCACGGCTAAGCGAGGTCTTTCTGACAAAGTCTCCTTCGTCCAGGATAACTTTATGGTAAGTGTGATTTCATCTGACCCTTCGAAGCTCGAATACTTATACCATTGTAGCATCTGAGTTTCCCAGACAACACCTTCGACGCCATATATGCTATCGAAGCCACATGTCACGCTCCAGTTCTCGAAGGCGTTTACTCACAAATGTTCCGCGTCGCCAAACCAGGTGCCGTAGTCGGTATCTACGAATGGGTAATGACAGACCTCTACGACGATGACAATCCCACACATCGCGCACTTCGTCATGGCATCGAACGTGGCAACGGCATTTCCAACATGGTAACCAGAAAAGATGCGTTGCAAGCCTTTTCGAGAGCAGGCTTTACATTGCTGCATGACGAGGATTTGGCAGAGCGTAGAGACGCAAGACCTTGGTATGCTCCGCTGAGTGGCGATATCAATTATGCTACTGGGGTTTGGGATGTCGTTGGCGCTGTGCGCATGACGAAGATTGGTCGGTTTGCTATGGAGACGTTGCTTTCGGCGCTGGAAGCGATTAAGATGGCGCCATCTGGGACTGCGGAGACTGCTAGAGAGTTGTCAGCTGGTGCTGATGCTTTGGTCGCTGGTGGCAAGGAAGGTCTGTTCACTCCGATGTATCTCATGATTGGGAGGAAGCCGATGTAGAAAATGAGGATATCAATTAGTGACATTCGAACTCAACCAGTTTCTAGTGTCAACAGAGTTATTAGCGTCCAGCATGTCTTCTGCTCCTTACCCGTAGTGGCATCTGTACGCACGTTCCTTCCTTCCCGCATGCAAGTGTTTGTCACGAGGTAGCTATGAGAATGCATAGTTGCTTTAGTGAACAAGAAGCACCCACTGAGAGTTGTGATATCGGCGGCTCTCTCTGGGCTTATCTAAATTCTAGGAGTCACCGTGCCTCTCTATAGCATCTAGATATCCGTGAGAGAATGATGAAGAGCAGAGTGCAAGTCTGCATCTCATATTCCCCTCCTATAGTCTGTGGATTCAATGCTACAAAAAGGCACAGTAACTTACAGATCAGAGACGGATCCAAGGAGAGCTGAGAACTCGTCACTTCTCGAGGGGCAACGCCCAACTCCTCGAAACTACTGTGCCTTATCATAGCGCTCACTTCATGAACTTGTGTAGGAGGAGGACAGGAGATACAGATATGCGCCCTACTCCTCATCCTTCTTCTGTAGATACCGGCAGTGTGAGTGCCATAACAAGGTATAGTAACTTCTAGATTGGAGATGCATCCAAGGAGAGCTGAAGATTTCGTTCCTCGACGGACCTTGATCTGTTTCCCAAAGCGACTGTGCGTTCCTGCAGCTGCACGCGTTACACACTCGTCTTCTGAGACGACCTTCTCGATGCTACCGATGCCCTTCCAACTCTTGTATTCCTAGTCCTTGAAAATGACGAGGCGAGTGCTCCAGCTCCACATGTTCCGTGTACTTCTGAGGCGTCGGTGGGGTATAGGAGCTTGCCAGGCTATAAGGGGTCGGCGGGTTACTATTCTTGGAGTCGAACTTTTGGAACGACACGTGTGCTCGGCGTTTCCCGAGTCGCCAGAGGAAGACCACAGCTGCGCAGATGAGCAGAATGCCAGCTGAAACGGCCACTCCACTACCTATAGCGGTCAGCGTGGTGTTCGTTGTATGATCATCATTATCAGGCTTTGATGTTGTGGCACTTGTGCTGTTGCTCTCTGGATTTTCTGACGCCGTGGTCTCCGCAGTCGAGATGTTTAGAGTCGTGGCTCCAGTCGTTCTATCCAGAACAACAACGCCAATTCCAATGGAAAAGGGATTGAAATTGCCACTTCCCGACTCGGAGAGACAAAGTCCCGATGTAGCATTCCAACCCATGCCACAGCAAAAGAGCCCTGTACCACTCTCTGAGATAATGGAGATTGAGATGGCGCCATTCGGTACAACTTTCAGCCTATGTCAGCGCATCCGTATACGAGAAACAGAATGATTGCCTGAACTTACATGTTTGGCAGTATTTTGGACAGGCATCACTGTTCCACGTCTTGTCGGTACATCCACTGCGGGATAACCTGTTGCCGTATTCGTTTCCTTGATTGAAGCAGTAACTAAATCGTGACTCAGTAGCTGTCATGCACAGCAAGATTTCTCGTTCAGCATACCCATTGTCCAAGCACAACGCATAGGGACCACAACAGTGACTGTTGGTTGCCGCACTATTGCAAGGCGTCAAGGTCTCAGCAACCGAGTTGTCAGGCCAGTAGCATGTTTGAGCTGATCCGGAAAGAAAAAGTTGTGCAATGAGAAGGATAGAGAAGAGCCAGCCCGATATAAACATTGCGTGTCCAGAGATGTCAACGAGTGAATGATGAACACGTGTGAGTGGAGACTTGGATCTTATATCTCAAAACGTCAACTGACCACGATAATGCAGTCATCCGGGACTGATCTTCAACAAATTCTTCGTGCTGTGCGAGAGGATCTAGTTAGGGCAAGAACCAACACCTCTACCGTGGATCGCTAGAGCTGTGCCCGGTTGTGAGTGGAAAAAATAAGGCGAAATGGCCTGAGGTTAGGCGGTTCTCGGGGCAGAACACTCCTGCATGGCGGTTGTGGCACAGCAATTTGCATCTCAGCCTCGCTTTGATGCATATCTCCCATTTTCCATTTCTGGTTTTCGAGCCAAATTGAGCGACCGCTTGTGTTCAAGGAGAGGAGGATATTGCATTGTCGTGGTGCAAAAGTTCATGCCATCGTGATGTTCGGTGATCCATAGTTCAAGGCGATAAGTGGCTATGCAAGACATCCGGCCCTTCCCAACACCGACTGCGTGCTTTTTCCTCAATCCCAGACCTGCCTGACACTAACGTTCAGCCTCTTCGTCCCCATAAAGCCCTTCCACCTCTGATAAGCCTTGCGCTCCTTGTCACTGACCCCCTTCGCCGCGTCACCCTTGACCGCAGGCCACTCGGCCAACCATTTCGGACACGAATTCGGTATCGTGCGCGGCATAGCATGCCACGCCCATCTGATTTCGCCATCCATGTGCACGCAATCGCCACTTCTGACTCTGATGGCTACAGTCCTCTTTTTGGGGTCTTCGCCTTCTGCCAACTCGGCCTCGCCTCTTGCGACGACAAAAATGCCATCGCAGCCAAAGGAAAAGGAAGCGAGGCCTCGTTCGCAAAGTTCGCTGACGTCGCGGTGGACGGGCATGTAGTCTTTTTGCCCGTAGAGCAAGCAGACGCCAGATTCGGGGCGGATGTGTGGGAAGAGACCGCTGACTAGTGTGCTGAGATCTGAAGGGAAAGTCGTGGGTCCATTGCGTGGGTAACTGCGTGTTGGCCAGTGGTATTGTTCGCCTAACGTCAACCAGCGCAGTTTCCTGGATAGCATTTGAGCCATGTTGAGTGACTTTTGAGTGTCTGGATTCTTTGGTGTGGAGTGGGTGGATTGAGGATCGTAGGAGAACAATGAGGGGGTCTCCGTTGATTCTTCGGTCTCTGGCGTTGGGTATTCGATATCGAAATCTGTTTGGAGGTTGATTTTGTGTTTCGGGTTGGCCATGTATCTGTGCATGATTTGCGATATCCAAAGGACTTGAGTTTCAGGAGGCAAGATTCCTGGTGCTATTTGCAAGCCTATTTCCAAATTTCAATCAAAACACTCATCCCATGCAAAAACATGTTGTTCAACTTACCTGGAAAATCCGTGTGCTCGTAAACAGTCACGTCCTCAATCTCGGTCTCCAGCGGAGATTCATCCCCCTCGATCCCCAAAGCAGCATTTCGAAAAGCAATACAAGCCTTCTCTATCGCTGACTTCTCAATCGTGCCCACCGGTTTGATCACTTTTGCTTGTTCCTCGCTCAACCCTTTGTCCCAATTCACCACACTGTCATCAGTCTCTAGTTCCGAGATTTTGACTTTGTTGTAATGCCAGTATTGCTCCTGGATGAACTGTGGTGGTATGGCATGAGTATCATGATGATGATCCTTGATATTCAGTCAGTCTTTTCTTGATATATCGAGGCATTGTCTTCTGGCATGATTGCCACCTTTGCAGCCACGTTCATCGCCTGTGGACTTTCGCCCTTACCTTGTCGTCTGAAAAGTCCATGTTGACTACTAAATCGGGAGCTGGCCGTGCGTTGTATGGTGGCTATGTGTCTACCCTTGAGCATGCTTTGGCGACTTGTGGTTTCTTTTAGTCGATGAACTCGGGTGAGCAAAAAGTCGCAAACGTTTGGCATGAAACTTGACTCGAGTGCTTTTCCAGCTTGAGTCAAGTACACGCCAAGTCCTTCTAGAAATCCGATGGAACGTTTCTATGAGGAGCAGCGGACAACACAGCGGGCGGGTCACCACCGGCAACCGGCAGCAAACCACTTTCTCGGCCTGCGATCGCGACTGCGAACACCGAACCCAAGATCAACATTCACGGACCCGCTTTTTAGCAAATCAAAAAAGGGTGAAAGAGAAAAAAAACTCTGACACAAGGAGATGGATCCGAAAAGACCGAGTTGGCATGCATCGGAGATTGGGGGCAGATGTTTTGGTTTGCTCTGGGAGAAACGCAAAACGCACACGTCATTTTGAACATCAATGATGCGAAGGTTGCCGTGCCTGATGGACATATTGACATGGGTGAGTCACACACAGGCGGCAAAGTCATACAACAGATACACAGATCATAGGTGTCACAAGGCGAAGTGTCACAAGGCAATAAAGTGGCAATGATGAAGTGTGGTTGGAAAAAGTGTGGTGGTTATAGTACATTATATGAAGGTGCTTAGATAAATAATTCTTGTGAACCAAGAAGAGAAAGAAGTAGAAGAGTGGCTATGCCCTCGCGAGGGATGCTTTCTGCAGGAGACGGGCCAAAGAAAGAGAAGATGGCCATCTCGAAACAGATCTGGGTATCGAGAAATGCAGATGATTCAAAGACTCCCAAAAAGATCCCAGTGGTTGTGTTGAAGTATGAGACAAGAAAAATGCTCAAATGGTTGTTGGCAAAGCCCTCTGCACGAGGAACGTTCAATGCTGATGATGGAACTCCTCGCTGGTTGTTGAATCGCTTGATGATGGAAATGATGATAAAAACAAAAACTTTTTTGGGGTTGGTCGTAAAGTGTGTCGTAAGGAGGCGTGAACATGATCAGAAGAGAGGAAACAATCTACTCGCGAGTAGAGTCTCTGCTGAAGGTTCTGCTCAAGCTTCTGAAGGCACCGCCGATGCGACGAGCCTTGTCAGACACAGACGAGCCATTTGATGAGACGGAGGCGGCACTGTTCTGGCGACTGGCAGAAGGCTTCATCTCATCGACAAAGTTGCCTGAGCCTCCTCTGCCGGTGTGGTAGACAGGGGCCTTGGCGCGGGCATCCATGAGCTTCTGGTCGCGGGCGAGTTCCTCGTCGAAGGAGAAGATGGCCCTTTGGCTTTCTTGACGGGTGAAGGTGTTTCCCATGCCTCCTCTGCCAGCAGTGTACTTCTGGGTTGGGGGAGGGGGAGAGATGGCACCACGGGATGCAGGACCAGTAGCGTCGTTGCCGACAGTGAGTTCCTCAACCTTGTAGCGCTTGAAGTTTCCGGCACCTCCTCGTCCAGAGCCAAGGTATGCGGTGCTTCTGCCTCTGGGAGCCGAGGGGTGAGGCTCGTTGATGAGGTAGCTCAATGAGACCATATTGATAGAATGTGTGATTGTTGTTCTTGAGTAGACTTTGTTGTAGATCCTTAGAATGTCTGATGACTCCGAGTCGTGGGTATGTAAAAAATGGTTGGTATTGGTAGCGGGGTTGTGGAAAATGTTTGATATGGAACAAGCAGCTATGGAGGGGCAAGCAGCGGGTCTATATATCAAGACACACCCAGCAGGATCGAATGTTGACACATCACGATCGAAGAGGCAATGCAACGCACTCCGGACCAAGAATTGCACCACCTTACGCGTGCGCTGCAAAAATTTGCAAATGGCTTTCAGGTTTCTCCTCACTAATCCTCTAACTGCAAAGTGCGAAACGGACATTGTGATCAGGTGCGCGTCCGGCCCGCACGTGTACTTGCAACGACGCCATTTTTTCATTCCAATTCGGCTAACGGCTTCATCAGCTTTGCGAAGCCAGCCAAGCCGCAAGCAAAAAAAAAGTTTTTCGAGAACGTCGGTTTGCTTGCTCACATCAGCTGGTCTGGCAACAACACCCCTTTCATTCTAGCCCATTCTCGGAGGTGCCCGACGAAATGTCAGCGCTGCAATTTACAGCCTCGTTTTCTCATTTTTTGCAAGCTCTGTAAAGAGCTTTTCATCTTCATCTCTTGCTCGCGATCGCGAAACCCCCTCCTCCAACTCCTTAACTCAAAGCAGCGATGAGCCCACTTGAGCAAAACAGCCAAGGCCGGTACCTGAGCATACCATTACCCCCATGTTTCTCGAGAATCGACGCTATTACCCCATGAATTGCTCATCGGCTAACTAAGTTCAAGTAAGGCGTCCGCGGGTATTAGCAAATCATAATTCCAGCTCCTCACTGACAGCACGAACCACTGGTTCAGAAACCCAAACAGAGGAAGAGGAGACGAACAGGATTGGAACACTTTTTTGTTGTGGTGATGCCAATCTCGCAATTCGCAAGAGACATTCCGTCAGCCTGTGGTGGTTGCGTGGTGCTTCGCAAGCTTTTGCAAGCAGATCAACATGATCAAGAACTGCTGTTCTCTACAGTTGCATCACAACAGCCAACGATGATGTGCTATCCCCGAGGATCAAGTGGCAGTCACGCATACCACGGAGCGGATGCCTCCCGTACCGCTTGAGCTGCTAAAAATGTCTCGTTGTCAACGCTGGAAGGTTTCGCTCAGGCCGAGCAGCGCTTTTACTCCTTGCGGCTCTCCTTCACCGTAGTTGTATGCGTGTGACCTTCTTCAACGACAGCTACAACACACCGCTCGTACTGTACGCAACTGCTATTGCCGAACCAGCCCTCAATTTCTAGCCTCCCGGGCACTGTAGCACACGTGAACACGGCAGTGAAATGAGATCTGTTGCTATGGATCGTTCTCGTCTTTCTCCTAAGCGCTTCGTTCATTTCGTACTTGGTCAGGCCACATGATTTGTCTTTTCATCATCAAAGTAGCACGCAACAAGCCAATGGTAGATCTTTCTCCTTGCCAACTGGACAGTTGTCTCTTGCCCATTCGTTCTTCCTTGACTTGGCTTCGTTAATGCGTCTATGAGAAAAGTCACAGATACTATTTGGTAATGTATTGGCAAGAAGGTAACCCTAAGGGAGTGTACTGTTCGGTAGCCCCGGACTACGGCTATGATGGTCCCCCACAAAGTGGCGCGCGCCCTACCGATGTAAGTTGTAACGTTTCCCCTCATTTCTTTCCCCCCCTGCGCCAACTTCGTATGTTGCCCAGTGCTGTGTGTCTTGGGCCTTGTCTAGGCGCGCGGCGGACGTGCTCAGCCTCGGACCTCCAGTGAGCCGTCCTTGTGAGTCGTATGGCGGCATCATCACCAGAGACGTGCGGAACGCAGCTTCCTTCTTGGCCAACCTTTTCTCCGCATCCAGAGCTCATGTCGTTGCCTTCCGAAAGAGAAAGACTGCCTCCAAGGTTCAAAACGAGATGCCGTGATGCGGGGGAGATGGTCGGGAAGCCTTGTCTGATCTGGGAAGTTTCAAGCGTTTTGGTCAGGTGCTCGAGCGGATTACTCGACGGTGACTCGTATACTTGATGGTCCAGGCCAGGCTTTTGAGAGGAAATAGGAGCGAGCGATGAGGTGTCACAGGCGGTGTGCCGAGAAAACGTATCGCAGAGATGAGTTGTTGTTGTTCTTGTCGAAGTGGCACAGCTTTGTCGTCAAGTATTGCAGGGATCGCGTCATGTATCACGCAAACTTGGTATGGATGATTTCAGGATTCTCATGCCAGTCGTCGATATTCACCCACATCTGTGTCATCACGTCAGTCTGGAAGCAGGTTGTGCAAGATGGAAGGTTGTACTGACCCTTCTGAAGGTGCTGAGACCAGCCAGAATACTGCCACCAATCCACGTGCTGTACTTGCGCTCAGGTGGTGCGAAGATCTTGATGCGCATGTCTTTGACTGCCAGGCGTTGAACCTCGTGCAACAGACGGTCGCCGAAGCCCTTGGTCAACGTCGAACCTCCTGACAAGACAATGTTTGCGTAAAGGGATTTTCTCAGATCCATGTCAGTGCGGCTGATGGCATCGACAACAATCTGGTGAATGCCGGGATATTCAAGACCAATGATTTCAGGATCGAAGAGAATCTCGGACGCTCTGAATCTCTCGGGACCAATCTGCGAAACACGGTGAGCTTGAGTCGGCTTGTACAAGGAGCACGTGGTTGTACCTTGAGCTTCTGACCGTCAGGAAGGGTGTACTCAACCGTCTTGCCGTCCTGTCTAGCATTGCCCGTAGCCCAGTCCTTTTCTTCTTTCTTGGGGTCAAGAGCCAGATAACTCGTCTTTTCCTTGATCATGCGCACGACCTCTTTCTCAGCACTGGTATGGAAGATGTAGCCAGACTTGCGAAGCAGCGTCTGCAAGTGCTCGGTGACGTCTCGACCAGCGACATCAATGCGGCGGATGCTGTTGTTGATAGCAAAGCCTTCGTAGACAGGTACGGCATGCGAGACACCGTCTCCAGAGTCGAGGACAATGCCAGTGGTTCTGCCTGAGGCGTAGAGGGACAAGACAGCTTGGATCGAGGTAAACAAAGCAGGAACGTTGAAGGTTTCGAACAGGATTTGAGCAGCGGTGTCGCGGTTGGATCTCGGATTGAGCGGAGGTTCGGTCAAGAGGACAGGGTGCTCTTCACTCAGTGTCTTGAGCTCTTCGGTGTATACATGTTGCCAGATCTTCTCCATGTCGTCCCAGTCGGTGACGATTCCATGTTCCAGAGGGTAGCGGATCTTCAGCAGGCCGCGAAGCTCCTGGGCCTTCTGGCCGATGAAGACGTCTCCTTCGAGAGCGCCGGCCAGGACGCGCAGGTGCTTGGGACGACCGACGTAGGATGGGAAATAACATTTGGGCGCGTCTTCGCCAGCGAAGCCGGCTCTGATGGTGCCGCTGCCATTGTCCAGCACAATTGGGGCGTTGTGAAGCGTGTCTGCCATTTGTCCTGTTGAGTGGTCCTTGGCTTTCCAGGCAGATTATTGTTGCGGGCCCATGATCAGGAGAGACTGTCGCTGGAGCTGCTGCCGTGTGGTGCCAGATGGTCGCTGAAACACAAGGAGATGCTTGGCGTTGGCTGTTCTCGCCCAAAGCGGTAGACCGCCCTCCAGAGACCTGTGCTACCTACCTACCTTACCTGTGTCACCACTCACGCGCGTCGTCTGACTTCGGCCCTGCTTTCTGCTTACTCTCCGTCTACACCCCTGTCGCTCTTCCTCACACTTGTGCTCTAGCATAACCACCATGGCCATGCAGTTCAACGCCGAGCCTGCCGTCCAGGACCCTCGTTTTGCTCCCAACACTGCTACTGACAACTCCTCTACACAACCCCCAGACGATGATCCTTCTGCCATGTCCGCCGCTCGAGAGCACGTCGATATCGACAAGCAGTGCGGCGTTCCTCAGTTCAACGGTGTCCCGTGTCCTGCTCCTCTCGCTTGCCAGTCACATACTATCAAAGACAAGTATGGCGTCCCTGGCAGGACCGCTCCATTAGAACATCTCATCGCTCGCCAGCAGCAGGAGATGGCCCAGCTTCCTAAGCAGTGAATTCCTATTTCGGTAAAATATTCGTCTGTTCACTCGTAAGATACCCTGATAATCTAATCAACCGTCAGGTTACTTGAGCACAGTGTGATGCTGCGATCAAAACATCAATGGGACATGGGAGGAAGTTGGTCGAGCGAGCTATTAATTAATCTTTAGGTGAATTGCATTATGGTATTCAGGACTCGCAATAAACATTAGCGCGCTATAGCGTCCATCCCACCAGAACATTAACGCCTTTCCATCGCCTCTTGTCTCATACAAGTCGTGATATAATAGTACAGGAATACGAAAGAATAATGTCGACAGACCGCTGGTAATCGTCGTCGTCAAAGAAGCTGTTGTACAAGAGAACCAGTCTCAGGAACTGACATCCATGCTGCTTGCACGGTGACATGCTCAAGCATGGTCTGCTGCGTTCAGTGGAGTAGGTGGCTCGTTTCGAGAAAAGAACTTTCTGCGAGAGGTCGCTTAGACCTGGCTCATGGCAGGTCCCTTCTTGATGCCACCGGCACCGCCGCGCATGTTAACGCCGGAGTTACGGCCCTGGAGACCAGCGAAGATGGCAGAGACGACAAAGGCAGCAAAGCCGAACCACAGGAAGGCGGTGGAGGCCTGAGCCTCGTGGCAGCGCTTGGAGGTGTTGGGCGAGCCGTTGGTGATGGAGTTGCTGTGGGTGTACGACTGTGGATGTGTTAGGCATTGCTTGTGCTCAAAGGAATGTTGGAAACTTACGCTGTTACCGCAGCTGTGGACACCAAGGTAGGCCGACATGGCAACAGCGCCACAGAAGTAGAAGATGGCGTTCAAAGCATCAAGACCAACGACCAGAAGAGGGTGGATCATGAACGACTCCTTGATGCTTGCAGGAATGAGGTAGAACAGAGACAGCATGCTGAAAACTGAAACGAACATGCTGTAGTTGACAATCGAAGGGTTGCCAGCGTAAGATGTTGCGATCATGTTACCAATGAGGGACATGATAAGAAGAGCCCAGAAAAACTGTGTCGCATGTTAGTTGCTGATGCGATACAGGTTGGCATGGTGGTTGAAGCTTACCTGGAGGCCGCGCATGGCCAGGTTGATGATCTTTGCAACCATTTTGGATGGGGCTGAGATAAACTAGTCGTTTAGGTGGTGGAGAGATGGAGTGACAGGAGTCGGTGGCTGGGATAGGTGGCCTGGGGGTCGCTGGGTGATGAGCTGTAGATGGGATGATCAAGAATAGTTGTGGCTGGATGGCAGGAGGTCGAGGTTAATATCTTCGCTGGGCTTGCCTACAGAGCCGCCTTCCCATCTGTGTCATCACCGGCCATGGGACGACGAACCGCAACGTCACAAATGACGCATGCTCAGAATGGGACCATTTTGAAATCATCGCGGCGCCGCGCGCGTAGCCTTCTTTTCCGACCACTCAGATGCCTGTCTCGGCCATGTCGCACACAGTTTAACGACCGATTCTATGAAGATCCTGGCTGCTATGACGCCGCCACACTTCCAGAAGGAGCCCCCAAGCCGGCCGCCAACCAAGTGATCGTCCGGTAGCCGGATCCGGATCACGAGGCCACCCTCTGCCTCGAGTTCTATCAGGTCTCTGACACCTCAATCTGTTTCATGAGACAGATCCACGCAGTATACTCATCTCTGCTCTTCTGCTGGTCCTTACTTCTTCTCGAGTCTTGAGTATTGGGAAATGGGTGGTGCGCGATGTTCCGATATCATTGCGCCCATGACAAGCTTCTCGCAACGGTGCGGCATGACAGCACTTCCCGTGGGACCCTGAGTTCAAAAACCTATGACGTTGACGTTATCGAAAAAAAAGTCTCCCGTAGACCCGACCGTGACCGCTCTCAAGATTTGGGTGCAGAAGAAAATTTCATGTGATCGATATTCGAATCATCCCGTTTGTGACGATGGAGCGATGCAATTCTCGGGACAAAAACTTGGTTGGAATACTTTTGTATGATCCCTATATATGCCTATTACCAATCCAGTCGCTGCGGAACAGAAGTCGTAGGTGACCAAAAGAAATTACTGCTACTCGTTTGTAGCAATATCGTTACGCCGATCCTGACCTTTAGCACGCGTATCAAAGCTTGTCATAACTCAAATCCCATCAAGGGCGAGAGAGTCGATAAGAATATCAGTATCCGCAGATGCCACTGCATTCCAGAAGTCCGAGTGGGTAGTAGATTTTGGGCAGACCCTGTGACATGGGCACTGCAAGAGTCCCAGCTGATCCTGCAGTCAAGACTTGACAGGACAGGACGTCCACAACCTTCAAGCCAGCGTCATATCCAGTGTTGGTAACACTAAGTGTGTAGTCTGCACTGCTGGCTCCCTTGTTGTTCAGGACGGTGATGGTCTGGTAGCCATCGTAGCCTTTACGCATGGCGACATTGGCGTTGTCGCTGTAAACGACCCAATTCTGGTAGGTAAGCCAATCTCCATCGACGTAGAGGGCGTGGTTGCGGATTTGGTTTGCGCTTGACGTAAGGGTGTACAGAGGTGCGCCTGTGTTGTAACCACTCAACCAGACAGCTTCGCGGTTGTAAGGATCTTGAGCGCCGCTGTAATGCTGTTCCTGGCCTTCGTACATGATGGGAATTCCATCGCCCATGATCGTGTAGGTGATGATGTTCTTGGCCAGAGACATGTCGTTGGTCAGTGACGCAAAGCGAGCTTGGTCGTGGTTTTCTGAGAACGATCCCAGAACGCTAGTGTCTTTACATTGACTCTTCATGCCGTTAAGTTGCTTCACGAACTTGGACATGCTTCCGGCAGTCGAGGAGAAGGCGTCCGTAGCCGCATAGTACCTGATGATGGTAGTGTAAGTAGGAAGATATCTCTACTCTTTCGATCTCAACGTACATTGCGTAATTCAAAACGCTGTCCATGTAGTTTTGGTAAGGGCAAAGACCATATGGATCACCGTTGGTTACCTCGCCAGTGATGAAGACGCCGGCAGCCTCTCCGAATCCAGGCCAGAATGAGGTGTCGACATGCTTGACAGTATCGATACGGAGGCCATCAACTGCAATAACGTGAGCCAAGGTTCTGGATCCAATGACGAGTGACTTACTTGAGTAGTTGGCAACTAGTTGCTGGATCCATGTCTGGTACTCCTGTGCGACAGCAGCATCTTCTGTACGGAGATCGACAAGCTCTACGTTCGAGTCGCCCAGCCAGCAGTCTTGGATGCTGGTGTTGTTGCTGTAGTCGACATCGCAGAAGCTGTGGTAATACTCAATGTCGTCGAATGGTTTGAAGACACTGTAGTCGACCGAAGTTTCGTTGCCATTCCAGCCGTTGTGATTGACGACGATATCAACCATGAGATACTAGAGTACAAGTCAGTCATGATCGATGTGTTCGCCTGTACGATCAACACACCATGCCTCTGTCGTGCAGAGCTTTGGCCAAAGCCCTGAGATCGTCGGCAGTGCCAAAGGCACTGTTGAGCTTGTACAGATCCTGCTGCCAGTAGCCGTGCCATGGTTGGCCGTAGGGTGTCCAGGTCTGAATCTGGAATGTGACAGGAGAGATCCAGATCTGTTCGTGTCTTAGCGTTTGCCGTTCAGCGGCTCGAAGCCACACCTGGGTAAACTTACGGCAGTGAACCCCATGTTCTGGATGTAGTCAAGCTGCTTGATGATACCTTGGTAAGTACCTCCGCAGTATTTGCCGACGGGGTCGCATTTGGCTGTAGTACTTCCATCGGGACGTGCGAACCTAGCAGACATGCGAGTCAGTCGTGGAAGCTCCTTGAGGGATAAAGAACGAGTTACCGATCAGTCAGTACTTGGTAAATAGACTTCGAGCGCCAATCGGCGGCAGATGCTGCCAGAACCGAGACGCCGAAGCTGAGGAATGTCAAGAAGGTAGCGAACTTCATGATGCGGTAATGAGTGTGGGTGAGTGAGTGAGTCAATCGCTCAGTGTAGAACGTAGATCGACGCAACTATAATGTTGGTGAAGCTCTGTTTGCGGCTGATATCATGCGCAAGGGATTTTTGTCGGATCCTTGTGACGAGGGTCTTGTTGATACCACGTGCAAAAAGTGCTGGCAGAAGTGTACTGATTAGAACAGGTGCTGTGTCGAAAAAGTTGATGGTCGCCGTCTAGGCTGACAAGAAAAGGAGTGTACTTGAAGGAACGTTGTGATGATCGAACAGTCACCTGCGATGCAGAATTGACGCCGAGAATTAATACGACAGAAGGAAAGAAGCAAAAACTGATCGAGTTACTCGCTGAGTGGGCAACTGCGACTGGAAGAACAAAGAAGCTGCCCTCGCACGCGCGTCGAGAACTTGCGAACAAACCGCAAACACTGTAACCCGTTTGCAAGCAACGGTCCCGTTGGCAATCTTTAATGATTTATTAGCGAAATAAGTGGTTCCTCGACCTAACAAAGAAATGCTGATGCATCAGAGTGCCTACAAGAGTACATCTAGAGCTCGACGGACAAGGGTATGCGCAACAACCTCGAGACAGTTGGCATATTACCGTAGGCATCTACATATAGGACAGATGCTATGCACCCGTCTCATTGTGGGTCGATGCGAGCCATGATCAGGAGGTATGTTGATCAAGATCATCAGTCTACACCATCACTATCTGGAGGCGAGTCTGATGACTTCCGAGCTCTTTGAAACTCCATATCGAGGGCTCAGGAGGCATGTGAGAAAGAGATAGGCAGAGGGTGGTGGTCGGAGCTCTTCGCCGCCAATCTGCAGGGTGCGGCCCGTTCCAGGGTTTGGACCTTTGCCGGAAGTCAGCCCTATCCAAGGAGTTTCCATTCAAGGAGGCATCGAGCAGCGAGGGACATCCATGTGCTCGAATCGTCTAGAGTACGCTGTTTCTCTTAGGTGCGAACATCTTGGGAGCATAGATTGATGTCCCTCTTGTGTTTATACCACATATTATGGTCTTGTTCACAGTCGAGGCGTATTCATTCTGCCAGTTCGCGTACTCCCTGTGCACAATTGTTACCAGCACTTGCAAACCTCGACATCTCATAATCAAAGGCCAAATCAGACAACCCAATCAGATTCATGGACATAATCACCACAGAACCAATTCATTATGCCTGTGAGTAATCGATCGATAATAAATTACCGTTATATTGGTAGAAAACAGAGAAGACCAGGGTCTCTCAGACAGCCATAATGACGATTGGTTTTCTGAGCAACTCAGTAGCTTTGCGCAGTCGCATCTGCTCTGTCTATATGCCCCCTCACTTTATCTCAAGACACTGCGAGTCCCCTGTGTCGCAGCATTTCTGTACATTGTCATCATAAACTCCTTGAGCGCGCTCTTGTATCGCTTCAACTCCAACCACCTCTCAGTCTATGAACCACGATAGGTAGTGTAGCTCCAAGGACCCAAGAGCAGAGGAACATGGTAATGTCTCTCGTCCTTGTCGGTACAGAACTTGAGCTCCACCTCAGGCCAAAAAGTCTTGCCCTTGCCATAGAACTCCTCGGTCGCAAAGACCAAGCTCCAATTCATCTGCTCGTCGCTCTTGAGGTCCGACTTCAATGTGTTGACCAAGTGATCCAGCTCGGTTGTGGTGACAGTGCCGCTGTCGTTTGTGGACTGCCAGGCGGTTACTCGGCCATCTGAGTTGGTGGTTGCGGTGAAGGTGGTGGGAGAGGAGAGGTTGGAGCGCTTGGGCGAGAGTAGGGAGAGGGTGACGCGCATGTCGGGCGCTGGGCGACCAGACACGGTCTCGAGGACGTGGCATGTGATGAACGGGCGTGCTGGAGCTGACATGTTGACTGTCTGTGTAGGTGTGTGGGTGTGTTTCGGTGTGCTTCAGGCTGACAGTTGAGCAAGGGGTTTGCTTTTGGTTTCTCGAGGTGTTGCTGCGACTAGTGATAGAAGAACAGATGGACCTACAAGTGACAAGAAGCCTTCTACTATAAGATTGTTATCTAGCCGTCGGTCACCTTCGTCCAAACAGCTTCCAAGTCGACACGCGGAGGTGGCCGGTCGCATCACGCCGAGTTGCGGCTCTTAGATCTCACGAGCAAGAGGGGGCTCTGCGAGAAGAGGCTCTGTTTTTTTCCTTCAACCTCAACCTCACACCACGACGACCAAGTACAACAAAAGAGATAAGTAGGTATGAATTGCATTCGGATTTCATGTCTCGTATAGGTAAGTCTACATGACTGCATGGTCGACGGAGCCCGCTCTTGCTTTCTCAACGTCGCCAGCATTGAATTTCTTTCCCGTCTCTTGGATCGGTATCATCATTTCCTTTGTTCATAGCTCGTCCCTGTCAAAGGGCGCGAAGCTTCAGGTAATCGTTCGTCTCATGCTTCCAATGCGAAAGCATTTAGTTGCGGACGTTGGAGCGGACCTCATCGTTACCACCGTTGTTCTCGCGGTGAATCTGAGCCTTGGTCTCGGGACCTGAAGTCAAGTTCAGTCAGCATGTTTCTTTGACGTAAGTCTTTTGTATCGCTTACCTCCAGCACCCTCGAACTCGCCAGCCTTGTAGAGCTTGCCAGTGGAAGGGTTGATGTCACCACCCTCGCTCTCGGGGATGCGAATGTTGTTGCTGGCACCAGTACCACCAACAGTTACGTCGGCACCAGGGAACTTGTTGCTGACGCTCTCGTCAACACCAGACTCGCGGGCTGTGAAGACAATGTCAGTTTGTTGTTGCATGTCATTGAAGCAATTGAAGAGATCATGGATTTGACATCCAACTACAAGCTTCAAATTTGGTTCCCCAAAGACTTACTGCTGTCGCTTGTGGTCTGACCGTGCTTTGCGGCATGGCTGTTCAAGTCCTGCTCAGCCTGGGTAGCGAGCTTGATGGGGTCCTGTCCTTGGTATTCGGCAGACATTTTGATGGATTGTGTGGTTTGAGGTGGGTTTGGAGGAGTTTGGTATGTGGAATTAAAGATGGTTGAGTATGATGAAGAAAGAAAAACAGCTCTCACACGACCTGAAGAAAGTATTTCTACTGCTGCAATCGATCGAGCCGATGGTACCATTGGTATGACGATGTCATGGAGGGGGTGGAGATGGTGACGTGTAGATGCCAAGCCGAAGTCATTTCGAAGAGAAATACTACCATAAGTGGAGCTGACAACCATAGAATATTTTGATCAAATTCCTCGGGATCGTCACTGCCTCAGATTATCGAGTCTTTGAGAATTTGATCGTGACAAGAAGAAATGGACAGAAACCCAGTTTCAGGTCACTGACCCACGATCCTGCACCCGACCAACAGACTTCCCAGTCAAACACGAGCACCAGGAAATGATCGCTGAGAATTAATTAGAAGGCTGGCTTTGCTCTCGGTCCTACTTTGCAAAAATCCATCAAGGTGTGCATTGATATCATAACTCAACACACAAGCAGTATTGCTCGATGGTTTCTCACACCCCGTAATCCTTTTATGCTGAAGCCTTCCACTCCAGTCACATCCGCTCTCCCACAACCACAAAGTCCCCAGAGCCCAAGCTGTGACAATGCATGAATCTTTCAAAAACAGAGGCGTGTCCACAGAAGAGAGGTCGATCTGCCGCAGAACACTTGCGCCAGGCTCCAGCTCTCTTCAAGAATGACTCGATGCTCTGATATTGAGTTGGTTGAGGCTGATAAGCTATGGTCTGCTCAAGGCCGACGAGCTGTGCTCTGCTCAGGGCGTAGTGTTGATCAGCTCTTGAAGAATCAAGTCTTCAGAGCAGAGCATTAGGACCGCCACCCCTTCGCGTCCACACGCCATCAATGCCCATATCGAACTTTCTGCTTTGCTGTCAGTTATAGACTGACAATAAGGATATCACCACAGCTCACCCATCATCAGCCCAAATAACCTTCGGCTCAGGAGCACCACCGGGAGAATTGATAAACTTGATGTTCTTCGTCTGCGCACCAAAAGTCAGCATTTGAATATCAAAGCACAACAGAGACAGCAACGAAAGACTCACAAGACCTAAACTCAGATGGATGGAAGGACCTTCGGCGACTTCGTAGTGCTCCAGTGGTTCGTTGTTGGCTAGGTGCTCGATATTCTCTACGACCACAGGGGCTTGTCTGAGTGCCGGACGGGCAGCTTTGTGGGCTCCTGTGTCTGCGACATCTCCTACGGCGAAGATGTTCGAGAATTTGGTGTCGTGGATCTGAAGTGTCCTGCGTACACGAACGAAACCAGCATCATCGATAGACTCTGGTGACAGGGTGCGAATGAGCTCTGACTGTGGCGTTTGGCCAGTAGCGATGACCTGTGACCAATATCAGCCAACACATTCCGTCTTCCAAGAAGCTTTCACAACTTACAGCAAAATCAGTAGAAACAGATGTTCCATCCATCAACTCGACGTTGAAAATCGACCCATCGGTCGGATACCCCTTGGCCGGCAACTTGACTCTCGAACCAAGCTTGAGTTTCACACCCAACTCTTCGCATCTCTGCTTGATAATGCCATCAAGCTGGGGATGAAACTTGTTCATGATTTGCTCTCTGGAGTGAATCAATGTAACGTTTTTCTCAGGGTAGATCTCCTTGATATCAGTAGCCATCTGCACACCCACAGCTCCTCCGCCAATGATGGCGATATTGGAGCTCTTCTCGACTTTGCTGGCGTGTTCGCGCAGGTAGGTGACTCCATCAGCTTTGTCAGACGAGGGCAATGTCGATGGTGGTGTTAATTTTGTCCCCGTAGCAATAACCTGTGTATCACCATCAGTCAAAAACTCGTTCGAAACCCTGCTATCCTCGGTTGTACTTACCAAATAAGCATAAGGAATCCTCTCCACCCCCTGACCATTAACCTCGACTTTGCGATCCAGCCAAATCCCCTCTTTATCGATTTTTTTCACGCCAGCCCTCACCACAACACCACTGCCTGCAGGACAATTCGCAAACGTGCCCGGTGTAAAAGGAATGAAAGCTTTGTGTGTGTCTACCTTGCTGGTGACCGCAAATCTAGGAAAAGCGAACAGATGCTGGAAATGCGAGTTCTTCTCAATCAACAAGACTTGGAAGCGGCCTGAGAATTTGATGGCTAGTTGTTGTGCTGTATTGACACCTGGAAAGGAGATGTTAGTATTCGTCAGACTAGATATGCGATCAGGATATATGAGTGTAGAAAGCCATACCAACATAACTGCCTCCGATGACTGCAATATTAGGTAGAATCGACATTGTTGCTTTGCACAGAGATGATCAGAAGTTCGGTTCCTGGAAATCTACAGTGAAGCAGGACTTGTTCGGCCTGCTCGACGGTCCGACTCCCTCCCTATATATGTCCTCCGACCTCCCCTATGGCTGCCTGTCTTGCATCCCGGCAGCCCACATCGGATCTGATAAGCGCAGCGCTGTCGGCGTCGCCAACAACCTGATGCTCCGATTGGTCACTTGTGTCGGAAGAGTCGGCCGAGGGTTGCGGCCGAAGAGCACGGCACGCGCGGCCGGCATGGTATCGTACGAGGAGGCGCGGGGTACGAGACAGCAACACCCAACAGTCAGGAATTCACAAGTGCAATAAGGCAGCATATCACTGTCAGAGGAAGGGAGCAAGAATCAAATCAAAATTAGCGAACTTCTTCGCCGTTCATTTCTTTTATACCGTACTCGGCGTTCTTTTTCTGTTAAAAGAACTACTCCTGCATAGCAAGTCATCAAGAATAGGGATACAACCATTCAGAAAGCAATCCCATGCCAACGCCCCAGCCACTCCGCTTGTCTTTAGCAATGCCCATGAACCAAAAAAGAGACGATGAAGTGATCAATTCTACTTCTTGCGCGATGCTCTGCCGCTCTTGGTCACGACGGCAGCAGCACCGCCCTTGGTGGTTCCGTTAGAGCCGGTTGACGCTACACTGCCTGCACGAGATGATGTGCTTGATGCTGCCTTGCTGCCGCCCTTGACTGTGTCGAGCTGCTTGTTCTATAGACTTGTCAGTTCTGGTTCCATTCGCCTATGATGTTCATCGCATACCTTGACGTTGCCCTTTGCCTTTTTGGTAGTAGGCTTGACTTCCTCTTCCTCGCTTGACTCTTCATCAGCAGCTCTCTTGCTCTTCGAACCGTTGAGCTTCTCGCCATTTGCCTCGGCCATCTCCTTCGCAACAGTGGTGATAAGAGTATTGCAGCGACGTCCGATCTCTTGTGGCGTTCTGCTCAAGAAGAACCAGTCGAACCTAAACAGCGGCGATTCGCGAATCTCGTCACGGATCTTTTCGTACAGTTCCTCGCTCTCAAGGCCGAAACGGTCAAGCATGACCAAAAGGAAGCGATCTTCTTCCTCGGTGTAGACCTTCTTGTTCGTGGTGCTAACAGTGTAGTTGATCTTGAGCTGCTGCAGCGGTACACGGTACAGGCCCATCTTCTGGCGGAGGAGCTTGCCATGCTGGACAACCTTTGCGCGACGCTCTTCACCTTCGTTGATTGAGTCAATGTGCTTCTCCCAGTTGGCGATCTCCTTGTAGCGCTTCCAGAAGATCTTGGCGTAAGCCTTGATCTCGTCAGGCTCCTTGCTGTCGACCTCCAGGGCGATGTCCTCGTAGTTCGTGCGTCCATACTTAGCACTTCCGTTTATGAACTGTTGGAAATCACGCTTGTTCCAGTCTCCGAAACCCTCCGCGGCAAGCTTGTCCTTTTCACTTTGCTCCTCCTCTGTCAAAGGCTCGGCGTCGTCGATAGCCTGCTGTTCCAGGGCTTGATCTTGTTCGCGCTGCTCCTTGTCCTCGTCATCGCCCTCAGCAAGAGGTGCCTTGATGCTATTCTCTTTACGGAACCATGCGGTCTCCTTGTCTTGCAGATCCGCGAGACGCGGGTTGAAGAACTGGTAATCGTGCATGGCCTGTTGCTTGGGTGCGCGTGGAACCTTTGGCTTGGGGTCGGCAGTTCTGCCGCCAGTCATAAGAGCGTTTCGATAGTACTTATCCATCGAGTAGGATGCCGGGTCTTTGCGCTCACGCTTTGAGGGGTTGATCCAGTTGATGCCAATCTCCACCTTCTTCTTGTTCTCGAAATTTTCGCCGTTCCACTCGTACGCCGACTCTGAAGTGAACTTCTGGAGATCGTCCAAACCAAGCTTCTCATACTTGGAGTTTAGTTCAGCGGTACGCTCCTCACCCTTCTTGAGGATCGCGTCGATGTCGTCTTCAGTAATCTCGCCGTTCTTCGAGAAAGCGCCTTCGGCGTTTGCTTCAAACACCTTCTCGGCACCGTGCTGAATCATGTTCAGAAGCTCATCCTTTGAAGCTGCCTTCTTGGCTTCCTGTTGGGCACGTCCTTGCTGAATAACAAGCTGATCCAGACGAAGTTTCTGAGCAGCTCTCTCGAGCACCTTCTCCTCGATGGCATTCTCGGTTACGAAACGGAAAACGACGACCTGCTTGGTCTGACCAATACGATGGGCACGGTCCATGGCCTGCAAATCAGCCTGAGGGTTCCAGTCACTATCGAAGATGACGACAATGTCTGCAGTTGTCAGGTTGATACCGAGACCACCAGCACGGGTGGTCAGGAGGAAGAGGAACTTCTCAGAACCAGGCTTGTTGTACTCGTCGATGGCTGCAATACGATCTTCGTGAGCCGTTGAACCGTCGATACGGCAGTACTGGTATCCACGGAAGACCGAGTAATCCTCGAGGATGTCCAGAAGTCTGCTCATCTGCGAGAAGATAAGGACACGACTTCCTTGTGCCTTCATACGTTTGAGCAGTTTGTCAAGCATTAGCATCTTGGCCGAGTTGTAGATCAGATGCTCATCAGTGGTGTATGGCGGACCAGGCTCGGCTCCATCGAAAAGGTAAGGGTGGTTGCAGCACTTGCGCAGCTGCATGACAATGTTGAGTAGACGGGTCTTCGACTCTTTCTTACCACCAGCGCCGTTGACTGCGTCGATGTCCTTCTCCAAGATGCGCTTGTACCAGTTAACCTGCATTTCGGACATGCCAATGTACAAGTTGACCTCCTTCTTGGGCAACAGACTCTTCTCGACGTCGCTCTTTACTCTGCGCAGCAAGAAGGGACGCAAAACTCTGTGCAGCTGCTGAACGACGGTTTCTTGATCGGAGTCCTGTCCAGAGAACCACTGATCGAATGCTTCTGAATCTCCAAAGACGTCGGGAAGGAGGAAGTTGAGCAAGGCCCACAGCTCATGCAGATTGTTCTGCAGAGGAGTTCCGGTGATGAGAAGTCTGTTGCGCGAGTTGAACATGCGGATGATTTGAGCAAGAGAGGATTCCTCGTTCTTGATACGATGAGCCTCGTCGATGATGATGTACTCCCAGGCAAACTTCTTCAGGTGTGTCTTTTCGCGAAGAATCATCTCGTAACTCGTGATAAGAACATCGAATTTCTCCTCGAGCAGTCGTTCGTTCATGATGGTTGCGCGCTCTTCCTTTGTACCCTGGAGGACCAGAACGTCGATCTCGGGAATCCATCTAGCAAATTCACGCTTCCAGTTGTCAAGGGTGGACTTTGGTACGGCGACCAAGTGGGGACCAGTGGTGTTGCAGACGAAGCGTAGGTAGCCGATGAAGGAGATTGTCTGGAGAGTCTTGCCCAGACCCATCTCGTCGGCCAAGATACCAGAAATACCGTTCTCGTGCAGCGAGACGAGCCAGTTCAAACCAGCAACTTGGTAGTCGCGCATTTGTCCCTGGACATAAGACGGTGACTCGCGGAAGATTGTACGGTTCTCATCACTTTCATGCTTGCCGGTGCGGAGCAACTCAGCATCTTCCTCCTTTTCTGTGCGTCTCCTTCTTTCACCGCCTGCACCTCCCTTGCGCGATTGGGCTTTGCCAGCTCTTGCCTTTTCTTCCTCGTCTTGGCGATCGATCTCAGCCATAATCTCCTTAATGCGGGGGTTTGGGTTGGTATCGATGAAATGACGGAAAAGGTCGGTCAGGCCTAAGAGGTAACGGAATCGGCGGATAGAATCGTCCTCCTGTAGTTGATTGTCAGAAAAGAGGACGGCAAGGGATGCTAGCAGCGTGTGTTGGGTACCTTTGACATGCCCAGCTTGTCGTGCTTCTTGCCCAAGACACTCTTTCTCAGTTCATGGCCTTCCCATCTCTTCTTTCTGCCGTCCAGATCGCCAGCAACGCTGCTTTCTGTGGTGGTCATGCCAGTGTCTGAGTCCTGAGAGCTCGTTAGTATGTGCGCGTTCGTACACGTAGAGCCGCGTTTGTAGCTTACAGTGTAATCGGGCGTGTCGATCACATCCTACAGCCGATTAGTTAGCACATGTCGTAGGTTGTGTTGTCGCGTTCGAGCGTGGGCTTTATATAGTAGAGGAGAAAGAGCCAGGGATCGAAGCTTTGAGAACAAGCCCAATGCGAAAGGAGTGAGTGACGGTAGTACATACACGCATGGTGTGGTCGCCATCTCCGTTGCCGTTCATGATGCGGGTGGACAGTTGTGGTCGCCTTGCGGCGGAGGGTGGATTGAAAAGGTTGGTCCAGGAGAAATGGTAGACGTGCGTGGAATCTTGTTTCTGCGATGGACAGAGTCGATGTCGAGTGGATGATCAACGGCGCGAATGCCGATATTACGATGGCGGCGGATGGTGGGCGAGAGGGGACGCGGAAGCAAAAGGCAATGCAAGATGCGAAGGGAAGAAGAGCAGCCAAGAGAAGCAGGAAGCATCCACACATGCTCCAGACGCGCGAAGTCGCGACTGCCCGTAAAATGCTTAAGCACGGACCACACCTGCTTGCTTGTTTTATCGACTTTCACCATTGCGCCTTCCGTCCGTGACCTTGTGATTGCATTAGCGTACACATTGCTAATCTTCACATGGTAGTTGAGAAGGTCACAAAGATGGCACCGCAAGATACGGCCTTGTCAGTCAAGACTAAAAGGGAGATGAGTTGGTTCGTTCAAGATGTGAATGCTAAAAATACAGTTAAACCCTCCAATACCATTTCCTTCCCCCTCTTGGCGAGCATATAGACCATGTGTTGATGTCTTCGTCGTTGTGTTGCTCGATACCAACCGTGTGTGTGCTGAAAAAAAAAAAAAGCCCAGAACGCCGCGCTAAAACCTGTTTGCAATGCCAGAAATTCTTGATACAATTTGTCCACTTCTCACCTGTGCTCGAGATCATTGATCGGAAACCTATTGTCGAGGACTGTTGGAAGGCGCTCAAGCCTGCGCTCCAGCGAACATGAGCTCGCGATCCTGACGCATGCCTTCGAGCACAGCGACCAATCCGCCCTGTCGCAGTCGCTCGAGCACCACCGTCATTCCCTCCTTTGCCTTGGGTTGTGACTTCTCAGCGCGGCGGAGGCCGATGACTTCAATGGATCGCTGCATGGGACTAGCTGCCCACGACTTGAAGAAGCCAAGCTTGGCCGGAGCCTCCTCTTCGACAGCCTCTGCTTCGGCCTGTCTTTGTGCCTTTCTGCGACGAATGTTCTCGCCGATGCGTGATTGTAGTGTGACTGTAGTCGTGACGTCTGTCCTTTGAGATGCTTGTTGGCCATAAAGATCGACGGGTGCAGTGAGCTTCGGTTGCGATTCGAGACCTTGTCGACGGAAGACCTGCTTTTCGATGACGCTCAAGACGCCGGTCCATTCGAGGTTGCGACTCTCAGCCTCCATCCATCCTTCTTTCGCATCGACGACGGTTGTCTCGAGGATATAAGCTTGGCTGTCACCGTTCTCAGCTCCACCCATGATGCTCCGTGGTAGGAGCTTGAGAATGGCAGCAGGAAGTTTGCTTCTCTTGAGGTGCAGACGGACAGTCGTCAGGCGCTGGGTTTCGGGGTCATATTCGCGCGAGATGACATCGGTCGAGAGCACGTGAGTGCTGTATGGGTTGGGGTAGCGCAGAAAGTAGGCCAGCGACACGGCGGGAAAAGAGTAGTCGTAGCTATACGAGGTGGAGTAGAATTTGACCATCTTGTTGCATGCTGTGAGCGACGATTGACAGTGGGTGAATGAAAGCGATGGAGAAACAAAACAGAGTCGAAGAAGAAAAGGAAGCAATTGGGTCAATAAGGTGGAATGCTTGATGCAGTGCAGAAACGGCAAGGCTGCTCCCCCTCAAGTTGGCGTGGTCAGCAGCAGCATGACGATGTCAGTTTTTGTTCCCCAGCCAGTCGGCGTCGGCCTCCGAATCTCCCGACCCTGTCCCGCACGCGTGACATCTGCCGATCTTCACATGCTGCATCTCTTTGTCTCCGCTTGCTGCTTGCTTCGACGACCATCCTTTGTCATCGAATGCCATTTTCAATTGTTCATACTGTGCTAGATATTTGTTACACACTGAGCAGTGTCACTATCTCACATCTGTTTTAAAACGCCGATATCACCAGGGCTTCCAATGAAAACTGCTCCAATCTCAATAAAGATTGTGCACTTTTGCAGTGACTAGAATCTAAAATCTCCTCATGAGGGACCTTCCTGTATGCTTCTGACTTCAGGCCCCTCTGGGTCTTGGCCTCGTTCCTGGGCCTCAGCCTCCAACCCTCCTTCCTCTCTTCGAACCCTTTGTTGTTCCTCATACCCTCGGGACCCGTTCTTGCTGTTGCCTCTACCATTGACTTCCTTGTCCATCTTCTCCATCAACTCCTCTCCCGGCAAAAGCACTGCCCAATCAATCGCATATGGTAGCCCTCGATGTCTTCCTCGAATCATGACGCAGATGAGGATCAGTCTACTGAGAGTGTGCCATGTTCCACTGAACGAGTAATTATCGTAAGGAACGCCCAAAGACAAACCAACTGTGCCATAAGCAGAAACGACCTCAAAAATGATAGCCCAGATGGTAAAATAGTCCCCTCCAGCCACTATTTCGTGGCGCTCGATGATCGTTATCAGCCGGATTGCTAGTATGAGCCACCACAGGTCGTGTGCGAGCTGCTTGCGAATGTGTTCAGATATATAAGACTGTTCACCTTTCTTTTCTGCCTCTTGATCGCTGCTGTTTTCGATCCCTAGGATCTGCCCAGAGGAATGGGAATGCAAGGCACAGCCTGCTGGAAGCAGGTTATGGCACCCAGATGAACAACATTGAGGCCACTATTAGTCATGGCACTGGAACATAGAAAGAGTGCGTCGATGTATCGCAGTAAACTGGTCCTGGGCTTTGCCAGAGTTGGCATTGGTAGTGCTGCCATAGACGACGATGGAGGAAAGAAGGATGGTGAAGATGAGTATAGAATTGGCAGGGACAAAGGGCGCACAGACCAGCGGGGTATAGCCGTTATTGACAAGAAAGTCGAGCGAGTCACTCTTCCTTGATCGCTCGAAACACTCAAAATGGCATCATCCGATGGAGCGCCAGCTACGGCCGACGCTGTAGGCGCACCCCCTGCCGTCGAGCAGATCAAGCAAGCCGCAAAGGAGCAGCAGATCGACCCCTACAATGTCAGCGGAGGAGTCGACGAGCATGGCAACGTTACCGCCATCGACTACGAGGCCCTTCGCGAGCGATTCAACACTCCCGCCCTGACCCAGGAGCACCTCGACCGCTTCGAGCGCGTCACCGGCAAACCTCCACACCGTCTGATGCGCCGCAAGCTCTTCTTCAGCCACCGCGACTTTGACAGGATCCTCGACTACTATGAGAAATACGGCTTCTTCCTGCTCTATACCGGTCGTGGCCCTAGCTCCGGCTCCATGCACTTGGGCCACGCTGTCCCCTTCCTCTTCACCAAGGAGCTACAAGACATCTTCGACGTGCCCCTCGTCGTCATGTTGACCGACGACGAGAAGTTCCTCTACACCCGCAACAAGAACAACGGCAAGATCACAAAGGGCGCTGCTCTCGGCGACTTCATCGAGTACGCAAAACAAAACTGCAAGGATATCATTGCTCTCGGCTTTGACCTGAAGAAGACCTTCATCTACACCGACTACGAGTACATGGGCGGCCACTTCTACCAGAACATCACCGAGTTCGAGGCTCTTCTCACAAACAACCAGATCAGAGGTGCCATGGGTTTCGACGGCAGCACAAACATTGGTCTCAACGCATACGCTGCCAAGCAGTGTGTTGCTGCATTTGCTTCATCATACCCTACTCTGTTCGGCGCTGGCGATTTCCGCGCTCCCAACTACGACGAAGCCCGTCCCCGCAAGCACATTGCCGCTATTCCCACCCTGATTCCATGTGCCATCGACCAGGAGCCCTACTTCCGTCTTTTGCGCGACAACTGCGATCGCATGGAGTTCCCCGCTCCCAAGACCGCCCTCGTTCTGTCAAAGTTCTTGACTGCCCTGCAGGGTCCTGGTGGCAAGATGTCCGCTAGTGACCCTAACTCGGCCATCTTCATGTCAGATACTTCCAAGCAGATCGAGAAGAAGGTCAACCGCTTCGCCTTCTCCGGTGGCGGTGCCACAAAGGAGGACCACGAAAAGTACGGCGGTAACCCCGACGTCGATGTTGCATATACCTACCTCTCTTACTTCCTTGAGAGTGATGAGGAACTCAAGGAGATTGAACAAAACTACCGCAAGGGTACCCTTTCGACTGGCGAGCTCAAGAAACGCTGCATCCAGGAGCTGCAAAAGTTCGTCGAGGCTTTCCAGGAGCGTCGCTCAAAGGTTACCGACGAAATCATGCGCGAGTTCATGACTCCCAGAAAGCTCGAGTTCAAGGGCAACCCCAACGCCACTGCTTCCATCGAGGACGCCACAACTGAGAAGAAGCCCGAGGAGAAGCAGGAAAACACTTCTGGCAAGCTTACAAAGGGCGAGCGCAAGGCTCTCAAGATTGCAGAGAAAAAGGCCGAGAAGTTGGCTTTGAGGGAAAAGGGTCAGGAAGGCGAGCAGCCCAAGGCAGAAGAGGCATAGACGACACAAAAAGCAAAACAAACAATTTTACGATCATCATACCCTTCAGCGCATCAGACGTCCCTGCATTCTAGTTCATCATGCATGTTCACAAGCAAATCACATTCTAAGCACGGAGGAAATTGTCCGAGGAAAAAAAAAAAGCAGATTCATGTTGATATACAAGTCTGTCAAGCGTAGCGAAACACAAGTCCAGCAGCAATCGCCGGAAGTAAGTAATTGCACATTCCGCCCAGATAATTTGCAGCAGTAGCGCCTAGAAAAACAACAAGTCAGCTAAACCGAACCTCTACGCTGAGCGCGTCTATCACGTCTAGAAAGAACAGGACCTTGAACCATACCTGGGAAGTTGTTGACATCACGCTGTCTGCTGAAGAAGAACTCGGGGGTAGCCCAACGCTCATAAGTCTGAGTCTCGACTACAGGGTCTGGCATGAAGCCAACAGCTCTGCGCACCCACTCGAACGATGGCGTCCAGTTTTCGTGACTGCATGATACGCAAAGGAAAGCTGGGTGCTCTTTGTCAGTGATGACGAATCGCAAGTGATCCTCACCTCCGGGCTGCAATCTCTTCCAAGTCAAGACTTTCAGCTCGTGGTCAACAATTCGACATCGAGAAGTACAACCTGGGAATTTGCATCTGGCATTGAAGCCTTGGCTGAGATAATTGATGGCATATTTGAGTCTGTAGAAGCGTTGGTTTTTCTGTTGGTAGGCTTCAAGCATGAGGGTCATGGTTTTGCCAATGTCGACGTTGAAGAAGGGGCCAGAGATTGGAAGGGGGCCACCTGGTCTTGTCAGTTCGTTTGTGAGGTCGATCATGTGGGCTGGAGGAATTTCAAAGCTGTGAGGAGGGTTCCTGTTGTAGAGAGGGATAGCTGGATCAACTGGAGCATCGGTCATCTCATCGTCGGGGTCTGTGTCCCCGCCGGTAAGTTCGGCCTGGAAGAGGGCATAAGCGTGATCGTAGTCCGGCATTGGAATATCGATATCTTGGGGGTGAGCCATTGTTGACGTACTCTCTCTGCAGTTTCTGTAATGGTTTTGCTGTTGTTCTCGGACACAGAGAGTAGTCTTGTTAGCTTTGGGCAGGACTTGATTGAAGATCGAAATGTCAACGAGAGTGTTAAGTACGAGATCTATACACGATGCCTCTGATGTCTGCCTGTATGTCTGAGACAAGGGTCTTGTTCTGTCAGACAATGCAGGACACAAAGTAGACAAAGAGAAAACATGCGGGCTTGAAGAGATGTCAGAGGGAAACAATGGCTCTTGTCTTTGATTTCTCTTATCTTTCATTCATCAACTTGTCTTGTTTTTTGTTGTCTTCCATTCATCATGTCGTCTGAGATCTATCTTCTTTGTGCTCCAGACAAGTCCATTGTCTCGCACAGCCCAATCTCACCTGATATTTGACCCCTCGAGTGCGTATAAAACATACTCCCACTGCTCTCAATCTATGTCTCATCCAACACAGCATCTCCAACCAAAACCAAGACAACTAACACACAAACCACAAACCAATTCCACCTACACCACGAACAAAATGTGCAACCACATTTCCTCCTCTGACCTCCCTGTCCTCTCCTACGGTGCTAGATTCCTCTGCCAGGTCTGCTACACCCCTCTCCAATGGAACCCCCTCAGAAGGTACTGGTACTGCCCTGCCTGCCGCCGTCCTAGAAGCCCTGCTATGTAAAGAGGTAAGTGGTGCTTGAAACACAAGTTGATTACTTACAAGTCCTTCAAAGCGGTGTTTTGGGATCTTTTATCTTTTGGTTTTAGTTGAGTATGTTGTTGTTATAGTGAATCAATCAATCCACTTTTTTTTCTTTTCTAAATATTCTCTTTCCTGTGCTTCTTTTGTACATTTTCTGTTTTCTAACTACTTATTTGAGAAATGTCTTGAGTGCTCGGGATTGAACATTACTGTCATAAAAGAAACTATAAAGAAATGGTCTATACCGCACCTCGGGGGTATGATAGCTCACCTCGCAACGAGTGGGCCTCGCAAATCCACAGACCCAAAAAATCAAAAACATAGCCACTATGTCAAAAGAAACAGACCAAATAAAGAAAACCATACCACCAATCTCAACTATCCATCCCACGCTTGTGATTCGAACCTGCTTTTGTTGCCCAAACACCTAACCGTAGAACCAATACTCAGCAGCATACGGCACCTTGATGACCCCAGCACTGCTGCAAGTAGCCGACGCAACACCACCCGCAGTCTCAACTCTATACACTGCCTTGAGGTTCTTGCTGACACCTCTTCCATCATCTTGCAAGAACAACCAATCCACACTGGGACTGATCGAGCCAGTAGGAGCAGGCACATTAGCCACCTTCTTCGCACTCAAGAAGCCACGAGTCTCAAGGTCAAAGGTCGGTACACCGGAAGCACTGAACCAATGGTGTCCCAGTGTAGGTAGGCCGAACCAGGTATGTGTGCTGTAAGCTACAGCAGCGAAGGAGGGGATCAATGAAGACTTTGCGGGTGATAGGAGCAAGCTTGCATCGTAGAGGTCGGCGACTGCGCCAATGGCGACGGGGACCACACCTGCGGCACTGCAGCTGTAGTTTTGGGTGCCTACGCCGAGGGTGATGTATTTGAGGTTGAGCGCGCCGGGCGCTGGAAGGCCATTGAGGGGAACGGTATTCTGGACGGATGTTGTGCTTGGAGCTGGCAAGGCAAGTGCCATGGTGGCTAGGAAGAATGCCAAGAGCAGCCGAGCGATGTTGGATGACATTGTAAATATGCGTAGAAGTCGATTGATAGGTGAGAGTAATTGAGAAACAGGGTCACAAAGATGTGATGATATCGATGCAAGGCAAGAAAGAACAAAAGACTAATCAATGCTGTGCTGCCACCACTTTTCTCAAGAACAATCGAGATGTGCTTCTGTAGAGATTCGGAGTCGATAAACTGGAACCGAAATGGGAACACAGAGACAAGGTAGTATATATATACGATGTATGAATGCACCCAACTCTTGCCGCTTCCAACATCCAGAACGAAGTCGTGTTGGTACGTACGTGAGATGAGCAGAAAGAAGAAGGTTGCTGCTAAACTTACCTTTCTGGCGCGAAATACATGCATATGTCATGCAAGACAAAGACGGGATGGATGGTGAAAAGATGCGAAGCGCCGCCATGCATTACACCATGCGGCAAGCGTCTTACCAGAGATACCTGGCAACACCCATCTATCTCGCTATGGCGAAGATCCGGAATAGCTTCTCGGAGAATTTCATGGCGATAGTTACACCCTGAATTGTTACTATTTGGGTGTTGGTGGCTTCTCTTGCCGGGTTTGCCGTCAGGCATAAGCGCTGGTGAGATCTACAATTCGTGAGGCTGGTTAGAATCTTGCAGATGGGGCTAGATGTTCGTGTGCTATCGATTAGTAGATTAAGTGCATGGTGTTGGTCATTTGGCGGCGGCTAAAATCAGTTTGTTCTGTCTAACATGTCGAGCAATGAACACATTCCTTCAAATCTTGCAAGGACGAAATTTCCGTGCTCGTTTTCTAATGCTCGATGTCAGATCTTGGCAGCTTATGTTCATACCAATGCGAAAAAGCGAGACCAAGGTTCATCCCTACGAGGTAAAGTCGTGATGAGGAAGGATTGAGGTTGACGAATAACAAGCGGGGTTCCGCATCCTTCGCCGAGCGGCACATGTAAGCCTCTCAAGACCCTGCAATATCATGACCTTAACTCGAAATATGCAAGTAAAGAATGTCGGCTAATCACGCTTATGCGGATGAGAAGCATTCTCGACTAAGAATAGCACGAGTGAATGTCCTAAGAAAAAAGGTGGATTATGTTCGCTAATTAGTGACAATTCTTTCTATAATCAGGTCATCATTGGTGTGTGAGCCGAATATTGTCCTTATTCAATGCTCGTTATTGACGGAAAGAGCTCTAACGCGGGGTCGTTTGTATGCCAAATCTGACAAGTCAATCTGTCCAGGAGGGTTATATGGAAGAAATCTCGGATCTTTGATTGTCATCTTCCATCTCGCGGCACGATAAGCTCTGCTTGGATAACAATCTGGCTATGACTCAAGCAGTGTCAATTCGCATTAGACATACTTATCAGCCGGTGCGACTTGAAGGCTCGGAGTGTTTGTTTGATGGCCACGAGGACTCTTCAGCTCGATCTTGTGGCTCTCACGAGCTTGTCGACAAGCCAATGTCTTATTCGATGAGTCCGTCATGTATGCATTCTATAGCTCGTCAACACCAGCAAGCTTCCACACGTCTGGATGAGGATCGGACGTTGCGAATATCTTAGCTGTATCCAGCTCGTCAGAGTGCAAATGTGCGCCCGCTTCCCTCAAAGCCTCGACGTGGTTGGGAAGCCCTGCGTGCGCGGCAACAAAGAGAGGTGTACGCCCATTACGGTTGCGCAGATGAACGCTAGCGCCTAGGTTGAGCATCTCTTTCAACACGTCAACATTGGGGCCAGTTGCTGCAAGGTGCTATAATCACAGTCAGTCAATGTTCAGAAAATGTATGCTACCTGTCCATAACTTACAACAGGCGTGTTTCCTGAGTAGTCCACGTCATTCAGAAGCCAGCGGTTCTCACCCCTGACAACGTCTCTCACGCTCAAAGCATCTCCATCTTGAATAGCATAGCCCAGCGCAGTCAGGCTCGAGATCTCAGGAGTCAGAGTGCCGCTCGTGGGATGTTGGAAATGAGTTCGTCCTCTCTCTGTCAATTCACCTCTGAGTGAGTTGTGCATCTGTTTAGCCACGTCTTTGGGAGTTGAGTCAGGCAATGAGAGTAGGTATGAAAGCTTTGTCAAAGCGGCTTCTGTGGTCATGTCTTGGCCGAACACCACGCCCACACGACCAAGATAGGTCGCTGGAGCGTAGAGTGGGCTGACACTGCCGCTCAGACACTGTGACACATTGACGATGACAATGCCACGCTTGACGGCATCGGCCAGAATCCTAGTCATTGGGGAATCCGGTCCTCCAGGGGTGTTACCAGCGCCAAAGGTTTCCAAAACCAAGCCCTTTAGTCCTTCTGTACGCAGGAACAGATCCACCATCTCTGGCTTGATACCCGGAAAGATGCGCAAACAGGCAACATGGGCAGTATCCAGGTTTGAGTGCACTCTGAAAGGGTTCACGATTCTTGGTCTATAGATGAGGTCCCAGTCGACGTTGGTTCTTAGACTGCTGATAGTAGCAAGAGGTGGCATGTTCGGGCTGGCGAATCCGTTGAAGTCGTCGGTTGACACCTTTGTGGCGCGATTGCCTCTGAAGAGCTTGAAGTTGAAGAACAAGCAGACCTCGGGGATCATGAAATGACCTGCAATAACAAGAGCGCCCAGTAGATTGTCCTGAGCATCATTCTGCAGCTGCATCATTGGCGCTTGTGATCCAGTAAGAATGACAGGCTTTCCTAGGTTCTGGAGCATGAAACTGAGAGCACTGCTGGTGTAGGCCAGTGAGTCGGTTCCGTGCAAGACAACGAAGCCATCATAAAGCTGATAGTTGCGTTCGACGGTTCTCGCGATTTGATCCCAGCCTTCCGCGTCGATGCTGCTGCTGTCAAGCAAGTGATCGAATTCCAAGACACTGTATCGGACCTGCCGACCGTAGGTGCTGGGAGGAGTGCGCAGACTTTGCACAGCTTTGCGAGTGCCTTTCTGATCGGTCACAATCTCAAGTGGTTCAGGGTACGAGCCATCATTGAAAGATGGTCGGGGCGCGAGGCCATTCTTCAGGAAGCCCTTTCCCTAGAAGCAAGGTTACTCAGACGTTCCAGTTCATCACCGTCAACATGACATACCGGTACAAGACCATTTTCGGAAGGTTGCATGCATATCGTACCTCCCGTGATTATGATCAGGACTCTTGTCTCGGGCGCCTCCATCTTGATTTGTTATGAGCGTGAGTTTGGATAGTAGGTAACCGAGATACAGTCGCTACGCTAATAAAGAATATAGAAAGAGAAGAAAATCATAAAAAATACGTTAGGATCATGCCCGGGTCGCAAAGGGAGAGGTTGGAGAAAAAATGCCAAAACGTGGAGCAAGCCTGGAGTTTGCGCGCCAAGGTGTTTTTTATTATGTAAAATAAAGGTAATTAACCGCGTCGTCTTTGTCTTTGTGCTCCGTTGTCGGCAAGCAGCCAGTACGACGTCTCTACCAACCTTGCTTCTCTGTCTTCGGACATTCCATGCATTGTTCTTCTTTCGCGAGTGCACGTGTCATTCGCCAAAGAGCCGGATCGAGAATCTGAGAACAAAGCCATAAGGTCGCCCCGTCGCGGGAGGTGCGCCATTGGATTTCTCTGCGCGTCGAAGCAGCAGCATCCTTTGTCCAGATGCGATGATGTGACGTTTCATTGTCAATGAATGGCCAAATGCCAGGCATCCTGTATATCTACTACAATGTGCAGGCTATACCGCTAACAGTTTTTGTTTTCTTACACGATATACCTATCTCCTACGTCTTATCTCTTGTCTGCTAGCAAATTCTTCTTGATCGAAACAGAAGTCGGTAAGCAACGAATTCAGGACTCTAGGCTTCTATCACATCCAGCTGCGTCAACTGTACCTATATCTACGCTTGTTCCCTACTCATAACGGCAACGATGGGCCGCAAAAAGAACAATAATAACAATAATAATAACAACAATAACAATAACGGCAACAACAACAATAACAATAACAACCCCAAAAACTGCACTCATTGTGGCAAGAAAGGCCATTTGAAATCGGAATGCTTCTCACTACAAGGCAAAAATGGTAACCAGCAAAAAAACCAAAATCAGCAGAACAATCAAAACAATGGCAGGCATTGCGACTTCTGTGGTAGCAAAGACCATTGGTCGGCGTATTGTTCAAAGAAGCAGGAGACGAGCACCGCGGGTACCAGCGGATATATCATGGCTGCTCCCTGGCAGGTCCCTCCGCCACAACTCGAGGCCTTGTGGTGCAAGTGGTGCAACACGACCCTCCATTCCACCGCTGGCTGTCAGAACACCAGTTCGCAAGTCGAAATCATGGTTATGCCCGAGAGCAAGGACTACTACTGCGAAAGGTGCGGGTACAAAGGCCATGTGAGCAAGAACTGCTGCAACCCTTACCCGGACCAGAAGTGTCTCTTTTGTCAACGACCAGGCCATGTCTTCCAAGACTGTGTTCGACGTGACGAGCCCCGAATCCGCGAGATGCTCTCCTCTCTTCCTCCACGCCTCTCCGATCCGGTCGTCAAGAAAGACGAGCCTACTCTGAACATGAGCAATACAATCTCGACATTTAAGAGACGGAGGGAGGCGCTTGACCAGAGTCAGCAAGCCACCAACAGTTTCATTGCCAATCTCGTGAACGCTACCACTCAAAGAGAGACCCAGGATGTCGTCCCCGTCAGACCTCATGAACTTGTCCACATTATGGATGGAGTTCTGACCTGGGAGCAAGGAGACGATTGCAACCTGTGGGGTAAGGACCTCACTGAGACCGTCAAGGCGATGAAGATGTACCACCTGTCCGAAGGCGTGAATTTCTTCCGCATCTTTTTTGCCGTCCATAGACTCGAGGCAGATTTCACCATCCATTGCGCTAACCCGGGATGCAAGGGCAACGCTCTCATCATTACACCCGAGTTTCAGAATGTCAATATTTCCACTCGTAGCGGTTACCCTCGTGACCAGCCCGAGCATGCCGTGTTTCTGGCATCTAGCTGTTCGCACTCCGACTTTTCCTTCGAATGGAGACGTTCGCGCGTTGAAGAAGGAGATTTGACCCCCCTTTACCTACTCCAAGCAGCCCACACCAATCCCATCTTCCATCAGTTCACTGAACTCAAGGCCGGTATTACCACTCGAGACCTTGATCTCGAGTATGATGCCATGTTGGAATTGGAGAAGAAACGTCAGGCTATGGACGCTGAACAGGAAAAGGTAGCCGAAGCATCCACAAAGCTCAGGCTTCAGGAGGCCGCGTTCAAACGACATGCAGAGCTCCTCGGCTCGCCTATGGACTGAAAAGCGCCCACTCCCATCACGAACAGATTCATCACTACTTCTACGCCTCTCACACCTCGCAAGCGTTTCTGGGGCGACACTGCAATGACTGATGCCTCTTCACCGCGACAAGACCGCAGATTTGATTCGGGAGGCCAACTCACTCCCAAACGCGCAAGATTCGAAGACCCCAGGCCAGCTCACCAGTATTCCGACTCCACTCAGTCTTTCTCGCAGCCTGCTGATCAGTCTTCAGGGACCGCTTCTGAGTACCCAACGACCACTCCTCATTCTTTCGATGACGCAACTCAGTATGCCGCGTCTGAAGCTGACAGAGATGTCAGTGGGACAGATACATACAACAGACCAAGAGGAGATCGAGGAGACGGAGGCCAGTATCGAGGCGGACGAAACGATCGAGGCGGACGAAACAATCGGGGAGGTCGAAACGATCGAGGAGGCGGTAGACGAGGCGGTCAAAACTATCAGCAAGGTGGACAGAACTATCCGCAACGTGGACAGAGAAATCAGCAAGGTGGGCAAAGCTATCAGCAAACCGCACAAAGTTCTCAGCAAACTGATCAGCACTATCATCAGGGCGGGCAATATTCCCAAGATCAACAACACGAAAAAGACAACCATGGCCAAAAAAACAATGATGGCAAGAAAAAGAAGAAGAAGAAAAGCAAGAAAGCTAAACAAGGAGGACAAGATGGTGGACAAGGTGATGCACAAGGCGATTTCTGGGAGAATTATGCCCGTAATTCAGCTGGTAACTCGAACGGCGGTCCATCTGGTCCTTCTGGTCCTTCAGCTGAACGCCCAGATGGCGACGACAAAGATGGCTATATCGAGTAGATGTACCGGTGCTGAGATTCATGAATGCAAAAGCACTGTCACTCATACCTGTTTGTCACCACTCTCACCAAATTTGTCCAATGAAGTGAAACATGAACAATTTGACAAAAGAACTTTTCATGATAAAGCGATCGTAAACCGTAAATCCACATATCCCAATCCAGTCTCCCATCCAAAAAATACATTTCTAAACAGGACCCACGGGCTTTCTATCATGGTACTCATACTCCTCCTCATGTCTAAACTCCTGAGTCATGGTAATGCCCTCTTCCCTGACCAAATCCTTCAAGCTATCGCTTTCCTCGGCAGCAGTGGTGATGACTCTAGTCTGGTTCTTGTTTCTGCTCTGAGTGTGCATGTTGTAAGATTCGCAGTTTTGGTACTCGCCGGTCTTCTTGTTGCGGCGAGAAGAGGAGGCCGATGCCATCCATTTGAAGCGCACGAACAGAGGCTTCAGGGAAGGAACACTGCCGATGGTGATGGCGATGAGATCTTCGATGATGGACCAAATCATAAGGTCTGAGAAGCCCCAGACGTAGTCGACGGAGGCGAGGAAGCGGTTAAAGTAGAAGGCGCGAACGACTGTTGCGGCACTTGCACTGTAAGATCTTGTTAGTCGATTGTCCTGTATCCAATCTCCAATTCCGATACTTACAGGAAACCGAGACTCAGGATGGCAGCGATGGTAAACTTGAGCTTCTTGTCCATCTGGAGGTTCCAGAGAATGACAAATGGAAGGATGGAACACGAAAAGTCGGTGACCATTGACGATACCGTGGTATAAATGGCCACCCGCTTGATAACGAGCGGTGCGACGCATTTTCCAATGCCTGTCCAGGAAGCAGAAACAGGAACGCAGAGGGACAAGCAGGCGACCATGGTGATGAATCCACAACAGAAAGAGAGAAAGATGATGATGTAAAGGAAAATGCGAATTCCTTTGTTGGTGGTGATGCGGAGAAGAGCAAAGCAAATGCTGCTCTTGACGAAGATGAGAGAGGTGAGGTAGAAGCACTGGAACATGAGGATGGCATGTCTTGCGTTGACAAGCTCATGTGCGGTCAGGTAGATGTCTCTGACACCGATACCAGTGTTGCATCCGTACATGACGCAAACGCAGGTGCCGAAGAATAAAACCTTGACTTGTGTGAGTTGCTTTATGTTATGTATAATGCAGAGGGAGTAAACATACCTGACCGATGACCATGTTCCAATCATCGAGACCAAAGCCACCAATGGATGTACGAACGACGCATCTGACCGCAACAACGATAGTCGTAACGATCAAGCTTACAAGAGCAATGACAAAAGTAGACAGCTGCTTGCCCTCCATGACTGAGATAGATTAAAAAACGATTGTCCGGTCCGTACACGGGGTAAGAAACGAAGATGCATGCTTCCTCGATGGGACCTGCAGTTAATATACGCTGCTGCTGTTTTTCGCTTTCACCCTTCCCGCAAGCAGCTTCTGGAGAAAAGATCGAGACTGCATTGGCGTATGACGGGTTCTCGTTTCAGAGTCAGGCTCACCTGAATGTAGTCTCGCATGGCTGTTAGACTTTAACGGCCATCCCGTTAAAAACTGCTGAATCTGATGTTTAAACTCAAGCCATCGTTATCACCATGCTTGGTGACGGACTTCGAGCTTTCGAAGGAAGAAGATTCGAAACACAAGGCACAGCGGAAGGCGCAATCCAAACCTGGATTTGTGCACAGTACTCTTTCTCGGCCTGGCCTTCCTACTTGTCCTTTGTGCTGCCTCACATATCGCAAAAAAAAGCCCTGCTCTTGTAGGAGATTGCAAGCCCACAAGGCCCAAGCATGCCCTAGAAGAGCATCCGCTTTCGCACTTGGCGTATGGTAACAGCGCAGTATCTGAGTAACACCCCGTCGCACAGATCTGACAGCAGTAAAATCGATGTCAGTATCCTCGAATCAAGTCAACGGCGCGCAAACACTCACGACTCGCTGGCCCAACTCTAAATCGTTTGTAGATCTGGCACACCCAACAACCTCCACACAGAAGCTGCGGGATACACCATGGCTCCGCGGGCCCAAGCACGTGGCTGCGCTACATTTTGCTAAGTACTGGACGGGACCATCAAAGTCGCAAGAGTCATGGATAAAAAGAATGGAAATAGGACCACTCGAGATTCGCAAAGATATGAATTTTGCATGCAGACGGTTGCCCGTTGAGCGGTAAATGGCGGTTTGTCCCTGCAATCCCCGGCAAAAGACGTATTCCTGCAACAGGGACCTCAAGTCCGTCGAAGATGAAATTCTAATGAAAGTCTGAACTTACCGGTCTACGTCAGTCATTCCAAGCGATGGTCAATGTTGAGAGTCGCGGTCCAGCCAGATGAGTTAGGGAGCGATCAACGTCGATTCGTAGTTCACTTGACATTCACAAGCAGGAGCGAGGCAAAGGCCCGAGGACGGGATTAAAAAGAGGAAAATGGGAAATGCACATGCGGATGGGCCATGTGGCCACACAAAGCTTCGGATGGGCCGATGAGAAAGAAAAGACAGTGGTGGTATAATCGGCGAAAGCAAGAGTACAGTGAAATCATTACATCTTGTCCTTCCTGTGTTGGTAGCCAGCATCGGTGTTGTCGCTGGCGTGACTGTTTGTATCATAAAGTCGTTGGTTCCGCATCCGTGTGTTCGTTCTCCTCCGCATTACCGAATCCTTAGAAGATCTCACTATCGTCATCAAACGAATCTGTCCTCCGAATCAGTCCTTCCGCACTTCGTCCCGACCTTCGATGGCTGAGCTGGTCGCCAGTTCTCCAGACGCCACATCGCGTCTCGTCTGTGGTGCCAGCGTAGCAGCAGACATCATTCGCCCGTCATGTTTCTTTTGTAATATGTGAAATTGAAAGGAAATTCAGAAACAACAAAAATCACGAACCATAACTCTTGCTTAAAGGCACTGGCTTCCTTCTTACAGTACCCGAGAGTTGCTCCTGTTGAGCCTCTTCCTTAGCACCGCTGGGCGCGCGCGAACCCATGGGTCTCGGTCCGGTAATTTTACGAGTAGGACTAAGCTGAGTGGATACCCTGGGACTTGCTGTTGGCTCGGGTGAACGCTGATTGGATTTGGGTCAGTCAACTCAATTGATGAAACGGCACTTGGATACTCACATGTCCACGATCAGTTTCCAGCGAGTATCTTACTTCTTCGATAGGCTCGAGAAGGTGTCCCGAACCAAGCGGGGTCGAGTAGTACATCTGGCGAGGCTTCTGCGGTGCCTGCTGTCGCTGCTCCTTTGGTGGCTCGACCTCAACTCTCGGTGCAGGCTTCTGTTCGCTCTCGGGGACCAGAGGGCCATTGTTCTTGCCAGGAGGAATCCCGCTGAGCTTGTTAGTCCTTGCTAGAGAGAGTGAAGGGTTCGATCCCCATTGCAGAGGATCAAAATCGCTGTCCACAGTGCGCTGAGAAAGATCACTGCTTGTTGCTGTCTCAAAGTGATCTGGACCACTGTATGTCCGGGCTTCCTTCTCAAGATTTGTCTGGTGGCGATGCGTAGGTCCCTGTCGGGGCTGAGGGTGCTGCAATAACAAGGAATCACGGTGTGCCGAGTATTTGGGGTCGTCGTAATCGGCTACCTCGTCGTCATCTGGAAGGATGATAGGGATGTTGTCAAGTTGAGAGCCCGTCTCGGAAGGGATGAGCGGTGAAGGTGTTCGTGTCATATCACTTCGTGTCATGTCACTCAGTCCGCTACGTACGCTTCTGTTATCAGGCATGTGTTCTCTCACTGCCTGGTCTTTCGCTAGCGACTGAGTAGAGCGAAGGCGATCTTCAGACTGCAGCGCGTAGCCGTTGCCATAGTAGCCCCCTCCATTAGAACTCAGACTCTCGCCACTGTTAGAAGCATTGGTGTACTGGCTTCGGCGTTTTCCGTTGATATCCGAGTTCTCGGGATACGAGGATGTTGTCGTCTTGGACCAGCGGGAAATCTTGGGAATGCCAAAAACAGATTGCTTGCGCTGCTTCTCAGGAGTACCTGCGTCAGCTTGAAAATCGGAGGGACTGTGCCGTTGCCGCACTGGAGTCGCAGCAGGTTCGAAAGAACCTGATCTGCGATTGAAAGACTCCTGCGTCGGAGTGAGGAGCCTTTCATTGTTCTCGAACTGATTGTCAAGAACGTGAGTCTCATGCTGCTCTATGAAAGATCTGCCATCGTTGCTCTCTTCTTCCAGGACTGTACTGACACGATTGATTGAGTCTCTTCGACCGTTGTAACCGGAGTGGAAGTACCTCTCTTGTGGCGAAGTCGCATTCTCTTTGGGAGAAGGAAACGAAGCATTGCCGGAATGATTAGACAGACGACCGGAGTGATTGGGAGTTGACGAAGTACCGGCTTGCCCCTCAGGTTCGTATCCAGAGTCACGTCCGTAATGAGTCCGATCTTCGTACGAGTCAAAGCTGCTACCACGGAGCGACATAGGTGGTCGGTCGCCTTGCGTGAGCTTAAGATCTTCTACGTCTCCGAGTATCTGGTTCAGCATGTCCTCGATTTTGGACAAATCATTTGAGCCTCTCTTGCTCAGCCCTTTGAGCGCACGTTTGAAGACATTTTTGCGTTTCGTGGGCAAATCTTCCTCGTTGTAGGTGCCATGGACTGTTCGCGGCTGAGCAGCGGGTTGAGGTCGAGGGCCACCGAGCACTTTCTTGACCGTGTACTCGGCATCGCGATCTGTATTGTCCATGATCTTGCGATCCTGTTCGGCAATAAATCTTTTCATCTCCTCGAACTCGTGACGCATCTCCGCAGCACTACGCACCAGCGTAACGAGGATTTCAGTATCCCTTGCGTTGCGATGCGCGTCTCGGACTGTAAGGTGGTCCATCAACGCAACTACATCTTTGGATTGGATCGTGTCGATTCCTCTGCCAGTAGCACTGTCATAGAGTGGAGAAGACATGCCATGAGAGTTGCCACTCAAGTGGCGGCTGTGCTTTTCGACAAATGCATCTTCCTGTGCTGTCTCGACGTCATATCTTTCCAGTTGGGTCTTCGCGTGTGTCTTGTGAGCTCTGGGAGTAGAGGCCCCGTTAGAACGAGCGTAGGCGGCGGACGCATATCCCTCGTCGCCAAATTGAGCTTGAGGAGAGGTTGTTCCTGCACGTCCCACGTGTATAGCTTGAGCTTGACGCACATCTGGAGTTGTCTCGCGAGAAGCATAGTCTTCGATCACTGCTTGATTTGCTGAAAGATTCTTGTCGGAGCTGTGTCGATTTAGAAGCTTGTCTGCAGCAAAAGCGCCAGCGGCGATACCAGCTCCAACTTTGACTTTGTCGTTCATCGAAAAATTGTGCTCCGAGATACTATCGTGTCGCACAGCTTCTCCGTCAGGACTGTGTGAGAACGAAGGAAGAAATCCGAAGTGTCCATCACCTCGACCAGGACCTTGAATTTCTGGCGGATTTGTACTCAGGTCAGACTCAGAGTCAAGTCCGTGTCCAATTTCGGGCAAGGGATCGTTGACATCTGGAATGCCATGCGCGCTTAAGCGGACAGGGGGAGAGTCCACGTGCGTGCGTTCCTCGTGGAAAGTCTCGCTCTGGCGTGGGGAATTTGAAGCTTGAGCAGAGGAGCCACGGCTTGATAGAGCCAAAGCATTCTCACGCAATGCACTCCACCGGCTTTGGGTTGTATACTGATTCTTTGCCTCTACGCTCTGGTGTGCTGCTGACTGTTGGAGTTCCTCGCGCATGTTTTCATCCACACTTTCGTGGTGACGAACGTCCTCAAAGATGGCCGGGCTAGCCTGTGATGATTGAAGGCTGGTACTGACTGTAGAAGGATCGATCAGCGAAGCGACGGCTGACTCAACGCCATATGGCATATGGGTGTACTTTGGAGTTGCAGCAACTCCCTTGACGTCACGCTCGGGGCTTTGATTGCTCGAAAGGTAGCTCCCTTCCGTGTACTGAGTCGACCGACGCTCATCAAAGGATTCCGGGATGGTGCTGGTGTCGGCGAGAGATTTGCGGTACTGCTCGTTTTTCTCATGCTCTTGTTGAAACCACTCTTCTAGCTCGCTACGTTCCTCGGCCTCATCATAGAGTTGTGCGGGCGAATGTGATGCTCTCGTGAGGTCGAAGCTCTTCCTTTGAGCATTGGGGGAATGAGGGGCTGAAACGGGAGACATGGCGTGTCGTTGTCGTTCCTCGAATCCAGCGGACAACTCTGAAACTCGACTATGAGGTCGTAACCCATGAGGTACTAAAGGATCAGTGGGACTGTCCTTCGTAGTAGACACGCTCTGCGTAGGGCTTGATTCGTGTTTGGCAGACTCATGAGCGGTCCCAACGGCACCCAAACCAGCTGCTACCAACGCTGCCATCTTTGCTTTAGTTGAGATGGATTGAACGTTAGCGGAGTGTTCTTCCGTCAGAGAATGCCTGCTCTGATAGGATTCCAATGAACGCGGCGAACGAGCTCCTTTGGCTTTAGGAGTGGTGGATGCTGGCGATAGGGAACCACGAAGCGAGCCCGGCAGGACCTCACGGACTGGAGTCTGGTGTGGCGTGATCGAAGCAGAATGAGGTTGCACTGTTGAGGCACTGAGGATAGATTGACGGGTAACTTCGGAGTCATTCATGGCCGACGCACCGGTCCAAGGCATAGGAGGGATGTCCTCCTTACGATAGGTCTTCTCGGTTTCAGCTAGACTTGTAGAATCACTGCGACTTCCCTTGGCTTTGCGTTTCTTACGCCGCTCACGGCTGATGGTGTCCTGAGAGTCATGATGACGAAGGGCCGCGGCAGTAAGAACACCGCCGGCGATACCAGCAGCAGCAGCTTCCTTGACAGAGTGAGACTCTTTGTCCTTGGTTGATCTACTGTGTAAAGACTCTTCTCGTTCTCGGGTGGAGGCACGAGAAGAACGTCGCTCACGGTGAGGGCGCTCGGATTCTGTGCGGCTAGATCGACGAGACTTCTCGCGACGCTCAGAGTCTCCTCGGGAGAGTATCTCGCCGGGGTCATGTTCGTACCGATTCAGCACGACCTTCGGCTTACTGGAACGTGAGGGTGAGCTTGTTGATTTGGAACGACGCTGATCTAGCTCATCGTCGGAGTAAGAGCCTTGCGAGGAACGACGCTGTTCGTTCTTCAATTGGGTGATTTCAGGCAGAATCAGACGGCGAACAGTGTCCTCGACCATCTGGAGGAGCTTCGGATTGTTCAGAGATACCTTGGAAGTTGTGCCAGAAGCGTATGAAAGGTTACTAGGTGAGAGATTGGAGGACAATATGGACGATTCAGCGGCGCTGGCAAGATCATCTTCGCGTGTAGAGCGGGTGGAGCGACGGCGACGCTCTTTGGTCGGTTTGGTGTCGGGTTCATACTCAACAGGCGCTCCGGGTTGGCGTTGCATCAACTTCTCCATGACCTTTTGCTTGATGCGCTCGTGACTAGCACTGCGGGCTCGGTCTTGTACAGGAAGATCCAGGAGACTGTGGCTGCGACTTGGATCCTCGGACACATCTTGGCTCATAGTCGAGATGCGAGAAGGATCGAGTAAGCTATCAGGAGGCATTGATGACACGTCCGAGGTGGTAGGCAGATAGTGCAATTCGCGAGATTCTCGGCCTTGCTTCAGACTTGACAAGTCGCTGTTGTTTAGAATCTCGACCTCGACTGGAGGGTGGGCTGAGACGTTGCTCTCGGACGAGTGGCTGACCTCGGTGGCCTCGATTGGAGCTGTCTTGTCTGGTGATTTGGTGCCCAGGGAGATGCGGCGTGTATAGGAAGGCTTCTTGTCACGACCAATGCCGGTAATCTGCACCGAATCCGAGTTCTTCGACTTGCGATGGGCCGAAGGAGTGACCTTGACACGGACGCTGGGTCGGTTCTTTGCTTTGTCGCCCTTGGTGGCTTCGAAGTATTCAATCAACAGCGAGGTCTGGGACTTGTTGCGGCCGTGGCGGAGGCGTGGGCCTTCCTTGGATGTGAGCTTATGTGTCGAGATGGTGATGGGAGTGCCGTCTTCGGGGATGGAAAAGGAGGTCTGGTCGGTACGGCGCGAGACGTTGGTGGCTACATCGGTGTCGTCGACGTCGGTGGGTTCGGTAGGTGCAGGCAGTGGTGGGCGTTGGTGAGCTTCGACGCCCATGGCGGCAGCGATTGCTCAGCGAAGTTTACGCGACTGAGGATGCGACTGTCATTGCAGCCCGACGGGTGATGGGGAGTGGGTGATGATGATGGTCTGAGACGCTGCCAATCCGAGTTTGCGAATCACTCGTTTCCTGACACTCCAGCCGCAAGTTGCTTAGATGAAGACCTGTCGATGTCCGGGGGGCGCTCGAGATGGGACAAACAGTCAAGGATGTCGAGTACGAGAGGCCCGCAGTGGGCGAAAGCGACTGATTGCTACCTAGCACCAATCAGCAAACGACGCGCCAGATCATGGCCATGGCCTGGGTTTCTTGTGATAAAGTCGGCACCTTTTTTGTGGAGAACAGGGTGGCTGTTGATATGCGCCGTTAGATATCGGCTGCTTCCCGACGCGCCGTCAAGAGCTTGTTTCGGTCTGCTACAAATGCTCGATTTTTGGCAGTCGTTGTTTTCTTGCTCCAAATCACGGAATCCACTGACATGGATTCTAATGTAGCATGGGAAGGCACATCCAAGGACGCCGGCTGCAGGCTGCAGTTGCTACGGCAAGATCGGCGACTCAGAAGCAAGATGCTGCCCACAAGCGACTTGTCTCTGTTGGTGTGGTAGGCTTTGCACACCATGCGCTTCCCGCACTTCCGCTGCCGGGTCAACGCTCAAGCACGGGTCGTCGTTCACGAAAGACTCTTGCTGCAGGCCCCATACACTGTTGATCCTCCGTATCTTTCGCGTCCATTCGTTCCACTGTGCCTCGCAAATATCCACGCTGTCTTTGTTCTCACCTCGTCAGAGGCCCAGCACCATTGCACCTCGCACCGTTGCGATGCACATGTAACCCAACCTAATCTTCTCTGTTCGTCACCGCACCTTGATCGGCGCAGACTGCCTGTCCTGGTTGGCTCATACCCGCCCCCAACCCCTTCCACTGGTGCCAACTCACCATCGCCGTGCTATCGACCATGCATCTGTCACTCTGTGGCTGGCCTCGTGTGTGTGGGCTTACGAGCCACTCGTCCGAATTTCACTCTAATCTTCTTGTTGGTCTTTCCACCAATCTATCTCCCAGCCTCCGATTTAATACTTGCAACCTGGATACGCCATCGCCATCGGCCACTGACTTCACCATGAACATCGCTGGACTCAGTCTCTCTTGGCACCTCGCAAGTCTCGACATGACGTAGTCCTGGGTCCTGTCCTACAACAAAACATTGATACGATGTTCGACCAAGCGTTCTGTTTGCTTACTTACATCGTGATCAGGGCTCCTTGCACAATTGGGGCCGATATGAGTCTTCCCATACATCTTGTTCTGTGTTTCTTTGCTGCGTCTCACAGTCGTATAGTGCGCTCTCGCCTTATGTTCCTCTGCCTACACCTCTCTCCAAACGCGTGTCTTGGCTGGTCATACTCTCTGCCGTGCCTCCCTACTGGGGGTAGGTTGAAGAAGAGAGGAGCAGGCATTCAGAGCAACGAGCTCCCTTCCGAGGTCCGGCTGCAAAGACTGAAGCCGATCCATTCGTACCACAATCATTGATCTCGCGACCGTGGCTAGGAGCAGTCTTCCAGAGAGGCGGACGTAGGTCTTTCTATAAACTCTGTCTGTTGCTAAGCATCTTCGCTTGATGTGACCCCAGATTTTCTCCACATCTCCACAAAACTTCTACATGCTTGTTCGTTCGGTCGGCCGTGCTCGTCCGCAGGTCAAGCATATACGATGTAGACCGGCAGACAAATAGCTGCCAATCTGTATGGAAATGCCGTCGACACTACAAGTACCATCCCATGTCCACTTCCCGAAGGTCGATCTCTCAGGACCGACGTTGCTCTGACTCCGTCCAAACCTCAATACAGCAGTGATAGAGTTAGCGAGGGTCACAGCTCTAGGTTTGAACCACGGGCCGAGGATGCTATGTAGTAATAATCAGAAGGGAGTCAAACGACACTATAAGAATACGGCCAGGCCATGCAGGTTTCTGTAGGACAAACATATCACAATGATCAACTTGACAATCCTGTGCTTCGCACTGTTGTGTGCTCTTGCAGCAGCATTTCCTAAGCAGAGTGTCAACACTCCATGCAGCACTAACACACTCACAAGCAGTGCCAGTACCAGTGCAAAGACTGCATTGCCCTGGACTATCACTGTATGTAACCCTCTCCAATATGATCTCAACTGTACTGACGAGTCCAAGGCGGCATCGGCTTCTACTTGCGCTTCGACGAGCTTCACAGCTCGCTACGGTTCTTTCAGCTACACCCAAGTCAGCACAAATCGCTATGCTACTCCCATCTTGACTCCCGTCACGTTCGCTAGTGCATTTGCTCCTGCTTATTCCAAGGCAAAATCCTTGTTGCCTTCGAATGTCACATACACAACCTACTCCCTAAACCCCAAAGCTACCACCAGCAAGGATGGCATGTACGGCCAATCTGCTTACGCTTCTCTGTGGTCTGGATACACTTACAACCATACTGTGCCATTTACCACGACTGTCTCGCCTACTCCTGTTCCTACGAGTGAGCTTGTCTATCCTCCAGCTTTGTACTCTGCATGCCCCGATGCAGACGCATGTCTCGACTGCTACAAGTTCGACAAGAACTTCATCTGGGGTGTTGCGGGAAGTGCATGGCAGATTGAAGGTGCCCTCCAACAGGAAGGCAGGGGGCCTGGTAACCTTGACGGACTCGGAAACCAGGGCCCTGGCGGTATGGCTAGCGGCAATGACTCTGTGGAAGCCGATATGAACTACTACCTCTACAAGCAAGACATTGCCAGGCTGGCTGCCATCGGAGTACCGTACTACTCCTTCTCAATTTCTTGGTCGAGAATTGTGCCATTTGGTGTTGCAAACAGTCCGGTCAACACCCAGGGCCTTGATCACTACGACGATCTGATCAAGACTTGTCTGCAGTACGGCATCAAGCCTATCGTCACTCTGGTTCACGTGGATGCACCGACATCAATCAGTCTCGACACAGACTTCACTGCAGACTACCTGTACTACGCCAAGCAGGTCATGGCTCGCTATGCTGAGCATGTTCCTTACTGGGTCACGTTCAACGAACCCAACATTGGAATGCCATATTCCTTCCACACATACAATGGACTGACCAACATCCTCATGGCACACTCTGCTGTGTACAGGTGGTACAAGGAAACTCTCGGTGGCACTGGCAAGGTCACGATCAAGTTTGCGAACAACCTTGCTGTCCCACGCGATTTGAACAAGACTTCAGACTTGCAAGCGGCATCGCGCTACCAAGACTTCATCCTCGGTATCATGGCCAACCCTCTTTTCCTTGGAAAGCAATACCCATCAGAGGTTTTGGCCACACCGAATTTGAACTTGACCGCGCTCACGGCACAGCAAATCTCGTACATCAACGGCACGATTGACTTTTGGGCCCTTGACCCATATGTTTCGCAGTTTGCCTCGACGCCGGCAAATGGACTTGATAGCTGTATCAACAACAGCAGTGACCCTCTCTGGCCTCAATGCGCTGAACTGGGCGAGATTCAGCAGAACGGATGGCAAGTCGGGCAAAAGTCTAACGATTATGCCTACATTGCACCTCAATACGTCCGCCAGCAATTGGGTTATGTGTGGAACACATTCAAACCTTCTGGCATTCTGATCTCTGAATTTGGTTTCAACCCTTTCATGGAGTCCAAGGAGACACTTGTCCAGCAGCGGTACGATCTGCAAAGAACTTTGTACTATCAGGAGTATCTGAGGGAGGTGTTGAAGTCGATGCATCTGGATGGAGTCAATGTGATCGGAGCATTGGCGTGGAGCTTTGTCGACAACAACGAGTTTGGATCCTTTGAGAACCAGTATGGTCTCCAGACTGTCAACAGAACCAGTGGAAAGTTTGAGAGACACTACAAGAGAAGTTTCTTCGACTTTGTCGACTTCTTCCACAAGTTTGTCGCAGCATAGATAGCCATGTATATGGCGTGGTATGCATTTTTGTTGACATGCTGAAGCTTTCTTTGCGAAACATGACCTTGTTTCATTCAAACACGACTGCGTATGTCCTCAAGCTACAATGTCGCCATCTGTCGATAGAAAGAGGTCGACTCTGCAGATAAGTAGAGAGGGGTCTTGGGAACGGAAGTCGGCTCAACTAGGCCAGATTAGGACATGATAGAAGCTCTCGGCTGTTCGGCATCTTTTCAATTATTAATCGATGGGGGAGGGGGAAACATTGTGAGTGAGGTCCGCTTGGAATTTGACGTGCCGAAACGGCCTGACTGCTATGGGCGACGGCCAAATAGACATCTGAAGTAGCTATGGTTGATTTGACCTTCACTCCTGGCATCCAGCCATCAACCTGCGATTCACGCGTGTCGTCGCGCAAAAACACCGTCAAACTGCCACCGTAACGGTCACTCGAAGAAAGGCGACGATAACGCCGGTACCGACATGGGCTCACACGATCAACACTCGGACAAAGATGTCAAGTCGACAAGCTCAGACACACCTTCGACACACTCTCTCCCAGTGCCAGATCAACCAGAAGTCGAATCAATCACCACACCTCTACCCACTACCGACGGCATCCACCCACTCCCACATGCACACCATCAAGACGCATCTTCACTGGAGAAACAAGCCACGGCATCAATAGCCAGCGAGGACATAGAACCTATATTCGTACCCAAAGCCCAACGGAGAGGTTTACTAGCCCGCGTGGCCATCATTGCCGAAGTCGAGGATCCCAAACACTATGCTCGCAGGACAAAATGGTTCATCACTTTTGTCGTTGCTGTGGCTGGTGCTGCTGCACCGATGGGTAGTGGAATCATTCTACCTGGCTTATCACAAATCAACCGTGAATTCAACTCTTCATCTACAGTCACCAATCTCTCGGTCGCTCTGTATATGTTGTCCATGTCGGTGTTCCCACTGTGGTGGTCCAGCTTCTCCGAGACTCTGGGACGAAGGACTATCTATCTGGTTTCCTTCTTTCTATTTCTGGTATTCAACATTTTGAGTGCGGTCAGTGTCAACATCTCCATGTTTATTGTCATGCGTGTTCTCTCTGGAGGTGCTGCTGCCTCTGTGCAGGCGGTGGGTGCTGGAACCATTGCCGATTGCTGGGATGTCAAGGAGCGAGGGAATGCAATGAGTATGTTCTACCTAGGACCTTTGTGTGGGCCTCTTCTCGCGCCCATTGTTGGAGGAGCTCTGACACAAGGTCTTGGATGGAGAAGCTGCATGTGGTTTACCACAATCTACGGTGCACTTCTCTGGTTCCTTCTCCTTTTCTTCCTGCCAGAAACGCTCAAGGATACTATCCCTGCTTCAGTCATCGCCGCTTCCTCGGAGAAGGACAGCAACGCACGACCAACACTCTCAAGAACCAGCACACGCCAGAGCGTAGCTCTGAAATCAAAACGCTACATTACCATTTTCCGCCGCTGGTTTGTCGACCCTTTAGCCATCATCCTCAACCTGCGCATACCAGCCGTGGCACTAGTAGTCTACTACGCATCCATAACATTCGGCTCCTTATACGTTCTCAACATCTCCGTCCAACAAACCTTTGACTCAGAGCCCTACTCCTACTCGACCATCATCGTCGGACTCCTCTACATCCCAAACTCACTAGGCTACTTCCTGGCCTCCCTCCTCGGCGGCAAATGGGTCGACAAAATCATGGCTAGAGAAGCCAAAAAGGCCAATCGCTACGATGAGCACGGCCACTTGATCTACCGCCCCGAAGACCGCCTGCGGGAAAACGCATGGTTGGGCGCCATCATGTTTCCTCTAGCGCTCATCTGGTATGGCTGGTCTGCTCGCTACGGCACCTTCTGGTTCGTCCCCATGCTGGCCAACTTCTTCTTTGGCATTGGCAGTATGCTTATTTTTGCTGTCGTCACTACCATGCTTACGGAATTCATGCCTAATAAAGCTAGTCATGGTATTGCGCTGAATAACTTTGTGCGCAATATTTGTTCTTGCGTGGGCAGTTTGGTGGCTAGTCCGTTGATCGATTGGTGTGGGGATGGGTGGTTGTTTACGGTTATTGGGGTGTGGTGTTTGGTCTCTGGTGTCCTTGTTATTTGGAGTATGAGGAGGTTTGGAGAGGGGTGGAGAGTCAGGGCTGCTGAGTTGATGGTTTGAGTTGCTGAGAAGCATGTTTCACTTCATGATCTCTGCGAATTTAGCGTTGCTGTTGCTGGAGTTTGGAAAGGATGGGATTTTTGTCTTGCTGAGTGGTGGTTCATATGTCGTAGATGAGATTTACGTTGACTACCTCTTCTGATACTTCATTGAGTTCTACCACCTGCCGAAATGCTTGATGCAGAATGTAAGAGTCATACACCCATGAAGCAAGATATAAGACTCGAAGTTGATGAGAGAGAAAAAAAATTGTATTCTCGAGGACACGCCCTTTCCATCTAAACCCATCAACTCGAATATGCCAACAAATCATTTTAATCGACCCCTGCCCTCTAATCATCGAACGAAGTCTTCTTACCCGCCGCCTCAACGATAGCAGCAGAAGCTCTAGGCGCATTCGCCAACGCATTACCGGGCCTAATCTTTCTAGCGTCAAACTTCTTTCTGCGCATCTCTTGTCTCGCGTCCGCATCACCCTTGGGTCTGGTCCTCCTTTGAGGTTTGTCTCCGCCGTCAACTTCGGTGATGGGTGCGCCGTTGTTGTCGGAAATGTGGGTTTCGGAGGCCGGGCGGTCTTTGCCGAAGCGCTTCTTGTAGCGTGTGCTGGCGTCTTCGGCGAATTCGCAGCGTAGAGGGCGACCGTGGAGGCGGTTGATGAACCATTTGCGTTTGTTTTGCTTCTTGGGCTTCTTTGTCTTGAGGGTCTTCTTGTTCTCGGTAGCTTCTTCGTTGTCGGAGTCGCTGTCGGAGTCTGATCCTGAGGCCTTTGTCTCTTCTACTTCCTCCTCTTCCTCTTCTTCCTCGTCATCGCTGGCATCGTCAAACTTCCAGATGAAGCCGCGAACAGCAGACTCTGCGGCTTCGAGCTCGGCGAAACGCACCCAAGCGTATCCCTTGCACTTTCCGGTATCTTGGAAGGTGGCCATAAAGACATCTTCCAACTCTCCAGCCTGCGAAAAGTGTGTTTCCAAATCATCTCTGGTGACGTCGAAGTTGAGGTTTCCGACAAAGACACGCTTGCTAGGCGGCATGATGGGCTTGCCATTGGGACCGATTTTCTTGGCCGTTGCATCTCCTGCTGCTGCTGCCGCGGCTTCGCTCGAATCTGCATTGCCAGCCAGAGCGTTGACAGTGGCTGTTGCTTGAGCAGGGCGGCCTTCGAAACTCTTTGCGTTCTTGATCAGGACTTTGCGGCCGCTGACCAGCGTCTCGGACATGGCGATGGCTTTGTTGAGGGACTCCTCTGTAGCAAAGTCGACGTAGGCGAAACCCTTGTTCGAGGGCTTGGTGCGACCAGGCTGTGCGGGACCTTGAGGAACAGGCATGTTCAAACGCGTAATCTCCGCATCGGGAATCTGAGCCTGGCGCGTGAAAAACACACGCAACATATCCTTGTCGACGGCAAAAGCCAAGTTTCCAATCCAGATGCCGTAGTCGCTGCGTTTCTTTTCTCCATCTGCGGCCGCGGCTGCGGCGGCGACGGCGGCAGCGGCACCTTCGGGGTCTTCTTTTGCTCTTTTGGCGGCCTTTTTGGCTTCACGCATTGCCTTTTTCGAGGGAGGTTCGGGGGCGTTGACGTCGACTTCGATTTCATCTTCGGGGAGGACGGCGCGCTTGCGCTTCTTTGTCTTTTCGACCTTGCTGACTTTGGGGGTGGTGTTTTCGGCATCTGAAGATGCGTTTGAGCTTGCGCTCGGGCTGGGGTCGCGTGTTTTGCCCATGGCTTTGTGTGGTGTGTATGTATCGTGTAATTTTCAAAACCTCACTTTCGGCGTTGGACTTTTTTTTTTTTGCTCTCTCGATTATTCTAGCACGACGGGTGACCAATTCTGGGGTTTGGGAAGTGTGGGGGAAGAATGCCAAGAAGAATCACATTGTCGGACACCGGGAATGCCGCGTGGTGCCATGAGTCGTGGGGCGTCATGCAAGCGCGACTGCTCCGACAAGGACGAGAGACAAGAGCTGCAAGACGCAACACAGCAGCCTCACACCGACCAACGCACCTTCCCTGCTTTTTTTAAGAGACACCAGATCAACGCTCCTTCCCTGCCGTCACCCCACACCAAAGCAGCAAACATGTCAGACCAATCGTACGACAACATTCCCCGCGCTGCATCATCATCATCATCATCCTCGGACGATTTGGACTCCCTCCCCTCCACCTCGGCCAGCACAACCTCCATGTCGCCCTCGGAAGAAGAATGGCAATCCGATGCCGAAAGAGAATGGAAAGAGTCATTGCAACAGCTGGAGTTGTTGCTCACAATGGTGCTGGTCCCCTACTTGGGCAAGTACTTTGGCCGCAAAGCTGCCTATTGGGGTGAGTTCTCGACACTCTCTAGTTCTGACGCAAGAGATGCTAATGCAGAATTTCATAGGGTGGACGAAATACATGGAGTGGAAGTACCCTGTGCATATCGAAATCACGAATCCTGGTCTCTTCAAGGGCATCGGTGCCGTCGAAGCTGCTGCCTCGTTGTGAGAGGTAGGGCGCTGAAAGACACATGGAAAAGAAACAACACAAAGAGTGGCTCCCGAAGCCGTCTCGCTGCCAAACAAGTGTTGTCGTTGGCCTTGGGCTAGAAACGACGGTTCTGCGAGAAGCTCTGATGGATAACGTCTGCAAACGCACTGGCATTCCATCACTCGCCAAGTTACTCTAATCAATCATACAGCACGAGTGCTTGTCCACTACAAGATGTTGGAAGGAAGACCAGCGGGCTATGGGTCGCATCGAGCCCTGTCAGCGCGAGGGTGTTGTATCGCAAAGGGCGATGTCGACGTTTGTTGAGGGTGGCTTTGATATACGTGGTTGTCTGAAGGAGCACATCGTTCGCAATGTGTGAGATAGAATCGCAGGTACACCAGCAGGAAATCTCGAGGATTGGTTTTGCATTCGGCAAAGAAATATTCTAGAGACAACGAGATGTAGTGCTGTCCCTCTATCTACGGTGTAGATGAAAGTAATGACAAAAGAGATATGTTCCAAAATATCCAAAGAAACGCCAGATTACTTTTAAACTTAGATGTCAACCATCTCCGTATCTTCGTCTTTTTCTCCATCGTCATCATCAACAACACCATCGTGCAAAACATCAAAGAACAAAAACGCTATCAAACATAAAACAAATCGTTTATCGAGCTCACCCTCGTCGTGCTAAGCAGCCAACAACACAGCCCGGGAAGCAGACAGAGACGTGCAATCTCCATCGTAGCTTCTACAAGACGTCGGTGTCGACATAGCTTGCACGAATGCACTAGCCATAGCCCGCCATGTCATGCAAACCTGGGCCACCAACACGGCAGCCGCAACCTTAGTCTCATCGAGATCAAGGCTTGCAGAGGTTGCAGGAGCAATGGCTTGTCCGGGCGATCGCTTGCGACGATGTCGCAGAGGCTCAGAGGGCGTCGCTGCTGCTTGAGGTGCTGCAGTCCCGCTACTGGCAAGAGCCTCGGACTCCGTGGAGTGCGCCTTGGCCTGCGTGGCCGAGGTTGGCTTCCTGGAGTCCTTGTCGTGGGCGATCGCATCGGAGGGTGTGGATGGCGTGCCGGCTGCGGCAGACAGTCCGCCATGTAGGTCTGGACTGGCAGCCTGAGATCGTGATCGTGGACTGTCGGGTCCAGTACGAATTGTACTCGTAGATGACGATGTGCTAATCGAGTCTGCAGACAGACTGGATGGTCGGGCGGCTGAGGGTGCTTCCCCACTAGCAGCAATGCTATCTTGGCGCACACTTTCAGAGGCAGCGACCTGTAACTTCGTCGTCCTGTCGATCCCGTGACTGCTGACTTCAGCAGTCGGGGCGGTTACTTGAGCAGATACACTGGACGAAATTGATGATAGTCCTGCAGAAGCACTGGGCGAGGAGGGTGAAATTCCTGCAGATGATCTAGCAGGTAGGATCGTTCTAGCCGTCCCCTGGGGTTCGGGTTCGAGAGACGTAGCTGCTCTGGTGTTAGCAAGAGTCTCGTAGACAGCATGAAGACTAAGGCGATGTTTACCAATGCTGTCGCTTCCGCTTGTGTTCCCGATATATCGGTCTCCCGACTTGGGAGACGTAGCATTGGTTTCGGTCACTACATGTCGTAGTCCTGCACCAGCTTGATCATAGGCTTCTTGTTGTGACATCGCCTGGCTTGATCCAATGACCAGGCCATCGCTAGCAATGCTGCTACCAGTGCCTCGGAGTTGTGGTATATCAGGGCGACTGGCATTCACGGTTAGTCCATGAGCCTGTGGAACTAGTTGTGGCGCCATCTCGGCACCGCCAGCATGCATGATCGAGTCCTTGGATGCCGAGCCGCTGAGAAGAGAAGATTGAGTTCCGGTAAGAGTTGCCAAAGAAGAGTACGTGTTACGCAGTTGAGAAGGCGACATATCGTCGCCTGGAGACGAGAGACCCATAAAGGCAGTTTGCTCCTTACCGTCGAGTCCGTCGGCAGTGGAGAAGGCTGTACGGGAGAAGTCCGAGAACGTGCGCCAAGCGCGAGTAGGCGTTTGCGTAGCAGTCGGTGATTCTGAAGCCTGTATTTGTTCCACCGGCTCGTGAATCAGCTCCAGTTGTGGTGTCGGTTGTGGTGAAAGTAGGCCGGTAGACGTGGGGAAGAGCGCTTGTTGGTAGGAAGGCGATGTTTGAGCAAATAGTGGAGTATCGATAAGAGTCCAGTCAGCAGTATCGCTCCACGGCCAGGTAGTCTGCTGAGGAGCTTGAGAGATCATAGCATTGTCGAAGATGAAGTCGTCAGTGATAGGAAGCTCGCTGAACATGTTCTGGTTGAGGAACATGAAGGGATCTTCGTCGACGATGGAAGGTTCTGTGGCTTGGAACATTGCTTTCTCCATCTGTGCCACGCACGCCGAGTTGATGTTCGATGTCGGTGCCTTTGTTTTGGTGACCTTGGAAGAGCGAACCTTCTCCATTTCTGGTTGGTTGTGAGAGCACTTTCGCTTACGCTTGCTGCACGAATCGCAAGCTTTGACGATACGACGCTTGCGGTACTCGAGCTTTTCGGACTCGGTCATCTTTCTGCGTACGCGAGTCTTAGGTTGAGAAGTGGATGACAAACTGAAGACACCGGTCATCTCTTCGAGTCCAGGCTTGGCCTTTTGAGCAGAGCTAGACTGAGACGACGAGTTCTGACGGCTCATTGTGGGAGCTTGGTAAGAGGACATTGATGCAGGAGTGGCCAGGTTGTAGAGATCAGGGCTGCTGAGAGTTGAGGCAGTGGAATCCATGGAGGGCCACCAGGGAGATTTGTTGGAAACATCGTAGGACAGATCGGCTTCCATGGGAATGATGGGAGTTGTCATCTGGTTTTGTTCCTCTGTAAGTTCCTGCTTGAGAAACTCAATGACTGCATTTCTCATGCGGTCCGAATGGGTCTTGACATGAGGGTAGGCGGTCTTCAAGGCGACTGAGATGTATTAGTCATGTCAACGCGGTTTGATATAAGCTTGTTATTACAGAAGAGCTCATCGGAACCCTTGGGAGGGCAGAACTCGAGAGCGGTGGGGTCGGCTTGTTCACCTGAGCGGTAGATGAAGTAGCCAACCATGGGTATTTGGGTAGACGTTTCCATTGTTAAGGAACAAGGATCTTGAACGAGGTTTGAGAATGAAGAAATTTTGATTTCTCTTTTGGAAAGTAGAGGTACGGTGAGTAGAGAGAGTCTCGCAATCTGCGGATGATATGGTGGCTATCAAGGCAGCGGTTTTGCGGTTGAGGTCGCTTCTAGTGACAAGACCACACCGTGTGTTTACGGGTGGTGAGCGAGACTGTCGAAGAGAATGATAGGAGACAAAAGACCAAGAGACTCGAGTCTGGACACAAGCTGGGTAAATACCGTCAGATGGGAGGCCTCCCGGTCGAGTCACCGAAGAGGAGCTAAGCCTTCGTATCCATCCTTCGAGTGGGAAATTGGCCAATCAAGAGCAAGCCATCGCGGTGTCCCCAAATAGGAATAGTCTCCTCCAGAAAGTGGGAGGAGATCCGAGTACCCCCAGTGCTGACCGCCCCTGTCAACTGGTACGAGAGTAGCGATTGAGGCTGAGCAACAGGGGGCGTTTTTAACGATCTGAACCAATGGTGTCCAAGTGTGGGGTACCGTTGGCTCGAGGCTGACTCACTCGAGGGGAAATCAATTGAATGCACAGCTCTCTACAGCTGCCGACACGTAAAATAGACAGACTGCGCCTTTTGGTTGATGATCAGACCATGCCGGAAGGATTTGCGGATGACTTCTCGTCTGCGAATGATAGGATCCCGTTGCATGATGTACATCGACCCGAGACGCGACAGATTGAGAAGTGGTGGAGCGCGCCGTGCATACCAAGAACACGAACTACCAGGAAGCAAGTCGGTCTCTCGTAGATGCGGACAAAAGGCGAGCACAGCGGGGCAGGCCAGGATATCGATCGTGTCTTGCAGCCAAGGACTGTAACCGCCGACGCTGATGGCAGCGCTTGCGGTAGTGGGGCATTGCTCCAATCGCATCGTGTAGCGACATGCAGCATGCTCACAAGGCTATGAGGTAGGGAACATTTAATAATCCAAGGCGGCCGTCCAACTGCGGCCCCTATGTAAGTGTCTCTTTCGTTTCTGTCTCTGCTCTCAAAATCGCGTTGGAGTCAGCTGTGCTTGAATTTGATCTCAACTCTGTGCTGGAAGCTGGATTGGGAAGGAACGATCGCATCTTACCTACGATCAGACTACTCGTTCATCATGTCAAACAACCAAGCCCAATACTTTCCTCGTAAGCCATCATCAATAGCACAACCCGATATGGGCATCACTGACAACCAATCCCTAGCTCCTCCTCAAGGTAAACACATCTGCCATTCGTCTGTCGTATCATCTGACACAATATTGCAAAGAGCAGCAGAGCTATTTCACTCCTCCAGCCTCACATACCCCTCCGAACAACACGCAGCATTATCCACCTCCACCGGCTGCCGACCGACACCACAGCCTAGGAGGCGCATCCTACTCACCAGCTCCCCAATCTCATCTGTCATCACAACAGCACTTCGCTCCTCCACCAGAGACCAGTCGCTTCTCGTACACTGCTGCTCCACAACCTATTCAGACCCAATTCGTATCTCCGCCGTCATCACTTCCTCCACCTGCTGGCAACATTGGTGCACACGAACACGAGGAAAGTCCCGTCTCGCCTCAGCAACAAGCCCTACCTTATTATCCTGGTCCTCCTCAAGATGCTCAGCCCATCGCCGAGAAAGCCAAAGAGCCCGCAAGACCACCCTTGAATACTTCGATGACGAGCAATCTGCCTGGAGGTGCTCCTCCTCAGACACACTTCATTGGAGCAGGCACAACCGTCGACGATGTGGGCACTTTTAATGGAGGAAGTTACAGAATCAGCCACAGAGATACAAACACTATCCTCACCCTTCAACTTGCCATGGGTTGTCCTCTAACCGTCAGACCGGGAGCCATGATTGCTATGTCTGCGACCATGTCTTTGCAAGGTGCGATTAAGTTCTCCTTCAAGAAACTGGTCGCCGGTGGTCATATGGCCCAATCTACCTATACTGGACCTGGTGAACTCTTGCTCGCTCCGCCGTCTCTTGGTGATATCACCAACATCAGACTTACAGGACAGGAGACTTGGAATGTTGGCAAAGATGCCTTCCTGGCTTGCACTCAGGGTGAGTCGTTCTGTGCCCTGTTAATGTCACCTCTTACTGACACTATTCACAGGTGTTATCAAGGATTACAAAGCTCAAGGTCTGAGCAAAGCCATGTTCTCGGGTGAAGGCTTCTTCGTTTACAAAGTGTCCGGCATAGGCATCTTGTGGATCAGTAGCTTGGGAGCGATCATCCGAAAAGATGTGAGTCCATGCTGTGGCTCTTGCAATCCAGGACGTGTTTCTGACCAAAACAGCTTCAAGAAGGTGAAAAGTACATCATCGACAACGGGCACCTGGTTGCGTGGAACGCCAAATACGTGCTGGAACGTGTCGCGAGTGGCGGAATAATATCCAATCTAAGTGCCAGCGAGGGCTTGGTCTGCAAGTTCACAGGTCCAGGGTATGTAACCCTCCTCACGATCTGGTTCACTGCTGACTCTGTCTAGCACTGTCTTTATGCAAACTCGCAACCCTGTGGAGTTTGCGACCTGGCTGTCAACTGAGGGCAGAGTAAAGGGATAGAGTCCTCGTAGGTGGGCTTTCTTTGGGAAGGCATCATTCTTCACGACTCTGGGGGCACTGAAAATAGGAGTTTTTGGGAAGATGATCCTCATCTGAGATTCTCGGGTTGAGCTCAGCGCCGGACTCGAAATTCTCAAGTCATCATGTAGCTGGAGTCACCCTGACTATGATGATCGTCCTAGTCTATAGTCTTCCCTATCAGCCTTATCCACAATTAATACTTGTTTGGTTGATCTCGAGCGTTAGTTATTCCTATCGGTCTATGTTTCGACAGATACGAGAGAGAGTTGCGGAGTTTGGTTGTAGAATGACTCTTTACCAAGTTCTCGACCTCGTTTTCATGATTTTCTCGTTCGTCTTGAAAAATATTGACCAAGGGTTGTAAAATTATGATTCTCACTCGAATATATCCATTAGGCACCAGTAACCAGTCTGGGGACATACTAGATGTATTCAGTCTATCATCCGACACTCCTCTCGAGATATTGGGTGCATGAATGAAGTGATGTATCTATACCAGGGTGATGACCTTGACCACAAATTCACGCCGTTATGGTCTTTCAACGTCTTTGCTGTGTTTCGAAATTAGTCACGGGACATGAGTGTTGGCATCAACGTGTTCGGTCAAGGATCATGCAATGTATTGATGCGATTCGGCATTTGCAGATTTGAAGCACATGGGGGAAAGCTGCACGAAAGGTACTCGGTAACTTCAATTTCATCGACGGAAATGCCATGACTACAACTACGCATAACAAGAAGCCCATGCACAAACTCCCCACCATACACCCCTACTTGATCAACTTGACAATCTGTGCAGCAATGGCCTCATGCATTCTGAACGTCGGATGCAGACTATTCAACCACAGATACTCATCCACTGGGATCCCACACGCAGGATCAAAGGAAGTTGGCGAGGGCGTTCCATTCTGATATTCCGTGCAAAACTCTGTCGTGTTCTTGTACGGACAAGTTTGGGGGTAAGCGCATGGATGCTCATCAATAACGCGCGAAAACACTTTGTGGGTGTCGAAGACATAGGATGTGGCATCCTTGTGGTTTTTGAGAAGTGAGGTAGAGAGGGAAGCGAGGCGATTGTTCCAATCTGCTATTGCGCTTGCTTCGAGGGATTGGGCTGAGGAGCCGGCTGATCGAGTCAAGGGCGATTGATCGACTGGAGGTACGTTCAAGAAGAGGAAGTTGCGGGCGCCGCTGGTGTAGAGTCGATCTACCAAACCAGAAAGCTCGTTGAAGATTGTAGGGATCAGAGTTGCGTTTTGCGAAGCGTAGCTGTTGCCAATGTCGTTGATGCCGATGAAGATTGTGAATAGAGTGTCGTCTGAGGTCCAGGGGACGGGAGAGGAGTGCGAGGCGTATGTTGGTAGGTACTCGTTTTGGACTTGTTGTTTTACGGATAGTACAGTTGGTAGATAGGGTGCCACGAGAGCGGAATCGACGGTTGCGCCACCGTATGCCAAATTGACTGTCTCGATGAAAGATTTGTTGTATGTAGTTGTGAGGTAGTCGACCCAGTTGGGTCCGTTGGAAGACGTGTAGCCACTGTTGTCGTCTCAGTATCATGCTGTAGTTTTCTCTACACAAGAATGCTTACGGATAAGTCGGATTGCCGAGGGGATTGCCAGGCCCTGGCTGCGTGAGAGAGATGTTGAACCCGGTGGTCGTGTACGAGTCACCGCTTTCGCAACAATCAGTAGGTTACCAGGGCGCGTGCTAAAGAAGTCTCACAATGCAAAAATATGCTTGATCCCTGCCCAGCCGGGGTAGTGCGTCTTCTTTGACTGGCTACTTGGTAGACCGTTGACTAGATTGGATAGGCCCAATGCTACGGCAGCGAGCGAGTGAGCTGATGTCCAGATCATGTTTGCAGTTCGTCAAATGACAGAGGAAAGGTCGAAGGTTACAACATCAAGGCGAGGAAGGCGGCGTGGAAATTATACTCTTTGCTAGCTGCAGTGGTTGGACGTGTCGGCTGAAGACATTTTAGAAGAAGCTTCGTGCTTCGGTCTCTCATAGTCCGTGTCGAATGCGGTATAGACGAGAGCGAGCGGAAGAATTATCTCATCTTCTGCCGCTCCGTTTGTGTTGTGCGATTGTGGGTGAAGCTTGACTTGACGATGGACCCCGCACTGCCGATCAATGCAACTGATTTGTGCCATACCCTGATGCCGTGCGACGTGCCCTATTATCCAAAAGGCCATGTGATGTCGATACCCAGGATCATAATGCTCCGTGACATCGTAAATGCATGTTGGTCGTGTCCCGGCTGTGCGAATGCTTCCTGTCCAAAGGTTGGCGGCCGGCGCACAGATAGAGAGCTCCAGGCTCATTCAACCAAAAATCCCATCTCTTCGTCGACAACGCCAGCGAGGCCTTTTGTCTGTCGGTGTGTGCCCGAGTTGACTGGTGGCCATGTCTTTTGTCGGAGTCGTAGTTTTTCGGCATCGAGGAGCGCTTGAGGCATGTTCCTATACGAGTGTCAGGATCTTGAGTAGACGTAAGGGAAAGGAAGGAGACGTAAGGGAAAGGAAGGAGACGTACTCAAGCTTGCCATGAACAACATACTCCTGCTCAGCAAGGGCGTCTGCGAGTTCAATCTGGTGATTGTCTAGCAGCTCCGAGTTGGGTACGACGACTATCGGCACGTCGATACGCAGAGCTTGAAGGATGGTTCCTGAGCCAGCATGGCTAACGACAAGGCCTTCTACGCCGCGGCCACCTCCACCAGTCTTTGCCAGATTCATGTACTGCGCCAGGCCATTTGTATCCAGTCCAAATCCAGACACGTTGACACCAGCACCTTGTTCCTTCGAGGCTACATCCTGCAGCAGCGACTGGAACAAGCCATGACCATCAGCACCATACTGTACGATCAAGTCTGTGTAGTCATTCTGTTCAAGCGAGTTGCAGAAGGCCGAAGAGACGGTGGCACGGATCAGGGCTTGAAAGGAAGCGGTCGCGCCGATTGTCACAAAGCACACCTTGCGGGGGCGACTCGAAGATTCGTTTGACATTGTTGAGGTGGCCGCTTGTATGTAAATGAAGCATCTGGACAGAGTCAACAGCTCCAAGAAGCTGTCAACGGCAATATCTAAAGTCCGCATCGAGAGCTCCGTCGGCTGAGCTTGCCCATGTCTGATTTGTCAAGCAACTATTGGCGGTCTGGTCGGGGCGTCGATAGCGACGGTGAACCTGGATTTTCCTGCCCAGGCTATACAACGAGAAACCTCGACTGACCCAATACATACAGATTCTACATGCATCGCAGCATTACGCGAGTGCCGATCAATCATGTCTGAGGCGTAAACTTCTGGCCCTACAGAGAACTGACACGCTGATCGCTTCGGCCTTCGCGGTAGCCTGAGCAAGCAAGCCCTGAGAACGTCTCCTCTTGCTTGACATGTTTGCCCACACCCTTGTCCGCAACACCTGAACACTCGTGGCTGCATGCTGTTATCACGCGAGTCTTCATCGTTCCTGCCGAGTGATTGCTTATTCGCACTTCCTTCTCGAATCTCGACCGAGTCCTTCTCGCTTACCCTGATGTCTCATCCCTGACCTGACTGTCGGCCTACATTTTCTGTTCATTGACCCAAAATACAGATCGATCCACCTATAGCCCGTAGCGATAGCGACCCTCGCCCTAACAGACACCCTAAGCTTACAGATTTAGATTATGGTAGAGTATGACTTTGGCAAAACTCGGTCGCATGCTTCAACGGCGCCTCTATACGAGATAACTTCCAAGCATACTGAGCTTGTAGCACATTGGCATCGCCAACCGCAGCCACTCTACACATATTGCCCCTACTATCGTCCTTTCGAGCCTCTTGTGCCATCTCGCTTCGACCTCAATCAACTGTTACTGAGGGAACTTATTCCAACGGCTGATTTTCCTAACGGTCAGACGTTACTGCCGCGTGGGAGAAGGCGAGTGCCGCAAAGTCCAGCCATTTATCCTCCAAATCGCCTCTGACGCTGGACTACTCGCTTTCTCCTGCGAAACGGTCCGTTGACTGCACTCGACGTTTTTCTCAGAATTCCGTGTCAACGGCTATAACAACGGCGTACAAGCCTGCTTCGAGCACCGAACCTTCGGGACTTGGACTGACACTTGCGGCTGTTTTTGCCATTCTGCACTACAGCCTTGTGAAAAACACGTCTGCTCGATCCTGCAGCATATACTACAACAATTGATGCCAACGGCCCGTTTAGGATCATCAGCTTTCCAGAAGGCCAATTGCACAGACAGACACCGTGTAGACCTGCACTCTTCGGCTACCTGCCGACAGCCTGGCTCAAGCGTTTTCGCATTTCTGCACCAGAACAGCATGGCTGGCTCTGCACGGTCGTGGTTCTCTTCCCTTTACGGCAGCCATGTGGTGAAGCCGGTTAGGCTTGTACTTGGTTAAGGTTCTGGAGCCTCAATGTTGGAGAAAAAACACGCGATGCAATAGTGCAGCGGTTGTCACTGGAGCAGAAGCCTATCGCCCAAGTTTCTAAGGTGCTGGAACCAGGGAGCCCTCGTCCACCACAGATATAAAGCTCGTCGAACCACCGCCCAGAAACAAAATCATCAGCACGATCAATCTACTCTTCTACAGCCTAATCGACTAATCAGCTCGCCTTCCTTCGTTCTTATACATTCTTATACATCCTCTCGCTTCAACTACTACTCCACCACAACCACCACTACTTCAGCAACCATGCACTTCTCTACCTTCCTCCCCGTTATGGCCTTCGGTGCCGCCCTTGTCCAGGCTGTCCCTGCTGACGACCTCGTCGCCAGAGGTGCCGTCTGTGTTGACAGCGATATGGCTCGTGTCCGCGCTGCCGAGTCTGCTCCCTATGGCTTCTGTACCAAGTGGATCGGCGCTTCCACCCACACTTCCTCGCCCATCAACGGCCTGACCATGAAGCGTGTCTCGGCTGCTTGCCAGTGCATCGTCTCCGAGGCCAAGAAGGCTGCCGCCTCTTCCTCCAAGGCTTCGATGCTCTCTGTTGCCTCCAAGTCCAAGGCTTCTGCCTCTTCTGTCCTCTCGGTCTCCAGAGCCTCAGTCTCTAAGTCCAAGGCTTCGGTTGCCTCGGTCTCCAAGGCTTCGCGTGTCTCGGTCGCCTCTGTCTCCAAGGCTTCTGCCGCCTCTCGCGTCTCGGCCGCCGCCGCTGCCGTCTCCAAGTCCAAGGCCTCTGTTGCCTCTGCCTCTGTTGCTTCCGTCTCCAAGTCGCGCGCCTCTGTTGCCTCGGTCTCCAAGGCCTCTGCCGTCTCGCGTGTTTCGGCCGCTGCCGCTTCTGCCTCCAAGTCCAAGGCTTCGGTCGCTTCCATCTCTCAGGCTTCCGTTGCCAGCGTCCGCGCCTCTATCGCTTCCGTCTCCAAGGCTTCGCGCTCATCTGCCATGCTTGCTTCTCAGTCCAGCGTCCACAACGTTGCCGCTTCCAAGGCCTCCGTCTCCGCTGCCTCGGTTGCCTCGGCCAAATCTGTTGCTGCCTCCAACTCCAGAGTCGATGCTTCTTCCACCAGACTCGCTGCCGTCTCTGCCTCCAAGGCCTCGGCTGCCTCTGTTGCCTCTTCCATCTCTTCCGTTTCCGCTGCCTCCGCTGCCTCCGCTGCATCTGCCGCCAAGGTCTCCAGCGTTGCTGCTCGCTCTTCTGCCAACTCTGTCGCTGCTGTTTCTTCCAACTCTGTCGTCTCTGCTTCGCGTGCTTCGGTCTCTGCCGCTCGCGCCTCCGAGGCCTCTGTTGCCAGCTCCCAGTCGGTTGCCTCCAAGGCCTCTGCCTCGTCTGCCATGTCCGTCTCGCGCGCCTCTGTCGCTTCCGAGTCTCGCGCTTCGGCCTCCGCCTCCAAGGCCTCGGTTGCCTCTGCTTCCCGCGCATCGGCCTCTGCCTTTGCCACTGCCATTGTCCCCTTCAACGGCACCACCAACGCCCGTCACTAAAGCACTCGCTTTCCTTGATTGTCGTCTTTTCTTTTGTCTTCTTGCATATGCCACACATGGCCTGGGCATCTCCTCTACCATTCTCCTGTCGTTTCTCTCCAAAACAGAACTACACACCTGCTGGCACAGTCTGCAAACCCTTTTTTATTAATGTATAACCCTTGGACAGTATGCCGGGTCAGCTTGTCTATCTCTCATATATTAAAAAAGTAGACAGCTCTTTTTCTTTTTTCTAATACACTTTGATCTTTAAAAACTTGAATAACCTTCTTGCCTTTGCCTTTTGCGACTTGTTCTTTTGGTGAACATTTGTGATCATCGCTTCAGCTACAACATATATTTTAGACCCAAAACTCTCGACTACAACATGCAGGCAGAGATCACGTTCTCAAGAGTGGCACTCAACGACTCGTGAGCATCGGATGGTCATCAAGAAGTAAAAACATGTGTTTTGACAATTCATATGAAAAAAAAACTTCAACCCCCCCTTCCATGACGCCCTTCCGCATACCATAAGCAACAAGAAGATAACAACCCTACACATCAGAAACCGTAACATTCCTCACCCTCTGCACAATAAAAACAACCACAACGGCAAGAAGCAGAATGCCATTGAACCCTGCAAGCATATAGAAAGGTGCACCAGTACTCGTCTTGTCGAACAACACACCACCGAGTTTGGTGAGTAGGAGAATACCCACGCCGCCGGATAGAGAGTAGACTCCAGCGATAGTACCCTTTAGTTGTGCGCGGTCGAGTTCTGTGGGTGCTTGCTCGGTGGAGGGTTGTTGGGAGGGAGTTTCGTTGACGGGAGAGAGCAGTGGAGCGGTTTCCGTGGGTCCATCGGCGGACAAGGGAGCTTCATTGGAGGGCTCGAATGCTTCGGGTAGGGTGTCTTCGTTGGTGGGAGTCGAGGGTTGTGTAGGTGAAGAAGCTTGGATGCCCTTTGCGAGGATGCCCAACGAGCATACTATCGCTGAGATCTGACTGAAGCCGAGGAGGACAACAGCCAAAATTGCGCCTTTGCCGTCAGTGTTTCCATGAAAAGGATCAGGATTGTCGAGGAGGCCGAATGAGATACATCCAATGATACCGGCGATGGCGCCCAGACCGAGAGGAAAGTAGGATAGGTGTTGTCCTTTGTTGCTCATGTATCCGTTGAACCAGCCGAATAGAGGTGCAGCTAGCAGTGCCGTCAATTGCGAGAATCCGGTCAGCATGGATGCAAGTGTGTATGCGCGCTTGCAGCTGGACTTGATGTCTTCGCTTGGGTCGTCGGAGCAGAGACCTTTGCGGATGAAGTAGGCGTTGACGAAGAGGGGGATGAACAGTGATATACCCACTGAAGAAGCCCTTGCGACAAAACCACCCAGATATCCCAGAGCGATTCGAGAGTCGGTGAAACCAAGCATGACGGCAGAACGAACAAGCTGATAGTATGATGGCGTTGGCTTCGAGTTTGAAGCGTCTTCTTCGTCGGTACTCCTTCCAGAGTAGAATAGTCTGTAGAAGCCCTTGTCCTCTTCACCCGGAAGTCCGCGTAAAGTCAGAGACACTAGCATGGCAACAACGATAGACACGCTTCCGACAAGGTAGAAACTGTCTTTGACGGCATCGGCCTGAGCAACACCTTCTCCAGAGAACTTGACGGGCAGAGGTAGGAAGATACCAACGGCCACCAGAGCGCCGATGCCAGTGAACATGCCCACGTAACCAGCAAGTTGACTGAGATCTGACTTGTCTGGCTTGGAAGAGTCTGTGGCGAAGCGACGTTTCTGCGATCGACGTCGAAGATTGGCTGGCCTCTGGACGTAACGTGCAGGTGTGATGGTGACCTCGCTGCTGATACTGAAAGCACCAGAGTTTCGAATGTTGGAATTCGTCGGCGTGGCAATGCCTTCCCCATAGGTCTGACCAGCTTCAGGGGAGCTTGTATGCTTGCGCTCAGCCGTCATTGTAGGCAGGATAGCCGTGACCATGGTCGAACAAGCGGCACCTCCGACACTGAACGCCATCCTACCGAGCAGCAACTGCGGGTAAACATTGTGACTCTGCACCAGCAACATCAAACTGGCACCAATGATCAAATACCCAACCACAGCCACATTCCTAACTCCAATCTTGTCGCTCAGCAGTCCCCAGAGAGGGCACGCGACCAAAGCGACAAGCTCGTCGGCAAAGCCCAGCGTACCGACTATATCGCCGACACCATGCTTGCGCCCGATGACGTCCGTGACAACAAACGAGATGGACGCATTGAGAAAGACCAGAAACGAGATGGAGAAGAGGGCTACTCCGAGCAGATAGCTTGCAGTTTGGAGCTTGGTCGCGGTGATCTTGCGAATAATCATGTTGTGGAGATCTACTACAGGTTGTCGTTGCTTGGAGACACTTGCTGTGGACATTGTTGATGATGATGATCACCATGATGACGAGGCTGATGCTGGTCCGTGGGCTAGGGAGATCATGATCTTACTGTTTGCAACGTTCGGCGTGTTTAGAACGTGGACACCAGACTCCACATCCTGTGTCTCTCCCTGTGCAAGTGTGGGTATCCATGTATGACTATAGAAATGCACAATGTTGTTGGGAACCATGACAGTATTCATTGAGAGGCGGCTGTTCGTCGACTCTCCTTGGCCACGACCCATTCTTGGAGATCATTGTGCATCTTTATCGTGGTAACATCACTCATACCATCACGAGAGATCACAGATAAGTGAACATGCAAAGTCCCAGCAAGATAAAATTTCATCATTGAAATACTCATACAGTCTTATCCCCTCCACTCTCGTTTGTCTTTATGATCCCCCCGTGAACATACACCGTACCCCCGGAACCCCCCTTCACTTCTTGCCCTTCCTGAGGCCGAACAGGGATTTCTAACCTCTGCTGGCGTTTGGCTTGTTGGGCGTCGATGGTGTCGGGGGGCCCGGTGGCGGCAGACGCATCCATAGTGCTGCACGAGAAGCGCCCCATGTGCCCTCGGTCGAGAGAGAGGCGTGGTTGTTGTCGGCTGGGGGAGCAGCCTGGAGGCTTGCTTGAATCGACCCTCGGCTATAGGGGCGCTCCTCGTGCACGGCTTGAGCTTGTGCAGCGCGGTCTAGAGTAAATGAGGTCAGCGTATGCGATGCGGATCATGGGAAGAACGATTGGATACCTGGATGCTCGCGCTTGACGTTCGACCAAAATGCTTCGTAGCAGGCGCAGGCGCATTCTGTGTGTCTTGCTGCGACTGCGCACTGTGCTTTGCACGCACACGTCGACTTACACACACAGAATACGCCTACGCCTTGCTGTCCTTCTAGCATGGCGATGGTCTCGTCGATCATGGCTCCCACACGATCTATTGCTTCTTCTTCTTCTGCTTGACTCTGCGAGGAGCCAGATCGTTGTGCCACTGCGGCACGGGAATTGGTCGAGGTGTGGTGGTGGTGGGAGTGCTGCATGATGGTGGTGTTTGATGGGACCTGATCGAGTCTGTGGTATTGCTTGGGAAGGAGTCTAGGTACTGAGTAGGGTATGAATTATTGTGTGCGCTTCACATGAGAGAAGCCTCGACTAGCGCGTTCGCCGACTGGCTCAAAAGTGACGATTGATAGACTCTATACCAGTGAAGACGACAACTGCTGGCCCATACTCGCTCGACTCATGCGAGCAACTATAGGCGAGGATATGGAATTGCCTCCTTAGCAGTGACGTCTCTGACTACGTCGGCGACAAGCAGACCAACGTTCACAAGCATTGAGCCAGGCGTTTTGTGTTATGGCCAAGATCGAAATGATGGACAGACTTGTGGTCGTCGGCGAGCTAACAAGAGTCCTAGAGTCGGTCGGTCCATGACGAATGTAGGTCTAGCAACAAGTCCTAGGATCGCATAGTATCGTTCATCTTCCGGAAGACGCCCAAGAAGCCACCGCCCGTAATTCTCTCTCCGACTTTGGGTCTGCAAACAAAGGTCCAGTTGGAGTCCTCGGGTTTGGCTTCTTTCAGGGTTTGTGCTGGATCTCTGGTAATGGACTCCTCTGCCGCTTCAGATCCGGAAGATTGTGCAGAATCGGTGACCTCCTCTGTTGGCTGGACCTTCGACGAAGCACGTGGTCTCACAGCGCGTAGGTCCCATGGTTTGCCACCGCTACTTCCATTGTTTCCGAGCTCCAGAGTCTGGTCAAGAAACAAGGGGATGTTTTCTCGCTTGATCTTCTGAATGCATTCCAGAATCTGAGTGATGGATGGGTTGAAGATGATGAGTGTTCCGTCGTTCTGAAGTGCCGAAGCAACAGCTGAAATATGGTTGTGAGTAGCGGGAAGATCCAAGAAGGCGTGCGTCAGGAAAGGTTCTTCTGAGTCACGACGGGCGCGTTCGGATTCGATCCATTCGCTGACGTCTCCAACGTGGAAATCAACGTTGTCGGCATAGAGACCGTGGCGATAGCCCGCAACAATCTTGGCCGCATGCTTGGAATGCTTGGACGAAATCTCGATGCTGTGAATAACAGCCTTCCGGGAAGCCTTCCAAGCGGCCAAAGCATTATCACTCTCAGGCAGCTGTTCACCACTGACACTCTCGGTGCCAGAAAGATCTTCCGTAAGCTCAGATACTGGTGCTGTTTTGGGCGCTTGAGAGTTGGCACCATTGATTGCTCGGCTCAGATGCAAAGTAAGCGCTCCGTGGCCAGTGCCAGCCTCAAGTACTTCGATCTTCTCACCAGTCTCTGCGGCAGAAGGATGGAAGTCAAAGAGACTCACGATGAGATTTGCATCGGCCGGATAGATCTGGACGAGGTCAGTCAACAAGCAAGAATGGTATTCTGAATCAGAACTCACAGGAGTCACGAGTCTTCTGGTCATGTTGACATACTCGGCCAGAGTGATGGTATGGATTCTGTACTCATGACCAGCAGAAGACGTGACCAAGTCTCTCGGGCTCTTTCCGATGATGTCTGCATGGGAGATGTCGCCTTTGTGGGTACTGATCCTGTTGGCGGGATTCAGAGGCTTTGACACGATGGTGTTGTCTTGGTTGTTCTTCTGGCGAAGTATGACAACGTCCCGTTCGACAAAGGTGGTCAAAGTCCTGGATTGGCCATGGATACGGCGTAGAGGGATCGAGACTGGACGCATCATGTCTTCTTACGAACAAAAGGCGCAGGCAAAGGCAAGACAGGCTTCAGAGCAGAATCAGATTTGGCTATACGCTTATCGATAAGGGAAGTATGGAATAGAGTGTGTCGATCTGCTGTTCACGGTTGTGGGGAAATGGGAAGGCGCAAGCTGTCAGAAGATGCCAAAGTTGCTTCTTCCTCTTGTTCTGCCCAGCATCGCATTGCACAGGCACGAGATCGCTTGTGCTGTCGCAATGCCTGTGAGCCCCCAGTCATGACCCGTCGCATTGTAGGTGCCGCTCATCTCCCGTACCAGCAAACATAGACAAAGCGAGACTGACACGGTCCCACAGGTTCGCACCGTCAGCCAGCTCGGCGCCCTGCTGCTCACCGCCCTGCTCTTCGTCTTCCTTGTCGATACCCGCTACCGCCTGCTCCCGCACTCCATCCATACCGCAAACTTCCTGCATCATCCCGGTCTCATCGTCACCGATGTCACCTTGACCACCTGCTCGTCCATCAACCCTTTGTCTTCATGTCAACTCGACCCTTCCAAATGGCATCGTATCGAAAAGGACTTGTACCTGCATAGCGGCTGGATCTCGTCCGCATACCTGCACATACAGCGCAAAAAGGAGGAGGAACTCACCGATGACGACAAGGTTGTTGTTGACCTCCGTGTTGGCCGTCTGGACCCCGGTGTCGGCGAAAAGGGCCAGCAGCAGGAACGATGGGAGTCTCGTCCTGGCAACATTTGGCTCTTGAGGAGCAGCAAGAAAAAGGACTCAGACAGCGACAGAGCTGTCACCGCTGTCGACCTTCTATTCGGCGCCGATGCCGTCGATCCACGCCCAGGTTGGTCTGTGACACAGACTCCCCTACTCCTCGATGCCGCCTCTAATCTCCATGCCGCTCGCATCAGCATTCGCCATGGGCCCGTGCGAGCTGAAAAGAAGGACGTCGTTCCAAGAATTCGCAAGGATGGAAAATTCAAGATTATACAGCTCAGTGATCTGCATTTGAGCACTGGCACTGGCTCCTGCAGAGACGCCATCGACGCGACTGGTCCTGTCAAGGGCAACTGCGAAGCCGATCCTCGCACACTTGATTTTGTTGGCCGGATACTTGACGAAGAGGCTCCGGATCTGGTCGTACTAGGTGGCGACCAGGTCAACGGTGACACAGCGCCAGATGCACAAAGCGCCATTTTTAAATTCGCCGATCTGCTCATCTCACGCTTTATACCTTACGCTGCCATCTTTGGTAACCACGACGATGAAGGCTCAAAGGCTACTCGTCTCTCTCGCGAAGCTCAAATGTCTCTGCTTTCCACTATGCCTTTCTCGCTCTCTCGTCCGGGACCTGACAATGTTGATGGAGTTGGCAATTATTACGTCGAGGTTCTAGCCCAATCTCCTTCTCAGAACTCGGCCATTACTCTATATTTCCTCGACTCCCACAGCTACAGTCCGGATGAAAAGACATATAGAGGTTACGATTGGGTCAAGCCCAACCAGATTCAATGGTTTACCGAGACTGCTCAGAGCCTCAAGGCACAACACGCCAAGTATACCCATATTCATCTCGACATGGCTTTCATCCACATCCCGCTCCCAGAATTTGCCATGCAAGGCAATGTTGTCGCTGGTGGCGAATTCAGAGAACCAAGCACTGCACCTGGCTTCAACTCTGGCTTCTACAAAGCACTCAAAGAACAAGGTGTTGTTTCTGTGGGCTGCGGTCATGATCATGTCAACGATTACTGCGCTCTCACTCCTCAATCCAAGGATGCTGCCAAGAGTGAAAACGTCGGCCCTTGGATGTGCTACGCAGGAGGCAGTGGCTTCGGTGGCTACGCTGGTTATGGTGGCTTCCATCGTCGGGTCCGAGTCTGGGATGTCGACATGAATTCCGGAAGAATAGTGACCTGGAAGCGTGTCGAATGCTGTGGCGACGATCTCAAGAAGCGTATTGGCGAATTGCTGATCGTTGATGGAGGTCGCGTTGTCGTCCCACCAGAGTCCAGTTAATTGAGGCACATATTATGGCTTCTTGTGTCGTTACACCCGTCGCCCGACCCATTCCTGGAGGACTTATACCAGCAACAAGACCTACTTATAGCTCACGACAGGATACCATCCATTGATTCCCTGTAACGCGTATCGACAAATGCGTTGTTACGCCTTTCGATGACAGCGGCTCCGAAGACTGGAGTATGGGGACAAACCACATCAACCCCGTCAAACGGAGTTCTCATGACCAACTCTTATGTTATTATGTGTAATGAATGCTCGGCCTGATTGCGGGTGGTGCTGGGGAAGCACTAGTTCTTTTTACCCGGACAACGGGGCGGATGGTCATGGGCAGCAGTATATGCCGAATTGTACAAATGTAGATCACAGCTTCAGCGTGTATTTCTATACATTGTGATCGATCAATTCAAAGGTCGCCATGACTTCGCGACGATGAAGATCATATATACTTTTGGAGCACGCGATGAACACCACGTGTACGCGGTACAGAAGCAGCGTCGAATGTGGGAACCCCACAGGCAACACCCACACGAAAAGCAATCCTCCGGAGAAGGGCCACGGGAAAATTCGTGGATATTCGTGGATAAATGTTAGCCTCGGGGTATCTCGACAGTATCTCGTCAAAAACGGGCCTTCTTCGCGAAGGCAAGCAGTCGACGAAGGGCATAAATGGTCGTGTGCCCCCAGGCCTGGCATTTGACCCCCGAAGCCTCCAGCTTCTGCCAAATGGAAGTCTGTAAAACCATCAACAATCACCCATCAAGAGGACACTCGCGTCTACCAGAGAACTATGGATCCAACAGCACAAGACAGAGGACTGATCTAGATGAGTCGAGTCGTAGGCGAAATGCACATGTTCACCACGATGCGGTTCACAATCAGCCCACAATCAATGCCCGGATTGGACAAGGGCACCGAGAGCCACCCATCCTGCTGAACCACAGCTTCGCGCTTTCAACTTGTTGAGCGACCAGCAGCACCGATGGAGATTGTTCTGCTGCCGCTTTCTGGCGGCTTAGGGCCTGGCGCCCTCACAACGGACCCTCTCTATTTCCGGATCAGTTCATCAACGGACCAACAACAATTGTCTCGGGCCGACTCGCGACTTGGCAGGAGCGAGATTTGATAAGACGGTTCTGTGGCTTCATCAGCTCTCAGCCTCCGACGGCTGGTGGTGAGATCTCCGATCAAAGACTCGCAGCGCATTCTTTTCAGACCACGAATGTGTCGGCTCGAAATGCTCCAAAAGAAGGCTTTTTTTGTTCTGCTTCTTTGCAGCTTCGATGCGTCACGGACCCTTGAAACGCAACGGTCGGATGTCTGTGATTGGCGTGAAGGCTTTGCATCTCAGGCGCACGGTTCTCTTCTTCTTACAGACGCCATCATCGGGTCCGGCAGTGTGAACCTTGCATGTCAACGCCCAGTGCGTGCATGCGTTGTCCACGCCATGAGCTGAGTCTGGTTATGCGTAGGTCCTCGCGCTCGTCAACACTTTCACGCAATATCATGTCCAGATATATGTCACCCCAGATTGGTTGTAAGTCGTGTCGATATTGGGCAATGCTCGAATCAGTAAGTCGTTTCGCAGTCTCGCGATCAAGATCTCGTGCAACTATTTCCTCTATTTGATGCTAAGATTTCGACGGCGTTGACGCTACTTGCGGCAAATAACGGTTCCCGCTTGACCACTTTTTGCGTCAACTCAACGCCGCCGGCGTGTAATGCTTGTCGTTAGATATTATTGACTCTTCTCGTGTCTAAACGTTTCGTTTTCTCTTCTAATTTTCCTCTACCTATTCTCACTCAGCCTCCCGCCCTAAGTATTTCCACAACCCTCGTCACCGATAAACGGGCCTACTTCTCTCTCCATCACATCTTGTACCTGGCAAGGTATTGATGCCATTGTTGATGATGCCTGACTCGACCGGACCCGCCACATCTGCTGTCAAGCGCGCATGCGACTGTTGCCATAAGAGAAAGGTCAAATGCATCGGTGACGGTACCCGACCTTGCAAGAACTGCACTGCAGCTGGCCTGACATGCACATACAATGCCATCCCCCAGAAGAAAGGACCCAAGGGAAGCAGAGCAAAGGTCATCTCTGAGCTTCGCGAAACACAAAGGCAGTCGCAATTAGCAGCTCGCGCAAGACATGGATTGGGCTTCGAGGCATCACAATATGCCAACGCCTTCTCGAGGACACCGGATCTGCTGTCCATGGAGCTCATCACGTCATGTGTCGACTACTTTTTCGCAAACATGTACCCGACACAGCCAATCCTGCACCGCCAAAAGGTTGGTGAGACAATTGGAAAGATGGAGAACTCGGTAGAAGCCTACTGTCTGGTCGTGTCGCTCTGCTCATACATGCTCATCCAACCGAACACTAAGCTCCCCGCTGGTATTGTTCCGGATGCCGAAGTACCAAACGCCCACCTCAACTTGGGCATGACGTTACTGGACGAAGCCATCCGCGTCCGAAAAGGATACGACTATATTGAGAGCCCCAGCATCTGGTCGGTCATCACATCGTTCTTCTTCTTCGGTGCGCATTTCTGCCTGGACAAGCACAACACCGCCTGGTTCCATCTTCGCGAAGCGACGACGTTAGCGCAGATCATGGGCATGCAAGACGAGAACCATTACAGCCAAGGGGACCTTATTGAGACATCGCGACGCCGACGACTGTATTGGCTCCTGTTCATTACTGAGAGGTGAGTTTGGTTTGAGAAAAAGGCCTAAAGCATCACTAACATCATATCTGCAGAGCATATGCCATCCAGCGACACCGCCCCCTAACCCTGCATGCCACTATCAACCTCCCCACCCTCAACGACGATCCCGCAGAAACAGTCGAGCTTAGTGGATTTATCCACCTCGTAACACTCTTCAAACCATTCGACGACACATTTGTTGGACTTTGGAACAAAGCTCGTGTCGGCTGCTCGACCGAGTGGTTGGCAAGACTTCAGAACCAACTTGCAGAAGCACTTCCGGCGTATCTGCACAGCACCGAGAGCCAGGCAGTCGATTTGAGGACATCGCAACAATGGCTCCGAACAATGGTCTGGCAGCTCTCGATCAGCCATGGCTACCTGTCCTCGGCTGCAGCAGACAGCACCATGAGCTTCAAATACCCCATCGAGATATCCAGAGATCTGATAGCCGCAACCAGTGGCTTCTCGCAAGCCGCTATGGAGGTCCACGGCATTGGACTCGTCGAGAAGCTCTTCGACGTCGCATGCACACTTACCGATGTCATGTCGTGCGTACCCTTCGAGCAACACACTTTTGAATACGGTCCCCGTGATTACCTCAACCAATTCCTCTCTCTCATATCTACTCTCCGCGGCGGCCAACAGCGATACCTCCCCCTGCTTCTCTCCAAAATCAACGACACCCTCCCTCAAATGCCCACTCCAGGATTCAGCATGGTCTCCATGCCCAGCGGTCGCAGCAGGATCGACGAAATCTACGACAGCAGCAACCCCGCCAGCGGTGACTCGACACCCTTTGGAGGCAGTCCACCGCCTCAGCCCGTTAACCCTCAGCTCTTCCAATCTGCATACCAGGACGACTTCAAGCTTCCTGGACCTACCAGTAACGGGTTCCCTATGATGACATCGGCACCTTCGTACAACGGCATCCAGACACCAGCGCAACTCCAAGCCGCGTATCAGAACTCGCGTAATGCGTATTCAGGCTTGGGAGGCCAGTCTGGCTTTGACCACAACCCTTGAAAGCTTCTGGAGACGTCGACGTTGAGAAACGGTGGAACCAACAGCCATTTGGAGATCATGGGCTCAGTACCATGACAGTGGCGCACGCTCTCTCCTTTACAACTCGCACAAGCAGTCTAAACGATATGCGACAGGTCTGAAGAAAAAAATCTCAGTCGGAGCAGCGACTCGAGAGCTGTCAGGACCCGAGGGCACGGCGAGAAGGCCGAATGGGCTTGTTTCCAGGCACAAACGGACCTTGACTCGTGGACCATCATGAGCTTTGATTCTTTTCGACAAAGCACAACTGCATTTTTTTGGTTTTTATGAAAACGATTGCATTATAGACTTGGGAATTATAGACGGACAACAATAGACGGGACACGGCGTTTTCTTTTCTTCTTTTTTTTTTCTTTTTGAGAAGAAGATTGGGCTTTTGCTGCGAAATGATACCCCAACACTGAAAATTACAACATATATAGACCTTTGACATAACTCTCTGCTCATGAACAGAACCCCTTTTCCTCTTTTCAAACATTAGATTTCATTTTCAAACATCATATTCCTCCTTCTTGAGTCGAGTTAAGGCTTCGTGAAAGGCCATGATCAAAGTTTCGACTTTGACTCTTCTGGTCCTGATCTTTGCAAAATCCATTGCGAGACGTGGTTGGCGAATGCGAGCTTGTCATCACCAGGTTCGGCATGCACTGTGAAGAAGATTGATCAGCAACCCACTTCGAACCGAGCAGGGAGAAGAAGAAACTCACTGTTATGATACCAACCATCGTAGCTCTTGAGCTCCATGTCACTCAACCCACTGCAACGATCCGTATAGGCCTTTGTAGCCTCATAAGCGTTGACATGATCGCCAGTACCATGCAACACCAACAATCTCGTCTTTCCACCCTCTCCTGCAGTCTCTTTAGGCAACACCTTGAAGCTCTCGAGCTGTAATCCTCTATCCAGCATCCCTGCCAACCCTTCTAATGTGCCAGTGTCATGACACAGCTCATCCTGCTCCCACAATTTGTTTTGTTCAGGGTCGCGACTCAACCATTTACTGTCCAGCTTGTTCACCAGTTGAAACTTCGGGAGCAGGCGGCCAGCGAGACGGCCAGCGTAGACGGTGGCTTTGAAGGGGCGAGTGTCGGAGTGTAAGCCAATCAGCGGTGCGCTGGCGATGAAACCGCGGATTTGGGAGAGCAGAGCGGAAGGGCCGGTGGAAGCGTAGTAGAGGATTTCGGCGCCGCCCATGCTGTGGCCCATGAGGAAAAGAGGGACAGGAGAAGGGAGTAGGGTGTGCAGCATGCTGGTTATGTCGTCGATGACCCTTGTGGTGGGACCAGTGAGACCGCGCTCACGTTTGTGGTGGACGGAGCGACCCCATCCTCTGTATAGACATGTCAGTAACGAGGTTGTTCCGAGGTAGAGATAAGCAGGGTGAAGATACCGTTGATCAAAGGCATAGATGTCAATGCCCTGGGTAGCCAAATGGTCAAACAAGACGGGGTAGTTGTTGCAGTGATCACTGAAGCCATGCACAAACAGCACGCGTGCCTTGGCTGCAGCATTCCCCGACACCTTCCACGTTTTGGTGTACAACTCGACGCCGTCGTCCGTCTTGTGCGTGCCCTCGGATGTCGTGTATGCTGCCATGTTTCTTGTGCAGTAAGAATATCGATGTGCAGAAGTAAGAAATGGCGATTTGGGGTATCCAACCGAGACTCGAAGCCTCGTTAGCCCTTGCATTTTCTGGTGGTTGGTGTGCTGGATGCTTATTTGCTGACGTAGCTTGCGAACTTCCCTCGGCTTTTCTTTCTTGCTGTGACTTGGTCTGTTGGATATCACATGTTTTTCACCATGTCGATTTACCATATCGCTGGCCGCACTCGGCGTTTTCTAGCAACGACAATATCCCTTGTGACTGATTTGCTCTACAAATTCGTTATTCGAGCTTCGCGTGTTCTGTCTGCATTCTGATATTGTCAGCACCCCAACCCTGTCAACGACATCTTCCTTGATCCATCGCCCTCACGAGTGTGTGGTAAAGCTACCAGAAGATTGATTACGTAGACTGGTATATACTCTTGTCTTATGGATTTAGCTGACAGGTATCTGGTGACTACGTTGGCATATACGAAAGTTATTGTCGGTCTGGTGGTCTTATCATCAGCGACACCTGGAGACAGCAAGCATCTGTCGTAATCAACTAATCGCTCTCTAACCCAAATCCTCGGGTACTCGGCCACCTGTACCTCCATGATCAGTACATGACCTTTAAAAGTCCGACACAAAACAGTAAGCAGTTCCATCGCCGTCTTCATTCTCCGAGTCTTGACTCTCGACCGAGGCTTGTGGACACAAGTCGTTGCCGGTCTCAGTCTGGGGTTTGCCCGATACCTATTTAAAGAAGTTTAACAACGCGTGTGATTGTTTGAACACGGATCACTAATGAACGGAATTATATTCTGAGGATGCAGCACTCTAGGAATATTCTTCTAATTTTTTTTACGTCTGACTATTATCGTCTAGAGGGTATTTACAAAATGGTGGTGGTGCTATGGTAATGTCAAGGGTTATAAGCACTACTTTTCGCGCGGCAACATCTTTTGTCTTCAAGCCTCAGACGAGCATTCAGGGTTTCGAAAGCAGTATCTGAACAGGACCCTTCCCACGAACCTCGGTACCCCACACAGCAACGGCTCCTACGAAAAGTTGCCTAGGTACAATCAGACTCGCCATACTTACTAATCTCTCTTCCTCGAATAGCATTGTCGTCTCTGACAACCCAGAACAAAACATCAAGAAGAAGCAGCAAAGGAAAATCAGATACAATGTCTCAAGTCGAGCAAGAAGTCACACTCGAGACCAGAGGCCACATCGCCATCATCACCCTCAACCTGCCAAAGAAGTTGAATGCACTCAATGGAGACCACTACTTCCGCCTCGCCAAACTAATGAAGGAGATTGCCGTCATGGATAATATCTACATCACCGTCTTGACAGGAAAAGGCCGTTACTTTTCCGCGTAAGCTTCTGATCCTCTCCCGTGATGAAACACAAATGTCTGACTCGAACACAGCGGCGCTGACGTCTCCATCTCCAAAGCACCACCAAAGGACACTGACACCGAACGTCACTACCTCCAAGGCTTTGTCGCACAAAACCTGCACATCACCCACGCCTTCTACACCCACCCCAAGATTCTGATTGCGGCCTTGAACGGTCCCGCTGTAGGCCTCTCGGCCGCTTTGACCGGCTTCGCAGATTTCGTTTACGCTGCTCCTCACACTTTCATCCTCACTCCCTTCAGCAGTTTGGGTTTGGTGACCGAAGGAGGTTCCTCCAGGGCATTTGTATCGCGATTGGGAATTGCAAAGGCAAACGAGGCTTTGATCATGAGTAAGCGCTTGACGTGTGAGGAGTTGGTGTCAGTGGGATATGTGAACGGAGTCATGGACGTCAAGCCAGGTGAGAGCGACAAGTTCTTGGACTTGGTGCTCAAGGAGGTGGATGATAGGCTTGGCAAGCATTTGATCCCTGAGAGTCTGTTGGGTATCAAGAAGTTGATCAGACGACCTGAGAGGGAGATGTTGGATGCGCAGGGTGTCGCTGAGGTGTTTGGTGGGTTGGATCGATTCGTTAGCGGTGTGCCGCAAGAGCAGTTTAGAAAGATTGCTTCGGGCGAGAAGAAGCATAAGCTGTAGATCAGCTTATCAAACCACAAGTGATGGATTTTTGGAAAGATGTATGCATCGATTGACTATGCAGAACATATTATTATTAGTGCTTAGGGTGACTTAAACTTAGGGGGTATCCACAAAAACAAAAACTGCCATGTTCGACATCTCATCTCCTCTTGTCATCGTTCCATCCGATGAAAAGGCCGACATCCTTGACTACCGCAGCAGGAACACCCATCTTTTGTGCCCACATTGGAAGATTGCCCTTCGCGTCGGATGCTGTGGCCATCTGCCACTTCACATTGATGTCCTCGACCATGGTGCAACGCTCGATGCTGACGTACTGGCCCAGAGTGACAGGCTTCCTCTTCTCGGCAGTGTCACCCGCAGTCTTGTTCTTGTGCGTAGAGTACATTGCCTTGTCCAGCTTGGTTATATTGACCGGGATCTGAACGACCAAGAAAGACGGGTCTTTGGGACCAGCCGAGCGAGCCGTGACCACAAGAACCGGAAAAGCTCGGTTGTCTAGAGGAGGCGGGATGTGATGACCCATCTCGAAGACTTTCGTACGACTCGAATTAGCTACGAGCAGCACACGTGGATACGACCAAACACTCACTGTTCAAGCCAATCTTCTCCCAATTGCCAACCTTGGCCTGCTTCTCAGCTAGCTTGTCGTCCCAGGATAGCACTTTGTGTGCATCAAACACATCCGGGGTATACTGCGATTCGTGCAGACTGTGATCATCAAGCAAACCAGCTTCAAATTCATCCCAACTAGCAGTGCCCTTTTCCTTTTTGTTCTCGTGGAGACTCGTGCGTGCAAACCAAGCTTCGTCTTGTGCATTGGCACCCAACTGCTGGGCAGAGATCTCATGAGCCAGAAGTTGGACGGTAGCCTTTGCCGGCGGAGATGTTTTTGATCTGTCCTTGATGGAAAAGTTCTTTGGCAGGTAGTCGGTCATGAAAGTCGAGGCTTCGGTCAAGACGGAGATGATGAAGGTGTCTAGGTCTGGCAATGCCGATGCGGTGCCTTGCAATGCTGTCAAGTCCGGATGGGCGGGCAGTTGTGAGGGATAAAGTGCGCGAAGACGGACCAGTTGACCGTGGGACTGACTGGTAGCACTCATGTTGACTGATATGTTGCGATTCTCAGCAAGTTAGGAATAGGTGGATGTAATTGATGGTATGTCGTGTTCTCGGACGGGTTTGGATAGAAGTCTAGGTAGATGATGGAAGGTCGATCATCAAAACACAAGAGACGTCATCATCAACCTGAATGTCATCGTGACCATCTTCCATCTTCCATCACCCCTTCCTTTCCCTCCTTCCAAGTTTCGCATCGCTGCACACTTTCCTACACGGAAATCTCCTTGACACATCACAGCACTAGGGATTTGTAAAAATGCATGTCAATCCTCCATGGCTAAGCCTTTTTAAACCCTGACACAAATCATTCCTGTGCCAAGGTGGGGCGGACCCGTTCCGCGTAACAAGTCGCTTCTCCCGATCGAGCTATACCGCTTCACAACCACACCACGCGTCTCGTCGCTTCGTATTCTCCCTCTCTGATTGCCCATCCCTAACTTGTCGCCGTTGTTGCGCCTATCTGCCTCGATGAGGAAAATGACTACACACGGCAGTTGCGGATTGCCGATGGGTTCCGGTCAGGTGAACACATATCGACGTCTTCCTTCTTGAAGATATTTCTGTAGGTCCTCTCCTTCAACCCAAGACACAACCAGCCATGTTACTCGCCTTGAAGAATCTCTTCAGGTACTTGCGCCTCAAAGCGCTCGTCAGCTTTGCCCGTCTTAATGTGTGGTGGGGTGGCCTGCCAAAGCCAACACCAGATTCCATCCTCCAGATCCCGTCTCGAACCGGCCGCAACATCAAAGCCCACGTCTACAAGTCCACCTCATCCACCCCCGGCATTCCCACCCCGCTACTCATAAACTTTCACGGCAGCGGCTTTGTATTCCCTCTCCACGGCTCCGACGACTTCTTCTGCCGCAAAGTCTGCTCCGAAACTCCTTACTCGGTCTTGGATATCCAGTATAGTCTTGCGCCAGAGTATCCTTGGCCAGCCTGCCACAACGACGCCGAGGATGTTGCGAACTGGGTGTTTGGACAACCGGACACGTACTCCACTTCTCAAATCGCCATTTCTGGATTCAGTGCTGGTGCGAACATGGCTTGTGTTGCTGCTGCTTGCACATTCCCCAAGCACACTTTCAATGCTCTGTTGGCCTTTTACCCGCCTACCGATCTCTCTATGGCACCGGAGGAAAAGACACCCCCTGAAGATGATGGCAGATCGAATGAAATGACTGTAAAGATGGCTCGCTTGTTTGACGCCTCATACCTGCGTCTGGATCCCGACAAGGCGGACCCTCGTGTATCCCCTGCTCTTGGACCTGTGGACAAGTATCCCGAGAACTCCTTGTTCATCACTTGTGGAAGGGACAGTCTATGTCTGGAGACCGAACGCCTGGCCAAGCGCGTTGAAGAAAAGCATGGGGGAGGTGTGGTGCTCAGACGGATGGACAGATGCGGACATGCGTGGGACAAGAGAGTGCAACCAGGCTCGCACCAGGAGCGCAGGCGTGACGAGGCTTACAACCTAGCCATTGAGATGTTGATGAGGACGAAGCAGCAATAGGATAGAGCAGGAGCAATCACAAGATGGAGGTAATCAAAGGTTTGTATCCATTTTTGCACAATTTGCAGCCTCGCTATGTTCCTTTTCCTCGCTTGCATGATTGAGTAAAAGAGAAACTGATTTCAGCACAACGCCAAATATGAAAGGGCTGTACAGTGTGTCCAGAGAATGAAGAAAGACATTGAAACAAAAAAACAAGAGAAAGGGGGTATCTTTTCAAGCGCGCCGGCAACATGCAACATGCATCCATCATTAATTCGTAGAGAAACCAACACCAAAGAGAAAAGAAAACCACCAGAAGATCAAAAACAACAAAACAAAACGCATCGGCCGAGGAAAACAAAGGAACAAGGGCGCCGGTGCCATGCAAGGTGCGCGAAGAGACGGGAAAGAAAGACATGTAAACCCTGACTGACTGTGCCAGGTACTGTGAGTGAGCGTGTAGAATCAGTATCGTCGACTTTTGATGCCAACACATTCAAGGAATAACCGTATCAGCGCCGGACTGGCTCTTCATGGCACCGATCAGGCTCTCCCATTTGTCAATCTTGTCGACAAAGTCCTGGTTCAAAGACATGGCAGTGCATGCGTCAAGGAGAGCCATGGCATCATGATAGCGAGCACGATCACCAGGTTTGGAAATGTCCTTGTTGCGGTTGTAGAAGTGGAAGAGGGCGCGACGCTTGCCATAGGCATCCAAGGACCAGTAACCGGGCATGACGATGTCAGCTTTGGCGTGGACGAGCTCAAGAGGAGCCACACGCTGCTTGCGATAGAATGTGAGTGCTGAACGAAGACTCTGGAAGGCCTCCTTGATGTCGTCGCGGATCTGCTTCTCCTTGCGGGTGAAGTGGTCGTTGCCCTGGACAGCTGGGGTACTTCTAGTACGACGGTGCTGCTGGGTGTTTGGGTTCAAGGCGTTGGAGGCATGAGCTGACATGAGGTCGTTGAGGGCTGAGCACTGCGAGTTGAGCTCGTTGATACGACGAACAAAGCGGTTCATCTTGAGGTCGATCTCACGCAAGTCGTAGCGCAAGCTCTTAGCAGCGCGGTCTGCATGGTAGGCATACCACTGGGAGATGTCCTCCTCTGAGACAGTGCTGTCGCCGACCGAGTCGGCTGCAGGTGAAGCAGTAGTGGCCATGTTAGGGGTTGCATCGACGACGGGTAGGATCTTGAAGGGTGAAGAGCCGGTGTTGGAGACTCCGGTCGAGTTCTTGTTCACAGGAACCAAGGCTGTGTTGTTGTTGCTGGGATTGATATCGGTCTGGGTGGAAGTGGTGACAACAGCGTCAGCGTCGTCCTGGGAAGAGATCGACAGGTCCATGATGGCATCAACAGGAGCACTGACGATTGTCATAGTACAAGTGCTGTGGTCTTTGATGACAATCTTGGGGACCTTTGGTTGTTCGTACTGGTACCTGACTTCGCTGGGCTTGGGTGGCTGGTGGGACCAGTCGGATACCTCGACAGTTGGAGTGTCAGGTGGTGTGGGGGGCATAAACTCGGGGCTGGACTCGAGACGGCTGTCGTCGGGCGTGGCAGGTTGAACGATGGGTGTAGCGGGAACCTTCAGAGCCGGCTCACTGGCGGGGCGTGGCAGACGCGAGTAGGAATGGCTGCGCAGTGTTGACGAGATCTCACCCAGGAAATCGGCGTTCTTCTTGATGACTTTGCCGTGGTTGTCCAGGATGCCGACCAGGCGCTTGACGAATCTGAGTCGTGTTGTTTAGTTATGTAGGCTTGAACTTATGTTATATCAAGACTTACCCGTCGTGGAGATCATCTCTGGGACCCGGGGTGCTGTTGGCGCGGCGATGTTGATGCTGATGCTTGGATGCGCCGAGTCCATCGTCGCCTCGACGAGCAGATCGTGAGCGCGACATTGCGATTGATGAGTTGACTGTTTAATCCGGGGTTACTCTCGACCGTGCCTTCCGAACCTGCGGAGGATGAACGTTATGTGTCAGAGAAACGACTATCCACAACGGCGCGAGCTGGCAGTGCGTCGGCGGTGTGGGTGTGCAAACAACGAGAAGGCAGAAAACAAGGGCGACGTCAAGCGTATAGATATGGGTAAGACGGGATCGCCGCGCTTGCAGCACGGCGTCAATCACGTTCTGCCTTGTTCGTTGATTGCAAGCTCGATTGATTATTTGCTGCTTCTTTTACCGATAATATGGTCTCGACGCGCCAGGGCCCGCTGCTGCCCAACCCTCGCCCTCCTGTCGTTCCCGCTACTCGGCCACTCCCGAACCATTGTTTGATCTTCTGGAGACATGCAGCCAAATCAGAGGTAGGTACTCGAGTAGGTAGAGAAGAGGTATCATTTCCATCATGCGCCGTCCTTTTTTCTATGTTACAATACAAAACATTGGCTGGCCGTTTGCAAAATTCCCATAAACATCCCCAAACATTATGCACCCGATCCGACTGCCCCTGCAGCTAGATTCTAGCTAGAAAAGAAATCGCTATCCGCCCTTCCACTTGGCGGCAACTGTCACATAACAACCCTTACATCATGGCATTCAAATCGTCTACAGCATCTTGTTGAAAGCAGGGATAAGAGTCTGTGCCAGCCAGAAACTGAAGACGAGCTTGGGTCCAGTCATCAGGAGCTTGGGAGTAAGACCCTTGAAGAACGAAGTCAAGCCCTCGTGCTTGGCCATGTTGGAGATGATGCGGAAACCTGACTCCTTGGCCTCGAAGTTGCGGTTCTGAATACGGGTCTTGACGACGTCGAGAGGAGCCGAGACGATGAGCGAAGCAGAGGCGCCGGCGATGGATGCGACAAAGTTCTGGAACCAGGTGGCGCTGTTGTAGTCGGAGAGCTTGTAGAAGTATTCCTTGGCAGCGGCACTACCACCGAAGAGCTGTGTTGTATGTCAGTAACTGATTGTGCTTAAGATAAGTCGAGTATACGCACAGCGAATGAACCGGGAGCGTTACGGGCGGCAGTCCAGCCCCAACCTCTGTAGAGACCGAAGCCCTCGTCGGCGATAATCTTGAAGAGACCGCGACCACGGAAAGCCTCGGGGTTTGTTTGACGCTTGATCTTGAGAACGTCGAGAGGGAGAATGACAATCTCACCGATACCGATCAAACTGAATGTGTGTTAGCGATGCACCTCGGCACCTCGGAAGGTCGGTATATGGATCGAGTCTTACCTGCCAGCAGTGGCGTGCATGATGGCCTTGCCGTTGCCCTTGCCGAAGGTCGAGTCGAAGAAGTCGCCGTGGTTCTTGGCCAGGTAGTCGCGCATGAAGGGTTGACCACCGTACTTGTAGACACGCTGCATGACCTTGTAGGCGGCGGCATAGCCGAGACCGGGGAAGAGGGAGAAGAAGCGGGTACCGAAGGGAGCGGTGGCCTTGTCCTTGAAGATAACCGAGTTGAACTGGGTCATGCCAACGATCTTGCCCTGGTTGCTCATGAGACGTTTGGCGATGGTGTCGACGGGGTGGAAGACGGCGAGCTCGGCGATACCAGCGGAACCTGCTTCGAGTCAACCATGTGGTCATTTGTGTTGCGACCGAGAGTTTGCGCACCAGCACCGAGGATTCTAGCGGTGGTTGACTCCTTCTTGTACTCCTTGGACGAGCCAGACAGGACCTCGCCGGCCCTGTTCGCGCCATCCTTGGGGGAGGGAATGTTGACCATTGTGACGTGTATGATTGAGTGAAAGACTCGGGAAAAGAATGGACAGAGGTTGAACGGGGTCGAACAAGGAGGAGCTACAAGTGCGAGCAAAAGGACGACCAGAAAGAAGGAAAAGGCACGCGATATGGACTATGCTGAGTTGATCATCCACCAACGCCGACCTCGTTGGACTTTTTCGACGCCCGTGCACGAACTTCTCCGGTCCACCTCCGCGTGAAGAGCTTCCATATCAATGACAAGCTGATTCTTCCGCGTTGTGCGACTATTTATATACACCTAAGAAAGCATATCAAGCACATACGGCCACAGTCAGCTGAAAACTGGGCATCCCGTCCGCTCTGCCATACATAAGCAGTTGAACGGCAGATTAGTACTACGGTGGGTGACCACGTGGGAATCCCTGCTGCTGTATGTTTTGTCTTTTGCTCTTGACAACGGAACACTCACGCAGGTATGGCTCGGTTGCGATATTACGTTCATTTATCGAGAGGCACAGTGCCATATCTTTGAGCTCATCCTTTGACAGCCATCCCAACCACGACGCCGTTCTCTTCTTCTACACTGACCCGTGCGACTGCAAAATGTTACTACAGTATTACATACCAGCGCTTCTTCTTGCACACGCAGCAGCCGCTTCATCGTACAGAGATAGACTCGCCGGCCCATACAACCACGTCCTGCGGAGTGGTCGCGAATATCCATCACAACAGATCGAAGTCTCAGCATTGTCGGGTCAGACGAGCAATGTCTCCGCTATGGTGACAGGCCAGGGAAACAACAATAACAACACTGCTTCAACACTCGATCAGACAAACCATAATGCCACAAATGATACAGCAAGACTTGACTCGCGCGCAAGACGTCTGGCCGAGTTGGACGCCGCAGGGATCGAATTCAGTACATATTTATACTGGGAAAATCCCGAAGCATGTCCATCGCGGGAGCCCGAGTGTAAAGACTGCGGTGGAGAGATGCTTCTATGGCACAGGGATGAGCTAGTTCCTAGTAGCCGTTGTTCTGGTGTAAGTCTTCGTCTCTCTCCCGCTTCTCAGAGCTTGTTTTGATTGACTTTGGACTGTCCAGCTCAAAGATGAAGGCATGAAGTGGAAGGATTGTCGCTGCACAAATTCCTGGCCTGAGGAATTCGTAACTCCCTGTATGCCATCGACAGACTCTGGTGAGTCTGATCTTTGAGACGTGGAACAATCGACATAGCGATGACAGTTCAACACCTGTACGCAGTCTTCACATGGGTGTGAACAGTCTTGCATCTTATCAACTTGCGAAGATGTGTTGAGAAAAGCTCATACATTCTGTCATCGGATATTGGTGTCTTCATGTTTTCGGCACAGAAAGAAGAGAAGTCGATGAAAGCAGTCAGGAGATCATGTTAGAGAAAGCATCAATGTCAGAAAGACGTTCAAAGACATGCATGAGAATACAGAGTCAAGATGATTCCCTGTTATACGCCGTTGGATCCTGCTATCTGCGTCGTCTACGACAGCCATGTCTCTTACGGCAACTCAAGACCCATCAACCTGCTATCTGCGACGTCAATTTCGCTGCACGTCGATATTAAAAGAACTTGGAATATACGTAGCTGGGAGGACGTGTCGTATGTTGCCTACCTAGACTGATCAAATCGAAATATCACTTGGTATTCTCACGGCTAATCACAACGAGGGAATGAGAGGAGAGAGTGAATGGCTAAATACCAACTGTCAAAGAATGAACTGTCAAGGAATGAACAATCAAACACGCGGGCCGAACGGCGCCAGCTTTTGGCGAGCCCAACATATCATGTTCCAGAGCTCTCGGCTGCGGATCATCGTCCGCTCTATATGGGTCATACCTCCAGCATGGGCAAACATTTGGATAATCTCCTGCAACATTGGACAAAAGCGATCGATAATGTCACTTTCAATGATGCCGGTATTCCACGAGATCATAACCGTCAACCTTGAGAAGTCCCTTCTACCGCTGACGTCCAGAGCTTGCGGTGGGCTGAGACTGACCACATTCATGTTGATAGCAGCACTCCATGGTGCGCTAGAATGACCGTACCAGACGTTTTCTAGCCTAAACATATCCTCAGGGTCAAATCGGCCAAGGTTGGAAATCGAGAGGGAGTGACGATATGGATCACCACTTTTTGCAGTCTCTGCGAGGTAGGATCTCCACAGATCAGGTACGAAGCGGTCAGGCACCAACCGAAATTCTCCGATGTTACTTCTGGCGTCGTACTCTGCGCGTGACGAGTGAAGATAGTCGTTGAACTTCTTGGTGAAACTGGCTACAGTGTGCGCACGCAGTTTGGATCTCGGGATGAACTTCTCGATCAGACCTGTATAGTTTCCTCCAATTCGTGGATGTCCGAAGCGGTCTGAGCGAAGCGACTTGGGCGTTTCTGTACTGAGAGTGTCGAAAACATCATCATGGGCGGCTGCCGCCAAGGCGATGACAGCAGCAGTGTGTAGTATCGAATGGACACTGCCAACCCCATCTCCCAGAGCTTCCAATCTCTCGGCCACTCTTTCGTGGTCTCTTCTAAGGTCAAGAGAGATGTACCTGATGTCGGACTCTCCTGGGGGCGTCTTCATTCGACTTGGTGGGGGCCATTTGATTTGGGCGCCGATGCCATTGGTCACTCTCCATGTTAATGGGTGATTAAGAGCCCACCGAGTTCCTCTCTTGATGGCCATAGAAAGTGAGGGGTGTAACGTCAGAGTCTTCTCTGCTTTGGGTGGGAGTGATCGATTCGGAATTGGTGGCTCGGCCCTCGTGGCGGGGAAGCTAGGGGGCTGCCGCAATACTTCTTTGAATAGATTGAGTGCTCCCATACTATCAGTGACAACATGGTGGACGGTCAAGGCGACGTAGTAGGTGTTGAAAAGCTCTCGATCCAGTTTGTAGACTGCGACGCGCCAGAGAGGCCCCTGGACCAGATTGAACGCCTGAGCCCCAGCATCCTCTGCTTTGGCGACTTCCGCGACGTCTTGCACTGTGTGAATTTCATCTTTGATGATGGGATGAGGTCCAAAAAGGAAAGGAGGGTTGTTGTTGTTGTTCAGCACCCATCTTGGACGGCCAGAGTCGGTAGAATCTACGCCTGCAACCAAGATTGGATGCCTCTGCATCAGTCGGTCGACGTTCAGAGTCATCTCAGACCACACCTAGTTTGGAAAATGATGAATTATGGAACCAATGATGGTGATGTATGGTATGCATCCCGCCTGATGTTCAGCGATATGGTATCGTTCCAATAAACCCAACGAACGAGACTTGGGGGCATCCATCTTTGTAATCGATAGTGAACTAGTTGATGATTGGGAGTAAGGTAATTGGCGATCAATGGTGAATTAATGGACGATTGGGTTTCAAGGGTGTTGGGAGGATGAGTTGGTGATGGTGCACGATGGAGTCAAAAGCCTTCGATACAATGGAAAGAGCATCTCAGCCACTCCTTCCGCCAAGGCTTCCCCGTACGTGCTGTCAAACCAAAGCGACGTAAGTGCTCGCTCACCATGAGATGAGAGTCGATAGCGAAACCGTAACGGTCTTTGTTATCCTTGTAGGTATGAGGAGACACTAGTTGCTCTTAACAATCCTTGCGACCACATCGTCAAGATTTTCTTGCTGCAGCCCCAGCAGATCATTTGCGTATCCATCGCGAGCTTCCCAGTCGGCCTCCAGCGTGCCCAGAACCCACACCAAGTCTTCCACGGCCGACTTTTCCCCGCCGTCTGCCTTTGCCTTGCGTTCCTTCACATACTCTGATGAGTCGTACTTCTTGACGTTCCATGACTGACCTGTCTCCTTTTCAAACGCTTTCAAGAGCTGATTCTGGTTGATGCGGAAGCTTTGTATGTAGACGAATCGGTTCTTTGTCTCCTCCGGCTTCTGCAGTATAGCAGCCGTGGCTTTGCCAATCTGTGCAAAGGTGCTGGTGCTCCAGTAGACCTCGCCATCATCGAGAATCTCAAAGCTCTTGGCTTGTAGGTTGATGTGGAAGAAGCCAAGGTCCCAATCGAAAAAGTGTCCGCAGACAAGACTCGTCCAGCTGAATCTAGGGTTCTCTGTAGCCAGCTTCTCGAGGTAGTCGCGCACTTTCGACTTGGCGATATAAATGGGTGCAAGCTCCATCGCTCTCTTGCTCTGCGAATCACAGCTTCCAAAATCGGAAGGAATGAAGCGCTTTACTCCAGCCTTGATCGCAGCGTCGGCGAGACGCTTCTGCAAGTCTACCTGCGCACCATATACGGTGCTGACGATGGCATCCTGGTTCTCAAGAGCTGGTACTAATTCATCGATAGGAAAGTCGTCTGACAACAGCTTGACTTGAACACCCTCAGGATAGCTGGACTTCGACTTCGAGGACTTTCGCTTGAAAACCGTAACATTGAATGAGCCGGTTCCGACCAGACCGTTGAGGACTCCTGGTCCGAGGTTGCCATCAGCACCTACGAGAACGACATTCTTGATTGACATGTTTGATTGTTGTGGTAGTTAGATGTATGGTTACTGAGTCACATCCTCAGAGTATAGATGGCCTTCTGATGACGTGCCTGATGTCCCGAAGTTCTGCCTGATATGGACATATCTCGAAGGGGAAGGTCAAAGCCGACGGTCGCATCAAGCAGTTCACGACACTCTGACTCTGCTCCGAATGATCATACCAGGTCAACCGAATCTTGATGATATGGAGTCAAGTATGAGGGCTGAGTGATTTACTATCAGCCGAGGCGAAGCTCACATGTTTCGGCTCGCCGGATACCTTACACCCGAAGTAAGGCATGCTCATATCGTTTCAGATGCAGTCCAAGCACCACCAGCTAGCTTCTGTCAAAGCCATAGCTTCCGTTCGTGACAGACACCAGGGTAATTCACGGTTCAGGCAACCAAGGGCTCAGGTGGCTTGTCAATTCGGAAAAACTTCATTAGAAAGTGGAAAATCGTTATTCATTATTCGTTCGTGCTTCTCGTGAAAGGAGTATTCCTTTACTCTGTGCGCCTGATATTTGACATTTCTGTCGTACCCAACGGTCGGTGACCCTGATGGGTTCCTCTCAGGGCCTTTCTCGGACTCTATTCGAGCCAGTCTCTTGCAGTGCCCAACATTGACCTTGAATTTGAGATCGTCTTGGTGACAAGGAGCATCCTGTCGGCCTTGGGCAGGGTAGACATGTGTTTGTTGTGCTGTACTCAGATTGCTCCAAGGATTGATGCTTCGACGGAATGCACGGCACTGGCTTTCGACGGCCAACCGAGCCACTCGAAGATCGCGATAACCACTTTCAAGTCCATGTGCGTGTGCGTGGCTCCAGCGGAATCGAGTGGTGGTGGAGCAATGGCGACCACTAGTCATGACTTCTCCAACGTTGGGCAAATGTCGTAGATGATCGCAAAGATTCGGCAAAGAGTTCCGAGGACCAGTCCTGTCTCCAGTATAGCCTACTGCACAACACAACAAGCCAGCTTGTTGCCCACTTCGGCACGATCAGCTCTTCTCTGCCCTGTAGTCTTCTTCCACCACAGCACGGAAAAGCACGCTACATGCACCTCATCACCCAACAGCAACAACCTCAGCTCATCCCAATTGTTCGCTGTAACACGCACATCCTGCCGTTTCTCATCACTATGCCGTCTATAGTGCGCCGACAGCTTGAGATAAAAGTCTCGCTTCGCTTCCACGCGACGGTGAGGGAAGCCGTTTTGTGCCGAGATGGCCTTGGCGATGTCGTCCTGCAGCTCTGGGAGACTGTAGAAGCTGCTGTGGGGTAATTCGATGGTGTTGTGGTTTGCGTGTACTGGAGGAACGATATCGTAGCCGTCGAGATCGACTTGTTTGATGGAAAGAGGTACTGCGGAGGCGAGTCCCACACGAGTCACCTCCTCCATCCTGATGGGGTCATAGGCCAGATGGGGGCTCCCCGGCGGTGATGGTGAAGAGGATATCCTGCGGTTCCGGATGGTGGGTCTTTTTACGATCGACATGCTATGAAGGTTGAGCAGAGGGGGAAGTGGTGTCACGCGAGGTGCGATTGCGAAGGGAGGGGGGGTTGAGCTACTTATGACATGAGCGGCTCGCAGGGGAGCAAGGGGATAGCCCTACACGAAGGATACGCGCTCCTCATCTTACCTTGGCGAGCGGATTACATATACGCTCAGCACCAAGCACAGCACGGCGACGTCGTACAAGGAAAAGGCCCCGAACGCTCGGAAATTGGCAGGGCTTGGGTGATGTTCAGCCCGGATCCAAATCGTGGCTGTACAATGTGGCTGTACATGCGCGCTTCCTTCGAAAAAGGTCGCGGAGCGGAAAGCAATCATCCCGAAACTCCACAGAAAAACTCGTGAGACTCTTCGGCCTTATGTTGGACGCGGATCTGTTCTTGACTCCTTGTTCGCTCATCGGTAAATGCTTGCCAACGCTTCTATTTCGAAACACGAGGATCTGCCTTGCCCTCACACCCCTTCTTCACGTTCTGATGCACCAATGGTGAGGAACCCCTATGACATCGAAGGGAGACGGAAAGCCCTCGTAACGAGCCTCTCCAGCTCGCGTGAGCTCTTGGCTAGACGAATTGCCGAGACCTCCGATACTTTGATCGATATTTGCGAAAACACATGATCGATGGACAAGGCGCGTCTATCGCGGCATGCAGAGTCCGCTGAAACCCGGTCAATAATTTGTGTAGCACTTCCGCAATACGCTCGCAGAGTCATGGTGCTACCCAAGGCCAGCACCGTCATCAAACGTCAGACTACCCACTCACGCCGAGCTTATTTACGTTTTGGTTGTTGGTTGAGGAAAGCAAGATGGTCAGCAAGAATCAAAGCAAGTGTACGACGGTTTATCAGCATTTTTGATCTATTTTTTACAATCCCAAATGAGCCCAATGGTCGTATTCATCTATGCCCACATGGCCTTGAACTTCAGGTTGAACTCGGAGTGCAATCTTTGGAACGCCTTGAGTACCTTGAGCAACCCCTTTTCTCCACCTTGGCCTTCCCATGCAGCACTGTCAAGGTTGAGTTCGTCCAACTTGGCAGCAGCTTCGTTGTAGTCTTTCTCGATGACTTCTTCTTCGTCGGCCATGTCCTCCCAGCTTTCAGCCTTCTTTGCTTTCTTCTTTGTGATTGTGGCCATGGCGGCCTTGGGTGCTTCGCTGGGAGCAGGAACAGCTTCTCCGTCTTCCTTGACGGCAACGGTCTCATCCTCAGCCTCTTCGAGGGTATCAAGCTCACCCATGGTGTCCAAGAAATCCATGTCACTTCCGACCTTGAGCTTCATGAAGTTGAGCAGACTGGTGATGATAGTGGCAAGCACCAAGGAGAAGTCGTTGAGCATGAACCACACGTCACCACGTCTGATGCCGTTTGCCTTCTCGAGTGTCTTTACATCACCGTGCTTGAAGAAGTCGACCAGGTAAGCGTTCAAGGGCTGATCAAGGTCTTGTGAGAGCATAGCCACGTGAGGAATGGCTGACTCCTCGAGGAAGACACCAGATCTGACAGAGCGACACAGCTCACTGATAGTTTTGAAGTTGTCAGTGTGTCCAGATAGAGCGACGAATGGCGAGCGAATCTTAGTGGAAGGAAGCGAGATCCCGTCCAAGCTGGGGGTCGGGTCAACAGACGAACTGCCAACCTGTCTAGCCGTAAGCGGCAGAACGTCATCCGCCTTCTCTACATGCTGATCGACAAAAGTGCGAACGTAGGTACTGAAGATGTCGAGTGTTTGCTGTCCGTGCTCGTTCAAAACTTGTGCCGCCTCTTCTGGCAGAGGAGGTAGGAACACCATCGATGATGATGGCTTTACGACCTTCTCGCGGTACTCTGCATCAGACTTGCGGCAATACACACGACCAAAGAGATGAGACATGACCAGCATCAGGGTATTGACCACTGATTCTGCATTGTTGTCAATGTCTGCACAAAGTCTGTGCAAGTAGCCCTCCTTGAGCAATGCATGGAACGCGAAACTTGAATTCTCGGTGAAGTACAAGTGAGAGACAAGACCAGCAAAGTTCAAAGTCGTGCCATTTGCGTCAAGAAGTTGCTGTCTGCGAAGGTACTCGATGGAGAAACGAAGATGGTGCAGTGTTTGGTCCTTGAAAGAAGGACCTCCCATGTACAGACGAGGCTGAGAGAGCAGTGAGTTGATGCACGAAGCTGCGTACTTTGAGTTGTTCGATCCATGAAGTAGCGTAAACAGACGGAGAACCAAGGTAGTGGTGACTGGGAAGTGGCCGTTCAGATCAGGCAATCTTGAAGACATCAATCTTAAGACCTTTTCGTGCTGCATGTTCTGGAAGACAACGTTTCCAAGCAAATCGAAGCCACGACGACCAGCACGACCAGCACACTGACGGTACTCAAGAGCGGTCAAGAATACAGATTCACCAGTGAAGACAACAGTCTTACAGGGCATGTTGATACCCAAAGCGAGCGTACCGGTTGCGACAACGACTCTGAGGAAACCCTTGCGGAACAGAATCTCGACGACCTGGCGGTACTTGCGGTTCATACCGGAGTGATGGACGGCAATACCTCTGGTCAAGGCGACGATGAGCCATTGTGGCACGCGTCTCCACTCCAGCTCTCTCATGTATTCTTCGAGTTCGGAGACCTGGATAGCCTTGAAGTTGCAGAAGTGGTAGCCATCTTGAGGGGCTGCAGGATCAAACCCTTCGAAGCCGTTGGCATCAGTGTCAGCAGCATCACGGGCCATATCTGCCTTGGTCATGCCCTCCTCAGCAGGCTTCTTCTTCGAGACCTTGCTAGCCTTGGCACCCTTGCGCTCTTGCTCCTTCTTCCAGGCTTCCCATTGGACAATCTTAGCCTTCCACTTTGGATCGGTGGCCTTCCACTGGTCTTCAGCTTCCTTCAGGTCGTCATGGATCTTGGCACAAATATCCTCACATCTTGTACGATCGTAGTTGAAGAGAATGGCTGGCATTGCCTCCTGCTCATGGAGACGACAAAGCAAAGGGAGGAAGTTGTCTTCCTGAACCTCCTGGGCTTCTCTCTGACCGGCACGCTTGGCCGTAGGTGCGTACAGCTCTTCCTTCTGGGGGCGCTTGCCAGTGAGCGTAGTGAAGACAGCATTGAAGGGCGACGCAGTATCCTCCATCCATGCAGCCAAGACCTTCTTCAGTCCGGCTTCCCATTTCAAGACATCTTGCTTGCGAATGACGTCGGGCAAAGCTTTGGAAGGGTCAAGTTCTGCAGGCAAACTGTACTTGTCGTTCGAGTGCTCTTTCAAGGCTTTCCAGAGCGTGTAGCAGTCACGAGGCTCGAAAGAGAGATCGTCTGGCATACCTGCTGAGCGGTTGATCAGACAGGCGACAGGGTGAAGATACTCGAACCCAGTGGTGCCATCCAGACCAAGAGTTGGAAGACCCTTCTTCTGACCCAGACCGTCGAACAGGAACTTCTTCGGGGGGTCGTAGTAGAATTTTCTCAGATCGGAGTATCTGTATGGATGTCTGACCATCTCAAAATCGATGCCCATAGCCTTCTCGGTAGTCGACAACCAGTCGCTGAACACATCAGGGTTACCGACCGTAGCAGAGAGTGCGATGACGGGGCAAGGAGCGAGCAACAGAAGCTGCTCCCAGACAACACCGTCCTGGGCTTGTCCAATACAGTGGACTTCATCAAAAATGATGCGCTTGACTCTGGTTGCCCATGAGTTGGCGTGCGAGGGAGCCAAAAGCATGATCTGGAGCACGTGAGGTACAGTGACAAGCACCTGACAGCCAGTTGCGTTGTTGATGCGATGGTCTCTGGTGTGGATAGCCCACACACTCTTTCCGGGATACTTGAACTTCTTGGAGTATCTGCCCTGGATTTCAGCAGCGATCTGGTTGACCAGGGCCTTGGTGGGCGCGACGTAAACAAGAACACCCTCGTCATCAGCCTCGATAACCTTTCTCATTGCGTAGAACGAGATGAATGTTTTACCAGCAGAAGTGGGCGCGACGACAAACAGACTCTTGTTATCATCGATACCGTCAAGAACCTTTCGTTGCCAACCGTCGGGCTCAAAGTCTACTCTTGGGTCAGGAGCAGCATCCATACTGCGGTCCAGGAAAGGTCCACAGTGGAGAAGCTGGAATGCCTTGCTGGACAGCTTGTTCTTGACGAGATCTGCGCTCTGCAGAGGAAGTGCAAAACGAAATGGCAGAGACTTGTCTTGAGTCGGCTTGGGAATGTCGACAGGAGGAAGACCGAAAGTATCTACGGTAAGCTTGATCTTCTCGCAGATTGTCTTGGTGATGTTATCGGCTTGAACCAAGTTTCTGGCGGTGTGCCAGATGAAAGCAACGATGCCGTTGGGATCCTGGTCGTTGGTCTTGCCTGATTGGATGGCAATCTCTACCAACGTGCTCAGGGAGAACATTTGAACCTCAGCACCAAGAACTTCTCTCTTGTCCTTGGGTAAACTGGTAAAGTAATCCTTGGTCTTGATGTAACGCGAAGGCAAGTCACTCTCGGCAGACAAACTTTTCAGAATGATGTGCCATGCTTGCATAACCTTGGAGTCTGAAGCCTCTGCCTTCTTGGCTTGGAAAGCTGCAGCTGCCTCTTGGGCGGCCTGCTTGCCACTAACCTTGACGTTCTTTTTACCGCCCTTAGGGTTGGCACCTTTCTTCGAAGCGTCATCCTTCTTGGTAGGCTCGGGGACAGTCTTCTTGTTCTCAGACTTCTGTGCGACTTTCGAAGCGGCTGCAGATTTAACGAGGAGTGTCTCGGGCTCGAGTGCTCTTCCCACAGAGTTGGTCAAACTTGCAGCGTATTTCTGCATCTCGTCCATGTACTTCTGATTTCTGCGGCGAGCACGCAGCTCATCTCGTGGAGAAAGGACCGGCGTGTTTTTCGATTGAATGGGACGCTTGGCGTTGTGCCAGTGGGATACCTCCTGGAAGATGCGAGCCGAGGGTCTGCTAATCTCCTCAGATGCATGGTCATCGATGCCCAGACGAATGGATGTCAAATGCTGGTCGAATACAGGGTTGGAGAATGGGAGCACGCTCGTATTTCCGGTGGGAGTTGTGGAAGGAGCATCTGAAGATGAGCAGTCCGACTTTCTTGAGTCGGCCTCGCCGTTAGTTGTCGATACATCGCAGACAGCCTTCAAGCGTTCGTTGAGCTTCTGAAGTTTGCTTTGCATAGCCTCAGGCATTGATGAGAGATCTAAACCCTGAGAAACAACGTTGAACAAGCGGCCATCGAACAAATCTGCTACATCACACTCATTGTCCTCGATCTTCTGGTGGTATTGAGTCCAGTTTGAGCTTTTCAGAAGTTTGGCAGCTTGGTCACAGAAGCTGGAAAGATGCTCCTGGTAGTCGCTTGCTGCCGACGTGTGCTGCAGACTACGTGCTGAGAGCGGTAGAGCATGGAGAAGCGCGGTGTGAGCAAGGACGTCATGCGCGAATTGTTGCACTTCTGACGAGGCAGATGGAGTCTTGATCAAGCGAGACAAAGTCAAGATTGTCAAACGTTCTCTCTCTGTAATGTTGGATGTGTTGCTTCCGATCTCGTCGATCTCTGCTGAAGAGATGGGCTCTGAGACATCACTCTGCTGCTTGGGGCTTGCGTCCAGGGTCGAGTCCAGTCTGTGGGAGAGGTTCTTGGTTTCTAGCACCATCGCCATGATCTTTGTGTCGACGAATTCTGAGCCATTGATCAAAGCAACGTTGTAGCCGGACAAGATGAAATGCACAATAATCGATCTTAGTGATGTTCTCGGATCGGGGACATCTCTGTCTTGTGTGGTGTGGCTGCGAGCTCCATCGTGGCACATCAAGAAATAAACTGCAGAATTGCGCAGATAATCATCAAATGCTTGGTCGTGCAAATCTGTGAAGCAATGGATTTGGACGTCTTCTGATTGCAAATTGGATTGAAGGTGGCGAATTATGGCAGCTCGTGTGAGGAGATACTTGGATCGGTTGATGGACTTGACATTCTGGGGAATAGAGAGCTGGCGGTGAGCATCAAAGAAGGCGACATGAAATCTGCAATTGCGGCGCTGGAGCTGTGCGAGATATTCTTCTACTAGGTAGACAGCATGCAACATCTGGAAACCGTCCTCGAAATCAAGCAGTGGGTTTTCAAAGCATTGCAAAAGAAGGGCATCGCCCTCAATGGCGAACAATTCTTGGCCAGCGAAATCGCCTACGAGATCTACTCGCCGCGAAGACAGACGGTGGTAGCTCTGCAAGATCTTTTGGTCCTCTTCAGACCTGGAAATGTCTTCAACATTGACATACTCGATGTCTTGTTGAACACCATCGGTTGCCATATTGTTCGGGGTGTTGTGCGGCTTTGGGTCAGGGCGTGCGCGCAGCTGTAGAAGATCCGGGGGTCGTTGGTGGAAGAAGTGGTTCTGAGAGAAAGCGTTGAGCGCAAGAGGGAGGTCGGCTCAGTTTTATAGATTCTGGTGAATCCGAGTGAGCTGCAGAGCCTGCAATGTTACACGAGTGGATGCTGCAGCACGCTGAGCAGACACCAGTCTTCTTTGCCACGGACTGTGCCTGCGCCTTCCTCCGCGAAACAGTCTAGTAAGCTTTTGATTCAAGCCTGGTCTGTGCACTTTCACCAAGGTGGTTAAACAAACATCTACTTTCACACAAGCACGCAAATGTCGAGACACTACTGTGACCACACTCTTTCGTTCTTGCTTTGGAAGTTTTTGTGTGAAAACTTGTTTACAACTATTGAGAGTGCGATATGTGGGTCCATAACCTTTTCATAAATCATAGCATTGATATGCAAAACTTATGCATATGGAAGGCACGATTGCGATTTATTCTGCAATCTACAGACTAGTCGTATGGTACGCATGTCTACAACAGTTATCTTGCTCGGTATCGTCGTAGCTCTCTTCGAGCTCCCAGTATGTACCTTCAGCCTGGTGATGACTAGCGAGTATCTTGCTCCTTCCTTCGTCCGTTGCCGAATGATCTAAGGTTCTGTTCTCTGCAGCATCAAAAGTATCTTCGTTGACCAAGTCTTGGGCCAAGATCTCAGAAATCGAATGAAAGACTGACAAGAGAAGCTGAGCAAGCACTTCGCGTATGAGCTGCAGATTAGAGTTTATGTTTGGTGCGAGCATCTGAACACACCACAATGTTTGGCTGCTGCCCCACCGAGAGTTTTCTGCTGAGTTAATTCGTCGAAACCCACTTTCCTTCTGTAGAACATCTGACCAGCTTCGAGTGAGGGGTCAACAGGAGCTGTGAGCATAAAATGGCCTTCGTTTGCTACCTCAGAGGTCTTTCACTTCCATTCATACCAATTCGTATTCGTTCACACCTAGGCCCGCAAGCATGTCTGGAGATCAAGTCATCAAGATTTTCGACTCCGGCAGTGAGAGCAATGAGAATGACAACCTCCACGTCCAAGATGTGATCCTAACCTCCTGCAAAACCAACCTTCAAGATGCATTTTTTGCGTCTTACGGCATCAGAGGCATCATCATGCCCATGAGGTTCAGACTCGTCGAGCACGATCCAACCTTCACGAAGATCTCCGATGACCTGGCAGTATTCCAGGATATCCTCTGCCTTCCACGAACATACGGTACCTTGGTCAAGAAGGTCCTCAAGAACCTGCACTGCCGCCTTGACAGGACAACTCCCAAACGTCCTCGATGGAGCTTCACATGGCACAAGCGTGAGGAAATCGATCTCGGAGCTAGGTTCTTCATTACCTACCGACTGGTGGAAAAGTCTTCTTACAACACCATCGAACTTAATGAGGCAAACTGGTCGGATCTCCACGAAATGTTCTGGTACCAAAGGCCAGTGGAGGCAATGTTCCGTGTCGACTGGTGGATGAATGGAGTCGAGGTCGTAAGACCGTCTAAAGGAGACGATGTTGAGTCTTGGGAAGACAGTATGAACTCCAGCAAGAAAGATGCCTACTGACGAGATGTTGCGGTGTCAGATCGTGGTCAGTGAGGATCCCCAGGGCTTTTTGTTTTGTCATGTTTCTTCTCCTCTTCAAACGGAACGATATGCTGGCTTTGGCTAGAGAACCAGAGTGCAAGTCAGATAGGTATGCGGTATGCAAATTCAGTATTGTTGGACAATCTCTTCGTGGTCAGCATCGTTTGTAGTTCACTGCACCTCTCTGGTCGGGGCCGGCCGTTGTACCGGATAAAGACTCCATCGCCGACCAGCCAAGCGCTCCTTCTCCGGTTTTGCGGATGGGGCCAATATCGAATGCGGCAACGTGTCGCGCGACACTTTTGATCTCTCAAAGTCCGCGGTATGTACGTCAGTACTCTGGTAACAAACAGGAAATACGCCGGGTATGATTTGACAAAAGCTTTCATCATTTCAACGAGTTGCTTGCACTTCTATCTGTTCAGCGAGAGGGACAGGAGAAGGTGGAGCTGTAGAAATCCTTTTGCGCGTGTTGAGACAGACAGGGGACGGTGGCTCAAAAGGGATCCCCACTTGCGCAGGTCAGCCGCACTGTGCACAAGCTATCGATCTGCTGCTCTGGACGAGCGATACTTCGGCAGTTTGTATAACGCATGATTATGTCTCTCCCCTCAAGCAGTCAGCCGGCCCCTTCCAAATCTCACGTTGGCATAGTCACACTGTATGCATGCCGAGGAAATCTGTAAACCTGACTCAGAGATAGGCACGTAACACTCGATAGAGTTATTGCTCCAAGGAGTGGGGATGAGAGAAACTTGGATATGCAAAAGGTCAAAGTTGCGCGCTTGACGCATGGGCCTGGCCCTACTCCATGATGCGACCTTTTTTTGAACGGTGGGGGTCTCTTTCGCTCTCTTCCTTGCAAACACATTTTCCACTGGAAAACACTCCTTCTAGATATATAACGACTTGTCCCTCCCTCTACACGCCCATCTATCAAACTCTTCACCGGACACACTCAGCGAGGACATGAAAGATCCATCTTTACGGGCCCCCCAGGATTATTCACAGCATTCTCAGACAGGATGCTCGCCAGCAGCCAGGGCAAGGCAGCCACCATGAGAACCGCTCCGAGTACAGAACATATTCGAAAGTCGAGTACAGGGACTGCCGTGTCAACCTGGTCTCGTAACGCCCGTTATACCTTACGAATGCCGCTTATTGGTCGCCAAATCCACGTATCATCGCGTCGAGCCTGTCTACACATAGAGTCGGTTCTTTACGTTCCCTCGACGTTGTATCGCACCTTTTACGAATTCGAGCGGGAGGTCTGCAGCGCGATCTTCGGAGCTTTGTATGAGCAGGGTGAAAAGACTGGCTTCGCCATGTCGGCTGAGATGGAACTTCTCTACCACGTCCAGGATGGCCAGTCGGGTTATTTGTCGCCCAAGCGCGAGAGATTCATTCTAGACGAGGATAACTGGGAAGAGTGTTTGGAACGCGTCCTGTCGGGCGAGGCCAAGAAGGCGGAGCTACGAGCAACCTGGCACAGGTCAAAGAGGTCGGGGCAGGTGTCCAAGTCCATGTCAACTACACAGACGCCTTCAAACTTCCCGGCACGCAAGGAGATGGAGCATATGTCAGCGGGCGCACGCAGCCCAACTAGGTCCAACAGCAACAGCACCTGCCCAAGATGCTCAGAGACCATGTCGACCAGAAGGAGCTCGGGAAGTGAACGCGATAACAGTCCAGTCAGTAGAACAGATAGCGGACTGGGCCAGATGGTAGAGGCGGCGAAATGATGTGTAGTCAAGAGTTGGTCGCTGGTGTGTGAGAGGAGTGCCAAACATGCAATCCTGATTGACCGTTTATTGGTGCGGTCCGACTCTCCAGTCCTGTGATGACGCCGGAGTGCAACAGATGGGAACAGCAAGAAGTTCTTTAGTCCGAATATTCATCCTCTTCTTTCGCCCTTCTTGACTCTTCTGCTTGGCGATCTTGGATCTGACGGGCCTTCTCCTCCTGCTTCTTCCAGTGACTTCCTTCTTCATAATCTTTGCTGATGCCGAAAGCGCGTCTGAGTTTCTCGCTTTCTTCGATCTTTGCTTTGGCCAGCTCATGGACCTGGTGTGATTTAAGACCTCTTGCATTGGTGCTGGTGTTCTTGCCTGCTTGTTCGGCTTGGAGCTTCTTGCGTAAGGCGGTGCATTGATCCTCGATTTCGTCTTCGTCGACTCTAGTCGTGTATTAGCTTTAAGAAGTCGGAAGGAGGATTTCATGTATGGACGTACTCTTCCTCCTCGAGCTTGTCGCGCAGCTCAAAAACCTTGACTTCAATCTCGCGCTTGCGGTCATGTTCGAGAATGTCCTTGTCGGGTTGGCGCTGGCGGTGTTGGAGAAGATCGCGATCCTTGGTATAGGGGGCGGCGGCGTCGCGCGGCTTGAGATGGGAGAGGTTGCGCTGGACATAGCCAGAGGTGCCACTGCCGCGTGGAGTAGAGAGACCGACGTTGGAAGACATTATGGGTGAGATGTTCCGGTGTGATGGTTTGCGTAAGGAGAAGACGAGCAGACGGGAGTTTGGAAGGTAGAAGATCAAAAGAGTGAAGTCATCAAAGGCGGGGGTTTGTTCGAAAAGTCGCGCCAGCATTTTCATGTGATTCACCTTTCTTTCTGCTCATCCCGTAACTGCCTCTCGGCTCCTTCTCCAAATCTTTCAATCAGTCTCGCGCCTTCCTTCTGATAGTATACGCTACACAGACATGGTTACAGAAGAACATGGCGAGCCCTCGCAGCCTCTGACAGAGCTTCCTTTTGCGCCGCTCACAAAGTCTCATATTATTCATTGCTCATATCACAACTGGTACCCCAAGTACGACCTCAGTCCACCCCTGGTCTATACAATAGCATACTGATCAAAGTCTGTTAGGTACCGTGCACTGTCGCCCAAGGCTCGTCTCATCCCTCTGACCCGCCCCTTCCTCGACTACCTTCGCGCAGACGGCATTGTGATCCCTCCGGACGAGGACGACCCGAGACGTGACTGGTCAGACAGCGACTCTGGCATTTTCTCGGCTTCTGACACCGCTGGAGAAGAGGATGACGATGAAGAGGAGGACCCTTCTGCCGAGTGGCGCAACATACACCGCGCCATCAAGAACACCATTGCCGAACTTGGTGGTAAGGTCGTCCCCAAGCTGAACTGGTCCGCTCCCAAGGATGCTACCTGGATCGCTGCTACCAACAGTATGGAGTGCAGGCTTCCTAGCGACATCTACTTGCTCCTTAAGAGCTCCGACTTTGTTACCCACGATCTAGAACATGCCTTTGACGACTGTCTACAAGACGATCCATCTTCCAAAGACATGCCTCAAACCACAAACGACATCCCCTACCACCTGGTCCTGCGTAAATTCTTCCAGATGAACCCTTCTGTCGAGTTCAGGTGTTTTGTCAGGAATCGCAAACTCATCGCTCTGTGCCAACGAGATCTCAACCATTTCGATTTCCTCTTCCGCATGCAAGACAAGCTACGCCATGTCATTCACAACTTCTTCGATGATAGACTCAAGCACACTTTCCCAGACGCTGATTTTGTCTTTGATGTATACGTCCCTCCGCCACATGATCGCGTTTGGTTGATCGATGTCAATCCTTGGGCAGTCAGGACAGATCCCTTGTTGTTCAGCTGGCTGGAGCTCTTGACACTACCCGAACCACCAGAGGAAAAGGTCATCCGTATTCCAATCAGGCCTGCTGGTGCTGGTGTAGAGGCTCAGGAGGACTCCGAGTCTCAAGGTATCAATACAAAAGAAGGTGAAGTCACGGAAGGAAGGACGGACATGGAGGACAGTGACGAAGAGGAGGCTGATGAGGAGATCTGGGTGCCAGAGTTCCGCCTGATCAGAAAGGACGACCCTGAAGCCTACAGCTTCAACACACCACAGTACAGCGCCCACAAACTACCACGAGATGTTGTCGACGCAAGTCAAGGCGGTGCTGGTGCATTGAGAGAATTCGCAGACAACTGGAAAGAAATGTTGGCGAAACAGCAACAGGAAGATGCCGAGTATGAGAGCAGCGAGGGAGATTGAACCACGAAGAGTGTCATCTAGAAGGAATATAACACCCGCTCAGCATACATATCGATGCCCCGAGTCCTGCTCGCATCTAAACCTAAAACAACTCTCCGGACTTTAGATGTTTCGAGAGACCCACATGGCGGCATAGCCAAGCTTTAAACATGCTCATATTTGAGCAAGATCCGTCCTTGGCAGGCGAGACACCCGCATCTTCAACCATTCGTGCCCTCATCGGTACACTTTTGACACGATCGCCTTCGGACTTCGCTTCATGGCTCGGCTCTGGGAGCACATGGGTCGCATGTTTCTTTTCTAAACACCACGCGTCCAACTCATCCACTTGGAAAGCATTGCGTCCATCTTTCGACACACTGATACACGTTACCACACATGCTTGCATACAATCGAACGCTCTTTCTGGTCTGCTAACCTGCTACATCACTCCTGTCTCCTCCATCGCACCTTTTCGCTAGACATTGGTCTGGCTTTCCCTACACACAATGCTTGAGACACGGCATATCCAAGAGCTTGATTCCGACTCTACGATCAAACATTACTGGGGATATGCAGATCGGATTCTTCCCTGCACCAAAGATGCTGGCACTTGTGCATATTTGGACTCTGTCTATCATGCCCATCAAATATCGATGCTTTACACCTTCATTCTCTGGGCAGTCTTGGGAGGTGCCCTTATGTTCATGCTCTCATTACGCTATGGCAAGAGCGTAGCTCGTTCATCTGACATCAAGACGCCACTTCGGCGTGGGTTGGATTCTCTCGGATCTATAGGAAGGCGCTGGATGCTTCCCGAGGCTCCAGGAAGAGGATTTCTTGGACGAGTCACTCTGCTACAAGTCACAGTGCTATCTGCGCTTCTTGGCTACTTGTTAATATTCTCGTAGGTCAATTGCAGTAATGGTCGTCCGCGTCCAAGCTGACCCAAGAACAGTCTCGTCGGTGTAACTTACAAGACCTGGATCACACCTACCAAAAATCATCCTGAACTGAAGACAATCAGAACAGGCTTTGGAGGTTGGGGTGATCGTGTTGGAGCTCTAGCTTATGCCTTGACACCGCTCACGATCGCTCTTTGTTCTCGCGAGAGCGTCTTGTCGCTCATCACCGGCATCCCATACCAACATTTCAACTTTCTGCATCGCTGGATTGGTCGAGTCATCTTCATCCAATCTTTCCTGCATACTCTGGTCTGGACGCTTGTTGAAGGAAGGTTCTATCAGCCACAACCCGAGACTTACACCGCTTTCATCAAGCAAAAGTACATTGTCTGGGGGATTGTTGCTCAAATCATGATTACGTTTTTGTACATTTTTAGCACCAGCTGGGCTATTCGATGGACCGGATACGAGTTCTTCAAGAAGACTCATGCTTTGATTGGTATACTTTACCTTGGAGCGTGTTGGGGACATTGGGACAAACTGGCATGTTGGATGATTGCTTCTCTCATCATCGTGCTTGGCGATTTCGGCATCAGGTTTCTCCGGACTGCACTACTCCACGTCGGATACCGAAAGGGTAAGCCTGGTCTTGGTTTCCACAGTGCAAATGCCAACGTTCAGCATTATGGTGACGACGAAGATTCTGTCGTGCGCATCGACTTTGATTTCAAGCACTCCGCATGGAAGCCTGGTCAACACTTCTACCTCTGTTTCCCTGCCCTGAACATCTGGCAGTCTCATCCATTCACTCCATCATCTCTTCCTGATGGCCGTAGCGATATTCAGCACCATACTTACTTGATCCGCGAACGCTCCGGTATCACCGCCAAACTTGCTCAAATTGCCAAAGCCACTGGTGGAGATTCTTGCACCACTTCTGTTATACTCACCGGACCCTATGGAGGCACATCAACTGAAGAAGCCGCATCATCTAATCTTTTGACCGTAGCAGGCGGCACTGGTGTCACTTCCGTGCTCCCAACCCTCCAGGACACTTTTACTGTCACTCAGACAGGTACTCGTGCTGTCGATTTCGTTTGGGTCATTCGCAAGATTCAAGACCTCGCTTGGATTACACCTGAACTGACAGAGCTCAAATCTTGGATGTCTGCTGGCAAAGCAAATGGTCTTCGCGTACACATCTTTGTCACCCGCGAAACAGCACTGCCGGAAACATCGATCTCCACCACATCTTCAGGTTCAGAAAAGGGCAAAGGTTGCTGTAGCAAGAGAGCCAAGAGTGAAAAGAACGGTGTGGTGATCTCTTCCTCGGACGATTTGACAACACCACAAAATAACTTCTCCATCACGTATCTTGGCGGAGCTCATCCCTCGATCAAGGACATCGTTGCTGAGTTTGCCGAAAGAGCGGCTATCTGTGGCGGAAGGAGTCAAGTCATTGGTGCTGGACCGATGGAGATTGGAACTGCCTTGCGCTCTGCCGTTGCAAGAGAAAACCATGCTAGTAGAGTTTGGCAAGGTGACGAAAGCGGCATCATGGCCCTTGAATGGGATTGTCGGTCGTGAAGGCGGACAGTCAAGACTCTGACGAATTATCACCGACAATAGACATCAAAGGACAGAGGGCATATGCATTATAAGTCCCATCCTCTTCTCCCTGCGGTCAGAAGTGAAGTCTTCACCATAGAAATGCATAAAGATCTGCGAAACTGAGATGCATCCAAGGAGAGTCGAGACCATATCACTTCTCCATGGACACCAACACGTTCCTTGAATATACTATGCATCTCCACCCGGGTGGGTACAGCACAGGCAGGTAAGTCGCAGAGACCAGACTTGTCTTTCATCTTTGAAACATAAACAAGGTATGCTATTAGATTGTGCAGATTGTGCTCTCATCTCAGGGTCACGCCCCCATCATCAACATCAGTCGAAAAAACAGCAACATAGCACAATGCCAACTCTTGGATACTATTGAAGACTATTGTGACAATAGTTTGCAAACACTTTGACTACAGCAGGTAGTTTTGTAAGCAATTAGTACTTGTGCCGCGAGATATGATCATGTCGACCATTTACACATCTCTTGAAACTCAACACACACTTATCCTGCTCCAGAGTACTGGACACTTCCACAGATAATACACCTCTCTCGAACAAACAACCCGCAACATGCTGGAACAACTGCTTACCCCACCGTGCCAGATATATCAGAGCAGATATTAGCACCACGCTCTAACCGACTGAGCGTAACCGACCTTTTTCTTCTGCTCTGTCTTTCTTCTACAGCACTTTGCCTAACCTCTGATTTCCACAGTTGCTTGTCGAGGGACTTGTACGCAGATCTTGAAATTGCTCACATCAAACCAGGTCGGTTAGCTCAGTTGGTTAGAGCGTGGTGCTAATATCTGCTCTGATATATCTGGCACGCCAAGGTCGCGGGTTCGACCCCCGTACTGACCATTGATACTCTCCTTTTGCTCATGAGTCATCATTGGGAGACAGTAGGTGTGTTGTGGTGGACAAAGAGAAAAATTTTGCAGACTGATATCGAGTTGCCTTTTTGGGATTGGTGGATCGTGTGGGTGAGGACGCTAGCTTGATCGGGATGAGACTTGGCAGACAAGGCTGAGCTTCTATCGACCTCGTGGCTTGCAGAAACGGGATATTTTTCACAGAGCTTCACAGCCGAATGCCTCAGATGACGATGAGAGCAGTGTGCTATGTCGTCCGCAAATGTGTTGCCGATTTATTTGTTCGATATGCACAAGCCAGGGGCATTCGAGAACAGTACTAGGACTGCTTGGATGCATTGTGAGAAGTGAACAAGTTGTGAACCCAAGTGTGCTCTACATCGGCTTCCATCTTCCTCTGCTAGCATTTCCTACCCTCCTTGTTTGAGTGATGTCCTTGCTGCAGAAGGGCACTAGAGACCTATTGCCATTATTCACCTGCGCAGAAACAACTATACAGAGACTTGAGCATGTCCAAACTACTCACTTACATCCAGTTGAAGATTGAATCTTTTGAGTTTTCATGTTTCGAGCCTTTATGCTATGCTAGGCCTTTCATACATTCGTCCAATCACCCAATGTCCTCGCTCCTTACAGACCAAGCTTCTCGAGGTACTTGGTAGCGAGCTCAACAGCCTGATCAGCATTCTCAGGCTGAGTACCCTGTCCAAGCGAAGTAGCACCCTTGCCACCAGCCTTTCCACCGAGCACACCAGCAACTTCAGTAGCCCAAGCAGGAGCATCGGCACCTTTCTCCTTTGCCTCTGCGGAGACGTGGCAGCCGTGGACGACCTTGCCGTCCTTTTCGTCGGCGGCAATGATGTAGATGGTCTTGTCCTTTTGCTTGGTGCTGATGGTCTTGATGGCCTCGCTGATGGCCTTTTGGTTGGCGGAGATGGGCACGCGGACGACCAGGCGCTTCGAGTCGGGGTTGTCGGTGAAGTGCTTGGCGATTGTGTCGGTGACGGTCTTGTTCTCGGCCTTGAGGAATGCCTTTTGCTGGTCGAGGTTTGCCTGTAGAGAAGGGTAAATCAGTCAAGAATCAAACATTGTTAATCGAGGAATCTCACCTTGGAAACCTTGGCGAAGCGCTCCTTGAGCTGAGTCTTGGTGACAGCAGAGATGGTGAGCTGGTTGAGCTGGACCTGCAGCGCCTTGGCCTTTTGTTCCTTCTGAGGGCTGTACTCCATCTTCTCGAGCAGAGCAAGATCGTCCGAGAACTCCTGGGCAACTCTCTGCACTTCGTGGGCGGCTTGTCCGGTGACAGCGATGATACGGCGAATACCCTTTGCGATACCACCCTCCTCAAGCACAATCAACTCCTTGATCTCACCAGTCTTGTCAACGTGGGTACCACCGCAGAACTCGACACTGACGTTCTCCCACTGGGGGTTGTGAACGTCCTCGAGAAGTTGCTCAACGGGCACACCAACACTGACGACACGGACGGGGTCAGGGTAAGTCTCGCCGAAGACGGCACGGACACCCTTGATGTTTCTGGCAGTGGCGAGAGGCACTTCCTGCGAGTAAACAGGGCTGTTCTGACGAATGTATGATGTGCTCTTGGTCTCAACTTCCTGAAGCTCCTTGTCTGACAAAGCAGCCTTGTGGCTGAAATCGAAACGAAGCTTCTCAGCAGCGACAAGCGAACCCTTCTGGTTGATGTCATCGCCGAGGACTGCGCGGAGAGCAAAGTTGAGAATGTGGGTACCAGTGTGGTTGTTGCGGATAGGGTGTCTGCGGAGCTCGTCGTACTCACAGATGACGGAGTCGCCAGTCTTGAAAGTACCGTAGGTCATGTAACCAGTGTGAAGAACGTAGCCAGCGTAGCTCTGGACATTCTGAACGTCCAACTCGGCCTCGCCGTCAATCAAAATCTTGCCAGTGTCGTTCTCCTGACCACCCTGCTCGGCGTAGAAGTTGGTCTTGTCAAGGATGACACCAAACTGCTCACCCTCGGGCACCTCGGAAGTGCTTGACAGGAAATTCTTGTTGAAGTAGATAGCCTTGACGGTAGCGTTGATGTTGCCACGACCGAACTTGGGTTCATCATCGGTCTTGCTGACCTCAGCCATGGTGTCGAGCTTGCCCAAGTCGTGTACGTCAAGCTTGACCAAGTCGGCGCCAGCCTTCTTCTCGCCCTTACTGGCCTCCTTAGCCTTGGCCTGAGCAGCATTGACCTCCTCCTCGTTGATGGTAAGGCCGCGCTCCTCTGCCATGAGCTGAGTAAGATCGACAGGGAAACCGTAGGTGTCATACAAACGCCAGACATCTGAACCAGAAAGCGACTTGGTGTTGTTATCCTTGCACTGCTGAGCGTACTTCTCGAACATGGCCTCACCACGGTCGAGGGTCTTGGCGAACGAGAGTTCTTCCTCGTTCAGGATCTCCTTGACATCCTGCTCCTTGCCCTTGATTTCAGGGAACATGTCACCCATCTGAGCGACCAGAGTGGGGACAATCTTTGAGAAGAAGTCACCAATATCTGTGTTCAAGTACTTGCGAGCATAGCGGGCACCTCTGCGCAAGACTCTGCGAACGACGTAACCACGTCCCATGTTGTTGGGGATACCGCCGTCAGTGATGGCGAAGGTGAGAAGTCTCACGTGGTCAGCAACGACACGGTAGGCAGTGTCGACACCGTCAGCATCCTCGCTGCCAAACTTGCCCTCGTACTTGCGGACACCAGTGATTTCCTGGATACGGTCGAAGAGAGGAGTGAAAACATCGGTATCGTAGTTGGATGGCTTGTCTTGCAGGATACTCACCAAACGCTCAAAGCCCATGCCAGTGTCGACGTGCTTGTTAGGCAGGGATCGCAGTGACTTGTCGGATTCACGGTTGTATTGGATGAAGACGTTGTTCCAGATCTCCAGAACGTTGGGGTCGTCCATGTTGACGAGGTGTGCGGCATTGCGGCCTCCAATTCTGTCGTAGTGAATTTCACTGCAAGGACCGCAAGGACCCTGGTCACCCATCTCCCAGAAGTTGTCCTTCATGTTACCGGGAAGGATGTGGTCCTCGGGAACACCGACTGACTTCCAAAGCTCCTTAGCCTCGAGATCGGGCTCCAGACCACCAGCCTTGTCACCCTCGAAGTAGGTGACGTACATTCTGGCGGGATCAAGACCGAACTCGTTGGTGAGAAGTTCCCATGACCAAGCAATAGCTTCCTTCTTGAAGTAGTCGCCGAAACTCCAGTTACCCAACATCTCGAAGAATGTCTTCATTGATACATTAGTTTGTTCGTTGATCTGATGATTTGAATATTGTGACTCACGTGGTGGTAGCTGTCCTTACCGACATCATCGAGATCCTAGAACGAGTTAGATGAGTACACGGTGAATGAGAACATATATCGTTACATTGTGCTTTCCACCGGCGCGGATACACTGTATAGAGAGTTAGCATGTTGCCTTTGGTATGAGTCAAAGTCTTGGCTTGCCTTTTGAGAATTTGTGGCACGCTTGAGCGAGGCAAAATCAGACGAGGGGTCTACAGTTCCAAGGAAGATGGACTTGTACTGGTTCATGCCAGCATTGGCGAAAAGAAGAGTCGGGTCCGAGTGAGGGACGACCGAGGAAGAGGGCACTATAGCGGCATCAGCTGCGAGTTGCGGCGAAACAGAGACCCCCGAGGGGACGGCATACCAAAGGTGTGGCCCCTCTTCTTGACGAAATAGTCAATAAAAGTGCTTCTGACCTTGACAGCATTCCATTGCTGGTCTTTGGATTGGGAAGCCATGTTGAAAGCGCGTGTTGTGGTAAAGGAAAGGTATGGGGAGTGCGAGAATGTTCTCGTCGACAGCTGAGGTGGAATTTGAACTTGAGTCAACCCACGTCGGCAACAGTTGAACAAGCTCGTGATCATACACGCTTTTGAAGACGACAAGTTGCGCGCGCACCCTGAGACGACTGGAAACGGCTTGTCTTCACTTGGTCGACTGTACAGCAGCTCTAGACAAACTGTTCGAGTGGTCGGCGGTGATGCGGGATGAAGACAACCAGCGCGGAGGTCGTGGACCGACAGCCAGCACAAGCTTCAGCAACAGCAACAGCGACAGCAACGAGTCCGCTCAGGGGGCTCAAGCGCACAGCAGACGACTCGTTCGATGATGATCACCGGTTTGCGAAGCGCTTCAATTTGCTCAATCTAGGTATGGCTCCTTCCAAATTCCTTGCTCTGCACCCTTCACTGCTCCTTCCCCTCCAACGCGCTCGATTGTGCCCCTCCTTCCCTCACTCGACAGCGCTCTTTCTTCTTCCTCCATTCCACTTTTGAGCTTACGCCCCGCTAACTCGGACCTCCTCGCACAGCAAACAACAATGACAAACTCTACATACCCGTCTCAGCCAGACCCCAACTCCAAACCGCCGTGACCGCATCCCCTCCCACCGAAGAGCATATGCAACTAGACGACACCAAACACCGCGTCTACATCCACAATCTCGACGACGAACTCGCCGACATCGAGTCCGACGAAGAAAAACTCGTCTTCCTCCCAGACATTGAAAAGAAGCTCAACGCAATACCCAGACACATTCTCGTCGGAGAGAAAAAGGACTCCCACCAAGAGCTTGTTCTCTACACTCTACCCCCGTCGTTGTCTGTGCCTCTGGAGCAGGATAATGTACGCAAAGCCATACTAGAAGCTCGTGAACGTGCAAAGGACAGGGCTGCATTAGCTTCCAGCGCCGCTGATGGCACGCCGCCAGAGGACCAGATAGAAACTGCCCATGGCTACGACTCTCCAGATTACGGCTTGGACGAAGACACAAACGACATGGAACAAGATGACGACGCGATGGATCTATCATGATTGCAAAATATAGTATTATATTCTTCGGGTCTCTTGCCAGTCCAGCCAGCACTTGCTACCTAAGGGGTTGTCTATATACGTTATGATGGCCATATTCTCCTCCTGACCTCCTCCATTTTTGAAACGAACAAGGAAAAAAAAACATTATCTAATATCTGGGTATCCTTCATAAAATCTTCAATGGCCTGTACGGCCCCAATGTCTTGGGAGCCAGCGTCTGCTGGGTGTGGGTGAGGGTTCCTCTTCCTCTTCTTCCTCCTCGATCCGTATCGTTTGCGATGCCTCGTCGCCTCCCAGCATCAAGCTTTCGGGTAGGGCGGTGCGTTTCGCCTTTTGATAGGCGTAGCTCGTGAGGGTCGTCCATTGTGTAATGTACACAGGCGGCGCTGCTGCCACCTGCAGAGTCGTCCATTGCGTCGTGGTTGTGTCTGCCGGAGCGGTGACTGCGCGGTCTATGCTCGTGGTGATCGTAGTCCACTGAGTAGTTGTCGCATCGGCAGACACTGCCTGCACGATGGTCGTGAGGACAGTGGTCTCGGCATATGACGGCGCTGTCGGTGTGGTTTCGACGTTTGCGGCAGGTGTTGTCTCGCTGTTCTGTGCGGCTGATGGTTGCTCGGTGGGTTTCGAGTTGACCAACGGGCTGACTGACACCACTTGACGAAGAGTCGTAGTGATTGTGGACCACTCAGTGTGGGTTGCATCCGCAGCCACGGCGAGAACTAAAGTCGTCAACACATTCGTGAACGAGGGCAGTGTCTGTGGAGAGCTGGTCGCAGCCAACGTCTCTGCAGTCGATGCAGGAGCCGGCGATGTGTCCGCACTTGAAGCCTTTGTACTCGACTTTGCGGCAGCAGATGAGGCTTTAGCTGCTGATGAACCGGAAGCACTCGATGAGCGTTGAGTAGCCGAACTAGCAGCACTCGATGAACTTGGAGCAGACGAGGAACTACTAGCAGGAGACGACGAGGTCTGGGCGGTGGACGAGACATCACTCGACGAGTTCGCAGAACCCGAAGAGCTTGCAGTGGACGACGAGGAAGCGGCGGATGACGACGTCGTAGCGGCGGTCGAGGCCTGGTCAGTCGATGAGCTCTCGGCGCTTGACGAGGTCTCAGGGATCGACGAGGTTTCGGCGGTCGAGGACGAGGGTTCGGCCGAAGAGGTCTGCGTTGACGATGCCTCTGCAGTCGAAACGACGACTGCAGACGACACGGTCGAGGTAGTCTCAGCAGGCACCGTCTCCGTCGATATGGTGCTAGCACTACTAACGAATGTCTCAGTAGGTGTTGGGTTATAATTATTATTTGTGCAGAATGCGGGCAGTGCAACCTTTCCAGAAGATTTTGCAGTCTGCTCGAAGACTTTCAGAGAGTTGATGGACCAATAGGCATTGTTGAATGCTTGGGGGTTGTTGGCGACGTAGTCGGTGCAGGAGCCGCTCAGAGCAGAACATGTAGAGTCGCTGCTCCAAACGCTACCGGCCCAGTCGCCGCAAAAGGTCACATCGAAAACAATCTGGTTGTCCGAGAAAAACTCGGGGATATCACAGCAGCCTGTGAATTGAGAGAGTGGCGTTCCCCAAGTGTAGTCGGGTTGGGGGTTGGAGCTTAGGACGTTCGAGGGGATGGCACCACGCTGGAAGAACCAAATGCTGATCGCTTCGTCGGTCCATTCCATGGCGTAGACACCACCTCCCACGTTGTTGAAGCCGTCACCGTAGGTGTTGTACTGATTAGTGGAAATCTGACATCCTAGGTTGTTGGTTTGGTCCGCTGCATTGACGTAACAGTCATCCGAGTACAGATTGCCAGTGAAGTTGCCATTGTCGTAGATGGAACAGCCGTCTGCCGTGTGCAATGTCATGGCGTTGTGGTTCTGTGTGTTCACACCCTCAATGATATCAATCTCACCACCATTGGGCCAGCTAGGTCCAACCATCCAGTATGCAGGCCATGCGCCACAGGCGTTGCCAGGCATATGGTCGAGGTCGAGGATGACGAGACTACCGGAGTTATAGGCGGCCTTGCTTGTCAAGCGAATACTGGGACGACCATTGGGTTGGACATTTGTATGGTCGACTCCAATGTAGACCTTGCCGTTCGCGTTGCCAATCAGACCGGAGTTCCATGCTGAGCCTTGGTCAATGTACTGAACGAATCCGTGAGTCGGGTCCGGTTCTGTAAAGAAGTCGAACATGTCGAAGAATGCTGCAGAGTTGTAGTCATCTTGGAGAACATAGCCAGCTATGCTCAAGTTGACGAAGGAAATGAGAGTAAACAAAAAACGAATGAGTGGCATGTTTGTGAATGAGTGCATGGGGTGCAATAGTAAAAGAATGATTGCGCACGAAGAAAGAAAGACATGGACACGGAAATGCGCGAGTGCATATATAGCAGCTGAATACTTACGAGAAGACGCCGCCTCATCGGTGGCATAGTCAGATAGGCTGGCCCCTTTGGGAGGGTTGTAAGAATGTTTATTGCGACCGTTCAAACGGCTTCAACGCAGACCGGGCGTGGCCCTGATAAATGCCATGGTGGTGACCTACTTGGCGATCAGGTCAAGAGGCACACACCGTAACTCTCAAACGGTTTTAGCATGTGTGTTCGTCGTCCTCTACGGTCGTGGACATGTTGTAGGCTTGTATCTGTAATCATGTAGAAAGTGTCTCCGAGCTACCTGAGAGCGGCTCTAGTAAAGCTCGAGTCAAACCGGCAGCATGCATATCGCGTTATTAGTGCCGTGGATACTCAGAGATTAGACGATTGAGGTAGTCGTCGCATGCTTGTCGCCGAGTGCTAGAGAAATATGTGAAGGGTTGTCGTTGAGCTGAGCAGTTCGAACAATCCCCACCACCCTTGGCAGGCACAATTTCCGTATGCGGCCAATCGACCAAGTTCATGTCTCAACCAGGGGGCGAATTCACCTCCTGCCTCGTATACCATGTCTGCACGGCATCGCTGGAAATAGTTGTTTCCAAGATTCCACAAGGGTGACAAGACGATCAACGTGACTTGTCACCGAGTATTGCCTTGGTGACATTGCAGTTATAGCACGTCATGGGCTCCCTCGTCTATCTTCCTCTATCAGACTTTATCACATCTTTACGGACAACGTGGGATTTGACTCGGCACAATCGATTCGCAAAGGCTATCTAGAAATATGGATCGCCGGCACTGTACACGCATATGTGTGTGGATCATGAACTGGTAGGGGGTTGCCCTCCCGACATGGGCTGTGCGCTCCGAGAGCAAAAAAAAAGCCGTTTGGTGATTGCTCGCCGCGAGTCGAAACGGTCTCATGGGAAGTGGTCTCCATGTCAGCCAGCCAGTTGCTGCGCTAACGGACATTCAAGGAAGCGAACGACGACGGGTTTCCCGGGGACTGCTCTTCTTGCACTGCCTGGATGTCTCACATGCTTGAGCCTCTCGAGGGTCTGGGGTCGAGGTTGGCTGTGCGACTATCTGTAGGGTTCTGATAGTTCTGATATACTGATATGAGCATCGCGTGGCTCTCCAGAATGGCGCATGTCTCGTCGTCATCAATCGATCATCCTGATTATTTTGTCACGTCTCCCTGACCGACCAAGTTCTTGTCGTCTTGTCCTTGAGCTGCGGCCTTCTTGGCTTCTTCTTGAGCGAAGAGGTCTTGCCAGTACGACTCTTTGTAGCCATCCATCAATCGTGTGAACTGCGGCCCGCTCTTGACCCAGCCCTTGACACCACCTTCGAGTACCATTGATTGCATCTGCTCGTCTCCGGCTTGCTCAATAAACTCCTTGAACCTGTGCAAATCAGTACATATGATCATGTCGAACCGCAAAGATGTCTCTTACCACGCAGCACAGCGAGGAGCTCTGCCGTTTGATGAGCCACCTATTACAAAGTCAGCCGATGGGAAGCTGAATACTCCGAGGTGTTCAGCTTACAAGTGAATACGACCCATTCAATATCAGCTTTGTACGCCAACTCGTATCTGCCGAGGAGCGTTAGCAAAGCTCCGAACAAACGATGAGCTGGACCTACAGCATTCCTCTATTCCACCAGAAGCCCTGAGCAGGTATATTCAAACTACCGCGAAGACATCCGCCCTCAAAGTCCATCCTCCTGAGGTCGATGATGAGTATGGCTGCGACGCCTCTCAACGAGAGCATCTGCATTACACGATTTCGAGGCATGATGGCTGCTTCTGCCTTGGGTTCCGGGAACTCTGCATGCCATGGTCTGGGAGTCTGTTCGGTAGTCATTTTGATTTGGTGAATTGTGTTGTCTTTTGTAGAGTAGAAGTTCTTCGTGATCGAAAGGCTTCACTGAAGTTGTTGATGGACGAGGACGCGCATCATGGAGCCGGAGTCCGAAACGACTTGCCGAACTTGAAACCCAGCATTTCGACCTCTTTCAGAAACAATCGTGCGGTTTCAGTGTCACTATACAGACAAGATAGACATAGTAAATAGATGTGTTCATAAAATAAGCCTTCGTTGGGCATGATTAAAAGCGCTTAACTGGGTATTCTGACTTTTCGTAACAAGAAACAAACAGACATGACGCATCTATTGCAATGACTCGACGACCAGAGCACTGGCACCACCACCGCCGTTGCAAATACCGACAGCGCCGATCTTACCCTTTGTCTCTCTGAGAACACCGAGAAGGGTAACAACAATTCTCGCACCGCTTGCGCCCAGGGGGTGACCAAGAGCGACGGCACCACCGTGAAGGTTGACCTTGTCCTCGCTGACTCCGAGAAGCTTCATGTTGGCAAGAGCGACAACACTGAAAGCCTCGTTGACCTCGAAAGCGTCAACATCCTCCTGCTTGATACCAGCGTGCTTGAAAGCCTTGGGCATGGCAAGAGCGGGAGCGGTGGTGAACTTGGCGGGCTCGTGAGCAGCCTCACCCCAACCCAGAATCTTAGCAATGGGCTTCAAACCGAGTTCCTTGAGCTTGGCTTCAGAAACGAGAACGACGGCAGCGGCACCGTCGGAAAGAGGAGAGGCGTTGGCAGCAGTGACCGTGCCATCCTTGGGCTTGAAAGAGGGTCTGAGAGTCTTTGTCTTTGACTCGTTGAAGTTCTTTGGCTCGTCGTCCTTCTCAATGGTGATGTTGGGCTTGCCTCTGCCACCGCTGATCTCGATAGGGGCAATCTCCTCACCGAACCAGCCACTCTCTTGAGCGTGTTGGGCCTTCTTGTAGGATCTGATGCAGTAATCGTCCTGAGCCTCGCGGTTGAAACCGTGCTCGTCGGCGCAAGCCTCGGCGGCGAGACCCATGTGCTGGTCCTCGTAGGCGTCGGTAAGACCGTCCTTGAGGACAGCGTCAACGAGAGACTGGTTGCCGAACTTGGCGCCGGTGCGCATGTTGGGGAGGTAGTGAGGGGCGTTTGACATGGACTCGGTACCACCAGCGACGACGATGTCGGCGCCACCGGTCATGATGGTTTGGGCACCGAGGATGATGGCCTTGGTAGCAGAAGCGCAGACCTTGTTGACGGTGGTGCAGACGACCGAGTTGGGGATACCGGCACCGAGAGCACACTGGCGGGCAGGGTTCTGGCCGAGGCCAGCAGAGAGGACGTTACCGAAGATGACTTCCTCGACGGCGTCGGGCTGGACACCAGCTCTCTGGATGGCATGCTTGATGGCGTGGGCACCGAGCTGGGTGGCGCTGAGGCTGGAGAGGGAGCTATACAAAGAAAGGGTTGGTTAGAATTGTTGAGCAGCTTCGACGGCGGGGCTCTGTACTCACCCCAAGAACTGGCCGACAGGGGTTCTGGCGGCCGAGACAATGTAGACGGGGGTGGAAGGAGCCATGTTGAAAGATGATTGAGAGAGGGACGTGAATAGAAGAAGGAAAGAAGAAGAAGAGACAGGAGGTAAGTGAGATAAAGATAGAAGGAACGATCAAGGAGGGCTCAGGAAATCGTGCCATGTTTAATTTCATGGGACGATTATGGGGGTCCAGCATCTGTTGTCAACGTGTTTCGTAGCAGGGGACAGCCCGATCTCGGCAAGAATTGATTATCGAGATAAAGAGCTGTGTTGGCAACGCAAAGCGGTGAAGGAGGCCGGACTGAAACTTGACTCGCGCCGGGTGTGGGTGACGATCTTGTTGGAGACGGAAGTCTCGCGGCGACTGTCGCATTCGAGCTTCAACTTTTGTCGTGTCCATTGTCGCCCACACTCACTATACATATCGTCATGGACGACCTTTACGATGAGTGCGCTTGACATCTGTCCATCCATATATATTCATAACTGATAATCTGCGACAGGTTCGGTAACTTTATCGGCGAGCCCGAAGACTCAGACATCGAACAGGAACAAGATGTCGATGCCAACGACTATCTCTACGACCAGGACGAGCAGGACGAGGGAGCTGCTGCAAACGACCAGCAGTTGATGGAAGTTGACGGTATGCGCCGCGCCTTGGTGGGAGAGTAGGAAAGCGAAACTGATATTGGTGCAGACGAAGGACCCTCGAATGCCGTCGTTCTCCACGAAGACAAGCAATACTATCCTACAGCGCAACAAGTCTACGGGCAGGATGTCGAAACTCTGGTTCAAGAGGAGGATACACAGGCTCTGTCACAGCCCATCATTGCTCCCATCGTCCAGAAGAAGTTCACAGTCGAAGAGGCCGACTTGCCTCCCGTTTTCTTCAGTCGCGAATTCATGACCGATTTGATGAACTTCCCCAGCCAAATCCGCAACGTCGCCCTCGCTGGACACCTTCACCATGGTAAAACAGCTTTCATGGACATGCTCGTCATGCAGACACACAATATCCAAGAGAAGCTGGACAAGAGGAAGGGACGCGACCGAGACGAGCAGCTGAGATATACCGATACCCACCTTCTGGAGCGTGAGAGAGGCGTCTCGATCAAAACTGGTCCCATGAGTCTGGTCCTGCCCGCTACCAAGGGAAAGTCACATCTGATCAACATGCTGGATACGCCTGGCCACGTCAACTTTGCCGACGAAGTCGCTGCTTCATTACGCCTGGTCGATGGTGTCGTTCTGATTGTTGACGTTGTTGAGGGCGTTCAAGTACAAACTGAGATGGTCATCAAGCACGCTGTTTTGAACCAACTACCGCTGGTCCTGGTCATCAACAAGATGGATCGTCTAATCCTGGAGCTCAAGCTGCCTCCAGCTGATGCCTATTTCAAGCTGAAGCACGTCGTCGAGGAGGTCAACACTGTTATCGAGAACACCATCCCTGGCCAAGGTGAAAAGTACCGTGTGAGTCCCGAGAAGGGCAACGTTGCTTTCGCCTGTAGTATGATGGGCTGGTGCTTCACCCTTCCATCATTCGCCCACATGTACGCCGAGACTTATGCTGGAAGCGGTCTGGACGTCCCCGAATTCAGCAAGAGACTATGGGGTGATATTTACTTCAATCCTGGAAGCCGCAAGTTCACCCGTCGTGGAACAGAGCCAGCCAGCAAACGCTCCTTCGTCAACTTTGTCCTCGAACCCATCTACAAACTCTACTCGCACACCATCAGTGAAAGCCCTGAAGACCTCAAGAAGACCCTGGAGAGTTTAGGCATCCACCTTAAACCCACACAACTTCGCGCAAACGCAAAGGATCTTCTGAAAATGGCATGCGAGCAGTTCTTTGGTCCTGCAACTGGATTTGTGGATATGGTCGTTGACCACGTTCCGTCGCCTGTTGAAGGAGCCAAGCAGAAGCTTGAGAACTATTACACTGGTCCCACCGATACCAAGACAGTCGAAAGTATGTTGTCTTGCGACCAGGACGGTCCTCTCATCGTCCATGTTACCAAGCTGTTTAATACCGCTGATGCAAATGGATTCAACTCATTCGGTCGTGTCATGAGTGGTACAGCACGTCCTGGTCAGAAGGTTCGTGTTTTGGGTGAGGGATACACAATCGAAGACGAAGAAGACATGGTGGAAGCCACGATATCTGACGTCTGGATTTGTGAATCGAGATATAACATTCCCACTAGCGGCGTCCCTGCTGGTAACTTTGTCCTTCTCGGAGGAGTTGACAACTCTATCGTCAAGACTGCTACCGTCGTTGCACCTAAACTTCCGGAAGACGAGGATGCCTACATCTTCCGTCCCTTGCAACACTTCTTCGAGTCTGTCTTCAAGGTGGCTGTTGAGCCCATCAACCCATCTGAGCTTCCCAAAATGCTTGATGGTCTCCGCAGAGTAAACAAGTCATATCCCCTCATCACTACAAAGGTGGAAGAGTCAGGAGAGCACGTTGTTCTGGGAACTGGCGAGCTTTACATGGACTGCGTCTTGCACGACCTGCGCCGATTATACGCGTCCATGGAGATCAAGGTCTCTGACCCTGTGACCCGCTTCTGCGAGACAGTAGTGGAGACATCAGCTATCAAGTGCTATGCACTAACACCGAACAAGAAGAACAAGCTCACAATGGTCGCCGAACCTTTGGACGAAGGTATCGCCGAAGACATTGAGAGTGGAAAGGTCAACATCAGAGATCCAGTGCGCAAGGTTGGCAAATTCTTTGAGGAGAATTACGGCTATGACTTGCTTGCTTCCCGCAACATCTGGGCGTTTGGACCTGATGACATGAGTCCCAACATTCTACAAAACGACACACTACCCTCAGACGTGGATCAAAAGCTCCTCAAGAGCGTCAGAGACACGATCCGTCAAGGTTTCTCATGGGGTACTCGTGAAGGACCACTCTGTGAAGAGCCCATCCGCAACACCAAATTCAAGATCACCGACATCAGTCTAGCGCCTGAGGCAATTCACCGTGGCGGTGGTCAAATAATCCCCACAGCCCGCCGTGCATGCTACAGCAGTTTCTTGATGGCCAGTCCACGACTCATGGAGCCAGTCTACAGCTGCTCTATGATCGGTAACGCAGACAGTGTAAGCAGTCTGTACACAGTCCTTGCCAGACGCAGAGGTCACGTCCTCTCCGATGGCCCCATCGCCGGAACGCCACTCTACAAAGTATCTGGTCTCATCCCGGTGATTGACTCCTTCGGTTTCGAGACTGATCTCCGCATTCACACTCAAGGTCAAGCCACGCTGTCACTTGTCTTTGACCGCTGGAGTATTGTTCCTGGTGACCCGCTGGACAAGAGCATCAAGTTGAGGCCGCTGGAACCTGCTTCTGCGCAAGCCACTGCGCGTGACTTTGTGCTCAAGACACGCAGGAGGAAGGGTCTGGCTGAGGATGTCACGATCAGCAAGTTCCTCGAGCCTGAATTGTTCAGGAGTTTGAAGGAGAGTGGTATCTTGGATCAACCTACGTAGATGAAGAAAGACTACGAAAATCTGTTTGTAGAGTATAGCCAAATGATTATTACGTTTTCGACCTTTCATCAGACTGGACCATGCACAAGTTTGATTTGTTGAGATTGAATGCGCGTGACGCGAGTGGTCTGCTGAATAAGAAGGAAGGAAGGACGAAGCACACTTTCCCCTCCCTGCTCCTGCTGTCCCCTTGCGCACCCCCACCTTCCCTCTCCAAGCTATATACCTATTCAAATCTGCCATGGGAAATATCGAATCCCAGCCCCTCTGGTGCAGCGGTTTAGCACGTTCCAAGACTGATGTCTTGCAAACACAACTAGAGTATGGCAGCGAGGTAGGTAACCGGCGCAAGTTGGTAGGCTGGAAGTTGTCTGAATTGTGAAGACGTGAGTTTGATTCTCACGGGGGGCAATGATCTCTTTTTGCTCGTAAGATATGGCTTTGATGGAGAATGTGGTTTTGGTGGAGGATGGGGATGTAGATTCTGACTTACATCAAGTGAATGGTCTGCTTTGTCTCACTTCCTATGAGCTTCCTTTCACTTGACACAAGCTCTCTATATATCTTTGGACAACTCTGTCGTCAACATATCAATTTCCAGCCCCTTTAGTGCAGCGGTCTAGCACGTTCCGTAATCAATGTCTTGCAAACACAAGCAGAGTAAGGCGAGAGACGGTCTTCCCTAGCTTGACTCACACCTCTCGTCGAAATTGGAAAGACGCGAGTTCGATTCTCGCAAGGGACATTGTCTTCTCTTTTGCTGCTCTGAGTGATCTACGGGTGAGACATGGAGAGAAGTAGTGTATGTGAATAGCAGACAGATTATCATGAGCAGTGCTATATCACCTCAGCCCTCCTTCCTCTTCACCCTTCTCTCCCCCAGGCGTCCGAACAACGGCACCTTTGAACCCGCCTTCCCCTCCTTGTACCTCTTCATCCCTTCTCTCCATGGGATCGTTACATAAGATGACCAACAAAGCATCCACTGTATCCCTCACTCTATCCGCAAACTCTTTTCCACTCAAATCCTCCTTTGAGATCGTTGCTCGGAAGGCAAAGCAAGTAGACTTGTAGACGTGGTGGTAGAGGAGTTTATATTCTTCTTCTTTGGCTTCTTCTGCTGCGTCTGCTGGAGGTTCCGGCGCTGTAGAAGTGGAAGTGGAAAGACGTTTCTTGCGCTTTGATGCTGTAAAGCCCCAGACGCGGAGACCAGCCAACACGACTTTCGATACCATTTCCTTGTTCTTTTGTTGCAGGAGTTCTGCTTCCGAGGGAGGTGGCGCGGGTGTGGCTTGAGAGAGACCAGAAGCTACTCGTCGTTGTTCTGGAAGTGTGGTTTCGCGACGCAAACTAGCGATACTGGGGCTTCTGCTTTTCGGTCTGGTGAGTAAGGGTGCAGAACCTCTGCTTGCTTCGGACTTTAGACGTGGTAGCGAGGGTAGCAAGGAAGGACTGTTTTGGGCCGATGCGGCAGCTGCGGATACAGAGGCGCCCGAGGGTCGTTTTCTGCGGTCCGAGGCGGCGGAGAAGGTTGAGTCGAGGGCGGTTTTGCGTCTTTGGCGGAGGGTTGGTTCGTCCCAGGGTCGAGGGATGAAGCGGCCATTTGCTATGCTTGGATCTGAAGCACCCAAGACTGGTGAAGCAGGTGGTGTGATATCTGCGTCGTTGAAGAGTAGCAAGTCGGAAGATAGAGGAAGAGCGTAGAGTTCGAGTTCAGGTGCTGGAGAGGAAGCTTCATTTTGCGGTGGTGGGCCGAGATCTTGTTGGGCGTGCTTCCTGGCAGCATAGAAGAGTATTTCCGTTATTCTCGGCTGGGATGTCTTGCTTGCGTCTGCAACTTCTACTGCGGCTAGTATGCCCAAAGGTGATTCCAAACTAGCACTCTGCCACCATTCTTGCTCCTGGTCTTGTGTATGGTCGCTCCTCAGAAGCAGGTTGCTAAACCATGTTTCGGTCTCGGCGTCTGTAGTCCATACGTCCAGCCGGGCTCCACATATTGAATGTAGTGGTATTCGTAGGGTATCGACGTGGGAGAGAAACTGTAGGGTGCAATCGTTTGATAAACCGTGTTTCGCTGAAGGTGCGCTTATTCGTATGTCTGTGTCTCGAATAAGCATTTCCTCTTGAACAACATTTTGTGAAGGCTACCTCGTATCTCATTACTATCATCAAGTCGTAGATTGCCGTTCCAGACGTCCATCGTTGGTATTACAGAGTCTTGTCTCTGATCATCAATGTTTTCGGGGCTGACGTGACTGGAGAACGCGTCGTTTCAATTTGTCCCAAAGAGGCAATTGCATTGTCATATAGCGATTTCTGATACGCATGCTAACAAGCACTTCAGGAAGCACTCTGCAAGGTCGAAATGCTACTCTGTGGTCTGGTTTCGAACGTAGGTAGGTAAGGTAAAGAAGGTAAATAATCATTGGGTATGTACGTCGCTGGTTCCATATCTACAAACAGCACAATGAACGCCCCCCATGCAAATGCTCCCATGTTTCCATGTCATCGCCTCACGGGAATGATCCATCGCTCGTCCTGATCATCCTCTAGTTCATCAGAGTCCCATCCATCCTCTTCGTCGCGCACGGCTAACTCGACGAACCGTCTGAATGCTGCCGCTGCTGCTGCATCGATCTGTTGCTGGTTTGGAGGAGCCTCGTGCTGTTGGACTGCTGGAGCTGCTCTTCTGCCATCCAAGGCAGCCACTCTTCCGCCTCGTGGCCGTCTCCCGCCACCTCGGCGTGCTGGCTGCTGTACAGCCTCTTCTGCTACCACGGCCTGAGCATTGTTGACCTGGGCGGGCTGGGCGGCGGCTGCAGCGTGGTCTTGGGCATCGAGCTGTTCCGCGAGTGCTCTTGCTGCAGCCTCGTCCTCTTCGCGTTGCAGAGCCTCGGCTTCCTCTCTGTCTGCAGCCTGAGCCACTGCCAGAGCCTCTTGCTCCCAGCGTCTTGCACCAACAAAAGCGCCCTCTTGGCCTTCATCACCCTCTTCCAACTCCCATAGCTTCTGGAAACACTCTGTGCCTGGCTTGTTGAAGTGCTGATACGGGTTGTCAGGGCATAGCCATGCACCGCACAGATAACAGAAGTGAGTGGCGCACTGGACGCAGCGCATGTGGTTGCAGCCCATGGTTTTCTGTGTGGGACTGCTGCAGGTAGGACATGGCGAAGTGTGTGTCCGGATGTAGTCGTAACTGGCCTTCTCTTCCTCGGACAGCTCTGATGGGTTGCGAGGCCAACAACGAGCAAAGTCACCGTGCCAACCTGCATAACAAGTCTTGCAGAAGGCGAAGGAGCACTTGCTGCAGATGGCCAGTCGATCAGAGGGAGAATGGCCTTTCTTCACCGTCTCCGGGTCATCCTCGTCCTCGCTTGATGACTCTGGATACAGCGCAAGATCTTGAGGAATGGGTGGATACTTTTCACTGCGAGCAGGACCCTGACACCAGGTACGCGGGCAGTAGACAGTCGACTTGTCGGCCTCTTGTTTCTTCTTGCGCTTCATGTCGACATAGCGACGGATCATGGACTCTTCAAGTTGTATTGCTACCAGCTCTTTCGGATGCAGTGTCTTTTCCTTTCGCCTCTTCTTCTTTTGACCAGCGGGTGCATCTTTGCCACATGTGGGATCCAGACATTGAACTCTCCCAACGTCGCCTTCTGTGATGCAGTTGTTGTAGAAGTCTTGCAAGCAGGTCTGACAGAAGACGTGACCACAGCGGCGCATGCGATAACAAGAGGAGCCCTTCTTGGGCTCAAGACAGATTCCGCAGTCGAAGGTACCAGCGTCGAATATAGCCTTCTTGGTACAGGCATCGTAGTCAAGCAAAGCAGGTTTGAGAGAGGATGGCAGATCGAGGCCAGTGAGTTCCAAGTCAAAGGCTTGCTCAGCTTGTTGTTGCAGAAAGTCAATGTAGGAAAAAAGGATCTGGCAGCGACCGTACTCGTCCCACAGTTTCTCGCATTCGCGCTCCAACTCTTTCAGTCTGTCGGCGGGCAGCCATTGTGGAGCGGTGGAGAGGGTAATCTTTGGCGGCTTGTCGGCAGGGTAAGCCTCGGGAAGGGAAAGCATCAAGTGGAGGGGCGGGAGGTGCTCGACGAGGTGTGTCCCATCGAGATGGGCCGGGAGCGGCAGCAACTTGAGGTAGCCATCATCCGAGTCCGGTGGGGAAGGTGGTGGCGCTGACGAAAAGCGCAAAGCGAGGGGATTCGAGGGTCGGACGGGGATATATAACGAAGCAGTGAATGGATCGATTGGGTCGAGAAGCAGTTCGGGGTAGATGGCCGAGATGGTCGACAATTCTTCCTCCCTCTCGTCTTCAGTGTCCATGGCGCTCGAATCGGAGTGACTCGTGAAAGGCTGGATGCTATGAACGAGTCATAAGTGCAAACAAGCCGTCGGAAGGCTATATACAGGCGCAAGTGATAGTAACCTGTCGAAGGAGAAAGGCGAGTGTTGCAGAAGAAGTGATAAGTATCGGGTGGCGCGATGGATGGTCGACGGCCGCTCTGGCGGTGTCTTGGAAATCGCCTCGGTGACGCCCGGCAGTATCTCACCGCCTGTTCACACCACGGCCCGAAGCTCTTATCGCCGGCTTCCCGAAAGCCTCCCGCGCTGCCGGTGCCGTGTTTCTGTTACTGATCTCTTGAGACCCGCAGCCGACTTCTTGTCTTGCTTCTCAAAGACGTCGTGTTGTGTAGACAAACGCCTCTGAAACGAGACAGCGTGGGAGATCCTCGGTAGACGTCGCTCTCTCTGACAAACATCCGTTGTGTGAAACGCTGCGCCCTTCACTCATGTCTACCATCTACACACAAAGCAGCCAATCCTCTGTCTCAGGATCCTTATAATCCCGTGGTCCATGCCTACGCTTCTATGGGCAGTGTACCCTAGGCTCTATATATCACACATGGTATCATCATAGGTAGCAGCATGGAAGCAACAGAAGCGAGGAGAAGTCTACATATGCCCACAGTCATCATCACATGCGCATAGAACCACATCCGACGGTTGGCCTATTGTAGCGTGGGAGTTCACTCTCTGGCATAACGAGATTATCTGGTCAATGACAACGTTTACCAAGGTCGTTATAAGCAGTGCTTCAAGCTCTCACTAATCGTCGGATGTGGCTGCAGTCTGTATGCATAGAGAAGAATTTTCCCATCCTCCAGAACGACCGCGCCTTGTTGATGTCCAGACTCTTTTTGCACTGTTAGGAAGGGATTTGCGTTATCCACCAATAAGAGAGGAATAACATGTCTTCTTCCGCGCCCATGGGGCCCGACATCGCGTTTTCAGGTGCGCGCAGAGGCCAAGCACTCCACAGTGCCCGCATTTTTCTCGAGATATGTCCATCACGTGTAGCTCTTTCGGGAATCCAATGCAACTCACGGCCACACGCGGCCGGATCACTCAACGTACTCCGGGTATAAAGAAGACTCGTCAAGTCTGTCCAGCTTGCAATTGTTTCTCGTCCTGTTGTTGTGTTCTCCATCCCTCGTTGCTTCGACTTCTTGTAAACTTTCCAAAGCCATTCTTATCGTTATCGGACCCTTCCTCACCAACTTACTCGTCCGCCGTGCATCGGAACCAATCACGTCGTTGATTTTTATTTTTCCTCACTCTTCCTCTCTTCACAATGTCCAGCTTCAGCGTCCCAACTCTCGCGTCACAATACAAGATGGCTTCTGATCACTCTTCGCCCTATGACACCTTCAGACATCCTCTGGAGCTGCGCTATGCAAGTGCGTAAAATCTTTACCCCGCCAAGCCTGATTGAATCATCAGTCCACACGGCCAATTGGACGCGCCAGCAATCATGACCATGGTATACTGATTCAATGGCCGTACTACAGGCAAGGAGATGAAGCATCTCTTCTCTCCCCGCATGCGTGTCAGCACCTGGAGACAGCTTTGGATCTGGCTTGCCGAGTCCCAGAAGGAGCTTGGTCTTTCCATCTCCGATGAAGCCATCAACCAGATGAAGGTCAACCAGATTGTCCAGGATGATGAGTTCAAGATTGCCGCAAAGGAAGAGGAGAGAAGAAGGTCAGTACTCTTGCTTTCTGTGACTCTTTGCTTGTGACGTGCTTTGTGCTGCGTGCGTGAAAACTACGTTTCTCGCCTTCCAGCACATTTTTCTGCGCTACAGCTCGTTTTACGACACACTGTTTTCAATTTACCGCGGAGCCCAATGTCCTGACTTTCCTTTCTCAGACACGATGTCATGGCTTGGGTCCACACATACGGCCTGTGCGCTCCTGCTGCCGCCGGTATCATCCACTGGGGTGCCACTTCATGCTATGTTACAGACAACGCCGATCTCGTTTTGATGCGTGACGGTCTTGACATGCTCCTCAAGAAGATGGCCACTGCCATTGACAAGCTCTCTGCCTTCGCCAAGCAGTGGAAGGACCAGCCCTGCCTTGGTTTCACGCACCTTCAGCCCGCTCAATTGACCACCGTTGGAAAGAGAGCATGTGTCTGGATCCAGGATCTGTTGATGGATCTTAGAGCCATGCAGCGCGTTCGCGACGAGCTCTGCTTCCGCGGTGTCAAGGGTACCACCGGTACTCAGGCATCTTTCCTCCAGATCTTCGACGGTGACCACGACAAGGTCGAGAAGCTTGACGAGCTCGTCACTGAGAAGGCCGGTTTTGCTGGCTGCTACCCCATTGCCACTCAGACCTACTCCCGTAAGGTCGACCTCGAAGTTGGCAGCGCCGTCTGCAACTTCGGTGCCACTTGCCAGCGTATCTCGACCGATATCAGACATCTTGCTTCCTGGAAGGAGATTGAGGAGCCTTTCGAGAAGGACCAGATTGGTTCTTCCGCCATGGCTTACAAGCGCAACCCCATGAGATCCGAGCGTTTGACCTCTCTTGGTCGTCGTCTTGCGAACCTTCACGCCGACTTCATCTCTACCTACGCCTCGCAATGGATGGAGCGTACCCTTGATGACTCTGCCATCCGTCGTATCGACATTCCCGAGATGTACTTGTGCGCCGATGCTCTGCTCATTCTCATGAACAACATCTTCAGCGGTCTTGTCGTCTACCCCAAGCGTATTGAGCACCGTATCCTTGAGGAGCTTCCTTTCATGGCCACGTAAGAACCTTTTCTGCTTCTGATCTATTTTCTTGCTAACCGTAACAGTGAGAACATCATCATGGCCCTTGTCAAGAAGGGTGTCTCCCGCCAGGATGCCCACGAGGAAATTCGTGTTCTTTCTCACCAAGCCTCGGCCTCCGTCAAGCTCGAGGGCAAGCACAACGACCTCATCGAGCGTATTCGCGCAACACCTTTCTTCGAGCCCATCATGGGAGAGCTCGACTCTCTGCTTGACCCCTCTACCTTCACTGGTCGTGCCCCTCAACAGGTCGAGAAGTTCTGCGGCCCCGATGGTGACGTTGAAAAGGCTCTCGCCAAGTTCCGTGCTGAGGGTATCGAGGAGAAGGTCGGTGACATTATCCTTTAGATATGTCTCTTCCTTTATGATAAGAATTGTGTTTTTACTTGCTATGAGATGTTGAGATGATATGGGAGTTCACAAAAAAGTCACGGTAGATATTACAGTAAAAGGTCACCCAATGTACCTAATTAAGAACATTTTGCACTCTTCATGTTTCGCGAGAATCAACTTTCGGATTTATTTATTTTTTTGTCGACAAGAAATAATACGAGTCACGCTAAGACGCGTGACAAAAGCTTGGCGTGTGCCGTCCAAGTCTCAAGGCTGCGACAACCAACTTCGGACTACATCAAACCATATCCATTTCCATCATCATAATCGTTTCGTCAACACAAATACCACTCGTCTTTTATACGGCACCGACGACTTGTACACCACTCCTGAGTGATCTTCAGCATTTGCAAGCCAGAGTTGAAGGGTGTCACAGGTCGCTGGGCTGTCTTGTCAAGTCTCGTTCTCTACTGTCTGCACTGGCGACCCGCTCACCAACCAAACTTCAGCTCGCGCTAGAAGGGTGAAGCAGGGAGCTGGGTAGTTACGGAGGGACCTGAGTCTTCCAGACTGACTGTGTGCGAATCGGTACGCGACATCGAGTCGGGGCTGCTCGAGACACCTCATCGAAGCCCGGGTGGGAGGGATCTCACGTTGCTGAGGGCCTTGTTGGTATCGAACCCTTTGTAAAGCGCACTGATTACTGCAGGAAGAACCGGACATGCCCAAAGGAAAACGATCCGCTCGAGCGTCGTGGCTCTTCCGCAACAAGCCAGCCGTAGCTTCAGCCAACACCACGTTCGGTCGCTTCTATGTCTCGATCTATCATGATGAATCAAAAGTCGAAGGCTCGATCGTTGTACAGCATACCGTTCATATCGAAGGCTTCCCTTTCGAACAGACCCTTGACCTTGTCCTTCGTCCCGAAAGCATAGTCGCTTGTGAATTATTTCTTGACAACCAGAACCAAAGATTGCCTCCGGAAGTGCTCAACTTAATACCGACCAACCGTAATGATATATGGAGTCTATCATTGACCATGCGTAGTCCCGGGACTGTTATATGCCCGACAGCGCCCCTCCCCTTGTCATTCGTATCGACCAGTTTCGGACAGCAGTTTGCTGCCTTTTCTCACTTGTGTCAGACAACACACCTTCAAATATACCTGGGCAAGGACCAACTCCAGCCCGAGCATCGCATGCGCCTCGAACGCTTTGCTGCTGCCATCGCTCTTCGTAATCTCCGAGCCAATCCTATCGACCTCCGGAGCCTAGGTGGCGGTGGTGGAAAGCAAGAGACAATATGGGACTACATACACCCGCCAGAAGAACAACAAGCAGAGCCTGGTGCTTCAAAGAAACGATGCCGTGTTGGTGAGTCTCTACAGATTCGGTTCTTCCGTTGTACTGAATATGTAGCGCGTATAGCTATAGCAATGCACAGTTGTTTGCAGATCAAGGTTCAACCAAAGAGAGCCTACAATATACCGCGTCTCCGTGGAAACCAGATCGTGTCTCAGGACCATTGTGCATTTCTACAGCTACACACGTTGCATACTTCAAGCATAGGAGATCCCATACAATCTTCATGTTCTGACGTGATTCGTAGATTCCAACAGCCAACAGCAGTCAGGGGAGCCGTATGCAAAGATACAGAAATTCTTCTGGGACACAGTACACCAGGGCTCACCCACTGAGGTAAACACACCGAGTCCGCGATATACCACCAGCCCTAGTCACACCTCCACTGCTGCCGACACGTCCGATCTTCGACTCATGCATCCCTTCGCCTACGTAGAGAACCCAGGAGATGAACCATGTCCGTCCACAGTTCTCGGGCATAGCGACGAGAAGAGACCAGGCTCACGAGCCTGTACGCCCCTTCCTGCTTATCCAGCAGGATACGAGAACACATGTACACCATCACCAGCGCTTCCAAAAGCAAGCGTCTCTCCATGGGGATCTAGTATAGAGATCAAGCCCACCTTCTTCACCCCTGAAACCGACAATTCTGCCCCTTCCCCTGAGCTTACACAAGCCTTGGGCGGTATGCTTCAACAAATGCTGCCCAACATCATTGAAGGCGCTTTCTCGTCTATTCTAGGACCCCTGATCGATGCCCGTCTCGAAGCACTAGTGAATCACAAGATGGAAGCACTTGTTCGGGAACATCTTCCCAAGCTCACTTACCAGGCTCTTCGGCAAAACATGGACAGATTCGTCGACGAGCTCGAAGACGAACACAAGAATGCAGAGTTTAAAATCGGAGAGGCGGTCGATGAGGCCAAGACTGAGTTGAATGAGACGCGCGACAAAGCTATCGATGACATTGAGACCTGGGCTCAGGAGCGATTCGAGGATTTTGAGGGTGATGTTGACAGTATTACTAAATCTGCTGTTGAGACGTTGGAGGATAAGGCGAATCTCCTGGAAGAGCGGCTGGACCGCAAATCCAGGAGACAGTTCAAGAAGATCGAGAAGGTACAGCAGGGTACGAGAAGGAGGTCTATATAGCTCTATATAATGTCATACTTTTGCCAGCTCGGAAGGGGTGATTGAGTACTTTTCTACACATCACTGACTTGAGTGCAGACTGCGATCGTCGCTCTTGGCAATTGTCAGTGCCATTTTTTGTCTGCAGATCAAACACACGACGTCCGTCCCTTCCACTCTGGGTCAAGTGGTGACGACCCTGCCTACGTGGATATATGCGTTACTTGCAGATCCACATCTCACTCTTCTTTGACCGCTGCTCTTGGTAGAAACTACTCAGACGTCCGTCGGCGAAGACACTTGTGCGCTTGTCTTCTCAAGCCCAGTAACATGCGGTACCATTTGTCTGACGTCGTTCACGCTAACTACCTGCTTCACATAGCCAGTCTACCTGCATGCCTAGACGCTTTTGTATGGTAGTATAAGCAAAACACAAGTGCATGTAGCGGTCTTGACTCCTGGTCTTCTTCGTCACAGATTCAGTAGATCATGCTTCTGGCTCGTCCCTGGTTGACTGAAATGGAGTGATAGGTTTGCGATGCAGTTCAACACCCTTGCCCGATCAGCAAAGATGCCTGTCTGCTGTTCCAGCATACCTCGTATTGTTACCCACTGACATCAGAAAATACGGCGTCTGCCCCAGTTCTTACCATGTGGAGCAGCGACGAACGGAGGCGTATATATATCCCATCTTCCTTTTCGTTTCAGTCCCTTAACCTTCAACGAGTCACAACTAAACCTCTTTCTCTACAACTCCCGCCAACATAAAAAATGAAGGCGTCTACCATCTTCACCGCCCTCGCCGCAGTCCTCCCTGCCTTTGCCAGCAACTCCTTCGGCGGCCTAGCAATTCACTCAGGCTCCCCCATTCACCTCTCCGCCATCAACGCAAACGCCAACTCCTTCTACCTCAACAAACCTACCTCCTCTTACTGTCCCAACACCACCGTCTCTTCCTGCCCCGAAGGCAAATACACCTACTTCACCCCCGGCAACACTACTCTCTCCCTCGCCGTCGAGGTCCCCGGTGGCCAACGCGTATATGTGGCTCAAGATGGCAGCTTAGGCTACACTATCCCTCATGGCAGTGTGGGAGGTAACCAGACCGTGAGCTACACTGGTTTTGGCCTCAAGGATAGTGGTATTCATCTGCAGTACTTGGATGCGGACTTTGCGGCTGTGCCTGTTGGTCAGGGAGTGTACAAGGTCTATGCTGCTGCTGTGGAGGAGACTCCTAGGAATGGAACGAGCTTTGCTTTTAGGGTGCAGAGTGTTAATGCTTCGTTTGGAGCTTGGGAGTACTAAAGGATGAAAGTTGATGGATGTCGAGGGCTGGCATGACGGTGCTTGTGGTGAAATGTAAAAATGACAATCCAAGCCTGAATGTTTGCTTCGTTGAATCGTTGTTAGCCATTTGATCTTCCCTCCTCTTACCTAGAGAGAAGTCGATATCAGCCATGAACATCTGGATCTTTCCACTTCTGATTCGCATGAATCCTGTAGGCGGGGCTTGTACCGGCGATTTCACCAAACCGCGTGTTCGGTTGTCTGCGAGAAGCTGTGATCGGATCGAATCGAATGGGATCGAATCTTCTACAACTGTGTCCTTCCTCTGTCCTGTTAGGAACGATGTCCCTCAAAGTCCAACGCCGACCCTGTCCGCCAAGCCACATTCGCGCCGCACGAAAAAAAAAATTCTTTCTTTTCGTTCACCTCTCCCACCACAACGACATAGTAAGAACAAAAAGAAAAGTCAACTTATTAGATAGGAATAGCCGAAGGCGGGGCTCGAACCCGCGACCTTGAGGTTGGAATATCAGAGGTTGATAAGAGCCACACGCTCTACCGATTGAGCTACCCCGGCAGGTCTGATTGATCAAGTTGTGTGTCACAACTGGCTCGTTGACTTGTGGTGTGCTCGCTGGTGAGAACATATATATACTTTCCATGTCGGCCCCATGGAGTTATATGCGCAAATGCCATACTCATCGGCGAAGCACTGCCGCATGTATTCTTACCATGACGGAGGAGATTACTAAAGTGTCCGAGGCTATACTGGCTATGGTCATGGGATTGCCGGTAATCGTAGCAAGTATCTGTTTGTAGGGGGAGAGGGATTCTGCACGAAGATCAGTAGCAATTCAGCAGTTTATACCAACACACCATCACTACGGCATGAGTAGAGCTACAAGTAGAGTATCACCGCCAAAGCACATGAATGTGGACCTTTAACGTATAGCGATATAGACATATACCAAAAAACCATGTGTTGCGGTTTATCATTGCTGCTAGATCATCGACCAGGGTGGTACCGACAGCAGACTTACGATGCTCGAGTCTACTACTCATCCACAAAGCGCAATGGATAACAGCGACAACAAGAGAGGGAGAACTTAGAGCGAGCCTAAGCTGTCATTGCCGCAACACTCGACAACTGAAAGTGAGAAGTGACCGCACGCATCTCGCACCGATCCCAGTCATTCTGTTCTCAAATGATACCAGACAGATGAAGCAACAAGCAAGTGTGTGCCTACCTCGAAGTGAATCTCTGTAGTCGAGTGTAGGTCCGAGGCTTCATCCAAAGATCTGCCACATTCTCCGTTCAGTTTGCACCATTTTGCAAAGAACATGACAAAGACATTATTCAACCACAAGAATAATGCATCCGTCTGATGCTGTTGGGGTTTCTCCAGCGTCCAGGCCAAAATTATCGTGTTCCGGCTTTTGGAGAGCAAAATTTCATCAAAAATCCACCCTCCAGCCACCATTTCGCTCCCAACTCTCCACCCAACCTCCCAACACTTTCAGCGATGCAAAAAGAAGGCATAACATCGCCTCTATCAGCAAAATGATCGACGCCTGCAGGACTCGAACCTGCGCTCCCGAAGGAAATAGATTTCTAGTCTATCGCTATAACCACTCAGCCAAAGCGCCTAATGTTGAAGAGATGCTGAGTGAGCTCAACTATTGCCCTTTGATACATGCTAGGCTTTGAGCGGGTGCCAATCGATGTTCATGCAGAGCGTCTGTCGAAATGTACTCGGAGCATGCTAGGAATCTGGCGAAATGGCGGAGCTTTGTGTGTTTAGACTCGCTAAGCCTGGACAGCAGCGAGATCGAAATGACCGCTTCCGAAAGGCTCCAGAGCGTTTGGCAACCAGTCTCCATGATCCGAGGATGAGTTAAACGAGGGGTTGGTTACCCCACATGCCCCACGTCCGAGTCCCTCTCTGCCTCTCCGGGGAAAGATGAGCAGGGACAAGACCATGACCAGCAGAAGGATTGCGGCAAATTGATGTATGGACGCCGAGAATTGCGGGTCTTGTGGTCTCGACTGGGATGTGGGGCCTTGATGTCTTCCTTGGAGAAGCCTCGATATGAAAGCTGTTGAGATCTCCAGTTGTAGTTTGCACATATTCCCCAGTCTCTTTGGACTCAGAAGCATAATCGCGAAGAAACAATGGCTGTAGACGAGAAGAAACCAGCATTCGAGAAGGTGAGGACGAGACAGGAAGACCACGGTGTTGGGGAATGTACTCACAGTCAGCGTAGGTCATTGTGGTTGGAGCAGGACCGTCAGGGCTTCTATTGTCACTGCTGCTCATCCGAGCCGGTATAAAGGTTCATCTCCTGGATGCTGCTCCCACACTAGACGATCAGCCCCGGGCAGCTCATTACGGTCCTCCAGCGATTCCAGATCTTCGTCGAGCTGGTATCCTGGATAAGATCAAATCTCAAGGCTTGACACTCAACACAATGTGCTGGCGAAAGCTTGATCAGACATATATTGCCGGGATGGACTTCAGTGAGACTTTGTCAAATGATCCTGAGTATGGTGATGTCAGAACAGTCAGTCTGGCTTTGCAGACGCTGGACGCTCTAATGTTGGAGGACTTTAAGAAGGAGGGTGGCCAAGTCAGCTGGGAGCATCGTGTGTTGGACGTCCAGCAAGATGAACGTTCAGCCAAAGTAAAGGTCCAAACGCCGACTGAGAAAGAAAAAATACTCGAAGCAGATTATGTCGTAGGATGCGATGGTGCGAACAGCATTGTCAGAAAGTGCCTATTCGGCGAGAGTTTCGAAGAGAACTTCCCTGGTTTTACCTGGAATCAGAAGCAGATTGTTGCAACGAACGTGAGTGACGTGAATAGCGTATCAGATACCGACTCCCCGCTGATTAGTATACAGACATACTACGACTTCCGCAAGTTCGGATATCTTGATGCGAACTTCATTATAGATCGCGACCATCTGTATATGGCGGCTATCATAGACGATAAAGGGTTGTGGCGCGTGACATATGGCGAAGAGCCTGGTTTGACACGCGAACAACTGCTCGAACGTCAGCCCAAGAAGTTTGAGACAATCTTACCTGGCAATCCAAAGCCTGGCGATTACGAGATGGTGAATTTCTCGCCCTATCGCATGCATCAGAGAGTCGCCGAAAAGTTCCGTGTTGGTAGGGTTATGTTGGCAGCAGATGCGGCACATGTCTGCAATCCCTTGTAAGTCGGGACAAAATGGCGAGAATGAAGTTGATTGCTAATCAGCATTGCGTAGCGGCGGTCTTGGGATTACTGGCGGCTTCGTGGACGTTGGTTGTTTGTATGATTGTTTGTACGGCATCTGGACGCATCAAGCCGACGACTCGATCCTCGATTTGTACTCGGAAGTGCGACGACAAAAGTACAAGGACATCATCGACCCAATCTCGACAGAGAACTTCAAGCGTGTCTTTGATCAAGATCCCGAAGTTGCAGGCGAGAAAGACCACTTCTTGGTTTTGTGTAAGAAGGCAGCCGAAGATAAAGAATTTGCTCGGCAAATGCACCTGGTAAGACAAACGAGCAAGATTGACATTTTCAACAAAATACACTGACACTTACAGGCATCCTTTGGCATTCGTCATGACTTCACACAATACTACCGAAAGGACGACAGTAAGCACGCTGTGATTGATGGTGCGAAATCGGACTTCAGCGTTGAACATATTGAGGAAGTTGCGCCAACAGGGGCGGACTGAGTTGCTGCTTCCACGTGGATCTAGACTTCAGCCAGAATTGAAAACGAGGGCATTGAAATTTCCATGGCTACGAACTCGTCCACCAATTTCCTGAGAATCAAGACAAGGAAACATGAGAATAAATCCTACAGATCAGCAGTCGTCCTGACTTGGTACGTGCGTGATACCACAATGCTGTCCGTGTGTCTCTCATCCACCACATGATCCTCAAGGTTCGATGGCCGGTGAGCAAGGATCTCATCTGTACTTTCTGTGTCCGAATCCACATTGTTGGCGGTGACCTGCGCTCTATGCTTGTGTCTGCTTAGTTCAACATCGCCGTAGAAGGGATCGAGGTTGGAGCCTCCGCGGCTGTGATCGGTAGCCCTCCCACCAGTTCTGAAGTATTGACCTGTGTTCTTCGAGTCTTGTGTGCTCCCGGAGAAGATACCGCGGAAGTAGGCCTCGAAGAGAGGCTTCAGGGTAGGTACGCACGTGCAGACCTGTCAAAAGTTACTAAAATTGTCCTTTGTGATGCTACCATTCACTGACCATAGACATCATGGTTTCGATGGCAGACCAGACTACGAAATCATTGATCACGTAAGTCAAGTCCGAGTTGCCCTGTTGAAGATAGGCGATGATACTCCTGAGACGGATGATGCTGACAATGCATCCGGCAGAGCCCATGGCGAAAACCAGCGACAGGGTGATCTTTTTTCGACGAGTGAGTGCAAGATTCCACACGATTGGAATCGGAAGCGCAAGGATCAGTAGATCACTGACAGAGTTACACACGGCGTTGGCGATGTCTGAGCGAGTGTCAGTAAGAGTACCTCGAGGATCGGGATGTTGTTACAAACAGAAAGCTGGACGGTTGATGCATTTTCCTTTAGCAAAGATATCCCTATCTCCGGATTAGAGATTACTTGTATCCGAAAGTCCTAGCGTAGTCTCACCATTGGAAATAGACCGGAGTACAGTCAAATATCTCCGTTAGGATACCAGCCACGGAATAGCCAACGGCAAACAGAAAGACCGCCCACCAACGCCATATGAAGTTTTGTATCGGGAACAGACGACGATACAGTAACATGATGGCGACTTTGATGGAGAGCATCGAGGCGCTGTAGAAGACCGAGGCGATGAGGTACAACTTGAGGAAGTGTGGAGAGAACTGAGCGAGCGGAACATCCCATAGGTGTCGTCCCATACCGAGATGAACCAAAGCCTGATAGAGAGCTATGGCTGTTATGCATATAAGGAGAGAAACGATCATTGCCCCTGCACAAAAAGTCAATCAATGCTACACCACGTACAAGCTCTCTGTGTGATGCACTCTGTCACTCTCCTCGAACTACAGTGGAGAGCAGTTCGTAGGCTATAAAAAGACACCATCGTCCGGATCAATGATATCGTCAAAGAGAGCTCCAATTAAATAGAGGTTGCCTCTCAGTGATTACCCTTCGTGGCTCAGGACCATTGTGTACTTCCACAACTACACACGCGTCGCATACTTTGACACACAGAGAGGAATAGGCTTCTACGTACAGTCATCGTAGCCAAAAGATTTGACAATAAAGATTCGTGTGTAGAGTCGAAGGGCGACAACGATAATCATGATGACCAGCACCACAATGTTGGTCGTTGTCTGCTGATACCCAATACTCGGAGGATTGACAAAGTTGGGTATTGTGCCGTTCGGAGGCGTGGCTGCAGGCACTTGCCAGTAATCCACGCTAGGGTCCATGTCGTGAGGTTGTCGTCCAGACGGGCCTTGTCCTGATGGATGATGTCTTGTCGGAGAATACGAGGAACAGTTCGCTCCGCCTTTGGAGGATCGAAAAGTTGAATCCACACCACGAGGGAAATGCTTGCGTTTTGAACCCCCCAACCTGACTCTGGAGGGTATTCTTACGTGGTGATCGAGAACCACCTTTGGGCCCGTACCCTTGCTTTTGGCTGATCTCTGGGGGCAAGGGCAAGGATAAGAGACATGATTCGCCCTCGATATTGGTTGTGATGCTGTGGTCTTAGATCGGCTACAAGTCGTAAGGTATTTGTCTCACAGCTTGAGTCATGCGGTGACCTGGGCGCTACGAACATTGGAGCGGGCTTCGATCCGAGTTGAAGACATCGAGCTGTCATGTAACGGCTATACAGATGTTGTACTGATCTTGCGGAAACGCTTGAGAAGAATTACCACTAGAGCATGAAATCACCATTGGTATGTCGATCTGCTTGTAGTCTTCGTCTTCAAGTGATCAGACACGTGGACGGGCGGATCAACGAATTAGGCAGCCGACACCGCATAAAGCGATATCCATAGGGTTCCTGTATGCACGGTCCAGTATGTAATGAAGGCACACGGACCTTAAGGAAAGTGTGTTATCGCTACAGTGCGCGGCAGTCTGAGCCTCTGAGAGTATCGTTGCCTTGATACTGTCTTGTGAGAGTCCGTCAGCTCGATTGACGAGTGCTCGAGTTTCTCTCTTGCTGACAACCGACAGTCTTGAAGCGGTCGCACGCTTGTCAATGGCAAACCTCCAGCGCGATAAGTCAGTCCGAAATCCGGCAGGTACGCTCATCTCAGTCGATCCTGGCCTTTAGGACCGAGCAAGCTCGCATTGGTCGCATCCAGACTGAATCAAGCGGACAAGGTGGACGGGAGCCAGATTGCAAAATAGATGAAAGTGAGGTCAGTTGGTTACGATTTGACAAGACGACACCCTTCGGCATTTGACCCTTCTTTGATTGTTCTACGCCATGTACGGAGTATCACTGGCGGTATGAAGCTTGTTTGACAGGTGTCTCAGTCGCGAGTCAAGATTCAAGGTGTTCAAACCGAAGTTTGTTGATCTGGAGAGAATTCTGGCGCTCATCCGTGCTGAACCGTCCATAGAAATAACGCAAGTTTAGACGACACATGTTCAGGCTTAAAACCAGGCTTCACCTTAGAACAGATGTGTTTGTCTATGAAAGCTTTCATATCGATAGTAACATTGGTATACTATACTCTCGCAATTACTAGAAAACTTCACTACATCACCGTGCGAGGATCCAAACTCGAAATCTTAGCCGACTTTGCAGCGCCATCGAAGACAAACTCAGAGATCAACTTGCCAGTTCCGGGACCATTCTGAATACCCCAGCAAGTATGTCCAGCTGCTATTAGCAGACCCTTTACGCCTGTCTGCCCGATCAGGGGGCCATTTCCTCCCTGAACGTTCGGTAGGTAGCATGCTTGTCGTGCAGTGACTTCTCCATCTCGCAATTCGTCGCTGATACTGCTGACATAGTCGACGATATCCTGGCATCTCTGCTCATCTACCTCGACAAGATCTGATGATTTGGGAAGGGGCACCATATGGTCTCCCTCTCCACAAGCATAAACCTCGTTCTTTGGCCTTGTGTAAATTTCTGGCGAAACGTGTTGCTCGCCTCGTGATTTCTTGCCTCCGAAACCAGCTGGAAGTTTGATCTCAGTGAACAAAGCGTATGCGCTGATCTCGCGAGTCGGGCGGATAGTGACGCTGTGGGCACGAGTAGCTGTGATGGGGGCGTCTGGGTAGACTTCCCTTGTCCACGGGCCAGCAGATATGATGATGTCTGTTGCTGGGATGGTGACTTCCTTGTTGTTGTCGTTCTTGTCCTTGTAAGTGACACTCTCCACGCCCTTTCCATCTTTGGTATGGTTGATGCTCTTGACGGCGGCACCCACACGGATGTCCGCCCCCTTTTCAGCAGCCAAGTCGGCCATGGAAGTGGTGAATTGAAAAGGATGGACTTGAGCAGTAGTCGAGGGATCGCCCATCTCATCGTACATTCTCAAGCAGTCAGGGTGGATCCAGTCAAGATCTTTTGGTATACCTCTGGCGGCCAGTTTCGCCGAAACCTTGGGAGGGTTCTTTTCGAGAGAAACGCTGTTCTTCTCTCGGTTTGCAGGTGAGCCGTTCTTTCCATCCATTTCGTTGTCTTTGCCCTTCACGGTGTCCTTGGCAGTCAGGTTTCGACCTTTGCAGTCTACCGAGCCGCAGTGCACCTGTCTGTAACCCCAACGCTCATCACCGCCATATTTGTCGGCTAGTTGCTTGTGCAGCTTGTATGAAAGTGGTACGATAGATGAAGGATAGGCCCACAGAGCCAACAGACCTAGAGCTTTGTTAGTTGAGGGTCCTTCATCGAGCAGATTATACTACTACGAACCGCCTGCCTTGCCACTTGCGCCTCCAGCAATCTTCGTCGCTTCCAGAAGGATGACCTTGTGCTTCTCCGGATTGTATGAAGGGTGATGCGTCAAGAAATAGGCAGATGTAGCACCGATAATGCCACCGCCAATAATCACAATATTCTTTTGCTCGTCTCCAGCCATGATGGATTGTTGATGGAAGTGTGTAATATTGTGTGGAAGCCGACCAGTTTTACTTTGGAAACCAGACGACAGAGTTCTTCTTAGAGAAGCCAGAGTGGCGATACGAGTAGACGGATCTCACTGATCTTCAAAATCCCAACACAGAAGGTGAACGAAAACTTGCGAATCGCGTTTCGCCTTGCTATCTGTCGCCTCGAGGAAAGTGTGACGTCAAAGCGGGTCGGGTTTAAGTCAGGGTCGCACCCCGCAACGAGCTGTCTACGATGTTTTGCTCCTCCCTTGAGGAGACGACCTTACTATAAAAATGCATAAAGCTTTTCAGACCAGAGATACAACCAGAGAAAGCCTACAGAAGATCGCATCTCGATCCTCGCTACACTGTCCGTCGATAGTACTGTGCAATCATATAACGACTGATCATCACATACTTTCGCACACGGAGATGATAAATATAGCGGATTGATTACATTAGAAAACATTCATGTAGCACCTATATCTATATGTACGTTCAGATCTAGGCATCGTGGGCCACCTTGCGCAACCAATGTTTGGTCTTTCCCCAAGCCCCTGTTGCCATTCTAGCCTTCTGGTAGTCCTCTTCTTGAACGTTATGCTTTCCAACAATATTGAGGAAGACTTGGTCCAGAGTGGCCTGCGAAACAGCGTAAAACTCCATACCAAGCTCTTCCTTGCTCGACTCCAGCTTCTCAAACAACGAACTGATGCCACTTGTCGCTGTGACCGTGGTCATGGCTGCTTTCTTGTCTTCGATAGGGCCGTGTGAGGCGGTATCCAAGCCTGGTCGGTTTGGTACCTCGAAGCGGATTTGACCATGGAACGATCTGTTCTCGATCGTCGCGCTTGGGAAATTTGTCTCGATCCAGTCCTTGATCTCCAGAAGTTTAGCGTCGGAGGTGTGTGGTGCATCCTTGTGCACAAGATGGACGTAATAGGCGTCACCGTGTTTGCGACGCAAAGAGTCACTGGTACCCACAGCGAGCATTTGTCTAGCCATGATGCCGACACGGTCGCCAAGAGCATCAGCTTCCTCTAGACTGTGGGTAGTCAACACTAAGCTGCGACCAGAGCTTACTGCGGCAAGTGTACGCCACATAATTCTCTTTGCACCAGCGTCCATTCCAGAACTACCTTCGTCAACAAGAAGCACAGATGGGTTGCCAATTAGCGCGATACCCAGACTGAGCTTGCGTTTGTTGCCACCAGAGAGCTTAGAAGCCATGCGGTTGCGGAAGGCAGATAGGCCAACCGCAGTCATGACCTGTTCCACATTGTGTTCGATATCAGAGACACCACGAGCTCTAGCATAGAAACGTAGGTGTTCCAAGCACGTCATAGAATCCAGCGCGTCGAACTGTGGGCAGACACCTTGGTGCAAACGAGCAGCAGCGCGCTGCTTCACGATTGACTCATTTTCGAGGAAGACGTCTCCACCACTAGGACGGACGTCACCTCTGATTGTTGATATGGTTGTTGATTTTCCTGTTCTCGTTTAGTATCTCGTTTATAACAGCTAAAGCTTCCATGTCGCAAGGGGAGGGGGGCTTACCTGCACCGTTGGGGCCGAGCAATGCGAAGATTTCACCTCGCGGGACACCAAACGCTACTCGATCGACAGCGAGATTATCGCCGTAAGATTTGCTGATGCTGCATACGCGCAACTCATCCTTGCAGTCGTTGACTCGAACTACCTCGCGATACACGTCCTCATCAGCGTACTCACTCTCTTCTGCGTCTTGCGAGCGGGACTATATTTGGAGACTGATGTCAGTGTGGTTCCGAAAGGGAGCAATAACTATCGCATCGCAAAGTGCTATCCAAAAAGCTGGAATGCTCCGAACAGGTCTCTGCAACGCGAAGAACATTTGCGTACGTACCTTCCTGGTGAGGAATGCGAATCTGTATCCGCTATCGTAGTAGATGAGGAACCCGAGGAGAAGGAGCGACTGAATACAAAGATAAAGAATAGGACCTCCGTAGACCGTGATTTCTCCTGGGTACGAGGCACGTTCATAGCCACGACAGAGAAGCGAAAATTCGTTGAATGTCAGCAAGAGTGAGCGTAACAAGCTTCCTGCGGGGGTCACGATAGATATTGTGAAGTGCGCGATGTTGACTGTAAGAGGATAATTAGCATGTTTCTTCCGGTCGTGAGAATCATTACTTTACCATATGAGTCGATCTTCTCTGTGGGGGCGAACGTGATGATCGCCATGAAAGCGAGGAAATAGATCAAGAAGAAAGCGCACTGCATGCCTGCAGCGAAGGCAAACGAGGCCAGTTGACTGGTGACGAAGAGAGATATGACATAGCTGCAAAGCAGAGCTGCCAATCCATATAAGAAGAAGACCACGAACAGCGTACCGGGGTCGTACAGTGCGCTGGATACCCCAACAAATATAACTATTGCAACGACGCTGACAATCATGACGAACATGAAGTCGAAAAGGGTGTATGCAAGCCAGAGAGGAAAGGCTCTGATACCGTTCGAGTAGTGCAGTGCTCTTACTTTGGCAACACGCTCACTAGTCGGGTAAAGGGCGAAGAATCCAGGGTAGGCGCACATGGCTAGACCAAAGTAGAGAATAAATTGAAGTGTCTTTCCAGCTGACGGTGCCCATGGCCTTTGGAAGGCCTGGTAGGTTGTGATGATCGGAGAGCCCAGCTGACTACTGTCCAGAATGTTCTGAGTCAAGATTGCAAAGTCGAGCTCATAATTGCCCCTCCAGGCAAACAAGGGAGCGCCGCCCTGAGCATCGAGATAGTAGCCGCCAGGAAACACGCGACTGTAATTGGATTGCACGTACTCACGGAAGGCGTCTACGCTAGAAACGGGCGCAATAGCATCAACAAGTCCGGGATATAGATCACCAAGCAGCGTTGTAGGAACCTGGGCAGCTGGACCAGCTGGGAAGTCGAATGGATCAGAGTCAAGAGTAGCGAAAGAGACGATCTCCTCGTTTGAGCTGCTACCCTCTGGCGAACAGCTTAGTGGGCTGAAGCCCTTCAGGAAAAGAGTTACAAGGCCTGCAGCAATGATAGGAATCAAAACAGCGGCCATGTACGGCAAGTAGTTGCGACGCAAGATCGTGATACGCTTTCGGAACAAGACCCATGTCTGTGCAACGAGCGAGATTCTTTTTCCCTTGGCCAACTCCAGACCCTTCTCCGACTGCAAAGACGATACGTTGGTCAAGGACGTGGCATCATCATGCAGCGTATGGTCGTTATTGAACTCTGACGACAGCTTTAGAAAGACATCCTCGATTTGTGGCCCACTGACGCGATAATCCGTAACTCCAAGTTGCTCCAGACGGGTGACAAAAACGGCGGCAGCACTAGAATCAGGTAGATTGTACACCACGTGGTCAGCGTGGTTGCGGCGAGGTATCTCAGACCAATCTTGAGGCTCCTTGAAGGCGTGTTCTGTGTAGATCTTGACACGATATCCACCGCCGAGTTGGTGTTTCAGAGCCACGGCTGTACCGTTTGCGGCCAGGGTACCCTTGGACAAGATGGTGATATGGTCCGAAAGCAAGTCTCCCTCGTCAAGGAAATGTGTCGTGAATAGCATGGCTCTGTGTCCTCTCTCGGCCAAAAGGATATCCCAGACCTTGCGTCGTGAAAGAGGATCAATGCCGGAACTCACTTCGTCGATCAAGCAGAGGTTACTACCACCAGTAAGCATCATGGCTAGTTGAAGCTTACGCTTCTGTCCACCTGACAAAGTCTCAGAACGAGCAGAGATCTTGTGAGCCAGATCACACTTGGAGAGTAGATCTCTATGGTCCACGCTTTTTTCCTTTTGCCCTTGTGCCTTGAGCTGGTTGAAATAGTAGACATGCTCCTCGCAGGTAAGCTTGTCCCAGAGTACGTTCTTCTGGGGACAGATGCCGACGCCTCCAGTTCCGTTGATATCGATGGTACCACTTGTCGGTGATTGAAGACCGGCTAACATGTCCATGGTCGTACTCTTCCCACTACCGTTGGCTCCCAATAGAACATGGATCTCGCCAGCACGAATAGTAAAGCTGATATCGTTCACAGCGTATACCGTCTCTCTTTTGTTTTTGCTGAATCTCGACCAAACATTCTTGTAGAGCCAGCTAGGACTGTACTGCTTTGTCAGATTGGTAATGCGAGCAGTCTCAGAGTCAGCACCATGATGCATGTTCCTCGCTTTTGATGCAGTGCCATACAAAGCTCTCTCGGTAAGCGCTCCTATCACAGGGTAGGCCAGGAGCTGTATGACGCACAGCACAAAGAACACAGCGCCGGAGACTCTCCAAGGAGATCCAGGAGGTGCCTCTGAAAGTACAGCAGCCAGATTGCTGCGCTGCCAATAGGCCATGTAGATAATGAAGAGGGTAAAGTTCATAGGTGGGAACAACAAGGCCAGGATGACGATGGCACCAGTGGACTCAGGAGTCTGGACCTGTACAATAATCGCAAGAACAATGCTCACGATGGTGACCGTGATACCCGAAAGCTGAGCCTTTCGGAATAGACTGGCGAAAGCGATGGACCATGAGGATAGAGCGAGTCCTGCCAGGATGAAGTAGCCGATAAGGATACCAGTCTGAGATGAAGGATAATTGAGTCGAGTAACAATTGCGCCCGATATCACCCAGCCGGGTAGATAGAGAAGATCGAATGCAAGGTGACTAGACAGCAAACGTGCGGCTTGTGGCTGCCATCTACGCTGGTTTGGCATCATCGCTTCGATAAGTTGAGACATGCCAATTTCGCGCTCTGTGGCCATCTGACCTGTGAGCTGATAACATATGCCAACAAAACCAATGAAATAGGCCAGACCAAGAATGCTAATTAAGGTGCCCATGTACAGCCGTGTGATGTTTCTGTCACGCTCTTCAGGAGTTGAGTCTGTATAGGGGTACTGTTGCGGCAAAGGTATAGAAGAGGAAGACCCGCTAGCAGACGCGATTGCTGAGTCGACTGCGTGCTGTAGCGGAAGGGCATAAATCTCTGCGTCGTTGTTTCCAGAGTTGACGAAGATTCTTTCTCCAAGGGCTCCATCAGTCCGGATTGTGTAATTCCACGTGCCGCCATTACTAGGTGATCCGTGGAAGCTCAATGCTGCGAAGCAATTCGAGACTCCTCGAATAGAACTTCTGCATGTCTGCAGTAGCTCAACCTCGTTAGATAGAGTCACGGGAATTTTCCCGCTTGCTCTGACGGTACTCGATAGCTGGTTAATTAGGTCCGTGACTTCGCTAGCCTGATCATTGGCAACAAAAGCCACGGTGTGACGTCCAGAGGTTCCTGCATTGAGAGCCTCCTCGAAGGTTCGAAGTGTTGTTGGAGAACCAACGCCAAAGTCCGATGGTGGCACAAAGAAATTTTTACAGTAGGAAATGATGAAAAAGAAGATAATTGGTGCCAGGAAGGCGCGAACAGTGGTCGTGAACCAGTGGCGGCCGAGGACGATTAACAAGTTCTTCTTCGTCAAAGTCCATGTTTGGGCGAAGAACCCCATAATGATTGCCTGTGAGGGGTCTGTTGATGTGACAAGTGGCAATGAGGGCCTAGTTTTGATCCAGATTATGCAGACATGCGATGCGAAAGCAATATCCAACGAAGTCGAGGCGACGACAATGTATGAAGCACGAAAACGGGAGCCTTGTCATTGAAGACCTACAAACACACTGCCCTCGGGGAGGCGATCTCCAAGGTGTTGACATTGTTCGATTGTCAACTTTAGGTAATCGCTAGGCTATATCGAGTATAGAATGCTCGGCAGAAAAAATGCCGAGGGACTTGTCGCGTGTGTTGTTACTCACCACGTCCGTCTCATCTCGCTTAGTTCAACATCATCATCATCTTGAACCTTTGGATACGGATGTATTCCGGAAAAGAGCTTTACTAACTTCTCCCTAGAAGTGCTACTCATACCGACAAAGATGCTCGGGATGAACATACCAGCCACGAGCTCACAAGATGGAAGAATTGCCAAGGCGTTATGCTCGGCGTACGTACGTACGAAAGCCACGAACGTCTCGCGAGAACAATGACAGGCGCCACGAGACTCAAATTGACGCGATAAATATGCACGACAAGGAGGCCAAGAACAACGGCGATATCATCAGGATCAGATCCTTGGACGGTGACGAAGTGGAGTTCCTCGTCAAAGGGAAGCTGTCTTTCTCTATTGGCAGTTACATTTGCATATATGAACATTCACGATTGGACGAAGAGATCAATCATGTCAACCAGCTATGGGTAGAATGGACGTGTTTTACGGTAAAGGATTGTAATTGGTCGGTGTTGTTTATATAGCGAGCAGAGCATGTTGAGATGCGTTAACAATTGTTCGTCCGTCATTGTTAAACAGTTGAGCGGATTGATAAACAGACGAAAAAATCAGTAATGTCAAATGGCACGGTAGATGCATCGCCCCTAGTAATCATCTCCACGAGAGATTACCTCCTTGCAATTGGGTCGGAGCAGGACAGTCTTCGCTTATGTTAGCATACTAAGCAACATCAAGTGAACGATCGTACGTACGTGCTCGTATTGAGCCACATAAGAACCTGGTACATCGACCAAAGGCGCGTAATCCTCGACGATGCCACTAGTAATAAGCGATTTCAGACCAAGATGGTAGTTCTTTACACCCAGACGCTCAAGGTAACGTCTAGAAAAGACCAGAGTTCCAAAATTGTCATCGATGGTCTTGAGTAGCGACTTTGCAGATGCGTATTGTAGACCCGTGGGACGAACGTGCTTGTTGCGACCATAGCCGTAAATACCGACGTCGTCTGTAAGCCAACCATTGCCGGTAGTGCCAAAGGTCTCGATGGCGAAAACATCACTTTCCTCCATGCGTTGGTCGGTCTCGGTCTTGACAAAGGGGACCTGCTTCTCACCATGGATTTTGTAGCGAAGGATGTTGTGGCCAGTGATGTTCTGGACTGCCTTGACAGGAATAGTCTTACCACCGAGTTCGACTTCGTAACTCTCCATTACCTCTTGAATATCTCCGCTGATCTGATCAATTCTGGCATCGATGCCGGCTTCCTACAGTCACTTAGCTTACGCACTGATATTTGCAATTCGATAAATTTACCTTGAGTCCGGTATTGGTGGCCGCTTTGACAGCGGCAAGCAAGTTGTCATAGACAGGATTGGCAGCCACAGTGAATGCGCTATCCACGATCCTACCATTGACATGAACTCCAAAGTCCACTTTTAGCACATCGTCATACTGAAGCACGACTTCCTTGCCTCCGGGATTAGGAGTCCAGTGTGCACCAACATTGTTCAGGCACAATCCAGTTGGAAATCCCATACCAGCTTTGAGAGCATCTCCGGTTTCAAGACCTTGATGGCCAGTCAGTGCTCGGACGCCTTCTTCAATCTCGTCGGCGAGCTTGCTCATCGTGACACCAGGTTTTGCGATTGTCTGCACGTACTGACGGACTTGCCGGTGTACTTCGGCAGCCTTGCGATAGTCGGTCAGGAAGTCATCATTCATATTCTTGATAGCATCTTGATGACGGAGCTCTGCAGAAGTGGTTCGCTGGAGGTTTTCGTCATGGACCGAATACTCGACCATCTCACCCTCGGGATACTTGTTGCCGTGGAAGACATTGGCAAGTGCGACCCTAGGTGGCGCGGTCTGCTCCTTCCTTTTCTTCTTGTTGTTCTTTCTCTTCTTCTTGGGGTTGCCTTTTAAAGTCAGAACCCGATCAGTCGTCTCGAGCGAGCTTGTCTTACTGTTCTCGGCTTTCAGGGTACATCTAGCATTGTCGTCTTCTTCGCCATCATCGCCATCTTCATCCTGTCCTTCAAGCATACCGGGAACGAGCCCGGCAGCTGTTGCTGGCTTAGGAGGATTGACGTTGGCGATTGCACAGCGGGTCGATGATCCTATTGACAAACAAAGTCAAAGAAGTCCGTGGTTGGTCATTCTCCACGTCCACATACCATCGGGACCTTGCTGGTGCTCATCTGGTGTTTTGGAACCCATGGTTTACGTTGACTCATACGCATACAGAATATCCAGTTGTCGTGGTTGTCGGTGAAGCTGGGAGGTTGCACGAGAGCACAGTCATGCATCTCGCATTGGCGCCTGCTGACTAAAGCCTTGGTAAATCCTTCGATGCAAACAGCAAAATTGAAGCAACACGTTCCATAGATAGACTAGCTACAGCAAAACAGTATACAAAAGAGTTCTAGGAAGGATGCCAAAAATGCAAAACATACAGCAGCAGGGATTCCCACGTGGTCACCCACCGTAGTACTAATCTGCCGTTCAACTGCTTATGTATGGCAGAGCGGACGGGATGCCCAGTTTTCAGCTGACTGTGGCCGTATGTGCTCGACTTGCTTTCTTAACACAATCTATACTTCTGAACTTTCGAGTGATGAGGCGCAGTCTACCATGATCGACATGCAGCCGAACATCCATAGCTTTTGTTCTTCTGGTCTTTTAACCAATGCTCAAGCCTACTTCTATGTGGAACTGCGAACAGATCACGTCCTATCTGGGATCATCGAACTGTCACATCCTTTTGTTTTCAAACCTGCTGAGGACGTAGGTTGTTCATGGAAGTTGATGGCAACCTGAAGTCATCGCGCTTTCCACCTCAGATACCTTTTGGTCATGAGTGGAGTCCACTCATGCTCATCCGACCCAACAGCTTGAACTCAATTCTACCAAGGAGCTAGACAATATTGTAGACGAGCTGATACCGGGACAGTTGTAAGTCAGTATACCGACGATACTGGATTGTGGGTGGGGTTGGACGTTGGTGAGATGGTGCAATAGCACGCCAAAGCATATATTAATGTGGGATGCAGCTACGTCTGCGGAACACTGCGAAGAGTGCATCCAATCAAGTAGATCTGTAGGAACAAGATCGCGTCTGGACCAGGAGAGAATGTGCCACTCTAACTCCGCAATGGTGCAATTCTCAACACCTCAGGTTCATGTCGCAATCGGTCGTACCTCTTTTCGCAGAGAGTTTATGGCTGTATAAATAGTCGGTAGCTTGCCGAAAGATCTTCCTCCATATCGACAAAACATTCGAGCACCGGCTCTCCTGGACATCGCGATGTCTTTCTTTCGTCGCTCGGTCAATGAGAAATCAGACGATTCTGCAAGATCGTCGAGCAACGATGTCTTCTCTTCGCACGAGATAGTGTCCACCACGGGTGACCTCAAGTTCGTTGTCGAGCAGGGAGGTAATGGTTCACAGCCATCCTATCAGGAAGTTTCTGGTGCGCCCGTCGAGGCCGACTCCTCTCTTGGATATGCTGTCGGACCCTTGACGATCGTCTTCATTAACATTGGCAAGATGATTGGAACTGGTGTCTACTCAACACGTAAGCACCTCTCGCGAGACTTTCGAGCGTCCTTGCTAACAATAGCTCAGCGGCGACTGTCCTCAAGGGAACTGGCTCTGTTGGAACCAGTCTTATCTTTTGGGCCCTGGGCCTCCTGACATCGGGTACCTCGCTCTCAGTATATCTCGAGTACGCATCCTACTTTCCGAATCGATCGGGTTCAGAAGTCGTGTATCTGGAACAAGCTTTCCCTCGACCAAAGTACTTTTTCCCCATCGCCTTCGCTGTCCAGACTGTGATTCTGTCGTTCAGTAGTGGCAATGCCATTGGTGTGTAGCACAATCTCATGTTCGAAAACAAGCCGCTGATAGTCATGGTTAGTCATGGCCCAATATCTTTTCAAAATAGGAGACCACACACCTTCTGCTTGGGAACAGAAAGGTGTTGCCATCGCTTGCTATACCTTGGTGACGTTGTGTAAGACACAAAACGCAACCATGTCTGGGCTCGAACTAACATGGCATCAGTATTGATCTTCCACACCAAGACCTCGTATCGCATATCTAATGCCATTGGAATCATCAAGGTCTTGACGTTGATTTTGTAAGTACCTTGAACTTTGTTCGAAGATCTTCAGCTTCTGACTATACCTCGAAAAGCATTGCGATCACCGGTCTTGTCGTGCTCGGCGGTCACACGAGAGTCCAGAATCCGACCGCAAACTTCAAGAACGCTTTCGAAGGCAAGGCAACTGGTTATGGCCTGACGAACAGTCTGGTCAAGATTATCTTTTCGTATGCCGGCTATGAAAATGCTTTCAACATCGTCAACGAGATCAAGGTAAGCCACTTTGCGTCTGGCTTTGAGAGTACCACTGATCAGTGCCGCAGAATCCTGTCAAAACCATCAAGAGGAACGCATCATACTCTTTGGCCATCGTGACGGTGCTTTATATACTCGCAAATATTGCTTACTTTGCGGCTGGTGCGATCGATACAATCTGGAGAGATGAGCCACGTGCTGACCACGACTCTAGTGCCCATACACGACATCAAATCATCGGGTGTGACGGTTGCAAGTCTATTCTTCACCAACGTGTTTGGACATGCCAAAGGTGTGAAAGTCTTCAACCTGCTCATCGCTTTGAGCGCGTTTGGCAATCTGATTGCCGTACAAATCGGACAGTCTCGTGTCATTCGAGAATGCGGAAGGTAAGTACCTTTTGCTGGCCAGACCGGAGCGAACTGAGACTGACGTTTCCGTAGACAGGGAGTGTTACCCTTCCCCAAGTTCTGGGCATCGACGAGACCATTTGGTACGCCAATTGGGCCCTACGCCGTTAAATGGGCTATCACGGTCATCATGATCCTTGCACCTCCAGCTGGTGATGCCTTCAACTTCAGTAAGTCAGGACAAATACTGCGGCGACAAGATAGCTGACAGTTGGTAGTCACGGATCTGCAGACCTATCCAGCTGCTGCGTTTGCGTTCACAATGTCAGTGGGGTTGTATATTGTACGTTACCGACGCAAGAAGTTGGGTGTGCCTCGAAGCGAGTTCCGTGCTTGGGACGCTGCCGTGATTTTCACAATCTTGCAGAACCTGTACTTGCTCATCATGCCTTGGTACCCTCCGACTGGAGGAGCAACGGGTGGAGACGTCAGTTTTTGGTACGCGACGTATTGCGTGACGGGTATCGGGATTCTTCTGGTGTGTGGCGTGTACTACTACTTGTGGTTGTATGCGTTGCCCAAGTGGGGCAAGTACAAGATCAAACAAGAGGTTATTGTGCTCGCGGATGGGTCGAGCACGAATTCACTGGTCAAGGTAGGCTTGAGTGACTTGGAGAATTGGGATCAGAACCATGACGAAGCCGGCAGAGTGGTCGTCAGGGGCGTTCGTGTCGAGGCGAAGAACGAGGGACGTTCTGAGCAGGTGTAGATCCAGGCAGATGTTTTCTTTTTGGTGGAAGATGTAGACGATAGAGGATGAATTGAGATTTCGCGTCAAGCAGAACAGAATTGCAAGCATGTGATTGACGGACAAGGAAGGGGCACTCCACCAGATTCAGAGGCTTGGCGGTGTATATCACGGCGAAACGCCAACGCCAACGCCGACGCGGTCGCAGTCAGTCCGTCTGCCAGCTGCTCCCGACTTCCTGATCATCACACCCAACCGAGTCGCATCAATACACACCATGTCAGACGACGAGATTGTTGCCGGCCCTCCAGGAGCCACATCGATAGATGCACGAGCATCATCTGAAACGAAACCCAAATACCGCTCATGGCGCAAGAAGTATCGCAAGATGAAGACGCACTTTGACCAGGTCATGAAAGAGAGCAACAGCTTGTTCATCGACGAGCAAAAGCTCGATGCCTTGTCCAAGAGGCTGCAGGAGCAGAACGAGTAGGTCATCCTCCAATAGTCCTGTCACGACCAAGCCCTAACTTGTGCTATAGCCAATTGCTCGACCTTCTCCTCGACCTCAACACGTCCTTGTCCATCCCACACGAATTGCGATTCGATCTTTCGCTAGCTCCCAAATCTCAGCAACCCCAAGAAGAACGCGACATGACCCTCGACACGGCCAACAACATCATAGCCAACGCACATCGTGCCTTCCACAACCATGAGATCCCCCAGCTCGACTTTATCCGTATACAACAAGACATAGAAGCCTTGCTGGCCCGCAGAAATGCCAAGAGCCTGGTCGATATGGAGTCACAGATTCCTCACCCGCGATACCAACACCCGTTCCAATCTCTCGTTGCCGAAGCGAATCCCGCCTTCTTGTCCTCATCGCACGAGGATGCTTATCTCAGTCGCCTCGACAACAAGCTAGAACCCGCTGCCCTCAGCGATCCTCGCCCACCTTCGCCGCAACTCCTTTCCAAACTCACCCAGCGCGAACTGGATCGCGAGGTCGAACTACGGAACCCATTTTCTGTCCACAACTGGCTTAAGAAACATGGCACAATCTCCGACATAGATGCTGCTTCGGAAGGTGGTTCCGGTAGCGCCCAAACTCCTGCGACAGCCAACAAGCGGCGCAATCTCGCCAAGCAGGTCGGTGATAGAGCAATCGAACGTGCCAGGGAAAAGGAGGGCAGTCCAGGGAGTACTGTAGACAATGAAGACGAGCTCGCCACTGACGACACACCGGGCAAGCCGAAGAAGGCCAGGGACGACGATCAAACATACCGGCCAAAGGGCGGCCGCAGCAAAAGCAAGCGAAAGAGAGAAGAGGGTGAGAATACTCCTGCGAGGGGCAAGAAGCAGAGAACAAGCCTTAACATTCCCTCCGATGCATGAATTTGCACTCGGCAGTAAAATCACACTTAGCGTCCATGAAGCCTTTGCTTCTTTTTCTTGTTTTAGCCTCTGTTATTCCAATCACAATCACAAAAGTGTCTATCTTTATTTCCACTCGGCACTCCATGTCTTCTGGTCACGTCTGAAAGGAACGACCTCTACGCTGCCATCAGCATTCTTCAGCAGGCTCTGCACCTTGACACCATCCTTTCTCAACACGACCTTCTCGCCCTTTTTGTCCTCGGCTCCATAGAATTTTCTGCCATTCAAACCAAGGAAGCCCTTAAGCTTCTCCTCGGTGACATCTTCTACCTTGAGGACGCCGCGCTCGATGCCCTGCTCCAGAGCAGAGAGCACGTATCCAACTGCGTGGGGCTGAGTGAAGACACCGGCTGCAACCTTGTCACCGCGCTTGTTGATGGCTGGGTGAGGAGCACTGTCGGTGCCGAGGAAGAACTTCTTGTCGCCCGACACAGCCGTCTTGAGCAAAGCCTCGCGATCTTTGGGTGTCTTGGCCACAGGCTTGCAGAACGAGTGCGGATCACCGGCCCAGTCATCGACAATCAAGAAGAGATGGTGAGCAGTGATAGTAGCCGACACGGTGGGACCACAAGACTTGACTGCCTCAATAGCAGCCGCAGTGGTGCAATGTTCGAGAATGATTCTCAGCTTGGGGAAACGCTTGTGCAGGTCCTTGAGGGTGGGAAGGAATGCCTCCTCGGCGCTCAACACGGTAATGTTGTTGTCCTTGGATCCGGGAACTTCGCCGTGCAAGTTCAAAACCATGTTTTGACGCTCCATCTCCTCGAAAACAGGATAGAAGGGCTCATAGCTGACGACACCAGCACTGCTGTTTGTGGTCACGCCGGCTGGGTAGGACTTGATGCCTGTGATACCTGCTGATGCAGCCTCCTTGACCACTTCGGGTGTGATGTCGGGGTGTAGGTACAATGACATGAGGAAGTTGACGTTTGGCTCAATCACTTCAAGTCTCTTCTTGTAGTCCAAAGCGTGCTGGACAGTGGTGATCGGGGGTACCAGGTTGGGCTTTGATGGCAAAATTGTTTAGATTCTTGTTGCATCTTCCATGGATCGATTGGATGCTTACCATGACAAAAACTGTGTTGACACCTCCTTGTCTGATAGTAGGTGTGACAAGCTCCATCATAGGTCCATCGCGAAGGTGAACATGGAAATCAGCAGGGGCTGGAATCTCCAGACCATCAAACTGCTGGAGAGACATGATTTGATGTAGATACAGTGCTCTCTACACAAGCCACAGCAGAGTCAGAACAGTGTCTCCATTTATGGATTGAGAGCGATTGACAACCACTCAGGATGACTTCACGATAAGACTTACCTGTGTCGCTATTCAGAGTGTCCTTTTGCGACCTGAATTGATGCAGACAACTGTGACTGCAGGCATCGAGATGGACGATGTCGCTCGCCAAACAAGGTTTAGCTTTTTTGGTGTGCCAAGCCTCCAGTTCGTCACCACCAACCCATTCCCGACCTCTTTCTTTTGTTCCTCCTCTGGAGTCCTCCTGCCGAGTATGATTCAGATCAGGTATCTTGAAGCCAGCCTTGTTCCAGCTCTGAACAAAATACCCCTTGAATGCTCATGGCAGTGCTGGAAGGCTGGAAACCGGGGTGCCACGGCATGCTGCACTGAAGCCTGCTCTTGCCTTTTCTGTGTGACGTTGCGACCTGTCAACATGGGAGTCACACCCGAATCCTCAATTAGCACATCTATCTCGAGTTGATCTGTTGGAAAGTCCGATACACGATCTTGTGAAGCTAACGAGCATACGGAAAGATTGCAAGCTATGCTCTCCGCTTGGTAGAAACAGAGTAGGTCAATAAACCAGCTTTCCAACATTCATTCACACTGGTCACAAACTCCAGTCTGCACATCTGTCGGCTGCCTGTAATTGGCACGCATGAACCCGTGTGACAGACCCAATCACACTGCCTTTGTCAACAAACACCCATCAGAAAGGCTCCATATAGCTCAGCAGACGCAGTTTGCAAACATGCCAAACACGATGCAGCCGGATTTAGTTCTCTTGAGCCTGACAAGGCGGTTTTGTTCGCAGATGAAAGGTGTTCGCTCGCCTGCCGTCTCTTTGTCAGTCACGCCTTGATTGTACTATACCACCTCATATATGTGCTACGGTCCAAGCCCCCAATTCTGCAAAGCAACACCGCCGTTCTTGAGCCTTGTTCATATATCTGACTCTTACGATTTCGAAGCTCTACCATCAGCCATGCCCGGACTTCACATGTCTGCCTATGCTCCGCCAGGCTCAACTGCTTGGACAGTCCCTCAATATCCAGCAGCCATATCGACACAGTCGATGCTCAGTCCAGGACTCAAGTTCTTCATCAAGCGAGACAACGGGTCTCTTGTGCCTCTTGTCCCCGCCGACGAACTCCCAGACGACATTCGCTTGATTGGTGTACCTTTGAGTCTGACTGCCGTGCAGGCAGAGAGCATGCTGTTCCTTGGACATGACTCGTCTGCCAGAAGGAAGTACTCGCATGCCGGATCTCTGAGCATCAAGGAGTCAGTCGCTCCCATCCCCATTGCGATGAAGTATACGCCTGAAGTGGTTCCTGACAACAATCATGTACCTCAGGTTGGCCCCCCCAGCCTTTGATTGTTTGTTGCCCACTGACATGATCCTCACAGCTCCCTCAGGCGCAGCCTCTTCCCACACCCACCACTGCATTCATACCGACTCCCAAGCCACCTACTCAACTCAACTCGAGACCTCTCTACAATGAACGCCCTCCTCCACCTTCTGGTATTGAGCCTGATCAGAGAAAGAAGATCTACTGCAACTATTGGTGTCAAACAGGTCAATGTGGCTTCATCCAACAAGGTTGCATATACAAACATGAGATGCCTACAGACAAGGAAACTCTCAACTTGATTGGTCTGAAGTCGGTCCCTGCTTGGTACCGCAAGGAGCAAGCACGCAAGAAATCACAGGCGAAGCGCACCGAACGCAACGGCTCTGGCTCAGAGTGGGAGGTGGTCGAGCAGCAACAGACCGACGACTCCGCGGTCCACAGTAACGACCCTGTCCGTGTCCGCGTTCCACCCTCGCGCCCTGCTAATATCACCATCACTAAGCAGTCTGCGCAAAAGTCTCGTCCAGCTTTGGTTGCTCAGAAGGATGCTGCCGCTTCTGATGTTGCTTCTGACGCTGCTACTGCAGGCAGCTCAGCTCCAGGCTCATCATCTCCTCCCGGTGGTGTCAAGTTGGGTGCAGCCAAGACTCCTGTACGTGGTCCTCCTTCTCTACCTTTCAGAAAGCAGACTCTGGAATCGCCCATCGAAGATGGGGAAGTAGAGGATCTCATCCACTTTGATGTTCTTGTGCCATCGTCCTCTCCAGACTTGTCGTCGTCCACTCAATTGAGTCCGGAAGCACACTCTACCTGTTCACCTATGGAAGAGGTGGTCTCTAGACGCTCAAAGATCGTCGCTAAGGGCGGTGTGGCCATCGCTATGGGCAGAGGTACTCGTTCAAGCATCAGTGGCCGCGGTCGACGTGGATCCGCCGATAGGAAGACTGGTGCCGTATCACCCCCTAGACAGCACAAGCCTATGGTCAAGGGCAGGGTGGAGCAGGGCAACGGTGAATTGAGAAGAGACAGAGTCAAGATGGCGCCGGTCGCAGGAGCTACGGCCAAGGCTACAGGCCAAGCTTGACCTGAGGCTGAATTATGAGGCTTGACGTTTGACTTCTTGTTGCCAGGATTGGGTTTTGGTTGATCTCATGTTCACTCGGGAAGACTTGCGTTCTGACGACGGCATTCCTGCCGAAACATGCAGGATAATCGAGATATCACGCTGGTTGAATGGCGTCGGCCCGACTATTCACTTGACTGTTGTTGAAGGAGCGCCCAAGATTGGCGCACTGATCCAGCTAGCTCTCCACGTTCGCAAGTGGGTTGCTTATGTAGCTATATAGCAATGCACAATTCCGTCAGCAAACAAAGAGCATCCACGGGAAGTGCTGATGTTGTTGGCTCTCCTCGGACGTGTGTATCATCTGGAAAGAACTGTGCATTTTTATCGCTTCAACCGCACCTATGCGCGGTCGTGAGAGTGGGGCGGGGGTTACAGATAGTATTGCTCGTTTGAGACAAGGGCTACATAGCTTGGCCGATCCAACATAGCGTTGTTCCAACTCACCAACCATTGAATATTTTGCCTTTATTCTCTTTTCTTATCTCCTTGAAAGCTGGGCAAAGATTCGGCCGGACCGAGATGGGCCCAGCGACGAACCAACAACAGCACTTCAAACCACGGGAGAAGCATCTCTACGCGAACCCAAGTTCAATGCTGAAGTGCAGTGTCAACGAGATCATTTGTTCGAAAGGGCTTGTATGTCGTATCTGAAGCCTTGTCGCCGTACATGACGGCCTTGTTACTCCAACCACGGCCTTGTTATTCTGCTCCGCCACGATGTCCAAGAGCTCAAGTGCCTCAGCCAAGAAACCCCGACCTTCTAGCGCTCTTCCAACTTGCTTCTGTTGAATGTTCGGCTGCATGATCTCCAAGACTCTTGCTGCAGTCGGAAGAGCTGGCACTGGGGAGGCATGGCGGGTGTCCAGGATTCCGTTGGCCAGCACTGACGATTCGGCCGCATGGCGAATACTTGGGCCGACTTGGCCTGCGCTGTTACGGGTAAAATTGTGAGTCCGTGGGGTGATTGGTCTCTATGGAGTAGACTTGACTGGGGTTATGGGGGCTCCACAACGAGATCGACCATATTGTTGCGGAGTATGGATCCAAGGTTTGTCTCGTGGTCAATTCTCACTGCTTGTCCCCCTCTTTAATATATAAAGTCCTGGACGATCGCCCATCGGGAGATACAAGCACACCCACAGTTCATTCTTTCTTTCCAATAGGACCTCCTCTCCGTCCCTTTTCTTGTGCGATATCCCTCTCTCTTGCTCTATCTCTCATTCAAGACAAGTTCAGGATCTCGTATCACAATGGCGAGCCGCAACAACTCAATCGTCGCACCACTGCCTGACACTGTGGTCAAGAAGCATGGTGTAAAGACTATTGAAAGCAACAATGCAGTCACCGGTGCTCAGAACCTCACCCTGAAGCAGTCGATCTTGCCTGTGTGCTTGGTTACCATCCTTTTCTTCCTGTGGGGCTTCGCCTATGGACTTCTGGATGTCCTCAACGCTCACTTCCAGGTCGCTCTCAGCATCACCAAGGGTCAAAGTGGTGGCCTCCAAGCTGCCTACTTCGGTGCTTATGCAATTGGACCTCTTACTTACTCTGGTTGGATTGTCAGAAGGTTCGGTTACAGATGGGCTTTCATCACCGGTCTCTGTATCTATGGTGTTGGTGCTCTTATGTTCTGGCCATCAGGCCTCAAGCGCTCTTTCCCTGGCTTCTGTGGAAGTATGTTCATCGTTGGATCTGGTCTGTCGACTCTCGAAACTGCCGCCAACCCCTTCATCGCTACCTGCGGTCCTGCAAAGTACTCTGAGCTGCGTTTGACTCTGGCACAGGCCTTCCAGGCCGTAGGAACTGTTGTTGCACCTATTCTGGCTAGTCAAGTCATCTTCAAGAATGTTGATGACACCTCGCTTCAATCGGTTCAATGGGTTTACTTGGTGAGTTTTTTTTTTTTTTTTTTTGAATATTCTTGCCACCTCATGACACCATGCTAATCATACATTCGTATTAGGGCATTGCCATCTTCGTCTTCATCCTCGCTGTCGTCTTCTTCTTCGCTCCCATTCCTGAGGTTACCGACGCCGATATGGCCGCTCAGGCCGCCTCAAGTGGTTCCCAGACTGCCTTCGAGGACAAGCCCCTTTCCAAGCAGTACACCCTCTTCTTCGGTGTCGCTGCTCAATTTGCGTATGTAGGTGCGCAATGTGCTTATGCTGGTATGTATCCTATAATATGCAAATTCAAGAAGGTTGTCATTAATTGTACTAAAAGGCTACTTCATCAACTACGTTTCTGCAGTCCGCCCTGGCACTACCCACGCTACCGGTGCAAACCTTCTTGCTGTAGCTCAAGGTTGTTTTGCCATCGGTCGTTTCGTTGCTAGTGGTCTGCTCAAGGTCACCAAACCTCGTCTCGTCCTCATGGGTTTCCTCTCCGGTGTGGTTCTCTTCGCATGCTTGACCATGGGCCTCAAGGGCAACGCCGGTATCGCTGCAATCTCTCTCGTCCTCTTCTTTGAGTCGTGTGTCTTCCCTCTAATCTTCGCTCTGTCCATCAGAGGTCTTGGTCGCCACTCCAAGCGCGGTGCCAGTTTCATCGTCGCTGCAGTATCTGGTGGTGCTCTGTTCCCTCCTGTCCTCGGCACGGTTGCAGATCACATTGGAACTCAGAAGGCATTCTTCGTTCCTCTGATTGGCTTCGTCATCGCTTGGATGTTCCCCCTTTACCTCAACTTGTTCAAGGCTAAGAGCTTGGATGGCTGGACCGAGGAGAAGGCTCCTACTGTCACCGAGAAGGACGTCGAGAGTATGCACGATGATGAGGACGAGAAGAAGGGTGCTGCCATCGAGCACCAAGAGATTAGAGCTTAGATTGTACGCAGTAGCGTCAGGTGGTTTGCCGACCGATGGATATATGTATATACGACGCGTTCCAGATATTATTTCCAAGTACATGAATTTGCAATCTAACAATATTGATTCTATATCGTGCTGGCACAAGTCTCATTAGCATTACGCATCTCACCTCGGAGTTTTCTCCGCTTGACTTCCTGTTTCACTCGGCCTTCTCAAATTTGGCAAACATAGGCACTATACCGATCTACGCATACTGCGACGCAATGTAGAAAAACTTTCTAGCGGCACTACGAAAGACAGGTATAGCGCTTGGAGAGAGGCTGACTGGTCGTTCGGCTAGCAGACAAACATATCCCATTTAATTGATCACTGCACCCGTCACTCCACCACGACTTGGGACACAACAATGAGATGAATCTTCACTAGTCGTTGAACGTTGATTTCCGCTCTAGTCCAGGCAAGCAATCGTACTGTCCTCCTCGTGTGCTAAACTTTGAAACTCCAGTACCCTGCGCTCATCTCTCCTATCAAGGTGTAGACCACAATGCTCGCTATAAAAGGCACAGTGATCTCTAGATCAAAGCTGGATCCAAAGAGAGGCCAGAGAGCACCGCATTCCGATGGGTACGATTCAGCTCTCGAAACCGTTGTGCATCTCGATAGGTAGACGCGTTACAAACCTTTGCACACGGGGAGGGTACATTGCCTACGGACGAGGGCTTCTCCGAGCTCGGTCGCCGATACGACCGAGAGCTCCGCGGACTCTCCGAAAGGATTGTTCAGGCAACAATGGAACTCCCTGTCAGCCTTCAATGTAAACAGTCGCGCAGAGTAAAGTATAAAACTGAGCTCTGGAAGCTCAGTCATAATGGCATCTTCTCATCGAGATTTCTATGTTTGCTACCACCTCCCAAGTCTTCCGATCAGCTGTCCACAGCAACCATGCGCAAAATCTCGCGAACATCTCACATGGCTGGAAAGACTACGCACTCTGCAGTAGTCACTGCATGGGGTGAACCGCCAAGGTACACCGAAGTCCCTATGCCATCGCCAGAGTCAGATGAAACTCCCGTCAAAGTCCTCGCCTCGGGCCTACACGTGGTAGTCCGCTCCATCGCCAGCGGCAAACACTACGCCTCTGGAACCGTACCCTACACTCCCGGCGTGGATGGTGTCGGTCAGCGTCTGTCCGACAACAAACTAGTCTACTTCATCAGTTTCCCCGGAGGTGGCTACCAAGAAATCCTCAATGTCGAACGCAGGAAAATGGTCGAGCTGCCTGAAGGTGTTGACCCGTATCAAGTTGCTGGCTATGCAAATCCTGCTTTGTCGAGTTGGATGGCATTGACAGCAAGAACCAAGGATCTACCTGAGAAGTTTACGGTTCTGGTCATGGGTGCCACTAGTGCCAGTGGCAAGATTGCTGTCGAAGTTGCCCGCATTCTGGGAGCTGGAAAGGTCATCGGCATGTCGCGAAGCAAGGAGACGCTGGAGAAAGTTGGTGTGGATGAGATGATCATTCTCGACAATGATATTTCAGAAACCGATTGCAGTGCTGCAGCTGAGGTGGATGTCGTTCTCGACTACCTCTACGGACCCGTGGCACAGCATGTGCTTTCTACCGTCAACTTCACACGTCCAGTACAGTATGTGCACATTGGTGGTCTTGCAGGCACAGAGATGATGCTACCAGGCCATGTTATCAGATCCAAGGACATCACCATTCGTGGAGCTGGACCTGGCAGTTGGTCTCGCGAAGCCATGAGACCTGAGATACCCAGGATTCTGCACGCTTTCAAACAATTCAAGACACACGAGATCAAGGTTGTGCCTTTGAGTGAGATTGAAGAGCACTGGCATAACGAGAAGGATCGTGTTGTTTTCACGCCCTGAGGTGATTGGTATTGGAGCGACGTGCTACTCAGAGACTGAATTTCGTCTCCTTGATCTGTCGCGTATGGAAGGATGAGTTTCTTTATTTCTTTAGCATTAATACATAACATCATACTTGACTGAATCTTCAGATATCAAATCTTTCTGATCACTCAAAATGGAACCTCTACTTGCTCTTGCGTGAGAGTTCGCGATATCTCCCGACCCACTCTGGCTTGCCAAACAGCACGTATAGTCTCCAAGCCAGGGTGGGGGCCAGCACAGCACTAGCAGCCAGCAAAGCATTTCTGCTCCATCCACTGTCATCTCCAAACACAAAAGCCTTGTACAAAGCCACAGCCACAACACCAACTTCACCAGCAGCAAGAGTGTAGTAAGTGGGCGCTCTACTCTCGATGCCCCGTCTAGTGTTTGGAATAGACAGAACCAGAGGCGTAGCAAGAGCATAGACCAGAGCACCGGTGACTTGGGTCCAGGTCACTGCTGCAGGCGTGATGTCGGCAGATGAGTTTACGAGCATGCTTAGAAAGTGTTTGGGGAAAAAGACCATCCATGTTCCGCCGACGGCATTGGCCATGGTTTCGAAACCTAGAGCATAGCGCATGACATTTCCGGGGGCGCTTGGGTCGACTTCGACGGCTCCGGCGCTGAAATTGGAGGTTGGGTCGATGTAACCGCCTGGTTGGAGTGTGTATGGCATGATTTAGTGGGAGTTTTTGAGCTGCCTTGATGACGATGTGATTGAGTAGACTGTAGCTTTTTGAGAGCTAGAATATGTGCTGACCAAGATCTTGCTCATTGTCAGCAACGTAGGCCCAAAGCTGCAGCACCTGTCAGACATACTCACCAGAAGTTGAAACGCAATTGGGTTGGTGATCGAGAAACAGATGCAGGGTGGAAGGTCAAGGGCAGTTCATTATCAGGGTTGTGGTGATGTCATGAGGTGTTTGTCTGGTGACGGGGAACACCCTGTTCTACAATTCGATGCATACCAGTGATGCCACACACAATGCCTGGTGCAGTCATATAGCGGAGAACGAACCTTGTTGTTCAACTACAACTGAGGAGAATCGTCGAAGTCAACACGTTTCAACTGCTTGGTAAGCTTTCGTTGCTCACTGAGCGGCTAGAAGCACGAGATACCTACATTTCAGGTTGACCATGAGCTCGAGAGTCTCGACAAGCGGGGTGTCTCGGGGGCACTTCGGCTAGAATTGATGATACGCTGTGTCCTCAATCAAGCTGCGTCTGTCGATCAGCTCAAGCTCCTGAAGCATCTGACTGTCTTGTTAATACCGCCAGACAATTGACAGGATGGCCGACTTTGTTAAGGGCCTTTTTGGAGGCGCAAACCCTTCGCCGGTCAACGCCGTACCATCGGCCGACTCTGGTGTGTCTTGTCTGGCCTCAATGTCACTCCTACTCGAGTACTGACATGGACATTGCTAGACTTTGCCGACTTCGCAGACGCACCCTCTCCTACGCCGGCATCTCTGTCGAGCACCATCGCTACCCCTCGTGCATACCAGACCTTTGGCGCAAAGATTGACATCTCGGACCGTCCCTTTACCAAGTGGTACAATGTCCATGAGCGCGTGACCTGGAGCGACTTCAAGACCGAAGGCTTTGTTATCCCCTTCCTCTTGCTCACCATATTCATCCACTTCTGGGGTGTCCGCGCCAACCGTCGTCGCGCCAATGCCTGGATCCGCAGTCACGTCAACGTTCTCGAGAACGAGTTCGCCCAGGTCGGCTTTGGCAAGAAGCTCGATCTCGAAAACACTTCTCCCGACGTCGCCATGTCTGCCGGTGACAAGATTAATCCCGAAATCCTGCGCGAAAAGTCAAAGGATGTTTTCCTCAGTTACGCTACTGGTCGCCAGAACGTTGTCTGTGTCGACGTCAAGCTCAGCCTGCTGAAGCGCTACAACCCCCTGTCCCTGATCAGCGAGCTCGGCCTCGGTTTCTTCTTCGAGAGCATGGCTGGCAACGGCGAGAAGGCCGAGATCACTGCCTACACTTTTGACGGCAAGGAGTCCCAATGCATCCCCCGCGCTCGCGGCGAGGAAGAGAAGCGTTTCAAGGACACCAGCTACGACGGTTTCATCTTCGCCATTGTCAACAAGGACGCCATGAGAAAGGTGCGCGATGAGCGTTACGACGTCTCCTTGACCACCACCAAGGACCACACCAAGCTGCCTCCATGGGTCAGTGTCATGAGCGAGAGCGCCGAGGTCACCGAGTCGCTCATCACTCAGGAGCTTGCAAACGCCATCAAGGAGTGTGGTGACGACCTCGAGTCTCTCATAGTCACCGACATGCCTGTAGATGCCCCCAAGACGTGAGTACCCTCAGATCTGTCATATGTTGACCAAGGCTTATTTCATCTTTAGGCTCGACGATCTGGTTCCCAAGAAGCGCCTCACACTTACCCTGAAGCTCAACTCCAACGCCAACACGGTGCCTCTCTTCTCCTACTTCCTTCGCATGCCCGATCAGCTTGTTTCCAGCGCCCACTTCCGTCCCGAAGTCATGCGCCGCATTCGCCAAACTCGTGAGGATGAGGCCAAGAAGGTGCGCAAGATTGTCGAGGCAGAAGGCGCCGAGGACAGAAAGTTGCTCAGCGACAAGGCCAAGAAGGAGCAGCGCGACCGCAAGCTCAAGGGCATGAGCGCCGATGAGCAGAAGCGCTTCCTCGAGAGAGAAAGAGAAAAGGAGCAGAGAAAGAGAAGCGGCAAGCAGACGATGCGCGCTTAGAAGACTGCCTATTGTTGACCATGTCTACGGACTGACTGCCTCGAATTGTTTAAGCTCTCAAGAAGCAAAGGACTGTTGTTCTTGTATATTATTGGATCGCAAAAGCGCAGTATAGAAACCAGAAGAATACCGAGTGCTACAATTGTCGGGTATCGTAGCAGATTGACGATACATCACACATGCATGATTAGCTGCAGGCACGATGCAGCTTGAGAACGCCATGCATAAGGGATTTCTGATCTATCACGAAAAAAAAAGTAAAGCGAAACAGGCTTCAGCACAGGAATTGATGGTCGACAGGGCGATGCTCGTATCGACTCGCCAAATGTGATAGCGGCGACCAAGGCAGGAAGACTGCAAGCAGGACCTTGACCATGGAAAGCGACTTCAAGGGTGACCCATAACAGATGAGCCATGGACGAGTCACGACTCACAAGCAGAAGCGCGATGTGGAGATCCCCGGCAAGCCCCCCGTGGGCGGCGGGCAGATCGACATCAAGGGACCCTGGTACACGTCATAGTTTATCGAGCTTGAGCTGTCGAGTCCCAAAACATTTCCCCTTGGGACTCAAACCTTCCATGCTCATCCAGCTTTCAATCTCGATAATCTCGACTCTAATACGTCTTTATAATCACCTCTGACTTTTTTCCGCTTGGTGAGTGCTCGCTTCGTCGTTCGTCCCCCTTTGTTGTCATCTAGCATGTTCAACGGCTTGACATGGACACGTTGAGTCTGTCTTGTTGAGTGTGAGCAGTGAGCGAGCTATGATGCTGTTGCTTGCAATCCAGCCTGACCAGACTTGCTTCACTTTTCTCTTCGCTCCATTGCCGTCACTGAGCCTGTCAGACGCCGTCTTCTTAGCACTCTTCTTTTTGTCCACCATCATTGGAATTGCGAGACGAATCTTACAGTCCAGCTGACAACAATAGCAGTCTGCAGTTCCCATCACCATGTTCAGCAGAAGCATTCTTCGTCAAGCCACCCGTGTGGTGGCTCCCACCCGCCCTCTTGCCATGTCGGCCAGAAACCTCTCCGTCACACCATTCATGCGCGAGCAGGACAAGCCTATCCCCGAGGAGAAGGGAGAGCACGTTGGCTCCTTCTCCAGAACAGACGACTCGATCGAGATCCCCTTCGATGAGAAGACTGTGCCCAAACAAGAGCCCGTCCAAGGCCGTGGAGGCTTCCATTTCCAAAGAACTCTCGCTTCCTTCTCCCTCGAAGGCAAGACCGCCGTCGTTACTGGTGGTGCCAGGGGTCTTGGTCTGGTCATGGCACAAGCATTGGTCGTCTCCGGAGCAGATGTCGCCCTTGTCGATCTCAATAGTGCGTCTCAACAAGATCATGTCTGCACTTGCTCAAGACTGACAACATTGTTATAGAGGAGGAAGCAGAGAAGCAGGCCAAGGAGTTGGTCAAGGTCTTCAAGGATGAGAACCCCGGCGCCGACAGAGTACCCAAGGTCACCGGTCACTTCTGCGATGGTAAGCTGCGCCAATTAAGAGTCAACGGACGACAACTGATTTCCTGCAGTGAGCGACGAGCACTCTGTCGAGAGCGTCCTCTCGGATGTCATCAGTCAGCACGGCAAGATCGACAACCTTGTCACATCAGCAGGCTTCACAGAGAACTTCGACGCCATCAAGTACCCCATTGACCGTGTAAGAAAGCTCTGGGGTGTCAACGTCGACGGCACCTACCTGTTCGCTACCGGAGTCGCTCGTCACCTCATGGAGCGCAAGGCTCCCGGTAGTATCGTCTTCATCGGCAGTATGAGTGGTGCCATTGTCAACGTTCCTCAGCCTCAGGCTCCCTACAACGCTTCCAAGGCCGCTGTGCGTCATCTCGGCCGCTCGCTGGCCGTCGAGTGGGCTCACGCCAACATCAGAGTCAACGTTATCGAGCCCGGTTACATGGTGAGCTTCACGACAAAACAAAGAAACGGACACAATACTGACCTAAGACATAGCTCACTGCTTTGACCGAGAAGATCTTGAACGAAAACCCCGAACTCGGTAACAAGTGGACCAGCTTGATTCCCCAGGGCAAGATGGGCCGCCCGGTATGTCTGCCATGCACTGCACAATATGACAGAAAGTTAACCCTCGCCTAACAGGTCGATCTCATGGGCCCCGTCGTATTCCTCTGCAGCGACGCCTCCAACTATGTCACCGGAGCCGACCTGCGTGTAGATGGTGGTTACACCTGCACTTAAGCTTGTTACCGCTTCTTCAAAGAGCCCGGTCCCACCGCACGAAACCCCCAGATATCTCGCCTTTCTCTTAGAAGGGCTTCTCATTGTACCAACAACTAATGACAGACTATGCATGCCACGGAGCGCTTCGTAATTGATGAAAAATGAAAACTTACGTTACGACTGTGCTCACTCGACCAATCATACTACGCGTGCTCGTGGGAATCCTGTGATGTCTACCGATCCGTGAAAAAAATCCAAGGGGGACCAGTCTGCGCTTGGGTGCCTGAGTATGTGGAGTGGAGGTGTAGTATCACTTGTTGTCCTCCGCCTCCTTCTACTGCCTAGCTCTGGCATCCGTGGTGTCTACTAATCTATAGCACAGCTATTTGTGCCTGAATCAAGATCAAGACTACTCACTACGACAAGTTTCTCCCATCGCTAACGGATAGATTTTCTTGGACAGATTCGAGGTGGATATAAGTCATAGAAAGGCATGAAGAAGTCAGGATTCGAGTGGTGTCAAAAGAGAGTTATCAGCGAGCAAGGACCTCGCTGGATACTCCGAGCGTCGCATCCACATCGTGCAAGTTTATAGCGCCCTTCCTCGACATCTTCTTCTAGTGAGATTAAGGATTGAGCTATCCAGCCTTGATGAGGTGAAAACCCTAGTGCTCTATTCTATATGTGCCAAAGTATTACGACTGGGCAGGGAAGCCAATGCCAAGCAGGAGAGCCGGCTCATCAACCTTGTGGTGAGAGTAACTCAACACACCAACACCACCAGGCTCCATCATCAAGTTGAGGTTCATGTCCAGAGGGTAGCCCAACCACCTCTTGGCAAAACATCTTGTAAGGTGACCGTGGGCGACCAGAACGACATCACAGGGCTGCTCGCCGTTCATATTGGGACCCTGCAATTCTCTGATCTTGACAATCAACTCGTCGATCCGGGCAGCCACCTGGTCAGGCGACTCGCCATCCTCACATCCATCACGCCAGATATCCCACTTGCGCTCAGTATCCAAGCCCTTGGACTTGCGCAAATCGCGGATCTCAGCAGGCTTCAGACCTTCATAGGCGCCGTAATCCCATTCGCCGAGTTGCTCGGTAGTCTGCACTTTACCCTGGTCTCTGAGGGCAGTCTCTTGCTTGTCACCGAAGAGAAGGGAAAAAGTGTGCTGAGCACGCGTGCGGGGAGACACCCAGCACATACCAATCTTGGAGGGATCGATGAGTTTGTTGTCGCCGACGGCGATGGCGCCGGTGCTGCGGACTTGGGACTCGCCGTGGGCGGTTAGGGGGATGTCGGTTTTGCCTGTGTGTTTGCCGGACATGGACCATTCGGTCTCGCCGTGGCGGATGAGGAAGACACGAGGGGTGCCGGCGTCTTTGTCGGGCATGGTGTACTGACAATAATCAGTCGAATATTCGGTATAGTCTTTGTTATGTATTGTGAATCAATCACTTGTCTAATGACCGTCGAAGGGGGAAGTCATCGATCTTGTGTAATACTAGCACATGCGACTGCTCTTCGTCCCAGGCAAACAAGTTTGAGAAGAAGCATATTGCTCTAGAAAGCTGAAGATATAGAATTCATATAACCGTTCCTGACATCTGAGCTGAAGCACGAGAAGACATTCCACCTCTTGATATGAGAAGACAGGATACGGAAGGGTTGCAGGAAGAATTGAAAAAGAATGAGTACTCACTGATTATTCAGATATGGATTGGTCTGCAGAAAGAAAGAGACCTCGAGGTTGCTGCAAGGTCAACAAAATGATACATGCACAGACCATTCTGTATGACGCCGAGCACCGATTTAGAGTTTGAAGCTAGTGGCACCTCCATGATTCTTCGAAACCTCTCCGGAGCCTGACATGCTCGACCATTGTCCATACCTAATATAGTCGTCGCCCGAAACACTTTGGACTCGACTGCCGGACGATAGCCGAGTGTTAGACTCAAAGAAACACTTTGTCTTGAGAAGTTTGCTTTTATCGCGCGCCAACATGAGTCAATTCAAGAACAAGGGTACGGGTAGCATCGAGCTCATCCCCGGTATCGATATCCACACCATGGCTATTGGGTTGGTCACTTTGGTGGTTGTGACTGTGGTATCGCTCTGGTTCTACGCCAACTACATTTTCGATGAGGATGCCGCCCGCGCCTTGACAGCCAGGAAGAAGCCTGTCTCGACTGAGATTATTTCTTTGCGCATCTACCCCATCAAGTCATGCCGTGGCATCGAGGTTCAGGACACTAAGCTTCACAGGACTGGATTGGATCTGGATCGCCAGTGGATGTTCGTTGACGCAAAGACCCGCCAATTCTTGACTATTCGCTCCGACCCTACCATGACTCTTATTGATACTGGACTCAGTGGAGACGGCAAGGGCAAGTGGACCGAACTGCATGTCAGCATTCACAATACCGACAAGCACGTCAAGATACCTTGCTATCCTACCTCCGAATGGCTGGAGCAGAACACCAAGCTCACCAAGGTTGAGATCTGGGGCCAGGAGACAGATGGCTGGGAGTACAGCGCCGAGATCAACGCTATCTTCAGCGAGTACTTCAAGAAGCCTGTTGCATTGATCTACAAGGGTCCCACTCCCAGAATTGCTGGCGGAAACGCCACTCCTGATCTCTATGGCAAGGAGCAACAGCATCACTTTGCCGATCTCATGAGCATTCAAATTGCTTCGGAGGCTTCTCTCGCCGATCTCAACTCAAGACTCGAGGCCGCTGGCCACGATCAACTCACCATCGAGCGCTTCAGACCAAACATCATCGTCAAGGGAACCTCAGCTTGGGACGAGGACAGCTGGAAGAAAGTGTCGATTCGTACCACTGATCACGCACGCGAAGCAATCTGGAGAACCAACCTCGACGTCCTGTGCCACTGTGCTCGCTGCCAGGTACCCAACGTCAACCCGGACACTGCTGAGAAGCATGCACACGAGCCTTGGGACACACTCATGAAGTTCAGACGTATCGATCAGGGTGGAGTGGCAAAGTACAAGCCTTGCTTTGGTATGCTGTGCGTCCCTACGAGCGAGAATCCCATCGCTGTAGGTGCTGCTCTCGAAGTCGTAGAGCGCACAGAGAAGCACTTGTACAACACATCCAGATTTGAGGATCTGTAGTATGGGCAGTTTCGAGATCCAAGTAGTAATGTTGTTATAAGAATATAAAAAAGTTTGGAACGATGTCATGATTTTTCTTGCCAGCCCGACTCCAAACCTGAGAAGCCCAGCATGCAAGTACAGTACAAGAAGAAAACATGTTGTACAAGGGTATATACGGCGTGATTGGCAACTTTACCAGGAGTACCACTGCCTCTGTCCCTGAATAGGACGGTCAGGCAGAGGAGTCCAGACCTTAGCCTCACGCTGCCTCTTTCTCTTGTCCTCGCGCTCGTTGTATTGTCTGACTCTGGTAGCCTCCTCCTTCAAGACCATACCCAGGTGAGTCCAAGGAGTGCGCAGAATGTTAACCTTGCCCTTTGCGCGGTACTCGGGCAGCCTTCCGTAAGGGCCTCTACCGACCCATGCTTGGTCAATGTACATGGTTGTAGGATCTTGCACAGTGTGTCTTTTGCCGTCCTTGAGGCGAATGTCGACAGGCTTGGCGGAGTCGGCAACGGTAGGCTGGCCAATACCCATACCACGGGCGACAACAGCCTCATCGCGAGCGTACTCGAGATATTCGAGAACGGGGATGGCGGCCTTCTTCTTGCTGAAACGCAGTTGGACAATGGCGTCGTCGACGGTCTTTCCGGCAATCTGGCGGGCAATGGGGCCCAGCTTCTTGATACTCGTCTTGATATTCTCGCTCTTGCCGACACTTTCTCTCTCAGTGCGCTTGATGAACATTTCCTTGTTCAGGCGACCGCCCTTACGAATGTCGCGGATGGCCATCTTGCGCTGCCATCGCTCGCGTGCAACCGGGTGGGGGTCGAGGACGGTGGCCATGGCACCAAGGTTGCGACCGCTGGCTTCGGCTCCTGACACCTTCTGTTGCTCGTCGTCGCGCTCTTGTACCTGGCGTTCGCCTTCGAAAATGGAAGTTTCGGCGAGGTCACCGCGCTGCAAGCTTTCGGCGCCTTGCTTCTTCGGCTTCTTCTGGAGGTACTGGTCCAGTACGGGGTTGGTCGCTGAGCCAGGTCTGGAACTCGGGCTGCTGTCATCCTTTCTCTTGCCAAAGAAGCCCCAGATTGAACGGCGTCCGAGGGTTGATGGTGTTGTCGAAGAGGGCGCGTGAAGACATTGTAGGCCGCCTGTTGCGCGCGTTAGTACTGAGGTTGTTCGAGATGGTCGGACGATATCTGACCATTCTGCAGCAGTCGCCGCGAAGGCGTACGGGCGCTCATTGTGTGTGATTTGTGCGTCTGACCTCGTCGGCGCTGGGGCTTTGATGATTCTCTAGAACTTCCTTGCCCGCGCCAAGCATTTACGAGGCGACCCTGCTCTCATCACGACTCTGACTCGTCGGTCTTGATTCTGCTTGTGCTCCTGCATCTGCACACCTGCATCTGATAGGTTTTGTCTTCGACCAAGGGAACTCCATGTCTAAGCAGGATACATTGCTCGATCAGATATGTGCTTTGCAACATTTGCTTTCAAGACTCTGTAGCCACATAGGTACACGATTGCTTCAGCGCAATAGCCGATACTCTGGTCTATCTTTAGACGAGTCATGCTCTGAGCATTTTCGCTTTGATAATCAAGGCACGCCCGCTGACTGTCTCTCCCTGATTATACTTTGACTCTTCTGATCCTGCTCTTTTGTGTCTACGAAGCTGTCTTTTCGTCTTGTCCGACCCAGCAGAGTGACTCGGCGTCTTGCCCCTTTGTCGATCTGTATGCTCTTGCATGTCCAAATTCTTCAACCAACTCCACACTCCACGCTTGACTCTCGTTCTGATTGGACAGCGCTATTACAACACCGTTACATATTCGAGGATCGCAAACTCCTAGAGCAAACCTCCCACTTGCGCCTCGCTCTCTCACATCGCTCCTCCACGCTTCCCCATCGCCTCGCTGGAAGCTGAAGAGTCTGCAACCCTCCCCGCTCTGATCCTTCCCACCGGAACCTGAATCCGCTGTCCGCAAACTTGTTTTTTTGCGTTCGAGAGTGATCCCTTGTTTCCCTGACAGGTGCCGTCGGCGGAGCCTCTTCCTTCCAAAGGATCGCTGCCTTAGTGTTGCCATCCCTCTTGTCCCATTTTAAGTGGTGTTCGCCCTCTTTTAGCTAGTACGGGCCATCGTCCTTTGGGAATTTTAATAATTTGATCCGTATTGTCGGATTCGGGTCACTGTCCGCCATGGATATCAATGCTTTGCTGTCGCCATCAGAATCACCGGTCCAACAACAGGCTGCACCACAGTCGAATACCGCAGCGCCCATCAGGCCAAGGGCCCAACCACGTCCTGCTGGTGGCAGACGTACTGCATCAGGCCTCAGCAATGAAATCTCAATGACCTCGCCGCCGCCCGAGCCGCCGCGTTCAGCGCCTGCACCAGGGCAGATCAATCAACAACAGAGGAACGCATATGCTTCCGCGTGCAATGACGCGCAGGACATGAGGATTCTCAGAGGCGACCACGACGCTCCTGAAAGAAGGAGTTCCCATGCAACGCAACAGGCTTTCCGACCACAACTTCAGTACATCGACCGCAGGCACTCGTCAACGCCGCAGATGGAGACTTTGGCAGGTGCGATTATATCCCGGTCACATGACGTAGCTGCCTACAAACAGAACAAATCTCTAACATCAGTCCCAGATCTTGCTTCGATGCAGCATCATCAATTACAAAGACAGCACTCCCTGGTTGACGCACAATTGCCATCTTTGTAAGTCCCTCTGCGCATCAACTGAATCTTGACTTTGGTACTAACACATGACAGCAATCGCCGCGCCTTTGCTCCTCAGCTCGCACGCTCTGCACTTTCCTCCTCGCAGGTCGCCATGGCCGAAGCTCCGGCTCAAACGCCCGAGCCGCGTGCTTTTACGGCTGCTTCACTAACCGAACAGGAGATCCAGACCATCACCGAACTGGTCAAGTACCTGGCCGAGAATTCCTACGCTTACGACTCCCACGTGCAACTAATCAACCTACTCCACAAAGGGTTCGTCGCCCATGTCTACGGTACCTCGGATGTGGTCATCAACGATCCGAGAGACTATAACCTTCTACCTGATATGCGACAAGCGCGTGAGGCCATGGACTCTCGCTTCGCTGTTGGAGAAGACATCTGGAAAGATTGGATCAACGATGAGGCCATTTTGGCTCGTCAGAGTGAGGAGCGTGTTGCCGTTATGGATCTGTGCCAGAAAGCCGTTCAGGATGAACCTACCAGTGTCACTCTTTGGTCCATCTATGGCGAATGGGTCATGCAGACCTACTCAATCGCCAATGGTTTTATCGAGGGAGACCCCAACGTCTGGACCGACATCGACAAGGAAATCTGCAAGGAGGTCTTCAGTCGCGACATTTGCTTGAATGTATGGGAGAAAGCCGTCGAGGCCACAGCATGGCGCATAGATGAGAGCCACCGCGTATGGGATCGTTACGTCGACCTCATGCTACAGGAGTTCCCAGAGAATCCATCTTCCCAAGCAGTTGAACACATCAACAACATCTTCATGCGCCGCCTTCGCACTCCACACGCCAACTGGTCCGAGACTTCCTCAAAGTTTTGGCCCATTGTCTCAAAGTTCAATGCGCACAACTGGGAAGAGATTATGGCTGCCACCAACGAGATGGCCGCCCCTGCTAAACAGCAATTCGCTCTCCGAGAGTCACACGAGCTGAACTTGCAACGAGCAGCTGAATCTGGCGATAGTGTTGCTCTCTACAACGCCTTCTCCGAATACCTCATCTGGGACCGAAAAAACAAACGTCGCTCGCCATTCGATTTTGAGCTGCGATGTTCCTTGTACGAAAGAGCTCTGTTGCGCTTTCCTACCGTTATCGAGTGGTGGCTCGATCTTGCTGACTTCGTTTTGAAGACCAACTCACACAGTCCCGTCATCTTGACCATCTTGGAAAGGGCTACTAGACATTGTCCATGGTCTGGGGATTTATGGTCAAGGCGTGTTCTGCGCGCCGAGGTTGACAAGCTCCCCTATGACGAAGTTGAACAAGTCAAGCACAAGGCTACCAACAGTGGTCTTCTCGACATTGGCGGCATGGAGGAAGTCCTGAAAGTGTATTCTTCGTGGTGTGGCTACCTTCGTCGCAGAGCTTTCGCGCCAGACAATACCGACGACGAGATTGACATGGCCGATATGGGTATCACAGGCACTCTTGAAGATGCCGCTGTAGCTGGTAAGAAGATCTATGGCGGTGATTACAAAGGAGATCCTCTTTTCCGTCTGGAGAAAATCCGCGTCAAGTTCCTCGCCGAGGCTCGACGCTACCAGGATGCGAGATTGGTTTTTGAAAAGTCGAGAGCCACTCATGCTGCGAGCGCCGATTTCTGGCTTAGCTGGTATCGGTTCGAACTTATGGTTTGGGCCCACGAACGCATGACCGAGACAGTCCGCATCGAGACGCCTGAAACTGCACCACACAGAGCGACCTCGGTGCTGCGCGAGGCTTTGAACCAAAGAAATCTTGATTGGCCAGAAAAGATTCTTGAGATCTGGCCACTCCACTTTTCCCAAAATGAGACACCTGAAGCATTGCAAGAGGCTCTGGCAGATGGCCGGACTGCACAATTCTTTCTTACCCAAAGGCGGACAAGAGAGGTAGCTGATGCTGCTGCTGCTGCTCCAGCCCCCGAAGCACAACCTCAAGCAACTGAACTAGAGACAATTCCCGAAGAAGCGCCCACCACGTCCAAGAGGAAACGCGAGAGTGAACTGGAACAAGAGGCCGAAGATGCCGCTAAGAGGAACAAGACTGAAGAAGACTCTACAAAGCCGCCCTACAACGAAGTCTCAGCTTCAGCTTCGGCCCAGATCAAACGCGATAGAGAGCACAACACAATTACCGTCAAGGATTTGCCGAGCGATGTCACAGAAAAGCGCGTACGACAGTTCTTCGACGATTGTGGAACCATTCTTTCCGTCGGTATAGTAGCTGACGACAATGCCATGACTGCACACGCCGTTATCGAGTTTGAAACCGAAGAGGATACTCTGTCCGCCAAGACCAGGGACGGAAAGACCTTCGATGGCAACACCATCCGCATACAGTCTGGAACGCTTTCAACTCTTTACGTGACCAACTACCCTGCCGAATGGGACGAGGTCAAGATTCGTGAGATGTTCCAAGGTTTCGGTACAATTGTCAGTGTCCGCTTGCCATCCCTCAAGTATAATCAGCGACGCCGCTTCTGTTATGTGCAGTTCCTCACATCTGAAGAAGCCCGTGCTGCCACAGCTCTAGACGACAAAGCTCTGGACGGTCAACACCGTCTTGTTGCTAAGATTTCAGATCCTCAGGCCAAGAAGGGGCGCTCCGGTGCTGTAACAGAAGGTCGAGAATTGCATGTTGGCAACATTGACTTCCACGCTACTGAATCAGACATTCGCGACCTGTTCCAGCAACACGGCACTGTTGAGAGTGTTCGCATGATTAAAAACTTACAAGGCAGGTTCAACGGCACAGCATTCATCGTTTATTCGAAATCTGAGGAGGCCGAGGCGGCAGTCGCGCTCAACAATAAGCCGTTGAAGGATCGTCTTCTCCGTGTCACTCTTGCGACAGACAGGAGTTCAGCGAAGAAAGACATTGCGACCACAATCGTCCAACAGAATACGAGTGGATCTCCTGCAGCCGAGGGAAGTCAGAACGGCTCTGCGGCAGCAGCCAACGGTCGTAGAGGATCTACCGCACCACCTCAGGAGCTCGGTGAGGATACTGCTAGGACAGTACGTGAGCGTACGATAGCTCTTCTCGGCCTCCCTGACACTGTCAACGACGCTCGCATTCAAGCGTTCCTCGAAACCTTCGGCCCGCTACGCAAGATCACTGTACGCCGCGACAAGGCAGGTGCCATGATCGAGTTCGTCAATCTTCAAGATGCTGCCAAAGTCAGCATGGGAGTTGACTGCAGTCCATTGGGTCCAGACGTGCACATCGACACCGTGGAGGAGCTTCTCTACCAGACAAAGGCCAAGGCTGCATCTAAGCAACCTCCTAAGCCTGTCACCTCATTCAAGCCTGCTCAAGCTGGAATTTCGAGGCCTGCTCAACGAGGCGGTCAGGGTAGACGTGGAGGACTCGGCTTCAAGCGAGGTGGTGGATTCTCCGCCAGCTCTGGCTCTGGGGCTGCAAAGTCGTCCGAAGGAGAAGACAAGGTCATGACTGGAACCGGCGAGACCGAGACCAAGGCAAAGAGCAACAATGACTTTAGAGCATTGTTCAACAAGGGCAAGGAGGCCGAGACCGCTGCTGAAGACAAGGAGTAAAGGTCAAAACAAGAGGGAAAGTGGGGAACGAAAGAAGCGAAAAGTAATATTGGCAGAAGCTGCTGTAGTCTCGAAAGAAAATAATCTGCAAGGGGTTGCAAAAACATAGACATATGTATCTTAATCATTTCACAAAAAGACAACAGACCACAAAATGAAAAAGGAATTAAACAAGCACCGTGAGTTGGATTCGGACTAACGACCTCCCGATTCCTGAAGAGAGAGAGTGTGTGTGTGTATTAAGGAGCGTAGGTGAACGAGCGAGATTGGCAGGGAACGTAGGTTACTGGGATCGAGTGTGCTGACGACCGCGTCTAGTTTTTTTTTTTTTGGCTTGTTGATGGGTTGGTGAATGTTTAGAGGTCATAAAGGTTGGGAGAAAGAGTAGGTTGTTACGGGAAAGTCAAGGGGTCGCGTGGAGGGAGTTCAGATGCCAAGTAGACTGTCTAGGGGTGATCAAGTGCACAAAGACGAATATCATCAAGAACAATACAATACAGGTAGAGACTTGAGATTCAAACATTGTTCTTTTTTCTTTTTCTTTTTTTGCCAAAAAAATAATTCTATCTAGCGACAGACAAATGACATCCCGAAGAAATCTGTCTTCGAAATCTGAATGATGATGATGATGATGCTGTTGGACGAAAACGCTTTGTCCTTCATGTGGTAAAAAAAATCGCCGGAGAAACCAAAAGAACGGAAAGAACATCCTGTGTCAGTTATACTGCAACCGACAAGCTTTGAGATATAACAGAAGAAGGGAGAAAGAAAGATACAAGGACTTCTGGCTTGTGAGAGCACAGATACATTATGCGCCCTGAGCCAATTGTACAATAAGACTGCTGGCCACATCCATAAAGGGGAACGGACTGGAAATGTCCTTTTCCTCCGGTATGCGTCCACAGCCCATGTATCCCTCATCCATATCTTCGTCGTCATGATCTTCTTCGCGCCACACATCCGACGCTTCACCATCCGCGTGCGTCTTGATTTCACGTCTCAAGCGACGCACCAGACGTTCGTAGCCAGCACACTTGAAGTCAACCATGAAGCTATCTTGCTCGATGCAGTACAGCTGAATGGTCACATATACCCATGCGCTCTCGTTGGGTGCTGGATGGCGGCGACGCAGGCTATCTTGGCCAAAGCTGCCAGGTCCTGTAGCGGCAATGTTGTCGGTAGATGCGTGGGCGCTGCCGTGAACACTGCTGGGTTGGACGGGTGAGTTGAAACCTGCGGGTGAGGCTGCTAGACTGGTGCTGCTGCCCATTGTTGAACTGCGGCGGCGGATGCCTTCGTGAAGGTCTACGCGGCTTGAATGTGTTGAAGAGGGATGTGCTACACCAGGTGGGAACATGCCGTCCTTGCGGAACCTTGCGTTGATGATCCACGGGTCCTCAGGGATCTTGTAGCCCCAGTCGTTCTCGGGTCCAAGAGGTTCGCGGACATTTGATTTGCGACCTTGGCTGCGAGACAATTCTTCTCCAAAGTCGTCATCTGACATGTCTGACGCATGATCGCCGCGAGAACGACGTCTAGCGCGCTCTTCGTGGGTAGAATACTCAGGATCAGTGCCGGCCTCGGGATCCGAGTCGGAATATTCAGGACTCTGGCTTCCGTCCCTGGCATGACGCCTACGATTCCGTGGAGGACTGCCTTCACCATGACCTGGACGTCGCATTACAGGAGCTTCCCACACAGCGTTCATTGCTTTCAGCGCCTTGAAGATTGCCAACATTGCTTCCGAAGGACTGTTGCGACTGCGAATACCGAACTGCCACTTGGTTGGTTTGATCTTTTTCGCATCCTTGTTGGGTAGAGGCGTCATCATCTCAGGCTTGTCTCGACCTCCAATCTGATTACCCTTGACATGAGGCCTCAATCTTCTGAGAACAGCAGCGCGTTGTTCAGTTGTCAGTTCCTTACCCTCACCTCCAGGCACACTGTTAGGGGCATAAGGATCGAGTTCGCCTTCCGGAATAGCAGCTCTGGGAGTAGTACCCTGCATGTATGCTTGGTGGAAAGAGGGGAGTGACGAAGGTAATATACCGATTGTTGTCGCTGGGGTCCGAGCTTCGTGAGCGGAACTGGTAGAACCATGGCGGGGATGTTCGACATTTGATGCTGGATTGGATGTTCCGGGTGCGGGGTTACGAGCGTTTGGTGGAGAAGTGACAGTAGTTTGGAAGGTTGGCGGTGACTGGGCGAGCCACGGCTGTAGTTCTGGGTTGTGTGCGAGCGAGGGGTTGGCTTTCATGATGGTGTTTTCGCGGACAATGAGATAGGCGTCCTTGATGGCGCTGGGCTCATCCTTGGCGAGGGCCTCTGTCACATCATCCTTTGCGTAACCCATAGCTTTGCCCAGTTTACCGACGACGCTCTCGTGCAACTTCTGCTGCACCACTGCAGGTTTCGTAGGGGCCAACTTCGCCGGGTCGATTGATCTGTTGGGGTCGATGGCCTGATCCATGAATTCCTCGACAGGTGGTGTAAGATAATCGGGCAGGTCCTTGAGAAACCAGGGATCGAGCTTGATCTCATCGATGGTGATACGAGTGACGGGGCTGACTTGCAGCATTCGTTTGATCAGACGAGCGGCGCCCGATGAGATGTAGCTTGGCGTATGATAGGTGCCGGACTGGATTTTCTTAAAAAGCGTCGGGATGTATTCATCGTCAAAGGGAAGGCGGGCGCAGAGCAAAACATAGAGAATTACACCACAACTCCAGACATCTACCTCAGGACCGGCATACAGCTTGCCTCCGACAACTTCCGGGGCAGCATAATTCGGACTACCACAACTGGTCTTGAGGAAGTTTCCATCGGTCATGATGTTGCTCAGACCAAAATCGGCAATCTTGACATTGAGTGCATCGTCGAGGAGCAGATTCTCAGGCTTGAGATCACGGTGGACAATCTTGTGACGATGACAGTATTCGACGGCGCAGACGATTTGCTGGAAAAACTTGCGGGCCTTGTCTTCGGCCATGCGTCCATGGTCCAGGATGTACTGGAACAGTTCACCGCCGGCGTACTCGAGGACCATGATGATCTCCTTCGGGGTGGTTATGACGGTGTAAAGCTTGATGATGTGGGGATGGCGCAGCAGCTGCAGGTACTGAATCTCGCGTTCTATACGGCCAGCCATGTCGCGAGTGACGAGCTTCTGGCGGGGGATGATTTTGAGGGCGACTTTCTGACCGCTGACCTTGTGAACGGCCAGCTTGACTTTGCCGAAGGAGCCCTCGCCTAACGTCCTGACAATGTCATATTGACCCAATCGTCTCTTGTTGGCGACAGGGGGGGCAGGTTGAGATTTTGAGATAGCGGCATGGGCTGTGGGTGGATTTGAGTCGTCGTTTTGCGAGGCATTGGTTGGGCGACGGGTCATGGAAAGTGAGAGGTCGTCGTCGTCAAAGGCTTGAGCCATGGTGGGCGGAGCGACGCGTTGGCTTCAAGGCCAACGATGAGAGACGAGTGCGAGAAGCGGAGGGAGCGAGGGGTCTGCGGTGAGAGTCCAAGGCGAGTCAAGTGGTTGAGGACACACTCGTTGCTCGCTGGCGGATGCGTCGTGGTAGCGGGAGGTGGGTTGTGGTGTCGACGGGAGGCTGCTGCTGGCCGCTGCGGGTGGGTGTGGGCGTCGACGTCGCACCGAGAGTCGAACAAACAACAAGGCCGTGTTTGAGGTGAGAGAGGCAGCTGGCGACGGGCGGGAGTGTTTTGTGTCGGGACAGCAGGTGCCAGGCGGGGACTTTGTCGTTCGCTGTCCCTCGCTGCCCCAGACGCCGCACAGACCCTATACCGATGTCATCACGAGACTCACGAGACTGCCCACCTGCTCCCTTGATTCGTTCATCTCTCTTCTCTGCTTCGTTGGCTAGAGTAAAGAGGTCTCTGTTCGGTCTGCTGCAGATCTTGCCTGTCCGTAGCACGCTGTGTACCCTCTCAGCTCGCGGCTGCTCTTCCTCTCGACTGATCTCCGGCCAAAGCTGCCCCGCGAAGCCCCTCATTTGACCATTCTCCCCAACTTCCACTATCTTCCAGCAATTTCTGGCTATGGAATATCTCATTGTGTGCCAGCACATGGACTCTACAGCTCGCTCCAAAACTCGCCAGGCTATTGAGCTCTGAGAACAAGTCCTGAGAACAAGCTTCAGTACCATCCCGCTGCCGCCCTCAACCGACATTGCATATGCAATGCACCCGCTCTGCATAGCATTCTCTCGCTCTTGTCAACCAACAAAGCTGAGAACTAGTGTATGCTTCCGCTCCTGCACCACAATGCACATCTCTGTTGTTCGCTGCTCATAGTAGCCTTCTCGGCTTCAAGTCACTGACTGCGTTCAACACCTTTGTTCACCTGCCGTGTGGTGCTAGAGTCGTGCGAGGAGTTTCTTATGAAGGCACCTAGCATCTACACTTCCGCTCGGCACTTCCTCTCGTGTAACATATCTACATGTTCTGCTCTTTTAGAGCGACGTTTCTTACCTATGGAGCTATTGACTTCGTAGACTTGAACATTGCTAAGAACATACCCGGCCATGCGGTATGGATGATTTCTAGTACATATCTCTACTTGCTCACGTTGATGTGTACCGAGTGTTGCTCTTGCTATACCATCCGAGAGTCGACTTCAATGTTCAGAAGCGACCACACGTGCTCATGACGTTCTTGACATTTTCCATGTCCCGTGTTGGCGCTTGCTCACCCGAGGATCTGCGACATCTTGCACGTTTCGATTTGCGCAGGGCACCGTGAAAACAAAGTCCATGGCCGACAAGGTGTGAACAAGTCTGGGAGCTGCCACAAGCCATTGGACAAGCACAGCTCCAAGGACGGCGCCTACGGCAAGTCAAGAACGACGCTACGGCGCCGGCTAGAGACAAAATTTCCCGATCCCGCGTTCAACATGCAGGGAACGGCTTCGAAAATGTGGCTTCTGCCATGGGGAAAATCACCGCAGAACTTCCTCCCCAACCACAATACGCCGAGTTCGCTTCGGACAAAGCTTGATTGATGTAACGAGTCTCTCCTGCTCGTGGGTGACTCATCTGTCGGTCAATTGTCCATATTCACAAGGTGCCCATAAGTGGAGCGTGCCGCGCTGAGAAGCTGAGAAAAGGTTTATCTTATCAATCTGCTGCATCCCCTTCTGGTAACTCGTTCCGTCTCATATCAATTTTTTCTCGAGAGGTATAATATCACGTCCTGCTCATACGCATGGCTGGTTCGCGGGAACAAGCTGCTGCCATGGAATTGGCTGGCTACAGGTCTAAAGAGGCGCCTGTCGTGGATGACCAGGAGATGGGATCAGAGGGCGCTGATCTAGCTCGTATTGAGCGTGTCTACAAGTATGTCAATATTGCACTCGACACCGATCGCAATGACTGTGACTGACAAAACAATAGAAAAATCGATCGCAGAATTATTCCACGTATGAGTCTCATACTTACCTGATAGATCGAGTTGACTAACATGGATACAGCATTTTGGTTACTCTATTTCCTCTGCTCGGCCATCCGCTCTAATGTTGGCCTGGCACAAACGATGAACTCGGCACAAGGTCATGACCTTTCCGACGTGCTCAATCTGACACCCAAGCAAGTTTCCACCGGTCTGGCACTCTTCTACGTCTGCTACGTCGTCTTCGATTGTCCTTCGAACCTCATAATGTCCAAACTGAGTCCGCACGTGTGGATGAGCAGAATCGTGCTAAGTGTTGGCATCATCGGCACTTGCATGACAGCTATGAAGGCAGCTTGGAGTCTTTATCTGTTGCGACTGCTGTTGGGTATTGTCATCGCTGGCATGTGGCCTGGCATGACCTACTACCTCAGTTTATACTACCCGCCCTCGCGCTGCGCGAGACGTATTGGACATTACTACACTGCAGCACAATTATCGGCAGCTGTTGTTGGTCTCGTCAGTGCTGGCTTCCAAAAGATGGACGGGCTTGGGGGTCTTGTGGGTTTCCAATGGATGTTCCTGATCTACGGCTTGTTGGCAGTCATCCTCGGCATTGTCTTACTCTGGTGGCTGCCCGATCGCCCTCATCCTCCTGGTGAGAAGATTGAACAACCCGTTGGCTGGAGACGTCTTTTGCCACGAAGCCCACCTGTTCTGACAGGGGAGGACGCTCGTATCCACTACGAAGAACTAACAAGAGTCTACCATCGCCCCTCATGGGGATGGAAAGACTTGGGCCGTGTGCTCATCGACTGGCGCCTCTGGCCGTTGGTCATCATGTACTTTGGCGTTGTCGGCGTTGGTAAGCATCTGTCTCTGGCAATCAACATGGCTCTTGCTAATAAAGCTCAACAGGTATTGGTGTCCAGAGTTATGGTACCGTCATTATCCACGCCATCAACCCTAGCCTCAGCAGTATCAACCTGTCCCTCCTCTTCGCGCCCATCTGGATCATGGACCTGATCGCCATCCTCCTCATCACTCCTCTCAGCGACCGCTTCCACACCCACCGCTTCCTCATCTTCAGTCTATCCTGTTGTGTCATCCTAGCCGGCCTCCTCACCACCACATTCGCCGGCGCCAATGACAGCTGGTCCAGATACGGAGGTCTTCTGATCATCGGTTTTGGTCTTGGTCCCACTGTACCGACTATCATGGCAATGAGCACTTCCATCTTCCAGCCTCGTCACGGCGAAGTCGGTATCGCTGCAGCTTCAGCTCTTGTCTCTGGTCTTGGTAACCTCGGTTCTATTTTGACCACTTATGCACTGTATTCTGGTTGGCCTGAAGACGCCAAGGGTCCTCACAAGTACAGAAAGAGCAACTTGGTCATGGTCGGTATGGTGTGTGCTAGTATCGTGGCTAGCGGTGTAATGGTGTTGCTGCTCAGATGGACTAGAACGGAGGGGGCACAGGCCATGGAGGATGCTGTCGAGAACAAGGATATCATGATTGATGGAGCCGCGAAGAGAGAGTTGAGAGAGCTCAGAGCACAGCAAGGATTCAGTCTCGACAGACTGAAGATACACAGATAGAGCGAAGACTTGGGATACACATGTACAGTACAAAAGACAGAATATCATACCCTGATTTGGACACGATAGATTTTGCGAAATAATGACTTTGTTGAGAATCTTGATTCAGACACTATGGCGAGTCCAGTGGTATGTTATCCCATCTTCTATCTATATCTACAGTTTGCAGCGGATCTCTACCAAGCCATTTCTCTGTGCATTCCGCCCAGGTCTTCTGCCATCTTCTGTACGACTTCAAAACTCATGGGCAGCAGGCTTCCACACTTCTTTCCACCGCAGCGTAATCCTTTCGAGTTCCAGCTTGATATACTCGAGATTCAACCGCTCATACGGCGCCTTTTGAAAAACATGTAACCGATCCATGTGTGAAGAGGATCGCCCTGAGGATCAAACTTTACCATCAACTGCATGTACGATGGCAACGCCCGTCTCGCAGCAAAGACGACAGTATCGATATGTTGCATAAAGACATCCGCGACATGCGACTCGCGAAACTGCTTCCAGGTTAATTTGGAAGTGCGATCGACCTGAGCAGCTCCGAATCGATCAAATATATCTACTGGATCCAGGTGTGGGAAGGTTATTCTCCAGTCGTCTGGCTGCATGTTTGGTTCAAGGAAATGCTCCAGTTGTAATTCGGTTACGGGTTGGATTTTTTGCAGACAAGCGAGACAGATCTCGCGTGGGAAAGGTATGGTTTCTAGGAAGTTGAAGATTGGTCGGGGAGATGGCTGGAGCAAGTAGCTTCGCATGTGGTTGGAGAGTTCTTGTTCCCCAGGCTGTTCTTGGACGTGAGCGTGAGCGTGAATTTGCGGGCAGCAGTTGCTCAGACATGATTTCTCTTCGAGTAGATTTGACGATGGAAAGAGAGCGTGACGATGCGTAAAGATGCCTTCATGATTCTTATATATGTGCTGTCTTGGCTGACCTATACCATCTCACACGCGGGCAACAGTAATAGAGCAAGTTCTTTTCGAACTATCGTTGTATCTTTGAAGAGCCATTTCGTCGAGACTTTGGTATGAGCCATCCAAATTGGACTTGGATCTGGTTGTCCTTCGACAATAGCACTCGTGCCTACCTGTCTATAAGCCTGCCTGCTCGGGGGAGACAAAGTGGGATCCAGGCATCATGGTTGTCTGGGGTGGGCTCTCGTACTGTATCCTGATTGATGGATCTCTGTAACTCTCAACGATTGTGATTTAGAATATGATGAGAGAGTGTTGAGAGGGAGAGCATGAGGGTGGACGAAGAGAGAACGAAGATGGACCCTGTCGTCACTTCCCGATCGGGCCGAAGCCCAACTTTCACATGCGGATCGATGAACGCATCTCCAACAACTTTTGTAACAGACATCGTTTTCCTCCTCTATACCACACAATCATGACGACCTCAAAAGACTCAGACGCGCAGAAGCCTGTCTCGGTCCTCTTCGTGTGCCTCGGCAACATCTGTACGAATGCCATCCCATCTTCTCCACCTCTATACTAATACAACCGTCTCACAGGCCGCTCACCAATGGCCGAAGGAGTATTCCGCCACATCACAAACCACACACGCCCAAACGCCCACCCCATGATCTCTTCAATCGACTCCTGCGGCACAGGAGCCTACCACGCAGGAGAACAACCCGACCCACGCACAATCTCCGTCTTGAACGCCCACAAAATCACCTCATCCTTCTACACACACCAAGCCCGCACATTCCGAAACTCTGACTTGAAAGAGTTTGACTACGTGTTTGCAATGGATAGGGATAATGAGGAGCACTTGCTGAATGCGAGAAAGAGGATGATCAAGAAGGGGGAGTTGACAGAGGAGGAGGCCGCAGAGGTTATGTTGTTTGGTGTTTGGGGTGGGAAGGGTAAGGAGGAGGTGGATGATCCTTATTATGGCGGCGCGAGAGGGTTTGATATCGCGTATGAGCAGGTCGAGAGGTTCTCGAACGGCTTTGTCAAGATGTTGGAGGAGCGTGGGTCGGAGAAGAAGTGAGCGAGCATGTATAATGGAAATGGAAAGGGAGGGTCTCTCATGGAATAGATGGCTATAGAGAGTAGAGATTCTGCACACAATGATACCCGTGAGTTCAAAGCTGCTCAAGCATCAACGAGTTTCAGGATTGGTGATAGGTTCCAGGGGTATCTTTCTCATCATTCGTACTGCATAAGTTCTGCCAAAGGTCCATAATCGTTCCTCTCATAGAAGAGAGCTCAGGGCAGCCCATGCGCCAATTATAGCCAAAACTGCTCCAACCAACAAGACTCTGCCCTCCCATGTCATGACGAGATAAGTCACAACTCCGACAGCCAACTCTCTGCGTCTTGCAGCTTGACGCCTTTGCCTCCATCCCGCCTTGATAGGGTATGGTGCTTTGATGTCATTTGTCGACCCCACTGGGTGAGTGGGTATTGAAACATACAAGACGACGGGCTTGTGATCTGACGAAGGTTGTAACGATAGCGAGTTATAGGCATGGACAGTGGGGTCGTGACCAGGCAGTGCGAGGTACAGTACGCGATCGCACCAACTGGGATGGCGATGTTCTGCCCAGTGCCATTCTGTCTCGTCGGGTACCGTGACTGCGTCTTTGCCCGATTTTATCTGCTTTTGCACATCTTCAACCATCTGTGCGGCTTGCTCCTGTGCTTTCTTGGAAAATTTGTATGTTGGTGCGAAGTCTATGCGCGCCTCATGAAGGTGGTGCAGCGTGTTACCGGCAGCTTTCTCGCGTTGCAGCTGGTCGTTCGGCATGATATGCAAGTAGTGGGTGGCATCCTCGGGCGAGTCGTTGCAGCGTGGGAATGCGTGGTGGTTGTCGGGATGTGGTTTGATGTCCGACGTGCGGTAGTTGAGGTCACCGCCAAAGAATATGTATGAGTTCGACTTCATCAAGCCATTTTCTTGCTCTTGCGAGGTGTGCTGGTCGTCGGTAGCTGACGAAAGCAGGGGTTCTGTTTCGTCTTGGACGTCTTGGTTGTTGGTCGCGCGTGATCGTGTCTTCTCAGCGTCTGTAACCTTTGTGAAGACCAGGTTCTCGTTGATGGAACGCCAGTCCAGGTTTCTACGCTGCCAGGCTGGTTCGTGGGGAGCCAGATGGGCTGCAACAAAGGTAAGGTCCATCTCGCTGCCGTCGTCAATCGCATACGCCAGTCGCACACCGACGGCACCTTTGTTGCCCATCTCCCATGCTCCGACTCCTGTTCCAGCTGTCTGGACACCACGAATGTTGCGCGCGACTTGAGGTTTTGCGAACAGCATGAGAGCTGTCATGCCGACATTACTGCAGAGTACTGTCTCGTATCGCTCGTCATGTTTCCAAGATTGGTTGAGTTTCTCGATGGTCTGTGAAAAGCGCTCGAAGTATGGCGACAAGAAAGAGCCTCCGAGGAAAGACTGGCCTAGAGGAGCAATCTCCTGCAGCGAGAGGACTATCACATCCGGAGGGAGCTGAGCGTGAGAGAGGCCCTTGATGATACTGGCGGCGAAATAATCGGCGTTGACCAGCTCGCGGCCGCAGTTGAAGGTGAGGAACAGAGTGTTGAGATTGCCCATGGTTAGTAACTTGCTATCACAAGAAAGTGAGGAAAGGGACGAGTATGTGTGCATCGCAGCGCGCGCATGTGATTGGCAGTAGCATGATATCATTGCCAAGGCGAGCCTGCTTCTGTCGAGTCCCGCGTCACGTGGAAAGACGAAGCTCTAAGCGAGAAAGCAGCCGCCAAGGAGAGCCGACGCCAAGGCACCCGCGTCGCTCGGACCACGATCGAAATTCGACGCTGGCGACTTTGCGCAAATCGTTGCTGCTTCCTTCTTTCTTTCCTCATCCGCGACATTACGGCAACAACAAGTCAAGATGCCTACCCGCCTTTCCAACACCCGCAAGCACCGCGGTCACGTCTCTGCCGGTCACGGTCGTGTCGGTAAGCACCGCAAGCATCCCGGTGGTCGTGGTCTCGCCGGTGGTCAGCACCACCACAGAACCAACATGGACAAGTACCATCCCGGTTACTTGTAAGTTTTCTTCACTCACTCAATCCTCTTGCGCCACATCGCTAACACCCTCCGCAGCGGTAAGGTCGGTATGCGCTACTTCCACAAGCTCCAGAACCAGTTCTGGGCTCCCGTCATCAACCTCGAGAAGCTCTGGTCCCTCGTTCCCGCCGAGCAGCGCGAGAAGTACCTTGCCGGCAAGGGTGACGCCGACTCCGCCCCCGTCCTCGACCTCCTGCCCCTCGGCTACTCCAAGGTCCTCGGCAAGGGCCGTCTCCCCAAGATCCCCATCATCGTCCGCGCCCGCTACGTCTCTGCCGAGGCTGAGCGCAAGATCAAGGAGGCCGGTGGTGTCGTCCAGCTCGTCGCATAAGCTCGTCGCTTGTGTTGACTGAAGAAGGAGGAACCCTCGACAAGAAGAAAAGTTATGAAAGGTGGCATCCGGCATCAGGGATTTTTTTGTCAGCGTGGTAGCTGGGTGGGAGTGCTCTTCAGCGTATTAGTTGAATGCAATTTCTCCACCGAACAAACCATTTGCCTCGTTGCAAATTCGCGAGATCAACTCGTCCCATTTGGGAAGAGGCCATCTCTAGGCATGGACAAAGGCGTGGAAAGGCTCAACCCTTCACGCCTGCCTATCGTGAAGTGCTGTCCTGTGATTTTGTCATGTCGTGAAGTGTGAGAGCGTAGAGCTCATGTCCAGTCGCTCCATCAGCCGCGCCGACTCACGAAAAGTCATGGCAATGCTGATAGAAAGTAACTTGACGCCCATCCTCGAACGACCTTTCGAATGTCCCTGTATCAGTCCCTTTGCACTAACGATTTTTTTCTTCAATGCGTCGCGTCTCGTCTGAGTCTTGTTCCCGGTCGCTCAATATCATTGTACTTTCTCCCAATCTCTCTTCTCATCTCCTGGTCTCATCTGCTCTTATGATAACAAAGCCGTTGTTGTCTTTGGGCTGTTTTACGTGTCAGACGAGCAGTTGTGTCTGCTAGTCCGGGCAAAGAATGATGAATCGAAAAGAAAAATTCAAAAACTCCATGTCTGACCGTACGACCCTGTCACCAACCCAAGACCTGCAAACATCTCCCCCTCGGCCTCTACTGCAGCATATCTAATCATAAAGCAGAGCTGGGGATTATATCTGGTCTTCTGCTCGTTGGAATGAGTCGATTTGTCATGAGCGACGCGGTGGGTGAACTTCTCGACAATCCAAGGCTGTGGGCAATTTGTTGACTAGTAGTTACTACGTTTTAAACACAACCATATACGCACTGGCACCAACTACAGCTCTCGAGATACCGGCTGTGACGGAACATAACTGCCATCCGCGACCTGCAGTCCCGAACCCAACACATCAAGCACTATCTGATTTGAATCCATGGGCGTGATAAGGTCCATACCACTAGGCCCAAACAGATCCGTCATACCAACAGCGCTGTAATCAAACGAAGGCATACCGAGAGAATTGTAGAGCCACGAACTCGCAGAGTCATACGGGCTCTGATCAAACATCTCGTTGTTGAGCCAAGTGAACGACTCCATCAAGTTCGTACCCAGGTCAGAGGTCGGCTCAGTTGACTTGAGAGCATCCTTTGCGATCTTCATCACGTCCAGACTTATGGCTCGGCCTGTTGTCGAACCAATGTGATTGATATTGTCTAGACATTTCAAGCCTTTCTCCACTGCTTGGAACACGTCTTTGGCGTGCGCGGGTGTTGTTTCGGTGTCCAGGACGTCGAAGAGGAGGACTAGACATGCAGAGACGATGAAGTAGACCATGTTTCCATCTCTCCTCATGGTAGGGCAGCGGTCGAAAAAACTGTCGTAGACCAGAGAGATGAGGTCTCTGGCGGATGACACAGTGACGTCAATGTCTCGTTGGATGTCAATGCGATCGCCTATACTCTCCTGGGCTTGCTGTCTTGAATCGAAGAACGTGGTGTAGACTAGAGCTGGTCGCATCATCAAGATGCACACGACCCGGTAGGTGGTGCCCAAATGGCTCCTTTGCACTTCTTGCCATGGGACACCAACCGGTGCTTTGTCGTCGAAGAAGTGCAGGTACGAAGGTAGAGTGTCCAAGAGATCACGCAAAGCTTGCGTGCATTCATTGTTGATACGGTTGAGTTCTGTCAGGTCGGCGACTCTTGTCTCTCTGGTGGGAGAGTACTGTGCCCTCATGATCCTTTCGCTAATCTTGCCGAGAGCAGCCATCGCCCTGATATATGCGTATTCGATGTTTTGCGATCCGTCTTCTGAACGAGGAAGGTCGTCAGGATAAGGAGCGTCAATCGAATGGTCGAGAAAGCAAGAAGGCCTGCCGGTGAACATGGACATCATTCGTTCCATATAGAATATCGTCCAGAACGTTAGTCTAAGCCGATTCAAGAACGGATTGTCCCCTGCGACTACTTGGGCACGATGGAGGCCTAGAGCCATGGCGGATCGCGAAGCGTGTCCAAGATAGAGATAAACCATATTTGGCCTTCCAATTTGCATTCCGTATTGTGCCTATGAACAAATGAGACGTGCCAGATGATGTATCTGGTCAAACTTACCCTTAGTAGTACAAGGTGAGTCCCAAGTAGAGAGGTCTCTTCGAAACAGTCCGTGGGTACACCGGCACGCTCGTAAAAGTGTTGAGCCCAGGCGTTCGAAGCAGGGGAGTCAGTCAACCTGGCGCCAATGGCTAGGACCATGTATAGAATTGATTTCTCCTTGGCGAACTTCGTGCTACGGTCAGGCGCGAGACCAGGTCCACTCCAGAGGACCTCCCATGTATGCCGGACATCGCACTCAATAAGTATGGGGCCTTGGGGGTGCATAATCGTGAAATAAGACGAAATAAAGGCGTCACCTAGCTCCTTTGGCAGAAAGCTGCCATCTGGAATTGTGGCCTGGTGCGATGAGCTCTCATCGCCATGGGTAAATATCTGACGTTCGATGCCCCAATTTCTCAGACCTTCTGGTACTTGACGCGACTCGTTGAGCGGAGCATTACTTTGACGCCGAATACGCTGGTATAGGCGCTGCACGAAAGAGAAATGAGAACTTGGTCCATAGAATTGATAGGCGTCGGTGTTGCTGTCAAAGGCACCGATTCCAGCTCTTAGCTCCTGCTGTTTCTTGTGAGTCACCGGGTCGTCATAAGCGCGATTATTCAATTCTGGTTCTTGAATCGTCTGGACACTTGACAAGTGTTGTCTTTTTATAGGCCTGGGAGCTATCGGTCTGATGTCTGAACGCGACCTGACCCCACCCGGATAGATGCAGTCAACGTGATTGTCCAAGCATCTGCTGCATGGTACATTGCCATCGCACTTGACCTTCCGCGCACGGCAAATATTACAGGCTCGTGTAGTTCTCTTCTTCTGAATAGATCCAGTGGTTGGACTCGATGTGGTTTGACCTTCCATGATGGTAGCTCCGAAGCCAAGACTGAGCCTGGTTGATATTTCACGGCCATCGATTGGCTGACTAAGCAATCGCTGCTTTGTCTCTGCTATTTCGCGACACCGCGCAACTCGTCTGACTTTCTTTGTATCTTCTCGCATCTCCGTATATTGGGTCTGAATCCGAGCCAGCGGGACGCTCAAAGAGTGAGAGTGGTTGGTACTTGGAAATATGAGATTGGCATGTGATAGTTGTAGTGAAGATAATGCTTGCATGAAGCACTGTTTCATGGCCACACAGTACACCTTCTTACCAACCTCTTCTTGGATGACATGGAGAACCTCTGAATTTCGACACGGCATGTTCCTACTGTTGCCTATCGTCAGTCTATAGTCCTGCCTGTTGGAAGTTTCCTCAGGTTGGAATGTATAAGATCTCAGACCATCTATGGCTTCTCAGACATGACTTTGAGATTTGCTCTGCTTCCAGTGAGATGTCTTGGTGGGCGTACAAAGGAGCAAAACAGAAATCCGAGTCAGAGACACATCGTTCCCATGAGACGTTCGAGATCTCAAAGAATTTGGAACATCGTGGATCTCAGACTAAGTGTAAGCTGCTAAAGATCGGAGAAGATAAAATGCAGCCTCGCCTCTGTCTAGGCTCAAATCAACTCACCATTCTATCTCAAACCAGCAGACTCTTAACAAAACCATTCTTCCATATCATCAACTTACTATGGACGACACAGCGGCAACCCTCCAGCTGCTTCTCAGATTCGGGATTTCAGGCTGCATCGGATACACGAACGACGACACATACTGCAACAACCCCATCTCGAAAGCAAACCTACGCGAAGCAAACAGCATTCTCGAAGCCATCAGATCTGGTGTAGACACCGCCTATATCGAACGCAAGATACCAAAACTTGCAGCACTGTGTCTGTGTAAAAGGCGCCATCAAGATCAGGCAGATGATTTTGTCCAGATATGGGACTCGGAGGATGTTGCCAGACCATCACGACCTCGTGATATCCCTCTCCGCACTCAAGCAAGGGTATCTGTCGATATTGATCAGGTCTGCACTGAGATGAACAAAATGGATGTCATGCTAGATAACCATGATCGGGAAATGCGGGAGATGGCTCAACGATTCAGGCAAACCATGTCTTTGTATGAACAGGCACAATCTGTTACGAGACAAGACGATAGCTATTGAGAGCACACAAGATCTACTTGCTCCCTTGGAGGTAGACCATAGTGTATGTTGGAGAAGACCTTGCCCAATCACAAACGAAGGCTCGACTATGAAATATGTAGTGATAGGTGCGGAATGCAGGGTGGCACATCAGAGAGCAGGCTCTCAGGATTATACCTATCTGTATGGAGTTAGATCAGAGAATAATGAAATCGACTATAGTGGTTAGTACCATGATTCAGTAAAGTTTTCGAGGTCGAAATTTATGATATGAAGGAGTAACCATTCGGAAGGGTCCAATGTATGATGTTATTTCTGACGCGGAACAAGTTTGATATAGTAGACTCTTCGTATCTCTCAGTGAACGAGGCCGCTTTCTGCCATCTTCTGAACGTACTTCGCGTATTTGCCAGCACTCTTCGCTCTGAGCTGTTTACCAAATTTGACCATGGCAAAGAAGGTCAAACATTGGGCAAGGCCGGCAAAAGCAGCGAGGATGAAGGCGTTCTGCAAACCCATCCCATTGATCCATGGGGTGATACCGTATCCGATAGCGAAACTCATCGTATTGCGGACCAAGATGACAGTAACGATTGCCTCGCCTCCAAGGTCTTTATATGAGTCGACGGCGTACGATATGCTCAATTGGATGCCAATGGTATTGGTCAAAGCAATGACACCCATTGCAAAGACACAGCCAAACCACATGACATGTTGTGCGGCACCGACTCCCCACAAGATCAATCCACCAGGAATGAGAAGCAACGACGGTAAAAACAGCCAAAGTCTATGCTCGCTCTCCAGGATACCTCCGTTGCGACGTGCCATTGCAAGAACAATCTTGTCGCCGATTACCCCAGTATAGAAAGATCCAATGACTACGCCAATAAGAGGTGAGATGTATGATAGACCAACCATCGAAGCCGAGAAGTTGTAAGGAGGACTCCCGAGAATTGACGAAGCAGTTCCATTGAGAACGTTGAACCAGATCAGGTTGCTGCCGTACGAGAATCCAGCATAGAGAATGACAGGGAAGGAGAGGAAGATCAGCGGTCGAGTGGTCATACCGACGATGTGATTGTCTTTCTGCATATCAGACTTCTGCCACAGCTTGACCTTGTCCAGATATGTCTTGGGCTTGAATTGATCGAGGGGTATATGCAGTCCGGTCTCTGAATCGCAGTCCTTTGAGCGCACGATTTTTTCACCCGCCTTGGTTGTGGTAGAAGGTAGTTCAGGCTGAACACCAACATCAGGAGCTATTCCAGTAACCAAGTGCCTAGAGTAATTTGTTTCCTCCATGAAGAAGAAAAGGAAGAGAAATCCAATTCCGCAGAAAATCGCGCACCAGTACAGAACCCACTTCCAGCCTTGGCCATCCGCAATGAAACCAGCAAATACTGGGGCGAGAAAGTTGGAGCCGGCTAGGAGAAGTGCATAGAGGCCCAAGTACTTTCCACGTTCGTGTTGGAACCAGACGTCTGTGACCGAGATCTCACAAAGACTCTCTATCGGAGCTCCAAAGAAGCCTTGGAGAATCTTGTTGGCAATCCACTGACCGTTGCTCTTGGTATATGGTGCCCAAAGTTGAATGCCCATAGTGGCAAGTATGCTGAACAGATATACTGGTCGCTTGCCGTATTGCAAGGCGATAGGTTGCCAGAAAAGGCAGCCCCATCCAAAGAAGAGAAACATATCTGCACAGTATCTGTCAGCCTCACGCTATGAGATTCAATCTTCGGTTCAGATGCTTACATCCGGTACCATTGTTCAATTCGTTGAGCGTCAGGTCAGTCTCCTCGGCAATAGGCTGCAGAATTGAGTAGATCGCCGCACTCGCAATGCCGACCATCAACGTATAGACACCCATGCAGGCCGTGGACAGTGCTTTTCTCCGAGGCGACCAGTTCAATGGATCATCAGGATCTTGCGAGGGTGTTGGAACCAGTACAATATCTCTCTGTCCATGTTGAGCATGCTGTGTGTGCATGGTGCCATCAAGATCAACCAGGTGGACAGTACCCGGTATGCTGGGCTGCTCTGTGGTTACATCATGTGCCATGTCTGTAGAGTGCGAGGGGGCGTAGAGTTTGAGCGAAAGCTTTTATAGGAGTTGAACGTAGTAACAGCGACACCGATTCTAGTTTTGCATTGCTCTGAAAAGACGCAGACAATGTGTGTAGTGCCGGACCATAATATATGTTCGAGGGCGATTAGATACAGAGGATTGGGCAACTTGGCCGCGCACCAGAAGCGGTCATCCGAGATAGGCACAACAGGCTTCAAGGTCGGCCAACAGCTGGAAAGCAGTTGAGGACCAACCAAAAGACATGTTGATGCTTGCCACAGGATTCCAGAGGATCTGCATCCGATAAGCATGTGAAACCAAGATAGCCGCTTCGAGCTGCCATATGCGGGGCGACAGGTGAAGCCTTTGGAGGACGTCGAGTTTGGGTAGGAGATACATGATCGTCTCAACAGTGGAGCGGTACGAAGGAGGCCTACAAGGCGACAGCTCTCAGACTTGGGGCACAACGGTACCGTGCATTTGCGCAGCTCAGATTCCATCTAGCTGTACAAGGATGGAAGGAAAGTGAACCAAGACTCTGCCATTGAAGCTTGTCATCTCTTTGATCTCGATCTCATTGAGGCCTACCCATTTCGTGGCAACTGCCACAAATTCGACCTGTTCACCGTGGTTCTCAGAACCTCATGCTTTGCCTCACGTTCATCTCAGAAGGTCACTGCTGCTGATCAGAGTTCAGCAAGTGAGCAAGTCTTGGCACACTACGATCACATGACCGTGACCACATCGCGTCGACGCGTGCCTTCCTGAGGCAGACGTGCCACCAAAAAAGTTACCATCCGACGCACCACTGCCGCCGTAAGCATTTGAAGGCGGTTCCGTTCGACTTTTGTCACTGACATTCGAACAAACAAGACAGTGCTCGTCAATCACATGGCTGCTGCCTTGAGCATGTCATATAGTCATAATTCCACTGTCCTTTCTCAGACTTCCTCAAATGGCCGAATCCGAACGTTTGCACACTCAGGCGTTGAGTGTAGCTTCCGAACTACTCGAGCATCTCACGACCAAGCCAACAGCTGTACTTGTAGCTGTGCTATAGCATGATATCCCTATGCCATTGACAGATGCCAGTCGTGAATCTTTCATGTTCATCAAATGCACTGCAAGAACCACCGTGGCCAAAATCAGAGAAGCCTTTCTTTCCAGGGAAGAAGCACCTTCTAACATCCTGTTACATCTGGGTTCTGGCATTCCTTCCGAGACTACCAAAGTCGCTGAGCTGGATTTCTTTCGTGACAAAGTGATTGTCTTTCACGCGCGCAGTCTTGACCCAGACGATACGACCAGCAACACGAGAGACCGGTCGACGACCGACAGCATGTTGAACGGCATCCCGGACGGTACGTTCAGCAACACAATGCACAGCCCGACGGACAGCACGAGGAGCAGCTCAACTCATAACGGCATTCCGAACGGCACGTCGGGCAACACAATGGACAGCTCGTTGAATGGCATCCCGGATGTTATGTCGAACAAATCTATGTACAACCGGACGTACGGCACGATGGACGCTTCATCGAAGAGAATGTCTGATCTATCAAATCCCGTCGGTTTCTTACCTTGCTGAGCCAACTGCGCACCTCACTCTCTCTTTGGTCTTCCAACGACGGCTCTGGCGCAAAGAAGACAGATCAGCAGAAAGACGCTGAGCAGCGACTCCTGACCCTTAAACTCAAGGATCTCGAAAAAGTACGCTGAAAAATCGACATACTGGTCAGCAACTAACAGTGAGTAGGCTCTGGAGAAAGATGTGAGCGATACCCTGACAGAAATCAGAGAAACGATGAACGAGAACATCTTCGAGAACTATGACACCGCCATCAACGCTGCTGCCAATGCTGCTCTGCCAACTTCCCAAGGCTGGGGCGCTCACAGGAGCCTGGGCGGTCTGTACTGGGCTACGTACAAGGCGGTCGTCCGTCGACAGGGCGTTTTCACTGGAAAGGGCGGCCTCTCCGACTTCAACGCGCAGCTGTAAGATGGGAATGCTTTCGCTGCAGATTGACAGTACTAATACATATGACAGCACCGAGCCAATCTACAAACACCTGGCCAACGGCTGGGAGAAGGCCTTTCAGCGTCGCCTCCCGCATGTTTTGAAGGCATGCGCCAAAGTCTTCTCCAACGACCTGCGCGCTTTTCACAAAGCCATTCAAGATCATTCGTTCTCTCACGGAGGCAACCCTCGTCTTAGTCTGCTCGCACAACAGCTTACCAATTACGAAGCTGTATTCAGCGATCTTGGCAGCAAGATGCTTGACCTGATCAACGAGCGTCAGCGCGAGATCAACCGCGAGTTTACTCCGAATGTCTGCAATGCCATGCTCATTGTATACAACATTTGCAGCAATGAGGCAGGCCCTGGTCAGTTCAACAGGATGAAAATTCACATGACTAATCATGTTGAGGCCCAGAAGGACACCATGTTTCAGAGGGCTACCCAGGTCGTTCGCAACATGATCATGGACCTGACCAAGGATTTCGAGGAGCACATGGCTAATAGAACTGATCAGGTCTTCGTTGGCATGCGTAGGGACTACCTCCAGGTTTTGAGCAATGTTCGCGTTGACGACATCACAATGCCCAAATGGGAGCGCAGCCTGAGAAATAAGGTTGAGGATATCATTCAACAAAGCGAGGAGAACTTCGAGGCCATTCTCGATGGAAGAGAGGTTGCTGATCCAAAGGATGAGGCTTCCGCAGGAGCTGCAAAGGAAGGAGATGACGGCACGGATGTCGAGAATGCCGATCAAGATAAGAGAAAGGCGATCAAGGAAGACGCCAGTTCTTCTGAGGAAGACACACACATGGAGGATACTCATGCTTGAAAGGAGGAGGCCAACGATTACTGGCATATTCTTGCACAAACAGGGCGTATAAAGAGGGGCTTTTGCTAGCTGGTTAGCTATGAATACATTACGACGGTATGCTTAGAAACGGCCATGGCTCAAGCAAATTTACGCTTTTCAGAATACTGTTCTCGGGTTTGACGTTCATATTATATCATCGCTGAATCTCCGGCCACTGAGAGAGCCGAGGTTTGCTAGGTCCGTAGCTGAGAATGATCGAGACCAGAAGTGTTGGAACAGCGGGCTTGAGGCGAGCAAAGATGTCATCGCTTAACGCACAAATCGCTGCGGATGACCCATTTCTCTCCTTTGGTAACTTCGCGTCCCTCATGGACCATGCACTCTTTGCCATGGCGATGTAAAAGTGCCAGGCCGACTTCAGGACTTGCCTCTACAGGTGGAGGGGGCGCTGCTTTTCTGGACGGCGGGTCTGGATAGAAGACAGTCTCGCCACCTCCACAAGTCGTCAAGTATAGCAACAGTGTCCAGGTCGTCTTTGCTGGGACACTGGACCCATCATCCTTGGGAAACGCCAGGTTATTCGAGTCGTCGTAGTGCTGGTCGAAGAATTGCCCTTGCGAGTAGCGATAAATTCTGATATTGGGATTGAGACCTAGGACCTCACCGCCGAACAAGTCTTGTCGTTGCTTGTCATCGAGAACTTCTCCGTCAATCTCTCCTGCGGTAATCAAGTCTTTGAGTGCAGTCTGCTCCCAGAGAAGGCGAGCGAAGTCTTGATCGTCGATCTGATAGCGATCATTGACGCGAACGGCATCGCCACGTTTTGGTCGTCCGGGTGTTGTTGTGAGTGGTAGAGATCGAAGGAAAGCAACATATTTCACACTCAGTGATGAGGTGAAGAGGCGTGGTATGGTCAAGATCTGTGCAGGTAGTAGAGACGAGCATTCGAGATCTGATGCTGGAGATACAGGTGCGAGGGCTGGCCAATCTGGACGAGCGACAGTTTGTGGCTTTGCTGCAGGTGCAGCACGGGTGTTTGAAGTCTTGGTTTTTGATTTTGGAGGCATTTTGGCTTCCAGGTTTCTGGGTTTGATGCTGGATGGGCTGCTATCGATTCGTTGGTCAGGAAGCAGAGCGGGAGAGCCTCGGCTCGAGGAATGATAGCTGGACGACCCTGGCATGAATTTGCTACCATTATTAAATGCTTGCAAGACCTTTGAAGCTAATACAAGAAAGCAATTGACGAGATGACGTAGCAAATTTTGTATTCTGTAAACGTCTTCCATAACAGAAGGTTGAGTATGTATTGAAAAGCTGCCTACACGAGTGACAGAAGCTTTGTAGAAGATTCTGTGCTGTCTATCAGGATGAAACACGTTCAGAACCGGTGTGTACAGATCCGATTGATGTGAAAGAAATGAAAGCATCAACTCTGCTCTGTTACAACCCAAGTCAAGAGCTAGTTATTTACTCGTGCTTCCTGCTCCTGGACTCCATGTTAAAGAGAAAGGTGCAAGCAACGGAGAGTAGATACCTATATGGGTAGGGGATGTTGTTGAGCCAATCGGGAGACATCACGATGGGCCGATCAAATCTTGGCGATGAGTTCATTCGAGTCAATCTCTGAGCTCGAATTTTGCATGAATAGAACGACAGAGGTGCAAGAGGTAGTCAGCTGTAGTTGGGAATACGGTACCTAGTAGTAGCATCTTGAAATCAAAGGACAAGTACGACAGTCGGTGAATACCTATGCAGGATCAGAGACAAGCAACAGAGACATGTCATGGTTTGAGAAAGTCAAAGCGGGAGTGAAGGCTTAGGGCCCGCAACGGGTCCACGATTCTTCACCGCCTGGCAGTTGCTGGTCTTGGCCCGCGGTTCCCATCGCGCAGCGGCTTGACGTGTTCCAGCCAGGTCAGAGTTTGGATCGCGAAAGAAAAGTCGATCTTCTACCTAGACTCCTCGGACGGAAACACTTGCGCACAGTAGACGCATGCGCCAGCGTCAGTCACAGTGAATGCGCGGAATCACACAGCCCTAGAGACATGTTATCACGCCGCCGACGGTCATGGAAGTGGAAGCAACGAGTCTCGGGCATGCTGCCTTTGCGCCTCATGACTACACAACGCCCCAAGCACCCTCGCCCTCTCCCCTGAATTCGCCATGGCCTGGACTGGACAACGACATGGACGGACTGGAGGAAGGAACCGCCCAACTCGATCAACAACGAAGCCTCGAGCCGCCGACCCAGAAGGACGACAACCAAGCAGTCAGGGAAGTCGCGCAACAAAGTCCCAAGCCCGACACACATAATGCAGTACCACCTGCCTCCGATACTCAGACTCTGGATACGAAGCCGCAACCAGACACCCCATCGCAACCGCTACCCAAGCCCGTCGAGAGTCGCCCGAAGCCGCCATCGAGACCTATGTCCCTAGCACAATCGCTATTCCCCGAAGACTTCGAAGACGATCCCGACCACCAAGACGAGGCTCCATCTGCCGTTGAGCAAGCAGATCAAGCCCAACCAGGAGCACTTCCGCAGACACAGACACAGCCCGAGCAGCAAACACTCTCCCCGACACAAGAGACCCAGCTGCAGTTGCCCGATCATACCGTGCTTGATAACCCGCATCTATCGCATCCGCTCCCTTCGTATTCGCCTGCCGATCTTCTGGACCAGTCCGTAGATCCTCTCGATCAATCACAACCTCTTCAACCGCAAACACCTGTCAAGGACTACTCAGAGCTTGCAACCGCAGTCGCCGACTTGAACCTGCCGACAAACTCTCTTTTCCCCGCCGACCTCGCACTCGCCTCGTATGAAGCCGAAGAGGCCGCTCCTGTACAAGACGCTCAAAACGATCCCATGCAAGCTTTCGCAAAGCTGCAATTTCCCGATGGAGACTTTTATATTAACACGTATGCTGTCGAATTGGGCCGTGATCTGAACGCCGCCAAGTTTGAGCGAAAGGCAGGCCGAAAGCACAAGATGAAGTTAAACCGGGACGTCCAGATGGAACAAGATGCCGATATGAATCTGGATGACGAAGGCCGCAACATCGCACGCAGCAATGTCAGCGAAAGTGGTGGTATTGTGGGTGTCAACATCGACTATGACAGCGAAGAGAATGAGGAGTCCAAACGTCGCAAGCGCAAGCAGTTCCGTTCTACCAACTCCTCTCACTCCGTCGACCCTACCTCTCTCCTTACTAACCCCTACGACCTCTCGCTCGACTGGCAGCCACAGCAGGACAAGCCTTTCGAATACGAGTGTCCCTTCATCCCGATTCATCCCCAGGCCGGACAGTCCTTCAAGAACATCTCGCGCAAGCATATCCGTATCGAGTACAACCTGCAGAAAGCTTATTGGGAGATGCTCGTTAACGGCAGAAACGGTGTATTTCACGATGACACTCACGTCGACAAAGGCTCTCTGGTCAAGTTGCACCACGGGAGCGAGATTCTCATCCAAGGCATAACTCTCATCTTCCAGCTTCCGGATAACGCCCGTAATGATGACGAAGACGAGGAGCCCGCTCACATCCTCTCTGATACGGATAGTTCCCTTTCAGATCTGGACAGTGTCGCTAGTGTTACCTTCGGGCACGATTTCGAAGAGGGAGACGTATCATCTGAAGACGAGCCTCTGCGCCTCAAACGACCCGTCCAAAAGGAGGAGCGACCTCGTAGGATTGTCAAGCTCAAGCTCACACTCAAGAAGAACTTCCCCGCTGTTGCTGGACTGCCTATCGAGAAAGAGGAGAAGAAGGAAAAGGAAAAAGAGAAAGAAAAGAAGAAGGAGAAGGAAAAGGTCAAGGAGAAAGAGATCGAGAAAGAGAAAGAGAAGGAGCCCGAGAAGGAGAAAGAAAAGGAGAAGGACAAGGCACCCGAGAAGGTCAAAGTCAAGGAGAAGGAGAAGGAGAAAGAAAAAGAGAAGGAAAGAAGACCGTCTAAATCTGGCAAGCAATCGATCAAGATCGACAGACCCACGAGGGTGGAAAAGGCAGAGAAGATGCCCAGGACACCCAAGGCGGACAAAGTCGAGAAGCCAGTACAAAAGGTTCCCTTACCCCAAAAGACTGAGCCAAGCGACAAGGTCGAAAAGCCAAAGGAAGCCGAACCTGCTGAGAAGACGATCACCACACCCAAGCAGCCCGAGTACGTGCCGGCGGTCTTCGAAGAGAGAAGAGAATCTGCCATATCCACTACTGAGATGCCACCGCCATCCCAGCCAATTGATATCAAGACGTCGATCGAGCCTGACTCCTATGAGGCGCTTCAAGCCCTGCAAATCACGCCTTCCCAGACTCCTCCCGCCGTTCCCACAGATTTACCTCCTGGTTCCATTCTTGCCGGCCTAGCTCCTGAGGAAATTCCTCAGAAACGAAAAGGTCCAGGAAGACCTCCCAAGAACGGTGTCATGTCCAAACGCGATGAGGCGATCATCAAGCGAAAGACAAAGGAGTTACAAAAGTTAGGCATGGTTGTTCCACCGCTTGCCGAGTTGTTGGCTCTCGCCAGAGCTGAAGGTGGAAGCACCACTAAGAAAGACTCTAAACCAGAGGATGGACGTGAAGGAGAACATCTAAGTCAGTCTGTCGAGATTGATCCTGCACTGATGGCCATTCAAGAGCATAACAATGCCACACCTTCGGCTGAAGTCAAGACCGAGGGAGGTCTTTTGCTTGCTCAGCCTACGCCAGACAAGGATGCGAACAAGCCAAAGAGAATCGTCAAGTCTCCGTCTCCACAGAAGCCTGAGTCAGAGTACACCGAGGAAGAACTCAAGAAGCCGACTCAGACGTATGTTGTCCTTATTCACGAGGCTCTGTCAAAGGCTCCGACTGGTGTGATGGACCTGCAACAGATCTACGACGCTATGCAGAAAATGTACCCATGGTTCAAGTACAGGAGTACGACTCATGGCTGGCAAAGTAGTGTTCGACACAACCTGATCAGCAGTGAAGCTTTCGAAGAGGCTGGCAAGATCGGCAAAGGTAGGCTTTGGAAAATCAACCCCAATGTCTCGATCGACAAGGAGAAGAAACGCAAAGCTCCTACGCCGCCTCCGGACAACAGACAAGCCCAGCAACCGCAATACCCCTACTACCCAAACAATCAATATCCATACGGCCATCCTGCAGCCCCTGCGTACGGAGCCTACGCTAGACCGAGTCCTTACGGTACACCCTACGGTCCGCCGACTGTACAGAATGTGGCACGGCCCCCCGTCCCGACTCCACAGCAGAAGCCTGGTACATACTATTCGCCATATGCATCGACTACACCAGGCACTGCCGCCGCTGCCTCGCCTTACGGTCCTCCGAGCAGAGGGCCATATGCTGCTCCTTACCCTCAGCCTCCTCGGCCACCTGGTAACGCTCATGGCGGACCGCCACAGCCGCCACAGGCACAACCCGGCCAGCCACAAGCACCGGCGCCGCCGCAGGGTCAACCACAGCAACCTCAATCACAGCCTGGTCAAGCTCCTTATCCTCCGCCAGGACAGCCTTATCAGCCGGCCAATAATCAAGCTCCAGGACCACCGAACGGTCAGCCGCCACCTCCTAGACCTGTGATGGCCTCAGCACCTGGTCAGGCTTCTCTGCCACACAACCAGAGTGGAATCACTTCTGAGAAGATGATTGACAATATCATGGATTACCACAAGAGATACCTCAGTAATTTCCAAGGGCCGGAGCAGGACAAACACCGAGCGATCTTCCGCAAAGCCACTAACAGACATATCCGCCGCGATCAAGACCATGGTCCTTACGAGTCTGAGGAAGAAGAGAAACTGTACAAAGCCATCCAGAACATCATCACCTCTACACAGGCAGAGACGGCGTCTGTAGCATCTGCACAACCTCAAACGAATGGTCAAGGACCTATGCAAGGTGGACCGCCTCAAAGTCAAGCGCAGCCAGGCGCGGTACAGACTGCGCCGGGTTCAAGTTTGCAGCCACAGGGTGCTCCCGGTCAACCGTCTCAACAAGGAGTGCCTGGCTCTCAGCCCGCAATTGGTCAACAGCCTACCAGTGGTCCCCATCCCGTCCACCAAGGTTCCGCTTCGGAACAAGCACTGGCCGAAGCGCTCAAGACGGCCATGCCTGGTGCGCAAGCTTATAGGCAAGGTCCACCAACGGGCCCTTATCATCCCGGCCCACCTCAGCAACAAGGTATTGCACCCAGACCAACTCCTTATGCGCAGCCGCAAGCTCCGCAGCAGCAAAGGATGCAACCTCCACCGGGACAGCAACAAGGTCCACACGCTCGCCCTAATCTCGCTCCTACGCCTTCTGCGCCGCAAGTGCAAGCACCGAGACCGACGTTTACTGCGCCGTCGCAACCTCCACCTACTGCATCAACGCCGGCGAATCAGGCCCAGGCTTCGACTCTTGTCACACAAGGACCGGGTGCTCCTTCCCCTAGTCAATCGGCACAGCCATCTCCTACACCGGCCCCAGGTCATACCACTCAACAAGCTCCTCCACCCGCACAACAAACTCCTGCACCTGCTCCCGTGGCTCAAACTGCTTCGACCCCTCAACCTCCACCTACGGTTCAGGCAGCTACCATCTCTGCCCCATCACAGACATTGACACCTGCTCCTCCGGCACAGCAGCAAACACCCGCAACTGGACCTCCGGTTACTACACCAGCTCCAGTGGCTCCTCAGGCGCCAGCTGCACCAACTGCGCCAGCACAGCCTCCATCGGTTGGTCCAGCCGCTACATCGACGCCAGTACCAGTGGCACCGACGCCTCCAGCAGATCCGAACGCACATGGTGGTTTGAAGCGGCCTATAGAGATTGACGACGACGGTGACCACGAAGCCAAGAAGCAGAAGACAGATGGAGAAGCTTGAGAATACGGATGTTTCGGCGTTGCCGTGGGAAAACGAAGTTAATGAGGCGTTGTCGTTTTTTTTTCTTTCTAGCATTCTTTTTTCGTTTCTTGTTGTTATTCTTTGCTTTGCTGTCCAGGCGTTATGTATCATGTGGCAATGTATACACCACATGGGGAGGACGGCTGTTTTCTTTTTCGATTCACCTTTCAAGCGATGGAGTGGAACGGTTTCCTTGATGCATATGAAGTAAAAGAATCGGGGTGGGCCAAAGGCGTTTCATTACATTACAGCGGGAGCTGACTGACCATTGTAACCACTTGAGAATCAAAATACCCCCATTTTTCACTTGCACGTCTTCAACCTTTTCTCCCTATGTTCGACTTGTTCTCTCTTCCGCTTTGCATGTAGAAGTTGGCGAGCTCAGAAGAGCACCACGTCGAAGCCTCTGCGCTCTAGAAACACATCCCAGCGCTCACCATTTCCATCATCCCAGTAGGCTCTCAGAGCCGCCAAAGCAGCATCTGCATTACCCCATCCATAGTTTCTGATGCGATTCATACACGCCTCAATGTAATCTCTCAAGTCTGGATCTTCGGCTTCACATCCAGCCGTGAACAGCGGCCACAGAATCAACACATTGGCAGGAGACTCTGGTCGCAGTTTCCCCAGCAAATCCAGCATGGAAGCCAATGCTATCGCTGGTTTAGGATCGAGTTCGGGCAGCTCTTGCACACGACGGTGGAGATGCAGTAGAGCGGAATGTACGAACATTTGGTGTACGTAGACTGCTTCAACCACCAACACTGGGTCCTGGGTATGTGATAGCGATGGCGAAGAGGCGCGGGTGAACAGCAGAGACAGCTGTTGCTCTGTGAGTAGAATGTTGTCTGCCAAGAGCTGTTCCAAGTCATCTGCCATCTCAGCATATCCTGAGCCCAAGGAAGATCCTAGTACTTTGCGACGGCGTTGTAGACGTGCCATACGGCCTATACGTGCGAGCACTGGCATCAATTCCAGTGAGAAACCGACGAACTCGTCAATGTATTGGGGTGAGGAAGTGCTCGTGGGAGCACCGATGGACCAGAATTGGCCGTCTGAGGAGGTGGTCTTGTCGAGACTCATTATGCTGGCAAAGATGTCCACAACAGCGAACCAGCGGATAAGGAATAGTTTCTTGTCGTCCAGATCAGTGACTGCTTCGTGTCTGTTTTTGCCAAGAGCCAGGGAGAGCAAGTGTTCTGCACCGTGGAGATGCGTACGCATGGCCATGGTATTCCCAGCCATGACTTCGTTTGTGCAGAGGAAGAGCACCGTACAGATAGTCGAGAAATTTGGGGCTTCTGTTGGGCTATCCATAGCTTTCCGTAAGCCCGTGATTGCCTTTCGCAGGAAGAAGGAAGCTCGATTTTGCAGTTCGAGAGAGTCGTTTCCTCGCAGGCGCCTTACTTGATCGCAGGACAGTGCTAGAGCTGCTGAAAGCAAATGTGGTGTTTGGGCTGCCACAGTCAAGACTTCTTGGTGGATCGATGGCGCCATCAGAGGGAAGAGGGTTAGTGAGGTGTGGGTGATATAATGATGGAGGAAGAAGTAGGCGTTGGGACTCTCCGATGGACATAGAAGAGGATACTGGCTTAGGGACGGTGGTAGAGCTTGCATGTGTTAGCATAGTATGACAATAGTAGAGATGCATGAACTTACTCGGTGGAGAGTAGTGTTGATATGTAATGAGAGAAATATCGCGCTCAATGGTTTCATCAGCTGGCTCGAAGTCGAAGCCAGATGGGACAGGAAGTAACATCGAATCATCCAATACATCCTGGTCGGGGAGTAGAAAAGGGTCCTGGTAATCATCAAAGCCAGTGGTGTCATCGAGTGGTTGCAATGCTGCAGCAGTAGGAGAATATTGCAAGGAAGTCGTTGATGATGCAAAATTTCCACCAAGGGATACTCCAACATCAAGATTCTCGGAATACACAGGAAGTGAGGACTGCGGTCCAGTAGTCGAAGTTGCCGTATCAGTATCTTCCACTTCGTTCGGAGCAGAATGCACCACTTCAGAACCATCAGTCTGACCACCCACATCCAAACTCGTAACCCAAGGCTCCTTAGTCCTCGGCTTCTTGAACGGCCTCCCCTGCGTCCAAGACAACTTCAACTCATAGGAGCATCGTTCAGGGTATCTCTTGCACCTTCCACAATGAGGCCTGCCTTCATCGCATTTCACGCGCTTGCGCTTGCACTCCGAACATCCCGTTCGCGACTTTGATCCGCTACTGCCGCCGCCGGTCGCTTTGGGGTCCGACATGTTGATTGCGGAGCCATTTGTGAATGAGGGGTCACGATTGATAGAGGCTGATACAGAAAGCTGGATGACACACCGGCGGGGATGACTGGTGGTGGTTGTCAATCGGCTAGAGTTGCAACTTTGGCGGGGGGTGCACCCGCGGCCGGCAGTCGCTGGCGGCTTTGGTACATCGAGTTTCTGTGTTTCTGTCAAAGGCAGCGATGCCACATCATCTCAGTACTTGCTACATTCTGCCAGACAGTATCCAGTGCATCGTTAACTCATGTACACGTGGGGGTTCTCATGGTAGACGAGGATGGCTCGTCTGGAGCAAAATTGTCAAGATTAGCCGAGCATGAAGCCTTATCAATACTCTCACCTCGCGGATTGGATCAACGTAACGCGGCTTACTGTCCAGAGATTCTAGCGAGTCTACTTTTTCTTCTTCTCATACATAGTACATGTAGATAAAACATCTCAGAAGGGCAGTTCAATACGTTCGTCGTCATTCGGATTGTGACTATGTAAAAGCGGCCAAGTACCCAGACAGAGTTGCTCAGTCCATCTCCTGCCGACCTGCACCGAAACTTGAAGTCAACCACCATGGTGTTTTTTCTGTCGCTGTTCACACACGTCTTCTGCTTCCTCATCTTCTTCATTACAAAGAGAGCTATCGCTGTGGACTCTAGCGTTTCCAATGATATGCTAGCTATGAAAGGTCCGTTGTCGACGCAGATGAGATGTCAAGTTTCCTAATGTCTTGTCTAGAGATCGCAATGCAATCATCTTCGGGCAGTTGAGCGTCATGCGGGAGAAGAAAGAAGAGAGCCGCCAAATCACACATACGATCAGTCTCACCAGGCTGCACAGTTCGGCCAGCTCTGTCACATGTGGTCCCAGGCTGCAAGAAGCACTCGTGTCATGCAGATACGCAGATGCAAGCCAAGCAGCTGCACGAAGCAACAGCGCAGCCTGAAACCACGTGCCGGCGTGGTCAAAAGAAGTTGACCTATAGGCTCCATGGTCTCGAACGGTATCGAATGGCGTAGAGGGCGATGAGATGTAGAGTTTGGATGTGACTGTTGAGAAGGACATGTGTGTATACATATCTAAGAAGGTCATTAGGAACAACGGGAGTAGAGGGAGGTTGTTGAATCGAATTGTAGTGGCAAAAATTGCTATGTCGACAGGTGCAGACGCATATCAAACTGAAAGTCGTAGCTGTGACGCCTTAACGCCAGCCCCAGAGAAAAACAAAACAGAACCAGGGTATGCCTCGAAGTTGTATAGTCTTTGCAGTCAAACATGTAGCGAGAAGAAGGAAAAGGAGCAGGAGCAGGAGCGTCTACATGGCCATCTCGGCTTGTAGTCTCCGGAGTTCGGCTTCCTCGTCGTCCTCTTCTTCTTGGGCGGGTGCCTTGGCTCTCGCTGAGAGTAGTCAGTATGCAAACCGACAGCAGTATGTTTGAAGGGGAAAGACTCACGTTCAGTGTTGTTGACGCTAGGCATGCGGTGAACCTGGTCATGCACTGGCATAGTACCAGTCTTGAGCATGGTATTATCCAGCTCCTCTTGCTGAAGGTCGGCGAGCTCTGATTCGAGCTCATCGTCATCGACGGCGTTTGCAGTAGAGCCTTGAGTAAGAGCGCTGGCAATCTCGTTGCTGATGGCGTGCTGTTCCTCGAGATCCTCCATGGTAGCGTCGACCTTGTCGATCGTCAAGCCACCGTGGATGGACTTCATGGCCTTTGAGGCGTTGCCGAGAGCGTCCAGAGTCTCCTTGTTTATGTTTGCTGTCTCTATGCTAGCAATCTGGCCCTCGAGGTTCATGATCTGAGCCGAAGTTTGTTCCAGGGTCGTCTCAAGTTGCTTCTTCTTTCGCAGGGCGTTCTTGGCAGCTGTAAGAAGAGTCAGAAGCAGCGCGAGGCAGGGTGGGCGGAGCGTGCATACCAGTCTTGTTTGTGTTGATGAACTTCCTGGCCTTCTGATCTTCCTCATCCATCTGATTCTGCAAGTGCTTCTCACGCTTGTTCAGCATCTCGAGGGTGCTCCTCAGCTGCAGGATGGCCTTCTTGGGAGCATCTTTCTTGGCCGCAGTGTTGCCGCCAAACCAACCACCCAACCCCCAGCCGGACATGTTGTGAGATGCTACGTGTGGTAGTGCTTGTAGATGCCGAAGCGGAGGGGCGTACTGCTACAGACGCGAGCTATAGCGAAGGGCGATGGTCGGGCAGGAAGGTGGGGGACGAGTCTGCTCGTGTGATGGCGGGGTAGTAGAGGAGGGCGGTGAAGGGCGATAGAGTTGTGGGTGACGCGACAGGAGCTATAGGTGAGTGGCAGTGTACAGCAGCAGTATGCAGCGACAGGCGTGTGTGATGTTGGGCGGGAGTGTGTTGTGGAGAAGTGTTTGTCCTGCTGGCTGCCTCTCATCATCCGCTTGACCATGACGCACCCAGCGCTGCCAAGCCCTGGAGATTTGACTCCATGGCCAATGAAACGCCACCAATCTGCACCGATTGACCAAAGAACCACCTCGAAGCCTCGTCCATCATTCTTTCTCGACACATACCTACCGAATCATCACTTGCATGTCACATACATGCACTCATGAGCAACTCCTCGCCACTGCCGAGCCGGCTCTGTGCCATTAGCCAGCTTCCTACGCTGCATCCTGGCGACAAGGTCCGCTTTCTGGGATGGTACTTATTTGATCTCCACATGCATTCCATAACATTTCTGAATATAAAAGTGTAAACCAATACCATGAGTCTACTGCTATGCTATCCCTCTTTCACGACTTCCCTTCTCTTCAAAACCGCCATACTGTCCAGACCGACATCAGCCAGCTGCTCGATACTGTCCAACACCAAAACCTTCAGATCGGGACCTGGCTCAATGTCATTGGGTATATCACTCCGAGCAAAACCAGGTCTCGGCCCAAAGTTCAGGCTATTCTGGTCTGGTCGGCAGGCGCCATAAACTTGCAGCACTACGAGACAGCTCTTGTCTCTAGACAGACCACTTGATTTCCCCAAGGATTCTCTGTTGCGCCTGGCCTCCAATCTTTCCACCGACAACTCAACTTTACTGATCATCAAGCTCCCCCGCCTCATGGGTGGCTGGGCTTGGGTGTATGCTTCCAATTGCGGCGCTCGTAGATCGACAGGTTGGACAAGACATGTCTGGCTCCACTAGCTTGGACAACCAAGAATTCGTTGGAGTCTGATCCGGCAGTCTGGATTCTAGTCCTGTTTCCAAACAGAACACTTGATTCCATCTGTCCTTCTCTTTTTCTGCCGGGCCCAAAACATTTCACCAATAACCCAACGTCGTCAACCAAGCTTCTCAACCTGTACTTGTGCCTCGAAGACCACTGGCTTTGGAGCATGCACACATTCAGATCCGGCGTAGAAAGATCGACGTTCCGTTGAAGTGTGTTGGATCCGTGGGGCCGTCGTTGTTCATTGGCGCCTCAAGATACGTTTGCCTGGCGGCGCAGACTCTGGCCCACAAGTCTCTGACTCCCTGACCAATGACGTTGACTCCTTCAAACTTGCATTCCTCCATGTATTCCTCCATTATGGCCGTTTTCCACCCGCCTACGGCTCTTTCGCCGTTGCCGACGAAGACCTGTGGCCTACGAGATAAGACGGCCAGATTCAGTCTACTCGGTAGATGCGGCGCGTACACAAAAGTGTTCTCATCTGCTTCAAGCATGAAGAAGGCCTCCGGAACTTCGACGACATTATTGTATCCTGGGTCTGTAGTGCGAGGGATCTTTTGGAGTAGATACTTGGTTCTCTTGTCGATGGCTGGGTCCTGGAAGATTCTTGCGACTGAAGTCACTGGGTCGCCTCTGTCTGTGCATTCGGTTTGCCACTTCTGGTTGAGCTTCTCCCACATGTACACGAAGACCGCATACTGTACGATCCAGACGTTTCTCGTCGTACTCGGAGGTCCGACATACTGGCCCAATCCCAGGCAGACCATTGTCTTGATGTCGTGGAGGCGTGCCACAAGGTTATCGATTTGGTCGCGGAAGTTCTGCCATCCAGCGTCGTTCTTGATCTGATCAAGTAGAGTTTCGACGTCTTGAGATGCGTAGTTGAGTGGTTGTGGGTGTCCGAAGAGGTATACTCCGAAGAACTCAGACATGTTCTTTTCGACTTTGTAGTATATCTGGTTCCAGGCGAAGCCGTCCAACCACTCTCCTCCCACGAACGCCCTGAGTGTCCTAATGTTGGGAATTCTACGAGCAGGCTCCAGACCCGATGGCCCATACGTCACGTTCGGTGCTGTCATATCGATGATTGTCGCGAGTTCAAATCTCTGTTCTTGTGGACTCGCGGAAGATTGTGCATATCGAGTACGGGCTTTGTCTCGGCGCCGCACCGCGAGACTTTGCTTGACGGGACGAAACCGGAGTATCGGGAGACCTGCACAAAGAAACGACAATCCTCGAAAGCACGCACTCGACCCACTGCTGCTAACAAGTATGGCTGCTTGCGGCATGTATCTACGTCGGAGCGTATGGAGCTCGTCGTAAGGGGCTGAAAGCGGTCGTTCATTCTGGTCATCGCCCGGGACCGCTCGAGCTCACGCAAGTCGACACAGTGCACTTAGATGGGCCTCGAAGGCACATGGCACGTGGACTACATCGTTGCTACACCGAGATCTACACGCCCGCGCTGGACTGTCTTGAGGAGCACTTGATGCATGCATACTCTCCTCACGATGATCAAGAACGAACACCACCCGTCAAGTGCCAGGAAACTTGGAAACGGTTTCGGTGCACTAAAGTGGGAAATTCGAAAAAAGGCTCTATCTGAGTTGTGGTTCTGCTCATACATCGAAACGAGTTACTACCAAAGTGTCCTACCAATCTATGTTCTGCCTCCCCAAAGACCTTGAAGCAGGGTCCTGATATGTCGACATGATCGCTCAAAAGTCAAAAGCAACGCGAGAACCTTGTCCGATCAGAAGGCTGGCTGCGGGCCCCGATGGTCGGGTCCTGGGCAGGTAGAAAGAGAATTTGGCATAAGCTGCCATCACCTCCCTCTTACTCGAGTAGGCACCCCAGTATTTGAGACCCTCATGATTGTCGAGAAAAGCTTTCGCAAGACCATACATACGTTGTGCACCAGGAGTGATAGTTGTGTTCCCACTCCAGTATACCTCGTTGAAGTAATCGTCGACAATCGGCCAAGTTATGGTACCCAGACTTCCATGAATTGTATTGGTGAGCAAAAGATCCATCTTCCGGCCTGGAATGAGGAACGTGTCGAACATATAGTTGGCAGGGAAACGGGGCGCGAAGATGAACGACCCTTTGCCCATCTTGTCGTTCGCAGCGGGGTGCTCGATGATGACTTGTTTGCCGATTCTCTCGAGGATCCATCGGTCTTCCATCTCGAAAGATGGGTCTTGGAAGAACTTTTTGATGGATCCCGATTCCTTTCCCTGTTTCTCTTCGAGCAGTTGGCATATCGCCAGGAACAAGCCGCATTGCTGGACCCAAGATCTGTTGTAATCGGTTTTACATTGCCAGTTGATGTTGCCCAAGCCCATGAACACGGCGGTCTTTATGGTTGCAGTCCTCCCGACAACTTCCCTCAGCTGTTCCCGGGCATGTCTGGTAGGGTCGAAGATGTGTGTCTCCGGAGCCAACGGTTCTGTAAGGAGTTTCTGGACATCCTTGACCTCTTTCCAGATTGTCGGGAAGTAACCGTCTGCCGGTTGGCCGTTGGCAGTAATGGCTCTTCGTCTAAATGCTTTGTGGCCGAAGTACCAATCATCGATACACCTCTCCCAGTCTTCTTCATTGATGCCGACTAGGCCAGAATCATTGCCAGAAAGTGAGTTTTCAGGCAAGGGGAAGAGATTCTCAGGCTCGTCTCGCGGAACTCTGTCCATCGTGTAGTCGTAAGTTGGTCTTTCTTGGCGGAGATTGGCAGTATAGTAATGAGATGCTGATCAGGATATAACAATAGATATCGCTCCATTATCAATATCAGCACAAAGGTTTGAACTCGAAGGAATGAAGGCACCATATCCGCAAGCAGACTCTACTATCGCAGCGTTCTCTCGAGGAATGCGAGTTTATCGAGACTAGAAGCGCGAACATTGCTTTGTTGAGACCGAGATGATGAACGTAGCTTTGTTGGTACAGAAATAGATTTGTATGCAAGCGGTTGAGAACAATGAACTTCGCGGAGGACAAACAGCTGGATGAAGCTGGCCGTAGGGAGTGGGACAAGGTAAGGAATGCACGAATCCAGGGGCATCTTTCCCTACAGTTTTCGGTCCGCCAGCGTCACCCGCCTTCTTCCGACAACGGACGATCGATCATCGTTGGAAGCTATGAATCACATCGGGTTTCGAAAAAACATGAGATTACGACTCGTTTCTGAAGAAGAAAAAGAGTATTGTAGATTGTAAAAGTCGTAGATTCATGTATAGCTTGCGCCATATTATGCCGCATCGATAGCAACCTCCAGTCTACTCCCACAACACTCTGATATAGTGATACCACTTGGTATAAGGCTTCTTAGGCTTACTCGTCGTCATCACCTCATCAAGCCCACTCACAAGATCTACACTCAACGGCGAACGAGCCCACTCATCATGTCTAGCCCAAAACACCTTGTGAACCAGATAAATAATAATTGGAATGGGGATACCAACATATGCCGTAAAGAAACTGGCGATGGACCAGTTCTGCGGCCAGAACACGGTGAATCCATTGATAAAAGTCAAAATGGTGAAAAAGACCATGGCGAACCAAGCTCCCCAGGGCTGCATGATGGTGTTTCGGTAAGGGAGGTCAGAATCGGGGATGCCCTGGGCTTCGATGGCTTTGCGGAAACGGAGGTAGGTAATGCAGCAGCAGATCCAGGAGATGAAAGCTGAAGTGTTGGTGAGGTTGACGAGCCAATTGAACACGACACTCGCAGAGTTTGCGACGTTGAGATAGGCCAGCAGAGAGAACAGCGATGACACTCCCATTGCACGAATTGGAACACCACCTTTGCTGCAATGCTTGAACCAAGCGGGAGCGTTGCCGGCAAGAGCCAAAGAGTACAGACTTCGGCCAGAAAGGTACAGGAATGAGTTTCCAGACGACCAAGCACTGAGGATGATACCTCCATTGATGATCGAGTCCAGGATTGGGATGCCGGCATTCTTGATTCCAACAACGAATGCCGAAGACCCAGCACCAACTCCACCGTTGGTCAATGCCTGATCATCCGAACGGCAAATAACGCCGATAGCGAGAACAGAGAAGATGTAGAAGAAGATCAAACGGTAGAAGTATCTCCTAGCCGCGATGGGAAGGTTACGGCGAGGATCCTCGATCTCACCACCAGTTGCAACCAAAAGCTCGGGGGCGAATGCAAAGGGAAACGCGCTGAGTACCCACGTCGACAGCAGCGCTATGAAGCGTCCAGTGTTTCCTTCGGCAAGGTAGACGTTCGCGGCGCCGGGATCTTGCCAATACCTGAAGCCCAGCCTGTCCTTGGAAGGGCCACCACCGAGACAGATGATGAGTGAAACAAGCAAGAGTCCAATCATCATGACCACTTTTGTACCAGCAAACCAGAACTCAACTTCGCCATAGTATTTGACGGGAAGGAGGTTCAATGCGACAATCAGGACCAGCATGATTGAGATCCAGGCGGCGATGTTGATGGTAGACCCCCAGTATTCGATGACCAGACCAGCTGCTGTGATCTCATATGGTACCAAGATACCCAGAGAGTACCAATAAAGCCATCCCAGAGCAAATCCGAATGAGGGCGATACGAATCGATCTGCGAAGAGAGTCATACTACTACCGCGAGTAGGCAAGTAAGCGGACATTTCAGTGATGGCTAGGGAGATCAGCATATAGCTCTCATTCATGGTGCCTGGTTCGAGTGCTTACCGGTGACGATCATCCAGATCAACGCAGCCATGAAGATGAACGTTCCCAAGATGAAAGCCGGACCACCTCTAGCAAGCGTTTGACCAGACCCGACGAAGAGTCCTGTACCAATCGTGCCTCCCAGAGCGATCATTTGGGCATGTCGTGACTTTAGGCCGCGTTGTGTTGTTCCATATGATTCGTCGAAGACATCGCCAGCTACAGGTCCTGAGGTCGTTTGGTAGATTTGTTCACCCTTCTCATGGTCAACTTCAGACGGAGTCTTCATGATAGACTGCTCGCGTGATAGTCTATTCATGACTGTGGGGTGTTGGTCAATCTGGATGCCAATGCAAGGCGTTGGTAAGAGTAACACAGCCGAAACAATTGAGTGGTCAAGAAGCGAAAAGCTGCAGAAAGCTGAACACAGCGTGAAGGAGAGGACACATCTACAGTGCGGATCTATTATACTTGACTATCTTCTAAGACCACCGACACTGAGATTGCTCCTCAAGGAGGTACGCAGGCCAAGAGATAAGCCCAGATAACAGTGACTGGGCAAAGCAGACCGCAGCAGCGGTGGCATGTATTCGGACCGTCTTCCATACCTGTAGCGGCCACGCACGGGCCAGTCAAGTCTGTGACGAGAGAATTGGATCTGCAGCGCTCTCCCTTGCAAGGACAAGAAAGAAGAACGGCGTATCTTGGTATCTGCTGCACAGACCACTCTTGGTATGATGACCACGCGCTTTGCGTGTCTGGAGATAAGGCTTATACAGGTCTACCTTCAAGCCTCTTCGCTTTCTCGCGGCCCAAGAACTGTCTCTTGCTGTATACTCTCTCGAAACCTCAAAGCAGTGTCTAAGCACAGTGGGAGAGATAGGTTATGAGCGGATGGAAAGAAACGGATGGCTGACAGGCCAAAAACTTGGGGAAACTTGGGGAAGGGACTGTTTCGTTTCTCGGCGGAAACGATGTGGGCCAAGATTTTCTTGCTCTCAAACACCTCCCTGATCCAAGTGTTCTCGAGGACGAAACGCACATCGTCAGCGTCCACATGGGCAGATGGAGTATAACGGAATACGTCCGAGGTCATCTAGAGAAGAATTGGTCAAAGACGGACAAACCCCACCTCTGTACCCCGCCATGTCTAACCGCATGGGGCAGCATGTCCGCTCGAACATTTGCCAAGACAGCTATATAGAGCGGACACAGGAGACTCGATGAAGACCTCGAGTCCAAGATCCTGCTACCATACCAACAACACCTTTCAATCATGTCCTCAGCAACATCCTTCCGCGAGTTGATCGGCGTGCAGCCATCAAAAGCCAGTGTCGCCGATAGCACCCTCATCATCATCGATGCTCAGAACGAATACGCCGAGGGCAAGTTGAAGTGTTCCAACACAGCCTCCTCTCGCAAGGTCATCGCCTCGCTGCTGCAAAAGTACCGCGACGGCAACGGAAAAATTGTTCACGTCGTGCACGATACTCCCGACGGCGCACCTGTCTTCACCCCTGGCACCAAGCTCGCCGAAGAGTTCGAGGAGCTCGCACCAAAGGATGGAGAAAAGGTCATCCACAAGAACTACCCCAGCTCTTTCGCGAGCACCGACCTCCACAAGCATCTCGGCGGCGGCAAGATTGTGCTCACCGGATACATGGTATGTTCATTTGTGTTCCATCTCTTCTCTTGACAATTACCAACGAGTATAGGCGCATGTCTGTGTATCGACAACAGCCAGACAGGGAGCTGAGCTGGGATACGACGTGGTTTGCGTCGAGGATGCAATTGGCGACAGATCGATTCCCGGAGTCGAGGCTGAGGAGCTGACCAAGACTGCGTTGAACGAGATTGCCGATGCATTTGGCACCGTCATTCAGAGCAGTGAGATCCAATAGACGGTAGTCGCAAGTACAACTCTCAATCTTCGTCTTGATGCTTCAAAGTATAGATGGTCAAGCTAAGGCTGTGGCCGTCGGCGAAATCTGTTTCTGGCATGTTGTTTTCGTGATGCGTGTTGACAACAGCCTTCGCGGCCGCGATCGCATCGTCGCATTGTTTGAGTACAAGCTTGTTGCTGTTAAAGTCTATGGTCAGACGAGTTCGGGAGCGCTCGGCCTCGTCGGCGATCCAATGCATGGACGAGCTGACATAGAGCGGTGACTTGACAGCAACCAACATGAAAGGCAGCTCGAGCATCCACTCTATGCAGGGTATGAAGATAAACGTCGACTCGTCTACCAGCTCTTCGGCTTGCGGAGGGTCCAGGACGGTGACAGCAAGGGACTGTAGGAACTCTCGGTCTAGGGAGGTAAAGCGAGGCTCTTGAGCATAGAGCTTGAGCTCGTTGGCGTGGTTAAGTTTCGGTCGCACTGGATGTATCAGCTACCTGTCGAACATCGATATACGTGCTTCGCCGTACCCATTTCTACCATATCCATGAACATGACCAGCTGCCAAACACTCCTGAGACGGTTCGCCCATGACAGACTGGGACTGCCCAAAGCGACGCAGACGGCCTTGTCCAAAGACCATCCTCCCTCGGCCACCTGCCTTGCCAACAGCTGTTGGAGCCATTGGCGCGCTTCACTGTTCGCCCACTGCTGTTTGCATCGGGTATGCTCGTCCAGTAGCTTCTGCACCGTGAGTGATCGATCGACTGGCGGAAGCGAGCTGTCTACTAAAGGCGTGCTGCCGTATCGTGAAGGTGTCGTACGCTCGACCCTAGACCAGCCATCCTCGGATTCTGATATGATCCGCTTGGGATGGTATGGCTTGCGAGCTCTGCGCGACGAGTGCGGCATGTTCGGTATCTGTAAGCAAAAGTTTGTTTATTCCTGCCGATCTCTCAGAATTCATGTGGAATGCCAAGAATACCAACCAAACTACCAGCACCTCTAGCTGTCAGTCCCTCTCATCGAGATTCAACATGCATTGTCAATGGTTCTGCTCGGGGTTTCAAGAGAAGAGCCATCGAGTATATTCGAGCTCTCGTCAGTATCACAGAAATCCTTCGAGTAAGCTGCAGCTGCATCTGCATCAATGATGTCCGCTACCCGATACAGGAACATGCTCTTACACTTTCGCACTATGGACTACTACATCATGCATAGATAAACAAGCTATAAGACGTCCTCTATGTCTGGTTTCCGATGAATTTCCACCTTCCATAACTCTATAGATCCGCAATCTCCACCTAAAATGACCTCCCTCATTCTTCTTCTCGCATTCATCCTGCATCTCGTCACACAAATTACAGCCCAAAGCCTCAATGTCTCAACCTTAGCAGTCCAAAATGGCAGTTCTATACTCGAATGCTGGAGCCTAAATTCGCCCACCTCAGGCGCAGGAGCTCAAAACTACCCTCTCGGTGACTTCAGCGAAGCTTTTATTGGCGCGATCCCTCCACACACATATATCGGTCAAGCATGGCCATCTTGAATACAGTAATCTCCCTCGTTGGCCAATCTCTGCAGTCAGAGCCACTTGCTGATACATCACGTAAAGGTACTCAATGATCCTGCAAGGTCTAGTCCACATCTCCCTGCCCAACAGCAAAGATGAGATATACATCCAACCTGGACCTCTGAGTGTTCTCCTCGTTATTGATCAGCGAAATGTGTCTATCACTGGTCACATCACCGACTTTCCAGGTTCGGAGACGACGCTGATCGCACAATTTCCGGTTTCGGGGAATCTGGTACCTGCTCACACCGTGCTGCATAGCGGACCTTGTGGTCTTGATGATGTGAGAGGGTTGATCGGATGAGTGAGGAGATGCAAGAGAGCTGGCAGTGATGCCTACTAGATTCATAGCGCCATCGCCGATCTAGATTAGCATCGCGTGCAGTCTTCGAGTATGACAGACTCGAGGTCAGCAAATGAAAAATGGAAAAACTACGGAATATTTCATCTTTGTTCATAGTCGTACACCCGATTAATGTTACCCTTGATCTATACCAAAAACCCAACACCTTGCTCGCTGACTTATTCACAAAACCGTAACCAATACCTTGAGAAAAACAATCATCCGGCCATCGCCTGCTTGGGTGTATGCTGATGGTCCGCGTTCGGGCCCCATCCACCTTCCATCTCCTTCGTGGCCTTCTGCATGCGGCCAACACCTCCGCCTCCGACTCTGCTGCTGCTGATGTCCTCTCTTGGCGACTCGACTGCTGTGTCGCTACTAAGGCTCTGCTTCTCTGCTTGAGCTCTTGTGCCTTCGCATTCTCCACTTGCGTCTATCGCACCTGTATCGGCAGGTCCTGCTTCGTTCCCTCCTCTCTGCTCGCGGTTGCCCTGCATAGACTGGTGGTGCATCTCCCTGCGGCCCATAGTTTGGCCATTCGGGGCGACGCTCGATGAGCGTTCATACTCCTCAGGCTGGTCCATTGCGCTGGCTCTTGGTTGCTCGGCAATGCGCATCTCTTTGCGACGCTGACTGAACACCTTTTCAATGTCCTTTCCTTCCTTGTGGGCCTGAATTGCTCGCCTGGTTGCGTTGACGTTCTCGAGCGCGCCGTTGTCCTCCCACACCTTCTCTTCCTTCGACATGCTCAGTCTGCCACGTATTCTACCGCCGTGTTGACGCTCGTGCTTCTTCTTGATATCCCAGGCTTCTTTCATGACTTTCCACCCCTCATTCACCATCCTCTCAGTTTCTGCTACGTTAGCACTCTTGTGAGCTTGGTCGTACTCGCGCAGGGCCTGCATGTCCTTTTGTCCCTGGACAATGTGAGCTCTTCGGATGAAGAATGTGGTACCAGGGCCGCCCATGCGTTTGGTGATCTCCTTGCGAACACCTTGCGCTAGGAAGAATGGAGGAGTAATTATGGCTGAGATATCCTTGAGAACGAAGCCTCCGATACCTCGAGCACAGCCGATACCCAAGCCAGTAAACTTTCCGTGTTTGCTGGTGCCATCCTGCCATCCATGCATTGGCTGAGTTACCAGGCCGGTCCATCCATCGTATATGCCGTAGAACAGCTCTTGTCCGGCAGCTCGCGAGCCAGAATGCATTCCAGTAATGCGGATGGGTTTGCGTACAGATGCATCTCCGTACAACCGAGGTGCGTTATGGAAACCCTGGCCAATTGCTAGACCAAGGTCCAGTGGCATACTTGCGAGGGCGCCGCCAGACTCCAGGAAAGCGTCACCAAACTCTCCAGCCAACTCATGGGCAAGTGCTTCTTCCTCTGCAGATTGAACAGATTCCAAGGTATTGTTTGTCGAGGTGTGCCTGGGTCCAGAGGGTCGTGCTGAATCCTGTGCTGCTCCAGGAACGTTCTTCCCTTTGGCAGCCTCCTTGAGTAACTTCTTTTGCTCCTTTCTCTCGGCTCTTTCTTTCTTTTTCTTCTCCCGTTCTTCTCGCTTTTTGAGGTTCTTTGCAACACTTGTTGGTACCATTCCGACTCCTCTTGCAATCCCGGCTCCTGTCTTTATGAGTGCACCGCCTGCACCTGAAATAGGCTCTCCAGGGCCGTCAAAGTCGTTCCATTCGTAATGCCGCAGAAGGCGAAGCTCTTTCCAGGATACCCTTTTCTGCTCGACCAAGATGTCCGCTGCTAGCGCACTCAGTCTAAGATTCGATGACTTCATCTGCCATACAGCCACTCTGTCTTCAAGAATGGAGCACCTCATGCTGCGCTTCCCTGCAAAGGGCAAACTGCGGTGGAAGCTCTTCACTGCATTTTCTGCACCATCACCTTCAGCAGCAATGCTTTGAGCAATTTCTTCGGCATTCTGACGGGCTTCGTCAGTGAGACATTGCTTGATGCCTTCTGCAAGTTTTTCTGCGTCCAGTTTCTTGTAAGGAATTGCCTCGTGAGCACCAGCCTTAGCTTTTGAGACCATAGCTCCCCAGAAAGGCTGGTCTCCGAAGAAGGGAACAATCATGGTCGGCTACATTACCCAAGTTAGCGTCGCTTCGACTCCACTAGTAAGAAGCACATACCTTCCCAGATCTCAAGCCAGCGGCAGCCGTACCAGCGCCACCGTGATGGATGACAGCCTTCACGCGAGGGAACAACCAATCATGAGGCGTGTTCTCCAGCATGAAGATGTTGTCCGGTGTGTTATCGCCGCCCAGGCCACCCCAGCCCTTAGAAACGAGAGCTCTCACTCCGGCGATCTTGACAGCATCAAAGATCATCTTTGTAAACTTATCCGGGTCATCAACGACAATGCTTCCAAAACCAATGTAGATAGGAGGTTCTCCCGCGTCCAGGAAATCTGTTAGTTCTTTGGGTGGATTATAGTCGCTCGCAAGGTCGAGGAAGACGTAACCAGCAATATCAATCTCCGGGCCCCAATCCTTGGGCTTGGGCACCAGTCCCGGAGACCACAGATACGTGTAAGGTACTTTCATTCGATAAAGCGCACCAGGTGCCCAGAGACTACTCACAGGTTCTAAGCCAAGGGTCTTGACACGGAACCGGTTGACGAGATCACCGAGACCTTGCCATGTCATCATCTCAACTAGGGGATAGCTCATGAAGTTGATGTATTCGACACTAGTGTTGGTTTTCTGTGGACTGATGTTGGCGAGCGGATGAGGGAATGATTGTGTTGGTGAGTATGGAAAGGTGAACATAATGTGCAATGGAATACCGAGACGTTCTGCGATATGAACGTGAGCGAAAGAAGGTGGGTTGGCGATGATCGCATCGGCGACGAAGGGTGCCTTGGTTCCAATCATCTTCATGTTGGCTTTGTCGGACTCGTCGTCGGTAGCGTTGACACACGCACGCCAAAGCCCTTCGAAAATCTCGGCCATACCCTTTCTGCGGCGAGCAATCTCGCCTTGCCTGACAGTCTCAAGACTGGGGATGAGGCCTGGGTTTTTGACCATGAAGGCCATGAGCTCTGAGGGATCTCCTCCAATGCTAAAGAACTCGAGGCCAACGTCTTTCTCAATGAAGTCTTTAAAAGCTGGATGCGTTGCGACTCGCACACGATGGCCATAACGTTTGAGAATGCGTGCGATCTGGAGAAACGGCTGGATATCACCTCGACTACCAATGACCATGATGACGATGTTGAGACGTGGCCTTTTGATTGTTTCATGGAACGAAGACGCGATGGAAGCGGCATCGTCGGAGAAACCATCTTGAGACTCGCTGTCTGTCTTCATATGGTGGTCTTCGGAACTAGCGTCCGAATCATGCTCATCTCGAGAGGCACGTTTGTGAGGCACCCCGAGGTGATTCTGGATTGTCTGACCAAAAGTCTTTGCGATGTATCCATTCCCGGCAGTCTCGCTGACAGAGATGTTGAGTCTACCATCGCGTTCAGAGACGTTGTCTTTTGCTTTGTCTTGGTCATTGCCAACGTTGAGTCTAGAGTATGATTGTTCTCTTTCCATCTTTCGTCGTGGTTGTGTGCCCGTCTGCTGGTTTCTTTCAGAACCGCTTTCCGAGGACGATGATGAGGCCGAGTCGGATCCGTCGGTTTGGCTGGGTTGTCGAGCGTGAGTGTGGGATGTACTTCGCTGGAGAGCATTCATAATGGTGGCACTGCGAGGCATGGCCTTTGGTCTTTCTGTTTGCCATGATCTCTCGAGACTAGGACGGTCGCCGACTTGGAGTGATTGTGTGTTGGTTGGCTTGGAGACGTTCGCTGGTGTCTCTGCGTGGTCGACCCTTTCGATACCACGTTCCGGACCATTGTTCTGTTGTGGTTGTCCCCCGAAGTAACCTTCTTTCTCGGCGCCTTGGTAGAGAGCAGTGGCCGGGGTATGATATACTGAGGGCGAATCGTCTCCATCGACGCCGTGTTTCGGAAACTGCGTCTCTGGCGGTACGATGGTAGGAACAAGTACTTTCCCCTTGTTGTCGGTGAGGACACTCGGACTCGTCTCTGCCTCGCAGGGTGGTCTGCTTGCTTCGGATCCCGCCATCAAGGGTATATCAGTGCTGATATATGTACGGCGGCCGTCAATCCTAGTGGGCCAAGTGAAGCCTGGTGGAAGCAAAAAGTTGGAGTGCCCGTGTCGACGAGTTTCGCATCAATTCAAAACGACAGGGGGGAGACAAGGATGATAGACAAGTAGAGCCCCTAGTCTAGCGTTCGCAGATGCCTTCCGCTGCCCGCAATTCAGGTTTCTCTAAGCGTCTCTATCGATGATGAGATGCAGAGTCAATCCCGATGCGGATGCGGAATTACACTGTACAAGGAAAGAGCGATCTCAAAATGACGTCAACGCGCCCGGATTTGCGCGAAAGCTTGAGTAACGCAACCCGCCCCCCACAGCGGCTCTTGCTGCCATGCGAGGTGATGATGAAGTCTATGGCGCAACACTTGTAAACCTCCAAAACCTTCGTCCGACGAGCAGATGGCTGTAGTCGGAGTCTTTACATGTGCGTAGTAACAAAGTCCATAGGTACACTACAGCCTGCATGGTCTTGAAGATCGATCTGAGGCCGAAGGATGCTGCTGTGCGTCTCATTACCAACGCTAGCAGCTTATAGGACCGATCTACAGTCGCTGATTCGTTCACAGCCCAGTTAAAGTGGTCGAGTGACGAGTCGGAGAAAAGGCGTCAAAACACTTCAATTAAAGCCGTGCCTGACTCTGTGCCCAAGGGTCGCATCGGTGGCCGTATATTATTGGCCATTTGTTTTTCAGCTGCGCCCACCACTGCAGACTTTCTCAGAAGTCGAGACCAAGCGCTTTCCTGTGTCCGTGATTTCTTCTCGTATTGACATCATCACGATTCCAATGGACTTGTTGCTCGAAACCACCATTGCACAATTTTTACAAGTCTAGCATCAAACCATGTACCCGGGGCAACGGATCTCTGGAAACATGGAAGAAGCTACAGGCGCCGGATGGTGTGCGTCTCAAGGGTATCATCCTTATCGCGACCTCGACCGACAGTCGGGAAATCCTCAACTGCAGAACCTCCCCGACCAGCAACAGAGCCTTGTCGAGGGTTCTCGGCCTTCTGGCAATAGTGCGCGCTCAGCCAAGGAAAGGCCCTGCGATGCGTGTCGCCGGCGCAAGACGCGATGTGTCAAGGAGAAAGGCGAAGATAAATGTGTCCTGTGCAAATTTCATACTCAGGAGTGCACCTACCTACACGAGCCAGTCGCCAGGACAAGGAAACGAAAAGCTCAACCTACTGAAGAAACCGACATGGGAAACGCAGACGACAGTCCACATGTGCTTCGAACCAATGTAGGAACTGGCGTGGAAGAGTACGACGAACTTCCTGGGGAAAGCTTGCTGAAGAAGACGCTTGGGCTTCAGAACAAGCATCATGCTTACTTTGTCGGCCTGACTGAACCTTTCTCCTTTCCTCGATTTTCAATCACCAAGGGAAGCTCGCAGAAGTCTACGCAGGGCGGTGTTGTCACAATCCGAAAAGTCGATGACTTCAATGCTTTCACCGTCCGCGAAGACCAAGGCACCATCGGCTATGATACCGAGATGAGTCGTGTAGATGCAATACAGCAGCTGGTTGAGCCTTATGGACAGGCTCTCGTCGACCTATACTTCCGTATCATCCATCCATCGTTTCCCATCCTCCATAAAGGCGTTTTCCTGGAAAAGTATGCACGCTCCTACCGCGAGTTTTCACCTGCTCTTCTGGCAGCCGTCTATCTTCTTACAACCAACTACTGGAGGTGCTCGCCGGTCCTAGCGACAAAGCCTGCGCCAGATGCCTGTCGTCTCTACGAGTTAGCAATAGAGTCTTACGATCTTACCATTCATCGCCCCAAGCTCTCGTCGGTCCAAGCGGGGCTGCTGATTGCACAATACGAATGCTATAGTTCGGATATCATGGCCTGTGGATCCAGAGGTAAACTTACGGCACAACTTGTTTCTATGACACATACCATGGGGCTCCATCTAGACTCATCACGATGGGATCTGCCAGCTTGGGAGATCAGCTTGCGCTGCCGTCTTGCCTGGGCTGTCTACCTGCAGGACAAATGGGTGGCTCTGATCGAAGGCCGGCCAGCTTTGCTTTCGGATCGTGATTGGATTGTGCCTCTCTTGCAGCACAAAGACTTTCCAGAACATGAAGAGCACAATGAGGAAGGTAGTTCGGAAGTCGAGAACAGCCGTATCATCTTCATCCAGATGATTGAGCTCACTCGGATACTTTCTCATATTCTGGACACAATCTTCAGCTTGCGGTCACATCATGCCATGGAAACGTCACACGATCCAGTTGGGATCCTTTTGAGTAAAACGCAGCCCTTGCAGCGTCGACTTAGTGCCTGGTCCGATTCAGCAATGGAGGTACTATCTCTGGAAAAAGCTTCGTCCATGCGACTGACTTGTATAGGTGAGATCCGTGTTAATCATTTGGCTGTGCACACTCGTTGACCATCTCTAGGGTACCTCAGACTTGCCCATCTTGCTGTCGATGTCAGTCTGCATCGACGTATCATATGCCAGTCCATGTCTCGTGGTTCAGACCCGAACGTCGCTGCGGCGTGCCGCGTCGCTGCCAAACAGAGATGGCTATCTGCGCTTGAATTCGTGGATAGTCTGAAGGCGCGACACCTTAAGTCATTCTGGTACTTTAGCTCGACCGCATGCTTGACATTGCTGATCTCTTTTGGCAATGTTCTTGTTGGATCTGCCTCTGACTCGCCTGAAGAACAATTCTATCTCGACAAGCTAAAGGAGTTCCGATGGACCCTAAAGATCAATGGTGAGATGGGCGCAAAGTTCATGAGCGCAGCTATCAGATCGATGATCCTCGATGCCAAAGAAATTCGCAAGCCCGAGTCTTCTATCACGAGTTCAGTCACTAGTCCTGAGTCGAGGTCCGGATCTGGCTTTGGCAATCCCTCTCAGCCTGCGTTTGGAAGTGCTCCTATTCAACCAAACGCGGCCCCACTAGGATCTTCAGGGGTCACGTCTGGCTGGGTGACGCCGGCAAGCTATCCTGACTCATCAGTCTTTGCTGGCTTCGCACCAAATATCTCTCTGCAGATGCCATACATTCCTGGATATAATACTTGGGCGCCCCCCTTCGAGAATGGCCAATCAGCGAATGGCTACCTCGACCACATGTCTGGCTGACGGACACATACGAATGCGACGAATTTAATGGACACGTGTAATGAACCTGCCGCCAAGGCAGTAGTATTCATGCAATAAAGCGAACTTCCATCGCGGAGGCAATCCCTACTTCTCACATCTCACCTTTCTTGGAGGGATGCTTTGAGACCGTTTGAATTACGACATATTATGTGCATCTCATGAACGAAGACGCATTGTGTATGGTACGCGGTGGAAATGGCCGAGCTCATGCATGAGCTCAGAAATTATCACCATCAACTTACGGAGAGCTTTACTGCTACACAAACACATGAACCACGAATTTTACGAAAAGAAAGCTATCGAGGGGAGCATTAATGATTGTCAGAAATATTTGCGGGCGGATGTGTCTGGTTCCGCTTCCGCTTCCGCACCCACCGGTGGCTAGGAGATCGGGCCTCTGCTGGTTGAAATGCCGCGAACCAGACGATCGAGTGTGTGCTGCCTGTGTCGGCTTGGTTCGGGGCGGAAGACTCAACCACGGTCTTGAGCCCCGTCAAACACACTTTGGTCGCGGGACAGATGCCACCCTTGACTTATCAATAAGCAGACGGAGTTCTGCCAATTGCACAGAGCTACACGCTGCACAAGTGCATGCGGAAGCAAAACATCATCGAAGCTTAGAATGATATGCGTGGCTACAAACATCTTTATGACACAACCTTGGCGACACATGGAAAAGCTTGTACCGGGAGCACTACTCCGAGACATATTGTTCGGATCTTAAAGGTACCACTCGTGAGAGAGGTGTCTTGACTTTGGGCTCTTTGGAAACAGCCGAAATTGTGTGATTGGTGAAGCGAAGGGCGAACACTTTTGATCTTGAGTACAACGCCCTGGTCGCTATCACGCTTCAAAGTTTCTCTACAGATCTGGTCGCTGGCGCTTCTTTGAAGCCATTGATGCCTAGTGTATGTCCCTCTGCCGATGTCACGCTGACTCATGGTCATTCATGTCTTTCATGATTTCTTGCCTATCGTCAACTCGAGCTGGCGGTGGGTGTGTCGTGACGGTTGTCGGTCTCATACACGAGGTCCTGGTTCGAGCAGTTATGCATTGGTATGACGCGCAGCAAGGAAAGGTGTGCGGCTGAGGGGAGTGATTACGAAACGCATTCGGCTCGAGGTAGGTGGAGGCGACTGTTGTTCAATTAGCAGATTGGGTCAATCGTGTTCTAGTGTCGCGCTGCCTTTGACAAGACACCGGTCTTCAAACCCCCCTAACAGTCGCAATGCTCCCGGTACAGTCAATGGACCGAGAGACAGCTCTTACCTACAAGACTCGACAGCGTATGGTCTGCGCCGAGATATGAGGCACATACAGACACTCCATCGAGTACCTATCCTCATCATAGCGCTGCCGACCGACGATATCACTGACATGAACCTAGTTGGTAGCAAGCTAATGTGAGAAACGTGTTCAGCATATGGTAGTTAGCACTTCGTACATTCACGCCATCGTACTTGTGTAAGGAGCCACCCAGAAGTGTTTAGTTGCCTCTACGCCTGTAACAGGCACTGAGCATCCGCTACTCAATGGCAGCGCCGGACTATGTGTAGCAGTGTTGGACTGGATTCTGCACGACAAGAAGAGCACAAGGACTCTTTTGAAATGCATGCACGACTAGTCGGTCCAATACTGTCTTCTCAGGGGTTGCGACGCGTCTAAACGGAAGGTGTTGCGATATTCTTTTGTGTTGTTGTAGCAGATGGCTGTTCGGTAGGCGCGGACCGTCTTGCTTGACTTGTTGATAAGCAGACCATTGCTGTTGAACCGTAGCGACAGGCGTACTTCTCACTTGGTAACAAGCGAGCATCCGGTTACGCTGTTGCTTCGTCTGGCGTAGACGGCGTGACCGACGAGGCGTCGTGACAGGTAGGAGCAATGAAGTGTATCGATCGAGGAATGCACAACGTCTCTGCGATAAACCCCAGACAACGCTTTGCCGTGTATGGGCGTGCAAGTCGGTCGGGAGATGAAGTCAGTACGAGCTGCGAAGATTTTGCCCCTTGGCTTGGGTGGTGCGTCCATGCAACCATGCGGCTCAAACAGAGGTCACACCTTGCAAGTCCAGCAGCGTTGATAATAGGGTTCAGGCCACAACCTTCGCACATCGCCACTCCATCAGAGCTTATGCATATCGTTCGTCGATCGAACCACTGCTGTCAGCTGTAGAGGAGTCGTCATTCATGGTCTGTAACATGACCGTCTCGAGTATCTTGTGCACAATTGATATCGCTGCACGTTCGTGATGCTGACCATCTCAAAATGCCTCATCCATAGAGGGAAGCCGTGACTGCGACCAGGAACCAAACTCTATCCATTTGTTGCTATCATCTGGTGCTCTCTCGAAGGACTCGCATAAGATATCCTTGGTGTCGTGTACAATCATCACACCAAGTCGATCTCATTAGACATGATCCCACGTCGCACCTCACTCGCAGGCTTCGGAAGATCGATCTTCATACTTCCTCTCGAAACCAATATCATTGCAATCTTGTTCGATGTGTATCCATCCTTCGACCAGTCACTATGATGACTTACGAAGCTTTGCAAAAGCAGACGTGAAAATGCAGTAATCGTGCCACTACCACATGGTTCGATTTGAGCGAGTCATACTTCCGGCAGTAAGGTTTCATGCATCAAAATCTGTTCACAAGAAGATACTGTAAGCTCGACTCGTGCTGCAGTCTTTGCGTACGAGGCCTTGCATACATGTCAACTGATTCTTGCAATTTTTCTAGTCATGACTAGCGACTAAGGCGCATGGCGGCTCCCACCATGATGATATTTTCTAGCGTCGACGCTGATTGTGTATCGCAAAAGCCCATGACCAACTTTTAATGTCCTGTCGTATTACCGTCTTTTATAGCATCAAGTTAATGGTCTTCCTCCAGTCGATAAATGATCAACATCGCGAGCTATCTGGCTTGAAAGGATAGATAAGGTTCGAATCTTATACACGAAGCCAAAGCTTGTGAAATTGCATTGACTGCCTTGACCGCCATCGCCATGTACAACATGGCATTTCACAAAGGTGCAGCTGCAAACTCGAGTGTTTTTGTGATTAGTCAACAGAGAGGCTTGCATGATCAGCAAGAGTAAGCGAGAAGTAGAAAGTCAATCGGGCGTGTGCCAACCCATCACACCGACACTCGATCCTTTGTGCTTCACGACCTCAGCCCACCATGGAGCTACCAAATGCCATTCCCTATGCATTCGAGTTTCGTCCAGAGTCGACTGCATTGGTCATCATTGACATGCAGCGAGACTTTGTCGAGCCTGGAGGTTTTGGCAGCATTCAATGCGGCGATGACAAAGTGTTCAATGCAGTGCGTAGGATTGTCCCTGTGGTCCAGCGAGCCTTGGAAGCATCTCGGAAGCTGGGACTTTATGTCATGCACACTCGAGAGGGACATCTCCCCGATCTATCAGATTTACCCGCGTCTAAACGACTGAGACAGACGAACGCTCCCAATGGCCATCATACTATCGGTATTGGAGAGCCAGGACCTATGGGTCGGTTGCTTATCAGAGGAGAGTATGGCCACGATATCGTTGACGAGCTTAGGCCTTTACCAGGAGAAGTAATCATTGATAAGCCTGGAAAAGGGTCGTTTTGGAAGACAGGCTTTCACCGAGCGCTGTTGAACCGAGGCATCACGCATTCGTTGCTTGCTGGAGTGACTACCGAGTATGGTATCCTGCCGTTGATAGGGTCTGCTGAGTTTGAATGGTAACAAGGATATAGGTGCTGTGTAAATACCACGGCTCGTGAGGCTGCCGATCGTGGCTTCGAGTGCTGCATACTGAACGAGTAGACACCTTGCATCAGTATCGTCTCTTTACTGTCTGAACTGCTGATCTGTATTCACAGCTGTACCTCCGGCTTTGATGCCAACCTGGTGACGAGCGCCAACGCTACTATCTGTGCCTACGACGGTCTTTTCGGCTACGTCGGTACATCTCTATATCTCCTCAGATTGTGCGAGTCTCAGTCATCATTCGATTCTGTTATGGATCCTTCGACAGCACTGAAGAGCATGTCAATCTCAGATCTCTCTCAAGCTTATCGTCAGAACACACTAAGGCCGATGGATGTCATTCGAGCCGCTGCTGAAAAGGCATCAGAGTATCTCCGTCAGAATCCATGTGTGGCGACCATTCTCACCAACCCGGAAACATTGATTCGAGAGGCAGAGAGCTTGCAACAAAAATTCGTTGGTAAACCACTACCGCCGCTCTACGGTATCCCCTTTACAATCGGAAGATATGAGGACTATGCAGAGATAGACGCTTTGGTTGATGCTGGTGCCTTGTTGGTGGGAAGTCTTTCTGAACCTTCGGCCTCAGTGGCTGGCCTCGGCGTGTCGTTCGCTCTAGATAGCTATCCGTCCAGTATCGCCCGCACTCGGACGTCGACAGGTGTCACTGTGTTCGATCCGACCTCCGTTCGTGGCAGACCTCCAAAGCCATCGGGAGACTGGACCGACGTCGATCGTAGCTCAGTCCAGCGAGGAGGCACACAAGGTTTGGCTGGTCATCGACCAGGGCCCCAGCGACGAGGAAAATACGCTGATCGTGCCTCGCAGCGTTGTCGACTCATGGGTCTGGCATGTCGACTTTTGTGGTACAAAGACCGGTGGCTTTGTGTTCGGCTTGCTCAGAGACAAATCTTGCTGCTCTGATGTTTCCCACCATCTCCGTACTCAAAAGGCTATTCAGCAACTTCAAGCAGCCGGCGGCCGAGCCCAAGAAATTGACTACGCCGTGTTCGAGCAAGCCAAAAAGGTCAATCGGGACATGTTTCTGTTGGCGGTCAAGGAAACTGTTAGCATGCAGGCAGTATTGGAGCTTCAGGTCAGGCAGTTGGAGTTGTCTCGAGCAGCGACAAAGATTCTGGAAACAGTCGATGTCTTGGATGACCCCATGACAACATGTTTATGTCACTCTGCCTGCGAACGTGCGGAGCAAACTCGCTGTCTTGTCGAGAGCTTGGGGTTGTGTGGCATCAGTGTCGACTCCGGGCTTATTCAGACGCAACAGGGATACAATGGACTAACGCTTATGCTTGTTGGGGGAACAGGGAGGGATGGGAGGATACTCGATATAGCACGGGAACTGGAAAAGACGATGTCACACCGATTCGCGTAGACCAGCTTCAATCCGAAGTGCGCGGCTTCATGGATGGATCTTGAAACATCACAGAAAACGGCGGAAAGAACAGTGCATGAGTGCATCACATGACAAGAAACGGCGGAACGGAACGGAACAGAACATGTGTGGTAAGAAATGGTATTAGGTATTCTTGAAGATCCAACATTCATAGACGTAGCCCTGCTAGTCTTGTAAGCAGCTCAAAAGCTTGCCGGGTATTATCCAAAACGCGATATCATAACTTTTATTTAGGCCTTGTTGAACAGAACGGCTCTGTATCTCACGTTGCCCTCGTCAAGGTCCTTCATGGCCTTCTCAATGCCCTCCTCGCTCATTTCGTAGTGCTGGGTGATGGGCTTGATCTGGTGGTGGGCGGCGAACTCCAGCATTCTCTTGTGGATGAAGCGGGGAGCGACAATGGAGCCCTGGACGGTCAGACCCTGGGCGAGGAGACCCATGTAGGGGATCTTGAAGTCACCCTCGTCGACGGAGAGGGGGAAGATGGTACCGCCAGGGGCCATGACGGGCAGGTAGAGGCTCCAGTCGACCTGAGCGGAGGTGGTGACGAGCAGACGGTTGATGGGCTTGACGTCCTTGAACTCCTTGATGCCCTTGGTGGCGTAGAACTCGCTGGCACCGAGTCTCTTGGCCTCCTCCTTCTTGGAGTCGGTACCAGAGAAGACAACAACGTCGCAACCCATCTTGGCAGCGAACTGGATGGCCAAGTGACCGAGACCGCCAACACCGACAATACCGATGCGGTCGGTAGGCTGGGTGTTGTACATGTGGAGAGCGTTGAAGACGGTGGCACCACCGCACTGGAGAGGGGCAGCAGCCTCGTCGGGAAGGCTGTCGGGAGTCTTGAAGAGGAAGGCCTCGCGCCAGACACCGTGGGAAGCGAACGAACCCTGGTCGGCATCGGCGTAACCGTACATCTTTCTCTCGGGGCAGTAAGTCTCGGTACCCTTCAGGCACTGCTCGCAGTGGGAGCAAGAGTCGTGCTCGTAACCCCAGCCAACGCGGTCACCCTTCTTGAGGAGAGTGCAGGCAGGGCCCGTCTCCTCAACGACACCGACACCCTCGTGGCCGAGAGCCATATCGGCCTTGCGGTAGTGCATGTCGGTACCGCAGAGACCCGAGGCGGTGACTCTGATGTAGACCTGGTCGCCGCTGAGGGCGGGCTTGGTGTTGGTGGCCTTCTTGATGGCACCGGACTCGGAGCCCTTGTAGACAGTGTATGAGTAAGTCATTTTGGGTGATGTGATGTGATTGAGAATGGAATGAGAACAAGCAATGGCAAGCAGATGGAGAATTGGCCTTTATGAAGAGGCCCCTCCCCCACCAACGACTCACGGTTTATCGCCGCCACTGTCTGCTTACAAAAGGCATGGCCCAACAATTCGCTCGTGCTCTTTACCAATCTGCCATGACGTTTCACACGGTCCACCGCAGGGTGTTATCGGTGATCAATGTGCAAGGGGTCTGTAGCAATTTGGAACTACCGAGTGTTCCGGCGAGGAGGCCCGATGGGAAAAAATCATAAAAGTTTCAAGCCGACGTCATGTTTCACAAGACACGTGGGAATAGCAGCCACCAGAAGCCAAGGGAAGCGAGAGCTTGGACCCGCCCGAGCTCATCAATGTTCGAGATCTGAATCCCCTTTGATTTGCTTGTCTGCTGCACTCTGGTGCCATCTTCCATGAACGAGTCGTTGGCATCTACAGCTTTGGAGATGCTTGGAGTCGCCCAGCACTTGATCTTCTGCTTATGCACCAAGGTGCTTCAAGGTGTGGACTGATCGCGACGCACGCTCAGGATGACGTGGCTGCAAACCATACGATAGCCGCGATACTTAAACGAACCTCGGAAAACGACCTCGCTTTCTAATCAGCAATCATAGCCTCGATCGTTTTTCATGCCGACGCTTGACACAGGCCTCCCGAGTCGCAGCGCCCAACACCTCGCAAGCTATCCAACCATGATTCTGAAGCGAAAGCAGCTGTGCAGATGAATTCAACGATGGCTGACTACAGTTCAATGTATTCACTTCCACGCGGATGCGAGCAAGAACACGAATTCTTTGTGTGAGACCGTTTTGACTCGAGTAGATGATCAGCCAGAACTGCCTCTCTTTGTTCGAAGGTCGAAATGAGCAGGAAGCCGGAAATGGGTAGGGACAACATTTTCATTGTTATGGACATTCTTTCACGTCCTCGGTTGTGGGTACATCTCTATCGCAGCTCCATAGTATTGCAATGTCTACGAGTATCTTCAAGGTACATGCGCAATGGTTAACATTTCTCGAGTCGTCGCATTGTTTGCGTTTGCTACAGTCAGCGTTGCAGACACATGCAATCCCTTGAACACAAAATGCCCTCCCAATGTAGGACTGGCAAACGGTACTTACGCAATCGATTTCACACAGCAAACATCAATCCCACCTGACTGGACTCTATCCAACTATGCCAGCATCAAGTTTGGCTCCAAGGGAGCTGAGTTCACCGTAGCCAAGCGCTTCGATTCTCCTCAACTGTGGACCAATTTCTACATTCATTATGGCAAGACCGAAGTCGTAGCCCAGGTCGCCCCTGGAACAGGCATTGTCTCATCTGCTGTTCTCATGTCTGACGATCTCGACGAGATCGATTGGGAATGGTCAGGAAACAATTTTGGAGATACTGTTTCCAAGGGACAGAACAATTACTACGGAAAGGTACGAATCAGTAAGAGTGTAGCTGGGTCATGTTACTGAAACGCTGTCGGCAGGGTATAACCGGAAACTACGACAGAGGTAGTTTCTTCAACATTGCCTCTCCTCAGACACAGTTCCACACATATACTGTTGATTGGACCCCTACGGCCTTGACTTGGTCTGTTGATGGCACCGTTGTCAGAACCTTTTACGCCTCAGATGCCGACAACGGCTCTCATCAATACCCTCAATCGCCAGCTAAATTTCAATTGGGAATCTGGGCAGGAGGTGATCCTGGAAATGCATGGGGTAAGCATAGATACGATCGAGCTCTGAGATGCTAGCTAATGACTGCCAGGCACCGTTGATTGGGCCGGAGGATACACTGATTTCACAAAAGCCCCTTTCACTATGTACGTGAAGAGTGTCAAGATTACCAACTACAGCCCCGCATATGCGTATAACTACACGGACAATTCTGGAAGCTCTGATAGCATAAAGTACCTTTCAAAGCCGGTAGTTTCCTCATCCAGCACTACAACTGCTCCTGCTTCTAGCTCTAGTTCGAGAGTTTCCACAACATGTGCTGGAGTTCCTCCATCGGCACCTACACAAAGTGGAATCGTCTCTGGCTGTACGCAATGGTACACCGCTGAGTCGGGCGATACATGCCTCACAATTTCTGCAAAATTCAACATATCCAACTCGCAGTTTATGGCATGGAACCCGGCAGTGAACCCTCCGTTGTGCTACAACATGTGGCTGAACTACGGCTATTGTGTTTCAACGGATTGTTCTCTTGTAAGCGCATCATCGACGGTAGTGTCTACAATCAGCTCGACTAGCTCGTCCCGGTCCACGTCTGTCTCTACAGGCACTGCTAGTTCGGTTTCTACTATTGTTGTTTTGTCCACTCCGGTGCCAACTACTACCATCAGTCCAACATCGAGCACTAGCAGTTCCAGAAGCTCTGCTGGCTCTAGTAGCTCCAGCACCACTTCTCGGACATCGTCTTCATCAACCACATCAAGATCAAGCCCTTCGAGTAGCACGTCGCAACCCTCTTTGCCGCCGTCGGTTGTGATAATTTCGCAAACCACGACTGCTAGCTCATCTTCCTCGGCTTCATCACCAACACCTTCTATCGTGTTGTGTCCTGGTTCAGATGGACAGAGTATGACAAGTCGCGGAAGCAATGCTTATACAATCAACTGCGCTTCTGACTCTAATCAAGGATCTTACGCGGTCACTTACGCTCTTCATTCTTACCTTGATTGTTTGAACTTGTGCGATGCAGCAGCTAGTACTGGCTGTACAGCGTTCACATATGTGGGCAACTCCCAAGGGAACGGATCTGGCATCTGCTATCTCAAAAGCGCATCGGGCACTATCTTGGCGGTAGCGGATAACTACATCTCTGGTACATTGTCTGTAAAGAACTCGAACTCGATCGGGAGCAGCACGTCTTCTACAGCGTCTTCTACTGTAGCAGCGACCACTTCTTCGAGTGTCCTACCTCTCGCCAGTCCTGCTGCTCAGCTCTGTCCCGATGCCGAAACGCAGCCATTCGTCAATTCTCAAGGTGAATCTCTCTTCTTCATGAGATGCAGTTCTGACACCAACTTCGGGTCTTACAGCAACAGCATGGCTTTGACTTCCTGGAAGGACTGTATGAACAGCTGTGAGAGTGATCCGAGATGTGTCGCCTTTACTTACGTTGGTGGCAACAAGGGGATCGGTTCCGGAGTCTGTTGGTACAAGGACAACAAGGGTGAGGCGGTCACCGCTGGTCCAAACTACGTTGCAGGCTTTCTTGCCGCCAAAGGTGTATCGCCGAGTGCATCTGTGACCAGCGTTGCAATGGCGGCGGTGTCTTCGGGCTCTCCATCGACAAGCCCTTCGATATCCAGTACTTCCACTATTTCCACTGCTTCGACAATTTGGGCCACGAACTCGGCCGGTAGCGACTATACTATCTACAGAAGCAGTGATACCAACTATGGTGCATATGCCAACGTCCAAGCGACTAACTCTTTCCTCGATTGCACGACTGCCTGCGACAAAGACTCAAACTGTAAGGCCTGGACATACGTCGGAGCAAGCGAAGGCAAGGGGAGTGGTACTTGTTGGCTGAAGAGCCAACTTGGCCAGCCTGTCCCAAGCAACAGTAACGGCGTCATTTCAGGTTCACGCTTGACTCAAGGTGTCAGGATGCGCCGAGCTGTATCCAGTTGGTGGAACAGTGTCACGTCTGTCAAGCCCACAGCCACCAAGACTCAGCGTGTTGCTACCTCCATACCTAAGGCACCGCCACACCCTGCTTGGGCTCGGTACTACCCTCATGGCGGACGATGGATGTGGAATGGCCACGGTGATTGGGAATGGGCCTGGAACTAAGTTCACGTGTGTTGTTCTTCCGCAAGTTCTGTTTTTCCTTTCCTGATTCGTTCTTTCCTCGGTATACTATTCTAGAAATCTACGGTCGATTCTTGTTGGCATACACGCGGCACATGCATATCATAAGAGAAGTGTCACAGTCTTTGACTTTCATTGACAAGCCCTTTGTCTTCGACTTCAGACTGCTACCTTGATTCATACAATTCGTTGATCTTTGCTTGCACTCTTTGTCTCATTGTGTGCTTTGCCTCATTGATATTCTGCCACTTGATAAGCAAGGACAACCACCTCTCCGCGCCTTCCTCCTTTCTCAGAACTTTTCAAACTCAAAAAAACACCAAACATCAAAATCCACTGACAACACACTTCAAATCATGGGCAACAAAGTCGCCGCCTCCTTCGGCATCGTAATGGCCATCTTCATCCTCCTCGCCCTAACCTTCTGGGGGTTCTCCGCAGCCAAACACTCACGCCACAACACAGCCTCCCACAATGCACAACACCACGCTCAAGTAGACGCCTGGATGACCCGTATGCACAGAAAGACTTGGAGAACCTCTCACGTTGACCGTGATGTAGAAATACAAGTCCCCGTTGCTCATCCTTCTTTGCCGCTGCAGCGTCCTGAAAGTGCGTATGTAAGAACCGGGCCTTCGAGGGTTGCTAGGATGGGCAGGTTGGATCTGGGGCACAGGAGTCAGAGGGTGCAGTTTTGTGATGTGCCGTTGACGCCTGTGCAGAAGGGTCAGAAGGCAGTCACGCCGGCTGGCTTTTTCTAATCGAGGTAAGGTAGATGTGGTAAGTCACCATGCCTTAGGGCAGCAATGCGCTTTCTAAAGCACTTCTGGTAGCAGGTCTACCGTCAATTATGATAATTTTCATGTTTCTCCCTCAATTATCGCTCGATCTCTATCGTGACTGTAATTTCGTGACTAAATCAACTTGTGCTTCATGTACTTGAATCGCAGGAAATGTGTATGGAACGTGTGCAATATGACTATCTCATGCTATAGGATAGTTTAAGCGGACAGAGTCTCTGACCTTTCGGTCTTGCCTTCGAGTGTTGTGTCGACTTGCTGACCCTTGGCCGCCAGAGCTTCGGTTCTAGATTGGCTGTTCGGGTCCAAGTAGGGCACCTCGCCGATTCCTACAGCACGGTTGCCGAATCGCTCTCCCAGCCCTTCGTAGTCGAAGGTAGCGCTGTGGAAAGCACTGCGGTTGTCCCAGATAGCTGTACGTACTTGTAAGTCTATGTTCCCCAGAAGAATGACCATGAACAGCATAGTGCTTACCAATGTCGTTCTCGTTTCTCCACTTGAAGCGAACCTGGAGATCATGATTCTCTGTAATGACCGAATGGAACTTCTTGAGTAGCTCCTCCGACTCATCCGTGTTCAATTTGTTGATGAACTTTGGGAAAGGGCCTAGAGCGAAAATACTCTTCCACCCAGTGACAGGATTGGTTCTGACAACAGGGTGAACAGCTTTGAGCTCTGTGCCCACATTCAAAGGACTACCACGCTCTTTCTCGTAAATCTTGACCTTGTCAGGGTTGGCAGCAGCGGCTTTGGTGAAACCTTCGCCGGAAAACGTGGCTGTCAGACCTTCGAAGAATTTCTGGTAGACTGGCGAGAATCTGTCGTAGATTTCGTAACCGGATGCCCACACGGTATCTCCGCCGCTCTTTGGGAGCTGAGTCAGGCGTAGCGAGGTGTAATCGGCTGGAACAGGCTCGAATTGGATGTCTGAATGCCATGAAGCGGCATCGTAGCGGCGTTTGCCACGTGCATCGTTGTTCTTGAAGATAGCCTTTCTTTGCAAAGAGCTGATAGTACTGATCTCGACATCGTCGACACCGAACTCGCTTGTGTTGTTCAAAATTGGATGGATGTGCAGAGTCGATGTCGACGGCTTGCCAGTCAGTTGGCCAAGCCTGTGATTCAATTGCTTCTGCAGGGTGTTCGTGAGGTTATCCTGCTTGCGGAAGAAGACAACTCCTCTTTCCGAGACTGTACAACATTTAGCGGTGAAATATCGAAAGAGCCACGATGCCAACGTACTAGTAATGGCGAGGTCACGAATGAGCTCATCGGCGTTAGAGGCGTTCAGAATATCATCAACGATGTTGACATCCAGGAATTCGCGACCGATGACAGGAGTTGTTTCTTCAAAGCTGAACTGCTCAAGTGCACCAGATTGCTTGAGTGGCTCAGGAAACGAGGACTGATCGGCAGCAGACATTGTTGACTTGAGGCTTTGGTTTGAGTCAGGCTCATTGATGAGAGGCAGTGTTCATCGACTGCATAGGCGACACGCTTGTTAAATATCTCTTGCTGTTTGAAGTGTGAGCTGAGTATCGAATGCCGTGCCTTAGAGGACACATCGCGCAATACTGATAACGAGCACGCAAAACCTCAACAGCATGAGCGGAGTCAGCAGAGGTCCTGCTAGATCGAATGCTTGAGTAGGTTTAGCCGTGTATCTCTGCCGGTCGACGTCGGGGAATTCAGAGCTAATAAAGGTATAGTCGAGCAGTCTAAGGAAACTACTGTTATGATAGGACTGTTTCATATCATACGCATCAATTTGGCAACTGCTTAAGGATGAGTATGGATGTCGCCCGTACGCTTTGCCGAACTTGATAAGATGCTCAGTCACTTCCCCTCACAACTTGTCAATTCGAGGTTGACCATTGGATTGCCAAGACAATGGATGCAAAGCACGCAATATTACGACAGAGCATCACCTACCAGCAGTTTCTAGGGCATGCATGGTGATTGCGATATTGTCGCGACGATATATAAGGGCTTGTCGTGCCGCTCGAGCCGGTTCCTCGAGGATTGAGAGAGTCAGATCCTGCTTGCCTTGATTGCCCTCACCATGTACTAAAGTCTGTGACAGGTCGAACCACAATCTTGTGCAGGAGCTCTGGATATTGTATCTGAAAGAGACCGTCATATCAGCTCACGTTAGATCCAGCGTTGATATGCAAACCATTGTGCGTCATTGTTGCTCTGTATGGTCAGAAATGGAGTCGAGCGTTAAGGATCGGTATGACCGCAAAAGAACAAACTAGTGAATCAACCTTCGAAACACTTTCGGCATGTGGATTCATGTTTGCTGAGAGATGGCTGTTATCGTAATATACCTAGGCGCATGTGGTCAGGAAAGATGGCCGCAAGGCGATGACTGCTGTTGGAAAGCACGGAGCCGAGGCCCAGCCGGGGTGAGGGTGCTACCCAAGCTGCACTTGCCACTACGGTCACCTGGTTCAAACTTACAAGTTCTAACAATTATTCCATCAGTCATCAGTTCGAGAAAAGATAGGCTACTAGCATTAAAAGCTTCTCTTCAAGTATAGCGACACGTGTGTTCAGGTCCAATCACGTACCCTTCCAGACCGTCGTTGCCTAATCGAACGCGCTCTTGTACAGATACCATTTTCGAACTCGACTCTCAACTTGGTTATAACCAACGATTCTGGGTCTGTCTAGTATCATGGCGCCACCGTCCTCGGTCAGTACACCTCGGCAGCATGAATGTAGCCCTGTGACTCACGACGCATCAGACCCCATCGCCACGTCGGTTTCTTCTGAACAAGCGAACTACAAACCATGCCACAGCCACGCCATCTAAACTGTCAAAACAAGTGCTACAAGATGCACCTGATTCCAATACTCCTCGACCGACATCTGGTCCAACACCCTCACAGTTCGCAAAAGTGCCTCGATTTGCCATATCCACTGCAAGGAGGGCTTCCTTTCCGCCGCGCTCACCATCGCCTGCAAAACACCACTTCTCTGTCTCAGGCCAAGGTATCTCACTTGGAAGTCAACGTGAGAATGTACGAGAAACCATCTCGATATCTGATGACGATGAAGATATGTTGGACAACGGCAATGGCAATCTTGACTTCACAATTTTAACACAACCTGAATCTCAGGACTCAATACCGGAGCCTGAAAAGGGAGCATATCTCACGTCACGCCTACCTCCATCGCCGAAACGGCGAAGAATCGATGCTGACGAAACAACATCAACCCCACAGCCAACCCCGGGACGTTTCATATTGCCATCCACAGGTACAAGCCGCATGCCCCTCACACAAGCAGAAGGAAATACGCCCAGCAATAGCAGACCGGCGTTCTTGATGGCTTCCCTTCCCCCAGCACCAGAGACAGTTTCGCCGTTACCCGACGCGTTTTCACCTCGAAGGAGAGGACAGAAGTTTGTGCCTGGCGGGCTAGCATCAGAACTACAATCGTGGGTGATCGAGGTAGCACAGACTGCGACTCAGAGTAGATCCCGTAATTCTCTATCAGTCGACGATTCAGTGCACGTCATTGATGTCGAAGAGATCAAGGGCAACGGTCCGGTCTTTGCGATTGGTACAAAGCCAAGCAGACAGACTCACAAAGTGCTTCTCGTTGACGGTCAAGCGAACCAGAGAGCAGACAAGGTGAAAACAGGGGACAGAGTGAGCATCCGGCTGCCAACATGGGATGTGCAGGTGTTAGGTGAAGCATGGACCGTAGGTGTTGACTGGAGAACCATGAAGCCCTGAGATGCTCATTTCGGTATTTTGTTGTCTTTCGCATGTCAGAGGCATCGAGCAGAGCCATGTTATAATATGGGCGGTGGTAATGAGTCACGACGGGAAGGGCACGAGCTGAGACGGGGAGCCTCATGGTCAGGCAGAACAGCAGAAAAGGTGCGATAGAACGAGCGCCATCACAGATAGGGTCTAGCAATATAGCGAATCGCGGACGGATAGGGGTACAGGTGATGAATTGGGAGGTTGCGAGTGGAAGTCGACGATTCAACGCGAGACGGAGCGATACAACGCGTGTTTGTCGTGCCAGCCACCTCAAAGTCCGACCCGCCTTGCATTTTTGATTAAAGTTGACGGGTTACAGCAGCTCAACAGGGTTCGGCTTGCTGTTTGTCGAAGCTGCGGCTGTCAATTTCAACCTTCTTTCCTTTGGAGACTTGTGCAGCCTCTTGTTCAGATACACCGCTCGTTTGATCTGTTCATTAGGAGACGCCAACGCCAAAACAAAACGGTTATTTTGACAAAACAATAGCAACGGCTACGTCACGACAACTTCACCGTACTGTTAAAACCGGACACAGCAGAAAAGTCTTGGATCGCAGGGACGACGACAGTCCTGCTGCACTGCCGCCCGACAAGACGTAGACGTGCAGGCTCACTCACCATCCCGGATCCATCGCCGTACTTCTCGATCATCGACACGGCACGCAGCAGACGACGACAGCTTCCAAGCAATTGTACCCCGGTTTTCATCGCAACCCGCCAAACACAGCCCCTCGACCTCACCGGCCAGGCACCGGCTTTCCATTCGTGTGGTCGCTGGGTGATTGTTGGCTCTGGTCGTATCTGACCACTTTTTCTCAAAAGACTGCTTCAGCACATGCGCAGTCATGGCGACAGCATTGATGAACGGCATGCACACCGCAGGCATCTACTCGGACATGACAGTTGATGGTCCTGAGATTGGCACCTTGGTGGCTATTGTCGACCGTGCAAAGAATCTGCCCAATGTTAAGCGCATGGGTAAGCAAAATCCATACTGCGCCGCCAGACTGGGCAAGGAAGCAAGAAAGACAGAGACGGATAAGCGTGGAGGCCAGACTCCCAGATGGTGAGCGTTCCCAGAGGAAGACGAAGTAAACAGGCGAGTTCTGACACAAGACAACAGGGACCAGGAACTTCGATTCACCGTTCACGACTCGCCCGACTACCACAATCTCAAAGTGTCCATCTTCAACGACGACAAGAAAACAGATCTGATTGGAGAGGCCTACATTGGCCTGCAAGATGTGTGTATACCAGGAGGAGGCAAGGCTGACGGGTGGCATGCTCTCAACTTCAAGGGTAAATACGCAGGAGAGATCAATCTGGAGTTGACATACTACGATACGCGACCGCCAACCGAGACCAAGAGGAGGGTAAGCGACATGAGCGCTGCCGACATTGGACAACGAAAGGCCGCCATCAAACGCCGTCCACTGCCCGCCGAGTTGAACGGACCCCCGGCACCAGGCTCAATTGTACCCGACCATGCTCGAGGCCCACGACAACTTCCTGGACGACCAACAGAGGACTGGACTCCGCATGGCCTTCGACCACGTCCTCTGCACCACGCTCAATCTGCGCCTGCCGTCCCCGAGGCCAATTACTACGACGCTGATGAGCTCGACCTGGACTATCATCCTGGCTACCACCAACCCGTCATGCCCGAGCTCCCGCAGCTACCTCCCACTCGCAAGCATCGCGGTTCTATGCCCCCTCAGCCTACCATGCCTCACGACTATCCAGGCCATGAACATTACGGCCATGGTCGTTCTCAGAGTATCCCGACGCTACCTCACTCTTTCTCGTCTCCCAGTGTTGTGCAATCCGACCAAGGTTGGCAAGAGCCTTTGCCCCGATGCTTGCAACCCACCGTCGAGGATATTGACGAGTACCACTACGAAAGAGAGATGCCATTGCCTCCAGCCCCTCCGTCACATACTAGGAGCCCTTCTCATGCTAGAAGCCCTTCTCATACTAGGAGTCCCTCACACACCCGGAATGGCCGATCGACTTCACGAGGCCCACCACCGAGAAGTATGTCCGTAGACGACTATGCCCCTCCACCAGCTCCCGGTGCATACTACGGCTCGTCACCTAATTTCAGAGCCTCGTATTCTGGTTTCCCTCCCCCAGCTCCCTCCTCGGTAGCAGCCTCATCACATTATCGCAGTCACTCGCGCGTGGCTAGTCGCCAAAGCGTACCTGATGCATATGCCATGACTCCTCCTAGGGTACACCCTCTGGCAAATCAAATTCGTCGGTCTGTGAGTCCTGCGCCTACAGCGTACACGGAAGACTACGGACAGTATCGGCGCTACAGCAACGAGCCAAGTCCCATCATGGCACGCCCTGCATCTCGTAATGCTTCTCCTCTTCCTCCTCGCAATGTCTCCCCACTACCACCACGCAATAACATCGATGCCATCCGTCATCCTGTTCGCACTTTCGCCGCTGGCAGTGCTTCTCCCTCGCCTACTCGCAAGGATGTCCCACGTCCTTCTACCTCCAATGGCAACTTCTTCTCTCCTGATGACTTCGACTCGTTGAACCCCAACGCTTCTTCGAACTCGCCCTTTGCCTCTGGATCAAACCCTCACTCACCCTACCACATCCAGAACTCCCCTGGCGGTGCCGATGAAGAAGAAGGTGCTCGACCTCTGCCAGACCCCAATGCTAAGATTGTCGGCTTTGACGGTAGAGTAATTGATCCTAGCGATCATCTGCCTGTACACAGCTGGGCACCCGAACCAGAGAAGAAGACACCGACCAAGATTTACGGGTCCAACGGGCAGATGTATCCGAATGGTCTAGCAGGTCCTCGCGGTGCTGCATCAACCAGAACTCCTTCACGTATGAGCATGGGTCGAGATGTAGTCGTCAATGTCCGCACAAGGGGCTCACCACCCAAGCGTCCCATGTCGTCCGCATCGCACCACAGTCATATGACAGGTTCACCTGGCCCGCTCTCAGAAATTGACAGCCCTAACCTTTATGCTGGACACGGAGGTTACGGTGGCAATTTCTCAGACGGACGATCAGATATTCACGAGGGCCATCACTCTACATATTCGACTCCTCCACCCACAGGCCAACCACCTCACTACGGCGATATGTTCGGCAAGTACACTGCACCCAACGGTGGAGATCAATATGGCTATGAGAACCAGATGGTCCAGCACCAAGCGCCGGTGTATGAACAACACGGCTATGGAGCATCGGCACTGAGCAAGGAAATGGCAAAGATTGACATTGGCGGTTCGAGAAGACCAACGAGCAGGGGCACGGTAAGACGTGCTTGGCCATGAGTGCTCTTTTCGCATATACACATTGAGCTTCCAGTTTTGTAGCGTTTGTTCGTTCTGCTTTTTGTGCAGATGCATATCCGGGGCGTTTTCTTCTTGGATTCTCACATGGCACTACGAAGGGTGTCGCTTTTAATGATGCAGCAAATCATGTTGCAGGGCTGGTTCATAGGAATGGATGAATATGGTATAGAAGAATACAAAGAGTGGACACAAGCAGATGCTGTACTATAGGCTATAGCTACTACTAGAATTAAAAGATGGTCTCGAATCTAAGCTCGCACACAGAGCGAAAGTAGTTCGTATCTGTGTCTCAGAAGATAGTGGATCTCCTATGATAGGGATACGAAAAGGCAGATGGGTACGAGGTGAGCAAGGCTGACGGTCGAGTAAGCGACAGAGCGGTAGATGGCAGCAGTGGGCAAGCAGTGCGAAGGGCGGCGAGTCGCGAGCGAGAGGGGCACAGAAAGGCTGGCGCTTACGGCAAACCAAGTGGGGGAGGAGGCATCAGCCAATGACAAAGCGAAATGCAGTTGGGCAAAGCTTCAGGGACCATTTGCCAATTCCGTATCGTCAAAGATATAACTCTTGTTTCAGCATCTATACGAGAGAGCGTTGGATTTTCTCTGGAAACCTTTCGCCCTAAGGTCGTCGTCGAGTCTGGTCCATCTGTCGAACGACACGCTCCAAGCCGAAGCGACAGCAGACGCAGAAGCAGGAAAGAACCAACGAGCCGCGCCTGCCTGCCTGCTGCCTCCCCCGCGCCATCAGCATCAACAAGTCTCGATCGCTCTCACGCCGCATCCTCGACAACATTCCTACCAATCCACATCGCAACCATGACTGAAGTCGCCGGACGCAGAAGCTTCAAGGTGTTTGGCCAGGAGTTCATCGTCGATGCGCGGTACAATGTTACAAAGGAGTTGGGCCAGGGCGCCTACGGTATCGTGTGGTATGTGTCTTTCAGCAACAAGGTGCCAGAGGGTCGACTAACACACGCGACTCCAGTGCAGCACAGGCCGGCCACGATCCGAAAGAGCAGGTGGCAGTCAAGAAGATCACCAATGTCTTCAGCAAGCAAATCCTGGCCAAGCGCGCCCTGCGCGAGATCAAGCTGTTGCAACACTTCAGAGGCCACCGCAACGTCCGTTCCTGCCTCCCGACACGCGTCTGTCTGTTCACCGCGAGCTGACATCTATACAGATCACATGTCTCTTCGACATGGACATCCCCGGCGGCCCCAGCAGCTACAATGAGGTCTACCTGTACGAGGAATTGATGGAGTGTGATCTTGCAGCTATCATCCGCAGCGGCCAGCCCTTGACCGACGCTCACTTCCAGTCCTTCATCTACCAGATTCTCTGCGGTCTCAAGTACATCCACTCGGCCAACGTCCTGCATCGCGATCTCAAGCCCGGTAACCTGCTCGTCAATGCCGACTGCGAGTTGAAGATTTGCGATTTCGGTCTTGCCCGTGGCTTCAGCAACGAGCCCGACAACGTTGCTGCTGGCTTCCAGACCGAGTACGTTGCTACAAGATGGTACAGAGCTCCGGAGATCATGCTCAGTTTCGCAGAGTATACAAAAGCCAGTACGTTGCACTCCTGTACGACCAATGTCTTTGACATGCTGACCATCCCTCTCTAGTCGATGTATGGTCTGTTGGATGTATTCTTGCCGAGCTTCTGGGAGGTAAGCCCTTCCTAAAGGGCAAGGATTACGTCGACCAGCTCAATCAGATTCTCCACGTCCTTGGTACCCCTGACGAGAGCACCCTCCAGCTCATCGGCTCCCCTCGCGCCCGCGAGTATGTCCGCGGGTTGCCTTACATGCCTCGTATCCCCTACCAGCAATTCTTCCCCCGTGCCAACCCTGACGCCCTCGACCTGTTGGAGAAGATGCTCGCTTTCGTCCCTGCCAAGCGTATCACCACCGAAGAAGCCCTCGAGCATCCATACCTCGCCATCTGGCACGACCCCAGTGACGAACCCGCTTGTCCTACGAAATTCGATTTCCGCTTCGAGGTTGTCAAGGAGATCCCTGAGCTTAGAACCATCATCTTCGATGAGGTCAGACGCTTCAGAGGTGAAGTGCGCGCTCCTCTTCAACAGCAACAACAACAGCAGCAGCAACACTATGGCGACTACCAACAACAAGCCGGCCAAGTGCCCATGCCCGATCAGTGGAACCCTCGCCAAGCTGAGGACCCGCGTCCGCAGGCTCTGGGTGAGAGCACAACTGAAGGTCTCGAGAGAGAGTTGGAGTACGGTCTGGACGCTCAATACGGTCAGCAGCAGCAGATGCGATGAGCGTATCCGAGCCATTCGTCCTGGCAAACTCATTCCTACCATTCATCATTATTTCCTTGCGCGCTGGCAGCGCAGTCTTCTCTAATCCACAGCCCCTATCATCATCTCCAAGCACATCATGTTTCTGTCACCTCTTTTTCACCATCTAGCGCGAGGTCATTGAATCAAAGTAGAATCTGCTATGGGGATGTTCATCTGCTTTATTCCTGATTTAGTTGCCCGGGAAGCATTGAGACTTAATGAAGACCATTTTATACTCTGTCTGATCTGCTTTGTTGTCTCATCTCGTCTTTGAACCGTCGTGACCGAACGGCTACATTGTTGGGAGATGCCTTGTGAGACCAACTATACGTAAGCCTAAGTCTAAAGCAAACACAAAGAAAGATACGTGCGTGAAAGGTAGAGATAGAATTTTCTAATCCTCCATCAAAGACTGGAACTCGAACTGAGATCGCTCTCACAACTTCTACCCAAAGCATCTCCTCCAACCTCACTCCTATCAGATTTCCCAAGCCTAGCCACATCCTTCTTGCCCAACACCACCCTGTCACACCACGAACACCAACTCCTCTCCAACCCCTCCTGTTCCCTCTCAAGATACCTCCCACCCTCCCTTTCATCCTCGTACTCCTGCACCACATCGCCCACCAACAATCTCCTCTTGACCTTCTTCTTCACCACACCGCCAATCCCTTCCATTTCCTGCAAAAAGTAACCTCCAGTGCGTCGTGTGTCAGCTGCATCGCATTCGAATTCTTTGAAGATCGTGCGGGCGGAGAGACAGTGGGATTCCCTTCCGCATTGCACGCCTTCGATGCCCGTGCCCAGGCCTGTGCCGATGCCGTGGAGGTGGGTTGAGTAGCGGGAGCGCCAGGTCCAGGCGCGCATGTAGGATGTGTCGAGGGTGCGGGAGGTTGTGGCGCAGGGTTTGCAGAGCCAGGTGTGGGTGGTGCAGGTGCAGGGGCTGCGGTAGAGGGGTGGATGTGAGGGAGTAGAGTTTGCATCGTCGTGGTGGTGGTGGGAGTCGGGTTCTGAGGGGATGGTGGTGTGTAGAGATAAGGGAGCTTTGATGCATGTGCGGCAGAGTCGTCGATGACGAGACTTTAGAGCTGTGCTTGAGGGTGCTTTCATTGTGCAATTCTGGATAGTTAGATCAGTGGGTGGGAAAAGCTGAGTTCTGTGAGGAGATGATGTGCTTACTCGACAAACAACAGTCCCGCATCGTCGACATTCTCCTACCATATCTCTAGCACACGCACCGAACTTGCCGCTCGTTAACCTAGGAATCCTGATCCCAGCTGGTCCTCGAGTGGTCCAGGTGTCCTCTTGCTCATCCAAGACTGACTTCTGTGAGGAAGTCTGGACGTCTGATACGCATCGTAAAGTGTGAGGGATCAACTGCCTTCGATGCTGGAGAAGGTTGGCCCGAATCTGACGACATGTCCTTGAGAGATCGTGCAAAGAGTTTAGATCCAAATGTGTTGCAATCTCAGAGATGATACTAGCTCAGTCATCAGTTCTCTGATGATCTTTTGCTTTGAAACTCACAGAGATGTTACGAACGGATAGTTTCCCAAAACGGCAGATAGAGCATTCAAGTTGGGATGTTCTTGTTCCTCACCCTCTTCGTCACTCTCGATCTCAGTCTCAGGATATCGCGGTGTTCGGATGGTATGTGCATTGATCAAATCACGCATGTCGAATGGGGTATTATGTCCATGTTGATGTTGATGCTGATGCTGATGCTGATGCTGATGCTCGACCTCATCCGAGTCGTCCAAGTCGACAAAGACAACCATCAATCATGTGTGTATTGAGCGTCTCATGGAAAAGACACTCTGTATAGTCTTTCGATTGGGATAGTGATATAGGTGTATAGGCTTCAACCTCAGGGGGAAAAGGATGTGTGTTGGTGGTGGTGGTAGTGGTAAAGTAAAGGTCGTGCTTTGCCCCTCTCTTGTCATCATTCGCGAAGGTGGGGGGTGGCACATTCGTGGCTCGGATCTGATAACGACGGTCCGGACCTGCCTCCTTGACTGCATGTCAAGTTGATATTTCGATGGGCGTGTAACTATGCTGACAAGACTGCTTGTCCTATTGAGACTTAAAAGTTCACAGCAGTAAGACAACGAATGAAATTGCGTGACCCGACACCCTGTGGTGTATCATCTTGGTTGTCATGGAGCCTCTGGAAGAATTGGATCACGATATAGTACAGTGCGAGAACCGAGCCGACATTCGTCGAGAAAGTAAATGGATGGTTAGGATGAGAGAGGATCCTCAACGTGATTGGCAAGACCAAATTACGATGTCATTAAATGCGGATGTGAATCGAACTTCAAGATTCAGTATCAGGGTGGTCCTACTGGCATCCCGGACATGGAGAGAATGACAAATCACTGTCAAAGAAAGGTGACATGACAGGTGAATAGGTATTTTGGGTTGCAACATGTAGTCGCATGGCTTTGCATTATGAAGCTACGAAGGAAGAGAAGGCAATAAAGCCCTCCTGATATCGGAGATGAAACCGAGTCAAACCCCTTCCGTGACCCATGACCAAATAACCCAAATTGTGTCCATTCTTCCTTGCGCCGTCATGAAATTCCTGTTCGTCATTATGGGAACGCCCGCTCGTGGTTGAACCAACAAAAATGGACAGAGGGCGATGCAAGAGAAAAATTCATCGCATGCCCTTGAAAACCGCTCGCTTCCTCGATACGAAGCTGTTGAGCTCGTGATGCAGTTGTCCTGATGCAGGGCGGTGAAGGAGGATTGAGTAAAACAAACAAGACCACTCTGTGTGTCTGTGATGCGTCTACTTCTTCTTGGGGCCGAACATGGGAGCGCCGATATTGGCACCGGTAAGGCGGACATTGGCGGCCTTCTGGATCTTCTGGACAAAGTCCATGCCTGGCCAGTCGGCACCGGGGCGCTCGAGAGCAGCGACGTAGGCGACATCGACCGAGGCCTTGGAGGCAAGGTCCTTCTGGGTCATGGTGGCGCCCTTGGGGTTCTTGAGTTGCTGGCGGGCCTGCTGGAGGGCCTTGGCGACATCGTCGGGCACCTTCTTGGTTGCGACAATGTCTTCGCTGCGGTCGACCTTTGTCAAGTGCTGGCCTTCGATACCCTTGCTGGCGGCCTGTGTCGTGTGTTAGCTGGCTGGAGTGACTGAAGAGTGATCAATGACGCTGGACGTACGTTGGCGGTAGCGAACTTCTTCTCAGTGGCAACGATACCACCGCTGCGCTGAGCGGCGTTCAGAGCGCTCTTTCCCTTGATGACGGTCTCACGAGGGCCAGCAGCGCCACCACGGGCCTTGCTGCCGATCTTGGTGACTTGATCCCAGTCAGACATGGTGGATGTGAGATGTGTGGTGTGTCGTTGAGGATTTGTGAAGGGAGGTGTGTGGTGGTGAGAGCGTATGGGCCTATGGTGAAGGTGGATTGAGTTGTATGAGGCGAAGAAGAGAGGTCTGAGCAATTGTGAGATGTTCACGCTGGACTGTTTCAATCTATGACATCGATCGTGTCCCTTGTTGTGCACGGTGCACGGTCCACGTCTAGATTCCAATGGCTTCCTTGAGCTTCGCCGCTGTTCTCAACATCGACACCGACAACTGTGAATAAGCATACCTGAATCTCACAAGTTGCGACATTATTTGTGCAAGTTACTGCACCATGGGTGCACATGGAGACTGTTTGTTCACACTCAATACAAGAGGCAAAGAAATGGCATTACAAATATCATCTACGAAACAAATGTAGCAATCAAGCGACAAAGCGTCGTTCGTTCTTCGCATCAATGCCATCCAAGATGCCAGACCCAAGGCCTGACGATTTGATCGTAGCCTCGACAGTGTGGTTTAGGACATCCCCAACACCATCAAGAACCGTGTCAGTCGTGTTCTTCAGCACTTGACCCGTGCCCTCCACGATATGATCAACGGTGCTCACAAGACCTTCGAGAGGATCAACAACAAGACCATGAATGAGACAATCGGCCCACTTCAAGGCAGCCCCAACTGGAAGACCAATGGAAGCTGGACGATCAGATGCCAGGATATCGAAGCCTTTGACACTTGAAGGGTTGTAGTTCGGGTAACCAACAGCAGGGAAACCACCGACCATACCGATGGGGCCATCGTCTGAGCTTCCCGAAGAGCCAGTAAGATCCGGCGCGCTTGATGAGCTGTCGTATGATGCAGTGCTGTTGTTTGAGTAGGAGGCAGAGCCGGAATAGGATGACGACGATGCTGAATAGACAGCTGTGGCAGAACCGTACGCCTGTGGTTGACCGGCCTGTACAGCTCGCTTAGCATTGCCAACCGGTGCTGTGGTACACTGTGTTTGATCAAGGGGTAGGTACGGAACGCTACCAGTCTCAGTAGACTTCTTGATCAGGTCTGCAGCCTTCTCAGCTACACCGTAGATGACAGACTCAAGGTGAGCAGAAGGAATAATGGGGAAAATGCTGGCGTCCACCACACGAATGTTCTGAGTACCGTATACTAGCAAGTTGGAGTCAACAACACCACCGTCCTCTCTAGGCATCATTGCAGCAGTGCAAGACGGGTGGAACTCAGTACCCAAAGCGCGGTTCAAAAACTCTCGGAGTTGAGCGTCACTGGCAGCATGAGGGGGGTCCTTCTGCACAGGCTCAAGAATCTGGAGTTCTGGCTGTTGGAACAACTCATCGTTGAAACGCAATGCATCTGTCATGACAGCCATATCGATAGGGTTGCTACCATAACGGAAGTCGAGAGTAGGGTAATTGAAAGGATCGGTTCCGTTGATGTGCACATTTCCACGAGTGAACGGACGCTGATTGGAGATCTGAGTGTTGCCTGCATTATCCTGCAAGAACTCGATCACGGCACGTCTGCTGTTGTTGAGAGCAGGAATGAGAAGAGCACGTTGACGAGCATAACCGCGGATGACACTCTCGTCCAGCCCGTCAGCCAGATACTCTTCGTCAGAGAACGATGAGGCGTTCTGAGCAATCTCTCGCGCTCGATCTGAGATCTGGGGGAGCGAGAAGAAGCCATTGCCATCCGGAGGTCCAAAGGTGTAAGGTCCAGTACGATTCTTGTAGTAGATCGACCGTGCCCAGTCGTTGATAGTCGAGTTCTGCATGATGTTCGGGTAAACATAGCTTTGGTTGTTGAAGCCTTGAGTCATGTGCATCAGCATGTGGTCCTGGAGGTTTGAGCCTACACCTGGCAAGTTGATGCGACTTTGTACTCCAGCTTTGGCGAGCACGTTCCTGTCTCCGATACCACTGAGCTCCAACAGCTGAGGAGTACGTATGGCGCCAGCGGCGAGGATGACTTCGCGAGCGGCTACAGCGGTCCATGTCTTGCCATTGCGTCCGCCACCCGTGACCTCGACTCCGACAGCTCGGGCACCCTTGCTTCCAGGAGCAGCACAGCCATTGTCAAACAGAATACGGCGGACGTGTTGACCAGTAGAGACGTAGAAGTTCTCACGGCCGGCAACGGTATCCCATCGGGCGCGACGGGCGTCTGCACGAGACTGGTTGTATTGAGAAATGCCTTGAGGGAGGTACATGGCTCCCTTTTCGGTGGGGGCAGCAGGATCAGGTTGTGTCGGTACTCCCATGCGGTTCAAAGCAGCAAAGAACTGCTGGCTCGCCGGATATTGGAATGCCGGAAAGGAGACATTCTGTGGTCCAGCCTCGCCGTGCTGAGAGGCATCATACCCCTGACCATAGGTCGTTGCGATCTCCTCTGAGGGCTGTTGGTTGAAAGTCTCACTCTGCCAACTGTTAGCAGAAAGTCTCATGATGTGAGTTGCGTTGCACTTGCCCTTTGGAAAAATTCAAGAAGTGATTCATAGTCCCATCCGTTTTGTGCATCATTTAATTGAGACCAGATATCGTAGTCCTCGCGGTCGCCACGGTTCCATAGCATGGCGTTGATGAGAGTACCGCCTCCCAGGCCTTTGCCCTGTGGTATCGTTCTGCTGCCACCATCGAGATAAGTCTGTGCAACAGTTTGGTCACACCTACTCTTTTGTCAGTGATGTGCCCGGCCGTATTCATATGCATCATGCCTCGTACCAATTGAATCCACCGCATTTTCCATTGACGGATCCAGCCGCACCTTGATAGTATGGAATCATAATGCTCTCAGGATAGTTGTCGGCGTCTCCAGCTTCCAGTAGTAGGACTTGCACGTTGGCATTCTCGCTGAGACGGTTTGCGACTGTGAGACCTGCCGGACCACCGCCAACTACGATGTAGTCGAAAAGGTTATTGTCCGGCAGGGGAACATTGAGACCTCCGGCAATAGCTTGGGTTACAAGTAGCCCTGTGGTTGCCAGCAGGGGGTATCTGGACATCCTGACTCTCTGATTTTCTGCCAGTACTCGCTAAATGGTGATTGGCCCAAGTGGTGATATGGCCAATTTCAAGAAAAGATGTGCAAACAGAGAATGTGGTAGTCGCAAAATGAGGGAATCAAAGATAGGACGAGTGAGACAAAAGCTCCTGACTTCTCAAAAGTCTTGAATACTTGCCTTTTAAAGCTGAGCTTCATTTAGAGGTTTTATCAGAATACGATTGCTGATCACCAAACACGAGCAGCGGCACAAGATGGAATCCTGCCAGTGCCCGTCTCAAGACGGCTGACGACGGAGGCGTGTGTGTGCATCTGCACGACCCAAGTTTCCAATGGGCAAAGATCGCCAGGAACACAGTCCCATTGTGGTATGCCCAAGGCCGGCAAGATGCGTGGGAAGATGCCACACAAACCTGGTGCAGATCTTGCGTCTCTAAAATTGTATCAAAAGACCTATGAGATGACTGATTCGGTGTATATTGTTGTTAGAGTGTTTCCTCACAGTGATAAACTCCTTCGTCCAAGGCCATGTTTCTGGGACGATTGGTTGTGTGCTACGCAGAGGCTTCGACACTTGCGGTGAAAACGAAGTCGTAGACTCGTAAACGAGCCCTGCCGGGATCATCACTGGGGAAAGCACGCGTCCTTTGTTTCACCATGAAACCGAGACAGCGAACTGCTCAATCAGCCAAAAGTCGTCCTTAAGATCTGCCATATTCGACGGGTCAGTGTCGATGCCTATTTTCTTCATATTAATTGCGTCTGCTTCCAGGCACAAATCATGCAAGATTTTGCTGTGAGCCAGCCGTGATGACGCGATTATCGTGACGTAGCAAGCGTCATTTCTCATCCAGAGATTCGAGCTTTGAGGTGTTTGATTTTGGGTGCCGTCTAGCGCTTGCGGAGGATGTTATCAAACGATTGTTCTTCATTCTTTCTAGAAGTGTGTCCAAGTTTCGTCGACGGCCAAGGCCTTGAGGACAGTTTCCAGATGGTCGTTCTGTGGCGTGCATCAAACATCAGGCCGAACTCGAACTCGGCTCAGCGAGAGAGTGGTGATACGACTGCACCTGTCTCGAGATGCTGCGATTAGGAGTGGAGAACTGCAAGCAGTTCAATGGAAGAGCGGTGTTGGCTTCGGCGCGTCTCACGCAAGTGGCTGTTCGGTGCTCTCGCTATGAGGACGATGTCAGAATCGACGTGAGCCAGGTTGCAGCCGATGTTGTGTTATCGGACAATAGCCGGGACTCGTTGTGTTTAGTGTTAGAGCAAGGAAGATTGGTCGATGGACAACGTGGATATCGTAGGACATGGTGCAACCTGTCTTGTTACCCGGATGCAGGCGCGTGCCTGGCAAGTTCCAACCACCTCAACGTCTCTACTTTACCAATGCAGATGCCGTTGATATTCAATTCGGCATGGACACCTTCCTCAAGTGATTGTCGACGGCCATCATGGTTCTTCGGATTGCAACGGTCATGCATATGCACCGATCCATTGGTATCGGATGAGTCAACATCTATCCATACAACACACCAACACCTCTATACACACACGGCCATTCCACCTTGAGTGTTGATAACTACCCTAGATATATAGTTTTCGGTCTGACCGTTTGCTTATATCATCATCATAGAGGCCATGGCTTACGAGATGTCAAAAACGAAGGTGCATGAACGGACAACGAACCTCGGCATCTCTCGGCTTCACTAAAGCTCCTCCCTCCTTTGCGGCCGTACGCACCGAGCATCGATTCCAACACCAAGATACACGGAGTGTTAAACCGAAACGAGAGTCTTGGTAAAGCCTTGATGGGAAGCAGAGAGTGTATGATACATAAGCCAAGGACTGCTCTCGGGAGAAAGGGGACATACCTTCCTCTCTTTCTGTTTTGCTTCATTACAACTTTCTGAGTATTCGCAGACTTCACACTGCAATCATGGCACCATCATACAACTATGAGTACTTCAACGTTACATTTCCTGGAGAATATGTCGCGCAGGTCGAGATCAACAGACCCGAGAAGATGAACGCCTTCAACGAAACGTACGTAAGAACATGTTTCTGATCATCACCACCTTTGCACGAGTCATTTATCATATCATCCATCAACCATCATCAGCATATATCTACGTCCGAGATGGTCTGCAGACTGATGGAAGTGTAGCATGTGGAAGGGCATCGGCCAAATCTTCGAGCGCCTATCTCATGACCCGGATGTACGCTGTGTGGTCCTGACCAGCGCTGGCGACAGAGCCTTCTCGGCAGGTCTCGACGTACAATCAGCATCGGAGACCGGAGTGTTGTCAGGCAACGACGGGATCGATGCTGCAAGAGTGGCACAACGACTCCGTCTCCACATCGATGAGTTCCAAGCAAGCATCAGTCAAATCGAGAAGTGCGAGAAGCGTGAGTTATTGCTGCTGTTGAAGTTGTGTGGAATGTATCTCTGACATTTGTCGGAACAGCCGTGATTGCCGTACTACATGGAGTCTCCTTTGGCCTGGCGCTAGATATGACTCTATGCGCCGACATACGTATCTGTGTCTCTACCACAAAGTTTGCAGTCAAGGAGGTCGACATCGGACTTGCAGCAGATATTGGCACTCTGACTCGCCTACCTAAGGCCAACATCCCCATGTCATTCATCAAGGATGTCGCTCTGACAGCCAGGATATTCACTGCACAGGAGGCTCTGACAGTCGGAATCGTGTCTGCCATCTACGATACCAAGGCTGAGGCTTTGACAAAGGCAGTCGAGAAGGCCACACTGATCGCTAGCAAGAGTCCGGTGGCCATCATGGGTACCAAAGAGGTCTTGAACTACTCGAGGGATCACTCGGTGCAAGATGGTCAGTCGGATGCCAAGATGCTTTCACAATTTATCGTATGCTGACTATGTTCGTCTTAGGTCTAAGATATGTCTCGGTGTGGAATGCGGCGTATTGCAACACTGCAGATGTCACCGACTCGTTGACGGCAGGCATCAAGAAAACCAAGCCTGTGTATGCAAAGCTTTGAGTAAGACGGACGAACAAAGGGAGAGGTAATGAAGGGAGTAAACAGACATTGCTGATTAGACGCGTATGACCAAAGGTCCTAATGCAGTATCATGACATTGAGTATATGTATAATATTCTTTCTCCAGAATCTCGCAGCACAGGGTATCAAAATAAGAGTGAGGAGGTGTTGTTGATCAGTGGTCTACGATAGTCGCCTGAGAGCAGCCGAGCTATTCTCGAGGCCATCCTCGAAGTTGATGGCTCTGGCAAGGCTGATGGCCTCCTTGTAGCGCTTCTTGGCTTCTTTGATGTCTTTGTTCATCTCGGCGAATTCGCCTAGGAACAAGGGTCAGCAACTTGTACAAGCGGAGATTGGGTGTTACGTACCAAGATTGTGTAGAGCAACAGCACAGCCGACATCACATTCCTCATCACGGACTGGCGGCTGGATATCAGCAGCAAGATCGAGAGCCTTTTGAGCCCAGCTCTTAGCATTCTCCAGCAAGACAGCGCGTGACGGAGCCTTTGACTCAGGGGACTGAGGAGGATTCTGCTGAGCGATAGAGATGGCAAGATTGTTCATGAGGATGACGGAATGGCAATCTTTGTCGGCCTTGAAGTTCAGAGCTTGGAGGAAGAGAGGAGTGGCCAAGTAGTGCTTGTTTTGTTCCTCGTAGTTGTGAGCGAGGGCCTCCATGGATGCACCCATCTCGTTGTCGGTCATCCACTCGCCCTCCTTGTCCAGCACAGCGGGCTCTCGTCTGCGTTGCTTTTCGCGTAGCGAAGTCTCTAGAGCCCAAACAAGTCGCTCCTCTGCGGCTTTGGAGTCTTGAACGTATTGGTTCGAGTATAGATCGCCAAGCTTGACGGACATGGCAACAAGCTGCTTCATGATGCGTGTGCGCTTCTCTTTGTGGTCGTCGAGTTGGCCGAACTTTTGCTCCCAGGCCAAGCAGTCGTTTCTCAGAATCTCGAGGACTTGAATGGCTTTGGGGTAGTTCTGGATCTTTTCCATCAGGGCCGAGACCTGGATCTTGACGCCGATGATCTCGTTGGAGAAGGGATCCATGCCGAGGTCATTGGCAATCTCCAGAGCTTGCTTGTAGTACTTGAGGGCATTCTTGGGGTCGAGGTCGATGTTTGTATAGTAGATGGCGCGACGCAGCTTCTGGGCGACGGGCTCGGGGTAGTTGTGGAACGAGGCGATGATGTAGGACGAGTAGAGGTAGTTGGCGTAGGCAATACCAGCAGAGCCGGCGAGGATGGCAGCAGCTGCTAATGAGACCAGGTAGGGATGGGCGGTCCAGAGCTCTTTGGCGCCGCGGGTGAACGAGGCCTTTCCGCGAGACTGTTGGCCTCGATGTGGTGTTCTAGCGTGGAAGCTGATCTGAGAGCGTGTTTTGGCCCGTCCGAGGGACGAGATACAGCGGCTACTGCCTGTGCGTGCTACGGAAGCACCCCGTAGGGCGTTCGTCGCTGGTCGTGAAAACATGGCGGTCGTGTGTGTGTAGCAGCTTGAAAGCTTTCTCAATCGCAACGCCGCTTCACTTTGAACATTGAAAAGACGTCATGATTGACCATCGCCCTCACCTCGACTTTCCACCCGAGTAAACTCACCAATCCTCTTGACATCACTCTACTACATCAACCCACCATGTGCGGCAGATACGCTTTGTCGCTGCGCCCATCGGCAGTGCGCCGTAGATTGCAAGACGAGAACATGCCTGTCGACGACCCTGCCGACCTCGACGATGACGACTCTCGCCAAACCTACAACTTCGCCCCTGGAAACCATGGCTTGGTCTATCGCGCAGACGTCCCCGACTCGGGTGCTGCATCTCAGCCACAAGACAAAGACAAGGCCGCCACCGTCGATGGAGCTGCCACCCATGAAACGCGTTACAAGCTGCAGGCCATGAAATGGGGCCTCATCCCCTTCTGGACAAAGAGATCGCCTGACTATGCCACCATGATGCGCACCATCAACTGCAGAGACGATTCCCTCGCCACTTCGGGCGGTCTCTGGAACACCATGAAGCAACGCAAGAGATGTATTGTCGTATGTGAAGGCTTCTACGAATGGCTCAAGAAGAACAACGGCAAGGACAGAGTCCCTCACTACGTCAAGAGAAAGGACGGCCAACTCATGTGCTTCGCCGGTCTGTGGGACTGCGTCCAGTACGAGGGTCAATCGGACAAGCTCTATACCTACACTGTAATCACCACCGACTCGAATAAACAGCTCAAGTTTCTACACGATCGCATGCCTGTCATTTTCAACAATGGCTCGGACGATCTCAAGACTTGGTTAGATCCTGCCAGATCAGAATGGTCTGTCGAATTACAGTCGCTCCTTAAGCCCTTCGACGGCGAACTTGAGTGCTACCAAGTCGACAAAGCTGTCGGCAAAGTCGGTAACAACTCTCCGTCCTTCATCGTTCCTATTGACAGCAAAGAGAACAAGAACAACATCGCAAACTTCTTCGGAAATCAGAAAAAGCAAGCCAAGAGCGCCAACGAGGAGAGCATAGTGAAGAAACAAGAAGAAGATTTTGATGCAACCAATGGTCAAGTCAAGCAAGAGTCTGATGAGCATCGTGCGACTGTCATCGATGCTCACAACACCGAAGACAACGCACCTCGTCCTCAGGCCAGTGAGGCTCCAGAACACAGCGAATCGACTGCGGTCAAACGTGAACATTCGCCTGATACTGTTGATTCTCAAGAGCCGTCGTCAAAAGTCCAGAAGTCAGAGGGTGGCCAGAGATCTACCATTCGCTCTGGCAGTGGCCGCTCCATGAGAAGCTCCGTCACAAACAACACTCAAGCTAAGTCACCACCCAAGGCCCAGGATGGCTCTCAGAAGATCACAAATTTCTTTGCCAAGTGAGATCATACTGCATGGTTTGCCATCCCAGTAACCACATGCTGTCCGGCATACATGTTCCCCACCAACTCAAATGTCAACCCTAAGCAGCTATATCGAGTGCTGCAGCGGTACCTGGCATCAGCTACACAGAGGCTAGACCATGACGTAAAAGCGTACATGCATTAGCGATTGCGCAGAACGAAGGGGCATGCTGTCAACGGAGAAGGCGTAGGGCTACGTGGTTTGCGACATGCTGCCCTAAACCACTCACTGCTTTGGACAAGCCTGGCTGCGAACGTCAGTCATGTCGTTGGTCAGAGACTCGACCAGCCCAAGCCCCGTACGTTCGAACAAGGGTCATTTTACAAATTAGATGGGTCGTTCGGCAAAAAGGATAGATTGACACTACTCAAATTCCACGTGGTAGCCATATGGCCGGCGGGCCAGACGCTAAATCCGTCGCTCTGTTGAGTTTATTCCCTGCAGTCAGAGGAACGTGACTAGGACGAATTTGTTCCATGCAAGAATTGGTGGAGACGCCGAGTCATTTCGACGAGCGATCCTGCAGCTCTAGTTTTGTGTCTGAGTGTCGCCCTTGCCTCGATCATCTGTCACAGAGTTTGCGTTCTCGCTCAATACTTCCTTGTTTGCTATACTAGATCCTAAAACCATGGTTTCAGAGAGATTCTTGGATGCTCGCGTTGGGTGCTTGGCGTCAAGCATGTACATCGTGACATGGTATGTTTCGGACCGCAAGCGACTGGGCGACCAAGGGCTTTCTCGAATGCTTCTCCCGCTCTTCTCCAAAGAAGAGCCTCTGGTGTCTGATTCAAAGTTCAATCGTTGACGAAACAAAAGACAGACATGCGACCGGCTCAGGCGCGACCGTTTGATGCAACTGCGATTGAAGCGCTGATGCGCCTCTAACCATCAAAGTTGATCGGCGCAAGGTTGCAAGTCCGGCGCGGTGTGGCTGCGAGGTGCAGCGTTTCGGCAAGCCCGAGCGCTCCTCTGTTTCCAAATCTCCCTTGCCTGCATCACACTGCACATGCTGCATGTAGCAATTCCATTTGCCTTACACTCAGAACAGCTATCCTTGACCAACACCGAGTCTTGACAGCCGCCTCGAACAGAGGCTTGGATGAGATGCTCAGGGCTCGTTGTAGGTACCCAACTATAGCATGGAGCAAAAGCAGAGAGCATCACGCATCCAAGCACGTTCGTTCAGAAAAAGCGGCAGTTGTGCAATTGTCCCGATCCCGTTCGGAACAGCGGCACTTGTTAAGAGTGCCCAATAGCTCTGCGGCCTCGTAAGTTATCCCGACAGGGCTGCAGATCCTAAGAGATCTATTGCTCCAGGAGCGCTTGTACCGACACGCGATTGTGCGATGGACGCGCGAGCTGGGATGAACTGTTCTAAATCTCTGTCAAGAGCATGCCGACAACATGTTCGCTGTACATAGTGCTTTCCCTCTCGGCCTTGTCCGGGCATGATTTGACATTGGCCCCTGTCTGTCTGTGTCTTTCGCACCTGGCCGCATGCCTCCTCGGCCCGTGCACCGAAGTCGCGTTCGTTTAATCCCATCCACCAGATGTCCCTGCGCCTACTCCATGGCCCTGTATCTTCTACGCCCTCTTGGTCTCTCGATCCAAGAATACCAACTTTGTTTCCAGCCTCATCGCTTCTGCATGCAGTCATCGCCTGTTATTTGCGCCTTGTCGTCTACTCTGTCGGGCTCTCACTGTGCCCAGACCTCGTTCGAATCAAACATCGGCGTACACAGATATTGTGACTAGGATGAACTGATTTGAGGAGGAACCATTCCCTTGGGTCGCGTGTTCGGAGGTGCTGTCTTTTATTATCTGCCCTACCACTCGCTGAACCACTCTTTCTTCTAAACTACCTTCTGCCTGTCTCTTCCTACTCAGCTTCTATACTTCTGCTTTCCCCACCACAGCACAGCACAGACAAGCAAACGAACCTTCTTTTGTCACACCATCCGTGTCTATGCGCCCCTACTCTGACTGACGTTGCCTCTTCTGCCATTTTTCCAAAGTCGAACCCACTCTGCGATCATGTCCTTCCTGTCGGCACTTCTGTCTGGGAGTCACAACCAGATATCAACACGTCAAGCACTACTGGTTGTCGGTTTGCAAAACGATTTCACTTCTCCTCAGGGTAAACTGCCCGTCAACACCGCTACCGGATATCTTGAGAGGATCAAAGATCTCGTACCTGCCTTTCGCGAACATGGAGAGATCTTCTGGATCACAACCGAGTATCGTGGCAAGCGCTCTGTCAACAATCCATCAGGCTCTGGCTGTATGGTAATAGCAGATGATGGATTCGTGCTCCCGATGGTCAGCAGCGATGATGAGACGAACGACTATCCCACCCGCCCGTCGATGCGATCGAACCGTCGTATCAATCAAGTCATTCAACGAACCATGAACAGATCGGCAGGACTCGAAGCAGACTCTGCACCCTCCTCCCCGGGCGTCGACCAAGATCTCTTTCTCTCCCAGGACAACCCAGAAGACAACTGCTGTTTGCCAGGAAGTTGGGGCGCCGAGTTGTCGCCAGAAGTCAAGGACTTGGTGTCACCCAAAGACGTCAAAGTCGTCAAATCGTACTACTCGGCATTCACATCCTCATCTTTGCTGCTCATGCTACGCGCAAAGCTCATTACAGAAGTCTACGTTGTCGGATGCACCACGAATCTTTCCGTCTACGCTACAGCGCTGGATGCGGCGCAGCATGGTCTCTCAATCAACCTCGTGGAAGACTGTCTCAACTACAGGCTCAAACATAGACACGATCGAGCTGTACAGAAACTCGTAGAGATCATGGGAGCATCTGTCACCACCTCAGCGTCGGTCTTGTCGAGACTGAGAGGCGAAACACACACAGATGAGTCGGGCAATGAGACTGGAACAGGACAATCAGACGTTGACATGGAAGATCAGCCAGCAACCGTACGTGAACCCTCCCTTCCTAGTGGACTCGAATGCTATCTAGAGAGCCTGAGACTGAACGATGACCAATCTCGTGCAGCAGACAGCGCGAAGCACTCTACCTTTAAGCATGCAAAACCTACAAACTCTCAACTTCCAGACACGACAGATCATCGACGCGAGCCAAACTCAAGGCCTGTTGGAAGTCGACGACGCAATGATGACATGCATAACAACAGAACCGTCCAGCCAAGGTCGCGCATGATGCAGAGCCACAACGCCAACGCTGCACCCGTTGGACCGTCTCGCGGCGCTCCAGAAGATCTGAGACTGAACGACCGAAGTCATCCGCTCCAGGAATCGAAATTGGTGGAAACTCGGATGGCGCATGACAATCAACCGAACACACGCTCAAACGACCTGCTGGAGGTAGATCCTACCCTTGAACATGGGCACACATCCATGGGGACCACAGGCGATACACGGATTGGTCAACAAGCTGTCCCTGCAGCGCCCAAGCGAGTGTCGCGCAAGTTGCAGATGAAACAAAAGAATTCCACTCTATTAACTCCCCAGGACAAGATCGGAAGCGGCGATTCAAAGATACTATACGGTCTGCTCGAGCCCGAAGCTGCCGAAGTAGCATTCCAGGATTTGTTCACCGAGGTCCACTGGCAGCGTATGTATCATGCTGCTGGCGAAGTGCCACGACTCGTATGCTGCCAAGGCGACATCGATGATGCGGACGGCAGCATGCCTGTATACCGACATCCCTCGGACCAATCGCTTCCTCTCCTCCGTTGGAGTCCGGTCGTCGCGAAGATCAAACACAAAGCCGAAGAAAGAGTTGGACACAAGCTGAATCACGCTTTGATACAGCTGTACCGAAGCGGACAAGATCACATCTCTGAGCATTCGGACAAGACATTGGACATTGTGCATGGCAGCAACATTGTCAATGTCTCACTAGGTGCGCAGCGGATCATGAGGCTCCGCACCAAACGTCCCACAGCCGTCCATGATGCAGCGTCGTCGAGTCCTGACAAGCAAAAGAGATCTGGCGATGCGCAGACACGAGCGGAAGATGACCGCTCTCGCGTCACACAACGCATCCCCATGCCTCACAACAGCATGTTCGTCATGGGTCTGGAAACGAACGCTTCTTGGCTACATGGAATCATGCCGGACAAGCGTCCAAGTGCAGAGCACATCCCCGCCGAGTCTGCGTACGGCAACATGCGCATCTCCATAACTTTCCGACACATCGGCACCTTTCTGTCGGCCGACTCGAAATTCATCTGGGGGCAAGGTGCTGTCGCAAAGGACAAGATGGAGGCGATGCCGACCGTCAATGGCAAACCTGAAGAGAGCCAGCGACTCATCAATGCGTTTGGGATTGAGAACCAGGTAACAGCACCTCGGTGGGAAAGCATCTATGGAACAGGCTTCGACGTCTTGCACCTCAAATCCGAGCTGCCTGAACGCGAAAAGCCCATGCTGTTTCTGTCTGGTGACGAAGCTACCGACACTGCTGTCACGGCTCGTCTTTCCGAGCTGGGTGTCGATGCTGATGTTATCGTACCGCCAACTGAGCAGTTGACCAACAGCCTCATAGATGCGAACGGTAATTCCCTGGTTGTTACATCAGCACATCAACGTGTCATCTGCTTTAGGCAAGCGGGAGGCATGCATACTGAGGTGCAAGGCAAAATTGCCATCTTGAGGCTGTTGGATGGTAAAAAGTCGCATGATTAGAGAAAGGAATGGAATTCAACACGAGAATGAGATAGGATTTTTGAGCACTCTTGCAGCTTCTCCCAAGTTGTAGCGTTCTCACTCGGCCTCTGAATTGTGAACTATGACTGAATGTGTAGAAGATTAGTGTTTTCGAGATACAATTTCACGAGCGACCGTCTCGACTGCTCCCTCGGTAATTCAAGTCTGTGCCATTTCTTCGATCCAGCCTGAATGTCTTAGTCGTAAGACAACACAGGCCATCCCTGGATGTAATTGATGTAGTTCCAACCCAGGAACTTGAGCTCATCAAGGTATAGCGGGTTTAGGATAGTGTTGACGTAGTGATAGTACAAGACATCACGTCCATGGTAGTTGGTCAAGACTGCCTGACCACCAGGACCATACTGCAAGAGTTAAGCGTATATCCAAAATAAGTCGGGGAACTTCATAACTTACGACGTAATCATGGCTGCCGTAGACGATGTAGCCACCGCCGTTCTTGAGGTCTACTCCGTTACGGTCGACGAAAGGTCCCGTGGCTGATCTGGAACGGCCAACACGAATAGAGTATCTGCTGAGAATCAGAAAACCGCAACAGAGGGTTGGAAACAGCAGGAACTTACTCTTGTCCAGGCGCTGGGAGAGCAGAGACGTTGTAGCCACAGCACGAGCCATGACTGTACCAGAGATAATACCAACTGTCGTGACGGCTCAAGTAAGGGCCTTCCTCTGCTTGTGGGCTCACAGGATCCAAGCTCAGCTGTGTAGGATCAGGAGACCAGACAACGCTGAGCAAGTCCTTGGCCAACTGGAATTGCCAGATGTCGCTCCAGAAGCTACCGTATGTGAGGTAGGGGATCTTGGTTTTTGGGTCGATGAAGAGGTTTGCGTCGATTGCATTTGTGATGTTCAGGGGCGACGGAGCAGTGGTGTTTGAAGTCAGAACGGCACCGTGATCGGTCCAGCTGCCGGGTCTCAAGGTCTTTGAGGTAGCGAGTCCGATGCTAGAGAATTGGCTGCCGAATTGCGAGACAGCATAGTAGCAGTAGTATGTATCTCCGACCTTGTGCACATCAGGAGCCCATGGATCGGTGCTTCCTGTGTTGTTGATAATGCTAGAGCCATCCAGTACTGATCCAATGGGCTCCCAGTATCCATCCAGAGAGTTGGGCTGTGAAGCTCTGCTGATAACAACCAAGCCGTGAGTTGAGAACGAGTAGTAATGGCCATCAGGGCCCATCACAATCTGAATCTGTTCAGTCCACGATCATCAGGCTGCTAAAGCTTCGAGACATACCGACGGATCGTGCAGATGAACACCACCCCATCCATCGTAACTCTGGTTGGCTCCAGGGTTGGAGACACCGGTAATGTTGTGAGGCAGAGGCCAAGAAGCGTTCGAGAAAGGATCGGGTTTGCTGTTCGAAGGTATAGCGACTGCTTGGGTGGCTAGTGAAGCCACCACCAGGGCGCCGATCTTGGTGATCAGTGAATACATCTGGAATGTCTGTCGCGTGGTTGATATTGCTGATCTGCTGTAATGAAACACAGGCATATTGTCTCTTTATATGTTTGTAACATGGAAATGGTCCAGGCATCATCGCCCACCGGAAGACTCGACCGTGCTGCATAAAGACATGGGTGCTTTCAAATTATCCTTTGACGATCTCAGGGATTCATAGATGAGTCTGAGATGCAGCCCGCCATCATGCAGTCGTTGATGAATGGTTTCTCCGCAGGTGTTTTCCTGTCTGTGGGGCTCCAGGGCGGGGTAGATGCATGATTTCTCCGGAGATTGGCAGGATAAGGGCAAGAAGAGAGATGCAATCCTGGCAGGTTATATTGGAGCGTGATCACCAAGGGCTCGAGGGTAAATGTTGACGGCAAGTTCGATGCATAGCGTCAGGGGCTGTGCAATTGTCGAGCAAGTTGGTAGGAAGTTCAAGAAGCCAAAGTAGGTGCATGTCGGTAAAATAGATGTATACCTTCCTTGTCGAGGTCGGCTGAATCTGATCTTCTGCCGATATAGAAGAATATCGTGTTTCAAAACTTCAGCATCAATTGTACAGAGTCCGCCAAGCTGATCAGATATGCTTGCTCCCTCACTCGGAACATATTGATATGGTCTTTGGTGACTAGGTTGAGGTGTCACAGAACAAGAACCAACCGACTCGCCTGCTTCTTGAAAGAGGTTCTCGGCTACTTGAGATCTTCCTAATCGCTAAGCTTGGTGCTCAGCATCGTCTCTTGTGAGTCTTGAAAACAATTGCGCTGCAAGACTGCCTCCATCTTCCGAGACTACCATCGGGTGAATATGCAGATATCAAGCTGCAATCCGCCGGAAATGATACATTACGTTCGTCGATTCCAGTCTTCCGGAGACCTTTGGTTTCCAGCAGCTACGCGCTTGATAGCTCTTGATAGATGTCTTGCGTAGGATCGAACCTTGGGCTGGATTTGTACTTGATCGTCTCATAGTCGATACGCTACGTTGGCTCCCTCGTGCTTGTGCATGAACAGGCCTGACCCGAATGAACAATAGTGTGTGCCCATCTGTGTAGAAAGGGAGAGATCGATGGCTCCAACGCGGAAGAGGTCGCGTGTGAGGGCGCGAAGCACGGACGACACATTCACCAGCCATTTCTCTATCTCGACCGACCGATCATCTTTAGTAGTTATCCTCAACCACGTCCGACTTCAAGCTGCGGACCTTTGTTTCCTGTTGGCACCGGTTGGTCATGGACGTGCATCTCAAGATGAACGTTAGGCGTCAGCAGCTCTCTGATACGATTCTCTCCTTGAGCCTCTCCACCCTACGCTTGAATGAGCCCGCTCGCCCAATGACATGAATCCTTCAAGGACGATAGCTGAAGCGCAAGATACTGTCGCCTTCTGTTTCCTCTTTGGTACAGCATCGAGTTCCGCACGCGCAAGCAAAAGAGGCTCTCCTCTGACGAACCCGGAGACGACATAAGGGACTGGCCGGTGGCCACGCATAAACCTTCCAAAAACAGCTGCGCGATCTTCTCACATCTGGTCCGTGGCCGTTCACACCAAGCTGCCATGGATCTAGGCTGTATTTTCCGTCCTTTAGATTGGCTCTTCGATGAATGTCCTCCCAACTAAAGTTCAACTGAGAAGCGGGGAAAACGAATTACGGCTTGGAATTGGTCACGCCCTTGAACATCTCCTCCTTATCACTTGTTGGTTTTTGAGGCTGCTGGAAATACTGGATGACACGGCATGTACTGCAGTATTGCCTATCATCTGTATCGTGGCTGCGATATAACACATGAAGGCTTCGCACCTTACTTCGTGCGCGATATTCAACAATTCTCTGCTTTGTGGCTGAATAGTCGACAGAATCATCACCCATTGGCATTTATTACATCCATCCATTGATGAGTCGCTCGTCCCTGTACGGAGACGCGGCCATGGACCTGAAATCCACTGATGTCGGCAGGCAAAGCTATGAGGATGCCCGAGATCTGGTCGCATTCGGTCACACTGAAGAATTGACAAGGAAGTTCTCGCCATGGAGCATGCTCGCTCTCTCTTTCTCCATTCTGGGCACGTACGCTACGTTCGCCCAAGATCTAGCATCCGGATTGACCAACGGTGGTGCCATCACAATCCTGTGGGGTCTCGTCCTCGTCTTTGTGTGTAACCTCTGCGTTGCACTTAGCTTGGGCGAGTTGTGCAGTGCTATGCCTACTGCTCTTGGCCAGGCTTACTGGATGCACTCATTGTGGCATACTCCAACGGGAAGATTTGCATCTTACATGTGTGCCTGGATCAACACCTTTGGCTGGTGGACCCTCAATGCTTCCCTTGTGGCATTTGCAACCAACTTCCTCCTCGGCATCAAGCTCATGTACGACCCAGATTGGAAAGGTGCCGGCACGGGATGGGTTGAGTTCTTGGTGTATCTGGGCATCACCGCGTTGTTCACAGGCTTCAATCTCGTGGCCTGCAGGAATGACAAGATCCTACCCTGGTTCAACAACATCGTTGGCATTCAATTTACTGCCCTGTTCTTCATCCTCAGTCTCGCATTGCTCATCTCTGTCGGCACTAAGCAAGGACTCGAATTCCAGCCACCATCGTTTGCATTCGGTGCTTGGATCAACGAGACTGGCTGGCCGTCGGGTGTGGTCTGGTTCACTGGTCTTGTTCAAGCGGCCTACGGTTTGACAGCTTTCGACTCGGTACGTACATTGATCTCCAAGGACGGAGACACTTACTGATATGCTCCACTCATAGGTCGTCCACATGATAGAAGAGCTCCCGAACCCTCGCGTCAACGCTCCCCGTGCCATCTGGCTGTCGGTCGTCCTCGGCGCCGTGACTGGATTCATCTTTATGCTCATATGTCTCTTCTGCATCCAAGATGTTGACAGAGTCATCAACACACCAACCGGCTTGCCATTCATGCAACTCGTCCAGGACTGTGTTGGTCTTGAAGGCACTGCTGTGTTGATGGCGCTCTTCATCATGAACAGCATGGGCCAAGGCATCTCCATCACCACGACCGGTAGTCGATTGACTTGGGGCTTCGCTCGCGACAACGGCTTGCCCTTTTCCAAATACATCAAGAAAGTCAACAAGAAGTGGAAGGTCCCACCACTCGCCCTGATCCTCCAAGGCGTACTCATGGGCTTAGTCGGTCTCCTGTATCTGTTTGCGAACACTGTGCTCGAGGCTATCTTGAGTGTCGCCACTATTGCCTTGACAATCTCCTACGCCATGCCCATCTTGACGCTTTTGTTTGTGGGTCGCAACAAACTACCTGCAGGCGGGCAGTTTGGACTGGGCAAATACGGACCGGTGATCAACTGGATCAGTGTGGTATACTGTGTCGTCACGACAGTCATCTTCTTCTTCCCAGGCGAGCCCAACCCATCACCGGCAGACATGAACTACGCCATTGCTGTATTTGGCGTCATGCTCGTCGTCTCTATCGTCTTTTGGGTCGTCAAGGGTCGCAAGACGTACCTGCGAGTGGATCCGTCCGAGCAAGTGGTGCTTGAAGCACTGCATCTCGAGGATAGTTATACTGAGGTCCCTGCACCATCACGAGGCGATGCAAAAGTGATGAGTTGATGATTTAGAGTAGCTTTCTGTATCATAGCATGTTGTAATTCTTATTCCCTTAGTCTTGTACGTCCCCATGTACGTAATTGTGATCACGTTCCTCCTATTTGAGGAAGAAGCCAGGGAATGTGGGATCGCTTGGATCGATGAAGAAGTTGTGACGGCCAGTCAGATAGGCGTTTCCTCTGACCTCTGGTATGCAAGTTGGGAACTGTGAACCCTCATCCTGCTGTTGAGAAACAACCCTAGCTTCAAAAGTAGTGTTGATGATGGAATGATGGATGAGTTTCTTGTTCCCGTTCAACTTCCCCTGTGCCAACAAAGTAGCCACTCGAGCGCCAGTGCCACTGCCACAGGGAGATCTGTCGATTGCGCCTTCTGCATATACAGTGACGTTTCTCTGTTCAATAGCCTCGTCGGTTTCGCTGAGTGTCTCAAAGAAAACGATGGTGTATAGAGAAGTGTCTTTGTGCTCTCCACGTACTCCAACCTCAGCCTTGACCTGTCGGGCAACCTCGATAAAGCGTTGAGCATTGGACGGCTTGATCTCCATATCGACAGCACGAGCATCGACGGATGCACAAGTGGCTCCTCCCCAAGAGAGATCGACTTTAAGTTGTAGAGACTCTGAGCCAGGTAGAGAGATGTTTACAGGCAGCTCTTTGGCAAATTGGTAACTGGGAACGTTGATGAAGTTCACATGTACCACTTTGCCGTTTTCGAAGTTGACCTCTGCGGTCACTCTGCCAGAAGGCACGTCGATTTTGACTTCGACCGAGCCATCCTGGACAGACTCTACCAGTCCTTTGGCTATGGCCCATCGTCCCAACGCGATAGTTCCATGACCACAAGCCGTAGAGAATCCATCTCTATGCCAGAACAGGACACCGAAATGGGCACCAGAGTCGTTGGGAGGAACGATGAAACCTCCATACATATCTGCATGGCCTCTTGGTTCATGGCAGAGAGATTGGCGTAGAACATCCAGAGGATGATTTGGCTGGTTTATGATGTTGAGGCGACGTTCCCATACTGTGTTTCCTGTGGTGGTGCAGTGGGGTGGTAGATCCGAGATGATGCGGAAGGGCTCGCCGGCGGTGTGCCAGTCTTCTGTTTGTACCCAGAATGCTTCTCTCTCAGACATGGTTGTTTCTGTGTTAGTATGTCGGACAAATTGGGTGCTTACTTGTAGTTTTGATTCACGCCCTTCAATAGACATGAGTTATAGCTGTGGCAAGATGCCCCCACTCATGCGGGTGGTCATAAATCCATATCAACCAAAAGATATTGATAAATCATCCCTAGCCTTGATACGGCCAGACTCTACTCGCACTGATGATATATTAAGAGTACGAGGACTGTTCTAGACATTAGATAGTCGCGGATAAGCTGTTGTTGAATGGAAGATAGAAAACAACAAGTCAAGATCAGGGTGTCCCTGGACGCAAGCTTATGCAAGGTTATGCAGTAGCCTTGGCGTCCGTAATGAACAGGGAGCACAACCTAAGGAGATCTGGGGGATGTCGTTTCTCGCAGAAGGCGCTACGTTTACCCAAAATAAAGGAGAGCTTTGCTTCTCTCACGCCCAACCACTCGGACAGATCAGAAGAGAGAGAGGCCCAAAAGGACCGGCGAGCAAGGAAAAGATGGAATCCCGAACAAGCTTCTTGGTGCGACTGCTCCTACTGGCACTGCTGCCCCTCAGCTTCGCCCTCAAGTTCGACATCCAGGCCCATCCCGGAGCAGAGTCGGCCAGCAAGGAACGCTGCATTCGCAACTTTGTCGCAAAGGACCAGCTTGTCGTCGTGACGGCAACCATCAGCGGACACAGAGGAGATGGCCAGGTTCTGAACTTGCACGTGAGTGGCCCTGGATTGAGTACAAGGAGAGTTGGACGGAAATGCTGACATGGTATTTCTCGTCTAGATCAAGGATGCCGTCGGCAATGACTATCACAGACCTCGCGATGTCGCTGGCGAGGGTCGCTACGCTTTCACCTCTCACGCCGATTCCGCCTTTGATGTCTGCTTCGAGAACATCCTGACCTCAAGTACGCTTGCCCAACCATTTATACCAACAATGAATGTCACACTAACGGCACATGTGCGAAACAGGCAACGGAGTCCCGAACCCTAGCCGTCACGTTGAACTCGATATCGACATTGGTGCCGATGCAAAGGACTGGTCCGCCATTCAAGCCGGCGAGAAGCTTCAACCCGTCGAGACCGAACTGCGCAGAATTGAAGAGATGGTTGCTGAGGTTGTCGCCGAATTGGATTACCTTCGTATCCGTGAGCAAAAGCTGAGAGACACCAACGAGAGCACCAATGAGCGTGTCAAGTGGTTCGCCTTTGGCACCATGGGTATGCTGGTCGGTTTGGGCGCATGGCAGATTGTCTACCTGCGTGCCTACTTCAGGTATGTGCTTGCAATTGGTCATGCATTCATCACAAGCTTACGCGATATCACAGATCGAAGCACCTCATCTAGACGAGATGGACGGTATAATGCATTTCATGTCATTTCAGGTTGGAGAGCTGCGCCTATAACGTGTGCAGCAATGGTTCATAGGTACTGTATCAGCAATTACAGCCTTCTCTCCCTGTTTGTGCCTTCTCTTCGTTCTCTTCTTTGGCCAGCCATAAAGCAACAGTAAACTCGACCGGTTTGCCCGCCAGACGCGAGCCTCGAATCTCCAAGAACCGCCAGATCACGGTGTCATGTATGGCTCCACATCATCCTTCGCACAAAGCTTGCCGTCGGCGTGTTCGTGCCAGTCACACTTGGAACCCTTCCTGGGGTCGGGGAAGTCCTCCTTGGTGAGTTTGATAAGAGAGTGAGCATAGTCAACCGAGAAGTCGCCACCTTTGTTGATCAACGTCTTCATCGAGTCTGACAAGTATACACCCTTGGCTGCAGGTTCGCCGCAGAGTGCGCGGAATGCAGCAGTCTCGGCCAAGAACTTGCGCATGTGGTTGGGCGTCTTGGTGAAGGCGTAGACGTACTCGAGGCGGAAGGTAGGTGCTGTCATGTTGTTCTTGTGGTAGTACAGGCGGACCAGATCCATGGCTATCAATGGTAAGTTAGTGCATACCCTGTGCTCTGGAAAGGTGCACTTACTGTCATTGCAAAGAGCTTCGACATCCCATCTTTGACCAATGACATACAGACAGAGGTAATGCTGGACCGAATGGAAGTCGTAGGGACCCTGAAGCTTACCGCCATGTAACCAGCGGGAGAAGAGTGCGAAGGCGAACTCGTCAAGATCCTCGAAGGTCAGTTGCTCCTCGGTAGGAGATGGCGTGGCTGACAACAACTTGTTGAAGAAGGGGACCTTGCTAGTGAGTAGGTAGTTGGGTACAGGGAACCTTTTGTGGGTAACGCCAGCACGAAGAACCGTGGTTTGAATGTCTGCAGGCATGGGAGTCTTGCTGCCTGGGTTGTCGGCATGAATGGAAGCGACGAGTGATCTGGCCGGATTGGTTAGTCATCGACACATTGGCCTCAAGACAGAGTAGCTCACTGGATAGCGCCGTCAGGAATCACTGGACTGGCCAGACCAGATCTGAGGTCTCCGGTGCTCGAAGGCTTAGTAGCTGGAATGGTGATGCTCGTGGGACGTTCGTCTGCCGCACTGCCTGCACCCACTTCGACTGCACTGTCTGCAGCTGGGCCGACTCCACGCTTGACGACAGTACCGAGATCCTGGCGGTCGTCGATGCGCTCAACAGAGCGCTGCACGCTTTGGGATGAGCTTGTGCGAGATGCTCCAGGACGGCTTGTGTCCAGGGGGACTGCAAGGGTGGGATTGCTAGACATTGTGACTGTGCTGACGCTGTGATGAACAATGGTGATAGGGCCTTGTATCGATAGGTGTAGACTTGAGGGATATTGATCATGTAATGAAGGAGGGTGAGATTGGAGGACGGAGAGGTAGCTGAAGGGGAAAGTCGGAGTGACAAGATGAACGAAGATGCAGGCGTGGGATGAGTGCCAACAGGGAAGTTGCAACACGAATAGCACCTACCTGACCTGTTCTGCTTCATGTCATCCTCTGATCCACCCAAATCTCATCTACAGGCTTCTTTTACTCAGAATTGACAAACGCAGGAGATGAGGCAATCAATGCTCGCCAGCCAATTCGGGATTGATTCAGGAGGTTGCAAACACCAGACTCAGGCTGGGACAAACATGCTTCTAGTGTTGCCGGAGTCTCAACCCAGACATACTAGCACTAGAGTGAGCATGACTGACATGTAAGCCACGCGATGTCAAGCTTCAATTCGAGCCTGTCAAAGAACTTCAAACACAGCTGCAGATGCCTGTCTGTGCGTGTGGTTGTCTTGTTGCCGGAACGATGCAACTGCCCACCAAAAACATCTCGTAGCAACAGCAGGATTCTTATGGATAGAACGCTTGATGGACTACCCAAGTAGACGATTTGGTAGTTCGGGCGTCATAGAAGAAATGTAGGACTTGTCCTTGCCAGAATGTGGTAGATGTCATGTTCGCCTTACACCGACGCAGAGTTGCAGCGAGGTTTGAGCTGCATGCGTTGGTGGAGAGTCCTACGGTAATGCGTTTATATAGATCGTGTCCAGGTTTAGAGAAGGCGATGCGTTACAAACTTTCTGGCTGAGAGAAAGTCGATGATGATTCCAAAATGACGTCGAGCGTTTTCGCTGGAGATCTCGACCCTGCGACCCCAGACAAGAGCAGCTCTCTTCGTCTTCGTCTTGTTCGACTTTCTCTCCGTACTCTACCATCACCATATACACCAAAATGTCTTCAGCAAGACTCGTCCTCAGATCGTTCCGCGCCGCCCCTCGAGTCGTGCGCCCCTTCAGCTCGGCCACTGTTCGCTTTGACGCCAATGTCGATGCATACCGCAAGTTCCAGATGGAGAAGCCTCTCAACCCTCACTTGACCAACACCACCTCGACCATCGCCAATGAGATGCCCAGTATTGGCAAGGACAACGCTCCTCCCGAGTTGATTACCAATGTCGACCCCGACTTCGCCGCTAAGGACTCTGTGCCCGAGAACACCGAGAGAATGACCGGAGGCACTCAGGACGGCAGCCCCGAGTCTGGCGTCAATGCCGATCTCAAAGTAGGTGAACTCGAGGAAAGTTCCTTTCGTGTCGAGCCTTTGAGGAGGACAGGCGAGGACACCAACACCACGAGGGCTAGACTCTTATGTTCGTCGCCAATCACTTTCACGCCGTTTTGTCAAATTCGAGACCATGCTGACGACGACGCCCTACAGACCAAAGCAGAAAAAGAGGCACGCTAGAGAGCGACCTCCTCATGTCCACCTTTGCCGATCGCTACCTCGAAACAATGACCCCCAAGCAACTTCAACAATACGACCTTTTCCTTGACGAGAACGACTGGGACATCTACTACTGGGCCACCCAGGAGCCCACCCCTACTTCCATGGAATACGCCGAAGGAGGTGGTCCTGAACAGGCTACTCCCGTAGCCCAGGGCAAGTCCGCCAAAGATGAGCACGTTCGCCCTCCCGGCACTGGCGAGTGGGCCCAGACTGTTGGTCTCTTCAAGCCTGCCTATCGCCCCGTTCCTCAGCGATGGAAGAACTCGGAAGTTTTGGCTATGTTGAGGCAGCATGTCAAGGACCGTAGTGCTGGTGGAGTTCTTGAAGGCGACAAGTCTGGCGAAGCCGAACCGGACAGCAAGAGTGGCAAAGGTATGGCTTTCATGCCCGAGCTCAAGAACCTCGACAAATAGACCTCTTGTCGTCTCACGTAAATACCCTGTAATATATGCATGGCCTGCACCTTTCTCGTATACCATCTGCTAGCAGCTACGGTTTCCCACACGAACTCTCTCTTTCGATCTCTCTGGATGCGGCGGCCACATGAGCAAGCTAACAATAGATTTTCGTACGAACGAAGGACCTAGGCGGTTGAATACTCGGAAGGTCATTGACACATTCCTTAGCAGGTGGCTAGCATTCCACGGATGACAAGCTGTTTGGTTCTTGTTTTCGTCTACGAAATACTGTATTCTCCTCCTGAGGTATAGTCCCTCACTGTTTATACAAATCAGTCGAGTAGGTTGAGATGGTCGTAAGTCATCAGGCGAAAACTGGGTTGATAACTGTACAGACAACGTGTCACAGAAGCAACCCTACTACATGTCGAGGTGGCTGGCTGTCGAGGAATGTAAGTCTGAGACAAAGGATCCCGATCATTTGGATCCGCACTAAATAGGAAGACTGGTTATTGTAAAGGCTTCATTCCATACGACACCCAGCCACTCGGACGGTGTGCCCAAGACCGCATATAATACCTTGCATGAGCTGGCTTGTGTATTGCAGCCCCTAACCAAAACATCACACTCCCTCGCAGTAACATTACACTTCAGACGTACACAATGGTCTCCATTACTCAATACACCTACCCGATTCGCCCACTACCTATACGACCTATTCGTACACAGTCATCAAGCAAGGATCTTCAGTGGACCTCTACGTATGACAGCGTATTCAGCCAGTACATCCATGCCGAAGGACTAGAGGCCGCGACATGCAACCCTGCTGCGCTTGCATATCCGACTGCAGCATTGAACGAACCATCACCTGTGGTTCCAAGTATCTATCCCGAGCCATCTCAGCACAACAGACTGTGGAGTGCGAATTCATTCGATGCAAAGGACATCTACCAACCTTCGCCGACTTTCAGCTCCTGGATGGGCGATGAAAGCGAGATCAATCTACATCATCCCATGATGTCCCAGCCAATAGCAAGGATACCGATCTATCAAAACGACATGTCAACGTCAGGGCTGCGGATATGTTACAATCCCACACTGGCTCCGTCACGAGTTGAGGAGACCGCGAGCGAGATGTATGTGAGCAGATCAAGAAGAGTGTCACGCACACCATCGACATCACGTCGTCAACAACGAACACCTTCATCGGGGACACGATCGCCTCGGCGGCGTCAACGGCGAACACCCTCATCAAAAGGTCACAGTCGCAAGTCATCTGGACAGGTGCAGAGTCCGCGAGGATCATCAGGCAGTTTCGTGAACTATACACCACACGATAGCGAGAAGCTGTTGACCGGAGTGGCACCTTCGGGCAGTAGCAAGACCAAAGCGCGACGAGAAAGGGAAGCAGTGGAGAAACGGCGAAGGTTCAGCCAGGCAGCGCTGAAAGCAATGGTCAAAGCAGGGGGTGACTTAGCGGAGCTGCGAGATGCAGGGCTGATGATCGGATAGGAGAGAGCGGGTGGTAGGTGTAATGTGTACTAGACGAGGGCTGGGCAATAATGCAGTTGTTTAATGAAATGGACATAGAATTGGAGTGCAATCTCGTGTTCCCAAGCAACGAGCCGGCGGGTGTTCCTGCCATCGTAAGTGATAACAACAAGATGAACAGTGCGGAAGAGAGCCGAGTCATTTGACGAGGTTGCCAACCCGGCATGGCGGGAACGCGTGTAGCAGGTCCCTGCATTCGAGCCGTGCAATTAGGCTTTGAGCTAATTTCTCCACGTTGCATGATGGCATCTCATTTAGCAAGGCAAGAACGTCTGGACTCTATCCGCAGATGCGCGATTACGATGGCCTCGTGCCTGACCTCGATCCTGACCTTATACACCTGCCAGCCCTGTTCCGAACCCTCTTGTGCGACGAGGTAGACGTAACAGATCCAGGACAGTGCTGACCGCCGCGTGAATGGAGAGCTACTATGAAGACGACAGTCCGCTTGCTGCGCTGCTCGAAGGTCGGTCACGCAGACGCGCTTTCCTCTTGAAGCGGACAAGGCCACTAACGTGTTGCTGCAGGCCATGGCACCGCCGACGAATCGTTCAACTACCTCAACCAGGAGCCCTTGCATACACCTCCCTTCACTCCGACTGTCGCGCCCCAGAAGCCCTCCTTCAGGCCCTTTACCCAACCCCTAAACCTCCGCTTCCCTGCTCAGGGCACTGTCTCCAAGCTTCACCATGCTTGGTCGGTACGCCTTCCTCTCTAGTCCTCTGCCTCTTGTCCACAGCAGCCTTCTTACACACATCGTAGCGTGCAGTCAACTCTCGTATTGGCCGAGCTGAGAACAACCGCTTCCTCGAACACTTCCGCTACCTCATCGTCGCCTCGCAGCTTCTCAACGAATATCCAGACCTCGGCTCGTTACACACCACTCAGATCAATGGAACTCCCTTCGCCAACACAGATTTGGCCCCGAATGCCTCGTTGAACATTTCTGGTGTCGCTGCCACAGCTGGTGTTGCCTTCGTCCTCGTCCTCCTGCTCAATTGGCTCCGTGGTTCTCGTTTGAGCAAGAGTCGTATCCTGTTGGCCCTACTGTGCGCCGCCGTAGCTGCTGTTCTGTTCTACGCATACATCCGTCGGCAATGGCTGCAGTACCTCAGACACCAAGCTGTGGACACAGTCTCTTCCCTGACCACCAATGCTCGTGGTTTTGATATTACTACCTCCGCTGCCTTGTCTCTGATCCAAGAGGTTGAGCTTGTCTCCAAGGGCTACAGACTGTACGTTCGCAGTTCCTGGAGCCATGTGACATCTGCTAACAGGTCGCAGGAGCACCCCACTCCCTCCGATTTCCCGTTTCGATGATGTTAAGGTCAATCGAAAGTGCGCCAAGCTGCGTGGTGCTCTAAACAAAGCCTACACCGAAGCATTGCCTGCCTTCAGGGATGCAACCATTTCGCTCAAGGCCCTGCTCAATCAGGATGACATGGAGAAATATCTGGATGTTTACGACATTCCTCACCACGCTGTCCAAGAGGCCGTGAGCCCTGCACTCATCTCTCTGGAGGATGACGACCCGGAATCTCTGAGAAGTCTGCGCGTAGTCAGCTACCAGTACAGCACTCTCAGAAGAGTCGTTTGTTGCTCGCTCATGTCCCTTGAGGCCGATGGAGGCAATACTGATTTCGCACGCTGGTCGGCTGCAACCAAGATCATGAACTCCCTAAGCACCATCACCGCTACTTGGGCACAAAAGTTGAGCGAACTCCTTCGCGAAGTCGAGGAGTTCACCATTCCCAGGGAGGCAAGACTCTCCACCAGACCTGCTGGTGAGCGCCTACGTACACAGGTCCGCAAGATCACCGAACTCTCTCAAGGTATCAGGTCGCTGCAAGCGAAGATGGCTCTCATGAGAGAAGAGTCCACCAAGGCAATTGAGGATTCAGATGATCTGACTGATCTCGGCCCAAACTTGATGTCGCAGTACGAATCCATCGGCACCGATCTCAAGATGCTTATGCAAGCCTGGGAGAATGGCAAGGCTTCTCTTGCAAGTAATCTTGATAAGCAAGAACGTCGCATCTCACAAGCATCAAGTGGTCTTCGTTCGCCAGCTGCCAGCCTTGGTGGTCTGACTGCTGTTGAAGAAGGCGGACCTGCTGATGCCTTACGCGCATTGAACGGCGAATCGAAGTCGAGCAGATCCAGTTTCGCAGGATCTGGATCCGACGAAGAAGTCTTCGAAGGCGTCTCCCTGCATATACCTCGCATGCGCAGCTCCTTGACCAGAGATGAGCGCATTGCTAAGATGCAAGAGGAGCGAGTACGTCTCTCCGAGATACGCGACAAACGCGATTCAGGCACAAACATGATCCGCGAGCTCCAGTCTGTCATGAATCTGCGGCCGAAGCGCAACACCATGGGAGCACGCATAACTTCGATATGAACACTTACAGCTGTCAACCGGACACTCACACTCTCTTGCAACCTACGAACTATCTTTATGATCATACGACAATTTCATTTGCATCAAAGCATTTCTCTTCGACTACAGCTCGGCAACGGACATGCAACCGACTGGCATACTTGGATTCTCATACTTTTTCACTTCCCCTATTCATCCACTCGGCGTGAATCTCAAAATATACCCTTCCTCTTCGTTTCACACTCTTCTTGTCAATACCATTTCTATCAAAGCGAGTTTAGCCCCTTTCAACCTATTCGTCTGGGGAAGCATTTTCATTCTAGGCGGCATTGTGCATATCACGCGTTCAATATTATTCTGTTTCCAGTGCACTTCAGCATTTCAATCATGTTTGTAGCTATCTGAACGAACCGAAATTTGTACAATCACTCACACCTTGAGCATCGTCCCCGTCCAATGTTCGAAGGATCAGAAGCCTTTTGTCCTGTCATCTCACTCCTCATGCAATAAAGCATGCTCAGCGAACCCTTGGTTTCTGACCTGAATCTTCATGCTCTCGAGCACGCTTTGCTTGACATTCTCATCGATGATAGTCCAACCCTGGAACAATCCATGCGTGACTGTAAAGTCGTATGGTTTGACTGCCTTCCACATGTCGTGAATTGTGTCTGGAGAAAGAGGTATCATATTCGGGATACTCCTTGAAGATGACCGATATCAGTAAAAGCAATTTATGGAGAGAGTTGAGATCCGAGACGTACCACATGAAAGAAAACGAAGTAGTCCCCTTCGGTCTGTCTTTACGGTAGAAACCAGACTGTTTCCATCTTTGTCAGATTTACGCTTTCTGCATGTCGAATCTTGACAGGAAAGATACATAGACTTACAGGTACATTAACAAACGTATCAGCAATGAACAAATGGCCATCCCAATGCAACACCATACTACCCTCAAAATGTCCTCCTACCTTTATAGCAGTGACACCTGGCACAATCTCCTCATACTGCTTTTTGAGCAGCACTCTCTTGGTTGAGGGCAGAGGAGTACGGGATAGCCATTGTTGATCGAGAGAGTGGACGTAGACGGGGCAGGAAAAAGTGGCGGACCAGGAAATGTGGGTTGTGTAGAAGTGGGGGTGGGAGATTACCATTGCTTCTAGGCCGCCTAGGGAGTTGATCTGATTTTGAGCGATTAGGACGGAGATGTGATGGTGGGTTGGCAGTGCTTACGAAGTCGATGAGGGGTTGGTCGAGGTAGGCTATGCAGTCCCAGAGAATGTTGCCGTGAGGTGTTTGGAGGAGGAGTGCTCGTTGGCCGATGCCGAGCTACATGATTGAACAGTTAGAGTCGTTTTTGTAGCATTGACCTGTTGAGCTGACGTCGGGAATCAGAAACACGAGAGTGGCACCTTCCTACCATCTCTTGGTTCGGGAAAGGAAGCAATGAGTTCGACATCGTAATTTCCCCTCTCGAAAATCTGATATGTTGTCCCATCTTTTTCTCCGCTGTTTCTCTTCTCGGTGTGAGGAAAGACTGGTTGACTTACCTTTGGTTCCGCCCAGATGGACCAGATACGAGGGTCATGCTCATCTTGCTTCCACTTGGTCTCATGCTTTCCAGCTTCGGCTTTCAAACTCGTCCAAGATTGTCCAGTTACAGGAATGTACTGACGTGGGTCCTATGATCTGCGTGAGCTACACTGAGTTCAACATGTTTGATTTGGTGTTCAGAGTTTGAGGTTGCTTACATCACAGATTCTACAGTAGCCCGACGGTGGGTTGGAAGCTGGTGTGTCGAACTGCGTGCCGCACGTTGAACAGAGCAGTAGATCTTCACCTTCGATCATGGCTGCTATCGGATTCTATTGCGTCTTGCTCTTGTGTTGGGCTGTTGATGGTTAGCAGAGGAAAACGCGTTCGTGGTGATGACATGATGATCAAGCAGGGTCGTACCCCCACTTCCCCCACCTGCTGCAACAGTGGGGTTGGTATACTGTAATTACGCGACTGATATGACAAAGAAGAAAACTTTGGGCTGGGTCAATTGCTGTTTTGCTAGTGTACATTTACATTTTGCCTTCATTGCAGTGCTTGAACGAACCCCGAACGAACGTAGCAACATTTAAAGACCATTGAAAGAAAAAGAGAGAAAGTCGATTCCAAAACTAGAAACTGCATATTGGTTTCGCGAGAAGAAGCAAGAGCGAAGAAAGGAGAAAGATAAAAACTTCTGATGATTAGAGCGCAAGTTCCATACGTGATCGTATGGAGGGGTATTATTGTTCATCGATGGCATTAGAAAGCTGACATCTGCCATCATGTGACAGTGAGAAGATGGTTGGAGGAAGGGAAGAAAGGTAGGTCGAGATGGCCAGGGAATCAGTAACGAGGCCTGCTGGTGGGTGCCTTCTCCAGGTTGCCAGTCAGATGGGCAACACGAGCCTTGATACGAGCGACTCTGTCCTCGATGGTCTCTTCGCCACTGGTATCGCCGTCATCCTCAGTGCCGTTAGTGATGTGAGATGGGCGGCCAGAGACCTGATCTTCGCTGACTCTGGTAGCTCGTTCGGCAGCATTCTTTCGGATCTGTGCCCATCTGTCAAGGTTGTTTGCGACCGGCTGAGCGGCATCATAGGCAGGCTCGGATTCAGTGTAGCTGTTGATCCTGCGGTCCATCGGCGTTTCCAGAGGGGTTTCAGGGAACCCACCGGGTGCATTGAGATGTCCTGCCTCCAGATCTGCCTTGTGAGCAGCCTCTGCTTGCGCTTGTAGATGAGAGTCGATAGATCCACGAGGCGTCCAAGCAGGGTTATCGGAAAGAGGGCCCTGATCAAAACGTTGATACTCGTCGTCAGCATTGCCTCTGTGCTCAGAGTGTACGGGAGAGACTATGTGGTCATCGGCTCCGCCATGCTGCTGAGCAAAGCTCGGCTCCAATGGGCTGACTACCGGAGGGCTGGATCCCGAAACAGGTGCTGTCAGGTTGTTTGCTACTGCACGGCGTGGGAACAGAGGCTCGGCAGTTGGAAGTGTAGGTTGAACTGGAGGAGTTGGGGTGGTAGACTTTTTGCGAAGTAGAGACAGTTTCCTCCCGAGGTTCGTTTCGGAAGGAGGTGCCAAGCTAGTCATCGAAGCTGATGGTTGTTGACCAGCAGCTTCACGCTTGCCATCGTCACTCTTGTGGCTCTTGCTAAACATACGCTTGAAACCGTTGGGTCGTTTGTTGGGTTCGTGAGCCATCTTATCTGGGCTGAAGGTAGCCGCCTTCGCCTCCCAGGCTTCTCTTGCAGCTTTTACTGCGGAAGTCTCTGATTTGGCGGGCCTCTGCCCTTCCATAGAGGGCCTAAATGCCGGATGGTTTTGCACGTTGTTAGTACGTTGCGGGACTGGCTTCCTGCCTACCTCGGTGACCTTGGGTACCGAGGGCACAGATGGCACCTCTGTGGCGTTGTGTACGACAGGTCTCTCAGAGATGATAGAAGCACTGAGTGAAAGAGGTTCCGGGTTAGCTACCGGTGTATGCGAAGCAGGTAAATCTTCCACGCTTGCGTTTGGCTGATCCGGAGTAGTGGACACCTCGGACACCACGGAAACCTCGGAAATAGCAATTGATTGTTTCCGAGCGTCTGGAGAAGGCAGAGGCTTGTTGGATCCTTGCGTTTCGACAGACGAAGTAGCATCATCAGGAACATACATCTCCACAGGTGTTCCCTTACCAGCGAAGTTATCGCCCAAGTATTGTTTGCGTGTCGCTTCTTTGTCGAAAGTATGGGCCCATCTCATAGCTGGTGCCGCTTCACTAGTCAGACCCAATGTCAAAACGCTGTTGGTTTTCATTGATGAAGCATCGTCGTGTCGTCCACGGCGTTGCGCACTTGGTGTTTCGACTGTCCTAACGTGTTGGCGAGCAAGAGTAGCTGCTGCTGCTCTAATTCTTGCTTGCTGGTCTGGAGAGATACTGAGCTTATCGGGTGTTGTCGATGCAGCTTGTCGCTCTGACTGAGGACTGTCGTATCTCCTTGGAGGCAGAGTGGCCGATTTCCTGCGGCTTTGTTTCCCCCTGCGGCTGAAACCGAAACGTGACTTCTTCTCGGCAATGTAGGCACCTTCTTCCAGTTCGGGAGCAGCGCTCTTGATCATTTCCTCCAGCAGAATCCAGCGGCCATGGAGTATACCAGTTTCGACAAGGGCACATCGACCGAAGACAGCCTTTCTCGCGGCAGGCTCTTCACTAGCAAGACTAGTCATCCAAACCCACCAAAAGCAGTCGTCAAGGTCGAACTTTGTGATACTAGCTAGTTCGCCCGGGTTGACGTCTTCTTCTTGATAGCCATTGGACGATCGCGGAGGCCCACTGCTGATAGGGGGAAGCATCTTGTCAGGTGGCATCAGCATGCGTATAGGCTGAGAGTTGACTTTGTTGCCTTCGTCGACAAATCCAGAGTTCAGGAAATCGGCCCAAGAGGGTGTCGTTGGACGTCCACCATCATCGGCACGAGAACGAGGTGCAGATCTGAGTCCTGACAGTCTTGGCTCTATGCTTGGTGAGCGCGCACCGCTCGTGTTATCGTTAGTGTCGTCACCAATGGACGAGAAACCAAAATCTTGGAAATGTGACCAAGATTCGTCGGGTCTGTTGTTTAGGCTGTCCATTCCAAGACTCATATTACTTTGAGATCGTACTGCGACAGACTGATTTGCGACGGTAATACAGTGGAGAACACGCCTGCACTCTTCAGTCAATGCTTGAGCAGGATCAGGGTATTCCGAGAACATCTGCAGATCTTCGTCCCGATATTCGAAGTTGTTAGCTCTACGGAGCAGAGCAAATGGACCTGGAGATACGACGTCCACAAGCATGACGACTTTTGGTGTTTGTTTCTGCATGAGTGTAGGCGCCTCAGGAGGATATTCGGTCTGAGCCAACAATGCTTGGATAGATCTTGGTAGACCGTTGATGCCTGAAAATCCGTCCAGAGCTTCAGGGTTGAGAGATCTGAGGTAAGCGAAAAAGAGATGACTGGAAGCATCCGCAGAACTGTCGATGGTTAGCACCGGGTTGTGAGAAAACCGAGGATGAGGGAACTCACGTCACCCATGACTTGTAGCCGCCTTCGAATCCTTTTCCTTCGTCCGAATGCTCGAATGCCCACCAACCGGCCATACGCGACAGCTTTCTGCCTCCAAATCCATTTGTTTTCCCGTGAGCGGCGATTGCGGTCAGGAGATCGAAGAAGTTGTAAATGATGTTCTTTCTGGCGTTGGAATCGACGGTCATAGGAATGAAAGTGTGGAAGGCGTTTCTTGCCATGTTCGAATCTGGTGACCAGAATTAGCTCTTTGTCGCGGACTTGTGTCGAGTTTAGAGTACGAACCACGTTCGCCGAGAGAGAAACCATGATAGACTGGCCATGTCACCACACCACCTGGCATGCGACTCCAGCACCATTTAAGAATGCTGCACAAGATCTACAGTCGCGTTAGCCAGATTCAGGACTGCAAGAATGAACAAACGCACAGCCGGATCAGTGAGAACAAGCTCTCTGCGGAGGCTCGAGCCAGCGTAGTTATTGCTTCCCTCCCGGTTGCTCTTGAAGAAGTTGTTGATAAATCTCTTTGCCGGAACGGTGTCGGTCTCTGGCCTGAACGGTAGGAGCAAAAATGGTGTATCCAGTGCCTCAGCTGTAAGGTCCGATTAGCAACAGTGGTCTGCGATGTTGCGAGACTGCGTACCTCTTGACTTGAGGATCAGAGTGCACACTTGTATGAGCTCGTCAACCTCTTCCGGATCAATCTCTCTGCTGTTCCAGTTGGACACAAATCTCGGTTTTGCCATGGGCATGTGTCCTTGATTGGAGTCGACTTGTTGTGCTTTATGCTTTGCGCCCGCCTTTGCATCCTTGCTCTTGAAGACCTTCGAGAAGAACACCATGGTGGAAACGGCCACAGGTCGTGGGCTTTTCGCTTATTGGCGAGACTGTACGAATATGCGGGAGATAGAAAAGAGCATGAGTTGGTGTATGCGAGGCAGCTGAAAGACCAGTTCAAAGCGTCAGTCCATGTAAAGTGATCCGGAAGGTGAGAGCCAGTGATTGGCGTTTTGCGCAAAGAGAAACGAAGGGGAAGAGGAGGAGAGAGGCGAGGAGAGTCAAGAAGGCGTGCTGATGGTAGCTAAATCATGGAGCAGGCATTACCTTATTAAAATGAGTCTCTGGCGGGCGATCCTATTTTCCGTCAAGCCACCCGAGGCGAAACCGCATGAGCTGTCAAACTCGAGTCGAGTAGTTGTGGGTGAGTGGTAGAAAACATGGATATGGGGCAGCTGGCTGGCCTAATGAATGGCTACAGTTGATTCACTCTGCAGCTTGAAAACATGCAGCCTGCAGCGACTCACAGTAGCCGAATCTTGCGGCAGCTTAGTCGAAACCACCTTGCTGGGTCAAGGACGGCGTGTGCTCCTCCATCATCCTCTATCTGATAAAGTAGTGCATCAACGACTGACTGATGTCCTTGTTTCTTGGCCTCCAGCGGCAGCGGCAGCGCCAGCGATACGGCCTGGCCTACAATCAGACGCGTTGGTGAGTGCCAGCACATCAATCATTGGCGATCAAGACAGTCCGCCGCCGGCTTCTGCAACCCTCATCGTAGTCGACGACCCCTGGTCCCTGGATGTACCCTCAAGCGCGAGTCGCGCGCCCGAAACAAGTGTTTCTGAGACACTTTTCATACTAATTTGATCAAGGGTGCGCTAATCAAGGCTGTTGGTCCATCTCTAACGCCAACGGTCCACACCCGCAACTCAATTCTCAAGCAATGGCCAAGCACATGAAATGTCAATGCAACCCGGATAGATTGCAGTATCCCCTATATTGCGCGACAGGGAAGGCAGTCTCGCGGCAGTTGATTACATGGATATGTACAAGATAATGTACATGCTCTCTTCGGTCAGTCAAGAAGACTGTTGCTGTCTTTACAAGTCCATCAATCCATGGTGAATGTGACAGAGCGTGCACTGAAAAAACGTTCGTGATGTCATTTATAAAATCCATGATGTCAAGCTGTAGCTGCAATGAATTGGGAGCATCAACTATTCTCCAAGAGAGTCACTTCTCCTTCTAACACATGTACACCTTTACTCGACTGACAAGATCTCCGTTCCGATTTCAACAACGTATCAATCATCAATCATCTGGAAAATTCTCAATCTCTGCAATCAATATGGTATGTGGCCCGACTCTGTTCTGGCAGCAGACTGTTCGAAACAACATGTTCCCGATGATACGAGGGCGAATTCAATGAGCACTACGACGAGAAGAGACGTGATACTCGACAGTATCTACCCATGATCATGTTCTCAGTGGATGCGCCCTTTGCTCCATCAGCTGTTCGTCTTTCGGCAAATCGGAGGATGCTGGCACGGAGTGTTGTACTAGTCAGAACGTAGTGCTGTGTTATGAAAGACCATGCTGACTGTATCTCTAGGTCAAAGACAACGACACAGTCATCAAGTAAGTACACCGCCTTCACTGCCAACACCGGCACGACGCGTCAGAAGACAGGTCTAACATTTCTATAGAGAGTTCAATGAGCTCGTCAACATGGGTCCAGACGAGCTGAAGGAGTGGCTTGGTGGTGAGGACTCTGCTGGTGCAGGCTGGTCCAAGGACGATGGCTCGGGTGAGACCATTGGCCATGAGAGGTGAGTAATCGCATTGAATGACAGTTCGAGCCATGAGACGATTGAACGAGGTCTGATTCAACCCTTTACAGCGGTCGTAAGATTATCGAGATCTTGGAGAAGAACCCAAAGAAAGATCCCAGCAAATACGACGAGGACGACATTAGCCACATGCGCAAAGTCGTGGCGTACAACAAGCGCCATCTAGCACAAGAGGGAAAAGCAAAGCAGGATCCAGAAAGCAAGAGTGCTAAGTCCTTGAAGAACTGGGGTCATGACCCTCAGCAGTCATAGGTTAGGCGATGGAGAACGGTTATACGACTCAACGAAGACTTCCACTACCTTTGAGAGCTGTCTGTATTAAGGGGCCTTAGAGATCACAGTCAGAAGAGCAAAGAGTTCCGGAGTTGGTCATCTGTTGCGTTCAAAGTCCGACGTTGCAAGCCTGAGAGGCTTCGCGTATAAAGTAAGCAAGAGCTCCTCCATAGAGCGACGATTAGTGCGGAGAGCGTCGCATGAACGAGAGTTGTTTCCGTAGAAAATGCGCTTGGGCATTGCAGCCGGTACCTGAACCAGCCTCTTATGTCGCAAAGCGCGGTCAACTCTGACAGCACACCCAAGCGCCAAAGGGTACGGAGTACAGAAACGGGTCGTGGCAGGGCGAATGGCATCGGACCCAGGATGAGGCGGCCGAAGTGGAGGCAGCGGTAGATGGCGGGTATCAAGCTTGGACAGAAGAGTTGGCCAGGTCTGTGGCACATGGAACGTTTCATTGATCAACGGTCTGAGCTCTTTCCAATAATAGGAGCATCCCGTCCGGATGGCTCAAGGTGACGGTTCTACCTTTTCGCATTTGATCTGACGCATCTTATCACGCGTTTACTCGCAGCTGTTCCGCGCAGAAGTACGAGTAGCTCAAGCAAAGACGACACGACGTGCATATACTGCATGTCCAACAGGCGGTAGCGAGACGCTCCCAGCAGACCAGAGAGCAGTCCTAGCCAAGGCCTCTGACAGCCATCGAATTCTCGTTTCTTCGCGCGGCCAACCAAGACTGTCGCATGAAGGCTGAAGCTGCGTCCCTGTACCTTTTCTGTCTTTGCAGTCGCTCGCTTTCCTGTTCGCTCCAACCATGGGTCGCAGAAAGATTGAAATTCGTCCCATCAAGGACGACAGAAACCGCTCCGTGTACGGACCGCCGCCTCTCTTCTATTTTAATCCTGTCATTGCTAACGGCTTTTTGGTGGCAGCACTTTCCTGAAGCGCAAAGGCGGCTTATTCAAGAAGGCATACGAGTTGAGCGTACTCTGTTCCGTCGATGTCGCAGTAATCATCTTTGGCAACAACAAGAAGCTCTACGAGTTCTCGTCGGGCGACATTCACGAGACAGTAGCCCGCTTCCAATATGTATGCCCTAGCCTGCCGCTCCAACCCACTTCTGCGACACATGGCTGACTGAATACAGTATGGCGGCGCACACGAACACAAAGGACCGGCCGACTTCCAAGGCAAAGGTGGTGGTGATGATGACGAGGAAGGAGACGAGGAGCCCGCCGAACAGCATGAATCGCACTCGCCGCCAGAGGCATCCATGATGCAGCATCCCCTTCAGCACCAGCCTGGACTTCAACACATGCGAAACTCGACGCCTTCCGCATCTCCGCCCATCCCAAATGGCGCCATGCCCGCCTTTCCTCAGCGCATGGCCACTCCTCAGCCGCCGAATGGTTCACGTCCCTCGTCTCGTGTCTCGCACTTTCGCCGTACCAGCTCGAACCTGGTACCTCAGCAGCATATGGGTCCCCAGTCGCAAGCTCCTGCTCCTCAGCCTACCTACGCCTATTCTCCCAACGCTCCGTACCATCCACCTCCTCCTAACCCCGTCATGCAACGACCTACCCCGCAAGGTTTCGCCGTTCAACCCCCTCAATACTACGCCCCATATCCTCCACCTACTCAACAGCAGATGCAAGTCGCTGCTCAGCAAGCTTATCTGCAGCAGGAACAAAGAAGGCAGTCGTCCGTCCCTCCGCATTTCATGAGCCAGGTTCATCCAGGCGCCCAACAGCACATGCCTACACCACAGCAGCAGCATTATCAACAGAATCAGTCACATAGCGCACAGCCTTCTCCACAACCTGACCAGCATAATTTCCAGAGTCCTCCGCTACCCCAGCCGAGACCCTTGCCAGCTCATGCAAGGTCGCATAGCATATTTACCCCCATCGATGACAGCCGCTCGCTCCTCGCTCAGCATTGGGGTGGAAGTACGTCCAATTACAGGGAACCAATAATCAAAACCGAAGTCCCTCGTTCCCACTCGGTCGATGTATCTTCTGCACCACGCCAGAGGGCTGTTGAGGCGCCGCCTAGACCAATCGATATGACAGCAGCGGCACCACCAGCAACAGCAGCTCCCAATCCTACTATGCAAGCACCTCCTCCAGGACCTTCACAACGCACAGGCTCTATTTCTTCAATACCCGGGCCTATACGCCCTGGAGGTGCGGCTGCCGAAGCAAAACGACCACGATTGAAGGTGCAAATTCCTAGCGAACAGTCAGATGGCGGTAGTGCGACGGCGGACTCATCGCCCAAGGATGGTGGGACAGCGTCGGCGACTCCGATGCGTGTAGGTCAAGGGGTCGTCCTTCCACCTCCATCGCCATCTACGAATGCAGTCCTTTCTGCTGGTGCATCTGGACCGCCCAATCCGTTCGCGCGGCCCGCACCACCCATCAGTACAAATGCGCACGGAAACCGTGAGCGAGATCACATTGAAACGCCGCTCTCTGCACTTCCTAGTAGGGTCATGGACGGCAACCACCTCTTACCCAGTCCGTCATCGTTCTGGCCGGATGCGTGGTTCGGGAGGGACAACAACATGATGCCCAGCCCGCTCAATTTCCAGACGCCGGTAGTATTGAGTGGGCCAGGGTTTAGAGAAGAGGACGAGAAGAAACGGAAAGCGGAAGAAGAAGCAGGTGGCGGTGGCAAGAGAGCCAAGGACTAGGAGAGCAGCGGAGTAATGATGTTGAGAGAGGCACAATGCGTTTACGGATCAACGAGATGTTGTGAAGATGTGTGAGGCAGAGCAAAAAGAAGTCGCATGAAGCATATGTCGGATTATTCAGGAGGAACATGAATCAGTGGCAGCACCCACAACGAAGGCATCCAGATAGTAGTTATAGTAGATGCAATTAATACGCGCGTCACAGCGGAAAAGAACAGGAGAGGAGAGATGAGAAATGCAGATAGGCGTACGCAATACGGCAGCAATACGGGACGGTGGTATATGGACGAGTCATGGGCACAGGTGGGGCTGGTGATAAGCAAGCCGACTTGAAGGGCTCCCTTGGCTGCTCAGCCCAGCCATGGCAGACGACGATTACTCGATGCGCACCAAGACTGTTTCTCTCGCTTGCTCCTCGCCTGACTGAAAGCAAACCAGCAAGATGGCATACAACCGAGGATACTCGGGCAACCCCGACGCGCTCCCAGCGTACGTCAGCGCCGACTGGCAAGCAGGGCGCATGGCCATGGCTGATTGCTCGTATAGACACGCCGAACCCGACCAGGCAGCGGCCATGCTGTCGCAGAACCAGAACCACCCCCAGAGACACTCTTCGACCTCGAGCTATCACAACAAACCACAGCCACCACCACCTCAGCAGTCGCAGTCCTACGGCCGCCCGTCCGGACATCAATCCCCCGCCATGGGTTCCGCTCCCCAGCGCTATGACAACTACCCCCCGCCTCAGCAGCCGCAACAATACCAGCAACGACACAGCAGTGGATACGGCCCCTCACCCGCTCCACCAGCCGGCGGTGCTCCTCCCCCTCCGCGCAATACCTTCGCATCACCCCCACCTCCGTCCAACTACGGCCAGGGACCTCGACCTTCCGGCTATCACAACCGTCCTCCGATCCCTCAGAACCAACGTCCTCCTACCGTCGCACCACCTCAGAATCCTGACCCCAACAGCCGTGAGGCATTGTGGCCTCTGTTCATGGCCGTAGACAAGGAGCGCAACGGTCAGCTGAGCGAGTCTTCATTGCGCAGCGCTCTGGTGAATGGCGACTACACGGCCTTCGACGCACACACCGTTCGCATGATGATCCGCATGTTTGACACGGATCGCAGCGGCACCATCAACTTTGACGAGTTCTGCGGCCTCTGGGGCTTCCTGGCCGCCTGGCGCAACCTCTTCGACCGTTTCGACGTGGATCGCTCGGGTAATATCAGCTTCCAAGAGTTTGCCGATGCTCTCGTTGCGTTTGGCTATCGTTTGAGTCCTCAATTCACTCAGCTGCTATTCAACACATTTGCGAGAACGACACGCGGCAGAGGCGATGAGTCGTACGGCGGCGGACGCGAGAAGACGCTCAGTTTCGACCTGTTTGTGCAGGCGTGCATCAGCTTGAAGCGCATGACGGATGTCTTCAAGAAGTATGACGACGACCGTGATGGATACATTACTCTCTCTTTGTAAGTTTGGTCTGCTTTCGGATGCTGATCGACTCGATGCTAATACACACGCAGCGAGGAGTTCCTCACAGGTGCGCAAAGCCTTTTCCTCTTCAACTCCATATCCCCCGTAACCGATAATGGCCTATACTGAACCCTTTTTGGAAGAAATCCTACGACAGCGATGATGTCCCTAATGTTTTCTTGTTGCATGAACGCTCAGAGATGACACGGCGTAAGTTGACATGACGGAAGGCGAGAGAGCGAGCTTGTTTTTCTCATCAGGCAGTATTTACGATACCCCTATACTTGGCCAATCGACAGTTTTTTGAATGAACATGAGTGAGGAAGAGAGTTGAAGACTATAATGTCAAGAGTGGACCCTGCTTTCATGTGATTGTAAATCGGCGTCAAACAAGTCAAACAAGCCGGGGCTGTCGGCGAAAAAGTTGGCGCGTCTCTAGCAAATTCTCAAAAGTTTGAAGGTCGTTGTATTCTTCAACACAACTCCATACTGGCGACCGCGAACATGGATACAAGCTTAGCATCGATACTACCGGGTCTCACAAGTTCTCTGGAATCGGCCATCCCGGCACTGCCCACCAGCGACTCGATCCTCCCTCCACCAAACGGCATCACTCTCTTGGACGCAAAGAACGAGCTCTTCCTCTCATATCTACAAACACTCGCTCTGCGCAACTTGGCAGTCATCCGCAGCGCCAAAGATGGAAAGACCGCTCCCGCAGACTTCGACGACAAACTCGTTAGAGACCTGGTCAAGCACCGCGTGTATCTGGAAAAGGGCGTGCGACCCTTGGAAGACAGACTCAAGTACCAAATCGACAAGGTCGTCCGCGCCGCCGAGGACCAAGCCCGCGGTGCCGTCCAAAAAGCCGCCGTCGCCAAACAATCCGCCGCCGCCGCTGCAACCTCAGCAGCCTCCGACTCTGGCGAAAACTCCAACGACGACGACGACGACGACGACGACGACGACGACGACGACGACGAAGACGACGAAGACGCCTCGGACTCGGAAGCAGACTCAGACGACGGCCTCGCCTTCCGTCCCAACCCCAGCGCCTTGACTCGCCCCTCGGACGCAACCGAAGCGCCTTCCTCCAAGCACGAAGCCTCCACCGACGGCATCTACAGACCCCCCCGCATAAACGCCACAACCATGCCCGCACCGCCCTCTCCCCGCCGCGAAAAGGGAGAAAGAAAACCCATGCGCAGCAACACCATCGACGAATACGTCGCCGACGAGCTCAGCGGTGCTCCCACGGCTCAACCCTCCATCGGAAGCACCATCACCGCTGGCGGCCGCCGTGACAAATCTGCTCGTGAGCGTAGAGAAGAAGCCGAACGCACCGCCTACGAAGAAAGCAATCTGGTGCGTTTGCCAAAGGAAGGCAAAAAGGAACGTGCGAAGAAGGGAGGCAACAAACGTGGTGGTTTCGGCGGTGAAGAGTGGGATCTGCTGGGTCAGGGTATCGGCAGGATCGATAGGTTGACCAAGAAGGGCGAGAGGACCGGTGCTGGTGGTGTGGGTGGTGCGCTGGAGAGGAGTAGAAAGAGAAAGAATGATGATGATGGTGGTAGAGGTGGTGCTGGCGGTGATATCGGTAGAGAGTTTGAGCGCAGGAAGAAGAGAGCTATGCGTAGAAACTAGGAGGCTCGAACTCTTGGGCTTGCTGTTGCATGCATATATAGCGATTATCATCGTTGCATTGTTCTGGAGTTCTTTATGAGTTCAATATGTTGTTTAAACAGGGTAACCCTGATATTATCAGTTTTTTCCTTGTCAAAACATGAACGCAGCTGGTGGACGACAGGTCGGTTATCAAGGTTCTTGGTGTGGCTATATACTTAGTCGAATACTGAAAGTAAGCCGGATATCACTACTTTTACGCCACTGGATATGCATAAAACCTTTTGCTGGGTTCCCTTCATGTCTTCATAGCTTCCATGAACAGTCTCATGGAGCCTTCCTTCTCAAATTCACACTGATCCATTTTCGTTCGCCTCCTTTCGTTCCATCTAGCTTCAACTGCTTCCTTCCTACACGAAACAAACGTTCTAGCCTTGCTGAGCATCAAAGTCGGCAACGGCTTTGCTCATAGCATTGACGTCAAAATTGTACGTGTTGGGATCTTGAATGTCGTCCAATGACAATGCCATGGCTGGTCTAGTCAGTCCGTTCATCCAGTCCGATCGAGTCAAAGGTGACATTTCTCGAGGCCCCAGTTCCGGGCCTTGATACTCCTTGGAGTTGAAGACCACTCCATCTGCCATCGGATTGGATTGACCCAACAGTCTTGACATGCTACCGGTGGCCATGTTGTTGGTAGGTGTCGATGGCATACTATAAGTGTCCCCTGGGTTGGTGAATTGGGTTGTCGTGGTGCCCATGTAACTTGATTTGTTGCCTGAGACTTCTTGACGGCCGTATACGTCTGGGAGTGCCAATTCCTCGTAGTGATGAGGACCCTGATTGACAGTGTTGCAATCATCCATTGTTGCCTGACGTTGGAAAGTAGGTGCGTTGATGGGAGGAGATGCCGCAATGCGATCTGTCTTCGGGCGTGCATTGTCCATGGGAGTAGGCATAACGTCGTCCATGTTGTCTTCTTTACCATCGTCACCCTGCCATTCGCCATCATCATGTCTGTCCTCGTCGTCCGTAGCATACAGTTCATCCTCCTGTGATGCCTTCTTGCTGTCTGTGGTCCTGGTAAATCTTGTTGATCTTGTGGGCTGGTTGATGTTTGTCGGTTCCACGTCAGGTTCTCGTAGATCTGGTCGTTCTGGAGACGAAGAAGGGGATTCGGCATAGCTAACTCGTTGCTTGGCACGTCCGCTACGGCGGACTCCCGCTGATGCAAGAGCCTGAGCAGGCGGTTCCTTCTTGCTGCGTTTGCTTGTCCGGCGTTCAAGCACCAAACCTTGATCATCGGCCATGAGCGAGTCATCGTTGATGATATGAATGGTAGTGCGAGGTTGAGATGTAGTTTCTTCCACTTTAACCTTTGAAGGTCTTCCACGTCTCTTCTTTGGTGGCGAAGGGATGAGATCAACACTTGTCTTGCGATCTGTGACCGAAAAGGGTGAGGCCAGGGTAGGAGGACTGTATGCAGGTGTGCCCGACAGACTTGATCGCTTCCGCTTGAGCTTGACGGGAGATACGGGATTGACAGCAGGTCGTGAAGGAGTTTCAGAAGTGTCTCCAGTTTCCCATATGCCCGAGCTTGTTCGCTTGATCAACCCTTTCAGCGACGTTTGATTGAACCGGGCCATGCTTTGTGGTGAATAAGGCTGAACAGATCGTAGTACTTGTCCATTGGCAGGCTGTGAAGGTGTTGCGAAAGCATCTCCAGTTCTGAACATACCCGAGCTTGTTCGCTTCATCGACCCCGTTGTCGACGCTTGATGGACCCGAGCTATGCGTTGCGGCGAAGCAGGCTGAGCGGACCGCAGTCTCTGGGCGTTGACATATTGCTGTACTCTGTGCATGTTCTCGGCAAGGACAGCCTGTTGCTTTGCTTTGGCCTTCTTGATACCATCCAAGATGAGCTGACGTCTGCTCCGAAGTTTCGCATAAGTCTCACGCAATTCGACATAGTCTTCGTGCATCATTCGAGCTCTGTCCATGTCGATGGGTTGCAAAGCACCAAAGGCTTTTCTGTACTTATCGAATGCTTCAAGTTTGGGGTAGAGATCCACCAGGCGGTTCTTGAACATGGCGAGATCATCATCGCATGCTGTCAGCAAGTCTTGTCCGTTCTCAGCCCAATGAGCTGTATCCTTGTCCTCTTTGCAATAGTTACCGCCACATGGTGAGGGTACTCGATCCTTGACGATATGGTAGTTACAACAGAATGGTACTTGATGAGCCAGAGTGTCGACCGAGCATTTTCCGATGGATCGACTCGAGTGGCCACATGGATGCAAGGTGTATCGATGGTAACACATGCTGTCGAACTATGCGTAAGAGATTAGAATGGTAAACATTCGGTAGTGGATGAGGCTCGGAAGAAAAAGAGCGTGTTGTCTGGAGAGGGAGTGCGCGAGCAATGACAAAGAAAGCGACGGAGAAAGCGACGGAGAGAATGATGGAAAGAGCGACGTGAAAACACCGCTCAACCGGCGAATAAAGTGCAGATCGGCTGGATACAATGCGTGAGATGAGTGAAGGGAAAAGTGACGGCAAGGTGCGTGTCAAACAAAGCGATTGTCTGAGTTGGGTAGAAGAACGAGTGCGCACGCGTGGCAGTTGAAGACAAATGGCTGACGAGAAGGCGCAAGCCGACTAGAATGGGATTCTGAGTCGAGTAGGAAAGCGAGTGTGCGTGTGTTGATCAAGGACAAGATGCGGATCGCGTGAAGAGGTTGTGTGCGCGTGCAAAGAGAGACTGTCTGGTAAACAATGCCGGAACTTTCTTCGTAGCCCAAGTTCAGCATGAATGTTTTGCTCCTTCCCGAACCAAGCGCACAATTGGTCACATGTCTCTGTGATTTGCGTCGTCCGAGTGGAAGGCTCAATGATCTCGAACGTTCAGAGAATCGTTTCTTTGAGGCGCATCATACGTACCGAGCTTGAGTTCTACTTCAGGAAAATCACACTGGAGTTTCTGCAACACTGACCCCTAGAGACGGCATCTGCTCATTGCAGACAAGAGCCCATAGATATCTCTGAGGCATATTCGAGACTTTAGATATACCGAAGTCAGGCAAGAGTTCTGTCTTGCTGCACAGAATAGTGATGATTTTGATGAGATACCAGCGTGATAAGACAGAAACAAGAGACATGGCTGCTGTAACTTTCTGACATACTTGCTGTTCGCTTTGTGCTCAAATCTGGATACCACGTTGGGCAACGGTGGTAGGTAGAAGATGTGAGGCTTGATTCCTGATTACATGCATTTTGATTGCTTGACTTCAGCAGTGAGTGCAGAAGCTCTGATGACCAGTCTAAGATATAGTCTGTCATTCAAGAGACTGTGAAGCCACTCGATCATCGGGCAAGTGGTGCAATGTTAGTCCGGTAGAAGACATAGAGGCTGACAGATGTACGAGGCTTCTTCGATCATGGAGCGATGTCATGGATGTCGTTTTTCTAGAAGAGCAAACCCCACGTTCCACGAAAGACAAACAAACCTCGCCAAGGTGTGGAGAGATCTGTTGCCAAGTGAGGTGACAGATGTGGTGATACCGATGCTCAATGACGAAAGTTTTAAGTATCGATGCTTTTTATGTCCATACAGGACGATGACTCGGCGTGAAATCATCTGAACTGCTCCAATATCAGGGGTGTACCGTACGGTGGACAGTCTGTTCGCCAGAAAGGAGATTGGTCGGAGATGTCGGCCGAGATAGCGAGACGGAGACGGATTTTAGAATGTTTGGCCGAGTTGCCGGTAGAGGAGGCGTTCATTTTCGCAATCGTCTGCAGCACAAAAGCAAAGAGTCATGCCGTCAATCTCTGTCTCCGCCTTGACATCTAGGATCACAAGTTGTCCTTCGACATACAACCCCATATCTGCGCCAACATGAATGTCACAGGGCGACAAACAGAGGTTGCACGAGAAGAAGCCTCCGCAGAGGCTGGTCCTGGAGCCGCGACTACGAATGCCGTACCTGCAAATCAACTTATGGAAGATATCGAGAACAACAGCACATCCTCAGCTTCTACCAAACATGATGACGTGCCAGCTCAGGAAAGACCCCAGTTGGAGCGCAAGGACTCGACACCTCTGGAAGAGCGATCAAAGGGCAAGATTGCTCTGATCATGACTGCTCTGGGCATGGCCGTCTTCCTCGCTGCCCTCGACGTTACAATTATCACAACCGCACTTCCAACCATTTCAGAGTATTTCCACTCGGCTGCTGGATACACTTGGATTGGTTCCGCATACCTGCTAGGAAATGCCTCCAGTGTACCGTTATGGGGCAAGATCTCCGACATCTTTGGACGCAAACCCATCTTGATCGTCGCAAACTTGATGTTCCTCATCGGTTCTCTGATTGCCGCTCTCTCCAACAGCATTGGTATGCTCATCGCTGCACGTGCCATTCAAGGTGTGGGTGGCGGTGGTCTGGTCACTCTCGTCAACATCTGCATTAGCGACCTGTTCAGTCTGAGAAGAAGAGGCGCCTACTTTGGTATCATTGGAGGTGTTTGGGCATTGGCTTCGGCCATCGGACCAGTCATCGGCGGTGTCTTCACCGAGAAGGTCTCATGGAGATGGTGTTTCTACATCAACCTGCCCCTCGATGGAGCGGCGCTTGTCATCATCTTCTTCTTCCTCGACTTGAAGACACCAAGGACCCCTCTCTTGGAGGGACTCAAAGCGATTGACTGGATTGGAGCCTTGCTTGTCATCGGTGGTGTCCTCATGTTCCTGTTCGGGCTTGAATATGGTGGTGTAACTTACCCTTGGGACTCGGCCACTGTTCTTTGTCTCATCATCATGGGCGTGTTTACCATGGTCTTGTTCTTCATCAACGAGTGGAAGTTTGCCAAATCACCAGTCATGCCTCTGCGTATCTTTCAGAACCGGAGCAACATCGCCGTCCTTGGTGTATGCGCCATCCACGGTATGGTCTTCATCTCGGCTTCCTACTATCTGCCTCTGTACTTCCAGGCCGCTCGTGGCGCAACACCTCTCTTGTCTGGTGTCTATATTCTTCCACAGGCTCTGTCTCTGTCCTTCGCCTCGATGGCCACTGGTATCTACATCCGCAAGACAGGCCAATACTTGCCAGCAATCTGGTTTGGCATGGTCTTCCTCGTCTTGGGCTTCGGGCTTTTTGTCGACTTCCAAGCCAACAGTAGTTGGGCTAAATTGATCATCTTCCAGATCATTGCAGGAATCGGAATCGGTAATTACACCCTCTTATATTTTTTGCTGTTGTCAAGATCTAATACTGTATCCAGGTCCTAACTTCCAAGCCCCTCTGATCGCCCTTCAAACCAATGTCCAGCCCAGAGACATCGCCACAGCAACCGCAACTTTCGGATTCGTCCGCCAAATCTTCACCTCCATCTCCGTCGTCATCGGCCAAGTCGTATACCAAAACCAGATGAACACAAAGACCGCCCGCCTTGTAGCAGCACTCGGTCCAGAAGTCGCAGGAAAACTGACAGGAGGCGGTGCTGGCGCCAACACCGAGCTCATCGACAGCCTTCCCCGAGCACAAAAGCAGATTGCGCAAAACGCATTCGCTCAGAGCTTGCATCCTATGTGGATCATGTATGTGTGCTTTGCTGCGCTGGGTCTGATTGTGAGCTTGTTCATCAAGAAGAAGGAGCTCAGCAAGAAGCATACGGAGACAAAGACTGGACTTGACGTTCAGCGGGCGAATGCTGCGGCACAAGCGCAAGAGGATGCAGACAAGAAGAATGCAAAGCAGGCTGCCCGGGAAAGAAAGTCCCACGATATTGAGATGGGCGACGCACAAAACCACTGAGGAACGGGAACCGGGTTTCTTTTTGCATTTCCACGGCGCATACCTTGATACCAATGCGATTGGCATAGCGAGCAAAAGTAGCATGTCTTTGTTTAGCCTAGAGTTGGCATGTTCTCTTGACTTTAGATATCCTACTTAATTAATCATTCTTTCCGCTTTAGTACCTTGTTCAATGTCATGTTCATCATGTTGTGTTTTGACGTTCTAGCTGAGTTTTTTGACTCTCTCCTCTAACTCCTTGACCCAAGTCTCGACTGCAGCGCTGTTTTGGAGCATGCCAGTCTCTGCCCTAGCAACAGCCTCCTCTACTTTCTTGAGGCCATCCCGCCATTCGCGGATCTCCTTGTCTGCTTCGTCTTGTTTTTGTTCCACCTCGTCGAGTGTTTGACTCGCGGTCACTGCATTGGCGTGTAAAGTTCGTAGAGACCGTAGCCGAGTGAGCAAGGGAGGTAGTGTGGGGCTCAGAGACGTCAGAGTTGGTAGCAAGGCGTACAGAGCGCGTAGTTTTGCCATGTCTTCTGGAGAAGTGTGCTCTGATTGTGTTGTTTCGGAGGAAGTAGGTTGTTGGAGCCTTTGAGCCAGGGTGTCAATGTGAGATGCAGAGGGAGATGAGGTGAGGAGGGCGAGTTGGCGGTCTAGGAGCGAGAGGGTGGGTAGGATGGGTGTGAAGTTTGAGTCTGTGGTCGAGGTCTGGGGAGTGTCGAGGGAGGTGATGCCGAGTTGGCGTTCGAGGATGGCGAGACGAGCATCGAAATCGGCGACTTTGTTCAGGGCTTGGGAGTCGATGGTGTCTTTGGTGGCTGCCTCCGCCCGGGTTGAGTCTGGCACTGAGATGGCATCTGCCTTTGCAGGCGTCAAAGACGAGGTTGGCAGCTGTTTGCTCAGACGAGCTTGTGCAGATTGCGAGTGGCGCATACCGTCCAATGCTGTGCTCAACCGAGCCACTTGAGCAGCCATATCCTCATCCCCTGGTTGTGCCTGAATGCCGTTCGCTTCGCTCTTCCTCTTGTCCAATTCATTCTGCACCTCGAGCATTTCCCTGTTCAATCTTGCCAGCTTCCTCTGCAAACTCTCATTCTCATCCTCGCTGTCGTAGTCCTCCCCGTCTTGATTCTGTTCCCTGTTGCTCACAACATAGGCTCTTCTCTTGCTGCTCACACGGTCTGAGAAGTCCGTGTCTCGTGCATCGACGCGTGAAGACTGAAATTGGGACCGCGCGTCGTCGGGTTGTAGTTTACTTCGGCTGATGCTGGGATTGGCGTCTGTGTCGGATGTATCTGACCATGCTGTGCTTGTCGGTAATGTCGATGCGTCGTCGGTGAGGTCTGGTGTCTCGTATGTGTCTGGCGATTCATCCTGGACTGGCTGTTAGCTGTGTGCTTCTCCAGCTACTGTCAGATGTTTTGTTTACCAGATCGGGGAGCGCGGCATATTTGCGCACTTGCGCCATGTTGGAACGTGAGTCAAGGGTTGTGATATCTATAGTAGACAATCTGCCAGCAGATGTTGTCGAGATGGCGTCTACGGCCAAACGAATCAAGCGTCGATCAATTTCGAGGGTCAGTTGATTGCGACTTCATGGTGTTGCAACACCGCCAGTCTGCACTACAATCACGTGATGACATGTGTTGATTGCTATGGGTCTTTGTCAAATGTCATACTCGCAGCAACATTTCGATTGGCCTCCAGTACTTCGTGTGCCTCTGTCGCTGGCGCGCCGAGTCGTGATGGTTGACAACAACTTGGAGCACATAGTGTTCAAATCTTTCCAACATGACGCACGTCAATTCTAGCTATGGGTATGCACAATCTTGGGACCGAACATAACACTGTTGATTGAGCCCTAAGTTGAATACGATCAAGTGTGGACCTCGTTTTATTCTCGAAAAGCCTCGTCTGTCTCAGGCGGACCCTTATGCATGTCTGAGATCGAGGTCGTGGTGCGCTCGAGTCTTCACACTCGTAGCGACCGTCTCTTCTAAAGTGTGTCTGTTGGCCCAACACATATGGCCACAAATCAGTAGCTCGCTCGACCATGTTTTGCGGGCTCTTTTTTCTGATCTTTCCGGTTTCGTAAACGCCTCCGTTTCGACATGTATTACAAGATTCTGCATTCATATTCGAGAGCAGAATGTGGTGCTGTCGTGTCTATCTTCCTTACACGCTCGTGGCATCAGAAACGTATGTGTGTATATGTTCGTCATGGTTGCCGACCAAGGAACGATGTGTCCGTGACCGACTGGCATGTTCTTGTCGTGGTTGGAGGCGGTCTGTATAGATATCGGTCGATGTACTATAATTCACGAGACGTCTGAGGCGGCAAATCAGCAAAGTGGTTCAATATCAAGAAAACAGCTGTGAAGAAAACATGGAGATTTCAGAGTGGGATGTTGAATCCCACCAGCGAGCTTTGAATTGCACTCTCGAATTCGCGAATCTTCGAAGTGGTGCGAGGATAGTGCTCCGAGTCGTGTGGCTTCGAGATATGTGTATATCGAGTATTTGATATTGAACGACGAGCCCGATCGTTTTACAAATATTCGGAGCGATATGCTGGCGATAGTTGTGAGCGCGCGCCTGCTTGTGGTGCATACAAGGTAGGTAGGCAGTGCAGCGGATCTGAGGTTGACGTTCGCGCAGCGGCGGGTCGATCGTCACCGATGCGACGACATGATTTTGTCATGCATAAATCTGACTGCCTCATTCTTCACTCTGGTCAGCTAGCCTACTTTACAGCGTTGCTAGCCAAAAGACATGTTTGATGCGTGGTGCAGGAAGTATGGGAGACGAAGAGTTGAGGTGAGGTCGAAGCAAAGTTGACGCGGAAAAAGCGCTGCCGAGGGCACACCGGCTTCAAGGCCCATGACCAGACAGACATATCGCCATCTCGATACAGCCCATACGTCTGCCCCATCTTGGAATCTATCGCTACTACTTACAAAGCATCTTCTCTCTTTTCCTCACAACCTTCGGATTGAGCATGCTCTAAACCCGGATCGAGAAGCCATGCACCACCATATCGCCCGCCCTGCTTTTGCCTCCATATCCTGATATTGCGATCATGGATCCATCCAGCAATACCAATACTGCCTTGGGCAATTCAGACAATCCCTCGGCTGAGATGACAGGGATAGTGGACACTATCTCGAATAAGAAGATGGCTCCGAACGCTGCACCGGCTGTGCAAGAACAAGTACGACCAAGGCCATCAGGCCAATATACCACTCTCGAAAGTCCCGAAGATTCGGCCTCCAGCCTGTCTTCTGTCGAAAGCGAGCCGTTGAGTTCTCTTCCCGATGCTCAAGGAGCAATTCTGTCCAAGGTCGATGTTAATGGTATTCTGCGCTATGGCTCATTCGATGCCGATGAAACAGGCCTATCATCAGTCACTTCCGTTCCTTCGATTAACAAACGATCATTCCAAGAGACCCATAGCTATCCTGACAGCCAGGTATCTGATGGTGATAGAGCGATAAAGAGACAGGCTTTATCTCCCGAGTATGCTCGCCCCTCAGATACCGCCATATCCAGCAGCCGTTCATCACTATTATCGAACATTCAAGTCGCACCTCACCTGATCCCAGAGACCACCTCTTCTTTGAGAGATGATCGCATACAGTCGGCGCCCAAGGCTCCCACACCAAAGACGAAGAGATTTTCCAAAGCCACCAGACTGACGACTCACGCTCGTCCGAGATCGTCCATCCCCATCAATATGTCCTGGGAAGAATACGGAAGACAATCCATCTCGGCAGCTCATTCGTCGCGCCTCAATCCGTATGCTCTCCATCCAGGGGAGTACAGACTTTTACGAGACCACATCACACAAGCTCAAGTCACTACATATCTGAATATCCGCAATGGCATTCTTCGTCTCTGGGTCCGAAATCCCTTAGTCAGCGTCTCGAAAGAGGAAGCAGCTGGATGCGCAAAAGATGCTCGCTTCTTCGACTTGGCACATACGTCGTATCGGTGGTTGGTCAGAAACGGCTACATCAATTTTGGCTGTGTTGAGGTTCCTCATGCAGGAGTCCTTAGTCCCAAGCGAAAAACAACACCTAGACAAAGGACGGTAGTCGTTGTAGGTGCTGGTATGGCGGGCCTCAGTTGTGCCAGACAACTCGAAGGCTTATTTGCCCAGCTCGGTGATCATTGGACCGATGTTGGCGAACTGCCCCCCAAGGTTGTTGTGCTGGAGGGCAGAAACAGAGTCGGTGGTCGTGTCTACTCACATCCTCTCCGGGAGCAGGTGCCGGATAGCCTACCGAACGGCCTGCGAAACACTGCCGAAATGGGCGCTCAAATTATCACAGGCTTCAACCATGGAAATCCCTTGAACGCGATCGTTCGTGGCCAGCTCGCCCTTCGCTATCACCTCATGTGGGATGAGATTACAATGTACGACTCTGATGGACGCGCAGTCAACCACGAACGCGACATGATGGTCAACAAAATACACAACGACCTGTTGGAGCGAGCCAGCGACTTTCGCGTGAAACCGACGCCTGTCGAGACCCTAGAAGGACTTCCGGACTACGTTGACGTGTGTCAAGATCCTGTGGAAATAAAGACGGAAAGAAGCAATGCTCCTACACTAAATCAAGAAAGGCAAGCTGTACCTCCCGGCTTCGCTAAGCTCCAGGGAAGGACCCAGGTAGTCGCCGGCAATAGCTCAAGTCGGACAGCAGCACAAGCCGTACGGTCGGCCGGCTGGCAATTACGACCTGGCATCACAAAGAGACATTCTCTAGCCCTCGACGCAATAGCAACAGAGTCCGACAAACCCACGTTAGGAGCAACTATGGACGAAGCCATTCGTCAGTATCAAGAGCTGGTTGAACTAACACCTCAAGACATGCGTCTGCTCAATTGGCACTACGCTGATCTTGAGTATGCGAACGCTGCCACTGTTTCCACTCTCAGCTTAGGAGGTCATGACCAGGATAGCGGCAACGAGTTTGAGGGTCGACATTCTGAAGTGGTAGGTGGGTACATCCAGGTGCCTCGTGGTTTAATGATGCTACCTTATCCTCTCGACGTGCGCTTTGAGTCAGTTGTGGAAAGGATTATCTATAATGCTAGCGATGACGATGCAGACAGCTCAGCAACAGTGCTGTGCTCTAGTGGAGAAGTCTTCACAGCCGACCAAGTCATTCTGACCTCTCCGCTCGGTGTACTGAAAGCCGGAACTATCGCCTTCGAGCCCGCTCTGCCAGATTGGAAGAAGGAAGCCATCGATCGTATGGGTTTCGGACTGCTCAACAAGGTAATTCCATATCTCTTGTCGCATCAGAACCTACAACTAACTCTTCTAGGTGGTCATGGTCTTCCCACACGCATTCTGGGACAGCCAATACGATATGTTTGGTTTCCTTAATGATGCCGAGAACAAAGACAGCCTGAATCCTGATGACTATGCCGCCCGCCGCGGCCGTTTCTACATGATGTGGAATTGCGAAAAGAACAGCGGTCGACCAGTACTCAGTGCACTCATGTCCGGTCGAGCAGCTCACGAGGTGGAAGTCACAGACAATGATATATTACTTCAAGAAGCTCTGGAGAAGCTGAGGTGCACGTTCGGAGCCGAAAATGTTCCCACGCCCGTCGAAGTCATCGTCACAAGATGGAAGAAGGATCCTTTCGCGAGAGGTACATACTCGTTCGTTGGACCTGCTACCAGTCCTCTGGACTACGATATCATGGCGGCACCCGTAGGTAACCTTCACTTCGCTGGAGAAGCTACTTGCGGAACTCATCCTGCTACCGTGCATGGCGCATATCTGTCGGGACTCAGAGCGGCAGCCGATGTCATTGACACGATGGTTGGCCAAATGGCAGTTCCAGAGCCTTTGGTATTGCCTCGGCAGACTCTTCCAGTTGCTTTCCTCGAAGACGCATCCGAAATGGCCAGCACAGAGTCACCGATGAGAGATGGCTTCGCAGACACACCTTCTGCAGCACCAAAACGTGTAGGCAGACCTCCAGGTAGACCTCCGGGTAGACCACCAGGCAGGCCACCAGGCAGACCCAAGAAGGTAGTCGAGACCGTTCAAGCTCTCCCTGCGGTGATGCCAACCCCCCCGGTGCAACCAAATCCCTACAGATCGTCGACCAATAGCAAGTCCGTTGAAGATGAAGCATACGAGGCCGCGATTATCGATGCAATTCTTTCTGAGCTTGGCCCTCGCCCTCTGAAGCCTTCCAGACCTGGTGCAAGTGTCAATCCGTACCTCTTGTTCACGAACGACTACTGGGCTCGATGCAAGGAGGAACTGAGCGAAGCGAAACGAAAAGCGAGTGGCGACAGCACAGCTAAGGCACTACGAGAAGAGATTCGCACTGAGGTGGGCCGACAATGGCGAGTGTCGAGTGACGAGGTCAAACGACCATACATTGAGCAGACGCAAGCGGCACAGCAAGCGGTAAAAGAGACGCGTGCACAGTATGAGCAGGATGCAGCGCAGTGGGATCAAGATGCCCGAAGGATTAGGCTCGACTATCAACAAGAGCACCCGCCTACAAACGGCAACGAGTGGACAGGCGGTACCAGTATCGAGGTGGCTCCCTTGGCACCTCCTCGACGCAAGCAAGCCGTTAACTACAACGAGTCGGATGGCGATTGAGATGCATAGTGGACGCCTCTCTGGCGGACGTGCGCGTGTTTGAGTGGTGGAAAGTCTTTAGTCAGCGTGTATGAATAGTCGTGTATCAACATTGTTCTAGGCGGAGACAGCGGAACAAAGTGATGATTTGCAAAGGGCATGACCGCCAACCGGCGGCTATTTTCGCGCAAGGATCGCTCTTGGCTGCACGCGTGACGGCCGCGTGGGATCGCCAAAGTCAAAAAGATGTTTGGTGGGTAGGGAAGCCTACGCTCAAATCAATACGAGCCGATCATCTTGATATCTCGCAGATAGGTCCAAGACTCATAATCCGCTCTCTGTAGACGGAGAAAGGATCGAGGCAAAGGATGCTTCAAGCTCAGCACTGCACCCTCTTCAAATTGATGCGTTGTGACAAGAACACGGACCCTCGAGCGATGGCGCATGGAAGCGTCTCGACTTGCTGCGGCTTTTGGAAGGTTTGATGGAGCGACAAACTGGGGGCACACGCATGGACGTGTTGATTACCGATTGAACCGCCATCGGGACTGTCAGCGAGCCCGGAGGCACGGCCAGGACTCGGTGATGTCAAGCAACAGAATCCTCCCCCAGAAAGGCTGGTGAGACCCGCTGATAAGGCTCGTGTAACGACAGGAAGTCGACCTAAAGTGAATGCAACCCAAGACTCGAAGACAGCAGTCGAAGCAGCTGGTGCAGAGCAAGCGAGACTCGGGATGGAGCAGGGAGGTATGAGTAGTCCAAGCCACTGAATCGATTGTGTTCGGAATGGTCGAATCCTTTTTCCCCGCCATCGAGTCCCCAGAAACCTCTCGGGTAGAGTTCTAGCACTTAGCCGTTGCAAGGTTGCCTTCAACTCACGCTCTGCGCAACTCTCGAGTCTCCTTCTCTCGACGTCCGTATTTGGCCTTCCCCTCCCTATCCTTTCGTCTATTCACCGTCGCATCACGGCAACCTAGTTCCACTCAGTCTTCGTCGCTATCCTTCAACCAAGACAGCCGTCGAGACATCGGTCAATTGCTTGCCCGAGGACCGGGAAAGTGGTCGCGCCTGCCCCGAGTTTGATGTACGCATCGCTGGTGGAACTGTGAAATGTCTTTCTTCGGCAAGCTCAAAGGAAACGCAGTGAGTGTCGTCTGTCTGGATCATGTTTTTGCGCCACGTCCGACTGACGATCGCAACCACCAAAGACACCAGCGAGTCCGACCGCAGGCAGTGCGCCCCCAAAGAGAGATGCCACCATTCCGCAACCGACCCTACTAGACAAGCACATTGCCGATCTGGCTGGTCCTGTACGGCCGGATGGTAGTGACAAGTTCTTTGGTTTTGAGAATGTACGTAAACTGCTCTACTTCCGACACGATATCAACTCAAACTAATTGCGACTCGCCCAACAGTATGGAAGCACATGGTACGCACCTGTCGTAGAATTGCCAAAGGTTTTCCTGCTAACTTGTGCGCCACAGTTATGCCAACTCGATCATACAATGTCTATACTACTCGCCCACTTTCCGCGACAATGTCCTCAACTTCCCTCCGCTTCCTCCTTCGCCCGAGCAGAACGATTTGGATCCAGACCGCAGCATGAGCCTTCAGAACGGCCTGCCCGCTCCTGGGAACCACCTCCTGAGTCCTGCCACCAACAACTTCACAACCAACTCGCCTGCGAGGAGACCTATCGTTCTACCAAACACTCCCGAAGCCCAGGTAACCAAGCCTGATGAAAAGGACTCGCCAGATCTCAAAAAAAAGCAGGCTATGCAATCTGGTCCTGTCTTGGAAATGCAGACAAGCAACGCCAACGCATACGGAATGTCGGAATCGCTGTTCACTTCGCTAAAGGATATATTCGAGTCAATCACAGGTCACCAGTCGCGTACCGGAATCATCAGTCCTCTCAAGTTTCTCGAGATTTTGAGAAAGGAGAATGAGATGTTCCGTTCTGCCATGCACCAGGATGCTCACGAGTTTTTGAATCTGCTGTTGAACCAGGTTGTCGACAATGTCGAGATGTACTCGAAGATGCTGCCGGCTATCAACGGTAGTCTCAACGGCGACGGCAGCGCAGAACCGAGCATGGCAGGTGCCATGTCTGCCATGGCAAAAGCACATAATACAGCTGGTATGAGTGGCGCCGGCTGGGTGCACGATCTGTTCGAGGGTCTCCTCACTTCAGAAACACGTTGCCTCAGTTGCGAAAACACATCACAAAGAGATGAGGCTTTCATGGATCTTTCCGTCGATCTTGAGGCACACTCGTCGGTGACGGCCTGTCTGCGCAAGTTTTCCGAAGAAGAGATGTTGTGCGAACGGAACAAATTCCACTGCGATAATTGTGGCGGCTTGCAAGAGGCTGAGAAGAGGATGAAGATCAAACGCCTACCAAAGATTCTCGCTCTTCACTTGAAGCGTTTCAAATACACCGAGGACTTACAGAGACTACAAAAGCTTTTTCATCGAGTTGTATACCCCTATCATTTGCGATTATTTAATACCACCGACGACGCCGAAGACCCGGACCGACTGTACGAACTCTACGCCGTTGTTGTCCACATTGGAGGTGGACCTTACCATGGACACTACGTCTCTATAATCAAAACTCAGGACCGTGGGTGGCTTATGTTTGACGACGAACTGGTCGAGCCTGTTGACAAGAGCTTCGTACGAAACTTCTTTGGTGGTGAGCCAAAACCAGGACTGCAGGATGCCAGACAACTAGCCTGTGCTTATGTGTTGTTTTACCAAGAGACAACTCTGGAAGCTATGCAACGGGAACAGGAGGCCGAGGCAAAACAGGCTGCCGCTGCTGCTAATATGCCAAACAGGGATTCAGTCTCGAGGGAAACTCAGGGTGGTTTGATGATCAACGGCCTTCGCAACACCCACACTATGCAATCACCGATCGAAGAAGAGCCCAGTGCGTTTGCGAACCTCGCACACGCTTCTACTGCCCCGGCTCTGTCACAACAGAAATCAACCTTTAGCAGTTTGTCAACGTCACCTTTCCTCGGTAATGGTTTCGGATCCTTGGACAAGAAGGCGGCAAAGCAAGCTGAGAAGGAGCGCAAGGCACAAGAAAAGGAGGCTCGCAAGCTTGCAGACATCAAGAGGAAAGAGGCTGCAGAGGCATCGAGAAATGCGTGGAAGAAGCACAACGATGACTACCTGGCCGTCCTCGAGCTTAGCAAGCAGACAGCGGCCGAAGAGGCGAGTCGCCAAGGGAACCCAGCCCCTGACATGGCAGCACCACCCACGACGCCTGGAGTAGCAGGAGCAGCTGCAGCTGCGGCAGCCGACGGTAAAGAACGACCCGGGCTCAGCAGATTCAGACACAGTTCGATGAGTCTGCGACAGAAGCCAAAGTTCTGGACATCAGGCAACAAGGAACCGGGCAGCCCGATGCCGACGCAGCCAGAGGAAGCCAACACAGGTGGTGGTGGAGAGAAGGAGATTAAGAAGAACCGATTCAGTCTGAGCAGGAAGAAGTCGACGGCGCTCTGAGGATTCGTGTACATATCACATATTGGCCCTGCCCGCGCAGGCTGCTGTAATGCATGGACATATACAAAAGAAGGACACGCCGGCGTTTCTCATGGTGGAAAAAGTTGGTAGACAGGTGATGTGCAGAGTTGCTTTGGCAGCTTGATCTCATGTTGATGTTCTTTTTTCGTTCGATTATCTTTGTATGTATCTTGGAAGATCGCTCCGAACTCAGCATCCCAAACTAAAAACATGTCCTCTCATTTCGGCTATGCGTGCAGCATGTTGTTCGCGAAGCAATGGTGTACAGTCGACTCGGATTCATTCATGTAGCGCATTGACTCGGCTACTTGCAAGTAAGCCGCACCATATTCCTAGCTGCTGCTTCAAGAGGGTTTCTCATAGCGATCGGGTGGGAGGGAGTTTTATGTTGTAGCGTGACGGTTCGTAGGTCGTAGTAGAGGCACTTCTCTCGCGTGTGCTCATCCGAGTATGAGTTCGTAGACAATGATCAGCGTGTTGATGACAATCAGCGGTACTGTAAGCCTCTGTGTCAGCGGCATAGCAACTGGGAAGCGAGAGTTGGGCTGAAACGTACTCCTCATCAGGGTGCGGACCGATGCGATCAGGTTGATGACTTTTGACTTGACACTGGTGTTGTCTGCCGGGCCACCGAATGCGGGCTCCTGTTGTACCGATCCCCAACCAACTGCACGTCTCCTGTCAGTCGCACGTAATTTGATATAGGTGTGTATGCAGGGAGTGCGTACTCCTGGCGAGAAAGCGGTCTTCGGACAGAATGGCTATCGCGTTGACCAGCAACACCGAGACTGGGAGGAGACATGCGTCAGCTTGGGATTCGTGCGCATTGAGTCGCATGAGATGTTACCATAGAATAGACCTCCAAGGCCGAAGAAGAACATGGTGGGGTTTGTGCCAGATGCTGGTTGCAACTGTCGAGGTTGGAGGATGCTTCAACACTTGACATGTCTCCTTGTCCCCACCAAGACGCGTGCCTGCCTTTCTCCGCACAAAGTCGACGACCAAACCTGTCCTCACTTCGCATCTGCCAAGAGCTACATCATGCCTCGCCAACTGATAGGTATGCCTTGATTTTATGTTTTTGAGCTATATCAAGCTTGCTGGATACTAACGTTGAATTTCCACAGATTTCGTCTTGGTTGGCATCTTACCCTTGACCATATTGGTGCATTTGTATCTAGCCCCTTATACCAAGGTCGAGGAGTCGTTCAACATACAAGCCATCCACGATACTTTGATCCACGGCATTCCGACACGCAATGCTGCCGCCTTTTTCAAGTCTCATTATGATCACTTCACCTTTCCTGGACCTGTGCCTCGCACCTTTGTTGGTGCTGTCGTCATGTCCGGCTTGACCAGACCATTACAGATTATCATGAATATACTATCACCAGAAGATATTGACAAGTTCACCTTTCAGGTTGCCGGTGAGATGACTCTTCCAAGACACCTTAGATGTATAAGTTCTGATGAACTCTGATAGCCAGAGGAGTACTTGGACTGCTCAATGCAGCATCTCTTATCCAATTCAAGCGTGCAATCGACACAGCGTATGGCAATGTGGCAGGACGATGGTATATTCTACTTCAAGCCTCTCAATTCCATGTCGTGTTCTATGCATCTCGCACTTTACCCAACATGTTCGCTTTCAGCATTAGTAAGTCAGCTTTTACTGTCGACCATCTTCCTCATCTCACCATTCTAGCAACATTGGCATTGTCCAACCTCATCTCTGCTCAGTCGGTTGCAGCACGTACGCAAAAGAGTTCCAAACGCCGGCGTCTGGCTCTGTATCTTCTCACCGCTTCGGGTATCATCTTCAGATCAGAAATAGCAATCTTGTTGGCCATGCAGACTTTGTATCTGCTGCTACAAGGTCGAGCTTCTTTGGTTCAGGAGGTCATTCCTGCCGGAGTCTTGGGTGCCATCATCGGTCTTGGTGTGACTGTCTCGGTCGACTCTTACTTCTGGCAACGCTTCCCCTTGTGGCCGGAGTGGATAGGCTTCGTCTACAACACCATCCAAGGCAAATCTTCCGACTGGGGCGTGAGCCCATGGTACTTTTACTTTGGCAATGCCATCCCTCGTCTTTTGCTGAATCCAATCTCCTGGTTACTTTGTATTCCGCTTGCTCTAGTCAATCGCGCCACCCGAAAGACCAGCTTGGATATTATGATTCCTCTTCTCACTTTCGTGGCCATATACAGTGTCTTGCCTCACAAGGAATGGCGGTTTATCATTTACACAATCCCTGGACTTACAGGTGTAGCGGCTGCAGGAGCATCGTGGATCTGGACTCGCAGATCAAAGACCTACCTCTACCGTCTCTTGAGTCTTGGTCTCGTTGGCTCTACTCTGCTTTCTTTCGCTGGTAGCTTGGGCTTGCTTTACATTTCTAGCTTGAACTACCCAGGAGGCGAAGCTCTCGCTCGTCTCCATGAGATTGTGCCTAGCAGTCACCAGAGTCAAACTTGGGTATACATGGACAATTTGGGCTGCCAAACCGGCGTAACACGGTTTCTGGAAAAGGACGCCGGATCAAAGTTCATGTACGACAAGACGGAAAACCAAAAGACACTGCTGGATCCAGGCTTCTGGCAGAAATTCGACTATGTGCTTGCCGAGGATCCTAAACGCATCATCGGTAGTTGGGAGGTAATCGATGTTGTGTATGGATACTCTGGGATTGGGTTGGGCAGGTTGGCTGTAGATCAAGATAGTGCGCCTGCTTTCCCTGCACGCGGTATCGTTGCTCAGCCTCTGAACATCCTACTGCAAGTCTACAACAAGGTAGCACGAACAGCAAGTCAGAAGTTGACAGGCGGACGTTGGCCCATTGTAAAGATGGAACCAAAGATACACATTTTGAGATCACAGTAGAAAACAAACTAGCTAGCATCTCATACAAAAAAGTCCAATCACTTCTGACCACTCCATATCTCCCTTCTACAACACATCTCAAACATAATTCGACACCTCGATCAAATTCCCATCCGGATCCCTCGTGTACACACTCTTCAGCTTGCCCACCGCACCCGTCCTATCCACCACCTTGCCCTCTTCCAAAATCTCCAAACCTTGCTGTTTCAGCTCAGCCAAGACATCGGCGATGGGTGTAGAGGTTATGAAGCATAGATCTGCGGTACCGGGTTTTGCGAGGGTGGCTTTGGGTTCGAATTCAGCACCTGCTTGGTGCAGGTTTAATTTTTGGCTGCCGAAGGAGAGGGCGTGTCTGTGAGTGAGATGTGTCAATCTTGTCAGGGGTTCTGTTTTAATGAAGGGGAATGTGGTCAGTTATACCTTTCCACTCCGGGTGCATCTTTCGAAGAGCGGAATACTTCGTGCTTCATGCCTAGAATTTTGAAAAACTTTACTGTTGCAGGGATGCTCTTGCAGGTCAGGACTACGTGGTCGAGAGCTTTGACTGCGAAAGGCATGATGGGTCAGTTGCTCAGCTGGATCGAATAGAAGTTACATAGGGAAGGACAGGCAGGTCGTTGATCAATATATAGCTTCGGCAAGTGCAACCCAACTGCGGGGCTCTCGAACTTTGCCAGTTCGGGAAGAATTGAAAGTTGCCGATTTTGTCATCTATCAATTGGAAACAGCGACGGGAATCTCAAGAATCGCATTGTGTAGAGGGTGAGTATATTGGAAACGAAGTGAGAGACAAAAGGAAACTGCGACAGAGAAACATCTACTGCCACGAAGGTCTTCGAGCCGGTGACCCGAATGTCATCTCATCGTGTTTCAACAACTCCGTCGAATGCACAACTTCAGTCGTCTTGACGATACTCGGCAGATGAGCTGAGGAATCATACACTTGACCCCAAGGTATCGTCGTCTTCAAACTCTGGAGCATCTGCGATCCATCTTCGAGTCTGTTCAACCGATGGCAGACTGTAGAATTCATTCTGACTTGACATATCAACCCGCATTTTGCCAGTAACGTCTCGTACTGCGTCCGGAGACCGATGGATAGACTGGCAATAATGCTGAGATTTTGCTCGATCTGCCACCAGGCTGTTGGTGCTACCGTGTCTCTGAGAGGATCCTGGGAAGTGCGGTAGGTGTGCAAGTAGACCATGTTGGCTACCGAGACCATGGTCACGAAGAGACCTAGTCCGACCAACAAGCCCAACGCAACCAATTCATGCAGTGGGCGATTTGCACCTCTGACAAATGTTACAGGTGTGAGGGTAAGAAGCACACTTGTGATGACTCCGAAACCTGGTTTGTATCAGTCGAGCTCATGGTAACGAAGAAGATAGCTGTCTAACCAAGCGTAATATAGCCAGCCAGTTGTGTTCTCGCAGGTGGCCAGCATTGCGCTGCCACATCATCATCCCATAGCGCGGATATCGGTTGGCACTGCACAACCTGGATCACGTTTGTCGCGATTGTACAGACAAGCTGCACAAAGATGATCCAGCAGAATACCCATCGCCATTCTCGATCCCGTCTTGTCCTTAGGGCAGTCCAGGCAATAGAGACTTTGGCCAAGCAGATAGACCACACGCAGACTGGCTGAGCGAGAAAATCGAAATATCGTGCCTTGATTATTCTGGCTGTGTCCATGTATATTGTGTGTCTACCCAGTCCGTAATGGCAACTGATAGCGACGAAGATAAAGTCCACGATGGCCAGCATCTGCATGAGTCAGGATATATTGTTCTAAGAGCAAAAGGCACTTTGTAACCACTGACCAAAGCTGCAGTGATCATGCCATCAGTCCAGATGAGAGGCGAAGAGCGACGGCCTCGTAAGTGGATACCATATAACAGCAGCGGTACCGTCAAAAGTATTGTCGCCGGGACTAATACTACGGCTTGCGTGTTGTTATCGTGTCCGGTGAAATGCTGCTGCGGTTGATTGGCAGGCATTTTGTGATATCTCGTGAGGTGGATTTCGTCTTCGAACGCTTCCAGAACTTCAACACAGAGCGCCGGAAACGGAGGACCGAGAGAACGAGAGAGGGGACCAACGGTGCTAAAAACCACATGTCAAGGACACTATCCGGAACTAATGGGCAGCGACACGAAACGTGCTTTCCCTCTCTATCAGTAGAAGAAGCCTCATGCATAATCTCAAAAACATGTCTCAACCTGAATTGGTTTTGGTGTCATGCAGTATGTGTCCTAGAAGGAAAGCAGACTCAGGAACGTGGAAATTGAGTTGCAGGCACTCTGCTTTGGTGTCCTGCAGGTGCATGTTCTGGGATAGATCCACACTTGTGACCCGTCACATGGGCTTGCAGTTGTGGGCATTGAGAGCACCTGTGTGTGCAAGAATGGAGAGGCGTCACAACCTACGATGTGAATTTGGATGTGAGGTGTGTATTCCTTCCAGAGTGTTTCCCTCGGTCCACGCAAGCATGTGTTGGGTTCTGAGCGGAAGCTGCACGTTTTCTGTTGCCCGCATTGCACTAAGATACTGCATGCATGAGAGAAAGGTTGGCGATAGCCCCAGCTTCTGACTTTCGTATTGCCATAGATTTTCTCATCCACGAGTCGCAATCCAGGGAGTTGAGGCGATAACCCAAAGTGCAAGGTCTGCATTGGAAGGGCCATCTGCTTTGCCGATGCTATACAAGGTACTTGAATAGAGACGGCTTGTCGGAAGCCGCAAGCGGGTCCATCTTTCTTGCGAATAGGGCAGACATCGACAAAAGATCTGACCAACAACAGGCGGCTCAGGCCTGAGCTCGACGAAACAGGCAGACAACATTTTTATGTCCACGGAACTTGCAAGGAAAGACACGATGTGATGATCAAGGATAGGCAATCGCGAAGGTCCGGTTCGGCAGACGGGTCCGTTGCGGACCCCACACACAACAGAAAGATGAAACCGACGGACACTGACACTTTTCTACATGTTGACGCGTTCACAACAACCAGTCGACCACCGCTTTCGAAGCGATCTGAGAAGCGCCAAAAAGTTTGTCAAGGCCGTGGTGATCTCAATGAAAGTCCAGGGCAAAGTATCTCTTGATTTGCAGCCGCGCTTGGAAGTAGAGCAGGCTAGAGATGCAGGCTAGAGATGCAGACTCGAAGTAGTAAACTGATCGCCAGGTACCGTGCCACCACGTCAGAGATAGAGATCTCTATCTTTGTATCCTTCCACCAGAGCGACTTCCAAGCTGGCAATACGATCCGCACGCCTAAGAATACCCTCTTGCCCTGTCAAGGATTGGTCTTTCCACATCGTCGGTGTCGATTGATCAAGGCCATCACAGCAAGATAGGTTCCACTCTGCTCTTTCTCCAACCACTATTTGGCCCGTGAGCCTGCAGAATTCTGAGCCGCTCTTTCCAGAAGTAAAGAGGCGGGCCTTTCTCGTTGCGGGAGAGAGGACCTTGCGATGCATGCTCTCTCGCTGCAGTAGGAAAGGACCTCTGCGCAAGTGGGCCACCAGCCCTCGATGATCGCCTTCTGTGACGAATAGAGAAGAGAAAAAGGTGACCTTCGCGTATATGTATAGGTAGGTCCCTCGACTGCTCGCTTTGCTCTCTCTGCGCTTTCTCAAGATCCTCGGTCTCTACCACACTCGCTGTCTTTCTCTATCATTCTTCGCATTCGTTTGCTCGAAGTCTGATCTATCACATTCGTTTTCTTACTCTTTAATCTACCATCTGTATCCAGTCGAGATGCATTTCAAATCCTCTGTCGCTGCTCTTGCTTCGATCAGTGCTCTGGCATCTGCTCAAGCACCCAGCATTGATCAATGGACCCAATCTGAGATCAACAACGGCACTGCCTGGGAAGAAGTCACCCAGATTGCTAGAGACAACCAACTGTACAACCTAGGCACTCGTCAGAACTCCGCCTGCCAATGGGGCACCATGAACATCAGAAAGGAATTCCGCGACATGTCCAACAACGACAAGAAGGCCTTTACCGACGCCGCCACATGCCTCATGAACACACCCCCCACTCGCATGCGCAAGGACCAGGCCGCAGACTACCCGGGAGTCAAGTCTCGTCACGACGAATACGTCGCTACACACATCAACATGACTGTAGGTAAAACGTGGATACAGGTTCGGTGGGACAGTCTCGCATATTTGGCTGGCAATAACGAGATGCTGTCCTGGACGCCATCTCGTTAATGTTGAGCTTCGGATTGTGAGCTGGCTCGCTGCAAAAGTACTACATCCGTTCTTCCGCAACACATGCTAATTGTACCTACGCCTTCAGATGAACATTCACGCCACAGCCGACTTCCTCGCATGGCACAGACACTTCATCAAGCACTACGAGCAAGACCTTCAGAACCTCTGCGGCTACACTGGTACCCTCCCCTACTGGAACTGGGCCAAGGACGCGTCCGCACCTCAAGACTCTCCCCTCTTCACCGGTGACGAATACAGCATGGGCTCCAATGGCAAATACATCCCCAACCGCAGCGACACCTACCTCTACACTCAAGGCGTCAACATGCCTCCTGGCACTGGCGGTGGCTGTGTCGAATCCGGCCCCTTCTCCAACCTGACTATCCACCTCGGTCCCCTCGACCTCCCCAATGCCAACAACGTCAACAGCGATTACCAATACAACCCCCGCTGTCTCTCCCGCGATTTCAACTCCTTCTTCACCTCACAATACAACACCTTCGCCAACGTCACCGACCTCGTGCTCGAAAGCATCTACGTGGAGACATTCCAAGACCGGATGCAAGGTTACTTCGCCGGTGACGCTTTCGGTGTGCACGGAGGAGGTCACTGGGGCATGGGAGGCGATGCCGCAGACTTCCACTCTTCCCCCAACGACCCTCTGTTTTTCTTACATCACGGCATGATTGACAACATCTGGACTACTTGGCAGAACTTGGACTTCTACCGTCGTCAATTTATCATCAAGGGTACTTCTACGCTTGGGAACAGCCCTCCTAGCGCTGAGATGACTTTGGATGATGTGATTCCTTTTGGTTTCGTTGCTGATGACCGTGTCTTCCGCGAGTTGATGGATACCTTTGCTGAAGGTTACTGCTACCGTTACGAGTAGAGTCTGTCCCTCTGTGGAGAACAACAGCAAGCTTCTTTTTGGAAATATTCCATCTCGATTCAAACATGCATCGAGTTTCTGTAGACCTTATTACATCACAATTCTAATAAACGTTTTTAGAACACGGTGAATGATGGTCGTATCATATCTGTCTAATGTGTGCTGCATGTTTTTCAAGCTCTGTCCTACCTTCTTTTATTGACCGTATGTGTTTCTGATCCATTCGACCCATACGCCGATATCGCCTACGAGCTCCAAAGCCTTTGCCATTCTCAGTGCAGCCTTGTCCTGTTCTTCTTGACTGCCCTTGACCACGTTCTGTGACAGAACAACCACGTGCCCATCAGCAGAGATACTAGTGCTTAGGCTTGTAGACCCGCTCTCCGCTCCCTTGACGGGGAACACAAATTCTAGAGTCGGTGATGGCTGTGTAGACAGTGAGACATCGACAGCCACTGCACTTGCACTACTGATGTCAGTTCCACTCATCAAATCGGCAAGGGAGAGCGAAGACTCTTCTTGAGATGGAGCGTTGCTGTTTGGTCGGAGGAAAGTGCCCTTGAGCAAACTTCCCAAATAAGCCCATTGTCTCAACACAGGCAACAATGCAACCACTTGACGGGGATGCGCGAATGGGATAGACGTCAGCACATGGCCAAAGTCTTGCCTGGGCACGTAAAGCGCATTCTCGTGCTGCACACTTGCGCCATCAGGTGTGAGAACACTTGTAGTGGTCGAAGCGGCAGGTCCACAAGATTGAAGGGGTTTGTTGAGCAGTGGCACGTCAGAGGGTTTTTGAAGGAGTGATCCTTCGTACGTGCGCTGGACGTCTGGCATTGCGGATAAGACATCGGCAGCACCGACTGACTGCAGTATGGCGGCTGCGGCTGTCCAGGGCATGGCGAGTGGTGGGTTGAGTCTCGCTACGAAGCGTACAGCAGGTAATTTTTGAGCGCCTGTATTTGGATTGCTGTCGATTGCCATGGCATCATTGTTGTTTTGATTGCTGTCAGAGAGCAGGGTAGGGGCCGGGTCTTGCCAGTCGATACTCTGTGTGCCGGAGAGCAGATCGGTAGGATCCGTCGTTTCTTCAGCCGACTTGAATATGCGATCAGCAATCCAGGAAGATGAGACTCGAATAGAGGAGTAAGCGTCGGGGGTGCCGGCCTCGGCTGTGATGTCTAACGCAAAGATGGTGTCGCCGGACTCTTTCCGTGGTGTATCAGAAGGCTTGGGATCAATGTCCATGGCGGATGCATCCGAATAATCTGATGGGTACATGTTGCTCTTTTCCATCCAGTAATCCAAGCTCAGACCAATCTTTCTGCGCGCATGCATTTGAGGTCGACCACTTCTTTTGCACAAGACATGACGTTCGGCCCTCAATTCTGCGTTCCCACGCTTTGCTTGAACGATTGTGCGGGCTGCTTGTTTTTCGTGCTCATAAAGCTTCTTCAGACTCTCGTAGACACCAGTGATTGCTTCGAAGCAATTGAGCTGGTCGTATACGCTGAGCTTGTCCAGTCTCGCGAGAGTCTCGAGATTCGCAGCGAAGCGATCGAGCTTTGTGTTTATGGCAGAGGTTCCAGGTAGTGGGGTCAGATCATCGAGCAGGACGCTTGCAGCAGCAGCTTGGTGGGCCGTGACAGCCTGGTCTTGACTGGAAAACGAAAGGTCGATGTGGGTAGGAAGGTTGTTCTTGAACTGGAAGTCGATCAAGACATTGTTCTTGCCTGCTACAGCGACGGGTCGGTTGCCCTCAAATTTGCGGGCTTCTCTCTTGGCCTCGACTTCGACATCCAGTCCTGCCCATCGTCCGACTCTTCTTAGGCCCTCTTCGCTGACTCTGCCGAAGCGTCGATTGTGCCGAGGGCCCAGGAGGGATGCGAGGATAGTGTCTAGTTTCAGCCTTCGGTCGTCGTCCTCATTGCGCTTGTGCGACGAAATGCCCAGATCGGACAAGGTCAAGTTCATGGGTTGCGAAGCGGCGGCAGCATCGAGCAGAGCCGAGGGAGTGGCCATGTCCAGGCCAGCGAGAGCAGCAGGCGATGCAAAGGCCAGCAGGTTGGCAGAGGGCGAAGCGGCCAGCAGATTGTTAGACATGGCTGACAGGGCGTGCAGACTGGAATTCGAAGTCTGGCTCAAGCTGCTTGTCATAGCGATACCACCGGCAGCGGGCTTGGACGACGAGGCATGCTGTGGTTGAGGCGTGGTGAGCGAGGAGGCTTTTGCGGCTGTCGAAGGCACGCTGCGAGGAGTCTGAGTGTTTGCGTGGGCAGGGTTGCTGCTGCTCTGTTTGCTAACAAAGCTCGCGTTGGTCGTCTTCGGCGTCGTCATGGCGCTTGTGGGCTCGCGGTCGGATCGTCGTTGTATGCGCCAGTCTTGTCCCTGACACGCATTATCGTCTGCTTGTCGACCGCGTCTCGAACAGCAATTATCAGTGACTGACAATGCGACGCCATCAAGTGAAAGGCGTGGTGTATCGAGCTCGAATGTCATGCACCATGCGTGATCGGAGATAGCGCTATGCAACCACTTTAGCATTATACCCGCGTTGGCTTGAGCCTCCTCCGTCTTCACCCGCACCCGCTTCTTGCGCCATCGTCCTGCAAGTTGCAACCATGCGGTATCCACACATCCGCCATCTGGGGAACGCCATCTGCAGAGCGGTCTCACTTGGCAAAATGACCTTGATGTTCGGAGAAAATATGCAATTCGCTGGAATCAAGAAACAACTAAAAGTAATCCTGCATCGGTGCCAGTGTCTCTAACCCTACAAGAGCACACTTGCCTCTGCTGTATGAAATTATCGCCTAACAACTCTCTTCTCAATCCTGATGACAGTCGTCCTACGACTGTACTGAACACACTTGATTCCTTAGAGTGTGTCTTGGTTGTGTCCGGTTCCCTTTTGCTTGCCGTGGTCGCGTGAAATATGCCATCTAGGGCTTGGAGACGGGCACAATCATCTCGAGGTCGACCTGCTCGGCGTTGATGGCCGTCTTGTGCACATTGGCGCCCTCGGTTTTGCCACACAACGTCTCGACGATGATACCGGTGATCTGGTAAGGGTCGGCGTTCGAGGCGGGTCTGCGGTCCTCGAAGTATCCCTTGCCCTGCTCGGCCACGGCACGGTTGACACGAACACTTGAGCCACGGTCGGCCACGCCCCAGGTGAACTTCTCCATCGATGCTGTCTCGTGCTTGCCGGTCATGCGGAGGGCGTTGTCCTCACCGTACACATCCATGTGCTCCTTGTGACGCTTGGCGAGCTTCTCCATGGCCTCCTCGATCACTTTCATACCGCCTTCCTGGCGCATGGCCTCTGTTGAGACGTTGGTGTGGAGACCAGCACCGTTCCAGTCACCAGGGATGGGCTTGGGAGCGAGGGTAACCTTAACACCAAAGTCTTCGGCGACACGGTGGAGGACGAAACGGGACAACCAAAGCTCGTCACCAACTAGATGGTCATGTCAGTCTCTGTTAAACACGCCTTACTACAGTCGACAGAACTTACGGTTGATGCCGGTGCAAGGACCGACTTGGTACTCCCACTGGGCGGGCATGACCTCGGCGTTGGTACCGGAGATGTTGATGCCGGCGTAGAAACAGGCCATGTAGTGAGCCTCGACGAGATCACGGCAGAAGACTCTGCCGGTGCCGACACCACAGTAGTAAGGGCCCTGAGGAGCGGGGAAACCGTTCTTGGGCCAGCCGAACGGCCAGCCGTCGACATCGAGGAGGGTGTACTCCTGCTCGAGACCGAACCAGAAGCCTTCGCCAGCGTTGGCCTCCATCAGGAGAGCAGCGTCGTGACGGAAGTTGAAGGCGTTGGGCTTGCCATCCGACATCCAGGTCTCGCACATGACGAGGACGTTGGGTCTGCCGCGGAAGGGGTCGTCGTAGATGGCAACGGGGCGAAGGTAGACATCCGAGTTGTTGCCAGGGGCCTGGCCTGTTGACGAGCCGTCAAAGTTCCACTCTGGCAGCTCATCGAGACCAACGCGACCCTTGGCGACTTGCTCGTCGGTGCGGTCAATGGTCTGCAATTTTTGTTAGCAAAAATCTTGCATGAGGGACATAGTGAAAGTCGCTCGCGGTGCGCGGTTTTTGGGGAATTGGCTCCGGATTGGCGGGCTGTGTTGGGGTGGAACGCGCGACTTTCTGCTTGTGTGACTGACCTTGCACTTGGATCTCAAGCCATTAGAACCATCGATCCAGATGTACTCAGCAATGATACGCTTGGGCGACTGCTCAAGGCTCAGGTACTTTTTGAGCTGTGGTAGTGGTCAGCGACGCTCTCGAAGAGCACATTGCTGTGCTTCTTCTGAGATATCCTCACAGTCTGAGTGTTGGAGATATATGCTGAATCCGGCTGCGCAGAGTGGTCAGTAAGTGTGCGGATGCGTGAGAGAGGCTTGTTTGGCGTGACTCACCATGTTGACGGTTGTGTATGTGTGTTGACTTGGATAGTCGATTGAGATGCAGACAAGAAGAATAGATGCACGCTGCTGGAGACAGACGGCTAGCGAGCAGATGGATAGAGGGGATGGGTGGGACTGGAAAGTAAAAGTGAAGGTCGGAGCAGAGACAAAGGCTGGGGTAGTTATTTGAATCAAGAACAAGAAACCAAGAGCAAGCAGCTTCCGGCTTGTTGACCACGCGAGCTCGGCCTGCGATAAGAGTCCCTGCCTAACAAGTCAATCCATTCAGCCGCCCGCTCGCTCCTGCCGCGCGGACGACGCCATCGTTGTATCTTGGACGAACCACTAACTAACAATGCCATATCATTTCGCTTTATCGATCCCTCGTGCCCCTCCTGTCCCATCCCATCACACCCTATCTCCGCTCATTGCTTCTGCTGCTGTACCGCCGTCAGTCATCTTGTTGCATTCACCGCGTGTACCGCATCGCCGGCCGCATCGAGCATTTTGACTGTTTCAATCTTCTAAACGCCCGTCAACTACGTATGTTCACCAACAAATCCATCCCTCGGCTTTTCGCTTACGACCGGCCTAAATCGCTGGGACCCTTATCGTTGATGCGATGCTGTGTCTATTCTCGTCGTGTTTTCGACTCGATCTCTTTGTCTGTTGCCCTCATGCCACTGCAGCATGCTTGTCTTTGTTCGTATCCTCCTTACGCCTTGCTCCTTGCTCCTTCGCAGCCTCGTCTTGCGACTGGTCTGATCGTATCGCTGAAGTATTATTGCCGGCACGAGTGCTGAAGATAGTGGCTTGCATGTCACCGATCCCCAGACTTGATCCATCCAATAGAGTTCTTCCGCCTTTTCTCGTAGTAGAGACCCGGCGCAGAGGTTCGTGCCTTGTTGAACCCAAGCAATTCTGGAAGCCCGGGTCTCAACTTTGTCTCCAGGGTCTCGTTCAACAACGCCGGCCTGGATCTGTATCGAAGAACATCTCTGTCACGCTTCACCAGAAAGAAAGCTGCTCTTTCTTCAGCGGTCTCAAGGAGAAACGCGGCGCCTCTATCGCGCACTACTCTGACTTTCGTTGTTGGACCACTCCGCCGAACAACCTATGTGGGCTTGGAGCCGGGCCTAATCAATTGTGCTTATCGCAGCCAATGGGCTCGCGCACGATTTGATTACAATGACACTGACCCCCGTGTAACAGTGCGCCCCGCCGCCAGTTCTCCATCCCAACGCCGCTCTCGGCGTGCGATGCTCGCAGACTTCTAGCAAACTCCGACTCGTTCGCCGACTCTCTGCTGTTCTCTTGAAACAGCTCTGCAACGGTGGTCTGTGTATGGGCCGAAACGAGCAAAACATTACCCAATCTTCGGTCTCTGTACCTTGTACTTTGCTTGCATGCCCTTGCGTTGAGTCATGAGCACACAAGAGCAGACGTAAATTCACGCAAACCAAACAAGAGCCGCGGCCACCTTGTTCTTCTCATGTAAAAGCGTGATTTTGTACAGGAAGCCGAGGGTGCATCCTCGGAGTTACGATGTGCTAGTCAAGAAGAGCTAAATCCTGGAGTCGTCCAGCGCATTCGGTTCTTGATATTCATATGTTTGTCTCACGCACGTCGACTCCAACGCACTCTGCACAACGTTCGAGAAACATTCAAGAAGATTGATTCTTGTTGCTCGCTCAACATCGCACCACTAGATGGACTCAATTTTGCCACTGCCCGCGATCTTGCTTTCTTCATAGTCTAGGGACAAAGCGGTTGCATACTTTCCTGGGCTGACGTGCTATTACGAGAGACTTATAGCAGAACGACGACATCGCACACCCGTCGCAGGCTCTACTCTCAACATCACACTTTTGAGTATACCAGTCATGTCTCATTGGGCAGGAAGAGCTTTCTAGCTTGGACTGCGCAAAGAAGCAAAGTCTTCCGGAATCATAGTGTTACGAGATGAAAACGTCCCCGGAACCCCCAGCTCGATCTGTCTATCGATCTCGCAGATGACATCTGCCGAAACATCTGCCTCTATGCTTCGGAAACACTCAGACTTCTACATTGGCTGGCGGCGCTACCCTCGCAACGAAATCTCAGAACATGAGCACTCGCTACAACTATCACAACAACAGGACGAACATGCCAGCAAGTATATTTTGGCCAACGACATGCAGACACAGGGACGAGACGCCGCAAAGGATACACTCTATGATACTCGAGGTCGTAGCCACGAGAAGGTGTTGGAGAGAGGTTAATAGTAGACATAGCAAACTGACCTGCAGCGTATCTTGTGTTTCGAGGACTGCAAAGTCGTGTCCTCGTCATGGAAACCGGTCTCAATGGTACTATCTAGCGGTAACCATACTTGGACTCATCGTCTCGGAAGGGATGATGAGATTGTCCTTTGTGTCTTGGTGCTTGATATGGAACAAGGCCAGAACATGTCAAGCTCTCGAGACATACGTCTGTTATATTCTGGTTCTCGTTCGAAGGCAGGTCTAAGTGGTAGGTATGAACAGACTCCACGTCTCCTTCGCATCCATTGCCCGCTCCTTCTCCAATCTTGTCGTCGCTGTAGAAAAAATGCTGTACACGGAGGTGCATTGTTTTACTGCTTCACCAAGGCCAGCGTGCTACACTATCGCCCTGTCACAATACCGTTTGATCTTTGGGTTGTGTAATATGTGTGGAAGCCAGACTCTGTCAGGCTGCTGCATGCTGTGCGAGTTTTTACGCTCCGGTCAAGCGTCCACGGTGAAGATGGTGCTCGATTCATCTAGCACGTGAAAGCGATAAACAACGCCAACACTGGCGACGCGCAATAATGTCACTGTTGGTGCGTTTGCTTGTCCACTCTCTCCGTGCAACCATATACCCCTGAACGCCTTGCGCATCGCTGCGCGATGTGTCTTGTCGTGACCCTGTACTACCACTTGTGTGGCCATTACGGTCGCCCCATGGTTGCACCCCACGGTCGTTGTGCACGCGCAGATAACACCCCTGGAGCATGTTGGGAGACAGAGGACATCGGCGTCAAGACCGTGCAGGGAAAGTGCATCAATTGCGAGCGCTTATCGATGATCACAGTGATCTATCACCCTGTCACCGTCACAACCATCCCTGTGGATTGCCAGCAGTTTAATCTGCTCGTGAAGCTGCATAAGCAGACGTTCGATCGCCGTCGGTACTGTTCATAACTGTTTGCGCTACCAATGTCACCGGCTCACATTGAACACAGTGCAAGCGTTACAAGTACTCCTTCCTCAATCACGTATTCCGTCTTCCTACAGACTGCAGACGAACTGGCTCTTCGCAGATTTAGTACGGCTAGCGAGATCTCCACCACTCCCACCTCGAACAGTACAATGTCAACAGAAGGACGATTGCCAATCCCCACTCTCGAGCCATCGAGACCAACGATCGATATACCGAGAAGGGCAATCTCCTTACCTATCTCCCGCATCCCGGCTTGGACCAGCGTCGAAGAATGGACCAGACAGACCCACGAAAGTCAGCAAAACAAGAACCACGGCGCTCAAACCATGTGAATGGTACAGCTCTCTATGACACTTTTTACGATACCTACAATTGGATTGGCTCAACACACAACCATAATACTGTAATCTTGATAGGAAAAGAACACATTGGATATTGTGCTTTTCAACAATTGCATAATACAAGACAAGAATTGAACTTGGTTCTCCTCCATACCGTCCCATTTTTTTGACCACTATAAAAATGCAAGAACAACACTGAAAATAAGCAAGTTCCATTGAGAGCCCCTCGATTGAACACCAGGTTCAGGCATCTCAATGGACCATTGTCAGCATTGCGGTATTTCTTTGCATTCCTATAGCTGTATACTGCAGTCAGCGTTGAGTCTTGGAGTAAAGGTATTGTCTTGAATCACATACCCCTTTTTCTCATCATTTGTCTCCTATTCTGGCTCTTTCGTTGGACATGAACAGAACTTGCAAAACCCCGTGCGTTTCTACGCCTGTGAGTCAGAGTCAGCATGGAACTCGAAAGTCATGGAGCTGTCACAATACATCTACCCGGTCTCCTTTCCCATTACTCCTTTTTGTGCACGGTTGACGACGGAGCAGGAACCTCGTTGTCGACGCGGTCAAAGTTTCTCTCTGTACCATCCCGCGTTAGCAAGAGTCGAGAATTACAAAAACACTGACGTACTTCTCGATTCTGCGATGGCTGCTTCAGCCGTATCGGCGGGATAGACATCAACGGGGGCCGCGGGAGCAAGAAGGCGGAAACGGGGGCGGCGAGGAGCAGCATCGCGCATCGGGTCCGACACAACGGACGAAAGGGGCGAGGGCCGCGACGATGACAAGGCCGATGTAGTGACTGTCGAGACTCTGCTTCCGGGAACGCTGTTGGCATTCTCGGTACTGCCGTTGCTGCTGCTGATTGCGTCTTTGCTGCCAACATTGCTTTGCTCGCCGGCACGAGGGCGACCTTTGGGTCCCCTGCCCGTCTTGATTTTCTTGCCCGTCTTTGAGCCTTTCTCCCACGGCTTCAGACCTTCGGCCTTGCGAGCATCGTTGTCAGTGGTGGGCACGGTTGCTGCTTGTTCCACTGCTGGGTGAGAGACGATAGGAGGCGATTGCTCGCCATACGGGGCGTAACAAGGCGCGAAAGAAGGGCCGTCGAGTGGATCAGGCAGTGTCCAGAGACCGAAAGGAGAACCTGCTCCCTGGTATGATTTTCTGCTGACACGCATGGTAGAGATTCTGTTGTGGTCGTTCATTATCGTAGGAGATTGTCCTGATGGTATGCTTGTCGTGTCGAAACGCACGATGGAATGGTTAGAGACTGGTATAGAGGGAGGAGCACGACAAAGAATTGTTTACGGAGCCCGAGTGAGAGGCCGGGCACTCGACGAGGACGAGGCTCACGTACCAACGAGGGGACAAGTGAAGGTCAACTCAGTGTCGACGCAGAGGGTCGACGCAAAGGTGAATGTAGGGTATCTCTTCGATCACATAAGACGATATATGTGTTGCTGCACAGAAGTGAACAAGTTTGACGGCCGACGCAAGACAGGACGATAAGGGGTCGACAACCGGGTACAAGTGAAAGGCTGAGAGCAACGACGAGAAAGGTGAAGCAAAAGAGACATGATGGCATGATACACAACACGGTACTGAAAGCATATACTTACACTCAAGTGAGATGAGATGTCTTCGTGAGAGTTGGCGAGTGAGACATGCAGGTCTCCGAGACCGACGAGACAACACATGGCAAACTGAAAGGGGCATCCGTCGGGAGGTTGAGACTGTTTCAGCTCCTCGTCGACGACATGTGAAATACGTTCACATTGTGCGTTGTGACGGCCTTCCTATGTGTCAAGGTGGTAAATTTCAGACTCTCCACGTGATGGTTAGCAGTGACATACCACCTATAAAAATGCACAGTAGTTTGCAGATCAGAGTTGTAGCCAGAGAGAGCAATGATGTTCTCTCCTCTCTCTGGATACTACCTCGTCTCCCGAGATTATTGCGCATTTTTATAGCAGTATCCGAGTCGCATCTGTAGTGGAGAGATGCACTTACCGATCGAACTTAGTGAATTCCAAGCTCTTCTCGCGGTGTTCAGGAGTGAGGTGTTCACTATAGAAATGCACAATAATTTGCAAATCAATACTATGTCCAGAGAGAGCGATGGCATTGTCCTTATCTCTTTGGATACTGCTCTATCTCTCGATATTACTGTGCATTTCCATAACGATCTTCGAGGTGCACTCGGAGTGGAGAGATGGACTTACTAGTTAGTGGCAAGGTCGGTTATTTCCTTTCAGTCAGGGGCAGCATACTAACTATATAAATGCATGATTATTTGCAGTTCGCAGCCATATCCAGACAGAGCAATGATATTTTCTCCTCTCTATGGATACTACCTTCTTTCTCGAGATCAGTGTACATTTTTATAGCAATTTCGAAGCTTATATGCAGCGAGGAGATGCACTTACTTTGGTTCATAATTTCTGTTTCACCCGTTCATGGCATCCCAGCCCTGAAGACCTCGCTCCCATCCATCATCTTCCCACATATCCATCTGACCTGCAGAATCAAGTCTGTATACCATCTTCGGGCCTTGTTGACTCCATTGCACGTCTTCTCCTTCCACAAAGCGTCCGAACACTGCGTTTAGGTCTTTGAGACTTCGCTTCTCGTCTGCAGTCAGCCCCTGACCGATTCCAGCACCAGCACCCCAGAACCAGATTGCGCGATCGGTGGAGTGAGTGACCTTCCACTCTGGGGGTGCGATGAGGTCGGCACACTTTGCTCGCCATTCGATACGATAGCGGAGGAGATCTTTGCCAACAGTCAGTCCACCTTTGGCAAGGCGGTCCGCAAAGCCACGTTCGAGATCATGCACCTGCACATCGGCATATAGACGACCGAAGAGGTCGGGCCAGTCATCGGCGAATGCAGGCAGTCTCTTGCCTGGCACACGAAGTTCCATGAGCTTCTTGACCTTGGACTCTGGATAGTCCGCAACGAGACGATCGTAGACGGCTTCGTAACTCCAATCAGGGGTACGCCATGCCTTTCATTTGATCAGTTTATGGAGAGCACACGTGTCGATGAACTTACTCCGTAGAGATAGTGCTCATCGGAGACTTCTCCGTTCAGTATCTTGATCCCTCTGTCTTTCAACTGCTTCGCAAAGGATCCATCGTTGATGCTATCAATCAGGTCGTCGCTGATGAATGAGCCATCTGCGACCGGCCGAAACTCGTGAAATTTCATACTGCTCTGAACAGCGATCAACTGTCGAGCCGGTACTTTACGCAGCCGAGACAACTTCTCTGCTGGACTCAGCGAAAGAGGAATATCGAGCCAACCGAGAAGCTCATCGAACTGTTTCTGACGACTTTCCGTCGAACGAGGCTGCAATCCTGGGCCATTCGAGAGCATGCAAACTGCCAGATCGTCAGTCTGGATGAATCGTAATCAGCACGAACTGTTGTACCTCTCTTAATGATTGATGACCTCGGTGGAAGATACACATCATGAGCAAGCTGTTGGAAAGTCGAGTATGCGCCGGCCGAGTATCCTGCTACAGTGATATTGTCTTTGTTGCCACCGAACGAAGCGATGCGATCGTGGGTCCACTCCAAAGCAGTGCGCTGATCCCAGAATCCGAAATTGGAATATGTTTCGCCGTTCGCTCTTGCCTCGTCTTCGAGCTCTGTGCTTGCAAGAAAGCCGAAGGCATTCACTCTGTAGCCGGGCATGACTACGATAGCTTTGAAGGCTGTTTCGCTCAATAGCTCTGCTAGTGCCTCGGGAGCCATGTTCGGGTCCTGCAATCATGGGTGATCAGTACAATTCATTCCATCATCTCCGCAAGCCATCGGGAAGACATTACTCCAAACTGAAGCCATCCACCGAACAGATAGAAAAACACTGGCCAGCCTTCTGTGGGTTTATCTCCAGAAGGTATCCAGATATTGACTTGATGGCAATCTTCGTTCCAGATAGTCGGATTGGGCAGGCCGATAAAGCCTGGCTGAGGACATATGCCAACCTGACCAGTGAACTTGCCAGGTCTGTCTTTAGTGCCATAACGATGTGACAAGGGAAGCGGTCGAGGGGCACGGAATCGTTCGGCAGGATATGCATAGGGTATGCCTCCAAAGTAGTGGCAAAGAACTTCAGGTGAAAACTTGTTGGTAACATTCAGACCTTCGATGGAGCCCAACTCGCCTAGGTCTAGTTGGAATGGTGAAGTGCTGAATTTGGCCATCTTGCACTGAGTTCGACAAGGCGAAATTCGCAGTACTGTATTTGTATTGAGTGGTAGTATTCAATGTGGACTGTACAGGTGTGGTTTCACATTGGCAATGACGATTCACCTTTGGCCAACAACCCCGATGGCTTGCCCGGTCGGCCGCTAAAGACGTTGGTGGCATGTCGAGGACTAGGTACTTAAGCAGCCACTTCACTTCGGATGCGGTTGCCGACCGATCGACCTTGCCCTATCCCTTCTACGACGAGTGTAGGCAGCATATGATTATACATCAGGGTGGAATTCACTGAGTATGGGATGCTGCTTTTCTATCTGTGCGTCGCAATGCCTTGCTTGACCGCGATAAAGTTCAAGTCGCATGTCAGTAGATGCGACCCTGTCACAAAAAGCAGATACAGAAACTTCGAATTGGTCTCGGTCGCAGACTACAGCTTGTATCGACTTGAAGAAAGTCAGAGGCCCCAAAGGACCAAGTCTCGTTCTCTCATAGTTGGGCATACCTCCATACACAGTGTACCAGCACGGCACCTTAGCTAGCAAGTCAGGTAGAGATCATTTGCGCACAAGCTATCTATGCTTGAGACGAAAAAAGTATTGGCACAGCATGAACAGACAAAAGAAGAAAAAGGGTTCAGTTGATAGCGCCACCGGGGAGTGTAAAACTAAACAAACGCAATAAAAGACGAATAACACCTGGGAGAAAAAAGAAACATGGCAATGAGACCCCTTTCCGTAGTACGAAAGTTGCTGGAGAAAGAGACAAGACGGTTGGTGAGCCCCTCCCACCCGTGAAAATTGCCCTCTATCATTATCTCGCTCGCAGTTCCGTCATGCTCTTCCCTCTTCAATGTATCCTGCTCGTCCCAAGTGGAAAAAGACCTGTCATGAATGGCAGATGGAGACCGAAGTGTCACAAAGTCGGGAACGAACATTGCTCCTCGTCAGCCAGTGTAGCAAGTCAAAGATGGAAGACGACCAGGGGATTTTTTTCTGTGTGTTTCGAAGATGTGTGGCGTAAAAACAAGCGCAGCCAAGAGGGCACAAGCTGTCGTCATTCAATGGTGATGGCGAAGGCGAATGGGGTATCTAGTTTGGAGGCGAAGAGTTTAACAGCAGCCACCGGCGCTGCCGCTCTGGACTGTGCTACCTTGACCGACCTGGACGGTAGGCTTGTTGTTGACGGTGGTGTTTCCCATGCGCTCCTTGATCTGGCGGGCCATGGTCAAGAAGGCCTGCTCGACGTTGGATGCGTTCTTGGCCGATGTCTCGAGGAAGGGAATGCCGAGGCTGTCAGCGAATTCCTGATGAAATGCATTAGTATCGAAAGGTTGGGTGGACGAGGATGCGGGAAATGTGCACCTTTGCGACGTTGTACTCGACGACCTTCTTGTCGGTCATATCGCTCTTGTTACCGACGAGAAGCTTGTTAACACCCTCGGTAGCGTAGCGGTCGATCTCCTGCAGCCACTGCTTGACGTTGTTGAATGAGTCCATGTCGGTGACATCGTAGACGACGCAGATGCCGTGGGCACCGCGGTAGTAAGAGGATGTGATGGTACGGAAGCGCTCCTGGCCTGCAGTGTCCCACTGTACAGAATAAGCATCAGCAACCTTATTCCGGGAGTGATCGAGTATGGGCTGGACTCACGATCTGGAGCTTTACTGTCTTGCCGTCGAGCTCGATGGTTCTGATTTTCTACCAGAGAGAGTTAGTTGAGGCTGGTCGAGATGGATAGCAGCGCAGGCATCCAACGTACGAAGTCAACACCGATAGTCGAGATGTAGCTCTCGGTGTAAGTGTCGTCTGCGAATCGGAGCAACAAACAAGACTTTCCGACACCGGAGTCACCGATCAGGAGGAGCTTGAAGAGGTAGTCGTATCTGTGCAAGAAATGTGTGAGCGACGTCGTAAAGGGTTCGTTATCGGGACGGCGGCGATGGCGGGAGCTCTGCTACAAGGTATTGCGATATGGAGATGGGCTGTACTCTGAAGCAGAAGGTCAGTATACTGGTTGCATACAGGCAGGGGTAGCAGGGAAGAGAGGCGACGACATACTACTCGGGGTTCATGGTGGGCGAGTCTTCTTGGGTGTAAGGTGGTGTGGCTTGTTATGACGCGTGGGGGCAGCGGAAGATGTCAAAGGAACCGCGGAAGCGCTGGTTGCGTGGATGGATGGATGTGGTGTTGAAACAAGAAGAGTCCAGGGAAAGCGGACAAGGTGGATATTGTAAAGTCGGGAGGACGACGACGTGTGTTGGGCTGTCTGAGAGTGAACAAGGGCTCCAAGCACACTCCGTCTCTCGTCCCCACGCCAAGCGGAGAATACGCAGGTCATTTATTCGGCCACATGTGGCGTCTCCGCGACACGCCCCTTTGATCATTTAACAGAAAAGTCTCACAGCCCTCCTTCACGTGCAGGAATAGACAGCGTGTGAGAATTGATTAGAAACACTTCGACCGGCTGCTGCCTGCTCAATGGTCCTCTGATCGCTCGCTATGCATCTTAATCCAACCTCCGTCTGTACTGCTCACATGATCGTCTCCTCCCTGCTCTCTCTGTATCCTATCGCCATGCTGGAGGCGGTGGTCCTCCATAGTTGCTACCCTGTCCTCCGTACCCTCCATGCGATGCCTGGTGCTGGCTCAGCTGTTCATGTGCTCCGCCGTACTGATTGTACTGGTGCTGAGTGAGCTGTTCCTGGCCTGGTCCGCCATAAGACGATTGCCCATATTGCGCTCCACCATGAGGTGCACCTCCCTGTGGTGGCCCACCGTGTGTCGATTGACCGCCGGGTTGCTGTCCATAAGCGCTTCCCTGGCCAGGCTGATACGCAGTATACTGCGAGTTTTGTTGAGGCTGGCTGTGATTGGGTGCGCCGCCGTACTGGTTGTGCTGGTGTTGACTGTACTGATCATATTGGTAGCCTGAGGAAGCATGCGAGGGCTGGCCGCCGTATTGACTTGGTGAGGGCCCGCTGCTGTGTGACGACTGATATTGCCCATGTTGCTGTTGTCCTGCGGCGCTGTGAGCAGGAGTGCCGTACGTGCCAGTCGTCTGTCCACTCGGACCACCGTACGAGCCTGTAGACTGGCCATACGGAGCAGGAGAAGAGTGATGAGAAGCCGAAGGGTTGTACGATGGAGGGGGAGCTTGTCCGGAATATGTGCCTGCTTGCGATGATCCTCCAGACGAATAACCGTAGCCTTGCTGATGGTTCTGCTGGGAATAGTCAGCGGTAGTTCAACTTCCTCTCATAGCATGGGACCCACCGAGGAGCCGTGGCCGCCTAGCAAGCCACCGAGAGCACCCATGGCACCACCTTGGCTGTGTCCACCAGCATTATTGTGGCTTCCATTTGACTGCTGACCACCCAAAAGGCCTCCGAGACCACCCAGAGCACTGTTGTGGCCACTACTGCTGTTTGATTGTTGGCCTTGGGGCTTGTTTCCTCCTCCTCCTAGGAAGTTTCCAGCGAGTTTACCGACCAGTCCTGCAGCGCCGCCGCTGTTGTGACTCTGATTCTGAGTTTGACCCGAGTGCGAGTTGCCGCCGAGGAATTGTGCAGCTAGACCGCCGAGTCCAGATTGATGCTGCTGTTGCTGTGGTTTGTTCGAGTTGAGTAGCATGTTCATAGCCATGCCCTAGACCGCAATTAGCCTTGTCCAATCCGCACAACGCTTCCTGAGACATACTCCAAGTCCGCGTTCGCCTTCTTGGCCATCTACACCACGGGTTGCTTGTCCCTGGGCATCGTGCGGGGCCGGGAAAGGGTTCTGGTGTTGTGCTGGGGTATTTCCTGGAGAGGGCACCGTGGGCGCCGCTTCGGTAGGCACTTCCCATGTCGACACTCCCGTACTGATCTGTACAAAGTAATACTTTCGAGAACTGGACTTGTGTCAGTTGCCGGTCCTATGCCTGAGCCTTGTGTCGCGCTCACTTTCCATCCCACTGGGCGATCCATCCTATGGGGAGATTGGGTGGTGCCCTGTCTGGGCCGGCCTCGGGTTCTGAGTCGGGCATTGCGTGCTGTCAGGACACGAAGGAATCGTACGTCGAATATAGGTGCGCCTGCAAAAGATGAAGGAGTGTGGAAAGATTGCGACAGTTGCAGACACAAAGAACAAAATCGCTCTCGAGACGATCACGCACTGGGCTGGCTGGGCTGTGCTGTGACGTCTGTCCTGACCCTATCAAGCGTATGGGATTTGTTATCCAGCGCAAGTACCTACCTATCTACTGACCACAGACCAGCCAATCTAGCCGGTTTGAAAGGCTTGGACGACTACCTATTGCATCCTCTGCGAAGAGGTGTCTGATTGCTGACAGCTGATCATCATCAGAGGGACATGATTCCAGTGATTGGCCAGTACTATACAAGGTTCTCTATGCTAGGTTATTGCTGACTCTTGTTATCTCGTACACAATCATTCTTCCCAACTACAGCACTCATGCTTTCTGAAATTGTCCAATCAAACTCTGGTCGTCGGCTTCCTTGTCTAGATTGAGCAAGCAAAACCCCTGGTCTCTAGGATGTGCTGCATCAGGCGGGTGGTGGCTCAGATTTCATGCCTGCTACATGTTTCACAAAACGAGGACGAGAGCTCACTTGGAAAGGCGAAAAGATATCCAGAAAAAAAGTAAACGGTAAAGTCGCTGTATTAAAGACACAAGCATTTCAACATGAGTGTGGTCCTTTTTTCTACCGGACCTGAAAGGATCCCCAAACCACAATGGTCTTCATAAGCGCAATGATACGAAAAGTCGGCCGCTAGCCAAAAGCGTCTTTGCACGCTTAGTACTCAGCCTCAACACCCTCCTCACCCTCGACCGAGTCGGCAGCAACCTCCTCGTAATCGCGCTCCAGGGCGGCAAGGTCCTCGCGGGCCTCGGAGAACTCGCCCTCCTCCATACCCTCGCCAACGTACCAGTGGACGAAGGCACGCTTGGAGTACATGAGGTCGAACTTGTGCGAGAGAGCCGACCAGGCCTCGGCGATGGCAGTGGTGTTGGAAAGCATGCAGCTGTATTGATGATTAGCAAAGAGCAATTAAACACGATTCATGCAGGATTTAACTTACACAGCGCGGTTGACCTTGGCGAGATCGCCGTTGGGCACGTTCTGGGGAGGCTGGTAGCAGATACCGATCTTGAAACCAGTAGGGCACCAGTCGACGAACTGGATGGTGCGCTTGGTCTTGAGGGTAGCGACAGCGCTGTGGACGTCCTTGGGGACGACATCACCACGGTAGAGCAGGCAGGTGGCCATGTACTTGCCATTGCGGGGGTCACACTTGACCATCTGGTTGTTGGGCTCGAAGCACGACATGGTGATCTCCTGGACGGAGTTGGCCTCGTGGGCGGACTTGGCGGCCGAGACAACAGGGGCGTAGGCGACCAGAGGGAAGTGGATACGGGGGTAGGGGACCAAGTTGGTCTGGAACTCGTTCAGATCGACGTTGAGGGAACCGTCGAAACGGAGCGAGGCAGTGATGGAAGAGACGACTAGCAGATTAGTCAGTAGTGTCCTAGGTGATGACGGGAGGCTGTGACTGCATACCCTGAGCGATCAGTCTGTTCAGGTTCTCGTAGTTGGGTCTCTCGATGCCAAGGTTGCGGCGGCAGATGTCGTAGATGGCCTCGTTGTCGACCATGAAGGAGCAGTCGGAGTGCTCAAGGGTGGTGTGGGTAGTAAGGATGGAGTTGTAGGGCTCGACGACCGAGGTGGCGACCTGTGGAGCAGGGTAGACACAGAACTCGAGCTTGCTCTTCTTGCCGTAGTCGACGGACAGGCGCTCCATGAGGAGAGCACCGAAACCAGAACCGGTACCACCACCGAACGAGTGGAAGACGAGGAAGCCCTGGAGACCAGAGCAGTTGTCTGCAACTCTTCGGACCTTGTCGAGAACCTGGTCGATCAACTCCTTGCCGACGGTGTAGTGACCACGGGCGTAGTTGTTTGAGGCGTCCTCCTTGCCGGTGATCATCTGCTCGGGGTGGAACAGACTGCGGTAGGCACCAGTGCGGACCTCGTCGACGACATTGGGCTCGAGATCACAGTAAATGGTACGGGGAACGTATTTGCCGTTGCCTTGGGTGCCATGTTAGCTCGCGTGTCGGGGTTGGAGGAGAGGTTGGTCGGTGCGTACCAGTCTCGGAGAAGAAGGTGGAGAAGCCCTGGTCGTCGTTGCCGGCCTTGCGCTCCTCAGTGAGGTAACCGTCAGGCTGTGTTATCGTCAGTCAGAGTGCGCGCAGCGAAGGGGGTTGGGGAAGGGAACGCACCTGGATGCCGTGCTCGAGACAGTAGAGCTAGGCAGACAAAATGTCAGTAAGAGCCCCTTTCGCAGACGGCGCCGGCGCCATTGGCCATGCGTCGAATCATTGGCAGTAGAAGCTCACCTCCCAGCACGAGTTGGCAATCTGGCAACCAGCCTGGCCGACTATTATCATCAAAAGTCAGCATCAACAGCAACATGGCGGATGAAACAGGCCAAGGGGCGGTCTGGCGCGCGCGGGCTCGAGAGCTCCAGGGAGTGTCGACATACCGTTCAAGCTGATGACTTCACGCATTGTGGATGAGCTGGAACCGGACGAGAGATGTGACAAGAAGAGGAACGAAAAACAGGGCGGAGATGGGTGGTCGGCGTGGTCGTCGAGAAACGGTCTGCTGGTCGAGAGGGAGAAGAGAGGCCGTGCAGCTTTCTGTTGTGGTCTTGTTTACCAAAGCCCGGCTCCAGCCGCCGCCTTCCAGCCGCACCTTCCTCGCCCTAGGTATCCAGCCAGCCAGCCAAACACAAGGGTCCTCTGCTTCTGCATTTCAGCCAGTGACCTCTACAAAGAAGTTGTATTGTGACTGCTGCACTTTGCTGTTCACTTGTTCACTTGAGCTAATGTCTCGACTGCAATCAAATCTCTTCACCCGTTGCCTCTGACTCTTCGATGATGCTCTTCCTGCCCGTACTGTTCTTTACATGCTTCCTGGCCGTTCCTGCCATAGCCAACGTGGAAAAGACCATCTTCACTGCGCCTGACAGTATCAATTTCGGAGATGCTCGTCCAAACTTGATCGACTTGCATCTTGATATTCTTTCACCGGAAAGACTCTCTGTCCGGACGCTTGTCCCTGTAATATTTCCCACCGAGAAGCATACTCGTGGACTATCATCTTGGTACATTCTGGACAATCTACGTCCAGGTCAGCGCTACGAGGTTCGAATCTGTTGGGCAGCCACGGTATCTATGAAACAGTATGACATACTAGCGATACAGCTTTGCTGACACATTCCAAAGCAACCCACTGATTTCTTCTTGGACACATTTGAGGCCACGACCGTCTTTGACACCACCAAGCTACTGCAGGACTTAAGTGCTTACGCCGAAGAGCGCCAGAATATTCTGCCTCTGGACGACATTGAAGGCTTGGGCGGCTCGACTACTGCCAACAGATCTATTCTGTTCCTTCGCATCCAATCAGCAGCCAGTTTCTATACCACCGACAAAGCCTTGATGCAAGATCCTCCACCTGTCTATGTAGACATCAGTACGCTTCTCCTGCTTTCACACCATGTCTTTGTTCTGTGACTGACCTCGGAATAGTTCTTGATCCGTACCTTTGGAACATCTTCCCCCAATCCTTGCTTCCCACAGCTGCATACATTCTCATACTGGCTGTTGCCAGCTGGTTTCTATCTGGATTTGCTTGGTCCAAGTTGCAGGTCTTTGTGCACAAAAAACAACACTCCGATTGATAAGTTCCGGATTCAGGCTCGTGGCTGCTAACCACAATCCTCCAATCTTGCCCATGATGCAGTCAGTCATACAACACTCTGCAAGCTCTTTCCGTGGACTACCCATAGAACTCATTCTTGAGATCCTGAGCTATCTTCCTCCGGAGGCCCTGATTTCATTCGGATTCGCCAACTACCATCTGTTCATCACACACTCTGTGGCTTCTCTGCTGTCAGAATCAACAATGATCCGTCTTATGAACCAAGCGATAGTTTTGAGGATACGCACACGCACACGCACGACTGGCTCAACCCCTCCTCCTACCATGCCTAGCCTGACATCTCTTCCTTCCGAAGTCCACCTGCAGATACTCCAAAACATGGATCCCACGGATGTTCTCAACTATGGCATTGCCAACTACTTGGTGTTGGCTCAGCGAGGCATCGCACCTGCACTGTCTCAGGACACACTGCGTCGTCTACAAAGAGCGGTCAGACGCCGCCAGCGTCCAGACTCATACACCTGAGAGATGAAGAACGCCTACTGATCAGCTGTGTACTGGTCAACACGCTGTCCGCACGCCATCTTGAGCTTTTTGGTAACGAAATTTGGATCGCATGGCCAGCAGGGGTTATAACATGTACCACAATCAGTTGCAGCCCCAATCGATGCAACATGGCCCGGGATATCAGAACGTGGGATAACGCCTGGTGAGGGACTTGGATGCCGTATCTCAAGGACAGTATTGCACTAATGAATCATTCTATCAATCTGCATTGTGTTCCAGAATCAACACTTTTGATAATATGTTCCCGTCCAGCGTGCGATAGGACATGTGATAGCGAACTATGCGTGCAGCAACAGGTGTTTGTCAGATGCTCAGCCAAGTTCGCAAGTTATTTCTACAAGCAGAGATGCGATCTGTTTCAGGAGCACCGCTCTGTCAGCAGCCACGCAATTTTGTCGAAACTCAGCAGTGCCCCTGAGCTCCCCGTCGGATCGCGGGAGATCCGAGCGACCATCGCGCTTTAGAAAAAGGGTCCGATGCGACGTCATGATCGTTTTTGGACGAGATAGAACCATCATGACCAAGCCTAACGGTCGTCGATAGCTCAAAGGTTCCTCAGTAACATCGTCTTCTACATATTTCAACATTTCCCACTTGTGCATCCAGATCTTTGACTACCAACAAGGGCCATCTACTACACCTTCACATTTACGAGCATACCAAGAGCTAGCTATATACTGCTCCAGCACCGCACAGTCAACATGACCAGCAAACTCATTCCGTCGAACCCTGACAAGGTCATGGTCATCCGCAACGTCACACTAGACATCGTCACCCTCTCGCTCCCCTTCGCACGCTTCGGCCGGATCAACATTGGTGGCCGCGGAACGCTTGGTACGTTCTTGCTTGCGGATCCGTCGCGAGCCGCTCCAACTGACGCTTTCCAGTCCGCCTGCAGAACGGCAGCGTAGCCGTCTTCTCCCCTGTCGCTCTTACTGACGATGTCCGCAGCCAGGTCGCCAAGCTGGGCGCCGTCAAGTACATTGTCGCCAACGACGTCGAGCACCACATCTTCTTGGACGACTGGCACAAGGCCTTCCCGGACGCCAGACTCATCGGCCCAGACGCATTGAAGGAGAAGCGCGAGAGCCAGAAAAAGCCACTGCCCTGGACACACCTGTTCCGCCCAAGGGACAACACCAGCTGGAACATTGACGAAGCCTTTGACCGCGAGTTCAATGCCGAGTACGTCCACGCACACAAAAACAAGGAGCTCGTCTTCAACCACAAGCCTTCCAAGACTTTGATCCAAGCAGATTTGCTGTTCAACATGCCAGCCACAGAGCAGTACTCGCGTACTGACGTCGACCCCACCGCTGGCTTTCTCACAAAGTTGATGTGCAAGCTCAACAACACCGCTGGTTCGGCAATCTGGCAGAAAAGATTTCTATGGTACGGACCCAGTTCGTCAGATAGACCTGCTTTCAACCAGAGCATAGCCAGGATTGACAAATGGGACTTTGAGCGTATCATCCCTTGTCACGGTGATGTAATTGAGAATGACGGCAAGAGCATCTTCCAAAAAGTGTTTTCATGGCACTTGGACGCTGCTAGAAAGTCGAACTAGACAGCTTGGAACTTGACTTGACCTGTATCATGGCCAGGAAACACTATTGGATTCTACCGTAACAGTTTTTGGAAGAGGGAAGAAAATCGAATTTAATGTCAACGCTAAGCTAATACTTCGTAAAAGATTGAACTCCTTTACCCAATGATACACGAAAGCAAAAGCAACTTTTTTTGTCCTCGCTGAATGCATATTATGTTAAGAAGCAAAACTCGCTGGAAGAACAAAACGTGACAGCAAGGGTCGTAGGTCTCGTTAACGTCTCAGAAGCAACAAGACAAACAAAAGGCAAGAGAGAGACGAAGAACCGAATCTGGTCCATCAAATTCTGAACCAGTTCTTCTCCACAGCGCGAACGAGCTCGTCTTCGCTGATACAAATCCACGAGCTCTCAGTCTTACCGTAGACGCCAGTGGACCCATAAGGTCCTTTGTGAGAAGCCTCCCAAGTGACAGGCCAAGCACCACCACTCGAAACCTCGGCAAAGGAGAAATCGCCATGCACAACACGCTCAGCAGGATCAAAGATGCAGTCTGCAAAGAAGAGCTCGATATCAAGCTCCTTGCGCTTGCGCTTTTGGACTTGCATGAGCGTGCGTGCGGAGACGAGGACATCGCGCAGCAGACGTGATTTGTGTGCTTGCTGGGCGCGGAGAGAGTTGTTTGATGCATCGAAGCTGGCATCACGATCGCAGAGCTCGAGGGCGCGGACCTGGCATTCGCCTTCCCAGTCTACGTCTTCGTGGGAGAAGAGGCAGGCGCACATGCTAGGGACGGAGATGGAGAGGTCCTTGAGGCGAGGGCAGGAGGCGAGGGACTCACAGACGTGTGTGTCTGGAGTGAGGTAGCCGGGGTGTGGGTGGAAGAAGCCATCGTCCGAGCGAGGCGAGTGCTCGAGGACGCGCAGGGTGTTTGCCGAAGCGTTCACAATGGCCATGACTCCGGCGATAGTAATGGTGGAGAGGTTTGTGAGGTGGAACTCTTCGAGGTGGCTTGCACTGCGTGCAATGTTGAACATGTCCTCGTCGTCGATTGGCATCAGAGATGTGTTGCCAAAGATCTTCAAGCGCTTCAGGTGCGTAAAGTTGATACGAGAGTCTGCCAGAGGATGAGTGTTCTCGACCTGCGACCATTCCTTCTCCTGAGCACTACCCAGACAGGTAGCACGCAGCTCTAGAGACCTAAGAGGGACATCATCTTCGGAAGAGATACCCAGCAGATGGATCCAGTCCTGAGCAGTCCCGTGTCGTAGCAGTGTCCAAGGCACGCTGATGGAAGTGAGATGACGGCAGCTCCTCAAAACATCGAAGATCATGCGGTCCGTCTCAACGGTGTGGAAACCATCAAAGAACATGCGGCGGACTTCACCCGCCACATCTGGGTACTGACGGAAGAACTTAACAGCGCTCTTGAGGAAACCAAAGGGATCACGATACACTGCGCTGCCTTTGGGCTTACTCATGAACTCGTAGGCTCCGTAGGATGATCGGCGCGTTGGAATCTCAGCCCATCTCTCGGAACCTTGCCATCTTCTGATCGATACAGTCCTGATGGTGCTTCGAATGGCCCAGTCATGCCATCTTGTGCACACACCACGGATAGTAGATGCTCCGTCCCAGCGTTGTGCTTCGGGCTGGACAGGTCCTCTGATGTATCTGGTCAATGGCGTTCGGGAGATTGGTAGAGGAGCTTGAGTAAGACCAAACGTGTATTTGACGCCGTTTTCAGCATTCATCTGAGAAGCGTAGTCGAGGACAGACGAGAGTATCTCGTCAGGGAAGTCGTTGATGTTCATGTTGTTGATGTAGCAGTGTGATAAAGAAAGTGTGGAAGCAAGTGGGATACTTCTTTGGAAAAGTGAAGGTGAGATGGATTATGAAGGAGTCAGAGTGAAAAACGAGAGGAAAGAGCAGGACCTGTACCAGGACTATATCTCCTCAAAAAGGTGCATTGTCCTTACGTTAGAAAAAACTCACGAACCCCTCAAACACCGGATTCGATGGACGCCCTACAACAGTGTTCACGTGGGTAGCATCGGACCACAGCAGAGGTAATGAGCAAAACGTGCAAAGGATCGCAAAAGGCTTGCAGACCATTAGTCACAGTATGGATGATGAACACATTCTTGCATTCTATGGGGTAATTTCTGAATTGTATGGGGTAACAAGAACTCCCATGGCTAGCTGGCCAAGCCCGCGTCGGCAAACAGAAGAGATCTCGTGACGGCTTGCGAAGCTATTTTCCAGTCACCCTCCCTAAACGGTTCATGGTAGTGTGAGAACGTACCCAGCACGGTGGTTTTGATCACGAAGCGCTAGGAGGAGGGGTTTGGCGTGCGAAATTGACAAGCGACGACGATGGTGGCCGAGGAGATGAAGTGATGAAGTCGAAAGCATTCGCTTGGCAAGGTGGTACCGCCAATGCAGATTCGTGGCATTGTGTGATACAGAGGGAGATTGACGTGTGTTGACGAGATCGCGAGACAATGAGGCTACAGTACTCTTCGCGTACCTAGTCACCGATGGTGCAAGTAAACGACATGACTGGGGCAAGACGCCAGATGGTGCAAGCAATGGATCTAACGGACGATTTGGCGCGTGTGATGGTTGCTGACGCGGAAGTCGGCCCTGCCGCGAGAAAACGAGTTTTTACATTTCGGACTTCGGCGGTGTCGCCTTCCAGAAAACTCGGTAGCGTCTAAATACGGCATGTACGAAGCACCAGATGGAAGGAGAAGGTGCAACAGACAGATGTTTCAAGGCGTCATGCTTTCTATACAGTCGGAGGTGGCTGAACGTTCCCCAAATTTCCAAAGCCGAAGCTAGGCGGGGAACAGTCTGGAGAAGCTGGGGCTGGAAATAACAGTTTGTTTGGCCACGCCAGTCTAGACATTGAAAATACGATCACCACCAATCCGCATGCGGAAAAAGGCACTGCGGTCTGCTAGTCTGGCACGCAGGCCACCGGCCGTAGAAGGAGCCGTGCTCGTGGGCTGAACGGGGTCACGCATCTCCTTTAAATGTGTTTTGATCACATCAAAGAGATTTAGATGGGCAACCATAATCTCACCGCTGTTGAAGGCGTCAAAGATGTACGAGTCTGTGCGGGGCGCCGTCGAGGCCAACAGAGCCTGTCTCTCGTCTGTCTCTGCATCTGGCTGAGCAGCTGACTCGGTGCCTTCTGGGGGGCCGTGGGCTGGATTCAAGGAGTGCAACTCTTGATCTACCGGCTGGTGGTCAGCTCTATGCTGGCCTCGCTCCTCAAAGTCGTGGTTCTGAACTGCTGTTGGAGGCGTGGTGGTCGAAGAAGTCTGTTGCTTCACTCGTTGACGAGTGGTAGACGCAGCCAGATGAACAAGCTGCATGAGCAGTATCAGGATATCCAGCAGGACCAGATGGAACTTTGACGTGGGTCCCTTCTGGCCGACAAAGTCCATGGCCAGGCCGCCATGTAGATAGCCTCTGGTAGCCTCGCCAGCTTCGGGTTGGGGGAGGAGTATATGCAAGAGAATGATCAACAAGTTGGAACCAAAGATGGCAGCGAGATAGGGCCTAGGATGTGGAGGCTCGGGAAGGAAGGCGGGTTTGGGTGTCAGAAAGATAAATTGTATGACTGCTCGAGCTAGGAAGCGGATGAAGGAGCAGCTGGAGTGCGGTTAGCAGGATGCGGGATTGGAGTGGTGCTATGTGTTGGCGCACTCCATGTAGTAGATGGCAGACAGCTCAGCATAGATCAAGAGGTCGATGTTGCGCAGCAAGTCTTGCAAGAAGGCGTGACGCTTCTTGTTGAAGGTGGCCTTGTTGCGCTTCACACGATCGCTCCTTTGCGCATGGTCGAGCGGGAGCGTCGAGGCGGGCTCATGGTTCATTTCCGGGCATTCATGTGTTGCTGTGTCGTGTCACTCGGCATTACTCCAGTATCGTGTACAAATACATCAGGAAAGCGAGTTGCTTAAACGACCAAAGCCAGTCGCAGGTCGCATGTCTTCGACTTCCGGCTGCCGATGACGCCGAGCCGGCCGGTCGCTCCTTCCCTTCCATTCCGGGCGTTGATTGGAACGCGACTTCCTTGACGCGTGCCTGAAAGTGCTTCTCGTCTGGCGATTGACTCAACTCGTTCATCACATACAACCATGGCGAATTTTTTCGATATCAAGGCTCGCAAGGCCGCTGCTGCTGCTACAGCCTCGGGAGAGGGTTCTTCCAAATCTACTGGTCCAAAGGTTGACAATCGCCTGCAGCCGTGGGTCGAGAAATAGTCCGTCACCACCTCTCTACTCGATCTACAGCAGCTAACTCGTCCTCAGCCGCCCCAAATCGCTCGACGATGTCTCATCACAGGAGCACACCGTCGATGTCCTTCGCCGAACCCTCCAATCCGCCAATCTTCCACACATGCTCTTCTACGGTCCTCCCGGCACCGGCAAGACCTCGACCGTCCTCGCTCTCGCAAAACAGCTCTATGGCCCCGAACTCATCAAGACCCGTGTCCTTGAGCTCAATGCTTCAGACGAACGTGGTATCAGCATCGTCCGTGAGAAGGTCAAGGACTTTGCCCGCATGCAGCTATCAAATCCTCCCTCTGGCCCCGCTGGCGAAGAGTACCGCAAAAGATACCCGTGTCCTCCATACAAGATCATCATCCTCGACGAAGCAGACTCGATGACCCAGGACGCCCAATCTGCTCTGCGTCGCACAATGGAGACCTACAGCAAAATCACTCGTTTCTGCCTTATCTGCAACTATGTCACACGCATCATCGATCCTCTGGCCAGTAGATGCAGCAAGTTCAGATTCAAGAGCTTGGATGGTAGCAATGCTCGCAAGAGATTGGAAAACATTGCTGCCATGGAGAAGGTCAAGCTCGATGATGGAGTTATTGACACTCTGATCCGTTGCGCTGAGGGTGACTTGCGAAAAGCCATCACATTTCTACAGTCGGCTGCTCGTCTCGCCGGTGCAGAACAATCAAAACCTGATGACGATGCCATGGACGTTGACGATCAAGCCACAGCACGATCAGTCTCGGTGCGCAGCGTCGAAGAAATCGCTGGCGTGGTTCCTAATCGTACTGTCGACCGCCTAATTCAAGCCATACAGCCCAACACAAGAGCTTCAGTTTATGATGCTGTTTCTCGCGTGGTTCAGGATTTGGTCGCAGAGGGCTGGAGCGCTACCCAGCTAGTGTCACAACTGTACGAACAGATCCTCATGGATGACTCGATCGATAACCCAAAGAAGAATCGCATTGTCATGTCTTTCTCGCAGACAGACAAGAGATTGATCGACGGAAGCGACGAACACCTCACCATTCTTGATCTAAGTTTGCAGATTGCCAGTGCTCTTGCTGGAACTTGAGGCGATCAACCATTTCTTTGATGCATCCTCAATAATCTCGACGGCAGTCCTCTAGCATCGATCTTCAGGTTGAGCCAGCAGAACGTTCTGCAGGACTTGCTCTTCAAAAACCTGACTGAGAGTCTAACCACGCTTCCTGATGGAAAAAGAATAATCAGGACGGCGTGCGGCCCTCATTGCTATGGCTTGCTTCACATACTGCCACATGTAACATTATATGCTTAATGACCAACCCAAATTGCACATACCTCACGAGTGTTCATCATCATAACGTGATTGCTATTCAACAATTGTATAATTCCACGAAGTCACAAGTCATCATCATTCAACAGGTCAAGTGGAGAGTGATTTGATAGCAAAAACAGGGGGTATAATCATTCGAGTCTACATCTACCAAGCAACGCAGGATGGGGAATCAAAAACTAGGAGAGGATGCACTTGACAGGCAAGCCGCAAGGACCAGACTTGTCGTGCTCCTCCTTGTGTTGGGGCTCAGTCGAGGTCTGCTGCTTTTGTACAGGTGCTGTGCTCTTCTGTTCCGTCTGGCTGGGCTCGGTGACTGGTGCACCACCACCGATAGGCTCCTGTCTGCTGCTGCTGGTCACCGCACCCGCGGCACCATCATGCAGTCATGCGAAGTTCTGCTTGGTAAGAGCGGTCCAGAAGGCCTTGCCCTGCTCGAAGGCGAGCGAGAGCTCCTTCTCGGAGGGCTGTCTGCTGCCATCGGGACCGGCGAAGGTACCGGCACCCCAGGGGGAGCCACCGCGAACCTCGGTGAGGTCGGCGAGAGTGCCGAAGACGGTCTTGTAGCCGAGAGGAACGTAGATCATGCCGTGGTGGACGAAGGTCGACATGGCACTGATGATGGTGGACTCCTGACCGCCGCCGGGGGTGGCAGTGGAAACGAAGGCACCGGCGTACTTGCCCCAGTAAGCACCAGTCTGCCATTGACCGCCCTGATGGGCTGTTAGTACGCGTTGCAAGCTTCAATCCACGTCGTGTAGCTTACAGTCTTGTCCCAGAAGGCCTTGAACTGAGCGGGCCAGTTGCCGTATCTAGTAGGGATACCGAAGAGGAACCCGTCATACTGTTCGAGGGTCTTGGGGTCGGAGAGGACAGGGTAGTTGGTCTTAGGAGGGGCGTGCATCTTGGCGAGGACATCCTCGGTGAGAGTCTCCTCGATCTGGTAGATGTCGACGTGACCGCCGGCCTCTCTGATACCTCTGGCCTCCTCCTCGACCATCTTGAGGATGTGGCCGTACATCGAGTACTGCATGCAACATGACTGTCAGCTCATCGTGTCCAACTAATGCTACAAGGCCCAAGCTCCGAGCTCGGAAAAAACAAATGACCATGATGGGCAAGTGTGGAGGGGACGTACGAAGACAATAGCGACTTTGGGAGCCATTTTGATGTGTGGATAGCAGAAGGCTACGAGTGAAAGTGACAAAGGAATAGGTGAATTGAGAGATGGAGAGAGGGAGAAACGTCAATTGGCAGGGATGGGAACGCAATTATATACAATGTTAATCCCCGACTTAACTGACAATCAACAGCGGGTCTTCGATCCGCGCTTACAAAGTCTAGATTGGAAATTTAGTGATCATTAATCGGAATTAACCCACGTAGATCGGGAAGTCTTGGCCGACTTAACAGACATTTTCGCAAGTGCCGGTGCCTGTCGAGTCAGCTCGGTGCACGCGCCAAGATCTTAACTCACATTCTCGCGCCTCCCGCGATATAAGCAGCGATTTGCTAGCACTATTTCCGGATGGCGGAAAAGCATCACACCATCGACTTATCGTTGAATCTCTAGGCTCGACTTCCGTGTTTTGTGGTGGTATGAAGACTCGTGTTCGAGTACCAAGTCCTTATACACAACTCACGTGCGATCGAGATACCAATGTTTGGATCAGGTGGACAAACTGGTCTGCGATTGAGTGCTCACCCGGCGAGAGGCCAGTCGATCGTTTCGGATTGCACTCGGCTCATGGTGAATATGCATAACAAACAACAAGATCTCCTGCTGCTGTTGAGATGTTGAACAACGTTGCTTGCACAATGCTGACACAAGGGCACTCAAGGTTCAAGATGCCCGGAGCACCCTGACTCGTAGGACATGACCATCGTGGGACCTGGTTCAGTCACTAGGTAAATGTATGGGGCATGGCTATATGTGTTCGAGGTCCTCTCTATGACCCAACTACCGGCTCGAGCTTTGCTTGGGAAATCTTTACTTGCTTGGTAGATGATTTGCTCGTAGCCATTCTTTGTAGAGATCAAGCGCTGGTCGAATTTAGAAGGAGGTATCATTGCTTCAGACAAAACAAAGCAGCAACCAGACAATCTAGCACATTGTGTACAACCCCAACATCTCGATTGCTACATGTACCTGAGAGTCATAGAATTGTCCATTGCTCTGTAAATCAGAAGTGTAGTTCATCGTTTGCTCCATACCATGTCGCTCGTTCCGGAAGATGCCGTCCATCACGACGCGCTGTTGCTCTAACGCGGACTAGATGGTCGACTACCTCCACGCTGCATCACCTTCTGATACCATCATCTGTATAGGAGTACCAGACAGAGCTAGCTCTCCGGACGCTACGAAAGCCTACTAGACTGCTCCCCAGATTCCTCGACTCGCGCCGTATGTCACTTCTACCTACATCTCCTTTCACTTATCGATCTACCACTAGCAATCAAGAGAACAACTTCACTTGAAAAGCTGTTTATAATTCGCTAACAATGATCAAGCAAACTTCCATGGTGTAATGCCGTGAGCACAGGACAATTTCAATATCTCAAACATGGACGTCGACCATCTCATGGACAATGTCATGGACACGACAGAGATGGATCCGTTTGTGCTAGATATGAGATCGCCTATCGCGCAAACAAAGCATCAAAACTTATCAAATGGGGACGGAGCTCCCACCTCTAGATCACCTTCCTTACGGCAAGAGGTCATCTCAATACCGCAAAAGGGTATGGCACACCTACCGTATTCGACTTCGCAAACTGGTCTGGTCTATGACGTTCGCATGCGCTTCCATGTTGAGGTACGCCCCGAGGTCAACCAAGGAGTACACCCGGAAGATCCTAGACGAATTTATGCCATCTACAAGGAATTGGTTGATGCAGGTTTGGTTGACGATCCCAACACGGTCAGTCTGGCGCCGTCTGTCCTTGCAAGAATTCCAGCCAGATTCGTGACAAAGAAAGAGGTTTGCGCTGTGCACAGTGAGAGAGTATGGGACTTGGTCATCAGCCTCGAGCATTGGGATAACGACCTTCTCCACGAAGCGGGCTCCAACATGGACAGCATCTACCTTTCGAAGAACACTCCCATGTGTGCAAGGCTGTCAGCTGGAGGTGCCATAGAAGCATGTCGAGGAATCCTCAATGGCCATGTCAAGAACGCCATTGCAGTCATCCGTCCACCAGGACACCACGCTGAGCATAACGAGCCCATGGGGTTCTGTCTCTTCAACAACGTACCTATCGCAGTCAAAGCCTGTCAGAAGGAGTTTGGAGACGCGTGTCGTAAAGTTCTGATCCTTGACTGGGACGTTCATCACGGCAATGGGGTACAGCAGGCCTTCTACAAGGACCCCAATGTGCTTTACATCTCTTTGCATGTCCACCAAGGAGGCAAATTCTACCCTGCTGGACCTGCCGGAGATCATCTCCACTGTGGTGAAGGGCCCGGTGCTGGAATGAACGTCAATATCCCATGGAGAACAGCCGGCATGAGGGATGCTGACTACCTTCTCGCATTTCAACGAATCGTCATGCCGATTGCACAAGATTTTAACCCAGACCTTGTGGTTGTCTCTGCTGGGTTCGATGCTGCAGAGGGTGACATGTTGGGCAAGTGCCATGTCTCACCTGCAGGATATGGCCACATGACCCGCATGCTCATGTCTCTAGCTGATGGAAAGATCGCCGTGTGTCTTGAAGGAGGATACAACTTGAGGTCTATCGCAATCTCAGCCCTTGCAGTCACCCGCACACTGATGGGCGAGCCACCTGGAAGAATCGCTAATGCGGTACCCACACCATCCGGTGTAGACACGGTTGAGGAAGTACTCCGCCAACAAGCAAAATACTGGCCGTGTCTGTTCCCCAGAAACCCATCCGAAAGGACGAGGGAGCTGAAAGCTGAGAGATTGCACGACATTGTCAGGGACTATCAAGCTGCATGGCTCTGGGAAAACCTTGGAATGTCAAGCCTCTTCATTGCGCACAGCAAGGCATCAAGAAGCTTCAAGAACCAAGTGTTGGCCACGTGAGTCTATGTGATGATCATTCCAGACTGTGTGCGTAGCTAATATCGCATCCCAGACCAAACCACGCCGAAGCTCGCCCGCTCCTAGTCATCTTCCATGACCCTCCAGAGCTCACTGGCGACACGGATCCGAGAACTCGAGAGTTACAGCTACATAACACTTGGCTGGTACGTTTCTTCGTTTCTTGACCAAGCTCGACAGACGCTGACTTTGTGCAAAGACTGATTCTGTAAAGCAATACCTGCAGTGGGCTGTCGACCAGGGATTTGCTGTGATCGACATAAACATTCCAAAGCATCTCACAGAGGTTGACGACAACCATGAATACGCCGAAGAAGCAGATGCACAGCAGAGAATCGACGAAACTGAACTGCTCGCAAAGTACTTGTGGGAGAATTACATCGAGTAAGCATCTGAATGACGTGACCACGTCAATTCAAGGATGGAAAGCTGATATACCAACTAGATTGAGTGATGCAAGCCACATGTTCTTGATGGGAGTTGGTCAAGCCTACTCAAGCTTGATCGGATTCTTGAAGAAGAATGATAGGTGTAGAGAACGAGTCGACAAGATCTTCGGCTTCATATCAGACTCGTGCGCCCTGCCATCATACAGAGCCACGACGGATGACTTCTTGGACAGATGGTACAAAGACAAATCAAAGATCTTTGTCGCCCAAAACCACTATGTTTGGGAGAGACACAAGACGAAGGCTCCGTCGAGAAAGTGGGGTTCGTTGCAGAAGAGTGATGGCAACGACATGCAGGAGATGCTTTCGCACCATGTGAAGGAAGTCACCGGTATTCTTGGTGTTGAGGTTGAGCACTGGCAATCGGACGCACCCATGGCGGGTGCGAGCGAGGGAGAGGCATAGCATGGCTACAGACCGTCTATCTAGAATTGTGCCAAAGCCAGATGACTGTTCGTCAATGACCACCGAAGTTTCCAGAACCCAATCGCGCCTGCAAAGAGTACCACGTAGTATGCAAGTGTCCAAGTAACAGACAGTCTTTGACCGTGCGTGCCACTTTGTAAGGTGTCAGCCACACTGCCATCGGCGCCGTGTGTCTGGTCTAGCATTTCCTCTCCAACCTCCTCACCAACGCGGCCCCAGAATCTGGGAAGACCCATCCAATTGCAAAAACTGTGAGCAAGGATACATGCTACGAGAGAACTTGTACGCACGTAGATGAAGGCAGCGATCATTCCGAACAGCGAGGTGTACAGGAACTGGAAGATGGAGCGAATCAGGCCAGGCAATATGACGGAAGGGGTCAAGGCGGTAGCCAAATAGCTTGCTCCAGGACGGCGAGAAGAGTTGATGTGTTCATGCAAATGGTGTACGTGAGCCACGCCAAAAATCAACGGCGAGGTAAACGTTATACGCTGTGCAGATGCCTGTCGTGGGTGATTAGAACGTCGACGGCATAATGCGAACAGTTGTTCATCATCTACGTACCTTGGCCAGTACGAATAGTGAGATTGCAAGACTTCTGAACACCAGTTCTTCGCTTACAGGGCCAACGACGAGATTGCGCCAACCTATCAGGTCGTCATAGACCGTTTCCTTGATCGCGGCACCTCCCCAGCTTCTCCATTCTCCTTCGACGATTGCTCTCTCGGACAGAGGACCGGCGAAGAGGATGGCTACAAGCAGAAAAGACTTGACAGTATCGATAACGTTCACGGGATACACGCCGAGTAGGTGAAGCACTTCTCCAACGGTGAGATGACCCTTGAGAAGGTGGATACAGACAGTGATGACTATACTGACCACACAACTCCAGATTACAGCGCGGATGCGGGCCTCGATCACAGAAGGAGTGTTACGATTGGCGATGGAGTTGCTTCGAAGAGTGGGTGAAAAATAGAAGGGAGCAATGTAGATGATGGTGAAAAGGACGGTTAGGCCACCTGCCACGTGAGGACTGAACACTGGTACTGTCACAGAAGATAGAGGTCAGTTCTTACGGTTCCACCTGACAACGTCGCTTGTCGATATACATGACATGCCGGATAGATAGTCAAGCTGCTTGATTTTTCAATTTTTTCTTGTGTCGGGCTGTATCGATATGCACTTACTCGTGGGAACCATGATGGAGGCAAGCCGATTATGCTTGACAGACGCGCCGCGAACGCCGAAGCCTCCTTCTTGCGTGAGGTGTTTTGATGTAGGAGATTACAAGACGGCAAGAACAAACGGTAAGCTCAGGACTGGCGTGTGGGCAGGCGTTGTCTGCAGACAACAATAGCAAAGGGGAAGCTGGAGATGACAAAACGGCCAGCAGTTGAAACGCTGCTTATCTGCAATCGACAGCGTAATCACTCGTCCCTGGAATTTCGAGGTCTGTCTCGAGGAATAACGAACGACCAAGCGATTGTCAAAGTCGATGCTCGAGAAGTGTTCAATGATGTATGTGTTCGTCTCGGGTGCTGTGTGAGAATGACGTCCATGCTTCTTGACCCAAGCCTGCGGTTGCCAGTGCGCTGCTTATCTGCGCGTGCAAGTCCCGCGAAAGAGGTTCGCACGTTGCGCTGGCTGATCTCTCGCAATTTCCTAGGCGTATGTGCTTTGGATGATCAGCGAACCGAGAGACCGCACAACCAAGCCTCTCGCGACACCCGTTTGCGGCCTCGCGTATCAAATGTTGTGCAGACTCATGTCTTGGTGCGATTCCTATCGCTGTCAGAGACACGACTCGACGGCGTTTCAGGGACGGAGCATGTCGTTTCCGCGCTAGCCAGCGCCCCTTGGTGCCGGCAACGTGTGGACGCCTCTTCGAACCGGCCATCCTGACAGCTTCTCGTCCGGGTGGACCTCATCTCCCATAACCGGTTCAGGGCGTAATGCCTACTGTGTGGCCGATAGACTCTTTTGACTCCTATGGCACGGACGTGTCGACTGCTTTCATATGGACGCCCGTCTGCCACTTCTGATGGCAGAGGTTTGGCTCTTCCTCAGTCTCTCGTTTATCCCACCAGTTACGCTCTTTCCAGCAGCCCTACAATCTATTTCGACCCGCCTCTCCCCGCCTATCGTGACTCGCCATCTTTTCTGCGTTGTCCAGAGCTGTCTTCTTAATCGCCCGTCGCTCCTGCTCGACACGCTTGCCAGCCTTCTTTTTTTCTTCGCCCAACTCGAGACGCGTCTTGGGCCTCTCTCTGGAGCTATTTCCGTGCGCTCTTTGAAATGTCGATCTACTAGTGCTATTCCGCTCATTGTTCCGTCTAAAGATACCCTGTCACTCTTTTAACCCAACATTATTTTTCATTTCCTCGATCATTTCTAATCCCATATGTCTGGCCGTCTTTTCTCGCCGCGGCAGTCCATCGAGCTGGACAAAAATGGCAGATTCAACCTGAGACCGGCTTCTTCAAAAAGTCGCATCGCATTGCATGAACGGACGCCCTCGGACCTTAATCGGGATAACGGCGAACAACCAACCATTCGACTTGTCGGCTCCAACACCAGCCTGAAGAATGCTCATAATAAAAATCCCGTTCCACACAAGCCAGCGCAGGTGCCGCAACCCACCAAAGCCTCAAAGCACGGCTACACTATTCAGAACGACAAAGCAAGCTCGAGCCGCGATTCCAAGCTACAACCTTCCGCCGGCCAAAATGGAAGACTTTCGGCGCAGTCTTCGAACAACAGATATTCTAAGCGTTCCTCAAATGTTTCTCAATCGACGACAACTTCGGCTGCGGATACATACTGCAACGATGATTCGTTCTCACCAACAAGTGCTCGCTTCTCCATGGATGGAACTCTACGAAACACACCAACACCTATTGCATCCGAAATGCGTGAGAAGGAAAGACTTGAGGACGAGGCATTGCCGGCTGTCGTAGAGACGAGTTTCGAATCGTCTACTATACGTCCAGTGACATCGTCTTCGTCGTCGGGATCGAGACCAGTTACACGAAGCTCTGACACCACCAGAGAGAACGTCGTTTTGAAACCCCAACATGGACGATCCGGATCCGTGGCTACACGAAGTGCATCAGGATCTTCAGGTCCGAATGTTGAGGTCTACGATGTGAGCTCGCCATCTCAGTACTCGAGCACACCGTCAGAACGCTCAAGCTCTAACTCATATAATGTCGTCCGTTATGCCAAATCCAATGAGAGCATGACATCGGTTCAGTACGCACAGGTCCGGCCGCCCACAGCTCAGTCTCAGTCTGCAAGCAGCGCCTGGTCATCCAGCGAGGCTGAGAATTTGCCACCACTCTCCGTCACCAAGAAGCGATCGCACATGCATTCAGCGTCGGCCGGTGCAGTGCGCTTGTCAAATCTCTCTACCATTGCATCAGAGTCAGAGCCTTCCAGCCAGTCTATCATACGCGAAATGAGCAGTTCAAGTTCAGCTGACATATTTACATCACCACCGGTGGTGCACCCATCTTCACAATCAGGCAACTGGTATGTCAGACGCCAGACTATCGGCGGCTCCAGCTCGTACTCGTCGATGTTGACCGACAGCAACTACCAAACCGTGTCGACCGAGAGCTCTCGGTGGGAATTGAATCGAGAGAATTCCGCGGTTCCTGACCCTTTGTTCTCAAGCAGCCCTCATGATACTCAGCAGCTGAGTAGCCCAATGATCCTTCATCCGAGCTCGTCAGGCATATACGAACTTGCTGCTGAGAACCCTTCTGAGCAAGATGACACCATTGCTGAACTTCAATTCCATCCGTTGCGTACTCAGAGATCGGGCCTCAAGTCTCGCGGGAGAGCAGCCTCAGAGCCTCGCCCAGTTTCCGCGCGCTCGAACCACACTCTGGCATCGCTGTACAACCCAGATCGAGGATCTCATGGCTCTTCTATCTTCCCGCAGTGGGCCAAGTCTTTCTATCGCGGAAAGCTACACTTTCCACATGGAAATGAAAGCACTGCCAGTCTTGCTGTTTCAGATGGGCAGATGCCTCCACAGCCTTCGGCCAGTTCTATGCACATGATGCCATGGGCTCATCATCGTCGCTGGGAAAGCGCAGGGAACAGCCTGATGAGTACGCCACAGTCACAAGGACCTACACCTCGCAGCAACTCTCCGAAATCCTCTCACTTCCTCCCTAGCATCTTCCGGCCCTATCGTCCCCGAGCGAACATGAACCAAAGCCAGTCTACCAACACCATGTCTGTTGTCACGCGCAGTAGTAGTCTCGCTGAGTTGTATGTCGACGAGAGCCAGCTCGACTTCAGCGACAACGAGAACGAGAACGACAGTGCTAGCTCAAGCTCGACGGACAGCATGATCATTACAACGATCCCTCGCAACGGCAGGCACAACTCCGTACCAGCTTTCCAACCACCTCGCCGCCAAAAAACAGTCAATTCTGGACGCGCGATACCCCGCGATCAGACATACACCTCTTCCAACTATCCGCAATCTCTTGCCGCTAGCCACATGTTCAACACACCTCCTCACCTCACACCTTCCCGCCGCCTTTCCCACCGTCTCTCCACCTGGCGCGCTCCCAGCTTCGACGAGGCCCTGAACACTCTAATCTTGTCTCGCGGCAACCGCCAGATCCTCTTCTTCTGCCTTGGTTTCTTGTGCCCATTCTTCTGGATGGTGGCCGCCTTCCTTCCCTTGCCGCATCGACCCATGGAAACTATCATGACCAACCCTGAGGCCTTGCAAGATATCCCCGAACTCGAAGGCGAGAAAAGCAACTACCCTCAGGGATTGCAGGTCGAGATGAGGAACTGGGATCTGGAGCGCAAGTATCTCAAGGCTCGCTGGTGGAGAAATCTCAACCGCATCATGAGTTTTGTGGGTGTCGCCATGATTGGTGCCATCATTGCTCTCGCTATTATCGCTTCCAGATAAGCGAATTCGATTCACCTCTGGTCACGATTAATGTTTTTATTTTTCTGTTTATTTTTTGTTCATCATTTTATTGCATATACCCCGGCGGTCACTTTGACATATTCCACCCACCAGATCTCACGAGGTCTTCTTCCAACTAAGACGGCGAAAACAGCCACATACAAAGTGTACATTTCTTGTCGAATCTAACACATAGCCAACCAACAACTCTACCATGATCCTTTCTAAGAAGGATTGGATAATGTATATAGAACTACCTATCACATAGATGATCTGTCTTTCGGGACAAGCAAGATTCAAAATGAAACCTACCACGCAAAAAGACGAAATGAATCTTCAGCGTCTCAGTGATGTGCTTTTACAAGTGCCGAGTACAGAAAGAGCGATCATCAGGGCTGTGATGCCATAGTTCAACGCAGATATTAAACATGAAACCTAGCATCAGAAGGGCAACCCACCACACAAGACATTGCACCTTGTTGGAAAGGCGGGTCGATGCGTGGAAGCCACTCACAGGTTTCAAGATCTTCTGGAAGGAACCAAGGAAAACGTTGTTTCAGACCAGATGTTTATGGGGCTCCTCGTCTCCGGTTGGTGTGGTTTGAGATGCAATTATCGCATGAGGTGACGACACGGCAAGGAAAGGCAGGAAGGGATGTATGATGAGAAAAGAACAATGTTGGTATCATAAAGAGCAAGTAAGAAAAAGCCCCCAAAAAGTGCCAGACTTGTGAAAAGAAAACACCGAACGCTATGCTAAACGAACCTCTATCCATTAATCCGTCTCTATCAACCCAATATCCACAACGACAACACAACAGCAACCGCAACAGCCAGCGAAGAAGTACCACTGACAGTAGGTGCGGCATTCAAATAATACACCGCACCAAGGTAACTGCAAGTGACCTGTCCATCATCACTTCTCTGTCCATAGTCGACTTCAAGCCCTCTGCCTGGATCTGGACAGCCGAATCCCAAAGCAGCAGGACAGCTGCGGACAAGACTGAAACATAGATCCTCGCAAGGCTTGACTTCCTTGTAGGGCCCAGGGGCAATCTGGTCAACGATGATGCTCGGGTTGCGGGAGCTGTTGGTTGCGCTCACGGACCCATAGGTCTGGCGGAAGGCGTCGCTGTCGCTAGGGGCAGAGGTCATGGGGATGTATTGTTGGTCTAGCTGGCCCTGAACTTGCTGGAACATGTCTGGATTGGGCATGCTGCCGATGGAAGAAGAAGACGAATTGATTGGCTTTTGACCCATGTTGCGAGGCTGTAGCCATGGCAGAGGGGAGGAAAAGTCCTCGCAGCGTGGCATGGTGACGGCACAAAGCCATTGCTTGTAAGCATCGGCGCAGTCGTCGCAGTTTTTGGCAGGTGAGTACTGTGCCGATAAAGTTGTGTTGCAAGGAATCTGGTCCAGCGATTTGGCAAAGTTCTCATACAGTCCAGCCGCGTACGAGTCGTAGACAGCGCTCAGAGAGGGTTGATCCGGATATCTGTCCTGATTGCTGGGCACGGCGTAAGCAACATCGTGGCAGAAAGTCAGGTTGAAGACGAGTGCACAGTTATTGTCCGACTTTGTTTTGAAGCTGACAGGCTGCCAGACTTGACCTCCACCACCGACGACGCCACTGCCGGTCTTTGTGGAATTACCTTCCATGGCCAGAACACCAAAGTACGAGGTGCTACCATTCAGTTCCTGGATGTAGAACTGCTCCTTGGGCTTGTGGCCCAAACCGCGGGTGATCATGCCTGACTGAACCGAGCTTGAAGCATTGTTGATGCTGGCATGGGTCATGCCACAGTAACTATTCCTCATACCATCCAGGCTTCTGTCGAGGGTGGGCTGGACAAAAACGGTGAAGGGCGAGGTGAGGTTCATCCATTGTTGGTAGGTGGTTTCGTTGGGATTGGCCTGAGTCAAGTTGTTTGTAACGAGGAGAGCGGCGTGGGTGTCTGTGTCGACAAGATAGAGGAAGGGCGAATCGGGGTGGGCGCCGTGATAGTAGTTGTCAATGGAGGCGGCGATCTCGTAGTTCCAGATGCCAGAGAAGTTTGCGGGCACTTCGGGGGCGTGGACGGACATGTAAATGTCTGTGGTAGCATTCATTGAGTAATTGGCGAAACCCTCATTGAGCGTGATGGCCACTTGGCGGTTGGCAGGAGCGTTGGGGCCGGGCTCTTTGTTCGATGTAGCGTTAGAGACGTAGAGAGTAAGCTGAGGTGGAGTAGTCGTCTGGTTTGTAGAGCCATTCCACTGTGGTTGTAGACAAGTCGTGACGGAGATGTAGACTAGGCGGGTCGAGGGATTTTGGCGCTTGTAGATGGTGCCAGAGTCACCCGTGTCGCCATCATCGATGCTGCTTGGGAGGCCGTCGGTGAGATTTGCGTAGGGAGCCCAGAGCGAAGCATTGCTGAAGTGCCAGATGGTCGTGTTGCCCGCCTCGATGTTAAGCAGGCCCGGCACGTTGCTTCCACCTAACGTCACTACATCTCCCACAGCTCTTTTTGCATGTTGTGCATCTTGGTCGTCATCGACATCTTGTGGGTCTTCCAGGTCGTCTGTCAAGTCGAGGGCGTAGTGGTCCAGTATGATGAGCGGGGAGGCAGGGCTCGGAGTCTCTATCTCAGCGGCATAGGCCAAGTGCGGATTCCACAGGAAAAGATAGACGGACAGGACAATGAGCGATGCCGCCAGCGACACGGTGAAGCGACATTGCAGCGGACTCAGCTTGGGAAAGTGCATTGCATAGCGCTGCCTAAACACTTGCAACAATCATCGCATCTAATTACCCTCTTGACTTTGACCCTCCTGGACCCTTGCCAAGACCTGCGTCGTAAGCATGTGAAAGTGCTCTGATATCCACAAACATCTTGCTGTATTCTATCCTTTCTTTTCCTTGTGCTGTATCAGCTTGACATGATCTTACATTAGTCTTTCACATCCTTCGTCCACGCATGATTCCCGCCATGATCCTCCCGCTAAATGCTACACTGTCATGACCTTTGCACTGCACACCTGCGCCAAACGCCTGTAGAACTCTTCAACTCATATATCCACATCGTCTTTACATCATTCCCATCATCGGTGAGCTGGCATAAGCCATGGGCTTGATGTCCGGGTGCTTGACTGCATCGAACTGCTTGAACTGCAGCTTGTAGTCGTCTTCGATGTTGATAAACGCTCCCCTGTTGCCTGTCGAGTCGCAGTAGTTGGGTGCTGAGAAGATGGTGATGCACTTGCTGTCGTGCTCTTCCTCGTATCCGTCCATTCGGACCTCGTGACTGCGGATGATGGCTTCCAGTCCGTTCTTCTCGCAGAATCTCTTGGTCACATCTGGTCCGAACTGCAGTCCCACTCCGCGCTTGCTGGGCCCCCTTCCAGGTGCTGTCTGAGGGTCTGTCCACAACATCTCCATCATCAATCCGCTGTGTCCGGGCTGTTTCTGGTTGTGTCTGTTGAGCTTCCTTACGTCGTCGAGCGTGATGTTGTCGTCCGAGAAGAGTCCTCCGTGAAGGACAAAGTACTTGTCGCCGATCAATGTAGCCAGGGGCAATGCGCTGAAGGATTCTGAGAAGAGCTTGAAGGTACGGTCGTTGTACTTGGCCTTGCATTCTCCTTCGAATCCGTACATTCTGTTCATGTCGTCGGTCTCGTGGTTTCCGCGGTTCAAGAACATGGACTTGGGGTACAGCCACTTGTAGGCGTATAGGAGGAGGGCGATTTCGCATGACCAGCTGCCTCTGTCGACAAAGTCTCCGTTGAACAGGTAAGCGTGGTCGGCTGAAGGGCGACCGTTCATTCTGAAGATCTCCATCAGATCAAAGTATTGGCCTGCAGAAAGCGTTAGTAAGCAAGCTAAGCACAACGAGTGATGCAGAAAACAAACCGTGAGTGTCACCACAGACAGTAATCTTCTTGCCCTGGTCAACGTGTGTCTCAACCATGGTGGGCTCATTGTAACAGATTTCCTTGACGGCCAGAACAATCTGATAAACGTATTTCAGAGGGAGCTTCTTGCCGTTCTTGAAACGCTCAATCAAGTCTTCGACGAACTCCAGCGTCATCTTGTCTCCGAGCTTGACACCATCGTAATCAGAAGGGATGGCCATGTTGACAAGGTCTAGACCCTCGGCGGCAGAGGGTGCATCGGGGGCTTCGATAGCCTTGAGGAAGGCATCACGCTTGATGACCTTCTGACAAGCGTCGTGTTGAGCGCGGGCAACCTTGTCCGAGGGCTGCTTCTTGACAACCATCTTCCAATCGTTGATAGCATCGGCATGTCTCAGGATGGCGGTGTTGGCGACGGCACGGCGATAGTAGGCCTGGTGGAGGAGTAAGTAGGAGAGCACGTGGGCAAATTGAGCATGTCGTTTCGCACCTTGACAAAGTCAGGATTTAGCTCGATGGCCTTGGTAGCATCAGCGACAGCATATCCATATGCCTCGAGGCGAATGTGAGCCTGGCGCGAAGAAGTCAGTGAGGAGAAGCAGCAGGTGGATGGCGAGCATATGCGGACCTGGGCTCTGTTGGTGTAGAATGAAGGTTCTTTGTCGTATTTTTCGATAGCCTGCGAGTAGAAATCGATTGCTTTGGGCCACTCCTTGTTCTTGAAAGCATCGTTGCCCTGGTTCTTGAGGGCGGTGGCCTCCTCCATGGTCATGGTGGGGGTGAATTGTATAAGTTGTAGAAGATGGCTGAGGAGAAGCTGAATGCCAGTATATAGACCAAGTAGAAAGCTTAGCAAGTCAGAACAAGTGAGTAAAAGATGCGTGACTCGGGAATGCGGGTGATTGTCGAAAGTGGAAGATGGTGGAATTTCAGAAAACAGCACAGACACTTTGATATGGCATTCTGGTGTTGCTCGCCGCCGCCGCCTCGGTCGAGAAAGCTTGGCCTGCGGTGCCTGCCATGCGGAGTGGAAAGTTGTAGTTTTAGCCGAAGCGTGGTGAGCAACTCTTAGCGCGCTCTGGATGCGTCTCGCTTTGAGGTCCATCATCAATCATTCTCCATCATCGTCTGCTCGCGACAAAGACATCGACGTTTCCTTTGCACACACTCTGTCGCACCCCCGTCTCTACCGCCAACTGTCACTCACATCACAATGTCCAACTTCGTACCACCTTCACAACACCGCTCGCTGCGCGCCTGCATGGTCTGCAGCATCGTCCTTCCAGGCTCGCGCTTCCGCCGTGAAGGATGTCCCAACTGCGAAGAGTTTCTCGAACTCTCTGGTCATGACGACGCCATCCAGGAATGCACCAGCCAGGTCTTCGAGGGCCTCATCACTCTGACAGACCCTGGCTCTAGCTGGGTTGCCAGATGGCAGCGACTCGACAGCTATGTCCCTGGAATTTACGCCGTCAAGGTTACCGGTATTGTAAGTGTTTTGGTCACATCTATACCGCTTCTTCTGTACTGACTGTGTCTTACAGCTGCCAGAAGAGATCATCTCTACCGTCGAGGCCGCTGGTGTCAAGTACATCCCGTGAGTTCACACTTGCCCTTGTTCCCGCGTGCTTGGACTAACATCATTCAGTCGCGATGGAACTAGCATCGACGACATGTAATCGCCTATCTCGCATAACTTATTCCTTATGCACGAATCATCCATGAAAAGAGCGACGGCGTTTTGAGGCTGGGAAAATGTTTTGGCTGAGCGGGTATGCCACGGATATTGCATTATGATACCCCGACACACAGAGTCTCCTTCATCATCAAATGGAAAACTTGGATTTCTCCATCAGGCTCCGACTCAATACATGCCACCAGGCGCGCTGACATTGACCACAACACACTCACAACCACCCCGGACAGGACCAGCGATATCCTTTTGGCCGCATCTGCGATCGCGCAAACTCGCAGTCGTCAATGAGTCCGTCGTCGAACCCGTGGTAGTCATCTCCCACATTCTCCTCAGTCAGAACCTGGATCATGTTAGCGGATGGACATACGTAGTCTACGAGGCATACTTCGAGCTCCTCTTTCAAAGATTCCTTGAGGATCGTCATGTCCATACGGAGCTTTAGTCTTGCCAGTGTTCGTGCTTCTCGATTGGCAGGATCGAGAGCGTGGATGGCTTTGTTACAAGCTTCGATATAGTCATGCAATGCGTTTATGTCCCTTTCGCGAGAGCCCGTAAAGATGTATTCCTCGACCCAGGCTTTCTCTACCAATCGCTCAGGCTCGTCGTCAACATCTTCTTCTTTAAGCCTCTCGGGTAGAGAGAAGCCTGAGGATGGCGATCGGTCAAAGACAGCTAGATCCTTGATGCGTACAAATCTCCAGCCTCCCATCTCAACATACTGAGGCGCGAGTGGCTTCCCCACAGCATCCGTACGCTCGCGCAGCTTCTGCTTCTGCCAGAGCACGTATCCGTGAGATGGCGCTGGAGGAGACTGCGTTGGTTCCATCGACAAGCTAGAGTTTTGTCTGACTCCAAAATATGGCCCTACTGTCGGGTATCGAAACACGAGAAATAGATGTTATGGATTTGCAGCTCCGAGGCCTGAGTCAAGTCAGGTTGTGATCGAACGAGTACGGCTTGGAGTTGGCTTGCACTTGAATATATCCAGAAATTTCATGTCAACGTATTCGCAACTTCTTGCAGGGGCTGTGTAGATGATTTTGTTCTCCAGGCAGGTGATGTGCAGAGTACAAGGGATCAGAGCGTCAGTACCATCGAACATGCGAAACGCATCTAACCTTGAGTCCTGCTACACGAGCAATCATCCTCCCCGTGTGCTAAACTTTGTAACTCCAGTCCTTTACGCTCCTCTCTCTCATGGATGTGTAGAACCCAATGCTCGCTATAAAAAGGCACAGTGATCTCTAAATCCAAGATGGATCAAGAGAGAGCATTAGAGAACACTGTATCTCGATGAATCCTATCCAGTCCTTGAGAATGTTGTGCATTTTGATAGGTAGCCCGCGTCATAAAAATTTGCACACGGGGAGGATGGACCAATGGTGTCTGGACGAGGATTTGAAGACTGTCATCTTCGTGTGTCCATATGGGGTCTTGTAGACGGCAAACAATCAAGAAATTGAGGGATTGTGTCGTGATAGGTCTGAGCCTTAGGTTCTGTGGCGCACAGAATGAAGAATCTATTCTTGCTACAAGTGTGATACCTCGCGGTGAATTTGGAAGCAATGCAACGTGATGCGTATTCGGAGATGGAGAGCAAGTCGTGTATTGCGTGGTACAGTTTCTGATTTGTTGTTTCTAGGACAGATCGAGAGACAGCAAGAGCACGAGTACTGTTCGGCCAAGCTCAGGAGTCACCAACTGCTTGGATCCAAGCCTGGTCGATACAGGTCTTCTGGTAAGAGGATCGATTGGTGGTAGAGTGAACGCCAAGAGTGAAGACAAAGTCGGCGGAGGAAGCGGCAAAATCCGAGGATTCAATGCGGGAGTTCGAGATGGCGGACCAACGTCGCAAGCACCAGCTCCAGCAGACATCTCGCAATTGACGAACCCACTCGCTCGACCGCCGCTCATCATGAACTCCTTCCGTGTCGCCCGCGCCGCTCTGCGCGTCCGCCCTACCGCCTTCGCCGCTCCTCTTGCCCGTAGAGGCTACGCCGATGTTGCCTCAGACAAGATCCAGCTGTCTCTGTCCCTTCCTCACCAAGTACGCTCGCTCCGCTCTGCTCCGTCTATACCCCTCGCCCGATCAATTCCTGGTCAAAAAGAGAACAGAGAATGATGGACTTTTGCTAACACATGCTCGCTCTACAGGCCGTCTACAAGTCGCAGGATGTGTACGAACCCCCACAATTTTCCCTGATAGCGCCATCAGATATCGCCGAGCACGACTAATCTTTACACTCTACAGTGTTCAAGTCAACATTCCCGCCGAGACTGGTGACATGGGTGTCCTCGCCAGCCACGTTCCCTCCATTGAGCAGCTGAGACCTGGTCTCGTTGAGGTCATCGAGGAGTCCGCTGGCAGCAAGCAGTTCTTCCGTACGTCTCACTTCGCACACCTTGGACCATAAGCACGGAATACGCAGGACATGGAAAGATGTTGGATCTGAGAAGACGGCTGACACATGGAATCATAGTCTCTGGTGGTTTCGCTACCGTCCAGCCCGGCTCCAAGCTCAGCATCAACGCCGTTGAGGGTTTCCCCCTCGAGGACTTCAGCGCTGAGGTATGCATATGCGACAAAAGTCTCGAGTGGTTCGGAAGCTGACAAGATATACAGGCCGTCAGAAACCAGATCGCCGAGGCCCAGAAGATCGCAAGCGGCAGTGGCAGCGAGCAGGACATCGCTGAGGCCAAGATTGAGCTCGAGGTGAGCGATCCACGAACTATCACCAGCCGTGCTCGGACTTGCTAACACAAAACAGGTTTTGAAGAGCCTCCAGGGATTCCTGAAATAAGTGCACTAGCGGTTGTACTTAGGTCGCATCTCTAAAATGTATAGTAAATCGTCTGCTTTGCCCGAGGCTTTGTTCAAATTTTGGCCCGTCGCGCCTTCTCGTCTTGATAACCCATGAGCCTCAACCACCTGCCAGTTTTGACGCAGCTCGAATATGTACACTCTGGCTTTATCTTCGTTCCTACTTCTTGCACAGTCATCCATTCCATCGCTTAACTCATTGTACAGTCTGTCAGCTTCTTCATCATATTCCTACCTATTCAGTATCAATGGTCAATGCAAAGGCGTGGATCGCAGCCCTCGTCTTCAAGCTCAAGCTCAAATCGATGGCCCTCAGTGCCAAACTTAGACGGACCCCAAAGTCAACCCCGGCTCAAACCCCTGCCCCAGCTCCCAACCACTAAGGCCGCATCTACAATCCAGCGTCGTTGGGACGCTCCGGATGTCGTAGCTGGTCGCGTTGCTGATCGGATCCGCACAATCAACAGCCTTCAGCAACTGCCGTCCATAGTACCCAAGAGATCTGAACCTGTTCTTCCGCCGAGCCAACCACCCGTATTGTTCCCAGAAGATGAGTTCCGACGAGCCTCACCATTTCCCCGAAGGGATTCTGCTCAAAGCCCTATCCGACCTGAAACACCCCTCTCGCAATCACATCCCCGCTTGAGCCCTCTGGTTCACTGTCCAATGCCGAAACGATACCAACCACGACTGTCGGCAAATATCGAGAAGGTGGCAGTACCAATCGACGAACAATTGATGTGCTACCGACACGGTCGCAAGCTCAAAATAAGAACAAGTGTACCAGCTGGCATGGACAAAGCTTCCAGTGGTTCGTACATTCCTACCGGCCCTATGATCAGACAACAAGTCGATCCATTGAGTCCGTGGGCTTTTGGAAGACGTCTTGCTAAGACCAGTGGAACAACAGTCTCTCCCGACATCTGTTCCGATTGCCTTGCCGAGCAACGAATTCTGGAGCGTGAAGTCGAATCCAGTACTCGTACTCCCCGAACTCTACCTGTCCAACCATTGAAATCTGCAAGCAGCTCTATATATACCGAACCCGGCACACCTCCTGAGTCTGGCCAGTCATCGAACGTCCTTGTTGGAACAACCATCGACAATCAAACAATCCAAGTGCCCGGGGCCACAGTATCTGACCTACCTCCAGACAAATTTGGCGGTATCGTGGCAACGGATCTCGGCGACATGATTGACGCCATCATTGTCGAGCACAGTGGCAGTCTAGGCAAAGTCATCTCCAACATCCGTAACGGTATGCCAGATAGTGATTGGACCCAGAAGCTCTCACGCGATCTTGCTAAGGTTTCGGAAGCGGTAGCGACTCTCCCAGAAGATGACATTCGACAAGCTCCTGCTTTCTCCCGGAACATCAATGGCCGACGCTCAATCATACTAGATGCTTCGCCTGATGCTCTCCGACGACGAGCAAAGACTATGCCTGAACTGCTTGACTTGGTCGAAGCTGCAACGGAGGAGTTTGGCATTTCAAGCTCGAACGTTCCCAGACGGAAGTTTAGCCTGGACCAAATACGCATGCCAGGCGACTTCCCTCACACCCCGAGCACTCACTCGTCCACAACCATCGACTCACCTGCTGCCCGTCCAGCCATGCAGCCTGCTTCGTCTGCACAGTCTGAAGCATCTATCTCAGCAATCACGCCCCAAGCACTTGAGACAGTGCGCAGATCTGGGCCATCGGTAGCAGCGAACCAGGCCCTCAAGGTGCAGCCTGTCACAACGTCAGTCATAGCAATCGAGCCGTCAACTTCGGAAGCAGATGAAGACGAGGCGACTCTCGTCGAGCATGAACTGTTGCTTCCCAGTGTGAACTCATCTACCAAATCCCAACAAGGTCAAAACACCTCTGGCGAAGCATCGACTGCTCAGCAGCGGAGTCGAATTCCGAAGGCTTCCGCAATACCTTTAGCCAGGCCCTTGTATGCGTCGTCTGACACACCACGCTCAGATCCAGCCGAACTAAATCCCAGTGTGGTAGCCAAGCAATATCAATACCAGCGAACGTTTCAACAGGGTTGGTTGAGAGAAGCAGCTGTAATTGAGAGAGCTCAAAGGCGGAGCAGAAGCAGGAGCAGTGGTGCAAGTCGTGTATGAGAGTTCATGAGTATAGTCTCGATACTTCCTAAGAATCAACCTGTGCCTCCAGTGTGGCTTTTTCGACGGGTAAACTTGCCTCTGCTTCGCGCCAATCGTCTGTACAGCATGGGAGCAGTGCGTAGTAGCGTGTGTGCGCAGGGAGCTGGGGCTGGTGTCTCGGAATACGGTGTCGATGTGTGCAACGCATGCTTCAAGATCGCCTTCGCTGTAAAGATCAACAGCTGTTTTGAGCTCGTCCAGCCACGGCATGGTGAGAATGTGCGGTAGTGTGAGATATTTGACGACGGGGCGAATGTGATTTTGCTGTTGTCAAGATTGAGGCAGTGAAGTGACAGGGAAAGAGCAATCGCGGTTGAAAGGTTTGCTGTGACGCGCAAGAGAAGTGGAAAGTGTATGAAGATTTGGTTTTGCATGTATTTGTAAATCGTTTCCTGTATTTTCGTGCTCGTCTGCTTTTCGCATCCACACCTACAGATTTTCATCTTGTATGTATTCTTTCACCGTCCGTGCGAGGAACAAGAGATGCACGCCTTAGTCACTGACTCTGCGCGAGTCGAAAGCAGCACTCTTCTTCTCGGCGTCATCCCAAGCGATCTGGTCTTCAGACATGCCCTCGGCGCCTTCGGGGATGATGGTACCATCGAGCGCCATCATATCCCTCTCAGCCATCTCCTCGAACCTCAAGCCCATCTGCTTGATGATCTTTTGGTTTTCCGTAGGCCAGATACTGCAGATGGCATAGTAGATGACAAAACTGGTTGTGAAACTCAACATCCAGCCAAGATGGCCCATGTGAAGGGCGACAGTGCCGACGTTGGCGCCCAGACTGCCCACGAAGCCAGGGAATGGAAGAGCGATACCGCAGAGGTAGGCGATGACGGCTTGAATGTTCCAGCCGAATTTGTAGTAGTAGTGTGGGTTCTCCTTGCCGCCGTTGTAGCAGTGGGCAATGAAGATGTTGCCGCGGGTCAGGCAGAAATATTCGCAGACCATGATTGCGACTACCGAGGCCATGAAAAGGCCGTAGCCGGCGAGGAAAGTGGTGAAGACGGAGGCGGAGGCGAGGATCTTCCAAGGGACTATTGTGCTTTTGTTAGCGAATGGTTCGGTCTGAAGCAGGAAACGCATGAGGCTTACCGATAGCGAAACCCAAGCAGGTGACGAGGAACTGTCCACGAGGAATGGTGATGAAGCGAGGGAACAACATGCTGGAGTCTGAGCCGAATGGAATCATGTTGGCAGCGACATTGGTTCCCAACAGACTGACCGACCAGCACCCGGCGGTGAGGAAGACAGCAAAGCGGACATCACTTCTCCAGTATCTGTTCATGATTGCGTCGAGAAGATCCCACTGGTTCCAGAGCGACAGACCCCATGCGTTGTTGATGGCGGCAGTGGACAAGATACCCAGACTGGCAGAGAGTGTGACAGCGAGCGGGTTGGTGATCATCTGCGACCACATGGCACCAGATTTCGTCTTGCTCCATCTGGCAATGTCGGGCTGGTTGGTGATCAGAGTGGCAGTGTTTCCGAGACCAGCATTGACTGCGTTCATGAAGAACCATCCCCATTTTCCAGATGCGCTTACTCCAGCGGCTTCTGAGAGCTTGCTGGTATTTAGCTCGCCGTGGGTGTTGGCCATGCAGAAGATGAAGAGTCCCCACACAGCTGGGATCATGAGCGCCGTCTTGACGTTGAAGAAAGTGCGTAGCTGGTAGGGACGCAGCATAGCCAGAGGGAAATGAGCGAGCCAGAACAAGAAGAAGGCAAGCATGCCTGCAGAGGTGATGCCTTGCGACTTGGGGATGTGATTGGGAATATCGGTGTAGTTGTGTCCGAAAACTGCACGAAGCATGTTGGCGACCAACGAGGCACCTGAGAAGGCTTGCACACCGAACCAGACGCTATCGGACATCTTGATTAGACATATGTGGTTGGAAAATGCCACAAATCGAACTTACACTGCCAAAATTGCTCTAGCACCCACAAAGTAGTAAGATCCCCACATGCCAAAGACACTTCTGGCAATGATTGGATATCCGAGATGGTACACAGAGGAGGCTCGGGAGTTGAAGAGCATGGCGATAGAGCTGATGAACTGGGAGATGAAGATGGCCAGGATGGCCTGCCAGTAGTTGAGGCCAATACCGATCAAACTCGAGCCCAGGGTCCAGTTGCCAAACGACAAGGCGAAGTAGAAGATGACATAGTTGTACCCTGCACCTTGATTAGACATCCGTGTTCGGGATTGTCCAAAGGGGGTACTTACACCTCCAGGTGCGCTTCTCGGGGGGTGTTGGGTCGAGATCAACGTTTGACCAGGTCTGACCCGTCTCTCCGTTCGAATGGCGATCCAGTGCCGTGTCTGGCACAAGAACCCATTGCTTGAAGTTATCCCAGCTCTTGAAGGCGTTGACGGCGTTCTTTTTCTTGTCCATGGCTGAAGCCTTTGCGGTTCGGAAAGTCATGGTTGGACGATGGCTGAGATATATCCAGAGGAGCGGGCGAGGGTGCAGGCGCAAGCCGTCCTTTATCTGTGCAGCGTGCCTTATCTGATAGCGACAGAGATAGCGGCGACGAGACAGAAAGGGAAGGGAAAGCAGGAGGGGAGAAAAATCCGGAGCAACCAAAGACACAAAAAGAACAAGCCTCTCTGGCCTCGGCGGGGTTAGGGCGGAATTTAGTTGTAAATTCAAACAGTGATAAGAGTAGGTACAATTGTACGTGTAGGTTTTAGTTTCGCCGCGGTGTCATGGTTGAGGCTTCTTTTTTCGCCAACCGTGCTGTAAGTTAACCTTGCGCACGCTGCGTGAGGAGAAGGAAAAACTATGGCTCCTCGGCATGACCTCCTACCTAAAACAGTTGGCGCCGAACCTGTCGCGTGCCCTTCTACTTCAAAAGCAGGTAGGATTGGCACCAGAGGATGCAACATCAAAGGCGAATAGACGGCATATTCTCAAAGGCCAACGAGTCGGTCTTCCTGGCTGCAGGGATACATGCGAACTCGAGGGTCTGGACTCACCGATTTCGCATCCAGAAGACTTGGGGCTCACGCCGGCCTCTTCACGGTCCATCTTTTTTGAATGTGCCATGGCCTGTGGGGTTTGACGTCTGGGGGATCTGGGAATCGGGCAGCGGGCAGCGGGCAAGGCTTCAACACTTCTACTGCTTCCAACGTGTTTATTAGGTAGGAGCATACTACACGATAGCACGCTTGAATGAGGAGTGTCAATTGAACGAAGCACTTCATCGTCTCGCTTCCTCTGACATCTCATTACTTGATAATTTGTGCTTGTCGTTATCCTCCCAAGACTCTAGCTTCTCGGCAGCTTGGAAGTGCTAATCGAGAACTCAGAAGCGCCACTGCCGGCCAGGGTCAACCTGTTAACAATATTCGGCGCCGAGGCTCAGTAAGCCGAGGATTGGAATCGGTAGGAGATAAGCCAAACAGCTTCTGTATCCAAGACCAAGGTGCTGCTTGAGCTCTTGAGCATCAGACATATTCAAATACGCAACCATGTCACAGAAGACCATCCTAGTCACCGGCACCAACCCCGGCGGCATCGGTAACTCGCTCGCCCGCGAGTTCCACGCCAAAGGTCTGCGCGTATTTGCGACCGCTAGAAAGACCGACAGCATCAAAGACCTCGCCGATCTGGGAATCGAAACGCTCTCGCTCGAAGTCACCGACCCGCAAAGCATCAAGGCTTTGAAAGAGGAGGTTGCATCGCGCACAAACGGAAAGCTCGACTACCTTGTCAACAATGCTGGTCGCAACTACACTGTTCCTGCCACCGACATTGACTTTGACCAAGTCCAGCTCACATACGAGGTCAATGTCTTTGGTGTTATGCGCATGTGCCAGGCATTCACACCACTGCTGATTGAAGCCAAGGGTACCATTGTCCAGATTGGCAGTCTGGCTGGTGTCATGCCCTACGTCTTTGGCAGTGTATACAACTCGACAAAGGCTGCCCTGCACTCTTACAGCAACACGCTCAGAGTCGAGCTGGAGCCGTTTGATGTCAAGGTCGTCACTGTAGTGACTGGCGGTGTCAAGAGCAATATTGCAAGAAACGACTGGCAGTTGCCCAGAGATTCCATCTACCTGCCCATCGAGCCTGAATACCTGAGACGCACAAAGCACTCACAAGAGGTTGGCATGCCCAACGAAAAATATGCAAAGTCCGTTGTGAGCCAAGTACTCAGCGGTCGTCACAAGAGACAGTTCTGGGAAGGTTCATTCTCGTACATCGTCTGGTTCTTGAACACCTTCATGCCAGCCAAGATCTTCGTAAGTGGTTTGAACAATTGTGCAGAGCTATCACTGAACAGTTGCAAAAGGATTACCTCTTCTGGCGCAACTTTGGCATGTGGAAGCTCAGAGAGGCACACACCAAGAAGCTCGCTTGAACGGTACTACTTCCCCGTGTGCAAAGGGCTGTGACGCCTGTGTAGCTGTGTAGCTGTGTAAATGCACAGTGGTCTTGAGAAAAGAACAGTCTCCATTGAAAGGCGTGATTAAGACGAGTCTCTTTGGATACGTCTCTGATCTTGAAATGATTGTGCATTTCTATAGGGAAGAGTCCACTCAATGCCTTGCGGGAGCGGCAGAATTGCAAACTTTAGCACATAGGAAGCTAGAAGATTGTGCAGGAAGAACGAAGAACTGGAATCTCTTGCGAGAATATGCAGAGCAAGAAGCCAGCAACTTTATGATATACCCAGCGAACGGAGTTGAATCTCATCACAATCGTTAACGCTTATCAAAATATTACACCGAACCATGCATGTAGGTGCTAATGTGCTCAAGTGAACCCAGCAGCAGTCGCTTTCTGTCGGTATTCCTCGAAAGTCGTGGCGTGTCCACCTCGGCTGTTTGCCCTTGCTCTGCGCTCCATGTCGCTCTCCATGGGTTCTTCGCCACGTTTACGATCTTCCCATTCTTCTTCCTCTCTAGCGATCAGAGCGTGGAATCTCGTTTTGCCATCTCTTGTGAAGTACAATGCTGGTGAGTTCCTCTTTGCAACATCCTCGGTCACGGCAATATGCTTAATATCCGAGCCAGGCGCTTCAAACATACTCTCTCCAAGCAGTCTCTCCAGCACAGTGCGGAGACCTCTGGCACCAGTTCCCATTGTGAAGGCAGTCTGCGCAATAGCGTGAAGAGCGGCAGTTGTGATTCTTAGCTCTATCGAAGAGAGCCGGAAGAGTTGTTCGTATTGCTTCAGCAATGAGTTTCGCGGCTCGGTAAGGACCTTGACCAAGGCATCCACGTCCAGCGCGGACAGTGCACAAGAAATAGGTATACGACCGACTAACTCAGGAATCATGCCATATTTTTGTAGATCCTGCGGCTCAACGAGATCCAAGATGTTGTATGTAGCCTTCTTGCTTTTCGAAGAAGGGTCATATGAGTCCTCCTCGGAAGCTGGCGGCATATAGTATGGGAGATGTTTGCGGATCATTTCGTCGTCATCCGTGATGGTTGTCTCCTGAGCTCCGCCATCTTGAGAAGTACTTGATCGTACATTGGCACCAAATCCGATGCCTCCTTTTGCTACACGATCGAGAATGGTCTTGTGCAGACCACTGAATGCGCCTGTGCATATGAAGAGAATATTGCTTGTATTCACATTGAAGACCTCGCTCTTGCCTGGTGCCTGACCCATGCCTCCGGCCGCGCCCCCACTGCTCAGCGGGCTGTTTGTAAGGGGCCCGCTTGGGTGTTGATTGTTGTTGCGATTCGAGTTGTTCCCTCTTTCTTGCTTCGCTTGGATCTGTAGTGTGGTGCCCTCGATGATTTTGAGCAAAGCCTGCTGCACACCTTCTCCGCCGACGTCTTTCCCATGTGACACCTTGGCCGTTGCGATCTTGTCGATCTCGTCAAGACAGATGATGCCATGTTCGGCCTTCTCTACGTCGTAGTTTGCGGCGGCCAGCAACCGTTGTACACATACATCTGCATCCTCACCGATATAGCCTGCTTGTGTAAACGGAGTACAGTCTGACATGCTGAAAGGTACGTCGAGTACTCTAGCCAATGTCTTCGCCATGAGGGTTTTGCCAACTCCTGATGGGCCAAGCAGCATGATGTTGGACTTTTCGATGGTCAAGGGAGATGTATCGTCTAGGGAGGAGTGCGACGGAGGGGGAGACGGCGGGACCCAGGCGTGTATCGTGGCGTGATGGCCAGGGAATTCATCTTTCTGCAGTGATTAGCAGGAGATGATGGTGCTAGATCGAGTGGTACCAACCCTCTACCGGATGCCTTGATCTCCTAGCCTGGCGCTCGAGCATCTCTTGTGCTTCCTCATGTTGACGCTGGATCTCTTGGATCCTTTGATAGTGGTTGTAGATGGTTGAGCTGAGGACCTTTTTCGCTCTCTCCTGGCCGACTACAAACTGATCCAGATGCTTCTTGAGAGCACGCGGGGTGATCTTTGGTGCGCCGATGTTAGAGGCTTTCCGCAAAGGACCTTCTGTGTCACCTGGCTCATAGTAGCCAGTGAAGCCTTGGCCTGAAAAGCTAGACCTGAAGTCGGAGGAGCTCGAGAAGAGAGCAGCAGTCGAGTGCAGACTTCGTGTACAGCGATATGCTACCCGGGCGTGGTGAGGACTAGACCCGCTCGATACGGCGAGCATGGTGGGACGAGAGGCGCAACCAGAGGAAGCGATCAAGGAGCAACGAATGCGAGACTGAACAGCCTACCTGAGGATTCGACACAAGACTTCTACAAAGAGCGACGATGGCTGATGATTGACTCGAGGTGGTGATGCATCGACGGCTTCCCCGAACCCCCGCAACTCGAGGAGATAACGGGCGAGAGCAGCTGTGGCTTGGGCCAGCTCCCCATGTGCTCCACCACACTCATCCCACTAAGCTAAAGAGCGGCCGTCCTCGCTATAGAAAGGCACATTGATCTCTAGACGAGGAATGTATCCAGAGAGAGCTTCGATCAGTCTGTATCTCGATGGATGCGGTCCCTCTCTCGAGAGTATTGTGCATTTCTATAGCTAAATGCGGTACAACCCTTTGCGCATGAGGAGGGAGGATTCTGATAGGTCGGTCGGATGCTTGTCCGATGAACTCTGCAGCCTGGGCGGGAAGTATCTATCAACAATAAGTTACGCAAACACCTGTTTCAGCAGCTCAGAAGCTGGAGAATTGGTCGCTGGGGCATACAAGGCTGTTGAAAGGCCAGATGGACGTGGTGGTGGACTTGAACCCCAGCAAGTTCGCGTTGGACAAGAAAGTCAAATGTTGAGCGGCCGCTCATAAAAGTCGGGCCGAAGAGGGGCTAGTTCATGCGGGATAGCATCATAATCTGGAGGGAGCTGGAGAAGTGGTGAGCTGCGAGCTGGGGTGAAGGAAGAATGACCATCACTTTGCTGCTTCAAAACCCTGTCGCTGGCTGCTTCCCCTGCAGTTTCGTTCCTTCCCTGTATATATCTCTTGTCTCGGCGACATCTTTCTTAGTCCATTGTCTCTCGCAGAGGAACACATCATGGATCCTATCAACCAATCTTCCGACAACACCATCGCCGGTCACACAGCCGCCGACGACATTCCCAATGACGGCACTGGTATGTTAGACGCTTTCTCTGCCTTGTCAGCTACTGATGCTCAAGTCTCGCAGGCGTCATCAAGCTCGATCCTTGGCTCTCGCCCTTCAAGGACGCCCTGAAGAGCAGATACTCCAAGGCCCAGCAGTGGATCAAGACAATTGACGAGACTGAAGGCGGTCTGGAAAAGTTCAGTCGAGTAAGCCAATCGCGTCCTTTGTTCTGACCACCTCGACTCCTTGCGCTGACACTGTATAACTAGGGCTACGAGACTCTAGGCTTCAACGTCAAGCCCAATGGCGACATAGTATACCGCGAGTGGGCCCAAAGCGCCCTCAGAGCTTACCTCATCGGTGACTTCAGTAAGCCAACACACGGTGTGCGCTGCTTGTCGCTTGAGCTGACGAGTTGCTAGACAACTGGAACCGCGATTCGCACGAGATGAAGAAGAACCAGTATGGCGTCTTCGAGATCATCTTGCCTCAGCAGAACGGCCAGCCCGCCATTCCCCACGATTCAAAGATCAAGGTCTCCTTCGTCGTACCCAACGATCACGCCAGACAAGAGCGCATTCCCGCCTGGATCACCAGAGTCACCCAAGACTTGAACGTCTCTCCCGTCTACGATGCGCGCTTCTGGAACCCTCCCAAGAACGAGCGTTACACCTTCAAGCACCCCAAGCCCCCGAAGCCAAAGAGCGCTCGTATCTACGAGGCCCATGTCGGTATCTCGTCGCCCGACCCAAAGGTCGCCACATACAAAGAGTTCACGCAAAACACACTACCCAGGATTCACCACTTGGGCTACAATGTCATCCAGCTCATGGCTATCATGGAGCACGCATACTACGCCAGTTTTGGCTACCAAATCAACAGCTTCTTCGCTGCAAGCAGTCGCTACGGTCTGCCCGACGAGCTGAAAGAGCTTATCGACACTGCCCACAGTCTGGGTATCACTGTTCTGCTGGACGTTGTTCACAGTCACGCTTCGAAGAATGTGCTTGATGGTCTGAACATGTTCGACGGTAGCGATCACCTTTACTTCCACGAGGGCGCAAGAGGTAGACACGAGCTTTGGGACAGCAGACTGTTCAACTACGGCCATCACGAGGTCCTGCGATTCCTGCTGAGTAACCTTCGCTTCTGGATGGAGGAGTACAACTTTGATGGTTTCCGTTTCGACGGTGTCACCAGCATGCTCTACACCCATCATGGAATTGGTACGGGCTTCTCTGGAGGCTACCACGAGTACTTCGGCCCTGGAGTCGACGAGGATGGCGTTGTCTACCTCATGATTGCCAACGAGATGTTGCACTCGCTCTACCCCGACTCTATCACCATTGCCGAAGATGTCTCAGGCATGCCTGCTCTCTGCTTGGCCCTCTCTCTCGGTGGTATCGGCTTCGACTACAGACTTGCCATGGCCATTCCCGATCTGTACATCAAGTGGCTGAAGGAGAAGGAGGACATTGACTGGGACATGGGCAACCTCGCCTTCACCCTTACAAACAGAAGACATGGTGAAAAGACCATCGCATACGCAGAGTCTCACGACCAGGCTCTGGTTGGTGACAAGACCCTTCTGTTCTGGTTGTGTGACGCCGAGATGTACACCAACATGTCTACTTTGAGCGAGTTCACTCCCGTCATTGAGCGCGGTATGGCTCTGCACAAGATGATCCGACTCATCACCCATGGTCTTGGTGGCGAGGGCTATCTCAACTTTGAAGGCAACGAGTTCGGACATCCCGAATGGCTCGACTTCCCTCGTGAGGGTAACGGCAACAGCTTCCACTACGCTCGCCGTCAATTCAACCTCGTTGATGACAAGCTGCTCCGCTACCACTTCTTGAACGACTTCGACAGCAAGATGCAGTGGACCGAGGAGAAGTATGGCTGGTTGCACTCCGATCAGGCATACATATCCCTGAAGAACGAGAACGACAAGGTCATTGTCTTCGAGCGTGCCGGCCTGCTCTGGATCTTCAACTTCCACCCTACAAACAGTTTCACCGACTACCGCGTTGGTGTCGAGCAAGGAGGTACTTACCGTATCGTCCTGAACTCCGATAGCAAGTCATTTGGCGGTCTGGGCCGTGTCGACGAGAGCACCCGCTTCTTCACCACCGACTTTGCCTGGAACGACAGAAAGAACTTCCTCCAGGTCTACATCCCCACGAGATCAGCTATTGTAAGTTTGAATTCACAGCTCTGTATGGATGACCAATTACTAACAACATTCCAGGTTCTTGCTCTCGAATCCACTTTGTAATTCAGCGTCTGATCTTGTTTGCTTTCTATGATATCTAATCCCCACGGAATGATGAGATGAGGGAACGACTCGACTTGTAGATTGTATCTTCCTGGTTCTTGCCGAACATACACAAAACATACATTACCAATGTCTTTACTGGCTGCCAATTGTGCTTTCCCCAATATCTCGATTCTGCATGTGCTTCCTCTTCAGTGTTCTCTGCCACTCGCAGGTGTTTGATGAAATCAATCATGTCCGCACCAAGCATTGGCACTAGAGGATCGTCTACATCGCACTTGCTCGTCAGTACCAGAGCCTTTTGGAGTCGGGATATTTTGACTGACGCTCGAGCCATATTCTATCTATAGCCGCTTTAGCTCATCTGGGAGAGCGCCAGACTGAAGTCAACTTCTGTCCTTCTTGCACCTTGCAAGAGTATTCTGGAGGCACTGTGTTCGATCCACAGAAGCGGCATTGATCTTTTGTTTTTGCTCTAGCGGTCCTCATAGTATCGTGCACTTGCCTCGAGAACCGTTCAATGATGGCTACACTTTTTTCTTTTTGCAAGTGGCGGGTGTGGGCCGTGCTGAGAATATTCGAAATCGTGGATGTTGAAGGTAGGACCCTGTCTTTACAGTGCAGAGTCGATGCGGCGGCGACGTGCTCAGCAAGTGACTTCTCAGGCGATGACTCACGGTAGCTGACTATCAAGTGTGTGATCTGTGATCTTTCAGATAGCTTCAGGCGTGGTGTGGGACAGAATGTCTGTTTTCTGTGAATAGGTTGATTTTAGTGATGAAATTGGGTGGGAGAGCATCCAGAACGCGAGCTTACTGTTTGACACAAAAGGAATTGGGACTACAATATTGACGGTAAATCATAGTCGAACATTTGGAACCGGAGGACTGCATTCATTCCAAGAGCACACAATAGGATCAAACACGTCTTAGTACAGGGGGAAATGATATCAGATGAAAAATTATATTTTGAGATTATATGAGACAACCATCAAGGTCGTATCAAGTAGATTTTAAGAGAACAGGTGAGGCAACAAGATACAGAAACAGAAAACACTAATTTACCTTCCTTACTCAAGGTCAACGCAGATGGGTGTATGTCTTGTAGGGAGTGTGAAATGACCAGCCTCACGACGCACGCTCGTATGGTCTCTCGACATTGAGAAGCATGCGTCTTTGGTGATCAGATAACGAGGGCCCTGGTACTCAGCTTCAGCGGTCCAACGATGGTGCATAGCTTTGAGCTTGTTGCCGACATCAATCCATTGGGCTGCGTATTTGGGGTTAGTTTTGTAGAGATCGGGAAGAATAGAAGTCAACCATTTGGCGAAGCTGTGATAATAAGCATCGACGTAAGCAGGGGCGAAGAAGTCACTAAGACCTCCCAGGTTTGATGAAAGTCTCGAGAGAGCCGTACGACGACGCACATTTCGAATGAAAGCGTTGGATCGAACGTAGTCAAGAGCCTTTTTTGGAGGACATTTGGTCAACGATGGTGGATGAAAGTCAGCAAGACCTCCCATTGTGGGCGTACGCTCATAACCATAGCCGTGGCAAACATCATCCCACCTAATCAACTCCATTATGTCACACTCGCTGTAAGTCAGACGGCCGGAGATGAGCATATTGCGTTTCGCAGTCAGGACATTGATTCTGCTTTTGTGAACGGCACGAACACGAAGCATGTGTTGAAAGCCAGCGGGGAAGTGAGACGACCAGGTCATGGCTGCGCAGATTTTTGCATCATTGTCGGTAGTATTACGAGCATGTTTCTGGAGCTGCAAATACTGGTCAACAAGTTTGGTTGAAAGGAAGGGAAACTCGGCGATCCACTTACCGAGAGAGGTATCAAGATAATCAATCTCGAGCTCGAGCAGCTCGATGAAATCCTTCAGACCCTCAGCAGCGGCGGCATCAGAGTCGATGAAACGATAGATAGAGGCCAGTGTAAACAATTTATGTTCGATGTTGTGTGGACTAGTGGCGTCGAGGATGGGCTTCAGGTATTCGGGGTGAAGAGAGTCGACAAGGCATGGGTTGTTTTCGGCCCAGTTGTTGAACTCTGTGAACCAGATGTCCTCATCAAGGCAGGATCTTTGAGGGATAGAAGGCATTGTTTTGTGGTTGTTCTAGTAGAGTATCTGTGTTGTTAGTATCTGTTGCTGTTCTGTTGCTGGAAAACACTCTGCGTGGGTGCTTGTTTATATGCAAAAGTTCGAGAGGACACAATGTGATTGTCTCTTTGTTATGATCTCTTTGATGCGCGACAGTGTCAAAGAGAGTTGTACCCAGCTCCTCCTGGCACAAAGAACGGGTTCGATGACCTTTGTTGAAGAGGACAAGGAACCGCTTTCAGTGCGCAGACAATGGAATTGTTGATATTCCAGCAGAGCCAGAGGCTTTCTGTGTATGATACAGCCCCTCCTCGTACGTAAAAGGTTGTAATGTGTGAATAGAGATGCACAATAGACTTAGTGGAGAGCAAGTGTCCAAAGAGAGCCGATAGCATGACGACTCTCAATGGACGCTTCCTGTCTGCTAAAAGAACCGTGCATTTATATAGTGAGCAGTTCGCTCAACGCCTTCGTGGAAGGAGCGAGGGAGTTGCAAGCTTTAGCACATGGGAACAACCGTGTTCCTGCTTGGACGCCGCTTGAAGGAAGATGTATGCGTGCAACTGCTAGTTTCGCATGCTCGCAGGAAGTGAATTGGTAAGAGCACTCTCGAGGCCGAGGAATAGGATTGCGTAGATATGTCGGCATCGTGCCTGTGTGTTGTCTGCGACGAAGAATTCGGGCTGGACGCGTCGAAGCAGGAATGCGCTGCTCGAAGGATCGACGGTCTAAGAGCTCGAGAGAGATAACGTTGGATGACATTAGAAGCGTGTTATATAGTCGATGCGAGTATTAAAAAGTCCGAGGTCGTAAACAGGAGGCAGGCGCGAGCGGAAGCACATAGCAGAAGCAGGCGCATGGAGAGGTTGATAGACAGAAAGACCGGTCTCGCAGCACAGGAAGGAACAAGTCGGATAGATATTTCCCAAAGGGGTATAGTGTAGCCTCGATCTGGGAGATCTAGACGGGACAGAAAAGCTGGCCACTTTGGAGGCAGAGATGAGCTGGCTGCGTGAACGAAGTAGTCGCAGCCCCAATTGGGAGTGTTGTAGATACATAGAAACAGACCAGAGCTGTAGAAGCGAGTGAAGAAGCTGCTGCGTGGTCTGTCCAGTGAAAAGCGGCGGGCGGTGAAGATTAATGTTCGGCAGGGCAGCTCCTGTGGCCAAGTTGCAAAGTCACGGAATCTCGAGCTCGGTCCTTTCCCGTCCGGCAAGAACTTGAGGTGGCTCTTCGAACTTCAACCTCCCAGCAGACCGACCTCCATCTCCATCACCTCTCCACTCCCATCAATTCCTTCCCGAGACCCGTCAAAATGCTCAGCAGGTACGATCCAAGCTGTCGCCACCAACTTTTGCGACGACAACCCGGCTGACTCGACTGCGCTATCCAGCGGCATTGCCAGGTCATTGAGGGCTTCTGCCCGTCGCCCTGCTACTCTGCAGCGCGCCTTCCAGCCCATCAAGCCTTCGTTCGCTCCCGCCTTGAGCCAGCGCTTCGCCAGCTCTGCCTCCAACACCGATGGCAGAGTCCACCAGGTCATTGGTGCCGTCGTCGACGGTATGAGAAAACCTTTTCCCCACGACGCCGAGCACAAGCGCCACTGCCGCCGCGACCATTGTCGCCGACCGCGCCTCGTAGTCGCCTCATGAACACCCGTACTGACATGCATTTACAGTCAAGTTCGATGGCGAGCAGCTCCCTGCCATTCTCAACGCCGTTACCACCGAGAACGGTGGCCAGAAGCTCGTTCTCGAGGTCGCCGTAAGCTTCGCCGCACTGTCCTCCTGCAACACGCCTTTGTCTAACAAGCTCTAGCAACATTTGGGTGAGAACGTCGTCCGTTGCATTGCCATGGACGGTACTGAGGGTCTCGTCCGTGGCCGCAAGGTCGTCGACACCGGTGCCCCCATCAAGATCCCCGTCGGTCCCGGCTGTCTCGGTCGCATCATGAACGTCACTGGTGACCCCATTGACGAGCGTGGTCCCATCAAGGCCACCAAGCTCGCCCCCATTCACGCCGAAGCCCCCGAGTTCATTGACCAGTCCACCTCTGCCGAGATTCTTGTCACTGGTATCAAGGTTGTCGACCTTCTCGCCCCTTACGCCCGTGGTGGTAAGATTGGTCTTTTCGGTGGTGCCGGTGTCGGCAAGACTGTCTTCATTCAGGAGCTCATTGTACGCTTTCCCGCTCCAGATTCTTTGTCTCGTGATCGCTAACAATTGCCACAGAACAACATCGCCAAGGCTCACGGTGGTTACTCAGTCTTCACTGGTGTCGGTGAGCGTACTCGTGAGGGTAACGATTTGTACCACGAAATGCAGGAGACTGGTGTCATTCAGCTCGACGGCGAGTCCAAGGTCGCCCTTGTCTTCGGTCAGATGAACGAGCCCCCAGGTGCCCGTGCCCGTGTCGCCCTTACTGGTCTTACTGTCGCCGAGTACTTCCGTGACGAGGAGGGTCAGGATGGTAAGTTTGCTCCCGATCGACTGCTACACATCAAACGGCATAGCTAACCTGCTCTCCAGTGCTTCTCTTCATTGACAACATTTTCCGTTTCACCCAGGCCGGTTCCGAGGTGTCTGCCCTTCTCGGTCGTATTCCCTCTGCCGTCGGTTACCAGCCCACTCTCGCCGTCGACATGGGTGGTATGCAAGAGCGTATTACCACCACCCAGAAGGGTTCCATTACCTCGGTCCAGGCTGTCTACGTCCCCGCTGATGATTTGACTGACCCTGCTCCCGCCACCACCTTCGCCCATTTGGACGCCACCACTGTCTTGTCCCGTGGTATCTCTGAGTTGGGTATCTACCCCGCTGTCGACCCTCTGGATTCCAAGTCTCGTATGCTCGACCCCCGTATCGTCGGTCAGGAGCACTACGACACCGCCTCCAAGGTCCAGCAGATGCTCCAGGAGTACAAGTCGCTCCAGGACATCATCGCCATTCTGGGTATGGACGAGTTGTCTGAGGCTGACAAGCTCACCGTCGAGCGTGCCCGTAAGCTCCAGCGTTTCCTGTCGCAGCCCTTCACCGTCGCCCAGGTCTTCACTGGTATCGAGGGTAAGCTCGTCGACCTCAAGGACACCATCAAGTCGTTCAAGGCCATCATGAACGGTGAGGCCGATGACCTTCCCGAGGGTGCCTTCTACATGGTTGGTGACCTCGCCTCAGCACGCGCCAAGGGTGAGAAGATTCTTGCCGAGCTTGAGGGCAAATAGATGTCTCTTTAATGGAGAATGATGAGGAGCTTTCTGGGCAATCAGCCATAGCCATACCCGCGACGAATATCAAAAGATTAAAAGCGACATTTGTAAAAAGGGAGGGGTCGTCTTTTGGCGGATTTGAGGTGAATGGAGATTACCAAAGAGCTTGTGTACTTTAAGAACTGCGATTTCCTCTGTGTCTACACGTACTCGGCCCTCTCCATCCCAGCATTAGCGAAAGTCGATTTGTTTCAAGCACACTGCTTCGTGCTCCCGTTTATGATTCTACTGTGATGGTCAAGAGTAACGTATAGCAATGATGAACCATTTGATATCAGCATGAAACTGTTGCATGGTGGCCGGCTTTGTTGGCAGCGAAGTCTGCCGTTTTGATGAACGGAGAATCTTTGTGTCTCTGGTTGACGAAATCTTCGAACATCGTCATAACGATCTCCCTGTATCCCTTTCCTGGAAACAGTCAGTATGAATGATACAATAAAGGCAGCAGATGATCCCTTACCGCTGATCTCAAGAGCTTCTGTATACTTCGGTCTCATCATCTTGGCAAAGTAACCGAAACGCATATCGTTCTCGGTAAGTTGTCTGATATTCCTGTAGATTGTGAGAAAACGTACTCGAACCAGGGGTGATCAGAGTCATACTTGAGTTCTTTGTCCATGTTGTCGGAGTAGATCTGAGCTGCACGCGTGATGCCATGCTTTTGAGCATCGATCAGATCACCAAACTCTTCCATAGGGATATTGTAAAGCTCCATCATCTCTGTGAAGTTCGTCAGTCGCGCTCAGACCCAACATAAGACAACAACACCATACCTGCCAGACTGCGATGAAGAGCGTCCAAATCACTTTTCATTTTCTTCTCCATGGCAGCCATGTGTGCTCTTTCTTTCGAGAACAATTGCACCCACTTCTGGGCCAAGTAACCGGTGGTTGGTTGCTTTAGCTTTTCGTTCCATTGAATGAGTCCATACGAACTGGAATTGAAAGTGCCTTCTCGTTTTACAACTGCCTGGATAGTGTTCCACGGCAATCCACGGGCTTTCTTGCGCAAGTAATCGTAGCCTGGTTGGGCGATTTCGTCGATGTTGTTGCGGATGGTAACAGCCAACAACTGCACAGCGTCCCTATGCACAGCTCTGAGATAAGTTGAAACAGATTGATCATTGTCCTAAGTGAGTGTCAGTATGTAGAGAAACCGACGATATATTCGCACTTGCCTTTGTGCTCTTCTTCTTGATCCTGTTCAACTCGGCTCCATGGTCTGCGTTTGTTCTGGCAGCCCAGATCGCGGTGGACTTCAGAAAAGCAGTACTATTGTATTGGATATGAGCCATGATGGTCAACCACATATCTTGAGCAGGAATCGCAAGAGCATATCTGCGGAGGTCTGGGATACCCGTCATTGCGGCATCCAGTTGCGCCAAATCTTGACCAGTGCCCGAATCTCTGTATCCTTTCAGCCACATGTAGTGCTCGTTGGATACGAAGAAGACAGGGCCGTTGTCTCCCTCCTCGAAGTACTCTGATTTCTTTTGGTAAATCTCGTTCGCAACATCTTGGCTTCTCTCGTTGACCATGAATTTGAGACGGTAGTTTGCGAGATCCCGTTCTTCACGTCGACAGCCTTCCATTTGAGCTGCTTTCAGGTGTTTTTCGATCTTGTCCAATTTCTTCGCAGCGTGTGGATACTGATCCTTGAAGGAATCAGACCTCATGTTATCGTCGATCTTGGTACAGATCATTGCCAGACGACCTTTGAAACGATCGCCAAATTCGCAGAGAATAGAGTCCACACCCAAGTCCGAGACACATCGCGTAATAGGAACCACAATCCAGAGATGGTCGCTGGATCGCATATAGTTTTTGCTCGCCTTGACGCGAACTCTGCTGATGTCAGTCAAACCTAGAGTAGTCAGCATACAGTAGCGGAGTGAAGAAACGATACTATATACCTGGCATATCGGCGAAGATCATATTTTCCAAAACCCGAGCACCTCGGATGCCGATGCTATGTACGTCGTCAATATAGATCAAATCCAAGAGAGTAGCACTCGAGACACTTACCAGACCTTGAAGACGAGCGGCCATAGGCGTGCTTCGCGATCCGATACTTTGCTGGAAGTCAAGAAAGGACTTAGAGCCCTTCGGAGATGAATTGCCCGGTCGGTCTCGACGACCAAAAGCGAAGAAGCAGCATGCGCAGCGATCAACTCATCACACCACATGCACATCTGGGCAGAGACCTCCAGGCCAGTATCGGTCTCGTGAGCTATGGCGATGTATGACCTCAGCTCTGCACGGTTGTTGAATGATGGCTTGCCGCGGAAAAGATCCAGGAATGTACCCTCCGCAGATTGGGCCTGGGCGTAGAACTCTTTCTTCTCCTCGAACGTCCAATTGGGATCTTTGCGAAAGTGGTAGTGTGTGTACTCATTGAGATGATCATTCAGAAGGTTGCGTCTCTGCTTGGGATTGAGAAACTCGACTTTAGCGGCAAATCTCATCTTCTGCCCAGGAAATTCGCTCGTGAACTCAGTTATGGCGCATGTGCATGCGCTACCATAATTACCCTGGGATCATCGTCAGTCTTTGTCTCTCGAGAGAGAACCATTTGGTGAGTACCTCTCGGGCGATGTGTGGCACATCAAGAATAGAGTTGATCAATGAGCTTTTCCCTGGGAAAATGTCAACACAGTTATCACAACTTTGCTTGAACGTAATACCTGAACCAGCGTCACCCACGAGGGCAACAACGATTTTCTTCAGCTCGGGAAACCTTTGACACGAGATGGCTTCAGCGTGCAATTTGGCAATATCATCCCCTTCGTGACAGACTTTCGAGAGTTGATCCGTGACATTGACAGCAAAGTCTGTGATACAAGCTTGAAGCTTTTTGACGTCTGGGTGATAGACTGCGCATGGAGGATATTCTTCATGGTCTTCTGACCATAGAATCTCGCCCTGCTCAGGCTCATCATCGGCCTCCTCAGCATCTTCATCATCACTTGTATCACTGAAGCGTGCCTTGAAGTCAGAGTCCGGTGTATCTTCACGGTCGGTATCCTTTGCACGGATGTATCGCTTCTTGTTCTGATGGGTCTCATCATCAGCGTCCCCTTCCCCGAGCGCTCGCTTTCGGGCACCGGGGAAAGTCAGTAAGAACTTTGGGGTATTTAGAGGCATAGATCCTGATGTGTTAGTTGTGATCGAGGCTGTTGAATGTTGGTGGATGGAGTAGAAGAGAACAAAGATGAAGAAGGAAAAGAAGCAGGAGAGGTAAGAGTGGTGGCTCTATATAGGAAGATAGTGTCGTGTTGGAGAGGCGAGGTAGATTCACTGTGATGAGCGATACTAGTGATTCAGGTGAATTGAAGTGGTCAGACTGTGGTGACAGCAGATAGTGCAAGCAAGTGATATGCGTGCAGCTAATGATATGTTGACTTAGCTTGACGATGTATGTGGAAAGGTGTCAGTAAGAGGCTGATAGTGCTTTTGTACCAGAGAATCTGCAGTATCCTGCGCAAGTGACAGTAATGACCTTTCTGACTAGGGACTGAAGCATTTGAAGACATTCGAGTGATACGATGATTGGCTCCGACTGAAGTGGTGTCTCTCTTGGAGCGGAGGACGACAGACATTTCTTGGTGCTTCACTTACAGCGCATGGTTCACGAGACATACTAGAGAATATGTAACTTCAGACTTCACCTGTGGAAAGCTACGAATGATTGTGGTGATTCTCAAGAATGCAAAGAGGTGTCTCAGGCGCGAGCAGCCGAAGTTGGTGGGCGTTCGAGAGCGTTGGAGGGTGACGAAGCCAAGACTCGCGGCTCTGCCGATGACCTCCTAACCGGAGACCAGACACTTTATTGTTCCTGACTTGACCAACCGCAGGAGACGATCCAAGCAGATCTGAAGGCTTGTCAGCCGAGCGACTCTGCATTGGTAAACAATCATGTTTTGCCTACGGACATGGCTTCCAGTCCTCTTCTTCATGTCAGTCCTGCCGATTATGAGCGGCCATCATTGTTGCTGACCAAAACAACAGCTCGAACGTACCACCCCTCTACCTGGTCCTCTTCATCTCGGCCATGTACTATCTGAACCGACCGTGTGTCTACTGCTCGCTGCTCCTCACCGTACTCGTCATCTCCGTTTACGACTTCCACAACAATTGGTTCGAGCCGCAACCCGACTCGTCGTCCTTGTCGCATACTAGAAACTCGACAACGACCGCTCTCGGAGACAACATTGCAGTGGCGTCTTCGGTCATTCAATCGGCAGCCGCCTCCATCGCACACTCTGTGGCCGACGGCTTCTCAAAAAAGACAGGACTCGACCTACAACCACAGATCAGCGTCGCAGAATGGTTGAAAGAGATGCTCGGCAAGAAAGAATGGCGCATACCGTGCATCGATGTTGCCGTAAGGCTCTAGAAGATTGGACTACCACCATCAGACACGTTCGAGGCATGACGATATGAGAAGCATTTCGGGCGTTGGGTCACGCGACAACAAGGCATTTGGGACAAAGGATTATTGCATGTTTGGAGTTCGACACGGGCAGTGTATTAATGCCTTGTACAATAATGAGAGAGGGTTCGATCAACACGAAGACCGATCCGGTTCCGAGCTGTGGGTATTGCTCGCAAAGAAGCGAGTAGACTTCGACATTTATAAGATAACTCTTTCACCAGCAAGTCGAAAATAGTTACAATACGATCCCTTCCATATGCAAAGGTATGTAACGCGCACAGCTATAAAAAGGCACAATGTTTCCGAGAACAGGATCATGTCCGGCGAGATGCGGAGTTCTCTAGGCTCTCCTTGAACATATCTCTGATCTAGAAACCACTGTGCCTTTTTATAGCGAGCATTGCACTCTATGCCTTCGTGAGAAAGAGAAAAGTATGTACGTTACATACATTAGCACACGGGGAGGATTGATTAATGCATGTGGACGAAGCAACTCATCTAGTTTCGATCGGAGCTGCCGGGGAGCACACCCCGCTTCCCAGTCACCCATCCTCTCTTAATTGATACTGTGAAGAACAATCGCTCCTCGAGTATTCCTCCAACGACAGAGGTTGTCGCGCAGATGCAAAAGTCGTCGTTGGTCCGGCGAGGGCTCCACAGCGTGCTGCTGCAGGGCAAGCGCGGGGGAGGGGCAGGCGCAGTCGAGCTCCCGAGCGCGCTCCTTCCTCGTTTGTACTCGTGCAATACCGCAAGCTCACGCCCTATCGGACGCCCTGAAAGCAGACCCAAATTAAACTGCTGCGTGCCTTTGCAGCCGTCGTCCATTCCTTCCTCTCTCAGTACAAACACCCCGTCTAGACATTGTTCAAGCTCTGCTTCGAGCACCTTGTTGAAAATCATGGCCGACAGAGATGTTCTCCCCGACGTGTATGTCTACTGAGCCACGCTTTGTCTTGCAACCCGTGGACTGATGTATTTGTCGCATAGGGTCAAGCCGTCCAACTATGCTATCTCCCTCTTCGATCTCGAGCTCGGCGGTAGCTGGACCTACCAGGGCAAAGTCGACATTGACGTCGAGGTCAAGCAAGAGACCAAAGAGATCACCTTGAACACCCATCAACTCAAGGTCCAGAGCGCTCAAATCTCGTCCGAGCAGGGAAAGACCGAAGGTGCCATCAAGGCCTCAAACATCACCTACGATGAGAAGAACCAGAGGGCAACCTTCCACTTCGACCAGCCAATTCCTCAATCGCACAAGGCCGTCGTCTCGGTCAAGTTCAGCGGTATCATGAACAATGATGCAAGTAGCCGTACCGAGTCCGAGTGAGAGACAATGCTGACCTACCTGTGTTGCTAGATGGCTGGATTCTACCGTTCAAAGTACAAGCCTACCGTCCCTGCCGCCGCATCTGTCCCCAGAGACTCGGAATACCACTACATGTTGTCCACTCAGTTCGAGTCTTGCGATGCTCGTAGAGCCTTCCCTTGCTTCGACGAGCCCAACCTCAAGGCGACTTTCGACTTCGAGATTGAAATTCCAGAGGATCAGACCGCCCTGTCCAACATGCCCGAGAAGGAAGTCAAGAAGGGCAACAAATCTGGCACCAAGGTCGTTTCTTTCGACCGTACCCCTGTCATGAGCACCTATCTCCTGGCTTGGGCGTTTGGAGACTTTGAATACATCGAGGACTTCACCAGACGCAAGTACAACGGCAAGAATCTCCCCGTCAGAGTCTACACCACCAGAGGTCTCAAAGACCAAGGCAAGCTGGCCCTCGAGAGTGCTCACCAGGTTGTCGACTACTTCTCCGAAATCTTCCGTATCGAGTATCCTCTTCCCAAGGTCGACCTTCTGGCCGTTCATGAGTTTGTATGTCGCCTAGTCTTCTCCCTCCCCACGTGCAAAAGTGTTGTCACACGGGCCTGTGAAAATGCACAGTTCTTTTAGCGACTAGGAGGCATCCATCGAGAGTTGCAATGTCATCGGCTCTCTATGGCCTTCAGTACCGCATAGAAGGAACTGTGCATTTTGATAGCTCAAGCTCCGCCTGCATGTTGTCATGAAAGCGAAGTGGGAGTGACAGAATCTAGCACGTGGGGAGAACGACAATACAGTCTCGTCCGGATCACGCTGACATGATAACTTTAGTCACATGGCGCCATGGAGAACTGGGGTCTCATTACATACAGGTAAGTTGAACTGAATGATTGTGTACTTGCACATCTGACAGATTTTGTAGAACCACCGCCGTACTCTTCGATGAGAACGCCTCGGACCAGAAGTACAAGAACCGCATTGTCTACGTTGTTGCCCACGAACTTGCTCACCAATGGTTCGGCAACCTTGTGACTATGGATTGGTGGAGTGGTACGTAAGCTGAAGGTACATATACAGCGAGCCACTCATGGACGTCTGGTCGACAGCGATGAGGCGGCATCCAGGACGCCGCCTCATCGCTGTCGAGCTTGACCTGCAAGCTGACTCGTTGCATAAGTATCAGACCTATCTTTCCTTAAAACTCTGCTAATTGCACAATTCAGAGTTGTGGTTAAATGAAGGCTTTGCTACATGGGTAGGTTGGCTTGCTGTCGATCACCTGCACCCCGATTGGTCTGTCTGGTCTCAGTTTGTTACCGAATCCATGCAAACCGCTTTCAGCCTGGATTCCCTAAGAACCTCTCACCCCATCGAGGTACCTGTCAGGAACGCACTGGAGGTTGACCAAATCTTCGACTCCATCAGTTATCTCAAGGGAAGTTCAGTCATCCGTATGTTGGCTTCTCACTTGGGTGTTGAGACTTTCTTGCACGGTGTTGGAGACTACCTCCAGGCCCACAAGTACACAAACGCCACCACCAGTGACCTTTGGTCTGCTCTCAGCAAGGCCAGTGGCAAGGACGTAAACACTTTCATGGATCCCTGGATTCGTAAGATTGGTTTCCCTGTCGTTACCGTGGCAGAAGAGCCTGGTCAGATCAGTATCAAGCAGTCTCGTTTCCTCAGCGGTGGAGATGTCAAGCCTGAGGAAGACGAGACCACATGGTGGATCCCTCTTGGTCTCAAGTCTGGCGCAAACATCTCCGAGGCTGCCAGCGGCTCTCTCACTGCCAAGGAAGACACTATCCGTGACATTGATGACAGCTTCTACAAGCTCAACTCTGAACAGACTGGTTTCTACCGCACAAACTTGCCTCCTCAGAGACTCACACAACTATCAACTCAGCTCGACAAGCTCTCTCCTCAAGACAAAATCGGTCTGATCGGTGACGCTGCAGCTCTTGCTATTTCGGGCGACGCAATTACCGCTGGTGTCCTCTCTTTCTTGGAGGGCTTCACTAAGGAGACAAACTACCTTGTATGGTCCGAAGTTCTGTCGAGTCTCGGAAACATTAGATCTGTCTTTGCAGACGACGAGCAGGTCTCCGAGGGTCTCCGCCAGTACACACTGCGTCTCGTTAGCGACGCTACTGACAAGATTGGTTGGGACTTCGCTCCTAACGAGGACTACTTGACCGGTCAGCTCCGTGCTCTTCTGCTTGCCTCCGCTGGTATGGCAGGCCATGAGGGTGTTGTCGCTGAGGCCAAGAAGCGATTCACTGCTTACACTGAGGGCGGCGACAAGAAGGCTATCCACCCTAGTTTGCGTACTGCTACCTACAAGATCGCCGTCAAGGAGGGAGGTAAGGCCGCCTACGACGCTGTCATGAAAGAGTACCTCAACACAACCTCTGTTGATGGCAAGGAGATTGCTCTCCAAGGTCTTGGTAGAGTTCAGTCCACTGAGTTGGCCCAGGAGTACCTCAAATGGTCTTTCAGCGGCGCCGTCGCCACTCAAGATCTGCACACTCCTTCCAGAGCACTGGCTCTCAACTCAAAGACCAAGCTCGAAGTATGGCACTTCATCAAGGAGAACTGGAGCATGCTGAGAGAGCGTCTTGGCAACAACATGGTCGTTCTCGAGAGATACCTCCGCATGAGTCTTAACAGATTCTCGAGCTTCGAGGTCGAGAAGGATATTGCCGATTTCTTCAAGGACAAGGACAATGCTGGCTACGACCGTGGTCTTGCTGTTGTCAGTGACACGATCAAGGGCAGAGCCAGATACGCACAGCACGATCTTGAGATTATTAGAGAGTGGTTGTCGGCTCACGGTTACATCAAGTAGAGTGGTGGAGTACGCAACACGAAAAGAAGACTACGCACGATGAACGATGTGGATCTCGATCACTGTATGCAAATCCAAGTCAATTTTAAGTTTTTGGGCCCGTCTCGAGTTCTCTTTTTTGTGTGAGGCCACGGCTCATCCAGTGATGAGAATGAAGAATGAATTGGGGTTACTAGAGTACATACTAAAAGGATAACAATTTTTATGATACAGAAGGAAAGAGAGGACAAGGGAGAACGCCAGATGTCAAATGCGGGTTTTGCACAAACAATGCCTGTTGAGACCAAGCTTTCTCTTTTGGAACCTCAAAGCCAGGAGGTTCATGGTGAAATGGCGTCCATCGCGGAGGGTGCTTGTTCCTATTATACTCTCTCGGAGTCGGCAGCATGACCACTAGGGCCAGTAGAAGTGTCTGTGTTAATGTGTCAGCATCCTTCCAAAGAATATTTAGGAAGAGGAAGATGACTTACAGTCGCAAGTAACGAAGCAACGATCAACTTCTGTCAGACCCTCGCAAGTGTACTGGATAGTCTCTGCAATATCGTGGGTGCTGTGCAACTTGGCCTGGTCGCTGAGCAAGATGTCGATTTCAACCCAGATGCCATCGCCAGCATGGTAACTAGTAATGCTCTTGAAGCCATCGACAACAGGTGAGAAACGGTAACAGAGATACAGCAACTTCTTCTGCAACTGCTCGTCGGCGGCCTGGCCAGAGAGTCTAGTGACGTTTTCGAAACAGGTGCCTGCCCAGTCGTAGATGATGAAGAGGGAGAGCACACCGGCGCCTGCGGGGTCCAGCCACCACACGTTCGCCTTGTAACCGATGAATGGGAAGAGAAGAGAGAGCGTGTTGAAGACGACGTCGGTCTTGCAGTCCTGGGCCAGAGCTTGGACTTGTGTTGTCTTGATGGGCAGGCAGCCTAGACCGATGATACCCTTGACGATGACAGTACCCAGCATGGCGCCGATAGCGATGGCAGGGAGTTCCTTTGCTTCGTGAGGAGCATCAGGCATGAGCTTTTCGACCGACTCTTTCAGGATTTGGAGGAAGGAGATGACCATGATGATGGAGAAGACGAGGATACCGAGGGGTTCGAGACGACGGCGTCCGACGGGGAAACGCTTGCGGAGTGCTTTGAGACGCCATTGGACGAGTCTGTTTGTGCTCCAGACGATCAAGGTACACAATAGATCCAGAGCCGAGTCGACCAGGGAGGCGATTAAAGAAAGAGAGGACGAGTAGAAAGCGGCAGCAAGCTTAGCGATCAGAAGCAGGATGTTGGCGATAACGTTGATGTTGATGGCCCACTTAGCCTTCTTCTCTGCCTTTTGCCTGTGCTCCTTGACATCGTCGGGCAGGAAGTCCCAGATGGCGCCGTCGGCATCTTGCAGACCTCCATGGCGCTCCTGTTGACCGTCGCCGTCTGCATCAGGGTTCATGCTGTCGAGGACATCATCGGCCAATGCCTTGACCAGAGCATCGACTTCGGCCCAGTCGTCCAGACGGTTGTTCTGGTCCTCGTAGAACTTCTTGACTTTCTTGTTCTTGATTTCCTTGAGCTCGTCTTTGGACTTTCTGTACTGTTCAATGTCTACACTCTCGACACCTCCCAAGATTTTCTGCTTGAGCTCTTCCCTTCTTCTGTCGTGCAGGGCAGTACGAGCGGCATCCTTGAATCTGAAGAGATTCGGTTTGTTCCTCCCATTCAAGCCGCTTTCGACATCTGCCTGGTCCGGACGACCAGTGCCATTGCTCTTGGTTCTCTCGACACCAAAGCCGGCAACGTTTCTGGAGCCGACCATTTTCTGCTCTAGAGATCCGAAGACTTGTTGTGACTCTGTCAATTGAAAAGCGAATGCTCAATTGGTTTGTTTGGCGATCTCAAAGATGACGTGAGCCGAGGCGATGGTGTGAGATGAGATCTGGGGCAGGGCGATGGATCTGGGGATGCCGTGTCGCTCGTTGTACCGTCTTGTGGCTCCTTGTCTCGTCAGGGTCGAGAGAGGCTTGTAAACAGAATTAGGAGGCTCACACTGTGTATATAGAAACAGAGTTGCTTGTTCAATCTGGGTAAGGAACGCGCGAGCTCCACCGACGAGTCGAAAACCGGTTCCTCGATATCCCAGTTTGGCGACATGACGTCTCGTGTCTGCTCTTCTGAATCGGCGACGGGCCGAGCACCGCTGGGTCATGACGACGACGATGATGCTCCGCGCATGGCAATAAACGCTTCAAACCATCCAGATATAGCTTCCGAGGAGCCGGTTTGTGCATTGCTCTAGCTTGTTGTTCTGCAACAAAGAAACCAAGAAGCAGAAAGAAAACATGACCAGCGTGTACTCAGGAAACAGTGTCGTCAGCTTTGACGACTTACTCGCTCATCTCAAGTCATTGCCCGTCCCGCTGCTTCCGCCTCCAAAACCCCTCGATCCAGCTTTGACCGACAAGATAGCTTCTCTATATCTGCATCCTGCACTCGAAGCTGTCTTACATCTTCTCAACCATGACCTGCCTTCTGCACACTTCCTGGTGCGACACATGCAGTCCGATCCCGCCTTTGAAGCAATGTACCTCCATGGCATCCTCCACCGTATAGAGGGTGACTTCAACAACACCAGAGCCTGGTACTACGATGTATACAACTCCGAGCCCTTCGAGCTAGTATGGGGAAAAGCCACAGAAGACGAAGAGGCCGAGGTCGAGAAGAAGAAAAGCCAAGGTGAAACCAAGATGCCTCCTCAGAAGTCTGCTCGAGACTTTGTAGACAGCCTCGAAAAGCTGTCAAAGGGCCAAGGGGACAAGGAAGCTCTCGCAAAAGAGAGCAGAAGGGAGTTCGATGCTATTCTTGACTGGTGCACCAAGAAGTTTGGGACTGCACAGCACACCGATGCCTCGAAGGCTTGGGTGCAACCGAGCCAGGAGATCAGTCAGAAGGGCCAAGACATGGTCACTGGCAATGATGGCTTTAGGAAGTTCTAAACATGTTCCAGGTAGACGCATCGCAAAAGAATCGCACCTAGCACAACTTCCCATGTTCCATCACACTGTACGATACTCTGACTCTTGAGCGGTCAGCTCACGAGAACGTTTAGACACGGTGAATCGAGATTCAGCAGTCAGCCACCTTCTAATGATAGCTGTATGCGATGAACCAAGAGATCATGGCATGGAGTGAACAGAAAAGGCATGTTTCGTATTTCATTCGCATTTGGCGTCCTATAAGAGAGAAAGTTCATAGTTCTCTCTGCCTCTTTCGAGAGCGGCAATCTTCCCGCGTTCGTAGTGCCAAAGACTCCTTCCCCCCGATGTATAGACACCAAAAAGACAAGAAAGCAGGAATAAAACGAAAAGCATGTCCCTCCGGCCTGGTACATTCATTCGCAGCGTCAACAGGACAAGAAGGGAATTAGATCGCAACCAGAAGAGAAGCAGAAGTGTGGGGGAAAATGAGCGTTCAGACGGAAGAGAGAGCCTCTTTCCGAATAACACGCATGAGGTATGGCGGGATCGTTTACGCCTTCATAACGCCGGGACGAGAGAGGTCACACGACATCTCCCATGGGGAGGTTGGGAGCGTGAGCAGTATTTCCAGGGTATTTCTTTGGGGTTTTCATATCGTGTGCTCTCTGGGGTGGTTCATGGATCGGATGTTGCGAGATATTGCGCATTTAGCAGCACTGGCCGGACTTGGCGTTGCCGTCGGCTGGCTTGGTCAAGGGGACACTGACAGGGGCGCCGCTGCCGGGGCCACTCTCCTTGCCCTCACCTTGATCGAGAGCCTTGCTGGAAACGATGCGGTAGATTTCTGCAGCACATGTGAGATGGAGTTGGGGCAATCAAGCATGGAATTTGTACCTGTGAGGATGTTTTGGAAGGCAAGCTCGACGTTGCTGGCGTCCAGAGCAGAGGTTTCGATGAAGGAGAGGTTGTTCTCGCCTAGTGAAAGGAGGAAGATATTAGCGGGCTTGCGGCGAACGAACAAGTCATATCGGAGGCTTACTGGCAAACTGCTTGGCCTCCTCGGTGGGCACAGCGCGCAAGTGTCTCAGATCGGACTTGTTTCCAACCAGCATGATGACAATGTTACTGTCGGCATGATCTCTCAGCTCCTTGAGCCATCTGGTGACGTTCTCGTATGTCTGGTGCTTGCTGATGTCGTAAACGAGCAGGGCACCGACGGCACCACGGTAGTAAGCCGAGGTAATGGCGCGGTAACGCTCCTGGCCGGCGGTATCCCAGATCTGAGCCTTGATCGTCTTGTTGTCGACCTGGATGCTGCGCGTAGCAAACTCGACACCGATAGTCGACTTTGAATCGAGGTTGAATTCGTTGCGGGTGAAACGGCTCAAGAGGTTGGATTTACCGACACCAGAATCTCCGATCAGGACGACCTTGAAGAGGAACTGACCAAATTGTTAGTGCTGGGATCGCGACAAGAGGAGCGACAGGGAAGAAGCCTTACATCGTACTCGTCGTTGGCCATGGTGGTAATGTGTGGTGGAGTCGGGGGCTGATTGAGGAGGGGCGGGTCTCAGCAAGCGTAGCAGCAGGGAAGGCGAGAGCGGGATTGAGAGTAGTTGTTGGCAATGGAGCGCACAGCTAGAGGGTCGGCGAACACGAACAAGTTACAACAAGCACAAGATGAGAGTTGATGTGGCAGGAGGAGCAAGATCAGCTGTTGTTTGAAACTCCAGGCAGCCCAAGCCCGGCCGCAGCGAGACACGCCAACGCCAACGCTCCTTCCCTTCTTTCCCCCACCGCCAGCCACTTTCGAGGTCTTGGCACCCTCCCACACGTCCGCATTGTCTATCTCTGGAAGTTGCGACTATCAAAACATCACTCTTTCGACTCTTTCAACTTCGTGACTTCTCACTTCTTGAGTCTCACTTCTCAGTTCTCACATTGAATTCTCACTTCGTCACTTGTATTAACCCATCACAAAACTCCACTTTCCAACGTGCTGCCATGAACTTACAACTCGCTCTTCAACATGGCTACTCCTTCTAAATCTCGACCGGTCTTCGATGAAGACGATGACACCGACTCGGTCAACACAGACAGCACCATCGAGAGTGACTTGGAAGCAGAGTACAGCGTCGAGAAGGTTTGCGTCCTGCGTCTTGCCATCTGCTTCCTTACTGACTCGTATCAGATACTTGCGGAGCGAAGATCGGACCAAGGCACCCCACTTTACCTGGTCAAGTGGGAAGGATATGAACTACACAGATCCACATGGGAGCCCCGCGAGAACTTCGTGGATGTTGACTGTCTTGTGAACTGGAAACTTCACAAGCGTGAGATCGACGCTGGTCATGCTAAACCTTTCAAAGTTGCCACTTACGAAGCTGCCCTCAGACGCGATGAAGAGCAACGCGAACGTCGATATGCCAAACGCGCAGAGAAGCGCCGTCTGAGAAAATCTCGAGGACCGACCCCTCGTCGTCGCCTGCTTACTAAAAAGGAACTGACCAAGAAAGGAACTGCAAGAAAGGCACCAACCCGTGATGCAACTAGCACCTCTTCTTCTGCAACCGGGAACTCGCCCAGAGAACAGACCACATCGCTCTTCGAGCCGTCTGGTCCTAGTAAACCTATTGGCCTGAAACGTAAGAGGCTCTCGTCCAACGCACGCTCAACATCCCCAGTGCTGTCGGTAGACGATGTCGCGAACTCACAATATTCTGTTTTCAACGAGCACACAGAAAGTCCACGCAAGTTACCATCGTCACATTCAACGACTGTGCCGAAAAGGCCTCGTGTGGATGATCCCTCGGCGGGAAAAGCAGCAACAAAGCAAAAATCAGGTACATCAGATAAAGGTATGAATATTGTGCACGGCACCACACAGCCCATGCTCCAACAGCTAGGTGCGAAGGCAGCCAACCCTTCATGAATGCCTGCATTGCACAAAGTCAGTAGTTTGGACCCATGGCTTTCAACAATCCAGTTGTTTCCAACAAATAGCTGCAAAGCCTCGCACCATTGTCTGCTCGCAGGTGGCTAGTAGCGTTCGCAAAGCAAAGGCTGCTCTAGACCATTGAAGCTTTTAGATCGTATACTGACTATGCTTGATTCTCAGGTGCAGCAACGACTGTGGTCACATCTAGACCAAAATCATCAAATGCGTCAAGCGTTCAGAAGAAGTCCCAACTAAATGGAGAAGTCAGCCAAGCTGCCGAATCCAAGGAACAAGGCACCGAGCGTGCGCGTAAGGAAGCTATGAGCGGCTCCTCAGATCCTCAGACAACTAAGCTGGCCAAACCACCCACGGCAGCAGGTGTATCTAAGGTGCCGGTCGAGCTCGCCTCACGTCGTGCTTCGGACGTGATAGCCAAACCGACCGAGTCGACTGATGGCCTCAAGAACAAACAGGCGACCGCAACAAACACCGACAAGAGTCAGACGGCAGTGAGTAAAGATCGACCAGAGCCTGCAGCTTCTAGTGTTGCCAAAACCGTGCCCAAACCTGTAGTCAAACCTGCTGGACCATCTCGGAGACCCATAAGTATGTTCATTGAACCAAAGGCCAAGCCCAGACAGCGTCCACGAGTCAACGAATACACGCTCAAAGATTTGACTGATCCTCAATTTGTCAACCTATCTATGCAGAGACGGATGCAGCTTTACAGCCATAACGAACCGCCGCCTGATCCAAATGCTCTAACATTCATCGATCCGAATACCGGAAAGGCCGTAAATAACACAGATGGCACATCGTCTGCGTCGACCGCTTTGCGACTAGACACCAATGTGGCAAGCACTTCCGAGACAGAACGTTCAGCAGTTCTGAGATCCGCGCCTGCCTTAGAGAGTCGTTCTGCCTCGACGTCTGGGTCTCATCGTGAGGCTCCCCAAGGACGCCACACAACCGCAACGCCCTGGTCGGCACAAGGGACTGAACCAAGATTCGCATACCCGTCGGCCAGACCTCACGTGCCTCACATACCCAGAAAACAAATAGCATGTCGATTCTGGATGAAAGGCACGTGTAATCGCAGCGACGAAGGGTGCTACAATGCACACACCTGGACTGGGCAGTTGGCTCCCAAGAGCGCTTCTACGTGCAAGTTCTGGGCAAATGGTAAATGCACATACTCTGACGAGGAGTGTGAGTACTATCACAGCTACGATTTTCCGCGAAACGCCGATGCAGCCAGACAAGAGGGCCTTGAGGATGTCAACGGCTTTCACGCTATGCAACAGGCAAGACATCGCTCAGAAAGTCCCGACCGTTATGGGTTGCGTCAGGACGAAGCGGAAGTGCGCCGTGGCAGAGCGGATCAACTAAGGTCTCGTCCGGATGAACGAACTCCAATCCAGTCACCCTCTCTAACGTCAACTACATCGTTTGAACCTAGAAGAGATCTTCACACGGGACACACTACCATGGCAGGGTTGGCTGATGAGCCGCCCTCTGACGTGGCCCATACGCTCACCTCCACTACTGTAAAGCCAGACATGTCGAACGAGATGGATACTGGTAATCCTGTCGATATCTGCCTTGGCATCAAACCTACCTCTCAACCTACCTGCACCATGGATGTGAAGTTAGTCTTCGATACTAGGGCAAGCCGGATCAAGTTTCTTGATGTAGTTGGCGAGAAATCTTCTCTTGAAAGCTCCGAGATCTGCCGCTCGCGTGACTTCGAATCATATTGGTTTTCTAAAGAGAACGCATGGGCCTCAGGCGGTGTTGTGTACACTCCAGGAGACACTGTGGCCGCTTACCTCGAGGACTTTTTGGTTTTACAATCTTCCTGTTTTGCCATTCGAAACGACAAATTCATCTTTGTTGTATACTCAACCCAGAACCCGGACTGGAAGTTTATGCCTCATCGTGGCCCTGATAGATCTGGCCTACGCTGGTATCTTCAAGCAGCGGTACCTGACACCTTGGAACCGATCATCATCAAGCCTAACAAAAGCTCGTTCATCTCAATGTGTTACGAACACTTGGAATTAAATCCTGAAATTTTGTTTGCTGGGAACAGAGGCAAACACGCTGGAAAAGTTGTGTATCTAGCCTTTCCCAGAGGAACGCCAGAGACCAAGCTTGTTGAAGTTTTCCTGAATGAAGTAGGCGCAAAGTTTGTCTACTCAGAAGACTGCGACCTATGGACTCAGTTCTGTGGCAAGGGTTCGAACGGCAACAGGGTCGTCCTGTTCCACCCTTCGATGAACGCTTTTTGGAAAATACCTGAGTTCTGGAATGTGTTGGCCACAGGAGTCAACATCTTCCAGGTCGGTGTGTCGAAGTCTATCAAACTTCGTCCCGATTCGCCCATCAAGTACAACTGCACCCGCCTATTCCCGAGTGGCACACTGACACTCGTCACGGACGATGTCTTCAAGCACGACCCCGCCCATGCCCTTCAAGTGTTGAAAATCTATGAGGGCTACAAGATGAAGCCTGAGGGTGGACGAACCGACCGTATCTACTGCCGACCTGGTATCTTGGCATGGCTTGCTGAGCTGATTGACGAAGAGCGAGAGACGGGCAACCTTGCCGAAGATTCTCCTCGAGTCAAATGCTGGCAGCTAGTCTGCGAATTGCTGGGCACTCCTGTGGCCGACAACAGCCGCAATCCGTTCCGCTCAGACATGAAACCACCTGCTATGCTATACTCACCCCCGAAGAGCGAGATGCCCGAGTACGGACCTCTGTGGGACGGTAGTGAAGAGGAAGCCACTGATTATCTAGTCAACTGGTTTGCAGGCCATGCCATCGAGGAGTGCGAGAACTACCGCCGCTTCAACGTGCTATACGAGCATCACGGTGCGCTGTCCGCTCAGACACCTGGCCTCATTCATTCCGAAAACCCCAAGGATCCAAAGGAGTGGATGAAGAAATACACGCACATCAAGATCACTACACCGGCCAGATTCATTGTGCAAGTCGAAAACTACGAGAAGTCGAAGCTTGCACATCGTTGATTGAAACCGGGGAGCTGACGATGAGACGATTAATTCGAAGACGGAGAAGTGAGGAACAAGACACCATCCATTGAGGATGATTAGTAACGATTGGAAGAACTATGAGATTTTTGCTGGACGAGCGGAGAGGCAAGACTGATAAGCATATTATCTTTTCGGTTGTTGAGGTAAACAATCCTTTCAGACGGATGAAGTTTGCTTAGATAGCATGAAATCAAGCCGGATCGTTGAGGTAACCTTGTCTACATGTCTACTCTGGCCGGGCAACTGCGATCGAGTGATGCTTGAATGCATGATGAGATGACTACCTCTGTGAAGATTGCTCGATGTCGAGGTAGGTTGCTCCACCTGTATGCGCTCACATTGTACTTTCGATCCGTTCCTGCTTGGGTTCATGAAGAGACGATGCTGTGAGAGGAATAGTGTAAAGTTCCTCGAAGAACACCGCCTCAACTGTCCTTCCGTGGACCACGTCTTTGTTGTCGAAGACAGTCGCGATTCACTCTGGCAGGCTGTAGGAGAGCTGGTCGGATGCGATTGACCCTGGAGCGTGGACGGTGCTGATCATGTCGAGCTTGACGGATAGATAATTGAATCGTTGTCGCGACTAGCCAGAACTCGAATCCTCCTCTCCGCAGCCCGTGTTCTGTGTGTCCACCACATATCCGGTTATTCGTGGAGACATCTGTGGTAAAACGGCAAAGGAGGCCTCAAGCTCTCTTGTGGCCATCATAAACCTCGACATCAAAAGCCTTCTTCACAGCCCAAGAGTGCGCAGAAGCACTATCGGCAAACATTAGCATATGCATCCATCATCGACACCCGCGACAAAGAAGGCACTCACATCAAAGGCCCACCCCTCCAGAACGGCAAGACATTATCCAACCCTCTTCTCCTCCCCGCAATCCTCTCCATGATCTCTCCCTTCTGAAACAACCTCACCTCCTCACCCTTGACCTTTCCATCCTTCTCGGCAGCAAGCATCCACAAGCCCACCGCATCGGCCTGCGCCACAACCCCATCGTCTTTCGCTAACGACACCAACTCTCCACACCCATACCTCCTATCCTCTTCCAAACCCTTGCACGCCGAAGGGCCACCTAGCAACTTTCGAGAGGTGCGGACTGTTGGAACGTAAATGGTCAAAGACCAGAAGCCAGTGTTGCGGAAGACGAGATGACGGATGGTGGCTAGGAAGACGGCGATGGGGAAATTTAGACCCAAAGACAGGTCGCCGCGGAGGGAGTCCATGAAGGTTATCGTCGAGGTGTTTGGGTGGGGGGAGCGGGTTGCGAAGAAGGTGAGGAGGCGGTGAAAGGCGCCTTGTGCCGACATTTCTGTGTTGTTGTCTGGATGAGTCGTAACTTGAGGATATTTTCTTGCGATTGATGCAGGAAGGTGCGATTGATTGAGTGGTGCTGGTTGTTTAGGTATGATGCTCGAAAGATGGGGGAAGGAAGCTTCGACTGTTTATTTTTGACATCATCAAAGTCATGACGACATGGTTGCATCTTACTTCTCTTTGGGTATTCTACAACTATTGCAAACCATCCGCCCGCAGATGCTCTGTACAAAGGGTGGTGGTGGTACACGTTTCTATGCTGCTTGCGACTCTCTCTATACCCACTCCTTGGGCTCCTTGAGGACGCTCAGCATGCGCTCCTCCCTTGAGCCCTTCTCGGGGGCGTGCATGTATTGCCAGCGTGCGGTCAAAGGCAAGCTCATCAGGATACTCTCAACTCTGGCACCGGGTGTGTTCAGGCCGAAGCTGGTTCCCCGATCGTGTACGAGGTTGAACTCGACATAGCGCCCCCTGCGCAGTTGTTGCCAGGCCTTCTCCTTGTCCGTAAAAGGCATGTCCTTTCTCTTCTCAATGATAGGGATGTATGAAGGCAGGAAGGCATCGAGACAAGACTGAGCAAAGGCAAAGATGGACTCTTGGTCCTTCTCAGTCTCGTCGAGGTCATCAAAGAAGATGCCTCCAACACCGCGAGTCTCTCCGCGGTGCGAAACATAAAAGTACTTGTCGCACCACTCCTTGAAACGTTGATAGTAGTCCTTGTCATGGGCATCACAAGCATCTTTGATTGTGCGGTGGAAATGAATGACATCTTCGTCAAACAAGTACGAAGGGGTAAGATCAGTGCCTCCGCCGAACCACCAAGCATTGGGCGAGCCGTCGGCATTTGCAGTCTCAAAGTAGCGATAGTTCAGGTGCACGGTGGGAGCCATGGGGTTGTGGGGGTGCAGCACCATGCTCAGACCGGCGGCAAAGAATTCCAAACTCTCGACATCCGGGTCCAAGGCCTTGTGGTTGACCCTCATCTTGCTGATGGCGGCGCGCGGCAGGGTGCCGTAGACGATGCTGGTGTTGACACCGCCCTTTTCGAAGACGGCACCGTCTTGCAGGACGCAGGTGATGCCGCCGCCGCCGTTGGGGCGGTCCCACTTGTCGACTTGGAAGCGGGTGCCGTCGACTTTCTCAAGCTCGCGGACGATCTCCTCCTGCTTTTGCTTTATGAATTGTTCCATTCTCAGACGCATGGGGGACGTCTGGGTGACGCCGGATTCGCGCTTACTGAGACTATCGCGCTCTGCAATCGATGGCGGTTCGGTGTGCTCTACGTCTCCGGTGGCCTGTGTGGTCGTGTGTCAGCCATGGTCAAGCAATTGGTCTTGTCGCAAAGAGCAACAGTTCATGTACGTCATGATGGGGTTGGGCGTACCATTGAGTAGATCAGGGCACCGACAAAGACGATGCCCACGGCGATGCGGGTCTTGGGAGCGACGACCCTCGAGGGCTGAGGAGAGCCTGGAGGGAGCGGCGGCTTGGTGCCATGGTCGCCAATGGAGCGGACTTGTTGCTTTGTGAATCGGGCGGTACGGGCTTGCCAGTACGGCGCGCGGCTTGCTTGTGCTGCACGGCGGAATGCCGTAGACGCAAATGTGCTCATGCTGGAGGGTCGGAAGACGTGCTGCTGTGTAGGTAAGAAAGGAAGGAAGTGATTGGTATTTTGAAGTCGATTGCGTCTATGCATCATTGGAGCTCTCGTGAACCATCATGCCGGCGCTTGGACCATGTGCATGCCGTGTCAGGGACCATCCCCGGCTCCTCGGTCACTCCACATGATGCCACCCAAGCACCATCTTCTATCTATTGATTCTCTACGTTCAAAACTCTCATGATTGAGGATCAGGCTCTCCGTACGCCACTTCCCATGCGTTAGATGTACCGTTGATGGTCAGATACATCCGTTTGGCCAAGCACAGGTACTCTTTTGCAATTTCTTGCCGAGTCTCGTGCTTCGACAGCAGATACAGCGCATCCACCAGACCCTTACTCGGGATCCCGTTTTTGCAACCCATCGAAACCGATGTCTCCTCCGCCAAGATTCCGTAGCCGCTATCTCGAACGAGACTCATTGCATGCTCGCACGATCTTTCATGATTGCCTACACGACTGTTTGCTTCCATGAGAATCTCCTCTAACTCTCGTAGAGCAACTCTGGGCATCTGTCCCACCTCAAACAAGTGCTCAGGATAGCACTTCTCAAAAGTCGCTACCAGTTCTTGTGCCTTGTTGATCTTGTCTCGCAAGAGGGCTGCGTCGTGCAGATCTGGCAATAGCCTGTGACACCGAATCTCATCGAAAATTGGCTTCCAGTCGACTTCGCAAGCATTCTCGCTGGCGCAAAGCCTGCAGTCGCATTGAAACTTCCAGATCCGATTCAACTCAGCACTGCGTCTCGGTTCTCCAATGTTGGGCGACAGATAGCATGTCGTTATCTCAGTGCCCTTGGCTATTGCTTTGTTTGCTCTCACGATCATCATATCGCCTGTCATACTCCTACTCGTGTTGTTCAAGCAGCTGTGGTTCATGTATGACGCGTGCTGAAAGAGGCCGACTGATTCTCGCTCCTCGTGGGCTGTGTGTCTGGTTGTGCCGTAAGGCTCCTGAGCGTGTCCAGCTTCGAAGCTGTAAACGTTATGATCGATGATCTGCAAAACTTGATAGACATCTATCGCGAGTTGTCCATCGACAAGAAGCGCATCCGTGTCTTTTACGTACGACATACCGCCGTATAGTGTTAATAACTCTTTGGCGTGGGACGTATTGGCAAAGACTTTTTGCACTGCTCGCAGCCATAGTGCAGCAACGCCCTTCCCACAGCCGCCATAGTAGTTGCTGTACTCGACCGCGTACGGGCCGCTTGGAAAATTTAGCGGAGGATGCGAGATCGCGAACGCCTTTTCGCAAAACACAAGCTCACCACACTTGATATCATCTCTTGCATACAGTCCGCGCCCATGATCCTCCGAATCTCGAACCTCCGTCTTGTTGACGAAAGTAGCATGATCGGCAAAGGTCTGCTGGCTCAGCATGGCTGCGTAATCATACGCTCCTGTACTCTCTTCACGTAGTCTCTCTTGAGTTCTGTGAAGTCGCCGCAAGCCCTGGGTGCCATTCGGACAGGTGGTAAGGAATCTTCGAAAGTATTCCTCTGCCAATGCAAACTTGCGTAGCTCGTACGAAGCGCTGCCTGCAAGGTACAACGCATTGCTGCGTTCTGCTTTCGTCTGTGCCTTTGATGCGAAGAGGACGAGCTTTGCATCTTCCAGTGCTAGATCGTAGAGCCCAGCACGCATCGCGGCATCCGCACGACTTTCGTAGATGCATTGCCGTAGGTCTGATGCTCGACTGTCTTCTGGTAGTATCTTTAAGCAATTCGTATAGCTAAAGAAGTTAGTCAGCCCAGATGACGTGGCAGTAGATACATTGACGTACCAGTCCATTGCTTCGGTATGATTGCCTCTGGTCAAAGCGTCGTCGCCTTCAACACGCCACTCCAAAGCCGTCCTCTCGGGTGATACAGAAGGCCCCTGAAACATCTTGGGGTACATCTCGTGCTCAGACTTGAGAACCATGATGTTGGAGGGTTGAACGACTCTGACAACCTTTCTGCCATGATTCATGACAAAGAGGGGTTCCTTGATGGCGAGTACAGTGCCTCGCTTGAGTATGGCTACTGGTGGTGAAGTACTAGGGAAGAAGACTTCCAGATGACTGACGTCTTGAGTGGTATCCTCAACGACATTCATTCCGGGATAAAGAGTTCCTATCTGAAGAGGCTCTTCGATGGCGCGAACCAATAGCACAGTTCCAGGGTTTCGCGAACGAAGAGAACTCAAGCGGGCCTTGAACCATATGTTAGCTAACACTCGAGAAAGAGAAGGCATGTCCCACCTTTCTCAAACTGGCCAGTGGCTGGAAACAAGGCAAATCTGTATCATCGCGACTTCTGGCGTGCCAGAATGTATGTTTCTCGGCTGCCTGAGTGTGTCAATACCATATGCATACTTCACAGTAAAGCTGCAGGTTGATGTACACATACCATCTCTGAGTGTTCTTGGATGATAGCCTCTCTCTTCTCCTCTAGGAAATGCTGATCCTGTTTCATGTTGATATATAAAGAGTCCTTGGACACCACTTTCCACACAAGGCTGCAAGATACCGTATTAGAGGGAACATATGTGAGAAAGAGCAAAAGTTATGGTATGAGAGATCGTATGAACCGAAGACGATTCGGTCTACGGATACCGCTTAGTATGGCTCCGAAACTGCGTGCGCATCATTTTGAGACAAGTTTGTAGTCACCAGTTTTTCGAGGAGCGTTTGATTCGGATAGTTATCAGGCTCTAGATGAGCACGCAGCTCATCTTGGGTTTCTCTCTGAGCACCACGAATCGAGGGGGAAGGTTCGGCCTACATTGGAGAGGGGAAAAAAACTCCGACGTTGTAGAAGATGTGTATTGTAAAAAAAAAGTGAGTCGGAAAGGATGGGCTGAGATGGAGGCAGTAGGTTCATCTTTGTCGGCCCCACCTTCCAAGCGAGTGATGACCCTGCCCTGTCCACCACCATTTTCCCACGGACTTCCAGTTGTTCGAGAAGAAGCACGGAATGACAAAACTTCTCTACCATTCAGAAGTAGACACGAAATGCAAAATTCAGTCGCTCTACAGAGGTCCTTTTCCAATACACATCCCATCAAATCAGTACTCTTCGAATCCTTCATGAACACTACCTACCATGACCAACCCACCAACAAGCAGAATTTTTGGATACTCAAGGTCTTCGAGAACTCGACAACCAATCTTCCACGCAATTCGGTTCTCTCCTTTTGGCGCAAGGGCCTTCTGAGTCCTCTAAGCAGTAGTCACCAGCAGGAGCATGGCCAAATCCGTCATCTGCTTCATAGCCCAGGCTTTGCATCCAGAAATCGCGTGACATGAGTTCGGCTTCGAGTCTACGAATGATAGTGCAGAACTTTTTTGCCTCTGTTCTCTTGGCAAACAGGATAGTATCCTCCTCCGACTGAGAAAGATAGAACTTTGGTATGGAATCCTGAACCTTCAAGATATTGATTTCTCTACCAGAAAGGATCGGACGGCCCATCCAACGATCAGGCAATGGATCCTCATGTGTGCCGAACCATGATGGTCGCTCGTGTCGTGATTGGGCTTGTTGTCTTTCCACCCTTTCGCGGTCTTCCTCGTCTCTAATTCGCTTTGCTAAGGGGTGGCCCGAACGCAATGGATAGTTGAGACCCAAATTGCTGAAACGTCTCTTCCGTTTGTGACCTGTCATGTTACCATCAGAGCTTTGATTCAGGCTTGTTGTAATCTTCTCAGCGCGACGACGACGAAGTTCATCGTTTCGCATCTTGGGTCCAATCGTAGCTTCAATCATACGGCATCTCTGGCAGTCGAGAAAGCGGCAACCAAGTCCATATGGCATGTCCGGATCTGGTCCATCGCATTGACCTAGTCGTCTGAAACGCCGCATGCGTATGTCGTCGCGGTTCCTTTCGGCTTTCTTGTCATTTTCCATCTCCTTCTCGTACTGACAATCACAGCAGGTTTTGAGGCCACCACAGTCGTCGTTGACGCAATATACACCTTCGTCGTTTGAGATGTCGTCCTCATTGTCCTCAAAACTTGAATCTACCGAGCTGCTGTGGAGCCGTTCTCGACATGCTGAGCAAGCATCAGTATTATTGCAAGATCCGCTTCTGCAAACTCCTGTGTCGTATCGCGACAGGATGTCTTCTATAGCCTGGGCGACCTGGCGCCAACTTGAGCAAGTTATCAATTCGGCGCACATCTGATCACGACCACAATCAGTCTTTCGACCACGAGCATGGCCTTCCAAAGATTCAGATATGGTTGCTGTGCTGCACCAAGAGCAGGTTGAAGCAAGGCATTTTCCCGCTGCAAGCTTATATTTTATGCTTTCCCACTCGTGAGGGTCTGTTTTATTGTGCTGTAGCTTTCTCACAAGCTTCTCGAGATACATGTTGTGTAGGAGTGTGTTGAGACTAGTCAATTCATCTCTGAGACAGGTTATGTCCTTATTACTGATGAGTCCTTCCGACGTCGTCTGGTCGAGGGGCTCGTCGAGGTCTTCAGACTGGCTGTATGGCATCTTAGCATCTTGAATGTGTTTCTCGCACTGTAAACACTTGAAGATATCACCACAAAATCCATCGATGCAATTCTCCCGAATCCGTTGGACGTATGCGTTTTCAAGCTCTTGGATCTGTTGGCGACAGGTGAAACAGTTGGTTAGATCGTTGCAAGTCCTATCGCTGCACTTCGAACCAGTGCCGCAAAGACGATCGAGGGATTGGTATAGTGTTCCAGTTCCGCATGTCGGACAGGTTGGCTCGAGACATTTTCCTGCTTGTATCTGGCGGGCCTTGGCAATCATACTCCAGGGGTCTGAACTGATATCGACGCTGATTCTTCATATCCTTCTGCAGCGCCCTAGCGGCAATTTTCATATTTTTCGCATGAACTAGCTTGCACAGCGCCTTCGTGACTTCTCTCGGATCAGACTCTTGCAGCAACTCTAGAACGCCATCGAGAAGAGGTCCATCATTCTCATCAACCTGTCTGGCCGACGGTTGCGTGAGCGGGTTGTCGTCGTCCTCAAGTCGCCCAATCAAGACGTCCTTGTTGCCAGAGGAAGGGAGCCCACGAGCTTTGAGCAAGGCCTGAAGTTCAGGCTTCTTCATCTTGGTATACTCGGTCATCGTGGTTGTGAAAAGCTTTGTAGTGCGACAGTGAACTGTGCGAGTCAGTGTGGTACCGTAGCAGGGGTTGTTGTCAGAGCTTACTACTGAAATTTGGTGATGATGGATTTGGTCGCAGAAAGTGCAGGGAAAGATTGAAGACTTTGCCAGTGTTGTATATCGCTCAAGATGTGGTAGATACACAAAGGCGCATTTTGTTCCTCAGTAGCGTGCGCACGACGCGCTGAGATTGTCCGGGTAACCAGCCAATATCCGAGAAGTTTGCCATTGACAGTGTGGACGGAAAGACGGCTCGGCGATCTTGAAGCTTGGCCTTCGGTGCGTGAAGAACTGCCCAAGTCTCGAGAACATGGACCTGTATAGGCTTCTGGGACGACCTGATATATAAATATGCGCAAAGATGATGTGTTTATGGTGCGAAGCGGTCGAAAGAGGTCGCAGTCAAGTTTCGGGAAAAGGCCGAGCGGTCTCAAGTCAAAACTCGCGTTGTACTCCAGTGAACTAGTTTTCGTGCAGGACGTATCAGGCTATATGTCGCTACATGCTGAGAATAATGCCTCGACGGATTCAGCTGCAATATTCGATCGCGTTGATATTTGGTTTGGACTGGCCGGGATATGAACAAGGAGCCATGTGTGGCATATGCTGGGCATATGCTGAACACATGTTGAACTTAAGTTGACTCGAGCCTCTCCAAGTGCTTGTTGAGCGTGATGACAGGTTAAGGGTGAATCAAATCCGGTTTGATATCTGGATTGTATCTGTGGTGTAACACTAGTGTACACTGCGTCAGGCTTGGACTGAGCATTGTAACATCGAATTAATCCAAGATTAATTCGAAATTAATTCGGGATATATCTAGAATTAATTCAAGATTAATTCGAGAGTGGACCAGGATCGAACCAGAGTTGAACAGTGGAAGAAGCATGCTCGTAGCATCCTAGAAACATGCTGCACCATGCTTTTACTATAGAAAAACCTCGGTAGTATTGGAAATTTCGTGAAAGTATTGCGAAACTATCGTGGAAGTATTGCGAAAATATCGTGGAACTTCCGGAAGTTCCTACCTACTAGAAGGATCATTATACTGACTGGAAGTCAACAAGTGGTTGTGGTATGGTGAACGAATATGAGATTCATTTCAAAGATGTTCCGCAGATGTTGAAAACATGTTTGGACCATGTTCTAACATTGTCCGAATATTGTCCAAACATTTGTTAACCATTTGACAAGTGCTTGAACATGCCATGAAGTCGTCTGGGGCGGGGATATAATGCTTGCGAGACTGTGATACTTGATTGGCCAGAATTCGAGCTAACGTGATATAGAACGCGCGACGCTCCGTGTTCCAATCGCACAAGAGGCTTTCGCAGGATAGGATGTCTTTTGTTTCCTAGTGGAACAAGATATGAACGTGGTGCGCGTTTGACAGAAATGCATGGTCTTCGTACGGCGGGACTCTGTAAATCTTTCTTAGAATCGATTGAGTGAGTTATGATACATATATCCTCCTCATGTGCAAAGGTTTGCAACGCGTGTAGCTACGAGACTGCACCGGCTGCGATACATCCAGGACTCTCCTTGGATTTGTCTTGGATCCTGAAACCATTGCGCATTGCTATACTGAGAAGTCTTCGTGTGAAGAGTGTGGGAGTCGCCTCAAAGTCTAGCACATAGGGATGGTTGACTACAACTGCGCTGCGTTATAAAGCCTGTTGCGTTCGGTGAGCTCTGCCCCATATACCGCCGATATCCGAAGCACAGAAAAAAAAAATCACGACTAGGGCGTGAAAGATAACAAAAGGCGTAAGGCGTGTGTATAGAAAGGCGTGAGTTTTCAGATAAGAAAATAGATGTAGAGATCAATGCCTGGTCGACGTTCCGGATGTCGGGCTAGATACCAAGCACCATTGACTCATTGTGCTTCTGATTCACGACGCTCCTGTATCGGCGGCGAAAGGCGTTGTCTATACAAATACCTTGTACAACCCCACAGTCTTCTCTCGACATCACTTTTTATCAACACAAGATATTATCTCAATTGAGGCTCAATCATACAAGAAAACTTCCGCCAAGCCAGATAACACTCAAACTTCGCCCCGTCACTTTCCACTGTCCCGAATACGACACTCTTCGAAAGCTCACCACACATCGCCGACATGGGCGCTACAGACATGACACCTCCTGCCTCTGGCACTGCCACTCCCACCGCTAAGTCATTGACCAAGGCCGGCATTGCACACAACCTTGAAGCCAACGCACAAACCGCACAACTCGATGCCTCGAAATTGAAGATCTCTCTGACCAGTGCACCGAGAGATCCCCCTGCCGCTGGCAGCGAGGAGCTCAAGAGGATGCGTACCTGTACGGACCACATGGTGACCGCTCGTTGGACTCTTGAGAATGGATGGGAGGCTCCGGAACTCAAGGCTTATGGTCCCTTGAGCATCATGCCTACTGCTTCCGTTCTTCACTACGCTACTGAATGCTTTGAAGGCGCCAAGCTGTATCACGGAGAGGATGGTAAGTTGCGTTTGTTCCGTATTCGTCGCAACTGCGAGCGTCTGCGCAGAAGTGCTGCCCGCATCTCTCTCCCGGACTTCCCTGCTGAGCAATTGGAGATTCTCATCAAGAAGCTTTGCGCTACTGACGGCCCCAAGTGGCTGCCCAACAAGGGCGGGTTCCTCTACTTGCGCCCTACTTTCATCGGCACAGACCCTGGTCTTGGTGTTCAGGTCCCTAAGGAGGCCCTGCTCTACGTGATCATTGCCGTCTTCCCCGATTGGTCAGATCCTCGCAACTTGCCTGCCCCTTCTGCTGTCAACCCCGATCTCAGCGAGGCTGTCACCAAGGCACAGGGTCTCAAGCTTCTTGCAAGCAAGGAAGACTCCATCCGCGCATGGCCTGGTGGTTTCGGTTACGCAAAGCTCGGTGCCAATTACGGTCCTTCTCTCGTTGGACAAGGCGAGGCTCGCGCTCGTGGCTACGATCAGATCCTGTGGCTGTTCGGCAACAACGCCAGCATCACCGAGGCTGGCGCCAGTAACTTCTTCGTCGTGTGGAAGACCAAGGAGGGTCAGCAGCAGCTTATCACCGCACCTCTCGAAGACAACCTGATCCTCGAGGGTGTCACTCGCGCCAGTGTCCTCCAAATTGCACAGGAGCGTCTCTCCGCCGAGAACGCATCCAAGTACGGCGCCGAGAGTCTCGAGGTCATCGAGCGCAAGTTCACCATGCAGGAGATCCTTGACGCCTACGAGGATGGCCGTCTCGTCGAGGCCTTCGCAGCTGGCACTGCCTTCTTCGTCGCACCCGTCGGTCTCATCGGCTGGAAGCAGCATGAGCTCGAGATCCCTCTTGCCGAAGGCAAGACCGGTGTCTACGCCAAACTCGTCCGTGGCTGGCTTTCAGACATCATGTACGGCAAGGAGCAGCACGAGTGGGGTGTCATCGTCGACGAGGCTTAGTCTGCCCACGATGAGACTCACACACGTTCGTTCTTCGTATCTGCATTGTTCGAGGTCGTCCTCGCTTTGCCAATTGTTGTTGCGATCGAGCTCAAGTTCGGCATCCATCATTGTCTCGTAGCATTTTCCGGTGTGGACTTTGCTGAGTTGGAACTGGCTCATGGTATCACCATCTCTTTGATGTTTTCTATCATCGGCGCTTTGTTGGGCCGTCTTTCACATCGAGACGTTCTCCTCTGTCAAGGGCTGGTCATCGTTCTTACAGGTCTATGGAGATGATCAGGCGTATTTGGGACACGGAGTTATACAGCGCATGGCTTGCAGGGCGAAGCAGGTCTTGCAGGAGACGAAACAATGTTTGACGACAAGGAGGAAAATGCTTGCTTGCTTGCTTTAGACAAAAGTATCGCCACGAGGAGACCTGCTAGCTATGAATAATCATCTCCTTCTATGCATAATGTTCCATCGGCTGTGCCCATGCATCGTCAATCATACTCTCCTCGAGCAATTCATCTTCAATACGTCCCAATTCCATCTTTTCCAGCTCTTTGGCGAAAAAATCTTGCTCTTCCACAACCAACTTCTTCTCCACGCCCATTTTGTCAGGGTAATTACGCACATTCCACCAGTGGGTGAGACTGCGCAGTGATTGCTCAAGAGGCAACGCTTCCTCTACAGTACCGTCCACATCTCCAGGGCCCGCACCGCCCATGCCGCCACCACCGCCGGATAGCCAATCATCGCGCAACTCGGAAGGGACGCTGAGCCAAACCGCCGTGATGATCTTCATGTTGCTCTGACGCCATTTGCGACCGCAGTAGGGCACTTGAGTTTTGAAGAGCTTGAGCGTGTAGTACCTCATGATATCAACGGGCACTCGCAGCGACTTCTTTAGCACGTTGGATGACTTATAGGACACCAAGAGCAGAGAACGATGCGCTTTGCGGCGAGTGATCTTCTGTAATACGCGCAAGTAATTGATGTATGTGAAAGTGTTTCGGTAGGAATAGGATTGGATGGGCGCAGGTGGAGGCGCTTGAGTCAAGTATCCAAGTTCGTCGACTTCTGGTGGGTGAGTGGTGTAGTCTGGTGGGATTGAGCTGGCGGAAACCTCTGAAATTGCTTCTGACTCTCTGCGGAACTTGATAGGCGGAGGCATCGCCTCGTCTTCGGACCCTACTGCTTCATCGACCGCCACGAAGTCGGGCAAGATTGGGTTTCTCGAGTTCGCGCGACAGAAGTTGAAGAAATCGAGTTCCGGTCTGTCGAGCATGAAGTGGCAGGCGCGGCCGATGTCTTGCCATTGCCATATTCGTAGCACTGCGATTATGTACCCCGAATCCAGAAGTAATTGGTTGAGATATTCAAAGCGAAGAATGTGCGATAGCTTGAACCATTTTAGCAATAGCAGCAAGATGGACGACACAGCTTTGCCGGTAATTTCTGTGGATCGAGAAGCATCAACCTGTTCCGCAGATATCGATATACCGTCAGGGACATGCCCGTTCTCGAAAGCCTGAGCTTGTGGATTGGCGGTTGTATCTGCATAGACTCTCGCCATGCCTTTCAGCAACACAAAGACAACAGACTGCATCTGCGGCAAAACATCGCGATAGAAATTTCCAACCGCTTCCAAAATTTTGTCGTTCTCTGACAGCGGTTCTTGGTTTTTTGGCTGTTCTGTCTCTTCCGCCGCATCTTCATGCTCGGTTGTGGAAAAACCGTTTTCCTGGGTTTCGTAAAGATCGAGCTTCTCTACGTCAAAATCAGCGGACCACCCTCTCTCAAACTTCATGTAGTCAATTCTGGTATCCCAAAGCTGCTTCATTGCTCTAGTGGCCCTCATGCGTTTGGAGAATAAGTCGGCGGCTTCAAGAATGGAAGCTGGAACATCACTTCCTCTCCATTTCCTGCCTGCAAGAGCGTCTTGCAACTCCGTAGAACCTTTGCCACCTAGGTCATTGCTTGATTCATCGAGCGGTGGATAGAGGAAAGGGAACATCTGGTTGGTCTGGTAATTCTGTTTTTTGGTACCTTTGCCTCCTGGACCAGCTGGGGAAGGCGGAGGCGACGGTGCTGGGGTGGCTATATGCACCGCTTGATGCAAGATGGAAGAGCCGTGGACACCGGTTCCTGTCGATGCGGTATGGTCATTACTGTCGATTTTTGTCTGTCTGTGACGAAGCGGAGGCAAGATGGTGTTATTCTCAGGCTCGAATGCAAACAATGGAGGCGGTGGTTGATAGGCAGGATACTTTGAGGTAATCTCTTGTCTGAAGAGATGGTAGTCTAGTGGGGAAGCGGTGATAAGCGGATGGCCGCGCTCGTCTTTCTCGCCGACATTCTCCTGGAACGAAGACTTGACCTTGTCGGCTGTCTCGACGCCACCGAAAGAGATCAAGATAGTCTTCCATAGCAACAAAAAAACTTTTGTTTGTGGGACAGGAGCGAATTCGTCCCATCTCATCTGGGCGATCATGTTCGTACATGTGATCAACAGATCAGGTTTGATCAAGGCAAGCTCTCTATGCAACACATGGGCGTCGGGCGTACCCTCAGAGATGCGGCTCAGCTCGACAAACAGATAGATGAGAGTCAGGGTGCACCAGACATCGATGCTCTCATCACCCTCAGCGTACTTTGAGTTAGAGGTATCCTCATTCTGAGCCGAAGCAGTAAGGTCTCTCTCGCAAACAGATTTCATGAGATCGTAGACCAATGATACAGCGCCTTGCTGTGAGAGCATGCAGAGAGTGTTGATCATTATCTGCATCTGAAATGTTGCACCAGCATAATTCGGGAGACCAGCCGTGACTTGTGGTTGATTGGAACCGAGAACAGCAAAGAAGGGGTTGGGAGCCTCTCTGCCAGCAGTTTCTTCCCATGTGCCCAGAGAGATATAGGTCAAGACTTGGAGAGCTTGGTTCTTCTGGTGGGGAGTGCCAAGTTGCAAGTCGTGTAGCAGATTGGCAACAAAGTTCATGCCCAATTGGGGAGAGGCGGTCCAGTCTGGGACAGGCTCTTGGGCAGTGTGTGCCTTCCACGCATGGTCGAAGGCAGCATTGATCTGGCGCAGTTTGGACCTCTCTTTCTCGCTGTATGTAAACCATTCTTCCAGCTCGACAGGAAAGGACTGCGAGTCGTGGTACTCAAAGTCGTAGACAGACGAGAAGGGAACAGGCTGCTGGAGGTGGGCTTGCAGGACGGGGAAACCAGCGCGGAGATTCTTGAGTTGGGCAAGTGTCAGAGAGTCGGGAGGATCCTGGCTGGGGTCCAGCTCAGGCACGGCGGGTGGAGGCTGCTTGGGCGGCGGCGCTGACAAGTCGCGTTTCAACAGCGGTCGCTTAGATGCGTCGTTGTCGTTCGACTGTCGGTCTGCCGGAGGGACGATAGGAGCATCCTCGAGGTTCAGGCTCGCAGCGGTATCCTCGGCGGGTGTGATTATGCTGTCGCTCTCTTCTTCAGGAGCCTTGACCTGAGGGTTTTCGACTTCGTCCATGATGGTTGCTGACTAGAACATGCGCTTTGTTCCAGATCGTGTGGGTCATGAGGTCGTAGCCATGGTCTGAAGCAGTCTCTGGCGATCGGTGCAGCGTCCTTGCCGGCAATAAGGCGCGTTTGTTGTGTCTAGAGGGTTGGTCTTTCACATGCACACCTTCTGTGGCTGCAAACTGTGGCTGCAGACTGTGGCTGAATCTCTCCATCGCTCTTGCCCAAATGTTGAAACAGACTGTCCAAAGTCCGTCATCTTTCCTCCGCTTTTCTCACAGCCTAGCAACCACCGCTGTCTGACACCATGGTCCATGTGGCCAATTCCCTTTGTGATTTCTCATCTGCCGCTGCATGCCGTCCAACCGATCCATCAGATCCCTGACACCTGCCTTGACGTGCAGACATCGGGTCGAGCCTCAATCTCATCGTCCGAACCACCTCCCTCGTCTAATGAACTTGAAACAGAGACCCGCCGCCTGTGCAAACTCCTCTGCATTAGACCCAATGTACCCATAGCCGCGTACCTCATCCCGTCCCTGTCCATGTCTTCCTCAACAAGTATAAAATATCTCCTCAGGTTGGTCATTGAAGCCTTGTTCTCTCCCACTGCACCTCATTCTCTTCATCCACTCTCTCTTTGATACATTCAAAACACAGACAGCAGGTTCTGTCATATCATTCATTCCAAGATGCTTTTCTCCATCTCTACCCTCGCCGCCATCTCGGCCTTTGCCTCTGCTGCTCTTGGTGCTGCTCTGCCCGTCTCAGCCAACCCCAACAGTATCGCCAAGCGCGCTCTGTCTGGCCAGGCCACTTTCTACGGTGGTAACACCTCAGGTGGACAGTGCTCCTTCACTCAGTACACTCTTCCCTCTGGAGTGTACGGAACTGCTCTCTCTGACTCCAACTGGAGCAATGCATATGAATGCGGAGCCTGTGTCGCCGTGACTGGACCTAACGGCAAGACCATCACCGCAATGATTACCGATCAGTGCCCTGGATGTGGTACCAACCACCTCGATCTCTACGAGGACGCTTTCCCCAACTTGGCCCCGAAGAGCGCTGGTGTCATTAACGTCAGCTGGAACTACGTCGCTTGCCCTATCACCACTCCTCTTTCCATCCACATGAAGTCCGGTGTCTCCCAGTACTGGTTCTCTGCTCAAGTCGTCAACGCTAAGCTCCGCACCTCCAAGCTCGAGGTCAGCATCGACTCCGGCAAGACCTGGAAGGCTGCTACCAGAACCACTTACAACTTCTTTGAGATATCGAGTGGTTCTGGAGCATCGACGGCATGGATCAGAGTCACCAGTGAAAAGGGCGACACCGTGACCGTTAAGAACGTGTCCCAGACTGGTGATGTCAGAGTTACTGCCGCTGCCAACTACGCTTAAACACCCGGCTTCTGGACCGCGCGAGTCTCATTTGGTTATCTCCCGGCTCGCTTCGTCGTATAGTAGCAACCTAGACAGTTTGGCGATGAACAGAAAAGCTTCCTTTGAGCACAGCCTCGATTATCAATGCTTGTTGGATTTGACAAATGATCTACCGTGTATAACACTTCGGCCCGACAATACTATATGTCCTTTGCTTTGCATTGTTGTTCTTGATGTGCGCAATCCTTCTTTCATGAAAAGCCTCGGCGAATCTTTACCAATAGCCATACCCAGTGGACCAAGTGGCTAACGCGACACGCATCGAAACCAAGTTGGGGGAAACCAGATTGAGAGAAATCAGGGTGAGAGACACCATCGTAGTCCCATAGAGCTAGGTCTTCTTGCCCACCGGTGCTTTTCTCTACGCCCCATACATCCATACAGAATCGACTGCAACACAAGCACTCACGTCTCAAGCTTTGAAGTCGTGTTGGTATCATGTGGTCCTGGAGCGTCTTGAGCGTCAAATCGGTTACCAAATTGACTGCCCGGTATTATTTTCTCATGATGGCGCGGTTGCAACCTCTCGTAGTGCGCTCTGTGCGAAGTGCCTCGAAGACCATACTTCGTGAGCCGGGTACTCCAAAGGTCAGAGGTAATTGAGAGTGTGTTCGTAGACTTCGGCGATGTGAATTCGACCATGCATAGTGGGTTTGACCAAATGACGGTAGATGGATCATTTGAACAAATCAGCGCCAGTAGTGCTTGAGTGCAGACCAGCACCCCAGGATCCGGAGTTCTTTACTCTCCAGCCTTCGCCAGCTTTACCAACCCAGCCGCCAACAGCTATCACGACAGCACTAGAGTCCTCGTTGGGCACGCGAACGTAGACGTCGTTGCCGGACAGCTTGAGAATATCGATGGGCATAGCAGTTCCATGCAAGCCAAGAAATTGGGATAGAGCAGCACGGAGGTGCAGGTGCGCAGTCAAGGCGTCCAATTGATAATTTGGCGAATTCGTGATTAGGGAGAGATGAAGGTATGACCATTGTGGATTGCGAATGGTAAATTGAGTAACAGTCGACGATGTCTTTTCAGAGCGTTTTCGTTTTACTGCAGTGTGAGAATCTACGTCGGTCATCTCGACGTTCGGCGAGACCTCTGCTTCTTTTTCGTTTGACATGATGGCGATTTTTTTTGGTTAAATTGGGAGTCGGATGTGTGGTGGATTTGCATGTGAAGAGATGCAAACCACGCCAAGACATTGAATCCAGTTGCATCATCTTTGTTGCGCTCGCCTTTGTCCTTCTTGACTCCTCACGTCTACATGTCGAAACCACCAACATGACGACGCCTTCGTCGCAAGCGCTAGCTAAGCGCAATGCCGACACTCAACTCATGCCGCCTCCGCCGCCGACCAAGCGCATCAAACGCCCGTCGCGAGTAATCGACGAGGATGTCTACACCGACGCCCTTTCGCACATCATCGCCCGCGACTACTTCCCTGGATTGCTCGAGAGTCAAGCACAGCAGGAGTATCTGGAGGCCTTGGAATCGAACAATAACGACTGGATCCGAGATGCTGGCCGCAAACTACACCAAGCCATGACTCCCGGTCCTCGAGCGAGGAGAGGCACCTCTCTGGCACCTTCGGCAACTCCGCGTGGCTGGCAGGGCGCTACCCCTATGAGGACACCCTCCGTCGCTCCTTCAGTGGCTTCTAGTAGCGCCGAATCCTCGAAGCCGCCGATAGACACTTCGCTCTCACTAGGCGAATTCCAAGCCAAATACACGTCTGAAGACAATGAATCTTTCAACTCCCTGCTTGACCGTCAGAATCAGAAGCGTGCTGAAAAGTACGCTTTCTTTTACAATGGGAACAAGCTGCCGTCTAAGCAACAGCTGGCCCAGCAGAAGCTTCTCACGAGTGCGCCCTCATCATCAACGGCCCTCGTAACTCGCCCTTCGCAAAACCTTGACGATCGCTCTGCTTCTTTCGACTCCTTTCCGAGCCGCCAAGGGCCGCGTAACACTTTGATGTTTGCGCCAGAAGGCGTCGAGGACACACACGAGACACAGTTCGATCGTGCTCAGGCCGCCTCGGTCGCTGCTCCTAAATCTGTCTCCTACGCCTCCACACGCATGCCCTTGACTCTCTCTGACGAATCATCTATCCCACCTTCACCTTCCATGTCTGCGATTGATGCTGCCATTGCTGGTCGGCCACGCCCGTCTTCGACAGATGCAGGTTATTCCGGTGCCGAGACACCCCGAGTCAAAGGGTACGCATTCGTCGATGCCGAGCCGCTACCCCACGAGATGGATCCTCCAAAAGGTGTTCCTGTGTCGGACGCCGAAGCAGATGCTGAAGAACGTGCATCTGCCATGGCTCTGTTACCTGCAGCTGATCCCGAAGCTGCCAACAATCCTTTCAAGTTGCAAGCTCAAAGCAAGCGAGAGGAGATACATCACAGACTCGTCGAAAGGTCAAACATGCAAAGGAGGAAGCCTACAGCCGGAGGCAGGCTAAGTGCATTGAAGGGACAGGATGGACGGACGCCGACACCCAAGTTCACCAGCAGCCCCGCAATAGGTCGCCAAACCCCCGGAGCAAACATGACACCAGCCGCACGTCTACTGGCTTCGAGGATAGGAGGTCGTACGCCTGGAAGGACCGACACACTCTTTGGCAGCCAACAAACTGGCGACAGATCTAGTCGGGTGTGGACCCCAACACCACGAGTCAAGAAGTCGATGGGATGAATTTACGAATCACGAATCATGAACAAGACATAGAAGAAGTCGGTATACATTGTAATAGAAGTGCTTACAGTGGCATGACAGGACGAACTAATGTTTGACCGTCCAACAAGCGGGACCTTTTGAGTTTCCCGGTCGAGTTTCCCGTCGGTAAAGTTTTGGCGATCATCTGTATCATCCTTCGTGAATCGTGAGCTGTAAAGCACCACCGCTTCTTTTCTGTCTCCAGTCATGAGACTCTGTGTGTACGTAAAAGTAACCGGAAGCTGATGTTTGTTGCTAGTCTACTCGTACGATGCTCCGACTTCAAGGATGCCCGTCGGTTGAGCCTTCCTTAGCGGGCAAGGGCTGAGGGGTCCGGATCTGATAAGGGTCCGCCTATCGCTGCGGTCGCGGCGAAGACTGAGTCGAGCGACAGATACCAGAGTGTGGTACAATAATTGCAGGGTCCTCTGTTCCTTCCCTCCTTCCTCTACCTCGCTCCTTTGCCTTATCTCTGCTTGTCCTTTGACCGCTGCCGTTCGACAATTTGTCCGAGTTCGAGATAGCACCCCCGATTCGACTCCGCAACTTCCCCACAATTGACAAGGCGAATAAACAGAACACTCGAGTCCGACGAGTCGATTGAAACCTGTCTTGTTGATCAATCGCTCAGCACACAATGGCTTCTGTCCTTCGTAGTACGAGCCGTCTGACGGCTCCCTCGCTCCGTCGTGCTGCTATTCGTCCTACACTCCGAGCTACAAGCCGTGCTCTGGCTACTCAGACAGTATGATCAATTTCCATGCCTCACCTACTCAGAAGTGCCTTCCATTGACTAGTCATGTTCCAGGACCGCAAGCAAGCTACGGCAGCAACGGCAACTGCGTCGGTACCAGATGCCTTCAACCAACCCTTCTTCCCCGACGAGCCTCAGGGCCCTATGGTGCGAACCGCCATTCCTGGACCTAAGAGCAGGGAAGCTATCAGGCAATTGGACAAAGTATTTGACACACGCAGTCTGAACATGATGGGAAACTATCAAGACAGCTTCGGCAACTACATTGCTGATCTCGACGGCAATGTCTTGCTCGATGTCTATGCTCAAATTGCTTCCATTCCCGTTGGCTATTCGAACCCTTCGCTATTGCTGGCCGCAACATCAAAGGACATGGCTTCGGCCATCATCAACAGACCTGCTTTGGGAAACTTCCCTCAGCATGATTGGGCCAATATTCTCGAGACTGGTATTCTGCGTGTCGCACCCAAGGGCTGCAACCAAGTCTTCACTGGTCAGTCGGGTAGTGATGCTAACGAGCTCGCTTTCAAGGCTGCCTTCATGTGGAAGAGAGGTCAACAACGTGGTGGCCCCGATGTCGATTTCACCGAAGAGGAGATGCAATCGTCCATGAATAATCAAGCCCCTGGCGCTCCCCAACTCAGTATCATGTCCTTCAAGTCTGGCTTCCACGGCCGCATGTTTGGTTCTCTCTCGACTACTCGCAGCAAACCCATCCATAAGCTCGATATTCCCGCCTTCGACTGGCCTCAAGCACCTTTCCCTATGCTCAAGTACCCACTTGAACAGTTTGCCGAGGAGAACGCTCAAGAGGAGGCCCGTTGTCTCGAGGAGACTGAGCGTCTGATCAAGTCGTGGCACCTGCCTCCGGCTGCTATCATCATCGAACCCGTCCAGTCTGAGGGCGGTGACAACCACGCCTCGCCAGCCTTCTTCCGTGGACTTCGCGAAATTACACGTAGAAACGATGTCCTGATGATTGTCGACGAAGTTCAGACTGGTGTTGGCGCAACTGGAAAGTTCTGGGCCCACGATCACTGGAACCTCGAAGACCCCCCAGACATGGTGACTTTTAGTAAGAAGGCACAGACCGCTGGTTACTACTTCGGCAATGATGAATTGAGACCTAACAAGCCATACCGCCAATTCAACACCTGGATGGGTGACCCGGCTCGTGCCATCCTCTTCCGCGCCATTATCAACGAGATTGAACGTCTCAATCTGGTCCAGAACACCGCCGAGACTGGTGACTACCTATACGCTGGCCTTGAACGCTTGGCTCAAAAGTATCCCGATGAGATTCAGAACCTTCGTGGAAAGGGCCAGGGCACATTCATTGCTTGGGACTCACCACGCCGTGAAGACTTCCTTGCCAAGGCAAAGGGCGTTGGTACGTATTGAGCTTACATCAATTCCATCTAGAGACTATGTATGCTAACATAAAATTTCAGGTATCAACATTGGTGGCAGTGGTGCTCAAGCCATCAGATTGAGACCTATGCTGATTTTCCAGAAGAAGCACGCTGACATTCTGCTCGAGGGTATCGAAAAGGTCTTCCAATCCTGAGGATTGACATTCTGATTCGCTTATGGAGAAATTGTGCCGGTCGTCACCGACAAAAGCGGTCGATTGTCGCTCGTGAATACTTCAAATTCGTAGCTTGACATCTAACGATTTAATGAAACAGAGTTATGCCTACTCTCCACTGTCCAAGATGTCTCGAAATGATGACCGGATCTTGAAACGCCTGCCCCATGCTTGAACTATCCAATATGCTCTGATCTGTATGGCGATCTTTCAGACTTTTATTTAAAAGCTTGTGGACTTTTCTCTTTTGCTGTCTATACTCTCTTTCCCTGGGCGAGCAGATCAGATACTTTGGGTGGTAAGACGAGACTGCTTCGATCGTTACGCTTGAAGAATTCGATCATCAAGTGTGCTGTTTTCTCCGGTACGTCTTCTTGGATAAAGTGACCTGCTTCCGGTATGACCGTGAGTTGAAACTTGCCTGCAGAGAATTGGTCAGTCAATAGTATCTATGGGTGCCAGCAGGGTATAAATGGCTTACCTTGCATCTGACCAACCATCAACTCCTTGTCCAGTCTATCCGTCCCGGCCAAAACCAGTGCCTTTGCAGCCCTTCCCCTCAAAAACAACCCACTCATACCCGTAAACCACTCTTCCCACCACCTCTGGGTGCGTGCCAGATCTGTCCTCCACACCCATCGATCATCCTTCGGAATCAACAGACTGGGCACACTAGCTCTTGCCGACTCGAGGTCTCTGATGGTGCGACTGCGGATATGCCAGTTTATCGCTTGATCCACTGATGCGAACGAGGAAGGTCGTGAGGCGAGGTAGGTTTTCATGTGCAGCAGGGCTTCGATGGCTGAGCCTTCGACCACATCCAATACCGCGAACCCCACTAACTGTGCGCCGAGTGTGCCGTTTGCAGCAATACGCGTCACCACGGCGCCACCAAGGGAATGACCGATAAGCACCGAGGGAGGTAGTGTCTTCCAGCCTTGTCGTTGCTTGACCCCCTCGATCATGGCTAGTGTATCATGCACCAAAGTCTCGATACTAAAGTCCAAGATTTCTTCGTTGGCGGAGGGGGGAGACGCAGAGACGTAAGACCCGTGTTCTCTAGCCTCTAAACTGCAGATACCAGCTCCGGGCATCTCCTTCCTCACCGCCGCAGCAAAACACGCAAAACTCATTCCAGTAGCTCCAGCGCCGTGGTGACAAATAAACAGCGGTCCTTTAGTTGCATCTTTTGGTGGCGTGAGGTAAACATGATATTTAGCATGTTGGGCTGCTGTGTTGACATCCAGAAATAATTCCTGCTCAAAGTATTTGGGCCATGGGTTTGGTGTCGTTGTTGATGGTATTGAAGCAGAATCAGAGGGTCGAAGGGTGTCTACGCTGTCGTTTGTGGATGCTGAGCTGTCGGAGGAGGAGGAAGAATTGCCTTCGTCTGCTGTGGTCAAGGGCATGGCTGGTGGTCGGAGTTGGGTTCCGTTGTGTTGGTTTTTGATGGTCGGGAGGGCGCGTAGGAGATCTGACATTTTTGATATCCTTTCTGAATGGCTGGCTTTGTTTAGTTTGGAAGTTTCTGGTCTCGAGGTAGTGAAAGTCGACGATGAGAAATGTGTTGTTGATTCGAGATGAAACGTCATGGGAGGACGAGCTTCATGGTCAGGGTTACCTTTGCTTGGCTTGGGTGTTTTAACACTGAAACTTCACTCCTTACAGATAGAAACATGTATGTCACGAGATGAACAAAGACTATGATCTAAAGCATGAATCAGAGTGATGGAAGAATGGAAACATGAATTGCCCAACAAAAGGGTATATATATACAATGACGCAAAGAAGAACAGATGACAAGCCCGATAACACAAGAAGAGAAACAAGAAGCAAACACAAAGAATTCTACCTCTTGCTGCTCTTGCGCATCCTCTTCTCCCTCTCGTACTCCTTTGCCTCGTGGCCCTCTTCTCCTTGGATCTCGGCAACCAATCTCTTGTACTTCTTCTCGTACTCTGCATCTCTCTCCTTCTTGTCGCGCAGCTGTTCGCGAGCAATGAAGTTTGCATCCTTGCGCAGCTCGCGCACGGCTCCCTTGCGCTCGCGCTTGTACTCCTTCTTGAGCTTTGCGGCATCGGCGCGTTCGCGATCCGGGTCGTAGTGCTTGTCTGGGTTGAAGTTTTCCTCGAACTTGGGAATCGAAGTGCGGACGGGGAGAGGACGGTGGTGATGGAGTTCGAGGGGGCGGCGGCGTAGGCGGGCTTGTGAGAGCATGATGGAGAAATGTTGGGATGATTTCTTTTGTCCCTTGAGAGCTTGGAGAGATGAGAGGGCGGCGGGAGAGAAGATTTGGCCGAATGCTGATTTGGCGCTCCAGAGATCGGCCATGGCGAGGATGTTATTGACGTGTGGTTGCAGTTCCTTCTCGCTGGGTTGAGGACGGAGTTGCAGAGCCTTGACCGTGTAGCGTACAGCCTCAGGGATGTAGCGCTTGGATAGTGATTGATACTTGATGCAGAGAGCGACGATGAAAGCACCGGTGGCCAAGTTGGACGGCGCAGGAGGAGTCATCTCCAACCATCGTCCCATCAGAGTGATGGCAGGAGTGACTACCTGGTGGAAGTGGTCCGATGTAGGGTAGATGGTGCTGACTGCAGTCAGAATGACCAAGTCACCAGCAGTAAAGACACCGCTCTCGTGCATGGCAGACATGTGTGTACGGAATGCCTTGCCAATGGTGCCGGGATATGTCCTTGACAAAGAGTGCAAGTGGCGGATGAGGGTCTCAATGACAGCAAAGGATTGCTTCTCCTTGGCCATGTATGAGATGTGGTCAACAAGAGCAACAGAGAAGTCTGCAAGCTTCTGCTTGTTGTCTGCCGTCAGCGAAGGGTGGTAGAGAGCACGAATGCGCTGAACGGCGACTGGAATGTCCTCGACAGCCATCTTTCCGAAGATGGCCAGCAAATCTTCGTGAGAACGAGGGCACTCGTAAGTGTATGCAAGTCCAGAAGTCGTGACTGGCGCAGCTGCCTTCTTTTCGCTCTTCTCGTCCTTATCACCCAGGATTCCGCGAACAAACTCGTCCTCCTCGTCTTCTTCATCGGCAGCGGCGGCTCCTTGCTCTATATCCGAATCATCCTCATCTTCGCTCTCCTCGTCGCTGACATCGATTTCAGAGCCGCTGGCAATCAGGTCATCCTCCATCAAGAACTCGTCCTCGTCATCGTGCACGACTGCATCTTTCTTGTCATTGTACTGTTGGGCCGGGAGACCGAATTGAGCAGCATCGTCTCCCATGTCTTCGTCGTCTTCGAAGGCCATTTCGGTGCTAGCCTTCTTCTTGGGTTTCTTTTCCTCGACCTCGGGCTCTTCCTCGGACTCCTCACCTTGCATACGGCGTAGACGCGATGACTCCAGCTCCTTCAGGCGGTAAGCTTCTTCGATGGCCTGCTCCTCCTCGGTCTTTGTGCGTGTAGTAGGGGCGGCTCTCTTGTCCATGGCCATCTGTCTGAGCCTCACGTCGTACTCTCTTTCGGTTTCCTCGCGCGATTTGCTTTGGAGCATGGCCAGACGCTCGGGGTTCATGCCAGCATCCGCAGGCGTCTTGTCAGCCTTTGGTGGGGGCTTGACTCCTTGGAGCAGAGCTAGCATTTCCTGTAATCCATTGTCCAGCTCTTCGCGCAGATCTTCATCGTCTTCCTTGTTCTTTTGTCTTTCGTACTTGTGCATCTTGGACTTTGCAATGACCTCCTTCATGACCTCTGCTTTGGACTTTTTGCGTGCTGGCTTATCGGGGTCCTGTGCTTCGGTGTCGGACACGGCCTCGTCATCGTCTTGCTCTGAACTTGCAGAGGATCTTCGACGCTTCAAGCCACGGTCTGATTCGTCGTCGGAGCCCTCGAGTCCTTCCATGTCGAAGTCGTCTCTGTCGAGATCAAGAGCCTGTCCGCCGTGGGTGAGAGCGGTCTCTACGAAATCGTCGTCGGCTTCCAGATCGAACAGAGAAGCGCCACCCTTCTTGCGCATCTTCTCCTGGGCAAAACGTTGCAGAGCGCGCTCTTCGGGGGTCATGGTGGGGTCGTTCTCGCCGATACGTCTGTCGATGATTCCACCAGTCTTGTTGCGGCGCTGGATCTCGGGCAGCAGTGTAGCGCGACGCTATACGATGTCAGTTTTGATCTTTGAGAGCAAAGCAATGGAGCTTACAGCTTCCTCGCCCATGCTCCTGGTGACACCGGGTCTGAGAACAGCATCTTTCTTGGGATGAGCAGTCAAGGACTGAAACTTGGCGGGGCGGTTGTTTGCCTTGATCTCGAAGGGGTTGAAGCTGTCGCGAATTTGCTGGAGAGCGGCATTGCGCTGGACCCTGCTGTCGGTGGTGCCTTTTCGATCCTGTTGCTTTTGCTTCTTCGATTTTTGAGGACCGGTGACGCCCTGCTCTCGCAGCGACGCCTTGAGACGTTTCAGTTGTGACGGCGGCATGGCTGCGTGGTTGTGTGTAGTGATCGAACAGCTCAGTCCTAACTTTTTTTGCCTTGAATTCGTGAAATGGAAAGTCTGAGAGGCAGGATTTCGCTGACCGCCTTCGGCTCGCGCTTCCGAGTCTCCGCTCCCCAGCGTGAACTCTCTCTGTGTCCGTGCGTCTATCTTGCATACCTACATCCATCAGACATCATGTCTTGGGAAATCCAAGATCGGCATCTTTGGATTGGATTCGGTATGCTGCATCTCAAGAGCATTCTGCTTGCTATCTCAGGAGCTGATCCAACCTAGGTATCTTTCTGTTTGTCGCTGTCAAGGGAGTCGAGAGATGCCTCCAAACTACCATACAACTAAGCGAGATATATGATCCTCAGCATGCAAAGGCTGCTAATGGCACCCAAGCAGAAGATTGTGATATCGTCTATACTATCACTCTATCTTATTGAACCTAATTCTGTTTGTAGCTATAAGTCTCGAAGCTTTGTCAACCTTGGTCACCTCACCAAATCAGGAAATTTCTAATGCGTGAGTACTCTGCACCTTTACCCATGGAATAGAAAGCGCGATCGTCACCTAGTGAGCATGGTAACCTTTCAACTGTTCGATCTACCACTGGTTGTACACATTAATTCGAGCTGCTCGTTCGATACCAAAATGAACGTATTCTAACACAAGCCTCGCATCCAGCGCAACCTCTCTGCTCCTCTCCCGCTTCACCCAGGACCACAAAGCAACTTCTCACCTAACCGAAGACCTCTTTTCTCCCAAACCCAGCGTCCGAACTAGTGCAAAACGTATCCTCGACCTCTTCGACACCTCGGCCATCGACCTCTACCCCCTCAACGACAACACCGTTGCCTCTATCCACGACAAATCCGACCCAACTTATCAAACAATGTGTCGAGCATACTTCAAAGCCGTGCGAAAATACCGTCAAGGTAGATTGCCATGTCTAGTCGACATTGCAGATGCAGTCGAAGAGTCCACGAGGATTGTGCATCACAGAAGTCGACGGGGAGGGCACAGCCATCCACAATCGCATTTTGTGTTTCCCCAGCAGCATGGAGGTACTGCTGAGGCGAGATTTCAACCAGTCTCGCAAAGAGTGGAGTCCTTGGTGGATATGTTGGCCGAACAGGCGGTAGCGACCCGGCCGATGCGGAGGTCTGTTGCTCTGGGGGAAAGCAGCGGTGATACTTCTCCCTTAGTGCATGAGTCGCCAGCGGCTTTGGATGAGCTTCGTGGTGATGCTGATGATGCTGGAGTTTCTCATGCTGCTGGTAGAGCCAGGTTTCAAGCATCTTCCAACCACGAGGCGGAAGTGAGGAGACACAGGAGAGAAGCTATGGTTTTGCATGAAGGTGGTGGTGTTATTGGAAGCCAGGATATCATCCATCCTCGCACAGACGGCCACTCTTAGACCAACAGGATTGTTCTCCGTACTGATTTTATCAAGAAACATTTCTCCACCTTCGTACTTTGGTTCTTTCTCTGCTTGAGGACGCTTCTCTGTCGGCTCTCGATAACCATATTCCTCTTTGGCCTCGACATGATAGAAGCGTTCGCTCGATGATTCTGGATTATTGTTCTATTATCTCAATGTGTCTAGTCACCACCAATGCGAAGAGGATGTCGTATGTCCCAACCTAGATGACCCACCGGAGTAACGCCTATGCTCCAAATTCAAGACGGAAAAATAGCAAACGCGGTCCCTCCTTGTATACGCCGAGAGACCCTAGTTATTTGTACAGAAGGGTTGAATGTCTTATTATGCGCCTACTCGAATGTCATCGACATTTCCTTCTCTCTGCCGAACTCGTCATCGTCGTCAGCCCACGCGTTTCGCTCATAAGACATGGGCGTGTTGTTCGACACTGATCGATTCGACACTGGCATCGTGTTGGACGATTGCAAAGCAGGTCTGATTGGGACCTGCGATGATGTTGGTGAGGCCACAGGCGATCCGTGCGAGGTTTGTCGATCGCCATAGGTTGCTCTAGGCTTCTCGGGGCTCTCGAAAGTCATTGATATCTCTGAGTCATTGTGAGCGCTGTACTCGAATTCATCGTAGTCTTGTTGCTGGGCTCTGTTCGCCCCATTGGGTTGGGCGCTACTGCTCGACGGATCCCGAGCTCCGTCTGAGAAGCCACTAAAGCTCTTGGTCTGCCTAAGACCTGGAGCCGGACTCTTCAACCCATCACCTTTGACGGGAAAGGCTGTGGTGTCGATTTTCATCGGTGGTAGCGTACTCTTGATCTCCTTGATCTCAATGCCTTGAGCAGCAAGTGCAGCGACTTCGTGCTGGAGAGCATCAATGTCGAAAAGTGTTCCTTGGTTTGATCCATCAGCAGATCCCTCCGCCGGTCCTGCCTTGATCTTCTCGTCGTATGTCTCCCACTCCTTCTTCTCGGCATGTTTCTTGTTCCGGCTGAAGAGTGCCTTGAATCCTTTCTTTTCGGGCTTCTTCTCGAGCGCCTTTCTGGCTTCTTCAATCTCGTTGATCAGTTCTCGTTGTCGTTTTTCGTGGTTGTCCGGATCTGGGTCCTCGATTTCAGAGAACTCTTCGCTATCCACAACCCAGCCCACCTCTTTGAGAAGCTTCGGCATAGCTTTACGGTACGCCATGTGGCCTGCGACGGTTTCTGTGACGTTGTAATTTTCAACACCTGGTATATCGACCGAAGTGAGTCCAGCAACCTGCATTATACCTCCTGCGGTAGCACGGAACAAGTAACCCAGAATCCAGTCGTTTGTGGCATATCCATTGACAAATCTTCCAGCCACGACCGACTTTGCTTTGATGTATTCGTCTTTTTTGAACACCACAGGACTGCCGAAGACATAGACATTTTGGACAATACCGAATGCTCCACGATTGGCGAGCTCTCTGAGACAAGCGTAGATGACACGTGACCCCAGAGAGAAGCCTACGAGCGTAACTGGTCGTACACCGAGATTGCGATCGATCAAAGAGTCGGCGAGAATGAGACCAGCCATATCTGCGCGTGCCATCGATACACTCCAGGGGTTGTCGATGAGATACGATAATTTTGTGAGCACAAGCGGCAAAGACATTGCAGACATGAGTGCGGTAAGCAGTGTGCTTCCAAGAATTTGCTGAAGTCCTTGAGTGAGAGCCTGTACTCGTTAGCATAAGATTCCATCGAACAACAGATGTTCGCATACCTCAGTTGCCAGAATGTTGATGGTCTGACCCATGCTTTGCAGCATTTCCGGCTCCCAATGCACACTGTAGATATCGCCCATGATAGGATTGACCGTACTGAAAGGCAGACGGACATCATCGACCTTGCCTGTCATCCAACCAGCCACAGTTACGATCAGGTTGACGCGTTTGTTGTTGTGAAGTGGTCGGTACTCAAAAGTCTTGACTGGACCCGTTCGCCTGTTACTCGCACGAACAGCGATGGTACCTCCAGTCGTTACACCAATGGATGTGATCAAGGCTGCACCACCAACACCTCCGAGGAAGGTACTCGTTCCGGCAACACCGATAGTGGTGAAGCCAGCAGCAAGACCAGCACCAATGACAGGTGCGAGCAGACCAGCACTCAGTCCGATGACAAGACCTCCACCAACAGTGGCCAAGCCCATCATAACCAGTCTTCTATTCCGTGCCATTTTCTGGCGTTTGTCGGTGTGTTCCTCCTCATTCCAGTTTTCCTTGTCTGCTTCTTGTTGCATCTCCAGGGCATCTGTGATGCGCTTCTCGAATCGGCAGATCTCGAGCCAGTCGACCGAGAGAGCGCTCCCGACCAGTTCCAAAAGAGCCCTCGAGCGGCCGTCGTAAATGCTGTCAGCAACCAAGACTAAAAACAAATCACAGAGAACAGTCCATCGGAGGTCAATATCAATACTTTTCGTGTCGGGCAATTCTGATGGATCTTTGACAGAGTAATCCGGCGGTACTTCTTGCTCATACGGTGGAGGTATTGATGGAGTTGGCGGACCGCTAAGAGTGGGGGACTTCAATGATTGAGAGTCTGAGAGATTTGAGGAAGCAGTAGCATCATCTTCTGTCTTTGTGGGATTTTTGACCCTTGCGTTTTGCATGAGAGGACCTGTTAGATCCGCAGGCTCAACTCCGTGTTCGGCCAGCTGTTCTATCATGATCTGCTCTGCAGCATCCAGATCCATGTGACTGTACAACCGAACCATGATCTTCTGGGCCCACATCTGGATGGATTCTATTGCGATATCGAGTTGCTTCTTGGTAGACCGAGTCTTGTCGAGACCCTCGAGGTACTTTGTCATCTGGTACATGGATACTCGTACGAGACCAACGTAAGCTATACGTTGACCCTCTGTCAACAAGTCCTTTGTAGCTTGCATCTGAGACAGAACATCGCGACTGTCGTCTTCGTCCAATGTGTTGTTACCAGCATCAGGCTTGAAGAGGTAGGCAGTATCTTCGTCCAAACTGGTGGCAGACTGGACATCGTCATCGAGCTGTACTCTGGTGTATCCTTTGGCAGCAGCATTGCCATATGCATAGTCCTCTTCCTCGAGTTCGGCGACCTCGCGCGCAACAACTTTACCCCAATCGTCGTACATGGTGTGAGTAGCAAAGGCGGGCATCTCTTGCCAATCGAGTTCATTCTCTTGAGGCTGTTTCTCTCGAGCTGGAGCAGCCGTGACAGCTTGATGAGACCATTCGGATGCGCCAGCGAGGGGTTGTGCGAGTGAGTCCGAGTTTGCGACAATAACGGCTTGTTGAGCCTGGTCGGGGATGACGGGCTCAGATACTGAGGCAGCAGGCTCAGGATCCTCAGTTGGTGACGCGGGTTGCGCAAGGTCATGGTGGGGTACAGCACTTGAATTGGCTATTGTCGCATGTGCAGAAGAGGGGGCCTCGTGGGCTCCTGAGACGCTGCTCGGAGATGCTCGTTCGCTCAGGTGATGATTCGTAGTAGTTGGGGAAGGAGCATCCTGCTTGTCATCTGTGGCGACCGAGGAAGGAGCGTCCTGGTCTGGGTCGTCTTCTTGATCGTATGTCCTTGTCCTGGCAGGCCGGATAGGGAGGCCGAATTCGTCGACGTGGGGAGGGGCAGAAGGTCCGGTACTGGACTGCTGCTGGGGCTGGTCGTCGGGCATTTTCGTGGGCAGTGTTCGCCGGACCGGGCGATGAGGAAAGCACGTCTATGATTCCATGACACGTGCCTGTGGTTGCGAGGGACAAAAGATGAATTGGTTCCTGTCTGAGGGCTTCGGGACCCGCATGGCAACTACGAGTACTGCCCTAGCGCACGCCAATCGCTGCCCGTCAACCCCACAAAGTCAGCCACACAATCAGCCACACCCAACTCTTAAATCTTTTGCTGCCTTTGGCTCTTTTTTTTGTTGTCTATACCATTTTCTGCCACCGTCGTCGCATCCGCTGTCACCCTCTCATCTCGCATCTCTCGAGCCCTGGACCACATTCGACTGTCAATAAAATCGCACAGAGACCCCCATCATGCGCGGCAAACGCTCAAAGCAGTACCGCAAGCTCATGCACCAGTATGAGCTTTCCTTCAACTTCCGTGTCCCCTACCAGGTCTTGATCGATGCCGACATGATCAAGGACACTTTTCGCTTCAAGATGAACCTTCCTCTTTTCCTCGAACGCACTCTCCACGGCCAGGTCAAGCCCAGTATGTCTCGCACTTTTGATTGAGCATCTCGCTTCGCACACCCCAAACTAACATCCGAAAGTGATCACACAATGCTCGATACGCCATCTTTACACCGCCGAAGGTCCCGATGCCGCTGCAAAAAATGCTTGGATCGATACCGCAAAGTCCTTCGAGCGCCGTCGCTGCAACCACCACACTCTCGAGGAACCCTTGTCCACTCTGGAATGTCTAAAGTCTGTCGTCGACCCCAAAGACAGCGGCACAAACAAAAACCGCTACGTCGTCGCCAGTCAGGACCAAAAAGTCAGATCCGCCATGCGCAAAATCACCGGTGTACCGCTCATCTACGTCAACCGAAGTGTCATGATCATGGAACCTATGGCAACACAGACTGAAGAGTTTAGAGAGGCTGAAGAGATGGGCAAGGTCAGAGCTGGCTTGAAGGGCAGAAGAGGTGCCGCTCCCGAGCAGGCTCTGAAGCGCAAGAGAGAGGACGAAGATGATGACGAAGGCGAAGCAAAGGAGGATGCTCCTTCACAAGACACAGACGCTGCCCCGAAGAAGCGAGTAAAGAAGGGTCCCAAGGGCCCCAATCCTCTGAGTGTCAAAAAGTCCAAGAAGCAAACAACGAAAGAGGAGGCAGAGAGACAGGCAATCAGGAAAGCCGCGAAGACGGACCCGCAAGCTGCAGAAAAGGCACTCGGCGCAGATGTTGCTGTCGAGATGGCAGACAATGACGCCTCCGAAGCGGCAGGAAAGAAGAGGCGGCGAAGAAAGCACAAGACTGCTGCTGACTCGGCTGCTGACCAGGCTGACGCTGACGACGCTCCTGCCGTTGCCATGGAGGTCGATGCATGAGTTTGACTATTCATGTTCCTAGAGATACACTAATCATACCTTTTCCAACGTGTAAGGAGGTTTTTCACTTTGCTACGCGTACTGCTCTTCCTCATCACATCATCAGCAACGAGTCTATGACAGTCAAGAAGTACTTTGAACAAGGTAGAGTGTGCATGTTTCATGCTACCCGAATCGATTGAACTAAATACAATTGAAAGATCGCTCACTAGTGTAGTAAAAAAAACATAACGCCCTTGCGCTCAGAGACTGGAGAAATGAACGAGTATTGCACTGGCATAAAGCGGCGTGGATATCATTCCCATTAACGCCCATGCCAAAGAACAGTATATAATTTCTTTTTGTTTCTTTATTGTCCCCTCACCACAACACGAACACGAGCATCATAATGAGCATTGGCAGCGTCAGGGAGACCCGCGAGGATGCGATCGCCGTTGGTAGAGCGCCGCTGCTGAGGTTGGCGGTTGCGTAGATCAGCTGGAAACTCAGGTCTGACGAGTTGAAGCAGTTGGATGCGTTTACTTCTGGCACATCGGCTGGGTCTGCTAGTGTCACATCTGCACACTGTAGCAATCCTGTCAGTCTAGATCTGCAGTGAGAGAATCAGGAGGCTTACGTTGTAGATGGCGGCGCCATGTTGTGCAGTCTCGATAACTTGGATGGTGACATTGTCGCCGATGTTGAATGTAAGGTTGGGCACAAGCGGCACCTGTGGAAGGCAGAAAGAGGCGCCAGGATATTCCGAGTTGGTTGGGCCCGTAATTTGGAAAGGCGGGACCACTGGATGAGACATGTTGGGCGGTGCGACTTCTCCAGGGCCATTGATGCCGATGTTGACGTAGAACATCGCGGTCTTGTGGCCTATTGGGTGTCAGCGCTATTTTGACTCAAAAGGACTGGGCAGACATCTCGCACCTGTGAACCACCCAGGCTGAATAGCAAGTGCGCCGCCAGAGACAGGCCATAGACTTCTATTCGTACTCATCGGCATGCCACCACAAGGATACATCCACTGTTGCCTAAGCCAGAACAACGTCAACGACAGTCGAACACACGGTCTCCTGGCTCACTTACCCATAAGGAAACGTCCTTTGGCCATCGACATAATTCTCGCCTGTGGCCGACATATCGTATTCGGGTCTGGTGCCATTGGTGACGAGATTGTTACCTCGCCATAGAGGATATGTGATTACTGAATGATGATTTAGTAGGAATCATCGTAAGATGCAAACAGCATGTACCGGTGTGCGCCCGAACGAGGTCCAGATGGAGTGTAAGGGCTGCAAGGATTAAGCATAAGGCAAGCATGTCGGAAAGCGATGCAGGATGAATATCTTAGCAGCAAAATTGCCTACAAAGGAAAGAGAGAAACAGCGAGAGGCCTCTGTAAGAGGAGTCACCGATTCATGACTTATCTCATTTGTTCTTACTCTAGGCGCTGTGTGACGGCAATGTAGTTACAGTAGTTGATGAACCTGAGTTGACAGATGCCAGCCATTCAGATCGAAGCGTCGGTGGTCATGCATGGTCGGCCTTCCCGAAACGGGTTAGAACAATGCATGTAAGCGCTGGGTCTTACTCCAGTATCACCTGCAACCTATCCTACCAATTGCTGGCAAGCTACTTAGTGTGATCAAAGAGGCGTAATATGGCCTTCCTTGCAAGACCATGACTGCTTTGCTGACGTTTGGCTATCAGGATGCGTCTGCTGTACGCCATGGCAGATCAGGTCCAGCACCTTCCAGAGGTACAAGTCGTGCAGTCTTTCAATCCAAACGCATGAGAGCATGTTCGAGCTTAGGTTTCCGGGTTCCTGGTTACTCCCTAAATGATTGGGTCGCGTGGTTGCAATTCGTCTTGTTCCCTCTTGTCTACCGGAGTATGCGGCACCGCAAGCGCTGATGCGCACAAATGTTGTTATTTCAGTCATACAAACTGCCGTCATGCTCTTCGAAGTGGAATCGTTTCATCTTATGAGTTTTGACTTCGTCGATCCAACGATTTATTGACCAAGATAGGTTACCTTGAACATGTGCACCGTCCAGTAGGACGAGAATATAATCGCCTCTGCTCCCTCTCAAAGCTTGTCTCGCCTGGCCAAGAACAGTACCTCTCGGTTGTTGCATCTCTTCAAACAGCTTGAGCGTCTGAAGGTGCTCGGACCCGTTTCTTCTATATCAGGCTTGCTCAGTCTTGACGCAATGGATCGCGAGAGTTGCTCCTCGAGTACGGCATCGACGCCTGGGTACATTGGAGCAAGGAAGCTTCCACCGTCGGAGGTGTCCACCATACCACGAGTTATGACTCGTTCGGCACCACTGCTCCCCATGACAGAGACGCAAGCCACTCCATCCTTGTGGTCAGCAGCAACAACGACAAAGGCCCCTGGTCGCCGGACCGCTTCTGGCGTAGAGGAAAGCTTCTCGGACTCCACCTTCCCATCGCCGTGCGCCCCATCAAGAACTGGTACCGGTTCTCCCTCAGAGAGAAAGCTCTCTCTAGCAGCCAGTACACCAACAGCATCACCGCATAGCGATGAGCATATACACATGGTCCCTGCGTACGAGCAATCATACGAACCAGTTCGTCCACCGGTAGTCATTGCCCTGCCAGGAACCATGTCGAGTCGTGCCAGTTTTGGTCAAATGCATGCGGCCAATGGCAAGGGACATGACAAGCGACAACCGAAGAATGGAGCGAAGGAGTCGAAAGAGTCGCCACCACTCGGCCATCGCTTCAACTCAGCAGTCAAAGGCTTTTTTCGAAAAGATCCTATCAATGATTTACAGTTCGAGTATATTGGAGAAAGGCACTGGTCAGAGGATTGATCGGAGGGTCCCACGAGCTCAGAACGCCAGATACCTATGCCTGGCTATATCAAATATGACAGCACCACGTATTCTCGGTTTGAGCAACAAAGTGTGCTGCGAAGCGGCCAGGCTCGATAGAAATCTTGTCAATAACACCATCATAGTCAGCTGCGGGGGCGGGCCTGAAGTCAAGCGTCTGGGAAGTATAAGCCAAGTTTGGACTCGGACCAGATTAAATGCGCTCAAGGTCGTCTGTGAGCCTGGTGGAGTGCCTACATGTATATGAGCTGTGGACATAGTAGCTAGCCAAGCTGACGATATTGTGCATTACCCTTTGGATACATCGTTACTCCATCCTAGTTCATTGTTCGATAATGCGTACCATTACCAAGAGGCCAGCCATGAGTGATGTGCTCGATTTATGTTGACCAACCAGCTCGGGCGATGATGCGTACAGACAAGTGCATATCAGCAGATGCGCCAACGCTGGTGAAGACGATACGACAACGAAGTGCTGGACATGTGGTTTGATGAACAAGGAGCATGTACCGTTAGCGCGGTGGTTGGGCCGCAACACAGCTTCTGCCACGTCGATGGGCGTGGCTGTTCGCCACTCGAGTAGCTGAACAAGAACTGCAAAGCGCAGGACCGAGACAAGAGTGCAATCGCCATAAAGGAGAAAAAGGACTTTCACAGTGCATGGAAACCGGTATTTGGTAAGTGTCGCATGGCAGTCAGCGCGAGGTGTGGGCAAAGTCGTCTTGTGGTCGGCCAGCCCCACTCGGGATCGGCAGAGAGTTGGATGGTTGGCCGCGACAAGAGATTCGGCAGACGGTCCGCTGCACTCGTCCACGAGCGAGCGCTGACTTGCTCCTTCTTGCACTCGACTGAGACTCTGCTGTTCGTCCTGCCAATCGCTAACCTGCAGCTGCCTCTTTAGCGTCCCGAGCGTCCAGTCGTGTCTCTGGCCTGTCTTGCCTTGAATCCCCCGACAGCCCCACGCCTTTTCCTCGTCCGCCCCTGCTTGCCCAAGCAGCCAACAGCTCTTCTCCCACCACCTGACCTCCTCAATACAATCACCATCCACTGTCTCCCTGTTGCTGTTGCTTGCGCCCACGCGCTCAGGATTTGGTCTTCCGTATACCAGGCTTGTTTCCCTGTCCGCGGATCTTTTGAGATAGGACTGCTCTGCCAGAGCATAGCGCCCCGTTAGGCTTCAAACCACAAGGCTCCTGAGTCCCCAGCCCACGAGGATACCCGGATTGTTTTTTGCACTGTTTTTCTGCTTCTCTTCTCCACAGCCATGGGCTCAAACATCTTGCGAAACTGGTTCGTGCCTAAGGAGGGCATTAACCGCTCTGTCATCTCTGCAGACATACAGAAATATCTAGGCAACGATGCGACCGTTCGTCCAGGCAAAGATAAAGAGGTAGGAAACAAGACGGCGTGTCCAGCGCAAACGGTGCCGACAACGGAGGGTTGTGGACATGACTGACACGGTCACAGATCGAAGGCTACTGGATCAAAGCATACAGAAACCTCACTTCAGTACGAGTGTCTGTCGCCATCTTCGTCTTGCATCTTGCTGACATGTACACCAGGAAATGATCAACGACCTCCGAACGGCCTCGACCAAATGGGAGCAAGAACAGCGTTCCGGTCGTCGAGGTATTTTCTTTGCTTTCCTGCCGTCACGGGCCTAGGCTAATCTTGACCTAGGCGCTTACGAAGAGTCGCACACGTATAGACAGGCTGCCAATTCTGGGACTAACGGCAATGGCCCCTATCGCGCCAGTACAAACTCGCCCCAGCTCAGTGGTGATGTCTACCTTCCTTCCAACGGCCATGTATCTCACGCTGCCCCACGGATGCCCATCGCCGAGATGCCTTCGTATGAGGATCCCAGACGGATGTATGCTGCTCCACCCCATTCCGCGGCTCCTGTTACTTCTGCATATGGAGATCCCTCTATCTATCCCACACACCAACCTAGGCCGGTAGCCAGTGGATATGGTCCCCCCGGAGATTTCTACAATGGTCATCCCGGATATGCTCATGAAGCTGCTCCTCCGCCCCATGTCAGAGGTCCTCCTCAGTATCCTCCCCAGTATCCTACAGGTCACAGAGACCCCAGGGATGATCCCAGATATGCCCCGGAATACCAGGATCCGATGAGATACACTAACTACCCCCCGGTATCTGTCGCATCAAATGGAGCTCCAGGCCCGCAGACCACAAGGTCGGATCACTATCCCGCCATGACCAATGCGCGTGGACTAACCCCACCTAGTAATTACCCTCCGCCTCGCTTGCAACAGTTCGATTCATACGGACGCCGTAAGTTCTACCTCGATGATCAAATCTTTCCACGGCCGAGTGCTAACAGTGGTGTGTCTGCTTGCAGCCTATCCTGCGTCAACGCCTATGCCCGACCAGTCTTATGCTCGTCCGTCTCCTTCTGTAGACCCATCCGCGTATGGTCGTGAACGTCCCTCTGCTCCTCCTGGCTCAGAACGTGGCGCTCCTCGTCGTAGAATCAACTAGGATATGCTTGGGTAATGTTCCTTCGGCCTTAGGATTTCCCATCCTCGGCGGACGACTTTCACTGCCTTCGGACGTTCTCTATCTGGTCAACTTTATGCTTGTTCCCTGTTGTTCTGCATAAAGGTCCTTGGCTATCCTCTCCCTCTGCTCCACCTTGCTATCTCCGGATCTATGAATTAGGGACTTGATGCTGCAATGTATCTTCCCTTGCATCTTTGGTGCTCGGCATTCTCTGATCTATGGATGACAGAGCATTTGTCCGGTGCCAATCGGAGTAAGATTGGTTGATGATAGTCTCGACGTGCGTCAGGCTGCCAGATCCGGTTGCACGCATGGATAGGACCCTTACCTACGACGGAGTTTCTGTTTTTTGCATAACAGGCCTGGTACGGCTTGTTCCCGGCGTTGTGCTTTACGAGGTAATTTACTCCTTGGTTTGGAAAAGGCTTCGGGTTTCCAGGCACGATTTCTCAGAACTATACTATGACGATCTTTGTTACGCCTTCTCAATGCCCTTTGGGTCCTCTAGGCATGGTCTAGGGTTACGCCAGGATGGTTTTTATATGTGCCGGACTGATTTCTTGTTTCATACCGGCTCTTCCTTGAGCAATCAATCGTGGGTTTTCTCTCATCTTGCGTACGCTTGCAATGTTGGCCGTGTTCATACCTATGGCACAATGCCCTTATGGATCATCAGTATGCGTTTGAGTCTGTTTTCCTGTTCTGATATCGTATGCCACACTCAGCATCTCAAACTCTGTCTTTGTGCAATTGTCTCTAAAGCTGGGCCTTTGCCTTGTCAACTCTGAAGCCCCATCTGGGCGCGTGGACTCTGATTTCCTTGCCCCCACTCTTGGTTTGTATGGCAAGAACTACTTCGTCCTTTGTCAACTTCACTAAGTGGCCTTGGTCTTTGTGACGGAAACCACTATCAGTGGGCCAAAGCTGGACAAGATCGCCTTCCTTGAGTTTGACAGGATCTCTGTCGTCGACACCGGTTTGCTGATCATGGTATGATGCGGCTACGATGTGTTGCATTGCAACCTGACCGTCTAATGAGATTGTCTTGGAAGACTTCTCTGCTTCCTTGACCGTTTTCTTGAAGTGGCCTAACCAAGCCCATGTCTTGGGATGTTGATCTTTGGAGAACGACTCCTTGGGAAGCATATCACCGATCCAAATGAATGGCCAAGCGGCTGAAATGACACGTCAGTCTCTCAATCAGCTCCATGAGTAGTGTCCAGCTCACCATGAATGTCTGCCAAGCTGGCTTTGTCTGTGCCTCCAATCCATTGTCTTCCGTCTGCGAGCAAAGCCTCGAGAATATCGAATGCATGTCTAATATGTGCCAATGCCTCCGGGTACCCCTTCACACGAGCCTCTTGCGACCAACTAGTGCCCGTGAACTCGGCTCTATCCTTGATGAACTTCTCATCCTTCATGGTCGGCAAATCAGGCGGGAGCGACTGCGCCGCTTTGGAAAAGATGCCCGCATCGACCGTGAATTTCTCGAGCAAAGCTTCAAGCCCTTTGTTCTCGGGCGTCGATAAAGGTGGATGCGACGAAGATGCTGGGAAACTCTGCTCTAATCTTGCCAGGATCAATCGTGTGTCGTAGTAGACATCTCGTCCGATGGACAGTAGAGGAATGCGACGATAGTTGATGCCCAACTCGGCCAGATCGGGTCGTGGCAGCGTGAGGGGTTGGATGCATTCGGCATAGGGGATGCCGCGTAGCTTCAGATACCACACAATTCGCTTTGCAAAGGGAGAGAAGGTGTAATGGAACAGAATGATGTCGTTTGGCACATCTTGAGACGACATGATTGTTGTTGCTGATGAGCTCGGTGATGTTTGACACTGGGTAGAGATGTGGTTTTGACGTGATTCATCTTGAAGCCGAGGCCCTCGGCGTTTTTATGCTGTTGCTCCCCTCATGGTTGATTCGCCGCTTCAAAGACTGAATATATCCACGGTATGTAGTCAAGAGCATTAGATGCAAAGATATACGCATTATAGTTGTCTTTGTCCCGATGACAATCACTCCATTGCTCTTGGAAATGATTGCCGTAGGTACGACCCTGATCTAAATGAGCAGACCCTTATGTCATGGTGCGGGGTACAGGGTCTAGAATCTAGACGCAGCAAGAGGCTTGAAGCTTGAAACCGTAAGCCCTCGAGCACACAGTGACAGCTCGTATTCTGAGGAAATTGCTTGCCTCTAAAAAGCGGCAGGGAGACATTTACGTGTTGGTAAGATAAAGCGACGAACGTCTGTGCAATCATGCTGTTAATGAGAACAACGTGCCGCGTGTTCATCAGCAAAGGGAGGGCGTTCTTACCAAGAGCACGGCTTTTCGGCACGATATTTCCGTACCCGGATAGCGCGGAATCCGAACGTCCTCCAAACCAGACAGCTTTGCGCTCTCCAAACCTCAAAGCTCGTGAAAGCCCACAGCGAAAAGGTGAGTGTCGGTAGGCGCGCGAGGCTGCGTAGAAGCGGCTCTGTCTCGTATTGTGAAGAGAGAGAGAGACGGCCGTAAAAACAGCTGTATATGATAAGCTCAGAGTTATAATTGGCCCATTGTCTGACGGGCGCGAATAAGGTACGAAGTCGTCGTCACCTGCAACAAACGTCAGCCCCTACTGGTGTTTCTTTGTTGCCTACCGACTCTTCCTTTGCCTCTTTCCTTTTCATCCAATTCAGACCATCGCACCAATCCCCAAGAATACCATCAAAAACCACAACATCTCCGATCAACACACCAAACCCACTATCTTGATATTTACCACGATGCTCGGCCGCACTGTCGGCGCGCTCGCCGCCCTGTCTCTCGGCGCAAACGCCATTCTTCTCCCGCCTGGCATCAGCAAGATCTCCGAATCGCGTGCTGGTGCTCTTGAACTTGCCCTCGATCCCAAATCTCAGGCTGTCAAGGTCCACTGTTCCGCATGCGTCTTCCCATCAACTCAGCAAGAGTCTACTCTGGAGAAAGGCGACGACGACATCGTTTGGATTCAAGGTGGCTCAAAAGATGTACTCTTTAACTTTAGCATTGCCGACAACGACAAGGACCTTCTGTTGAATGGAGTCAAGATCTACCCTGTCGATGGCGGGTTCGCATTCGACGAACCTACGGTTGGCCAGGTCCAGTCATCAGCTTCGTTGGCCTCCATCAAGAGCGACCCGGAGCAAGTCACCCCTCTTCGTGTCTCATCCGCTGGCATGCGTGTGCACGAGGAGACCATCTCTTCTCTCAACGACAGGCTCGTCGTCATCAACTACCAGGTCGGCCAGCTGGAGTCGCAGCCCATGGCTCTTGACGCTGTCAACCTCAAGCTTCTCAAGGGCGCCGAAGGTTCGCTAATGATCATCTCGGTCGATGCTACTCCCTCAGAGCACGGTTTCGACAACCCTCTCGCTGGCGTACCTACTAAGGAATGCGGCATGCTCCCTGCTTCTCTCTGCAAGTGGAAGTCTGCCGTTGAGGACAAGATCTCGAACTTCAAGCCCAGCATGCCTCATGCACTTGGCGGCTGTGGTGGTCGCAAGGAGCCTCATAGACTGCCAGGCCACGTCAAGCCCCACTTCGAGATGCACCCTGATTTCGAAACTCGTCCTGATCGCCACCACCCTCACCCCCATGGTCCTGGTGCTCACCCTCGCCCTCACCATCCCCACGGCCCCCACGGCCACCATGGTCCTCACCATCACAGACACCACCACTTCCTCCCCGCCTTTGTTCACGCTTTTGTTGCAGTCCTGATTCCAGTCATGGCTGGCATAACCATGGGCATGTTCGTCAGTCTTATTGGCATGCTTGTTGGCCGCTTGATCTCATTCTTGTGGATCAAGTTCGGACGCGGAGGTCAGCGTGGCTACGCTAGTGTTGCTCAGTCCGAAGAAGGCACCGAGAGCGCTGAGAAGGGCATCGTTCTTGTTGAGAACGATGTTGAGGAGGAGTCTCTACCCAAGTACGAAGATGCTCCTGCCTACGACGAGAAGGATCGTGAGTAGATGTGCGGCTTGAATTCGAACACTCAACCTATTGCAATCAGTTTTCTCAAGATTGTGTTATTTCCTTTGTTCTCAACCTTCATGCCGGTCGGCCGGCCCGCCTTCGTTCATCTCTATCAGGTCTCTCGTGCTTCTACATAGCTTGGCCTGCCTCCTAAAATTGAGGTCGTCATGACAAAAATTGAAATGACTTACACGTCACCAAGCCAGAAGCTCTCCGTCGTATGTGCCTTGTGAAATCGTTTCAAAGAATGAATAACACAGTACACTCTGCGTATACATTTGTTCTTCCGTGTCATGAATGCAGTATGCATATGTGTCTGTGACTTATCAACTCCTGCGATTTCGACGAAGCTCTCCCGTCAGTATACATGTGAGTGCTTGTATATGGTGCTGATGTCGGCAGCGTTGCGAGTCAAGCACCGACGATTCAGCCAGAAGGGATTCTTATCATCCTCTGGCCATAGATACGCCTTTGTGTTGTAGCGGTGAGAGCCGGGCAAGGCACTTCTGAAGGGGAACTTTAGCAGACTCACACAGCCCTGAGATTACTTTATCGAATATCTCCCGGTTGGGCGGTGGGGATCTACACTGGCTAAATGATGCAGACATTCATCTCGAGCCTGCGATCCACATTCATGACCACGACTCATGCAAGTACAGCATTTGCTAGTTTCCTGTCCCCTTTTCCTTTGCTCGCAGCGTTGTAGGGCAAGGTGCACACTTGTCTGTTTACCTACCGTCATGACACGTACAGTATGCTTGACTTACCTTCCAAAAGACAACTATCCAATTTTCCCTTACCGTGATCACGTTTTTGTTCCTCGGAGTAGGCTGGCCGTATACTTTTTGTTGCTCTATTCATATACCGTAGTAACATGGATGTTTCGACCATGTGCGGCTGGGCGCTGATTTGCTTTGTTCTGCTGCATGCACAGTAGCACCGAGATCTGAAAGTGCAAAAAACCCCGGTTGATTCGACCTGGATCGAGGTGCATCATGCGTTCTTGCAATATGGCTGTGTGCATATTCCGTTCATCTAGCAAAGCCGGGATAGTTGCTGAGTGCAGAAATTGGTGACTCGGAGGCATCAAGTAAGAAGGATATGTCTGGAAAAATGGCAGGGCTTGACGAGCAGAGCATGAGGGCAAAGGCGACGCACGTTCACCCGGTGATACCTTGTACTTGCAGCGGCATCATGCACCAAGATGGATCTTTACCTCCCGGTTGACGAAGCTTTTTACATGCATGTATTGTGCTGCCTCTCGAGCACTGTCCGGTATATCGCGATGGTTGGAATCTTGGAGAACGTGAATGTCAGTGTTTCTCCCTCAAACCACAGCGGCTGTTAATATCGCACTGCTGCAGGGGAGTCCGCGCGGTAACCGGAAGGAGAAAATGATCTCTGAACAGTTCGACCAGCAAGCGCGGCAGGAAATTTCTAGCCTCCAGCATGCATAAGGAAAGGCTCGTAGCACGTTGTTTCTTTGAGTGGGGTTCGCATCTGCAAGGTCTCGAGGAACGATAGAGTGCGCTACTCATGTTGACTGCAGCCACAATGGGCCCGAGTCTTGATGCCGAAGCTCCCTGGTCCAGAGACACTACTGTATAACATGACTTTTTGCGCAAGATTGTCGAGTACGTGTGTTGTCCCGGATAGGAAAGAGAAAATCTCGCGGTGTCGTTGGGTTATGCAAAGTGCTAGGCTGTACATCAAGTGCTCGTTAGTGCTCCCTGTCAATGAGGAGCAGTGGAAAGGAGAGCCACGGCTTTTGATCCGAACGTTCGGAGCAGATTGCAATCTGCATTTGCAGCGTCCGATATGGCTTGCTTTGCGAGTGTGCTTGCGTGCGTGAGCTAGATTGGGGATGGGCGACGTGTATTTGATTGGCTTCCAATATTGGTCTATCTGCGCCGTCAATTGTCCTTGGGATTGCATGCAACTGCCGGCCAGCTTCCGAAGCTAGATTGATTCGAGCTGCCACCTACAGCTGCTGAACCACGATCTGGAGTGGAGACTACCTTGATCGTAGATCCATGTGAGCATTGTCTTGAGTGCCGGAATACTTTCTCGGCAGTACAATAGTGTATGACAAGCATACCACCTCGTCCACAAGTCAGATAGTGGCCGGACCAATGTCCATGCTGACCGAGTTGGTGTGGACCGTTTAGTGGGTATCTCGATGTTGGTAGACGTTCTACTGTTTGGAGAGGCGAGCCTCAGAGCTGCTTTGAGCAGATGGTCGAGTCAGGACCACGCCTGAGCACGGGTGGGGGAACTTCGCAGAGTAACGCATCGTGCTCAAGGCGCCTGAACGATTGTCCTGCGCAAAAGCAACCACGGTCTGACAGAGCATCTGATCTCGCCAACCAAACGGACGGCCTTTCCGCCTCACTTCGGACGCATTGAAAGCGTCAATCTGTCGTTGCTTATTCTGCGACGCTGGACCATTGTTGCAATCGACGCTCGGTGCGAACATGCATCCGCGACGGCTGTCACGGTTGAGTCAGGAACAGAAATCCAATATGGGCAGATTGCGGAACGGTTCGTCACCGGTATACTAAATAGTCAAGACGGCTACCGAAGCCGTTCGTACGTAAAGAGCCGGCCTCTAGAGAGATCCCTGGAGGTTAGGATATATTGGTGGAGAATCTCCCTCAGCCGGTTGTAATCAATGTTGTGTGCTAAGGTTTTGTGTTATGGGTCTTGGCTACTGGGTTGTCAAATTGGAGAAGTGGACCTACAGGTATCACAAATTGGCCGTCAATCTGTGACTGCAAACTCTGTTCAATATGTAGCTTTTGGGCCAGAACACGGCGGCGCATCTGAGACAGATCGCGAACATCCTGGTATGCTTGGATTCTTTGCATGGCTCAGCTCCCTCCCGAGCTCAATTATATTGCTATTATTGCGCGAGGGCATCTGTGATCTGCAGATTAATATAATTGTACCACAATCGGGGATCACGAAATTCGCGTCCCTCGAGAGAGAGAGCGGTGACGCGATGTTTTTCCTCCTGACTGTGGACTGGGGCCGTGAGTTGTGCTGTGGCTTGGATTTGTTTTTACCCTGTTGCCCTGTGCTGTGTCTGCGGGTACGGTGAGCCTCAGAGGCGTGTCAAGGCCCCGCGGACAGCACGAGTTGGAAGGTTTCATCTTATTGGAAGCCCGAGAGGAGCGACGTCCCGAATCGTTGCAGTGACGGCGGTGACGTCCGCTCGCGCCCACAATTCGCTCTCTGTCAAAAAGAGAAGATGGCGTTGGTGTGGTAACACAGTCACGCGCGAAGGATCAAAAGGCTGTTCGGTGGCATCCTCGTTTCGAGACCCCCTCTCTAGTTTCAGCAAGGGCACAGTCGTCCAATATGTCACTGGTGCAAGCCCACGGCAATAAGAACGGCTACTCGAGTGACTAGAAGGAGAATTGTAGACTGACAGCCGTGTTAGGGCTCTTTGGAGTCAACAGGGACTTAGCATCTCGAGTCAGGATGGGATGTCAAAGTCAGGGCAGTCCTTCTTCCAAAACGTCGTCGAACCCAGCGCACAGGACTGGACAGGTTAGTGGCCGCTGACGTCCGGCAGCCGAGCCGACTTGTTCAGAGACAGGAGGCTGCGCCTCTGGTTGACCGCGGACTGTGGAGTGTTGAATCCTAGCCACGCCTGTTCTAGTGACGCAGTCTCAGCCGAGAGATCTCACTTCGCACGTTTGGGCCACGATCTCCTTAGATGAGAACGACACACTTTCTTGGCGATGAGCCCGGCTTGAGCCGGCCCCACTGGAGCATTAGACTTCTCGGCTCTTATCGTTGTCTGTACGTTCGTAGATCGCGCGAAATTACACTTGCAAAGTCGCGGCCGTCATCAGCTGGGTCGGTTTAATTGTCGTTTATTGCGGGCGTCAGACGGTGTGCGGCATTCTTTTGGTTTTCACACCGGGATAGATCATGTTTCAGTCAAAGTATTGTAGTCTAACGCTTGCTCGATCAACGAAGAACGCGTTTATGTGAAGCATAAGCTGAACGCCTTACCGCTGTTTTGCTGAGTCAAGAGACAAGACACTCGCCGATTCCTTCTTGCATGAGCTTGATCTCCGTGGAGGGAACGTCAGATTGCTGAGAGAAAAGCAAGCTTAGACTTGCCAGTTCATCCCAGACCAAGATATACAAGCAGACATGATCTGCGTACATAATTCTTTTTGGATCCCTGCTGGTGTTGATTCATCACCGGCAAAAGATCGGGTAGAGTGGATAAGGTTCAATGACAGGTTGAAATATGCTACGTCCGTAAGAGTGGGCTTGAAGGATGAACTTGTAGACGCCTTTCGTGTCGTGCTGTCAAAGGGTGGTCGGTGATCCCGACGTGAAGAAAATTCACCAGCAACAACGTCTGCCCCCGAGACCTTCTCCGTTTTAAACTTCCGCAACAGTGTCACGACTGTTCCATGTCCCGGCCTTGTGATGCTGGTTCCCAGATCATGACATGCCGACACTTGGTTGGAACAGAAGCAAAGCCTGGGAGACTACTGTCTCGAAGCTGAGCGTTACGCAATCCACTTTCCAAATGACTCCTTCGCATTCGCCTGTTGACAAATCCACCATGTGTGGCCTTGTGTCAAGCAGTGGATCCTGTCACGGAAAGGGAAGCTGCTTCTGTCTCTTGGTCGAGTTGCGAAGAGATCTAGGTATTATGTGATGTATATGTGTGGATGAATATGAATGCTCCTGTCGAGTCCTTTTGGGTATCTGTGGTTATCCCCTTGCGTGTTCCAGACCAATCTCAGGGCTACTCTAGTCTCGATCGAGTAGAATATGCCGATATTGCAGTCTTTCCCATCACGCCCCTGCCCTGCCATCCCTGCTGAAGGGTCCAAAAACTCCATGCAATGTAGTAGAAAGCAGATTCGCTGAACCAGATGAAACGTAAAACATTGAAAATTGATGCTAGGAAGTTCATTGCATGTCGTCGTCACGGCTTCCAGCACGACTCTTGTCGCGCTTTTCTCTAAGCTCGGGACAACGGCGTCTGTGATTGATGAACCAGTTGCTGACCTGGAAAGAATGTTAACTATTGGAACCCAGTAGAGCCGATAGTGATAAGATCTTACCTGAGTCAAGTTGATGCCGGCAACAGCGGCGAAATGCCTCTTCTGCTCCTCACTGGGGTATGGATTGTGCATGTTCTCATCGAACCATCGCTTCATGATCTCTGTCGATTGCTTGGGAAGATTGCTTCTCTTCCTTGACTTTCCGTTCTGGTACTCGTAATGTGATGGGACGAAGAACGCATGAGAGTAAGGGTAAGGAGCGTTGCCATAGGCTTGAGGCACATCAAGTCTGGCGACTGATGGATATTCCTCACGATGCATGCTGTTTCCAGCGACGGGCATGTATGATTGGCGAGGAGGTTCAACAGCATATCTCTCACGCGAAGGTTGAGGTTGATATTCGCCGTAACCAGAGTGCCTGCGCATGTCGTCATCTTGCGACACGGAAGAAGCATTGCTATACATGCTTGAGCGGTTACGAGCCGTCAACATGGGGTCAGACGTGGCATAGACGTCGGAGCGGGGAGGGGCAGGACTTGGGTAAGCTCTTGGTAAGTCTGCCCTTTGGCCGCGAAGGTCCGGAGAGGCGTGGTGGCTGTGGATGATGGGACTACGGCTAGAAGGGGTAGGCAGGTCGAATTGCGAGCGCGGCCTGGTCTCTTCATGGCGGGTTGGCATGTAAGGCAGACTTGTGGGACCAGATTCAGGGAATGTTCGTTCAGGAGTGCGAGAGTCCCAGCCCGAGTCAGTGCGTGTCCTCTTATTGGGGTAGAGTGATGCTGGCTTGTAGGTGGGTTGGTGGTCGTAAGTTGGCTCTCTGGGCAAAGGCTGCAATGAATGTCCTTGGGATGGGGGAGTTGCGGGCGGGCTCATTCCTGACTCTCCGAGAACCTGCATACTATGAGTTCAAGCTTTGATATACCGAGATAATGTATGCTTACCGATCGCAGCGAAGGCAGAGAGGGCTTGCTGCTCTCACCGCTGTTGTACGGCGGCGAGTGTGACGATGGGTAGCGAGTCGAGAGGGGTGTGGAAGAGTAAGAGGCATGGTGCATGGGAGCATCTCTGCGAGCCGGTTCATGATACATGCCGAAGCTGTGTCGAGAACGATCGATCAAGGTCATGCCGTCCATGTTGGTAATGTTGCTGTTGATGATAACAAGGCCGTTGGAGAGATGGGATGGTCGAGTGTGATCAAGACAGAGGCACGGTCGTCAAGGGAAAGTGATCAAAAGGTGAGATGAGAGAGTCCGAAGGAGGCCAGATGTCAAAGGGATGGAAGCAGAGGTTCGAAGCTACCAGTCGGATGGGATCACGAGGCGGAGGCTGCAGGTCGAGTCGCGGGTACAAAAGCACATGTATCGCCCGGTGGTGGTGGACGGGCGGTGCAGCTCTCATGTATAATTTTGGACAGGAAGCACGCTCCATCGTCCTGGACGGGCCTCCCTGGGAGCGGTCGGTGATTGTGCTAGCGGGCTGCGCCAACGACAGCAAGCGCAAATCATCGTGGGTGCATTGATCGGAATGGCTTGACCTAGCACGCCGGCCAACCTGTCACAACCGTCCCTGGCGTCTTGGGACGAGGCACCAAAAGAAGACAATGCAGATGCCGATGCCATAGCGGTGGGTAACGGAAGCTCGCGCACGAGCCGTAACCCGGGCGGAGGGTTAAAACGCCATGCACTGTGATGTCTGTCTCGATCGGCTCCCAAAGCTTCCTGCTCTGACGATGCTCTCATGAATCCATGCAAGACAGGTGCTTGGAGTTTGGCGCTTCTGCATGCCTGCCAAACCTACCTGAACCGAGCTGCTGAGTCGCGACGCAGCGTTTTCCTTCCTTCTTGCCCGTCCACCGTCCTGTCCTCGTATCTCGACGTCTAAAGCCCCTGACTTTTTCGTCTCGCTCGTCAATCTCATTCGACTGCCCACTATTCGAGTGTCGCAATCTGCCCAACGCGACCGCTACTTTTTGGTCTGTTCTTGGGCGTGCCGCTACACCCATTGATTTACACTCCGTTTCAAGATGCCCATGTCGTGGTGGTACCAACCGAAAAAGAAGGCTGATGGGGTTCCTCGTGAGCGGCAATCGCTGTTGGCTCCGCCCAAGCATGAGACCGCGGCCCCTCAACGACGATAGAACAATGCAGTCAAAGTCACCGCATTTAGTCATACACAAGTCATGTCTCCCCACAGACAAGGCGCACGGCACGTTTGGTATATCGGCACGTTTGGTCTATCAGTACATTCCAACTTAGATCTGTGACAGCCTGTCAGGTACACATGCCAGCTCGAGTCCGAAAGCCTAGGGGCAGATAGGCTCTACCGGCGGAGACGTAGCTTCAACTCACATCTCTCCGCTCACGGCTCTCTGGCTCTACATTGGGTACTGGTGATGTAACCTTCTCTCCACCAGGCAAATGAGGCTTTCGTCGGAGCAGGGGTCCCAGAAAATCCACCCATGACAATCATCCTTGCAAGCTAGGGCAAAAGGGAAGGGCAAGTTGACCCTGGGATCTGCGCGTCGAGTATTTGTATTGGAATGCACGCAACGATAGTGGATCACCATCTTCCTGCGGCCTCAGCCAGCTGGACGATCTGTTGTTCCTTTGAACCGTTCTGCTACGTGCACGAATCCGGAACATGGTCAACTTTGGCTCAGCTGCCTGACAGGGATATCCGAGTCAGCTCTGTAGGAGCCGGTTTTTCCAGCGAGCCAAAAGTGAACCCAAAACGGCGAAGACGCCACCATGGAAGAATGATTTGTGTTTTTGGCGTCTCGCATTTGAACAGAGTTGACAGTAGCGGTCGCACCACTGACGTGCAGGCCAGGGCTTTTTCTCTAGGGGCAGTTGCACGACTCATGATGATTTAGATGTGCATTGACACTTCTTGGCACGCGTAGCCCTGCTGGATCAGTAATCCCCTGTCTCTTGTCTCTTGTCTCTGCCTCGGAGTACGAAGCACGCAGTCAGATGCCAGGCCGTCTGGAGACATGTAACGTTTGCACAAAGATCGACCTCCGTTAATGACATCTTGTATGATAAGTCATGGTCCACCAATCGTCGGAGAAGAGGAGAGCAAGCCCGACGGTTTCTCTCGCGGCACTGGCGGTGGCTTGAACAATCTCTCTTCTTGACAAGCTCCATCTACTTCGGATCTCGTGCCCGCTCTAGCGGCGCTGCATACGGAGAAGGACAGGCCCACACACCAATAGTTGATGCTGATCCCATTTTCTGTCAAGACAGATCAGGCCTCTATAGACGAGCGGACCCTGAACAGTCGAGTCTACGTCTGCGAGTTCGTTGCTTTTGGAAGGTGCGAACACGCTGTCGCAAACGCCTTCGAGAATCTCGTGAAGAAGCGCCGCAATGTGATTGAGCAAATAGTTACCTCGGTTTGTAACGCCCTATCACCGCGCTCTGGAACATATCGTCGACTGCTATATTGTACCAACGGGATCGTGGTAACACGCATGCTGTATCTCCAAGTCAGCACAACAATTACGACAAAACGCTGTTATATCATGCACGCTTCGCGCGGTAGTTCAGCAGATTGATTGGATGTCCCGAACGGCATGTTGTTTGGGAAAGTGCGGGTGTCCCCGCTTTGATAGGTGCCAGGATCGATCTTCGTATGCCTCTTCCGCTACCAGGGTCAGCCAGCTGCATATGCACGTTGCTGAGACCTTTTGTCCTGCGAGCGCAGGTTGGGAAAACCGGGACAGGCCCTGTTGATCCCATCGAGTCCACGGACCCCTGCAAAATCGACTCTCGTGCCTTGCTCCTGGGAACCCACGACCTATCGAAGTCGAGGGAACGCGTGCATCACACGGTATCTTGGAACATTCCACAGGCATGGGATTTAGTCTGGGAACTCGTGCAGCATTCTGCTGGTGTGTTTTGCGCTGTACACCCACACTCCAGCTCACAACACAGCTGTCTCAGACCTGTACACACTGTCCTCCAAGTCGATTGACGACTGACCAAACTCCTGTTCTGTTTACGTGGTCCGGCTGAACAAACAAGACTTGCAGGCAGATATCGTCAGCGCGTGCTATGTCCACGGCTTGCTAAGCAGGGTCTAATGCCACTTGACCGCCCATGCAGTTGGTGGGAGATGATCAAATATCCATCACACGCAGTTTATATTGCAGGCATGTGGGCTCGATCCGTCCCATCCCTTGGCCGGGGACTGCCGCTCTTGCATCTGACGGCACAGCTGTTGTGTAACACGAACATCAGTTGAAGGTGCCCCGATTCCGAACCAAGATCAGAGCCTTCCTGGCTGTGTGGCATACGATTGCAGCCATCCACCTGTCACAAGTCTACCAAGTCCCAGGTCGCAAAAGAAGAGGCTACACATGTTCCTCCCCCCACACAAATCACACAATGCGATTGTTGTGACCGTTACTCACAGATGTAGGCAAGTGGTTGGGATGACAGCCCACATGTATGAGCCGAAAGAGGCAACCACTATACCCTGTCGCGCCATCACACCGCTCTGGAATCCTGGGTCGTCCTCCCTCGGGTCCCGCAAGTGGAGATCTTGACAGGCGGGAAGAAGCAAAGTGCCCCTGCTGATGGCCTTGCCAAAGGTCCGCATGAGACTTCAAAACGCACTTCAGCCTGATGGCAACATCATCATCATCAAGACATCTGCAGTGGCACCTTCTGGCGCTGTGCGTGAACTGCAACGCCACGGTATTGGATCACGTCTCGAGCGATCTCACGCTGTGCGCCCTCATCACATTTCCGGCCATATGGGTCGCTCCAATGATAGGGCCCGGGCCGCCTTGTTGACGTTCATGCTGGAATCGCTAATCGAGGCAACACAATACAAAGGTCTGATCAATCATCCTTGTCAATGAGGTGCATCTTGTCCGCTGTGATGGTCGAAGCCGCCGATTGTGATTGATCAGAGGGAATGCGTGCTCTCCCGCACACACCTCGCAGGAACCCGACTACCGGTACGCTCGACCAACGTCTCGCGGGATCTCAGAGCCAATTCCCGATCCTGGTACCCAATTTCCACAGTGTCGGGAATTCATGGGCTCATCGCCTCCCTTCCATCGCCGAAACACTTTGTTGTATACATCATGCTTGTACATCGTATTCGCTTGCGGAGGAGTAGTTGCTCTGCAGACTCCTTTGCGTGGCACACCGTTACCATCTTGTGACTGACATACGTTGCCGTCTGCGTTAACCTCATCGAGCGTCGGCATGATGCACTGTTCACGAGTGTTGCACGTTTATCTGAGAAACGGTAATGTTGACAGTCGTTCTTGAGCTTTGGGCTCTTCACAAGCTCATGTGGTGTATTCACGCAGATCTGAGCGATGTTTGATTATATGCATCGTCAACAGCCCCTCCCGGTCTGGCTGTTGGGACTTGTCCAAGTCCACGCCTCGAAGCTTCCATCCTTACCCAAACCCCAGTATACACCCTCACGATATGACTCGATCGGTAAGTGGCATCTCGCATCCCGCATCCCGCATCCCAATCACAATCCCTTGGTATGCAAATCGGCTCGAGAGAAAGACATTCTGAAGTCAGGGTGAGGGCCTTGGCCGGATCTACCTCAGGGGCGGGCACACCTGCCAACATCAAGTTTGACAAGAGATGGTACCATGCGAATCACATCCTGGACACCCCCTGCCGACCTGGTATTCGGTCGTGGGCGGGCGAGCCAAGATGTGAATTTGAGCAAGCCCGAGAATCCCGAAGGTATGGTAAGTCATCGGTACCTGAAACCCGGGCTCTCACCAAAGGGATCTGGATGGCGAGCAGCCTTTGCATACTTCTTGTTTTCCCTTTGGCTTCCGCGTGGATGTGGATTGGAGCATTACTAAAGCGTAAATTCATCCGACTGGTAACGAGGCTGTTGCACATGAATGAGATGCGCTGTGATGACGACAACACAATTGTTTGGCTATCTTGTTGTTGGTTTGATCTTTCGTTGAGTTCGTATTCATAAGTCTAGTTCGTATGCGGTATGCAGTCTATATACAATTTTTGATGACCGTGGCAGCCACCCATGACGCTCGTCCGAACGAGCCCAAACGCCTTTGCTATGTAATGTGTGATATCAAGAGCAGCTGTCGAACCCTAAGCAGCCTTGGCCACGAGACGGGGCGTCGAGTGTTCCGACAATGAATATGCCGCAGACATCTGGATAGAGTAGATCTAGGGGATCTGAGACAGTAAGACGCATTGATCTATGCAATCAATACGAAGGCTACAATCAATGCTGTGACCAAGGAGAAAGTCTCGACTCCGCTACGAGTAGAATCCGACGTGGCCGCTGGAGCCGAGGCGGCAACACTCACGTTCGTCCTGCCGACGGCATTGGTGACACCGTTGAGTCTGTCTGCGGTCTCAATGGCTGGACCGACGTTGAAGAAATCGACCAGGAGGTATGTTGGAGCTTGGCCATAGGTATTGGTGCACTCGGTTGCGGATGTTCCCAAAGCACCGGTACCACCGGATTCCGAGTTCGTGGTGCTGATATTACCAAGATCAGGAGACTCGATGGTGGTACCGAAGAGGCTTGTCGTTTCGTAGAGGAAGTGGTTCATGAATGGCATCATGTTCTGTTGCAGTGCAGAGCTTGTGGTGACGGTAGAAGGTCGGTTAGCTGCGCAGGAGAAGCTTGATGGTGATGTGTTGTCGTAGTTGTTCTCAAAGATGTAAGTGAATTCATCCATAAGGTAAGGTGCAGCAGAATTGTCGTCGAGACTAGCGACGAAGTTGAGCAGACGCTTTCCGTCATTGATGAGGGTTTGTAGCGTGGGCCAATCGCCTGTAGCCTTGGTTGATGTGGGAGTGTAGGCGTAGGATGTGATTCCAGCATTGGTGTATGCGCTTGCCAGGTCCGATGCAGATGCGTCGTCTGAGTTAACAAGCAGGACAGTAACGACCTCGTTTGGGTTTCCATCCATCCACGTCTTGATCTCTGATAGCCAATCACTCAACGATCCTGCATTGAGCAGTGTACAGCTCGAGTGGCACATGTCTAATGAACCATTATTGTTGTGTACTTGGCCAGTCAATAACCTGACACCAGCGCTGAGCTGGACGGTGGAGTTGTAGAATTGATTGCCAGAAGCCGAGTTTCCAGTGGATGAATCTCGTAGGAAGGGCGAGTTATGGGCACCAAGGTGGGTCACATTGTTGTAAGTTTTGCTGCACAAGTCTGGAGAGTTGTTGCAAGCTGTGGCCCTCTTGGTTACTGCTGAGAAGGCAACCTGGGCGAGAGACGGTAGCAGGAAAAGGCTGGTTAGGATATTCGTGCTGGACATCATGGTTGCTAGACGCAATGAGTTAGTTGAAAGCTAGACTCGAGCTCTTTGAGAGATTCAATACCTAATAGATGCAACGCAGGTTTCGAGATCTGGGTCCCAGATCTTGGCCTTGACTTGAAAATATCACGATGTTCGGTTGATGTAAGAAGTTCGGAGGCAAGTGGCAAGAGACCGAAGAAGGGCAATGACGACTGGCAGAACAAATGCTTCTAGGACACAACAGACTGAAATTGAACGCGGATGACAGGTGATAGATGGGAACAGGAGAGATAAATACAAACGAGTCGAACATAAAAATAAGACTCGTGTCGCGGTAAGACGACTGCGCCTCAAGAAAAGTTGTCGTAATCACTGGGCAGTCCCTTTTGCATTACGCAGCTCCGACGACTCCTCGGCCGATGCTCCCAAGACATTCTGTCACTTTCAAGGGCACAAGGCAAGTGATGAATTGCGGAGTTTGCAAGGGGCTTCCAACCACACTTTAGATTGTCGTGGTCGCAAAAGATGGGTGGAAGTGCAAAGAGACGTGGGGCGGATGTTGGAGTGCCAACCACCTGACGACAATTACAGCTGCTGATCTCCTCCCACATCATCAACAAGAAACACGCCGCATAAGTCGCAGTCAGATTCACAGCTTACAATCGGGAACCGCCAGGCTTCCAGTGCACGCAATATGGAGTCATCTTCAGTCATCCTTAGGGCCCCCGGCGTATCGCAAAACGTCCAGGGCACGCAGCCCCAGGGGTATTCATCGCCCAGCCTGTCATTTCTGCAGGGCACTTGGCACGTCACTCACAGCACACTTCCCATGTGGAAGTCAAAGCGCAATGTTCAGATCACATATACACCACTCGCGCCATCGACACCTGATGCTACTCCAGACCAGACAGACCGGCTGGATGACGTTGTGTCGTACCAAGCGCTGGACTCGGAAAAAGTGCACACAGTTCACGGGGTGGACAAAGCTAGTGGTGGCATCGGAGTGACAGACGTGTGGGATTGGCGCGGCAAAGGATGGCTCATGATTGCCAGCAGTCACTGGGAGGTTTTGGGATGGGCAGACAAGGCACCCGACCAAGACAGCTGGGTCGTCACACACTTTGCCAAGACTCTGTTTACTCCGGCTGGAATCGACTTTTACAGCAGACGCAAGGAAGGGCTGAGCGAGCAGACTGTGCAGGATATCAAGACTGCGCTTGGTCGTGTGGAGAACGAAGACGTTCGTCGCTTGTCGAGCGAGGTGTTTGAGGTCAAGACGGACCACTAGACACAGGGAGATGCATAGAGATGGGCGCGTTTTGCACATGCGAGTAGCAACAGCGCGAGCTCGACAGAGGACGTGACAGGGCAGATGATAATTGAAGAGGAAAGACATGTGGAAAGAAGCTGCTTTGGCTGTGGGTATTTTGATCTTGGCGTAAAGGAGCTCTATTGCGGTGATATACAGTAGGCGATCGTCTAGTTGCTGGAGAACCAAGTCTTGTGGCCCTGTGTATGGTGTTAGAGATGTGTCGTGAGAGATGGAGACCGAAGAAGCAGTGTAGACGCACGAGAACCATTCTGCCCATCATGTACATGGTGGCAGCCGAGGTCGAGGCCAGCAGGGCGTAGTAGGGGTAGAGCATCAACTTGGCGCGAGGGCCCTTCTGCCACTGACGGAGACCGTCGTGGGTCTGGTGCACGCGCTGCCAGTGGGGGACGTTGTTGCGGCGGTGAAGTCCGGGAGAGTTGAGGCTGCGAGAGCTGGTCAGCCATCTTGCACCATGCAGAGCGGGGACTGCGACACGGCGCGCAGCTGGACGGAGCGACAATTGACGTACCCGGCCATTGTGAAGGTGGATTGAGTGGAGATTGAGTCGTGGGGGATAGCGAGACGGCAGCAAGAGCGTGATGGGCTTCGTCGTCTGCGTTGCGTGACGGGCATTGAATCGGCGGCACTTTCCGTCTTCTCCGGACTGCGATTCCATCCCCGAACAATTATTGCTGCCAGCTGTGGCCGGCGAGCTCGCAACCCTCAATGCACCAGCAGCTGCTCTGAACGGCAGGCGTCTCCATGTCTTCTGACACAGGCTCGCCCGTCTTTGCACTTTCCTTCCTTTCATGCCACCCGGCGCGTCTGCGCTCCATAGAGGGTTGGCCCGACCTTCGGCTCTAGCCTCGCTTCCCTTTTCGCTCTGTCCACCATCAACTCTTCTTCTACGCCTTCTTGACCGGACCCACGCAACCCTTCCTCGTCCAAGCAAACTACCCGCCGCTGTCTCTGTGGCCAACGCCGATCATGTCCGTCAAGAGCTAGAGAATGCCCGCCAAGACGGCCGTCATGAGCCTTTGAACAACGCCCTATTTCCTGCTCCCTCACACACCGAGCGCAACAACTTTCTTGCTCGCTTGACTTCATGGTTGCCCTTGTTCAGTCGCCTACAGGCTAGTCCGGATGCCTTTGTTACCCTCAGTCACGAGGCCGACGTATGCAACCGCCTGCCTGCCGTCGAGACTAGAGAGACACGCTTAGTCGATCAATCGCAATACCTGCAAAATGTCAACCTCTGGATCGAACTGCTTCGTTTCCGCCTACGTCTGGATGGCCAGCAAGGTGTCATGGACATCGTCCAAGCCATGGTACAACGTAAAGTCGTCTTGCCCTTGCGTGGTCCTCAGGCCGATCAGCTCTGGTCTACTCTTCTCTGGTCTGCCGTCCAGTACCCGAAGATGCTGCACTATCTATACCCATATCTTGTCGAAACCCTTCCTCGCTCTGGCCTGATTGACATCCGTCTATACACTCGGCTCGTAGGCCCTTTGTTGCGTCAGAATCCCATGTTCGCTGCAACCTGGCATAAGCGTATGCAGGCCGACGGGTTACTTCCGCCAGCTTTCGTCTCAGTTCTGGCTCAACTTGTCACCGACGTCTGCTCCAGTAACCACAAGTCGAGAGCCATTGAAGCATTCAGAAAGATCTATACTTCAGCTAAAGTCAGACATGCCTATGATGAATGCATGCTACCGATATGTCGTTCGTTTGACTTTCCCGACGCTGTTGACATGCACGCTTTCTTCATAAGACATGATGATTATCCTTCGCTCTCGATGCAATCTATGCCGGTAATAGCGCATCTGACCGAAAACGATTGGCTTGCCAAGTCGAACATGAAATCGACCATCAGAGCTCGCTTCACAAGTCAAGTCCTTGAGGCTCAGTACGAATTTGATTGTCTGAAGCCCACCAAGCTTGATGCAGACCGTGCTGTTTCTACCATGCCTCCACTCACTCGCGAGAGTATGAGCAGCATCGTTGGTGATGTTCACAACATTAGGGAAAAGGAGCTCAATGATGCCTTTTGCGCTCGATTGTTTGCCACAACAGCTTTCTCTATTGACTTGATCATTACTGGTTTGCGCATGCTTGGCATGAGAACAGTGGGCAATCTGGCTCTGAGAGAAATAGCTGCGCGCGCACCTAATCCAGTCGATTACCTCACCACAGTCGATGCGATGAAAGCTGCAGGTATCATTGTCACTGATTCGGTTTTCAGTCGGGCGCTGCACTTCTTTGCTGGTCGACCCGATAAATATCGCAGCTTCGAGTACCTGGTTACAAGCGATCAGCATCCCACTGCCTACGATAACCGTGTCTTGCAGAAACAACTGTTCGCATCCTTCCTGGCCTCTGGTGATCACAACCAGGCAAATGCTGTTCTGGACATCCTCACGATGCACCAACGCCAACCTGAAAACTATCATGCAAATTTGATTCTCCAGACGTATGCTCGTAGCGGGAAGCGAGCATCCACGCTGCAGATCTTGCACGAGATGCGCCTACATCGAATTCCAGTATCCGATGCATCCTTACAAACCATCCAGAGGACGTTGTTGAGACCTCGGCTCCGATCCAAGAGACCTATCACACAACGACACCGCGAGTACGAAGACGATTTGGATTTCACTACCAACGTGTTCTTGGAAACCATGCGTACCGGTCAACTGGTCAATCCCACCCGATGGCATGAGATTTTGAGACGATATGGTATGGAGAACAGACTAGATGCTCTTGAAAGGCTGTCAATGTGGTTAGCCCTCTGGTACTCCGGTCGCCTCAACGATGACCGGCCTCCTCTTCCGAGCCCATCCTCAAATCAAGGCGGCGCCAAGGCAGACACAGCAGTGCTGAGTGAAGGTGACCAGCACCCCCTTGCTATCATATTCACACCTCACCTTCTCCGCGCTATCATCGCATGGGGGTTCAAGAGCGAGGCATCATTGCCAGAATTTATCACCTCTATCAAGCTGGGTTCTCAGGTAGACCCAGCCGATAAGAGCCAGAAGCCCGAAACGGACACGATTGAAATTCCGAGAGACTGGACTAGAGGTCTCGCACTTGTTCGCAGATTGGAGACTCTCGGTGTCAATCTCAAAGGCACGGATCTGCGTAGAGAGGTCAAGCTCCGACTTTGGATTCTCTACGGGCCTGGGAGATCAACCGTGGCGGCCAACAGACAAGCTCAGAAGATGAATAAGCTCTCGTTGGTACACCGTGTTAATCAGATACACCGGATCATGGGGTTCAACTGGCTTAAACTACCTTCGACACTCCGAGGGCAGTCGGACGTGAGCCACTGGGCAATGTATCGCGCACTCTTCGGTCAGCCTAGGAGAACAAGACGGGCAACAGCAAAAGATCGTGGTTGATCCGTGCTGGCCGAGGTAGACTGTTCTTTGCGTGTCGTCATATTGCACGCGTTATCTCTCTCATGTCTGTGAATAGCCATGCAGGACTCAATCAAACATGGACATTATCACACATGATACTTCTCATACGTCATTGTACATAAACCAATAACACGATTATAATATATTATTGTACATAACTACACTCTCTTCTCAAACCACTCGCACCAGGGTGCGATAAGATATGATGAGCAGAAAAAGCAACATGACAACATCACCCAGGAAGCACAAGAGAAAGCGAAATCGTGAACGTTAAAACATGTCATTGCTTCGGTATTGAAGTAGCGAGGTAAAAGAAAAAGCCTCTTGCAGTCATCATGTATTCCAGTGACGCTCGAAGCCCGTTTTCATAACATTGGCCCCTCCTCTTTGCAGATTCAGAGCTTGGTCAGACGCACATCATGGGAGATTTATGCGTTACCGTCAACCTTGGCAATGTAGGCCAGGAGGTCGAGGACACGGCGGGAGTAACCCCACTCGTTGTCGTCTGTGAGGGAATTGTCAGCAAGAAGCACTTGATGCTCGGAAGAAGAATAAACTTACACCAGGAAACAAGCTTGACGAAGTTGTCGTTGAGCGAGATACCGGCCTTGGCGTCGAAGATGGAGGACTCGTTGGCACCGCACATGTCGGAGGAGACGATCTCGTCCTCGGTGTAGCCGAGAATGCCCTTAAGCTCACCCTCGGAAGCGTCCTTGATGGCCTTCTTGATGGTCTCGTAGGAGGCGCCCTTCTCGAGGCGGGCGGTAAGGTCGACAACGGAGACGTTGGCGGTGGGGACACGCATGGACATACCGGTGAGCTTGCCGTTGAGCTCGGGGATGACCTTGCCGACAGCCTTGGCGGCACCGGTGCTGCTGGGGATGATGTTCTGGGCAGCAGCACGGCCACCGCGCCAGTCCTTGCCGGAGGGACCGTCGACGGTCTTCTGGGTGGCGGTGTAGGAGTGGATGGTGGTCATGAGACCCTCAACGATACCGAACTTGTCGTTGATGACCTTGGCGAGGGGAGCAAGGCAGTTGGTGGTGCAGGAGGCGTTGGACAGGACCTGGATGTCGGACTTGTAGCTCTTCTCGTTGACACCCATGACGAACATGGGAGCGTCAGCAGAGGGAGCAGAGATGACGACCTTCTTGGCGCCACCCTTCAAGTGGGCGGAGGCCTTGTCGGTGGTGGTGAAGACACCGGTGGACTCGACGACGTAGTAGGCGCCGGTCTCAGCCCAGGGGATGTTGGCGGGGTCTCTCTCGGTGTAGAAGGTGACCTTCTTGCCGTTGACGATCAAGTCCTTGCCGGAGACCTCAATGGTACCCTTGAACTGGCCGTGGACGGAGTCGTACTTGAGCATGTAGGCCTGGAGGAGCTGCATTAGCTACTGTTTTCTTAGGCAACTGATTCAGGCAGTCTTACAGCGTACTCGGGCTCAATGAAGGGGTCGTTGACAGCAACAACGTGGACGTTGTCGTGCTCGACGCTGTTGTGGCGGTCAGTGTCCAAGTTATAGGATCTCAATGGAAACAGAGCCAACTTACGCATTGCGGAAGACAATGCGACCAATGCGACCGAAGCCGTTAATACCAACCTGTGGATGGATCAATGACAGCTCCAAAGTGAATAGGAAGCAGAGCTGCTGGAGCTTCTTACGTTGACAGGCATGATTGTGACTGCGAGATAGCTGTTAGAGCTTGCAAGGAGAAGAGAGGTAGAGAGGTGAGGTGGTGATGGAGACTTACTGTGTGAGGTGGATGAGGTTTATGAGTGTTGTGTGATGAAGGAACGCAGGTTTTCAAAATTCGTTGGGCAGAGTGGGGGATTGGATGATTGAGCTTGCTCGACTCCGTTGCCGCTCAGACACGTCAGACTACAGTGCCGTGCCAAAAGTCTTGGACGCCTCTCTCAGCGTTTTCTGATCCTCATACAATCACAAGCCTATCTATGGTGCTTTCTCTTTGCTTCTACAAGCTCAAGCTCGGCTGACGGAGTCTCTCTACCGTCTCCATACCATTTGCTTAGATGTAGCTCTGTCAACCCGTCTGGCCCCGCGAATGACCCCTCATTCTCGCTGCTTTCCTCCCGACATCCTCCGCATCTCGGCTCGACTTCTTCCTGAATCAGTCGTCTGCTCCTTCCGTCCCTAGCCGCTGGCCTGAACCCTCTGACTGCTGGTCGTGGGCTGCCATCTCTTCTATACCGCTGTCTTTCCTCGTTCCGAGGTGGTATATCTCTCCATCAAGACCTCTTCGGGTGTCGCTACGCTAGGGCCCTCGGGCGCTCGACTTCGGCCCCTGTCTTATCGGCCCTTTCAGATTCGGCTTGATCGGGTACTCTCAGCAAATCCACCCACACGTGTTCGGACTGATCTCTCAAGCTTGAATATCACCTTCGTAGTTGCGTGAGCACACCATCCTCACATGTAGTCACCGGTAGTACTTCGCCATCTCGTGTCCTGTCATCATGACCATTGATCTGTTGAGATGTATCACCTTACCTTCTCAATCGCCCTTGCGGACTGTCTTCGTATGCCGCCTCATGACAGCTGATGACATGTACAGTACTCCGGATGCATTTGATAGCACAATTCCCAAGTGTTAGCACCTCGGACTTCAACAAAGAATAGGATAAACGCTCTTGACAATCGTTTGTCCATATTAGTTGCAAGAAGGAGCTGCTGCTTGCGCAGCCTCATGCTCGATCACCTTTGTTTGTATAAGGGCCTGAATATCGAATATGTCGGAGGAGTTGTTGAGTGAGTTTCCATTGGTATGTGAGTTTCACTAAATCGAAGCCTGGCTCCCCTACGTAGGTCGAAGAAATCTCAGAATCTACTGTTATTTCCAGATCACGAACATGTCCTCAGAGAGCCAGCCAGACAGCGAATCTAGGTAGGTGCCGTCATATCAGGATCAAGCATATTATCATTTTCAAAGGCACGATCTGGACCCCAATAACCGGCATTATCGTAGTTGGACGTGTCGGGCAGAGTGTCGTGAATTCCTGCATGAATATAGGTTTCGTTGCACAGAAGGTCTTCACTGCACATGCATCAGCATAAATTTCTGGCCTACAGAAGCAATATAGCTCTGAAGGTCTTCACTTTTCAAAATTCCCGCCACTAGAAACAATTCAGCCCTATAGTCATTCAAAATACCTGCCCTATTGTCAAATCTCCACGTCGCAGAAGTACTTCGGCCTTCAAGCTTTCACTCGGAATCTTTCCACCAACACAACAAAGCACTTCGCCCTGCAGCGATCGCTCCAACTCTTTCCGCTACACCACAAAGCACTTCCACGCGTAAAAACAGTCCCCAACCACGCAAGAAACTACAAACACACATACAACCATCCTTCAGCAACAAGATCTTCAGGCTTTAGTCACCCGAAGTACTTCGTCGTTGCACCTACTACCATGACTAGCTCGGCCCAGGGCACGTCTGGTGGACGTAAACGCCGCAAGCCCAACGTATGGAAGGACTTCTGCTCGCTATGAGGTTCGCCGCTAACAATGCACCCCAGCAACTTTCCAATCAGACAACGTCCGAACATCCAGGAGACCCAGCAAACCCGGCTTCCTTCGCCAATTTCTTCGAGAATGAAAACAAGACGGCAGCCTACCTGGGCTTCTCCCACACATCAGATCTGCGCAGGATCGCTGTCTCCTTCCCCGTCCTTCGGGCATACATCAAATTCGAGCCCATATCTAGCAACGCCAGATCTCATGACAGCTTAGCCCTCCTAGCGGATGGTGTGGATCAATACACCAACGTAGAGGAGCCTGAGCAGAAATGGCCACTTGTCGCTGGTGACAGGAGTGAGAGGCACAACAAAGCTTGCCGTATCGCTGCTGTCCTGGTTGACCTCAAGAACGGTCTCGAAGGATTGTGTGATCCCCTTCTCAGCGACCGCAACCAAGAGTTGCAAGATGCGGCGCACAAGGACTTCTCCAAAGCCTATCCCGGTATGTCCATCGTCAACATCCAGCATGTCCCGACTCTGCTGTCCAAGGGACAGCTTGGGCCCCTGGAATCAGAGAGCGCAGTTGAACCTTTCAACCGATGTTATGGGCTCCTGAAGTACTTCCAGCATCAACTGAAAGCCGGAAAGAACCACAAAAACCTTCGTGACAAGCATGGGTTGAGCCGAGGCTCACCAGTGAAGAGCGAGAGCATTCCTTCTTGGATGAGACCCAAGGTCCCAGGCGCCGAGACCATCCCAGTCAACCCCGCCGTTTCAATCGCAGACAAGCTCTCCAAGAAGTCCTTCGTGGCTTTATGGCACAAGAAGTTCGACGACGACGAACTCGAGGCTGCCCTTGCAGAGAAGGACAACGAAGGCGTGGACCGCCCAGACAGCCGCCAGATTCTGTCGACCGACCCCCGTGTGTACACCACAAGCATGGCCTTCCGTGATCAACTTCGTCGCCAATTTCGTTGCGCTCAACTGAAGACCACCATCTTCAAGTGCAGATTAGAATACAAGGTCGAAGATGACACCCACAACGCAGATGTTCTTCAAGGCGACTGGCACCAGATCAAAGAACTTTTGAACGACGACAAAAACACCGAGTGCATCTTCAAGCTAGGTTTTGCTCCTCTCGCAGATGGTGAGGATTTTTCATACGAGACAGACGAACACCCAAACATGGAGGGCTTTCTCACTCTTCAAGACGACGCTGAAGGAGGCAAGGACATGGTCCTTGACCAAGTCGCACTCCAGCAAAGAGCTGCCGCCCTTTCTCAGCAGGCAGGCTCCTCGAACGAAGTACTTCCTCAAAACCCCAACCAAGAAGCACTCATGAAGTTCGTCGATGCGTCCATGACCCCCGGCAAGGGTCCTCACGATATCGGCAGCGCACCTGATCCCTCTCTGAGGTTTGCAGGTAACAGGGACCTGCTTTTGAAGCACTTCGATGGCAAGGACGTCGATGATCCCGAACAACTTCGCCTGTGGCAGCAGACAGTCTTGGATGATATTGCCAATGCCGTCCCCTCTACCTCCAAGACCGACCAACCAAAGAGAGGCACTATCTCCAAGGATGCAGAGAAGAGCCTCCAAGATGCCGCATTTTTCGGCATGATTGCAGCAGAGGCTCGGGAGAGGAGAGACGACGGCGAAACCTAAGCCACCGCCTCCGACACCCAAGCTCGCCAAAAGGAAGTCGAGGAAAACGAGCGTTATTATACCTTGCGCTCCACATACTCCGGTACCCAAGCCCAGACTGGTCCCCCGTTAGATCTCTGCGTAGCGCTTCTTGCTTGCGAGAAGCAAGAGAACGGACTTTATAAGTCTAAGCTCCTTGAAGGGCTTACTTCATCGAGCTTTTACCACTATCAGCTCGGTGGCGCTATCGGTTGTATACTCAAGCTGTATGGAACAATCGACGCAGAGAAGCTCCTAGCTGCTGCGCCCCAGCCTTACGCCTTCGACGCTCAGAAGGTTAGAGAGGCTGCCGAAGTACTTCGCGACCTGATGGTTCACGGATGTCTGCTCTGCGATGATGTTGGCTTTGGGAAAACCAAGCAAGGCCTTCTCGTGGCATGCCTCAACCAGCTGCTTAGCCACGATACCAATCCTGACTATCCCGAGGAAGTTCTTCACAGACCGAGTCTGCTAGTGGTACCATCCAGTCTGATCCATCCCTGGATTGTAGAGATTCGTGAGCATTGGAAGTGCTTCGAGTTGGTCGTGTCTTTCGACGACCACAATTTCAAGAAGCAACTTGGTCACAGGACACTCACCCGATCTGATATGGCCAACTTCCCTGATTCGATCCCAGACCACCTGAAATGGGCCTTCAATCCGAGAGATAAGGCTGCCAGGCGCGCTCTTGTTATTACCTCATACGAGACACACAAGGCTCGTACAGTCATTCGTCACATGTCTACAGACAAGCAGGGAGTGCACCATAATCCCCCTCTCAAGAAGCCCAACGGCGAATGGGACTACAAAGTAAAGCCGAAACGCAGAGTAACTTGGGAGACCAAGTTCAGCGGTGTATTTGGTTTCTTGCTGGCCGACGAGAGCCAGAAAGTCAAGAATTACAACTCCGGGGTTTCTGCAGCCCTCTACTCCCAGAATATACCAAAAATGGTGCTCATGACGGCGACTCCCTTTCACAATCACGTCCGAGACTTGCTTGGCCTTACCCACCTCTTGTCTACAATGGCTATCAAGCAGCTGAAGTCCTTCGTCTCCAACGACCCATCCATCGCTGCCAAGATGCAGGACATCCAGGCTAGCGATGCACCTTTTGCCGAACTGGACCAGCTCGACCCCACTGATCCACTCCGTCTCTATGCCATCAACGCCAGATTACTGCTGCCGGTAGTCAACGCCGACCAAGACGCCATACACAAAGTGGTGATGAAGCTAAAGCCAGTCCTAGAGACTGTGATGATCCGCAGAAGTGCTTCGTCGGAGCTGCCTGTAACCACAGGCGAGCCCATCAAGCTTCGCGACATGTTCAAGAAGATAGTCCGCAAGACTGTATCTGTTTCCCGCATTGGGGAAGACGAGCTTGAATACCAGATATGGCACAAACAGGCGGCATGGTAAGTACTCCCAACACTCATCCTCTCCGGAGAAGTCCTTCTTGCGATTACTACTGTTGATCGCTTAGAAGTACTTCTCCATCAAGTGCCCATCTGTTATTTGGAGATCATTAACTAACTGATCAAATTCGTAGTGATTTTACCGAGAAGTTAAAGGGACGCAAGGCCGAAGTCGCACCACCACCAGGACAGCCGACACCCGTAGCCGCTCCTGCACCTTTTTCCATGCCCATGGGACCCCTTCGCAAGCTCTCCCTTGCTAACTTTAGTACGAAGATGGCCCGATTGGATGCCACCATGGAATCGTTAAACGGCAACACCCACGTCGCAACCTTGCAAAAGTGGCGCGAGGCAGGAAAGGAGGCAGAGTTCCTGGTTGAGCTCACTCGTGGTGCGGGTGAGAAGAAGCCTGAAACCGCCGCAGAGATGGCAAAATGTCTGGCCAAGGGTTCTCCGACTATGTCGCTAGTCTGCCGCGAAGTACTTGCCGCTCGCATTCTTGATCCAGTGGATCCGCAGAAGTACAAACAGCACCAGAAGCTCCTCATTGGAGAGGCTACGCCAGTCAACGCTTACTGGATTATGTCAACGCTGCGTGCCTTGTGCATCGATGCTCGAATCTTGCACGCCGGTCTGTCCAACAAGGCCAAGGCCGAAATGGTAGATCTCTTTAACGACCCAAAGAGCAGCCTGAAGGTGTTGATCATGATGTATGACGTTGGAGCTTATGGCCTCAATCTTCACGAGGCCTGCAATCGCATCCTTATCACGTCGATCGCCAGATCTTTCGCCCTCGAAGAACAACTTTGTGGGCGTACTAACCGCGTAAGTCCAGAAGTACTTCTTGAGCCAAGTGGTGACTAACAATGCACAGATCACGTCCATCTTCAACACAATTGTGACAAGACGATTCATTCCGAACTCGCACGACATTTTTCGATCCAGCGCTCAAGCAGACAAGGCCACCGTCCAACTGGCTACCAATGCACAGGACCCAAAGATCAGGGAACTCCTTCTAGAGCAACTTCAGAAGATCCAAGTCGAGGTAGACGAGTGCCATGCGAGCCCAGCCGGCCAGGCACTGAAGAAGCAAGTACTTGAGCACGCAAGCCGACGAGCCGCAGGAGAGGCCCGACTTGCTCCCATCGAGGAAGTACTTCCGGACAGAAGAAGCTCGCTGCGTCCCAGGGCCAACAACCGCCAGACCTTCTACGATGACACCTGCAGCAGGTGCGACGAGGCCGTCACAAGCAATGAAGCATATCTCTGTGATAGGTGCTCCGAGCCGGGTCACGCTTATTGTGTTGGTCTGGATGAAGAAACTTCCAGAGAGACAACATTTGTCTGCAAGACGTGCGTCCTCAACAATGTCCTGGGCGAGGTCGAAGAAGGACTTCTCACCGCTGAAGGCGCCGTGATCTTCGCTGATGGGGAAGACATTGATGCCTACGTCGACCACGATGACGAAGGTGAGGAAGCCACAGGCGAATACGGTCGCAGTTTGTATCAGCAGCAGCTTGAAGATCAACTGTTCGACGATGATTTCGACCTTATTCTGGGCGATTCAGACATGGCCCAGTTCGCGAGCGACTGTCAGCCTAACGACGAGGACCGCCGTCGATTGGTGCTGCTGTCGCTCGATACCAAGAAGGTCTGGCAGGACAGCGACCTAAACCGCGAGAAGTTCTTGCGTATCGGTCTGTTGTTGCTGTTCAACATGATTCAAGGCAAGAACGACTTGGCCACCAGTCGTTCGATTCATATCCACTATGACCAATTCTCAAAGCAAACCCGCGAGAAGGTGAATAAGGATATGAGGGTTACGAAGAAGATGGAGCATGACCTGCTCAAGCGTGTCAACGCCTAAAGTTTGACCAGAGGAGAGAACGTTCTACTGTAATAGGCTTCCGAAGGGAGTGTCGTGAGACACTGTCCGGCTGGGGCCGATTTACAAGGACTCGGGAAGGACTTCCAGAAAGATGAGAGCATGATACGCTTGTGGTTTCGAAAAAGGAGAGAAAGTTCTACTGTGATAGACTTCCGAAGGGAGTGTTTCAAAACACTGTCCGGCTGGGGTCGACTTACAAGGACTCGGGAAGGACTTCAAGATGGATGGTAGAGAGATAGGTTTCTACTGTAGTACGCTTCTCAAGGGAGTGTCTCGACGGCACTGTCCGGAAAGGGCTAATCCACAAGGACTTGGTTAGAACATCAGATAGTCATGATCAACTAGCCAAGATTATCTCTCATTCTTTTGCGTTTGGCGTATGTGCATGCATTGAGGAACTCTCGTTTACATCTGTGAGACCAAAGACAGCATCTATACAATATGTTTATACACATCCAGCGGCAGTGTCAAATCATTCTATGGTTCGGGGGTCGAGTTGGTACAGGAGCTATGGAATTGGAAGTACTTCTGAATCAATGCATCGTCTCTGTTCGGGAAGCAATTCTATATGCAGTACGACCTCTGTCTGGCAGCTATAATTCTCACTCTATATATACATAAAAAGTGCGTCTTCTGTAGAGCGCAAAATCTATCCTCAATATCAATGTAAAAGCAAAAGTTGTGTTACTGAGAAGTGCTTCGTGAGACTGAGTTGAAAAGCGGAGGTCAATGCTCAGTTGTGAGAGAATGGTGCAGAGCTGAATAGCAATGTACAAGAAAGGCTGTGCTGCTAAGAAGTGCTTCGTGAAACTGAGCTGGAAGCAAAGGTCGATGCTGGATCATGAAAGAACGGTTGAATGCCGTGAGAAGGACTTCTCAGACCGATGTGGATGCAAAGACTGTGTTGCCGAGGAGTACTTCGCACGACTGAATGGAGAAGCGAACGTCAATGTTCAGGTATGAGAGGACGGTGGAGGGCCGTCAGAAGGACTTCCTTGGGCAGGACCGTCAAAGTCCAGCTGCTTCTCGGCTCTTGACTTTTTTTTTGCTCTCTTTCGGTCTTTGCCAGACACATAGTCAGGATACCGGCTGTGATCTTTACGGAATCTGTAGCAGGCTGCACAGACATAGGCTTTGAGCGACGTATCATAATACCATTTGTGCGTTTCGGTGGTATTGCATCCACTGTTTGCGCAAGCGCTGTTGGGGATTCTGGCTTCTCTGCCAGCAAGGGGTCCTCTCTTTTTCTTAGTGGCAGTGCTTGGAGCTGAAGCGGCCTCATTTGCACGCTTTTTAGCCAGAGCGGCTTTCTCATCCAGGCTGCGAAGTACTTCAGGTGATGGATAGCTTCCCTGCCTGACGTGGTAAGAATCACAACGACCACAAACTCTGTCGCCCAAGTCTTCATCTGCGTCTCTGTCTCGTAACCAAGTCGGCGACTCGGTTGACATACAAACGGCACAGACGTATGCCTCCCTCATCCTCTGACTTCTAGCACGTTCATTCTCCGTATGCCTCTCCCGCCTGTTCTCCGCGGCTACCGTCTGACGGTCGGAAAGTACTTCTGACTGGACATCGCTCCTGTTGCCTTCACGGAGTACCATGGACTTGTTGTACGGTTCAACAGGCTGGATGAATTTGAGGATGCCGTACGACGGCAAGGAGTTCAATGCTGCCAACGCGGGTATCCTCATGTTCGTACCCAGAAGCTGCCTGGTGATGGCTTCTGCGAAGCGGTCGAAGTACTTGTCCCGGATCTTCTCTTTACATGTAGCCAACACGAAGGGCTTCAGCGGATACCTCGGATCATCAATGGCAGAGTAGACTGGCAGTGGCCATTTCGTCTTTGTCCGAAATGATTCATTCATGTGGTCTGAGGTGCGTTGTCTCATTCCGCTGGCGTTGGCAGTCTCTCCACAGTGAATGGGCAGAGATCTGGGTTGGAGCTGGGTGTGCTTGGGCACTCCACCAAAGAAGTACGATCCGCAGTGATGACTGTCGGGTTTGCATTCTGGATCATCGTGCAAGTCGGCCAGAGCGAAGTAATCAATTCCTCCTTCCTGGCCCAAGGTAGCTTTCAGTGGAACCGGGCAACCTTCGATGTATCTAGTGGCAAGTACTTCAGCGCCATGCACCTCCACGAGTTGTGTTTGACCTGTGTGGACAGAGTCTTTGTTGCGGTCGACATAACCGCACAGGTCTTGGACGACCTCGATAATAGCTTCTTCGGTACGTGCGATCGCTCTGGCACGCTCAGCCTTGAACGAAGCCATGTTGAAGGTGGCAAGGGCCGGGAACAGCTTCTTGGGAGGTGACCTTGGAGCGATGAATGGGAACTCGAAGTCCTTCTTGGCCAGAGAGCCATCGGAGGTGGATGTAGTTTCAGAAGGCTTATAGGGTGGAAAGGCATCATAGTCGAACGGAGGATCATCAAAAAGGATGGGACTGTCGGACGTGTTCTTGGGTAGATAACCATTAAGGCCGTATGGGTCATTGAAGTCCTTCTTGTTCAGAGAGTTGTCAAGGTCGGATGGGTTGTTGAAGGGCTTCTTGGACAGCGAGCCACCAAAGTCCAACGGGGTTTCGAAGTCCTTCTTGTACGGAGAGTCATCGAATGCGAAGGGGTCGTCGAAGTTCTTCTTGGGAAAGGCATCAAGATTGATGGGAGCATCGGGGACATCCGTAATTGGGGAGACATCGAGACCGCACGGGGTGTACAAGGCCTTCTTGGTTGGACCATTGGAGAATGAGCCAGCTTTTGTCGGCTGCTTTCTGCCACCAGCCTTGAAGAAGGCGGTGATTTTGATATTCGAGCCCATTCGTAGCGGGAGGTGGGTCAAAGAAGTACTTCACAAACAGCGATTGTCTCAAATGCGGATGTAGATGGTTGTGTTTTCCGAGGACAAGAGAAGGAAAGACGCCGAAGTTGCTTACCTTGTTCTACATCGAGGAATGGCAGCCGCTTTCAGTTGCTCCTGCCATCTCAACCACCGCAACCACGGAGCGCAGCCACGTCTTCAACAGGTCTCGACGAAATTCTAGAACTGAAAATTTTCAGACATTCGATAGAGAGTCGCAATATAAAGACTTTATTAGCTCGATTCAAAATCGCTAAACCAAAACAGATCGAGTAACGAAACAGTACAAATGCGAAGACGTGCATCATTTGTGCACCTCACCCCAACCATACTGCTTGTTGCCGGCATTACCACCTTCCCAATAACATTTCGAGTCTTCGAATTCGCCGTCCATCTTGTAGAACATCCACTCGCGAGCAACATGCTCGGCCTTCTTCTTATCTCTGATCTTCATGTTAAACTTGAAGGGCAAAGGTTTGGCGATCAGCAAACTCGAATACTCGAGCGTAGGATCAGGCTTTGAAGCCTTCTCGTCAACGGCAGAGTTGAACATGTTGTCTACGGCAGGCATATCAGATGTACCTGCCATCGCAGTGCGAGCTTTTGGCGATGAAGGCGGGGTATTTGGGCCAGTGTGTTGTTCAAAGAAGGCTGGGAACTGACCAGGCAGGGACGAACCTGGTAGTCGCAGCTTGTAGGTGACTGTTCTTGCTCGGCTGAGTCCCTTGGCGAACTCGAGGTTCTTTGGTCTCCTGACCGTCTCTTGACGAGAGATTTTGCATTTGTCTGTTGGCAGCATTTTTTCTGAGAAGTGCTCGTCGAGGAGTTCTTCGATCTCAGTTTCGGAAGGAGGTGTTTCCATGCCTGTCTCCATTGGTGCTGATTTGACGGGCGTTCTGGGCAGTGATGATGGAACAGGCTCTTCCGGGAGTTCTGCAGCGCTCTCGGGCTCGGTGTCACTGGCGCTGAGAGTGAACATCCAAGCAAGACTGCCAATACCGACGAACAAGTCTGCCTCAGCGACTCCCATACCCGCGCAGATACGACGACCATAACCAAACTGGCTGTATTGCGTGATAGTAGGATATTTAGTCAGAGGCTGTTGATAAGTCGGATACTTTGTTTCTAGCCATCTCATTGGGTTGAACTCATCGGGCTCAGGGAAGACTTCGGGGTCACGGCTGATGGACCACTCGAGAGGATGCATGACAGAGCCGGCGGGGATAAAATAGCCTTCATAGATGTCGTCTTTTACAGATTCGTGTGGGATTCCTGTAGGTACAGGAGGCCGCCACTAGCATGCTGCGTTAGCTTGGGAATTTGCACAGCCATTGGTAGGAAGACATGACTTACACGCATTGTTTCTCTGATGAAAGCTCGTAGCACAGGCATGTCTGGCATATTACTGAGTTTTGGGAGTTCATCGCCACATACTCTGTCGATCTCTTCATGGAGAACAGCTTGATATTGAGGATAGTGGCACATGGCGAGGCAGAAGCTCTGCATTGGTGCAGCAATGGTAAGAGCGCCAGCGATACCATGCATACCCACAGCGTAAGCACCTTCTAGATCGGAAGCAAACCCGGTAGTAGCCTTGTTCTCAAGAAAGTGGCGCATCCACGACTCTGGCGCAGTCTTGTTCTTGAGCTTCTCTCTGACCTCGTTCTGCAGAATCGTGAAAAATCGACTCTCGGTTCTGTATCTGCGGAACTCCCAAGCTTTTGCTGGGACGATAGCTTCGGGAAGCTTCTTGAGAAAGCCGAGCTTATTGGTGAGTGCACCATTAGGCGATACACCTATGAGTAGCTCTCTGGCTCTCTGTTTGAGCTCATCAGAGGGAGCTGCAGTACCCCACCCTAGTCTGCAAGTCACTCTTGAGATGAAAGATTCCAAAGCATGATTGTACCGAGAAGGGTCTGTCATGAGTTCGAACAGGAGACGAACCGACTCCAGCTCAGGATAGTTGTAGAATGCGTTGGCAGATGACTTGTTCATAATTTGTTTTGCAAATTTTCTCTGCCTGGTCCACAGTTCTTATCAAAGTCAGCAAGATACTTCGATCAAGGATCATATCTTAAATACCATTACGAGACATCAGTGGGAGGTAGTGACCAGAATTCCGATTGTCTGCCTGGAGTGATGGAATGAATGGACGCTCAGAGTTGTTGGCTGCACGCTTGCCGAGCAGTTCTTGAGCAACGCCATCTCGTGTGATCCAGACATGGTTCTGGCCAGCAAGATTGGTTTGATAGATAGGACCAAATTCTTGTCCCCATTCGTGGAACTTGAGAAAACTGTTCTTGTCTGGCACGTCTGGTACACTACCGAGAATTGGATATCCTAGAGACGTTAACCAGTATCCGAACAAGACGCGGGCGCTTAAGACTTACCCTTGGGGCCAGGCAATCTCTGTATTCCTGCCGGCAACTGGTTCTTCTTCGTACTGTTGATATAATTTATGAAAGACACCACAGCGATCACAACGACCACAGCGATGAGTGATATAAGTGCCATGCTGAGTGCCTATAACTCGAACGTCTGTCGAGGTGCTGGAGGTTCAAGGATGATTATGTATTACAAAATGAAATCATATGTCCCAGTGTGGAAGAAAAAGAATAAAGGGGTCGAAAGATGGGAAAGGAGATGTGTAGAAGAGAAAAGGCAAGTCGGAGAACCTAGACAAAGAGTACCTAGATTATATATCGATAATTCATCGAGTCTTGCTACACCCACTCAGCATATCATTCTGACAGGTGGCTGGTATCGAGTCCGAGACCCGCAGAAGATACCTCTGGCAGAGACCAGGCCACTAGAGGGCTTGAAGCAATCGATACCAAGCTGCTCTCTAGTGATACTATTCCTGTTCGCTCCACAGTAGTTGCATAGCTGAAGTGATCGTCCAGTGGTTCGCGCCGCGACGGCCGAGCCTTGGACTCAGAAACGCATTGTGTTTTGCCTGTCTTGCTCCCAACCGTGCATACAACCATTCTATCATCCGTCTCGGCATGACCGATCTGATCGCATGCTAGGAACGGAATTGCAAATGGGTTGTATCCAGTGACACGGCTTGGCCAGTTCAGAGGAGTAGACGTTCTAACAGCGGCAAGACCATGCAGCCAACTACAGCTTTCTGTAGAGCCTGGAGCCACGATATCATAGGTGATTGACGTTTCGAACGCTGTCTCCTGTTGGTGACTAGAAATCTTCGTTTGAACCTAGGCATGTGAAACAGGGCCTTTTCCGCTCACGTTACAACCTTCCCTGATGGCCGTGGACATTGGACACATCGCGTGTGAGCGGGGCACGATCATCGAGCCAAGTGACCTAACTTGGTGTCTTCCATCTCGAAAGAGTTATCGCCATCAAATGACATGTCTTATGCTCAGGAGACGTGAGTGGTCGTGGTTGAGGATTAGTGTGCACTGGCCAACCAAAGGATTGTCTTCAGGTCTGGCCAATCGGATCTTTGTGCACGTTTCCTCCCGCGTCTGAATTTCAACCTCACCTTTGCACATTCCGATGAGGAGACCCGAACGCTCTTACCAAAATCATTGCTGGTGGCTTGTCCAAGAGCTGCAGAATTATGTCATTGTGGGCGTAGAAGGCTGCTGGCAGTAGAATCGATCAGCATTCGGTCCTCCAGCGACCGAATAGAAGGAGCCCTATCAGCATATATCAATTCCTCTACGGCAATCAACACCCATACAAGCTGAGCGTCCCCTCACCTTTAGCCCATTGCATGCTCGGCACATACACCAGGATTCGTTCTTGCTTCGCCACGCATTCAATACCAATGCGCATGTCTTGGAAGCTCGTGTCGCATCCCGACTATTGCTCTTTGCATGCCCTAGTGAGTGTGGATCTCTGCCATCTCCTCCTCACCTTGGCAGAACCCAAGAGCCTCTGCTGACATATCTGAACGGAGGATTTATAAACTCCATATTCCTTCAGACATTTTCTTGTAGCTGCAGCTACCTCGAGCCGCAGGGCTTGGACGACTTCTCGTGCAGCGGTAGATCGACGTTCTTGACCTGTGCATCGTCAGCCTTGTTCGAGAGCCACCACTGCTCAGAGTCAGTGTTCTATCGTACCCAGGACCAGCCCTGTCAAGCCGTGAGCGCGAGGATGGCTTCGTTAGTCAAGCCAGAGATCGTATGTGGCTGCATAAGGCAGCTTTGCCCACTCTCGGCGGATGTCATTATTGATCTTTTGCCGAAGGTCACTGCATCCCTGTGGATTCGAGATGCCCAGCTATTGTCCAAGAAATGTAAGGCTCCATGAGTGTGAAAGATCGATCCTATACAGTCCGACTGCTAGTTGAGGAGTGGCAGTGCATGCAACTCATCCGGACATCTTTCGCCTGGGCTGCATTGTGCTATTTGCCTGCTGCAACTGCCGGCCTCGAAATCACCTCTTGTATGTTCTCATGTGGTATAGTGGTCAGTCTGCAACCAATGTTGGCAAACTTGATCCAGCATGAACGTTCCCATGACGATGTTTCTTACTGCTTCGGTATCCAAGTCAGAATCAAGATGAGCTTGGCATCACCTCGAGTTGGTCGCAATCAAGACTCGAAGAGTCAGGACTCACTGACATTCTGACTACCTCAATCCTGCCGGATAGCTCGTGCCATGCAGTATTGCTTTACCGGTCAAATCAAGATTTACGTGCGCACACCGAAGCTATCAGACCGACTCAACGATCTTCCTCCAATACTGCAAACCTCGCACGAAGACGGTGACCAGGAATCATGGCTTATGATACTCGTTTTACTCATGCCAATGAACGTCAGAGGATATGTCTTCCGACTGAACGTCCAGTAAATCGATGCAGTCATTCAACAAAGGTTACAGCGATACACAGTCACCCTGTGATGTATTGGTTGAGTTATCTAAGCTCGGCTCTTGCATTCATGTGTCTGTACTGGATGCCCATCATTTAGTGTGCTGGCATGTCCGTTATCAGGCCAATCGATGAGTGAGAACTTCTGGTATGATCGCCAGTCGTCAAGATCTGCTTGCATCTTGCTGCAGTTCACAAATTGCATGTAACCACTACCAACGCCGATCCAGGGTACACGAAGATCTTACACCGGCGTTTGTGGCACAACGCACGCAATCAAAAAGTCACTCCCTGCATGTCCGTGTACATTCCTCTACAGTCGTATTGTTGGAGGAACACCTAGACCAAAATCCGCACTGGTACTCGTCTACTGCTTTCCCTCCTATGAGCTTGACATTCATTGTTCAAGACATGGTGTTTTCCACATCTCTAGTCCTTTGACTTTGGAGAAACAAAACTTGCATATCACCAAACAGCAAAAGCGTTGCGCAGAGCTCTCGCCCCGTGTCTCCTCATGAACCTGACCCGATTTGAACGGATGACCTTGTGGATGTCCCGAAAAGACTGGAATCACACGCGCTACCGCTGCGCCACAGGTCCAACATAAAATGCAATTCCGGAGGATACCAATTATGTTGTCTGCTAAACAAGGCTAGCTTTGACGTCCGTGCGTTAGTGAGGCTCGTGCGCCGCGCTCTCACTCAAGACCCACTCATGTCTCAAGTCGTACACTCTCTGTTCCGCCAGCTTTTGACCAGTCACCTCCTTGTCGTCGACCCAACGCTCTACGTAGTATCCATTCTTTGCTTGTAATCTCTTCTTCCCCAAGCGTTTCTGGATTCTGTCGTCTATTCTCGTCGATTAGATTGCTTCCGTGCAGTGCCTTCAAGATGACATCGTCCGCTGGCCTAGCGAAGTACACCAAGCTCATCCGTGTATGACTGGCTTGCTGACCTGGAGGGTTGACGACACGATGGATGTTTGAGCGTAGGATCCCGGCAGTAAGTTTGACCATGGCATCGCCTAGGTTGATAACTGCATGTCCCCGTAGTGGCTTCACGTAAGACCATTCGTCCGAGTTTGGAGGCAACACTTGCAGCCCTCCCAGTCTATTAAACAGGATGGTGACACTTCCGAAATCTGTGTGCTGACCCAGTGCTGTTCTTTGGTCGTCTGTTGGTTGAGGTGGTGCATTGACCCAGCGAACCTGATCACCAGAAATCGAGGCCAGTCTATGCAAAGATGGTAACTTGTCGCACGGAAGGCCCAGTTGACGGTTGAGCAAACTCAGCAGTAAATTCACCAGGGCGTGAGAGTGTTGCATGAAAGACTTCAACAATTCTCGATGGGGCTCAAGTAGTTCGGGAGCAGGGAGTGGCTCAGAGAGTCCTAGGATGTCATCTTTCGAAACCTGGCGGTCTGTAAGCATATGCCTCCCTGAATATTCAGAGGCTCCTTACATTGTAGAATTCGTTCCGATCTTTTGTCCCTTTGGCATTGATGATGCCTTGGCCGTACCCCTTATAACCGAAATAGCTTCCTTGATCCTTTAGATCGTACTTGATCTTCTCTTCAACAGGCAGGTCAAATATTTCCTTGCCAATTTCAAACAGATCTTTGGCATCCTGAAGCAGTCGTTCGCCATCGATGTCAGCATCGAAATCTCTAATGTTCTCAAGTTTATTCGATTCAACACCCCCGGTGGCCGAGTCGGCTCTGCCAACCTCTTCGCAGATTTTCTCAGTCAAACCGTTTACTGAGGTAGGCTTCAGAGTGAGTTTTTGATCGGTCGAAGCACCACGGAGGTCGAGGTAGAAGAAGCCAAGCTCACGGCAAGCTTTCCATAACTTGTCGATCTCCCCTTGGTCGCCTTGAACGAGTTTGCTTAGACTTATTCGGAGAAGTGGCGCCGTGGATACATCCTCTGGAAATGGCGGCGAGTCCAGGAAGTTCAGATCCGCGTCGGGATGCTCTGCTTTACTAAGTCTCGACATAGGATGTATAAGTCGAGTGTTTTCGCTTGACTTGAGGCTTATACTGTGCGTGGATACAGTTCAAATGGAAGCTGGAAAATTATGAGGAGACATGGTTGAGATCGACCACCTTATATGTACCTCCGAGGTTCCCCTCATCTTGCGGCAAACTTACGATATACACGGGACGCACTTGCTATAGCCTATAGCGCTTTCAAGCACTTGAGTATAGGTACACACATACTTGCGAATACTGTCATATTCGAGAAACAACTCAAGCCTCCGAGGTGGTGCTGCCGGTCTGTGCAAATAAAGCGACGCGAGTGACGCGACGCAAAGATGTTGCGGGTCGCGATGAGCATTTCTTGAGGTCCCACACAGCCAACACCAATCATTAACAACAGCTCAATGGTCGTCCCTGATCAGATGCTATAGTGGTCGACATGGTTCGCCAAAAAGTACAACATCTTCATATGTCATCGATAAAGCATCCATTCCTATTCTATGACCAGAATCCCCAAGCCCTGCTAACGAATTCGCATGTAGCAACGGAAGCAGCGACCAAAGATTTGACAGGCGCAATATTCACCAGGCCCGATGCCATACCCATCTCCCCCTCATCAACCACAGAGTCAATTCTGCGTACAGTCCGATCGACTGGATGTTCAAGTTCCTCCACCCATGCAAAGACAACATCTGAAAGTTGAGTCGCACAGCATTGCTGACACAAACACCTTCTGGCCAAATTGACAAGATGTTCTGCTTCATTCCAACCATGGCCGACTTCAAGGTTGGTCTTTGGGAAAGAGATGGCTGGTGGCAGCGCGTTGTGTGAGAGGACTACTTTACATTGTTCGGCTAGTAGTCCGTTCCCCTTCTCGCCAATGCAATGATGGATGCTGCGAGTACTGGAGATATCTTCAAGTCTGGCAATGTGGTAGAGATGGATCTCAACAGGTGGTTCCATAATCCTGACGGGTTGTGGATGATCCATGTAGTAGAAGTATTCCAAGTCTTCGAGTTTGGTGCGGTTTCAAAAGCCATTCTGATGGGTTGTGATGTCGTAGTGATGATACCAAGAACCAGGATAGAATTTGAAGTGGCCCAAATATGATGTGCGGTGGTTGGATCTAGGGTGGGAGCATTTGAAGATATAAATATCCATGACTTGGTGCGATGAGTGGTGAGTCAGGGTGAGCATATTTCCTGCGACCAAGACATGGCTTTGGGCTTTTCTTTGTAACCACTTGTCGAGATCGCAGAAAGACTCAGACGCTTCTAAGAATACCATGTTGAATCACATGAGCAGATTTCTGAGCGAGACTCGGCTGATAAGAGTCAGGTCATCGAGACATCATCTCACATACCTGATATTGCCTCTACGGCCGAGGAACGTCTAAGACCTTGAATTCATGCTCTGTATACCCTACCATCTCGGTCAGATGCGGAAGACACACGAGAACTCGTGTTTGCGAAAAAGGTCAAGAATGCGGATCAAGTAGGAAAGCAAAAGTAAAGCATCAGGGGGCAGAAATAGAGCTCGTAGATATGATGTCGATCATTGAAAGTGTCGATCATCTCATAGACAAATGAAATGACCAAAATATGTAAGACACATAACATCCGTGTATCAACAACGCAAACCCACCAGATTGCCACCCTGGCCCGTTACAAACTATCCTCAGCACTCACATACCGTATACCGAATTCTTCGAGACCAGCTCAAGCCAGTGTGATACGATTGTTCGCAAGCTTCCACCAGCCATGCATCCACAATCTAGAAGTAGTAGCCGTACCATTTACATTGGCTCAAGAGTCTCGACAACGTGACGAGAAGTCGGGGTCAACCGCATCTTGTATAGCTCACCAGAGCATTGGCTCAGTCCAGCATTGAGCTCTTTGATCGTGCCAACCATCATCGCTATATCGGTGTGATCGATTGCCCTTTCGCTCTGAAGCTGCTGCTGAAGGCACGAATTCTGCGCCTCGAGCCCGGTAATCTTTTGCATGAGCTCGGCAAGTCTTGAGGTTCCGTCAGCAAGTAAATATGCATTTCGGCTCTCGAGATCAGCAATTCGGGCGGTTCCGTCAGCGATCAGATATGCGTTGCGGTGCTCGAGTTTGGCAATTCTTGCAGTTCCATCCGCGATCAATTCTGCTTCTCGGTGCTCTAGCTTAGCAATCCTTGCAGTTCCATCAGCGAACAGCTCCGCATACTGCGTTGCTGCAATGTCGACCATCTGCGTGTGTTGGCACTGGAGCCTTTCATGTTCGTGCTGAAGCAGCTCGCGTTGATTACGTTCAGTTTGAAGCTCTAGTTTGAGCACAGAGATGCGCTTCTGGAAGTCGTCAGTGTCACGCCCCATTTGCTTGACCTTTAGGGCGAGTTCGACAAGGTCTCTGGGGGCGCAAGTGCGTCGTGCTTTGCGTTTCTGAGACTCTGTCCTTGTTTCTTGAGATCCAACGGAACCGGATTTAGAGCCAGAGGTAGAGCTTAAGACTTGACCTTTTTTGGAGACTTCGTAGCGCAGGAACGGCAGAAGCTATATTTGGCAAGCTTCCAGAGTTTGGCTTGGTAATCAAGATCATGAATCTGCTGATATGCGAGTGCTGTCAGAATCTCGCAAGCCGCAAAAAGTTCACAACTCTCAAGCTGCTGATGACAGTGGAGACATTTGTCACTGATCTCGCCAGCATTGATCAGATATTCAAGTAGTGGAGACATTGCGAATGTGTTGCTAGGATATTTTGGGAGAGCAATTGTTCTTTTGGGATGATCTGAAGCGAAGGAAGATGATCGTTGTTAGGGTTGTGTGTCTGTTGGGTAGAGAAACGATTTGCATTTGATATGCAAGGAAAATAGGCTTACCATGAGACCAAGTACATAGATATATCGCACAATGCTCTATTGTTCACCAACAAAGGCAGGCTCGAGTCTCGAGTCTCGAGTGCAGGAGATTGAACGGCTGAGACAGTTCAGATCGCAGCGCGTAGACTCGGGGTTTTTGCTAGCATGTTGTCACGGCTCTTTGTGCCTCTGGCTCAATGTCTCAGGAGCTGTTTTGGCCATCGTTCTCCTGATTCAGCTGCCAGAATCATGTGGCTCGGAGAGCACGCCAGATTAGCACGCGCACATCAAAGGAACAGAACAAGAGACAAAACATATGACACAAGTTTTGGCAAAACCGAAACCCCCTGGCCGCCGTGTTGCTAGATTGGTCAAGAGAAAACGCACGAGGTTTTCTTCCTTGTTTTTGTCGTGCGAGGATTACTGGGACCCCTCATGGCATTAAAGATCGGCCTTGCCGAGGATCGAACCGGTGGCCATAGGCCGACTAAGCGGAAGGAACACTACTTTGACCGCTGCACCAGACCACCAGTTCGATGTAAGGAATCCTAACTGGCATCACTATAACACCAATTTTCCGGATGAGCTAGTTTTCGAATTCTCCGGTGCAGGGGTCGTCGCCGAGCTGTTTTCTGGATCCTGACGCCTTGTTGTCCTTGCGGATACTTGTTCAGGTTGAACAACGGTTGGTTCGATCAGTCCAGGATTCGTTTCCAGGTTTCATGCATGCCGTTGTTGACGATGAGCCTGGCGGTTAGCGGCATTTCCAAATTCCTAGCAAGTCATCTGCCGAGAAGTCAGGCTCGACAACTTTGACGGCCACGCGCATCTGACGATCTTGTATGCTCTCCTTTCTCGCCATGTCGACCTAACTGATCACCCAGCGGAACGTTATGACGAATCTCACATCCAGTAGTTTCTCTACAAGTCGATCGGACATACTAGCCGTGTGATGTAGTTTCTTTCCCGGTTCCTGGGATTTTGCGGACTGGCTGTCGAGCTCTTATGTCTCCATGTTCAAGAGATTGTGACGTGTCCGGTTGTAGAAATGCACAATGGTTTCGACGAGAGGCACAGTATCCACAGAGATGCGATTTGTTCTGGACGCTCTTGGGCCAAAGCCTCGATTAACAAACTATTATGCCTTTCCATAGACAGAATATCGCTCTACACTCCTGTGAGAGGATGGTGGGAGCTGCGGCATCAAGCACATGGGAAGGTCGGCCCAAGCTATCAAGTCATCATCGCCTCTAGTCCAGGCCTCTTGTCTTCCAGTATCCAGTGACAGTAGCCATGTCCGTCCGGACCAGATTTTGTTCCGAAGACAAGTGTGATGGATTGTGGCCTTGAAGCCAAGCAGAGATGTAGTGGACAACGAGCGGGCATGTTCGGGGAAGCTGCGACCCCCGAAGATTTACCGCATTCATGTTTCAACTTTCGAAGCGTGCATACCAAGATCCAATGGAAGCAGCAGTTTAACATCTAGCCACCCCATTTCCCGCCATGGCCTCAGCAGCAAAGAGCGCATGCCGCACGGCTGCGCGCCAATTGCGCACATCTCAATACACACCTGCCAACACTCTCACACGACCATTCAGCACCTCTCGCCGCACCCTCGCCGATGCCGACAAGAAAGATGCTTCTTCAGCAGCAGGCTACTTCAACAAGACCTTCTACAACCGCCTCGGCCGCGACGACCAAGCAGCATACACCGGTCTTTCCCCCTCAGACCGCGAGAAGATGGAAAAAGTTGAAGCCGCCCTGCGCGACGAATTCGCAAACGACTCCCGCACCCACCGCGAATTGGAAGAGCAAATCACCGCTGAGCTAGAGCATTTGGAAACGAATTTCCCTCCTGCGCCAGTGGAGAGAACACCCAGAAACCAGGGCTTCTTTTCGATGGGAGAGAAGGAGGATATTGGTCCTGATGAGGATGATTTCCAGGGCGATGATATCTCGAGTTTGGGTCATGCGGAACTAGAGCAGACGAGGGAGATTAGAGAGTATGCGCGTTTGGCCGGCTGGGAGATGCCTTTGTTGGCGAGTAAGTCGACACTCAGATCTGACGTCTTTTGAGCACATACTGACAGCAACTCCTCTAGATCTCGCAAAACCCTTTACACCACCTACAGCAGCCACACCCCTCCGCTTCCGCTACACAACCTACATGGGCGAACAACACCCCGCCCAACGAAAAGTCGTCGTCGAATTCGACCCCAAAGACCTCTCTCTCAACCCCTCCCACACCCAAAACCTGATCAAGCTAGCCGGCGTCCGCTTCAACCCTTCCACCAACATCGTAAAGATGAGCTGTGAAGACCACGAGACCCAAGCACAGAACAAGCGCCATCTGGGCGACACCATCAAAGCACTCATCGCAAAGGCAAAATCGCCAGAGAGCCAGTGGCTAAAGGACGTCCCTGTAGATTTCAGACACGCAAAGCCAAAGAAGAGATTCCAGTTCCCTGACGAATGGCTGTTGACCAAAGAGAGAAAGAAGGAGTTGGAAGCAAGGAGGGAGGCTAGACAACTTGCCGAGCAGACAAAGAAGGACAGCCCGGCTGGTTTGATCGACGGTATCAAGGAGATTGAAGAGGCTAGGAATATTGATTTGTCTAGAGTGGAGGCTCCCATGATGGCAGAGGCTCAAAGGCCAATGGCAAAGGGCAAGCAGGGTAAGAAGGAGATGAGACAGGGAAGAGCATAAAAAGTGCCTGCCTTGACACAACACTTGTACGATACTTTTTCTTCATTGTAAAAAAACTGGAAGCTCACGAGCATGTTGAACGGGTGTTACTACCTTGTTGGCTTTCCATCTCCTCTGTCTCCTTTCCTTCAAATCACTCACGAAACGCACTCGAACACACAAAATCAAGGCCAAGCACCCCTCAACATCCTCTCCTCCTGCCACTCAAACCGTCCCCAAATCTTACTCAGCCCATCCTCAAACGCCACATCCTCCCTCCTAACATCTTCCGGTCTCAATCTCAACACCTCTCTATTCACATCCACAAACTCGTGTCTCGTAATCGCAATATTGAACGCAAAACTACTCCTCGCAAACCCTGCCAAACTCGAACACCTCCTCAAGACCTCATAGTCCACTAGACCCTGTTGATCCCAAGTCAGTGCTTCCAAAGCTGCAAGGTCCGGGCCAGTGAGTAAAGAGGCTTTGGAGGTTACGTTGATGGAATGCAGTGACCATGCTTTTTCTGCGAAACGAGATGTTTCGGTGGCGTTGCCACTGGCGACGTAGATGATGGGCAGATTGTGCTCGAGGGCTTGGGAAAGGTAGGCATCTGTTTGACCGGTGTAATTTGCGTGTGCGGCTGCTGCTTCATTGTCTAGCCACCCTGCAGCTTTTGCATCGTTTTCGGTGCGTAGGTGTGCGCCTAGGAAGGAAGAAGGGTAGTAGGGGAGTCGAGGGTCGATGGTGTGGAGATGGTATTTCAGAGCTAGGTTGTAGGTGACGATGGCGGCCAGTCTGCGTACTTCAGGAATCAGGCGGAGGGAGTTGCCAAAGTCTCTGCGTACGGCTGTAGGAAGCGCGCGTGTGTCTAGGCCCTCCCAGAGGGTGCGGCCTACGCTGACTAGTGTTGTTTCTGTAGACTTGTCTGGTTGTGCGGATAACCAACTATCAAAGTTTTTCACGGCTGCCTCTGGTGTGTTTGGGGTTTCCGTGCCCACAGTCTCTGGCCACAGGTCTTGTCGCATGCTGGGCATGCCATATCGATTTGTTAGTGGAGGAAGCAGAGAGTGGTTGGTCGATGGCATGTAGATTTCCATCTTGGGGCATGCTGCTGCAAAGGTGGCTACAAAGTGCTCCGTGTCGAAGAAAGTGGTGAATGGTATCTTGCCGTTCCAAAGAGAGCTCAGGTCCTCGGCTGATCTGGATTGGAAGCTGGGCAGCATGATTGACGATCCAGTCAAGATGGCCAAGCCCAGGAAGTCGAAGATGTTGCCTCGAACATTTCCAATGCCACCGTTGGCATCATCTAGGTCCATCACAACGCTCGGTCGCCACTTGATCTCTGGTTTGCGACATAGATAAGAGATGGCTGATCGATTCGGTGGGTTGCCAATCTGGTTCTCCATCCATTCTTGGATAAAGGTCTCGCGGTCTACTGTCCAGGCATTGTGTATCGGTATATGGCGACTGACAAATAGGGGATTGTGTACTCGGAAGTGCCAAGCCAGAAGCCATAGTGGGATTGTCGTCAATAACACGCCAGCTATGAACCGGACTCTGTGATCTGTTGAGGTCGTGACGGCCATTTCTTATCAGTCGAGACAAGTCGACGTGGCAGAAGTGCATCACAGGATGTTTCGATCGGAGGTCAAGCGCTTGATAACCCCTTGCTTCAAGCAGCAACCCTCCACGCACCAAGATTCATACATGCAACATGCGCCAAGACTGGAGTATCTCCGAAATTGTGGTTTGATCTCTAGTAGAGGATAGTAGCTACGATGCAAGCTAATATCCAGCTCTACCGAGCAGCTTGACCGTCCTGCTTCAGATCATCAACATGACTTGCGTGCGCGAGTAAGAACTTGCAGCACGTCAGAGTGTACTTGCACGCCCTCGTCCATGCTTCCTCCTGATTGAAGGTTCCAAGCTTGATGCTGTTATCGCCGATTTTGTCCTTGCTGATCTTATAAGGAAGTCTGCGACTCAAGGCAGATGCACCCACGTATGAGGGAGACTGTTCGACATGCTCACCCAGCTGTCGCAGACACTCCAGGAAGGCGACCATAGCATTGTCGAATCCACGATGAAGGAAGCCCAACCCGAGAGGAAGGTCACTGTTGCAGAATAGATCTAATGTAGTGACTTTGGGCTTTCCAGTCCGTGATTGATCGTTCGCTGGATATTCTAGCTTTTCGATCTTGGATGTTGAACCTATCGGAAGAGGTCTGTATCCGTGGAAAGTGTAGCCCAGCTTCTCAGCAACAACGGTCAACAATAGAACACAGAGTCCCCATGCAGCATTGATCTCTGGCCACTCAACAGAATGATCTGCAAGCTTGCCCAATCTCAATCCGTTGATAGTACCGAAAGGACCGTCATGATCAATACAGAACGAGTCGTTGTAGACATTCGTCCGCTGCAAAGTCTCGAGTAACTTCGTGTCAAACTGTAGTTGATTGAGGAGACTGTCGTTCTGATCTCTGAACTTGGTCACGGTGTCATCAAACTCGTTGCGTTCTCGCCAGAAAGCGGCTTCCTCCTCTTCCAGTTCGGCTTCTTCGCGGTTGAGAGCGGCAATCTCTTCTTCCATGGCAGCCTTTTCTGCTTCGAGAGCTTCCAACTCCTCGAGGGCTTTCTGTTCCTGTTGTTTGGCAGCAGTCAGAGATTCACGAGCTTGGCGTTGCTCTTCTTCTGAGGGAACATCCTCCTTGGCTTTCTTGAGGAACTCTGCATATGCTTGACGCTCGCGGTGTGCGGTCGTCTGTCTCTTCTGAAGACCTGCAAGCACCATATCGGTACATTCCGAGCATATCGGGTGATCGATATCGGAACGAGAAGATAAGATTTCCCATAGGCGAAGGCTTTTCTCCATCTCTGCTGAAAGACTGGGGGCATCATGTTTATCTGATGGATTCGAGTCTTTCTCGAGGGTCTTCTTGGATGGACTAGGTTCTTCTGGTGACATAGGACCGAGCTGAGATTCACTCAACATGACATAAGACATGGCAGGATTGAAGTTGGCCGATGTCTTCAAGGGCGCGGGTATGGACCGGTTGTACTGAGCAGGGCCGACATTTTGAGCGGCCTTCTCGTAAAGATCCCTTCTCTCACGAGCAGCAAGAGTGTTGGGTGGTTGAGGAGTTTGGACTGGTAAAGTTGGGGTCGAGTCTTTGTTGGTCAGTCTCGGATTAAACAAGATATGAAGCGATATACACACCAACTAAGATTTTGAAAGAAGAGGGATTAAGATGTTCCAGAGAAGAGTCGAGTTTCAAGGGAGTTCTGCATTTTTGACAATACATGGTTCAAGTACATGGGGAGATGGAGACTCGTGCAGGAGCGTGCGAGAGAGAAGGACAGTTTGTTCGCACAAGTAGAAGTAGCAGGTTGCACGCCAACTAGACAGCTACAAGCATGGTATGTGTTGGACGCAGTCGAATGGAAATGTCTGAGGCCCGGCCAGTCGTATGCAGGTCGTGTGTTTGATGGAAGGCGCGACCTGTGACCGAGTTGCCGGAACGGGAAGTCGCGGGCGCGGGGCAACATTCACGACTCGAACGCGTCCACCTTGATTTCTTTGTTCTTGTGCCAACTTTCGCTCTGCACATCTGACATGTCACCAACAACAAATCCCTTACCGTGACATGCGCCATGGCGCCAGACCATCACTCCCGAGCCCGCAGCTCGTCTAGAGATGACCCCGGCAACTTTGACAATGATGAATACCAACGCGGCCGCCAGCGAATCGACCTGAAACTCAAAGGCACCTTTGAGCGAATCTTTGAGAAATATGCCAGGGACTTTACCGGAGTCGGCGATGAGATCGACATGGAGACAGGCGAAGTCGTCGTCGACAATGGCCACCTGACATTCATGCAACACGAACGAGACACTGGCAAGAGCGCTTCATCCCGCTTTGTACGAGCCTTTGCCGACGAGCTGGAAGTAGAGGACGCCCCAGACGGAAACGACGACGACGACGATACGGATGGCCTTCAACAAGAGCCTGAACAAGAGGAGGACAGGTTGCATCAGGATATTGACGACGACGACGTCGACGAGCTCCAGCAAGATGTCAGACAAGAGCACATTCCAGACGAGGATGACTACGGTCGAGAAGACGAGGAAGTCAGTGATGACGAGGACAGTGACTATGAGGATGCAGCATCTGATGCTGGCGACGAGCAGTCAGGCGACGAGTCTGACGACCTGGGCCACGACAAGGACCATTTCGTTCTCGACCCTCGACTCGCTCAGCCGCACCCACAGGTTAGCCAAGAGCAGCAATACCACAATACTTCCGTCATTCCATCTACCGAAGTCAATCACTCGCTGCCTCAAATCTCCATTGAAGACTCGTTGAAACAGCTCGTCCCTCACCAAGATGCGAATGGCAGAATTGATCCCGAAGCCATCCATCATCTGGGCCAGAGCATTGCCAATCAGATTGCTCAATTCCTCATGCGAGCTACCTCCATCAACAGACAGCCCAACTTTCTCGCCGACTCTCAGGCCATGTGGTCTGCTCCGCCCCTGCCTGAGGATGCTTTCGGCCCACCCTCGTTTCTTGACAATCGCCGTGATGCAATCACTCCAGCTCGTCCAAGAGCTCCTTCTGTCTGGGACTCGCCTTCCGGTGGCCAGTCGCTATGGGCTCCGGCCGGCACACGCCCCAAAAAGCGTCGTAGGCTTCTCAAGCACACCGAGACCTCATTCAATCTTGATCCCGCCTTGACCGACGATGCTACTTTCTCGGACGCTCCATCAAGGAATCGCTACTCCAGAGAAGAAGATGAACTGATCAAACGCTTGAAAGAGATCAACGGCTTGACCTGGCAGCAAATCACCGCACACATGCCCGGCAGAACCACTGGTGGCCTGTCCGGTCGCTACACTCGTGTCTTGAAGGACATGCCCAGGCCTGTCATGATCAAACGTGAGATCATCGAGATCATGGATGGTGATGATGACGAGCTCTCTACTCCTGGCCCTTCGCATACTAGCACTACACCGGGCATGTCGCCCTTCAGTACTCCGCTCCTGCGTCGTGCTATGGACAAGCAGATTGCCCGTCACGGGGACAATGGTGAAATCCCAATCACAATCGGGGATGGGGACGATACAGACTCGCGCGAATCATCTGCACCACCTCCAAGGAGATCCAGGAAAAGAAAGACCTCAAGAGATAAAGAACTCTCACGCGCAGTATCATCGCGGTATCGGACTTTTGACACTTCTAATCCGGTTGGAGCTTTTGGCATTTTGTGCACCGACAGCCCAGTACCCAACCCAGCCGAGGAGCACAATCTGAACCTGTATGGACCTACCAGTGGATTTGGTGTGCTGCGACTCAACAACGCGAAACCACCGAGGGAGTCCAAACGACGGAAGAAGACGGATGTGCCTCGAGAGACTTTTATGCAAAACGCTGCGAGGCATACTCATCCTGCACCTCAACTGAGGGACAGTGCCGCGAATGCACCAACCAGCACTATCAACTTGTTTGCACGCGCTGAGCAGTATATGAGAGCTAGAAACCTTGTTGGTGTCAGCATAGCCACATCTCAACTTCGTGCTCAGACATTGTCATCTCAAGCAAATCAGCGTCTGCATTCTACTACCACAAGGTCGAGCAACGCAGGTGGGCCCGTGATAATGATGCCGCCTCCTCCCGCCAGACCGCGTGCAGAGCCTGTTTTCGATGGAAGCTCACCAGTGCCGATTCATCCGCCTCCTCCTTACAGCGCCAATCCTCCTTTGCGAGCATACACGCCCCCTCGTATACAAACACCACCCAGACATCGTACCGAGCCGATGCCCGTCGATACAGAGAATGACGGCGACGTTAGCGACTCGTCCATGGATACCCCCGCAACGACATCTCGTTACGCAGGACAAACACCAATGACATCTCACGCGAGCGGCCCTTACTTCCTTCACAATCTGCCGCCGCCACCAAGTCCCTTGGCTCCAGCACCACAGACACAGATGCGCTCGCCATCCTCTTCACCACTGTCCTCTCCTCCGCCCTTGCCATCGCCAGTTTCGATCCAGGCACCTTTGACAGAAACTCCACGCCGCAGCCTGAGAAACTCATGCCGTAAAGCACCCATGCTCCCACCAGGACCCGGAGAAGTCGCCAGAATGAAACTGCCTACTCCATCTACTAACAAGAAAGCCTCCCCCGCAACTCGATCAAGGGCTCTTGGAAAGGGCCTATCAGCCACTACGCCTAAGACGCCAGTGACGAAATACGGTACCCCTGTCAGAGAAACCGTGGGAAGGAAAGAGATGATGATGAAGAAAGTCATGGCGGAACCTGATGATGGGTCTGAGGACGAACTTGCTTGATGGTCTAGTCGCGCCTTTTTACGCTTCTTGTCAACTTTTTACTAACACTTTTTTCTTTGATATGCCTATGGAACATTGGTATTGGTGCATGGGTATCGGCGCGTAAAAGGCATTTTGGGAGGTCTATGGCATTGTGTATATTGGCTGCAAGCATGGTATGGAGTTTCGGGATGGCTGGAATTGGCTCACGAGTATTGAAGGAAGAGACGAAGATCGCAAAAGATGCCGACAATCAAGAAAGCATGAATTGACGCATGAATACGATCAAGTATAGCTTTGTGTTCTGTGCTTTGCAAGCAATGCCTCTTTTGCCTGCGGGTGCCAACTCTTCTCTCTAGTCGAATTTTCCATCACAAAGTGCTTTGCCACGATCAAAAATGTATATGGAAGGCACGTTACAAAGTTAGAGCACGGGCGATAGAAGGAAGAGACGATCTATGAACATGATTTGCATTAATGGGGTATGTGCAGAGGCCAGTCACTTCCCTTCCCCATCCTATCCCATATGTATCATTTGTCTTTACACCATGTGAAATGGCTGCTGTCCTGGCACTATCGATGGACCGCCAGTTGGGTAAGCAGTGCCACTCGCCGCAGCAGCCTTCTTTTCGGCTTCTTTCTTTTTCTTCTGGACCAACGTGCCCTTCAGACCAGTCAAGTACTTCAACGTCTCTGCCTTGAGATGTCCTGGCTCCGACGATAACTTTACCGCTCGAATCATTTCTCTGACTTGTGTTTCTGAATTAATGTGTGGGCAGATGCGAGAGAAGCCGTAGTGAGCAAGGTCGCAGAGACCGCAGTGCTCGACACCGGCGCGTTTTAAAGGGCAGCTGCCTAGGGGATGCAGATGTTGGCATGCTACGCAGGACGCCATTTGAGGTTTGTGAGCGGGTCGGCCATTGGAGGCTGGGATCGTGAGTTCGGGATCGTAGTTTCGGAAAGTTGGGACATCGACACGGCGGAAGGTCTGGGGGGCTGATAAAAGTACACGTATTAGCTTAAATTCAGATCACTTCTTCATCTTCTGTTTGTTGAGGTGGAGGTGGCACAGGCTTGAGAGGAACATCATCGCCGCTATCCACGGTGAGATCGATGAAAGCCGCGGCTGAACCATACTGTTGCATGTTCATCTGTGCCTCTCTGGCCTTTCTGCCATTGGAGATTGTGGGAGTGAACGGGGTCTGAGCCTGCCTGGTGATAGAACCAGGTGTGACAGTCAAGACACGCTTGTTTTTCTTTGGCGTCGAGGCCGCTTTCTTCTTGGGTGTTGAGACAGTACTTTTGGTCTTCTTCGGACTCTTGCGTGGTTTGGTGGGAGTTTTCTTTAAGGAGAATTCCTTACCGGATGGTCTGATCAATTTTGAGGTTGTATTAGGTTGATCGGGAATTTTCAGTTCTTCCGGATTAACAATATCCTCGACCTCTTCTGCCGCAATGCTCTCTTCATCGCTGTCGGCTTGGAAGTCTGTGTCGTTCTCTTCGTCCATCTGCGCTCGCTTGGAGACACGCACAGGAGAGCCTTGGTCGACATCTTTAGGTCCTTCTACAGCGTCGGGGCCATCTTGATTGGTGCCATCACCATAATCAATAGTCTGCTGAAAGTTAGTATGTATTCAATCAGAGGTGAACCGGTATACGGTACCGCTTTGGCTCGACGCCCTCTTCCAAAGGCCTGCTCTGCAGCGGCTGCTTCGACGGCCGCGATTCTCTCGCGCTCCTTGAGAATCTTGTCCCATACATCACGATCGGGAGCCACTTCTGCTGCTTCTGGACCTTCGATCGCCGTCTCTTCCAGCTCGTTATTGGCCCAAACCCTCGCGAACGAGAAGGTGGATTCTGCGGATTTGTCTTCGCCAGCCTTGGTATGTTCGATGTGACTAACTTCGAGCAACCTGTCAATGGAGGCTGGGTCGTACTTGATGTCTTTGTCTCCATCATCGTCGAACAACTCCTTGGTGCCGTGACGAAGAACACCCTCAAGGTCACGATCCGTAGCGTCTTCTGCATCCATCTGCTCGATCAAAACGTGATCTAGAGCCATCTTGCGTCTACCATAAGACATTATCTTCTCCTCGGCACTAGCTCGCGTGACGATCTGGAAACAAAGAACCTTCTTCTTTTGTCCGATACGATGAGCTCGACTGAGTGCCTGGATATCTTGATGAGGGTTGAAGTCAGGATCAAGGATGATGACCGTGTCCGCAGTGGCCAAGTTGATACCAACGCCTCCAGCGCGGGTAGAGAGCAGGAAAGCGAACAGCGGAGAGTCAGGGGCATTGAACTCGTCGATGCGCTTCTGCTTCTCCAAACTGCTGATGGTACCATCTAGACGTTGGCACTTCATCTGCATGCCGTCAAGGAAGTCTTCCACCATGGTGAGCATGTCAAGAAACTGACTGAAGATCAACACACGGTGACCACGTTCCTGAAGCTTGGGTAGAAGTGTCTCAAGCAGCTGCAGCTTTCCACTAGCATCAACAAGGTTGCGGTGACTGACAGCTTGTGACACGTTCCTCTCCTCAATTTCGGTACTGTAGACGAAAGGATGGCAAAGACACTTGCGAAGCTGCATGAGGATGTTGTTCAAACTAGCACGCTCGGTGGGCCTGAGCTCCTTTGCTCCTTGAAAGATGGCACGCATAAGGTCAGGGTTCTTGGCAAGAATCGTCTTGTACAACTTCTTCTGGACTGTTGACATCGAAACCGGCACGATGACCTGAGCCATAGGTGGAAGGAAGGTCAGGACTTGAGCCTTGGTACGACGCAAGAAGAAGGGACGAATGATACCGTGCAACTCCTGGATCTTGGCTTGGTCAAGTTCTTGGAACTTCTCTTCCAGCTGGCTAGCGTCGAAGGTGTCGTCGAGGAATTGTAGAAGGTTGAACAACTCACGTGCACTATTTTGCAGAGGCGTACCGGTCAGAAGAACTTTGAATGGGGCTCGCAGATATGCCAGTGCGGAGTACAGTTGTGACTTGTCACTCTTCAGGCGCTGTCCTTCATCCACAATAAGTGCTTGCCAAGGAATGGACTTGAAGAACTTGCGAGCACTGTCGTCTGCAGCACAGTCGTAAGACGTAACTACGATATGACATCTTAGCTCTTTGCTGTCGCGAGCGAAAAGTTCGTAGCGGTAAGTAAGATCACGAGCTTCCTTGCTGCCGAAGTATGCAACAACTCTCAGACCAGGAGCCCATTGCTTGACCTCACGACGCCAATTAGCACAAGTTGAATTGGGTACCACGACCAAGAAAGGGAAACAATTCCAGTCTTGCACTAGGGTGGCAAGAAAAGAGATGATCTGAATGGTTTTTCCGAGACCCATCTCATCAGCCAAGATAGCGTTCTTGTGCGTATACCACTTATAGTAGAGCCAGTTGAGACCCTCCATCTGGTACTTCATGAGCTCTCCTCCAGTGATGTTGGTGGGCTGCTTCTTCTTCTCGAGCTTGGTAGTAAAGTCGAGAGATCTTGCCTTTTCGAGTCGAGTTTTGAGCTGCGGTGGCTTGGGTTGCTTCACGAATCTACCGAGTACCCAATCGTTATAAGCAATAACAAAGTCAGTCCAGCGATCAGCATCGTCAGGTGTGGGAGGCTTTTCCCAGACTACATCTTCGTAGCCAAGACCCTTGTACTTGACCAGAGCTGTATCGACCTCGCGAATACGCGCCTTGTCAATCTCTTCCGTTGAGATATTGACAATGCTTGTATATTTGACGTCAAGCACAATGTCGATACGAAGGTAGTCCTCGGGGATTGCATCCTCAGTGCGCATCTTTGGTTGGCGTGCTTCATCTCGTTTGGCAAATGCTTTTCGCATACTTCCAGATGTGGCACCCCAGACCCAAGGGCCGGGCATCCAACAAGCTTGGAAGTACGACTTCCCGTCCCAGCGGACAAGATAGGCCTTCTCATCTTCAGGGATGCTGTCATAGCCATAGCTAGGGTCGTAGCTGTCCTCATCAATCGGTTTCCAAGCGACAAGAGATCCGATCTTGCCTGGAGAATCAAGACACTCCTTGCATCTCCAGTCCTGGCTGTAGTCCTGAAGTCTTTGCGTTGCCACATCATCGCCGTCGAGGTCCATCACGCTGTCAGACTTGGGTGGTAAATGTTCAAAGTGAAAGCCTCTAGAGCAAGTGGTGCAACGAAACATGACGTTGTCAGGGTTATTGATAAGATTCTGAGGCACCGGACAGACAGGATCTTCGCCGTTGTTTTCTTCGCGATCCTTTTGCTCTTGTTGAAGGGTCTTGCGCTCTCTGAAAGGAACACATGAGGAGCCGTGTTGCTTACAGTCAGAGCATCTTCCGTGATCAGGAGCTGTAGGATCTTTTTTCATGGGGAATGCGACACAGCGACGACACTGGAGAACAAAGTCGTTCTTACCAACTTTGGTGACCAAGTGCTCTCTCGACCCGCGATGACCAATGCAGCTCTTGTGATATGCGTAAACACAACCTTGACAGTAGATCAGAGGGGCAAAGTTGGTACCATTCTGACAGGAGTCACAGTGTTGGATATGACGAGCGCGGAATGGATCAGATCTTGGCAAGTCCTTGAAGGACTCACGAGCTCCAACAGGCTTCGGGAGGGCAACGGGTCGTGGTTCCGACTCGGAGCGATAGATGTCGTTAACACCTGGATCCTGCATGTCGCCCTGGTGGCGAGTAGAACGACCAGACTGACGAACACCCTGTCCCGTGGGTCTTGAGGTGCGTGTTCTGGATTTCTCATAACGCAATTCGTCTTCATCACCATCTGCATAATTGACGGGGCCGCTTTGAGACATCAAGGAGCGCTTGCGTTTTCTGCTGGGTAGAACGTCAGACTGTAGAATGAATCCATCGTCGTCGTCATCGTCTTCCGAGTCGGCCTGAGACATTGACTTGAGCCGTCTTGAAGTTCTTCGAGAGTTGGGGTTTGGAGGTACAACTCTTCCGGAGCGACGAGGTGCCGGACCGTCGTCCTCCGAGTCGTCATCGTCGTATGTTCTTGCTTTGCGCGGTTTCCTCGAACGTGAAGGGTGTTCTTCATCATCAAGATATGCAAGGGCTTCTACGGTGTTGACGAAGCCAGATTTACTAGGTCTTGGACGCCGAACCTCTTCGACCTCACTGTCTTTTTCAGCGTAGTCGTCTGCATCTTGAGCATTCTCTGTGTATTCTTGGAGGCCTTCCTGGCCGTTTTCGTACTGTATTAGATCATTGAAGGAGACCTGACGGGCAGGAGCGATTAGCTTGATACGGCGCGGGGGCATGTTGGAGGTGTGAGAAGTGATCTTTTGAACAGACGGAGGTTTTGCACGAGGATTGGGATTGAGATGAAGTAGAGCTTGTGTGAGGATGTGGAGTGGGACGAAGTAGAGGCAAGACAAGCTATATCACCTCTATATAGGTTCAATAGAGTGAATGGAGAAGCATAGTGACCAGAGGGGGTGAGTCGAGAGCTAAGTAAGTTTCCGACGACGGCACGGTGGTGTGAGAGGATAGGCAGAGCTCTGGGTAACGACGGATGATACGAATAGGGCAGTAGTGAAGTGTGCTTACCTGCTCCGTGTGTCTATCGACGAACTCGACATTGTAATATACATCTCCATCCTCAGTGATCTCTTGCAACACACGGCGCACGATGTTGGCACCATATGTACAGTCGATGTAGTCATCGCGATTCAAGTTGGGATCTTGGGTGATGACAACCTGAACGACCTGTCGAGGTTTCGGGGTTGTTGTGGCAGGTGGTGGTGGCGTGGGAGCCCTTGTTTGCAGAGCATCATCAGGGTCGGCGATTCCGTCAATAATAGCATCGATGTCAAAGTCGTCGTCGTCGTCTAGACTGTTGGTGATGGCAGGTGCAGCAGCTGGAGCGTTGATGGAGGCGAAGGTCCTGGGAGCCGGAGCAGGTGGTTCAGGAGCGGCATTGACAGTGCGAGGTTTCCATTGAGAAAGATTGACGTTCAGTTCATCTTCGGAATCCGACATGATCGCTCAAAGTCAGAGTATAGTCGCATGCACGTTGCAGCCAGAACAGAGCGCGCCGGACCGGATGGATGGTGTAAACGGATCGTATGTGCAAAGAACAACGGCGGATGTACACTGCTCGCCAGGAAAGCGCGCACGCGGTATCAAGTCGATCCTAAACAAGAAGTCGCATTAATTTGAGAAAGAGCCATCGAGAATGGACAAGGGAAAACGCGACGCATACCGAGGGACGCGACGCATACCGAGGGACGCGACTGCCGGAGCTTGGACCTTGGACCGTGATGCTTTCCGGGATTAATTATTTCTTACATTTTATTCTCCGTGACTTGATTAGTTCTTGCAACACTTAATACCGCCACCGACCTCTTTTCCACTGGAATGCTCGCCGCCGCCTCTGCGCAAGCGCGTGCTCCTAGACTTTATTTGCAATGCCGTCATAAATCGACCCTCTCGGCCATCAACCGTACCCTTGATCAATCCATCCGGAGAGATCGCCGTAAAGTCCTGGACGATCTGAACAAAATCAAAGACGAACGTGGAGGCAACTTTCCATGGCAAGATCGCGACGACCACTCTAGGTCAACCGGTTATGGCGCCCGTCCCAGATCGACCAACTTCAGAGACCGTCCTAGACCGAACGACCACAATGATCGCCCCAGGTCAAGCGCCTTCAGCGACAGCCCTACATTGACCGACTACAACGACCGACCCAGGTCAAGTGACTACGGTCGCAACAGATTCAGTGACCATGAAGACCGTGGAGACAGGCGCACGCCTAGAAGCAGGGACTCGGACAACAGAGACCAAGGCTTCAACAGACGGGAACCCAAGGAACTTATTCGCGACCGTAAACAGAGGCCTGAACGGCCCTTCTCGGAACCTGGTAGTAGACATGGAGAATTCACAGTTCGCAAGACCAATCTACGCCCTGCCGCTTATCCTGCCTCATCTTTGACCGACAACCCAAACTACCACGCCCTCAAAGTGCCTTTCAATGACAAGTACCACTTTACCCACGAGAACTGGAATGCCCTCATGGGCGCCGTCAAGCTAGCTGAGGACAAATACATCAGATCCCTGCCGACAAGCCCTTCCATCTTGCCTAAATTCGACAAGAACGAACCTGGTGTTGTTCTCAAGATAAAACAGCAACTCAAGAAGACTTTCAAGCAAGATCTTGCTGATGTTGAGCCAACCTTGATCCGCGAGAGGAGCGAATGGCTTCAAGTGATACAACATGTCGGCAACGCTATCAAGAATGCAAAGGCAAACAACATCTTTATCCCTGGCAGGCGTTGGTTTGAAGAAAGCGATCCCGTGAGTGCTCTCAAGGCCTCAGTCTATCCCATACAACCACCAGCCAACCCGGCGCAAGGTGCCAACTGGAAACAAGAGCTCGAAGATATATCCGTGCTGAACAAAGAAATGCGTTCTGCCATTCTCCAGACTCTTGTCGACAGGAATGCCGCTGCCATTATCAGCGGTCAGGAGTTGCGGCCTGTGGATCTTGTATCTTCTGTTGACAACGTCTTGTCTGCGAAAGAAGCCAAGGAGAAGGATCAAGAGGTGCAAAGAGAGTCGGCCAGGGAAGAAAGAGCAAGAAGAAGACTGGAAGAAGAAAGTCGACTTGATGACGATCAACTCTTCTCGCTAGTGAATAACAACAGAGAAAAAAATGACGACAGAAAAAACAAGCACAAAGAAATCCAGGAGCCCAGTGACAGAAGAGCCGGAGACAGAGACGATCGTCCATCAGCACGATCGTCTCGCGACGATGTCGACGCCTATGTCTCTATTCCCTACACCACAGCCGCCTCTGAGTTCCTGTACGGCTTCAACGTCGTCGTTGCAGCCCTCACAGCCAAACGCCGCCAGATGTACAACGTCTACATCCACAAGCGCGCCCTTCACAATCCCGCCGTCACATCCATCGAGACCCTCTGCAAACGGGTCCGCGTGAAATTCACTCTCGTCGACGACTCTTTCCTCCCCAAGATGGACAAAATGGCCCAAGGCCGCCCTCACAACGGCGTCATCGTCGAAGCCTCTCCCTTACCAATCCTACCCACAAAATCGCTAGGTAGAATGGGCAGAACGGACGCAGCCATCCCCATTGAACTAGCCGATCAGTCCGCCGAGGAGAGGAAAGTCAATGGTGATCCATCAACTATACCTGCTCACACCACTACCTGGCGCAAACCATTCGTACTGCTCCTCGACGGCATCCTCGACCCAGGAAACCTCGGCAATATTCTCCGCACAGCACACTTCTACGGCGTGGATGCAGTCGCTGTGTGCACAAATACCTGCGCACCCGTCAACCTCCCCATCGTCCAAAAAGCAGCGTCAGGAGCCGCAGAAGCCTTGACCATTCTCTCCATACCTACACCCGCAAACTTCGTCACCGTATGCAAAAAACAGGGCTGGTCCATCTACGCTGCCGTGGCCCCAGATGCAAACTCTGCAAAATCTTCCAAGGGCAATTTGATTACTTCATCCATGATCTCGCCGTTGTCAAAGGGCCCTAGTATCCTTTGCATTGGCGCTGAAGGAGAAGGGTTGAGGGCAAACCTCGCTACAAAGGCCGATGCTAATGTAGGCATCAGAGGTGCCAAGTCTGCTTTGCCGTCTTTGAACGTCGGAGTTGACAGTTTGAATGTGGGAAGTAGTGTTGCAGTGTTGTTGGAGGCCTTCTTCAGAAAACCTGACAACATTGAAGATTTGATTGAGAGTGCGCCCAAGGAGGAAACTTTGGTCAGTAAGATCATGTAGAGAGAGGGGCCATGATGTGTATAGATTTACACGACGGTTGAGTTCTTGTATATACCCTTTTCTACTCTCCCTTCCTTCCTTTCTTCCTTCCTTCCTTCGATCTTGCATGACGACACTTTTCACTCTCTCTCCCTCTTGCTACTTGCGTTGATTTTCTCATCGTGTTTTCGTGCAAAGGTTTGTAACGCGGACAGCTATAACAATGCACAAAGTTCTCGAGAAATAGAACTTATCCATCGAGATAAGGCGTTTTTTTTTAAAGCTCTCTTTGGATGTACATGTGATCCGCAAAATCACCATGCGTTTTTATAGCGAGCATTACGCTCTATGGCTTCGTAAGAGAGAAGGAGCCTAGGGGAATAGGAGTTGCTAACCTCTAGGCATTGTGGTGTGTGCCAGGTGTGGTGTGCGCATGTGCTGTTCACCCTGCAGATGACTTCACGCAAGCACATCATCCCGCTCCTGCACATCATCCGGACAACGTCGGAAGGGTTCACGGTTAATACGGCAATGCACACCGTCCGTGACGATGCAACCACCACGCGTACGCATCAAACGTACGCCTCAACAATAAGAACAACATGACGAGTCCATGATAAAACGTCAGCAGGAAGAATAAGAAGAAGAAATCAACACAGCCAAAAAAGTCGCAGAAGTAAAGCAGAAAGTATGAGATTTGGAGGAAACATTTCTCTCCTGGTGTCGCGATCCATTTAAAAGCTCTAGTAAAGTGTGACTGTTTCGCGCCTGCCGTATGCATCTTTAGAGGTCCACGAGTCCATGATAAAACGCCAGCCTTCGGGTCTCGGGGAAGAGCCAACCACCATTCATGTGCAAACCATCCGTTTTTGTGCCTGCCTCCAACAAAACAGAAGGGAAAAGAAATAGAAAAAGTGTACCGGAAAAGAAGGCTATTCGAGCCATGGGGATATCAAGTTGAAGAATCGAAAAAGAGACAAAAGAGAAAAGAGGAAGTTTTCACAACTTCATGGCGCGCTCAAAGACGTCAAGGGTGAAAGCAGAGTTTCTAAACTCATCAGAGCCAGGTTCAGGAGCGTATTTTTGGCGTCCTGGTTCAATGTCGTCTTCGGCGACTTCGTCTTGGTGAGATTGGATGGAAAGCTTCTCCTCGATACCACTGTCGCTGCGGGACACTTGTGAAATTCGTGACTCGTAGCTGGGTGTGCGAGCGAGACGATCGCTACAGGCCATAAAGCGAGCAGTGAAGAATCCTTTTACGCCGTTGCTGAGCCAGATGATCTCGCCATGCTTGATGGACGCAATGTCGATTATACCGCCGTGGCAGATGCCTTGGTCGATGGCCCAGCGGCGAGTGGTTCCTTGTTGACCTCCACAGTCTTGATGCGGAGTCACCCATTTACCGTCACGGTAGAAGTAAGGGGTCGTGATGGATCCATCCATGACTTGGTTGTCACGGTTGAACAGAATGACTTCCTTGGCGTCCTGATAAGATTGGATTGAAGCACATTGCCTGGCATAGTTGTACATTGTACGGTAATGCGTCTTGTCGCGAGTAAATGTCGTGGTTCGGGTAGGCAGAACATCCAACACGGCCTTGAAGATGGGAGTCTGAGAGGCCGCCTGCTCGTTTGATTTGCCCAGGTCCAGAGTGGTCGGGAAGAGAAGTGGTTGCTTCATGGCCATGATTGGCTCAACTCCGATTTCCATTTTCCCGCTGTGACGCAAGCATACTCGGACCTGTGAGACGTTGTCAGCCTTGGTGCTTCATTGTACAATTGCGGCTTCTTTTTTTGTTGTTGTTGTTTTTGTTGTTGTGACGATCTCTTTGAGGTTGTCGCGTGCCCGTGGCGCATGCGCATCTTTGTCTGCAGAGACAGATCATGACGCACGTGGAGTGGAAAGATTTGGGAGAGGACAAGAAGAAAGAACAAGACGAAACACGTACCTTGAATGGACATTTGTTGCCCGTCTTCTTCTTGTGTTCGGTGACGGCGGTCTGGATGCGATTGAACAGATCGACAGGGCCTTTCAGCTTCTTGTTGGTGTCGTACCAGCCCAGATGATCCGCTGCAGTGACGAGGCGCTCGTAGTGATACTTGATGAGATACGCAGCCTTGGAGTCCGGACAACACACGGGATTCTGAGCATTGCGCTTCATCGTCCCATCGTAGCGCAGTGATGTGAAGACATACTGATCTTGGATTGGAATTTCATCCAACATTGCGAGTAGAGACCAAGTGGTGGTGATCCAGGACGTGTGGGATGAGGATGGTCGCAAATGATTTTTTTGGCGGGTGACGACGGATCAGGCTAATATTCACAGAGACATTATGGTTTGTGGTGCGGAAGTGAAGGCGGGGCGAAATTGTGGGATGACCGGAAGGTTAAGAAAGGAAGTGAGGTCGGGGTATCAACAAGAATCGATGGCCATGGCACGGGAGAAAGCGGAGGAATAGAGCGAGCGGCTTGAGAAAGGGTGGTGAGTGACAGGAAGTCAAGGAATATCGAAGGCTAAGGTCGAGGAAACAGCAAGGTTTTGAGCGAAGTTGAGGGCGTTGAGAAAGAATGCCCCGCGCTTCTTGGTTCCCTTGTACGGGCTCGCTCTGGCCGTCTTTGCCGGTCTCGCGATGACCGCAATCTAAGGCCCCATCCAAACAATGAGGCGCTTATTCGGGTGTTTTTGGCGACCGAGAGATTACGTTGACTGCTGAGCCTATCCTCCACCACACGCCAAAACAGAATCGCTTCATTGTGAGACGACGCGACAGTGTCACGAAATGCGGGAGAAATGTCAAGGGAGCGTGAAACCAAACGGTCTGGGCACCAAGACTCCAGAGTTGGCGGCCATGGCATGTTTTGCGCTCACGCCGCGCTTGTGTCGACTGAGAACGAACAGCCGGCCTGTGTGTACAAAGTACCTCTCTGACATGGAGCCTTGCGGAACATCGACCTTTGAACAGAGATGCAGATATGATCGCAAGTGTGGATTTGCTTTAACGTCTCCGGTTCCTCTTGCCTGTGAAAAATATTCCGTATGACGAAAGACAACAGAAGTTAGCTGTAGGATAATTGTGTTTAAAGTTATATCCGCTTCCGTAGGATTTGTTCTCGAAACCAATCACGTGCAGACCATCACGTCTATGTTCCCCTGGATGAGCAACAGACAACCGCATATTACTCTCCAAGAGACACAATCGTTATAGCCTACAAAAATGGCCATATTTGTAATGCCTGAGGCGAACCGTGGAGATCCGTTGTACAGACAGGGTGAGGATTGCAACGAGGATTATTTCTCTTTTTCCCCATTCTTTTTCTTCCGGAGTGGGAGCATCCTCAAAACCACAAACGCGAGCAGACAAGCAACCATGGTTAGAGAAAAGTGATGAAATATAATGTACATAAGGGTAGGGAGAGTATCAGGAGTAAAAGTGTGGCAACAACAAACTAATAGAAACACCTTTTGACGCATCGCTCTTCCTTTTGCTGAACAGATTACAGCTCGAGAACTCTCAGCTCCAATTCTCGGACAGCCTCAAGACTCCTTCTTTCTTCATGTGTTCGTCCTCAATCGCGATATCCTTCGTAACAATCCTTATTAGATTACTCGATCTCCGATGGTCGTTTATCGCATGCCAGCCGAAGGAGGCATACCGCTCAACCTCTGGGCGAGTTGAGGATACTTCTCCTGGACCTCGAGTTGTGTGCGGGTGGCCTCGGCGTATGAAAGAGCGTTGACGATCTCAGGCTCGGTGCGTGAGAGCTCGGCAGCCTTCTCGAAGTACTCGAGGGCCTCAGGGACCTTGCCTTGCTGGAGGAGCAGCTGAGCCATGGTGGCAACGGCAATGTCGCACTCGGGGTCAACTGCGAGTGTCGGTTAGCATGATATATTACATGACGAGAAGCAAAGATGCAACTTACTGATCAAAGCCTTCTCGCACAGCTCTTGGGCACCAGCGAAGTCTTGCTTCCATTGGAACAGCGCGAGAGCCTTGTTGATCAAGGGCAGGACATTCATGCCAGTGACGCGCTGACTCTGCTCCTTCTGGACGGCAGTCTCGAACTTCTCGACGGCCTCCTGGTATTTTTGCTGGTCGAGCAACAGCTCACCATAGTAGTTGTAGACGTCGGGAACGTTCTCAAAGTTCTTGATGCAGCGGCGGAAAGTGGCCATAGATGAAGCAACGCTGCCCATCTTGTACTGGGTAACACCAAGCTGGATGTGGGAGAAGATGAAGCTAGAGTCGAGGTCGATCGACTTTTGGTAGTCCTTAGCTGCCTCGGGGAAGTCGCCGAGGATAAAGTTGAGCTGTGCGCGGTGGTAGTAAACGTCTGGGTCCTTGTCGTTCTGAGCGATAGCGTCTTCGAAGTCTTTTGCGGCCTCTTCGCGACGGTTCGCCTCGAGGTGCATGCTGGCGCGCTTGACGTAACTTTGGGTCAGGGTAGGATCCAACTCGATGCTCTTGTGCAGGTCATCAATGGCGTCGGCCTCACCACGCAGATACTTGAAGGTACCGCGCATGTTGTATGCGAAAGCCTCGTTCTCTGCCAGGTCACCGGCCTCGATGGCCTTCTCGTAAGCCTCGGCGGCCTCGTTGTAGCCCTCGCCCGTCTTCTTGTCCATTGCCAACAGACCCTTGCGTAGCCACCACTTTCCGCTGTTCTCGGGAAGGTCGGCGCTCTCAGAGATGGAGTCTGACAGCTCTCTATCGCGGAAGCTCTGGAGGTAGTTTGTGATGAAGGTGGAGCTGGGCAGACGACGCTGCTTCTTCTCCATGATGACCTTGGCCTTCTCCTCGGCCACCTTCTTGAGCAGACGCTCGACCGACTCGGCGGCTCCGGTATTACGGAAAGCATCGATGATGCAGCTGGCAGTGTAATCGAGGAGGGCCTCGCTGTTTCTGTTGGTCTCCTCGTAGGCGTTGGCGCGACGGTTGAGAGCCTTGACATATTCGGGGTCGAGGTTGATGGCGGCGGTCGTGTCCTCGATGACGCGGTCCCAGTTGGACATGGCATTCCAGCATGCGGCACGGTTCGAGTAGAAGACGGGGTCGGCCTTGCACAGCAGAGCCTGGCCGTACAGCTCAATGGCGCGGTTGTAGTCCTTGGATCCATAGGCCTTGTTACCGGCAGCCTTGAGCTTGGCAGCGTAGTCCTTCTTGGAGTCGTCCGAAAGGCTTGCAACGGTCGACTCGGTCACTTGGGGCAAGTCGTCCTCGCTCTGTACGCTTGCCGCTTGTGGCTTCTCTGGACGTGAGGGTCAGCAACTGGTAAACTAAGCAGCGCAGACGTGACAATACACACCCTGGGGCTTTGACTCTGGTGGGGGAGACTTCTGCTCTCTCTGTGCGTTCTTCTTGGCCTTCTTGTTCTCTTTGCGAGCCTTCTTCTTCTCAGCAGCAGCTTCGAGGTCTTGCAGCGTAGGAGCAGATTCGGATGTGTAGTAGTAGATTCCGGCACCGGTGGCAACCAGAGTGATACCGGCGATGGTGTAGACAGCAGCCTTGTGCTCCGAGGCCCAGGTGGTGATGCGATCGTAAAATGATGACGAGGGTTCGAGCTTGGTGAAGCTGGGCTGCGAGGCAGTGGCAGCGGCAGCCTGTGCAGAGGGAATTGTCGAGGCCATGTTGTATGTATATATGGCTATGCGCTTGCTGGTAGTATTACACGCTGGAGAAAAAACAACAGCGACAGGCAAATGCGAGGTGGACAAAAATGCAGCCGTTCAGTGACGCAAAAGATGGTTTGCGGCATCGAGATCCACCGTTCTTTCACACACGCCAGCCTTGGCAACCCCGAACTGCTTCATCCATCGGCTTCCTCAAACTTCCGTGACTTGACGCGCTTCATCTCTCTTGAAATTTGGGAATATCATCCCGTCCTTGTCGCAGCCTCCGCATACCACAGGTTGTCATACTCCAAGTGTAGCGGCTGTGAGATCTTGCCGTAGAAACCTGCCACCCCGGACTATCTTCGAGGCACCCTTCCAACTCGAGAGTAGTTGTCCATTTCTATTGTTCGATATATCCTTGGACTCGACTGCAAGAATGGAATTGATGCCGAGTTTGTGACAATCTTTAGCGTAGAGAGAAGAGCATATAGCTTGAAAGCGGTAGAATGCCAATTCTCTATGCCGACGAGTCTAGCTCGCGAATCTATGAGAGAACAAAAGTGGTATCTAAAAACATGAAACGAAAATGTCGTTGTCCTCTAGGGACTCCATTTACACAGCAAAACATCATAAAAATCAACATCACCAAAAGGTATCGAGACAGACTAGGTGTCTTGTCCATCTACACCTTTTCGTTGTTTGCCGATCCTGCAGAGCTGGATCCATATCCAGTCTCCAATCTCTCAACTCTCTCGCCATCAGCCTTGCCACCGGTCTTGCCGTACCTGGGCTCAACCAATGAGCTGCGACGTCTAGCGCCAGCAGCAGCTTCGGTGTCGAGGTAATTGATGAGAAGTTCGCCTGACTTGCCGTAGCGGTTGGGTGTGTCGCGAGCAACCTTGACGACGTTAAAGACGGAAGTTGTGTTGCGGAAGATCTCGTCCATTTCTTCGAGGGAACGAAGACGGGTTTCTGTGGGAGTTGTCTGTCAGTACAGGAATCATACTGAGCGTTCAAAAGAACCACTTACCAGGGTAGAAGAAGTAGACGCAGGGGACGATGAAGGCGTTGATGACAGCGAAGATAATGTAGGTCTGGTATCCAATAGTCTCGAAAGCGACAGGGGTGATCATGACGACCATGCTGAAGAAGAGTTAGTAAATCACTGGAAAATAATCTCTGAAGCCTCCGCTTACAAGTTGAAAATCCAATTGGCCGAAGTGGCCAGAGCATTGGCTGGGGCTCTAATACGAAGAGGCACAATCTCAGCAGGGTACAGCCAGGTCATACCCAACCAGCCGATGGCGAAGAATGTGTTGAAGACAAAGAGGAAGACTGCAGCAGTGACACCCAGACCAGACGATGTCCTGGAAGTGGTACCAGCGAGAACTGCCATAGCGGCGGCCTGACCTGCAGCACCGAACAACATGAGCTGGCGACGCCCGAACTTCTCAATAGTGAAGACAGCGATCCAGGAAGCGGCGAAGTACTCGGTTCCGTTGGCTGCGGCTAAGATACGTGAAAGGAAAGGCGAGAGACCGATACTCGTCTCGTAGATGTTAGCCGCGTAATAAGTAATGAGGTTGATTCCTGAGATCTGTTGAAACATCTGATTGACGTAGGCAAGGACGACACGGTGGAAGTTGCGGTCCTCGTCCATGGTGAACAGATCCCTGAAGCCTCCCTGTTGCATGACCAGAGCGGAATCTTTGATGGCGGCAAACTCGGCAACAATGTAGGGATCTTCAGAGTCCTTCTCGTTCAGCGCACACAGGACGTTGAGAGCCTCGTCCCTACACGAAGGTGTGATTAGCATAGATTCGTGATTTGAGATGATATAAACGTTGAAGTCTCGCTGGACGACTTCACTCGATCGAAAGCAGCGGCGGCAAGGTCAATCGGGGTGTTTGCAATTTCGATATGACTTACTCTTTTCCTTTCATGATCAGCCAACGGGGCGACTCGGGCAGGCCCATGATAAATATAAGGATGATGAGGGCGAACAAGATTTGGAGCGCGATGGGGAAGCGCCACGAGACAGTTGAAGGCTCTAAGAACGAGAAGCCGAAATCAACTGAAGGCGAAGGCACAATTAGCAGGGTCTTTTGAAGGACGGATACAGTACTTTTGCAGCGGGCCAAGTCGCAGTTCGGGATCAACATCAACGTGATGGCGTCCAGGACACCATCCCAGCATTGTCAACCAAGTGTGTGCGACTGGCCCACTGAATTTGTACCTAAGGTTTACTCACTCCAATACGAAAGCATTACACCTGGAGTATTGATCAGTATGCTGGTCTAATTGAGTGGGGAGTATATCGCGACTTACCGCCAGTGATAAGGGCACCCTCGATCATGACCATTTGACCACGACGATGCGATTTCGAACACTCGCTCTGCCAAGAAGGTACCGTGGATGTGTTCATTCCGTTTCCGAGACCAGTGATGATTCTGCCGGCGATCAAGTGGCCAAGAGAGAAAGCAGATGTTTGTAGTGTAGCGCCAACAACCATAATAGCAGATCCCAAGAAAATTGTCTTACGGCGACCAAGCCAGTCACCAATCCAGATCGTCATCAAAGCGCCCACAAAGCATCCCAAATTGTAACAGGCGATTGAGATACCTTGGACGGTCGAGGTGTATGCTTTGGTTTGATTCAGAGGGGGGTGTAGTGTGTCGATCTCGGGAAAGGTGCGAACAAAAGATTTGAGAGTGAGCAGACCACCCATGACACCTAATGCTTGGTTAGCATGTCTGTCTGATCCAATCGTAAGGAAACCGCTTACCTTGATCATAACCGAAGAGCAGGAAATCGAGACCGGCAATAACGCCGACCGCGACATTTAGTTTGGTGCCCACCAGGCCATAGTATTTCTTGCCTCCAAACATGCTGAATGTTCAATGGGAGCAACAACAAATTGGAGGAGGGAAGGAAGGAAGAAAAAGAGGACAATGAGATCTGCACAACGAGGATGCGGACAGTGAGAATATATACCGATCAACACATCCTCTACCCAACCGCTGTAACATCAGAGAGTTTGAGCACCATTTGGTTCCGATTGGCAACTCCATCTTCTCCACTTCGGCCTCCACGAGACTACAAACTCTACTGCAGTGCAAGACCTATCCGTGCATCAACGGAGGGCAGCGGACTGGTCCTTGCAGACACCCAATGACGCATGCCGCGGTGCATACAAGCGTGTCCCCGACCACTCTCCCACATAAACTCCAGATTGTGGCGAGTAATGGAGGTACCGGGAATGCCCAATTTGGTAGGTCCGGCGCCGACAGATCGCCGTGAACGGGGTGGCTTGTTCTCCACGCTTGGGCGTTAAAGTTACCTTTTTGAAGGTTGCTGCTGGAGATCCATCTTCTTGCGCTGCGGAGAAAGGATTGATGAGCTGCAAGGCCACGCACCTACGATGTGTTCCTTGGCCGTTTGTCTCGCAGGAGGCAGGTGCGCAATGTCTTGTCTATCTCCGGAAGGGTCTTGTTGTTATCCATCGACATCGTCGTTTGAGGCCATTGAAGATCCAAACTAACGCCAGGGACGATGAATCCAATTTCACCTTTCCGCTGACGTCTGTGGCCTCTGTTGCAACCTTCGCAATCTCTGTCTCATGTTCTTGACAAACGAACTCCACAACCGCAGGAATGGAGTCCCCCTTAGTGGGTCATCCCCGAGGGGAAGTTGGCAACTGCCCCGGTCCTTCTTCGTGATTGCACTCCACCGCCAGTTCAGGCGGTCGAAGCGATACGGGGCGGTCGTTGCCGACGGCCGGTGTTTTTGCGGTCAAATGCTCGGTCTGAATAAGTGGCGTACGGAGAGTGCGGACGCTCCGCAGCACCCTGACTCACTTTACCGGTGAATTTTGCCGGTCCAAATAACGTCTTCTCGTCATGGCATTTTCGGTCTTTGCCAAAGTAGAACGGAGTGCTCGCCGTCATCGCATAGAACTGCGTACTAACATGAGAGAGTCATGCGTCTGAAAGACTCGCTCTGCATGTTAATTGTGTCCCGCGGGTGACAATCGCCAGTTTGCAGAGCGATTGAAACTGTGCAGACCGCTCACGGGAAGAGGAAAACCAGGCCCGGACTTCCAGATGGAGGCACCCGGCTTGTACGAAGTCAAAGTTCCAGCATTGCTTGAGGCTCTGCGATACGAGCACTTGAAGCCAAGGCCTTCCAACCATCTCATTGGTGGAGGTGCATGGAATACTCATTGCCGAGGGCTCAAGGAGGCCCTCAGGTATTCCGAGCACGCCGGCATGCTCTTTTGCAACGACATCTGGTCCGGACGAACATGCTCAGCGGGGAGAGACCAAAAGGCATATCCCCGCCTTGCTTGATGGCGATGATCTGGGGCAAACACGTGCGGAACATTCCGGAGTTGCAGAGTCGATCAGTATCGAGGTGGAGGTGTGGTCGATGGAGAGCGTTCACGCCCGTCAATGTCTTCTGAACACTACGCCTGATTCATGCGTCCGTCCTACTTCGATAATCAGCTGACTACAAGTTCATCTGATGCATCTTGGAGAGTGTAGTCAATCACGAAAGAACAAACACTGGTGAGGATCGTTCTTATAACGGAAGCTATGAACCATGCCAAGCATCCTCCTCTATGTGTAGTAGTGTACACGACGAGTCTTTTTGGTCAGACCCAGCTATCGGTAGTCGACACGGAAGAAAGATCATCGAATCAGACGATGTCATCATCGAGTGGTTGGTTTCCTACCAGGCACTGACCTCAGGAGCAGCGGTCTGGCACTCGGAACCACCGCTAGCAGCAGCAGAACCAGCACCAGCCATCCAGTCTCCTTCGGCAGCGACTTCGGCAGCAGGACCAGCACTAGCAGTGTAGTCCTCACCAGCGGTGGATACGTCAGGAATACCAGCGGGGTTAGGGCAACGACCGGCGCCGTGGCCAAACTCGTTGCAGTTGCGGCACTGAACCTTGCTCCAGTTCTTGGGCTCAGAGCAGTCCTTGGAGAAGTGGCCGTTGCGGTCACAGTTGCGGCAGGTGACGTTGTCCTGTATGTTCATCAGCGCGGGCCAGAGTAATGATTACGAGAATATGCTTACCAAGTTTGTGGGCTCAGGGCAGTCGCGACCGGTGTGTCCAGGGTTGTTGCAGTTGCGGCAGATGATCACATGCTCGTTGGTGCAGTCAGAGGCTCTGTGGCCTTCTTCCTGGCAGTTGCGGCACTTGTCTGCGGGCTATGACTTATCAGTAACGATCAGTTGACAGATGAAGCTCAGAAAATACCTTGGTAGGGCAGTCCTTGACGAAGTGGCCCTGCTCGCCACAGTGCTTGCACTCGACATCACCGCCGCCGCCACGAACAGCGCGAGGCTCAGGGCAGTCGCGGATGTAGTGGCCCTCGTTGTTGCAGTTGGAGCAGGTAACCTTGGGCTTCTCGATGATCTGCTTTTCTTCGGTGCAGGACTTCATGGTGTGACCGACCTCCTCGCAGTTGGAGCAGTATGGCTTCAAGCTGTCCATGGGGAAGCCAGCATCGTGCAGGCGCTCAAGGTTCTCCTCGGGGCTCTTGGGCCAGCCTTCGGCAAGGATGGCGCGACGAGGCTTAAGACTCTTCTGGAAGGAAACTTGATACTTCTTGTCAGCGTTGCCCTGGAGGTCGACGTTGGTGTGGACCTTCGAAGGGACAGTTTGCTCCTTGGCAACGAGGTAGTACTTGAAGCCGGCCTCGCGGAAGCACTCCTCGAGCTGAAAGATGGTGAGCTCAGGGGCGAGCTTGGAGTAGACCCAGAAGGCTTGGATGAAGTCGTCGGCATCGCCAGTGTCATTGGCGGCAAGGAGATTGTCCCAAGCGTGGTCGGGGTTGTCAATCTCAGGAAGGCCAACGGGGTAGACGTTGTACTTCTCAGTACAAGCGGCGGCGCTGTGGCCAGTACCGGAACACTTCTTGCAGACGGCCTCAGCACACTCAGAAGAGCGGTGACCTTCGCCACCGCAAGTGCGACAGATGCCAGTGAAAGCGCGCTCGGCACGGGGGTTAGTACAGTCGGCCTTGTTGTGTCCAGTTTCACCGCAGTTGAAGCACTCGCCGGAGTCCTGGCGGGGCTCGGGACACTCGCGAGAGAAATGACCAGACTGGCCACAGCTGTGGGCATGTTAGTGATGAGAAGGGAAGTGCACTGCAGTGGTGACTCACTTGCGGCAGGTGTCATCACCGGGGCCAACAGCGTGCTTGGAGATGGACTCAAGGCCCATGCCCGAGTATTCTGCGTCGATACCAGCGGCGGCAGTGTTTTCGACCCACTCAGCGGTATTGGCGCCAGCGGCAGGCTCTTCCCAGCTGGGAGCTATAGATGGTGTTAGTGACACGTCTTGGACACAGTGACTGCGCCAGCCCAATGCTTGGATAGACAGAAAAAGGTAAGGCGGATGAAGGCAGGTGAGAACAGAAGGACCGAGCTTGATCAAGGAAGACCAAGAGGGTTGACCGGGTGAAGGCGCACTGCAACATGCGCACGCCTTGTGGATACTTACCAGCAGTGTTGTCCCAATCAGACATGATGATGAAAGATGGGTGGTGAGTGTTGTTAAAGAAGAAGACTTGAGTCCAAGGGAAGGAGTGCACGTCGAAAGGTCGAAGTACGGTTGAGTGGAAGGAAAAAGGAAGGGTTGAAGTGGAAGGGCAGAGGGCTTAAGTATCGACAAGAGATGGAGAATTTCGCAACGCGCTTCTTCACTGTTATTGTGAGAGACGGCGATGCCAAACAGTGAATAGAACTTGCGGTCAGATGAAGAAGGCGCTGGTGTGGTGGAGTTAGAAGACGGAAACGGAAAGATCAAATTGGCGCCTTCTTCTCTCGCGTGCCGGCCAGTCAATGCAGAATAGAGTACACGGACAGGAGTGACCACAGAGTTGGAATAGGAAAAGTTGGCTCAAGAATTGTTCTCGTTCCTGATCCATGCGAAGAAAGCTCTTGCTTGATCTTGCTTGCTGTGTGGAGGCAAACAAGTGCTAGCAGTATACAAAAACAACCGAGCAATATCATCGTCCATCGCCAGCTTGTTCTATCATATACTTTCTTTGTCACCGTGTGAGCCCGAATGTGCAATGCTCTTCACTGACGGTCCTGACGAGCACACATCGTTATCAGTATTGATGAGGATAGCTTGATGACTATACATTTGCAGTTCATCAGCTATCTCTTACACGGAGGACGATCAACATTGTAGCAAACAGCGAAGATAAACACGGAAATAGGAGAGAGCAAGAAGTAAATATCAAGAACATAATGGAACGCCTCGCTACAGTACATCATCATAACCATGTTATCAATCCCAAGTCATTATTCCGTGAGACAAGTCATGAACAGCATGACATCTAAACACCCCTGATCAGTCTAACAACCAAGAACCAACAAGCTCCAATGAACCTGAAGCCACTAAGAACTGCAACACTCCAGAGTACGACACTCATGTAGATGGTACTGCGCTGATTGTCATCTTGAACGCCGACAGACACACGATCAAGTCCTCCTGTGTTGAGAACGACTGCTGCGAGTGCAAGGTTGCAGAACATCCAGGCCAAAACAACAGCACTTCTGAATCCCTTGTAATAATCCTCATGCTTCTCGGATGCGGAAGGGGTCTTGACAGGAGGGGCCCATTTCGTCGAGAACACACGGAGTTCCTCTTCGTACTGACTGTTGAGATCATGGTCGTCGCTCGGAATAGTAACGTCGACCTTACCACCTGGCTTGGTAACGGCGGAAGGCAATTTTTCCGGCTTATCGTCTCCTTTGGTACCCCAGGTGATGTCGTGAGTGTTGCAGAAAGCGTAGACGTTGAGAATATTGATGTAAGTCGGCGTGAGGAGAAGGTACTGGAAGAAGGATGTGAACATGTGCCAAGGATCCAGAAACATGAAGGAGGCGACAAAGTACAGGACGTATGTACTGGCCATTGACACGATGAGCGTCAAGAACAGCGAGTTGGTAAAGAGCATGCTAAACGTGAAGTGATCGTGTTCTTTGAGCTGTGCCTGCACGGACTTGACTGTGATGAAGACGGTTGCGAACATGAGATATCTAGAGCAAATCTTAGTTGAGTCATCTCAAAGAAGTATTGAGGACTTACGCCATGAGAATAGCCCAGAAGTAAACCTGCGTCATATAAAATTTGTTCGAACCTTGCGGCCGGTTTCCGAGCGCGAGGACGAAACAAGTAATTAAGACAGCAAGATAGATCCATTCGAACAGTACGCCTAACACTTTTCCAGGTGGAAAGTTGAGACTTGAATCGGAGAGTGAACCTGTGAGAATGCGGAAGACGAGGAAGAAGTTGCCCTACCAAGCGATGTGTTAGCAAACCAACTTCAGAATTCAGGCACGTCAAGAGACTTACGATAGCAAACCAAGCGAAGAGCATGCTGACACCCTGGTAGAAGAACTCGACCATAAACATGAAGTTGCGACCAACGGAGTGATTACTGCGGAAGATTTGATGGAAATGGGCAAGAGCGTAGACTGCAGCGAAGAAACTGCCGTTCAACCAACGTCTTCTTTGCAAAATGAAATCAGCCATCTCGGTAGGAACATCAGTCTCGCCAGTAGCCGACTTGACGTATTGTAGAATCCAAGAGCAGTTGCGTTTTGACACCAGTTCGAAACAGAGAATACGATCTTCAGCAAGGTACATGTTGGCAGTGAAAATACCGGCATTGGCACCATGCATCTTCTCACCAGCGAAGTACTTCTCGAGCGGGCCTTGACCAGTCTTGTCGTTTTGAAGAGCCATGAAGCGATAAGCAGAGAACGCACCGGGAAGGACACTAATGAAACCAAAGGCGGATTCTAGAGGCTTGTCAAGAATGTTGCTCATCTTGTACTCGAAGTTCTGCGCAGCGACCAGAGGATTGATGAGAGTTTTACCATGGTCCAGCATGGCCTTGATCTCACCACAAGCACCGGCGCACATGGGCTCGAGATCGAAGGCCTTCCAGAGCTTGTAGATAGAGTCCTTGCCTGGCTTTGTACCGGCATCGATCAGGACACAGATGTTTGGGTCAAGAACCTCTCCAAAAGCCTGGAAGAACCATCTATGCGAGTTGATCTTCTTCTGGTTCTTTTCCTTGAGACAGAACAGCATCTGAACAGGTGTGTTTCCCTTCTTAACGGAAACTACACCCTTCTTGAGCTCGAGTGTCATCTGGGTAGTGTATTCGTAGATGTGGGCAGTGACATCCTTGCCGTTGACCTGCTGTTTGGCGATTCCATCTTGGTAGACACCCAGACCAGCGAGAACGGCTCTGGTACGAGGGTTGATCTTTGCACGGCCATCGCTGACAACACAAACAACGATCTTCTTCCAAGCCTCCTTTCCCCAAGTCTTGCTGCTGTTTCGCGAGTTCATGTATTCGATGTTCTTGATGACACCGATCATAGTGCGGGCAAAGAGCTCATCCTCTTCGTTGTACATGGTAATGACGATGAACAGTTCGGTATGTCTTGGTTTAGCAAAGAGCTTCTGGCGCAGAGTGAAGCGCTCCGAGTAGAACTCGGAAGGATCGCAGGTGGCAGCCGAGTAGCGCATGTGTGTGAACTCGTCACGCTCCGGAGGTTGAGCGTGCTGAATCTGGTTCAGGAGTCTCGGAGGTATAGGGCAGTCGAGCACTAGGTTTCCGTTGAAGAGCTGGACTTCTTTGACTGTCTTCCATCTGCGGATACCACCTCCAGATTGCGGTTGCTCTGCGTTCAATTCCATTTGCTCTTCCATGACAGGAGTGGGCATCTGATGCGGATCAGGCCCGTAGGCAGAATCCTGTTGCAGAATAGGGCGTGTGTCGACCTCGTCTTGCCAGTAGTGGGGATGTTGTTCGCCAGATGGAGGACCGTACAGCTCCTCGTTAGGAGTCAGAGCAGGTTGGTAGGGCTCATTGTGGTATGCATCGTGGTGGTCTTCGGGGTTCAGGGCGTAATCGCCAGGAGGATAATGATGCTGCGAGTCGTAGCTATCGTTGTGACCGTAACCGGGAACGTGCTCTACCGAGAACTGTGGTGCGTGGTCAGCAAGGCGCCCACCGAGATTGTCTAGGTGAGCTTACTGTAGGCTGGGGATGGAGTCTGTCTGAGGGGGTTCCAGGCATGGGCGAAGCGCCTGGCCGAGGACCCGGACCCATGGGCATGTGTAGAGGTTCGTCGTGAGTGTAGGGGTTGTCGTGCAGAGCGTACGACTCTAAGGGATGCCCTGGGGACGGTGATCTGCCGGCGCGAGGATCCATAAATGGGTTTTGCGACTGGGCGCCGTATGCTTCGTCTTCGTCAGGGGAATGGCGGCCGTATGCTGCGACAAGATGCCCCGGTCAGCGAAACTCGCTCTTAATGTCTGGAACGCGTGCTCGACACGGAGCGTCCACATGGAGCGTCTGAGGAATGCTGCCACATCCCGACCTCGACCCTCCCCAACTCTCGCTCTCTCCATGCTCTTTCACTCCTGTCCACTCGTCCACTCTGGGTGCTGGGTGTTGTTGCACTTACGGCCAAGACGGTTGTACGACATGTCTGCGACACTCTCTGCAATATCCCGTATGCGCGGCTTGAATCGATATGCGCAAACACTTGCTTCTCCCTTTCTCTTGCTGTTTGTGCTGGTTTCAGAAGCGCTTCAAGCAGCTGTCTGTCAGAAGTCCGAGAATCGATTGGTTCGTGGCTGACGTGGAGTTTGTTTACTCGAGGCGTTCGCGCTTTTGCGACTGCGATACTCCCAAAACACCTGACAGAATCGCAATATCGTAGACAAAGCGTAGGTCAAACAAAAGACTTATAGGATGTATTCTAGGTTTTGAAAAAGAGATTGGCGAAAGCGGCACTAGATCAAGGCCCGTTGCTACAGCAAGCAGATGCAGCTGAAGTCATCCCCTCCCCTCTTCCTTGCACCCCGAACATGCACCAACCCTGAAACGCGTCCTTCTTACCACAGCCTCACTAAGCAATCCTCCTTTGCGGTAACATCGGATACACTCTGGCGCTGGACTCGACTCCTGGTCGAGATGTCTCTCTCTTGCGTGGCTTCCACTTTGCTGCGCCATGCGATTCGCCAATCGATATGAACTCTTTTGTTTATCAAGGTAATGCGCCGCCCTGCAAATGCGCAATACGCTCCGTACGATACGTTTGGGGCCGTGCTGTTTTTAGAAACCATAGCAACAACCTTTTGCCGTCTTCGGCCCGAACTCTTGCATCGTCATGGCCTGCCACTTCAACCTCGACTGCTTCCAACAACAACTTCGGCTTTTGGTGCTGTGAGTCTCCTTTGCCGATGTCTTCGCCACTACATACGCGTTCATGCCAAAAGCCAAGAGAGCTGCTGCCTTGCGATCTAGAGAGTTCGGACGAGAAGACTCGTGATTGCCCTTAGGGTATGGCTCGTCGTAAGCTCTCGTCGAGCCTGACCAATCATTTGAATCACCCTCCTGGAGAGCAGTCAATGTTGAGGCTCGATGTGAAGACCACTGTCTGTGTGACTTGAAACACAAGAAGAATTTCGAAGCTAGAGATTTGTAGTCAGCTTGGCCACCCTGGCCAGGATTTTTCCGATACCTACCATCTGCTTTCCTTTTCCATGAATACTCCTTGCGGGGTAAATAGCTTAAGAAAATCAAATCAAATCAAATCAAATTCCATGAATACTGGCCGATCAATTGAGGTCTAAGCAACAGATGGAAAGGTAATGTCCAAGTTGTTCGGAGCTAGCTCTCGACGAACGACATTACCAATCCGCAAAGATACCCTACCGTTCAATAGCTGACCGGAGGAAGCAATCATCACATAAAGACGTATATACCTTTGTGTCTCCAGCACCTAAGTCTGGGTCGGTAGAATCATATGTATGAAATGAGTAGAATGTTAGCGGGATGTACAAGTGTCGGACAAGCGCCGGGAACATGACGAAGACGGCGTTACAAAGCGAATGTTAGAACAAGGAAAAGCTCTTTGTAAGTACGCCTGTAGGTGTCTCTACGTCCGTACACTGGTGATCTCTTCTCGAACCCATTGTGAGTATCTGCTGTGTTTGTGCAACTAAGCCACGCTTTCCTTCACCAAGTGACTTGTATTCTCCTCGGTGCATGTGGTGTCACAACTCAGTTGGAATGTTCCGTGGGACAGATGGCACCGAGAGTTTATGGTTTTGCTATAGCACAAGTTGTAAATGTGATTCAAGGTTCCAGATTCAAGGAGCTCAATGTAACGCTGGTCGTGAGACTGTTCGGTAACCGCAGGTCAAATCATTCAGGAATATGCCTTGCTTCCCTGAAGGACCGTGTGCGAGTGGCAGGCTCGATCTCTACATTAGCCGATAGATTGAAGCGATGCTTGCCCCGCTCAAGCTTGCGGGCAGTTGTCGCATGGAGACACAGCAGCAGTCTTGTGTCAACCCGGCAGCGCTTCAGCTGCGTTCTGTCACCTTGCTGCAAGCCTCTGAGCATGACCGGCAAGGAGCTTGCTTTTGAGTGAGCAAGATGTTGTTTTTCCGGTGAGAAGCTTCAAGCTCGCGGGAGCGGTATGCAGCAGAGTTGGTCAAAGCCCGGACGTGCCGGTTGGTTGGAGGGGAACATGACGTCGATCAATTCCGATGAGGGGATGTGCAACTCGAATCAACAAGACGCTGCTGTGTTGTTAATTGCACAGCGCATCGCTTCGTGACCTTCTTTCCTTCGCTCCGTGTATATATAATCCGCTCCAGTCACCGACTTATACCCTATTTCTTCTCAACATCCACTTCAAGCTCATCAGCAATGGCACCGGTACGTTTCATCTTCGAACAGCTCTTCAGCTTCGAGCAGCTCATAGGCTACCTCATCCTGTGGATCAGCATCATCTCTTGGCTTCGATGGCTAACACTGGAACAAAAGATCAAGGAGATTCTGTTCGACTGCGACAACACCCTCGTTCTGAGTGAGCACCTTGCGTTCGAGGCTTGTGCTGAACTTGCCAACGAGATTCTGGAAAAGCATGGAAAGTCGGCTCGCTACACTGGCCCTCAGCTCCTCAAGGAGTTTGTCGGCCAAAACTTCAGAGGTATGATGGTCTCTCTGCAGAAAAAATACGGCTTCGAGATCCCAGAGGACGAGTTCAACGCATACGTTGACCGCGAGCTCGGCAAGGTTGTCGAGACACTGGAGAAGAAGGCCGAGCCCTGCGCCGGTGCTACCGAAGTCCTCGAGAAGCTATACAAGAGCAAGAAGTACGGTCTTGCTGTTGTATCATCATCCGCCCTCTCAAGAGTCCAGGCTTCCATCCGCAAGGTCGGCCAGGACAAGTTCTTCCCCGCAGAGCACGTCTACAGTGCTGCCACCTCCCTCGAAAAGCCAACATCGAAGCCGGACCCTGCCATTTACCTCCACGCATGCAAGGAGATTGGTGTCGAGCCCAGCCAGTGTGTAGCCATCGAGGACAGCAAGTCAGGAGCTACCGCTGCCAAGAACGCGAAGATCCCTCTGATCGGCTACGTTGGTGCTTACGACGACAAGGAGGAAATCGACAGAATGGCCAAGATGCTGACCGAGGAGTGTGGTGCCATTGTTATCATGTACCACTGGAACGAGTTCTTCGACTGCATGGAGAAGGTCGAGCAGAGTCTGGCATGACTCCCCAAGAAGGCCAACATGTGATGGCCTTCACTTTTACCTCACGAGGATATGAGTATGACGATGTGGGGCCACACATGAGTTGGCATGAGCGAAGGTGCTCTGGAAAAGATAATGCATCCGCTTATTGAAGAAAAAGTTTGGACAGATTAATCCATCACTAATGAATACAGTATTCATACTGCCCGCATGCGAATCGTTTGTTTGATATCATGGCATGCACCATGTGAACTCTTGCCCCTGCTGATCTGTTTATTGATAGTTTTCCATATGCCGCACCATGTGGCAGGACTTGATCTGCGAAGAGCAGTCGGCAAGAATCGGATGCCACATAAGGAGGGCGTTGTGCCACCTTGCTGTAGTTGGTAAGGCACCGCCGAGAGATTGCCATGCCCTCCTTTCTGCACAACAAACATAACCTATACTTTCTGTCCGCCCTCGTGAACCTTGCGGTGTCATGTGAGCATTTATATGATCTCTGGTTGGTTGTAGCATTGGTCCGGTCCTGCGGCAGCTAGACTGGAAGACGAGAATGTTCAATAGATGTGAACCCAATCTGATAGAGGTATCGATTTTTCCTATCGGCGAGGCCGTGACCGAGGAATTTGCCGAGAACTCTCGAAGGATATCACTTAGACACCTCGTGCCGTGCGCAGAATGATCGGCCTCTATCCGCAAATCTGCACGACACTCTGTAGATCAACGGAGAACAATGATCATCAGCGGTGATCATGATGCTTGACTTTGAATCTGCGGAGCAGTGTTGGTACTATTCTCGGCCATTCAGATGGGTAAGCATGTTCGTGTTAAATGATCGCCTTCCTCGTATGTTAGATCCTTCTGCGCGCCCAAGTCCAGAGATAGACAGGCTGCTCGAAGCGCCTCTATCAGATGCAGTCTCCGCCCAAGGTATTGCACAACCTTATTGCGGTCAAATTGACAAAGCTTACACTGGATCAGGTTGATATCGATGAATGTGACCCTTTAGAAAGAATGGAGTTTGGTCTATCTTCACGTCGGAGAATTTAATGCTTTGCATTATTCGAAAAGTATCCGCTCGATGACCACATGGCTTCGTGGACAAAGAGTGGATGCACCAATGACATCCTGATCGCAAAAGAAAGCCATACACTAAGGATCGACTTGCATGACACTATTAGCACCTTGTTCAGCGAAAATAGCAGCGATTGGGGGCTCAGCATGCAGAGGCAAATGCTTCACATACACGAGCTTTCAGGGCCGCCGCGGGAGAATATCCATGGCGCGTGTAGTCGCAAAGCAAAATCCGAGCTTGACAGCACACAAGACGGGCCGTCGGCTGACATAGCCACTCCAGAAGTCTGATGGATATGCCCTGGAAGCTTGACTCGCGCAGTTCCAGTGTGAAGGTCTTCCGGATTCCGAGACAGTTGCAGTCTCGCCTTGCGACAATCGTTGAGTTTCTGTGGTTGTGCCCGAGACATCTTCACAGTGGAACAGTGTCTCTCTTCAGCCCACAATGACACGGGGCACAACGCCATTCAAGGGTTCGAAAGATGGGTCGTGGTTTTGCGCCTGGGGCGAATCCTTTAGACCCGCACACAAGCACGGCGCAGTCATAATGGCATAGCTAGCTGCTGCAACTTATCATTGCTGCATGATAGGAAGGAACGCGATCATGACACGAGGCTACAAAAGTAATTATATGTAGAAAGTTGCTACCCGAACTTACGTTCATCTTATGCAACGTTTGACATGTTATACTTTGGCAATCGCTCGAAGTCATCTGGCCGCTCAAGGCTTTGCAGAAGAAGAACCACCTTCTATTTGGAGTATCGAATGGCAAACCTCCCTCTAGAGCTTCATGAGTCTGACTTGACTCTGTGCGTTGCGACAACTGGTACCCAGCAGGCAATGATCAACTGTTCTCGACGAGATCAAGCCTTGGCATATCCTGATGATGGTTAAGACATTCTCCACGCGCGGTACCCACTCCCCAAACTTAGCATCATGTCGATCTCGAAACGACCATCTAGGAAACGGCCTCGCGCGCGCGATTCTCTGAAGGAGCGCGGGGACAATAAAGTCAGATCGCGAGTGGGACTGACCGTCATCAAAGACTCCTCTTCGCATTGCCTGATTCTCGACAAGGCACTGACTCCTTCATCAATCGAAGTCGCGAAGCGAGATGAAGTGTGACTGAAAGAATCTCCAGAGTTCTCTCTATTGCTTTCCCGGAAGATCACCCGCTCACGCAAGCAGGAACCGCACGGCACGACCAAGGGGAAAACTTGCCTCCTCTGCACTAACCAGACAGGCGTACCAAACCACAGAAGCCCCGTCATGAGAACTAAGTTCAGTTTGGCCATCCTGCCAAGCAAAGGGCCCCTCGAAACGGCACACTTCCACGACCTCTGGGCTTGAATTAGAGTCAGCCACCGTAATAGCACCCTGCAGAGTCGCAACATCCTTCCCTGATCTGATGCTCTTCGCGAGGTTCCGTGCTCTCTATACCACAATTGCTCTGCTCCTTCGTGTCAAGATGGACTCCACTTTCTGTATTTGGCTTGACATCAGCACCCGCCTGCTATTCTCGGCAAGCACTCGAGGGCAGACTTACTCGCGATCCTGCCTTGGCCTGGACTCGTTTGAGTTCTGTTCAGGATCTTGGACGGCTTGAGTATTGCCAAAAGAGACGCGGTGATGCTCGTTTGCAGGGTAGAGTGTCATAGTGCGACTAGAGTGTGGACACTCTCCAAGTTCAAGTATATATATATATGCCCATGATCCGGTAAGTTGGAAGACCATCTTACCAAAAGCATCTGCTTCTTTACTACCATCTACTTCATCTACTTCCGTCTCTCAAGACACAAGACAAAATGCGTTCCTTCACCGTTGCCGCTGCCTTTGCAGCTCTGGCTGTAGCCAACCCTCTCCCCCAGGAGATCGACTGGGCCGCCGTTGATGCTCTGGCTCCTATTCCTACTGTTACCATCCCTGTTGTCGACGTTGCTGCTAAGGCCAGCACTGTTGCATACGAGCCCTCTGCTGCTGCCACCTCTGTTGCTGCTGAGGTCAAGGCCTCTGGTGTCGACACCGATGCCACTTCTGGCCTCAAGGTCCGCGCAGCTGCTGTCACTTGCAAGCCTCAGCCTCTCGGTGCTGGCCCAACCGTCAGCCCTGATACTCCCGAGGCGTTCCTTGCCTACGGCGACTTCGCAACTGCTGCCAACTCTGCCTCGACTCCCGAGGGATACTACAACAGCTTCACCAACTTGAACGCCAGCTCATCGGCCTATGGCTACATGGGCTACACTCTGCTTAACGAGTACTCGACCCAGACCTGTGCTTCCAAGTGCGATGCCATTGAGGGATGTGCTGCCTTCAACATCTACTTTGAGCGTGACCCTACCCTCAACCCTAATGATGCTTCCTGCGCAAACCCTCCCTCAACCACAAACATCAAGGCAAGTTTTTGTGACATTTACCTCTTACTAGAACGATGCTAATCCTCCAAAAGTGTGTATTCTGGGGAGGTCCCGTGTCCACATCCAACGCCAAAAACTTTGGTCAATACCGCAAGGACTTCCACGTCGTGATTGCTGGCTCGAACGGCTACACCTCGAACAAGATCGTCACCCCTCCCGGCTACACCGACCCCATCTACCTCGGTAACGCCGCTATCAACGCACCCTTCGATTGCAACGGCAAGGACACCTACCTTGGCGTCCGTATCTTCCAGAAGGGACCTTTCGACATCTCCAAGTGTGCCGCTGCTTGCACTGCCCAAGCCGACTACGCTCGTGCTCACCCCCCTTCAAACGGTGCTGCCATCAAGACCTGCCAGTACTACAACACTTACATGCTGTTGAAGAACGGTGAGGCTGTTGGCCAGTACTGTGCTCTTTACGACCACAGCTGGCCTTCCAAGTACGCTACCAACTTTGGCCAGTACCGTGGCTCTGACCAGTACACCATCGAGTGGTCGTACATTTCGTCCAACGCTACTGATGCTGCTGCTGCTTGCCAGCCCAAGTAGACGAAGTTTGGAGCTGAGATGACTTTTATGGCCTTTTGTGTTTTGTAAAGTAGCGTTAATGTTTTCGTCACTCTCTATCAGATATCTTGTATATGCCCTCCTTGGAATACTGTACAAAATTTTATCCTCAACGACTTCTTAGAACTTCAATTCTTGATGAGTGTTCCAATCGCTGAAACTTGTACAGTCGCGTAGCAGTGCTCCGAATGTGAGTGACGTTCGAGCTTTATCGGTACGGTTCAACCTGTCCAGTCAGGGTATGCCGCCTCCTGGCCGGACTCTCCATGCTGTTCACAATCTGAAAACTATACACTACGTCGCACACAATGCTTTGCCTAGACAGAAGTTGAACAAGATGACTTTGGGTATGTACATATAGCTCATTCTACTAGCGTCTAGGTCTAGGGGATATGCTTCGTGAATCGTTTCGGCGGGGTGGAGGAGTAGATGAACGCCTGCGTTCTCTACGCTTGTAGTCGCGTTCTTTGATTGGAGGAGTTGGTGACCTCGAGTAATCCCTCCGTCTGCTTTCTTTTTCGCGTCTGGGAGGAGAGTCGTGGTAATCTCTAGTAGAGCGATGCCTGTCCCTCCTGGGTGACTCCGAACGGTCGTCTCTATGAGAACGATGGCGATCGCGTCTGTCGTCTGTACGATCGCGTGACGAGTCTCTTCTGCGTCTTCTGTGTCTATCTTCATCGTGGTCGCGTCTTGAGCGGTGGTGTCGCTTTTCGCGACGCGAGTCGTCGTGTTTCGTGGATGAGGATGATGATTTTGCCAATGCCTTTTCGACTTCTTCCTTCTTTTGCTCAATCATGTATGCTTTCATGGGATCGTCGTCTTCCATGTCGCGCATGAGTTTTGCCAGTTCGAGCTCTTCCTTGATCAGAGGTCTGGCCTCCTCTTCAGCTTCCGACTCTTCAGCATGTGCACCGGCGATTTGCTTGTCCTGACCAACGTATCCTTCATCTTCATCCTCGTCGTCTCGCTTCTTGTATCTTGTGTGGTCGACAGCAAGCATCTTTCCCATGACGGTTGCGCCGCCGAGGTTGTCGACGGCGAGATCGCAACTCCGCTGGTCCTCGTACTTTAGCCAGCAGAAGCCTTTGCTCTTTCCGGTCTCCTTGTCGCGCATGAGGCGGATCCAGACGGGCTCGCCATATTGGGAGAAGATTGTGATGATGTCTCCTTCGGACAGGTCGAGGTTGAGGCCGCCGACGTAGATGTAGGCCGTGTCGCGGTAGTCGGTGTGCCAGGAGGCGTTGGAGGGAACGACTTTTTCGAGTTCGCGCTCGTTGAGGCGCTGGACCTGTTTGATCTGGTTCATGGCGGTATGCGGTGGAAGGACGCGAAGGGGAAAAAGTTGATGATGACGCTGCGGGCTACAAAAGTTGCCAGACCTTGATGGCATGTGAAAGGCGTTTGACCAAAGCTTGAGAGTGACCCTGGCCTTGACCCTGACCGCCTTGGAGCTGCTGTAAACACTCTCTCGAACATTACACTTTTGTCGCAAGCAACCACCCCCATGGCGCGCTCTCAGTCAAAGTCACGGCCGGGGAGCAGCGAGCAGGACATGTGGTCCACCCTGCTGGACAAGGTGGCCAGCGGCAAGAGGCTGCCCGACAAGAAGTTGATCGTCCTGGGCGGCTCCATCGACTCGCAGCGCGACTTTGTCGACTCTCTGGCCCAACAGCAGCAACAGAAGACGACTCGCCCAAGGAAACCCGACCACAAGAATGCTGCCCCTCCTCTCGCTACACGCTTCGGACTGGGATATACCTACCACAACCTCCTCGACACAGACCACGACGACATGGTTGCTCGCTTGTCGCTATACACCCTGAGCACTCCCGACAAGCAGTATGCCCCTCTGCTCGCCCGTCTCCTTACTCCTCAAGCCATTCCCAATACTGCCGCTGTCATCCTTCTCGATTGGGCCAAACCATGGCACTTTATCCACACTCTACGCCAATGGGTCCGTCTACTCAACCTCGTAACTTCCTCGCTCGATGAACCTGCCCAAGTCGCTCTGCAAGAGAACATGGCTGCCTCTCAACAACGCCGTCATCGCGATACTGCTACAAGTATGACCGACAACCACACTCCTCTCCCTCTGGGTCCCGGCGAGCACGATGATCCGCTAGGCCTTCCCCTCCTAGTCGTCTGTCAGAATGCTCAGCACATTGAATCTCTCGAGAAAGAGCGCGGCTACCGTGAAGCACACTTCGACTACATCCTCCAATTCCTACGGACAGTCCTGCTCAAACACGGTGCTGGCCTCGTCTACACCATGCCCGCTCAGCCAGGCTCACTACAACCACTCGTCCACCACGCTTTAGACGTCAACACCTCACCAGACGGCCCACCAAAACACAACGTCGTCGACCGCGACAGAGTTCTCGTACCGCCAGGCTGGGACAGCTGGGGCAAGATCCGCGTCTTGCGCGAAGGCTTCGACGTCGAAGGCATCAGTCGAGCCTGGGGCGTCGAAATCCAAGATTTACCCTCATCACCTCCTTCTCCAACTCTACCTTCCACGCCCGACGCCCAAACCTTAGGGGGAGCAGAACCCTCGCCTCCTTCGGATCAAGACACTACGATTTCCCTCTACGAACAACAGATACAAAACCCACATCCACCTGCTCCTTCACAGCCAAAGTTGGAAGTGGAATGTACACCCGATCAAACCTTTTTGGCCGCTCAAGCAGAAAGTCTAGATCGCTATCGCGCTGAAGACGAAGCAGCGAAGAAAGCTCGTGAAGCCCGTCGTGTGGCCAATGCACCCAGCACACCATCCCACTCATCCGCCGATGACTCAGGTGCTAGAGCAATGGCTGAGCATGTGGGCCCCGTTCAATTCAACATGGGAGGAATCCAATACGATGCGGATGAAGTGCTGAGACGTCTAAAGGTATCTAATCTTCCCTTTTACCGCTTTCCCGAAAACACGTTTACTGATATAAGATGAAACAGGAACGCAACAAACCCGCTGCGTCACCGACACCAGGTGGTACTACAACGCCATTTAGTCCCCAATCACCGGCTCCCGCGTCGTCGAATAGTGCAACGCAAGATGTGGCCAAGGATCTGCCGACAGAGAACCTGGAAGCTTACTTTGCGAGCTTGATGAAAGGTGGCAGAGGTGCCAATAGTGCGCAGAACAGTCCTCGGCCTACGAGAGATGCTGGTGTGTAGAGATGTGGTGTATAGAGATGGCTGTGTTTCATCGAAAAGGATTACAATAACCGATATCCAACCACAAATTGTGCAAAGTCATCTGGCCATAATGAAGAGTTTTTGTATCTGAAAAGAATTGGTCTAACCTGACCAAACGACTACACAGCTCGCGGTTCTCCTCAACTCCTCTCAGGAAACTGCCTGGTCAGATAGTTTCTGAACCCCGTATTCGCAACCCTGACACCGCCTGTGTTCAAATCATCCGCAAGCTCAAACACCTCCCATCTAGCATCTGCTCCACCCTCCACAATCCACAGCCTTCTATCTCCTCCTTCCGGGTCCCAGGCAATCACTCCTTTCGGCGGTTTACCATCTGGCCTACCAGGCACAGCCACATTGTCCACCTTGAGCTTGGCAGTTTGTCCGTTGGGAAGTGTTGTATTGGTGTACCGCGGCTGACCTTGCCAGTTTGGCGGATCTGAGCCAATGGTGAATTCGATAGACGTGGATGATCTGGTGCCCTTGGCCATACCGCTGAAGATTGATGTCAGTGAAGGTGCAGTGGCGGGTGGTGCGTGACGGAGATCTGGTGGTGGTAACATGTAGCCCCCTGCTGCTGTAGCCACAGCGCCTGGAAGTGGTGACGAAGATCCAGATGTGTGAGATATCGTGTCGTAATCGTGGTTAACGCGGCTGAGAGAGTTGCGTTTTCGCTGTTCGGGCGGTTGTCGTGAACGTTCTCCTGATGCTCTTGGAGCACGGAGGTTCCAGATATGCAATGTGCCTTTTTCGGACGTAGAGGCGATAAAATATGCCGAGGGAGAGAAGGCCAGGCCCCATATTGACGCAGACTCTAGGCCTCGTCGCAACTCGGTGGATTTTGTTGGATCGGTGGTGCTGAAGACACGGATGATGGTGCCTTGTTCACTAGCAGTGGCAACGATGTTGCCGTCTCTGCTCATAGCCATCTGTCTCAAAGATTGCTCGTGAGCTTTGAAAACCTTCTTGTCCTTCGAAGATAGTGTCAAAACTTGTACTTGTCCAGGAGTCTCTCCAGGTAGCGCTAATGAGTCGCCCCTGATACAGCAGAGACCGTACGGGTTTTTCGCGGTCCGGTACAATGCTTTCACTGTGCTTAGAGTGATTGCACCGGTCTCTGGATCTTTACTGTACTCCAGAGATATACTGCGATCCATCAGGACGACAATGCAGTATTTGGTGGTGACTCGGACGGCGATGATCGGTTCGCCAAAGTTGAGCTCCTTTGATTTCTTCTTCTCGACGAGGTCCCAGAATTCAAGCTTGACAAGATCAGTATGGTTCATGTATCTGACGTGATTTGGTGATATACCTTATTAGGCGATGAGTTCGGCAACCTTCCGCCACCCACCAAGACTGCGTATCTATCATCCAAAGCTTCTACGATAGCGAGACCGTGTCCAGGACGAGGTGCTAGTAGTGGTTAGAGACCTGAGGTTTGATCACAAACACCGTGACATACCTTCTTTGATGGTTCTTATACAGTCCTTGGCACGAAATACTAGAACGTATGGTCAGCTATTACCTGATGGCTGGGGTCACATCTGAAAACGCACCCCTCAAGCCATCGTCCAACCCGCAGGCGAATCTGGTACAGTCGTTGTTGAAGGCCACTGAGAGCACCTTTGGCTCGGCGGTGTCCTTGATGGGACGTCTTGTGTCCATGACGCTGGCTCAATCGTGGTATCGGACCGTGGAGTGTGTACTGGCATGCGGGAGTTGGACCGATACAGGATTATGGTTCATGAGCAGTCCATATTCCGTGAGGATTTGACTGGTTCCAGGAAAAGGTGCGTTGCCAATGCCAAAAACACTGTGTTGGTGATTGATAGATAGTCCAGATATCCGGGGCAGTAGATGACCCTGAATCACATGCCACTAGGCAGTCACAAGGGTTGCAGGACGATCTGGCTTGGAGCTTGTCGTTGAGCGTTCCACCAGGTTTGATATCTGTCGGGCAGAGAGATGATACGAACCTTTGTAAACGGTGGATTAGAATACCATATAAGAGTGTGAGGTGTTTCGATGTCGTCTGTTGTCAACGTTAGAGATGACCTGTGCTGAAACAAGAAGGTTGCGGGATAGCCCCACATCTGTTCGGGAAGGCTCGACCCTTCAACCAAGAAACAAGCCTTGGTTTGACAGAAAGCCATTCCACCTTGTATCGGTACGAGAACACTTTCTGTCCAGCGTAGAATGCTCAGCTTAGAGCTGAGATAGATTGTGACAAGACCACAGAAGAGCAGGATACTGCTCGAGTGGAAGAATGCTTAATGAGACTAACAAGCATCTGTCTGTTTACTCTTAGAGGGAAGTTCGACATGTAGCTATCAAGATGCATAAGATTCCATGCGCTGTCACTGGAAATCTCAGTCGAGTGACTGTGAGCCCCAGCACGCATGCTCTCTGCCAAAATCAAGGTCTACAGCAATACGTCAAGTGTGCAGACGCTTGGGCACCAACCTGCAGCCACAAACGAATGGCCCCCACCACCCACCAGCCTCTCCAGTTCCACTGTTCCAGGATCTGGTCGTTTGTCTCCCGCTCACCGAGCTGGCAGTTCTCGTGTGACGACTCTGCTTCTCCTTCTCGGAGTGTCTGCTTGTGCATCGCTCTTGCCCTCGCGTTGCTTGTGGGTTTCTGACATTTCCCCACGTTGGGCTTGACTCGTCGGTTCAGCTTCACTTTCTGACCGTTTCAAAACGTCCCGGCGACGAGCCAGCACCCCGTCATGTCTCGGCGTTATCCTCCTGCTGATGTCTACAACGAACGTGAGCGCGATCCCTACGCAAGACCTCGACCTGCGCGCAACTATGAGGACATCGAAGTCGACATCAACCGAACCCGCTATGCTGACCGTCCGGAATCCGTCGTGAGCGACCGCCGAGGCCCCCGCGGCGCAAAACTTCCAGACTTTCTACACGATGACTATGGACGAACGAATGCTGGCCCACTCGTGGTTAAGAACCGCGAGTCCGACGACTATGCCGACTATGTTTCCCGCAGAGATCCAGACACCATGTCGCGCAGAGGAGGTCCTCCAGAAAGAGTTGAGAGGGATGGACTTGTTATTAGAGAGCGCAGGAATGAGCCTCCACTTCGAGAGCGACGACCACCGCCTCCGAGAGATCCGAGGGACGTCGAGCGCGAAGAGATCATCATTAGACATGGTGATCGTGACCAGTCGCGTCCTAGACCAAGAGATCGTGGAGAAGTTGAAGAGACGGACATCTTGATTCGTAGAAGGGAACAAGAGCGAGAGAGAGACCCAGAGCCGCCTCGAGGCCCCCCTCCCGACATAGTCTTTCGTAGGGGCGCTGGAGATCGCCGACCTCCTCGTTCCGAAACCGCGAGATCAGAAGTCGCTGAAGAGGAGTTCGTCTTCCGCCATGAGGAGACACGCTCTCCTCCAGCCCGGAGTGTGCGCGGTATGGAAAGAGAAGAGATCAGTATACGCGAGCGCGAGCATAGTCTCCCACCTTATCGTAGACGCAGCCCAGGTCCGGTCGCTCGCGAAAAGGAAGAATGGCTGTTCAGACGTCGCGAGCCTTCCCCTCCACCACCTCCTAGAGACGACCGCGAGGAAATCATCATCCGTCGCCGCGAGCACGAACATCACTCTCCTCCTCCCCTCAGAGATGAAAGGGAAGAGATCATCATAAGAAGACGAGAGAGATCTGTTCCTCGCGAACCCAGCCCCGAACCAGTCAGAGAGCCGTCCCCAGAGCCCATGCCACCACCGCCAGAGCCTATTGTCCGCCCGCCTATCATTCAGGAAATCATTACGCATCACAGACATATCGATCATGGCATTGAGCGTGTTCGCTCACCTGAAGCGGTGCCCAGTCCTCCCCCAGCACCTCCAAGCCCCCCTCCTGCACCCAGAGATGAGAGTCTTGAGATTGAGATTCGCAGACGCAACACTCGCAATGGAGGTTACGAGGAGAACATCACCTTCGAGCGCGATGTGTCTCGTACAGCACGTGCGCGTGAGCCTGAGATGGAGCGCAATGTTGAGCTTACCCGCTCTCGCTCAGTCTCTGCACCTCAACGTCGCTACGATGATGAGATTGCTGCTGAAGCCGAGTACTACAACCGTAAAGCACTCGAGCGTGGCTATATGGGCGAAGCGCACAACGGTGCAACCCGAGATTGGGGTCTAGTCGACGTTCCTCCCGGTACCAGAAGAGTGCAGATGGATGGTCTGGGAGGCGGTCGACAAGACATCACCTGGCAGCAATACAACGGATCCCGACGAAGCAAGTTCTACACTGCCGACGAAGAGTTTGTCACCGACTTTGGTCCCGGCGGCCCTGCACCTGAACGCAAAGAGGAGAAGCGTAAGGTGACCAAAGACATGTGGACCGAAGTCACCAAAGACCTGGTCATCAAAGAAGCCATCGAGGAGATGGGTTATCAGTACGAGGACTCTGAGCATTTTTTCTACGTCATGGAATACCTGAAATATGTACGTCTGCCTTGGTCGTCTCAACCACCCACAAACAAGACAAGAAGCTAACATTTGCAATTTAGGAAAACGTGCTTCAGCTCGTCGAGCTCTCCGAAGACATTCGTCGCGAACGTCGCGATCGCATCAGAGAGATCGAATGGGAACGCGAACAACTTGAACGACTCCCACCTCCCAAGCCTCGCTCACCACCTGCAAAACCTCGTTCCAAATACGATGAGCGTATCTACGAACGCGAGGTCATCTACGACTCGAAGCGATCGGGCAGATACCGATGAGCACAGGCTTACTATCTGAGTCTGCTTCTGCTTTGGGCTCGGACGACTTTTGCTGGAGGCATCTCTTGCTTTTTCCTTGCCTCCTCCTTTCCTTCTTGCTCTTGTTTCTTTTTGCTTGCCTTTATTCTGATCCAAAACGCAATGGCATGGCGGCTTCTCCAGCAGCAGATACTACGGCCCCCCTTTAACGACATGAAACGAACAGCATGGCGAACTGATACACATTCGACGAATTGCTTTGATAACGTTCGCAACTGAATTTCCTTCTTGCTTGCTTGTGTTTTCCATTTCCGGCGGATGGCGGTTTCGATTAGAAAGCTATACAATCAAAGTCTTCTTCACACGCTTGATACACGCAATGTCTTGCAACTGCAAAATCGTCTTCTTTGGTGCAAAGTGAGACCATGTGGGTGCTTAGTACACAGCTCTACTTGAAGCAAACCGTGACTCAAAAAGGTCAGATATACTTAGAATAAGTCTTTCTTTTTTCATTCTTTCGTAAAAAACTTATTGTTTTCTTCTACTTTTCGTTAAGAAGAGTCCACCGCACTTCTATAAGATGTTTTGACTGTCTAAGAGATGTACCATGATTGCATCCGTACGTCATGAGCCGTCCCGAGAGGCCTTGAGAGAAAGGGGGAACAGAAAACACACAAACCATGATTGAAGAAACTCCAAAAGAACAAAACAAGCCGAACATGGAGAAAAAAAAAACCAGGAACATGACCAAGCAAGGAAAGCTCTCAAGACCCGCCTGCTGGCTTATCGCATCCGATGCGACCCAAAAGATCCTTGTGGTTGCCGGGTATGCTGATGCCACTCGCGCGAGGCTTCTCAGAAGTCCGCTTGGCCGCCGGGCTGGGTCGGCGTGTGAACCGTAGGCTCTCAACGCCCACCTCTTCCTCTTGCGGTGCCAATCGCAGCTCTGGCTCCTTTTCAGGGAAATCTCTCACGGTGTCCACGATATCTCCCTCCTCTTCCTCTTCTTCTTCGTCGTCTGAGCGGGTGTCGTCGGCTCCCTTGCCCAGAACCACGCGGTATGCGACGCGGCAGATCATGCCGAACCAGATGATCGTAATGACTTGGAGAGCGAGTAGCAGGCCAAGGAAGCCGTAGTGGATCTTCTCGTTGAAGCATACGTCGGCGTTGCCGCTGGTGTAGGCGTGCAGCACATTCGAGAGGACCTCGTTACCGCCATCTTCAGAAGTTTTGACGCCAGTCTCGGCATTGTAGCATCCGTAGGGCATTTCGACGGGGACATCGGCGTAAATGGACCAGCAGACGGCGAGATAGAAGACGTGTCTGGCGACAAACCACGAAAGCATAAAGACGCCGAATGCAATGTCGCAAGCGGTTTGCATGCCCATGTACTTGAGCAGTTTCGCGATCTGCACAGTCACAGTCAGCATCTAGCGTAAAGAATTTCGTGCACGCAAAACTTACAGGGAACACCAAATCGACAACATCCATGAGACACAAAATGACATTGCCGACCTTGGTCTGGTAGTAGCCGTAGCTGCCAATCAGGAGCAAGCAGGTAATGATGTGGTGGGTGAACATTTGCCAATGATCCTTTCTGCGCTCTTCAATGTTGATGACCAAAATTTGCTGCAACCAGAAGCCGAATTGAGCCAGATAGTAGAGTTTGAAGAGGCCAGTCATGGAGCGTGTCGGGAAAGCTGACCACATTGCGGGCAGGTTGTTGGAGTATGGGGATTCATATACGAGATACTGCTTGGTGTGTTAGTTATCGCAACACATAGACTCTGAGGATTGTGGTGATACGCACACATCCAAGGAACCAGAATGTAGCGTAGTACAGCACTAGCCATGCCTGCTCGGCGAAGCGAATGGTGGCCTTCTTCTTGTAGATACCACATTTTCTGGCCATTGGGACAAGGGCGTAGTCCATAGCTGCCGCGCGAAGAGCGGTGAAGACGATGATGCAGAGCGAGACAAACTTCAGGTCCTGCCATCCAGGGTTGTAAAGACGGGTTTCGGCATCGTAGTATGAGAGGGTAAAGTATTGGATGGTCGAGGATCGGAGGCTAGGGAAGCAGACGTGCGTCAAAACGAGGAGCATGAGCACGTTGATCGACAGGCCTGGGATAGGTCAGCATTGCTCTTGTCGTTCCGGAGCTTCAATGGTCGGTGGAGATGTACCTAGTTGGTGCTCAACGAGGGTAGCGCACAGCGAGCTCGATAGACTATCGTGCTTCCTCTTTGATCGCTTCTTGAGCTGGGATCTGGGGTTGCAAGTAGGCATGTTGAGATGTTGCGGGAGCGATTGGGCATCGGCCGTAGCGGGACGGGAAGCGACCGAAGCCATTGGCGAGAATGGACAGTGGTATGCAGCAGATCAGACAAGCAGCATTGACGGGTGTGAGCGAGAGTGAGGAGCGAGTTTTGCAGCGTCCGGAGCCAGAGTTCGGCCAGTTGTCTTTCAACGGTCTAGCACGGAGGTAAAGTCGGAGCAGTGGGCGTCTAAGCACAAAGACAAAAACGCAAGTTGCAACGCGGTCCAATGTCGTGGGAAGCCGAAGCTGGCGATGGAGCCGGACAAGAAGCAGCTCCGTCTCGCAGATGCAAAGATCCAATGCGCGTGGCAGTGAATGGCTGAAGACACGCGTATCAAAAGTGCAGCGGTTGAAACGATCAAAAAGTCGATTGCAACGCCGCCAACCCCAGACCCTTGGCGACCCCCTTTAACCCTGCCGCCAGAGCTTACCATCTCCACCGACTCGACTGACTGCCCGTCTGATTGGCTCCCGGCCGAGTGCGGTGGAGGGGACCAGACCTGACACACTTTCTGCTATGGTCCACATGGTCCGAGTTGGCGACAACCACGTCCATCCAACAACGTCGGAAATAATTCAACATGAAACCTGTCTTTGTTCGGTGTAATCGCAAAACTAAGAAGAACCTTTCCCATCCAAAACCTGCTGAACCCCACTTTCCGAAACTCCGCCTTCATCATCCAATACCACCTTGTACACTCTCGACAGCCTTCACAGCTCCACTCTAGTTGTTCTGCTGGCTGTTCAGGATCCTGAGAATAGCCAGGAACAGGTTGATAATATCAAGGTAGAGTGAGATGGAAGCAGCAATTTCCTCCTCGACATGGTAATGCTTCATGATCAGCTGCGTGTCCACCAAGATGTAGCCACTGAAGATGAGGGCACAGACAATGCCGTATCCCAACTCGATCGTGCTGGTGTGAGGGAAGAAGGCTGCCATGAATCCAAAGATGATCACAACCCATAGAGCTCCGCCAAGGTAGGGGATCCAGCTAGTGAAGTCGTACTTGGTCTGGCAGGCGAAGAGGGTGAGTGCGACAAAGATACCAAGAGTGAAGATGAGTGCTTCAAGCACAATCTTGCTTTCGAAGAAGGATGTGACGACACTGATCGAGTATGCTTCCATGGCGGTGAATCCAGCAAGGAACAGAAGATTGGTAGGGTACGACTTGCGCTTCCAGAAGGTCAAGAGCATGAAGCCAATGGCACCGAAGAGCGAGACCCACATCATCCACTGGTTGGTCTGGATCCATGCCTTGTATCCGGGGCTGAAGAATGAGACGGACGAGAGAGCGGCGGTCGCGAGAAGCTGGACGGTCAGGATCGAGTAGACCTTGCGGACGAATTGCATGCGGATGTCGAGAGTCGCTTCGGCGACAGAGCCACCGAACTGTGGTACCTCAGTGAGATTGTCCCTGTGCTCTGTGTTGCAATACAACATACCTTAAAGTCATCTGGGACATTGTCGTCTTCGTCTCTAGGAACTCCAAGGACGCCAGAGGCTTCTGCCTGGTAAGATGGTGGTGGCTGGCTGTAGCTCTGCTCCTCGAATGAGTCGCGCGTCGGCGCTGCCTGATACTTTGTGGTGGATGCCATCGCTGTGTGTGATAAGGCGCTGGCTGAAAAAGATAGTTTGAAGTGGGTCAAAGAGATGCTCAGGTAATTGATAGCAAAGAAAGGAAAGCGGCGACGAGTGCACAGCCGGCCGAAGCTTCCAGCGTCATCAATCCGGGGTCACGTTCCCAAACTCGGCTGAGCCTCCGTTATCTCCGTCTTCTTTCGCCTTCACTTTTCTGTATGCCGGTCTGTGATGTAGACCTCAATTTCTGTAATATGATCAGAACAAGAACAAGAAGCGCACGTTATGCTATCGCCAGTCACATTGAGATATCGAGTGCACCAAATATATCAGCGACAACCGAATCTGGCTTGAAGCCCAAGCTGAAACAAGTATCTGTCGAGCGGATGCTCTTACTCGCTGTGGCTATACCAAGATATCAGAGGCACCTGGCAGACTGCCGTTCAATGCCTGTCCATCTACCCTGACCGCTGGGCCCGCCGTATAGGGATCTCGGGCGTGTTTGCTGAGAACGAGTTCAGGCTCATCAACGAGCATTACACTCCTCAGAACATGCGAAAACTGGAAGGATGGGATAGAGTGGAGAGATAGGCAAAATTATTATACGTCAAAATCCGCTACAACTTCACGTACGGCCACAGTCAGCTGAAAACTGGGCATCCCGTCCGCTCTGCCATACATAAGCAGTTGAACGGCAGATTAGTACTACGGTGGGTGACCACGTGGGAATCCCTGCTGCTGTACGTTTTGTAATTTTACCTTTTGCTCGTCAACCCGAAACGACTTCTCAACATCAATCCCGAATCGATGGATCGGTGAATACACAAGATCTACTAGCGGCCGTAGGATTCTCGGACACATGTTTTTCGATGTCAAGCGTGAACACGCTGTTCAATTTGATGCTTGGCGGTGTAGAGGTTGGCCTGCTTCGTTTTGACGTTCAAGCCATGTGCCACTAGCTGTTCGCAATTGATACCAGTATGGCTACAAGTCTAGTCCGAGGGCTAAATGCCATACCGTGGAGAGCTCGGATCAGTCGTCTTCAGCAGCTACAGCGACAGTCCAGCACAAAGACAGATACTGAATTTGGAAGAGATGGGCCGACCGCTGTAGTCTTCATGAACATGGGCGGCCCTGGTCATCAGGGAGAAGTTCGAGACTTTTTGCATAGCCTCTTTGTAAGGTCGTCCTTGCACGAACTATCCTGACATGACTTACGTTCTAATCCTGACAATCAACAATAGTCAGACGGAGACATCATTCCCTTCGGACGGTTTCAAAAGATATTTGCGGATATCATCACCAGACTCAGAACATCGAAGATCCGGAAGCAATATGCAGAGATCGGTGGTGGTTCTCCTATACGCAGATGGTCTGAGTTGCAAGCACGAGAGACTTGCAGAATTCTGGACAATACGTCGCCTTCTTCAGCACCGCATCTGCCATATGTTGCATTTCGGTATGCTCATCCTTTGACCGAAGACGTGTACTTCAAGCTCCTCGAAGATGGATTTGGCAAACGGGGTAGAGTGATTGCTTTCTCACAGTATCCGCAATACTCATGTGGAACGACTGGTAGTTCAATCAATGAATTGTTCAGATGTCGAGAAAAGTTCGAGAGCCCTGGATCTCGCATCGATTGGAGTATTATCGATCGTTGGCCTGCTCATCCGAAGTTTGTGAAAGCTGTTGCGCGCAATATCAAAGCCGGTCTTGCAACGTATCCCACCGAGAAGAGGAAGGATGTTACAATCATCTTCTCGGCACACAGTCAGCCCATGCGTGCGGTGAACCAAGGTGTGTCGTGATAAGAATCTTCGGCGCGATGAAAGCTGACAAGACCACTTCGGATAGGCGATGCGTATTCGTCAGAGGTTTCTGCCACAGTGTATGCAGTGATGCAGCATCTCTGCTTTTCCAACCGATACCGCTTGTGCTGGCAATCGAAAGTAGGACCTCAGCCCTGGTTAGGTCCGCAGACCAGCGAAGTCGTAGAAAAATTCATCGAGAAGAGAGAGACACACTTACTTCTGGTTCCCATTGCTTTTACATCTGATCATATCGAAACGCTTTACGAACTCGACGAGGAACTGATCGGTGAGTCAGGACATGAGGAAACCATCAAGAGAGCTGAGAGCTTGAACGACAGTCCCTTGTTCATCGAAGCGCTTGCAGACATGGTCAAGGAGCATATAGATGGTGGGGAGAGGTCTTCCCGTCAGTTTGGGAACAGGTGTTTCGACTGTCGGAAGGATGTTTGTAGGGATGCTCGAGAGATGTTCACTGGTGGTGCTGTAGCCTGCCTGAGTGCTGACAAGTAGAAGCTCCCTCATCTAGAAAACAGGGATGTAAACGAGAGGTGGCGATATCGGCGATTTTACGAGGGTTAGTCGATGGTGGAACTCGGCGGAAACGACCGCTACGGATGCCACATATTTATTTACTCGCTGTTGATTGCGTTCATCCTCACAATGACAACAACTTTTGCTGAACATAATCTTTCGGATGGCAGTCGGTAGCAAGACCGAATCATCTGATAAGATCCTCACAAAGTTCTCGTACTGCGCTCCGACCACGTGTGTCACATGCGCAAATCCCGAGGGTATTACGTCACGCCGTTGAAGTTTTTTGAGATTTGACGGTGCTTGGCAAGCAAAAATGGTACGTAAATGGGGACAAAACAACTCCGATGCAAGGCAGAATGCGATGAGTCGACGACTTTGCACCAGAGGCAACCAGCCTCGTAAGCTTCGATTGTTCAACTTTGCACATCCTCCAGTCACTCCTTGCCTCTCGCCGCCAACATGAAGTCACCTATCCCAGATTACCTCGCCCATGTCCTTGAGAAGGCACGACCAAACGAGGGAGGGGCCGCCGCCGACTACATCGAGACCCTAGCCAAAGCAGACACGTCCAAAATGGCTGTCGCTCTGGCTATGGTCGACGGCAACTTCTACTCTGCAGGCGACGACAACATCGAGTTCTCCATCCAGTCCATCTCCAAGTCCTTCGTCTACGCCATCGCCATCGAGGATGCTGGTCTCGAACAAGTACTGAAGAAGATTGGAGTTGAGCCTTCTGGCGATAGATTCAACCAACTGTCCCTCGAGCGCAGCACCAACCGACCTATGAATCCTATGATCAACGCTGGTGCCATCACCGCTCACTCACTTGTCGTCTCGCCCACCGCAAACCTCCAAGAACGAACCGATCGCATTCTGAAGGTGCTCTCTAAGCTGGCTGGACGAGAGTTGCATGTCGACGAGGAGGTCTACAAGGCCGAGCTGAAAGATGCCGACCGTAACATGGCTATTGGATACATGCTCAAGGCTACTGGCATCATCACTTGCGACCCAAGAGAGGCAGTCAAAGGTTACATTCGGCAATGTGCCATCAACGTCAACGTCAAGGACCTGGCCATGATGTCTGCCGTGCTCTCCAATGGTGGCGTCCACCCGGTCACAGGAGAACAAATCATCCCACACACAAGTGTTCGTCAGGTCTTGTCTGTCATGACTACCTGCGGCATGTACGACGCAGCTGGTGATTGGGTCTCCAACGTCGGCTTTCCAGCAAAGAGTGGTGTCGCTGGGGCTATCATGGGCAGTCTCCCTGGTCAAGTCGGCCTTGCTACCTTCTCTCCCAAGATCGACGAACGAGGCAACAGCGTGCGCGGCGTGGCTATGTGTGAACAACTTTCGCGTGACATGGGTCTGCATATGATGGACGTCAGCCATGTCGCGAGATCGACTGTTCAAACAACTGTATCCACCCTAGTCGCTAGCGATGACGAAAAGCACGGTCTACACAACCACAACTGCGGCCGCAAAGTCGTAATCTTCAAGCTAAGAGGTGCTGTACGCTTCCCCGGTGCCGAACGCTTGACAAGAGCTCTAGCCTACGAGCTTGGTAATCCCGACCCATCTGACCCTGGATCTGGAAGCCATGCTGATGCTTGCGCTATCGTCTTCTCCTTCCGCGAGGTCTTCTCTCTGAACTTTATTGCGCGACGACTGATCCACGAAAACATCACACGACTGTTGAGCGAGCGAAGAGTTTTGGCCATTATAGACCCCACAGGTGTGCTCGAGTGGGATCGTGCCAAAGCAAAGGGCGATAGACATCCCAAGGTTGTCAACGATGATACAGAAGCACGAGACTACATTGGAGGCACTGGATGTCAAGCTGTCTCTGAGGATCCGGAATGGTAGATACCCACATGATGTTATGAACGATTTTGGCGCGTTTCTGTTGGTTGACAGTTGGTCAACGCTTTCTTTCTTGCAATGGCATTTTTTGCAAGGCGTCCTGGGGAACTTTTGTTGTATACCGCTGTTCATAGACTCAATCATACACTTTTGGCAATCACATCACCCTTGATCACAATGCTTTGACCGCAGTCTACGAACGCAGAGGAAAGACCAAGGGCAAAGGCGTGAGCTAGAGACTCAAACTTCAATGCTCAAAACCAAGCATTGAAACAAGCAACGGGCTGAAGGGGGATCGACCTTGGAAGCGGCTCGGCATTCGCTGCCTGCAGCAACCCTTGAACCACGACTGCGAGTTTGCGACAAACTCTCCCTGCAGGGAGGCTAGCATGACGCAACTTTCGATAGCCAATAGCTCCAGCGCGTGTTCTGACCAGATCAAGTCTATGGCGTCTTATCTCTGTCTGCTGCGCATTTCGACTACGCGTCAACCCCTCATGTAAACCTGCAAGGACTGTGAGCTGCGTGCGTAACGACGTAGGTGGAAGTGATTGCTTCGTAGCCGGCTGTATAAGACAGCAACTCCCATGATACATGTCTCTTTCCCTTTCCACTATAGTGACAAGTTGTGAGCCATACCTCTCTTCACAGTTTCAGACACCAAAAGATGCCTCACCACGGACACCACCACGGCGGCCACAGAGACCACAAGTCTCGCGACAGCGAACGCCGCTCTGGCAACAGCAACGACAGCGGAAACAATAGCACCCACTCGCTCAAAAACTACAGCATCTGGGTCGCTAACCCCGTCTCCTTCGTCGCCCAAACCCCCCAACAAGACCCCAAATCCCCTCACATCACCCTGAAACTCACAGACGGCACCAACAGCCCGGAAGCCGACATCAACGTAAAGTCAACCTCCCAAGACTCTCGTCTGGTCTACTGGACCAACAATGCTTTTGTCCATCCAATCACCCAACAACTGGAGTCTCTACCTCTGGGTCAAAAGATCTTGACGCCATCGAATGGACAACCATCCCCTTTGGCCCTGGATTTCCTGCGTACTTCCCCTGCGCTTCTCGACTTGAGTGCTGGTACAATTCTCCCAGCTACAGGCAACGACACTATCGAGTCTACCCTCTCCACTATCCTCAACACCGCAATCAATCAAAAAGCAAAAGTTTATCTCTGGGGCCAAGCTTACAATGACTCGAATGGCGAAAGCGGTATCCATGATATCCACATGAATCAAGGCAATACGGGAGACTTCACAGATGATGTGTTCAGTGATGGCAGCTTTGTGGTGCAGTTTGAAGATCATTGGGAAGCCGTGTTTTTGGCGTTTGCGGATCAGGAGGTGCCGACTGATGATGAGACTGGTGACCCCACTGCTGATGCAAAGGCTTTTGATCAGACTTTGTCGTCGTCGTCGTCGTCGTCCTAGATGGGAGGCATAGATATCAGTTATCTCACCAGAGTATGGCAATGATACCTGATCAAACCACGATGGCTGGAAGGCTTCAAATGACCAAACCCATCCCTAAGCCAATATTGCAATTTGTCCTGTGCAATGAACGGGACACTCTCAATAAGAGATAGTATTGTGGAGTGAATTATATATACAAAGTTGGTCTGCTGTATCCAAGTTCGTGCAATGTCGTCCTGACAGTTCCCATCTAACTCATGCAGGAGTGAGCCAATTCCACGCGCTAAATCTATCCTCTCCAAAGGTAAAGCATTTAAAGTAAGAATGAAGAAATCATGGCTGGTGCTCTCTAGGCGACTTCTCGATCAACAAGCCGTCACCAGTGCTCTCCTCCGCACCTGGGAGAAGTGCATGCTCGAACCATCTCGTGAACCTCACAATGGGAATGTCGACGAACCTCCAGAACAGGTCGGCGAGCCAGATGGTCACGGGGATCACGATCAAGCCTCCTAGAACGAATCCCGATTCGTATTGGAAGAGCGTGTCCTTGCCAGTGATCTGCCAGAATCCGTATACAGAGACATAGCCAATGGTCTTCAATGTAAAGCCGTGGACGAGATACAAGGCGAAGGAGATGTTTCCTAGGTAGCGGCTCAACGAGTTATTGAAAAGGTACTGAAGTCGACTGTCAAGACTAGTGACATAGATCATAGTCATTGCGCCAAGACAGTGCCAGAAACGATAGCCTTCATCGGCTCGCAAGCCTGATGGAACGAGTTTCGAAAGAGTGGAGTAGCCGGGCGCAAACTCTGCTTCTTGGAATGGGTATGAGAGCAGGAAAAGACTTAGAGCGAAACCACAGTAGGTGAGCCAGACAGACAACTGGCTGCGCGAATCTTCCTCAGTGAAGGGGTCAACGCTGACACGATTGTCCTTCTTCTCCTGGTGGATGAGGTTGGCTTCTGCGATCAAGGCGCCGCTCCAGAAAGCACTCAGCTCCCAGGTATCTGCTTGGAAAGCAAACGCGGCGAAAAGGGCGAAAAGAATCATCCTCACTCTAGTGCGGACGAGAGCCAAGCCGGCAATGGTCAGGAATAGAACCATCGAGCATTTGAACTCTTGTAGAATGGACCACGCATGAACGTCGTAGCGGGTCTCAGGCCAATGCTTGTGCGTGAACATATCGAACAGATTGATCGTCTCATGTATCCAGTCTCTTGCTTGTTCGCCAAAGGTCGGCAGTATCTGTGGTTGCGGGTCGTGAGCCCATCCTAGGAAGATCGACCTGAAGACATCCTCTGGTCCAGCGATGGAATTGGGGCCGTCGTATATGCCAATACGGAGGGCGAAGAAGACGATGAGAGTTGAGACAATGCAAGGGAGATATAGTCGTAGTGGACGTCTTAATATGGAAGAGGCAAGGGTGCGCATGAGCTGTTCATAGGAATTCTTTCTGATCAGTTTCAAAGACTTGAGCGACAAGGCGTAGCCAGAGATGACAAAGAAGATGGCGACCATGGCTTCTCCGCTGTATAAGAGCCGTAGCACTGGTAGTTGCAGCAGATGTCGGTTCTCATTGGGGTGATTCGGGTCCTTAACCGTGCCGTACGAGATGGATCCTTTTCTGTGATAGCAAAACTCGAAGTGTCGAAGAAACACGAAGAAGGCTGCCCAGCCGCGAGCGCCGTCCAGCCATGCGGTAGGAGAGACACGAGTCGGTCTGTGAGGTATATCGACGACATATCGGTGTAAGAAACTGGGCACAAGCGCGAGCAAGAAGCCCGACAGCTTCTTCTCCTTCTCGCCCACAATCATGCCGTTGGTAATGGTGATGGTGACGCTGGGAAGCGAATGATCAAAGTCGACGAGAAAGTTAGGGAAGGCATGACTTAGATAATGTACTTACTCGTAATGGGATTGAGTTCCAATGTCACTTCCTGAAACACGCAGCCCATCACGTAGGCACGCGGAGGCCCCGAAGCATAAACACTAATAGACATTCCAACAACCAATAAGCCACAAAAACGCTTATTGGAAGCACCTGGCTGGCTCTCACATGCCAACATGGTCTAACTTGTGCCTTTCAATGCACCTCTGCAGGTCAGTTGGCACGAACTCCTGGTGTCAGCACGCAGGAGAAGTTCGAGGGTGTTGAGCTGACGCTCGCGATCATCTCGTTGATCTTCATCATGCGAAAGAGCTGTGGAGACAACAATTTTGCTTCGCCTTACGCGCCGCGTGTTGGGCATGCGATTGGTGTCGCTGCGATCAAGTCTGCCACAGTCACTGCTATCATCTCCCTTCTCAGTTGTTGGCTCGATTTTGTGTCCATCATTGATATATTTAAAAGGCCGTGTGGTCCTGCAGACAATCTGGCCAGCCCACGATCGCTGTTGCCAACATGTTGATGACGCGATGATCGCGCTGAGGCCGCGGCTTACAGTAGCTTGCTTCAGGTTATGCGCCCATCGAATTACAGCCGCGCCCATTGCTATTTTCAATCCTCAGTTGGTCTTGAGATGCGCCTTGCTTCTCCCCAATCTCGTTAATGGACCCTTCCTGAGCTGTGGCACTACCCAAAGTACCTTGAAGTGGAAGGTCAGTACCTGTGAAATGCGTCTTGTACACTACACTCGTCTCTGGACACATTGCAGAGAATAGTGATCGTAAGCAACATAATACAACATTGATTTTAGAACTGCAAAAAATAACTACAAAAAGCGAAAGCGCTTGCGAACATCGAAATCAGAAAAAACAAAGCATCCCTTTTGTTCCATCCCAGCGTTAGATCGTTTCAACCTCCTCCCTCTATCATACACACGTTTCTCCTGCGCAGTGCGTCTCTATACTCTGTGACGCTATGGGTATATTCTCAAAAGTAACATGAACGAACGTGTATGCGCATGCGTGGCCGTGAAAGTCGAGGATTCTAGTAACCGCTTTACGAAGCAGCAGCGACGAGCTCGAGAGGGGCGCCCTTGGTCTTGTTAAGCATCTCGTAAGGAGGACGCTTGACAATACCACCAGTGACGGGGAGTTGAGTGCCCATGCCGGTGAGGTAGGAGTCGACGTCACGAGCGGCCATACGACCCTCGTTGATACCCCAGACGATCAGAGATTGACCACGGCGACAGTCACCAGCGGCGAAGACACCGGGGAGATTGGTGTTGTACTTGCCAGGAGGAGTCTTGACGTTCTTGCGAGCATCCTTCTCAATCTCATCGCCAAGGACACGAGCCTCGGGGCCCAGGAAACCCATGGAGAGCATGACAATGTCAGCGGGGAAGAACTCCTCGCTGCCCTCAACCTGCTTCATGTCCCAACCGCCAGAAGCGCTCTTGGTCCATTCGACACGGACAGTGTTGATACCCTTGACCTTGCCAGTGCCATCGTCGACAAAGTCCTTAGAAAGGATGCAGTACTCACGAGGGTCCTTGCCCATGTGGGTCTTGACCTCAGAGTGACCGTAGTCGACACGGTAGATGCGAGGCCACTGAGGCCAGGGGTTGTCACGAGCACGCTCGGTAGGAGGCTGAGGAAGCAGCTCAAAGTTGACAACGGACTTGGCACCGTGACGGACGGAAGTACCGATACAATCGTTACCAGTATCACCGCCACCAATGACAACAACGTGCTTGTCCTTGGCAGAGATGTATTCGCCGTCAGAAAGACCAGAGTCAAGAAGAGACTTGGTGTTCTTATGCAAGAACTGCATGGCGAAGTGAATGCCGTCCAGGTTGCGGCCAGGGATAGGCAGATCTCTGGCGACGGTGGCACCAGTGGCGAGAACGACGGCGTCGAACTCAGCTCTGAGAGACTCGAGCGTCACATCACCTTCACCAACCGATACACCAGTGACGAAGTTGATGCCCTCAGCAGCCATGAAGTCAACACGACGCTGAACGACGTTCTTGTCGAGCTTCATGTTGGGGATACCGTACATGAGCAGACCGCCGACACGGTCGGCTCTCTCGTAAACGGTAACACTGTGGCCAGCCTTGTTGAGCTGGTCAGCGGCTGCCAGACCGGCAGGACCGGAACCAATGATGGCGACAGTCTTGCCGCTACGGACCTCAGGAGGGGTAGGAACCATCCAACCCATCTCGAAACCGCGGTCAATGATGGCACACTCGATGGACTTGATGCCGACGGGGTCCTCGTTGATACCCAGAACGCAAGCACCCTCACAAGGAGCAGGGCAGACACGACCGGTGAACTCGGGGAAGTTGTTGGTCATCAGCAGTCTGTTCAGGGCGTCTCTCCACTGGTTCGAGAAGACCAACTCGTTCCACTTGGGGATGATGTTTGAGATGGGGCATCCAGAATCTGACTGACAGAAAGGAACACCACAGTCCATGCAACGAGCAGTCTGATACTTGAGCTCGTCCTCGTTGAGACGCTGAGAAAGCTCCTGCCAGTCACGAGTTCTTGTCTTGGCGCTGCGGTACTTCTCTGAGCGACGCTGGTACTTCATGAAACCCTTGGTCTTGTCAAGGACAAGAGCAGAACGCTTCTTCTCAGCCTTGCCGTCTGTGACACTCTCCTCGATGTCGAGAAGATCATCCTTCTTCTTCTGGTGAGCCTCAGCGACATGCTGCTTTTCGCGGGAGTCCTCGTGAAGAGAGCGAACAGCGTTGCCGGGCATGATGGGGAGAGGGTATTGGGCTCTCTTGGCCTCGGCAGCCTTCTTGGCCTCCTCCTCCATGACGCGCTTGTAGTCAGTGGGCAGAACCTTGACGAAGCGGTGCAGAGCACGCGAGAAGTCGAGGAGGACACGGGCAGCAAGCTCGGAACCAGTGTAGTGGTGGTGGTCCTCAATGAGACCGCGGACGAAGGCAATCTCAGCAGGGTCCTCGAGAGGAGAAAGCTCAACCATCTCCTGGTTGACCTTGCCCTCGAAGTCACGCTGCATGTCAAGAACATAGGCGATACCGCCAGACATACCGGCAGCGAAGTTTCTGCCAGTGGGTCCAAGAATGAGGACACGACCACCAGTCATGTACTCACAACCGTGGTCACCAACACCCTCAACGACAGCGGTGGCACCGGAGTTTCTGACAGCGAAACGCTCAGCACCCATACCACGGAAGAAGCACTGACCGCTGGTAGCACCGTAGAGACAAGTGTTACCGACGATGACGTTCTCCTCAGCCTTGAAGACTGCGTTTCTGGGCGGGTAGACGATCAGACGACCACCGGAAAGACCCTTACCGACGTAGTCGTTGCAGTCACCCTCGAGCTCAAGAGTGATACCAGGTGCAAGGAATGCACCGAAGGACTGACCAGCCGAACCACGGATGTTGGCGTGGATGGTGTCGGTAGGCAGACCCTTCTCACCATAGCGCTTGCTGACTTGGTAAGAGAGGGTAGCACCGAGAGCGCGGTCAGTGTTGACGACATCGCACTCAATGCGGCAAGGGTGACCCTTCTCGAGAGCCAGCTCAGACTCAGAGATGAGCTTGTTGTCAAGACGGACGTGAAGCTTGTGGTCCTGCTTGCGAACGTTGTAGGTGGCGACACCAGAACGGAGTGTGTGTGCAGGTGTCAAGATGAGCGAAAGATCAATGTTCTCGGTCTTTCCGTTGCGGAGGTCGTCACGAACACGGAGAACCTCAGTGCGACCGACCATCTCGTTGATGGTGCGGAAACCGAGCTTAGCCATGATGGCACGAAGCTCGTTAGCAACGTAGTAGAAGAAGTTGATGACATGCTCGGGAGTACCCTTGAACTTGCTTCTCAACTCGGGGTCCTGAGTAGCGATACCGACAGGACAGGTGTTCAAGTGGCATTTTCTTAGTAGAGGTTAGTATAATATCGAAAAACGAAAGATGGTATCATCTTGACTTACCTCATCATAATACAACCCATGGCAATGAGAGGAGTAGTGGCGAAACCCCACTCCTCAGCACCCAACAAACAAGCAATGGCGACATCGCGACCAGTGCGGAGCTGACCATCAGTCTGGACAATGACACGGCCACGCAGATCGTTCAAGACCAGAGTCTGATGGGTCTCGGCAAGACCAAGCTCCCAGGGCAGACCAGCGTACTTGATACCGGTCCATCTGGAGGCACCAGTACCACCATCGTGGCCAGAGATCAAAATGTGATCGGCTCTGGCCTTTGCGACACCAGAAGCGACAATACCGACACCAGTCTCCGAGACAAGCTTGACGGAGACACGAGAGCGTGGGTTGGAGCACTTCAGGTCGTAGATGAGCTGCTTCAAGTCCTCGATAGAGTAAATATCGTGGTGGGGAGGGGGAGAAATCAAACCGACACCAGGAGTGGAGTGACGAGTGCGGGCAATGGGTCCAGAGACCTTGTGTCCGGGAAGCTCACCACCCTCACCAGGCTTAGCACCCTGGGCCATCTTGATCTGGAGCTCATCGGCATCAGCAAGGTAGGCACTGGTAACACCGAAACGACCAGAGGCGATCTGCTTAATGGCAGAGCGCATAGTGTCACCGTTGTCCATGCGCAAGCTACGCTCTGGGTCTTCACCACCTTCTCCGGTGTTCGATTTACCGCCCAATCTGTTCATGGCAACAGCAAGGGTAGAGTGCGACTCCATCGAAATGGATCCATAAGACATTGCACCGGTAACGAATCTACGGACAATCTCAGTCCAAGGCTCGACCTGGTCGATGGGAACGGGAGAACGGTCTTCGAAGTCAAAGTCAAGAAGACCACGAAGCGTGCAGTTCTTGATTTGCTCGTATTCAGATCTGGAGTATGCCTCGTAAGACTTGTCGTTCTTGGTACGGACGGCATCCTGAATATTGGCGATGGAGGTAGGGTCGTTGACGTGGGGCTCACCACCGTCACGCCAGTGATACTCACCAGTCTCAGCGAGACCAGGAATCTCCTTAATGTTGCGGCTGGGGTAGCCCTTTTCGTGCAGAGCGAAGGCGTCCTGAGCAATGAGCTCGAAAGTCATACCCTTGATACGGGTGGCAGTACCAGTGAAACAGCGGTCGACGACAGAGTCATCGATACCGAGAGCCTCGAAGATCTGAGCACCCTTGTAACTCTGAATAGTGGAGATGCCCATTTTGGACATGACCTTCAGAATACCACCGTCCAACGAGTGCTTGTAGTTGTCAATGAGCTGCTCAGGGCTGAGCTTCTTTCTGATCAGACCCTCGCGGGCCATCTTCATGATACACTCGATTGCCAGGTAAGGGCAGATGGCATCAGCACCGTAACCAACAAGGACACACATGTGGTGAACCTCACGAGCCTCGGCAGTCTCAACGACAAGAGCAACCTGAGAACGCCACTTGTTGCGTACAAGATGGTGGTGGACCATACCAGTAGCAAGAACGGCAGAGACGGCCACACGATCAGCCGAGGTGGCACGGTCGGACAGAACAATGATTCTGTCGTTCTTCTCGATAGCCTCAGCAGCCTGGTCGCAGATGCGGTCAAGAGCATCAAGGTAGCCTTGAATGCCTTCCGACTTGGGGAAAGTGATGTCGACGGTGTGGACGTTCCACTCACGGTGCAACTGCGAGATCTGGCTCAGAGCGTTGAACTCCTCGATGGAGAGCAGAGGCGAGGGAAGAAGAAGGCGGTGGCACTGAGAGGGGCTCATCTCGAGCAAGTTGCCCTGAGGACCAACGTAGGCCTCGAGCGACATGACGACTGCTTCTCTGATAGGGTCAATGGGAGGGTTAGTGACTTGAGCGAACAGCTGTCTGAAGTACTCGTAAAGAAGACGGGGCTGTTGCGCAAGACATGCCAACGGAGCATCGTTACCCATGGATCCGAGGGCTTCCTTGGAGTCAGCGGCCATAGGACCGAGCAACAGACTGACTTGCTCAAGAGAGTAACCGAAAGCCTTCAGTCTGGGGTCTTCCTGAACTCTGCTCTCGGACAGCTCGAAACCGAGGCTAGCACCCTTCTCGGTAAGCTTGTCGAGAACAGCGGGCATGGTGATAAGCTGGCTGCTGATCCAGCTCTGGAAGTCCTTGCGCTTGGAAACAGTCTGCTTCAACTCGGCATCATCGACAATGCGACCAGCGACAGTGTCGACCAGAAGCATCTTACCAGGCTGGAGACGACCCTTTTGAACGACCTTTTCGGGCTCAATGGGAATGGTACCGACTTCGGAAGCGCAGACGATACGGTCATCATCGGTCACATAGTATCTGCAGGGACGGAGACCATTTCTGTCGAGGTTGGCACCACAGTATCTGCCGTCGGCGAATGTGAAGAGAGCGGGACCGTCCCAGGGTTCCATCATACAGGCTGCCCACTCGTAGAAGGCCTGCTTGGCGGGGTCCATGGCGCGGTTTCCCTGCCATGCCTCGGGGACCATCAGCATAACTGCCTCAGGAAGAGACAAGACACCGTTGATGGTAAGAAGCTCAAGAACGTTATCGAAAGCAGCAGAGTCAGAGCCACCATCTTCGATGATAGGCAGAAGCATCTCAAGCTCATCGCCGAACAAGTCGGACTTCATCAGACCCTCTCTTGCGCGCATCCAGTTCTTGTTTCCACGGAGAGTGTTGATCTCACCGTTGTGAGCTGCCCATCTGAGAGGCTGTGCTCTATCCCAAGAAGGGAATGTGTTTGTGGAGAAACGCGAGTGGACCAGGGCAAAGTGACCCTCGTAGTCGACGTTTGCCAGATCGTAGTAGTACTCGTAGACCTGGACGGGAGACAATTGACCCTTGTAGACAATGTTCTTGTTGCTCAGAGAGCAGAGGTAGAACCAGTTGTGCAGGCCAATGACGTGAGTAACACGCTTGCGCAGCACGTACAGCTGGCGCTCGAAGTAGGGCTCGTCGAATTCAGACTCGAAGGACTCCTTGGGTGCGTTGGCATCACCGTATGCAGACTTCAAGACGATAAAGGGCTGGAGGATAATAGGTTCTCTAGAGGCAGCTGCGGGACCAAGCAACGAAGAGTCGCGAGGAACCTCACGCCATCCCAAAACTCGCAGATCAAGGCCGTCGGCCTCTTGCTCGAATGTGTTCAATGTCTCTTTTAGGACCTCAGTATCGGGCTTGAAAAAGACGTTTCCAGCAGCGTATTGTCCTTGCTTGGGCAATGTGTATCCTTGCTCTTTTCCGAACTCCTTGACGAAGAATTTGTGAGGGATCGATGTCATGACACCTGCACCATCACCGTCACGCGCGTCTGAACCCACGGCACCACGATGTGTCATGTTGCAGAGAAGGTTTCGTGCATCGCTGACAATCTTGTGACTGGCAACACCCTTGATGTGGCTATTCGAGAGTCAGACATCGGACTTGAACTGCCGGTATGAGGGCGCAACTTACGCAGCAAAGCCGACACCACAAGCATCCTTCTCGAGCTCAGGGTCGTAGAGACCCTGCTTCACGGGGAGCGCACCAGCCCATGACTTGTTCTGTGGCGTATTCTCATACGGGTAGATGTTTACAGGTTCATCTTCCTCGATGATGGTGTTCTCAAATGGTTCTTCGAAAGACACTCGACCCATTCTTTCGGCCTGGAGCCGAGTACGATAGATCCTAAGGGGTATATAAAGCAGGCGGGGACCTTAGTGGCGAAGAGGGGTCTTGTTGGACTCGTCTATGGGAATCTGTAATCAGCCAAATGCTTTCCGATTGATATGGTCAAGACTTCGCTATTGAGGCAAGGGAAGGATATTGTGGCGAGGAAGAGAGATTGGTGTTCGGTCGAGAAGGTGGAAAAAACGATGTTTCAGATGATGCGCAGACAAGTGATCGTCCGTCTAATCACGGCTCCGCTGCACGGAGTATGCCAACTGGAGAAGAGTATTGCGGGGAGAGGCAAAAGAAAGCGGTGCAGGTGTTGATAAGGCCAGGAGCTCTGGCGAATGAGGGGCAAGGAAGTTTCCACGCCTCTGAGGTGCGCTGCAGCCGAGAGAAAGCTTACCTGCAATTAACTGGAGAGCGCTCTGATGGTCTGCGTGCAGAGCGTAGTTCAGGCGTATGCGAGGTGAAGACGAGACGAAGAGGGTGAGGGAGCGGCCACGCTTTTGTAAATTGGCCCCGAAGGTGGGGATTCAACTAGCGCAGCCTGCGAAGCAAAGGCAATAAATGCTTCCGCTCTACGTGGAGGCAACCATTGTGTGTACCATAGATTGTACGGCAAAGACGGTGCTCTTTTGGTACATCTGACACAGAGGGTTCAATCAACTCAAGTTTGCCGCTCACACATCAACAAAGCTATCAGTGTGAAGCTCTCTGGACTGAGTACACACTGCTTGAAGCCCCCCCAACAAGATATCAGCCCCCTACGATAGGCACAACTCTCGAGACCAAGGTCCTCTACATGTCTTCGGATGTCTGTCCTCGGTTAGGACTATGACCATCACATCCTGCTGCTCTCATTTCTTCTATACCGCGCTTCTAGACATGAACACTTGCGAATGTGCCGCGAGCGAGACAAAGAATTTCCCCGGACCCTGCAACCTGCCATCGCGTTAGCTCGGTTGGCTGGGTCAGCAAGCCGTCTCATTGGATGGTTGGGCGTACCCCAGCCGGATAGCCGGAAGGTGATTGGCTGTCCCGGACGTTAGGTTTCGTGAGAGTCACAGCAACATGTCAGAGATGGTCTTATCGCCGCTCTTCATTGACACGTCCGTCGCTGCCACACTGTGCCCGGTCGTCTGGGGTTGCTAAGCGTTTCGTTCGGCTTGAGGATTGAAGTGTTTGGGGACATGCGACCTTTTGATTCATAACATTACCTTGAATTTCTCAGTGTCAAATCCTCGAAGCCTTGTAGAGAAAGGACAGACTTCGGTGAGTTCAGGGAGAGAGCGTCTGCCAACGGGAGCAGTCGGAAACCCACAGATCTGTCCCCACTGGTGCACGTATGGCTGATTTAGCCCTGGATGGGATGGTCGAGACGGCACGAAACGCACCACTCGCAAGTCACCACTCTCACGGCATCCGCCGATACCGGAAGACATCTCAGGCAGATATGCTTCGTTCCCGTCAACTATCAATTAGGCGAACTCCAATGAATGTCTTCAGACGATAGACACCGACACACGAACAGGTTATTGGTGCACGAGCTGGTGCTCTTGAGGAGCGCCGAAGAAGCTCGCTTCGTGTTCTCTTTGTTCAACGATCAGCTCGGCGTGCGCAAACAAGGTAGACGATCGAAACATTGACAACAGTGTGATGAGGATTGTTACTGGAGAACATTCAGTCCGCTTCGTTTTCTTCAAAAGAATTACTGCTCATAAAGGTTCGTCTTGTCGATGACGGTCTGGTATGCCTGAGCCCATGCGCCATGACTCCTTTGAATGCTGAAAAGCACAACATGCATTCATCCTTCTGCCCGAGACGCCTTGCACAGCCGTGCAATACCCAATGCCTACTGTGGCAGTGATGATTGTGAAAAGGTAAGATGGAGGACTTTTCGCACTGCGCTGATGGCGGCAGCCAGAGTTGTTTGGTGACACAACTCTACTGCTGCATGTCCTCGGGGTCCTCGAAGTCGTCGTCCTCGTCCTCGTCTTCATCATCTTCGAGACCTTCGGCGGCCTTGGCGAAATCGATGGTCTTGCCGCGAGTGCGTCTGCCACCGGAGAGGATGTTGCTCTCGTCAATCTCTTCCATGTTGTCTTCTTCGCCCTCCTCCTGTTCCTCTGTTGTCTGTCAGTCTGGCTGCGTAGGGAGGGTTTGTTCACGGTAGTCCTTACCAGGAGCGGCCTGAATTGGACAGTCAGCGTATGTTCTTTGCAGAATTTTGAGGGATGCGACGAACCTGTTCCTCCTCCTCAGAAGAGCTGTCATCATCCATGTCCATGTCTTCGACAGCTTTGGCCTTGCCCTTGCCGTGGATTTGCTGGTGCTCGGCGTCGTTAAGGATGGGGGCACCGCCCTGGGAAGTGGTCTTGTTCTCTTCGCTCATAGTTGCGTTGTGTTGAGATGTGATTTTTAGGATTGGGTGCGTTGGATGTGGTTGCGAGATGCGAAGAAGTGAGTTGAAAGGTTGATGATAAACAGAGCTTCGATGTTTGCGCAAGCCGTTGCCGCGGTTTGGAGCTCGGCGTCTTGCATGGCATAGAGAACGTTCCAGATGGCTAAATGCAAGACTTCTGCGACCAGCTTATGGTGAACTGCACCACACAAAGACGTGATCAGATACTCGATCTCTGGTGATATACTGTGCAGACAACAAACAAGATGACTGCGTCAGACTGCTCAATCTAGACATCAACCCCTCCCTGGAAGTTGCTTCACTACAAGTCCTCTTTGAGCATAGACAGACGCTGCTCCAAACGTTCTTTAGCACATCGGTAAATTGGCTCCTCGCGTCGCGTCTTCGTGATCACTTTCTGTCGCGTCCGTCTTTGAGGTTCGAGTGACGGTAGCATCTGTTCACTGCCATTTTCCAATACATCAGAATGGCTTCCAAACCTCGTGCTAGACCAGCTCGTAAGATCCTCTGATGCTTCACCCATCCAGTTTCTCTTACTAAACTTTCCCCAGATGCCCCTGGACCTACTTATCTGGCATACACACCGAACGGCAACAAATTGATCACAGTCGGCTTGAACAATGTTATCCGCATCTTTACTACTGGATCTGATGCTGAGCCTGTCAATATCGATGTCGTCCAAGATTCTCACACTGCAGTAGCTGCGACCAACAACTTCTTCTTGACTGGTTCAGAGGATGGCAGTGTGTGCAAGTACTCCTTATCCACTCACTCCTTGGAAGAGGTCCTGGTTCGAAGCACCCTGCCTATTAGAGACATCTCCATCTCCCCGGACGGACTATGGGCTGCAGTAGCCTCTGAGTAGGTTGCCTCAATTGTCCGAATATGTGGTGTGATGCTGACTGCTGCGGCAGTGAACTGGTTGTGAAAATCGTAAACACGTACGATATGGCACGGGTCATGTATCTCAGGGAGCAATCCAGACCGGTCAAGCATGTATCATTTGACTACAGTGGCTCTACTCTGGCTGTTTCATGCTCCGATGGAATGGTGTATATCTACTCGCTGAGCTCGGAAGAGCCGAAACTCGTCAAGCGACTCGATGGGCTGATCAAGATCATGGAGACCGACTCACAGGCCAGCTCAAAGGTCATTTGGCATCCTGATGGGCGAGCACTTTGCGCTCCTACACCCACCAAATCAGTACAAGTGGTCTCAAGGAGCGACTGGTCAAACCAACGAGCTTTCAAGACCGACGCGAGAGGAGACATCACAGCTGTATCTTGGTCACCGAACGGTGCGATTCTTGCTACAGCTAGCGAGGATCTCAGCATCACTCTCTGGAACACGAAAACGCAGCAGCCCGTGGTCAAGTTTGACAGCGATCGTGAACCTGTGTTGGCTCTTGCTTGGCATCCTACCGATAACCTTCTATCATACACTACCAACGATGGAGAGCTTTACATGCATGCTGGGATAATACCGCAAGAGCACGAACGTATGCTCCAGACAACTCTCGTCCCTGCGCCTTTCCTGAACGAGTCTGCACCCGAAGGCGCTTCGAGAACTCTGGTGAATGGAGGCGCCAGACCTGGTGCTCAGCGCAGAGCAGGAACGCCTGACTCGCTGGATGATATTTTGGGTGACGACGGACTCTCTGAGAACGGAGACCCCTTCATCGTGGATGATGATGGTGCAGGATATGTCGAAGAAGTCAATGGCAACGGAAAGCGACCCGGACAACAGATCGCATATCCACCATCGAAGAGACCCCAACAACACGGCAGTGCCAGGTGGCAGCCACGTCTACACGATCCTTTCCAACCGGGTAGTACCCCTTGGAGAGGCAATCGTCGTTACATGTGCCTGAACCTGACCGGCTTCATCTGGACAGTCGACCAGGATACCCACCACACAGTGACTGTGGAGTTCTACGATCGTGCTGCTCACCGCGACTTCCACTTTACGGATCCTTTCCTCTACGATAAAGCTTGCCTCGGCGAGCATGGTGCAGCTTTCTCATGCCCATCCTCGGACCAACACCCCAGTTTGATCTACTTCCGCCCTCACGAAACATGGACGTCTAGAACGGACTGGCGAACGCAGTTGCCTGCTGGAGAAGAAGTCACGTCTCTGAGTTTGAGCACCAGTTTTGTGGTCGTGACAACCTCGAAAGGATACGTCAGAGTCTACACACTGTATGGTCTGCCATTCAGGGTATACAGACAAAAGAGCACTCCAGCTGTTGCATGCGCATCATGGCGCGACTACGTGCTCACAGTCGGCAACGGCCCTATCGGAGGCGACGGCACAGCAAAGCTCGTCTACACAATCGAGAATGTCAAGCGCGACGAAGTGTGCCAATCCGAAGACATCATCCCCTTACCCGAGCAATCAGAACTCCAATCGGTTTTCTGGTCCGATAGAGGTGACCCCTGTATCTACGACTCAGAAGGCGTATTACTGGTATGTCTGCACTGGCGCACCCCCGGCCAGGCGAAATGGGTACCTTTGCTCGATACCAATCAACTCGACCGCCTGGCCTCTGGCCGCAAGGAAGAAGCATACTGGCCAGTCGCCGTCGCCATGGACAAATTCCACTGCATCATTCTCAAGGGAGGAGAACAATACCCTTACTTCCCTCGTCCACTGCTCTCAGACTTTGAATTCAAAATTCCAGTCACAGCTCGTGACGAGGACAAGCAAGATGAAAATGAAGACGGCATAGTGCAAAAGTTGGAAGAGGAATACGTGCGCAATTCGGTGTTGCTGAGTCTGCAGGATGATTTGGTCAACAATACGCATGCTACTCATGCGCAAAAGACGGAAGCTGCACAGCGCGAGCTTGACGTGGATAAGGTGCTTTTGCAGTTGTTGGCTGCTGAGTGCAGAGAGGGTGAAGATAGAGGTATGAAGGCGCTGGAGATGGTCAGCTTGATGAGGGATAGATCGGGCAAGATGCTCGAGGCTGCTGTCAAGATTGCGGCAAGATTCGAACGCGATGTTTTGGGTGAGAAGATCTCTGCGCTTGCAGAACGAAGATTGGTTGGTTTGGCCGATGAGGAGGAGGAACTTTGAATGCCATGGATGTTGTTAGACAAGAGACGTGCCTTATTTCAGGGCTGTACAATAATGAATTCTACATGTTTTGCAGCGTCTACTCGTCATCTGAGTCCATCAACTCAGCCAGCTCGGCTTCTTCCTCGGCGGTGAGCATGCTCTCCTTCTTGACCTCGGGCTCCTTCTCGACCTCGATGCCATTCTGCTGACGTTCGTACTCCTCCTGAGCCTTCTTCATGCCTGCAGGATCGAGAGTCCAAACTCTAAGCGTGCCATCAATGCTGACACTGACGACACGACTGGCTCTGCTGCCCTGTGCAGGAGGCATCAAGGCAAGACCAGTGACCTCGTTGAAATGGCCACTGAAAACACAAGCCAACTCTCCAGAAGAAGAGTTCCAGACGCGCACCTCCTCATCACGACACGCGGTGATGACCCATCCAGCTTGCTGATCGATGACAATATCTCGCACAAAGTCAGGATGAGCAAGAGTGGTATCTGTTTCCCAATTGCGCGAGCGCACGAGTCTCTGAGCAGTCTTGTCCGATGATGCAGTCCAGAGGTCTGCATCAACGTCGGCGTCTTGGGCGTCTACAACAAGCGAGTCCTCGAAACGCAAGCGGTTGACGGAAGTTTCATGGGGTCGTAGTGGTGTTGCTAGCAGCTCGGATGCGCTGTCAAGAGTGATTTTCCAACTGCGAATATCGCGAACGGTATCGGCACTGAAGAGACAGAGCTCGTCTTTTGTGGTCGCTGCAGGATCGAGGGTAAGATGGAGGACGGCGCGAGCGTGGCCCTTGAGTGTATGGAGCTTTTTGCCCGTTTCGACATTCCAGACTATGATGCTAGAATCTGCAGAGCCTGACAGCAAGACAGAAATGCCAGATAGCTCGGTTGCGAGGACACATTTTACAAAGTCGGAGTGGCCAGTGTAGCGGCGTAGGGGTCTGCGGGTTTTGAGGTTCCAGGAGTGGATCGTCTTGTCCCAACATGCGGCGAAGAGGATGGGCTCGGCTGAAGGTGATCTAAGGGTAGTGAGGGACGTCAGGGGGGCGGCAGCGCCAGTGTAGACGGTTGACTTCTCGCCGGTCTGGAGCGTGTTATTCAAGGTCAAGTTGCAGTGACGAAGAGAGAATTGCGCACCTCGAGAAGGATGCGTCGTGCAGTACCAGCAGCTTCGGCGATATAGACGGCATCCAGGTCCTGAGGGTCGGCGTGGATGGCGAGGATCTTGGAGGTCAAGGCGACGGGGTTTCCATTCTTGTTGTCGGCTTTGGCCTGTCTGCGTCGTTGTTCGGCGACCGAGTCCCTTTGTCACCGAGTCTCAGCAGACGCTCTCCTTCCCTTACATCGGGTCTTGTTGTCGCTCACGAGGTCTGGAAGTAGTTGTCGGCGTCTGACTGCAACATGTTTGTGTGCGTGCTATGTATGCTCCTTCCTCACTCCGGCTTCATAATTCTCAATAGGCACCCTGAGCCGATGGGTCAGGGACCTCGCCAGCATCCGGAGCTTTGACCGGGCGCTCCTTCTGTACAACAGAGGATTGCTTTCACCGTTGCATCTCATGCCGCACGATTTCCTGCTCTGCAACTCTCTGAAGTACATCAACTCCATCGTCTGTATGCTCAGTCGTTTATTCCGCGCGACTATGCTTCAATCGACCCCTGATGTGCTCTTTGCAGTTAGACAAGGGAGTGCTTCGACCTCCAGTTCTTGTGCTCCCCAGCTGTTTCCTCGGTCGCATCTTGCCCTGGGCCGTCGTCCAAGCTTGTCACACAGCACTTCATAGCTCGTTCAATCCAATTGACCATTGGACACTGCTGCTACACCACCATCAGCTTACGACTGACTTGTTGTTGAATCCACCTCTCACACCATGTTCCACCATGCTACTAACCTGGTGGATACCGCCTCGCCTTCGCCTGCATATCCTCGTGGCTAGCCAATCGTACGGAAATTTTGCATGGCCTCTAAATCCTCCCGCCGCTTCTAGTTTCATCCACAACGCCTCCAAAACTTCTTCCATCCTCGTCCCGCTTCCCTAATCTTGCCTAGACACTCTTTGCTTACTCGTTCAACGGCCAACCATTTCCTAACGCACGTAACTGGCAATTCTCTTACGCACTCCCTGAGTCCGTACAGCCATATCGACTCGCTTGACTGATCGACACTGACCATGCTGCAACCATTGCCACTGGCTTCTAGGGCCAATTCGGCTCTTTGTGCTTAATATATTACAATATCAAGGGTCTTTGCTGTGCCCTCGAAAACTCTATGTCCAGACGGCTATATCGCTTGTGGGTACTTGGCTTCCTAAAACTTGACTCTGTGGCTTCAACCAATCTTGAAGTCTAAAATACCTAGCGAGATTGTTTCGCCGCCGACGTCTCATAGGCCTGCACCTTCCGTGCACTGTATGCACCAGGCAGATCACTTGCTCGGCTTGCTGAGGAGAAATCCTTCAGAGCTCGGCACCCACGACAAGCAACCATCACTGCTGAGAAGGCTCTTCACAAAAGACATCGAGGGCTGATTTATCCGTGTGACTGTTCTCAATCAAAGGCCAATAACAATATTCCTGTAGACACTATAATATATCACGAAAGAACGCTCAAGCCGCGTCCATCTCCGGACGTTCGTCTACGGTAGAGTTCAACGTCCGGCAGAAGGTCCACATCCCCCATCCGCACGCACTGCCCAGCTCTTTAGGGTGGTCAAGGTTCGCATACACATCGCACGGGCCGTCGTTTTACGATAACTTCAGACCTTTCGCGCCCCGCTAAGGCAGGTCGTCCGTTTTCCTTTAAGAGTACCAGAGCTTCCTCCCGGCCGCCTTTCGTCGAGCTTCGTAAACCATGTCTGTTGCTCAAGCTCGCCCTGGCAGTAACGACACCATGGACCACACCATTGCTTCCTCTTCGTCGGCTAGTGTCATGCCCGAGACTGCCACCAAACCTGGTCTTACATCTGGATCTAAGGAAGTCCGCAGCTTTGACGGCATTGATGACGATGCCGACCTTGATTACCATGGTCATCTTCGCAACGCTCAGAACGACGATGGCTTCACCCGCACCGATGCACGCGAGATGAAGCGTATGGGCAAGAAACAGGAACTCAGAAGAAACTTCCGTACTCTCTCGACTATCGCCTTTACTATCATCCTCCAAGGAACCTGGGAGGTCCTCTTGACCGCAACTACACAAGGAATGGTCAATGGTGGTATTGCAGGTTTGGTCTGGTCATACATTTGGACATTTTTCGGCTTCACTTTTGTCGTATTGTCCCTAAGCGAAATGGCTAGCATGTGCCCAACAGTACGTTTCAATGCCATGGGAATGTTCTAGACATCATTCTGACTATAATAGGCTGGTGGTCAATACCACTGGATCTCAGAATTTGCCCCTCCCTCGCAACAGAAGATTTTGAGCTTCCTCGGAGGCTGGATGTCAACTCTCTCTTGGCAGGCCGGTACTGCCTCTGGACCCTACTTGGTGGGAACATTGATTCAGTCATTGATCTTCGAGAACGATCCCAACTACGTATTCAAGAACTGGCAGGGCACCTGTTTCGTTATTGCTATCGCCCTTGTGGTCTGGGCAACCAACATCTGGGGAGCTAGGGCTATGCCTGTCTTCCAGAACATCATGATGATTGTTCACGTCTTTGGCTTCCTGGTGATCATCGTGATGATCTGGGTCCTGGCCCCTAGGAACAAGGCCTCGGACGTTTTTGGCACCTTCACCAACTCTGGTGGCTGGAGCTCCATAGGTCTCTCCCTGATGGTTGGTCAAGTCTCAGCCGTGTATGCTTGTATCTGTTCCGATGCAGCTGCTCACGTCTCGGAAGGTAAGTCTACCCGCCTCTGGTCTTGCCATATATCAGAACTAACCCGTGAACAGAGGTCAAGGATGCTGGAAGAAACGTACCAAGAGCAATGATGTGGTCTTACTTCTTGAACGGCGCTCTGGGACTTGTTTTCCTCATCACTTACATGTTCAGTGTCGTCGATCTGTCTGGTACTATCGATGATGCCAGCAACGGTTCAGGCTACCCCTACATGTATGTCTTCACCAAGGCCTTCAGCATGCCCGCCTTCAACACTCTCTCGGCCATCGTCATCATCCTGATCTACGCTGGTACACTTTCCTACAACTTGTCGACCTCTCGCCAAACCTGGTCATTCGCTCGCGATCAAGGTCTACCCTTCAGCAACTGGATTGCTAAGGTCGACCCTAAGCTCGAGGTACCAATCAACTCGGTCACCGCTACCACCGCATTCACTATCATCCTCTCATTCATCAACATCGGCTCCGACGCTGCCTTCAATGCCATCGTCTCGCTCAACCTTACCTCCCTGATGATCACCTACGTCGTCAGCATTGGCTGTGTCCTGTACCGCCGTGTCACCCAACCAGAGTCTCTGCCTAAATGCAGATGGTCACTCGGTCGCTGGGGTGTGCCCATCAACACTTTCGCCGTCTTGTACTCGTCCTACGTCTTTTTCTGGATGTTCTGGCCTCAGACAACCTCAAATGCTGCCGCCGACTTCAACTGGTCGGTGTTGATGTTCATGGTTGTCCTGCTTGTATCTATCATCGACTGGTTCGTTAGAGGAAGAAAGGTGTACACTGGTCCGGTTACCCTGACTGAAGGCTACAAGGGCGAGTGAGAGTTTGGTGTGTAGAATGGATGGTTTATTTGTTTGTCTCTCATATTTACAACTAATTTAGAAGAAAATGCTTCAAGGCTATCATACTACGTCTGCTTTTTCATCTCTCTTCAATGCAAAGCCATGTCACGCGGATAGCTATAGAAATGCATAGTTTCTTCGATAGATGTGAAGTGTCCAGAGAGAGTCGTGATGGCATCGGCTCTCCTTGGACTCTGCTATCGTTTTATACAGAATTGTGTATCTTGATGGGTTCAGCTCTGCTTGTGTGTTGTCGTGAGAGCAGATGTGTAAAGGCAGTTCGCACCTTCCCCGCTCGTGTCGCCGAGGTCACTCATCCGTTGTAACCGCTTTACCCGCATATATCTATACCATACCATGTCTCCGATCAGTCAGTAGCGTAACGAAACACACATCGACGAGTCGGTTCCAAGCCTCAGGCACAATCTACTGGAGGTTTAACCCAGTCTGTCTTTCGAGGCTAGCCTATTCGTCACACTCAAGCAACAACACCAACACTCTATCAAAAACAAATCAACCATCAGACCATGAGCACCAAGATCCTCCGTGCAGCAGCATGCCATGTCTCACCAATCTTCCTCTCGGCCACAAAAACATCCGAGAAGGCAAACACCCTGATCCACCGCGCCCACGCCAACAAAGCAAACCTGGTCGTCTTCCCCGAAACCTACATCTCTGCTTTTCCCATCTGGAGTGCTTTACGTGCACCCACCGAAAATCACGAGCTGTACAAGCGCATGGTTACAGAATCCATCCACATCGATGGCCCTGAGATCGACTCCCTACGCACCACAGCCCAAAAACTAGGCATTATGATCAGTATAGGCATATCAGAAAAGGCTCGATACAGCAGTGCCACACTCTGGAACGCGAATGTATTAATCGGAAGTAATGGAGAGATACTGAACCACCATCGAAAATTACGACCTACATTTTTCGAAAAATTGACTTGGAGTTCTGGAGATGGGCATGGTTTACGGGTCAGCGAGACAGAGTATGGCAAAATTGGCAACTTGATTTGCGGGGAGAACACAAATCCATTGGCAAGGTATGCATTGATGGCTCAAGGAGAACAAATCCATATCTCGACTTGGCCTGCTGTATGGCCAACGCGAGCATTGAAAGCAGATACGGTTGCCACGGAAGAAAAGAACTACGATAATTTGGCTGCCAATAGGACGAGAGCGGCTGCTCATTGCTTCGAGGCAAAGTGTTTCGGCATCATCAATGCTGCGTTCTTGGACAAAGCAGCAATCGACATCGTAGCAAAAGGTGCAAGTGATGAAGTCGGCGTCAGACAAACGCTGCAGCTTTCTCAGAGAGCAGCTACGATGTTTTTGGATCCTACGGGTATGTCGAAACCTGGGTTTGTTGTTGACCCAGAGACGGGGAAACAGCAAGAGACAGAGTTTTTGCAGGATAGAGAGGATATACTTTACACGGATATGGATGTGGAGGGGTGTGTGGAGGGGAAACAGTATCATGATGTCGTTGGTGGGTATCAAAGATTGGATGTTTTTGACTTGAAGGTCGATCGTACTCGAAGGGAGCCAGCGAGATTTGTAGAGGAAGTGTGGGACGACAAGGTCGAATTCTGAAATGCTACTGAACAGTGGCGAGTAGAGACTAAAATCTTTGAAGTCTGTATTGCAACTGCGTGGCATAACATAGTCACACTGAGGTCTACATCCCGAGCTCGTTTCCCATGCCAATCTAAGCTCTGATATGCGCGGTACTTCCGTAATGTGGGATATGAATCGAGAGATCAAGAGGGTCAGGTAAATGACGAATCCTATTGGAGGCTTCCTGCCTCACCAAAGGGCTATGCATTTCTATAGCATCTTGTCGTGACACTGTACTCTAGTGAAAGAAAAACACCCTCTCGTCCTCACTTCTTCCCAAACCTCTTGGAAAACAAAATCATACCCCCAGCAATATCATGCAGCGGATTATCCTCTCCACCCTCACTAGCCCACCCAACCTCCTGATCAACCCCATACCGCTTATAAAACCCATCCTTGTTATTCGCGCTCACCAAACTGACACAAATGCCTTCTTCCTCGGCTCTCTCAATGCCCCATTTCAGCAATTCTTTGCCGAAGCCATGACCTTGGTACTCGGGCCCCGTGCCCAAGAGAGCCAAGTACCAGTTTTCGAGTCGTTCGGGCACTTTCCAGTAGTGTTCTGTGAATGGGCCCGCGCGCTCGAGGACGTCGAGTTGAGAGGGATCTGCAGCGCGGTTGGGATGGAAGAGGGTGCTGAGCGAGTTGTAGATGGGGATGATGAAACGGCCAGTGAACCACGCAGACCAAGATTGAGAAGCAGACAGACGAGCTCCACCGGGTCCTTTGCGCGTCCAAACTGCAACACCAGTTATAGTTGCGGGGTTGTCCTTGAGATGGGAAACGATGATTCTGGTGTGGCCGTCGAAGAAATCTGTTCGTAGCTGTCGTAGGAAGAATAGGTACATGTCTCCTGGAAACGCTGATCTGTGTGGGTGGATTCGTTGGCCGAATAGATCTTCGTCGAAGAATGCTTTTGCGCAGACATGTGCTGCCGGCAGCAGGTCTGCGAAGTTGGCCGGTCGAATAGGCATATTGTACCTTCGGCGTCGAGAGTTGTTGAACTATCTGGCGGGAAAAGCGACGCTGAAGCGCACGATCGCTCGGATGGCAACTACACAGAAGGTTCTAGTGTTTGGAGACTTGGATCAAAGAATAGGTGAACTGTGGTCTACTGCATAGACGAGAAAATTATTAGAGATGCATCATGGGCATCACGACAAGTCAACACTCTTGGAAAAAGACGTGTTTCATCGGCTATTTGTGTCTCATCGGATCGACCTACCATTTTGGGTTGGTGGAGCAGGGTTGTCCTCTCAGCCATAATATCGAGCACCATCAAGGTATCTCGAGCCATCTACAGCTGATACAAGACTCTTTCACATACTATACGTGTCTGCATAGCCATAAAGACCATGTGGTATCTTCCGTATACTTGTAGTGGGTGGAGAGAGCGATTCAAGGCTTAGTTGATCATTTTGCGCTCGTGAGGTGAGAAATCGTATCTCCCCGTGTAAAAGTGTACAACGCATGGAGGTGGTATGATGCACTATGTTTTTGAGACATAAGGTAGTAATTATTGAGACTGAAAATTGCGGGCCCTCCTCGGGTACAGCCCTGACGTAGGAATCCTTGACGCCTTTCCACAACATGGGCATCATTCTGTACTCTCGGAGGAGATGATGGAAGTAACAGACTTTGGCACTCAAGAAGGCAGGTAGACCGCGAGATGAAGACGGCACGTTCAAGCAAAGGAAGTCAGATGTAAATCGTTAAACGTGAATGTCATTGAGTGGGGAGTCTGGAAGACTTGTTCTACAGACAGCGAGCCCAAACGGACCACCGAAAAATCTCGCCCTTGCTTTTTGTTTGCACATCGTCAGTCGTTCTCGAAAAAATCCCTCTTTCAGAAAACCTTTTATCCTCCCAGAAAGACCCAACTTTTCGTCTCTGCTTTTTGATTCTACTGCAGCCCGCAGTGGTATGATGAAGTGGTGATGAGAAGAAAAAAAATGTAACAAGAAAAACGCCCCTTGGCCGGCCATACCCAGGCCAAACCCATGTGTTGTCGCTCAATGTAGTTGTGTTGAAAATGTGACAGAAGAAAAAGGTACAGAAAAAGATAATCCATCGACCGCCCAGCGGTGGCGGCTGATCCGATGTGCGCCAGGAAAGTTGCTTCGTTTCTTCCGCTTGAGTAGAGTTGTTGGACAAAGGAGATTATGAAAACTGGGGCTGCAAGAAGAATACCGAAACCAGGAAATATACAGTGGGAAGAATCGAGAAATACGAGATGCACAAAGTAAGGGCGAGTGTGGTGGTAGCGTTGGGACTACAAGTGGAGGTCGTGCCAACCTCCAACCCATTCAAGGTCGCCAATGTCGTCATCATCCAGAGAGTCAACATATGGCTTGTTCGACTTCAACAACTGCTGGCCACAGGTAGCGGGCTGGGTGCGAGGCTTGCTGATAGGCGAGTCGAAGAAATTCTGAGGCTCCGGGTGACGACGCCAGTCGCGGTTGCTTTGCCATAAATCATGAGGAGGTGCGACCTGAGAATTGCTCTGAGGTTTGCGCTCCCATGGAGCGGCATTGGCGGTATAAGAAGGTGTGTTCGTGGCCATTGGGCTGTCCTTGCGCCAGCTGGTAGCGCGTCCACGAGACTTTGGCTTCTTGGCACTGGTGCCGAACGGAGCGAAGCTGAACTTTTCAGACTTCTCGGTCTTCTGGGGTGTGACGGGAGCAGGCTTGCTCGAAGGTGCTTCGTTCTTGGTTCCACGTCTGAGGTTGCCCAGAGCCGACCATTTGTCAACGATAGATCGCTTGGAAGGTGGCGAGTACTTCTGCAAAGCGGGTGCAGATGAAGCAACGCCAACAATAGGCTGTGGACCGGAAGCACCAGGGATGTCGCGAGCTTCGTCGGCGATCTTGAGTTCACTCAGACCACGAGGAGTTGAGGAGCGACCAGAAGCATTCTTGATGTCCAGAGCAGCGGTGACCGCCGACAGAGGACTCGGCTCGAATGGTTTGACAGTAGTGCAGCGTTCTAGACTTGCGGTCGACCTGAAAGCAGGGTGCTGCAGTTCCTCCTCTTCGTCTTCTTCCCAAAGATCGCTCCAGCTCTTGGAGAAGTTCTCATCCATGTTGCCATAGACTGAGGCCAATGCTCTAGAGCTCTTGATGGGAACAGATGAAGAGATAGGAACTGGTCTAGAGAAAGCATGGCCAATAAGCTCAGCAGAGTTGTTGGCAGACTTGTACGACATGCCCAGAGAAGACTCGACGGTCGAGTTCAACGAAGTCGAATCGGGATCCGTGGATGTGAACCAACTCTTACCAGTAGTTTCCTTCTCTTCGGGGAAGAGATCCTCAGTGTAACTTTCGTTGTCAGGAATGACCGAGAGTTGACGACCATGCTTTTGCGAGGTCTCACGCAGAGCCTTGGCCCAAGGGAAGCAGCCACCATTGTCGATGGTGGGGCTTGTGATGGAAGGAGTGCGCAAAGGCTCACGGTTGAGAGTGGCACGGACAGGATCACGATCCTCCATGCAGAAGTCGTCCATGGCGTCGTCGTCAGTAGTGAAGCTAACAACCGATCTGAGGGCGGTGCGAACAGCAGCCAACGAGCGCTTGGCAGGGTCGATAGCAAGACAATGCATCAAAACGTTGAAAGTGTCTTGAGACATGGTTGGGAAGACGTCGAACAAAGATTGGCGATCCATAACGAAGTCATCAAAGATGGGGTCCGACTGAGTAGGGGTAGCAAAAGGGTTGCGAGAAAACAAGACGTTCAGCAAGCAGATGCCAATGGCCCAGACGTCAGCAGTAGCCGGCGAGTAGCCCTGGGTGTAGCTTGTCTCCTGGAATTGCTCAGGAGCCATGTAACGATCGCTGCCGACAGCGTACTCTGTAGACCATTTGTCTCTGGTAGCGAGGCCGAAGTCACCGAGCTTCATCGAGCCCGATTGAGTCAAGAAGATATTCTCAGGCTTGATGTCACGGTGATAGACTCCTTTGGCGTGCATGAATTCGACAGCAGAGATCAGCTGCATCATGAAATCACGCACGTGCTCAGTTTCCAAAGGACCTCGGTTGAGACGAATCGCCTCGTAGAGATCTCCGTTGGGACAGAACTCGATAACCAGATACGTGTGATGCTCCGTCTCAAAGGTGTCAAGAAGACTGACAATGTTTGGGTGCGAGCCGAGGTGAGAATGGATCTCCAGCTCCTCGGAACGATCATCGACAGCCATGGCAGTAGGGCAAGTGTCCGAGCCTGATTCCTTGGTGATGCACTTGATGGCAACAGTGGCACCAGTCTTGACGTTCTTGGCTAAGAAGACCATTCCAAAGGAACCGTGGTTGAGAGGAGACAAAGTTTGGTAGCGACCATCCAGAAGGAGGTCCTGGTCGAATTGTTTCCGCATGCTATCCATTTGAGCGATGTGTTGTGAGGGTTAGAGATAAGACGTAAAAGGGGTTGAGACTCCGAAAACCAGCTTGGAGACGAGAGGTGACACCGGAAAGCTATACAAGCCAATCGGAAGAGATGGCCTTGGTGTCGACCAGAAAGAACGATCTAAGCAACAGTGCTACCCACGGATGGCGTAGATAAGACTGCAACAAACAAGTCCGCCAGAGATGAGGATGGATAAATGATGAGGTGGATCGACAGTATAGACGCAACGAACCCGAGAAGAAGGACCAAAGCCCCAAACGCACTATGAATAAGAAATAGTAGAGGTCGTTAATGTGAGCATCGAATAAATGGTGTGATAAAGGGAGGTCCGGCAGCAAGATTGGCAAGCTGTGAGATTGATGGGCGGACCCGAAGGTGAAAGTGAAGTGCGTTTGGTGTGTCAAGCAGTGGAGAAGCTCTGATGGAGGTGGCTGTTGTCTTCTTTGTTGTCGTTGTAGGTAGGGGTTGACTGTACAGAATCGAGGGACTTGTTGGCGGCAGAGAATCAGGCCACGAGGTTGACGAAAGGATCAATGAAGCTTGTGGGAGTGCTCGAAGCCAATTGAGAGTGGTTGACGTGAGCCTTGTGAGTTGCTGAGGACTTGAGGCTTCAGAGATGTTGACAGGCAGGAAGCCGAAGGGAGCCGTTGGGAGGTACGAGCTGATACGACGGAGGCGGCGGAGCTGACGGTCGATGGACTCTGGAGCTTGCTGAAAGAAACAGGCAGCACTCAGGCGGATGGGTGTCCAAAGCTCTTGATCGAACAATGAAACAGATGGAGGAAGTCGCAGGGTCCAAGGAGAGAGGGAGAGCTGAGGTGTGTCGGTGTAATCGGCTATCGGCGCTTGCTCTCGACTACCGCTTTCGTCGGGGTAACGCGAGGAATGCAACGGCGACTAGATTGGCAAGAACGATGCGAAACACTCGAACTGAGGCAGTCGGTACGGAGTGCGAATTGGAAGGTGGTGAAAGCTTAGGAGACGGGCGATTGAATGAGGTTAAAGGGAAACAAGAGAGCTTAGCGGTGTGAGTCGAAGGATAGAGAGGGCAGGACGACAGCAGAAGGAGGTGGAACCCCGTCGGCGACAAGTCCCGACCAGTCACCTTCGAGACGCACAGATCCGCAAATGGCCCGATGCCGTTGTTAGTTACATCAATAGAACCGCCACACCTTTTGCGTGCTCCCGAGGCCCACCTGACCCAGAAGCCTTGGCCAACTCTGTCTGCCAGGCACGTCTCTGTTCGTCATTCTTTGTCTTGGAAACATGATTGAGAATATTCGGGAAACCCAGCAGGCGTCATTTCACCAGGCTCTTGCGAAACAACTCCCTGCTGCAACGAGTCCGTCTTCGTAATCTCTCTGCGTGATTGAAGCCTGAAACCCTCTCATCCCCCTACGTAACGCATTGTGCATGCCTGTTTTTGTCTGATTAAATCCGTATGCACCGCCTGTCAACAAACATTGTTCGATCGGGGCTGCTGTTTCGTTGCCGTATCAGCCCGGCGCTTTCTTTCTTCCAATCGCTTAGAACTCCTCCGTAGCGACATGTCTATCCTTATCACCTACAGATCGTCCGAATCAGAGCCCCGCGGTCCTTTGTCCCAAGGCCGTGGCTTGATACGGCGACAGACATCTCACCACCACCCCTGCCTCCCCCCGGCTTCGGACCAATCAATCTTCCCATGGGGTTGCTGCGGGAAGCCGCTGCCGATGTCTTGTATATTATGAAATTTTATACCATTCGAGAGTACGTCGCAGTGTTCGTGTTACCGTCTCTCATTCTTTGCACGAGACTAGTGCTTCCTTCGCTCAGGAAGATGTCTCGAAGTCAGCGCCCAGCCAGAGACGGTTGAACGAGTCACGTTGCAACTTGTGGTTGCGATCGCAGACCGCAACAGAGCAGGTGATGTTCTCATGAAACAGCGTAGCAAATTGATGAAGAGCAGTCGCAATGCTATGCACAAGCATTTGTGCTGAATTGACCAACACGCCGATGATCCTCAGGTACCAACGTATCGAGCTCGAGCGTCAACGACGCTGCATGGCTCCGGCAAGCGGACGTGGGGCGCAGCGGAGTGCCTGCATCAAAACAATGTCGGTGTGCTTTACCAGAGGGATAAACGCATTCTTCTCTGGAGCTTGCGGTGTGCCTTCCGTCCACTGTCCTGCGTCGATATAGCAGAAATTTTCCTCTGTGCCGTGTGTCCTGCGAGCTCGATCGACCGGCTGTCGAGTGCTTGTATGCATCGAGGATGCTCCGGCAAGCAGGTCACACGCAGGTCATCAGTACAAGATGCAAGTCGAAACGGCCAGCCACGACCTTTGTCCATTTGCTCGAGCGTCACGCTTGCCACCATATTTCGCTTTCGAGATCTCCACGTGTTCGAGAGGGAAGTAACATGCTTGTTTGTGCATACCTGGCGGCTGTAGAAGCCCAGCCTTCTCGTAAGGACGGAAGCTCCTTCGCCACCTAAAGACATGCTTCAGGTACCACGCCGTCTAGCATTGGCATTAGATCAATCCCAGAACAAGTGCGCCTCTAGTCGGCGCCTACTCGAAAGAAGGTCTTGCGGTCTGCGTCTAGCCGTCCAATGGGCACAGGAACGGTATCTTTGTATAACGGGTGTAGTTGCCTCGGATCTCGAAGCTACACATATTGCCCCGCATGCACTACGATACCGTACCTTGAACAAAAGTGGCCGCCAGCATGCGCCAGTAATGCAGTGGAGCGATAGCTTATGTATTGTGTACACCGCTCATCGAGCTCGAATAAAGTCTGCCGTCCATTCAAGAGAGCTTCTGAGCTTGAGATGGCTTTGTTATCTATCAATGTGCAAGCGGTCTGACAGCACAGCTCCTTCGAAACATGAAGAAGGCAGGACCCAGTTCTCAATTGCCAATTGACACGTGTGACGAGCAAGTTTAATATCGCAGAGCCCACAAGCGATCATAAGATGCAGAGAAGTGCTGGACAATTGGTCGACATCAAGGTGCGGATTGCCTAAAGTGCAGCTTTGGTCCCGACAGAAGCCTTCCGAAGCACTCCAAAGTGCTGCGTCTAGACTTTTACACCGCACATTGTGCACACTACGATCGAAGATAGCACCCAGCCCTCCAGTTCAACACAAAAAATGCTTCCCGAGCACGAGAACGTGGGCACCGTATTGCTCGACATTGGTATGTGACTTGATGCAATTGGATGGCTCCAGACAGCAAAATTGCTCGTTGAGGGATTTGCTACGCTCTGCTCACCGCACTATCAACAACGTCCGCGAGTTACGAGCAAACCCCTTGATAACGATGGCTAATTGGTTTTTTCGATAGAGGGAACTGTTTGCCCTATCTCTTTCGTCAAGGACACTCTGGTAGGTCGAGGAAATTTCTCTTTTCGTTTGGACTCGTCACCATTGGGGCACCTGACCACATCACGTCGGAGAGCATCGTTTTGATGCTAGAAACACGCCGTATCTGATCTGCACTATCCCCTTCTTCTTGTCGTCACATCTTCCGGTCTCTGAAACCTTGTTGCATTTCGCAAGATAGTCGTGCTATCCCAACATTGTGACGCCGAAACTGACGTTGTGTCAAAGTTCCCTTACGCCTTGAAGGCCCTTTCAAGCGTCATCCAGGAACGATGGAACTCTGCAGACTTCAAACCATACCGTGAGGCTTTCCCTGCCGAGGCACAAGCATCCCCAGAGGCCTTTGAGGCCCACGTCAAGGACCTGACAGCTCGTGATGTCAAGATTGCCTATCTCAAGAATCTGCAAGGTGAGTCATGCTCCAACCCTCGGCCGTACTTATCTGAGGCCCACTAAGGTGGAAAATGTCTGACTCGAACTTTTGTTTTGTAAGGCTATCTATGGCAGGCCGGCTACGAGAACGGCGCTTACTCTACCCCCCTGTTTGACGATGTCACTCCTCAGCTCGAGCACTGGAGTGCCTCATCCAAGCAGCTAGTCATTTATTCCTCAGGCAGCATCTTCGCACAGAAGCTCCTGTTTGGGCACGTTCAAGACCCGCTCGGCGGAGCGGATGAGAAACGTACGCAAAACCTCCAGGGATTGATCGACAACTGGTTCGACACGACCAATGCCGGCCTAAAGCATGATGCTAGCAGCTACACCAAGATCGCCGAGGAGTTGGGCAAGCCTGCTGACACCATCCTCTTCCTGAGCGATAATGTCAAGGAGGTGCAGGCAGCCATTGAGGCAGGTATGCAGTCTGTGATTGTTGACAGACCTGGCAATGCCCCTCTCAGCGAAGAAGACAAGGCCAAGTACCAGGTGATCAACACGCTGAATGAGATCAGCCTCTCTCCTGCACAGATTGACTACAGATTCTTCAAGCGATAGAAATCCTTATCAAGTCTGTTTTCTCTGGCAAATAGCCCACCAATTGTCCCTGTCATAGCCAGCTTCCACGATTGTGCCACCAGCCAGCTCGATGTTGTGCTCCAATTCCCCTTTACGGTAGAGGTGATAGTAGCGGTAGAATGTTTTGTCACCAGCAGGCTCGAGGCTTGTACCAGTTGTCTGCGTGGCAGACTTCTGCTCTGCGGAGGCTTCTGATTGATTGGCAGCATCTCCTTTGTTCTGCTGCTTGCGATCCTTCTTCTGCTTCTCTTTCTTCTCGCGCATCACCCACGGGACCATGGTATCCTGCTGGTTTCCTTCATCCCAACCTCTTCTGCTATCTTTCTGTTCCAGTGCCCATACGTATAGCAATGCTCTACCGTTAGTGTTGAGCGTGTCGAGGATGGTCCGGACGGCTTCTACGCGGCGTTCTGGTGTGGACAGGTGGTGAAGTACGGCAATGCTGATGGCAAAGTCGAAGTGGTGGTTCTGGTGAGGCAGCTCGAGGATGTCGGAAACGACAGCGGCGTGCGGTTGGTGCGACGAGGCGAACTTGACAAGAGAGGGCGAGCGATCACTGCCAACAATGAAGACATCAGGATTGACCGTCAAGTATTTGCCATTTCCACAGCCAATGTCGAGTCCTACAGATCCAGGAGTCAACTCTTTAAGGAACTTCTCAATTACAGGCCATGGCTAAGAGAAAAGGCAGTCAGAAGGGTGACGAGGTACTACCACAGGCTGTCGAGTCACACCTTGTAGCGAGTGGCCGAGAAATGAGATGCGATTTGCTCGTATACATCGTGCACATGCTGAGCTTCATACTCTGCGCCAGCCTGTTCTGTGGCCATGTCTCCAACTGCTGAGCAACAACGTCAATATTGGACAGGAAAGCTGTTGCTGCTTGCTGCTTCACCGGCCAGTATTTCTCTGTATGCTGTGACGACGCCAAGTCTGTCGAAGACGCCTTTCCTGTTCCGGAAATGCCTCAACTTTTTTGTCTCGAGTTTCAGGTCGCAAACTTTTGTTCATCACGTCTCTCTCGACTGGACTTGGGAGTTTGAAGGCATTCGCGCTGACATTGACTACTCTAGGACCCGGTATCTCGTGCTTGGTCGCTTGCTGATTACCCACTTGGTGTGGAAACAAGCGTGACATTCCGTCGCAACCGTGTGCATCAACAGTAGTCTTTCGTGATTTGCTGTCTGTCACTCATCTTCACTTCTTGCGATATCGAATGTGTAGAAAGCGCTGAAGTAGCAAGTCCCTGGTTGTATTCATCTCTCCTAGTGTCGTTGATCGGTTCACAAGAGCGCTTTCCTCATATTGTCACTGCCTATTTGGCTATTGAGCAGCATGCAAAAGACAATAAGAAGGCGCAACAATAATGTTGCTGCCACTTATGTCGAGAATGCTCTCAAGCGAAGGGCCATCCAAGCTTTTCGTTGCCTAAGCTCTTCCTCTTGCGCACATTGTCGTAAAGACGCGCTTCAAAAATTCTTGGATCTTAAACGCCGCTTGCAAATAATGGAACACGTCACCCAGGCACGCGCGAGGAGCCTTCCTCCATCACTTCCCTCTGCTCAAAAGGTCATAGTCACGCCGGCCACTCAACAGCTTGTTTCCCGACCCTCATCTCAGCCGCCTTCACAACCCATTCAGGAGCCTTCGAAGCTCGGCAAGAAGAGAAGACTCTCCGAGTCAGAACCTCCGGAAGCAAAATCTCAGCAGCAGTCCAAGAAGCCTCGCAAGCACGACGAAGCATCGCCCAAGAAACCAGATTCACGGGTATCAGAGCAATCTAGCCACCAATCACCCCTGGATGGAGCAGCGAAACCAAGCACCGCTCAGAGCAAAGGCTCGAAACAGGAACCTACTTCAACAAAAGCCCTGAAAGGAGAGCAATCATCCAATACTGGCAAGCCATCAAAATCTCCTGCCGTATCTACTTCCAGAGTTTCGAGATCCTGGCCCTCAAGCGTCGGCAAGCCGAGAATCAAGGGCTTGAGCAATCCAAGCCAGTGGTGCTATCGTCGCAGTGTGCTACAAAGTCTTATCTCAACACCCCAACTCTTCAACCTTCTGAACGACTGTCACAACTCTTGTTCGAAGCAAGGCAGATGCGTGACCTGCGCAATGCGACAGCTGCTTATAAGCTACCACACTTCGCCTGGTGGTGTCGGCAGTCAGTTGGGTGCTCTCGACAGCGCAATCAGAGCGACTGGCAGATCAAGTGATCCTCGTTGGAGTGCCATAGGCCAGACACAAGAAGACAGCCATGATTTCCTGCAATATCTGCTCAATACGTTTGAGAAGGCCAAGGGAATCGACAAGGACCAGTTTGCCTCTCTCTTTCGAATCAAGCACAAGATCTCCTGGGCCTGCAGTGACTGCAAGAAGACACACACGCACAGCGATCCGCCTAGTGTTAGTCTGAGTGTTCCCATCCCAGACCGACCGAGCGTGAGCCTTGCCGATTGTCTGAACACCTACCACCGCGAACCCAACGTCACCATCCGTTGCGACAAATGCAAGAAGAATACTAAGCGTACTCGAATCTTCCAAATTGATAACGTTCCTGAGGTCCTACCCATCCAACTTATGCGTTTCGGTTTCGGCGCACGTGGGCCCACAAAGAACAAGAAGCACGTCGACTTCCCCGAGGAGCTCGACCTCTCGCCCTGGGTTGTAGACAAATCTAAGGCCTCGAAATACCGCCTGCAGGCTATCGTCGCTCACTCGGGTTCCCTCAAGTTTGGTCACTACATAGCCTACGTCAGGGGTGCTGATGGCATCAAGGAGATCAGTGACTCCTCTGTCACCAACAGCAACGCGAAGGAGTGGAGGAGACCCACATCCGGCTTCAATCCTTACATCTTGGTGTACATCAAGCAATGATCCAGTCGGTGATGTTGGTCTGGTTCCTTGAAGCATTGCATTGAAGTTGTGTTCTGTTTCTTTTGTCATCATTAGTGGAGCACAGCATTGAATGGCGTTTGGATAGGAAGCGGGTTGGCTCCTGGGTGCATACAGTCATACATTCCTGTACCTAATCGTCACATCATATCTGCTTTACCAATTCAACCAAGACACTCCATCGTTACTCGCGAAGTGAATATTGTGACAGATCCCACCTATCTTTATTACCATACGAGACAATGTATGGGTGCAATTCTCTTAAACATTCAAGGAAACTTCCTTGAGATTGGTAATGATCTCTTTGGCCGCGACTGCTCCAGAGAAGTCTTTTCCTGCAAATCTACAGTATTCTTTTTGGTTAAATGCTTGTGGGAGACGAGAATCGAGTATAAAACCCTCTCCTTCTCTTTAAGAGACGCCTGGATCTTGGATGCTTATGGTAATATAGTCTGAACATAACGCTTGCAGGTGGGGGTTGTGACATAGGAGGAGTTGAGACGGCTAACATATTGAAGCTTTTCGGCGGTAAATCCATGCGAGACCCACATAGCGACAACGACGGACGTGGCTTGCCTAGCTACGTACATCTGTTCGTTACCTCTATGCGAAGAGGTACACTAGAAACACCTTGAACATCAATATGGACAGCTATACCATGAACAAGCCAGTGCTACAAAGACGAAGGCTCGGTGGATGGCAGTGGGCGGATGAGCGCGTGTCTCAACTCCCCTCATGCCTCAGAATGCCCTTGCATGTGTTGACCATCGTCTTACTAATCTTCAGAGATCCTCAATCCGCGTACAGTGCAACTGTTGTTGAGATGCCCTCCTCAGTCCAGTGTGCATTTCATGAAACTCACACATGACGCTTGTAGGGGTTCTGACACACCTGCCAGTTCAAGCAACTCAATAGTCATTTCATGCGCCTCGCCGTGGCTAGCACGTCAATGCATGCACGTCGTCGTCGCAGTCACACCGCACGCGCCTATCCAACCACCTCGTCGTCTGCTTGTCTCGAGACCATAGCTCTTCCGCTACAGATCTATGCTGAATCGTCACAAACGTCAACACATTCTTGCTATTTTCCCTCCAACCAAAAATTCAACATCTGAACTCGATACTGATGAGTCTACGCATCAGCTTCATGCGAGGCTTACGTGCCGCTCGCCTACAAACGGCTCTTCAATCTGCTGGACTTTACGTGTCGCTCGCCCACAAACGGCACTTCGCCCATATTACTCGTCGCCTAGCAAGCACGACAAGTGACTCAGCAGACATCAAACTCGAACAGAGTCCATAGTATGATGACTCGGATCCGCTACGGCTGTTCAACACCCATCTCGAAGGCGGAACTCTTACAAAAGAACTGGCTCTTTCGCACCTCAAGGCGCTAACCAAAATGACTCACTATGGAACCGGTTCAGGAGAAGCCACCATCAAATGGATGTGGAATGAATACGACAAATATGACGACTCAAAAGTGGACAGAGATCTTCTGGAACAGACAATAAGACACCTCGTGAGGGAGGGCAAGGAGGAATTGGCATGGAGCTGGATTGAACAGGAGAGCCGGAGGACCAACGACTCCTTAAATCCGGGGGTTCGATTTATCTGGAGAGCCGCCACGGCGAGTGCACTTGTTGCAGCAAAAGCATTCTCTGCGGATCATGACAACCTTGACGGGGCTCTGGAAACGTTCTTTCGTGCGAAGTCCAGCTCGTACTCGATCCCGCTTAGTAGGGCTAGAACAAACATTGCGACGCTACTTATGATGCCACGGGAGAAGATGGTCATGGACTCTACAGATGTCGACATCGAAGTACTTAGGTGGCCAAACACGAGCACGGAGTTGTGGGAAACCTTTCTCGAGAGCATTGACGGCGAAGTATACTCCGACGAAGCACTCTCGGTGCAGCTATCACTATACCATCCTCGAGTGCCAAATGCATTTCCGTACCTCGAGCATTGTCGATACCTGGCAGAGAAGAAGGCCGTCGTGACTCGCATGGTTAGAAAGCCATCAGTAATTCCTTGGACCAGGCAGGGTCTACACGCCGAGGCAGTATTGCGACAACAAGGACACGAACAGCATGCCGACTGGTTGGGGGACTTCGTTAGAGTGTTGTATAAAAGGTCGAAATGGATCAGGAAGAAGGAGGAGACAGAGGGAAGACGTTGGTGATAAGGAGAAGAAGTTCATACAAGCAATGATCAGGAAGCGTCTCAGAAGAACATTCACTGAACAGATGCAAATATCCAATAAACAGGCGACCAAACAAGCACCTTTCCGGAAGAGTGCCGTTGTAAGCACCGCGCCGGCTACCTTACCCAAAACGAGCCGCTCGCTCCAAAACAATCAGCAGTATCGACATTGGACAACCACAGTGGTCTATCAGACAAGACATGTCTCCAACGAGAGCCCAAAATGTATCGTTTCTCGATGGATACTACCCTGATTCTCGAAAGTACTGTGCATTTCTTCTATAGCTATACGCACTTCACGTCTGTGCATATGAGAAAAAAACACGTCGATAGAGAGACGATCAGACGGACGTCAAAGACGTCCCATTTCTGGAGAGAGTATCATGCATATCTTCGTAGCTGTGATGTGTTTCCGATGGCAAACTGAAAGCTTGACCGTGTTCGTGTTTATTGTTTCATGGGATGTCAAATCATATTTGCCTTCCTCGGATGATTGTCTCGCTATTCTCAGATTGCATCTTCCCATGGGTTTGGTGAACCGATGCTCGGGTTTCATCTGCTTTGACCGCGAAACGTTGACTCTTCATAGATCTTCTGTGATCAACAATGTAGAAAAGAGGTTGATGATAGTCATAGGGTGTGAATCTACTCGTTGTGATGCTGAGGTCCAGGCCGCTTTTCGTCTGTTTAGTCCAATGGAGGATATCCTGGGAGAAGATAGCATGTGTCATTCACCGAATGCAAAACCAACAAACATGGAGCAAGAGACATAAACCGTCAATTGGAGACCACGATGAAACAGAAGTCGTCAGGAATTGATTTCTGGAAGGGATATATAGACTAATTTTTCTGAAAACACGAAGAGCCTAAGTACCCTGACAGCCAGTCAAGTTGAAACGAGACCCTCCACTACACTGACGTCTGGTCCGGTCGGTATAAAATTTGCTTTTCGACGATATCGTTTGACGGGAAGGCGGGTATCCCACTGCTGTCCTTCCTCCGACTGGCTGTATTGAGAAGGAGTGAGAGGGCCCTTCGCAATCTTGAGAACAGCGATGTCTTGAGGGTAGGCCAGAAGTGATGGGGCTTGAGAAGACGCTTATTGCAGGATACAGCGATGCTTACTCTTGCTCTTGACCTCTACCTCCCTAGCTTGGTTAACTGCAGCCAACTCCAAGCCATCGACAAGTGACTTCCTCGGGTGACGACGGATCTCCCCACGAGCTTCCTTATAGCGTGGCGCGGCCGATGCGATCAAGTTGATGATGTGTACGTCGTCACGTTTGAGGAAGTCCCAGAGACCATCGCCGACCTTGTCCAACAGTTTGATGTGACCAAGAACCTCGCCGTCTCGGATGGAGTACTGTGCGCTCATGGAGAGTCCATAATCTGCGGAGTTGGCACGACGCATGTGCTCAGGCCATGCTTTCTTGTATAGATCGAAGATCTTTTTGCGCACTTCGTACCAATCTTTGTCGGGTGAGATGGTGATTGCGAGGTCCATGTCCTCAATGAGGCCTTGGACACCATAACGGCCACTTTCTAGCAAGATAAGCTTCTTGCATCTCTGAAGCGTGATGTGGTAGGTGGCTGCTTTGGTGGGTTTCTCGGACACAGTAACAGGCTTCTCAGAGAGAGTTGTGCCATAGTAGCTTGGTGGGGGTTCGGTGGACGACATTTTGTAGGATCTTGGGTCGCGTGATTGGATGGCACCCAGAGCGAGAAAAGGAAATATCAAGGCACAAGCAGAGGAAGCGGGAGAGGAAACATGTCAGTTTTGAGCGGGCTCTGGGTATGGGACGACACCAGAGCGAGTGGGGTTCATCGCGTGGAGTCTCAAGCAAACTCGCGCAATTGAGCGTTTATCTCAGGCCTACTTGTGGATCGTAAGAGCTTTTGATATGAAGTCAAAGTTCGCAGAGCACAATGTTCGTACGACATCTCGTTCTGTCAATGATTGGTTGTTTTCACATCCGAATTCAGACGCACCGAAACGTCTGCTTCACACTTACCTTGGAGTTGCTTTTGCGTCGGCGAGCAAGTAATATTCAATGAGAACCATACAGTTGTGGGCTCTCGTTGGAACACATCTACCATGGTCAAAGGACTATGCATTTTCATAGCTTCAGTCCCTGTGTTTGCAATTCTGAGAGTAATGATAGGTCGGGCATCTCCAGTCGCAACGATGTTGGATATCTTGCTATAAGAATGCACAGCACTTACGGTGAATGAGAAACACCCACTGAGAGTCATGAAATCATGGGCTCTCTTTGGAGCTCATCTGCCATCTCCAAAGAACTGTGTATTTCTATAGCTGCAACTCAGCGCGTGTATCTCTCGCGGCCCTTGATCATGGCGGTAAACCTTTGTGCATGTACACAGGATTCAGTCCAGATGTTTGTCAACAGGAAACCTTCGTTGTAGGCGAAAGTAAGCCGAGCCTGCTTTGGTCCCAGGACGAGTCGTACCTTACGACGGCTAATGAATTGTAAAGTTCGCTTGGCAGGCGCGATTTGCTCTTCCAACGGCTATCTGATAGCAACGACTGGAGGTCAACGTCGTTCTTTACAGTTGTTCGGACACCGACGGTTCCTCGTGGCTACACACCGTACAAATCGTTCGGTAGCTCGAGAATTGACCGTCTTTGAGTCAGGTGCCGACTACAGTCGTCATTGCGACCGGGCGTCTAGAATTCGACGGTCGATACTAGATGCAAGAGATATACACGGCGGCTTGCAAACCCTGAAGCTCAGACACAAGATCTGACGTGAAGAGAGATTTGCGTCGATCCTTGATATTGCTCTGATATTGTGGACGGCCTCTGATTGTGATGAAGACGAACAGATTCGAGATTCGCGAAAGCCCTCGCGTTCTTCATTTCGGTTCCCCGCAAAGTGCATCGCAAGGCACAAAACAAGTTGCCCGTCATTCTCTTCGTGAAACCTTGGTCGAACCATGCATGACTTGCAGTAAGTTTCGCAGGCCTCAAATTCCTGTGACGGTTTCGCATACTCGAAACAGAGATACTCGATGGATCGTGGCCGGTGGTCACTATCGCTGTCGTTGTCGTCGTCATCAATCGATATTCATATGGACAGAGCCAACGATGAGATTGGTGCTGATACAGAGGTCAAGTCAGGGTGACATGTTAATCCAGCGATTGTTTACCTGTTTACCTGCACATATGCGAAACTCTGTAACACCCGCGCCCATCTCATAGAGGTCTAAAGCGTCGTTTTCGCTATGAAAAGATATAGTGATTCCCAAACTCGAAATTTGTTCAAAGAAAGCCTCAGCCATGTTGCCTTCCGATGGACGCGATCCGGTTCTCGAAGACATAGTGTGATTTCTATGGCCATACGCGTTATACCCTTGCATACGGAGAAATTGCATTTCGATTGCCGAGCAAATCCACTATTGCCAACTTGAGCAGATATTGGTTCTCGCAAATATCGAAGCCATGCATATGTATGACTCAGGTCCTATATATCAGTTTCCCGTCGATCATTTGCACGTAGCAATGATTGTGATACCCGAACGACACTCGCCTTGTCAATTCCCTCTGGCCGCACATCAGAGGCATCGGCCAGGAGATGTCCAGTCTGTTGAGATGCAAGTGCCAGTAGACTATATGGACAAAGTGGACACCGCCAGTTTTGCAGAGGTCAACAGTTTGATTAGCTTGCCTTTGCTGCTTGCGCGTACGCTCTTCCTACTATACAGCATTGCTTGTACCTGTCAATGCACGCGAAAATTCTGTCTTCTGGTACGTACCTTGCTGCGAGCCCTAGCTTGGGTATCGAGATATATGATGGGATGTAATCAAGTTACAACTCCTGAAACGAGCAAGGACGGTTCGGAGATCCTACGTGCATAGTGGATGTATCGCGTGCGACTACATACGTGCTCCATGGGACACTTTGTGCCAGGTGCTTTCCTGGGCCAACCCGGACATTCTTCTCAGTGGCTTCGACAGCGTTGTTGAAAAAGACATGTACAGATGTACCTCTTAATCGATCTTGGATCCGGACATCGTGATGGGATGAATAATGAGTCGGCTTTTCTGACGTCGAAGCAGACGAATTCATCGTCATGTTCGACCAAAAATGGTTTCTAGAAGAGAACAGACCTCATAGACGTCTTCAGCTGGTCTTGCCGTGTCTTACGACGGGATCTGGACGCACGAGAAGTCGAGACTGTCTGCGAGTTTCAGGCAAATAGACAATGAGCAGCCCGGAGAAGACTAGAGCCGCATCATTGGACATCTCCATCGCTATTTTTCGGGTTGACCATAGCAGAACGTTTCGTGATCGACTGGATAGGTGAAGGGCATGCTGCGACACTTCACCCTCACATCATGACGCACGTCTTTCCGAAAATGCCTGTCCAGACGGCCGCTTCGCTACCCTGGTGATAGATAGGTACGGTTAATCTGTTGAACGGCTGACTTCAACGTTGCGGAGAGACGAGAAATTCGGTTGCAGAACGCGAGCTGAACAACGGTTGCGAGGACCAACGACATTCCATGGCATTCTTGTACATAGGCACCACACACGGGACGGCATCTCGTGCCGATTTGCATTGACGAGCCTCGACCAGCTGAGCTGTCTGATGATCGAGAACCCCTTTGACTTGTTGGATCGTGAGTCGGATGTATCGAGAACCGAACAAAGAAAGAAGTGGAAGGGTGTGCTAGGTGACTCAAATGCGAATAAAGGGGTCGTTGGGAGGCCGTATCAGAGTGCAAGACAGATGCAAACTGTGACAACAATGGCGTAGGTCCAAGTTGTGTTTTGATAGACGCAAGTCAAGACTTTCGGGTGAAGAGTTCGAGTACGCTGAACGGCCCCTCCTTTTTCCACGCTACTTTTACGTGGCCGCGAAACCTTGTTGGAATACCTAATCGCCGTACAGATGTCGCCGGCGCTTAACCTTGTACCACGTCTTCCCCTGGCAGCCAAACGCTCGAGATTCAGGAGGGCGCTTGTGGCGATGGTTTGGAAAATGGCGAAAAGACAAGTTCGCATGGCGGTATAGCGAGATTCGAGGCGCTGTCATACGAGCGTGTGAAGAAGCATGTTTGGACTCCCGTCGGAACTCCGGAAGCGAAAGAAGGCAGGGGCTTGTACCCCACAGTATAGAGATGTGTGGCTAACGCAGGAACTTTTCTTGCGACAACGAATGAAACTTCGATGGTACCTTGATCTTCGTGCCGGGCCGCGGTTGGACCTGGGAGGGCTTCGCTGACGCGGTTTGAACATCAGGCAATCACGGCTCTCCAGTCCTTTGTTCCATGATTTACATTGCTATGGATTCCAGCGATGAGGCGGTTGCGGAGGAGACTCGATGTTTGGGGGAGAGACTCGAATACGAAAGACACATTCCACATTCCACATCCAGCAAGAAGCAAGGAGTGACAGTTGAACCACATGTCAATGCTAGTCTCCTGAACTTTGTCTAGACTGAAGAACAACTAGGTCCCCTGAAGCCCGAACAGGCCAATTCTTCAGCACTTACTGCAGCCAACCTTATACCAAGGAGCCGTCCGCCCAGCGAGGCGTTTTAACGGTGCTCCCACGCAATCGACGACGGCCACCTGCATTTGCGGAGAGTGTTTCATCCAGGTCCACTGTCACTTACATCCCGGTAACAGGAGTTGTGCCTGCTAGTGCGGCCACTAACGTTTTAGCCCCCGTCAACACTCCCATTCAAAAGTCGTCCATCACGCTGCCACATCGACTTCCTCTCTCGTTGTCCACCACCGCTTCTTTCTTGTCACTCGTTCACGCGCCTTAACGGTTGCATTTCACTCTTTCCCCCCACCACACTTTCTGCAAGCCATTCCCTCCGCGAGGACTTTCACGTAAGTGCACACTTTTTCCTAAGGACTATCTTTTATCGCCCTGGCCGTTATATAAACAACACCGTTCGCCCTCGAAGATCGATAAGATCCAGCCCAGCATCCTGCACACACACTCGTTCCCTGGTGAGCACACCGTTGTGCTCCTCCGCAGAGACAACGAACGGCATTATTGCACAAATCGAGCACTCTGGCTGTTCAACCTCCGTGCATCATCGTCTTGTCACTCTTTCGTTATCGTCTATCGGTTATTATACCTATATAAAAGCCGTCTGCTTCTGCTATCTTTTGGAAACACCAAAGCAGTAGCAGAAGAACGCAACAACAGTAGCAGTGGTCACTAACAATCTGGCACATCAGTCTTTCAAGCCTTCAACACTTCCCGGATCTGGTATCCTTCAAACACAACGAACCTCACAATCAACAATCAACAAACCCTAGGAAATCATCATGCGTACTTCCACTCTGTTCGCCGGAGCCGCATTGGCTGCCAGCGCCTTCGCCAGCCCCATGTTCAAGCGCGATCTTGAGATCGACACCGTCTATGACACCGCCTACGAGACAGTCTACGTTACCGAGACCGAGGGTGTCACTGTCCCCGTCACTGTCCCGGCAGCTGCCCCAGCTGCTTACTCGACCCCTGTCGAGCAGGCTGCTCCTGCCGTGACTGTTGTCACCACCGAGGCACCCGTCGTCACCGTCATCTCCTCGGCTACCTCAGCTCCCGCCGCTGCCTCAACGTCCGCTGAGCCCAAGGCTGCCATTCCTGCCCAGGGCGGCTATACCAGTGCCTGGACTAGCTACTGGACCGTGACTCCCTCTGCTGAACCCACTGTTGTTGCTTCTTCTTCTGCTGCTCCTGCAGCCACCACTCAGGTGAGCTTACTTGAATCGTTTCATAATCTTCTTTCTCGTGATTCTTTACAACCCCGTGTGAACTTCGAAAGCCTCATGGCTCAGATGTTCCGTCCTGCCTCCTCCTCCTCTTCCTCCTCCTCCCAAGTCAAGCGTGCCACTTCAACGATCAAGAGAACCTCAACGGTCAAAGCATCTACTTCGACGAAGAAGATCACGGTCACAACTTCCAAGAAGGCAACTTCGACGAGCAAGACCCCTGTCACTCCTAAGAAAGTAACTTCATCCTCTAAGAAGGCAACTTCAACGAGTAAGAAGTCATCTTCTTCGTCGAAGAAGGTGATCACGACTGCGAAGGGATCTCCCATCTCCACGAAGGCACCTACATCATCAATCAAAACCTCGAGCACCAAAAAGGTCTCTTCCCTTTTCTCTACTGTTGAAAGAGTTGCTTCCGTCCCTGCCTCGCGCAAAGCTTGCAAGCGCGAGTCATCTGTCGCATCACCCTACAGTTCATACATATCCCTCCTCAAGTCCATCTCGTCTTCATCCTCTTCTGCACTTAAGCCTGCATCATCCTTCAACCCTTCCTCCACATCAGCCAAGATCACATCCATATCATCTCGCCCTTCATCTACCATTCTTCCCACTTTCAAATCCTCCTCCCAGCAGCCCAAGAGTTCTTCCAAGTCGTCATCGTCGTCTTTGAGAAAATCCTCGTCATCAACTTTGAACAGCAAGGCTAAGACAACATCACAGGCTAGCAGCACCATCGCCGCTCCCGCTGGCAAGGCCACCACCTACCAGGAGCGCGTTGTTGACCACCACAACGTCCACCGTGCCAACCACTCTGCTCCTGCCCTTGAGTGGGACTCAGCACTCGCCGCCACTGCCGCCAAGATTGCTGCCACTTGCGTCTACGCCCACAGCATGGATGTCGATGGCGGTAACTACGGTCAGAACATCGCCGCTGGTGTCGAAGCCAACAACGTCTCTGCTGTCATCACTGAGCTGTTCTACAACGGCGAAGTCGGCTACTACACCAACCTCTACGGCCAGGCCAACCCCGACATGACCAACTTCGAGAAGTGGGGTCACTTCTCCCAGCTCGTCTGGAAGGGTACCACCAAGGTCGGCTGTGCCACCCAGTACTGCTCTGGCGGTCTTGCCAACGTTGGTCAATACGTCTCTCCCCACTTCACTGTCTGCAACTACGGTGCTCCTGGTAAGTCATTGCTTCTTTTGTCAAGCTCATGACAGTAGACTAACAACGATCAAGGTAACTACGCCGGTGAATACGCCGACAACATTGGTGCATCGCTCAACCAGGCCACACAGAGCTGGTCCTACAACCTGTAAGGAGCAGTGCAAGTGGCGCAGCTCTAACAGTGGCCTGACGACTATTTGACGGCAAACCCCCTTCTCTTCTACAGTGCTGGACTTACAGAAGTTGTCTTGATGGCAGCGGAAGTCAACCCCCAAATTTTTTCCTTTCTGTTTCTCTTCTTTGTTGATTGCATGTGGGGAGTTGTGGGCAGTGGGAACTGGAATCTTCATTCGCCCATCCAAAAAGAGCGAGAACACTGACGCTGGGTCAATCGACGTATCGTTCACGACCTTTCTCTCTCTCTCTCTCTATCACTCGACTTCGTTGTCAATATATTCTTCCCACGAATGTGATGGATCGCATGGCCTGTGGTAGCTTTCTGTAGCGTTCGCTTCTTCGAAATGAAAACTCGCCGATGAAACGAGCAATGACTTTACTTTTGCTCTCCTCTAAATGCCTTGAGTTATCCTGATGCTGGTTTGTAAAGACTCCAGAATGTGACCAGAATGTCGGCTTCAATTTAGGCCGATGTTGAAGCCTCGGAGGTTGGTGTCAATGTGTTTTCGGACGGATTGAATTACGAGTGTTGGAAGTTCACCATCGATCTGCAGATGAGCGTCTTGGGAGTTCGTGGTTGATGTGGATCAGAGATGGAGGGACCCTCAAATGACGCAAGTCTGAGGAAGGAGCGGCGTGGAGGAGCGAGGTGGAGCTGGTGGGGTAGAGCGAAGAGCCTCTTGTCTCGAGATTACGGCGCAACGACGTCTTTATCAGACACACGCGACAACACAGCAACCATCAGGCGCATGCCATTGTCATCATCATCGCTCTCGCGTCTCGGACTCTCTGCATCCTCATCCGTCGTCTCGTCGTCCCGTCTCGGACCCAGCACTCGCCTCTCACCCATTCGAGCCATGAGCTCTGCTTCGTCCAAAGGCGGCTTCGTGTCGCTGACCAACCGCTGCAATGACAGCAAGTCGCCCTACGTCCGATCGCATGCCAACAACCCTACAGCATGGCAACTCTGGACCCCCGAGACCCTCGAGCTGTCCAAGCGCACCAACCGCCTACTCTTCGTTTCCATCGGCTACTCTGCCTGCCATTGGTGCCATGTCATGGCCCACGAGAGTTTCATGAACGATCGCATCGCCCAGCTGCTCAACGAACACTTCATTCCTGTCAAGATCGATCGTGAAGAACGCCCCGATGTCGACAAGGTCTACATGGACTTCTTGCAGGCTACCACCGGTGGCGGAGGCTGGCCTCTGAACGTCTTTGTCACTCCAGACCTGCAACCACTGTTTGGTGGAACCTACTGGCCAGGCCCAAAGAGCGAGCGCAACCGCCAGGGCGGTGGATTTGAAGCCATCCTGACAAAGGTCGCCAGCGCATGGAAAGAGCAGGAATCGAGATGCAGAGAAAGCGCCGCCAACATCACCGACCAGCTCAAGCAATTCGCTCAGGAAGGCACCCTCTCGGGCAGAAGGTCTGGCGAAGGTGCCGAGGCCAGCGATGATGCTCTCGAGCTAGAGCTGCTGGAGGAGGCTTATGACCATTACTACTCTAGATACGACGAACAACACGGTGGCTTCGGTGGTGCGCCAAAATTCCCTACACCCTCGCATCTGTCTTTCTTGCTAAGGCTGGGTGAGTGGGATGGCATCGTAAAAGATGTCATAGGCGACGATGCGGTGCAGAATGCTCAGAACATGGTTGCGAAGACGCTCGAACACATGGCACAAGGTGGTATCAAGGATCAAGTCGGCCACGGTTTCGCCAGATACTCTGTCACCAGAGATTGGAGCTTGCCACACTTTGAGAAGATGTACGTTTCTCACGATCCCTCTCATTACTTTTACTAACAAATATGCAGGCTTTATGACAATGCTCAACTGCTGCCTCTCTTCCTCGATGCATGGCTCATAACCAAAAACCCCCTATTCCTCGACATGACTCACGATATAGCTACCTATCTCACCTCGCCACCGATACATTCCCCTACAGGTGGTTTCCACGCTTCTGAAGACGCAGATAGTGCCCCAAGCGCCTCTGAAAAGGAACACAAAGAGGGCGCTTTCTATGTATGGTCTCACTCGGAGTTCTTCGAGGCAATCAACGATGATAAACTGGCAAAGATACTTGCCAAATACTGGAATGTGAAGCCCGACGGCAACGTCAGCTCGAAACACGACATCCAGGGTGAATTGCAAGGCCTGAACACGCTCTGTGTGACCTCTTCCCTCAAAGATCTTGCTCAGCAATTCGGTGAATCTGAACAAGAGGCAGCGAAGGCTGTCCAGACTGGCCGCCGGAGACTGTCAGACTGGCGTGACAAGCATCGTCCTCGTCCTCTCCTCGACGACAAGATAGTCGTTTCGTGGAACGGTCTGGCCATTGGCGGTCTCGCTCGTGCCAGTGCCGCGCTGAAGAAGTCTGACCCGGAAGCTTCAAAGAAGTACCTTGAGGCTGCCGTTTCAGCGTCTCAGTTCATCAAGAAGGAGCTTTACGACCCGAAAGCCAAGACTCTCCGACGAGTCTACCGTGAAGGCCCCGGTGCTACCGCAGGCTTCGCTGACGACTACGCATTCCTCATCAGTGGTCTGATCGAGCTCTACGAAGCGACGTTCGACGACTCTTACTTGCAATGGGCTGATGAGCTGCAACAATCGCAGATCAAGCATTTCGGCGACAACGAGAGCGAGACCAAGGGCGGCTTCTTCGGCACACCAGCCCATGCTCCCGATATCCTGATCCGCAGCAAGGATGCTATGGACAATGCAGAGCCTAGTGCTAACGGTGTGAGCGCAACAAACCTGTTCAAGCTCTCGGCATTGCTTGACGACTCAAAGTACTCTGAGCTTGCCACACGTACAGCGAAGGCGTTCGAAGTCGAGATGGTTCAGCATCCTGGCCTCTTCACCGGTCTCATGTCGACAGTAGTCAACTCGAATCTTGATATCAAGCCCATCGTGATCTCGGGAACCGAGTCGAGCTCAGAAGTGCAGACTGCTCTGGAGCAACTGCGCCAGATGGTCCGTCCTGGCTCAACGATAGTCAGACTTGGCGGCGACAGCAAGAGCGATTGGCTTCGGCAGAGGAACGGGCTTCTCAGCTCGATCGATCAAGACAAGGATATGGTTCAGGTCTGCGAAGGCACAAGCTGTAAATTGGTCAGCGCCGATGAGCTGTCAGAACTGCTCAAGGGTACTCATGTATAAAAGTTAGGTTTCATTGGGTAAAGGAATATTGGTTAATCTAGGTAGTGGACTTGTAAATGACGCGTTACGATACATACAATACCCACCACTTCACGTTGGGATGCATGTATACCTTGGATTGGGACGTGATCGACACCGCCAAGAAAATGTAGTTCTTTCTTCCCACCTCACCTTCAAGCTGTCCTATGTTTCGAGCTTCACCAGCAATCAAACACTCTTTTGTCCGAAAAATGCATTTGATACACACCCTCGACGACCGGTCGACATCTAGTCGGGTCTTCTAGGGGGCGAACAAGTGCAAAGGGGGTCCTATCGACGAACGTTTGACCTATTGCCGGAGATCTCACACCCTCCAACGGCCTCCACCTCACCCTCCATCACAATCTCCACATACCGTTCAATTTGCCTGTCAAACGGTCACGGCACATTCAATGAAGTGACGCGATGAATTGCTTATACAGGACAACGTGCTCGGGTCTTTGGTCTCACACAAAACGTCGTGAGCCGGCATTTGGACAGGCGATCTCGAAACGCTCTAGATGCTATCAGCTATTACTCTGATTCGGATCATTACTGGCGAGGGAAAAGAATATGCACGAAGAAAACACACCCATCTCGACCGCGTGGCGGCCCCTTGCAGGCTGCATTAGACGCCCTCGAGCCGTGTTTCAGATCTCTGAAGTCACTCAGTACCCCAAAGGGTATAATTCTCTGTCGAGAAGAGGGTCTGGTTTGTTAAAAGGTAGTGAAGATCCATAACGGTGATTGACGACTATTCATTCTTTACATGTCATACTTTTCACGTCGCTCACTCTAGACTCTGTCGGGTTGCAGAATATATACACTCGTTAGACATTCGCTTTGCATCAACCAACTTGACCCTCTTTCTCCATCATGTTGTTCAATATCCTGTCTTCTACTCTGCTGCTGGCAGCAACCACCTCTGCTCTTCCCGCTGAGATTGAGTCCCGCGCAACAAACACATACCTCACAAACTCGCATACAGCCATCACTGAGCTTCAGACCTTCTACAACTCGCCTCGTCCTGGATTCTGGAGCGCCGGCTGGTGGAACACCGCAAACTGTCTGACTTTGCTCGCCGACCTGCGCGCAAAGGACAGCTCCTCATTCCTGACAAGCATCACCGACGGTGCCAACGGCGTCTTCAAACACACCTTGAGCAGCCAAGGCAAAGACAGCACCGGTGCCCTCAACTGGGACGACTTTTTCGACGACCAGCTGTGGTGGGTGGTTGCTCTGATCAAGACCTACGATGTCACCAAGGACACCAGCTTCCTCACTACTGCAAACGTCACCTTTGCCTCTGTCAGCTTGAACAACAAGCCCTCGAACAACCCTTGCGGCGGTCTGGCAAACGCCTATCCTTCTGAGAAGTACCTGGTCAAGAGCAGCACCATCGCTACTGTGCTCTACGTGGAAGCCGCAGCTCTACTCGCCACCCGCTGCCCGGCCCAAAGCACCTACTTCATCAACCTTGCCAAGACGCAGTGGAGCTGGTTGACCAAGAACATCCTTATTGATGGTATAATGCAAGGAGATGCATTGACCGGTAGCCCTCCTTCCTGCGGCAACAACCACGCCTTCTTGACATACATTGAAGGTGTAGCTTTGCAAGCTCTTGTTGCCCTCTACCACGCCACAAACGACGCCTCATACCTCACCACCGCCGACACCTTGGCCACAAAGCTGCTGTCAGGCAAGTACGGCATGATGGACGCCAACAAGATTGCTCAAGAGTTCTGCGACGGTGATCTTTCCTGCAACCCTGATACCGCACAGTTCAAGGGTATCATGATGAGAGGACTACGCACTCTGCGCGATGCAAAGCCTTCTGCTGCTGGTGGTCAGATCAAGGCCTTTTTGACCAAGAATGCAGACTCCATCTGGGCCAACTCCAGACAGAGTGGAAGTAACTTGCTGGGAGAGAAGTGGGCTGGTCCCTTTGCTTTGGGCAACAGTCAGGCTTTGCAGTTGAGTAGTCACAGCTCGGCTACCATGGCTTTGGTGCAGGCTGCTTTGGCTAGTATGTAGATCGGTAGGAGGAAAACGGCGGGAGCAATTCGAGAATGGACAAGAACAGGGTGTCGCTGTCTTTGACTGCGCTTACGACTTGCATGTGGTCGGCTGGCTCGATTTGCAAAAGCGTACTGTGGTCATTGCTAAATATTCAGATAGACATGATTTCTTTTCATACCAATCGTTCAGTTGATCTGTCTCCTGTCTCCATGTGCTTCAGCCTGTTACTGTGTCCGAATCATAAACACGATCTATAAGGCATTCTGTGTTTACTTCGCCCTTGAGAAGTCTACAGGTAGCTCTTGCTCTTCGCCATATGCACACCATGAGCCCAATGGAAGAGCTTAGCGGAGACCATATACCCCTCCATATTGCTGTACTCGACCAACCTCTCATACAAGTCCTTGATCGGCACAACCACCCTTTCGATATGTTCACCCTCATCAAGGTGCTGCTCCGGCTCTTGATCCCCCTCGTTCAATTGCACCTCCATCATCGCCAACTGCATATTCGCACTCGTCATGCCCGGATCCGCCGCTACGATCGGCGACACGGAAACAACCTTGCCCTTGTAGCCAGTCTCCTCGTACAGCTCCCTCACAGCCGCATCCTCGACCTTCTCATCCGCATCCACCAACCCAGCCGGCCACTCGACCGAGATGGCATCGATAGGCGGTCTATACTGCAACACCAAAATCGTAGTTGGTTCCTTTGAAGGATGGAGTATGATGTTTCCCATGGCGACCGCATCGACACCGGCGCTGCCGCGTGTCTTGCGAGAAGCGACTTCCCAGGTGCGTGACCTGTTGCTTTGGTCCGTCCAGGAGATTTGGCGCAGAGCGACCCATTTCGTGTCGGCGGTGGAGACGTCGGTGATGCTGTTGATGGTGCCTTTTTGGGCTTTCATGGTGCTGGGTGTGGCGGTGAAGGTGCGGTGGAGAGAGTTGGTGCGAGGTCCCGGTGTGGTACGAAGGGGTGGGCTGAACAAGCGGAGAGAGCGGATTGCTGTTCGGTTCAACATTTGAGTCTCAAAGTGATTGGCGGATTGGTGGAGGAATGAGTACGTACGATTGTCTTTATCGCTGTGGTGTGGTGGGTGTTTATAGCAAAGGTAAAGTGATGATGTTTCTCTTGGTTTCTCACACGTCATCTATAGTACCTACGTGCTTCCCCGGACTCTGATGTTCGGCTCAGCACGTCCAATTCAACGTACAATTGCACTCTACAAGGACTTCTACTGTACTCCCTCCCATTGTGCTCAAGTTTGCAGCGCTTACAGCTGTAGAAATGCACGGTAACTCAGAGGACTAGGAGTGATCCACTGAGAGTCGTGAAATCAATGGCTCTCTGTGGAGTCCTCTACTTCACAGAGACTGTTGTGCATTTCTATAGTACTGTTCACGCTCTATACCTTGGTGGGAGAAGCTTGGGAGTCACCAAATTTGGCACATGAAGAGGTCGTGTGATATCAATACATCGACTGCTTCGATAGATTGCTTCCACGTAGAACACTTTGACTCTATCCATCACACCCCTGTATTCGTCCACCCATGCAGTAGTCGGAATGCTGCCATCCATCTGCAAGAAATTAGTATATCGACTCTGCCCTTGGAATATCACATGAACTTACTCGGGATTGTCTACAAGACACTGATTCCATGCATCGTCCGAGTCGTACAGCAGTCTTCGAGCCTCGTTCTGGAACATCTCGTCCGTAGGCGTGATCCCCAAGCTCAACTGCTGCCTTCCATATCGACCAAGATGGAATATAACCATCTCATTCAACGTCAGATTATTATTCTGCGTCGATGGAACTTCCAACTCAGGGGTAAGTGGCAGAGGTGACGTCGGCTCAGAAGGCTCAGAAGGCATCGCCGTTAGTCGCGAAGAGATTTGCGCAACATGATCTCTCGCCACATGACTGGTGGAAGAGAACGGCACGAGTGTTTCCGTCTCGTCGCCGATTAGATAGGGTGGAATTGCGTTTGTGACTCTGGACGCGATCTCGGGCTCGAATTCGTGGTCGCCTCGCCAGTCTTTCATGGTGCGTCCGGCGCGGAAGTGACCTGATAGATGCTCGATTCTTTCATCCCAGTTTGTCATTCGCCGATCACAAAATCCACATCGAGAAGTGATGTTTGGGCCTTGAGTCTTCCAGTCGTCGATCAGGGGCATAGTTTGTAGCCGATGGAAGAGTCGCAGGTGTTGGACTAGATGATCTTTGCGGTTGAACTGTCGACGTGAACTCCTCACACAGTTGCTGTGGTCGTGGCTGTCAAGATGTTCTAACGTAGGATCCAAAACTTGACAATAAGCACAGTGGTTCCTGCCGGTGGCCTCTGAGAACACCGAGCCTCCTTGCGGACAACATAGCCAAACCTCTAGGTTCAGATGTAATGACCGTTCATGCCTCGACCAGTCATACCTTTTGTAGAAGGTGTCACAACAGAAAGTGCACTTAAAGATATGCGCTTTGTCTGATTGTGTCTTGGGCTTGCGAGTCCTTTGCGGTCGCCTGCGTGCTGACCGTGATCTGGCAGAAATACTGGAAGCTGCTGAATTCGAAGATCGGACCGAAGGAGATCCACTTGCTGCGCTCTCTACACTAGCGATAGATCCGGGTCGACTTCGACGTCCTCTACCAGGATAGTATGCTTCCGCGGGCTGACTGACATGATTTGGGTCTACCTCCTGGAACTCACTGCTTTGCAGCGCTTGCTGTACGGCCGCCATGGAGACGTAGTCATCCTCGGGTGGAGAATTTTGGTATCTCTGCAGAGGATCATAGCACTCGGCGGAGGAGGACTCTGGTATAGGTATGCTTGCGGACGTGCTACTGCTGTCCATGCGGCTCAAACGATAACGACTTCGACGACGTGGCAGACCACTGTGTTGTTGTTTTCGTCCGTCCGCAAGGATCTGACTCCAAGATTTGCCAGATCTTTGAATCTCTCTGCTGGCTAAAGACGAGGCCAGCGGCGCGAGATCCGCCATGTACTCGTTACTCCAGCCATGAGGTATTTCCAGACCCTTGCCCTCGGCAGTACCAAGTAGATTGTATGAAGGCTCAAATGTGGCAGAGTTATCCATGGGAGGCATCGGTGATACAAAGTTCGTTGGAATGTCAGAGCTCGGGATATACAGATTGCTCAGACTAGAGTAGTCAAAGGGAGCGTTAGAGAAATCGTCCAGGGTCAGGTCTTGATCAAGCATGCCCTGGGTTGAAGCCATATCTCCGAGCATCGGGTGTAAAGGTTGGTGTTGGCCATCGTGGCTTGCTGGTATGTCGTGATTCTCATTTCGAGCCAGGCCTCTGCCTGCTTGATTTGCTTGCGAATCATCCATGTTGATTATGAAACGGCTGATGTGCTCCGACTTCGCTGAGTCGGTCGGTATACAATAAGAAATCTTGCATCATTTTGAAATGCTTGCAGCTGTGATGGTCGATTTGACACAAGGCGCGCTGTGGGGTAAGAAGTCTGGGGCACAGGGAGTAGCAATAGCGTGGTTTGGCGGTTTGCGGCCCAGATGTCGATGGGGTGACCCTACCATCTCATCGACATTGATGCGCCGCCATCAACCATACATGTCCACTATCATCTCGCTTGTCACGTCGCTCATAACGATGGTATGCTCGATTTCCATAGGATTAAGGACTGCCAACAATACAGTTTGAGTAGAAGGGCTGGCTTACAGAAGTTCCGAAAAATCTGGACGCATCTATATACGTTGTACAGTGAAAGTCAGACTAAACTGTTGTGTTCGATTGATTTATTGATACATTGTGGTAGAGAGCAAGGTAGTATAAGGGTATCTTTGAAAGGTCATGTTCTCGTATAAAAGGTTGTGGAGATGGTATGCGGCGATCAGGCCTTCGGCGCAATAAAGGGAGCAGCACGCATCTCTGCACTGACATTTCCATACCAGCGGATGCGCTCCAGATATGCAATTACATGCAGCAGAGTCATGTTATCACTCTGCGCAGGGATGCCGGTATACTCGTCTACCTCGATCAGATTATGAGGCTCAGCGGCGGCCTTGTCGATCGAGTCATCAATCAACACTGTATCTCTCTGGCTCCAGCCTCCAAGCGGCGCATTCAGCTGCAAAGTCGGGTCTTCCCAGATCCAGCTCAGTTGCTTGTAGACCTGGACTTTCTCAGCAAAAAGATGGGCTGGTAAGCGAAGCTTGTCGCGCGACCAAATGGCAACGAGTTGTTGTTGCCTTTCTTCAGACAACATACGGGCCATGATGCGTTCGACGTTCTCAGGCATACCGCTGGACCAGATCATGACATGGTGGTTGGCAAACAGGTAATCTAGAAAAGGAGCGAGCTGAGGCCTAGGGGTGTAACTCTTCGTCCTTTTCTTGCGAATGGCCAAAACGCCATTCAGATCCAAGACGACAAGAAGAGCCTTCGGATGGTCGAGTTTAGGGGCCGTAACGAGGGAGTTGACAAGGTAGGGAAGAGAGGGAGCAGGGCGGAGGAGTTTGCCAATTGCACGAGCGCGTTTGTCGGACGGTCTGGGAGTGCGTACTTCAGGATCTTGAACGTCCTGTGGTATCTTTCGGGAGTGATCGGGGTTTGGTGTTCTCTGCTGGGGATGTGACGGACGGGCAGCTCTACGGTCAGACGAATGTGGGACATTGTTTGACGGAACGGGCAATTCCGGCGGTATGAAGGGCTGGGTGAAGAAAGGAAGCGGCGGTGCGAAGAACTGTTGATCTTGAGGAGTCGTCGGAAAAGGAGGGGGCGGCGTAGGCGGAAGGTGATTCGCATAGGATGGTACAAAGAAGGACGAGGGATGGCGGTTTATAGGTGTCCAAGTGGGCTGTTGGAAAGATTGTGGAGCGGCCGGAGGAGGATAGTCTCGTTGAGTAGGATTGATGGAGCGGAAGCCTTGAGATCGGTAGGAAGAGTCCGGATAAGATTGACCGGAAGGCACATAGCGGACGGGGTTGGGCGATTGTTGTGGTTGCTGAGGTCGAGGCTGTTGATGGGAAAGAATGTCTAGAGGAGAGGGAAATGCGGCATGTTGGTCTTGTTGCAACGACTTGTTTGCGGCCTGCTCTCTTTTCCTGGCCTTGGACCAGCGAGTCTTGGGCTTCTTAGGCTGTTCTTGTACCGAGAGGTGGTCCAACTGGTTCGCGATCGTGTCGGACTGCATAGTCGCGGCATGGATGGATGGATAGTGGTAGGAATTGTGGTTCGAGGAAGATAGCGACAAGGACGACGACACCGGCTGTCGGAACACGCTCACATAGAGACCTGACGGCCGCAGGAATAGAGCCACTGCGTGTGTTGGCCAAGCGGATTGGAATACCGAGAGACTGGCGAAACTAGGAATCGTCTCGGGGGTGCCGCATCAAGGCCGCACTTTTTGGCATGGATTTTGCATGTGACAAACTCTGGAGCGACGATTGAATCATTCATTCGGCGGATCGGCGTCTGCTGCCCACTCGTGCCTTCCGTCTTGTCCATCTTGACCAAGAGTCGAATCAATCTTTCCTCTTGTGACCACAGACAACCACCCACACACAATACCGCAATCATGGGAGGGCCTAATCTCGAAGTCTTCAAGGTGCCGTTCACCCCATCCATCCAACACTTGTTGCACTAACGCCCCTCCAAGTTTGGCATGTACATCATGTTTCCCATCGGCTGGATGTACTACTTTGGCGCAAACCTCGAAGAGCGCTTCTCCGTCCCCGATTTCTGGCCCAAGGAGAATGAGACCCACACCATCCCCTTTGAGAAGGACGAGATCCAGTCCGAACTTGCTAGACTGCGCGCCCGTCGTCTTGCCGCCCGCCAGAGGAGATTTGAGCTCGAGGGCAACAACGAGCCTGTCGAGCACCACATCGAGCCCACTCCTAGCCCGATCCTCGAGTCGCTGAGGAATACCGACCAATCGTCATCTCTCCAACAACCACCCCACCCCGAACAATCCACCAATACCACACAATCCCAGGGCTGGTTCTCATGGCTCAAGTAACCACTGAGCCTCACCGTCAAAGCACTACACTGTATATTATGGGAAACGCATGCTGGAGTTAGGCGTAAGAGGGGGGAAATATTATGTACATTACAATCAAGTGATTCTGCTCTGCAGTTCGGCCCACGCTCCCTCGTCCACCGTACCTTGGATTACGTTCATGTAGATACCCTGCACTCCATTCTCTTTGTCCTGGATAGCATCGGCAAACTTGGCCAGCTCCTGCGTTGCTTCAGCACTGCTCAGCGCCACCTTGGTATCCTCGTTGGCGTCTGATATGATCTCGGAGCTGGCAATGTCCAGACCTAATGCTGTCGACAAAGCCTCTCCAGTCGATTTTGTTTCAGTGGGCTCGGTGTAGACAAGCACTCGACCCTCGCCGTCTTCATCCACGTCCAGGGCGCCTGCTTCCAGAGCAGGCTCAAAGACATCATCAACGCCGACGCCATCCTTGTTCGCAAATATTATCCTGCCCTTCTTGGTAAAGAGATAGCCTGTCGGCGTGGCGTTTCCTCCATGTTGCTTGATTATAACTCGGAGGTCGGCCAGCGTTCGTAGTCGGCTATCCGTCTCGCAATCGATGACTACACCGACATTGTTGGGCATCATGGCCTCGAGGGTGACGGTTTCCAGGGCAGCACCATTGACGGATTTTCCTTGACCACGGGCTACGGCAGCCTCAATCGAGGCTTTGGCAAAGCCGGCCCTGTTGGCCTTGACGATCAAATCGGCAAGTCGAGGGTTGAAATTTGGGTCGCCGCCAAAAAGTTTCGAGGCTGTGGCGATTTCTTGGGCAAAGATACTGCGGGCCTTGTTCTTGGAGCTGTCGACCTTGGCCTTGTCGTGCTTGATCTTTGACCATCTACTGTGTCCGGACTGGCATGCGGTTGCTTTATGAAAGCTCCGGAAGGTGGTGGCGCGACGGCTGAGGCATCGGTAGGTGTGGCGACAAGGATGAGCGAAGGACTGGTAGGACTGCATCACAAGAAACAAAACGGAAGACCAATGCGACAAACGGAAAACTAAGGAAATGGAATGCGACAAGGAAGGTGCCCGGTTTCACGCACTTGCCTCGAACATTTGAGCCGCCAAGGCGTGGAGATGCGGGCACAATCATCGGGGGCAGTTGCGGGTTGCAGGCATGCTCTCCTGAAACCATTCAAATACTTCACAACAAAAACACGCCTGTTCCTCATGGATTCCTCCTAATCGTAATCGCAAATGGCGACAAATCAAGATGCCCCGCCTCCGGTGGCCGACTCGACCCTGCAACTCGATATAGCCAAGCTTCATGGTCTCCCGTCCGAGCAACAGGACCTATACCTCTTGACCTTCACCTCGGACCTCTCTCGTTACGCAACCTCTCTGGATGAAGATGGAGCTTCAGCTCACCAGGTCTGGATCAAGAAGGAACTTCTACAGGTTGTCGACCTCTCATCACCCGCTCCAACACGTGTCATCCGTAACAATCTCGCTTCCACCTTCGCATCTCTCTTCACCAAAGGCAATCGCAAGTTGCTATACGAGTCCATAAACGACCTGGTCGCAATCTTGAATGCTGGGAAAGATAAGCCTCTCAAGGCCAAACATGCTGCTGTACACTGTCTGGGTGCCGTCTTCGAGGCTGCTGGTGACAGCGCTATCAGTCTGTCTGCCTTGACTTGTACTTCGCTGCTGCGAACTCTCAAACTAGCCTGGTCCCATGCGGGCTTGCGGAGTGCTGTGTACAAGGCCCTGGGAAGAGTCGCCAGAGGCATTGGAAACTCGATTGACGAGTCTGTCGCAAAGGAGACCTGGAAATCGGCGCGTACTGCTGCTTCGAGCGACAAGGCTCTGCTGGTTCAGATTAATGCTTGTTGGTGCCTCGAGCAGCTGGCTACTTGCACATCCTATTATGACAACTCCAACGATTTCGAGAAGCTGCAGACCGCCTTGTGGAAAGCCATAGACAGCCCTTCCGTTCCAGTGCGTCACGCTGCCTCTACCTGCATGGCCGCTGTTCTTGTCAAGAGCTTCTCTGAAAAACCTGTTCGAGACGTTCTACCTCCCAAAAAGTCGAAAAAGTCAAAGAAACAAGGAGCCGCTGATGAAGGCGAGGAGGACATAGAGCGTTCTACTACACCCGTGTCCTCCAAGCCAATCACATCAATAGCCTTCAGCTTGTTGGATATCATGCGTCAACTTTCTACTCAGTACTGCAAACCGGCGGCTTCCAACAGGACCCGCGCTGCTATTGCCATATGTTACAAGCAAATATTCACTGCGCTTGGTGAGAGCGTTGTCGAGAGGCAATATGGTGTTATTGCCAAACATCTGTTTACAGATTTGCTAAGCCACCAGAGTCTGATATACCACCGCTATCGTACACTCATGACTAGAAAATTCGTCCGCATTATTTTACAACATGTGGTGGGTGGCATGCTTGGAGAGACATCGCAACTAAACGCTGCCCGATTCCTCATGAACGACATCATCAAAGACTACCCACAGGTCATCAAAGAGCGTCCGGAGCCCGGAAAACAAATACTTACCGCCGCCTTGAGTGCTCTGGCATCATTGATAGACAAATTGGACGCTGCTGTGAGCATCATCTCCGAAAGCTGTCGCGAGTCACTATTGCAGGTTCTGCAACATCCAAGTTACACTGTTCAAGTCCACGCTTCGAGGTGTATGAGATCCTTTGTGTTCGCTTGTCCGCAGCAGCTTCTCCCGACTGTAACAATTTGCATGAACAGTGTTAATAGAGAGATTGGTCTCCTTACTGGTCCTCGACAAAGTCCAAGGAGATGTGCCGGATATGCAAACGGCCTTGCTGCGGTCTTGAGCGCCTCGAACAAACATCCTCTTTACGGCTCCGTCGATGTCTACGCCCGTGTACTCACACAAGCTACTGCTCTGCTCAAGTCCAGCAGTAACTCTGACCTACGTGCCTCCAGCACCCAAGTGCAGGTCGCTTGGATCATGATAGGTGGCCTCATGTCGCTGGGACCTAACTTTGTTAAGATCCATCTTTCACAATTGTTGCTCATGTGGAAAAATGCTCTTGCGCATCCAAACAAAGATAACATGGCGCGTCAAAGTCAGCTGGAGCTAAGCTTCCTTGCTCATGTTCGTGAGTGCGCATTGGGATCTGTCAAGGCATTCTTACATTACAACATCAAGCTCTTGACCTCGGATGTGTCGAGGCGTCTCGCGAGCATGTTGCAAAACACTGGTACATTCCTCTCCATCTTACCTGACAAGAAGACGTCTGAAGACATGTCGCAACGGTTGTCTCCTGCTCTTCAGCTGGTCGATTTCGATCTTATGGTCAGGCGTAGGGTCTTCCAGTGTTACACCGCTCTTGTGACTGCAAGCCCAGCCGCAGCTTCAGAGATTGCAACACAGTCGAACGTTCTGCCGCTAGCTATTTCTTCGTTTGCTGACCCAGATCGCCTGGGTCCTTCATCGCTGAGTGTATCAATTGCTAGTTCTGCTGGCACACTCGATAGTATCTGGGGCGTTGGCGACAATAGTGGCTTCGGTGTCAACGGCCTGATCAATGGCTTGGACTACTCTCCTCTACCATTTGAGAAACGTGCCAATTCTCAAGATCACTGGACGTCGAGGCACAGCTATGAAGCTATAGTAGATAGAACGGTAAAGCATACGTAACTTTTGTGATTAGCAGCGCTAACCCTTGACAGCTTCTCTCACCGATCGGTGGAGCATGGGAGCACGATTCCACGACTTCTTACGTTACGCCTGATGGACCTCAAATATACGATCAACCACAGCCACCTGCGACCGAGGTGGTGAACAGTGCAATCGGCATCTTTGCATTAGCACTTCCCTTACAGTCTCCCAGGATACAGGACAGTATACTCGAGCAAATAAACTCATTCTTGACATCGCCTTCTGTGCAGAAGAGTGTCGCACAAAAGACTGCACTAAGCGCAAACATTGCATTAGCTCTATTGGTAACCTCTAAGGTCTTGACGGGACATGTAAAGGGTCTGGAAGGTAAACTTCAAAGCGCAAACGCCGAGAAGAATATGCAGAACCTCCTTCACGTGAGTCTTCTCACGCTCCGGGCGTAGTTATGTGGCTGACAGGACTGTAGATTTTTGTTGCTGACCCCGACGAAAGCGTTCGTCATGTTGCTGCTCAAGCTTTAGGCCACCTTTGCGAAGTCGGCGGCAATGACTTGACTTCACGCGAGATCAACTATTTGATTGAAACCATTGTCTCTAATACCGAACCTCATGTCCGATCTGGCTGCGCCCTGGCCCTTGCTTGTATTCACAACTCGCTCGGGGGTATGGCAGCCAGTTTCCATCTCAAAACCATACTTGGTATCTTCATGTCTCTTTGCGCCGATCCTCATCCGTTGGTACACTTCTGGGCTCTGGAAAGTCTGAAACGGATCGTTGATTCCGCTGGCTTGACGTTCTCGGGGTACGTTTCGAGCACGATTGGTCTTCTTGGTCAATTGTATGTGCTGGACACACACAACGCCGAGACTGGACCTTTAGCATCTTCCAACCTAGAAGTTGAGCTGGAGACGACTGCTGCGAACGTGTGCTGTGTTGACGCCATTATCAACGTGATGGGACCAGACCTTTCTGAGATGGCCAAACCTCGTGGCATGGTATTGACTCTGATTCGACAGTTCCAGACAGAAAGTGACATTCTAGTACTAGTGGAGAGCACCAGGTGTTTGGGCAATCTCTCAATGTACGCACCTGGCCACATGGAATTTGAGGAGTATGTAAAGCGCTTGCAAGCAGATCTCGACTCTCCATCTCCTGAGATACGCAACATGGCCATCGGAGGATTGGCCAATCTCATGCGAAGAGACGCCGAGGACATTGTACGCGCCGCCAATCCTGGACTGGAAGATAAACTTTGGGACATTCTCGATCAGAACCCCGCCCAGGAGACCATCAAGGAGATTTTTGTCAACTGGTTGTCGCAAACTGGACTGACAGATACGGCGGGCTGGATTCAAAGATGCAACTCAGTTCTCACTAAGGCAAAGGCTCGCGTTGACAACGCTGCTCAAGACGAGAAAGCAGCCAGAAAAGCAGCTGCCACTGACCTTCAAGATGAAGAAGTTGCAGGTTTTGCTGCTGGGGCAGGCACAAAGGATGAAGACGCTTCCGCGCCCACGTCAAGTCAGGAGCTTATGAGATGGCAAGTGCGCCTCTTCGGCATGGAGCTTCTTAACAGTCTCTTGGACAGTGTTGTCAAGGAGTCGGCCGCTAACGAAGATATCCCTGCTTTGATCTCGCTCCAACAGAGGGTGGCAGATGTTGTACGAGTCGCTTTCTCCGCTTCTACCGCTAATGTCGTTGGTCTTCGCATCCTCGGTCTGCACATCATCGACCAAGTGCTCAGATTGTTTGGTGGTGTGCCCGATCCCGACTTCACCGAAGCCATGCTTCTCGAGCAATACCAAGCACAAATCAGCTCCGCATTGACTCCTGCGTTCGCCGTCGATTCTTCGCCTGAATTGGCTGCCGAGGCCATCAACGTTTGCGCCACTTTCGTGTCGACAGGTATCGTTACCGATGTCGATCGCATGGGCCGTATCTTGAAGATCCTGGTGGCCGCCCTTGAAACCTTCGCAGGATCTGCCGAAACATCTTCCATCGGAGAGCTCAAGGGTCTCAGCCCAAACGCTCAGGTCATGGTACGCATGTCAGTCTTTTCTGCTTGGGCCGGCTTGCAGATCGCCACTGCTGAGCAGAAGTACCTGGTCGATGTGGTCAAACCTCATGTTGCGAAATTGACTCCACTTTGGTTATCGTCCCTTCGAGAATACTCCCGCTTGCGGTTCGAACCGGATATTTCGAACAACACTAGTGCAACTCCACTATCAGATGACCTCGAGACAGTCTACGCAGCATTGAATCGCGAGACTTTGCTCAAGTTCTACCAGGACTCGTGGTTAAATCTCGTTGATGCTATTGCCAGTCTGATTGACGAGGACAGTGAATTTGTGTTTGATGCACTTGACGGCAAGACTCAAGCCGATGCTGACAACGGTAACACTGTATCTCGAGGAAGCGAAATCAATTATCGTGAAGAGCCTGTGGCATTCTTCTTCGTGTTGTTTGGTCTTGCGTTTGAAGCTCTCGCTAGTAAGCCTGGCGCAGACTCGGCAACTGCAAGAGCGCAAAAGCTCGAAATTCTGCAAGCACTCAAGAGAATCTTGCGACCATCAATCTCTGGTAATGCTATCTACCAAGAAGTCATCTTCAACGAGACAATGGATCTGCTCGATCGCATGGTCCTCACTGAGCCGTCAAACGTGCAGACTGTTATCGTCGAGATTGCAAGAAACCTCTGCGTTGGTCATCCTTCGTCGAGACAGGGCATGAGTGCAGACGATCACTTGTCTGATGACATTGATCAACTGTTCGAACTGACTCGCATCATTGTGCTTGTTCTGGCGAGCATCGTGCCTGGTCTGGCAGAGAGTCCTCGTCCCGTACGCGCTGAGATATCAGACGAAGCTGTCGCACTAGCACGCCTCTCCTTGGATGCACTGGTGGATGCTTCCGAGGTCTTCCCTTTTATTATCAGAGCCGATTTGCATGCATGTATCTTCCAGATATTTGTCACCATCATGGGTACTGCAGCCTGCCAAGCGACCTTGATACCACAAGCGTTGCCCATCTTCCGCCGCTTCATCAGCGGCGTAGGTGCCGACCCCAGCGAAGAGACCAAGAAGCAAATTCGCAGCACACTTTCTCGCTTCTTGATGGTTCTCAAGAACGCCCAGAAACGCGAGTTTGAAGCATCTCTGCCGTGCGAGAAGAACACGATACTAGCAGGAACCATGCTCATCACTTCTGCGAATGCAGCTTTCGACGCCAACGACCCTCTACTATTGCGCTTTGTCACTGAACTGACAGAATGTCTCGATAATCCAATGACGACCAAGATGGCGGCTGGTTGTGTACGCACATTGCTCGTTGTACCCATCCGCGGCGCTGCACACCCAGCAATCCTGTCACGCCTATTGCCACGTCTGGTCACTTTCCTCGCCACACCCTCTGATCTCGAAGGCATCGAACGGAGCCGCACCATCATTGCCCAATCTCTCACTACCAGCCTCTCATCCCTACACGCCACTAAAAAACTGGCAGGATTTGCCTTACTCATCCCTACATTGCTCGCACGAGCCGAAAAGGAGACCGGTGAAACCGTGCAGAAAGAGACAGCGGCCAGATTGTTGGAATTGGCTGGTAACGATGCTAGTGCGTTCAGAGGTGTTGTTGTGAGGTTGAGTGCCGAGCAGAAGACATTGATGGAGAGAATTATCAAGGGGTCTCAGGGGCCGAAACAAGAGGTTAGGGAGGAGGTTGAGGAGAAGGAGCCGACGATTGCTCTGAAGATGAATTTCTGAGACGAGAAGTTAAGGAGAGAGTCTAGAAGTCATGACGATACATAGATGAAATATACCACAAGACACCACATTCACATGATTTGAGGATAAGATATAGTCTCTCTCCCCATGTGCAAAAGGTTTTGTAACGCGTGTAACTGTAGAAATGCACAGTGACTTTCGACAAACAAATTAGTGTGCATTGAGACACGGTATATCATGAGGCTCTCTTTGGTCGCATCGCTTGGCTTAGAAACTACCGTACTGTGCATTTCTATAGTGAGGGTTGCACTCTATACCATGGTAGGGAGGGAGGAGAGTAGATACGAGTCACAAACTCCAACACACAGGGGAGGTCGTACTGTCAATATCAATCAGGTTCAAAAGGAGGCGAGAGAAAACAGAGAGTCGTTTCAGATTTCATAAAGATCGTTATGCAAGCACCCGCCTACATTCATGTAAAGTCGTAAACAACCAGAGCTTGGTTCCCACAATGCCGCTCCCTGAGCACGACGACCTTGTCATCGTCAAAGCCTACAAACCCCCTCGTCATGCTGGTTTCGTCTATGCCTCTGTTTTCAAGCGCCATACCCAACCCACGACCTATACCCGTTACCTTAGCAATCGACGTCGAGAGTTCTTCTTTCTCGACAGGTGACGAAGGCTTCTCAGGTCGCAATTGTACACTCAGTTCTCCAGCAGCCAACCTACGCCTCGCAGACGCAGAAGCAAAACCACCCTCGAGTTCCCAGACACGTAGTTCATCGCCGCGTGTGCTGACCGAGACTGCTTTACCTCGGCCTCCCACATGAGCTCCAGATACTGAGGATGTGTGGCCCCAGAGTCTGTTGCCTGGGCTGATTTTGAGGGCATCAGTGGTTGAGGACACGAGGTACAGTGTCAAGGTATTGTCTGGATGCGAGACCAGGAGGTAAGGGTGAGAGTAGGAGAGAGAGGTTGGTTTGGAGTGGATTTGGTTTGCTTCTGAGGTGTTGAAGTGGCCGAAAGGGGGGATTGTTTGAGGTGTTGGCGGTGAGTTGGAGGGGTTGAAGGTCAATGGACGGTAATTTTGGTCGATTGCTGAGGTGAGGCGGGATTCAAGGAGGGTGCCATCTGGGGTCAAACGCATTTCTTGGATTCCGACGGTCCAGCCGCTGAGGTATGTGGGTAGTGAGTAGGCGATTGATACGAGCACGGTGTCTGGCTGTGGTCGGATGGATAAAGTGAGCGGTGGCCAGATGGTGCGTGAGTGCAAGGACTGCAACAATCGCGGAGGGTTCATTGGTATATCTGTAGATGCTTTGTTGGTTGTTGGCATAAACTTGTAAAAGGACAAAAGTTGACTGGCGGTCATGGTGGCCAGATAAGGAAAGGACAAAGCGGCGGCCGAGATGAGACCATTGGAAGAGGGTTCGTGGGAATATCGAGAGACGAAGCGGCGCTGATGAGCATGAAGGTCGTAAATGGTGAAGGAGCCGTCTTGAAAGCCCACAGCAAGGGTGATGGTTGAAGAAGATGAAGGAACAGAATCGAGTGTCAGAGCCGAGGGAGGAGTGGTCTTGTCAGGAAACTTAGCCGTGGCCAACATGTCCTGGCCTGATTGAGATGACCATGCGCGCAGACCATGGACATGATCGGCCATAACGATAATGCCCTCGTGCATTTGCAGCAGTGTTGGCGGAACCGATGGCTCAGGCGAAACGGGGACTTCGTCTACACGACATGTGCCCTTGGTCCAGTTGTGACGTGTCTTGTACTGTCTCTTCCAGTGTGTCTGCCGTTCTCTTTTCAGCAGATTGTCCTCGTCCAGCCATTTGGAGAGCTTGCTCGAATACCACAAGCTCTCCGCAGGTACTCCCGACTCGTTGATTCCAGGTATGCGCGAAGCCCTCGGACGGACGAAGCGATTGTAGTACAGAGCCTTCCAAAGTTGGTCGTCGCCAGCGAGTCTGTGGAAATGTCGCGAAATACTTTGGCAGGTGATGAGATCGGGCACGGGCAGGAACGAAAGCACTCGGAGTGTCAATTCATGGCTGAGCCTCGACAGCCGATCCGCGATGTTTCGCTGATGTCGCTTTGTACTCCTCTCGTCGCCGTCTCCTAGGGCATCCGGCGCCCTGCGCTTGACCATCCTGCCAGTGTTCAGACTGAATTGAGAGTTCGTGATGGCGGCGGATTCGCCATCGAGGAAGGCGCTCTGAGGCTTATCTTATCTCCGCGATCTCCGCTGTGCTCGTGTCGATCTCCCGTAACGTGCTCCCAGACGCGTCTGCCTGCCTTGCTCGGTTGTTACCATATCTATATCGTCATGAGCTGTCTTGATCGTCCTTGACCCCAACACCAACTTGGTACCCATGGAAGCCGGCCAATCGAACAAAACACCTGATGGCTTTGTAACCCTAGCACAATACAATCAACTACTCGCCAAACATGAGGCTCTTCAGAAAACTTATTCCGAATACAGAAGGGACGCCGAAACGCGTGCCTTGAAGGCTGCGCAGAAAATACGCGAAGCAAAAGAAGCCGTCCGCAGATGGAAGGACTACATTGACAAGAAACTGGCCAAGCAGGCTCTGCTTCTTGCACAACAAGCGAATCGCGACCTTGAGAACCAGGACTTTGCCACTCCTCGTGCTGTTCAATCGAACTTGGAAAACATCCAAGATGCTCTGGCCCTACCCAATCCGGCCCTTAATCTTGTTAGAGACACATCTGCCGCGCCATCGCATTCTCCAGCTCACCCCAGGATAACCTCGAGCCAGACCACTGAAGGCGAAGCTCGCTCGAGCTCTCACGCACACTCTGATGATACGCCTGTCGTTGTGTCTGCGAAATCACTCAAAAGGAAGCACCAATCCCCAAAGAAAGACTCGCAGGGTCACAGAGTAAAAAATGAGCTTCTAAGCAGCAGCCCACACAACTCACGCACTCCGGTACCTACCCTTTTTCGCACAGAAACTTCGGATCTGGATGTCTATCGTGATCAGCCTCCCCTGCGACAACCGAATTTGCATTATGAGAGGCATCCCCTCAGTCGAGCTCCTCTGAGGCAGTCGGCAGACCCGTCTCCGGAAACCATGCGGCTTTCATTCGGTCATCTCGAGGCCCCAACAGGAAATCGTGTGTTAAGGTCCCGCTCACCCAATGATGACAATAATGTTACTACGGCTAGCGCTGGTACAGATGTTGATGCAGACGACGCTCGGCTTTCCGATAGTACCGTAAAGACGGTAAAGACTGAGCCTGGCAGTACCGTAAGAAGAGAAAACATGTTGGTCAGGACTATGAGCAAAAGTGCTGGACCTCCGGAGCCACGGCCACAACCTGGTCCTTTGCACGACTTGAGCCCCAACACTCCTACGCTACCCCGCACGAGTGCCGCTCCCCTAACTTCCGGCAAAAAGCTCGACCATAGTAGGGGAGCTGCTTCTGTGCATGTGCTTTCAGAAGACGGAGACAACGCCAGACGTGGGTTTAAAAAACCGCGCATCGATGATACCACCCCCAAGGCTGCAGGTACAGGAAGATTGAACGGATTACTGGAAGGAACTTCGCCTCAAGTTGATAGAACAATCTCGAGCCCACGTTCCGCGCCTGGTGCGGTCCGACGGCAGCGCGAGTGGTTAGACAACACTGTTTCAGAGCAACTGGAAAGATACGCCGTCGCCAGATCTGTGGAAAAGCCCGTCAGTCGTATCACCAGGACTGTGCGAGACAAGCCACTTGCTCGCGCTGCTATTGCGAGGTACAACGACAAAGATGACCCTGGAGACATTCTACCAGAGCATGAGCCTCTACGCGCCCGACCGCTTCATCGTCTGAACCTTGAGGACTTCAGAGTCAATCCCAAAGTGAGCGGAGAGTTAGGATATGCATACCGTGAAAGCATCCGAAAGCGCGAGGAGAAGAAATGCTTACCTGGTTGTACGAGAGAGGAGTGCTGTGGTGCGATTCGACGCTTCATTGCCGCAGGCGGCTTGCCACAAGACACCTCACTCACCGATGACGAGTTGACATTACAAGGATACCTGGGGTCAGCATATGCGTCTTTGATACACAGTGCTACAGGACAGGAGAGACAGAAAATGCTGTTGGAAGCGAGGGCCAAGGCATTTGCGGATACACATGGCAAGCACAGAGAAGTGTTTCAGAGGAACAGAACACCTCCTGGGTTCTGGCGTACTGAGATGCCTTCGACGCAAGAACTGGAACAGGACTGGGAGGAAGCGAGGAAGATGGATCGCCAGAAGGTGGAAGAGAGATGGCGAGAAGCCATGAGAGGTGGCCGCTACATCTTCAGGGATGAGACATGAGTCACTTGCTTGAGGGCTTCTATCGCTTTCGAACATGACTACGAAAGCATTGTACAACCATGATTGGTAGCTGGTTTCAGAGATATGCCGTTCATGTTCACTTCTTGCTCCAATCGTCGTTACTCTCTGAAGCGTATCAGTAGGACTATTTTCAATATCGGGCGAGAGTGGGGGTATATCTAGCGGCAACTCGGCAAGGACCCCACATGCGTCATGGTGCCCCGCTATAGCTACCTATCACGAATGAGCACAACAGCTTCCCTGATTGCATCAGCACATCTTTGAGCCACGTAACTCCATGAGAACTGTGCTTCACAAAAGACTCTATCAGCTTCCTCTCAAGACCTACACCCTTCGCCCACTCTCATCAACACACCCAATTCCGCCCGTAAGAACAGCAGCAACCATGGCCAACATCCACACCCCGATCCCCAACCTCAAGCTCAACGATGGCAACTCGATCCCTATGCTAGGCTACGGCACGGGCACCGCCTGGTACAAGACGGGCGACGAAAGCACACTCGACCAAGCCTGCGTCGACGCAACAAAGACGGCAATCAAACTCGGCTACTACCACCTCGACGGCGCCGAAGTCTACAAGACCGAACCCGAACTCGGCAAAGCCATTGCCGAGAGTGGTGTTGAACGCTCGAAGCTGTTCGTCACCACAAAAGTCCTGCCAAACATTGCAGATGTACCTGCTGCACTGAACACGAGTTTGAAGAAGCTGCAGTTGGAGTATGTGGATTTGTATTTGATTCATGCGCCTTTCTTCGGCAGTCCGGAAGAGTCGCCTGAGGCGCTGCAGAAGGCATGGAAGGCTATGGAGGAGGTCAAAGAGGCTGGCTTGACAAAGAGCATCGGTGTCTCCAACTTTTTGCCTCAGCATCTGGATGCTATTCTGCAGACTGCGAGGATCCCGCCTGCTATCAACCAGATCGAGTTCAACGCTTACTTGCAGCATCCCGAGTTGCTCAAGTACCACAAGGAAAAGGGTATCGCGACTGAAGCTTATGGTCCCCTGACTCCGGCTACAAAGGCTGCTCCTGGTCCTCTGGACAATGTGCTTGCTGGGCTGAGCAAAAAGTACGCTGTTAGCCCTGGAGAGATTTGCTTGAGATACTGCATTGATCAGGATATTGTGCCCATCACGACCAGCAGCAAGGAACAGAGGTTGAGCGATTACTTGAGAGCAATGACGTTCAAGCTTACGCCCAGAGAGGTCAACGATCTCAACGAGGCTGGCTCGCAAAAGCACTTTAGAGGCTTTTGGAACCACAAGTTTGCCGCCGATGACAGAAGGTAGAGAGTTAATTGTTGAGAAAAGAAGCGACAGAGATAGTGTTACAGACTCGAGGATTGGCTTGATGTCAACCTAGATCAAGCGCAATTTATCTTTCATATTCGTACATATAATGGTGGCCCGATACTATGTATAATGTGTGTTCACTTTACATGTCACGATCGTTATCGTGGTGGTCAATATGAGGGTACCATGTGCGGGCCAGCCTATAGAAGACGAATCTAGTCCTCTCTGATGAACAGCGAAGCAAACCAGCCCTTCTCTCTCTTGACAGGGATAATCAGAAGATCAAGGACTAGATAAAATTGTCAGCAAGGATGAGTCAGCACTTCATAATGAGATAAACATACTCTTTCCGCCGTCAGCAACATTGCAGTCGCGGATATCGACCTTCCAGTTTCCCATCTCGGCCACGCGCAATTGAGCGAATGAAGCTTTTCTCGTACACATCTTCGAGTTGGCAGATAGAAGTGTGCGGACAGGTCCGAACAAAGCATCGAGAAGGCCAGACTTTTGTCTCGCATTCCTCGTGGCGTTATAACTGGCGATACTGTGCTCAAAGCCCCTGTCAGTGAAGACGCGACCCAGAGGGACATCGAAAGGCAAAGGTCGCTGTCCGAAGAGAAGCTTGACGGGCTCGATGCGCAAGAGGGGTTTTCCAGTGGCAGAAGGGATGGCCCAGATACGCTTGATGACATCGTTGGCTCCATAGGCGGTCCACGATGCAAGAGTGGCCCATATCAAGCCAGTGAGGAGGAAAGTAGTGGCGATGAGAAAGTTTGATTTTGAAGGATCGGTAGTGAAGAAGCCGACTTGTACGGCAGTCAAGCCACCGAGCAGTAGACTGGCGAATAGACACCAGGCAACGTATTGACGAGCTTTTGTGGCCTCGTAGATGAGGAGTGGGGAATCGGCGCTCGCGAGCTCTTGTAGGGCCTGTGTGACACCAGAACGGCCTCCTGGTACGTAGTCGAGAGTGGGAACTAGGGGCGATGAAGGAGAGGAAGAAGCCGAGATTGCTTCAGCTGGCCGCTTGACGGTGAATTGGCGTTGTGGACTTGTGTGGGCTGCCGAGTGGTGTGTGGTTGGAGGAGGGGCGTGAGAGTATGCAGGTGCTGCAGAAGTGACAGAAGCGAGCCTTTGCGAAATTAGACGCTCGGTTGCCTCTTCCTGTTTCTTGAGAGCATCCTTGCGCTGCTTCTTGCGAGATGGGGCGGAAGCATCGATGGGCTTGACTATGGCATTCGACGGTTTGCGCACATGGAAGATTGGGGACGAATGGAGTAGTCGCGTCTGGAAGGGTGTGCAGGCGCGTAGTCCTAGAGGTTGTGACAGCGTTGTTGACTGCAATTGAGGCAGTAGCCGGAATGGTCGCCAGAGAGAAGCCATGGTTGACAGATACAATCAATCGCATTCAACATCATCTCGAAATGTCTCCAGGCGGTCCTCTTATCGATAAGGTATGCCGAGGTGTGCAAGTGCATAGTTGTGCCAAGCCAGGCCAGGCCAGGCATGCGACTTTGTTGACATGTTTTGTGCACGAGATCGACTCTACTCGCTAGCACGAGATATCAGACCGATCAGCACTCGCGCGTCTCTAGCAGGGAGTCAGTCATTCATCCACCGTCCCCTGTTCTCATATCCTCGCGTCGTCGTCGGCCATGTCTGCTGCGCCCAACTCTCGTTCCCCGTCACCAGCGCCAGCTCCACCTGTCCAACAAACTCCAGGTCCACGCGCTGCTGCCCTGCAGAAGCTGTACTCGGATGCCATCTCACACACCCTCCGTACGTGCAGCTACTCCAACTTCGCTTCATCCTTTCCGACTCCGGCCAGCCATGCTCCCGATGCCATGAAGCAACTACACGCCGACTTTGTCGACAAGCTGCACCGCTCCTGCACCACAAACTTCGACCACATCCTACGCGACCGTCACCTTGTCGAGTCGCTTAACGAGCTGGATCGCTTGGTTGACGACGCAAGAAGAAGAAAGACTGCGGCCGAACACGCGACAGCTGGACAGCCAGTACAACCTCCTCTGCCTCCTCACACCCTGCCCGCCGAGTCGTTGTATCTTTCGCATCTCTCGCCGCTACTATCCGAGCAACAGGCTACTCTGTCGTCAAGGTTGCATGCTGCTCAATCCGAGAATGCCAACCTCGTCGATACAGTGCTGCAACAGCGACGAGAAATTGAGCGTCTGGTATCGCAGCTAGAGACGACGATTGCTGACATCGATGCTGCTACCGAAGCTCTGCCCGACATGGATGCTCTGGCAGAGGAAGCCGTCGCTCTGGACATTGACCTGAGAACTGCCGGTTGATGCACACAAAGCACTGATTGCACACACGCCCACCCCACTATTTACCCCCGTCTGGGCAAAACAGACGAAAAGGTCCGCGCGGAGCAATCGTCGCATCGCGTGTCTCTGTTGCCAACAGCGGGGCATCTCCTCGCGCTGAAGCCTGTCTCCCTACCTTTTTCAGCCCCATGGCCGCTAGCGTGCCCACGAATCCACGACAAAAACCAGTTTCGACCACACCGTGCTCGTGCGCTGAAACATGCCTTCATGCTGCATCTTCCAAGTCCTCCATACTTGCGAATTGCCTGCTGGCTGTGTGCTGTTGCTGCTCAACATGGATGCCATCAGCTCCATGCTCCAGCTGTGTTTGGCTTATCAGTCGTTGTCTTGGACGATGCGCCATCAACCACATCCCTCGACGGTTAGTGGTTCTGTGGCTTCATCTGGACACAAGCGGGTGTTGGCATGTGCCCCCCATGCCCTCCATGCTCTAACCCGCTACGGCGAGCGGGGAACCCACAATCCATGCCATGCCATTAATCACTCGTCTGCTGCTGTCGAGTCCATCTTTGATATCTTTCTTCAATTCCTCTGCATACTGTTCGGCCTGTTCGGCGGTATTTCTCCAGCTCACTCCAAGTTTTCTCCAGCGCACTCTTGTCCAAATCCCCAGCCCTCCGCATCCCCCCGGCGTCCCCCATCTCGGCTAAACTGACGGACACGCCGTCACGCTAGCTTCCCGGCTTTGGCCTAGACTTCTCCACAATTATTCGGTCACCGTTTCGCCAATCAGTCCCATCGTCGACGACAGCAAGGGTGAGAGGACGCCTTAACACTTCCTGTCCTCTGCGACTCGTAATCTTCTGCTTCCTCTCATACCTGTCTCCTACCTACACTCCTTGCCAGTGTCGCTCTCATATCTCAATCTCTCGCACTGACATACCGTTCGTCGATCCGGCAGTCCTCCTGCTTTTTCCGATCCCAGACGCAGGTCCGACGATCTGAAGTCATTTTCTACAATCGATAGAGCCGAGCGTGCCTGTCATAGAAAGTGTTCGCCATGTCTGCCACACAAACTACCCAAATGACACGGCGTGCTTCGGCCTTTGTGCCTCTGAACACCACACAGCTTTCTCGAACCGTAACGCGGGACTCTGCCACAACCCCTGCACAAGACGAAGATTCACAAGCAGCACGCCCTCGAAGCCGTCGCGTGACCAGCTATCACCATCCCTTCCAGACTCGATGTTCGCCATGCAATGACCCTGCACCATCTTATGCAGCAGCCACTCGCACTCCGAAGTTTCCTCCTGCTCCAAGATTTTTCGATAATGGAAGAGAGGTTCTGCCAAAATATACTTGCACTGTGTCGAGAGAGGGTCCAATGCAAATGCGTATTGAGAAGATCTCGCCCTTCCAATATCTTCAAAAGCAGGACTTCCGCACTGTCTACGTCGTCCTCAACGGTACTCAATTGAGCGTTCACAAGATCAAAACTGTTCAGCTTGCTGGTTACTCATTGCCCACAGCTGGAGCACTGATCAAGCGATACTCTCTCCAGCACGCTGAGATTGGCTTGGCCACCGATGTCCAGTACAACCAGCTACTGCCCGCTACTCGCCTAGCACATTTTATTCCTACCGTTGCCCGTCGCAAGGCTTTCGAGAAAGATCCTGACCTTTTCACGCCCATCTCACAGGTGGTCCTCCGCCTGCGTCTCGAGACTGATCAGTTCCTCTTGTCGGACCACTCAGAGGAGCGCATCTTCCGATGGATTCACGATTTGTCTGCTAGCATTGATATCTCATTGCCACTTGATGAGCGCTCCGCACCAAAGCCGTGCACTATCCCCAGACGCCGTCGTAGACAGAGACAGGAAACGGAAAACATTGATGATCGAAATGTGATCGAAGAGCAGGAGCAGATTATGCGCGAGATGTATCCTTCATTGGCACGATCGATTGAAGAAGGATCAGAAGGTGCAGAACTCTCTCGCACTGAGACTACATACGACACCAATGCTCTGACACTCACTGCTACGCTGGATCAAGAGGCTGAGGACATTGATCTATCGTTCCTGGCCGAGGATCTTGGTCCAGAACAACGATCATCTACTCGTCCTGCCAACCTTCGTCAGATAACCTCGTCTACTGTCTCCACGACGACCTCGTTTCAATACGAGACTAGCTCTGACAACCTAGGTCCTGGCGGAAAGTGGGCTCCACCACACGCCCGTACGAATGCCTCTCAATGGCGATACATCAAGCGATGCATGCCCACATTGCTCTTCGATGCTCCTCGCGCCAACGATATCATCATTTGCCATGGCCGTCGCTTGAGGGTCAACACTAAGATGGACATGCTTGAGGAATGGGAATTGGCGCCACCCACTTACGACACTCACGAATTCCCCGAAGGTCTGGATCGCTCCATTACCATGGCTTCTTCTCTTGCGACCACTTCTTCTACCATCTCAGCATCAAGCATCGATACTCAAGATGGAAAGATCGCTGCTCTCACTCACCAACTCCCTGAGGGCGATATCAAAAGAAGCTCGCCCGCCCCTGTTGTCACTCGCAGCAAGATCCCTGAACGTACTTTGATGGAAGAGGGTATCGTCGTTATCGCTTTCTGAGCAGAACATGTCAAACACGCCAAATGAAATGAACGCTCCTATGAACAAATTGACGAATCAATGCTATATTTCACTTGTTGGGATTCTTGGGTCGTTTCCTTTTCCTTAGCAAGGCGCAATCGTCTGCTCCTTTCTGCTCCCTTTCCAGTTGGCTTTGGCGGAGATTTACTGCATGTTATAATCGTTGCGTCCACTGCAATTTGCAGAATCCAGATACCCAATCCCAGTCTATAGCCTGATGTGCATTGCTATCTGCTGTGTGCAAACAAGACACTCGCCCTTTCTATAAGAACAAATGACATTCTACTTGCCCCTTTTGCAAAGACGATTTTTGATTATTGATCCTCGTGTCACCAATGCTACTCCAATCCATTGCAAGGTCTCCTCTTGCTGTCGTGTGTGAGAATATGGTGAATCTTAGAGGGGCTAAGCGGTGCAGCTCAAGATGTGTGAGCACAAGTTCGGTCCGGTGCAGAGTTGATTGATATATTCGCGCTCTGGTGTTTTGACACAATCTTCATTCACTATTGATAAATTCATGCTTCTCTGCTCTCATTGGTGATTCACAGCATATCTGGACATGAACATGATATTATCAAGACTGCCCAGGCAGAAAATCTTACTACATGTTGTTGGACGGCGGCTGAGTAAGGTTTGGGCCATGGCTTTTCAAGAACAGGGTCGTAGCCGCGACTAGAAATCTCTTGAAAGTCCTCGGGGGTATATGCAAAATCATGCACCGCGAGCTTGGATTCTCGGGCAGATGATACAGTGTAGAGGCTTTAGGAGAGTGGACTTTATGCTGGGTTTTGATCAGATTGCATGTGCATTGAGTGGTGTGGTTGATATTCTATATCGAAGGTGATTTCTAAGGGTAAGCTGACCGAGACGATTTAGACGAGGAGGACAGATGAATATGATAACCGAGAAGTGAGGACGGAAAGGAATAGACGGTCAAAATTGTCAGTATGAGGAACTAGATAGAGATGATCACCAGAGGCACGAATTAACGTGTCTCTGGCTGAAGCATCGTGACATCTAATCCAGCCGGCGGAAAACACCAGAAACGAGTCTCGTGATGTACGCACGTAGACTCTGAGGAGAAATGAGGAAAGTCATCAGATGAAGAAGATGAATTCAATTGGAAGGAGGCAATCAAGGCAAAGATATCAATCGTTCGCTCCTGCCGAAGTGTCTAACTCCGAAGGGCATTAATGATATTGAGAATATAGAAGAGTGAGAGTTGCATATGAAGATCAAACGTACTGATAAAGGAAACCACCCTGCAAAACAACCACAAAGGTTGAGAAGGAGATGAAAAGTGCAGTTGGTGAGAAGAAAACAGGAGCCCGTAACTCTTTAGTCACAAGACGACATGGCCGTAGGATGTGAGCTCTTCTTTCAGAGACACGCGACAGATTAATGACAGATCTGCCGACTGAAGTAAGGAACTGATGTATAAAGGCGCAGCGGAACTGAAGATCGTGCGGTATACAATCGTTCTGGCACCAAGGCATATGGGGCCGATGCTGTCTGTCGGCAGTATCGTGTTCTCCTGCTACGACTTCGTGTATACGTGAACATCAACCCATCCAGTTATCAATCAGACGTGGTAGGCGGGTTCTAAAGCAAATCCTTCTCGCGGCATTTTCCTCAGCACGGCGCCCCATACCAATCCTTCCTCGCGTGATGTTCCTGACACCAGCCTCGATCGTGCATGGCAGGATCGCAAAGTAGAGTTTTCCTTTTTTTGTGGATCGTCGCTCTCACAGAAGACAAACAACAGGACAGATCTTCTTCACTGTGGTTCATTCTTATTCCCGAGGTCGTTCTCATCTTTCGGGATTCATCTGAAAGTTGCCCGTCGGGAAACTCGTTCGCTGCTGTACAGCCTACACTCGATGGTTTTACGGATGGGAAACTGTATGTGGCTGTATGTATTGCTCAACGAAAAAGTTGGTCAAGATTTGGAGGAATCTGGGATTAGTGATAACGTGGTTACATGTGGCAAGGTTCCGACAAGGAGCTTCTGTCGGAACCTTGTCCTTGCCGATGGGAATTGTCAGTGCGGCGCTGTAGGATTTCCACGATGAGAAAATCCTCTCGGGAAGCTATGAATAATTGCTCCTCGCGAATGTGTCCTATTCTGTATAGAGATTCACGCTAGGAAATAGTCATGGGTGAACGAGGAAGTTGTGAGGCAAGATAGACTTTCAAGATGTCGAGGTCATCAGTGTTTTCTTGATTTTACGGAGCATGTTTGAGGTTTGATAAAGCATCCTAGCTTTAGGCTGTCTCGCTGACAGAATTTCGTCCCTGGCGCTTTCGTGTGTTAGATTCGCGGATCCCACGTGTTTGGTCACGGTGACCGGAGCGGTCTCCATAGTTTTCCAAGGCTTTGATAGAATGTGACCAGAGACAGCCCCCTTAGCAAGCTGAAAGTACGGCTCAATCGTGGAAGCGATCTCACTACAGTCGCAGCACATGAATTGCCATATCGTTTCCATGCACATTACTGCTCGACAGAACAAGCAGTGATCTTCGTTTGACGAGCATAAAGTGTTTCCAGCCTCATCTCGGCAGATAGCAATGTGGTAGCTCGAGACTTGGACAACCATGTGACAGCCATCTCGCTTGAGACATCTAACCTTCTTCAAGATACGAACGTATATTTGCGCCTCACCGTCCGCTCAGCACCGCCTCAAGACCTCTGAGGTGCTATGGTGCCAGGGGTTCGGCGCCATCTAGAGAATTAACTCTTACCTCAAGATGCGATGGCCCAAGGCACACATTGATCCGATCGGTTTTGCCAACTTCTTCGCCGACACCCCCGAGCTCACCGAGTTTACCGAGTTTCTCTTTTGACTTTGACAGCACCCACTGCTGCAAAAACCTGCATGAAGGTCAACTTTAACCCTGAATACCGCGCAGTACACGATTCTTGGCCTTTTGGATTAGTTTCTGGCTAACAATATTCGAGACTCTGCTTTGCAGCCTTGTGTGCTGTACAGCTCAGCCCTCACACGAGACTGGTTTAGCGCTTCTCCTGCAGCATGCAGTCCGCAGCCGACATCATTTGACCGTCCTGCCACCTGTTCAGAGACCTTGATGGTCTATGTCTTGTGGCGACCATCTGCTTTTCACGATGTGATCCATAAAACAGGGAAATGTATATGTTTTCAAGAGTCAAAAACAAGCGAAGAACAATAGAAGGGAAGAGCAAAAGCATCGAACCAAACGGTGAACTAGCGAGGAAAGACCCAGCCAAACGTTCGGCCAACTTTCTAGGATGTGATCGTTGTCGTTAAACTGATCTGCAAACTCCTCCCCATATGCAGCTAGGTTTTTGCGATGTCAGCGAGAAGATCCCACACTATATCTTGGTCTCGATTCACGATTTGTGAGCATGCAACGAATTGTGCATACAGCCACCATAAGTGCTAGAATCATAGATGTGGCGTGTACCCATACAACAAGAGCGACTGATATGAAGGAGGACACTGATATGAGGTTCCAACGTTGGAAGATTGCACGCTACGAAGTTTTGGTTCTCAGCCCCAAATCTTGACAGATCTGGGGGTCGGCCTTGGCATGAACGACAATCATTTCATCCAGGCATTTCGTTCAATGATTTGACAAATTGATGGGCACACCGCGTGGATATGCTTCGCGACCGTCGTTAGCAGAAAAAAGTAGGGTCGACTTTGTAGGAAGCTCTGTGATTATGTGTTTGTGTATGCATAACTCGGTCGGAGCAGAGCGTGAGCCTCTGAGCGGCGCGTCAAGCTGACTCAAACAAGGACAATAAAGCTAAACGCATCCTCAAAGGAAGGGCCACAAGATTACTGATCGAGGCGGGTGCCGGATAAGCATGACGGTGCTGCATGGGATTCGTCCAATGGCGGCTTTTTGGGAACGCGTTCCGCCGCTCGAGCTCTTCTTGGCACGCGAATCGTGCTATTGGTCATAAGAAATGCAGGTAGAAATTGTCTTGATCGATTGCCTGTCGACTGTGACTAGTGAGTTGGTCCTGGCTGGTCGTACATGTCCTACAGGCCATAGACTGTGAAGGGGAAAGAACAATAAAATTGAAGATCCGGAGCGCCAATCGTAGGAGTCGTTGGAAGTGTGTACCCCACCCCATTGATTGTCGAGCACGCCAGCGGCCTTGACAACCGTATCGTGACCTGGTGAATTCAATCAATGAATCGTGGATATGAACAGCCTGTGAGAATCGTAAAGAGGAGAGTTTGAATTGTGTAAACCGGAATGCCGCCTGCATCGAGGCGCGTTGCCTTCTGTTCAGTGCTCAACATTCCCAATCAAAATAATGAAGGGCGGTTTTGCAATTTCAAGCGGGGCCTGCACGCCGACGGCGTCCTCGGCCGCCGCCTTCAGGTCGCTGGGCCAGAACCTCTCGAAGCAAAGGATCGTCCTTATCTTTGTCCACATGGTGGACACGAACATGCCTGCGATAAAAGTAATTAGTCAAAGATTCAACCCCTCTATTCGAGGTGACGCACCTCTGAAGATTGTCCGGTCGAGGGTATCTGTGTTCGCGCAAAGGACAGAACGGGCACACATAACCAGGACTATCGTGGACCAGTCCGTGTCGAATCATTTCGTTCTTGCGTTTGAAACCCTTGCCTCCTTCGCCTCTAGGACAGCCTTTGACTGGGCAGTAGTGTGGACGACTTGAGCTGTGAACGTTCGCGTGGGAACTGTAGAAACCGTGAGAAGGATGCAATGAGTGCGCAATGATCACAACTTGCTTACTTGAGGAGATATTGGGTCTGAAAAGGTGGAGCAGCGCAACCGGGATGGTCGCAAAGGAAGCCTCCAACTGCCGATGTCGAGCTTTGCAAACGTGGCACTGAAGAATGTGGTGTACCATCTAAAGAGGACTGGGTAGATCCGATCGGAGTGGTATGGCTGGTGCTGTGACCTCCAGTCCCTAAGCTCTGGTGGCTCTGCAGACTGCTCGTGGTATCCGTAGATGATGCAGTTCCCATAGAAGACGAAGTCATAGAGGATATGAATGGTGGAGGTCTGACGGGCTGACCTGATGTGCGCCTGGAATTGCCGTGGTGTGGTACAGAAAACGAAGCTGGCGAATGTGAGTGCGCATAAGGTTCATGGCCGTCAGTCCGGGTGTTCGTAGGTGATGGGTGACCAAGCATCATGAAGTTAGTAGACGGACTGGATTGCTGTGATTGAGGGAAGTGTGCGTGGGAAGCTGCCGCATTCTGTGCAACGATTTGAGTGGCATACGCGGTGAGAGCTGGCAGTCCGGTTGTTCTTGTATCAATTGACTCTGTTGCACTGTCGGCTATCTTGCTCAACTGATGGAATGAAGGGAGAAGTCTATCACTCCTAGGTGGGGAAGCCGCGTCCTCCGTTGTGTCCTCAGGACGTGGTGGAGGGTACATCGAAGACGAAAGAGCCCCAATGGAATGAACCGATTGCGCTCTTTGAGCCGGTGAATCCGTGATGGCGCGTTCGAGATAGCTGTAATCAGGCATCGAGGTGGTATTCGTCATGGTGCGCAGACTGAGAGTTTTTCCATTCGAGACTCTCTCCGTCCATCTATCCACAGAGTGATGTGGGTCCTGGGAGAAGTTGTGGGAGAGCTCTGCGCGAGGCTCCGGAAGAGACATGTATCCCAATGCAGGTGGACGTTGATCGGGTGGTGGCACATTTCGATCTACGAAATCATGCTCCGAGGTATACAAGATGCTAGGCCTTTTCGCAGGTGCGCCCTGTGCATATTGCTCGTCAAGTCCAGTCATTTGATGCATCGGATGGTCGAGGTGGTCGTCTTCTGAACAACGTTGCAGTCCAGCTAGATTTTGTCGTGATCCAGATAAGCTCGTGGCGAGTTCGAGCACTTAGCAGTAGTGTGAATTGCTGCGGGAAAGCGGCCGCAGTGTTTCTTGGTTGGGTATAAAGGATGTACAAGTCAGGACGGCTGAGCGTCTATGTGCTGAAGAAGATGTTTCAATGCATAAGCTAGTATAGCTGTAGCATGCGATGTCTGTTGGAGGCTCTGCAAAAGTTAGTGACGTGGTTGAGTGTAAGATGCGGTGCATTGCCAAAACTGGGGAGAGCGGTAAAGCAAGCTCAGTAGTGTAGAGCAGGCTCCGAGTTGATGGATGACAGATTGGGAGTGCTGCGCCCTGACTTGAGAAAAACAGTCTGTCATCGCATGTCACGCAAACAGTTGCGAAGACGACCAATGCAGCGGCTAAGTGTGTGGCTTGGTCTAGCCTCTCGATGGCCTTCATTTACCGATCAGGCGTCGTAGTGGATTTCTGAACGAAAAGTGTCTTGACACATTAAGATAGTGTTGTACGTACCAGAGCATGGATATGCTTGCGCGTGACAAGCGTCGTGAGCACCAAAACACGACCTACCCTTTGGGCGGCGTGCCTAGTATAAAGTCTAGCAGTGACCAAGCTCAATGTGTCTATACGAAGACTGGACGTGCAATGTATTTCACCAGTATGTTGATGCTGGTGAGTCGCGAAACACCAGCCGTGGTGTGGGATTCAGTCGACAGGTCAGGACTTGGAAGCAAGAAAAGCTGGAGGGAAAATCTCTCGGCAACCACGCCTGGGGCACGCGCAACCAGATAATATTTTCAGATGATAGACAGCTTCCTGCTAGTTACAGGATATGATGATAGATGGATAGTTAAGAGAAAATGATCGAAACGTGACCCGGAAGGTGTCAGGAACGATGACAAAGGTAAAGAAAAGAAAGAGGTAGGGTGCGGTAGTAACCGTCATATGGGGGGACGGGTTGGCAGCAGACAGGAAACTAACAGCGCGCCGCGGAACCGGTCGCATCGCCTCAGATGGAAGTGAACCAGCTCACCTCCCAGCAAAGACGGGCGCTCGATCCGAGGTGAGCTACAAAGAGCCTCAATCAGCTTTATCACCGCGATTCTGCCGGCGAGCCTCTGACCATGCAAACGTAAATCCTCATCCTCTAGTTTCAGCCCCCTTTTGGGTTCCCAGCGGCTCAGCCTCTCATTCCTCGACGAGGCATTTTTGCGGCTCACAGGCCGCCATTGTCCACTGTCATGGAGCACTCTCCTTGACCTGTCATTCGATGGATGTTTTAAACGCGCGATCTGCTTAACCGCCAAGCTTCCTGTAGGCTGTAGGGCGTGGGTCTAGACCGTCCAGTGCAAAACTGAAAATTGGTTGATCTTGAGGCCCAGAAGCTTGCTTCGAGTCGTATCCGCTCGCTGTCTTTCTGGTAGCATCCTTCGATGATTATTGTAGAATCTGTGGTACTGATTTCTGCTCGGTTGTCATCTCTGGTTAGTGGTTGCAGAGCACATGTAGCTATAAGACATGGCCAGATGGCGACGGCTGCCGATAGTTCGTTCTGTGCGCACGCGCATGCTGCAAGCAGATCTTGGTGTGCCGCGAACAACGCAAACGGCTTACCCATGCATAAACGCATCCTTGCAGCCCCGGTGCGCCGCTGAGAACCCTTAGTTGATTTTTGGAGTACGATCAAGATGGCTCATGTTTCACCGCAAAACGTCCAAGGAAGTCACAAGTGCACGACCGCCGCGGAGTGAACCAAAAGGGTATAGTCTGCTTTCACGTAGCTTCAATCCAGGGTCTGTCTTGAACGACCGATGCTGCATGGCATTTCGCCTTCTCGTACATACCATCGGTAGAACCCTTATCCTGATAATCGATTGCACTTTGCGGCAACAAGAGCCTCATGACCCACTTTCGCAAGGGCTTGACTCTTTACCAAATCAGCAAATGCAAGCCTGTCTGTGGGAGCAGCAGTAGAGCCTCAATCAGCATTCGCTCCTTCCACGCCACCTCGAGATTGCAAAAAATGAAGCGCAAGGAACCGTTGTCCGAGGGCCAGGCCAGCGCGGCAAAACGCCCACGAGCGCGTGTAGAAGTTCCCGACTATCACGCGACCGCATCGCACACAGATGAAGTGACAGGACTGCCAATATGGCCAGCTCCAGAAGCCCAGATGAAGCAAGCTAGGGACATCATCCTTGATTGGTGATTTGCATCGAATCAGAATAGTCTTTGTTATGCTATAGCTGACACACCTTCTAGTGCCCGTTCGCAGAAACGGACCATGATCGTGCCAGACAAGGATGCAGATGGACTCTCGTCTGGTGTCATCCTAAGGCGTACATTGGTGCTTCTGGGGCTCAAACCCGATCTGATTCATGTGCATCTGCTGAGTAAAGGTCGAACGGTTCACCATGAGGACGAAAGGAAGGCTATGGCTGCCGTGTCCCCCGAGTACATATTTGTTCTTGACCAGGGCTCGCGCAAATCTGGGCCTCTAATAGATGCTCCCCACACCGGTTTGGTCATCGATCACCATAATGCTACGCCTGAAGACTTCCCGGAAGGATCTTTTTTTTGTACGGCAAACAAATCTCCACCAGTGGTAACGTCTGCTCTTCTGACCTTTCTGCTCTGCGAACCGCTTCACGATGGTGTCAGGGACGAGACCGACTGGCTATGCGTTGTTGGAACGCATGGCGATCTGGGGAACACCTTGAAGTGGGAGAGACCATTCCCTGATATGACACCTACACTCAAAAAGTACACAAAGAAGGCACTCAACGATGTGGTATCGTATGTGAATGCACCTCGACGGACAGCAACATACGATGTCAGCTCTGCTTTCGACGCACTTCTGACGGCTGTGCATCCTAAAGACGTCCTGAAGCATTCGAGATTACTCGCAGCTCGTCAAGAGGTCAATGCCGAAGTCGAGCGATGCACACATACAGCGCCCAAGTTCAGCCAGGATGGCAAGGTTGCTGTGTTCCGGATCAAGTCTGAGGCGCAGGTGCATCCAGTCATCGCAACGAGATGGGCTGGTCATCTCCAGAGTAAGGCTCTCGAGATCGTGATGGTGGCTAATGAGGGGTACTTGCCGAACAAGGTCAACTTCAGCTGCCGAGTACCCAGATGTGCCAAAAGCCGAGATCCACCAGTCGACATTATCCAAAGCTTGAAAGACTATGCCAGCTTGAAGTTGGTGAAGAATGAGGACGACGCTGATGCCAACCTACCCAATGGGTCTGAGATTCCGCTTCTGGAACGATTAGGAGACGATTTCGCTCGAGGACACGTGCAGGCTAGTGGAGGCATAGTCGATGTGGAGCAATTTGAAGAACTCATGCGTCTGATGCGCGTTGGAGAGAAGAAGGACAAGACAAAAGGAGCAGGTCCACAGAAGGGGAAAAAGGCAATTGACGCAGGACAGAGCAACAAACTAACGAGTTATTTCGGGAAGAAATAATGATGATGATGATGAAACCACGAGTCGACAATGGATACGATTGACCAAGACGATCCACTGTATTGTGGCGCAACCGTTCTGCTCATATGTCCGAGTACGATCGTCAGTGAAGATCGCTTCCATGTCGATCACCAAGTGTGAGGCATACAGACATACCTAGCATTGACTCTGATAAGACGAAAACAAGATGAGACAACACTTCAGGGGATGAAATTTCTATGCCGGTCCTTTCGAGTTAATATAAAACTGCAGGTATATCTTTGACGCCATGAAGGAAGAAAACAGAAGCGGAGGAGTAGGTATGCAGTAAAATTAGAGAACAAGACGCCCGGGCTCTGCCTCGAGGACCTGCTTCATACGCTCGAGGTACTCTTGTGCTCTCTTCTCGTCGCCCTTGGGTGCTGAGACACTGAACACGTTCTGAGCTGCCGCAGCGCTCTGTGCGGCTAGAGTCTTGGGTGCCTTCTTGGGAGCTGAGGGCTTTCCAACAAGGATGTCGAAGATATCGGCCTTCTTGGCAGCACGCTGGCTGGTGAGTACAGGTGCAACAGGAAGACCAGTGATCTGAGGAACGTAGTGGCCGCGAGAAGTCTTGGACGAAATCTTGTCAAGACCGAGGACAGAGTTGAAAAGCTCGTCAGCCGTGGGCTTTCTGTTCTTGGAAAGAGGAAGGTTCTCGTTGGCGAGCTCGGAAGCACGAGCAATGAAGGTAGAGAGAGGGAGGTTGATTCCGAGAGTCTCGTGGACGCGCTGTTGGGTTTGGAGAACGGCAGAGAGGGAGATGGGAAGGGCGATTTCAGTGTCAGGAATAGGAGCGGGCTTCTCGGCCTCGATGGGCTTGGTCTCAGCCTTCTTGGGAGGAGCAGCGAGCTGGATGTTGGAGAGGTCGAGGTGTGCCAGTTTGTCCATGCGCTTGGCCTGCTGGCCAGGGTAGTTCTTCTCAATCTTGCCCAGGTAAGCCAGAACGTCACCCTTAAGGAGACGGCCAGCGGGACCGCTTGCGGGGATCTTGTTGGCGTCTTCCTTGGTCAGGCCGTTTTGGAGGAGGAGGTGCTGGACCGAAGGATAGAGGGGGTATGTTTGCTTTCTGGCCTTGGCATCGGAAGAGCCGTGTAGTTGAGTGGCTCTGGTTGTGTCTGCGGCGCCTCCAGCAGAGGCATCGGCGTTGGGCTTGGATGATGGTGGGGCCTCAGCGGCACTGGGCGAGGATTCGGTCGTGTCGATGCCAGACTTGAGCTCCTCTTGCGGGCTAGGGCGATCCTTGCGAGCAGGCTGTCCAGCAGATGAGGACGACTCCTCGGCGGGGATCTCGAGGGAGGCCAGGTCGTCGCCCTCCTCAGCCAAAACGGCAATGCGCGAACCGACCTGAACGGCCTTTGCGCCTTCGGCAACGACAATCTTTGCAAGGATACCGTCCTCCTGGGCCTCGACGTCCATCTGGGCCTTGTCGGTTTCGATCTCCAGGATGACATCTCCAGCCGAGAAGGAGTCGCCTGTACAGCTCAGCTTCAGTAGGCGTAGTCGGACGAGGACCGGATTAGCTGCTCACCTTCCTTGAGCTTCCAGCTTGTAATGTTGCCCTCGGTCATGGTGGGCGACAAGGCGGGCATGGCGAAGTTCTGGGCAGCACGGTTGGCCACGGCGACACTGAAAGCTGCATTGGCTATGTGTTAGACAGGCACATAGAGAAGGACTTGTCGCTGATGAGCAGCGAGGGGCTGGGAACTCACGACGACGGCCATGTCTGCCAACGACGGCAGCAGCGAACCTGCAAGAGCTGGCAAAGGCGACCATTGTCACTACGAGATCCGACGGCTTTTGGGTGACAGCAACAAACGACGACAACGACAGATTGAATGCTGCTGCACAGCTCTCAACAATAACCAAGACCTCCGATGGGGACTCCGACAAGCCCGAAATTGACGGCCCGAACTTTTTTACAAAGCTTCAACCACTTCCGCCGACCAACTCCGACTCGACCCTCTCAATCCCGGACGACCTCGACAAGTCCGCAATTGCTGCGAAACTTCCCCATGGACCTGCCTCAGCGTCACACAATCGAATGAGGCAGTCGCTCTGGAGGTCTTGCTCGGTTGCGCCTTCCCCTGGGAGCTGCTTCTTTCCGTCGCACCTTCCGACTATTCTGCTCGTAGTCTTTGTCTCTCAGGATCTCCTCCACCTAGATTCAGTCGCATGGCACAGCCTACCTCCCTTGCTGCGGTTCCTTGTTGAAATATGGACGTCCTCCATCGGCCATCAGAAATTGGTGACCCTGGCCTGCTTGAAACAATCTTGATAACCGCCCTTCAAGATACGCGCCCGTCGCGCAAACCACTGACTATATCATTCTTGACATCACTCTGCCACAAATAGCTTGAAACAGGCGCGACGCTTTTCCCAACCCGTTTCTGCAATCGCTTGATCCTCCTGCTAGACGCGCTCGTCCTGGTAGGCTGTTCTTCCACCACGCATGCTTGCTCGACCTCCGGCGCAGAAGCGCTCAAATCATGTTGGCTGTTCCCGGACGACCGCCTACCAAAATAGGACTTCCTGAGAGCCTTACTATCAAAAGGTGCAGGTGTTTCAGCATTGGTAGGATCTACGCTCAATTGGCCATCAGGCCAGGCACCATACCATGACCCCAAGTATAAGTTCATCTCTTGCGCATGCCTTTGAAATATCAAGTCATTCTCGCATCGTGTTAGTCATCTCCACCTCTACTTGCCCTCCTTACCGTCTTTCTATTTTACAGGTTTCTTAACCTTAATCTTCTATTACAACGGGTCAACCATCTCTCTCGATTCAGTACCATCCTGGAACTTAAATCAGCCCTTCAAGACTTCGCGTATTGCTCATGAGATGCCCAAGACCAAGCGAATACCGTCAAACCTCCGTCAATCTCCCTTCCCTGTAGCACAAGCACCCCAATCCGTATCTGCAGAACCGCAGGCAGGCAATAGACACACGGCCAATTGGAGTTCTGCTGATGATGAGGTCCTGGCCGCTGCTAGAGCAGCTGGTCTCAATTGGCAATCTACAGCGGCAAAGCACTTTCCCAACAAGACGGCAAATGCTTGTCGTAAGCGTCACGAGCGACTGGTTGAACGCCGAACCCACGAGGACTGGACCACGAAACGACTGGACAATCTCGCAGTGCAGTACATGGAACTCAGAAAGGACATATGGGGACCATTGGCGGCCAAAGTCGGTGAGCGTTGGAATGTAGTCGAAGCAAAGGCAAGTTGAGAACGCAAGCCTCGTGTAGACAAGGAACTTCCTAACATGCTTACTAGTGCATGGAGAAAGGCCTTAGAAATCTCCAGTCACTTGCACGTACCGCTCGCAAGACATCTGCTTTTAGTGAGGATCTCCCTGCCCCAGACAAGGAAGAGCACGAGGGCGATTCTGGCATCGGCTGTTCAGAGGCTGAAACGGAGCCAGTCGATGTTCTTAGCAGAGATGGCCAGCCTTCTACGGGCTCAACATCAGTCAACGTACTGCCACCTGTTGGGCTTTTGGCCAATCAACAGACCGCAGTGTATCATATCCTGCCCAGGCCTCCGCCGTTGCCCCTCTATCATCCTCCACCAAAAGTCCCTGCTCTTAACATTCCACGCACAGGCAGGTCTCTTTCCACAGGACCGTCGTCCAGCAACGATTCTGCACAGCGAGAACGAACACCAGATAACCCAACTCAACGGAGTGTCAGTATCAAATCGATGCTTCTGCACACGCCGCAATCTTGAGCACCTAGAAGGGTAGGATTCCAGTACGAATGATGTATGATTGATGAGCAGCATTGCTAGGCGTTGCGGATTTTGTTTGTTACTTGATTGATGCATGAATCACGAAGGGTAGTCTGGAGTCGAATGTTTGTTTGAAGCGGTTTTAGTGTAGTCGTCACGTAGGAGGGAGGTTTGACATGTATAGTCGAGAAAGAAGACTCGGCAATGAACAACCGAGCTGTTTTGGTAATCAGCCTCATGGGACATCAGGCTGATGTGTATATCGCAATGCCAAGATGATTGACGTATCTCGGAACTAGGCCGCTGTCGGCGACAAGACCGGGTTCCCTTCCAATTGCGTGTTGTCGAGATCGATTTTGAGATAGAAGTTCTTTTACATATTGAATCGTCGACGACTCTTGTGGCAGACGTTTGTCAGCTTACGTGGAAGGTGGTCAGGACACATGCGAAAGCACCTCGCAACTCGATGAGAGCCTGTCAATTGCCGGGGCTGAGTCTACAGACGACTAGCCCCCTGCTGCACGTCTCGCGTTCGACCTTTGTTTCTACCACTGCGAAGACATTGCTTAAGAGTCAGCCCTCCCGCATCATCGTAACCTCCCGCCCCCGACACAACTGGCCTCTGCTCAATCACCGCTTACCGACTCGGCCATCTTCATCTCCGTCACTCTTTGCCGGCTCGAGCTCAAACACCATCACTATGGAGCAGACTCGAGGGCACTTCGGCCACTCACACCATGGCCACCACCATCACCACGACACAACCTTCCTGACGAGTACCGACAAGAACGATGCTGGAGTTCGCATCACGCGAGTCGGTCTTTTTGTCAACCTTGGCATGGCCATTGCAAAAGGAGTCGGCGGCTACGTCTTCAACTCCAAGGCGTACGTCCAAGTGCCATGTGCTTGCCATGATCGATGCTGACACGCTATCCATGCAGTTTGTCAGCCGACGCCATCCACTCCCTCACAGATCTCATCTCCGATTTCACCACCCTCGCGACCGTCTCATACTCATTACGAGCTCCCACAAGCAGATTTCCGACCGGCTATGGAAAGATTGAGTCTCTCGGTGCACTCGGTGTATCGGGAATCCTTCTCTCGGGCGGCATCATGATCGGCCTGCAAGCTGTCATGGCCCTCGCACAACAGTTCTTCCCGGACATCGCACACATACTTTCTCACATTGGCATCTTCGGCCACGGTCACAGTCACAGCCACAGTCATGGAGTCGAGGGCATGGGCGTCAACATCAACGCTGCGTGGCTGGCGGCCGGCAGTATCATCATCAAAGAGTGGCTATACCAAGCGACCATGAAGATTGCAAAAGAGAAGCGCAGCAGTGTCCTGGCGAGCAATGCATACCACCACCGCGTCGATAGTTTGACCGCCGTCGTTGCATTGGCCACTATTTGCGCCAGTCACTTCCTGACCAACGCCGCGTGGCTCGACCCTGTGGGTGGTCTCATCATCTCAGGCATGATTGTGCAAGCCGGATACGGAAACACCAAGGCCGCACTTCTGGAATTGGCCGATGTATCCATCGAAGACGAGATGAAGCACAAGATCGAGAGCGCTACATCACAAGCCCTAGGAGACTTGAAGCTGCCCACCGAGTCGGCTCCTCAGGTTCAGGGCATCAAGAGTGGCCAGAACTACCTGATTGAGATTGCCGTCACCGTACCTCCAACCTGGACACTGGAGCAAATGACCGAAGCCGAGAACAACGTGCGCGAAAAGGTATCTTCCGCCGCCCAAGGAATCAAGCGTGTTTCGATTCGCTTCACCAGCTCCGACAATGCTGCCGATGCCTTCGCAAATGAGTTTGTTTCCTCAAAGAACGCGACCAACGAACACGACCACGATCATGAGCACGAGCACAGCCACGACGATGGCCACAGCCACAGCCATGAACCTGCACAGGAAGGATCCAAGGCAGGACTGAACAAGAGGAAGTGAACAGACCATACTGGCATTAGATGATCAAGAACAATATACGCAGCACATCTGCGAAGAACCACTAGATCCTATCGCCAAATGTTTCGATCCTCTTCGCCCAAGCAGATGTTCGCAGGGCGAATGCAAAAGACCGTGTGAAGATAGACGGTAGAGGAACAGAGCATGTCAAGGCAGCGTTGGAGACCTCGCGAAAGTGAGCATACATGTGGACCCCTAGAAGTACGACAAAGCTCGTAGATACACAGCTTGGTAACAATCTGAACAAATCACAAATGATGAACATATCACCACAAAGCACATGCATGATCTTCACGGAACAACATCGATCCCGTTAATGATTTGAAAGGGTTGTATACGGAGGTTGTTTCTTCTAAGACGAACTACTCTTTTGCGTCTACAATTTGAGTATAGTGCTTTATGTACAAACGAAGCGCCACTCCGCTTTGCAGCGGTTTTGGCAGGGTGTGCGGCTCAATTCATATATTCGAACATGCAGGGTCGACAATCTATGCGGCTCCGGGCTGCACGATTCGGTGGAAAAGCGGGCGTGAGCTTGCGTGATGCCGTGGGCGAGTGGTCTGGCGCTGCTGGTATTAGTGGTGACTTTGGAGTTTTAATCTCTAGTGCACCATAGTGAGAGTGCGTGCCTTGATAAGACGCGGCACGGATAGCGACTCCCAACTTTTACTGAGAGTCTTGCGCGAGTATAATTTACAATCACCCTTGGGCATGCAGCACATGCCGGAGTTTGTGTGATGGCACGCGAAGCCGGAGTGGTGGAGATGTGATGGCTTTGGCGTTGGATAGAGAATGCTCAAGTCGGGTCTGACTCGGCAGCAGTCTCGAGTTGATAGCCTTCGTTTCTCTGAACAAGACTGACATAGTAGTCAACCAAAACTTCAGGCTTAGGGACAATGCGCCATTGGACCTTTTCCAAGAACTCCATTTCCAGAGTCGCCAGTTCGCTGACACTAATACCGCCGATTCTCGCATACGTGGGGTTTGTCCAGAAGCTATCGCTCAGACCTTTTGCAGCAACAGTGGCAGCTGTGATGAGGAAGCGATGGACAGTAAGGGAGCTGATGGTGAACGCCGGATAGAGCGAACACAGGCGATCGATGTAGTAAACAACCGAGAGAAGAATTGGCGGCGAGAGAGTAGCGTGCTGAATAAGACGCTGAAGATAATCATGGCAAGAGATACCGGGTGGAGCCCTGAGTGATCGGTCAGCGTGCGTTTACCTTGTTAAGGTCAACTGAGAGAATTACCTCGAGTGGAATCTAGTCAGGCGGCCATTCAGAGGGATCTTGTCGTTGAGACGAATTAGCTCCATAAGCATGTTGCCGATCAAGAAGCCCAGATCCTTGACGTTGCAGGTCTCGTATTTGAGTGGCATGACCTTGACCATGGGATCCGGCTTGGTATCAGAGTCCGGCTGGGTGCGAGGCTTCTTTGTGAGCGAAGGGGATAGAGATGGGTCCTGGGCGGCAGTGCCGCTGGGTTGAGCTGATGGGTCGGCCATGTTTGTATGGATAGAGCGTTCAGGGAGGCTTGTCTCGGGACCAGAGGCTAATGATGGTGCGGGCGGAGACGAGCCTCTGCGTTTACTGCCAGCGAGTTTGTTGGCGGTTGGTGGATAGCCTTCGGGAGTATACTGGGTGGCAGCATCGGCCGTCATGGGTTTCTGCACGGGGGTGCGGGCATAAGAAGAAATGGGTTGCAGTGCCGGCGACGAGGTGGGAGGGAGCCGGGACGCGGGACTTTTGGGTGAGGGTCGGGGGTAGCGTGCGTGGAAGGCGGCACTGGGCGAAGGGGAAGCCAGAGCCGACATTTAAGGAAAGATAGGATGTAGAAGTTGTGATTGCTTTTGTTCTTGCAGGCACTGCGACGATGCGCGGGCGTGGCGCATAGTTGGGCAGGAGGGCGGAAGCGGGAGAGCAGAGACGAGCCCGGAGGGCAGGAGCGAAGAGTAAAGAGGAGCGTCGAGCGGAGAGCAGGAGCGAAGGGCAAAGAGCGAGCAGCGTCGTTGACGGGCGAGCGAATTGGGCAGGCGCAGAGCAGAGTCTTTTGCAGCGAACAGTCGGGATGTTTCAAAACGTCTTGTTTAGTCTGCGGTGTTTCGACGACGGCCAACCTCTCTCTTCACCCACGTGCCGGATGAGCCTTCAGACTTGGCATCGCCATCACGTCATGCCGGCCCTGTAAGTTGTCTCTCCCGGCTGCCGAATGCTGGAGTCGCAAGGCCAGGAACAGCAAGCAGTCGCATCACTCGTGCTTGCCCATCAGCCATTGCGAAGGATTAGCCTCTGGTCACTGGCCTTCGAACGCCATCGTCCATTGCTTACCCCTCGGTGCCCCGACCATCATGGTGCAGCCTCCGTCGCTGGCTGCTCTCCACGAGCTCAAGACATCGCCGCAACCATCGACCAACCAGCAATTGCGGCTGTTGCGCACCATCAAGAACGACATTGTCGGCCACGGCCAACGCAAAAAGCTTGTCGTCCGTTACGGCCTGCTTGACTGCCTGGCCCACACGCTGGCTACTTCCCCGGATGCCGACATTCAGCTGCAGACAAGTTTAATCGTCGCCAGCCTCGCTGAAGAGGGCGCTGCTTTTGTCGCTCCAATCCTCAGTAGCAACCTCGTACAGCCGCTGCTCTTATTCCTCTCTTCAGTTACTCCGTCTCCTGTCAACCTGGTCACAGCCTCTCTTCGCGCCGTCAATGCCCTCGCCGCCTCTTGGGTTCTCTCTCCCAACCCCGACCCGGTCTTTGTCAAACATGTCTTCAACAAGCACACACTTGCTTCCTTGCTCAACATCCTCCGTCATCCTCTGCCGACCTCAATCCAGCAACAGCACATTGCTTTGACTTCGACTCTGCTGGCAACGTGTTGTGGTCATGCTCATCATCTCGCCCCAACTCTGGTCCAGCATGGCATCCTGGATGCCCTCGCTTCTAACCTCGCTAGCTTTGCTCTCGCTCACCACAGAAGTGCTCACTCCATCTGCAACAAGCTCGATGCCACTGCACTTATCAATGCCGTCTCAAGTATCGTGCGCGACTCAACCTACCGAGCCCACCGTCTTATCTTCTCCGACGATCTGAGGCGCATTTTCTCCCAGTCCTCAAATGCCACTCCTTCGGACCCTTTGCACACTCCCGATTTTAGCCACCATCAATACCGCAAGTCCGCTCATGTTGTTCCCGTCGATGCCCTACTCCCAAAAGTCATGGTTCCTCTCCAGAAATCCCTTGCTTTCGGCCACCATGCTTTGATCAACTCCAGACTCTTTTCGGACCACTCTGCCACCAACGTGTCCGTGAACTCACCTATCTGCGTCTGGCTCATGTATCTTGCTCGCTCCCAACAAGACCCCAGCTGTCGTCTGGCCGCTCTCCGCCTTTTAGCCATTCTAAATGATGCTCTCGATGCAGACATCGCCGCTCCCCGTTCCGACACCCTCACCAGATCAAGAGAAAGAGAAAGACAGATGGCTTTGTTTGCAATTCCCATTGCTGTCAAGCTTGTTCAAGATTCATTAGATACCTCGTTTGGGCAGGACCTGTCAGTCGTCAAAGAAGACGCTTGCGCGGTTTTAGCTCATCTCATTGAGAATAGCACTGAGCTTCAGCAAGCTGCTCTGGACGCGGGCGCAGTCAAACATGTGTCTCAGTTATTCAGGAAATCATTTGATCCCATCACTCTTGCACGGCCAATGTGGTCGGCGGATTCTCACGCTGCAGATTCGCAACTACCCCCTAGCTTATCCGCTACACTGGGACCTGATGGTCTTGCTCCTGAAGTCATGCATGTCATGAAGTGTAGAGCAGGCGCGTTAGACGCTCTCGCCGCCATCGCCGAGAAAGAAGACGTCAATCGCAAAGCAGTCATCGACAGTGGTATCATCTCGAGTCTCATCGACTCGCTTGCGCCCATCAGCGCCTTTGACTCATCGACGACTCCTAGCAAGAACGGCAACACGGTACCGGTTCTGCTTGCAGCCTGCCATGCTGCTACAGCACTATCAAGGTCTGTCAGCCTACTACGCACAGCGCTTATAGATGCTGGCATAACCAAACCTATATATGCTCTCTTGGCTTTTCCCGACATTGAGGTTCAGATTGCTGCTACTAATGTCATTTGCAACCTCGTTCTTGAATTTAGCCCCATGCGCCAGGTGAGAACTTCTGCTCAACCCTCTGACCCACACATGCTGATCTTGCAGGATCTTGTCGTCGCTGGAGTTGTCACAGCACTATGTGAGCAAGCAAAGCGATCTAATTTCAAGCTGCGCCAAGCCTCCCTCTGGGCTCTCAAACACCTTGTCCTCAACTCTCCGAAGGATATGAAAGTCGAATGTCTTGAGCAGCTAGGAACTGGTTGGCTCATTCAGGCAGTCAATGGAACACCTCTACCGGGCCACTCGATGACTCTTGGCAGTAGCAATGCTGCAGGTGAACAAGTAGATCTGCTGAACGCGTCTGATATGATGGGTATGGACTGGGCCGAGCAGGATGATGAGGACGATGACGATGAAGACGGGGAAGTGTTGATGGATCATAATGGCACACGCTATCAATCCAGTGGGCTCAGAACAACGCTGGATACCACCAACCACAAAGCACATTTGCGCTTGCTTCGTAAGAACGAACACGATCCGACAATCCAAGCGAAACACGACGACATGCTGGTTCAAGAACAAGCGCTAGATTTTATCAGGAACTTGATCAATGGCGATGACAATGTTGCCATGATCGAGCATCTCAACAGTGTCCTGGGTGCAGATCGGCTCTTCGAGATGCTTCACAACAAACTCCGACCTGTCGTATACAGGCCTAATTCGCCACTTGACGCTCAGAGAGACACTGTGTATTCACCTCAGTCACAGCAGTCAAACACTGTGTGGCAGCCACCGGAGTTGATAAACGCTGCTCTGGGTGTCATCATCCACGTAGCTGGAGGATCGTCCAAACATCGCCAACAGCTGATAGCACAGACTCCACTGTTGACTGCCTGGCTACCACACTTCTCTCACACTGACCGTCGCATCCGCGTGGCGTCTGTCTGGGCCATCATTAACCTGACCTGGGTGGATAGTGCCGCTGATAGAGAGGACGCTAAAGCTAGAGCTCGTACTCTGGCATCATTCGGTATAGATGAAAAAGTTCGTGCTTTGGCAGAAGATGTTGACGCCGACACACGAGAAAGGGTCAAGACGGCTGTACGCCAGATCGATGAACTTTTAGAAGGCGGTCGATACCGATGACTCCTTGATATGACCTGAGGGTCAACAAGCACGAGAAACACGAAATACCTTGCACATACGTTACCAATAAACTGTATCATCCTGTATACCATCATCATTGCTCTCTTGAACGTCATCAGCAGAGTTGATATCGCGTCTCTTTTCGTATACACCTATCCGGAACTATGGTGCTTCTTGTTAAACTCATCTACCATTTTCCTAGCAGCAGTCACTATATCCACAGCGCCAGGGGAGTCAGAATGACAGCATAGCGAGACCTCGTTATCACCGACCGGCAGCTCGACTTTCTCTCCTGTAACTGCGATGACTGAGGAGTTTTCCAGCTGTGACTTGATGTGTGCTGCTGTCTCCTCTTGCGTCCAAGCCCTAAGTGCGTTGCATTAGCTCATGAGTTAGAGATTTGGTATTCGCATTGCTCTTACTTTTTCTTACGATCGATAACCAGAGTGCCATCCTTCGAGTATTTCACATCTCCATATAGCTCGGCAACGAACGGCAAGCCGAGCTCCTTTGCGACCTCCTCATGAAGGGTGCCAGCAAGACCGAAAACAGGCACATTCGGCGGGACGCCAGAGTAGACCGCCCGGCATACTTCACGGTCTCTGTACATCATGCCATAGAGCACCCCGTGAGGCTTTACATGATGTAGAGGTACACCCTCGGCATCCAGGAAGCCCTTCAAAGCTCCCACCTGGTATATGACCATGCTGGTTAACTCCTCTGCTGACATCTTAATCTCTCGTCTACCGAAACCTTGGATATCCGGTAGTCCGGGATGTGCTCCGACCTTGATGTTGTGTTGCTTGCACAGCTTGACTGTGGCCGACATTATCTGAGGATCTCCTGCATGAAAGCCGCAAGCGATGTTTGCGTGGTCGATGAGAGGGATGAGTTCTTCGTCCGGACCACATTTGAAGTTGCCGTAGCCCTCGCCTAGGTCTACGTTGATATGTACTTTCTTGCTGATTGGAGGCATGTATGTTGTGTTGCTCGTGAGAAGAAATGATCAATGCTCGAAACTTATGAGAAGCGACCGGATGAGTGGAAGGAGGGAGGATAGGACCTTGCACCTTCAAGTCCAGGTCAATCATGCCCATGTCATCAAGGTGGGGTTGTTTGGAGGCTTATCATCGATCGACATCTACCCCAACATCAATAATGTCAAGGTTGGCCCCTCATCTGCCCAGCCACATGTGGTCAGCCGACGATGAGGAGACCATGCAAGTAGGGGCTATATATTGTCCTTCTCGAACGTCAGTATGGTTGTTCTTTGACATCGAACAGTATGGAGAAGCTCAAGACTCTATTGATTGCCAATCGAGGTGAAATTGCGGTACGTGACCGGCTATATCACTTACCCCACACTCCTTGGCAGAGAGACATTGAACAATTACCTAACGAGAACATCTCTCCCAGGTCCGCATCACCAGGACAGCAAAAGCTCTCGGCATCCGTACGATATCAATCTACTCAGCAGCAGATGCAGCTAGCAGCCATGTAACAGCTGCGGATGAGGCTGTCTTGCTCACTGGCAACGACTCGACCGTATATACCGATGGCGAAAACATCATCGCAATCGCAAAGCAGAAGGGCGTTGACGCCATCATCCCTGGTTATGGATTCTTGTCTGAAAATGCCGATTTCGCTAGACAGGTTGCAGATGCTGGTATTGTTTGGGTAGGTCCAAGTCCGGAAGCAATCGAGGCATTTGGTGTGAAGCACGTAGCACGAGACCTAGCCGAAAAAGCTGGTGTGCCTATCGTACCAGGAACCAAAGGCCTTGTGGAAAGCGCCGAAGACGCCGTTCAAGCATCTGAGAAACTCGGTTTTCCTGTCATGCTGAAGGCAACTGGTGGTGGTGGAGGAATGGGCTTAGTGACTTGTCATAATGTCGACGAGGTCCGCTCTGGCTTCGACAAGGTACAATCGAGAGGCAAGACCCTGTTTAAGAACGCGGGTTTGTTCATCGAGAAGTACTATGCAGCCTCTAGACACATTGAAGTGCAAGTCTTCGGTAACGGCCAAGGGTCGGCAACACACTTTGGCGAAAGAGAATGCTCGATTCAGCGACGCCACCAGAAGGTCATTGAAGAATGTCCCAGTCCATTTGTCGAGGAACATCCCGGCTTGAGGGAGAAGCTCGGCAACGCGGCTGTCAGTCTTGCAGAGTCAATCAAATACGGCTCTGCTGGTACTGTCGAGTACCTCGTCGACGATGAATCTGGAGACTACTTCTTCTTGGAGATGAACACCAGACTTCAGGTCGAGCATGGCATAACCGAGCTTTGTTACGACGTTGATCTAGTACGACTCATGCTCGAGCAAGCCGATGCTCAGCTCAAGGGTCGAGGTGGACTGGAATCGGGCTCCCTGAAGCAGATGCAGCCTTCCTCGCCCAAAGGTTCCGCTATCGAAGTCAGAGTGTATGCAGAGAATCCTCTGCGTGATTTTGCCCCTTCTCCCGGTCTGCTGCAAGTTGTGTCTTGGCCAGAGCAACAGAACGATCGAGTTCGCATCGACACATGGGTACATACAGGCGCCACGACCACACCCAACTACGATCCCCTGATTGCTAAAGTCATGTTCCACGGACCGTCTAGGGAGGAAGCTATAAAAGGCATGCAATCTCTTCTTTCGTCATCCAGAATCTGTGGTCCACCAACTAATCTCGACTTCCTGGAAGAAATCATACGAGACAATCGTTTCAAGTCTGGCAAAACCTTGACAAACTTCTTGGACTCGTTCGACTTCCGTCCCGCTGCTATCGATGTTATCTCAGCAGGTGCCTATACTCTCATACAAGATTTGCCAGCTAGACCGACAGTCGGCAAAGGGATTCCTCATTCTGGCGCTATGGACTCGATTGCCTTCTCGCTAGCAAATGTCCTTGCTGGTAACGATTTGACTACAGAAGCTTTGGAAATGACGTTGAGTGGTCCCGAACTGCATTTTGTACGTCCGGCAGTAGTTGCGTTGACGGGTGCTCCAATGGATGCCCAATTAGACGGACACCCATTTCCTATGTGGCAGCGTTACCACATCAAAGCTGGACAAAAACTCAAAATCGGGAAGACGACAGGATACGGTTGTAGGGCTTATCTTGCGGTCTACGGTGGTTTCCCCACAGTAGCTGAGTACTTTGGATCGAAGTCGACTTCTCCAATCGTGGCCATCGGGGGTTATCAAGGGCGCCAGCTCGCACCTGGTGATCTGCTGGCTATCGTCGACGATATTTCTGACTCTATCTCTGGTTCAAGCATCAGCTTACCGAAGACCCTGGTGCCTGTCTACACTAGCGAGTGGGAGATTATGGCCATGGTAGGACCACACGATGTGGAATACCTGCTCCCTGAAGACATTGAGATGATTTACACGACTACTTGGAAAGTCTCGCATAATGCCAGTCGCAGTGCTATCAGACTGATTGGGCCTGTCCCCAACTGGGCCCGAAAAGATGGCGGTGAAGGCGGTGCCCATCCTTCGAACCTAGTCGAGTACGGATATCCTATCGGCGCTTTGAATTGGACAGGTGATGATTCATGTCTCTTCCCAGTAGACTGCCCGAACTTTGGTGGCTTTGTCTCCAGCACAACCGTTGTCCGAGCAGAATGGTGGAAACTGGGTCAGTTGAAGTCTGGAGACACTTTGAAGTACAAAAGGGTTTCCCTGGAAGAAGCACTATCTTTGCGCAAGCAGAATGACCAGTTCATCGAGTCGATCGAGAGAGCTGTAAAGAACAACAGCAGCCTTGAAGACATCACACCACTCAACTCCACTTTCGAACCGTCTGGCAACTTTGGCAAGGCCATTGTCTGGACAAGATCTCAGCAGGGTCGCCAGCCTCAGGTCAGGTACCGACAAGGCGGCGATGATCATCTCATTGTCGAGTACGGCGACGAACAATTTGATCTGAACCATCGTTGCCGAACGACAGCGCTCGAGAAGGCGATTCGATCTTCCGATCCTGATTGGCTCAACAATACTGTATCATGCTGCACGAGCGTCACACTTTTCTACAATGGCTTGAAGATCGAGAGACAGAAACTGGTAGCACATCTCCAAGGTCTGGAAGATGAGCTGGGAGATCTCAGTTCTGTCAAGGTGCCTTGCCGAAAGTTCCGCCTCCCGCTTTCGTTTGAGTCAAAAGCACAGGAGGAAGCGACGAAGCGATACATGGAAACGCAGCGTCCTCATGCGCCGTACCTTCCCAGTAACTTCGACTTCGTTGCCAAGAACAACGCATTCTCATCAGATCAATTGCGAGACATTTTCCTCAATGGCCAATTCATGGCTGTCGTTGTTGGCTTCTATGCAGGCAACACGGTATCATTGCCAGTTGACCCTCGCCAGCGAATGGCTTGTCCGAAAGCCAATCCTAGTCGAGTTTTTACACCTGAAGGCACTGTCAGCTGGGGTGGTTCATGCATGAGCATCTATCCAGTCGATAGTCCAGGTGGCTACCAGATGACCGGACGCACGATTCCCATTTTCGATGCATTAGGTTGGAAGGAAGGATTCTCTCCTTCACGCCCTTACCTCTTCCAAGACTTTGACTTGTTGACATACTATCGAGTCAGCGAGGAAGAGCTGGACGTGTTACTTGCAGACTTCCGCAGTGGTAGATACAAGTTCGAGTGGGAGGACATTGAGTTTGACATGGCCGAACATAACAAGTTGTTGACAGACACAGCAGAGGAAGTCAAAAGCATTCGTGCGAAGCAAGTAATCGCTCAAGCAGAGATGACCAACGCAGAAAACGAAAGCTTGACCAAGTGGAGAGAAGAAAAGGCAAAGAACAAGGTCGATGACAGCACAATCGAATCTTTGTTGGCTGGTGGGTGTCTCGAATCGTGTTAATCATACAACCTGCTAACAGCGACAGATCCCAAGTACACCACTATCGACTCGCCCGTCGCTGCGAACGTGTGGAAGGTTATGGTGGAAGAAGGACAGACTGTCAAGCCGAGTCAAACGATAGCGATCCTCGAGGCGATGAAGCTGGAAATCTCAGTGAATGCTCCACCAGATCAGAAAGCTGCAAAGGTCGAGAGATTGTTGGTCGCTCCTGGCGAGACCGTGAATGCGGGAGCCCGACTTGCGTTGCTGAAGTTCGAGGACTAAGAGCTCGAGATCCACGTGCAGGCACTGGATGTAAACTCTTTGCTTTGAGGAACTTAGTATGATACAGCTGTGAATATATGCAATGCTTCTGAAGTGCTATCTACGAAGAACATGAGTTATCGTATTTTCGAATGTGTTGGCTTCCCTCTAAAGCAGTAGCAACAGAAGTGTTGCACCTGCTCTTTTGGTAAGGTGACGCCTCGGAAGGAACGTCTTATCGTCAGCCGCGTACCTGGCGTAAGCACTACGGAACTAAACCCGTTGTCGACCCCTCAATATATGTATAGAAGGAATGCGTATCCCTCAAACAGACTTCGTCATAGAACTATACCGACTCACGAATAGAACATCCGACGATGGCAGAAACGGAAGCAAAGCAAACGTATCATGGAAACTGCCACTGTGGCGCTTTCAAGTTCTCCGTCGCTCTTGCACCAATCAAGAAGGCTGGGGTGTGCAACTGCAGTATCTGCAGCAGAGTAAGAGTGACTTGTATTATTTAATGCTTCCTATAGACACTGACATGGATGTAGAAAGGGTATCTCTTTGCAGTACCTGAGAAGCCCTCTGACTTCAAGGTCGAAGCTGGGGAGGGCACTCTCAAAACCTACACATTCGGTAATGGAGTCGCTGAGCACAGAGTGAGCAGTCTTCGCATGATGAATACAAGTTGCATGTTGCTAACATACATAGTTCTGTCCGACGTGTGGCTCTGGCATCCTGGTCGAAGCGGCGAAGCTCAACTTCCTGGCTGTCAACGTAAACCACCACTCTTTTCAGCGCGATAGTTTGATTCGATCTAACGCATACACCAGATAAACACCTTCAAGCATGGCTCAGTAGCCATCGAAAGCCTCGAGATCAGCACGACAGATCGAGCAAACATCGAACCAATCTATCGCCCATTCGTCCTCTCTCCAGACCAAACACCAGAAGTGCCTCAAGGACAGAAGCTATACACAGGAAGCTGCCACTGTCAAGCCATAAAGTACACAGTCGTGTGCGAAGACATCAAAGAAGTCCGAACTTGCAACTGCAGCTTTTGCTCTCGTGTACGTTTGCCATCTCCCTTCTTTGGTCCTCTGGACCGTTCACATTCTTCACTGACATGTAAGCAACACAGAATGCAGACATGTGGATCTATCCGCTTATCCCCTCCGTCAATCTCTTGGGCACAGAAGACAAACTTACCAACTACCTTTTCGGTCCCGAACGAGCATACCACGGTTTCTGTGGCAATTGCGGAGTCGACGTGGTCAACAGAGTAGACCTACACCCTAAATTCAAGGCTCCAGTTCGACCGATAAATGTGAGAACCATGAACGACATCGCACTGGAGGATTTGAAGATTGAGAAGGCGGATGGATGGTCACTCAATACTGGTCCATACAAAGCATATGATGTCTGAACACTTTGCAAGGGGAGAGATGTGCAAAGTCGAATTTGGATATCTTGGTGAAAAAATGGACATTATCTTTTATGCTAAATCATGACAGCATCTAATCTACTTGGGATTTAAAGAACTTTTGGACAAGGAGTTTGGAGAGACTTGCTCTGTATCCAAACTCTGTAGCTGTGCAGACGAACTCTTTCTACTGGGGGTAATCGGATCGGTCTTGACCAACGAATCTCTCCATGTCTTGAATCGTGTGATGAGACTAGGCTTCTTCTTATCGGCACTATTCACATGTTCGAGGTTCTGACCTGCTTGTTCTGCTTCTGCCTCGCGGACCTTCTCTTCGATAACGTCTTCTTCTCTCTTTAGTCCTTTGTCTTTGACAGGGAATGTAAGTAATAATGCTACGCCGACAGTGGCCGCGCAGAAGATGAACACAGTACGGCTTGCATCTGCATATGCAGTACTGATACTCGTTCGATCGGCAGCGCTGACGGTCTTTAGGTCAGGCACAGCGAACGTGGAGTCGGCGATATACTGCAGATGCGGCGGCAGACTCGATTGAAGGACATTGCCCGAGATGGCCGAGCAGATGGCCAAACCCACTGCACCGCCCAGTTGACGCAACAGCATTCGATTCGAAATAACAATCGCACGCTGTGACTTGGGACAATGTGCTTGCATCGCAGTATTGGTCGTCTGGAATGTGCAGCCAGCGCCAAAGCCGACGAAAATGATGAAGCAGCAAATATGGCTGATGGGTGAATCAGCATCGAGAGAGATCAACAATCCTGAGCCTAGAGTCCATACGACAAAGCCAATGAAGATGGTTTCGATGTAGTGGCCGATGAAGGACATGTATTGGCCTGCGAGGGCAGAGGTTGCGGATTGTACCAAGACCAGAGGGAGGATGAGGACTGCTGACTCCATGACATTGTAACCACCAACATTCTGGTAGTACAATGGCAGGTAGTATAACAGGGAGTAATAGTTCATGCCGAGGAAGAAGGACTGAACCAACATACACGCCACAGACGGGTTCTGCCACATCTCCAGCGGCATCATGGGTAGCTTGGCAAACTTCCACTCGACAATGACAAAGATTATCGCACAGATGCCGCCTATGACCAGCATGGATATGGTTTCTGCAGAATCCCAGGGTGTGCCGTGACCGCCGTCCGATATGGCAATGAGAACAAGGATGATGGCGACTGTGCTGAAGAAGAGACCAATCCAGTCGATCTTGGCAATGGTCTCCCTGAACTTGACTTTGGGCATGCTCTGTGGCAAGACCCATGCAGCGAGAGCGGCAGCCACGCAACACAGAGGTGCGTTGAGGTAGAACAGACCTCGCCAGGTCGAGTGCTGTGTGAACGCAGCGGCGATCAACGGACCTGCAGCATTACCGAATCCAATGAACGATCCAATAATACCTTGATATTTGCCTCTCTGTTGCAGAGTCACAACATCTGATATAATCATGTTGACCAGCGCGATAATGCCTCCGTTGGCGATACCAGAGATACCGCGGAAGACATACAGAACCTCTTTGTTGGGAGTGAGGCCACATACCAAGTCCGAGATAGCCAGCAGTATTATACACCCGACAAAGATTTTCTTACGTCCAAAGAGATCGGATAGACGGCCGTAGAGGACCTGGAACACAGTATTTGCGATTAGAGCCGAGGTGCCAGCCCAGGCGATCGTGTCGGCAGCATTCAAGTCTCTCGCGATACTGGGTAAAAGAACAGTGATGCCGTTTTGGTCGACATAGCATAGGAACATGCAAAACGCGAGGGTGAAAAATATGATCATGCGTTCCTTGAACGGCACAAGATTCGTTTGGTCATGGATGGCGGCCTCCAGATCCTTGGTGTCCTTCGCCATGGAGCGAGACTGTTATTTCCTGATCCCCCTCCGAGTTCCAGGAAAGCTTGTTGGATAAGATGTATAGTACCGATGATTGATTAGGCTTCACGCGACTAGACCGATGTCACGTTGCCAGCGATAGAGTGTCGGGAAAGGATAAGAGACTTTGAGTGACAAGTTTTGTAGATTGTCGTGACAAGGTAGACTTCGAGATGATTTGAACGTTCAGATGAGGTAGCATGTGTGGAATTCTTATGCGATTTAGCATTGAGTCATTGTGAGAGGGGTGCATCAACAAAATAAGGTGAAAGATGATCTGAAAGATAATTGCCGTTCAGCTGTGCCCGCTCATGACGGCTTGGATTTGCATTTTCCCGATCGGCGGCGGCGTCCTTGAGGGATGCCGCCGCCAACCACCTGCTGCACCAGAACAGACACAAAAAAGACATGAATAGCAATGAGTCATGAGATGAATAGCTCAATGAGAATCGTAGTCTGGTCTACTCTACTGCATGATTCTCCTGGTCCACGCCATCACTTTCCCACCGCAGTACTGTCGGAGGTTGGCCGAGATCTTGGTCGGATCCTGGCCGAGAAGTATTCTGAAAAAGGCCGAAACGCCGACCCATCTGTAGAAAAGCACCGTGCAAGGCTGAATACACAGCACCTAATCATCGTACGTCTCGGCGTACTCCTCTTCATACTCTTCCTGCGCCTCACGCAATTCTTCACGCTTCTCCTCCAGACTCTCGCGGTCGCTGCTCGACACTGACGATCCAGAACGAGTCTCGTCGGGCAGAGGTGCGTCATCGTACAGACCTGGCTCGTAGGCAGATCCGCCGTAACCAGAGGGCTGAGCGACCGGCGCGGGGGCGTTGTAGCCGTAGGAATCCTGAGCAGGAGCACCGTAGCCTCCGTATGATGGGTCGGGAACAGGAGCGTAGTTGGTGGGAGCTGGTGCATAGCTGGGTGCAGCGGCAGCAGCGTGCTTCTTCTCATCGTCCGAGTCGTCCAGAGCATCATGGATCAGTGCACCGCCGATAGCGCCTACAGCGAGACCGGCTGCGGCTCCACCAATGGCACCGCCATAGCCACTGCTCTTCTTCTCATCCTTCTTCTTGTCTTTGTTCTCGACGTCGCCATAGTACTGGTTGGCACGTGTATCATGCTGACCCTGAGGAGGAACAGAAGGCATGGCACTGCCGTAACTGTCGTAGAACGAGTTTGCCTGTCCGCGAGACTGATCGCCCTGAGGAGGCGCGGCGCCATACTGACCCTGAGGGGGGCCTTGTCCATAAGGAGCAATGGGCTGACCGTACTGGCCCTGAGCATGAGGAGGCTGGTAACCACCGTAGGCTCCACCAGTGGGAGGAGGAGGTGAGGAATACTGGTTCTGGGGAGGGGCAGGATGCTGAGGCATGTCCCACTGGGTCTGGCCAGTAGCCTGATTCACGTAGAAGAAGCGCTGGCTCTGTTGATCGAACTGCTGGACCCAGCCGGGAGGAAGCTGACCACCAGCCTGGGGTGGAGGGGGTCCTGAAGGTGCAGGAGCTTGTCCGTAGTGACCGGGGCTGGGCTGGCCGTAGGGCTGCTGTTGCTGAGGAGGGTACTGCTGAGGAGGGTATGACTGTTGCTGATGTTGGGCGTATGAGTTTGTAGAGGCGGGTGAGGAGTATTGGGGCTGAGTGACATCGCGTGTCTGCTCGGGCTCTGCACAAGAAAAGGTCAGTCACTGCAAGTCTGTGCAAGAGGTAAGATGAAAGACTCACTGCTCTCAGTGGGCTTTGCATCCTGAGCGGGCTGCGAAGGCTTGTCTTCCTTCTTCTTGTCATCATCACCAAACATCTCCTCGAACTCGCTCTTGAGTTTCTTGAAAAAAGACATTGCTGTTCTCTTCTTGTAGTGAACAACAAGAACGGAAGGTGCAAAGGAGAAGGAACGATCTTGACAATACGAACTTGGGATTCACGCAAAGGAAAACACGAAAAGTGAAGAGTGAATTCAGCAAAAGTAAACAACACCCCTCTCAAGCTTTATATATCCCACTTCCTATTGATCATCACATGCTGCTCCCTCTCTGGCTGCACAGGCCGCGAATCATCTAGAAACACCCAGGTATTCACTAGCTGTCTGCTCGGTGTCCAGCAACTTGCCAAGAGCCTACTGCTATGTGCTGTACATCTTGCCCAATCCACTTTCACGGGTTTCCCCTTTCTATGCAATTCCCGACTGGTGGACAATCACTCACTCTATATTGGATAGTCGTTAATCACTCAAAGTCTTGGCGGATGATGATTGCTGCCGCCAAGTCCGTGATATCCTGCTTCTGCTGCATTCCACTTGTCCTATAAGCGCTGTCAAGTGCAGAAGAAAGCAAAAGGCTTACGAATGCCTGCATGAGGGCAGGAAGCCACACAGTATGCAGCTCGCCGTTCATCTGTCGGAGCGGTAAGAAACATATCTCGATAGGTGTCCGCATATTGTATTTTTTTGAGATATGTGAGTGTGCCTGAGGTTTCTGGCCTTCCTTGCCGCTAGTACATGCGTCTCGGTCCGCTCCTCCGCGGCCACCGAGCCTCTCGTATTCGTACGGCTGGCACCATCTACTCACTCTCAAGGGTCATCAACCCAAGCTTGACCGGAAATTCTCAGACACATTGACACGGCAAGAACAAAGAGGCACAGTATATGGTAAATCTGGCAATCCCGGCAAACCAGGAACAACCCGAACGAGATTCAAATTCATCAAGTTCTATAGAAAGAAGTCTTTGCAGTGCGGACACAATCCAAACAACCGCTCACATCTAAAGTGTACAAAAAATGGTAATAGCAATCAAGAAGGTGAAAAATGGGTAAAGAAGCCGAACATAAATCATAGCCCGGTACTCCGATCATCAACATACTTTGTCTCAAGCGTATGCGGGCCGCTTAGTGGCGGAAAGCACGAGCGTGGCGGCGGTGCTTGGAGGCGGTCTTGGAGGCGTTCTCAGCGAAGAGGTACTCGACCCACGAGAGGAGGTCCTCGAGGGTGGTACCCTCGGGGAGAGCCTTGGTGGGCTTGGCAACACCAGCGGAAGCAGTGCCAGTGGGGATACCGGCAGAGATGGTGCTGGTGAGGATCGACGAGGGGATGGCAGAGGCAATAGCGGAGACAGCAGGGGCGGAAACAGCAGGAGCAGAAGTAGGAGAAGAGCCCTCGGTGACAGTGACAGCAGTGGACTGAGTGACAACGTCGGTCTCGTAGGCGGTGACAACGTAGTTATCGCTGCTGGCGGCAGCAGATGACACAACGGCAGCCTGGGTGGTGATAGCAGCAGCGCTCGACGAAGACGAAGCGGTAGAGTAGGTGGCCTCGGCAGAAGAAGTAGCGTAAGTGGACTCGGCAGATGAGGTGGCAGGAGCAGAGTAGGCTGCGGTGGTCTGAGCGGCCGAAGAGGCGGGAGCAGACGAAGCGGCAGCAGACGAGGCAGGGGCGGAACCCGAGCCAGAGCCACCAGTGTAGAGAGCAGGGCCGGGCATGTCGTACTCATCAGCCTGGAAGCCAGGGTAGTAGATGTTGACAAAGATGCCCTTGTCCTGGGCAGTGTACAGCTCGGTACCGACAACACCCTCGGGGACATCGGATCCAGAGCTCTTAACCTCGAGGTTGATGCACTGGGGGTAGTTCTGAGCACCACCGACGTTGTTGGCGCTGTGGAGGGCAATGATCTCGTGACGGGCAACGTAGTTGCCGGAGGCAATGCTGTCAGGAATCTTGACGTCCCACTTGAACTGGTTGGCAATCAGCTTGTCGGAAGCCCAGGTACCGGTGTTACTGTCTCCGGAAACGATACCGACGGCATCAATCTTGAACCACTTGAGGGAGGCCTTGTCGGCATCAGCACAGTCGCCGTCGCACTTAGCAAGGTAAGTGATGACGGGACCGTGGTGAGAGGTCGGCCAGGTGTCCCAGTTGAAGGTGACGGTGTCACCACCGTTGACGGGAGCAGCGAGCGCAGCGTTTCCGGCACCAGCGTGGCAGATCATGTCAGGGCTGGTGTAGTCGGAGACATAGCCGTTGTCCTTGACGGTGTCAGACCAGGCAATGAGGTCAGGCTTAGTGTTCGAGTAGAGGATGGAGTTGTTGAATCCAGCGTACACAGTGCCGGAAGCACCAATGCTCTGCAGGTGACCGTGGGCAGAGACGGTAGAAGCGAGGGTAGCCAAAGCGGCTGCGGCGGCGATCTTGAAAGACATGTTTGGTTGTTTTGTAGAATGTTTTCTCCAAGAGATTGCTAGTTGTACGAAGATGCGAAAGTGCGGTTGAAGTCGAAGTGTCAAAGGTAAAGAATGAAAGTATCCCAGCTGCAATCAATACAGGATGATACGGTGAAGAAAGAGTGTGGGTGGTACGAGACCGGAAATTTTGCACTGCAAAGAATGTCGAAGGCGATAGCTTAGGAGGAAAGAATAGAGAGTGTGTCTGGGAGACATGATACTTATACTTGAGGTGTGGGTCGCCTACTTTGGATCGTGGATACGATGTTTGGACCAAGACCGAGTCGTGTGGATGGACGTTCTAGCGGAGCCCCTGCCTTAGTGAAGTGGAGTCCATCAATGGTATAGTGCTGCCGCGTTTCAGAAGGCCGAACAACCATGTGGCGCTGCGCTACGACCACCGAGCCCAGACGTGGATCAGAGCACGCAAGAGACCGGGCTTCGCCTTCTTGACAACCATACCGTGGAGAGGCGAGGGCATGGTTGAGTCCTGTTCGTGTGTGTGTAGTAAATAGATGAACTCCTTTTGATGACCAGGGGTTGTGGTGGAAGCCGCATCTGAAACGCATGCCAAGTTCCGGAAAGCGGAGTCTCGTTCTGCTGCAGGAACAAAACCTTCTTCCTCGATGATCCCTAAACTCAAATCTCGAGCTCTGCTGTTGTCACTGTTGTTCTCGCACAATCGAGTCAGAGTCAGCCTTGTCGACCGCCGCGGTCCAAAACGGCCGACTTTGTTTAGGAGACTCTCAGCATTGCCGCAGTCAAAGGGGTGGGCCGAGAATACGAACTGCGGGTTGATGCTCAGTAACCTGCTGGCCGAAATATCCGCTCCCATATCCCTTTAATCTATTTCGCTTGTTGCGAGTTCTTGGGAACGCATGAAACCTTCGAAAATCATTATGGCGAGCACAAACGCATCCTTGCATATCGGTAGCCGTCCGGTGCAAATGATAGCGAAGGCGTGGGGAGCCGCATCTTCAAACATAATGGCAAACCTTGAAGACCAAGAAATGTTGAATGATGGTGGCTTGTGTTGTTGCTGCAATCATCCCTGTCAAGTCTCATGGCCTTTTGCATGGCATGCCTGATCTTCAATCAAATCGCATTGGCGCTTTATGCCAACACAAGACATACAGCCTCAACATTAAATCAGCTCAGCCTTGGTTAGGGCTTGACCTGAGTAAAAGATACTCGAAAGACGACAGAGTCGAGACAAAGCGCACTCATGATACGTAAAGAAGTGTATAACGATCTTGGTCGGCAGCAGCGACCTTGTCCTTCTTCGCGCCGACTTTGATGTACGACAGGCATGTGAGAGTCACGCAACATGAAAAATCACAGACTGCACGGGGGCAGTTGCTTTGTCGATAACCCTACCTGCATGAGCGCCAAAGCAATGAAAATCATTCAAGATTTGGCAATCTTGCGTCCAGCTTTTCCACGTCGATCGTACAATGTTGCACCGAATGTTTGTGTTCCTTTGAATCGATGTTTTTGTCAAGGAAGAGTGGATATTCCTGGAATCTGATGATCATGACTAATTTTAAGCTACTTTTCAAGCAGTGGGTATTGCTATTTACTATCATATGAAATCGCCTGCAGTTGGCCTTGCCCTTCCGCCAGCGCCTAGCAGACCCCTGCGACTGGGATGGATATCACTAAGATCCGTCTCGGCGCTCGGAGCAGCAGGCTTAGGGCCGCGGGCGGAAGCATTACTGGCTTTCCGTGCGCGACGAGGAGGCGATCTGGATCGTGATGCTTCTGGAGATGAGGTGTTACGACGGGCGCGGCGATCATTTCGGACAGGAGATCTTGTGCGCCTTGGTGGTGGCGAACGAGAGATAGACCTGGATGCAGAGCGTCTACGTGCTGCTCCTGCTCTTTTCGGTGGCGGAGAGCGTGAACGAGATATAGAGCGAGCAGGTGAGCGAGAATAGCTCTCCCGACGTCTACGAGGTGGTGTTGCTGAGCGTGAGTAGCTCCTGTCTCTCGCTGGGACTCTGCGATTAGGGGGTGAGCGTGAGCGAGAGTAACTTCGAGCTCGAGCAGCTCCACGAGCAGGAGGCGAGCGTGAGCGCGAATATGACGGCGAACGAGAGTCTTCACGAGCCTTGCCGCGCTTCGCGGGTGGAGAACGAGAGCGAGAGACAGACGACGTGTATCTTCTCCTACGTTCGGGCGTCCTTGAACGAGATACAGAAGCAGAAGGAGAGCGGCGTCTTGGGGCGGGGGATCTCGATCGAGACGGCGATCGCGAGTATGAGTAAGATCTGTCTCGTACTGAGCGTCTCGGCGGTGTTGGTGAGCGAGAGTAGCTGCGTGCTCGGCCCCTTGTGCGAGAAGGAGAGCGAGAGCGGCTTGAATAGCTCGAGTAGCTCGAATAGCTAGAGACACTGTTACTTCGGCTAGCAGCTCTGACAGGCAGGGCAGGCAGTGTTGGCTTAGGCATGTTCTTGAGATATTCTCTCATACCCTCGGTCAACACACCCATACCGATGGCAGTGAAGAAGTTGATGCTGAAACGAGTGTTGCGGGGATTGTCGACAGGGAAAATTCCAGCCAACGCAGGTAGCAAGGCATCGTCCTTTATTCTCTCCGACAGCTTTTTCATTCCAATATTCTGAGCAAGCTCTTCAATCAAGATCTTGATGAAGATGCGTGACGATGAAGTGGTCTCATCTTCGTTCAGATGGACAGCACTGATAACGTGCCAGCCAATAGCATCCGAGGAGAGAAGATGGCCGAAAAACTGGGCGACGATGCGAAGACGGTTGGTTTCCAGACGGTGAATCGTGTCGTAGTACTTGACAAACGAAGCCTCAAAGAGCTCGTTCCACATGCGATTGATCTTGCAAAGACGCTCACCGATCAAGCCGAAGAATTTGTTGTAAGTACGTTCCTGGGAGCAACACTCGACAATCATCGATGGAAGTTCATGCTCCAGTCCAGGGGGCAAGTTGATGCGCAACAACTTGTGGGTACATTCTTCGAAGCCTCCAGAAGACATGATGGTGAGGTAGATGGTTCGGCGCAAGTTGACCAGATCGGTGTTGGATTGATCCTTGATCTCGACCTGCTTGTCGGCTTCATCGTCTTCATCTTCGCTGCTGCTGACATCCGAATCGTCTTCATCATCCTCATCACTTCCGTCAGCCTCGCCAAGAATCTCAGCCCTAAGCTTCTTGTAGGCCTCCTCGTTCGATTCCCAGTCGGCGTCAAATTTGAAGACATTGAGGCCGTCCTGGACCTCGATCTGGTCGTCCAGTCCAGTGTTGTGGGTGATCTGATCCTCCTCTTCAACAAGATCCAGCTCTTCCTTGACCGAAGGATTATCCTTGTAGCGGTCCTTTCTGACCTGGAACAAAACTTCGACCATGTACTGGGTTCTCTTGTCGATATCGGCTTCGTGCAGAATGCTGCGGAACTGATCGTAGACGGCCATGGCAATTTGCGAATTGAACTCTTCAACATGTTGGCCAACCTCTCTCATCAGACCCACGGCAATCTCGACGCTGTCGTCCGTAGGCTTGTTTAGTAGAAGCAACAGAATTTGGGCGGCGAGCATTTCGTGAGCAACCTGCTGGTTGATCAGGTGGGCTAGGAAGGTAGTGCTACTCAGGCAGACAGCCTTGTCGTTGCGCTTGAAAGCCTTGCGGAACTGTACGATCAGGCGATTGACCAGCAACTCGCCAACTTGGGGAAGTTTTGTGTTGACAATGGCGACCATAGCGGCGTAGATAGGAGTGAAAGGCAAACTGGCAGCCTGAGCCTTCATGATGCTTCGGCAGAAGAGACCACGGCCACGGATGAGATTCTCACTAAACAGCTCGGGAACAATGTATTTGATGTTGGAAACGTTGACCTTGTTGATCAGACCATTGATGGACTTTTTGAGGGCTTCCCAAGCCATGCGCTGGAACTCGCTGGATTGTGGGTCGTTGCCGATTTCAGCCTGGAGGGCGCGCAACCTGGCTGGCGGCACATAGGTTCCTCCCGAGCGCATGGTGAGCAGGCGTGCATATTCGGCTTTTGCGGCGGCTTGCTTCTCGGCAGCTGATAGAGGCTTGTCCTCTTTGACTTCTTCGCGACGGCGCACTTCGGCCTGTCTTTGGCGTTCAAGGGCTCTCTGACGGTCGACATCGCGAGGAAGGGGACCGCTACGAAGAGGAGGTGGTGAGCGTGAGCGGGAGTGCGAAGGATTGCGCGGCGGTGAAGGATCGTTATTCGTGTTCTGGTCGACAGAGCGTGTGCGCAGGGTTGGAGGGCGTCTTTCAGGTGATGGAGAACGCGACGAGGGCGAACGTTTGCGACCACCAGAAGCATGCGACTGGGCGTCGGCGGCCTCGGGGGAAGGCAGACGTACTGCCGACTGCATCGCCGTCGCCATGTCGGGTATGCGAGGAAAAGGCGAGGATGAGACTAAAGCACGAGAAAGTGCGTCAGGCAGTTGCGTCTTGCGGTGCAACAGGGAAGCTGACGCCGACCACACGCATCTCTTGGCACCCCCGAGTTGACCCGGACCAACTGTCTATAACTTGGCTTCCATTATTGTTAGTAGCCTGCACTGCGTACCTTCCCTCTCTGATACGACATCAAGAATTGTTACAAGTTCACATATCACAATGGTATGCAAATAGCAACATGCTGCATACCAAAGGCCTCCGTTGACAGACTTTCCCCTAGCTCGGTCCCCTCGTCGGCGCAAGCATGCTCATCGTAGCCACCACCGTCTTCCTCTACTACACCATCTGGACTCTGCTTATGGTACATTGCCTATCATCCTCCAACTCTACTCTGCTCCATCTCCTGATATTGTCTCTCTCAGCCCTTTGTGGACTCGTCGCATCCCTCTCAATCGCTCTTCCCTCCTCGTGTCTGGGCAATTCGTCTTCCTGTCATCCTGATCTTGGTCGGAGGCGCTGTCGTTGGCTCGTTCCTATCCCTCATCATGATCAAGAGCAACCGTCAAAAGGCCCTCAAGGCTCAGAAAGCAAAGGCAAAGTAGCCACACATAGGACCGCCACATACCTTCAATACAGCCCCTTTTTCTTCCACTCGTCTTACGGCACTATAAACTCTGTGATCTGTGTCATGACGCGTAGTGTATGCCTCTTGAGCTCTCCACGACTATCCATCCCTCTATTGAACAACACAGTCATCTCCAACGACAACTCTGCCGCCTGGGACTGCTCCGCCTTCGCCGTCTTCTCCCTCAGCACCTCCCTCAGCCCTTTGCCTTCTGAGGTGTTGGGCCAAGGATGCCAGCATGCTTCTCTGTTGACGCGAATCAGTACTTGTCGTCTGTCTAGTGTGGCTTTTGTGCTTACGGTGAGGAAAGTTTCTTGGTTCCCTCCTTGACGCTCCACATCATTCTGAGACGTGATTTGATACTCCAGGTGCATGCGTTTCCTGCTTGTCAACCCGCCAGGTGCCACATATTCATCATTGTCTGCTGCATTCCGCGCTTCAGCATCTGCGTCTACCGCAGGCTCTGACGTGGCTCCTGCCTGGCGGTTCTGTCGTCTTCGCCTCATCCATGAGATTGACGAGAATGTTGAGCTGTCCACTGCTCCAACACCACTTCCAAGCCTGGCAGCTTCACGCGCTCTTGCGTCTGGCGAAAAGATCTTAATAGTGTGATCGATGCCACTGGCAGCCAACATGGGCTCGTACGGGTGGCCCTGTAACACATTGACCACTTCTCCGTCGCCCTCGAGGATGTTGACTAGCTGCCCTGTCTTCCGCTCCCAGACAAAAAAGTTGCCGTCATCTGAACCAGATACGACATACTCATCATCCAAGCCGAAGAAGTTGACATCTTTGACCGTCTTGACGTTGCAGTGGCCTCGATACACTCTGGTGTGAGGCGAACAGTAGACTTCTCTCTCGACTTGCCCACGCTGACGTCGTCTTCCGAGCGCGCTGCGATACATGAGCCTGGGGAAGTCCTCCTCATCTTCGTCGCTGTCTTCAGGGCCACTCTCATCCTGGCTCGCATCAGCGTCTTCCTCTTCATCTTCCGAATCTCCATCGTCTTGCTCGTCGGGTCCATCGAGTGGGAAGGTAGCAGCCTCGTCCATAGAGTCCTCATCTTCATCTTCGTCGCTGCTCTCTCCCATAACGGCTCGGATGTTTCTGATGTCGCTCATAGCGATAACGTCTTCTTCCTCTTCTGATGGCGAATCTGATGAAGCCTCAACAATCTCCATGGACTCTGCCGTGAGCTCATCATCAGAAGAGTCGATCCGGCGTTGCCTCTCATGTAGTCGTGCATCTTCTCGAGCCGCTGCGTTGTTGCCTGTGCCAAGACCACCAAATGCTCTATCAACAAAAGCAAAATTGACGCCCTCACCAGCGTTCATGAGAACGCCTCGGGCAACCTTGAGCCCCCAATGTAGTAACGCATCACTACGATTCTGATTCGACTCAGGAGTACCTCCCATGGGATCGTCCGATGACAGATCTGCAAAAGGTGTTTTGACTGCGTCGACGAACGCTCTGACTGCATCCGTTTCGGTTGCATAGATGATTCGATTCTCATCCACCTCAAATCTCGAAGTATCGACATTGCAGACCGGAGAACTGGATGCATGGGCCAGCAAATATGGCGCAATACATTCATCGAATGCATCGGCGCTAGCATCGTTGGGTACGGGCAAACGAGAGGCATATCGAGCAACATCGGATGACCTGGTGAAGCCGTCTATCAAAGCTCCCAGTCCACTATCCAGCCACAAGAAGATGGCTTTGATGAAGTCGTAGCCGAATCTTTCGCGTTCGCCAAGAATGTTACCCTCGTTGGGCGCATGATTGATGCGGGCAAAGAGAGGCGTGTCGAAGATTTCTTGACTGGCAGTATGCGACTGTCCTCCGAGTGCTCGTGCTATAACACCAGACGCTTGCACGAAGCGCCAGGCGGACTCTCTGTTAGAGCGCAACGTCCTTTGTAGCAAAACCTCCTCCTGAACAGGAGCAACAGGATAGCGCCACGTCCGAGTAATCTCTTGCATCTGAGGTAAGATAGTGGCAGCTAAGCTTCGCACTGAGGTAAACTCTGTCGTATGCAACTTCTTATCCGTGCTTGAAGTAGGTGTGTCTTGGTCGTTGAGTGTGAACATTGTCCTCCGAAGCTCGACCACAGTCTTTGCAAGACGATATGCCTTGTGCTGTCCATCTGTCATCACGCTCTCCCGCAGAGATGAAACAGGGCTTGCGGCACGAGCGATCGGGATGTCTTCACTTTGACCATTGTGATATCTTACCCTCAAAGCAGTAGGTTCCTCGACTCGTTGACGTGGCTGCACACGAGACACTGCTCCCGGAGAGTGTGATAGCTGGCTCGCGGTCCTCTTCTTCCGCTTTCTCTCGCTACTTTCCCTTGCTCTTTGACTACTCGACTGGGCTGTTGAGGCATGTTCTCGGGAAGTTTGACTAGCATCGGGACTGCGCACCAGATCAAAGCTGTAGACATGATCACCAGACCAACTGACTATTATCTCGTTAGGGTAAGCGTCACTGATCTTACAAGCGGTAATATGCCCAGAATCCCTCTGCGCCATGATACGCTGGCCTCGAGGAGCAAACTTTCGGACACATCGAGTGGCTTGACCAAGCGCGTCCTCATCCAAGTCGGATAGATGAGAAGCGGAGAGAGCAGGCGAGGCTGCACGTTCTTCAAGCTTGTCACGACCAAGCATTCTGCGGTCATGGAGAAAACAGTGCAGATGAGCGCCACCAAGCGCGATGTAATGAGGTTGACTTGGCGAACAGGAGATGGTGTTGAGGTCCAAGTCATAACGTTTGTAGGAAATTAGGGGAGGGGGTACAGATGCAGACCTACTAGAAGGAGAAGGGTAGGCGGATGACGGTTGGCGCAAATCCCATTGGCGCACTTCTCCGTCTTCTGAGCAGCTCAGGAAGAGATGAGGGGAAGATTCGGTGACGATTCTCTTGACCCTGTCGCCGTGCGAACGGTAGACTCTGCAATTTGTATCACCGTCGCTCAGATGGCGTACTCCATCTTGTAGATTGCCTCGCATGCCCCTATTGGCACCGTTCAAAGCCATAGCAGATGCGCGTGATGCTTCTGTAGTGGCGCCGGAGTATTCCAGATCAAAAATGCGGACTTCACAATCACCAGCAGCCGATACGACGGTACGATCGTTCGAGTGAGGCATGAACTTGACAGAGAAGATGTTGGCTCGGTGGCCGGTGGCGATGCTCGTGGCCAGTTTGAACTGCGAGTTGGAATCGTCGGGTTGGTAGGTGTGAATGTTGAGATGCTGATCATCGGAGCCTGAGGCAAGGAGACGACCTGATTTGGACCAACTAGAGTAATAGACATGTTAGAGGGGCATGAAAGGATGTAGCGGATTGGGGGCGGCAAACCTGAGAGCGTTCACGCATCCAGAGTGGCCGTCGAGCTCATTCACAATGTCCAAATCACGGATCCAGTTCTTGTCGCCATAGATTGACCTCACCTTTCTAGAACGTCCGGCCGAGTCGTGCAGCTCGCGTCGGAGCAGACGATCCGACAGAGAGTCGCGCATGCTTGGGTGAAGGAACGAGGTGGTCAGCGTTGACAAGCAACTCGAGTTGGTTCCAGCATGAATATATCACCAGGACGACAGGCGAGTGGAAGGATGAAGGCGTATGTAGAAAGAAGGGTTTGTTACGAAGATGGATGGGTGCCTATGTCATAGGTACCAGCTACCCCGGACGGATGTCAAGTTTGACAGGCAGACCGTGTGGTCGTTGGCAGGCCGTGACAAGAGCTAGACGTGACGCGCAGTAGCCGAGACACAGTCTGCTTCAAAGAGCGTGGCGCCGGATGTCATTTACTTTGGTCTCAAAACTGGAGGTGAAGGAGCTGCACCCATCACATGTTTGCTGGCGTGCTGGCGGCGGGAGATGGGCAGTACCGGGGACCGATGGGACCAGATGATCTCGCCCAGTCGGGCTGTGCCTCTCTCCTCAGTTGCCGTGTGGCTCCTTCCTTGTAGCCATGGGACTCCTGGGCTGCAGCTTCCATTGCAAATGCTCGTGCAATCATCGGGCGAGTCGCAGGCGGAAACAGGAGGCCCGCAGCAGTAGCATAGTAACCAGACCGTTGCACGAGCGCCAAGACGCGCGACTGCCAGCGCGCCGATCAACACAGTGAAGGCGGCGCTCCATGTCACTGACTCCCCCCGAGAGTACTAGCATTATTATTTGTTTGTCAGGAAGTCGGGCAGTTCCCCCTGCTCAACTCCTGCCCTCTGATTTTTCAAGACGGCGCAATCTTCTCGCCCCACATCCATTCGCTCGTCGACGGCTTCATCTCTTGATATTGCCAGCCAGTTGACGACGGCCAGCTCCATTCTCTGGGATCCTCGCTACACTAATCGCAACCCTCCCCACCAAAGGCTCCATCCTACCCACGTCGGCACCCTCTCGCTCGACAACCGCTCCGACTCGACCATCAGCGTCCGCAGTCTCGGCGGCGGCCAGCGCATACCCCCCATGGACAAGCGTCACCCCAGCTCCTTCCAGCAGCTCGAAAAGCTCGGTGAGGGTACCTATGCCACCGTACGTCTCTCCCCAATCGCCAAAGTCCTTCTCCGTCGCTGACCAACGACCCGCAGGTCTTCAAAGGCCGCAACCGCCAGACGGGCGAGTTTGTTGCTCTCAAGGAGATCCACCTCGATTCCGAAGAGGGCACCCCCAGCACTGCCATCCGTGAGATTTCGCTTATGAAGGAGCTTAAGCACGAAAACATAGTCCGCCTGCACGATGTCATCCACACCGAGAACAAGCTCATGCTGGTCTTCGAATTCATGGACAAGGACCTGAAGAAATACATGGACTCCAGGGGCGAGCGCGGCATGCTCGATCCCGTCACCATCAAATCTTTCATGCACCAGCTGCTCCGCGGTATCGCTTTCTGCCACGACAATCGAGTCCTCCACCGCGACCTCAAGCCTCAGAACCTGCTGATCAACAACAAGGGTCAGCTCAAACTCGCTGACTTTGGTCTTGCTCGTGCCTTTGGCATTCCCGTTAATACCTTCAGTAACGAGGTCGTAACGCTCTGGTACCGCGCCCCTGATGTCTTGCTGGGCTCGCGCACTTACAACACCTCGATCGATATCTGGTCTGCTGGCTGCATCATGGCTGAGATGTATACGGGTCGTCCACTGTTCCCCGGAACCACCAACGAGGACCAGTTGCAGAAGATCTTCCGTCTCATGGGCACCCCTTCGGAACGCTCATGGCCTGGCATCTCTCAGTTCCCAGAATACAAACCCAACTTCCCTGTCTACGCAACCCAAGACTTGCGCAACATCCTGCCACAAGTTGATCCTGTGGGCCTTCAGTTGCTGAGCGCTATGCTGCAGCTCCGCCCGGAGCTCCGCATTTCTGCCACACAAGCCCTTCAGCACCCTTGGTTTGCTGATCTACAACAGCTGAGGCAGCAACAGGCTCATATGCATCAACAGCACATGCCTGGTGTACCCAACACCCAACGCGCTTATTAGTAATGCTTTTGACGATCTTTCTCACAGCCAGATGCATGTCTCTGGGTCGCTCGGCGTTTTGGAAGAAAGGGGCTGTTTTTATTTCTTTTAGATCATTTCCGTCAAAACCCATCTCTTTTTTCTTGCGTGGCATAAAGCTATATTCATTGCTGAAGACATGGTGCTCCAGTTGTACAGTCTATGAAGAACCCAGTCCAACTGTCAATTCGTGTTGTGTGCCAGGAATAGTCGCGCTTCTCTTGTTCGTGATTCATAACACGCTAGTATTGGATTCTGCAGTGTCGACTAAGGTCCTGGAGCTGCGTACACGACACTTTGGGATGAAGGATGTGGAATCGGAGACCAGACCGCCAGTCAGCAATCCAGAACTCCATAGTTTTCCCCATGCTTGTACGTAAGAAAATCGTTATCGAGGCCGCTCAGCTCGCTCAGGGGACATGGCGTCCACTCCGATGCGCCTCAGTGACGCGGGGCTTGCAACGGCATAGGACACACCCACACAAGCCATCAGCAAAGTATCCAGAATGGCACGATGGCGGCCTTCTTTATCTACTGTGATGTCCTAATTTCTCTTCCTGATACTTTAGTATATCATCGTGCTAGGCTAATTGAAACATTCAACTGGTCCTCGTCTGTTCTGACCCTTCTCTTATCAGTTCCACCACTCCACACGCCCTGAGGCCGATCAGAGACTTGGACACTGTTGACAGTGGACCGCCGCTACACCACTCCACTCGCCGATGTTGCCCGATCCTTAGCTTTTCTATATACTAAGCAGCTGTCTCCCTTTTGCCAACTGCTGTCCCTCCATCTGTTCTTCCCTTCCGGACTGTGTTCTTATCGCGCCGCAGTTGTCACAACTCGCTCCACTTCCTTCTTATCATCACTCAGGGCACACGGACTGGTCAAACCAGATCAATCCTGTAAAGCAGACAAGTATCGAAGAGGATCCGCAAACACGACAATAGTACCAACTACTCCGTTATGGCTACTGCTGCGGAGGCCGATCTGGCCCGTATGGGCTATAAATCGGAACTGCCCCGAAGTTTGAGCATGATGAGCGTTCTTGGGCTGTAGGTCACGCAGAAAACCGCTGTCTTTGCCACACCACTAACGAGGCTATATCAGTTCCTTTGCGATCATGGCTGTGCCTTTCGGATTGAGCACGACATTTTACATCACACTCGCAGACGGTCAGAGTGTAACGATTCTATGGGGCTGGGTCTTAGTGTCTTTGATATCTCTCTCAATTGCAGCTTCATTGGCCGAGATTTGTGCTGTGTTTCCTACTGCTGGAGGCGTATACTATTGGGCGGCTATGCTCAGCACCAAGAAATATGCTCGATTGAGTTCTTGGATCACAGGTTGGTGAGTACCTCTATATGCCTTCACGCTACGACACCCCTTCTCGTTGGTGTCGAGCTGTCTACATCTGCTAACTTCAGTCAGGTTGACTCTGGTTGGCAACTGGACTGTCACCACATCGATCAACTTTTCGGGAGCACAATTGATCTTGAGCGCAATTAGTCTCTGGAACGAGGACTTTGTGCCTAACGCGTGGCAGACAGTACTGATGTTCTGGTGTGTTATGCTTATCTGCATGCTCCTCAACATTTTCGGCTCCAAGTACCTGGATTTGTTCAACAAGATCTGCATCTACTGGACTGGAGCTAGTGTAATCATCATCATGGTCGTCTTGCTGGCCATGTCAGACAACTACAGAAGTGGAGAATTTGTCTTTGCTCACTACGATGCGAGTGATAGTGGTTGGCCGAGTGGTTGGGCTTTCTTTGTTGGTCTACTTCAGGCTTCGTATACTTTGACTGGTTACGGCATGGTCGCTGCAATGTGTGAAGAAGTTCAGGTAAGCCCGATGTCAATGGTTAACTTGATTGACGAGTCTAATATGGCACGCTTAGAATCCCGCCCGAGAGGTGCCCAAGGCAATTGTTCTGTCTGTCGCTGCCGCAGGTGTTACTGGTGTTTTGTACCTGATTCCGATTCTTTTCGTGCTACCCGACGTGCAAATGCTTCGGGACGTCGCCAATGGTCAGCCTATTGGTCTTTTGTTCAAGACGGTCACAGGCTCCGCAGCCGGTGGCTTTGGACTGCTATTCCTGCTTCTTGGTATGCTACGATCCATCATTCTCAGGTGGCGCTGGTACTGACTCTTGCCGCTAGGTATCCTTTTCTTCGCTGGTACCGGTGCTCTGACAGCCGCCAGTCGTTGCACATACGCTTTTGCTCGTGATGGCGCAATTCCTGGATCTCGTATCTGGTCTCGAGTTGACAAACGATTCGATATTCCTCTCTGGGCTTTGGTTCTGTCGACTGTGGTTGATTGCTTGCTGGGTCTGATCTACTTCGGTAGCACTGCAGCCTTCAACTCTTTCACTGGAGTAGCCACAATCTGCCTCTCGACCTCATATGGATTGCCGATTCTGGTCAGCGTATTGCGTGGACGCAAGATGGTCGCTCACTCCTCCTTCTCTCTGGGTCGTTTTGGCATGGCAATCAACGTGCTCACCCTCTGTTGGATCGCCTTGGCTGTCGTCTTGTTCAGCATGCCGGTCACGCTGCCAGTCGACCCGAGCTCTATGAATTATGCATCTTGTGTATTCGCAGGCTTCGCTGCCATTAGCGTAGTATGGTACTTCATCCGCGGACGCAAAGCATTCACTGGGCCACCAGTTCCTGCTGATGCTGATGTTGATGTCAGTAGCGATGTCGGTGTCGTCAAAGGCCAAGCTGTGGATTCTGACTTGGAGAAGAGTTCGAGCGCTGTGCACAAGAAGATGGTTAATGAGCCAACGAAGACTATGATTTGATGAGCTTCGTTGCATTCTTGTATAGCAGTTTTAGTATCACGAATGCCCAATCTTTCTACCCGTGTGCTTTTGCCAATTTATCGTTATTGCCACCATATCTCTGCGCATCTCGAAAAGTTCGTTACCGATATTATAGCCCTGCAGAGTCGGATAGACGCGGTCTACGATTTCCGGACGTCTGCGTCACATATCGCTTCTAGTAGAGACCATCGATATTGGCGTGAAATCGAGCCTGGCCACTCCGAGGGCTTTCGGTCAACGGCATTGTTTCGGAGTCGAACAGACCTCGAGGCTTGGCTTCGGACCAAGGCTGCATGGCGCTTTCCTCCTTGCGTAACCGTGCAATTTTGACTTTCTACAACCTTGATCTTGTCAACGATACCGGCATTCAGAAGACGCTACCCATCCGAATGTACAAGTAGCGGATGGCGACCGGACGGACGACCGCATGCTTCCGCAGCTGTCAGAGACCGCTAAGGACGCATTGACTCTGGACGACGCGTCCTTTTTGCTTGTACCAAGTTTTCTTCAGGCAAGAGGGCACGCGCGCAATCACCGCATGTCGACTGGAGAGATGATGAACTGTAGACATCCGCATATCTCGTATTCTGCGATCGATCTGATAAGGACTACAGCAGCCTGACATGAACGTCTGATGCCCATACAGTCTTGCATGCTCGAGTTGTTGTTCTTTCAAAGACCAGGGCGATTCATAGGTGAGCCGTTCCGGCAGTCATCCAGCGCCACTACGGTGAGATTTTCTTCATCGTCTTTTCTGCCCTCGCCAGGTCGCTTCTTTGACTCCCGATCGGTCTTCATCTCACATTTTCACAATCTCAGCGGAAGCCACACATCATAGCACAGCGCTTGGCATCTTCTGGAAACAAGGAGATGAGACGGCCCCGCGGGCTAGATACCTTTTGGTCTGTGGTAGTGTGAGCGCGGGCCCCGTGACATGACAAGGGTATAGGACGAAATCTAGTATATGATGTAGGTGTTGTCTTTTCTCAGGAGAATATTTCCACTCGCGTCGAACAGAGAAGCCTCTGTGAGTTGCTTCAATACCAATCTCTATTTCATTGTCACATTCGTTCATTGCTACATCGATATGTCTACTCTCTTTACATTGGCGCTGGCTGTGCTGCCACTAGGTCACCTTGCATTGGCCGATCAAGCTCCTTACACGGGCTCCGAATACCAGTCCAAGGACTTTGGTCTCTATCCCACACAAACTTACGAGTCCTCGTCCCTTGAGGTGCCAGTCTTCCAGGTCAACCAGGCTGCGGGAAACAATGTCGATGCTGCCGACCGTGTATTCATCTCTCCCAGAGGTACTGCTGTAGGGCAAATTGCTCCTATGATCTTCAACTCTGACGATCTATCCCTCGTGTGGAGTGACCCAAGTTACAAGACTACATTCGGTGTTCGAGTGCAGGAATACAATAACTCGGACTACATCACATTCTGGCGAGGAGCCATCAAGGGCGCTGGTTATGGAAGTGGCAGCTACATCATGCTCGACCACAATTACAACGTTGCTTACAACCTCACAACCAAAGCCTTGACTGTCGGGGGAGACATTCACGAGATTGAGTTGACGGATGAGGGCACCGCCCTCATGAGCGCCTATGAGCCCATGGAATACGATCTCACAGCTTATAACATCTCAAATGGCTGGCTTGCCGACTCTGTCTTCGAGGAAATTGATATCGCTACCAACAACCTCATTTTCTCCTGGAGAGCATCCGAGCACATTGCACTCAACGCTTCGTATGCCGATCCTGGTACCACTGGCATCTCCTCAGACAGCCCTTATGACTTCTTCCACATCAACTCTATCGAGAAGGATGATTCTGGTAACTACTTGATTTCTGCAAGACATACACACGGTATCTACTACATCAATGGAACTAATGGCGATGTTATCTGGACTATGGGCGGCAAGGACAACCAGTTTGAGGACAAGAGCGATGGTCAAGCAACAAACTTTGCATGGCAGCACGATGCCCGTTGGCGCAACACCAATCTGACAGAGATGACTCTTTTCGACAACGGTGCTGCTGACTGGGTCAAGACTGAAAACGAGACACGCGGTCTCTGGCTCAGCATAGACTACGATGACATGTCCGTCACTCTCAAGCAAGATTACATCAGTCCTGAGGGCATATTGTCCATATCGCAGGGCAGTGTCCAAGTCCTGTCTAACGGTAATGTCTTCATGGGTTACGGCAGCAACGGCGCCTTCATCGAGTATACCAACGATGGGCAGGCCATTTGGGACGTCCAATTTGGCATCATCGGAAACGCAAGCGTTCAAAGCTATCGTGCCTATAAGCAAAACTGGCAAGGCTTCCCCAGCTGGAATCCCAGCATATCCGCTGCTGGCAACGGCACCGACAACACCACTGTCTACATGTCGTGGAACGGTGCCACTGAGATCAAGCAATGGGCTATCCTAGCCTCTAACTCGTCTTCCTCTCTGGCTACTGCCGATGATCTGTGGAAGAACGTCACCAAGACTGGGTTTGAGACCAACGTCACTGTAGGCACCAATGTCCGCTACATTCGTGCTGCGGCTCTTAATGCTGATGGCGAAGTTCTTGGTGCTACTGATATTGTCGATGTCAATGACGGCTCTGTTGCTTCTGCAGAAAGCAAGGTTGATATCGGCACAGGCGACGCGAACACTACTGTTACCAGCTCGTCGTCTGATCCGGATTCTGCTTCTGGCTCTAGCGGTAATGATACCTCGTCAAAGTCCGACAAGGACAGCGCTGCCGGCTTTACGAATGCTTCTTCGTCGCTTGCTCTGGGAGTCGCGATGACCGTTTTCTTCTTGTTTGGATTGTAAAAGTAATGTTTCGATACGTTTGTACTTATGAAGATTGTAATATATTCAGATGTCGAGATGTCTCTTTCGCGCCCCGAAAGGATTGTGTAGGTGTGTGTTCTGGACAAGAATGCGCCGGGAGACGTTCGGGCATGTTTCGGATATGGTGGTGGAGTTGTTAGTAACAAAGGCGACAATTCTCCATGAATCGGACGAGTCAAGGTTCAGGAAGTGACTGATTCTTAACAGGCGACCCGGAGCTCGCAAACGCCGCGGTGTCTGCTCGAAGCTTGCAGTGGCGTGTACGTCACAGTGATATCGGCGAGATACGGACTTGGATTCCTTTTAATTGTTTTGTCCTTGAGGAAGATCGTTGCTTGCGCATATTGACCTCACTCATCGACATCGTCATATATACTCGAGTACATACACTCGAACCCCCCCCGCCCGTCAATTGCATCCCGTTTTCCTACCGTAATCAACCACATACACAGCCCATCATGAAGATTCTCACCAAGGAAGAAGAGCAGGAGCACTACAAGTACGTCACCCATCTTTGCCGTCGCGACACACGTCCACGAGCACTGCTGACAAGGCCCTCAGCGCTACCGTCTATGGAGGTACTGTCGGTGGTCTGCTTGGTCTAGCAGCTGGTACTGTTGGTGTGCTGGGCGCCAGCAGGAGATACCCTGCTTTCCGTGGCCTTTCGCTACCATTCCGCGCCTTCCTGATCACCAGCGGTGGTACTTTCGCCGCCATCATCCAGGCCGATCGCTACTCTCGCCAATACGAGGCTGCCCGCCATCCCGAGAAGAGTTACACCGACCAGCAGCAAACCGTGCAAGAACAGCTCGAGTCGCAGAAGCCCTTTTCGCAGCGCGCAATGGATTGGGGAAACAAGAACCGCTACAGTATCGTCTTTGGCTCGTGGGTCGCTTCCATCGTCGGTGCTTTTGGCATTGTCGGCCGCAACCCCTACCTCAGTGGCCAACAGAAGCTCGTCCAGGCTCGTGTCTACGCTCAGGGTCTGACGTTGGCTGTCGTCATTGCCAGTTTGGCGCTCGAGGCCAAGGACAAGAACCAGGGCGAGGGCCGCTGGGAGACTGTCAAGGTCCTCGACCCTAACGACCCTACTCACAAGCACGTCATTGAGAAGAAGATTCACCACGAGAGTTACAAAGGCGAAGATCAATGGATGGGTGAGTCATCTGAACTTCTAATCACAATCAGACACCTCAACTGACATCATGCAGACATGGTCGCTGCCGAGGAAGAGCGTCTGAAGGAGCGCGAGGCTGCCAGCAAGCAAAGACAATCTGCAGAGCACAAGAAGGACGACAAGAAAGAAGACAAGAAGGACGACAAGAAGAAGGAGAAGCAAGCCAACTAAAATGCCGACTTCGGACTTCTTTGAACAAATCCAACGTTCGAGTCTCAGTCACGCGACAAAACGATCCCACGGGAGCTGCTACAAAAGATGAAAGACCATTACACGATGATCGGCCTGGCTTCATGGAAGCCGATCTGCATAGAGAAAAGGCGCAGGACGAGGCCGCAGGGCGGCCTTTGTCAACGTAATTAACGACCTCTCCAATTGTGCGCCGAAATATTTGGATTTGCAAGTAGAAACCTGTAGGATAGTATTATTCATGCGAGCACGATTTACAACTTCATTCAGCTTCCATCTTTAGTATTGCTATCTTGTGATACTGTCAAGGTTTGGGCCGAAGGGTCCAGATTGTTCGAAATTTGGGAAATGGCATTCGAAGAAGAAGGTCCGATCGAATCAAGGCTAACTGCAAGGTATTGATTGTGTGCTTTGAAAGTCATTACTCGAGAGATCATTGACTCGTCCATATACAACGTGCCGTAGCCCCAAAAAGAAACATTAGCTCTGGAACTCCACTACCAGAGTCTAGTACAAGACCACACAAATTAGAAAGGATAGCTTTCCGCCAGGCCGCCGTGGATGAAAACAAAACATTAATGGGCCGTATGAAACAGAGCCGTAAAGCATAAAAGCCGTGACAAAACAAAAATCGGGAAGGAGCTTCGTAACTTTGATCAAAAACGATGAGTGTTTCGTGGGAAACCAACAAAAGAGATGTAGAACGTTGGAAGCGAGAAAAAAAAAGAATAGGCAGAGGGAAGAATTGGCGATGGCTGAATGGGATGGTGATGCTGACAATCAGCGCGAGCTGATATGACTTGAGGAGTCCGTGTTGATATCATTAGAGTTTCATGGCCTAAACAAGGCTTCTCGTATATATTGTAGATGTGGTCCTGGATGGGGGAAGCATTGTTATCGGTATATGGCTGGATCGCCCCTTGGAGAGTCTTCTGGTCGTCTGGGACTACCCTCTCCTGGGTCCTGTTCAGGAGATAGTATGTTTGGGTATCGTGATGGACCAGGATGACTAGGCCTTGTAGGCTCGCCATACTCTTGTTGTAGCGGCCGCGGCCCTCTGTCGATGCTGGAAGTACGACCCAGGATCTTCTTGCCAGATGAGGTCTCAGCCGCTCCAGCGCTTGTAGGTCGATCGTGAATCTGCGGCGTCATGGCAGCTTGGGCAGCCTGTGCTGCGATAGATAAAGAACTCGGTGCGACGGCACCGGTGCTGCTGCTACTCGAAAGTGCAGGTACGCGTCTAGGAGGCTGCAGCGTCTGTCCGTGCAAGAGGTCCTGCTGGCTTCTAGCGGCCTTCTCTGCATTGGTAGGTCTGCCGCGTTTCTTCTTTGGCGGTTCGGTCTGTTGATTGAGTATGTTGCCGATGGTAGACATAGGTGGCTTGGGTACAAGCAGACGGCCACCTGCAAAGGAAGGTTGATCCGGACTGAAGGGACGTTTCAGAGAGGATGCTGGAATGGGACCCTGAAGACTCTGCGATCTGTTATGACCCGAAGTGGGCCCAGCAGAGGGCCCAGGTTGATTCATGATACTGTAAAACCAGCTGCTGCATTGATTGACAGTTCGTCCTGAAGAAGCAAGTCAGTCGACGAGCCGCGTTGGCGTAAGCGCGGTATACATACCCCTTGGGAGCGCCACATCACCCCAAACGGGGCTGATGCCGTTCTGTCGTATAAAGTGAGCGACCGCGTCTGGATGTATATTGCTGGTCTTGATGATTTCGGCCAGTATCTCGAGCTGCTCGTGCGCGTTGAAGCTCACGTCCCGAGGGTTCATTCTGTAACGAGCCGGAGAAGCAACGAGGAAGAAGAGAAGAAGGCGAACATGTATTACAAAGAAATAGGGCCAAGTCGCAGATATGAGAAAGGAAACGAGTGCAGCTGGTGAAACGAGAGTGCGTCAGTCAGACGACGAAACGGAAAACACTGCCTGCCTTGAACGAAAGCATAGAGAAGGTCAAGAAAATTAACCACGAGGCGCAGAGATGGGAAGGAACGGATTCAATCATCCAGCATTTTGGAGAAAGAAAAAAAGCCGCGAGCATGGAGACAGAGTGGAGAATGGGGTCCGTCGTCAAGGCTCGGAGAGGGCTGGGATTTTTGGCTCTAGAGGGCGAGGTTGATGCATGCAGGTACTGCACCCTAGGCGTACATCACCCTGCAAGATGGATGTCATGCTTCACCAAGGCCAGACGATGCCGCCAATCCGGGTTGCGTAAGATGGATCTTTCAATCGAGTATACAGTCACAGACTCCCCAGTTGTTTTGTCGTAGATGGTTCCTATGCCGCTGCCTTGGGCCAGTTCCTGACCATTGGTGGAACATGCGCGAGAGGAGACGAACCGTGAGGCTGGGTTTGAGTTGACTTTCTCGGCTTTGTGAGTCCCGCGCTTTTGGAATGGGGCCCGCTCTCGTCCCGGTACATGGCAAAACATGAAACGCTCGGCACAGTGGTTCTGTCGTCCTTAGGTTGATTGCTCGAGTTCAGCCTTGTCTCTCGCGATGCGGCCCATCTCACAAACAACGACGTGTGGTGCGGGGCGTTGGTTCTTTCAGCCCAGGAAGGCACGGTCGCTCGTGGAGAACGACAGCTAATTATCGGCAATTGATCTATGAACAGCTCCTTCGAGGATTTTGGACGAGCACACGACAGTAGTTCCACCGGGCTTGCGAAGTAAGGCCTTTGGATCATCGCTTGCGGTGCAAGATTAGGCCTCGATACCTTTGCGCTAACGCAATGGCCTCGTCAGTTCTTACTTGAAGCCACGCAGCTACAAAGACGCAACCGATTCCTGAACATCGTCTTTTTGTCGCTTCATTGGTTCTTGACCGCGGGTCATTGGGAATCGCAGACGGACGGCTCCTCGCTCTTTACCAAATTGCCGGGACCCAGCAATCCTGGACGCACTACGAAGTCGAAATTTCCGCGTCGTATCAGGAGCTTGCATTGCATCAAAACACCTGCAAGTGCGCGCCTGGCGGATCTTCCTTTGCAGAAGAAGAATTCAACCAAGGTTTCTCAACATTCCTGCAGCTACTTCGCTTCAGCTCAACTTTAACCTTTAGGTATTGCCTGTACAATGTGACTGCATGCGGTACCTGTGTCAGTATAAGTTATCTCTTCGCATTGGTCTCAACACCATGAAGATGGCTCTCGAGTCTCCGCGGCCAACGAACGACGCTATACTTTGATAACAAGGTGACTAGTGCATGGCTGAGCTGACAGAGTCGAGCCAGATATTTAGACACGCTTGGACACGGCTCATACTTAATACCAGGATCAGGCCATCATGAGCTCGAGTTACGAGTCTAACTCTGATGGAGGTCTCAATTGAGAAACTGATGGTGAGCATTGAGCAGAAAAGGCAAGGGTGTCAGGGTGATAGCCTTCACGAGTGGAGTTCGAGCACGCCAAGCCTATACAAAACGGCGTCAGTCGAGTTGATCAAGATGGGCATCCATCTCTTCCATCATCCCTGCCGTCGGACGCGACAAGACACAGCCAACTCGGTCGACCCATTCATTACACAGGCAGAGTCGCACTAGGTGACGGAGGATAACAAGAAGACTCTCATACCAGCTCCTTCTGGTTGTAGTCCATGTATGTGAAGGTGGCTGTCAAGTACTTAGATCACGACCCTAAATCAGATTCAGAGAAACGTTCATTTGCAAGTCGTCCTTGTAAGAGCTCGATCGCTTGCTTCCTGCGATTCCATCCATACCTCCGAGGACCCGTCCCATGCGTTGAACACGTTTCGCGCCCTCAGTCATCCCACGGCGAGAAGAGCCAACGCGCCATCCTCCATTTCGTAGAACGCCGCCCTCACACCTCAATTTCCTTTCGTACGGCGCCATCGGCCCATCGGGATGCGGTTTGACGAGGAGAGTATCGACGAATCTGGGGCTATCTAAAATCTGTCCGTTCATCAACCACCGCGACCTTCTCGCTTTGCGCAACACCCGCTCCTGCCAGACCACGTCGCCATCATGCCCGGTTCTCGAGATAGCAGGGGCAAGAGCCTCACTACAGAGGTGGGAAAGATGGATATAGCAGTGGACACAACCGAGGGGGCCGCAGCGACGCGTGAGTCCTCGTCAGGCATCGAAGACATGCAAGTACGACCGCATTCAAGCGGAGACACGCCTCGCAGAGTCAAGAAAGAGACTTCCACATCAAAGCAGCCCAGCGCTGCACAATCACCGGCCATAAAGGGCGAGCGTGAAGAGACGATAGGTGGCGATCTCAGCATCAAGCTTGAGCCCGGCAAAGCCCCAAAGCTGTCCCGCACAATGTCGCAAAAAGTCATCACCGGTCCTCGACAGTTGTTCAACGACTTGCCTGACTCTACTGATGAAGCTACCTCGACCTTTGATCTTCTGCCCGATTGCACGTACGGTGCGAGGCATCTTGGCACTACCGAGCAAGCGCTCGAATGCGACTGCGTTGAAGAATGGGGTATGTTATATCCTAAACATATCTCACCAGCCACCGACTGACCATCTGTAGATGCGCAAACACAATCCAATCATGCATGCGGCGAAGACTCTGATTGCATCAACCGGGCCACCAAGATGGAGTGCCCGGGGGATTGCGGCTGTGGAGACGGGTGCCAGAACCAGCGCTTCCAACAAAAGGTCTACGCCGACGTTTCTGTCATCAAGACTGACAAGAAAGGCTTCGGCCTGCGTACTAACAATCATCTCAAGCCAAATGATTTCATCTTCGAATACATTGGCGAAGTCATCTCGGAGCCTGCTTTCAGGCGGCGCATGCACCAATATGATCAAGAAGGCATCAAGCACTTCTATTTCATGTCCCTCGCCAAGAGTGAGTTCGTCGACGCGACAAAGAAGGGTAACCTCGGCCGTTTCTGCAACCATTCGTGTAACCCAAATTGTTATGTCGACAAATGGGTCGTGGGCGATCGACTCCGCATGGGAATTTTCGCCGAGCGCCAAATCGAAGCTGGAGAAGAACTTACCTTCAACTACAATGTCGACCGCTACGGAGCTGACCCTCAACCCTGCTATTGCGGCGAACCGAATTGTTCTGGATTCATCGGCGGCAAAACACAAACTGACGACCGTGGAACACAACTTTCCTCAACCATCCAAAAAGCTCTCGGTATCTTTGGCAACGAAGACTGGGAGAACGCCGCCCACACCAAAAAGCCCCGTAAGAAAAAGGCCTCTGAAGATGACGAAGAGTACATCGACAGCATTGAGCTTAAGCAGCTGGGTCCAGCAGACGTCAAGGTCGTCATGGGAGAAATATACAAGACTCAGGAAAAGTGGATCATCGTCAAGCTTCTCAATCGTATACAAAACTGCGAGAATGAGAACGTGCAGTTCAAGGTGGCCAAAATGCATGGCTATGTCATCCTCAACAAGCTTCTCAAGACATACGCCGACGACACGAACATCTTGTTGCAAATCCTGGATATTCTTAACAAGATTCCCAGATTAACTCGCAACAAGATTGTCGACTCCAAGATCGATGTCACTGTCGAAGGCTTGCTCGAACATGAAGATGAGAGAGTGAAGTCACAAGCTGCAAAGATCTATGATGAGTGGAGCAAGCTAGTCATCGCTTACCGTATCCCACGTATGAAGAGGGACCCCAACGTGTTGCAGCAAGACAAGCGATCCGATCGCCCTGAAAGAAAGAACCGCGAGCGCAGTCGGTCTCGATCACGATCAAGATCGGTCGAGGCACCGCGCGGACCCAAAGGACCATCTGCCAAAGCCATACCTTCGGGCCCTCGCGGAGGTGGGCGTGGTGGATTCTTCCAAGGCGGTCCCCGCCCTCCTTTCAGACCCAGAGCTCCTCCTCCGGTTGAGCTTCCGCCTGGCTGGTATGTTGCATTCGACCAAAACGGCACACGGTACTACTATGATGGAGATGGCAATGTCCAATGGATACCACCCACACAAGCCTCGCTCAACGCGCCTCCTCCGCCGCCCCCCAGAGTCTTGTCCGAAGCGCAAAAACTCGAAGATTTGATCCAGGGTATCGTGAACAAGAAAGACACACCAAGCACCGACAAGCCATCAGCTACCGCGACACCAACCGAGACACCGATCAAGGCCAAACCTGATGAGAAGTGGCGTTCGTTACCTGAAGAGAAGCAGAAGAGGGTGTACGAAAACACGGTATGTTATGTTGTCGTATGATGAGTTGAGGACACGAGACTGACATTCATACAGCTCTTCCCATCTGTCATTTATGTTGCAAACAAATACAAGGGAAAACTCGACAGAGATGACATCAAGCGTTTTGCCAAAGAATGCTCGAAAAAGCTTGTCAATTCCGACTTCAAGAACAAGCGTGTTACTGACCCGAGCAAGATTGACCCCAAACAAGAGAAAGCGGTCAAAAAGTTCGTGACTGAGTTCTTCGAGAGGGCTGTCGTCAAGAAGAAAGAGCACGATCAACGAAAAGGACAAGGCTCAACCCAAACAGGCACGGATGATATGCAGGTTGACTCTCCCAAGGATGCCGGCAATGGCGACCTTTCCAATGTGACTGGCGGGAATAACAACGACAATATCTCCGCATCGCTCAGCCCGGCAAACTTGAAGCGAGCACGGAACGACGAAAGCTCGACAACAGGAGCCGCACATGAAGACGACCCACAAGGCAAGAAGGCCAAAGTCTCTGCACCTGCCCCTCCACCACCTCCACCTCCACCAGCCGGGGGCATGCGTGAGGACGATGTGGAAATAGGCAGCGATAACTACTCTAGCGTTGAAGGTTTTTCGATCAAGGGTGCCGCTGGTGGACTCCAACAGCGTCAGCCAAAGTATGCGGAATCACCAATGCAAATCGCAACGCCCCCTACAACCAACAGCCCGGACGCAGAAGAAAGAGAGAGACGTCGCAGAGAGTTCAGCGGACTGAACGCAGATCGGATGAAGAATCTAGGATTCATGAATGGCGCAAACATTCGTTGAGCATGGAGGGGGATTTGAGAGCAAGAATTGATTATATGTGAAAAGCGTCCCCCAAAGTCGCCGCAAGCATGAGAAAAAGCAATTTTCCTCTCTCAGGTTCGATCACAGCCACGTCGAGGAGTTCATCGACATTACGAGAGATGGCTGGCGCAAGAGAAAACAAAAGCTTCAACAATAGCTCCAGGACTTTGAATGCAGCATTCACGACCACAATATACAGTGTTAAGTGACAAAAACAGGACTATCGTAAGAGCAGAGCACGAATCTCAGACTCAGAGATCTGTAGATTGGCCGCAAAAATATCAGACCAGAAATTAATCCAGAGACCCAGTCTTTGGTAGTCTTGGCGCCAGCTCTCGTCGTGTGTGGCAGTTGCATCTTCAAGGAAGTTGCAAACCCGGTTTGTCTCATCCCGACTTTTGCAAGACCTAGCGTCCTCCAGGGTCGAGTGTCTCCTGTCTAGTCTCAGCCACAATAGTATTGCATGTCTCTGGTTGATGCAAATTCAGGTCAGCATGTCTCCTGAGCCTTTATCTATGTTAATGCTCACACCTCGATGAAACGCACTACGATACCAGAGTCCTCTCTATCTGGACACTGTGTTGTCTCTTTCTAATCTACAGCAGTCCTGCATAGATCCAAGACCTGCAACACGTCTTTTGAAAGAGTGCAATGACATATAAGATGCCGTCTGTGCCCTTTTCCCCTTTCCAATCCCTGTCACGACTCTACAATCATGTCATCTGCGTCACAACAGCCCCTATTCTTGAAGCTGGAGGCTCTCGTATTGCCTCGCGACACTCTTTCGGAATGCCATTCTCTGTTTTTCAGTCCTCAGACCGTCGCAGCTGCTATCCTGAAAGGCTGTTCCAAGGCTGAGATTCAGAGGTATTTGCAGAGCTATGATCGCCATTCCATCGAACGTCAAATCTCGGACAACATTCATGAACGCCACTCCGCCCACGCAATCGATATCATAGAGCTATTGCTGGAATACGGCGCTAATCCCGAAGCCAAGGACCCGATGAACGTACCTTTGCTTGCGGTCACGATCATGTGGACCAAATGGACCTACAAAAACGTCGACAAGAGCGTCGCCCTTTTACTTTCATATGGCGCAAGTCCTTACTGCATACCCGAGTACATGTGGTCGATTTACATCAAGATGCCCGCCGAAAGATACACCAAAGACAACCCCATGCATCCAATGGCCAACTGGGCCAAAAAGTATCACCGGATCGTTCTCCAAGAGACAACAAATCTCACCATTCGTTATTATCTCAACCGTGCAAGTCTGACAAAGCTGGCTACGAAGAGACAACGTCAAGTGGCAAAACTTCTTGGGTGCCCACGAGTTCTTCACTTGCCCTTCCACATTGTCGGGCAAGATCATACTCTGGAGATCGTCATGAACAAGATCCTGGCCTACGACGCAATGAACAGGAAGCGGCCTCTTGTCCTCGCGTTTGCCGGTCTCTCGGGTCACGGCAAGACAGAGCTTGCGACTAGTCTTGGGCAACTCTTGGCTACAGACATGTGCAACATCGATATGAGCAAGATAGAACGTACGATGAGTCTGTTCGGCGCTGCGGCTCCATACTTGGGATCACATGAAGGATCGCCTCTCAACAACTACTTGTCCAGTCACACGTCTGAGCGGGGTGTCGTTTTTCTGGACGAATTTGACAAAACCAATCAAGAAGTGCGTCAGTCCCTGCTTACGATTCTGGATTCTGGGTAAGTCGTTCGTGTAGATGTCCTTGAAGCTGGCTAATGTTTAGCATAGTGTTGGGTTGGATCTACGCTCCAACACAGTCATCGATGTGTCCAAATCTATCTGGATACTCGCCTCGAACAAAGGTGACGATCTCATCTCTAAGTTCTACAGCAAGAACCTTGAGGGGAAGAGTGATCGCGAACGGCGACAAGTGTCCGTCAGATCTCTTGAACGGGATTTATCCAAACTCTTTGTCCAAGAGTACACTGTAAGTCATATACAATCATGTTGATAGCCCATGCAATCGACATACACAACAAACCTCCTCGACCAGTTGGCCACCTTCATCTGTCTCTTGTGAAGGATGGAGATCTCTGCAAGTTTCTCTTGGAGAACCACTACATTCGTGATCTGGGAGCAAGATCGATTCATAATTGCGTTGATGGACTCGCGGACGAGTTGTTCATGCTTTACACTGCCTCAGAGGACGAGATAACTGAAACAACCAACAACGGATCTCATGTCAAATACTCGATGCAGCTCCATCCTGTCGATCAGACGTTTGAGGTCGCAATTCGTAAGGACGGCACGACTCTGATCCCGTCTGACTGATGCTTGCAGAAGCTCTGGTGTGCTCGAGCAGACTCATGGCGAGCCAAGCGGGAGAGCTCCCACAATTTAGTGGTTTCTCTTTGTCTTGATCCAGCTGAGGTGGTATCTTGAAGTGGAAATGCAGCAGTCGTGATTTAGGTAGAGTAGTGAAACAGAAAGCAATCAAATTTTTGATCATCTTCCATCCATCCAACTATTGTATAACGTGCCTTGATTAGATATCCCAAGCAAACGCGACTTCGCGCGGCTCATATCTACGTACAATCACAGTCCCATTGAGCCAGCCTTGTTTGACGGTGATACATGAGTTTCCACGGTCTACTTGCGACAGCCCGCGATACCGAATGACGACGCTGGCCAGATTTCCAACGTATGTGCCCACTCAACGTTACCATGACTTTTCCTACTCGGAACTGCACTCGAACTGCCGCAGAGACGGCATTGATGTCGCTGACGGTCGACGACCATTCTTTCTCATCGAAGCGAGAATTCCCACCACTTTTGCGATCAACTCTTGACCTCGGCACTTCGACCACGTCTTTCTTGTACAAGTATCAAATCAACCTCCCGTATTCAAGAAATCCTGCTCTCCGTCCCAGATGTAGTTTTAGCTGTCAGCGGTATATAGGCCTCTCTTAGAGCTTAGGGCTAACAACTCTAGAATAAGATTCAGCCATCCTGTCTCCCGAGCATTCCCGGATAGCCGTTATACCTCTAATTATCATCGGTTTTGTGGGGAGCGAGAGTCAAATGTTCAGCAAGAGCGAAACGGCTGGTTGCTAGTCTCGCTATCTTGCCGTTCATCGTGCCGTCCACGATCGAGGTTGTAACGCAGGAAAGGGAGTCCCAAGACAATCTCGGCAAGCCTCATGTCATGTTTTGTGTCGTTCCTTTCCTTCCAGAACTAGCTCGTTCGATAGTTTGAGGCTCGACTCAGTATAGTAACCCAAGCAATATCTCTTTACGGCTACTGTCCATCCAACGTCCCTTCGCCAGTGTACCGCTAGTATGGTACAGTACAGGGTCATTCTGATCGGATATGGCGTACCTCAACTGCCATGCGGCCGGCTGACATGGCGCCAACTTCTACGAACACTCCCTGCAACTCTCTTTCTGCCCGCCTTCGGTCCACTCTTTGAGCATCCTTGCAGCAGCATATGTCAGCATCAACCATGGCTCTATGGAGTGGACGGAAAGAGACTGAACAAGTCGTCGTTGTCGTTGTTTTTCTCACGTTGGCTCTGATCATTCTTTCTCTACGACTCTACACCCGAGTGATCGTGACACGAAATCATGGACCGGAGGATTGGTTCATCGCGGCAGCATTCGTATGTCCTACTGTCAGCTTGGTAGTAACCAGAGTCTGACATGTAGACAGTGCTTTTCAATAACACAAGCAACGTTCGTACTTCTGGGTATGCATATCCAATCAGATCTTGCAGGCATCGATGCTGACACTCATCAGAGGTTCACTATGGGCAAGGCCAACCTCAGGATACACTCTCAGCAGAAAACCTGTTGAACCTACTGAAGGTATGACTTGTACCATATACAACCCGTTCATTGAGCTGACGCATTCTAAAAGACACTGTACAAAGCAATTCCTGTGTACCTCGCCGGATTGACATTTACAAAGCTCTCGATCCTATTACAGTACATGCGACTATTCCAAGGGAAAACGGTACACAGAATCATCATTGGAATGCTAGTCTTCGTCGCAGCATATGGTGAAATTCCTTTGCTTCCTGCAAAAACACGCACAGCGCTAACGCAATCTAAACAGGAACGTGGTCAGTTGCTGGATCTTTACTTATCTGCTATCCAGTCCACTACTTCTGGGACCGAAAAGGGACCGCCAGATGCATGAACCACGAAGCAAAATGGTTCAGCGACGCCACCGTCAGCATCATCACCGACCTGATACTCTTGTGTATACCAATGCCCTTTCTCAAAGGTCTCAATCTACCCTACCGCCAAAAAGTAGGCTTGATAGCCGTCTTTGCTCTGGGAGGCCTGTGAGTGAACGAACCCATCTATCACATGCAAAAAGATCTTGTGTAGTGTTGCTAACGACTACTCACGCAAAAAAAAAAGTGTATGCCTAGTTTCCATCGCCAGACTGGGCCCCCTATACATCATCGCAACAACAAACGACGTCAGCCTCCACAACGGTCCCGCAGCCTTTCTCTCAAGCATGGAAGTAAACGTCGCCATCATCTGCGCCTCCCTACCCAGCTTACGAGCAATCACCCTACGCACCTGGTCACAGAGACACTTGCATCACCATCAACAGCCAACCTCAATACGCCACGGTCACTCAGGCTGGTGGCGCTTCGGCAGACAAAATGATGATATAGAACTAGAAGGGGGCCAAAGACAAGATCTAAATGATTCAGGGAGTGCGATCACGAAGAGTGTGACGATTGAAATGAGCACAAAAGAAAGGAGGGGAAGCAGGAAATCCTCTATTTGGTCGTTGCCGTTTCATGGTGGTATCTTTGATGGTGGTATCACCACTAAAGCACACATAAAGTCTAGCATCCGGTGATATTCATCTGCGTATATACATGATATCTCTGTGGGATTCCACAATTCACTCACACGTCGAAGGACCAAAGGAGTAGACAGATCAACAAAGATGAGATGAGTGCCGGATCTACCCATTATTACAAAGATCGAAGTGGGGATGACACAGATCCAATATTTCCATCCGCATGCTAGTATTCCGTAGTCAGAATCTTCTTGAGATCACCGCTCTGTTTCTCATAAACCTCAACCTTGGCTTGACTGGCCACAATCTTTGCCAAAAGATAATTGACACGGCTGGTCAGCTCTGCTGGCTGCCTCGGCAGTTCGCCCAAAAGGTGCAATTCTTGCTCGTACTTGTCAATACTCTGCGTTTCGGCCTTGATGCCCTCGGCCAAGACTGCGAGATCCATGCGTGACTGCAGGACCTTATCCTGAGTCAGCTTTTCGAACGCAGGCTGGTAGACTGGACGACCGGGCTTGATGGCGTATGGGCGGCCGTTGTAGGATTGGATGGCGATGAGTTCCGCTTGTTCGAGGGCTGCGAGTGCTTTTTCGCCGCCGGACTTGTAGGAATCTGATAGCAAGATTTCGTTGTAGCGGATACTTTGGTCCTTGGCGAGCTGCTTGATGAGTAGCCAGGCTTGTTGCGGTGTCCACTGTCTGCCGCTATCATCCTGACCAAGCACAAACATCTTCAAAATCTCGCTTGCGGATTGCTCGACAATCTCGCGGACGGCTTTGCGTGGCGTCTCGCCAGCCTTTATTCTGCGGGCTAGGAATTCGAGATCTGTGAGTCTGCCACCTAGAGCAGGGAGAACGCTGTCGAGTTCCCCGAGATCTTTACGACGTTGCGAAGGAGTCAATTGCTTGATACCAGCGTCTGCATCTTCGGCCTCAAAGTCGATGTGGTTGATGACGAATCGCTTGGCGACCTCGATACTCGTGTCGGAAAGACTGATCTGACGGAACACGCGGTCTGGCAGGGCTTTGGAAAGCGATTTGCTGAAAGAAACATCGTGGGTCAGGAAGATGACGTGAGCAATGTTCGATGTGGTCACACGGGCGGCCCTACTTGGAGTCAGCGTTTGGCTTTGAGAATACCGGTCCCTTCGACATACCATTCAGCAATTTTGTCATAAACAACAGTGCCCTCCTGGCTCTTGTGCAAGAAGTTGTCAATGACAACGACGGGTCGCCTCTCAGGGTGTGCTTCGAGGTATTCGTCGTCGCTAAGGTTAGCATCTCAGTCGTCCTTCTTTCTGCCGTCGAGAGCGATCTGCTTGAGAGCTGTCTGCGTGTTCGTGAAAATTTTACTTAATTGCGAGTCCAGGGTCTCAGAGAACCCGGTCTTGACACCAGTCGCACCTTGGGCTGCAAGATCGATCAATCCACTGATTGAGTTCATCCATGAAAACACCGGTCTGTAGCCGACTTCTGCCGCTGTAGCATTGATAGTGCCTGAGTCGCCACGAGCTTCTTGGATCGGCTTGCAGTCCAAGATCAGCTTATTCTTGCGGTCCTTCAGAGCTTGATCGACGACTAGTTCTCGCTTTGCGGATCCGCGTGGTCCTTGAACCACAATGAATGTGTCAGCTGTTTCCATGAGCCAAGTCTTGATCTGGTTGATGTTCCCTCTCTGATCTTCCCAGATAGCCTCCATTCCAGCTTCGTCGGGAGTATGTGATCTAAGACGCACAACATCAAGAAGGTCGTTTGCCTGTTTCTTGAACCAGCGATAGACTCTGTTGTCTGTGAGATGGAGCGTTCTGGTAATGTGTGCCTTGATGAAAGCGGTACGGATGGGGTCAAAAACAGCAACGGTGAAACCGGCGACGAGAGCTGCAATCGCAGGGATGGCGATCCTGGGGTGGTTCGTAAGCCAGTCAATAAACCATCGTGCCTTCTGCTTTTTCTCGTAGCTGATTCTGAAGACCGTTCCTAGTTTGCCGCCTCCTTGGGTCTCCGAAACGACATAGCCGTGTAAACAATTCTGAATACAGTCAGCAAGTGCTCAACCCGCGATATCTAGAGATATCCCTACCTTGGCCATAACGGCTTTTCTGGTTGCTGTGAAGTCGACCGTGGCAAACTTGGGCAGCACTTTTGAATCAGAAGGTTGAGAGACGATATCTGCCAGTTTTCCATAGGGTCTGAAGTAAGCATATAGCTGTTCTTGAGATAACTCTGCAACTTCGCCTCCAGGGGCCGTCGGCAAGAACTCCACTCTCAATCGCTGACTAGGCAAGCGGTACAAATCCTCGACCCATGGCTTGCCCTTCACTAAGCCTGCTCGAACGTTGGTGATAGGAGCCCACCAAGGCTTCACCTGGTGATCCTGAAGATGTTTCTGTACCGCTGCTTCAATATCGGCTGGTTTCGAACCAGCATCATATGTGAACTTGACAAAGGCACCACCCTCCTTGACTCTGGGCAGCACCTCGACGACGTCTGCTTGCACGGGCTTGTCAGGAGTAGCTTCCTGGGCTCTTTTGATGACTTTCTGAGGATCGATGGCTCCCATGGACTTATCACCTCCAGTCAGGGTCGAAAACAGCCTCTCGGCGCTCAGGAGCGGTAGACGGAGCAGCCATTGCAGTCTGAGAGGGTAGAGATCTGGATGCTTTGCTTAGTGATGTATTTATTGGTCATGCTGAGATAAAAGACTTACTGTTGAAAAACAGCACACCTTGCTTGGTGTCAACGCTGATATGTCCAGTGTTGTTCTCGCCTGCTTCCAGGGAAGAGTTGTAGCGAAGACCTCGAGCACATGTCACGCGATACACCCCGGGCAAGCCAGGGCGTATCAGCTGGCGGGTTAATATATGTTGAGTCGGCAGCATCACGAGCCCATGACCTCGTTCTCAAGAATATTATCCAATATGTCCGATCGAACAGCAATAAATCGAACGAAAAGAGTCGTCTGAAAGGATAAGGTAGTATCTCTTAGCAAACTGGGGGGTTGAACAGAGAAGTTGGAAGTGACCAACGACGTCACGTGTGGCTTGCTCGGAGCGGACTTTCCTCAGAGCAATCATCTTTTGAGATGCACCACTTTTTCTTCCAGCAATTGCAATCATATTAAACCATGGGTTGGTGGTGGTCATCAGATTCAACGGCGGCTCCTGTCGTAGAGCCTGCTTCTTCACAACCGATCCAAACACCGACGCCAGTGTCGACAACAACCACACATAGAGAAGCGCCCAAGAAGCCTTCACCAGACAGCGATTTCGAGGCACTATTCGCTTCCTTCGAGAAGCCCTCGACAACGACAACACCTACAAACCCAGCACCACAGCCTTCGGTAATAGCACAAGAGATCCAGCATGTAACGCCCGCACCAAAAGAAACACCCACCCACTACGTCCCCTCGCCCTCGGGCTCAATCGAGCAACAAACAGCAACCGACGCACCCCTCGACATCTCCCCCGAAGCCCTCTACCCACGCCAAATGTCCTGCCGTCAAGCCTTCGACCAAGCATTCTACTGCCAATCCCTTGGCGGCAAGTTCAACGACATCTACCGGTACGGTGAACTGCGCAGCTGCTCTGACAACTGGAATGCCTTTTGGTTCTGCATGCGCATCAAGACGTTGCCTGACCGCGAAAAGGAAGACCGTATTAAGGAGTTTTACCAGGCAAGAGACGAACAGAACAAGGCTGAGAAGGGCAGTTCAGAAAAGATCTGGGATTTGAGGACTGAGCCTGTCAAGAAGGCTTTCTGGAGAGATCCCGACGAGGTGACTGAGAAGAATTGAGAGGTGTTCCTGTTCATCTAAATGTACTTTTACTGTTGACTGAAAGATACCCAAAGGCGTTCAGCAGCGCCGTCATATGAAATTCGAACCGCTATACTTTTGTACCTATATATAAACTCTTCGAGACATATCTTGCGGAGGTCAGGACATATCACACACGACGGGAACTTTTGATTGGAGTGGAGCAAAGTCGATTTTCATATTTCGTGAATTTCCAAAACGACAGAATAATGGTCTAGTTGTTCGAACCTGTCGCCTATGACAGCATTCGCCGGTCCTTTCCATCTAAATTATGTTTATATGCCAGTACCTGAACTGCCCGGTAGCTCTCTTGTAGAGGCACGCTTCCATGAAGTGGTAGTGAACGTGGCAGCTGTCAATGGAAGCGGCGCGTGGCTTGGGGCAGCTAGATGTAGTAGCTCTATTTCCTTGATGAGTAAGCCCAGCGCTAGGTTGCGCCTGTGCCATGCTGTTGATTTGCCCAAGGATTTGTCCGAAGAATGAAGGAATTCGAAGAAAGCATGCTGAACGCAAAATCGCAGTAATCAATCTTTTGTGTGCAAACAAATCATCTACTCGGCATCGCTGTCACCACCGAGGGTCATGCCAGACTTGGCAGCACCAGGTGCAGAGAGCTTGGTAGGGGGAACACCGAGACCGTTGCGGTTTCTGAAGAAGAGAACACCCTTGCCTTCACCCTGAGCACCCTCGGAAGGCTCGACCCACTGGCACCATCTGGCGCTGTTGTAAATGGCCTTCATGAATCCGATGGGACCGTCCTTGACATCGCTGCGGTAGTGCTGGCCCATGATGGGCTTGATGGCCTCGGTGGCCTCATCAGCGTGGTAGAAGGGGATGGTCGAGATGTAGTGGTGGAGGACGTGGGTCTCGATGATGCCGTGGAGAAGGTTGCGACCGATGAAGCCGAACTCGCGGTCGATGGTGGCGGCGGCTCCACGAGTGAAAGTCCAGGTGTTGGCATCGTAGTGGGGAAGCGAGGGGTCGGTATGCTGGAGGAAAGTGATGGCAACGAGCCAGTGGTTGACCCAAAGGTAAGGAAGAAGGTACCAGACAAGGAGGTTCTGGAAACCGAAGTTCTGGTAGATGAAGTAAAGGGCAGTGCAGGTCAAGGCGAGACCGACATCAGACAGGAGGATCAGCTTCTCATCCTTGCGCTCGTAAAGAGGGCTGGAGGGGTTGAAGTGGTTAACACCACCGAAGAAGCCGTTGCGCTTGCCCTCACCCTTGCCCTCCGTCTGCTTGTGGTGGTTGGTGTGGCCGGTGACGTTGGTGATGATGTACAAGGGCCAGCCGAAGAGCTGCTGGAGGATCATGTGGGTAGCAGTAGCGATGGGGGTCTCCTCCATCAACTCGGAGAGCTCGTGGATGGCGTGGCCGACTCTGCCGGCGTAAACCTCACGGGTCTTGGGAAGGAAAACCATGTCGCGCTCCATGTTGCCAGTGGCCTTGTGGTGCTTGCCGTGGGAGATTTTCCAAGAGAAGTAAGGGACGAGGAGAGCAGAGTGCAGGACCCAGCCGACGGTGTCGTTAAGAGTTTTGGAGGGAGAGAAAGCCTGGTGACCACACTCGTGGGCAATGACCCAAAGACCGGTACCGAACAAGCCCTGAAGGACGGTGTAGAGGGCCCAGAGACCAGCTCTAACGGGAGTTGAGGGAATGTACTCGGGAGTGACAAAGTTGTGGGCGAGGAGGAAGGTGGTAGCGATGCAGACAATGTCACGGGCGATGTAGTAGAAACCAGTGGCAGCAGAGCGCTCGAAGCAGTGGGCAGGGATGGCCTCGCGGATCTGCTTGATGGTGTAGTCGGGGATCTTGAACTCGTTGCCGTATGTGTCGATCAAGGATCCGCACTGATTCTTGAGCTCCTCACCATCGACGGAGCCCATCGAAGACAACGAGCTGGTCGAGGGAGAATTGCGAGGAGAGTCGGCGGGACTGACGACCTGCGAGGGAGCAGACGAGCTGGCGACCGATTGTGCTGTGACAGAGCGCTGGACAGCGCCCCTCTGGACGGGGAGAGCAGTGGAAGATGCCATTGCGATTGTTGTGAAAGTGAAAGACGTTTGAGCGGGAGCTCAATTGGAGGAATTGGCAGTGATAAGGAGAGGCAGAGACGGGGCAAGCCAAGCAGAAAAGCAAGTTGCCGTGTCAAGTGGGATAAGATGCAACAAGACTTGTTGGGGCAGAGGCAGAAACAAGTCGCAGCCTGTATGTGGATGACAGAACGAATGAGCGAACAGGATGCAAGAGAAGGACAGGAGGAGCGCGGGTTTTAATCGACAGGGACACGGTGTCGTTGTGCGGTCTGAAAAATGGCAATAATTGTCCCCAAGCTCTTATTCGCCCACGCGCTAGAAGCGATGACCCTGGAAGGCGAGAACTTCCAGAGCCAGATTAACCTCGGTGAATCGTGCGTTTCATGCCATCTGGCTGACCATCGAACCTTCTCAACATTTGTCTTCTGTTTGCTGCTTCCACCTCGGCCACCTTATCAAACGCTGTTTTCCGACCTGTACAAAGCCCTCGTGCTGTGCCTGTGACTTCTCATTGTGCCTCCCGACTCTGATGCCCACTACTCTGGTTGCCAATCCCTACTCGTCTTGCTTGGATTCTCCCGAGCGGCGAATTCCATAATATGGGCGATCGCGTCCCCACAAGTTGAAGCAAGCCCCCTTTGCCAAAGGCTCAAGCGCGGTGAAGCGCCCCAACAGCATCTCTGCTGATCTCTCCTGTTCGTCCTTGGCATTCTTCCTAATTGCCCCGATCTTCGACCTTCTTCCACCTCTCTTGACTGCAGCCTTCCGCCGCCGGTGCATTGGTCTGGGGGACACGGGTGTGGCTCTCGCGTCTCCAATCCTTACATCGCCGTCCTTGATCGCGATACTTTGACACTGACGAGCGTTGGCTGACTGTTGCTGCTTTTTGCGGGTCAGTCCTTGGGGAGAGCTTCTGCCCGGCGATTGACCCAACATCTGTGCTTCTTTCCATGACCGTTCGAGATGCTTCAGGACTCGTACCACTTTCGGTGACTGCTTTTTTGCTTTTTCTCAGGCCGCAGCGACTGTCTTTCCCCTGACCTGCTGTGCTTCTGACTCTTGGGATCATGCAGGACGTGATGCACAATTTGGAGTGTTCTTCCCGAAACCCCTCACGGCAGCATTGTTGGGACGGCGTTCGCTGTCTGTCGATGACACTGAACCTTGTCACGGCGCAGTGCATCTCCTCGTCATTCATGGGCACACTTTCAAATCGATCCTTTCAACTCGAATACCCACCACAATGGGCAGTAATACTGTTGGGTGACATGACGTCGGCTCTCACGAGCGTTACATGTGTTATTCATGTGTCTGTATCTCTGTACTTTTATATGCAGTCGTGGCTTCCAAATCTAGGGCCAACTTTTCTGATCCAATCAGTGTATCCACCTCCAATATCCTTCTCCTCCGGCTGGTTGACACCGGGTATATACTCGTAGTAACGTAAACACATAGCTTCCCAAAATGTTGAATATCCTTTGACGCCATGCATGAAATCTTTTTCGTTAGAGCTTCATTCGAATGCTATCGTACTGCTCACCCCCCACCACACCTTTGTGCCAGTCATCCAGACACTTAGGCGCGGTCGGGCCAGAGCTCGTTAGCGACCGACTTGACAAGGTTGAGCTTGGCGAACATCTTGTCCTCGGTCATGGCCTCGGCACCGACACCGGTGCTGGCGAAACCGCACTGGGGACTGATACCGATGCACTCCATGGCCTGCTCGCGGCTGACGCCCTGGCCCTTGGCAATGATATCGGCGGCCTCGAGGATTTTCTCCTTGATCTCCTTGGCATCCTCGAGGTCGGCGACCTTTGTGCTGACGACACCGAGAACGACGTTCTTGTTCTTGGGGAGGAAGCGCAGGGGCTCGAAGCCACCGCTGCGGGCATCATCGTACTCGAGGTAGAAGGTGTCGTAGTTGAGAGTCTTGAAGAATCTCTCGGCGATTTGCTCGTACGAGCCCTGGGAGAAGTGCATCGACTTGGAGAAGTTACCTGTGCGAGATTAGTATACTGATGGCTGCTGTTCATGTGGCAGTATAGCTTACCTCTGCAGATGTGGAGACCAACGTGGAGACCCTCGGGGCGGCCCTCGAGACAGTCGTTGTGGGCCTTGCAGTACAGGTCGAAGAGCTCATCGGGGTCGACACCGTCGGCTTTGAGACCCTCGAGCATGTCCTTGGAGCAGAAGTAGGCAAGAGTAGGGTCATCGATCTGGACGCTCTTGAGGCCAGCGTCGTGCAGGACCTTGAACTCCTTCTTGTAAGCCTCGGCCAGGTCGGCGAAGAAGGCGGCATCGGTGGAGTAGACCTCCTTGGGGTAGCACTTGCCGGGAGCAAGGCGGAGATGGAAGTAGGGAGCCGGGGGCATGGTGAACTTGCACTGGTCCCACTGCGACTCGGGGACCTGCGACTTGAGGTACTCCCACTTCTTGAGGTAGGGGCTGTGCTTGTACTCAATCTTGCCGTTGCAGACGACAGTCATGGGGTACTTGAGGCCGGCCTTCTTCAGGGCAGCAATTGGAGGAGCAGACAGTCTGTAGAGGTCCCAGGGAGCGTCGTCGACCTCCTCGAAGCCGTCGAGCTCCTCGAAGAAGCCACCGAAGTAGACCTTGCGGTCGTACTCGCCCGAGCAGATGGGACGGACACCCTCATCTTGCTGACGCTTGACAATGTGGGTGATGGCCTTGTGCTCAGCAGCCTCGAGCTCGGAGTCGGAGATCTGCTTGTTGGCAGCCTTGGTCTTGGCCTCCTGGAGGTCGGCAGGACGGAGGAGAGAGCCAATGTGCTCGGCGTGGAAGGGAAGTCTGACCATGTTTGCGATATGGGTGAATTTGATGTAGGAGGGAGGAGAGAAGAAGAAAGCTACAGAGACTCTACATCGATATACATATGCCCCTCCATGGCGTGAAATGAGAAGTACCGAATAACTGCAAGCATCCCGAATCATCTGCCGGTTCGCCCTAGCTTCGCTGAGTTTTGTCCATTCTATGACAGCCCACGCTTGTTATCATACCAACTCTTAGGTAATACTCGTCCTGCTAAATGCTCTCGAATTTCAATATGACCAGATCGCCTACGATTCATTTACCTGGAGCTCTATTCGCCATCTCGTAGCAGGACCGATAGCGGTCAGCGCCGACCGAGGTGTCAAACCTTCTTCGCCTTTACCCTGAGAACTTTTTTGAGCCGCATTCAAGCGTTGCCCCGCCATGTCCTGGGCAGTCCAGCCGCTGCTACCTACTTTGACTTGCAGGACTGCTGACCTTTGAATCGTGTGTCGGAGAGGAAGATGTATCGCATTATAAGTAACTGTATTTTGCACGAGAGAAACAACGTTTCTTTTTCGGCACTGGCCTTATATTTTGAGTGTCATTCAAACGAGTGGTGATTTGGTAGCCCTTCCCTCAAGCTTCCATTGTGGTTGTGATCGAAAAACCTTCTTGCGACATTGTCACTCACGAAGACCCAGCGACAACTCAATGGCGTCAGTCTAGGGACACAGGAGGGCCAGTTACTTGTTAAGTGAGCTGTGATAGACCGCAGGTGACGAGATGGTGGACAGAGAGCATGGTCGAGTACAGAACAGGGTCACTACAAAAGCAAGCTGGACTTGCGCGCGCAGAAATTCTACCGTTTCAATCAGACTGTACATGCAAGTCAGGAACACAGACACGGAAGGATGGAAGAATAATTTCATTAGCATGTAGCATTATCACTTGTATCTGTATGCCAGAATAAACACGCCAGCCAGAGAACAGCATCTAAGCTATTCCAGCATGCCTCTTACTCCATCCCAGCCTACTCGTCCTACTCGTCTTGGCTGGGCGCCAGAATGGCCTGGCACTCCTCAATATCCCGAATAGTCTCGTTGAAAGTGTCAGATACTGCCGAGACAGCGTGGTTGCGGTTCCAGTCGCCCTTTGTCCTCCAGATCGCGTCCATGATGTTCGCCATGACCTGCTCCAGCTGTTCGACATTCAGTCCGCTCGACTTGCGCACCATCTGATCATCGAGACTCCTCAGAAGACCGGAATCAGCGTGGATGAGTTGCGGCTCGTTAAGCAACGCCTGGACTGCAAACGAATGGTGATGAGGCTGGCTGCTTGCTGGCGGTGGACCCATGGTTCTTTGCGGCGACAACTGCGACGGCTGCGAACCGTACATGTCTGGTGGCTGCGTATTAGGCAATTGGCTGCCACCTTCGAGATGAGGCAAAGTACTGAAGTCTGGGGCATCATCGTTGCGCGCGCCGTTCGAAGAAGCGTTGGTGATGATCGAGTACGGAGCACTACTCCTGTGACTGTGACTGCTTGTCTTTTGGCCCGAGCTAGTCGAAGACGCGCTGTTATAGTAATCGTGATGTGCTGAACCAGGTGCTATCCGTGTCAATGCACTGGTCTGAGTATGTGTGTGGTATGGCTGTGAGCCCTGTGCAGATGGAGTCGCATAAGGTTGAACGAACCCAGCGCGTTCTTGAGGGTTGACAAGAGAAACTTCCTGGCTGTCGGGCATCTCAGGCTCGCCGTGTGCTCTGGAAGGGACCCTTGAGCCATTCGTGTAACCATTGGACAATGGACTGGGTCCCAAAGGTCTGGCCGGCGTGAAAGGATGCAACATGCGTGGCCCAGGCACTTCCTCTCCCAGATGAACTGGTCCACTAGACTGCTCGGTAATGGTATTCGAGACATCAGGTGGTACATTTGGTGTGATGATGGGCACCTCACGTCCTTCTGCCTTGGCCGTTTCGATTTGCTCTTTCTCACGAGCTAGCTCGCGGTTGTAGACGGCCTCACACTCCGCAACCAGTACAGGGTTTATCGCCTCGAGGTTCATCATGTCAACTTCAACGTTCGCCAACATCTCGTTAGCCTTGAGTAAGCGTTCTGGATCGCCACTGTTCTTTGCGTCCTTGGCAAGTGCTCGGATATCTGTAAGAAAATCCTTGGGTCGCTTGTAGTATCCGTTTGACAGGCGCTTCTCAATGGTAACAATTTCCAGATTGTAGTATTGCTTGCCGGTGACAGTTTCATGCAGAACCGTAGTGCCCTTCGCGTCCTTGGCTAGTTCGAAGGGTCTCAGCTGTTGCGCGGCCTCGCGATCCAGATCGGTTGTGACGATGCTCGGGTCTTGCTCATCGTAGAGATAACCAATCAGGTTTTCATCTATGACACCGACTCTGAATTTCTTGTACTTGAGCTTGATCTGATCCATGACTGGTTGGATGAGCAGTTTGAGATTGTTGAGCGTGAAGCGGTCCTTTTTTCTTTGTGCCTTGATCTCTGCCTTGCTTGGTGCCTTTTGTTCTTCCTCAATGATTGGTGCGTCGGGTAGGACTGGTAGGATACGCTTTTTACGATTCTCTGGTTGAGGGAACTCTGCCGGTGATTGTCGAATGTAGTTCATTGCCTTGCTGAAGAATTCTCTGCGAGCCATCTGTACGTGTTCGTTAGCAATCTGCACGAAGGGACAATCAAGGACAAGACTTACTTCTCCAGGTCTATCCAAGACAAAGTAATTCTTCTTCGAACGGCTGAACAGCTCCCTCATCATTTCATGATTGGGGCTGGATTCGTTAGACCTCAGTTCCATCACACCAAGTACCAGTACTGGATCTGTGGGAGCCAAGGTCCTCAAGAGACCATTGAAAGTCTTGATGACTTGCTGTCCCATTGTCTCGTACCAAATGTCGATGCTGGGAAGATAGATGACACTAGGCTTGTGGCGTTTGACTTCCTCGAACAGTTGAACAACGGCTGCTTCAGGTGACTGCGAAAAAGTCAGCTTGATTGTGACACTCTCAATGACACAAACTTACTCTTGTAGAATCCTTAAGCAATGTCGACATGTCAAAAGATTGTACATGAAGTCCTTCAAACTTGGCCAACAACGCAGCACTGATGTACTGCTGACCCATGCCTTCAAGACCGCTAATGAGCAATCTTGGACGGTTGATCCTGGAGCTTTCGAACTCTCGCTGGAGATTCTCCTTCTCGAAGCCATGCTCGTCATCTCGGTCATCGTACATGGCCTCTTCCAATGCTGTTGTCGGCTTCTTCTGAGGTATAATATCATCGATGATGGCCGACACTTTCGCAAGTGCATCCCTGAGCAGTGGCTCGACATTGGGTTTCAAAGCCGAAGCACCGGAAGCCGCAGATCGCTCGGAGGAAGGTACGATCTTGTTGACCGAGATCATAAAGTCTTTGGCTTTGACCCTAATCTGCGCAGGGTCAATGAGCAACTTCTTGTTGCTAGAATAGATCTGGGGGAAGGTTCCTTGCACAGCGTTCAAAGCAGCTTCTGTGCAGAGCGAACGAAGATCAGCACCACCATATCCCTTGGTCAAAGCTGCAAGTTGATCCTTGAATTCTGGTTTCAATGGAGGCTCCCATCCTTTTGTGTGGATGTCGAGGATAGCACGACGAGCCTTGACGTTAGGAAGTGGGAAGTAGAACTCTCTGTCGAAACGACCAGGACGGCGCAGAGCGGGATCGACTGAGTCGGGACGGTTGGTGGCACCAATAACAATAACTTGACCGCGCCCGTCCATACCATCCATGAGAGCGAGGAGAGTGGCAACAATCGATGCATGAATCTGCTCTTGCTTGCTTGATCGAACAGGAGCAAGACCATCAATCTCGTCGAAGAAGATGATACTAGGCTGCGTCTTTCTTGCCTCTTCAAATAGCAATCTCAATTGTCTTTCAGCTTCTCCGACCCATTTGCTCAGTGCATCGGCACCTTTACGCATGTAGAATGTGACCTTCTTGCCATGAGTGCTGACACTGGAAGCAAGGGCTCTAGCAAGTAGTGTTTTACCAGTTCCAGGAGGTCCGTGGAACAGAACTCCGCGAGGTGGGGTAACCTTGAACGTTTGAAAGATCTCTGGGTACATGAGTGGAAGCTGGACCATTTCCTTGAGTCTGTCGATATGGTCTTCAAGACCTCCGACACCGTCGAAATTGACATTCGGGTCCACGCCTAAGGGATCAGCATCGGCCAAGGCCTTCTTGTCCTTGACTTTTCCGAAGTTGGACAAACCACCAGCGGTCGACGCGCCAGCGTCTGTATTGTGAGTTTGTGGGAAAAGACCGGGTGCCGAACCAGCGGTTGGTGTCATGCCTACAGTGCCTCCAACACCGCGAGGCATTTTCTGAGCCATGTCATCGTCGCTACTGTCAGAGTCGGCTCCACCAGCAGCTTCTGCACCTTCACCACCGAACACAGGCGTGGGACCGCCAGCGCCGCCGAAAGGACCCAAAGTCGAGAACAGAGATCTCCAAGGCCCAGCTGCACGACGATTCCGCTGAGACGTTGGCGGTGCGACTATTTCCTCCTCATCAGCCTGTTGAACTTCAGGTCTGAAGATGCGGTAATCAGGTCTATTAGACCTGTTACGCAAAGTTGTGCCTTCAAAAACAATGTCATCACGTCTACTGCGACGGGGGCGTTTGTTACGACGCCTTTCTTCATGCAGCTCATCAGCTTCGTCGGCAACCTCGTCTGGATCGACTTGTTCCTCCGAAGATTCGCGCGAACGCTTAGCAGCTGTGCGTCGAGATCGCCTGGGGCGGCCACCACCACTACTCGAGTCGTCGCTCTTCTGATTCTTCTTGGGCGAGATCTGCAGTTCGTCGGCGCTGGAAGCTTCTTCACCACCGGAGACTGGAGGCTCGAAGTCGCTACTAGCTTCACCATTCGATTTACGCGTGCGTGGCCTAAGTCTTCGTCCCTCGCGGCCTCGCTGTGGCGGACTTTCAGTCTTCTGCTGTGACTGGACAAGAAGATCAGACACAACCAAGTCATCAGGCAGTGTCACTTGGCTTACCCTCAATTTGCGCTTGTTCGTATTAATCGGACCCTCATCCTCGTCATCGTCTTCCTCTCCTTCGGCATCAGCTTCCTCAGCAATCGGTTCTGGTTCTTCCATTCGCACATCCGAGACGAAAGGGGACGCGGCTCCAGCTGTATCGTCTTCCTCCTCCTCCTTGGGTGCAGGCTCGGCATATGCGCGCAATTCTCTATCGAAGGACTCGGGGACTTCGCCGTAATCTTGAGAGGCAGGAATTTCTTCTTGAGAAACCTCCATGATTGCACTGACAGTAGTGGTAGGTGGTGGCTTTTTGTGACCTTTGCTTCTTGTATTTCTAGCAGATTGAGGATCGGGTGTGAAAGATGCCTGACGAGCGCCTTGAGTGTGGGCATGCTTGCCAGAGTCACCAAGCGCTACCAAAGGCTCTTGCGCTACCGAGGCGCGACTGCTGCGTCTGGTCGACATGCCAAAGCCTTCGGCGGCAGGCGTTGTACCGCGCACCGATATCCTGGCGCTGTTCGCCCTTGTTGATCTACGCGGATTGCTCATCTTTTCTGCGTCCCTAAAGGGTTCCAACTTTTCTGGCGCGATACGAAGCTTGAGGATGAGCGAACGTGTGATCGGCTTTGGCTGCGGAAGCTCTGCAATAGCGTCGTCGCTTCCCTCGGCGTCTTCGTCGGATTCGGCGTACTGTACTGGGATACGAGCAGCCTTGCGCTTCTTGCGCTTGCCGGGGCCCGGCGAATCTTCCTCGTCCTCGGAACCAGAGCTTTCCTCGATGCTATCTTCGTCGAAAGAACCCTCGTCGTTATCGTCGCTATCGTCAACGACTCCGTCGCTACCGTAGTCGTCTCTGCGTTGGCGTTTGCGCGAGTTGTGGGATTTGGACTTCTTGGGACGTGCGCTTCTCACTTTTCTGGGAGACGAGTTGACATGCGCGTCGTCGTAATCCCCGTCAGCAGAATCACTCTTGGTGAAGTCTTCGGGACGTCTGAACGAGCGCGGACGCTTGGGCATGGTGTGTCAAGCGATAGAATGCGCGATGCAGGGTCCAGGCTGCCGGTGTCGTGTGGGTAGACTCAGTGTGTCGCGCACCACTCAGACGGAGACTGTATGCATATATCGATACGGAGATGTGGTTACGGTGGTCGACTATTACGCGTTCGGCTGGTGGGTTGTACTGCGCGTGCGCAAGTGTTGGCGTTGCAGCGAATTGGCGAAAGCTCAACCTTGCAATCAGTGTATCAAACAAACGCGTCCTCTTTTGCACGACATGGAGCACGCTGATGATGCTCTTCGATAAATTCAAGTCATTAAATGATGGTAATGATGGAAAGGGGAGAAAACGAATTGGCGGGAGAAGTGATCTCTGATACCAAGTCTTGGCGACAATCCGAACATCGAAACTCACTGATTCGAGCTTTAATTCGAGGCACAACCGGATGGATGTTCTATCGCGAAACTCATGCTATATGAATAAGACCAAGGTCGAATCTGATCGCAGAAACTGCAGAGAACCTGTCCTGCCCGTTCCGCAACCCCCTAGACCTTCCCTGGCCTCGCAATCGAGCAGACGACATCGTAGAGCATCCAGGAACCATGTCCCCTGCTGCCCCAATTCATAGTTCCCGTCGATCTCCCCACAGATGCCATGTGTCGGAGAGTAGGTTAATCAGACCTCAAGTCACAATGCAATCACGTGACTCGCGACATTCGCCAGCTCATTGCATGAGAAGATGTTGGAAATGTTGCATGCTAGAACAGTGGACCCGCGGTCTCTCCGGTAGTACTGAAGTTGTTTGGTCGCTTTGATGTAGATTCCAGAAGTGAGGTTGGTCTCGAGTTGACCCTCTCGTTCACCTTTGCTGAGTCGCCCCACATCGACTCTCCACGAAATCTCCTCTCACTCACATGTTTGCTTTCGCATCAATCGCAGCTGTGATGCTATCAATGAAACACGAATTGTTGTATTCTTGAATATCATCAACTAGTCGCCAGGTCAAACGCGTGTAAAGAGCAGCGAGCATGAATCAGCAGCTCGGAACAAACTCAGCCCAGACTTTGTTAGCAGTAAGTGAGACTATCATGTTTGCTATCAATGAAATATATCGACCAAGAATGCGAATGACGATGGCGATAGACTTGACGCTTGAAGTTTGCTCACGAGCGTGAGTGTGTCAAAAATCGGGAGTACAGATTCGGCTTGAGTCGGCAAGCTTTGGGCGGGCAGCCGAACAACGTTCGCTCGTGCTCCCCATCTATCGTGCTTTCTAAATCGTCTGTCTCGGAGTCAAATATCCATCGAGAAGTAGGTAGTAAACATTGTGAAGGTCATCGCAGACTCGAGTGCTCGTTGTAAATATCGTACATTTGCTGTATAGAACAACTGCCACTAGATTCGACCATGATCCAGCCTAGACGCCTCGAACGCTATGCGAATTGCACGCTTTTTTCCACCTGTTCCTCCCAAAAGGAAACTTTACTGTCAAACAAGGACCAAGAGCATGGCCTATTATGACCAGAGATCTAATCTATCGACCAATATGACCATCGCATAGAGACTGCTCAGCGGAAGCCGGGGATACCAGTGAACTTCTGGCCCTCGGGCAGCTTGGGGCTACCGAAACCAACATCAAGGTCCAGGATGATCTTGAGCGCATTTCTACTCCTCAAGTAAGGAAGCGGTGCCTTTGCCTCTTGCAATCCGGTTGCAGGCTCGAGGCTGCCGCGAGGTCCGAGGTCGTGCTCCTCACCAGGAAGAGGGAGAAGATTTTGCAGAAGCTCGTAACCAGCGAGAGTGAAACCGAACTGAGGCGAAGAACGAAGAATACGGGCAGGTCCACCCTTGAAGAAGGCACGGAAACCTTCTTCTTGCCAAACAGTCTTGGCGCAATGGCGGAGCGATGTGTACTGGGTTTCTCCCTTACGGGCTTCTACTTGCAGACGAGTCTTGATAACGTCGCAAGGAGTGGTCAAATATGCTGCAGGCATACCGGCAATGGCACCTGCGGTTAACAGTTGCAAGATACCTAGATCCACATGTTAGGAATTGTGAAACTACCATGATGGGTATATTGACTTACCGAGCTTCTTGTTTTGGCTTTCTCCGAAGTAGTCCTTCTTGAGATGGTTGTATGTAGGGAAGTAAATGGCAGAGAATGGGACATCACGCAACAAACATGCACTGGCACCCTTGTAGAGACCGACCAAACCGAGGTTACGCACGATCCACATGGCACTTCTCTTCTCGACAGCCTTTTGTGACTTGGCAACCTCACCCTGGATCTGCAGACGAATCTTGACAATCTCGAGAGGGTTGGTGAAGATGACCTGACAAGCACCAGCACTACCACCAGCGATAATCTCCCAAGGAAGTTTGATCTCGCCAGTCGTGGGGTCTGAAGCCTTTCCTCTGACCAGGTCGTTGACTGTCAGCTTGATGGCCTTCTCGGGGGCTACACCAACGAGCTGGGGCAGTACACCAGAGTACAAGCCTCTCACACCCTCGTTGCGGATGACCTTTGAGAAACAATCGATCGAGTTCTTGTAGAGGAGCTGACCGACACGGGCCTTGCGCTGGTTCTGCATACGGGTCTTGACTAAATCAATGGGGTAGACCATGAAAGCACCAAAGGCACCAGCAATGGAACCGAGTGCGAAGTGATGTGCGGACACGAGAACACCATGGAGGAAGGAACTTGATTTGGAAACAGCGGCAGCGGCAACGTCAGCAGCAGCACCAGTAGCGGCGCCGTAGACTGTGTGGTGAGACGCCCAGGAAGCATCGAGGACGCGTGCAAAATCGGAGACTCCTAGACGGCCGGAAGGCTGGTCTAAGCTGGCAAAGTGGAAGAGGATGTCGGCTTCCATGGGGGTGAACAGAGAGAAGCGAGTGATGCGAGCGGCCTCGTTCAAGAAGTCGGTACGAGTGATCTTGCCGTCGTCGGTCTTTCCGACAGCGTTGCGAATGACCAACTCGACAAGGTCCATGTCGCGGATGATGTTTTGGAAAGCGCGTACATTGGCATACGAGATGTGGCTGCCGGGCGAGATGTTGCAGAGGGTCTGGAGATTGGAGAGAAGGTGGTCGGACAGCTTGTGCGAGGCGGTCTCGCGGATGATGCGCTCGAACTCCTCGGGGTCAATGTAGCCGTCGCCGTCCTTGTCGAAGTGGTGGAATGCTTGTCTGATTCTTTCTCCTTGCAGACCACGCAGCATCTGGGCGAACTGCGGGTAGGTCATGCTATGCCTGTTCTTGCGGTCGCCAACATACAGGGAGGCCCATGTTGAGTTCCAGTCGAAGGGAATGTTGTCGGGAGAGCGGTTGCGAGCATAAGCTTCCTTGAACGAGTTGAAGTCAACGACACCAGTGTTGGGGTCGCAGAAAAGACGGAAAGCGATCTCATACTCGGCATCGGGCTTTGCTAGGAGGTTGTTGAAGGTAGCCCAGTCGGAGAGGGTTACGCGACCAGTCTTGCGGCGGTCGGCAATGGAGAAGAGGACGGCATACTGCGCACGCTTGATCTTGTGCTGTTCAAAGTCAGCATTGGCGGAAATATAGAGGCTCAGAGATGCGCACGTAATCCTCAGACTCGGGAGCAATGGCATTGACGAACTCCTCCTCGCCCATGTAGTGGTCTCCGGACTCGGGATCGGTTGTGGCATATTGCATGAACTCGGCACGCGTCTGGGACGGAAGCTGAGCCTCCTCCTCGACACCGAGCAGAGTCTCCTTGACCGTCTCCTTGAGAGTCGCGGTGGTCGACGCCATGACAGTGGGATGTGGTTTGAGAATACACTTGGGTATTCAGAAGGATGACAGCTGGAGCGCGGACAGCGAATTCGGCGTCACTTCCAAGAAGGATTCCGGGGGACGCACGGTCAAGTCAGCGATCCTGGTATACGATGACGGTATCGGGAGGAAAGGCGAGATGGATAGATTGAGAGGCTAAACGCAAGCAAGCGAGAGACAGGACAGTGGTATGTAGAACAACAGAGTTCAAACACGAGTGAGTCAGGGAAACTTGTTGAAGCTCGAGTTTTTTGCCAAACCAAGATTCAGTCGGGCCGGGGTACGGCGACTCAAGGCAGAGCGTGGGATGTAACTTCAGCCGAATATGAGGTGCGGCATATGCGGGCTTTCGTTATGCTTTTCCGGGGGTGCCGTAAGAGGTCATTGCCCGCGCTCGCAGGCAGGTAGAGCAAGAGGGAGCTCCATAGCCATGAGAGATGACAGCCGCTCGCCGTTGTTTCGAGCTTGATCGATAGCATCGCCGACTATTCGGCAGGCGCTGTAGTCAAGGCGGTGAAGTGGCAGCTCGGGCCCGACCAACGCCAACGCCGGCAGAATCAATGCATCCGTCATTCACCAGCACCCACAACCAAACACTTTAGACAAGCCATCTCACCACACAACCATGGCGCAACCAGTAGACCAAAGTCCATACTTCGCCGACCGGAGAGCAAATGGCGGCCTCATCGTTTCAGACGCGCCAAAGTTCGACCTGGAGAGCTATGCCGCCAACTATGACCGTATGTCGTGATGATTTCGCTACACCACCGCTCTTGCCCCAGCTCACCCAAGACTCCAGAATACGCACGCGTGAACCGTCTGAGCAACATTGCCCATCTGTGTCCCCCCTTAGCTCTCGATGCCCTCCATCTGGCCATCCCCGCCTCCAAGAACGCAAAGGACACCCAACAGTACCTCGATCTCACAAAACTGCTCCACCAAATCAGCCCTGACGATGCCTTGGCCGAAGTCGACACCGCATGGGTTGAAAAGACCAACAAGCTGAACGAGCACGAGACGGAACGTCTGGAGAATGAGCTACGCGGATACAAGAACAACCTCATCAAGGAGAGCATCAGGATGGGCCAGGAAGACCTCGGCACTCACTTCCTCAACATGCACAGACTGGAGCTGGCAACAAAGGCCTACCACAAGATGCGCGAGTTCTGCACCACTCCCAAGCACATTGCCGAGATGACGCTGAAGCTGGCATACATCAACATCGTCTCGCCCAACTGGATCTCGGCCGTCTCGACCGCTCAAAAGGCTCGCTCTCTAACCCTCCGTCCCGAAGACAAGCCCCGCTTCGACTCTGTCTCTCAAGCATGCACCGGCTTGGGCTACCTAGGATCTGGCAACTATGGCCCCGCTGCCCACGCCTTCCTCGCAGTCGACCCCTCATACGCCACCATCGGCCCCGTCGCAAACATCGACTTCTCTCATGCCGTCATGAGCGCCAACGACATTGCAGTATACGGAGGTCTCTGTGCCCTAGCCTCCATGGACCGCCAGCAACTCCAAGACTCTGTCCTCGAAAACGCAAACTTCCGCAACTTCCTCGAACTAGAACCACATATTCGTCGCGCAATTTCCTTCTTCTGCGGCGCAAAGTACAGCCAGTGTCTCGCTATCCTCGAAGCCTACCGTACAGACTACCTCCTCGACATCTTCCTCGGTCCTCACGTCAACATGTTGTATCATCTTATCCGCAGCAAGAGCATTGTCCAATACTTTGTCCCCTTCTCGCAGGTCACTCTGTCCGCTCTGTCCGAAGCATTCCCCAAACAAGGAGGCACACCTCAAATGATGGAGACAGAGCTAGTCGACATGATCAACCGCGGCATCCTCAACGCCAGAATCGACACGGTCGATCAACTGCTGATTGCACCACCCAAGGACTCTCGCGCAGATGCCCACCGTGGCGTCATTGAGACTGCGGACGAGATCGAACATGCCTTGCGTCTGAAGCTGCACAAGATCAACATGGTTCAAGCTGGTCTGGAGATCCAAGCTCCAAAGACATCAAAGGGACCCAAGAACCCTGTGCCTTCGTCTTGGGGCCCTGGTCAGACACTTGGCTAGATGCGGAGATCGATCAAGGCATTAAAGATCTGAAAAGCATCTTTTTTCTCAAACACGACGGCACGATAAACCTTTTCTTCTCAGCAGGGTTGCTTTTCTGATACATGGCATGCATAGCTCAAGGCGTTTGGTAAGGGGTGACAGGAAGAGTGGATGCAAGGGAGGAGACTCCATACAGTGCTCCCTTCTCCGTTTCTGTAAATTCATCAAATCAGATAAATGATGCAATCAATACTTCAAATAACGAAAGTGTGTTTCTGTATAATATCTGCAGGAGTACCCTTTCCACCTTTCCTCCCAGCAACCCAAAAACCCAGAACGCCCCCTTATTGTTCGTGAGAAATTCAACACACCCAGTGGTATCTTGTGCCATGAGAAGAAAGAAAACGCCAGCAATCCAGTAATATGAATAATCCAAGAGAGAAGAAAAGAAGAAGACGTCGTGCCCAGAGCCAGAAGAAGATTAATAGTCTCCTTCTCCAAAAAGCTCACCCGCCTCGCGGCAATACCTTGCTTCGCCTGCTCCACTCCTACCACCAGTCTCGCTGGCCCAGCAAACAACACTTGCATCTACCACACCGCCGATGACGCCTTCGATAGCTCCCAAGACTGCCCATCCAATTGTAGCTGCTATCAGACCAACGACATAGGCATAGAGACTGCCCTTGAAACCGCCGCCTGCCAACTGCACATTTCGTGCTGTAGACACCCATCCACCGAAACCAAGGCCGAATGACATGATGAAGCGGGTTGCGTGTAGGAGCAGCTTAGCCAGGCGATACGGCATCATGGTCCCACCAGAACCCGGATGTGCGGCAAAGACAGATGGATTGAGCGTGGTCGTAGGCGAGGTGTTGGAGACAAAGTGTAGTTGAGACAAGCCTCGGGCACTGATACTCAGAGACTGAGAGTGAATAGCAGCATAGGTGAGTGTCAGAGGGTTAGTGAGGGCAGCGAGCGAGGTCGGCACCATAGAGAATGCGCAGAGAGTGACAAGGCTAGCGATACGTCGAGGAAGAACAATAAGAGGCAAGCGAATCAGTAGCGACAAGAAAGTCGAAAGGCAGATCGTGCCGAGCATTGGACCAGTCGCATGCATGAATGAAGCCCGTACAACCGTGTTGGACGACGGTGCTGGGACACTCAGACGATGGAAGTACCATTGCGAGACGGTGGCAGCAGTTGTTGCTCTTTGTACTCCAGCGATTATGCCTAGAGTCCACAGATAAACCATGACGAAGAAGAAGCCTAACCACCACGTATTGAGATCGATGATAAAGGTCTGAAGCTTCGACATGTGGCCACCCAGGAAGAGTCGGGTGAACATGCCCATCCAGATCCAGGTAAAGCAGACGACGACTCCTAGTGTACCGAATCCTAGCAAAGTCAGGCTTGGGGAGGCTGTGACGATGCGGCAGGCGAATTCGAGGATGCCGATTGCCTTGCCGAGCGAGCGACGACCTTTATAGACCGAGTAGACCCAGACGCAAGCGATGACGGCTGGCACGAAAGAGAACCAGCGCATGACTTTGTCCTGAACACTATTTCCGTGCCAAGCACCCTTGTAGCTTGAGATGAAGGGGTACAGCGAAAAGGAGAAGAGGATAACCGGGACCGAGACGAGCATCAGGAAGACCAGAACGCGGACATACTCGCGGAGAAGAGCCAACCACAGCATAGCAACCATCACGGTGATAACTGTATCCCAGAGTAGAAGGTTGATGGAAGAAGTCATGGCGGAGTAAATTGTATCGCCCAAAGGCTTTTTGGAGTTTGGCGATGAAGTGTGGAACCAGACCAATACAAATGTCGCAAACATGCCAAAGACGCAAATCTTGTATAGCTGGGACCAGAACATGTCATGGCGTGGTGGCTCTGGTGCTGGGAGAATGACTGTAGGTGGGACACTATCGTTATCCGGACTAGGCGGCCTCGGATGAGCATAGGCTGATTCAGGATCTGTCTCTTGCGGAAGGAAGGTGGATCGTGGAGGAGGTACCGAAGGCTGAAACGTCTGGAAGGCTGGCGGGCGAGCGTCGAGTTCTCTATCAATGCTGTCAAAATCCGAGTAAGCATCATCATTGTCAGTCGAGCCTAGCTCCACATCGACCATAGGCGACTTTTGTTTCGAAGCCGAGAGACTGGCTCGTGAAGCAAGAATGGAAGAGTCGAGGTTGTGGTCTTCAAGCTCAGACGACTCTGTAAGATGGCTGGGGATGAAATTGCGGCGAGATTTTTGGAGAGCTAGATAATCTGCCATGTCGCGCTCGTGCTGTGTCTCTTCATCCTCTTGCTCGAAACCTTGGAATAATGGCACATCTTCCTGTCGCGGACGGGCAGCAAATGGGAAGCGGGATAGATATGAGACGGAACCCGAAGGTTGATATGGCGTGGGCATCGAGGTGCGTTGAACGTAGCGAGAGCCCGAAGCAGGCTGACGCCGACGATCGAGGGGATTGCGAGAGCGAGTGTCAGGGTCGTTCTGAGTGAAGGAGAGGCGGCTTTGAGATTGCGCGAGGAATTTCGAAGCATCTGATGTTGGTCAGTCACGCGGCCTTGGGTGAGGACCTGTTTTGGCCGGGCTTACATTCAGAGAACATGACAGGCAGCTGCAGCGCCTAGCCAAGGCTGCCCGATGAATGATGATATGCTATGTAGCGAGCCGAGTCGGATGGCTAGGGGCGGAAGCAAGAGATGGATAGGGAGTTGATCGAGGCGACCTCGTCTAGACTTGACGATGACTCGGGCGATAAGGGCAGGAAGTCACGGGCGGCTGGAGGTGTGGTGGTGGGTGCGATGGACAAGTTGGGGCTCGCAGAGGTTGTGCAGCTCCAGTGTATAGGAAGGGCTATAGGTGTTGTGGTGTTGCAGTCGGTGCAGGCAGCAACGGTATTATTCTCAATATCCACTAAGGTCGTAAATGACGTTTCGGGACTTCGGTCACTTGGGTCCTGTGTCTTGCAGGCAGCTTGTGACTGAGGCAAAGGCTCCAGCACGTGCTCACTCGCCACGTCTCGAAAGACCAGGCGGTTCGGAAGATGGAGGTTTAGAGCTGCTTGTCCGAAGGGTAGGATAGATTTCTACTTGGGTCCGAGGATAGTCGCAGGTCAAAGACGCGATTCGGATGTTGAAACAGCGACGCATTCAGGTGCTTGACAAGTGGACCGTGCGGACAACGGTTTGATCGGGATTATCTCCGAGAGCCGACAGCTCGATAACGCGGAGGTCGGAGCTCAAAGGGCTGGAGGGTTGAGAGTGGCTTGACAATTGAGGCCAGATATTTCTGCCCTGCTTCTGAGCGACACTTCTTGTTGTCCCTGACAAGTTTCGGGAACGAAGAGTCGCACTCGCCATGTCTGCAGCACAGCAGCAGCCCGCCCAGGGCACCAACTGGCTGGTCAGAAGCAACAGTCGCATCCTCGAAGCCATGCGCGTCCGCTGACATTTTGCAGTCAACCACCAAGCAGGTTGCTCAGACGGTCGGCATCTTCATGTTTGTCAACTTTGCAATCAAGCAAGTCACCGGAGGTATTCAGCAGCAGAAGCAGGCCGACAATGCTCCTGTCCCTACCGTCGCCCCTGGTACTGGCCAGCAGCCTTCTGTCTCCCCTCATAGCGCCGTCCCCAATATGATCATGCCTCTGTGGCAACTAAACACCTCCATGGACATCAACATGTATGTCTCGCCGTCCTTCGCCATGCCTGCCCTCAGCCAGATGCCCGCCGATTCTCTGGTCCTCCAGGAGCGCAACTACCATTACGGTGACTGGTCGGACAAGCGCCACGTTCAAACCACAATCGCCATCCCCCAAGCAGTACAAGAGAATGGAACCCTTTGGGCACACATCTACATTTCTCAGTCCGGAAGCGTCATGGATCCTACTCAGCCTGGCTACGATTCCTTCAAGGCTTACCGCGTTACCCGTCCCCTGACAAACTACCTGGCAAAGAAAAAGGTCCACAAAACTCGCAACCTTCTCGACTCTTCTGACGCCGAAGACCAAGCTGTAGATGTAGTCTCGGGTCCCACCATCTCCAACTACTACCACCCCAACTTCACTCTATCCATCATCCCCAACATCGGAACCCCTGTCTACCCCCAGATGCATCCAGCAATGCGTCAATTCGTCTCTCTGGAAACCACCGGCGCCCGTGATGACTCTGGTCAAAACGCGTGGTACTACCCCGTCCTCTACTTGAACACTTTCTGGCAGCTCCGCTCCCAGATGACCGAGCTCAATTCGACCATTACCGAGATGCCTCTCAACCTCGACTTGCAGACCGACCCCAACTGGAAATTCAGCATCTTGGCAAGCATGGACGAGGGCATGAAGGAGAATGCTAGAAAGAGTGCTCGCGGAGAGACCACCGCTGGAGGTGGTGATGGCAGTGAGCTCGAAATGATCAAGGAGGTCCTGCTCGACACAAACATGTACCTTCTCGGTATCACTGGTTTCGTCAGTATCTTGCACATGATCTTCGAAATGCTGGCCTTCAAGAACGACGTTAGCCATTGGCGCAAGAAGAAGGACAACATCGGAACGTCGGTTCGCACCATCCTCGCCAACGTCTTCATGCAGAGCGTCATTTTCCTGTACCTGATGGACAACAACGAGAACACTTCTTGGATGATCCTGTTTGGTCAAGGTATGGGTATCGCCATCGAGGCCTGGAAGGTCACAAAGGCTGTTGATGTACGTGTTCGTGCTGCTCCAGAAGGCTCTTTGATCCCCTACCGTGTTGTCTTTGAGGACAAGCACAAGCTTTCCGACGTCGAGAAGAAGACTCAAGAGTACGACGAGATTGCCTTCCGCTACTTGTACATGGTCGCTGTGCCGCTTCTACTCGCCTATGCTGGATACTCACTTGTTTACGAAACCCACAAGAGCTGGTACAGCTTCATCATTGCCACTCTGGTCGGCTCGGTCTACGCATACGGTTTCCTCATGATGGTCCCCAGCTTGTACATCAACTACCGCCTCAAGAGCGTCGCACACATGCCCGCAAAGGCCATGACCTACAAGTTCCTCAACACTTTCATTGACGATCTTTTCGCTTTCACCATCAAGATGCCAACATTGCATCGTCTGGCTACCCTACGTGATGATGTCATCTTCTTCGTATACCTTTACCAGGCCTGGGCATACAAGGTCGACCACACTCGTGTCAACGAGTTTGGCCAGGGCGGTGACGACGAAGAAGTCGAGGAGAAGAAGGCTGCCCAGCCCTTGAAGTCTGCACCTAAAGAGGATACCACTTCTGTCAAGGCCGAGACTTCGAGCTCTGACGCTCAGAGTAAGGCAGGTGTTTCGAGAAAGAGAAAGTAGACAATTCGTCTTGACGGAACATGTCAAGAATGTGAACTGTTTGGGTGTTATAGTAGTTGCATATACCAATTTGAGCATTCTGTATCTGCTGTACATAACCGTCACAGTCATAAATCATCATGACGAACCAATTTGATGCTAGCAAGGCTCCAATCTACCAGTAGTTGAAGGATTCATGGCTTTCAGCCCGGTCGCAATCTTTTTCCCTCGTCTTCACAACCGCACGACATCTCAAAATCTATCTCAAGAATCACCATGTCTTCGACTTCTAATCTCGGCAACACAGCAGGTAATACCGTCCCGTCAGTTGTCTCGAGTAAAATGCTAATTGTTCTGAATAAAACCCAGTCTCTGATGAACCTCGCACAGTCAACGATGAAGTCGATGTAATATGGCACAACATGTACGCCCCCAGCACTTTTTCCACCTGGCGCAGATCCTCCAATCGCTCGGTAGAAGAGTTACTCGTCGACCTTGCAAAGTTGGTGGAAAAGGGTGTTTTTACGGTTATTAGTTTGAGTGTTAGCAAGGCTTCTTTCGTTGCTGTTGTGGGTTGTGAGAAGAGCTGGGATGAGATCAAGGATGATCTTTTTGCGGCGACGAGATAGTTGGTGATCAATGGGTCTGAAGGAAAGGGTATATACAATTTTCATGCAAAGTAAGGTTGAAGTAAAACATTTCGAAACTCCATTCTATCATCGGGGCGCTTCATTCTCGCATCGCTTAGTTATCCGTGACGGCCATCGTCATACGCATTCGCTGCTGCCATCTTCCTTGCACGCCTATATATAGGCCATGCACCTCGTACATATCTGACATCACTGTTTGACCGGTCGGCCTCGCTCTTCGATCATCAGGCTCTATGCCTTTTGAGCAACGGTTCTACGAGCCTTGACTGTTGCATTGTAGAGAGCGTCCTTGAAAGCAAACAGGAAAGCGGCAGTAATAACACTCTGAGTGACCTTGGGGCCGATGCCTAGATGAATCGTCAGTATTGGATGATGATATCGTGATTGAGGATCCACTCACCTCCGTAGAGACCAGCCCAGCCTTCCTCACGCAAGATTCGCGAGAAGCTGTCGAACATGCCCTCCTTCTGTCCGCCGGCAACATGGGCTCTGGACTTTACGGTGATGTAAGGGTAGGTGATGCTGGTAGCTGCCAGCTTGCCCAGAGCACCAAGGTAAAAGCTGTCCTTGGGAGTGACACGACGGCGCTTCTCAAGATACTGCTTCAATTGCTCAAAGATGGTGTACTGAAGGATAGGGTTGACAACCAGCACAAGAGCTGGCAACACACCCGCAAACAGTCTCATAAAGCCTTCGTCCTTGATGATGGCCAAGAGCGTGCCGATGGTGCTGGGACTGAGCTTCTTCTTTGGCTTGTCGCCCTCAACGGTAGGAAGAGCGCTTTCGTCGCTCTCGTTCTTGCGCGCCGTCATGCGCGTGTTGACCACCCAGATAGGGTTGGTCAAGAGCACAGTTGCACTTCCAGCAAGAGCACCGGCAAGCATAGTCTCCAAAGTACTGAGCTTGCTGGCATTGGGGCGGTTGGCAGCATTTGCAGCTTTGATGAAAGCAGCACGGGTCCACTCGTACCAGTAGTAGTAGACTCCATTCGTGACGGCGATACCGAAGAGAGCGGACTCCAGACCAGCATACAAACCGCGAACACCTTCGCGTGCGACGATCTTGCGGGCTGCTTCAAGCACGTTGGTATCGGCTTTCTTGGACTCGACCTGGGCGCGTGTTGACAAGGTGATCAGAGGGTATGTCAGAGCCATGGAGATAAGACCACCACCCGAGCCAGCCAGAGCGTGGGCGACATTGTCAGACTGCTGAGAGACTGCATCTGGAGGGGCAGTGGCAGTCGACTTCTGCAACTCGTCCTTGACAGAGATGGATTGAGACATGGTCAGAAAGGAATGTATGTAAATGGAGCAAAAGTGTGAGCGATCTGCCGATTTTAGTGAGGAGCAGAGAGAGGTGAGCTATAGTAGTATGTTTCAAGAGCCACAGCGATGTTTCGAAGTTCGAGTAAGGAGGTAGGGAAAGGAGAAAGCTCTTATGCCTCGATAAAGTTATTGTGTCCAGCTGCGTCAGGCGTAGCTTTTACCTTGGAGAGGGTCAAGCAGCCGAGGTTGCGTTCCCCACATGTGAAAGAACGAGATCGGCAAGAGCTCAGGGTCCGGACAGAACTCGTGTCAATTGATCGTTAAGTTTCCGACACTCGAAGCAAGAAGATGATAACGTGTAGAAGCGAGTGGTATCCTGACGATAGCATGAGTTCCCATGCGCGTCGAAGGCCCGTCTCCGACTGGTCAAGAACCTCATAGCGATCTTGTGTTGATCGTCTTTGCCCATGCACAGGCATCAAATATAGTGCTGCAAGGATCAGAGGCAACCACGACTTTTGGCTGCATATCTCGCAATTCCCCCCTTTTCTCCAGATCTTCCGTCAGAATCAGTCAATTGACCCGTTATTCGAACCTCTCGCTCACAGCAAAAGCCGACTAAGTTAGACGTCACGTCTTGAAACCGGAAGCCAGTGTCCATCACCTTCACCCTCGGCCTCGACATTTGTTCTATCGCACGTCTTCCTCGGCCCGTCCGGGTACTCGACGCGCCTGGAGCTGTAGCTTCCGAGCTCGGAAGTGTTGCAAACTCTATCGACCACGAAGCATTTGAGCATATGGCGCATAGAGATGTGTCCGAGGACATGATGGAGAGCGCTGGCAGCTCTCCGGCCTCGTCAAATGCCCATGATGACAGCCTAGGTCACGACTATGACATGGAGTCGGTGAATGCGACACCCAGTTCGCTCTTTACTGGGGCTGCTGATAGCGACATGCCGCATGAGTCGACATCTGCGTCCCCAAGACACGCCGTAGTGCTACCTACTCGCTCGTCTGCACCACTCACTCAACGTGCTCTGCCGCAACGCGATGTGTCCGAAGAGACCATTGTCGACGCCTATGCTGCCTTCATCCTGTATTGTAATCCGTATTTCCCGTTGGACATTGATACCTCTGATTTGAAACGCATCTTCCAAACGCCACCGCGTAGTGATGGCAAAGACTTCAGTATATTCACATTGTGGCAGCTTGTTCAAAGGTTCGACAGTAAGGAGATCAAGACATGGACTCAGCTAGCACTGGAGTTGGGCGTCGAGCCCCCTTCAGCAGAGAGAGGTGGTAGTGTTCAGAAAGTACAACAGTACTCTGTCAGACTAAAGGTCAGTCGCATCGCGTCTCTGGTCTTCGCATGTTCCCTGCAGCTTACACTTGTCTTAGCGCTGGATGCGTGCAATGCATGTCGACGCCTTCTTCGAGTATCTGCTTGGGAAGAAGCACTCTTACTACCTGGATCTGCCTCCACCACACGACCCTCATCCCGCGAGAGGTCGAGATGGTGTTCCAGCTGAAGAGGATCTTGCCATCAGAGCATTGGATCCGTCTTTCCGTCCCAAGAGAGGTCGCAAGCGAAACGAGACTCCAGAGAAAGATCCGGCTCCTCCTAAGAAGCCTCTACTAACTACGTCCTTTTCCTACGAGGGGAGAGTTCTTTATGCCCAGCCGCAGGCATCTTACACTGCAGCTGCAATTCCATTGAGCGCCAGACCTGCAGAAAATCACGAGAGTGACATGTGGCAATCTACAAATGCGGCCTCGAGGCGACCGATCCCACATTCCGCAATAGCTGCCCGACCACCACAACATATTCATTGGCTAGGTGGAGAATCTCATGAGACGGCTACGACTCCTCATCCCATGTCAGCACTTGAGCCCAGAGCACCAGGTTTGTCAGCATACGACGAGCCCATGTCGGCCATTACCCCCGGATCGTCTCGCGCCCGATCTCGTAGAAAACATGGTCCTGCAGTGTCTTCCGCCTGGACAAGCGCCAATGCCAACAACGCCAGAGCTCGAGGCAGACCTCCTGGCAATCGATCGATCCAGGATGGCCCGTATACCACGTTCCCGGCAGATCCGAACGCTGAGGTGTCAGCTTCACAAAGAAGCACTCCAGCCGTATCTTTGATGACTTATGATACCGAACCACACCTTCTGCGTCCCAACGCCTATACGAAACCACTGCACAAACCTGTATTTATGATGTCCAAACCGGTAGATGATGATGCTCCTCCACGACGACAGCGCGGACGTCTTTCTTTGCAAGTACCAGAAAACACCGGGGGACCAATCCAACTTACTACACCATCAGTGCTTGCAAATGAGCCGTTCGACCAAACATCAGAAGGTCTGGTGCCCATGGACACTGAGCCTACAGCTTCTGGTTGGCTTGAATCGCGAACCCGGCCTGCTTCACAAACTCCTGCCACGCGTCAGAATCATGACTCGGAGCCCGAGGTGGGCCTTGCATACGAGGCTCTCAAGCGAGTCCTCGCCGCTGACCTCCTCCGTGCAGATCTATCCGGCAGGAAAGGCAGATTGTTGGGTCCTGAAGCGGTGCGCCTGTCCGATGCCATTCTTCAGCGCTTCGGCGTTCCCAAAGCAGATTCGGACAACAAGAGAGACGATGCTCTTCGTATCGCGGCAACGAGCTGGCTCGGTGTATCGCGACAGCTTGGCTTCGATTCTGCAACGCCGTGCAAAGAAAAGGAGATCACCGTGCAGAGGTTCGCGATCCGAGACGATGGTATTGAGGAACTCATCGGACCAGATGAACATGCACAGAGGGTCAAAGAAAAGTTTGACGTCAGTTGGTCCGCTGGGTTTGGTGGAGTAGGAGGCAAGTTTTGTGCAGTCGGACTCGAGATCGGGCAGGAAGAGGTGGATCCGAACGATGCAGAAGCTCGAGCGCAGGATATGATCAAGGAAGTCGCCAGAATGCCGGAGTCAGAGATTGACTACAAGCAAAAGTACATGGCGCTGGATTTTACGGTCAGGCTTATGAAGGGACAGCTGAACAGACTACAAGACAAGGTGCTAGACGCTTTGCTGTAAATGTATGTAGGACATGGCCTTGAACATTAACGAGAAACGTATGCCTATAGATGCATTATAGACTTAGTATTTGCTTAGCTTCGTGCTGCCCAGCTTGGAGTCGGGGCCGCCGTGGCATCCTTTTCCCATGGCTTCTTGCGGCGAGGGGCTTGTGCCTCTGTTCCTTGACCTTCCAGAATGGTATCAGGAATGTCCTTTATACCAGGTATCGGCTTACCCTCTGCAATGAGTGCACATATTTCAGCAAAAGAGACTGGTGGAGGAGCATCTCCTATAGAGGGAGGGTGAGCCGAATCAGCTGGGGTTGCAGATTGAGGTTTAGAGGCAGCATGACGTTGAGACTGGATCCAGGTTTGATAGGCCTCGAAGTTGACAGGTGTCTTGAACTTCCTGGCACAGGATATAAGAGCAAGTTCAAGGGCTGAAGTAGAGGTTGAAATGTGTCACCTTGTGTAATAGTAGCATCGAGCTCGTATGGTCAAATGTGCGGTCTGCTCGGGCGTGGTTGCAGACCTTAGGATGGAGGCAAGAGCAGTTTGAAATTCATTGTCGTGATCCCAATCGTAGTTGTCCAACTGCTGGAACACAGCGGTACCGTCACTCGACGACTGTAATTCTGCCATGTTGTGTTGTTTTGTGCATGTGATAGAAGGACAGGGTGAGTGAAAGTGACGACGGACACGATGCGGGAGGTCCGTGCGTCGAGCAATGCGATGGTGGTGAGTGGGTTGCTTGCTGCTGCTGTTAGTCAAGGCACTCCTGTCTCAAGCGTCCAACTCTCCTTTCTACCTGCATATTTCTTCTGCCTGCTTGGCTATACAGCTCGAGCTGTCATTCATACGCCGCAATGTCCGAATTCATCGGGTGCGCACGCCCAATCGCGTCCCGTCGTGTAGCAAGCTAGCTAACACTGAGGACAGATCGCGCATCTCTCTCATCTCCAAGAGCGACATCAAGTCAGTGACTAGCGTCTGTTCATCCAGGGCAACCAGCTGACTCTCGACTGCGCAGATACGTCGGTACACTACACGAGATCAACTCGGAGAACTCGACAGTCGCCTTGGAAAATGTCAAGTCATTCGGAACTGAAGGCCGTCGCGGCAACCCAGACGACGAGATCCCGCCCAATGACCAGATCTACGACTACATTGTCTTCCGTGGAAGCGATGTCAAGGACTTGACCATTGTCGAGCCTCCCAAGGAGAACAAGCCTCAGCCTCCTCAGGTCCCCAATGACCCCGCCATCCTCGGTGTAAGTTGCTCCTCCCACATACCCAAGAACTACTCAATCGCTGTGATGAAAAATTCCGGATGTAAACCATTGTCATTTTCCGAGAGCGCAAAACCATGTGGACACTTTCCGTTGCCTTCCTTCTGAGCCATACAACACTGCACATCTTCTACCTGCTACTACTAGACTCGATGCTAACGTTCCTTCGATCAGGCCGCAAGACCTCATGGCGCACCCGGCGCTCCTCAAGCACCACCATCTGGTCCCCAGGGCGCTTTCTCTCAGCCCAACCAGCAGCAACAGCAGCAGCAGTGGCGCGGTCCCCAAGGTCCTCAAGGCCCTCAACAACCCCCACCTTTCCCTCCATACGGCTACCCTCCTCCTCCCCAGGGCAACTCGCGCTTCGGTCCTCCCGCAGGTCCTCACGGCTTCCCCAATGCTCCTCCTCAGTTTTACGGTCCTCCCCCACCAGGTTGGTACCCTCCTCCAGGACAGGGCTTCCCTCAGGGCCCACCCGGACACTTCCCTCCTCAGCCCATCGGTCCTCCTGGCCAACAGCAACAACAAAACCAGCAGCAACAGCCCCAATCTCAGCAGCAGAGATCTCCTGACGCGCAGACTCCTGCTCCTCCGAAGAAGCAGCCCGAGTCCGCTAAGGACGCGGCCGCCTTCCCTCCTCAAATCCCCGACCAAAAGCCTGCACCTTCAGCAGAACAGACTCCCTCTTTCGAGGCTGCCGCTCCTCCCCCGCCTGTAGACTCGAAGCCCGATGTTGCCGCGGCTACTGCTCCTGCTCAGTCGCAGCAGAAGCCTCCTACTGGTCCTAAGAACACCCGTGTTGCCGTCCCGCTTGTTCCTCTCAGCGCAAAGCCTGGCAACGCACCCAACAACTTGGCCCAACAGCAACAGAGTGCTACGCAAACCGCCGCCGCCGCTGTGGCTGCCGCTATGGCCAAGCTTCCCATCTCAGCTAATGCTCCTGCTGACACCAGCGTTGACAACTTGACAAAGCGTGTCGGCGACATGCGCACGAACGACGGACCTAGACATCCTCGCCAGCCTGGGCCTGGTGGGTTCGTTCCTGGTAACCGTGGAGGCCGTGGTGGAAGACGCCCTAGCAATCGCGATCTTGCCAAACCAGTCGAGGTTCCCACAACAGATTTCGACTTCGAGACTAGCAACGCCAAATTCAACAAGCAGGATCTGGTAAAGGAGGCTATCGCGACTGGCTCCCCTCTAGGTACACCCACCGCCGACGAGCCCGACCACTTCCAGGACGATTTAATCAACGGCCAGGAAGCCCCTCAAGCCGACCGCGAGGTAGTCATCCCTGGCGCCACTTACAACAAGTCAAGCTCGTTCTTCGACAACATCTCATCCGAGCTCAAGGACAGACAGGCCGCTCAAGAAGACGGAAGACGCATGGGAGGCATGGAGTTCAGAACTGAGGAACGCAAGAAGAACTTTGAGACCTTCGGCCAAGCCAACGTGGACAATGGATTCCGTGGTGGCTTCCGTGGTCGCGGCCGCGGCAGAGGTTTCGGGCGTGGTGGCCAGCGCGGTGGCTTCGCTCCCCGAGGCGGATATGTGCCTCGAGGCCGCGGTGCAAGCTTTGCTGGCGAGTCTTAGGCAGGCTCCAGACGCTCACACCACGAGACGAACGGAAAGAACCGATTCTCAAACCTCGCAGAAGAACAGGCCTAGAGTGCCCATGACGAGGAACATCGCGGACGAACAATGAAACGAAAGACGACTGGTAGATAACGTCGTGGCAGAACACGCTCAATCAAAGGGGAGGATGATGGCGCATGGGAACAGGGGAAAAATGGACTCATTTGGGGAAGGCTTCCAAGTTATTTCCTCAAGAAAAGCTCTTACTCGGATGGAGATGGCATGGAAAGTGTTTATAGCGGTCCTCTTATTCTCATCCTCTCAACTCCCTGAAGCAAATCCCAATTCTGCCTCGGTGGGATAGCAAAGTTGCGAAATGGTAAATTCAATTCTGAAAGTCTACTTTAGTGACGAATCCATCGGATCAGAAGGCCAACAAGGGAAGGGGTATCCAGCTCTACAAAACGCCTTTGGGTACTGTTTCCACAATCTAAAAGTCAAGTCTAGTCATTGATCATCTCTGTCGAACGCCTTCGGTGGTGGTAGCTTCTTCTCTCGAGGTTGAGCCCTGCTTAGGATCGATGCCTTCGACATTCTCCGAGTGGTGCGGGGCAGACTTTTGCGAATCCAGAGAGAGATCTTTCACCGACTTCAAAGCGGGATCGCTCTCTTCCAGAATAGGCTTGCCTTCAGGCGTATTCTGCCACTTTGCAACTTCCTTCTTGAGAGCTTCAAACTCTTTCTCCATGCGGCGACCGAACACATCAATGTAGAAGGTAGCACCGTTGTAGGTGGCCCAGGTGAAGACGACCATGAGGAAAGAGGCACTGGCCCAGCGGTACCAAAACCACAAGGGGCAGGGTACCATGGTGATAAGGGCATAAAAATACTGGATGAGCATGAATGCAGGCCCTTGCAGAACCTCAGGCAGCGAAAGCACGAGCTTGCCGAGGAAATTCTTTGCGTAAGACTTGCGAAGCCAGGTGAAAGAGGTTGGGCGTCCTATAAACATGTTAGTAATGCTCGTCCTGTAATCAGTACGGTGACTTACCAGCAGCAATCTTCTCTCTTCTCCTGACAGTGATCATGAAGTGGTAGCTCAGCTGCCAGCAAGCGTAAGGAACAGTGGCCCAAACGATCATGCCCCACAGAGTGTAGTGTTCTGGGGAGGTTGGAGACGAGTGTCTGATGCTGTAGATGGCGGGGAATTTCTCCTTTTGCAGTTCCTGCGGAATCAGATGGACCAGACAATGTAGGGTCGCGCATGGCATGATGTGAATAAATAGACTGTAGATGTCAGTAAGATAACAGGCGAGTTGTGGTTGGAGAGTACTGACCTAGTGACCTTATCCAAGGAGTGGAAGACTAGCGAGTTGCGCCACATAGCAATGGCAATAGCATTGTTACCCATAGCTAGACAGTAGGTGCTGATAAACAACCTTTTGCTACCGGGGAAGAACCACATGGTCAGAAGCATGAGCAGGTTGACAAAGTAGCACAAGTCGGCGAGGAAGTAGTGGTAGCCAATCTTGTGGTACTTGTAGTAGCGGATAGGCATAAAGAAGGCCAGTTGAGCGGTGTACCAGATGTGGAAGTACTCAGGATAGGCACCGATGAGATAGCCAGAGATGAAGATGTTGAGAACACCAGTGATGAACGAGATCTTCTCACGCAGCGTGACAGCCTTTGCATCGTTCCACCTCTTGCCCAGACGGTCGACGTTATCTCTCATACGTCTCTTGTACTTATCCAGCTGCTCATCAGGAGTAGGGACTCGACGCCTCCACTCTTCGACCATCTTGTCCTTGGCTGTGATACTAGACATCCGGATCTTTTGCTGTTGTCGACGGACCTTGTCTGTTTGAGCAGTGATGGAATTCTGGAAGCGCTCCAGTCTTTGAGGCAAGGCAAGATTCTCGATGATGTCGAACATGGTAAGGCGGTCGAGAGGGGGGAAGCCTTCGTCGTCCATCTCGCTGTAGCTTCCATTGGACGTGGTTCTTGACAGGACGCTGTAGGGATAACCTGGCGACGTAGGCTGAGATGTCATGTCTGCATATTGTTGGGCATCGGCAGCTGAAAGGTAGTCGGCATCAGGTGCAGAAGCTCCACCAGAAGAGCTGCCAACACCAGGGGCCTCTGGTTTGGGCTTGAGTGAATCCGCGGGCTGTGACATGGCGGTGAACGAATAAGGAGAAGAGACAGAAAGAGAAGATGAGGCTTGGAGAGTGATAGAGAGATTATCAGAAACCAAAAACAAAGGTGTAGCTGGAAGTCTAAGCTGTCATGGCTCTCTCTCTCTCTCTTTCTCACGTGTGTGTTTAGTTGCAGGTGGAATGCAAGTCAGGAGCGACCGGGAATACAAGACTACTTTTTGGACCATGTTGACCAGAGGCACGATGTCATTGGTCCGTGTACACCGCCCGCTGATCAGTTCCGCTCCGCCAGGCGTGCGCCAAGCAGTCTCGCGCGTGACGCGCCTTCCGTATCAACGCGTCGTCCGACTTGATCAGCCCTTCCACCCATCTGCTTCCATAGCAGCACACCACCCTAAGCCGTCACCATGGGCAAGCTAATACGGCTCGAACTGTTCAGTGCGATCTCTATCATATCTATCGTCACACTGGTTATAGCCTTGCTGACCATCGCGCAGACTTCAAATCCTACAAGGGTCACCATGTTCTCCTCTTTGGCGATTCCTACTTCACCTCTATCATTGGCCCTAATGGATCAGGCAAATCGAATTCCATGGATGCCATCTCCTTCGTGCTCGGAATCAAATCTTCTCACCTCCGTTCAACCCATCTACGTGACCTGGTCTACCGTGGCCGTGTCCTAAAGACCTCCCGAATCAATGCCGACGGAACTGCCACCGAGGTCCCCGAGGGCGAGGCTCAGGATCCCGAGGCTGAATCTGGCGCGCAAGAGGAGGATCAAGATACACAAACAAGCACTCAGCGCGCAGATCCCACAAATGCTTGGGTCATGGCTGTTTACGAAGACGACGCCGGAGACGAACAAGCCTGGAAACGCTCCATCACTTCTACTGGCCAATCTGAATACCGGATCAACAACAGATCCGTGTCCGCAAAACAGTACAATGAAGCTCTCGAGGCCGAGAACATCCTGATCAAGGCTCGCAACTTCCTTGTCTTCCAAGGTGATGTCGAGGCTATCGCTTCTCAAAGTTCCAAGGATCTCACTAGATTGATTGAGCAAATCAGCGGCAGTCTTGAGTACAAGGCCGACTACGACCGTCTGAAGATCGAGGCTGAGAAAGCTGCCGAAGACCAAGCTTTCAGGTTGAACCAACGCAGAGGCATCAACTCCGAAATCAAGCAGTACCAGGAACAAAAGCGCGAAGTCGATAGCTACAACCGCAAAGTCGACGAGAAGGATCAGGCTGTTGTCACTCATGTTCTCTGGAAGCTGTTTCACTTCCAACAAATGGTCGAATCATCTGGTGCCGAAATCCAAAAACACCAGGACGAGTTGAAGGAAGACCGTAGGAACGTGGAGGCTTTTGAGGCCAGACTTGCCGAAGCACAACAGGAGCAGGCTAGAGCTGGTCGTGAGGTTCACAAGCTTGAACGCAATATCAAGAACAAAGAGAAGGCCGTCGAAGATAAGGAGAATGATCTCTTGCCCATCAACGAGAAAATCTCCCTTTCCAACAAGAAGCTTGAGGCATCACGCAAGCGCATCACCGAGATCTCGAAAGAGCGCGACGCACAGTCTCGCAATGCCGACCAGCTGAAAAAGGATCTCGATGTGGTCCAGAAAGCTCAAAGTAGATGGGAACAGGAATGGTCGGCTGCACAACAACAAGCAGGACGCGAACTCAGCGAAGCCGATCTCCAGGAGTACAACCGTCTGAGAGGAGACGTCAACAAGAGAACCGCAGCCGACCAGATCAAGGTGGACAACATCACTCGCCAATTGAAGACGGACGAAGAGACTGTTGAGAGTTTGAAGAGTAAGGTCGACTCTACCGAAAATCACATCTCCAAGCTCGACAGTGAAGTATCTTCTCTACGATCAAGGCGTGATGAACTGAACTCGACCATTCGTTCCATTAACAACGAAGCGGACGGCAAGAAGAAGGAATTCAATACCCTCACATCAGAGAGATTAAAGTCTGCTCAAAAACATACCGAGATCGAGGAGAAGCTTCAAGAAGTGCTGCGTAAACTCAACGATGCATCCGTGTCCCAAAGAGAATCTGAGAAGGAAACACGAGCTCGCGAGACTGTTGCTGCCATGAAGAGAATCTTCCCCGGTGTCCGAGGCCAGCTATGGTCGCTCTGCAAGCCAAAGCAGAAGAAATACAACGTTGCTGTGAGCACTGTTCTTGGTCGCCACAATGATTCAATTGTGGTCGACACCGAAAAGGTGGCAAAGGAGTGCATCCAGTACCTCCGTGATCAACGTGCTGGTCAGGCTACATTCATCCCGCTTGACACCATTATGCACAAGGCACCGGACGCCAATCTGAAGGGCATGCATAGGGGCATGCGTCTCGCCATCGACACAATCGACTACGAAAATGCTGTTGAGCGCGCCATTTCTTTTGCTTGTGGAAACAGTATCGTATGCGACGATCTACAGATTGCTAGACATCTCTGCTACGATCGACACGTCGAGGCCAAAGCAGTCACACTTGATGGTACCATTATCCACAAGGGTGGTCTAATGACTGGTGGACATGGCTCAAACGACCAACGAAATGCACGAAAGTGGGAGGATTCGGAAGTCGAGAACTTGCGCCGTCTGAAGGACAAGCTCCTCGCCGATCTGAGTGCTCTACCAAAGGGCCATCGCCGACAAGCAGAAGAAGAGTCCCTCCAGGGTGAACTCGCAGGTCTCGAGTCGCGCCGTGCATTCGCTGATGAAGAGCTCAAGGCGCTCGAGTCAAACATTGAGAGCAAGCGCCGTGAGCTAAACTTTGCAAGACGTCAGCTAGAGGAGACGAGACCCAAGTATGAGGAGCAAGCTCATGGCGTCACTACTCTGCGCAGCCAGCTCGAGTCGTACTCATCATCAGTAGCGACTGTCGAGGACGAAGTGTTTGCTGCATTCTGCCAACGCCTGGGATACAGCGACATTCGCGCATACGAAGCTCAGCAGGGTAGTGCCCAGCAGGAAGCCGCGCAGAAGAAACTCGAGTTCACCACACAACGCAGCAGACTGGAGAACCAGCTTGCCTTCGAGACTCAGCGTCTTCAGACGACCAAAGACCGCATTGCCAAGTTGCAGAGCGATGTAAAGGAAGCCCAAGCCAACATCGCAACCCTCGAATCTGAGCGCGACAACCTCAACAACGAGCTAGATGAGCTGAACGCCGAGGTTGAGCAGATGAATGAGCAGCTCATCACACGCAGAACGAAGTACGATCAGAAGTCTGATAAGGTAGCCGAACACAGACGTGAAGTCGCGAAGCGCTCCAAATCAATGGAAAACACGAACAAGGAAATCACAGCTCTTCAAGAAGCAGTACAACGGTCCAACTCAGATCGTTACTCCCTGCTACGCAGATGCAGGATTGAGGAAATTGATGTTCCCCTGACTGCACAGAGCAGGAAGCTAGACTCTCTCCCACTAGACGGCGGCATGGCCGAGGAAGAAGACGCTATGGACGTGGACGAGGAAGAAGCATCCCAACGCGTGCCAGGAGTCAACGATTACGGTATCGATGTCGACTTCTCAGAGTTAGACGATGACTTGAAGGAAGACGACTCTGAGCAATGCGAATCAAATCTGCAAGAAAGTATTGCGAATATACAGGCCGAGCTCGAGAAGATGCAGCCAAACATGAGAGCCATTGAACGCTTGGAAGGTGTTGAAGCACGTCTCAAGTCTACTGATGATGAATTCGAAACAAGTCGCAAGGCAGCCAAAGAAGCCAAGGACCAGTTCGACGACATCAGAGACTTGAGATCGGATCTCTTCACAAAAGCTTACGACCATATCTCTGGCCAGATTGACCAAGTATACAAGGAACTCACGCGCACTGCCAGTTTTCCTCTCGGTGGTCAAGCATACCTCGATTTGGAAGACACTGACGAGCCATACCTCAGTGGTATCAAATACCATGCTATGCCTCCACTCAAGCGTTTCCGTGATATGGAGCATCTCTCTGGTGGTGAGAAGACCATGGCAGCTTTGGCGCTGTTGTTCGCCATTCACACATATGCACCATCACCATTCTTCGTACTCGACGAGGTTGATGCTGCTCTTGACAATGCCAACACCGCTCGCCTGGCCAACTACGTCAAAGAGCACGCTGGTCCTGGCATGCAATTTGTTGTCATCTCTCTCAAGGTAAGGTTCATCGAGCGTTCGATCTCGAAGTGGTTCGCTAACATGTTTGACAGACGGGACTGTTCCAGAACAGTGAGACGCTTGTTGGAGTGATGAGGGATCAGACTGTGAACAGCAGCAGAACTCTCACTATGGATGTAAGTCTCAAGCAGTGCCATGATCTAAGTATTGTCGTGACTGACATGATTGCAACAGCTTCGCAAGTACCAGGCTGCATAGAACAATTAATGGAATGGTGGAGAAAAGAAGGTGCACTGGGTGTTGATCTAGTTTTGAAGTTCGAAAAGGAAGGAAGCCGTGCAATGAAGTGCTGGCGATTGTTATTTGTTAGTCATTGCTCGATACCAATGAAGGAAACATGTCTATATGAGATTTTGCATCTGCGACTTGAGATCACACTCCATTCTACATACAGCAACAATCATGATTGAGTAAAAGACAAGAAATGGTAGAAAGAGGAGACAGGGAAAGAATCATAGGCATGAAAGGGTTAGAAAAAAGAATGCAAGCTTTTTCTCTCAAAGGCTATGTGTAAGAAACCTCTCTCTCTCTCTCTTTCTTCACCGATCATCTCATTCCCAGTATTTTGTGCTCCAAAAACAAAGAAAGATCGTTGCAAACATCAACTCCCCACTACTGCTACATCCACCATCGATCGATCGTCAAATACACGTCTAGGATCTACCGCTGAAACCACCACGTCTGTAGGCACCGCCAGCAGAGGAACCGCCACGAGACGATGGGGGCTCGTATCTGCCACCTGATGCGGGAGGAGGAGTCTCGCCATCACCGCGAGGAGTTCTGGGGGTCCAGCGTTCGCGGGGGGCGGCAGCGGGAGGGGCAGAGTCTGAGGAAGGTGCTGCACCGGCGGATCCGCGCATGTGAACGGGAACGTAGGCGGAACGTTGAGGGAGGGCAGCCTCAGAGGTCTTGACGCGCTCGTCGGCGGGAGGTGCGGCAGGGCGAGAGGCTTCGGGGGCGGGCGAGGCACCACCTTGGGCGGCCTTTGCGGCCTCGCGCTCACGCCATGTGGGCTTGTTGCCGGCGAGGGCGAGACGGGGAGGACCACCGGCTGAAGCGCTGACGGTCTCGGCGGCGGGTGTGGGTGCGCCGGATCTCTCCCAGCGGGAAGAAGGAGCGGCGGCAGCGGGTGCTTGTTTGCGCTCGGCACGGCGTTGCTCGGCTTCCTCTTCGCGCTGGCGTTGCTTTTCGGCAGCGGCGGCGGCTTCCCTGTTGTGATTTGTTAGCGTTGCTGTTGTGTTTGTTTCGTGTGAGATTGGCGACAACGTACTCTCTCGACTTGATTCTCTCCTGCTTCTCCTTCTCCATTCTCTCGCGCTTCTCGGCATCGACACGCTCCTTCTCTTCGGCCTCTCTGGCCTCTCTCTCCTCTTCCTCGCGAGCACGGGCTTCGGCCTCCTCGGCCTCTTGCTTCTCGCGTGCCATGCGCTCCTTGACTTCGCGACGGCGCTGCTCCATCTTCTGGTTGAGCTCGCGCTCTGCGACCTTGCGGCGCTTCTCGAACTCGGCGTGACGCTGCTCGGTAACGTTACGCTTGAACTTCTCGTAAGCGGGCACCAGACGACTGAGACGATGCTTGAGGGCAACGGCCTCCTTGTGCTTCTCCTCGGCATCCTTGAGAGTCTCGGACTTGGTCTTCTCGTAAGCAGCCACATCACGCTCGCGCTGGGTGTCGTAGTCGGCACTCAAGTGCTTGAGCTCCTCCTTTCTGTAGGCACGCTCGAGATGGTCAATTCTCTTGGCAGTGAATCTCAGCTTCTCGCTCATCTCGTTCTTTTCCTTCTCGAGAGCCTGGAGCTTGATCTGGCGAATGCGGCCGGTGTCAAGGTCATTGATGTCGAAGCTGTCGATATCGACACCCTTGACACCCTGCTTGAGCTCCTTAAGCTGGCGTTCCATCTCTTCTCTCTGGACCTTCTCCTGCTCCTGTCTAATACGACGAGCCTCACGCTCGCGCTGTTCATCAGCCAGACGCTGGACTTCGGCGGCCTGCAACTCTTGCTGGCGCTGTCTCTTCTTCTGTGCCTCCTCGCGCTCCTTGGCAGCCAAAGCGTTGGCGGCGGTCTCCTTCATCTTCTGGATAACCTCTGAACGAGCAATAGTGTCGAGGTGCTCCTTGTCAGCACCAGCCTCAGCACGCTTAAGAGCGGCAGCCTTGGCCTTCTGACGGTCCTCGTTGAAGGTAGGGTCGACATATTGGCAGGTGATGTAAAGAGCCTTCGACAGACGGGTAAGTTGAGAACGGACAATCTCAGCAGGAGTGCTCTGCAGGCGCTGAACGATCTCGGAGCCGGCGGATCCGGCACCGCTACCAGGGTGAAGGGCACGAGCAGACGAGAATACGTCAGAGTCGAAGGTCAGGACACCAGTAGCGTGGTCGATACGGATGGCCAAGTCACCCTTCTTGCAACCGTTCATGATGAACTTCTCAATAGCGGCGGGGCTCATCTGGAACTCCTCGGGGAACTGAGCAAGGTTAAGAACGAACTTGAGCTCGACGGTCTCGTAGACCTGAGAAAGCTGCTGGAAGAGGCGAGTAAGGATGACCTGCTGGAGAGGCAGGACGTACTTCTTCATTTCAGAGTCGGCGGCAATCTTGGTGAGGATAGGAGAGATTCTCTTGCAGATAGACAGGGGGTGGAAGTCGACCTCGAGAATGTTGTAAAGTTCACGGATCTCAGGAGAAGCACGCTTGAGAAGACCCTTGTTGATAGCATCCTTGAACAAAATGGCACGGGTAGGGGGTGCTGACATGCCGAGAAGGTTAGTAAGACGGGTGTTCTTGTTCTTCTTGGCCTCATCGACATCAACGAGGGCACCGCGGGAGCGGGAAGTGCTGATGACGGGGATGGCAAGAGCGGACAGAATGACAAACGAGGCAGCCTTGGTGAGGTCGGCATCTCCGATGTTGGAAGGGTTGTCCTTCTTCTGGCCCTGACCAGCGGACATGATAGCAGCCGACTGGCGCAAGAGGTTGCAGTAACGGCTCCAGGCGGCGGCGTGGAAGAGGTAGTTCTCGCTGACAAGGAAAATACGAGCAAGCTTCTCGAAGTAGTTGGCCATCATGACGTTCTTAGCAGGACGCTTGCTCAAGGAGAGCAGAGTGTGAGTGTCCTCGACGGACTTGAAGGCCTCCTGCCACAGCTCGAGCTCGACGGCAACGTTCAACTGCTGGAAGCGGGTGTCCAAATGGCGCTGAAGGGTGTCGGGGTCGCTGAGGTTGATGGCGTGCATCTGAGAAGAGTACTTGGCGGCATTTTGGAGATGGTTGCGGAGCAACTCGCACAGTCTGCGGAATTCGGTCTTGCGAGCGTAGCGGAGACAGAACTGGAAGGCCTGAAGAGTGACGGTCTGGTACATAACCTCGAGTCTGGCGTTGTTCTTGAAAATGTCCAAAACGGTGCGGTAGGTCTCCCACAGGAACTTCAGCCAGGGAGTGACGATGGCGCGGTCGGTTCTGTCGCGTGCCTGCTCACCGGAGACGGTCGACAGGAGGATGGACTCGGGTGTCTCACTGGCCTCAAGATCACCAACAGTGGCCAGGTCGTCAGATGTTTCTGCGGCGGAAGAGACCTCATCGGCCTTGGCCTGGGCCTCGGTGACCTTTGATTCGGCGAGTTCGATGAAGCGCTTGAAGACGAGCTATACATGTGTCAGTGGAGGCGCAGACTGGGCAGTCAAGTTGGGCAAGTGTACCTCGATAGTGGCGACATTTGTGTTCTGCGAGGTGTTCTTGTAGTTGTAGAGACCGTCCTTGGCAGCCTTGCCCTTTCTCAACTCAACGCAGAGCTCGACAAACAGGAGGACGACAGGCTCGAGCGAGGCGATGGTGCTATTGCGGGTGCGCTTGGAGGTGACATGTTCGTGGAGGATGGTCAGAGCCGACTGCTTCTGGTTGACTGCGATGAGCTCCTGGGCTCTCTGTTGGCGCAATACCGTTAGCTTTGGCACACAACTCGATGCGAGCAAAACTTGCCTTGAGCACGTTCTCAGGCTTAGTATGGGGTGGAGGAGGCATCTTGAGAGATATGGCGACCTTCCTGTCGTTGAACGAGAGATGCCGTCAAGATGTTCGATTTTTCCCAAGCGTCGCATGCGTGCGGTCGCTTGTGATTGGCTACACGACAACGACGCGCCAAGAGGCCAACTCCGACTGCCTCTTGGATTCACACTCCGCTCAAGAACTGAACATGATCATCTTACTCCTCTTTACATCATTACAGACTCTTAGATAAAAAGTTTCACGAGATGACAAGGGATCTGAGGCGCTGCTCTGTGGCTGCACAATCTTGACATGGCAATGACCTGAAGGAATACCTTTTACAATTTCTTGTCCATGAAACTTGCAGATGATTATTACATGTCTCTGCCATCAAGTATGATGATTTCCGGAAACACAACATCTGAGACTTCTGGCACGGCTTGACAAGCGGTGTCCTCATGGCAGTCTTGAAGTTTACGAGGTCGAGCGGCTCCACCAGCGAAGCCCCTGACTTTCTGGGGTTCAAGTCCGCATCTGTGTTGGTCAAGCACGCAGGGATAATGAGCAGGCTCAGAAAGCATATGCTGTAAACAGGTGTCCCAGTGGCCAGATTTGACATGTGTTCTGCATCCCTCGCGTTGCGAGCAACGTGATGGCCAGGCGGGTCAGTAAAGACAGTGCAACAGATAGACCAAACCGTTCAATCGCTAGTGCTTGGCATGGGCTATGCCGGATTGGCGATGCCAATTAGAGCAATTTGAGGAGGAGCGGCGCCCGGACGACCAGCGTCTCCCATCCTCGACGACACGACCCATTCCTGCATCCTCGCCGCCGTGTAACGTCGATTTTCCCAGTGGCCCTTCTCTTCACTGCGTCGCTCGTTACCCGATTCGTCTGCATTCGTCTCCCGCCCCACGAGAACAACACGCGCGCGACCTTGTCGACTTCCCCCCTGCAATCCCGCTCCATTGGCTCCCACGCCTCGTCCATCTACCGTGCGACTCTCTCGTGCCATGTTCAATTTTCGTCAAGCTGACCGCTTATGACAGTCCCGACAATTCCACCTATACTCTCGAGCGCCGCACTGCCGCTCCACCTACACCTATATCTATCGCGTCCCTCAGCACTCCGCTAGTCGCTTCAATCCTCACTCGTCGCCTTCACCATGTCTCAGCCATACGAGATCCGTAACAATGATACCGGCAGAAGCAAGAAGCAGAGCATGGCTGAATTGAAGCTCCGCCGCCTCAATGAGCTCAACCAGAGACTGCAAGAGGATCTAAACCGCAGAAGAATCCCTGTTTCCGAGGCTTCCATGGAGTGAGTTTGCGCTGCTCTCTCAGCAATTGCTCTCACACACTGACGCAAAACTCTCAGCTTGATCGCATTCACCGACAAGGAGCCCAAGGACTTCATGGTTCCCAGCCGCTGGGGCACTGTGAGTATCCACAAACCATTCTCCAACACTTGCCATTTCTGACTCATCTATCCAGATCGACAAGCGCGACGACCCCTACGCTCCTCAACAATCCGGCGGATGCTGCATCATCATGTAAAGCACCATGTCACCTTTTCCTTTCTTGCAAGAGACTTCATACCGGGTTCCGGGTTACCAGCACTGGCGTTTTCGGCGGAGAGTGACGGTTCTTGTTTCAAATTAATCTCCCTTTTTCCTTGACTTTTTTCCAAATCCCGAGTAAGATGCGGCAGCACGGTAGACTGGCTGTGGCGCTCCTGGGAGGTACTTGTAGCATAATGTTCTTACGGATTGTCTTCAATCTCGGTCTTCAATTCCTTTTCCTTCCAAAAGCCTAAAGTATTCTCGACAGCTTCAACATCTCTTGGAAAGAGGACAGCATCTACAGCGCCAGTCCCATGCCACGCGAGATCCGAGATCAAAACGCATGCTCCCAGGCTTCTATCATAGCTTCTAGGCTCGGAGTTTAGACCGTCTGTTGACAAGCTTAACTTCCCTGCCTCTTCGCATCGCCATCGAGCTCGATCTGAAGAAGCCGTGGTCTTGAACGAAAACGTAGACTCGGAGTGTCACCCGTACCAAATCTTACACGCTTAGGCGACGAGTGCAAATGCGTACCATGCCCCTCCTTCCATCACCGCCCGGGTCAGTTCCCTGTCGTCGTGCTGCGCCCAGCCATCTTCTACGTATCGATTATCCAACAGGCTCGACAGGTGGCTCTGATGTACATTCCTCTTGCTAGAACAATTCTCCTCCGTGTTAGTATTGCTTGTACAAGCGACAGAACTCATGTCTTGGGGTCAGCGTTTGTTGATAGCGGCGGATCGCGATCTTGCAGTATGGGAGCTCTACACCTTACACCCATGTTGATGCTGGGAGGGAATGTGGACGACGAAGTTGAGCGGACGGCTGAAGATGTGTCCAACGAAACTAGACTGGAGAGCACTTGTGACAGTACTCGGAGTCGACAAGATGCATGTGCAGGGATAATGCGGCAGATGGCAGTGGAAGATAACATCGTTGAACAAAGAATCCAGTTGCAACAAGAAAGATGTCGGGTCGAACATGACTTGCCGTAAGTGACTATCGAGACACGGCGTATCGAGTCATGGCCTACTGGACGGGCTAGAAATGACTTTGTACGCAAGACCTACAAGTATTGTCGGTTGTCGGGTCGCTGATTGCCTGATGTCCAAGTTGTCCTTTTACTCGGTATCCACCCACATCTTGCTCGTGAGCACACGACCAGTTTCCTTGTTCATGCTCGCTCGAAATCATCCTGACGAGCTAGTCTCTGTGTGTCAAGGTTGAAAAGCCCTGATTTTGATTGACTCACGATCGACACGAGGATATATGTTTCCGAATGAAAGCTATAGGGGTGGGGCACGTCATCTAGGGAAGGGAGTGACATTATTCGCTCTCGAAGTAGTGCTTCCAACTCTCTAAATATTCCCAGGTAATTCTCTCGGATCATAGACGACGATAAGCATCGAGCGTGTTCAATGATAACGGATCCGGTATCAAGGCTCGTGGCGTAAATGTAAGCATTTGTTGTGTCGTCGTTCCCTGATGATGGCGATATCGTATGCATGCAAGATGTTTCGCATGGTCTCCCGGATAGTTGATAACAGACCTTCCACGCAGCCAGGCTACTCCCTTCCCTGGAGTCAACGGAACAAGGCAGATCGTTGACCTCGTTAGGGACCATGACACTAGCAGAATCTAGACAAAGTCGGTCCCATTGTATAGCCGTCTGTCTGCCGAGGTCGATATGCTCAAACCACAAAGCAATCTCGACAAGCCTCGACCGCGTTACAAAAGGCAAGGAAAAAGCAAGCGCGGTGTTACTTACAGTCTTTGCATTGTTCGAAGGATCCTGGACTGAGAGCACCAACAAATTTGCAGGTGGGTCGACCAGAACAATGGCGCATGGAATCTCCCCGTGGAGCGCATAGACACAAGGTATATCAATATGACTGCCTACCGAATGTGTAATACCAAAACATACTACCTCGGTTCCAATTCAGCACCGGTCCGAGGGTGATGGATCGGTAGATGTTTGACCAGGTATTCGATGGTTACGAGAGTGAGACCCTGAGGGATTCGGTGGATTGATCGTTGAACTTAAGCACAGTTGCGTTCTCTCGAGGGGGCTGCGTCTTTGTTGAACATTAACCGGCTCCAGCCCGTGCGCGCATGTTTAGAACGAGTCGCCGAAGGTGACATTCCAGTGACATTCGCACCAAGCTTTCGGCGAGATGATGTCGATGCGCAGATTGGAGGTTTGACCATCAATCGAAATGCTTGTAATTACACCTCGAGATACGGAACTGGTACGGTGTAAGAACGAGCAGGTACTCGAGTAGCTTGCCGCATGGCACCGCACCAGGTTGCATACCGAGGTCGAAAAGTAGCAGCACTTTAGAAGATCTACGATGGCTGCAGCAAGTCGTCAGGCGCGCAAGACCGTACCGCGCCACATGGTCCGAAGGCTTGGATATGGTCACATCTGATGCATGAGACGGCAGAGCTGTAAAGTGCATAGAGGTCTTCGATGCACACAGGTAGTGGCAACTTGACGGGTCATTTCGGTATGAAAGTTGTTCATGGAGTCGATCCAGACAAAGCGGGCTAAACTCGCTTGCCGGAGATCTTTGAACTCCTGCACGGACGTCTCTCCAAACAGGGTCCCCGTCATTCGGATACCTCGTTCGGTGGAGTTAGATTTATCCTGGGGGACATTGTTACCCGCAAGAGCTGAATGCCAGTTGTGCATTGGGATGATTGTAGGAGAAAGGTTAGAGAATAGAGATATCATCGTGGCTATAAGGATTTATGAAATGGCCCAGGGTGAATCAAGGGTTCGTCTCGTAGTTACCAACAGGGCGTGGAAAAAGACTTTATGGGATGCCTTTTGGTTCGATTTGATTTATTCCGCATCCGCGCGCGCGAGCAACCACCGCCCCCACCAACTTAGCGCAGCCGTCTTTTGACCCACACGTCCTCTCAACGGGGACCTTTCTCAGGAAGACATCGCATTTAGCAAGAGCCATATTTTTGCACTCGGCGCCCTACTCGGTCTCAAGGCTTCATTCGCGTCACAACAAGCGAGCACTCTCGTACTACAATATCCAGTCGCGCCTTGCAAAAACTCGTAGGGGACCATCGAGCCACCTGCGGCAACCGCGCCGACATTCGTTCTTTCCCGTCACCATCCAACCTCTGGAATGAATCACACCGAGCAGGCGCAGCCATGGCAGCAGCCAAATCACATGGACCTGCGAGACATGCAAGACATTGACTTTGCCAGCTTCATCGACATTGGTGATATTGGCGACATTGGCAACCTTGATGTCGCCGACTTCCCCTCGCTCGACGGGCCTGACGCTCAAGGCCTGGCGTCGACTGGCCCACTACACGACTTTGGCACCGAGAGCTTCGGACTTCCTACCGCATTGGACGTGCAAACCTTCGCCCAGAATCAACAATGGCCACAGCAGCAAGTCCCGCAGGACATATATCGTGCGCCAAACATCGTTCCGCCGACGCCAAACAGTTACGAGTTGCAGGGCAATGCGCGCCACTACATGGCTCAGCACATGGACTCGGGAGCCGGCCCCTTCTACGACCAACATCACCGCTTGACAAAGGAAGACAACATGTCTTTCACCCCTCTGGTCTCACCAGCTGTCACCCCGAGACACTCGGCCTTCCAGCCCATCCCCGAGTACACCATCCCTGGTGCATATTTCAGCCCCCTCACGTCCCCGGCTCTGCATGCCCAACAACAGCAACAACAGAACCGCAGCTATGCCCATAGCCAGTACACCAATCCGACCACCGCTGACAACTCGGCCGCTGCCTCGCCCCTCGACCTCAACATGGACATCGACTCGTTGAAAGACACGACAGACGTTGCTCCTCGCAGAAGCAGAAGGAAGCCTCCAATGCCGCATTCGGCAGGTCCAACCGCCTGCGGCGTGCGACAATCACCCATTGTCAAGGCCCAGAGACGTCGCTCGGCTCACCTCTCGACCATCATTCCCCCACGCGAAGTCAACAACATACTGATCGAAGCCCAAAGCCAAAGCCGGGCTCAGGGTTCGCGTACGCCTTCAATCGAGTATATGCCGCCGTACCACGACGATGCGAGTGCAGAATCCATATCGCCCGAGGCCTTGCCCGATCTAGTCATGGGTCCTCCCCCTCTGCCTGCCTCGATTTACAACTCTCCAGCCTTGCAGCCTCAGATCCACTCCGCGCCTGCTTCAACTACAATTCACTCTCACCCGGGGTCGAGTGATCCTTGTCCCGCTACCCCTGCCTCGTTGATGTCTATCCGCAAGAGCCAGCAGCAAAATGCGGTGAATCGTTCTGTCGGGCCTCAACCTGGCTCTGGCCAGTTCCAAGTGCAATCGCAGGATCAGATAAACATGCTCGAAGACCTCGCTCTTCCTCCATCCGCCGCTGAGCCTGCCCGTCCAGCTTTGAGCAGAATCGTCACAACGACATCAGGGGAAACCACTCCTCGTTTGGCTCCAGCTATTAAGGGCACACCAAGGCTGGCCCCGTCAAATTCCACTGCAGCAAGTCCTATAATAGGTGCTACCAATTCGCCTGCCTTAGGTCCAGCAGGGAGAAAACTTGACCAAAAACGATCGCAGCCTGCGAAAAAGCGTGGCAGTGTCAGCACAACGTCTGTGCTCGTCAGTCCGGCTATCCGTCCGAAAATCAGTCCTAGCATCAAGCCGTTGCTTCCCGAAGGAGGTACGTTTGGCTGCAAAACATTCTGGAACCCATACAACTACTGACTAGACATATAGGTCTTAGCGAAACTCAGCAAGCGCTCCTTCTCGCCTCAAAGTCAAACTACACACATTTACTCGAGGGAACTCGTCTCCCCGGCGTTTCGTATCCAGAGTCTTTGTCTATGGGCTTGACATCGAAACGTACCTCACACAAGATTGCCGAGCAAGGTCGACGCAACAGGATCAACGAAGCCATCAAAGAGATGCAAACACTACTTCCCAAAACAAAGGGCAAGGGTAGAGCTGAGGAAATTGCTGAGGAAGAGGAAGAAGCCAACAGTAAGGATGGCAAGGGTAACACCGCAGAGGGTAGAAGCGCAAACTCAAAAGCTGCCACGGTGGAAAGCGCCATTGACTACATCAAACTACTACAACAAGAGAGGACCCTGGCTTTCGAGATGCTCCAGAAGAAAGACGAGGAAATGGCCGCCTTGAGAAAGCAGCTGCAGGCTGCCGACATCACCACAAGCGCGAGCGACTCGGCAAATGATTCACTTGTTGCGAGCAGCGGCGAGGAGAACGACGCCGAACCCGAGAAGATGGAAGGCGTTATGGCTACGCCATAAGCACATTCTATCAGTCATTTGCTCGTTCATCTTTCACGACTGGGCTTCCTGCTTAACAAATCGGCAAAGACTAACGAGGACAGAGGAGGTAGCACATTGGTTTCTGTTCTTCATCCTGCTCTCCCCTTCTTGCACTTGTCTTTTTTAATCTTGCTACCCCTCTGGTTTCCTCTTCTTTTGTTGATTCTCCACGCACATCATGGGTGGCTGGCCCTCTCTATCTGGGGAGGTTGAGGCTTGCTTTCGGCTCTCTGTTTCTCGTTTTCTCTTGTTATGAACTTCTTGTCTTAGATATCCGGCACTGTAGAAGCCTCCTGCTTGGTCTTGGTCCACGCCATGTTATTATTATACCTCAAACAACTGAAAAAAAATCAAAATTCACACAAAGCTTTGTTGTCCATTGTCTTGATGCGACTTATGTGAAACTACTGTGTAGTCCAAGCTGAAGGAAGGAAGGTGGTTCCATACCTGTCATGAGAGCATGCTGCCGAAAATTGAGGCGTCAAGGCTCTGCTATGCCAACCTCAATAGCTTTGTAGCTTCCGCCCTTTCATTGCTTATCTATTCATAGATGACGACAGCCCTAGCACCGAGTTGAGGCAAAAGAGACGCAAAACGTACAGCAGCAGGGATTCCCACGTGGTCACCCACCGTAGTACTAATCTGCCGTTCAACTGCTTATGTATGGCAGAGCGGACGGGATGCCCAGTTTTCAGCTGACTGTGGCCGTACGTGCTTGAGATCTCGATTTATATCAATATAAGCCTGCTTAAAATAGACTAGATGCTTAACCATAATCCCAACCTATATCCTCTCATACACTTGCAGGTTGAGGATCACCAGGCTTAGCTTTGTAGCTGATTCTACCCGCAGGCAAGAAGAAGAGCGCGATCAAAGCCCCTCCACGCACCTCTGGATAGTGATGAGTGCCCGGTCCTGGCGATGTCCAACCTGCACCTTGCCAACCCTGCATACCCTTGAGTTCTGCAGTCTTGTCGATTTGCACCACACAGTTGATCTCTCCGTAAGGATGAGAGTGATATTGACCCGAGTACTGTTTTGTTATGTGTTAGCAAAACGCCTCAAAGAGGAAGAGTTAGGCTCATTGGCAGGGACAGAGATGTAAGATATACCTCTTCTTCACTCTCCATATACACGGTTGTGATGGAAAAGAACCTGTTCTCAGCACTCGGCAGCAAAATCTTGGAACGCCTGTACTTTGCACCATCGAGTTCGAAGTTAGCGACCCAGCCTTCTTTGAGGCCTTGACGTGTCGAATTGCATAGGTCTTCATAGATTGGGTTTCCTGGCCCGTAGTTTTTGTTGAGGTAGGCTTCTAGTTGGTGGCCTGGTGTACTATACAAGCCGTGAGTGTTGCAGCGATGGGAGAGAGGCAGAGGGAAAGAGAGATGTACAGGTCTTCGACTTGGGAGAAGAAGTCGCGGCAGCGCGATACGAGGTGCTGGGCTGTTGGGTGGGCGGTCAGGTCTACTTCGGTTGGAGGGACGTCGTTGGTTGATGATGGTGGTGCGGTTGCGGTTAGAGGTATGGAGGAGTTCATTACTGCTGCCGCCATTGTTGCTGGATTCCTAGAGTGAAAACGTGAGGGATATCAAACAGATGCAGAGATTCTGATTGTTAGAAGACTAGAAAAGAGCGCTCTTATCACGCGAGGTATACTGGAGTTTTGGTATAGTAATCACAAAACACAAAAGGTCAGCCACCGTAAAGCAAGACCCCGCTCCGGATACTTCGGTATCACCTGTCTAGGCAATTGCATCAAAGAACTGGTTGGGCATCGATGTAACGGGCATGGAGCTGTGGAACACATGACGAGATGGTCAACTCAAAAGTCAAGCATGCTCGCTCGATTGACGCGTGGTGGTTGTGCTGCCGTAACGTTAGGCAGGAGCAAGCTGACTCTCATGACCACATTCGAGAGATAAACAGCAGGTCTTGCTACCGCACTTCCTCATTCTATCTCGCACCTATTTGTACATTGAACACGTTGTTCACTGATACTCAGTATTGGCAGTCGGCCTAAATACGATGCCTACGATGAAAGAAGCCCATATTGACGCTGACACAAATGTCACGCTCCACGACGTGCCAATACCTGAACTGACGGATCCACATCATATTCTCATCAAAGTCGTCGTAGCAGGATGCAATCCGAAAGATTGGAAGATGCCTGCGGGCATGCTTGTCACGATCGGTTCATGTCCGAACAGCGGCGATGATGTAGCAGGTGCATACCATCCTTACATTTTCGGAAACCCATCCCTACAATGCTTTACTAACACTTTGGTCATCAAGGCATCGTCTCTGCTGTTGGCTCCAGCGTCTATGACTTTCGACCCGGTGACCGTGTAGCTGCACTACATCAACTTGGAGCTCCGCATGGAACTTACGCTGAATATGCTCTCGTCTGGGATCATACGACATTCCATATTGGAGATCGCCCGTTCGAAGAGGCTGCTGCGATACCAATGGCATATTACATGGCAACCATCGGACTATTCGGAATGTTGAGGTTGCCGATGATGTGGCAGCGATCTCGGGATGAGAAGGAAGTAATGCCACTGGTGATATATGGTGCCTCCGGAGCAGTGGGCTCCGCTGCAGTCCAACTGGCTGTCAACGCAGATTATCATCCTCTGATATGTATTGCGGGAGCTTCGGGAGACTCGGTAGTGAAGCCGCTCATGGACAGCAGCAAAGGTGATGTGGTTCTCGACTACAGAGAGGGACCCGAGAAGCTTGTCGAGAAGATGAAAGCAGCACTCGGCAAGCATGAATTACACCACGTTTTTGACTGCGTGAGCGAACATGGCTCATCAGCAAACATATGCCAAGTACTTCAAGCAGGAGGCCATATCAGTCTGGTCCTGCCATCAGGAGTCAAAGACGTGCCATCTGGATTCGAGATCAGCACGACAATGGCTGGCAACCTTTGGGCTGGGTTCAACAAGAGCGATAAGCACGGCGCGATGGCTCTAGCTGGAGGAGCAGATTTTGGATACTGCCACTCCAAGTTGCTTGGCCGTTGGCTCAGCGAGGGTAAATTGCGTGTTCACAGTCCGGAAGCGGTTGATGGTGGTTTGCTCGGCGGCGTGGAGACGGCGCTCAAGAATCTGAGGCAGGGGAAGAATCATGGGGTAAAATATGTCGTGCGCGTGAGCGACACGCCTGGATTGAAGTGAGGTGGCTTCGGCGCAAACACGATCATGCAATATTCAAATTGACCAGCTTGATATCCTGTATACTCCTTGTTATGATCGCGTTTGTTGCAATAGTGTGTAGGAACAGGTCGAAGCAAGAGAAAGTCCGGAGAGCGTTGCTCGTGTTTGTCACTTCAGTATTAAACCCAACCATGATGGCATTTCAGGCCAACCTTTCGATAATCAAGACGGTGCAGTCTGTATAGCCTACATGAGTATTTGCCACGCTTGTATTTCCACATGACACTTGAATTGACAAGTAAGAAGCATCGGGGTTGCCGATCAAGAAAGATGGGCATTTTCGGACAGGGTAATGTACACACCAATGCTCGAAGATACATAAGAGTTATGCTTGATTATGCATATAGAGCTGAGGTAACCTAGCGCGTCACTCGAGGAAGGAACAGCCATTGTCATCTCCCTGTTCATTCAATAAACCTCCACCAAACCATCCAATCGCGTCTTTTTACCTCTATTTCATCACCGGAATCACTCAGAACCAATTGACATATCTCAAATCACGTCGAGGAAGCGACAAAACAGCGACACGATGAGCGAATACACCAAGATGAAGAACGCCGAGCTGGAGGCACTGCTCAAAGAGCGCAACCTCCCTCACACGGGCAAAAAGGCCGACCTGATCAAGCGACTCCAAGAAAGCGATGCGCCCGCAGCAAAGACCGAAGACGAGATCGACTGGGACGACGAGCCCTCCGCAGCAGCAGCAGCAGCCTCCAAAGCAACCACAGAAGCCGCCGCCGTCGCAATCGCCGCCGGCGGTCAAGGACAACCTCCAAACCCCCAAGCCGTGCCTAACCAGCAAGCCGACATCGATCCCTCGCAGACGGACGACCTCACAGTGATCAAGCCCGCCGAGGACGACGCGTCAACAGCTGCACCCACCACCACCGAGACCGCCGCAGACGCCAGCGCACCCACGGAAGCTCAACCGGAAGAACCGGCCAAGCCTGCCGTCGACTTCACCTCTGGACTCGCCAAGACGACTCTGGACCAAGAGATTGAAAAGCGCAAGGCGCGCGCAAAGAAGTTTGGCTTGAATGAGGACGAGGACGAAGCATTGAAGGCTCTGGAACGCGCAAAGCGCTTCGGCAACACCGAGATGCCCGGCAAGCTCAACGAAGCCCTCCCCGAGCGTCGCGAGCGCAAGAGAGGCGCCCCTGCCGATGGAGAGCAGCAAGGCGCAAGCAAGAAGCGCGAAGGTACCGAGAACAAGCGCGAGAACAACGACAACAACAGGCGCGGTGGTCGCAGGGACGGTGGTAGAAGAGGAGGTGCACAAACTCAGGCAAAGTCATCTGCCCCTGCTGCATCTGCACCTGCAAAGAGAGAGAAGCCGCAAATCAGCGAGGCAGACCGGGCAAAGGCCGAGGCTCGCAAGGCAAGATTCGCATCCACATCATCATAGGAGGAAACAGCGCTCTATAGTTACGGTACTTGGTTTTGAGTGTGCTTGATTATTGCAACACTTGGATTCGAAAAGCACGGCGTCTAGCACTGTCGCGAGGAATCATCATGGTTCGGATACCTTTCTTGCCCCTCCAAAAGCCACTTCATACAGATGTAGGATAGCGTTCGAATGAAAAACACGAGATTCAACAAACGAATAATGACGAAGCCTTTCTCAGACTCGACAATGATAGAAGGACGGGAATCGTTAAAATAGGATTGTAGAAACTTGACATGTGCACGAAGCACGTTCTATGCTAGATGCATGGAAAAGATCGCAATCGCAGTTCTAGTCTCGTCTACAGCTTGGCTCTAGCACTGCTCTGTGCCTCGGCCTCGGTGTACATCTCATCAAGAAGAGCGCGGTACTTCTTTGCCGTTTGGGGTCTCTTGAGCTTGAGTCTAGTCGCTTCTGTCAGCAGCTGCTTGAATCGTAGCATTCCTCTCAACACACAGAAAAACTTACGTGGGGGTGAGAAGTTCGTTGTCGACGGTAAAAGGCTCGACCATCAGTCGCACATTGCGCACCATCTCGAAGCGGTTGAACTTGTTCTTCTTGCCAATCTTGTCAAGCTCCTTGAGAACAGCATGGCGTACCTTGACGTCCTGAGCTGCTGCCTCCAAAGCCTTGATGTCGGTTGCGCCCAGCTGCTTACCCAGCACTTTGCTCGCGAAGGCGGTAAATGTGTCAGGCTGGATGCCGAAGATGGCGACCAGGAATGCCCTGTCGCTGTCTCCATGCACGTATGCTTGCGAGAACCAGGTTGTGTTGCCGAGGTAGACGTTCTCGATGCGCTCGGGTGAGATGTACTCGCCCTGAGCGAGCTTGAGAACGTTCTTTCTGCGGTCGATGATCTTGAAGCGACCGAGCTCGTCTACGGAGCAGATGTCTCCAGTGCGGAACCATCCATCGGGGAGCAGCGTCTTTTCTGTCTCCTCGGGGTTCTTGAGGTACTCTCTGAACACAGTGGGTCCACGAACCAAGAGCTCGCCACGAGGATATGGCTTGTCAGTTGCAAAGTACTCCATGTCTGGCACGTCCATGAGACACAACTCGGTTGTAGGCATGACTGCACCGCAGTTGCCGGCTGTCATGTCACCTTCGACCTGAGCGCAAGCAATGGCGTATGTCTCAGTCAAGCCATAACCTTGAAGGAAGCTGTTGCCAAACACTACACGCATGAACTGCTGAAGAGATGGGTCGATAGGGGCCGAGCCTGACACCATAGCTCTGACACGATCCAGACCGAGCTGCGCTGTGACCTTTCTGCCCCAGATACGGTCGTAGAAGGCGTGCTTGTTTGTAGCCTGCTTGGGGTCGGGATTGCTCAGAGTTGCCAACTTTGTCGACACAACGTGTCTTGAAAGAGCTCCTTTGACGCCAGATGCCTCCAGAGTGGCTGTCTTAATGGCACCACCGAAGCGGTTGTACAGACGGGGTACACTGATCAAGCTGGTGGGACGGAGAAGCTTGAAATCTTCGACGAGTTCCAGGATGTTGCCGTGGAAGTATCCGATAGCACTGCCAGCCCAGAGGGCAGAGCCCTCGGTCACGCGCTCGTAGATATGAGCCAGAGGTAGGTAAGAACACATGACATCGTTGTCCTTCATGTCGACCAGAGTCATGGAGGCCGAAGCTGCGGCAACAGCGTTCGCCTGTGTCAGAACCACACCCTTGGGAGGACCAGTGGTACCGGATGTGTAGTTGATAGTGACGATGTCCTCTGGCTGGGGAACGTTGTAGGGACGAGGGTTGGCCTCGCCCATTGCCTCTACATCGCGAATGTGAATGACCTGAATGCCAGCCTCGGAAGCCAGAGCGTTGAGAAGATCGGCCTTTGAGTTTCCTGGCAGCTCAGTGCCCGAGGTGAGGGGATCGAGCGAGACGATGATTTTGAGGGTGGGGCAGCGAGAAGCAAGCTTGAGCAGGGTTGGGATATGGTTCAGGGAGGCTGCGACGGCGGCCAGCTGTGAGTGGTTGATGATGTACTCGGTAGTGTCGGGTCCCAGAGTATCGTAGAGAGAGACAGTGTACAGAGCTTGAGACATGCAACCCAAATCGACAATCTGCCACTCGGGACGGTTTTGGCACCACAGACCGACACCATGTTGTCTACCAGTGATTCCATACTTCTGGTGGAGGTGGACCATGCCGATACCAAAATTCTTTCTTCGTTCTTGGATCTGGCCGTAAGTTTCCCAAACATAGGGCCCGAAGGTCTTTGTGATTGCGTCGTAAGGACGGTATCCGAGACATCTCGCGCTGGGAATGCGGTTGGCTGAAGCGTCGAGTCAGATGGCGTATGAGCGAAGTGTCTGTATATAGCTTACCTGTACGTTCGAAGAAGTCATGCGCGGACGTGATCTGGCCACTCTTGTAAGTACACGTCCCATGACAAGCTTCGTAGAATGCATACCTGAGGGTCCAAGGTGTGAAGCAGACCGTCCTTGAATCTCCAGTGTCTGTAGATCTTACTACGTCCCGACTCCTCGTTTCCTTCAAGGGCAACACTGTAAGGTGCGCCTGGTGGGGGAGGGGCCCTGATCTCGTTTGCTCTTGCGAGAGCTGTGATTGTCGCCATATTGTCGGTTGGGGATTATCGGTATCAGAGGAGGGCTGCAAGGGTTGTAGTGGCAATGGTGTGAAGGACGAAGCTCTTGTTCGTTCTGTAAGAAGTGGGTCAGCTGCTGACCATATAGACTGGACGAGGAAGGACGGCGCGAGGCCCCTTCGGCGACTCGGAAAACAAGTCGAGTAAGCACATACATGACAAGAGGCACTCAGACGTGGACGCGACAGTGAGATTGACAGGCTGGAAGGAAGGTGAAAAGGGAACAGCAAAGGCTATCTGTGGCTTACTTGCATCCAAGTACGAGCCATCAAGACCCGAGGTGTTCAATGTCATCGTTTAATAGATTGTCCCTCTCCCAGTCACATGGAACCGAGGCATCCCGCCTCTTGGCTGCGTCACCTAACTCGGACACAGAGGCCATGACCTTTAGCCTCTTCGATGCTCTCTGTCAAGCTCATTCCGATCTTGTTTTGACTCGTGACTCATCTCAAGGAGATAGCCTTGTCGAATCTCACTTGCTTCTTCAGCAAACACATACAGTGCATGAAGAAGCAACTCTGATGGTCATCCTTTCTTGCCGAACCCTTAGCTCTCCACAGTGGCTGAGTCGCGCATGCCGAGCCGAGGGCGGAGAGAAACCTCAAGGCTCACGATCCGCATTCGGGAGCCTCATCTCCGATACAGAACCTTCTCCCTTCATAGGCCTTGGAGCCTCGTTGTCGAGGCCTTTCCGACATACAGAAGTGCACAAAGATGGTTTTCAAAATCGAGGACTATATCCCCTCAGATTATGTACAGTAACCAAAAAACGCCATGGGGCTCCCCTGCCATGCTATACCTCTATCCCAATGTCCAGTCATCGTGTCTAGAATCCATCTCCCTCTTTCCAATCTCGACCCGCCTCTGAAGCTCGATTTCGAGGATCCCGTCCTCTCTCCCACGCCTTGACCCTCCGTCCTCCAAGATCCCAACGCAACCTCTCAATCTCATCGTGAATCCATTCTTTGCGTCCTGGCTCTGGAATCACTAGATTGTCCGTCTCTTCGGGTATCCGGCCATCAGATTCGGCTTCCATGATCAGAGCCTCATTCTTGCGAATCTCATGTGCCTCGTTCTCGTGGTCTCTGAGGATGTAGCGCAAATCAATGAATTCGTCATACTTTTCCGGGCCTCCGAAGCAATAGCCGTAACCATCGCAGTAACAAATGTTCATAGCTGGGCAATCCACTGCCACACCGCCGAAGATGACGATCCATATTTGCTCGAATACTCGGCCTGATAGACTGTCCGAGAGTGGTGTCTTCAACAGCCAATCCCGGTAGTAAATGTATTTGGACAGAGGGACAGCCTGTATACGCTCTCTACTGAGTGCGAATTGGGCACAACAGGGCTGCGACAGTGTAGGTGGAATGGGGTCCAGAGGGAATATCTCGCTCCAAGCTTCGGCAATAACCATCTCTTCCTGTCTCTGAGCATTGGCGACGAGTGCTCCAGGATGAATACCGCTAATTTCTGCAGGACAGCCAGGAGACCAGTGACAGCGGAGGTTTACGTAGCCGTGTCGGATGACATGATTAGGGTTGAGATTTCTAACCATCTGCGCCGAGTCAAGATCCATGATGTCGTTGTTGTGCCAGGCAAAGCGATGCGCGTGCATGAAGATGCTGACATCGGAGAGATTGTTGTAGTTGTCAATGATATACGAAAGATAGACCATAGCCTCGTGACCTTTGTTCTTTGGAGGATGTAGTTCCGCAGTCTTGTCGTCTACCACGTAGATGGCAGTCCGTAGCGGTCCGATGGGAGCTAGCATGTCCGCCAACTCTGTATCCACCCAAAGTGTGTTCTCCTCTTTCTTGCGCCCTATCACTAGGGTCTTTGTGTATTCGGCATTGGGGTCTTTCGGCGTACCAGCAACGAAGGCGGGATTCGGGTTTGCGAATGTGTGCATGTTCTTGGACTCATGTTGCTCAAGAAGGACGTCTTCAGGCTCTATCTCTTCGTCCTCACCGAATCCCATCACCTTCGGGACATGTCGCAAAGATGTGGTGAGGTGAGTCGTGTGGAAGACTATGAAGAAGAAGAATACCAGGAAAATAGCAAAGAGAGAAGGCGACAGACGGCGTTGAGTGATCATGATATAGGTGTAAGGCTGACGAGCCGGTGGCTCGAGTATGCGACAGTCGTAGATGGGAGATGCAGATTGCGTGGCAAGCCGAGAGAAGGGTGTACTCAGATCATAGCGAGCAAGAGCGCATAGAGGATGACGCTAAACAAGAAACAAACATGTACAAGTATATACAAGAAGGAAATGGAGAGTGAGAGAGGTGAAGAAGTACAAGGGGGGCTCACGACAATCGATCTTCCTCTGACGAAGCCTGCGCCCGCCGAGCCCTGAGGAACATCATGATATGCGCAACTCGATGATGATCCTCCTTGTTTCGACCAACCACTTGGATATGGTCAAACAAACCCATGCTCTCACTCGGCGCCGCGTGTTCAACGACTACCTGTTTCGACTAGTTCGACTGAGGTCTTGCGTTTCGTCCACAATTTTTTCCATGGTTGGACCCTGAAGCACCGTCGTCACACGCGTTCATGCAGCGATCCACCATGCGACCGGAATTGTGGGGTACCATGCTTCTCGTGCCTCGTTGCTTCTCGTGGAAAAGACAACCTTCAATCTTGACGTGGCACTCACAAGCTCATGGAACCAAAAGTCTAGTGCGAGAGAAGACGAACTGACACAGGTGGAAATCATCAGTTGGTCGAATAGTAGACAGTCTTCAATAAGCAACGCCTCGCTCCGGTATATGCAGCAGCCAGTACGTGAATGGAGGTATCTTGCAAGTAGAAACATTGGGACGGCTAGAGGGGAAACATCCAACCAGAGACAGAAAACATTAGATCAGACAACCGTCGCCGCCAGTATTCATCCGCCATCATGAAACATAGATAGGAAATAAGAAGTCAAGGCGATGAAGACAGGAGTTCCACTCTACTCCTTCTGCTCGTTGTTCAACACCATCTCCACAACAATCTGCGTCTTCTCGAGTGCAGGATGTTGCATGACGATCTTGATGGTACGGCTAGCAGCACCATACCCAACGACACCATTGACGATGCCAGTATTGGTACTACCGCCACTGAGTGTGCCACCACCACCGTCGTCGAGACATTTGATATCTTTGCCAGCGATAATCTGCTTCAGACGCCCGTTTTGCGCATTGCGCACTTCGACAAACTCGTTGTCGAAGAGGACGAGATAAGGCCCATACAGTGCAGCGCTCTTTGCGTTAGCAACAAAGTTCATAACGACCGAACGACTGATCTCGCCATGCTTGTTAACATAGACTGCGCAGTGGTTGTAACAGAGCAGGAATTCTTGGTCGGTCAGGCGAAGCATGCCAAGTGTCTCCTGTTTCTCGACATGGCGTAGAATGTTGCCAACCTCTGGAGCTTTCCAATCTGGCACACTCCAGGGTTGCTTCTTATCTAGAGTGAGTACTTCGAAGCCCTTGTCTGAGCTTATAGCCAGACTGCTGTGGAAGAGGTTCATGCCGTGGCATTCAGTGCCGATATAGAAGTCGTCGTAATCGCGGAAGAATTCGGTGTTTCCTCGTTTGAAAATACCGCGTTTCTTTTCGGTCGACTTTTGGTAGATGGGCTCCAAGACCTTGAACGTCGATGAAATGCCATCCCTCTTCTTGTAGAAGACCAGGGTTCGATCCTTCATGCGTCCGACGGCGAAGAAACCTACATCTCTACTACCGGAGAGTCTTTGCGGCGCCTTACGCGACGAAGATGTCTCGGCCGCGCCAGTGGATAGAGGCTGACAAACTACGTCGAGATGGTGTGCGTAAAGAACTTTGTCGGCTAAGAGCAAGAACAAGTTGAACTCCTCGAGCACCGCAACCTGCGTGACCTTGGTGCCTGCGATTGCCTATCGCTCAAGTCAGTATGCTTTCTGAGGGCGTTGTGCAAATACATCACTTACGCGGAACCAACCCCTAGGGTTGTCCATCTCGCAACAGTAGACACCGAAGTCTGTACCCACTGCAACCATATGTTTTGTACCAGGATAAGAAGTTGTAAAGCTAGTAGCACAGTTGACTCTTGCTCTGCAGATCGGAGCTGGGCGACCACTAGCCTTGAATCTGTTCTCTACTTCCTTGACAGCACGATCCAAGGGCGTGCTTTTAATTATGACTGGCTTCCCAACCATGCTAACACCGTATTGATCCTTGGTATTTGCGTTCGAATCGTAGTAGAAGGCAGAATCGGCGATCACTCTGAGACGGAATGGTTCGGCATTCTGCGCAAATAGAGCAGCAGCGTGTTTGGTTTTGGCTTCAATGATCTTGTTGTACCATTCGCTTCTACTGCCTGCTGAAGCAGCAAACAGCGTGTATGGCTCCTTACCTCCCAGATGCTTGATGCGGAATGGATACAGAACTTTTTCCGAATCCTTGTTGTTGTCGAGCACTGTGGTACTAGAAAGTTTCGAAGGTGCAGATGCAACGCTGTTCAGACTTGTCATTGACGAGCCAGTATTAACGGTAGCCAGAGTGGGGTGATTCGATTGAGCGGTTGTAATACGAGCCAGCTTATTCAAGTCTGGACTGGATGGCAGTGGCCTCGACGGTAAAGGTGTAACGGCGGTGATTCCTTTGACATATGAGGAACGGACCACCACATCCTCGTTGATGTTCTCCAATACCAGTAGATCCATAGGAATGGGCAGTCTTGAGACGTCGTATCTCTCTACCTTGTTAGGCGCGCCTTTTTGTGGTACTGAGAGGATCTTGGCGAGAATGAGATAATGATCAAATAGGAGAGCATGACATTCTACCCAGGTAAAGCGGTTGTTGCCCATTCTCTGTAGATCACCTTGGTAGATCAGTTCTCGTCCAATCGACGTCAAATTGAGCTCAACCTCGGACGCCATTCCAGGCCTTAACAAAAGCTTTTGACTGAGATCAGAGAGGTCAACCTTTCTTTGCTGGTCAGCAACGCGGGAATCGCACTCCAAAGTGACGGCCCGGATCTCCTCGATAGCAGTAGCAAGATTAGTCTTCTCCTCACAATCATGCTGCATATTCTTGTGGACCGTTTGCAAGAGCAAACCGTAACGTTGCAATCTTGTGATGGGAGCTTTGAGGTAGTTGTCCCAACCAAGTTTGTTAGATAGCTTGTTCACTCGCGCGGCTTCCACAAAGTTGCGGAAGCTGATGTTCTTCTCGAGCTCTTGCCGCATCAATGAGTTTGCGCTGGGGAAGCCAGTGGCATATTCGATATAAGCAGTTTTGGCTTTGCGAATCCACTGTCTGAAGATGTCACTGAATCCCTTGACCCATGGACCTTGTTCTTGTTGTCGGTACTTGAGTTGTGGTAACAGATGCTCGACGTTTGCTTTCTTGACCAAGTCAAGCTTGCTGAAAACATCTCGCAAGAATCTCTCCTGACGGTTGGGGCTGATGATCGTAGGATTGGCAGTGGCCAGAGGATCGCGGTATAATCGGATCATCACATCAAGGTCCCCCATAAAGCCCTCTTCGGTCTGCACAATCTCATGTAGGATGTTTTGTAACTCAATTTCTTTCCTGTCGTGACCCTCAACATCCTCTTTCTTGAGCTTGTAGAAGGTTGCCCAGTCTTCAGAAGCTCGGGTTGACACAGTCTGGAGGTTGACCTTCTTCAATGTACGTTGACAGTGATGGGAATAACAACGACCTTGGAACAGGTGGTTATGAACAGTATGTGAGTAGCACCCATTCAGCGTCAATTGGAAGATGACACCGTTCATATGCCCTGGGCTGAGCCTAACCCATTCTTCGACTGGGATGAGGGTCTGTGAGGCATACATGTTCTCAACAACACGATTGCTCAGGACTTCGGCATCTGCGATGTTCATGGTAGGGACTTTGTTGGTGAAGAGTGAGACCAGGGCTTCTTTGACCATCGACTCCTTTAACTCGGTCATTTTCTCAGGATCTGCAACGAGTAACAGCCATTGGAGGATCGAGCTCAGTGCCCAAGGTTCTTCACACTTTTTGAAATCGGATCCGCCAAGCTTCGAGGGATTGAAACGCTTTGTAGGCAGACTAGGTAGATCAAGAGCGACCGTACTTGCGGCAGGCGTATTGTCGAAAGTGTTGTAGATGGAAGCCCGATAACCTTGCTTGAGTCTGCGCTCCTCCGCATCTGTTTTTGATCTTGCAGGCTGAAGCACTTGAGGGGTTTGACTGTGAGTGAGAAGCGATGCAGATCGAGGAAAGGTACCAGCGCCAGTGTCTATCGTAGATGGGGTATAACCGTCAGGAGTCATGCGATACTGAGCATGAGAAAGAGAGTTTGAGCGCTGATGGAGCAAACTTGTGTTGAGACGAGGAACCCCGTTGTCGGACACGATTGGTGGAGGAGGCAAAGGTCTATCGTGGCTGTGTGTTGAAGGACCAGGATGGAAGAACATGTCCGGAGGCTCGCCAGGTTGTAGCATATTGTCTGTAAGGCTATACTCGTCGCCCTCGTCAAAACTTTGTCTACGATTGAGGGCGTCAGGATCGGTCAACCCTCCAGTATCACCAGCGTCAACACGAGCGACCGGTGGTCCACGAGAGTGGAGGCTCATAGCATGGTCGTATATGCTATCCGGGTTGCTTGAGCCGATGGATCGCCGCATCGAGTTCGAAGCAGATAACGAGTTGGAACCATTAGCTTCCGGGCCTGCAGCCAAGGTACTCGGATCACCGCCATAGGACATATGGGCATCGTAACCCCCGCTCAGCGTGCTCATATCCATGGGAATATCAGTCTCGTCAGCTTCGTTAGAGAGATTCGCCAACGAAGAGCCGTAATACCCGAAAAGAGCACTGCCTCGATTTGCGTCTGCTTCCTGGGCTTCAGCCATGCGCATCGCCTCCAGTCCAGCGAGGGCCTCGACGTCGCTTTCGTCGCTGTACTCGTTGATGATACTTGCGATAGCCATACTGTCTCGAGAAGGCTGAGCGGTAGGTGTTGTATTGCTTCTGGGCGAGAAGAGAGGTTGCGGACGATCTGAAGATTGCATTTGCGGGCCTTGTCTCCGGGCGCTTGAAGCGGCACCAGCGTTGAGCACGGCACTCTCAACTTGGTTGAAGAGATCTTCCTGGGCTTCCTGCTCGGTTGCGTAGGAATCACGGAAGCCGGGTTGGTGGAAATAATCACGCTCGACATCTGGTTCTGGCGGCCCTGGAAGAGGGCGATTCTGTGGATGGCGCAATGTGTCACTCCTCTGAGGAGCATGAGCGCTGGCATGAGCTGGTGGCGGCGGTGGAGGGCCAGAAGGAGAAGGAAGGTAGCTGGGAGAGAATTGCGGGGAGACAGTAGAATTGTATGAGCCATATCCAGAATGTACAGGTGGAGTTGGGAGGTTTAATTCATCGGGAGTTGAAGCGTAGGGAACATTTCCATATGGAGCAGGCTGTGAACCGTTTGGAGGCGACCAGACATGCGAAGGGGGCGGAGGTGGAGGAGGGTAGTAGGCCGAATTGCCTCGTGAATAGTCGGGATATGTGTAGGTTTGGCCCGGTTCGGGCATAGGAATGGGCTCTGAGAAGCGATGCTGGGTCTGGTGGTAGCTCGCCGAGTGCGGCGGGGACGTAGCGGAGGGAGCGTAAGAATACGGGGCGCGCGGCGATTGTGGTGGAGGCTGCGGCGGGTAGGCCTGAGGGTTGTAGCCAACATTTGCGTAAGCCTGGGGGTTGTATCCGGCGTGGGTAGGTTGCGGCTGAGCGTGGTCACTCTGGGCATAGTAAGACTGCGACGGATGGACATAGTCGGCGTAGGAGGGCTGTTGAACGGGGCCGCCAGGAGTAGGGTAGGATCCGTAGCCGGTCAACTCGGGGGTCGAGTACGAAGATTGGAGAGCCCGCTGGTGGGCGTCGAGTGTGCCGTTGGTCGGGGCATAGTGTTGGGCTTGCTGCTGACCATGCGACTGGCGTCGATTCGGGCGATTATACGACATGGTGCCTCATTTGAACAACTGGAGTATGCGCCTTTAGTCCATCGAACCTGCCACTGCCAGTTTGTTTGCGACCAGCACTGAGCTCTCTCCCCTCTTGCTCTCTTTAGCCCGCTGACTGTGACTGCAACCTGCACGCGAATCGTTTGCCGGCTCCGAGTTCCCGCTATTGGCACTGTCTTGGAGATACCGGAAAGAATTGATGTGGAGATCAGCGATTCATGGGAGAAGATAGCGAGCACAAGACGAGACACAAGACGAAACGAGCAATGGGTTAATCAAATGCCAAATGCATGAGCGGTCTGTGCTCGCCAAGTCATCATCTCACCTTCCCAAGAAACACTTCCGCTCCCTCCTAAACTCTTACTGTCTGCATGTTGTCACTGCTGATCGCCGTGCCGGACTTTGATCCAAGTCCGTCGCCTCTTTGCCATATCGTGTAAGCTCATATTTTGCGCAGCGATACCTCAGGCAGTCCATCACAGCTCATCGCGCAGCCGTTAGATGGAATGGTTTCGGCAGCAGTACCCCACACCATCCTCGACTACCTTCAAACCCGACTGCTTGTCACGCCTTTGGCCATGCCGAGCTTGTGTCATGCTCCATGGCCAAATCGCTTGTCTTGTCGCACTCTATCTGTCAGTCAGCCGTCTGGCTGTATACTGTTGCAGGCACGTCGAGTATCAGATATGAGAGCAAGCCACAACCGTTCAGCTTGGATCCAGGCTTCAACTGCGAGGGCATCGGAAGTTTAACCCCGCTAATTGTACCCTAGTGGCTTGCCATGTGCTCGAGTTGCAGATGCATACGATCTTTCCTAGCCATATGCTGCTCGCCGATGATCTCAAAGCAGCGCATCGTCTCTGCTCTAGATTGCAATCTCTACACCAGCAACTGATGGCGTATAATCGAGTGTGAAAAGAATCATCGTCCGAGGATCGCTACATGACTGATGTGGTTAGATCGCTCGGCTGTGCAGCGTGGCTGATGAGAACCGGATGCGCGGTACTGACGCGCTCCAACCAAATCGCTTTCGGCTTCCAAAGGCAACACAGGTGAGTCCATAAGCCTCTCTCGCGCGAACCGTTCGTTCATGGCAAACGATCCAACTGTCGGCGGAGCAGCGGCGCAGTCATTCCCATGAGCGCATATTCTTATGGGTCACCCGATCCTTCCGGCACAAGTTTGCCTTGGCAATTGGCGCGGATGACATAAAGGAAGCTGCAGCCCGCTGTCAAGACAGCCACACACTTCCTCCCACCTACGTGCCCGAGGCCCTCAAATATCAATCATGAGTTACGGTTATCCCCAGCAAGGCTACGGCCAGCAGTATCCCCCTCAAGGACAGCCTCCATTCCAACAACAGCAACCTTACCAACAACAGCAAGGCTATGGCGCCCCTCCTGGTCCTCCTCCCGGCCACTCACCATACCCGCAGCAGCACGGTGGGTATGGTGCACCCCCTGGCCCTCCTCCAGGCCACCATCCATCACAATCATTCGGCGCTCCTCCTCCAGGACCCCCGCCAGGACAATATGGCGCTCCTCAGTTTGGTGCCCCGCCAGGGCCACCTCCCGGTCAATACGGTCAGCCACAGGCGCAATACGGTAGCGGTCCTCCCGCTCCACCCTCGATGGGCTACGTTCCTGGTCAAGTAGCCCCAATGGACATGTCTCGTCAAGCCGATGATTTGCGCAAAGCCATGAAGGGCTTCGGAACCGACGAGAAGGCACTCATCGCGATACTCGCACCTATGGACCCCCTCCAGGCTGCTGGTGTACGTCAAGCGTTCGCGCAGCGTCATCGTCGCGACCTGATTAAGGACATTGAATCCGAGACATCAGGCTACTTCCGCGATGGCCTCGTGGCCATGGTACGCGGGCCGCTCGAGCAAGACGTTGTGAACGCAAACAAGGCCATCAAAGGGTTCGGCACCAAGGAGTCTATCCTCAACGACGTGCTATTAGGGCGCAGCAACGCCGACTTGAATGCTATCAAAGCACACTACCACCACGTCTACCACAAATCTCTTGAGTCTGACGTCAAGGGTGACCTATCTATGAAGACCGAGCGTCTCTTCGACATGGTTCTAGCAGCACGCCGCAACGAAGAGTCGTCTCCTGTCATCCCTCAGCAAATCGAAGCTGATGTCAGCGAACTCTATCGTGCCACCGAGGGCAGCAAGATCGGTTGTGATCAAGTTGCTGTCTGTGCGGTCCTCACCCAGCGTAGCGATGGTCAGCTCCGTGCCATCTCCCAAGCGTACCGACAAAAGTACCACCGCGAGCTCGCAGAGGTTTTGAAGAAGAACTTCAGTGGCCACATGGAAGATGCGCTGTTGTACATTCTATTCAATGCTGAGGATCGCGCCAAGCACGACGCTCAACTTCTCGAGGCTGCCATGGCAGGCATGGGTACGAAAGATGACCTTCTCGTAAACAGGATTGTCAGAATTCACTGGGACAAACACCGCATGTCGCAAGCTCGAGGCGCCTACAGACACTTCTTCCAGCGTGACTTGGCCGATCGCATACGTGGAGAAACAAGAGGCGATTACGAGAAGTTAATGGTAGCAATTGTGCAAAGCGCCTAGTTATCCTTACTCAACTGACTTTTACAGTTGCTATTTGATTCTTGATTACTTTAATGGCGGCTTTAGATTCAGGTATTAGGGACCGGTGTCTCACGACTAACGAATTGGCGGTGCAGTGACAACTCTGCCTTCCCTCGAACTATCAGTGTATTTTCTAACCAAACAAATTCCTACTATCATCTCGCCTGTTTATGCAGACATCACCATGGCCATCATTCATGCGTGTTCAAGATCAAGGCGTTCGTGACAAGCCTTGACTAGTCTGTATGGTAGTACTTACTCTGACAAATAACTCGTGACCAACAGCCTGACAATCTCCAACGACATGTGTTGGTTGGCAGCGAATGTAACAAGACGCGTGGTCCATCGACCCAGAACATTGCAACAACCCCGGTTCTTTGATTCGTTCACGTTATAGGTAGCACAAAGATCATGGCAAGATATGAGGTATTTCGGCCAACTTTCATATTGCTGCACACATGGCTTGTGGAAGAGTCCAACAAGCCGAATGACTCCAGAAGGCTGCACCATGATCGATGTCGGAAACCTGTTGATCAAGAAGAAAGGTAACAAATGCTTTTTTCTCGTGCGGGTATACTAAACTATTCATCAGAGAAGAAGAAAAACGCCCTTCGCAATGCTCAAACGCCATGATTTTGTCCATATCCCTCTTTGCCATCATTTACGCAGCAGCAGCAGCAACCGTCTTGGGCAATCCAGCAAACGCACTCTCAAACGCCGACTTCTTTCTTCCACACTCAGCTTCCGTAATACCGAGTTTGCGCACCACTTTCATAGCACCAGTACCAATACTCATGCTCTGACCCATAATGATGCACTCGGAAACACCTTCGATGCGATCCCTCTTCATGCCCACCGCAGCGTTAAACAGATGATCAGGCGTCTTTTCGAAGGAAGCCAACTGCAACACCGAGTCACGCATTTTGGCAAGACCGAAGCGGGTGATGCCCAACACGTCGCCTTTGTAGGTCATGACATCTGCGAGCAGTTGCATGTGACGGGGATCAATGTCCATACCGCCCATGACTGAGCTGATTTCTGCAATGATGGTGCTGCGGGCGGCTTCGATGCCGAGTACGTCTTTGGCTTCCATGACGTTGTTGGAGCGAGTCTTTACACCGTCCACGCCTTCGGTTGTCATACAGGCTTTCAGGCCATAACCTTCTACAAGAACTGAAACAGGTTCGCGGCCGGTGGCGTCGGGTTTGTCATCTTTCTTGACGATGGCACGCGCGCAGTCGGGGTAGCCCTTAACGACTACGTTGGGAAGGATACGCTTCAAGTCTTGGATGATGTCGAAAATTTCGAGGGGCTTGCGCGTCTTGTTAAGTGCTGCTTTGCCTCGGGGTTCGGGCACGTATTGGACGTTGACGCGGATGTGGGTTTTGCCGACTGGTGCGACTTGTACGCCTAGTGCTTTTACGGCCTTGCTTTTGGCAATGGCCAAGGTGATGTCTTGGGTTGTGAGACGGAGACCAAGCTTCATCACAGTGTCCCAGTTGATGCGCATGTTGACGTAAGAGCCGGTGACTGACCAGACGTCTTCGATGTATGCAATGATATCGCGGAGATATGTCTTTTCGATCATGGCTTTGGCGACGCGAGCGGCGACAGTTTCGTACTTCGAGTCGAGTGTACACGAGATGACAGGAGTCGAGATTTGGCGGGAAGCGTTGATAATCTTGACCGAATGTTAGTATAATCCATCCAAGCAATCGTTCAGTATAACTTACTTCCTTGATACGGGGAACACCCTGAGTAATACTCATACCGGCGACACCAGCAAAATGGAAAGTCTTGAGAGTCATCTGTGTACCAGGCTCACCAATGGATTGAGCACCAGTAGCTCCGACAGCATGACCTGGCTGAACCTTGGAACGCTCATACTTGGTTAGACAAAGCATGAGGAACTCGTTGATGGCAGCAGTCGAGATTTTGAGCACACCATCAGCAATCGTTCTCTGGCTACAATCGTCTGCCACAACAACGTCGATGTCGCCAGAATCTGTGACACCGGACTCCATGCCGATCTTCGTGCGGATGGCAGCCAGCTTGTCACATTTGATCTGGATGTAGTTCTGGACAGTATCGAGGAAGTCACGGGCACTCTCTAGCTGATCAACGCCGTGGTCGCTCTTGTCGTTGTAGCCGAGTTTCTCGCCGGTCAGCGAGATACGCTCAAGCTTAGCTCTTTCGGGATCGAGAGTGGCCATTGTGATTTGCATAATCTCGGCTGGTCTCAGACCACGATCGTTGAGATCCCATGTAGTCGTGACAGCGTGTGTGAAACTGCGGTCGAAATGTACAGGCTTTGCACTTCCCTCCATATCGACAGGATCAAGCTTGTCGTCTCCGTATTGGAACTGGACGATACCCGATGACGAGTTACGGACTGTGTTGTCGTATTGCGCCGACAAGTCTTCAAGCGACTTCATCAGACGACGAGACATGTAACCGGTTTCGGCAGTCTTGACAGCAGTATCGACCAGACCTTCACGACCAGACATGGCGTGGAAAATGAACTCTGTAGGGTTCAGGCCCGAGAAGAAACTGTTACCGACGAAACCTTTGGCGGGAGCATCTCTGCTACCCTTGGCGAAATGAGGCAGAGTACGGTCCTGGAAGCCTTCCAAAACACGCTTACCTCCAATAATCTGCTGACCTACAGCGGCAACCATTTGAGAGACGTTAATGTTCGAACCCTTGGATCCGCACTTAGCCATGACCAAGGGAGAGTTGCGACGACTGAGCTCCGCAAAACAAGCATCACCAGCTTCTTGACGGACTTTCGAAAGAATGCCAGAGATCTGGTTCTCCATGGTCATCTCTTCGTCACAACCAGGGTCACGCTCCAGTTCTCCTTTGTTGTAGAGGTCAATAAGCTCATAACATTTGGCCTCTGCGGTTCTGATCAGGTTCATCTTCTTGGCCGTCAGTGCATCACTGGGGTACACATCACTGATGCCGAGCGAAAACCCTTGGTTAGTGAGCCAACGTGCGGACAATCTAGCGAGACGGTTCATGGCATGAACAGCATAGTCAGGGCCAAAGTCACGCGTGATGACATAGAAGACCGAATCTTTCTTTCCATCACCGACGGTTGCCTTGTCCATGTAACCACACATGACTTCTGAGTTGCGAATGACCAGGTAAGCGTCGTCTTCGTTCATATCAGGCGCCACGCCCTTAGGAGGAGCCTTGTATTGTTTGCACTTCGCTTCCAGATTGACCAGAACGTTGATCTTCTTGTTTGGTCGCATCAGCACGTTCCAGATCTGCTTGCCAGTCCACAGACGTTGCGGCTTCCAGACGGTGGGTGGCGGCAGCTCAATGGACAGCTTTTCTCCAGTCTCGGGGTCTTGGATCACATCATCGTGGAACATGTAGCCAATGATTTGACTGAATGTCTTGCGGTCGAAGAAGTTGTCCTTGATTGAGGAAAGGTAGGCTCCGGTAATGAAATCCTGGATGGCAGCAATGATGGGAGTACCGTTCTTTGGTGTACACAAGTTGTTCTTGACACCCATCAAGTTGATGGCTTCGGTACGTGCTTCTTCGGTCTGCGGAACGTGCAAGTTCATCTCATCTCCATCGAAATCGGCGTTGTAAGGATTGCAGACACACTCGTTGAGACGGAAAGTTCTCCAAGGTCTGACCTTGACCTTGTGACTGAGAATACTGAGCTTGTGAAGCGAAGGCTGACGGTTGAATAGCACGATATCACCATCCTCCAAGTGTCGTTCAACGACATCGCCAATCTCCAATTTTTCTGCTATCATGTCCAATTTTCCAATGCGTTCGAGGACTTCCAGGACCTTTCGTTGGCCATCTTTCTTGACAACAAAGTTGGCACCGGGGTGCTTCTTCTTTCCTCGGAGGACACAAGCGCGGAGTTTCTCGATGTTGTACCTGGTAACACGCTCGGGGTAGGTCATGTTGGTAGCGACCTTGGAGGGGACGGCGACCTCTTCGATACTAAGGTTTGGGTCGGGAGAAATGACGGTACGGCCGGAAAAGTCGACACGCTTGCCTGAAAGGTTACCTCTGAAACGACCTTGTTTACCCTTGAGACGCTGACAGAAACCGCGAAGGGCTTTACCATAGGCGGAATCGCGACCAAGACCTGGAAGATTGCCGTCGATGTACATGGCAATCTGAACTTGCAGGAACTCCCACATATCGACAATCTTCATGACTGGCTGTCCAGACTTGAGACCGGCAGAGAGCAGAGTGTTGATTTGAATTATGTCTCCGAGCTTGTTTGTGATGTCGTCTTCTGTACTTGCGGCTTCCTGAGCGACCGATGGGCGGATGGCGACTGGAGGGGCGGGGAGATATTGCCAGATGAAAGCCTCCGGGCGGCCTCTGCTCGGATCCATTCCCAGCAATTCGACGTCGGTGGTGGAGATTCTCTGGAACAAGTTCAAGGCTCGAAGGGGGTTCATGTCGTCGACGGCGCGTTTGGCGTGCTTCTCAAGATCCGGAACGCCTTTCTTTGCCTCGTCAAACGACTTCTCAAAGGCGACCATTGAGGCAGGCTTGACCTTTGACTTTGCGTTGGAGGCGAGATAGGTCTGCCACTTGACGTGGATGAGCTTGATAGGGTGTCCTGCAACCTTCTTGACGGTGCCGTTGATGGAGCCGCAATAGAAACATGTCTTTGTCTTTTTGGCCTCGTCGACAATCTTCTTGCAGATGGCTTCCTTGCGCAAAGTGTCCAGCTCTGGTCGACGGATCTGGCGCAAGTACTTTCGGCGAGTGTTTTCATCGAGCAGGATGCGCGAGCAGTCTTTACAGATGGTGTTGAGAATTTCCATAATCTTCTTGAAGTAACCCCAGTGGTATGCGGGCAGGGCGAGGCGGACGTGACCAAAGTGACCATTGCAGTTCTTGAGATCTTCCTTGCACTGCTCACACTGTCCAGTCTTTGACGATGTTCCGAGGCGACCGTCGAGGGGACCATGTGCAGTGAGGGTTCGCTTGCCGCCGGGGCCAGTACCAAGGTCGTATACATTGCGATCGGAGACTTCGACGACGGATTGCTTGACCATGTCCTGGTTAGACAGGACGCCGAATTCCAGTTCCGAAATGCGCTTGGGAGGGCGGTCGATGACCTGCTCCTTAGGAGGGAGCTCATCCTCGGGTTGATCTTGATTCTCCATGATGGCAGCAGGTGTCGACTACTTCCATGCAGACCAGGCAGGCGCAAGTCTGACAGGCCGCGCAAAATCACAAGTCAAGCCGCTAAGGATTTGTTCCAGAGTCGGCCACTTCAAGAACCCGAGCTTTGGTGGGGGTTAACTCCGTGTAAATTCCGATCCTTATCACCTTCATAATGCACTACGAGTAACTCGTTCAAGGATTTAAATACTGGTTGTTCTCACATCGTGTCATCTGATTACAATCGTATATCTTGTACATGATAGGCCGTCAGATATTGCCGGGCAGTGGAAGAGGCTAGAGTCTCTGATGCGAGGGGTCGAGGTCCGCAAAGCTTCTGCCTTAGCACCCTAGTGGTCATGAATTCCTCCAGCATGTTGAACTCTGTCTGCTGCAACTTTACGAATGCACGATACTTTCAAATACAAAGCAGTGTCAAAGGAGACTCTAGTATCTCCATAGCTTGTTATGGACAAAGTTCCAGTGCTGGGTAGAATCAGGCAGTCGACGGCAGTGCCGAGTGGGTGGTGGCATGTGACAGTGTGTTGGGTGAGCCTATCAAAGGTGTTGGTGCCCCGCTCTTCCCTCACTTACGAGCAAGTATCAAGTCACAACCAGACTTGTTTCCACCTCACTCCACCTTGTCCCTCAAACTCTCGCACTCCACCTCAGAAATACTTGACCACCGCAGTCCTTCCGACCTCTTGACTCTTCTCTCTTCTTGCCGCCATCCAACATGACGGCACTCTTCTCATATGCGAAGCTGCCCACTCGTGTGACCGTCTCCCTATCCATTATCTCTCCCGAAGGCGCCTCTTCGACTGGACCTTCCACTCGCAACCTGATCATCCCCAAGCAAGGCTCTGTCTTGATCGGCCGCGCCTCTACCAGCCCTACCAAGGACAGAAGGCCCGCCCCTGACAACGCTCTCTTCACATGCCCAGTCATGTCGAGAACTCACGCTAAGATTTCGGCTCCTGATGGACTTGACGTATGTCCATCCCTTTGCCATATCGTTCCCATCCTCCCTCACTATCCAATCTGCCCACATCTTTTCCTCGCTATCTCTTCGTTCTCTTCACCTTCAACAGCAGACTAACAACCACAGGGTCCCATCTACCTCGAAGACACTGGCTCAATGCATGGTGTCTACGTCAACGGTAGAAGGATCACCCGTACCCCAATCTTTGAGAAGGACATCATCGCTTTTGGAAACAAGGTTACTCGTGCTGAAGGTGAATACTTGTCATCGAGCCAAGCTTTCAACTTCTCCGAGTACCCTTTTCTGACTCCTTTCCCAGCCATCCACGACGGCGTCAGTCTCACTGTTGGCGAGATTGTTCGTGACGGTGCCGTCCTCAGCAACACCATCGATCTTACCCAGAACGCGCCTCCCGCTTTGTGTTACAAGCCTGTTCCTCAACCCTCATATCGTGTCCCGGACTACGAATCCGACTCATCCAAGGAGAACAGCACCAACACTACCTTCGCAAAGCCTACCCCTGTGCCGTTCATCGACCTCGAATCGGTCTCTTCTCCTGCACCCTCTCACGAAGACCTTGATCAGTCTGAAGATGAAGATTACGAAGGCTTGTACCACAATGGCTTCGGGTCCGAGTCTGAGTTGGGCAGTGACCACGAGGGCCACGACTATCCAGAGGACGAGGATGACTTTGACGACGATGAGCAGAGCTATTCTGGCTCAGACTGCAGTGGATCTCCTTATTCCGCTGTAGCTTATGAGGAGGATGACACTCAGAAGGATGAAGCCAGCTTTGAAGTCGACGAACCTCTCGAGTCTCACGAAGACACCCAGACGGCACCCGTCCACGTCAACGATGCAGAGCTCGTCCAGCCCAAGGCCGTGTACCCTCGGGATGAAGATAAGGAAAAGACACGTGACGTCGCCCAGAGAATGTCGCTCTCTTATTTCCTCGAGCCTGCTAAACACTGGGACGTCCCCACTATGCCGCTGGCACCAAGCGCCCGCACGCCTCCATGCTGTGGCTCCAAGGATCCTGAAAGTCACTCCTTGTCTCAAAGCAAGAAACCCAATATCGAAGCTGAAGTCACCAACCAAGACGAAGAGAAGGACATGAATGGTCAAGTTACGTCTGCAGACGGTCGAAACATCGACAGGGAGCTCGAAGATCTCGGACTCAAGGATCAAACTGCTGCTTCCCAAGCCAGGGCCGAAGAACTTCTCGTTCAGTCAAGCTCCCCTACCGGAGGTAAACGCAAACGCGAGACCGAAGACGACGGCCATGAGGAAATCCCTGCTCCAGTCACTGAGCGCAAGTTGCTCAGACTGAAGTGCAACCAGCAACAGATGCTCAGGGACTTCTTCACGAGGGGCGCTCAAGCAGCACCTCGTCCCACAAAGCGAGTAAAGCGCTCAACCGCTAGGTTCGCCTTGGGTGCAGTCGCTGGTGCCATCGGAGGTGTCGCTACTGTGGTCGGTGTGCTCATGACTCCCGCATGCGAGGAGCTGCTGTCCAATTGGCCCATTGCATAGAGCAGGGCAGTGTGTTGATCGAGAGATGGGATGAGTCCTAGCGTTGACTTACATGAGTTGTCCGCAGGGAAAAGCCTCCATTTTATCGCTTGAATAACCCCCAAGGAGTGCTTTCTATTCATCCAAGGTTTGCGTCTGCTTTTTTCTTCTTTTGCTTTTCACGCACGTTATGATTCTCAGGTTTGGAGTTGCTGGTTAGGGGTTTATACCAAGACAATGTTATAATGCAAAGTTTTTCTACTCAACCCTCTTACCATCTTGTATGTTGAAGTGCCAGAATTAATCAAGCCACTGATTACCTATCACTGTAGGAGCAACCGGAGATAATTTGCGGGGTTTCTCCCCATATTGATGACGTGCATGGAGTTTTGCTTACCCAATCTCGAGCGACCCTTCCGTACTCCGAGTACCACCATTCCTCTACCTATCTCTCTGTACTCATGTTCCTTCGCAGTCCAATTCTTCGTCTTGCACAATCTCAACGTCAATTCGTTCGTGTAATACCCGAAGCAATTTCGAAACCCATCTCCAACATCATGTCCTCTGATGCACCTGAACCCACCGGCTTGACTGCCAACAAGGGTCTTGAGCTCTTGACTTTTGGCACTCCCAATGGCCACAAGATCACCATCTTCCTTGAGGAATTGAAAGAAGCATACGGTCAGGACTATGTGTACCAGAGCGTCAATATCATGAAGAACACACAGAAGGAGCCTTGGTTCACCAAGCTAGGTCCCAATGGACGCATTCCTGTGCTTGTCGACCATGACAAGGGCGGTCTTGCTATTCAGGAAGGTTCAGGTGAGTGAATTGACCATGCTGATCTTGGAAACGAAGGACCAGGCTGACTCGATCTGTTTCCTTCTAGCCATCCTTGCGTATCTTGCTAGACACTACGGTAAGCATTTCTCTGCTCGATCGATGCGAGGTGAAATTGGGATGGTGTATTGACTTGCATGTCATAGACTCTGAGAACAAGTTTTCGTTCAAGGAAGACCCTATGCTGTCGTATCAAGAGCAATGGATCGCTTGGCAGCATGGCGGTCTGGGACCCATGCAAGGCCAAGCCAACCACTTCTTCAGATTAGCACCTCATCGCATTCAGTATCCTACTCAGGTACGCAAGAACTCTGACTTTTGGGGTCTCATCCATTAAGGTTTGGTCCCGCATACTGACCGCCTATTGTGCCATATAGCGCTATGTTGGTGAGACCGAACGTCTCTTCGGCATTCTAGACAATCAGCTCAAGGATAACTCCTACCTCGTTGGCAACAAATACTCGATCGCGGACATTGCAAACTACAGCTGGGTCAATCTGGCATACTTCTCTGGCGTCAATCTCAGCAAGTTCCCGAACCTGGAGAAGTGGTGGAAGTCGATCAACGATCGTCCGGCAGTCCAAAAGGGTCAGGCTATCCCTGGTCCCTCGCCTTACACCAATGTAAACTTCCTGCAGAAGCTCAAGGATGACAAGGAGTTTGCCGACAAGAATGCCGAGCTGGAGAGGCTGAGAGATGAGGCACAGAAGGAGTTCAACTACAAGTACTCGAGCCCTTGAGTCAAGTATGTTTCGCACTAGAGGTGACACAGCTTTAAGGAATGCCGGAAATGGGGAAACCTTTGTAGCAGATCCTGAAACAACTGACATCGAAAGCAATACCGTCTGCCTTTTGCCCTATCATACCATGTATCAAAGTCCTTCTCCTTCCCGCATTTTGCGGCCATAAAGAACGCAACTGTAGCGGTCTAAACGGAAGCAAGGGTCAAAAGAATGTGGACCATATGTCATGTAGACCGCGATCCAGAAAAGTCACGAGTATATACCAGTTGGCACTCCCTGATAAGATAACCAACGACACGAGATAACAACAGCTGTAATGGCAACAACTGAGGTCATACGTACCAAATAAACCAAGGAAATGCAAATCACGATCGCATCTGTTCGGAAAAAACGTCGCTGTGATCAACAACGGTGCTGACTGCCTGTTGATGCACCGGCAACAACAGTCAAAGAGAGCCTCGAGCTGTGTCCAGCGGGCGACACGGTATGAAACAACTCAACGGTTAAAGGGGAGAAGCAGCAGCAGCAGCGCCGCCGAGACCCTGCATGCAGGTCAGAGAGTTGTTGACGGTGATCTGCAAAGATGTTCCATCTCCTCCTTCTGCTCCTCCGTCTCGTCTTCTCCGCAAAAAGCTGAACACGAATCGCAATCACCGGCAAGCCGCCAGCCAAGCGTCATGCAAAAGCCTTTTAGTCTTGACACACCGCTGCAAAGTAAATCATGCAATTGCCAGCCAATCTGTTATACTTTGTCTATTGCTGCGTACTTTTGATAAGCCAGTCACTATGGCTTGCGTAAGAGAGACCTGCAGATCGAAGGGAAAAGAGGCTTGGATCGGTATGCGGCTGTACGAATCAGGGAGATGATATGAGAAAGGCCAAAATGCATTTGCACCGTTCGCGCGAATCAAGGATGCTGCACACACTCATCACGAAGACAATACGGAATGCCCTATCGCATTTCTTGGTCATTTTTTTTGCTGCTGGGACACAAGTCATGCGGATGGATGTTGTGCACGCTTTTGAGCGAAAGAGGGTGTGTAGGCCGCTGCCCAGCCAGGCACCGGTGTGCATCTCAGGACCAAGACGAATCATTCATATCGTCTAGAAGGACCTCTTTGCCCAGTCATGTTGCTACTACGGAGACTGGTGTTGATGATGCCGTTTTCCTCGTTTCCGTATTCTTGCGTTGCGGTCCGGCCCTAAAGGGCAAATGGGAGATTTCAAGGCGTGCTGGACCTTTTAATTTATCACGAGGCTGGCTGGCTGGCTGGCGTTGACCATGCTTGACTCTTCTTGTATTCTTGTTTCCTTCCTTTCCTTGAAGCGATGCTCTTTCTTTTTGATCTGTCCGTCCCGTCGTCAATTCATGCTTCTTCCGGTATCTTTGTGCTGTACCTCCGTGCTTGCAGCTCTGCCATTCATGCATGTAATCTCTTTGCGTTTTTTTGCTTCGCCATCAAGATCATCATGATCATCACAATCAAGCTTGACGCGGCGCAGATACACGAGGAGCCAAGAGTCAGACGGCGCGTTGCTCGAGTCGCGTACGGCATGACTCCCTGCCCTCAACCCCCCGTCTGATGATCTACCCTCTGGCACTTTTGACGCATCAAGAGGCAGAGGGGGCCGTGTCCGCCATATCGCGACCATTATTCCCAACGTCCGGGCGCCATCATGTGCCGGCTAGACGCTTGGTCTTTGCAGCGGTCCTTGGTCGATCTACTCGTTCGCGTGAGCGGTGAGAGGGAGAGCCGTTGTGCCTATTTCCAGGCCATTTCCTAGATGACCGTTTCACTTGATAACTGGTAATCATTCATATATGCTATTCGATCCTTGCGGTTGCCCCTCCTCCCACGCTCTGGCTCCCATCCACATCTCTGCTCGTATACGCCATTTTATATTAACCAAGTCCCGCTGAAGATCCTCGAGTCTTTGCGTATTCTTGGTCATACGCTACGTCGTCTGTGGGAGTCCTGATCTTCTAGTTTTTTCTGTCTCTTTGGTGACTCTTTCTTGTTGCACGAGTCTGTCATTTCAGTCATAGCACAGCCTACCCATCCTCACCTCTGCTGCCTACACCAGCCTACTACTGCACACCTTCAACGTCTACCACACCTTAAAAACCACATCACCTCATCAACGCTGCCTGGTTGCTGCCTACACATCACCTTGATGTCCACCTCTACCGCAGCACAAAAGCAGCTCCGCCGTACAACATGGCCCAATATCCAATCAATCACAACCAACATGTCGAAGAGCAATAACAAGAGCCCGTCATCACCCGTGACGGACGATATAGACGAAGACCCCTTCTCACACTTCCTATCTCCTGTACTCGATGAAGATGATCCGTTTGACGGCCTCGACTACAACGCTGGCATCGATACACCCTTCGACGAGGAAGTGGAGCAAAAGCGAACGACATTCCGTGTCAGATTGGAGCAGAAATGGGGCGACTTCTTGTCGGCACGCCGCTCGCCGTCGCCGCAAAAGTCACAACAGACACCGCCTAGGACACCGCCGTCAGAAGATCAGCTGCCTGAACTCATTATCGACGACCTCGAGGGCTTTGGATCACCTTCGTCTTCGCCACCTACTCGCCGCCCACACTTAACAACACTAAAAGATATCATCCACGAGGAAGATGAGGAAGAAGCAGATGGCTGGGAGGCAGATCGCCGACGCAGCCGTATCCTGCGCCGCAAGAACAACTTTCACCTCGATGAACAAGACAGACCTGTCACTGCACCTTCACGAACACATCGTCCCAAACTTCAACGTCCTAGATACAAGAGGTTCAGGACTTTGAGTGGTAGACCCCATTCTTTCGTGGCACCATCACCTCATCTTTGGACTGTGAGTGAGCATGATGAAATCCTCGAGCAATTGAGAAATGAGACGAGGGGGAGAAGATCTAGTCGATGATCCTTGCTCTCTGTGCTTTTCCTTATCACGATGAATGGCTTTCATATGACGAAAGATTGCGACATGACCGATTTCTGAATGAACGATTTCTCTCTTTCCGTCACGAACTCACGCTGTCTCTTGCTATCGTTCGGTCTTTGCTTTTACGCCTTGCATCTCGGAGTTTCTGGTCTGCTTCTTTTGCATGTTTCCACTCGCTTCTATGGTCTTGTTTCTACGGCGTTTGGTCTTTTCCTTGAAACTCTCGCTTTTTCTGATCTATACCCAAAGCTCTCATGTTTTCTTGTTTTTCTAGCATCTGTTTTTATAGTTTACGGCGAATGCGGTCTACGGATGAAATGTTTTGCATGCGAATGGCTTTTTTCTTTTTTCTTTTTTCTTTGCTTACCGACAGAACTATACATACATGAGGGGTTTTTCTGTTTCATGCATATGGCTGGCAAAGGTGTCGGCACAGAAAATATACTCAAGAGCTCACGCTTGATTTCTTTTGCGCCTATTTTCTCTCTTCGTATACTTTTGCCTCTCCCTCTCATATCTATTTGCCTCTTTTGATGTGACTTCTCGTCGCAATGTGATGTATCTCGCATGTGATGATCGGCGAGTGACTTTTGGGTCTTTTCCTCGTCGCATGTACATCAGTCTCTCGCAACACTCCTTCCAGCGAGGCGTGTACACAAGTCCCTCACGAGTTTCTCTTCCACTATCTGTTTCCAGCGAGGCACATTCGAGTATACCAACATCACTCAAACCTCCCTAGCCTCCGACCCCTCCCTGCCCGACAAGAATGACTCGGAGATAAAAGTATGAGTCAAACATAGAAGATACTCAAGTTCAGGCCTCCCCTGCTGTCAAGAAGTTACCAGAGTCGTGCACGGCACGACGTCATGGAAAGAGTTTGAGGCATCCCATACCTGCCTCCTTCTTCCCGTTCTATGGCTCTTCTTCCCGTGTCAGGCCGCCGGACGGGAGCAAAACAACAAAGCGTTTGTTTTGTTCTAGAAAGAATATATGGGAGGCCTGAAACTGTCCTTCCTCCTTCCGCCTTTTGTGACTATTCTTCCAAGCCTTTTCTATACTCAGAGGGGACATGTCGCCATGACGGTATAGATTGCGGATGGGGACGGAATGGCTAGAATAGGCAGTTTGTTTATGCTGCGACTTTACCCCGCATGTACTTGCCCTTCCCCCTCTTCCCCAGGTTGTTTGGGCAAGCAAGGAGAGTTTCGAAGGAGTGATCCTTGCAAACGGCTGGGGTGTCTCTGAAACATGGCGTTGAGGGTTTGTGTTTGAGGTTTCTATGGTAAAGACGTTCGAGGAGTGATAGACAGACGTTCAAGGAGTTTGACTCTTCGCTCCTCTAGCGAGCAGGAGGAACGCAGGGTAAAGGGTCATGCTTTGCCCCTCTCGCCCCATAAAGGAGAGGATGAGACTAATCAAACCCCCACTGGTCTTGTCTGCCGAGGGAGCCTATGTCACCGAGAAGTGCGGTCCTTCTGAACGTTTGTAAGTTTGCTAGATAGGAGACAAGAAACGCCGGTATAGCAGCGAGGACGGTGCGAGACTGTTTGTGTGACTGGTGGCTTGAGAGCAAAAGCGGGGTGCAGCAAAGAAGCGGTGAAATAGATCAACGGTATACAATGGTGTGAGTTGGCAGGAAAGCACACAGACCAATCAATCATGCCATTGCGTGTTTTTCGTTATGTTATAGGAGAAGATAGTGGAGATGATGGGATGGCGTTACGGCATAATATTGGTTGTGGTCGTAATTCTTTGTGACGATGATGCTGAAATAATGATCAACGCAAGTGATGATTGGTGGTGATGCCGATATATGATCTTGTCTAGGTGCGAAATGCTCATACTCCTTTCCGCAATCGGAAAGATGGAATGTGTGACAGGAGTACAAGAGCTCGACATGTATAGATAAGGTAGTGGCATATCTCGAGTCTTGCACTACTTTAAAGAGCCCAAGCAGTGTAACCGTTGAACAAGACACAAGTACTGAATGGTTCACTGCGCTTGGTTCTATAGTCTTGTCACGAAGATCGACTCGCATACGCGGTGGGATATCATAATGAGTATCATTGATAAGGATCATGATCTATGAGCATGAAAATACCTCTGTTAGAGTACCGCTCTAGCCAACACACAGCCCAAGCCCCGACATCTTCCCTCGAGCCAGTCGATCACTGGATGTCGTGCATATCAAGCTAAGACATACACTACACTCTACAACAGAGCCTCGAACGCATCTAAAGCATCCTGATTCTGCTTTGCCAAATCGGCATTATTGGTAAACGCCGCCGCTTTTCCCATAAATTGCTTCATCTTGACTGGATCATCCTCGACACCCGGCAGAGCAAAGTCGTATAAGCGGCCGAAGTCACAGCCCATGGTGACAACGGCTTGTGCGCGAGGTCTGCGGACTTGATCGTAGGCTTTGAGTACCTTCTCGATTTGTGATGAAGATTCTAGGCGATGGAACAGGGCGGAGAGGACCGCGGCGTCTTCGATGGCTTGGGCTGCTCCTTGGCCGACAAAAGGCATGCATGCGTGTGCTGCATCTCCGATGACGGCAATGTTGCAGCGGTTATAGTAGGGTGCGGGTTCGTGTTGTTGGAGCTCCCAGGTTATAGCGGGGTCTTCGGCAACCAGCTGTTGGCAACCCAGTCAATACAAAGCTCGTCTGTTACAGAAATCGTGCTGATGACTTACCTCGACAGCCGCTTTTGCATCCTCGCGGTAATCTGCAAAACGCTCCTTTTCGAAAGGTGCGAGACTGCCATCACTGGCAATACCGGTACGTGTCACACAGATGATGCTCAATACCTTTCCCATGTGAAGAGGCATCATGTTGACGTGACCTTCCTTGCCGCAGAGAATGGGTACGGTTCGCCTCCACTTGGAATCGATCGTCTTCATTGCAAGCTCCATGGGCACTTGACGTGAGTGTACTCTCCAGCCATCAGGGTTGATCGGCGGTACGGCTGGGTGATCCGGTCCGAGGATGTGTTTGCGAGTGCCACTGTGTACACCATCCGCGCCGAGCAGGCAATCAGCCTCTGCTGTCGTACCATCCTTGAATGTGAGTGTCACTTTGCCACTGGCATGATCTTCCTCAATACTGTCGAGTTTCTTGCCAAAAGAGACGCGGTCCTTAGGCAACAAGGCCAGTAGTCCGTCGAGCAAGTCCGATCTGGCTACTGTTCTGCGGCCTTTTGCTCTACCCAGCTCGGCGACCACTTCTCCAGTGTTTGGTCCGCTAACAAGGGTAACTTCAGTGACCATCTCCTCGTCTGCCTCGCCAGCCATAGTGAGAGCCTTGGCGAAGTATGTCTTTTTAATTGCGGGGTGGATCAGGTCCATGGCGGTGATGGCGTTCTTGTGCAACGCAAGTCCGGCACCAATGTCGGTATACTTGGGTACGCCTTCATAAATGTGTACGTCCAAGCTGGGCTTATCCATGAGGCCGACTGCGAGACAGAGACCTCCGATGCCTCCGCCAGCAATCGCAATGCGAATCTTCTCCTCTAAGTGAGGCATTGTGCAGAAGACGACTTGTCAATCGAAATGCTATGATCCGGTTGGCTGTAGAATTTGGTGCGTTTGTACGGGTATCAAGGAGGTGATGGTGTCAAGAAGCAAGCTGTTTGTGGTAGCCAGGCTTCGATATCGAGCGACTGAATGTCAAAGAACAAACCGGCCGTCGAGACCCAACAGCATATACGTCGTCCATGCTGACGACTGTCCGAAAACATTACATCGATGTCCGGGATGCTAGGTTCGGAGAATAAGTGTATCGGCCCCAAGCACTATGAAGCTTGCATGCTTGATGTCGTCAGGCAGGGTACGCGAATCATTGCTGGAACCGGACGACTTGTGGGGTGGTGCCGTTCTCACAAGAAAAACATCAGGTTCGACTTGAGCAATGCTTCGATTCTGCGCGTGCTATCTCGCTCCTGTACAAACCGGATTGATGGGACAGCGAAGCAGAGAACATGTGGGACTGTTGTGGCAGCGGTGGGCTCCCGCACAGTCGATCGCCTGCATTGGCCAATCTAAGCTCCGCATCGCACACCCTTTCGACATGCCCGCCAGTCAACGAACTGTGTCGTTTCCTCTCACATCCAGGATACGTCCTAGAATCATGGGCAAAAGGAGCTGACAGTGGTTGACAGACTGTACTGTAGCCACAGGTACTCCAGGTCACATTCCTCATGCGGCCGACAAGGCGATATATAAACCGGCAATGACCCGGTTGCTGATGCCCAATATCTATCTTCCTTTCTGCATTGCAGCCCTACGAACCCAGCTCCCAGATCACAAGAACACTTCTTGCGTCTTCGGGCTGCAGACTATCCCTCAATCTGCCTACGGGAGATTGCCTCTATACTGCATTGTCTGGAACCAGTCGTCTTCCATCGCTGACCGGTCGTATTAGCCGAATCTGCATGTGCAAACGCCATTCGCCAGCAGTTTTGGGCCCACGTTCGCTGTGCGTTTGCCTGGTTTTCTGAACAGTCATCTCCTTTTTTTTCTTTCTTGCTGTTTGCCAGAACAATGTCAATCTTTCTTTCTTCTGCATGTCTCTGCTCTTGCCGCAATGTCTGACTTTTCTTCAAGCCTTGCGACCATACCGAGAAACTTCGCCTATCGTATCTCGCGATAAAGGGACGCTCTATACTTACTGCACTTGCTCACCCCCGCGTTTGATGCCTGACCGCATCCTAAGAAATACTTCCTAGCACTTGATCGGTCCACCGCCTCTCCTGCCGAGTATTGACGCGAGTCATTGAGCAACCCTAGCAGTCTACACCGCACCATGGCGGACACAGATCCTGTTAGCAAGCATCCACCAGCACCTTTTGTCGAGGACGGTGCAGACTCATATGATGAAAGGGGTGACTCCAGTGCGTCCAAACCGGCTTCCAACTCCGCGTCCAAGAGGAGCCGCAAGACTTCGAACACGAGACCGAGCTCACCAAGCAAAACACGGCCAGCCGGTGATGCTGGACAACCCGAAGCTCCTTCTCCTCCCGAGGTAAAAAATGTCCCTTCGCGACAGCCCGAGGACCTTGCGACTCGAGCTGGAGCCAAGGATGAGGTGAGCTCTGAACCAGGAGCCAGAAAGTCGCACCAATCAAGGAGATCTAGTCAAGCTCCTCCTCCACGTAGTCCCCGGAAGATTCCAAAGGAGCATAGGCCGCGAAGCCCAGAGAGACAGCCTCGCGAGAGTCGTCCTCCTCAAGGACCTTGTCCTTGTAGGGACTGTATGATTGCATCCCAACATGGTTCGAGACCAGGACCCAACCCCCTCCAACAGGACCATCGTGCCCACACATTTCCCACAAGGCCTTCTCATGGTCCACCATTGGTCATCCGCCAAGGTCCTCCACCGCCGGGCGTCATACCGCCAGGACATATGCCACCGCTGGGGATGAGGCCGATGTTCGCGACTGGTGGTCATCCAACAGGAGGACGTCCTCCGCAGATGATACCAATTGTCGATCCAAGATTTTCCACAATGCCACCTCCACCTCATCCCAGCATGTATGCTCCCTCCAGCGTCTCCATGCCACCATCTCTACCTAGCGTTGGAGGGCCTGCCTCATCCACAAGACTACCAACCAGACCAGCGGTTCATCATCCGGAAAGAGCAAAGACGTCGAGCTCAGTACCAAAGTTCTCTTCCAAAATATCGACATACGATACAGTCGATGCCTCCTCATCTCCTTTCTCGCCAGACGATGATGAACATTTCTCGGCTCGGACTTTACCTACCGAGCCGCGACACGTACCAGGAGGTTTTGACTCAGACTCTTACTCCTCCGAATCATTACCGGACAGTCCTCATTACTTTGAGCAACCAAGGAGACCACAAACTTTCCAGCGTAACACCGCGTCGGCGGTTCAGCAAATACATCGGAGTGGCCATACGAGATCGAGGTCGGACTACCCAGCAGAATCAGCATATGGCTATCGTCGCACTGATTCATTCAAACCTGCTGAATATCGGTACCCCCGTACTGAATACCCAGAGTACGACGACCGGCGATCATACCCAGGCGGCAGAAGGGGCTCCAACACAACAACCTGGACCCAGCATACCTCAGCCTCCGACCCTCAACGGCCCAGCTTCGTTCATTACGACCATCACGGAGACCACGACGGCCACATCTACGCGGCCAACGACTATATGGACCGAGCCCGCGGCCACCCCGAAGAAAGAGTCACTGCAGAGACGCTCCGCCAGCTGCCCAGCGGACCTCACAGCACGCGAAGCAATCACAGCCACCGTCGTAGCCAACACAGCATGAGCGAAACCTCATCACGGCACCGCGGCGCAGAAGGAAGCGTCAAACTCATCATGCCCATCGCTGCAGCAGAAGATACCAGGATCCAGCTCAGTGGCGACATGGGAGATCGTGAAGTTATGTTCAGAGCAGTTGATGAACCTGGTATGGTGGAGGTGACAATCGCCACGGTTGCGGGACGAGAGGGGAGGTATTTGAAGAGTGCAAGTCAGACTTCTCGGGCGCATACGAGGTCATCGGGGAGTACGAGGCATGCTGCTCGTGGTGGAGCTGAGGGGCAAGAGCAAGGTCGGGAATATAAGGAGCATCGGGAGCACCGCGAACATCGAGAACATCGCGAGCATAGGCACTTGAGTCGTGCGCCATCGTCCAGGAAGTCGTGAGGAGGGAAGGCGTCTGATGGGAAATAAGGTGTCATGCAGGAAAAGGGCTGGATGGCAGTGAAGGAACAACAGGAAAGCACGAACGACACGACTTGATGGTTTATGACTATAATGAGACGACATCTCCACTCTGGAGGCAATGGCAGGCATTTGGATTTTGTTCTTGCTTCAGCGTAGCATGTTAATGGTTACTTTCGGGTGTTTAGCATATCATCTGAGCGGCTCCAGCCTCACAGCAGCAAGTAGTGAATAATTTTTGATGGAAATCATGATCCTCCTTCAACGAGCCACTGAGCCATACAGTGACAACATCGCATACAAGCTAATGGAAATGAATGCCCGCTCGTACACAGATGTTGAATCAATGACAGACGACGTAGAATAAACAGACTGACACGTCCGTGGCGCAACACAAAAAATCTCTGCACCAACCACGCGCGCGACCTCAACTACATCACTTTCCCATCACAACAACCATCAACACCGTCATCAAGACAAAAATCACAAACTCTTCTTCAATCATCAGCTTATCAAAGCCAAAGTATCAATGAAAAGGAAATATTCGCGTCAGCTCGAGGTAGTGCAATACGAGCGACACTGTGCCAACAGACGTGAGCAAGCTCAGAGGTCTGAAAGCGAGTTCCAAAAATAAGAATAATCATTATTGACGGTCCGTAGACCGGTCACAGCGATTAAACTATGAAGAACAGATACTACACTTGATCTAAGCCAAAAGGCAAGAGACTTGAAAGAGAGGAGAGGAGGGCGAGGAGGAGGAAGAATTTATAGTGAGAGGGACTGAGACTAATTACATAAGGTGCTTATGTAAGCGGTTTGATGAGTGAGCAAACGGAAGAGTGAAGGAGGAGGCTGGGATGGCTGGTGGGTGAGTGAGGTTAAGGCTTCCATATCTGCTTGAAGCCTGGGGACGTTGGGGGGTTGACCCTGATCAAGAATCAAAAACGAGATATCTCGACAGCAACAAGGAAACAGATCAATGAAATGATAGCGATATCTGACAGACACATCATGAGCTCAACCAAGTCTCATTTTCAGTATGTACAATATGTTCAAGTTGTTGAAGGGCGAATCCCTCGCCCCTCTTTCCCTCCTCAAGTCTCTCGCCTTTTGGCTTAGATCAAGTGTAGTATCTGCTCTTCATAGTTTAATCGCGCCGGGCTTCGCCCGGGTGCATTGCTGATAATCGAGTCTTCATCCTTATAGGCATTCATCAGATCACGCCGCGGTAGAATGACAACTGCATTCCATATATATCCACAACGCATAGTTTATTCAATGAAGCGCATACGTACGAACTGGTATGGTCATCGTCACCCTGAATCCTTTGCCAAGTACTGGTCTGGCGATCCACCAACCTCTTTGTCTTGGAGCATCCACAGGCAGTGACATATAACAGACACTTGCCGACGTATGCCATCATTCTCATACTTCGTCCGCCACTCCAACTTGTCAACAGTCAATCGAAACCAACCCGGTCATATTATATCGCATACGAGATAATCCCACCATGTCTCCCGTCAAATCATACGAACTAGTGACCACAAACCTCAAACGCACAAAGGCAGAACTCAGAGACAGCAATGGCACAGCAGCCTACGAAGTCGACCTCTCCTTCACGACAATAGACATGCGATCAGTGAAACCCGGTCGCCACGGCATAATCCTGCAAACACCATCTTCATCTACGTCTAGCCAACAAATCCTCGGTACCTGCGACTTTGCATTCAGCTCTCTGAGTACGCCTATTCACCTCGGTTTCGGTGACACTGTGTCTTCTCCAGACAGCGTAGTCTGGGAAGACATTCACATACGCGAGATAGCCAAACAATCAGGCTTTGAACTTGGCATTGATCTTGGAGGTGGTATTGGACGCAAGGTGTTTGATTGGAAGCGTACGTCTGAGATTGAAAGCAAGTCGACATTGAGCAAGAAGATGGATTTCTTGCATCTGAAGATGGTTGAGAGGGATAGTCAGGTCGTGGTTGCGAGGTTTGCACACAACTTCATGTTTGGCAGTAAAAGAGGTAGCTTTGATTTTGAAGAGTTTGAGGGTGGCAGTGATTGGGATAGAGTTGTCTTGCTGAGTGGACTGGCGGTGCTGGAGTATATGAGGAAGAGTCAAGGTTGGTCGTGGTAAACAGTAACCTGTAGTGTCCGAGACTTGGGCTTGCGAGAAAGTAGGATTTCTCATACAACAAGCACTTGTGGGGGGAGAGGTGTGATACGAGTCGAAACTCGCGCCATGGTGTTGAATATAGGTAGCTGTAGAAGCACCAAGAGACTAGAGTCGAAGTGTCGGACATGAGATTGTGTCGAGGTTGATTGTTACGGTTGTCCAGCCTGCCTGCTGAAATTTGTCTTGGACTGCTAGAAAGCATCGTAGCCCCTCATCTCGTAAAGTAGAAGAGGATGGCTTTGTGACGAGCGAGCGAGAGTGGTGAAATGCATCTTTCGTAGCTCTTCACACTCGAGCTGGACAAAGTCGGGTTTCTTGGCGTGGTGATGATTGCACGTCAAACAGAGGTAGAGGTCAATTCTTCTAACACGACACAACCATCAAAATGCCTTTGATACAGAGCTCGCAAGATTACCTGCCTTGTAAGGGTCAATCCCTATCTAGAAAACGGAATGCGCTAACGAAAGCGACAGACATTGACGCGGTGCCGTCCGAGCAAGAGATCAGTTTAGCACGCGCTCTCATCCACGCCGAACTGCCTGAGGACCACAAGACGACACTACACCCTTCAATACCAGAACGCACCCCCATCAATTTCAGCGACCTAGTCCAAGCCGAGCACCATCGATTGTCCTCGGGAGCAGAGAAGGAGCAGGGTATCGACCTGTCACGCTACGAAGCCCAGGATGCTCCTCCAACAAACGATGCCGAACAATGGCGCGCAACCCTTCAGCAAGCATACGCATCATCAGAGTACCTAGAGTCGCGCCAAGTCAACTTGTCACTACTGGAAACATACGGCAAGAACGCATGGTTGATCTCCAACGATCAGCTCGAAGGAATTCTGCGCGCCGCAGAGCGCGACGTCTCACAAAGGAAGATCGAGCTTGAGCACATCGATAAGGCAAGAAGAGATACTCAGGCCGCTCGTAAGGGTGAACTGGAAGCCCTGGAGCAGCAGTGGAAGATTGGTGTTGGTCAGATGATTGAGGTCGAGGTTGCCGCTGAGAAGCTCAGGCTGGACATCCTGGACAAGAAGAGAGCCGGCGCAAGATGAATATGGCCAGCATGACCTGCATACCCACAATAACCACACCTCGCTCTCTCGTGGTCTTGGCTATCGCGACACCATATGCGAGCAGACCTCGGCCACCGCACATGGCGTTCAAGATATCCCCTGCCGAGCTCATGCGCAGACGACACATCATACTCTCGTACGTCACGCTCCATTATACCTCTTGGTTGTTACTGGAGTGCCTTTGTCTCTGAAGGCAAAGAGCAAACACGCTCGGACAGTAGTCAAGATCAGCCATACCTATTGACTTGCCAACAATGCCGACCACGTCCAGTTCTCAATCCAGAACCCACGAGTTGTGCTGTCCCAATACTGTACCAATACTGTACCTCTCTTTAGCTAAGCTATCCTCCCTTTCTTACATGAATCTGGTCTTTCTCCATGACTTGCTTTCTTCTATCTGCCAATCGGAAGTCTGAAGTACACCCTCCCATCTCGCGTCCATAAATTTCCGCTCCCGATTTCACATGTCCGTGTTTAAATCTGTATCTCAGTTCACTTGCGCACGTCCCATATATCATCGAGCCTGGCGACATTCACTGCGCAGCAATTTCCCGTTGTACTCTTGCTGCTTCTTACATGTCTTTTCGATGAGAGATCGTTCCTCTGGTAACTGGTGTCCGCGAACCGACTTGTCCGTCCATCAAAGCGCTTTTCAACAACACCCTGTAGCAACCAACACTCTTTTATCTCGCCGGGCCGCCATGTCTCTAACAAGGGAGCGGTACCGTCTAACGATGGACATGGAAAATGATAATACCGACCGCCGCATAGCAGAATTTCGGCGCAATCTCCAAGCCTACGAAGAAATGTCCAACCAAAACAACCAAAGCAACAGCACTTCCGATCCTGATTCTGGTTACCGCACCGCAACTCCTGAACCATCACCCTTCGTCGCAGACCCAGACTCTCCACACCTCGCTCCGAGCCCGCGCTTGCATCCCAACATCACAACTCGCGCCGAGAAACGCCGTGGTCGCCGTTTCAGCGATCTGTTTACCATCTCTCATCGTGGTCGTGACACTCCGACTCCTACTTTCGATCGAGAGAACAGACCCAAAATCTCACGACCCATTGTGGATCAAGGAGAGATCGAAGTTCCCAACCATGGACCATACATCTACAATCATCCCAGTCGACCACGTCTGGATGTTGAGATACCACGAAGCAGTTTCAGCGATCTGTGGGGCCAACAATATGGTCCTATTGGTGATACGGGATACAATGTGGATGGCTTTCAGCATGAGGTCAGGAACACTCAAAGTGTGGACCTTGGGCGTCTACTTGGTGGCAGTAGAGAGAACTACCGCCATGATACCAGAAGATATGGTGTCAGTCTTGGTGGCATCGGTGATTGGACTGCTCTCGTCTCAGGTACCAGTACGACTGACCTGGCAGTGAGCTCTGAACATGGAGAAAACACAGAAGCAGAAGATGGCATGGTCGCATCGTATCTGGCGCCTCTGGTTTCTCCTACTTTGCACTCTTCTTCGTCATCCATCACAACATCAGCTTCACTGCCCTCAATCTCCGACCTGCCACCTCTGCCACTCTCAACTTCCAACCTACCACCTCTGCCACCTTCGCCTGTAGCTTTGAACGAGGGACCCAACCTGTCGCCTGCCCCCGAAGAGGACCATAACCCGGCGCCTATCCCTCGAGAAGGACGCACACGCACACCTACTCTCAGAGGCAGCCACGTCCGCTCATCATCACCTCTCACTCGCGAACCAAGTGAACGCTGGGTTTGTGTCTTCCTGCGCTCTCGCTACTTCCTCTGTCCTTCACTAACAGCCGCAACAGACACGCCATCCACTCCGCCAAAACCCGCCTACGCGCCACTTTGTGCCCCCCTTATCGCCACCACCACCACCACCTCCCTCCTCACCAATCCATTTCCCTCCCTCGTCTCCATCGCCAGCCACTCATTGGCCCGCTAGCCTCCAACACTTTCGTCCTTCCTGTGGAGTCTTGATCTCTAACGTCGGAAGTATGGCTATGGTGCAGCCATTTTTGGTCACTGGTGAAAACTATGAGGATGATGAGGGAAGCTTTGTGGAAAGTAATGCAGAAAGCAGTATTGTGCATGTCAGAGAAGATACGCCTAGTCCTCCGCCTGCTCTGCCTGTTTCCAGGAGGCTTTTTGCAGGTGCTGCCTCTGTCTCGACTACTACCGGGCCTTCTCATACGCCTTCAGCTGCACAATCTCATCAGCGCAGAGGAAGTGGAGGCTTGAGATCCCTCTGCTGCGGTCTATTCCCCCCTCGTCGCCGCCACCACTCCCCCACCACGAATCCATCGCAACCTCGTCCTCAAAGCCAACATCCTGCACCCATGTCTCAGCGTCCAGCCCCACCCACCCACGCCACCATTTTCGAAGAAGACGCAGAAGACGAACTCGATCAAGAAAACCAACCCCCTCTCTCGGTCGAGAACCAACCTTCTGCCATCTTTCAACAACAAACACGTACCATGATTGAAAACCATCCTCCTACCATCCTTGAAACCTTGGTTGACGACGATGATGGACACGACATCCATGAGCAGAGAACTTTGCATCAAGCAGAAGAGCAGGACGCAGAGCAGGAAATGGTTGATGAACTCAATGTGCGAAGAAGTTCTGTACGACACAGTTGGGTCACGGTGTCCAGATGGTTGGAATGAGAGGAGCACTGTGCTTCCCAGCCATCTCGGCAAAGGAGCCGTCTCGGTCGTTTTCGGCTATCCAGTCATCTCAACTTCAGATGCAGGTCTTTCTGGGTATCTGTCGTTAGGTGTTTTGTATCGGAGAAAAGAGATGGAGACCCCGTCAGGTCACATGTGCTTTTTAACTTGCAATGTGGTTGGTGGTGTCGGCACTGAAGATCTTGAAGTTGGCATTGTTTCTTTTCATCATCGCAGGATGCTTTTGTAGTAGGAAAGACAGAGTTCGAAGCCAAACCGGTGTTCATTATTAAGCAGCACAACATGAAGACTCACGCAAGCACGTTTTTCTCGCTCTAAAACGCCAAAGATTGGTGCTTTCTCTTCCAACATTGTGAGAATATATAGTCATCATGATATCGGTGTTACTTCTTGTCTGCAAGCAGCTTGAAATTCGGAAGACACTGTAGCTATGAATGTATATTTGACTCAAAGTAGAGTCCTTGACTAACCTTGATCTAGTAAGCGACTGTACGTCTACCATATATTCCCTGCAGAGAGAATGTCCATCGTGTGTAGCACAGCTAGCTACCTCTCTCCTGTGACAGAAACTGCGAAAGATCGACGTATGACCTCTAATCCGATTCATGATCCGTATCCATCTCATCAGGATGCTCGTGCTCCATACCATCAAGCGGATCAGTCTCTCCGGCCAACAGCGGCGCCCTCTCCTCATCGTTTCTGCGGAAGTGGCTGGCAAGACTCAACCCCAAAACACTGAGCCCATGCACAAAAGTGCTGCACATGACCACAAAGCACACAATAGGCCACAGCATCTCAACTGCCTTTTCGCGGTCGGAATAAGGTGGTGAGAACTTAGGAGGGTGAGGCAAGGGCTCGCTAGTGCCGGTCTCGAGAGTTGCACGAGCTTCAATGGCGAGGAAAATGGCGCCTAGACCCATGGGTCCAAAGTGTCCGCAGAAGAGCGCTTCGCGGAATGTGCGGATGTCGGGGTTGAACTTGTAGGTTGCGAGCATGATGGGAATGCGGCGGAACAAGAGAACCAAGGCTGCAAAGCCGAAAAGTCTCAGTGGCGTGACGTAAGGAGTGATGTCGCGAGCCTTGAATGCTTCCCAGGGCATGATGGTGCCCAGATATATGAACATGGCCGAGTTGAGCAGAAGGTCGGTGACATCTGGGAGATGGGCGTCTTTGACCTTCTTGCTGAACCAGCCGTCGCGAGCAAAGCCGTAGCCGGCTCCAAAAGCTACAAGGAAATCGTCCGAGCCGAGGATGCTGCCTACACCGACGCTGAAAACTGCGAGAAGCAGATAGAAGACGATCATACCGGCAGGGTCAACGTAGCCTCTACTATCGGAGAAGCGCAAGAGTCTGTTGAAGATAGTGCCGATGACGAGACCAACTGCAACACCCAAGGTGCATTGCCAGAGAATAGTGACGAGGAAGTATTCTTTGACAGCAGTCTTGGGAGCAGCGTGAATGAGTGCGTACAGTCCAATGTATAGGAAACTGTCGAGAAGAGTAAGTCATAGCTCATGTCCACGGGTGTTCTAAACTTACGGGAAAGAGATTCCATCGTTGCAACCAGATTCTGCAGCCAACATATCCTTGATGCGCTTGGGTACTCTGGTGCTGAATTGACTGTTGGACAGAATGGAGGAAGACAGAACAGGATCGGTAGGCGTCAAACAGGCGGCGATGACCAGAGCTGTGGCGATATCTACCTTGAACATCAAGGCAGCGAAAAGGGAGCAGACGAACCAGCCAAAGGTCATGACGATTGCTGGGATGAGATTAGCCTTATTGTTCCTCTATCGACTGCACATCTGGAGAACGATCAGAAGCCCCGACAGAGATTTGTGTGTGTCAGAGAAGACGTTGCAAAGCTGATGATGGAATGGAGTGCACAAGGTCTATAGAGAGAATGTGTCTGAGCCAGGTCTCAAGCAAATTCGGACAAGATAATGTATCATCACGTATAAGAGCCAGCGGCAGCCGCGGAAAGGAGTGTTAGAATTACTTACTCAGTAAGATACCCACACTCTTCCAGTGCTTGGAAGCATAGTATCTCGGCAGACCAACACCAACAGTGAAGACCTGAACACCGAGAATGACTCGAGAGATCTCTTGAACTTGGGTATCACCCCAACCCCATCTCTCGCTTTCATCACCAGTACACCCTTGTTGGGTGCAGTAATTTGGGTTCAGCCAGCCAAGGACTCGTGGTCCAAGAAGGATACCAACCAGAAGTGCCAACGGCGGTTCAGACAGGTGAAGACGGTTCCTGACAAAGGTAGCGAACAGGCAGTATACGATCAGGAAAGATGATATAAGCAGGTACGAAAGATGGGGTGGAGTAGGTTCAAGCTGATCCCAGACCATGTTAGCGAAGTGTGAGATGGTTGATTTTGAGCCTCCAAATTGCGATTCAGTTGATCGTCCCCGCGGACTGTTGACTGAAACGATAGGCCAAGTGATGAGAACAGGCCGAGCTGTAGATGTTAATGTTGGAAGCAGAAGCCTCTGATAACGCCTATAATGACGGAAATCAAGAACAATGACACTTTTGGAAGAATTGGACGCGACGTGAAAAGTCGTTCCTGCCTCAGGAAAGAGGAGTCTGCAAGCTTGATGACCGCACCGTAGTGACGATCACTGTGTTTAGAGTAAAGCCAAGCTTTCTACGTCACTCCCTATTGGCTCGAAACTGTCCACGCAGCACGGGCACTATTGGCTTCTACCACTCTCCGTCTGCAAAAAGTTTGTAACGCGTGTAGCTGTAGAGATACAGAGTAATCTCGAGAAACGACTAAGGATCAATTGGGATGCGTTACTTTGTCGAACCTCCTTACACATATCTCTGATCTAGAGATGACTGTACATTCTCAGAGTGAGGATAGCGGTCCGCGATTCTGTCGAAGGAGTGTGGAAGTTACAAACTTTAGCACACGGGGAAGAAACGCCATCCCGACCATTTCCTGGTGAGACATGGGGAACCCAAAAAGAGTCTGACTGTAGTGACACTCATGTCAGTGATGGTGGGTGCGGCTGGCTGACCGTTGGGCGATCTATTAGAGCAGAGTCCGAGATGTTGATAAGCTGAGCGCTGCCCGTATCTGGAAACAGACTGGCTAAAATCCTTTGCATACTGACTGCCACACGTAAGCGTGCCTGATAAATAAGACCGCCATTGTGCCCTGCACTTAAGCGCCGCCCTCTCAACTCCTACATCTGTCAAATCAGATAATCGGCAAAACATCTCAGACTTTGTCTTTTGGACTGGAATATTCGTCGCAAGCCGCCATGGTTCTCTGGAAAAGAAGCATATACACAGTGGTGACACCACTACCCCCCACAGTCAGCCGAGAAACAGCTGTGGAGATGCTGCATTCACACAGCGAGATGATCGAATTGAATCCACTGGTCATCAATCATACGAAAGCCAAGCCTCCACCAAATGCGCCTCCGGATGAATTTCACTGCACCTGGTACGAACTCACAGATCGCATCACATATCTGCCAGGCATCAAAGGCCAAGTCAGTTACAAGGCCTGTTTCCACGATTTACCGCGCGGTCTCCAAACTCACGTCTATGCTCCTGCTGGCCTCGAGATTAAGGAGAAATGGAGTATTGGAGGCAATGAGCCAGGAGAAGAGCGCGAGGTCATCGAACTTGGTCTCGGCAATCTCGGTGTACCACGTGAAGGACTATACCTACGCGAAGATGTCGACATGAGCTGTAACGTCTTCCTCACAGGTTTCGTCAAGAAGACACTGAACAAAGCTCATGGCGTGCTTGTAGACCGATTAGTCGTCAAGGCAGACTTAGCAGACGACAAGAAGCAGAGAGAGGGCTTTCGTCGTGCGTCGGTTCTCACGGGAAACAGTGGAGTCAGTGGTAGTGGTGTCGGACTTGGTCTCAGAGTCACCTCGCCGACAATCACCTCGCCACGATCATCCCAAAGCCATAGCAGTATGAGCGATGTACACCGGAGCCACAGCAGCGTGAGCGACATGCGACGGAGTCACAGCAGTATGAGCGACCACAGTTTTGCAGACAGCACGACGCCTGCAACAACAATACGCGGCGATCATCCCGAAGGCCCACCACTTCAGAGCATCGCGGAGCTTGAAGCTACAGACAAGCTCTCCGCACACAAAGGGGCAACATTCGAGATACAGTATCCGCCACCTCCGCCAGTCGAAATGCCATGATCGACGCCTACCTCCTATGTGCTAGATTCTGTCACTCTCATCCGCTCTCACCACAACATACAAGCGGAGCTGAAGCTATCAAATTGCCCAATTCTTTCCGAACGCGAGCAGAGTCCGCAGAGAGCTGTCCGCGTTCGTGCTTTTCTTCTTTCTTCATCTTTTTATACTCCTTTTCTATTCTCTGTGCGATGTTCATAGCTCTCACATTTGTTTTCCTTTGTTTGCAAGTTCCGACCTATACCCAATATTTGTTTATCTTTCTCTCCTATGTTTCTTGCTCAGTTTATGTAGTTTGCTTTATTGAGATCACTGCGTCGATATCCATATTTACCTAACAATTCGCAAAAACTTCATTCTCATTCTGCAGAAGTGCTCTCGTACACAATGTGAAGATGCACAGTACTTTTGGATCTGGTAACTGGTCGGCTGAGATAATCTCAAAGGTCGTTCTCAGAAGGGGAAGGGGTATATGGTGGTATCTATATAGAGGAGTGAGCTCACCTCTGGATTTTGTGTATGTACATCAATTTCAATGCTTATCGTTTGTTTTTCATCATATCCGAGTTGCAAGAGCAGAGTAGAGGATTGGATATTGAGTTGTAAAGTTACATCAGAACGGAAAGCAGATGTCATGTCAGCGCATGCCCGCATGTGTGAAGTTGCATGCTTGCACATGTAGACCATCCACGTGCAAATTTCTCCATCTAGATCGTGACTTCCCCTACATATGAGGCACGAGACGCACAAGTTTTTGTCCGAAGCCAGCGCCTGAAACCACTATATCATTTGCACATCCAATCCAAGAACTATATAAATATCTCTTACCAACCCACAGTCATCGATAAACACCATCCGATACACATACCTGATACCAAGATCTACACAAACCATGGCAACCAATCCAAACCTGCTCTTTGCTATGCAAAGCATCGCTTCAAAAGCATCTGTATCAACTCTATCGACTGCGACCACTACTCTCGCAACTCCTCTCGCTCCTCACCGGGTGGCTCTGGCACGCACAAAAGATCCTCGCCATGGATGCATCAACGGCATCAAGATCTCCACATGCAAAATGTGCGCTGGTCATGTGTCCAGAACGTAAGTGATCCTTTGCTCCTGCTTTGCTTCTGTTTCTGCTGGGCACATGCTAATGGTAGCACACCAGTAAATTAGCATGCACCGGATGCAAAGGCAATGGATTCTCAGGGGCGAGATGCAGTGCATGTGCCATTGGCGCAGTGATTGCGCTGAGAGCGATGATCAAGGAAGTTGCTGCAGCAGCCCGAGCTGAAGAAGAAAAGAAAGCAGAGGTTCCCGATAAGGAGGAAACAAGGGAGGAAGAGGCTCTCGAAGTCAAGGACACGGCAGAAACGAAGGACGAGAACGCTGAAAACTAGGAGTTTGAGACGTTCAAAACGGACGAAAGCTCTGACGAATCTTGAGAACAAAAATGGGAAGTTCTGACAATCATCGATAACTCCATACGAGAATGAGATCATGGAGACTGGGAGAAAGGCCAGTGAACTGGACAGAGCCTGTTACCTTGAAGGGCGTGGAAAGCAGAAGACACAGAAGTCTAAGATAGGAGACTGAGAAAGAAAAGTCAATACCAAACCTTGTGCTACAGGAAAGTAGATGCCCAGGTGTGAGTAGCGTGCCTTCCTATTCTATTCAAGAAGTGAGCACTTGTAGTCTCGGCGTCGGAGCGGCGAGGCCTTTGGAGGTGACTTCCTTCACAGCTTGCATCCAGTACATTGTTCCACTCAGAAGGAGCAGAATGAGACGACTCGACTTTCACATGTAGTCTCTGAAACAATTTTCCAGCTGTCTTGATGCATAATGTCAACACTCAGAGCAGCAAGTTCAACGAGAGATGGTCGAAGTGATGGTCGAATTGCTTGGCGGGTGGTGGACGCTAGTTTTGATTTCGCTAGAAGCTCGGCACGGATTTTCGACCCGCACGCTGTGGTCGTCGTCCTCGCATCAATTTTACCTGTCGGATCTTCGCAAGCGCCAGTCAATCGCCCACGTCTCACTCCGTCAGGTCAGCAAGCACGCGCGCAACCGGCCACGAACACGCACATTAACATTCCAGCTGCAGCGATCCTCCATCAGTCAACATGGCCGAGCAACTTGTTCTTCGCGGCACCCTCGAGGGCCACTCCGGCTGGGTCACCAGCCTGGCTACCTCGCTTGAGAAGTGAGCACACACAACCTGCAGAAAGAGATAGAGAGAGGCAGAGATGCTGATTGCCTCGTGTTCAGCCCCAACATGCTCCTGTCCGCCTCGCGCGACAAGACCCTGATCATCTGGAACTTGACCCGCGACGAGACCTCATACGGCTACCCCAAGCGCAGCCTCCACGGTCACTCGCACATTGTCTCCGACTGTGTACGCCGAACCACCACCCTATACACTCACATAACAAGCCTCTGACCGCTTCTAGGTCATCTCCTCGGACGGTGCCTACGCTCTTTCCTCTTCCTGGGACAAGACTCTCCGCCTGTGGGAGCTCTCGACCGGCCAGACCACCCGCCGCTTCGTCGGCCACACCAACGACGTTCTGTCTGTCTCCTTCTCGGCCGACAACCGCCAGATCGTTTCCGCTTCCCGCGACCGCACCATCAAGCTGTGGAACACCCTCGGTGACTGCAAGTACACCATCACCGACAAGGGCCACACCGACTGGGTCTCCTGCGTCCGCTTCTCCCCCAACCCCCAGAACCCCGTCATCGTCTCCGCTGGTTGGGACAAGCTCGTCAAGGTTCGTACCAGCTCTTTTCCCTCTTCGCCAATTCTCCTCCCTCGACATGATGTATTGCAATTATGTATTTGCTACTTCAGAGCGGCCATCTACCGCCATGAGACAACTATTCACCCATTTGCCCTGATCCTTCGCATAACACATAGCCTTCACAACGACTAGCAACCTTGATGAACAAATGCGCTGACACGAATTGAACAGGTTTGGGAGCTCGCCACTTGCCGCATCCAGACTGACCACATCGGTCACACCGGCTACATCAACACCGTCACCATCTCCCCCGACGGTTCCCTTTGCGCTTCCGGTGGCAAGGACGGTACCACCATGCTCTGGGACCTGAACGAGAGCAAGCACCTGTACTCGCTCAACGCCGGTGACGAGATCCACGCCCTGGTCTTCTCCCCCAACCGCTACTGGTTGTGCGCCGCCACCGCCTCGAGCATCATCATCTTCGATCTCGAGAAGAAGAGCAAGGTTGACGAGCTCAAGCCCGAGTACGTCGAGGTTGGCAAGAAGAGCAGAGAGCCCGAGTGTGTCTCGCTCGCCTGGTCCGCCGACGGCCAGACCCTCTTCGCCGGTTACACCGACAACAAGATCCGCGCCTGGGGCGTCATGTCGAGAGCTTAAATGCTTTGATGTTTCGGCAGTGCTGTCAGGAGGAGAAACAGGATTGACTGAAAAGTTATATTGCTGTTTTGCGAACCATTCCAATGTTGCTGCTTTACACGAACAATTGTTCCCGACTATACAAGAAGAAAAGTTTGTCGAGGTGACGCTGGGATGGCGAGGACGAATGGAGTCGGTTCGACGGAGTGCAGGGTATAATCGGCGTTTCGTCCAACCAGAGAAAAAAGACTCGTTTCGTAGGTTTTTTTCATGCCAAAAAGATAAATGTTCAAACCACTCTTGCCACATGTGTGTGTGTAGCTGTCTTATTGCGTTGTCATCTATCTGAATTTGATCTCTAGCTACTGCGGTCATGTATCATACGTGCCCTAAAGTTACGACTATATCGCATATACGAAGCACTTAGCTGTAAATACAAAGCACTTATCTTCTGCCACACGCACCACACACACCTTCGCAATATGTGGCCTTGGTAACGCCGCCCTCCACATGAAGCATAGCCTCACAGCCATCAACACCACTTCCGTGTACACTGACAATTGACTGGTATCAAATCTCACCAATCAATACAAATACTCATTTTATTCATATATTCATATAGGACATGATTATCGCGCAATTATTGTGACCCAGCACGATATCAATACCAATCTATCAATCGCTTGGATTCACATAGCCGAGACCGCAACGACATCATCTACACCCCACCAGCAACCATGAGCATCCCAGGCCACACCAGCATCCTCCAACCCTGGCTGTCAGATCTCAAAGCTGGCTTTCATCGCAACATAACTTCTTCTCCAAACTACTTCCTCCACTCCCCTTCCTCTCTAATCACAACCTCCAACCTCCACTCTCTGCATCTGGGTACTGGAGAATCGATTCATACGTCTTTACTTCCACTCTTGGAATCTGCGAACGAGGAGCTCATTCTGGTGACGTGCTTTTGGGCCTCTTCTGCAACGCAGAAATTGATCAATGAGGTTTTGGTCAAGTTGTCAGAGAAGGGGAGAAGTAGGGGTAGGAAGCTGAGGGTGAGGATTTGTTTCTCGTCGTCGGGGGTATTGCAGAAAGTGTTGCATCCGCAGACCCTGTGAGTTTGCGACTTTCTCACTACTCAAATTGCACGATACTAATCATGGTGCTGCTCAGGAATGGCAAAATCTATCCACCGGAATCATGGCAATCGACATTGAGCCTTCCATCTCGGGAGCAGTTGCAAGGCTTGGATATGCAAGTCAAGAGTATCTTTCTCTTGCCATTCTCAGTCATGCATCCAAAGTTTATCATTGTGGATAGGAAGGTAGCAGTATTGCCTTCCTGCAATGTGAGCTGGGAAGACTGGTTCGAAGGTGCTGTAACTCTCACTGGGCCAGTGGTTTCTTGTTTCGTCGAGTTCTGGAGGGAGTTCTGGGCTCAGCAGGAAGACAGAGATGAACTCGTCAACAGCTCTGGAGATTCTAGCCATGAAGACTTGATTGCGAGGATATCTCAACCACAACCGCAACAAGGACAACTACCACTACACCACTCACTAGACTCGAAGGATATACCCACAATCTTCCTCCCCTCGCCTCACCACAGAAACCCAGATTTTCGGCTTCCGTGGCAAGAATCTTCTGCGCCGCCACCAACACCACTCAACACATTTTTCTTGCGCAGTCTTGCTTCTGCTGAACGAGAGATCTATATCCAGACGCCTAATACCACTGCTGCGCCGGTGCTTAGTGCCATCCTCAGCACTCTACAACGCGGTATTGATATCCACATCGTCACCAGCGAAAAACTGATGATATTGGAGCAATTGGTTACTGCAGGCACCACAACCTCTGCTTGCATATCAAAACTGATATCAAGGTACCAAACCCTTCGCTCTACCCCCTCTGACCTCGAAGCTGGAAGGCCGAAGTTGGGAACATTGAAGATTGAGTATTTTTTCCCTGGCAGAGGAGATAAAGAGCCGAAGCAAAGTCATCTGAAGTGCACGATTGTGGATGGAGAATTGGTGATGTTGGGGTCGGGAAATCTGGATAGAGCCAGTTGGTATACGAGTCAGGAACTGGGTGTTGCATTCTTTGATAAGGTGTTTGCGACAAGATTGCGAGGAGACTTGGCGAGGGTGCTGGAGGGTAGACTTAGATCTGTTTTGTAAGTTCTTGGTGGTTTGAGAGAGTAGAGTAGATATGGATTCGTTACCATGTGTTTTAAAAAGCATGTAATACGTATACGAAGCTACACAAGTCGCACGATGGACTTTCGAGGAACAGTACATCTTCCGTTGAGATGCAGCATACTCTGGACTCTCTTCGGAGCACCTGTTGAGAAGATATTGTATCTTTCCAAAGCGAGGTTGTCGATTGAGACCCGCGGAAAGCGAGACAAGATTTTAGAAGCTGGGGTGTGTTTTGAGAAGAAACCGCAAGAAGGGGTCTCAACCATGGTAGATATACTGTCGATACAAGAAATAGACACAGCGGTACATAAGGAGCTAGCCTCGATGTTGCTATGTGAGAGATGATTGAAGGAGACCGATTAGAATGTAGTAATGGAGTCTTGTAATTTGGAGTCAGGGTCGTCCTCTCGATTCACGGCAAAAAGAAAAAAAGAAAAAAAGAAAAATAATTGAGAGTGACTATGCCTTGTGATATCTTTTCCACGTTGTTATCGATTCTACAACGACGTTTTTGGGATGGCATGCGACCAATAAATATAGCTGGTATCTTACCAGGCGTTCACAGAGAGCTGATATCGATCTCGGGTCTCCTCGTGACACACCCTCTCCAATGATTGACACAGAGGTGTGGTAAGGGCTTGACGAGATCTACAGAAAAGCACCCTCTCATCTATCTCTCAGACACGAAGTAGGAAGGTGGTTCAAATGCACTGCACCCTGACTCGAGTGAAATTTTGGAAACTTGACGGAAGTGGAAGGCTTCACGTTAGGGTCATGTGTCAAACCCAGGACCAAACACGCACGTGGTACCGATTCCTTAGGGGGATGTGCTTGCGAAGGGAAGTGGAACTCGGATTTGGACGCGGTAGAGTTTGAACGGGTCCAAGGCTCCAGCCTCCAGGTGTTTCGTGCAGCCGGCAGTGATGGGGACACTCGGAGCGGACGGATGCCGAGGGGCAGGTATGACGAGGATTGTGTGTGTGTGTGTGTGTGTGTGACAAAAGCCACGCTCTGACTGCAACGATGTGAAAGTGGATTGGAACGGCATCAACAAGGGAAGAGTTGGAAAGAAACACAGCAAGCCAGTGTTTCAGAAGGACGGTTCGCAGTCTATCATCACTCTGTTGTACCTGCATACGTGTTCGGCGAGGATGTGTTTGGGCTAGACAAAGCAAAAAGATTACGAACAAGACCCTGAGGGCGGAGTGGTCAATGTGGGCGCATGACGACTCTCTTTGGCGCTTGTGAGGCCTTGGTCGTATTATTGCCGTTTATTTGACCAGTGGTGAGCAAGGCTGCGTGCTTTGAGAAGAGGCTTGCTGGTCGGTCGGGCACACGCGCACGTTTCTCTTGTTCCTTCCCTCAGGTCTCAGTCTACAAAATCAAGGTTCAGTACTTGCCAGGGCCTTATCCTTGATTGATAGCCGCAACTTCCTGAACAAAAAGAAAGCCTCCCCCAGCCTGCAATCATCATGTCCGCTCGTGCCCACTCTCCGCCCTCGTCGACATTCAGTTCGCAATCTGACACTGCGCCCATCGTCCCTCCCTCAGCATCCTCCCAATCGCCCACATCCGATTTCGCAAAGTCCAGCAAGCGACGATTGTTTGGTTTGGTCAAGAGAAAGGATAAGGCATCCGACAACACCGTCATCGACGCGAACCCCAACGCGACCCAGTCCAAGCCGACAGCTCCGCCAGCAAACATGTATCCCCTCACCTCGTCATCCCCTCCGCCCAATCGCTTTGTCGCTGCCTCGCCGACGCGTCTCCCTTTCGCTCTGGCCTCGAGTCAATCGACCTCGACTCTGGCCGACTCGCAAATCTTCGAGCGCAGTGTTCAAGAATCGATTGTACCAAGCGAGTTGTCACCTGCCATTCCCGCACACATCCAGACCGAAGACCACATTCCCGCAGTCCTCGAGGCTTCTTCTCTTGCCATCACCGATACCCACCTAGATCCGGATCAGGTTGAAATCGTCACTCATACGGCTCATCAACCTGCGTCTGAGAAGGTCGCAGATAGCACAGCATCCGCTCTCCACTCTGATGCACAGCTGCCTGTCTCACCACAAGACTCGCAACACGAGAGCTTCCACTCGGTAGCCTCACACCCTCCGGATTACGATGATGCCGCGTCGAACTACGGTGCTTTGGATCCTGCAGATGTGCGCAGATTGAGCTTCATCTCCTTCGCCGATGTCGTCCAGGCAGAACAGGCCGAATCAAAAGACGCGTTACAGCATTATACACCGCTGTCTGCCAGCACTCTCAGTCAGAACCAGATGCACTCTCCACCACTACCTCGCTCACCGTCACCTGCACGCTCGCCATTGTCCTCGCAATACTCTCAAGAAGTGACGACTCCACCGCTTAGGAGCAACCCGACATCAGTCAAGGGCTTTGACATGAGTCCAGTACGCAGCCCCGTTGGCAGTCCTTCGCACCAGCAGCACGGAGAACTCACAATCGAAACAATGCGCCAGGCTCTGCGCAAGACAGCCAGTGGAGACTTTACGGGAACCAAGATAGCCCCATATCCAGCAAGCTCGATAGGTCTCGAAGACGGCGGTCTTGAGAAGCCAGGCTTCAGATGAAGAATACCACATTTTCACGAATGCTAAGAAGCGGATGAAACAATCCGAATATGATGCGCCGACTCTTTCCACTTCTCACATTTTTGTTTATGAATTGCTCAAGGGCTGGCTCTCTCAGTTTATCTCTTTGTTCTGTTTCACTCTGCTTCCAAGCGCGGTATTATGCTTATGACGATACTTTTTACTACCCTGAAGCATAATTTTGAATGTTACATGCTCTGAAACGTGACAGTTACCTATACGCATGATTCGTTCCTGTAATGTGTATACATAGAATATTGCGCTCACAGCAGAGGATGATGTGAGATTGAAAAGACGTCTAGATGGGAAACTGGCTGGCTGCCTAGGAAGGATGACGGTGAGCAGAGGCGCACGGCGCACTGTACCTGAAACACGGCAGAAGGCACCATGTTGTGCAAGAAACCTGCAGGGCGTTCGAGCAGGAGGCGGTGGAGGCTTGCCAGAAAGGTCTTTGGTTTGGCAGAACAAATCATTTATACGAGGTGTTTCGCGAACGGCATGGATGGGTGGCCTCGTGTGGTTGTTGACCCGTCGGTCTTGTTTCGCACCGAGGGGCAGGCGTCTCAGCTTCTGGACCTATTTTGTCGGGCTGGCCAATCAGATGAGTTGAAGGAAAGCTGCGGCTCCAAGCAAGGCGACAAGGGCAATATAGGAGTAGGGGCACATTTATCAGGCCGCCCTAGACTGTCAATTTGAACTTTCTTAATCGGGGTTGCCTTGTCATATGGTCTCGGCAGGTGGACGCGGCGGTCAGAGTTGTAGGAAGGCAAGAAGCGAGAACGAGAGGGAACGTTTTTGCGGTCCTGATAGCCTCGTAGAGTAAGTTAGTAGCATTGGGCTTTGGCAGTCAGATCGAGCGCCGTTGGCTTTCTGCACCGCCGTCGAGCACTGAGCACCGAGAGCCAGCCAGCACAGCAACCATTGCGAACCACGACGACGCATCCATCTGACTCCCATCTTGCTCTGTTACTGTCCCCGTCCTGCCAACACATTGCGCGTGCCCTTCGTAGCCTGTGCATCCAGCGACGACCCCCTCCAACCCCCCGACCACTCAGCGTATATACCTGGACACCCGCTCCGCACAGCAGGCATCGTGGCCCCATGTCTGCTGTAGCGCGTCGCCTCGCTCAATCGACCACGACCGCATCGCATCCGTCAAGGCGCCGCTGCTGACGGTTTCTGTTGCTTCACCCCTCGCCAATTGCGCGGGGCCCGCACAGCACGCCTGAGCCCACCGCCGACGACGACGACCTGGAAAAAGCATGAGGGCTCACATGGAACCCGCCCCCCGCCAGAAATGGTCAGAGCAGTCGAGCCGCCGCCGAAAGCAGCCCAGCTTGTACGACGAATATCTGAACCAGGAACGATCCGCAATGTCACAGTCCCAGCCTATGCCACAAAGTATCATACAGACGCCATCTGAAGTGCGCGAACAGCACTTTTCCGGGCCTCGATCTGCCCGCAGCGACAACACCATCCGCACCGTCACTCCCGACTCGGTCATGGAAGAGACGGCTCTCAATCTCGAGGGCCACGTGCTGGGCTCTTCTCCACGGACCAGTCTCAAGAGAGATCGTGACAGTCCTCGTTCGCTGTTGCTTGCCCGCAGTGAGTCGACTGACAACACTCGCAATCGCATGCAGTACACTTCCACCTCGGCCAACCGTCGCAACCGCACGAGGACTTTGGAAGAGGGCACCTCACGCGACGTCTCGCCTGGTACTGTCCGTCAACCCGGTAGTCGTCTGCGCCATGGCTCAGTCCATCTCACTGGAAGCGAAAGCACTTCGACACAGGTCTCGTCATCCTCCTTCGATCCCTCACAATCCACGTCGTCGTCTGCCTCGAGACGCCCGCGCTCGCCCATCTCGGTATCCGATGCCGCCAGCGTATCTGGTGCCTTGCCCAATTCGAGCGCCCGCCGAATCCTACACCTCATGAAGACGCTGTGTGGCCGCATGTCGGGCACTCTCTGGTTCCGTCGTGGTGCTGCTGCGACATGGCTTCAATCATACTGCTACATTCAAGAGGACACGGGAAGTCTGTTATGCGAGGCCGATGTTAGCTCCCCACAAAATCGTACACTCATTCCCGATCTTCGCGGCTGTCAGGTACGCACTGCTATGGACGATGACACTCAGATGCCTTACCTTGACATCTCGGTGCCAAACTCGACTCTGCAATTGCATGTCCGTCTGAAAGATCGCAAAGACTTTGACTCATGGTTCGCCGCCTTACTCTGCTGGCAGCCAATTCGCCCCAGAGGCCTCAGTAACAGGATGGCAAAACCTCAGAGTCCTGTCGTGCAAGGCATCACCTTGACCGATAGCAGACGCAACTCTGAAATGTCTCTGACACTAAAAGAAGCTCCCATCATTAAAGTCGGTCCCATGGTCTACTGGGATAGCAACATATCATATACAAACGCCGGCACACCGAGATCGCTCAAGCCTTCGCCTTCGCGCTTCCAAAGCTATGGCTCACATTGGTGGAGGCGTGTGTCCTGCACCCTCCGAGAGAATGGAGAGCTCAAACTCTACGCCGATGGTGGCTCGACACTGCTTTCTGTGGTACAACTTTCTCAGCTCTCTCGGAGCGCTGTTCAAAGATTGGATCCTTCTGTCTTGGATAACGATTTTTGCATAGCCATCTATCCCCAATACACATCCGGCGCTACTGTCACGACGGCCATCCGACCTATATATCTATCCATGGAGACCCGTGTTCTCTATGAAGTCTGGTTCGTTCTGTTGAGAGCCTTCACCGTACCTCAGCTCTACGGACCCAAACCTAACGGCCACCCCGACGAATCTGCTATTATTTCCGATACCCCTTCATCATCTGCCTTCGATAATCTGATGGCCACTGAAAAGATTGAAATGTTCCGCATGGAGCGCGCTCTATCTGTTCGCATAATTGAAGCCAAACTACCCCATGCTCCTCTGAGTTCATTAGCAGAATTCAACCACCACCATTCAAATCGCCACAACAATAATAACAACAATGCTGCAAGCAAGCCAGAGCTCTCGGACGGTTACTATGTTGAGATACACCTGGACGGTGAAACCCGAGGCAAGACACAAATCAAACATGAGTCAATGGCCCCTTTCTGGCGCGAGGAATTTGACTACTTGGACTTGCCCGCCGTCCTTACCTCTGCTTCCGTCTTGTTGAAGCGTCGCCCACCGGATCTTTCAAGCCCTCGCGAACAACACGAACTTCGACTTGTGCATGAAGCTTATGGTCTGCTGGACCCTTCGCAGAAAACTGGAGGCTCTGCCGGATTCATGCCGGTACAAAACGATCAAACACTCGGCAAGATTGAAATATACCTCGAAGAACTGGAAGCGAGCAAAGAGGTCGAAAAGTGGTGGCCAGTCATGAACCAGCATGATGAGAATGTTGGCGAGATTTTGATCAAGGCTCGCGCGGAAGAAAATGTTATTCTTATGGCAAAGGACTACAAGCCTTTGAATGATTTGCTACATAACTTCTCGAACGAGCTTACCCTGCAGGTCGCGCAGATGATCCCGACAGAGCTGAGACGGCTATCCGATCTGCTGCTGAACATCTTCCAGGTATCTGGCCAGGTTACCGAGTGGATCATGGCTCTGGTCGAAGAGGAGATCGACGGTGTACACAAGGAGACACCCGTGTCTCGTATGAGGTTCACCCGTCGCATGGCGAACAACAACAATGAGGCGGACGCAAATGTCACTGCTGCGAGCGAAAGAGAGCTGTTCGTCCGCGACATGAACAAGAACGCCACACTGGAAGCAAACTTGCTCTTCCGTGGGAACACCCTGCTCACCAAGTCTCTGGACTCGCACATGCGTAGGGTCGGCAAAGAATACCTCCTTGAATGCCTTGGTCCCATCATCAGAGACATTAATGAGAAGGACCCAGATTGTGAAGTTGATCCCAACCGAGTGACCAACCAACACGACCTGAAGAAGAACTGGGACAGGCTGATAAACTGCACCAAATCGGTCTGGAACACGATCAAAGTCAGCGCCAGGAATGCACCTTCGGAGTTGAGAGTTATCTTCAGACACATCAGGGCCTGCGCCGAAGACAGATATGGCGACTATCTGAGAAGTGTTAGCTACAGCAGTGTTTCTGGTTTCCTGTTCCTGCGCTTCTTCTGCCCAGCTGTTTTGAACCCGAAGCTGTTTGGTCTGTTGAAGGACGATCCAAAACCTCGCGCCCGAAGAACATTTACTCTGATCGCAAAGTCGCTCCAAGGTCTTGCTAACATGGCCTCGTTCGGAAGCAAAGAACATTGGATGGAACCCATGAACGTCTTCTTAACAGATCACCGGGAAGCATTCAAGACCTTCATCAACGACATTTGTTCAATCTCTGCTCCCGATGGCATGATTGGCCACAAGCCTACTTCATATTCAACTCCTCTTGCTATCCAATCTCGACTTCCGATGACAAGCCGCGAAGGGTTCCCCAGTCTGCCATATCTCATTGACCAAAGTCGTGAGATCGCAAGCTTGGTCGAACTCTGGCTACATGGCACCACAAACGGAAGTGAAGCAGAGTTGCTAGCAGCACAGATTGGCAAAGAAGATGGCGATCTCCTGACGTTCCACAGAATGTGCAGAACTCTCGATGCTCAGACCAAGGAGTGTCTATCTCGTGCCGAGCGCGCCGAGCGTCCTAATTCTGCGCTCAGCTTCCGCTGGGAGGAGCTCATCGATCAACTGCAAAATACATCACTGCTAGAGAATGGCGCTCGCATTGACGATGCTCTCGACGTACCAACCCGCGATTCCTTCGACGATGTAAGTCAAGCCGCTCAACTAGACTCATCACGCGACCGCGGCTTCAGCGTCGGCAACGTCGGGCTCGGCCGCTACAGCGCAGACACAGAAGGGCACCCACCACCGTCCTGGGAAGAAGACCGCGATGGGGGTGCTCAAACAGCCGCTGTCAGTATCCTCAGCCACGACACCAATAACCGCCACTTCGACAAAACTAGCTTCGATATGCAACGGCTGGGCACCTCCACCGCTTCAGTCTCAGCCTCGGGCTCCTATTCCAACAACATCGGCGCGGCGTTCATGCGCGAAGGCACCGCCACTGGCCCCTTGCCCCGGGACACTACTTCTGCATCTTTGAATCTACATTTCCCTCAACGCGACCGCGAGCGCAGATCTACAGAACGTCCTCGCGATGGCAGTCTAAGCGGTAGTGTTGTTAGCAGCGAGACCGATACAACCACTGCATTGCCTAGCTTAGCGCGTGAGAGGGAGAGAAAAGAACGTGAGAAGGAGAAGAAAGAGAAAGCGAAACGTGAAGAGAGAGAAAGGAGGCTCAAGGACTTTATACCGGGTCTCACTGGGTTGAGGCGGAAGGACAAGGATAGGGAAAAGGAGTGATGCGATGCCTCCTCTGCTTGAGATGATGTTGAAGAGGCTGGGTGAAAAGCATTTCTTTCACGTGTATTGTTCTCTGGGTTGGATGTCTGTTGTGTTTACCGGTTTCGACACGATAGAGATGGGAATGATAGGATAAGTTTGGCGTGTTAGGTGGATTGTCTTTTAGGTATGAGTTTGACTCCGTTTTTCACATCTTTTGTTTTCTTTGTTGGCTAGAAGCGTTGCATTTGATTGTAAGCATACTTTTTGGCATGATGAAAAATTGAATTGTTGATAACCACAATCGCATGCTTCCCACAAAAAGCTAAACGTGATGATATGGCTAAGATGATGTGGTTAGTATGCTACAGACTACGAGGGTTGAACACATACCTAGCGCCACAAAGCGAAGAGAATGACCAAAAGAACTACAATATTCAAGACGCTACGATAGGTTAGTCTGCGATGCATAGCGTACAAACTGCTGCGAGTGGCACTTACACAAGACCGAGCAGCAGGTCACGGTCAGAGGTTCTATGTCGAGCACCACAAATTAGTCTTAGCTCATCACTCTATTAACGGAAAGACTCACTTTTGCTGCGAAGCAGCAAGAGTCTCCAATTCGAGTTGTAGACTATACAAGCTCATTAGGAGGCGTGATGAGATGTGTAAGTGATGCAACACTTACACGGCACGAGCCTCCATTTGGAGTTGAAGGCTATACGCAATCATTAGTACTCGTGATAGTATCTGCAAGCAGTAGGATACTTACGCGGCGGCAGCGGAAAGACGTTCTTCTTCACTAGATATATATGGGTTGGTATACTTTGACAACGGAATCTACAGTCGTTGGTTGGCGTACCGGTTTCTGCGCTCGTCTTCGAGCGCATTTTCGGCGGCCGAGAGTCTACTTTTGAGGTCGAGGACCTCGGCGGCCGCTTCTTTCACAGCGAGGAGTTGACCTTGGAGGTCCTCGACCTCAGCGCGGGCGGTACGGGCGCGGGCCTTGTAGTCTGTATGAGGCCTGTCAATAGTCAGCAATGCATTTCTCTGTCACAGTAACGGGTAGAGAAACGATAGATGGGAAGAAGAAGAGTTTGCGAGAAGAAATGTGTAAGTTGAATCAGTGCTCATGAAAGATTGACTGAGCAAAATCAGTGCAATCGGCTTCGAATGCCAATGGGCAGTCTTCGAAGATTGTCTGTGACTTCCATGGAAATCCGCGAAGGCTTTGCTTGACACTTGAGACCAGCGCTGCTGAAAAAGAGGGAAACGGGAACAAGGCTGCGAAGTACTTGACTTACATTGTTGGCGTTGAAGTAGGCGGGAACGGTGACGATCTGAAGATGATCGAAAAACAAGAAGAGAGAAGAGAGAAGAAGTGAAGATGAATTTGAGATAGGCAGCAGTGGCAATCGATGTTCGAGCCAAGACCAGTGCATTGCACCTTCCTTGCGACCTCACCACCTACCTGGTACTTACCCAACCACAGTCTAGTCACGATCCGGTGACACTTGCATACCTATCTTACGATCTTACGATCTTTACTCCCACAAAGGCAATGCTCACTAAGGAAATGCAGCGTTAGTACGGAAGTAGAGAAGAGTCCGAAGATACGCTTTTCGATGGAAACTCCCCCGTTACTTCCAAGTGACTGTGCATCATACATTTGCCCGGGTTGCGAATGGAGGTTCAAACCAATTGCCAGCTCTCCGCTGATCCCCGGCGTTGCCGCTTCCGCAGACTGCCCGTGTACACGCATATGATCTCACCGTCAAAACCCACCCCTACGATCCGAACATCTGAGTCCTCACCGACACCTCGTAACATGTATTCCACCGCATACACTCTTCCCACTTGTCGCCCATCAATCTCGATCATGAAGAAGCCAAAAGGTCCTGTGAGATCACTGTAAGGTGATCCATCATCCCCAGGACCAGCATCCCACGCTTGGTTGTTGAATTTCCAAGAGAGACATGAGGCGGTCTCATCTACATCTACGAGGGTCGCATCCGAGATCGTGTAGTTTCTGGCTACCTTGCTGCTTCGGCGAACACAAATTGATGCAATTTCTGCAACGAGTAAGGAGCTTTTACTGATCGATTCGGAGTATCCTTCGACCCACAAAGATATTCCAGTGAGAGTGTCTGTTTCATTGGCTTGAAGCTCTGTATTGATTGTCCTCTGCTGCTTTACAATAGGAATTTGTATGCCCAAGCCTTCGAGGTGAGGCCACACATGCAAAGGAGTGGGCGTTTCTGGCTTGCGATACGTGGTGCATATTACAAGGCCTTCTGACGCTGGTATACTGAGCTTGAAGAGACTCAGGGTTCTCTGCGCGCATACGTCCTCATCCAGCGCGGAGACGTATATGGATAACCTCGAGGGAGACGACTCTGCTCGACTGACGACGCCCTTCTGAGTGCTAGTGTTGTCGCGTGTTAGCGAGTCGTACCAGATTGAGAAACAAGAAATCACGTGTACAAGCGACTGTCATATCAGCTCTTTTTGAGTATATTAACAATGTATACACAGTTGTGCATTCTTGTGAGGATGTAAATGTCGTTGGTGAGAGAAGCAAGAAGAACGCAGCGAGTGGATCTGGCACTTGTGGCAGCTTTTCGATGACGCGTTCGTCGCTCGCTCTTCGCGACGGGATTTCAGAGCTCCAATTCCGCCTCCCGACGTCGACAAGAACAACTTCACTCATACCTCACACCGCACACCTCAACCCCCCCGTCCACTCTCCTGTCTACCGCATCTCTTTGCTCTGGAATCCGTGCAGCTGCTGAGCTTGACACAACACTCTTTCACTTGCGCACGCACCACCGACCGCCACCGCGAGCTTCTGTCACTTACGCCCGAACCTTTCATCCATCTACCACCGCCGCCTCTTCTTTCCTCTCTCACGATGGCTGACTTGTCTGATCTATTTGCGAGGCTGAAAAGCCCTGCTTCTTCAAACGACCAGACTTCACAGGCAAACCACCCTTCGATCTGGGCCTCGCAGCAACCTTCCGTCTCAAGCCCTTTGTTTTCCCCTCCCATCCACACTCCCAACCCCCAACACCCTTCGGCTATCATGAGTCCCAGTCTCACCCCTGCTCCGGGTGACTCAAAGTCCAACGATCTCTTGAACTTGCTCAAGTTCAACTCCAGCCAGCTTGCCGGCGCTATGAGCCCGCTGGCCTCTCTGCAGAACATTGGTGCTCAGAGCCCGGGCCCTCAGCTTCACCCTGCACAGCAACAGTCTCGCTCTGTCTCGGCCCAAGATCTGGTCGCTTCCTTCCACCAAAAGCCATCGAGCGCCTCTTCTCTGCGTATCTCAATGCCTTCGCCTCAGCCCGACCAAAAGTCACAGCAGCCTTTGGGAGACGCTCAGAACTTCCTGCTCGGTCTTCTGAACCGTCCCAAAAACGGTGCCGCTGCTGAGTCCTTGTCTCCAGCCATGCAGCCCGCACGAATTCCTGAACCCTTCATCAACGAGCCCACTCCTTCGGCCGACGTTGTTGACCCTCAAGACCCTTCTGTTCGCCTCTTCGGCAGCGTCGGATCTCGCGAGACTACTCCATTTGAAGGCCCTTCTCACGCAAAGAAGCCCGTCTTCACATACGTCAACCCCTTCGAGCAGATGACTGCTTCGTCGCCTAGGCCCGCTTCCAAGGCTGAGGGTCCTAAGCACCAGCGCGACGTCTCTCAACCTGAAGACACCGACAACGGTCCTCCTAACGCAAAGAACCGCAAGATCACGTCTTCCCTTCCCTCGCCAACTCCTTCTCCTCGCCCTGCCCAGCCTTCGGCCGATGCTCATCAAAGCGTGTCCGAGGCCCTCAGTGGTGTTGGCGAGAAGGTCGACAAGCAAGTTGAAAAAGCACTTGCCCAAGCCGACGGTGCCATATCTTCTGCCTCGAAAGAGCAGACCAAGGCCCCCGAGGAGGTTGCCGACAGCTGGGAGAGCGCTGATGCCGACGAATCTGGCAAGGACAGCAAGGACTACGCTGTTCGCGTCTACAACTTCCCAATGAGACCTTTCGTCTCCATCACCATCAACAAGGACAGCCAGGCTACTGCCATGCGTCCCGACTCGCTCATGGACATTGCTCGCCTGAAGAAGGAGTTTGAGCAGATTGACCGTGCGCTCGTCACCGCTTCGCCCAACCACATTGTGTATGCCATGTCTAAGAGTGGCGGTTTCCGTGTGATCCGCCAGGACTCTGGCAAGGACAAGCAAGTCTTCCGCTCTGCTGCTGAGCGTGTCTTCAACGTCCAGATTTGCACTGCTAGCGGTGCCCACAAGGACATTGAAACAGTCCTCGCAACCGGAGTTAACGGCTCTGTTTTCTGGACCAGCATCAACAAGGTCGAGGGCGATTCATTCGACGACCTGGACCTTGAGTCGCAAGGCTTTGTGCTTCCCCCCGTGCCTGTTCAGGACGACAACACTTCTGGCAGCCCTGTTAAGACCAGAGCTAAGATGAGCTCGCGTAACGCAGACTTCTTTGCCATCTCCAGAGGCAAGTCCATCTACATCATCTCACCTTTCGTGGCCCGCCAGAGCCAGTACACCGACAAGAAGACTCGCGTCGTCGACAACGACAAGTATCTGCAAGAGCGCTGCTTGAAGATCTCAACCGGCAAGGCTGGTAAGGACTTCGCCTTCAGCGGCGACGACAGTCTGTTGGCATCGCTGGACAAGAGCGGACGCATCAAGTTCTGGGATATTCGTGACATGGCACAACAGGCCCGCGAAACGACTCCTCTTGGCAAGCGCCCTGCTCTTGAGCGCAAGGACCCCCTTCTTACTCTGACCACGACCCTTCCTGCTGAGAAGGCAACCCCTTCTTCCATCATGTTCGTTGACAAGGAGAGGCCATGCGTTAAGGGCGTTGCTCTCCGCTATTTGCTTGTTGGTTTGAAGCAGAACCACATTCTTCAGCTCTGGGATCTTGGTCTCAACAAGCCCGTTCAGGAGCTGTACTTCCCTCACGACAAAGACTCTGATGCCATCTGCAGCATCTCCTACCACCCCAAGACAGGCATCATCGCTCTTGGCCACCCTACTCGCAACTCGATCTACTTCATCCATCTGTCGGCTCCTCGCTACAACATCCCTAGCATGGATCAGGCCAGGTACACGACTATGCTTGCTGAGCAGGATCCCAACCTGCCTCGCCCTGAGTCAACCGCTATCATGAGCGGTATCCGCGAGCTGTCTTTTGCTTCAAAGGGCCAACTTCGCAGTGTGGACATGCTCCACACCCCTGTCGCCTCTGAGGCTTCCAGTGATGTTCTCTTTGAGCTCTATGCTATGCACTCTAGGGGCGTCACTTGCATGAACATCAAGCACGAGGACTTGGGCTGGAGCCGTGACAACAAGGTCCTCCACCCTGTTGATGCCGAGGAATCTGGTCTTATCTCAGTCGCTAGCATCTCTCCCAATGCTACTGCAGAGGCACCCGCCAAGTCGGCCAAGGCTGCCGCACCTTCATCTCCCCAGAAGCCCGAGTCCGCCAGACCTGTCGCACCAACTCCAAAGGCCGCTGCTAAACAAGAGCCTGTTATCAACGGTACTTCCAAGGCCGAGAAGTCGAAGAAGTCCGTACCGGAACAGAGCACTGCCGAGGCTGCAACCAACCCTGCCATTCTCACACCTGCTTCATACGCTCTCGCCGCTCGCCCCAAGGTTTCTGCTACCGAGGCCTCTCCTTCTGCTAAGGAACCTACAGCTGCTGTCACACCTTCGCCTGCACCTGTCGAGAAACCTACCAAGGCTGCCGAAGCTACCGCTCCCGTTGATGCTGAGGCTATCAACAAGGCTGTTAGTGAGGTTCTTTCCAGAGAGATCGACTCTCTGTATCGCAGACTCGATGATGACAAGCGTATCCAAGACGCCGCTGCTGCCGCCAAGCAGGATGCTGTGCTCCGTCTTGTGTCCAGCACTTTGACCGATAATGTTGAGAAGACACTCAACAAGATCATCGCCACCAACATCACCAGCAGCGTCATTCCTGCTATCGTCGAGACTAGTTCGACCCTGTTGAACGAGAAGCTTGCTTCTGCAGTCTCCCAGCATGTCGCCAAGATCGTCCCTGGTGAGCTCAAAGCTTCTTTGGCTCCTGCTATCGCATCTGCCCTGCAGGAGAAGGAACTCCAGCGCGTCATTTCCGAGCAGACCTCCTCCAAGCTTACTCCTCAGATCGAGCAGTCTTTCGCTACTGTTTTGCGCAACTCGATTGTTCCCAACTTCACAACCCTCGCCCAGACCTCAACCAAGAAGGCAGTTGCTGATGTTGAGCGCCGCTTCGCCGAGCAGCTTCGTGATGCCGAGGTGCAGCGTCAGAAGGATAACGCTAAGATCGAGCAACTCTCGGACCTGGTTCTCGGACTTTCAAAGACAATTCACGAGATGGCTGCTGGTCAGTCAGCCTTCCAAGAGCAGATCCTCAAGCTTCAGCGCCAGATTGCAGGCGAAAACTCGGCACGTTCTGCCGTCTCTACTGAAGGTGATGTTGTGCCTTCGATTGAAGACCCCGAGTTGGAGGGCATAACAGCCATGATGACCCAGGGTAGATACGAGGAGGGAACCATCCAGTGGCTTCAGTCTGAACGCCAGGGCGAGCTCTTTGACAAGCTCTTCGTCCGCATCAACCCCCAGTACCTGCAGAGACTCAGCCCTCTGGTGTCGCTGTCTGTATCGGCTGCCTTGACTTCCTCGTTCGAGCAGCACGTCGACGAGCGTCTCTCTTGGCTCAGCACCGTCCTGTCGACCATCAACCTCGCTGACCCTGAGATCAGAGAGGTAGCACCCAAGATTATGGACGTTCTCCAGCAGCGCATGCAGGGAGCATACATGTCGATTGCCGAGAGCAACGTCCAGGACCCTGCTCTGCGCGTCGTCTCTACTCTATCTCGCCAGATCAACGAGATCAAGAACCAGAGCCAGAGCTTTCGCTGAGCATGATCTTCTAATAGTTCTTCGATGAACTTTGTAACAACAACACACGAAGGCCACGGAGCTGAAACATGCCCGAGCCATTGACTCCAGCACGACGCGTTTACTCTCAAGACTGATGACTTGATGGGGGATGATACTCTTCCTAGGTCGAAGCTCGCTTTGCATAGTGGCCTCGCGGCATACAAGGAGTGTACATGAGGCTATGACGGTCTGATGATGGCAGCAGAAGGAGAGAGATTGATGAGCATAGCCTCGTTGACACCGAAAGGAGGAAGAGAGCAGATAGAGGAGGCTGCTCCGATAGTCAAAGTCAATGAAACGTAATTCAGGTTAATCTCGAATCTCTGTGCCTCATGTGAGAATGAATATTGTTGTGCTTTGACGGAATTATGACGATGTGTGAGGCTCTCCAAACAGTGGGGAAAGCACATGTCAAAACACTCCATCTTTTGGACAAAACAGCAACTGCAACCAACAACCACAAACGCAAAGATGCTGTCTCTACCATTACTCGCACCTCAAAATGTAAGCTTTAGAATCTCTAATTGTAAAGAAGGCATATCAACAAATCACAGGAATACTCCTTCTTCCTCTCCCCCTACCTACGCCCACCCTCCTCCGACGGCCCTCACAACTCCTCCGCCGACAACACTGCAGCCCAGCAATCCCGTCGCCAAATCCAACAATCCTCAGCGCCGACCCGCCAATCCCTCGCCCAGCTCCTCGCAGACGAACAAGCGATCTCGCACCGCAAACACAACATCCGACGTTTCGGCGCAGGCTGGATAAAGCCACCCGGAGTCGCAAAAACACTACAAGCAGAAACTGAAGAAAAAGCAGAAAGAGAAGAGCAAGAGGCATTGCAGAGGAGAGAGCAAATGATGATGGATATGCAGGCGCAGCAGGAGGCCGAGGAAGCGAGGAATAGAGCTGCTGCTGCGGAGCAAGAGGCAGAAGAGGGAGAAGGGGACGAGGAAGAGAGGGATTTGGATGAGGAGATTCCTGATGCTGACGAAGAGGAAGAGGAAGATGAGGATGAGGATGAGGATATCACTGATTCGGAGGACCAAGAGGAAGACGAGGAAGAGCAGAGTGAATTGCAATCGGAGATGCTGCAATCGCAAATGCAGCACAGCGAAATCCCTGTTGCCGAGGACATTACGTTCAATGAGGAAAGCATGTTTGCGGACACGAGTATTGCTGCTTTGGACGAGGAGTCAAGAGAGCAAGAAAGATATCGCCATTTGCAAGAGGCAGAGCTGACTGGCGTGGCTCAAGATGAGTTTGACCTGGGCATTGAGAGGGATCTGGATGACAGTGTGCCAGAGGCTGGCAGTTATCAACATACTGATAGCGAGCTGGAAGATTCGGACGAAGAGAGTGACGAGGAAGAAGAGGGAGAGCAGAGTGGATCGGAACCACAAGAAGACGAGCAGAGTGAGATGGTGGGAGCAGTCATGCAACGCAGTCGCAGCAGTCTGTTGAGCAGAGATGTGAGCTCTTTACTCGACAGCTCTTTTGTCACCAGCAGTCCTGCGCCTGTCGGCCGTCTGAGATCTGCTGGCCATAGACCCAGCCAGAGATGATTGCTCTTTTGCTTTCACGGAACGCTTGCATAGCAGTTTTCGTACTCGTTACAGCGGAGATACCCTTGATTATTGTATTACAATTCTTTCCGTCTTCGTAACCCATTGCTTTCGCGTATCTTCATCGCTTTCTGTACAGAGAATAGAACAGAAGAAACTCCAACCAAACAACGCCGTCGCTAACACAACCAAGAAACCCCAATTCATGTACACCAACAGAGCTCGTATGTTGCTCCCCTTAGAACAACCAGACATACCAGAACAAAGCAATGACAAAGGCAAAGAACAGAAGCCACACCTTCCATCCCACACCCGTGCTCTGTGCCATACGCAACATACGATTCATCGTCCCCTTGAGTTTATTACTCGTATTCGAGAACTGATCGTTCATCTTTTCCGCGAGCGCGGTCGAATCGCGGATTTCGTCGCCGATGCGCAGAGTCAGCTGTTTTCACACCACATCAGCATTCTTGTCTTCCGGATATCCTCTCTCTGGGTCAGGGTGTCAAGACTCACATCCTTCAACATGCCAACCTTCTTGCTCATCTCCGACACTTGCTCATCATTCTGCGATTCCAGCTCGCTCAGCACGGCATCGCTATAAGCACCGCGTTTATCAGGTGTTGCTGTACGGAAACTAGCTCCCGAGTTTGCTCTTTCTGTGCTGTTGCCGGGGTATGCGGCAAATGTGTTGTTGGAGGAGGATGAGGAGGGGATGCTGTAGCCGTTGCTGGCGGTGTATGGGTTTGGTGATGTCGAGGTTGGGCGTGAGCGTTGGTCGTAGCCGGAGAAGAGGGAGGAGCGGTTGGTGTCGCGCTGGTGGAATCTTTTGAGTGGGAGGTTAGTTTGAGGTGAGAGGACGGAAGGGGTAGGAGTGGGCGGTACCTTGAGGCCATGGTGGATCAGAGTATGAAGGGTTGTGCGATGGAAAAGGACTATTGTGCCATGGAAGTTGATCGTGTTGCTGATGAGGAGAGTCCAGTTGGCCGGAGAGACGTCGCTTCTTTTCGTTCTGTGTGTCGCTCTTTCAATTCTATGGCTGTTGCGACTTGTCTGCTCGGTGACGTTGATCTGGGTCGCTGCTGCCTTTTTGGTTCCAGACCGCAGTCGCTTGCTTGTGCGCAGATTGTTATTGTTCATCAACAAGCTTTTGTTTCACAAGCTGCTGTAGCTCAGTGGTAGAGCGTGGGATTGCAGTTTCTGCAGTCATCCTAAGGTCCGTTGTTCGACCCAGCGTAGCAGCTTTTCTTTTGCTCGGTGCTCAACCAATAAAGAAAGAAACGAGTTTCGCTCTTTCCCTTTTGGCACCAAAGAGGACAGCAACAAAGCAAATCGACGCCAAGTACGATTGGCCAATCCGTCGATTGCTGCTTCCCCCAAGTTACGCACTCGTCGTGCGAATGAGACCGAAGCTTCAAACAAAACGAAGCCTCGAGCCTCAGCCCCTTTTACGACCACGCCTCGACGGTAGCATATCAATGTAGATGTAAGGGGCAAAAGGTAAAGCTGCTACGCTGGGTCGAACAACGGACCTTAGGATGACTGCAGAAACTGCAATCCCACGCTCTACCACTGAGCTACAGCAGCGATTGGATTTTGGCTCGAATTGGTTAGGTATATGATTTTGTGACAGCACCCAGCCCTATCCTGGTATCATATGGGCGAATGATCAGTGTTGAGCAAGTAGCATAACATTGCTACGAAAACAGCTAGCGTCGATGAATTAAGAGAGTAGCGCCAGTTTCCATCCCACCCACCCAAACCCACCGTGGTATCTCAGCATTTTGATGCCCTTTGATCCTCCCAGTACGCCGTGTAAGGCAATGTGTAAACCGAAATAAGACTACCAAGCATATCCATCATCGTTGACTTCTGCACCTTCTGTCCATTCTTCATCACCGCTAGCCTCAGAGTCTAGGAAGTGAGACTCATTGAATTGCTCTTCGCGTGGTCGCTGGTTGTCAATACGAACGTCGACGACATCACAGAAGCCTTGAATGAAGCGTTCGGGTGTGTTTCGCCACTCTTCTCCTCCTTTGGTGTTATCGTCAGAGGCCACCGAGATGGCATCAGAGTCCCTGCGACCACGCTTGCGACGGCCACGAGCCTTGCTTTGGGCCGGTGGAGGGGGAGGTGGTGGTTGGACGGCTGGCTTGACCTCCCGTCTGGCACGACGCTTGGCTAAAGGCTCGTCATCTGAAGCTTGAGAAGTCTGAGAGACTAATGAAGGCTTTCGCACGATAATCTCGACGTGACTGAGGGTGCGACGTGACTCAGCTGCAGCTTTGGCAGCCTGTGCATCTTTCCACTGTCTGAAAGCTTTGAGCGATGCGAGTCTTGTGTCAGGGTCTTGTGGGTAACGTTGGTAGACACGTCGTAGACGCTCAATCCATTGATCTCTGAACGCTGCTCGGTCTCGCCAGGAAATGTTGATGTGAGCTTGCAATACCAATCTTCTCAGGTCTGGTAGTGACTCAGCAGACTCCACCAACGAACGGAAGAGATTCTGTGCGGCATTCGCACCCCTATGAGGATATCAGCATAACCTGAATGCGTAGCTAGACTCTCATACTTACCACTTCTGTAGATGAACAAGCTCCAGAGTTTGCAAAGTCGTTGGCCAGGTTGGAAACTCGTCCTCGAGCAACAGGTTTTCATATTTCGGTTCTCCGAAATGGCGGAAGTGGTTCTCTCGATGGTCATACAGGTCCATCTTCAATGACTTGAGCTGTGGACAAGTTGTTTGCAAATTTGTGAAGAATGCGAGGTCAAGGAATGGATTGTGATCAAGGACCAATTCTTGGATTCTGTGAATTGGGAGTCAGCGGTGTCTCTAAGGGGGAGCGTGGTTTGGAAGGTAGCCTACGAATGACCATGGTTGTCCAAGAGACTGATCAGCGAGTCAGAATCGAGGGGCATGCAATTGATGAACTTGACGGTCTTGAGAGTGCGTGGTAGGTGGAGTAACATGTGTTCAGACAGACGATCACAACTTTCGAAAGACAGCGTCTCCAGGTTGGGTAAGTCAGCAAACACATTGGCAAAAGCAAGTTCGGCGGCAGCCTCCTCCTCGATGTCATGTGTTTCTGGTTTTATTGGAAGGTGTGAGATGGCCAGACGACGCAAGCTTTGGAAAGAAGGTCTCTGTTGGACCTTGGCTATAAATTCAGTGAAACTGCTCGGGTGTCAGTACCAATGACTTGTGCATGCCATCATGTCAAAGTACCTTTGAAATTCAGTTTTACCGTCTTGTCGCTCGACAAAATGTGTGTTCCATCTCCAGCAGTCTAAATGATTGTTGTTTCCATCAAGCGCCTCAAAGAGTTCCGGAGGATATTTCCATTTCGGCAGTCGACCTTCGTACTCATATGGTGGTTCGTCCAACTGATGCGTGATGATCAACGAGGAGAGTCGTGGCAATTTCGATATGGTTTCAGCGAAAGATAACGAGGACACTCTAGCGAAGGATTCCAAGTTGCGGGCAGATACTTCTATGCTGGTGACCTTCATGTTGTATGAGTACAAGTGCTGATCATTGGGTTGCTTGATGATGGTAGAGAAGTCTTCCAACCATCTGGCTGCCAGCAGATTTGGCGCTTTGTAGAAAGCTGTCAGAGCCGGTTCTGAAAAGGCTCGACAGACCTTTCGAGCCGTTCTCATGATCCACGTGTTCGGATGGTTAACTCTTCTGCTTGCGACACCACCTGTTTCGTGCTCGAGTTCGGCAGCGAAAGCATAGCTGAATATCTGCAACAGAATATCATAGGGAAGGGTATCCCACTTAGGTATTATCCCATCACTTGGAATCGGAGGTGCCACAGTTGCGACTTGTTTCGTCGGCCGAGAAGCATGTTTTCCCTTGCGTTTGGGTGGCGACTTTTTGTGGCCGGGTCTCTTTGCAGCTGATCTGGTCTCTCTTGGAGACGGCTTGCTGGTACGTCCATTCGCAGTTTTTGGTCGTTTCTGCTGAGGTTCTGGAGATTGGAGATGCTCGCTGGCGGAATCCTGAGCATCGGCAATGTCGAAGTCGTCATCCGTGTCCGGGTCCATGTACAGACTTCTCTTTCGAGTGATGGCTTGACGAACCGAGCGGCGCTTCGAGGCTTCGGACTCCATGTTGATCCTGCTATTTTATCTGGACCTCTGACAGCTGAGAAATAACAAAAGATCTGTGTCCTTCGATGATATTTTTGAGAGTTCGTGGTTCACAGGGCTGCATCTTTCGAGACCCTGTCCGGCAATCGAGTGGTCCAAGCTTCTGCGGCCTCGTCATCGTTCCTGCAGGCTTCAAGGCTTCTTCACTCATTCCCCTCAGTCGGGTCCTCAAACCACCGCATCACGACGTGGGTTCTGCAGTTGACCACACCATAGTTCGATGTGATGGTGCGCGACCACAACTCATTGCTGGACTTGTGTCAAGCCCTCATCAAGACCCACACGATCTATTAACTTTGAGACTATGCAAAAGACTGTCAACATTCCTAATGTCACGCTATGGTGCCGCAGTTGGCAGGAATGAAGACGATCAAGGCCGATACACGAGCTGCCCTACAGTGGGTAATGGAAGCATTTGATTCGAGATTGTTTTTCTCTCCAAGGGTAACATAAAAAGTAAAGATCCAGCCTACCAGGTTTCCCTTCCTGAACGCCATTTACAACAACAGGAATAGCTCAACGGCATACACACATGAACAGCATCAGAGAGACGAAACAACCTCAGGCCCTGCCAGTAGTGACACCGGTACTGGGCTGCTCGTTGTTCCAGCTCAGGTAAGTATGGTCACCGAGTTTTCTAGTCACAAGTCAGTACAAAAGCACAAGAATATGAGAAGAGAACAACATACCTAGGCCTGATCAGGTGGGTTGCAGTGAACAGAGCGCCCAGTACAATGCAGACGCCAGCGACGACAATGTATGCAATGCCGAGGAAAGGATTGCGACCACCCATGATGGTGCGGGTACTTAGGAGGATGGATTTTGTGCCACCATAAATGGTGACGGGGAAGTCTACAAGGTTTGGGTCAGCAAACAGGCAAAGATGGCAGAGCAGTGTTGCGTACAATCATAAATCTCCATCTGGTATTGACCACTACGCATGGTCGCGGTGTCGTTACGCAGAGCCAGTTTGCTGAAGGCAGGCAGGCCGGCAGTGCGCATCCACACATGGAACTCCTCCCAGTCATGGATGTTCGGAATAGGGATGTCATTGCTGTATTCGGGATACATGACACGCCAGTTCGGTGGAGGGCTCACCTGATCGACGGTATAGACAGTCTTCTTGTACAGATCGCCGTCGCTTGCCCATGCGATGCCCTTGTTGGTCATGGTATAGTTGACAGGGTCGGCATCGTCACGGCCGTTCAGCAGGCGTGGGGTCACAAAGCTGTCGTTGAAGAGCGAATTTGCGATCAGACCGCAAGGATAGTAGGCCTTGCCTGAAGCGTCAAGTTGGAGAGGGTCGCAGTCGCTGCCGTCGATGGTGCTGTTGTCAACAAAGTTGCCCTTGAGCTGGTCGGAACTGAGCGACTTGACGTAGCGGCGGTGGTTCTGGTAGAAGTTTGTGAGTTGGTAGTAGAGGAGGACGGGGGCGGGCAGGTCGTCGGGGATCCAGAAACGCAGCTGACACACGGGAGTGTCAATCTCGACGGCGCCGTTGTGGTATGGGATAGTCTGGTTGTAGGTGCGCCATTGGGGAGCCTGCGAGGGAGTGGTGGCGTTCTTGAAATGGCTCGAAACAAGGTCCGAGGGAATGGTGCTGAAGGTGTCGGTGGCATCGCGTGTGCAGCGCTGGTACTCTATCGACAGCTCTTGGACCTGCGAGCTCGCCCAGAGCAATAGTCCTCCTAGCGGGGCAAAGATGACTCCGACGGCGAAGAAGAGAGGCAGCACTGTCTTGGGGGTGAGGATGGGCTGCCAGGCCTTCAAGCGCTGCTGTCGGAAGGCCGTGTCTGTGTTGTCGCGGTCAATGGCTGTTCGCGCACTCGAGTCGATGGCTGTGTCGGGGTCGACCTACTGGGTGGTCTCCTGCTCTTTTCCTTCTTGCCATCCTGCCCTGTCTGGCCCTCCTGCGAATGCACCGAATCCGTATCCATCTGTGTTTGCGACGGACGAGTCGAGGTTGATGCAGCGGCAACAAGACTTCACTCGAGCCTCTCCATCCCACGCTGCGACAACTCCTTAGGGTCGCGCGTCTCAAGGCTACATCCGTGCTCACTGCTCACCAATCCTCGGCGCCGCTCTCTTCCGGCTCCGCCTCCCTGCTTAGGTATTTTTGGCTTTGGCCGTGACGCCTCGTTCTTCACGTGTCCATTTTATTACACGCCGTCAACAGAATTCATATCAAATTGTGAGTCGCATTGCTTCTGACGCTATCTAGAGTGATTCACCCGAAAATCCCATTGGTATCATAGTACCTGTAACGCCGTGTACTGCTGAGCAGAGTGATAGTCTTGAGAGAAGAAAGCCACAAACGCCATTGTCCCATGCCCCCTTGTGTCTGCTCCCATATCATCAAATTACATAGACGTTCGTGAGTCCCGTGGAACAAGAAAGAATAAGGAGAGTCGTAGGAAAAAAGAGAAAGGAAAAATCAAAGGCAGAAAAGAGAAAGAATCCGAAAAAGTAGTCGAGTAGAAAGAAAAGATTGTCAAGTCAGCTTCGTGGGGCTGAAGATGGAGGCTCTCAGAGGAAGGGCTGCATGTGTTTCTCGTCGAGCCAGCCGACTTTGTCGAAGGCTTTGTGCAGCCTGCTGGTTTTGTTGACGTCGATGCCGGTGATACCATGTTCGTCCGCTCCTTTGCAAGCCAGCTGGGCGGCATTGATATTGAAAGACTGGCCCTTTCTCGCATATTCAAGACGGTTGGCAAAGAAGCGACGCTTGATGTAGATGTAATCCGAAGGAGTCAGGACGAGTTTCGAGACGATCGAAATTTCCTTAGGATGAAGGAGACCGCAGTCTTCGTGACCGCTCACATCTTGAGGTGTTGCCTTCCATTCGATATTCGGAAAGTTCACCTGATCGCTATCCAAAGTCGATATAGGTGGGCAGTAATCATTATAGATGGAGTAGTCGCGGGTGACCTTTTCAGCTGGTGCCTTTGCCTTGTTTGCATCATTTGAGCGGCGTCGGAACTTCTTGCTGGGCACATCCAGTGGTGCCTCGCGAGGCGAGACAGATGGCTTTAAAGGTGCTTTGGCAGCAGATACCTTCCTCGTCCGCTTCGGTGGGGGCATCTCAAGCCCACTGTCGACTCTACGCTTCTCCTGCTGAGGTCTGCTTCCCAATGCAATACCGTGTCTTGCGGCAAACATGGCAGCATCGGCTGGCGAGATCCGCTGCAGATCAGTAAGAACACCTGGAGGTGTTTGTATCGGGAAAGTAGGCTGAGGCAAGGTAGCTTTTACAGCCTCGAAATGTTGCAGCCACTCTTGACGAATCGGTTCAACATATCTGTCGGGGTCAGCAGCCTGCCTTGCCCATAGGTCGTTTCTCCCATATCTTGGGATGCTTGGCGAGATTGGTCTTCTCATATAGATGTCGTAAGCTGTCTGTGTCTGCTTTCGCTTTCTGCCAGGTGGATATGACCGTCCGATGGAAGAACCGCTGTTGGCACTGTTAAGAGCATCAGGGCTGCTTCTCACAGGTTCTGTTCGAGAGCGAGGATGTTGAATGGGTTCACACTGGACAGGAGGCTCAATTGGGACAGGCCGAGCTAGGCCACCAGGACCGAGTTGTGATGAAGGGGCGAACAGCTGCTGGTCTCGCTCAGGTAGAATGACAGGCTGAACGGGATGAGCAGAATTTCCAAAAAGGGATTGAGGTTTTGCATCATCGTCAAAAGTCGCTGGTCGATCAGGGAACAATGGATCATCTTGGTTTCTGTTGAATTTGTTCGGTGATGTCAGATGGGCATCAGCTGAACTTTTGTAGTGTGCGACCGCCAATTGCGGAGATGAGGATGGCGATGGCATCTGGTGGATAAGACTCTTGATGGGTGGCAATGTGACATTCTCTCTTCTCATTGATAGAGCGACTTGCTGTTGGTCAAAGACTGGTGAAGATGGTTGAGCAAATGTGTGATTAATCTCATCTGCTGGAGATGGGTATACGCTGGTGGCGGGCGCCTTGCCCTTAGCCATGGGAAGGTCAGTCATCTCTGAGGCCATTTTGTGTGTTTGGTTGGTTGTGGATTGTTGCATCTCCCTCAAGTAGGAATACTGTGAGTTGAAGGCAGCCGAACCCATTGGCTTTGATTCAAAGGCCAATGTTCCGGGGAGTGGATGGGTGAATTTGCTGTTGCTTAGGTTGGGAGAGATTCCGAGTAGAGAAGAGACAGAAGCAAGAGAAGGATAGTGGCGAAGAGGTGTGAGTAGTTATGTCCTCGGAGCAAGATGAGTTTAAATCCGACGCAATCGACTGCAGTTTAAGCTTCGCGCCTAAAAGTCGCTGCCTGCTGAGTCAATGGAACAAGGGCTGGCGGAGCGGTCTTATCAAGTCAATCGGAGGCAGTTAAGCACGATATGACAGCCAATGGAAAAGCAATAGGTTTGATGCGCCCGGGGTTGGTACGAAAGGGTTGCAAGGAGCAAGTCTTGTGAAGATATGGGGAAGGGGGGTTGGATCCGAATGATATGTTCGGGTGAGACATGCAAGAGCGAACAGGCAGCAGTACCTACCTAGGGTCTGCTGACGAATTGATGCGGCAAAGGAACAACGCGGAACATCGAAGCTGCTCGAATAAGAGAAGGCGAATGGCTGCCCAGCAGCGAGCAATTGGCCAACAACGAATGAGCGGGCACGCTAGTCTACGAGTGCGATGCGCCGAATCAAACCATGGCCGACCTGGCTGTGGACGGTGAGGTCGCGCTCCTCCACAGGCAGTCCGGTCCGTTGCTACATTTTTGCGGCGCAAAGCGTTGGTTGTGTTGTCGTGATTCCAAGTTTGAGTCATTCTCCTGCTCTCGGCTCGACTCCGCCTCCGGACCCTGCACCAAGCCCTTTCCGTCTGCGGCTCTGCGAGTCGCATTCACCGACGATGATGCCGCCATTGCTGTCGAACTCTGTCTCCCTAATTATCGCTCATCAACTAAACACGAAACCCCCTCTCTTGCCGCTTGTTTTTCCATCCCCCAAACATGACGCTTTCTGAGACCATTTGGTGTATGACAAACCCAAGGAATGGCGTCAATTGTATCAGCCATTGATCCCGACCATTGGGCAACAATCCGCTTAGAAGAGCATGGGGCTACAGCGCTCGGTCAGAGACGAACTACACGCGATTGAGCGCACCGCCTCGGCGCCTCCTCTTCCTTTGCTCAATCGAGATTGGCCGAGAGGGGCAGATGTAGGCAAGCGCCCAGCTACTATCTGCCCGCTTATCAGGCGGAGGGGACATCAGATCAATCATCCATCACGCATTCGCCCGAGCGGATTCTGCCTGCGTTCGGCGAGACCAACATCACCCCCTCTTGAAGCCCCCGCTAAGCACGCAACCTCAATGCCTGAATTCGGATTATATTCCTTATCCAGCTGAGGCCGTCAGCAGTTCAGTGCCCTGTTTGGGGCTTTCAGACGTGGGTGTACATAGAGCGAGTGATGCCTCTATCGTCAATTGACCCTCCATCGTCGGAGGATTGGATGGCCGACTGACCCGTGAGGCTCATGCATTATGGAATCATTCTTGAGAGCGATTCTGACATGTGAAAGTCAAAGCGTTCTCGAATTGACTTTGGTATCTTTGGCATCTTGATGCATCAACGGCGCCGATGGTGGCGCACCCCCACGCCTGAACGAAAGCCTGCAAAGGTACCCCTCATCTCGCGGCCACCCACCTTCCGCTTCTTCTATGAACGACGGTCACACGGCAGCCCACAGACTATCACCCATCCTGTGAGTGGTGACCTTTTCGTTGATACGTACGCACGCAAGGTGTTCCGTGTTGACTATAGCACAGAATAAACATGCAAATTCACCAAGAAGAGCAGTAGCAAGGTATAATAGACGACTCACATCCAAAGTCTGTGTTTGAGCAATCTGGCCGGGTCGATTGGCGATAGGCCAGACCCCATCAGCCGATGAACACATCTTCTGAAACAATCTCGTGCCGGTGAGTGCTCTCGTTCACGGGATCCCAAGGTAGTATACCCAACCGATGCATGACTTCTTCTCTATTTGTACTGCTTGAAGCGCAATCACAGTCCATTCGTGATCATCTGCACGGTTCTTTGCAGCAGACAGCAGGGCCCATGCAGGTCTTCGGCTCATGACTGCAGCGGATGCGAGTAATCCTCGGATAGCCGTGTTCTCGGCCACCCTGGGTATGGGCAGCGACAGCGAACGCCGCCAGGGTTGGAAAGACGCGACACTCGACTTACGTTCCGGCAATTGGCCTGTTCGGACCTCATGCTCTTGTCGCGGGACAAGAAAGAAGATGTTACAGTCTCCCAATGACATGTCGTCCTGTCGATGCAGATCATGCAGATCCGGTGTATGCCCTGCGCCGGGCGGGCCGCATACTTTTATCGTGGACCTCGTGTGCATGTACAGCGAGCGAGCCACAGTTGTGGCATGTGGTTATCTCGCTTGTCATCTGAACATACTCGGCTACAAGCTAACCTTGTATCGCTTTGCCTAGCTCATAGCAATGTATAAGGCCGGTGTACGAGTATCTTGGTCACCGCAGCGAGCTATAATATCGTGCGTAGTTCGAGGTGACCGGTCGCTAACCTGCTTTTTTTGCCAGATGACTTACTGATTTCAGGTGATCGCGGAAGTAATCTACAAGGACAATAGGTATCCTTAGTGAGATCGATGATCCGCATGACGAGGGCCATCTGAGCGACCACCTCGCGGAATCTGTTCTGTTGTAATCGATGTTCTTGAGCACACGTACCTTCTGATCTTACCAATGGATGTGAGGTCCTCTGGACAGATGCTATGATCTGTCGAACTCTACTCGTTCTGATCAGCTTTATCGTGGTATGAAGCATGGAAATGGTGCGGAAGGCTAAGTTTTGACAAGTAAAATGTGCTAAGCGGACAACCCTGCCCTGAAAACAGATCAATTAAATGCACACCACAATCCTTTAGCTACGTGTCTCTGTAGAAACATACTGACTGTTGAACACGTCGCCATATATACTGCACCAAGAATGGTATCAAAAGGTTGTAGTTTGTCATCATGTACCCGGTTCCGACGGATTTGACTATCTTGACTAAACTTCAACCATCAAAGCACCACTCTCACTCTCAATGATCAATTAATTCGACCACGACGACAATCCTTCTCATCAAAACAATATCAACAAACCTCTCAGTCGCAGCTACAAACTCAACAATGTCACTCCCACAATCACGCGCCTTCATAACATCTCTCATCAAATCTCTAAACCCATCACCATCAGCCACAACCACACCACCAACGACCAACCCCCTCAAACAAGCCTCTCCAGCAGATCGACCAGTGCTATTGACCTTACACGTACTGTTTCCGAACGAACTGCTCTCAGCTCTAGATCTTCTAGATCGCGACTTGGTAGTTCGATTAGTTCCACGATCCGATTCCCAAGTCTCGCCACCAATATCAAATCCAGAACAAAGCAGAGAGGCAGCTCAAGACACAGATATGGAGCAGGACACATCTACCACTCCACACGACCAAAACATGGACATTAGCAAAAAACCGCCAGATTACAAGGATGCAGTCTACTACGTCCGCTCAGCACAACAGCAAACCTCGAATTCACGTTTCAGAGATCCGGTAGCATCAACCTCACACTACGAAGTACGGACATCAAGTTGGAGTTGCTCGTGTCCTGCATTTGCATTTTCTGCTTTTCCTGCAAAGCCATTGAGTCACGAGGGAGAAGATGATCATCATGTTGTGATAGCCGGAGAAGAGGAAGAGGAGTGGACGGTTGGTGGATTGTCGTTGGGTCAGGATGTGCCAATGTGTAAGCATTTGCTTGCTTGTGTGTTGGCGGAGAGGGCAGGCATGTTTGGAGGGTATGTCAAGACGAAAGAGGTCAGTGTGGAAGAACTTGCTGGGTGGGCTGCAGGATGGGGTGACTGAAGGGTTGAGAAGCAAGCAGAAGATAGGTGCAGGTTATATGGACATCACACGGTGTGGGTGGCTGTTGGCAGACTTGCTTTTCATATCATGTTATCTGGAGCCTTGCGACAACAAGACGCCTCGAGGTGATCCCTCGACCGGCGTCAGAATGCGTCCTTTGGTAGTATCCCTCCCTCCTCCGTATATTACAAACGCCTGATGCATGCACGATGTCGCTGTTGGCTCTCGCGTCAATCAAGGTCCAGCAACATCCCTTGAGACACGTCATGTTTTCATAACCTGTGCGTGTTTTCATGTCCTTCATCCCTTCTTCTTGTCGTCCTTGGGGCTCTTGGACTTGTCGTCCTCAGCCGGAGCATCGCCATTCAGCGCAAGGTTCTCAGTCTTCTTGATGGTCTCTTTCGTCTTGTCCTCTTCATTCTTTTGCTCCTTGTCATCAGCTTGTTGCTTGTTCTGAACCTTGTTCTCGATAAGATCGTGGAAGGCGGTGATGGCGCGAATCAAACTGCCGAGGTAGATGGACATAAGCTGGTCGTTGGTCTTGATGCTCATGGCGCGGGCAAGCTCCGAGTCGCCGGCTGCCTGAGGACCGGCGAGACCGATGGGGCCTGCGGTCTTGGGAGTCGAGAGGTTGGGAAGAAGATTGAAGACGTCCTGGAGGTTACCGAGAATTGCATGGTTGACCGGAAGCTCTTCATCAACAACCTTGTCGAGATATCTGCCGATGTCTTGCAGACGGTGGTGCAGGCCTTGTAGCGACTGCAATTGCGATGTCACACGAGTCGAGAGGGTACCGACGGCAACATCACGAATATCACGGAGCAAGTGCTCAACTCCAATTTCTTCTGCTTCTTCGGCTTCGATGGTAGAGGGTGTGTGGACGAATGTCTTTGCGGTTGTGGTTCCGTCCTGCGATGTATGTAAGTCTTGGGTCAAAGAGTGTTCGAGGTTTGGTGCAAACATACGTCCTTGATCTCGTCAACAGCAAAGTAAGCATCGGTTGGTACGCCAACGTCCTTGGGCTGAACGTCAATGATGACAAGGAGGGGGTTAGGTGTGTAGCGCTTGAAGAGCTCGTTGATCTCCAGATCTGAGGCGCGCAACTTGGGGCCGGTGTGGTACCATCCGATCAGCTTCTCGCGGGCGTTGACCTTCTTGAACATGTCGTTCATAGATTCGATGTAGTTGTGGTCGAGGAACCACACGGACGGGTCCTTCTCATCTTCCTCGAATGGTACTGAGAGGCGACTGTCAGTATGTCGTGTGCACAGCAGAATGGTGGCGACGTACCAGCGAAACTGTTTGATACTCTCACGTTCTTTCCATCATTCTGACCCAGCAGGACACCGACAACTCGCTTGCGCGTGCCCTTTGCTGAGCGGGCGTAGTGATCTGTCGCCGAGAGCAGCACTAACGGCGCTACTGATACGTTCCTGTTGACGAGTGACAGTGTTTCTGCGGTGGTTGACGGCATGGCGGATTAGATGTGCGATGTCGTCCGAGAGATGATCGAGATGGATTACAGGCGACAGAGGATGGAATGTGTACAATGTATGATAGTGAAGCTGCAATTGCGATCAAGGATGACGATGCGCCATCTGTCGGAGCTCTCATCCCCGAAGACTTGGCATCATTTGTTTGCGAGCTGAAGCTTACTCTAGCCTCCATTACTTCGTAACAACCTTCTCTGTGACTTTCTGATGAATATCATGTGATTTACTTCCAGACGAAGCCATAGCGAATGCTCCGGCCTGTGTGCAACTGCTAGCCATGCTAAAGGGTATCTGATGTAAACCACAGCCTCGTAGACGCCTCTGTCCCCCAACCTGACCCTTCTGACCATCTCAAATCTGCATCGATGTCTCCTCGTCCCACCACTGTCTGAATATCTGTAATCGCTGCGTCCTTTCTCTAGCCAGTTCACGTCCAGCGTGTGTCTGTCTCTTGTCAGCTGCATTCCACAACATGTACAGGGACATCACGAACCTTCATCATGCTCTCCAGCCTCTCGAGCTTCTCGACAAAGTGCTCAATGCTCCCGTCCAATCCTCTGTCCGATTGCTTGACTGCGCCGAAGGCAAAGCACCTTCCAATACCCACTGCACCTATCGCATCCAGCCTGTCGGCATCTTGGACAATCGCCAGCTCCGGATGCTGATCTAGCACCGCCTTCATCATACGAGGGTTCTTGACCTCGTTGGAGAAGGAAACGTTCTTTGCGATAAGCTGAACCTTCATCGCAAGATCTGGGTTTGCTCCGTGCTCCAGAAGATGCTCCGCAATCTGGTTCTCTGGATTCTCTCCAGGTTTATGGTACTTGTGATCGCCAACATCATGCAGCATCGCCGCAAGAAGAACGGCTTGTGGATCGTAGGGAACTCCCTGGAACGACTGTGTCTCTCGGTCTAGAATGCGTCTTGACAGGGCAAAGACTCGTGTGACGTGCTTGAAGTCGTGCGAGGCGTCGTAGCGGGACATGTACTCCTGCACAAACTGCTTGGTAGGCCAAAACAGGTTCTGCTCCAGTGGAAATATTCCTTCCAAGTCGGCAAAGGCTGGGGGCTCCAGAGGGATTTGCTCCTCGACGTTGACGGGCGTGGGCTCTGGGTTGTTGGGGCCTCGAACAATGCCTGGTATCGGTGGCCTTGTTACCTTGCCGGGCAGATTGTAGCGCATACGGTATTGATCAAGCCAGTCTCTGTCGAGGTTTGGCGGAGACTTGCCACGATATTGTGGCATCTCAGCGTACATGGCCAGCGCTCTAGCTTTGAGTGTGTTTCCATGCACTGCCTCACCCCTTGAGATTTCAGCCATGTGCCAATCATGCAAAGCGTCCTCTAGTTCGGGCATTTTGGAAGCGGTGAGTGTGACCTTGGCCCTGTAGGCACCATGGTTGTGCTTGTGATCCTTGATGACTGTGACCCATTCGTCAGAGAAGCGTCGCTTGGAGATGAGAATCTTCATTGGACATCCAGTCTTTCGGCTCATGCGGTTGCGCACTCTGGTTCCTGGATTCTTCTTGAAGTGGTCACGAAAGTAGCCGCCCATCTCACAGGTCAACAAGACCTTGTTGGTTTCGCCATTCTAGGAGCTCAAGTCAGTCAACTGTGAGAGCGCAATCGGACACTTTCAAAATAGTACCGCAGCAAACTAAAGCAGGGCAGGTGGTGTCAGAACACGTCAGGCCGAGGACTGGGAACACAAATCACAGCAAAACAGAAATTGCTCACCTTATCCTTGTATGAATGGCCAATGACCAGGACATAACCGTGATCCTTTGCAAAGTTCTTTACGGCCTAGTCGACAATTAGCATCATCTGTCGTGGATTCGCAACGAGACTGATTCCTGACATCGATGCCTTCCTGCTTGGTAGCGTGCACTTCAGGCGGCGGAGGAGGCAGTTCAGTACGGCTCAAGTCAGCCTCCCATCTTGCACGTAACTCGGCAACTCCATCAGGTGTGTTGCTATAACGAATGAACACGGTAATCTTTGAATTTATTGTCAGATCCGCTTACCTGTAGACCTTCTGCCATTCTGCTTCGGTCCAAGTGGTATTGGAACGTTCGTTGGACGCGGTCGGGGAAGGTTGGTGCACAGGACTTTGGTCAATTCGGTTGTTGGAGTTGGCAGGCCTTGTTACAAAATCACATTGGCTGCATTTCCAAACGCGTGGATTGTAAGGCTTACGTTAGGAACGGTCTCTGAGCAGTCGCCGCGGAAGAGGTTGGTTGGTGAGCTGGACCAGGGTGGGCGAGATTAGGGAACGACGACAGGACAAATTGCATGAAATTGGGAGTCGAGCTGGCAGGGTTGTCTGAGGGATTCTGAGCCGAAGACTCGTCTCCGAAAGACGAGTACATGTTCTGATAATCCATCAACGACAGTACCTCGAGCAGCCAACGCGTCGGTGTGGGAGTGGGAAAAGGCAGGGAGGAGTTTGCTTCAAGAACAGCTTCTCGCGCTCAGCGGGCTCGATGACCATCTGCCAAGTGAGAACCGGGGTATCTGCATGCCGAGGCTTCTCCACAAGACGAGCGCATCACCGAGCTGGCCGTTCGCATGCTCCTTGTTTTTCGCCTGATACTGAATGCAAGTGTGTAATCTGCATCATCAAGACCATGGAGCTGTATAGGCAAGTGTCACACACGACACAGGAAGCTCTTGCTCTTCCGCCCAAGTACCTGCGCATGTATGGCGACTTTGTAACCAAGAATGCCAGTGCCGTCGGCCAGATCGAGGGTGCTTTGCGCTCCTTGACCTATATCCTACCAGGTACCGGATCTTTCCTTGGGCTGATAAAACACAATCTAATATGTATCAGGTCGTTTCCGCGATACCGAGATTGCGTCCGAGTCTCGTAAGAAAGAGCAGCTGTTTCTTCCATTCGACTAGAGCTGAACCAGGCGCATAGTACACTCGAGCGTCCAACTACTTTCCATATATCATGACTCCCTCCTTGCGCGTGCGGTGCAGCGTCTGCCGGCGCTACAACGCCCTCATCCCTCGCCACACACCCGCTATACTCGATTCTGGGCCCAGCACTCACCAGCCTACAAACGACTCGCCATGCTTCTGCAGGTGGTACAATATACTGAGCTACTGTGCGAAATGGCTGCAAAGAGAAGGGGAGAGAAGGCAAGGTGGAAGGTCGTCGTACTTCTCGAGAGTGTCAAGGCTCTGTGCAGGCTGCTTCTTATGCGTCTGACCAACTCCCGACCGCTGTTGAACCCACCATTGCCCGAGCGCGAGGCAGACCCCAGCACATTGGAGGACAAAGATGGCAGCGGACTGGAGTCACCACCCTCTGAGAAGTCCGAAGAGACCCAATGGACAATGCCTAGGACCGGACTTTCGCTACCAACCCTGCCATCCTCTTCCGACATTTCAGGTTATCTATTGTCCAAAGCTCTGACAGCGGACGACATCAAACCGCCAAAGGCCTTGTTGCATCGAGTCAACGGTATGGGTGAATTGGCAGAGGTCCTCTATATCCTTCGGCCAGTCATCTATGCTGCAGCAATGCATTACTGGGCAACCAAGAACAAGAAGAGCTGGCAGCCTTGGGTGCTGGGTGTCACGATAGAGTACGGCGCACGCCAACTGGCAAAGAAGGACCTTCAAGAACGAAGAGCCGGCGGCCTCCGCGCATTGACAGCACTTGAAAAAGAAGAGTTGAAGAGACGAGGCTGGAGCCTTGGATGGTGGCTGATGAGAGGTGCATTCTACGAGACATTCACCAAGTACGTTCACACTGCCTCACCGTATGAGACTCTGACTCTACTAACACGTATGAAACAGAGCATGGATTCACTCAGTGACCACCAAGCTTCGAAACAAACCGCTGCTCGACATGGCTGGCGGCATCATTGAAGATTATGAGTTCCTGTGGGACCAGTATTATTTCCCTACTGCAACATTGTAGTGACGGATGAGGTATGGTTGGAATGAGGTTAATCTTTAAGCTTTATGAGGAAGGAGTTTGTTTGCAGGTTATCTGAAGGCTGGGTATCTGGGGTCGTCATGGTGTTATGGTACATGATTGAAGTTAACAGATGATACCTCCCTATACCCATCACTAGACACAATGAAGTCTTGTGATTTTTCTCGTCTCACAGTCACTTCACACAATACATGCTCACACGTGCCTTTGTTCCCACTGATGCGTCCCTTCAGTGCATTCTTTGACTTTGAGCAGTCGTCTTTGTGTTGGAGATAAGACACGGAGCTTGGCTTGTGACCGACCGTTCGTGCTGTCTGTGCTCACTTGCTCCACCCCGCATCCGATTCATCATTGGTCATCGCAGCCTGCGCCTGACTCCCTCCTCCTTCCCTTCTTCATCCACCGCAACACCTCTACAACCCTAGCTATCTCGCATCACTCCAACTTTCGTCAGCTACCTCCTCACCACAACAAACAACCTTTCACATCACATCGCCAACATGAGATCCAAGTTCAAGGACGAGCACCCGTAAGTCGTTGCCTATCACCGAGGCGGTCAAGGGACGTCACGACTAACACGCCATCACAGCTTCGAGAAGCGCAAGGTGCGTTGCTTCGCCCATCCAACGATCTAAGCCCCACAGTAATACTAACGACCTCCAGGCCGAAGCAGAGCGCATCCGTCAAAAGTATACGGACCGCATTCCTGTAAGCCTTTGTCCCGCATCCGTCGCGACGCTTGAAACAAGACTGACGTCGCGGCAACACAGGTCATCTGCGAGAAGGTCGAGAAGTCGGACATCGCCACCATCGACAAGAAGAAGTACCTGGTCCCCAGCGACCTCACTGTCGGACAGTTCGTCTACGTGATCCGCAAGCGCATTAAGCTTTCGCCTGAGAAGGCCATCTTCATCTTCGTCGACGAGGTCCTGCCCCCCACCGCCGCCCTCATGAGCAGCATCTACGAAGAGCACAAGGACGAGGACGGCTTCCTCTACATCACGTATGTGGTCTCATGTTTGGTTTTACAAGACAAAAGCTTACACGTTGCACAGCTACTCGGGCGAGAACACCTTCGGCGAGGCTGCCTGAACTACACTCGACTCTCTTTTTCCTTACTATAATGCTACGACGATATCCTTACACGGATCACCAGGAGTTTCGGAGTCTTTGGGAACCACGACGGGGAAGGATGATTTGAGGGAGGATTGCGAATACAGCAACGGGACAAAGCAGGACAAGGCAATAGCTCGTCATCTCTAGAGAGCTCGTCAAGGACCACAACTGCTCAGATAGCTCAGTCTTCCGTTTAGCTGCTCACACGCACATGCTCTGAATGAAACCCCTTACAGATTGATATGTCCATCTCTCGTTCCTTTGGCATTGCTTGTGATAGTCGCGCATAGTCCGAACCAGCGATATTTCTGCGACCAGTATGAGTCACTCGCTTTGTTGACATGTAATCAAGGGATATTCGAGATAGGCAGATGATAAACAAGTCGATCTGGCGGGTGCCCATCACGGTAGACCTTATCGGACCATATCAACCTTATCTCCGACGCGTCATGGGACAGGTTGAGCGGGCCGGGCCCGAGTCAAAATGGCCGGCCGCGGCTTGCAGGCTGCAGAACTTCGACCAAGTCCAACAGCAGCACCAGATTCGCGATACTCGAGCCTCGAAAGTGCGCTTAGATAATACAATACAATCCACGACAACTTTATCGTACAAAGCCATCCATCATGTCTGCCCCACGCTACGCATACATCATCTCCAAGTCGGTAGTGTCCTGCCACGGATGCATCAAGAGAAGGAGTGACTGATGGGATTCGACAGAAACCTCGACCCAGTCTTTGCGTTGTTCATTGGAGGATCCGCAGCAGTTGTTCGCATCAACCGCGACGAGAAGGAGAAGGGCAAGACGACACAAGATACGATCGAGTCGCTCAAGAGAAGGATCGGAAAGGCTACTGGCTTGAGTTCATGAGGTCTGCTGCTCTTGAGCAAGATGCAAGACAGAGGTTGACGAATTCTTTATTCTCAAACAAGTCTGCTCGCCAGGCCTGTATCTCGAGAACATGAGCCCGACCAGAACGACAATGCTTCGAGGGATCTGATCTGGACAGCCAAAAGTGCTAGCAGCCAACAGATCGACCGCCCAGAAGGAGATGGAGACGTAGCACATTTACGCATCAAGACAGAGCTTTGAGGGTCTTGTAAGCATACGCTGGGGCCAGTGAAGGAGATCAGTGAAGGAACTAGATGTCCTTGAACACTCCGCGGGAAGGAAGCCGGCGATAAAATTACTTTATAGAAGGAGCACTCTGCATGACAAAAGATGCAACAATGGACTCAAGACTTGAATGCCCCTGTAAACTACTGCCGTTCTCGAAGCGATGTCTTCAATAACATATCACAAATAAGATTGGCATATCATATAAAAAAGTGATCTATCGCGTGCGCGTCATTTCACTCCGCAACGCGTCTTCTCAGTTCGTTCAACACTCACTTCAGCGTTCACACGATTGTTTACACAGCACTCACTCGGTCGCCGAGTCGACATACCAATCCATGGAAATGAACAAGCACGACACACCCCTCCTCTGTTCCGCAGCAAGGTGCTTCCTACGACGACGAAACCAACAATGTCTCAACGAGGCCGAGTGGTGATCAACCTTGAAGATACACCACCGCCGCCCGAGTCCCAAAGTCGCCATGTACCACAGCGTATACCAGACACGATATTCTTCACATCCTCAGAAGAAAGCGACAGTGATAACGAGCTCGAGGTTATCTGGGATACGCGCAAGCAGCGCATCGACAAAGAAGCACCAAACACCAAGATCAACACTGCTCACCTCTCGACTACGAGTACATCCAAAGCAAATGCTCGACCCCCTCAGCCACCGCAATTGGCTCCAGCGCAACAACAGCAACAGCAGCATCAGCATGGCCGTAGTCAACCCCAACAGCAACAAAGACATGGCCAACAGTATAGCAGGGTTTCGATCGCGAACCCAAAGACACAAGCTTTCCTCGCCGCTCTCTCAAAGTCTGGTCCCTCTACATCTTCGAATTCGACCTCGATCTCAACCTCGACAGCTGCGCCAGTTCATACAGCTGGCTCAGCACTGCGGCGTTGGAAAACCCCATTGCTGTCGTTGCAACCTCAATTCTCGAGGCCTGTGCCAGTAGCGCCTGATCGATCCCCACGACCATATACCTTCATACCGACCACTGTAGAAGCCCCTTCGCCGGCCACTGCGAAAGGGTCAACAAGGCCCTCAGACTCACGATCTACACAGCCTGTGAGAAGACAAGCCGTGGCACCAACATGGACTCCTCCTGTCCAACCCGAGCGAAAGGAACCGCCCTCGTCAAGCACACCACACTCGAGAGCTTCATCAACGAATGTCCGTAAAGAGAATGCTGTCAGTCTCGGTCACCTTGAAGAGGTCTTGCCAATATCGAAAAAGGGAATGTCACCTGTCGCGCCTTCCCCTACAAATTCTGTCGAATCGAAGCCATCGTCTATAGCGCTCAACTCGTCTCCGCGCAGACCAAAAAACCCGCAAACATCTCCATTTCCACGCAGGAAGCCCGCGGCACTGCGCGCGAGCCCAAGAATGCCCCTGTCTCTGGTTGATCTGACGCTACCACCTGCAAAACACTCTCCACGGAAACCTTTGCTAGCATATTCCGTCATTGAGATTGAATCGTCGAGTGAAGACGACATCGCGGCACCTGCTGCTAGCTCAAGCCTCTCTAGTAATCCTTCGAACCAAGGCTCGCCTCGCACTGGCAAGAGGAAGGTTGTGGAACTTGACGACGAAGGACCTGTGAAACGACTCCGACGCATTCGCTCTTCTATAACCCAACCAGAAAATTCAGCACCGTCAACTAAACCAAATATTTCTCAAGATGAGGTTATGGATTCCGTGGAGGACGATCAACAGACATTCGCCTTTTCGACAGATTTATCCAAGATTCGACCATTTGCCAACCGGTTCGGACAGCCTTTCACCCCAGAGGAAGATGCATTGATCATACATCTGAAAGAGGTCATCTGCATTCCTTGGAAAGACTTCGAACGCTTCTTTGTAGGAAGGAAGTGGCCCTCGCTGCAGACGAGATTCTCAAAAGTCTTGTCAAAACGCACTACACGAGCATTTACCACCAAACCCCTCTCCCAACTCGCTACCGTGAATCAACCGTCTTACGTGAACCGTGAATTACGGCGCGCGACATATGCTCAAGCAAATCCGGTGGACTCTTCTGTAGCGACTCAAGAAGAAGATGTCGAAACTCCGGATGACCCAAATCGTTGCAGGCGAAGCGTGCGACCTCTGAACCATCTCGTCCGACACCGAGAGCTCGGTTCCACCCTTGGCCGTGAATGGCCGAGGAAGTTTCAAGCAGGTGTCAGGGATCTTGTTTACAGCAGCATGGGTGCACAAGCCTATATGGACAATGCATCGGGCGATGTGTCAACAATCGCATGGTCCCCCGATGGCGAGTCCTTTGCTGCAGGCGCGGTCGCTGTCACCGACGTACAATCCGTTGATTACAACAAGCCTCGAAATCTTGTCATAGGGAGTGCCACAACACAGATAGTTAAGGAGCTTCCGCATCATACCATAAAGTGCCGATTACCTGACGGTCGCCGGAGAGAGTTGTTCTCTACTGTACAGGCAGTGGCCTTCAGTCCAGACGGCAAATACATGTACTCTGCCGGTATTGACCGGTATCTTCACAAGTACAGGGTTGATGGATCTCCACTCTGTACTACGCTTGTTCATAATCGCAAACATGCAGCATCGGTGGACTTTCTTTCTGTTAGTAACAACGGACTAGTGGCAACTGGAAACGCTTCTTCTGGTCTTGATTCGATCCAGGTCTATCCTCATCATGGCGACGAACTGTCAGAGCCTATCTGCTTTTCAGGCATGTCGCAGGCTAACAGGCATCCATCCGCACTAAAGTGGGGTGTAGCACACCACCATCAGGATTACCTGCTTGCAGGCTTCTCAACCGAAGCTGAAGTAGTCTATGCCGAAGACGATCATCGGGACAAAGAAGGAGAGGTTGCCCTGTGGAACATCAGAACGCAACAGAGAATGGAAACCGACGCTCCGAATCGCAACGTCTTCGATCTTGCATGGAACCCAAATTCGGGTGGCAACTCGTCTATCTTCGCAGTGGCTAGCCGGCCGATAAGTCATGTCAGCCATGGGATACGATCAGTCGTACGGCTCTACTCACCTCACCAGACTCGTGCATCACACACCATAGAGCTGGACTGCCCAGCATGGGATATCAACGATGTCGTCTATTCGCCTCATGATGACAACCTTATCGCCGTGGGCAGTACTGAAGGTTGTGTTTACATATGGGATGTTCGATATGCGAAACACGGCCAGATGCCATTGAGAACGCTCAGACATGGGGAGTCACTTGCGATCATGAATCACGAGAAAAAGAGGTGGGAGGTCGATACGGGCGTCCGATTCCTGTCCTGGGGATCTGAACGAGACAGATTATACACTGGCTCCTCCGATGGAGTCGTCGCGTGCTGGGATCCATACCGCAGCGATTCAGACAAGCATGTCCGTGATGTCGTGCAACTCAACTCTGCCGTCATGTCAGGTGCATTCAGTCCAGACTTTTCTCGTCTTTTGATCGGAGAGGATGCGGCCAGGCTGAATTTGCTCTCTGTTGGTAATGATGGAGCCTGGTTCAACAGAACAACCACAGCAAAATTCAGTGTCGAAGAGGCACCTCTGCAAGAGGATGAGATTGTTACCCCAATCCTCTGGGATTGTCAGAAAATGTTGATTTCTCAAGAACTTGAGGTCAAGCCAGCGGGAACTATGCCCTCCAGACAAGTGGTTCAAGGTCCTAACTACAACGGCCCCTGGCGTCTCACCGCAGAGGCAGCCGCAAAGGCCCCCGAAGAGATACTTAAAGAAACCGCCAAAGCCAGAGACGACAGCCAGAAGTTCCAGGACAAGGTCCTCATGTCCCTCCGCCGGCGTAAGAAGCAAACCCGAAAGTCCGGTCTTCGGCCAACCGATCCTTGCGATCTCGAATGTGGTTTCATTCCTCTGCCAGACGATTACCATCCAAAAGAGGTATGGCTCTCAAAGCACATACCAGATCCCAGCAGTGGTTGTTTCAAAAAGCCAGCCGATATTGCTTGCTTCCGCTGTGGCAAGAAGCCGGCCATCAATCCCAAAACTCGTTTGATCGGTTGTAAGGACTGTGGCATAGTATGGAGGATCGGAGCATTGGGTTACGAGGTCATTAAGCAATACAAGAAGGAAGGAGCATCCGTGACTAAGGTTGAGGAAGGAGTGACTGATGACAGTGTCGTTGACCTCTGCGACTCTGAGGATGAAAGAGATCGCTTCGTTCGTGAGGTTTCGGCAAGCTCGACCGACAGCGATGTCGACTGATAGCCATCACGAAGTTCCCTGCTAAGTGTTGAGGGGAATGCGTGCGAAATAGCACCGTACATACTCGAAGGCAGAAAGAAGCAGTAATAACGAATAAAAGTATTCCATGACACGATCAAGAACACGCTGAATGCGATCTCCTCCTTTCTCGCGACCACCAGCATCTATGTTTGTGGAACGAGTGTGTCCAGTGTCATTGCTAAAAAGAAAAGTGTGGTATCTAGTTTCGTCTAATAATCACAATCCCCCCCTTGACCATGCCCTTCCCAAACCAGAAAACGCCTTGGAACCATCAACCATCATCCACCATCGTAAACTTCACCGTGTGCTGAGTAGCAGGATGCCAATCTTGTCATGTGTATTTACATGTCAACCAGCTTCTCCTCTTCAGACTCATCATCACCATGGCCTTTGTTTGAGAACCCTTGACCGCGCAGAGTTTCGTCCATTTGACCCACAAAGCCTTCCATGTCTTCTTCAGTGATGCCGTCGTCGTAGGGTCCTGTTGAATCATCCTGCTGGCTGCTAACTCTACTGCTGGGTGCTAAAGGCAACCCAAACACCCAGGTATCATCTGTCTCTTCGGTGTTGCTCTTGGAATGTGAAACAGTGAAGAGGTTCACAGTAGGTAAGCGGTGGTAAGGCATATAAGACGGGTTAGTATCCTTGTCTTGATGAGGTATCCTCACTTTCCTCTTGCCCAGACTGACAGTGGAAGCACGTCTTTGTTGTTGAGCAGGCGAGACATCCCAGACACAGAAGCCGTGGGGACCTTCGCGAGCACAGCCACCATGAGGGCCTTCTGGTTCGAGCAAGCCGAGTACTGATGGTGGTAGCACGTCGCTGGACATGGTTGGGAGAGATTGTTGTCCGAGCGGCGTCTTCTCAATTGCAGGGCTGACGACAGTCTTTCTGTGCTGGGTGTGACTGACATTCTTCACTGCCCACAGGGTGAGCATACCGTTGCACAGAGTCGCAATGGTATCTCTATCTTTGCCATGTTGCCACTGTACACATTTGGGTGCGACAGACTGGTGGCCTGATTGCAAACGGATCTTGTTGTCCTCGGCGTGCCGGATATGATGAGCGCCTTCGGCAGCCATACCAAGACCTTTGGATAGGCCTTGACGTACAGCTCTTCCTCCTGCGTTTCTTGCGGCCACTGAGGCACTGCCAAGAGTACTGACAATGCCGCTTGAGCCGTTGCGTGGTCTAGTAGCCAGACCGTGGATACTCTGCCACCCTGCACGCATACCACTCATGAAACCTCCTGCAGGTGCTTGAACTTCTTCGCGTGGCGATGAACCTGGAGAAGGAAAGTTTGACGGTAACATGACTGTGGGCTTGTATTCCAGTGACTTCATGCCGTACAGGTGCACAGTACCTTTGTCGGTGACGATGGCAATGCGCTCACCGCGTACTGTCCAGACAGCATCGGTCACCGTCGACGGCGACAGCCTGGGAAATCTCGAGACTAGACGAACAGTACCAAGGGAAGACGGGTCCGCTACTGCTGCTCTACCATCTTTGATGCGGGTCAGATCCCAGACTCTCGACTCGTCTCCAATGTGATTGGTAGCAAGTAGAGATAATCCGTTGGGAGAGAACGACAGGAAAGAACATCCATCGTTGAGGTGGAAGGTAGATGGAGGAGGCTGGCTTCCCTTGATCTCGCGCTCCCCGCGTTCAAGCAATTTCTCAAGGTCAATGATTGACACAAGAGCTGGCTCTATAGGTGACGGTGGTGGCTCATTGCTTTGAGCATGAGTAGGCGGGAATCGGTTCTGCTCGGGCTGTGGCGACTGGGGCGACCCGTAGTAGGCGGGATCGCCATTTGGGTTTGCTGGACGGTTGATGTACGTCCTCAGTGCTTGGAAACCTTGCTGAGCGCCTTTGTATATTTCTCGCGTGGTGGTTTTGGCGACACGACTGATAAGGCTGTCATTGAAGGGCGCATCGATCTCACAATTCGGTAGAGGTTGAGCTGGACAAGCATGGCTCGCGATGCCAACAGAGTCCATATGGCCGATAGACCCGGTGGTGCCCTTCAGGGTCATTTGGGAAGACGACTTGAGCGGTGGCTTGATCGCTAGCCAGCGGTCGCTCAAAGCGTACATAGCTCTCTTTGCACCCTTCGATCTTGAAGCTCCTGACTCGCTGGCCATAATCGCATTCCGGTCGTCCGAGGAAGATGACCTGGTCTTCAGGCTTGACCAGTATTTAGCGAGACAGTAGAATGGCTGCTGTTCGGTTGCAGACTGTTTGCTGCGAACGGCGAATACGTAAATTTCTCCACTCACACCAGAGGCAACAAGAACAAAACGTCCTTCGGCAGCGATACTGAGATTGCCAATTGGTGGAGGAGGTGTGAAGCCTTTGGTTGCGACTGGTTGATGGATTCTCTCAGGCTGAGTCTGGAAGAGCCTGCCCACTCGTTGCCATGTTCTCATCGAGTAGACGTCAACAAAGGTGTGATATTCTTTGATGTCGGCAGCAGAAGGCGAAGCAGCGCCACGGTCGAGTACAGGTCCGTGAATGACACAAGCGACCAGAGGGCGAAGATGCTCCAAGGGATCATCTCGAGCCGTGCATGGGAGAATCTTCGCATCGATGACACCACCCTGCAGACCTTCCAAGCGTCCGATCACCTCAGTCTTTTGTCGTTTCACTCTATGAACCTCCAGACCGCCTTCGAAGCCAACAACCACGACAGAACTAGTGCCTGTAGATGAAACAGTCTTGGGTGCTTGCCATGTGTCGAAACCGCAGTAATAACCTCTCGAACCAGCTTGCAAAAACTTGTCCGTGTGGATTGGTCTGCTGAAGTCGTACTCGGCCAGTCTTGAAAAGTGGCGTTGTGGCATGTGCGGAGGCAGGGGTTCGTATGGTGAGACGTGATTGGTGCTGGCAAAGTTCATGGGTTGGGTTGGTGGTGTCGTGGTGTAAGGTACGTTTGTCGTGTCGGAGAAAGCTCTTGACACGAAGCCCTGAGGCAGCCGAATGCCGCCTTGGGGTGATGAAGACAAGGAAGCAGCATGGAGGGGAGAGCCAGCACCAGAGAGGCGTGATGGGACCTTTGAGCCATCGTGCCCCAGCATAACACCATCTTGTGGAGGGGATGGCTCCGAGGTCGGGGCGAAAGGGTGTGGCTTCTGCCTGGGAGATTGTAGAGCAGGCACCTTGGACAAAGGAGAAGGACCTTTCTCGGGTGGGGAGAAGTCAGGCGTTGGAGCAGACAGTCGGTCGTCTAGCGGAGGACTGGGTGAACGAGAAGGCGGGGGTGAGGGCGCGATGGGAGTGAGTGTTGGTGCTCTGAGTGGTCTTGATCAGCTACGTCTCTCTCCGAAGGCAAGCTCGCAGCTACTTACAGATCGGGCGAGAGATGAGGACCCTCAGACGACGAGTCCTTAGCAGAGTCATCTTCGGCCTCGAGTCTCTGCTTGGCAGCCTTCTTCTTCTGTTTCTTGCGGCTCGCCTTGTTTCCCTTTGCCTCATCCGGCGTATCTTCTGCGTGGAACACCTCGTCGTTGGATGATGGCATGTGGGGAGCTTGCGAAGGATGTTGGTAGACCACTCGCAGACCAGGATCGACCAGTGGACAGTACGGCGTTAAGGAGGGCGAGACGGACGAAGCGAGGTTGAGAAGACGATGTTCGCGGCTGTGATGGATCTCGTTCGGGTTCCAGTGAAGGTTTGTCTCGCAGGCAACACGTCGAGAAGCGCACGAGATGGAGCAAGGCTGCGACAGTGCCGCAGCAGGAGGGAGGGTCAGGTCGTGCTGCCACCTGCCAGGACGTGTGGGCTACGTGACGGTCGTGACGGTGGTGTCGGCCAAGTGCGAAGCCTGTCTGACGGACAAAGAGATGGTGTCTTGGGGGCAAAGTGGATACAGGACAGTCGCGTAGACTGTCCGAGACGATTCAAGCGGTATACAGGTCGAACAAAGAGGCTGGGCAGTGGTAGAGGGTTGAGAAGGCGGTCTACAGTGCTACCTTGTTGGCTCTCAAACACCCCACTTCCGGATGCGTCAGACCGCAGATCGGGCCAAGAATCGAGGGGTTGAGGCCAACGTGACCCAGCCTCTTACTGTCTATCTGCAAACACGCATCATCTGAGCACTTCAACAATTGCCCTCGCTGACATGGCTTTCGTCCATCAGGATATATCTTGGATACATGACTGTATAGTCCATGTTTTCAATTTGACGACAACAGACCATACCAAGATGACCCCGAAGTTTCATTGTTGATGCCACGTCTATATGTCCATGTTAGAGAATATACATCCATTGCGAGGTAGGGGTGACACTGGACGGTATCGAAGTCTCGTGTTTGGCTACAGATGCGATCGATAGCCTAAGGCATAGTAGAGTAAAGACCGGTTAGGGACAGACGCCATCTGCGCAAAAACATGGCCTGCTGTGGAATGCATTTCTACACATGCATCCCCAGCGATGATATACTGTAAGTGTAAACTCCTCTTTGAGCACTGATGTTTCTTGGTGGATAGGTTCGTCCTCTAGACTAGTTGACAGATGCAGGAGTTCTTCGTCTCGAGCAGAGTGAGCCTGGCGACATCGCTGCTTCGAAAGAAGCTGTCGATTCGTACACTGGAACTGGCCTGCTCGGGATCAAAATCGGAGCTTGAAAGCAGCCTTGAGTCATGGCATCGGCAATCGTCTGTCATAGTCAACGGACTAGGCTTGTCAGCAAAGTCTCCCGCCAGGGTATAGAGCCGCAAGCGGAAGAAGACTCCTGCTAGGTAAGCAGGATGATAAACAGTTGGGTTTGAACACATGAGGCTCTGAAGCGTCTTCTTCTCGATGACACACCAATGTGTGACGGTTGCCAGCAACAATCTAACATGCACGACATGCCACCTACCATAACACAGGACCAGGCGCATCGACAATTTCGTGCGAGTCGTGTCGGCAGGAACCCGTCAATCAGGAGCTTTACGGAACAAACCTGAGGTGCGTGGCGACAGCAGGCACAGCTGGCTTCCAGAATTACGGGTATAGCCAATACAGAGATTAACCAAGCCTTACAAGCATCGATTTGGGCAGAGCGTTGGGGTCTGACGCTGGCTGAGGGCCCGAGCAGGCGTACCGGTGGCAGCATCTGCTTGCCTGTAAGGTAGCATTAACCTTGCCGACATGTACAAGGGCGTTTGTTCTGACCGAGCGACAGACGGGTGGACGGGGGCGCGATTGCAAGGCGGCCTGAGCTGAGCAACGGAAAAAACATAGTTGCAATTCGCATCGGCAATTATGACCGTTCTTTGGAGCAGGTCAACGGGGGAGCGATTACGAACGGATTGGGATGCTGGAGTATTGGAAAACAGAAGCAGCAACAGACTCGCAGATGCTATTGGAATTCGATCGTCTAGTCCCACCGTCCTTGTACGTGCAGGCGCCGAGTTGGGCATGGATGATCAGATGGAAGAAACGTGGAAGAATCGAAGCCTTGGCGTGACAGTCGCTGACGTGCGCTTCCGTTCTGCGGGCTGCGCAAAGCATTGCATGTTGAGGTCGAGGGCGAGGCTCGAGATTAGAGCACAGAGTGGACAGAGACACGGTCGAGCAGTGCACATGGGTAGCAGTGGTTCGGGAGGCGAGGACGCAGCAGGCAGAGACACACAGACAGCGGGAAGCGCAACTGCCAACGTGTCTGATGAAAAGCAACGGGCGTCATGGGCGGATGCGAGATTAATAGGTAGCGAGCAGCTACCGTAGGCGGACTCGATAGGGCTTCTCTGCCCTGGCGTAGCGGTAGCCTTGTCGAGTGGGGAAGAAGCAACCTCTCGTTACGCTTCCAGCTCGACCCCGTTAAACTCGACGTTAACTCGTTGCTGCTTTCCATACTTGCTGCCTCTCCTATTTCCGCACGCCTTTCCTCGCGTGACATGCCCGCCATATGACATTGTGCTTCTCTTTTCCTTGCCGTCCGCATCTTTAACTTTGTCTCCCATAGTCACGACCTCGAATCCTCGACCACGCCGGCCTGACTACTTCCCACATTCCTGCCCCGAATTGCATCGTCGCATACTCGACTCGACCAACCACCGTGCCCGACCCGACCGCTCGTCGCCAATCCTCCCTCACTCACTCCGCTGCGACGCGACAACCTGAACTCATACGCTGGCTGTCTGACCTGCTCGCTCGACTCTGAGACACTGCCTCGACTGCTGCCGAATGTGCTGATCTGGTCGGCTTTCGCGACTTTCCATCGGCTGCGCAATGCGATAGAGGCCTCAACGCCGAACCGATCCGACTAACCATGACGAGCAATGCTTTCGCTGTCGTCTACGTCGACCGCAAGACGCCCGTGACAGGCTTCCTGGACAAGAATCTCGATCGACTACAATCTGCAAATGATTCCAATGAGACCGAACACAACCTCCGCACCATCATGGCTGCCTTTGGCCAAGGTAAGTCGCTTTTGCATCTCGCTACATGCCTTTTGCCCTTCTGATTGCATCGTCTAGCCCACATCTGTCGCGATGGCGTGTCCTGCCTGACGACCATTGCACAACTCGATGAACCGCGCAATCCTAATCCGATCGTTGTGCTCCTCGATATGCCTCAAGATGATGACGCTCCCATGCGTAGAACCTCGTGGGACTCCAATCCTCCGTCGCCCTTGATGGGAAAGCGACCCAAGGTCGAGCGAAATGAGCCGAGCGATGTGTACGGCGTCCACCTGCTGGCATACCTGTCTTCGGAGATTCAACAGCGTGTCCGTTCCAGGCTGGTTATTCCAATTGCTGTTCTTGCTGGCAAGACTGACGTAAGTTCTGTGCCCTCATCTACCTATCTGACCTTCTTTAACGAGAAATAGCTGCTGGCCGAACCGACACGCATGTCACGTTTCTTGGATGCTGGTGCCATTGACGTGTTACCTAGTCCACTCGGGCTCGACCGAGTCCAAGGCTTGGCCGTTCACGCATACCGTACATACAAGGAAGTTTCGCGTGAGGCAGCAAGCTTCGTGCTCCAGAAACGGAACAGGAAGCTTTCGTGGGTTGGCATTGATGAAGAACGGCCGTATGCCTACCTCCGAGAGGTCATGGTTTCGGGCCTGATGAACGGCATCTGTAACCCTGACTCCGTTGGCGAGTCTATCGATCCAAAGTTGGTACCACGAACCTCACATAACATTGATTGTTTTGCTGACACGTGCTTCTCTAGCGAGCTCAAGATTGATTGCGACAGAAAAGCTCTCGTGGCCCAAGCTGTAGGCACCTGGGAGTTTTCTGCCCATGACTTTGACTCGGACGAGCTTCTCTACGCTGCGTTGACCATGCTGCAACACGTCTTGCAGATGCCAGAACTCTCGAAATGGCGCATCCCCACCGGTATGCTTCAACGATCACGTACTTCTCACGCTTCGCTGCTGACTTTTGATTGCAGATGATCTTACCATCTTCCTCTTTGCCTGCAGGCACGCCTACAACGACTTTGTTCTATATCACAACTTCCGCCACATCGTCGACGTTCTGCAGGCCGTCTTCTACTTCCTCCTTCAGATTGGCATTCTACCTCCCTACCCTGGCTCGCAGGATAAACAGGCACCTAGGGAAGACCTCGCGGCAGTCGCATCTTTGCTACAGCCTTTCGATGCGCTGACTCTGCTCATCTCCGCCATCGGCCATGATGTCGGTCACCCTGGTGTGAACAACGCCTTCTTGGTCGCTCTGAATGCTCCACTTGCTCAGCTTTACAATGACCGCTCCGTGCTAGAGGCATTCCACTGCGCAGCCTATTCGCAGATCCTTCGCAGATATTGGCCACAAGCGTTCGCCGACATCCCTATGCGCAAGCTGATGATCAACTCGATCTTGGCTACCGACATGGGACTTCATTTCAAGTATATGATTGATATGGGTAACCTGCAGGAGAAGCTATCTTCAAACGACGAGAGCATCGAGGGCTGGACACCAAAAGCTCTCGAGGAGACTAGAGATCTCGTCTGTGGACTTTTGATGAAATGCGCCGACATCAGCAACGTGGTACGTCAAATTGGCGGTATTGCCGTTGAATCAAAACTGACATCGAACAGGCACGCAAGTACGATGTTGCAGCGCGTTGGGCCGTAATCCTCACAGATGAATTTTCCAATCAAGGTGCCATGGAGAAGGAGCTTAACTTGCCAACTTGTCTATTTGGCGGTCCTCCAGATAGGGAAGATTTGATCAAACTGGCAGAGTCTCAGATTGGCTTCATGAGCATCTTCGCTGGTCCTCTCTTCGAAGGCATTACAGCAATATTACCAGCCATGGGCTTTGCCACTGACGAAATTGAGTCCAACAGAACCGTTTGGGAAGACAAGATCCACGTCGAGAAGTTGAGAAGAGGAAGCATCACGGCTAGCCCCGGAGGTCAACCTTCACCACCAGTTCGAACACCCCTCTCTGTGCCTGAGGAGGACTCCGAAGAGAGCAGAGAGGATGAAATCCCACCTGAACGAGACTCTCTCTTCGGTCCATCTCGTACGTCACAGACACAACATGAAGCACAAGCAACGAAACCTGACAACGTTCGGTTGAACGCAGAACCAGCATCGCCCACGTCTCCCACAAGAGCTCGTCCGGCCTCTGCAACACCTCTCAAAAGCAACAAGAAGAAGCCGAGCACGGGCAGTTTCCACGCACCATACTCTTCTGTACCATTCCACCAACATACAAACTCACGTCGCTCCTCGAAAGACGCTGCACTCGAGCAGCTGGAACAACTGCAACTAGGCCAACTCAGCAGCTTCTCACGTATTGAGAACCAGAACCACGACGGTGCTCGACGCGGGAGCGGAGACGCTTCATTGACGACTATCCTCGTCCGTAGCCAAACAGCGCAGAGTAAGCAAGAGCCGGACTCGCCAACGAAACCTCCACCATCTCCACACAGACAGACCATGAGGTCGTTCCCCCCACCATCACAGCCCGGTGTGCCCTCTTCTGTGCCTTCATCTCGCAGCCATGCTACTAGTAATGCGACTGCAACAACTACGACCTGCGCGCAATCACCGGGCTCCACGCGTCCCTCTTCAGTAGAGGAAATGGACGCCGAGACACCGACTAAAGGAATCGAGCCACCTCCAGTACTGTCAACAGAGAACCCGTTCTTACATCCTAATTCGAGCCCAGATCTCCACGGTAGGGAACGCATTTCGCACTCGGCACCGGATATCAGGAATATCCCGGATCTACGTACGGGCAAAGTGAGTTCGCTATCGCACGTCACTGCCGACGGAGACGAAGGTGACGACGACCGTGGCATGTCACAGCGACCAGTTGGAATCCGTGAGAGCCGTAGCCGAAGCAGACTGAGAGGGCTTCGTTTCTGGAGAAAGAGATGGAAGAGCCCTGGCCCCGGTAGCGAGGTCGATACGGAGCACTGAGTTGACGGGCTCAAGCAGTATCGCTCTTTTGGATCTCCTTTGTTTTGTGAAAGGGACGATTTGCAAGTCATGGAAAGAAGGCTTGCAAGGAAGGGAAGCTGGAGGCGTTGTCGGAATATACCACTGTCTCACGCGGGATGGCCTTATGATTTACAAACTTGACAGGAAATATCTTCGGGGAAGGGTTGGCAGTTTTCTTTGCTTCGTTATGTTGCCTCTCTTTTCATATCCTTCTACGCTCGGTTCAAGTATCGTTTCTCGGGTAGCTTTTGCAGATGATGGATGGGCTTTGGACGAAGGCAAGGATGAAGTATTATTGCGGAGCACAGCAAGGGGAGAACAGAGGCCAATGGAGCGGCTACATATAGCTCTACAAGATAGGAGCATCATACTTAATACACGGCCAGAGTGTACATTGCTAGTGAAGGACAGATTGTGAGGTGTTCGAGTGTTGGTCATGCACCCATGTATTCGTCGGTGGTCAGCGATCAGGGGCAGCGCGTACGGCAGCCCACGCCAACGAGATGACAGAAAAGCTTGGACAATACCCTGGCCAGTCGCTCCTGCCAACACTTGTGATGGCAACGACTCGGCCGACCGCCTTTGGTATTCCAGCACAAACGAGGGCTGCTTCTGCATCCGGCAAGCGACCGGACATCGAGCTTGTGACAGCATCCCTGGCGAAGAAAGGATGAGGCATCTGGCTGCAAGCCACTAAACCCACGCATCCATACATCGCGCTCGCACCAACAAGACCAAACAACAGGCAGGCAGCCGTCACCAAGCCCGCTCTCTCGCTCGACTGGTCTCGTCGCACACATAGCATGGCATCGCCGCCTCTCACTCCGCTACGGCGATCCTTCTCGCACAACAGCAGTTCGTCATCAAACCATCGCTTGTCGACAGCATCTCGCTTCTCCAATGGCAGCCAGGACTTCGCGTCGCATCTAGACGCCTCGGCCGGTGCCACTGGCATGGGCAATCTTGCCGACGAGCTCGACTTTGCCGATTCCGACGATGAGGACTGGGACTACGATGCTGAGGCCGAGCCAGGATCCCTTCAAGAGACGGAGACAGACCATGTACTGGACGAAGGCCTGCAGCACGACGAAGGCCCGAGAGACAGTGGAGTCCATGTTGAGCAGAAGACAAACCCAGCATTACCACATCGCAACTTCTCTCGTCCAACTACTCGCGATGCCGAACCCGAACCCCCAAATGCTCTCTCGCCAGAGCTGGAAGATGCCCTGGCTCAAATCTCACGCCTGGCCAATCCTACTTCGCATCAGAACCCCGACACCATTTCCCGTACTCTCGTCGCTTTGCAGAACTTACCCCCTCAGCAATCTCTGGAAGTCCACACCCAGCGTCTCACCACATCCACCAACAGTCTTTCGTCACATATCATACAACAAACAAAGCACTTCGCTTCCCTCTCTGCTTCCTTGTTCGCTCCCTTTGGCTTCGGTACCCCTTTGGACTTTCAGATCGTAGACGACGAGGTGGTGCCTGCCATCACCCAAGTCATACAAGACTTGCCAACTCCTGATTCGCGTGCTTTACATACTCTTTCGCGTCTCGATCGCGAAACCACCGATCTAATACAAACGCTCGCTGCCCTATCTGATTCGTTACAGATGGGCCGCCAGACTACTGCCAGTGCTGCACGTCAATTGAGAAACACCCAACTCATGGTCTCGGAAATGCGTCGGGAGAGCGACCTAGCAGATCAGGCACAGTGGCTCATTGAAAAGGAGCATTGGGACCATCGTCTCGCTGAAAGGTCTTGCGCCAGAGAGTGTCGTGACGTTATTGGTGGCTTTGATCAGGTCTTCAAGGGCTTGAGGAGAGGATTGGAAGACAAAGTTGCAGCTTGATTTTATTTGTTTATGTATTTGTTACTTCTTGGGAACCAAATCATGGAGGGCATAGAGCATCGCGGCGTTCGAACACATGCTTACGGGAAGACACGGGTCATGCATGGCAGGGCGTTATTGGGACTGCCCATAGGGTGGCGAGGAGTTATCAAGACCAAGGAGTAGGCAGGCAAACATTGCCAGTTGTTTTGATCATCTGGTAGACATTAGACGGCAGGACGGAAACACTGACTTGCTCATACGCTTGCGCCTTTCTCTCGCGTTGGCCTGTCTTGATCCATCGAGCAAACAGACACACGTTGGTTTGCTTCGTCACTTCACTTCTTTTCCATACTTTCACTTTCTATTATCTATTGCATCTTACAATCTCACAACATCCACTACTGCTTTTCTCTTTCATCATCTCGAGCCCCTTGGTCCATACTCGTTCCTCATTCTCGTTCGTTGAACTAGATCTCAACAATGAACCCACCTCACGACATGTCAAGTGCGCAAGACATGATTGAAGAATCAAACATCCAAAGCTGCAACACGTCTTCTCCTTCGGCGAGCGAACCCACCATCCCAGAAAGCAACATGAGCCACTCTGACCACATGGACATTGGCACATCACTATCCTACACCGATTGTACCGTCCAAGACACAACCGACTCATCCTTTGACTCTGAAACCGACAAGATCGCCTACAATGGACCTTCTACTATCCATGTAGTGATGCTACGCGTAAGCAACGAAAGCTCTGCGCGTCCCATGCCACAAGCTGCCTTCTTCAACCGTGACAAGGCACTCGCATTCTCTACCAGGATCTTACTGCAGTGGTGTGATGCTCACTATCATGATTATATCTGGAAAGGTCCGGAGAGCTTGAGAAGTGGGTTGATGGAGAGATACGCGGCTTATCATGCGCAGACCGGAAAACAGCTTGCTGTTGTGGATGTGATCAAAGTCAGCATCTTTGATGTTAAAGAGACTGAGGCTGTTGTGACTGGAGAATCAAGCAGCGAAGAGAACGGAGAAGGAGAGGATGATGAGCAGCGACATTTGGAACCATTCGGAGAAGGACCCCAGGAGGAGGAATCATCCGAGGAAAGATCTGATGGGGACCGAGACGACATTGGTAATCTACCTGCAGCAGCCAATAATCTAAGACCAAGAGATTGACAAGCATACAGAAACAGCCACCGCTCACTCGACTCAGGTAGGAAAGCAAAAAGTCGACCTTGGTGAGCCCCACGACGATCCTGCGGAAATCCTACCCAAAGTCTACACTATGCAAGCAGCTGCAGAATATGCCATGGATCTGGTCGCCGAAAGAGCATTGCGCGAACAGAGCGAGCCAAAGAGTCAGGGCATGTATCGAGGTGCTTGGAGAGAAGACTACGAAATGAGAGTGTTTGGAGGTCCTACCGAATGAGCTGGATTGTGTTATTAGTGGTCATGGAGGAACAACGGATGATGATTCTTCCGTCTCAATTTTTTGGATCGAAGGAAACTTCAGAATAGCTCTTCAAACAGTCTTCAGAATGAAACCTGAATTGGCACGACAGATACTGCAGCTCGGTGTTACCTGCTATAGCTTATGAGTGAAAAGATGATCGGAGAGGGCAGGAACAAAAGAAAGGTGATGACAGGCTTGGCGTGGTCAGCGGTTTATGCCGAGATTCTCTCGACAACCAGCTCCCATCAATTGCAAGCAGCATCATCACCCTCAGTCGCGCCCCGCCCTGTATAGACGATCCTCCTCCCCTCACGCCCCTCTCTCCGATAAAATAATAGACACAATGCGCACTTCAATGCTCCGTACCACCGGCACCGCCGCCGCCGCCCTGCGCTCGTCGGTGCGCGCAACCCAGACCCGCCGTGCTCACGCCATCTCCAACCCTACCCTCGCAAACATTGAGAAGAGATGGGAGGCCATGCCTCCTCAGGAGCAGGCCGACCTCTGGATGGCCCTTAGAGACCGCATGAAGGTTGACTGGACCGAGATGACCCTGCAAGAGAAGAAGGCCGGTATGTCGACTTTTTGTCATGAAGCCCGCACACGCCCAATTGGCGAGCTCCGCTGCGTCGAACGAGTCTTCTGAGCTCGCCAATCTGGTTTCTGTGCATTTACGTCTCCAATTGGGTCTGAACACAGCTCTGACACGTTGTTCCGCGCAGCATACTGGATCGCTTTCGGTCCCCACGGTCCCCGCGCTCAAACTCCTCCCGGTGAGGCCAAGCAGGTCTTCTGGTACACCATGGGCGGTCTCGTCGTCACCGCCGTTCTGTTCTTCGGTATCCGCGCCGGCGCCAGAGGCACACCTTCCACCATGAACAGAGAGTACCAGGAGGCCACCGACGCATACCTCAAGGTTCGTGCTTCAACCAACTCCCACTTCAACCAACTCCCACAAGGCTGTACAGCAACCTAACCGTCACAATCACAGGAGAACAACGTCGAGCCCATCACCGGCATCTCTGCCGAGGACTTCAAGGGTACCTTCGCAGTCCAGAGTCCCCCCAAGGCCAAGGAGTAAACATCCTTTCCAATCGAAAGGTCTTGTTTACTGCATTCTTGAGGGAGAGAGCCAAGTCGGGCGTGTCACCACCACCATGCGTCGTCGTAGTAGTCTTATCATTCGACTGGACGAAGAGAAGGTTACTCATTCAACACAATTTTTTGGAGCGCCCGCTTTTTAGAAGCAACGACGAAGAAAAAGATCCCTTGTACCTCTTTTTATCTATTTATTCCAGCGTACTTGTACAAAGATTACATTTATTCCATTTGTTGAAAAGCATCTTTTTGGCTCGATCCAGACCGAGGATAAGGACTTCTCTGCTAATGAAAGATCTGTGAACGGTATACCGCTGTCTGGTTCACTAGGCGACCTTTATCTGAACGAGTTCCAGCCAAGCAATACGTATACAACGCAAAGTGACATGCTCGTGGAAATCACGTATTACCGACACGCCGGCTTCAAGACTCATCGGATGTCCTTTGATCCGAAACAGGATGCTGCCCAAAGTTATGTTTCAACTGCGAAGAAACGGCAATGCAGGTTCGACTGTTCTGTCCCAACAGCGGGCCGAGAGTCTACCAGAAGCTGAACGTAAAACTACAGATACAAATTTATATGCCTTGTTGCCAAGGGTTAGCATGCATGATGGTGGATAATGCATGTCTTCACGTGGAATCCTTGAGGTGAGAGAGGCTGGATGCACGAGCTTCATGATGTGCATGCGGTGATTTCTGATTGGAGGGATGGTTGATCCAAGAACGAAGTGTACTTGCCACATGTAAAGATGTGATTTTGGAAGTAGGAAGGATGAGCACAACACCATCTCGGCTGTTAGGCTCGCCAGAATCGTCATGTTCACGGTTGTTTGTAGAGGCCAAGAGCAGACGGAGATTGCTGTGTGCAACATGTCTGTGCGGAACAGAGAGACCCTGATTTTTTGATACCAAGTTCCGGAGCTTGTTGCCGCTTCCTGGGCGGGACTCGACTCGTGTAGTACAGCAGGTAGGTCTCTTTGGGAAGAGCTGGAGATGGTCAGGACAAGAGGGTGTAGATGGTGACTTGACACAGGCATGTGATGGCTGCATTGTGTTAGTGTATGACGACTAGTCTTGAACGGCGACCGGTCACGTCGCTGTCGCCATCGGAGCCAAGTCAATGTTTGGGTCGGTCGTAGTACGAGGAGGGCAGAGGATTTATCAAATTTGGTGGTTTGCGGCCTGGCAGCACCAGCACTTTTGACTGTTTCAAGTGTCCAAAGTTTCAACCGTCATACATACAGTCCTACAGAGCCTCTTGCTGCGGGCTCGACTTCCACCTCTGCCTCTCTGGCCTTGCTCTGCTTTTGCGACTGCGACTGCGAAGTGGGTTACTCTGGGGAGATAGCGCAATTATTTCATATCGCTGCATCGTTCCCCTCCACTCGTCCTTCTGTCCTTGCTTGCGCCCTTGCCGTTGCTCCTGCTCCCATGCATAGAGAGCCCGGGCGTCCTTGATCATGGACACTGAGGATGGCCACCAATTCATAAAGGTAAGTGTCTAGACAGACCGACAGAGTTGCTGGTCGCCCGCTCACGTAAACCGCCCTCAGCAACTCGCCTACTTTGTGCGAACCCACGAAAAGGCCCTGGCCAACGCGCTGCAATTGCAGAGGCGCGGATCCCAGAATGTCACCTCTCCTGTTTCGGTCACGGCCATGAGCCCTTCTACCGCTTCCTCGGCATTGTCGTCTACCTCATCGGCCAGCACTTTTGCTGCCGCCCTATCGCTCCCCTATCTCAGCTTCACCTCGCAGACAGTCAAGCCCGTCAAGTTGACCCTGACTCCACACCACCTCTTCTACCTACTGTCTCGCTTCGAGGAACTTGGTATCAATGTGGGGCCCATGACAATTCGTCTTGAAAACATACACAACGATGTCGCCCCTGGAAACTATGTCTCGTTCCTCTCGGCCCCAAAATCGCGCGGTCGTGCCTCGGACGCCGACTCGGTTCGGTCCTCCTCGAGCGTACGGAGTGTCATGTCTACCATGTCGAGTATGTGGTCACACTTCAATCTTAGCGGACAGTCGAACAAGGAGGAAAAGCAAAAGGCGGCCGAGCTGGAAGATTTGAAATATTTGTATTCGGCATTCACAAAGATACCCTGTCTGCGACTCTCCCCAGACCACCGCTCCAAATTGATTGCGGGATTCGAGGAGTTTCCCTTTGACACTGCAGTCCCGTTGTTCGCGTTCAAGAATGTGAGCGCTCTGGAGATATGCGATCTGGACTTTCGACAACTCTTCGGCTGGGACCGTCTGGCCGAGCAACTCCGCAGTCTCACAATCAAGCGCGCTAGCATTGACGATCTGGCTGATCTCACTATCAATATTGTCTTGGATGACATGGACAAGCGCCGTCGCAGGTCGTCAAAGGCGCCTATACCCTCATCTCCAGCTGTAGTATGGCCGTCGGCGAACAATAGCGTCAGAAATGCCGCTGACTTGGCATCTGCTTCGGTACCCAACTCGCCAATGGCAGAGGGAAGACGGCCATCCATTGGCAGTCCTCAGCCCTCAGCTGTGAATATGGCGCGAACAGCATCTTCCGATGGGAAGAAGACACCTCGTCTACGACAAAGGAGCATCTCACCATCAAGACCCGTCAGCTCTCGGCATAATTCATCATATGGCCATGGACATCATCCACGAAGCGGCACGCCCAAGTTCAGGCGTGAATCTGGCAGTTCAGGTTCAAGCATTCATTCAAGCACACCACGGAATAGTACATCGAACCTCCTGGCATTGGGCATTGTCCCTGCGTCCAAGTGGCGCTTCCTGCGTCACCTCAGTCTTGCTGAGAACGGCTTGACTTTTATCACAACCCACAGTCTTGCGCCGCTGGCTCAGACGTTGCATTCGCTCGACCTCTCAGCAAACCTCTTCACAGAGATTCCGGAGAGTCTTGCCTCCTTGACTAATCTGAGAGCGCTCAATCTTTCCAACTGCATGATTGACAGCCTGCACTCTCTTCTTCGCAACCCGCTTCCTGCTATTACTACTTTGAACCTCAGATCGAACCGGCTCGTCTCACTTGCTGGCATTGAGCGACTGTTCTCCCTCGAACGAGTAGATTTGCGCGACAACAAGTTGACGGATCCCACGGAGCTAGCACGATTGACAAGGATGCCCGAGATGCAAGATATCTATGTGGCAAAGAACCCTTTCGTTCGCACACATCCAAACTACAGAGTCACCATCTTCAACCTCTTCCGGGCAACGCCAGGCTACACCGAAGATGTCAAGATTGATTCTACGGGTCCGTCCTACAGCGAGCGAAGGCAGTTGGTTGACCGCGCACCAGAACCACCACAAGCTCCGGTAGCAGCTCCAGTCATTGAAGATGAGCGATCGGATGATGCTTTGAACATGCCTAACTTAGGCGAACGATCACGACAAGCAGCTGCAGACTACAGCCAAGGATCAACAAGGTCAATTGGCGATTACTCGACTGCATCACAAAGGAAGAAGAAGGGCTCTCGAAGGAGAATAGTCGAACTGTCACATGAGATGGGCTCTGAGTCCACTCAAGCTGATGCACCGCCTTCACCACGTACAGCCCCTAAAGCACAGCTGTCATCGGAAGAACAACAACGATATGTACGGGCGACTTCATCACCTCCCCGATTGCCGCCACTAGATACTGGAGCATCGAGTATGTCTATAGAAGGATTCGAACCATCAGCCGAGGAGGACGAGGACATTGGTGTCAACAGCGAGGCATATCGACACAAGATTGAGACTTTGAAGAGCGACCTCGGCAATGGCTGGTTGACAGCGTTGAGCGAAGACATGAAGAATGGTACCGAAAGAGAGTACAGCGGCAGACCGTCACTGGGAAGCCAAAGGACGGATAGTCGGGAAGTGACGGTTGGAGGCAGGAGGCTGGGGTGAAGGAATGTCACGATGGCTCGAAGAAAACGTGATGTGTTTTGAAAGGCGTTTGTGTTGTTGTATAGCGAATGATGGATTTACGGACGCGGCCCAGCAGGATGACATGAAGGGAGCGGACAAAGGCATAGCGATGGCGTACAGGAAAAAGGTAGATACCTCATGGGAGAATGACCATTTTATTGTTATGGTGTTGTTGACGAGATGGTCCATGGGCACGTGATGAGTCTTGAATCTGGATTTTGGGCATCAGTGACGGATGATGGAAGCACGATTGTACGAGGGAAACACGAATAAGAGATCGGATCGATTGCATCAGGCTATAGATAGTTGGCTACTGTGACCAAGACATAAAGACGCGCAACGAAATTGTTTTTTTGTAGCAGAGCACGGATCACGGCCTCGTCGCTGGCGGCGGCGGGCGGGCTGGGGGCTTGCTTGGATTGAACTTCTCCCTGCAACGCCGAGACTTCCTCTCTTGCCTGTCTACGCATCAAACACACCACGACACAAAAGCTGTCACGACCTACAACAACCACAAAAAGGTACGTCGACTGTTCCACGCCCCCCGACAGCGCCTCGTTTTGCAACCTGCGCCACCCGCCGTCCATGGTCATGTCGCAGTCTTGCCTGGGCGAGCGCTCCTTCCTGCCCCATCTCATCCTCAAGCTCACAACCTCCCAACACCCTGCTGACCAATAGCCTACAAACAGCTGCGCTGAACACGCCTCCATCTCTGAAAATTCTCTTCCAATTTTCGACGCTCGATAATTCCTGTCGCGCTCCTCTCCCGGCCATAGCGCTCTGAACGGCGTATTTCCAATTCCCATCTCTGGTCTACAGCCACACAACCTCCAGCGCCTTTTTCGACTCCTCTCCGACATCGTCCCTTTGTCGCCCGTCGCTCCACGTGTTTCGTCATCCGACACGCTCCAAAGCCACTATCCAGTCTCCGCACCGGTCAACACCAAGGCTCCGTACACCACTTTCGTTGCACCCGAGGTCGCCCCTAACTACATCTGTGCCACACGTGTAGCCCATCTACCAACAAAGCATCGGAACATCGATTGAGCGCGAACAAGAGCCCCGGCGCTCGGCGAGAGACTTTTAGCTTTCCCCTTTCTTCTTTCTTGTAGAGCTTTTCGTAATGGCGGACCAACAAGACGTCGATCTCGACTCCATCATCGACAGACTGCTCGAAGTCCGCGGCAGCAGACCCGGCAAGCAGGTCCAGCTTCTCGAGACCGAGATTCGCTACCTCTGCACCAGAGCTCGCGAGATCTTCATTTCCCAGCCCATCCTCCTCGAGCTTGAGGCTCCCATCAAGGTAGCCGCTCTTCCCATTCTGTTCTGCTCTTCTCTTCTGACTCGCTCGTCTAGATCTGTGGTGATATCCACGGCCAATACTACGACCTCTTGCGTTTGTTCGAGTACGGTGGTTTCCCGCCTGAGGCCAACTACCTCTTCCTTGGTGATTACGTCGACCGTGGCAAGCAATCCCTCGAGACCATCTGCTTGCTCCTCGCCTACAAGATCAAGTACCCCGAGAACTTCTTCATCCTCCGCGGCAACCACGAGTGTGCCTCGATCAACCGCATCTACGGTTTCTACGATGAGTGCAAGAGAAGATACAACATCAAGCTGTGGAAGACCTTCACCGACTGCTTCAACTGCCTGCCCATTGCCGCCATTATTGACGAGAAGATCTTCACCATGCACGGTGGTTTGAGTCCCGATCTCAACTCGATGGAGCAGATCAGACGTGTCATGCGTCCCACTGATGTATGTTCAAGCGTGCTACTACTGCTAATTCCGTACTGACAATATTTTTCACAGATCCCTGACTGTGGTCTCCTCTGCGATCTTCTGTGGTCCGACCCCGACAAGGACATTACTGGATGGAGCGAGAACGACCGTGGTGTGTCATTCACCTTCGGACCTGATGTTGTTTCCCGCTTCCTGCAAAAGCACGACATGGATCTCATTTGCCGTGCTCACCAAGTCGTCGAAGACGGTTACGAGTTCTTCTCAAAACGCCAGCTTGTCACGCTGTTCAGTGCTCCCAACTACTGTGGAGAGTTTGACAACGCCGGTGCCATGATGAGCGTCGACGAGAGCTTGTTGTGCTCGTTCCAGATTCTCAAGCCGGCAGAGAAGAAGCAGAAGTACGCATGACCCCACAAGCATCCCCAAATCAATTACATTCTCAATACTGACATGACTCTGTACAGCAGGTTCGGTCGCAGATAGTGGAAGATTGACGAGAAAAGGCGATTTCTGTCGACTAGCAGCACATTACATACAGCGCGGTTTATCTTTGCATTCAGTCTCCTCTACGCTCCACCGGATCCTCGCCTTCTTTAGTATCATGTCATGGTGATGGTTGCTCTTTGTGCAGTTCCAAGGCCAGCCGTGACACATGGACAATCCACGGAGAAACAGTGGGAGCAAACTGCACGGAGAAAGACGAAGGAGTCTTTGAGGGAACGGATGATGATAGCGTAGCCCCTGGCCTCGAAACGGACTGGCCCCACTTCTTTCCATCTCTGTTCGGAACCAGTTCAGGTCGGGAGCCGAGTGGCTGCTCGGAAAAGGAAGGACAGTCTGCTGCGACTTTGCTTGGGATGAGGCGAGGCGACTTTCTTTTTTTTGGAATGGTCGTAGGCTCATTTTTTCTTGCTGCTGTTGCTACCACTCATACGCGCGCGCTCTGGTTGTTTTTTTGTTGATTTGAATGTCATGGCGTGTTCTGTTTAGCTTTGGCGGTATGATTGCGTTGGTGACCAGTGATTTGCTTCTTGACACTGTTGGCGCCTCGAGACTATACATGTTGTATTGGTAGGGTGACACATGGTCGGAGTAATCTCCAGAGAGGTTCAATGGATAGCTCTTGCACATGGTCTGTATGCCCGCCCCTCTTCGTCTCTTGTTCGCGTCAAAATGTTTGTCTTTTGCAGAGCTTTGGGCTCCCTTCACCACACCTCACCAGGATCGACTCTGATATTCTCACCGCCCTCCCTCACAGTACCTCTCTTCGTGTCTCTATGCAATGGCTTCCTCATATCATAAGCATCGCTGCCATCATTATAGTAATCCACGATCCTCCTATACACCGAATAACCCATTTTCTTGTAGAGCTCAATCGCAGCTGTATTCTCGACTCTGACGAACAAATCGACAAACCATGCGTTTTCACGGTTACCGATTGTTTCTAGCGATGAGGAGAGGGCTGTTGCGTGGCCCAGACGGCGTGAAGAGGGAGATACTGTCAGGCAGGTTATGTGGGCGTGCCAGGGGAGGTAGTTGGGGTATTGTTTGGTGTAGGCGGTTGAGGAGGGGTCGTAGGGTGTGACGGGGGCGGCGTAGGGGGAGGATTCGAGTTTGCCGAGGACTGTGGGTGTGTGTCAGTGGATGGGAGGAGGGTGTCAAGAGGGACAGCGGGGAGAAGACCGACTATATCCTTCTATCGAGCCATGAGGATCTTCAATGACCATGCACAGTTCTGGCCATTTTGAAAAGTAGTCGAGGTAGAAGGCGATGTTGTAGGTTTCGGTCAGATGATCCAAGTTGCAAGGGTTGAATTTCAGCAGGTCTGCTGGTGTCATTGGTCGTACTGAAGACATGGTTGTTGTGTTTGGCGCAGACACTCGTGTGACGACGATGATGCGGATAGCAAAAGTGGTGGAAAGCTCGAAACGGCAATTGCCAAAGAGTGACCCTGTTCCGTGAGCATGTGAAAGGTGCCAAGAAATGCGGAGTTTAGATCTTTAGCTTCGGAAGGATGCAAGCAGGCGATAATTTTTGGGCGAGCGAGAGACGCAGAGAAGAAGATTCGGTGTCCAAGTGTGGAAACTTGACCGTGCAGTCTTCCATCATGGTATGTGGATTTTGTCCTTCGCCACTTGATCTGGGAACTCTAGACTAACATGCGACTGCTCACAGAAAATAAAGGCCCTCACACGCACTGCGTCGCAGCAGCAGACGCCTGGCACTTCGGTGCAGCGCCAGACTCGCAACCTGGACCCAGCATTACACCCCTTCGAGCGCGCCCGCGAATACACCAGAGCCCTGAATGCAACCAAGATGGACCGTATGTTTGCTCAGCCCTTCCTGGCACAGCTCGGCCGCGGTCACGTCGATGGAGTCTACACCATGGCCAAAGACCCAAACTCGCTCGAGAGATTCGCCTCGGGTTCTGGTGATGGTGTCGTCAAAGTCTGGGACTTGACCACGAGAGACGAAATCTGGCAGGCACAGGCACACGAGAATATCGTCAAGGGCATGTGCTGGACACACGACAAAAAACTCCTGTCCTGTGGCAGCGACCGCAGCATCAAAATGTACGACCCTTACAACCAAGCCTCGAACGCTGCTCCTCTGTCAACATACCTGGGCCCCGCCGCCTTCACCTCCATGACAAAACACCGCACCGAGCCAGCCGTCGCCGCTGCATCCTCAGTAATCAGCATCTACGATCTCAACCGACCAAACTCTGCTCCCCTGCAAACGCTACAATGGCCCAACAGCATCGACACAATCACCGCCCTCAAATTCAACCAGACCGAAACTTCCATCTTGGCGTCGACCGCAACCGACCGCTCCCTAATCTTCTACGACATGCGCACCTCTTCCCCTCTGCACAAATCAGTGCTTACCTTGGCCTCCAACGCAATCTCCTGGAACCCCATGGAAGCCTTCAACCTGGCAGTCGCAAACGAAGACCACAACATCTACATTTTCGACATGAGAAACCTGAAGCGCGCACTGAACGTCCTCAAAGACCACGTAGCCGCAGTGATGGACGTGGAATTCTCTCCTACAGGTGAAGAATTGGTCTCGGCCAGTTACGACCGCAGCGTGCGCTTGTGGTCCCGCAACACCGGCCACAGCAGAGACGTCTACCACACCAAGCGCATGCAACGCGTCTTTTCTGCTGCGTGGACCCCGGACAACAATTACATCCTCAGCGGCTCCGACGACGGAAACATCAGACTCTGGCGTGCTCGCGCTTCTGAGCGTCAGGGAGTCAAGTCTGCAAGACAGCGCCAGCAACTTGAATACGATAGAGCGCTTGTGGAGAGATACAAGCACATGCCCGAGATCAAGAGGATACACAGACACAGGCATTTGCCCAAACAGGTCAAGAAGGCGGGCGAGATCAAGGGTGAAGAGCTCAAGGCCATCAGGCGCAGAGAGGAGAATGAGAGGAAGCATTCCAGTAGGGGAGACACCAAGAGGAGGAGTGAGAGAGAGAAGATGGTGCTGCAGACCGAGCAGTAGACCATTTGTCATTTTTCTTTTCTTGTTTCTGGCTTCTAGCATCTTGTATTGGGGCAGGGCACTGGCGTACGCAGGCGTCTTTTGACAGGAGATAGCGTGGGAGTAAATCCAGAAAAGGCAAAAGGCTTCGGCATGATACCAATATCACAAAATATCACACTTTCCATCTATGATCATCCCACCGGAGAACCTTCATCGTCAAGTCATAACACATAGCATTAATTCAGGGGGTATCGTAACCTCTACATCCATCTTTTCTAGCAGCTAGCCCATCAACCACACTTCCTTCTCTTGTTCAACAATCATCGAATCTGGAACGAATCATCAGTCCCAGCATCTCCAAACCCACTAAACGCACTCGTCTCCCTCGCAACCCTCGATCGACCAGCAAGACTACTGCCAGGTCTGTCTCCGTCCCCATCAACAATCTCATCAATCCTCGCCCTTTCCCTCTCCTTCTTCTCCTCTATCGCCCTAGGGTCGTACTCTTTGCCTCCAATGACCTGACTCACCGGCGGCGCGGGTCTGAATCGCCGTTTACTATGACTGCCTTCCTCGTCAACCAGAACCACCATCCATACTCCTACTGCACCGCCGTGGCCCAATAGAGGTGTACAGTGGATCCAGCGACTGCGGCCTTCGTCTTCGCCATCTTCTTCGATGCGTGTCAACCATCTGATTTTTGCCGTTACGCCGCGGCCTTCGGTGAATGCTTGAGAAAGCTCAGAGCGTACGCGAGGGGATCCGCCGATGCGAGAGAGGAAGGGGCTCTGCAAAATTCCTGGTACGCGGAGAGAAGGTGAGGTGAAGAGAATGCGTAAGGATGGTGCTGGACGGACAAGCAGGTAATGCTCATATACACCTGCCAGCTTGCCGTTCTCAGGGATCCTATGCACTCCATTTGATCCAGACGCCGTGCCGTTTGTGATCTGAGTCGAATTGTCGATAGCTTCTGAGGATTCATCGGTTATCAGAAGGCGCGGTCGAGGCTGCACGCCATTCTCTCGCTCGTCGTCGATTTGCCCGCGGTGCACACGGCCTCCGCACTGTCTGACAGTTTCTAGCTCGGTGGTGTTGAACATTTCGCTCAGGCTCTGGAACTCGTCGTCTTGACGTTGTTGATCATCTTCGTACTCGTCATGGTTCAACATCTTCTTCAGTGCTTGCATGCCAGTCATCTCCTTCAACAGTCCAGACACATCGACTTGAGCTCCAATGAAGTATCTCAATGTACCCTTAGAGTCATAGAGTGGTGCTGTCATGAGTAGATTGATGAAGGGGCTGCCGTCGCGTCGATAGTTGACGAAAATCTCGCTGTGTTCTCTCGGTACTTTGCACGCTTCAGCTAAACGACGCACCGAATGAGGGTTAGTCCTCGGCCCTTGTAGAAAGCGGCAGTTGCGACCGATCGAATAGCCCATTCCGTATTGAGTGGTACGGGCGAACTCTTCAGAAGCAAACACAATGGGATTGTCCTTTCTGGATGGGTCTGTCAAGCAAAAGACTTCGGCCAATCCTTCGGATGCCTCTCGAAGATGGGGTGCCAGTGTTCCAGTGATTCTCCTTTGTATGCTAGTGCTCACGATTGAAATCCACGTCCATGTGACATATGCCGGGAGATCTTCTCGTACGAGTAGGTCAAAAGCTTGGTCGGCCTTCTTCTGCAGTTCATCATTTTGTGTAATTTGAGGCGGCGTTGAAGTAAAATCGAGACCAGAAACAGGATGCAATGCTCTCGATACAGCATTCGCATACTTGATGGCTCGCAGAGCTTTCAAGGCATCCATGTAGAAAACAAGTACAGGAATGCTCTGTGGCCGATGGCTGTTGAGGAAACCAGTAAACTTGAGCAAGGTCTTGCGATCCGCGAAAACTGCTTCCAAATGTTCTCGCGACAGAAGTTGTTCGGCGTGTTCGTCTAGTCGGTAGGTATCGTTGACTTCTTCTTGTGGTGCGGCTATGAGATCGAAATTGGCTGGGTCGTCTTCCAATAAAGGTTGCAAGCGGTCGACCTCATCGTCTACAGGACCGGGAGCTTGGAGCGGAGGTAATGTGTATACTGAAGGCGCAGTGGAAGGTGCAATCGAAAGCGCTTTCGAATGTACCGACGATTCGACTGACAATCTCTTTCGGCTCTTCTGGAAGTACTCCATGTCTGCGGATGTACGATCAGGAGTATTTGGGTGAGATGTTCCAGTGTACGAACCCGAGTCCCTGGGTTTGTGTTGGTGTCTGGACGCGCCACGATTCGGGATGGTGGGTGGCTGTGCAGGTGAGAGTAAAGGGTTGACCCTGGGAATATCAACCATCTTTGCACGCGAAGCGCTCAGACGTCTGGAAATGTCTGGCGGAGCTTGGTCTTCGCTGTCGTCCGAGTAGTCTCCATCGAAGGTGGGCGAGCTTGGCAGGTGTCCATTTGGTGCAGATACTCGAATGGGAATGGGAAGACGTGCAGGAACGTGTCTGTCGGGCGACGTGGGCTGCAGGTATCGAGTGTGGAAATCCTCAACTAACGGCTCGAGACCAGCCTGCTCGGCATCGGATGAGTTCAGGCTCTCCACCATGTCCGTCGTTTTCGAACTCGGCACTCTGATGGTAGTTTCTGCTGAGGATGGCCGCGAGGTTCTCGTTGTGCTTTGAGAATCTACTGAACGCCTTTTGTTCAGAATCCGATGCTGCACTAGGATTAGAAGAGTGTGCCAAAAAGAGAGTCTGCTGATACGCACCTTCCTCAGTGAAGCGAATATGGGAGGACTCATCTTTGCTGCCTGCCAGTCTGGTCTTGTTTACAGCGACAAATCTCACGAGCTCGAAATCGACGGCTCGAGCAGACGCGACCGGCCATCCTTGACTATCTATGCACCTCGATCATGGACCAAACATCCTATTGTGTTCCTGGCGCAAACCATAGGGCCGTCATCGTCATACTCGAGGTCACTTCCCCAGGTGCCGAGACCAGCATGCGGTGCTATCTAGGTGCCGTTGTTTGGCTCGATTTGCATTACCCAAACCTTCTTTTGCTAGATCGATCCCGACTCCCGAAAGTATAGCAACCCTTTACAGGTAAAGCTAAAGACATGCATCATTTTCTGTTTTGTAGTCAACCATCCTAGTCGCCTTAACGACGTGCATGTCCTCTGCCGAAGAACAATAAGAGCGTTAATGTGTTGTTGTTGTTGTTGTTGTTGAGGATTGATCAGGCGAAGCCTTTCCAGCCAAGATCTGATCGATCTTCTCGAGATCTCTCGTGCATGATGCATGCACAGCGGCCAAAGCGCGCTGGTAAACACGCTAAACGATGCTTTTCCAAATGCGTGGTCACTGGTAAACCTTTTGCTTCCATCTCTCGAACGAGCGTAGATTTTCGGGTCAGATCACGATTCGGTAAAGTTCTGTAAGGCTCAACTTTTGTCGGCCGAGTGGCTTGTCGTGTGGTAATGTCGTGCTCGCTTCCGCACAACAAGATCCGAGGCCTACCAGTAGCTATACAACAATGCTCTACTACAGACCGGCTTCTCTATAAACTTCTGCTGGTCAATCTCCAACCACCAGCGACCCTTCTTCAACTAGTCGTCTGCAACTTCGGTGCCGCTCGGTCATTCCGCAAGGAGAGCCTGTTCCTCATCCTCTTTTGGTAACGCTTTACCTTTGTACAAAACATAGTGCTGTACGAAAAAGACCGTGTCAAAGCAAAGACTAAAGACAGCAAGGAAGAGCTTGGCTGGGTTTCCAGTTATGCCACTCCAATCGGCTTCCAAGGCGCTGTCGATGACCAGCTGGAGTAAAGACAAGATACCTCCAATAAAATCGCACCAGATCATATCGATCGCCCAACCCGCTGTCGACTTGATTTTGTAGTTGTACCTGCAAGACAGAGTCAGAATCCAAAAAGACCTCGGTGCCACACGCTGCGTACCATGCCTGAGGAGCATATTTGCTGAGGGTAATAATAAGTTTGACGTAAGAGAATGCGTATATCTGGGTGGTTCATCAGTCCCAAAGAGTGTCTTGTGAAACGAATATGAGATTTTACGCACGATGTCAATTTCTGCCCAAGAATCGGGAGTGTCTCTTCCACCTTTGAACAACGATACCAGCAACGCAGTGATAGAGACACCGATGATGCTACCATAGAAAATACCAAGCGCGCCGGCACTGGCTCGTTGACCTTTGACGACTTCAAAATTCCAGAGTCTCGGGTAGAATTGGCTGTAGAACAGGAAGCAAATGATAGTGCCATGCAGAGCAAAGATCAGGTCATTGAAGCGGACTGTAGGCTCGGGAGCAGAAGGGTGTCGAATAGCATACTGCTGACGAATCTTTGGGGCAAAGAGGAATGCTGTCGTGGAGATGAAGTAACTGGTAAATCCAACAATATTCAGTAGAGGGAAGTCGACCGTTATACCACGAGTTGAGCGGTACTTCCAGCAGCGAAGCGGTTGTGGGTAGAATGACAACGACCACGATGTAAAGTATGACCACCCGAGCAGCCACGAGGCTGCTCGAGCTACGTCCTCTCCCGTGATCGCATACATGGTAGAATAATAATCTTCGCGATTTGCCTCGATACAAAACCAGAAAAGAAGTTTACGAAGCAAATATCGGTATTTGTGAGCTTCGCATGTGAGATTGAGGCGTTGATATTCTTGATCGACCAGAAAGAGTGACGGAGCGAGGGAGTGGAATTTGAAAGATGTGCCCGAATTGCGCCATCTTGATATGGGCAGAGCGTGTCAGAAGTCGTGCTTTCGAAATTTGGGCAGGGTTGCCCGTATCGATGCACGGACGGAATTAACGGACCTGGACGCGCCTTCCCCATGTCGTTGCTGAACCTCAGGCTTGGCAGTACGCGACGTACGGTCAACGACGAGCATCCCAGAGCATCAAACAGAGCGCTGTCGCTGCCTTCTGATCGAGCGGACGCGTTTGCTGGTATCCTGAGATTCATGCGACAACAAACAAGCTCTTTGCAGTGCCGCAACTGCCGCGTCGAATAAAGATGGCGGCCCCCGAATCGTCTCCTCGCCGGCCCACGCGCACCCCTGCACGACCGCGCACTGCATCCTCGCAGATCCTGGACTCTGAGCCTCCTTCGAAACGACGCAGATATGTTCCCGGTGGTCCCGGAGGTGGTGGACGCTGGATCGACGAGGAAGGCAACGAAACAACCGGGCCTCCTTCTGCCCGCCGACACCGACCTGACATGACCGGAGACGACAATGATGAGGACATGTCGAGTCCAAGATCCTCGCGCCGCCCTCCTCCATCTACCCGTCCGCGCAGAGACCGAGATCGCAACCGCGATCGTCGAACAACTGCAACTCCCCGACCTCGTTACAGCAGCGCCGCAGCTGCAGCTGCCGCAAGCCAAGCCAGCGATGGATACAAGCCACGAGAAGAAAGAAGCTGGGAAGAGTTCCACCCAAACCTCGACATTGAACAAGGCCTCACTCTGTTCTCAGCCGATCACGTCGACGGGAGGAATCTTGACACATTCATAATCGAAAGCGATGTGCCTCCCCCATTAGCCTCGTTCGTACCCATGGAGACCCCTATCAAGCGCAAGCCTGGCCGACCACCGAAACGACCCGAAAGTATGCTCTCCGGTCTTGGTTCTCCTCCTGCACCTCGTGTCTTACCCCTACCCACACACAACCCCAAGGAACGCCTCAATCTACCCAAGCCAGCATACCGCAATATCGATACTTTCGCTCAGTATGAGCAGCACGGTTCAAATCAACGGAACTATGTCGACAAGTCTATGGCGCATGTTGGTTACCAAGAGGGGGATCGCTTTGACATACCCAAATACACTCTGATTCGTCACGTCGAAGGTCCATACGATGACGACAGCATCTCCGGTCTTGTTGTCAAATCTGACAAGGTTGAAGAAGCTCGCGCACCTGTCGTCTTCAACGTCGAGTACGACATGGATGAACAGGACGAGCGGTGGTTGGAGATTCACAACGCTCATCGCAAAGAAGAGCAGGCTGAGCCAATTAAACCCGCCTTGTTTGAGATCACCATGACCCAAATCGAAAGGGAATACTACGCCCTGGAGAAAAAGATCCCTAAGCCGAACCCGAGACATGCCCAGATCACACGGCCCCGTTCAAGTTCGGCCGCAGCAGTCAATGGAGAGCCCAGCGGACCGGCCGATGAACCCGATACTAAGTGCGCTGTATGCGACGACGGTGATTGTGAGAACGCCAATGCCATCATCTTCTGTGACGGCTGTGACTTGGCAGTTCACCAAGAATGTTATGGTGTGCCTTTCATTCCCGAGGGCCAATGGTTCTGTCGGAAATGCAAGGAGATTGGCCGTGGAACACCCACTTGTGTCTTTTGCCCCAACGTAGACGGCGCCTTCAAGCAAACTAACACGATGCGCTGGTCCCATCTGCTTTGCGCCCTCTGGATCCCGGAAATCACCATCGCTAACATGACCTTCATGGAGCCCATCACCGACGTCGAAAAGGTTCCCCAAAGTCGCTGGAGACTCAAATGCTACCTTTGCCAACAGAACATGGGCGCTTGTATCCAATGTGGTAACAAGGCCTGTTACTCGGCATTCCACGTCACATGTGCAAGAAGGGCCAAACTGTTTCTCAGAATGAAATCTACTCACTCTGGGGGCATAGACGCTTCGGTCCTCAAGGCTTTCTGCGACAAGCATGTTCCTCTAGATTGGCGCAACGAGCATGACGTCGACACTGCTGTTGCAGAAACAAAGCGCTATTATAGACACACGATGAAAAACAGAAAGTGGGCAGACAGTTCAAGCACTGGAGCCACCATAGCTCCCGCAGACCAGCCGGAATCAACTGCCGACAACGCAGATGAGCTAGGCCACGTTGACGATACTATCGTTGTTGCTGCAAACAAGCGCAAGAAGGCCCAGCCCCAGAAGGCCGGATGGCGTTTGCCATCGGGTGCACCTGTGGTACCTGCTGTTGTTTTCAATACAGTGGACAATTCACTTGGAAGGTTCGCGCTTAGGAAGCGTAAGGAGTTTGTCACCGAGGCCTGCAAGTATTGGACACTGAAGAGGGAAGCTCGCAAGGGTGCTGCCTTGTTGAAACGTCTTCAACTATCGCTCGAATCATTCACTCCTATGGAGATCACTCGTCGCAACTTCTCGGGCATGGGCGCTGCTGGCAGACCGCGCTTGCTCAGAAGGATCGAGTTCGGTGATATTCTTCAGGAAGACGTCGACAGGCTGGAAACTCTCGTTTCTAGCATTCGCCAACGTGAAGAGCTCAGCCTCATCGACACAACCGAGGTCCTCAGGAGTCTGATTGACAATGTCTACTTCCCGATCATTCCTCTTCTTCGACCAATCTTGCAACGAGCACAGAAGTAAGTACAAAGCATGTCTATATTATAAGCAATAGACTAATGTTCCACAGACTTGACGAAAAGAGCGGCTTCTTCAAAGAAGGGTTCGAGGAACTAGAGCGAAAACTGTTTGAAAGTCACTACATTTCAGTCGCGGAGTTCTCTCAGGATATCTTGACGGTGCTTTCTAGCGACAACACAAGACCTGAAAAGAGAATCACCGAACTTGATGATGCAATCGATACGCAACATCAGCTTGATGAACCTGTGGACACTTTAGAACATAGGGCGTTGACACCCGAACAAAAGGAACTCAAGAAGATCCGAAAACGAATCATTAAGCCGGTCAGAGATCTTCTCGAAAAAGCAACGTTGCGAGAATCGGAACTCAAAGATATCCCGATGAATGAAGATCCGCGGTGGGCTGAATTTGATGCACTGCTGGAAGACTCAGTCCAGACAAACGGCGCAATTCCAACTACAGAGAATGGCGACGACATCTCACCAGATACAAGTGTTTCTGTACTCGCAGGCGCATCTCCCAATCACGTCAACAATGATCCTGGTAAGGACGTTGAAATGCTGGATGGTGACGACGACGACGATGCTGAGGGCGAGCCAGATGTTGAGGTCAACGGCACTGCCCACAGTTCGGTCGAAGCGGAAGCTGTGCCTACCAAGGGAGCCGTATTCAAACCGATGCAGCCTTTGTCACCGCCAAACTCCACATCAAGTGTTGCTAACAACAACATTGATGTGGTCACTGAGCCTCGTTATCAAGAGCTTGCACCGCCTGTTGTCGTTGCACACGACCCATGGGCTCACGGTGGAGTGCCATGGTATCTCGAACTCTTCGACATTGACGGCACGACAATACACGAGGAACGATGGTCTGGTCGCGACGCCATGTCTGAGGAACTCACTGATCTAGACGAAGAGCAAGTTGCTGTCCTCTGCGACAAACCCAACGCTTCCGTTGAAGCAGATGACAATGCTAAAAGCAAGAGGAGAATATCCGCACGTATCAAGCGCGCCGAAGAAAACAGTACCACATCAACTGAAGAAGAAAATGCCCCGGCAGAGGTACAACAGACTGAAGAGGAAAGAGCTGAGAGGGAGAGAAAGGACAAGGCAAATGCGAGACGCAGAGCCCAGAGAAGGCGCAAGTGGTAGTTGCAAGATTCTTTCGGGGCGGATTGCTCTTCATTCTCGAGGCGTTCATGGTGTTTTTCATTTCCAGAGAGGGGTTCTTTTAAGCTACGGCTAGGAACAAGGCGTTTTGGAGATTTTATTCTACTTCTTCATGAGAGACGAGGTTTGGTTGCTTTGTTCGAAGGGAAGGCACTATGGGGAGATGCGAGGAAAACATTGTCATAATCTTTTTTTGAGCAGGCAGGAGGGGCCTGCAGGTCCTTGCGTTGTTTTCTCTCGAGTTGTAGCAAAGAGCAAAGCATTCGGAGATAAATCAACTGACTCAACTCTGCTTACTCGAACCTTTTCTTCGCGTGACTCGGTGCGTCCATCCGTACCATCCATTGCCCATCTCAGGCCGACCCACGAACTCAACCCCTGCTCATCTTCATCTTTTTTCGTCGCAGAGCGGTATGATCCCAAAAGAGTGCTTGCTCCAAGACGATCAGCTTTGACAAACGCATCCCGAGTCATCTGCCAACGAGAAATTGCAACAGCCACAGCTGTCATAGCAAACCCAACACCCTCAGGGTCTTCTAACGGCCAGCACCTTGATCAAAAAGAGGATGTGCCATAAATCACTGCACATCACATCTTGCCCGTCCTGTTTAGCAAAACAGCAGATCAAACGCCACGACCAAAGGATCCAAAAAAAGAAAAAAAAAAAAAAAAAAAAAAAAGGTAATGGCCACAGGTGTCATAGCATGACGAGCTCGACACCTCCTTTACCAATCTTTCAGGGTCTGAAGATGTTGTGTGCCTTTACCTATACGGTAGAACGCGGTCGAGATGCAATGACTGCATAGAGTAGGTATCTGCGTCTTCTCACTGTCGATCGCTACGAAATCCTCCGAAGATCTGTGGGTGGAGGCTTTGATACAAGCCTTCATCACCTTGTCGATCTTTTCCATGACGCACGGTGACCCTGGATTTTTTGTTTCCGAGGAGTTTGGGTCAGCGATGACCATTCATGTCTGTTGATCGTCATGAGTATTCGATGATGTGAATGATCTTGAGTCGCAATACGAGACGATAGGACTGAGGATGCGATGATTGAGCAAGAAAGAAAAGAATAATCAATTGTGGTATCAAAACTTTGTGTATGCGGTGCCTGCCCCTCGTGCGAATTCGTTAGAGTACTCAATAGCCAATTTTCCGGTCACCCCATCTAGTAGTTCCAGTGCCCCAGAAGATGTCAAAAGTCCATCAGTTCAACATGCGCATAGCATTAAAAATATCAACAGTGCTCTCCACCCCTCTTTCCACAATGAACTCGTGGCTGTATGTTCTGAACGCCATCACACCATCTTCGGGAACCTCTTCAGGAACCGACAGTCCAAGCGACTGACCCTGTTGCTTTGCGAGTGTCGAGATGGAAGAACGAGGAGATGTTCTATCGCCTGCTACACCCCACCAAGCAGGCATCTGCGCAGCGCCTTGCTGGCTCTGAGCGTGGAAACTAAACATCTTCGCGGTTACAGCTGCTGCAGAAGAGGCAGTCAAGGTCGAAAGGTCGGAAGTCGGGCTTGCGGTGCCGGAACAGCTGCAGCTGGAGCCACTGCTGGATTTGCGGTTGATATCGCTGCATACACTGTCGTGGTCCATGTTGTAGACTCCGGCGCCACTGCTGCGGCGGTCGTACCAGCTTGGTGCATCCATGTCGTCGCTGCTCACACTGTGCGGGCTGTGGTCCCACATATCGCTTGACGCTGAGGCTGGCGACATGATGGAAGATGTGAAGCTAGAGGGTGTCGAAGGTGCTTCTGGTGCTGCGAAAGTGTCTAGCATGAAGACGTCAAGCGTGGGCGTGCGTGCTTCAGGCAGATGGTAGATTGGAGCGGCCAGTGTGCGCTCTGGTTGTTGAGGGTTGAGGTAGTCAAGAGTTTCCTCCTCGCTGATAGCGAACGAGTAACCAGAGAAGCGTTTGTTGACGTGTGACTCAGCACTCTGTTCGCTAGGACTGTTCAAGGCGTTGTTCGATGCGCTAGAAGCTCTGAATGAAGCGCGTCTTGATGGGAAGGAGAAGTTGGAGGTCAAGCTTCTGTGCAGGCTTCTGATCGAACTGGTTCGATTCACTGCACTAGTCGTGTTGATGCGTAGCGGCTGCGGTCGGAGAGAAGCAAGCGAATCGCTTCGGTTTGGCATCGTCTTGTGAGAGAAGTAGTCGTTGTCCTCACAGTCAGGATGAATCGTGAACGTAGACTCATCACTAGTCTCGCTATCAATCTTGATAGATCTCGCCTGCGAGAGCTGAGAGGTAGTGGCCTTGGTGTCCTCGTTCCACGGCGGCATACCTGTGGTCAACAAGCAAAGGTGATATGGCACAACGTCTGCAGCGACCACTTCCTTAGGAGCACGTATCGCGTTGGTGAGCATTTGCAAGATGCTGTAGATGGCAATCCATCTGACCTTTCTCGCATCTCCGACCGATAGCTTCTCTTCTGGTCTGAAGGTCAATTTGCTCTCGAAATAGATGTAGTTGCGGACGAGTGCTGAGTTGGACGAAATCTTGTTGGTGGCCGCGGTAAGTGCAGCTCGAGCTGTCACAGATTGATCCACCTTGCTCGATTTCGAAGTCAGCCTTAGAGACCGAAGACCCTTCTGAGATGACGTTCTGTATTCGAGACTATGGTAATCGGGTAGCAGTGGTGAGGGATGAGGCAACGGCTCGTACTTGTGGCGGCTGTTGAATGCATCGACGTTCTGCACCACACAGATGCCTCCAGTGGGTAGTCTGCTTGAGCTATCTGGAGAAGAATCACCATCCACAAGATAATCGTAAAGCACCTGGAATTCTTGGTGCATGCTCCGTAGAAGACCCTTGTCCATGATATGGCCAGTTTCTGGCGGCCAGTATCCAAACTTGTTGACATAGTATGAGTGCAAAAATGAGCGGAAGCGTTCCAGATGATTGCGAGCAGGTGTCGGTAGTCCCAGATGTGTAGAAGCTAGCTCGTCTTCCAGGAAGTTTCGTAGAGCTTTGGTCACTCGGCCCAAGTGCAAGTCCATTTCCAGGTACGATCGTGTGATCAAAGCCTTTGTTACTTTGCTCACATCGCCAAACTCCGGGCTCAAGTCCAACTGATCGTTCATGCCAACACAGTGGGCAAAGGCGTCAATCCAAACATCTCTCAACTTGAACTTTTCAGCAAAGTTAAGGAAAGCTAGTGCGTAGTCTGGTCGGTTGACAAATTTCGAGTAGCCTTGTTGCTGGGCATACATCAAAAAGTCCTGGCTGTTGCTGATCTTGTTCGGGCAGAACAGCTGAATACGTTCCAATAGGTCGATGAAAGTCTTGCCTAATTGAGCTCCAACCAGTGGCTTGTTCGTGATATAAGCAAAGAAATTGCGGGTCGTGATATGCCAGCTGTAAGCCTCTTCTCGGAGAGCATCGTCAGGAGCTGGTATATACAACTCGTATTCACTATGTGTCGATGATGTGCTTGGTGTTGTACCGTCGAGGCTCTCGGTACTTGAAGTCGAATCTGATGCCATATATGTGTTGACGAATGATTCACCTGCCGCCGCCTCCACCAAACTGTATGAAGTTCTGAAGGAGGCACCCCGCTTTGACTTCCCTTGGCCATATAGATGAACGAGGCAGTCGCCGTCCTGTTGCCAAAGTTCTTGATCCTACCAGATCAGTCAGTACAAACCATCACAAACTAAAGCACACGAGACTTACACGACGAAGACCGTCCCAATCAGCGGACTTGTGAGATTGACCGTCCCATCTCTTCACGCTTGATAGCTTGGAAGGGTTTCTCATGGCTGCTTGCTTGGGCTTCTTCCTTGATCTGACTGGTGATTGAGAGGCCTGAGCGCGTATGGTCAAAATCCTCGAGAAGTTAGGGACATTCGAACCGTGAGAGGCCGGAGCAGGTGGACCAGGCAAGAGGACCTTTTGAGTATCTCTTATGTCCATATGTGCAGTAGATGGCAAACCATGACGATGCATGTCGATCATGTGTACTGTTGGAAGTCAAAACGCAATAGGTCAAGATGTACCTGTTGTGGTTGATCGGTGGGATCTTGGAGTTGCAGAACGGTCTTGCAGTGGAGCCCGGGAGTCATGATGGGTTATAGCTCGAGTCGTGCCAGGGGAAGGTCGCCAACAATCCGAGGATGCTGGCTGGATGCACGATTGTCCATGGCACACTAGTTGGTTGGTGCGCTGGTGTCAACTTTGAGCAAATGATCGGCGCAAAGTATCGGTCGGGAATGGGGAAGCGGTGCATGCAAAGATGAGGCGGCACGGGAAGCACATGGCTGCAGCGCGCTGCCCGGACTTCGCCAGGCCCGACTGAGAAGCTGAAAGGCTCAGCTCGAAGCCTGGACAGCGCCCACTCAACTCCAGCTGACTGCTGAGCAATATCTCGTTATCAAACATAAGCGAGGGCAGCTGCCAACTTTCTCTGCCTTTGGAGCTATATCTCAGCTCGAATCCATTTATCTGGAATGTCTCGATCTGTGACAGCAACGGCGGTAGGGTTTGGCTGCACCCTTCTGTTGCGACAGAAACTCATGACGCCCTCCGGACTGCACCCTTGTCATCGCATCGCCTTCTCCGGCTTCGACCACCCTTTGCGCGACCCTCTTCTCACAACCTTACTCCACCACACTCTTCTTGAAGCCGTGCAAGGTGCTTCAGATCTACGATCCAATTATCGTGCTCTTGCAGTCTTACGTGTTGATTTTTTTCTTCATTGGAAGCGTGTCCCAAATTCCGTCTGCCGACTTCCAGTCAGCCCGCTCGCGCGACGGCCCGAGAAAACGTTGCGACTGAGAGCCATTCGCGAATCGTGACTCGTCTGACTTCGCACACGTGAACGAGGAGTCGCTCTCTTCTCCCTTTCCTTCTCGGAACCTCCGCGCCGGCCGCACTGCCTGTCCTAGAAAGGACCCTGCCTCAGAGAGCAACGCTATCTAATACCAGATCGTGCAGGTAGGAGAGCCGATCGACCTCCCAAGATCTGAAAAGTATTTGAGTCGACGATCTCATCATGTGCATCACTGGTCTGATGCCTCCACTTAATAGTGACGCGGATCCACAGCACGCCTTGCATTGTCCTACCTTGTCTATCTTGGTCGCGCATATCCTTCAATGCGCATATTCTGCTAACGCCCAGAGACTTTCTTAGCCGTAAGCTCGTTCTCCCTTCCCATGTGCAAACTAAGTCGCGCGGACTGCTACAGAATGCGCAGTCTGTTTAGTCAATAAGGAGTATCCAAAGAGAGTCGATATATCATGGGCACTCTGTGGACCTTGCTGCATTCTAGAGAGGACTGTACATTTCCGCAGCTTCTAGTTTCTTCCGCCCGTATGTTTTCGTGGGAGCGGAGTGAGACTGGGGTGAGAGTGACAGAATTTAGCACACGGAGAGGTCATATCTGCCTGCAGAAACGGCAACTTGCATACATTTCTTGCCGGAAGCGAATGATAATGCGCTGTTATACAGCTAAGTGTCATTAAATTTTGCCTTCTGCTCTTCCTGCTTCCTACGCTCTTCATCAACCTTATCCTTGGCTGCCTTCAACTTCTGATCCTGCTCGTCTTTTTGCTGCAGCTTCTGCTGAAGGCTTGCCCTGGCCTGTTTGACTGCTTCAATCAAGGCATTGAGATCATCCTTCTTCCAACTCGGTTGCACAATCAAGCTCTTCAGATTTGTAGCCTTCTCTTCAACATCTGCAACTTCCGGTACTGATGATGCGTCTTGTCCAACCACGTCCTTCTCCGCGGCGAAGATGGCATCGTGCGCTTCTTTCATGAGGAGTTTGTTTGCAGTCTCCATGATGTCTTTGAGAGGCTTGAGGCTCTGGGTGACGGCACATCAGTACGGTGATCATGTATAAGCTCTTTTGTACTAACCTGTTCTAGCACTCCTGTCGAAGCCTCCAGAGAAGCTAATTCTGTTGAATCTCCTTTGTCAAGCACTTGCCGCAGGGCATTCACTCGATCGCGGATAAAGGTCGCGTCAGCCTGCACCAGACGGTCTTGGTACTCTGACAGCCTCGACTCTGTTTGTGTGAGCAATTCATTTGCCTTTCTTCTCGCCTCGGCTACTTCAGCTTGTTTCGCTGCTCGTTGTCCGGCCTTCTGGTTCCAGAAGTCTTTGACTTCTGCGGGGTAAGATGTATGCTGCACCTCCATCTCCCAGTCTGGTAAATGCTGCTCGGCGCGTTCGAGCCAGAACAGTATTCTTTCGTCTCGGTTAATGACACCAGCAAAGTGCACTAGAAAGTCGCCTCGTCGGACTTGGTAGGGTGCCAAGGTCTCGTTGTGCTCGCCTTGGTAGGCATTGAACCACCTCTGAGGAGCTTCGACCGTGTGCGCCGCGAACTTCTTGTCTTTCAACAATGTATCCATGGCACTTTGGTCCCGGAATGTCAAGTCCTGGTCTGGCTTGTAATATCTAGAAGAGACGATGGCAGAAAACAGCTCAACAGCCCATTGGTTGACTCGGACTGGGAACACGCCATTATTCAGACCATTCCAATCATTGGTCACCAGAAGGTGTACGTCGTCAAACTGCGGCGACGGTGGCAAGAAGATTTCCAGAGGCACATATGGGTTCAGCATGATCGTATCTGCATCGACCCAGAGAAGCCATTCGAGTCGCTCTTCCTGTGGTTTAGCCAATTCTCGCAGCAGAAGTGATAGTATGTATGCTGGCTTCGACCAGACGTCGTCCATGATGGTCTGCCGAAGGACGTAGAGAGGATAACCATTCAGTCGGTCATGGAGCGCATGCGTTTTGACGGTCCGTTCGTATATGGATGATCCCCCGAAAACAATGGTACATTTTCCTACTCTAGTCTTGTGGCCCCATTGCTCCGTTTCCGACTCAAAGATTTCTTCGGATTTGAGCGGTGACGAGGTTGGTCTGGTTGTATGAGTCGCAGTCGCTCTGTCCGCAGCGGTCGCGTTTGCTTCCAACTCGACGTCAAGATCTGGTACTGGGTCCCATGTCTTCCAGTATGAGACCCTATCCGAAATCGCATGGTGAAGGTCTTTCAGCGCTCCCTTGATTGAGGGTCTTCGGACTGACTCATCGGCAGCTCCAACTTCGCCATGAGAAGCCTTGATACGATCCTTCAATTTGTCGCCCTTTGGAGAACTGTCTGGAGGGCGAGTTGCTCCTTGGTATACGTCCGGCCCATCCAATATGTCGCCTGATAAGGCGTAGTCGCCTCGGTAATTTGCAGCATCGTATTGATCCACGGGGTTGAATGTAGAAGTTACGAGATAACCAAGAAACATTGTGCCAAGCGCTATGAGCAAGAGCTTCGGACGACCATGACCAAAGATGACGGCCCTCGTTGCCGATTTGTCTGTCCAAAAGGGTTGTTCCTGCATTTTCACGAGAGAAGAATCATGGAAGCTTCACAGAGCGGAAAGCGCGTCGCGGTTGTTCTTCCGTTTTACTGTTCTCCAGATCATCCCTGTCCAGAAGAAAGAATCCGTCCCGGAAGCAAGGCCTTCTCAAAATGGAATGCGACACCACATTCCGATGTTCGGTATTTCACAAGCGTTTTGTGCAAAGTTCTAGAACAACTGAAACTACAGCGTCGACAAATCTACCCGAAAATGAATAATAATTCTGGATCAAGATTCATGACATGCAGGGGATCGTTTCCTGTGTGTACGTCCAAGAGATGAAGATGTCTGCAAACCACACTGTCATGCAAGCCTCCGCCGCTTGTCGGAGGGGCTTGCAGCGGCAGTGGCCATGCTGCTGTGTAACGGAAAGCTACAGGAGTCAACAGGCCACCGTGCACATCCAGAGCTGTACACTCTAGAATTCTTGATATGAACTTTTTTGATCAGTCTCGTACGGCAAGTACAGGCTTCCAACAGAGTCTTCATCATGCAGAGTCACCTATAACTTTTTTTTGACAGGTAAGTAGTACGACTCCCTGAATGCTTGCAAGCTACGGTACTGACAACGATACTCGGCCGACCACTTATACATTTGTACGTCACATTTTGTGAAGAGTGTGGATACTATGAGGGACCGTTCACTGTCGGCTGCTTGCTCGCTCTGCCATGGCGTGATTGGGCGGTACCTGCTGGAGACGACTGTCGAACTACGGCAGTGTACCGAACTTGACATGTTTGAGTGCCCGGTTATCCGCAATGGCAGCCATCAAACGTCGCTGCACTGCAAATCCCGATCTTCATATGGAGAGTGTGTCTTCACGGACCTGCAGAGTGACTCTAGACATGGAAATTGAACATTGAGACCAGACTGTGGCTACAACTGAGTTGTGCATCGACTGAATATGTTTTACGACCGTGGCCACCTCATCTGGGATGTCTTTGACTCAGGCAGGAGTGCAATAGGATCTCAAGGGCTTGAGAGGGGCCACGAACCTCATTCGCTTGATCGTCTCTCCAAGGGTGACGGCAAGCAGGCGGTGCTCGGGAGCTTCCCGTCGCTAATATCTTCCATACACTCAAACGAGCATGGAGGATTTCTTGCAGAAATGACGGGCCGTGAGCATCAGGGCAGAATCTTGATACCAATGCTCATTATTAGATGGTTGGCCCTCTGGTTGGCCATGTCTTACATACTCCAACCTTGAGTCATTGATCTTCCACTTCATCATCATCTGTACTGCTCTCCTAGTATTCTCTTGAGCCTGCTGTCGACGCTATCTTCTGTTCAGCCATAATTGTAGTGTATTGAAGGCATTTGATTCTTCTGTTTAGATTCATCAAGTGAGTATCTCTTCGGCAGGCACCTTGCCTTCACTGCTGACTATGATAGATTTTTGTTATACCTTAGCTTCGCGGCATTCTATAGAAGAGAACATCCAGTTTCGTATCAGCGCCTGCCTTCACTGCACCATCGAGCTTCCGGAACATTCATCGCCGAGTGTCTACTTCACCAACCTGGCATAGCTTTGCTGTACATCTGCAGGGCTGCAAGTAGCTGCGCGCATCCGCGTCGACATCTGTGGCTACGACACCGTCTGGGAAAAGAAAGACTTTGCTACAACGCATATCAACATACCGCTTCAATGAACATGATGGCGGTGAGAAACTGTGGTGAGCAAGAAGAGGTGAATAAGTACTATTACGGAGGTCAGTCTCTTTTTCTCGTCTGCACACAACGATCCTGGATCGCTGACAAACCGCGCAGAGTGCTTTCACAGGTCTCTCCCCATTTACTACGCACCACCTCGTCAGGTACCACAGCCTAACCTCACAATATATCCACACGCAAACGTGAGTTTTGAAAGTCAATGCAGAAGCCGTTGAGTGCTGCTGACCAGGCCGCAGTACTCAATCACCAACTACTACGGTTACCAACAAGCTGTCGCCCGATCCAACAACATGTCAAGTCTCTTTGACCAAGATGCAAAGGGCTACTTCTTCGATATGGAGTGCCCCGAGCTCACTGGCAGCGAATCTTCGGAAAGCCCGACCAATTCTTGCTTCACCAATGGATGCTCCGTCTCACCACCCTCCCCATGCCAGGATGCAAAGGATCTGACGCTGAGTGGTCATGGTGTGACCACGTACTCACCTGTATCCGACCCGTCGCCATTGTCAAACTTCGGTGAAAACTGTTTCGATGTTGCTCCGTCCTGGTCCGAACAGCCTGCTGTCCTCTCAGGTCACACAGCAACGCAGTATGCCTCGGGCATTTGGTCACGCTCCCAGTACACCTCAGCTCAGTCACTCTTCGACACTACTGGCCGTGTCCCAGCCATGCCCGTCCAACCTCGATCTGATGTGGTGTTTGAACCTTCGGCATTCCAGGACATGTTTCCCATGGCTTTGCCGGACCTTCCCACGACCATCGCGCCACAGCTTGAGCAGAACATGCCTGCCGGCTTCGTAGGCTACGGAGCGGACGGACTGGTTGTTCCTGGACATCTCTTCAACACCGCACTGGACAAGTTCGCTTTCGCAGAGCCAAGTCCTGTGCTCCTGTCCACACAGGTTATCACTGACGATGGCCTTGCGCTTGCAGCCCTCTCCTGTACTAATGACTTCAAAATGCCCTCTGAGCCAGCTGAGCAGGCAAGCAGATACGTGCCCGAGATAAGCCGCAACACCAGAGATGAATACCTCCAGGAATCCCGTCGACGTGGTCTGTCCTACAAGGAGATCAAGCGTCGCGGTGGCTTCACCGAAGCAGAGTCCACCCTGCGCGGTCGCATCCGTATCTTGTCCAAACCCAAGGAGATGCGTGTCAGGAAACCGCAGTGGAATCGCTCAGACGTAAGTTGCCACCATTGAACTGCAACGTGCCCCTACCTGACATTACCATCACAGATCCTGCTCCTCGTAAACGCAGTCGAGCATTTCTCCGAATCAGCACAGGGACCATCGTCCCGCAAGACGAACTTGCGTCAGCGAAGCAACGGAGGCAAGCTGCCATGGAAGAAAGTCGCCGAGTGGATGTTCTCACACGGTGCCTCCTACCCCTTCGCCGGTGCGACCTGTGCCAAGAAGTGGGAGCAGATGCGTGAGGAGCCATTCGGTCCTGATGAGCAGTGAATGAATGATAGTCAGAAGATCGAAGCCCTTGGTCTTAGCACTACGGCTGGATCTTCCTCTCTCTTTGGCATGTTGTGAGTAGGTTCAGGTTTTGCTTGTTGACTTGAAAGGAAGTTGGTTTGGCGTCGAGCAAGCCTTTTGGCCATATACTCATCACCTTTGTCGCGTAAACCAGTAGCCCACAGCACGAATGATATCACGTTCTTTCTTGATGCTCTCTGATGATGTACGATAGTTGTGATCAGAGGATGCCAGTGTTGTTTGTCCTTTGACGTTTCAACATCTCCAACCTCGGACCGAGATTCTCGCGTTGTACGGTGACGACACATTTTCGAGATTACGCGACACTTTCGTCTTTCTTGCCAATTCACATCATACAATATTCAAGTCATCATGCAACTAAGCTTAGAGGAAGCTTTACCATCTTTGGTGAAGGCTAAATTCGGTACTGCGAAAGCCAGTCATGCCTTGATCTTCTCTTCCACTGAGCTTTCCATCTTGCGGACCAGATCCGGCGCACCTGTAAGTCGTCGATTCATGAAGGATTGCAGCTCTGCATAAGAAGAGATCCTGTGTTTTCTGATACCTGCATCAGTTCCAACTTCGCTACTGCCCTGCATTGGCCAAAAAGCCTACAGATAACAATGACGAAAACAAGCCTAAAGGACCAAAGCCGGATCCTTTCGAAAACCCTTCTTCGGACTTGTTGATAGCAAACATCCCAATTGCGAATGCTAGTCATCTGCTTGTCTTGAACAAGTATCCTGTCATTCCGGAGCACTTCATCATTGCTACAAAGCTCAACAAACAACAAACGCATATGCTTGAACAAGACGATCTGGCTGCTACACACGCTTGTCTAAAAGCCTGGGAAGAAAACAAGCAGAATGGAAAGTTGTTCTCCTTCTTCAATTCGGGTGAACATAGTGGGGCTAGTCAGGCACATCGCCACCTGCAGTTTTTGAGTGTCGATGAGATGAAGCGAGATCAAGAGGTTGGCTCGAGCTGGGATCCGCTGATCGAGCGCATGCTGGAAGCTCCTACCAATGAAGCACCGGGTAGGTCTTACCATTGAAGATGTACATCTCAAGAACAAAGTGCTCACGCGGAGCCGTGTCTTTAGACCTAAAGGCCAATCCCGGCTTACCATTCACTCACTATGCCCTCGAGCTACCTCAGGAGCCAAGTCCAGAGACACTGTACTCGGCCTACAAAAAACTATACGAAGCAGCTGCCGCCGCGGTCAGATTATACATCTCTTCGAACAAGGATTCGCGTCTCGAGCTTCACCCATCCGAGGGAGGATCATCACCTATCAGCTACAACCTAGCCATGACGACTTCAGCAATGGCTATAGTTCCGCGCAGGAATGAAGGTGCTCCAATCAAGAACGATCAGGGTGTCGAAGTGGGCAGTGTAGCCTTGAATGGCACCTTGTTGGCAGGTACTTTGATGGTCAAGCTGGAGAACGAATGGAACGCTCTTCGAGACTCTGAACTGCAACTTGACGACATCTTGACGGTAATTGGCATTCCCCGATAGAGATACACGTCGAGATTGGGCGCACTTCACTCAGGAGAGCTATTGCATGGTTGAATACGTCGATAACCCATGAACACCTTTGTTGTTTCAGCATCTTGCCCGAGACAATGTCACAATAGACAGAGTCGATAAAGATGAGACAGTTCTTCATAACGAAAGACACAGTTGACACTCCCTGAGAAACATCTCTCCCAGCCATGTCTTAGTTCCTGATCTCAAGCATACATAAACATCATTAGTTTCCGCCATCTACCAACTTGTCTTCACAAAAAGCGGAACTCCTCCAAACATGCGCAGAAGAAACCAAATTCGCGAGTCCGGCCCTGAGGAAGGCATCACCTCTGACAACTACCTTATCCAGCTTTTGCGAGAGGAAGAAGTCGTCGAGGCCATCCGGATGGTCGACCCCGAGAAAGCTTCAGAGCCGAATCGCAAATTAGAACAAAATCTGCAAGAACCATGGACCTACCTCAACAAATCCAACAAGATACCAAACGAAGAAAGACTAAAAGCATTTCAAGCCCTCAAGAAGGAATCCGAAGAAGCCGAAGACATCAAAGAACCCACAGCACTCACCGAGGATAATCCTCTACACTCCACAGCGGCCTTGGTAGAGTACTCTCCCCCTCGCAAATACCACCCCCAACGAATCTCCATCAAAAACAAATCCCTCGTTCGCCCACCCAGCCACAATGGCGAATACACCTGGTCTCGCCTCATCCATCACATAAACCAAGAATTCAAACGGGCCGCCAAAGAAGCACTCATCGCCAGAGACACGCCCCTTTCCAATGCTATCAGACACGCTATCCTCGAAACTCTAGGAACCCAATCCCACAATCACAATATGAGGAACAATACAGAGAGCCCATGGAAGATCCCTGAGGAACTAAAGTATCGGCCTTTTGATGCGGTGAGAGCATTTGAGGATGATAGGAGGGAAAGGCCTTTGAGGATTGCGGCGAAGAAGATTGCGATTGTTGTTACGCAGCATTGATGTTTGTTGGTAAACAATTCGAATTAGATACGAGGAGCGATGAGCGATGGAAACATGACATTTGTTTGGAAAGATATTCTCAAATTTCGAACAATCTAGCACTCAATTCTGTGTTGCCTCGCCACGGTCGTTGTTTCCGTCTTGGGCTGAGAAAAGCACCTTTGTTGTTCTCCCTGCTTTCTATCATGGCTCCTTGCTCTTGATTTGTCGTGTCACGAGATCTCTCACGTGTCTCTGTGAGCATTTAGTACGACCGTAAACATAAAATTGAACCAACGAGAATTGAACATGACGGCCCTAAATCAGAATTGGAACAGCAAGCCAGAATGACTGTCTCCCCCTGTTTGCTACCATTCCAGAGTTCCTAGCAAACAAGATAGGGAAATTAGAGGTTGATATCTTGGGGTAGACCATCTCTTATCATCAAACTTTCTGGCCTTCTCCCCCCATCTCGAACGCATGCATCAGGATATGGACGCAAAACTCGATCTCCATACAATCGATCGCACGAGCAACGCCCTAACCATCCACATACATCTCCACCTCACAAATTTATCTCGCTGGTGGTCCCTCGCCTCCATATACTTCACGGTCGTTTCCATCCTCGTCTTGATCAGTGTATTCGTGGCGATATGGCGGGTGTTTGTCTCGAGTTCATTGCAAGCCTCGACGTCCACCTTTGAGAATGAATCGTGGAGCCACAGGACGAGTGAGGGAGACTCATTCTGTGGCGGGAATGACCGTGAGGAAGTTGGGGTGCATGAGGTCGAGGCCGAGAATAAAGGGAGAAGATGGGCTGGATATGAATTTCTTGCTCGACAGGCAGAAAGAACAAAATCTGACTGACAGTGCGGCTTGTCGCTTAACGGATGCGCATTGGTGGTAACAAAGAGACAAGGAAGAGGAAGAAGACATGGCGGTCAGATATGTAATGGTGAATGAAATTGGTATCAACGAAGAGAGACATTACGGGCTATAATTATGATATGGAACTTTTGTTTATCCCAAATCCCAGTGACGTAGAAGTTCTAGCGATCTATACGGGATGTATTGCTTAGAACAGCTTTCTGAGGAAGCCACCCTTCTTGGGGGTGGAGTCAGCACCGACCTCGCTGGATGTTTCAGAAACGTTCTTCTCAGCATCAGGCAGAGACTGTTCCTTGCCAAGACGAGGGTTGCGCAGGCACAACGAGAAAGCGATCAACGGAATGCAGAGGCAAATGCCAGTGATGCACAGCATGCGTTGGATGTGTCTGTATGAGACGATGACGGCATCACGCTCGGGAGTGCCGACAGGGTAGTCGAGGATGAAGAACAGGGGGTTGCTGTAAGCGTAGGTTGCAACAGTGGCGTTGTTGGTGACTGCAGCCAAGTTACGCTCAAGCTCTCCAGGAAGGATCTGAGTCCACAAGGCTCCGGAGATGGTTGAGCCCAAAGCTGAGCCAATATTGTAAAGCGCGAGGTACAGACCAGTGACCAAAGCCAGATGCTCGTGCTGGGTAGCTGCTTGGATCAGAGTCTGGACCGGGTAAGGGAAAAGACCACCAGCGAAGCCCAAAATGACCTCTCCGGCGATGATTCCAGCGTAAGAGCTTTGGGTAAGTCCACCTCTAAAGCGAAGCAAGATACCGAATGCAACCATGAACATCAGAGTGCCAAATACAATGAAGGGCTTGAGGTGTCTGATCTGTCTAACAAAGCGGACAAGAAGGCCAAGAGACACACCAGTCAGGACCGAGACGAAACTGTAGAGCGAAGTAATGCGAGTGGCCGACTTAACACTCTGGTCGAAGGCAACGACAACAACAGTGTAAAGGTAACCTCCTTGCATATACCAAATGGTGTTGAGCGAGCAGGCAACGCCGAGAGCAGCCCAGACACTGCGGTCCTTCAGGAGATGGAACGGTACCAGAGGGTGAGGAGCGCGGCGTTCGTAGAGGACGAAGACGGGGATGAGGCAGATACCAATAACAAGAGGAGCAATGACATGGGCTGTACCCCATGTCTCTGACACACCTCCAGCGATGGTAAAGGGCACCAGAATCAACGCAAACATGGCAATCATCAAAACGATGCCAGGAACATCGAGTTGCCAGAAGAGGGCGACAAGAGTGTTGCTCGCACCGTTGCGCTGGAATGCAGACTGGTAGTTGGCTAGAGCACCAGCCTTCTTTGCGCGGCTGGATGCAATGAAAAGAGCGACAATCAGAGGCAGTGCGCAGATAGGGTAGATGATGGCCCACATGCCAATACCCCAACGCCAGGTGGTGTTCAACAATACAGCAGATGCGACATCTCCAGAGACCTGTTCGAAAAAGTTTATTTAGCATATATCCAGAGCCGAAAATGTCTCTCAGACGTACCCAAGTGTTGATCAGGAAGGGCAAGGCAGGAATGTAAGACCAAGCCAGTCTTCCCTTCAAAGAAGAGATGTCTCCAACGATGATTTCGACCAGAAGGGTGACGATTGTGTAACCGATTTGGTAGAAGATGGCACCAGCTGCAAAGGCGCTGACATTGTGGGCAGCAGCCTCGATGACGGTACCGAGGAGGTAGAAGAAGACGGACAGGTAGACGAGTTCGACACGACCAAAGACGTCGGCAATCTTTGCAGCTGTGGGCTGAGCGGCAGCAGCAATGACGGTGCGAACAATGTTGACAGTCGAGAGCAAAGAGTGCTCACCGATTGAGGACAAGGCAGTGCTCTGACTGTATTAGCTTCCTGACACAGTGCAAATCGGACTCGAGGCAATCACCTGGTACGTGTACCTGACTGTTCCGTCGAGGCCGTAGGCGTATGCAATCAAGAAGACGCCGATACCGAGGAACCAGCGGTCGAAGGAAGTGAGGTGGGCATTGATTGCCTCGATGCGCGCAACACCAGGACTCTTCTTGCCCAGGATGGCGACTTGCTCGCTGAGAGTGTCTTCTGACGTATGGGCCCTAACATCGGTTTCGGGCTCAGCCTTGGCGGCTGAAGGAGAGTGTGAATCAATCGACGACATTGTACTCGAGATGACGCGTCGAGTCAAGGGTCAATGGGTGACTATATCGTCAGGCGGGGTAGAAAGGTGATCGACGGAGCAGGACAGCATTGACTGAGGGAGGCGCCATTTTATGTAGATGCTGCCAAGGCAGTGGGAAGCCGTCGGTGCATTGAAAAGCCTCGCAGCAAAAGAATGGGTCTCATACCAGGCAAGATTGGGTGATGGATTAGATAATCCCTAGGGTCTAGAGTTAAATTTTATCTGATCTTGCAGGGTCTAGCGAAGGGGTGCCGACTATTGGGTCGTTTGCTGGGAGGCCGTTGCCCTGTTGAGCTGTCCTGCTGCTTCGTATCCCGTCCTTCGCGACTTCCTCTGGTGAGTACCATGCTAGCCGCCTGTCTATCTGTAGATCACCAAAGATCTAGAGCTCATAGCCACGTCGCTTCTTTCTTTGGTCTTCGGACACTTTTGCTCTGTGTTGTGGTGCAATTTACTCAACATGAATCGAGGGTCGCAGCGTGCAAAGCCGGCAGGAAGTACCGTGATGGCCTGATAAAATTTTCATCTTATCAGATGCTTCAACGGTAACTTTGGCGCTTTGAGCCATAAGTGGCTTCTTCAAGGCGCCGCGAGGATGCGGTTGGCTTGACCGAGGCATGAGTGTTGACTCTCGAAAAGAAAGTCAGGTACCTAGAGTCTTGGATATGTCTTGGCTTTCAAATATGTCAGGACAAGCACACGATATCGCAGCAAGATCTTATCAGATTTGCAAGCGAGCCAGCTCGTATGCCCAGCACGCAATGGCGTTACATCCCACTCCATTGCTCGCAACACCCGTTTTGCCTCTGATCTACACGTGGAAGGATCCGTCGTTATTGTTTCTAGAAGTCTGCAAAGGAATTTTTGGGTCTGTCAAAGCGAGCACGAATAATCACACCCGAACGTCTTCGGGATCTTACGGTGGATGAGACGTTCTCAGGCTCTTGAAGCTTCTGGCAGCAAGCATGCATGCACGGTGTAACTTGACAACTCTGCGAGCCGCTTCTGTCAGTTACATTAAAGCAAACTCCCCAAGTGCAAATGTTTGTAACGCGTATAGCTATGCACAGTGTTCTCGAGGAATTGGATCGTGTCCATCGAGATGCGGTGTTCTTGAGACTCTCTTTGAACACATCTTTGATCTAGAAAGCACTGTGCCTTTTCATGCCGAGCATTACGTTCTATATCTTGGGGGAAGAGAGAAGTATAGGAGACTAGCAGTCACAGACTTTAGCACAAGGGCAACAATTTGCATCGACAGACTATCACATCACATATCGATGAACACCGGACGACGGAAGCTTGAAGGTGAAAGGGACACTTTTTCGTGCCATTAAAATCATGCATATATCATTCGTATAAATCTCTGCCCGCAGGAGTGGCCGGCACCCACTACACCTTCTCTTCGTGTACGTGGTCCGATGTTTTGGCGTAAGGCACCTCCTCGGCAGTCATCATGGGCTTGTACTTGGCGTACTTGACGGTACCCAATACTGAAGGGCTGTCCTTGAAGATCGTGTCCAACTCTTCCAATGAGCGTCCCTTGGTCTCGGGGTCTGGAGATGAACAGTTAGCAAGAGTAGAAGGATTCCAGACAAGTGTTGTGGCTTACAGAGGAAGTAGACTGTGACGGGAATGCAGGCACCAATGCATGCGTACACGATGTAGTACTGGTAGCCAATGTTGTTGATGGCTACAGGTGTGATCATGGCAACAGCGAAGTTCCACAGCCAGTGGTTGGCGGTAGAGATGGATGCCATGGCGACACGCAGTCTGATAGGTGCAACTTTGAAACAGTTAGCAGAGTTCTGTGGAAGAATAGATTCGGTACTCATGCAACGAGTCATTTCGTGGGTCAAGCTCGACATCAATGATATGGCGTCCTGGACGCTGTCTCATCGCTGTCGACTAGACACTCAAGACTGGCTCGCTGAACTCGTACGTTCGTCTTGCTTACCTTCGGTACAGTAGAGGAAGTTGGCACCGAGAAAACCGATGGGGGTGAAAAAGCAGAAAAGGTAGACGAAGAAAGCGGCAGCAACAGATGCACCGTAATTATCGTGGGGGTAAGAGGTCGCCACAGCGAGCGCCAGCATACATGCTGACATCCCGGCTCCACTAATGATGAAGCAGACACGGCGACCGAAACGATCGATGCAGGCGAAGGCAACGAAACATGACAAAAACTTCCAGGTCAGAGTACCAGCGGACAAAAGTTTGGAGTTGTAGGCGCTCATACCAAGGCCCTGCTGGAAGATGGTAGAGGCGTAAACGGAGATGAGGTTGGTACCGGACATTTGCTGGAAGAACTGAAGCAAGATGCAGAGACCGAAACGGTAAGCAAGCTTGTCTTCACCCATGCTGAACAAATCCTTGAAGGAGGCGGCCTTGGTCGAGGAGTCTTCGAGGGAGAGCTCGATACCAACGCATTCTGCTTCGATTTCGGGAGCGTCGGTGGGAAGACCCTTGAGAGCAGCCAAGTTCTCGCGAGCTTCTTGCGCACGGTTCTGAGCGAGAAGCCAGCGAGGGGATTCGGGGAAAAACCAGATAGAGAACAGAACGATGAGCGAGAAGAGCAGAGCAATAGCGATCGGAGGACGCCAGGTGACAGATCCCGTCTTGAGCGTGAAAAATCCAAAGTCGATCCAGGACTCGAGTGTGTAACCGAGAGAGATGAACATACCGTCAAGGACAACGTGCTTACCACGGTTCTTAGCGGATGAACATTCTGATTGCCAGACGGGAACAGTAGCTGAAAGCTGTCCAACACCAAGACCAATGATGACACGGCCAACGATGAGCTGACCGAGTTCGAAAGCAGAGCATTCAATGGCCTCGCCGATGAGTGTGCAAAGAGCACCGATGAAAATAACCCAACGTCTTCCAAGAAGAGTACCAGTGTAACTACAGCTCAATGCACCGACCAGCGCACCGAGTGTAAATGTTGCGATAACCAGACCCTGGAGGGTAGCATGGTGGGCCTTGACCTCACCCGTGTAGTCGACGGTGTTGATTTGGGGGAACTGATGTCTCCAGTTCTCTTCGGACAACAGTGGGCCGAGACCAGACTGGTTGTAACCGAACAGGATGAAAGACGGAGCGACGACCAGTGCGACCTGAGCGATGGAAAGGGCCTTTCCGGTCATACCAAGGAAGCCGACCATTTTGGCGGGAATTGGTGTGCTGTAGAGGACGAGTTATGCACGCTTGTGCTGCACAGGAGCCAAGTAGAGATAAGAATGGGCGTCGAACTCTCTTCGATGGGCCAAGAACAGTCAAGCCTTGGGTGAAGATTTGGCGTGTGATGGGCGCTGTAGTCGGACAGTAGTTCAAACCGCAGAGGGCAGATCGCTCTGCCTTTATACTCTCTACCAATTTCAATTTGAGCTCGCACTTTTCTCCTGGTGCACCGTCAACTCCACATACTCCATATTTGCAGTGGGTCCATTGGGACATGGGGATACGATAGCATGGTCAGCAAATGTTTCGACCGGCTACGGCACCTAAGCCAAGGCGGTGTGCCTTTCAATTTTGGTTCTTCTCGAACCGCCGATGTGGTTGTCAACGTCGTCAAGATTGGTCAATTCCGAGGTCAACAAGCATGTCTTCCGGCCCTTTCACGGTCCTTCTCCTGGTTCCTCCGGACGCACTGAGTTAGAGACGCCTAAACAAGCGGCCGCTGCAGCAAATTTGCAACAATCGGAGGCCGGGGCATGGTGGAGTCGCCTGGAGATCCAACAGCATCCCCACGGAGCACGATCTAGAGGTGATGTGTTTGGGTTCCGAGCACGAAAAAGATGCGGAGCGCGGACGAGAAGATGCGGAGCGTGGGCCAGAAGATGTGGAGCAAGGTCTTGCAAAACATCGATGCGATGTCTGCGTCAGGCATCCGGTAAGAAAGCCGAAAGAAAGTTCGAAATGCGACTCGGACTCGTGTTTGGCGAGCCTGAAAAAAACAACAGCGCGGTTGGGGTTGCACCAAATTTTCCCCATGTTTCTTCCATGCTTTGCTCCACCTAGAAAGGCCTGCGTTCTACGCCCAACCGCGCGCCTGATTCAGAACAGTTTCATGACTGTGCCCGTTCGTACGACAATTCAGTCTGGTGAGCTTCCTCCATATTGAATGTGGCAAAGATATGCTGGATGTATATATATATTCCTGGATCGAATGAAGATGTGCCAACCCAATGCTTCCAAGATCAACGAGATATGACGATCTCGGGCAATATTCGTAGCAAAACCGGCTGTGAAGCCTCATCCGACATCAGTCCATCGCCTCGCCCTGGTGGTCCGCTGCCAACAGCAGAAAAAAGTGCCCAGACCGAGTTCTGCATGGCCGAAATCACCTGCGGTTCGTCCGCTTCTGGGAAAGGTCGAGAGAAGCATGTATCAGGGGATTCAGGGCACGACGGGAGAACAGCCTAAAGGTCCAAGAACAATCCTTGTGGATAACAGAAGCCTGCACGACTCGCAGGAACAACAGGTGACGCATTCGCTTGCACTTGTTCTTGCGAAAGGAATGCTTGGCCATTCGCAGTGTGCTTGTCTCACATCATTCTTGTTGAGAATCTTTTGGCTAGCGACCTGATCGGCTTGGTGATCTCTCAAATTTCCTTCACTCGGCTTATTTTCGAGCTTGAGAAAGAACAGGACGCCTCATGTCTTCTCAACCAATTCGATTGCATTAGCTGGACAAACCAAAAAGTAAGATGACGGAGCCGCTACTCAAACGGACCGTGTACGGTGTCACCGTTCGCTGGGTTTGTCACCATCGGTTCGGCATCATCGGTAGCAAAGATAAGGGACGCTGAGTAGGGGCCGACCGAGTGCATGTTCTTATGTGATTCGAATGCCAAAACGCACACATACCGAGATCGCTTTGTTATCTAAAGCTAGTGGAAACGCACATGGGGCCGAATTTCGGTAAGACCAGACCGCATCGGCATCTGGTATGAGCTCCCTTTGCCGAGCTCAACGCACCCATGTTTGACCATCGATGGCCTTTCGCCCTTCTACTCTGCTCAGACACTTTGTTACCAAACCTCACGTTGCGGTGAAGAGGAATTGCAACGGCTTGTACAAGTATAGGTAGCTTCTTGTTCTCAAAGCGGTAGGTATATACACGTGCCAGCGAGTGTTAGTTACGCTCATGTCGGCCGAAACAAACGTTCTCAACGATGACATCTTCCTGCTGCCAGATGCCAACAAATCGTGTCAATGAGCCTTTCGGAAGTGTTCAACAGGGTCATACTCTCGACGTCTTTTTTTGGAGTCGTCGACGACATTGCTCGCCTCACTAATACACGAGCTTCGTTCTGACGAGTCTGCATGTCATTTGTCCTGAATCTCAATGCTACGTTGCGCTTATAAGATACCAACATGACTAGTGGAACAAATACGGACATTGTCATTTTGCCAATTCATAATTTGAATTGGACGCACTAAGTTTGACACAGGAGACATTCCACGGACTCGACATGAGTAGACATAAACCCCAAGACATGAATCTATTGATTCGTGAATAGCACGACCTATTCGAACAGTCTTCTGCACGCGTGCTGTATGCTGTCAGACGCGCCGAGCTTGCCATTTGAAGTAATCCGAGGCTTGCCGTGGCTTCCACGTTCAGACTCGAGAGCAGCCAAGCTTTGAGGATCGGCGTTGGAAATCCTTGGCCGAAGGATTCCCATACCATACCTCATCTGGCATACTCTGCGCTCTCACTTATACCATTGGCCAGAGACTTTCGCAAAACTTTCGTAAAATCACAGCCTCGCGCGCGAAATGGCCCTGATCTGGAAAAAGATTCGCTGCCAGCAGATGTCGACGTTGACGATGGCGGCAGCGCTGACGCGCAACGACGCTGAGGACTGATTGACACTGTTATAAAAAGGGCAGAATGCTTCCTGTATTCGTCTGGCAAAAGATTCAAAGATCAATTCACTCCTAGAACAAGGACTCGTATTCTATTTATAATGTTTGTTTCCAACATCGGTCTTCTTCTCAGTTTGCTTGCGATTGGCGCAACCGCATTGCCAGCTCCTCAGAACAATCTGAATACCTCTCTCGCCAATTCGACTTACGGGCCCATACCCGGAGAGTCGAGAACCTACGTTGACTACAACGGGACCGCCGCTCCATTTCCTGGAAATATCACCGGTGCAATTCTGCCGACTGAGAGTGGAACCGCAGGACCGGACGATCTTCTTTTCCAGAACTTGCTTAGTGCAGAATGGGCAATCTTCGACTTCTACCAACAAGGCGTCGAAGCTTTCAACAGTTCCTCATTCACCGAACTTGGCCTGCCCAACACGACGTATGACCGCGTGAAACAAATCCGCGACAACGAAGCTGGCCATTTGCGCATCTTCCAGGACAGCATCAGTGCCACCAGCGTCAAACCCGGTGCTTGTACCTATGACTACGGCTTCAATGGCAATGCAAGTGTATGGCTGGCTCTGCAAGTCAGTCTCGAAGTAATTAGTATGGCGTTCCTGACCGGTTTGGTGAGGGAGGCTCAGACTCAAGATACAATGAGTGCTCTTGTTGCCATCGGTGAAGTAGAGTCACGACACAACACTTGGGCTCTTATCGATGTTTGGAACCAGAACCCCTTCTCTGGACCTGCCGACACCGTCTTCCCTTATGCTAATGAGATTCTCGACCTCACCGTCCAATACATCGTGCCTGGCAGCTGCCCTACCGCGAACCCATTATACCCATTGCCTAGACAGAACTTGCCAGCAGCGACCGCGATCTACGAGGAGGCAAAAGAAGTCGTCGAGATTATGTTCACCGACCCTCACAATCAGCCTGACTGGTACTCACAGCAGAGAGATAGACCATACTATGCCGTTTACTTCCACGGCGTTCACAACATCACAAAGCCCTTCGACACCAAGACCAACACGTCTTCTTACCCGACCGAGTTTGATGCCGGAGAAGGACTTATCATTGCAGTGATCGCGAATGAGGTCGGCGCACCGTCTCTGGACAGTGTCGTTGCGGGACCAGCTATTATTCTCGAGCAGCCCACTTTCTAGATTTCGAGTGGTCAGGAAGATAGAGTATGGTGGAGCGCTGAATGGGAGCGATAGACTAGTATCATGGTAGACCTGACTCGATAAGGTGGTTGCTCTTGGGAAGCGTTCGTTGCCTTGCTTTTCAATTTGCTATAGCTATGTCATACATTGAAAAGTCAATAGTCCAAACACAATACAGTGTTCCCCCAGGTGCAATGTGTCGTGATAATCAGAAAGGATAGAAGAAAAGAGTGAGGATGCAACAAAAACAGAACATACAGCTGCAGGGATTCCCACGTGGTCACCCACCGTAGTACTAATCTGCCGTTCAACTGCTTATGTATGGCAGAGCGGACGGGATGCCCAGTTTTCAGCTGACTGTGGCCGTATGTACACGTAAGGCTGATTCAATGTTATCTATAGATATTCTCCTGCCTCCAGACAATGCGCGCCTGCAAGGTAGATCGACGGCTTCGCGTCCCACCTCGTACATGGCGAACTGGAGGTTACTTGCTACACAACACAACACATTTACTCTTCCTTCAAGCAAAGTCCCAGATGTCGGTTCAACTTCAGGCTCTATATGATGCATCGCCGTGTAGACTGATCGAGTCGCGATGTGTATGCAATGTCTCTACAAGACCGTCGCCGGAGCTGCGCCAAACACAGCCAGCTGGACTCCGAAGCTGAAGCCTGGAGGGAAGTAGCAGTCCACCGACTCACACGTGTATCGCGGATTATTCTGGAGTGCTTCCCTTCTAGCTTCAGCTGGTCACTGTTAACTCGATTCCGTAATCTCATCTCTTACAATTCGGTCACCATTGATTCTTGTAAAGTTCCAACAAACACCAGCTCCGGCATTCAAATGCTGCTGCTGGCAGGAATATCGTTTCTACCCAACGAGCTTGGGCGGCTGTACCAGAAGAGCAGCTCAAGGAATGTAGTCGCAGCTATTAGTTTCTTCACACCTAACAAAGACTCATCCTGAATAGTCTGATCGCATCATTTGTTGGTTTTTCGTGGTTGTGTTCTTCACAGTTTTCATTGTTTCGGCTATGCTGTTTCGGCTATGAGAAGGTGTGATCACAGTGTTGGTCACTGACTATGCTTCCTTGACCTCGAACTCAATAGGGTCAGCGCATATATCAACAGGAGCGTCACCTCTGGGCGGCTCATCTTTCTCATAGGTCTCATCATCACCAAGCAGGACATCATCTCTAGTACCCCACCACCATTCGCTGATGTTCTCGCCCCCGGAAACACCGAGACGGTATTTGCGACCAGCCTGAAGGTTTGGCAAAGTGGCTACAGGCAGTGTCCTGTCCACGACCTTGAATGGACACTGTACCTTATGCTCGACGCCAGGATATAAAGTGACATAGTACTGCTCATCGCTGCGTCTCTTTCTTCTCGAGAAGCCGGGACGTTTGCCTCCCTTTCTGGTTTCTATGTTGATGGGTGCAGTTGGGTCGGTAGAGAGATCATGGACGGTAAAGTTGCGTCGGCTGAGGGCGAGGTCAGTATTGAATATGCCGTGGTAAGTGAAGATGGTTATCGGAGCCGGCGCAAAGAGGTTCAGAGTGATGGTAAGAGTAGGTGTTTCATCTCCTTGTGTGTAGCTTTGTGGTGATAGTGAGAGTGTTGTGTGAATTATTGGGTGTGTGGTTGTCGTCATGATGGAAGATTCTTCGTTGTCCATGGTAGACTGCTTGTTGTTGATGGAAGATTGTTTGATGAGATCTCATAAGCTAGTTTCTTTTTCTGGGAGATTACTCGTTGTTGATAGCAGGTTGTTCGTTGTTGACGGCAGGTGGGGAGCTACAGCATGCTCAGCTGCCAGGACGTTACACGAAATGTATAACCAAAGTGTGATATTGGGCGCACTGATGTGAACAAGAGTGAAGGTGGTTGGTAAGGAAGCCCTGCCAAGGGTGCGCGTCATGATCGTATGTCACAACCACCCCTTCCTTCTTCATGTCTCAGTAAAAGTCCACGAACAGCTTCACTTGAGCATGTAGCTGAGCAGCAATACAAGACCTTGTAATTGATGGAACGAATATGGCAAGCGACGACCATGGCGGGTGTGAAAGTCTACATCCGAGGAGACAGCATGATTGCTACCACGCGGCAAAGGTATCACAAACCCCTCGACGACGCAAGTTGCCGGCGATATCAGCCTGGCTTGACCGAAGAAGACGGGCGAGTTTGGTGAAACCCGATCATGCAGTGTTGGCGGCAGCTGTTGTGTAACCACGACGAGAATACACACACGAGGAGAGTGAAGATATAATGCATGCAGCATTAATTAACAGCCAGGTCGTCACGTCGACCCTCATCTTTCCGTCCAACACTGCCTTTCATCAAGCAAAATATATCATGGCTTCACGAATATCCAAAGACAGCGACACCATATCAGAAACAAGCACACTCGCTAGCAGCACAGCAATAACAGACTTTGCTCCAAAACCTGCACCCAAGCACAACAATTTTATTGCACTACAAACGCTACTAGAAACACCAGAGTTACAAACTACGACATCCTCAATGAACACCAGTGAAATTCTGGTGGAGTCACAAGTTATCATTGACAAGAGGAACAAGCGTCGGAAAACGTACTTTATTGTTGGCTTGACGATATTTGTGTCCTGTGCTATCTTGGCGGCTATACTTGTTGTAATTTGGGCCGACGAGGGTCAGTCAAGGCTAGACAAGGTGAGTTTCTGTGAGTTGTCAACTGTAACACTGCTGATTGAAAGTTGACCGGATCAATATCAACATATGATGCGTGGGCTCATGGATGTGTTTCATACATCATAACTACCAGACAGTCTAGAAAAGAATCTTTTCCCCAGTAACACCACTGTACCCAGCCTTTGTCGCATTAATCACACCAGCGTTGACCAAATCTTGCACAAGACCGAAGATCATACCATCACAACCTTTAGCCGCCAGAATATCAACACTAACGGGCAGGTACTCTGTTCGCTGTGTAATGTTAGACACATATGCTGCCTGTCCAATTGGCAGCACAAAGTCAGGTACACCAGAGAAGATGGATATTCTGCTGGTGGAGAAGCCAGTGGGTATGCCTGGAGGACTGCGGTAGGCGTTTCTGTAGTTGGTGGTTCCTGAGTTGCCGACGTAGATGCCTAGGCTGTCGCTACAGGTTTGGTTGTCGGCGGTGAAGATGTTGGATTCGATCCAGTTGCCGAAGGTGGTTTTGTTGGCTATTGCGTCGACAATGGTGGAGGGAGGGAAGGAAGCAGCCCAGCTCCAGCGGGCTAGTGGTACAGGGTTCACGAAGGGAAGGCGGCCTGAATTTGCTGCAGAATATTCGGCATAGAAGGGATCGCGGACTGAGGACGTTTGTTGGCCGATAAGAATAGGATAGGTCAGGTTCATCAAGTCGGTCAGAGAGGATGTAACGTTTGTGGGATGCGCTTCCATCCATTGCTCGGTCAGGTTAAGACTTGTGGTGGTGGCATTGAGGAATGTGGTAAGCTTGTCCAGGAAGGAGAGTAGTAAGCCATTAGCTTCAGAACTATTGGTCGTAGGCCAGCCTATTGTCTGAATCTTCGAGGGGTAGTTGTGCGAGAGAGTGACGTTGTCACGGTACAAAACTTTGGATGCAGCAATCCAGATGTCGGGATGTCTGGTCAGGAAGCCAGCAGTATCGAGCTGAGGAGCCATAGGCATAACGCCTTCGAGCGGCACCATCCCCCACGTGGGTCTGTTACCGAAGAGTCCTTGCACTTGAGAAGGATTTCTGATACTGCCACCAGTGTCGGAGCCTAGCGTCAGATCCAGCCAGTCGTACGAAGCTGCGCCGGCACCAGGGCCACTGGAAGATGATGATGTATCCTGATAACCATCGCCGCGAGGGTTGAAAGGCTCGTGATAGTCCACCCAGTCTGCAGTTGCGACCTCTCCGTTGGCAAATTGGGAGGTCTTCATCTTACCGACAATAACAGCGCCAGCGTCGATGAGGCGCTGAACAGTGAGAGCTGTCTTGTTTGCTGGTGGATAGAAGTGGTACCATGCTCTGTTGCCATTAGAGGTTCTCAGACCGGCAATGTCGTAGATATCCTTGATACCCAGACGAACACCTGCAAGCGGTTTCTCATCTGTCTTTGTGAAGTAGAGACGAGAAGGCACTGCGATCGCCAGAGACTGACCCTCAACATTGGCAGGCAATACTGAGAAAGTGCCATTCTTGCTGGCAATAGTAGTTTCCAGGAAAGCGCCTTGGACATCACTGAAGAGTCTCCAAGCTTCGTAAACAGCACCGGTGGATGTCACAAAGTAAGGACCAACAGGAATGGATGAAATGTTAGAGGCAAAGCCGGTAGAGACAACACCCACACTGCTGTTGCCAGACAGCTTTGGTGTTGAAAAGCTTGGGTACTTGTGGCCTGAAACACCCGAATACTGAACATAGACCGCTTCCAAGAACCCTTTGCTGAAGACATCGTCCGAGGATATATAAGATGCGATATCCTGGCTGAAGTCCTTCTCGCCATATCCGAAAGAGCCGGCGTTAACAACGGTCAGTGGGAGCAGTCCACCAGCGTGATCCAAGGCCTTTCTCAAGGACTCCGAGACACTAATCGTTGATACCACATCCGGAGGAATATAATATGATAATCCATCCAGCTCGACAGTCTGACCAGTGGGCGTAAAGCTCCAGGCGAGAGATGTGCTAGCAATCTGAGAGAGTAGAAGTAGCGAAGCAGCGACAGACTGGTAGCAATAAGAAGCCATATCGAGCGACGGGAGAAGGAGCGAGTGAATCCCTTACCACTTCTTTGATAGGCATTCTCTACTTTTTATATGCTCCGGCATTCAACAAAAGTTAGACTCATCGAAAATGGCAACCACGAGGGTAGCGATTAGTCACTTCCTACTTTCTCATACGAACTCTACCCCAACTTCATGTGCCAGCCACACATTGAAAGTTAGGTATACTCGTTGTGGGGCTCCATGATTAGAGATAGGCGCGATATGGCTGATATGCACACGGTTCCGATCTCCGAGTGAAGATAAGCCTGCATGAGTAGTGTTGGGTCACGCTGTTGAAGCGGTCGCTATCTCAGTCACCAGCCAGACGAAATGCTGGATAAAGTGCTCATTCAAACTCCAGAGTGACTGCTGAATAATGCAGAGCAGTCATGAATAGGCGGACGTTTGCCTATCAATCCCGGCGCGGGCTGTGCAGAATGCTGGGCGTCCCTTGGACTTCCGGATAAGCTGGCGTCCGAGACCTGTAGCGCTCCACTCTATATCTCTATAGGCGCCGTGTACGGAAGAGCAAGACGCGGTTATATACCATTCTGCTGCTTGGTCGTTGGAGGGTAGATATGGAGGCGAAATCCTCGATATTGTCGACACATGGGACCCGGTTCGCTTATGGGCCACTCGCGGACACAAAGTTCGTCTGCTGTTCTGTAGTCAGATATTCTGCGTTCTGTAGAGGATGTGCTGTGTCTGGAGTCACCTCACTCCAACGCACCTGGCCATAGCTCCATTCCACGCTGTCACCAAATGAACTTGTCAACATCTCGTCATCAGGATCCAGAATATCACCTGCCACAGACATAACAACATCCGATATCGAGAAGTACATAACGATGAAGAAGAGGTAAGAAGTATAAGGTAGGTGAATTATCATATTCATGAGCCGGCTGCGGCTATAATGTTCTCATAAAGTACATAACAGTCGTTCCTGAACACCTTACTTCTCGGTCGGATGAATGGATTCTGGGAGAGCCTCCTCAAGACCCTTGGGAGCGATGTTTTGCACAAATTCTGGAACCTTGGAGGGGCCAGTAGCGTGAGACTGGCTCTGGGAACCGGTGTCGTGAGCCTGGTGCTGTTAGAATGAAGAACTGCGATCGGACTTGATTGTGGATGCTCACAGAGTTGGGGAGAGCATTCTCAACCTCCTTGGGGGCGTTTTGCTGGATTGAGCTAGGGACTGAATGTTATGTCAGAAGTGTGGCTGGGTAGAAATGGTGGGTTGAAGCCTACCCTTGGAGTCGCCGGTAGCGTGAGACTGAGTAGTGCCAGACATTATGATTGTGGTTTGGTAGATTGATTCGATTGATTGAAGAGGGAAGTAGTTGATGGATGAAAAAGAAGAGCTTACTGAAGTAGAGATGTATACTTATATACCTTTGTCCTTGGAGCTCGGGCTACAGCTGTCATCCTGGTGCCTGAGATCACGATGTAATGATGAGCCGAACATATCCCCCTGACCCCATAGCGTTTGCAGGGAGCATGTACATTTCGTCAATAAAGGCGTGACGGCTTGGCTGAGATGACGATATAACGATGTAGATGGTGCAGGCGATGAGGCTCGGCTTCTTTGTTCTCGGGAGATCACCCACCAAGGATCTGCTCATCATTCATCAGATAGGTGGATTCGCCTGCCTTTGGATACGTATCTTGTGCATCACGACAACACATTTGCATGTTTCGGGCTAACCATTACTCCACAGTCGGGACGTGTTATGACACTGTCATGATGCCCCGCGACCGACCGTACGTGGCGTTCGGTGTGCGGGCTTTGTTTCCGCCCGAGTTCAATGTCTGGACCTCCTCTGCTCCATTCAAATCCCGTCGTCATCACTAGCAGGCATCACGAGACACTCGATTGACAGACGGCATGAGTGAGGATGATGCGAGAGCTCCACAAGATGAGACGATTAGACAAAGTCATGATGTACGAACAATAGAACGAGACACAGACGCAAGAACGGTCCTTGATGGCCACATCAATGTCACCATTGCACATTGGAGATGTCTAATGAGGAATCAACTTGCTGGAGCATCCAAGTCTACAGGGCCAGGCATCGGACAGCAATCCGAACATGAACGACTCTGTTCTGCATAAATGTTGGCAACACACCATATATTTTCACAGTGCGTATAAAAAACAAACACCTTCTTATGCTTGAACACCACTTCCCCATGTGCAAAGATATGTGACGCAGACCACATAAGAATGCACAGATTCTTATGTGTGCATTTCTATAGCATCAGCTGCGCTCTCGTGTTGTCGTGAGAGCCGGGTCGGAGCGACAGAATCTTTCGTATATGAGGGGCATGAGAAGTGAATGAATGTCCAAAAACTGATGCTGAACTTCTAGTTCAAAGTGCAACGCTATTCTGCTAAACCTTCCCAAACCGTCGCTATGCCAACAACAAAGACATACAGATCGCGCGTAAGGATACCGCTTGAATCCGCGTCGCCTTTTGTTGCTGTCTCATCTCTGATGCCGTCCAACATCTGCCAAACCCCGAGCCGCTCATCACGACGGGCAGTCCTTTCAGATATGATCCGACGACTCCCGAGAAGCGTAAGTGCAGCACCGGCGATCTGTTCCTTGACTACTGCGGGCGTAAGTACAGCTACGTGATCGTTGACAGCATGGTCTTTACGTGCTTCGATCCCAGAAGCATCAAGACGACGTCGGTCGCTCATCGGATCTCAATCAACATCTGGCGCCATTATGGCATGTCTGCTCGCACAATGTCCGCCGTGGAGTGGAATTACCGCCGAGTCCTGGATCTCGCCGAGATACCTCAGGCGAGTAACGCAACATCTTCTGGATTCGCTAGGTCCGTTCAACAACGTGAGCATATCACAACCGCAGTCAAGACCTTGTCGACTTCAATAGCTGTAGGAGACATCGAGGTCACTGGAGCTGTGCGCGAGCACGCAAGGCACATGGCTATTCAAGCCATCAACCACGGCTTAATAAAAGCCAGGAAAAAATCTTCGAAAGGACCTCCAGATCACCAAAATCTTCGTGGGGCGATCCGTTCAAGTATGATCCGGTATCCCCTGAAGATCGGGATTGCTCCACTGGAGACCTCTTCATCGACTTCCTTAGCCACAAATTTGGTTATGCCGTCGTCAACGACATCGTCTTCACTTGCTTCGATCCGCGAAGTATAAGCACAACGTCCACCGTGCATCGAATCGTAGTCGACATGTGGCGTCACTACGACGTATCCCTTGGAATTTACTCTTCCTCAAAAAGAAATACCCTCAACTTCTGGAGTCCACCGAGATGCCCTTGGCAAGTCGTGCCATTTCTGGCGAACTTTCTGGTTTCCTACAACAACACAATCACATAATAGCCTCCGTCAGGACCTTGTTGGCTTTAATAGCTGCAGACAGGAGATGACGAGGTTGTGCAAGCTGTGCGCGAACACGCCAGACATGTGGCCATCCAGACCACCAACTCTGGTCTTTTCGCAGCAAGAAACGACATCAAAGCCGACCTACAGATCTCAAAGCTTTTCGCAGAGCAGGAGATCGAGCTGAGGAACACTTTCGGCCTGGCTCCTACACCGGTGCAAGAAACTCAATCAAGAGACATCGTGGAGACCGGGTTACCGAACGTCCTCAGGAACGACTTCATTTATAAAGGCTCGGTCCATGCCGAACGAAAGCGTAGAGGAAGAGGATCGTCCAGTTTTCTGCGTGCAGTCTATATCGAGGACGACAAGGCTGGTACCCGAGGCAAGCATGTCTTGATCGACAGACTACCATCACAAGTCTCACAGTGCTGTTCAGGTCAACTCCCACCCCACATGTACCAGCGCTGGATGAGCATGAAGAGACTCTGGGAGAGTGTCGCTATGAAGACGCACAGTGCTTTCGACAAGCAAGGCGGTGTCCATCGAGATACGATTAACCACGGGCTCTCTTTGGTCACACTCTCAATTGAGAGATTATCGTGCATGTCTATAGCGAGCATCGTGCTCTTTACCTCTGTCGAGGGGGAGAGAGGAATGTCAACACTCCCTATCACAATTGTGCATCTCAATAGTGATAACATGGAACACAATCACGATAGATACTAGAGAGAGGTGATATGTGTCTGATCGAAAAATGATTCAAGTCAAATTCATGATGCAATGCTATTCTATTCTATTCTAGATGCCCCAAACCATCGCTATGCTATGAACAAAAGTGTATTCAAAAGGTCATAATCCTCGACTCTTAGATGTCATCCCCGCTTAGGCCTTGGTAGGAGCAGCAGTAGGAGTGACCAAGCTCAAACCACCGTTGGTGGAAACACACTTGATACCCTCAGGGTACTGGTGAGCAGGGTTGCAAGCATACTGAGTAGCAGAAGGAGCAGCAGTAACCAAGCTCAAAGCACCGTTGGTAGAAACACACTTGGCGCCATTGGGGTACGAGTGAGCAGGGTTGCAAGCGTAGGTAGCCTGGGCAGTAGGCGAGGGAGTGACCAGAGTCAAGGAACCAGCAACCTCAGTGCAGACAGCGCCGGCGGGGTAGCTGTGGGCGGGGTTGCAGGCGTAAGTTGCCTGAGCGGTGGGTGTGACGAGGGAGAGAGCTCCGTTGGTGGAGACACACTTGGCTCCGTTGGGGTAGGAGTGTGCTGGGTTGCAAGCGTAGGTAGCTTGGGGAGTGGGAGTGACCAGGCTCAAGCCACCGTTGGTGGAGACGCACTTGACGCCCTCAGGGTAAGAGTGAGCAGGGTTGCAGGCGTAGGTAGCCTGGGCAGTAGGTGTAACAAGAGATAGGGCGCCGTTGGTAGACACGCACTTGGCTCCGTTGGGGTAGGAGTGTGCTGGGTTGCAGGCATAGGTAGCCTGAGCAGTAGGAGTGACGAGAGAAAGAGCGCCGTTGGTAGAGACACACTTGACGCCCTCAGGGTACTGATGGGCGGGGTTGCAAGCGTAGGTAGCCTGAGCGGTAGGAGTGACAAGAGAAAGAGCACCGTTGGTCGAAAGACACTTGACACCTTCAGGGTACTGGTGGGCAGGGTTGCATGCGTAGGGAAGAGCAAGAGCCTGGGAAGCGGCGAGGAAAGAAAAGATAGCAGCGGCCTTGAAGGAGTTCATCTTTGCGGTGTTGGGTGTTTGTTGGTTGTAGAATTGAGTAAAGTATTGATGTTGGGTTGGGTAGAAGGTTGATGTATTTGGTGATAGAAGTGTAGAAGAGATGCTTGTTTGGATGATGAGAATAAGAGACTTACCTCCCTTTCTTCCACTCTTATATATAAATCTTTCTAGCCACCTCGAGGAGCTCAAGTCATACCATGACGTCTTTGTGTTCACCGTGTTCTAAAGAAAGAAAACTTCACCAGTTCATCGGCGGACGTGCTCTGTGCTTGGCGCACTGGAAAGTATATTTGGTATGGACTGTGGAGCAACACGAGCCCCGTTGATGAAGACCTACATTTGTGGTAGCAGCGTGGTGCCGTTTCTCAGGGCGACAACGTGGGAGACCCTAAGGCCAGACGTCACGTTTGTACTTTACCCGTCGGTGGCGGTCAGGTTTTGGAGATAGAGTTCGAGGCTCTTGTGAAAAGCGTTGACACTTTTGTTCAGGCATCCGAGGCTCTTGTGATCTGTTGATTGCAGGCTCGAAGGTAGATGATCCTCATCTTACATATAGTCATGCGCTCTGTATCATGCGAAGAATATCACTTTTCAATCTCTTCCATACATACTCACAAGAGACGATGTTGCTGCTGCTGCTCGAAGAATTGTGTTCGGCAAAGGAGACTGAGGATGGAAATAGAAGGCGAGAAAATTGACAGATCTGCTTGCAACGGGTTTCAGGGTCTCGTTTCTAAAAATGGACCTTTGTTCGCAACGGGCGACCGAGGCCTACAGTTTTTCTGAACTCTACTCCATTTACCCATGAGACAAGAACTTTGAATAGAAAGCTTGGGGTGTTCTGGTGGCATCAAAGGCAGAAGATCGCAAAAGGTCATGACATATCTCATAGTATGGTAACATTATCAACAATTTACATCCAGGGAACGGCGTGTCCATCAGCTCTAGGATCACTGCCTGCACTCCAGATACCGCGGTCCTCGACGGGGTCAACGTGCCATCTGATGACTTGTCCTCTGCCGAACAGACCTCTGCCATGTCCCTTGATAATCTCGACATTGTGACCCATGGCACGAAGCTTATCAGCAGTCTCTTCCGAGATACCATCTTCGAGGTAAACGGTCTTGTCAAAGACATCACCACTGTCGGGCATACCAGCACCAATGCAGACACGAGGTGCGTCAAGAGCGGCCTGTGGTGTCATCTTGAAGACGAGCATGTTCAATAGTACTTGAACGTGTCCTTGAGGCTGCATGAAACCACCCATCACACCATAGACAGAATGCAAGCTCTGATCTGATTTGTTAGTAATCAGAGCAGGGATAATGGTATGGTAAGGACGCTTGTTGGGAGCGTAGACGTTGGGGTGGTTGGCTGGTTGTAGCTGGAAGTTGCAGGCACGGTTTTGTAGGGTGAATCCACAGCCCTTGGGGATGATAGCAGTACCGAAACCAGCATAGTTTGAGTTGATGAATGAGATACCGTTGCCCTCGCTGTCAGTTGCAGCAAAGTAGACAGTGTCAGAGTGGTTGTGTGCAGGAGAACCATGATCAGGGATGTCACCAGCCTTCTTAGGATCGAAAAGCTTAGCTCGCTCAGCAAGATATTGTTCGGAGATGAGCTCTTGGGAAGGAACCTTGACCACGTTGGGGTCTGCCACCCACCAGTTGGCGTCGGCAAACGCGATACGGAGAGTCTCGACAACAGCGTGGATGTGCTCGGCAGAATTGTGATCTTTGTCGGTGAAGGTGGAGACTTTGCCGTTCTTCTCCAGCTCTTGCAGCATACCCAAGGCCATCAAAGCGACAATGCCCTGTCCGTTGGGAGGGTGCTCCCAGACATCAACACCTTCCGAGCTCTTATCGTGCATCGTCTCTCCATGCGACTTTGCAATGCCTTGTCCACGGTAGTTCAGCTTGATAGGATCGACCTCTTCGCTGCCTTTGTCCATGTGGTTCTTCAAGTCCTCCAAAGAGATGAAGCCTCCCAAATCTTGAACGACCTTGACCAACTCTTCTGCGATTCTTCCAGTGTAGTAGCCAGCCTTTCCGTGTTTGGCAACCTCGCGGAAGGTCTGAGCCAGAGTAGGATTACGCATGATCTCACCAGGCTTTGGAGCTCGACAGCCATCCTTTCCATTCGGGTCCTTCTTGAGCATTTCGGCGAAGTTGGGCGAGGCATTTCGGATCGACTGCTCGGCTTTCGACCACTACATAACGTATTAGCAGAGTGTCGCAATTGACCATAGACATTCAAGACTCACATAGTAGCCCATGATCTCAGAAACCGGGAAGCCATCCTCTCCCAGCTCGATAGCAGGAGTCAAGATTTGTTCCATGCTCAACTTTCCACTGCCAAACTTCTCGACCACGTCGACCCAACCAGCTGCTGCTCCGGGTACAGTGACACCATGTGCACTGCTCATGGGGATCGTGCCATTCTCGCCCTCTTTCAAACCAAGAGACTGTCGTACTTTCTCACATGTTGCGTTCCCAGGAGCGCGACCAGAGCCATTCAAGGCATGCACCTGCTTGGTCTTTGCATCGTAGAACAGACAGAACATGTCACCACCGATACCCGTGCTACCGGGCTCGGTCATGTTCAGACCTGCCGCAACTGCGACAGCGGCATCCTGCAAAGCCGGTCAGTGTACAACTTTTGTGACTCGCTAGCCCCACTTACTGCGCAGTTTCCACCTTGTTGAAGCACTCGTAGACCGCAGTTTGAGGCCAAGGGCTGTGAACTCGATACAATTCCCTTTGTGCTGTGAACTACACTTCTGCGACTGGGGAAGGAGATGAACTCTGGATCCGCCGCAGGGTAGATAGCTAGAGCATTGAGAGGCATGATTGTGTTTCGAAACTGGGGAAAGCTTGGAGTCTTGTGATTATTCGTGTAGTCTCGATGGAGAAGAGAGTATCAAGAGAAAGATGACAGCAGAGGACACAACTCGTAGAGTGCTCGAGTAGCGTGATATCTAGCAGATAGGATGATACAGAGACGGCAAATAGGCATGGGATATTTGTTTCTGTTCGGCAGACGCAACGTACAAGAGGCGGGGCATGGCGGGTCTGTCATTGCACTTCGTTGGCCGAGCTCATCCCACCTTCCCTATTCGGTCGCGTACCCCAACTCCTACCTCGGCCGGCTATCAGGAATTGGGGTTGTCGCAAGTCGTCGCACGTATAAGCAAACAAGGCCCATCCGACATCGGTGCTGTTGAAAGTAGTGTTATACAATGATCGAGTTATAGTACAATTCAAGAGTCCTTCTTAGCAACCAGCTCTTCCTCGGCAGCCAGGCCCAGCACCTCTTGCTCGCTAAGCCATTCTCTGACACTCTCCATAACACGCTCGAGTTCGATGCCTCCTACAAGCACATCGTCTAGATCGTGCACACTGATGCCGCTACGGTGATCAGTCACTCTCTGCTGACCCCAATTGTATGTCCTGATCTTGTTCTCTCTGCCCATCTTCGCAACACCGACGACGCTTCGGCGCAGAGCAACCATTTCTTCTTCTCTTTGTTCACGCCTTGATTGCGCAATTCTACTCCTGAGCAATCTCCAGGCCTTTTCTCTGTTCTTGTGTTGTGAACGTGCATCCTGAATTGCAACGACGGTTCCGGTAGGCAAATGAGTCAGTCTGACAGCGCTGTCGGTTGTGTTGACGTGTTGGCCTCCTGCTCCTTTCGCGCGCATGACGTCTGTACGAACATCCTTGGGGTCGACAAAGTAGTCGCTATTTGGGTCGTCGAAGCTGTTTTCTCCTAGTTCGTGAGAGGGTTCCGCCGGGAAAGATGGGAGCACAAGGACGGACGCAGCGCTTGTATGTGTGCGTCCTTTGCTCTCCGTCGCTGGGACTCGTTGTACTCTGTGGACACCGGCCTCGCACCTCAAGATGCCGTATGCACCCGGAGACTCGACTTCGAGTACTGCTTCTTGGAGTGGCGCATCTGATCCCGCGCCTGCACCATCTGCGTCTTCGTATTTGAGCAGAGATGTCCGCAGACCGAGGCGGTTGCAGTATGAAGTGTACATCCGTAGCATATCACCGGCGAAGATGGCAGCTTCTCCTCCGCCTGCACCAGGCCTGATTTCAATCAAACATGGCATATCGGCAAATGGATGGCGAGGCACGAGTGCAAGCTTTAGCGCATCAGACGCTTGTGAGAAGTCGGTCTGCGAGGACTCCAGATCCTCCTCTGCCAGTTCAACGAGGTCCTTGTCTGTCTTGGGGTCGGAGAGAAGTGTTCGCAGTTCAGACAATGAACTATTTGCCTTTTCCCACTCTTTCAAAGCATTGTTGACGGACGAGAGTTCTCCCAATCTCTTGGCTGCTTTCGTGTCGAAGTTTTCGGCGAGTTTAGTCGTGGTTTCCTGGTACTCTTTGGCCATTGACCGGGCCCGGGAGAGCAGTGCAGGAGAAATGGCTCCATCAGCCGCCGCCGCTAGGAATGATCAGAATGTGCTTTTGGTGAACAGCTTGTCCAGACGAATCTTACCTGTGGTCTGCAAACGAATACCACGAAGCGACAGAGGTCGCGGCAACTGTCGCAGGCATGACGACAAAGTCCAGATGGTTTGGCGCATGTCGAGCAAAACTTGTCGACCATCTGCCTTCGTCCTCCGGACATTTCACATGCTTCTCCGAATGTCTTGGCAGGTCGCTACCACCACCCTGTTGCGATTTTGTGATTTTTGTAACATTGTCGATATACCCTCCAAATTGGTCAAGAGCTACCTGGTGATCCATGGTAAGGAGTCATGTTCTACACGCTCACATCGGTCCAGCCAATTTCTTACTGTATCTCTGACCGACGGGTCTTGGATATTACGAAGCGGATCGTAGTTTGTACACCACCCCCTTGCTACTCTTTTGGACAACAGAGGCTCACGAACTCCGTGAGGATCTCTCAAGAAAAGGTCTACAGTCTCCTTCTCGAATCGTTGTACTTCTCGTGATTCCAAGAGGGGAAATGGAGGATTGATACCTTGCACGCGGATCATCTCTTTGGGCAGTTCCAGTGCAACCGCGTGGCCATCCTATTCTCGTCAGCTTCCGGCTCCAAGAGATTGCGATGTTCAACACGAACAAGAAACCTATTCTCTTTGAAAGCATGTGTAATGACAGTGATCATATGTGGCCACGCCTCTTCAACTTCATAGTACTTGACGAGAGAGAAGAGCAGGTTCTGGTAACTGTCCGTTGCGGCGTCTTCACACAAAATTCTGCCATCTGCCATGGCTTGTTGCACAAAGTCAGACTCTCCGAAGCACTGCATGAGGACATTCAGATAGCTAGCAGCCTCGCTCGAGGGCGCATCCCGTTCGGTCTTTGCGCCCGAGAAGACGAGAACGGTGCCTTCTCGACGGAGGGCATTCACTCCGGCCTGGATATGCAGCAGAAAAGTCTCATGTTCACCTGGCTTCCCAGTAGAAGGATTGGACCGCTGGAAAGGCTTTAGCAGCCAACTCGGTTCTTCATACGGATTGCTGAGAAGGCAAAGGGTGTAAACAACTGAGATGGCAAACGCAGACAAGTGAAGCCTTACGAGGTATCAACGCAAATTGCATGGCAGCAAACTATGACCAATTCACCCATGACGACGCTCGAGTGCTGTTACAGAGGGCAACGGAGAAGTCTGAACTGGGGCGCAGCTAGCTGAATATGCACAGCGTAGAGTGAAGACGGTCAAAGCGCAGAGCGGACGCGAATCACTCGGAGGACTTTGAAAAGCTACTTGTTCGTATGGGTGAAGATCAGGTGGCGGCAATGGTGCTGACGCTGTTGAGAGACACAGTGGTCTGCAAGAGATGGCGAGTCGCTGCAGGAGGCGGATTGGCAGTCGGCGGTCAGGCAGGCCGAGTGGTCCAAAGGTTGTCTCATGTTCAGTTGCCAAGTGACAGGAGGTCACTGCTTGAGCGGTGGGCGCGTCAAAACAGCAACGAGCTATATTTGGATCACGACTCGGTGGAGGTTGCTGGTGGAATAGAGAGATTGAGATGGAGGTTCAAGGAAGATGATAGTCACAGCAAGGGGGAATAGATGATACAAATAGCAGAGGCCTTGAATGAGGGAAATCAAGAGTTTGGAGAGTAGCTGTGGGCGGGTGTTTCGAAGCGCAGCAGTCGTTTCAGGATGGTGGCTTGCATCTCCGCAAATCCAGAGGTGCGTACGAGGCTCAGGGACCACGAGCAATACAAGTTTCTTGTTTCTTTGTCCGAGTGTCATTCGCCCTTGACAGGGAGAGTTTTCTTGTCGTTTCAACATCTTCTTTTCCTTCTTTTCTGTCTTCGATCACATCACCCGCTCGTCGCAGACTTGACACTTGGCGTTGTTTCATTGCATTCCTCTTTTGATACCGTACCAAGCTTGACACTCGAGTAAGGGGTAACCATCCAAGAGATTGCCGAGCATGGCCTACCACGGAGTTCCAGGCGGCTACGACCACGATGCCATAAACAACGACGTGCGCAGACTTCTCTCACAACGTCAAAGATGGACAAGAAGATGACTGACAGGCGGCACCCGCAGTACCACAACCAGCACGAGTCTGACGAGGAGGTCGAGCGTTCGCTGCTCCATACCAACCCCACAGGCGCCTACCAGGGCCCCTTTGACGACTCGCACTCGCACACGCCCGCTGCACAGGATCACGGCTACAGCTTGACAGAATCCTATGCAGATCACAACCCCCACCACGCCCCGCCATTCGACACATACGACGAGTACCGAGGAAACAATCTCCAGGATCCAGGTTACAACCCTTCTGGCTCTCCAGTGTCCCGCGCACAAACAACGTCGACCGAGGCATGGGAGGCAAGAGCGCAAATCGGTGGTCCTGCTGCTGGCGGCGGTGGCCTCAAGCGCAATGCCACACGTAAGGTCAAGCTGGTCCAGGGCAATGTCCTGAGTGCCGATTATCCCGTACCCAGTGCCATTCAGAACGCCGTTCAGGCCAAGTACAGAAACGATCTCGAAAGTGGCAGCGAGGAGTTCACCCATATGCGCTGTAAGTTCTGTTTGATCAAAAGGACGAAGCTCGTTCAGCGCTGACCCCCTGAACAGACACTGCAGCAACTTGCGATCCCAACGACTTTACTCTCAAGAACGGCTACAATCTTCGTCCAGCCATGTACAACCGCCACACCGAGCTTCTGATTGCAGTGACATACTACAACGAAGACAAGGTCCTCACTGCTCGCACCCTGCACGGTGTCATGCAAAACATCCGAGAAATCGTCAATCTTAAGAAGTCCGAATTCTGGAACAAGGGTGGCCCAGCGTGGCAGAAGATTGTCGTCTGCTTGGTCTTCGACGGTATCGATCCTTGCGACAAGGGCACTCTGGATGTGCTGGCCACGATTGGTATCTACCAGGACGGAATCATGAAGAAGGATATTGACGGCAAGGAGACTGTTGCTCACATCGTGAGTTGATTTGCCTGAGAATCGTCAAGAGACTTTTCACTGACCATTTGCAGTTCGAATACACAACTCAGCTCTCGGTCACGGCCAACCAGCAACTCATCCGCCCGCTCGACGACGGCCCGACAACTCTGCCTCCTGTGCAGATGATGTTCTGTCTCAAGCAAAAGAACAGCAAGAAGATCAACTCGCATAGATGGCTGTTCACTGCCTTTGGCCGTATCTTGAATCCCGAAGTCTGTATCCTGCTCGATGCTGGAACAAAGCCTGGTCACAAGTCCCTGCTTGCTCTATGGGAGGCCTTCTACAACGATAAGGACCTCGGTGGTGCTTGCGGTGAGATCCACGCCATGTTGGGTCCTCGCTGGAAGTTCCTTGCCAATCCTCTAGTCGCCGCTCAAAACTTCGAGTACAAGATCTCCAATATTCTTGATAAACCTCTTGAGAGTTCGTTCGGATACGTCAGTGTCCTGCCCGGTGCTTTCTCCGCCTACCGCTTCCGCGCCATCATGGGCCGCCCTCTGGAGCAATACTTCCATGGTGACCACACTCTGTCCAAACAGCTCGGCAAGAAGGGTATCGAGGGTATGAACATTTTCAAGAAGAACATGTTCTTGGCCGAAGATCGTATTCTGTGTTTCGAGCTGGTCGCAAAGGCTGGTTCCAAGTGGCATCTTACCTACGTCAAGGCCTCCAAGGGTGAGACCGATGTGCCTGATAGCGCGCCTGAGTTCATCGGTCAGCGTCGTCGTTGGCTGAACGGTTCCTTCGCCGCCTCCATCTATTCTCTGGTCCACTTCAGTCGCATGTACAAGAGTGGCCACAACATCGTCCGCATGTTCTTCTTGCACATCCAGCTCATCTACAACATCTGTCAACAAATTCTCACTTGGTTCGCACTCGCTTCTTTCTGGCTGACTACAACCGTCATCATGGATCTTGTCGGAACTCCTAGCTCGTCCAATAACCAGAAGGCCTTCCCCTTCGGCAATGACGCTACTCCCATCATCAACACCATCGTCAAGTACATCTATCTCGCCTTCGTCCTCCTGCAATTCATCCTCGCCCTCGGAAACAGACCCAAAGGTTCAAAATTCACCTACATCGTCTCATTCTGCTGGTTCGGTCTCGTCCAACTTTACATTACCGTCGACGCACTATATCTGGTCGTTCACGCCTTTACGGGCGGTCCAGGCTTTGATACAGACAGTGCCAGCGATTTTGTAAAGTCCTTCTTCTCCTCGACGGGTCCTGGAATCATTGTCATCGCCTTGGCCGCAACCTTTGGTCTCTACTTTGTCGCTTCCTTCATGTACCTCGACCCCTGGCACATGTTCACATCATTCCCCCAGTATCTTCTGATCATGAGCTCGTACATCAACATTCTCAACGTCTACGCCTTTAGTAACTGGCACGATGTGTCCTGGGGAACCAAGGGTGCCGACAAGGCCGACGCACTACCATCAGCCAAGACAGAAAAGGCACAAGACGGCAAAGCGACGGTGATAGAAGAAGTGGATCTGGCACAAGCAGACATCGACTCACAATTCGAGACCACCGTCAAGCGCGCCCTGACACCTTACGTCGCACCCAAGGAAAAGGACACCAAAACGCTCGAGGACTCGTACAAGAGTTTCCGCACTCGTCTGGTTGTCTTCTGGATCTTCAGTAACGCGTTGCTCGCTGTTGCCATCACCAGCGACAACGTGGATAAGTTTGGTTTCACGAGCGGCGCTAGCAAGCGTACTGCGAGATTCTTCCAGGCTCTGCTGTGGGCGAATGCTGTGGTTGCGCTTGTTCGCTTCTGTGGTTGTTGTTGGTTCTTAGCCAAGTCTGGATTGCTGTGCTGTTTTGCACGCAGATAGGAGTGTTTACTCATCTTAACGACATTTGCATTTGCACAAAAAGAAAGATTGTATCTGGAGAGCTCTATGACACTGTTTGCTAGTGGAGGTTTGGGTTTTGCATCGTCTTGTTTTTTCCTTTCAGTTTGTTCTACAGCTGCATCTTTGCATCACGATTGGCTTATATACCACTGGTTGGTTTTCGGAAGCCACAGAAGTTACTTGCATATTCACGCTCTTGCCTGCCCTCGTCATTATGATCCCGTAATATATTGAGATGTAACATTGTGACATTTGTTACACCGTTTACAAAATATTGACGGGACACAACGAGTGCTGAGCGAGACAACACGTAAGAAGGTACAGAATCAAGGAACGAAAGTGCGGATGGTATACCACGAAGGGGTCAACCTTCTATAAGAACCATGGAGTAATATTGACCATAGGTCATATGCTATGTATCTCGTCGTGATCTGCGCGAATGCTCCAATGACTCGTTCCCACGGCGCTGCCTTCTGGACGCCTTGCAGAGGATAGCCATGTATGATAAGGCAGCTCCCACAAATCTGCAAATTTGGTGAAACCTGCCGTGTCAGAGTCGTGGCGTGGACGGACATGTGCCGGTTTGGCAGTTGAAGTATTTAGTTTGAGCAAATCAAACTCGTCTTCAACCCGATCGTAGGGCCATGTCGACAATGAGTTTTCCTCTTTCTCCTCCCAAGAAGCCAGCACTGTCCTCTCCCTCGTCTTGCTCAAGGTCGAGACTGGCATCGTATGCTCTGCGAACCATCTCTTCGTCAACCTTGACTCCGTTCTCGGCTAGCGCTCTGATACATCCAGCAACTCTGGCAATCTCTTGTCTCGTGTCGGAGCTGATGTCGTCATTCTGGCTCGAGTACATTGTCGTGCTGACCTGCTCTTCGATCCTGGTAATGCTGACATCCTTGCTCTTGTCGGCTTCGATATGCTTGGAGATCCAGATATAGCCGTTGACACCCAAAATGACATCGACCTCTCCTCCTCTGCTGGACGTCTGCAGTGTGAAGATCTGTCTCTTGGCTCTGACCACACCAGCACCACCTCCTACACCAGACACAGCCATAAAGTATCCGTTGCGCAACTTTCCGTATTTTAAACTGCGCGTGTGTAGCGACGCACTGCCATCTTGGAACAAACTCTGCACCTCTGCAACCAACAACTCTCCTTCTTCAAAGAAGGTGCGGATGTTCAACTCATCAACACTGGTCCTCTTTCTCAAGATTCCACCAGGCAAATTGATACTGCTGAGTGGTAGTGCAGCAGTCAATGCGCCAGCAACGTCGACCTTCCACCGTCTACTCTGCACCTCCACAATGCGACCGATGACCAAATCTCCGATTTCTGGTGTGTAGCGTGCGCGCAAGGGCACTACGGAAAGCAATTTATTGGTCTTTTGGAGGGTGCCGGCGAGAGTGCTGCGGATGATGGGGGCGAGGTCTGCGGAGGAGGAGGAGTCGTTTGTGTAGGTGCCGTGGCCGCGCATCCATTGCGGGTCCGAGGTGATGACTTCGCCGGGCGTGATGATGGTTTTGGAGGGGCGGGCGGCGTGGTCGGTGGTCGAGGTGTCGAGGTCTATTTCGTCGTCCGAGTCGACGTCGCGGGACCTTGTGGCAGCCGGTGCTGCGGGTGCAGGCGAGAAGATTTGGATTGGCATTGTGGTTTTGTGTGGGTTTTGATGTGGTGAAAGGTGGAATCTGGACTTGCGAATAATTTCTGGAAGCTCGAAAGTGATGCAATTGATGCAGCAGTGCCAAGCTTGTGCACGAGTTATGTAAATACTTTATGATGCGATGGATTATGTATCATATCATATCTACCCACAACTCCAGCGACAACACTTCAAGCCAATCTATTACACCCTTTGTTTACTCAAAGCTAAATCTGCTGTTCGGTCGTGAATCTGGCTCTCCATCATCCCGTCGCTCATTCAATAGCACAACCTCTTCGGGCTGGACGCCTCGCCGGTCCGCCGGGCCTGCCGTTGTTGGTGTTGCAGGATTACTTCTATCAACACCATTGTACACCTCTTCTCGTCTTCGCATCATCTCCTTCTCTGTAATCGTCCTGCCATCTGCTTGTGCTAGTTCTGGCATATCGCCAGGCATCTCGTAGATTTCCAGTCCTCCGGCTTCGCTTGCTGCTCCTGGTGATGCCAGACCTCCTGAGACCGAATCTCTTTGTGTAGATGACCATGTGCTGCCTCCATATCCTATCGTTGTAGGACTTGCTAGGCTCGACTCTGGGCGTAGCGGCGGTTTGGGGTCGTCGTGGACGGTTGATCCTTCTAATTCTGCTTTGGGGAAGACGGTGGTCCCCTTTTCTCCAATGCCGATTGTTGTGCGAGAAATCGAATCTCTGGAAGGCGATGATTCGTCTCCTGTCTCACTTCCTGCCGAGTGCGACTTCTTCTTTCTGTCACGGCGGACAAGCCATGTGGCCAGACCAATCAAGGCTGCCACTCCAATCACGCTTCCTGCTACAATGCCACCAATCGCACCACCACTCAAGCCTGCTGATTTTTTGCCGTCTTTCGATGTCGTTGAGGTGTTGACTCCAGAAGAAGCTCCAGAGTATCCACTGTTCTCAGACGATGGTGCAGGCGTGATCGTGATGATCTCAGTAGCATTACCAGTATTCTGTGGCCACACACACTGCGAGACGTTGAACTTTGCGCGTTCATAGTCCACGGTGATATATGCCTCTTGCATAAAGGTGCGGCCAAGCGTGTACTGGCTACTGTTTGCCGCTCGTCGCAGCGGGAAGTAGCTCGATCGATCAGCCAATCCTTGGTAGGGCGATTGCGCCGTCATATCGAATGCAGCGTATGGCAGTGAAATTGTCGTCTTCTGAAGGCCTGCAGCTGTGGTTCCGATGGTGAAGTTGACAGCTGCATTGCGAGCCAATAGCGATGCGTGAAGTGACGAGTTGACGAGATAAAGGTTGTATGTAGAATCCCAGGTAAGACCAAACTCTCGTTCAAATGCCTGACATGCATCAAGGGGAAGCCAGATCTGGCTGATGGTGGAGTCGATTGATGCGTATATCGGTGCTGGTAACAGCGAGACGCTAGACGATGAGTTGAGTGCTTGAGTGTTGATAGACTGTATCGCGACGACAGTGTCTTCTGCGTAATTAGAGGCAAAGTCGAACTCGACATCATTGACCTCAAAGCGGTTCTGATCATATCCGCCTAAAGTCAGAGATCCAGCTACACCTGAGAAGCGGTAAGGAGCACCTGCAGTGTAGCCAAAAGAAATACTAGGAATTGCGCCTTGTCCCTTCAGCTTCGTCATAAGACTGAGTCCAGAGGAAGTATCCGACCAGTTGGTGGGTTTGGGATTCAATCCCAGGCTTCCAAGCCAGAAGTCCGATACAGCGAAGGCACCTACTATCGAGCCTCCGACAGTCGTTTGATTCGAGTCACTTAGGACGACTTGGTCGTATCCATAGTATGCATTGCCACTCAAACCAAAGTCGTCGATGGTTTGCTCGATTCCAAACTCAAAGATTCCTACATAGCTCCAGTCGGATGATTGACTCAAATTGAAGACTTGTCCGCGGGATGTGACACAGTCATTATAGTTGGAGTATCTTGCACATCCTTCAGGAGCCACGACTAAGGTTTGGAAAGACTGCCATGATGGAAGTACGCGAACCTCTTGCGCTGGAATTCCTACACGTAGGTCAAACGAGGACCAAGTGCCATCAAGACCATCCCTGAAAACCATCAGTAAGTTTTCGCATGCTCCTTGTTGAAATTGCATACCAAGTTTCACTTGGATTGATGACCAGTGGTTGCACTTTACACGAGACTCTCGCAACAGTTGTTGCCAGAAGAAGCACCACTCCAGTAGGGATAAGAGGACTAGAGAGAGGGAACACCATGGTGTTAGGTTTCCTAGTTGACAGAGAAGCCAAGGTGGATGTCCAAGACTACATGAGAACCAGCTGCGCGCGCGTCAAGCGTCTCTACAGGCTCTCGGCTCGCAGATTCTTCTTCTCTCACTTCGATGGATTTGACAGCGATTTGTGCAGGGAAGAAGAATCAGAACAGCAGCCTCGTCGCCATCAGCAAAAGATTGTGGAATCATGAATCCGTCGGTTAGACCGAAGAGCTAGGCAATCCAAGTGCGCCAATCGCATGGCGTTCGGGCGGGTTGCGTCTAAAACGCGACCACGCATGCAACATCACCCATGTCGCTTGTTCTTTTGCTGGGCGCTCCTCGTAAAGGATTCTGGCCTAATACCGCATGTGGCTTACACCTCGCTGATCACAAACGAAAGTGGATTTGTACACTCCTACAAAAAGCATACAGTAAGGGACGGCATGATTCCAGGGTGCTGCTGTTTCCAGACTCTTGTTCAACAATCATCCAAGTCGAGTTCACGGCACCTTTGGAGTCTGCAAGGGGAGGTTCGGATATCGCGGTGGGTTCCTTGCTTGGCAGCATGTGCATATGATCGGCTAGTTAGGTAAGTTTTATGCATCGTCTTCTACCAAACACAGCTCCATCGCGCGAGACCCCGCGGAGCAGACCTGTTTCCTTCTTTGTCAGAACCAACCCGATGAAACGCAAGGAACGAGGATACAAGCAGCAGCAGTATCGTGCCATGCCGCTGGCCTAGACTGAACGACACTTCTCGGACTTTGACTATTTGACATGTGTTGCATGTTGAGAGGTACTTGTAGTTACATCAGATACCATATCCCTGCTGAGTGCTGAGCGCTGAGTCTGCTCCGAGTGGAGAACCCGATTTGAAGGACGATTGTCGTGAGATCCCCGCACGTTGTTGTCTCTTCATGCACGACTATTTTGAGCGAGGCTGATGTTGTGTCACCGTCGTTAGCGATGGTTGCACTCAGATCTCGCTGGTCGACTAAGAGACATGTCGAATATGGCATGGCATATCTTTACAATTGATCCATTCCTCAGCGAGCTACAAACCCGTATCGCGCACTGACAAGGGAACGTCGTGGCTGCGTGCCGGCTCTCAGCCCCCCGAGAGGTGTTCCGGAGACGAGAGGTAAGCTTTGAGGGCCTGGAGGCTGGGGCTGGCAGGCGCAGGATCCTGCACGCACGGCCGGGATTTGCAGCCAGTCAGCAGGTATCTACCGCCTGTCTGAGATAGATGTTGAGTCAAACTAATAGACGCGGTAGGCCTCGCAAATGTACAGGGTGCTCTACCTCCGTACTCGTCATGCCATTCCGCTGAAGCCTTGCCTGCAGATTTGCGTGGACCCACTACCCGATCAACTCACACTTCCCTGTCTTTACATTAAGGATAGCGGATCAGCCTTGGCATAAGCGATGTTCTTTCGTCTTTTCCTTCAACGGGCCATCGAGTAGCAAAATACCGTGACATTGACCTTGCGAAATCGTCTCTGGTCGTTTACTTCTCCTTTTCACCATTCAGCGTGTTTTTCCAGCAGTCTCTCGTTAACACAGCCTGTCCGTCATGAGATTCTGTTCTCGTTAAGAATCACACTTCGAACTGGTGCAACGCCAACATGTCGTTTTACACTCTCGCTTTTATCGCTTTGCTCGCCAGAGGTGGCATTTGCGCAGATCTACAAAGACCTAATGGTGCGCAAAAGACGAAATCATGTTATATTATACTATATTTCTGTACTGACTCGAAGCAGGGTGGAACCTTACTTCCTCATCGACACCTTCCACAATTACATCTCATGTTTCAAGCACATCCACAAGCCTAGGCTCTCCGTCCATCTTGCTCACAACATTGACTGTTTCACACAACGAAACTGTCATAGGATCGACGCCAACAGCATATGACCGACCATCTCCGTCGTCAACACATGACAGCCAACTTTCTTCTGAGACTCTGGATTCACCTCAACCATTTACAGCACAAAGCAACTCAATATTGTCGTCGCCGCATGGTGCTGATAGTACAGGTGTCTTGCCAGAGAATGTCCAACCACTAGAGTCACCGACAACGTCTGCCATCATTCCGTCAATCGTGATACCGTCAGGCCTAGCCAACCCATCAAAAGGACTGTGGGCGCCATCATCAGGGAATGTTCAATCAGAATCGGCTTTTCCAACTGCTCAGACGGCCGTCGAAGTCGAGTCGCAAGCTTCACAGACTCCCCAGCCCGCAAATGCAGAAGCCGCTTCGCCTGCGTCAGAGTCCGAGGAAACACTATCAAGTACCTGGCAAGTTGGTATCTCACCGATCGCTCTGACAACAAGCTCCACCCTGTCAGACCAATCTATAGTGCAATCGACGAGTAAGGCTGGCTATGGCGGCATAGGTTCTCTGATATGGTCAGGACTCTCTGGATCTCTACCGACTGACAACGCTGGTCAGGTGTCAGGGCAATTAAGCTCGATCGTCCTCGAAACATCGACTGTGGTCATCATACCAAGCGATGGCTTCGGCACTGGTACGAGCGTCGGCTCTGGCACTGGACCTGTCTACCCAAGCGCCACAACATACTCGCCTACGATTCAAACTCATAGCAGCCAAGAGATCTCAACTGGTAGCAGTCCTAGTGCGTTCTTTACGCCAAAGTATTCATTCAGCTGGAAATTCAACACTAGTACCACTCGTCAGTCTGTCGGAACTGGTGTGAAGCTGCCTACTGCCAATATCCCTTATCACCCGCCCCCCAAACCTTCCCATCATGGAGGCGACAACGTGAGTAATGCAACTTGTGGAGGTACGACTGTCAACATCCCGGATGCGACATTAGACTACTGGTATACCACGACGCTTGATTATGCAGCAGCCACGTTCTCGATTCAATTTGACCGTAATGATTCAGCTACTGGATGGACGCTCCTACCTGCTACAACTACATTCAACGTCACCGATGCATTGCAAGACCCGACTACCTACTATGTCCCTTCCACCATCACGAATGATGCCAATACCACTTCCATCTCATATTACACGACGGTGGACATCAGCCCGACGCCCGTCTATGGCTCCACGGTCGTCGTTACCCAGACAGCAACCAGTGCACTCAATACTTCTACTGGCCTAGGCGATATACCCTCTGATGCAGTGATTACCCCACCACCAGCAAGCACTGTGTTGTCCGCCGGGCCAAATCAGCCATCTCTCACTGCCTTGACCAACACCCATTTTGTGTACTTCTCACAGTATGCTCTCGATACTGAGCACACAACTACACATAATAACGGCACACCGGCCTGTGTGACTTCAAGAGAGATTAAACATCTCGGACGCAACTTCGCCATGGCATACTTCGGAGATGACCCTGATGGCCAAGCACTTGTCACTGGTGCTCTATCTGAAGAATTTCTAGATCTTCTCCCTGCCCATCTCAGGCTTGCGGTAGGTGTCTTCACCGCGGAACCTACCCTCATTGTTCCTGTTCAGGTGGACTATGCTGCAGAAGCAGCTCTAGCTGTCTCGCAGACAGCACCAGCAGCAGCATCGGCATCGCAGGCGAAGAGTTATGGATCGTTTCCTTTCGCATACTCTTCAGCTTTCCCAGCTACTTCGTATCAGATTGTTCCACTCCCTACCCTCACCCAACCCGCATTCGCTCCAGTTTTCAGCAGTCAAGCACCACCACGACCACCGGTAATCTTCTTGAAGCCAACTGGCACATCGAGCATTGCCGTTACTCAGACACAGCTTGCGACAAACTTTTACATCGTTTCTCCTACGAGTGCCAGCGTACAGATCCAGAAAACGCAAACTCAGCTTGATCTGGGACCATACGTGGGACCCACGCAAGTTCCTGTAGGTGGGCAGACCGGAGCTAAGGGAGAAAACTCGGGAGGTAGTGGCTCGGGTGGTCAAGGAAACAATGCAGGCAGCGGGATCGGCTCGGAGAACGGGTCGAACGGAGGATCAGGCGGCGTTTCGAACGGAGGCTCTTCAAGTGACAACTCGGGCAGCGGCTCGAACAGTAATGGCAATTCAGGCAATGGTGGTAGTGGTTCGCAAAATGGCGGCACATCTGGAGATTCAGGTTCAGGTTCTGGAAATTCTGGTAGCTCTGGCAACTCAGGCAACTCCGGTGACTCCAATGATATTTCGAAGGGATCAAGTTCAGGAGGTTCAAGTTCTGGAAACAGTGGTTCCGGAGCTTCGTCAGGAGGATCAACGAATGGCGGCTCGCAGAGTGGCAACGCTGGCGGAAGCTCAGGAGGCAGCGGCTCTTCTGGCAATGGTGGTTCTGGATCCAATGGCGGCTCGCAACCTGATACTGGAGGTGGTAAGGTCATCATTCCTGTGCCTGTTGTCATTACCATTGGTTCTACAAAAGCGACCGTGAATCCTGGATCCTCGGTCGTAATCGGAACGCAGACGCTAGTGCCGCAGAAAGCAGCAATCACGATCAATAATACGCCTGTGTCTATTGGGTCGACCGCCGTTGTCGTAGGAGCCAAAACTCACGCCTTCCAGGGCTCGACCTTCCAAGCAGCAGGACCAAGCGCCCCCACGGCCATCACCTTTGGTGGTTCAGTCATCACACAAGTCCCGGTACCTGTGTACAACGTTGGAGGATCGAGCGTTCATGCAGGGGAGGCTGTGACCATCTCAGGTACCATCGTATCTGCTGCCCCTAGTGGCGGGGTGCTATTCATCGGCTCAGATACCGTGTCTATCGGTACACCAAGTTCTCCGATCACGCTGAGCACTGCTGGTAGACAAGTCATTGTCAACCCGACGCCTGCATTCGTGGTCGGCGGTCAAACTCTAGCAGCAGGTGGTCCGGCAGTGACAGTAGACGGCACTCGCTTGTCTCTGGCTCCTTCTGCAACGGCGATTGTAGTCGGCTCTGAAACTTCACAGATTGCAGCACCGGTCAATCCGACTCGAGGCGCACTTCTCACACTCGGCTCAAAAACTCTGACTGCAGATGCTTCGACACATTTCTCGATTGCACCCGGTGTCACTTTGGTACCAGGCGGTTCTGCCACGATTGATGGCACGACTGTCCATCTTGGTCCATCTGGATTCCTAGCATCACTTGCCGTAGTGAATGGTGTGACTCAAACCCTATCACCTCCGCTCATCACCCCTGCGCCTGCCTTCTATCTGGGTGGCAACGCTTATGGAACCAATGGCGGAGCGGCGTTCGTGGTAGATGGCCAGGTTCTCACACCTGGCGGGGCGATCACCGTGTCGGGTACTCCTGTATCTTTCGTCAAGGAAGGTACCGCTGTTGTCGTCGGTGGCTTCACTCAAAAGCTCCCACAAACACATGCTCCTGCAGCCCCCGTGCTGAATTTCGCTGGACAAGCCTATACCGCACAAGCTGATTCAGCTTTCGTCGTAGGAGGGCAAACACTTATACGTGGAGGCGTTATAACGATATCGGGTACAAAAGTCTCGTACGTCAACGAAGGCACAGCTGTGGTTGTCAACGGCGAAACACAAGCTCTCTCTCAAGCAAGCCCGACGTCTGCACCAGTAGTGACCGTCGGAGGCCAACAATATACAGCTCGTATTGGTTCGAACTTTGTGATCAATGGTGCTACTTTGATACCGGGTGGTCAAGTTACCATTGACGGCACGACGATTTCCCTTGCAAATGGAGGGGAAACAGCTTTTGTGAATGGAGTTTCTCAGACATTGTCAAGAGGCACATCAGGATCAGAAGCTGTGTTGAGCATTGGCGGCCGTACATATACTGCCGGAAGTGGGCCTAACTTCGTGATTGGAGGCCAGACTCTAATCCCTGGTCAGGCTATTAGCTTCGATGGCACGTCAGTGTCCCTCGTTTCTGGTGGAAGCGCTGTGGTCGTGAATGGTGTCACTCAAACATTCTCCTCAGAGAGCCCGACGAGAGTAGCAGCCATCTTGACTATCGGAAGTCAGACGTATACTGCCCGTTCCGGAACTTCCTATGTGATTGAAGGTCAAACTCTGATTGCTGGCAGTGCTATAACTGTTGATGGTACTACGATATCGTTACAGAGCGGAGGCACTGCTGCTGTCGTTGACGGTGTCACTCGAACTATTTCGCAAGCGACACCAGAGGCCGTGCTGAACCTCGGCGGCAAGACCTATACCGCTCAATCTGGCTCCTTTGTGGTCGAAGGCCAAACACTGAAGCCAGGAGCTGTGATCACGGTCGAGGGCACAACAGTGTCGCTTGCTGCTGACGAGACAGTTGCCGTCATCAACGGAGCAACGACAACCTTGGCCGAAGTTACAGCACCTGCAGGATTGACTTTCGGTGGCCACGTATATGCAGCCCAGACGGGTACAGCTTATGTGGTCGATGGGAAGACATTGACCCCTGGCGGAGTCCTGACTTTGGCAGGCGGAACCACGGTCTCTCTTGCCTCTTCTGGTTCGTTTGTTGTGATTAATGGTGTCACTTCGAGTATCCCTTTCACAGCAGGAGCGATACAATCCTCAGCTCTGACAGTCGATGGCAAAACATATACCGCATCTTCAGGGTCGTATGTGATCGATGGACAGACCCTCAGCTCTGGCGGAGTCATCACTCTCTCGGACGGCACAACCCTCTCCCTCGGCGCCTCTGTGCTGGTCATTAACGGACAAACTTCTACCTTGCCGACCGCACAACCAATCTCACCCGGAGTTATCACGATCGGCGGCCAAACCTTTACATCTTTGACAGGCAACACCGCTGCACCGAGTTATGTTATCAACGGACAGACTCTCCAACCGTCTGGCTCCAAAGTCACAGCTACCGTGTCAGGAACAACCTACATCATCACTCTCAGTGCCGGTGCTTCGACCGTTGAGATCCAGGTCCTGGGTTCTGGAGGAAGAGTCGTCTCCACAATCTACGAAACCTTGAGGGGTAGCGGTGTTGGAGCAACCACAGTCACCGCAACACAAGAGATTCAAGGCGGTGCTGCGGCATCACCGACCTCGCAACCTAGCTTGACAGCAACTCCGACCAAAGGCAGCAGTGCCAATTTGCAAAATGCGGCTGCACCTAGAGATGGTGCTGTTGGCTTCAGCGTCGCTCTTGCTGCCTTGGTTGCTGTTGCTCTGGCTGTCTTGTAGTAGGAGAGTACGAGAAAGAGGAGGTAATAAATCTTATGGCTTTTACGAATGTGTATGAAACTGGCATGTGTTTCATCTAGCAAAGCGGTTGCTTTTTCTTCCTAGGCGTTTAGAGCAGCGGGCGTGTTATATCATGGCTTCGGAGGATGTAGTAACAAAAGTGGCTGATTTGAGTTCTGAATCTTCTTCCTTCCTCTTCTCATTGAGTAGTATACAGCTTTAGTACACCGATTCCTTCTTTATGCTTGATCCCATGCCGTCCCAGTTCTCGTTGATGTTCGTCTCTGTCGTCACAGCCGTGCAATTCACCTGACCGGCACCTCAACAACCTGATCAATGCCCTCATACGGCGGAACATCCAACTGATACTTCTCCGCCATGTCCTTTGTCAAAAACCTCCCACCCACAAAATGCTTACCTTCAAACCACTTTACCAACGGTTTCGGTGCCGTCAAACTGATCAACGCATCAGGATTGTATTCTTTTCCTGGCCCTTGGTCTGGAGGTCCTGTTTCTATGTTCCAACTACTCGGTGCGTCGACAGCAAGGACTGGAATCTTTGTGGTGGCGAGGGCGGAGATGACGGAAGGGAATGGTTCGCGGACTTCGCCCGAGAAGGAGAAGCCGAAGATTGAGTCGATGATGTAGTCGGTCTGGGAGAGGGAGGAGTGGAAGTCGGAAGTAAATGGCACATTGAGGTCTTGGAGTTGGGTTGTGAGGCGCTGATTCGTCATACTGGTTAGCCTGTTGATCTTTCTCTATCATTTCTTCGTTGTATCTTCTGTGCAGAGAAACAACTTACCTGATACAACTCATTCTTGGGCCGTTTGGGATAGTATACGGTGGGTTTGTAGCCATAGTGCCACAAATGTCTGGCAGCTACCAATCCATCACCGCCATTGTTGCCAGGGCCTACGGCAATCAAGATGCGGTTGCCGCGTGAGGGAGGTTGGAGTTTGAAGAGGGCTTGGGAGACGGAGAGGCCGGCTAGCTCCATGAGTTGGTCGAGGGAGAAGGCGCCGCTGCTCATGAGTTCTTGGTCGAGCGCTGCGGCTGCTTTGGCTCCGAGAGTGCGGAGGGCCATGGTTGCGTTTCTTTGGTATAGAGATGTTGGACTGCTATGAGAGTGGTTTGTGGAATTGTCGAGGTGAGGAAGGTGGCATTCGATGTACGTCATGATCACCCGAGTGGAGCTTTTGTCAGGGTCTCCCTTGGTCGTATCTTGCACCAACATTCCAATGCCATAAATTTCCTGCGATGAGAGACTGCGACGCAAGACTGCACTGCATGTCGTGAAATACTCTGTGAATCAATGTTGAAGATTTGGACCAACACGCTAAATTGATCATCTTTGATGAACGGCAAGCACGACTGAATCTCGTCCTGCGAGGGGGGCACCAAAGCTCAATAGCAACGCTTGTGATGATCAAGAATATCTGACCCGAGTCGCGCCTGTAAAATTTCTAGGATCGCTACCTGCCCGCCCATCAAGTCTCCTCCTATGTACATTTCCTTTCGCCGCCAAACTTTGTCCATTCAAGCCAAACAAACGCCCGACTCCTAGCTAGGTCTCCAATTCGAGCGTCAATCACTTCTTAGGAATATTGCGGCTCGACTCCTTTCTCTCATGCAGCCACTTCTTGACTGGGTTGCTGTCTTTTTGTAGCGGAGCTGGTGGTGTGTGGTCGTGTCTGACATTGGTGGGCGCATTCTCTTCGTACGAGACTCGTTGACAGCACTCCATTCTGCGTACTACGTCTGACGATAGTGCTTCCGCGATGGTTATGCGCTTTTCCGGGTTGGGGTTGAGCATTCTCAGGACCAATCGCTCTAGAGAGTTGCTGTTGAGGAGATGGAAGAGCTTGCCGCAGTCGGGATAATCGTCCGACCCAGGTTCAATCACTCCGTCAGGGCGATCTTTCAACCACTTGTTCCAGCCATTGAGATACTTCTTGTAGTTCGTGTTGTCGGGTGTGGCCTTGACCCATGGGTGCACACCGAAGACCATGCTCAGGAAGTTGATACCGCATGACCACACATCGAGACCTCTTGGATCGTATTCATCCTTCGCGTCCATGACTTCAGGAGAAATGTAAGGTTGGGATCCGAAGATGGCCGGTTGCGAGTACCTAACGCGATCAACCTTGAAAGCCTCGACGTCCATTCCTATACGGAAACTGGGGTGGGGTCCGCTGAAAATCTCGCTCAGTCCAAAGTCGATAATCTTGACGCATCCATCTCTTGTGAGCATGATGTTCTCTGGCTTCAAGTCGCGGTGAGCTATTCCGTGGTTGTGAAGATAGTCGACTCCTCGTAGCAGCTGCTTGAAGAAGCAGTATTTGTCGTTGATGGTCAAATACTTCTTCTCGAGAAGACCAAAGAGCTCTCCATTGTGGCAGTACTCCATGACCTCGCTCCAGATACCATGCGAGAAACAAAGTCTGACGGGCTCGATGATGTTGGGGTGGTGACAAGATTTGGCGATACAATATTCGGACTTGACTTTCTTCACGTAGTCATCCTCGGTCTCCCAAGAGTCACGCCCACGGAATTGCTTGACAGCATAGAGATGGTCTGGGGTCTCTCCTCGGCGTCTCATGAGCTTTACGCATGCATAGCCGCCTTCGCCGATTTGTTTTGGTCGTCTGAGTGGCATTCTGGAGGATGTTTTGAACTCCTTCTCCAGAGGGCAGCACTCTATCGGAAACTCGTTGGGGATGTTTGTCGACAGCCTGCGAGATCTCGTGCCCATGCCCTGGTCTGCGGTTTGTGTGAAGGAGGGGAGAAGGCCAGGAGCATCATCCTGGTAAGTTTGTGCTCTCTTGACTTGAGTGCGTGGCAGCTCGATGCTGCCAGAGCGACGCGAGCTGAAAGACTCATTGCGAGTGTGTCTGGGGTGTGAGCGGTGTTGAAACTCGACCTTGGAGGGGTTCCGACCAGCGAATTCCAGGTCGGTAGCAGACCTAAACTTAATACGTCTGTCGCCTGGGTCTTCTTCCTCTTCGACGGCCAGATGACCTTGCTTTGAAGATGACGTAGAAACAGGATTGGGAGTGGATGTTCCGGTAGTAGCGCCACTGGGAGTGAAAGTAGAGAATACAGCATCGCCGCTCAATTTGGAGGCAGAGCTATCAGGAGCGGTCGCAGCCGAGTCTACTGAGGAGGCGCTATCGTCGCTGCTGTTCCCAAGCTTAGATGCTCCGGCGGTTGTGGAAGACGCTTGAAGATTTGGATCGTCAGGCCCGGAACGGGCTGCATTAGGACCATTCATATCGCTCTCGGAAAGACTCTTCGGGAGAGAAGGAACAGGTGGTTGCGACTCTGGAGTTGCGTTCGCAAAATCTGCAGTCCCCACACCCCCAGCAGAAGAAGCGTCTGGCACCATCAGATTGTGTGGAGGGCCAACGTGCGTCGACCTTGCGGATAAGTGCCGCGGGAGGATGCAGACTCGAGGTTATACGCGTCAGTTATCAAGTCTTCGACAGCGGAGGTAGAGAGGCGCGAAGACCAAGACGGACGAGCAGCCAGCAGGCGCTTATGGCGCGTATTAAGTAGACGGGCTGGAAATCATTTTTCGCATGGGGACATTGGCGGTATCTTTGGGGTTCGGCGAAGGAGCCAGCCTGAGTTTGTCAGTGGCTTACTTGGCACCGATGTTCGCAATCGCGGGGCTTTCGTCCATGTCGGCATCATTGGTTGATTACCTTCCACCTATTCCCGGCTCTCGGTCATAACAAGCATCCAACTCAGTGACATTGGCGAGTAGAAACAAGTTCATTGATTAGACAAGAACAATCACAAAGAAACCCAAACTCCGCGCTGCACGACTGCCGCTCTCAAAATCGACAAAATCGTCATCCCCATGCTATCTCCTCGACCGGGTGGTCTTTGCTTTGCGCTTTGTCGTTTTTGTCGTTGACCCTGCCCTGCCTTGAACGTCTTCCTTGTCCAGCCACCCTTCATCAAGAGCGAGCACCACCAGATCGCTCGCACATCTGAGCCCGCTCTGTGGCATCTCCTCGGGGTCCAATAGCCGATCCACTTTGAGTAGCGCTGCTTCAAGCTCTTCTGCTCTCTGTGCTGCTACATCATCCCGAATGCCTTTACCCGAGCTGGGCCACTCAATCTGTTCGGCAAGCTTGTGCAGGACAAAATGTAACCACACAAGATTCGTCTGTGGGTGGTATCCTTTCCAAGTCCTTCCCGACTCTTCAGCTTCGTCCCATCTCTCCCAGAGATCACCGAGAGGCTCGCCCAAGTACATGGCAGAACGCATGTATCGATAGATCTCGTATTGGTATTCCTCCTCAGCATCACCCTCGAACAATGCCAGATCTCTTTCAAGATCAAGATATGCAACATCCTCCTCGTCTTCTGAAATACCCATCTCTGCTCGTGAGATGGTGTAGTCGATGAGCGTCGTTTCGATGCCTGTAAAGTCGAGCTTCTTGCTTGAGCTTGTCGGAACATAGTCTGCTTCGCGACAATATGCAGCATTGTTGAGACCGGACACACAAATGTTGCCCATATGCAGATCTCTGTGCTCAAATCTGGCAGCCTCTTCTCCCTTGCCCAGCGCTAGCACGACTCCCCAGAAGATATCCCAAGCAAGCCAGACATTGGCTACCTTTGTGTTTTCGAGATCTGTGCCGGCGTCTTGCATTTCAATGACAGCCCACAGCTGATCCTCCGAGTAACTCGCCTTCTTGCTGGGATCAGGGAACACGCTAACCTCCTTGCCCTTGGTCTCTTGAGAATCATTCCATGACGACCAAGCTGCTGCAAAGGCGTCTCCAGGACGGCCCTGCAGTACACAAATCTCGCGGAAGTTTGTGAAACCAGGTGTGCAAGTCATGCGCTGCATCAGTCGTACTTCGGCGGCGACATTTTCAGGGTCGCTCATCATTTCGGTTCGCTTCTTGGCTGCCTTGCTCATCTTCCTCTTTGTCGATGTCGGCGGCTTGAGAGCGATGATCTTAAGCACCGACTCATCCGTCTTGCCTAAGGCGGAGTGCGCTTTGAGAAGCGAGAGACGGTAGACTTCACCAAAAGACGCTTCGGCGATTTTGGTCACTGCAAAATGTGAAGATAGCTGATCAGACCAGGTGGAGAAGGAAGTCAAATCCTGAGACGAAAGCGCTAGTAACGATGCGGCGTGTTTGGTGAACACATTAGAGATGCGAGGTTTGGATATTTCCAAAGCGGCCAGATCGAGTTCGAGTGATTCTATTGGCTTTGGCTCTGTGACTGGCGAGGGCGATGCGATTTCAGCCACTTGAGGCTCTTCCGTAACACTCTCAGTTGACATGTCTGATGCTGCTGGTTGTGACTCCTGGCTGACAGGTTTCTTTGGTCGTTTGTCTGACTGTGTCTTCTTGGGCTTCCCATGTTTTGTTTTTCGCTCTCTCGGGGAGACGGATCCAGTGCTGGTCACGGATTCGCTGCTTGTCGTCCTTTGCCGAGCCAGCTTGACAGGTCTCTCGGTGTTTGCGATTCTCTCGCAGAGCGCCTCTCGCTCAGGAGAGGATTCAACGTCATTGTTCGCGAATTTTGTCTGGACGCTCAGCCGCGAAAGCTCTTCGGCAACCTCGATGACCTCGAATGAAGTCGTCTCTTGTTTTCGTTGTTTAATAGGACTCTGAAAGCTACTGAAGCCGGAATATAAATGCGACGGCTTGCCGTAGACTGCTTTGCGAGGCATTTTGGTGGATTATGGTTTGCTGAAGAACGAATGTAGGTACAAGAATGACACTGGCCGACAGGCTCGGACTTGTTGTGCTTTGCAAACAAACGACGTTGTCAGGGCAAACTCAAATCTAATCGTGCATTTCCTCCACCCAATTCATGACTCGGGCTTCATCTATTCTACACACATAGCGACTTTCGAAACAAGTCAGGATAATCAGAAAATCTACGGGAGCTGGCCTCCCTCATTGCTTGACTCTCGTTCATCTGTGAATATTCCTTCGATCATGGCGAACAAGGAAACTACACCGTCAGCACCGCTGGCCAAAACTCCCGAGTCGGATCCTTTTCTCTATGTCTTGCGGGCAATGTGCATACTGGAACTGGCAGCTATCTATTCACCCTTGTCACAGCTGACCTTGGCCCCTGTGTATGGATCTATACCCTCATCTGTCTACCACCATGAGATCACCTCTGTCATCGTCCTCTTGGCTCTCACTCGAAGCAGCCTCCTTTCGCGCTTCATGCCAACCAAACTCGAATACTACATCCCCATCCTGGCCTCGAGTATTCCTCTCATTCAGTCATACTTGTACAAATACAGTACTCTTCTTGGTGCGGACTTTGGACCCCTCGTCACCGAAGGACTTACCTACTATCCTTTACTAGTCATGAGCACATATTCTGCCGCTCGCCTTCTCCTGGATGCTAAGATCGACCAATATCTGCATGCTGCCATGGGATCCACCATACTCGGTCTCTCTACTTACGGCTTTTTCGTTCTCGTCCGATCTAAATCTAGCTTCCTGATCTCCCAGTTCTTTGCACTCTCTGCCACGTTGACCAGAGTAAGCCTCCAATGCGTTGTGGCCGCCTTATTCACAATCCTGTCGCCATCGAAATTAAGTCTTCTTGCCATACCTGCCATGATCCACACCATGTGGTTCAACCCTCATTTCGTATCGCCGCACACAGACGCATTGGCCAACTCGACCCTGCAAGCAAATCAATGGAACTTGTTGGAACGCGCAGAGTCGAATACTGGTTACATCTCTGTTCTGGAGAATCTGGATGCTGGATACCGAGTTCTTAGGTGTGATCATTCGCTCCTGGGTGGAGAGTGGTTGGTCACGAATGAGAGAAGAAGCCAAGGCATCAGTACTTCTGAGCCCATCTACTCTGTCTTTGAGATATTGGAAGCCGTTCGTCTAGTCGAGACAACAGACAGCACCGTGCCGGACAACAAGAAGAGCGCGCTCGTCGTGTAAGTTGGGTTGCACGTGATTTGCAGCTTAGCAACTGACAACCCGTAGAGGTCTAGGTATCGGCACTGCACCCAAGGCTCTCATTGCACATGGAATCGACACGACAGTGGTAGAGCTTGACCCCAAAATCCACGAGTACGCGACAAAGTACTTTGACTTGCCTACCAACCATACCGCTGTATTGGAAGATGCCGTTGCATGGGTCCAAAGCGCATCGACAAATGCTGTCAAGCAATACGACTATATCATCCACGACGTGTTTACTGGAGGCGCGGAACCCCTTCCGTTGTTCACAGACCACTTCCTGGGCAACTTGCGCTCTCTTTTGACACCCGATGGCGTAGTCGCTGTCAATTATGCCGGCGACCTCGGCGACTCTTCGACAAAGCAGGTGATCAACACCATCAACCTCGCATTCGACCGTCAATGTCGCATGTTCCGTGACTCTGAGCCATCTTCTGAGACTGGAGCAACTGATTTCCTCAACATGGTCATCTTCTGCAAGAACGCAGCTGACGGCAAGCTGGATTTCCGTGCACCCGTCGAGGCAGACTACCTGGGCACTGTGTCGCGCAGACACTATCTCGCGCCCAAGAAGGCGCTCGAATTGAAGTTTCCTACCGAGGAAGAGATGGAAGGGGAAAATGTACGGACACTCACTGTTGATAATCTCAGCGAGTTCGAGAAGAAGCAGATCGAGTCTGCCAAAAGACACTGGAAGATTATGAGGCTGGTTGTACCGGACTTTGTGTGGGAGCTTTGGTAATGCTTTACTATCCTGATGGGTCTACCACCCTTCATCTCATCAATCACAAAAACATTGGCGATTCTGGTTGACTGCACCTCCGTCGTGCGGACAATGAACATTGTTTCCTGCTCGAGGGTCCATAATTGACGCCTGTCCGTCTATCTGAACATCGAACTTGTCGATTGTTCCTTCGTCGGCCAATATACGTAGGGTTATATATTACCTGGGACTCTTGATCTCTCATTCAACCGGATGCGGAAAATTCCGCTTCCGGTTCTGGCGCTCTGGCCGAGTGGTTAAGGCGTTTGACTCGAATGATCTTTCACATCTTCAGCTATCAAATCCTTTCGGGGGCAAGAGTTCGAATCTCTTGGGCGTCGACATCTTTTTGCTTTTGTGTGGAGACTCTGAGTCTTTTTGGTTGGGGGGAGTTGTTGGAGTTTGGAAGCGGATTGCAGTGATGTATCAAGATTGTGGTGGACGGATATTTACTTTTGCTGAAGCTTCGTGGAACATCAGCAGACCCGAGGCTGGAAGTGACTGTTTACATGTGACAGACTCGAGTACCCAAGGTCTGTTTTTTGTTCTAGGAATGTGATATGAACTTCGAAAGTCAGACAAGAGAATAGCAGTGATGTGAAGAATAGAAGCGTGATCAAGGACAGGGTCAGATATGATTATCAGATGCCAAAAGCCTCAAAAACGCCGAACCTCGGCATCTCCAGCGTATCTGCTTCCTTCCAAGAAACATTTCTTGGAAACCAACGTTGATTTGTCTCTGCGGCCACGAGATTCATATAAACCATGTCGGCAGCCCAGCGCATGCCCATCGTCGGAGGCACACTCGCCATTGGAGTCACCGGTGCCGCCATGGCTCTCATCCCCTCTCTCCGCGAGGCCATAACTCGATACCTGGGCATCTCTGCCCCTGGCGGCATCTGGCGTATCCTAGCCATCTTCTTTGCACTGCTGAGTCTCAAGAATCTACCTTTTGTCTGGCATGTACGTCATCCTCCTCTCCATCTCCACCTCCATCAAGCAAACAGAACCTTTATACTGACCTTGCACTCTTGCAAACCATAGTTCCGCGTCTTCAAAAACCTCATCTGGCACCTCTACCTGCAACCCCTCCCCCTCAAACCCTCCCACCTCTTCGCACCCATCATCACAACCAGCCACAACTCCCTCACCGAATGCGACTACAACTTCCACAAGTCAAACTCGACCTACTTCTCCGATTTGGACGTCAGTCGCGCAGCCTTTGTCGGTGTTTTGCTCAAGAAATCGCTCGCTCGCTTGAATGGGGGTGATCTCACTGGTCTACCTGAAGAGGCAAAGAATGTCAAGGGCACGTACATCGTAGCTTTGGGGGGAGTGGGCTGCGTGTTCAGAAAAGAGATTCCCCCCCTCGCGAGGTTTGAAGTGTGGACGCGATTGCTGAGTTGGGATGACAAGTGGATCTACATCGTCAGTCACATTGTCAAGCGCGGAGCAAAGAAGCCTTCAAACTATTTACTCCAAAACTGGAGGAATGGAGGAGCAGCAAAGCAAAAGAGTCAGGGCAAGAAAGAAGAGGAAAAGATCAAGTCCATCTACGCGACCAGTATTGCCAAATACGTGGTCAAAAAGGGCCGTCTCACGATCGCTCCTGAGATTGTGCTGAGACGGTCTGATCTCCTGCCCTCGCGGCCTGCCAATCAACCTCTACCAACCGCTACCACTGCCTCTTCCTCAGACACACCAACCTCGGAGGGAGAAAAGCCATACATGTCGAGTCCTGAGAACCTCGTTGCGCAAGTGATGGGTCAATTGCGCTCCGAAAACATGTTTGACAAGGAAGAAGTTGCAAAGGAAGGAGAAATGACCTGGAAAGAGGTGGAAGCAAAGAGATTGAGGGGACTAGAGGTGGCAAGGCACTTTGATGGGTTGACGGCGCTGCATCAAGAGTGGAATGCCGATGATGATGTTATCGGCGAGTATGGCGATTTCTTCTGGTAGATTCCGATAGAGCAGATGGATGGGAAGGGATAGAAGTGATACCCCGTAGATGCAGATACATACACAGGTCGCGTTTCACAGTTGTCAAATATGCTTCTATTGTGCTAACCATCCGTCATCGAAGAACAGAAAACGACTTGCTGTACTATTGTAATACATTTCTTCTTGCCACTGCACTGTGCTCGCATGATATAGATCTAGCTATCTCAGGACCAAATATTGAAAAGTAAGAAAGCATTTGGTCTGAGCCAGTCTATCGAATGCAGAAAAGAAGAAGCGACGTGGATACGTACAAATATCGAACATGAAAGGAGAATGGTAGTCGGAAGAAAGTAATCCAAAAAGCAATCAAGCAAGAAGGGAAAAAAGCAGAAGAAACACCAGCTTGCTGCTACTATGCAGGTCGAGCACAGCCCTGAACGCCTCCCTGCTGATCAAGTGTGATCTCGTCAATCACCTCGCCACGGGTATGCTCGTCTTTTCCGCTGAACGCTGAACACCGAGAAACGAAACCACCACCGCCTCATGAAATTATCCGCTGGCCTGCAGCTTGCTCTCATCAACTCTGTCGCCATTAGCCAGACGACCCTTCTTCATGCACTGGCCTTTACGGCCAACCTCCTCTCTCAGATTTTCTAGCCTGCTCTTGTCGCCATTCCAGCTGAAGTCTCTGCTCCAGAAGCCACATGCAATGTTGCTAGTTTCACCCCTCCAGTAGGTCTGCTTGAGACCGGCCTTGTCGACGGGCGGGCGCCATTTCTTGTTGTCCAGGTTACTAATCAGACTCTCGCCCTCCATATGGTGCATGAGTTCTGGGTTGACTGTGAAACAGCGGAGGCCCTTGTCACGGCAAGCGGTCAGGATAGCGACATCGTAGGCGTGGTCGATGTTACCACGGTTGCCGGTCACGGGGGCATATTCTTCGACGAGTCGTTTGGCCGAGGCGCGGGTGACGGCGTAGCCAAAGGTGCAAAGTGGCGAGACGGACTTGTGGACGATGCGTGATCTCTGGGGTACGTCGAATGCGGTGAGGAGGGATGAGGTAAAGGGGTGTAGATCGGTTCGGCGAGGCAGAGTGCTGTCGGGGTAGACGACGTGAGGGAGGTCGGTCAGATTGTTAGGATGAACGACACCGACACCAACGGGCTCATCCATGGTTGTAAAGTAGTCTCCGCAGTGTCCAACGTAGAAGAGCTCCCAGTCGTCCGGATGACCCCAGGGGTATTCTTCTCCTGCTGGCGGCAGCAACGTACGGGCGGCAGTTTGAGCGAGTGGAACTTGTTGTGTACGCAAGCGGATGTCCCAATCGACATCATCTTCGAGGATCAGAGCCGTCTCGAGACCCGACTTGAGGAACTCATTGAGGACCAAGTTGTGGCTCAGCCATGCGCGGACAGAGCCGTTTGTGATTGTCGACTTGTCGTCCTTGCCTCTGAAGGCCATGATTTGTTCTTCTGACCATGTCGGTAGAGTCGGGATGGTAAAGTGCAGCTCGGTGACGTTAGCGGACTGGATCAGGTTGTTACGGCGTGGGCTCCCTGGGCCAGAGACAACAAACAAGCCGCCGAAGCCCAGAGTTGCATTGGCGGGGTTTTGATGGTTGATGGAGAAGGAAGGAATGTTCGAGCTGACGGTGCTCCTGAAGTAGATGATCAGACTGAGTACGCTCAGCCCTATCAGGACATAGAGCGGAGGCAATCGAGGCGCAACCATGGTGGGTGAAGGTCGACGATGTACAGGGCCAGGAGGGCGCTGAACAGGCCGAAAGTTTGGGGGGAATACGAAGAATAAACGCAGCGCTATCAGCTTGTATCAAGTCGCAATTGCGGGCATCTGCCAAGCTGTTGTGGCGCGCGGTAGAGGCGTCCAAATGCCGGTACAGCGAGATGAAGGCTGCGGTGGGGGGCCGGTGAGCTTCGGAGATGGACTGGCCGAGACGTTGAGGAGGTCTATGTCGGGGAGGAAGACGAGTACAAAGTCCTTCCAAGCTTCTCAGGAGATGGATGAGGAGTCGCCGCGCGACACGTCCCACTCCAGAGTGCTTGGTGTGACAAACATGGAGAAACTTGGTCGAGCGATCGGCGAGCCCTGAGTCAGCTATCACAAGCCCTCTTCACCCCTGGATCCTTGCTCCGTCCTGCTGTACTCAAGTCCTCACCTCTGTCAGCCTGTCACACCCATGTGAAACAATCAAGGTTTCCTGGTCAACTACTCGAATATTGATCGTTTGAGACATCTCGTCACGAAGTCGACATAGGCGCACGTGGCTAAGGAATAATAGGGCCAACGTCCATATAACCGGCTGACGAATACCAAGCCTATGGAATCGCCCTATAGTATAACCACATTATTTCACTCATCCGATGACTCTCGGTCGATGCTCAGAGGACAGACAGCTATTTCATCGCTTGCAAGGTATTGTTCCACGCAGGTGCAAGAAGTCGCATTTTTCGCCTTGTCATATCGGCAGCCACGTGGGCAGTTTGATGATCGTCCTTGACCTGCAGTCCTGACAACGTCTTTCAGCTCCAAGTCTTCCTGCCACAAAACCTTCTTGTGTGTATACAAAAACACCTTGAGAATCGCCGTTGGTACCACTCCAGCCAAACTTGGTCTTTGCGACGCTGTTTGCTACAATCTTGGTGAACGGTCTGTTATCGCAACGGTTTTTGGCCGAACCAGTTCATGCTCTTATTGGATATGCGCTCTCGCTGAACCAGTACCGAAATGTCTAGCAAGAGCATAAGTTACTGTGTGTAGGATACGGCTGTGACTTTGTTGGTCCGTGATGTAACCGCGTGTAGGCGAGTTCTTGGTTCACCGCTGTCTTCTCTTGCACAATTCGCTGTATGTTTCTTTAAATACTTCGTCTTCCCCTTCAAACTCTCCTTCTCTCGGTAATGATCATTGTTCAATGTACTGAGATTGAAACGAGCGCTGTCAGAGGGAAGACGTTAGGATCCTTTCTATAGTAGCCAGAGTAGCGAGAACTTGCCTCGGGCGCCTCGATTCCTCCGCTTATAGGAAGGTTAGACAGATTCCATATCTGCGACTGAGAGCCACCGCCTTCGTATGCGAACCGGCAAACCAACACCCGGATGGCAATGGTGAGCCAAAGCTTGGTAGGTATAGATTGTGTATGCCTGCTAAAGACTACTTTTTGACGGTCTTGTCGCGGCTGACCTGGCAAAGCTTTGTCTCTTCGTCGTCTGCATGTTCATGGTAAACGCACGCGTTGACCATCAAGGGCTTCTTATCCTCATTCTTGCACGGGTGATCAGCAGCAAGCTTGATTCCATTGTGAGCCAGCCCCTTCTGGTAACAGGAGTTGCACAGGGTATGAGGTACTCTTCGGCAGGAAAGGAGCAGTGCTGTGACCGCCATGTCTTGAGGTATGTCGCGCCAGAAACCCCGATGCTCCATATTGTGTCGCGCACCATATGCCAACCGATCCACGGCAAATTTCCTGAGAGGGGACTCTGCAGTCGTATCCGAATCGATCAACTTGTAACTGTATACTCTGAGACCGATGCCCGATTTTTCGGCGGAGGTAACCAGAGCATCAATGATATCGTTCCTGAGGTCTTTGATATCGAGGCGATCCGCGAGTATGTACAACCTCACTAGTATGTGTATAGGCCAGGTTGAGGTATCATCTGCGTTCAGGTTCTCGCTGAATTTATCATCTTCGCGCTTCAGTTTCTTAAAGCCCTGATCAATGCTCAAATCATCGTCAGAGACACTGTAAGCAATCTTGCCCCAGTAGAGCCAGCTGACGACGATCTTGAACAGGACAGGCGAGACGTCTTCCAGTCGGACTATGCCAGTCGTGCCTTCCTCGAAGGATCCGGTGAGGGCCTTTGCGAAGTACTTGGATTTGTCGCAGAGTAATGCCTGGTGAATCACGAACTTGGTTTCTTCTGGACCAACCAGGACAGTCGCCATCTTTGCATCGAAGAGGAACCTACAAAGAAGTCAGTATGGCAACGCGCGAGTGCATATGTTGGAGTACAAACTTCATCTTGCAGGTAGTACTTGGTATGTTGCTAGAGAGAAACGGTGTGTTGGTAGTTGAGGAAGAGAAAGGCAGATGTGGTGACCGAGAAGAACCGAGGATGGGTCCAAGAAAGAGGTCACGAAGATGAACTGATAGCATGAGTGAGGAAGACACTGAAAGAACGCAGGTGTTGGTACAAAGCTTCACTCGGTCAAGTCTGGAAGCAGATTCACTGCAACAAAGCGTGGGCACTCACTGGATGGAATGGTTTGGTTGCAACATAGAATTGATTCTGACTGCTCTACATATGTTCCTGTAGAGCTTCCCAGCCTTATTTCATGGTTCTCTCCTTGATAAAGCAAAGAAAATGGTTTTTGTAAACCCTCAAAGCACACCTGAGTCCTCAACTCCGACCGTGATTTCAAGTAAGAGTATGTGAGAGACATAAACTCGAACGAGCAAAGGCTACCTCTCAAACGGCAGGCTTCGAACCTTCACGACGAAGGCGACAAGCCTTACGTTCTTCTTCATTCAGGTGTTCGTGGTAGAAGCACAAGTCTGTCTTGTATGGTGGGAGGTCTTCCTTCGGGTTTCTCTCATCGTTCTGCGGCGCGAAAAGCGTGTACTTCAGGGCGGCTCCATAGCATTCCTGGCATTGCTTGTCTGGCAACCTTCTACCGTTCATGATCATTACAGCAACCAAGAATTCGATGGGATAAGAAATCCACTCAGATTCATCCTCACCGAAATCGATTTCATACGATGCGCAGTGAACAACGTACTTTCTGAGCTTCGAAGTCGAAGGTGTGTTCAGATATATGTGACGAACAACGTTGAAGGCACAAATTCTGCTTTTGTCGTTTTCGGTAGCGTGATTCAAGGCATCTAGAGAGTCTGCCCTTAGTTCGCGAATGTCGAAACGGTCGGCGAAGATATATAGTCTGACCGGGACATCGCAAGGCCAGCCCTTAGGGTGTTCTCCTTCGTATGTTGGTTGGTTGGCAGGAATAGGCTGATCTATCGCCTCCTCGGCCGATGATTTGTGGCTTTCGGACGAGTTTGCCATGGCAATACCAGAGGTAGATTCTGTTACATCTTTGCTTGAGCGAGTGTATTCTAAGCGAGTATTCTCGGTGTTGTTGCTCGGTCCGTCTTGAGACTTGCTCTGGTGAGCATCTTTCTGTTGGAAATTTTCTTTGGTGATCTCGAGGCTTCGGAAATCCTCTTCAACTGTTCTTCCGCTTCGTGGGACATAGCCAAGATCGCCGTAGTACAGCCATGCCACAAAGATTCTGAACAGCACTGGCGAGATATCGGGCAACTGGAAGAAGCGAGTGATGGCCTCCTGAAACGAGCCGGAAAGTGCTCTATCGAAGTATGATGATTTGGCACATAGGATGCTCTTGTGGACAACGAAGTGCTCCTTTTCAGCGCCGACTTCGATTGTAACCATAGGCGTATCATACAAGAGCCTGCGAAACATAAGTCAGCAATGTGGCAATGGTAAGCTCAGTCGACGTTCATCTCTTACTTTCTTGTGTCTGCAGGACGTCGTCCGGTGTTGGTGGGACTTGCCATTCTGTCAATCAACAGTACAACAGTGGTGATGGTAGGGACTTTTTGAGCGGAAGAGATGTGGTGTTCTGAAAAGTGAGGTTCCGAGAAAGACGGGCAAAGTAAAGAGGGCGCCGTGGTTCGTTGCGTTGGTCGCGTTTGTCGTGGAAGTGACCATCAACTCGCTCTCTCGCGAAACCTTCACTAATGCCATACACTCGGTGACTGAGCGAGAAGCCGATAACACAAGAGTGATCAGTCAATGCGCAAATGAGATAAAGTGAGCGCCACGTTTGAATGAGGAGAAATGAATTTGCAATACAAGTCTGGTCATACACTCGACCTATTTCTTCGTTATACCCGTATCGTTCTATGCGCCGCGCTGACAAGATTAAGTAAAGAGAAAGCCATCGATCGTTTCCATCCAAAGAAAAGGATTCCGTCCTCGAGGAAAATGCGTTATGGGGATGAAGAGGGAAGGAGGGTGTTGATTTCATGTCGCTTCATTTGCCGATGGAGCGTCTCCATTTTGTGCGGGTGCATCTGCTGTTGAAGCTGCGGGACGAGGGGATCTGGGAGGTCCTTCGGCGCTGGCTCGTGAGAGGCGCTTAGCCTTCTTTTCTTTTACTGCCTTGTCGGCGTCAAAGTTCTTCCACTTGCGCCAGCCATCGAAGTCGATCAGAGCTTGCATGCAGCCCCATTCCTTGACCTTGCGTTCAAGCCATACGAAGTTAACGGGCTGGATGTTGGTCAGTATACATGTAGTCTGAGGATTCGATTGGACTCAACATACCTTTGTCAAGAAATCGTTACAACCAGCGGCCAAGGCTTCGTGTCTGTCGCTCTGCAAACTACTTGCAGTAAGCGCGACAATAATGACTGGACTCTTGAAGAGGCCGCCATCAGACACCAGCTTATCATCATCCTTATCTTTCGTTTCCTCTTCTTCGCCATTCTCTCCTTTGCCAGTGTATGGAGCAGGAGTGGCAGTGGTACTGAACACACCAATTCCGTTGGCTCTTTCAAGACGACGAATCTCTTTTGTTGCTTCCAAGCCATTCATGATGGGCATCTGAATATCCATGAGGACCAAATGGAAGCCGCCAGCTCGCCACTTGTTGACAGCAATTTGACCGTTCAGAGCAGTGCTCCATCTTACTTTCAGGCGCTTCATAAAGGCCTCCAACAGTCTCAAGTTAATTATGTTGTCCTCTACGATCAACACGTTGATGGGGGGAACTGCGCCGTCGAGTAGAGATGGAGGGATTGTTGATTTTAAACCAGCGTTGGGAGACTTGACAGTCGCCGTACCGTCTGTAGGAGTGAGCTTTCTCTGACGGCGTGGACGGGCAGGCTTCAGCGTGCTTTGGCCCTGGGAAGCTGGTGTCGGTGGGCTACTGCTGGGGTGAACAGGAGGTACAGCCTCTGTGACAGGAGGTGTTGGGAGAGCTGGCGCAGGTGGGACAGGGTGGCCTTGTTGATCCGAGACTTGAGAGCCAGCCCTTGGGCGGCCTTGTCGAATCGTAGGCATGTGTTGGGAGACTGCTAAGTTTGATGCATTGAGAGGCATAGTTGAAGCTGGCGGGTTATGTGTCATGATAGTCGGAGAAGAAGTGTGCTGACGGTTGAACTTGGGACGAAGTTCACGAGGATCGCGATGGCGGCGGACACTACCCGGCGATGGCAAGACAGGAATCTGGCCTGTATTTAGCACGGCTATTGAGCGAGGAGGCTCGGGGTGTAGTGTCTGTTGTACAGGCGGTTGGCCAGGCACGTTTGGAGGAAGTTGGACTGCGGGCATTGGAGGGAAGTAGTCGGTACCGTTCTCAGTCGGTCGGTAGTCGTCCAGAGCAGCATACGAGGCACCGTGGTATATGCGTGGAGATGGACGAGGAGTCCGGCGCGGAGGAGTTTCGATAAGGAGGGCATCCTCGGCGGTTTGACCGCCAGTATAATACGAGTCCAAGGTTTGGCAGACATCCTCGTCGGGACTCAGGATACGATCAGGTGCACGCTTCCCGCTCTCGTCAGGCCTGCTGACAATACGCAGAACAAGGTCGGGTGAGTCGTAACTTCTGCCCAGCGAGTTGCCGTACTTCCTCATGACGAGATCTCTCACATCATCGACAAGGTCGTCCTCGCGTACAGTGACCATTGTGGGCGAGGCATTGGGCCTCTTGACCCATACTTTTCGCGTCAACATACTGGCAATATTCGGGACAGAGGCGTCGACAAAGTAGTCCGAGGCTGCGACGGTGGCAGGAGGAGTCGAAGGTGGTAGAGGGAATTGGGCGACAGTATCAGGACTGAGTAGAGCGCGGATGACGGGAGCGTTGGCGCCGCTCAAGAGAGATTGACGACGGACGGCCTCGGATGGGCGTTTAGGCGACGGCGGTAGCGGCAGCGACGGCAAGCTCGGAGATGGCTGAGCGCGGATGGATAGTGGAGATTTGGGTCGCGAGTGTGCGGACAGCGGACGGGGAGTGGTTGTGCTGGCAGAAGGAATCTGGTCAGCGGGTGGGAGCTTCAAGTTGGTTGCTTTTGCGGGTGGAACGACATACTCGGCGAGGACGTCGACGGGCTTGCGGGCTTCGGGAGTGGCACACTGCAATGTCAGGCTGGGAGGGTCCGAGTGACTCGCAATCCCATTTCTCTCGGGAGTGGTGCTGTGGTCGTGGTCGTCGAGGTCGGCAGTGGAAAGGTAGGCGTCGGGAGTCGGAGCAGCAATGCTAGTGCTGGTGCTGTTGCGCTTGTTGGCCGGACGAGAGGTGGAGCGGCGCGATGTTGGCTCGGGAGCGTCGTGGAAGTTGTCGTCGCTGTCTTCCTCTACGATGCTGTCCTGCACACTAAACTTGGATGGACTCTTGAGGGCAGCGATATGCGGAGAAGATTGACTGTAATCGCGCGAAGTGCTGTTCCTGCTGCCTGCCGCTTGGCCTTCCTGCTGCGACTGGGGTTCTGCCGAGGAGCTGCCCGTGCTGTGAGTCCGCTTCAGCAGTCCTCTGAAGGCCGCCCGGAGTCCTGGCATTATTCCGTGGGAGAGTCAACTCCTGCTCTCTGCCTGATTGAAGTGTTGATCAAGTATTATTCTGGTCTCCGTGTTTATGGGCAGCCGCAGCTGCCGTGCCCGTCGAGGTACCGCTGTCGGGCTGCACCCAAATCGTCGAGGAAACACGCCGCCTCACCACAGGGCGCTTGGTCCTCCTTAATCTTCTCCTGTCGTGTCCTGTCGCCAACCTGATACTACTGCCCTACCACCGCCTGTCAAGACGTCAATGGCGTCCAACACTTACTCGCCATTCACTCACATTGACTTGTTTCCTGTTGTTCACTGTGCCTCTGTTGTCATCTTGTTTGAACTCTTGCTTTTTCCAATCGAGTGATCAAGCTATTTCCCCGGCCCAATCTCCTTTGCACCGTACTTGCCAAAACTTGCTTGCAACCTGCTCCTCCTTGGCCCTGCACATGCATCCTCTCCCTGATGTTACATGATCAGATACTCAGTGGCCTTGTTTAGCTGCCACGCCCAACCATTCGAGTTCGACCCCATCATAGTGGTCCTGGCACTTCTTCATCTCGAATTTCAGTCCCTGCACTGCTCCTTCTGCACTGTCTGCTGCCTCGTCCGACATTGGCGATAATGCCATCTTCCACGTATGCTTGTCGCCAATCCAACGACATCCCAGATCCAACTCCCCGGTCACCCACTTCTGCTTGGGAATCCTCTGGATGAACCCCCATCCTCTGTCCTTGTACTTTTGCGTAAGGATGACGCCGTTGAAGTAGTCTGGAATGCGAGTAGGATATGTCTGACGCTTCATGAAGGTAGCATTAGGAAAGACGCAGTAAGCATGGTTGCCAGTGATGACATTGACCAGTGCAGTCGTGTAAGTCGACAGCGTAGCGTGGATGGGATGGTTGTGGGTCAAGATGATTTCCAGCCTGATGAACTCGCCGTCGACTACCTTGTCGTACGCATGGACCTGCGACTGGTTTAGTACATTGGCAAAGACGACTGTTCTCAAACTTACCATGTCGACATGGGTCCAGGCGTACTTTGCGACCGTACGCGAAGCAAGATCATATCCCTCGACCTCTTCGATGTAGCGACAGAACGCATCTGCCTTTTCTCCGAGCTGCACGCAGACGTCTAGGTCCGAGCCCTCCCAATCGACACGATCCACGAACTGCAGAGCGAAACTGCCAGAGATGATGCCCTCGAGCTCGGTCAGCCTCTCTCTGAACCCGAGAGGGTCCTTGACGAACTTTCTAAGTCTGCTGTCGATGTCCCAGGCGCCACGGTTGACCATCTTCTGGTATAGGAGCTTGAGTTTGCGGCAGGTGCGAGTGAGTGCGACTATGTCTTTGATGGGGAGGTGCGAAGTGAGGCGATCGAAGATGGTTGGAAATCTGTCCACGTCAAGCATGGTGGCGAGATTGGCCATGTTGAGTTTGGTTGTTGGCTCGTCTGCAGGTGGATGGTAAAGTGATGATTTGAATCGTCGACAGTATTGGAGTTGATGTTCGACGGATCAGTGAAAAGCTGTGGCCCCTTTGTAAAGGCCTCCTTGCGCAAGTGAGAGTTGGCGAGGTTGGACAGGCTAGGTTTCTCTGTTGCGACGTAGGATATCGCTGCGTTTGGGTTGCTGTTTGCTGCGACCCAGCCATTTTGGATTTTGACTGTCAATGCAACTCACCAACCACTGCATGTCGTCTTAGAAGGGTTTTGGTAACCATTCTCAATCAAAACTGATGTATTCTGATCGAATTGCTAGTCATACACGTGGTAATGCGGTTGTTATGAAACGACAAGCTCTGGATCAGGGTGGGAGGGTCAGCAGAAAGGACTTGGACCACAACGAGACGCAAGAAGCAGGACAGCAGCAAGCATGGAAATTTACGAGGTAGAGTGTCATCAAGGAACGACAAGAGTAGATATAGAGACAGATGGGAAAGATGTATTCATCTATTAATGCTGATCGTAACTTCGTTATATAGTAGTACACGTTTCTTCAACCAAATGACTGCTCATGTAATGCAGTTTGTTTTCCCCAAACTCCACCCCAATGGTCTATACGCTTATGTAGCCATTCATGTATCCATCGATGATCTCAAACTACTCCACACTCTTCATGCTTTAGACGATCTCATCAGCACCGGCATGGTCCTGGTCGGGGTTGGCCTCTTCGTAGTTGAAGAACTTGCAGAAGCGGTAGTAACCAGCAGCGAGGAGACCACCAAGGCCGGGACCGATCCAGTAGATGTAGTGAGCATGGTTGAAACTAGCAGCGGCAACGCAAGGACCGAACGAGCGAGCGGGGTTCAAACTGCCTCCAGTGTAGTAGACACCTAGTATTATGTGTTGGAGATGAAATCAAGCAGATCAGAGGATGCTAGCTTACCTGCGAGCTCAGCAACGAAGAGAGCCAAACCAATACCGATGGGGGCGAGGAAAGTAGTCTTTGACTTCTCGGCTGCCAACATGAGGACGGTGAAGACGAGGAAGGATGTCAGGAACATCTCGAAGAAGAGACCCTGTGCCTCGGACATGCCGGGAGCCAGAACAGTACGAGTGGCTGCAATATCACCAGGCAGCATGCAGCGCACCAGAGCAGCAGCGACGATGCCTCCAAGAATTTGAGCGGGGAACAGAACAAGGCCTCTGATCCAGTTCAATTGACCAGCAGCAACCATGCCAAGCGTGACACTTGTGTGCTCGTTAGCATTCATACTATTTGACTGATACGATGTTGACTTACGCTGGGTTGAAGAGTCCACCACTGATTCTAAACAAGATCCATACTGCAACCAAGAGTGACATACCATAGCCCAAAGCAATGTAGACGGTCGTCGTGGCACTGTTGCTTCCGTTGGGTGCCTTGTCGCTTGCTTGCTCGAACGCCATAAGTTGGCAAGCAAAGGCGAAGTATAGGAAGAAAAAGGTGCCGACGAACTCTCCAGTAGCGGCGACGAAATGGTTCTTCATGGCGTGGCCTCTATGCTTGTCTCCTGACATGCTCTCGAATGGCTTTATGTCAGATCTGGATCTGCTAGGCATGATTGGCGATGGGTTGACGAAATACGATTTTCGAAGAGGTCGATTGTCAAGTTGAGCACTTTCATCACAAAGGATAGATCAAGCAGATATAGGATGGTAAAGGAGGGATGAGATTTTTGTGACGATGTCCTGTGCAGGTGGCATCCCGCTCCTCAAGCAGTATGACGTTGCGAGGACAGGAGGGTGAATGCTCCAAAGGTCATTGCTCAAGGAGAAGGACGGGTCAGATCTGGGTGCATCCCGTCCCGTGCCAAACGACAGGGCTGAGAAACCCTGTACATAGTGTTATTCGTAGCTCGATTGGCATGGGACGACCCACGGCGCTTGAGGGCAGAGAGCGCGTTTCAGTAATACGGGCCTGAGAGTTGAGATGTCGATTCAACGATTCCTGGCCGCTGGCTGCGGCTCAAGCTGATGTCGTCAGTGCATATTGTTAACGATCCGCGCTGCATGAAACAGCTCCTCATCCATCATGGGGCTCGGACATCTTCGATCCAAGCAGTTGCCGGATTCGCAACATCGAGTTGGGTGTCATCCAGAGTCGAGAGCAAGTCGAGCAGCTCAGAGTGATGTTGGAAATCTTGGACAAACATTTCTGCACGAGAAACCGTCGGCGTGAACTCTCACGGAGGTTCATCCTCGAAAGCTTTTCTTTCCTCTGCAACTCTATCGGCATCCAGATTTTACTCCTATTTTCGTCCGGAAAACATAAATCTCCTTTAGAACAACGTCACTCTCGAAATTTTGTACCGAAGTCGTTTTTTTGTTGACGCTCCTTGTCAACAGCCAATTTCATGGAAGCGAGCACGTCAAAAGAAAAAATCTGTGATCAAGCTATTGTCCACAGTAATCTCGTCTGACGGTACAAAGGAACAATAACAGATGCGTGATATTGATAAGAGGCTGTGAGTCGTTTCTCGCTAAATGCTCTGCATGAACGCGTCGACTGGGAAAAAAATGACGTAGTTAAGGCTCGCGATGGTTGTGGTTCTCTCGTTTCCGATCCACCTCGACCATGTTAATTGCAAGTCCAATCGCATCAACGAGTGGAGTCACTGCAGTGCGACAACGACGAGCACGTTGTCAGAACGTGTCTGATGATATTTTGAGTTCCGGCAACCTGGGAGCTGGATACCAAGAGGATGATGAATCCGAGAGACACTATTCTAGACCTCGAATCCTTGATGTTAACCGAACTGCAACTTCTTCTGCCCTTTCTCTGCCTTTACAACATTTGGAGGTCGCCCTCGCCCTTTCCCCTTGGGTTGAGTACTCAAACTTATACTTGCTGGCCGACTCTGTTCCCGCGCTGCTGTATTCGTTCGTTCCTCTGCTGCGAGGTCAGCCGCCAGGTCCTTGGCGAAGTGCCAATCATCATGTTCGCCTTGTTCAGTGACCAGTAAAGTGCTGTTACACCGAGAGCATGTATATCGACTAGGGTCATCATCCGAATGCCCGCTTTGCATTTCTGCATGTGCTTTCGGCGTATCGTCCGATGCCAATTGCGCAGAAGGAGGGACATCGAAGGGACTATGAGCCTCTCTGATCTCATCTTTCATGTGAAAGTCTTGTTGTTCTTCTCTTTCGGAATTACCACCCGAGCTTTCTTGCCTAGCTCCGAAGAATCTCTGTATACCGCTTTCCTCGACCCGCCTGCGTTTGCTTGGTGGAGGTGTCTCCGGATTGCGTACTTCTGATGGTTCTCTGACGGCAGCTGATATCGCTTTCGCTTCGTCTCCCCTGAGCAGGAACCCACCAATACCTTTGTTGCCGGTCACACCTTCTTCAAAACCGCTGACGCTGAGTGATAGGTTTGCACACGGCCATGCTCGGCCCTCTGAAACGACCTGAGCGAGTAGTCCTTTGGCAATGTCAAACAGCAGGGTCTCGTCCATTGCCCTCCCCATAGGTATAGAAGCCGATTTACTCCTGGTCTGCGCACCTTGTCTGTGATACAGGTTGAGTGTCTTTGGTCGTCTCTTGTTCTCTAGAACACCCTCTTCCACTAGTCGAGAGAATATGTCCGCAACAAAGATGCGAATCCATCTCACAGCTGTGTCAAGCGTGTTGATAGAAGGTCGAAACGACTTTGCACTGAGCATCGATTTGATCTGTGTTCGAGGATTGACTTCACTATGATCCTCGCCACGGATAATGTTGTAAAGCCATGTGCCAGTGTCATCGCCTATCTTTTTCTTGAGCTGTTCGACAGGCACCTCAAGTAAGTCTTTGACCGTGTCAGTGCTAAAAGCTGCGACAATTTCATCTCCAAGTTTACCACCGAGATTCCGTATTTTGGTGAATTTGAAGTCGCTCAAGAAGTGATGCACAGCCCGATTGCGAATTATGGTTTGTTGGTTAGGCTTTTTGTGAGCAGATCCAAGTTTCGCAAGCATCTTGTTCCGCGCGACTCCGGCGGAACATGTGTATTTCAGAGCCTCAAAGATTTTGGCTCGGACACTTCGTACTATCTCTGAGGCAATGACCATGGCGACATCGTCCCAGTCCGGATCATCATCCTCAGTTTCGGTGGAGTCCAAATCGACCAGGGCATCGGTTTGCCATTCCAAAGCAGTAGTGGGAGGACGAGGCAGTTGTTCCGTAGGATCATCGTAAGGTGGAGGGCCCTTCAACTCCGGAAACCTCTCCAGCATGATACCATGTACGTGGGTCGACAAGTCCAGGAAGACCTCGTCAATGCTGGCCTTCTCGACCTTGGAGATAGGAGCGGCCGGCAAATGTTCCTTGATTGTAGCCAAAATCCTCCTGCTCTCGAGCCTGTAAGGGTCAAGACTGACCTTGTGTGTAGCCATGTTCTTGAACGAATCTTCATGATATGCCCATTTCTCATCTCCCTCTTTCCAAGTAGCAACGTGTTGCATGATCAAATCCGGGCACTGCTTAATTGCCTCGGTGATAGTGACATGTCGATTCAGGCCGAAAGCGCGTGCGGGATAGTTGATCGCGATGAGCCCCTGCCACTGTTGAACGGCGAGCGGCTTATCCGGTGGTATGTCCAAACGAACCATTTCGCATTGGGCGTAAAACGCATCGAGGTCGATGTGAGCGATGACTCGCAGCGGACATGATGTAGTAGAGGTTGCGAGTTGAGCCAGTTGGCGGTATGTGAATGCAGATTTACGGCGGCGCTGTGAGCTCAAAGACACTGGCGAAGACTCGAGCAAGTTTGGCGAAGACATGTCAGCCTTGTCTAAAGCACTACTCTTCAGTCCATGTGCGTGAGCGTCTCGCGTCACGCGCAAAGTGGCAACGATTGGAAGGGCAACCAGGAGCGTAGCAGGACGAAGAGGATGTATGTGGACGGGAGAAGACTATGTTCGTAACTTCAGGAGAGCAGCTGGCGATACAGATCGTAAGAATGCGTGCACAATGTTGAATGTTTTTTCGAAAGTGGACGCGAAGGGAAACGCGTTGCCGTCATGATTCTTGGCCGCGTGGGAGTCCATTTGGTGAGCACTCCAGAACAATACATAGAATATGAGCTCTAATCCAATATAACCGCTCTCCATCAGCTCGCGAGAGATTGCTGGAAAACTCTCGAGCTCCTTGACATCAGTGGAAAGCTATGGTGAAGAGCATAAGACACTCGAATGCTGGAATTCGTATACGTCATCAAGGAGATGGTGTTTCTTCAATACCTATTGAAATGCACTCAGTCCGTCTAATCAGTTCTTCTCATAAAACACTTCCTCTGAAACACCAAATTCAGCCATACAATCAAGCTATTCAATATGTCACTCCGTTCGCCCACCTTCCTCATGGGACTTGCCAACTTGTTCGCTATTGGCGGAGCCACTTATCATCTTCGAAGCCATCACATCTACAATCTCGAAGAGCACGAAGCACGAATGGACGAGCTCGAAGGAACTTTACGGGGCCACATTGGACTGATCGAAGAGTCCCTTGAACGACTGGAAGGCAAGCAGATTACCAAGGGCCAGAAGACGTGAGTAGTAGCTTCCCCACTGCTTCGACGATATGTACTAAACGACGGCAGCGAGGATCTGTACACCAAGCGTGGGCGAGATGAGAAGCAGGACAAGCAGAAGAAGTGACAGGAAACGGGAACCAGATGAAGGTGATGAGCAGGGATAGTAAGACAGACGAATGCAATGCAATGTAAATGTTATGCCCCATGATCTTGGCGGAACGAGGTTCATGGATTTGCGGAAGGAGCACGGGCCCAAAACCAAGGGTCTCCCCCTTTGCTGGCTGCACCTCCCCCATACCGACAAGCAGCAACCCCGACAGCAATTGCTCTTCTCATCCAAATACGTCGCCTTCACCACACTCGTTCATTGTAGTTGTTATCCGCCAACTAGTCGTTTCGCATCTTCCACCTTCAGCACACAATGTCTTCCTACGTACGTGCGCTCCCAGCCCAACGTCGCTGTCTCCGATCTGTCTAATGGCGGCCACTGACACAGCCACAGATCAGGCGCAAGAAGAATGTCAAGAAGGGCATCCAGTTCTGCATCATGGTCTGCGGTGCATCCGGCACTGGTGAGCTCACTCGAGAACAATCGCCCAACAGCTCCATCGACTAACCAATTGCGCCAAGGTCGCACCACTTTCGTCAACACGCTCTGCGGCAAGAGTGTCCTCTCTGGTGTCGAGCAAGATGACCCCGTCAACGCACACATTGAAGGCGGTGTCCAAATAAAGCCCGTTACCGTTGGTACGATATCATTAGCCCCGCCGCCGCCACTACCATTGTGCTCATAGTCGTCTGCAGAGCTCGAACTCGACGAGGAGGGTACCCGTATCTCGCTGACTGTTGTCGACACCCCTGGATTCGGTGACCAAGTCGACAATGAATCAAGGTGCTTAGCCCTCGTCTTTGATGGAACAATGGCTTTAGCTGACACGCATCTTCAGCTTTGGCGAAATCGTCGGCTACCTCGAGCGCCAATACGACGATATTCTCGCTGAAGAATCTCGTATCAAGCGTAATCCCCGATTCCGCGACAACCGTGTTCACGTCCTGCTCTACTTCATCACACCTACCGGTCACGGGTATGCTCATCCGTACCCCTACTTGCCTCGTTGGTTGCTTCTGACACATTGCTACCAGTCTCCGTGAACTAGACATTGAACTCATGAAGCGTCTGTCACCTCGCGTCAACGTTATCCCTGTCATTGGAAAGGCCGACTCCCTGACCCCCGCCGAGCTCGCCGAGACCAAGAAGCTTGTCATGGAGGACATTGAGCACTACCGCATTCCCGTCTACAACTTCCCTTACGACATTGAGGAGGATGATGAAGATACCGTCGAGGAGAACGCCGAGCTCCGTGGACTCATGCCGTTCGCTATCGTCGGATCGGAGGACACAGTCGAGATCGGGGGTCGTGTCGTCAGAGCTCGCCAATACCCTTGGGGACTGGTCGAGGTGGACAACCCGCGCCACAGCGACTTCCTGGCCATTAGGAGTGCCCTGCTTCACAGCCATTTGGCCGACCTGAAAGAGATTACACACGACTTCCTCTACGAAAACTACCGCACAGAGAAGCTCAGCAAGAGCGTCGAAGGTGGAGCCACTGCGTATGTGACCCAGGACATTGCATTGTTATCAGCAGGAACTAACGGAATCGGCAGCGATCACTCACTCGCTCCGGAAGACCTGGCATCACAATCAGTCCGCCTTAAGGAGGAGCAGCTGCGTCGCGAAGAGGAGAAGCTCAAGGAAATCGAACTCAAGGTGCAGCGCGAGATCAACGAGAAGCGACAGGAGCTGTTGGCCAGAGAGAGCCAGTTGCGCGAGATCGAGGCACGCATGCACAGAGAGCAGAGCGCGCTGAGTGTCAACGACACCGAGTCGACCGAGGCCGGCGCCGCCTAAGGCAATCATCAAAAGTGTATCATGTCAAGTGTCAGTCTAGCCCAGAGGCTTTTGCTCAGAGGGCTCGCGGGATGAGCCCAGCTTTTTTTGTTTCGTTGTTCTTTCTCTCTGTTGGTTGCGCAAAGTATTCCCCCTGATATTGCTGTATTCAAACAAGGCCTACCTTTAGTCTGTAATACTATCTTCAAAAGCACTCGATACGATAGGCACTGTTTTGTTCGGCAAACAGACGGCTCTCGTGCCTTCCCACTTGGCTATACAGCAGGAGCATGTGATTCTTGGCGTCGTCAACCATGCAGGTGCTCGTTCTCGTGAATGCCACATGTACCTCGTCACATTGACATACATCCTCGTGACGACAAATAGCAACAACCATGGCCGAACTCTTCGACAAAACCCCTGAGCTCCCCCCTCCATTCGTAAACATCGACGGCATCGCCAACTTCCGCGACATTGGCGGTTACACCACCACCACCTCCTCCTCTCCCCAGTCCATTCGCAACCACCTCGTCTACCGCTGCGCCGACCCCAGCAAAGTCCAGCCCTCGGGCCTCGCAAATCTAAAAGAGCTCGGAGTGAAAAAAGTGTTTGATCTACGCAGTATACCCGAAATCTCCAAACAAGGACCAGAATGGGCTGGCGTTGCTGTTGAGAAGGAAGTGTTTACCACACGACCTGAAGGCGGTGAAGATACAGAGGATCTTCCTGGAGATGAGATTGAGAGGATTTGGTGTCCGGTGTTTAGGAATACCGATTATGGGCCTGAGCAAGTCGCGATTAGGTTTCAGAATTATGCGAAGAGTGGGAGTGAAGTGTGTATTGCTCCTTTCCCTTTCCTTGCCTTACGTTGCCTTGTTCATGGAGAGTCAAAGCTGACGAAGAGAGCACCAGGGCTTCGTAAAAGCATACGCAGACATCATGGCCAACGGCCCTCACGCCTACAAAACCATCCTCTCACACTTAGCTCAACCCTCCCCTTCACCCTGTATAATCCACTGCACAGCAGGCAAAGACCGCACAGGCGTCATCGTCGCTCTCCTCTACCTCCTCTGCTCTGTTCCTCCCTCAACAGTAGCAAACGAATACTCTCTCACCGACAAAGGGCTACAGCACTTGAAACCTCTGTTTACAGAACGCTTGCTCAAGAATCCTGCGTTAGAGGGTAATGAGGAGGGAGTGCAGAATATGATTTCTTCGCAGCCGGAAAAGATGGCGGCGACGATTGAGATGATGCAGCGGGTTTATGGTGGTGCGGAGGGGTATGTGAGGGATGTGGTTGGTTTGAGTGATGAGCAGATTCAACAGATTAGGAAGAATCTCTTGTCGGATGAGAAGGCTATGTTTTAGACTTGTACTCTGAACCGGTGCATGGAGATGTGGTAGAAAGTTCGGACAATTCGCATCCATGCAGAGATAGAAGCTTATCATCTCGAACGTTCTATTCAAACTGTCAAGGACTTCATCACAGAAAGTGTGATGCACATGCACAAGAACGTATATGATAGAGTTTCTCATTGATGCTTTTGGAAGCTGTTATCTAGTAATGCTACGGATGCCTTCATTGATCTATGCTTTCGTTATATTCATGCTGTCGTTATTTGTTGCTTGTCATGGCGCTGCTTTGCGCTTCTCACGGTGCTATTCACACGAATGCAATCTCTCGTACGATTGGATGATCGTCGATCATCCCTGCCAGCGCACTCTCTCACTTCTAAGGAGGTTGACGAGCTCGACTGGCAACATCTCTTTCTCGCCCAGACCCAGTCCTCCAAATCTCTCCATGGCTTCGGCAGCGTACAGGTGGACAGTCCAGCGCCAGTAGACGTCCATCTCGCTGTACGAGGTCTTGATGTGCTTAGAGCTGCGGTACTCAATCGGAATGGTGTCCAAGGCATACTTGACGAAGCGTGTGCACTCCAGTCCTTCGACTCTAGGTGACTCCAAGAGCTGTTCGTAGGCACCCCTGAGGTATGGGGAGGTTTCCTCTCGGAATCGAACAAAGTCCTCGAGAGAGAAGAACTTCTCAGGATCACAGTTTGAGGGCACGTCGACACGGTGCTTGCTGCTGTCCTTCTCAAAGGCTGATTTGTAATCATCGTACTGCTCCTCATCTTCTTCCCATACGGCCTCGAGAATGTCATCCGGCAACTCCTCAAAAGACTTACGAGCAGTCATCAAGGGTATAAAAGGGTTGCGCAGCTCCAGACCGCCGAGCTCAACAGGCCAATACAAGAAGGCATTGGCGACGTCTTTGGTACTGAAACGCTCTCCAATAATGGACTTGAGGTAGGAGGTGACGTCCTCGCAGCCAGTGCTGTTGTTGTCGTCCACAAAGAGCTTCTTCTGAATGTACTTGAAGGTGGCAAAGACCATGTCAAGATGGTCGATACCAAGGCAGTTGGCGGGATGACCAAAGTTGTTACCCAGGAATCTGCCCATGTAACTGTTCCAAGCCTGGACGTAGGAGAACACCGAACGACACTGAGCAAACTGAAGGCGCATTTCAGCAATGTGCTCGTCGACATTGGCCATGTCAACGACCCAGCGTCCCTTGACAGGATCCAGGACCAGGAAGCCCCATCTCACAGCGCCCATGGGGAGGATGCTTGAGGGCTTCTCGCCCTTATCGCTCACATGAATTGAGCCAGTCTTTTCATCATTCAGTGCTAGACCCATGACATCCGTGAACTTCTTGATAGCTTCCCAAGCCACCTCACAGTCTGCCTTCTGGCCCCAGAACCAGACATCGTCGTGGAAGCGGTAGAGCTGGCATCGACCCTTGGTTGCCTTGCTCACTGCGAAGTCGAGACATGCGAGAATCGTCTCACCGAACACGTCGCTGAGTGTCTGGCTGATAGGCACACCACAAAGACGTGTACGAGGCTCGGAGTTTGGACCGTCCTGAGGGAATATGAGAGACATGGAGAGGTATTTCTTGAAGAACTCGATGTACGAGTCCTCAATACCCAAGAACTTCAAAACAGCGAAGATGGTACTGTGTGGAAGGCTGGGACCAAACCATTTGAAGTCAGTCTGACAAAGGGTGAAACTCCCGTAGATCTTTCGCTGGACCATGAGCTCGGTAGTGGCCAAACGGAGAAGAGTTTGCTTCACCTCAAGGGGCGATTTCTTGTCAGAGTCTTCGTTGTCCGAGTCGTCAGAGTTATTGTAGTCACGGCAACCTTCTTCAAGCTTGTCGGGGAGCTGGGTCAGAAAGAAGTCGTCCTTGAACTGCTCTCGACGGGTATGCAAGACTGAGTTCTGGAACCTGGCCTTTCTCTCGCCGACATAGAAGGCAAAACGTGCATGGTCTTTGGAGGACATTGAGTTGTGGGCTGACTTTGGCCATGCTTTGGAGCGAAGGAAAGATATGAAGTTGGCTTTGGTAGACACTGCAAAGCGAATGCCAACGTACTGTAGGAGAAGAGCTTGGTGGATTTCGGGATCCATGTAGACCCTGTACTTTCCGTTCAGCTGCTTTCTCATTTGAGCAGGGATTGGGGATGGCTTCCACGACCAATCATCCAAGTGCGCAATCTCCATGTTGATGACGTCGGCGACCTCTGCAAGCACACCTTTACCAGCACTGGCAAGTGCGATCAGCTCATCTCTCTTGCGGCCACTGAGCAGATCGGCCTTGAGCACAGCTTTGATAGCTAGCTCAACATCGGAGGTGGAGCAAGTAGAGTCTTTGACGGTCCACTCCTTGAAGGCCTTCTGAAGTTGCTCGAATGGAGTCTCGCGAACTTTCTTCTTCTGCTGAGGCTCAACGAAGAGGTTGGTGAGGTAGGCTTCAATGGCAGCCGTGTCTGTCTGACGCTCAGTGAAGACAAACGAGTCCCACTGCTGGCGCTGGCGATACATCTCTCCGCGACCAACCTTGACCGACTCGAAGCTGTCGGTGTCCGAGGACTCCGAAGTGCTGTCGCCTTTGGAAGGGGTGTCGAGAAGAAGATTGGCATCATTAGGCTTGTCGACCCATTCTGTGGCGAGGCGAGAGAAGAGATCAGTATAGGCGAACTTGTTGGACTGGATGGTCAGGAGGCGCTCAAGATCGGCCTGCCAAGCTGAAGGAAGAGCCACAGGGATGGAAGCATCGAAGGTAGATTGGGTGAGCATCTGACTGGCGTTGGAGAGAGAGAATCCGCCAGTTGAAGTCTGCGCAGTGGTAGACTTGAGGCCGAGTTTCTCCAAGCCCTCGATGAGCGTTAGGATGGGGTTGTCGCTGTTCTGAGTTTGGGCGAGAAGCTCAGTCTTGCGTTCTTCGAAAGCGGTACGACGATCAGCCAGTTGAGACCGCTTGTAGTTGGTGACATCGCGAAGCACACGAGAAGCCATGATGGGCGATTGAAGCAAGGCACAAGATGGGTAGAAGATGAATGAAGAGAGTGATGAGGAGGATGAGAGGAGACTGGAGGTTGAGTCCAGAATCTCAGAGCGGATGGAGAATGTCATTTGGGAAACACGCTGCACATGTACTTATACCTCTTGCCAGGCAACACCGCTGAGCCAAAATGGCCAACGTGGGAAGCTACACCTTTGTCGTCTCAGAAGGATTTAGTCTAGACGGCTGCCTTGTAGTTGAAAGAAGAGCTCATCTGCTTGAGGTTTGACAAACAGAAACTGCAGTTTACTCGTACTTTGTCGTCGGTGCCTTCTTCGCGGTGACGGTGTCTCTCTTGGTCAAAGAACATGAGACGCGACGATCGCAGCTACGTCATTGCGATTCAACAAGTCGCCGCATTTTAGATAATTGCTCTCAACAAGCAGAACAGAGCAGTAAAGGAGATTATATGTTTGTGCAATTCAGGCAGGAGAGAGAAGCGCCAGAAGCTGAGGTTGAAAGGCAGATTGAACAATTGCCATAAGGGCTAAAGTTGTGCTGGTTCTACACGAGAGCCGAATTTATCCATCACATTTACCCGCCCCAGAAGTCGCACCGGAAGGGTCTGGTTGAAGTCATTGCCTGTGCTGACTTATCTTTGTGGATCTTTGAATAAGAAGACTTCTTCAGCGGCGGAAGTCGATAGTTTTACTCAATTTACTTTTTTCATATCAATCATCATGGCAGCATCAGGACCTTTGTATATGGTATGAGATGGAGCAAAGACGAAGCTCGACCGTTTGCTGACATTCAATGCTAGGGCTTCGACCTTTCCACACAGCAGCTGAAAGGTTGGGAGATATGACCCTTTGAGTACCTGTGACGTGTCAATTGACTCTGAAAACTACAGGCGTTGTTGTGGACTCACAACTCAAGCATCAACATGAGGCCAAGGTTGACTTTGACGCCGACTTTGGCGAAAAGTACGGCATTGAGAAGGGTGTCTTGACAAATCCTTCAGAAGGCGAGATCTATGCGCCTGTAGGCATGTGGCTTGAGGCCGTAGATCTGGTGCTTTCAAGACTACGAGAGGATGGTCTTGATTTCTCGCGAGTAAAGGGTGTCTCTGGAGCCGGCATGCAGCACGGAACTGTTTTCTGGAGTCAACAAGCCGAGAGTTTGCTCTCAAGCCTGGACGCAAAGAAGTCGTTGGTCGAGCAATTGGAGCCCAGTGCCCACAAGGATGAGCGCAAAGGTGCTTTCAGTCACCCTGACAGTCCCAACTGGCAGGATCACTCAACACAGAAGCAATGTGACAAGTTTGACGCCGAGCTCGGAAGCCCGGAAACTCTGGCAGAGGCAACTGGCAGCGGAGCTCATCACCGTTTCAGTGGCCCTCAGATTATGCGATTCAAGTCCAAGTACCCAGACCACTACAAGGAGACTTCCCGCATCTCTCTGGTCTCGTCATTCCTGGCCTCTGTCTTCCTCGGCAAGTTCGCTCCTATTGATATCAGTGATGTTACTGGTATGAACTTGTGGCACATCAAGGAGGGCAAGTGGAACGAGAAGCTGCTCGCCCTAGCAGCAGGCAGCACAGAAGGTGCCGCTGAGCTCAAGCAGAAACTCGGTCACGTACCTGAAGACGGCGGTGCCAGCTTCGGCCACATCAGCAAGTACTTCGTGCAACGCTATGGCTTTGCTCAGGACTGCAATATCGTCCCAATGACAGGAGACAACCCTGCAACCATCCTCGCTCTCCCTCTCCAGGCCTCAGACGCCATGGTCTCTCTCGGCACATCAACCACCTTCCTCATGAGCACACCGCAATACAAGCCCGACCCCGCATACCACTTCATGAACCACCCCACGACCGCCGGCCTATACATGTTCATGCTCTGCTACAAGAACGGCGGTCTCGCCCGCGAGCACATCCGCGACGCAATCAACGGCAACAAGACCGACCGCTCCTGGGACAAGTTCAACGAAGTTGCCCTATCCACCCCTCCCATGGACCAAAGATCTTCCTCCGACCCAATGCGCATGGGCCTCTACTTCCCTCGCCCTGAAATCGTACCCAATGTTCGCGCTGGCCAATGGCGCTATGAGTACGATGCTTCTTCCAACAAACTCAACCAGACTTCTGCAGAGCAAAGCGTAGATGCCGATGCTCGTGGTATCGTAGAGTCGCAGATGCTGTCTCTGCGCCTGCGTTCGGCAGCTCTGGTATCCGGCCACGAGATCAATGGCAAGAAGCTGCCACCTCAACCTCGTCGCGTATACCTCGTTGGAGGTGGCTCTGCTAACCCCGCCATCGCACGCATCATTGGTGACGTCTTGGGTGGAGCCGAAGGTATCTACAAACTCGACATTGGTGGTAATGCTTGCGCTCTGGGCGGTGCTTACAAGGCCGTCTGGGGATGCGAGCGCCGTGGCAAGCAAACCTTTGAGCAGCTCGTTGAAGAGCGTTGGGATGAGGATGCTTTTGTCAAGAGAGTCGCTGATGGCTACCGTGAGGGTGTCTTTGAGAAGTATGGAGAGGCCCTCAGGGGCTTCGAGGCCATGGAGAAGGAGGTCGTCAAGGCTACTTCCGAGGGTGTCCATGCCCAGGACAATGAAGGTGGTTTCATGGCACCTCAGAACTAGAAGACTGCAACAACAAAAGGATGGTGAATCTGGCATGTAAGCTGTTAATAAAAATCACTTACAATTTGTTTCTCTTGCCTGTCGTCATGAAACATGTTTTGAAGGTATGAACAAAAGTCGATTCTCGTATGTGCTTCGTGTAAACCTTTATATTTACATTGTCCAAAAACGCCTCTTCCATGCAAATGCAAATGCTAATGCTCCATCAATTACCAAGGTATATAGGGATGCCATACACCACCGTTGCCGCGCCGTTCAAATATCTCAAGTTGCAAGCATCCCTACCTAGCATTACAGCCTCGGACAAGCTTTTTGCTCGCGTAGTTTCTTCATCCCTCATGACCAAGCGACTTCTGCTTCTGCCTCCTGGTGTGCGTGAAGGCGTCTTGGAAGGTGTCTTTGGCACAGACCTCCCTCTCTTGCGCGGTGTCTTTGGAGGGGCTAATTCTCTGGGCGAAGGTTCGGGTGCAGAAGACCATAGACTCCAATGCTCACCTACTTCCACAGCAAAGCGGTCGATGTCTTTGTCAGTGACGTCCCAAAGAGTGGCGACGACAGCCATGCAAAGACCTTCTCTACTGTCATTGCGATACTTGCTCTCGTCCTCTGTTGTATCGGTGTGCTCTAGTCGTCTGCCAGCGATGAGATAGCTGAGAGGTACGCTGGTAGGTTCGTAATCACCGTGCTCAGTAACTCTGCCGCTAGAACAGCCCATTAACCACACTACTTCGGCGCACTTATCGAGTTTCTTTATGGTGCGGTTGCGAATGTATTGATTTCCGCTGCCGTGACCGAAGTACAGGAGCATACTTTTGTCGGATAGAGCGGTCGCAAAGTCTTTCTCTGAGGGGGTCTTGTTGATGGTCGATTGCCACGACGAAGTTTTCGATGTTGCAAGCGAGTCAAGCAAAGGCGACATGGTAGTCTGCGTCCTAGACAGATCTCCTGAGGGGTTGAGGATAAAGGCTCCAGACTGCTTGTCGACAAAGTATTTCTCCTCGGTACTATCCTTCATCTGGCGACGCATAGCGAGAATACGCTCTCGAAGTGTGAGCATACTGCCGACTCTACTTACACTCACGTTCTGGAGACAGGGTAGACTTTCCCACGGGAAGGCGTGCAGATTTCTGTCCAATATGAGAATAAGATGATTCTGATCGGCTTCGTTGGAATTTGCCGCTTCATGGTAGGACCTCAAAGCATCCATAGTCTCGGTTGCCATGACATCGAAGTCGACTTCGTCATACGCATTGCGTTCGCCATTGAATTGGAGGACATCGATGACAAAGTAGAGTAAGTCGAGTACTTGCTCGTCCATATCGACTTCGCCATCATGATCGTCTCCAAGGCCAATGAACAACTCAACAATGTTGGCGTCAAGCACGAGCTTCTTGATCTTGCTTTTCGTGCCTTGCCTCGATGGGAGATGCCGGTCGAGGATACCGTCTAATGACTTTCTGAAACGAGCCAACAATGCTGAGTCTTTGCGATGCTGAGATAGCACGCCCTTAAAGCCACCAAGCCAGATGTTCTCAATATTGACGATCAGTTCTTGCATACGAAGATCCAATGCTTCTCGCTCATCCCACCAACTCTGCTTGGTTTCCTGTGTCATTGCGCTAGGAGGCTTACTGCAGCTGTAGTTTGAGAGCTCAATGATCTCCTGCAGCTCGGCCTTTCCAGATTCATAGTCAAACGTTGGCGACTCCTCATCATCTTCGATATCCTGCATCTTGTTACGCGTCATTGGCAAGCGTAACAAGAAGGGCGCTTGGTTTGCTCGGTACCGCACAATGTATAGCTCATTGTGGTCTTCACTCAGTGTCAACGACACGGTAGTCCAACTGTTGGGAATAATATCAACATAGTCCCTCTGGAATCTTGCTGCCGACAGATGGCCATGGGAGTCCTGGACTGCGATCTGTACATCGAGATTGTGGCCGGTGTATTCTTTCTCAGCTTCTACGGTACTCATCTCTCGAGAGAAGGCTTCGATGCGAGACATCTCAATGGAGCAAGCTGCACGTGTAGGATGCAATGTCCCAGAAAGCGCCATGCTAGCATTGAGAGCGGAGAGAAGCAGCATAGCTTTCGAACCCAATCCGCATAACTGATGAAAGACAGGCATACCCGCAGTGCTTGCGGATCGACGTTGGATGTTAACGAGACGGTCCTGTGCTTCGCAGAGAAAGCGAGCAAACTCATCATCAGTACGCTTTTGTCTGCTAACCTTCCTCGGCGTGGTAGCGTTGGCAAGAGATAATGGTGTTGACGAGAGCGAAGTTTGCGTCGACGGCTTCTTGCTGGCAGTAGAAGACAGTGCAGGAAAGGATATGGTCGACTCAGGTAAAACGTTGAATGTGAAGTCCAGAGCCAGTTCGTCTCCGAATTTGCGGAGCAGTCCTTCTGCCATCGCCACTTGCTGCAAGATCTCTTGAGCCGAGTCAGACTTCATCGAGTCGGCTCGCTCCAAGAGCTCTAGACCCAGGTCAGTCTCGCCCTGATTGACTAATAAAAGACCACGTTGCCTCAGTGCTGCTGCGCACAGGCTTGACAGGGGTATGTTTTCTTGATTTGAAACAGTAGTTGCAGTCGTGCTTTTGGCCTTTGTGTTTGCGACGTTGGGCGTCTTCATTGGTACCACTTTGGATGCAGGCGTTTTGGCCACGACTCGCTTGGTACTTCGGACAGATGTAGTTCTGGCAATTTTGTCGGGTTGAGCTTTCGAGGCTTCTAACTTCTCTACGAAGCTCTTGCTTGCAAGTCGAGTAGCCATGAACTCGGCCTTTTCGTATTCCTGCTGAGCGTGCTCCCAGGTTTCTTGATCTACTGCAAAAGCATCGCCCCGTATGATTCCTAATTTCACTAGATCGATCGAATCTGCAAGACTGCCATCGTCAACAAAGTTGTTAGTATCGATGCCCTCGACGTATGCCTGCGCTTCTCGCTGGACCGAGATCTTGGTACGCAGCTCAGGCACTCCCACTCGAGTAACCACAGCATCCGCCTGATCCAAATAGTAGCAAGCCTCGGAACTTAATCCTTGGTGTGCGTAGGTTTCTGCAAGATGCAAGAAGCTGTTTAACAGATCCGGCAAAATGGCAGAACATGCAGCGCCGCCGTTGGTACCAGGCTCTGGCGCGGGCGATGAGGCCTCGTTGGCGTCTGCAATAACAAGTTTGTGGACCGCATTGACGAGCTCCTCTTGTGAGGTCGTCGTAGGACTGTTTTGGGGAGCGTGTTGGATTTCTAAGAAACTCATCGTTTGTTGACACAACAACACGTATCGTTTCGCGTGAATCATGGCCTGCTTCACTTGTCCGACGCTTCTCGAGTACAACGAACACACAAAGGCAAACCGCGCTCGAAGAATTTGAGCATGAGATTTTGTTGCATGATCCACGGTAGGGAACGAGCGCATACATTCGGTCGCAGATGACATCGACTTGGCCGCAGGATTCGCTTGTCCTAGTGTTGTCCAAACCTCTGTCTGAGCAAGATGCCATTCAAGCTTCGCGAGAGACGAAACATTTGGTTGACCCAAGAGGTGCACCTCTCCTTCAAGAACGCGACATGCTTTCGAGGAGTAACCCAAACGTAGATACTGCACAGCGAGTTGAGCTGAGGTAGTCAATACTGATGATGGTTCGGGGATGGGCCTGAGATGGTGAATTTGCGAAAGTGTTTCGAGTGCTTCGAGGCGTGGATTGTCCTGACCCTTGACAGCAAAGAAGGCAACCACGAACATCAGTTCTGAGATCAATGCATCCACGTCATCGACTTCCTTCTGAAGGGCTTCCCATGAATCCGATGACTTCAACAAAGATGATAGTCTCTGCATCAGTATCGTGACCTCCCCGACAAGAGCTTCCTTCTTGCTAAATGCTTGCGCCAGTGAGAGAGTTATGTCCAGGTAAGGCGCAAATGTTCTCAGGCCATCGTCCTGGAAGAGTGAGTTGTCCACTATTTTACTAGCCATTATAGTCTCCACAGTGTTGTCGTCTACCAAGCCTGGGAACTCGTTCGAATATCTAAGGACCCGGGTGCACACACGGGCTCGTCGGAGTGGATGACTATCTTCGGTATAGAGCTCCAGAAGTTTAGTACACAACAACCGGAGGTCTGCTGCTACCCTCCTTCGATGTGATGGCTTGAACAAATCTTCTTCGAAGAACGCTAGCTGCACCTCGAGCAAAGTCGCTCGTTTTGATGGACTCAAGGAGCCATCGTCGAAGAAAGCCACACTTTCAGTGTCCTTGGTCGCAGAGGCGTGATACTCGTAAAGGTTACGCCTCAATAATTGAACCTTTTGGTTTGATTGTACGGCAATGGAAAGCGGCTTGTCTTTTGCAGTTTGCGCCATCTCGCTCAAGACACCAGAGCGAATCTGGACGCGGATCGACTCGGCAAAGACCAAACACGATTTGGCGATGGTGCCAAACCTCTCTAACTTTGATGCTAGGAACCCTGCATCTTGTTGTACAGACGGTCGATCACGCAGTATATCGACCGATGCTTTTAGACACCTTATGGCTTGTGGAGACGATTCTTCCGTGTTGGAAGCTGAGAGCTGGAAACAGCGCCAATGAAGGTTGGAGATATTGACCACCAGATGTTCTGCTTCAGAACCCGGACTTGCGTCCAACAGACGAGTGCAAGTCTCAAGAGCTTTGTGAATGGTCTCAATGTGATCGCCGGATGGAGCCAACATTAAGCTGCAGGAGAAAATGCTGGAACTGACAAAAGAGACAACCAATCTTGATCCCACAATTCCAGATGACTCGCCATCCGTGACGTGCTGCCAGCACCAGAGCAGGATGTCAGTGCAGACAAAACTGATTGTGCATAGTAAAAGACCACGCTCGTCTGACACGCACCCGGGCTCTGTTTTCGATTCCTGCGTTAGTAGCTTGGTTGTTGTTTTACGCAGTTTGGCAAGCTCAACCAGCATCTCATTCACTGCCAACGAAGGCAGTATGATATTGCTCCCTAGCATAGATTTGCAAGATGAGACTTGACTACGCAGAATCGCAAGATCTGGGCCATCATCACGGTCGAGGCAGAGCGCCATAGACCGAATAGTACAGTGCAACGACATTTGGGATCCTGAGGCACCATCTGACGTTGACGACATGACCTTGGTATAGCGCAAGGCTTCATCTGGCATACCAAAAGATTCGGCGAGCGCACTCAATGACTTACACAAAACCACAGGAAGGCTCGAGGCAGTATTTTGGGGCTTGTCCAGTCCGACAAGAGTGCTAACACGATCGATGGCCTGTTTGTAAGCCTGGGGTCCGTGATCTCCAGCACGCCTTCTGTAGGCGTCGATGTATCGAGCAAGTGGCTCATGGATCTCTTTCTGGAGGTTTGGCGTATGGCCAGCCAGAGGCCACCATTTGGTCTGGATAAGAAGCGCAGTGGTCTGAAGGCCGAATGCGACGTCGGGCGAGATGTGTGTCTTCGGCGCTGAAGTACGGTCCGCTGAAGACGAAGGCGATGGACACATGGAAAGGAGGAGCTTTGAGAGGGTGTCCAATTGTCTTGCGGCTTTTGTCCGGTCTTTGCAGAACTCGACGGATCGAAGTATGAGTGCGGCGGGAGAGACCGGGTTCTCAAGCAACATATGAGCAAGTGAGGCCTCGATAGTGGCAGGCCGTCCAGAATTCGTAATCAGTCGCAAGACATTCATGTGGTAGGAGATTGCCAGCGACAAGACCTTGACGTCGGACGTGTTACATTCGAGATGCAACAGTGTAGCGAGGGTTTCCCTCTCTGACGAAGGTGCGGGACTGACACCTTCAGACCTTTGATGTATGCAAGTCTTGAGTATGCGCAGCTCCTTCATTGCCAATGTGTCCATCTTGAGAGCGACAAACTTTGAGGAGAGGGCAAGCATGCCCATCTCCAGTTGTAGCGATTCGTCATTCGAAGAGCGGACGGAATGGAGATGTGAGAAGGCGATGCGGGCGCATTCGGCGACAGTATTCAAACCAGACGACGCGGGCTTGGTGCTGCCGGGCGATTGCGAAGGTGAAGGAGTTCTCGTCTTTGTTGCATCGTTCAAGACTTTGAGTGAGACATTGACAACATCCGTGGCCAGTTTGTATCGCTCTTGGACAGTCAAGATGTGGGTCGCATCAGCTGCAGCACTCGGGGCAGCTTTTGCTCTAGTTGCTCTTGTCGGCGGTGGTTTGCGAACGGTTGTTGTCTTTGCCGGTGTTTTCGGAGGCTTCGGTTGGGCATCTTGGGTCGGGACGAGCAGGGACTGTAGGGTAGCGGTGGTGGTCGGCGGACAGGAAGAGGGTGTCGCTATTGCTTTGCGCACCGCCTCGGCCCGGTTTGTCATAAGAGGCATTCTTGGAAGAATTGTCGCTGCATGTTACTGCCAACGTGCCATCACGGTATTTCCAAAGCACGAGCGGCAACTGTCAGTCAGCCTTGATTACTCTCCAAATCGTTAAAGAAACATGCCTTTTTCGGCCCTGTCTCTGGAGCAACCGTTTCGGGCCGGACGTGCCGAGTGTAGCCATGCCCTAAGTGCTCGGAGCGTTGAAATCGCAGAGCCGGCCAAAGTCAAGAACAATTGCAGCGCAACAAGGATCTTTGACAGTATCCATACAAACGCCAGCATGCGAGTCGTCGTCGCCCCTCTACGCCAGGTGCTGTGTCGCCGTCCGTTCTCTTCCTCGATCCGCTATGCCTCAGCTCCCACCTCGGTACCTCGAGTCGCCTCGGTCTGGCAATCCGTCATTCCCAAAGCCTTCAGAAAACCTGATGACCCCGTCTCTGTCGCCGAGCGCGAGAAGGCTCGAGCCATGAAGTCCAAGGACTGGAACCCTGCCACTTTCTTCATCGTCATCGCTCTCCTGATTGGCTCGAACGCAATCCAGATGATTGCTCTGAGAAATGAACGCCAGGGTTTCACACGCAAGACTGAAGCAAAAATTGCTCTTCTCCGAGAGACGATTGAGCGCGTACACCGTGGGGAAGATGTAGACGTGGAACGCGTTCTGGGCACCGGTGTTCCCGAGAAAGAGCAAGAATGGGAAGAGGTCATGCAAGAGCTCGAGTCGGACAACACGCTGTGGAAGAAGAAGGCTCCGCGCGAACCACTGCAGAAAGAAGAAGCTCAGGCCGAAGCACGAGAAGCAGCAGTGATCGAGACTCCCAAGATGGTCTCACAGGCCCCCACCTCCGAGCCTCAACCTGCTGCTCGACGACCTGGTTTCTTCTAAGTCATCCATGTCGTGTCGTAATTCAAGTCATCTAGTATCGCAATTGTCGCTGAACATGGACTTGGTGACTTGGTTGCTGACAAGTCGTCGACCGCGCCCTAACAGTGAGGTACATGCCGTATGTACCGCGCGCCAATCAGAGTGGGGAGCTGCGACTTCCTGGAGCATTGCATTGTGCATATCTGCCGACAATTTGCACGGCTGACCACCAGTTTGCAGACTGCCCGGCCATGACTATGTCCGTGTTTCAACCTTTGTCGCTCTCCTCCACGGTTCTTTAGGTGTTTTCGTGTTGGTGAATGGTTGTTTGCCAGCCGTCGTTCGTCTCAGATCGGATGCAAGGGCGATGATGCGATCCAAGCCAAATCTCCTACCTCCTTCCCTATCATGAGCTTGGCTGTGCAAACGACTTGCGTGGTCTCCACGTGAATTCGTACCAGAGAGAAGGAGTTACAAATCCACTCCTTCCTGCTGGTGTTGTCTCTTACACAACTTCGACATGGCGCCTTTCGCACTCTTCACCCATCGCAGCTTTCGACGCGGTACATCAAGTCAATCAACTCCGGCGTCAGAACCTGCCACTGCTCAGCAGAAGACCGCCATGGGTGGCATGTCCTCCAAGGCTGCTTCAAGCGTCAATGAGGTACCGCACAAGAAATTGAGACCTCGCTCGTCGTCCATGAACCTTCTCAAGCGCAATCGCACTCCATCTGCAAACACTACCGTGCGAACCTTGACCGTCACCCAGCCTTCGACCAGTGCAGATACGACGACCATTGAAGTCTCCGAGTCAGAAGCAGATTATACCAGGATATCTCTTGCTCGCCGCTCAGACTCACAGTCAACCGTCAAAACGCTCAGCGATTCTGTACACTCGAGTCGATTTGATCCCATCAAGGATACCAGCTTCGAGTCGGATGCTAGCTCAACAAGAACGGCTACTCGTGTGTCTCCTCCATCCAATGAAGTCGTTGTCTTTGGGGCAGACGAAGAAACTAGTGGCATGAGCACCCCCGTACAACATCGCCCATCAAAAACACCTCAGATCCAGCTGCCTACTCCTCCATTCTTGACTGAAGACAGCCCTACCAAATATGGCTTACGCGTTACACACTCTCCCTCTCCTGATCTCTACATGGCGTCCGCGCAAAGACAGAAGATGACCGGTGCTGGCCTCTTCGTGGTATGTGACGCAATCGTTCCATTCTTTGTCACACAGCTCGACTCACGCCTTACAGCATGCCACTACTCAGCAAAGGTCTGCGACCTTGACACTGCCAGTTGACCAAGCAAATCCCGGCGCCAAAGACTCTATACTTGCTCAAATTTCGCCCGCTCTGCCATTGTCAGACAAGACAAATCACCCACCTGATCATTCAGCTTCGCTGCCCAAATTACCGCACACTCATAACCATCCTTTCAAGGACGCACCTCAGGAGCACGTCGCACATGCCCTTCCGCTACGAACTTCACAAAAGACATGCTATCGCGAACATGACATCTGGCAGCGTATGGGCTCCAATTACAAGCACCCTGTCGCTTGTGCCATCTGCGACGGATACGAGCCTCCTGGTGACGACTTTATGACCTGTTTATGGTGTGAGATTCATGTCTGTGGACGCTGCTACGCGGCATTCGTGGCCAATGGGGTGACGGCTATGATGGCCAGGCAGCAAAAGAGGTGACGCATAGGCACATTTAAGGGTCAATGTGTTGGGAGCAAGAGCGGGATCTGCGTGGTTTCTCGAGCACGGAGTCATCATTCGGTTGCATGGAGATACCATGTCCAGCGAGGTGTTGAGGCGTTTGCATATGGGCCCCTAAGGAGCAATAAGTCCGACGTAGAGTCGTTTGAATGCGACAATCATTTCTCTACTGACTCGAGACTAATATGCTTGCTTGTCACGCCATTCTGTTAGTCATGAAGACATTTCCAGAAAGGTGCAGTCCAAAGAGTCATCACATTAACGTCTAACTCTATCCAATCTATATTCCCTAACGCTCTCAAACTCCAAACCATGGTATCTAAATGCAAAGCCCAAAAGCACCGTCATCTACACCAACAACCCACTGTCCTCCCTCTCAGCCTTAGCAAGCACAACCCTATCAAAAGCCGCCTGCTCAAACCTACCCAGCGCAGCCCAAAAATGCCTACCAGCCTCATGAACCCTGATCTTATCAATCAGGTCGGCAACAGTCTCTCTGACATCAAGTCTCGGATGCATAAGTCCAAGAGCAAGATAAAACATGCCCGTTTGCCTATCGTTCATCACCGCTGGACCGCCATATGCAAATACCGAAAGCAATTGGTTGATTTGCTCGTATGTAGTTACTCTGGCGCAGATGGCGAGGTAGACAGCTGCAGAGGCATCGCCGCCAAGACGCAGTTTTGTGAGTTTGTCGTGCAAATGCTGGAGATCGAGGTCTTGGATTGGACGGAGGGAGAACATGACGCTAAAGTCTTGGATGAAATTGTAGTAGCTTCGTGTCTTGGTCCAGCCTTCGATGCGAGTGGCGTTGGCGGCTAGTTCGCGCATCTTGGCTTCTTGGGTTGGCCATATGTAGCCATGACCTGCCACAGCTGGATCCTCCAATGCAGCATCCAGCACTGTCATTGGCGAAGGGAAGTCCAAGGTGGCTGTAGCTGGCGAGACTGGCGAGCCGGGCGGGTAGTATGCAAAGATCGCCGAGGCACCATAGACCAGCTCTTCGAAAGATGCTGCTATGCGGATAAACTTCAGGATCCAAAGACGAAACTTCAGACGGACGGCACCTTCACCACGGCGTTCGGCGATCGAGGCAAGAACGCTAGACATGAACGCTACATCGCCAGTAGGGTCTCCAGCTCCGGATGGTATGGACGGGAAGCCACTCATGCCTGCACCTGTTGCTGTGCCAGCTGATGAGACGGGTCCTGGTGCATTGTGCTGTTGAGGCATTCCATGTCCGTTTTGTTGGAAGAACAGGACACCTTCGGTCAAAGGAGCTTGCTCAATCTTTGGACTGATCTTGATACGTCCCGTTGGCAGATCGCACATAAGATCCCACCATTGGGTATGTGTAGCAAAGGCAGGATTAGTGACACCAGCAATGAAGCCTGGTACCTTGAGCAAGTCGTCGATCTTGGTAAGATCGGTATATGGGAACGCGTGACGGGTGAAGCCTCGTAGGAAACCACCAGAGGCCAGAGAACATGCAGCTAGCACAGCTTCTGCGACTTCTGAAGAAGGCAGGTTATGACCGATAAAGATGATGCGCTTTTGACTCAGCAATGCATTAAGAAGAACAATGATGGGATGTGTAAGAGGACCAGAGGTGGTCAGATGAGGATGGTGCTGAGTAAAAGGTTGAGGAGAGGCCGAGTGAGGCGTGCTGAAAGTCTGGATAAGTTTGATGATGGAAAAATCGCCGACAGTCTCGGGAGACAAAGCAGTGGGGATCTTGATGGGGACCGGGATCTTGTTGTAATGCACGACGGTATCGTACTCATGGGTGTCTCGTGGCAAACCATATCGTTGACGAGGCAGCTGCTGTTGGAGTTGTTTGTCTTCAGACTGGTCTTTGGCCTTGTCCTCCTGGACACGTCTATGGACCATGGCCTCGAACTTCTCGATGAACAGATCTTTGACATCAGAGGCTTGGAGAATGTACCGTTCCTGGAATGATAATCGTGGGAGAAGTGAGAGGTCCATGGCGTTGACAGATTCGTACAAAGAGGCCAGAGTTTCGATTGTGGGAGAGCGGAAGTAGTCCTCCAATGCTAGGAGAAGCAGTGGCTTGTATATGTGCAAGAACGAGTGCCTTGTGCAAATTGCCATGGCCTTTACTATAGCACCTCGCTTTACGTTGGCATCGTGCTTGGTGTTGACAAGATTGAGGACGTATACCAGCGGAGTGCCTTGTGTGCTCTTGACAGCGTCGTCTTCGGACTCGGCATCTTCTGTATTGTCGTCGGAATCATTGTCCAGGGCGGGTTCGGCTGTATTTGCGTTGTCAGAGCTGGCTTCGGCTCGCATTTTCTTCTTCTCTGCCCTCCGTTGATTACGTCTGTCTCTTCTCTGCTGCAATTCGTCCTCTGTGGACTGGTCCTTGTGCAAGAAGAAGATGGTCCAGTCCTGGCTACGCAAATGAGTCTGGTCGGGCAGCATGAGTTCGGCCAACATGTGCTCGTCGCCGCCGATTGGAGTGGGATATTGATGCTCCATGACGGAGCCCGTGTCAATGTCGAATGAGGCGACCAGAATGTACTCGACATGGCGCTCGGTAGAGTCTTGAGGATACTGAGGACGCGGCTTTCGCTTGCGACGGGGCATGCTGGGCGAGCGAGCAGCGTGTGACAGCGAAGGCCGTATTGTCGGACCAAAGGTAGCAGAAGGCATAACGTCGTAAGAAGACTGCTTGCGCGACGGGAACGAGGCCAGCGAGGGACGGCGTGCAGCGGTAGGACCCCCTGACATTGCGGCGGCAGGAGCGATTGGATTGGATTGGCTGTTGGTGCCACTGCTGGTCTGGCGCTGCAGAGCCATTGAAGCTTGTGTTATTGCCGCAACTCCATGTGCCAAATCAACGTTGATGCTCGACACAAAGAGTCTCTCTTCAACTTGTCGACCTCCTTCTCCACATGCCCCAGGGTCCAAGTCGGAGATCTGCAGCCAAGCATAGATAGACCCGGCGCTGTTTTTAGCGCGCGCGGCAGCGGGAGACGGCGGCGGCGGCGTTTGGCTCCCCCGGTGTGTGTTTGTTTGTTGAACCGACTGCCCGCCTGACAACCGCCACTATACCGCTACTTGATTGCCATACACATTCGACCTTTTCCATTCTCAGCCCTATTGCGACTGCTATGGTCAGCATCAACCCATCTCTCGGCTCTGCTCATTTGGTTGACAATCGTTAGGCTTCACCGACCAAGTTGTCGTTCAACTCGCCGCGCTCTCCGCGACCATCGCCCTTCCGCCGCCCCGACTCGGACGCTCTCCTGCGCTCTCCTTCGACAGTTCGCGATCCATCTGAATCGCCTACCAAGCCTCTGTCTCCTTCTCTGTCGCCTGAGAAATCTAATCCCTTTGTACGACGACCTTCACAATTGACCACCGGCGACCGTCCAAGGAGTCTCTTCGCCCGTCCCACCAGCCGTCTCAGCATCGCAGAGTCTTCGTCGAGGCCAACATCCTCTGGCGTTCTGGCTCCGCCTATCTCTTTCTCCCGCCATGCTTCGCGCACTTCAGTAGACTTGGACCAATCCGCTCCTCCATCACCTTCGCCCGCCGCACCCTATGAGGAGTCACCAATGCCGGGAGACGGTGCCTCACTGTCGTCTCCTCGAGACCTTCCGCCACCTTCGCCGCTCGCTGTACCAAGCTCACCAGCCGTCGCACCGAGTTCGCCTACTGTTGCGCCATTGTCACCTCTAGGACCTCGCTCGCCCCTTCTATCACCATCCTCGACCCGGCCTATGCGACCGACCGCTCAACGTACTGTCACATCGTCCACTCAGGCTACCATCCGAGCTCCTGTGTTTGGCAGACCCACTTCCCGCGAATCGCCCACAGCCCCGGCCACAAGACCAGCCCCTACCACAAGACCGAGCTACAGTGCCCCTTCAAGGCCGAATTACACCGCTCCAGTCCAGATGGCTACTGGCCAATACTCTCATCTCCCACAATCTCTGCTACGAAGCATGCGCGAATCTTTCGAAGTCTTGGACAACTCAAACACCGGTGCCATCACCTCTGCCAGCGTCGCCGATATGTTGCAGCAGATGGGCATGGACTCTTCGCCCAAGGCTGTCGCTGCTTTCTTCCCTCCCAACACTCCTTCTTCAATCTCCCTGGGTCGCTTCTTGGACTTGCTATCTGCACCGCTAGCTGAGATCAGCGAGCCATCTGAGCTTGCCGCGGCATTTGCTGCTTTCGACGTCGATGACAGTGGTCAGATTGACAAGCACGAGCTCAAAGATGCTTTGCTCAATACGGCCCCTGAGCCTGGCGCCGAGGACTTCCGACTTTCAGATCAGGAAGTGGATGCTATCATGAGCCAGTTCTCGTCGAGGAGGGCTTTCGGTGCCAAAGGTGTTTTCGGCAAAGAGTTGGCCGGCGGTAACCAGAAGAGAGGTGAGGTCTTTAGATACAGAGACTTCATCTCGAATATCTCGGGTAATGGTGGTGTTGAAGGTCCTGAGCAAGTGGCCACTTGAACTGGCTACGGCAGTGCTGGGTCAATTGTTCTTTATTCTATCATTGTTGATATCCTTGAGGCGTTTTGGTATACCTTAGGTGGTTGCGGAGTTGGCTGGTTTGGGTATACACGATATGTATTGCACTTTTCCCTATCCTTCTACTTGAGTTCATCTGTGGCCGGGACACCCTTCTCGATCCAAGTCACGGCTACTGATAGCATGTACAAGATCACATACATGACTCGTCATCAAATGTCCGTATAGTGACCCTGCTTCTTGTCGCAAGGTGCATGTGTCAAATGATCCCTTGCATGACAGCACAATCTACCCGTCCAATTGAAAAATACCCTCTGCTCCTGCAGATGTCTAGCAAACATTGTATACCTGTACATCCGCTGGGTGCATCTCAACGACGTTTCTACTTTGCAGATTCAGGCTTCCAGACGATCAACCGGTGGTCGAATCCACCACTGACCAACCATTCTTGCCTTTCGTCACCCGATGACACCCAACCAGCACTGAGACATCTGATTTTGCTACCGGGTTCGTGGCCCTTGAGCGTGGCGATGATTTTGCCAGTCTTGGCTTCGATGCCACGGATTGCCCCATCGTCGCTGTTGACCCAGACGCCTGTGCCGTCCGGCCGCCATGTGAGTGCGGGAGTACTGTAGGCGGTCTGGGGTGCCATGGTTGTGCAGTGAATCAAGATGGCGGCTGATTCGCGGTCTTGTAGAGCAAGTGCAGCGCGTGCCTGTGAAGCCTGAGTCTCTTCGGCAGGGACGATAGATGCCAGTGAGGCATCTCCCTCCATCGAAGGGACCATCAAGCGTACGATTAGTAGTTTCATGTGGGGAGTGGCACTCGTTGCAACTGCGACAAGAGTGCTGTCTCTTGGGCAGGTGGCAATCGCAGAGGGTGTGAATGCGATCCAGGCATTGCTGTGGGGCGCTAGATTCTGCTTGCCAAGTAGACATGCTTCGCTGTCAACACTGTAGTAGAAGAGATGGGTCGAGTCTCTGCGCGTGACAATCAGAACAATGGAATCATTGTCGGGATGCTTGATGAAGAGAAGTGCCTCAGGATTGGTCGGAAGCGAGATGGATGCAGTTGGAGGCGGCAGTGTAGGAGAATTATTGCCAGCGATGTCCAGCTGATAAAGATGTACCTTACCGTCCCAGCCAGCTGTTGCGAGCCAGGTTGCGTTCTCAGACTCGTGGGTCGCGATCTGCACAACATATTTGGTATGATCGCGGCGCTTGTCAAGGACCTCACCCTGCAGGTCACTTATCGCCAACTGTCCAGACATGGAAGCTGTCAGCAGGTGCGTCTGTTTCAGCACAGCAGTCGAGAGCACTGGTGAGTCGTGCATTGCCAATAGCGAATTCTTGAGCGTGCATGCAGGCAACTCATGAACATTGAGCCGGCGGTCAGCTGTCGTAGCTACCAACAGCGGTTCGGATGCATCGCTATACGCAGGTCAATCACGCATTGTTCTCTTGGATAACATGGCTCAATTGGCTTACGCAGCAGTCGTGTTCGCTACCAGAGGTAACGACACATGAAGGATGTTGGAACGTGTTGGGCCCGATATCTCGTTCGGCAAGGCGGGTGCTGGGAAGGAATCAATATATTGGGCTTCGGCAAAACGAAACAACAGTTGCTAACCGTGGTGGCCCCAGCCGTGAGCACCTTCATCTGTGCCGAGTCTTTCGAACTGCAGGCTCACATCAAAGGTTCGTTTCTCTTCGAGAATTTTCTCGATGGTCAGGTCGCCCTTGTTTGTCGACCCGGCGCTTGATGGAAGGCCAGCCTCCCTGATAAAAGCGTCCAAAGTCTGACATTGAGATAGTTCAGCATGAGATGTCCTGATGATGAAGCTGTGTGGGAGAGTTCAAACCTCATCGTAGCTGTTGGCTTTCAGGAAGCGGGCGACGATGATTGCTGCCTCACTCGATGACATTTTGAGCGCAAGGATATCGGATAGGGTCGCTCCTGCTCCTGCTGTTTGGGACTGGTTTGGCTTGGTGGCGGTTGAAGTCTGGCAGTTTCCCTCGGTTGATTGACAGCGACTTCCCCAAGATTCTGGGGGCCGACGTCGAACTGCACCGCACCTTCTGCACGTCCGCGTTGCTCTTGATAATACTTTTGCCGCTTTGTGTCACGACGCGAGCCTGAAGCCAGGTTGGAATAGCTGTGTACTCGCTTACCGTCAGTGCATCATGCATCGCGCCTCCACATGATTCTTCACGGGATGCGGCACGGGTAGGTCTGAAAACATCTTGTGTAACAGTCGACTGCGCAGGATTCGGTCCTTTCGCTCGAACCGACCCTCGATATACCTTGTGCGGTTGATATAGCCGCCATCGAAGCCCCTGTTTGGTGGACAGAGCCGCGATACACGTTGCTTCTGTGGACGCCCGCCGTACGCCGGTTGCTTCATAAGTATGTGCCGTGCCGCGAAAATGATAGATCACAGTTCTTGATCCATCCCAGACCAGAGCGTCTGCTTTATTCGAGTCTGCAAACAACATTCTTGACCCCAACCAGTGGTTTCACCGCTACCGGTCTCGCATCCAGCCCTGCATATCAATCTGACCCATCTGCGATTGACCAAACGCTTTGGCCACTTGCAAGAGGATCATTTCAACAACGGAGAATCGGAGAGTCAGCCTTGCTTCCCCTGTTCATTGACTGCCACCTGTAGGACAGCTTTACCCTATCACCATCCTGATCTCGGTGGGGTGGTCAATACGAGGGCATGGCGACAGGCCTCGTGCGAATGGCTTGCTGATTACTGTGCTAGGGCGCCGACCATCTCGATCGTCTCGGGTGACGCATCCCGGCAATCAGAGCTGTTTGTACAGGTCCGCTTTGAGATGTTGCTCGCAAGATTGCAGTCGAGGTCCAGACAGGGAACTGATTCGCTGCTGGCACCTCACGTACTTCATGCATTCAAGCTGTATAGTCGGCGCTGCTCATCTTTGACTTGTACAAATAGAGCGGCGCTCGACCGATGTGCCAATTGACCTTTCTGGTTCATCCCTCTTGTTTGCAGAAGGTTTCATCTCGAGGATCTAACATTCCTTCCAACAACAGTTCTTGTTCTTTGCACTTTTTGAGAATCATTGATCATTGCGAAGCGCCTTTCCAATCTGCACCATCATCACCTCTGCCAAATCGCCCACGTACAGATATGCTTTCTCAGATGCCTCTTATGCACTGTCAGTTTCCTCCCTCCCGGGCAAAAAGCTGTGGTGAAGGAGACTTCTTTTTTTACATTGAAGGCGTAGGTCGCAAACTCTATTCAACATATCAAACTCTAATTCTGAGGTACAGCTTCCACCATACTATACCTGGGGAATGTTGAAAGATCTCACCAGGAAAGTCGCTCCACATCCAGGATGGACCGAAATGGCCTCGACTCCGCAAGGCATGCAAAAGGGACGCGGCTGGATCAAAATCAAGCGGGCCAAAGATGCATTCAACCTTTATGGTACGTTGAACTCTCAAGTCGAGGTAATGATAGAATCTGACCATGTCCAAGGATTCTTGACCAATGGCTCGCCTTCTCTGAGACCACTCAAGGTTTACCTCTGGTCAACAGCTCGATCACCTCCAGAACTATTGCGATGTAACGATGCTCCACACCCGATCCAACGGTTCTCATCGCCACAGATTGTCAGCGCCTACTCTACTCGTCTGAGTACACCTATCAGTAGTACCACACCTATGAGCACCCTCATGAGCACCCCTATGAGTACGCCCATGAGTACGCCAATGCACGGAAGTCCGGTATTCCATCACTCGCCTCCTCTAACTCCGAGGAAGATGAGTCCAACATATGTCTACACACCGAACCACCGTCCCATAAACGCCACAGGTGGACTCGTTCAGACCAAGTCAAGAGGTATCTTCATAAGTCAATTGGACTATGGGGTCGATCAGCGGCAACTAGAGGAGTACCTGCGCAGGATTGGACCCTTCGACAGCTGCGAGATCCGACGGAATCCGGCTAGTGGTCGATCGCGCGGCATAGCAACAGCCAAATTTGCATCTACCGAGGCGGCCGCCAGAGCGATTCAAGTTTTGCATGGTCAGAAGCTCATGCGTAACACAATCAGCGTGCGCTTTGACACTGAGAAGGAGACTGTCATATCATCGAGCTCGACCAAGAGTCACCATGGAGGTCTCATTATTGCCAATGGCTCGAAATGAAACATCAACTCACGCCGAAGACAAGTATCCCACCAACCAGGAGATGCGAATGCGTTATCTGAGCAAGAATCATCAGCGAATAGTATCACTTATCCATCATGTGCCGTGCAGTGACTGCAGCATCGCTTCCCCGCACCTGTAATGAGTACGTGACTAGCGTGATGGCCATGTTGTGTAACCACAAGAAAGCCTCCTCCTTCACATGCATCTATCCCATCATCACCGACGAATGACAACTTCTACCAAACGAGTGTAGCTCTTCCTGAGGCGTAAAGAAAACGTAAGCACAGCACATCTACATGTTGCATCTCGAATACGGAAGCCGAGCCGCGAGAATCAGGTTTGTGATCTCAAGGTGCTGCACACGTTGCTCTCCCCAGATGATACAAGACGCAATTCTGAAGTCATTGTTGCATGTGCAAATGTGATCCAGAACGAACATACCCATGGGTTGGATATTCTCAGCCGAAGGTGTGTCTGGTCAGACGATACCTAGAATCAGGCTGGAAAGCTGTTCGGACTGGTTGCCACTGCCGTTAGCAAAAGAGCTGCAAGACTCCGCCGCTGTTCGCATCGTGAAAATGCGGAGCAAGAGGTGATGGGGTTTTGCACATGCAGAAGTTGGGTCTGGAGAGAAATCGCGCAAATGCACAATCTTTGAGAACCTGCACAAGCTAAGCAAGGCGTGTTTGGGCTTCTCAGCATCAATGATCAAGACTTGTCTATCACTCTTTGTGGTGGCCTCTAACTGGAGAATCGGTAGTACAAGCAACACTACTCTTGGATGTTTGTAGGCACCATGTTTTCAGACAGCAGTGAATTGACTTTCGGCACATCAGAATAGTGGGAAGGCCATTTGGGATCCCAAAGGAAGCAATTTGAAGCCTCTAGCCACGGGGAAGAAGCGAAGGGAATGAATAAGCAAAGTGCAGTGAATCGAACCAATCATGTTTCCACCCTTCCACACACTTGGGGGACTCCAAAGAACAAAGGTGATTAATTTGTTTTCATATTGTATACATTATATATTTATTCCTATAGTTGATGAGCAAGCGACAGGGTCACCCGCGGACCTTGTCAGCCTCGCGATTAATCTGTTTCATATCCTCAAAACACGCTTCCCACAGACATCTCTCGCAACAGCAGTTACCTCCCAAAGCACCAGCAGCCCACTCGCGACGATCTTTGACTGGCAACTCGATGTCGCAATAGTGGCTGAGTACCTCTTCACCTTTCTTGAGTCCAGCCTTGTACTTGATACCTCCACGCACCTCGCTACCATGCCAAACTGGTCGATCTTCGAGCACGCGGAAACGCACGTCGCTGGACCAGCGCCACGTAACGTTGGGATTGCAGCTGTGGTTTGCAAGACACCACATAGGGTGCACAGCACTGACCTCAGGGCCACGAGCCACGCCGCCGCCAGAACCACTCAAGCGAGCAGAAGCAGTGCCCCTGAACTTTGCGTACAAGGTATTGAAGACCCAGACATCGTATTGAGGGTTTTTGAAAATGTCGACGTCCATTTTTTCGAGCATGTTGAAGGGGAGCACAACGTTGGCTTGGAAGCTGAAGGGTAGGGTGCGTGGGAAGGGTGACTCGGTGCTATGGCGATCGTGGGGGCGCCAGTGCTTGGAGAGGTCGAGGGTGTGGTAGTCGCCCCAAATAAATTTGACGTACTTGATGTCCAGGGGGTGGATCTCTTGGGTCTCGGCCATGGCTAGGGATCTGAGCAGCAGGAGAGAGTATAGAGCGTTGGCGGCTTCGGCGGGTGGGACGTCCTTTGCGATGTCCTCGACACCACGGTCACAGACGGCAGGATGGTACTCCTCTTGAGCGAGGTCGCTGCACTTTTCACTGCAGAAAACGACCTCGCAATCCGTACAGGCCACAACGTCCGCCGAAGCTGGGTCGCTGAGCTCAGGGAGGTCGGCACTGCACGCATCGCACAGCGCGTCCTGGAGACGGTTGTTGGCGGTAAGAAGCGATGTCTCCGACAAGGCGATCTCTCCAGGTGCAATATCTTCCTTTGCAAAGACACCCAATTGTGTGACGAACTTCTCCGCGCCATCGCCCTCGGTCAGAAGTGGCAGCTTTGTAGCCTTGACCTCGAGTCTCGGTGCAACTTTCTCCATCTCTGCGTTCAGGAACTCTAAGCTCTCGTCGGAGCAGCGATCGGGCTCGTGTTCGTTCCAGGGATAGCACTCTCTACGCACCATGCCTTCGTCAGGGAACTGGTCGAGTCCGAACTTGAAGCCGGGCTTGTTGTACTCGTCTGGCTGGGTGTCGCGGAGCCAATCGTCAATCGCGGCGTGGATAACGTCCAGGGTCGCTTCGATCGTAGGGTCTTCTCCAAAGAGGTCTTGAGCCTTGAAGCAGTACTCGGCGGCACTTCTCTGGCAACCAATCACGTGGAGACACTGAGCAAGCAATGCATAGCTAACGGGCGTCAGGATAGACGCAGCAACGACAGTGAACAACAGCACTTACACTTGGAAAGAAAAGAGTCCCTTGGTCCAGACCAAAACCTCGATGTCCGATACATCGACGTCTACAAGCTGATGCTTGTTTCTCAGCATGAACTCAGGGTAGAGATGAGCCAGGATCTCGGCATTCTCGAGGATGTTCTGGTGTCTGTATTCCAACGACTCTTTCGAGATGCTCAAAGCCAGCGACTCGATAGCCTCGTCGCAAAACTCATCCTCGTTGTTGATGGCATCGATGAGCAGGAGAGCCTTGTATGCCGAACCGATAGCAAGATCAGGGTATCCGACCTCGACATAAGCCTTTGCGATGCGCAGGTAGAGATCAATGTTGTAAGGGTGTTCGGGCAAGAAGCTGCAAAGCTCGTGCAAAGCATTTAGACGTTTCCTAAGTTCGGGATTGGTGATGTGGGGATAGTGTTCGTCGGTCGACAAGTCCCACTCTCGCGAGAAGAGAGTCGAGCGTGGTGCATAGGGAAGATCATCAGACTCGGTACGGTGGTGACCATTCATTTTGGCATTTTTCTCATTCTTGTAACTGCTGATGGTTGCGTTCAAGCGGGCCATGGCCTCTTCGATCCTGTGGAAGGAGAAAGCATCCTCGGAAGACGACATCCTGAACTGTGTGGTCGCAATGCCTTGGCTTCTGCTGTATTGAAATTTTTGGTCGACGATGCATGCAGCTTCAGTCAATTTTTCTTAGCGCGGAGAAATCCGTGAGACGCGACGCGGTTGGTTCTTGCGACGCGGAGTTCCATCCCCTCTTCCGCCAGACAAGCGCAATGTCGAGCGAACATGTTCAAAAACACCGACACGCTCTCCTGTTTCTGCATCAGCGATGGTCCGCATGCTTCAGGTGTGTTTGAGTCGGATATAGAGACTCCAAGAGGCCTCCTGCTTCTTCATCAGCGATGCGTCGCCTTCAGATCATCTCCTGCCTTCATCAACGATGCTTTCGCCTTCGAGTCACACTGTCACAGAGCAGAACGTTCATCGAGATGGCCCCTTTCTTTGTATGATACTTTCAAATTCCAATAGAATGGTTAAGACACGACTAGCTCGCGATTCCGTCTAAAATACCAGATCGAAAGATGAATCGGTAGATGAACCATCTGAGCCGAAACGTGTGGTACATGTATCTAACGCCGTGCCCTAATCGCCGGCTGATCGAGCCACCATCGAGTTTTCGAGAAGACAGATCCGGCGTATTTTGACTTACAGTACACACAAGAAACGTGCCAGCTTTGTCAGATGGCTGCCTCCATCGTGCATACATTCTCCGGAAGACCGGCTTGGCCGTTTGTACTCAAACCACTTCGTCGATGCTGGAAGTCGACTCCGATAGAGGAGCGCTATCATGGTGGTAGCAGCCGTTTACCAACTTCCTTGCGCGATATATCGAGATAGGAGCACGCCAGAGTCGTGCGCCATCATCTGTCTATCATGCCTTGCTTCGTGCGCGACTTTGAGAGCCACCGAACCACGACAGCATATCGATACAGTGTGTCCGCCAGCCAGTTTTTCTTTGAGCTCCTCATCTCGCAAGCTCGTGGAAGCGAAGAAAACAAGGCTGCGATACCCGAGTCAAAGTTCTTTCAAAAAGTCCCTGAGCTAGGTGCAAAGAGGCAAGGCCGACACTTTGGTGACCGCGTGCACTGATGATCGACGATGGCACTTCACGATCCGGTGTGGGGTCGAGCAGTTTCGCTGGGAAATCCCGCCGGACCCAGGCCTTGCCTGCGAAAAAGAGTAAAGCTTGTTTCAGATCACTCAGGCATGTGGAAAACGGGAATCAAGATTGGAAGAAGAAGAATGAGTAAAGAGTAATCTCGAATTAATCAAAGGTGAGTCGCAACCAGTGCGCTCATGCAAGAGGGGGTATCTAGAAACAATGCATCGGCTGGCTGGAACAGGAAACAGCGCCGGATTGCAAACAAAAAAAACTCCAAGAAATGCTTTCTTTGACCAACCCGAAGGATGGAACGCCATGAATGAACCCATCGTAATCTGGTTGGAAGTGTCCAGAAGGGTCGTGTGTCGTGAAAATAGATCATGCAAACTGTGCATGATGGTGTCGTTGTCGTCGTAGCATGGAAGACCGATAGAATGGTCTCGAATAGAAGACCGGCGGTGCGGTCAAGAGGTGAGAGAGAGTCATAGAAGGACAGATGTGTTCTATGAGCGTTGGAGATAGCCGGTGATGTTGGCACATCTCAAGCAGTAGAAGGAATTTAGACCGTAGGCAATCATGTTGGCCGCCTTGCCAGTCGACACATCGATGCTTTGCGAGCGGTGGCAGCGTGAGCATCTGGCGACCTCCATGTGCATGTTTCCTTGGCTCGACGATGAACTGTCTGACTCTGATAGATCGTCGCTAACGACGAGGACGTTCTGAAGAGGTTGAGGTTGGGGCCGTCTTGGGGCAGAGATGTGTGCGACCTGAGTTTGGAGTTGGAGTAGAGATTCCATTCCGGAGCGAGTTTGAGTGGTTGAGGGAGATTGCAGGCAAGGTCGATAAGCAAGCAATGGGTTTGATGGATCAGAGACGATGTTTTCACCAGGTGGAGTGAAAGGAGTGGTCAAGGGAGTCTCGTCGTTGTATGAAGAATAGTTGGTGTGTTGGATGGAAAAGTAACAAACGCCCTGAATGGGAGAAGGGGCTGTATTTGAAGTGGACATTTTTGAGACGGGAAGAGGAATCGTAGATGCACGAAGTTGAATCGACCAGATGGAGCGGAGGTAGCGTACATTTATTCGGTTTGCAGCAGAGCTCGATGATCGTCGACTGAATCGTTGATTGGCTCTGGAAGCCCTTGGAACGAACAACCTGGGCGACCGCTTTGCGTTGGTTTTGGTTGGTGTTAGGGCCGTAACTTAAACAAAGCCACCGCCAAGGCGCAGCGATACATCGCCTCGAACCGGACTAAATTTTCTGCTGTTGACTTGTCAGCGGAGAGATCATCCGATTCATCAGCCAATCGACAATTCCCAGCCATGGCATGTCCTCTTCCGAATCCCGGCAAAGTCAAAGAGCCAATTTCAACATCTCCATCCTCGGTGTGGACCCGTCCTGAGGAGATCGTAGGAATCTTACCACCGAGATCTCAAGGCTGACAAACACAAACACTCAGCCAGCCAGCCAAGTCTTTCGAGGTCGTATTCTGCAGACGCCCGTTGCTAGGTGTACGTGTGCTGTATGCAGTCCGCCGAGGGCGTCTGTTCACCAACTGTGGCTGCCTCTCCAGTCCATTTTGGTGTCTCAAACAAGTCATTGAAATCCGCCTTCTCGAGTTTTCGACGTTGACCTGAGAAAACGACTGTTTTGATGAGGCTGTCTGAACAACTACTCGTGGGTACAGCTGAATTCTAGACCTGAAGCTCAAGAAGAAACATCGCCTCTCCGCACTTGCGCGCCGTTGCGGCTGCGGGCCTGTCCGGCGCCGCCTTGCACCCTTCCCAGCCTGCGCGCTGAGACGCATACTAGTACGGCTCTTACATTCCGAGATAGCCTACAATAGATCAATCTGCCAGTGCACGAGCATCAGGCATCCAGCGCAAGAGACGCATGCGTTGTAGTCCACATCTCAAGCCAAACGGTGTTGCACAATCAGACTAACACTACTATCTGACCGAGACGACGAACGCCAACTCGTTGCAACAGAGTCTGGAGCAGTCGAAACATGTGCAAGGGCGACATCCACGAGCTCCTCCTCGCGTTACCTAAATGCGAGCATCATATCCACATCGAAGGTGCTCTCACACCACATCTGCTTTTCAAACTTGCTGTAAGGAACAGCATCGATCTCGCCTGCGCTGACGATCAAGCGTATGCCAGCGAGGAGAAACTGCAGGCACGTTATGGGTCCTTCGCTTCCCTCTCGGATTTCATCCGGTACTTCTCATTCGGTAGCTCTGTTCTTATAACGGCCGTTGACTTCGAGGAGTTGGCATATACCTACTTCGTTAAAGCCAGCGAGCAGAACGTCAAGCATGCAGAGGTGTTCTTTGACCCACAGGCTCATACGAGTCGCGGCGTAACTTATGAGACCGTGGTACAAGGTCTGTCGCGTGCGAAACAGCGAGCGGAGCAGAACTTCGACATTAGTATCAAATACATCCCATGTATACTGCGCCACCACGGACTTGAAAGTGCGACAGGGATGTTCGAGGAGGTCATGGATGCTGGCCACTTTGCAGACGGCACCGTGTGCGGACTCGGCATGGCCGGAGATGAACTCGTACACCCACCCGAGTACTTCGAGACAGTATACAACGCTGCGAGGACAGCCGGGGTACGGTGCACGGCACACGTGGGCCAGGCGGGTCCAGCAACGTTCATATCAGCGGCGCTTGATCATCTCAAGACCGAGAGGGTTGATCATGCATGGATTGCGAAGACAGACAGTCAACTGATGCAAAGACTAGCAGAGACAGAAACGCTCGTCACGCTTTGCCCAATCTCGAATGTCACGCTTGGTTTCATAGGCAGCATCGCAGAGGCACCCGTCAAGGATTTCCTCGATCAAGGTGTACGATTCAGCGTTAACAGCGACGACCCGGCATATTTTGGAAAGTACATCCAAGAAAACTACTGCGCTGTCCAAGAGGCATTCGGACTCAGTAGCTCCGATTGGAACATCATCGCGTTGAATGCTGTGGAAGGGTCTTGGTGTTCAGATGCACGGAAACAGGTCCTCAGAGAACAGGTTGCTGCGGCAATATCATGCTGGCAGGCTGCACGAGATACACAGTAGGAATAGGCATCTACAGACCATGCCCATGCTAGCCCTGGCCATTACGAAGCAGTCTTACGGTATTGTACGTTTGTATTCAGGGACTCTCTGGGGCCAGAAGGTCGCCATTCAACACCACTCGTCTATGTTAGCCGATACGTCCGTGTATTCCTGCAAGCCATTCGTGTTGCGCAGTGCAGTCTGCATGAACTATCTTGTTTCCGGTCTCACTGTCGCCGACAGGTGCAACTGTCCGCACAACCGTCAGAGAGGTCTTTAGGCCTTCGACTCCGAGTGCGAAGTTCTGGACCGTTCCATCTTACCAAGAAGACTCCTTGTTGCAGTTTTGTAAAGTGCCTCTTTTGCAAGTGGCACGAGAAGAACTTTTGCTGCATTTGTCGCATGAAGAGGCTGAGTTGAAAGAGGCTACGCGGACACTCAACTTTGTTGCTGTCAAAGTTTGTCGCGACTCGCAAGGTGCTGTGGCAAGGTTATTGATGATTCTTTGTGATTCGTTGGCAACAAGTCGTTGGGCTGGGTCCAAAGGAGGGGTTCGCGGCTTGGCCAGACTTTTATCGAACTTTGTCCGTTTCATGTCAACAGGTACCGTTTCATGTCTCGACACCCTTTGCGACTCGGAAGGTCTCCGAGGACAATCAAACAATTAATCAAAGAGGCCGAATCTCCACCAGAGTATTGAATGGCCTTTGTCCTTGCTGTCTAGAAGTGTCTGTGGAGCAGATAGGCGTCAAGGTCTGGAGTTCAGCCAGCGCTGCCCAGAGCTCACACTAAACGCAAGGCGTTTGCAAACAAACTCATCAGCTCACGGAGTGCATCGTACCACCAGCCCCCCTCAAGCGAGGAAGATGCTTGGAAAGTTGGAAAGTTACAACCGACAGGTTGCCTGATACAGGGTCCATCACCTTATCTGATGTAAGCGGAATCGATTCGCAATCTTCCAGTGTTTCGTCGCTGCCTGATGCACAGCCCGAGCATGAAACACGCAATACCGAACCATGTCAGGGCAGCTTCGTTTCCCTTGCTGTCAAAACGACCGGCTCCCGGCAATTGTGTTGAAAAGTAGACACGACGCCTTGGTGGACGCCTTGCGCTCGAGGCCAAGTGCGCCTTGAGGTACTTGACAGCTGAAGGCGTGCTGTGCCACCACCATCCTTCATCCTTCGGCCTCCCAACCTCTCGATGCAAGTGAGTGAACCTTTGAATGACACCGAAGAGGTCGCGCTCGGACAGCGTGGTCGGCCTGGACAAAGACGCAGGTGGAAACCTTTTAGGCTCTGCTCTCTACAGTACAGCACTTTGAATACGACAGATATACGCGAGACTCGAGTTCGTGAGATGGCGGAATGGTGTAGGCCACAAAGCATACGACTATGGTACTCGTCAGAGGTGACCCGTTCCATTGACTTAGCAAGAGATCGCGCGTTTGACGATACCCTATAAGTTACATAGTCATGTCGAAGAGTCGCGAGGCCGGTATAGCTGTAATGCCAGCACTCCGTCTGATACCAGTCCAGTCGCAAGAGCGACCTTGAGGCCGCCCAAGAACAGCTGAACATGGAGCTTCAGGTACATAGAATGGGACATGGCACAGTATAGACGAGTAACTCGGCAATAGACTCATACATAGTATGAAACAGAATTGAGGCTCTGGTAGAGGCGGTTAGAGTTGACGACGTGGGCTGTGCAGCGAGAGCAACACGTGAGAAACACAGAGATAACGATAAGGCCAAGAATGAAAAACGGAGGTTGGCTCCGGAGGAATGTTCCTCTGTGGCTTAGCAGACGAGGGCCGACAAGAACTGTGCACATCTTTGCGCAAGGTGGAATGGGATTGCGGACTGCGATTGAGTTGTCCTCGGAGAGTGGGAAGCAGGATCAGGATTGGCTAATGGCAGAAGGTCGTAGAATTGATGATGGCGGGTGGTGCTGTGAGTCCGGGAATGCCAAGGCCCTCGCAGAGCCCCACGTTGGCAAGCGCGCTCGTCATAGGCAAAGAAGCGGTTTATCTCCCGCTCGCATCGTCCATCGCTGCTGCCCATCATACACCACAATCTCCACCGCCTGTTCTCCCACTCTGCTGCACCGGCATTACAACTTCCATATCTCAGCCACTCATCTTCATCACCAACAGACATTCCAACCATGGGCAAATCTCCCAACGTCTACGCCTTCCCCGGCGTTGCCGAACTGGCTCCCACTCTGCGCCAGTACGTCCTCACACAACAACAAGCTTCCATTGAGCGCCACGGTTCTTTCAGAGTCGCCGTCTCAGGAGGCTCCTTGCCCAAGACTCTCGCCCAGGCACTCTTGTCAAAGGGCGACGGCACACCCGCCGACACAGTCGACTTCAACAAGTGGGAAATCTTCTTTGCCGACGAGCGCTGCGTCCCGCTAGACCACGACGACAGCAACTACAAACTCCTCAAGGACGAGCTGCTGGACAAGATTGACAAAGAATCTTTCGGCGAGCCCAAGGTCTACCCCATTGAGGAAAAGTACCTCCACGATGCTCAAGAGTGCGCGGATCAGTATGAGAAGGTTCTCGTCTCTGTCTTTGCCGCTCGCGACTCTGTCAAGCTCCCTGCCTTCGACTTGCTTCTTCTCGGCTGTGGACCCGACGGTCACACTTGCTCGCTGTTCCCCGAGCACCCTCTGCTGCGCGAGACCGATGCCTGGGTCCTGAGCATCTCCGACTCGCCCAAGCCCCCACCAAAGCGCATTACGCTGAGTTTGCCTGTTGTGCTCCACGGCGCAAAGATTGCCTTTGTGGCTACCGGTGCTGGCAAGAAGGATATCTTCAAGAGCATCTTTGAGACTGAGGAGGGTCGCGCTTTGCCTTGTGGTCTGGTCAACGAGGGTGCTGGTGATAAGGTCAGCTGGTTCACCGACAATGCCGCTCTTGAGGGCGTCAATGTCCCCCGCAGAGGTAACTTGTAAAGTGGCTCCTCCCTCTGCTTGTGCGAACAACAACGACACTCTCTCTTACTCCGGTGGAATTGACTTCCGAGGAGTTCGCATTAAAACACACCTGGAGTGTGAGTGACTGGATCACTTTTCCCTCATTTCTCGAAACATCGATATGATTCGTATGAAGGATCCGAGGCTCGGAGGACGAGAGCAAACAAAGCTATAGACCACTGAGAAAATGGAGAAGATAAAAAAAAAAAAAAGCAAGGCACACAGCAGATACATGTCTGTCGTTTATATCTTTTAGCGCGTTTATACCACGGAGGAGAATCGCAAGTCATCCTTTCCCTTTATCTAAGGTGTACATTTCGTGACGGACAGTTCATGCAGTGCTGTGGATATAGCTTTTGTCTATGAGCTGATCATTTCTTCAATTCGCACTTTCAAGTCTGATGTCAAACCTGTTTTCCCACGTGGGAATAGGCATTTAAGCTTTCAGTTTATTCTCCATAACACACGTAGGAGCTTTTCCCGGTGCCGTCCGCCGTCTCGTCTTCAGTTGATTTCAATTGCTCATTTCATTGCTACATAGGAAAGTCGTTTCTTCTGGAGTCATGTGCTTCTGATTCGTAGCTCTTGTGCGCAGTCTTTCCCTTTGATTGCTGCCGTGTCATTACTCATTGTCTTTTCGTCCTCATCCAGTTTCGTTCTCATTGCTCTTCGTCCTCATCCATTTTCGTCCTCATTGCTCTTCGTCATGTGCCATATCTATTGTCTTCCCTCTTCCAGAATTCTGTCGTTCTCACTGGATCGTCAATTCTCAGCCCGCTGTGCATGCTCAAACTCGGCCTGCTCAAGCTCGGCCTGGAAGGTTTTTGAGTATCGGACGCGGGATTGCAGCTAGAGGTTGTCTGTCGCAGGTTCGTCAGAAATGCGGGCTGTTGAATCTTCGTCCCTGCCGACTTCGGTAACTGTAAGGTCGAATGTGCCTGAGTGAGATCCGGGGCGGTTGTTATCTAGGACTGCAACAGAGGTCTTGCACGCAGGAGATGACTTCGACTTGTCGCACCAAGCAAGGCGATTACTCTCGTTACCAGTGTGAATACAATCGATCTTATACTTCGCGTCTTGGACGTCCTTTCTAGCAATCTCCCTTGCAGTAGTAAGGTCTTGAGTTACTCTCTGTCCAGCGGCCTCCAGCTGTGTGATTTGTTCGTGTGCCTCTTTGAAACGACTGATGCTACTTTCCTGTGTGATAACCATTCTAGTCAAAGTGTCCTTGACAAACCTCTGGTAGTTTTCGTACTCCGGTGTGTTGGGGCTGATGTTTGTGGGAGGGTATATTTTGAAGCCATCAAGGAAGGCCTTTGCGTGTGGGCCTAAAGGAAAGCTGTCCTGGGCCTGGGAGACCTGCTGCTGCTGGCGTGTTTGCTGTTGTAATGGGTAGCCAGTGGTTGCAGCAGAGATTGAGCTGTCCTCCTGGCGAGCTGTGATGGCGGCGGTCGAGGTATTTCCAGGAGCGTTCTTAGGGCTTTCCGCTTCCTTGCTTGGCTCGGCCGTAGGACAGTCAAGGGCTGGAAGCCTCGAGATCAGGGCGAAGAGGCCTTTCTCGTCAACGATCCTGGAATTGCGTTCTCGTAGGACTGCGAAACTCTTTGGTCCAGTGTTAGCTCCCACGACAACGTAATCAGTGCTCTCGCTAGGTGCCGGGGTGACTTTTCCACCGTAGCGTTTGACCAGAATCTGAAGTTCTTCTCTGAAGTCGCGTTCAACTTGGCCTGTGAAGACGAGACTCAAACCAGCAAGACAATTGTCAGCGCCGTGGAAGACTTCGAGACTACCAGTTTCAGGGGTGGAGCTGAGAGTATGTGAGATAGTAGTCATATGGCTGAGGTGAGGATACGGACTAGTCAAGGGTCCGACGCTCTGAGATCCAGTCTTGTTGTCTGCTGAGTCCTTCATAGGTATGCCCCCGGCACCACTATAATAATCTGCGAAAGGATACTCGTATGTTTCGGCGTTCTGCTCGGGTTGTACCTTCTCGGGGTGTGTGACCTCGGCGATGCGTGGGACCTCGGCGATGCGTGGTTCTTCCCATACGTTATCCATCTGAGGTTCTAAATTGAGATTGCTTGACAGGTGTTGGCAAGATGCAATTGGAGTGGTAGGGCATGATTCGGCGAAGGGGGCTGGAGGGTAGATCTCAACTGCATCTGCGACCGAGTCGGTGCCCTCGACATTGGTAATTCCGGGTACGCTACGCCTCGATGACTCTGATTGGGCTTGAGGGCTTTGGGGGGCGTGGTTTGTCCAGTCCAAGTCTTCCAACCCACTTGTAGTCGATTTCGACATGTTGCAGTCGAATTTGCGGGCAGATGCTCTATCGTTGACAACTTGACAGTTTCCAGAATCCATGCTGTGGGATTTCTGTTCGAGCTCGCTGCAGCGAATATCAGTCAAGATGAATTGAAGGTCGCACATGTCTTGGATTCGAGCATCGGCTGTGCAGTCAAAGATCTCGGGGCTCACTGTGCAGGGCTTGGAGCTTTTGTTGTAAAGTGCCAATGCCTTGCTCACAGCAACGCTAGCACCAGAGTTCTCGTCATAGAACTTCTCCTGAGGCCGCACATACTCGAGAGCAGGGAAGATATAGTCCTCGATAATGACACTGCGCATCCAAGACGATGTCAAGGGTAAAGTCTTGATGTTGACTGCTGATGCTAGAGATTTGGGAACGCCAAAGAGGAGGACTAGCGAGTCACAGAAATCCCAAAGACCAAAATCGTCATTGTAGTTGTCGAAGAGATGGGTGCCGTCGGTTCTGAGGCCAAGGTGAAACCAGCGAAGGGCGGAGCCTCTTAAGAAGATCTCAATGTTGGTGATGGACTTTGTGCGAAGTACGCGGTTCACTCTACCAACGAAGCTCGAGGCATCCGTAATGTATTGCTGATCGCTGTGGCCGCGCTGGACATAGTTCGGATAGAAGTAACCACCAATATCGGCGACAGTGGCAGGTGCCTTGTCTGGTTGTGGGCTGTGTGGCACATTAGATTTCTGAGATGAGATGCTTGCTGCATCAGAGCAAGAAGAGGCTGAGTCGGAATCACTAGGTGACTCGGGTGGAGTGAAGTGAGGATTGTCAAGTGCGAGGTCGTCAAGCTTGTTGGAGAGAGCATCGAGTTGATGCTCGAGTGCTTGAAAACGATCTTCTTGGGTTTTGGCGAGTGTACCTACCGTTGCGCCGATGTGTTTGATCTGTTGCATGTTATCTGCCATGGCAGAAGACGACGAGTCGACCTCGCTTGAATCGCGTGTCAACATGTTGGATTGTTGACGAGGCTTGTTGAGAATTGAAGCGGTGCGTGGGTTCATGAGATCAAGCTGCAGCCTGAGCTCTCTGAGCGAGGTGTTAAACCGGTCATCCATGTTGATGGACTACAAAGGTTTTGTATGTAGTTTACGGGTCATGAGTTCCACTCAAGCTCCCTTATCACACAGTGAAGTGAAGTGAAGTGAAGTGGATGGTGTTGTGTCGGTCAAGTGGTGGTCGCTAAGGAGCCGAGCAAATGATGCAAACACGGAGCTGTTTCACAGTCGTGTTGTTCACTTATCAACATCAAAACATCACTTAACTCTCTTCGTCAACGACCGTCGTTTCTGCTTTTTGCATTTCGGACATTGCTTTGTTCCTATCGCAGAGTTGAAGTAAAATAGAAGCCAGCCATTGGCAGCTGGAAGATAGACCATGTCGTCGCGGATGCCCTCTATCCGACGTCCTGTGAGGACAGCGACAAACCCCGAGGTAGCGTCCTATGGCCACTCAACTCTCCAACAGCGCTGAGATGGTGTAGGACTTGGTAGACAATGACACCACAGTGCAGAAGAGAAGTCAGCTTCCACAGCTGACGCCTCGTTCAGTCAAGATAAAAGACGTCTCTACCTCGAGCTTGCCAATGTCTAGTCTGGCGAAACCGACCACGGGTATTCGAACGAGAGCAAAGGAAGAGAAGGCCGCTATGCCACCTCCTTCAGCTCCCCAGTCCATCCGCAGCCGTCCAATATCCCAAGCACCTACATCTACCACTGCTACTTCGACGAGGTCGGGATTGGTCGCTCCCTCACGAACGCTGTCAACTCGAGTACCTGCCTCTTCAGTAGGCACCGTTGCGAAACCGCGTGTACCGTCGCATTCTCGCACAGCCAGCACCTCGACTCTCGCAGCCTCGAGCACTACAGACTCGGCCTTGAAGCGGTCTGCCACGCTTTCTTCGACGGCGAGACATTTTCGATCGCAAAGCTCGACCACCACAGCTTCGACCTCTAGGCTCGCTACTCCTTCCGACCCATCGACCCCGATCTCTGTCAGGAGCAGTGCAGACCCCGTCAAGCCTCTGGTCAGACGTCTTGTTCGACCAGCTCCTACCTCAAGCGTACCCAACCTCGAACCCTCCACCTCAAGACCGGCGTTCAACACGCTCCAACAACACTACAGTCCTGCCAAAACTACCTTGCCCAAACCGCCAGTTCCATCGTCTCGAGCCGCTCCATCAGCTGAAGTGAAAGCTGTCCAATCCGGCGCCGTCTTCGAAACCACAAAACTGCAATCCGAACTTCTATATCTCTCCATCCTCCACGAAGCAGCCGAGCCAAACCTTCGCAGCTACGAGAAGAGCGCCAAAAGAGCACTACAGACAGAATTCGAAGCGGCTCAGGAAGAGGTGGGACAGATACGAGAGCAAGAGCGCATATTCCAAGAGCAAGGAAATCTGGTTGCTATAGCAGAATGGCTGGGTGTCCAAGGAGCACAAGTACACCCCGAAGCTGCGGAAATGATACAGAGCCTAAGCGGCTGCTTCAACGAGCTCATGATGCTCTCAGCTCCCGAAAGCAAATATACGGCCTTGGTGCACGATTTCTCGGAATGGGCAGCTGAGGCGACTGAGCAGGACAGGGCACATATCTTCTCAGGGCCTCTGCCTCAGGATTGGCATCACACACATGCTTCGATTACACAGCGTTTACGGTTGGTGGAGCGAGAAGTTGAAATGCTGCCATCAGCACCCTCGAGCACAAATGAAGAGGCTCCAGAGTCATCCTTGGCTATTATGCTCAAGTGTCTGAACGACTTGGTCTTGGGTATGAAGGAAGAGTTGGAAGCAATGATACGGCTTGAGCGTCAAGTAGTGAGTACGGAGAAGCAACGAGTGAGCAATGCTGTAGCTGGATTGTCCATGGATACGCTGCTGCAGAGTTCTGAAGAGTGGACAGCTGCTTGGTAGCACAGTAATGCAGTATGTATATAATCATTCCTCTTGCGAGAATGAATTGCTCGCAACAACAAGCTACCCAAACAGACTGTGTTTTCTCGTGACGATAGCTTCTATCACCGAGTATGTGTTGCGTGGTGATCATACCCTGTACAATCTCTTCAGAAGGGTGTTCGTCAATCGCTAGTAGGCCAAAATCCGCAAGCATATGCGAGGCAGATGGATGTTCGACATATGTCTCCAGACAAGGCTCTCAGAATGTCGATCTGAGCAGGTGTTTGATGTCCGAGATGTTCAAGACTGAATCCGGGATATATCTCATGCCCACGGCGCAGGCACAAAAGGTCTCGCCGTCGCAGCAGATCCAAGAGAAGCAGGTCCCCTCTGTCCCAGCTGGGTCACAAGACTCGGCAGCATTTCCTCCAAGATATGCGCACACCTCAATCCTTCCTTTCCAGTGTTGTTCGCAGACAAGTGCCCAAAGAATTGATCTTCACCTCTGACACCGCCAATGTTCACAATGCCGATCGGCATGCCTTGTTCCCTTGCTCTTTTTACCAATCGCCAGGCTGAGTATGTGGCTAGCGAGGAGCCGAGTACGAGCACTCTGGCAGCTTCATCAATGGCCTTCTCAGCGGCAACCTTGGTCGTGTCAGGGATGCTTTCACCAAACATAATCACGTTTGGTTTCAGGATCCCTGCTGTTGAGTTGCCATGCTTCCACGCACCATCCTCATCAACCTCCACCACATGTTTCTTCCCCTCTTTATCCTTTCCCGGATTCGCCAGACAACTCGGACACGCCGGATACCTAAACGTAGCATAATCCACACCGGGCACATCCACATCACCGTCTGGATTTGTTTTGAGTCCTAACCTTCGTCTTTCGTCTGGGTTTTCGGTGGTCAGGGCTCCTGAAGCGAGCATTTCGTTGAGGAAATCACTCCATGCTGGGTTGAGGTTCGCGAGGTCATTTTGGAAGAGTTGGCGATCGTATTCTGTGCGGCAGGTGGTGCAGACTGCACTTCGCAAATAGCCGTGTAGCTCGAGAGTGCGGATTGAAGGGTGGGCTTGTGGGTGGAAGGAATCGACGTCTGTGGTTGTTGCTTGTCAGTCATTTGACCACTCTTTCCAGTTCTCTTGGTCGAGTGTGGGTGTAGATACTCTGAGTGATGACACTAGACAAATATCCCATACGCCCTAGATCGGCTACTGCCCTATGCGCAGCGTTCGGCTTGGATTTGTTCAAATTCGTCCAGCCCAGGAAACTGCGCGCCCAGTATCGTTTTCTCGCTGCATGGTTGGCGACAAACTCGTGAAAGTAGATTGGTCGATAAGTCTTGTTGAGAGTGTAGGTGCCTTTAGTACCTCTGTAATCGGCAAGACCAGACGCGACAGAGATACCCGCTCCAGTGAGCAACACAGTCTTGTCTTTGGACTTTGCTTGTTGTTGTGGCGTCGTGGATGTGAGAAAGTCGGTCAGGGCGGCGATTGCACCAGACACGGAAGCTGCGGCCGACGGGATGATTGTGGGTGCTGGGAGCGGTGCCGTGTATGGGATCCGCATCAATTGGCCGACCATGTCTACTATCTCCCTTGCTCTTCTTCCACGCGACGGTTCCTGCTACTGGATATCCCTGAGATTGAAAGGGACTGTTATGCTTTTTGGACTTGGTCTGGACAAAAGGTTTTGACTACGTCATGGACTTGCTTCCGGGATCAATTCCGCGACTGCGGCCAGGGTCACATTTTGGTCTTGAGCATGCTCTGGGACGTAACTGATGAACATGAAAGAGAGAAGAAAGGTAGACTTCATTATATGACAAGATGATTAGAACAGAACAAGTGCATAGTTCCTCATTTGCGAGACGTAGCGTTCCATTTGCTATACCCAATAATCTGTCGTGCATGGCCATACAGTCCTGTCCAAGAGTTAGAGAAATGTGGTAGTGTCTGTAGCGAATCTGGTACGTACCCATAGTAGCCATCAAGATAAGGTAAGGTGTATAAACAATTGAAAACAGAATCATCATCCAGAAAGTCGTGAATTCTGATCGAGCCATTTGCGTGATCGCAAGTGTGAAGATGAGACAAACGACACTGTTGACAATGGTCAGTACTAGAGTCATTCTTTGATTTATGGTCAATGGAGACTTACGTTGCAAACAAGAACCATTCGGCCATCGGGTATCGGAAGAAGATCAACTTGACAAGGTCTGCCGGGTTCTTCGGCCAGCCGGTAATGATAAAAGACAAAAGCAGGCAAGTGTGCTGAGTGACCAGATAATAACTGATCTCTCTGACAAACAGCAGAGACAGCACACCAAATCTCTCACTCACAGCCCTCTTCTTGTCAGGAGGATTGTTCCAGATCAAGGGCATATGGCGCAGCGAAGCCTGAGTCCAGCCTTGTGCCCATCTCATGCGTTGTTTCCAAAACGCTGCAAAGTTGGTTGGTGCCATCTCGTACGACAAGACATTCATATCGTGAACGGCTTTCTTGCCCTCACCGTAAGCACGCAATGCTGAATCAATATCTTCGCACAACATGTGTCCATGCATCTGATGTCCCTTGAGAAGATCAGCCTTCCAGTATCCATTGCTGCCACAGAACAAGCCAAAGTTGAATAGTCGACTGCGTCCTGGGTGAGAAACTGCATAGATCTTGTCAAACTCGATGGCGATCATCTTGGTAAAGAAGGTCTCGTTGGTGTTGTATACCACACAACGGCCTTGAACGATGTCTACCGAAGAGTCTTTCATGAAGCGTTCAGCGGCCCAACGAGGGTTGTAGGGGTGTGGGAAGTGATCGCAGTCGAAGATGGCGATGATATCAGCGCCAGTGTTGGACTTGAAAAAGTAGTTGAGGTTATCGGCTTTAGATTTGGAACCCGGGACATTGGTGACGGTGAGTTGTGGGTATTGTTTCTCCATTTCTGTCAATTCAGATTGCAGAGGTTCGATTGGTTTTGGCGTGTTGTAGACTAGATACCGTCAGTCAGGCCATGCTTCTGAGTTGAAGTAGAACAATTTACCAAGGTTGATTCTCAGCTTGTTGCGAGGATAGGCCAGCTCATCCAAAGCATAACACACTTGATCCTTGACGATGTCCTGTTCGTTGGGTAGATATGCCACGATCACAATGTCGATGATTGGAAGCTTGTCGTCGGGCGTTGGAAATTGGGAGCTATCCTGATCAACTTCATAGGCTGCCTGCCTAGCTTCGCGAAGAGGGGAGATGCCGAGAAACGCTTCGATCACCGTACACATGGCAATGTAGAAGTTGACAGCCATGTAGACGAAGTAGAAGACCTTGATGGTTCCTTCGGTGGCTGATGTATATACTGCAGTTGAAGCGATGTAGTAGGTGGATACCAGGACGAAAGGGGTCCAATCGAACAACCATTCTGACAGCCGAGCGATAAGACCTTGAATGCCCATGCTCAGTCGTCGTAGTGAAGACGATGTGGTCATCTGAGGAGATGGCATCTCAACAGATGTGACGCCCATGGTCTTGGACATGCTGAAAGCAACGGTATGGATAATATTGGTGCAAGAAGATTGATACAAGATGATTTGAGGAGATGCTTGGAGATAGATCAAGAAGGAGCGAATGACTGAAAGAGTGGAAGAGACTTGATACCCAGATCGAAGAAGTGATAAATGCTCGATCACGACAAACGGATGAGATATTAGCTGTACCCGAGTAGCCTACCTTTCAATCCAGAGGATTCAATTCTCCGACCTCCAGAAAGCACAATCTGAGGACAGCGTCGGACTTTCGTCCTCACTGACTGCACGTCGTCGCCTACGAGCCGCTATGCGGATTCCCGAAACCATCTGGAGTGCATTGCAGATCTCCACATACCAGCATCAGTGGTTGTTGAGAAGCCACGAGCGATCTCAGATACCATGCTCTGACATGTCAGGGCTGCATGTGGATGGAAGAAGTTGAAGCGCTTGCTCAATGTGATTGTCGGGGTGGATCACGGCGTGTCGGTTGTACGCGGCTCCGACTATGGCTGCCAAGTATAGTGCGGCTCGGGGAATTTTTCAACGAATGCAAGCCAACCAGCGCACCATGATATTGGTTTGACTTCTCGTCTACTGCAGGCTTCGCATAGACTATGTTACTCATCCCCAGGATGCAAGCGATCACCCTTGTTGCTGCTGCTTGCATATTCCAGATGCTTGAACATTGCAAATTTTCAATGTCCGAAGACTAGGGTATGCACCCCGAAGTCAATCACAACGGGCATTCACAAGTGGGTCGTAGATCGATAGGCGGGCGCGATATCCGCTGTCGAGTAATCAGGGTGTCTGCAGCTATGCGGACCCAATCGAGGTAGGTAGTAGCAGGATAGATATCCTGTGAGAGTCTCGAACTTGACAACTCCTCCAATACGCCTGAGTCTCATTGCAAATCACCATGGCACATAACAAGTTACTCGTATCCTTCAGAGATACGTTCTCCTCCAAGGTCTCGACAACTACACAGCAACAAGACTATCTCTATGGTCTTCGCGGAATTCTTGCCGTCGAGAGTTTCCTCTGGCTATTCCTCAAGACCTTTGTCCCAGCAGTGGTCACCAATGAGATGGCAGGTCCAGCTCATCAAGTCGTCGTTCGCAAGGTCTTCTCCGCGCTCTTCTGGAACGAGAGCCTGATATCTTCTTTCTTCATCATACTATCAGCACGCTCTATCTGTATCAGCTTCCTGCAAGAGCCCACTGCCAAAGCATTCGCTCGCTCGCTGTTGACTCGACCTCTACGCATTGGCATTCCGCTCGCCTTTGCTTTGGCCTTCTCCATCTCAATCTTTTCTTCGACCAGCACAGTCTACATCGATCTGGCTGCACAAGCTCTGAAGAACCCTGATCTCGCCGTACCTACTATGCCATCCAACGCTCTAGCATCCTTCAACACGATCTGGGATGTGTTATGGGTTGTCCGCGATTTCGGAAAACAGATGGCGAATCAAGCATTTCCAGGTGCAACCATGTGGGCCCCATCATTGATCTACTCGCAAAGCTATACCACATATATCGCGATGGTCATCCTTCCATTCACAAGAGCTTCTTGGCATGTCCAGGCCATCACGATGTTCAGCATCGGATCTTTCTGGTTCAACTCTTGGGGGTGGTACTCAGCGGCTGGACTTTTCATCGCTGACTTGTCTCAAAACCAAGACCTCCGCGCACGTTTGAATCGCGGAATCAAAATCAGTGAAAGCGTCAGCTTCCCCTATTGGATACTGGCCATCCTGTCTGTTGTTGCGGGCCTTGTCATGAAATACCTTTGGGTGGCCGCATTGCCTCAGCATCTTCGCGCAGAGCTGGCTCTCCATCCGTGTCTCCATCTCACTCAAGGGCTGACCACTCGCAATTTCAACAAGGATCAAGCCTATGCCAGATTGGATGACTACCTGATCGTAGTCGGTATCCTCTTCCTTTTCGAGATGTCAAGCCGTTTGAGATCGGTCTTCTCATCAAGGCTGTTAGTCCAAGTCGGGAAAAGATCACTCAGTAAGTACTTGCAGCGGCATTACACATCTTTCATGATACTAACAAGGCTTAGGTATCTACGTGGCTCAATCCTTAATGCTTTACGTTGTCAGTCTTAGAGTTTTCGTTGCTCTTCATGTGCTGAGGAACATGTCCGTGGCTTCTGCAAATGCCGTGGCCTTCATCTCTTATCTCGGTCTGACGGCTGCATTTGCCGAGGCATTTTACTGGACAATCGAGAGGACATCTACCTGGTTCGCCAGACACCTCTTTGAGTGGAGCAGAACTTGATATGTGTTGAGTCTACAGCTCGCACTAGGAGGATGATTTCTATATTTCACTAGTTTCAAGTTTCGAATTTGACCTCCTGCAACTTTCAGTATCGTACTCTGACCATTTGCTTCGAGTCCAGCGAGCGTGAAGACCACCGTTCGTGATCACGTTATGCTGCTATCTGTCGTTCCGTGTTTGCCGCCAAATTAATGTAGACCACCCGCATCAACGATGTTCAATCTCCGCATCGTGCATATCTCGGACATTTCTTATCCCTCAAAATGGCAGTACTTGTTTGGTGCACAGATCTCTGTGCACACGGCCGTAAACAGTCATCTTAGATGGTATAGAAGGGCAAGGAGCTGTTCTCCGAGTAAAGAGAGCCATAAACGCGGAAGATCCCATGATAAGGAACAAGGTTTCGGATGCCAACGTCACTGCCGAGGATCTTTGCAGCCTGTGCTCCCAGCCTCCTTCAACCAGATTCCAACAATCTCCGCTAATCGCTCAACGTCCGGTATGCATCAATCCAGTCACAGAGATCAATCTAGAAATCCGGTGTCTGAACGAGCGTGGGCTTCGACATGATCGATTTGTCGAAGATCTGCCTCGCGTCATGGTCTCTCGCTCTTCCCGCTTGACCCCGAGATAAGAAGGGTTCAAGGGTCAATTGAACGCGACAACTTGATAAGAACAGATTCTGGCAGTTCGCCGGTCTGGGGAGCCGACACATGCGTACCTGCATTCGACTGTGGGTCCTTGAGATCTTTTGGAAGATCGCCAGGGAACCATCTACTCCACCATGGACGTTTCCGGCCATACGCCTCTCCAAAGCTGCCACTTTGACGTCCGGTCTAGCGAGGCGGCTCATCTCATCAATTGTCTGGAAGCAATAACGTCTTGACAGCACACAGTCTCTTCGCAAAATGTGGTAGATCAACATGTTATCGTCCAACCAGAAGACAGGGCAGGATGCTCATGTCGACATGGATGGGATATCCTTGTATACCTGCATGACACAACTGTCATCACGCTTCACTGCAGTCTACAGAAGCGTACCTGCTTTGAAACATGCACACTGGTCCGGATAATCACGCAGCATGAAACCACACTGCACACGCTTCGGACATTTTCCAAATCTCCCAGGCCAATCCATGTTCTGAGGCGATTTCTCTAGCAGATGTATTGGACCCGTGTATGGTCTGCGGTTCTGGTTGGGTCCACCTTCTGAGCCCTAGTGGCTTTTCGGACGATTGGGCGGCTTCGTCTCGATACTACCACATAAACTCTGAAGGTAAATTGAGACGCTAGATGGACTACATTGCCGCGGCACTAGATCTTCGCTCTACGGAGAAGAACGACATCCACCATGAACGGGGATTGTGTCCTCCACCCAACCGAATCCATAGACATGCATAGCGCCCATTGGCATGGACATTTTGGCTGGGCAGATATATCCCGCATCAGTCATTTGGTATAGGTTATCATTGTACCAGGCGTCAACGTCCCCAGCGAACTTCTTCACAGCATCTTGTACTCCTCTTCATTTGACCACTCTTTGCATGACATCATGCGGTCGTTCCTGTACTTTCTCGTTGGAGCAGGCACTCTAATCGAAGCTGCTGCTTCTGACTCCTGTGCCTGCGGCTTCTATGATAGTTCCACGAAGCAGGTGTTCACCGATTCAATCATCGTCTATTTCAACGAAACACAAGAAATTCCGGAGAACATATTTCAAGTACAGTCCTACGCACACAAGGCCGAGAAGGGATGGAATAGCTTGTACCGTGAAGGTGCTGTTGCTGGCAACAGTCTGATATCCACCTCCTCGGAAACACAACAGGCTCTAAATCTCTTCGTAAATCCGAGCACGAAAGAACACGTCGTTGACGGCGGTTCCATCAAATCGCAACGACAAGACATCCTCCATGGCAGTTTCCGTGCCTCTGTCCGAGGATCAGGACCTTGGACTGGTGGTTCCGCACTGTCGATGATGCTCCACTTCAACAAGACAAGCTCCATGGAGATTGATATGCTGAACAACGACAACCCTGAGAACGCTCGAATCACCACTCTCCTCAACGGTGAGTATCCCTCAGAAGAGTATGGCTTGAACTACACGGCCTTGGAGAAAGGCTCCGACAGCCTGTCTGCTGTCAATCCATGGGACTTTATTACTATTCGCATGGACTGGACCAAGGAACATGTCAACTTCACTCTTGCAGAAAATCTAACTCGATCAATCGTGCACAAGAAGGAGTCGTTCCCTACAGAGCCTATGCCGTTGAGCTTCAAGCACTGGTCTACCGGTGATTCCGAATGGATGCAAGGACCTCCAAAGAACCGCTCGATCGCCAGTGTTGCCTGGGTTAGAGCATTCTTCAACTCCTCTGTCACGACCACCGCACAGCAACAACAGTTTGACACGCGATGCAATTTTGCTATGGCATGTGACGTTGACGATAATACTCTGAGAACATCGACAAACTACACATCCGCTTCGCTTAAAGCATGGAAGGAGCCTCCTAGAAACGAAAAGTGGCAGTTGCCCTCGGGCATTGTCGCCGGCTCTTCCTCATTTTTCGGTGTCATTGCGCTCCTCAATGTACTCTTCCGCAGAAGACCATGGGATAAGCTTTCCTCGAAGAAGGGCAAGGCTGAAGAGCATGCGCTAGAGCCACTGCCATCAGCAAGCAGCAACGACAAACTCCACATGGCTCGATCAGCCTCCAGCTCGACTCTCGGTAGTGTCGGAGCCGCCAAGTCGAAGTGGGATTACAAGTGTACCACTGCAGAAGCATCATCGTCAAATGTAACCACACCCTGGGAAGCCAGGACACCAGCAATGTCCAGAGTACCAAGCACAACAGACTTCATTGACATGGCAATGCTTCGTAACAAGATGGCTCAAGATAATGCCGTGCCATTTGGTGTTCCACTCAGTCATACCAAGTCACTAAGGGAAAGTCCTTCCACTGGCAGTGATGGTTGGTCCAGCAATGGCCACACGCTCGTCTGTCCTACTCCAGAGATCAACTTCAGCAAGCCGATCAAGAGTCCTGAGACTATCCGAGAATCTGTTGAGATCAGAGTGCTTGAAAGAAAGTCTCTTGAGTCCAGCGAGAAGCTCAAGACAGCCATCGTCACTGCACATGAAGTGCCTAGTCATTCGACGCTTGCCGCGAGTCCTACTCTGCCACCTCGTACCTCGGCTCCTCCTAAGCGTATTGACTATCTTGCTGGACTTGTTGCGATATCATGTATTGGTGTCACTCTCATCCACTTTACGCTCACATTCATTCCCTATGCCGGTGGTCTGGGCTATGGTAGACACTACAAGTCAGAATTGTACTCACGCTGGTCGGCCACACCCATCCTGCTGAACCCTATTTGGATTGGTCCATTCTTCACTACTTCGACCCGCTTCTTGGCCCAAAACTTCCTGCGTACCGGAAATCTTGCTGATGTAGCCAAGAAGATGTTGCTCAGAGCACCTCGTATGGTCATACCTGCGATAGTCGTGGCAGCTCTGGAATACTTCTTCATCGAACTTGGTCTAACTGCTAAGTTGGAATGGCTCCCGTCTATAACCTGGTCCACATGGCCATGGGTCACCAACTACCCCAACTTCGGATGGTTCATGAACGAGATTCTGGAGCTTGGCTATTTAATTCCGAACAAAGCTCCTGGTATTGTCAACCACTACTGCGTAGGTGTGTTGTGGACGATTCCTGTACAACTCCAATGCAGTTACACGACACTGCTCGGTGCAGTGATGGTGCGTGAGATCAAGACTCACTGGAAGCGTTTTGCTTTCTACTCTTGGTGCATCGTCGTGAACTGGTACTCCATGAACTGGGGTAGTTGTTTCTGGGTTGGCCTACTCATCGCCGATCTTAACGTCACCTACAACTATGTAGCATGGCTACAAGCACGACCTAAATATCTTTATCCAACCTTTGCTCTGATCTGGGTGTTGATCATCCAAGGACCTCTCTGGACTTTCCTTGAAGATCGTGGCTTTTACACACTTATGACACGAGAACGCAACATTCACCCTAACATCGCGACTGGCGCCGCTCAAGGCGAGGTCGATTCGATGTATCCGGCCTACTTCGAGCCCCGCCTCAACACTATCCTCTTCGCTGGTGCTGTACAGATGATGACAGAATTGTCGACTTCATTCCAATGGTTCCTCTCGCTCAGAGTCTGGATTATGCTGTTCCCTCACACGTTTACCATCTACCTCATCCACGGCTTCGTGTTTTGGTCGTTTGGAGCTTGGCTTTGTGTGACTCTTGCCTCGATGGAGATCTTGCCTTACTGGGCTATCTGTTTGATCCTGTTTGTCTGCTGTTATACAGTCATTGGTCTTGCTGCCATGTGTATCACTCCGTTCTCAGAAGGTACAGCATTGGCACTTTGCCGAAACTGTTGGAGGTGGGCTAGTGAAGAGCCTGTGCCTCATCGCAAGACTCTGGAGCCTTTCCGTAGAGACCTCTTCTTGACTAGGAATGGTGGAGGGGATAAAGATGAGGAGACAGTGGTGCATGGAATTGTGGAGGTGATTGACGGGAAGAACTTCAAGGAGGAGAAAGGGGGGAAGGGTGTTGTGGAAAGTCCGTTCGATGACGCGCATGAGGTTTCTTCTTTGTCGTCTGGATCTGGGCCTGCATCTGAAACTGGAAAGAGTAGGGAATCTGTTGATGATGCTATCGCGCCTGTGATTGTTACAGAAGTACCTTCCGAGGGATTAGGTATTCACTTCGATGAGAAGAAGTAGATGAGATACTTTGCTTGTAAATTGTCACTTCTTTATGCTCTTATGAAACACTTGTTTAAATTCTGATTCGAGAAGCTGCCTCCCATGAACCGGTGATACAGTTGCCTCATCGGAAAGCTCCATCTATTCTCATATGTCGACCTACGCCCCTTCCTGCGAAAAGTCTGTAAGTCTTGATTGTATCTTCCATAGCTGCACCCGAATTCGGCTGACGCCCGTTGTCTCGCTATTCCCTGAGCTCCGTGTCTCACATCATCATCCCCTCAAATCAAAGCCGCCAAACACCCTGGCGCAAAGGTTCGTAAAACAATGGAAGCGTGATAGATGCCTCAGTGGTGGTCGGAGTACCTGCCGGAACCTCGCCATCACCTTTGTGCTTTCTGGTACGCACAACCAGATCCTCCAGCATGGCGATCCACTTCGCGACCACGTTAGCCACCCACTCTTCGGACGCTTTCTGCTCCTGCACCTGCGAGTCCTTGACCAACCCCCAGGTCGAGCTGAAGACCTTTCTTATCTCTTCGATGTCATATGCCACCTCTGACCACGCCCTTGCTGCCTGTTCGAGATGTTTCAGCGGCTCGATCTGATCACAGGCTTTGAGCTCCAAGGAAGATCGCGTGCGGGACACGAAGGCATCATTGCCCACACACGGCTGAGACTCTCCTTGACAAAATCCGACCAGCATCGATGCACATTCTGAGATGTTGTGCTGGCTCAAGCTTGCCAGCTCTAGTGCGTCATGTCTCAAAGGCTTCAAGCCATTCAGGAAGACCGCACCATCGGACACAAAGCGCTCGACAGGTGAGTTGAAGATATATGGAGCCCAGTCGCCCAGCTTGGCGCGGTAACCGCGTGCCTCGGATTCGACCATGTCTTTGTAGATTTGAGTGCAAGCTTTCAGAGTATTCTTGTTTAGCAGGTACAAGTCTTTGCCGAAGGTTCCTGCGATGGATTGCGCTTTGCATCGAAGAGTGTTGAGTGTGTCGTGCTGACGGGAAATGCTCAGCTGACATTCCAGATGGTGGATATCATCCAAGTGAGCCGAGCTGTCTTGAGTTGAGAATGTCACCTTGGGACGCGCGATGCTTGCGTGTACAGACGTTCCAGATGCACCGTTCTTGATTATGCCGACCAGCAGGACCAGAACGAGTGTAGCGAGATGGGATCTCATGGTGTGAAGGAAGTTTTATCGAGTTAGAGAGCTGCTGGCAAGTCTGTCTGCCCTTGATGCTCACAGCTTCACAGGACATATCTGCGAGTGTTATATCTTCTCACCATGACAAGAAACGTATTCTAGAGACACTGAGCTCACAAAGAGCAAATTTGCATGTCTCGGTTTCATCGCAGCCCACCAAATGTATCCTGTCTGGTTTTCCGGAACCCATGGTCAGCCGCTTCCAAGTCGTCCGAGCAAGGATCGGTCTCAGATTCTGTGTTGGCGTTAAGACTCCATCATCTGCTCATGAGAGTCGAACCAAAATTTTCGCGACATGCTTCACCACATGGGCATTGGACAACAACAAAGACATCAACAGCATGACCGTTTTGGTCTCATTATAGCTCGTTATCAGCAGAGTGAGACTGTGATCCAGGTTTATGCGTTTGGCAGGAAGCTGAAGCCTGCGTCACCTCGCTCTGAGACTGGTCGATGTTGCTAATGTTGCTAACCACTTCACACAAGAGGACAAACACAATCTGGAGGAGCTTTCGCTTGCGTGGCGGCGGACATTGACCCGAAAAGTGATCATTGGATACCGAAATTACTGAAACAAGGAACACCACGTCTTCACAAACTGATAGGCTCAGATGTTCGGACTCGTTCTTCCTTGGTCCTCCACAAAGGTTCTGATTCCGCACGCACGCCCGGGACATTGATTAAGTCTTTCTATTCGTTCCAACTCAAGCACAACTCATCGAACAGGTCGGTTAGCTCAGTTGGTTAGAGCGTGGTGCTAATATCCTCCGATACATGGCACGCCAAGGTCGCGGGTTCGACCCCCGTACTGACCAGTACATCTTCTTTTGCTCGAGAGTCTGTTGTTTGTGATATAGGGGTGTTATGGTGGCGGAAAGGAGGAAATTTTTGCTCGATGTTGGTACCTGCCTATTTGGGATGAAAGCTTGCTCTGGGCGTCGAGTCTAGCCGTTCTGGGGCACGACTTGGCGTTAGGGCTGGCTTTTTGCAAACCTCATCTCGTATCGGTTCTCGAAATCCTACTATTTATGGCTTATCTTCATTCTGATAGCTCCGACTCCGTGTGATTGTAGTCGTAAAATAGGTGCAAGAATTACAGTTCTGAGCATACTGGTAACATTACTTGGACGTGAGACTGCACGATAGTTTTGTTCGATAGCAATGTGGAAATCTGTCATGAACTGCGACAGACTTACAACAGACCCCTTCCTCAAAAGCAAACAGTATAGAAAAGACAGAAAAATTCAAGTAGGAACAGCTCATTGTTGAGAAGTGTAGTCTATACACATAACAGGCAAAATGGGGTATCTAGAACAAAAGAAGCAAAAACAGAACAAAAACAAATTTACGTGGTATGCCTTAAACATTAGAACGTTGGACTTGTGTAGCGCGAGTAGAAGAACGTCTACGTTTGGGTTGTTTCGGACGAAGACGATGCAAATTCAACAGCGTCGAAAAAACCACATAAATGGCAACAAAAGGACCAGTGAGGATCAGAACTCCAAAGCCGAGAACGTAGCGCAAGCGTGCATCCCATGACTGAGACAACCGCATTGCAGTGATGGTTGCATAAAGCCATGGCGACACAAAGATAGCGCTGAGCACAATCAAAACAGGAATATTTTGTGCCAATGCAGCTGATCTGAGGAAATTGGTGATGACAGCCAGAGAGACTATAGGAAGGCACCAAGCTAGCAACTCAGCCGCAGATGATAGTCTTTCGAACCAGTGCATCTGGCTATTGCAGATCACAGCAAGGTCTGTGGCACATGTCGAGAAAGCAATTCTTTGACGTTGTGCAAAGAATTCGGAAAATGTGGTGGCTGAGCGAGCATATGTGACTGCACGAACAGCTTGCATGATGTTGATTTCTGGCACTCCGTAGGTCATGTCGTCCTCCTCGAGAGATGAGCAAATTTGTTTGACCATGTTGCTCATAGGAGCGGGCCGACGTTCTTTGGCGTCCTTTAGGAGTTGCAGACCACACGTCTCCTCACAGATTCGTATCATCTGGCAGGAATTTGCATCCACACTTGCCTTATGCATAATTTGCGTCTGGTGAGAATGTCTGACCTGATCATACATCAATTGCGAGTTGCTAAAGAGATTGAGAGGACTCCATTTGGAAGAGCAAAAATCGATCTCGACGCGACTCAAGACACCTGCACAGGTGGGATGCTTCAGGGAGTGCATGTGTAGCCGTGAGATACAATGTTCTTCAAGCAAAGTATCGGGAGCGATGTTGACCAAGAAATCGAAAGATGCAAAATCGTGCAACTCAGCCCATTCTTTGCACCAAGCAAAGAAAACAGAGGGGACTGGATTGAAATATGACTCTCTGCGAAGGTTGTACGCGTAAAGTAAATTCCGAGTCAGATCCAGGATTTCTGCTTTCTTTGTGACGCCCTCTTTGACCATGAGGACATATGGCAGGCCTCTGTAAATGCCTCTTCTACACCACATCGTATCAAAGCCGGGTTCCTGATCATTACGCGGCATCTGGAACTTTGCTTCGTCGACGATACTAGTGAGGATGTTCTCAAGTATAATCCTTGTGGTTGATTTGGTAGTGGGGTCGATGTTCCAAACGTTGTCGTTACATGTAATCAGCAGTAAGTTCTTATGCATGTCAACGTCTTTCTGATCTACCACAGAGTCTAGAGTGCTTTGAATATCTTCGGAGCTCTCATTGGAAAAGGACACGACGGTAGCATAGTCCATGATGGGGACCTTGGCTGCTTCTTCATTTTCATGAGGTTCCAGTAGCGCCCTTGCCTTCACATATGCGTGATTGCCAAGCAAGTTGAACACCATAGCTGACCTGAGAAGGGGTGCTAGTAGTATCAAAGGAACAACAGCGTACCAGACGCTAAACAGTCCAAATGATAATGCGACGCCGAGTGCATTGACTGCAGCAATAGAGGTCACTGCAACGTTGCGAGAGTAGATCATCTTGCGCCGACTTCTCTCGCCCCGAGCCTTTGCAATTCCTTGTTTGATGTCCGCTTCCGAGGTAGAAGGTTCGAATTCGAGATCGGGATCCACATCGATGTCCTTGTTGGTGAAGATATTTGCAAGTAGCGAGGTCCGTCTTCCTATTGATCCTGCTTTTGGTTCGATCTCAACTTCTACAAAGTCAGGATCTTCTTCTACATCAGCCAAGGCTTCCTGGTAGGCGGGCTTAGACTCTTGAGTGGGGAGAGCTACTGCAGAGTCTGATTTGTTCCATTGAAAATGGCCAAGTAGAGGAACAAAGAAAGATGACTCTCGTCCTGTCTCTGCGTCGACGCGATCGCTTTGTATAGGGTCGTTCTCAAGCCTTGCAGACTCCGCATCATACGTTGTCATGGAAGCTGTAGATGAGGCTCTCGAAAAAGTCGACATCGTTCGTGACCATGTGGATGAAGACATAGTCCGTGTACCAGACATAGTACGGGCGTAGGAGGAAGACAAAGTCCTTGCGTTTGATGCGGTGCGGGCGTTCGAAGCACTAGACAGTTGCCGTGTTGAAGCTGAAGTCGAGGCATGGCGGTTTTGTTGACCACCGATGGACGACAGAGTTTGAGAATGTGCGTCATGTGTGGACGTTGCAGACCGGATGCCAAAAGAAGATCGTGTCGATGAGTTTCTCGCAGAGAGACTGGGTCTAGATGCCGTCGACGGTGTACGCCTGCCTCCCACCAGTGAGTCCCTTCTGACCAGTGTGTACATTGAAGTAGCGGAAGAACTCCGTCGGAGTCTGCCAGGTCGAGCCAGTTGTCCTGCTGATGTGGGTCGAATTGCAGACATTTTACGTTCACCAGTAATTGGATTGACGAGCATCACATCCTGTACAGCCTCGTGAAGGACGCTACTCCCAAGGCTCGTACGTGCCGATGACGGTCGTTGAATACCACCTTCCATACTCATAGGGTCGGGAGCAGTGCTACTTTCCTTACGAGCTTTTGGAGTCTGGCCAAAGGAGAATGCATGCAGATCTGCGAAGTTGTTGAATTTCTTGAAGACACCACGAGACTCTAAACGGGGACGCTTGGGCGTAGTTGCAGTAGGAGCAGACTGGTCGTCGTTGGTGGACGCCCTTCCAAGACACTCTGAAGACGCTCTTGGGGATGCCGATGTGCGAATGGAAGGTGACAATGGAGTCAGTGGTGAGTGTAAAGGACCCAGGACATCTGATCCCTCTGTGACCAGAAGATCAGCATTCGTCCCATCACATTTTTCAGGTTGTGATTGGACTACGGATGCCTTCCTTAGATATATCTCAAGCTCAACAATCGAGCCTTGCCGTGATGTCTCGTCATCGGAGATCTCGGGAATCACAGACGACAACTGAGATAGCGTTTGTGGTCCTTGATTCCACGATTTTTTGTGAGATGTGTTGATCTCGGAGGGGGTTCTTTGACGTGGTGGTATCATGCCCCATCCTGATAAAGTGTTCTTTGAAGATCCAAGATTTGGTGATATTTCGGCAAAGCTGCCTGTCAACGGGCATGAAGTGCCAGCAGCAGATGTGACACCAAGGCCGTGGACATTCCTGTCATCTGATTTGCCGAAGTAGTCGACTTTACGCCACGTGGGAGGTTGAGGTGATGCTGAGCTTAATGGTGATGGATCGTCCTGCGGTAGCTCTTCTTCCACAATGCTGATCAGGCCAGCTTTCCTGGAATCGAAGACAATGTAAGGTGTTTGAGTAGGCACTGTCGACGCAGCGGATGCCATTTGTGTCGATCCCGGCTGAGGTCAGAAGTTTGTCTGGTATGTGGAATGTCGACACATGGGAAAACAGGTGAAGAACAACAGCAGATTCAGCTGGTTCAATCTCCGGGACTGACATGTAATCTTATGGGTGACTCGGCAATGACAGGATGCTCGAACGGCTGGACCAATCCATGTTAATAGTTCATGGGATGTTGACCGTTGGACGATAGTCAACTCCAACGGCTCAGAGGCCAACGGTGAAACTTCTCGAACATACGCAGTGCATACGCATACAAGTATCATACTTGTGTTCTGGTTAGTAGGTCTAGATATAACCTAGAAATAATTGAACGTTTAGTAGCCCTAGTAATCGCGGATGACGGTCTTGAACAAAGCCAGCCTCAATGTCCAGAGAGCGACTCAGTACTCAAGTTGGCTGAGATGGACTTCAGTAGAACAACTGTGAATCGATCTTCGGCACGGCGGTCACGATGTGAGACAGCTCCCGGTACTTCGAGAATGTATCATCGGACGACCAGAGTATAGAGCTGACGATTCTTCATGATTAGACTTCACAGACTTGTAGCTCGAACGGCGAGCCTGTTGCGACAGGGCATCTGCGTTGACGGAGCCGGCCGGTGACTGCTGATGATACTTGCTCTCGCAACGTAGGACCATCATGCGAATAGGGCAACAGCTTCTCCCAAGCTGCTGCCTGAGGATCGAGATGATTCCGAGGTCCTACCGTGTTTAGGGAACACCCATCTGCCACCGTCATCGAACGCAAACTTCCACCATGCAGAGCGTACGTTGGTATACCGCCACTGGTTCAGGGTTAAGGATAATTCAGACCAGAAGCTGACATCGACGTTTCGATATGGAAGAAGTTACGAGGAGGTGTAAGCCGAAAGGGAGGAACGATCGATAACGGTTTTATAGTCAGGCGGCTATCCGTCAAAACCCACGCGGCGCAATTAGTCTCGAGTCTCGACATTGGAAATTCACCTATAGCCTCTACAAGAGAATGGTTCATCTTCGATCTTCTGGAAAAACTTTCTGTTGACCTAATCGAGTCGCCCAGTAGAAAATTTGGTCATTGTTCGACTAAGGTTGTCGGTCCGCGTCTGAGGATGCATGCAGCAGAATCTTAGCTTGAAAAGTTCGATGACGAGAAGCGGCGCAACGATGCGACGTCTTATGAAGGGGCTGGTTCGAGAGTATGATCTCACTTGAGGTGGTTGGTACAAGGAAAGTCCAAGCGCGTCGAGCTCAAAAATTGCCACCAACACTACAATGCTTCTGTAGCGACCCTGACGCATATTCCAGGTTGTCCAGAACTTGGTCTACAGTGCAGCAGATAGCAGTATTACTAGCAGGGAAACTCATGCGTTCTCTGACGGGCCAATACTTAGGAATGTTGTGGCACTGAATGTATGTGCTTCGGGGTGGAGGCCCAGACCGGGCATGTTCGTTTTCAAGCCAAATCTCTATACCAATATCCATCCGTGATTGAGCCGAATCCATTACTCACTACTGCTGTACAACTAATTTACCGAGGCCACAATCGCTTAGGTCAACAATATTATGATGTCCGAGTGTACAACAGACTGTTGCGTGTGGTATGGAAATGAAGTGATCACACCATTTGCGCTAATGATCACAACCACAGTAAGTACGCGTACCCATCATTGTTCACTATAGTGCGACTACGCGTTATGTACAATTCGGACGAGCCTGCAGCAATCCAACAAGCTGAGTGGCGCAGCGGAAGGTTCGTAATTTGATACCCTTTTACTCCATACTCAATACTAACAAATTTACAGCGCGCCGGGCTCATAAACATGTCACCCGGAGGACGTCGGATCGAAACCGACCTTAGCTATCACTTCTTTTTGCTTTTGCAGCATACTGTTTCTCCGAATTCACCTGGTACATTGAGCTTGACTCATTTGTCTTCGTGCATTAGGACGCCGGCAAGAACAATAGATATCATTCCGTCACTGATGCCGGCGGCCTCGACAGATGCACGACTTTTGACCAGGATATGCCTGGCCCTGGCCGCGAAGAGTTAGAAAACGGCAGAACCGAACATGACGGTTGCATTTCCGGCTCATTGCTTCCTGCATTTGTCACCATGCGAGCAGGGTATGTTCAAATCGGGCAAGCATGTTGGTGATTGGCCCCAGAAATGGCGATGTATCAGACTTGATCCTCCAAGAAGTGTATATCTCTAGACTTTTGATTTGGGAGCCTGTTCTCCGTGCATCTCCTCGATCGTCGTCTTGCTCGTCTCCAGACTCTGCTGCCAGGCCGGAAAACGTTTGCTGTACCATGAAGTAATGGTCTCGCCGTTCTGCGCAGCAATTGCTTCGGCAAGCGTCAACCCGTCAGATATTGCAATGTTCGCGCCCTCACCGCCAAGAATTGCCTGTGAGTGAGCAGAGTCACCCATAAGGAAGATACCATTGGACGCGAGTTGATATAGTTGAGGGAGGTCGACCTTTGACGCTCGCATCAACCAGGTCAGAGTTCGGTCATGCTGCATCTTCTGCTCGTCGAAAATTTCAGAGAATGGTTGAGGAAGGTCTTTGAGAGCAGTAACTTCCTCATAGAACTCCTTGGGAATTTCAGAGGCATCCGATAATGTTCGATTTGGTTTGAAGCAGCGGTCACTGGAACCCTTGGCTGGACGTGAATATATCCAACTGACACTGGCTTGCTCAGCTGTGATGTCGTTGACAGAGACCTGCAACAAGGCGCCTTTGTTGTGAATCTCAATGACGTTGGATTCTCTCAAGATCGGGGCGTAAATGTCATCGAAAGTAATCCTGCTCACTTTCCTCTTTCCGTTGAAGGTGACGAAGGGTAGAACTTCGAGACCAGCCTCTCTCAAGATAGATTTTCTTGTAGTTGAATGGACGCCATCTGCGCCAACAACGCATATCTGACCCTCGATGCTGTTGCCATTTTGCAAGTACAGAGTTGTGCCGTTCGGCGTCTGCTCCAGCTTCTCCAGTCCAGACTCCCACTTGATATCCAGTCCCTGACGTATCAGCTTTTCCAGCCTCTCGCGATGGGCACGGAATGATGAAGAAGTCACGTCGCGTGGACAAATCAACTTCTTAGGATCGATAGCGCCATTTCCACCCACTGCAGCATCGACAGCCACACTCTTTCTGAACGTTTGCTCGTCCATCTTGAGCATGTTCAACAATGGCTTGTAGGTAGACGCGTGCAGACTAATTCCGTAGCCATGTCGAGATGCTGAACTCGCACGATCATACAGCACAACCGGAATGCCTCTCTCCAGAAGAGCTTTTCCGAGCGTGACACCTCCTAGGCCTGCGCCGATGATGCTGAGAGGTTGTGGAGACATTGCGAGAGAGCCTTGAGGTACCTAAGCATGAGTGGCCGGGTATAAGATGTCATAGACCAAGACGCGAGACGTGAGGCCGACTTGGAACGCGTTGAAGCTTTTCATAACTTTGCATAAAAGTACTCGATGATCTATACATGCTCACAAGCCAGCTATGGAGCACAGGGCTTGGAGGTTTTGTCCTATCAAGCTCCGGTTGGCGCCGGAAGGCGCGTTCAAGCACGATGGCCAATAGGTGAAGAGCCTGCTTTTGTCCACTCTCGAAGCACAACTCAGCATGGCTTTTCCCTCTGCGACACGTCGACAAAGGCACGATACAAGCACTTCGTACGACATGTCGAATGCTTCCCAAGGATCCTCCAGCTGAATGCTTGTCTCCGGTGGTGTTGCACCCTGCATCATGCAAGAAGAACGGGCCGAATCTCCGCCAAATTTCTGCCTCTTCTTTTGCCGCTTCGTTGAAAACCACCAGTGTGACGGACAAGAAATTGCTATAAGCGGATAATCTCGGGTCTTTGGTAGGGGCGACAGTGACCCTATGCCCTAGGATATGGTCACAGCGTCGTGACTAAATCCTGCACTATCCGAACGTCGACCACCGCATGCCGTGTTTTCCTCCATCTTTTCTACGGGCCAAGACGAGAAGTGTGGATCAATATATGGGGCGAGGTACCGGGGACGTCTTGATTGGGGTCATGCCGGGGTTGCAATATCTTCTGGGTGGAGTACCCCATGGAGTCACATAAATAAGAGGGACCCCCAGGCATGGACTGGTCTCTCTCATCTCACTCTGCCTTGGTAGCTCCTCTGCAGCCATGAACGACGATCTCAAGAAGGATGGCGGCAGCCATTATGACGCCGAAAAGACGCCGATTGAGGCGTTCCACAGTCAACACCCACCTATGGACCCGGAACGTCGCAAGGTTGTCGAGAAGTCGATGAAGCGGAAGCTCGATGCTAGATGCTCGCTGTTCATCTTGATCTACATCATGAATTATCTGGATCGCAACAACATGGCAGCTGCCAGGTTGAAGGGCCTACAAGAGGATTTGAATCTCAGCGACACACAGTACGCAACATGTTTGAGTATTCTCTATGTGGGATACATTCTTATGCAGGCATGTCTATCTGGTTCCTCCGCAGGAGACATGAAACTAACCGCCTTCTTAGGTCCCTTCCAATATCATCATCAACCGCATTACAAGACCCAGCTGGTACATCGGTGCAGCTATGCTTCTTTGGGGTCTGATCTCGACACTCTCCGGAGTCGCCCAAGGTTTCGGTGGAATGGTCGCGATAAGATTCTGCTTGGGTTTCGTCGAGGCTGCATTCTTGCCCGGCGCTCTTCTTATCCTTTCGAAATGGTACACTCGCAGCGAATTGACCAAGAGAAACGCTCTCCTCTTCTGCGGCAACCTCATCTCCAACGCTTTCTCAGCACTTGTTGGTGCTGGTGTTTTGTCGAATATGCAAGGTGTGCTTGGCCACGCGGCATGGCGCTGGTTGTTCTGGATCGAAGGAGCTGTCACCATGGGTGTTGCCATTACCGCTGCTTTCGTCTTGCCGGATCTGCCCACCAACTCGAAAGGCTTCACCGAGGAGGAGCTGCAGGTCGCTCAGCTCCGTATGATCGAGGATGTTGGTGAAGTTGACGAAGACAGCACCGAAGACGGTGTGTTTGACGGTCTCTTGATGGCACTCAAAGATCCCAAGATCTACGTCTTGATGTTCACTCTCACCGCCTACGTGGTTGGTCTCAGTTTCAACGCCTTCTTCCCTTCGCTCACAAAGACTCTGGGTTTCGGTTACGTTCCTACTCTGCTCATGAGCGCTCCCCCATGGGCATTCGCCTGTATTGTTTCCCTCATCAACGCCTGGCACGCCGATCGCACTCAAGAGAAGTTCTGGCATATTGTGGGACCCATCTGTCTTGGACTTATCGGCTTCATTATCAACATGTCTACCCTGAACACGGCAGGTCGTTATGTTGCTCTGTTCCTGCAAGCAAGTTCCTATGCGGGATTCATTGTCTTCTACTCGTGGATCTCATCGAGTTTCCCTAGACCACCTGCCAAACGTGCCGTCGCGATTGCTCTGGTCAACGCGTTCAGTCAGCTCGGAAACGTCGCTGGATCATACGTCTGGGATCTCACGGCCAACGGATACCGCAACTCATATGGTATTGTGACAGCCATGTTTGGTGTCACGATCGCCGGATGTGTCGTCATGAAGATGATCTTGGTCAATCTGAACAAGAAGCTCGAGGCTGGAGAGGCCGAAGCATGGTCTACTAGACCCGATGTTGCTGAGCACACTGCTGAGAAGGAGTACTTGGACAGCCCAGATGAGGCACTGAGAATGAGACAGGGCTTCAGGTACCTCGTCTAAGATAATGAGGCTACGACTTGTATATAGACGCATCATTGCCACCAGTCTTGCGAGACTTGAATATGAACTACATGACTTTTACATGAACTCCAGCTTTTACTTGCGTGTCTCATCACACGCTCGCGCACCATCTGCGTATGGGTAGTTCGTATGTAGGAGCAATAGCTATGTAGAGAGCTCATCAGGGTTCAAGATCGGCTAAACGGGTTGGAGGGAAAAATGTGGGGAATGTTTACGTGCAAATGGGTGCTGAAGAGACTCGTACTCGCTGCACAGTAGAGTACTCCGGTTGCGACTTGCCTATTGCAGACAAATGCAGACTACTTGCCAAAGAGAGAGGACCAGTACCAGACGATCGACTTTGCATCAGCTCAGCCGGCGCTGACCATTCCTTCTGCGCCGCCTCAACCCAGACACGACACTCCTTTGTTTCCGACCCTCTCAAAGCATCATCCCGTCATCCTGCCATCGCTTTCTCTGCAACAACCAACTTCGTCATCGTCCCGCCTCGTACTCTGGCGCCCTCGCCCAACTCCAGCCATGTCCGGTGGCTACGACGTCGACTACGACTCCGACTGCGACGTATACGACTACGACGATGATTACATCTACGCCGATGCAGGAGCCTACGATCTGGCTGTACGTCGCCTTGAACCATCATAAGCAAACCATTGCTCACAATTTTCCCAGGATGAGCTCGCCTCTGGAGCCATAGCCGAAGCTCCCGCCCTGTACTACCGCGATGACGAATATGAAGAATACGACAATTACAACTTCTGGTCCGAGATCGAGTACGGCAATGGCGAAATCTTCGACCAAGACATCGCTCCCCAACAGCACTCGACTGCCGACAACCAAAAGAAGTCTAGAGCCGACGACATCAAGGACACCATCAAGAAGATTCGACTGCGTGGCATTCAAGATTATCCCTCCGTCCTGTGGAAGTCCTCGCACGAAGCCTTCAGCCTCAATCACAATTGCCCCGTCTACGAGAAGCCACAGCAACCGACGGCCCTACTGCCCAACTGGCGACAACTTCTAAAAGACCGGCCCGCTGTATTCACCACATCTTACATGGCCATACATTCGGCCAAGATCGATAAAGAGGAGGCTGAATGGGAGGACATGTCAGAAGACGATGCCGAGTCAGACCAGGATGATGATGACGATGACGAGGAAGAGGAGGATCAAGACGAAGATGGCCAAGACGGCGAGGAGGGCATGGGGCTGCAGGACATCGACCCGGAAATGCTCAAATCCGCCCTCGCCGCAAGACTATCCGCCTCGGGCATGACTGGCAAGGACCAATCCTCTATGATGGAAGCCATGATGCAGATGCTGGCAGGCGGTGGTGGTGCTGGCATTGAAGATCTCCTCGAGAGCCTGACATCAAACATGGTGAATCAAGTGACCGAGGAAGGCGGTGATTCATCGATGGGGCAGTGGCTCTCTGGTCAGGGTGTCTCGCTCGAGGAAGAGAATGACGATAATGAAAGCGGCAGCGAAGAAAAGAACGAGGATACCAGGAGGCCGTCTGAAGACGTCACATCTGGCGCGTCTCAGGACTCTTCGCCCCAGGACAGTGTGGCAGCAGGACTGCCCGCTGCTCCAAAATCTTCTGTCCCGTCCACTGAAGCATTGCTTGAGCCACCATCAACTGGAAAGAAACGAAAGCACCCTCTGTCCGAAGAGATTAAACAAGATGACGAGACGGAAGAACCTGCTCCGGAGCCAGCTCATATTCACAAACGAAGCAAGAAAGATGTCCCGAAGCCTTCGAATGGATCTGCCAGATCCAAACCAGCAGCACGCCAATCAGCGACATCACAGCCAAAAGTCAAGATTGCAGACGACAAGCCCAGTGTGAAGCCAAAGACTGACGTGCCTGTCAAACCCAAGGCCGAGGCAACGAAATCGACAAAACCGAGACCGACAGCAAGTCACGAAAAAGCGAACACATCTTCCACCACATCTATCGCAAAGCCGATCACGCGGAAGCGCAAAGCTGCAGACGAGCAGGTGCCGGAAGAAAAGCCCAAGCGACAGTTGCGCAATTTTGCTGCACCAACTGCAAGTAGCCAGAGCAAGACTGCAGACACAAAGGCACCTGACACTAAGACTACAAGAAGCGGCCGGGCCAGAAAGTAGAAGGAGTTTGTTGTTGCCGAGTTATTCTTCATGTTCATCGTTAGAGTCAGCTATGGAGTCTCAGGCAGTCCATACCATGCGTCACCAGGTTTCAGCACAAGAGGCACCATTTCGGAGTTTAGAGTCAGGCACTTGTTTTCGATTCGTTTCTTGTAACGCTGTCAGAAGATGATCTCTCACATGTGTGCAATCATGGTGTGCAGCAGATCAACCAATCAGCGGTGGGATTTGCCAAGTTTTGTCTGTAAACAAAGCGAACCAAAGCAGGGTCCTCTCAAGCCTCTGACGAACAACGATCTCGCCTAATGTTTACCTTGTATATGCATGCAGACACACCGATAGATAAATGCCTTGTCGACGGATGTGGGACTTATTTCCACATCTGATCCTTGACGGTCTTGTACATTGACACATCGACAGCTGAAAAAACACGCTTTCTGCTGTTGCGCTCAACATTAGCGACTCGTTTGGATTCTATTTAACAGCAGTTTGGAAGCACCGGGGATTTTGAGTAAGTTTGCGTTGTACAGTTGTTTGGGTGGCATTCCTTTGTGATCACACGTGCCAGAGCCAGTCACTGCCTTACCAACTTCACTCTTGCTCCTTGCTTTGCTCTTTCCCTTCCCGCTTCTCTACCACAGGACTAATATCGCCAACTGAGTAAAATCTTACCACCCATCCAACACCCAGGCTTGGATAAATCTATTCCTTGGACAACAACTCGATATTACTATTCTGGACATATAACCACAAGGCAATATGTTTCAATCACTCAAAGACCGCTCTTCCTTTGGCGGATACATACGCTTTGTGCTCCGCGTCTTCCAATTCGTGCTTGCGATCACTGTCATCGGACTCTATGGCTACGATCTCGATAAGGCGAGGAGGAAGCACGTCGCCGCAGACCCTAAGTGGACGTATGCGGTTGTGGTGGGCGCTTTGTCTGCCATCAGTGTATTCTTCTTCTTGTTCAAGTACACCTTGCGGTTCTTCTGGGACGGGGTTATGCTGTAAGTTCTCCTCCCCCATCTTGCGTTGTCTTCCCCGGCTGGTGTCTGAGATGAAGGATCATATATTGACGAGACAAACAGCATCCTCTGGGCAATCGTCTTCGGCATCTTCGGCAAGATCTACATCAATGCGCACCCAACACCACACCAAAGCGGTCAAATTCGCATGAAGAATGCAGTATGGGTGGACCTCGCCAACATGCTCTTGTGGTTCATAACCTTCATCTGGGACTTGGTGTTGCACTTTACACGCATGGATAAAATGACACTGCACACCGGTCGCGCTCACGTATAGGGGACGGGCGAAAAGGAAGGCAGATACGCGCCTGTGGATTTGCTTGTCAGGTATCCGGTTTTGTTGACAGCGGATGCTTGGCATTTGAGGACGAAAGGCAATTGGCAAAAGGAGACTAGCGAAGCGTATAGGGAGTGTCATGCGGCTAAGGAGAGGAGATTCGAGAGGGAAGCTGAGGAGGAGGCGATGGCTGAAAGGGAAGCGCAAGAGGGACTGCTGGATGAGAATTGGATTTTGCCCGATGAATTGCTGCCGGAAGCTCTGTTGGTTGAAGAGATTATGGCACTGGAAGATGCGCCTGAGGATACTGAGAATGGGCATCAACGTCTGCGACCTATTCATGTTGATTAAATGAGGGATGATGGAGTTTTCTGGAGCTTGAGGACATTTCTATTAATGACAACACTTTATCTCTTGCATCACCTCCTGCAGATTTCTTGGTACACGGATCCAACATTGGAAATCTTTGGTGTAGCCAACCATGATGTCAACAAGTATGCAATATGTGCGTGGCAGTGTTGCAGCAGTGTCTCGCTCAGGAAGAAAACTGTTCCGGACCAATAGACCAAGCCTAGGCGCTCAGCAAGAACCAAGAAGATGATAAAATGAGGCCCTAAAGGACCACGTCCTGCCATGAGATGATGCTGAGGAGTCTGATGCATATCTGTCGTTGCAGTTCGAGATCTTAAATTTATTGGACAGAAATGGTCGAGGCTGTGATGAGTGTGATGAGACGGAAATATCGCGGGATGATGACGGTGGCTGGGGTGCGGCTGCTTCGGCCTTTTCCTGCTGTAGGACACCATCTTTGTCTTCCAACACGGTTGCAGAGCTGGTCGTTCATCTTCGACTTTCCAACAAGTTGTGATCGCTCGGTGTAATGTGTGATGAGGGCATGCGATTGTAAGATGGTCACATGCTCCAAGTTTCTCCAAGGAGCAGGTACCGTGACCCCGCATGCGCCCCCCACGACGCGCCCTGCGTTTACCCTCGGCGCGGCTTCCGTGCAGCACTTCATCAACTCTTGCTCTCGCTAAGTACCATTCTGACAAGTCCCTGAATTCGTGATCTGACCCGATCAACAAACATGTTCCGCCATACTAGAGGCCATCGCGGTCTTATTCCTGCAGTAACCAAACGACTAAAGAGCACCACAGCTCCGAACCAAGCACCAGAGAGACAACCACTTCAATCTATTCTAATCGCAAACAGAGGAGAGATTGCTCTTCGAGTCGGCAAGACAGCTGCTCAATACGGCATCAGAACCACAACACTTTACACAGATCCAGATGCACACAGTCAACATGCTTTGAGCTCTCCCTTTGCTATCAATCTCAGCGATCCCAGCCAGTATCTCAATGGCGACCGAATCATACAAACAGCTCGCGATCATGGCTGTCAAGCCATTCATCCTGGTTACGGCTTCCTCAGTGAAAATGCAGACTTCGCCAAAAAGTGTACCGAAGCTGGACTTCAATTCATTGGTCCTCCATGGAAAGCTATCGAGGCCATGGGCGACAAGAGTCGATCCAAGGATATCATGACTAAAGCTGGTGTTCCCTGCATTCCTGGTTATCATGGCACGAATCAAGATCCTGACTTCCTCAAACACCAAGCGGCACAGATTGGCTACCCTGTCTTGCTTAAAGCTGTCAAGGGTGGAGGCGGTAAAGGCATGCGCATTTCCACATCTCCTGATGACTTTTTGGATCAACTGGCTTCCGCGAAATCTGAGGCTATGAGCTCTTTCAGCGACGATGTCATGCTGGTTGAGAAGTACATTACTACACCTCGCCATATCGAGGTCCAAGTCTTCGCAGACAAACACGGAAACTGTGTTGCGTTGGGCGAGAGAGATTGTAGTATCCAGAGAAGACATCAAAAGATCCTCGAAGAGTCACCGGCGCCTCATCTGGACGAGGCCCTTCGGCAAGACCTTTGGGACAAGGCTCGATCTGCTGCCCTCGCTGTTGCTTATGAAGGGGCCGGTACAGTCGAGTTCATCTTCGACAATGACTCGGGCGAATTCTTCTTCATGGAAATGAATACTCGTCTACAGGTAGAACATCCTGTTACCGAGATGGTGACTGGTGAAGACTTGGTACACTGGCAGATTCTTGTTGCAGAAGGAGGCAAATTGCCTCTCACCCAGGAAGAGGTTCACGAGAGAATCAAGGCTCGTGGTCATGCGATCGAAGCACGCATATACGCAGAAAATCCGGACATGTAAGTACCGAGTGGCTATGCAGGTGTGTGCAATACTGACTGAAACAGGAACTTTGTGCCAGATTCGGGCAAACTCCTGCATCTGAGAACTCCTGCAATCACCGACACAGTCCGTATCGATGCAGGATTTGCTGTCGGAGATGAGGTCACATCACACTATGATCCAATGATTGCGAAACTTATTATTCAAGGCCCTGATAGACACGCAGCATTGCAAAAGATGAAGACTGCTCTCGAAAAATACGAGATTGCTGGGCCAATCACCAATATTGAGTTTGTCAAGCGCATGTGTGTCAGTCCCAGATTCGTTGCGGGCGAAGTGGAAACCGGCTACATCGAGAAGAACAAAGATGAGTTGTTCCGCAAGGTCGAAGTCCCTGACGAAGCCTGGACCCAGGCAGCCGTTGGTCTCTATATCGCAGAGCAAGGTTCGAGCGATAACAACTCTGTCTTGTCCTCTCAAACCATTGGCTTTAACACTGGACTATCTGGCCCAAGGACATTCGACCTTGTGGAGATTCCAGCCGACGGCAACAATAGTAGTGCGACGTCTATCACTGCAAGCGTCCAGCATGTCGGCCCACACACTTTCTCCGTGTCGGTCGGAGGCCAACAAGCCCTTCAAGTCACCAGCAAGCTCGATGAGAACAACAACATCCTCCAATCATTCTACCCTCACACCAGACTCGAGACGAGGATCATCAGAGATCCTGAGACAAATAAGCTGATCCTCTTCCAACAAGGGCGTCAGTATCGACTACAGCTAGCAGTGCCTAGGTGGGCTGAGAAGGCCTTGGGCATGAAAGATGTGGCAAACAGCGTCTTGGCGCCCATGCCTTGCAAGGTTCTTCGTGTAGAGGTGGAAGAGGGTGCGACGGTCACGAAGAACCAAGCACTTGTTGTGATTGAGAGTATGAAGATGGAGACGGTCATCAGGGCACCACATAACGGCGTCATTGCCAAAGTTGTACACAAGGCTGGAGATCTGTGTAAAGCTGGTACGGCTCTGGTCGAGTTTGCGGGAGAAGGGGAAGAGAAGGCATGACAGAATAGAAGCGAGTCATTGTAGGTACCAAGAATATCGCAATGCTGATGTGAGATATGGCGTCTACAACGACATTCCATCCATGAAGAGGAGTCTCGCTTCTCACCCAAGCTGTGTGACAAACTATCACAATCCACGCGGCCAACCCGTCGATTTACTCAGCCAAGCTTTCACCAAGACCTCGCATCAATGTCATGACATTGGCAAACAAGCAATTGGCAATATTTGGCACCCGCCGACACTCCCTATATGTTCCGACCCCGTGGTATATTACTTCCGCGTTGCCCAATATGCGCCCATCAAGGTGCTGGAATTTGTACCGACCACAAGGAAAACAAACATCCCCCACAAAGCCTTCGAACAATTGTTTCTCTGGACTGACCTTGAACACTACTCGCAGAGTATATCTCAGTCATCATGGCATTCGACCCGACCAATGTCGACCTCACTACCGCTAGTGCTAGAGACATTATCTGTTACCTGCAGATCGGCGAGAATCAATACAATGGCCATCTTCCGGCCCGCATATCGGCAGTCTTTGTCATGCTGGTTGTATCGACACTAGGCACGGCGTTTCCCTATATCGGCAAACAGATGCCTAGACTACGCATTCCAACTCCTGTATACTTGTTTGCCCGATACTTTGGCAGTGGAGTCATTGTGTCTACAGCTTTTATACATTTGTAAGACGGCAGATGGCAGAGACAGAGCGGCAAGGGCTAATGAGTAAACAGGCTCGATCCAGCATACCAGAATATCGGCACGAATAGCTGTGTAGGCATGACAGGAAACTGGTCTATATATCCTTGGACACCCGCCATCATGCTCGCTTCCTGCATGAGTATTTTCGCCATCGATGTCACTGCCCAGAAATACGTTGCCGACAAATATGGGTTGGATGTACACGCCACCAATGTCGAGTCTTTGGTTACTAGCGACCTATCCCCTTGCCCGACAACCACAGTCCGAGTCACGAGATCCAGAACCGACGAAGAGAAACAAGTCAAACACGAGGAAGTAGCTTTTGCACAAGAATTCGCCGCCTTTTCCATCCTTGAAGCAGGAATCATTTGGCACTCCGTGTTTATTGGCCTCAACTTTGGTGTTGCAGGCAGTGAGTGGTCGACTTTGTATGTCGTTTTGATGTTCCATCAAGCATTTGAAGGCCTCGGTATTGGTGCTCGACTATCTACCATTTATTTCCCATCAAAGTATAAGCAGTGGTTACCTTGGGTGTGCATTGCAGGTTATGGTATCACTACACCCATCAGTATGGCGATAGGGTTGGGTGTGAGGAATACTTATAACAGTGATAGTTATGAAGCTGTAAGTTCTTGCAAGTAAATCAGGAGGGTTTGATGGCTGACTTGCAACAGAAAGTCATTGCTGGTGTGTTTGATGCAATCAGCGCTGGTGTACTTGTCTATAATGGACTGGTGGAGTTGCTGGCTAGAGACTTTATCTTTGAGACACAGACGAGGAGTCACAAGCGGTTGGCGTTTATGATGGGTTGTGTGTTTTTGGGAGCTATGCTTATGTCTGTTATTGGAGCTTGGGCTTAGTGTATAGATGGCTGGATGAGACTGGTGTTTATGCTATAGGCTGTAATTGTACAATTGTATAAAGAACTCGGATGGTAGGATAGCCGAACCGGTGATTCTCCTTGCCATCCCCCCCACTCATCCCCACCAGACGGATTCTACTCCGGTGGAAGCTGCGGAGGACCACAGCTGCCAAACAACTTCATGAGCAGTCATGCAGTGCCCAACTTGATTTCATCTTGCATATCTAGGGCCACAACAGCCAGCCTGAGATGCCTATCTATATTGCAATATCCGTCTTGCTCGTCATGAATGCACATTCGCCAGATCCTGTGGCCTATGATGGGGCAACAATCAATCCTTGTGACCGAGAAACCCTAATACGACCCTCAGACATTTCAGCTACTTCTTGGCTTTACTGTTTGACCCCTCACCTCAAGACCAAATGGCCTCTCATGGAACGTCGCCACCGGCAGTTGATTCTCAAACCCCACTTCAAAGTGGGAAGATCATCAGGGCAAGATGATATGACTTAGTCCCCATGCCTACCTTCAAACAAGCAACCAAATCCAAATCATACAACTACCCAACATGAAGCAGAACGAACTGGCAAGCGAAGATGGCATTGGCGTCGGTACTGCTCCAGGAGCATATCGAGCTCCTGACGGCAGTCGCCCAGAAGCAGAAAGACGCCCCTTGACTCTGCCTCCAAACACAAGCTTGGAAAAGTTCAACGACTTTATGCAACGCATTGCTGATATTATTGGCTCTGAAAATGCCACGGTCATCTCTAGTGACAATGAGCTCAAGCATGAGTCTTACCTTGATCCCAGCAAGGCTTACGATGTATGCAACCGATTCGTTTGGAGTATGAAATGACTTGCTAATGTGCAATCTAGATGTACCACATCACGCCAAAGGAGTATTTCGTCAGCTCGGCCGTTGTCGCCCCTAAAAATGTACCTGATGTGCAAGCCATCATGCGACTGTGCAACGAGTTCGAGATACCCGTGTGGCCCTTCAGCATCGGTCGAAACGTCGGATACGGAGGTGCAGCACCAAGAGTTCCAGGAAGCATAGGTCTCGATATGGGCAAGAATATGGCAAAGATCTTGGAAGTCAATGTTGATGGTGCTTTTGCTTTCGTCGAGCCAGGAGTGACATTCATGTAAGTCCTTCGCGGTCAGGCTGAAAGCGCTGTTGCTGACTTCCACAGTGATTTGCACAACTACCTGGTTGAGAACAACTTGCGCGAGAAGCTCTGGATTGATGTTCCTGACCTCGGAGGCGGTTCAGTGATTGGAAACACTGTCGAGCGTGGTGTCGGATACACACCATACGGAGATCATTGGATGATGCACTGCGGTATGGAAGTCGTCCTGCCAGACGGTACTCTATGGCGCTCGGGAATGGGTGGTCTTCCAAACCCAAACGCCGACCCCAATGCGCCTCCACACGAGCAAGCTGCAAACGAGACGTGGGGATTGTTCAACTATGGCTTTGGTCCCTACAATGATGGCATCTTTACTCAGTCTTCTCTGGGTATTGTCGTCAAGATGGGTATTTGGCTCATGGTCAATCCTGGTGGATATCAAAGCGTATGTGGTAATGTGAATTCTTGAAGTACAAGGGCTGACGCACCTAGTACCTCATCACTCTGCCGAAGGACGAAAACCTGCATCAAGCTCTGGAGATCATCAGACCTCTCAGAGTGGGTATGGTACTGCAAAACGTTCCTACCATGCGACACATCCTGTTGGATGCGGCTGTTATGGCAAGTAAAAGCACTCAATTACCATCAACACGCACCCTCTAACTCTGACAATAGGGCAATCGAAAATCATACACAGACTCAGACAAACCTCTGACCGACAACGAACTCGACGCCATTGCCGAAAAGCTCAACCTCGGACGCTGGAACTTCTACGGCGCAGTCTACGGCCCCCCTCCCGTCCGCGAGGTCCTACTCTCAGTGATCAAGCAATCCTTCCTCCAGATCCCTGGAGCAAAATACTACGAGCCCAAAGATATGCCCGACAACATCGTGCTTCAAACAAGAAACGATACACTACAAGGCATCCCAAGCACGACGGAACTTAAATGGGTCGATTGGCTACCAAATGGCGCACACCTATTCTTCTCACCTATTGCCAAAGTGTCTGGTGATGACGGTGTAGCTCAATACCAAGTCACCCGCCAACGATGCGAGGAAGCCGGCTTCGATTTCATCGGCACTTTTGTCGTGGGAATGGTACGTTGTTCCATCCCTTTCTCCCCTTTTCCCTGGCAGCGCACTAACTCATGACTCCACAGCGCGAAATGCACCACATAGTCTGCATAGTCTTCGACCGCAAAGACCCAGACTCACGCCGGCGCGCCCACTGGCTCATCCGCACCTTGATCGACGACGCAGCAAAGCGCGGTTGGGGCGAATACAGAACCCATCTCAGCGTCATGGATCAGATTGCAGATACATACAGTTTCAACGATAACGCGCAGATGAAGTTGAATGACAAGATCAAAGCTGCTCTTGATCCCAAAGGTATCATCAGTCCGGGAAAGAATGGAGTGTGGCCGAAGCAGTATAATAAGGAGGATTGGAAGGTGCCGGAGCAGTAGGGTGGGGCTTGGAGGATGGCATAATGGAAGAGTGTGGGATTTGAATTGAGGGTGGATTTCTGTGAGTTGTGTCTAGAGCGAGCTAAACACCAGTCAAAGTATGGCAGGAACTAAGAAGCTTTGAGCGACGAGTCAGTGCAACCACAAAAGTGTCATCCATCTTTGTAAGCAACCAATTCGCACACAAGCTAGAAACTCATCCTCAGAAGCAAGAAAGTATCGCTATTTCACCCCCATAAGCTCATCGTCCAACTTCAGGTTCTGCCCCGGCAATCCTCTTACTAGATCTTGTAGCTCCCTTCTCGGCCTCTTCGCCATCGTTTCCACGCTTTCTCTTGATTGTCGTCTCGGTTGACTGCCCAGTGGGAGTTTCATTGTCTTTGTCAGCGTTGACTGCTTTCTGTTTCGCAGGTGCCTTCTTCCTGGATGCAGCTGGTGTGCCCTTGGACTTTGCTGCCAAAGCGAACGGACTAGATACAACGGGTTTGGCGATAGGTCTTGGAGCTGGCTTTCTGGTACGCTTTGCAGGTGTAGGTATAGGCATAGGGCCAGGAGTGGCATTCTTTGCGCCGTCGGTTTCGCCCAAGTTAGCAGTATCTGAAGCAGGGAGTTTAAGATTGGACCTTGTACGCTTTGGTGCCGATTTGACGGGAGGTTGGACATCAGTTGGCTCGGGAGTCGGCTCCACTGTTGCGGTCCTTGACCTAGTTCTGTTCTCGAGAACAGGGAATGAGCCCAGCTCCTTGATTTCTAGAGCACCGAGAGGGTTGGCTCCGGTAAGCCTCTTCCTCTTGGTTGGAGATGATGCGTCCGTATCACCTATGCCATTCGTCTCGGTTTTGGTGGTGTCTCTATCTTGTGCGGTTTGTTTCGATGCAGGAGTAGAGGTGAGAGTAAGCGGAGGCACAGGAATAAAATCAATTGCAGCGTCTTGACCTCCAGTTTCGTCGGCCTCAGCAGAATCTGGAGCAGCGACTTTGAGATTGGGCCGGGTGCGCTTTGATGCAAGTTTTGCTGTAGGTTGAGCAGCAATTGGTTCTGATGTTGGTTCGCCTGTCGCGGTCCTTGCTCTGGTTCTGGTCTCAAGGATCGGAAGAGATCCCAGCTCCTTGAGCTCCATGGCACCTAGCGGGTTGGCGCCAGGAAGCCGTATCCTCTTCGGTGGTGGTGTATCCGTGTTGGCTGATTTGGGGGCTCCAGTGGAATCAACGTCTGTACTCTCTGTAGTAGGTTTAGGAACGGCACTGGCTACAAGTTCGGGTACCGGAGTAGGCACAGCAGTGGAAAAAGGAGCGGAAGAAGGAGCAGGAGTACGAGCTTGACTACGCAATCGTCCGCCAATATCGATTTCTGACTTCTCTTCAGCTTTACGAGGTGGCGAAGCTCCAAGAAGTCCAGCCAGTTCCTTGTTGCTAACTGCTGCTCTGGTAGCTCTTGCAATACCTACGAGTTTTCTGAGAGGAGCAGATGTGTCAACTGGCTTCTTGGTACGCGAACGAGTGGCTGTCGATCTGTTGGGCTTGAGTTTTGCCAAAGACAGAGGAGTTTTGTTCAGCCCGAATGGATTAGATACAGGAGGATTGGCAAGCTCGTCTGGTGAGACTGGAGCCAACTCATCGGGTGAATCGCGCTGGGTAGATTTCGAACCTGTTTTGCTTCTGTCCCTCTGGGCTCTCTTCGATGTGTCTTTGAGTGTCCCCACTCCAGATGAGATATGTGGCTCTGTATTGGCCTTCGATTGCTCCTCGTTTCTTGTTCTTAGACCGAGTCGTCTCTTTTGGGACGGCTCTTCTGGATGAGGCTCCTCTTGCTTGCGCTTTTCATTGAAAACTGCTGTGGAAGCTGTGGGTATCTCTGCATCCTCCGTCCTTGTGTTTCCGTTAAGCTCATCCGTGACTCCAGTGGTGATTCGCAAGCCTTTGATGTTTCTTGATGTGCTAGACGGGGCCGTGTCAAGCTCTGCAGTGGGCTTGTTCGGTGTCGGCGGGATTGACAATGGTTTGACACCGCCACCATCACCTGAAACAGCCCCAGCCATGGAATCTTGATCGATGTGTTTGGTGGTGAACCAGCTTGGAGATGGTGGACTCAATGGCGATGAAGGTGGTGGAGATGGTGTTTTGAACTGCCATCTCTCGAGGTCGTTGAGTTGGTCGAGGTAATCATTGGGTAGCTGTGCAGTATCGGAAGCCAAAGAAGTCAAGGTCGAATCGGTGGAGAATCCCTCATTATCGTTGTGGCAGTCCTCGCCGACTTGTGTGTCGAGCACGGCCGGAGGGTTTTCATGAGCAACGAAATTGAATTCATGAGGTATATCGGAGTATGGATTCGGTGGAAATAATGAAACAGCTGCTGAATATGGATCATGGATGACAGTAGCGTCAGTGTCTTGCGTGAGTATGCTGGAGTCAATCGCGGTAGTGAGTCCATATTCATCAGAGACTTCGTCTTTGACAGCTTGGAGGCCTGTAGGGTCATCCCCTGATTCTGGTCCGAGTTCTTCCGTGGTACTGGTGTGCTCGTTGGTCACCTGGTCCTGAACGTGCGCGAACGGGATGGATACAGAACCATCCCGAGTCATAGCCGATGAATCGGTCAAAGTCACATCATTGTCTCTGTCAGTGTACGTAGATGCCGAGATCTCCTCGTGGTGGGTTGTGGCAAAGTCGATAGAAGAGCGAGGCTTGGGTGGTTCAGATGGAGAAGGTGCGAGTGTTGCATCCTCTAGCGATGATCCAGGGCCTGGTATGACGGATGATGCTCGAGTGCTAGATCGGGGCAGAGGGCTTGTCTGTCTGGTACTTGTCGTTGTGCTAGCAAGAACGGGGGATGATGTGTTGATGGCTTCGTTGATTGTGTTGACATCCACCGCTGGGAGTGGTCTGACATGGACGCGATTGTCTGGCAGGGGCAAAGGATCTTCGAGCTTGTCAATGACGGAAGGTGCAACTCCGACTTGATCGTCTTGTTGCAGGTTGGTCTCCACGGCATTGCTTGATCCTTGAGGTTCTTCGACCACTTTCAGAGGTTCAAAAAGATCCAACAAGTCTTCTAATCTCTGATCGGGTTCGTTGACTGGTGGCGCGCTGTCGTCAAAGAAGGCATTGAGGGTCGCTACGCCTTCCTCCCACCATTCAGGTCGATCAAGATAGTTACCGAGCTTGCTAAAGAGTGGACTTTGGAAGCATTGCTCAGCGCCGGGAGCGAAGATAACCGGTGTCTCCATGCTGCATAGTCAGAATAATAATCAATCACGATTGCAAGATGGTGATTTGTGCGGCGCGCAATTTTTGGTGGCCAACACGTTTAGGTGGCATTGACAGGCGCGTCGATTTGTGCGTGTGCTGTTATGTGTTGATGATCCGGTTTGAAGAAGTGAAGGTGGGCTACGGAAAACACGTTCTACTCTCCGGATGTGGTTGCGAAGTGATGTGTCGAGATTGCGGTCTGAGATAGCCTGAGAAGGGAAACGCAATGCGTGCTTTCCGGTCGGCTGCTGAGTTAGGAAAGAGCTAGGTATGTTGAATGCAGTGTGAAGGCATCTAAAAAGTCTGTTATGGAAAGCGAGATGTGAGTTGTTGTTCATGAACCTGAATGGATTGCTTTAGCGTCAAGAAGCTGGTGGAGCTCTCTCCCTCTGTCTCTGAAGCACCAGTCACGACTAGTTAGCACCGTGACGAATTTCATGGAATCTTGAGCATGGGGAGGCAGGTTTTGTAACAACAGCATGTGCACCTTTATACTTTGCCGCCGATCAGAAGAACTACTTATTAACATACCAAGCCATGCCCAGCACAGCTATACCACAAACCCAGGTCGAGAACGCCGTCATTGCTAGCTCCTAGAATCTATCCACAGAAAGACACCATATCGGACAAGAGTACACTAGAACGGTATAGCGTTGCTGATTGAACCACTGAGATCGGCCGGAGTTGCAAGCATTCTGTGGTATATGTATCAGCAAAGATGTTCGTGTTTAGCAAGTATTCTGGATTTCGTTACTTCTTTCCGGTTTCAGTCGCACAGCAGCCACAGAAGAGCGAGGCAGGCCAGCAGACGATCTAATACCTGGTTAGCGTTGGATACATCTTGACGCGCAACAAGTTGCTTACTGCGAGGACAATGGCGCTGGCGAAGCCAATGGTAGGGCCAACGACTTTGCAGTGGCAAGGGTTTTGATCTGATCACGGTCAGACATGGAAGTGATGGAAGATTGGCACATTCAACATACCGGTACCGCACTGGAAGCAGACGAAAGGAATAGGAAGGCAGTCCATTGTGGTTGAAGAAAGAGCTGGGTGAAAGAATTGGCGGTAGGAGATAGAAATTGGATGTGAGCGTCTGTGGAGGAAGAGACAATTGGCCGTTTAGCAATCAATGAACAAGGGCTTCGTGAATCGTGAACAATAAATCGATGCGTAAAGGCTATCAGGTAGGAGAGACAAGCTTCTTAAGGTTCTACTGTAGCAAGCAAAACGGGAAGACGGAACGGAAGCACACGTCATCGTAACGGGCATGGATCAACTGGCCACCATCCGCTTCCTCAACCGTGGGCCGGTTTGATGCAGATGCTTATTCGACAACAAGCATTTTCAAGGAATAGTGATAGAGTTGCGGGACGTAATTGTGCGATTCTCGATCATGACGAAAAGTGGCATTTCCAAAATAGTCTGTGGTTCGAAGCAGTATTTCGTTACTGAAAAGCCTAAGCTAAGATAAAACAAGGAATACATGAGGATGATGACTAGGCATCTGTCGCTCGGCTAGCTCTAGAAATGAGAAAAAGTAAACGGGACCCATGGCGCCTTTGATTCTTGCCCGGTGATATCAACCTAATCGTTGTCGCTTAGTCAAGTGTACACCATGCTCCCCGGCTTTTCAGGACGATGAGAAGGGGTTGACACTGTCGGAGAAAGGTCCTGCAGAGGACGAGACAGAAGGCTGAGCCGAGGCTGCGCGCTGTCTGGGATCATCGCGACGCATAATGCTCTCGACGGGACCGAGAAGGCGCTGGAAGCCATTCTTGCCCAACATGGCCACCTTGATGTCTGTCTCGGCGACTACGGATGCGGCACGAGGCTTGTCGTCCAGCAAGGCCAGCTCGCCGAAGTAATCGCCCTTGTTGTACGTCTTGAGCGATTGCTCGACTCCAGACTTGTAGACGGCAGCGGTACCCGATTCGAGCATGTAGAAGTGGTCACCGACGTCACCCTCGCGAATGATGGTACTTCCTGCAGGCATTTTCTGAGTCTCGAGAGCATCGGCAATCTTGCTGCGTTCGTACGGGGTGAGGGTGTTGAGAAGAGGCACGCTGTCGAGGAAAGACTCGTACATGCGGCGACGCTGGAATGCGCTGTCCATCAGAATGCGACGGAAGGTGATGCGGTCAAGTTGCCAGATGACACTGGGCTCGGTGCTGTTGACAGTCGCAGCACGGGGGGCGTTGTACATCAGCGCAAGTTCACCAAAAGAGGTACCGGGGCCGCACGTTGCGACCTTGTTGCCCATGCCATTCACACCGGGCTCGATCTTGCCAGTGCTCGAGACGTAAATGTCAAAGTTGCCAGTCTCGACGACGTAGAAGTAGTCACCGACGTCTCCTTGGGCAATGACCTTGATATCTTTTGAGGGAATCTTGCGTTCTTGCAGAGCGCCCAAGACCTGTTCGGTTTGATCGTCGTCTAGGTGAGAGAAGAGGAAGTTGCGCGACACAGCTGCGCGCAGACGGCCGAGCTGTTCCTGAGTTTTGGGGTGGGTAGGAGGCTTCCAGTCCGAGTCGTCGGTGCCCGAAGGGGCCAGGACTTCGGCAGAGACGGACACACGGCGGCCCATGTTGTAGTTGTTGGGGAAGTTTTGCGGTACGTCCAACTGTTGGTTGTTGCCGCCGGCGCCAGCCTTCTGATCACGAGCACCTGCATTCTGAGCGCCGCCGAAACCAAAGTTGAAGCCTCCAAAGGAGCCATCTTGGTGCTGGGCTGAAGGGTCAGGTTGAGAAGGGGCAAGGGGACTGCCGGTGGAGTTGGAGCTGGAGTTGTTGGCACCAAAGGGGTTTGCATTTGCAGCAAAAGGAGAAGCGTCACGGTTCATGGCGTTGTTGGGGAAGGAAGCGGCAGTGGGCGAGGCGAACGTGTCCATTTCATCCTCTTCTTCGAGACGCTGCATTCCAGGCTGCTGGACTTGGTGGAAAGGGTTGCTGCCGGGGAACTTGTTCTCGGCCATGGTCTTGTTGGAATGCTGTGCGCCCAGCAGGAACTCGTGTCGCTGAGACTCTAGGCGGCGGAGGAAGTGGTTTGCGCAGAACTGCAGGACGTCGGTGGGCTTGTTCTGCAGGACCTCGCGTTCGAGGGTCTCAATCTCGTGCTTGTAGTCGGCGGGAAGAGCCATTGTTTGGAAGTGGGTAGAGGTACTGTGAGCTTGGGTGGAGCTTGGGTCGTGACGTTTGTGCAGGAGCCCGCAGACGTGGAGCTACACGACCGTGGTAGGCTAGTCTGATTCGATGCGGCTGTCACCTCTGATCGACAGGTGATGAGATGGAGCTGATGCGGTGCTGCGATGCGATGCGATGCTCAGTAATCGGGTGCCCTGATGCCTAGTGACTTTGTTCAGGGTATTGAGGGGGAAACTGCGCGCGACGGCCAATGAGCTAATGAGGGGGAAAGCCGGAGCGCGTGACGACAGAAGCAATTTGGACGAGAGGACAATAATATCGGGCCAAACTTTCGAGCTTCACTTTCTGAATCGACGACAGACAAAACGTATGAAGAGAAGGAAGAGGAAGGAGCGAGAGCTGGCAGCATCGTGCTTTTGGGGCCAATTGGTCTCGTTCCCCTCGCTACTACTACTTGCAACTGCCACTATTCGTGACGCTATTTGCTACTCCAAGCTCCTTCGAGAAGCCCAAACGGCACTCCTCTAGATTGACAACGGTCACACAGCAGAAGTCCAACTCCCAATACTCGGGTCGAACAAGGCTACAAAGAGCACGACTGGTATAACTTGCGCTGGTTGGCATTATCAAAGACCCTCGAGGCATCACTAAATAATGAGGTATGACTGACTATAGCTACCTATGCCTTCCCTGTTTCGTGCATACGAATCGGACATGCCAAGACAATAAACAAGTATGGCCCACTGCGATCAGAATGGGCACATTGGATAGAAGGTCTGTAGTTCACAAGCTGTATGTCCGGCTCTACTAATCTATCTTTGACAGAAAGCTGCAATATTGTGTACAGAGATGAATGGAACAAGCTCCCGTCGGCGGTAGAATCGGTAAAGGCACGGAGCTCGATCCAAAGAGAAGTTGTTATACAGCAGGTAGGGCTTCTTATGCAACACCTGATCTTTTCATATCTGTCTTACCACGGCAGGAAGAGGTGTAGTAGAGTTTGGAGCGTCGCTTACACATGGATGGTATACACTGCGAGAGACTGTGCTTCTTCGATGTCCCATGGTTGCTGCCTTCGTGATTAGCCATGCGCATCTTTCCAAATACCTCTCGGCCGTACAAGCTAGAGAAAGCTGGGTTGCGCTCCCGAAGAATGATCGGCCGTCCCATACAGAATCCCACCAGGATTTGGGTTTTGGCGCGAACTGCCAATGACGTCTTTCTTGGAAACAAAACCGAGGTGTCACCCGTTCTGCCTAAACGACTGTGGTAGAACAAGTATAATATAATATAGCTGGGTCGCTTTCTGAGCAGAGTCACCATCCTCATCAAACACTCACAAGACGAAAGAGGCCGTCGAGATTCCTGCCACCGACCTAGACCGAACTGTCAACAGTCAGCCGTCAGCCAAGGATCGTCATCAGCCACAGAGAAAGCCACCGCACGAACGCGAAGGAGGCCTGTGCAAAGTGGTCGCTCTCTCCTGCAAGCTTGACAAGGCGCGCGCAACTCTTGTGTCACCAGCAGCGCATTATCTATCCTTCCCAACCCACGCCGTCAGCTCTTTTGCACCAGGCCGCTTCCATATAGGCCACTCAATCCTAGCAAGCGAAACAGCCGATTGCGAGCCGACATGGGTCAATACACATTTACCTGGTGAGTCCAACACCTCAAGAGATCGCGTCGCATCTAGTTATCTCGGCCTTCTGCGCGAACTTCTCAATCCTCGCGCGTGCTCAATACATGCGCACCATCCTTGGCTACAACAGCACAATCGCTGACATGGTGCCATAGGAACCACCCCGCTCAAGAAGTCTACGTGACGGGTGACTTCGACAACTGGTCAAAGTCAATCAAGCTGGACAAGAATGGCAACTCTTTCCACAAGACTGTGACTCTGCCCGGTGAAGAGAGCAGGATCCATTACAAGGTGAGCACTATTGCTTTTGGCATCAAGTGTACCCAGTTAACCGCTCTCCACTCTAGTTTGTTGTTGACGGAAACTGGACAACCGACTCTACTGCCAGGCAGGAGACCGATCATTCGGGCAACGTTAACAATGTCGTCGAAGCCAGAGAACTGAGCCCCGAGCCCGAGGAGCGTCCTTCCCACGCATTCATCTCTTCGGTGCACCCCCAATCCACCACCGCTGCCCTCGCTGGCCAGGTGCCGCTTGAAAAGGAAAGAAACATCCACTCCGAGCAGCATGCCAACAACGACACGAGCTTCCCCCAGGAGACTCCCGGCTTCGAGGACCTGCCAGGCCAATTTCCCGTTACACCTATGGCTGATCTCAACCAGTTCATGGTCAACCCCATTCCTGCTACTGACGGTCCTTCTAACCCCGTCAAGCTTGCCCCTGGTGAGCCCGTTCCTCACCCGAGCACTCTGACCTCCAACACCATCCGCTCTACTGTGCGCGATGACCCCGAGCTGAAGAAGCCATCAATCTCGTCTACCGATGGTGCCAACGAGCCCCGCGAGCGTGAGCTTAACGAGAACGATCTTCCTGGCGCTTACGCCCCGTCTACTGCTCAAGAAGAAGAGGAGGACACCAAAGCTTTCGGCATCAACCCTATCCCTGCCACCTCTGGTATCGGCAACCCTATCAAGCTCGCTCCTGGCGAGCCTGTTCCCCACCACAGCAAGATTACCTCCAACACCGTCCAGTCGACTGTCCGTGATGGCTCGCAGTACGGTGTTAGTGACACTGGTGCTCCCGTTCTTCCCCCGGTGCTTGATTCCCAAAGCGAGGCCGAGGCGAACGGTGCTTCCATGTTCAACCTGCCTTCGATCGGCGGTAACATGATCCCTGAGTCCAGTCTCCCTATGGGCGACGGCGGCGACGACCGCCTACCCAACTTTAACAACGCATTTACCTCTTCCGCTGCCCCTCAGAGCACTACCGCCCAGCTTGCTGGCCAGGTCCCTCTTGAGCCTCGTGGTGCCCGTGGTGTGCCTGGCGTCGTTTCCGAGAGCCAACAGTCGGCTCACGTAAGCGCTGAAGCTGCTTCTTCCTCGTCGGCCGTTCAGACCAAGCGTGAGGTCGAGGAGGAACTGAAAGAGAAGGTGCCCCAGGCAAACGCTACTGCCGAGTCTGGTCCCGTCACTGGCGTTCCCGAGGTCGTTTCCGAGAGCCAGCAGTCTGCTCATGTCGGCCCTGAGGCTGCTGCTAACCCTGAGGCTGTCCGCGAGAAGTCCGCCGTAGAGAGCGAGCTGAAGCAGACAGTTCCCGAGGTAAACGCAAACAACGCCTTTGTTGAGCGCAGCCCTGTCGCCGACGCTGCTTCAAGCGTGTCACAAACTGCCTCGAACGCTGCTTCGACCGCATCGCAAACCGCTTCCAACACTGCGCAGGCCGTCTCTGACTCTCACGTCCCTGAGGCTATCGCTGGTGGCCTCGCTGCCGCTGGTGCTACCGCTATCGGTGCTGCTCTACTTGCCAAGGACAAGCTCACCGAGACCTATCAGCATGCTACTGAGCCTACTCCTGCGTCCAAGGAAGTTCCTGATATCGTCACTGAAAGCCAAGAGCGTGCTCATGTCGAGCCCGAAGCCTCTGCTTCGCCTGATGTTGTACGTGAGAAGGCTGCCTTTGAGGATGAATTGAAGCACTCTATCCCCGAAGCTCCTGCCACCTCCGAGTCTGGCGTCCTAGGTGCTAGCGAAGGTGGTCTCACTGGCAAGATCGCTGCCGGCACTGCCGCACTCGGTGCTACTGCTGCCGGCCTTGCATACGCCGCTAGAGACAAGGCTACCGATGCCTACACTGGTTCGCCCTTGGCTAGCCTGACCAAGGAGCCCACGATTGACGGCTCTGTTCCCGAGGTCGTCACCGAGAGCCAAGAGCGTGCTCACGTTGAGCCAGAGGCCTCTGCTTCGCCCGAAGCCGTGCGCGAGAAGACTGCCATGGAGGGTGAGCTTCTCTCTGAGGTTTCCAAGGCGCCCGCAACTTCCGAGTCTGGCGTCTTCGGTAAGAGCGAGCAGGGTGTCGCTGAGAAGGCCACCGCTGGCGCAGCTGCCGCTTCTGCTGCCGTTTCTAGCCAGGTAAACAAGGCCTACGAGTCTGTTGGCCTGCCTTCCTCGACCACCACCAGAGACACAACCCAACTAGAGTCTGGTTCCGAGCAGGTCCCTGAAGTTGTACAAGAGAGTCAAGACAGAGCTCACGTCGAGCCTGAGGCTTCTGCCAACCCTGAAGCTGTTCACGAGAAGCACGATGTGGAGAGCGAGCTACTCTCCCGAGTCAACAAGGCACCTGCCACCTCAGAGTCTGGTGTTCTTGGTAACAGTGAACAAGGCATTACTGGCAAGCTTGCCGCAGGTCTCACCGCTGGTGTTGCAGCCATTGGCGCAACCGCCGCCGGTGCCGCTTATGCTACTCGCGACAAGGCTTCCGATCTGACTGGAAGAGATCTTAACACCACCCAAAAGTCAACTCAATTCGAGTCTAGCTCTGAGCAGGTTCCTGAGGTTGTCCACGAGAGTCAGGAGAGAGCTCATGTTGAACCTGAAGCTTCCGCTAACCCTGAGGCTGTTCACGAGAAGTCCGATGTCGAGAAGGAGTTGTTGGCTCACGTCAACAAGGCTCCCGCCACTTCTGAATCTGGCATTCTCGGTAGCAGTGAGCAGGGCATCACTGGCAAGGCCGCCGCCGGTCTTACTGCTGGAGCTGCCGCTATTGGCACAACTGCCGCAGGCGCTGCTTACGCCGCCCGTGACAAGGCCTCTGACCTCACAGGTAGAGACTTGAACACCACTCAGAAGTCAACTGGTCTGGACTCTACCTCCCAGATCCCTGGGGTCGTTCAAGAGAGTCAAGAGAGAGCTCACGTTGAGCCCGAAGCTGCAGCTAACGTTGAGGCTGTTCACGAGAAGCACGATGTTGAGCAGGAGCTCCTATCTCACGTACAAAAGGCACCCGCCACTTCTGAGTCTGGTGCTCTTGGTAACAGCGAGCAGGGCTTGTCTGGCAAAGCCACTGCTGGCATTGCCGCCGGCACTGCCGCACTCGGTGCTACTGCTGCTGGAGTCGCCTACACTGCCCGCGAGAAGACTACCGAGACCACAGGCAGAGACCCCGTCTCATTCCTCCCTCCTTCGGTCGCCAGCGCAATCAACAACATGAACCACGGCCTTCCTTCCGCCAACACTTCGCTTGCCTCGCCTAACCTTCACTCTTCCGTCCCTGAGGCTGTTGTTGAGTCTCAGCACCAGGCTCACGTCGCACCCGAGGCCTCTGCTGAGCCTGAGGCTGTCGCTGAGAAGAGCCAGGTTGAGAGAGAATTGCTTGATCGTGTGCCTCGCACTTACGAGGCTGGCAAGCCTGCACCCACCGAGTCTGCTGCATTGAGCGCAACTGCTCCCGTCAAGACTTCTGGCATTGAGTCTGACATGGAGGCCGCCGTTCTTGCTGCTGGTGGTTCCATTGCCACAGGTTCTACTGGTGCTACCGCCCTCGGTACCCAAACCTCCCGCTTTGACGACGAGGCACCACGCGATCTTACTGGTGGTCACAGTGCTATGCCTACTTCCGTGCAGCCTGCCACCACTCAAGCTGGAGCTTTCACAGATAACACCGGTCTTTCCGGCGCCACCACGAGCACGCTGCCCATCCGTGAGGCCGAGACTCCCGCTGTCGCTGCCAGCTCTGGCCTGAACGCCCCTGCCTCGAGCCAGGCTCAGATCCCCGCTCCCGTCACATCCGAGACACTCGCCGCACCTACTCTCCAAGCACCTGCTGAGAAGTCTCGCGACGTTTCCCCCATGACTCGCCCCGACTCTTCGCAGCAGTCAGCACCTCAGGTCACCACCGGTACCGAAACTCACAGCGTCCCTGCCACCAGCACGGGAAGTGCACCCACCACACCCCAGAGAAGTGCCACCAAGAGATCTAGTGGATTCTTCCGCGGCACACCCCAGAGCGACCGTACCAGCGTTGCCGGCTCTTCCAAGGCCGACGATGATGGCAGGGGCTCCAAGAAGAAGGGCTTCCTTGCCAAGCTCAAGGAGAAGTTCAGAGGTTAAATAGCCTCGTGGACGACCTAGAGAGTGCTCATCAAAGACTCTTATTCCATCGTGGGGGTGTAACAGGATGAGGATCTACTGAACGGAGTCGGGATGGACCCCGAAGGCGAGAGTTTGTAATTGTTGTAATCACGCGTCGTGTTGTTAATGTAGCTTATTCCCCTTTTCGTTTTTGTGGATTGGTCGTTTTCTTAGTTCTCTCTTTTCTTTACATAGTCAAGAAAGTTGTTAATCTGATTCTCTCATTGTTGCTCATCTCTTTACCTAGGGGCTCACAGTTTATTCTCCTGTATAATCGCCATCCGTCAGAACCTGATCGTATATGTTGGAATGCTTAGACACACACAAGATCATCCCCCTTCGTCTACGCGCTTTCCAGCACGAAACATCGTGTATGATTTTGCCGACTTGATTCGTACCACAAAACTCCCAGATTGCAAAGATGATGTTTCGGGGATTGTGACTCCCGAAAGTTTTGATGAAGTAACCTGATAGTGACTTGATTACGATACCCTTAAGGTCTTGATCGGTCTTCCTTGGATCTTGATGAGAGGGAGCAAGTTGCTCGAGAGTGGCCTCGTCATGTCCATTGTTTCATATTTTAGATTGGCAGGGTTGTCCTCTCGACATGATTTACTTGATCCTTTTTTCATTTCTGTTTCGAAACTTTTGAGCAGAGAAATGTATGATGAGTAGAAAGGGTGAGGGTTCGTGGGTTTCTATAAGAGTGATGGAGAGTTGAGATGAAATGTGAATGCGTTTCTTGGGTCCTACATAGTGGAGGTTTTGTTATACTTTACAGACGGAGCAGTTCTCCTGCTGCTTTTGTGTGTATTTGACGGGCAGTCTGCGTATGTCCGTGAGCGGTGCTTGATGTAGTGCCTTGTAGGGCTTGAAGGTAAGCTGGAATGAGAGGCGTGTAGATTCTCTCATCCAGTCCCATCGTGCGCGCGCGTGGCAGATCTGAGTGCAGATGAGCGGATGAGGAACAGCGGTTGTCCTCTACAATCGATCTGCTTTGCTCAATGAGCGATAGAGAATTGTAGAAGTTGCGATGACCGAATCATCACAAAAATTTCTCTTTTCTTTCAACCAGCTTTACGCAGCGAATTGTAATGCTCACCGAGACCAAAGCCGTGTCTGTAGTATGCCAACCACAACTGCTTGCCTGCCTCAACCTGACTCTTATCTGGATTGATCTCTTCGACTCTGCCATCACCCTGCAAGACGCTGATGGCGACATTGTATTTCTTTGCCAGAGCCATCAATTCGAGCTGGCCTCCCCACTCGCCAGTGTTCTTGATCTTGTAGATGTAGTAGTCCAATGGCTCTTCGAGGAAAGGAGTAAAGTCATTGGGGTGTGCTTGAATGTACTCGGCAGCTGCGTGTCTGACTAGTCTGTAGGGCTCTAGTGTAGCTGCCACATCTGGAGTCGAGTCTGGCGCTGGGCCCAAGGGGATTTCTAGTTGGTGGAGTTGGTCGGCGATGGCCGAGTAGAGGCAGTGACCATCGGCGCGTATTTCCTTCTCTGCGAGCTTGCGGGCGGAGAAGTGGGCGAGCATGGACTCGCGCTCGGCTGCTTTGAGGTTGGGCATGTCTTGGGCTTCGTCGTGGGCCGAGGCGATCAGGGCTTCTTGTTCGGCGGCGCGGCGGGCGAGGCGGGCTTTGGCGCGATTCTGTTTCTTTGGCGCTGGTGTTTCTTGTGTGGACTGAGGCGCTGGTGTGGGTGAGGCTATGGAGAGGCCTTCTGTGCGGTCGGCCAGTTCGTCTGCGTCTTTTGCTGTCTCTTCTCCTTGGTCTCTGTCTGTGTCGTCTGGTTGGTCGTCGTCGTCTTGACCAATGGTCGGTGCAGTCATTGCCTTGACTTCGTCCTGGTGGCGAGCCTTCATCTCTCGCTCCAGGTTGTCGCATTCATCGTTCACGCCCTTGCGCGTCTTCTTGGTTGCGCCCTTTTTCTTTTGGGTGATTTTTGATTGCAAGTCTTTGGCCTCCTTGCGGTGGCGCTGTTGTAGTTCTTCCATGACTCCAGCCAGTTGCACTCCAGAGGGCGACAGGTGTAGCAAGTCAGAGTGTTGCAGGAAGAAAGGCGAGCTTGTCATGGTCACCGAAGCTTTGAAGTCCGAGGGTCCACCAACGCCGCCATCCGAAGGCTTCCACCATTATATAAACATCAAGACAATGACGTCCGCTAGCTTTCTGTTCAACCGTTGAAGGCGTTTGAGACCATCTCTATCATCTGACTAACGAGAACATGACTGCGTGATCTGTACGTCTGCTATACCATCATCCTACGCCACCATGCCGCAACATCAAAGACGGAGCGGCCTCTCTGTCGCCTTGACTGCCGCCGTCTTGGCCTTGACCTCGATCTTCGCCGCCATCTATACATTTGGCCTGCCTGAACTCGACTACTGGCACTGGAGAGCTTCCTACGATCCTTTCAGAAACCGACCCTCGTCACAAAATGTCTTCACTCAAGCATCCTCTTCGCATGACTACCTCGTCGGCGTCGGCAAGGCTGACATCACCGGCCCCGTCGTTGAAGTCAACCTCATGGGCTATGCTGACCCTGCTCAACTCGGTTCTGGTGTGAGACAGCGTCTGTACTCCCGCGCTTTTATTCTCGGTGATACAGACAGTCCACGTGACCGTTTCGTCTATCTCGTTCTCGATACTCAGTCCGGAGATACTGCTGTTCGCAATGGCATTCTGGAAGGCCTCAAGCATCTTGGTCCCGAGTATCAAGTCTATGCAAGACAGAACGTTGCTGTCACTGGAACTCATTCTCACTCTGGTCCTGGCGCTTGGTTGAACTACCTGTTGCCGCAAATCACTAGCCGTGGTTTCAGTCATCAAAGCTATCAAGCAATTGTCGATGGTGCTCTCGAGTCTATCAAGCAAGCCCATCAGTCGCTTAGTCCTGGCCAACTCTCGTTCGATTCTATCGACATCGAAGATGCGAATATCAACCGCAGCCCCTATGCCTACCTTGCCAATCCCGAGCAAGAACGCAACAAGTACAAGCACAATGTCGACAAAACCTTGACTCTTCTCAAACTGCGTAGAAACAGTGACAAGAAGGACATTGGTGTCCTGACTTGGTTCCCCGTACACGGCACCTCCATGCTAGGAAACAACACCCTCATCACCGGCGACAACAAGGGCGTTGCCGCGTACCTATTCGAGAAACATGCAGCTCAACTAGACTCCACAGCCGATGGCTTCGTGGCCGGCTTCTCCCAAGCCAACGTCGGGGACACCTCTCCAAACGTCAACGGCGCTTACTGCGAATCCGGCGACGAAGAGGGCGAGCAATGCGACTTCAAAACCAGTCTCTGCGCTGGCAAGAACGGCCCTTGCCATGGACGCGGTCCCCATTGGGGTCTCGATGACGCAGGCACAGCATCGGCCTGGGAAATCGGACGCAGACAGTATCTCGGTGCTCGCTCGTTGTACGAGTCCATGACTACAATGTCGACTTCTACACCCATCCAAGGCAAGGTCGTCCGCTCCCTGCACACCTTTGTCGATATGTCAAATCAGACTGTCGTGCTGCGCAATGGCTCACTCGGCCATACTTGTCCAGCCGCAATGGGCTATTCTTTTGCTGCAGGCACAACCGACGGCCCTGGCGCCTTTGACTTCAAGCAAAACAATCCTGGCGACCCCAATGCCAGTCCCGTGTGGGCTGTTGTACGCAACAGTCTACATTCACCCGGTCCCGAGCAAAAAGCTTGTCAGTTCCCCAAACCTATCTTGTTGGATGTAGGTGAGACTGAAAAACCATATCTGTGGACTCCAAATGTTGTCGACATACAACTGCTGCGTATCGGTCAACTGTTGATCATTGTAGCGCCTGGAGAGGCTACTACAATGGCTGGACGCCGCTGGAAAGCTGCATTGCAGAAACATGCACGGAACGCTTGGGACGAGGCCTCCAATGCCCCAGAGCCTTTGGTAGTGCTCGGTGGTCCGGCAAATACATATGCGCATTACATTGCCACCGAGGAGGAGTATGGCGTTCAGCGCTATGAAGGCGCTTCAACTCTGTTCGGACAGCATACTCTGGCTGCCTACATGAATCTCACGCTCGAAAGACTCCCATATCTGTCTGGGCATTCGATATCGCAATCGCCGTTATTGCCGCCTCAACATCCCGCTCTACCTTTGCTGGAAAACGGCCCGGATCCACCCATCCACACGAACAGTTCGCTGTCTTTCATTTCTCCCGTCGTCTTTGATCGTCCTCCGCTGTTCAAATCTTTCGGCGACGTCACCACCGATGTGTCAGCCCGTTATGCCCTCTCCTCTTCACCGACGGTCAAAGCTGTCTTTGTAGCTGCCAATCCGAGGAACAACCTGAGGCTCGGAGACACCTTTGCGAGTGTTGAGAGGTATAGCGCTAGAGGGGAGTGGGAAAGAGTCAGGGGTGATGGAGATTGGAGTCTTGTGTTTGCGTGGGAGAGGACGAGTACCACCGTGGGCACCAGCCAAGTTACCATCTCTTGGGAACTGGGGTGGGAGGTTGGGGAGTGGGGGCGAATTGATGCGAAGAAATCCAGTGAGGTTGTTAAGGATGACAAGACCGAGTTGAGGAAGGTGCTCGAGAGGAGAGAAGCAGAAGAGAAATTGAAGGGAAGGTATCGCATCAAGTACTTTGGAGATGGCAAGGGCATCGGAGGTAGTATCACTGCTTTCGAGGGCGTGAGTGGGGAGTTTGAACTTGTTTGATTGTAGCTTTCGGATAGGCATGTACTTTGGCTTTTATACGATTTTCCGCTTTTTTTGTTTGTCAATCTTATCATGTGCTGCTTTGTGTTTTTTTTGGACTGCACCTTCACATCTGTCCCTTCGTCCTTCGTCCTTCTTTACAGTTGATCAATACGGGAAAAGAATTGAAAACACTCCAACACACACAAAAAAAAAACATGAGAAACCTCTCGAGTTCCTCTCTCTTCCCCCCCCCCCCCCATAAAAAGCCCATTCAAAATGCATCTTTTCTTCTTCCGCCCTTGACTCCTTTCATTTCTAGTCTCCCCAGTCGTCGTAATTACTCAAGCGGCGTTTCTGCCTCCCCCTGCCCACCACCCCTAGCAGGAAAGGAAACAGGCGAGCCTAACATGTACGTTGCATGATCTTCTCCATCATCTGCCTTCCCCCCACCATGTCCACTGCCGTCTGTATTTGCAGTCTTCTGGTTCTGGAGAGAAGACGACCGGTCCTCTCGTTTGATCTCCATGATCAAATCTTTCATCTCGTCGGCATTGAGATTGCTTGCACGTCGTCCGATTTTGAGGTTCTGGGGTGTTGGGGAGGGGTTCTCTGAGGGAGATGCCGATGGGTGGAGGTTGGGTGCGTGGAGGGAGCCGGGTAGTAGTTGATGACGAGATGCTTGGATTGTTGTTGATTGTGATGGAGAGACGGGAGCGGGAGCAGCAGTGGCGGTAAGAAGCATCAATGATGCCACGGCTGCGGAAAGATATGAAGTGTGCATATTCGATTTGGTGGCAGAGGTGTTGCAGTCGGGAACGTTGAGTTTTAAGAAGAGCGATGTAGTGGGTTGCTTAGTCTGTCGTGAGTTTGATCGTGGATCTGTGGCGTGCAAGTGAGAAATGTGAGCGGAGATGTGAGGCTGATGGAATGTGGATGAAGAGGCTCATATGTATGTCCAGGTTTGGGAGTACATGTAGCGATTCACATGGACTGCGATAGTTTTGCAGATGGGAAACATGTTTGGAGTATGAAACGTTCGTGTGAGTGTGGCTCAGCACATGTTACGGAAAACGCGAGGCTGTGTTGAGAAGGAAAAGTAGAAGGAAAAGTAGAATGAAAAGCCCCTGTGGTAGAAGCAATAAATCTATAGCTCCTGATGAAGGAGACGTATGTACAACAGGAAGTTTTCTATGATCGTTATGGAAGATTTGTGCAATGGGCGGCGGCGTTCGGTGGAGGGAGGATTGAATGCGGTGCAGCGGATCCATCTGCGACGAGTATCTTCGAGTTAAGAATTCTCGGCATTGCTTGTTCCTGTGGCCTCCTTTCTACCTTTGCTCATGTCAGATCTTGAGACGTTGGAAGGCGGCCGAGTCCCCGTGTTTTCTCGATGCACGCAATGCGTCAAGTGTGTTTCAGGACTTGGGCCTGACAGTCGCAAACACTCATGAAGCACGTACGAACCCAGAACGAAGGGCAAGCATAGTCTGTCGCTCCGAGACTTGATGCAATGTCTGCTTTGGTCGAGAGATGTATCATGAAAAGTTCTCGAGGGTCCATACTCGCACCTCACCATCGTCGCCGGTACTGATGATGATTTCCTCATCGTCACTGCGGCGGCCAGAATCACTCCTCTTTGCCCAGCTAACGTGGTTGATCTCAAAGACGTCGTGAGCATTCTCAACCTCGGCGATAGCAACCCATTCTGTCTTTGCGATTTCCTTGGGTCCGTCTGTTGTCTCTATCGTTGTGGAAGCATTGTCAGTTGCCCACTGCTCTTTATAGACTATAATCTTGCCATCGCTGCCTGTGCTGACTAGCAGACCTGTAGTTTTGCTCCAAGAGACTGAGTATACTGCACGTTCGTGTTGTTGAGGCAGAGCGGCTTCGGGGACCCATTCTTCCTCGATGGTGTTTGTTTTGATGATACTGGGCATTCTGGGGCCTGTTTGAGGGGCACCGTTGGGTCTGTCCTTGGGAATACGGCGCCAGATGCGGATGCTGAGGTCGTCGGAACAGCTGGCAAGGCGTGGACCGGCGGCTTCTCTGAGCTCGAGGAGTCGTTGCTGTTGCTCTGTGGTGGGCTTGAGATGTTGTTTTGTGGCGCCCTCGAACTCGACCCACCAGACTGTTCCGCTGTGGCCTGCTAGCACGGCACAGCAGCCCCAGTCGTCGATGTCTTCCCTCCAGAGTCTGATGTTGTCGTCGTAGCTGGACGAGGCGAGCAGTTCTTCTGACGGATGCCAGCACACGCACTTGACATCACCCTCGTGCTCTTGCAAGACAGCGACCGTCTCAAAATTGTCGTCTTCCAGCTCTTCCCAGATCCATACACTCTTATCGCGACTGCAGGTAGCGAGCAACGGCGACGTAGGACTGAAAGCCAAACTCTTGATCTCCGACTCGTGACCATCGAGGACGACAGCAAAGCGCCACTCGTCGTCCTCATCGCCACCTCCATCTTTTGTAAAGTCAACCTCGTTGTCTTCTGACTTGTTCACTTTGCCGCTGTTGCCCTCCCAGCGTCTCCAGATACCGGCGCTGGCATCGAAACTGCCAGTCGCGAGAACGCTCTCGCCTGTAGCAGAGGTTCCGCTGTCGGGCTTCCAGGCTACACTGCGAATGGAGCGTTTGTGGCCACCGGTGATGTTGCTGACGAGGTTGAAGGAGTTGAGCGAGTAGACGCGCACGCTGCGGTCACTGCATGCTGTTGCGACGATGGGGAGGTTCGGATGCGGCGACGAGAGCCATGTGCGTGTGTTGGATGCCGGTGTCAATGTCGCCAATGGGGCGATTGTGGCTTTCGTGCTCATGGTGCTTCTCTATCAATTGACGAATGATTCTAGAGGCAGCAGTTGCCTTAACAGAAGTCGAGAGATTGTGACTGCTGCCAATTATTCAAAGTACATCAGCGACCCTGCCCCGCTGTCGCAGAATCCGACCTCGGCCAATTTCTCTCACAATCTCGACTCGCTCCTTCCTCGACTTCTCCGAGAATCCGTTTCCCGCTATACACAACTATACATCATGGACAACGACGCCTCCATCTCCACCGACACTCCTAGTGGACCGACCTCAACACGCACACAGCTAAAATGGACAAACGACATGGAACAGACCTTCATCGCCACCATGAAAGCCGTGCGAGGTCCGCCCACCAAAACCGTCCCCTCTGGCTTCACCAAAGACGCCTATAAACGCGTCGCTGAAATAATCAAAGACAAATCCTCCCAACCTGAATTATGCGACCATGTGCGTATGAAGAACAAGTTGGGAGCTTTGAGAAACGATTGGAGAACATATACAAATCTCCTCAACCTGCAATGGCCAAAGCTACCCAATGGTCTACCTACCAATACGGATGAGGTGCTGGAAAACTATTACAGGGACCAAGATCCAAATGCTAGAAAGTTTCGAGCCGCTCCTTTGAGACACTTTGATGAGTTGACTGAGCTGTTTGAGTCTGAAAGGGAGGGAGAGCAGCGTCTGAATTCGCCAGCTGTAACTCCATCACTTGGAACATCTGCAAGTCTTCGCCAATCGCTGCCTCTGCCTCTGCCACACTCACCTTACCAATCCGCGGCATCGCAAGAACTTATCAGTTCCCGATTCCACACCCCTCATGCCCATCCCACTCCTCAGCGATCCTTGAAGCGACCAGCCGAATCATCCATCTCCAATCAAGCCAAACGCGTCCTCATGGGTGAGTCTGTACCTGCGCAACCACCAGCTGCAGATACACTCCGTGCCTATTACGGCAACACATCCCAGGTTTCTCCTGTGGCTGCTGCAACCTCTCTCTTCAAAGCTACCTTTTCATCACTGCCAACACGCCAAAGAGTCGCTGCTGTGAAACATTTTGCAGATCCAAATATCGCTGAGATCTTCTTGCATACTGATGATGAGGTGAGGGAAGGCTTGGTCAGGGAATGGATCATTGCAGCGGGAATTATGCCTGCAACACCTCTGAGACCCGATGCTTCTTGATCTTGACAGGCCTGGATTTTTGACTTCGATCCGGAACTTCTTCCTGGATTGGACATACTCGATGCCCAGACGGGTATTCTAAGGACTGCATACACTGTTGCACCACTCGCTATATCTCATCCCGCAATCTTCTAGGACTCTTGACTCAGAGGCCCTTTCCTCCTGGTCTTCCAAACCTCGAACATTGCTCAAGTTCTAGGCCTTGCTTGGGATCTCCCGACGACACGAAGCATACATGTTCCTTGTCCTGAACCCTCCGATCACAAACATAACAGTAGCGACAATCTCAGGCATAGATCCTGCAATAATGTTCATGTCCCATAAATGATCAACGCCATTATAGGCGAGCAAGGAGGACACCACTCCCCATACAAGCCTGAGTCCAATGAACGGCAAAGTCATCAGATTGGTACGTAGCAGCTGTCAACACAATTAGCATTGATGAAGCTCATGCGAGGTGCAAGTGAAAAAGGAAGAAACAACTTACAATTGTGCCATCCATCACCGTCTCACTGCGAGCCAAGAATGGCTGTCGCATGGATACAATGGTCCAAAGCAGCAAAACCACATACGCAGCCACCAAAACTCCCATTCCAGCTTTGATAAGCACCGACTCTGCAGTGGAAGACTCATCTTCCACCACCTTGACGATCCCTACAATCACCAATATCATCCCAGTGGTCACCACAGCATGCAAGCACCACACTCCCCTCCACTCTCTCTTCGCATTCAGATCAGCAATTCGTGCACGACGTGCTTCGTGTGATACGCCCAGCGCTGCCAGCAAAAGTGGTGAGATTGCTATACTGTTGACTATCGCAGCTGCGGTTCCTAGCGAAGCATTACGCTCGGCAGCGATGGAGAGGGCAGCGCCTGTGATGCGGATCGCGCAGAGTGCATACACGAAGTTCCAGGCGAGGAATCCCGGGCGACCATGGCGGCGCCAGATGTAGAAGGTTGGGACAATGAGGACGACATAAGCGATTATGGTGATGACGGACAGGGGGTGAGGTGAGGAGTCAGGGGAGTAGCTGGAGGAAGACATGGTGTGGTTGGGTTGACCGGAATGTGCGTTCTCGAGGACTGGCTCGAGCAAAGACTTTATATTGGAGGGTGGTGATGACATCCTGAAGATATCGGGTGGCAGAAGGTTTCCAGGGGCAGTGGTTCGAGCTGACATTGCTGACATTGTGACAGTATAATGTCGTGGAGATGTAGATTCACACCCGCAATCGTCAGAGCAAGATTTGAGGAACCCACATATCTGATATCTATGGTTGTTTGGGATACTGGATGGAGATCATTCGACATAGTATGGTTGGTCAGGTCATCGGGACGGTGGAGATCAGAAAACCGGTATGGGGTCTTGACACTGCACTAGGCTCAACGCAAGCTTGTTTCGCATACCTTTTGTAGAGTGAGTGATATGCCAATGGTCGCTTGGCAAGAGCAGATTGCAGAATTGATGGCCGCGCACTGTCGTTGAACAACTCAGTGTGACGATGGACAAAAAGGTAAGAGTGTGGAAGATGCTTGTGTTGAGAATGACGCGCTTGTTGCCAACAGCTGCTACATTTATTCTCCCAAGCAAACAAAACAAACATTATAACCAACACCTTCTCTGGAACGATCTATCCTCCTACAGTCGGAGTCACGAAGGGCATCCGAGACTGTCAGCCCCATACTCCATCCAGCGGCGATCACCAATTACCAAACGCCCCAAACTTCCACCTAGATCACCCAAAATGCACCACCAAACATCCACAACACCCATCCTTACCTCCTCTTCACCCAACCCTTAACCTTCGTCTTCCTGTTGAGCCCACGTATCAAAGCAACCAGTCTATCCAGATCCGCCTTACTTCCAGGAATATTGTGTCCGCCATCAAACTCAACCACATCCGATGAAGTGGCATGATAGATCTTGGTATGCAACATCCTCGCATGCTCCAGAAACGGATCCTGCAATCCGTGCAAATGCACACAAGGTAATTGCAGTTTCTTGCCCATAAACGCCGTCACCACCCCATCGCTGCAGGATCCTGAAAGCAAAACGCCAAAGCGCAAACCAGCCCAAGGCACATCTGCGATATCGACGTTGGTAGATGCCCATTCCACACTGTGATATTGGGCTTGACCAAGCAACATTGATGCTACAATAGTGCCTTGGGAGAATCCCATCACGGCTGTGATACTCGAGGGCTCGACATTCAATTCTCTCAACGACTTTTTGATTTGCTCATTGCAATTCACAAACTCCTCGGCCACGGATTCCAACGAGTCGTTTGCGTGGGGAGAAAACCAACTGTAGAAAGGCCCAGAGTCCACATATGCGGGCACAACTCCAGGGCCTGGTAAAGAAGGATAGGGGGCGTCTATGAAGATGAATTTGAATTGTGACTTCAAGGCAGCTCGGAGATTTCGCGTTTGTGCCGAGAAGATGTCGCCGGAGGTGCCGGTCCCGTGAAGACAGAGGATCGTAGGGAGGATGGAGGATGAGCGTGACATTGTGTAGAGGGCAGTGCTGTTTACCGCGAATGTGCTGATGCTGGTTGCTGAGTGGTGTGCTGGGTGACTTGATGAGTACACCTGACGCTTTATAGTTCTCGTTCTGAGTACGCCTGACCGTGGTTCTCTTCTTCGACCTGTGTCATGGTAGATGACCTTCAAATTGAATGTTCGTCAGATGTGACACTGTGTCATCTTGCCCGACCAAGTAGAAGTCATGAGAATGATTGCGGCAATACTATAGTCTCTGAGCTGACCTCGAACGACCAATGTCAGATTCGACTGACAACCACAAAGTCTCTATCCAACTTGTCAGATGATTGAGAGATCACTCAAGACCAGAGGGTCAGCACCAAAAGTCTTTGACTGCATCAACACCCTTTCCATTCTCCAGTCCCATCAACTCAAGAGCATCGCCTTCCTCCTCTACCATCCCAGCACTTCCTCCAACCCTCTCCTTCCTTCCCTTCTCTCCTCTGATTCATCCACCACACCCACATCCCCAAACACCACAACCATGTTCCCCACCGACCACGACTACAAAGAAGTAGTCCCAGCGATCCTCGACCTCACCGACTCGATCATAAAACTCCTACACGCCACTTCCAACCGCTCCACCCACACCAATCACACAATCTCCTCTTTGCGCACTTTGCTGCTGCGCGAGCGCAAAACCGTTCAACGGCAAAATTGTATCATCGCAGACCTGCGAGCCAAACTCTCGGGTGTGGAAGCACAGCTTTGTGCTGTGCAGCAGAGTTTGACACAAAGTAGTGTCGAGCAGAAAGTCAAGGTGGAAGAAAAAGAGGAAGAGGAGAAGGAGGAGTTAGGGCAGATGGATGAGCGGCGTCCGAGAGAAGAGGTAGGTTTGTTGCGTATCAGATGTCTATGACGAAAGACTGATACTTTAAAAACAGGAATTATCTGCTCAAGCAGCAGCGTCGACATTGTATGATTTGCAGAATATCTATTCGAGGATGGCGGAGAGATATGCTCCTGATCTTTCGAGGAAAGAGGCTGAGGAGGATAGTGATTGGACTGAGAATTCTTAGGTGGTGATGTTTATAGCAGAAGACACAGCGTTATTGTTGGAAGTATCTGTTTGGCTTTCCTCGGGGATCATCATGGGGAGAACTACATTCATCGATGTTGTCTCCCAACTTGGTTGCGTGTTCTCCAATAAATCTCACTGACGTGACAATGACCGACTCTGGTCATGGAGCTTGCACGCGAGGAAGCTGACAAACAGCCATACCTTTATGTCAAAGTCAGATGTTGAAGACACCACATCATACCAGCAACATTGACATTATGTCATCAACATCAACATCACCATCGCAAAAACCTATCACTCACACCAGCCCAAGCAAAAAGAACCAAGCTACCTTTGGGGAAAAACCTCAAAGTCATAATCGCGACCAACCAAGGCCGAGAGTCGAACTCGCGGCCCCTGGATTCTATTTACGCTAGAGCTTTTGTTTTGGTAATTTTTCCATCGAGTGGGTGCGCAGCCGTGTGGGCCACAGCACCGGATCTCTGTTTTGGGCATGGGTTTTTCTGGGATATGAAGTCAAGTGAGAAAGTGAAAGTGAATTGGAGGAAGCCACTCGAGAAATCGTCAGAGAAAGTGCCCACCAGTAGTCCAACGAGACCGATGACGAACAAGCTATTTATCATTATCATTCAGTATCTCTACCACCTTTTCGTATGCGACGTGACGACCAGGGCGCTCTTGGAATGGTACAGCAATCTGCTTGGCCTTTGCCAACATACCAGCCGAGTCATCCCCATCCACGACTTGGACAAGGGCATTACCAAGTTCTGCGCTCCCAGCATATGGAGCAGCGCCTCGGTTGCCCCAAACGCCAATCCCCAGATATTCGACACGAATCGCAAAGTCGTATGTGTCTATCCAGACGGGAAGAACGACCTGAGGGACTCCAGCACTATCCGCCGTCAGTTCTGATTGATTGTCAGGAAACGTGAACCTTACAAGATGGCCTCGTGATATGAATTAGAGCCTCCATGATGGACCATACAGACGATATTGCCCGTCATGAGAATCGCAATGGGTTGTGCGGGTAGCCACGGTTCAATCCAAACTCGCTTTTGCGCGATCTCGCTGGCAATCACATGGAGGGCATCGCCAAGATCGTCTTTCGTCTTCAGCTTCCAGAGGACTTGGATGTCGGGACGACGGTCGAGCAAAGTCTTGATTCCGGCGGCGAACTCTGCGGCTAGATGTCGATCGGCCACGATGTGGGAGCCAAGATTGATTAGAACAGTCGGACCTTGCTGTAGCCAGGTGTTGAGGTCCGGATCAGTCTTGGCAAGAGGTTCAAAGGGCCGAACAATTGGACCGCAGGGGGTAACATGCGGAGGTACGAAGAAGTCATAGTCGATGGCTGGCGTCGAGGGTAGTAGGATATGAGCATCTCCGAATCCTTCAAACATCGAGGGTATCTTTTCTGGCAGGCCACATACTTGACGATATCGTGACAGCTGGAGAAGTCTCTCATTTTGACGGCGAGAGCAAAGGAAGCGATATACGAGGTATATGTTTGCTGGCATGTATGACCATGGAAGGGGATAGGGGAAGCCGGAGGCCATACTTGATTCTGATTGTCAGCAACATCAACATCAGACGGAAATCGGACTCACGCAGGGAACTTCCACAAAGCTCCGCCACTGGGTTGACGATCCAATACAAGCTCTTTCAAAGTGTTTGGACTGAGGATCATATGCCTTTGGCCGATGGAGTTACAAGCATCAACAGCTTGACTGAACAAGGGATCGATGATGACCAGTTCAGGCTTTGTCTCATCGATGATATCGGTCGTACTGCTATATCCGATCATGTACTCGGTCCCGTTCCAGGGTGCGAAAGTTGCTGGCAGTACATTGTCGTAGGCAAAGAGAGCCCCGGCCATACCTGGTGCATGGAGATCAAGGAACTCGGTACCAGGTGGTGCGGCCTCTTTCATCGACTTGCCAGCCAAGAGATGAAATCTGGCGGTAGTAGAAGCACCATTACTAAGACGAGCAGCCGTGGCATTGAGTTCTTCGACCTCTTTTTGGAGAGCGGGAAAGGAAGCGATGTGCACTTTGTACTCAGGTCTCAACAAAAACTCATGAGCGGTAGCGAGGATGACACTGGCTTGACCCAGCTCGCTGTTGGTCACGAAGAGAATAGAGCGTCGCTTTTCCATTTTGATGTTGGCTGGTTTTGATACCGAGGGGTTGTGTTTCGCTCATGATGGGGGATGTCCATGGCTAGAAGTATGTAGAGCATCGACCCGCTATAGCCTCCTATGAGATTGTCACATCTTGTAACCATTCTCCAATTACCTATGGAGATTGTGGTTGGAAGTGACAACGACGAAGGATGGAGGAAGATGACGAGGGACCAAAGGTCAGACAGCAGGTCCGTGCTTGGTGAGCTTCGACGCAGTCGCGTTGTCATCAGTCACCAACCCTCAGTCCTCTTCGATCATCCTTGTTTGGTCATCATTGGCAATTTTTGTCACAAAGATGACTTGGATCTCGCGCCATAGTCGTCCAAGACTCCAGAGTCATCCTTCTTAGCAATGCTGCTTGTATATAGGTTATGTATGCACCGAATACCACGCTCCTTCGAGATTCGCTTTTGCGACAACGTCCAAATCTCACACACAATTGACCATGACTTCAGCAGCAGAATCTTTTGACACTCTATGTGCTCATTCTGATGGAGATTCCACCACGAAGCCAAGATCAATGTCATCTGGTAATCAGACCAGTCTTTGCAGCGAAGCTGAGAAAGATCTGGGCGTGCCTGTCCTCGAGGGTTGGCCGCTTGGTTCTACCGTGTTTGCGTACGTCAAGAGAGAAGTGCTGTCGAGATCCGGATATTCATGACCCATCAGATTGTGCCTGGCTCTGCTTCTTGCAACTCTCGACACTACCATTATTTCGACTTCGCTTATCACAATCGCTTCTGACTTGGGCCACTTTGACCAATCAAGCTGGATCCTGGTGTCGTATCTACTGACGTACTCTGGGTTTCTCCTCATATTCACCCGCCTGAGTGATGTTCTGGGTAGGAAGCCTATGTTGTTGTTCTCCATCCTGATGTTTCTCGTCTGGTCCATCGGTTGTGGCTTCTCGCAAACACTCGAGCAGCTGTCAGTTTCACGGCCCCAATGGTTCAAACTCCGGCTGATATCTTTGCAGTATCGTCTTTCGTGCTTTGCAGGGTATAGGTGGTGCTGGTATCTATGCACTTGCCTACGCGTCCGTCTTGGACGTCGTGCCATTTAGACTTGTCAGTGCAGCTTCGGGAGCCATCTCGATGAGCACTGCTTGCGCAAGTCTTCTAGGGCCTGTTCTTGGCGGTGTCATCACGTCGAACACCACGTGGAGGGTAGTATACCCGAAGAGGCGATTATCGATTTGTACTGATTCTTGCAGTGGGTCTTCTGGATCAACATCCCTTGCGGAGTGCTGGTGACAATCTGTGTCGCTTTTGTATTTCCGAATAGGACTGGAACAAGAACCCTTGGAAGAGCAACCCTACAGAAGATCGATTGGCCCGGTATACTTCTCTCGCTCACTGGGTCATCTCTCTTGGTCATCTCTCTTGAACAAGGAGGCGTGCAGTTCTCGTGGCGAAGTTTGTTTATCATTCTGATGTTGGTCGGCTCATCTCTTTGCTTCATAGGCTTCGGTGCATGGGAATATGTCTTGACTCCCAGAGAAGCAAAAATGAAGATGATGCCTCTCTTTCCGACCAGACTAGTCTCAAGCAGAGTTGTTGCAGCGACTCTTGGGTATGTACGAAAGCGCAGCATCTAGACGATGTGTACTAATTATTGCAGGACCGTCTTCTTCACTGGCTTTCCCTTTGTAGTGACCATAATGGCACTTCCTCAACGCTTTCAGATTGTTAATGGGGACACACCAGAAAATGCCGGTCTACATATGCTTCCACTCATTGGCGCAACCGCACTGGGTGCAATGCTGACAGGAACCATTACCGGCAAGTTCAATATCGCTTGGCACTTGTTGGTATTCTCGAACATCCTCATGACCATTGGTTGTGGACTCATGTCAACCTTACCCATAGATATGCAGATTGCCAAGATCTGCTACTTCTATCAGGTCGTTTTGGGGTTTGGCTTCGGGCTCACTATGGCCAGCTCCATGGTTGTCATTCGTACCGAAGTAGCTCTGAAAGACAACAGTGAGTCCTTTGAAAATGAAATGGGCACAACGAATTACTGATTGAATCAGCGGTTTCTCTAGGCGCTGTCACACAGATGCGGCAACTTGGTGGTGTCATCGGGCTTGCTGTCACCCAGGCTATCCTAAACGGTAATTTCAGGTCTCAGTTGGCCAACTTTCTGTCCGCTGAAGAGCTAAAAGCAGTGATGTTGTCGACGGCAAACATCGAGACACTAGGTACTGCGCACAAAGACCTGACGTGCCGTGCGTATGGAAGGTCCGCCAATGCTCAGATGCGTGTGGTCACGGCATTCGCAGGTGCTGCCATTCTAACGAGCATTTTTGCATGGCAGAAAGCTCCACGGGATCGCAAAGCTCTCGAGGCGGAGCGTGTTGCACTGCAGACAGGCTCCCCTACCTCAGTCGAGCTGTACAGTACCTGTGTGGCATCCATTGGCTCTTTACGGTCAAGGAGTGTCAACACAACTCCAAATTCGTCAAGGCCATCTTTAGTCCAGCGTCCAAGCTCGGCCGAAGTGTCCGTTTGTCCAGCCGAGTTTAGCCCACCACCCTACCTGACCGTCCCGGAGCTTGACGGCGGTCTCTCTTGGGCACTTCATTTCTCTGATTGGTAGATGTATCTTGACGGTGTGGTTATATTAGACGAATAGTGCGAGACTCGAAAAGAATTTGTAGCTGATCACATGCATCTGCCGCTTTGTGTAAAAGTCTTGTATGCCTACCCTCAGACTTATGAACTCTCTGTTCAGCTCAATCTGCCGTCCCACCACTATCCACTTTCGTGGCGAGGACTAAATCTAATCCTGGGCAAATTGGACGGAAAACGAAAATCTGAAATACCGTCCTCAGGGAGACATCAAGATTGAGCGTCTTTGGAAGGCTTCACGCGCGGTGCTGACACCAAACACTGCTCAAGCCTAGGTACCAAATCTTGAGAGTTGAACAACGAATGCTATCAGATATGTTCTGTCATGTCTGACGATTAAGACAACTAATGATGAGTGTCATCTTGATGACCTTTTCTCTGACAGGCGTTGGTCAAAATACGAGAGTACGTCTGACCATACTTGACGTTGCGATTTTCTCAAAAGCCGCTGCTCTCTCGCGCAACTGAAAGATCCAAGACTCCGTACGTTTCCGTCTGTGAATCACGACCACAACTTGATACCGATCAAATCATGCCTGGACGTGTCGACGACAAATGGTCGCCCTGGCCTCAGCTCACGCTTGCTACAGCAAAAGGAGTGCAGCCTGGCACCGAAGAGTATACCAAGGCCATCTTTTCTACCTATGGCGCCGAAGCCTTGAAGGGAAGCTGGATGCAAGTCTGTGAAAGACTAAAATCTGTCACAGACAACATAGCCTCACAAGGCAACTCAGTGATACCACAGATTGGAATAGAAGACTTTTTGACTGCTGACTTTTCAACAAAAGAAAAGCTCAAGGATACAGGATGCTTCATCGTCCGACAAGTGGTCTCGGAGCAACAGGCAACTGATTGGTATGATGAACTGAAAGGATACGTTGCGGATAACAAGGCTCACATTACCGGTATGTCATCTGGTCACATCGTCTATACCTCACCATCTGACTTTGTCTTGTGTCGTACAGGCATGCCAGCCGAGAACCCGTTCATGTTCAATGTCTACCATTCACCGGTGCAGCAAGCAGCTCGCTCTCACCCAAACAGTCTGGCGGTCCAGAGGGCTGTCAACAGCCTATGGCATGATGAGAGTGACCAAGAACACAAGTTCCATGAACCTCTTTCCTATGCCGATGGCTTTCGCATTCGACCTGAGAATACTGTTTTCAATGCACTACCCCCGCATATCGGTAAGTGACCTTCCAAGTATGATAAATGCTAGATGCTGACTTGCACTTTCCAGATGGCGGTAGTCTCTCTCGCTGGGCAGATCTCACTTACCGCAAAGTATACGAGCAAATCTGGACTGGCAACCCTTCTTCCTTCGACCCCTACAATCTCTCCATCCGCAAAGAGGCAAAATCCGGTCTCTTCCCAGGCACTGCTTCACAAGTCCTGCGCGCCTTCCAAGGCTGGACTGCACTCACCTCTGCAGGAGCTAACGAAGGTTCTCTTTTACTCTACCCTGACGTCAAGACCGCCATGGCCTATGTAATGCTCAGACCTCTTTTCGATGCCCCTGATAACGAAGACAATATCATGGAGGCAGAGAAATGGACATTGAATGCAGAAAGAGGATGGTTCCCTGGTACCTGGAGACATTTGCCGCAGATTGTCAGTCCGACAAGTCATCCGCATTTGAGACTTGAAGAGTGTTTGGTCAATATTCCCAGGATGCAGCCAGGCGATACTGTTTGGTGGCATGCTGATGTAAGATACCCCTTCACCCCACGCTCACACATCTGCTGTCTATAAAATGGAAAGCTGACCAAAGATTAATTCAGATGATTCATGGTGTTGATTCGCAACACACTGGAACTCATGATTCGGCGGTCTTGTACATTGCAGCTGTCCCGACCACGCCAGCCAACTCGCGATATATGCGTCAGCAAGTGGAAAACTTTAGAGCTGGCGCTCCACCTGAAGATTTTGAACGCAATGGTACAGATGAGACTAGATTTGTGGGCTATAAGGGCGAGATGGGAGTATTGAATGGAGAGGCGGGCAGAGAGGCTGCTGGTTTCGATCTCTGAGAGGAATTCTAGAGTGGTCGTTCACGGGACGTCTGTAGCTTGCGAGTAATTCGAATTATTTCTTATGGGCTCTTTCTTATATCATCTACCAGCGGACCAAGGTCTTTTTGAAAGCTTGCTGGACTCCTTGGGCTATACACTGTGTTTTGACCAAAATGGCAATTGGAAGAATCGGCGTGTTGATCAATTGTACTTTCGAGGGATGGGGTACAGGCAGCGAGTGGTATATGTTTCCGAACTTGCAACTGTAGAGCACTGTATGTACAGTGGGCTGGGGATATATGATGTGTATGATATTGCAAGGAGACAGTAATAGGATGAATCGCTTCTTGAGCGAGCCGTTGGTTGGGTGATCTGTATGTAGTAGAATGTCTCTGCGCCCCGAAGACCCCCCATTCAAAGAACTCTACAAACGCTACACGCGATAGACAACATAATAACTCCAGACCAATGACAAAAGAGAAGATCATAGCTCCATAATCATATTCCAGTCAAACGCAGAATCAAGCACCGGCGTCACAACGCCAACTTTGGCCTGTGAGTCAACACCATGCGCCAACATTACTCGAACCACGTCTTCATGACCCGCCGTAACCGCAGCATGTAACGCGGTCTCCCCAGAGTGATTCCTCACATTGATGGACTCGCATCGTTGCAGCAGTAGTCCCACCAACGCCACATCTCCAATGCGTGCAGCAAGATGTAGTGCTGTGTCCCCACTCGATGTAGTGCTGGTCACATCAGCACCTAGCTCGAGAAGGAGCTGTACGGTGCTGGTATAGGCGGAGCTGATGGCGATTTGTAGAGCAGTCATCTGTTGGCTGTTTTGTGAGTTGATGTCCGTGCCCGTCTCGACCAGGAGGCGTATGATGGAGTGATGACCATTGCGGACTGCGATGTGTAAGGCGTTGTTGCCATGATCGTTGATATCAGGAGTGCAGACGTCGCTCACTGCACCTAGTGAGTATCTGTTGAGACCATGTTGCAGTGAAGGATTGTCGCTTGAATATGCTTTGCAGATTGTTAGAATTCGATATTGATGGAAGCGAAGGACGAATGTCTTACAGGATTGTGATGACACACTGGCTGGTGGTGTCAACCGAGGCATGGTCATAGGAGCAATAGCCACAGCAACACTATCAGTCACGGGCATGCCGCCGAAGTAGTCTGTGCTCAGAAGGTTGGTTATGTCAGGTCTAGGAAGATGCGGAGTTGATTGCATCTTGTCAGGGCTTTGAAACAGTGCATTGAAGTCACTCGCATTCCAGTTTTGTAGAGACCAGGAGTCCAAGGGGTTGAGGACTGCAACTGGAGCTTCCTGGCTAACAGTTGATAGACCGGAGAGGTACTCTTGGAGTCTAGTCTTGGTTTGATCGATTTGGCACAGCAAGCTCTTGATGTCCTGGAGAGATTCGGGCCAGTCCGTTGACTTCTCCGGTCTTGGTGTGGGCTCTGGACTTTTTGATGCTGGAGATGATGTTCGCTTGGATTGGCCTCCTCGGCCTTCGAGCAACTTTAGTTTCTTTCCTGAGCTTGGTGTCAGTCTTGATCCTTGGGTTAAGAACTCGATCGAGTCACATACTGCGACTTCTTTGTGCAAGGCGATTCTGTACTCTCCTCCTCTCACTAATGTCTGTAAGTCTTGTCCAATCTTCGGAGTCAGACATTTGCTCGGCGTTTGTTTGTGAAGGTGGAGACATGTTTGCTGATTGGGTTGATGACCAGAAGCTGAGGTATGCTTGCTCTATAAATCCATATCATTTCCATACCTATACTTGTATCCTCGATCGACTGACCATGCACGGCTTTCCACCAACAGAACGCATGCTTCGACTCGAAGGAAGATGACAGCCGTGCATACAGCTCTGATCCACTGTCAGTGTCATCTAGCTATACCAGGGGTGACAGATTGTATTCCCGGTGAAGCTATGCCAGAGGATTGCGGACTCCAACAACCATTTTTGGTTCGACCAATGCTTAGCATGAGCTTCGGATAGCGGGAACAGAGTCAAGTCAACCAAGCATTAGCCCAGGAGAGTATGCAATACTGCTCAGCCTGGTGATCTGGCGTTCATCGGAAGCTATCTTTGTCTCTTCTCCGACCTGTTGGTGATTGGGGATGCTATGTTGGGGCCGGCTGGGAACGCCAACGCGCAGAGACTGCACTGATCGTGGCTCAGATGCACTATAGGAGGAGGCAGGGCTGCTTCTGCAAGACACCAACTCAGCCCCATTGGTGCGGATGGCGTTCTCCACACTTGGACGACACAACGGGATGCTCTTCACAAAAGAAAATTGATGCTGAAGCTCACACAAACATCATTTCGTACACATCGGCCAAGAGCTTTGCTCATGAGTCCTGAACAGGTGTTTTGGAAGGTGCATTCTATTTGGTTAAGATTCGCGAAGGTCTGTGCACGATCAACACAATTTCTTCCCCTCTTTCAGCTTGAGCTGGACTTAAGTCGTGGTCAAACGAGCCCCGTCGATCCTCTATCTGGCCCACAGGAAAAACTCAAGGCCTCTGAAAGCGTCCGTCCAACGAAGCATTCGCCAATACGGCAACAGTCACTTGGCAATCCTTCTCATTTACATTTTCGTGGTGCTGGAAGGTAGCTTGTGTCTCAAGCTGTGGGGCAACCAACAGGTTTCAGATCTCCAGCCTCAAGTGTTGCAGAGTTCAATCCTCGATCCATCATTGGACCGATGCGTTCGCGGTATGATCCTGCTTTGGGATGCGTGTGCTGCATCGTTCGAACCCCAGCCCGGCGAGGAAGCAGCTCTGCTATTCAGCCTGAGCAAATGCGCGAAATCAACCATGACTGACACAAATTCGGTGGCTTCAACAAGTAACAAGGATACAGGTGTCGACATGCGTTCTGTGATTCACTATACGAGGAGGTAACAGCTCTGTTTCTCGCATGCCATATCAAGCATCAACCGCCCTTCTTGCTGCCGCCATCTCTTCCTCTGAAGGCATGTTCACAACCATGAGATACAACACATTCTATCCACGTGTTAGAGGAGTGGCGTTGGTTGTACGAGGATGGACTTACCTTGGCTAGCAGCTTCTTGTATGTGCGAATTGGGCCAGCAATGATTCCTTTCTTCTCACGTCTGAACGTCTGCTGTCTCTGCTCGGCTGCAAGTCGATCCCATTCTGCTCCTTGCTTCTCTCCTCTGGCCGCTTGGCCGATCACAGATGCGAGGCCTCCTATCAAGCCTTTCGAGTTAGGACCGGGAATTAGTTTACCTCCAGAAACAAAGGAGATTAGCGATCCACTGGCTGCCGCGTGATTAGGGTCTGCGTATCGAGAATTGAACTCGCCTTGAGGGACCTGCGCCAGCACACTGTTGGGATTTTGCATGGACTGGATGGGTTAGCTGAAAGTTATCAGGAACAACAAAGCGGTACTCACGTATTCTGCAGTGGCTCTCTTGTCCCAATAGTTTGCAACAAAGGTCATACCTTTCGCCACGTTACTCTTCTTCTTTGCTGCATCGGGTCCGGTTTGTGCTGCCAGTTCATCCAGAGTGGGAAAGATGAGTGGTGCCACTTCAGGGAATGCCAACTCGCCGTATGTAGTTCCGTCAGATGATCTGAACTTATCACCGACTTTTGCAACACCCTTGGTTTCTTGCTTCATGGCTGCGACAGTCTCGTTGATATTGACTTGCTCCACCCTGTTTCTTGAGTCGGGATTCCATGTCATGATCAGGCAGTACAATCCGCGAGGCTGGAAGAACTCCTCGTTAAGTTTGCGCAAGGCTGTACTTGTTCTAGAAGCAGTCAGATTGTAAAGCCGCCGGGAGATATTCTGACAGCATACCTGAACCGAGCTTGCATCTCAATAGCGATGTTGGTGGCTTGCTGAATCGCATACGACACGGCAAAGCCAATAACGTGAGGCATAAACATTGTGCCAATGGAGGCAAAGTTGATGGCGTTCAGCCAAGGATCAGCAGCACTCGATTTCTGCAGGGTGTCGAGAAAGTCGAGCCAGGTAGGCTGGTCAATGCCTGCACTCTGTAGTACCGGCGCGTACGCTCGAATGAAACCTCGTGAGCGGTCCTTTGGTCGACGCTGTGGAATCACGACTGGAAGTTCGAGCCGGCCAGCGACGTTAGAGCTAGGTTGACGGCCATGTTTCTCTAGGAAAGTGCGTTCGGGGTTTGCATCGACTGCACCTTGACCGTGTTGTCCGGCGATTTCGTCTTGGGCGTCGTCCAGATCCCACTCATTCTGCAGATCATCTCCAGCTTCGTCTCCTCGTTGCGTCGAAGGCACATCTTCGACTGCTTGTGCACTGTCCGAACGTGTAGCGGTAGCTGGCGTATCTTTCTCTGGACTCTGACGGTCTGCTTTGCGCGCCTTGATACTTTCAGATGCCAACCCTACCGCCCCGGAAACGCTTCGGATGCCGGCGCGGACGAGGCCGCCTTTGCGGCGCCCGTTCTCTTCAATATCGCGACGAACCATGATGTTGAGGTTTGCACACAAGAATTTGACAGAATTTGTGTTGGTTTTGACAATCCAGAAAGAGCAAGAGCTTGATCATGTAACAAACACGAATGCAACAAAGGATGAACCCAAGCTTATGGTGAACCAATCCAAGCTTTAGATTAACCGCTGTCGGGCGGAGCAAGGGTTTTGTGGCTTGAAACAGCCGCACACTGCAGGCCTGATTATGAGGATTCTTATCAACCTTTATTTTAGGCCACGTTGAACATCAATCTACTTTCAACTAGATCCCTCGCCACGATCCTTCCCAGTCAATCTTACATCCCCTTCGAGGTCGATGCACACGCTGACAAGTCAGCTCCCTTCTGTCAGACTGAGTTTCTACCATACTCAACCTCTGTAGAAAATGGTAATCAAGTCGTCGTCAAGCAGCGACCGACTATATCATGTGTTGTAAGTGTTAGTGATTCAGAATCTGATCATCACAATCGCTAGGTCAATATGAGTTCCTCTACCTTACTGCTGCTCTTGTGTGCACTTTCGCTTTTCTATCTCGTTGCGAACATCATCCTTCGCAAAATCACTGCCTCTCGATTCAAATCACACCACTCATGCCTAGATCCTCCTGCCTTGCCTCAGCGTGAGCGCATCATTGGACTCGATCTGCTTAAATCAGGTGCTGCCGCGGTCAAAGCAAAGAACAGTCTCGAATGCGCAGTCCGCCGTATCGAGTCCACGGCCAACACCTATTCCAACACGATTTTGGGACTCAACATCATAACCACCATCGATCCCGCAAACATCCAGACTATACTTGCACAAAAGTTCAGCGACTATGACCTTGGAGGAAGAATTCATGCCTGGGGCCCACTCGTTGGCAAGGGCGTATTCACCTCCGATGGTCCAGAATGGGCTCACAGGCGAGCGATGATCCGACCAAATTTCTCCAAGCAGCAAGTCGCCAGCTTAGGCATGTTCGAGAGACACTTTGGACACCTTCTAGCGCTACTGCCTCGAGATGGATCAACGGTCGACCTGCAAAAATTGTTCTTCAGCATGACTCTTGATTCAGCTACAGAATTTCTGTTCGGTCAATCAGTTGGAGCCCAAGGCGCGGGATCTGGAAGCGAAGCTGATCGCTTCCAACGTGCATTTGACTTTGCTCAACATCAGATGCCTGACCGTAATCGTTTGGGCGTCATGAATCGCTTCATCCCAAACGCCAAGTTCAAAGCTGCTTGCAAAGTCGTACATGCATGGGCAGATACATATGTCGAGCAGTGGTTACGCAGCAGGGATCTCGAGTCGCCGAAGCCTAACAGTGAGAACAGCAAGTATGTCTGCCTCGAGCAGATCGCCGACCAGGTCCAGGATCCCAGGCAGCTCCGCGAGGAGATGTTGAATGTCTTGCTTGCTGGAAGAGACACTACTGCGGGTCTGCTTTCCAACACATTTCATGTCCTATCCCGTCACCCCGATGTCTGGGAGAAATTGAGAGCAGAAGTCGACACACTGGAAGGAAGACTCCCGACCTATGAAGACCTCAAAAGCCTCAAGTATCTCAAATGTGTCTTGTGCGAAGGTACGCTTTCACATTCTTCACTCTTCTCGAGACCGTCTAACATGCTGCATAGTCCTCCGCCTCTATCCTCCTGTGCCAACAAATGCACGTTGTGCGAAAGTCAACACTGTTCTACCTACCGGTGGCGGCCCCACACGCACATCGCCTGTCTTTGTGCCCAAGGGCTCGATAGTTGTTTACTCCATCTATGCCCTTCAACGTCGCCAGGATATCTATGGACCCACAGCCAAGCAGTTCATTCCTGAGCGCTGGACCTCCGACTCACCTGACGATCCTCTAAGGCCAGGCTGGGGCTACATCCCATTCAGTGGCGGCCCAAGGATCTGTGTTGGTCAGCAGTATGCTTTGACTGAGGCTAGTCACACCATTGTCAGGATGTGTCAGAACTTCAAGGAGTTGCAATCTAGAGATCAAGGGCCATGGAAGGAGGGTCTAGGACTGACATTGTGCAGTGGTGAGGGCACACATGTTGGATTGGTCCCTGCTTGATGAGGGACTGTTAGAGTTGTAGATAGTATGGCGGTTCGCATCCTTACAGGACTATATTATGCGATATAGTATCCCCGACTTGTGGCCGATTTATCTCCAAGATTGCCTGTAGTCGAATATACAGATATGATACGGTAACTACCATCCAAGGAAGGTTCAGTCATGTCAAGAGATACTGTACGCATCGAATTGAGCTCTCATGTTTCAACTTCAAGATGCAGCTTCAACAGATTCCTGCAAGTTGCCATTTTAGTACTACGAGAATCTTACAAACCTCAATCTCGAGCCATCTCGAAAACGTAAATTCGATGTTTCGACGCCATCAGAATGCGTTAGCCCCAAGAAGAAAGCTCTCTCGAAGCAAACATTAACCACTGAGTAGTTGCAGACATTCACAACCATTATATCTTCGTTGCTTCATCTCCTATAGCTATAAGATACCATTCGAGTGCTGTTGAGCGGAGCACCCTGGCAATGATTCGGCCTTGGCAGCCATACCGATAACGTATTGCTAAAGATGAAATGGACCTGTTAATGGCCTGATTCACATCATCTATTTACGCTCTTTTGCGTGGTCATTAGACTTGGAAACTTCACACGGAGTCTCACTCAAGTTTGTATCTAAAGGTGCGAAGTCAAAATCATTTTGCTTCATACGACGAGTACCTGAGACAAAGAGATGATACTGGAACAGCGGCATCTGCCGCCGACGTGAATACAGAAAACGCGAAACTCCCCAGCCACGTCTCTTATTCCTTTGCGACTGTCGTGAAGACTAACTTCTCTGCGCTGATCTCCTTACGACGCAGAATATCAACGCTATCGATGACCGCCTCCAGACCGCCGTCGCTGATTCTTGCAGGATGAGTCTTGATCTGACCATCCGCAAGCAGCTTCTCCATTGAATCGAAAAATGGAATTGCGGACTCTGACAACTCTGGATCTGCCTCGCTGGTGAATGGCGCTGGCCAATTGCAAGGCATTCCTGTGATGCGGAACGCGACGACCCAGTCTGACTTGACTAGCTTACGCGTGGCTGCGACGTGAGCAGGGTACGGATCCATGCCGATGTAGCGACCGCCAGCGCGACCGATAGATTCGTAACAGATCTTCATGCTCGACTCTTCGGTGATGCAGTCGATGGCATACCCCAGACCGTTCTTGGTGTACTTCTTGATGTCTGCACCGCAAGTGGGGGAGCGGTAATCAAAGACAGCTTCGGCGCCAAAAGACTTTACGAATTCGAAGTTCTTAGGCGAGCATGTCGTAATAGGTCTGAGACCAGCTCTGTTCGAGAGTCAGACGAGAAACTGTAGAAGCCAAGGAGGATCGACATACCTTTTGAGAATCTGGATCACCATGGTACCCACTGATGTGCTACCGCCATATACAAGAATCGGGAAGGACTTCTCAGCCGGCTTGTCGATCAATGACATGGGAATCTCCATTGACCAGAAGACGGCCAGTATTGTCGTGTTGATGGCCGTGGGCAGAGTGGTAGCGGTCTCAAACGACATATAGTCAGGAATTCGCAGAGCCAGCTCGCCGGGAAGTAGTGTGTACTCGGCGAAGGCACCACCTGAGGGTCGCTCAGGATCCATGCCACAAGCGCTGCCGCAAACTCGCTCCCCGATGGCCCAACGCTTGCGAACAGCAGAGCCCACGGCTACAACTATCCCAGCACAGTCGAAACCGAAAATTGCGCCAGGCGTCACGAATTCGCCCGTCAACTTGGTGTCTACGGGATTCAATGCGACCGCGTGTACTTTGATCAAGATTGCATTGGGCTCGAGATGTGTGACGGGTTGATCGTGCACGATTGTAAAGTTCTTGTCAGGACCCGCCACGATGGCCTTCTGCTTTTGAGGTATTTCGATGGTTCGTGCCATCATTTTCGGTGTTGAATTTGAGATGAGTCGAAGGTATTGTTTGAATTGAGGAGAGGAGTTGTCGATGACAATGATCATGTGAGAGATAGTAGGTCGAAGTTGAGTATGAGATCATGGCCAACTTCTTACCTACTGAGAAAGTCTTATATGCTCTAGGCGATCTTTATGAATGTCAGTCTGACCTGGAAATCATCTATGCTGACAGTACGATATGCAGGACAGATTGTCCCACGTTCTTACAAACAGCAAGCAACTGACTGCGGCTACCAAGACATGCCGCAAAATTTGGCAGTGCTTGAACGAAGGATCGCAGGAAGGATGCGAGAATCCACCAACAACTTTCATTTAATGCTTTATAGTGCTGCTTGTCATATTTTTGGCAACACGAGCATTCAAGAAACCAAGCCTCAGAAAGGAAAAATGGAACGGGCCCTTCCGGTGTCCGTGCACGCCTCGGCAAGCAGCTTGCAGCTCGAGCCGAAGCTTGGTGTTCGTATTCCGTCCTTCCAACCTGCATCCTGAGCCTCCAGCCTCAGTCGAAAGTGTCAGCCATCGTCAGGCCTACTGTCATATCGCAGAGATCCAGTGGTTGTGACATGGTCATAATGTATACCACGAACATGCGGATCTCTGCAGAGACGCGACGGTATATAGACGTTGGTCCGCCCATCTCAGTATCACCTCCATCATCACAATCCAAACGACACTTCCTAAAGCAATACACATAATTTTCAAAGCAATTCTCGCTTTCACAAGCCTCATTCAGTTTATATCAGGACCGAAGACCTACTCAACTCTTATCGACTACTTACACAATGCCTTACAAGAACGAGCCCATCGCCATCATTGGCAGCTCCTGCCGCTTCGCCGGCCCAGCTACATCCCCTTCCAAGCTCTGGGAGTTGCTCAGAGAACCTAGGGACGTCTTGAGCAAAATTGATCGCTTCGATGCAGATCACTTCTATCACCCCGATGGCCACCACCACGGAACCAGCAACGTCAGACATGCGTACATGCTTGAGCAAGATGCAAAAGCTTTTGACGCTTCATTCTTCAACATTCAAGCTGGCGAAGCCGAATCCATCGACCCTCAACAACGACTGATGCTCGAAACAATCTATGAAGGTCTCGAGGCTGCTGGACTCACACTTGACAGTCTACAAGGCTCAGACACTGCCATGTTTTCGGCTGTCATGTGCGAGGATGCTTCTGGTATTGCTTTCCATGACAATGAGTCGATTCCTAAATACGCTGCTACTGGAACGGCTCGAAGCATGTTAGCCAACCGCATGTCATACTTCTTCAACTGGAACGGTCCTTCTATGACAATTGATACTGCCTGCTCATCATCTTTGGTCGCTGTCCACCAAGCTGTTCTCTCGCTGAGAGCTGGTGAGTCACGTATTGCAATCGCAGCTGGAACAAATATCATTCTCAGCCCGCGCAACTTCATCGCAGAGAGTAATCTCAACATGCTCTCACCTGACGGAAGGTCTCGCATGTGGGATGCAAATGCCAATGGATATGCTCGTGGAGAGGGTGTTGCATCTGTTATCCTGAAAACTTTGACACAGGCTCTTGCGGATGGAGACTCGATTGAGTGCATCATCCGCGAGACCGGAGTCAATCAAGACGGACGCACACCCGGTATTACCATGCCCAGCTCTGATGCACAATGTGCTTTGATTCGCTCAACCTACCGCAAAGCCGGCCTTGACCTGACCAAAAGCTCTGACCGACCTCAATTCTTCGAAGCCCATGGAACTGGCACCAAGGCTGGAGACCCTCAAGAAGCGAGAGCCATCTACAACTCTTTCTTTGCCGATACTGGAGCTCAGGATGAAATTCTCAATGTCGGATCAATCAAAACCGTGGTCGGCCACACAGAAGGAACTGCTGGAATTGCAGGATTGATCAAGGCCTCGCTCGCGATCCAAAACCAGACCATCCCTCCCAATATGCTGTTTGAGGCCTTGAACCCTGATCTTGAAGTTTATGCTCAAAATCTCAAGGTACCAACTAAAGCCTTGCCTTGGCCAACGCTTCCAGCTGGCACGCCTCGTAGAGCCAGTGTCAACAGCTTCGGCTTTGGCGGCACCAATGCTCACGCCATTATCGAGGCGTACGAAGCCACCGAGGATCAGGTTTCCAGAGCGGTCGCAATCCCTTTCACTCTGTCTGCCCCGTCCGAAAAGGCGCTTGCCATGCAGCTGAGTACTATGGTAGACTTCTTGCACGAGAACAAGGATGTCGACCTTTCGCAGATGGCATTGACACTGGCACAACGTTCTACACTGACCATAAGAACAGCGGTCTCCGCACTCACTAGCGAGTCGCTTGCTGAGAAGCTTGAAGCCAAACTCGAGGCGAGAAAGTCCAACAACACTCCCATTGGAAACAGGGCTGCAAAAGACTCGAACGACAACATCCTCGGCATTTTTACGGGTCAAGGTGCTCAATGGGCTGCTATGGGCCGCGAACTGATCCTGTCATCGGTATTTGTCGAAGATATTGTCGATGAGCTCGAGCAATCTCTAACCCAGCTACCTGAGTCCAGCCGACCCGGATGGTCGCTCAAGTGTGAGATGTTGGCTCAGGGTAAGGAATCACGCATTGGAGAAGGCCTGATGTCCCAGCCTCTCTGCACCGCTGTTCAGATCATTCTGGTCAATCTTCTAATCAAAGCTGGTGTCTCTTTCAGTGCAGTCGTCGGCCACTCCAGTGGTGAGATTGGTGCTGCATACGCCGCCGGCTTCATCTCTGCTCACGACGCCATTCGTATTGCCTACTACAGAGGTTTCTATGCCAAGTTTGCCAAGGGAGCTAATGGAGAGAGAGGATCTATGCTTGCTGTCGGAACATCCATGGAGGATGCTGAAGAGCTCTGCGCACTGCCTAGTCTCGAAGGCCGCATTCAGATTGCAGCTTCCAACTCATCCTCTAGTCTAACTCTTTCTGGAGATGAGGATGCAGTGGTCGAGGCCCTTGAGATCTTCAAAGATGAGAACAAATTCGCCAGGCAGCTCAAAGTTGACACGGCCTATCACAGTCACCATATGATTCCGTGTTCGGACAAGTATCTTCAGTCCTTGATGGACTGTGACATTCAGATCCTGACCCCTCCTGAGAATGCTCCTAGATGGTTCTCTAGTGTGTACGGCGGCGATCAGATGTCCGAAGACAACGATGATTTGACTGGACGATACTGGGCTGAAAACATGCTGCAGCCTGTTCTGTTCTCACAGGCTCTGACTGCTGCTCTGGACGAGGCTGGTCCTCCGGCTTTCGCTATGGAAGTTGGCCCGCATCCAGCTCTCAAAGGACCAGCAACCGCTACCATTGAGGAAGTCACCGGCAATGCTGTTCCATACACTGGTACTCTATCACGCAACGGTAACGACGTCGAGTCTCTTGCCGAAACACTCGGCTTCACCTGGGCACTCCTCGGTCCCTCAACTCCCAACTTCAAGGCCTATAATGCGTTATTCGGCAACATTGGACAGAAGCTCATGAAGAGCCTGCCTCAGTACACATGGGACCACGACCGCACCTACTGGTACGAATCTCGCATCTCGAGGCTCTTCCGTGCTCAGCGTCCTCAAGCCAGCCATGAAATTCTGGGTGTTCGCATGGACTCCGAGCTTGAAGGGGAGTACCGCTGGCACAACTTCCTCAAGCCAAGCGAGATCTCTTGGCTGCGTGGTCACACAGTGCAAGGTCAGGTATTATTCCCGGCCGCTGGTTTCGTAGCTTTGGCAGTGGAAGGATCCAAGACCATCACTGCTGATGAACCGGTCGCGCTCATCGAGCTGCATGACTTTAGCATTCACAATGCTTTGGCCATTGCGGACGAGACTTATGGCGCAGAGATAATCTCATCGATCAAGAGCATTACCAGAGAGGATGATATAATCACCGCTCAGTTCAGCTGTGACGCTTGCACAAACAGGGATACTGGAAGCCTGTCCAGCATGTCTACCGGCAAGCTTGTGATCAGAATCGGAGAGCAGTCTCAGTCGGCTCTCCCAATCAGACCCACCCCTGAACACGAGCTGAGGAAGGTCAACGTCGAGAACCAATACGCTAGTTTCCAAGACATTGGTTACAACTACAACGGTATTTTCAAGTCGATAACCTCGCTCAAGAGAACTACCAATTTGGCCATGGGCAAGATCCTTGTTCCAGAGGATGCTACTGGCTCCGATGCTTCGCTCATGGTCCACCCTGCAGTTCTTGATGTGGGTCTACAGGTCACCTTATGCGCCATCGGTGCGCCATTCGACAGCCGTCTATGGACTCTGCACGTGCCCACTGTGATCAGAAGAATCAAGATCAACCCTATGGCATGCCCTGCTGAGGGTGGCCGTGGATCGGAAGTTCTTGCTAATTCTGTGCTCGCAAAGCAGGAGCCTGGCGACCACGGTTTCACCGGAGATCTTTCCATCTATGATCCCGCCGGTAAGAACTGCTTTGTCCAGCTCGAAGGTGTCAGGGTTGAGGCTCTTGGTCGTCCCAGCAAAGCTACTGATCGCCACATGTTTGCAGAGTCTGCTTGGTCTGTTCTTGAACCCGATGCTAGTATTTGCTTCTCGGGCACTTCTGAGACCGAGTCGCAGAAAAGTTTGTGCATGCTGGTCGAGCGTGCCTGCTTCTTCTACCTCAAGCAGCTCTGGGAGACCATCACCCAGGAAGAGCGCAAACGGTGCGATGATGATCGCTTGGCAATCCTCAACTGGGCTGAACATCTGGTCTCGACCACCGCTGAGGGCTCACACCCACATTTGCAATCCGAGTGGATGAACGACACCGAAGAATCGCTCAAGCCTCAGCTTTTGGCAGCCGCCGTAACATACGACGACATGCGCAAAGTCATGTTCGCTGGCGAGATGTTGATTCCATTCGTTCGTAACCAGGTCAATATGCTCGAGGAGTTCAAGAACCACAACCTCCTTGACTGGTTCTACAAATCATCGACCGAAATTGCCGACTACAACGCGTGTATGGGTGCGGTAGTCAAGCAGCTCACCCACCGCTTCCCTTACATGAAGATTCTGGAAATTGGCGCGGGAACTGGCAGTGCAACCCAAAGTATCATCAAGGAGATTGGCCAGAGCTACTCCTCTTATACTTACACCGACATCTCTGCAGGCTTCCTCCACGATGCTGCCGACCTTTTCAAGGATCATGGCAATGGCTTTACTTACAAGGTCCTTGATATCGAGCAAGATATTGTTGAGCAAGGATACACCGAGGGCACATATGACTGTGTTGTTGCCAGTAACGTCCTGCACGCAACAAAGTCGCTCGATCAGACTCTCAGCAATGCTCGCAAGTTGTTGAGACCTGGTGGCTACCTCGTCATGCTTGAGATTACCCAAGTCGACTGGCTGCGCACTGGTCTCTTCTTCTCTTGCATTCCTGGCTGGTGGGCTGGTGTTGAGGATGGACGTCCCTACACTCCATTGGCTACTGAGGCACAATGGGACTCAGTCTTCCGTCGCACAGGCTTCTCAGGCATCGACAGTGCGACTCCTTCAAGCAAGACAATCATGGGTCCCTACTCTGTGATGGTTACACAAGCACTGGACACTCGCATGGAAATCATGAGAACACCGCTTGCCTTAGCTCCCGAGAAGCAGCTTTGTGAGAAGCTTCTCATCGTTGGAGGCGAGAAGCCCTCAACTCTGCACATCGCTCACCAGGTGGAAGCGCTTCTGCAACCATACTACGGTTTCATCTCAATCGTCACGAAATTGCAAGATGTTGGTCAGCATAACTTCTCAGCCAAGCATGCTCTTCTGTCCCTGACTGAGCTTGATGAGCCTTTGTTCAAGTCATTTAGCGAAGAGAAGTACCAGGCTATGCAATTCGTCCTCGACGAAGCTCGCAACGTCCTCTGGACCGTCCAGGGATCCAAGACCCAGAACCCTTACGCCAGAATGATGATGGCCGTTGCTCGATGCTTGGCTGGTGAGCGTAGGGATGCACTCTACATGCAGACTATCGACTCCGACATTGACGAGTTGCCTCAACCTCGCCTTCTTGCGGAGACAATGCTGAGAATGCACATTGCCGAACAATGGAGAAATGCAGCCTATGAGCCGCTATGGTGTCTCGAGCGCGAGCTGCACGTGAGCAACGGTATTCTTGAGATTGAGCGCTTCGTCCCCAGCACAGAGCTCGATGACCGTTACAACTCTGACAAGCGCGAAATCAAGAAGGCTATGCCTCTGAGTTCTACAGTTGTTGCAGTCAGCCAGGCTAAGTCTGCTTACCAGCTAAAGGAAGTCTTTGACATGCCATTCCGAAAGGAAGCCATCAAAGATGCTGAGATGGTTACCTTGAATGTCCGTAAGTCTTTCATCAGTGCTGTCAAGGTAAAGTCGGTCGGCTCTCTATTCATCGTTTCTGGAACCAACGCCGAGACTGGAAAGAAACTACTGGCCTTCTCGCAGACCTTGCAGTCTTCGGTGTCTGTGCCAAAGACATGGACTATTGAATGTGATGTCGCAGACGAGTTTGAGAGCAACATCGTATTGGCTGCCGCCACTTACAGTGCTGCTGATGCAATCATCGGCAAGACTAGCTCAAGAAGCTTCTGCTTGGTTCATGAGGCCACTTCAGTCCTCGCAAGAACTTTGCTCAAGGTCGCGGCTGAGAGGGAGATACCGATGCTCCTCACCTCATCGAAGTCGTCGGAGAGCATGTACCATTATATCCATCCTTCTACTTCTCAAGCATTGATCGAGTCGCACGTCCCTCGGACTGTCTCGGTGTTTGCCGATCTGTCTAGCAGCTCAATCGAAGAAGATGCCCTTGGCCACCGCATTGCACGCGAGCTCCCTACTGCATGCAAACGTAGAGACATTTCAGCTGTTTTCGGCAACGATGGGTTCATTGACTCGGAGCTCGATATCGAACAGATCCTTCGCAAACAGTACGTCCGTGCAATGAGTGATCTCGGATCGTTCCAAAACTCTGAGATTGTCTCCTTGGCCAGTCTGCCTGGTACTCCGGTTCTGTCTGCCAGCCTTCGTGTTGTTGACTGGACCGCTGAGGCATCGGTTCCAGTCTCTACTTCACTTGTCAATGAGCAGCTTCGTTTCCGTCCTGACGGTACCTACTGGATGGTCGGTGCCACTGGTGAACTTGGCTTGTCTACTTGCCAGTGGATGGTCAACCGCGGCGCCAGACACTTCGCTCTGACAAGCAGAAACCCCAAAGTTGAGCAAGCTTGGCTGAACACCATGGCTAGTCAAGGTGTATCAGTCAAGATCCTGGCTATGGATGTCACGAGTAGAGACTCGGTCCGGGGTGGCTACAAGGAGATTTGCGACACCATGCCTCGCATTGCAGGTGTGACCAACGCCGCCATGGTTCTTGATGATAATCTCCTAGCCAACATGCCTTACGAGTCATTCGCAAAGACGCTCAAGCCAAAGGTGGATGGCACCATTTACCTCGACGAGTTGTTCCCCGAGAACACCCTTGACTTCTTCATTGTGTACTCTTCTTTGGCTTATATTGCTGGCAACCATGGTCAGTGTCCCTACGCAGCAGCAAACGGTTTCATGACAGCTCTGGCTGCCAACCGTAGACAAAGAGGTCTAGCAGGTAGTGCCATGAGTTTTGGCGCCATCTCTGGAGTCGGCTACGTCGAGCGTCGCAGTGTCGATATTAACCTCAGCCAGAAGATGAGCAACTTGGGCTATGCACCCGTCTCCGAATGGGACTACCACCAATTCTTTGCAGAGGCTGTACTCGCCTCGCCTTCTGACTCTGGCAGAAACTTCGAGATCTCCAGTGGTTGTAAGGTCTTTGACGTGGCCAAGGAGCCCAACTTGCCTTACTGGCTCGACTTGCCCAAGTTCGCATACTACCGCCGTGTCAAGGCTGATGCATTCGCCGAACAGAGCGACAAGCGCCAGGTCTCTGTCCGTGCACAACTCAAAGAGCAGACCACCGAGGAAGGCGTGCAGAAAGTCGTCCTTGACCGCTTCATCTCTGGTCTGTGCACTATGCTGCACATTAGTGAAGACGAAAGCAGAGTCACTCCCGAAACTGGTCTTACCGAACTCGGTATCGATTCTCTGGTTGCTGTTGAGATCCGCAGTTGGTTCCAGAGCGAGTTGGACTTGGACATGCCCGTGTTGAAGATCCTTAGCGGTGCTAGTATCGAGAAGATGGTGGAGGATGCTTTCGAGAGGCTATCACCAGAATTGACTCCTGAGTTCAAGAGAGAGGGTAAAGTGGTGGAGGTGGAGGCAGTGCAGGAGAAAGTGGCTCCTAGTGAGGAGAGCTATCAGAGCGAGACGCTTTTGTCGTCTGCAGACGAGTCGGACAACTCGAGCAGCGATGGAGAGGAGGCATGATCTTTGGGCGATTTTTTCTTTGGGGCTTATAAGCGCGAATTGTAATTCTGATCAAACATATGTGTACCTGTGTGCCTTGCTCTTTGTCATCTGGTGATTGCTGATATCTGTATGGTGGAGGTTTGAGCGTCTGTCTCCTGGATGACTTTTGCATTGACATTCCTCAGTCAAAGACGGCACTGAGAGTCAGGACGTTGTTGGTGAACACGCCTTAGCATGTGAAAGAGTCTGGATGCTTGTCCGAGTGCCGAGAAAGAAACAAGTTTCGACGACGAGATGACGAAACGTGTCAGAAAAAGGAGTCGCGTGGAGGTCGGGTGCGGGGAAAGCTTTGGTATTTTCCACTGCAAGCGACCACCTGCCTGTTGCGTGTGACCAAGGTGCAGGACAAAGGCATGATTGGCGGTCGGCAAAGGATGGAGAAGTCAAAACTCTGCTACTGCGCGTGCCTGCAGGCTCAGCTTCCACTGCATGCATGCAATTTGCTCCGACAATTGCACCGACAGTCTGGATAGGGAAGGAGCCTCAGTTCGGGAAGGAGATTCCAGTGATATAACAAGATGCTTGGATCGCCAGCTCTGCAGGTTGTGCTCAACTCATCCTGCGACATGTTGCTCAGAAACATCGCTACACCGCTGGGTGGCCTGTTGGCCTTCTGTCCCTCTTCATCATTCGCTCAAAACACTCCTTGTCAGACCACCACGGTGCAAGCATCAGTGCCGACCAGCTCCAACGTCGCCCTCAACTCCTACTCGTACTGTGGCGGTAACCTGGATGTCTCTGTCTACATCGCCAATGTCAACTACAACAAAGTGGTCACTCTGTATTACACGGATAGCCAAGGTGTTTCTACACCCTTGACATCACTCGCACTCGGCTACAATTCCAGCATCCCAAACACCAATTATGAGTTTTGGAGTGCAAACACCCCGGTCTATCTGGATGGCATCACTGAGTTGCTCAACCTGACTTACGTAGCCAAGGATATCGGTCAGACCTATGTCCAACAACTGCAGCTCCCCGTCAAAGCTAGCGGCAATGCCCCTCCTTCTCCTGCAGCTATCCCAGCACCATATGCAACTCCAAACGGCTTTGCTGACGACATTACTTCATGGTTGGCTCCCACGAACGGCTCACAAGCCGACTTTTCCAAGTCGCGCATGTTCCTGAATATCAACCCTGATATCGATGGTGCTGCTAAGGGCACTGTGGTCGCTGCTCGATCCGGACCTTCGTACGATCAGAAGCTTCCGGACTACGAGTATGACTGGGTCCGTGATTCTTCGCTAACTATGGATGTTGTCCGATCCCTCTACGCTGCATCAACAGTCGACAAGTTTACCCGCAAGTACAAGGATGCCATGTTCCACTACGCTGAAGGTAGAGCGGTCGAACAGAACGACCCCTCCCTCACCTTCGCTGGTCTTGGAGAGCCCAAGTTCTACCTGAACAACACCGCTTTTACTGGTCCCTGGGGTCGCCCTCAGAACGATGGCCCCGCCACTGCAGCCATCACGCTTATGGACTTTGCCAATGACTACATGGAGAAAGGTGGAAGTTTGTCCTCGGTTCGCGACCGCATCTGGAACTCAACAGCCAATCCTCTGAAGGCGCCAGTCATGAAGGACCTGTTGTTTGTGGCCAGCAATTGGAGCTCGCCCAGCTTTGATCTGTGGGAAGAGGAGGAAAGTACACACTTCTATACCCGCCTCGTCCAGCGACGTGCTCTGGTCATGGGTGCCAAGTTTGCAACCATGTTCGGTGATTCGGCAACCAGCAACACCCTCTCGTCGGCAGCCACTCAGCTTACTGCTACACTTGACCAGTTCTGGAGCCCGAACAGGAAGCTAATTCTTTACGAATACGGCCCTGTATTGGCCGGCAAGAATTCATTCATCGACATTGCTGTTATTCTTGGTGTTATCCATGGATATGCTGGCGATGGCGTATACTCGTACACCAACGACAGAGTCCTTGCTTCAGCTCTGAAGATCTCGACAAGCTTCCTCGACGTCTACCCGATCGCCAAGACAGTTCAGGATTCGAAGAGTCTCCCCCTCGGCATCCCAATTGGGTAAGATACAAAACATCACTTCTCTGCTTCTAGACGCTGACACTTACTTTAGCCGCTACCCCGAGGACGTCTACAACGGTGTAGGAACTTCACCAAATGGAGGGCAAGTCGTATTTCCAGTTCATGCAGAAAGCGTCTACTGACATCAAACCAGCAACCCATGGTATCTGACCACTGCTACCATGGCCCAATACCTTTACTCAGTTGCATCTGAGTATCAGAACGCGGGTAGTCTGACAGTCAACAATGTTACTGCGCCATTCTTCGCCTACTACGCACCAAAAGCTGGCCTGAAGTCAAGGACCTACTCCTCGGATACCAAAGAGTTCGCCTCAGTAATTGCAAGCCTGAAGGGCTGGGGCGATGCCTATATCCGTCGCATCAAGTATCACACACCAGCCGGTGGTAACCTAGCCGAAGAGTTCAACCGCAACGACGGCCACGCCCAAGGAGCATACGACTTGACCTGGAGTTATGCTTCACTCCTTACCGCTGCCTTTGCTCGTGCCTCGTTGTCGGGCGATGGAAGTTACGTCCAGAAGATTGCAGCTCTCGCATATGAATAGCCTACTTGTGTCGCAACGGTTGCATGGTCATGGGAGTACAGCACTTGCAGCATTGCTGATCGTTGATTGTGCTTTGGAGGCTAGATTCCAAGACTGATAGCATCATCCCTAGACAAATACCCTCAAGAATTCACCTAGCATCATCATCGCCATTGCTTGTCCGTATGGCATACTAGTGATTGGGATATCCTTGTAGTGCTGCAGGTCACTTCCCATACCAGTGCCGAAGCTGGTGTTTTGCAATTCTCCATCTTCGCTAATGCTTCCGATCACAGCTTTTACAGCTTTGTGTGCGACTGCTTCGTACTCTCTGCCAATGTAACGTTTTCGTACAGCCTTCAACATGCCGTAGGCGAATCCGGCTGTTGCAGAAGCTTCTTCGTAGCTGCCTTCGCTTGTAGGGATGTCGAGCAATGTGCGCCACATACCATTCTCGCCCTGTAACTTCGCAAGAGCTTTGCATTGAGCCCCCAGAGTATCAATCAGGTGGACTCTCAACGCATCGTCCTTTGGCAAATTCAACAATTCAATAAAGTCAGGAATGACAATGGTGACCCAGCTGTTTCCTCGAGCCCATCTGGCCTCGGCAAAGTTGTGACCTACACCACCTGAACTGGTTTCGTCAAACTTCCAGCCATGGAAGAAGAGTCCAGTCTTTGTGTCGAACAAGTATTTGATATGCAGCATAAACTGACGCTTTGCTTCTTCCACATAGTGCGGACGATTCAACAGCAATCCAATCTTTGCGAGAGGCATCACGGTCATCATCAGCGTATCATCCCAGAGCTCGTAGTGATTCTCGCTCGCATAAGTTATGTGTTGGAATCCGCCGTAGGGTGTGCGGGGCAAATCATACATTGCCCATTCTGCCCAGGAGTCTAGCCATGCTTCGTGGGTGGTATCGCGGCTCTTTTCGTAGAGGTAGGCGAGGGTGAGGAAGGGAGACATGGTGTTGATGTTCTTTGTTGTGCCTTCGGCGAGGCGGCCTTGGAACCATTGTTGGATTGTTGAGAGGGCGGTGGCTGAGCCGGTTAAGGCGTGGTATTGGTACAGACCGTAGAGGCCAATTCCGTGGGTCCATTCCCAGTCGTTCCATCCTTGGTGGTGTCAGTATGCTGCGATTGGGTGTGGTGGGATTGTGGGACGGCTGACCTTTTGTATCAATGATGCGACCGTCGTCAAGCTTGAGCAGGAAACGGCCAGTCGTGTCTTTGATGTTGACAAGATTGTGAATCAACAGCTCGATATGACGATGAATGTCGGTGGCTTCGTAGCCGTGAAGACGCAGAGTGGTAGGCATGATAAATGATTTTTCTAGTATATCCCAATTACCTCTATTGAAAACGCAATGCAGCAACGAAATGAGATGCGAAAAAAGTTATGTCTTTAGCTAGGTACCAATGTTTATTGAAATGATATCTCGCGAGAGCTATCCCCTCAGCTGCTTGTCGATCTTCTGATATCTTTACCCCGAGTTCCGAGAAGACCGACATGCCAAGCTGGAGCATCACGACGTGACATGCAGTCAATTTAACCAGACTCCCCACGCCCTAACTCTCCACCAATGAATCGCCAGTACGCCGAGCTGCTGGCGGAACACCTGCTCCGAACTCGTATTGTGCCATGTCTGACTCGCTAACCTTGCACTTGTCCCCTCGCCCGTTTCAATGGCGCCCCCGGTGGCGCTCGTCTATTGCCTGGAGGAGTGTGGGGGTTACCCCATGGGACATGCGATGTTCCCAGGGCTCGGATGAAGAGATCTGTGGACGTTGCATTACAAGCACCATGAGCTTGATAATCCGTCTTGGCCATGGGACAATGAATACCGAGTGAGCACCCCAGCATAGATAAAGGATGATACTCGTATACAGCATGTCCTTTTGTTTCCTGCCCAACGATCTTTGCCTTGACATTTGTTACGTCCTGGCTTTGTCTTTCATGTTGCCTGTCTCGAAGCAGCTATGTCGAATATCAATAACACGACAACTCCAATGGAAAAGGACGATCTCGTTCGTCTCGAGACAGTCATGTCCAACGAGGAGAACCTCAAGGGCGACCACATGAACTACGAGCGTGTAGACAAGGAACTCGCAAAGTACACAAACAGCGAGCGTATCATTGTCTCTGAGGCAGACGACAAACGTCTCAAGAAGATGATTGACCGTCGCGTCTTGGTCATCATGATCCTGACATACTTCCTCCAAGCACTCGACAAGGGTACCATGAGTTTCACCAGCATCATGGGGATCAGAGATGATCTGAATTTGGTCGGAGACAAAGTATGTTCTTGCCCATCACAGGTGTTGGCGATGATCTGCTAACCTTGCAACAGTTTTCTTGGTTGACAACCTGTATCTACATCGCTGTATTGTTCGTCGAATACCCTACCAACTGGATCATCCAACGCGTGCCCGTTGCCAAATATCTCTCTGCCAACATTATCCTTTGGGGTATCGTCCTTGCCCTCCACGCAACAGCGACAAACTTCACCACTCTTGTCGTTTGCCGCACCTTCCTGGGTATCTTCGAAGCCGTCTGCCAGCCTGCTTTCTTAATCATGTCATCTCTGTGGTACAAGAGAGATGAGCAGGCTCAGACAGTGACGTACTGGTATGTGATGAACGGTGCTCAGCAGATTGTGGGTGGTCTGCTGGCCTACTGCTTCTCACTCCTCGGTAATGACAGAAGCATCAAGTCGTATCAGGCTATCTTCATCACATATGGCTCTGCCTCCGTGCTTTGGGGTGTCTTTGTACTCTTCTGGCTGCCCGATTCACCTATGCGAGCCAAGTGCTTCTCTGAGGAGGACAAGGTAAGCAATCCTCATCGCTGCATCTTCTCCTGCAAAGCATAACTAACCTTGCTCACAGAAACTCATGGTCGAAAGAGTCCGCTCCAACCAAACCGGCATCCAAAACAAAAAGTTCCGCCCCGAACAAGTCAAGGAAGCCCTCACAGACCCCCAACTCTACTGCTACATGTTGATTCAAATCTGCACCACGCTTCCCACCAGCGGCCTCGGCGCCTTCGCCAACATCATCGTCAAAGGCTTCAACTTCACTACCCTTCAGACACAGCTCCTGGCAATGGTGCTAGGCGCCTATATTGTCATCGTGCTACTCTCTTCCACCTGGATCGTCAAGAAGACAGGTCAAAATCTCCTCGTCATGGGCGTCTTTGTGATTCCTTCCTTTGCAGGAACGATTGTGCTTATGACGGTACGAAACACCAGCACTGCCACCCAAGCCGGCTTACTGTTTTCATACTACATCGTCCTATCCTTCTGGGCAGCGCAAACCCTAGCCATGTCAATGCTCTCCCGCAACGTCGGCGGCCAAACCAAAAAATCCATAGTCGTAGCTGCAAACTTTGCCGCTTGGGCTGCTGGCAACGCAATCGGTCCTCAGGTGTTTTTGGCGTATGATGCACCGAGGTACTTTATTGCGTTTGCGACACACATGGGTTGTTATGTGTTGCTGGTTATTGTGATTGTGTTTTTGAGGTGGTGGTTGAAGAGGTGTAATGATAGGAAGGATGCGATGGCTGCTGCTGGTGTGGGAGAGGCGCATGATGAGGCTTACACGCATGCGTTTGATGATTTGACGGATAGGGAGAATCCAAACTTTAGATATGTTTATTAGGATGGGATGGTGGGAGTGGTTGGGAGTATGGCTGTAATTGATTGTGGTATCAGTATGTGTTTTGTCTCTCAAGTTTTCTTGATTCTTTGCGTGCTCTGAAGAGTCTTCTTTGTCACATAAAACTACTCATCTCTTTGCTACCAGAAGCCCATTAGGGCTGTTGTGAACTCTTCCTGCTGGACAATCATTCGATGCATGCCAAGTCCGTAACTGATCCTTTGGACGATCTACTCGGTTGGATTGGCAGATCTCCAAGACACTGTCCAGAATACGAGATGCAACAGGGCTATGCAACATGCACCTCGGCCTAGCAATGCACCGAATTCTGCGGAGAGAGTCGGTAACAGAGCACCACCACGAGAATAATAGATGTTTTGCGGAGAAATTGCTCGGGGTATCTGTATGGGGGAGGGAAGCAAAGATGGGGTAGATGATGTGGGTGAAGCCGATCATTGAGATGTCAAGGGCGGACATTGCAATAAAAGGGTGATGTGAGGATGCATGTAGATGGTAGTAGCCTCGACGCGGATTTCCATCGTTGATCAAAGATGGCTGTCGTTCGGACACTGCAGGTTCTCCTGCTCTCATGTCTTGCTATTCTCATCATCCCTACTCATGGCTTCCTCAATGCGACTGAAAACGCAAAAGCCCTGGTCATCGCCAACGACCGCCTATATGCCTCCGTCAACAAATCAACCGGAATCATGGACACCCTAACCCTCGATGGCCAAAATCTGCTCGGCACCAAAGAGTACAATGAAGTCACTCCTGGAGGCAACGCCGCTGGTCAAAACGGCATTGGACCGTACCTAGATTGCTATTGCGTGCCTTCTGGATCCTATACGCCTGGCAAGTATGCAACCTTTAAGCTGTACAGTGGCAGTGATTCGACTGGTGTAAAGTATGGCGGCGTGGTGATGTCTGAGGTGTACCCGTTGACTGGTCAGGTGCTGGAGCAGTATTGGTTCCTGAGGGAGACGGAGACGGGCTTGCATACGTTTTCGAGGCTTGCGTATCATAACGAGACGAAGCCTTTCTTGAGGTTTGTGTATCTGCGCTATTTGTCTGTGTTCAGTTGACCGATTCTCCGAAAGGAATTTGCAGGAGTTCAGGACGCTGTTTAGGCCGACTACACCGCTGTGGACTCATCTCTCTACTAATGAGAGAATCAATGCTCCACTGCCATCTTCGGATACTTTGAAGTACTCCAGAACAGTCCAGGATGCAACTTGGTACATTGGCAACTATACTAAAGCGCCGTATGTTGAACATTTTGCCGACTACTTTACCAAGTACACTTTCTCAGACGAATGGAGAGATCATAGAGTCCATGGAATATATGGTGATGGTTCTCAGAGCAAAGACGGATCCACGTTCGGAGCTTGGTTGGTGATGAACACAGTGGATACTTATTTTGGAGGTCCAACGCACTCCGATTTGACAGTTGATGGAATCGTGTACAACTATATCTGTGAGTTGAAATTTCCAACGTTCGTTCGTCCCGAGCTTACCTCTACGCAGCCTCAAATCATCATGGAGACAATGTACCCAACATCACAACAGGCTTTGACCGAACCTTTGGACCCCAATACTTCCACTTCAACAAAGGCACCAACACAACAAGCCTAGCAGAGTTACGTGCAGAAGCCGAAGAATTTGCCTCTCCAACCTGGAACACCGCTTTCTACGACTCCATCGCTCATCTGGTGCCAAACTACATCCCCTCAACACAGAGATCAACCTGGAAAGGGCGCATTGATCTGCCCAAAGGTGCTAAGCGTCCGATTGCAGTGCTTGCTCAAAACGGTGTGGACTTCCAGGATAACGTCCTAGACACAAAGGCATACCAGTACTGGGGTGATATTGACAAGAAAGGCAATATTGAGATCCCGATGGTCAAGCCAGGGGCCTATCGTCTGACGATATATGCTGACGGTATCTTCGGGCAGTATATCCAGGATGATCTTGTGATTGCAGTTGGTAAAGTCACTACGACGAAAGCAAAGTGGCGTGAAGAGTCCGCCGGCAAAGAGTTGTGGCGCATCGGCACCCCTGATCGCAGTAGCGGAGAGTACAGGCATGGTGATCAGCCTGATCCAAGCAAGCCTCTGCATCCTCCGGAGTACAGAATCTATTGGGCCAATTGGGATTTTCCGACCGATTACCCCGATGGTGTCACCTTCGAGGTCGGCAAGAGTGACGAGAGCAAGGATTTCAACTATGGTATGTTTCTCTGCTGACTTGGATGATGAGGTCTAACGACTCGACAGTTCATTGGAGTGTCTTTGGCGGATATGCAAACTCGGTCAGACCAGAACCATACTATGAGAACGTCAACAACTGGACTGTGTTGTTCGATGCAAAGAAGAACGATCTGAAGAAAGCCAAAGATGCGACTCTCACCGTGAGTCATTGATCCGAGTCTGAAACCTGCAGGAATAACGAGCTGACTGTGATGCCAGATCCAACTAGCAGGTGCAAAGACAGCTGCTGGCAATACCGACAACTGGAACGCAACACAACTGTGGAACAACCTGCCTTTGACAGTAGTCATGAACGGCATTGAACTCGAACCATGGGACATCCCGTACGTAAAGATCGAAGGCTTGTTCAGACTATCATATTAACGTATTCTCGTAGTTGGAACCAGAGCAGTTCGTGCGCTACCAGATCCGCGGTAGTATGCTACGCATTGGCACATAAATATGAGTTCGATGCGAATCTTCTGAAGCAAGGTCAGAACAAGATAATCTTGAGCTTGCCGTTCAACGCAACAGATTACGAGAGCGCGGTTCTTCCAAGGAGTACTTATGTCCAGTATGATAGCTTACGGCTGGAGGTCAAGTAGTCATGCGAGGCATAAGACCAGTACCGATGGCGCGTTATTCCTACCTTTCTGGAGAAACGAGATGAATCCGTGGTTTGGCACATGATACGCAGTGTTCGCATCTTCAAGACCAGATTGCGATGAGCACCTGTCTATGAGACAAGCTGACAATCATCGAGATCGTTGTTCGTACGGACGTACGTGGCCATGGAAACTACCGAAGATCAGCTTTGGGTAGTGATCGCGATACGACGTGCTAGAAACATAGAGTTCATAAGTCGCGAAGAATACTTTGGATAGGGATGTCACCCACTTCCAGAGAATCAATCGCGGAAATAGTACGATTCAAGATAGGCCTCGCGGAGCGACAAGCAAAGTCAAGTCATGTCGTGAATTGATGAGGCCTCCGAGATGCGGCCCCTTTGTCACGAATTGCTCCCGCCCGCCAAGTGCCGTCCGCCCGCCAAGTGCCGTGGCTGGGTGGATCTTCTGTCGATCCCTCGTTTGTCTCGCTGCTCGTGCCTATTTGGTCAACGACCGATATTGAACGATGTCCATCATTGATCATCTACTCATCTCAGGAATGCCATGTCAATATTGGATGCGAAAACCGTAGTATACATACAACACGGAAGAATATATGGAACCCCTGTATTACAGCGGGCAAGGGTCCGCACCGAGCCTTGATCTATCCGCCAGAGCCTCAACATCGCACTCCAGCCGCAGAGAACTCAAAAATGCAGTGGATATCAGCAGATGGAGTGCAAATGATTCATGCTAGCTGCCTCGGATCTCATCGTCTACTCCGCAGTGTCTGCATGCACTATCAGATCTGCTTGCAGCAACGTGATGCTACGACCGGGGGTAGCCCCTTTGCTATGCGTTCTCCCACCACTCGCGGCCAGATATGTTGGCACTCACATTGCTACTCCTACAACCAGAGCTTGTTCTTGAGGAAGAGAGGGGCATAAAGAAGTTTTCAAACAGCCTATACCAAGCTTTATCGAGATCTATTCAGCCTATCGGCGGAGGTGCGGAGTGGAGCTCCAGAAAGATCCGAAGATGGTGGCTTGGACCGATGGCGTGTTGTGGCTTCTCGTGACTCCACAACTTGTTCTAGGGTATGACTTGATGACTGAGGCAGAAAACAAACCCATGTCTACAAGACTAGGCAAGCATGCAACATACGATACTCTATGCTATTCGGTTAATGTAGCGTCTGACGACGTTCGTGTCAGCAAGACAACAGTATGGGTTAGATTGCGCACGAGCTCCTGCCGCAGGATAGTGACGATCTGCTAAGCAAAGCGTGCAAGGACGTTCGTGCAGGCGTCTGTGGCTGTCAGTTTGATCAACAACACGGAATATCAACAGCCCTGAGGAACCATGAATGCGCAATTCTCTCAAGCGTACGAGATTAAACAAAGATGCTTGTCAATAAAGTGTCCATATCCCGCAAAGGCACACTCAATCCGTAACTCATTGCAGAACTCGTTCATGTGATATAGGCGGCGTTATAGCGGAGTTAGGAGATCTGAGCCGTCCGCAGATGCGCGTTGTTTCGGTTTCGCTACGCTGCCTCCGCCCGCCTGCATTGGAGCTTGCGACTCAAAGACGTTCAAGCTTCCACCCATGCCATCTGCGATCCAAATCTGTGACACGCGATCGTGCAAGAGAGGAGAGACTGGCGCTGCGGGAAGCGATTCGGTATTGTAGTGTGTACAGGCCGTTGGTTTAAGCTATGCAGTGGCAAATGCCACAAAGTTTGGACGGTCTAGTCGTGGCTTTTTGGAACCCTCGTTTTCAAACATGCCTGCCCTGCCGAGTGCGCCTGAAGCTCTTCTCTTTGACGTTGCAGTCGTCGCCGTCGCTGTCGTGCCTTGGATGATATTCAGCAGGTTTCATCGTGCGTGGGTGTCTTTTGCCATTGATTGACGCCCTTTTCCGCCATGGATTCTACGTGTGGGAGGCCCAGTGTTCTTCTTCAACCTGCTCCAGACGACGACGTCCTGAGGGAGCGCGAGACGTACAAGTCAGTTGTCGCAGTCGTGTTGTTTCTGCTTTTTGCCTTGTGATTGACCAATGCGACTGCCAGATACTACCAACCATTGCAAGACCTTCTCAAAGCCGACCACTCTCCATCTGCTCCATCTGGCCCATCGTCGCCAGACCGTGCCTTGACAGCCTTTGCACAACTCGCAGCATTCCGCTTGAGAGCGCGTAGAACTTTCATATCCCTGATCGATCGCAAATTCCAGTAACGAAGCCTCCGCCATCATCGAATATCGCCAACGCTGACCAATTACAAGATATGTCATCGCCGAGGCTACAAAGACACTTTCTCTGGAGAAAAATACCGTCGACGATGACAAAGATAATCTCTGGGTTGGTGCGACCGCCTTTGAGAGAAGGGCAACTCCCTGCGAATATGCCGCTGGGCTTCTTGTTGCACCAGATCTCCTTGTCGCAGAGCAGAAAGAGGATGTAATAGTCTTCCCGGATCTGTCTGAGCACGTCTTGTTCAAGGACCACGTTTTGGTTACCGAGATTCCACATGGTAGGTACATCATAGAATCGGTCCTTCCAGCGGGCTGACATGCTCCAGGTCGATTTTATGCCGGAGTTCCCATCGTTTCGCCAAATGGCTACAACATTGGAGTTTTCTGTGTCTTGGACGACAAGCCGAGAGAGGAAGGCCTCAGCACGACAGAAGTTGATTTCATGAAGGATATGGCTGTGACCATTATGAATCACCTTTCGGTATGCTGTCAGATAGCGGTCATCGTATGTAATTTACTGATTATGAAATAGATGGCCAGAGCGACAGCCGAACTCAATCGTTCTCGAAACATGGTCCAGGGGCTGGGGCAATTCGTCGATGGCAAGACCAGTATAAAGGAATGGTGGAATGGCTTCAGCCAGGACGAACCCGACCGTCCTCGATCAAGAGCTGGAATTGAGCGCAATGGACGTGCCACCATCAGGTTTGCAAATTCGTCTTCCAGACATCTTCGACCAACTGCACCTTCTGCGCACACGCCGGAAGTGAGTCCGGGACCTGGGAGGGTTGTTTCCGATGTCCAAAGTTCTTCCCAATCAAGCACGCCTGTGCAAGAAATACAGCAGCCCTCAACAGAGGCGGTGGTCGCCAATCGTTTGCAAGAAGATTCCATCTCACCGGATATCAAATCTACGTTCCAGCGAGCTGCCGAGATCGTCAGAGAATCCGTCGATGTCGACGGCGCCATTTTCCTCGACGCTTCCATTGGGTCATTCGCTGGGCTCGTCGATGGAACTCAGACACAACAAGACTCGGTGACTCAGTCTTCTGGTGACACATCATTCCACTCAATCAGAACTACCGAGAGCTCATATGCAAACGACGAGAAACATTGTATCGTTCTGGGAAGCTCGCTGGCTACAGTCAGCAAGCGCAGATCTTCTCACTTGTTACCGAGCTTGCCGACCTCTGTCAGCGAACGGTTCTTACAAAGACTCCTGACCAAATATCCTAGGGGGAGGATTTGGAGTTACGACGATGAGGACGTTTACGAAGGCCTGATCGACTCTCCTAGCACTGCAGACTTTATGAATCGCAGAGGCGAGCGTTGGAGAGAGAGAAGATTGCTTCGCAGTCTCTTTCCTGGAGCGCGCAGCCTGGCTCTCGTCGGCATGTGGGATCCCCACCGCAGCAGATGGTACGCAGGAAGCATACTCTGGACCTGCAACCCCACACGCATTTTATCAACTGATAATGAACTTAACTACATGACTGCATTTGGCCAGTCAATCATGTCGGAGATTGCAAGAATTGATGTCAAGATGGCAGACAGAGCCAAGGCGACATTCATCAGCTCGATTTCTCACGAATTGAGGTAAGCACGACTGCCACATGTGACTTGTTCACGTCCTGACCCGTCTCTAGAACCCCTCTGCATGGCATCATGGGTAGTTCCGAATGCCTGCAGGGCACGCCTTTGGATGCTTTTCAGTCCAGCCTTATCAACACGATCGAGACTTGTGGCAAGACTTTGCTCGACACATTCGACAACTTGCTATCTTATGCAAAGATCAACAATCTCAGCAACACCAACTACCGGAGGACCTCCGTTTCCTCGACGCGCAATGAGCTACATCGGAATGGTGCCGAAACAGTGCAAAGTCCTGTGGATTTGAGTATCCTGGCCGAAGAAGTGGTTGACACCGCTTTTGCTGGACACGAGTTTGTTCGTGTTACACCTGTCAAGGGAGGGACGACTGCCCATGGAGCCGTGCCTGCACATTTGACCGCTGCTCAGCCTGTGAAGGGACTCGAAGCAATCACGGTACTCCTAGAGTACGACACGACTTCAAACTGGGTATTCACAACTCAAGCTGGTGGCTGGATTCGAATCATCCTGAACCTGGTTGGAAACAGCCTCAAGTACACTGAGAGGGGCCGTGTCACGGTGCGGTTGGACTCTAAGCCTTTACCAAGTCCGTTGTCCGAAGAGGACGTCGAGGTCGTCTTGACCGTCAGCGATACAGGGAAGGGCATTTCAGATGATTTCTTATCTCAAGGTGTCTTCTCGCCCTTTGTCCAAGAAGATCCACTAAGTCCGGGCACTGGTCTGGGTCTCAGCATTGTCAAACAGATCATTACGGGCATGGGCGGCAGCATAAGTGTCGAGAGCAAGCTGGGTGAAGGTACCAAGTTCTCTATTACGGTATGCATGACACGCGCAGACTCTCCTGTGGAATCAGAGAACCTGCCTGTAGTAGCCGACGTCGCCGATATGCTTCGAGACAAGCGCCTGAACATGATCGTACCAGTTGGCGAGCAAGACGAAAGTCAGTTCACCGATCTCTGCAGCAAATGGTTCGGTGCATCGGTTCGCTGTACACCAGAACCGGAAGAGGCCGATGTATATGTTGTCCTGAAAAGGCACACAAACGCGCTGGTCAGGCAACTGGCATTCAAGCCCGCACAAGCCAACCCTATTGGACAGAAACCGGTCATTGTGCTGTGCAAGGATCTCGCCTCTGCGCATGCTCTTCAATCTAACAAGTCTATGGCTGCCATCAGCTCATGCATGGAGTATCTGGCACAACCTTTGGCACCAAACAAGATCGCCAAGACGCTTTCTCGATGCCTGGACCGCCCTCCCGCAACGCCTCCTCTACTACCACTATCACGTGCTACCAGCATATCCTCCCAACGTCCACGAGCTCGTCGGGTCAGCTCGAACATTTCACAAAACAGCACAAATTCCAATCCTGAGGTTATACTATGCACGCCTGTGGAAGAGAAGACGCAGGAGATGCTTTTTTCCAAGGTCCGACAAACCGCTGAGACGAACCGTCAAGCCCAGATTCTCGAAGCCCAGAAACAAGCACTATTAGCCAATGTTACAAATGCGCCTCCAGGTGTGGGTGTGTCGGTCTTGCTCGTCGATGACAACAGCATCAACTTGAATTTGTTGGCTACATTCATGAAGAAGCAGAGGCACGCATATGACACCGCCACCAATGGTCTCGAGGCACTACATGCATATCAAGCCCACACCGATCCCACACGCCTGCCCGAGAAGAGTGAAAACTCGTTACTCCTACAAAACCGACCCGAGTTGACAGCACAGTCCTTCGACTTCGTTCTGATGGACGTCAATATGCCTCAGATGGACGTGAGTACCACTGTCTGCAAATAACAACCACTTTCTTGAACGCCAGCTGACTTGCACTCACAGGGTCTCGAATCCACCCGCCACATTCGAGCTTTCGAACGAGCAAAGGGATTGCGTCCGGCAGTCATTGTTGCGCTTACCGGCATGGCATCTGCAAGTGTACAACAAGAAGCTTTTGCCAGTGGAGTCGATCTCTTTATGACCAAACCAGTACGACTCAAGGAACTCAACAAGATTTTCGAAGAACATAGAAAACATTGATTGAAGAACGACAGTTAAAAGGTGTATCACCAGAAGCACAATATTCGCATACATGGATTTTTCCACAGCACAAACGCTACACAAGCAATAGAATGCGTGCACTATGATGTCAATTATGACACGGCTCTTACACTGCAGATGAACAGGAGCTAGTACTAAGCCATAGGGCTCCAGAGATCACAGTCACCTGGCAGGAATTCCAGCAGGCGAGAGATCTGCAACATGAATTAGATGAGCAGCTGACCGAGGCCCTACAGCAGACCATGGGTGAGAAAGAGGAAGATGGACAGGAGAATGGAGTCGCCGAGCGCGACTTTGTCGCCCACGGCCTTGACTACGGTTGGGAAGATATATATGCAAATTTGAGTGACATGGTCTACATTGTAGATGAGTAGCCACAGTGATGACTGTGCTCGGCCTTCCCCCTTTCGATATCCTCTGTGCAGCTTCAGGCTCTGTCCTCTCCGCTATAGCCATTCGCACGAGCCCTTTGCGCAGGTTGCTCGTTTTTCACCATCTTCGTGAGCCCTTTTCGCAGGTGGCTCTTCTTCTCGCCGTTTTCACGAACCCTGTTCGCAGGCTGCCCCCCTTGGGCCCACATTTCCCTGTCATTGCTTGTACCAACGGATGCAGGTGGACGAAAATGTGTTGTTTTATCAGGCAGTACGCACTTTTTATGCAGTTCAGGCTTTGTGTCAAGTGACAACAGTCCCTATTTACAGCTGTTGGCTTGATACGATTAGCATGTTTCTTTCATCCTTATATTTCAATCTTGACTGCCTAAGATGATCTCTGGTTGATGATAACACCCTTGGGATCTTTCGTCTCATTGTCACCCCAGTCAGCAAGCCATCCATTCTCCTCCAGATACTTTTTCCAGTTCTCATCTTCATCTTCCAGCTTCCTGCCTACATCCGGAATGACAAAGAATGCTATCAGTGCACCCAGAACAGCAAAAGCAGATCCCACCAGGAAGGCTCCTTGGTCGCCTGCACCTGATGTGATCGGTATGAACACTTGAGTTCCAATAGCAGCACCGGCTTTGGAGATGGCTGAACAAAGACCCATCATCTGGCCACGGATAGCTGTAGGGAAGCTCTCTGATGACGCGAGTACCACTGTCGAGCCGGGACCGACTTCTCCAAGGGTCAGAAAAACACCATACATGACCACAAACAGTGGGAAGATGGGTACGATCTTGTGATATGCGCCACCGAGGACGAAGCCAAGTACAGCTTGCATTGCAAATCCGAGTGCCATGGTCTTGCGACGACCAATCTTGTCCGAAAGGTAACCACCGATGAACGGCCCTGGGATGTAGAAGCAGTTGATGACGACACCCCAGCCGAGGTTGGTGATCAGTGAGTCGCCGGCGTTGACGCGGTTGGTGATGGTGCCGGAGAAGATGCCGAATGGCTCAGAGTATGGTCAGTCTCTGTTCTCGTATATGCAAAGATAATGCGACTTACAATGGCGATCCAGTTGTACAGGAACCAAGTCGACGAAGCACCGAGCAAAGGGCGCCAATAACGCTTGATCGCCAGCACGTACGGAACCTTCTGCCGTCTCATCGATGCTTTGCGATAAGCAGTCGAAACCGCCATCTTGTATCGGAACCAGAAAATCGAGACTGGTGGAATCAAGCCGAGCGCAAAGCTGAGCCGCCAGACGATATCATAGTGTTCCTTCTTCTGACCAACACAGAGTAAGAGAAGTAGGGGTACAAGACCACCGAATACATATCCAAGCGAGGCTGAGAGATCAGCAATCATGGCGAACATGAATCCGCGGTGCTTGCGCATGCCCTTGTTCTCATCGGATGCTTCTGTTGCGCCAGCTCCGCTGACTGGGTATTCGCCGCCTGCGCCAACACCAGCAATACCACGAGCGATGATCAGCATCCAGAACATGCCAGTATCGGTCTCGCCCTTTGCAGCTGTTGACAACACGATGCCCAAGACAAGTAGTGCGGTGGTTGCTACAGCGCCAGTCTTTCGGCCAAGTTGGTCGGCAACGACTCCGAACATCAACATGCCGACGATCATGCCAATCAGAAATGCATTGGATAGGCGAGTGTATATGGAGCTAGTCAATGATTCTGGGTACAGGATAGCAAGCAGGAGCTCGACATTGCCAATGACGGCAGCGTTACTGCGCACGTTGGTTAGAGAAGTTAGCTACAGAGAAGGGCCAACATACTATCCGTCTGAGCCAATGGCAAGGCCAGAGAATATTACCATCATGATCACAGAGCCCTTGCTGTAAAAGGTCTTGTGAGCTTCTCCCTCTTCCACCTGTAGCTCCTCGACCACTCCTGTATATTCATCTTTCACGTCGGTCTTAGAACTGCTATGCACGACAATTTGTTCTGTCCCAAGCGAGGAGACGTCTTCTGGAGACATCGTATGATCGAGCCCTGCTTTGGCAGTGATCAAAGGAATCTTCAAGCTCAGACCCGGGAGTTCAAGTCAATATGTAGAATTGCTGCTCCGCATCCACCCTGGCCGGCCTGATAAGCTTATCCATGTTTCCGGTTCATATCTTGCTTTCTATGACAATGAACTTGTCAATCTTCAGCTGAACGCGATAGAGATGTGTACAAATGGGTTGTGATTCGTGAGTGGATTCAAGGTTCGATAAACATAAGGGTGCCCTGCCGGAAGATGTTCCGAATGAGGGGCCCGCCACGCGGCCAAGCATCGGGCAAGCACCGGGCAAGAGACGGGCGAGACAGCATACCACATCTCAATGGATAGTGCATGCGATAATAGCCGATCTCTGACTTCAGACTATTGATCCTCCTGTATCGCTGGCCGTTATCTACTTTGCTGCGCTGGCCCCGCATGTTGCGACTGCGGCCCCCGTTCCACTGATAGATCGCACTTCTTTATCACATCGCTTCATGAGATAGATTCAAATCCTGCATACTGCCAAAGTGACAATTGCAAGATGAAGGACGGAGTTGGAGTAACGCAATCTTCTGCGGATCGCAGACAACCCAGCAGGTCCTCGAGATCATGGTTGGCGGCAGGCATTGCAGCGCTGTATTTGATGTGGACTGTTGTATGTGGACACTCTCATAGTTCACTGCATGGCATTACGCCCCTGCTGACAGTCATACCAGAACCCATTCAGCTCAAAATCTCAGGTTGATCGTGTGCAGCAATGCTCCATAGATAACTTGCACAAAGATCTTTACTTCCTGGACAATGCACGTCCGATCGAAGCACAAGAATTCCTTGATCGTCGCGATAATCTAGCCAAAGCTCTGCATGTTTCTGGTGTGGACGGTTTCGTCCTCGAGCCAGGCTATACGTTTCAGTACTATGCCAATATCTCCCAGCCACAATGGGAGCCGTGGGAGGTACTATAGCCATTCTACTGCCATGAAGTCTTATGATCGGCTGACAACCTACAGCCGGAAGAGCGACCCTTCTTGATGATTATTCAACCCTCTGTCAATGACTCTACTGGAAAAGTCAAAGCCAAGACTACCTTTCTCAGCCCACACTTCGAGGAAGGCAGAGTAAGAATGCTCGGTATACCTTCCGATGGTGAACTCGAGATTATCGTCTGGGAAGAACATTGGAATCCCTACAGCACACTCAAGGAGGGTCTCTTCCCGGACAAGACGGCAACTCTGATGGTTGACGAGGAAATTCGAGATTTTCTCGTGCGTGGGCTTGACGCCAATGGACTTAAGACGGTTGGCCTTGGTGGCGAAGTAGAGGCTGTGCGACAAACTAAGACACCTGCCGAGGTCGAACTACTGAGAGCTGTCAATACAGGAACTATCGAAGGCATTAGGGCAATGCGACCATGTCTGGAGCCTGGGTTGACCGAAAACCAAGTCATCCAAATTCTGGACAACACTCTGAAAACCATTGGGTTCGACCTCTTCTTCGACATCGTCTTGTTTGACAGCAATGCAGCGCTTCCACACGGTGGTTTCGCTACTGGCGATAAGATTCTTACTCATGAGACGATGGTGTTAATCGATGCTGGCTATCACTATTTGGGTTACTCATCTGATGTTTGCCGAAGCTTCTTCATTGATCCTCCAAAGAACTCTCTCCTTCGCCAACTGCTGCGTCTACCGACACTAAAGATTCAAAATCAGGAGCTTCATGCCGAGAAATTGAAGGTCTGGGACATTGTCTTGCAAGCTCAGACAGAAGCTGGCAAGATGTTCGTGCCCAACGGGACAGCAGCCAGCGTCGACATTGCAGCCAGAAAGGTCATCGACGACGCTGGCTACAAAGGGACATTCACCCATCGTCTTGGCCATGGCATTGGAATCAAAGGTTTGTTCATCCACACGATTGATTCGAGGCATGTCGACTAACAATGTCAGCGCACGAATCACCTTACCTCAATAAAGGAAACCATGAAACTCTGTTGCGTGCGGGGATGACGTTCACAGCCGAGCCAGGTATTTACCTTGAGAACAAGTTCGGCGTTAGACATGAGGACATCTATCTTGTCAAGGAAAACGGACACGCTGAAGTGATCAGTGGGAAGCGTGCCGTTTCGCCTTACGAGCCTTGACGAAGCTGGTACAGTTCCGAGTAGGATGAGCGTGATAATGACTTCTACAGCAAATTACATTTCTCATCCATCAAAAACCACTGCAGAGCCCATCACTTTTGATTCGGACATAGAAGTGGTCTCCAGATCGAGGTCGCAGATTGAAAACACTGGAGGGCGTGAGGACGGCACTCTCGTGTGAGTGCAGAAATACCATAGTAGCGTCTTGGATTGTTTCAAGCAGCACTTTGCTTGGATTTGTGGCCTCTGGTAAGCTATGGCAATGCTGGATGTGAGAGATGGATATACTGCACCATTGATTTGCTATACCAAAACACCTATACAAATCTTCATCCTATCTTGCTTTCACACCCCCTCCCTTCATCCTTTTCCTCCATCACTCGAACCCACCACCCACCCTTCCCAACGCACCGAGTGCGCCTCCAGCCTTGCGTCTCAACCCAGCAATCTTCCTGACATTCTCCTCCCTCCTCTTCGCCGCCTTCTGTACAATCTCCTGTCTCTCCGCCTCCCTAGCCTGGTAATTGATACTGGACTTCTTACTACCTCCATTTCTGATGCCACTACTACCCTCTCTGTTGAGCGCAATCGGGGCTCTGTTCTCGCTGAAAGAGCCATTGGTGAAAGAGGTATTGGTGGTGGCTTTGCGAAGTAGAGAAGCAGGTTTGAATCCCTTGGCTTGTTGCGACAAGGACGTAAAAGCGAGGTTTGAGTCTGCGGTCTCGGCCATAGAGGAGGCTTGTTTTTTGAGCGTCAGGCGATCTATGACAGCTTCTTTGGCAGGGACTCTGCGTGCTGAGGCAGGGGCTCTGGGTTCAGACGACAAAGCACGAACTTCTCTTTCCTCGTCAGAAGACAGCAAAATCTCTGAAGCGAGTTCTGCATTGGAAGGGTCATCGATGAGGAACGATAGCGAGTCACGGACTTCAGCGAGCGACTTGGGTTTGCGGAATGTGTCGTTGAGGGCAGAGCGGCGAAGTGAAGATGCTGCCACAGACTTCTTCTTCTGAAGTGGTTGGGCGTTTTGGGACGATTGGCTCAGGTCGAGGGAGTCGGCTGATCGTTTGAGGCTGTTGTGCTGTTCTTCATTGCCAGTTTGGGAAGCAGTGGGTTGCGAGGCAGAGGGCTGTTGTTGCGAGGCGACCATTTCCGCATCATCGTCTACATCGAGTCCGTCCAAGAAATCGACATCATCCGCCTCGTCTCTGTCTTCAATGGCGCGGAGGAAGGCCTCTTTCTTGTCGTTGCTACCAAGTTTTCCCAGAGTCTCGTCTTGGAGCAAGAGTTTGCGCTTGCGAGCTTCTTCACGTTGTCTGCGGCGTCTTCTTTCAACTACCTGATCGTCCTCATCCGAGTCGAGCTCAAAGGCATTGTTTCCACGTTTGCGCCGAAGGTTTCCAGACATGAGATCCTTGTACAGCTTGCTTGTCTGGGCTTCGTTTTCCTCGCGTGACTTTTCGGCGTAGAGAGCAGCTAGCTCGCGTTCATTGACTTTGACGTCGGTCTCATCAATCATTTGCTTGTCGTCTTCGTCACCAGAACCGGCGTCTTCGTCGTCACTGGCACCTCCAAGACCGCGGTACTCATCTTCTGATTCTTCGGCTTGTTCGTCGACCATACCCTTGGCATTGCTTTTCTGTCTGTCAAAGTCGGGCTGAGCAGGTTTCTTCGCTGCTTGGCGCATGACGCTGAATGCATCTGAGGGCTTCTCGACAGCGACCGGCGCTGAAGATGGTACGGCTTCCTCATCCGCCTGCTGAGCAACTTCCGATCGCTTTACCAAACGACCACGGCGTTGGACGACAGGAGACTCCGGAATACCAAGCAAGACAGTGTCGACAGTCGACGAAGGAGCACGATTTCTATCAGCAAGAGGAGTAAGGTTGGGATCGAAGCCGACATCCTGAGAGGGGTCCGGAATTTGTGAGAACTGCGACATGACTGCAGGCGAATCTGCAGAAGGTCGAGGGAACTGTAGATCCATTTGCTGAGTGGGCTCACGTGCCTGAGTTTGGGTAGTCTCAATTTGGCTGTCAGCCACAGCATCCTGAGAATCGTCAAGAAATTGCATTGAAGGCATTGGAGCAGAAGGCGGGAGTTGGCGAAGCATCTCGAAAGAATCCTGGTCTTGGGAGATCATGTCAGAAGCTTGAGTGTCATCCATAGTTCCTGCGAACATCTGTGACATGCCCATTGGTGCAGCAGGTGCGCGCCCAAAGCCGAATGCAGCAGCAAGCTCATCGTTGATACCATTGCCTGATGTTTGCAGCGTCGTTGGTTCGTCCTCGTCCTCGTCGTCATCAATGATGTGCTTCCTTCGTGCCCTTCTTGATTTGGGCAATCGAGGTTCATCGTCTTGGAGCATGTCGTCGTCGACCAGTTCTTCGGCCTCCACCGGCTCGTCTTGATCTGCTTCGCCAGCTTCAGCGTCGACCATGTCGTGATCGACGGTGTCTTCTTCTTCAGAACCAGAGAGCTCGATATCTTCCTCGTCTTCCGCATCCTCCTCTTCGGCAGTAGTCTTGACTTCTTCGTCACTACCAACATAATCCTCATCCTCACTCTCATCAGAACTGATACCGACATCCTCACCATTAGCTTTGGCAGTGGCCTTTTCTTGCTTGCGCAACTTATCAGCTTCTTCTCTTGCCTTGCCAAGCATGTCTTCAATCTGCATTTGCTCCCTTTCACGTTCTTCCTCAGTCAAGACGACGATGCCCTTGGCCCGCAAGTCTGCGAGTCTTGCAGCACGTTCTTGGTTTGCGATTTCGCGAGCCCGTTGGCGGAGTTGAAAATCAAGTTGTTGAGGAGAGATGGATGGCTTTTGTCCTTTCTTGCTACGGATTCTGTCACCGTTACCAGTGAGTTGGGCAAGGTGTCGGAGCATGAGCATGGTTCTTCCTTCGGGAGTCTGTGTCTTGGGGATTTGGTTGAACATAGCAAGAGGATCGTGGATAATTTGAAGATCATCATCGTCGTCGTTGTTCAATCTGTTGAATCTGTTGTGTGAAGGGATATTGACGCGGACTTTACGAATTGGTATCGACTTTGACTCTGCGGGCAGCTGGCGAACAGGCGCCTTGCCCTTGTCAACGGTCTTCCTGGGTTGTGTAAGAACTTCTTGGAGGGTTGGCAATTCTTCGTCAGACTCTTCGAGGGCTCCTGTGCCAACAGGCTGCTCGAGAATAGTCTTAAGATTGTCGTCGATGCTGGGAGGACTCGATGGCGGTGTATCGCGTTCTTTGTTTGCACCAGTCTCGGAGAAAGGCTCTGGCGGAGGAGAGGAAGAGGTGACGTCGGCAGCATTCGTGACATTTGCAAGACCAGAAGAAGTCTTGGGGCGATTGAAGGCGGACAAGAAGTCTTGTGGAGTGAATCGCTTCTTGACCTTTGCCTGATGTGTCAATTGCATGTTTCTCTTGATCCGCTGTGTCTCTCTGTTCATCTCTTCCAAAGCCTTCTTACTGGCTTTGCGTGTGGGCCTTGCAGATTGGGTCAGTCTTCGCTCAGTGACCTCATCTCTTGTATCCTCATCGTCGAACATGTCTGACAAAGGAGCTTGACCAGTGGTGACGTTTTCTTCCTCTGCTTCCTTTTCGGCCTGTTCTCTTGCCAATCTTTCAGCACGGCGACGGTTGACGAGATCGCGGAGTCGGGAGGGCGCCGATGGGTCTGCAGGGAGGTCCGAGTCTGAGCCACTTGAGTGGTCGGACTTGTCGTCGGCGGATCGTCTCTGCTCTGGAGCTGGTGACATGAACAGGCCGGGGCTTTCTGAGCGGGTAGAAGCTGCGGGAGTTGATGCCCGGTGCACGAGTCTCTTGCGAGGAGGACTGGGTTGTGGTGTTTGGATTCGAGCTGTCTCGATCGGGTGTGTGACTTTGACAGGAGATTTATCGGCCGAAGGAGCTTTCTTGGAAGTCATGAGGTCTCTTCTGATTTTTTGGTAGACGTCTTCATCTTCTGACGACGACTCTTCCTGAATAGGAGGAGCCGCACCTCCCATTCTAGCTGCCAGCCTTCCTCTTGGTTTGAACACAGGCTCATCCTCGTCGTCGCTGTTCTGCTCCCCATCTTTGGACGCGTCAATGGTACGCGTCGCGTTTACAGATTGTGTTGTGGAAGTCGATTCTGTCGTAGGTCTGACAGGTACGCCAGCGTCGTCGTCAGACTCTTCGTCGAAAGCAGCCATGAGCTTTCTCATCCTAGTTCCTGGCGACTCGAGGGCCATGGACACGATCGAGGAGCTATCATCTGCTGGTGTCGAAGCGCGACTCGACCGCGTTGAACGCGCCGGAGATGACATTGTGATTGGAATGAATTATGCTGTCGTGGTCGTGAAGAGGTTTATTGTGCGTTAGTGGTCATGAGATGAGGGGCGGTATGAATGCAAGCGGTAATTGATATGGATGTTGTGGTAAAGTGGGTGTGGTAGAGATGGTAGCCAGAATGATGCTCTAAATTGAAATTCCAGGGACGCGACGCGCGATGCCATTTCCCAGCCACTCAAAAGTCTTGGCGGAGCTGCCATACCGCTTCATGCTTCCAAAGCAGATAGAATGTCTTGTTACAGCATGCAAGACAAGCAACGGTGATAATCATGACGACCTCCATCCGTGGACATGGGGTACTCTGCTCCGGAAAGTGATATGCATGGACACATTCATATCACATATAACATATAAGCCTGAGTAGAGCTGTCCTAAGGGATCAATTGGACATTTGTCCAGGGTCCAACCGGTAATCGAGCATGGATTCTCGGTATATCTTGTCCTGGACTCCGAGGCGGTCGGAAGCCATCGTGCTCAGCTCACGAGACGATACCACGACCGCAATGGGTACAGACAAAGAGCCATACCATAGGATGTGATGTTGCCTGAGGTTGGCCTGCCAAGACGATTTGTCCACAATGCTGATACTGATCATTGCTTGCACAATTTCCTTGTGCAACACCCTGACCAACGGTCTCAGCTTCTACACGCTCCATCGAGAGCAGCGGAGGTGAACTATATACTTGTATCGCGTAGGATGGAGATCTCTGGCAACAATCATTTGTGCATGTTATAATTGATTGGAACCTTGGTGAATAAGGTATGTAGAATTGTGTAGCAGCTTGTGTGACAGGTCAAGCTCCTTCCTCCTGAAACCGACGTCGCGGAAGGGGTAAGAGCAACGCACGGACGTCCTTCCATGTTACGTGGTCGGAAAGCTGTTCGTTACATTGATGCTAGGAGGACTTTTGCATCTACCTCCTTTGTTGCTCTTGCTATCAACCCTTTCTGTGCCGTGTCGCAAACACTCACTCAACGCGTCGACAGCCTCGAGGCAATCTTTGTTCAGTCCTACTAGCACAGGGTCATCTTGGTCACAGCAATGATGAACATCTTTCGCATTCTGGGTGGGTTCACTTTTGTCCAGAACTGCTTGTCAATGCAATAGGCTGACCAGTTTTCTCAGGCGACTTGTCGCATCTGTTCTCGATTCTGATTCTGCTGCACAAGATGAAGACATCCAGCGTACGTCCCTACCACCGTCCATCATCATCGTCAATAAGCTTCCAAATCCTAACAAGTCCACAGAGCGCATCAGGCATCTCGTTCAAATCACAATTCCTCTATCTCGTCGTATACGTTACCCGATACCTTGGTACGCCCATCTGCCGCGGGAAACACACGCATCGCATGCTAAGACCATTTTCGCAGACCTCCTTTGGACGGATCCCTTCAGGAGCTTGTGGAACACTACCTTCAAGCTCGTCTTCATTGGAACCTCCGCCTATATCATCTACCTGATGCTCAACGACTACAAGCCCACCCACGATCCCAACCTCGACACTTTCAGAGTGCAGTACTTGGTCGCAGGAAGTGCCGTCCTGGGCATCATATTCCCCTACAAATACGAATTCTCTGAGGTAGGACACAGCCGGCCGGGTCAAACAAGAGGAGAAGGAAGATGCTGACACAATACAGATGCTCTGGGCCTTTTCGATCTGGCTAGAAGCTGTCGCCATTCTCCCCCAGTTGTTCATGCTGCAAAGAACAGGCGAGGCAGAGACTATCACCACGCATTACCTCTTTGCCCTGGGCGCTTACAGAGCACTCTATATCCCCAACTGGATCTACCGTTATGCCACAGAGGGCCACTTTGAGCCCATTTCAGTTGTCGCAGGTCTCGTCCAGACTATTCTGTACTCCGATTTCTTCTACATCTACTACACCAAGTAAACCCCGCTCTTGTGTAAATCCATGTGCATCGATTCACTGACCATTTTTCTAGGGTTTTCCAAGGCAAGAAGTTCAATTTACCTGTGTAGACAGTCTAGTGCTGCAGAAGTCAAATTTACGACTTTGTTTGGAATGCATGGAAAGGAGCTTGCGATGAGCCTACACCTTCAGGACATCTTCATAGCCATAACTAGATTAAAACACGAATTCAAAAGTCACAATCTAGAGATAGGTCACCATGCCTCGGACAGTTCTTCCACAAGGGCGATCTGCAAACTTCGGAGATTTCTTGATGCAAATGCGGGATCTGCAACGCTTCTCCGTCCGGAAACCATGACCGCATCAGCGTGGTTGCACATGTATCACCAGATTCTCGCGCCGACTGAGTTTCTAGATAGAGAAGCAGCGACTAGATTGTGTACTCGAGTATGCGACGGTCCTTTGCAATCTTCATGCTTGGCTCAGGTGATATGGTGCAGGTAAGACTCGGCACATCAATGATCTGTGATGATGATCCCTCCGCATCCACATGCGACAACATGGATGAGTTCCTGCAGACATCGGCCCCATGTAAAAGTCCGAAGTAAATATATATTCTCAACAGGCAAGGAAGAGAGTACTTGAGGGCCACTCTCGCCGTCTCTAGAAAAACATCAAGTCTTTCGCTCGGGTCACTACAACACATACCACAGAACAAATCAAGCACACAGCAATCATGGCCGCCCTCGCGTCAAACATCATCAGCAACCCCTGGTTCTTCGAACCTCTCCAGATCTTCGCAACTCTAGGCGCCGCCGTCAACTTCGGCGGCTCAGTGCTGCAATCGCCTCTGATCATGCCCACCTTGACCGACCACACCGTCGGCGTACCAATCCACTACACAGCCCAACAAACCGCCTACCTCCTGCACAACAGCGAGCACTTCTTCCCTCCTCTCAACGCCCTGTGCTCCCTCTCCAACCTCATCCTCACCAGCACCGCATTCCTGCGCGCCCGCGACGGCAACCTGATCGCCGAGGCCAAGTTCCCCAAACTCGCTGCTGCGTTTGGATTGAATGTTGCAACTACGGCTTGGGCACTATTGATCCAGGTGCCGATGAACAAGAGAATGTCGAGATTGGCAGAGATCCTCAAGGCGGGTGTTGCCAATGGCACCGACAAGGATAGCAGACAGAAGGCTGCCGAGACCGAGTTCAGAGAGCTGCAGTTGAAGTGGCGCAAGTTGAACTATGGTCGCGCTGCCATTATGATTGCTAGTGCTGTTGCTGGTGCTCTTGCGCTGATCGCAAAACCCTGAATAGCGTCAGAGGAATGATGATGTTGTTGGTTTCTGGTATGGTCGTTTTTCCTGTGGGGAGCCGGGAGTTTCTGAGGTGTAAAGCATAAATATTAATGCAAAGAATGCATAGAGTTTGACGTTTCTCTGCTGCTACCCTTTAGCAGCCATCCATTTCTCTGTATCCAGAACATTGCATGTGATGTTTCGCGATCGTTTCCAGTCGTGTTTTTCGGTCCTAAGACGACTTGATGTTCTGACGCTACCGGCTCGAGGCCGGTAGCTCTGGGTGTATGTATCATTACATCCTCTAACAAACATATCGCAGTCTCCGCCGAGATGCGAGCTATCTAGCCTGCGACGTTCTCGGCAACCCTTTCGCCATTCATACCCAGCTTGGCCTCTTGCCTTCCAGCTTGCTGCTCAGAAGCAGGTTCGAAAAGCTTTGCGATAGCCTCGACAGTAGTGTTTCCTCCTGACAAGACGATGCCGATATTCCAGCCTTGCTCGCCGCCTTCTTTTTCGACCATGCTTCTGAAGTTCTCATCGTATAGGACAACGGCCAGAGGGACTGCAGCACTGGGCTCGACAAAGACTTTTGCTCTTTCTAGGAGTAGACGCATGGCAGCTTTGATCTGGTCTTCGGTGACACTGTACATGCCCTTCACCTTTTCCTTGTCGCTGATGATGGCCCAAGGGATCTTACCGAGGGGTGTCCTCAGTCCATCAGCGATTGTTAGCGTCTTGACCTTTTCGATACGAGTGCCAGACTCTACACCTCGTTTTGCATCGTCGGCGCCCTCGAAGCTGGGCTCAGAGCCAAAGACACGGATACCAGTACCGTATAAAGCTGTGGCAACACCGGAGAGCATGCCACCTCCACCGCAGGGAGCTACCACGGCATCCAATCCTCGTTCATCCAAGTCTTTGGCTTGCTCTTCCAGCTCGAGGGCTAACGTGCCTTGACCGAGCATGATATTGGGATGATCGTATGGCGGAACAAGTATAGCTCCAGTATCTTTTATCACATCGGCCACAACAGCCTCTCGTTCATCGGAAGTGGAACCAGAGAAAATGACATTGGCACCGTAGCCCTTGGTGGCAGCAATCTTGGAGGGAGTGCTGATGGTGGGCATGACAATATGTGCTGGGATGCCATGAGTACGGGCAGCCAGCGCAAGAGCTTGAGCATGGTTTCCCGAACTGTGTGTGACGACGCCTTTACTCAGCTCTTCCTTGGACAAACGACTCAATGCGTGGAAAGCTCCTCTTGCTTTGAAAGCGCCGATCTTTTGGTAGTTCTCGCACTTGAAGAAGAGGTTGATACGTGGTCTGGCTGGTGTGCGGTTTGCGAAAGGTGTTCCTTGAAGCGAGTCGGAGGTTTGGGGGGTGGAAGCGAGGTGGGAGATGGTGTCACATGTGATTGTGGGAGTGCGGTGGATGTGCTGCTTGATGGCTGCGTGTGCAGCCTGCACCGACGAGCGCGTGAGAGGTGGGCAGGATGATACGTCACCCATTTTGAATAGAAGCTGACTAGATTGGATGTGACGGCGAACGAGAAACTCTTTCTACAATTGATATGATTCACTTGACCATTCGCGCGGAGGAGTCTTTGTCCGCACGGAAAGCGCGGCGAAAGGGCGTGGCATGTCAACTGAAACAGGAAGGTGGGGAATCCTGGTGGCAGTTTCCTTGGCCGAGGGGGAAAGAGCAAAGCTCCGTGCTCTTTCCGTTTCGTATCGCGCCTCTCTGCGCCCTGCGATAGTTTCCATTACGGTATCGACGAAAGAATTTCCTTTCTCTGCATTTGCATGTCCTCGCCTTTTCGCTCTATCGGCCAGCTGTTCTCCCGTAGACAGTTTATCCTCCCCAAGTGCTCTGTCCTAGCTTTCCGACCTCAACTCCGCCGCCAAACAACCGCCGCTTGGCCTTATATTTATAGACAACAAGCTTCGCCCAACATGGCTCCTCAACTCGATGCATACTTCTCAAAGGTCGACGAGCTTCAAGACCACTTCATTGAGAGACTGAGAAAGGCTGTCGCCATCCCCTCTGTTTCTTCCGAGGATGACAGAAGACCTGAGGTCGTCCGCGTATGTTCATGTGCTCTACCCCTCACTGCTGTCGCGCATGCTGACCATACTGTTTAGATGGGCAAGTTCCTCGAGTCTGAACTGAAGGCCCTTGGTGCCCACGTCGAGGCCCGCCCCCTCGGTCCCCAGCCCCACAAGGAGTATCTCGAGCTCCCTCCCGTCATCATCGCCCGCTACGGCGAGGACCCCAAGAAGAAGACCATCCTCGTCTACGGTCACTACGATGTCCAGCCTGCCGCCAAGGAGGACGGCTGGGCCACCGAGCCCTTCGAGCTCACCATCGACGACAAGGGCCGCATGTTCGGACGTGGTTCCACCGACGACAAGGGTCCCGTTCTTGGCTGGCTCAACGCCATCGAGGCTCACCAGAAGGCCAACATCGACTTCCCCGTCAACCTTCTCATGTGCTTCGAGGGTATGGAAGAGTACGGCAGCGAGGGTCTCGATGACTTCATCAACGCCGAGGCAAAGAAGTTCTTCAAGGACACCGATGCTGTCTGCATCTCCGACAACTACTGGCTCGGTACCGAGAAGCCTTGCCTTACCTACGGTCTTAGAGGTTGCAGTTACTACAGCATTGAGATCAGCGGTCCTGGTCAGGATCTTCACAGTGGTGTCTTCGGTGGTACCGCCCAGGAGCCCATGACCGACCTCGTCCGCGTTATGGGAAGCTTGGTCGACACCAACGGTAAAATCCAGATCGACGGGATCAAGGAGCTGGTCGCCCCTGTCACCGAGGAAGAGAAGAAGCTGTACGAGGGTATTGCCTTCACCATGGACAACCTGCACGAGTCGCTCGGCAGCCAGACCACCATCTTCGAGGACAAGGAGAGCACCTTGATGGCCCGCTGGAGATTCCCCTCTCTGTCGCTCCACGGTATCGAAGGCGCCTTCTCCGCTCCCGGCGCAAAGACCGTCATCCCCGCCAAGGTCATCGGAAAGTTCTCGATCCGCACTGTGCCCAACATGGAGATCCCCGAGGTCAACAGACTCGTCGAGGCTCACGTCAACAAGGTATTCAAGACTTTGAACTCCAAGAACACCTGCAAGGTTGTCGAGCAGCACTCTGGCAAGTGGTGGGTTGCCTCGCCCAAGCACTGGAACTTCACTGCTGCCGCCAAGGCCGTCGAGTCAGTCTTCAAGGTCCAGCCTGATCTTACCCGTGAGGGTGGCAGCATTCCTGTTACTCTTACCTTTGAGCAAGCTACCGGCAAGAACGTTCTTCTCCTTCCTATGGGTTCCAGCACAGATGCCGCTCACAGCATCAACGAGAAGCTTGACAAGCGCAACTACATCGAGGGAATCAAGCTCTTGGGCTCGTACTTACAGCACGTGGCCATTGAGAATGTGAACGAGTCGTAGAAAGATTCTAGAAGAGTTCGAGTTTGAGATGTTAAAGATACCAAAGCATGAATTTTAATTTTCCCTATAACAAGATACTACCTTCCAAGGGGCTCAAGCCTGTCATATCGCAGCCATAAAAATGCACAATACTTTCCAGGACTGAGTGATGTCCTTCGAAAGATTGCTTCCACTTACCTATATGTTCTCCTTCTGGTTGTTTTGTGGTAGAAGTTGCGGCATAGCTGCCTAAACTCACAGTTTGTTCGCAGGGTAAATCGGTATCCAATGAAAGTGTCTCAGGCAACCACTCTCACTGGAAAGTATCCTGGCTCAGGAAACAACCGTGACTTTCAACACCTGCTTTTTTCGTCCCAAAGGTGCTCAGGATAGCAGCTTTGTTGTATATTGTGTATAACCTTGGCGCTTGCTCTTACTGACCCAGACTGTATTCTCAAGTTCCTTAGGCATGTCTCACGACTTTTGTTCTGACTATGCACGGAGAAAAGTGTCATAGGTTACTGGCGAAGCCTTTGAAAAAGCTTTGGACCCGGTGTCCTCTGCTATCGTTGCCTGTGATCGATCGTCTTCAGGACCCGGTTTGTGTCGTCGGCGGCGCATCCGTGCTGATCGGACAAGACTGAAAGCGGAGGAACCACGATCTGATGGCAGACAGCCAGATGCTCAATGTTGTTCACGTTGAGTTGTATATTTTCCAAAAAGTTTGCGTGTGGTGAAAGTGGTTTTGATGCGCGGATTACTGTCAGCGTGAGGGTCAAAGAAAGTACTCCTGTACCGGACACTTGCGATTGTTCGGCCATTGCAATACACAGCGTGTTCGGAGTCTAGAGCGTTGTCCAGTGAGAGCCCGTGGTAGAGCCGCTCTCAGCGGATGATCTCACGAAACCGAGCAACATTGTGTATTTTGACAAGCATGTACTCGGTAGTTGGTGAGTACGAGACTGAAGAAAGAGATGAGGAAACAGTGTCAAGAGAGCTCGTTCTCTGAGTCACAAGATTGGAACAGTCATGCAGTTTGCGACAACGGAGTGTCTGCTGGTATGAGGCTCTGTGCAGTACAAACAGATGGCCCACCGGACGATGTCGGCGCGAGACGGGCGATGACGCTCGGAGGGTCGCTGGGTAGGCCCCTGCGCATCGGGGCACTCGGGGGAGTCCTACCAAATCATCGTCACCCGGTGGAGACCTTTTGACGTCTCACAGCATGTTATCCGGTGCAGTTTGTCAGAAGAATGAGCAGTTGGTTGCTGGGTTGGCAAGGAGCCGTTTCCGCGATACTTCTCGCTTAGCTTTGTGGGATATTTTTCAGAAAGCTGATGGGTGTTGGTCGCGGACAGAGTCGCGCCTTCACATATTACAGCAGGGCCTCGAGGGTCAGCAAGACGGTTGGAAGAGGCTATAGCTCTTCTCATTGGTAATGGATATTGCACAATTTGCTGGAGAAGAGAGTGGCCTAAGACTCGGGGGTCTGGGGCAGAGCCGATGTCGCAGGCCGGCCGTCAAGGGAGCGAGTCTGTGCGGCAGGCACAACGTAGTCACAGCTGCCTTCAAAAAATCAAAGACTCCCACGCTCTTTCCGTTCTACTCATACACACATCCATCATCATGTCTTCTCGTACTGCCAGCAGAACTCTCCGCGCCGCATTGAAGCAGGCCCAGCGCCCCGCTGTCCAGCAGCAGCGCACTTACCTCAGCGCTGCCTTGAACGCTGCCCGCACCACTGCTGTCAAGCAGCTCCCCAGAGCTTCCGTTGCTGCTCAGCAGGTTCGCGGTGTCAAGACCGTCGACTTTGCCGGCGACAAGGAGCAGGTTTTCGGTACGATTGGTTCCCAATTGACGTAGAGATGAGCTGTATCTAACTTTCTTTCCCAGAGCGCTCCGACTGGCCTCGTGAGAAGCTCCTCGAGTACTTCAAGAACGACACCCTTGCCCTCATCGGTTACGGTTCGCAAGGTCACGGTCAGGGTCTCAACCTCCGTGACAACGGCCTGAACGTCATTGTCGGTGTCCGAAAGGGCGGTGCCTCATGGAAGGAGGCCGAGCAGGATGGCTGGGTCGAGGGCAAGAACCTCTTCGACATTGACGAGGCCATCACCAAGGGTACCATCATCATGAACCTTCTTTCCGATGCCGCCCAGTCATCCACCTGGCCTCACATCAAGCCCCAGCTCACCAAGGGCAAGGTACGCTATTTTACACTGCCAGCCTCTTTCCGCATATCGCTGACCAATTCTCCAGACTCTCTACTTCTCGCACGGTTTCTCCCCCGTCTTCAAGGACCAGACCAAGGTTGAGGTCCCCTCTGACATCGATGTCATCCTCTGTGCCCCCAAGGGTTCCGGCCGTACCGTCCGTACTCTCTTCAAGGAGGGCCGTGGTATTAACGCCTCCGTCGCCGTCTTCCAGGACGTCACCGGCAAGGCCGAGGAGAAGGCTGTCGCTCTTGGTGTCGCCGTCGGTGCTGGTTACATGTACAAGACCACCTTCGAGAAGGAGGTCTACTCTGACCTTTACGGTGAGCGTGGTTGCTTGATGGGCGGTATCCACGGTATGTTCCTCGCTCAATACGAGGTTCTCCGTGAGCGCGGCCACTCCCCTTCTGAGGCCTTCAACGAGACCGTCGAGGAGGCCACCCAGTCCCTCTACCCCCTGATCGGTGCCCACGGCATGGACTACATGTACGCCGCCTGCTCCACCACCGCCCGCCGCGGTGCCATCGACTGGAGCGCCCGCTTCAAGGACGCCCTCAAGCCCGTCTTCGACGACCTCTACACCTCTGTCCAGACCGGTGAGGAGACCCGCCGCACCCTCGAGTACGCTTCGCAGTCCGACTACCGCGCCAAGTTCGAGGCCGAGATGGAGGAGATCCGCAACCTTGAGATCTGGCGCGCCGGCAAGGCCGTCCGCAGCCTCCGTCCCGAGAACGCTTAGACATTCAACTCTACAAAAGTGTTTTTGCGTCTCTTCTGCTTTATACGATATGACTTGAGGGTGTTGGGCTTTTCTTTTTTTTTACTACCCTTTCTTTTTCACGAATGTATTCTGAGCTTGTGTTACATACCAAAACGGCAATGACAGGACAAAAGGTTCTTCTTTTTTTGATACAACAAATATTCTCCATCCTCTTATATGTGCAAGTGTTGTCGTTGACGTTTTGGGCTTGCAGCCACTTTTTTGACGTTCGGTCTTGCTTGTGATTTTGATATTCATGCCCGGCATGACATGTTTTGTGAATGACTCGTTGTCCTAGTCTGCTTGGGGTAACTGCGGCTCATCTCTACCTTGCTCTCTTACTTGATCCGCAATTGTATCGCCATCCGCACTTCGACTGGATCATAGACAATCGATAAAGTGCGTCTGAAGCTCTAGAGAGACAAGACACCAACGACAATCAAAGCAGAAGAACAGCAGATGAACCAATATCGGAAAGGTTAACCAAACACCCGAATGGAGCAAGTGCGGAGGAGGCCGATGGAACTACCCCTCTCACGTTTCCCAACCCCTCGCTCTTATCGGCCACTACTATCTCTCGCGCCACTATACCGATTGCGACACCGTGTCACGTTATGTGGTGGATGGATAATGAGCCCTCTTCACCCTTGCTTTGACAGACTTCCATCTTCAACTACCACATTAACCGTTCCTCCTCAATCGGACTATCTCTTCTGCGATCATGACACCTGAAATTGAATATCTGCTTTCTCTCGAGGCTGTCCGTGAAAGGGCTCAGATTGTCTTTGCTGCTGCTCAGAAAGATGAGCTTTTGCATTTCGCCTATCATGTCGACAAGTTGCCTGAAGCTGCTGCTTATGTGACTTCTGTGATCAACGTGAGTTCTTGCTGTCCCCGGTCTGACAGTCTTTTTTTCCCTCACACCGGATGTCTCTCTTAGTCATACTAGAACCATTGACTTGATTGGCACCGCAAAAGTTACATCTACTAACAACCACAACAGCGAGATTTTGGTCCCGACAACTTCGAAGCCATCCCGCCTCATGGCCGCTGGCAACACTTCAACGTCGGCGGCATCCCAAGAATCGACGACCTGAACCGCCAATGGAAGCACGAAGGCCACGACAGAAAAGAACAAGCTCGCAGGTTAATCGATCTTTTCGTTGTTTCTGTGCTCTTGGACGCTGGTGCTGGTGACAAATGGAAATTTGAGGAACAGAAATCTGGAGACACTTATACCAGGAGCGAGGGCATTGCAGTGGCGAGTCTGTATATGTTTTTGGCAGGCGAATTTTCGACGACCGAGAGTGTGGGGCATGTGGTTGATGGTATGTCCTGCTGTCTGCTGAGAGTTGAGGAAATCGGAAAAGCTGACTATTCGTTATAGCCAAAGGACTTCAACGCATTACTGAAGAGATACTCACAAAGGGATTCCAGATCACTGCTGAGAACCCAATGATCGGCGTGGGACCTCGCGCACAACTACTCTCTCGTCTGGGTGACTCTTTACTCCAACACTCAGATATCTTTGGCCCTGAAGGACGACCCGGCAATCTCGTTGACTATGTGATCGCAACCGCAGACTCCGACTCAAAGGAGCTCGACTATCGCGTTTTCTGGTCAACGTTGCAAAAACTGCTCATCCCCATCTGGCCCAAAGATCGCACACAAATCGAAGGTACACCGATTGGAGACGCCTGGCCCTTGAGAGTCCTGGAGAACCAGAATGGAGATGGCAAAGATGATATCAAGAAAACCATCCAACCATTCCATAAGCTTACCCAATGGCTCGCTTACTCACTCATGGTTCCCTTTGTGAATATCCTAGGTTACTCCTGGAAAAACGCTCACCTCGGCACTGGTTTACCCGAATACCGTAACGGAGGCCTCTTCATCGATCTCGGTGTTCTTTCCCTCAAGCCTGAAGCTTTGGAGCGTGGCCAAAAGGCTTCTGGACAACAACTACCCATGTTCAAGGATTGCAGTGATGAGATTGTGGAGTGGAGGGCTTTGACTGTTGCTTTGCTGGATGAGGTCTACAAGATTATTGAGAAGCAGATGACAGAGCAGGAAGTAGAGTTTAGTATGGCGCAGATGCTTGAGGCTGGCAGTTGGAAGGCTGGGAGGGAATTGGCGGCGGAAAAGAGGCCGGAGACGAAGAGTAGTCCGATATTGATTGATGGAGATGGCACGTTGTTCTAGGTGTGTAGAGATTCTTAACATCCAAGCTCATACTCTGGTAGTACAAGAATACACCCCCGAAACGAAGAATTGTCACATGAAAGATAGATACGCAAGAGCCCATAGCTTCCCGCGTCTACTCTTGACCCTGTGTTTGATCTTGTCCTTGTTATCGCTCTTTTCCTCAACATATATTTGCGGACTTTTTGACTCCACGGGCTCTTGCTGACTGCTGGACGAACATCAGTGATGATATGGAACAGCAGAAGGAGTATACACTCACCTCACTCGGCTAAATTCATTGAACTTGTCAAGAGTCGTCCATTTGAAAACAAGAGTTGCGATATCTCGATCTGTGATCTCTGCACTCATTGCGTCGATGATGGGGATTGAGACATGCTCGAGACTCTTCTTGGGCTTCGTCTCCGATTTTTCCATCATTTGCATGGGCGGCGGTGACTTCTTGGAGTCTTCTTTTAGGATATAGGTCCGGTTCATCGTTGCTCTCATCTTGACCACATGGTTTCGAATACTATTGAGATATAGAGTCTGATATTTGGATCTGGATGGATGTCAGAAGATTGTATCAGAAGCAAGTCGTTTGGTTCTAACCTTGATGTACGCGAGAGCGTTGCAACCTCGTCGAGCAAACACATATGCGATGCGACCAAGAAGAGCGCATCACAGACGAAGTTGCACTGAGTCTTGACATTCAGTGGGACCGTCACCCAGTCATGCTCAACGGGTCGAACAAAAGACTCCAAGCGTCGAACAGCGTCCAGCATTCGGTCTGAATTGTCCTGAAGTGCGAAGACGATGTTCTTACTAAAGTTCTTGGTACTGTACTTGAAGAGTTTGGACTTACTTTCGCAGAGCTCCAATTGGTGAATTGCTTTACTGATGTAAGTGAGCAGATATATGTTCTCGGTGTTGAGTTTCGCCTGCATCCTCCCGATGAGGGCCTTGCAAGTGGTCTGGTAAGATGACAACGCTAAGGGCATGGGTCCTGCGGCCTCAGCACGAGCACAGACGATATCCTTTGACATGCTATATGATCGAGGAGAATTTTGGTCGAAAAAGTGGAAGGGGAAGAAGACTTTAACCTGCGAACGATGCTGTTGATACTATAGTCAGGAACTCTCGTCCCGTGCTATGACTCAGTCGCGTGTCGTGGTGGTGGAACGATCTGGATGAAAACATACTCGAGTCGAATGAGTTAGTTTTTCGAATTAGCAAACCATGCCATCGACGGAAGACCAGGATTCTCTGAGTTTCCAGAGCCTGACAGAAACACAAACAATTATCAAAGCTAGGTATATATTTAAGTCTCACCCTACTTGCTTTTTCGTCCATCGAGAAAACCCGACAAATCCTGGATCGCACTCAACAGACCATGGATTGGACACTCATAAGCGGAATCTCCCATTGTTACCCGGCAGTCTCCCCAGAAATACCTGCCACGACAGTCTCAGACGTCGCCAAACGATGCCACCTCTCGTTGAGCTCGATCTACAGCAAATTCCAGAAAGACATCGAGCACATCAACTCTGACCTCGTTCCTGACTTGTCGTCCATCATAACACGTCAGAGATCCATGGTGACGGTCGCCGATGTCACTTCAAAGACGACATACAGCACACCAAGCCGGCTGAACTCGCTGATCAGTCTCGAAAAACAGAACAGGGAGACGATTTCCCAGGTTCACGATCTGATCAAGGATGTACCGGAGTGGGCCTCGGCTCCACAGGTCGTTCACGATAGCCCCAGTCTATGTGCCACGACATTGGAAAAGCAGTGGATGGACTTGGCCTTGATATATCTTCTGTCGAGACCTCAAATGCTGAAGTAGGTTCTGAGCCTAAACGATCATTTCTCCCTGCTGACAGCTGGTAGTAACTCGGGTGTGAAGTGTCAGAGCCGAATACTCATATACCAGCGACAGTGCTTGTCCAAAAGACTAGACGTCTGGAAACAGAAGCTGGCGGTCAGTCAAGAAGAAGACTGCTATATCACGGAACCAAGCGACTGGTCTTCTACTCAACCCTCTGCGGGTATGATGACGCCCCTGGAAGGCTGGAGCGATGTCAATAGCGAAACTACCGAGAGAGCTCCCGAAGACGCGGCCCCCATCGAGTATCTAGAGTTGATCAACGCCGCTGAACAGACCGTAGAGTTCACGAGGTATCTGGGAGCGCTCATGAAGGTCAACTCCCGCAACAGAGACAGATTCGTGGGAATCTTAGGAGAGAATTGTGCCGAAGCGACCGGAATATTACACAACAGATACTCGCACCTCGTCAACAATTTGGCAAAGCTTTTGCACGTACCGCAGCAAGAGCCGTCGCTGGAGCATGTTCCATCAGTCCTTGGTTCTCCTCTGGCTTCATCTACACCTGACCAGGCTGCACACTTGCAGAGCGTGAGCAATTGTCATGAAGACAGGAGCTTGGAGGCAATCTTCAGCGAGATTGGTCCAGAAGTAACAGACGAAGATGTTGCAAGGTTGATTCGCCATTGGTCAACCTGAAGTGTCGTCCGACAAGAGATGCGTGTTTACCTGTTGCTCTGTTATAGTCAGAATATCCAGATATTGGTGAATTCAGAATCCTTTCGCCTAAACCATATCGCTCCAGTATGTGTTGAATCGAGTATATTGATCCTATTTTGAACTGTTTCGAGAACTTTGATATTTGCTCATTTTCTCGTGACATCGGACGATAAGCTTTCGAGGTTTTGTTATAGGAACCATTAAGGTGGTCTCCAGATATCGGACATTGGAGATAATTGTCAGTGGTATGGGTGTGAGGTCGGAGTTGGCCGATAATCTCGAGTTGAGTTCCTCTGAGCGAATAGAGGTAATCTCCACCTTTGGAGAAGCAAAGGTTGAGGCAGAAAGGGCTGGAGAATGCTCCACAGATTCTGCAACATTTTTTGTAAACGTGATGTTGAAACCCACGTCATGTCACTGCTTAGATATAACTGGTCGCTGTCATACTGGTCAGATGATTTTGTGATTGCGTTTCTACCGACCAAGGCCAGGTGGTGCTCAGAAGAAAAAATTCGAGAAACCTACCCTGTCGGGATGTGACTCATGTTGCTCGAACCCTCTCTCCGTCTGCCAAAGAGGTGCTTTTTGAAGCTATCAGGCACCGGTGGGCTGTGTCTTTCAGAACCTGACGACAGTATAAGAGTCACATCAAATCCATTCTTTCTCTGAAATCCAAACTTCTCTGAAACATCGACACAGACTCTTCTGATATCGAAGATATGCCGCACAACTGTTCACAGCCCGAAGACCAAAAGTCTCTCTCCAGTATCCCAGCTATTAAACAAAGACACAACTCGGTTGACATCCCAGCGTCACACTTGAAGGCAAGCCTGTTCGGTTCCGGCTCATCATGTTTCGCAATCGGAAATCGGATCAGATACTCGCACGAGTTTATCAATACAACTAGGTGCATGTATTTCGCCTTTATCCCCTTGATCGCCGAGTTCTATGGCATGGGATTCGCCTTTCAGGACATTGGGCGCATCTGGTCCGATTCACATGTTCAAAGGCTGTGGACGGAGAACGCGACACACACAGCCAAGACTGTACAAGAAGTTGTTCAAGAGATAGCAACAAGCGTTCGAGAGGTCGCCAATCAATGCAAAGCTTGGACTGTCGTTGTTCCGGACCGCGTATTCTACGACTTGCAAAAATATCAGATCCGATTGCAGAGACAGCAACTCATCCTCAACCTCTTGGTGCTTATCATGCGTATCTTGTCATCCAGTGAGGAGCCCGGCCAAAACTATTGTAGTCGCCATCCGGAGAATATAAGTTTGTAAGTATCCACGATCTTTGAAACAAGCAACTGCTGACGTTCCTCACAGTGAAAATGAAGAATTCTTGAAAGCTTGTCGAGACCTTGCTTCGACTGTCGGTATAAGACAAGAGATCAAGAAAAAACTGCTGAAGATCGTCTCGTCAAGTTCAAAGGACGAGGAAATTATTGTCAATACGGCCGAAGAAGAAATGCCCGATGCAGACAACTGGTCGTCCGGGGGATCATCAGCGGGCAGCGTATCTCCAAAAGACGACTGGAGTGATGCTGAGAGCGATAGCTCTGGTAGTAGTTCTTCAAGTCTATCGTCACCATTCGAACCAACGCACGAGTGTCAAAACGCTGATCCGACCAAGGACCAACAGGACAAAACCACTGGAGATAGTATTTTGGAGATTATGTTGGATGGTTTTGAAGATGGGGTCAAGCGAGAAGAGAACTGGTCGGTGGAAGCGTTGGTAGCCAGAAAAGGGGACCTTGCGAAGTTGGCCTTCCATTGGACCAACGTGGAGAATTTCGCAGGTCTCCGAAGGCCCGACCCGATCCCTGCTCATTGAGTGTTTCCCGGAAGATCTGGCGTGGGCTGGTGTACTGAAGAGGGTGATTTACTTGGATTTAGGTACAAAATGGATATGCTTTGGAAATCGGTCCTGTGTCCCTGTTTGCTAGATGTTTGTAACTCAGAAATCAAAGAATGCGCAATGCCTTCGAGAATTGGTGCCACAGCCACTGAGAGTTGCTATATCATCTGTCGTTTTGTAGGCGTAGTCATGCTCAGAATGCATCCTATAAGCTTGATTTATGCAACGTGGCACACGTGTATGCTTCGAGTGTCGAGTAACCTGTATAGATAGAAAGCAAGCCCACTTAGGCTCAGGTTGACCTGCTTGAGACAACCTTTAAGCTTCCAGTGACTCGACCAACAAAGGTTCAAGACTAGAGTTCGGATCGAGATGCAGCAGGTGATGGGGCTGGTGCGGTGTGGTAACTCAGTTGATGCCTCGCGAGATTGTCAGATGATGCGCGGTGGTAGCGCGGCAATGAATGGACGTCAACGAGCAACAGATGATTTGATTGATAATGGTGCAGTCTTGATGGTCGACAACGCGCAGTCGAAGCCACTTATCAGGTACGTGCATCGTACCTGCCAGCGGTACTGGAGATGTGGAGAGGAAGGTAAAAGCTTCCGTGTCGGGTTTGTTGGTAGGCGTGAGGTGATTAGCAGGGAAGGACCCTAACCCAACACTTTCGCTCCTATTTCAAACGGCATCAGTCGCACCTTCTTGAGAAACTTTTTGATCGTTTCTCTACCATCAGATCTTTGCACTTCCAGCCTGCAAGCCCTCAAAATTCGTTGCGGGCTCATACGAAGATACAGGACCGCAGTATCCATGTGCCACAAGCGTTTGCACAACAGGTAGTTGGCACCGCCGGGGCTTGTCTAGCCATCTCAAAGACAGAACCTGAACTGAGACTTGACTCAGCCTCTCCGTGTGCTAAAGTTTGTTACTCCCACAGTCCTCCCACAGTTCCCCTGCGGAGGCTTGGAGCGTGATAACTACTGTATAAGTGTACAGTAATGTCTAGAAGGTATGAGGAGTCCATAGAGAGCTATAGATCTCACGACTCTCAATGACTCTCTCCTAATCCCCGGAGCCACTGTGCAGTTTCACAGCTGCGTGCGTTACAAACTTTAGCACATGGGGAGCAGAGAAACCATCCTTGAGCGCTCGTGAGACCATCTCTTTGTTGCATGAATGAGGTGATGAATGAAACCATGTTCGTAGCTTCCAGAAGTGACAAGAGCTTAAAAGTGCTGGCGTGACACGAGTTGGCAAACTTGGAGTTGCTGATATAAATAGCCGTCGCTCCAGCGTCTCTTGTTTTATCGCCATCGCTCATCCTCCGACCCAGGATTACCAACAGCGTTATGTCTGGCAACTCTCGAAACATGGGCCAGATGAAACGCGACCCGGAACTCGTGGACAGTGTCATGGGATCTGCCAAAGCTTGCACAAACATCTCGGAGAACCTCGACTACCTCAAGCAAACCACAGCTGGATGCCTCAGTGAACCTCTGGGCCTTCTTGAGACCGAGTTTTTTCGGATGGGTCTATCATACACGCTTGTAGGAGACTGCATGAGAAAGCCCAAACCAATCTGGAACCAGAATATCACGCTCTCCATCAAGTTCACACGGGACCAATGTCAACAGATTGCTGAAGAGACGTCAGCCATTCTCAAAGAGCACGGACCGTGGACCGTGAGAGCTACAAGTGGCTCCTGCTATCGTCTTAATGTACTCGCCAAGCGCATGGGACTGTACAGCATGTACAACGAATTGTTTACCAGGACTTTGAAACTTGTTGAGCCTCCTGAAGAGCCTGCCCGACATGGACTACCTGTTTGTTGTCCAGATTCCACATCAAGTCATTATGCAAGGCAGGAACGAGCAGCTGCCTCTGCACGTCAGAGAATGAAGAAGGGCGTCTGTTCTAGCTCTTTCACCGAGGTGGAACAAGCTTTGGAATGGACAAAGAAGTGTTCGAAGGCGCTGCGGGACATTCAAATCACAGAAGCATCGCCTCAGAGATCAGACATATCAGAACATTCAATTATGGACGACTGGTCGACAACCCAATCGACCACAGGTATCATGACTCCAAGCGAAGACTGGAGTGATCTGGGCAGCGATACCACAGAGATCGGTCACGCCCCTGCCATTACCAGACACAGTTTGCAGCTTTGCGGATATGCTACCGCCAACTTTCTGAGGCTAATCAACGAACTGCAGAGCCCGTTGACGCACAGAAATGATTCGGTTGGTGTTGGCGCCGAGGATCTTCAGCGCTTGCACAAAGCCTACGATGAGCTGGTTGTCCTCTTGCTCCATGCGTTGGATGCTCCGGTGCCATCTGAGCTCCATCTTTCATACTTCTCCAATCCTCACCAGGTGGTCAACTATCACAACTTGAGTCATGCTGTCAAAGTGACCGGAAACTTCCTGCATGATAACAACGATATCGAAGAAAGCTTTGGTCATCTGCCCGGATCCACACCAGTCGGCAGAGCCGACATCGAAGCTATGCACAAAGCGTACGGTTATCTCGTTGACACATTGCTCTTGAACTTGGCTGCACCAATACCATTCCAGAACGAGAGATTTGCTCCACGCTCGACACCAGCACCAGTTGCGGCTCTGGCTCTGGCTCAAGTTCCAGCTCCGTTCTCAATTCCAGCTCAAGAGGTTCCCAGGGCAGTCGTTCACGATGTCTAGAGCAAAGTATGCATCGAGAGTATTCTCGAAGCCATCATCAGAAGCATGGAATCTGAACCAACCGACCAGGACATTATGAAGCTCGTATTCCACTGGACCACACTGGACGAATGCAATGGCTTCAAGCGCGCGGAAGTGATGAAGTTTGACTAAGCTCCCACCAACGAGCTTGCATCGAGACCAGGAGAGCAAGACGAACTGGCGATGTCGAGTGCTTTTTGGGGGGTTGATGCTCTGAAAGCGTGGCTGTGACAGGGCGAGGAAAAAAGAATCGAAAAGGACGGTGAAGGGTGATTGTATTTCGATGCAGCTGAGGTGAGCAAAGATAGGCGGGCAGCGCAGGTTGAATGTTTTATTAATGCAGGTAGTGGAGTTTTCGCTTTTCGAGAGCGGTCGGTCGCTTAATACAAAACAGTTTCAAAGGCATCCAAGAGTGAGAAGTCAATGCTGTGAGGATGCATGAGAGAAAGTTGAGAAGCTTGTGTACCTCAGAGAGGTGGTTAGTAAGCACGTCTTTGGTTCCTTTCTTGATGTTCGTTACGTACCTATGCCCATAGCGCGATGCCGCAAAGTGCTCCTTGAACTCGTTCCTGCTACAAAACATGATTCTCATACAGGCTCCAACATATCAAATTATGCGAAGAGTATCAGAGAGGGTAAGAATGAGGGAAACAAGCGCTCAGTCAATTCATTGGTATCATGTCTTCCAAAAAGTACGAATAAGAGCCAAACCAGACATCTATTGAGGGGGCTGGAAAGGCGTAACAAGCATCTCGCTGAACCTGTAAATGATTGTCAGTACACGATTCCTTCACAAAATGGCAGGGTAAGAACTTACTTCTCAAGCTTCTCCTTTCCTCTAACCTCCTCGACGAGCAGAGGCATCTTGACGACGTTGAACTCATCGTACAGATCCTCAATTTGCTCAAGGTACTTCTTCTGCATCTTTCTTCTCGCATTACACTGTTCGCAAGGGTTGTCTTCCTTGGGGAACAACAGCTGGTTGACAACAATAGCGTGTGTGTCGATCTCGTAGCTGTTCAACTCCTGGATCATTCTCTCCGTCTCGTACAGTGACAAGAACTCAGGAATGCATACACAGACAAAGGTAGTCAGGTCTGCATTCTTGAATTGGGTGTTGACCTCGCTGATGGTAGCGCGCAGATCCTCCATCTTCTTGATAATGTCGTCGAGGCTTTGGCCTTGGGGCAGGCCGCCGCGGGCGCCGAGGATGCCGTTGAGCATGGGACCGAATTGACCGGAGAGTTGGGAGATCTTGCCGAGGGCCTTCTCCATGACGGTGGGGAATTGTAGGAAACGGAGGGTGTGGCCGGTGGGTGCGGTATCGAAAATGATGCACTCGTAGCTGAGCGACTTGACTTGCTTGAGGACTTCGGCGAAAGACATGGCTTCGTCAACACCAGGGATCTGTTTGTGTGGATGTGGTTAGCGATGCGCCTTTCTATTGTCAGATACAGCCGCTTACGCTGAAAGCAAGGTCCTGCATCATGTTTCCCATGCCACCGAGACCAGACATGGCCTCCTGAGTCTCCTCACCACCAGCATTGAGCATGTCAGTGATGGAACCATTGGGATCGATCTCCATGGCGCTCAGGTTGTCGAAGCCATTGACCAGACGGGCGTCCTTTCCGAACTTCTGGTTGAAGGCATCGGACAAGTTGTGAGCGGGGTCGGTCGAGATGAGGAGGACGTTCTTGCGGTGCTTTGCGAGTTGGATGGCCAGGGAACAAGAGGTGGTGGTCTTTCCGACACCACCCTTGCCGCCGACAAAGATCCAGCGGAGCGACTTTTGGTCGAGGATGTTCTGCAACGAGGGGGCCATCTCGTCGTCTGTGTTGATGAGGGCGGCCATTTTGGTTGGTATATGTTCCAGTGATCTACGCGATTGGAGATTCGACGAAGACGGTTCTAGTTGTGTAAACACGTGGTGATTGTGAGAGATGATTGTTTCTTGGGAAAGAGTGGCTGGAACATGCTTGAAAGCTGGCATGCGGGGCATCATGCAGCGTCATAAATATGCACAAGTGGCTGTGAATAATTCGGGTATCATTATTTTATGCATCGAAACTCCAAAGCTCCTGCCTATGCTATTTACACCACCATGCCACACCGGACGCCATACTTTTGCTCTTCCTCTATAAGCACTGGTTCAGACAGTGGCCAGAGTACATTCTCCGTGACGGCTTCATGTCAGGTGTGGAACCACGTCCAAAATCCTCGACGTGCCTTTCCTCTTGGAGCGTGTCGAGGCGTGTCTTGACTTGCGAAGGCCACTTCCCGCTCGTTCTGTCAATCTCGAGTCCAGACCTCAGTGCTTCTTCATGCGCCGGACACAAGTAGCTCAAGCATGCCCTGGGTCGAGTATGCTGCCTGCGCCAACTCTGAACAGTGTCTGACCTTGCGGTGAAGTTGGTTGAGGAGGTCATCGATCTCTGGCGAGTCCATGGTTTGCTCAGAGTACAGGTCCAGAAGAAGCATGGCGACATCGCTGGTAAGCTTGATGTAACGAGGGTGGCCGATGTACTTGATCACCCAGCGGAGGATGGGCTGGAGAGATGTCTCATCGCGGCCCTTGAAGGCTGTGCGCATGGCAGATCTGTGACGGAGTGCGGTAAGGAGAGTGAGCATGTTGGGATTGTAGAATTTCTGCGTCGAGTTAGTCCTGTGGTTTGCATAATATGATAATGATCAAACTTACGGTAGCTCCAAGAACCATATCGACGGCCAGAGCATATTTGCCATTTCGCAGAGCAGACTCCCACTTGGACTGGTTTCTGATGTTTCCGCGAGCATTTCCGTCGATGACAATATCGGCACCCTCTCCGGTAAAGTCGCGACCACGCAGAGCCTTCTTGTCGCCCTGTCGCAGCTTCTTGGCCTTCTTCCTATCGTACTCCTCGATAGTACCGGCAACCAAGGCTTGCATCTCCTTCTCCTTTTCTCTTGCTGCTGCTTTCTGTTCTCCTGACAGACGAGTGCGGACCGACAGCAGACCAGACTGCATACCGACTGCGAGATGCCTGTCCTCTCTAGTGGCACCAGCTCCGACAACGCTCAGCGAAAGCACAGGGCTGGGATACTTGAAGCCAGCCACAACGTTCCATGCTGATGTCTCGAAGACCTTTACGTGTCCGTCCAGACCACCACTGACGAGTCTTGTTCCATTGTTGGCCAAGCAGAGCGAAGTGACGGTCTTCTGATGGTTCTTGATCAGATGCAAAGGCTTTCCAGCGACCAGGTCCAGAACGCTGATCTGATTGTCGGCAGCTGCAAGCACCTGGGTTCCAGAGGGCATTGGGAGAACGCTCTCGATGGCAGCAGCGTGCTTGAACGTCATGACGGCACGCTTGGGTGCTCTCGAATCCCAGAGACGAACAGTCTGATCGTAACTACCAGAGACGAGCAGATTGCTGCTCTGACCAGGCATAAAGGCACCGCTACGAACATAATCCTGATGTCCTGAGAAAGTGGTCATGCTAGACTCGCTGGGCAAGTCCCACAGTCTGACAGTCTTGTCGTCACTACAACTCATGATGGAGGTGAGATCGTTCGGGTTCCATCTTGTGACCCAGACGGGCTGCTTGTGTTCCTTCCATGTTTTCAAAATAGCTCTTGATCCAGTGTCGAATGCCTGGATTGCACCACTGTCTCCACCTGCGACAAGCACACGTCCATCGCGACGAATCTCTCCCGAATGCGCAATATCATCATATCCGAATCGCGTGATGGTCTTCAAGAGTTTGCGTGTTTTTGACGAGAAAATTTGGACTCTGCTTCCGGAGGTGACCGCGAAGGTATCTGAAGGCGGCGTTACGAGCGGGTTTGTAGGCAACGGAGGAAACGATATGTGCGTGATGGGATTTGAATGCGGCGAGGGCACCAGTTGTTGTGATCTGAATCCTTTCCAGTAGCGCTGGTCTGCAGTAATGGCCTCGGGTCCAGCAGCCAGCTTAAGTGGCTGCAGCGATTGTACTTCGGCTGCCATCGTGTCGTTGATATGTGATGTTCTCGTCGCAAAAAAGATGGCCGAAAGGTGGAGACGCTTTGGACTTTTTTCGAGATTCATCTTATCTTATCCATCAACCATCGGACATCGACGCACGGACAGATCGCCCGGGTCACCCCCTTGACCATCAGAAAAAACAGTCGGCGACGTGTAGCAATCGCAATATCTAGATTTCTGATCTGAGACTAACACACAGGTCTCTAGGCAATTTTTCAGACGGCAGAATCAAGTTAGAACGCATCAAAGTCTGTAGGTCGGGTGTTACAAGCAAATTACTCCAGACTGACCTCGTATTTCAGAGAGTCACTCTTGATGTCTGCTCCGTGTAGCGGACTCAAGACAATCACAGTATACATGCAAAAAATGAACAAAAATTTCCCGATCACCTGGGGTCTTATCAGTTCCAGCATCTCCTACTATGCAAGCAATCCACGGGTCAAGAAGGAGTAGCGATATGATATTTCCAGATCATGTCTTGGTGACAAGAGCTGATCCCATCAGTTCGATGGGATCAAAGGTGTCATGGATTGACATGACACGGTCGCTATCCACTCTACAGCTGGAAGCGACCGTGATGTGGAGTGAGACTTACAATCTACAGTGCACCTGACTCACCGTTGACACGTCTACTCGCGACAATCTACGAAAGCTCACTGACAATCACGAAGCAGATACAGAAAAAGCGAGAAGAAAACGAGAAGCAAGAACCAAATCTCTGTTTTTGCCCATAGGTAAGCACTCTCAATGATAAAAGGCCTGCCTTTTTGCCCCCAAACCCCAAACATTGATGATCTTGCCATGGTCTTTTGCAAACAGGTAGGTAGAACGGGAAAAGAAGAAGAGGAATCGCGACGACAGAAACTCTAGATCAAGCCATGAACGATGAACGGTTGATGCTCGAACTTAGAGCTCATCTTCGAGGAACTTGTAAGCAAACTTGAAATCGCCCTTTCTACGGTTCATCCTGTGTAATATGTTAGGGCGAGTAATAATGATTTGAAGGATTAGTGGTCAGGATGCGCGGCGTACCATGTGCTTTCGTAGTCGAAGAAGCGATATGTTCCTTGTTCGTACTCCTCGGTGATGTTCTTAGGTTCTTCGTGTCGTTGGAACCAGGTTTGGTACTGCTTATGGAAGCGCCAACTTTGACTCTTCAATGCCTTTGCAGCCAGGAACTGCTGGTAAGTGCCCTGGCGGTAGTAAAAGGCGTAAAACAGTGTATCCGTCTCGATTCTACTGTACAGTCGTGGGTCGTCAAACACGGTAAGAGGCTCCTGGGGATAGTGAGCCGGTGTGTAAGCATAGGGCGATGCTGGCTTGTAGTGGTAGGGCTTCTCGGCGTCCATGGGTGTCGGCATGCTACTCCGCGACAAAGACAGCAGGTGGTCCTCGGGTACTTGGGGATTCGCCGAAAATGCGCGCTCCTTTGTGGTAGTGAAAGATTCGAGCAAATCGCTCAAGCTTTCCGGCAGATGGTAGTAGGACACATCTTCTTGCTCTTCCTCCTCCTCTTGTTGTGGTTGCTGCTGAGGTTGCTTCTGTTGCCTAGAAGACTCGCCATTTGTAAGAGCGACGCCAGAGTCCTGCGATGGTTGTTGTGCTTGCTTCGCGCTCTTCTTGACCTTGGGCTCCGGGGCAGGTGGAGTAGGCTCTTGAGCAGGCGAGGGAGTCTTTGCCGGAGGTTCTTGCGGCTTGGCGGGGGTAGGCGGCGGGGGCTGTACGGGCGAGGGCTGTTGGGCGACTGGTTGTGAAGGGGTCGGAGCGGGGGAGGCAGTCGAGCTGGTACGGGCAGTTGCAGCGGTAGCCCCTGGCGGCGGCGGCAGAGGAGCAATTCCAACACCACTCTTGTCGCTCGCGGCAGCGGCAGCAGCAGCCGAGGCGTACTTCAGAGTTTGACCAGTTGGTATATTCGGCAAGGGAGCGGGCTTCATGCCCGGCGGCGCGCTGCCATTCACGCTACTCGGTATCGAAGCATGCAACGTGGCCAAGGCAGGCAACGGCGACTTGAGCTGTACTGACGACCTCCTCGGTTGGGCGCTGGGAATATCGACTGATGACTGCTTGGTGAGCTTCGCCGGTGTAGGCTGTGCAACCTTGGTTGGCGGCTCGGGCAGGTCCGGTGTATCGTCGTGTTGCGATTGGTTGTCCTGTGAGGACACGCGATCATCCTCACCCTGCAAGCCGAACATTTGCTCGTCGGCGTCAAGATTCAGGTCGTCGTAGATGGTGTCGTCTTCCATAAAGTCGACCTCTTGGTTGTTCTCGACATAGTACTTGATGCCCTCTTCAATGTCCTTGACTTGGTCCGTGTCCACGCCGCCGTTCTCCAGTGACCGTAGTAATAGCTCGAGCTTCCCTTGGTGCCATTTATGTCGTTCGGCCATGCGTTCGAGCTCTGCTATCCGGTCGGCCTTTGCTGTATCCTTCTTGCCCTTCTTCATGTTCGCTTGTAATGTTTCGGCCTCGGCTTCTGTGACCTCAATTTGTCGTTCCAGCTCTTCGACCATATTCCCCAAGAAGTCGCATATCTCCAGTTTCTCCTTCTCTTTCGGATCGAGCTTTGCGGCGGCGGATAGTCCTTCTTTGGAGAAGGCTTTTGTCTTCATTTCCTTTTCGACGGCCTTGAACTTTTCCATTTGCTTTGACATGCGTTAGCGGCAAACGTGAGTGAGTCAGGAGAGCTCTCAGTACCGTCTCGATCAGCTTGCGCTGATCTAGCAATGGTTTCTTGTCCTTGATGTCATTCTGGGCAGCCCATGCTTTGATCTGATCTCGCGACCTCTGTAGCTTCTTGATCTCCTTTTTCAGGTTGTCCTCGAGCTTTTCCTTCTGTGAGGGATTTGTCGATTGTTGCAGCTTGTCGTATATGCCTTCGAATGCCTGCACACCTTCGGCCACTCGTTTGAACGTCTGTCGCGTGTCAACAGCTGGGTCAGGGGTTGGCGCATTGGGGCGCGCACCTTGTCAATCTCTTGTTGTAGCTTTCGTTGCGCCATGGTTGGTTATGTAGCCCTCGTGGGTGGGTGTGGTGCGAGGGTCGACTATGAGGATGGCGAAGCAGCTCGGCGTCGCTTCGGTGGGGGGATATCGAAACCAGGGAGACGGTGTGGCAGCTCTCCATCAACTCGGGGCGATGGGCAAGTTGGCACAAGCGGAGACGAGTCGAGATGTGGATGCTGCTTTGTGCGACTGTGTCTGGCGCACAACTGCGTTGCGTTGGTTGCCGTCGTTCGCTCGTCCGCCAAGCAATCCCAAAGGTCAAGTTTACGTGCGTTTGTGCCGTTTGACTTTATCGAAACATCCTGTCCACTTCTATCCGACCCTGTAACATCCATAATCGATTCCAAGAGAAGCACAAGGTAGATCAATTCGTGTTGCATCGCTGCAATCTCATAGTTTCTCTCTTCGCCCTATCATATCAGACCAACACCATGAGAAGTACAGTCCACTGCTCTATTCTCTCCTTCAACCATCATATTGATTTCCTTCAGCTGTCATTCAACGGGTAAAATCAGCCTCAGTCACGGTAGACGGCCAGCTTATCTCAACAATCGGCAAAGGCTTGCTTGTGCTAGCTGCGATTGGCAAAGATGATACTCAGAAGGAGGTCGAATCAATGGCCAACAAGATCTTAAAAGCAAAGCTGTGGGACAACGACGAAGGCGGCAGATGGAAATGGGGTGTCAAGGATATCGAGGGAGAGATTCTCTGTGGTATGCCTAGTTCACTATTCCAGCAATATCATCTTCTGATCAGAATTTCAGTATCACAATTTACTCTGCTTGCCTCTGTCAAGAAGGGCAACAAGCCAGACTTCCACAAGTCTGCCAGCGGAGAGAAAGCCAAAGAGCTCTATGACCAGTTCTTCAAGAAAGTACAAGCCTTGTACCAAGCAGACAGAGTCAAAGATGGCGTCTTTCAAGCCATGATGGATGTGGCTTTAGTCAACGACGGACCGGTAGGTGTAGATTATACGTGCGAAGATGGCGCGGTAAATATCTCAATGTCTGCCAACGTGCTTGATGCTGACATGTTCTTCGTCGCAGGTCACTATCCAGATAGACACGGATCCTCCCAAGATGGACAACCCTACTAGCTTCGACCTTCCTGGCGACCCTCTCACACACAAGGGAAAGCTGCAGACGACATTTGAGCTTCCAGCTTCGCTCTTAGAGTAGTCGGCCTAGCAGCCCTATTACTCTGCATACTATAGCCTCAGCTGTTTCATTCCTCGAATGGCTCTTTCCTTTCACTACCATGATACCAATTTTAGAGCACAGGATAGACACTTTTCCAAATATCAACCATGACCAGATGTCCGATCAGACATGATATCTAGTTTGCTCCAGCTTCCTATTTGCAGTACAGTGTCTGCATGCAAGGTGTTGTCAAGGGTCGAATATATACATCTCAAACAGGCAATCGGTTGGTGATCTGTGGGGTAGCATCTGGCGCATAGAAGGCCCTAGAAGCCATCAGCATCAACAACTTTCACTGTGGACAATTCATCCTGCTTGCTGTCTTTCTTCTTGTCGCATGACCTGTTACTCTTCTGAATTGAATACTACCCCGTCCACTCTTACATACACTCGATCCAAAATGGCCGAGACCAAGCGCAGCCGTGTCTTCTTCGACATCAACATTGGCAAGACCAATGCTGGCCGTGTCACTTTCGAGTTGGTAGGAACTTCTCCACTGCTCCTCACTCACACAACAAGCGACTTACTCGAAGCGTAGTACAACGATGTTGTTCCCAAGACTGCCGATAACTTCCGCGCATTGTGCACCGGCGAGAAGGGCGAGGGAAAGAACGGCAAGCCCCTCCACTACAAGGGCTCTGGTTTCCACCGTGTCATCAAGTCTTTCATGATCCAGGGTGGTGACTTCACTGCTGGCAACGGAACTGGTGGTGAGAGTATCTACGGAGAGAAGTTCGAGGATGAGAACTTTGAACTCAAGCACGAGAAGCCCTTCCTGTTGAGCATGGCCAATGCTGGTCCTGGTAAGTTTCCCAGTCGCTGGACTACACACGAGTATCTGCTGATCATTGCTCTAGGCACCAACGGCTCCCAATTCTTCGTCACCACCGTTCCCACTCCCCACCTTGACGGAAAGCACGTTGTCTTCGGAGAGGTCCTCGGCGGCAAGAGCATCATTCGCACTATCGAGAACACACCCTGCGGCCCCAACGACAAGCCCAACAAGGAATGCGTAATCGTCGACTGCGGTGAGCTCACTGGAGAGGACTACAACAAGGCCGCCGAGAAAGTTCCCGACAGCACTGGAGACCCCTACGAAGACTTCCCCGAAGACCAGGGCGAGGACATCCCTGGACTCGAGATTGTCAAGATTGCCAACGACCTGAAGACCAGGGGAACCGATGCTTTCAAGAGGGGAGACATTGCTCTCGGTCTCGCCAAGTACCAGAAGGGACTGAGATACCTGCACGAATACCCCGAGGCTCTCGAGAACGACCCACCAGAGCTTGGCCCTGCTTTGGCTTCGCTCAGAATCGCTCTTCACTCCAACAGCGCTCTCTTGCAACTCAAGCTCAACGACTACGCCGACGCCGAGAAGTCTGCCACCAACGCTATCGCAGTCTCCTCAATCAAGGCACCGGAAAAGGGCAAGGCTCTGTACCGCCGCGCTCTGGCAAGAGAGGGTCTCAAGAATGAGGAGGACGCAGTTGCAGACTTGGAAGAGGCCCTCAAGGTTGTGCCTGATGATGCAGCAGTCAAGAACGAACTGGCCGCCGTCAAGAAGGCTGCTACCGACAGAGCAAAGAAGGAGAAGGCTGCCTACAGCAAGTTCTTCTCTTAGAACATCTACACGACATCACGACCATTACACGTTACCAAAAAGCGAGGCAAGGGGAGCATTTGTGTATCTATCATTAAACAGGAAGGATAGAAAGGAGTTATGGGCGCAAGCATAGCGTAGCCGACCTTTCTTTCGTTGGAGCAACGATGCACAATCTCCAGATAAGAATCAATCTTCCAATCTTGTGCTGTGCGACTCTTTGTGCTTCAAATCTTCATTCTGTGTGAAACCACGACTCGTGATATGAAGCTTCTTCAGCCGTGTCTTCAGCTCTGTGTCAACAACCCGGCAAAGCTTTGATAGTCTTCACGTAAACAGTCACAAACCATGCCGAGCTGTGGTGGATCTCACGAGCATCCGGAAAACTCTCCAGCGCCCGGCGGACGGTCCAGCTAGATACAAACATGCCTGGCCATGGCACCATGCCGGGTCGGCAATTGATGGCACAACGCTAGAGCAAAAGATGAACCACACTGATAAAAGAGCAGTCCCGAACATCGGGTCCTGCAGCGCCTGCTCCCCTATCTTTCAAGCCCCCAAATCAATCGTCAGTAATGCGGCGCAGAGGCTTTTTGTATCTCCCTCAGTTGCTCGCTTAGAGATAGCTGATTGCGATGATACAATGCCGCCCGCAACTCCGCGAGCGACTTTTGGCTTTTGCTGTTCCTTGCATGACATCGCTCTCAAGTCTAGCAAAAGCCAGATAAGCGTGGCACTGCATGGTTGCAGCATGGAGCGATCAATGGTAGATCTACATACAAAAGAAAGCAACCATCTTCGCGCGCGACGATATTCGGGTGCCATGTGTCACGAGGCAAGGGCGTGGAGAAACAAGTCTACAGGATCAGCCTGTCAAAACCAATGGAACAAGTGAACCATTGCTCAATCGCTGTCAATCCCGCCCGCATCTGGATCTGTGCGGCCATCTTATTTCCCAAATTCCGGGTCATCTCTGCCAAAACCGCCGAGGATGGGAACATTCTGCGTGCTTGACGTTCCAAACACGACTGGAGGGCCAATGGAGATGCTGCTCTCCCCACGTTCCATGGCGCTTTGGTTGGTTCGCGACACTGCATGCTGTGACGTTTCCTTCCTCATCTCTCTCCTCTCTCCTTGACTGAACATGACACTGCTGCCGAAAGGCTCCAGCAGCCAAAGGATTCCACACACCTCTGTCTGACAATCGATAAACCCGTAGGATGCCAAGCGAGCTAAGGTTTTTAACTTGCCAAATGTGGCGCTCTAGTATGTCGACGGAAAAAACGACCCTACTCTCCTCCCTTATCGGCGCGTTTGCTGGCAAGCAATGTAGAACCTCCCCACTCTCCCGACAAAACCCTTAGCGGAACCGTGGATTCTATTATCCAAGTATTACCATAGAAAGTGCCAATGCTACGGTAGTGTTTGTTTCTGCTTTCCTTCTCATCTTGTTTTTCTCTCTATCAAGCAGAGAATTTCCTTTTCTTTTCTTTTGCTGGAAGTTTCCAGTCACACTCCTTTTTTACGCTTCAAGCCCTCGGATAACGCTTGTCTTGGTTGGATACTGGCGTCGAGATCGTATCGAAGGATTTTATGTTTCATCGCTCTCTTCTGGACATCTGACGCGCTCTGAAAGACAACTCCCCCGGAGACCCTGATCCGAGTCAGCTAGCCCACACACTGTCACACACATCCCTTCTGTTCCGGACCTTCCCATGCCGTCATAGGTACTCAGTGTGCTTTTTGACTCGCTCTCCGCTTGGATATATAGTCAGAAGATGACGGCGAAAGTCTTCACGAGCGCTGCACATGCACGAGGTCCTTTTGTTTCCCATACGAATTTCACTTCACATTCCACGCGGATTGGCCAGAACGAGCAATATACTTCCAGACCGGTTTACAAGAGGGCCAGAACAACGCCTAACGAACTGTTGCGCGAAATGCAAGGACTACAGATAAGGACGCCAGCCAACGGTGGCAGCCAAAAAATCACAGTCGAATCGTCGAAAAATGGTTTAGAAGATCAAGAAATGCTCACTCCTCCTTCTACGCCCGCACGGGCAAAGCTCGATGATCAGTTTCCTTCGAGGCGGTCTCTGGATGCTTCTCACTCTCGTGTCCAGGAACTGCACTTCACTCCTGACTTGTCACAAGCACAGTTGCTGGGTGAAGGCGTGTGGAGTAAGGTATACAGCAGCCCAGCCCTGCCTTCTCGTCAGAGTGAAAGCGGGCGTCCTCTGACCCCACCATCAACACCACACAGGAGTACCTTTGGATCTTCTGAACAGTATGCAATCAAGACAGCAACACGCTCGGACGCAACTGGAGTCTTCCAAGCTGAAGCTCAGATACTCACTCACATTCAAACTTACGAATCGAGTTCGGACTACGTGGTTCCCTTCCTCGGTCTATGCACAGGAACACCGACTCCTTCTCTTCTCTTCCAACGTGCAGACTTCGGAACTCTAGAATCCCTTCTCGAGTCCTCATCCAACCTTCCCTCATCATCAACTCTGGATCTCTTCCTCCACGTGTTACAGCGATTAACCCACGGCCTTTACTTTCTGCACAACACAGCGAACACCATCCACGCTGACATCAAACCCGCCAACATCCTCCTCTCATCGAGTTATGACTCATTACCAACAGCCCGCTACGCAGACTTTAGCACCAGTTTCGTGGCTGACACTACACCATCCTCACACTCAGGCGGCGGCACCTACTCCTTCATGGCACCCGAACAACTCTCCCGCGATGCTGATCTCTCTATCCCAACTTTCTCTTCGGACATCTATGCTCTAGGTATCACTCTGCTATCCTTCCTCTGTGGCGGCAACCCTTTCGAGTCCTTACTCAACAATGGCTTTCGCCTCAGAGAAGCGGTAAAGATGGGTGATGCGATGAGTTGGGCTATGCAAGAACCTGCTTTTGAAGCCAGAGTTGAGCAATTGCAAAAGGAGTGGCAGAGGAGAAGAGGCGAAGGAAACATATTGAGTCTTGTGGCTTGCGCGTTGAGGAAGAAGAGGGAAGACAGAGTTGATGCTGGGGCTTGGTGTAGGAAAGTTGATGCGTTGGTTGGGAAGTTGAGCAAGGTGGAGTCGGTAGGGTTGGGGATCAGATGTTGATGGGAGGCTTTGATTTTTGCATGACTGGAGTTGCTGGGTTTCTCTGATGATGGGCGTACTTGGCTTTCTCTTTCTTCTCCTCTTTTTTTTTCACTTCTCATTTACGGCACGATACCCCTCGGCAAACTTTTACTGGGATACAGGACAGGATTCATATAGGTTACATACACAGCAACGACTGGGACGATACAGAACCAAAACGAGTATTTTCTTCACACGATCTTCCCTTTCAAGAGCTGAAGTCGCTGCCCTGTCATAATCATCTGCCCCTTCCACCAATTTGTGGATCCAAGCTACTCACCCATAAATTCACGCCAGAGGGTAGTTATACGGTGCCCCATGGATATCTGTACTCCTCTTGAGAGTAACCATGAGCCATATCGGCTGTGATCCCACCTCGTTGGCCGGCGGTGACTATTGTGGCAGGAGCTACGCTTACGTTATTGTCAACAACATGGTGTATACTTGCTTTGATCCTCGAAGCATAAGGACGACGTCATTTGTACATCGAATCGTAGTCAACATCTGGCGGCACCACGGCATATGCATTGGGACGATACTCGTTGCTCGACAAGCACGCTGCATGTACTACACTGTAAATGAAGTGCCAGGGTCAGTGTCACTCATACTTAAATAGTGACAATCGTATCTGCATCTCTGATTACGGCAGGAGCAGAAGAAAAACAATTCAACAAACGAGGAAGGAAACACCATTGACGGTTAATTGACATGCAGGATCTCTGCCATGCTTTCCGAACACATCTGTACACCATCTATTTTCTTCTATACCTCTATCACTTTCAAATACGCTTGATAAAATCCCACAGATGCAATCCACCAACCCCAAGCCACCTCATTAGCATCTCTCCAACAGCTTTGTTTGCCACCTCCCCACCAGTAAACCATTTAAACCACACCATCACCAAAAGCACTCTGACCAAAATGTCAAACACACCAATCAACCCCTCAAAGCCAAAGAGATAGGTATCAGCGATGAAAATCTTCATAACTGTACTCCTATAAACATCTCGCAGTGAGACAGAAGCCGAAGGTGGGAAGCTGGTGGGTTCGTGTTTGAATAATTGTTTAGCTGCTATCGCGGCATACTTTGCATCGTTGGCGAAGTTGGAGAGAACAAACTTGTCGAGAGGTGAAAGAGGCAGGCGACGAATATCACTCACGCTGGCCAGGTCGTGCAGCTCGGTGTGTGTATCAGGGTATGCGGTTGCAGGAGGTGGGGAGCGAAGACGCTGGAGCAGATGCCAACGGTATTGTTCGAGGGTGTTGAAGTTGGATGCCACTGGGCTAGGAGTAGAGGAGCCAAGGAGTATAGAAAGGTGCTCGGGGTTCTCGATAACCAGTGTTTGGTTCTGTGGGGAGGTATGCAGGCTCTCGCGATCAAAAGCTTCAGTGGTGTGTGCGTAATGTGCAAATCTCGTGTAGAAAGCTGGTGTTAGGACTTTGAGTGTCAGTTCCTTGGGTTTTTGATCTTTTGTGACATCCTTGGACCTCAAGACGGTTGAAGTCCCCAGGCCGCCCGCTGGTGTATACGTGAGTTTCAAAGGCGAAGCTGCCGAATCCACCAGATAGCCAAGATAGGCAAGGAAGAAAGCTTCCATGATGGCTTCAGAAGAGGTATGTGTGCGACCAATACTTGAAGCCAAAACCTCAGGTCGAAACCAGACGTGGAGTTTGCGCTTGAAATATAGTTTATACGCTTGTGCGATGATTCGAGGGAACGTCAAGAAGCCGACCCAGAACCAAGATGCGAGAAGATTGATAACTTGAGAAGTAGTCATGGTGGTTGGATCCATGTGATCGCCATCAGAGTACACACGTGCAACAAGTTTGGCATGAGCTTTGGAAGAATTGAGAACAACGATGTTGTCCAACACCTTGGCACCAGACTTCAGAGCAGCAACTGGATCAGCAGCTGTAAGAGAATATGTGCCTTTGCGTGAGTTGAATGGCGAGACGTGGAAATCTTTGACCCAAGCATTTGTGAACTTTGTCGCTCTGGCGGGTGCTTCGAAGCCATCTGGGACAGATTCATCTGTGGCTTTCTCCTCAGCTTTGAGGAGGTAGAGGCGACGCTCTCCGAAAGTGTTGTTGACTTCGAGTACCATCATAGTGAGCTTCTTGGAAGTATCGTAGATGTACCAGAATGATACTGGATTGAATGAGTAGCCCAAGAATTTTGGCGCTGTCACGAGATAAGCGAAAGACCAGACTTCATCCGGGACGCCCTATAACAGGTCAGCTATTGGCATCATGAGACCAACATCGTTTAAACATACCTCTCCACGAAGGTAGCACCGCAGACGCGCTTCAAGTCCACGCTCTTCTCCACCTCGATACAGATAGTCCGAAGCATTCACGTTGAACCAGCCCTTCCTTCGCTCACTCAGAGGCAGCAACTCCAGATTGGTAGACAACATAGACCCAGAACATCCCTTGAAGTCTACAGGCACTCCCACAGAAAAGTACGAGTATGCAAAAGAATGCTGTTGAGGGAACATTCGCGAATGTGTGGTGCGTCCAGGAAGCAGTAGAGGCGGTAACAACTGCTCAGTTGTAGATTCATCCCCCGACTCAGGAAAAGCTTGGAATGGTTTTGCTTCTCCTCTCCATACAATCAGACCAGCAAAGATCATCAGCAGTACGAGGAAGGCAAAGACTTGTAGCTCCATAGGCCGTGTTTCCAGAATCCATTGTGGAGGCTTTAGATCATGGATTCCATAGTAGTGAATCCCGACCGCTAGAACAATCGCAGCATCTGTGAATGCTGTTGTCGAGTATTGGCTTCTCAATAGCCATAGTGGTTGTGTGAGCGCATGGAACAGTGGTCGGACACGGGATATCAGGCTGAAGTGCGCGAAAGATAACAAGACGACAAACACAGCATATACATTCCTGCGGGACATGTGACTGCCGCGGTCTGTTTGTACACTCATTCCACTTCGATTAGCAAGGTGGCATTGTTTGATAAATCGGGTGGTTGGCGATCGTGAAGCCTTGACTCGCAGAGCCGCATCGGAAGCAGCGGCAATGTCAATGACGTTTCGCGACACGAGATTTGTATTGTCCAAACCAGACATCAACTCTTCCAACTCAATCATCTATGTCATGGTTGCCAACATATCTAACATGGCACTCGCAACGGTGCAAGACAAAGTAATGGCATACAGTCCATGGTAGATCTCTCCTTCCTCATCAGAACACGTCTACAACTTCGGCATCATCACCCAGCGGCCACTCATTATCTTTCTTCAAACCTCGAAGCTTCTCCGTCTTGTTCCATGGTATACTTCCATTGCGATCTCCAGTATAAGTATCCATACCACCACAACTACCTGGTATGCGTGCTTGGATTCTTTGCAGCAACGCCCGCGGTGATGGTCTGCGAGCTGGATCGTATCTCATGCATTGCCGTACAAGCGCTAGCAAGTTCGGACTGTAGTTGCAATTCGCATGTTGGAAACTGTGGGGATGGAGTTCTCGCTGATTGGGGTCATGAAAATGAAGTTCGTCGTTTGGATGGATTGATGACGGTCCCGTACGCCAATCGGTTTCCCTGCAAAGAGAGAGATATGTTAGTCCGGGCTGCAATGTTCCGTTTGGCGACAATTCAGCAGGAAGCAACTTACGGAAGGTAAAACTCAAGTCGCATCATACAGGTGATGACCAATCCTATTTGCCACACATTGGTTCTGTGCGACACTTTCAAGCCATCGACTTCCCAGTCTCCTCTCATCACGCCGAGTTCCTAGACAGATGTCAGCTACTTCGAGACGGAGTTCGAATTTGTTTGGCTCTTGGTCTCACCGGAGGTACAAAGTTCATTTGCATCGTTTCAGGAGGGGTAAATCGACTAGCCACCATCGCGTCGATTACTCGCGAAGAGCCAAAGTCGGATAGCTGGGATATGTGTTAGCAAAGCGATCCACATTACTATTGACTGACTGCAATCTTACCTTAGGGGTCGGCCATATCGCGAATCTATCGGGATCATGTTCGCCAAGCAAAACTGGATGGAATGATTAGTGTACGTCCTGCCCTCCCATCAAGGTAACGACTTACTGTTGGTGGGACACAAGTCTCCATGCAGAACATTCGCTCTTTCCATGGCCACAGCACACTTCGCCAATGCCTCAAACATCCTCCACACAAAGCCCTCATGGAAAGGCACATTGCTGGTTCTGTTCGTCCTCGGAACCAATCGACCATCAGCCCTCCTTACTTTCTGCACGCGCATATGGCCACCGGGACTCCTGACCCTTGGTACTGGCACCTCCCTCTCGTCAACCTGCGCTTTGATGACATCGTGCAAGTCACCGTGCGGACAGTACTCAAAGTACAACTTATAACTCGGAATGCGATGCGTGATAGGTTTCCCCCTCAATGCAGGGACCGGAGCTCCCACCATTGGATGGGGTTCAAAGATAACTTTGTTGCCAAACCCCGTCGCGTATACGAAATCTGGATCTTGCAGGTCTCCATAGCCAAGGCATCGAGTAACGAATCTTCCATCGCCAGGATTCTCGGCTTCCAGTGCATCGTATACCATGTTGCAGATTCAGGCTTCTCTGGGCTCGCCTCCGACTTTTTTGTTGCGCCACATAGTGGGTAATGACCAAGCTTCAGTGCCTGGAAAGATGTTCTTTACAATCACACGGTCGATGATGCGATTGTTGGCATCGACACAACACCAGAGATGTACGATACCTTGTCCGCCCTCTCCAAGTGCTTGTTCGTTTCCTGCTGCGTCGCGCGGAGCTTGGATAGGTAACCATTGGCCCTGTTGCAGTAGAGGTGCTCCATTAGTCACTTCTGGTGCTTTGAACGCCCATTTTATGAAACTCGAGACGAGTCGTGTTTGAGCATTGTGGGCGAGCTCTCCGAAGGCTTGAAAATTGAGAGCTGGACTCAGATTCATGGCGTGGGAGTATGAATGGCGATAGTCGGGTAGGTTGGTGTACAGATCTGCTTGGAAGTATTTCTCGAGCTGGGTTTCTGGCATATCAATGCCACTTTGTGAGCCGCATGCGGACGTGGGCTTGCCAAAATCGGTCCAACGTACAAGAAAACACAATTTGGTAAAAAAGACTGCAAATTCCTTTGTCGTACAGTCATTTACATCAACAGGTGCAAAGGACCAGGTAATCATATTCCAATAAGCAAAGAAGCAAAGAAGCAAACCAAGTAAGCTGTGTAACTAGCCGTTCGAAATCCTCTCCTGCTTGTAAAGCACTTTGCTGTTGCAAACCAAAGAAAGGAACATAAGTAATGTGAGGATCAACCGATGGAGATACAATCCCTACAAAGCGATAGTATTATAGCATCTGCGAATATCTGAACAGGAGTCATGGGTTCTACCCGACAATAGTTCCCAAGAGCCAATCACACTCTGTCCTGACGAACTTCGACCTCTTGCCCAAAACTCCAAAAATCTTTCAAATTTCCCTTCAATCTCTCCGGCTTGTTCCAAGGAATCCTTCCATTCACCCCATACGTATCAAACCCCTCGAGATGATTGCGCATACGCCGCTTCACTCGCTGCAGCAGCCTTTTGGCTCCCGGTCTCCTCCTCCGACGGTATCTCAAACAATCTTCGACAAGTGCTAGCAGTTCATCGCTGTAGCCGGCTGAACTGTGCTGGAACTTTCTAACCTCTCGCTGAGCTCTGATATGGAATAGAAGCTGTCTGTTTAAAGGTTGTGGTGGATTATTGGTCGTACGCACGGTTTCCCTACAGACGAAACTGTAATCAGTACAGAGCGAAGATGAGGTGAGCGTCGAAAGAGGGACACTTACAAGAGCTCTGGTTCCAGGCGCATCAGACAACAGATGATTGCACCGATACCCCAGATATTTGTCTTCCTGGTGACACGCAAATCGTTGACTGCCCAGTCTCTGTTGGCATAATTTCGGGTAAGCTCCTAGAACTATTGTCAGAACACATGTCACATGGATCGATGGTTATGAGCAGCTCGTGATGTTACCGGTGGTGTGAAGTATGGGTGCATTGCTTCGACAGGTCCCCGTCGTCGTGCGGTAGAGCTATTGATAATGCGCGCTGACCCAAAGTCAGACAGCTAGATTACTGTTCAGCTATGCCACATTGGATCAGCGAATGTCGAACTTACCTTGGGAGTGGGCCAGATCTTGAATCGCTGGGGGTCGTTGTTCGATAGCAAGACTGTTCTATGGATCAGTACTTGGTGTGTCTGAGCAGATAGAAGGACGGACTTACCGTTGCTTGTTGTGATGTCCATATGTACGATTGGATCTTTAGTCATCGCCACAGCACATTCCGCAAGTGCTTCAAACACCATCCAGATGAATCCTTCGTGGAAAAACTCTCCAGCGTTGCTCTGTCTTATGATCGCATTTCTCAGGTCGCCAAAGGGACAGTACTCGAAATAGAGCTTGTATCCCGCAATGGCCGAAGGAGCCATCAATCCAGTCGTCCAGTCTATGTTCAAGTTAGGGTCCCGTATACTGCCGTACCCGAGACACTCTGTCATGAATTTGCCATGACCAGCGGTCGATGCCTCCAGGTTCTCGTAGACCTTGTTACTCAACATGTGTTCCCGAGGCTCGCCACCGACCTCTCCGTCGCGCCACATGTCTTTGCGTTCCCAGGAGAAGACTCCAGGATGTACCTGTTTTACAATGACTCGATCTCGAATGCGGTTATTGTTGTCGATATAGCACCAGAGATGCACTATTCCCATGCCACCTTCACCGAGAGGCTGCTCTCCTTGATTGTAGTCAGGTTGCATTGGTAGCCATTCGCCTTCATGTAGTGCTCGTCCTGGCTTAGCGCGAGGTGGGCGACGGAAGGTCCATCTCAGGAATCGATCGATTAGCTTGTCTTGTGCACCATGACGGAGTCCGCCATATGCACGCCTGTCGAGCCCTGGATACAGAGGCGTTGGATGGCGAGGTCTTACCATGCTGTAGGAATTAGTGAGGCAATACAAGAGTGTATGTTTTGAATCCTCGCAGGGTGACAGCGATTCATATTAGACCTCACCATCTTGCCACCAGTGACCGCAAACAGAATCTGCACAAAGGTGGTTCATGGAGCACAATGAGCTGTGGTTTCTTTGTCATGATATAGTGATGCGCCGTCTTCACGACAGAGAGGCGCGTCCCATCTTAGCTTGGCGTAACGCATATCATGAGAACGGACAATTCAGGGTATAACCATAGCAGCACAATGGAATCGGAAATGTAGGTTGCGTTGTGTGGAAGTAGGTGCGATTGGAATGCAATAAGATTATTTTGCCAAGAAGCCCTGGAATGCTTTCTGGTCAATCACGACGTTGCCAACAGCTCTCAACTTCTTTCTTCCTTCCTTTTGTCTCTCAAGCAACTTCCTTCTTCTACTGGTATCAGCTGCGTGAAGCTTTGCCAAAACATCCTTTCGGAAAGGCTTGATGGTCTCACGGGCCACGATCCTCCTGCCAGCGACAGCTTGAATAACAATTTCGAACATTTGTCGATCGACATGCTCTTTGAATTTGGTCACCCACTGCTTGCCGATGCGCTCGGCTTGACTGTGGTGACAGACACGAGCGACTGCATCAACGGGAATCTTGTTGACGTGCAGTTGCAATTTGATGATGCTGGACTTGCGCCAGCCAGCATCTTCGTAGTCGAGAGACGCATAACCTTTGGTCAAGCCCTTGAGCTTGCCGAAGAAGTCATCTACGAGTTGGGCTAGCGGCAGTTCGTACTTCAGAATTACTTGTGTTGACGTGAAGAATGTGAGCTCGGTTTGTACACCTCGATTGCCCTCGCACAACTCGATGACTTTGCCGAGATACTCTTCAGGCATAGTGATGGTCGCAAGCACAAACGGCTCTTGCAGCTCTGCGACTTTTTGATGCAGTACATCGGTCTCGGGGAAGTCGTTGGGATTTGACACGATAGTCTCCTTGCCTTTAGGATCGACAATCTTGAAGGGTACGGATGGAGGAGTAATGATGATACTTGCTCCATGCTCTTGACGAAGACGATCTTCGAAGACAGAGCAATGCAATGTGCCTAAGAAGCCGAGACGCCAGCCTGCACCTAGAGCTTCCGATGACTCTTTTTGGACGTAGACACTACGATCATTGAGTACGATCTGGTTGATACTGTCCTCTAGATGTTCGTAATTGCTTTGGTCGACGGGGAAAGCGGCGACGAAAACCATGGGTTTGGGCTCCTCAAAACCAGGCAGCATCTCAACAAGCTTCTCGGAACCGACAGTGGTGTAGGTGTCGCCGACCTTTGCATCTTGCGAGCGCTTCATTCCAGGGTTGAAGTAGATGTAGCCGACCTGGCCGGCGCGCAGTTTGGTCATGGGGGTTTGAAGGGGGTACATGATGCCAACCTCGCCAACATAGTATTTGATACCAGTAGCAAACGAAGTGACATGGTCGCCGGGCTTGATTTGGCCTTGGAAAATGCGAACCAGCAAGATGACACCCTTGTAGTTGTCGTACCACGAGTCTACCAGGAGCAGACGCAGCGGCTTATCTTCATCGCCAACAGGAGCAGGGATGTTCTCGACGACGCTGGGCAGCAGAGCCTCGACGTTGATTCCAGACTTGGCCGAGACTAGGACTGCCTTTTCTGGATCCAACTCGAAAGTATCCTTGATTTGTTCGAGCGCGCGGGGTGAGTCGGCGGTGGGTAGATCGATCTTGTTGATGACGGGCACGAGAGTGAGGCCTTGGGAAAAGGCAAGGTAGAAGTTGGCGACGGTCTGTGCCTGCACACCTTGACTCGCATCGACTACCAGTAGAGCTGTATGGATAGCGTCAGCGCATGGAGTTCGTCCGGCTGGTCGTTCACGGGTAAGGTACCTCCACCACAACTGGCGTAACTTCTTGAGACCTCTGCTCTAAAGTCGACGTGACCAGGCGTGTCGACCAAGTGCAGCATGTAGTCCAGACCGTTGTGATTGTAGAGCATGGTACATGTCTGGGCCTTGACAGTGATACCTCTTTCTCGCTCTACGTCGAGTCTGTCCAGACTCTGGGCATTTCCACCTTTTTCAATGACACCAGTGATTTCCAGCAGGCGGTCGCTCAGGGTACTCTTTCCATGATCGACGTGAGCAACAATGCAGAAGTTGCGGAAGCGTTCTATGGGAATGGCGGCAATGCGCTTCTCGAGGTCGGATTGCACCTTAGCGACCTGCGCCAGGCGTGAAGGTGCTGCGTGGAAGAGGCGGGTATAGCCATGGTTGATGGTGGGCGCGCTGGCTGTCAAGTTGCACGCTCCGAAGCGTCTAGGAAGGGCGCGAAAGAAACATGCTTGCATCTGGTCCTGCGGTCTGCCTGCCCGGGGGAAGTCGAACAGTCGTGTCTTGAAGATGAATCGACATTGTTGCTCGCGCTGTCTTGAACTTCGTCGATGGTCGGCCCGAAGCTGTCCGCCCTCTCCCTTGCTGTCACCATCAATCCCACGACTCGCCAGCCATATTGCTTTATCAAGCCATTCACGACTCTCTTCGATCCGTCAATCTTTCCTGCCTTCCTGATTGCTGCTTCACTGCGTCTTTCCAGCCTCTTTCGCGCCTCTCCTCGACATTGTCCAGTTAATTTCTGCACCAACATTCCAATCTTTTCTCTTGTGCTGCCTACCAATTCTCTCCATTACCACCAGTTCAAACCAATCCACAAAGCAATCATGCCGCCAGCAAAGAAGGAGTCCAAGGAGAAGAACACGCACAAGCTTGCCTTGAAGGGTGCGTCGCAAAACATCTATAATCGCCTTATCCCAGACTGACCATATCAAGGCTCCTCCAAGACTGTCACAGAATTTGTACAACCCCCAATTCAATCGACCGTTGTCTGCAAACTAACCTGAACATAGTTCGAGTACTGCATTAACACAATCTTGTAAGCTTCTCATAACAAAACTCATCTCGAACTATCTCACTAACTGTAGCAGGTTCCAACGTGGTGTGTATCCGCCCGAGGACTTTACAGCGTATGCATCCATCTTCTACGACCGTCGTTTTATTTCTCTCACAAACTATACAGAGTCAAGAAATATGGTCTCAATATGCTGGGTAAGATGATCGTTGCTCTCGTCGTGTTCGCCCAGCTAAAAACTATCGCAGTCTCCCAGGACGATCAAGTCAAAGCATACATCAAGAAGATCATGTCCCAACTAAACAAGTGGATGCTCAAGTCCAAAATATCAAAACTCATCATTGTCATTACCAGCAAAGAGACTGGAGAACCTGTAGAAAGATGGCAGTTTGACGTGTGTAACACCCTGACCTTAATATTCACTATCCGCGACTGACCATAACAAGGTTCAAATATTCGGCAAAGACTCCAAGAAGAAGAGCTCCAGCAAAACTGCTGTCGATGAGAACGCTGAGAAGTACGCCCAATGGATCATCTACGCTTACAATGAGCTGACGATATCGTTTAGTGCCACCGAGCAAGCATCTGAGAAATCCGACCAAGATGTGCAACAAGAGATTCAATCTATCTTTCGCCAGATCACCGCTTCTGTCACATTCCTACCCATGCTCGATGGTAATTGCACCTTCAACGTACTGGTTTACGCCGACCAAGACTCGGAGGTGCCCTTGGAATGGGGTGACAGTGATGCTAAAGACATCCAAGATGCTGAAAAGGTGCAGCTGCGCAGCTTCTCCACCAACAACCACAAGGTCGATACACTTGTGAGCTACAGGTATGTTGTCACCATCGATGTTATCACATGTCTTGCCTGTAGTATCTATATCTGACGTGTTTTGCAACAGATTGGCTGAATGAGCGTTGAGAAGAGGAGACTTTTGACATGCAGAAACCAAGGTTCGGGCGGCTGCGAGCGTTGAGCTTCTAGAGAGACAACAAAAAATGCCGGTCCTTCAACTACAAGAGATAGAGCCAGACGGTTGAGATTGTTTGAGACAGCCCGAAAGCAAGCTCGGTACATATATGTAGAAGGGCCGTTGAGGAGATATTGCACTACTACTCTTCCGACAACTGGTGCTGTATACCACCAGCTGTGCTGCTCGATGTTCATTACACAAGAGCAGCGAACACGTCTATGACAATTATAACATCACCCCTGAAAATAGACTCTTCTGTCAGACCCTTTGTAACCTGCACACGAGCGCCTCAACCACGCCATGGTGCCATGTTCAAACAACAATCTCCGCCAGCGCTGCTGTCAGCTCTGTTCAGCTGAACAGCCACTGTCCAGCCCATACAGCTGCAAAGGCGCACGGGAAGGCCGCAAAGCATAACTAACTTTAACCTTTCAACAAGCACGGTTTGGCGGGAGCGCGGAAGTGAGCGAAAGGAAGAAAAGGGCTGAACCTCTCAAGCCTCAACCTGGGCCTTTTCTGTGTGTCCAACGGAAATCTCACAAGGGGCCCATGACTCTTGCCAACGCGGAAGAAAAAAGCGGCTGAACGTAAAACGATATTTGCAAGATTTCAGCTAATTATTGCTTTGCTTCAGCTGCGGAGTATAGACTGTGCTTTTCTTTCAGCTCTGGTTCCTACTTTTTCTTCCATCGCGAGAATGCACGAGCATCCATGCACGCGAAGGGGGGGACCGTGTGCATCAATAGCATGATGGGTGGAGTCTCTGTCCGGCTGCATCATGCATTTTTTCTCTTTCCATGCTATCGAGTATTGAGTACCTCCTATTTATTGCTACGTACTTATCACTACTTTACCAATAAACCCAATTGTGTGGGAATAATCGAGATAAGTGATGGTTCATTGCTGATGCAAGAGAGATCATCACCAAAAAAAGGCGCGAGCCGAAACATAGCGAAAAGCACAGAGCCAGGCCCGCGCGATCATCGCGTAGGCTACAATTACAAAATAATGATGAGTGCTAATACTCTGGGGTCGGAGCGACGAGATGCTCGAGATGCAAAGATGAATTACCAGCCTCTTCTTATATCTGTCAACGAAGAACATCTCATGAATGCGTTCGCATACAGCAGTTTCGACACTGATACCGCTTATCGAAACGTCTCCAAAGCCAGCCGAACGGGTGGATAGGCAAAGCAAAATCCGTGAGCAGCAGCAGCAGAAAATAAGTTGGTGAGGAAAAAACGCCAGCCCAAAGCATCAATCGTGCAGAACAGACTATGAGATGCAACTCAAAATAGCATTTGAACCTTGGCTGCGTTTAGTGTATTTTAAGGCGCTTCCGCCAATGAAGGAAAGTATGTTCCTTGGACCTGCATAAGTATCGCAGTACCAATAACGCGAACTTCTCATCATAATGACAATCCCAGCAAGGCAGAGCGGAAGCATCGAATATTGTCGAGAAAGTCTACTCGTCCAGCAAGGCTGGTTATCAATTCTCGTCGACGTTTTGTTAACGTGACCCAGCATGCGTGGAAAACGATCGGCCGGGCCGTTGTTGAGCCAATACCAGGTGGCGCGCCGGAGAACACCTATGGACTCGCTGGAGAGAGCTGAGGGAAAACACGTCTGAGACATCGCTGAGACCCGTCTCGTCATAAATCACACTTGGTCGCGGCGGACTCGAGTCTAGTACTCCAATGTTCTACGACGTGGCGAAGAAGGTAGAAGGAAAAAGCGTTCGTATAGCTCGAGTCTAGCGGACCGGGAACAAAAGCTTTCTTGACGATGCACGTTAGCAATCAAGTTTTCGGGATGCATGGTGCCCATCCATGGCGTGCGAGGCGTCCTGTCTCTGCGCTGTCGATTTCCGTTGAGCAGGTGCTTCGCTAAAGAGACTCATGCATGCGGAACCTCAATCTCGTGGGTGCAAAGAACCCCTGCAAAATGACGAATCTCCACAATTTGTCGCATGTCGAAAAAGGCTGCGGCGTGGTGAGATAACGAACTTCCCACGAGTCTGCGTTACAGCTTCGGGCTCTCCGTCAGCTTGAGATAATCGTCAGCCACGCACACGGTGTCAATGTCATTGCACCATCTCCGCACTGGAGTCTCGAAGATCAGCAAGATGTGAATCAATGATCAGCGTACGGTGGTGTTAATCTAGGTCGACGCGGAGAGCTTCGGCCGTTGGCGGCACAGAAGGAAGCAGCTTGCACCTTGTATCTCGATTCTCCAAAGCAGTTGAGCGGCAGAGAGACAGACTCGCGCCCACTTCTCACCGGACGGCTGCCGATGTCAGGTACGCACCACGGGTTGGCACAAGGTTAAGACAGGCAACCGATGTGCATGGCCGTTAGCGTCGCCTCGGCCGCCAAAATAGGACAAGATTTTTCGCGCTATCCTCGACCGTGCTGAATCAAAGCCGTTTTGGGTATGTTCTGGCTCGGCCCTGTCTGGCTTGGCCTCAGCAGCTGCTGGCTCTCTACACTATCAAATCCAATCTGTTGGCGCTGTTGTCCCGGACTACTTCTTAGTCGTGCTGCTGCCGTCCTGGACCACGCCTTCCTTTTGGTTTCTTTCCTTCCCAATCACCATACAACCACTCTTTGTCGTACTACAACATATCAGAGGTCTTTACTGATCCTCAGTCTTTCGCTTACAGCTTGTGACACTAGACCAGTCCAAGCATTACAACAAACCCATATCCAGGACGAGAGATTTAGCGGACCAGGAACCAATCTACTGGAAATTGATTAGGAAGCTTGGCTATAGCCAGCACTACTACTACATTCTAACATCACATTCACATTTCCATCATGGGTCTCAAGTCATATCTCGCCCCAGGCCGCAAGGCCGACAAGAAGGGTGAGAACAATGCCACCGAGCTCAATGAGAAGGCCCCGGCCACTGGCACATCAACACCCCAACATCTTGCACCCTCAGGAGCAGTCTCTGGCGCAGCAACACCCTTCGGATCAAGGCCGGCATCTGTCTTCCCCGAAGGTGATTTCCGCAACCATGCAAAGGAGGAGATTCTTGACATCAAGTGTGACATGATGGTCAACAACCTCTACCAGCAGCAAATGGAATTGCTCTGGACTGCTGGTGGTCACGATGAGGGTATTCTGCTCAAGAAGTCGAGAGGAAAGTACGCATGCTGCCCTTCAGATCTCGAGAGCGAGCCTGTTGGCTTCTTCAAGGCTGTTGAGACTCTCAACGTCAGAGTGAGCAAAACGATCATCTTGCCTTTGAGTTACTGTGCTGACTGTATCTTCAGAGTGCCATGACCGTCAACACTCGCGTCATCAAGCTGTTCCTTCACGGTAACGACCGTGCCTTTATTCCCTTGAAGAGCGGTCTCCGTCTCCAAGTGCTTCCCGATATGTCGTACCTGCCGCGATGCGCTAAGCATCAGTTCGCCGCCTTCATTGCCGATCGTGGTATCCTCGTCGTTTGGGACGATGATCCGAGACATCTGGTCAAGCGTGCTACCGACATCGAGAACGCTCTCATGAAGATGGTCTGGAAGCAAGAAAGTGAAGAGGAGGAGGTTTCCGAGAAAGAGAAGCAGGCCGAGGTCAACATTGATGAACTCGGTGCCGACAGCGAAGAGGCTGGTGCCCTCGAGAAGCCTCGCCGCATTGTCCTCACCCAGGCTATCACCGGCGCCTTGACTCTGTGTTTGATGATCGTTGTCATGGGTACTGGTTGGCGCAAGATCGCCTTGGAGATTGCCACTGACGGCAGCTACATCCGCATTGCTTTCGTCCTGTGTATTCTTCCTCAGATGTGGCTCTCGCTCTTCTTCTACCAAGCAGTCGTCAACAACATTGCCCAGCTGTTTGGTCCCATCTCTCAGCTGACGTCTAACACCAAATTCTACTCGGGTGTTGCTCCAAAACGCCTCAACGCCGATCTTACCACCCTCCCTCACATCACCATCCAGTGTCCCGTTTACAAGGAAGGTCTTCAGGGCGTTATTGAACCTACTGTTCATTCCATCAAGGCTGCCATCTCCACCTATGAGATGCAGGGTGGTACTGCCAACATCTTTGTCAACGACGATGGTATGCAGCTGATCTCCGAGGAGGAGGCTCGTGCCCGTCAGGACTTCTACGACGAGCACAACATCGGCTGGGTCGCTCGCCCTCGCCATGACCCTAAGGGTGAACACGGTGAAGCCTTTACTCGCCGCGGAAAATTCAAGAAGGCCTCAAACATGAACTACGCCCTCTGGGTCAGCAACCGTATTGAGGACAAGATGAACGCAACTCCCAAGCACGCTAACTGGTCCAACGAGGACGAAGCCGAGATCTACGTCAAGGCACTCAACGAGGTCGTCGAGGAGGACGAAGGCCGCACCTGGGCTGATGGTAACGTCCGTCTTGGTGATTACATTCTCTTGATCGACTCTGATACCCGTGTGCCAACCGATTGCTTGCTCGACGCCGCCAGTGAGATGCATCAATCTCCACAGGTTGCCATTCTCCAGTACTCTTCTGGTGTTATGAACGTCACCGACAGCTTTTTCGAGAAGGGCATCACTTTCTTCACCAACCTCATTTACACCCAGATCAAGTATGCTGTCGCCAGTGGAGATGTCGCTCCTTTCGTCGGTCACAACGCCATCCTGAGATGGTCCTCTGTTCAGAACATCGCCTACGATTGTGAAGATGACCATCGTGAAAAGTACTGGTCTGAGAACACTGTCTCAGAAGATTTCGACATGGCTCTGCGCCTGCAGAACGATGGTTACGTAGTCCGCATGGGTGGTTACACCGGCGACGGTTTCAAGGAGGGTGTGTCGCTTACCGTCTACGATGAACTCGCTCGTTGGGAAAAATACGCGTACGGATGCAACGAGCTCCTCTTCCACCCTATCCGCTACTGGCCTACTCGTGGTCCTTTCACCAAGCTCTTCCGCAACTTCATCTGCTCTGCCATGCCACTTCCCTCGAAGTTCACCATCATGGCTTACATCGGTACTTACTATGCCATTGGTAGCGCCTGGATCTTGACCATTCTCAACTACTTCCTCATGGGATGGTACCTGGGTTACAACGACAAGTACTACCTCGATTCTTTCCAGATCTACCTCGCCATCCTCGTCGTTTTCTCTGCGCTCGGTAACCTCTCGCTGGCCATTCTCCGCTACCGCACCGACGAGCAAGGTCTGCTCAGCGCTCTCCTCCTCAACCTGATGTGGATTCCCATGATGATGCTCTTCCTCGGTGGACTCTCGCTGCACTTGTCGCAAGCTCTCCTATCGCACATGTTTGGCATCGACATGAATTGGGGCGCAACCAGCAAGGAAGCCGAAAACACCACCTTCTTCAAGGAAGTCGGCAAGGTCATCAAGAACTTCAAGTACACTTTCATCTTCTGCATCGTCATGGCGCTGGGTATGATTGCCTGCGCTTGGATCGTGCCGTGGAACTGGCAGATCAGACAGTTCTTTGCCATCTGGCCTCTTGCCACCATCATCTTTTCTCACTTCTTCTTGCCCATCATGCTCAACCCTAACCTCATGCTCTTCACGTGGTAGAGGGTGGTTGTCTTTCTTCTTCTCTGTTTCGACAATTGACTTTTATGTTATATGATGGCAGGCGATGCTCTCTCTCTCTCTCTCACTCACTCACTTGTTTTCCTATCTTTTGTTCCATCTGAGCGAAGGGCGTTTTTTTTTTACTCAAAACCTATAGACAGTCGTTTCTTTTTTAACCTATATACCAGAGTCTTCTAATTTCTTCCAAATACATGACTTCTTATCTCCTTTTGCTCCAAAAGTGATATCTGTGTCTGCCTTTCAATCATTGTGAAGAGCTGACCGACCTCGAAAGCCAGAGTCTAAATTTTTGGCTGTATTGAGGGAAGTTAAAGACGGTGGCTGGAGGTCAGCAGGGTCAGCAGGGTCCTATCGTTTTCATCGGTGGCTGGTTTTGCCTTTCGCAACGGTTGTGAGCAATTATTGAGTGATTGTCTGGATACTTTGCTGCATGGCTTGATCAAAGAGAGGGTCAACGGTAACGTGGTGCAGTAACGACTATCCAGGCTTGGTGAGATGACGCTATAGCTGAGGTTGGTGATGATTAGTACTCGCAACGCGATCGTTGGTGACGGTGACATATCGATCCATGCACGAAGAATAGAGTGGGATGATAAATGTCTTTTGATTGCTTTCTTGTTCAGGAGGGTATCTTCGATCATGTAGGAGAGGAGGAGGAGGGACGGATGGGATATTTTGAAAAAAAGAGCAAAAGAGAATGAGAAGGAAACAATCTCGAAAACCTCCAACTTCTTCCATGCGATAGCCTCGCAAAAAAAAAAAACGCTCAAGTATGTCCTTCAACACCTTCTCATGATCTGACTTGCTGCACGAACTGAATGAAAAACTTTTTGAAATCAAGCTTATCCTTGGCTTCGAGATGCTTGATATATTCGTCAATGATGGGAGTTTGCAGACCCAGCCCAGACATTTCCGTCTCACGCAGGTGGGTCTCGTAGGCTGCTCCACACTTGCGGAGGATAGTCCATTGCAAGGTGGCGGCTTCTGTGAGGTAGCTGCGTGCTTGGGCATCCTTTGGTTGGAAGGAGGGTTGTGAAATCAGAGCCCATGTCAGGGGAGAGAAGCGTGACATGATGAAAGTATCGAATCCTGGAACCGTTGGTGCAGCAGGTTGAGCAGCACCTGCCGGGACAGGGATGGTGAGATCAGGGCCGCCCCATACCTGTGTCATCTTGGTCAAGACGGCAAGAGAGAGACGAGCGGTGGGGTAGTCAGAGGGGTCGCGGCAGAAATGCTCCAGTGTCGTCAGAATAGTCTCGAAAGTCTGTTGATTGGCACTGCTGACGAGGACAGGCGCTAGATCGTTGTTCAAGATGACGAGGATGAATTGCAGGTACTGCATCTTCAATTCGCCAAGCTGGATAGCATCGTCAGTGCCAGTGGTAGGCTCTGAGAGACCTGCAAGGACTCTTTGCAGCAGAGGAGTAAGCAGTTGGTCGAGGATCTCGATAATTTCAGTCTTGAAACCGAAGACCACTTGGTCTAGAAGTCTCAAGAACGTAGCCATCTCATCCTTAGTGGAAGACTGCGAGAGCAAGCCGTCGATCCATCTGGGCAGTTTTTGCAGAATACCGGAGCCGAGCACACCCAACATGCGTGAGAAAGCGAAGCGTGCACCAGTACGAATGAGCATGGAGTTCTTGAGAGACTCGAGCGCCGTCAGAACAGCTTCGCCGGCTGGGGAGAACTCGTTGGCTAGCTCAGTGGGTGGAGGTGCGCCCGAGGTGTTGCTGCCGGGCATCCAATCGCAGAAGCCTTTTGCCAGAGTTCCCACTGCCTGAATGATATGATGAACCTGAATGATTGCTCGCTCGTCACCGTTCTTGGCAACTGGAATGTGACGTTCCAGGTCTGCGATCAAGGGGCTGACGAGAGTACGGGCGTAGAGCATGCGATTCTCTAGTGGGACCGAGTTCGTAGAGGCAATAGCTCCAACAGCCTCGAAGAGATAGAGCTGGCTGGTGAAGATGGCGTCTGCGGACTGGTCGTTTTCTTCAGACGACATGTCATCATCGTCGCTATCCTTGGGTACTTCGGCGTGAATGGTGAGTAGATCGGCGACGGTCTCGATGACGGTCTGAGCAACGTTACCAAGTTGGCTGCGTAGTTGCTTGACAAAGCGGAAGAAGAGATACCACGAGCGAGTCTTGATCTTGATGTGATCGCTGTGAACGAAACGGACAAAGTTCTCGAGAACACGGGGAATGCTGTCGGTAGTGTGCTCGAAGAATGTGCAGTATCTCACGCAGATCTCCATGTACTGAAGCTGGACCGCAGGGTGAGGGTACGAAGCAATGTCAGACTCGACTAGCTTGGCCATCATTTCAATAAGATGCTGAGACGCAGTGCTAGAGGGTGAGCTCTTCTGGTAGAGACCACCGTTCTTGACGGCCAATTCGCCGAAAAGGTACATTTCGTACAAAGCCAAATCCAAATCCCTCCAGTTAGGCTTGTTGTCTGACGAAATTCTGTTGAAGGTCGTAGCAACGACTCTGCTCAGAGTATCCATGTACATAATTTCATCGACTGCAGCCACAGCTTGTTGGAGAACGTGCAATCTCCTGCGCAACTCTTGAAACTCAGCCTCGTCTGTCTGATCGCTCTCAGCACCCCAATCTGCCGTCTCATCGTACTTCATCTTGAGGATAATGGTGTCGAGGATAGGTTGCAGCATGGCACGGTATTGGTCGGGAAGGGTTCCACGCTTGGACGAGACACGGAAGAGCGTGAGCAGATCGGTGAGCGAAGGAATGACAGCGGAGCAGATTTCGTCGTACTCGTCGGAGAAGAAGCGGAGAAGGTATGGAACGAACAATTGGAGAAGCTCGTCTGCCTGGGCGGCAGTGTTCGCGTCTAGACCTTCCGAGTCGAGAACCTTGACAACATCGAAGACGACATTGTTGACAAGCTTGGCCACGGTTTCGCCAAGGTCGTTGTCGTAGTTTGAGGTGCCTCTGGACTGGTTCAGAGCAGAGCTGGCCACGAGCTGACCGGCGACATTGGCCAGGTTAAGATACGAGATTAGCTGGATCTTGTCCTGACTAGGCATCTTCTTGGCCACAATCTCGGTAAAGGTGTCGATGGCGGCATCGCGAATCTTCGCTTGAGGGCTCTCAGCAGATGAGATGTCCGGTTGTCCTGCAATCTCGAGCAAGAAGTTCAACATGTTCTCGTTGACAACGAGCGAGATGTCGATCCAGCTTACCCAACGTGCAACACAACGGAGACACAACTCGACAATACTCAGATCAATCTGTCTCCACCTCGCAAGAACTTGTTGCCAGAAGGTCGAGATGTTCTGGGCATCGCGCGAGCGCACATAGTCTTTGAGATCAGCATTACGCTTCAGCTCTTCCGGGGTGCGAGGGATCAGGACGTCGGCGATTTCGTCGTGGATCGAGTTGACAATGCGGAGGTAAAGAATAGTCCCTTGTGGGTTGTCGGAGCCAATTGTGTTTGCATCGCCAGCCAGCGATCTGAAATCTTGGAAGAAGGTTGGCCATGCGGTAGCGTAGAGGGAGGTGAAAAGGTAGGTGATGGTTTGCGTAAGCTTGTTTTGGATACTGGGCGAGTCGACACGGTTCGCTTGGTTCGCAAAAGTTTGGTGGATATATGTCATGAGCTGATCCTTGATGTAGGAGAGGCTTTGTTCGTCCAGACGGCCTGCCTGAACGGCATGGCTGACCAGTTCCAGACAGACATGGCGCACGACTTCGTCCGGGGGAGGGTCGCGAGTGAAAAGGACTAGGCAAACTTGCCAGCCAGAAGCGTCGTCGCGCAGTTGCTGCAGAAACTCATAGGCCTGAGCTTTGAGGTTCTGGTCGGCCCGGGGATCAAAGGCAATTTGGATGGCGCTCTCGACCTGTCAAGAGGGAAGACGGGTTAGCTGGTCGCTTGTGCAAAATGGGCAGGCACGTGGGGTGCGTCTTACCTGAGCATCCATGCTCGCCACCAGTTGAGAAGGAAGAATTTACGAGGACAGACAGCTGTAGTGTAGTGAAACACACAGATTGTAGCGCAGATGAAGTGGCAGAGGTGGGTGGTGGTGGCGGGGTTTGTTGATTCGGGTCTTGTCAAATGTCACGGTGTTTCGCTGTTCTGATGTTGCGGCCTCAAACTCCAAAGGCGGTGAGCGCCAGTCCTCCGCACGCACCTGCCTCATGCCCCGCCCGCCATCATCGCAACTGCCATTCGTGTTGCTTACACGGCTAGGAACCTTCTAGCATGCCACTGACATTCAGCACAGGTCTTTCATCTGCATTATCTCGAGATACGAGTGTTCTAAGGCCTTCTTCTGGAATATCACAGAGCCACAAACCAGGTACGCCATTCGACATGCGCAATAGGTAGGAGATCGGCAGAAAGAGAGCAACCCGCAGCCAACAAACAGACGCTCCAACAGTCATCCTTCCTGACTAGAACAAGAGCAAGCTGTAGCGCATAATGAGCAGCATATATGAGCACAGAAGGCTGTATAGAAGGACGGGTTGCATGCAGAGAAGAAGCGGGGAAGAGTCTGTGTCACTGGCGCTGGCGGTCAGATGCAGGACCAGACAAAGGAATGTTTGTTTGGGTTGGACACGGCCAAAAGTCAGGTGTGAAAGGGTTTCCCCCGTGTGCAAAGGTTGTAACGCGTATAGCTATAGAGATGGACAATATTCTCGAGGACTGAGTTATATCCATCGAGATACGGTGTTCTCCAGACTTTCCTCAGATACGACTTGAATCTCAAAATCACTGTGCCTTATTGTAGCGAGCATTGCGCTCTACAGCTCCGTAGAAGAGACGAGGGCAGGCAGGAGACTGGAAGTTGGAAACTCTGGCACAGGACAGTGGTGCCTGTGGGGCCGCCGGCGGGCCGCTGGGATCAGCGTTGGCGCATCGATTGTCGTCCCGACCGATAGCGCATTCGGCTTTCACTCTCTCAATGCATTGAGCCCGACATTCGACTGCCCCTTGTATTTGTTCCTGGCACGAGACATGGTCTGACAGGAACACAGAACAGCTCGACTGGCAACATGGCTGCATCCCTTCCGGAAAAGGAGCGAGACCTGCTCCGGCGCATCGATGCCTGTGTCGACCGCATGCGCGCCTTCACGCCCGACGAGCCCTACGTCTTGAGCATCCCTCAAGACGAACCCAAGTTCCACCACCACTCCCATCACTCGTCGCAGATGTGGCGCACTGGTACTCCCTTCCGCCCAGACGACGACCCCAACCAGCAATACCAGACTTTTTACTATCACGAGCCACTCTCCGACGTCTTTCATCTACATCGCAACTCACACTACCAGAAGGACAATGCCTCCGTCTCGTCGCAACCGAGGGAAAAGGAGAGCAGTACACAGAGCACTCCCAGCATGCATCCTAAGAAGAAGATCAGCCTGGCTGCTTACGCCAACAAAAAGACACAACCCGACTCCAAGGACGTCAAGCATGACAAGCCCAAACACAACAAGACGCTGTCCGAGTCGACTTCCTCACAGTCGCTCAAGTCACGCGACTCTGCAAATCTGCCACGCATGCTGTCTCCACTGCGCGACCGCTCACAACAACCACAACAACCTCGACCTTCACCCAACCAAAACCCACCAAAACAACCCCTCCTACCACCCCGCCTAATATCCCCAACTCTCCCTCCTAGCATCATAGCTTCTTTGGAAGCAAATCCATACCAGCCATCTCGACACAAGCATGCATCGAAACGTCTACCTTCCCCACTACCGCCAGTCGCCGAACAGTCACGCAAGCATCCGCCAAACATTCCTGAGCCCAAAACACGCGACTCACCCCAAGAAGAAGAACAAGATTCTACCCCCTCATCACTTGTCGTCCACCTCAAGATCCCTAAGAGTATGCGCAAGAACATTGGTCGATATTTGCAGATGAAACCACAACCTCAAGTCATTCGTGTGCTACCTCCGGAGAAACAAACAGCTCCAGCACAAGCCACACCACAAGCAGCAAAGAGACCACGCCCGGCAGAAGAAGACACGCCACTCCTCGAGTCAAAACGCAAGAAGGCCATCAAGCCTGAGCTGTCCACCACAAAGCAGGAGCCCAGTACACCCTCGTCTGCCACTCTCGCAGTGCAGAAAGCCACACGTATTGCCCGCAGTGCTACCAAAGATCTACGCACTTCGGCTGCTATGAAACGCGTCGAGTCGACCGACAGTATGGTTAATGGCACACCGCAGTCTTCACGCCAGGTCAATGGTGTCACTAAACCATCCCCCTCATCGGGCAGCATTAAGACAGCCGAGTCGAAAGCTTGGGTGATCGAAGCAGCTCGAATCGGAAACTTGGGCCGGGAATTGAAGCATGCCGTCTCGGCTTTGGACAAGGCGGAGTCCAACAATGGCCACACTGAATCTCGACCTCGTGAGACGGCTGCCGCCATGTCTCTCGAGTCTATTCTGTTGTTCATGCTCTCCTTCTACTGTACGGACCGCGGACTTGCCGCTCGTAACCCGCCTGCACCTCTAGATGGTGGACACACTTGGGCAACGATACCGGCGTTTATCAACTTTGTCCGTACGCGATGCCAATACTTCCCAGCTCTCGATGGTGTGGCCTGTCAGCTAGGTGCTGTGTGCAATGCGATGATCGTGTTACGCTTGACGACCATACGCGAACGACCACAAGACATGACGCCCGAGGAAACGCGCGCGCTGCACAATGCAGCTTCGACCGGTCTCAAAGTTTCCAAAGATGGAAGCTCGAAATTATCTCTATCAACCATCATGTCATCATTCCCAAAGACATGGAAAAAGGCTATGAACAGCAATGTTTCCGGAACAGGAGCTGAGGACGACGTCAAGATTGGTCGCTACGCTGGGGATATTGCTCTACCGCTCGGAATGGATACCGAGCCTCTCATCGCAGTCCGAGTTGGTTATGCACTGCTGAGAGAATGGTGTGCCAGCAAGAATCTGAAATACGAGATGAAACTTGGACTCTGAGCAAAACCATCGCTCAACCACGACAAATTGGAGCAACGAAAAACAGGTTGCACATTGGAAGCATAAGCATGGAGTTTTGGTGGCATGGAGTTTTTTGCTTTTCGTGGACCAAAGTAGATGTTAACCTGGAGGACCAGCGGTGGAACATCACAACGGCATGGCAGGGAGCCGAAAACGCATAACCCTTCGTTGCTTTTCTTTTGTTATATGGGTTTCTGTATTCTGCTGTTGATGTAACTCTGATACCCCTTTGCTACAATACGTAGGCAAGATTATGCTACTGCACTCTGATTCTGATTTCATACAAACCAGTGTAAATTCTCCGTCTGAATTCTGAGATCTCCATTGTCATAGCCTGAAGCACAGTTATACGTAGTCACACTCACCTTTTCACTCAAGCCTTTATCGCATTCACTATGATGGGCATCACATCCAGAACACGAGCTTTGATTTAGAGGCTTCCGGCCACGCGGACCGAGCCGCTGCACGCTGAGGCACGCTCGGACACGTACGAATGACGCTACCAGGCAACCTTTCAGTTGTGCGATCCACAATCTTCAACCCGAGCCTCAACTTCACTTCTTCCAACAAGACATAACATATAAACTCATCATTCTCAAAGATCTTATGGCGCAACGAGAGATTCCTGGTTTCTACTATGGTAAGATGTTCCCGATCTTCTTTTAAAACAAGATCGCATCTTTTCGATCTGGAACAGAACGAAGCTGACCAGCGTTTTCCCTTGGGAACAGATGCGGAAAAGGGAAAATACTTTCGAGTGCAGGCGAATCATGTGGCACCTCAGGGTGCTAAATACTCGCATGAAAATGTGAAAAAGGAGAAGGAGATGTCTAGAGTAAGTCTTATCTCTTCTCTTCTACCATCTAGAAGGAGTGTGTGAGGGGCTAGTGGAAGGATGCTCGTGACTACAGTTCCGGACCTATGGACAGATGGACTTCGACAAATGATTACCCTTGGATTCCAGAATTTCTGGATCTCTTGTGATATGATTCGTGGGCTCGAATGGACAAACACTCTCTCGAGAACATGCTTTACAGGATTTGCACCTCAAAAACACCTTGATGTCTAGATTTTCAATATCATTCTTTGCCATAGCCCTTCACGCAATACGTCCGGACCGGATGCAAAAAGCAGATCTCATCATGAAGGGCTACAGAATCTAACAAACTGGCACGCAGAAACGCAAGAGAACAGCCGCCCACCGCCAAAAACGAGAGACCCAAACCGTGCGCCGCTCAAAAATCCTCGACTCGGCCTCTGCAGCAGGCATAGCACTCTGGCGCGAACAAGGCCGCTCCTCACTTTTGAACTCTGAAGCACGTCTCTACGCCCTGTCCTCCCAGTTCCAGGGCTACGAATCCCTTTCACTCAATAGCTGCGAAAGCTGTGGCAAACGTGACAACATACACGATTTCTTCCTAGACGGAGAGAACGATGCGATTTTCATGGCGCTTGGATCGAGGAACTTTGGCAGGGTGCAGTGGTTGGGGATCGAGAGGGAGGCCTATGATGTAGCGGCGTTTAGGAGTGATATCAGTAGTGTGTGCGTCAGTCAAAGCAGGACGTTGGTGGCGACTGCATATGACAGGACACATCCCGGCAATGTATTCGTGGCGGGTATGGCTAGCAATATCGATGCAGCAGACGAAGGGCCGCCTATCCTGGATTCGCCGGCGCCGAGTTACTCCATGCTGGGCAAAGACGAAACGGCACTCTGGACAGCGAGCCCTTGTCCCACAGGAGCAGCTAGAGATATCATTGCCATTGGAAGCACAGAGGGAGTCTACATGATGACATCGGCAGGAGATTTGCTGCAACACCATGCGCTGAAGGAAGATGTCCGCTCTATCGACTGGTTGACACCAAACGTGGCTGTCGGCGGCACAAGGTCCAGCCCGGTTTACCTCTGGGATGCACGAGCACGAGGTTCATCCCTGCGCTTCAAGCACTCCAGCGGCGTAACCGGCGTCCGCAGTCTACACGATGGGTCTCGCGTCCTGGTCTCCGGATTTACCAGCACAAGTATCTACGACACTCGCATGACTTCCTCACCCAAAGGCCCTCATTCACCATCGCCAGCTCTACTGCGCTTAGCCCCTACGAAGACAGAACGGCCCAGTGTCGCCATGGATGTGCTTGCAGATGCACAGTTGCTAGCAACCGCAGACGATGATAATGTGATCCAGCTGCATTCGCTAAAGAGCGGGAGGTTGATGGGCAGTTTGAGTGGAGCCAATCCGAGCAAGGAGAAGGGAAGGATCAACAGACTGAGATTTGTTCAGATGGCTGATGGGAGGCCGACGATCATGGTGTGTCAAGGGTCGAGGCTGTTCGAGTGGTCTTGGGGTGGCGATTTGGATGATGAGGGATGATGGATTTGGATTTTACTCTTTTCGTCGTTATTGTTTCCATTGCTTTCAGACTGGGCAGAGCAAGGCGTTTTTGGCACAAAGGCATTCATACCCCTGACTGAATGATATGAGATACGGACGGGGTCTCTGTGTCTAGCAAGCATCATCTAACTCGGTGCCAGTAACCATTTGTATGTGCAGAGTTGCATTCTCGCATACTCTGCATCTCTTCTCTACTTCCAATTGTATTGTTCCACTTCCAGGTGTGATCCAAGAGCCTCAAGCATCGTGTGGACCCGTCCTCATCTTCTCCATGACCTCGGGCTTGGGCTTGACATCACAAACCTCCCCACACTTCCCGCACGTCCTCGCTTGCTCATCTTCTCCAAACGCATTCACCGCATCCTTGATCTGACTCCCCAAATCCGTACACACAAAACTCTTCTCATGCACCACACCCCCACACCCACCACAATACCACCTGAGCCTGTCTTCCTCCCCTTCAGGTCTAGGCTGCTCAATCACCACGCCAACCGTATCTGCAAATCTAACCGGATTGTGCGGCGTATTTCCTGGCAAGAGAAAAATCTCGCCCTCGTCGATGTAGATGTCGCGGAAGGAGCCTTCGGGAGTAACGGTTTTGAGCAGCATGCGACCACGGTACTGGTAGAAGAATTCAGGGGTGCTGTTGATGTGGTAGTCTGTTCGTGCGTTGGGGCCGCCGACGATCATGACGGTCATTGGGTCCGAGTAGACGCAGTAGTTGTTGATTGGGGGTTTGAGGAGGTGTGAGTTTTGTTCTAGCCTGTGATTTGGCGGAGGGTCAGTTTGGATGCACTAGAGGCTAGGAAGGGATAGAGTGGGTACCATTTGGGAATGTTCAAAGGGTTGCCCAGGGGCGTGGTTGTGGGTTTTGCGGGTGCTGTGCTGGACATTGTTGCGGTTCTTGTGATGGAGGTGAGGAGTGGTGTGAGTGGTGTTCGTAGGGTTGTGCTTCTTTTGAGTGTGTGTCTGCTCAGTGATCTAAATGTCTGCATGCTTCTTCTGATGGCCAAAACAGAGATGGCAAACCTCGGAAGTGACCGGGTGTTTCTGTATCAGAAATGCCCAGCGTCATAGATAGAAAGTGGAGAGGTCCAATCGCGGACAAGGACATGCCAAGCATACGGCGATTAGATACGAGAGGCTCACTTTAATTCCGAGTGGTTGGTCTGGCTGGCTGGCCGGCTGTTAGGGCTGAGACCTGTAAGACGGATTGCGTCGTTGCGATATCGATTCCATCGAACCACTTGTCTTGTCCTCTTTCTCTTCTTTTGACCCTTGCAACTTACAGTATCAGAACACCATGGATCACTCACACATGGATCATGGAAATATGGGTCACGGCGGTATGGACCACGGTGGCATGGATCATGGAAACATGTGCAACATGAACGTAAGCCTCGAACCTCTATCTCGGCAGCATGGAGTAGAGAGACTGATGGTAGAAACAATGCAGATGCTCTTCACATGGGACACCAACAACCTCTGCATCGTCTTCAAGTCCTGGCGCGTCACCTCCACCATGTCACTTCTCTGGTCTTTGCTCGGCGTCATGCTACTAACCGCCGGCTACGAACTCGTCCGCGAAATCTCTCGTCGCTATGAAGCCAGAGTTCAAAAGGAGATTGATGATATGCCGAGTAAGTCTCATCCTCTTGTCCTCTGCCCTTTAGCACCAAAGTCATCTATGTGCATACCTTTGCTTTTGTTTGCGCGAGACTTTTGAACGAGGTCGCTAAACTGGCTGTTTTCACAAAGACGATCAAGAAGGAAGCTCATTGCTCGCATCAGGACGCTCTGCTGCCGACGCGTATGCAAAGACCAAGACTATCAAGGCTGCTTTATACGCCATTCAAGTATTTTATTCCTTTTTCATCATGTAAGTCCATCTTTCATCCTTCTGCTCCAAGGACGTCCTCAAGGAGGGCATTCTTGCATTTCATATTCCGAGGACGATAGCTGATATGGTGGAAACACAGGTTGCTCTTCATGACTTATAACGGATGGATCATGCTGGCTGTGGGAGTGGGTGCTTTTGTGGGTTACTTGATGTTTGGCAACTCGACTGTTACAAAGAGTGCTGCTTGTCATTGAGCAAATCCAACGAGCATATCTCATCAACAACTTTTGCTTCCTATATTTTGGTAGCATTTCTTGTTTACTGATTAGATAGCAACGGAGAATACGCTCTGCAACATTCCAGTGCTACAGTGTTACCAGACCAGAGAGACGTGGGTTAAAGCTTGAAAAGAAGTCTGCAGATCTTGTATGCCGGCGCCGAACATAACCTCTCGAAACAGAAATGCAAAAGCTATTGCAATGCAATGCTCACAATGTGACGACAAGACAGAGTGAAATAAAAAAACAATACAAAGCACCGTGGGCAAGATTCGAACTTGCGACCTCCCGACCCTCGAGAGAGAGACTTGAGATCTTAGGTAAAGCGAGCGTAGGGTAAGGCGAACGTAGGATACCAGATCGGGTGTGCTGACCACTGCACCACCACGGCTTCTCTTTTGTTGGTGGAGGGTAACTTGAGATTCTCGAATATAAAGGTTTGAGGCATATCTTCGGCTGGGTGGGAAGCGCATCTAAAACTCCCTCATGCCACCTCAACTCCATGCAACGACCCACTGCGTGTGCCAACAGTTATATACGATGGAATCGTTGTCTCTAGCAACAAGCAAAAAAGCCGTGGTGGTGCAGTGGTCAGCACACCCGATCCCACACTTTCTCTAAGTTCGTTCGCTTTCTCTAAACACTCTCTCTCAGGGATCGGGAGGTCGCTGGTTCGAATCCAGCTCATGGTACTTGGATACTTCTTTTTGGTCGTGTCTTTTTGTTCTCGTTTTGTGAGGTAATGGTCGTTGGCTCTGATCGCCTTCAGACACCTTTCCACGATATCTTCATGACATGGTCTGCTTTCTTCCTTGTACCTCTCACCAGTCCCAGATATCGCAATTCAGCCAGAGAACGCTGGAACAAAGCACTATACGCATGTCGATTAGCACAACATTCTCACCTGATCAGCGCTCTTCGCATCACACTTACTTTGTCAAAGTTTCATCCTGGCCATCTCCCAACACCGTCACAAATGCAGTTCGCAGGTCGGCAACATTCATCAAAGCTCCGCCCTCAAGATACAACTGATACAGAATAGCAGTCGAAGGCTGAGTAGCCGCCAACGTATTCTCAGCACCTGTCCCTGCATCCGGCGCACAACACTCGCAATCCAAGTAATCGTGCGGAGAAGCCAAAGCACGCTCGATAGCAGCTCTGGGCTTTGGGGTAAAGACATCGCGATGAGGTGACTTGAGATCATACATGAAAACCTCATTAAACATCAAGTCTTTGGGATCGATGAGAGTTGCATCGAAGTGTGCTTCTAGGGCTTCGATGAAGCGGCGTAGGAGATCGGAGTATGCGGCGTCGGATTTTGTGAGGGTGGACTTTTGTTTGCTGAGTTCGACTTTTTTGGCGACGACGGTTGTTCGGAGGGTTGCGTTGTGGAGGTCTTGTTCGCTGCGGAGGGTTTCGCCGTCTTTCTGTTGGGCTTGTAGCTTTTCGAGTTCGGTGAGTAGCTTAGTGCATGTATTATGCAGGTATCCAGACGGGATTGATAGGACGTCCTGTAGTGTCAGTAGTAAAGCCTCCGAGTTTGACTTCTTCAAGCACATGAACAAGTTTTTCTCAAAGTTTGAGTCTCTGAGTTGGCCAGCGAGGGCATCGACTAGTAGTGTCGACTTGAGTTGCTGTTGTAGAGCTGGGATGCGCTTCTGTAGCGCCATGGTCATCTCTACCATGCTCAAAATCTTCTCCAGAGCTTGATGTCCAGACAAGATCTGCCGTTTGAGATGTTCAAGAAGATATGCGTTGTTGTTTACAAGGCGTTGAGGTATCAAAGCTTCACCGTTCTCGAGCATTGTTTCCACATGTCTGTGACTATCAGGAATGTCAAGCTTAGAAAACTTGAGGCAACTTACTGTTGAAAAGAAGGGAGGTTTCGTAGAGCTTCAAAGTGTTCAGCTGATATATCTGCCTCTGCGACGGTGTCATCGAGGAAGATGCTAAGAGCATTGGCATAGAAATGTGATAGGTATGCATACTGTGATCGATCAGCACAAAGTTTACCAATCGGCGACTGAAGGCTATACCTGAACACTGTCCACGAAAGCGTCGAGACTCTGAATATGCTCTCGTTGACGACGTAGCGTGGCAGAGCAAATGCCAGGACCTAACCAGAGATCGGGGGTACTAGATTCAGGGGATGAGTATAGAGCATCAGTGATCTGTTCGAGAGCACTTTCTGCCTTGACAACATCAAATCGTTGACCGTGGATGCAGCGAGTAGCCTTCTTGGACAACTTGACAGAAAAGTTCTCGATGGATGTAGCAACACCAAAGAAGAAGACAAAAGGTATTCTGTCTTGCCAAAGACTTTGAAGAGGTTAGCCGGAATTGACTATGAGAGTTGAGATGAATCTTACGTCAACAGCTCGATTGCATCCGATAGAAGCGCGCCATCGAAGGCTTCACAGTCCTGAAATGCAACAACAACTCGAGACAAGTCTTTCTCTTGTGTATAGTCGTACAACAGTTGAAGATCATAATTCAGCAGACGTGTACGTTTGCGAGTTGGGTTGACAGCATCGACCTCATCTTCATCATCGGATCGAGCGTCAGAAGAAGTTCCTCTCGAGATGAGATTTTTGAGCAAGGTCTTGAGATTGGGAGCCAAGGCAGAGGTCAAAGGGATGAAGATACTTCCATCAGATTGGCCAATGCTGCTGGATAACTGTGAAAAGAGCAAAGCGTGTGATGCAATACTTGGACCAGTGAGAATGATGGCCGAAGAGACCTTGCCGGGAGCTGGTTGAGGAGAAGTGGACTCGACAAAAGTAGAGATTTGGTTGATGGTTGATTCGTTGATCTCCAAAAGTAAACTCTGTGCAATTGTCAGCATAGAAGACGGAATACAGACGGATGTTTCTACCTTAAGACGATGCTGCTGTTTGGCCCATAGGCGTTGGTATAGTGACCTACGAAGAGGCCACGAGGTTTGGAGGCCTTGCAGTGGCTCAATTCGGCGCTTTTTCACTGGGCGGTCCGAGTTACGAGCGGGTGGATCATATACATAGCACGTTTGAAAGTCCATGGTCCTCCGGTCGTATTGGCAGTGGAACCAAGACTGCGTAAACAAAGATTCGGGAGTGTAGACCGAGTGGAACGTGTGAGTGTGTTGGCAATGCAGTCAAAAGGTGTTGGCAACCAATGACGACGCTGTCAGAAGCAAAAAAGTTGATGGTTCTTGCCGTGCTATTATTCTGGACTTTTTGCTTGTGCAACGTTCCTACCTTCAACAAACTTGATGCACGTCTTCAGCCTGAGGAGAAGTACTTTACAACCGCGACTGTTCCAGCAAGCATGTCGCCTTGCTTCGACCAGCACTAGACGCATCGCCCCGCGCAACCATCGTAACAAACGACTCGCCGCTCGTTCATCACCTCCTGCTCGCCCCAGCGCTCCAGTGGACGACGAAGAGGAGGAAGCCGTCCGCTGGTTCGAACAAGATGTCGAGACAGGTGCTACCCGCCGTATCGCCGGCAATCCAGAAGAGCTGGAAGCGGCAGAGCTGAGACAGAAGATCGCCGCCCTGGAGCAAGAACTGAGCGAATACCAAGATCAAGAGTCGGACGAGGACATGCTGGCTGCCATGGAGCCTGAGGACAGAGCAAAGATGGAAAAGGCTTTGGCCGTACGCAACGAGCAACAGACTGAACTTACCAACGGCCTCAATGTCAGTCTGGACATGCCTCCGCTGACTGTGCCTCTTCTCAAGAAGTTCAACATGTCTCTCCGCAGGGCTGCTCTACAACCCCACTCTGTCGCGCGGAGGAAGGATCTCTGGAGATGGTACGGACGTGCAAGGTACAGCATTCCTGCTCTATCGAGCATGATCCCCAAGAAGGCCTGGCAGCTGATCTGGGACTCTCAATCTGTCGAATCTCACACCAATCCCGAGCGCTTGCACCATATGGCTCAACTTCTGCGCGATATGACTCTGGTCGATATGGAAATCATGCCTGAACAGTCTCTCGTCCTTATTGAGACACTGCTCGCTCTCGACAAGAACGAAGAGGCTGTTGCTTCATGGCAATACATCTTCGACTCTACTTCGACTCCTTCCGAGAAGGTTCTAGCTCTCGGAGTACGACTCTTTGCACAGAACGATCGCGTCGCAAAAGCCAACACAATCATGATGCAACTATTCGATCGCTTTCCCGAGCACGATCCTCGCATCATTATCACTCTTCTCAGCGCCAATCTCCGGACTGGAAGGGACGAAACGGCCTTTGGATGTTACGTCCTCATGAGTCAAAAGCTGGGCGAAGACATGAATATGGAGGACTACGATGTTGTTTCACTCACCTTCCTCGAGCACAACAAAAAGGACTACGCTCTGGCCGTCTTCCGCGACATGATGTTGCGTGGCTCTAACAAAGAAGTCTCGGAACAATTCCTGGGCGCTTCGGGACAGAATGACGCCTATGAAGAGGTCTTCAAGCGCATGGAACTGTTGACTGAAGGAACAAATGACCTGAAAGAACTCAACGCTACTGCTCTGAAGGCTCTGAGTGCTTTACCTCGACCGTGGCAGAACAAGTTCTTCTACGGCAGCTGGCTCAAGAAATTGATTGGAATGGGTCAACTCGAAGCCGCAACGAAGGTCGTCGAGTTGATGTACGAACGAGGTATCGAACCCGATGCTAAACACTTGAATGGGTTGATCGGCGGCTATTTCCGCTCCCAAGTCCCAGAGCTAGAGGATCGAGGCGAACAGATGGCCTGGAAAATGATCCAACGAAGATTAGAACTTTCGTACCGACATCGTTGCATCAAACGAGGCGAAAAAGTGGAAGACATTGCCCCCTCTATATACGATACCAGCGCCAGCAATATCGGAGACGTCGAGATGCCAGCTCATCTCGCCCGTCCCGTGCCTATCGGAACCATCGAGACCTTCAACGTCCTCGCGCTCCAGTATTCCATCAAGGAGAATTGGGCACTCATCCACCACCTCAATCGCATGTTGCGACCAGCAAAACTCTGGTTGGATACTGTATTCTTGAACCACCTACTCAACATGATTTTCAACACTTACCACGACGAAAAAAGACTTTGGCAAAAGTTCTTGAACAAAGCAAAACACGTCACCGGTGGTCCTGACATTGAAACCTACAATATTCTGTGGACAGCTCAACTCGAACACTTGAACCCTAAGATTAATAAAGAAAATAAAGCGAACACTGGATACCCTTCTCCCCGCCAGCTCTTTGGCCTCATGACTTCCTGGTATCACAGCAAAGACGCCAGAGCACGTTCTTTGCTCGCTCCAGACTTCACGCCTGAGGTCTTTACAAAGATCATCTCTAGCTTTTGCTTGCAGAAGGACTTTGCTGGATGTTTGGTGGCGCTACACGGCATCGCTCGCATGTACAACGCATACCCCGATCCAGAATTAGCGCGCGTCATCCTCATCGCCGTAGCCAACATGTCCGAAGCCGAACCAGTGACTCTCCGCGGTCGCCGAGGCCGCCAACAACTCCCCGCCTCTGTGGCTCGCCTCAAAACCACTTCAAAAGTGATGGCAGAACTCGCGAATCGCCGTGCAGAAGCCGCCGCTGCGAGTGGCAACCACATTGAGTCTATGGATGTCCAAGCACGTAAAGAGGAAGCATTGAACTTGCTTTCTGAATTCTTGAGATTGGTGTTGGTAAAGCAAAATAAAAACAGTGTTGATGTGGTGGAGAAAGAGATCCAGGAGGCTGCTGTGACGTGCCAGTTGCCGGGTATTGTGACGGGAGACAAGGATTGTTCGAATGTGGTTGCTGATCTGAATCTGGAGTTGGTTTTGCGCAAGGAGGAGGAGGTATAGGTTGCATCTCGACTCTGTTTTGTACAAAACAGCCTTTAGTTTGGCCGGAGGGGTATCATATATGTTGTTTAGTAAAAGCATCAATCATGTATAATACAATCAAAACACCGCTCTGTTTTTTTTTCTCTGCATCTCTTCGCTTGGTTCTTTTGCTCTTTCCGGATTGAGGTCTCAATCATGTTCCTCCTCCGTCGTGCCCGGACATCCCTCCATATCTGCATCAGCATACCTATACTTGCACCAAAAGCAATAGTGATAGGTATCCCTCAGATATACCACCAATTTCTCAAGTCTCCCTCCTACGCTCAACGCATTGTATTCCTCCAACTCTTGATCCTCCTCTTCGTCTTCGACATCCTCGATTTCCATGCCTAGAGCGATTTTATCATCGTGATCCGCTTCATCGTCATGCCATCGCGAAGACAACGAATCCAGCGCTCCTTTCCTAAGCACTTTCTCCTTGTCCCTCTGTTGTCGTTGCAGAGCCAGAGTTCTCCAAAGCACATTGACTTTCCTTACATCCTTCTCCTTCTCCTTCCTCGCCTTTGCCTTTTCCTCTTCCTCCGTATCAAACTTCTCGCACACCTTCATAGCACCCCACCACATACCCTCTTGTCTTTTCTCTTCTCTCTCCCTCGCAACTCTTTCTCTATACTCTCCAGCCTCTGCTTTTTGTTTCTTTTCTTTTCCTTGGAGCTCTTCCATTGTTTCGCGTATCTTTCTCTTCTTCTCATTATCCATGCCTATTCCCCCCTTCCCCTCCTTGACACTGATTTCAATCGGTTCTGTCCTAGCTCCCTCAGTTTTGCCCAAGCTGCCACCTTTGAAACCCATTTTAGCCATCATCTGAGCGCCCTTTGACGTCGGATTGCTCAATGTTGAAGTCGCCAACGCAGTCTCGCGTGCTAGTTCTGCTTCTTTGGCTAACTCGGCTTTGGTCTTGGGCTGGGATTTTAGGGATGCGATGCGTCGGCGTTCTTGTTGGCGCTGCAAGGAGGTTTTTGGGAGTGCAGGCGAGGGGTCGGTGAAGGACATGTTCATGTAGTCGTCTTCTGCGTCGCTCATTTTTTGTGGTTTGTGGGAGAGGCGTATGCGCTTGAGAGGGTTGGTGTGTGGTGTGTCCTCCGAACAGTTTGTCTGGTCCCTAAGGAGTGGTGTAGGACCTGTCGGTTTGGTTTTGTTGCTGACAAGGTGGTATGATCTGGTGGACTCGGTGTTGACGTATAAGAGTAATTGCCAGCTACTGGAGGAATGCCTTTTGCCGTTTGAAGATGTGAGTGATTGAAATATTCAAGGTCGCGACTTCTTGTGCTCGCAGCTAAACATTCACTGTCGCAAATGCCCGAATTAGGAAATTGAGGCTCGTGCTTCTTGTGCAAGCCTTCACAATAGTCCTGCATAAATACAGAGATGGCGACAGCAAAGACCAAGATCGTCAAACAAGAGCTCGAAACCAGGATATACACGAAACATCCATGAATAAAGAAAGTGAGAGAGAGACAAGACTCGATGATGTACGAAAACGCTTGAACTCTTTTTGAATGGAAATTATACACAGACATCTACTTTTTATCATATCTTCTACATGTCAGACCCCAAAATAAACAAACGCCTTCTGCCCCCTGAAGCAGGATATCCTTATTCCTCCATTTCCTCATCCTCGTCATCCTCTTCCTCGCCTTCGGCAGCCTCTACGCTAAACGTAGGTGCTTGATCAACACCAACATACGAATCACTCATCAAGAACAAAGTCAAGTCGTGCTTGCCAGGCGTGGGTACGGTAAAGTCAAGGCGAACCTTGAGCTCACGACCGATAGTGACCTTCTTGATACTGAGTAAGTTCTTGGTGCTCTCCTCGCCAACAACAAGCCACCAGTTCTCAGACTTCTGTGCAGGGTAGAACGGTGCGTGGACAGTAAGGTTAGGCTCTTCGTCCTCTTCAACATCGCGCTCAATGCTGACGTTGATGAAGCTAGGTTCGCCAGCAACAACGTTCTCGGCATCTTCGAGTTCAAAGTTGAGCTCGACGTTGGGATAGCGTTCGTTGGTGAAGCGAGCGGCATCGCCCAATTGCTGGTTGCTGAGACCCATGTTCTTGACCAGTTTCTCGTAGTTGGGGTTCTCGGACGGGTCCATGGCGTCCATGAACTCGAAAATGTCGTTGATGCCATTACTGTTGACGGCTTCGATGACTTCGGGTTCGAAGTGGGGAATTTGCTTGAGTGGCGAGTCACGATCCCACATGGACTGCACAACCATTTGGCTCATCTCCATGGCGCTCATGGCGTTGAGGTGGGCTTCTGATGAAAGTACGTCTACGCAAGCGCTGAGCAAGACGAGAACCTTTTTGAGGATCAGCTCTTGATCATTGGCAAGATCCACAGGTAGTTGCATGCGTGAGAAGTGTGCTTGCAACAGGATGAATGCCTTGAAGTGAGGAGACTCGAAGTTGACCTCGGCGAGCTTGACTGGCACACGGTCGTAGATACGCGACAGAATGCGTTCTTCGTGACGACGAGTCTGAATGTCCTCGAACTCTGTGGCTGCAGTGACAATCTCGAGGATGCCCTTCAGCTTAGTGGTCTTCTTCAATGAAAGCAAGAAGGTTTGCATGGTAATGAAGGAGATGCTGTAGTAGCCGGCAATCATGGCAGCGTTGAGTGGTGTGATTGAACCATCATCTTCTTCGTCAACCTCGATGATGTTTGCGTCAGTCAAATCCTTGAGAGTGGACTCGATAAGCTCTGACAAATGGTAGTTGAAGGCGTCTTGAGTTGTGTCAGTAAGACCGTAGAAACTGGGGTTGGCCATCAGACGACGGTAAAAGTAGGTGTAGGTGAACCAGTTGATTGCGTCCTGAGTGTCTTCAATCGTCTTGGTGCTGATTTCAGTAACAAAGACGTCGTGCAAGAAGGCTTGCAACTGACTCTCGACTGGAAGTGCCTCTGTCAAGAACTTCTTGTAGTAGTCTCTCTTGACGGCGGGGCACATCAGAACACCACGAGCCTTCTTGTCTTTCATCGGTCTGCCAGCCTTGCCGAGCATCTGCAAAATCTCACTGATGGGGTAGTCGATGTAGCGATGCTCACGACCTTCGAAGAACTGAGTGCCCATCACAATGACCATGTGAGCTGGAGTTTGCACTTCCCAAGCACAGTCTCTTGATACAAGCATTACCTGGATGGCACCAGCCTTGAAGAAGTGCTCGACAGCACGTTTATCGAAGGGACTGAGAGCTTCGTGGAAGTAACCAATACCATGCGACAAAGACTCGGCCAAAGCGCGTTCGTTGATCTTCTCCAGGACAGAAGAGATGTCTTCAAGGTTGGCGTTGAGGAATCGATCTTCTTGGTCATCGGCAACACAAGTTGCCAGCAGGTCCAAGGCAGTCGCGCGTACCTGTTTACGGTTTGGCACGAACACCATGGCGGGCTGACCGGCGGCGAGCTGTGCGATAGACTGGTAGACAGGCTTGACCATGGCCAACATAAGAGATGGGAAATGAGGAATCGTGAAAGGTTGGATGTGGAGCTCAAGGGGGATCTGGCGGTATTGAGGGCTGAAGTTGAAGATGGTGTGCTTGCTAGCTCCGAACCATTCACCGACATCACGGGCGTTGGAAAGAGAGGCACTCAAACCGACGATGCGGAGGCCGTTCTCGAGTTGCTTGCTGATTGCGTGACTGCGAGATACAACAGTCTCGTAGATGTAACCGTTGTGTCCTCCGATCATGTGGAGATCGTCGGCAACAACAAGTGTCACAGCTTGGACATTCTTTCTGCGCTGCCACATACGAGACATCATGTCCCACTGTTGAGGTGTGGCAAGGATAAGATCGCCTTCCCCGAGCAACTTGAGATCAGCAGTAGTCTCGCCAATCAACTTGACAATCTGCTTGCCGCCAGCAATGCCGGTCAAGCGGGATTGCCAGTCTTTATAACGAGCATCGATCGCTTCTTGGAAGGGTGCAATGTAGACAGCCTTGCCATCTCCTTGGCTCCAGTGACGGAGCAGAGCAAATTCAGCACACACAGTCTTACCGCTGCCAGTGGAAGATCCAACAAACACGTTGTCGTCTGAAGAGTACAAGGCATTGAATGTTTGGGTCTGGATCTTGTTGAACCGTTCCCAGTCAGGGTAGAGGTTGACGAACTCTTCACGCTTGAGAGCAGCGATGGGAAGAGGCTGGAGATCCAAAAGAGGAGTGTGAGCAGGGAACTTCTCAGGCAGAATCAGCTTCTGGAAGGACACAGCCAGACGAGCCTCAGAGTGCATCCAACGGTCAGACAACACGGTGATGAAGTAGTTGGGTGGCATGGGCTCAGTGATGGGTACAGTAAACTCGACCAGATGCTCGTTCATCTCGGCTTCGGCGTACTCCTTGCGAAGGACGAACTGGTCATGGAACAGAATTTCTTCACCATCGCAGTCCTCTACGAGAATCCAGAAGCTTTCAGACTTTCCATGGAGGGCTTCGTCCCACTCGAACTTGGGTGAGATGGTAAGCTCGACGCGGAGCATAGTTCGTGTCATGGGTTGAACTTGAGCCTGGATCTCTAGACGAGGGAACTTTTGAACCAGAGCGCAGACTTGTCTACCGGCTCTGGGCAAGCCAAGAAGCTCTCCCATACGAGGAGGATCAAGATCAAAGTAGCTCGACCACGGCACATCAATGCGCTCAGCCTTGCGAACAATGTCTGCAGGGCACTCCGGGAACTGTCTCAGAGGTGACATGGTAGGCCACATACGCTTCTCGGCCATCTTGCAGAGGTTAAGGGCATCCTTGACAACCGAAGCCAGACCCTTCTTGAGAGCGATCTCGAAGACAGCTCTCAGAATACGGCCAGCAGATTGTGTGACGTAGACCAAGTCAGCCATGAGAGCAAGGCCATCGAGCTTCAGACGAGACACGTATGCTTGAAGCAAGACGTTGATCTTGCAGTGAGGCTCATCAATGGTTTCTTTGACAGGGATTGGAACTCTGCCGAGCAGCTTTGCAAGCTCCAGCTTCTCGTCTTGGCGGACGGGAATATACTTGAACTCCTCACTGAGGGCAAAGACACGGAAAAGCTCAATAGGGGTGATTGATGGCTGGATCTGCTGATTGTAGGTCAACATCGATTTGTGAGTAATGTAGTAGTGCGATGCAATGCGACCAAGCTCGGTAGACACGATGCGACCTGCACGTTTGTCGTATTTGACCAGGTTCGCCTGCTCAAGAAGCAAAGCCGCAGAGTGAATCAGATCGACTCTCTTTTGTTCCAGCGTTTCGTCATCTTCGTAGTCGGCACCAACTTGGTACAGTGCGGGCGATCGCAACATACGCACGAACAAATATGTGTAACCCAGCCACTCGACACCCTCATCACGGGTACGAACATTGCCGAGAACGACTTCGGCATTAAGGTTGTCTGCCAACTTGCTAACAAGCTGACTCTCAATGGGAAGCTGTTGGTTCAGTAGCGACAAGTAGTACTGGATTTCCTGTTGTGTCGTGATGATGATACCTTCTCCGTATGTGTCATATTGCGGGCGACCGGCACGACCAAGCATCTGTAGGACGTCTTGAGGAGACAACTCAACCCAGCTACCCTTCTCAGGAGAGTAGATCTGAGTACCCTTAATGATGACAGTGTGAGCTGGAAGGTTGACACCCCATGCGAGGGTGGCTGTGCAGACAAGAACCTGAACATCACCCGAAGCAAACAATTCCTCGACTGAGTTACGATCGGCTCTGCTCATACCAGCGTGATGGATGCCGAAACCGTATGGGAGAAGATCCTTGAGATCAGCATTCGTCACACTCTCGGCTTCCTCTGTCAGAATTTCTCGGCTGGCTGCATCGTGCTTCAGAATCTGCCCGATCGTCTCGAGCTCAAGAGCCTTGTCACGAATGTACTTGGCCGTCTTCGCGGTCTCTTTACGGGAGTGGACGAAAATCAGCATCTGGTTACGCTGTTGACCAACTTGTTCGAGAACCTTGTTGTAGCAAATGTCGTTCATGGTCTTCAACTGCTTGATTGCCTTCTTCTCGGTGACACCGATGAACTCCTGCTTCAAGGGGCAAGGTCTGTAAGTGCCGTCAAAGTGGAACATTCCCTTCTGAGGGTCGACTCTCAGGAAAGTGGCGACATCGCGGTAGTTGGGAAGAGTGGCACTCAGACCTACAAGACGGACAGGCTCACCAGTCTGCTCGATCTTGCGGATCTGTCGACTGACAATGCTCTCGAGAACCGGACCACGGTCGTCGTGAAGCAAGTGGATTTCATCGATACAGATCAAACGGACAAGATTGGTATAGCTGGTGTCAGTGGCCTTGCGAGTAATGACATCCCACTTCTCTGGGGTCGTCACAATGACCTGGGTTTCAGCAATTTGTTGCTTGGTGAGTTGACGATCACCAGTCAGTTCTGAAACCTTAATACCGTAAGGCGCCAGGCGCGCGCCAAAGTTGCCGACCTGTTCCTGGACCAGAGCCTTCAGAGGGGCAATGAAGATGATCTTGAAAGCGTCCAAATCGATCTCGCCAGTCTCGGGATTACGGTGCTTGCCAATTTCGCGCAACATTGCGAGCATAGCGACATTTGTTTTACCAGATCCAGTAGGCGCGCAAATCAGCATGTTGCCGTCGTCCTTGAATGCAGTAGGGAAGCATCGTGTTTGGATTCGGTTGAGCTCCTTAGAACTTCCGAATCCAATGCGAGCCCACTCAGGCAATTCAGTTGTTGGAAGGTTAGGGGTTTCGAAGTCCTCGCGTTTGCGCTTGGGGGCCGGTACGTGGATTTCCTCGTAGCCTTTGAATGTGCGCTTCGTCGATCCTTGTGGCAGCTTAACGCTTGGGTTGGTCATGAGATGGTTTCCCTGGTCAAAGACAAGGTTCTCAAGGTTGATATTCCTGCTCGGTGCAAGACCACCAACAAGACCCTCCTTCTTCTCTTCAGCCACAGCAGGCTTTCCAGTCGCTGTATCCAGGTCCATAAGGTCGAATTGCATCTTTCCCTGAGCTTGTCCATCGGTACCTTGTTGGCGTGTCTTGAGCTCCTTGAGAATGCTTCCGTGTCCAGCCTGGACCATCTCGCGTTCAATGGCCACGCGAGCAGGTTCATCTTCGCCAGCTCTTCTCCACCTCGTTGCCCATACGACCTTATCTCTGTTCTTGACAAGCTTCGAGACCAGCTCGGGGTGTTCGTAGTCGAACAGCTCCATCAAATCGTTCTCAACGTCGCGCAACTGTTTCTCCTCACCATCCTCATTTAAGCCCGACATCATGTCTAGCGCTTGTGATGTCTTGTCTTGTTGAATATGTGCATCCTCGTATAGCTGGCCGATCTGTCGCTGGAGCCAGAAAGCGTCGATTTCGTGAGCGGGTATGATATCCTCCTGGTCGGCCTTTGCTGAGCGGCTGGTTGTCGGGGCTGAGAAGACGAGATCTTCTTCGTCGCCTTCTGCAGCCATATCTTCCACCTCTTCAGCGCCGCCTCCGACGACGTTCTCCGGATCCTCAATGACATCCTCGTCATCTGACTCTCCTTCTCCGTCGCGAACTTCGTAGTTTTGGCCTTCTTCCTCATCTTCGTCACCGAAGTCAACGGCAACACCTTGGCGATCATCAATATCGTCGCCTTCGCCTGCATCATCTGCATCGCCCATATTCTCGTCCTCATCTTGTGCGTCGTAATCTGTAATCTTCTTGCCCAAGTTGACGAGTTCGTTGAATTCCTTCGATGACAAGTTGACGCCGACAATATCGTCAATCTCCCGCTTCTTGTCAAAATCTTTGAGGGCTTGGTCCTTCAGGTACTCCAAAATGCTGTCGGTGGCACTGGCAGTGATGTGGAGGCCGTAGTCGCCTCCCATCTTTTGTGCCACCAGTGTGTTGATCAATGTGTATGTCGCCTGGGTTGCAGGTGTGCGAGGGCGGTATCGTAGGCCTTCGATGTTGAGATCTGCTTGTGATAGGATGCCAGAGGCGCGAGCACTCTGGGCGGGTTCGGGTCTCTTGCGCTTCCTTTGCGCATCTTGAGCAGCTGGTTGGGCAGGAGCGGCTTCGCGGGCATTGCGCGAGCCCATGTCGTTCAGGTTGATGCGACCAGCAAGCGACTCGGGATCACCAGTACTGTCATCACCTCGGCGGGTGATGAATCGACGGTCCGCCTGGAGAACCAGGTTGGACATGGCCGAGTACTTGTACTGGTTGAGGCGCTTGGCATCTTCATTTTCGGCCATTGTGACTATTGTGAGATTGAGGTATAGGGTGGCGGGCGACAGACGTAGATGGATGGCTCCCTACGCGTGTGCTGCCTTGATGGACAGTAAATGGCTTTCTCAAACCACAAGAGCTTCACCAGCGGCGAACATTCACTCCGACTTTTCTTGGCAGTGGTGTAGAGATGCGATGTCGTTGGCATCAGATAGCCATCTTGATGACAACAGCAAGCATGAATCGAACGAAGATTGCTCACCGCCAAGCTTTGCACGATCGACCGAGTTGCCCGCTGCACGGACGTGGTTGTTAGATTCCAACTTGTTCCCTGTTCCATAGCAGACAGATGAGCTTCCTTAACTAGCGTAAGACAAGCGGCTCATACCTATCTTACTGCTGTCATTATATGCACATGGATGTCACTGCCTCGGTGTGGTGACCGGAATCTGCACATACGATAGAACTTCCAGCATTGGATCCACGAGGGGAGAACGCGGCCTCTTGGTCTGTAAAGTCAGCAGTGTTGACGAGCAGGACCTTAAGGTTCTGAGTAGGTTCCAAATGCGAATGCCATGCGCCAAATTGGAGCAATCACATGCGTTCGGTATGCAGATGAGCGTTGACTGGGCTTGCCGTTCGCGGGGTCTATGTCATCGTCATTGTGGCTGGGGCGATCAATTCCCGCTGCGCTGCCTGGAGCTCCATCGGATCGTTTCCTACAAGATCTCGACCTTCTCTCGTCTCTTCATCTGTTCTGCACATTAGACTTCAAGCCGACAAGTACAAGGTACCTGTCGCATCTATCCTACCATGGTCTCGCTGTGGGGTTCGAAAAACAACGACGAGGAGCAGCTCGACGATGGCTCTACCACGCCTAGAGTCTCGTCCGAAGACACCAGACGTCCTCCGTCCAGACGTTCCTACGAGCGAAGAGAGCGTGAAGCAGACGAGAGAACCAGACTCTTGCCTGCTCAACCTCGTCCTCCCCACTCTGATGGCTACCTAGACCCAGATGACCCGGCTGTAAGCCAGCTCGCGTCTCTCTGCTATCTCGTTGCAGTACTGACAACCTCAGGTCTCTCCTTACAACCTCTGGACCGTCCGTTTCCTGAGATACCTCACCGTCCTCTTCTTCCTCATCAACTTCATCTGGTGGGTTCTGCTCTTCGTGTGCATCTTCGTCTCTCCTCCTGGTCTGCACACTAGAGGCTCTGGTTTCTTCGACTTCTCCTACATCACCCTCACCGCTGGTAACCTTCTGGTCGCTATCCTCTTCTTCTCTGCACCCTCCAAGGGCATGCGCATCACATCGGGTATCATCACCGCCATCTTGGCCATCGACTTGATCATGATTCTTGCCATTCCCCGCCTCAGAGTCGAGGAGGGTTGGCCGGGCATTGCCTCGATCGCTTGGGCTACTCTTATCAGCCTTTGGTGTGTCATTACCGACAGAGTTGTGGCTTGGGGCAAGAAGGAGGAAGAAGAGCGTCTTACTGGTCGTGCTGAGACACGCAGGACACTGCGCGAGTGGTTGGCCGTCTCTTTGGCCACTTTGATCCTTATTGTCTTCACTGTCATTACCGTCCTAATGACCGCAACCCTTATCTTGCGTGCTCGTGATGCTACTTTGCCCATGGATGGCGAGCGGTACTACGTTGACGGCGACAAGTACCAGGTCCACCTTGCATGCTTGGGCAACGTTACTTACGGCTCTGACGGTTCCGCCAACCCCACTCTTCTGCTCGAGGCTGGCGAAGTGCCTTCGGAGTACGATTTCGAGCACTGGGCATATGCTGCCTGGAAGAACGGCACTATCGACCGCTACTGCTACTGGGATCGTCCCGGCTACGCTTGGTCTGACAGCGCTCCCAGCCCTCACAGCGCTGGTATGTCCGCAGATGCTTTGTCCGAGGCTTTGGCTGTTGCTGGTGAAGAGGGTCCCTTCATCCTCGTCTCAGCCGGTTACGGCTCCATTGTCTCACGCATCTTCTCCGCTCGCCATGTTCGCAACATTGCCGGTATTATGATGATCGACCCTCTTCACGAGGATCTCCTCCACCGCATCGGCGGCGCATACAGAGGCTTTGTGCTCTGGGGCTTCGGCGTTATCTCACCTCTCGGAATTCAGCGCAACTTTGGCGCCATCTTCAACGGACGCACCCGCGAGGATCGTGTCTACGGTCGCTCGGCTTATCAAGGTGGCAAGTTCATCAAGGCTCAGCTCCAGGAGAACCTCATGGCCGAGTCTCTTACTAAGAACGAAGTTTCGACCGCTCGTACTATCCAGACTCCCGATGTTCCTCTCGTCATCATCAGCAGTGGCATCAGCAACCGCCGTGACACCGAGTGGGAGCGTAAGCAGCGCGACCTGACCAAGCTTACCGAGAACTTGATCAGCTGGGATGTCGTCAACAAGGCCCCTCACGAGGTCTGGAGAACTCTTGACGGCAGAAATGTCATGGACAAGAGACTGAAGGACATTGTCAAGCAGAACTACAAGGCCTTCTCGATCAACGCGGAGGAGATCTAAGATGGACAACAGCCACTTTCACGACTCTTTCAAGTTCTTTTCTGTCATGAAGCGAAATTGAATCATGGTAACTAGCGTAGTGGCGAGCAACGATTAATGTCTTTATTCTGCGTTGCATTTCATACAGCCCGGTACATAGATATCATTGCATTTTGATCTTTTAATGCATTTCAGCTTCTTTTGTGTGATTTCACGTCCACTTGTGCTGAAGGCTGGAGCTCAGTCCACTACACTCCTCTACTACGTGGGAAAAGAGCGCAATGCTCGCGAGCTATGAAAAGGCACAGTAATCTCTAGATCAGGAATGTGTCCAGAGAGAGCCTAGGGAACACCGCATCTCGATGGACACAATCCAGTGCTCGAGACACTGTGCAATCTTGTAGCTAAACGCGTTCCAAACCTTTGCACACGAGGAGGCAGCAAGCTCAAGTGATGTCTCTCAAGTCATAAGGCTTCTTTCTATATCGAGATAAGCTCAAGTGATATATGCAACACGCTCTTCATCTGCACGATCATCATGTAACAAAGGCGCATCCTCACCATTTCTATACTCGCTCGCAGTAAAGAACCTCGTCAACCTCCTCTGACCCGTCCACTGCCTCTGCTGCACCGCCTCCGACGCCTTCAACCCCCAATGCCACACCATACCCGCAATAAAGCCCACGGCATCGTTTTTGAGCGCCAAACATCCAGCCACTGTAACCAACATCACCGCCCACCGATCCTTTTTCTGCTGCTCGTTGAGTTGACGTCTCTTATCCGTTGCTGCTGCAGCAGCAGCGTCGTCGTTTTCTTGCTCTGTTTCCTGCCATGCATCCTGGACGTCATCTAGGGATTGGCCTACTTTAGCCAACTCGACACCAGCGGCTAGAACCATGATTCCGAGTAGGGACTTGGGGAAGCGTTGGAGGAGCGGTATGATGCCTTCGCCGGCGACCAGTCCGAGGATGAGTTTCACAAGGCCGAGAATGATTATGGAGGCACCGCTGCGAGCGCCGAAACGGTGTTGGGCTGCGAGGCCGCCGGAGCCGTGGCAGATTGGCATGGCGCCGAACCAGCAACCGATGAGGTTTGCGAGGCCTACTGAGAGGCCGATTTGGGTATTTGATGGTGTAGGGGGTGAACTGGAGGGAAACAGAGATGCGGAGAGGGATGTCACTGCTAGAATGCTATTTAGAGTTGTGAGAGGAAGTTGAGGGAGACCGGCTTCGAAAGCGCCTTTGTAGAAGTCTCTAAGGGAAGGGATGTAGGTGTGCGGGTGCCAGGCGTGGAAGCCTGAGGGTTGGGTTGATGAGTGCGAGGTTGAGAGATAGATGCCGCTGAGAGTGAGACCGAGGATGAAGACGAGTAGAGCGTAGGGGACTCGAGGTATCAACGATGAACACAGGAGAAAAACGAACGCGGCGATTGCCCATAGCCAGTTGTCTGACCAATTTGGAGCTGTCCATCCAAGAGGCTTGAGTAGACTTGTTCCTGCTGAGATGACCAGAGCGAAGCCAGCTCCCATCTGAATACCTCTGACGACAGGGATAGGTACCACACGCCCAAACCACTTGAGCAGGCCAGTGAGACTAAGAAACGTCACAACTCCTCCCACGAAAAGGCCAGCAGAGATGTTTTCGTTTATGGTGTACGACTGACTGATGGCGATGGCAGCTATAGCTTTCATGGGCTGCACTGGTAATGGTATGCCAAACGCAACTCCTGTTACTATGTTCGCGAGTCCAGAAAACACCAAGGTGGCAGATAAGGATATGCTTTTCGTCAAGGTGAGAGCAATGAGTAGAGGTAGTAAAGTCCCCAGATCGCCGAGAGCTCCAGAGAGTTCATTCAGTGGTTGCGATTTCAGGGTGCGTAGGTTATGCTTGTTCACACTCACCAGGCGTGAGTATAGGGATACCATCATGATGGTGTGATTAGTGTTTAGCGATATGCAATGAGGAATGTTTAGGGAAAACGCTCGCAAACGATGCTAGAAATGCTGTCGGAAATCAGGTCGTAGATCGAAGTCACAAAGGCCCGCGTGATCCAGCCACGTAGGTCCTGTACCGCCAGAATATATATTGGTTAGTCAAAGTGAAGGGTGGGTGACGATAGGGCATCGGAAATGTCACTGATCTTCGCAGGTCCAAGCTTTCTGAGAGTGACCCTGTCCTGCATCGCACCAATCTCCGTCGCGTCTTCCGTGTTGGAACGCGTCTTCCCAAACGAACGTCTGTGACTGAAAATTAATATTACTCACAATCATCAGAGACAAGGACAGCTATGCCTCCGAGATCAGTACTACCATCCTCGTCACAGGTCGCGGCTCCGATACCGAGCTCGCAGATCGTTGGAACAGCTCAATCAGCAAAGAAGCTCAAGCAGTATCGGCCAGTGAAGCCATTACCTTTCGAGCTTCGGGATATTATCAATGTCTACATCGAAGAGCAGCTCTTTTCACAAGCCATTCCATTACTCTCAAACACATTAATCGCAGGCACGGATGGCACATCTGATGGTCGGCCGTTACCAACTTGTGTCCCATCTCCCCAGGTCCTGGCAGTTATGGCAACTCTGGCTGTACATCCCATGTGGACCAATCGAGCTACAGAACCGGAGAATGTGAAGATAGCCAACGATGCTTTGTTCCTCCTCAAACACGTCAACTCCATTGTCGGTGGTACCAATGCCAACTTTACATCAGCTTTCAAGTTTCTCGATAGATTCGACTCTCGAGACCGCCGCCGACGTACTGGAGATCATGTCGGTAGTCCAGAAGAGGACGGCAAGCTGAAGATCAAACTGGCCAACCAAAGTGCAATCTGGAATCTGGCCGAAGACTTCTGGAGCGTGGTCGGGTGGGCCTTCAACTGCTCGTGTCAGCATCCCAAACGATGGGAAAGATGGAGGCCCTGGTTGGAGTTCATACTTGACGCGCTTGAAGACGATCTACAGGAAAGGATATCTGCTGTCGAGCCTCTGAGGGAAGACGGCAAGGAAGCGGCAGCCAATACATTGCTATCTGAGAGTCTGATCGCGCAGTACTGTCTCGCTACGGGCGACGGCAGAGCCAGCAAACGAAGAGTCATGAGAGCAATCCTCGCCAATGGCTGTAAGAAAAATCTGGACGAGTTTCACGAGATATGGAAGAACGAGACCAAACCTCCGAAAGAGAAGAAGATGGAAGAGCTGGTCTCAAAAAAGAAGATCGACTTTGACAATGACGAGTACGGCGACTATATGGACATGGACGACTCTGAAGAAGAGGAGGATGACTTACCCTCGACACCAAAAGCAACAACCTCAGCACGTTCGTCACGTAAGAGAGGACGACCATCATCAGCAACACCGGATGTGGATGCAGAGAGCGAATACACTGCATCTTCCGATTATGGTGGATATGAAGCTGTGCACCTACGCCAGCGTCTCATCGCTTTGGTAAGTGAATTGCCCTCTTTCCGTTCAACACTTTCTAACACTGTGCAGCTCACCCAAATTTCACTGCACTACGAACACGCCTTCATGGAGGCTGAAGACTGCTTCGATTTGGTGACAGAGTTCCTTCGCCCTCTCCCATTAGATACCTTCATGCTATTCGTCTCGCCTCCAGGCTCCTGGCTGGAAGACCATTCACACGCCTCGCTCTGTCAAAATCTTCTCCGTCCGACCATCTCCTCCGACGCACCAACCTACCACGCGGACACGATGACACAAATCGAATTCGAGAAACACTTCTTAGCATATCCAGCTAACTACGCCAATTATGTTGAGAACGCACGAGTGAGCCTATTGGTTGAGAAGCTGCTGAGATTGCTATTCACAAATTCTGCACTGGTTGTTAACGACAGCCTGAAGAAGAAGCTGGATGAAGGAATCAAGGCTAGAGAAGCAAAGGCAAAGTTTGGAGCGAGAAAGTTGGTGGGTGCGAAAGAGGCGGAAGAGGAGAAAGCTGTGCAGATGCTGAGCCGCAGTGCAACGAGGATGAGGATGACGGTTCAGATAGCTGGTGCTCAACAGCAGCAGCAGCAGCAGCAGTAGGCTCTTGACCGAAGCAGATATCGAGAGCATTATCGGGTGGACGAGAACCAGCCAGTCATTCTTCTTGACCCTCTGTCGTTTCTTCGCAGCCAGGTAAACAAATGCTTTCATTGATGGCAATGCATGATATCCTCCAATAGAGAATCATCAATAGAGAGGTCATCTCAAGGTGCTCCTTTGTTCGGAGTTTTCACGTCGACCGGCTTTAGTTCTTGCACCATGCCGCAGACACCGTCATAATTTTGACCAGATGGATACCTGCGACATATCATATATCGAACCAAACGTCATGTAGCCCTACGTAGTCCCTGATAGCAATTGACATGGCCCTAGGTTATGTTCCGCAAGAGAACAAGAGTGAACAGAACAAGCCAGGGTCGTATCACAGACAAGCTGTCTTGTTCAGACGGGTAGATGGATTCGGGAAGGTTATGCGAGTTAGAGTCCTTAGACGGCATTCCATGGCAATTCAGACGTTCTCATGGACCTCGCTTGTCAAAAAGAGTGTGTACATGCGAGGTGAGATACAAGATAGGAAGTCGCGACTCGAGGCAGCGATGCCGGCAAGACGAAGGCGGTGAAGCGTGGGGCTTCCTCGATTGGGACTTGGATGTGACGTTGATTCGTCTCCCAACTCGTTCTCGTGGAAACACACATCAACTACCAGTCAAGCCTCTCTCACACCGACGATCTTGCGCGTTTCTTCTCTGAGTCAAGCCCGCTCTCTACGTGTTCAATCACTCCACTCTCGCTACAGCACACCACCCACCTCGAACGGCCTCGTCGGTCTAGTCACCCTCAAACACACATTCAAGATGTTGAAGATCTGGTCTATGGTATGCATTATGTGAGGACGCTGCTTGCGAGATGATGCTGACTAGTCGTGACAGAAACAACAACAGCAGAAGGACCAGGCCGCCGCGTCTGGTGGCGCAAAGAAGAAGAAGGTGACGGCAGCACAACTGCGTGTGCAAAAGGGCAAGTAGACATGTCTTGCAACTGTATTGTACGGACTGACAGACTACACAGATCTCTCGGAACTGTCGCTCGGCAGCACCATGACAACGACCTTCCCAGACCCCGACGACATCCTGCACTTCAGCCTGACCATCGCACCCGACGAGGGCATGTACAAGAACGGCACCTTTGACTTTACCTTCAACATCAGCCAGAACTTCCCACACGAGCCGCCGAAGGTCAAGTGCACGCAAAAGATCTACCACCCCAACATCGACCTCGAGGGAAACGTGTGCTTGAACATCTTGCGCGAGGACTGGAAGCCGGTGCTGAACTTGAATGCTGTCATTGTTGGTCTGCAGTTCTTGTTCCTCGAGCCCAACGCTAGTGATCCGTTGAACAAGGAGGCTGCTGAGGATCTGGCTCGCGACCGTGATGGCTTCAAGCGCAATGTGCGTTCCAGCATGGCGGGTGGCAGCGTCAAGGGCATCTCGTACGACCGCGTCATGAAGTAGAATGGTCGACGATGGAGTCTAGGAAGAAGAATTGATGTGGCATACGACAGGCGTTTTTCTCTCCCTGCTATCGGTACAAGCGATTTCCATCTCTTTTGCCATGTTGGCTTTCATTTTCTATACAAGCGATGCCATGACTGGCATGCACACGGACGGTGGCCTATATATATTTTCTGCTTGCTGAAGACAACATGTTCAACTTCATCAAGTTTTCCTGTGATCGAGTGTTGTGTGTCGGTTGTGTCTAGGCCAGGGTTGCACTTGAAGAGGTCTGTGCTCACCGGCGGAGCAACTTTCCAGTCGGAATTCGCAGCTGCTTGTTCTCGACAGAGCACCAGTTGCAACACCACCCTCGTTTTCCTCTCGACACACACACCACACACACAATGCACACGTCACTAAGGATACCGCACTCGCTGCGAACCAACGGCCAACAGTGCCTGCACTCGCTCCAGCAGCAGCAATGCCGCCACGTCTCGTCGTTCCGCCGCACAAAAAAGATGCTGCTCGTCCAGCCCGACCAGTCCTTCAAGTCCACCACCGGCTCCCAAGACCACATCATCTACAACCCTCCATCCTCGGCGCCAAACGTCTATCACACACCCCTGAAGTTTTTGCCCAAGGACGACCCACGACGCCGCCTGCACACCCTGCTACGCCCCACCTCAGCCTCTGCCTCCTCCACAACCGCACTGCCGCCAGCCGTGCGACCAGTATACGAGAAGAAATATCACCTTAAAGAAGCAGATATTGCAGAGATCAGACGGCTGCGTGCAGAAGACCCGCGCCAGTGGACGCGAGTGAGGTTGGCTGAGAAGTTTGAGTGCAGTCAGTTTTTCGTGAGCTTGTGCTGCTCGGCGCCGCAGATCAAGGATGAGAGGAATGCCGAGTTGGAGAAGATCAAGGAGAAGTGGGGAAGAACAAAGACGGAGGCGCGTGAGGACAGGCAGACCAGGAAGCAGAGTTGGGGAAAGGCTGTCTAGAGTCTTTGATCTGGTGACTGCGAGTTTGGGGAAAGAGAGCAAAAAGTGCATTTGCATTTTCACGGGTGTTACAGGGAGTGTAAGGGGCTCGATTTGTCTTCTTGTCAGGGCCTTCTGTCGAAAGGGAGGCTTCTGGTTTGTATATGCTCTGGTGTGGTGAAGACATTGTTGTAAGATAGGCGGAAGACAGGGCCATGCAGGCATCTGTTTTGTATACCAACAGAAAAGAGAAACTTCTACTGTACATCAAACCAAAAGACCCGACATTGACAGTCTCACACTGTCACTGCTTTGATTCATCACGATTGCATAAGAATTAAAAATAAAATTAAGAACAATTCCAAAAGTCGTAGGAACGGAAGCCTTGGCAAAATCCCGGAGTAACCCGTCGTCACCTCATGCTATACCGATGCGCGAGCCTTGTGAATCCGCAAGCCCTCAAGCCCGCGCAAGCAACCCTTCTCCACTCCACAAACCCACCAAACCACACTTCACAATGCCTATCAAGCCCATCACTGGTGTACGTTCAACCCGAGGCCCGGATCTCTTCGCGCGAACAATGTCCCAGCGCGCGACGACGACCACGGCCCGCAATGCACATCTGGAGAAGAGCAACCTTTACTGACCTTTGCAACAGATGCTCCGTAGAGGTCTCGTCCTCGACCTTTCCGTCGCTTTCGGTATGTGGTCTTCTGCGAGCAGGATAGAGGCAGATGGGGCAATTGGACTGACATGCGGGTCAATTAGGTCTCGGTACCGCTTCTGGCTACCTCTGGTGGTACGGTACGTAAACCACGCGAATCCTTCTCCTACTCTCCTCGACCATCTCGCCTTCGGATCTTTCGCCTTTTCTGAATTATTTGGAACACTGGATTGGATGGCGTGTATGAACAATGACTGGAACATCGAGTTGAACCAAGCCTTCCGACGAACACAATGCGCCATACGACTGAAGCAGCGTCCTCCGCCTGTCACCCGCAACCCAGCAACTCTATAAACTCAGTCGGAATCAGAACATTACACCAGAGAAAGAAAGAGACAAAAGGAATCATATACTGACATCACGCCTCAACAAACAGGCTTCCACGTCCCCGCCGTCCGCCGCCGCGATCTCTTCTACGCCAAGCTCGAAGACCAGCGCGCCGCTGCCCTCGGCCAGGTCTAGATACTTTTTCCCCCCGTCAAAAATATCCAGATACCAAAGAAAGGGAAAGGCAGCAGCAGCAGCATATGTACAAAGACACGGGGCTGAAGCTTAGAGTGTGGGAAGAAAGCAGATGGCAAATGGCACAATGAAGATTTTGAAACAATACATATGAATATGCGCGTGAGAATGCGTGATACTTTGTTGCTGATGTTTGAGCGGTGAGGCATGTTAAGGTTAAGGTTATGGTGTTGGAGAAGTGAAGTGTGCATAACAGGTCGTAGTACCGATCTTGCTGGTTTGTGTGATCTGTGTATGTTACTGTGATGACGGACGACTACAACATTCCGCAACGCCTACCTAGAAAGCGCGTGGTTGATCGCTAACAGCACGAAGAGGTAGGCTTCTTAGAGTCCTTACATATGAATTCCGTTCAAATATATCTCAGCTCGCGATATCAAAAGGCAAAGTCATGGAAGACAAAAACAAAAGACCAAAGATAAACCTGCTAGCATTTGCACGTCTCTAATAGAAAAAAAAAGCAAAGATACACGTTTTGCGTTCCAAAATCTTGTAATGTATTCAACCCTCGCACACAAAGAAGCTACATCAACACCTGACCTCCACACCTTTCCTCGACACTGTCAAATACTTGACTCCCTTGTACGGCCTCACACCCTCGCCCAACCCTTTACTCCTCTTTGTATCAATGACCAATGCATCCACTTTCAATCCACTGGCCAACCATCCCTTGACCCCAAAACTCAGCGATGCCGATGAAGGCATAAGTCCTACATTTTGTGATTTCTTCTTCTTGTCTTTGGATGCTGCTGATTCTGCAGAGGAGGGTTTGGTGCTAGTGGTGGTCGAATAGTCGTCATCGTCGCTGTAGTCGTGGGTAGAGCTCTTCATACCGCTGCCATTGGAAAATGGTGTTTCGTCGTCTGTGTCTCCAGAGGAGGTACCGACGACAGTGCAGCGCAGAACGCAGCCAGCACTACTGATACCTGCGGCTTCTTTGGCTGAGATCTTCCATTCGATGCTAGTGTCGCCAGGACTCCAGTGTGCTTCGCCCTTTGTAGCGCGCAGATCGCTGATATTGCGAACGGCATGCGTGACAGGGATGCTCACAGTCAATTCCTCCAACACTGGTGCTTTAGCTTCTCCAGAATTGCCACGGAGGGTTGATGGGCGAGATGCACCGCTACTCAGATTATTGGAAAGACTTGCAGCTGCAGATCCCAATGCCGAGTTTGAAGATAGGGATGAGGAAGAGTTGTTGCCACTGCCACTGCCAGTGTAGAAGCGATGGCTGACGAACAGTCTGACTTCAAAGTCTGAGCCTGTGGCGCCTAGACCCACACGCATCTCTATCGAAGCTGGAAGATTCAGATCGCTTGCTTTGGCAGACAGAGGCGAGGCAGAAGGATCCAATAGATCGACGTCGTAACCCGCGAGTACGAAGCGGCCGTCTGGAGGTACAAAGCTGAGTTCGGCATGGTCTCTCCAGCGCGCGAGGCGGACGCAAGGGTGAAAGACTGGACGCTCCATGGTGCGCTTTACCTTGTCGGCTCCAGGGCCGCTGCCAGCGCGTAGACTGAGCAGTAAATCAGGTACGCCAGAGACCTTGCTAGTGAAGGCGATGCTGCCATTTGCGAAGGCGGCTAGAGGACGGCCTGAGGGAGCGTATGTGACAGACAGGGTCTCGACAATGTCGACGTACATTTCGTTACTTGTATGGCGGACGTTGGAGCGGCGCCAGGGGATCTGAGAGCCAGCGGTTGAGAGAGTAGGAGTGAGGCTTCCGCTGCCACCGCTACCCATGCCAGAGAAGGGTGTTGGGCCAGCGTTCAGGCCAGGAGAAGTACTGTTATGCTTGTGTCAGCTGGAGGCTCGGGACATGTGGCCATATGCTTGGATGCGTACCCAGGCAATCCTACACCTCCCAGCAACTTGCCCATCCAGGACGGTGTATCCACAACGTCTCTTAGAGCATTGGCTTCAGTGCCTCCAATCAAGCCTCCATCGCACATCTCGCCCAAGACCTGAGCTATGACATCGTAGTTTGCTTCCAGCTTACTAGCCAGTAGCGGCGCACCCAGAAACTCTTCAAGCGCGTCGGCCACGCGGTGCAGGAACTCTAGGACAACCAGCGGTTCCGTGTCGGTGGAGCAAGGACTCAGAAACAGCAGGCCATCCTGTAGCATGGAGAACAGCAGTGTCGGTGGATTTGTTCCTGTCAGGTAGATACATGATGGTCTGGGTTCTGAGTGGGCGAGGTATAGCGGTAGCAAGGTGGTTGCGGGTGGTGGGCGCGCGGTAAAGGTGTGTGAGACGATGGCATTGCTGCGAATGATGGTCAGTACGAGGATTGCGATGGCAAGAGCGGAGGGGGTTTACTGTACTTGGGCTCGTTGAATATGTAGACTGCCTCGATCAGACCCATGGCGGCGGTTGTTGACCTGCGAGAGTTATGTTCGCATGTGAAAGAGCCATGTTTGGCCGGCTGCACTCAGACGTCACCACTTTCTGGAGCTTCGAGAAACTCATCACGAATTACCTAGTATATAGCCCTCAGAATACGATTTGATGTTTGCACAGACCTAGAAAGCTCTCTTTAAGATGGCGAGGAAACATTGACAGGAGCGAAGAATGATTTATTACGCTGCCTCTATAGGGTGCGTTGGTACAAAACCTCGAGTGATATCTTTATCCGATGCATTTCCTTCCGTCCTTGTTTCAACTCCGAATGCGCCTGTTCGAATTTCATCCCCGACTGAACGCCATCCTAAACATAATCAACGTCTTTGCCTCTTGCCTCCTCCAGTCGTACCTTGTCGCTGTCCCACGACAGGGCTAGCGCTTCGTTCCCTCTTGACTCTTTGTGAGTGCGTCCTGATAGCTTCTTCTACAGGTCCGATGTGCGCTTCTGGAGGATGCTCTGGCCCTAGCGCTTGTAGGAGAGCTTTCTAATGCCATCGTGGGTCGAGCCTGGGCGGCGGCTCCTGCGTGTATGGATTGCGTGCGTGCTGCTCCCAGGGGCCATCCTATTGGCGTCTTGGGTCGTGCGACATGGGCATTCCAGGTGGAGGGAGTCCGGCGCCAGGTCCAGGACTCGGGCCACCCATGGGAGGGAATGGCATACCAGCCGGTGGAGGGAAGGGCATACCGCCAGGAGGAGGGAAAGGCATGCCTTGAGGTGGTGATCCAGCTGCGCCACCGGGTGTCGGAGGAGGGAAGGGCATTCCATTGGGAGGGAAAGGAGGCATGCCGTTTGGTGGGAAGGGGAAAGGTGGCATACCGCGACCGCCGGCTGGAGGAGGGAATGGCATACCGCCAGGTGGTGGGGCCATACCGGGAGGGAAGCCGAAGGGCATGGCTGCTACACCAGCATGGGTTCCGCCGGGCAACATGGGGTTCGCGCTTGCCTGTCCTTCGGCGGCATACGAGGAAGTGATGCTATCAATAACCGATTGTGCCTTTTCGTGTCCGATTTCTGTCCCGCCATGTCAGTCGCATCTCTCTCTGTAGGTCTGAGTGTCGGCTCGCATACGTTGGTAGTAATCGACGACGTTTCGTAGATGGTTGCGACCGCTGTTGTGGGCCTTTCTCACGCTCATACTGTCGTGAGTGAGGTAGACATCGCAATAATCGCCTGAGTTCGCATGAGTATTCAGTCTGTCGTCGTATGGCTACGGCCTGAGGAACCTACAGAAGAGTAGTCGATTGTCAGTAAGAGAACAGCGATTGAGCAGAAGGCGGACTTATATTTCGGCATCTTGACGGTATGATTACTATATCAGATGCGACGAGATGGATGATGGCGCAAAGCTGTCGGTTTTGAGTACAAGGCAGCTCGAACCCCAGACGGCTATACCAAAGTCTTGGCGCAAGAGCATCTTATCTTATCTGGATCATCTTGCATCACCACGTGGATGGCTATAGGAATGCACAGTCTCTTGAGTGAACAGAGAGTCTCCAAAGAGAGTCAAGATGCTATGGCTCTCTGCAGATTTTGCCACAATCTGGAAAGGGCTGTGCATCGTGATAGCTTTTAATTCCGCCCGTATGTTGTCGTGAGATCGGAGTCGGGACGGAGTGGGAGTGGGAGTGACAGAATTTAGCACATGGGCACCACGGTAGTTTCACTTACAAGCAGACACGACCAATGATCAAAACTTACCACCATTCTACTGGTTATCCAGATCAACATGTCTAGTATGCAGATACCTGCAAACAGCGTCTGGAGTTCGATGAACTACACACCTCCACGCGGATCATGTAACCACAAGAACGGCATGATTTCCAACAAATGTCCTTGCCTTCGATTCATGCTGCATCCAGTCAAGGTAGGTCGTTCTTCTCACTGCTCACCACCATCCACTTCCCTTCGTTCATACCAACACACGGTGTCCCACACAGGCCGCTACCTCATTCGAGTGCGACGGCTGCGGCCACCATGCTTCCTACCACAACCTGGACAATCCTTCTGAAGACGCCATCCTAGCGAAATGGTCTGCACAGGAGAGAACAGCATCAAATCAGCAGCCACCAACCACCTCATCACGGAACAAACGCAAGCGCATCACGTCTCAGGCTCACGATGATGCTCAGTCCACAATAACCATCGCGGATGAAGCCCCGGAAGTCACTGCAGGTGCGTTTAATGCATTGAGGAACACCAACAACACGGTCCAAGCCTTTTCATCTCTCTTCAACACCAGAAACGCCAACCAAAGATGACAGCGCTTGGTCAAAATCTGGCTTTTTTTGCATGTCAACCAAACGATTGCGCCAAGGCTGTCTTTTCAGCTGGCTGTTGTGGTCAAGCTACACGGCTTTCTTCAACAGAACTAAATCTGTTTATCCCGGTGTCGCTTCCAATTCTTTCTGCACAGCATCTTTTTTCCTTCAGCCCCTTGGAGGTCAGCTCTGTTCTTTGACGCCATAGCTGCAACATCGGCTTCTTTCTGATCGGGCTTTGGCGATGGAAGCACTGACAGAAAACGGTTCGCAAGAACTCCCCCATCGAACCTTGGGCTTGGTGAAGTTGAGCTGGACATGTGTGGCAGGGCGCAACGTTAAGTAAGCCTGGTTCAAGGCATCGTATCCATCGATATGTCTTACGTTAGAGGTCAACAGAGCTTCTGGAAGAGTTCTTGACAGTTGACCCGGGAGATGGTTTGGGAAGTCCGACAGTGTCGGAATGACCGTTCATGGAAAGAGGGACTCGAGAATGTGGCTGGTAGCAGTCCAACATGGCGCGAGTGGCCGCTGTGAAGTCGAATGAGTACTCAGGCAACAGATGCTCTCTCAAACTCGGAATGGGATTCACTGAGTATAACCAGATGCACTCTCTACAGTAAATGGCCAACGGAAGCTTCTTATGTATTCGTGGTTCTACCCTGTCCTGACACACTCTCCCTGTGTGCTAAAGTTTGTAACGCGGTCAGCTGTAGAATTGCACAGTACTTTCGTTAAACGAGCAGTGTCCATTGGAAGATTGTGTGCTCAAGGCTCTCTTCGGTATTATTTCTAGCTTAGAACCCTTTGTGCCTTTTGATAGGCAGATCATCCTCTATACCCTCGCAGGAGAAGTGTGAGAGAAGCGTGCAGGTTACAAGTTTCAGCACACGAGGAGGACACTTTGATCGTCTTCCAACACACAGAAACTCAGCCATACCAAGCCTCGACTTCCCGATCCCAGTACCACGTTTATCGGCACATAGACTCTGAGTATCACATGCAATCTTGCGATCGCAAACAAGCCAGAGAAAACTTAAAACTCGACAGACTCTCAAGAACGGTTTCAATTCATGCCTGCTAACAGTAGAGCGTAAATCAATAAATATCAAACTTCGAACAAGCTATATAGCACTTGCAGTCTTGCAGCACGCATGTGCTTCCTCGAATGAACATGCACAGCAACGCATCTGCGGCTGCAGCGCCAAATTAGAATAGACGCAGGAAGTCACAGCAGGCCACGCATGGTGGCTTATCAGCATTCATCTTGCTTACTCTGCGCAAAAGCATCGCTCTTCGCCGACGATATCTCGCTGTCTCCGACGATCATTCGCTCTCTCCGACGATACTCGCTCTCCCCGAATGATATCAAACCTGCAAGTCCGTGAAGCACTCAAAAGGAAAAAGGAAGTGCAAAAGCCACCGTCTCTACTGCATATCTCAAAAGGGTAATCAAACAGCGAGGTGCGCACCATATTCCAAACTAAGCGCGGGAACGACACGTGGGAAAGAAGTGGCTGATCATCGCAGCCACAAAAAACGACGAGAGGAAATATTAGCCGACCGGAGTTGAGGTGAAGCAAAACTTCATAGAACATCTCTCCTCTTTGCTTGACTTTGCTGTTCAGTCAAAGGGCGTCGAACGGAATGTGGAGGTTCCGAGATAGAGGGGAAGAGGTACACTATCAAAACATGTGGCAGTGCGATACATGGGTACGAGAAATGACACCAGTCGACAGCCTTGCTCCCCACCAATCATATATGAGGATAGGGCAAGGTACCGGAGAGTTTTTGACTTGACTCCGGTGGGGTGCATGTGGTGGGTGAACACGAATCTGTGCAAAAAGCTTCCTGCACACCTTGATCCTTGTCGGTGTTGTTTTTCTGCCACGTGAATAGTGACGAAAGACGAACTATGAAGATCCGGTTCGAGGATTCCGAGGAGGGTTTGAGTTCACGAACATCATTCGTGAGGATTGAGGGGGGAGGTACTTCGTATTTACTTGGTCGTGTCTTCTTGGGAGAACCGAGCGACGGTGATGGCGAGATGCGAGAGGTTCGGTTTCGGGATCGAGAGACGCAACTTGTTCTTCGATGTGATCGGGAGATTGCAAGGGTTGTGACTGTTTGCGAGCCATGGGGTGATGAGGCTCTGTTGGTGAACTTCTTGGGTCCGCCAATGGTGATTCGCCGTCATCGATCCTGCTTGTATGCTGTGCAGTGTCATACGAGGTACGGCGAAAGCTTCTTCCTATCTGATCTCACGTGGCCTTTGCGAGGTGAACCTTCATGTCCCTGTTCTTGATCGTTTGTCTTGAGATCTGTCAGACTGATGCCGTTCTCTGGACCTGAGAGGGGTAAGGTATGGATGTTGCGGCTGAGTCACGACGGCTCGAGGGCTAGCAGCATGGTCTCTGTGATTGGCTCCATGCTATCATTGGTATAACAGTTAGTGTATCGCAAGGAGTTGATAGTGTAGGTGCGGTGTGCGTCATGATTCCGCCAATTTGCAGTCCAGTAGTCCAAGTGCTAGTGTGCTCGGGGTGCTGCAGTGACGAATGAATTTCTTAGTTATTAGATGATGAATGTTTATCAGTGCCTTGCGATGGTGATCTAGACTTGGATGGAACAGCAACAGAACAGACTCGAATCACATCCGACGCTTGACACGGTGCAGCGTAAGAGTTTACTATGTTGCATAACAAGGGCATTCGGCCAACAACAACACTTACTACGGTTGTCACAAGCAGTGCTCGAAGCTCTCGTGAACCGTCGGAAGTGTTGTAGTCTGTACGGTCGAGTAGGCTTCGAAACTAGGCAAGGGTCAAGCGCATGAGGTTTTGGATCTCGAGCTAGCTATTTCTCCGCACGCATTCCGAGATGCTTTGAATGCGTCATAAGGATCGTTAGAATTACTCGTGACGCTTCATCTGAGACTGGCAAATTGTGATCAACTAAGCTTCAAGCGGACTGTCGCTCTTGGACCAATACCATGGAATGGGGATGTCGGACTCGGCCAAAGCCATATGACTTTTGCCCTGGAAATAATCACAAAAGCATGCTACACGCCGCGTTACTTCTGGATTGACCAACCGGACTTAGAAATCCACAGTGATTCTCGAGATTCGGATGGTATCCATCGAGATGCGGTGTTCAAAACGCTCTCTTTGGATACATCTCGAGGCTATAGAATACTGTGCTTTTTCAAAGCGAGCATTGCACTCTATGCCTTTGTAGGAGAGAGGAGTTTAGGGTACTAACCCAACTCTAAATCAGTTGCAAGCCTATCAGCTAGGCTTCCGCCATGTGTCAGTCCCTTAGAATCATGGCGCTCGTGATAAGGCTGTGTACGTCAGATGGGCATGTGAATCAGTTTTCCAGATGAGTCAACCTTATGATAGTGATCTCTATTCCATTGGGATTCTTCTGTCTAGATGGATGAACTTGAGCGTGCAATTGAGAAATCTCTTATTGGTGTCTGAGTCAGATCACGAGATGAGGTGTAATTATACATGAGCAGAGCGCGAATTACTTCCCGAGCTGGTAGTCGTATGAGCAACAGCAGTCTGCAGGAGATGAGGTTACTGATCCTTCGTCTCTTGGTACCCCACGTTTCCCATCTCGCACTTCACCTCATCTCATCCATGTTCCATTTCCGCTGTCCCTATCTTGTGAGGGACCTCAGGGCTTCTTTCAAAAACGCCATGTTCCGGGAGTAAGGTATATCGATCGGACCGTTGTTACCATTCTTCGAAATAAGGCAATGGTGATTACATCAGTGGTGAGGTCGGCGTTCGGTGAGTGGGAGACGGAGTCGCCGAGAGGCTTGAGCCTAAGTTGACGGATCTGTCCGAGTGGTCCGCACGTGCAAACGACTTGGCGCAAAGGCGGTAAAGGCCGGTTTGGGCGCCAGCTGGCTGCCGTTGGTGTCGGTCCTGTCAAGGCCAGAAGAGTTCCGCAAGTTTCCCACTCTTGAGTCGACCGCTCCTCAATTCCCGAAGCCTTGGGTTAACCATCGATCGGTAGTTGTTCCAAGAGTATTCGGTTGCTTGGTCGCTTGGTGCTGGTGGATCAAGTGATCAAATGCTATCATCGGCGGTTCCGTATGCTCTCTTCCATGGTGCTCCATGTCGGATCCTCAACAAGCCATTTCCCCTGGATGCTGTCCTGAGATCGTAGAGCTAGCTCTACCCGAGCTGGTGTCACCGATGCAAGTTCCTGCAAGGACAGTTGTGTCAGTTGAGTGTGATCATGCTAAAAATCCAGCCGCACGGTTCGGATCATGCACCCCCGGGATTCACGCAAAACAACGTTCAAGAAAACAGAAGCAAAAAGCAGTCGACGGAGCCGAAAACTTACTGCTCGCATAGTGTTGGTTATCTGTTGCAGCGCCGGCGTATGGATGGCTTGAGGTCGATTCGTTCCCAGTATGGCATTCCTCGAGTTGACCCATCGTAGTGCTGCGCTTGCTTTGAGGTATGTCTGCTGAATCTTGAATCGCCGAATGCTTGCATCGAGCATGACACTATTCTGACATCAGACTCGACTTCAACAACAACGGAGACGGTCCGAGAAACATACCGTTGAAGCTGGTCCTTCTCTCGTTCATAGTCACCATCCGGTTCCGGTCCTTGGCATTCGTATGGTTGAGCGAGGAGGGCGTGGGCTTCTTCGGCACATTGTCGAAGCACACAGTAGCCTTCCTCGTAGTAGTCCTCGGCTGAAGGGTTTGCTCTGATGTTTGCGATGTAGTGTTGTAGGTGTCTGAAATCAGAAAGAATCTCGGCGATACGCATGGCGCGTGCCTCGTTCACTGAGGCGATGCATGTCAGAAGGGAGGGGTCCGGATTGGTGGTAAAGGATGGTACGAGGGACATCTTACATCCGTCGGTCATTGAGCAGGGGAAGGATTGGTTCAGCTGTGGTGAGAAGATGGATCTGGACGGGCAGTGATCGACAGATATATAACGACCCTTACAGCTCAATGGATCTTTTTTCGGTTGCTGATGCTTGTGGATCCCGGAAAAGTATCTTTCATTGTCACACATATAAACGATGTCGATAATATGCGATTAGATCGGGCGTGGAGCAGAGAGAATGGAAAGGGTCAAGGCAGGGCAGGACAGGGCGTGCAGAAGCGAAGGAGAGGCTGTGGATGGATTGGGAGAGACGTTGATAAGTAATACACCAACAAGGGAAATGGTCGTCTTTGCAGCTATGAGCAAGCATGATCTGAACGGGGTTCACATCTAAAATGGCAGTTTTACGCCTGGGGGGGTGGACGGCCAAGACGTCACGAAGCTACCATGTATGAGAGGGCATGGGTCGACAGCTCATACGGAAACAGCCAAGGGTACGCACGCACACGTGTGGCAGATGCACGAGAGGACCTAGCGTAAGTTCTAAAGGCAGAGTCAGGTATCGGCGAGTCCTAAGGCTGGGTGGATTCAGAAAAGGCGTTCAGAGGAGCGTTCCAGTGGTAAAGGCGGGGGAGGTGGGCGCCACAAGTCAGAAGCTACCACAGCAGCCGGCCTGACCGGCACTTTGCGCACGAACAGAGCCACAGAAGAAAGCGTTTGGTGGAACGGAGAAGGAAATGATGCTACGATACGGAAGGGGAAAAACACAGCAGGATTCATGAGATGAGGCTACCGGCTGCTCTCTGCACGCTGGCGTGTGGACACCGAACCACGCTGCTAGCGGTGCCATGTGCAAGCGAATCAGCGAGAGCGATGGATGGCATACCATGTGATGGATTAGATGACGTCGTGAAGATAAAGGGTCATTATGCTCAGTCCTTCTCAGCAATCGACTGCAGACGCTCGTCGATTTGCTCTTCGCTCAGCGTGGTGAAGTCGGTTGTGGTGCCCTCTTTGCCATCGGCACGGGGACCACCGACGATGCCAATCTCAATCTCGCCCTTCTTGAAGTCGACGCTCAGCACTGTGCTGAGAGTGGTAATGGCGAGTTCAACGACCTCCTCCCAGCTGCCTTCTGCGCAGTTCTTGTTTCGCAGCTTCTTCTCGAGGTGGTTCATGGCTTCTTGTGCCTTGGGACCTGAAGAGGTGGCCTTGTAGCCGACGAAGTAACCAGCGGGATCGCACTTGTATAGCTGAGGGCCAAACTCAGAGTCGACCGAGATGAGCGTTGTGGCGACGCCCAGGGGTCTCATGTATGCCTGGACTAGGTTAGCACAGAGTCGCGAATGCACCGAGGGTGGCCGTCTCACTTTTTGTGTATAGACCTGCGAGATGTTTGCAAGGCGCTTGGCCAGAACATCACAGGGCATCTCGTAGCCGTTCTTGTATCTGAACTCGGCAGTCTCACCGCGCGCTCTCATGACCGAAGCTCTTGCATCTGCGATGGAACCAGTCATGACACAACCGACCGAAGGCGATAGTCTGTGGATGTACGAGACGGACGAGGGGTCGATGAGCTTGTCGGGGACCTTCTTTTGCGAGATGACTACTGCACAGTCCTTGCCGCGGACGCCAACGGAGGTGATGTTTGCTGCGGTGATGGCCTTGAATGCATATTCTATGGAATGTAAGTTGGGGATTGCGCTGAGAGAAGGCCATGGGCGGGATCACGCACCGACTTGGTAGAGACGGCCTTGGTCCGAGAAGATGGTGATGTGTCTGTCGTAGCCTGCGCTGCCTGTTGCGGGAGTTAGCTATGCCGAGCATTCGAACCAAGGCGAAACTCACTCATGATGGGCAACCGAGATGTGTATTGAGATTAGGCGTGTGCAAACTCGAGATGAAGCAAGCCGCGAAGACGGATAGACGAGGCGATGGACGGGCGATGAGCGATGGAGATGTGGTGATAGTGAAGCTCTCTACAGCACTACAGTGCGCGTTTGCCCGATCGTCATGGCGAGCTCGCAGCGAAACAGACAACCCTTGGCACTCCCGCGCGCCTTCCCCGGATCGTGCTGGACTTCCGCATATTTTTTGTTCCTTCTTTTTTTGGTCTTGCATGTGATTGATCTCTTGCAACAGCAATCATGACCGAACAACACGTGCCTGCCTGGAAAAGACTCGGTCTGAGTCTGACAAACGCAAAAGACACGGCTCCGCTGCCCGCTTCCCCTGCTACCTCGAGCAAACGCTCCAGAGACGATGCCGATACTCCCAAGGGCTTCAAGAAGCAGAGACTCGAGAATGGAGTCAATCAATCTAGTCCTGCGCCAAAGCAGCTGCAGCCCTCGTCAGTAGCTTCGATATCCAGTCCAATGCCCTCCAAATTGTATGCTTTTCCATTCTGTTTTTCTCTTTCCGCAAATCTCCTTCAGTTCTCGTCCATGAATTGCTCTATCCTATGAAGCCTATGCTTTCTGTGACCTGTACCTCGACCAACTCGGATCGCCAGTATGTTCCACAAACGCTAACACCATCTGTAGACGGGCGTCGCCTGAAAAGTCCATCTTAGCCACACCGAACAGTAAGCAAGGCCGTCGCAAGTCTGTCGTCTTCTCCAACGACACCAAAACCCAAGACGGAGATAGTGCGCAGACCTACTTCCAAGCCTGGGCCAACGACGAACTAGATTACTACGCTGAGAAAGCTGCCGCTCACGACGCCGCCGAAGCAGCAAAGGCTGCCGAGAACAACAACAAGAAACTTGAAGATACTGTGTCGCTTCACCCCCCGGAAGTTGCCCAGGAGTCTGAAGTGACGCCCCAGAAAGCGACCAAGGAAGAAAAGAAAAAGTCAAAGAAAGAGAAGAAAGCAGAGCGAGCAGCAGAGCACATGACAAACAACAACAACACGGCGCAAACCATCTCTGACCCAGCGGTCCCCATTGTCAAGAAACAAAAAGTCCGCACGCCAAAGGACAACGCCGACAAACCTGTGCCCGACTACGTCCGCTATCTGGAACAATACCACACCGATAGATCCTCTTGGAAGTTCAACAAGTCCAAACAGAACGACGTGCTTAAGAACGTCTGGAACATCTACCGCATCCCTCCTTCTTGCAACGACGCCCTTGTGGAATATCTCGACGGATTACAAGGAGTAGCCGCCCGCCAACGTCTACGTCAAGCAGCTCAATCCGCAAACATCGACATCGTCTCCTTCATCCGCACCGAGATTCCAGAAGTCAAGGACGAACCCATGGAGACCGCAGAGGCCAGAAAGACTGCCTACGACTCTGCTCTTGAGAGACAGAAGGAGATTTTGCGCAAGAACGGTATCGATCCCGAGCCTGAGAAGACCAAAACCATACAGGAACAGAAAGATTACGATGAGCGTGTGCAGTTGGTCTGGAATACCATGAGCAAGGGCGAGCCCCAGGCAGTCGCAAGAGTGGCACCCATCGCCAAGGAGGAACCCAAGGTCATCCTCTCCATGCGCAAGAAGAGAAAGTCAAGGACCGATGTCTCTAGCAGCGAGAGCAGTGACAGCGACAGCAGCGACAGTGATAGCGATAGTGACTCGGACAGCGGCAGCAGCAGCAGCAGCAGCAGCAGCAGCAGCGAAGACGAGAAACCCGCAGCAAAGAAGGCAAAGATCGCAAAACTCGAGGCTCAGCTCGCAGACGCAAAGATCGCAAAACTCAAGGCCAAACTTGCAAAGGTCAAGGCTACAAAGGCAAAGGCCAAAAAGTCCAAGAAGTCCAAGGCTAGTTCTGATTCTTCGGAGAGCGAGTCGGACTCATCATCAAGCTCAGGCTCAGACTCGGATTCCGGCTCCTCGTCATCGTCCGAGGAGTCTTCGAGTGACTCGGACAGCGACTGAGGGACCATTTTACACCTCACAATCCCACTGTTGGCCCCCAAATCACACCTTTGAGTTCCTTTGCTTCACGATCCTCCACGGTGCGCGAAACCAATTCGAACCGGAGTACTTTCTTCTTGAAACCTCACCGAACACAATCCGACACCTTGCGACAACTTCAATCTCGCTCGTGGCTAAACACTTGTTGCAACGCATGAGATCAAGCGTCTTGGCTATGAGCACTCTCTTCTCAGATTCAATCTTCCTCACTCTGGATATCTGCTCACGGAGATGCCTCGAACTTCAGATCCATACACTGACCTAATGAATATAAATATATCTGCGGTGGTTATGCAAATCAGGATAGAAGAGGGTTAGAGATATAAAAGAAACCAACCATTTTCGCGATGCTCACCGTACAAATTATTCTCTCAAGTACCATAACACGTGAATTCATCAAAAAATGAGTCTTTTGCTTCTGAGATCATGTTCTTTCGATTCAAGGTAAGCCACTACCTAAGAGCACAAATGTAAACCAGCATACGCTTATCCTCCCTCTGCCGTCAAAACTCCGATTTTGCAAACATGGGAAAAACTCACAAAGGGCATCAGCCTTCCTTGGATGTTGCTCCGCCATTAGCCTCGACCTCGTCTCTGGTTCTCTTGACCCTCTCCCTTTCTTTGCCCTTGCCCTTCTCCCTCTCACCTCCCTCCTTCTCCCTCTCCTGCTGCTGCTGCTGCTGCTGTCTCCTCTTCGCCGCACCACCATGACCATGATGTCCATGACCCTTCCTCACAGGCGCATAAACATCGTTGAAATTCATAACCACGCCCAAAAACCTCATATCCACATCCGGCTGATACGCAAGATCACCGAGCAGAATATTAACTCTGGCTCTAAAATCCGTAGCTAGAGTCTGCAATCGTTGACGCAAAGAGGTCAGGATAGCAGTTTCATCTGCAGCAGAGGTGTTGGAGGAAAAGGGGAGTAAAGGCGGAATAGGTGAATCGTTGTCTTCGCGGTCGTTGTGGCGGCGAGAGGAGGTGCGGTTGTGGTCGTCTTTTTCAGTGACGCCCCATGTGCCTGCTGCTGTCCTTGTTTCGATTTTGGCGGCTAGATCCTGGCGGCGGGTGAATTCGGCCACGGAGAAGGAGTATAGACTGTCCACGGCATCTTTATAGCTAAGCATAAGTTTCAGCAACTCATGCAACTGAGCCGTAAAGTCTGGCGCCGTCGAGGACGAAGCCTGAGAGCCTGAAGGGGCTAAAAGACCTTTGCGAGTGATGCTGCGGAGGTAGGCTCCATGCGCTGAGATCAAGTCATCGAGTGTAGCATCAGGTGTGCGCAGTGCCTTTTGCAGTCCATCCCAGCCAGCTTCAATGACTTCAAAGAGAATATAGTGTTGCAGTTGCGAAACAAAATGGATCATCTCTGCAATGCCGCCGCGTGCGTTCTTCCAGTCTGCATCCACTTTATCGCCGACAGCACCCAAGACGCCGCGAGCGCCGGTCATTGTGCGCCGCCATGTGCTGCCCAATGCGAATTCGACGCGCTTGACTCGCCAGAGGAAGTTGAAGACTTTGAGGTATTGTTTTGATGCCCAGGGGGTGACGATAACGTCGAGTGGAGAATCAACTCTGTATTCGAGTGTAAAAACATCCCAGCCAATTTCGCCGTGAGAGAGCTCGAGCATACGGGCGTCTAGTCGGCGAAGTACATCGGGAGAGTCGTATTGGGCGTTGCTGTTGCGGATGGCGTGCTCGAGCTGTGCAGTCAAAGTGTGTCGATACTGGCTGTTTGCCGGCCTGTCCAAATTCGAGGCCAGAGACTCCATAAGCAAGGCCACAAAGTCACCCTGGCCTAGCAAGAGATACTTCTTCAGTGCTGCCAGATGCTCAAACAACTTGAACTTGTCTTCCATGAGATGTATGAGACGAGCCATGGTGCCCTTGTATGCCGAGTCGATCGATGATTCAAGGGTGGCTGTGTCGCCATAGCGAAGCTCTCGCATAGAGCTCTTGCTATGATTCTCGACCCATGCCGAGTCACCGCAACCGTAGCGGATGAAGTTGAGTGACTTGCCGATCAGGTAGACTTTCTTTGCAAAATCCTGTGTGATGATGGTGGGTATCATGCTGTCTTTGAGGCGGTACTTGTCCTCCCAAACACTTGTTGCACCACCACGACGAGGATCCGAGTCCATATCAGCATCGCGGTTTTGGTAGACGAAGAACTCCAGGAAGGGATCTTCAAGCTCGCCGTCATAGATCCAGTGTTGAAGCATAGTATAGAAAGGCCGAGTGACGTGGATCAACAGTCGTTCGGCGAAGGTGTACACAAAGGGGTCGCCATGTGACGAGGCATAAGAGTGGATGAGCGATATCAACTCGCCTCCCTTCTTCTCTTTTGCTTCTTCGACCATCATACTCATGAGCCTCAAGCCCATGGTCGCCTCACGAGTCCAAACAACACATCGTTTCAACGTCACACCAGCCTTTCCCAGACCCAAATTGCCAGGCGATTCTTGTAATTGAGTCAAAGCTCTTCTGATTTGAGCTTCGAGAGTCGCGACCAAACCAAGGTAGGCTCTCAGCTCGACGCCAATCGCAGAGCGCAAACTTTGGCCCACCAGACCACCCTCGGAAGACTCAACAAAGGCTGATAGACTTCGATATAGAAGCGAAGGCTCGGCGAGTGTGTGGAGCAAACTGATGATGGGCACGGGTAATGTTGAGGGGAGTTTGAGCGAGGAGTCGGAGAAGGCAAGATTGGTCGATGAGAGACCCTGTAGTGTAAATGGCAAGTCGCGAAGCAATTGAGCTTCTGACGGTGCGTCCTGTGGATTCGCAGAGGCCGATGGTTCTGGCGAAGCTACTACTGAACGTGTTGATGCGCGTAAGGGCATTCTTTCTCTTGTTTGTGGCAGACGCAAAGGCTCTGGATCGTCGGGATCGGGTACTCTGGGTAGACCATTGCGGGAGAAGGCATCATTGAAGGCTGGAGCGTCACTGCTCTGTTGTCGCAAGGCAGGTTGAGGGCGGGGTGTCGGTGAGGGAGCAGCATCCAGTGCCTCAGGCTCCGAACGCGACAGTCGATATAAAAAGTATAGAATAGCCCATTTACGGTCGAGCACAGGCTGGCTCAGCAGTCGCGAATAGAGGTTGGAGAAGTGGAGGGCTTTGTCCGGGCGGCTGTTCTCGTGTACCAGCTTTTGTCTGATCAGGTCGGCGGCGTGGTGCACATCGTCTGCTGCTGCCGAGGATGGTTGTTCATCTGCACATAGCAACCCAGTTAGCCCCAAGTGCCTGTTCAGCCTGCGAAGAACGGAGCGTGCCTGCCTAGTGTTTGTCTGGCTGCTTGCAATGCCTCATCGAAGCGCTGGTCTTCGAGTGCTTCATCGTCGTCCTGCCTCCAAGGTATCAATCGGAAGAGCAACTGTTGCAGCGCGTTATCCACGCGCTGCCCTCGATTTTCCATCGCTCATTGATGTGACAAGTTCGTTTCTCGTAGAATGTGCTATGTCCCAGACGCGGGTATGCATGCGGACGTGTTGTTTGTCCTTGGCGTTCAATACCATGACTTTCTCGCAATCCATACAACATCCTCGCCATGTGTTGAATCCTGTCCACACTTCGCTCTCACAACAACACGAGGGCGCAACTGGTGCTATACACATTCACAGTGGTCTCTAGACTAGAGATGTGACCAAAAAGAGCCTAGATCATGTTGCATCTCAATGGATACGATCCTATCCTCGAGAACATTATGCATTGTTAAAGCTATACGCGTCACAAACCTTCACACGGAAAAGTCGGGAAAATCATGTGAAACCAAGTGCTATTCGTGTATGATAAAGACTTCGATGATTACAAAAACTGAAGCAAAAGCAAATACCTATCCATACTACTCCAGTCCCACAGTTTACCAAACCCTTTGTGCGGCGTGACAACGCTCCCTTCGTGAAGAATGTACAAGTTGAATCGAAGGAGCTGTAATCTGGTGTTTGAGAGAATGTAGTGCGCCAACCCCTGTTAGAGCCTTACGCCTGTGCCTGCTTTCTTTTGCCTGAGCCATTACATGCTGTCGCTGGACTTTGCCTTGCTGCGCCAGTCATGCCTTTTAAACGCCCCTGTACCACTCACTTCTGGCTGTCGCATATAACGCCAGATCACCGTCTTTGCATGTTGGCCTGCGATGGCACTCCCTGCTGCATGTGCGACATCTGCATGCCATAGGGGTTGCTGAATTGATGGGGCTCGCCAGCAATGTTCTGCATAGCCATGCCACTAATGCCCTGTGCTTGCGAGACAGGACAATCCTTGTGAGCGAGAAGCAGAGTCTTGAGTCCTACTATCTCCTCACGCAGTTGAGTGACGGTAGCGGCCAGCGCGTCGTTCTCAGTACTGAAAATCTCGACCTTCTGCTGAAGGTTGGCCAGCCACTGCTTCTTGCGCTGACGACACTTGAGTGCGGCAATTCTGTGATGCATGTCAGTACGTCTCAAGTCACACACTTCTTCGGCAAATCGTACCTGTTCCTTTCGAGGAAGTTCTTGCGTTTCTCTTCATCAGTCATCTTCTTGTTGTCGGGTCCTCTCTCCATGTCCATGTCGTCCATGTCCGAGTCTTCCTCATCCATAGACGGCATGCTAGTCTTCTGGCGCTTGTTGGACCCCTTAGGTTGGTCCTCGGCCTTGCGTCTACCATTGTTGGCGTTCTTGGTGTTGTTGTTCTTCTTTCCCTTGCCTCTGGTGGGCTTAACATCTTCGCCGTCGCTATCAGAGAAGTTGCCGTGCTCGTTCTGCGTTGACCCTGAAAGATTACTTGCGATAGAGTTCTTGTTGGCGCGGGCGGCCATGTTGCCCTGACCGTCGTGTCCTTGTTGGCCAAGTCCGCCAGGAAGGTGTGGAGGGTTGCCCATGTAGTTCATCTGAGGCTGTGACTGGGGTGGCGGGTATTGCTGGGGTTGATTACGGTTGTTGCCCCTGGCTTGTGCAAGCATGAAGAGACCGTTGGCTGCATCGTTGGCGTCGTGCTGCTCAAAGGTATCGTTCTGTTGCTGCTGACCGAAGCCCTTGCTGTCGAGGTTGGGTTGAATGTTGGGGTCAGCAGCGGCGGACGTAGGTGGCTGAGGCATGCTGAAGTTTCCGTTGACGTTGGTCTGGGAAGCGCGTGCATGCATGGCAGTACGGTGGAAGTCTAGAGTACCAGGAGTGGCGCCTCCACTCTGAATGGCGTTGAAAATGGCTTGCGAGTTGGGACTGGGTTGGGGGAACATAGACCCACCACCGCCAGGAGTCAGACCAGTCCTGAGGGAGGACTCGTTAGGGGTTGGGAAACTGCCGCCAAAGTGATGGTCGTTGCTGAAGTAGTCGTTGGACGACCCCGCGGGGCCGGTTAGCATTGCAGGGCTAAGAGGTCCTGAACGAAGAGAGCCGGGCCAACCTGGAGTGGTGCCGGGGTGGAGCGGAGCAGGCGACGTCAAACTGTTGACTCCGGGAAGTTGAGGCTTGCCAGGTGTCTCGGCGGTACCTCCAAAGGCGCTTTCGAAAGGGTTGGGTTCTTTGGTCAGGTGGGCGCTGTGAGCGGCGCTGAAATAGTCGTTGTCTCCGTTAGAGGCCTTGTTAGGAACGGGTGGAGGTGCAAGCGGCGCATTGGTCGAGGACGCGTTTGATTCTTTTGCGCCGTCACCAGATGCTTTAGTTTCTTCCGGCTGTCTGATGGAAGGTATGTTCTGCTTGATGTCTGCGACGGTATATCAATAGCCGATCTAAGTCACGACCCAATCAACAGTGACACATACCTTGACGCGAAGGAGATGGAGCTCTGTCTTGGCTCGAGGTATCTGTGATTGACGGGCGCGTCAGTTGATGAAATGATTTCGAGCGTCATGCATGCGCGTCATAAGAGAGGCAACCCCGACGTCAATGTCAGGTGGGATGACGATGATAGGTACCAACGACAACCCGTGGCAGACGACACTGATAAAATGGAGTGCTGCTTACCTTCTTGCTTCAACACGTCTTTGGTCTTTGATTCACTTGGAGAAGACATGTTTGTTGTTGTGATGGAAGATGAGATGGAAGTAGCGGCGAGGGACGATGACGTCGCGGTTTCTGCAGGCAGGTGCGATAGGCTGGCTGGGCAACTTTTGAGGGGAGGAGGTGTTTCTCCCGACTTTGAACTCTCAAACTGACAAGCCAGAATCTCCGACTTCAGTTCAAGAAAAGCAACTTCGAGAAAAACGATGTTCTATCGAATGGATTTGTCAGTTCCGGCCTTCAACATTAATATTCTTTGACACGAAGCGTTCGCGCGTGCGGCTCCGGCTGTCAGTCGGTTTTCCGTCCCCACTCGCGCCATCGCGTCGCAAACCGGCTCCTGTCACATTCGGTGGCAAAGAGACTTACCGACGATGAGATGAGATGTTTCACGGTCGACGGCGACGCGTAGATGATATCGTCTGTCGAGTCGTTGCCTGAGGATCTCTTGAATGAGGCTCTAGTTTGAAGATGCGTCGCGCTCCTTCAAAATCTAGTGACGCAATGTCCTTGTTCAATCGCGTAAAATCCAGGTGGGTTTCTTTCTCAGCGAAAGCTCCTCGAGTATTCAATCTCGCGGCGCGTGTACGAAAGAACACCGTTGGATTGCTGTATGGGTCAATTGATCGCTGCGGCGTATGCTTGTACAGGCGCGTTGCGTTCTTTGCTGTACCGCACGGTGCTGGTCGTCTTCTTCGATGATGTCGACAGTGACGCACAAGGCGCGAGGGAGACTGACGTTTTTGAGGTCCCAGGAATGGTGGGCCGCTGTGAGTCCACGTGATCTGACAGATTGGGGTTATGCTATCGAACGGGCGTCTTGCTTGATAATCGACGAGCCGTGTCCCACGGAGCCGAGGAAGAGATCTACCTTCTGACAGGATCGTCTTCTTTGACTGAGACCAGAGCTCAAATACATGACCATACAAGGTACAGCACCTAGGACCGAATGCCATACTTCTAACGAGCCAGAGCGACGAGATTCGGGGACTAGAAGGAAATAAAGGTATGCTCACGAAATGCGGTATGGGGACGTTCTCTATCAAGTCTCATCCAGCTTAGTATCGATCACTACTTCACCACCGATCGCCAGATCGAATGGGTGTACCACACTCATGTACCTGGTATCCGGTGCCAATGTTCTGACCGGAGGTTTCTCCTATGGTTTGAAGGAACAATACTCGCTCCCCGGGTGCTGCTCAAGTTTGCAGCTCCAACAAATATCACACGAAGACACAGAGCGACCTTCTTACTATGGAAATGCATGGTCATTTAACAGACCAGAGGTGCATCCAGGGAGAGCCGAGAGAGCACTACATCTCGGTGGATACTATCCTGTTCCTCGAAATGATTGTGCATTGTTATAGCTACACGCTTTACAACCCTCCGCACATGGGGAGGTCAGAGGTTGCAAGCTTCATATTCCGTACAGTGCTACAAGCGAGGCAGCCGAGTACAAGAAGACAGTGTCCATAATACTCGAGAGCTTAAGCTACAAGCTTCATGGTGTACAGTACCTATTCTGACAACTTCATGATACATTGCATTGCATTGGCACGGGCATTCCAAAACAGTCGTAAGATCTTTTTGACCTGTTCACACAGAAAATTGGAGCAGAGGAAGCATGTGCCAACAGTTAACAAGGAAGGTATCATTACGAGACATGTAGGCAATGATGATATCTCGATGATAGAGTATGAGCAGCAGGAAACTACCTACTCTAAGAAGACCAGAAGTGCAGAGGAATAGGGGGACCTTTGGATGTGAAAGGCAAGAGCAACCAAGCAGCGCAGGAAGGAGCATATGGGCAACGCAGGAAACAGTCGTTAAGTATAGGAGGAAAGAGCCTGGGCAAAGGAGAAAAGCAGTCGCTAAGTAAAGCTGAAAGAGACAATGCAGGCGATGTGATAAATTTGACATGGTCGTAGCATCCGCGCATGCCTTTTTCGTGAATCTTGTTTTAGTCGAAGTCGATCTATTCATCGGATTCCAGTACGGTAAGCTCGGAGTCGCTACTGGCTTTGTGCGATGCAGACGGAGTGACTTCCTGTTGTTTTGCGGCAGAAGTGGCAGCCTCGGGTTCAGAGTCGCTTTCTTCTACCTCTAGAGGCCTGAGAACGGGACCATTGGCAGTGTAGTCGATTTGCTGGCCCGCGATGATTCTCGACGAGCGGATGCGGAGTGCTGTGGTTTTGGTGTTGTATTCGATGAGACGCGGATTTCCAGGTTGGAAAATGGCGAATCTCACGGTGAGCAAAAGTGCGTCCTCGTCGAGGGTTGGTTTGTGCTTGAGTGGATCGTAGACCACCCATACTAGTAGAGGTCAGTACGAGCGGGACGCGATCGTTCGTGCTCGAGTGCTCTTACGTTGTTTTCGTGAGCCCTTGCGAAGACACAGGTCATTGTATCTGCCCTTTCTAGGCTTGCGGGAGGGAGGTGAGTAGAACTTGAGCAGAGCCGTAGCATGCTTGACGCTGTCAGGGCATTCGACAAACTTGCGTACGAGCTTCTTCTTGAAGCCAAGCTCGCGTAAGTCTCTGGTAAGACATCGAGCACCCAGTCGACAGGTAAAGCAGGTCATGGTGATAGATGAGCAGGTGAGTGGTTGATGGACAGGATGTCGCGGATGTTTGGAGAAAAGACACACAGAGGAGGGTAAGGGTGGATTGGTATGAGAACGAGAACCAGATACGGTAGAGGTGATATTTGGTGGAAGGGGAAGTAGGAAAGACAGCGGGTTGTGAGTGAAACACGTCAAGCTGATATTAATCGAGCACAATGGAAGCTTACGACAATACTCGAAGCCCGACAACGATACTGCTCTCTATTGTGCATTGTCTCGGATGCTTACCATTGACGGTCTCAATAACCCGATTGAAGTGGACGTTGCCAAAATAATCTTGCGTTGCAGCGGGTGGCATTTTGATTCGTGAGATAACTTACAGACGGAGCTCCTCGACGCGATCAGACTTTCTCACTGACCCAGATGGCGGCACGACAGCCGCCCCGGATCACGTTCGTCAGAAGCTCGTATGGACGAGCCTCTTTTGCATCGTGCTCGACAGCGTGATCGAGATGCTCGAGCTCCTCGTCTCTGATCCTTCGGAGGTTTGAAAGCAACTCTGTCATCTCTTCGCCAGGCTCCTCTCCCCGTTCTTCCATGTTTTTCATCCAAGCCAAAAGCTCTCGCACCTGTGCATTGTAATGTTCACCGATTTCGGTCTCTACAGCTTCTGTGCAGGCCATGGCGGCCTCTCGGCCCAATATGGCGGTCGACCAGCCCAATGCGGTGGCAGCCAGACCCCATAGCGGAGTCATGGCTGTCGGACGGATGCGATGCTTGGGTATGATCTTGTTAAAATAGTTGTAGTGGCCGGCCTCTTGATCGTACATGTGCTTCATCAGGGGACGAAGATGTGGATGAGCTCTGACTAGGGGCGGAGTCTGAGCCTGGTATATGGCAACAGCAGCAAGCTCGCCAGTCTGATTTACACGGAGCTAAGAACAGTCAAGGTGGATTCATAAATCAGACAAAGCATGGATTCAGCGTACAGCAGCGTCTAGGAAGCGTTCTTGTTCGGCAGTCAGAGGACGCTTCCTCTTCCCTGAAGTGCCAGTCTCGATGGTCTCAGGCTTCGCTTCGGTACTCGGCGGAGCTGACGAAGTGGTGATATGTGCTAGCCGCTGCAGCGAGGCGACATGCAGCGAACAAGGCGACTTGGGCATGGCCCTACTGCATCGGCCTAGGTGACGGACCGACATATCGATTGTGATTATTTCTAGACAAGATGGCGCAGTTATCTCCTTTTCGAGTCTCTAGGCAGCTGAGGGCGACAAGTCAAGGGTGGCTTTGTGTATAGAAAGTGAAGCGACGATTATCGATGTCATCGATTCGAGGCACTTTTGGAGGTGCTTGGCGAGCTCCAGTTGAGGAAGTCGCAATTGTCTCGACGTTGCTTCACTTTGATCCATTCTCCCTCACCATCTTATTGTCGCACCATCTATTGTCCCCCAGCCACGCCAATTCTATCCCTTCCGACTCCACCGCGCCTTCCACTTCCAACTGCGACAACTTCACTCCTTCCCGTCGACTCTCAACCCTCGATACTCGAAACTTGCTCAACTTATAGCTCTCTCCCCTGAGTCACCTTCCAACCGCACAACCTCAACCATGTCCGACAACGAGCTTGATGCCGAGCTCCTCGCTCTTGCTGGTGACGACAGCTCCGACGACGAGAGATCCGACAACAGACAAGCCCAACCCTCATCCCCCTTCGAACATGCTGCCCTGTCGTCAGAGCCCGATCGCTCTCCCCCACGTCGCAGTCTCGCTCAAAAGCCAAAGTCGCGCTCATCTGCTGCTTCTGCTCCCCGCAGACGAAGAAAGGACGATTCTGAAGAAGAAGGTGAAGCGTAAGTCTACGTGCTTCCAGACACTTCTTCCCGACTTCTCTCCAACCTTCCTGCCTTGCCCTCCTGTACGCCTTCACGTACTGATTGCCATCTCAGCTCTGCAGCCTCGTCTCCCCGATCACTGGGCTCAGCTGCCATGGACGAATCAGACTCGGAAGACGGCGTCGACTTCGACCAGGAAGCTCCTCTGTATCCCATCGAGGGCAAGTTCCGCTCTGAGGCTGATCGCGCTGAAGTCATGGCTATGACAGAAATCCGTCGAGAAGAAATCCTGGCAGAACGTGCCGCAGAGGTCGAAAGAAGGGTTCAGGACTTGCAACTCAAAAAGATCCTGCAACAACGCAAGAGAGAGCAAGCTGGCGCCGATAAGAGGAAGCGCAAGGCTGCTGCTGCCAACTTGGACGATGACGACCAGCGTAAGAGCAGCAGGCCAAAGGTCAAGGCCAGCGGTCCTCTGGAAGCCTACAAGAGGGAACGTGAAATGAAAGGTCAACAACGAAACCGCGGCGACGAGCGCAGAAGAGACCGCTCTCCTTCAAGAGACGATATGGATTCCGACAGAGACGCCGAGGGTGACAGCGAGGTTGAGTGGGATGAGAAGCCTCGCGCTGCCGCTGCTGCTGCTGCGCGCGACGATGCTCCTGCAGCACTGCGCGACTTTGAGCGTGCTCGCATCGGCCGTACCAACTTCGCCAGAGTCTGCTTCTACCCAACTTTCGAGACAAGCGTTAGAAACTGCTACGCTCGTGTAAGCATCGGCGTCAACCGCGACACTGGAGCACCACAATACCGCATGGCTCAGATCAAGAGTGGGTCATGACAGCTATGATATGCATCGGGACATTGCTAATCCTTCTAGGTTTTACTTCAGGCAAGCCTTACCAGATGGAAGGTCTGAACGGCAAGCCCTTCGTCACCGATCAATATGCAGTTGTCGCCCATGGCAAGGCCGAGAAGGAGTGGCCCTTCATCGCCTGTTCCGACTCAAGCTTCACCGAAGCCGAATTCGAACGATTCAAAGCCGCTCAGTCCGCCGATTCCTTGCGCCTGCCCTCTAAGAAAGCGCTGGTCGCAAAGCTTGACGACATCCACTCCCTCCTCGAATACCAGTGGACCGACGAAGACATCCAGAGAAAGATCAACCGCACAAACGCTCTACAAGCCAAGTTCGCCAACTACGGCCGCGAGAAGATCGAGAAGCGACGTGAGGAAGCTGCATCCCGTGGCGACGACACCACAGTCGCCAAGTGCGATGCCGAGCTCGCGGCCCTGGGATCCGGCAGCGGCGCAGCCAAAGCAGCACAAGCGGCCGCCAACGCAGCAAAGCAAAACGGCAAACTCGCACAACAGGAACGTCTGGCTGCACTCAACCGTGCGAACCGCAAGGCCAATAGCGAAGACGTGCGCAAAGCACAGTTGGCGGAGAAGCGTGTTCTGCAGAAGGCCAGAGAAGAGGCTGCAGCAAAGGCACGTCGTGAAGCTGAAGCCGCTAAGGAGAAGCTGTTGGCGGTTCCTGATGATCTGTTTGGCGATGCCAGCGATATCAGCAGAACAGGCACACCAGCAAACGGCACGTCTGGCACGAGTACACCCATCAACGAGAAGCTGAAGAAGACGACGTTGGGAGGGTTCAAGAAGAAGCCCAAGGATGAAGATATCATTGCCGACATGGACTTGGGTATCGATATCGACATTTGAGAGAAAAGTACCGCACGTTGAACAGGAGACGGAGGCATGGTACAACAGGCGCTTTGGGAATAATCTAACCAGCAAGTTCTTCTCAAAGGAACAGAACCTCTTTCTTGTTCAAATCCCGTAGATATCTTTGAACCACAAAACGAAGCTATGAAAAGATATTGCCATGAGAACTTCCACTCTATATCAATCATCACCCCTGCGTCCTGCCTCGAATGCCTCTCTTCCTCTTCCTCGCCGTCCGCTCCTCCCCTTACTGCCAAACTCCACTGTAGCTACGCTCTTGGAACTTTCCAAGCTTCTGATTTCTTTTACCTTTTTTTTTGTTGTTTTGTTCTTCCCCTCTCAATGCAACGCCTTTGCATCTTCCTGGGCCCTCGTGACTCAATCTTTGTTTCTACTACCCGCTTACTCCAAGGAGGTATGCTGACTATCCTTTGTAGAGGGATCAATCACCCTTCTAGGTATTTGTCATGACTTAATCGTCGCAACATGTCGATCTCCCTGGAGCCTGGGGTGGAGAAACAATGTGGTTAAGAGTGGTCAATTCAGATAAATGTCGCAAATCCAAGATATCGAGTTGTAGGACCGCCCTAAGAGGCAGTAATGCACGAGACTTGATTTTTTCATCGTATTCTAGTGTATATTGGCTACATCATGCTGTTGTACAGAACCCATAGTGTGCTATGGTCGAGACATACAGATTGGAAAATTATTCTGAGCAGGGTCATACCACATACCATCCGACTTGGCCGCACAGAAAACTCGATTCGCATGTCAGCCTCATCACAAAATTACCTTTACCCCAAGACACAAACCATTGTTTACGACACAATATAGCACAGCAAAGCAATGACAGGCATCAGAAAGTCATTGAAAAAAGAGATTAGGAGAAAAAAAAACTACCTGCACTAGGTAACACGCATTGGCTGTAAAGGAAAGTCCGTTGTCTGTTGTCCCTTACGCCCATGTTCCATCAAAGCAGAACCCTTGTCCTTAGAGAGTGACCCCAAATTTCCACACTGTCCCAGCAATTTCATAGCAGCCGAAAAGGAAAAGAACAAAGGAAAAAGGAAAAGAAAAGCCAAGCAGAGAGCCAATCGTTTGAGCAAAAAAGTTGCTGCTCACAGGTCTAGAAGAAAACTGCCGCTTGCTTTTTACTTCATCGATGCAACGGTCTCTTGGTCGCTGGCGTCAAGAATGTCGTAATCATCATCAGTAAGGAAACCATCATCCTCGGTCTCGTCCTCGTCTTCGTTGGCGCTGAGCACTTCGAGGTCATCGCTAATGTCTTCGAAGCCCTCGTCGTCACTGGCAACACTGTCAGCAACCTCAGAGGTCTGGGAGGCCTGTTCGGTCTTGTCGTGTGCCTTCTTGCTCATGCCCGAACCGCTGAAGGATTGGTAGGTTGAGCTGGTGGGGCTCTCCTTGTCCAGGGTAGGGAAAACCATTTGGCTGCCCTTCAACTCCTCCTCGCCATGCTCTGACTCGGGAACTTCGACCTTAACCTCGGCTGGGGTCTTGGTGACTTCGGTCGTCTGTTCACTGGCGGACTTCTGAGCCTCTTGCGAGACAGCGTTTGATGCAGCAGCGGAGACTGCGTTAGTCTGGTCAAGGTGTGTCTTTAGAGCGTTCATGCGCTCCTTGTACAGAGCATAGTAGCTTTGTGCCTGAGACGAAGACTGAACACTGGCAGCAGAACGAGGCACAGCTGCAGTTTCAGTGGCCATCGATGGTGCTTGTCTGACTTCAATGTCACACCAGAGTTTGTGGCCAAAAGGCGTACCATCAGCAGACTTGAGACGCCAGTAGCTGATGCACTTTCCTTCGCGAGCAGGAGCCTTCATCATCACAGTAAAGGGGAACTGCTCACCAGGCAAAACTTCACGACCGACAACGTTGCTCTCGCTAGCCTCGGCGCCGGCGGCGACACGGGTGTTGTCGATGTTGAGCATGTTGTCACCACCAACGAAGCGGACACTGCATCCGGCAGGCCAAGAGAGGGGCCCGGGGTTGCGGAGAACCCAAGATTGAACGAATCGAGCATTAGGAGCAATGACGGTGCCGTCAGGGACACGGTCACCGACGAAGACGGCCTCGGGCAGACGTGTAGGAGTCTTGGGCTTGAGAGTCGCCACAACTGGCTCAGAGATCGGTGTCTTCTCCTCGACCTTCTTCTCGTCCAACACCTTCTCCTCGGGCTGAGGCGACGGCTTAATGTCAGCGACAGTCTTGACTGGAGCAGTGACATTGGTTGACTGCCTGCGGCTAGACATGACAGGAGTGTTCATGTTGCGAGAAGGGTCACGGTCGCCGAGCTTGCGCACTCCATGCTGAGTCTCGCTCTCGGTCGAGATAGTCAAGTGGTTGACAGGGGTCTTGAACTTGACCAGAGGATGAGTCTTGTTGTGGAAAGCAGTAGGCAAAGCCTCGCAATTCTGGCAGAAGTCTGTGTCGTGGCAGACGACGCACTTGTAGCGCACGCCGTGAATGTAAGACTGCTGCGAGTTGCCCTTGCAAAGAGGACCGTCGCAATAGATGCCATGGTGAGTAACGGACGAGGTGGGACGGCCCTTGAACTGCTCGTAGATGGCGGCGAAGCGGTGACGAGGGTGAGTGTGACGAGCGTTCTTGTGGCACTCGCTGCAGTAGTCAAAGTCAGGGCAGTCGAAGCACTTGTGGCGCACACCATGAATCATCTTGTCGCAACCATCGCAGATGGCGGTGTGTCTAAAGTTGCGGCCAGCGGGAAGAAGAGCCTCTTGGGCGAGGGAGAGGGCAGCACCATCGATGGCAGGTTTGAAGTGGTGAGCAGGGTGATGACCGTGTGTGTTGAGCATGTGGCAGCTCAAGCAAAGGTCGTAGTCGTCACATTGCACACACGTGACGAAGTCGTGGTCAGGAAGGGTCACGACACAAGCATTGCAAGTGCGGGACGACTCGGACAAGGTCTTGATGTCGTTGGTGAAAGCTTCAGGGACTTCCTTGACAGTATCAGGCTTGGGTGAAGGTGCAGGTGCAGGAGCAGATGCAGTGGACGTCTTAGGCTTGGGAGCAACGCGCTCGGTGGTACTGCTGACAAGCTTGCCATCTTGGATGGAGCGCTTAACCAACCAGTGACCTTCTCCGAGGCAGGTGGTGCCCTGCTCGATGCAGGTCTCACAGAGATCGTAGTCGCCACCTTCGCAGGTGCCACAATGGTAGTGAGTGTTGTACATGATCTTATCGCAAGCGTTGCAGAAGATAGTCCATGGTCCCTTGGTGACATGTGCTGACTGTGCAACACGGAGTGGCAGGACGTGTTTGGGACCCTGAGCGGTCGAGTTTGATGTGAAGTCTGACATGTCAGTGTTTATAGGATTGGTGGCCGTGGCATTCGACTTACCAAAGGGACGAGGGAGAGGAGCTTCAATGTCCGTCTTCTTCATAGAGCCGAGTGCCTCACGGAACTCGAAGATGCCAGGACCAATAGAGTGCTGGTCAAGGGCGGTGGCAGTCCTGTCAGCAGCGGCAGAGGACGAGGGAGCGATAGATGGCTCCGAAGCAGGAGCATCGACCTTGGGGGCAGAAGCTCTCAGCTTGAGCTTCAGCTTGGCCTTGGCAGCACGGATGAGAGTCTTGAAGACAGCAGGGTTGGACTCGTCGAGAACGACATAGCCGGCAGCCGAGTCGGAATAGCGCTCGAAGATCACAGCCTGGTCAGGGGCGATGCAGAGAAGGTTGCGGAGCTGTGAGAGAGTCAGCCAAGATGCACACCTTCATGTGACGATAAGCCGACGGTACCTTGATAGGAAGCGTGTTTGCACCCAGGTCCTTGAGGGGCAACTTGAGTCTCTTGATAGAATCGTCGAACGAGATCTTGATGGTGATGAGTGTGTCCTCATTCACGAGGCCTGCAGTTGAAGGCATGTCGAGCGAGCGACTTGTGGGTGGCAGCCTAGTGACGTATAGCAGCCTCGGCTGGAGGCGATAAGTCGAGGGGCGGTGTGTGGTGAGAGTGATGAGATGTCGAGCTGTAGAGGAGATGTGCGCAGGAGAATGCCCACCTGTGATGGAAAGGAGATTATGTTTGAGGAGGAGAAGGAGATGATTGTCAGCGACGAGATGTCGTCTAGATGTGGAGGTGAGTGACTTGACGCGGGTTGGTTGGAAGACGCGGAGCTGATCGGTGTTTCCTTCCCCGCGTTGTCGCCCATGACTCGCTAGAACCTGCCAGTGGCTGCCTTGCTGACGTTTCACATGCACTCGATAAACTCGTTGACACTCCTCACTTCTTCACATGTTTGGAACCTAGCTTAATGCACCAAATTTACCGTAACATTTCGAACGACTCTGGAAGATATGAAGCATGAAAGAAGTCATTAGATTGAGGTCTGATATGGAAGATACCTAACCATACAGCTAGCTCTTACGAGCAACAGCCGTTTGGCGCATGAAAAGCTTATTGAGCTTGAGGGTAGAACATCGGTCTGGGGTTTGCGTAGTAATAGCCACCTTCTGGACTCGGTGTCATCATGCCACCCATCCCGTGAACAGCATAACTTTGTGCCTGTAGATAGTTGTCCTGGGGTGCGTGTTGTGCCATTTGTGTGTAATAGACCATGCCATTACTCTCATGCGCCATGGTACCCTGCTGAGGATCGCTCGTCATAGGCGGTTCAGCAGGCGCGTAACTTGCTTGTGCTGTTGGTGGGGCATAGGGCGGCATGGCACCGTATTGTGTGGGCTGGCCCGAATAGTAGTATCCAGGCGGAGCATATGATGGATAGTAATTAGGTACAGGAGGCTGGAACGGCTGTGCATGAACTGCCCTCTCTGGAATGTTGGAAAGTGGTGTGCCGCCGGAGTACATGTACGTTGGAGGACCCAATGGAGGGGGTGCCATATCGGAAGACGTCGACAAAGTGCTGATACTACCTTCTGCAATGTGCTGAGGCAGCTGATTATGGAATGGTTGTTGCTCCTGCTGCTGTGGAGCGTGCAGAGCCAGCCCTGCAGGGGACTCTATCCCGGTCATGGATATGGTCTTTTGGGGGCGAGGCTGATGTACAGTGTCTGGTTCGGCCCAGTGTTCGACGGCCGGCGTTTGAGGCCGAGGATAAGAATGAGGATATGAACGGCTGTAAGAAGAACCGGCTGGTGAGGGGTTCGAGGAACGATGCGATCCAGCTTGGGGCAAGCGCACGACTGGTCGACCAGGTCCTGCAGGAGCACGAGCGGTGTAGGAATTGGTGGGAGAGAAGGCCGAGTCTCTGGGCACTTCACGAGCCAGCGAGGATCTGCGACTCATGGACATGGCTTGTGAGTACACGCTACCACCGTAGAGACTAGGCCGTCTGCTTGATGGAGCCCCATATGCACCAAAACTACCTCTTGCTTTGCCAAAGCCTTGCTGGTTGGGTCGCAGTGCTCTAGGAATGAAGATGAAGGAGCGCTCAACAGCCGGGAAGACATATCGTACGGGATGATCAGGGAGCGAAACGCGGACAGGCTTGTCACGACGGAGAGGAGGCCTGTGATCGGGCAGTCGAGTGTGTGATCTTACAGGAACAGCGGCAAAAGGGACAGCAGCGGCCATGCCAGGTATCCAGACGCGGATCTGCACACTGCCAATCTGCGTCGTCTTCGAAAAGTTCAAGGGCTTTTGCTGAATCGCGACAGCGCCTCGAGAGACGCTGTCGAGGTTGTTTTCAGGGACTTGCGACGGTCTTTGACGAGTAGATAATCCTCCACCACCACCGCGTTCGTTGATTGTTTCGTGGAGATCGTGGGTCCATGGCGCATCAGCCGTCCGCTCTACTTGCGGCATATGGCTGTGGTAGATGTCAGTACTCGTTATAGACTCTACTAGGTCGACGCATACGTACCCGGTAGGAGGTTGGGGAATGCCTCTTCCCCTGCCTCTGCCACGGATAAAGCCTCGCCGGTCTGATGTACGAGCATCATGCATGAAGAAGTTACCCCTGTTGGGAATAAAGGTAGGATCCGTGTCACGCTTCTTCCGGTAGTCATCATGTTCTCGCCTTCGACGATCCGCTACTGTTTCTCCTCTTCTTGCCGGACCACTCTCGGACGAGACGATGGGTGCGCCAGCCGCATTGGCTGATACCTCGGAGTCTCCAGTTCCTGACTCTTGTTTGACAAGGTCGTCTCCGTTGACGTTCGGGGCTGGCCTGTCAGTCTTTGTGCTTTTGGACTTCTTCGAACGCGTTCGTCCAGTCTTGCCAGGCCCAACAGATTGGGCCACGGTCGTGTCGATGGGTGGTGGTGCGCTACTATCGGCATCACTAGACTCGCTGGCGTCGGCATCGGCATCTAACGTATCGGCCGTGTCGTCGAGGTCACTAGCTACCGAAGCCTCGCTTTGTGAGTCGTCGACGCCGGCAATGGATTCCTCGTCCTCGTCTCCGTCGGCTCTCCGGCGTCGTGACGCGAGCGTCTTGAGCGATGTGCGAGGTGCCATTGACTTCTACTTGGTAGCCCGACGGGACCAGCAGCCGAGGGACGTGTGTATGCGGCAACGCGTAGGCTTGAGTGGATGTCTGTCCAGATTTGACAAGCCGAGGGTTCAGAGTAAAGACGATAGGTATGTAGCAGACACTCGAGCGGCCAACGTGTTGAGTGCTGAGGTCGGGAATAGAGGGGCGTATCAAAGATAGACTGGCTCTTCCCCGTAGATCGAATGTCTATGTCATGTCGAGTACCCGGGGCAAATGAGGCCAAAGCTCCTTCCCCGAACATGCGGCCCGTGGCCAAGCATTCTGCGTATGTACTACCTACTGTACGTACGAGATGATCGTCCTTTGAAGATGCAGAAACATCTTCTTCTCTCGAATTGAAATTAGGTACTCTTATCCTTCTCGTACAGCTAGTCTAACCACCCAGCTTACGCGCTCTCGTTGCCCAACTTGGTCAATTCGCCGAGCACAAAGTCCTCCGCATTCACAAGCTCCGTGCTGCCGTATACAATACGCTTCTTGCTAACCGACCCTGCTGCTCCTTGTCCGCTTGTCCTATTGGCCCAGTCTTGCAAATTACCATACTCGTCCATGCTGCCACCACCAACTGTGAAGACAATCGCCTCGCTGTACCCCTGTCTCCGTTGACCAAAGCTGGCTTCGATACCTCGTGTTACACTGCTGCCAGTAGGGTTCCTGGCCTGGGCTGCCGATGGCGGCATTGTGCCTCTTGCGTTCGCACTGCGGGGATCAAAGTAAAGATATCCTTCTGTCTTCTGAAGCGCACTCGTGCTGGCGTTAGATGGATCCATCAATGACTCCGTGATCTTGGTTAGAGTCAAATCTTTGTTGGCAGGGAGGAAGTTTTTGACGCCCGAGATCAAATTCTCGAAGTTTGAGCCAATACCAGCCTCCTTGAACTTGTCCGTTAGTCCTTTGGAGAGCGAACTGAACCCACGGAAGAGATCGTTAGATGCCGATGATTGGGCTGGTTGGGTGGGCGCAGAAGAGATCATAGTCATGCGTGTGATTTCTCGTACACTGTAAGAGGTCAGCAACTAGCACGGGGAAGATGAGCAAATGTGTCACATACCGTCTCACGTAGGTCAAAGGTGTGGTGTCGACTCCGGTGTTGCGCAAAGCCTCCTCGAACTTGTCCATGTCTGCTCGAGAGACTTCCTGCTCGGTGCTCAAGAACCATATGATGAAGATTCGGAGTTTATCCAGAGGTTCCTTGCCTTTATCAGCGTCCGAGATCAGCTCTAGCATCTGAGCTTTGGTCTGCTTCTTGATGTCCTCTTCCAGCTGGAAGAAATTATCCAACTGTCTCTCCTTGATGCCCTTCAACAGGGCGGTTGCGATGTTCATGTGCATGTCGAGAATGTTTTTACGTTCGCGCAGTTCAGGCAACAGAGTGATAGCAGCCTTGAGATGCTGAGCTGAGGTTGACGTGTCGTTTTGTAGGTCCTCGATTGAAGAAGCGCCAGTCTTCTTGGTGATCTCGTTGGCGTCCTCTTTGTAGCGTGTCAACTCCGTATCAATGTCTTCGGCGACTTGCGGGAACGGTACTCCTGCATTCCTGGTCCAGAAGAAGTCGTTTGTGTTTAGATCGTACGCTCTCTTTGTCGCAGGCTTAGTCGGGTCTGAATCGTCTCCTGGCAGCTCGACTGTGATACGGTTGAGGTGCATTTTGAGCACATCGTGTACTAAAGATTGGTATGTCCAAGAGTGAGATAGCATGGGAACAAGATCGAGGTTCCTGTCAACGATGATCAGGATAGGTCGCGAAGCTAGCGTGGCAGCTGCAGCGTTGGTACGAGCGTTGGCGCCCGAAAAGAGGTTGTCTTTTGCATTGAGGATGTGGTCGCGCAGTTTGCGATCAAGCTTGGCAGCGATCATTTCCGCTGCACCGCCTTTAGGGCATCGAATAATAGGGATAGAACCTGGGAGGTCAGCACAAGTGTTGCAAGGGCATCAGCTCGACTTACCCATGGTTACAGCCACGCTGAACAGACCGCTCACGATACGATCGACTTTTGCGTCAATCTCGTCGTCGCTAGTCTGCGCACTGTTCATAGTGTAGTATACATCCTTGCCCATGCCCAGACTGAACAGATTGGGCTCGCTGACAACAAAGTTCAAGTATTGATCGTAGACTTGCTCGATGCTTTCTGATGTTCCTCCAGCGGCGATTTGAGCTGCAAAGTCCTCCAACACAGGTCTTGATATTGACGAGAGGAAGTTGACATAGGCAGAGGAGTAGAGACCATTTGCGAGATCAGAAGCGATGATGTTCAGGTTTTCAGGAGTCGGTTCGACGAGGTAGAGGGCGGGCACGTCTGGAATGGCATGACGTTTTGAGGTAATAGGTCTGATAGTTTGCTGTCAGCGGCAGCTCTGTAGCAAGACTCAGCATGCGCAAGGGCTTGGAAAGCAAGCGGCTGATGTTTTGGACGTACAAGTGTATGGTGACTCCCCAAGAGCGCAAGTCCGAGACGCGGAGGACACTACTAATCATATCTCTTCCCAGGCTGTCAAAGACAAGAACCTTCCAGATGGGTTCGCCGTCTGCATTCAGGATAGGGGTGGCTTTGGTAACGAGGCCATTGGAAAGGGTGGCATCGTGTTGTGTATCTGCGCTTTCGGGAGAGGCGTGGTTGAGGTTAAGGACCTTCTCGATGGACGCTGGGAAGGTTAGTATGTGGAACTACTGGTAGACACGAGAGCTTCACGCACCCACTTGGCGGTCGCGCAACGAGTTATGCTGGGATGCCATGTTGATCGGATGGCCAGATCTTTCAGCCGGACTGGAAGCTCTACTGCATACACAGCTGGAGAGGTGAACAGATCAGGTCGTGGGTTCTTGGGTCGATGAGCCAGCCAGTGCAGAATTGTGGGTGTTGTCCTGAATACTACCTAGGCAGACAAGATGGCAAGCTTCAATAAGTTAACACGTTCATGCTCGCTCTCTCCCCACATGGACGAAGATGGTTCCAGATTCGCCGGAGCGTCATGAGCAAGGCAGGAGCCGGCTGTCTCTCTGCCAAGCCCGCCAGCTCTCTGCGACTCTTGCCGCACAGGATTGCGCGCTCTTCCTTTCCGCATCTGTCATCCTTCGCCTTCACATCTCACAACACACGCGCTTTCATCAACCATCCTTTTGTGTAATTGACCTTCTTTTGGCCTCACTAATGCAAGGCGCTTGAACGCCCGTCTGTAAAGCTTGTCATTTGTGGTCTAATAAGTGACGGACGATCACGTCGGAGGGACTCTGAGCAGATTAAGTGCTCGCTCTCCTTACGAGTGCCCAAAGGTCCTCTTCGCGACCGTGATTGCGTCCGCAAGGCTGCTACTTGCTTACTTTGAAGACAAGCCCGTTCTGGCTCTGGTCAGTGGTGCTTATCATCCATAAATTTACCTGAACCGCACAAGTCGCCAGGGACTCTGCGTTGCGGCCTCTTGTTGCCACATCGAGCCTTGATCGCGTTCTTGTGCTGCAGCGCGACCCAACGTTGATTTGCATCCCCCATCAAAGGGCTGCCTGTTTACATACTAGCATACCGGCAGCACTCCTGCTCTCAAAGCCGTCTGCGCGTGCGCTACACGCATCAGCTCGGAGGAGTATCGACATCCATACACTTTCGCGCCTTTTCACACAAGCTTCTACAGTCACCAGCGCTTCTACATCGCCCCGACAAGACATTCCCACTTGATTTGAGCCGCCCTCACGTAATCTCAAGCCATAAGGCAGATTGTCGTCGTTTGTGATTGGTTCTTCCTGCAGCGCACATACCGCTTGAGGAACAGTGCTCGAGTCTGCGTTGAGAACATCAGCGCTGTTGAGAACACCCTCTTTACATCGCAATCATGGACGGCCATCACCACATGCCGCCGCATGGCCATGACTCTTCGTCGTACCAGAACGGCTATAATGCAGTCGATGAATTTGGCAACATCCTCTCGAATGGTGGAGAGAGCGATAACTTTGGCAATTGGGGCTTCGATGCTGCCTCTCATATTCCAAACCAAAATACTCAGTCAGATCCATACTTGTCTTGGCAAACGAACACCGGACTAGATAATTACAACCACCAAGCTTTTAACAAAAGCCCATCGACTCTTCAGACCGCTTCGTACACCGATTACGGCAATCCTCACCAATATTCACACTCTCCTTACGATCCCTCGCTGGTGTCCGGCGCCACAAACGGACCGTCTTCGTATGAACTTGGTCCATCTCCATACGGTCAGCCACAGCAGATGCAACATGGAACCATTGCGCCGCAAGCTCTGGAGCATGAACGTGCACACTCTGCTCGACCAAGCCAGACTTTGGATCCTCAATCATTCTCTCGTCCCAACACTACCGATGCTGCCGCATACACCAGAGTTGTTCCTCCGGCACCCACAGCGGATCAGGCTGCTCTGCACAACGCTATTCCTGTGGGCACTCGCACTGGAAACTTCTGGATGAAAGACACAGATCGACTAAGCGAAGCAACCCAGTCCACTCCAGTGAACTCATTCACATTCGTTGGGAAGAACGAGTTTGAATTGCCGATCAACAGAGGTCAGTATCTCTATGAAAGTGTCTGTGTAAAAACTCAAACTAACAATAAATAGCTAGCGTCGCACCTGTGGCACGTAGAAAGTCAAGAGCCGAGCTTCGTCGTCTTGCTGCCAACGACCCTAAGCTTCAAGGTTTGTTCTTTTTCCAGCCAATGTGTTGCAACAACTAACGAGAAACAGAGAAGTTGAGAAAGAAGGAAAGAAGACCTACTGCACTGCCTTCTGGTCCAGGCTCAGTTGGCAGATCGATACAGCCAGTCAAGCAGGAACAGTCGGACTCCGAGACCGACTCCTCAGATTATGATTCAGATGAGGAATCTGATGAGGAGCCTGAGATTTCTCCGTTGCCAGCGGAGCGATCAGATGATCCCCGTGAAGGTGTCAAATATGACACTATCAAGGCTCTTTGGGAAAGTCGTCATGCTGCTGTTGCCGCGGACAGAATCAGAACTGGCATGGTAGACTTCAATGATATTGTGCAAACTGTCAAGAATCGATGGAAAGCTGATTCTGCTGCGTTGACCGATGCAATCGATCGCAAGAGGAACGGCGAACTGCCGCTTCTGAGAAGTAGGGTGAATGATCAGCTCGAAGTGTTGAAGATTGCATTGCAAACCGCGATCGAGCACGGAAACCGGGACATTATGGCACAGTGAGTGATATATTGCGCATCTCTGCATGCTTGAGCTGGTTGGATGCAGTGCATTCTTTGCTAACGAAGATTTCAGGCTCGGCCAGCACGCTCAGATCATGGCGTCTTTCGCGCAATTCCTGATTGATCGAATCAAGAAGAATGACTACGACGGGCCTCTCACTCGTCTGATTCTCGAGGTATGCAAACATCACGATTCACTTCGCGTACTCTGCTAACGAGTTCAAGGTACTCATGCGCTGCGACACGTTTCCTGCAAGAACGTACGACGTAACAAAGTTGGGCAAATGTATCAGTAATCTGAGCAAAAACGGCAGCAAGGAAACCCATGACATGTGTGAGCGTATCAAGAGTAATGTCACTGGTGGGGCCGAGAGCCAAGCAAGCAATGAACAGCAGCCAGGCATAAAGTCGCCTCCAAGTAACAGACCAACTCCCGAGCCTGTTGCTGGTGTCAAGCGTGCTGCTTCAGGCAGTGCATCATCTGACACGGCTTCGAAACGAGTACTTATGACGCCCGCAACAGGCAATGCCGCTGCGAAGACATCCATGCTCAAGCGTGCGCTTCCAATTGGCACTAACCCGAAACCTCCTGCTGTTGCTACAAAGCCTGCAGTCGTCGGAGCCACTGTGAAAGCAAAACCTACTGTCACCAAGTCAGTCATTTCTGCCTCTACAGGCGCAGGTGTTAAGAAAGCAGTCACCAAGACTGCAGCTCCCTCCGTGGTGGCCGCCGCAATGTAAGTTTCAGCACTGTCGATTCGATACTCAAAGCTGACATCCATACTAGAAAATCCATTGAGAAAAAGGCAGCTCCTGCGGCACCTGCCAAACCTGCTTTCTCGTTTGCAGAGACAATGGCCAACCTGAACAAAAGCAAAGAGAAAGAACCTAGCCCCCTCAAGGCGGAAGAAAAGCAGGCGCCTGAGACCGCAGAGGAAAAGGCAAAGCGTCTGCGTAAAGAGGAGAGGCGCAAACTTCGTGTTACTTTCAAGCCTGACAGTCAACTTGTCGAGACTCGAATCTTCCATCACGACGTCGACGAAGAACTCGGCCACGACGCAAGCATGATTCGCGATGTCAGCGATGTTGGTGGTGAAGGCCGTATGTTCAAGCAGCACAAAGACATGATGGACATCGATGAGGACGACGAAAATGCTACGGGCGAAGAGAATCTTGGAGAGTATATCACGCCGACACGTAAGTCGACTACTAGAAACGTGAATCGATTGACGAGAAAGCTAACACGAATTTTCAGTGACCGATTTCAGCTCGGTGGACACTGAGGAGCGAAAGAGAAATTACAGCCGTTACGCTGGCGGTGAACTCCAGCCAGACTCCGCAGAGCGCATCAAGCGCGAACAGTACGAGGCTAGCACGCTAATGGTCTTTTATACGGACCCGAGCGACATTCCACCCAATCCACGCGAGCCGGCCGAGCCATACAACGGCGAAGAGGTCAGCACAAAGGAGTTTGGTGCTCTGGGCACCCAGGAACCACTTGCTGTATGTATTCCTACCATCCAACCATACACGATCGTAGTTAACACTTTACAGTCGAGAATCGCAAAGCTCGCTGGACCCGGACAACCTGTGCAAGCCCAACAACCAACTGCAGCCCCTGACATTTCTGCGATCTTGGCCCTGATCAACCCGCAAGGTCAAGCCCCACCTCAGGCCGCCCATTCTGTTCCAGCACCTGCACCCGTGTCTGCACCAGCCCAAAACCAAGATCAGATGTCCGAGATTCAACGTATCCTAGCATCGCTACCACAGGTGGCCACTCAACAGCAGCAAACCCAGCCTATGCATACTCAGCAGCCCGTCCAACAGCCCGCCGCACAGCCTAACATGGCTCCAGATCTTGCTGGAATCTTCGCCAACTTGAACTCTCAAGCTCAGCCATCAAACATGTTCGCCCCGCCTCAACAGCAGCAGCAACCACCTGTCATGGATCCAAACCCAGCTGCCTTTGCAGCTCTCTTTTCACAGCTTAATCAGGGCCAGACCGGTGGGATGGGAGCTAACTTCAACCCGTTCCCTTTCCCAGGTGCTGGGTTCAATATGCCCAACATGGGACAGTTCCCTGGACAGCAGCAGAACCAGCAGTCTCCTTTCGAGAACGAAGAGCGCCGTCGCTGGCGCGAGGGAGGCGGTGATAATAACAATATCACCAACAACAACAATAACAACGATCACATGCGCCGTGGCAAGCTTGGAAAGAAAGGAACACCTTTCACCGATAAGCGCTTCACGGTGCCATGCAAATATTTCAAGAAGGGACAATGCCAGAAAGGAGACTCTTGCACATACCGACATGAATATTGATATTGATCGAGGCAGCAAACACATCTTCGATCGAAGGTCCCTTGTTTTGTTTCGCATTGCACGAGCATGAGGTTAAGCTTGCATGGATTGGCGTCATTCGACTGTGGTTTCAGCAATCAGGGAGGCATTATCAAACCTGCATCTATGCATGGGAGTTTAAAGGAGGGTGGAAGTCGTCATTTCGATTGGTAGAAGTGTAGTAATAACTATCTAGTCGCTAATCATGCATGCATTGCAAGAACGAGCACCAAAGACAAGGGTGTTGTTTCATCATCTGACTGACCGTTCCAAAGCTGCACTTGTGACGCTCTCGAGATAAGGGCTGGAATGGGTCCAATCATCCGATGATCGTGGGTAGAGGCTGAATACACAAAACTTGCTTCGTGTCAAACATTACGTGCGTTGCCGCCGCTGCTGCCGGTTGGTGGTGGAGCGTCTCTCTCTTGTCATGACGTATCGTCAAACACGCGTTGAGAAGGCAACCACGCGCGTGCTTGATGTAGATAGCGACACTGGACAAGTCGGTCAGGCACATGAATCAAGCTCATCTATAGGGAACGCATGGTGACGACGCTCGTCGCTCGCTGTCGGGCTGTGGCAGAAGGGAGGCAGGGACCGTGCCGCTGGGGTGAACACCCCACATCTCCACGTCCTCCTTCCTGTTCTGTCTGGCCAGGACAAACATGGCGACTGGCAGCCGAGAGCGATTGCAATGAGAACTCTAAACTGCCAGCCCAGCTTCTCTGTTCTCTTTGATGAATGGGAGAGTTCGATCGGCAGAAAACAAGGCGTGTCAAACCAAGGCATGACAAGCTTCTTGGGGCAACAGCGGCTGCAGGGGCAATCATGGACTCAAAAGCTTGTCTCGTGCATAGCAAGCACTAACCAATCGCCGCGGTCTGTTTTGGATCAGCAGCCGCGTGAAGATGCAGCTTGAGCCAAGTGGAGCTTCATGGCAATCGGTCGGTGCCTTCCCTAGGTCATCCGCTCGGGAAGACCAAGCTTGTTTGATTGTACTTAAGTCTGCCACCAACCTGCACCATCTTTGCAACATCAGCCTTTTCCCTATTCATCAATTCATACCACAGAAAACTGCAAATCAACATGTCAACCACCATGAAGCACAATCTTCACCGCGTGAAGCTCATCCACAACCCCAAGTACCAGCACTCAGGTCTCAAGTCCTACGTCTATCTTCTCAGAAAATACAACTTCGCTCCTACTCTCGAGGGACCTTACTTTGTCTCAAACATCGTCGAACAGCTCGGCAAACCCAGTCTGATGAACAAGTTCGCTACTCACATCGGAGGACATGCCAAAGTCAAGAAGCACCAGTTGATGAAGAAGGACGCTACTTCTGGTCAAGAAGGTCAAGTCTCCGCCGCAGACCAGCAGAACGACTCCGAGTATCTCTGTCAGGTCTCCATCGGTACGCCTGCCCAAGTCCTGACTTTGGACTTTGACACCGGCTCATCCGACCTCTGGTAAGTGTAATTTGCCTTGATAGCAATATCTTACAGATGCTGACAGCTCAGGGTCTGGTCCACCAACCTCTCTCAGGACATCCAAACTCAGGGCAAGCAGGCTGGTCACACTATCTTTGATCCATCTAAGAGCAGCACCTGGAAAGACTCCCAGGGCAGCACCTGGCAGATCTCGTACGGAGATTCGTCCTCGGCAAGCGGTACTGTCGGTACCGATGTTGTCAATGTCGGCGGTCTCGCCATCCAGAACCAGGCTGTTGAGGTCGCCAACCAGATCTCTGATCAGTTCGTCCAGAGCACTGGTGATGGCCTCCTGGGACTGGCCTGGGGCTCGATCAACACCGTCCAGCCTACACCTGTCGAGACTCCCGTCGAGAACATGATCAGCCAGGATGACATGTAAGGATATCATTTTCACCAATATGTTTGCTCTACTGACAAGCCACTGCAGCCCCAAGGATTCTGAGCTGTTCACAGCCTACCTGTCTTCGGAGAAGAGTGGTGAAGAGAGCTTCTACACCTTTGGCTTCATCGACACCTCCGTCACCAACGGCCAGACCATCAACTACACTCCAGTCGACAACTCTCAGGGCTTCTGGAGCGTTCCATCTGCATCTGCCCACGTCAATGGCAAGCAGATTAAGCGCAACAACAACACTGCCATCATGGACACTGGCACTACCTTGTGCCTGGTCGATGACAATCTCGTCAAGGCAGTCTATGCTGCTATTCCTGGGGCCAAGTACGACTCAAGCCAGCAAGGCTACACTTTCCCTACCAACACTGCTACTTCTGACCTCCCTGTCGTCACTGTCGCCATCGGAAATCACCAGTACACCATCGGCAAGGAAACCCTCGGCTTCGCTGATGCTGGAAATGGCATGACCTACGGTGGTATCCAAAGCCGTGGTGACATGACTTTTGACATCCTTGGCGATGTTGTACTTCGTAGCATCTACGCTGTCTTCGATCAGGGCAATCAGAGATTCGGAGCTGTCCAGCGTACTAGCCCTTCCACACAGTAAGCCATCCGTACCAGAACGATGATTAGATTACGCGAAGTCGTTTAGATAGCTACCTATGACCATAATGAATCTTTCCTTGAAGACCTGATAATGCTAGTTGTCGGTTCAGTTGCTGTTGTGGTGATGTTTGCATGTCTATACCAAAAGTTGTGTTTGCTGCAGAAATCATTGAAACGTCATCGACAGCTGTGACGCGCTTTCCAGAAATGGACTATCGATTTTGAACTTGACCAGCGTTGCACTCCTGACTTTCTCATATTTGATGCTTATTGTTAATTTGTCACAGGAGACCGTGGGCCCTCAGCTTCATGACTCCATGGAGTAAGCATTGGTGATGACAATCTGATTTTTTTTTGGTGCGACCTGCAAGCGCCGTACGTTGATCTTCAACACCTCTGTCAAGCAGCTTGCTCCTCCCTTTTGACTTGTAAACCCCTGCCTTTTGCTTTCGTCTCCTCGAAACGCACATTCTCTTTTCAATGGTATGTCTGAAGCGCTGTCGCGATCTACCATGGAAGTTGTCGACTGAGTGCTGTAACGACCATACCAGTCCAGTTTGCAAAAGATGCTCAATCCAGGCAGGCGATCAACACCGTATCTGCTTTCACTGCATCAGCAAAATGACAAAATCAACATCTCGAACGAAGATTCTTACCTCTCCAGGCCCCTTTACCGATGACCTTCAGATCTCTTCATCATCCACCTCTGATCAACGGAACCCCCAACCCCTGATCCAACTCCAAATCTTCTTCCACCAACTCCTCTTGACCTCTGGCCACTCGTGAGGTCTTGTTACCTCAAACTCGCTGTTCGAAGGGGTATGAGGGCTAGGTGGACGACGAGGGTATTCATGCATAACGAAAGCAGAGTTGTTTGAGTAGCGTCGCTGATGAGATGCAACGGGTAGAGGAACAGCACGGTGACGGCCATTGGGTGTTAGAGTGGCGACTGTGGTGGGAGTGCTGGCGGCAGAGGGAGGTGATGGGGTGTTTGAGTGATGGTCAAGGCTCATTGAGGGTGTTGAGGGACGAGTAGGGTCCATGGTGGTGATGGGCTCGCAAGGGATGGTGCGGATAGTTGACATTGTTGCGGTTTTGATCCAAGAATTGGGTTTTGGAATGGAGAGGAAGGGTGCAAGGAGAGATTGAGGGCTGAGTGAGTAACGTCTTGCGTTGTCGAGGTCGTGTTGCTTAGTCGTCTCGACGACCAGATTCCGGAACCGAAAAGAATGATGCAAAACCTGTTGTTTGAACCGGTCGATGAGTACGCGTGCTGGGTAACGGTAGATAGAAATGGTAAAGAACTGATTGTTCTTTATACAGTCTCTTATAGTAACTTTCCACTTTCCACTTTCCACTTTCCATTCCAGCATCATGTATCATCGAACGACCACAACACCTCTTGCGATGAAGACTTACCCATCAAATATCCATAAGAGCTCTGGTATCTCCTCAAAACGAGAGGAGCAAAAAACCAAGCAGCCTGTTAGCTACTTGGGAAAACCCCTTCAGCCTGCAGAGTATTCTACCTTTGCAGCACCGTGCCCTGGAGTTCTTTTTGTGCCTAATCTGAGGATCGAACAAGTGACCTTTTTTCATTTCGTGCTAAAGAACTCCCAGGAGTTCTATCGCAAATGACGGTGGCTGATTGGGCCACACTTACACGTTTGCTGAGGGTGAGGGAATTTGACATTAATATATGGCCTTAGTGAGTGAAGGGTAGGGGAAGTGTTTGAAGTGAGTGTGGCATTGGTTTCCTGTGGTTGTGTTAGTATGTGGATTGTCTACGTTGTTTGCTTGTGGGAGAGTATCCATGGTAAGAATGTAGTGTCTCAAACAAGTAGTTCAAGGGTCTTGATCGTTGTCACAATCTACGCGACCAGGTCATCAAGGTCAAACTTTGGACGCTTCATGTCTCTAAACCTGCTACAAACAACCAATCCGACTGCGCTGAGCGTTGTGTTTGCTTTTGGTGAGTGGCGTATAACAGCAAAACAGAATCAGAATGCTTGTTGTCTCACTGTAGCCTGCGAGACAAACTGCGTCAGCAAGAGATGCCTACCTATATCAAAACCAGCTCATCATCAGCTGGAAGAATTCAACCACACTCCAGTCAAATCCCTCGTTTCTGCACACGTCAAAACAACCACCACAATGCCTCCCAGCATCGACCACGCAGAGCTGTCCGCCTTGAGCGACGACGTCTTCGAAGCCCTCGACAACGTCTCCGACACTACCACCCCTGGAGTCGCCAGATTAGCACTCACCTCCATCTCCATGCTGCGCTTCATCGAAACCGCCATCCTCGACATGACTGCCAAAGACCTCGACGCCATTCAAGAAATGCGCTGCCTTCAACGCTCAGAGTTAGAAGTAGCCAAAGCCACTGAAGAGCGCATGAACCAGGCCATTGATGCTGCAGTTCAGCTTCTGGCAATCGATATCGCAAAGTCGGTGTGCAAGTTCAAGAACAGTGTGGGTGGTTTGGTTGCCAAGTTTGAGGAGAGGGAGATCAAGGGTGCGGATCTCGATGAGAGGTTGAGGGTCGCGAGAAGTACTCAGGAACATGCCCGTGAGCTGTTGGACGAGCCTATCGACTTGTCGGATCTTGGGTTTGTGCTGTTCAATGCTTGGAATATGTATCATGAAGCTGATTTTGAGATAGATCTAGTCCTGGTTGATCGGTTACCCTACTTGCACCTATAGATGCAGCCATGTTTTCGCGACAGACAGCATCACATCCGCAGCAGAGAGTATACGACTACATGATATGTGGGCTAGTTCAGCACGAAGATTGATGAAGAGAGTTTGACGGAGGGCAGGAGATTGGGGTTCGTGCACCTTCCTTTCACGGCCGAGCTCCTCTCTCCATTGGACAAGCACTCCGCGACACATCTTCGTCCTTGGACCTGAGTCCATCCATCTTCAACGACAATGCGACGATAGCACTCTTGCCATCACCATTATCTATCCATCATTTCAATATCAAGATGTGTGAGCAAAGATCTTTTGACTGTGTCACGAATCGTGCATTTTGATTATTTGTCTTGGCAAGGAGGCGTCCGATCCTTCGACGGTCTTTTCTGGCTCCTCGGAAGATGGATCCGTACAAGGGGGCTAGCGCTCGATGAAGCCTCGAGAGTCGAGATGGACTCTGTAGACATGTGTTCTGCTCTCTGTGACATGAGTTGACAAGAGAATGCATGTATTTTGGCTATGCATACTGTTCACAGTCCGTATCAGTGCGGTAACGTTCTTTCCTTCCACTGACCGTGACCCACATATCCGCCTCCAGACTGTATGACTTTGAATTCCTGAATGTTGATTAAAGTCCACTAATTCTGATCAGCTACCACAACTGCGACCTCCGCTTCTTGATGTTACGATCTATGATGCAGAAAGGTTAAGTCCTGGCTATCTGTTCCTCGCCCCCTACTCCCAATTGGCAGCCAAGAAGGTTACAGATTCTGCCGAGGCGTATATCACTGGTCCATTCATATATGATCATAATGGAGTAAGAACAGACAATTCGCATGCCGGTTTTAATATTGACAACTCTTTAGCAATTGATCTGGATTGGATCTACCCTGTTTCCCGGACGAGATGCTTACGACTTCAAGGCCGTGATGTATAAAGGCGAGACTATGCTCTCGTTCATTATCTCACCGAACGAGTTCTATCCGGAGTATCCAGAGGGAATGGCTGTTCTCATCAACGGCCGGTATGAGCTTGTCAATATGACCTTGCCTCTGTTCGATACGCCGGAGATCAACATACACGAGTATAGAATCATCGACAACGGAGCATCGGTCTTGACACTGTACTCCAAGCCAGTGCTAGTCAACGATACATGGATAATGGATGATGGCCTAGCCGAGATTGATCTGGACAGTGGCGCAACTTTGTTCCATTGGAGTTCGCTGGAACATATTCCTCTGAATGCATCCAATTTTCATCTTCCGAAAGCGGACTCGACGTCAGAGAAACAGGCTTGGGACTGGTTGTAAGTGTACACTCGCAATATTCAACAACAAAAGTCTGCTAACAGAACGTCAACAGTCACGCAAACTCGATAGACAAGAACGCACATGGCGATTACCTACTCTCCTCACGGCACACCAGTACCATATTCAAAATCTCCGGCTCGGATGGATCTATCTTATGGACGCTCAGTGGAAAGAGCCCTGACATTGATCACTCAAATGGTTTCAACTTCTCGTGGCAACATGATGCAAGATACATATACGAAAACCAGACAACAAGCATCATTTCCTTCTTCGACAACGCCGGAGTCGGCATTGACGAAGAAAGCAAGACAACAGGAAACTGGAGCCGTGCAGTGGTAGTCGAATTCAACACTTTCGTCAGACCAATGACGACCCGTATACTTCACAGCTACGACAGACCAGATCACGAGATTTCTATCGCAAGAGGAAACATGCAGACACTGTCAAACTCAAATGTGTTTATTGGATGGGCTACTCATGGCCTAATCAGCGAACTCACACAAGATGGTTCCCCAGTCATGGAAGCCAAGTTCCGCGATCCCAAGATGAGCACCTACCGGTCCTACAAGTTCAACTTTACTGGCCACCCACATTTTCCACCAGTAACAAAGTCGATCGTATATGGCTCTTCACCCAAGACCGCAAACACTTTCCACTACATCAGCTGGAATGGGGCTACAGACGTGCATTCTTGGAACCTCTATGGCGCCACGAAGAACTCTTCTGAGAGCTTCTCACTGCTTGCAAAAGTGGAAAAGACGGATTTTGAGACAATGTATATGACGAAAGATTATATTGCTTTTGTATATGTTGAAGCCATTGATGTTGATGGAAGAATCATGAGAGCTTCTATTGCTGCTGCCTCGGAAGTGCCACAGAAATGGATAGGCACGTTCTGCACTGCCAGCAGTGTTTGCGAGATCAAGAGCGAAGAAACTTCTCAGGAAGAGCACGAAAGTGTCGGTTCTGATATTACTGGTCTGAGAAATCCTGAGTCAGATCATTTAGACTCGCAGCTGAAGTATCAACCAGGGTCCACGTCGTTAACAAGAGTTGTGGAAGATAAAACACTGATACTGGGCATCGGCTTGCTGGCTGTTTCAGCATTCGTATATCTGTTCTTAAGGTTGTTTAGGAGACGCGACGGAGCACGGTATCAACACGTAGAGTAGAGGAAAACACACTTACATGAAACTCTCAACACAACAATCTGCCGAAGGCTTTGACGACGGATCTCATTCTGGTCATATCTAAACGCCTTCGCGTAGTTTACGTCCAAGTCTGGCGGCGATGAAATACCCTGTCGATAAGATAGAATGCTAAACAACTCCATATCCTCATTCATTGTGATGAAAGACAGCGTATAGCAGTTATAAGTAGACATTACAAAAGTGTTCTAGTGAATGCCGCTACGGCTTTGAATACCGCATCGGATTACGTAGGATCTAGCATTAGTGAAGTGGAGTAGTCTTGCATTCGTGCCTACCATATCAACTGGTTTCGAGAAGAAAGTGTAACAGTTATCATGCTTTTACTATAGATGAACAATAACATCTATCGTACACCCGTCCACCTTGATTGATATTTACTAACGGTCGGCCATCCGGTTTGATATACAGCACATTTGACCGCCACACACGCCATAGCCATGCCTGACATATTTTGATGAGATGCAACTTGTCAAAAGCTGCTAAAATGATTGGACGTTGTCGGTGATAGCTTCGGATGAAGCATGACTCGAACGCCAAGACCGGTCGGCAGCTGTCTGCCCTGACATTCCACCGCCGCCACAACTCTTCAAGCCTTTTGCAAGACTCGAGCTAAGGATAACAACATCCGTTTCTGTTGAGCTGACCACCAGTTTCTCCTTGCCTCTTGACGACAGAGATTCCTCTCTGTTCGGATATCGAAACTGTTATTGACATCACACACGCACCTCGTTGACGGAAAAATGGTATCCACACGCAGATCTGGAGAAAGAATGGGCAGAGAGACCCACATCTATTTCTCCATGCCCGTTTCTCCGCTTCGTATGAGGGATGTGTTTTGCGGAGGTGACATGCATGGGGAGGGCACAGTGGCACTACCCATGGAACGGTAAATTGGCCCGTGATGGGAAGTATGGTTAAAGACCATTGCTCCCCCTTGAGGATCCTCTCTCCTTCTTTCTTCATCTCTCTGGCTACGCAGAGTCTTCGACATAACATTATAGCACAATATGGCGAATGCATTTTTCAAGAACCGTAGGGTCTACCTCTTGACCCTGGTGGCGTACATGGTGAGTATCTCAACAAATCAGTCCCAATTCAGTCAATCTTCTGACATGTATCGCAGGGATCCTTCCTTTTCGGATACGACACTGGTGTCATGGGATCTGTCCTGGAACTGGAAAGCTTCAAAAGCGACTTCGGCATGGCTGCCTCGTCGACAGGCTTCAGCAACGGCAAAAATGCAGAGATCTCCTCCAACGTCGTATCACTACTCACCGCTGGATGTTTCTTCGGCGCCCTCTCTGCACCTTGGTTGAACGAACGTCTTGGTCGCCGATACTCTCTGATGATCTTCAGCGTCATCTTCATGATTGGTGCTGCCGTCCAGACTGGAGCTTCACACGCGATTGGCACGATCTATGGCGGTCGTGTCATCGCTGGTCTGGGTATCGGTGGCATGAGTGCCATCACGCCTGTCTTCGTCTCTGAGAACTGTCCTGCCAATGTCCGTGGTAGGATTTCTGGTCTCTTTCAGGAATTCTTGGTGCTTGGTGTCATGTTCAGTTATTGGCTATGCTATGGCGTCAAGAAGAACATTGCTCCCTCTGCAATGCAATGGCGTGTTCCTGTGGGTCTCCAGTTGGTCCCTTCAGGTATCATGTTCTGTGGTCTCTGGTTCCTCAAGGAGTCTCCCCGCTGGTTGGCGAAAAATGACCGCCATGATGAAGCTTTGGCGTCACTCGCATACATTCGCTGTGTTCCCACTGATGATCCTGAAGTCCTTCAGGAGCTTGCGGAAATTCGCGCGTCCGTGGAAGAAGAATTCTTGGCAACCGAGGGTCTCAGCTGGAAAGAGTGTCTGAAGCCTGGATACCGCGAACGCTTCGGTCTCGCCTTCTGTATCATGTTCTGGCAGCAATGGTCGGGAACCAATTCGATTGGATACTATGCACCACAAGTGTTTGCGTCAGTAGGCCTTACTGGCTCCAGTACCTCGCTCTTCGCCACTGGTATCTATGGTACTGTGAAGGTCATCGCTACTGGAATTTTTCTCATCATCGGTATCGAGCGCTTCGGTCGCAAGTGGCCACTGGTTGCTGGAGCCTGGTGGATGGCCGCTTGCATGTTCATTATCGGTGCTCTTCTTGTCTCCTTCCCACCAGACCCTGATGCCGGATCGGTGAGCTCTCCCTCCATCGCTATGGTAGTCATGATATACTTGTATGTCATTGGCTACTCTGCTAGCTGGGGTCCTGTACCATGGGTGTACGTGGCAGAGATCTTTCCTACGAGGTTGAGAGCCTATGGAGTTGCTCTCGCTTCCGCTACTCAGGTTCGTGATTATTTTTTTTCTTCTTTTTTCTCCATTTTTCTTCCCTGAAGCCTAGGGAAAATATACTAACGCATTCAACAGTGGCTATTCAACTTTGTCGTCACGAAAGTCACACCCGCAGCGATCAATAGCATCGGCTGGCGCACCTTCATCATGTTCGGATGCTTCTGTACCGCCATGGGAGCCTTCGTTTTGATTTTTCTCAAGGACACAACTGGGCGCAGTTTGGAAGAGATGGATATTCTGTTTGGAGCTGTTACACCCGAGCAAAGAAGAAAAGACGTTGAGTTGGCTGTTGCGGAAGAATACAAAGCTGATCCTCATGCTGAACACGTTGATTGTGTTGAAGAGGAGAAGGTGTTCAAGGATAGAGATGTCAAGTGATTGCATAGAGGTACTTAAATATAGTTAGAGGGATAGAAGCATAGAACAGAAGAGATAGACAGCGCCAGTCGCTGAGCATAGAAATTGGACATGATGCTATGATCAACTGTTATCGTCACTGCATGTGCCAATATTCAGTGGTTGGGAAGAATCGATCGTCGTGTATTGTCACCAACCCCCTTGACCTCTTGTTTGTGTCGTATCGCATCCGTATTCCAAGACAGCCTATCGTTCTACCGGTGAAGGCTCACGATAACAGCAGAAAGCCGCGCGTTTCAGTCTGGGAAGCCTGAAGGTGTCTGTAACCCACCGACTTCTTTTTCGCTTCAGGGAGAGCAGAGTTTTCGTTCAGATAGAGCTATGGTAGTCGTTTGCGAGATCGCAAGAATTACCTCAAAAGAGTGGATGCATAAACAGCGCAATTGTCGTATAGACATGGAGATCGGCACTCGCGGAGCCCGGACTTGGCGTCGTCACCGCCTATGTTTATTGATGAAACTGGGGAAAGGGCAGGGCAGAAACAGGAACAGGAAACAAGCGCAAAGATGCGTACAGCAATACGGCCGCGTGTTCTTTCGAGCAAGTGGCTACCATAAGAGGAAACCAACCGCCATTGACTAGGGACTCTTCACCTCGCAAGAGTTGCTACAACCAAGACTGCTGACGAGAGAAATTATCCAATTCGGAGTCGGAAATCGTAAGATCCGGAGCGTCGGCGTTTTATGAAGAAGGACCGTTGCGGGATTCCAAGAGCTGACACAACCTTGAGCCCTTTCTTCTGCCTCATCCCTGGATTTCTATCATCTTGCATTCCTAGAAACTACTTCGTCTCTTGCACAATCTGGATGTTGCGACTGTCGCTCTAAACTCTGAACGGAAAAGCAGCAAGAATGGAGAACTTGCAGATCCATTCAAGGGTGAGTTGCTGCAGCCTGGAGAGGAGGGGCCCGGACCGGACCGAAAGTGTATACAAGTTGCAAGGCTGACGAGCACCAAAACAACAGAGCTACATTGTGCGATGGATCCACGTCAATGAAGGCCACTCGATTGGATGGAGTGTGCAACCGCACAAGAAGAGCATCAACTTCGGCATCTTCAAACACCCTGGAACAAAAAATGGCCTTGCTCCTGGAATGCCAAACTCGTCGTCTGCCACCCTCGAACCCCCGCCGAGCGCCCACAGTAACGACGAACCCGTGAACGATGGGAGAAAGAGAGGGAGTTCGGTTGCCAAACACGAGGCCAGCACTGTCATGGAGAAGTTGCATAACATTGGCTTGCGCTGTGTCGAGTGGGTCGGCAACTGCGAAGCTGATAAGGTCAGAGTCGGCACCTACCATGTCGCGCCTGGACAGGGAGGCATGTACGGCCTTGTGTTCGACAACACCTTCAGCAAGACCGTCTCCAAGACTGCGACGCTGGTCCTCATGACACATCCCACAAACGCCCCGCCAAAGTCGAGAGCTCAGCTCAAGGCTCAACCGAGTACGCAGAATCTCAAGGCCAGCCCGCGCATCTCTGCTACACCTGGCGCGTCTGTCGAGTCGTTGAGAAAAGAGTTGGAAAAGACACAATCTGCTAAGCGCACAAGAGCTTCGTTCCACCCATCGCTGATGCCTCACGACATCCATAGTGGCACTTTGGGCAAGCGTCGCAGAAAGAAGGGTCAAGGTTACGCTCGTCGTTTCTTTTCGCTCGACTTTACCTCTGGCACACTGTCCTACTACCGCAACAGCCATGCTTCGGCTTTGCGTGGTGCCGTGCCGCTGTCTCTAGTCGCTGTGGGTGCTGACTCCAAGACTCGCGAATTCTCGGTTGACTCTGGTGCAGAGGTCTGGCATCTCAGAGCTAGCAACCAGAAAGACTTCGAGGAGTGGAGAGAGGCTCTTGAGCGTGCTTCGGCCACTGCTGTTTCTGGTCCTTCGACTCCCGCTGTCTTTACTCAGAACAGAAGTCCTTTCCCTGCTTCCTCGGAAGCTGTCACATCGGTCGAGTGGGAGCGTGCAGAGGAGATCGTCAGCAGAATTTCTGGTTCTCGCGATGCTCTACGCAGACTTGCTCAAGACACTGGTGTCCAGATGTCTCCTTCCATTGCAGCTGCTTCCCCAAGTGCCTCGTCTGTCGAGTCTTTTACAAACCCATTCTTTGCAGATACCGAAAAAGCCTGTACTACCAGCCACTCAGAAAGATTGCCATTCTGGAAGCGCAAGCCTAGTTCTGCCAGCAAGGAGGCTCCTGGCTTCATACGCAAGACTTCAGGCCAACAGCTTGAAGTCCCGAACGGCTCCTCACCTACTACTTCCCATCCGACTTCCCCTCTTCCCAACTATTCAAACAAGCCAGCCCATACTGCTTCTATCACCATGCAGGAGACCCACGAGCGATGCTTGGCTCTTCTACGCGATCTAGACAACGTGGTGAACGACTTCTCTGCTCTGCTGCAGGAGTCGAAAGCACGTCGCATGCCAATCAACCCAAATCTGCTCGCTCCTGCTGCTTCCCGCATGTCTATTGATTCGGTTTCTTCGCAAGAATTCTTCGACGCCGAGGACGTGCCTTCGCAACTCTTGTCAATCCGTAGATCCAGCGAGGCTTCTAGAGAAGACGATGATCGAGAGTTCCAGGACATTGCATCTAATGCAGGTGATTCTGATACTAGCAGCGATGCTGGAGATACCACAATACTTTCCAACGACACGGCTGCTGTACCTGGCCACACCTCTCTCTTCCCTGCGAAGCCTACGCCATTGACTTCCCCGCTACCGAAGATCACGTACCGTTCCACCATATCACCACCCAAACAGCCTCCGCCATCACTCATTGGCTTCCTTAGAAAGAATGCTGGAAAGGACCTTAGTACTGTCAGCATGCCTGTCACCGCCAACGAGCCGCTCTCGGCATTGCAGCGTCTCGCTGAACCTTTCGAGTCTGTTGATCTATTGCACAAGGCTTCATCGTTTTCCTCACCAGATAAATCACTCGACCGACTCATCCATGTTGCCGCATTCGCCATCTCCAACTTCGCTAGCAACCGGGTCAAGGAAAGAGCAATTCGCAAGCCTTTCAATCCTATGCTTGGAGAAACATACGAACTCATCCGCTCAGATCTTGGCTTCCGCTTTGTTTCTGAGAAAGTGTGCCACCGGCCTGTACGCATGGCTTTCCAGGCCGACGCCTTGGACTCGGCATGGTCATTGTCTCAATCCCAACAACCCACTCAGAAGTTCTGGGGCAAGAGTGCTGAACTCAACACTGAAGGCAAAATGAGATTGGTGCTACACAATGTGAACGGTGAGAAGTACTCTTGGACTTTGGCAACTTGTTTCCTCCGCAATGTCATTGCCGGCGAGAAATACATCGAGCCCGTCGAAAGCATGACTGTTGTCAACGAAACCAACGGATCAAAAGCTGTCGTCACCTTCAAAGCTGGAGGTATCTTCTCTGGCCGCAGTGAAGAAGTGACAGCACAATTCTACAATGCTTCCTCATCTTCGCCTCTTTCAGCCACTTTGACAGGCAAATGGATAGAAAGCCTTTCTCGCACTGACACGGGGGAAAACATCTGGACCGCTGGACCTCTAGTTCCCAACGCTCCTAAAGTCTACGGCTACACTTCCTTCGCAGCCTGTCTCAATCAGATCGACGAGGCAGACAAGAAAGCAATCTCACCCACTGACTCACGCTTACGTCCTGACCAACGCGCGCTCGAAGATGGCAAATCAGATGAAGCGGAGGCACTCAAAGCTAAACTTGAAGAGCGTCAACGCGCTAGAAGAAAGGTCTTGGAAACACATGGTGTGGAGTGGAAACCTAAATTCTTTGATCTTGTTAAGGGAGAAGAGGGTGACGAAGAGATTTGGAGGTTGAGCACGGGCAAGAATGGCTATTGGGAACGCAGAGACAAGGGCGATTGGAAGGATGTGGAGACTGTGTTCGAGACGTGAGAGGGGTTTGAAATATGCAGGGCAAGCTTGTTGATTGCTAAAGCTTGCTTGCCTGAGCTTTTGGATGAGGCAATTTCGCAATTACCAATCATCTATTCTTCCTCCCGTCTTTGTTCTGTCTTGCTTGTGCTGATGATGGGGGTTCTCGTCTTTCCCTTTGTATTTCTGGACTGCTGACTGACGCGTTTTTCTACAGATGTTTGCTCTTCTCATCTTCTTTTGCTTGCCCATTTCCCTCCTTCTTCCTTTGCTTGCTTCTTCCCTCTCGTTCTTTTGCTCACTTGCTCCTTCCCGTTACCTCTTTCCGCTATACTATTGCTTCTCCAATCAGCTCGAAAAGCAAAAGTGACCAGAGCAAGCAACAAGCTTCTGACTTATTTCGTGTTGCAGAGCAGGCATATAAGGTCCCTTCTCACCCGTCGTTTCCCCTGACATTTTCATCCTTCAACTCCATTGATATATATATATATATATATATATATATATTGGCTTGAGCCCCTTCAGCGCCATTCCAGTCGGTCGCCATCTTGATCGCTCATATCCTCTCATCTCATTTTCTGAACCATCACTGTTCATCGATATATATTATGGCAAACGCTCGCCATCACAGTTGCCGAATAAGTCGACAACTCTGGTCGCCATCAACTTCGTCAACCCTCATGCTTGATGCTCGAGAGATATGTATATATGTCTGTGGTGCCAGGTTCTCTGTCGGCAAACGCCTCTTAGAGGCCTCCGGAGCATGACGACTATTCTGTGTCAAAGCTCCTGATTGTTCCATCAACTCAGGAGGTTGCACCCGAGGTCTTGTTCATACTGCCCTGATTACCATACTCGACATGACCCACCGCGATGCTTTTGAGAGCATGCGTTCCTTCTTCATCACAGTCCACTACACTCATGAACTAGAGGAAGACCCTACCCGAACCCTCCGTCCTCTGCCCTTGCCTGTTATCTCTGTAGCTTGGCTCTCTCACCCCTAGTCTCCATATCAGACAATGGGGCGGCTCCAGAGAGTTCTGGGCTGATCAGCGCGCTCAGGGTCTTTTGAGACATGCGCCGCAAGTCTCGTGGTTCTATTGTTGTCAGGATGACATCAATGAGTCTGGAGTGTTGACTGAGGAGGCGTGGAAGAAGTTGGAGAGGGATGGGGATACCGAGCTACCCTTTACCGACTACCAGGTCTACGTTGCTCCAACCGAAGTGCAAAGCCTCCAGACGCAACGGCGACAGGGATCCGCTCTGGTGGGACCACCGCTTTAACATACTCAGGGAAGGCACCGACAAGCGAAAGAGTGCTCAGTGGCTGGTCCAGGACAAGAAAGAGATGGAGGAGCTGGCTGCAAGATACCCTGTCCCCAGTATGCTGTCCAGGAGACCCTTCATGATGCCAGCTATCAACTTCCGTTGAGCGGAGTTCGTCCCTAATGGCTTGAATTACGAAAACGAAGGTTTTTCCTTTGAGGTTCTGAGGTCGTCTGATCAGCCGCCACTTTGTCCTTGTCATGAGTACCTCATCTGCGCCATCGATCGTGCACTCGGCACGACCTCGCCGTTGACATGCGGGTCAAAGCAAGGAGGTTCAGACGAGGTGTGATGCTGTAACAGTAAAGGTTCTCCCACTCGACGCGATCGACTCCTGTCCTGATCGACCCAGTCCTTCTCAACTTGGATCAATATCACTTCCACCCTACCTCTACCACCATACCATCATAACAACCACTCTTACGTTCTTGCACCCTACCACCATACCATCAAACCAACCACGCCCACTCTCAAGCATCACAGTAAGTCTCCTTTGCGCTAGCAGCACCGTGTCTCTTTGTACGCGTTAACAGTATGCCTGTATACTACTCCTCCACTTGGGCAATTTCTCGCTTCTGCGCATCCTCTCCCATCTCTCTATCACACTTTAATACGCTGCATGCCATCATCGTCTAGATTGACTAACCCTCCAGCGTAGGAAACTACCAACAATGTAGCTCCAGGACAGACTGTACACTGTAATCGCCGCTGACGAACCTAAAATGTTCAACGCAGCTGTCGATGCCCTAGGATACAGTTCCTAGTACGCCTATTCTCTGTCCTCTATACATTGTTACCGTGATTGACTGACTTGTGCTGTGTAGGTTGGTGTCTGATTCTTACCTCGCCTATCAAGTCTAGCTGGACAGCGACCAAGAGGAAGACTTCTCCGAGATGACACAAAGCGATGGAGACGAAGATATGGAGGAGAACGTTAGAGAGACAAGTAGGAGGTGGGCAATTCCTTCTCTCATCAGCTATCTTCCATTCGACTACACTGCGGACAAGCAATTCGCCAGCTGCCACATCCCCGTCCCTCCTGTCGCGACCCCTCGCAACCGCGTTTTGAGATCTAGGGTCACAAAGCCAACCACTTTGCGTGGAACTTGCAAGACTTGCATCAAAATCCACATTCACTGCATTCCTTCGGCAGACAATGGCGCTTGTGAGAAGTGCGTGCAGAAAGGCGTCCCCTACGTCTTCCAACCCAGAGCAGCTTACGGATCCTCCCCACGTAACAGGGTCCTCATCAACACCTCGCAACAGGGTTCTCAAGTCCAGAATCACCAAGCCAACTGCTCGTCGTGGTACTTGCGAGGGCTGTCGCAAGCTCCACGTCCGCTGGGTGGCCTCTCATGACGGCGGAGTCGGTGTGAAGTGCGCCCAGAAGGGTGTTTCGTGTGTCTTTGCACCTCGAGTCACATACGGTTCAGAGACTATGAAGTCTACATCCCCATATAACCGTGCCGACGAGCACAAGGTCTTACTGTCATCCACATGCCTATGTCATTAAAGAGTTACGCTCATGGCGCGTTGCCTCCACCATCAAGCCTCGCAAGAACTCCTTCGAGAGCCTTCCGAGCCTGGGTGACAAGGCGGCGCTATCGACCTGTCGATATGTACGACTTCAAAGATCGTCACTCAGAGCTCTGTGACTTACCTTACCTGTTCAATTGACCTTCTGCACGAGACAACCTGTTCGGGAACGATGAAGATGCTGCAAACATATTGCGAGAGCATAGCCCAGCACTTCTGCCTGGTGTTCCTCACCCTTTCCTCTTTTCTTTCTTCTCTCACCTCGGTCATACAATTCTTTTTGTCACTCACCATCGTGCCGCAGTCAACATCACTATATTGTTGTTCCTCGCTTCCTTCTCTCCTGCCGCCATGGCACCACCTGTCTGCCTTGCTGCTCCGGCGCACGATCTTATCAGCCCGTCACCCATCACTCCTTCTCGTTCGATCTTATAGACCAGGGCTCCGCCGCCGCCTTTGTTACCATGCCTCACGGCACAAAGAGAGACCCAAGCAAGGTCTACTCGATCACTAAGGGCTGCCCAGAAAACACGCAAAGACCCGTATGCTTATCACCACCAGGGCATACAACAAGCACGAGTCCTGCGTTCTCGCATATGTCGAACTTCTCGACCTCAAATATCAGAGTGATTTGTAGACCTCTTCTCTTCTTCAAGCACAAGTCTAAATTGTCTTCAACTGTGATAGCACTTGACGGCAACAGCCAAGCAGTGATACAGTATCTGTGCTACATCGACAGATACAGACCCACCAATCTTTGAGCTCTTGCTGGAGTGTTGTCGTCCGCCGCGCTTTCGATACGGGATTTAAGGTGTGAAGAATCGAATTATATATCTCAAGGTGAATAGATTGGTGACATTACTCGCGCGACCATGGTCGAGTACACGTCGAACAACTCTACAGATGTTGTGACGTCGAGCCTGCCGATGTGCTCACATAATTGCCAGCTGTATTGGCCAGACATCGCGCATATCAAGCTGATCACAAAGCCGCTGGTGTTGGTCTCCGTATTTTCTTGGAACCGACAATGATCGCAACGGGTCCCTTGCCAACTCTTCAAGTTATTACTGACGAGATTCTCCCAGCATGCTCGGCCCATACAGCTGGAGGTGTAAGATACTCAACAATAAACCTCAAGATGCACAATAGATCATATGTACCTACCATAGGCTACTGCATCCTATAGCCTATTGTGTCGCCTCCCTGGAACATCCTGTATATCTTCAGCCGAGCGTGTTTCCCACAAATTACAAGAGGACTGGAAAGGAGATCGCAAAATCAAAATTCCTTACGACCCTGACAACGATTACCTCCCTAAGTAAGTACTCTTCTCCACTAGGCCCCAAAGTAATCCCGTCTGACCTATGCTCCATAGTGAAAACGTGACCGAGGCAGATGCTGCAGAAGAGATTGCCAAGATTACAAAGGAGGAGAAGGACAGCAAGAGAGAGTTTAACAAGACCTGCTATGGTCTTTGCTCATTTCATCAGAGCCGACAAGAAGAACGCACTCTTGTCTGTCAGACAGGGTCGTCGGCTTACTGAAGCGCTATCGTGGTTAACGTAGCGAATCTCGAGGAGGCGCAATCTCACGCTCGAGGACTAAGCACTTCGCTCTTCTCAGAACATATGGCGTAGTGAGTGGGTATCGGGCTGAGATTTACCATCTGTAATCTTGACGAAGAAATCTGGCCACAAGTTCTAAACGTCGACGAGCGTTCGGAAAGATTGACCTGATATTCAACATTTTCACGACTGGACTTTGTCTCATCACTTCTCTGGACTATTTCCCTGACCAGTAGGCTCTTATATATATGACATCTTGTATCAGAACTCCCACCTCAGGTACCGCAGTCATACAAAGGGGCCTGTACGGAGTGTTGATAAACGCATCTAACATACTCCACAGTATTGCTATACAGAGTACGAAAATGAGAGCACTGCCAACGCCTCCTACGTTCCCTCAACTCGTTACCGCTACATTCTCCCGGCACCTCCATCGATCAGCACTACCCCAGCTGCATCATCAGCCGCCGGCCCCGTCTTCACTCCCGCCTCCTCCTCTACTACCGCTCGCCCCTTAACTGCTTCATCGGCTGTTGCTGCTCCTGCTGTCCCAACTGTTGTCTGCGCCAAGTGCCGTCGCCAGCACAAGAAGAGCTCAAGATTGACCGGTAACCTCTTAGCCGTGGTTCCAAGTCATAATGTATGGAACACAAACGCATTCATATACGTCCCCTGAATCTCTCGATTCATAACAGGATATCAGTAACTTATGTGACTTGGTTAGACTATATGTTTGATCTTGACTTCGTCGTGGAAGCGCAGTGCTTTCACGTACGTCTTTTGCAAAACCCATGTGCCTTCCGCTTCTGACTTCTCTTATGTCTCTGTGGTTAAGCGCCCTCCTGGCGATACCGAGCAAGCGTACGAGCGTATGACCAGAGGCTACCAAGCTGGCTGCGAAGTCGATCACAGTCTACTCCCTGGCTATCACCATCTCTTCAGAACAACATTGCCAAGTATCAAGACGCTCGTCGACCAGATGCGCAAGGACGAAGAAGAATAGGAAAGATTTAACGACTTCGATCTGAAGGCTATGCTCAGTTCTATCTGAGGGGGTGGTTTTCCAGGCATGACCGGCATTGTGATCAAGGATGTGACTTCTTCACAAGCGTTTCACCTATGCACTGCAGAGTTATTCCAAAGTGGCCGAAGAAGCCATGGTCAACCTCGCGTTAAAGCTCTTCCAACTTTGACGAGGAGGAAACGTAGATATCCTATAAACCTGCCACAGTCATTTCGCTCCGGGGACTACATCACCAACACTTGCGTACATAATCCGCAAAGTGAGCACTCCTTTTGACCAGCGGATAGATGGTGCAGTGGGAAGCAGGTGTCCGTTACCGTTGGCGTATGTTTACCGGTAACTTCACTGCATTCATCATAGGTCATTGGTTCGATTCAACCCTGGTCACCTTTTTCTTTTTGCACTCTTGTTACCACTGCAACGAACATCTATGATCACTTACCTCTCGACTACATGTACGACCCAGTCGGGTGGATCTAGCCTCACGTACGCGAGCCCAGCCGCAAAGAACCGCGCTAGAACTCTGATATTTTTGCCCAGGGTGGAGATTCCGATGCCTCCCTGCCACCTCAAAAGCTATATATCAGTATCTGGGCCGGTCTTGGAAGGATCTTTCGATTTTGATGTCTCGTTTGTGTTTCATGATCATGAGTTGCACCACACCTATGAAACACGTTTACGTTCCCCTATGTCGTCTTTTCTGAGATGACTTTGATACTGAGTTCAGCTTGTTCATGCCTGACCAAAGCTTGGGAAGTAGAAGGGCTAGGAAAGTGACAACAGAATGCGGAAGTGGATGCTCGTCAGTCCCATATCAGCGTGGTTGTAATTATCTCCCTCAGTCTGGCGTCACTTTTCTTGGTGGATCATATATATATATTATAGATGTCCGCAGGCTCCAGGCTTCGGCAGCTTCAAGTACAATCAAAGCCGCTGCAGTGGCTGTCCCGGATGATATACGCGTCGTAGCTAGAGCATCGCGGAGACCGGGCTCTCTAGTCTAATATCCCACTGCATATCCACTAGCAGAGACTGCCTGTATAGCATCATGAACCGCTATGTCATGGTATAGGAGATGTTTGATCAACACATTAACAGCAGAGCACAAGCTGGCAAGATGAATATCGATCAAGATGCTAGAGCAACCTACCCACGCTATGCCTTTAAAGGCGGCCCGAGAATACCAACCAGGACGTGAGTAATACTTAACTGCGCTGGAAGTCTCATTCCTATATTCTCGAGTCCCTGTCAAGGTGTTCTGCCGCAAACCAGAACCGCGATAGCGCTACAGCAATTCCATAACCAACATTGCTTAGAAGCACTATGACCAGTATATCTGCCCAGAGGCTTAACACGGATACATGCGCGTCGGAGACCGCAAGCCCAAGATGGGAACATTGTTGTCGATGACAGAGAGTCTTAGACCTATACACGCTAGACACTTAGAGGGAGACTAAACTTCACTGAACAAATTACCTGTTTACCTTGACCCGGCACTTACTAGCATCAAGTCAATAAAATGCCTTTCGATTCAAAGATTGGGCCTAAAGAACAACCGGCCTAGTGGCTCTTCTACCAGTGTCCAGGTTCCTGCACATATCGCTCTGGAGTCAGACACATCACAGAGCATCCGAAAACGCTTGAATGTCTGATGGAGCACAGGACACCTTCGTCTACGCACCTCATTCAATGTAGGAAGAATCATTCTCGTCTAAAACTGTACCTAATACATCATAGGAGACACCACGCCCCTTAACACGTACATCAGCTTCGTGACGAATGTCAACATCAAACCCCCTCAAGCCGGTATCACGAAGAACGTCCTAGTTTACTGGGATCGTGGTGACCTTACCAGAGGCGATGAGGCTAAGATGGTGGAGATGGGTATCAACTTGTAAGATAGATGAGCCTGCTATGCTAGCCATTGCTGACATGAACTAGCGATCATTACTTTGCACACGTCCTTCTGCCTACTTCTCGTCTATATAGGCCGCCATTGATTCTGAGGAACCTGCATGTGCACATATCAGACGTCAGAATCAGAGGGAAGCTTTCTTGTCCTGTCTACATAGACCAATGCAGGATCGAGCGAGACGTCGAAGCGACTCTTGACATTATCAAACTGAGTTTGCAGGTCAGCGAGCTTGGCTGCGTCCTTGACACTGTCTAGCTGCTTGGATGTCGGGTATCTGGCTGGATTGGACGGTGCCTCGTCCTCAGCATACTCTTCATCTCCACCGAGGGCTGCCTGATTGCCGCCCTCACGGTAGTCGACCCGGGCGATCTTTCGACGGGGTCTGTCCTTCGATGTACGTGAACCATCCATCCTCTATGCAATCATCTCACAAATAGCTCATGCTCAAACCGTCATCGGCGTACCCAGGGTCATCTGCCTTCGTGACGTTCCCCAGTATCAAACCTGACTGAGCTGGAGAAAGAAAACACGTCCTCATATACTGGAGTTTCGATGTCCTTGGGAGTGGAGTTAGAAGAAAGATTAAAACATGCATGAGAAGACTCCTGGACAAGAAGACAGATACACCATGTAAGCAATCACTTGCTCGACATGGATCGACTGCCCTCACAAGTCCGCCATTCCCCTGTACGAGTAGGACTATGATTGCAACACGACATTCCGATCGACCATTCTAAGATCATGGCAAACGGACTTTTATGGCAAGAGAGCAAGTGTCCCGGAATTCGCACTCCATACACCATGCGGGCATATATTGAGTTAGAATTGGCAGAGTAAATGTGCTCAGTATTGTAGGGGTTTGATTCCAACACATACGCTGGGTCAACCATGAAATAAGGGTGCATAGCAGGCAAGTGCCTGAGGTCGACTACGTGAGCGATCCTTTCTTTTTGCACATTTTGCTTTAGCTTCACCTCCCCTTCACTTCTGCTTCACTTCTAGCTCTAGCGGCGACTGTTCCTGATTCACGGAGAGGTTCCTCAGACATCCAGGCTGCCGAATATGGGTGGGCTCCTCGCCTGGCTATATGGTAGTTCATTTGGCTGGTGAAGTCAGCGCACTGTCTCGTGAGGTCGCCGAGCTGTGGACCTTCTTCCCTCAGGCCCTGGACACGATGACAAAGCGCATGGAAATGCTGAAGAAGACCTCCTTGAGTCGTTGGTGGATGCCACTGGTCTAAGATCAGGGGCTCACCACAGTGATTCCATATATAACGAAAGCGCCATCAGATCTCGCTGTGGTCCGGTCCACAAGCGAAGGCTGCAGTGCTTATGCTCAGGCCCAGAGAGTGCTTGAGACATCTCTCGAGCTGGATATCGAGATTTACAAGCTCGCCCTTGTCACCGGGAAAGTCCTGGGATTCCAATCGACTGCAGCACCTGTTGGATACTATTGCAGGCCACAGAAAGGAGTATCAGAAGATCAAACCCCCATCCCGCAAGAAAGTAGCAACTCTTCCCCAAAAGCTTGAACAAAAAGACAACGTCACATCTGATAATGATACTACTGCCGTGCCCAGACAACAACAGTTGTAACTTTTCAGCTCCATGACAGTTCTATGAAGGAGAGCAACCAGAACGATAACGACGGCGAGGGTAGTAACACCAACTACGACTCTTACGAGTTCATTAGTGGTGGATCATTGATGCCCTTTGTTGAACGTGTCTTCTTTCCCTCTCCTTCTTTCCTTTGTTTGATCGGAATGTTGAATCGGTCCATTTCAGGCCACAGAGAGGGGCATGAAAGCACTGGAGGAATGAGTGTGACTGAGCCTAGGATCATGTCGCGCTGAGTTGATAATGTCATAGTTTTGACACGGGAGTTGTAACAAGAGAAAAAGGACAGCAGGAAGTCAGCCCCCAAGACTCGGGATTTGGCTTGATGGCTCCACATATCTTTCTAGGAATGGGGAGAGGCACAATACAGATACATGTTCTCATAGAGACATAACACACCACCCAAGTTTAGAAGGAATAAAATTCAACTCTTAGAAGGTTCATCCTATCAACTCCCCATCCCGTCTTTGCAACATCTCAATGATTCTCCTCAGCCTTGTACCCACTCTCACCAGGGCGATCGACAGCCTTGAACTGATCTTCCGTAACACCCTTACCCATAGCGGCGGTACTGGACACACCACCAGAGACCATCTTCAGGAGTTCATCGACATAGTTTGCTCCTGACCATTTCTGGTGCTTGAGGACTTCGACACCATTCTGTGATGTTGTTAGTACTAATCCGGAGAGAGAATGGGGTGAAGTGTTGCTTACCTCTTGCTCCTTGCTCTGAATAGTCTCACCATAAGCCCTCATACCACGAGCAGCATAATCTTTACTGAACGAATCAGAAATCAACGCAGTCTGATGCAAGCCAGCCAACGTGATAAACTGCCAACAGTATCCCAATTGAGCAAGCCTCTTGATATAAGTTTCTTGGTCAGAAGTGCTCATTGCAGTCTGCCAATTGAATGACGGACTGAGGTTGTAAGCAAGTTTCTGCTCAGGCCAAACGGCATGGACACCTGCAGCAAACTCTTGAGCTTGGGCAAAGTCGGGAAGCTTGGATTCCATCCAGATCATGTCACAGTAGGGTGCGTAGGCGATGGCGCGGTTGACGGCGCACTGACAGCCGCCGCGGTAGCGGTAGTAGCCTTCACGTGTGCGGGCGGCTTCCCAGTCGAAGTGGACGTCGACGCCGGTAAGGGCTTTGGCGATGGCGCGGGACTCTGCGTTGCTCTTGCCCTTGGCCTGTTCGGCGAATTGGGCAATCAATTCGGCTTTGTTGACGTGGACGCCGGCGTTGATGGTGTCGACCACGGCCTCGGAGAAGAGTTTGAGGTTGGCTTGTTCGGTCCACTTGTCTTCGATGGCTTGAAGCTCGTCGCCGAATTTGCCGGCTGCTTCGGCGGCGCCCATGAGTTCGCTGAGGGGTTGGAGGGCAGGGTTGGTGGCTCCAATGATGAAGGCGTGGTCGCGGGGGTCGATGGTCGAGGTGATCAGGGTAGCGGCTTCGGAGTCTGTACGGGCGACGGCGAGCAAATCACTGCCCATGATGTCTGCTTGGGCACGAATGGCCACAAGGCGGTTGATGTGTTCGCTGATGGGCACGAGGACTTTGCCGGCCATGTGACCGCACTTCTTTGTACCAGGAGCTTGATCTTCAATGTGGATACCGGCGGCACCTTTTTCGACAAAAAGTTTTGTAAGCTTCATGATTGCTGTGAGACCACCATGACCAGTGTCGGCATCGGCGACGATCGGGCGTAGGAAGTCGGTGTTGGCGAGGCTCTTGCGTTGCGAAGCGGGCGTAGAGAGTCTTTCGTGGCGTTGTTTGCGGTCATGGAACAGCTGAGCCATGAAGAGGTGTTGGACCTTGTCAGGGACAGTGGTGTATGGGTAGTCTGCAAGATCTGGTCCGGGCTCGTCGGTTGAGGAGGCGGTCGAGGAACTTTGCCAGCCCGAGACGTAGACGGTGTCGAGATACTTGGCCATCTGTGTGACCATGACGGGGTCAAGACAGCCGTAAGTGAAACTAGCATCTTTTTCCTGATGAGATGTGTTAGAATGGAAATCTCCTGGTTCCTAAGAAGCTGGACTTACGGCAAATCTCTTCTCGACGATGTTCCATAACTTTTTCGATAGGACGTTTCCAGGGTGTTGAATTGTCAAGTTTCCACGCTTGTTTGCAATTTGCTCAGCGGTAAAAGGACGCTTGGTGTATCTCCAGCGGGGCTCACTCCACCATTGCTTGATGGCGGCAACCTCGTCCTGGAACTGCTGCTCCTCTGCATCGAGACCAGAAGAAGACATGGTTGGAAGAATCTCCTTGACGTGGCCCAAGATACTCTTGAGTCTTTCTGCCAGCTTGGCGGTAATGTGATGTGTTGGAGTAGATTGACAATCGAATGACAAGGGATGTTTCTTCTTGTGTAAGACCAGGAACTTGAGATGGAACGGGGGTACAAAAAATATTGGATGAGCCACAAAGGCGGGGGGAACAAGAGCTCATATATACCTCTTACAAAGACTCGAGAGCTTCAGATGACTTACCGGTACTCGATGAGAGCAGAGAGCGTCACAGGCCAATGAGAAACATGGCCGGGGCCAATCGGATCAGTGGCTACAATGCTGAACTCAGGACTTCACAGCAGAAGATGATGACTTGGACCTCGGCGACAGCTCCTTACCTGCGCTTTTGGCCATGACGAGAGGCCGAGCGGTTGTGACTCGACGTTGACTCCCTTCATCCGAGGCTTCGATGAAAGTCAGAATGACAAAGCCAAGCATCTGGGGAAAGCACATGAAAGTCGGCGATCTGGGGAACATGATGCCGAACGTTGTCCGAGACACCAACGATCGACTTGCCACATTTTGTCAGACGGAACTTGCGAGTTTGCGCTGGGTTACTAGGCATTGTCATGAGATTGAGTAGGATCACACTCTGGGCAGTTCTTACAACTCGCGACCGATGTAGAAGGTTGTGTCGCAGAATGATGGTGAAGATGGACGTTCTGTTGGCAGAGTCGACGTTGTGTAGGCAGACCTTGGTGGCAGCACGTTCACGGCCGAGGCTGTTCCTGACTCCAACGTCTGGTGCTCGAACAAGTACCGGAACTGTCCTGTGCTCGTGTACCTGTTTGACTCACCACGAGTTCTTTCCGGATCATGCTCGGCCTTCATCAAATGTTGCCGGTTCAGGTAATTGGTGATCGTATCGGGAACGAAAAGTATGAGTCGTTAAGCATCGGTATATACAAGCAATCAATGCCGAGCGAATCTAGATCTTGGAGGTTCTCGTGCCAGCCTTAAGGCTGCCCTCGCCAGCGAGGTTCTCGGAGATGAAACGCACAGCCTCGACCTTCATCTTTGCGCTGTACTCATGACCTGCCGTCTCGTCGATTATGTCTTCCAGCACGATATTCTGATCGTTGAACCAACCGTCCCTCTTGTCGAGACCGCTCTTCATCCAGTCTAGGAAGGGTGCACTACAAGTATATGGCACAAGCTTGTCCTTTCCGCCAGAAAGACACAAGATGTGCTTGCCTCCCAACTTTTCCTTGATCAAAGGTTGCAATGTCTTCTTTTGTTCTTCGGTGGGGTTCAGCTTGTCACCTACCAGGAAAGACTTTGGATCCCACTTGTCAGTGGCCTGGCAGAGGCCATTCGGATAGTCTGTCGAACCAAGGAAGTCTTTGCCCTCCGAAGCTGTCCACGTAGAGAGTTTTGACTTCCTTGCACGATCAGTCATGAGGAACTTGTAGTCTGGGCAGCCGATGACGACAACGGCAGTAGTGATGCGAGGGTCGTGCAGGATGCATTGCCATGTTGAGTGGCCGCCGAGCGAGATGCCCAACACGAGATGCTTGGTGATGGTCCTCGAGGAGTCTGGGAAGATGTAGGAGGAGAGGAAGTCAATCAGCATCGACGTGTCTTGGGCTGTGCCGTCTGTTCATATCGAAGTCAGATCGCGTTGCAGAAGATCAGGAGATTGTGGAACGAACGAAAGATGGAGAACATGTCCTGGGCATGTGTCGGATTGCCCTGTTTCCAGCTCTCATTTGCCAATGGGGTGGCCTCTCGCGTACCATGATTACGCTGGTCAAATGAGACGGCAATCAGGCCTTTGGACTTGGATGCGGATCGGCCATTCCAATCACGAATTGAAGCTGCAGCTACTGGCGCCATGATTGACTGCACTTGGAGTCGAGGGTGAAGTAGCCATAGTACTGCGACTTCCTTTGCTGACGATGCAAGTTCGTCGAGTCCGTAGACGGTTGTGAGCACGCCAGCAATTGTGTACGTCTTGGACGAGACCGGCGCGGCGTCAGACGCCTGGTCTGCTAGGGGGTTGGGGGTTGCCATCTTGTGTAATTGTTGACAGGAGGTATCTTGAGGAAAGAACGACCTTGTCTTGTTCACCTGAATATCGAAGAGTCGCTGCTGCTGCTGCCGCGGTAAATTCGGGCGGGGATAATCTCGTCTAACCCCGCGACAGCACCAGCGTCATGTCGGCGCACGGCCGCGTTCGCCGGGAAGAACGAGCTGGAGCTGTTGCGTTTCTAATTGCTTGCCGTCATACAGATCCGTCCATCCTCGCGCCATGCCGCCCATAGCAGGGCCCGTCCCTATTCAGCCGGCGGAAGAAAGTCACGTACACGGCTACACTTCACATGCCAGTCTCGCCAATTCGACCGAGCGTGTAGCAAAGACGTGACGGCAATGACACAGATGGCCTCGTTATCAGCCGGCATCGGCCTGCTTTGGATTTCTGCGGGGTTGGCGTGCGATGACTGGTGAATTATTTGAACACAAGAGAGGAGTTCCTTCTTCACAAGCTGCACCTTCCCTTTTCCCGAGGTATCTTTTTGCTTTCCTGCCTTTTCCGTATCAGCGACCATGAGCGCCTCTTTCCGTCCTGCTGCTACCCGTAGCATCTTCCAACTCTCCTCCAACGCTGCTGTGCGACCTCAATTCATCTCCAGACCCGCTTTTGCTGCAATTGAGCAGAGACGAAGGATGGCTGCATTCAACAAGATCAAGGTCAAGAACCCCGTCGTCGAGCTTGACGGCGACGAGATGACCCGTATCATCTGGCAAGACATCAAGGACAAGTTCATTCACCCTTACCTCGACATCGACCTCAAGTACTACGATCTCGGTCTCCCCTACAGAGATGAGACTAATGACCAGGTCACTATCGATGCCGCCGAGGCCATCAAGAAGTACTCGGTCGGTGTCAAGTGCGCCACCATCACTCCTGACGAGGCTCGCGTCAAGGAATTCAACCTGAAGAAGAGTGAGTATTTGTATGAGCGAACGTGTAAGAATAGCATGAGTCTGACACTTCCTCAGTGTGGCTGTCTCCCAACGGCACCATCAGAAACGCTCTCGGTGGAACCGTCTTCCGTGAGCCCATTGTCATTCCTCGTATTCCTCGTCTCGTACCCGGCTGGAAGAAGCCCATCATTATCGGCCGTCACGCTTTCGGTGACCAGTACCGCGCCAAGGATCTTGTGATCAAAGGCGAGGGTACCCTCAAGATGGTCTTCACACCCAAGGGCGGCGAGCCCGAGGAGATTGAGGTCTTCAACTTCCAGAAGCACCACGAGGGAGGTGTCGCCCAGACTCAGTACAACACTGCCGAGAGTATCTCTGGTTTCGCACACGCCAGTTTCAAGCTCGCCATCGATAAGAAGCTGCCTCTGTACATGAGCACAAAGAACACCATTCTTAAGAAGTACGATGGAAGATTCAAGGACATTTTCGAGGAGATTTACCAGAAGGAGTACAAGTCCGAGTTCGAGAAGGCCGGTATCTGGTACGAGCACCGTCTGATCGACGACATGGTCGCCCAGATGATTAAGAGCGAGGGTGGCTACATCATGGCTTTGAAGAGTGAGTTGTCGCATCGTGGTTCTCGGTAAGCACAAAACTAACAACAAGCAGACTACGACGGTGATGTCCAGTCCGATATTGTCGCTCAAGGCTTTGGCAGTCTGGGTTTGATGACTTCGGTCCTCATCACCCCCGATGGCAAGACTTTCGAATCTGAGGCCGCTCACGGTACCGTCACTCGTCACTTCCGCGAGCACCAGAAGGGTAACGCCACATCGACCAACCCCATCGCTTCCATCTTCGCCTGGACCCGGGGTCTTGCCAAGCGTGGTGAGCTCGACAACACTCCCGAGGTTGTCAAGTTCGCCGAGTCGCTGGAGGAGGCCTGTGTTCACGTCGTCAACGAGCAAGGTATCATGACCAAGGATCTTGCTCTTGCCTGCGGAAAGAAGGGCAAGGACGACTATGTCACCACCGGAGCATACCTCGACGCTGTTGAGAAGCGTATGAAGACTGTGCTGCAGGCCAAGCTGTAGATATAATTTGCATTTTTGCGTTTATGAAGATTCGATAGAGATACCAGGATATGGAACGATCATTGTTTGCCATGTACGAACCCTCTTTCTACGCCCGAGACACATTCACAGATGTGATTGGCAAGGAACCGAAAACAAGGCGGAAAGATTTGTACGACAAGCGAGCATGCGACCTCAACTTATTGGCCCGACGAGCAGCATGATGCGGGGTACAGGATCAATGAACAGGTATAGCTGAGCCGTGTAGAGAAGTAGCCTACAGAAACAGGTGCTTATATAGTCCTGCACAACCCTGACTGCATGTGCGCAAACCCTCTATCGAGATGTCAAAATTGAAACCCTACCGTACCTTGTCGTCGCAACGCCGAAGCCTGCAAACATGTCTACTCCGGACGCCTACAATCATCTTAGTGTGTCCTGTGTTGCTTTACAGCCATGGCCTCGACGCACTTGTCAGAGAGTGGTGCACAAGGCACAGCAAACTAATTTGCAGACACAGAAAGTCCGAGATAGAAAAATAGCGGAGCCGAAAAGAAAAGCAAACCACAAAGCAGGGTCATGCGACAGAGCAGCGGTGTGGATACCGTTGGATTATGTGCAGAAGGGACAAAGATTTTCGTTGATGGTCCTGTCAGCCAAGCCACCTTTGGCCTCGAGGTCATCTTGCCGTAAGCATACAGAAAGTTCAGCTGAAGAAGAATCGCTCTCAATCGACGTCTTTCTTCTGTCGTTTGATCAGAGAGTCAGAGTGGCAGCAGCTTTGACCAGGTGAGGCTCGAGAAATCGAGCACAGAAAAAGGTGAGTGACGTCGTGGTGGCAGCTTCCCCAGACACTGAGTTTCAGTGCGTCAAGAGCGTTGACTCCGGCGGTCACGTCAAGGCTTCCTGCTTGTTCCTGCTCGGAAAGCGCTGAGCTGAAAGATCTACGTCTATCCATACGTATCCAGGTGGGTACCATCCTAGTTCAAGCCTTTTTCCATTCACTGTAGCCGTTTGCGCCTGCCTCTACTCATCATCTTACATCTCAATTCTTCTTCCTCACACCCATCACAGACTCGGCTGAGCTGACTTGCCTCGACCCTTAGTCACAGCCCTATCTGATAACATCTCACCCTGCATCTGCCCCTCGACAGCTGCATATTTCTACCTGCAAGCCATCACTTCCTTCGCCCCAACATCAACAACCGATCGACCCTTCAGTCCTGCATCCATGAGCTCGACACCTGCCCACGGCGGTGACAAGCCGCCAGCCGCCAGTAACGGCAATGGCACTGCTGATGCATCCACCAGACAGCGCGTTGGCTCGCTCGCCGCCGTCAATGCCCAGTCTCTGGCCGACTATAGCTTGACGGCCCCGACTGTCAACAAGGCTGCCCCCGCCGATGCCTCATCGCAGTCCAAGCAGCTGCCCATCCATCCTACGCGCAAGTCTTCGGGCGCTGCCACAGATCTCGACCCTTACTCGGCTTCGCACATCTACTACGGCGCCTCGCACAACAAGAGAAATGTCGCCAAAGCCCGCACCTACTCGGCTGTGAGTGCTCCACACGTACACTGCATGACTTGACACAGCTGACAATGTCTGATCGCAGGTCGACCCCGGCATCCGCGCAACCATTGCTCAGCAGATGGAAAACCAGACCCAGCGCCGCTTGAGTCACGGCAAGTCTCAATGAGCTACCGCGGCAGGTCATGCACCGTACTGACAGTGACAACCAGACGAACAAGGAGAACAGCCCCGCCGCTACCTCATCAACGTCTCGGACACGCTCGAAGCTCTACTGCACCGTGAAGATTCGGACAACAACCAGCAGATCACCGTCGAGGATGTCGGTCCCAAGACAATCCAATTGGGTACCGCTGGATCAGGAGGTTACAAGTCTTTTGACATCCGCGGCACGTACATGCTTTCCAACCTGCTGCAAGAGCTCACCTTGGCCAAGGAGCACGGTCGTAAGCAGATTGTCTTGGACGAGGCTCGTCTCTCAGAGAACCCCGTCAGTCGTTTGTCTCGCCTTATCAAGGACTTCTTCTGGCCCAACTTGACTCGCCGCATCGACGGCTCCAACATTGCTCAAGTCGGAAAGGACGCCAAAGACTGGACCGACAACCCTCGCCCTCGCATCTACGTCCCTCGTGGCGCTCCTGAGCAGCACCAATACTACAGCCGCATTGCCCGCGAACATCCTGATATGAACTTGGACGTCGTCTGGCTTGCCCAGCACCCCGACAACGACGAGTACGTCCGTGACTTGAACGAAGCTCCCGGTCTTCTTGCTCTCGAGATGGAGAGAGTTGCAGACACCCCTGCAGGGGAGCCGGACTTCAAGGGTCTACCCTTCATTGTTCCCGGTGGTCGCTTCAACGAGCTTTACGGCTGGGACAGTTACATGACCGCCCTTGGTCTTCTTATCCACGATCGCGAAGATCTTGCCAAAAACATGGTCAAGCACTTCTGCTTCGAGATCAAGCACTACGGCAAGATCCTCAACGCAAACAGATCTTACTACCTTTGCCGTACTCAGCCTCCTTTCCTGACCGACATGGCTCTCCGTGTCTATGACCGCATCAAGGACCAGCCTGACGCTCGTGAGTTCCTCAAGATCTCCGTTCTTGCTGCCATCAAGGAGTACCACAGTGTCTGGACCGCCGCCCCTCGCTACGACCCCAAGACCGGTCTCTCATGCTACAGACCTGGCGGTATCGGTGTTCCGCCAGAGACTGAAGCCACTCACTTCGTCCACGTGCTCGAGCCTTACTGCAAGAAGCACAACATGGAGTTCAAGGAGTTCGTCCACGCTTACAACTATGGCCACATTTATGAGCCTGAGCTCGACCAGTACTTCCTCCACGATCGCGCTGTCCGTGAGTCTGGTCACGACACTTCTTACCGTCTCGAGGGCATGGCAGCCGACCTCGCCACGGTCGATCTCAACTCCCTTCTCTACAAGTACGAGACCGATATTGCTCGCACTATTCGCAACCACTTTGGAGACAGCCTTGCTGTTCCCGCCGAGTTCTGTGTTGGTGATCAGAAGCCTGGTCACGTCGAGACGTCAGCAACCTGGGACCGCCGTGCCAAGCGTCGCAAGCAGACCATGGACAAGCTCATGTGGGACGAAGAGAAGGGCATGTTCTTCGACTACAACATTGTCAAGAATGAGCACACTGGATACGAGTCGGCCACAACCTTCTGGGCCATGTGGGCTGGTGCCTGCACCCCTCGTCAAGCTGGTCTCCTGGTCGAGAAGGCTCTTCCTCTCTTCGAGGAGCTTGGTGGTCTTGCCGCAGGAACTGAGAGATCTCGTGGTGATGTTGGTCTCAGCCGTCCCAACCGTCAATGGGATTACCCCTTCGGTTGGGCGCCTCAGCAGATCCTTGCCTGGACTGGTCTGGTAAGATTTGGTTATGAAGACGAGGCCAAGAGATTGGCTTACCGCTGGGTGTACATGGTCACAAAAGCTTTCGTCGACTTCAACGGTGTCGTCGTCGAGAAGTACGATGTCTGCCACCCTCAGCATCCTCACAAGGTTGCTGCTGAGTACGGTAACCAGGGCAGTGACTTCAAGGGTGTTGCCAAGGAAGGGTGAGTCCAAAGTTTCTCGAGTTTCACGAGGATCACCACTAACAATTGACAGATTCGGATGGGTCAACGCCAGTTACGTCTACGGTGTTGCTCTCCTCGATGCTCACATGCGCCGTGCAGTCGGTGCCCTGACTCCCTGGGAGACTTACCAGAAGGCCACTTCGCACTGATCGTCTTGAAGACAAACAATGTCACATTCACGAATGCCCGACCAGCCACGATTGATGAAAAAGAGATGTAGTCATATTCGGAGCGAAAGAGAAGCCACACCAACAGGAAGAGGAAGTGGGCGTGCATACACATCCAAGACTTGAGAAGATGCTTGGATCTCTATACATACGAGAATGAAGACCTGCAAGGGGGCTCCTGGGTATCATTGAGCAGTTTTGATGCGGCAGGGTATGCATAGACGACATTCGATGGACTGAATACCTATATACCTGGAATGAAGTTACTCCATATTCGACTCGGCCCATCCAACCAATGAAACCATAACCAATCTACCATGTTCGCTTGCTTTACCTTTCCTTCGGCCTAACGTTTTGGTATCGTTGTTCCACCTTCTGAGTCTCCAAGTGTAGGCTCGTTTCTTAACAAAACAGTGATTGAATGGCGCATGATGATCTCCCTCACGAGAGCTGTAACAAACCGAGCACAACTGTGCTCAATCGACAGTGAAATACCAAAACACTCCTTTCAGCTCTCATGAACCATCAAACCATGTGTAGTGGTGTTGAGAGTTGGTCGACAATGATTTTTTCTTACGTTTTGGGTAGCACCCTGGCTATACCGGACCCTGAACTCAAGTCGTGCCGTCATTGCCGTGCAGAGCGGAATCTGTACCGCAAATATTGTCGTCTACCTTGCGTGAGATTACAGGAACGACAAGTCTATCACAGCTACTTTGGAAACCGATAGCATGGTTCGTGAGTGAATACAAGGTCTGATCATAGAAGTACTTCAATGCTCGTCATCACAAGGGAACGAGTCATCAAGCGACGGGAGCATATCCGTACGAGTACTTGTCAATCAAAGGGAGCGTTTACGAGGCGGATGTGGGGCCGTATTTGGCCGCATCTCGGGCAACCTGCGTGGGTGTGGTTTGTTCAAAAGTTTCCCGATGACTGGTTTGAGATTTTTGCTTCTTCAATCTACGCTCTTTATTCTATCTCTTTGACTCGTCTGCTGGGCGTGTTGGTCTACTAAAGATTCTCCGGGTTCGTCAAATTACTGGACTTGCTGGACTTGCGCAATTGAACGAGAGCGAAACTGGACGTCTCACGACTTTGCGACACGGGTAAACGCCGACATCGCGATACAAGGACCGGACTTCTTCCCACGAAGGTGCCATCATTGTGAGGAGTTACAGGCAAACTAGCTGGGTATACTGGACCGGCACTGAGGGGTAACGACCCGAGGGTTGGATTCAAAAATCAATTGCGATCAAAGAAAGAGCAAGGACCCACAACAAAGAGGCAGGATACAACACACCGTCACGATGGTCGAAGAAGAAGAACACCCCTCGCCACAGGTATCCAAACCCTCGACGAATACCGACTCCGACTCGATCCACTCGACCCAATCCATCCGCAACGAGCAAAGCACCAACCGCCTGCAGCTCGTCCGCAGCTATGCATCCGGCTACTCAGGCTACGGCCCCGAAACTACCGCCTACGCAGACATAAACCTCAGACACACCACCACAGGCGCAACAATAGGCTCAGTCGCAACCAACGATCCAAATTTTGAAATCGACTGGACCGACGACAATGATCCTGAAAACCCGAGGAATTGGAGCATGGCATACAAAGCTTTTGTGGTGTTTGTGATGAGTTATGCGACGACTGTTACGGTCTTGTATTCGACGAGCTATACGGTGACAGTGGGGAAGCTGGAAAAGGTGTTTGATGTCGGGCATCTCACTGCTTTGCTAGGCCTCACTACCTATCTTATCGGCATGGCTGCTGGTTCCACTGTGCTTGCGCCTTTGTCGGAAATGTATGGACGCCGCCCTGTCTACATTTTCTCGACCGCCATGTTTGTCATTCTCATATTGCCTTGCGCGTTGGCGAAGAATATCGAAGCTTTGCTAATACCGAGATTCTTTGGTGCATTTGCGGCGGCGAGTTTGGTGTCTAATGCGCCTGGGTCAATCAATGATATAGTGGTGGAGGAGTATAGGGCTTTGGCATTCAGTATTTGGGCTATTGGGCCATTGAACGGGCCCGTTGTTGGTCCTATCATTGGAGGGTTCACGTTTGAGTATTTGGGATGGCGGTGGTGAGTTGCTTCCTCTTTCCCCTGCTCCTTGCCTCATCCCAAAAGCAAAATTTACTGACGCGAGATTCGACAGGACTAATTGGCTGGTCATGATTCTGGCTGGCGTTGCATTTGCTTTTGTGGCGATTGTTAAGGAGACATATGGACCTACGATTTTGAGAAAGAGAGCTGCAAAGATGAGGAAAGAGACAGGAGATCCGAGATGGTGGAGTCGATTTGACGAGAAAAAGGCGTTTTTGCCATTGCTCAAGGTTAATCTGAGCAGGCCGTTTGTGTTGATGGTTACGGAGCCAATCTGGTAAGTTCTTCTTTTTCCTTCTCAGCACTCCACGCATCGGTCATGAAGAGAAGCGAACAACTCACTAACCCCATGATTCCAGTCTTTTCTGGGACGTCTATGTGGCAATCGTCTACGGTACCCTCTACCTCTCCTTCGTCGCCTACCCAATAGTCTTCCAACAACAACGCGGCTGGTCCCCGGGTATCGGCGGTCTCGCCTTCTGCGGCATCGGAATCGGCAATCTGCTCACTATCGTCCTCGAGCCCGTGTGCCGCAAACTCATCAACTCGCACAAGAAAGATCCTGAAACGGGCGACATTCCTCCTGAAGCCATGGTATCGGTTATCTGTATCGCAGCTGTGAGCTTAGCTACTGGAGAACTGTGGTTCGCATGGACTTGCACGCCGAATGTGCATTGGATTGTTCCCATCATCGCTGGTATACCATTCGGTGCAGGCAACGCGGGAGTCTTTGTCTACAGCAGCAACTACCTGGTTCACTCCTACGAACTCTACGCCGCCTCCGCACTAGCCGGCAACGCCGTCCTGCGCTCCATCATGGGCGCCGTACTCCCCCTCGCCGGCCCCGCAATGTATGCCTCCCTCGGCAGCAATTGGGCTGGCTGCACGTTGGGTCTGGTGGAAATGGCTTGTGTGCCTATCCCGGTGGTGTTTTATCTGTACGGTAAGAAGATCAGGGCTAAGAGTGCGTTGATCAAGGCTATGCAGGAGGATAAGAGACGCGCGGATGAGAAGAAGGCGAGGTATTTGAGGAGGGCGGAGAAGGATGCTGTGCAAAGAGGGGATGCGGAGGCTAGTGTTGGTGGAGTGGGGAAGACAGGAGCGGCGGTTGCTGAGGAGAGAGATATTGAAAAGGGGGCTTGAAAGAGATAAAGTCCCAGCGAGACAAAGATATGAAAGTCATATAAAGATAGTTGTCATAATATCATGACAAGATCTTCCAAGTTTTTGAAACCATGGCAGCGTCGTGTTGGAGAGCCTACCCAAAACACAACCACCGCACATCAAATGACACAAAAGGAAGACCTTCACGTTCGGATTCTGAGCCTTTGGCCACTTATCAACTGTACATCACCTCAGTCCTACGATTTTCTTGCTAAGAGTATTGTTCACCATGATCCAGGTACTCCCGCCATTGATCTGGTCTTGGAAACATAATGTCGCTCGGGGGGTGAACATAGATTCTACCTTCAAGCTCACAAGTCTGATGCGTGGACACATTGAATATGGCCGCATCTTGTTGTCTCAGGTCGCTACTATTCCTACACATGAGCACGTTCAAGATATTCTGGGGCGCAGGAATGATGTCTATATTATACCTATCGATGCTCCTACATCGATCTATCTATCCTCGCTCGACAGCCTTTCCAAGCTTCCATTCATCTCTATCTGCAACAAGTGCTTTGGTCTGACACAAAACCAGTCTGCTCCTTGTATTTCCATCTCTCCCCATATCAGAAAAAAGCCCCTCTACTTTTCAAGATTGATTTCTGAATCTTCTGTATATCTGGCTTGTCCAACATATCCTAGATCCTGAACACCTCCTCCTCTGTAGGCTCAAAAGCCGATCCTGACATGATGCGGGTATCGTTGTGGCTTATCTGATCTACATCGAATATTCATGCTTCTTCTGCATACGAGTCTGCACGTTGGAAAGAATCATACTACCATCAGCTCTACGGGGGCGCCGTTTATATTCATGATTAGCATGAGGGCAAAGCGTAACCGGCACAAGATGACGTCTAGGATGTGTGGGAACTGGCGCTCCAAATGAGGACTCTGGAGTGCCTGGAACTTGACGTTTGATCCACCAAGCCATGTTTGCCGAGTAAATGACTTCGCTATCGACAGAAATCATCAGAGATTGATGGTGGTCCGGTTTGAAACTCAGGAATAGTCCAGTGCAGAATTCGCGTCTTTGCGTGGTGTTGGGTCCGCCTCGAAAGTTCCAGCGAGGGTATGTTCTGCTTTCTACATCGTCAATTTTCATGCGATCGGCCTGAGCATCTTGGCGGGGATGCTCGTCGAATTTCTCCCAGATGATGGCGTGCTTGTTTCCAATGTTGAGTGCTTTTTCACCTGCTGATTCGTTGATGAACATGGACAAGACACTCGAGAAACCGATCTCTGTAGTATCGCCCTCGCTAAATGAAATTTAGTGATGGTCTTATAGATTTCACTAGATACTACTCACAAGTTCAGACCGATGAAACAGAAGTCATCTCTCAGTGAACGCTTTCCGCCATCCATGTTGTTCAGCTCTTGGATTCTAGCCAGGACTATCGCAACGAAGATACGAAGGGTAAGCTCGCTATCGCCGGCGGCGTTGTGTATCATCGCGCCCGAGAGACTTGCACGCTCTGCCTCTGTCTTGCGAACGTCGAGATTCTTCTGTGTGACCTTGTCGATATTGATCCTTTCGGCAGCCGGTCCAAGACCTGTTGAGCTGTGCATTAGCTTCGAGATCAGAACACCCGTCGAGCTTCATCCTACTTACCGTAATTCTCATTCGGCTTGCCATCCTTGGGATAGCGTTTGTGAAACCACTGTTGAACGTCAAGTACATGCGCAAAACAAGCATTGCTGCCCCAAGTCAGCAAGACCGGCACCTTCGCTTCTCTCAAGCATATCTTACGAATCAATTCCCATGTTCTTCATCTTTTGCTCATCGCCTCTCCCGAGGTCGCCACGGTCCCAGTAGATTAGAACATTTTTCATCTGTCCTGGCAGAATGGCGGGTTTGACGTTAGGATCAGTGATGAATTTGATGAAATCGTCGAGGGGAGTGGTGTCCTTTTTGGGGGCATCGTGGCCCCAGTCCATTGCATCTTTCTTTTCGTTGCCTGTGGCCGCCATGATGGTTAGTTGATGGTAAGCCCTAGTGCGATCGAGATCTATGCAGAATAAATATTGTGCGAGGTCTTCTATCTACCTTCTGTCTTTCGGTAGCTATACATTTCCTTCTTTCAGTCTCATACTATTTTCATCTGAATCCATATCGCTGCCGGATACGGAAGTGTCCAGATGTGGCGTGATGCGATGGAAGTTCCTTTGTCTGAAAATTGCAAGAGGATTGGAGGAGAAGACTTGACAATGCAAACCGAATGAAGAACAAAGAGGGAGGAAAGGTTCGCCGAATGTTGGAAGCTGCAGCAAAGCCTGAGCTGCCATCTATAACAGCCATCAGGCAGTAGAGCAAATGAGCTACACTACCATTAGATGACTTGTGCAACGCGAATTTCATCTCCTGAATGCAACATCAAAAAGTCTCACGAAGTTTGGAACACGATAGAAGGAAACAAAGCATTGAAATTGCTAGCTAGGGTTGGCTGCATGTTAAGTCTGCAAAGAGGCAGTGCAGTAGCGCCTCCAACGTGGAAGCAGCAACGTTGAAGAGAGAATAGGACGGATGCAGTAGAGAAAAAGACGCCTCTCGCTGCCTCGCATCCCCGAAGTGTGACTATGCCAACTCGTGCATACATGTCTTGTATGCGCCATCGTTAGAGCTGGAAAAGAAAGATGCAGTAAGGACTGAGAATCGAAACCAGCGCGTATCCAGTCGACGAGTTTCTCAAGCACGCTTGGCGAGATGCAATTGATAACTGACCAGATGTTTGACTTGGGTTTCTATGGTCCTTAGTCGGATTGGCCGGAGTTGAAGAGGACGTTGTGATGCTCGTAAGGACGGTTTCACTGGTTGTTCAGATGGTTGAAAGTCTCTAGATCCGTATCGTACTCAGCTTCGACGGAGACAGTGGTTACATGCTGTACTCCTCTTCTTCCTCTGGTGCGCGCATTGGGCGATTGCTTGGGATCTCGTGGTGAGTATGATTGCACGCACGGAAGGGTAAAAGAGCGGGTGCTGTGCCTGTGGGATACTCGACTTTTGCTGCAACTCTTGAGTATCCCGGAATTTGATGGATGATCCACCAAGCCCGATGCTTTAGGTAAACGATCTCCGTGTCGACCGAGATATCAAAAACCTTGTGGAGAGAGTTGTATCTTGTGAAGTAGCAGAATTTCTCCTTCTCTGTAGAGTTTGGGCCCCCCTGGAAGTTCCAGCGAGGGTAAGTTGCTCTGGCATCCTGGTCAATGTCCATCTTGCCAGCTTGAGCTTTGCGGGAAATGTGATTGTTGAACGATTCCCAGACGATGGCATGGCGATTTACGATGCTGGTCAGGTAATCTCCGCTAGCAGAGACGCAGCTGGACAGCAGGCTTGAGAGTCCACTTTCTGTGGTACCCTGACCAGTTTTTCCTCCTCCTTCACTGCATCACAGTCAGTAACGAGCGCATGGATCGAGTGAGGTACAGGGATGAACTCACAAGTCCAGGCCCACGAAGCAAAAGTCGTCTCTCAGCTTCCGCTCTCCCTCATCTTCGTCATTGAGGTCCTTGATCTTCAGCATGACCAGCTCCATGAACACGCGGAGTGTAATCTCGCTATCCCCACCTGCGCAGTGGATCATTGCTCCATAGACATAGGGTCGTGCAATCTCCTCGACGTTGTCCAGTTCTCTCTGGTTGATCGTGGCGATCTTCAAAGTCTCAGCCGCCTCGCGGAGATCTGTCAAATACTGTATCAGCTCATAGACCTTTTCGTGTAAGGGTAATCTGCTCACTGTGCTTCTCGTTACCGCTGGCGCCTTTGGGCCAAAGCAGCTGGCACCATTCTTGTATATCGAGCACATGCGCGAAGTATTTGTTCCTTCCCAGTGTTAGCGGTAGCTAGTACAGAGACTTGCTTGACTCACGAGTCAATCTTCATCTCCAACATCTTAGCCTCATCTCCGGTCTCGATGTTTCCGCGATTCCAGTGGATAAGTACGCTCTTGGTTTCTCCGTCTTTTCCAGGGTTCACGTCGAGGTCAGTGATGAACTTGATGAAGTCATTCAGAGGTGTTGTGTCTTTGCCTGGAGCGTCATAGCCCCAGGGGAGAAGGAGCTTTGGGTCAGGGCCCTTGTTGATCTTGGGGCGTCGAGGCGCCATGATAGTGGACGGGTGTGATGAGCGCGGTGTAACAGACGAGCGTGATGTAACAGATGAGCGTGATGTGCAAGTTGTAGAAAGCAAGCGTGATGTGAGCAAGGGCACGTCTTGGGGTAGATGCGGCTGTAAGGATGGATCTAGGTACGAAGTCGCTCTTCAAGTCAAGACAACAACAAAGCGAACTCACGTCACTTTCATCGGCCACAAGAGTCGGCGCGCTTGGCCAGTGCTTTTTCCGTCCGAGCGACGATGAGATTGTGCTCGTACATTGACAGTTTCTGCTCGACCATGGTTCCCCTTGATTCCATTGCTTTCTGGTGTCCGTACGGTCTATGAGCATATCTTATCCTTCTTGCAGCACTAACAACTGTTTCGACATGATCTACGGTCTATAAGGTGCCACGATAATACGCTCTTTTCCAACTGTATAGCTTCCATCACTGCTCCCATGCTGCGTTGCTACAATACCCCCTGAGTCTGTCACTGGTCATCTTTGTCTGAGGGACCTGACCTAGGACAGCACATCGACCTGCTCACATGCAGTAAGGTCATGATCGAGACAGTGCATAGTCCACTCCTCGTAAGGTCTGAACGATCGATGGCCATCATACTTCACCAGTCTGGCCCAGTTGGCGATGTATCCAAGGTTGATGGCCAGTTTGCTGAACAAGCGTCGCACAAGCATGGACGTCGACAACGCCAAACCTTCGTATACATGCAGAAATTAGTCAAAACAGACGGTGCTGGGACTGCTGTAATCTGTTCGTGCTGCCAGATATGGCTTTAGAGCGAAGTTGCTGAGCCTGCCCTTGATGGCATCGGGTCGGGGATCTTGAAAGGGTTCGACGAGCGCTGGCTGCAAGATGGCAGGTACAACCTCGATAACGGCTGTCTGCGCGGGGAGTGGACGCCGCCACCATTCTTCTCTTCTGGTGATATGCGAGTAGCTGCTGACTCTGATGATGTAGGTGACTCCTGAATCGACTTTGACGAGAGCATGCCTCACGAGATCGATCATAGCGCTCTGGACGAGCTTGCAAGTACTACAAGACTGATGGTCAGAGAATTCTGCACTACTGAATGGGGCTCAGCAGACGGGACACATTTACGTGGCTGAAAATCTCCTTCGCCTTGACCATATCTATGCGTCTTCTCTGGTGAGTTGTATGGAGATTGAGTGCTTTTGACTGTTGCTTTCGGGACCTTACATCGTGTTCCTTTTCTACAGAGTAGTGTGGCTTACAGCCCATGCATGGGATGCATGGGTGAGATGCCACTGTTTTTGATGATGAGGAAGAGTAAGGCAAAGGTGTACGATGCACTCCAGAAGCTCGCCCTGTGTGGTAACTTCTCATGGATAAGACATATCGTTTTAGGGCTTGACTTCACGTCCTTAGACACAACTTGGAGCACGTTGAGTTCAACCCTCTATTCTTCCTCACTTCGATTGCGATATCATCCATTCTTACGCCTCAGTAACACACATTTACTATTGTTATGTCTATCGGCACGAGTATTGACGGCTGTGGAAGGCACACACTTGTACGAGAGCAGGAACTTCGAGACTGTTAGACAAAGATATTCGAGGTTCTTTAAGAGAAACCAAAACATCCAGTCTGGGCACATTGTTTCTTGTTTTTTGCTTGATGGCTTTGTTCGTTATTGATCCAACCAGCGTTCTTGCCAGACTTGTGCAATTACCTTTGTCCATCGTCCCTGGCGGCATGCTTGTATCTTGTCATAAGATCATGGTAGAAATCTTCGCAAGCTGATCTGATAACTTTAGTAATATTCAGAGACTCGTATTCTACCAGAACGAAGAAGGGACGCAGAGCCATAGGAGATCTCATCCGCAAACTCGTATGCAGAGATTCTCCATGCCCACTCCGGCTCCCTGAACCACCTTTGGGCCTCCTAAGCAGTTCTGTTCCTACTTCTCTTCTCGGTTCTTGCAATTCTGGGTCCCATATGCACGCAGATGATCCTCGAAAGAATGCTCTTGCCCCTTCTTCTCGTCCATGATGCACAGATCAAATCGACGCTCATGTGACTGGCCGCTGTGTTGAAGGATTCTGCGGTGTGAGATCGAGTATAGAATGTTCTAGTCAAGTGACACAGAATGCTGTCAGCGTCTTTTGTGCATGCTTCGCGATGGCTGCAGTCGTTCTGCCCTTGAACGAAAACTAGTTCCAGCACGAAAGCTGACTCGTATACATTGTTCAATAGTGTAGCTGTAGTCTTAGCGATCCTTTACTCGGACAATCGAAGAGGTCTGTACAAATGCTGATGGTGATACGAACTGCTTGATTGAATTCATATTCTCAGACTGGAGCTACAGCAACAACTTTGTGCTCCAAACTCCTGAGATGGCCCTTGATCTTGACTCTGCTCCTCTTGGCCTCGAAGACGACCTCAGTCTGACTTTCAGTTCGACCTTGCTGACCTTGGGTCTTGCTGAGGTCATTCCTGGACGTGTCTTCGTGGCGCTGAAAGTCAAAATCGTGTTTCGTTTTTTTTCTGGAGCCGTGAGAGCAATTTGTGCTTCAATTGCCTATGGCAGTGTTCCACATTGTTGAAGAAGCGCCGAGCGTTCAGTCTGGTGCCTCTTCTGAGATCGCAGCGAAGTCGGGAACATGTACCTCACAAACGTGATCAGACGTTGCGAAGTGACTTCCAACATACCACACCTTCGCATTAGCGCGCAGCGTTGAACGTGACGCCCAAGTGCGAACCGCAGCAAGGCACACCACGATTCACCGTGCAGACCTGAGGGAATGTGCTCTCTCTCTCTCAAAGTACGATAGCTTGCTGGTCTTGAGCTTCAATTTTCTTGAGCAGCTTGACAAGCTCATCTGCCTTGCTGTCCAAGTCGCTGGTAACCGACGCTTGAAGACTTTAAGAGTTGATGGGACAAGACACTCCTCTTATAACTCATGGCTGGATGGATCTGCGAATCAAACTCCAGGGAGGTTCTGACGAGCTGCAGTACAATACTCACATATGCCGTGACTACACTTCGCTGAGCGATGAGGGTCTCAAGTGGCGATTGATGATGAATGTTACAGTTTTCGTCTTCCTGGTAAGGCTTCTTGAGGAACAGAAAGAGGCAGCGATCGCCACGAAGAAAGCAGACGCTCTGATTTCGCAAAGGAATAAAAGCATATCTATCACTCTGCCCGTTGCTTCCCCTTGTCCTTGGCTGCATTTTCTGTAGCCGTAGTATAATGCTCCTCACTCAACTCCATAAGGTGGCTCGCATTATCCGCGTCTTTCTTGGCTTGAGTCCTCTCCTCTTGCTCATGCTCGGCAGCCGTAGCATAATGTTCATCGCTCGACTCCATCAAATGACCTTCGATCTTAACCTCTTTCTTCGGCTGGCCCTTGTTCTCATGCCCATTGACCACATTATCCTTGGGTTTCAATTGGCCCTTAACCTCTTTCTTGACCTCTTTCCAGCTTTTTCCTTTCTCCTTTGCTGTACTTTGATCATCGGCTTCTGGCCCTGAAGCATCCAAGCCTCGCCATTTGGCATAACCCCAAACCTCTGCGTCGGTAGCAAAGGATGTCGTACCTGACCGAGCCATATCACGAATATCGCTCCAATATTCCAAGCGTTTGACTTGTTCGTCTGCGGCGGCGATTGCGTTTTCCAGATTCGTGATCCTTTGCTGTTCCTGAGCGGATATCTCTTCGTTGTGTGCAGTGTGTTCATCCCGTAGCTTCTCGGCTGCGGTGAGCTTCTCGGAGAGCATTGTCAGAATATATCGACGAGAATTCTGGAATATGCATAGAGACATGATTGTTTCCATCTGAGAATTGTTAACTGCTGAGATGATGAGAAAGGAGGGGAAATACTTGCCTGTTCGCCTAGATAATGAAGATCTTCACCACCATTGTCGATGAAGTGGCGGACAAGCACAATCTTCTCACGATCAATGGCTGCTCTCTTCAAACTGTTGAGCAGAGAGCCAATATCTCGTACGTCCTCGGGATCTTCCAGATAGTGCTCTGCCTTTGCCAAGTTTTGCCTTGCTTCGCTGCTGAAGACGAAACTGCTAGATCTGCTGGGTGCCTTGGGAGGATGTATGGTGAAATACTCAGAGTTAAAAGTATGACCTTGCTGAGAAGGCTTTGGCGGTTGTTTCCGCACACGCTTTCGTAGCCATCTCCTTCGTCTCACCCAAGAGTAGCCCCAAGGATGTGTGCCATGCCATGCTGTGCCGTCGCTGAACCAGAACGAGTATTCCCAACCCTCTTCATCGACATCGCGAGACATATCGACGTACCAAGACTTCCAGGACCATTCCCAGCTAGGATCTGGAACTTGGGCATTTGTGATGTTAACCGGACTTGGCTTCTTATTACCATTCAGCCAGGGCTTGGGGTCGAAGTTGAGAAGCGTTTTCCCAGAAAAGTGAGGAACGCCAAAGAACCACCAGCCTCGTTGATTTTCGTAGAGGACATCGATGACAGCATCTTCTTCGAGAGCAAGCTTCATTTGTTTCCTTGCGCCTAGTAGACCTCGGACTTTGTTCTTTCCTCTTGCGACCTTGCCAGGAGTGACTGTGCCCGAGAGCTCATCGCCGGATCCGGGGTTGTCTGGGTCATCAGGACCTATGAATCTTCCTTCCCGGTAGTGACGGTATTTGCGCGAGGTCATGCGGTTCTGTACCGAGCCCTGGAGGGAATGTGCATGACCCGTCAAAGATTGTTTGGTCCATCTCCTAGACAAGGAGCCAGACTCGGGAGGTGTGTCGTCTTGATCTTGCACCTCCCCGGGGTTCTGGATTTCAGGGTTGTCGGGATTTGTGCGATCGACGAGGGTGATCTGCTGGGCTGTCGTCCTGCGAGAAGGTTGAGGGGGAAATGAGTCGGGCAGGGCGGTCGAACTACCTCTGTCGGGCGTCGAGTTTGTCGGAGGATCTGTAGTCGACATGGTGTTCAAACATGGCCATTGTTGAGCGAAGTGCAAGACATGGTTGCCTGGACATGTCGAGGAAAAGGTCAGGCACGTCACTCGTGTCGCGACCACGGGCTGCTTCCCCGCAATTCGAGTACGAGTCCGCCGATCATGATAACCTTGGCATGCCTTGGTATAAATAGACTACTCGATAACACTGTGTTAGAAACTATTCTTTGCACCTCCCTTTGGATTCAGAATTTCTCCGACAACATGTCTCTCCTTGCCTATCTCTGAGGGAGGTGAATTTGATGACGATAAGGATGATAAGGATGAATTGTCAGCAAATTGCCCTGACACGTTTAGGGAAATCCTTTCAGGAGTCAGATTGATTAACCTGAAAGATACGCGTCTCCTTCCTCATTTGTCCTTCGGTCCAGGCTTCCACATTCTTGCCAGCGGGTTGTCATACAGGGCTACTTAAGCAAAGCCTGATCTCCCCTTCGCAATTTTCCCAACGCGTTGAATATAGATAGATCCTCTCTGTATATCAGACATCGACTCCTAGCCGACCAATTGTACTTACCATCTCACACACTCCATGTTTTTCACCGAGCGCCTGATGCTCCGTGGCATCGACCCAGAAGTGGACAACGCAATCTTTCTCCAATGGACCAACAACGTGGAATCGGTGAATAGTATCACGACATCAGGTCCTCACCCATGGTCACGCGAGAGAGCGAAGCAGCTGGTCGAGGGTCGAACGAAAAATGCTGATGCCCTACCTTGGTTCATCATCTGCGAAAGACCAACGCCCGAAAACGAGCCTGCTTCAGTTCTTGGCCCAAACGATGACTACTACCGTACCGCAGATGGTCAAGCTAGATACCCGGCTATCGGCATGCTCACCATGACCAAGATCGGCGGTGCTACAGACGTGAGCAGAACAGTAGCATTTGGCATTCTGTTTGACCAAAGTCATCAAGGTAATCATCTTCCTTGTTCACACTAGCAAAGCATTGCGGAATCTTGTCGCACAGTTCAGCCGCTGAAACAAGAGCAGGAAAGGGATTAGGCACCGAAGTTCTCCGCTGGTTCTGCAATTACACCTTTTCGACTCTTGGTTATCACCGCATCGAGCTCCAAATGGATGCGAAGAATGCCAAAGCTTCGAATTGCTACCGGAAAGTAGGCTTTGTCGAAGAGGGAAGGCAACGTAAGAAGTTCTGGCTCGAGGGCGAGTGGAGAGACGTTGTCGGGATGGCCATGCTAGAGGAGGAATGGTTCAAGGAGCATCGTCTGCGGGATGATTGATGCAGAGGCGGTGGAGGAAGCTGAATACGCGAAGGCTACCTTATAGACGACCTTGACAATAAATCTCCTTCTCACGAATTTCAACGTCCTCGAGCTTCCAGGATTGCGTCTGGATCGAGCAGCAGCCGGCGTCGATCATTGCGGAGACGGGAGATGTGCGCCAATGAACGCAGTGTACGTCACATTGCGTCACCGGAAATCGACGATATGTGGCTGAGAGCTCCCTGTTTCGATGCAGAGACCTGTCAAACAAATAGCGCTGTTCCCTGCTGATTTCTCCTTCTTCTATACCACAAGACTTTCCTACAAACAATCAATTTACCTTTTCCAACTCCCCCTACCACACAAACACCTTCACAATGGCCGCCAGATCCCGCCTTCCCCTCATTGCCGGCCTCGGTGCCGCCACCTTCGGTGGTTACTACATGTACAGAGCCGGCGGTAGCCCCAAGGTTGCTGAGAAGCAGATCGAGCGTATGTACTACCTTTTCTGAAGCTTCGGACAGGTCGCTGACTTGTTCCACAGACGACGCTGCCCGCCTCTCATCATCAGCAAAGGACGAGCTGCCCGGTCGCGCCAAGGAGCTGAAGACCGAGGCAAAGGTCTACGGCGAGCAGATTGGCCAGAAGATCGACTCCGCAGTAAGCTCTTTTGCCTCTCAAGCCTTCAGTCATCAGCTGCTAACACTCTTCCCAGGTCAAGGACGCCCGCGACAAGACCCGCGAGTTCGACGCCAAGTTCGAGTCCTACCGCGCCGACGCAGAAAAGAACATCGACGCATACCGCAAGGAGGCCAACAAGGAGTTCAACAGCGCCGTCGACACCTTTGACAAGAAGGTCGGTGATGCTGCTGCCAACGCAAAGCACACCGTCGAGGTCAAGGCTGAGCAGGCCAAGAGCGGCTTCTCCAGCTGGTTCGGTGGAAAGTAAACTTGCCTTTTTCTGCGCAAGCATGAGTCTCGGATGGCATGAACGACCCTTTAATCTTCTCTTCATCAGCACTTTCAGCGATTGTACTATATTATCAAGAATAACCTCAGGCCGCGAAATGAAAACTGAATAATGAACCTACCACCCTCCCGTCTGAATGCTGTGCTCGTTGTGATTATGTAGTTGTCCTTGATCTACTGGAGACTTTAACATTCGTGGAGGTAGAGCTTTGAAGGATGCTGCGGACACATTGATTGCAATCGGCTCTTGGCGGTCTTTTGACGTAGTATGTGTTGTTGCTCAGAAGAAGGCCTCGATACTGACGTGTCGCAGGTCAATCTTGCTCAGAAGCCAGGTCAAAACCGCGATTGTGTACATTGCACCTCCAATACACCGCACGTTCGAATTCAACACACCTCAAGACATGGCATCTATTCTAACACACATTTCCAATCATCTATTTCCTTGTATAGTACGGTAGATGTCGAGTTATCGTCTATGTATTGGTCAGAAAGACTGTAAGGGGGACCACCCTGGCTTTCCGGCGAAACAGCTTTCGGAGCTTGGCGGCACTCTACGCCGTCGCGCTTTTGACACGAAAGACGCGCATCACCGGGCCACCCAACTCTCGACCCTTTGTTTTGACCCGTCATTGATGAATTTCAGTACATCGTATATTGCCATTGCTTGATACTATTATACCCAAATCATCCTTCAGCGAGCATATCATATCATATTCTATATCATGCCTGTCACGAGGAAACGCAAGGCCGTCAGCCCCGACTCTGGTAAACAAAGCACAATCGCCAGCCAGAAGACCATCGATACCTTTGGACGTGTCACCAAGAACCAGAAAGCCGACCAGAGTGCAAAGAAGCGCAAGATATTAGATTCGGTCACCATTGATACATTATCATCACCAACACAACACACGATCAACACAGCACAGAAAGAGCAGGAGGGATCAGTAAGAACGACACAATCTCGAAAGCGGTCAAGAGAGACGGAAGAGGAAGTCACGACGCCGCAGAACAAGAGGTTCAGAGATGCTCTACCGCCAACTCCTGCAGAGACACCCTCGAAAAGTGCCTCCAAGTTGTTTGAGCGACTCCTCTTGAACAATGCCGCTCCTGCCCCAACCGGATCAGCAGAAGAAACCGTCTACGACACTCCTCCACTCACTCCGCCAGCCTTCAAGAGTCTCGAAACATCATTATCCTCTACCGAACTGCCCGCTCAGCTACAAGAATTAATACGCCTGTTCAAAGCATTCCTCACAAGCACATCATTATATTCCGCCCACAATGGCCTCGGCACACCAATGTACATCACCAATCTATTACCACATATCACAAGGAGCTGGAAAAAGAGAGCCGTCACAGAACACGACATGAGCATTATTCTCGGCATTCTTGGAGACAACGACACTTTCGAGTTGGCAGACAACGGAGAAGGCAGCCTCTGCATCGAGCTCCTCGAAACAAATCATTCCACCACCGGTCACTTCAACCAACCCGAGCTAATCCAACAATTCCACAAGCGCTTGACTGCACTTTGGAATCAATGGGTGTCCTCATCACCAACAGCAACCTCAAATGTTGACGGCTTCCTCTCACAATTGCCGACCGTCAATGTCATCACTAGCCAAGTAGCACCCAACAACCCCGCTACCTTGACCAAGGGTTCAGAACGCCTCCAAGAGATCAAAGCCGCAGCGCTCGCCGCTCGCGCCGCCCAGTCTTCTGCCAGGAAACCTCTTGTCCAATCCTCTGCAAAATCCGCCGCTGCAGTCGCCAGCCGCGGTGCCAGTCTCCTCGACCGCATTCTCGCCAAACAGACCGCAAACGCCAACAAAGCCTCTGGACCCGATCCTGCACACCTCGCTCGTCTCTCAGCCATCGACCGCATCGCCGACATCGTCGAGGTGTTGGATGTTCTTTCCAACGGTCGCGCAAGAGCGAGTTTCTCCACCAAAGTGTTGCTGTCGCATCTACAAAATTCATTGCGCAATCCCATTTCTGCGGATGAGGGAGAGAAGTGTTTGGAGATTATGGCCAAGGAAGTTTCGCCAACATTTGTGAAGATCATCAGGGCGGGGAGTGTGGATGCTGTTGTTGTCACAAGAGGTGGAAAGCCTAGACCCGAGGAGTTGAGAAGGGCACTTGAGGATGCCAGGGCCGCTTGAGCTGTGTCAAGCACTGAGCGGGAGTTGTTGTTTGGCAAGGGACGGAGATTATTTTTACCAAGGAAAAATTGAATGATATCCTGTTCGAACATTTTCCTTACAGTCAACAAAATTTACCATCTTCTCGATTAAGTCGGTAACCAGATTGATGAACTGCAGAAAGCCAGGACCATGATTAGCAATGCAAGACGTGATTGGCTCGGAGTGTCAATGAGCTGGCTCGGATCTTTTTTCGAGTACTCGTGAAACATCTCTGTACATCAACTGGTTGTCCCTCACCATTGATCTATACAAGCATACTCTAACGATCAAAAATCATACGAAGAGCAAAAATTCGTCCAATGAACCAGTGAACTTACAGATCTTGCTCTGGACCAGTGCTGCGGGCAAGGAAGAATCGTGTGATGTTATCGTGTTCAATCTTGCCATGCAATCGAGGTGAAGTACTCATCCTAGCGTATCAGGTGATTTTCTCGCTTCAATTCTTCGACTTTGATCACCGATGTTGTTTAGCATCTGTTCATAAACATCGCTGCTCCGTTCTTGGAAGGGCAGACGATCTTCAAGTCTTGCTCGCCCAAGCTCGAAAGATCTGTATTCGTCAGAACGTGCGATCCTTCTCGCTCTGCGACCTGTTCCGAAAGACTCTCTTCGAATACTTTTTCTAAGACTATCGATTCCAGACTAGAATACTATTGAATCCCGCGAGCTCTCTTCCGAGGTTGAGAAAGTGGTGTAGCTGGAAGGAAGAAGCAGGGTTGCCTCGAAGCATTCCAAAACGCTTGAACTTCGGGCTGCGACTTTGTCAATGCGAGATGTTAATTTGAACGTCTCGTCGTGGGGATTTCTTTCTTCTTTTGTCTTTCAACATACTCGTACGTTTTCAGCGACTGGGAACAACGAGGGCTAGGTAAGTAGGAATGTAGAGGAAGTAAATTGATGGGTGTAGGTGTATCATTCTCTTTCTGTTCATGATTTCTATCCTCATCTTCTCTGCGTTGTCTCTTCTCTTCGCTTTCTCGCGCTCTCTCCTGTATCTCCCTCGCCTCTTCTCTCCTGCATTATTGTCGTCGCGTAAAGAAATAACACCAAAGAAAAAACACCAAAGAAGAAAAGAAAAACCAAAACCACCGGCCGAAGCGCCACGCTCAAATACCACGCAAGAAAAACTCGAAATGCAAAACTGATCGGCAAGACTTTTCTTCCTCATTATCGTCTCCTCTTTCGTTGTCGTCGTTCCTTCTTCGTTTTCGTTTCTTCTCTCTTCGTCCTTCTATCGTCGTTTCTCTTTCCACCTTGTCAAACCACGAAAAACAATCAAAAGTTGCTGGAGGAAGAAAAGAACCATGTCGTATGTCTGCATCCGTCGATGCTTGAAAGTCGGCCAGGGGTTGTGCTTGTTGATGATTCGAAGGCGCCCGTGAGTCCATCTCCTTCGCTCTCGTTGTTGCTGTTCCTGTTGCTTTTGCTCTTGCTGTTGCTCTTGCTCTTGCTGTTGCTTTTGCTCTTGCTGTTGCTTTTGCTCTTGCTGTTGCTGTCGCTCTTGCTCTTGAGTTGATGCTCAAAGGTCTCCAACAGTGCGCCAAGCTCAAAGAGAAAGTTAAACGCCATAGCTGAGCCCACGACTGTGTTGCAGTGTATCACTGAGTGAGACTGCAAACCTTGGGCCCGCCACGAGCACGCAGGCATCCCTCGCAGGAGCCGCGGCCCGAGGGGCGAACACACTTCTTGTGCTTACGGGCGCATTCGGCGCAGCGAGCGTGTGCAGTGGTGATTCCTGGGGCAGCGGCAGGGACATTGATGGCAGGGGCTGGAACAGCGGGAGCGTTGATGGCAGGAACGCCAGGGAGGGGCAGGGTGGCGGTAGTGGGAGCAGCAGAGCTGCTTGCTTCTTCCTTGTCCTCGTCTGAGTCGTCTTCCTTGTTGTCCTCATCTTCGTCGTTGCTCTCCTGCTCAGAGAGTTGGCCTTCTTCGTCGTTTAATGAGACCTCATCCTCGTCCTCTTCGTCGGCTTCCTCTTCGTCGGCATCCTCTTCGGACGTTACATCCTCCATATCGGTGTCTTCGTCCTCGTAAAAGCCTTCGTCTTGGTCCTCGGCACCCCAGACTTGATACTCGAGGTAGTTGCCAGAGATCAGTCTACACATAACATGTCAGCCAGTCACGGTAACAGTGCACAGGGACGGAGGGATGAGTGTACCGAGGGCTGAAACCAAGCGCACCGACAGCAGCGTCGAACAGTTCAGCATCACTGACCTCGGCCACGGCGTCCAGACGGTCTTCGAAAGACATTGCTTTCTGCGCGCCAGGATCAGTCGAGGTCAATGATGAGATGCAGCGTATCAATGAGTTTGATGGTAGGCTGGTAGGGTGCAAGTGCTGTGGTGCAAGAGCTATGGTGGAACAGGTAGGTGATGGAAGTGGTACGTGATGGATGTGTGAGAGTTGCACGTTAAGGTAAGTCGGATGTAAACACAGCAGTATGCAAGCAAGTAACGACAGAGCTCAACTCTTGGCTGAAGGTGCGTCGATTCTCCATCTCACTATCTTATCACTCTCTCGTTCCTTTCGGTTCTTCACGATTCTGCTTCCCTCTTGTATCATTGTTGGGCAAAAGTAGAATCATCAACAAGCAAAAGTGGTATCATTGAGCAAAAGTGGTATCGTTATTAGGCAAAAGAGCCTCAAAAAAGAACAAAAAACAAGAACACCAGGCAATCAAGCAAAACCCAATTCGAAATCCCCTTGTGGGAAAACGCTAGAACGCAGAACGAGCAGTAAGAGCTGTTTCTCCTCCTTTTCTTCAACCTCGTCGTCCCCATCCATCAAAAAGCTGCAAAAAAGCACGAGAAGAAACGAAAAGCCAAAGGCGAAGAAGTATGCATGCTTGCGTCGTAATAGGAGAAGTTGGACGAGGGAAAGCTCACGGTGTAAAGTATTGACACTCTTGAACTCTTGACGCTCTCGCTGTTGCCCTTGGTCGTGATGCAGCACCTAGGGGACTTGCAACAAAGATCTGAACACATGCAATAGTTGGGTCTGAGCGAGACTATGCGGTGTTCGATCACTGGGTTAAGCTGCAGACCTTCGCACCGCCGCGGGCATGCAGGCATCCTTCGCAGGAGCCGGTGCCCGAGGGGCGAATGCACTTTTTGTGCTTACGACGGCACTCGTCGCAAACAATCGGTAGGCTAGCGCGGGTGGTAGTGGTGGCGGCGATGGCAGCAGCAGCTGACGGGACAGTTGAGGGGCCAGTTGAAGGGCCAGCGGAGGAGGTGACCGGGATGAACATTGGGGTAGGAGCAGTCGAGACAGCGGGGGTGGTGGTGGTCGTCGAAGGAGGAGCTGGGAGAATGTAGCGATAGCGGCTTGAGGCAACGTAGGAGGCACTGACAGTGCTCTCGTCCTCGTCCCCTTCTTCCTCGCCAACGACCTCTTCGTTTCCTTCTTCTTGACCATCTTCAGCGTCGGCGGCGCCGTCAGCCTCGTTGTCGTGGACGACCATCTCAACAGGGGCAGCGTAGCTATACATGAAGGTCAGTAGATGTTCAAGGCTAAGCACAAAGTCAAAGCGTCGGACGTACTCCTCATCGAGAGCCAGAGCTTCATTGGCCTGCTTGAACTCGTCCATAGTCTCGGCCTTGTTGATATTGACGAGGTGGAGGTCAAATCTGCTGACGCCCGACATGGTGGATGGTGCTGTGCGTCAAAGGTCAGCAAGAGCTCTCGAGCAGACGTGCATTGGATGATAAAGGTCAGATTGATGGGATAGGGTGCGCAGAAGAGAGGGAAAGGGTGGGCGAAGGAGTAGCCGGCGCAGGCTGTTGACGCGCATGACGAGGCTCGTCGCTGCTGATGGCGGGGCTCAAGGAGATGACTTACAGTAATCCTGCGACGTGAAAGTGGTTGTTACGATGAGAAGATACGTCTTGCGTATCAATGTCTGCGGAAATCACGGTTGTGGTGTGGCTGATCGAAAAGAAAGAGAGCTTGACGCGCAGATTGAGATAGCGGACTTCCGCAACGACGCTCACCAGGCCTTGAGCACTAACAAGCACAGACCTCGTACAAATTCACATATTCACTTCTATCATGAAAGTACTGCTGGACAAGAGAATGGTCCTGGTGGTTTTCAATGATTGATCGCAAAGCTAATGTACAAGAAAGGAACAAGAAAATGACGCTGCCGCCGGCTTCAGGAGAAGCACTGATTCAGATGTGCATGCTGGCAGATCATCCCAAAGTAGAATGAAGGAACCGAAAGAAAGGAGATAACATGCCAAACTCCTCGCTTGCATCGACGGGTATCAAAAAAGAAAAAGCTCCATGCACTCTCCAACTCCTGACGTCGAATAACCACCTGGGCCGGAAAGAACGAAGGACAAAGACCAGATCTTGTCTCGTGGGAAAGAATCACTTCTTGCTCTTGACTCTAGAGCCATAAGGTGCTCTGAGTTGGTAGATTGTTCGAAAGGGTGATAAGTGGTGTCTTCGTTGATGGCGTTGATCGGGAGGACGGTGTTAGCACCCGATCTTCCAACGTTGATGCAGTTATCATGGATAGTCTCGGCATCAGGGAAGCTATGTTGCGTCAGTGAGAGTCAGGAGTCAGCCGTAGGATACAAGCTTACTTGTAGAACTGCATAGTCTTACTCGGGCCTCTGAGACCGTCGAGGGCTTGCAAAGGCGCGAACTGGACTGGACCACAGGGGGCGAGATGGTAGGCAGAATGTTCGCCGAGATGGGTTGTGTAATTCTGGTAGGGAGCCGAGTTGTTGTTTTCGTGGTTTGAAGCAAAGTTGTGGGTGTCAGCTCCGCTGGCGATGGAAGACTCGTAATTCGTGCGTTGATTGAAGGTGGAGATATAGTTCTGGTCTTCATTGCCAGCAGTGTGATAGTTGGCGTCTACGCTGAAGGCCGAGTCGTCTTTGAGGTCGCGAAGGACTGGATCCAAGAGATCATAGTTGAACGGGATAGGGAACGTGACCTCGTTCCCGTTGGTAAGTCCTGCCATCTGGTCAGGGGTTGGTGGGGTATCAATTGAGAATTGCTGTTGCATGTTGGTCGCGATAACGTTGGAAGGGGAGCGCGTAGACATTGAGAGCGCACGATATTGTTGTTGATATGATGGTCAAGCTCGAGGCGGAACCCTTTGGAAGCGCGTCCAAAATAATACTAGCAAATGCAGCCGACCACTCGAGCTCAAGCCTATTTGGGAACAGTGAAGGTAGGAGCACGATCGTGGAATTATGTGTATTTATCTGGTCTTGAGTGAAGAAGATGAATCTGGACTCTTGTATCATCTGTGACTTTCGATTTGTGTGCTCAGACTTTCCAGAAGCAGTCTTCTTGACTGCTAGACCTCGGGCACTACCATCATCAACACTCGGGTTTTGTCTTGCAGGAGCGGCGTCGCCCTTGTTCTTTGTAGTCACTTGTGACTCTTTGTTAACGGTCGCACTCCACGAGACTCGAATTTTGAGAGACCTACCAACCATGAGAGACCCGCAGTTTTTAATACCGGTCCTGACCCTTCTGCCCGGGACGTGCTTGTCCACGACGGAGCTGGGTGGGCTAAATCTGCAAAGCACTCCACTCTCTCTGCATCTGTCGCATGGGGTCGTGGTAGAGCCGTTGCGGCAGTGGCGGTGAAGATAATGGCAGTGGTCACATCTGCCGCGGAGTCCAACAGAGGTTGGCTCGACACCGGATATCTGGCGAGTGGGAGTGTGATCGGCTTCCATACTCGTGATGGGTGTTTGCTTTGGATCGGTGCTGAGCAGATGGCTGAAGGCTGCGGGAAAAGTTTCTTACAATGGTGTGGAAGATGATAACAAGAATAGAGCCTGGATAGTGAATGCTACAGATCCCGTTAGTGAAGTCTTCCCGAAGCTCAATGGCAACGGAGATATCTCGGCTGTTTGACACAATGACCATTGAACTTGTGCAACTGACGTGTGATAAGCACGAATTCTCCAAATGGGCAAAGAAAAGAAGCGATATTCAACGGGTAAATCATGATTGAAAAAGGGACCAAGATCGATGCCGTCGTTGATGCGACTGACAAAGCTTCGGTCGAATTGCGAATAGTGTATGTGCACGAAAAAGAGACAATCCAAAGATGATATTAGACCAGCGAGTGGTGTGTTCTAGTATTTGGTGTCCATCTGTACAAAAGGAGAAGCAGAGAAGCCGCATTTTGCCCACTCGTTATACCAGAACGTCCCATAATGCTTGTCTGTAGTACCTGAGCGCCCTATCACGCCTATCCGTACGACCCGAAAGCCTGACCTCGAACTCTGCTTTACTACTTCTTAGCCTCGTACTCACAGACCGAACCCCTCTTGTTGCAAGCCTGGCAAGTCTTGGGGTTAGATCCCTCAACTGGAATGCACTTCATCTTACGACGAGAGCACTCTGTGCAGGCCTTCTTGGTGGGTCCTGCAGGAGGAGCAACACGCATAGGAGCAGCAGCAACAGGAGCAACAGCAACAGGAGCAACAGGAACATGAGCAGCAGGAACAGGAGCAGCAGGACGGGGAGGAGTAGGCTGGGTGTCACTGTCCGATGCCTGACTGCAGGGTTCATAGTCAGCTCAACGTCGAGGAATGTAATGGTGCTTGTTTGAGAGTTGGACCTACTCGTTGACGGGATCGCTGTCGTGGGGTTCAGGGTCTTCAGCGAAGAGTGTATCCAAGGGGGAGGGACTGCGCACGACCTGATGAGCAAACGCAAAGACAATAGTCGCCAAGAGTATTCTTACAGGGGGACGAAGGTGTCATCAAACTCTTCAGACTGGGCGTTAGTGTTCATTGACTGGCTGCAAGGTTCTTGGTCAGTTCTAGATCGGGCTTTGAAATAGGTCTTGACCGCTCAGCTGGAGATAGACTTACTCGTTGACGAGACCGCTATCGTGAGGGTCAGGGTGGTCAGCAGCGAGGGCTTCGGCGGGATTGGTACTATTGGCAGTGTCGTGAGCAGATGTACATAGCCCAACTGCTTGAGGGATGCTTACAGGGAGAGATAAGCATCGATGAACTCTTCATCAGAGACCGGAGGTCTGCCGTCGAACTCTTCGAGGAACTCGAGGCCGTCCATGTCGTTGAGGAAGGGTAGCTCGATTGTGATGAAGCACATCTTGGTGATTGTTGCGGATGCGCGCGAGAAAGATGTTGGAGGAAAGCTTGATCGCGTTGGAACTGCGTCAAAACCTACCAGCAAGATAATCCGCACCAACTCCTTAGCGAACAATCCGCGTGTCGATATCACATTGGAGCTAAAGGGGATATGCATTAAGTTTGTTACGATCAGAGGTGTCTACACTTGTATATGATTGAGAGGCCTTGCGAGAGACGTCGAAGGCGCAGCATATCTCGGAGGCCAGTGGAACCTCAACCTCAAATAGCAACATGTATGCATGCCTACTGACATTCAGCTGGAAGTTTTGTAGATTCTCTGTATCGTCACACGAAGAAATAGATTGTCCGAGCATAGCATGACAAGCTACTGATGGATGTGATTGCGCAGCCGAAGTTCGATACTGAAATGCACATTGATAGACAGGATCAGCTGCTTGTAACTGCTTCCAGGAAGGGATTTAAAAAAGAGAAAACCCTGATACTATCGACTCCCTCGATAACTCCTGCTCAGACCACAACCTCGCATAACGACTCCTGCTGACCTCCACGAACTGTTGACCGTGCTGTGGAAACGAGATCGAGTATCTTTGGAGCTCGAGGACAGACCCGTTTGCTTGCTTGTAGTTTAACCACGAGAGTAGACACAAGGGATACCGCGAGCCTGGCACTTGGTACAAGTAGGAACAAGGCGGTCGCAGCCCTTCTTGAGCGACTTGCAATTGTCACAGGGCTTCTTGGGCTGTGGACGCATGGTAGGAGCCTTTGGAGCCTTACCACCATAAAAGGTGCTGTTGAACTCTCTCTTGCCGTCCTTCTCCTCCTTCGTGATCTTGAAGATCTCCTGAGCGGCCTCTTGGTCCGTCATGCCTTCACTATAGAGCACGAGTCAGATGCGGAACTGTGTAGGGCTGGTGGAGAAGGTGCTTACTCGGGAAGGTAGTCGTTGTCTGGGTCGTAGGGGCCAACGTCTGGGTCGAGGCGAGGGTCGTATGAAGGGTCGTCTGGATCGTGGTGTTCACGTTCGGCTTCAGGTGCGCTGGTGGCTGGGGCCTTACCCTTCGCCATAGTGGTGGTGTTGTTGTTGTTGTTGTTGTAGGCAGAATGATCTCTGGGAAGGCCGTTAGTCAAATGCTTTTGCACCTGGAGAGCGATGAGATACCCACTTCTTGCTAGTACTGGCTTTGTGGACGATGCGGAGAGGCATCTTGACTTTGGTTGCGTCTACAAAGAAGCGAGAGTGAAGAAGCCGCAAGTGGAAAGTAGACACAAAGAAAACTCCTTGTTTACGACCAATTCAGGAAACTCTTGGCATGAAGCGACAATGAGGTAAGGTAACAATACATGATCTTGGTCAATCTCAAATCGAAACAAGACTAGCTTACGGATATCTATGTTGTTCAATGCATGCAAAATAGGGGCACAGCTCTACGAGATTGGCACATTTGGGAGAATCATTATCTTTGTGAAGTGGTATTACAAGAGACTGCAGAGTTGTCCTTGCAACGGTGTGCAGCTGAGAAGAATTGCCGATGTTGGAGGAACCAAAAGAACAAACCACTTCTCGTCCTTCAACCAAAAGTCTGCTGGTGGCGAGCGGTAGCCAGCTCGGCCTTGCTGGCCTTGGGCAGGGGAGTGAGGCCCTTGGCCTTGTCGTGGCGAACCAAGTCGCTATAGCGACTGTAGTTATTGCCATGTCCAGGGCGCTGGGTGTACCAGCGCTCCTGGCCACCCTCGATCTTGGGGAACGTTTTACCGTTCACCAGAAGAGTAAGGCCGACAGTGACCTGGCCGGCTGGGACGCTGCGGCCGCCAGAGACGGGAGCTGGTGGGACGGTGATGTCGGGATGAGTGATGAGAGCCTGGCGAGGAGGATCAGATTCCAGGTATGTTTTGGAACCCCTCAGATGTGTGACATACGGGTCGTAACCGTCGTGCGGTTGACTCAGTATTTCGAGGGCGAGAGGTGTGGATCTCTGGTGTGAGATCTGTTCCTCCTCCTCCTTGTCGTCCGGTCGCATGAGGTCTTCAATGGCCCCGGGTGTTGGTTTTTGGTACGGAACGTGTATCCCATGGTCGTCAAAGTTGAAGATCTTTGCCGCGATGAATGCCATAGCTTCTTCCGCCATACTGAAGAGACCCTGTCGTGCGTCAGTAAAACCGTCGCAGATACGGGTGTAGGCGAGTTAGAGCTCAAGGCGAGCATATCAAGAACCTGGTGATGCTTGATCGACTTACTTTGATTCGTTGGGTGTGAGAAGGGAAGCGAGTTGGGCGGTGGTGCAATGCTCTCTGGAGGTCCTCGTGAATCTAGTCGTTGACTCTTTGCTTTCTTGTCTTGGGCGTTGTGATCGAAAAGTCTCGGCTCTCGATGCAATAGTCTTATAGGTATTGCGTTATGCGACTGCAGGTTCTGGAAGGTGTTAGCTAATGTCACATGGCAAGGTCCTCGACAGAACTTACCAAAAGATCTTTATGATCAACGGCAGTGGTCTTGCCCAAGTGCTCGATTTGATGGAGATGTTGTGGACTTAGGGGCGAGACGGGGTAGTATGGAGCAGTATTGGATCCAAAGGTGTCGTCTTGATCGACAAGGCTGGAAGAGATGTTTCAGTAGGAGCACGCGTACGAAGACCTGAGCATCCAAACATACAGTCTTTACAGTGCGCGCAGACTTGTGCCACTGGGGCCAAGGTGCTTGAGGTGTAAATCCGGACTTGTGACAGCTGGAGAGTTGTGGTGCGCAGTTTTGCGTATGTGGAAGATGGTGTGGTTGGAGAGGAAGACGTATTGATGGTTGATTAAGCGCAGATAACATAGTCCCTTTCGTCAACCACCAGCAAGTCTCGGCATTTGAGTGACGGACAATGTGAAAGCACGATATCATTGCCTTGACAATAGGAGTTCGACAGCAATGAGAACCACTCACTTGTGATCTGGAGGATTTCAGTAGGTCGGGGTATGTCAGGGGAGTCATGGAGAACGAGATCAAGTGTATTCAGGAGCAACAGATTCTCACAAGGCACGGCGCTGCTGCTGAAGTTGGGCACCTTGAGAGGGACGGGAAGCTCTTCGAATGTATCTGCAGCGATAGTACATCTCTCCTTGGATTACAAACCGGAATGATGAAGGAACTACACCTACTATGTCAGAGATTATCGTCCTTGGTCTTTGTGAGACCAGGGACGCTCGATCTAAAGATCTTCGTGGTTGAGTGTGCTCCAGCCAGGCTCTTTCGTGACATGAAGATGCCAGCAGCACGGCTGTGAGGCTAATGCTCAAATCTAGAGGCCATGGTATCGACGAGATGAGCTCTGTTCAACAATATTCATGACCATCGAGCCAGGTGCACTGAGTATGCTTGATGGTGTTGTTTGTCATCCTCTCGTCGATCAACATAGTGGTGGTGCTCGGACAATACCATGCAGACGGGGCATTGTTGGTTCCAGGCAGAAGGTGCCTCAATCCCGATCGGCACCGAAGCGAGGACGCAAGAGTAGTCGTGAGGATGCACTGGGTCATTTGAGGACCGCGTAAGTAAGGCAAAGTGTCTACTACGAGGGGAATGTCTGTTCAGACGGCACAAACACCGACGACACTGCCCTCAACAGATGTAGCTCTTTCTTTGGATCGTAGTAAAGCGATAAGGAGCGCTCATGAAGACTCCTGGCTTGTGGCTTGCCAACCATTGGGACACCAGGCCATGGGTCCAAGCTGCCTCTATCCAGATCCTCAGATAGTCTCCTCCCAGTCTCGAATCCAGCCTCGTGAAACGCTTGAACTTGAGCGCCTCGAGCTGTTTGAAGCCCATTCATGGTGGCTGGAGTGTTCGGCTTACCCAATTTCTTTGTCTAGAAGTGGAGCCGCTTTCGGCAGGAGCGACAGACGACAGCAACCAGGCTTCTTTGTTCTTACTAGACTCCGAGGACACCAGATACATATGATTAGCTGTGATAGCAAGACATCCAAGCTGTTCGGTGGTTCAAGGACTGCCCGATGGTCGAAGCGGTCGAGTGTAGAATCAGAAGTCAGTATAGTCTGCAACTATGAGACTCTGCAACGACCATCGAAACACATCTCCCGATAGTAGGACGTCAAGTCAAAGGTAAGACTTTGCTCATGACTGCCATCAACGGCTTGATCCTGTCAGTATTGTGTCATCTCATGTCATGTCCGAGAAAATTATCAATGATAACTCCTGTTCGGAATTGGAACTAGTCAATCTTGACTAGCTATTGACTGATTCTCTGAGTACCGATTGCACTTGGACCATTTCACCATTTCCATACTTTGTATGCTCGTAGCGATATATACGTGCAAGTGATATAGTAACGTTTGACAATGGGAAGAAATGCAGCAGAAGACGTTGACAATCTCGGACCGAGAAGGCGCAAGCTTCTAGATCTCAAACCACCTCTACTCGATACAACCACTATCGACAACACCTTAGCCCATTGTGTAGGGCATATATTGTTTTAAGCATCTATCTATCGGTGACAAAACCTTCACGCCGGGGTTCTGGGCTCTTGACCGTCGGCCTTGAGTCACAAGTCAAAATATGGTCATGGAGAATCACATACCAGAGCAATCTCGAGAGAAAAAGCAGGATAGCATGGATGTCAATAGCCATGGGTCCTTGGAAGCTGAGCTAAGACGACAAAGCTGATCAGATAGTAACAAACTGATATCCTTCCATCGACGTATGTGGCAATGTGTCGATTGGACGAATGTAGACAGCCACCGTCACAATTGGTCCAATCTGCTTGAACCCTCACAGCGTTACCACATATTTGTTGAGCATCAAAATGCTTACATCAACATCCGATATGGTCTAGTGGCTAGGATTTCTCGCTCTCAAACCGTTGTATCATATACAACAACCAGGTCCGAGGAGGCCGGGGTTCAATTCCCCGTGTCGGAACACTTCTTTTGCTCGTCCATCAACCTCTTCCATACTCCTCTCCAGATCGAAAGACTTTATTTTTTTTTTCTCAAAACTTTTCGGTCAAGCGGGAGTCGGTGCTGCGGTGCTTTTTCGGCGGAGCGGAGCGGTGGTATGGAGGGTCTTGGCATTGATCTATCCTGAAGGTGGCACTTTTTGCTTGATCATAACATTCGACCATGCACTTCAGATACCGAAGGGCTTCCAAATGAGTGGTGTGGAGTAAGAGAAGCGAGATCAGTGATCTTGAAATTGGTAGGTTGGTAGTCACGGTGTGTGACACTGATCAACTCAATGCAGGAATATTAAGAATCGAGGCAGTCAAGCCAATACATGCAGCACGTCGAGTATGAGTCGGATGATACAGTGTCTGTCCCCATGAGTCTAAACGGGATCACGATGCATCTATTTCTCAATGACAAAAGTGGCGGAGTTGAACTTCTCTACTAGAACAGTGGTAGATTTTGCGAGAGCGTCGATCATCAATTACCAAACCTCGTTACTACAAGACCATAACCCCATCTTGCCGTTCCCCTCCATCATTATTATCCGTTCACTCTATCAAGCTTCCTCATCCTTCTTCCATCTCCCATCCCTATCCTCCGGAATATGCTCACTAATAGCATCCTGTCCCGGATTCGCAATCTCATACTCCAGGATCTTGATAAACTTATAGAAGACCACCGCAATGATAGCTCCCAATGCGGGGCCTGCTCAATGTTAGTCGATCTGCCCGTACTTGGATACAGATAGGCTTGCTTACCTAGCCAATAAACCCAATGCTCATTATCCCATATACCAGTGACGGCACAAGGACCAAAGCTTCTGGCAGGGTTGAGTGAGCCGCCGGTGTAAAAGACACCGACCAGCTCCGCAATGAAGAGGGAAAGCCCAATGCCGACGGGTGCCATATAAGTAGCGCGATGTTTCTCCTTAGCCAGCATGAAGATAGTAAAGACCAGCTCAGCAGTGAGAATGGCCTCGATGAACACACCTCTCGCCTTAGAAGTATCAGCAGAAAGCGTAGTCCTCACATTCAGCTTGGTGGGAAACAACGCCCTGACCAAAACACTCGCAAGACAACTACCTCCAATCTGTGCCAAAAACAGCAGCGAACCTCTCACGTAGTCCAAGCTCTTTACCATAACCATCGCTAATGTGACCGCAGGATTAAACAGCCCACCAGAAATCCGGAAGAAGATCCAGACGTTGACCATGAGGGAAAAGCCAAAAGATACAGCGGTGTAGAGGAGTACGATTGGAGAGAAGCCATTGGTGGCATTTGTGGTGGTTGTTGTGGTGGCGGTCTGAATGTTGGCGACTTGGGTGCCCGCGAAGGCGAAGAAGAGGAACATTGTTGTGCCGACGAACTCGCCTATCATAGCTACAAAGTCTGTGGAAGTTTGTCAGTAAGAGATCGACTGGAAGACGATTGTGAATATGAGAGCCACTCACGGTTCTTCGCTGTCGAGTTCATCCACCAAGTCATGGGCAGTCGCAGCATTTCCTCAACGGGAGTAGATGGTCGTCCGTTCCTGTAGAATGATCCTGCACCGCCACCTCTGCCTCCGGCGCCTCTCTCGCTCTCGATATCGGAAAGATTGTCAAAGCGATAAGAGCGTTTCTTGGTATCGTAGCGCAAACTCCTGAACGATTCTGACGGCGCACGACGCACGTTATACATTTGATGCAACGGACTATCGGCATTGACAGGTATTCTCTGCACATCAGTCGGAAACGGATCAACAGAAGCTTGTTTCTGCTGAATACGAGGGGGAGTTGGTGCCAAAGATTGAGTATCGTTGTCTTCGATTTGGGGACCCGAGGTTTCGTAGTCATTGTAGTAGTTGCCCTTGTAGTAAGCTGGGCGGCTTCCCAAGTCGTAGTTCTCGTTGTAGCTTCGAGGCAGAGTACTCCAGTAGGATTGCGCGTTGGCATTACTCATTGAGCGATCTCTGTGTTGGATCGTCTGTGCAGTGCCAGGACGAGGGATCACTGTTGCCGTAGATCCACTTGTGGATGTGCCTGGTCGAGATCCTGAATCCGCTGGCGGAGGCGACGAGATATATTTGATTGATCCAGGAGTCTCTTGCGAAGGCGAACTGCGCAGCATAGAGACACTGGTGCCATTTTGCGCATTGTAATCATACCCAAGCTGCTTGTTGGACTTCTGTGACGAAGGCGTGGTTGGGTCGTATCGGGACATCATGTCTGGATCTTCGTTGCCAACTTGACCGTATGCTGAAGTGCCGGATCTGACGAGTCTTGGTCTGGGCATTGCGACCAAGTCTCCTCGTCCTTATATAGTCCTGAGTGACGAATGCCGAGATTGACTTCACCGGGCAGTCTCGGATGCGAAAAACGATCACCGAGCAGGAACCCGGGCTGATTCCAGTGACAGACGAGACGGTGGTAGAGGTTGTATGAGTGGGGCTGTAAGTTTGGATTGATGAAACAGAGCTCTTCGTCAGAGGCGTCAAAAGCCAAAGCTATATGTAGGAAGCGACACGGTCGGCATATGTTCGCGTTGTTGATCCAGTCTGTTACTGGGTCAGTATATTGTCAGGAGGAACGAGCCTGACAAGGTATGCTCGAGACATATGGTGGTAGGGGAGTGAGCTACCGGCAAGCCGTCCCGGGATAACGTGGCCGTACACATGGCAGCTGTCGGATCGAGTCATCTTTCGACATAGCAGTTGTACTTGGAATGCTGCCCTACCCACTGATTGCCGCGATTACACTCGGGTTCTTGACTGGATCGGATTCGCTATGCAGAATTGAGTCAGTTGGCAAGGCTGATGACATATGCAATCTACGGGTGGCTGCTGTCTTGCGGACGCCTGATTAAAGCTTCGATGACTGTTTCTGGAAGCACTCCACCGTCCGTGGTTTCGAAGACGCAATAAGGATCCGTATCGAGGCTTCGTAGCCGAGCAGGGTAGCAGTATCAATATATTGATCAGTTGATTGGTATCCCCAACAGGACCAGAGTGTCGTGCTCGTCCCAGCTACCGGGATTGAGAGTCAACCCGATCTGTAGAAAGAAAATCCTGGAACGTGCGGAGGAGGCCTGAAACTCAACCCTACCTTATGTTCGTATTTATGTTCGTATTTGTGTTCATGCCTGTCGTCAAAGCAAAAGAGTTTTGCACGCTTCAGGCCTTCCGTGCCTGAACTCGAGATCCCTTCTCAAGACTTTAGAGGACTGCACATCTCATAGAGATACCGAACGAGATTTTGTCAGCCATCGAATAAACCTTGTTCCTGGATGAGAGATACTGAGCCATCACATTGGATGCGATGGTTGCGAAGCAGGAAAGAATGGTGGTAGGTTCAAGGCTCGTGTTTCAGGGTGCTCAGCCCGCAGATCTCCCGCAACGAGAGCCAGGGTCTCGTTCTGACATGGACCAATATTTTCTTCCCATCGAAAAAGCTCTGCTCCTCCATGCGTACATCATGAACACACAAATTACACTAAAGAGAAGACGGCGAGGAACTCAGAACAAAAAGTGGTCATCTATACTGTACAACTAGAAACAAAAAGGGGTATCCATCCGCGCCCATAAAACAAAGGAGAAATTAATGGTTCTGCAAAAAGAGTCTCCTGTCCCATCCGTTTCATCCTGGAAATCTTGCCACATTCTCTATCGTATGATCTTGTCATCCGAGCGAAGCGAACCGAAGCTGTCTGCACCGACTTTTGCACGCACAAACTAGACTCGCGTCTGGCTTGTGTAACGTTCATCACCTGACTGTACCGTATATCGTAACGATCTAGCTGGAAGATTCTCCAACATGTACAAGAGTAATCGAGAGATCCAAAGAGAAAGAAGGAGAGGTTCAAGAAGAACAAGAAATCAAGGCAAGTCTCCATAGGTCATCTTAGCAGAAGAAGAGCGCTGCCAGAATCTGCTCTTCTTCTTCTCAGCCTTGTCAGGTTTGCCACCTTTGCCGACAGCAGGGGCAGGAGCAGGTCTCTGGACTGGCTCCGGAGGTCCAGAAGACATCAAAAAGTCGGCAAGATCACTGGTACCTGATGAGTGGAACGGATCAAGCCTTGCGTTTCTAACTACACCGGCTGAGCGCACTTCCAGCTTTGGCTTGTTGCTGCGGGGGATGTTGCCGCTAGAGATGTGAGAAGTGATATGAGCAGGGCGTACCGCGGTATTAGAGGTTGCTGTCTGGATGCTACTGATACTGGGAGCATATCCTGGTTTGGGTGATAGAGTGGGGGTGTTGCCGTTGCTCATAGCTGGAGAACGTCCAGCTGAGGAGTGCATACTGGTGATTGAACCAGTGCGAGGCTGTTCCGCGCCTGCAGCTGTGTTGCCGTTGCTGTTGGCATGTGGCAGAGCAGCAAGCACATCTTCTTCGTCGTCGTCATCGTCATCAGAGTCGTCAGGAATGGCATAAGGATCCTTGACTCTGCTTCGTGTGCGGCCATCACTACTGACAGCTGGACGTGTGTTGGGCAGTACCAAGTTCAAAGCAGGTGAGCTAGGCTGGGTCAAGGGGGACATCGGTAGCTTAGGTGTATTGTTACTGCCGTAATTGACGTTGGGAGATCCATTGGTCAACAGTCCTGTCCGCGAGTCCGAAGTGGAGGACGTCAGGGGTCTGTTGCCGTAATATTTCGGCACTTCTGCGCCATCCCAATCGGCGAAAGGAGCAATGTGATTCGGCACGCGAGCCTTGCCGTCAGGACCAGGAGGACCGCCTCTGATGAAGTCAATGAGATCGCTGTTGTTGTCGGATGATCCCGTTGCTGCTCTGGCCATCAAGCTTGGTCGGTTGGCTGAGCGTTTCGGTGGTGGTCCTGCTGGGTTTCTAGGAATGTACTTGCCACCGGAAGGAGTTGGTTTGGGCACAGGCGGTGCGTCCTTGGCTCTTGCGGCCTGCGCTTGAGCTGTAGCACGAATGGAAGACAGGCTGCGGCTAGTAGCGAGCCCAGGCACAATCGGGTTCGGTTCCTTGTCTGGAGCAGTTGAACGAAGGAAGTCTGCGAGATCTCTTGTCGAGTCTGTCTGGATGACTGCCTCACGGGCCATCTGACCTGAAGGGAGAGCATGCAAGTTCTGAGGCGATGGACGACTGATTGAAGTCTTCCTGAGTCTTGTTTCTTCGACTGGCTTCGACTCCTTCTTTTGATTGATACCCCCGAGCGACCAAGTACCACTACGATTAGATCGTACGGATTGACTGTCGCTGTCTTGTCTGGAGTGTTCCCGCGAGTTGGAGCGGAACAGAGTTGGTTTCTTGATCTTCGCCTGGGGGCTGAAAGACCGATCGGATGCATCCCTGACATTCTCAGGTGTCAAGGTGTATTTGATAGTCTCGTCTCTCTTCAACAGAGCATCAAAGTCTTTTTCCGAAGTCATTGACGACGTAGGAAGCTTTCTTCTTTCGTCCACACTCTGTCTTGGAATGTGGCGTGGGCTGATTCTCGGAGCGGGGCTACTTGAATCTGAGTCTGTCAACTTTGAGCTCCTTCTAGTCTTCACAAAGTCCGCCGAGACACGCTGTTCGTAGATAGGTGTTCTCTCACGTTTTGAGGAAGCGCCTGACGAAGATCGTGTAATTCCCAGACCAGGAAATTGTCTTGCCAGAGGACTCGTGGCAACCACAGGAGAGCTCAAAGCTGTGTGAACAACAGGTTCAGGCTCGTCCTCGGCATCGCTGTCGCTGTCAGACTCCATGAAGGTCTCAGCAGGAAGCTCAGCGGGTGATCCTAGCGCGTTGGGCCTGCTATGGCTGGATGTCGGTGTCAAGCCTGAGTGAGAGCCACTCAAGTTGCGACTGGCTAAGAAGTCCTCGGGACTGAAAGGACGGTCCAGTTCTGCTGCAAGTTCCAGACCTTCCTGCGAAAGGTTGAGTGCTTGTGTGTATCTGGCTGATGAAAGACCGTAGATAGCGAGTCTCTTAGGTCGCTGTACCACCTTCATCGCGGGGAGACCATCGTCCAAATCGGTGGGCTGAGACGAAATGGAAGCTTTTTCGGTGTGAGCACTGTCTCTTGATTCCGGTCGCTCGGAGTCGTTTGTTTGCACACTGGGCAGTCCTTCACCGGCTTGCCCTTCAGCGTACTGTGAAGTTGGGTTCACAATTTCTACCGCTGGGGTATCCATGGGCCAAGCTCCAGGAGCTTCAACGAGTGGGGTCGTCATGGGCAGGGGAACCGAGACAGGTCGAAGTTTGCTAAAGTTGTCGGATTTGTACTGACGGTGGGCACCGAAGCCAGCGCTTTGCGGGCGATAGACTCGCGGCGCTCGGTCGTTCTGTTGAGCAGACTCCGGACGGTCTGGATCTCTGGCGAGGCCGGGAACTTCGATTTCATCAACATCGCGCAGGTTCTCAGGCAGCGGAATATTGGAAGCAAGGACATGCTCAGGATAGTTGTTTTCTGGACGATCTGGAATACGATCCCACAGGCTACCTCTGCGAACAACTATCGGACTGCTCGCTGCCGAGTGGCTCTGGTGGGAAGCGCGGTTGAGCATGCGGATTGACTTCTTCCAGGTGCGCCATTGACGGTCGAGAGGGGAATTGAGCACAGCTCTCTCCAAGTCGGCATCATCAACGAGCATGTACATAATGTCGTCGCTCTGCTCTGGCTGGGTCGAATTGGTGCGTGTGCGTTGAAGGCGAGCCAGAGCGACTTGCGAAGCCAATGTGAGCAGCATTTCGCCCAGGTAGTCTAGCACGCCGGCCAAGAAGATCTCGGACGCCAGACTGATGACACCGGCGGTTTCTGAGAAAGTTGTGTTCAATCCCTCCTCGCGTACGTAGCGCTCATCATCATCAATGTCGAACTCGCTCTTCTCTGTGCGCATCATGACTCTCAGACGCGATCTCTTCCATGTAAAATCGAGGTTGAATTTGGCACCGCTCTGACTTGAAGGGCGAACTTGATCGTTGAACTCATCGTCTGCCTGCAGAGCGAGGAGATCTTCGAGATTGTCTTGGGCGCTGGCGATTGCATCTCTTGCGAGATTCTTCTTGAGGACTTCGGTGACGGCAGGCCTTAGGGCGTGTAGCGAGGCGGTTCTGGCGACATTGATGTATTCGTAGAGCTGGCGATCGAGGAATTGATTGATGGAAGCGACAGCGCTTTCTGCGACTGTGGCTCTGTGGTGAAGACGCCATGAGTGGTCTTCATCAGCGCGAGCGTCAGCGACGTCGGTGGCTAATTGGGATGCGCTGGACAGCGAGATGTATTCAGGCGCAGGCTTGACGTTGGCGACGGTTGCAGGAGTGGTGGTGAAGGCGGTTGCCGAGGCAAGGGATGGAGCGTCGCTGGCGATGGAATTGGCGTATGAGTCTTTCATGCTTGTTGCTGTTGCAGACAAAGACACGGCAGCATGTGAAGAGGATGAGCCCAAGGGTGCGGCCATACTGCAACAGAGACGCCAGACTCAGTCAGTCTGTTGTTGTCTCTGGGCGGGCCAAGGGTGTGCGACAAGGTCGGCCTTTGTCTGCGTTTCAGGAGCGCTTTGGTACAAACGAGCAGTATCGGGTCTTGTGCATCAGCCGGCGCCACAGGTCCAAATCTTCAGCTCCGAAGGATTGTCCGGTCGACCAACATTGAGAAGTGAGATCAACGGACGGCGCTTGACGAGGACGTCGACCTTGATCAGTCATTTTCTAGCCTCGACATGACGGCCATGATAGCCGTACGTTTTTTCCAAATTCCATTGCTCTCATGGCCCGCTGCTAGTCGGGCATTGGTACCAGTCCAACCGTCTCCCGCACGTGGACCGAGCAAAGGGCACGGCCGCATCTCCAGGATCCAAAATATCTGCCCTTGGCGATCATTCTTCGTCAGGTGACTCTTCATCGTGTCGTTTTCAGTCGTTGAGAAATGGGCCGAGATTCCGATAAGCAGAAAAGCTCCAGAAACAACAATGTCAGTGTTCATATGTCGTTGCTTCTTTGTCTGCTGTTGCTTGTTGCTTCCGGAAGGCAATCTCGACCGTTGGCAGCAGCAAGCGGCTCTTGCCAACCGTCGACTTCAAGGCTTCCATATCCGAAGCTTCTGTTTGACCCTTCTTCCAGCAACCATCCACACCCTTTCTCCTTCCCACGCTTATCGTCAACGCCAGACTATAGACCTGAGCTACTCTTCGCTCCACTCACCCTCCTATTTCCACTTCCGGGGCCAATTTCGGTTCTGCCAATCAGCGAACCCAAAAGCCGAGGAACCGTTAGAATTTCGCTTTGTCCTTAACACGGTTTCCGAGCTTCTTGCCGTTTCAAAATCATGCTCGAGTCAAGCGTTCCATTCTCTACACGCGATTCTGACATTTTCGTTCAACGGTTGATGGCCAATCAAACTCTGTTCCTGGTCAAGCCCATACCAACTGATTCGAACTGTCTTCGTATCCGTCGTCGTTGAAGTGCGGCATTCCTTCTTTGGTGACACTCGACGAACCATTCTCTGGGCCTCTGACTCTCAGGCAAAGGCTGGAACCAACCTACCTAAGCCATCTCGTCATGGCAAAGTCAGATGCCGACATCGATATACGCTCTCGTACTGCGTGTACTCAGCCCTATCGACCGTTTCCTCCATCTGCATGCCACTTGTCGTGCTCCCGCCCTTGCCCTGAGATTATCGATACCCAGATCTGGTAACTCCAAACCTACCTCCACCACCACGTGTCTTGACAACGTCAGATCTGCAAGCACGTCTTTGAGTCTTTGGTTCTTGTGCTTCCTCCATCAAAGGTCCAACTCTCTTGTTCGACCTCCGCAACAACGCCGGTCAGGTAGGGACAAGAAGATGCCGACCGCCGAGAGATTGACCTGCAGATCAGCGAGCACGTGCTAACTCACCTCTTGTCATTGCAACATCCTCGGCGGTCGGCTGTACGGAGACTAAAAGTGTGTTCTGGCATTGCCCTAGTGGTAGGGTTGAAGATTTCGTCTAGTGGTGTTGCCGAGTGATGTTATACACTCTTGCGATGACTATGCTGATACAACACGTAGCATACACAACCAGACTACATGTCTTTTCCTCTCGTCTACTCCCAACAAGGCTTTCAAATGCTTGTACTGCGAAAAGGCATTTTGCAGAGGCTTTGGCCTTTGTAGCTTCGTTGTGTCCAAGTTCCTAGATTGCACTTTTAAAGGCATATGCCTCTTTGTCTGGAGGGCAGCACCAGGACTCTTTCTTCTAGACAATGCCTATTGTGATCATCCTGCTCGCAAAGCGACAGTACTTCTGGATACCCTACATTGTTGCCGTACTCTATCGTGGATGGTGTTCGTTCACTCGTGATGTCAACGACGAGCCAAATGAAGGCTCGAAGATTGGTCCTCGTTCATTCGAATCTCCGTCATTTCGCTCATACAACTACACACCCAGCAGCCAGAGTTTGCTGCCTCACATTCATCTGTTCCTTGTCCAACACATTGTGTCATCTACCCCGATCAATTGTCCCCTATCTGTCGACGTCGAGAGATATCGATCAAGCACAAGCCTTCCCAGAGACACGAGCTGGTACAATTCGCAACACCTTTTCACGCGCGCCCATTTTCGACCATCTTCACCTCGACAAAGATGAGCACCCACCAAAGATGGCACCAAGCAATCATGTACAACAACGTCCACCAATCGGACGTTGTCATCAGATGTGGCAATCGAGAGATCCATGCGCACAAGGCTCTCTTGATGGCAAGATCTGGCTTATTCTATACTGCTTTCAGCAGCAAGTTTCCAGTCGCACACGCGGGCACATACAAAATCGAGGGCCACGAGCCTGAGCTCGTCGACTGCATGATCCGATTCATCTGCGACGCACCCCTCGATGAGGCCTACAAGGCGGCTTCGGGATCTTTACACAACCGTGCTCTCCGACTGTTCATGATTACCAACGAGTACCAAGTTCCCGAAATGGGACGAGTTCTCACCAGGTACCTGGTCGACTACTGCGACGGTCATGTCAAACGCCTTCGCCGCATCCTCGGTCAAGTCGCTGCGTTGTACCAAGACCATGTAATCGCCGACCGGTCTCTCATCAACGGAGTCGCAGCTTTGTTGCGTACGGAGCATTGCCGCATACTCACAAGAAGTGTGCCAGAGGTCTTGGAGATCCTCTATGTCCAGCGAACGACACGTCTCGGCTTCAGGTCTTCGACCGCGACATCGACGCTCTTCCCGCCCGTCTCAATGGCCGACTACTTGCTGCGTGACCTCAAGGGCGAGCTCTACGACCCCGTGTTTGGGCGTAAGCTCAAGAAACCGCCCGTCGCACTTCCAAATCGGCCGTTCAGGAGTAAGAAGAGCGAGCGTCGCTAGTCACGGGTTCTTTTAGGGGTGTAGTTAGATCAAAAGAGAAACTCATATATACCAAATCCACTCAGTCCCACGTTCCAAATCAACAAACGTTACATCCATAACTATGCATAATAGTTTTGTGATTAAGAGTAGTATCCATTGAGAAGCCATACACTTAGGGGCTCTCTTTGGATACATCTCTACCATGCAAATCTTTGTGCCTTTTCATTGTGGTTATACAATTTCATGATGTATGGGAAAAGTCGCTTTTTTTCTGCTCTCCTCTGCTTCTTATATGATGTCTGAAACCATTATAATGCACAGTGATCTCGAGATGTATAGTGGAATCCAATGAGATACGAGATTTCCAGGGCTTTCTTTGGACACTGTCATTCTCACGAGATCTTTGTGCATTACTATATCGACTCCGGTCTATACGCCACCGTTAGAGAGAGCATAGTCTCTTGTCTCTCTTACTCCTTTCGCAATGCACAGTGTTTTGAAAAGTGGGGTGATGTCCATTGAGATACATGGTCTTTGGGGCTTACCGTGGACGATAACCATATCACTGACATCTTTATGCCTTCCGATAGTACTTGACTTTTTCGTAGCGTATATGAAAGGTATCGAACTTCTACCACTGTTTGTAATTTTGTTTTGTTTGATATGAAAGTGATGGGGGAGATATGAGCAGTCTGCAGCTGGCAACCAAGGCAACCTCCAAGTGTTTGTTTCGTCAAGACACTATCCCCTTGTTGCGGCCGGTGTATTACATGAGGTATCTATGGACGACAAAAACAAGGCAGACATTCATAAATATGTTGGCCATGAGCTTAGCCAAGTCATCGATACAGGCTCTGCAAAATATGACCAATTATTGTCGGCGATAGCTTCAAGAGCTGAGGGCATCTTTCAATGGGCCGTTGTGGTGATTGCCCGCGTAGTTCGATCCCTGGAAGACGAAAAGCCTATCAGAATGATACTGGAAGACGTCGAAAAGACGCCCCAGGAATTGTTTGGGTTGTATCGATTGATCTTACGGACGCGATTAGACACCACCGACATCACTCCCGAGGATAGAAAAAGATTTCACGATTTATTCCAATGGGTTGCTCTTGCGGGACGTCGGCTTTCACTAGAAGAGTTGGATTTTGCTCTTTGAATTCAGTCCTCGGACAGCGACATTTGGCGTGAAGGCGAACTCTCTGACAGATTCGTTGGGCGCTTGTCGTGTGGACTCATAAACGTAGTCGGGTCGTCCTCGGTTGACCCTCGCGAACGCGGGCGAGATGATCCTCACTTTGTAGTACAGTTCATCCATCACTCAGTCCAAGAGTATTTTGTCAGAGGTCATGGCATGGGAGACCTCGAGAATTGCGACTCGGCGACAGCCAAACGCACAATGCAACTCGACATCATCAGGACTTGCTACAAATCTGTTCTCCCGTCAAAGCTAAGTCTAGATCTTCGGACTCGGAACATATTGCACGGCTATGCCTCCATGTATATGTTTTCTCATGCCCGATCTGCCGAGGAAGGGCACGCGGTACATCACGATCTTGCTCGCATCTTCGGATGGCCTGAAGAGGATTTTGCGACACGACTGGCAGCATACTCGCGCGAGAACCATCAAAAGCCCGAGGGAAAACTCCAAGAGCTTGCATGCAATAACATGTGCCTACTTCATTCCGCAGCGGAATTCGATATCCCTAATCTCATCAGCAGTATCCTTGAGCTGGCGCCCGAAGGGTTTGACATCAATATGCGTGATCAAACAAGTAGGACTTCTCTCCACATTGCTGCACGGCGAGGCAACCGCGATGCCTTAGACAGATTGTTAGACAGCAGTCGGTCCGCGGAGCCGGCGGTCATGCACCGAATCATAAATCTGAACGCTCTTGACGCAGACGGGTTTACACCGTTGATGCTCGCGGCTAAGCATGACAGCAGCCAGGTTTTGGCAAAGCAGTTAGTCGAGAGGCCAGGACTGGACTTGGAGGTGAGGGAACCTAAGACAGGTTCCACAGCTTTGCTGCTGGCAATCGGCGCCTTTAACACAATTGCGGCCGATGTCTTGGTGCAGCATGGAGCCAACCCCCGGACCAGAGATAAACTTAATCGGACCCCTTTGTCTATTGCCTTGTTCAATGCGTCACTCAAGATTGCGAACGAGGAACGGAACGAACAAACTTTTGCTTTCTTTCGCTCTATCCTTCCTCAGGCCAAGGAGGACTTGAACCTGAGAGACGACCGGGGACTACTGCCTCTGGAGAAAGCACTTTCCAGTTTCAGAAGCTTGGCCTTCGCGAGATTGATGCTTACAGAAGGTCTTGATCCCGACACTCCGGACGACGACGGTTGCGTCTGGCTGTCATATCTGGGCGAGCTTAGCGATTCCAGAACTATAGACTTTTTACTAGCAAGGCCTGGAGTCAATCTAAATGTCAGAGACCGTGACGGTAGAACACCCATTATACGTTGGGTGAATCGGCCCTTTGTCGACGGTTCAGCCGTGAAGAGGCTCCTTGAGGACTCGAGGGTCGACGTGTCCATTCGAGACAACGAGGAAAGAACTCCCTTGATGGTAGCAGCTGCCAATGGCTGCGCCGAGGGAGTCAGAGCACTTTTGGACGACCCCAGGATCGATGCTCAAGCTACGGACAGTCAGGGTAGCTCTGCACTGGAACTTGCCACATGGAGAAAGATTGCGGTTGAGTCCCGCCTTTGGGACGTCAAAGAACAGATCGCTAATGAGCTCAAGCCCACAAGTCGCAGGAATATTGGCCAGCTACTAGGAGCGATCAGAAGTCGGAACAAAGAAAAGCGAGGATCGTCTCTCCTGACAGCAGCAGAGCTGACCATCGAAATGCTGAAGGCTCACGCTCAGCACCAACGAGATCGAGAATATTATGCACGGAACGACCGAGTATGAGATCTTCGATGTGTTTTTGGAGGAGCATAAGTAAAACAGCATTCGGGCGCCTGAAAAGGACTCGGCATTTATACCAATACTGATACTCAAGAGCTGAGGCGATGGGCTAGATCCCAGCCAGAGTCGTCCCCCGGGTATAGCCATAGAACAGAGTCTTCACTAGGGCCCATGCACTACCCTTGATTAGAACACGGAATATGATCACTGCTTGCTGCCAGAAAACACTTTTAACAACCGAGCACTGAACGCATCATGTTTCTCGATAAGAGACGAGAGCTTCAAGTTTTCCTCCATCCACTTGATGCTTTCACAATGGAAAATGCAAGCATTGAGTACGCCATTTAGCAAGGATTTGTCTGCCACATCGTTCTTGATATAAAGCTCTGCTGTTCTCGATATGACGACACCAAATTTCTTTCTTCCTTCATCGACTCCGGTATAGTCTCGAAGATGACTTGCACTGATGTATCCTGGTCTGATACGATAGGTGTTCATCAGTTGAATGACTCGTTCGGTGACAGCCTCGCCGAGTGAGCTAATTTGGTACTCGTTGGCAAAGTCGAACGCCTCGAAGAAGTAGTCAAGCTGACCTTCTTCAGTGATTCCGTCAGGTTTTGCAAACAATGCCATCCCGTAGATGGAGCGTATCACAGAGTGAACGACAACATTTGAGTGCCCTTGGATATCGCATTCGTCTTCTGTAGAGATTGGCACCTTGCTGACAAACGCCCGGTGCCACACTCCAGATACAGCTCTCAGAACGACTTTGCGAGCATCGACTTTGTCGTTCTTGCATAGTCCGAAAGAAGGTCGTGCTTCGCTCAAACTTTGGAGGGGAAGTTAGGTGGTACCACCTAATCGAGACACGACACGCATCTAGTGTATGTATATGGTCAAGGAAGTCGGAACGATATGTTCTCAAAGGAGGAGGTAAGAGTGATTTGGCGCTCGCAGACGTGGCAAGTTTGACCTACAAAGCGACGGCTTGTGTCTTACGACACTGAGACTGGGTTTAAAATATTGTCCATGGTCATCTCATCGTCTCCACCAACCGCACCAGCCTTTGCCCAGAACTTAGACAAATGTCTCGTGCCGGAGTCGCAAAGAATAGTGACGACGCGATGTCCAGAGCCCAGCTCTAGTGCGATCTTGACAGCCGCAACGCAGTTGACAGCGGAAGAGCTACCCACGAACAGACCATCGCGCTCGACCAACCAACGAGCCATCATCATGGCTTGATCGTCGGTGACCTTGATGGCATCATCGACAAGCTCTCTGCCAGCCTCAAAGTTGTGGGTAACACGATTGACACCAATTCCTTCGACTATGCTATCGACTTGATGGCGACGTCGAGTGCCTTCGCGTTCGGTGGGTGAAAACATGACGCCGTGCTTAACCCTGTTATAGAGACCACTACCTTGAGGATCGGCCAAGACGACCTTCACGTTCGGCAAGCGAGGTTTGAGATAAAGAGCACAGCCAGAGATGGTGCCGCCGGTGCCTGCACCGGCGACGAAAGCGTCTAGCTGACCACCAGTTTGCTCGAAGATCTCGCGGCCGGTTCCATGCAGATGGGCCAGATAGTTTGCAGGATTCTCAAATTGATCAGCGAAGAAACCACGACCCTTCTGGTTGGGATCGGAAGTGTGCTGTTGGGCACGAGCGCGAGCCATGTTGACGAATTGACCCTTGTCGACAATTGAGGCTGGACGGACTCGTTCGACGACAGCACCGAGTCGTAGCAGTAAATCGGACTTCTCGATAGCTACATCATCGGGCATGCAGATGTGTGCGGTATAACCTCTTGCGCGACAGATGGCAGCAAGCGAGATGCCAGTGCTGCCAACTGTGCCCTCGTAGACTTTATCACCCGAGTTGGGTGTCAGGAAACCCTCAGCCTCAGCCATCTGGATCATCGACAGAGCCACACGATCCTTGGGCGAATTGCCGGCTGCATTGAGGAACTCTGCTTTAGCCAGAATGTCACAGCCCGTGGCATCAGACAGAGATTTGATGCGAATCAAGGGAGTGTTGCCAATTGCACCTTCGATGCCCTCCCTGATGGCAGATGCTGGCTGAGGAGCGGCAGGCGAGTCATCCTGTGGTTCGTTGACTTGCAGCGAGACTTGAGTGCTGGAGCGGCGGCGGATGCGATTCTTCCGTAGGCCATCGTGGAAGCGGCGTTCGAGGTCCGGGTAAAAGTCTTTGTAGCCTAGAGTAATGAGGATACCAGCAGCGAATGCCAGGCCCAGGTAGACTTTGGTGTGCTGGTCTAGCGACATTTGGTCATTGTCACATGCTGCAAGTGGAATGTTTCAACAAAGTCGGGAAGTCGCTGCGGTCAGTATCGGAAAGAGCAGCCACAGTTTCAGCCACAGCTTGCAGCACAGCCACATATTGAGTTTCCCGCAAGCTTGTGACTTCCTTCCAAAGTCGCTCTTGCCCTTCTAGATTACAGCAATGGAGTCCGCCGCTGTGTCGCAGCTGTTCAAACAGCTTTTCCAACATCGTCCATGCCGAACATGCCTTTCCAATAAACTCCGACAAGCGCCCCGTCGACTATACAGCTCCCAGAAGCAATACACCAGTCCAAACTACCAAGGACGACGGAAAGAAGACAACAAGCTTGAGAGCAACTGGCAACAGCGCAGCCTGTCTTTCCCTCCGGATAAGCTCGACGAATTCAAGAGATACCCACAAGTCACGTCGGATGAACTACGCGCAAGGAAAGAGCGGCCGAGGAGAGTGCGCATGTTGATGCGCGACTTCATCGAAGACAGTCTGTACAACCCGCAGTACGGCTACTTCTCGAAGCATGTTGTCATCTGGACTCCTGGCGAACCATTTGACTTCAATCAACTCCCCGATGAACAATCTTTCTACCGAGAATATGGTCAACGCTACAACGACTTTGAAGATCAGCTGGATGCAAAGGAGTACAACGAGACTCGCCAACTCTGGCATACGCCCACAGAACTCTTCCGCCCATACTATGGAGAAGCTATCGCCCGCCATCTGGTCGCAAACTACAAGTTGCAATTATACCCATACCACGACCTCCTCATCTACGAGATGGGTGCCGGAAATGGAACTCTGATGATGAACGTCCTCGACTACATTCGCCAGACCGACCCTGAAGTCTACGCTCGCACTCGCTTCCGCGTCATTGAAGTCTCTTCCGCTCTGGCCTCGATCCAGGGAAGCCAGCTCATGAGAAATGCTCAAGCGAAGGGCCACGCAGACAAAGTTTCCATCATCAACAAGTCAATCTTCGATTGGGACATTTATGAGGCTTCTCCTTGCTTCTTCCTAGCTATGGAAGTCTTCGACAACTTTGCTCACGACGTAATCAGATATGACCCTTCCACCGAAGAACCACTTCAAGGTTCTGCTCTGGTCGATGCGAATGGTGACTTTTACGAATTCTACTCTAAGGACATAGACCCGGTGGCTTCTCGCTTCCTGCGAGTCAGGGATGCTGCATGTAACGACATCAACTACGCGCATCCTCTACGCAACTCTCCCGCTATATTGAGGAAGTTGAGGAGCAAATTGCCCTTTGCTCCCAACCTCAGTATCCCAGAGTACATTCCTACGAGGTTGATGCACTTTTTCGATATTCTGCACAAATACTTCCCGGCACATAAATTGGTCACTTCGGATTTCCACGCTCTTCCCGATGCTGTGGAGGGTGTCAACGCGCCTGTGGTGCAGACTCGCTACCAACGTCGCATGGTCCCTGTCACCACTCCTCTGGTAAGTCACTTGCGATCTTACTTACTGTAAGCGCAACAAACTGACCTGTAATCTTATAGGTTCATCAAGGCTTTTTCGACATCCTCTTCCCCACAGACTTTGCGGTCAACGAAGCAATCTACCGTGCCATTACCGGAAAGCTTACCCGCGTCATGAAGCACGAGGACTTCTTCAAGCGATGGGCCTATGTCGAGGACACACAGACGAGGAACGGAGAAAACCCGCTCTTGAGCTGGTACAAGAATGCTTCCGTCATGATCACCATATAGAACCTGTCAATACTTCAGAAAAAAGAGATGTACCATGGACATGTTTATCCTTTCATTCGACGCTCTGTCCAGACTTATGCTTGAATATGTTCTGATGTGTTATGGTCAAGCACCAATCACCCTCAGAGTCTCCTGACCACAACAAACTGTCTCACGCGATCTCTACCTCTCTCAATGTCAACGTCAACGTCAAACCTTAGATAGTATCTTGTCGCTGTCACTGCTAGCAAGCCAAAAAGCCGTGGTGGAGCAGTGGTAGCTCGCCCGATCCTTGTAAACTACACTCGTTTACACGTCGCTCGCTTCATCCTTCACTCGCTATCGCAAGGATCGGGAGGTCGTGGGTTCGAATCCTGCTCACGGTGCTTGTATCTCTTTTTGGCGGATCAGTCGAACGGAAAAGAGAAGTGCTCGCTTGCACTATGTCATTTTGAGCTATGTAGGGTGATCAAGTGTTCTTGGAATGCACACAGAGGGCGATGCCACCGAGGACAAGAGCCATGCCTAGCCATGTATCTATTGATTGACAGCTGATCAGAAAATGCTACATGAGAGGTTGAATTGTCAGAGGAGGGCAAAACTTACCTTTCGTAATGGTCTTCTTCTCCGCCCACCACTCTCCCAACACTGTGAACAAGAACGCCAGAGAATTCGTGATCGGCACCGTAAGACTCAATTCTGCCATCAAACACATTAGCCATCCTTCCTTCAAACCAGACTACCACCCAATCCTCTCCACTCCCCCAAAGAACAACAAAACTCACCAGCCTGCCCAATCAACAAAAAGAACCACACACTTCCCGTCACATTAATCAAAAACGGCACCGCATAAGCCGGATTCTTGAGCGTATCGTAGACTCCATAGATCACACCCCAGATCTTTGCTTTCAACCATGGTGTATTGGGGTGCTCAAGCCAAGAACGCGATTCCGGAGTCGTGGAGGTGGAGTTCAGAGCAGCGCGGCGCATGAAGGGGGTTGTGAATCCCCAGGCTGCGCCTACGAGGAGGAAGCCTAGGACATAGCGGAAGAGGCCGGGGGAGGGGGTAGGGGGGGTGGTGTCGGGATTGGGGTCCATGACGAGATAGTCTGCGATTTGATGCAGGATGGGTAGAAAGGGCGCTTGTACTGTAGTATCAGAACTGGCGGATACTGGATGATTGTGCGAGTCGTCAGGAAACTCCTGGAGAAGCTATTTCAAAGCCCAATGTTAATGCTGTGATGACATTGACAGCTCGGAGGGAAGTCGCGATCAAGGTGTTTCAACGGCGAAACGTCGGCGGAAATGTTGCGACTGCGGAGTTTGGGAAGGGACACCTCCGAGAGAGTTCGTTGCTGCCAAATAATCATTCTATTAACATGCAGAGCAGGAGCGAATGCCGCCACGTATAACCCGCCTGACATGGCCGCGACTCTTCCCGCGATACCAACCATCACCTCTTCTGTACCCACGCTGGTACTCCATCAAAAATGCTCCTCTCGAGGTCCCCAATTCGACTTCGCCCAAAGATCCAGCCGCGCCTGAAGGACAAGACGCAACAACACAGAGTGAGCTTGGAGAAGCCCAGTCGACGTCGACGAACGTCAAGGCACAGGACAAAAATGTCGGTATTCGACGTGTATTGCCATCGCTCCAACGAAAAGAGCAAAAGCGCAAACTGGAAGAAACAAAACGCATGCAGCTGCGTGGAAAATCCTACTACAGCAACGATTGGCGCACTCCTCTGACGCTGCTTCGCAAGAACACGCCCGCAGGAGAACACCACCATGTCAAACAATTGGCCCGACTACAGATGCCCGAGGGCATGCGAGGCTTCTATCCTGGCAACCTGTCCAATCTCTTCCTGGACATCTACCTTCACACTCAATGTCATGTTCAAATATCTCGCGGCGATGAGCACAAGGACGACAAATTCACAGCTCTTGAGTTGTCTGGTACCCCAACGAGTATCAATATGGCCAAGAATATTCTCAATGAGACTGTACAGGTCGAGAGTGATGACGATCTGAATGATAAAGGCAGTTTGGGAAGCTACACTACCACGCCTACGCCTGTCGTCTCGGACGGAGTTTTGCCTCGCTCTGTCTGGAGTATACCACGGGCAGCGTCAAAACCGCTGCATGAGGTACAAGAGCCTGAGACCTGGTCATTCAACGGATTTGCTGCCTACGTCGAGGCCTTGGTCAACTCCACTGCCCCTCCCTCTCGACCCAAGTCAGTAGCACAGTCTCCAAAGACTGCGCCACACATCGATTCTGTCGCTGGAAAGTTAATGGCACTATACAAGACTCCCGAGTCTGTTCGCTGGGCTTCCAGTCGCGCTACAGTCCTGACCTTGCAATATCTGACCATGAAAGGCAAAGTTCCGTTGGTACGCCTCCTCCTCGAGATTATTGAGGTGCAGTCTAAGAACCATGTCTATCTTCGTCTAGCACTCGCCAACCCATCAGTCTACAATGTGCTTTTGGGCTCGACATCTCAAGCCTTGGACCTCCATACTTACAACTTCCTCCTTCGCATGATGACGGACCGTGGTGTGACTCCTACAATCGAGACATGGACTTCTCTCCTTCATCTGGTTCAGAAACTCGAGCCATCCGTTGCCAGGCACATCGTTAACACGATGCGCACGCAAGGCATGCTGGTTGCTCAGGCTGCCCGAGCTGCTGCCGCGAGTGTAACCCTCCGCAAATCTGCTGAGAAGTGGTTGAGTAGAGACGAATCCATCTTCGATTTCGTCGCTCACAACGACAAACTCTGGGACGGTAAGGAGTGGCTAGAACCGTTCGGTTGTAATCAACTTCTCACCTTGCTGGTAAGCAGAGGAGATGTACAAGACACATTGCCTTTGGTCAAGGAGCTACAAAGTCGAAACAAACGACCCAATCTTGTCACTGCGCATATTCTGATCAACGCTGCAGCCTCTTATCGCGATTTGTCATTCGCCATGGATGCCTTAGAAGCCACAATTGGAAAGACCAAAGGTCTGCAACCAGACCGCCAAACTTTTGACAAGCTTTTCCATCTGGCCTTCAGGCTACGCGCGTACAACACCCTGCGCGTCGTGTGGAGATATGCATGTCTGAGCGGTAATGTCTCTCAGGATCGAAGGTTCAAAATGTCAGCCGCACTTCGGGCTTCCTTGCGCGGCCTTACAGAAAGTACGCAGAGTCCGAATGTTGGGATTGGCGCAGACGAAACAACCAGTCGAAACCAGCGCTTCAAGACTATGGCTCCTATCGTCGCTGTCGGCATCACGGAGGTCATCAAGGACGTGGAAACATTGAAAAGAGTGTCTGCTACCCAGGCTGGAGAAGCTACGATGCCATCATCCTCGGACACCACCATATCTTCTGGTGCCGTCGACCCCACTGACACCGCTGCATCACCAGACGTCAACACAGCTACTGGCACCACACCATCAACTGACACCACCATCTCTGTCGATGACACTATATCTGTCGATGCAGAGCCATCTTTGAGCATCACTCCGCCCCCGAAATCCACATCCTACCTCCATTCCGTTCTTGCGTCCGATCTGCTGGCCCATGAAGCATTTATTCCCATCGAGTCTTTCCTGGTAGCTCTGCGCGAAGCGGTGGACAAGGATTTCCTCTGGAAACAGCAAGGCTACGAGAAAACCGCCTCTTTACAGACTTTACTCACGGAAGCCGTCACAGTGGGAGTCAGGCGACGCGCAGATGTTTCGTCGGAATCTCCAATCAAGAGAGTGGAAGTTAGGAAACCTCAGGGCACTTCCATTGAAGATCTCACTAGGAAAGACATGGTCAATAATCCTCAAGTTCGATTCCACGAAGACAAGATCAGAATGATTGAGTCCGACAGTCTCGTCATGCAAGAAGCCATAGCCAGGAAGCTTGAGCTAGAATTGCGGTCAAGTCGAGACTTCACATTCAGACCGTTCAAACTGGATTTGCAGAGATCTCAAGTCCCCTTCCAAGAAGACAAGATCAGAAGAGTTGAGACCGATACTGACGAATTCCACGAAGCCACAGCCAGGAAGCTCGAGCAACAGCAAAAGAAGTGGTCGAAAGAAGAATTCGAATTTAGAGTACTGAAACTAGAGACCGAAGAAGAAAAGCAGGCACACCGCGCGAGAGCAGAGCTCGAAAAGCAGCGAGCGGCGGAACGAAAGAGACTCGCAGAACAGAAACGATTTGATCTCAAGAAACGTTTCCAGGAACGCGAGAAACGACTCCAAGAAAAGAAACGCCTCGAAGCCAAGAAGAAACTCGAAAAGAAGCTGCAAGTCGAAGCTAAAAAACTGCTGGAGGCAAAGCAAGAACTGGAGCAAAACAAGAAAAAGCTGGAAGAAAAGCAGATCCAGGCTTTTGACAAGAAACTCCAGCTCGAAGCGCAGAAATGGCTAGAAGCAAAAGCCAAGCTTGAAGCGAACAGGACACTGCTCGAGGAGGAGAAGCAATCGGAAAAGGAGAGGTTGAAACTGGAAAGGGAGACTAAGAGATTGGAAGAAGAACAAAAGCTGCTGGCTATCATGGAGCTTGCAACTCAGGTGCGCAGACATGACGATGAGGCACTGGATGAGGTAGAGAGCCTTGGGGAGGAAGAGAGGAGGTTGGTGGCTAAGGAACGGGCCAGGTTGATAGCACAGGAGAAGGAAGAGAGGGAGAAGAGGAGGGAAGAAGAGGAGGCAGTGGCGGAGGGAGAGTGGAAAAGGTTGCACGAGGAGATGAGGGAGATGCTGGGGAAGAAGTAGAAGCAGCTGTGTATATATGTAACAATATCTTGTAACAACAGAGTGTTTTCAATGTCCTTCGTTCGGGTCGCCAACTACATGTAGGCAACCACCATTGAATACTGCGTGGTGGAAAACCAAACGATACCCGGAACCGCGCAAGGTCTTCGGCAACTCTGAACCGCTGATCAACATGACACTTTGACGTTTTTCCGTGTCTGTCTCACCGCACGTTTCTCATTTGGTCCTCGATGTCCAATCGTTGGATTGGACCATCAAACCAATTGGTCCTCCCGCGGGATGGCCAAGTACAGAATGTCTGTAATTTGCGATCATATCCATGCAGCGTTTCCCATCGACGATTTCTGAGTTGATCGGACAAAGGGGAACGATTGTTTGATATTACGCGTGTAGTAGTGGGTTTTCGACCTTTTTGGAGGTTTCTTTGAGTGATGGTATACTTTCGACAAGCAAAGAAGATTTGAGAAGCAGAGAGAAAAAGTGTCATTGAACGTCAGAAACAGAGGACAAAAAGCTCGTCGTGGAACAAGAAAAGAAAATGCATAGACATGGAAAAGCATGTCAGTGTCTCCAAAAGAAAACTTGAAAGCACTCCTTTCCGATACCCTCCCCTGTCCAGAAACCAATGATGATCGAGCACGCTCTGTCTGTCCAAAGCATGCTCTACTTCAATGCTATGACTGATAGAGCTTTGAGAAACCCTCTTCAGGGGGCTGCAACCAATTCCTGCCGTCGTACTCGTTGCCGCCCTCGATGCAATGGAATGTATATATCATTCTGCCCTTCATACTCGTATTCTTCTCGCTCTTGTGCAAAAGGTTTCCGTGTATGAGGACCAAGGTGCCGGCTTTGACTTCACCGAGCTCGTAGACTTCTTTCTTCACGGTAGTGTCCTCGGTGAGATCAGCAGGCCATTGCGAGCCAGCGTTTTCAGCAAAAGTAGTGCCGGTAGCATCTGCATCTTCGCCATCTTGCTCTTCAGCATGTTGACGCACAAATCTCGAGCGAATGGGCGCGCGACGATGACTCCCCGCCGCAAAACTCAAGCAACCATTTTCTGCCGTTGCGTCCTCTAATGCGTACCAGAAGCCTACTGCTGAAGGTGGATCGGTGTATAAGAATGTGCTGTCTTGGTGTGGAGGGACGCGACCACCGATTTCCGGTTGCTTGCAGATGATCATTGATTGCAAAATTCGGGGGTCTGTGTAGCCGAGGGATCTTGCGATTGCGGCGTTGGAGGAGGAGAGGGAGGCTGAGCGGTAGAGGGGGGAGAGACCGTGGAGGTAATGGCCGATTTTGTTGATGGCTTTTGATTTCGGCTTGGTCAGGTGGCCGTTTGTGTCGAAGGCGTCTGTGGCGGGTAAGTCAGAGTGTGCAGGTGAATGTAGGAGAGTGAGTAGACATACCCTCTTCAAAGAAGAAGCGGACCTTGTCGCCCGAGTCGAGGAAGTAGCTGTCGCCGACATGATGGCTCTTCTCGCCAGTGCTGAACTTGGTCATTGGATGGTCGTCGAGTGAGAAGTCATCGAGCATGGTGTGGGCTTCTTGAAGCAGCGCTTTTGTCGTGTCGGGACTCAGGGCATCGGGGATGAGCAGGTAGCCATTTGTGTTCCAGAAGTCGAGCTGTTGGGGAGTGAGGCCGCTGCTCAGGTCGGCGGCCGGTGGCGGCGAGACGCGCGCGGGCATTGTGTGTGTGGGTGTCGAGCTCTGGAGAGAGCTGTGCTGAGGTAGAGAGGAAGTAGATGGCATAGGCGCAAGAGCAAGGGGCAGCAAGGTCAAAAGTGTGTGAAGATGCAGATGAAGATGCAAAGGTCAATGGTTGCGTGATTAACGACGATTGGCTGCGCCGCCTATCGCACCCCCCGATAAGCCACCCCCGCCCCGCTTATCCGGAGTCCCCATTTATTCTTCTTCTCTTCTGTTTATTCTTCATTATCCCTCCCAAAAGCTTCCAGACGTCGCACCGTTCGGGTATCGGCTTCGTCCCAGCACAATGCGCCCATGATTCTCGGCTCGCTCTCCCTGTTCTTCCTGTTCGTCGCTCGCGCTGTCGCTAATCATGTCGGCTCTGACTACCATCCCCTGACCTACAACCTCGATACTGGAGAGTCCAGATTTAACGCAAAAGCCTGGGAGACACGATATGGCTCATACCCTTTCCACTCGTACCGCTCCTCAAACCTCACTTCTCCTGCCGTGAGAAAGGCCACAGATTCACTGCAATGCTACGACGACAATCTAATCTTCATTTCCCCTCGAGGCAAGAAAGTCGCAAACCCTGCCGTCACTATACTGGACAATCATGGTCGACTTATCTGGTCCAAGCATGTCCAAGGCCAGCCATACAACTTCAAAGTCCAAGAGTACAAGGGAGAAAATGTCTTGACATACTGGGTTGGCGATGATGCTGTTGGCGGTCACGGCGAAGGCTACTTCTACCTTCTCAACAACAAGTACGACGAGATTGCTCGTATCAGAGGTGTCAATGACCTTCGAGCTGATCTCCACGAATTGACCATCACTCCCGAGGGCACTGCTATCGTCACATTCTACCAGATCTATCCTCTGAATCAACCAGGTATATTCAGGATCAAAGACACCGTCTACATCTGGGACTGTCTGTTCCAAGAATTCGACATTGCTACCCAAAAACTGGTCTTTGAGTGGAGAGCTTCTGACCACCATGCTCTGAACGAGTCGTATGCCCTCATCGGTACAGACGGCTATACCATGGAACACCCCTTTGACTGGTACCACATCAACAGCGTCCAAAAAGATGACCTGGGCAACTATCTCGTCTCCGCCCGCTTCACCTCCTCGATCACCTACATCAATGGCCGCACTGGCGCAATCATCTGGATTCTAGGTGGCAAGCGCAACTCCTTTACCGATCTCAGCAATGGCCAAGCAACAAATATGCAATATCAACACCTCGCGCGCTTTGCACCTCTGACCGCTTTTCCTTCTCTCATGACAAAGGAAATCGCTGAGCACGGCAAGCAGACTCACAAAGATGGTACCACAAAGCAATTACTCACTCTGTTCGACAACGGTATCCCACCACGTCCTGCCCGAGGTCTGATTCTCGAATTAACATATCCCACTCCTGGAAGCGTCAACACCATTGCCCCCCTGACTGCCACACTCATTCAAGCTTACGAACACCCTTTACACATGGACTCCGTATCCCAAGGCTCTTTGCAGATCGTAAACTCAAACCTCACTGCTCACTCTGACCCTCATATTCTGCTGGGCTTTGGCTGGCAAGGCACTTGGACTGAGTACTTTGCTAATGGCACTTTACTCTGCGACTCACGTATCGTAGTCGAAGCAGCTATGCAGAGTCCAGGCAGAGGAGATGTGCAGAGTTACTCAGTGCTTAAATTTCCTTGGCAAGGCACGCCGTCTCATCCTCCGGAAGCGGTGCCGAGTAAGGATGAGAAAAGTGTCTTTGTGAGTTGGAACGGGGCGACTGGTGTCTTTGCTTGGAGGCTGTCGTTTATGGTTGAAGATCGGTGGCAAATCCACAGAAAGGAGCTGAAACAGGGCTTCGAGACCGAGATCGATCTTCCTCATGATTTTGGCAAGGAGCTGAGATATGTAGTTGTGGAAGCGCTGGATGAGAATGGAAAAGCGCTTGGCAAGACGCAAGTTGTGGATTTGTGGAAACAAGGGCTGAGGAGTAGGATCACGCAGATGGCGCCTTTGGATCATGGATGGGTTGTGCTTGGATTGGTGTTCAGTGTTGCTATTCTGCTGTTCGTTGCTGATCGTGTGGTCAAGAGTAGGAGAAGTGGGAGCGGGTTGGTTGCTTATCAGAAGTTGAGAAGGCATTGATGGCTTGTGTGCATGTGTGTGTACGTATATATATATATGTTGATACCTTGTTGATATGGATGTTTTCATCTGCTTCCAGCGTCATTGCCAGAGCAATCTGGCCGTGAGTATCGTAGCATGGTATATCAAGAACCCGCGACATAGCATAGCAGAATGTCAACCTGAATCACACCGACGACAAGATCGTTCGGCATGCAAAGCTTGAGACAAAGTAATGCTGCGATGTTTTCATTCGAATTTTCTCCGAGCATGACTCTAGCATGGATACAATGGAGATCAGGTCAGTAGGCATGAGAGTGATTCCTGTTTCCCGATTCAGCTGTCGACCACACCACTCAATTCGTGCGACCATAGTGAAGCATAGGAGAAGGAACAAGATAGAGGATAGGATCACTGACCTGCTTGGCTTCTCTGCTCTGATAACCTGCTCAGTAGGTATGCTATCGGTTGACTACAAGCATTGATATACCGCCGAGACGCTCACGGCGCCGGTATCTGCCACAAGCGGTGACAAGGGCCTCGTACGCAGATCTTGATCAGGGTTAGCGTCGCGTACAATTGCGTTCGGATGAGAAAGTCGAGGGCTGAAGAGTCGAGTTCTGTATCAGATCGTGTTACAAGAATTCATGTGTGTTTGATTGAGAGATTTTGTAAAGGGTTCAAGAGGAATTTGATTGATGAATTCGTAATCTCCTCTTTTGTGCTTCAGTCTCGTGTGTTGGTTTTTTTTAAGCAACGTTTTCGATCATTACAAGTGTGCAGAGATATTAACAAACGTCACGAACACGAATTCCCTGATGACAAAATGTCTACACTTTGCTATTCTCAACAAAGCTACGTAATAATGAGACACCGACGGTCACCAGGACCTGGCAAAGCCGAAGCTCATCCTTACTGAGTCTGTTGTCATCCTCGCTCTTGCTCTCACTTTCTTCTCCATAATGGCCGTTTTTCTCGTCGAGAACATTGAGCCCATGGTGGAACATCACGGAGTATAAGATGGCGTCGTTGGACTTAGACTCGTGTCTCAATTCGGAAAGCTGCCGAGCACATCACCGCAGTCAATGAAGCATGGGATGACCAGATGGAATTGACCTGGATTGAATGTGCGCATGTAACATGATAGACTCATCGTATGATTTTGTCAAGTACAATAAAGAAGCAATCAGGTTCACAATGCCAAGCAGTATATCAGTCTCTCCAGCGACTCCGAGATGTACTATCCTGCTGGTACGATAACTCAGGGTGACTCCAGTAGAGAGCCACGCAGAAGGACCAGAAGAACGAGAGAAGCTTCAAAGACCTGTTGGCCTGCCGTACATGTCTTGTCCCTACATACCGCCTTCACTCGATATCCAAAGGATCCATGAGCAGAACCAACACTCAACAACATGCTTGAGACATGACTTTAATTGTGAATATGAGAAACATGGAAGCTGCGAGAAGAGACGAGAGTAGGGTCGTCTGACCAACTTCTGCGACACCATCTCACGTCGCCATCACTACTCACGCCAGCGATCTCAATGTCGTCTTCGTCAGACTTGACCTGCTTGAGACTCAGCAGAGACGCTGTGAGCAGGAACTTCGTCGTCTGGAGGAGCAGATTGGCCCACAGATCAAGGAGGAAGACCACGACGATACTCAGACCTGAGCAGTGGCTTTACTCATGATCAACTCTGCGTAGGTACTATGGACTGGCTTGTTCTTCGTGCGCTGACGCAGTTGACAGTGAGACCCGCTGTCACGATCATTTTGCAAGATAGGAGCATAGGGATGGAGGAGAGTATCTCCACAGGCGCAGGTCAAAATTGAGAAAGGGGGCCCCACTGATCAATGCCACATATCTTTTCTCTACGCAAAGAAGCACAGCCCAGAGCGTCACAACATCGGAAGTCATGCATATCGTCTCTGGAAAATTGCGCTGCTTAGCATACCCTCGAATTGAAACCAAGGATGGTGACAGACTGACAGATTCAAGGATGGTGACAGAGTTCAGCGATCTCCCTACCCCTAAAGTTCCACGTTGTCTGCCATAATACTCTCTCATCGTGATTACCTGTCTCATAACTACTTCTCGAACCATATCATCCCTTCTCTCCATTTGCCCTCATCTTTTGACAAGAACATCTCTGGCTCAAGTTCGATGCCCAATTTCGTCACTTCGCCATTGAGATCCCGTTCGAAGACAGCTTTAGCTCTGTACAATGAGTCGAGGAAAACTCCTTGACGACAAATATCCTTGGAGCTTCCTGGTTTCGTCGTGTCGTCTTGGGCACAATCGTCGCCGACGTCACCTTGACCATGGACCCACTGTGTATCATAGTCAGCGCGTAAAACTTGTGACCAAGGTGTAGATGACACTTACAAAACATTCAGCTGCGAATAGAGTGTCGCTCTCGTGCTTGAGGGTAATCTCATATGGCCATGTCCTGTTCGAAGGTTGGATGTGTAGCGAGATCTCGGCCGGGGCGGACAAAATTGGATCTTGAGCGTTGGGAGTGCGTGTTCTGTAAGAAGTGGGTTGATCGCCGACTAGAGACACATTGAACACTCCATAGGCGGGATGACGATACAGACCGACATACTCCCTTAGATGCCCAGGAAGAGGCAACTTCGAACCAGCCGAGACGCGCTCGCTCTTGACTTTCTTGGAACCTTGCTGATAGAACTTTGGGCTAGTAACGACGGTCTCGTGCAATGAGTCTAGATGAATTGCATCATGTGGCGGAAGTACGACGCCCAGCTTCTTCAAAATTTGCAGAAAAATCAATGCGCCGACCTGATTACTGCTACCCATTGTATTTGCCATGGTGACGACCCCAACTCCCAGATCAGGTAAGAGGTAGACGTTTGCGCCAAAGCCAGTTACGGCTCCTGAATGTGTGATGAGGGTGTGTGAGCCTATCATAGTATTGATCCAGCCAAGTGCGTAGAGAGGTGGTATAGGTTGAACAGGGGCTCCAGGGACAATCTCGTTTATGATTGTTCGCGCTCTGGTCATGTCTCGGTATATGGCGTCGCTTATCGGAGAAGAATCGTTGCTGCCAGCTTTCAGCAATGCCTGTATCCATGAAGCATAGTCATTGACCGAAGATATGGCGGCGCCAGCTCCCGCTGCGGCTGCGAGATCAGGGTAGGGCTCTGGAATGTAGTGGTCCTCGTTCCAAAAGTAACCCCTGGACAGCTTAGGCCTCCCGAAAGGGTCTCTGGAGGCTTTGGCTTCCTCCAGAGAGGCGGTGGTTGATATCATCCCGATTGGCTCCCAGATAAGCTTCCGCAACATGTCACCAAACCGGAGATTGCCTAGCATAGCGAGCCCTTGTCCGACCGTTGCATACATGAGGTTACAATATTGCCATTTGGTCCTAGGTTGCGCGGTCAAGGGGAGATTTCTCATGGAGAGAATAACATCGACCGCATCGGCATGGTCCCAGCCGTACGCAAGATCATGCCTAGGCAAGCCCGATCGATGAGAGAGAGCGTCCTCGAGTGTTATGTGAGAAGTGTAATACTCGTCCTCGAGAGCATAATACCACGGCAAGAGCGAAGCAAGTGGGCTCGACCAGCTGATATCAGGAAAATCAATCTCATCGTGCACTATGAGCGCTGCGGCCGCCGCTGTGAATGCCTTGGTCGTGCTGCCTGTGAACCATAACGTGTCTGGTGTAGCCTCGACGTCGGGTAGTTTTGCAAAGCCGTAGCCCTGATCATTTCAGTCATGAAGTATTCAGAAAAGCCACAATGGACGTTGAGTCTCACCTTCGACTCGTAGGTGTCTCTACGGACCACAGCTAGACTGAGTCCAGGTACATGCAGGACGTCCAACAGCTGCTGGACAAATGCATCAAATCCAGCATCAAACACGACTGCGCCAGACTCAGCGGAGCCGCAAACGCAGCACAACGCAAGAAGCAATATCGCAAAAAGGTACCTAAACATTGATGTCAAGCACTAGTTTATCACGAGTAAAGTCGAAGTTTGAGGTGGACGGAATCACCGGGGCGGGGTCGTTGACGCGTGAAGGATCAAGAAGGATTCGTGTCACGTTGTTTGGCGACTCAGAATACAATACATACTCCGTGATGAGAGAGACGTCAATATTTGAATATGTTATGCTAAGATACACATGTCGAGTTTGGAAGGATGGATAAATCTATCTGTTGCCACCACCAAAGAGGATCGACATCCAGGACGCATCGATGCCCGTGACACATCTGCTTTTACCGACCTCCCTAACAGTTACATACATATCAAACAAGTTTTCTCACTCTGCTGATACACCTCAGTGTTACGGTCAAACTTTTGAACGACGCACACGTGGTCGTCTTTCGAGAAGGGAGCTGGGTCGTTTCCTCAGTAAAATAGCGGAAGTATTTCTAGAAAGAAAATCTATGCATGGTAAATCGCATAGCTTCGTAGGCAAGTAGTCTCCAGAGAATCTCAGGAGACAATCTTGGAGTGGGTAGATCGTTATTGGAGCTTCCAGACACATGACCTCTTCGTGATGTCCGGAAGATTGATCTACATATCGAGACGCGACTGCTTCTAAGATAGATTTCGATGTGTACTACAGATACTACGATTATAACGTGAAGTTCTGATGGATTGATGAGCTGCTGTCAAAGAGCTCTACCTTCCACACTACATAGCTCACAGAATGGAGGTTTTGTAAGATTGCGAGCCCAGTATGAATAATTGTTGTGTGAGGTATCACTATCCTTGCCGTCGGAGGTGAGCAAGCAGCTATATTTGCCTTCAATATGATATGTTGAGTTGACTGTAGCAGTGACCATTTTCTTCGGAGGAAGATGTAATCCTTTCGAATTTGGTTGTGTGAGGGAGCTTTACTGTCTTGAAGCAATGTTCCGGAAAGCAACGGTCGAGGGCGTTTCAGTAGACAAGCCATATCGGAATTTTGATATGAAGCGTATACGCAGGGTCGGCACGCGAGACGCAGCCTTCAGAATCTCTGTGGCTAGAGTCCTCTCGGCAAAGATGAACCTTGTACTGAGTGCTCAGTGAGATATGGGGCTCATACTGTCCGGCATGGCGGTGAAGACATGATGAAGATGCGGCTGGTCTCCTGTGCGGGCGGAGTGTGCGCGTAGGACATTCTGGAAGAAGTGGAAGTCTTGAAATCTTTTTTCCCACGCCACTCGTCGCTCAATCATCTCTTAGAGCTTCTCGAGAGAGAGTCGTAGATAGTAGAACGGAAGCTCGGTAACATATATATAAAACTGCGAGATGATTGTCGGACTGAGCAGATCGGGGATCCAGATCGACGGGATAGATCAGTCTGGCCTGTAGAGCCTTTGATATGGTTAGATCCAACGATAGGATGGATGTTGAACTTGCCTCTGGGACCCTCGAGTTGACAATTGGTCAGCAGGAATCGAGGGGAGTTTTTGGGCTAGATGGTTTCCATGTGAACGGTTTCTCGCCAGTTGAGAGTGCAGAATTCAGCACTGTTGAATTGGACGCGCGTAAGACCGCCCAAGATGTGGGGATGACGGTACTGCGCTTTTGTGAAGAGAAACTTTTTACTACTGCTAGCCGGATTGATCTGTTCGAGCTTGTGCAAGGAAGCTAACTAGGTAACGCCTACTTTCGACAGGACCATGAAGCTGTCGACAGGGGTGCAGATTCCCAATCAAGAGTAAGATTCTGCGCCCAAGGTAAGCGAGACTCCCGACGTGAGAGAACCGAAGATGTACACGTAGTGTCTGGACATAATCCTGAGTAGCTTAGCGCCAGTGCGGTAACGCTCGTGGAGATAGTACTGAGTAGCCATGTCCGTTTCAACCAGGGCCCTAGCTGAGGGGTATCGGGTCCAGTGGCGCTCTCAACCTCGCTCTGAGACTCATCTCCCGCTAGAGCAGAAACAGGTCAGCAAGGAAATCTCATGGCGTGGAGCGAAGCGGAAGAGTGGTGTACCGAACAAGCTTGGTGTTCTTCCCTTTTGGTTTCTGAATGGATTTGAGGCTCTAGAGGGGTGAAGGTTGGCAGGCGATGAAGCGCCAGAAGGAACGGGAGAAGAACCTCCAGACTTCAGCCTGAACTTTCTGAACTTTTCAACCAGTCTGGAGACTACAGTTCTGGCTTGTAGCTCGGTTTCACCGAGCCTGGTGGCGGGCAGAGACTAGACAGACTGCGCATGGTTTGTGAGCAAGAGTGTATACAACGAAGCGTGTTTGTGCTTTCCTTATCGATCTCATCAAGAGCATCGAAGACTGTTCTGACGTCCCCTTTATCGCTCTGGTTGAGCGAGGGGGTGATGGCAGGGGTGCGAGGGCGTCTAGTGGAACCGACGGGCTGCTGGTGAACGGTGTTGTGGATGATGGAGGTGGGAGAGGGAACAGCCATGCCGGCGTTGATGGCGGCAGCAAGGTGAACTTATGCTTACAACATCAATCTCGTTGAGTGCATCAACGACCTTTCTCACATCCTCCTTCTCGCTCCGTTTGAGCCAAAGGGCGACAGCAATGGCTCGGCGATGCATGGTGCAACTTTGGATCGTCTAGGCAATATCGGAAGCCCCATCGCGGTATATATAAGAGAACATGAAACGGCAGCGCATCCTATAGAGCTGGCCGTACACCTTTGAGCAAACTGATCTCTTCGGCCAGAAACTCATCTCTTCGAGCTTTTGCATTAATCATCGCTCTATGCCACTTATTTCCAGACGGCGGGAATCCTTCAGGATGTTATCTTCCGCTCCTGGTAGTGATGTTGGTCGAATTAACCATGTGATATATAAGATAGAAGAGTCATGGACCCATCGGCACTCGATTAGAGGCCACTGTTGATGAACTTGTAGATAAGGCTTCGCAGATTCGCTGCCGCATTCTTCACTGTGAGCTCCAAACCAGGATTCACCTCCAGAAACTGGCTCGAAGCGTCGGGCAAAGTCGGCGATAAAGGGACTTTTGCCGTCGTACAGTTCCATGGAGCGAGCCCAGAAGTGGGCTTTGACGGTCATGTGGCTATATACGATGAATCTCTCGAGTCGCAACCGGAACGTTACCCGAGAGTGGAAAGCCTGGTGCAGCGTTGTATCAGAATGCGAAGCATAGGTATATATGTCAGATACGGTGGTCGTATCCTAGGAGCGTATCATTACTCTCACAAAGACAAGACTACAGTGGAGAGGCCTCGGTTGCCGCAGAAATCAATGGGATCGGCGGCGCCAGGGACATTGACTGAGGGGCCGGGCAGGCGGACATTGGTATGAGCGACAGGTGGATGAACATTGCCAACGCCGGTGGGAGAGTTGACAGGAGCATCGCTGGGGATGCCGACGCCAGGAGCCACAGTAGCCTGGGTGCTGATCCCGAGACGGAGGCGCCTACTGGTATTCATAGCCCAGGCACGGTTGGTAGGTCTGATGACGAGTACGGGTTGACACCGTATATATTGGCGCATTGAGATGGAGGAGGCATACCATTGGCCACCCCGGTGTTGTATGGTTGACGTTGATGCACGGGAGGAGCAAACATGCTGCCGTACAGACCGTCGCTTGACTGGGCATGGCAGTCACACTCTACAAGTTAGACGGAAGTATGAGCGGTGAAGTCTGTAGGTTTGGCGAGCGTGCAGCGTAAGGGTTGCCGGGCACTGGCTTGTATGACGTGTTCATCGTGGACATGCATCTCACATTCGAATGCTCTGCTGTATTCAACCGGTATAGCATTTCTCCTGTGCAGTCAAGCTTGCGGCGTCTCTTTGGAACCTGTTTCAGTCTTGACAGTTGTGTTCATTCCAGCTGTACTGAATCATGCTACGATTGCAATTTTAGCTTGGCCCTTGTGCCTTCTGAAGCCTTGCAGCTCCAAGCATGGTGTAGTCCCATCGAGCAGCGGTGAATGGTTGTGATGATCAGACCAGGGACGCGCTAGAGAGTCTGACTCGAAGTTGAGCACTGCTCTGATCAGTCTAGTATTGAGATCCTGCGCTGGGATGTCACGAAGCGTGTGTTCCTCACATCAGCGCTCGCCGGTCCCTGAAGCAAGAACGCTGAAGATGAAGTCGTGGTTTCCGCAAAACAACAACTCAGCTGAGACGCCTGACTCTCTCTCTTCGGCAGACCTCCAAAGATTGCTCACTGGTTTGGAAGGCAGTCCCTCTCGACGTCACACTCTCGAGATCTATTCTCAGTCTTGAGCTTCTTGTCTCTCTTCCGCTTTCGGCTACCCAGATTGTGTTTCTTCTTGTGTAACGCACATCATTCAGTGGCCTTGCCGTAGTCACAGCGGCGGCAGTCTCGTGGTCCACTCATGATAGAAGGCCTGGGAGCAAGTAGGTACGCTGACCCTTGAGAGCTTAAGACCGCCCGACTTTGGCATACCAAGGAGTAGGCGAGAAAAACAGCCTCTGACAAGCGTAGCTGACTCTAGCGAGCTTATGAGTAGGCAGGAGGGCCGACTTCGATGCGCGTTAAAGTAGGCAGAGGAAACTGTTCCTGGTGGACAGCGCAAATCCGGAGGCTCACGGCGCTGTAAATGCCTCTGTCGCTACAAGGGTACGGAATCAACCTTCGCAGATGCCGCGATCAAGAGCAAGCGACCCCAGCGTAAACAGGTTGGTATCGGGCAAGATATCGAGTTTCATGCCGCAGGAAAGGCATGGTGTAATCCATAGCATTGCTCCCATACACATCTCGCAGCGGAGGCAGAAGGGATATAGCGCAACAGTCGGGTGAAGACAGAGTTATATAATGAGACACGCATCTCCGGCCATATCCAAATGCGAGAGTAGGAAATCCTAGTTTGTTCGTGAAATATTGCAGCAGTGCCGCGAAGGTTTTTGCTGGTGAGGCAGATCACACCACTCTGCTTCAGATCATCAAACATGGACCAGATCTTGACGTCCATAAATCAATTGGCAAGGTGAACAGTAATGACGGGGGTCGGTCCGTCGACAGCCTGAGACTCATCCATCATGCCGACAGACTTCTTTCTCTTGCTCCAGTCTCAGAAACTCCCTTGTTCTCGAAAACATAGGGAGTGGCTATAAGCAAGGACGACTGCTGGATGACTTCAGCACAAAGAGTAGCGTACAGACGTGTGAACTCATGTGAGCTGTCTCCAGTCCAGAAGTACTCGTCAGAAAGAGAATGCGTGAAATCCTTCTTTTTGAGAAGCACTTGTTCGAAAAGCAATTGTCGGCACCTACATGGTACCCCTGAGCCACAAGCTTCTCATGTAAAGACGAATCGCAGGGTTCACCCTTTCCAACTGCAGGTTCGTCGTGAATGCGGGAATATACTCATCCGGGAAGCTGATGCGACATAGAATCAGATCAAGCTCGAGATCCTCCTCCTCGAATAGCTCCAGTGCATGACCGTCGACGACAAGATGGTAGCCCGGGAGAACATTACAGTAGACGAGTCGCGATGAGGTGGGTTCTTACATAGCTTGGACAGTCGCACTATCTTGCAATTCCTCAAAAACACGAGGCATGGTGAGAGGTGCAGTCTGGAAATTATTGAACCAGCGGGAATAGGCTACGAGCAGCGGTTCGCCGACTTGGGTGCTCACGGAGGGCGACCCGAGATTCGCGGAAGGGTTGACACTAGTCGTAGTCGGTGTCATCCTTGTCGACAGCCACGCTTTTGGCCGAGCCAATAGGGATCTTCTCGACCATCTCGGGCAATCCTGTTCCTTCCGAATACTCCAGTATTTTGTGCTGGATCGAGAAGGTCGTCTTGAGACGAGAGCCCTTGTCCGTGTGCTCTCTGACCTCGGCGGTGACTATCTCGAGGATGAGTATCTCAGTCTCATCACTGGCGGACCAGACAACATCTTGCTCAGAAAGACCCTCAGGAGGCTGCGCGTAGGCGCGGAGTGGACCTTACAAGTCGGGAAACGTCTCCTAGGCAGACCACTGCGAATCCTCGAGCAGTTCTCTTGATCGAATGGAGGCTGCTTCCCGTCATGCGACAGCGGAAGTTTGTCGGAAGAGGCGACTGGTACTAGAGATAGCAGCAGAGCCTACCATCTTCGTGTAGCCAGATATATATATGCCCTTGATCTTGTGGGCGTATATAGTTTAGGTAGAAAAAGAGACTTGAAAAAGTCGGCTTGGATTCCTCCTTTGTATAGATGCTCGATCGCGCGCAATCCGCGTGTGTCTTTGCTCAGTATCAGCATGTTGGTAACGTCGAGGTTGATCAACGGTATGTGGTTGAAGATGCACACCTGTCAGGGCAGCCGCTAGACAAGATTCCAGGCAGAGTGGACGTCTGTGTACCTGGGTCATTGTCTTTCGGTTCCAGGCTCCCTGGTGAGTGTAAGTACCTTGAGTTGTTCATACTCTGGAGTTATTGTTGTCGAGCGTTCATGCGACGTGGGTAAGGATCCTGAAGAGCTGTGATTGGGGAGCTCTGCGTGGCGTCTCGCTTTGGTAGAAAGCATGCTGGAACTCGAACCAGCCGTGCTTGAAACTCTGCGGTGAAGTCTTTCTCAAAACAGATTAGACCAGATCTAGGTTATCGGTGGACCTTGCGTACACACGTCTTTGTTCTTCAAGCATGCTGTCGGCAGCACGTAATTCTGAGCTTTGCGCGGCTGAAATCATATGAAGCGCGTCTCCAACGGGAAGCTCAAACTTGTCACTCCAGAGGAAAGACATGAACATGTGTCCTGCCTGTTCATATAGCTCGGTATACTTTTTGACGTTTCCGACATTGCGAGCTGCACGGTCGACCGACGTAGTCTATACGGACTCCTTAGTTAGAAGAGACCTAAGCTTTTCCTGCATGAGCATTGTGAAGTCATTTTCGTGGGCGGAGACTTCCTTTGCTTTGATATAGACGATGGAGACGCCTGACGGGACCATGGCCTTCAGAAAGCCTTATTGACGCAGCAACGAAATCTTGATGCCGTCGTTTTCAGCACTGCTTTCGGGAGTGGGAGAAGCCCTGCAGGCGATTACAGCTGTTGAGATGTTGTGTGTTCTGAACGCCTCTGCAACAAGAAACTGTAAAGACTTGAGGTGCATCTTTCGCTTCTATAGCCAGATTTCTGTCAACTGCACGCCGCATCTGTATCAACGCAGTGCCATCATGGTAGTTGTGTGGTCCGGTCATACCAGTCGTGCTTCAAACTCTGTTGTGGAGTCGCTCTTGGGATAGATGAGACCAGGTTTGGATTTTCGGTGGACCTTGCACAGGCGACTGTCTCGCTCACGATATAGCATGGTTGCTGACGCGCTAGACTGTGCAGTATATAATGGATAGAGACAAGTGGAGGCGACTTCTCCAGACTGCTCATACACCTTGTGGCTTGAGACAAGGCATGCTTGGCTTGACCTATCTCCTCTCCGAGAGCCTTCATCTTGTCTTGAGCCTCTTTGATTGTGGTGGAAAGCAAGAAATTCTCCAATAGATGCTCGTATATATCTGGTTGAGATCATTGATCTTAGCAGCATGGGAGTCGGCAAGATTCTTGAAAGTGTTGCAACGGTCTTCGCTGTTCTTGAGCTTGGTGAAAACCTCTCATATATATAAGTACAAATAGTATGGCAAAAGCTCGTCTCCTGTCTGGAAGAGTGATGAAGCATGAGCGCAGTCCAGTGGTAATCCTTGATTCGAGACCTCTGGGGTAAATTGGCCAGGTCAGGTAAAGGAGCTCGATCATGTGGATGATGACAGTGGGGCGAGCATGTCGACAAAAGAGACAGACGGTTTGATGTGATTCGAACGAGGAACACTTGTGGTGTCGATGATTATGCCATGTTCGCCCATAAGGGAGATATTGGAGGACCAAGACCAAGACAATGCTTTCTTTCTCGTGAGACACTGTACCCAGGTGTTGTTAAGCAAGTCTTCGTGCCAGGTACAAAATGCCAACACCGAAGCTAGCAGCATGAATGCAGCGCGAAACTCCATAACAACTACTCGAACGGAGCTCTAGGCAGACTCGGCTCGGATGATGGTCTGCTTGCCAGAATAGATTGCGCTTTGGCACTGAAGGCTCTGCTGGCTTCGACAATGGTGAAGCGTCTGTGTTGCTGGAAGCAGGGACGTTGGTGTACGGTCGGAAGGCTGCGAGGTCCAGGCAATCAGTGGCTCGAAGTCCAGCGGACCCATTGGTATGTATGTGGTCTCGTGTATATATCCGTAACAGCGTGAACTTCAATCTTAGGAGTCTCGCTGGTTGCGTTGCTGTGCTTTCCAACAACGGAGGCAAGCACGTTAAGACTGTAGAAGCTGTGGAGGCTCAGCTGAGAATACTGCCTTCCTTCTTGACCTTGGCCTGGCTCACGAGTGTCATGTCGAAACCTGCCGCCATTGGAACATTGATGCCATAGTACTTCTTTACGTGCTTCTCGGCAGCCTTGGGACCATACATCAAATTGATGTGGGGAGGTTCGATGCCTCGCCATCCATTCCTGTTTGTGACTTTGTCGAATTCCTTGCCTGAGCCCATAGGCGGCATTTCGTATGCCCTGTGCGGTGGTAGGTCTAGGTTGCAGTAAATCTTATCATCCCAAGGGATGCTAGCAGCCGCAAACTGCTTCTGCTGCCAGGGGTGCCTGTAGATGCAGCGCTCGCTCGTACACCTTGACTCATGCCTGCAGTCAACCCAGATGCAGGGCAGACCGAGAGCCCTGCATTGAGCACACTAGAGCTCGTGAGTACAAGGCTGGCCCAACTCGCGACAGCGTATACATGTCAGCCAGTTGTTGTTGTCCTCATTGGCGTGCTTGACCGCAATCTCGCCCGGCTTGAAATGTTAACACAATGAGTGCACACGCACCAATCTAGACGAGAAAAAATACGAGACTGCTGTGTTTCCATTGCTCGAAGGTCTTCCGGGTCCGAGACGAGATTTGGGAACTGGCTCGAAGGCGTCTTCGTCTATGGACACTCCAAGGATGGTTCTGATTGGAGAGTATCATCTATCCTATTAGAAAGATGTTCGCTGGTCTGCTACGAGATGACGATATATATAAAACAAGAGCATCAGTCGCAATGGTGATCTCAACGAACTGGGCTTCGACAAATCCCGTACGGGTAGTGTGCAAGATTGCTGCAGAGATGCAGCTCTGACCACTGGTAACTGACGTTGTGCTGGACGTCGTGTGTATATAAATGGATGTATAAGATCAAGAGGCGTCAGTAGTGACACATACAGTCCAAGCTCGTACGACTGAGGGCGCAATGATCACTAGCAGTAACTCAGAAGTGCCGACTATTTCGGTCTCGAGCTCGGCCGTCGCCAAAGATCTCGGCATACTCCTCCGAGTTAGTGGCGTCAATCTCCTCGACCTCCGTATCGGTGTCTGCGAAGACCTTGCGGGAGGTGCGGCCCATGACCTTCTTCGAGGGTGTTGTTACGAACAGTACTAACCCCTTGCGCAACAAAAGTCGAGGCAGCACCAGACTCCTCATCGGCGGGAGTCGAGGCATCGGTAGTTCCGCTGGTGTACGAGGTCACCATCCGCATGCAACATTGGAGGGTGCGCTCGGGTATGGAGCTCTGTGCTTGACAAGATGGGAAGCAAAAGCAGTGCGTGCGGTGACAAATGTGAAAGGTTCCGCGCGAAGTGGTTGGCTTTGAGACTCGCGATTTGAGTACTCTGTTACGAGCCGAGCGAGGGACTGAGCCAGGAGTCATTTCAGCTTCTGAGGAGGGCTAGATGGTGTTGGGAGGTGTGGAACTGTTGGCGAGAGGGGATGGCTTTGTAACCCTAGATCTTAACACGCGGCTGCGAGGGGTCGGACGTGAAGATGGTCCAAGGGTCAACTTGGCAGAGGAAGAGAGTGTGGTGGTTGGAGGTGTGGGATCGTTGTTGGAGGGAGTAGGACCCTTGTCTGTGTGGGTGCCCATAGGATTGATATCCTGTATAGCTGCGGCGTCGAAGTTGAGAGAAGTACGGAGGGTGATCGACATAGTCGTCGTACTCTCTGAAGGTTGACAGAGGTCAGCGCACATGCCAACTTTCGTAGTGTATCACATATATAAATATACACAATGAGTATCTCATGCCCTATGTCCACATCGAACGTCGGCTATGGTGGTACACGACAGGCTGCGGACTCTGCGCGGCAGTTGTGTAGCCCACGGACATGTAAGTTTGAGCCACAGGAAGAGAGTGACTCTGTTGAGCATGCTGGGCCGTCACAGGAGTCTGCGGAGATGGAGATGGATGAGGGTGACTTGGGGAAGCCTTGACGACAGGAGAGGCGATCTGAGGATTATTATTTCCACGAGCCTTACACAAACGAGCTATCACAGATGGCTGTGTATACTGTGAAATCCTGAGCTCCCGTCGGATTTGGTCGGCAGAGATCGGGGCCACCCATAAGATGTTCATCCTCACTCGAGGATGGCGAGTGAGTCTGGGTAGTACGAAGAGACTCCTGTTGGGGTTCAGTCTGGGTTTGTGGTGAGCCAAGATGCTGAGGAGGTCTCGAGTGCAGCCTTGTGGAACCGACCTGGCCTGAGATGGCTGATCCAAAAGCACATACTCGAGAGATGATTCAATGCTCGTACATCCACATCCAAACAATCTCGGGCGTCGTGATACTGCATTGCTCCGACTTCCCAGACGGGGGTAGCTTTGCTGACTTGAGGAACCTCAGCTGCTTGATAATTGTGTCCTTTTGCTCAAGCGTGACGTCCTCCTGGGCATTGGCGGGGGCAGGCCAAGCGTAAATTTTCTCAAGGATCTGGAGAGGCTGAGCTGCAGCACCACCATGAGCAAAGTAAGAGCCGCTAGAGACGTCCTTGGGAGGCGAGGGAGTTTCGATGATGAACACAACACTTACAGTGGAACTCGTGGAAGAGGCGATGATTGAGTCAGCGACAGAGGCTAATCACTGCGGACCCCGCTAAGGCCATGCTGAGGAGTGCCATCAGCAATAGTAGGAACGGATACAACAGCATCAGATTTGGACGCCGGCAAGCTCCTGTGAGCACTGGTTGAAGCGAGTCTCGAACATTTACAGTTATCCTCACCGTCGAGAAGTTCATCGCGGAGAACAACACCAACAAGAGGAGGCTGCTCTTTGCTGCTGAGGTCGAGGGTTTCGTCTTGAGCCGCATCTTCAGTCTCCTGGGTGATGATGAGATCGAGGACATGGCCATCGACAGGCAGGGCTTGTAGGCCCTGGGAGCTGAGACGGATATCTCGATAGCCAGGATGATTGGCCTGAAGGATGAGCAGCCAGCGACGAACAACTCCACGGCGAACACGGAAGTCGCGGACCGATTGAGCGACTCAATGATGGACTGATACTCAGCGATGGAGAGCTCAGTAGCTTTGCCCTTGCTTTTGTCAACGGCACTCTTGACAGTCTGAGCGCTCGAAGTGGTCATAGCGTGGGAGGCTGTAACGGGGGCGTCGACAGGCATGCCGAGGGTCTGAGCGGAGTCTTGTCCATCGCGCCGTCGATGCTCACACGTGAACCAGCAGCTTGATCGTCACGCTGATGGCCACGGCAGCGATCTCAGCACTGGGATCGTGTTCCATATGAGTCTCCGCCGCTGGAGACCGTCCAGTCGAATGTCGTTGTCATTGTGAACGTGACAGAATCGATGGAGACTGGATATATATACACCAGCGCCGGGGTTTGCCTTCGTACACCAGGCAATCGTGGGCTTCTACACTAGCAGACAGCGAGATTGTGTCAGTCTTGCCTGTGGGACATGCATTTGGTCCAGAACATTTGCTCTGCTTGAGCAAAGACACCTAAGTCGGGCGACGACACGTCCAAGCCGTCGTTCACAGTGGCATCAGAGATGTCCTGACGGTTAGCATGAGCGCAGCTAACGTGTTCACGACCAGAGAGGACGCCGCAGAAAGTAGGGAGTATATCGTGACTGGCGTTGTTGAATGCATCCTCGTCGCCGGCGCGAAAGCACACTCTGTAACGCGGGATGAATCCGAAAGGCGTTCAGGGGCATCTCGCCCGGCAGAATGAGTGCGACTGACACGCTCTAGACTAGACCCAAGCTTATATAAAAAGTCGAGCCTGTCGTGCACCGCATCGTTGAACTTTTGCACGTCTCTACGGAAGGATTAGACGCGCTTGTTCTCGGGGTGGTTGGAATACGCCATGTCCGACAGTTCGATGTTGACGGCCAACCAAGGAGATACTTTGCATACTTTCTGTCACATCAGGCTTCGATGTTCTCCCGGCAGACACCACTGAAGAAGTGGTAATTGGGCACAACCTGGTTCGATGCATAGTGTTGCATCGTGCGATACTGACCCCAGATCGGCACGGCCAGTCTGCTCAATGCGACGCGAGAGTGGTTGTTACGATGAGAAGATACGTCTTGCGTATCAATGTCTGCAGTATCTGTGGTTGTGGTAAGGTTGATCGAAAAGAAAGAGAGCTTGACGCGCAGTTTGAGATAGCCAGATTCGCAACGATACTCACGACTAACTTTGAAGCTCATTATAGACAACCGCCTTAGACTTCATGAACTCGCGTGGAACGGGCAGAGGAGTAGTGAGATTGGTAGATTTCCATGACTGACGGTGCCAGTCGATTGCGGTTTCCTTGAAGGGGAATCAGCCGTAGAACGTGTACTCGGGTTGAGAAGGACATGGAACAGGTTGGTGTGGTGGAGCCTGAGTAGACTGAGAAGGAGCCTGGGGACGAGGCTGGATAGGGGTATAGAGCAAGTCGAGGTTAGCAAGGTCAGGTTCATCCTGGAAGACGGGCCTGGCAATTCCGAGCAATGATAACCAGTTGTGGAGGATGCACTGGTTCTCCAACTCCACCAGCAGGAAGAACCCGCGCTGGGTACGGACGAAGTTCGCGTTGCCAAGATTGGTGAACAGCATACGGCGGTGGTACTAGACGGACGGGTGTAGCCCAGTCTGCCAGGGCGCATAGCCGACTGACATATCCTTGGCGTTGGAGTCGATGGCCTGGGTTATGAGTGGCAGCTAAGGAGGGAATGCAGTGTGCGGCATATAAATTGATAGAGGGTTGGCCTAAACCTCGTCGATCAATTCACGGCGACAAATTTCCACAGATTTGTTGAACGCATCCACTAAATCCAGCAAGTCCTCATGGCTGTAGAGGTAGACGGCGTGCGAACAGAAGGGAGCCAACAACAGGAGCATTAGATCCTGGAGCTGGGGTCTGTACACGGACGAAGGCAAAGGAGTGACGTTGACGAAACGAGGATCGTCGGCGAGGGGACCCAAGGCAGCACCGGTGATCCCTCGTCCGGCCCAACTTCTCAGGAAGAAGCTGAGCGGTCGGGAAGGATGGAGATCTGACATGAGCGCCCAGAAGTGGTGCCTCGCTGTCTTCTCGAATGCGAACAAAACAAACAAAAGCGATGGGCGCAGACGAAGGCTGCTGGAACACAATGTGTCCTCGTCTTCCGCATCTCCACCCTTCCCTCGTCCGGCTCAACTTTCCCAGAGTCAAGCGGTCGGGAAGGGTGTATATAGCAAACGAAAGAGAGCGACAGCGACAAAGGAAAGTCAGAGGGAGAGAGGACGGATGGACTAGACACTCCTGAGCCAACTTCCGAGCACTCAGAGTCAGACATAGGAAACCCAAGCTCTTTCTTTGTCCAAGGCCAGAGAAGATATATATATCGCGAAAAACATTTGACAGAAGATACGAAAAACAGAACAGATAGAAGAAAGATCGCACCAGAACAAACCATACGCGTGCAAGAAAGAAGAAGAAGAGTAGCAGTAGCACAGAAGAATGTTGGACAGAAGAGAAGGAAGGAAGGAAAGAGCAAAGCCGAAATGTATGCTCAGGAAGCTCATGCAGCAACCTCAGCTGCCTCAGCAACCCTTGCCAACCTCTTCTCTGCGGCCTCCCGTTGACTCCAATCAGAAGCTGCTAGGTATCAGCGAAGGAACAAAGAACTCCCGATATCGCTGGTACCGATGCCTGAACGTTGCAGAAATAGCTCAGTCGGGTTGCAGACGGGTCGATGCAGGAAGCCGGGCGGCAGTCGTCACGTTTACCGCTCAGCGCGACTTTCATGCCAAAGACACTTGACACCTCGTTAGACTTCAAACCCATCTGGTTTGGAGAGCTGAACCATTCGTTATCTTTGCAGGCTTCTGTCTCCTACAGAGATAAAACGTGGGCAGGTTCAGATAGACAGCTCCATTCCAGCCACCACAAAGCTTGTAGATCGTATACAGCCGCTCAGGCATGCCGCAGACGGACAATTGCACGAAGCCGACGGGATAGGGAAAGAGCTCGTGAGCAATCATGTTCACCGCTCATCACGATAGTGGCATATTGAGACCTGCAGAGCACACCGTTTCCTAGTTGATTAGGCCAGTGTACGTGCGAGTTAAACCGAAGCTTCTGGCCAGCTGAGACGGAGTTTTGGTACATGAGGACCAACAAGAGCTCTCAGGCAGCAACGAGCAGACAAAGAACGGCCAAGTTAAGTGCAGCACTCTGATCACCGCCGAAGCTCAGACACGGGATACCGCGTCTACCCACTAGGCAGGGATGACCAGTTATATCCACCTGAACGGGTTGCCCGTTGAGTTGGCGGTATTCCAGCTCCATCCACAATGACGATGCTTCTGATACGAGGGGACAACCTTCGTATGAACTTATTGGCACTCAGGGACGATAGCGATGGCTTCCAGACATGTTCCCCTTGATGTCCAAGACGTGGTTCAATCTCCCAAGTTGTTGTTCATCGCGAGCTCAAGACGCAGATGTGACTCCTCTCCAGCGCCCAAGCATGTCACAGTCGGAAACATGCATGGTGCCGTCGGGAGACCATGCAGCAGAGCAGTCACTTTTCCCAGCCATGCAGTGCATGCACCACACAACCATGGTGATTCGCTCTCCCAATCCTCGCATCAGATGATTGGATTGATGATTGCATGACCACGACGACCATTGATATGTGGGGGACAAATTGTCTGAATGGAAGAGATGGTGGTGAAGGTGGTTGGCTTCGGAGAAATGTTTTTGCGAACAGACAGGGTTAACCTCTCGACCATAGTTTTCGGCCGTCCAAACACGAGGATGTACTGTTTTGTTGGAGCTATAACTATATTGACTAATCAGGCTTGTAAATATCAATGAGCTGTTGTACCATCATATGCTGTCCGATGCTGTTTGGTGCACGTAGAGAGGAAACAACGTGTTTCCAAACATCTTCAGGGGCTGCGTTACCATATAACGACTTTCCCGTGTCATCTTGCTTGAGATTCATTTGTATGCCATGTGTCAAGATCCCAATTTCGAAGAACGGTTGAATTATTGTGAGCTTGATTTGATGCATACCACCTACATAACTCTACAAACCAACGAACGTGCCAATGTATAACCAAAAAGAGTGTTTATAACACGACACCATCTCTGTCCATCAGCCAATCAATCATGCCAGCGTCATGCGGTTTCTAGACAGCATCGAGAACTCGGGTGCCACCCTCAATCTGAGTCTCAACGGGGCCTTGACCTTTCAGGATAGCAACAACCTGCTTCCACTCTTCGCCACCAGCTTCCTCCATCAACTTGACGTTGCCAAACATGAAGAATCCTTGTCTAGCACGAGAAAGAGCAACACAAACACGGTTGGCGACGCTCAAGAAACCGACTTGATTGATACAGTTGTTGCGGACGAGAGAAAGGACGATAATATCGTTCTCCTCGCCTTGGTAGGAGTCAACCGTGACGACCTTGATACGAGACTCGGCCACGACGCCCTCGACTCTTTTGAGCTCGCGGGTCAGAAGTCGACGCTGACCGTTGTAGAAGGTAAGTACGGTGATCTGTCTCGGCTCGACTCCTTTGCTGATGAGACCATTGACAAAGTCGACTACAAGCTTGGCCTCATGTTCATTGAAAGCGGACTTGAACTTGTCGTGATCCTCATGATACTCATGGTGGAAGAAGTGAGTTCTGAAGGCTCCAAGGCCTGGAACAGGAGGACGATCGAGCGTACATTCATGGTCCCTGATCTTGTCGCCGTAGATAGGCCAGAGCAGGCGTCTAACTTCAGGAGGCATACGTCTCTGCACACTCAACATCTTGTAGTCGACAGTGTTGTTTGCGAGGCGCTCAAACAGAGAGATATCGTAGTGCTTGAAGTTGTGAGTTGCTTTCTGGGCTCGCGGACGAAGCTGTTGGTGATCTCCGACAAGGATGAGATGTTGAAGAGATGGCAAAAACATGTTCATCATGTTCGCCTCGAGACACTCTCCGGCTTCTTCAACCATGACGATGCGAGGCTTGAGAGCATAGATCATCGGGCGGTACTTGGCAAAGCCGGTACTAGTGCAGCCGATGACTTTCGCATCGGCAAGGACCTGGAGCTTCTTCACGAATTGACCGCGGGTCCAGTCTCCGACTTCCTTGGCCCAACGACAAGCCAATCCACGAGCCTTCTTGATTATCTTCTGCTTGGCTTCGTTGACGAAGAACTCGTAGAGACCTAGCCTGTATTGAGGAGGCACTTTGCTGAGGTCCGAGAACTTGCTGCTTGTCAAGATCTTCTTCACATCCTTTTCTGTAAGGTGCTTGATGGCTGTAGACTTCAACACGCTGCAGTCAAGGAGAGGGATGAAGGATCCACGAAGCCTTTCGATCTCATCATCCTGTCTGGCCTTCTCTGCTGTGGCCTCATCAACCTCTTCTTCTTCTTCCTCAAAGTGCTCGAAGCCAAACTCTTGTTCCGCGGGCCAGTTGCTGTCGCTACTTGTCAAGGAGGCGTCCGGACCAAGCCATTTGATGATTGCGGAAAGCTCAGAAGAGCTACCGTTCGTCTGCCATCTGGAGTTCTGAAGAGAGGCGATGTGTTGGGGTGAGAGACGATCAGCGAAGTCAGCCTCGTCCATGGGTTTACAAGCCTGACTGTTCGAGTCGAAGGGGGCCAGCACTCTCTTCCAGTCATTCTCCATGAGTTTCATATTCTTTCTTGCGAAGCGAAGGCCCGCAGGCTCCTTGATAGCGCCTGGGTTGCTGTCTTTGAGGTCCTCCATGATGTTGAAGAGAGTGTGTGCTTTGACCACACCTGTATCAGCCGAGCGACCACCGAGACGGATGAAGGAGTCTTCGAAGGGTGCGATATGGCGTAGCAATTGATCAAGGGCGTGGTTGGTTTGACAAGTGACGATGAGAGGAGGGACGACCACGCCAGGTTTTGCAAGCTTTCTCTGTTCATCCATCTTGTGCAGCATAACCCGCAGGGCCATGACAGAGACATGTGTCTTGCCAGTACCGGGAGGGCCTTGGATCAAGGCAAGCTCCTTGGTCAACATCTGACGGAGAGCGTCCATCTGCGACTCATCGAGCTTGGCAGCGTCCTTTGGCATGGCACGATTGATGACGTCGTATACAGAGTCGCTATCGTCGTCTGTGGCGTAACTGAGGTCCATGACAGAGTCCTCCTTGACGTACTCGGGAACGCTCACAGAGTGTTTGCCTTCCTGCTGATCGAGAAATGACAGGCACTCAACCTGGTTGGAGAGGTCGATGAGGTCAATGGGCGGGCTGGTATTTTCGGAGACAGGTGAGACGACATAGTCCTGGAGGGGCGTTTTCTCCTTGGTCATGCGCTGTAGGGCGAGCATGTTGTGTCGCTGTGCCTCGAAGAAGGACGACGTCTCCTCGAGAATTATGTGCTCCACGGCCGGATCAAATATGGTCTCCTCAGGACGTGGGAAGAATACGTCGATCTTGGGAGGGCCTTCTCTAGGTCAGCATAGGGTTTTGAATCGTGAACTCTGCAGACGCACTCTCGTTGAGAAGCTCCATGGGCCTGGCGCCAACAATGGCGACGGTGATGTGCTTCTGAAATTTGTCCGACGTAGGCGACAGAGCAATAACTGAACCAGCCTTCAGACGCTTGGAGGTGTTCCAGTCAATCTTCACGCCAGCGCGAAAGGTAGAGAAACACATTCTGACACCCAATCCACGGGCGCAGAAAGTAATGCCTGTCGCAAAAACCTGGATGCTGTCAGTTCTGTCCATGTCAGAAACTGCGGGTGGGACGCACCTTTTCGTATATACCAATTCCGGGCGAGGTCTCTCTGTGGTCTGGTTCATAAAGATGAGGTTGCTCACGGACGAGGCTGATGGCGCGGCGCAAAGCGAAGGTGGACTCTTCGCGCAGGAACTGGTAATGAGCAGTCAGGTGTGCCTGTCTCGATGACCAGTTGCCTTCGACTTGGTTCTCAGGAACGATGGGATCGTCAGTGAGGAGAGGGCGGCTCATCTCCTGTGCATCTGGTATCTCAGCTTTGGAGATCCATTCATCATCAGTGTTCTTGGGGACACTGTCCCGATAGTAGCTATGGATAACAGCTTCGTGCGGCAGACTATTCATAGTGGTGGTAGCGATAGTATGTGAGTTGCGAGAGAGAGGAAAGAGAAAGAAAGAGAGATGTTGTGTGTGCTGATGGTTTGCGCAGTGACGGATGTTATTTAGATGCTTGGAAGCTCCAGGGAGGCGCGATAGGAGGCGCTTTGAAAGGCAGGCGAATAAGTGTTCTCTCTGTCTGAACGCGCTTTCTCCTTGCTGTCAAAAGGCAGGAAGTTGTGCTGAAATCAAGCTTGGCCACGGAGAGCATGAGAATCTGGGGCTTTCAATGGACAGAGCTGACAGTTGGACAAGTTTGCGAGTTTGGATAGCAGAAACCGATGTGGTTAGGAGGAGGAGATAGGAAGTTGGTGTGCGCCTTGCTGCAGTTGTTTGAGTCCCTGGCGGGAAGGTGCAGCAGCCACATGGTTGCCGTGCTTGTTTTCAAAAACTACCCTTACATTGCAATATGATTGTCATTCGATACCGTGCTTCACTCCAGATCCGATGTCATTGAACAAATCGCTAGAGAGAGATAGTAACGTATCCATTGGCGGTCAAGAGCTCTGCGGCTGATGGGCCCCTGATGAAAATCACACTTGTCAGGAGGATAGAACCGCGAATACCTACTCTCCGGCGAGACAGTTCCTTCTCAGACGGTCCTCACATTGGTGTACTTATTCACAAGGTGCTGACCAGAAGAGAACGATGGAGAGAGGCTTAACAGCGTCCCGAACACGGCGGTGGATAAACTTCGGGCAACCCCAGATTGACCCTCATCGGCGCGGCCTCCGCGTTGGTCTCGATGGACATTGAATTGTGGGACGCGACAATCGCGACATCTTTGGACATACACGGTATACATACTCGTGGTATTCTTGTGCGATTTCGTCCGTACCGGAACAGTCACGCGACAGTATCTGCAGCCTCAGCCACTGAATGCGACAAGTTTAGCAATACATGGTGTGACAGAGGTAGCGACCACACTTAGGAGTTCGAGCGCGGAATGGTGTCTTTCGAGGATGACGACCCTATAGAAGGTAAACAGTCAAGTCGGTCTCGTCGAAGTTGAATTAACAAGTATCAGGGTCAGGCGACGAGTCGCAAGATGAAGACGAGAACATGGACGACAATGATAACGACAACGACGAAGGAGAAGACCAAGATGAGGGCGAAGGAGAAGGGGAAGGGGAAGAAGAAGGCGACGACGACGACAACGATCAAGATGATGAGGGCGATCAAGACGACGATGATGAAGGCGACGCAGATGGAGAACCAGAATCACCCTCACAATCGCGACGACAGAGTCGAGTCTCTCCCTCAACATCACGACCGCCGAACCCTACCGTTATGCTGACATCGCCGTCACCACGCCCTTCCGCACACCAATCGCCGAACATGCATCTACCTTGGCCATCCGTACGGCAGGAAGCCATCAATGCTGCCACGTACGATATTGTGCCCACCATGGCAGCACCACAGAGCACTTCGATCAATGCCCTCACAGCTACACCAGACATGCGCTGGGTCTTTAGCGGCGGCTCCGATGGTTACATTCGCATGTACAACTGGGTAGAAACAGCAAACGGAAAAGTGCCCTTGACCGTCGCCCAAAAACACCCCTTTGTTGACAGCGTCATGAAGGCCGGAAGCTTGACAACATACTGGGAGAACGAGGAGCATTCAGTACGTACGCCGCCTGCTCAATCAGCAGAAGAACCGAAAGACTCGTCACCGGTTTACTCGTTGGCCACACAACACCAAGCGACATGGCTGCTTTCTGGGCTTGAGTCGGGTGCAATCAATCTTCAAACATGCCGTCACCAAGCAGGCACAAACATCACAGCATTGCGCGAACACACTTCTGCAGTCTCGGTTCTGAGTCTCGCTCAAGACGAGTACTCGTTCCTCTCTGGCAGTTGGGACAAGACAATCCTGGACTGGGATCTAAACATGGGCAAAGTCAAGCGCTCGTTCATCGGCAGTGGAAGTCAAATCTCAGCACTCGAACGTCGACCCGAATCAGCATTACCAGTACCTCGCGTCGCCGAAGACTTGCACGTACCCAGCTCGACCTTTTCATCCAACAATGCCGCCAAACCCCTCACTAATGGCGTCTCTTCCCAAGAAGAAAGAAGAGGAAGTAAAAACAGTCAAAACGGCACAGAAGATGCCGCAGGCTCGCCAGATGGCTCCCTATTCGGCGATGACAACGGCTCACTCTTTGGTGACGACAACATTAATGCCGACAACAACAATAACAACAATGCTTTTGACGACGATGACGAGTTCGCAAAAGCGATAGCCACAGGTCTGCAGCAGTCAGAACAGGAAGATACAGAAATGCTCGATGCTGGTGGTCCTGTACAGCCACCTCAAGACGACTCTACCGCCCCCGCAGACCCCATGGACACCACCTCACAACCCCAAGCCGACGCCTCCACTACAGATCAACCAGACCCTCTATCAATGGGCAACCCGCACGCTGAGGAAATCACCACAAACGGCCACGCCGACACAACAGAAGCCGACCTGCCACAAACTTCGTCATCAACCTTCCTCGACACCTCCATCGATGGCACCCTCCGCATCTGGGATCAACGAGTTTCAAACCCCATTGCTGTTGTCCACCCTTCACCTGGTATACCTCCCTGGTGCATGGGCGCCTGTTGGTCAGTTGACGGCAACACTATCTACGCCGGCAGAAGAAACGGTACCGTTGAAGAATACTCTCTGCACAAAGGCTTCCAAATGGGCACTCCCCAGCGCACGTTCAAATTCCCCGGTGGAAGTGGTCCGGTCAGTGCTGTTAGGGCTATGCCTAATGGCCGTCATTTGATCTGGTAAGTTGTTCTTCTGTCCCATGTTTGACTCCCAGACTAACAGCAGCAGTGCTTCTTACGATATTCTTCGTCTATACGACCTCCGCGACGTCGAGAACGCGCGCTCGACCGTTCCTTTCCTTATCGTGCCTGGTCACCGCACAGGCGTTATTTCCGCTTTGCATATCGATCCGGCATGTAGATTCATGATCAGTACTGCTGGCAACAGAGGTTGGGAGGGTGCGAGTACGGAAGTCATGTTGGGGTACGAGATTGGCTGCGTTATGCCTTCTTGAGACCAAGCGGCCTTGGATGTGCCCAAAAGAGTTGAAGAATGAGAAGAACGAGAAGTTAGGATACTACATACAAGATAAAACATAATCTTCTGCACTTCTTTCTCAACAGCAATGAAGAACTCGGGTTTGACGAAGGAGATGTGTGGAGACTTGATGGCACAAGAGCGCCGCCAGCTTGCTTGACTGACAGGGAGGCAATCATAGGCCGTCAATCATCAAGTCAGTAACTACTGGCACAATTGTTTTTGCTCTCTCTGTCTTTCAGGCCTCTGTGCGTCTCATCACACGTTCCATACTCACTCTCTTCTCGGTCTCGTTACATAATGATCATCACCAGGCTCTGCACAAGACTCCTTCTCAGTATCGAAGAGCCGAAGGCGGGGCAGGCGGTTGCTTGCGTTGAGCGCGTTGAATGACGCGGCCTGAATGGGAGTTTATTGATGTTGGATATGTATGTCAAGCCATCAGGTCCGTCGACCTTGCAATGAGTATCATTCTCTGCAGTCCCATTGACTCTAGAAGTCAGAAGGCGATGAGAACGGTTGTCGAGAAATGGAGATACTCTCGTCAATGTGAGATCCATGGAGCTGGTCGTCTCTTTTGAGTTGATGGTATCAACGGTCTCATTCATACAGTTTCGAAAGAAGCCAGGTCCAGGGTTGGTGGACTCGGTTTCTTGTAGCCTGGCTCTTTGGCAGCCTTTGTCGATGAAGCAGTACCTAGATCGAATGTCTTGACCGTGTCCGATATGTATATGGAAAGATGACAGAGAAATGTTGTATGAGAATTTAATCTCTACATAATTTGCTTACTTCGTCTCTACTTCAATCACTTCGCATGAGTACCTGCTCGAACCTCTACGAGCCCATTTTGATTGATGTTTCGCTGATGATCCTGACTGCTTCCATTAGAGAGATCTATCCGGAGTGTACCATCAACAATTTTGTCATCGTGTGGCAAGGGCGTATCAGTGTTCTGTCAATACATAACACAAGGGACCAGCAGCGTGTAGTGAGAGATCAGGTCCCCGAAGCTTTTGATAGTGGTTCCTGTCTCCAAAACTGTCTACTCTCTTGGTGATTCGCTGCATTCGAATCAAGATAGAGGTGGTATTGTGAGCAAGGGAAATACGTTACTTCCCTACGCCTCACGGACCTGATCGTTTCTTCTAGGCTCTTTGCTACCGATGATAACGATGCAAGCTCCCCAGTCCAGCCGCACGCTATAATTAGTCTTCCTGTTTCGGTCTTCGTTGTCTGCTTGACATCGATTTCGTCAATGCTAACGTCTTTCGAACTCTGATTCCTCAAAGAGGTCATAGATCTTGATATACAGTCTGAGCTGTGCAATACCAAAGCACTGCTCAAACGCTCAATCTTCTCGAAGTCCCTTGACCGCCTACACGTCTCCAGAAGAACTCTTCGATACAGACTTGCTCTTTACTGTTCCAGGTACTTTGCGAGCTATACTTTAGATGTTCGCATGCACAGTGGCTCTGGCTGTACTGAGACTTCTATCGGCCAACAAGAGTGTCTCCTCCTACACCACAACACAACGTCGCTGATAACACTCGACCAACACATTCACGCATCAACCTGAGAAGTCCTTCTGATTCTGCGTCCTTGAGCTCACTGTGTCTCGTACCCACCGTAATGGTGCGGAAGCGTTCGATTATAGGGTAAGAAATTTGTTCCATGGACGGTCCAGAAGGATTATGTCTCTCCACTGCTGCTGATGTCCAGTGGGATCTCGCTATATCTGGTCATGGATCCGTTCAAGACCAGGCGGATCATTTTGGTGTGGTGAGATTCTTGGACCTGATGTTCTCTTTCCGTCTCTCCACTAGTGGTGTTGATAATGCTCTTTTCCAGGTCCAGAGGATAGCAAACATTGCGCTTTTTTCGAGTGGAAGGAAACACCATGTGAAAACAGACTACATGACCCAAAAAAAGTTAGGTCTCCCTCACCCAGTGGGCGGGAAGGATAGTGTGAGTGGTTAACCCGTACTAAACTGAGCAATGCTTGGGGGGCTTCCCTGCGGGAGGAAGTTAGGGCCACAGTAAGCCATGTCCGCGCCGAAAGGCATATCCGCTCCTTCTTCTTTTTGCTTCTTGCGCCTTTTTGTGCTAGTGTAGCATGTGTTGTGGTGTTGGTATTGCAGGTGTTGCAGAAAGTGCAAAAAGAGGTAGGCGTAAGATAAACAAAGTTGAACACTTGTTTACGGCTGTTGATACGGCGAGATGTTAGAGCTTGAGTTCAACCCGTGGTGAGGGCAACAGCATAATGGCCTTAGACTCTTTTACTTGACTAGATAACTCAGGCCCAACCAGCATAATCAATCGGCAAAAGCAAGGCACCTCTCTGCTCGCTAACTCGTCTCTGAACAATTTCACTCATAGTCAGTCAATCTGTCGCGTTATAGCCTCTGCTAGAGACCGGGTCTAGAGAAGGCGTAGTGTTCTTCGCTAGATATGGTTCAGATACATGAAGCTGCAGCCAACCTGCAGCGATCCAGGCTGTGAGCAGAGTGACATCCTCTCATGGTAGATACACACAGTGATGTTGAAGTGTATGGCTTGTGAACAGCCAAAACTCTACAAACAATGCCAATACTTCTTTCCATCCACTTTCTAGTCTTGGTCCTCGAGCCTCTGTCCATCAAGAACCCGGTTCAAATCCCAATATGTCCAGCAAAAGACCAGATCAAAGCTCTCCAAACAAACTTGCGACCCTCTCCCTTGATCGATGCCGTCCCATAACGCCACATGAGACTAGTGCTTTGATCATATGGAGACGGGCTGGTGATATCTTGGCCAGATCCAGTAGGTGCTTAAGAGTATACAGAGTGATACATGTGGAATGTAGATGACATAAAGCGGCTGACCGTTCAAGTCGTGTCATCCGCGTGGGTCCGATTCAACGATGATATAAGATATTCTGACACTTCCGCGCTCAGATTCGCACCACTCGTCATGCATCCAGAGGCATACCTGGTCGTTTCCTGCTCGTTTGATGGTCCGTGTACTTGTCAGACGACTGGAAAGGGACGATAACCGGGTCAAGGGGGAGGAAGAGGTCCATGACCCCTGTTGCTATGCTTCCTCCATCTCTGCAATGTTCGTGTGTCGGTAGCATCTAGTTTTGTCGGGGCGGAGATCTATTGTCAGATGTTATGGACCTGTGTTTTCACCCTGCTGAGGGCTCCAACAGGAACTGTGACAGCGATATCTGTAGTCATCTGCTGAGCTAAAAGCTGTGTCATATCTGCTGCCTCGGATCCACAGAGCTTTTGAGAATGAGTGGAGAGTGCTTTGATGATTGCGATGTCAAGTTGTCGTTACACGCGCAGTTCAATTAGTCCCTTCCATAAAGAACTCGTGAAGCCAGGAAATGAGATGGATCGCGGAGTGTATAGAGCTACAAGTCGGGTGGGAGGTATCAAGGGTTTCCAGAACGATGTTTCTATTTAGTTCTATCATAGTGTCGCTTGAACAAGAAACGATCACAATCTGGAAGCGCCACATGGCAAACCTTCTAACCAAAAGATGGTAAAAAGACAAAAGATTGATTCAAGCCACAAGAAGAAGCAGATAAAGAGCATTCAAACCGGGAAGCAAGAGAGATGTTGATGTGAGCTTAGTGAGTAAGGGGTCGAGTATCACAAGGCACTGCAAAGTGAGAGATATGATCAGGTCTGTTACCCACAGGTGGTTGCCCTTCTCTCCAGATGTCAGTGCTAATTCTGGGTCACATCTGTACCACGATTGGACATTTCTATTGATAGGAGAGACATCCGAAGCGAGAGGATCATGGACCTCTCTATTTTCTTCCTTGACCTCGTGGCGTGATCTTGGGGCGCTGTTCGTGGCTCGGCGTCTTCATCGTTGTTTTCTGCAGGCAAGCTCATGGCGCGACCGCGGTAGTCGGTATGAGGCATGTAGGTCAGGAATGGATGCTTTAGCCATAATGTTATTTGTAGGGCATACATCATTTGTCTATACACCACGTATTACATAGGCAGACGAGTGTGACTCCATCGTCATCGACTTCTCATTGCGTCCCCAAAGTCCCCAACTACTCAACTTCAGAAGTAAAGTTAGTCTGTCCCAAATCCGTATCTCCAGGCAGAATAAACGGCTTAATCTTAGGAAGACGATTCAGGGTATCATCACTGAACCCAAGATGTTCCTTAACAACCTGCTTAGGCGTCAATCCAAGCCACTGCGCAACACTAACATCATTGTAAATCGGCGCCTGCAGAACCTCCAAATACACCAAATCCTCAGTGCCAGTGTTCTCAAGATAATGCGCAGTGACCACTGGCACATATCCCACGTCGCCAGCTTGGAAGTCAAAGGTGCGGGAGGCTTGGGGAGCTTGGAAGAGAGTAAGGCGTCCTTGACCGCTGAGGATAAAGTCCCACTCGTCGCTGGTGGTGTGCCAGTGCAACTCGCGCATGGCGCCTGGCTTGATGGTGAAGAGGCCGACGGCAAAGTCAAAGGCTGCTGGAAAGGTCAAAGTGTCGAGGATCTTGACGCTGCCGCCGGGGACTTGATAGGGTGCCTGTTCGGAAAAGTGGTAAGAGTAGCCCATGGAGTTTTGGATGTTGCCTGCGGGACCTGTGATATTGTTGAGAGGGTCAGAAACATTGGCTGGGTATGCTGAGCCGTTGAAGATGTATAGTTGGTCTTGAGGGATGTGGTCCAGAGCTGAGATGTCGATGCGAAGGTCTTTGGCTAACACGGACTTGGGGTTGCGAGCGAAGAGTTCGGAGAGTAGGAACGTGTTGTCCTCACTGAAACTGCCTTCGTCGAAGACCAGGAGGAATTCGACGCCGGTGGGGCCGGCTTGGATGCTGTGAGGGATGCCGGCGGGGAAGAACCAGACGTCGCCTGCAGATAGGTCGTCGGTGAAGGTTTCACCAGCTTCGTTGACGGCGTTGATGCGGACTGAGCCGTTCATGATGTAGGACCATTCGTTGGCTTGGTGCCTGGGATCTGTCAGATGCTTGTATGGCTCGACACGTGATGTAGAACTTACCAGTGCAGCTCCCTGTATGCATAAGGCTCGAGGTGCATGTCAACACCAGCCATGTTCTTAGCGACAGGCAAAAGGTCAACATTCTGCTGTCTTGCCCATCCTGCACCGTTCTTTCCATGTCTGTTGTGGGAAAGGCCCAAAGGCCACTTAGCGTTCGAAACATCGCCAGCGTCGGTACCCTGTAGACAGAACGGTCAGATACAATCGCGATTGACAGCAATAAAATCAGACTTACAGGAGGGATATACAAGTCCGGGTTCTGCTTCTCCAACAACTCATTTCTCGGTCCAGGATCTGTAGGTGATTTTCCTCCTTCACCACGGATAGGCTGTGGGTTCTCGATCTTACTCAGATCAAGGTAAAATCCTGTATCCGCATCCGCAGTCTGCAGAGGTCCTACACTGAAAGCACTTGACGGTACAACAGCAGGATCGTACGAGCTGATAACATTGGTAGGATTGACACCGAGGAGTTCAGAGCCACCTCTGAGTTGGCCAGAAGCACCTGGGGGTCCGAAGGGGGTAGCAGTGGGATTGTTCGTATTGTCCAAGAATTGTACGGCAGACTCTTGACGAGGCTTGACTTTGTTTGGGACTGGTGCTGGAGCAGCAAAGACGAAGTTCAGTAGACCTGAGGCCACAAGCAGAGAAGTTCCCGTCCTCATGATGTGGTGGATTGAAAGGGACTGAAGCTTTCGCCTCAAGCTCAAGAGCCGCGTCCTACTTTATACTGGATGAGTAGCACAGAACATACCCCGCGGCGTCCGATTCTCGGCCATAGGTAGTCGTCATGATGGTAAACTCGGTGTTGAGTGCTCCGAGGCTATGTGACAGGGGAAAGTATGACATATTTTGCGGCATGTCTCAGTTGATCCAATTGGTTGTTTTTATCTGCCGGTAGATGATCGAATGTTATGAGCTCGCAGTTGGCATCGTGCGGAGACGCAACCCGAATCGATCATCCTGATCATGGCGGTATGAGCCGCACCTTGACCTTGCTGGCAGTTCCTAGAACCGGTTGTGCCCGGTCAAGAGACGTCTGAACCTTGTACTCTCAGTGTTTGTGACATTTGCTGAGAGAAGTTCGACTCTCGAGTAACACAGCGAGACCATCAATCGATCGCTCCAAGTCCTCATGCACCACACCTCTGTCTTAGCCCCATGTATCCCAATCAATCGCCAGCCGCAATTGTGTTCGTCAAGCGAGACATGGATGTTCAAAGATACATGCATCAGTACCTGTCAACTCATGCACGGAGGTGAAACAAAAACTCCGCAACCTCAAAGGAACAATGTTTGGTGATGTCGTCATCGTTCAACCTTCCCCTCACTCTTTATTGCTTTCAAGCTTTCGCCAATTGCGAGTCTTAATCGCTCACTCTATTTAGCCCCGGAAGTGTCGGCATGGGACCATCATGATGATAGCGGGATCGTGATACTGACACTCATTACGCGGCATGAACAGCGGTGTGATGAGAAAAGGTCAAGATTTGCATATTCTATATACAACATACGGACGTACGCATGGCAGAGCACGCAATATCGCGCTTCAATTCTGCCTGTATATATCGAGTATCGTAAACGAAGAGCAGATGCCGCCTGCACACATCTAAGCACCAGGTCTCGAATAATCCAAGTGCCTCACTCTCTTCCACACTTCTCTGACCACTCTCTCCTGACTTTCCCTGCCAGTCTCTGTAGCAGAAGACCCAGCAGGTCTGATGGCAAGATACAGTCGACTTCCCAACTTGACATCAGTGATTTCTGCAGTGGCAGGGTCGGAAGGTGGATTGGCGGTGGTGACTAGACCGCCAGCTTCTTGGAGGAGGCAGATTCCGGCTGCGACGTCCCATTCCCAGCATCCGCCTTCCCACCATATGTCGAAGGAACCCATGGCTACGTATGCAAGGTCGAGTGTTGCGCTGTTAGTGTTTCGTTAGTGATTGCGTCGGATGAGTAAGGGCCTCAGTGAGTGAGGTCAGGAAGAAAGAAGCAAAAACTCACGATCCAAGACTTCGTACTCCATGCACCATGCCGCCCTTCCCACCTCTTCCCCCAATCTCCCCGGCCATATTCACAAAACTCTCAATCTTCCTGTACAAATTGCCATCAGGAACGTCCTTCCTATCCTTACCCCACTCGCAAGAAAACACACAACCCTTGGGTGCCTGCTCAGGCATCGGCGGCACTGGATTCCTGACTAGAGGAAGTCGTCTGGTTTCATTCAACCAAGCTCCCTGGCCCGAGCAAGCGGAAAAGATTTGGTTGAGGAAGGGAGCGTAAATGACTCCGATGGTGGGTTTGGAGTCGAGGATGAAGGCGATGGAGACGCAGAACATGGGGAAGAGATGGGTGTAGTTTACGGTGCCGTCGAGGGGGTCGACGCACCACGTTGGTGCGGAGGTGATGAGGTAGTCTTTTGAGGCGCCTTTGGAGTAGGTTTCTTCGCCGATGAAACTGGTGAGGATGGTCAGTGGTGGTTAGGATGAGCAATGGCGAGGTAAAGACGTCTTACTCGTGAGAGGGATATTTTTTGGTGATTCGCTCTTTGACAAAGGCTTCGACGTCTGTTGTGAAGCTCATATCAGTATTGCTCGGTGTAATTTATATGATTTGTCTCCTGTCATCTCATATGCCTATCTTCAGAATTATGAGATTGATGATGATGACCAGTAATGAGAATGACATGGAAACAAACCACGAACCTTCATCAGTCTGGGTAACAATATCCACAGAACTGTCCTTCTCGACCTGCTCTTGCTGTATACCTGCAGTGCTGTCATTGCCGCATCGAGCGTCCACACCATCCATCAACATGCGTCCCGCATCTTTGGCTAATTGCACAGCAAAGTCATAGATCTCTTTGAGATGCTCTGGCGTAAATTCTGTATGCGACATGATATAATTGATGATCAGGAGAAAGAGTCAAGATTGGAGTCAAGATTGGATGATAACCATATTCACGCCAAGGAGGACTTCCGGGACTTGCTCCACAAAACACGATCGAGGCGGGACATCAGGGCCGCTTCCGTGTCTGGAGTAATGGAGGTATGGGGACATAAAATGATGGAGAATGAAGAACGAGAAATGTCATATTCGAAGGGTTTGCTATGAAATGCGATCCAGCGCAGAGCCTCTTGGGTATGGATAACAATGCCATGAGGTCGTCGTTATTCACTTCCTGAACACCAGGGGTCCCGCTATGCTACCGACTAGGATATAAATGCAAGACTTGAAAAGGAATTGTCGTAGCAGAATCTATCTGCGTTCATGATGATCGTTATAGGTGGGGAGGTCGTCAAGTTCGACGTGGTCGTGAGTATTCGTGGCGGTCGAGGTGGGTATAGTATTACTTGAGGAGGCTCTTTCGGGCGCGATTGGCGAAACAACAGCCTCGGTGTAGTCGGGAGGTTTGAGACCAGTGTTTTCTCTGCCTAGCGTTGGACGGGGTACTGCCGGAGTGGTGATGGTGTCAGGGGCAGCAGGACGGGCGATCTCGAGTACAGTGTCGTTCTGGTCGGGGGCAGACTTGTAGGCAGGAGGAGCCTCGCCTGCCTCGTTCAGACCATCGTCGTCTCTTCTGCGACGCCATGGAGAAGGTATGCCCAATGCTCCTCTTGTACCCAGCGGGTGGGCGCTGGGATCAGGCCCACTTGCGTAGTCGCGTGATAAGGCACCCCAGCCCCAGCCTCTGTTGGCGCGCAGGCCTTGGTCCTCGATGTCGCGCGACAAGGCGATTTGGCGCGAGAGATTGGCGCGGCGACGGAGGGCCTTCTTATGGCGATAAAAGACGCAAGATCCGAGGAGGGCGACGGCGACGATGACGGCGATGAAGACAAAGTAGTTCTGGTATATATCTCCAAAGCTTCTTTCTGATGATGAAGAGGCGTCATCTGAGGTGGTTGTAGGTGTGCTGTATGCGTCTGACGTGACAGCGGCCCAGCTCGTAGTGGTGGCTGCGGCGGCCATGGCGGAGACGGGATGGTATTGATTGGACGCGGTGTCTATCTCTCAGGTGCAGACGGCGAATAGACGTCGGTCGAAGAGGGAATGCGGCGAGTGTGAGGGGAAGAAGGCAACAAGTAATGCGGTGCGGATGGCTCGGGTGTGTGACTTGAGGACGAAAAGCTCCGCGGATGGTCGAGGACTTGATGTGAGACGCGGACTGAGACGAGATGTGGACGGAAATTTGCTTGTCGAGAAGAGTTACGAGTAGAGAAGAAAAGCAGGCGACATGATGCTTGAGTGACAGCACGAGTAGACTGCGGTGTTGCAAGGACCAAGGGAGGAAAGAGCGAGACAGAGACGCTTTCACATGCCCAAGAATTCCACGAGCCGCAGCTTCCCGCGACGTCAACCAAGACCCATCAAGGTTTCTTTCCCCAATTTCTTCCTCGTCGCCCTTCGTCCTGCAAAACCATCCATTTATCGACCACTCAACGTATACAACTCTCCTACCCATTCCTCAACGCAACTCAGCTCATCCAACATGCCTCGTGCGACAGCCGGTAAGCCCCCGCCTTCCAGCCATCCTTCTCATCGCTCCAATTTCTGACAACACTTCCGAAGGTACCCTGGTCCAGTGCGATCCCTCAATCAAAGCCATCATCAGCAAAATCAACGAAGAAAACGGCGGCCTCTATATCTCCGAAGACATTGACGACGAGACATGCTTGATCAACACTAAGAAGCTTGATGAACTCAAGCAAAAGCTCAAAGATGTACGACTTTTCTCTACCAGCACGTCGCACGACCATATACTGACCATATATCAGGCCCTCAAAGACACTGTTCGTGAAGCAGAAGACTCGAGCTCCGAGTAGAGTGACGATCTTCGAGTCGCTCCACGTATCGACCACAAGGCTGGAACTTCTGTACCTTGGACCTCTCGCTGGACGAACAAAATGGTCAAGTACTACAAACGAGACAAACGAGCTCGCATCCGCCGTGCTAAGGCCGCCGCCGCCCAATGTTCCAATCATGAAAACGCAACCGATTCCTAATAACACAGTGGACTTTGCACCGAGTATGATTTCCAAGTACATTGCGTCAATCCTCATACTGACAAGCCAACAGCCATCAAATATTCCAACTCTAGAGCTTCTCAGCTCTTCCCAAAAAGCCATTTCAACTATCACATCCTCTCAACCACCACCTTACATCGTATCCTTCTGCTCCGCTCCCTCCAGCGCACCAATCCATCCAGGTCTCTCAGGCGCAAACAATTCAACATTAGGCTTGCTAGCCTCTAGCGTCTTGCCACCAAGCACACCAGCCTTGACAATCTTCATACCCGGGAAATTCTCTCCATCTCTGTACAAGGTGGATCCGCAGTCGCCACAGAAGTAGGAAGTGATCTTCTTGCCAGAATCAGCGGTCTTGGTGTAGGACTTGGGGCTGCCGGTCACGGAGAAGCCTTCGCCCGAGACTACGTTGTTGACGCTGAAGGCGGAGCCGCTAATCTTTTGGCAGTCGGTGCAGTGGCAGAGTGCCTGTTGATGTCAGTCATGGTTCATAGGATTGAGGAGAAGGGAGAGAAAGAGGGGTCGTAAGGTGGGAAGGTCTACCTTTAGTGCTGGCTCTCCCTGATACTCAATCGAGACGTTTCCGCAAAGACAGCTTCCAGATGCCATGATGGATGTTTGTAATGTGTTTGTTCGTTATTGAAGATGTAGTAGTTGCAGGTGCGATTGAAGCTGTAATGTCTCAAGGGCTAGCTGCAGGCGCTGCTTTATCAATCAAAACAACAGTAAGCGGGGTAATGGTGAAGCCTATCTTCCTTTGTTACCCTTCAGACCGAGGTGTGTTTGGTTGCAAGAACGGGCGGTGTAGAAGGTGCGTCATCGTTTTCAAAGCTCTGGAGCCTCTTGGCCACGACTTTTGGCCATCTGTGACTTTCTGATTTGGATGCCTCAAACACCCTGGTATCAATTATCGACAACGATATCTTTGACAGTTCAGTTTCTTCTGTTCGGCTTTGAACACCCAGGCAATTATAACAGTTTTGAGAACCCACGACGGGTGATATTCTTGATTTTTACAAGGCTCGCGCGGGTATACATCCTTGCTAGACCTGTGCAATATTGATTGAAGCCAGCGTCACCTGCAAGTCAAGCGTCACTTTGCAAGAGACATCGATTGATCAAAATGAAAAATCTGTTTTGGTTATTCGGCCTGCCTTTCTAATTACTTTTTGCTGTTCTCAAGGATACATCTCAGCCTCCCCCTTACTCGGAAGCAGCAAGACATTCTCCCTATTCATCTCCCTAGCCAATGGCCCATCCACCCTCCCGCCCACTCTTGCATCTCGAAAGTGAGTCTTCAAATACCAATCATTGTGCACCTCATCGCAAACCCTCTGATAAGTCTCGTGCGCAATAATCTCTGCTACCTTCTTAATACCCCAGCTTCTCCTCCTCGCTTTGAGGGCCAAAGCAGACCATTCTGCATCCATGAATTCGTGTGCAGGTAAAGGGCCGTGGACAGCATTCTTCTATCGCTTGGCCACGCCAGAGGCCTTTGAGAACAAGAGCTTGAAACCGTTCTTCAGCGCACGCATATCGGGGTAAGGATGGCGTTGGAGCTCAAAGGCATTAGGGATGACTTTGACGGGCCAGGCTGCAACCTTTGCTGAGGCGCCGGCTTTGAAGCAGAGATCGAAGTAGCCAGGGTACTTCGGGTTGATGCAGAAGGCATACATGCTGCGGATGGGATTGGCTTCAGTATAAGCATTAAGCCATTCGTCTGTGAGAGTCGTGTTAGTGGAGTGGAGATGAGGGCAAGGGGGACAGGGAAACCTACTCGTCGCTTCTCTTGAGCCCTTCTGGAAGCGTTCGTCCGTCATGATCTCGTCGACCTTCTTTGCCATTGCCTTGACGTGCAGGACGATCAACTCGTCCAGATCGGAGTATGTGAATTTGCCGCCGACTTTGAGAGTTCTACCCACCGAGAACTCGTTCTCCTTGTCGAGCTCCAGCACGTCGATGTGTTGGAAGACGTTCTCGGAAACCTTCCATGTGACAGCCAAGTGATCGAGTCCTTTTGATGATGGCCGGATGACAACATCACCCTGTGCTTGTGATCCCAGGTACTCTTCTGCTTGAGCTGAGTTGAATGGTCGGAAAAGAGGGTGCTTGATGACACGCTGAGCTCTGCCAGTCTTGGCGTCCTTTTCGTGCAAAGCCTCCTTCTTGTCCTGTGCTTCCTGTTGCTCATCCCATTGTCCAGGCTCATGGTCGAACTCGCGACGGAAGGGCTCACGCAAGTCTTCTTCTCTAAGCGAGAGACGTGCTGTGAAACGCTTGGGCTCAATCTCGAGTAATTTGGCCTGAACGGTCTGGTGGGTCTGCCAGACATGTCGGGGCTCTGCACCACCGTTGCCGACACCAGCGGGGAAGTCCTGCTCGTTGACTGAACCGTCGATACCACAATCCAGCTTGACATCGATGTGGTCAGGGAAGGTGCGCTTGATCGACACGGGCACAATCATGCCAGCTGCCAGCGATTCCTTGGTCTCTCCAGTGAGCATGGTGAAGACCTCCTCTGTCGACAACAGGTAGAAGCTGCGACGAAGTTCTTCGTATGGCTGTTGCAATTCACCGCGAATAAGCTCCAAGGTAGCCTTCTTCTTGAGACCAATCTTGCGCAAAATTTCCTCGGCATAGTCGTCAAGTACAAGATCGTTGAGTTTGTCCTGGGCGTCATCCTTGATAAGCTTACGAACAACAGCATTGGGGCCAGCCTCGTCGATCTCGGCCTTAACATCTTCCTCGTCCATGTCCAGAGTGTCAGCCACAATCTTTCTCGCCGTTTCATAGTCCTCTGGATGGACACGAGTGTTGTCGAGATAATCAGAGTCCGGTTCAGTATCGTCATAGTTGATGTAGAGGAAGCTGGCGCAGTTCTCGAAAATCTTTGCTCCAACAGCTGCTCGCCTGTTACGATCAGACACTCCGATAAGTTCGTATCGTGTGTTGAGATCGCCTCCGTTGGAGTTGACAACCTTGAGAAGATGTGCTGCTTTACGGGGACCCAGACCGGCGACGTACTGTAGAAGATTGGCAGTGTATGTATCGGAGACGGCTTCGTTAACGTCGACACCGACCAAATTGACTGTCTCGATCATGGCCATTTCCAAGTGTTTCAGTACCTTTTCCTGAGGGATGAGCGTTTGGTTTGAGGTGAAGGAGATGGATGTGATGTCGCGACCCAGAGCAGCGTATTCCTTGAGAGGACTTTGCATGTATCTAGCGAGAGCGATACAGTACCTCGTGAGCGGAGGCACGGTAGGGTGCTCGGCGGTGGCACGATCGCTGGTGTAGTAGAGGCGAGCAACTTCGTCGTTAGTAATGACAATATCAAGCTTGTCGCTCTGTTCCGAGCCATCCTCTTCTTCGTACGGTGTACCGCGCAGGTCGTGGCTCTCAATAATCTCCTGGAGATCCTTGTAGAGTCTGCGAGTCTCTACAGAGAAACCAGAAACAGCAACAACATCAGGCTTGCGGCGTTCGACGAGGTCGACAAATTGTCCCACATCAGCTCCGTCAGGCAAGAACTTTTCTTTGTTGCCCATGCGAATGTCAACAAACTTGCCATTCTCAAGCACACGGCCGTTCTCGTCGACATAAGCCCAACAGATAGCATCGTTGCGTTTGCCAGCACCGTTTGAGAGAGCGAGCACTCTGGGAGTAGTACCAAGGACCATACCGCGAGGCTTGTAAGGAGCCTGATCAAGCTTGTTGGCATATTCTTCTCTGCACGCGCGAGCGATTTGAGCCTCACACTCGGTCTTGAGGTTCTCCTTGACACCCTTGACGATTGTGCGGGTGAGCTTCTCAAGAGCCATGTCCAAGACTTCCCTGCGCAAAGCGTTCCAGGCATCAGCGAGCTCACTAAAGTTGTCGGACATGATGTTCTTGTAGAGGCTGTCCTTGAACCTGTCCCAGACTTCCATGCGAACGCGAACCTCGACAAGACCTTCATCTTCGGCCTTGAGCATGCGCAAGAAGAGTTCAGGCTTGGCGACAATTGATCTCAGATCCTTTCCACGCAGATACTTGAACTCGTAGTATGGGTGCTCCTCATCAATTCTTCTCAGACCCTTCTCGGTGCGGAAACAATCGAAGACACCATCCATGTAGAAGTTTTGACGCAGAAGCTTGCGCATACGAGGGCTTTGGGCGAGTTCCTCGGCGAACATGGCCTTTGCAGCTGCAAGAAGCTGTTGGCTGTTGGAGTACTCTGATCCGTCAACGAGCTTGTCGGCCATGTCATCTGGTCTCTCAGTAGGATCCTCGGTGTATTGCCTTGTGCCAACCTTGAGTGCGTTTTGCGCCAAAGCATCTGCAGAAATGCCGAATGCTCTGACCATGTGATATGCCTGTCCAGCGCGAACCTTGTCCCAGATGTTACGAGTTCCCCTTGCTCTTTTCTGTGTTCCGTTGGTCTCTGCGTCATAGACAGTCGTGTCCTTGAGTTGAGCGGCGTATTGGAAGTGTAGGTAATCCTGAACATCTTGCAACTCCTCCATGGTGACGGCGACTGGGATCATGTCGTTGAAGATTTCGTCGTTTGAGTCGGTCATGGCCTCGCGAATGCTCTCGATGGATCTTGACAAAGCTTCGCGCTTCTCGACGAAGGCACGATATTTGAGATCAAGTTCATAGATTTCCCACAGGTCGCTGTTTTGCAACAATCTTGAAGCCTTGATTTCGTGCTCAGGAGCATCCGGGTCGTTCGGGTTGGGCGACACAGCAACACGCTCCTCGTGGATAAGGTAGTCCTTGCGGTTGTGGAGAATGAAGGGAATCTCGAGCTCTTCGACATTCATGAATCGCAAGACGTGTCCAACGACTTCACGGAAAGGCTCAATGAGGTCACGATCCAGACGCTTCTTCGGTAAGAGGAAGTTGGAAATCCAGTGTGTTTCTTCCATCATGCGAGCAGACATCTCCTCGTCTGACAGTTCCATTTCCCTGAAAGGCTGGCGAGCGAGCTGGTAGCGTTCGGGAACGTCGGTATTGCGGATGATGTTATCACCCTCAGTCAACATCCTGTCAGCCAATTGCGAAGGCTCGAAAACGTCCTTGAGTTCGAGCGGTTTGTCCAGACCTTCTTGATTCTCATCGCCCTCCTCTTGTAGTTGCAGAGCCCAGTCATATTCTGTGCCGTCACCGAAGGCGGCCATCATGTCTTCTTGAGCCGACTCGTCCAGACCACTCTGCATGCGGAGGGGGTCAACGTAGCCTCTACCAGGTCGTCGAACTTCGGCGGCATCGCGCATGGCCTCGCGCTCCTCATCGGGGAATTCGTCCTCTTCGATAAAGTCGGCAAATTCGTCGGCATAGGCTCTGGGCTCGCGTCCGTAGGCTCTACCATCGGGGTCGGCCATCTCCTCATCGTCACTAAAGATGTCGTCGATGCCGCGCGCTTCATTTCGATCCCGGTCTTCGCGATGGCCACGCTTCAGGCGCTTGAATTTGCTCTTCTGGAAGGGTTAGTGTGCTGGATGGTTGTGTACGCGGCAATTGGTAGTCACCTGTTCCTCCTGACGACGTTGGTAGTCGGGATGTGTCTCGCCAATCAAGTCCAGATCTTCCTCGTCTAGCAGAGCATCCTCGGCCTCGCGCTCCTCTCTTCTGCGCTTCTTTCTCTCGCGACGGCGCTCACGGCGCTCTTCGTCATCTTCTTCATCTTCGTCTACGATAAAGCCTTCACGAATCTAGCTGCCTTGTTAGGATTGAGCATCTGCCAAGTCGAGTTTGTATGCGCACCTCTCTTTCGGCTTCCTCATCATCGTCCTCTTCCTCCTCGCTGGAATCGTCGATGTTTGCCTTTTGCTTTCTGGGACGTGGTGCCTCCTCATCACCCTCGAACTCCTCGTCTTCTTCGCTGCCGAGCTCAGCATCTAGATCGAACAAATTTGCTGTCGTCATGATGGTTGTGATTCGCGATGTTTTGGTGCAAGCTGTCTGGTCGAGGTGCAGGCGCGTGGAGGATGTCGGTCTTCAATTCGTGACGGCAGCTGTGGGCTCCGCTGACAGGAGAGAAAGGGAAAGAATAGAGTTGAGCAAGCAAGCGCTTTTTGGTGTTGGCCGCGAGAAAGTCAAGTGATGTCGATGAACAGGCGAGATGCTGGTGCTCCTTCACCCGTGACAAGTTGCTGTATGGAAACTGCGACTGCCGTCACGGCCTTGGCACCTGCCTCCGGTGGATCTTCGGTTACGACGGGAGGTCGCGCCTGCTTGAGCTGCGAAAGAGGACCCGATCAAAGAAGGATGTCGCGAGAGGTGACTGAATCCTCGATCACTATACCTGTGACGATGGAGCTATGAGTACCTCACTAAGAATCACTCGAGTATCTAACAGAAACCAACAGTAACAATAGTAGACACACACCGACAGACCAAAGTGACAGTGTCTGGCGGTTGGTGGATGGCTTGGCAAGAGGTGAAGTGCCAAGGGCGGGATTCGGAAGCAACGAGGAAATCGAAGGTCTGTAGAAGGTCCAAGGGTCGAAGCAGTTGTTTCAACGAGCACTTCGCCTGTCTCATCTAGACCTCGTGCCGATTGTCTCGCTGCTAGTTTCCTTCTCTCCAATGTGTTTTGTATAATATGCCGTCTACCTGTCACTCTTGACCTGCCAGCCGCCTTTCTTCATTCTTGCAATCTCAATCTCCAATCTCCCACTTTGACCAGCTCCCTCCAACAAAGCCCGCTCTGGCCCCACCCGACAGACAGCAGACCCCTTATTGCCGACCGACGTGCATACGCCAAACACCAGGGCTACCCAACTTGATTGTACACAGCGGTCCGCCGCCCGACCTAGCTCACCACCCAACATTTATTAATTCCACCCAGAGGGACAGCCAATCACTTTCTCGGCTTAGGGAGTCCGCCAAAACTCGCTGCGAACCATACGAGGCACCTTCAGACTCAACTCCAACGCAAACACACACCGCGGCCCACCATGTCGGACGCCTTCAAGACAAAGACGATGAAGCGCAAGAACGTCAAGGGTCTGGCCCTCAGCGCTCCGGCTCCTCGTCCTGCCCAGCCCCTCACACCAGATGGAGAAGCCGCCGCCGGTCAAGAGACAGGCCGCGCAGACACACTAGAGATCGGCGTTGAGTTCAGGTTAGATCTCAAGAGCGAGGATCTTCAAGTCATCAAAGAGCTGGGAGCAGGCAACGGAGGCACAGTCAGCAAGGTCATGCACACGGCTACGAAGGTCGTCATGGCGCGCAAGATTATTCACGTCGAGGCAAAGAAGGAAATCCGAAAGCGCATCGTACGAGAGCTGCAGATCATGCACGAGTGTAACTCACTCTCCATCGTCTCCTTCTACGGCGCCTTCTTGAACGACATGGGCGATGTGGTCATGTGCATGGAGTACATGGACGTTGGGTGAGTGTCGCTGAGGAATGTGACGGCTCAGAAAGCAAGACTGATACAATATGCAGCTCACTGGACAGCATCTCGAAAAACTTTGGACCGGTGCGAGTCGACGTTCTAGGAAAGATTGCAGAGTCCGTCTTGGGAGGACTCGCATACCTCTACCGCATGCACCGCATCATGCATCGCGACATCAAGCCTTCGAATATCCTGGTTAACAGTAAGGGTCAGATCAAGTTGTGCGACTTTGGCGTCAGCAGTGAGCTTGACAACTCGGTCGCCGACACCTTTGTCGGAACGGGCACCTACATGGCTCCCGAGAGAATCCAGGGGTCGCCGTACACGGTCAAGTCGGACGTGTGGAGTGTTGGCTTGTCGCTGATGGAGCTCGCCATCGGCAAGTTCCCCTTCCACAGCGAGAACGGCGACGACGATGACCTGGCCGGTCCTCAGGGCATTCTTGACCTCCTCCAACAGATCGTGCTCGAGCCTTCGCCCAAGCTTCCCAAGAGCGACGCCTTCCCCAAGATCCTGCACGATGTCATCGACAAATGTTTGATGAAGAATCCCGACGACCGACCCACTCCCGCCGAACTGTACGAAACAGATCCCTTCCTGCAAGCCGCCAAACGCACGCCCGTCGACCTCGAGGCGTGGGCCGTCAGCATGATGGAGCGCCACAATCGCAAATCTCACCTTGTGCCACAACTCTCTCCTCAAACAAAGCAGCTACTCAGATCTGGCGGCAGAGAGCACGAGAACCAGCCCAGTCCGCCGTCTTCGTCATCCGGCGACATCCCCATCAGCACACAATCCATGCCGCGCCACTCGCAACGCCCTAGCTATCCCACACGCACATCCAGCGCCAGCCAGGTACCCATGGCTGCCCAACCTTCGTTGAACCTGCCTATCCGCCCTGCTCCCCCAGCCGGTTCAGCCTCCCAACCGCGCTCTGCCCGTCGCGAACCTGCACCTACCTCAAGACACGACTCGGCTTCTCGCACCACTCCCAGGCGCGCTCCCGACTACTCCAACTACGACGATATCGTCTCTGGCTACTACGACACCAACAACAAGTTCTAGATGTACCTGTCGCCTCGTCCAGATCCAGTGCTAGAAATACCTTAGGGACACAGCATCCGAGAGCTAGAGGAAGAGGAAGGCCCAGCAGGAGGGATTTCAGAGAGACAGGTCATTATTCCGGTTCCAGACATTTTCATTCGCGTCCTTTTCAGCAACGGCAACTTCATCTCATAACTCATTGCACTGGCGTTTTGGTCCAACGAGGACTTTTTTTTTTGCACTTTTTGGGTCCTCATAACCAATAGGGTTGGCGTTCCTTCTTCTTACACATGCGAGCATTCTTGGAGAACAAATCAAATTCTACTTTTACCAATCATACTTTGCGTCTCGTGCAAAAGAAGACATCTGACCATGATCAAGTTGTAGTGATGAAGTTGTTGATGTATTCTTTTTCGTTATCTCATGCTAACATAATAGATGCTTTGAACCCAATGATATCCATCCATCCATATTACTCCAGCCGATCGCAAAACGCCAAAAAGACCAGATGTATGCCCAAAAGACCCCATGGTCTTCATGATTCCCAACGTCAAACCATGCGCCATCAATCTCGTTCTTCCCAACTCATCAAAGCCACATCCCACTCATAATCATACAATCTTTTTTTCCTTCTTTCCCACCATCCCTCTTCAATGCACCCGGAACGACAACCCCATCCATCCCCTTCCAACGCCAGAATCCGGAAACCCACAACGCCCAAACCCCCAAACCCCAACTCCAATCCCCTGACCCAAAAGCAAAAATCAACGCTTAACCCCATTAACACCCTCTCTACCTGCTACCCTGAACACCCCACTATCAACCTCAGCAACGGCCTCCCACCCCTCCCCCTCCATCCTCGCTAACGTAACCCTAACTCTATACTCTCCCTGCTCTCTAACGCACAAGCCCTCAAAGCCAACCGCACCCACCACTTCTCCCCTTTGCCCGCGACTCAGCATAGCGAGATCAGCACGTGTGGGCTCACTAACGCTATCCATAAGTTTTTGGGTGGAGGAAAGGAGGGAGCCGGCGGGGAGAGGGATGCCGCTGGGGGAAATGAGGGAGATTACGGCCAGGAGGGGTGGAGAGCGTGAAGGGCGGGGTGTGGTGATCAGGAGGCGGGTTGGGAAGGGGGTGGAGGGGGAGAGAGAGGTGGGTGGGGAGGTTGTGAGGGTGAGGGTGTAGGGGGAGGTTGAGGAGGTGGTGGTGGTGTGGCGGTGTTGAGTTGGCTCTGAGCGGGTGGTGCTGCGGCGGGATCTGGTGGGTGTTAGGTTTTGTGGCATTGTGGTTGGTAAAGGAGTGGGGAGAGCAGATAGCAATGACAGTCGAGTATATGAACGGAGAAGAGGCAATGAGGATGTGGAAGGAAGAATGAGAACGTGGGAAGGATGGTTGAAATGGGTAAGAGGCATTGGGGAAGAGGTGGTGAGGTCTTGGAAGTTTGGTAGACGTCGAATGTGTAGTGATAAAGTATGCCAGATTCAGATCAAGATGCTAGGATCATCGCTGCACTCGTGCTCTGCGTCTTCAGATCTTGTGTGACGTGGAGTGGATGCAATTGCTCATGCTTCCGAACAGGCAAAATGGCATGTCATAAAGTGAAACCAGATCCCTGCTAGATCTTGCAGGAAGCACGGCTCACATCATGATATACACTCATGCCGGAAGCACGAGAGTGGAGCAACAAGACGGTGAGAAGTGGAGAAGACAGAAACTGAGAAGTGGAGCAGGGAAGAAATGCATGGCAACTTACTCAACACTGCGAGGACCGTGGTCATTGCGGGCGTAGGTGCGGCGTGCAACGTCTGCCATTGTAGATGCTGGTTGATGTTGTTGAATGTGTAGTTCTCGATATTGCTCTTGGTGAAGTCTGGCTATGCGTGCTGATCGTCGTAGTTCTACAAAGCGATCTTCTTCCGGTAGTTGATGCCGATTATGTTGATGCTGGCGTCTGAAAGGTGGCCTCCGGGTTCTGGTTGTATGAATTCTAGCCTGAGGAGATGGTTGATCAGTATTCTGCCGTTGCCGTCCGGACTGTGATCCAGCCATGGTTGTGTGTTTAAACCGGTGATGTTGGATGGCGGGAAACAGAGAGGGCAAAAGGATAAAGATGAAGGGGAGACGACCACAACATATAGGTTGTGATGGGATGGTAGGGCAATGGCTTTTGAGGCTTGAAGTCAGAGATTTGCAATGCCTCTTTCTCAACTGCCTTGCTATCTCCATGTGGTGCGGATCATGTCAAGGGAAGGACCGGGCCGGGGACAGGGAAACGGTCAAACGTCAAACGCGTTGAACTTCATCTCTTGACTCAAAACGTACCAGATATTGACAGTATGAATCGTGGTAGAGATGACGGAAAGTGGATTGGACAAAGACGGAGCGGGGTTGCTGTCCGATGAATGAGGTTCAGCTGGGCAAGAAATAGACTTTCGGGCGGGTTCAATAACAGCGGACAAAAGATAGTGTTCCAGAGTAAGCAGACTCGATGCTGAAAGATGAATTGATGTGATCCAATGGCACTTCTTTGGAGACGAGCTGCCGACTTTATATCTCGGTTCCGGCCAAAAGGTCCTCGAGCTTTGGTTCCCTTGTCACGGACTGATGTCGAATCCACCGTACCTGTCCCTCATTGACAAGGTTCATTCATCGTTTAGCGTTAGTCAGATGGCCGGGCGACAAATCAGAAGTGCTGGAGCGGGTGCCACATGAATCGACTAGAAATTCATGCGGACGACACAGACATCGAACTTGCCTCTTGCAGCGAGATTCACTGCAACCAAGAAGCTCCGGTGCAGCGCGGACTGAATCGGATCATCCTGAGCCGTTGGACTGGGAATTGAGGATTGTGCCTTGTAAGGATGTGGTTTGGAAAGGAGTGGGCATAGGGAAAAAGCATGGACGTTGCAGTACGAATCTGCAAATCAATCGAGCAGGCAGAGCGTCCACGATTGTGCAGATTCGGTGCGTCGCATATCAATGCCGGAGTCCACCTTTCTCCAAACATCCATGGACATGGTGTCGGGTTTGCGCCATGGCGTGCTGCTAACTGCTGCAGACGTCTTGGTTTGGAGTCAGGTCTGGCCTGAGCGCGGCGGTACACACGAGCCCGTTGACGCCAGGCGTTTGCTCTTGACCAACCACATCGCAGAACTCACCTACTCTCAGCGTCGGGTAATTAAGGAACAGGCGCCGGCCTGTGCAAAAGACGCGCTTCTCTCAGATGCGGGCCATGCGAAGAGAATAGACGTTGGCGCGCTGACGGCATTCGCATGAATCTGCCAAAAGTAAGAAGGGAAAGCCCTGGCACAACTGATCGCATGTCTCCCTTTTGAGACGGGGTGGCATCTTTCGACGAACTATCTTTGCGACACCATTGTACTCTTTCAGAAAAACAAGTCAGCCTCTACCTATAGCAGGCGGCGCTAGGACTGGTGCCAAGTCGAGAAACATAGACGACGACCCGTGGTGTTGTTCTTCAAGAATCGAGCCGCCACACGCAATCTCGAGAAGACCCGACATTGTAGATAAGCGCTGCAGATCCACGCTCGCGAGCTACATCGTGGGTCGCTGAGGCGTGACAAATCTGGTCAATCTGAGGAAAAGAATGCATCTCATCTCAGCTTGGGTAGCCGACACGATGCAATGACTTGCAGATTTTGCAGGTGCGACCGACAATGGCAGCTTCTCCCGGGGAACCACCACCGGTAAAATACATTCACGCATTTGCATGCTGCTGTGGTGCATGCCGCACTCCTCTCATCTTCCAGTACCCGGCCTACGTACGATTTTGGAACAACCTCTCATGCAGAATAGACGTCAAGTCTGTCAAAGCTTCCCAGCTCAGGGGAGAGGGGGTCGGTCAATCTCGTGCCAGCTTCGCAAATCTTTAATACACGGCATCGTGCTTCCACGGGCCCGTCCGAGACTACCCAAGCCGACCAAGCCCTCGGGTACGTTGGTCGTCCGCCTGATCGCTGTTGACCTTTGATCAGGATTGAGCAACCCTGCTCACCAGCTGTGACTCTTCCAAATACGCTCCCGCTTCGTCGTCATACCACGATCCCCTAGATACGCCCCGGCTCCCGTACCAGAGCGTGCTAGCAGCGTGTGAGTAGCGTGCAAAGCATGCACCGGCAGTCTTTAGTCATTGGCTCATCGGAGCGAATGACCAGATATCGCACAACTTGCTCATAAAGTTGCCTCACTACTTCATACTGCGCAGCGATTGATCTGTCCCCGAGAATCAGTCTTATCAGCGTTTCCACCGTAGCACGCTCGCTTATAAAGAATTGACCTGTCAACTGTTACACATCTTGGACGTTGCACTGGTTGTTCTCACTGCTGGCATCCACGCCCGCAGATGCAGGTCCCAGGTACAGTCCAACACATTGGTCAGATCCAGCATTGGAACACACGATTGATCCGAGTAGTCGTCAGAGCTCGCACCAAAGCTGCGGATAGGATGTGTTTGGGTAATTCCAAAGGTTCGACAGACTGAACATACATTCGGATGCAAGCCTTTCAAACTTTGGGACCGCAACCCTGCAGGAATAGTTTGATTCACGCACACTCGGCTTCTGGCAGATATTCCACATACGATCACTTATGATCACACGAAGACTCGCAACGTCACAACGATTACTGATTGCCGAGTGCGATATGTGGTTAGATCGATTCAGCCCTGTCTAGATGAGTTGTCGCGCACAGTCGACATGCAAGCAGAGATGTGCTAAAAACGGAAGCGGCACCTCTCAGATAGGTGGTGCTACTAACCACCGTAGCCTCATATTTCCAATGTCATCGCAACTGCCGCCATTGAATGCTAATCTCTGTGAGCAAAGATAAAGTGTCCAAGTCCATCCTGGTTCTTGTTTAGGAGGGCAAATGGGTGCGGGCGGTTTCTTACGTGCGCATCGCAATGTGTTGACGTTTGGGAGATGCGCTCCTTCAGCCATGATCATCTCACATATATGTCGGCCCTAGCTTGGATGCATAGATACTCAACTCCTGACCCAACATCGTTATCCAGATATACCCGGATGGCTGAGAGCAGCGACAAAGCACAACCCGACCATGCCCTTACCCGCATGCATGCGTGCGCCATATGGACGCCAAGTCCCGACAGAACAATCCCGAAGATCTTGAAACACGTCCGTGGTATCCCGATTCTGGAGAATCCCTGTAGGGAAGATGGCTGATCCGTCGGTGCAGAGGTGGCACGAACAAGCGTTTCCCTGATCGGACCGGATGGACTGCTTTGCCAGATCTTGGCCGTGCTCAACCGACTCCAGTCAGCAAATTTATCCAGATAGATTGCTTTGCAGCTTTGATTGCGTACGAGCACACTGCCGCCTCACCAACCATGCGATCTTCGGGAGGCCGATCCCGACGAATCCGAAACACGACTCGAATATTCTTATGCGGATTGTGGTATTGTTTGTCATGACTTGAGTGTTGACAAGGCTGAGAGCTGAGTTCTGACGCTACGATTTTCGTGACACTACGGAATGCTGGTTTGAGATACATGGCTGAAAATAAGACTGCGACCGACAGTGCTGCCAGAATCAGGTCATTGCGTTGCTGAGCCTCCGTCATTCATGGAAGCGATATCTGAACATGACCATCTATCTCGAGGAATTTCGTCGGAGCGACTGCCTGGACACGGATCATACTGACAAGTCGACATAGTTCGTTCGTAACTGCTCGCGCTCTCATCGTGGAGAAGTCCTTGCTCGGACGTCCCTTCTGAAACCGTGCTGCGCATGCAAGAACTTGCTTCCTTGACCATCGAAGCATTGAATTGGCGTCAAACATTCTTTGCCATTGAAGGTCTTGTAGCTCAGATTAAAGACAGAACGGCTTTTGAGTGACCTGTCGAGCTTAGAGCTCGGTCCCACGCAACCGTGAATCACGCAGTCATCTCACAAATATATTCTGCCGCCGGCTAACAACCAATCTACTTGCACACCACCCTTCTCATCCTGCTCCCAAGCGGGAGCTTCCAGCATTCCGACCAATGTCTCGGTTTCATCCCGTCCCCGATTTTCACTCTATCGTCTCGGCAGGCTGGCGGAAGCACCCTTCCAGGTGATCAAAATTCCTTCGGAGCGTTCGAGCGCTCTCGGCTTCTCGTCGTCTGGCCGGCTCCGTCTTGTCTCGCTCGTTCGGGCACGACACCTCTTATTCGACCAGGTGCCATGACGGCAGATGTCTTACTTGCCGCATCATATATCGGACCAGGCTAATGATTACATAGCATCTCGAAGTCATGCTCATCGATCGAGCTCATATCCTCCAGTCTTTCATCCCCACGGAGACCTCGCTCATGTCCGTCTCACGCGCGCTTACCGTTGCGATATGCGCTCCATCGCTGCAAGCCAGACGATGACTGAGACAGTCGAGACCGCACCTACGTACTGCACGCCGTCGGGCAATTGTACGTGCACGTTGACCGATTCCGTATATCGGCCACTTCCTCAGGTCCTTGGGACGATGCATGTTTCCGGAAACTCAACGGTCTTCATTCTGGTCCGTGTCTAAACCCGTCATATTGCGCGATTACTGAACGATCCTGCTGTGCCTCGGGTTTTCTAAGCGATCATGCAGAGGTATAATGCACCATGACTATCTGTGTCATGTAGGAGCGAATCTCAGAGTATATTTCTGGAATCCCTTGGACGCCACAGCGATGGCTAAATCGTGCTTTATGACTCGAATTCTCTGACTCTCCAACTTCTTGCAGCTTCGCGTGAGGACTTCGAGAGAGATCGAATCGGGCATATCTTACAAAACACCTCAGTCCTTGCTTCACAAAGAGATAACGGTTTGTGTATTAGAGACTTGGGGGACAAAAGAATGGCCTCGCCCTCGCATTCGACTGACCTCCACACAATCCGTCACCTCATCGGACATCTTGTTATCTTAAACAACATCCTGCATCTATATCTGGCAACAGTTTCTGATGTTATAGACAGGAGATGTCGAAGCAGCACACAGACTCTCTGAAACGACGATAAACCTAGATAGCGCTATCAAAATGCATGGTAAAGTCAGGGAATATAGCAGCGACCTTAGAAACTTGACATCAATGTAGTTTTGACTAAGCCATACTCCAGTGAAGTAACCCCATATACAAAATGAGACATAGACACACCACATACGAGATCAACATGACAACGCAAGGAGTAAAAGTTCCACATGCAAGGGCGAGCTGTCTGTTCCACTATATAAGCGGGCATCATGGCTTCTTTCAACTTTTACATCCTGGCCGTCGCCCCATTCTATTGGGTTTGCAGATCTACCAAAAAGGCTGCCACTTGCTGTTGCCAGCTGAATATGATATCACGGATGACCGGATCGCATCGACACCTACTATCGACGAAACGACAGAGGTCGTCGACGCCTTAGGTAACCTAGGCTTCGCAAACTTGCGGTTACTCTCTCAAGGGTGCGGAGGCACTGCAACGTTGTGATGATTGTAATTGCGTTAGCACGAAAGCGTAGGAAGGGGTAGAGGTTTGCAACCCGAAGCGCGACGTTGGGTCCGATCTTTGGAATCTCACATGTCTGTTCTAACACCTCTCAAAAATGCATAAGGTTCAAAGAATCAGAGTGGTGGCCGCTGAGAGAAATTGTTAAGCCGCCTCTCTTCAGACAATCCTTTATCTTGAATGAGTTTGTGCATTGTTATAGCTCCCAATATTACCCTGCGACGTCAAGGGAACGTTCGAGAAGCCTGGTGCCTAGAGCAACGCCGACCACTTGTCCTTATTATCTTGACCTTTATAACATTGACATACATAACTCTATCATCCACGTTACAAACCACAGACTTCACAATCATGTATACCGGAAGCTGCTTCTGCAAAAACATCAAGATCGAGCTGAAGAATCAGCCTTTTGCAATTGTAAGCTCCTCCCCACTGCATGATAGAAAAAAAAGGATTAAAAATGTGAATTAAATACTGACTACAAGTTCAGGGCATCTGCCACTGCACCGATTGTCGCAAGATCTCCGGCTCAGCATACAGTTACAACTTCATTGTTAGCGGCTCTGACTACAAAGTCGTTGGTTCACCGGCAGAAACACTCAAAATCGCCGACTCGGGAAACAAAGTCAAGAATTATTTTTGCAAGGATTGTGGTATGTTGCTCTACATTCCTTCCAACGGTCTAGCAGACACTGATGCTTTGAGTCGCAGGAAGCTCGTTGTATGGAGGGGCAGTGGCGCAGAGTGGACAGATAGAGAGAGTAGCTATGAGAGCTGGAATCTTTGATGATCTGAAGGGTATGGAGTTTGGAAAGCCTTCGGTAGAGATATATGCTGCACAGAGGTTGGACTGGGTCAAGCCTGTTGAGGGGTGCATGCAGTTCGATGGTATGTTGCCCTCTTCATGAGGAACACGAGGATACTGGACGCTTGGATATTACCAGCAGATACTTGGACGAGCTTATTGGAACACTTTGACAATTTGAAATACACGATCTGGTGAAAATGCTTAATCTTGGACAGTAGTGACAAGCCTTCACTTCCACGCTGCAGAACGATCTTGTCCTGGGTCGAGATTCCAGTCAACTCACCAAACGCGGCAAATCACGAGAGTGCAATCCCAGAGAGTATGGTCATCTACGGACGGAGCCTAAAGCTCTCATATATCGATCCTGGCATTGCACTGCTAATCCGCCGACGGTGTTGCTCGGGTCTAACGCGAGATTGGGAAGTTTCCTCACCATCTCCAAGCCCGTGACCATTGGTACGGATCATATTCGACGTGTTGTGATTAATGAGGACGATGCAATTGGAAAAACCGCGCTGGTTTGCCCGAGGACATTCAATGCTGTACACAGGAGTCCCTTTGGGCATGACACCAGGTGACACGGTCGTTTTTCAGGGGTTTTCAAGCCGATCGTATATATTCGTCTACACCCGTGCAGGGCTACGGGATCATAGCAGAGAGGAAGACCTAGCGCAGCTGGGAATACCAGAGAGAGCTGACGTCCACTGACTTCAGACGGAAGTCCCAGATCCTGGTTTTGTCATTGGACTGGTACCGTCACCGACGTCGTTCTTCGGGTCTCCGATGCTAGGGTGATGTTATTTGCCGAGTCTCTAACACTACAACCACCAGTATCAACTTGTTCCAGCGTGGCTTTCAGGAGACAGATAGGCGGGAAGGGATACTTTTGGCGGCGGGCTTTTCTGATGCCCGAAATCCCTTTTCAGACTTGCTACTGACATGCGCGGCTATTTCCAAGGCTATTTGACGTGATCATATACATTTATGCATTGCTTCAGTGCCATATAAGAAATAAAAGGAGAGCATCCATCATCATGCCTTAACCCCTGGCGAGCTAACACTGACCGCACTATCGGCAGCATGACCATTGAGCTCCAAATCAGCCACCATCTTCTCAAAAGATTCAGCGCCGCGTCTGGCATGCTCAGCCGGCGTGTCAGGACTTGGATCCGCCATGGAGCGATTGAACAACTCGAAGCTCAGCCATCCGGTATAGCCCAGATCATGCAAAATCGCTTTCAGAATCTCGCGAATGGGCAGATATCCACCACGATCTTGCTCTCCATAGAACAATCTGCAATTGCGTGACCATGACATTCGAGGCAGTTGCTCTGCGTCATAGAATGGATGACCCGGGACCAAGGGTGAGGATAACCTTTCAGCATCAACGACTTGGACGAAGAACAGCTTGTCGGGTCGAACAAGCCTTGTAGCAATGGCGTTTGCGAGATCAGCATCTGCAGTCGGCCTCTTGCCAGAAGGTTGTGTGGGATCAGCGTAAATGCGACCAGCGATATTGAAGGTATCAAGACAAAGACCGAAATTGGGCCGGTCGACCGCAGAAACGATCTCCCAACTGTGCTCCCAAGTTTGAACATGCGTGCTCCAGCATAACGCTTCGTATGCAAACCGAAGAGGAGGATTCTGTGCTGCGCCCAAATCGGCTAGTTCCTGGAGGTCCGCGACGATGACTGACATCTCACCAGTACATTCCGATGCAGGCAGAAAAGATGCAGGAACAGCAATCATATCTGTGTGAAGTGCATGTGCGAGTTTAAACCAAAGTTTGAGGTCTTCAATCCTCTCGGCGTGTTTTTGTCGGTCAATTAGGCCGTCGTAATGCATGAAAGGCTGAATGTTGATGATAGCGATATCCCGGCTTTCGCACATGGAATAAATGTCTTCGGCAGCCCGTATCTGGTCTTCTGGCTTGTCGCTTCCGAACTTCTTTTTGGCGTGATATACCAGATCTTCGTAAAAGATCTCGAGACCAGCATAGCCGTACTTTGCTGCTTGATCGAGCTTCGGTTCTAGGTCGTGAACCCATGCTCGTCCCAGCGACATTGTTGAGATTCCCAGTTGGTGTGTCATGGTTGCGGTTGGTAAGATATAGCTGCCAGGTTACAGATGGAAGTTTGGAGAGCAGAATTGTAGGAAGTCACGGGCAGCGGTATTGTAGAGCAGTCGGTGATGATGGATGAATAGCACCTGCCTAGAACCAAAAGACTACACAATCAACAGTTGGGGATGTCTTCCCGCTTGTCAATTCAGCACAGGCAAGTTGAAAGAGCCGTGTTGACCATCCGAAGGAATAAATCTATATCCGTGAAAGGTACAGTTGATGATAAGCAACGAAAGCCCTAGGTCGGCAAGGAGGCGGAGACAGACGGGCCGATTAGGATCGGAAGCAGACCCGGGGCTATGCCATACAAATCGAGTGAAGCCCCCACGCTGGAGACCCCTCTTTCGCTCCAGAAATCGTAGTTTCCTGCGCGGGCGCTCCGCCAAAGATTGGTCGATCTTCTCCTACGTCATCTTGCGGCTAAGTCTTTTTCCGAGCAGGTTCGAAGCCTGCCCGCTTCCGCCGGATGGCACCGACCCTGCTGAAAAGTCCGTTTGCGGCTTCGGCGATGGCTGATTGCTTGAACATAAACCCGGAAGCCTAAAGGGTGTTCGGACGTCTAGCGTGGGATGCACGTCTAGGGCACAACACTTTGCCACAACACAATATCGGTGGGTGAGAGTACATGAATTGAAGATCCTAGTGATGTGCAGATGTATGAGCTTGGAACGGAGATGGAAGGATATTGAACAATTCTCTTCTGATCATGATCATAAAAATGGCGCTTCTATATGCATCGAGCAAGCAGCTGAAGCTCCAGCGCTTGCAATCTAAACATTGCTGTCCTCGACGTGTGCAATCTTGGTTTTCTCGAGACTGAGACCAGCGCCCTCGGCATCCTCGCGGAACTCGGCCTCCGCTTCCTGTACCTCGCGCATAACGATCTTGTTGGCCTTGCTGCAAGGTCTGATCTCGAAAAGCCTGTCCATGGACTCGAGAGGAACAGACTTGGTCTCAGGAATAAGGAACCAGACAAAGAGCACCGATAAGAGCATCATGCCCGCAAAGAAAAAATATACACCGCAACCCGACTTGCCCATGTTGGCGAACATCTGGCCGGTAAATCTAGCCTATACAGATGTTAGCAAACACTCTTAAACAACGTAGAAAGGGTCGCATACAATGATAAAATTCCAAAACCAATTCGATGCAGCAGCCATTGCTTGTCCCAGGGAGCGTACGTTCTGGGGGTACATCTCTGCATTGATGACCCATGGGGTACCGTTCCATGAGGGGGTGTAGAAAGCGGTCCAGAGGTAGAAGAAGAAGACAGCGGCGATGCCTCCGGAGGACAGAGGCTTCGCTACAGCTTGTGCTGCTGCTGATGTATCGACGAGCGGACTGGCGAGGTATCCACCAAGGATAAGCATACATACAGCACCACCAATGGCTCCAACGAGAAGCAGATTGCGGCGCCCAAATTTGTCGATGAGGAAGAAAAGCCAGATCAAGGTGAAGATAGTTTTGACTACACCGAACAGACCGGTAGTGAGGAACGAGGTGTTGCTTCCAACGATTCCGAGGGACTTGAAGACGGTAGGGGAGTAGTAGTTAATGGCTACACCATAGTCAGTATGCTGTCTTTGACGATTACGGAGTAGATAGGGGGAAACATACCGTTGATACCAGACCCGTTCTGCCAGATGAACAGAGTGGTACCAAGGAAAAGGCGCCACTGTAGACTGCGGCTCGTAAAGACAGCCTTAAAGGGGTCGAAGAATCCGAGACCGACGGACGACTTTTGATGCTCGAGTGCAGCTTCGATGAATGAGATTTCCTCGACAATGTAGAAGTTGTCGGCAGGAAGGTTTCTGATCCAGAGTAGGTTCTTGAGGCCTTGCTCTCTCTTGCCCTTGGAGAACAACCAACGAGGGGACTCTCTGAGCCAGATGGAACCAACAGCAAGCAAACCTCCAGGGATCAACTGGACAGCGAAAGGGATGATCCACTGCTTGTGGTTGCTCGGCAACGTCTCCGTGATGCCATAATTAATCCAGAAACCACAAAGTCCACCTATCTGCCAGCCCAGCTCGTAGATACCGACGAGACGACCTCTGACGGCGGGTGGGGCGATCTCTGAGATGTAGATGGGGACAACCATGGACGCACCGCCCACGCCAATGCCAGTAAGGACTCTCCCAACGTAGATGGGAGCGAGGTCACCATTGGCAGCCTTGAGCATGATACCGGCACCGACCATGAATACAACGACGTAGACCCAGAGAGACTTTTGGCGGCCGAGATAGTGGGCGCTGATGTATGCACCGAGGGCTCCGAAGAATGCTCCAGCTTGATAGACGGAGACAATGTTCTCCTTGATGAATGTGACATCGGCCGTGGGGCGTTTATTCCAGCCAAACTCGTGGGAGAACGAAGGAAGTGCAAGAGTGGTTCCAATGAAGGCAGAGTCGTAACCAATCATACAAGAAGCGAACGATGCCACAGCAGCACAGGCATAGACACGCCAGTTGTAGACCTCCTTAGGCGTAGGCCTGTCTTCAACGAGAGTGAGAAGACCCATGATGAGACTCTGCAAACGGATGAGTCGAATTTATAGGGAAGGTCGTAACGGAGAGAAGAAAGAGAGAGGAAGTTGGGGAAGCAGACGACCTAATATACGGCACCTCCAGGTCTAGTGACGACGTGGGGACTCCGCGGGGTAGGTTGATGCAGAGGACAGAAACATACAAGGATAGCAGCGCGAAGGAAGGTGCGTGTTCCGAATGCTGGTCGCTGACCGACTCGAGGGAATCGATTAATTTTTTCGCCATGCCCCCACGCTGGTGCGAGAGCCCAGTCATCCACGTTCCTCAGGGTTATGCCAAGTTTCATGGCGCAAAGTTACCTCCGAACTCTGTCATACGCGGAGACGAATCTTCCCCTCTTGGGGACCGGTCTCGGTAGGGCAGCTCGCGGCAGAGCCATACGGCAACGGCAATCCCGACAATTTTTCGGTCACTGGTACGCACACCCTTGTTGTATACTATAGGACCAAGGATCAGTGAGAAAAATTCGACTGATCGGATGAACATCATGGGGGAGTATGAAGTATGTTGATGGAAAGTCTTTTGCAGTCGTTGTTGGACGAGTTGTCATGCGTTGGTAGAAGAGCAAACGCGGTGGAAATATGCAATGGGTGAATGTGTGGGCGCGGTTACTTGAAGCCGAAGCATGCGGATGCGGACCGGGGTCGAGTGACGTTGACCTGTGCAGCTTGCCCGAAAATCATAGCCAAGAACGACATCTGTGGACACGACGAACTGCCTTCTCAACCAACTGGAAGCACTCCTATTACAAGACCCGACATTGCTTACCGTCGTCCATAGCTCGCGGGGTAATTGGCTGACCAAATTGAAGTTGACGACTGGCACGTCTTCCAATAGCTTGCGGCACCCTTTGAAGTTTTTCAGAAGCTGTTTCTCTGAGCTTTCTCCAAGAACAAAATCATCAAGATGGACAACCAACGTATCATTTCTTGCGAGACACCTGCTCACAACCATGTCGAGCGTTGCGGGTATCTGTTTGGATGGCCCATTAATCACTCGATGTCGCCCTTGATGCACAAGACCATCTTCGGCGAGATTGGTTACAACTGGGAGCAATTCTTTTTGCCATCAACCGATATGTCCATGTTCCTGTCATTGGTCCGTGAGACCAAGTTCTTCGGTACGTAGTAAAGTCTGCAGGAGAGCATGGTCCAATTGTTTGACTGTATTGCAAAGACAAGCATGATCTGACTTCTTGATAAAGGTGCCTCCGTTACCATGCCCCACAAAGTTGCCATCATGAAGCACGTTGATGAGCTTACACAAGAAGGCCGCGAAGTTGGTGCTGTCAATACATTGTTCCTGCGCAAGCACGGTGACAAGAACATTCTTGTCGGCACAAACACAGACGTTATCGGTATCCGGGAAGCCTTCTATCAAAACATCTCCAACCCAGACGAGGTCTTCCATGGCCGACCCGGCATGGTCATTGGTGGTGGCGGTGCTGCCCGTAGTGCTGTCTATGCACTCAAGAAGTTCATGAAGTGCAGTAAAGTGTACATTGTTAACCGTGACAAGGCTGAGGTGGACGCTGTGGTATCATGGTGTTCGGAGCAAGGTTACGGCGATGGTGTCATGCATGCTGCGACCGTCGAGCAAGCACAAGAGTTGGAGGGACCCGGTGCTATAGTCTCTTGTGTGCCTGACTTTCCTCCGGTCACAGAAGCGGAGCAGACTGCTCGTCAAGTCATGGAAATCTTCTTGGGCAAGTCTCACAAGGGCGCCATCCTGGAGATGTGCTATCACCCAAAGACTTGGACCAACATTGCTGAGATCTCGCGAAATGCTGGCTGGAACGTCATTTTGGGAACAGAGGCTATGATCTACCAAGGTTTGGAGCAGTCAATGTACTGGACCGGGAAGACCCTGGATCAGCTACCAGTTGCCAAAGTCAAGGAGGTGATCGCGGCGCAGTTGAAACAGGGCCATTGAGATCTCTTATGCGAGTGCAGGTTTACTACAATTTGACATGCGTACGGCCATTCTCTCACCAATTGGTTTTTGAAAGCTTAGACGCTCCAGAAGTTCGAGGATAGAGCTCTTTGCGCAAGAATAGCGAGTGAAAGCAATTCTCACAATCTCGGCTACTTCACCAAGTTGTGATATCGTTGTCGTTGTTGACTCGGAATCTGTCGGATCGAGTGATCACTTTGTGGGTGCTAGTGTTGAATCTATGCCATGCCTGTAGTGCGACTGAATTCAAGAGCGATAGCATCTTGGCGAATGACGATGAGATATTGCAAAAGACACTAGTGACAGATGAGGTGTACGAGATGAGCGATCATCAACGCATTGTCGTCAAACGAAGAGTTAGTGTCGTGTAATCTCGTGCCGTAGTCAGCTGCCGCAGCTTCGGTTGTAGAATCGGCAGCGTGTCCTGCTCGTAGTGACCACGAAACTCCACAGTCACTCGATCAACGTGCCCAAACTCTGATACATGTCTCGGACGTCCTAAGAGAGATGGGTATGTGCTTTTCTCGTCGGAAGCGGATGTACCTGTAGCTGTGGACGGAGATGAGCAGAACCGTTCCTGATCCGGGAAGGACCCAGGCCTTTTACTCGCTGGGAATAACAACTACGATAGGGCTGTCGCGCAGGAGACCCCTTGTCTGACATGACCTGCTGACAGAGACGCTGGCCAGTTTGAACCAATGAGAATCAGCCCCTCCACGATAATGAGTGTCCGGTGGGAATCGCCCTCGCGCTGATGAGTTGACGGCTCAGAACGACTAGGGTCGCTCGATGGCGACTGAGCCCGACAGCGCTGGAAGGCGCGAGAAGCTGGTATTGGGACAGGATGGAAGCGGATGATGGGTGCCGGGTTGCATCGATCCGCTGCTGTTTGTTCTCAATTTCTCGGTCGTGCGCCGGCATGTGTCGTTTGCTCGTGTGCTTACTCATTCCCAAATCCTGGAGCACCGCTCACACTCTTTGAAATCTTAGGGGATACTGAATCACAGCAACAAGTATCTTTCGATTGGACGGCCTTGTTCGTGTGTCTTGATGCTTGAGTCCAGCTCTTCGCTGTCGGGAGCCTCGGTCATGACGGATACGCAGGCAACATGAGTACTTTTCAGATTTGGGGGTTGTTTCATTGGGCATTCAGTCCAACTTCTTCATCTTGAGGGATCCAGAAGATAAGATATCCTGTTGACATAGGCCTTTGCGTGTGTTACTCCAGCAAATGCTCTAGTCCGCATCCAGTCTCGGTAAGGTGGTTCGTGAGGCGTGGCTCGGCCCAACAACATCAACCAACAACACAACCTTTTCCACTGAGGACGTTGGCCGAAATGAGCAACCGACGAAGCTCATCAATTAACTGCTGAATGGTTAGCGAGAGGGAAGAAGTGTTTGAAGATGAATGCCACTTGCGATGTGGTATGTTCCTTCTCCACCAAGGTGACAGCCGGCACTTGCGCTTTCATTCTTCGGATGCTTCCCCACCTGCCGACCACTTCTCCTCGACCAAAATCTCAACAACGAAGGCAATACCTCACATAGACGTCGAACATCAGAAACAGCATCAATGCTGTCAAGACTAGTATGCCTCCATCATCAGACTTGCTGGACGAGATCGCACACGCGAGGCTTGCCACATTGGTGTCATCATACACTCAGCATCACTTCTCCACGAAAATGTTCGACGAGGAGATTTCATATTGCAAAAACTTGAGGGGCCTTTCACGTACGGCCACAGTCAGCTGAAAACTGGGCATCCCGTCCGCTCTGCCATACATAAGCAGTTGAACGGCAGATTAGTACTACGGTGGGTGACCACGTGGGAATCCCTGCTGCTGTACGTTTTGTTTTGCATCCTCAATTGATCCGATGTATTCCTAACATGGGTCTCTCTGTATCTCTTTCCAGACGGGTGTCTAGTATACAGGTGGTTGAGATGCATGACTGTTTTAGACTCAGAGTTGTGTTTACAGAAAGCTGTCTGGAAGACGGTCTTTTCATGAATATCACTCTGTGTCTTAGAAACATTGTGCATTTCTGTCTTCGTAGTATAGCGGTGATATTGAACTTGTCAAATTACGTCCTATATGCACATAGCATTAGGCATTGAATAGAAAGCCGTCACTGCCGCTTTCTACACTCCCTCATGGAACAGTACCCCGTGGAGTAGTATCGAGCTGGAGTCTTAATAGCGCTAATATGACATGACGGGTTCCACGCAACCCAGGCTGTTCAGCTCTAGAAATATCCCCTCGATAACATTAACAGCCCTAGCCTTGCCGATCAACGCTGGCTTAAGAGCGCTCTCGAACACGCTCGCGAGCTTGTCTGTAAGGCAAAGGATGATTAGATCGCCCTAGGCAAGGATATCAACTGTCAAGACGGGAGTGCAGATGCCGCAAGATAAGCTTTCATCAACATATTTGACTAGCGGGCTGTGAAACGCTTTGGAGAAGAAGACAAATTGGCCGATAACCCCTGCCTGGACACTGAGTATCCCTTGCCCGAACCTGACGAAGTCTCCTCTGCTTTCCCTACCGACCACCCTCTTGCGGACCTGACTTTGGCCGAGCCGTTGAGAATAGGCGACTGAGTGCACTATACGCCACCGGTCGCTCTATCTATCTTCACGATACATTCGCGTCGTCTTGACCATACATTGATGACTACTTCATTTGCTACTTCTGCTTTCTTCTGCGTATACCGAACTTTACTTGCAACTATCCTTCTGCCGTCTCTTCTACGTGCATACCATATCTTGAAAAGACCTGTAAGGTAATCAATTTTAATAGCTGAACAAGGTGGAATTGAAGACTTCGATTGCAGATAACATTCTTCGAACAGAGCCGCTGCGTTGGCAACTTTGGGGGAAAAGGGGAACATCACCATCTGCTCGAACTTCGAAAACATTTCAAGATAGTCTGCTGCTCATTCGAAACCTCTGCGTTTGCGTTTGCGAGCACGTCTTCTCTTTCTAGCACGAGAACCACCGTTACCACCATTTTCTCCACAGATTATCTCATCGTAACCACGGTCATGGATACCCATACTGCTGTGGCTGAGGCAGATTAGACACATTCTGAGATGATGCTCCAGAGTAGATGTAGATGGGGCCGAATATGAAGTCGATACAGCTGGGTTGGGGGTGTTGCATGGCGTTCTGCATAACGACCATTGCCAATGCTGCATAGCTGGGCTAAGTTTACATCGGCATAAGTTGAGGATGAGGTTGGTAGTACACCACGGGTTGAGGAGGAGGCTGATAGTAGTGTATCATCTGCTGCTGAGGATACCATACAGGTGGGAAAGCCCATTGCGGAACCTGTTGCTGAGGCACTTGCTTCCGATGGGTCTGTCGCTAAGGAAGCTGCTGCTGAGAAAATTGCGGCTGTGAGACCAGTTCCTGGCTCGCATGATCATGGCTGGTGTGATCCTGCTGGCGGCGAACATGACCATCCGGACCGTCCGCTCTGATAATCGTCTTATCCGATGACACACGAGAGCCAGACCTGTGATCGACACAAGCATCCATACCATCACCGTCAGCACCAATCTCACTGAACGACCTACCAAGAGCAGAAAGATCATCTTCAACAGAGCACATAGCGCCAAACGATCCGGATGCATCGCCCCAACATCTGCACTTTCCACAGTCGCCTCAACTTCCCAGAGTCACGCTCATCAGGAAGCTGAGCGAGAGCAGCAAGAGCATCATGAGTTCCCAGCGAGCGGCGGATGTGGGTGATGCGCTTCACTACCACCACAACAGTCACACCACAACAGTCAGTGTAGGTTCTTGTCTTGGCGTCTCCCTTGCGATTATAGTCACAAATGCTTCTGTTGTCTCTCTGCTCTGCATCCGGAACAAACAGGGGAGTAGATCATCGTGCTTGCATTAACAATAATGAGCCCCTATAACCGATTCTAATCATCTATGCGTCAACTCCTTCTCAAGTTCTCTTGAGTCTCTCCTGCAGACCAAGCATCTGTCCATACCTCACACCAAATGCCAGAACAAACAGGACCAGCCATCTTTTGACACCTTGTCCCAAACTAGCTCCACCCAGCGCAAGTAGCCTTCCCACCAGACCAAACGTAATAACCTTGCCCTCGCGATCAAAGTTTGGTGCAAAGTCATTCATTCTCTTCAACTGTGCCAACTTGCCCTTGTAGGGAGGATATCTGACACTCAACAAACTCTCTACCCAAGCAGGTGTGTTTGTAACGACGCGACGGTGAGTGAAGCAATCGAAGGAGGCTTTACCGCGATAGCAGCCAGCGCCGCTGTCACCGACACCACCAAACTCAACGGTGGGTAAAGATGCATGAGTGAAGCCGTCGTTGATACTTGCGCCACCGCTACGAGTTTCTGAGAGGATGCGATTGGTGTCTGCTTTGCTGCCGAAAGCGTAGAGGCCGAGGGGTGTGCTGTGGACTTCATTTGCGATACGGATGGCTTCATCGAGGTTGTCAACAGCAAGAAGGGGGATGAAAGGACCGAAAGACTCGTCTACGACAAGGGAGTCGGATGTCGATGAAACACGAACGATAGTAGGGGCGATGTAGTTGGTCTCTGCGTCCATTTCTCCGCCGTAGAGGATCTCGCCTTTGGTCGAGTCGAGCATCTTCTTCAGACGCTCGAATTGGCGGGAGTTGACGATACGACCAAAGTCCTTGCTCTCCTTAGGCCCGTCAGGGTAGAACTCCTTGATGGCGGTCTTGAGCTCCTTGACTAGGAATGGCAAGACGTCCTTGTCTACCAAGATGTAGTTTTGACTGACGCACACCTGACCCGCATTCAAGCCCTTTGCCCAAAGAAGGCGTCTGGCAGCAAGACGAGGGTCGGCATTCTTCGTAACGATGGCTGGGTTGCGACCACCGAGTTCAAGTGTAACGGGTGTCAATGTCTCAGCTCCTTTCTGTGCGATAATCTTTCCAACGGTGGCCGAACCGGTGTAGAAGATCTTGTCCCATTTGAGCTCCAACAGAGCACTGCTCTCTGGAATGGCACCTTGTACGCAGATGTAGGCTGAAGAGTCGAGCGAGGCTTCCATGGCTTCTTGTAGGAGGGCGGCGGTGTAGGGCGAGCTTTCCGAGGGCTTGAGAACAGCGGTGCAACCAGCAGCGATAGCTCCAATGAGCGGACCAAGTGAGAGCTGGACAGGGAAGTTGAAAGCACTATACGCGTCAGTGTCTCAACAGGCCATCCGTCTGTATACCACTCACCCAAGGATCAAGACAGTGCCCAGTGGCTCCTTGCGGACACGAGGTCGCATGGCCATGAAAGTAAGCGGCACATCACTCGCAGCCTCCTCCTTAGCCCACTTCTCGATATTGTTGACGGTGAAGATGATATCGTTCAAGACCCAACCAATCTCTGTAAGGTAAGCCTCGTAGAAAGGTCTGCCCAAATCGCGCTGCAGAGCTTCGCCGAGCTGCTGCTCTCTATCCTTGATAGCCCACCATAGCTTGCGAAGCTGAGTTACGCGCCAGCTCAAAGGCTTGGTCTTTTGCGAGTGGAAGCTGTCGTGGATACGCGAGTGGATGCCTCTGATCTGCTCGATGGCAGTGTGTTGGAACTCTGGCAACTTAGTGTCCATGTTTGCTTGTGTGAGAAGGTGCAGGGAGGGGCAGAGAGCTCGGCGAGCTGTTCAGGGTCGCTTGAGATGCATCCCCTCATCTGAAATATCAGCCTGCCGCTCGACGTGCCTCGGCACGCTGCTGCATCTCGTACATGCTCGGTTTTCTTATCGCTCACACCACCTACCTGTATGTTCTCCACTCGTATACTACAAGACTTCAGGCAACAGACTACCAAGCAATGGTATCTCGGAAGAGTAGGACCTGCGAGCCATTTGTTTCTTCTGCTCCTTCCTTCCAAGGTTCCCCAGGGTCTTCTTGCGCGTCATGAAAACAACGGCCAATCGGGAGACTCTGTCGAAACCCTTACGAGTCGATCATCTGTGCTTTCTTGGCGGGAGCTTTCATCAAGCTGATTCGGCACGATGCAACTTCCACTTCCGTTTGTCTGTGTATACAGCGCAACCCTGGCACAAACTTGCAAAGTGTTCATATTCCACGACATGTGAAGATGGCTCTTAAAACATGCGATGCTCAGATTAAGCGATGAAACGGTAATACTCTGCCGTAAATCGAAAAAGAAATTGGCTGGTTACGCGGCTCAATCATCATTGTGCTTCTCGGCCGTCGTGGGCCGTTGAAACGAGGAATGGTGGAGCTTAGCGTCTGTCACGGATCGTTGGATAGCATAAAGTAGTTACACCTGTGGGACGTTATAGCAGGACGCGCCCATGAAAGGACGTTTGCAATGAATTTCTGTTTTTTTAGTATGGCTCGAAAGCTATCTGTGCTTGCCAAAGATCTCTTCATACGAATTTCTAACGACCTGCGGGACAGGATGGAATAGACGCTGGGAGCCGACATGGTCTGCATCCAGCACTCTCTGCTTCAGGGGTGGCTGATGTGTCACTCCTCCCGAACGCGAAGACGATACAGTTGGAACGCGTTTGATCACGGTTGTAGGTCCAAAGAAAGCAGATAGTAGACTTGACTGATCAGACATTACATCGTGAGTACATAATACATAAAGATCATGAGTGTTGCGAAGAAAAAGACATTGAGCCTCGTACCTTCAACCCTGTTCTCGACTCCCATGATCCTAATTCCCCTTGCGTCCAATCCCAAAGCTTATTCTCCAAAGCAGTATTGTTGCTATAGCTAGTCGGTTTTGGTTTGACGCCGATGGGCTCGTAGTACTCTCCGCCTTGTACTTGTGTCTTCGATGCGCCTTTTGGAGTTGCAGCAGCCCAAATTCCGTTCCAAGCGAGTTGGTCTACGGGACTTCGCTTGCCTATCGTAGTAACCCACATGATGAACCGGTCGAAAAGAGGGAAGTTGTCTTGAAGTCCTGTGTACCCGATCCCTGGATGGACGGACACAGTGGTAATACAGGGGTACTGCCGGTTCAGTGCTTTGGCATACAACATGTTCGCCAACTTGGATTGCGCGTATCGACGCCATCGCCCTGAAAACATCTTCTGTTCTGTCTTGAGGCTTCCAAAGTCAATCCCACGTTTCGGTACTAATGGTGTCATAGCGGCTTGTGAAGTTGTGATGATGATACGGACATCAGAGCCTGGTAACGTCGCTGTGTCTTGCAAGATCGGCATCAAAAGGTCGATCAGGAGAGCGTGGCCGAGATGGTTTGTTGCAAATTGCTGTTCATAGCCATCCTTACTGAGGCCAGCCGGCATTGCCATCACTCCAGCATTGCAGAAGAACCAATCGATTCGAGCTACTTTTGCAGCAATCCGGTTGCTCGCTTGACGAACAGAGCTCAGATCCGAAAGATCGCAAGGGATGAATCGAACTTGTACATCCGGATTAAGGAATTCCGCAGACCCGATAAGGGCATTGGCGGCTTTCGCATTGCGTCCTGTAAAGAATATTTTGCTTGGATTGTGGACTACAAGTTGTTTGACTGTCTCCGCTCCTACGCCCGACGTGCCTGTCGAATTGTTAGTGAATCTCTTTGATGTCTGAGGTTTCAGAACATGCCTCCTGTGATGAGGATGACCTTTCCGGACAGGTCCGGGACGTTCTTCATTGTATCAAAATGGTATGAAGGCATTGTTGTTGATGTGTGTGAACAAGATAGTTAAAAGAGATGGGCCGGCAAGGCATATAAATCACTCGATGCAGTAACCTTTTGATGAAGTCGGTCTTCTGATCAGTCTTACGCAGGATAAAGCTTTCGATGCTGACATGGAGTCGAGTTTTCCAGGTGAACCGGTGTATCGACCTGTCTCGGAGCCGGAGCCGGAGGTGCAATTCGTCCGTCTTCCGTTCCTGCAGGGTTGCTTAGGCAGCACTTTGACACATTCCGGGGTAAAATTCTGGAAACATTACCATCATGGTTCAGTGATCGACAATGCATCGCTGCCTGTCAAATGCTGTCGAGTAACCAGGCGTACAAGACCGATGGCAGTCAGGCCACAAGGCAATCACGAGATAAGGTTGTCTCACCCGCATCATTCCTTTGCTGTAGCCTGAGAGGACATACTAGGGGTAGTGAGGTGGCAGTCAGATGCAAACGTTCGTCAGACTTGTTGGTGGTGCGGGCGCTCGTGAAATCAAAACCCTTGCCAATGTCTTGTCACGAAGGATGACTTGGAAAGGCGATCGAAAGCATCGCGGACCTGTCGGTCATGTTGTTCCATGGCCGAGTCGTTCCTCGATGGCGTGCCTCGAGTTTGAGAAAAAGACAAGGCTCGGATGCTCAGAAGTTCCACGATCCATAATTGTACGATGAATCATTCGGCATCTGGGTGAGGTTTATCAAAATCCGAGCTGAGTAAGGAGGTGTTGTCGTTTTACTGTTGAGTTTCGGCAGACAAGGAGCTTCAAGCCTCCGAATTGCGCCCCACACGTCACTTCGTCAGAGAAGTTCTAGGCGACGCCTTGACATTTTGCTCGACCGCCTGGCAGTATACGCATATCTCATTGGCCTGGGTAGAGCATGGTCCGCTTTCCGGAAGATTGCGACCAATCACGAATCTGAAATCGGCACCCGCCTAGTCAGAAAAAACATCGTCCCTGATTGCTGTTGGATCTATAGGACAAAGCGTTTGTATATATGATCTGGGCATCGCGCCCTCCAGTCTTTTACTCAATCTCAGATCAGTTGCACTCTCTTCATCCCTCGACACATATCGAGCCTCGTCCCTTTTGAGGCCGACTTTCAGACACGACACATCTGTAAATAGAAGTCGACAACTTGTTTATACTGTATACGCCTCACCTTTCTTCATAATGGCTACCAACAGCCAGATAGCCTGGGCACCCTCGCTCAACCATGGCTATGGTGACGATCTCATGCGTCGCATTTCCCGTACCGTATCTGGCCGCTCAGGCTTCTCAGACTACGAAGAGCCCAAGGACGACGAACACATCAGCAAAGCTGAGGACTGGTCATTGATGCCCGAAGTCAAGAGATACGCCGAAAACGATCCTGCCACCGGACGTAAGCTTGGTGTCACCTGGACCGATCTCACTGTCAAGGGTGTTGGTGCCGATGCAGCCTACAATGAGAACTTCCTCAGTCAATTCAACGTTCCTCAGCACATCAAGGAGGGTCGCAATCCTGCACCTCTCAAGACCATCATCGATAACAGCTCTGGATCCGTGCGCCCAGGAGAGATGCTTCTTGTGCTTGGTCGACCTGGAGCAGGTTGCACGACGCTCCTGAAAATGCTCTCAAATAGAAGGGCAGGCTATGCAGAGATTGAAGGCGACATCAGATTCGGTACTATGGACCACAAGGAGGCCCAGCAATACAGAGGTCAAATTGCCATGAACACCGAAGACGAGCTGTTTTTTCCCACCCTCACCGTCGGACGTACGATGGATTTCGCCACGCGTTTAAAGGTTCCCAACAATCTGCCTGAAGGTAATGAGACGAGAGAGCAATTCCGCACTGGATACAAAGATTTCCTTCTCAGATCAATGGGCATCGGCCACACGTAAGTTTTAGTCTTCAAGAAGTCATACTTGCAAAACAGCTGACAGGAATCGCACAAAGCGCCGACACCAAAGTGGGAAATGAATACGTGCGTGGTGTCAGTGGTGGTGAACGTAAAAGAGTTTCTATTATCGAGACTCTTGCGACAATGGTTAGTATACCTCTTATTATCCGTCTAGCGATACGTAACTAACGCTCTAGCAGGCCAGTGTCTATGCATGGGACAACAGCACAAGAGGTCTCGATGCGTCCACTGCCTTGGAATACACCCGTGCCCTGCGTGCTCTCACGGACAAGAACGGTTTGGCTACCATTGTCACCCTCTACCAGGCTGGAAACGGTATCTACGACCTTTTCGACAAGGTCTTAGTCCTTGACGAGGGCAAGCAGATTTACTATGGTCCTCGCGCTCAGGCTCGTCCTTTCATGGAGAAGCTCGGCTTCATTTGCGATGATGCTGCCAACGTTGCAGATTTCTTGACTGGTGTAACAGTTCCTACTGAGCGCAAAATTAGGGACGGCTTCCAAGCACAATTCCCCCGTAACGCAGTCTCTATCCGCGAGCGATACGAACAGTCATCTATCAAAGCCAAGATGGACAAGCAGCTCAATTTCCCCGAGACTTCGCGTGCGAAAGAATGGACTGCCGACTTTCAGAAAGCGACTCATGAGGACAAGGCTAGGGGCATTCCCAGCCACAGTCCCAATACTGTCGGCTTCCAATCACAAGTCAAGGCTTGTATCATCAGGCAGTACGAGATCCTGTGGGGTGACAAAGCGACTTTCTTTATCAAGCAAGGTTCTACCCTAGTTCAAGCTCTCATCTCTGGTTCACTCTTTTACAACGCCCCCAACAACTCGTCTGGACTCTTCATTAAGGGTGGTGCCCTGTTCTTATCTCTTCTGTTCAACGCGCTTTTGGCTATGTCTGAGGTTACCGATTCTTTCTCTGGTCGTCCCATCTTGGCCAAGCACAAGGCCTTCGCCTTCTACAACCCCGCCGCCTTCTGTCTTGCTCAAATTGCGTGCGATCTGCCAGTACTTGTCTTCCAGATCAGTGTCTTCTCCGTCGTCCTATACTTCATGGTTGGACTGAAGTTGACCGCTGCTGCCTTCTTCACCTACTGGTTCGTGATCTATCTATCGACTTTGGTTATGACCGCACTTTTCAGAGCCGTTGGTGCTGCGTTCCCCACTTTCGATGCTGCCTCAAAGGTTTCAGGTTTCACGATTAGTGCTCTCATCACATACATTGGTTACCAGATCCCTAAGCCTGAGATGCACCCTTGGTTCGTGTGGATCTACTGGATCAACCCGATGTCCTACGGATTCGAGTCTCTGCTTGGCAACGAGTTCAAGGGTCGTGTGATTCCTTGTGTCAACAACAACCTGGTTCCCAACGGTCCTGGCTACGCTGATGCTGCTTTCCAAGCCTGTGCTGGTGTCCGTGGTGCCCTCCCTGGTGCCACCGAGGTCACCGGCGAGCAGTATCTGGACAGCTTGTCTTACAGTTCATCGCACATCTGGCGCAATGTGGGCATCCTTTTCGCCTGGTGGTTCCTGTTTGTCGGTATGACCATCTTTTTCACTCTTCGTTGGGGCGAGAATGGCAACTCAAACGGCTACCTTTTGATCCCTCGCGAAAAGGCCCACCTGGCCAAGGACCTCATGAGCAAAAAGACCCCCAACGACGAGGAAAACCCTGCCGAAAAGTCTCAAGCTTCTATCTCTAGCGCTGACACTCAGGTGCCTTCTGGTAACAATGAAAAGTCCAAGACTGAGTCCGAAAACAACGACCAACTTGTTCGGAATACCAGCATTTTCACGTGGAGAAATCTCACCTATACCGTCAAAACCCCCTCCGGCGACAGAGTCCTTCTCGACAACATCCACGGGTATGTTCGACCCGGAATGTTGGGTGCTCTCATGGGTAGTTCGGGTGCTGGAAAGACCACTCTTCTCGATGTCCTTGCTCAGCGTAAGACTGACGGCACAATCAAGGGTGAGGTCCTCGTAGATGGCCGTCCTCTCTCGCTATCCTTCCAACGTTCTGCTGGTTACTGCGAGCAACTTGATGTTCACGAACCTTTGACTACCGTCAGAGAGGCACTTGAGTTCTCGGCTCTTCTCCGTCAAAGTCGTGACACACCTGATTCTGAGAAGCTTGCTTATGTCGATACCATCATTGACTTGTTGGAGCTTCACGATCTCGAGCACACTCTGATTGGCAAGCCTGGTGCTGGTCTGTCCATTGAACAAAGAAAGCGTGTGACAATCGGTGTTGAGCTCGTCTCCAAACCATCCATTCTCATTTTCCTTGACGAGCCTACATCTGGTCTTGATGGTCAAGCTGCTTTCAACACTGTTCGTTTCCTTCGCAAGCTTGCCGATGTCGGTCAGGCTGTGCTCGTTACCATCCACCAACCTTCCGCTCAACTTTTCGCCGAGTTTGACACTCTACTTCTTCTCACTCGTGGTGGCAAGACGGTCTATTTCGGTGAGATCGGCGACGAGGCAAACACGATCAAAGAATACTTCGGACGCTACGACGCGCCTTGCCCGTCTAGCAGCAACCCTGCTGAACACATGATTGATGTTTGCTCCGGCTCCCTTTCGCAGGGCAAGGATTGGCACCAGGTCTGGTTGGACTCTCCTGAGAACCAGAAGATGCACGAAGAGCTCGACACTATGATCCAAGACGCTGCCGGCAAACCTCCCGGTACCAAGGACGATGGCCACGAATTTGCTACCTCCCTCTGGACCCAGACTAAGCTGGTCACTCAGCGTATGAACGTCTCTATCTACCGCAACACCGACTACATCATGAACAAGATCATGCTCCATATTGGTACTGCTCTTTTCATGGGTTTCACTTTCTGGATGATTGGCAACGGTGTCGCTGATCTCCAGCTCAATCTTTTCGCCCTTTTCAACTACATCTTCGTTGCTCCAGGTGTCATCGCTCAGCTCCAGCCTTTGTTCATCGAACGTCGTGACGTTTACGAGACTCGTGAGAAGAAGAGTAAGATGTACGACTGGAAAGCATTCACCACAGGCCTGATTGTGTCTGAAATTCCTTACCTGATTCTCTGCGCAACACTCTACTTTGTCTGCTTCTACTTCACTGTCGGATTCCCTGCAAAGGCCTCATCTGCCGGCTCGGTCTACTTTGTCATGCTGGTCTACCAATTCATCTACACTGGTATTGGTCAGTTCGTTGCCGCCTATGCACCCAACGCAGTTTTTGCTTCGCTTGTCAACCCTCTCATCATCGGTACCTTGGTTTCCTTCTGTGGTGTTCTGGTCCCCTATGCCCAAATTCAGCCTTTCTGGCGTTACTGGCTGTATTACCTCAACCCCTTCAACTACCTCATGGGTTCTCTCCTTGTCTTCACCTCTTTCGACCAAGAAGTTCGCTGCAAGCAATCTGAGTTTGCGATCTTCGACCCTCCTTCAGGCCAGACTTGTGCTTCTTACCTCGCCAACTACTTGCAAGGCATGGGCCATGCTTCCAACCTCATCAACCCTGATGCTACTTCCGACTGCCACGTCTGCCAGTACACTCGTGGCAGCGATTACCTTGCTACCCTTAACCTAAACGAATACTACTATGGTTGGAGAGACGCTGCCATCTGTGTTATTTTCGCTCTTTCTGGTTATGCTCTTGTGTTCGGACTGATGAAGTTGAGAACCAAGGCCTCCAAGAAGGCCGAGTAAAAAGGTCCCTATATAAATTCCATTTCCTTCTTTGGTTGTCAGCGTGGCGTTTCAATATAGACTGGGGATCAATGTGACCCTAATGTAGACTTTCAATTATCTTCCATGTTTTCATCACATTGTCTCCAAGATCTCTATAACCTCTTGTCAGCTCATGCATCGTTAGAATGTTTGTGATGGTCATTCAAATGCACAGACTTCTTCCTTCGATTGACAGAACACAGGCGGGATGTGACGATGGCAATCCTACCTGATTGTCTGGTAGTCTGTACAGCCACAAGACAACTGCATCACGACAGGGATAGTTAATACCAGCAACAAGTCAAGAAAAGTTGCCCGTTGGCTTGATTATAGCATAAAGGCTTCTCCACTCTAGCATGCTAAGTGGAAGCGAAAAGCAAGCACTATCCCTGGTCATGGCTGCGAGCGTGTTGCCTCTCTGCATTGGAGCAGCCGGAACAACAACATCTCTGGTTCGTGAGACACCCCCTTCCCGATCACTCATGCGATCCGCCGAGGGGCGCGCTTTCACTTTCACTATCGTCGAAACCTTTCCCTCCCAACTCTGTTTCGGTATAGTAAATTATTTCACCACAACACCGACGAGATGGAGCCTCACCAGAAGGGTTATATCAGATCTGCAGACTTAACGTTCACCAATCACGACAACAGCAATGTCTCTGCGCCTGGCGACGAGCACATGAAGGACAGCAACAAAGTTGACGCGCCACAAGACAACGTCACCACCACAACTATTGCACAACAAAGCAAGCAGTCCAATCCTGTCAATGACCCTCGTCTTAGTCATCCCTTCTATACGGCACTCTCACTCTCTCGTGACGCGAATAAAGAAACCACTACTCCTCACGTAGCTAAGCGCAGCATCAACTACCCCGATATACTGGACAGCACCACCAAAGCTGTCTCTACCCCTGATAGCGACCACGTCTTCGATACCATCACCACCACATCTCTCGGCGACTTGCTCAAGGATCCTCATCACCTTGGTGCTATGCTCGCGTCAACGTATCACACCACATCTGCCGATGAGATCAAGAACATCATCGGCTGTCTCGTGCACCTGGACGTGATGATCACACGTCAAACGCACCTCAACGAGCTGCATGAAGCACATACGGCTAAGAACTTCAGAGAGCAGAGACACCTCAACAAAGACCGCAAGCTCCGTCTAGGCGCGATTACCAAGTCAATCGATCATGAATTCGCGGGTCTCGATGCCCAGCGTATGGCTCAACAGACTACCATCAAGCAGCACGACATCCGCGTAAATAGCCACCAGGTCCAACTCAAGGGGCTCAACGACAAGGCTCAGATGTTGGCACAAGCAGGAGAATGGATGGAAACAGCGGTTGGTGAGACACAGCAAGAGCTTACAGATCTTCAAAGAGAGGTTGAGGGACTGAAGATCGAGAACGTGAATTTCAGGGATGAGGTCAGGGGTCTCAGGGAGGTGATTTGTGCAATGAAGGAGAAGGAGGAAGGTTGGGAGAGAAGACTGGCTGCCTTGGAGGTCCGATCAGGAGGCAGCAAGGAGATACACTTGATCGATGTCTGTATCAAGAAGGAGCAAGTGCTGAACTCCGCCAGCTTCGCCGTGGGTAACGCCCGCGTCTTCTCGCTATCTCGTTGAGGAATGACCAGATGTTTCGAAGCAACGTGTATGAAGGGCGCCACGAGCAGCTTGGAGGTGATTGAAAGTTCAGAGGGTCTTTCCTGATGACTTTTCACACCTTTCCTGCCTCATCTCGGATCCAGATGCCATAAACGGACGGAGAGCAGGAGTCGGTGATAGCGATTTTTGTTTCTTGCTGCTTCGAGGTCAGAACCATAATTGTCGCCGTCTCCTTACTTGGAGGGTCCTCGGGGAACCCAGTCTATCTCATAATTACTGGGTTCCTCCTTTATTCGTTCCTGTATTTTCATCAAATTCATTTTGCAAATCTCTTTGTCTTCGTTGTCGAGGAAAATAGAGCAGACCAAGCATCCGTCCTCCCAGACAAGCACAAGATACAATGTCCAGACGTCAAACTTGTCGATGCTGATAAGTTCCTCGAAACCGAGGATCCGGGGTCCATCGTATTTGAGAGGGAACAGGACGATATTGATATTCCACCTCAGGACGTGTCGCGACCACGAGCAGCATCTGCAAGTGCAGTACGGAATTCCCGAGAAACACTTGCTACTCGAGCGAGATTTGCATCACCCATACGCAGTGTTGCCCGGATAGGAGGGATCTATTACTCCACAGTTGGCGATAGATCAACACTGCACCCTACCCGGACACGTCACCAAGCCGCGGTCGACCACTGGCAATCTGTTCCGCTGGATCCTACCACAACTTCTACTCTCGACTGGAGGCTCGAGCAGAAAAGGTTGTCCTACAACTCCAAGCACGCGATGGACCTCCGTGAGAAGATGTATTGGCCGAGTCGTAGTGTGCAGGCTGAGTACTATGCAAATGCTGATTTCGACGCTGGGAGGAGCAGCAATATTCAAATCGGACTGGCGCTTTCAATTTGGAAGACAAGTCTCGACGATGCAGACGGCCGAACTAAAGCCATGAAAATGCGAAGTCTTTTTGATATTTCCACGGAGAGTTGCCATGTCATCGGCTCTCTATAGACATTGCCACCATGTAAAAATGATTTGCATTTCTACAGCTGCATGATTGACATGACTTGAAAATGGGGAGTTTGCTTTCTGAACACTGTAGCAACTTGTCACCTTGGTTTCAGTGTCTTGACTTCGTTTCTTGATGTCGACCCGAGCACGGATCGCCAACAAGTTTATGATATCAAACTCAACCTTGGAATACCACACTACAAGCCTATATGTATGCTTGAATAACGCGCCAAACTCCTTACTCCGATCTACCTTATGCCCAGTGGAAAGCTGTTGTGGGTTTTATCCACGCCGCGTCAACGTCTGTTCGTTTCCGGCATACAATATCAATTGGCTTCGCACCCATCGACTGAAGCGTCTCCTCCGACGAGCGGCTTCCCATGACAATATCATAAGTATCATCAGGATCAACCTTTGCAACCAAGTGCCTTACATCCAGACTGTCTTTTTGAACTTCCACGGGATCAAAGCGAGCACGTCTCATGTAATGGAGTTGCCTGGTGACAAACTTTTGCTCCATCTCAGTGGTCGCTCCTTCCAGAGTAGCAGTTCGTTGCAGATGGCTCAACGTGCCGAGGAGATATCTCAAAGCTTCTGGGACTGCTGATTCCTCCTCAACCATTTGGCGAGGGAAGTAGACAGCGAATCTGAAACTTTTGACATGAGGGAAGTCGATGACCAGATCTCTCAGTAAATACTCTGCCAAAATTTCCTTGGACTGGAGATCTAGATCGCAGTTGATGAACAGAGCAACCAAGAGATTACTGTCCGAGAAAAAGTAGTCGGGTCTTGCCTCTGTATCGCGAGACGCTAGGGTGTCGACGAGTTTGCAAGCCGCGGTCCAGCGAAAGTCCCTGGAATAGTCCCCATAGGATGCGTCGCGAAAGAGGAGCAGTTCTTCGCGATTCTGGCGATGTTGGTCGTATCTGATCCTTTCTGCTTCTTCGCGTGCCCGGCACCTGGAGTGAATTCGTTCTTGGCGCTTGTGGGCTTTTTGTTCTTCTGGGAGTTTGCTTGTGACCACTTCGTTACTTACACCTGGACTATCATGACTGCGGCCTAGTTGCAAGCTGTGAGTAGTCAGGGGTTGCTTTTGGAGTATGTTGCGTAAGCTATCTATCGCAGTACGATGATCTTGAGGTATTCCATGCGTTTCGCCCTCGTCGACTGTGGATGAGCTTCGATGCACTGGTGGGTATACAAATCGAGACTTGACCAAGGGAAAAGCCCAGGAAACACGATTTGGGCATTTGGCGGTGGTTGGAACGGCCATGATGTTGGATTCGGGATTTGCAGAAGCTGGAGCTGCTAGTTACGAGTTTTGATGTTATCGTTGCTTGACAGCAGAGAGCAGAAGGAGAGATTCGGCGAGCATCATATATCGCAAGAAATGCTGCTCACTGACTCACACGGTATGACTATGCGAACTTCCACAGAAGCCACAATGCCTTTCGGTACCATCTGAGTCAGGAAGCTTGAGTAGATGCCCGGAGGCAGTTAGAGCATGTTTTGAGCATTGCGACGCGACACCTCGTCGGTGAGGTCTACGAAATCAAGAGGCTATTCTGTTCGAATGTCTGTTGCGACGGGTCAAGATGTGTGACAATTCGCTGTGCCAGTGGCACATGCTCAAATGCTCAATTTACCTATGATATGGTGCCAAACACCTTCATAAAGTCAGTCATGGGAGGTCCCGTCTAACAGAAGAAAAGTGCTCGCTGTGTGCAACTCTGTGGTCGAGCCTTCGTAACCGATTGATAGTATCGTCAGAGCCTTCTGCTCGAGTTCGAACTCTCAAGCCTTTTCTGCCTTGCAAGTTGCCGGAGCAAGTGAATGCGCTTCTTGGAGGACAGTTCTTTTTCGGCAAGACGTATTACCCGCTCTTTGTCGATTGAAGCGCGTTCCTCTCTCAGACGTCTCCGAAGATCGGCATTCTTTCTCTGTTCCTCGAGACGTCTTTCACGCTCATCCTTTTTAGCGTCACGCATTCTCTGACGCTCATCCTTTCTAGCGTCACGCATTCTCTGACGTTCATCCTTTCTAGCGTCACGCATTCTCTGACGCTCATCCTTTCTAGCGTCACGCATTCTCTGACGCTCATCCTTTCTAGCGTCACGCATTCTCTGACGCTCATCCTGTTCAGCGGCACGTAATGCTCTGCGTTCCTCACGCGCAGCGGCTTTTCGAATGCGTTCGGGTGACTCTAAGTAGCGCGCTCTTCGCTGCGCAGCCATGGCCTCTGCATTCTGCAGACGATACTGGCGTTGATTCTGCCTGATGGCCTCTGAGTTCTGAAGATAATACTGGCGACGATACTGCCTGGTGACCTCTGGGTTATCAAGGCGATACTTCCTGCTGTGGGCATATATGGCCTCTTTGTGACGCTGATAGTATTGCTGATTGTATCCTTTGACACGAGCGGCATTCTCGCTACGCCATACTTGTTCCTTAGCGTTGAGGGCTTCCTTGTTGTTACGACGCCACTCTTGACGCGCCAATCTCTGAGCTTCCTTTTTGGAAGGATCTTTTTGACGAAGTAACAAAGCTTCCCTGTGTTTTTGATAGTATGCTTTGTTGTGTGCTCTCCGATAATCTTTGGTTTTAGAGAATGGCACCTCCTGAGGTGCATCCCCAAGGTCCTTGTTGGTAGCATTGTTGGCAGCAGATGAAGAAAGTCGAATCAACAGATGGCCAGAGTGAAAAGATGCGAGTTGACTCGGACGGTGCGCTCTCAATTGGATGCCACGCAATATAGCAAACATCTCTAAGGGTCTGGAGAAACTTTGCGGCACATGTGACACTACATGTCAAATACTGAGACTGTCTGAAGAGGAACAGAGTGTTTTTGAGCATGTACATCGATGTTGGATATATCGATGTTGGCGAATTGACAGATTAATAGTCGGCATGCGTGACGCCAAGCCGGGACTTTGATGACAAGCCGAAACCTCTTTCCCACCTGATGAGCGCCTTCCTTGTCTCGAGTTCAGCAAGACCGGGTTCCTGCTCTTTGTGCCATCAGATGCGATGATGCATATGCAGTGGATCAAGGACAACGCTCTCCGAGATCAAAGGTACCCGCCTGAGATGTTGTTATGACATGCCTTCTCATCCTTCGCCAACGCGCAGCCTTGGCAGGCCTGGTAGCGGCCCTCGTACAAATTCGCGGCGCCATCCATCGCCTTCCTAGGTAATTAACTTGACCCTGCTTCGTGGCCGCCTGTTTGTAGTAGTCCATCTACGCCCCTGAGAACCCCATTTTCTACCGCATTTCTCCCGGCGCATTCGGGTCAGCCTACATGAGCACATCGTAACATCTGTCCTGGTCAGCGGCAGTGTCACCGGACCGTCATGTTGACGGCTCCCCGAATCAATGGACGTTTCAGCCAGCTCCTGCTGCTGGCCGCGGTGCTCCTCATCCTTACCATAGTCTTTTATGCCAACGCCGATACCATCCATGTTCCAGAAAGCATCTCCCGGAAGCCTCCGACCAAGGCTCGACCCCATCACCCCATCGACGATTTGATTGAAGAGGCGGATCGCCAACAAGATGCTTTGCTGCAAAAGGAGTCGCATACACTCGCTGATGCCGTGCGCGCATACGAGGACCGCAGAGGGCGACGACCGCCGCCAGGCTTCGACGCCTGGTTCCATTTCGCCCAAGAGAACAATGCCCTGATCATCGAAGATTTCTTCGATCGCATTTACCACGACTTGAATCCCTTCTGGGCAGTGCCTCCTTCGAGTATTCGCCAGCAAGCCGGCGACATCTTCCATCGAATCAGTATTCGCAATGGCAACACATCACAGCTCAGCGATCAACCACGCGTCTGGCTGGACCTTTGGGAGAACTTGATTGGCACTATCGTACACCATTTACCTGATCTGGACATTCCCATCAACGTTATGGATGAGTCGCGCGTGGTAGTACCCTGGGAGACGATAGACGAATACATGACCGCAGAAAAGAAGTCACGACGTATTGTGCCTGCTTCCGAAGTCGTTGGCAAGTTTGGCAAGACGTCGGTCGGGAAGGACGAGGAAGTCCCTCAATTCGATCCTCAATGGGAAGGCGGACCTTATTGGGACCGCGCTGTCATCGGATGCCATCCGGACTCTCCTGCTCGCTCTTACAAGGCAGAAGTGGATTATACCGTATTCCCACCCTTGAACAATTCTTATCCCCAGAAAAGTCATGAAGGCTACGTCGCGAACTGGACATATGTGAAACAACCCTGCGAACACCCTCAACTTCAGGGCCTTCACGGCACCTTTGTTGAGCCCATCTCAATTTCAAACTCGAGGAAGCTTATGCCCCTGTTCGGAGGCTCGAAACTACCCATGAACAATGAGATTCTGTTGCCACCAGCCATGTACTGGACAGACGACCCCTTCTACTCTGGTGGCGAAGAACACGGCGCCGAGTGGGACAAGAAGAAGAATAAGATCATTTGGCGAGGTGCTGCTTCGGGTGGTCGCAACAAGGACACAACCTGGGCTCGCTTCCAGCGCCACCGCTTTGTGTCGATGGTAAACAGCACCAGTATTGCACGTGCTGAGGAAACGGGCAAGCAACCCAACTTTGAACTGCCCGAGTCTGGGCAGTATGACTTGCCCTCTGGTTCTCTGGCAAAATGGGTTGGAGAATGGGGAGATGCAGCATTCGTACACCTTCTCTGCTTCCCCGACACAAGACCACCGTTTTGCGATTACGACGATGCATTTTATCAAGTCAAGCCCTCGATGCCCATGGGAGAGCAATACAACTACAAATATCTACCAGACATTGACGGCAACTCGTTCTCTGGAAGGTATCGAGGATTCCTCGGATCAACATCACTACCTATCAAAGCGACCATCTACGACGAATGGCATGACTCCCGAATGATGGCTTGGAAGCACTTCGTGCCCATGGACAACACATTTGTCGACATTTACGGCATCATGCACTACTTTCTAGGTGGGCGTGATGCAGCAGCCAAGAAGATTGCACTTGAGGGCAAAGAGTGGACCGAGACGGTTCTCCGACGAGAGGACATGCAGATCTATGTCTTCAGACTGCTGCTAGAGTACGGCAGGTTATGTGATGACAACCGCGAGAAGCTAGGCTATGTCAGTGAAGCGGAAAGACTGTTGCTGTCTGGTCTGGACGCAGCTGGAGCGAAGTAATTTGTTGCGAATGAGTAATGACAATTTAATGTTTGAGTCTCTAGGAAGAAGTTGCGTGCCCCAAAGATCCGTCATGTCTCGGTCGCGCCTGCCTGTGGATAAAATTCTTGACCTTCTGCCATGACTCATGCACGCCAAGAGAATGGCGGGGACCGGAAGGAGGTGGTGGTCTCGGTCGCTCGTGACTGTTTCGCGACCAAAAAAGTGTTTTCGACTCACCCTCAGTCACTTTCTACACATCGTGCATGCGCGCATTCCAGGTCAAAAGAGTATCGTCTTTCCTTGGTCAGTCTACATCACACAAGACTTCATTCTTTCGACTCGGAACCCATCACCTCTGGTCGCACACGAGACACTTCTCCAACTTTCACCTTCCCACCCACAAAGGCGTCACCATGGAGCAACTCACTGCTTCGGTCCAGGCCTTTGGCCTCAACGAGGTCCCCCAGCTGTCTAAGCTGGCCACATTCCCTACATACAACCAGGTCGACATCTACCGCGCTCACATTGCCGAGCTACTCGCACCCATCACTGGCGTCGCTGCCGAGCAAATCTACCCTCTGCTGCAATGGACTCAGGTTCTGGAATACGGCGATCTGATGCTGCCCGTCCCTGCTCTGCGCATCAAGGGCAAGAAGCCCGACGCTCTTGCCGTCGAGATCAAGGAGAAGGTACTACTTCCTGTAGTGACTATATCGAAAGCACACAACTAACCTTGTCTGTAGTTCCCTGAATCCCCCCTCATCCTCCCTCCCGTCGCCGAAAAGACCTTTGTCCGTTTCTTCTTCAAGACAGACCCTCTCGCCAAGCTCGTCCTCCCTTCGATCCTCAAGAACACCACCAAGTACGGTTTCAACCCCAACCTCGGTCTTCACGACCCCAAGGACCCCAACTCGGGAAAGAAGAAGATGATCGTCGAGTTCTCGTCGCCCAACATCGCCAAGCCTTTCCACGCCGGTCACTTGCGTTCGACCATCATTGGAGGTTTCTTGAGTAACTTGTACGAGGCTGCTGGCTGGGATGTTACCCGTATGAACTACCTTGGTGATTGGGGCAAGCAGTACGGTGTTCTGGCCATTGGTTTCGAAAAGTTTGGAAGCGATGAGGCTCTTGAAGCCAACCCCATCGGTCACCTGTACGAGGTCTACGTCAAGGTCAGCGCCATTGCACACGACGAGGCTGAGCAAGTCAAGGCTCTCAAGGCACAAGTTGTTGAGCTCGAGGCCAAGAACGAGTCGGTCGTTGAGCAGCAGGCCAAGATTGAGCGTATCGAGAAGGAGGGTATCGACCAACAAGCCCGTGACTACTTCAAGCGCATGGCCGACGGCGAGAAGGATGCTCTGGGTATCTGGGCTCGTTTCCGTGACCTCTCGATTGTCAAGTACAAGCAGACATACGCTCGTCTCAACATCCACTACGACGACTACTCTGGTGAGTCGCAGGTGCAGAACGAGAGCATGGAGACTGCTGCCAGGGTTCTGGCCGAGAAGGGCGTCAGCGAGGAGAGTGAGGGCGCTGTCCTCGTCGACCTGACCAAGTACCAGAAGAAGCTCGGCAAGGCTTTGGTCAAGAAGAGAGACGGCACCACCCTCTACCTCACCCGTGATATCGGTGCTGCTGTCGAGCGTCACCAGAAGTACAAGTTTGACAAGATGATCTATGTTGTTGCAATGCAGCAAGACTTGCACTTGTCTCAATTGTTCAAGATTCTCGAGGTCATGGGCGATGAGTACACCGAGGTGTCCAAGAAGTGCCAACATGTCAATTTCGGTATGGTTTTGGGTATGTCTACTCGTAAGGGTACTGCCAAGTTCCTCGACGACATTCTCCGTGATGTCGGTGAGAAGATGCACGATGTCATGAGAAGCAACGAGGGCAAGTACGTGCAGGTAGAGAACCCTGAGCAAACTGCCGACACTCTCGGTATCTCAGCCGTCATGGTACAAGACATGAGCGGCAAGCGTATCAACAACTACGAATTCGACATCAACCGCATGACCTCATTCGAGGGAGACACTGGCCCTTACCTCCAATACGCACACGCCCGTCTCTGCTCGATTGCTCGCAAGGCAGAGTTCACACACGAGCAGCTCGAGACAGCCGACTGGTCTTTGCTGAGCGAGAAGCACGCTGTGGATGTTATCCGTTCGCTGGCACAATGGCCCGACACATTTACAAACACCATCAAGACACAAGAACCTATCACGGTGTTGACATATCTTTTCAAGATGACACACATGCTGAGCAGTTCTTACGAGCAGCTCAATGTGATGAAGGCCGAGCCCGAGGTCAAGAAGGCTCGTGCGGCACTTTACGAGTGCGCTCGCCAGGTCTTGTACAACGGTATGAGATTGTTGGGTCTCAGCCCTGTTGAGCGTATGTAAGACGGGGAGGATGCGAAAAAAAAATCGAGAGGCGCAATGGGACATGGTTAGATGGTGAAGGGTGCATGGCGTACAATGCGAAAAGAGATGATGGATATCACTAGATTATGTGAATGAACGAACAGATTCAAAACTTGTACATGGACAAATCAAGGAGTGAAGTCGTGAAGGCGTGAAGGCAATCAAGGTTTCTTGGTTGACAGGACCCTGGAAGTGGGCGGTTGCCGTGGGGAAGTTAGTGTTGATCGACAGAGATGCAGACCAACCACGTCCCAGCCACGCCACGCCATTAATCAATTGCCAGCCATCTCGAGCAGACAGTCCAACGACTATCGCGTCTTTTTCTCCTCTTTCGCGCGCTTTCTTGACGCGAACTTTTCTTCACAACGTCTATCTCAACTCCATTCAACCGTCTACCACACCGTTGCAATCACTTGATCGATACCATCCGCCTACCCCACATTCTGTATACCATCACCATCAGCATTTACCGCTTGCAACAACCTTCAACTCCAGCTGAAGGAGCAGCCCCAGCAAACATGGCACCCACACCACACCTCATTTCTCGCGCTCCACCCGTCCCATGCGCCGGCTGCCTCGATCCCAGCAAAGTAAACAACAAAGTCTACTTTTCGCTCTTCGCACTCATCTTCCTCGCCATCGTACTCGCCTCTATCTGGTTCTTTTTCCATGCCAAAAACGGAGGTTTCCACTGGCAACAAGGCGATTTCGACGACTGGAAATCTACGGTGTTGAGGAAGAAGGACGCTAATGGAAATACCATTTACTCGGCTAGAAGTGTGGTGAGCAGACCCAGGAAGAGTGATCGCATCGCGGCAAAGAGTGTGGTGGGCTTTGACGAGAAGGGCAGGAAGGGTATCATGGCTGTCAGGGGTTTTGGAGGCAGTCATTCAGTCTACTACTCCGATGGCTTCACGCAATATTCCGGCGACCGCAGTGATGCAATGACATCCATCTCCCGCAACAACAACGAAAAAAGACAACCCAAAATCAGGGGCGGAGGTTACAGCGCTGCTCCCACCTCCACGAATCACTCTCGTCGTTACCGCGACCGCGATCTGCGCGACTACAAACATGAGAAACCTGCTAGAGTGGGTGGCATGAACAGATCAGCCGATGGCACTTCCTACGATTACTCGGACCGCAGCGAAACACTTACTGAAATGACTGAGACGTCATCTGCAGCTCCCATCTTGTCATCCTCGGACCGCAAACGCGAAAAGGCTGAAAAGAGAGCTGCGGAAGATGCAGCACGCATGGAGAGGAAATGGCGCAAGGAAGCCGAGCGCGCAGCCGCCGCACTCGCCAAAGAATCCACTGCTGCCACCTCTACAACTCCTCGCAAACCATCTTCGCCGGTCAAATCGCATACACCAGTCACCAAAGCACCAAAGAGTTCAAAGCGGCAAAGCAGCCGCAGCCGCTCTTCCAGCCCCAGGAAATCCGCTGCGCCTAGACAAAGGGATTACTCCTTCTCTGGCGCCCCTGATGAGTCGAGTACGGTGTATACGGGTACTTACACCACTACCTCTGGCACACGCACGAACAGCAGTTACTACGATGCCTATCGTCCTGTAGCTCAAGCCTCACCATCCCGCAATATTCCTGGACCTTCTGCTCAAGCTCCTCCTCGTGCTGAGCGCCGCGAACGCAGAGCTTCGTCTAGCAGAAACAATTCAGCCTCGCCTTCTAAACAACACAGAAGCAGCAGATATACATATGCTGATAGCGATGTCACTGCCAGCACCGACAGAAGTGGTGGCGGCAGAGACGGAAGTGGCAAGTATGAGAGGGTCAGAGGTGGTGAACAGAAAAAGAAAGGAGGCAGGGATGTGATGGCTGGATATCGCAGAGGCATGGATAGTCTGGGAAGTGATTCCGAGTAGAGCAAGTTGACGGGCTCATGGATCTGGAGGGGAAGAAGGAGGTTTGATGATGACGGATAATGGACGCCGCAGAACAGAGATGCTTGATTCCAGAAAAGGGCCACAGAATGTTGTATAGACTAGCCCAAGCAGAACAGAGGATGAATAACGACATAAATTGACATAGCAAGCAAGCGATGTTTCTTCTTCACCTTAGCATCTCCTCATTGTTTCTTCATTTCCTTCTCTCCTCCTCCTCAAATGCACTCTTTGCCTCTCTCAACTTGACTTTCGCCGGTGTTTCTTGTCCTTCTTATCTTCTATCCTCATGACCCCTAACTTCCGAAAGCTGGATTCGTATCGACAATAAATACATCTGCAAGCTCTTTCGAGCGCGGCCTTTGCTTCTTTTATGGCCTCCTCGCCGGCTGACACTTTGGCCTTTGCTTCTCTGAGTGCTGCAACAGCAGTAGCTAGGGCGTTATTGCGGTTCGTCGCATTGGCATTCGATCGCATCGTGAGCCTGGTCTGCGGCGTGATTTGGCAGTATCGTGGGCTTTTTGTGATGTGGTTACGGCCTTGGTGGATGCGGTTTGGGCGTCGAGGGGCTAGGAGCTTGTGGTGGCTGATGATGGGATAATGCAAGACAAAATGAGCTGAGTTAGTGCTGCTCTGGTCTCTCTGACTGAAGACAAGTGGAGGTAAACCTCGCGCTCTATGGCGAGACGACTTGTGATTTGTGGCGTGCGCGTGCTCGTGTTGTGAACGTCCGAGCAGTTCTGCGCTGTATTCCATCCTAGGATATCCCTTGACTTAATTTCTTTGTTTGCGATTGCGAAGATCCCCTTGTGCCCTCAGTACGGCAAAAAGTCCCAATGCTGAGCATGCATGAAGCTATCCCAGTCCTGAGTCTCTCCTCTCTCAGTGCTGGCCCAGAAACTCTCGAGTACTTCCAAGGAACGGTGGATATTAGGGATATGCAAGAGATCAAACATATTTCTCAGCAGCACTCTCACTCTATCGCGATCATCGCCTTGGGCTTCACAGCCAGCAGCAAACAACGGTGTTGTCATGACCACCAGTGGTGTAAGCCCAGCTGTAGCAGTAAGACTTTCGATACATGCAAGTATCGTCTTGACAGAACTCTGCACTGGAGGCGAATTAGCGGCGTGAGAAGAGATACGTCGGTAAATGTAGATGAGCGCCATATGATGCCATATCTGATTGCAAGACAAGAAATCTGCTTTTTGGCGCGCGGTCAATTGTTCCTCAACTCCGGGTCTGAACTTTGGAGGTTGTGTTTTTTGCTCATCGAGGCGTGCCCAGATACAGGTTGCTAATGATGCTGCTTCCTCGTCTAAATCGCCTTCTTCGAGGATGGTGGGTTGAACATCGTTGCGACGTTCCCATGCCGCAGCACCAATCTCGCGGAATATTGGTGTGAGGTCGGTGGAGAAACCTGCGTATTCGTCCAAGTAGACTTTTTCTTCTTCATCGCCATCTAAAGTGCGAGGACCGAATCTTGCGAGGTGGCCAGAGGCAAGGCCATCGGTTGTGAGTGCTACGAAGCTCTCTGTCATGTTATACCAGCGCTTGAGGAAGTATCGAGTACTGTCTCTTTGCTTCGCAGAGTAGCCTGCCCACGACTCTATATCGAGCATCAGTGCCTTTGCGCCTTCGAAGTGGGCTCGCCAGGTCCCGGGTCGATCGCCTCCGGCGTGGACTTCGCACAGAAAGAGTGTTCTGATGGTTGCTAGCAGTACGCTGCTCTTGTCGACATTCTTTTCTAGTAGATCGCTCTGGAGACCGAATAAACTGTTGCTCAGCAGTCGAGAGATTAGAGGATCTTGTCTTAGGGTGTCGCTGCCAAAGCCGAGCCGTGACTTGTGGTGTATGGCGGAGAGAGCAGCAGTGGCGTAGAAAAGAGTTGGACTTTGTAGTGCAGCAGGGACGATGACTCGACATACATCTTCCTGGACTTTGGAGTGGCAGGATATGACATGTGAAGTACCATTGATAAAGTGATCGAGTAGTGATCGGTCCAAGGTTCCGAGATTGACGAATGGATCTACTGGCGTAAATAACGGGAAGAAGTCGATCTCGTAATCTTCCAGGAACAACCCATCTGCAGATGATGTCGGGACTAGAGCCAGAGGATCTTCTATCTCGATAGGCAAGTCTTGCAGTATAAGATCCTCCGATGGTTGCTCAACTGGTAACGGCTCTTCTATAGCAGGAGGAGGTGTTGCAGTAATACTCGGAGGCTGAGGCTGCACCTGGAAACTATTCACCGTATAGATAAATCCTTTATCCACACTTCCTGTACAGAAGTCAGCCTATACCACCCCTTAAACTATAATGACCATAATCTACTTACCGAGTTTCTTGACCTTATCCTTGGACACCTTAGCATCAGAAATGCATGCTCCAAATCTAGATTGGTTAAATGCTCTGCCACCCCATCGTAGCTTAACTTCATATACGCATTCTGCATCAGCTGCTTTACACCTGCCACAGCCAGGTCTGTTTTCATCGCATTTCTGTCTTCGTTTCTTGCATCTTGCACAACCGCTCCAAGACCGTTTGTTAGGAGCTGCACGTGTGGTAGTGGATGCTGCTGCAGATGTGGAGGGCGTTGTTGCAGAAGCCGAAGCTTCGGGGTTCTGATCGTCCATCTTGCTGGGTGACCGAGGCTGAATTTGGCTGCAAGGTTTCAAGGTGGCCTATGCCACATTCTGGTGCATGTGTTTGTCAATGGATGCTGTCAGGAATGAAATTGCTACTGATTTGGCAGCGATTTCTGCAGGCAGTATGACTGGAGACGAGAGAGTCATCGTTATCAGGAACGAAAAGGGAAGGATGAAGAGATGCTTGGCGGCATCGGAAGAAGCGGGGCAGAAGGTGACCCTGACTCGCATGTCGTCTCTCCCCACTTCTCGCCATCAATGTCGCGTTTGACAACAGAGACGTGATATAGCTCTTTAGTCTCAAAGGGGCATGTGCAAGAGCCCTGGATTTTGTACTTTTCTTATAAGTCCTCTCTGTAGCCCTAGTTTCCAATCGTAAATACTCCAACCTCTGTCACACACAGCACAATCATCATGGTCGTGCAACTCTCCTACCGCAAATCCCTCCGCTGGGTTCCTGGAGAACCCTCAGAGCCAACATCAACACTCGTACTCGATGTCGGCGATTTCTTCGTAGATCTCCGCATGCTCAAAGCAGATTCGACGATCGATTGGGCAATGGCTGGAAGACGAACAATTCTTTCCTCATCACCATGTGCGTTTTCAACCCCCACCATTTCCAAAGTCCAGAACTCGTAGCGCCAGGGCGATCAAGATGCTAACGATGATGCAGTAGAATGCCAATGGACAAAAGAAATCTGCTCCCAGAACACCGAAGCCCACGACGACATTGGTATCTTTGAGGATCTACCCAATGGCGACGCACTGGAAAAAGGGAGTATGCCCAATCCGGACAACAGTGATAAGATCCAAGACTATGAGGAAGTTTGGGGGAACCTTGATATTGCACCTTCCGAACAGCCAGCCTGGATTTTGAGAAGTAAGGATGGGAATGGGATTACTTTTGTGGGTAAAGTGGGAAGTTGGTTTCAGGTGTTGAGGAAGAGTGAGGGAGGAGAGTTTGCGGTACTTAGGGAGGAGAAGGTGGATGGAAGTTGGTTGCGGAGGTACCAAGTTGGTGAGAAGTTGCCTTCGATGGCAGAGTTGGGTGAGGAGGTGTTTAGTGCAGAGGGTTGGAAACAGGATACTGATGTCAAGGTTGGAGGCGTAACATATACTGTCTATGCTCTCGAAAAGGCATAATCGATAGATCTGAGCAAGATCTAAACTACCTTCTCAAACTTCAACCGACACTTTTGTCCCTTTGGTCGTGAAGAGATGACCTGATCGTCCAACCTCATATCCGCCTTCTCCTTTCCCAACACGGTCCTATACCCGCCATAGACCTCCCTGAGCAGAATCTTCATCTCAGCCAAAGCAAGGTGTTTTCCAATACACCCTCGAGCACCCTGCGAGAAAGCAAAAAACATACGATTACGCTCCAATTCTCCCTTGTCCTCCAGCCATCTTTGCGGATCAAATCGCTCCGGAACAGGGAAGACAACAGGATCCTTGTGCAGAGTAAACGGCTGGCAGGAAACAATCGTGTGACCAGGGATAAAGTAGCCATCCAACACAGTACCCTCATCAGGCGCATATCTCGGAAAACTCATGGGTATAGGTGGGAAAACCCTCAATCCTTCCTTGACCACAGCATCCAGATAAGGCAATTGATCAAAGTTCTTGTCTGCACTGCTGTTGATCTCGTTCCTCAAGCGCTGTTGTATGTGTGCATTCTCGGGCAATGAGATTTCGTGCATTAGGAAACAGAGGCCATCGCCAGTGGTATCGATGCCAGCAGCAAGGTGATCCATGCACTCTGCAGCAGCAGAGTCGCCTTCCAGTTCTGTAGCTTTGGAGTGCAGTTTCGAGAGCAAAGAATAGGATGCTGGGCTCGGTTTCTCTACTGCCGCGAGGACGAATTCGTTGGCCAGAGGCACTGATCTCGAGCGCTTTGAGTTGAGTTTGTCGAAGAAGGCGGCGAGTTTGGGTGCATAGTATTCCAGGTATGGCGCTTGAATCTGTTAGCATTTTGAGGGGAAGATGGACGGGAAGGATGCAAACCTCGCAGACTATCTGCATAAGACATTTCCGCCATGATCTTGAAGTCCTCGGGATCAGATAGCGAGTTGGTGCCATAAGGCGCGAATAAATGCTGAGACGCTCCATCCAAAGCAAAGCAATGCAGATGCACCTATCACCTCTCTGTCAGCACCCATTCCTCTGCATCAACAACATCCAAAGCTTTCCGAAGATCAAATGTAACAACTCACATAAACATCAGCATCACCCCCATCCTCCCTCAAACAATTCCCCAGAAACTTCTTCGCCCTCCCTCGCAACCCCTCAATAGTTTCCTCTCTCATAACGTTACTATTCGCATACCTATCCGCCAACACCCTCTTCCTCTGACTATGCTCACCCCTCGGCGGCATTGAAAACAAAGTCTTACATCCAAACTGCATGAACAACTCATAAAATTCTGTTCTGTCAAAGCCACTGCCGCCAGATGTATAGATTTCCTTCATAGCGGCGTAGGACGAAAAACTGCATTCGTTTGGGGAGATGCGGATCACGGGGCCATAGGTGCTGTGGAGGTCGTCGATGTAGAGGCGTCTACGGCCGAAGAATTCTGCGATGATGAGAGGGAGGGGGCTGAGGTTTGTGTGCCATGGTCCTGGGAGTTTGGAGAGGGGGGATGTGAGGCGGGTGTAGAGGTAGTAGGAGATGAAGCTGATAGGAACAAGGTATACGAGAAGCATGATTAAAAGAGTCGAAGCAGTCAATCGGTATTGAGAGAAAGAGAGTATGAGACCGAGATGTAAATTGCTATGGTTATGACATAGCTAGAACAGAAGGAAAGGTCAGCACGCAGAGGAGTCACTACCAACGTTGCAGTCCCAATCAAGCAAGTTGATGCGTGCGACACGACTTCCTTGAAGTAAGATAGCAAACAGTCCGAGAGCTCTTATCAAGGTGACCTCGGTCCGCCTATCTTGTGCGCCCTGCTTATCGGACCTCTCCGATGTCGCTGCCCCGGACTCGACTCCATAGACCTCCTACTCAATCAGCTACCTTATCAGCAGAGTGCGATTGGGATTGGAGAAAGTCGATGGTCAAATGGTCAGAAAACGCGTGGTGGCGCGTTCATAGTCATGAGAAAGATCAAAGCGGGAATAACGAACAAAGATGCCTCGGTAGACCCAGCCAGTCACGTGTGGTCTCGAGGTCACCACCGGATGCTATATACGCGTAATATAGAAAATGTCATAAAAACGTAAGGTTACCTATCTTCTATATATAATAATTTATTTAGCTGACTTAGCTATTTTCTTCTTAGAAATCAGAATATAGTTTATATAATAATAGATAGTCATTACAACTATATAGTATACTTAGAGTAATAGTAGCATAGCGCAATAAAATCGCGCTTAGAGGGTGTGTCGTAGCATTTAGTGTAAACGCTGTAAATGTAACGTTGTAGTACGCAAAGCGCGGCCCAAAGCCCCTTAGAATGAAATCGCAATGTCTTCTCTTGGCATCATCTGAGCCAATTACAGTCTGGGGCAACCGAGGCAAGAACAAAGCAGTAGACTTCCATCAAGCGTCATACTGCGGGATACTGCGGGATCGCGGGATACTGCGGGTAGTGACACCAACGCGTAAAGAGTATATAAAGTCACCAAAAGAACATCAAGAACATCCAAAGCAACAGAAGCAAGGACAATATTGAGCAGTCTTTTCTGGTCTCGATCGTTCATCATCCTTCGATACCCCTTCCATACCACTATCGAAACAAATACGCAGTCATGCCACTCGTCAAAATCGACATGATCAAAGGTGTCCGCACGCCAGACGAAATCAAACACCTAGCAGACGTGATCCAAGAAATCATGTTGGCCAAGTTCGCAGCACCACCTCGAGACAGATATCAAGTATGCATCTCCAACGCAAAATCGCATCCCCTTGCGTTTTTCTGCCTTCCCATCTCCCATCTCTCAACCACTGACCATTTCCTCAACAGGTCATCACTCAACACGAACCCTACGAACTAATCTTCGAAGACACCGGACTCGGCCTCCAACGCACCGACAAACTCATCCTGATCCAAATATTCCAGCAAGGACGAAGCACGCAACAAAAACAAGATGTATATGCAGCAATAGCAGAGCGATTGGAAAAAGAATGCGGAGTCCCAAAGACAGATTTGGTAATCAGCGTGGCTAGAAATGAAAAGGAGGATTGGAGTTTTGGGATGGGCAGGGCGCAGTTTTTGACGGGTGAGTTGTAGATGCTTTGAGACGGTGGAGAGATGGTAAGAGAGAAGTGAGGTGTGTACGAGTGACGCTAGCGTTGTAAATAATGCCTTGACAGCAAGAATGGACGTAAAGAAAATGTATGTATGCCATGCAATCGTCGTGAAGTGGATTGGTTGCATCAACCAACCCATCATTGCGTCTGTCTTTCCATCGTGGTGTTCAATCCTCATCTCCTATCGGGAATTGGTTCGTAGTCATCTTCAGCAGGCAAAACTTTGGCCGCAACTGTGATGCCCACCACATCCATCAACAGCACGATCCAAGAGATGGTGCACAGAATCCAACTCTTGTCCAACTTCCAGCCCACAAAGAATCGGTTGTCGTGGTCGAAGAGGAATGCCTGCGTCACCACCTGTCAGTGCTGTTCTTCCACATAATCTCTACGGCATAGAGACGCAAACAAGGAGGTGCATAACTTACCACAATCCCCATAGCAGCAACCTGACAAACCACCACCACCCCAAGCAACCCCACACACATCTTCCAGCCTCCCTCCCTATTACTGCGTCCCCCCAACAACACAACCCCAAACGCCACCAAAGTCGCCAACTCCAACACCACTGAAAAGTTCATCAGAAAGCCTACACTCCTCCACATGGAGCAGAAATATCTGTCTTCGCCATGGCAATCTTCTTGCAGCGGAAACGGTGTGCAGCCAGAGGTGAGAGAGGAACAGCGGCGGTGTAAGCCATAGGAGACGTGGATGGGTTTGTTGGGATGCGAGGGGTTGGGGGAGGTGGATGAAGGAGACGTGTAGGAGATCCAGGAGGGGAGGGCCATGGAGGTGAAGGTTAGGGCGACGGCTGGAAGGGTAAACGCGTTAGTGGGTGTGATTGACGTGCAGAGGATGTAGAATATGGGGGAGTGTACCGGCTAGGAAGACCCAGAGGCCTATGCCGTAGACCATTCGTCGCGTCATGTTTGGTAGGCGATGAAAATGACCGAGCCGAGGGTGTCTGAGATACAGTCGAGGTTGCTTAGACACAGTTGAGAGGGAGTCGAAGATGTGCTCTGTAGTCGAAGCCTTGTGAGGACGTCAAAGCCTGAGACGCAACCGAGGATGTTTGCTCGCAGTCGAGGACGTCGAAGCCTTGTGCGAGGACGTCGAAGCCTGCAAGAACGATAAAGACCCAAAGCACGTTTATCGCGCAGATTTGCTTGGATGTCGGTAAACAAGGACCTGCCTCCTTCATGCACGCCAATGCTCCATCGTCGCTTAATCCTGGCGCCTGCCCTGCTGCTTTATCGCTCGCTCGCCGATCTCGACTACGTCATTTTGCGTTTCTCCCGCTATACCGAGATGTCAGGGTTGGACTGTCGACCATGTTTTTTTGGGATTAGGCAGCGATACTGCGACAACTATGCGGTTGTTACGCAATTTGAATAACTCAGCTAGTGCATTGGAGTACGAATCAGTGATCCGCAGGATTTTAAGTGATTTGCTGCGACTTTGGGGGAGAGAATTGAGATTCAATAGATTTGTGTTGACTTCCTCGAAACAACACCTACGAACGCTTGCGTTTCATACCTATCATTCCCAAATGTACGACAGTTCTTAGAAAAGCAGGACGTCACAGAAACATGATGCACAGGTCAAGATGACATTGAATTGTGTTATTTGGAATTACTCAAAAGAACGAACGTCAAGTAAGAAAACAAAAACAATGGTATCATTCTATCCTTCAGAACCATGTTTCTGAACATCCTAACAACGCAACAAAAGAGAAAATAGATAACAAAGACCAGGATTATACATTATCAAAAGAAAACCTCTCCTTTTGCCATTACCACACATCCCAAATCCTCGATGGTTGTTCCGTTTTGCCTCTTGTTTCATTATACACGACTTGGAAGATTCTTAGTCGTGTAGACCAAATAGCTTTCTCAGACCCGAGAACTTCTTCTTCTTTCCGGAGGGAGTGCTTTGCACGGTTCCGCCATTGGCCGTGTGGTTCAGGTCATTGCCGCTCATGCTGCGGCGGTTGTCTGGTCGCATAGACCTCTTCAAGCTGGGAACGCCGTCACTGGTCGTAGGTCTGTGGTCAGTGGCAGCATTGCCATTTGTGCCTGCTGCGGGTAAAGGCCAGTTCTGTGGTGTTGTGCGTCTTTGCAGCTTGGGCTGTTTCGTGGTGGGGCTGCGTGGGAATTGCGAGTCGACTGGTGACTGTGCGACATAGGAAGAACTGTTTCTGCGAAGAACGCTGCCGAGGAAACCCTTGCGTCTGGTTGGCGTCAAGGGTGCCTCTGGAATTGCAGTGTTGCTTGCTGGTACTGGAGGTGCCTGGGGTACGCCTGGCTCACGACCGCCGTTCATGGCGGCGACGTTGCGTCTGGCGACTTCCATTGCTGCGTCAATATCTGACTGACTGGGTACAGCAGGCTTAGTGCTGCTTCTTCCGGCAGTCTTCTTCTTTCCATTGCGACCCTCATCCTCAGAGTCGGAGAGATCGGTCGAATCCGAGTCTTGACCTCTACGCTTGGGAATACCGCGGACTGGGGCGAGATTGGCAGGCATGTGCTTGGGAGGACCAACAGCCGAGTCTTCGTCATCAGAATCGGCGAAGCGACTGCGGTATGCTCCTCGAGGAGCATCGTCTTCGTCATCACTGTCCGCAAATCGAGATCTGAAGCCTCCAGATTTGACCTTCGGCGCAGCTGCAGGGGCAGCCTTTGATTTGCCAAAGCCAAAGCCTGATTGAGCCTTTGCATCACGAGAAGCTCTGTTGTTCTTACCGCGCATGGTGGGAGTGTCATCAACTGGTGCACCACGTAGAGACTGCCTGATCTTCTCGCCTTGGTTGCGGCCCATGAAAGAGCCTGTTGGGGACAGAGAGCGCAGACTGAATCTTCCTGATCCATTCTTGGCTGGCGACGCAACTTCGCGTCCACGTTCTTGTGGTGGGGGTCCCGCGTCCACCGAACCAGAGCGCATTGATCGTTTCATAGTGTACTTGCCGACAGAGTCAACGGTCGAAACCGAACCACGACGCTTGTTCTTCTTGAAGCTGGATTCCGAGTCCGAGTCGTAAGCTGGCAGAGGGGCGACAACTGGCTTGGTAGGCTTCTGTGCTGGCTGAGATCTGGCTGCTGCAGCAGCGGCAGAACCAGCTCCAGGAATGCTGATCGTGACGGGAGCCGACGCTCTCTTAGCAGGCTTAGCACCGGCATCACCACGCATCGAGGTTTTCATAGAACCTTCTGAGCGCATTGGTCCACCAGCACGCATCGAAGTACGCATGTGTGTCTCGTTCGAAGAAGCAACAGGTGCTGGAGGACCGCGCATAGACTTGCGCATCTGTGATTCGCTAGAAGTACGCTCCGACTCACCAGAGCTACGCATCGACTTTCGCATCGCGGGTGCACGCGACTCTTGCTGCTCTTCGGCTTCGAAGGGGTCGTCTCTGGTCGAAACACCAGCCGGTGCGAATGTGGTAGGGTTTGTTATATCCAATTGATCAACAGGCTGCTTCTTCTTCTTAGGTTTGGGCACAGATGCGCCGACAGGAACAGCAATTGCAGCCTCGGCCTCGGCTTCGAGCTCCAACTTCTTCGTTCTGCTCAGACTACTCCAGTAAGCGGTGGCAGAATTCCAGTCGGTATTATCTGTCATGAGCTGCTCATCGCTAAGAGCAGACGAGTCTGACAAGTTAGCCCTTGACGGGGGAAGGGCAGCTTGCGGGCTGACTGGAGGGCTAGGAATAACGGCTGCGGGTTTGGTCACAGGACTTTCAACGATAGCATCGAGAGAGGCGAAGCCGCCAGGCTCGAAGTCCTCTTCGGCATCAGCAAAATCTTCGCTTATGTCGGAGTCCGATTCGTAGATAGGCTGCAGCACCGGCGAAACTCCTTCTACTGAAGCCTGAGCAGGGTGCAGGACTCCCTCTTCATCGTCGCTTGAGTCGTTTTCGGATAAGAGAGCTTCGTCGCGAATTGCTTGCCTCGAGAGCGCAGCGGGCTTCTGATGTTCCCAATCTTCACCGTCCCAAGATCCAGGCATACTGTTGCGCTGCTTAAGCACAGGTCTCGAAGCGGATTGTACTACAGCTGCGTCCAACGAAGGTTCGGACTCTTCTTCAACACCAGGTGTGGGAGGCTGGAGAGCAAGCGCAGGCACGGCTTGTTCGATGGGGTTTGCCTCGGGACCCTCAACACTGTGGTCCAAAGTCGCAGGATCGTGACTAGAAGATGCCGTTTCGTCCTGGGTGATTGTCTTTTCGCCCTGAGTGGGCGGGTGGAAGTGTGTCTCTGCCTCGTCCTCTGAGTAGGCTGAGTCCGACATGTCGGCCGATGTTTCCTTGCTAGTGACCTGTGGAGGTAGTGGCTCAACCGTAGTGGATGGCTGAGCGTCGAATTTGTGTTCCTTCTTGGCGTAGTGTTGAGCAAGGACCGCGCCCACCAGCTGATCGTTGGAGGTTTCACGGTGATCGGGCAAGGTGCTTGCACTGTTTGTCATGCTAGAAGACACTGTCTCGGTGACTTTCTCAGGCTTCTCTGCTTGTTCAGGCTTGCGACCTCTAACGCTGCTGAATGATGGAAGCGCCGATCGTGGCTTCATGATCTCGTTACTGTCATCATTCGACCATGCGCCTGAGAGCTCTCTTCGCGCATTCGGATCAGCAACGGGCGGAACGGGATTGCTGCCATCCTCGCTGATGCGAACACTCTTCTTTACCTTGGCTGGCTTGATGCCATCCTGGGAAGCCAAAGATCCAGTGTCGGATGTTTCACTTGCTGGGGCTTTTGGCTTGCCATTGACAGCAACGTTAGGAGAGATATTCCTGACTGATGAGGCCGGAGACTGTCTAAGCGCGGACTTCATAGGGGAAACAGACCGAGGAGGAGGATGATGCCTAACGCTCATTGGAGTCACCAGCGACGAGCCTTCGACGAAATGTGCATGGACGTTGCGAGAAGGACTGGAGGAGCCGGCGCGCTGACCGTAGCCTCTAGGAATATCCAGACTGACAGCTCGTGGACGGGTGCTTTTGGGCGCAACGTAAGCCTGAACCGGTCCTTCAGATGTCGTAATAGTACCGGGGAGAGTGCCTGGGTCGGTGTCTCGGAGCGATCTGAGAAGATTGTGTTTGACTGGAGTAGTTTTCGGCTTGAGTTTGGTTTGAACCTCAGCGACGGCTTCAGCTTTGGGCTCCTCGCGAACCACAGATGGTTGTTTGTGCAAAGTACTTGTCGCACGAGGGGAGTTTGGGCTGTTGGAGGCAATCGTGCTCGGAGAAGGATTGACAGGAGCGAGAGAGGAACCTCCAGTGGCCTGAGTGTCTACAGGAGGCACGACAGTCGTCTTTTTCTTCTTCTTAGGCGTTGTCTCTGTGTGGATGGGTTGTGGTTGCGCGGGTTTTGTCTGAACGGGTTCTTGTGGTGCGGTGCGCATGATGGAACCTGTAGGGGCAGCGTTCATGGTGCCATTGGCGAGCCGGGCGCCTTCAGTAACGGTCTTCTTGTTCTTCTTGACAGGCGCATTGGCAGCGTTTTGCACGTCTTGCTGTATTTTCCTGGCTGCTGGAGAAGAATAGTCGAGAGCGGATTGAGGTCTGGCGGGCGAGGGGTTCGCACGAGGAGTGCCATTGCTGACCTTAGGCGAGGTGAACCAACCGACGCTCGAGTTCGGCCGTGGAGGAGGGGAAACGGCGCGAGCAGGGCTCATGGGTCGTGAGAAGTTGGTGCTGTCTTCCCTCTTCAACCCGGGCTTGGTTGGCAAGTTAAGCGTCCTTCCTGCTCTGTCAACACTGGTATTGCGCTGTGCACTCCTGGGAGTGCTCGGGCTGGGTAGACTGATGCGGTTTTGCACATCAAGACTTGCAGCTCTTCGCTGTGAGCGCATAACGTTCTGGGGGATGGCTGGAACTGGGGGAGCGTCTGGTGCAGGCGATAAGGCTCTCTGCCTGCCACCAGGCGAAGGCGATCTGAATGTTCGATCCGACATGGACGAACTACTAGTCTGTCTGACCATGCTGTTCCTAGGATTTCCGCCCATGATAGCGCCGCCTCCTACCGAAGATTGAGAGCCTCTCCTTTGCATGCGCTTGGTCTGTATATTTCCCACAGGTTCCGGTGACGACGTGAGAGATCGGAGAGCAGCGCCGGCAGCGGCGGCAGATAGGGAAGCAGCCGAAGGAGACTTGTTAAGAAAGGCGGCGCTCGCTGCTATTGAAGCGGACGAACTTGGAGGAGGCCCTCGGGGCAGCGGCTAGAGTTGTTGTGAGCAGGTTGTCACCAAGGTACATGATGTTGCACGGGACCAACCGGCTGCGAACTCGCTCGCTTGCGAGCAAATAGAGGCATCTTGATGACGGGACGTCAGGGACGTCAATTGATGTCTAGAAATGCCTTGTTGGAGATGGTGCGTCCTTGACGGACAGTTGCGACGAGATGATGGCTTCGAAAGGGCGAGAGAATTGCAGCGCGTCACAAAGCAAACATGACGTGCCTGGGGAAGTCTTGATTGGAGATGAGTCGGCGCCTGTTGCTGCGTATGAAGCTACAAGCTGCTGTGCGAGTCGTAAAACTGGATATACTGGCACACAAGAATGTCCGGGATGAATGTTGTGTCGGGGACGAGACGGAAGAGACGACGAGGAGCAAAAGACCCAGTTGCGCCGTTCCAACATGCCTTTCCTCCTTGTCTCGACTCGCATCTCTTAAGCTTTTGCAACTTCCAGCCCATGACGATCCCGCTGCCGAGAAAGCCCGTGCCCTACCGCTGAACCACTCTGATCTGACAACAAGACGGGCCTCACCATCGACGTCTTGCTGATGCCAGTGGCGCTATGAGGAATGTTGTGTCTTACATTTCCTTGGTTATGCTCTCCTCAAACACCTTCTGTCCATCATGGCTGATCTATATCGCTTTGACATGGTTGCTCTGCTCTCTTTGGATTGTTGTTAAATTCACGCGTCATTCACACATGCAGATCTGTTTGGTCTTGGCCGACCTTTGAAGCCTCTCCGCGACAAATTTGTCAGACTTGTGATTGCATGTTTTGAACAAAAGAGACAGTAAAAGCCATGAGACAGGCGAAGCGGAATACTCCATGGACGTATCACTGTGAGAAGTCTATGTAACAGCATGAGAACCATCAACAATTGTGACAAGTCGCAACCGTCGTGCTGGAATTGGTCGCTGATCAAGCCGTTGATCTGTACTCCATACGCTGCGCTCGTACCAGGTTGATCTTTGACAAAGCTCCTCCGAGGAAGCCCTGATACGCTTATGGCAACCATGAGGTTGTGCCATATAAAGACTGGTGGGTCCCAGGGGATATGCCTCCAAACACCAGGTCTCTCCAGTCTCTCCTGCTGCACACACCCTTTGAGATTAAATAGTCCGGACAATGACAACTCCGGTCATGTAGGTGAGCAACGGGCTATCAAACATCCGCCGAGGCGGTGCTTGTGCCAGACATCAACTCTTGTTACTTCGAGTCTCTGCACATATAATAGAGCAACCTCGGCAAAGCGGAGAACTGAAGCTTGTCGACTCCTCTCTGACGCGATTATCGTATTTCACCTGCTGCTTTTCTAACATCAACACAATCGCGCACTATAGTCTACGTACAACAATCGTCAGCTCCCTCACCATGACATCAATCGAGCCATTGCCGCTACCCCAAGGTCTTGAAGAATCCTATATTGACTGCACAGACTCATGTGGTCTTGTATTCCATGTCGTCTCCGCTGGACAGAAAGACAGGCCTTTGATACTCTTGACCCACGGCTTCCCAGAGATTGCCTTCTCATGGCGAAAAATCATGCCAGCTTTGGCTGCTCAAGGATACTATGTCGTTGCGCCCGACCAGCGTGGATACGGTAGAACCACTGGCTGGGATAAGCGGCCATTCCATGAGGTCGACCTGAATCAATTTACCATGACGAATCTGGTCAGAGACCTTGTATGCTTGGTATATGCGCTGGGCTACAAGGAGGTGCATTGCCATATTGGACATGACTTTGGCGCAGTTTCGAGCTCCATGGCACCGCTCATGCGACCTGACATATTCAAAAGCTGCATTCAAATGTCGCATCCTCATCACGCACCCCCGACTCCAGCCTTGAGTGTAGAGGCTTCAACGAAGCCTATCAAGCATTCTCATTCTGGCTCTGGCTCGAGTGCGAAACCAGACATTCAAGCAGAACTTGCAAAACTCGACCCACCTAGAAAGCACTACAAATGGTACAATTCGACTTCTGATGCTTCCAAGGACTGGGAGACAGCACCACAAGGGCTGCATGAATTTCTTCGAGGATATTTCCATGTCAAGTCAGCCGACTGGTATAGAAATGATCCGAAGCCTCTGGAATCATGGACAGCCTCAGATCTGGAAAAGATGCCAAACTACTACATCATGCCAAAGGAGCTTAGCATGCCAGAGACAATATGTGACTTGATGAAAAGTGAAGATGGCTGTGTAACAACCAAATGGCTGCCTGACGCGCAGTTGGCAGTTTATGTGCAAGAATGGCAGCGAGTCGGATTCCAAGGTGGACTGAACTGGTATAGAGCGCAGACCAGTTCGTCACAAATTCAAAAGGCGGATATGCTTTTGTTCGCAGGCAGAAAGATCGAGGTGCCTTGTGCGTTTATTAGTGGAGAGAAGGACTGGGGCAACTACCAGCAGCCCGGAGCGCTGGACGGGTACAAGGAAAGTTGCGCCGACTTTAGGGGAGTCACGTTCATCCCACACGCAGGACACTGGGTTCAGCAGGAACAGCCTGAATTAGTGATTGAGGCGGTGTGCAAGTTCCTTGATGGCCTGTAGAGCTGCAGGTTTTACTAGAGGTCAGATGAATACTTTGAGGTAGATGAATCTGCATAGGCGTTCACATGTTCAGTCGAGGTATAACAATGCATTGCGCACGTGCCATTTTCATGAATCTGGCCTTCGATGGTGAACAAAGAAAGGGAATCATGCGAACGGTCCTTCGTCAGCTCCACAGCAACGACCGGAAAGAATTATAGAGAAGACTCTATACCCATCTATCAACTCTTTCACTGCCCCATGATCTCTTCCAGTGGACTTGACTGGCTGAAGAGAATCGTGATCTACGTCAGAGGCCGTGTTTTTGTGCAAACCCCTCCAGCCAGCAAAGTCGGCCCAGACCCCGCCTAAATCCTCTTTCTGCAGTCATCAACCCATCGTCCATCATCCAATATCATCGGCTCTGTACAACCACGCCCTGCCTCCACCCCGGATCATTCTCTACTACGCCGCTCAATACTGATAACACTCTCTTCTTCGGCGACGATGGACTCGATGCGCAGCCTCAACACATCGCTTCCGCGCACCTCGCCTCGCCGTAGTCAGCAACCTCCGGAAGAACTCCTTTCTGCCTTCAAGGCCGCCGCTCTCTCCGTTACAAACCTATACAAGAACGCTGCGTCTGAACAGGCAAGATCACGCGCTGCCGGCTACCAGGATGCCTTGGACGATCTACTGTCTTTTCTCGACAAGGAAAACCTTGGCCTCGGCGACGGCGAGGGTTGGAGTGTGAGGCAATGGGCCACCGAACGTTTTGACGGTGCCCACTCGGCCGCTCGTGAGAGCGACGATGAAGAGGAAGAGCAAGAGGAACAACCAAGGAGTTCGAGCCCTGAAGTTGTCAGGAAGCCTGCTGCCGCTCCTGTTGCGACCCACGACCTACCACAACCTGAACCTGTCAATACCGATGTTTCTTCAGTCCAACATCAACAACAACCACAAGTCACCCGAGCGGATCCTACCGTCCCCCAGGCGGATACCTTCACCTTTCGCTCATCTCTGGCATACCCCCCTCCAAACCACGATCGGGAGGTAGACATGGATGCCTCCAACAATCCTCCTATCGACACGCCCAACTCTTCCACATCCGCAAACCCAGTGAGACTGGAGGTGCACTCCAGACGGCGGAACAACCACAACCGGTCGAATAACAACAACAATAATAACAACAGGATTGCATCCATCAACCTCGGTTCCTTGGGCTCTGGCGCTGGCTCCAAACGTAAGAATCTGGGAGACTTTTTCGACATCTCAGGCCTATCGTTTGGGAATAACGGCAGAGACGGGTCCGACCGTGGAGGAAAGAGAGGGAGACATGCTTGAGAGGCGGACCATCATTTGAACTTCGTTCGTTTTTGTTCTTGAAACACTGCATTACAACATACTTCCAAATACCCCAATACAGTTGCGTTGTTTTCCTGCGAGTCGTTCGTGTTTCTTTTGTTCTTTTTCTGACAGTGTGGAGGCAGCGATGAATGATGACATATCTTAGTTTAGACCTGTGTTTTGCGTTCTGCTTCGTTTTCTTGCATGTCCAGCGTGCAGCACACGGGATGACCAGCTGCTTCTGTTTTTGGTTCTTGCTGTTTCTTGCATACTGAATGCAGTATTGTTGATGTTTCCTGATCTCATTGCTTGCATGGGCGAATGATATCTTTCTACTATAAAATGAAATTCTTCCGATGTTCTTCTTAGCGGTTTATAGACTTGTATGCCCTTTTTATCAAACCATCCAACATCATTACTTGCCAAATCCTTGTCCCTCTCGGACTTTCAGCTCTGCAGCTGTGAAATTTCTTTGACTGACATTTTTGCATGTATGCACACCGGACATTCAGCACGGCAAGGCTGCTGACAGCTTCTGCATCACGCTGTGCTCATCTTCCTGCAGGTCCACTGTCTACACTCGGGCATTGCAAGAACCCGGTATGTGCACTCCCATAATCACTCCAACCATGCAGTACTCGACTCAGCAAGCTGCCTTTGGGGCCACATCTGCTTTTTTGTCATCTCTTAAGATGCCAATCCTTGTACTCCTCATAGCCTACTATAGCAATGGAAACTTCACATGAACGCCCTATACAGACCCAACCCTACCAACACCCCGCTCAACCCAGTAATCCCAAATCTCCTCGCCGACATTGTGAGTTTTGAGCGCGATCTCAGAATCTCCTGCTCCCGAGTACGGAGTTCGCGGTGCCCTGACCAGTAGGTATATGCGCCTAGAGTGCCAAATGCCGTTGCTCCTATACCGCTCTATCAGCAACGAGGAAAGAAGCAAGTGATGCAAAGAAGAGTATACACACCCATTACTCTACAACTCAAACAATCATAATCCGCCTGTTCTCTGGCAAGAACCTTTTTCAGCGGTTCCGGGTTTGTGTCTTTGGCTGCTAGTTGGTTGTAGATGTCTTGTTGTGGTGATTTTGACATTTTGGATTCTTTGCTGTGTTGATGGGTATGCAGTGATGTGGAGTTGTTTGGGGCTGATGATCAGATTGGTGGAGTCGATCGGTATGCAGCAGCTTGTATGGAGGGATGGGGTGGTTGTGGCGCAAGGGCTTTTGCAGAGTTGCAGACAGAGTAGGAGGCTAAACTACGCTGGGTAAAGCGCAAGACGGGAGGGCAGTGGGCGAGACACGAGGCCTTGTGGGTCTTGTTGGTCTTCTCCAAACTGCCCCCTTGTCTGGGCCGTTTGTTCTTGTTGCGCAACCACCGACCATCTTCTCTTTGCAACGCGACACGCAATTTCGACTGTCCCCTCGCACTAATTACCAACCTTGTATTAATCCTTGACAGCACTCACTCGTTCTTCTACTCTTGCTGTTTCTTCTCGTCTCTCGCTTTCTGTGTGTCTTTCTCTAGCAGCGCAGGTCGTTTATTACATTCTCTTGACGACTGCCTGTTTTCCCCTTCACCCCCTCTTGCTCGCGCCGGCCGTTGAAACGAACAACAACTCTCCCTCCCTTGCCATCTGCGCCCACCTGCTTCACGCCGCACGACCAGCCTCCCCAATTATTCACTGCTCTACCAAAGGACAAAGGAGTGCGAGTCAAATCCTCCTTGTCGCCTTTGTCTTGCTACCTCCGAGATTGCGACGCCTCAACACCCGAACAAAGACATCCGAACTTGCGACCATGGAATCTACCCTCTCCAACGGTGCGGCTTCGCTTTCCCCTTCCGCTTATCCATCGACCAAGATGCAGTATACTGACTTTCTGTATTCAGTGCATCCTCATGTAGAAAAGGCTCTGTATAGCCTGTTCAAGCGCGACTGCGTCGACTGCCCTGGAACCACACCTTCTTGCCCCTCATGCTCAGGCGGCAAGGTCTGCTCACTAGTCCCTCAATCTTGCGATACCTGCGCATACACAACTTGCGTCGCATCCAACAATGTACCTTCACATCACTCAGGCCCCAATGTCGGCGCCATTGCCGGAGGAGTCATTGGCGGTATTTTCTTCATCGGTGTGCTTGTGTTTGCGTTTTACTGGTTCGTCATTCGCCCGCGCCGCATCAAACTCGAGGAAGAATGGGAAGAGGAGGACGAAGCTGAGAATCGCAAGTCACACTTCAACATGCAGAGGTCGGAGCGCGCTTCGGTGCATACCGTGCATTCAGTCGCCAACAGCATCCTCAGCCGCGCTTCAAACTTCATCCCTATCGCCTACATCCCTGGCGTCATGAATAGAAACGGCACCCAAGAACATGTTCCTCCTGTCCCGCCGATTCCAGCCGCCCATGGCCCTCCCCTCAGCGGCGCATCCAACAATGGCGAAGCGCTATTCTTCCGCCCTGGCGACCTCCGCGATTCCACATACTCAGATACCTCGTCCCTGGATAACCGCAGCACCTTTTTCGGGCGTCCCAGTATTACCCCCTCGCTCGCCCGCAGCAGCATCGCCACATACCGCGACGATGCCGTCGTAAACCCCATGCCCGCACAAACCGTCCTGCGCGGAAAAGCAAACGTCGTCAGTGTGAAAAGCGGAAACTCTGCAACCCCCTCGCCACAAACTACTCCTGCAGAAGAACTTTCGAACCCGTTGAACAGGAGTGCCAGCGGCAGAAAGCTGAATATCGTCATGCCAACATCCAGTGATGCCGTCAGACCTGGTTCTGCGAACTCGGCGTCTTCGCAACAAACATTGAGTTCTGCGAGTTACGGCAAACCCACCCTCCTCACCCTCGGCGGCAGCAAACCAAAAGCAGCAAAAGGTCGTTTCCCGGTCTCCTCCTCCGACTCGCCCAAACCCAACATCTCATCACCATTAGCGACTTCCACAGCAACAACGCCAGATGAACAAGACGCCTCGCCCTTCTCTGATGCAGCGAGTATTACCCACGAAAACAAGGGTGCGAAGAGAACGCCTGGAGGTTTATCGGCTGTGATTGAAGAGACACAGAGTCTGAGGGGCAGTCTTGCTGCAAGGAGGTTGAGTAGGCATCAAGAGGTTCCGCGGGGCCAGAGTCCATTTGGGGATGAGCATGAGACTTAAGAAAGTAAAGGTCTCTTTGCTCTTTTCATGATTATTCGCTTTTCACGTCTCACCACACGCTTGTTTTTTTTTTCTCCTTTTCTTCTACGAACATTGGACTCTTCTTTCTTCTTTTCTTGGTTCCGGCGCAATGAGGAACAACAAAACATCGAATATCTTGCGCTGGACGTTTGTAGATGGAATTTTTGCTTTTCTGTGTATTGGCTTTTTTGTTATTGGCTAGCGACTTCTTTGTATTCACGCTTCTATCAGAGTCTGCAATAGACGATTTTTCTGTTTCTCTCCCTTCCAATTCCTCCTGGCCCCCTACCGTCCTTTTGCTTGGACGATTTTAACATGCACTTTGACGCACAGCATGACGTTCTTTTTATGCCCTTCATAGCACAGTGACGCCTTTATTGTTGATCCTGACCTCAAATCCTGCTGTATCTCCATCACCACTGCCGTCCCGTTGACCTTCGTTGGCCCATTTGTTGACTCTGATCCCAAAGCCTGCCTCTCTGACTGCTTTGACCCTGCCTTGTTTGCATTTCAGCGCTGTTTCTGCATCTGTATCTTTGTTGAAGCCCTGGATGGCGTGTCTGGAGATTATCAAGCGTAGAGTTGGGAGTGTTGGGAAGGGAGAGGGAAGTTGTGGTCGTGATGCCTGAGTGTCAGAGGTGGCAGAGGTGGCAGAGGTGGTGGAGAGACATGCAGTGCTGAAAACGATTGGAGTGCAGAGGGTGGTAGAGATGCGTTTGAGTGTCGATGCCAGAGCTGGATATTTCCCTTGTGTCTGTTGTCCCTGCTGTCCTTGTCCCTGACCTTGAGTGCCCACTTTGTCCGCCCAGAAGTAGTCGGATGGCGAATCAATGATGATGGCGCCGACTCTCCTTTTCGCGCTCCCGTTCTTGGGGTCGAGGAAGTACGTTGGTATAGAAGATACAGTGGCGATCAGAGAGGATAGAGATGTAGGTTGGAAGATGTGGATGTGGGAGAGAGCAGAGTGAACGAGAGATTTGGCGGTAGGGAGAGCGAGGTGGGGCGAAGAGGAGAGGAGATGGTGGAGCAGGATTTGTGATAGACGGGTGATGTCTGGGGCAGAAGTGACGAGCAAGGCTATTGTTGTTGGTGCGGTATGGTGGTGTTCTCTGAGATTGGTTGATGGTGGAGGGATTTGATGGTCTGGTTGTCCTGTAGTTGGGTTGTGTGTGGTATTTGTCTCGAGATCTGTATCATCTCCTTCCATTTGAGCTTCTGAGTCTGTGGATGTTTGGTCTCTGGCGTGGTCTGGTGTCTTTCGCGGCTCGTCATGCTCAGTTGTATCACGACCATCACTTCCCAGTACCAAGTTTGCGATCATCCAGTACAAAAGCTCAGTCTTGCCACTTTTTGGTCCTGGACTAGTGATCTCAATGATCGGAGGTGTGGGTATGGCAGAAAGGTTTGTAGGATCGAATCGTGTAGTGTAATTGGCGAGAAGCTTGTCCAAGGCAGGTACACCGATCTTGGAATTCGTTGATGGATTGTGTAGTAAGCGAAGTGTGGCCAGGAACTATTGTCATGAGATAAGAGTCAGATGAGAGATCAAAAGTGATAGTAATATCTGGAAGATATAGTTCTCGAAGCTTGGTGCGAGGCTGACCGACAACGAACATACGGATTTCCGACTCGATACAGAGCAGACCGTCCCTCCATGAGAAGTTCGAGAACAAAGTCAAAAAACCAGAAGACAGTGATTGTAGCGAAACAAGAAAACAAAAAGAACAAAAAACTCACCTCATCCAACCTCTGCCCACGCACCTGCCCCAGCTCCCTCGTCCCCAGATCTTCAGCAGACATACCTCACCACCTTTACCTTTTCTTCTCACAACCACTCTTTCTCCTTCTCTTCCACTACGCCCTCTTTCGCAGCTCACACACACACAAAATGGCACCCTCAACACCCACCTTCCACCCAGCCGACCTCGAAGCAAAAATCCTCCGCCTACCCACAGGCAAACCTCGCAAACCGCACAACCAACAGCCCCTCAACGAATGCGCGTTGATGGAGATTATGCAATTCAATTGCGATGTTGTAAAGCATAAGAAACACAAGAACGGGATGGTGGTTTGTGAGCCTATTCAGAGGGTGTTCAGAAGGTGAGTGATGTTTGGAAGGAAGAGGGAGGGTGAACGACGCGGGGAAGTGAGGTGAGGAAGCAAAGAGCTGATGAATGAACACAGGTGTAAGGACGGACTTACGGTTGAGACCACGGCTTGGGAGACGGAGAGTTAGTGGGTGTGTGTTTTGACGAGGGTAGTGATTTGGGCGCATGGCATCTGGGAGGGAGGCAGGCGTCACTGGGATTTTCTCTTCTTGTTTTCTTTTTTTTTTCGCGTTTTGAGGCAGGAGCGTTACGTGCATGGCGAAACGAGGAAGGGAGTAATTACTAATGGACTCATGCTTTTTGGGATTCACGAAAAGCAAAACAAGTTGGATCGGAATATGCACAGCAAGTGTGTGATTGACTCTTGGGGTATCTCATGTCTGCCTTTTTCGTCCTGCTCAAGTCCCCTCCATGCCCGTATCCCAGCCAGAACTCCTAAACTGGAGATAAGAAGAAACAAACGCCTCGCTAAAGATTGGAATTTTTGAACCGCTCAGATGTGGACAGCACCTCTTCCCCTGCGCCAGTGATTGCGGTCGTGATTGACCATCAATCCACCACCTCCACGAACCAGATCAGCTATAGCCGCTGCCTTGTCACTGCCTTGATCTTGCGAGTACCCATCCAACATGATGTCCCCATCTGCATCTCGCGTCGTCGGTGGATGATGGTCATCGTCGTCCAGCAAATCGGCGATAGTATCTTGCCATAGCTTGTCCTTGGCCTTGTCGACAGTCGGCTGGCGTAGACGGGCCTTGTTGGCAGCGGTAAGTTTGCGCAAAGCATGCTCGGCTTGAACACCTTCGTCTGTTGCGCGCTCGCGGATGCGTCGAGGATCTTGCTCTCGTTGTGTGAAGAGGGCGGTACTTTGCCAGGCGTGACGGCTCGGTAGCGGAGGAAAGTGTGAGGGTATGTATCCGTATTGCTGCGTCGCCGGAGTAGCCAGTTCATTTCCTAGCATGGGGGCCAGATCAGGTGGTGGTGCTTCTGAGGGACGTGGAGGTAGGATGGTAGGATTGGCAATGTCGTCTGGTAAAGCCAAGCGAAGGTGCGGATCTAAGTGATGTGATTCCAGGCCAGCTTCTGCGAGGGCAAAGATGAAGTCTTGTGGTATGGGCGTGATTCGTCGTGAGGCTGACATGGAGTCTTTGACGGTGCTGAGGAAGTTGATCATGTCTGGGTCGCGTACAATCAGCCGCCTGCACACACTCGTTTCCTCAGTTGCAGAGTCTCACATTCTTCGACCTCCGCGCGAAACATTTCCAGAGCCGAGGGTTTCACACTGTCATAGCCGACGATAGTCAGGGCGGTGCAGATAGACCGCAGTAGCTGTGCCTGTATGAAAGTCTCATCTTGCGCCGCGGGCTCGGTCTCGGCCGGCAGTTGTTGGATGTGGGTGAGACGGTGTGTACGCTTTACTGTCGATGTGGCCCTTGGTCTCTTGAGTGCATTCTGCTGTATCGATGACATGTTTTGTCGTGTGTTGATGTATACAGATGATGTAGCTCTTTTGTTAGTCGCAACACGCCTCGGAGCTTGCCGACGCTGAGACTCCGCGTTCAACATCCACTGAGCAACCCTGTCTCTGTTAGAGTAGTAACCCATCTCGTTGCAATCATCCAGAGATGGAATCAGACGTTCGAAGAGAGGTCAAGCCATCGATTGCGGACTTGTGCGACACTATGTGACTTTGTTCGCGGTTAGGTCGTCGACATGACGTGCAAAAGTCATTCCAGAAAGCTACATGCTCTCACGTCAATCGATTCGATACCTCACTCCGTTCGCTTCACTGCGACTGATGGCTCGCCAGTGCTGGAACCAGCCATTGCCCGGTGACTTCACGTCCTAAACAGATTATCTGGCTTGATCCCAACGCTGCAGGATGTGAGGTAGACAAGTCTTGCAATCATTACAATTCCCACTCCCAACCATGTTTATCTTTAACAAAGCACATGTATAGTAGATCGACTACAGCGTAGCAATGCCTAATCAAATCTCGAGATTCTTCTTCGTAGCGAATCAAATACCACAGCCTGGTGGCCAATTTGCACAGCAAGTCTGACATATTCATTTGCCATTCCACCCTCGAGATCCTTACACAGGACGTGCTAGTCTTGGTCCTTCTATCGATCTCATCTCGGCACTTGTCCATCTATCTTCGGCTGCTGAACGTCAAACAGACGCATCAATCTCGTACGAATCATGTTCTGTTAGCGGAATTGAACGGCCTCCAACACACGGACGTTGTCAAGGCTAGGTCGATCGGCACATGGCAAATCTGTCACAAACATGTCAACATCTTCGGCGAGATCATGGAAGAAACATTTCGGAATTGCCTTCGGAGACAGAAATCTCGACCCGGCTTTCGTGATTGGCTGAGACCTCCGAGCAAAGAGGAAACGCTTGGGCACTTCCGAGACCGCTCGGTGACATAGCCAATCATAGAAGAGCAAGATTCAACAGCAACTCGGCATATGTTCTACGTCGAACGCTTGCAACGAATATGTGGATCTGTGCTTGATAATTGTGCGGAAACATCTAGTAAGCAGTTTTTTGCTGTCTGCAATATATACCATGAGTCCCCGTCTCAAGATGGACATCTGCATCTGTGATTTCCATCCCCTACTATCTTTCAAGCCATTCCTAGGAGCATACGCTCAGGCTTCTGACAATGGCTGAAAAAGAGGTATATGATTGTATCCTCATATCGATCTTCCGAGCAAGTCATACTAACCTCCTGTAAGGTCAACGATCTTCCAGTCTACAGACCAGATGGTCGCCGCCTCGGTGTTGTATTTGAAAACATCACCGTTACTGGACTAGCAGCGGAGGAGAACACTGTCACAGATTTTGCTCAGGTTCTGGAAAACATCATCACATTACCCTACCAGGCTGTCAAACTATTTGCTGGAAACCGCCGCAAGAATGTCCGTAACCTTATTCAGGACGTCTCTGGAGTTGTCCGACCCGGAGAAACTCTGCTCGTTCTAGGAACCCCTGGAGCTGGATGTTCGACAACACTACGCGCTATTGCTAGCGATGTCGAATCTTTCGTTGGTGTGGATGGTCAGGTCGACTATTCTACCATCTCGTCTGCTGAGGCCAGAAAATTGTACAAATCAGAGATCGTCTACAACAACGAGGAAGACAACCACTTTCCCAAGCTATCTGTTGGAAACACACTCGACTATGCTTTGGAGTTGCGCAAACCGGCTAAGGATGAGCAATCCAAAGCCGACTTCAAGCAAAGCATGCGATCGAAGCTACTTGATAAGTTCGCAATCCCACACACCATCAACACAATCGTAGGAAACTCATTCGTTCGTGGTGTGTCTGGTGGCGAGCGTAAGCGTGTATCTCTGGCCGAAGTCTTGACGACGAACCCAGCAGTCGCATGCTTTGACAATCCCTCCCGTGGTCTGGACTCCTCATCAGCTCTGGCCTTCTGTCGTCTTCTCAAAGACATGTCGAGGAAGACAGGCATGGCCAACATTGTGACCATGTACCAAACGGCACAGTCCATCTACGATCAATGTTTTGACCGTGTTCTTGTACTTTACAAGGGCCGCATGATCTTCTCGGGAAGGACAGCAGCGGCGCGCCAATACTTCATTGATCTTGGCTACCACTGCGGACCTAGACAGACCACTCCTGACTTCCTGACTGCCGTCACATCCGTGACTGAGAGAGTTGTACGCAGCGATCACATCGGTCCTGTACCATCCACACCAGATGAGTTCGCACTAGCTTTCAGAGAGAGCACACTCTACCTTGAGTTGCAACAAGACATCGCAGCCTACCGCTCTGAGCATGCTTCTAACCCCTCTTACGTTGATGACTTCAAGACAGAAGTCAAGCGTGTTCGTTCATCTGGCGTTTCCAAGAAGGCAGCAGAGCCACACTCGCTCCCTCAGCAAATTGCTACCGGCATCAAGCGACACTATCAACTCACATGGGGCGATCGCAACACTCTTTACACACTTCTCTTCCTGAACGCTGTCAATGCTGTCATCACTGGTTCTGCTTTCTACATGGCTCCTAAGACTGCGACTGGTTCTTACGAACGCGGTGGTGCCATCTTCTTCTCCTTGATTTACTTCTTCCTCAATGCGCTGGCTGAGACACCCGCGACTGTTCTTTCTCGCTCTATCGTAGTCAAGCAGAGGAAGCTTGGTCTGTCTCACCCGGCAGCATACGTGCTTGCACAAACCATCGCCGATCTACCAGTCTCACTCTTCCAGGCCCTGGTGTTCTCGGGATGCTATTACTTCATGCTTGGCCTGGGCAAGACGGCATCTCAGTTCTTCATCTTTTCCCTCATCGTCTGGGTACACTACGGCGCTACCAGTGCTCTCTTCCGAATGCTTGGTGCCGTGGCTCCCAATCTCAATGTCGCACTGCTGATGGCTGGAGCTGCTATTCCTCCTTGTCTTACCTATGCCGGTTTCGCTCCTCCTTGGCCAACACTGCACAAGTGGGGCAGTTGGATCCGTCGTATCTCACCATCGCCTTGGGCTTTGGAGGCCTTGATGGGAAACGAGTTTTACGATATCACGCTCTCTTGTACCGATGCTCAGATGGTTCCCAGTGGTCCTGGATACAGCAACCTTGCAAACCAGGGCTGCACACTGCCTGGCAGTGTCAAGGGTAGCCCCGATGTGCCTGGCTCGACCTATCTGTCTATCACCTACGACATGTCTAGAGAGAACCTGTGGAGAAACTTTGGTATAATAATCGCCATGTGGGCTATCTACACAATCATTGCAGCCGTCGGTCTCACCTACACTGCTCGCGAGCAAGGTGGCGCTAGCGGCCATGTCTTCAAAAGAGGCGCCCAGACTGAGACCATGCCTACCACTCCCGAGAACTCCAGCCGCATGACCGTCGGTGAGGAGGACCTTGAGAAACAGCCCAGCCGCACTGTTCACGATCTAGCCCTCAATCCCGTTTCTTCTGCCTCTTCGGCTACTCGCGTTGACTATAACGAGAGCGACTATGCAAAGACCGACTCTGATGGATCATCATTCACTTTTGAGAACGTCAACTACTATGTCAACGTCGCAGATGGCGAGAAACAGCTTTTGCAGAACGTTTCTGCTTATGCTCGACCTGGTCAACTCACTGCCCTCATGGGTGCTTCTGGAGCCGGTAAGACCACTCTCTTGGACACCATCAGTCAGAGAAAGAGCGAAGGCCGTGTCGAAGGTACAATGAGACTTAACGGCCAGCCTCTGGACGATACATTCGGAAGATCCTGCGGTTTTGCCATGCAACAAGACGTCCACGAACCGTTCTCTACTGTGAGAGAAGCTTTGCAATTCTCAGCCGAGCTCCGCCAGCCTGCTGATGTCCCGCATGCCGAGAAGATGGAGTACTGCGAGTACATCATCAAGCTTCTCGAACTTGGTCCTATCGCTGATGCTCTCATCGGTACACCTGGTGAAGGTGGTCTCGGAGTTGAGGAGCGCAAGCGTGTCACTATCGCCGTTGAACTTGCTGCTAAGCCTCCTCATCTACTCTTCCTGGACGAACCCACTAGTGGTCTTGACTCGCAAGCTGCCTACAGTATCGTGTTCTTCCTCCAGCGTATCGCTCGCGAGGGCATCCCCATAATCTGCACCATTCACCAGCCTTCTGGTGTGCTGTTCGAAATGTTCGACCATGTTCTGCTTCTCGCACCTGGTGGTCGCACTATCTTCTTTGGTGAAACAGGAAGAAACTCTGAAAACGTTGTCAAATACTTTGATCGTTATGGCGCACACATGAACGAGTCTGAGAATCCTGCTGAGTTCATCATCTCCACTGTCTCTGGCGCCGACAACTCTGCTGTCTGGCACGACAACTGGCTTCAGTCTCCCGAGAAGGCACGCGTGCTGCAGACTATTCAAATGATCAACGAGAAGACAGCCGTCGCTGGCCAGTCTACTTCATCTGGTCACGGTCAATTTGCTATGCCCATCTGGCCTCAGATCAAGGCCGTTACCAAGCGTCACTGGACTACTGTCTGGCGTGACGGTAGCTACAACTTCAGTCGCTTCTTCAAGTTCTTGTGGTGCGAACTCTTCATCTCGTTCACCTACTTCATGGTCAAGACAGACATCCAGGGCTTGCAAAACAACGTCCTCAACCTTCTCATCATCGTTCAGATCATACCTGCCATTGCTCCTGACCTTCAAGCTATGTGGTTCAGCAAATGGGCCATATTCGAAGCTCGCGAGAGAAACGGTATCTACTCCTGGAAGGCTTTGACGACTGCCATGCTATCTGTTGAAGTACCCTACATGGTTGTCGGCTTCACTTTGATCTACTTCTGCATGTACTGGACGGTAGGCTACACCAATGAAAGCGCCATCGCGGGCTACGAGTACCTCCAATTCATCACCTGCGGCATTTTTGCTTTTACTTGGAACTTCCTGCTCGCAACCATGTTCTCCAACATGCAAACCTGCGGTCTTGCCTCTGCCCTCTTCTGGAATATCCTCATGATCTTCAACGGTACGCTTATCCCTCACGCCGCATTGAACGATTTCTACCGCAATTGGCTGTATTGGTTGGACCCATTCCGTTGGTTCTTCGGCGGCAGTGTGAGTAACCTTCTCAAACCTGTTCCTGTCAATTGCTCTGCGAATGACCTTGCTCGCTTTGATCCTCCTGCTGGACAGACTTGTGCGGCTTATGCTGCCGATTACCTCGCTCGCAGCACCGGATACCTGGTCAACCCTGATGCCACCTCTGACTGTGGATACTGTCCTTACTCGACTGGATCGGAGTATGCGGCTACCATGGACTATTATTACAGTCAGAAGTGGAGGGACTGGGGCATCTTTTTGGTTTTTGCATTGGTGTCGAATGTTGCGTTGATCTACTTCATTACTTGGTTCACCAGAGTCAGAGGCAGGAAGACGAAGAGTGCTTGAGTTGGCTGTCGGCTTGTGTTTTGAGCGTGTCGTTTTTCTTCTAACATCTTTTCAACATATACCCCGTAGACTTCCCATAGACGATCTTGCCTCCTGAGGCGAATCGATAGACAGATAGATATAGACATACAATTGATAATGAACCTACCACACTTCCTCGAAATATTTCCTCTCGTATCAAAGCTCAAGAATCCAGAAGCTGATGACACGGTATAGAGAGCTAGAGTCGTACGAAGTCTTGGTTGTAAAGACACCGAATCTAACTATCGCGACACGTCTCAATTGACAGGTAGCGTCGTGGTTGCCCTCATTCTGCAAGTGCCTGAAGCAACCTTGCTCTCCGCGCACGAGCCTCAGGATCTCGACCTACGTCATAGCTTCTTCCGCGGCGTGATCTTTCAATTTTTGCTCTATTGCAAGGAAGGTCTGAAAAAGGGCAGTTACAGGCGTGGACATGTTCGATATACATGCTTATAGGCTTCTACACAGTATGAATTGAGTAAAAGCAAAAAAAGGAGGCGCTTTTGTGGCTTTCAGAGGGTTTCATGGACCCTGTGCTGCTCGGGCGGGATGATCCGGAGGGGAAGCTGCCACCAACAGCGAGGTGCAACATGACGACGTGAATACAAAACTCCACTCACTTCTATCGCTATAACAAATCAATTCGTCCAAGCAGAGCAGCAGAGTTACAGCTCGCATGTTGACCTGAGATTGGATCACGAGGCTGCTGGGCCATCGATTGTCTGTCCCTGACTAGTCTACTACCGTTCCTGACCGGCCTCCTGTCGTCCGCGGTTGCACTACCACTTTTCCATTCGACCACACCTCGTCACACTCTTCCGAACACGCGACCATGTGGAACAGCTTGTCTAGCTTTGCGCAGAAGGCCCAAGTCTTTGTCGACCAGAACCTGCAACCAGCGCTGAACAACCTTGCGCCCTCGGACAACCGCTCTTCCAAGGCTGCTCTGTTCCGTCACCAATTCCGTTTGCCAGACTCGCAAAACCCCCTGTACGAGATCACTGCCGAGTTGACCCTACCTCCCAAGACATCTTCCTCGTCCAAGTCGCCAACCGATACACCCCGCAAGAGCCACGAGCGCAACAATTGGGATCGCGAGCGGGGAAATCACTACGTCGGTCGCTTGCACCTGTCTGAGAAGTTCCTGTGCTTCTCTACCCAGAACTCGAGCTTCTCTCCTACATCAAGCACTTCACTATCTACAGCTTTCCAAGGCCAGACCAACGGTGCAGGTCCGTCCGGCAATGGCTTCACCCTCCCTCTTTGTGCTGTGCGTCGTGTCGAGCGTCTCCACAGTCAGAGCTACATGTTCGCCCTATCCATCACCACCTGGAATGGCTACCCTGCCCCGGACGAGAAAAACACAAAACCTTCTGCAAAGACAGCTCCTCCGGCACCCAAGCTCACAATCCAGCTGGCTGGTAGTAGAGTCCAGTGCGAGAAGTTTTGCGACATGCTGAAGAAAGGGCTGCGTGAGGGTATGCGCGAGGTCGATGGTATGCGCAAGGTGGTGGGAGAGTGCTACTCGGAATACATGCTGGCTGCCGAAGCCAAGCGTCGCTCCGACAAAGACTCTCCTTCGGAAAAGTTGATCGACGATCAGAGTTCGGAAGAACAGTTGAAACCTCCAGATGCTGGGTTGGGCATGCAGTTTCGCTACCCTGGTGATCCGAAGAAGCTTAGAGACAAGGGCAAGATGAGGTTGTGGTACGAGTATCTACGAGGTAATGCGAATTCATGCCGAACGAGACGGGAATGTATGCTGACGCTGTCCAGAAAACGGTCGCAATGCTACACTGGTCAGACAGCCGGATCTGCCTCGACTAGTCAGAATTGGTCTTCCAAACCGTCTTCGTGGAGAAGTGTGGGAGCTCACATCTGGATCTTTCTACTTTCGAATGCAGCAGCCAAAGCTCTACCAGGACACGCTCGACAAATACGAGGGTCAACATTCGCTTGCTATTGACGAGATCGAAAAGGACCTGAACCGTAGTCTGCCAGAGTATCCTGGCTTCCAAAGCGAAGAGGGTATCGGACGTCTGCGTCGCGTTCTTACTGCCTACAGTTGGGTCAATCCGGAGGTCGGCTACTGTCAAGCCATGAACATTGTAGTGGCCGCCCTCCTCATCTACCTCTCTGAGACCCAGGCTTTCTATATTCTATTTGTTCTCTGCGATCGGCTTCTTCCAGGATACTACTCGCAAACCATGTACGGCACTCTCTTGGATCAGCGTGTCTTCGAATCGCTTGTGGAGAGGACGCTACCCATTCTTTCAGAGCACCTCACCAAGTCAGACGTTCAACTATCGGTAGTTTCGTTACCTTGGTTCCTTTCGCTCTATATCAACTCAATGCCCTTGATGTTTGCGTTCCGAGTCCTTGATGTTTTCTTCCTCGAAGGGCCCAAGGTTTTGTTCCAGATTGGTCTGGCTATTCTCAGAGTCAATGGCGAGGAGTTGTTAGATGCTGCGGACGATGGCACCTTTATCTCCGTTCTCAAGTCATACTTTGCTCGTCTCGGCGAGTCCGCCCACCCCAAGTCCGAGAACCCAAAGCTGAGAGCTGTTACAAACTTCCAGGCGCTTATGGTTGTTGCTTTCAAGGAGTTTTCTGGCATCACGCAACAAAGCATATCTGATCTGAGAGCCAAGCACAAGGATGCTGTTCTCGATAACATCGAGTCCTTCGCAAAGCGCACATCTATCAGGAACCTCGGCCCGGAAAGCAAGAAGCTGAGCACTATTGACCTAGGTTTCTTGTACGATCGCTTCTACGGCGTGCTATACGAACGCCAACAGAGAATGGAGATGATTCAACAAGAACAAGAACGCAGAGCCAAAGCTGCCAAAACTAAGGCTGATGGGATCGTTAGCGGCATTCCCAGCAACGTTGAGATGGGCAGAGTCGGTCTTGGCCCCAGTCCTACAGAGATGGACTATGACAGTTTCAGAGAGTTCCTGGCCGGTCTCGCCAAGTGGGCCATAACAGACTCACCCAGCTCACCAGCCAAGCAGGACTCGGAGAAGAATGCTGGATACTTTGCCAACACGTTCCGTGCTCGCTCTATCTCACTATCACCTTGGGGTTCTGGTCCGGAGCCTGCCGAGCACGAGTTCTTGCAGCGCATCTTCAAGTCCTGGGACACTGATAATTCTGAGGCTCTGAACTTGCAAAAGGTTGTCGCTGGCTTTGCTCGCATCAAGGGTCCTCGCGATATCATGTCCAACATCAGCTATTTTTTCGATCTGTACGATGACGACAAAGATGGCAAGGTTGACAGAGAAGGTATTTTGCGTATCTCTGAAGCTCTGCTCTTCCTGTCGAGACGTGGTATTACCGGGTCTGTCACCCCGTCTGCATCATCTACCAATCTTGCTGCTCAAGCCGAGATCGGACCTGATGGTATGCCGTTGAGAGGAGTAAACAAGGACGAGCAGTTCTTGAGCAGTATCTCGGCGTTCATAAGAAGATGCTTTGAGTATGCTGATCCGGACCAATCTTCGGTAACAACAGATCAGCCATCCGCCGATGGCACCAAGCCCACCGAAGGGGAGTCAGAGGACGCAGCTTCAGCGGCAGCAGACAATCTCAACTCGTTCAGTATCGGTGACGATGAAGACGATGAAGATGCCGAGGAAGATCTGCTCAACCTCAACGACGAGAAGCCGAAACCCGAGACTACCCAATCCGAAGAATCGAAATCAGTCCCATCCATCACCAAGACCCCCGTCACACCCATCACAAACGCTCCCTTCAACTTCGGCCAGACAACACCGAACCGTGACGTATCTGCCAACAAAGCCCTCGATCCCAACCACCCCCTATTCATCACTCTCCCAACTTTCCGCATGCTCATCCTCGCCGACGAAGTCCTAGAGACATTCTTTGACTCAGGCTTTCCCAACTCCTTCCACCTCGCCGATGCACCTCTTCCCGCCGGTACCGTCTCCACAGCCAACCTCACTACCTTCAGCAACTTCCCCGCCAAAGTCAACCTGCCCGTCTTGAGCCCCGGCGGCCCCGGTGCAGGTGTCATGGCACCAGGAAAAGGCCTTCGCGGTATGCTGGACAATATCGTCACAGACGGTATGCGTGTAGCCGCCGAAGTGCGCCGCAGAATGGACGAAGCTCAGAAGGAAATCGATCGCGGGGCTACTACACGTGGCACGGAGACTGATGACGAAGAGGAAGATGAGGGCGGTAGGGATTTGCTGGAGGGTGCTGAGGTTGATGCTGCGGCACCCCAGACTCCGGCGAGAACGGAGAGTATGGAGGCCGCAGAGGAAAGACTGGAAAAAGAGATGGAGGCTGCGAAGGTGGATAAAGGAAAAGGAAAGGAGAAGGTTGTTGATGATGTGCAGAAGAGCATGGTGTTTGAGCGGTAAGGCGCCAGATCGTTGTTCGTCCCGCAGAAAAAGGAGGAGAACAGCAATATTGGCCATTGAACTGTTTTAGATGATTTGATATACGGTCAGACATGTTTCAAAAGACGTTCAATTTTCGCGGCTGGGTGGTCAGTAGACTTGACTTTTGCTTGTCTCAGGTAGGCGTTTTGGTGACAGATATACCTCGATTGCATCGATCTCTTTCAAACTCTTTTCTCCTGCCTTTCTTCTTGCTCGCTTTACACTGCCCTTCTTGGAATATTTTCCCCTTGTGTCCAGAGTTAGGGGTGACGTGTGCGAGGCTGTCTGTTCTGTCTCAGCCTCCTCGGCTTGCTCTCACGAGTAAATATGCAAACACGAGAGAAGTACACACCACAGTTCCGCACTCTGCATTGCAATGGAAACTGGTAAGATATTCTGCAAGAAGGAGAGTGTACTTTGTTATACAGTGTACAAGTTTGCAGCTGCGTCTTCTTTTTGTTATGCATCTATCGTTTTCTGTCCTGCCTTCCCATTTGTTTCCGTCCGATTCATTACTTCCTTGCTCTTGCGCTTGCGTTTCTTCTTGCTCTCGTTGATTTTATGCTTTGTTGGTCTCTCGAGTCCCTTCCTCAATCCTGTGTTTCGCTGCTTGCGTTGGATCTCGCCGATCTCTGCTCCTCTATCCTGCTCTGAGCTTCATCATCCCTCTGCCGTTGAATCCCATGCTCGGGCAAGATCTTTGATGTAGACATGCTTGCCCATTTCTGCTTTCTGGCACTCTCATCCGCGTCCACTACCACTGCCGCCTTGCTCACCATGCCACTCCACCATTTTGTTTCACAACTCCTTGGCTCTTCTTTCCTTTTCCACTGCCTCAGCTTTCTTTGCGCCTTTCGTCAACATCTCCATTTCTCTTGCCTTTCTCTCTGCCTCCTGTGTTTTTTCAGCTTTTGATGTTTCTTCATCAGCAATGGACTCGGCTTTTTGAGCGTCGCTCCATTCCGTGCGTGCGAATATGGCGGGACGAGGAGACACCCAGTTGTGGATTGGGCGGAGGGGGTTGAAGGTGGCTGAGAGAGGGCGATTGGTGGAGGTGGAGGCGAGGGAGAGGGGGGTGTGGTAGCGAGGCTGAGGTTGAGGGGAGGTGGCGGAGGAAGTGGAGGGAAAGGAGAAGAGAGGGGGGGTAGGCTGGACGGAGGCGGTTGCAGTTGCAGTTATACTGCTGAGAGAGCCGGCGGCGGTGACTTGAGCGTATGTGGGTGGTTCAGTTGTGTTGTTGCTGGACATGGTGGTGCTTGTGGGGTTGATGATGTTTTGAGTGATGCTACCCTGAGTAGTGATGCTGCCATGAGAAGCGATGTTGGCTTGAGCAGTACTGCCTGGAGTCATGACAGAGTTGCTATTGGGAGTAGCCATGGCACCAGAGGGAGGAGTGTTGCTTTCGCTCATGCTTGCAGCCTCAGGGGTTGACTCGATACTGGAGATGGCACTGAAGGAGTTGCCAGCGCGAGAGGTGCTGCTCAAAGGGGCGTTGACGAGTCGAGCAGAAGGGCGCGTGAATCTGCAAATCTTCCTGCTGGTATTGTTGGAGGGACTGGTAGAGTTGTCGTTTGTGGTGCTGCTCATGGTTGAGAGGTGAGAGGCTGGGTTGGGAGAAGCACTGGAGCTAGCGGTGCGCTGAGTGTCGTTGTTCATGACTTCGTTCGATCCGATGTTGGCGGTAGCGGCCTTGCGGGTCATCACTGAGGTCTTAGGGCCCGAGGCTGTAGCGGGCTCGGTGATGTTGTCGTTGGTTGTGGTTGGGACCTGAGAGGCTGGACCAGGAGAAGTGCTGGAGCCAGCGGTACGTTGCTCAGAGTTCTCCATGGCTTCGTTGGTCTGATCGGTACTGGTGGGAGACTTGTCGTTTGCCATGGTGTGTTTGTAGCTTGAAGAGGAAGCGTCTGAGATTGCGCTAAAAGGTCTCTTTATGCCTCTGTTGATCGGACCCGATTCGATGGTGTTGGGATCTTCGCGTTGCTCAGTGCGCGTGAAACTAGGGCCAGATGAGTTGGTGTTGATGATCGCTTCTTGGGTGAGCACGAAGTTGGTAGTGTCGTGGTGAAGAGTTGTCTTGGACGCAGTCAGTGTTTGGCCCAGGAAGCTGGGTGTTCGATTGAGAGACTCTGATGTTCTTGTCTTGGAATCGGGGTTACTTGCTTCTTCTCCATCTGGGTCATGCTGAGTAGAGTCACCCATCTGACTGTCATCGACAGTGCCAGTAGCGTCATTCACACTTGAAGATCCGGCAGGCGCATTATTGGCAGCAACAGATGCACTCGAGCCACCAGCTTGAGTAATAGCATCTGGATCCGAAGAAGAACAGGTTTTGATCGATGGGTAACTTCTGCATTCTCTTTGCCATCTTCGCTTTCGTAAGAGGGGGTTCACCTGTCAACCGAAGACATCCTTGACCTGGTTACTCTATCTTTGTTGTCGACCCCTGATAAATCATATGCAAGATGTGCTCGTCCCACTATCTTGGCCATAGGAATTTTCTCAGCATCTTTTCTTCGTGTAGGCTGTTCTCCTGGAGTGATCGATCGCTAGTAAGTAGTAAGACGTGAGTCGAAGGTCTGGTGCACAATAATACCTGCAGGTCGCCTTATTCTGGAGCTTGTTGTTTGATTGCTGTTGTTTCGCGTTCCTTTAGCACTTGTCTACATTGAATGCTACCAACGATCGATATAGTCGGAGACATCTACTTACCTACTACCCTACAAACGAGCAGCGAGAAACCAAGCCGCTGTTGCGCAACTTGGGAAAACTCCTACCCGGCTTGGAGAGTATTCTACCTTTGCAAGTTAGAGTATAAGTCGTTTCCGCATGCCATGAGGGTCGAATGGATGACCTTCAGTCCACGGAAACTCCTCCGGAGTTTTATCGCAAAGTGTGGTTCCCAGTTGGGCCAACTTACCGTTCGCTGAGTGATGCTGAGTCCCACTACGTTATAAGCGTTGATGAGTGAGTGAAAGTCAGTGGTCTGGGAGGATGGACCCTCGTCGCTCCAAATAGGAGGAAGTGGTGCCTTTCTTATGCGTCTATCAAGATTCATATGTGTATACAAGTCAATCTACAAGAACCGGATCTTAGCATCCTGATCCTCTCGAAGAGAAGGGTTTGAGGTATGGCGATGTGGAATTCAGCTTTTTTGGAGTACCGTATTGGCTCGAAGTGGGCAATATGCCGTATTTGACCGATTAGAAAAAACACAGCAAACAAAGGATTGAGTGGACTCGAACAACACATTTCGATCGTCACCGTTTCTCATTCAAAAGGACTCCCCGGCTCTCGTCTTTCACACCAAGTTGACTACGCGATCTTCCCAAAACACGCCAAATGGACAACCATCTCACCATAAACACGCCATAAATCAGCAGGTCTGAGGTATATCGTTCCGTCTCCGACATAGTGTAATCCCCGTCTCCACCATAGTGCAAATTGAACTACTGATCTGACTACTATGGCGCGCAGCATCAAAAATGGCAGAAAGTCTACTGCCTACCTTCTTCGGCACACCCGCCGGATCACTCAAGCCAAGTAACGAAGAACTTCTCAAGCGTGCTTGGGCACGTCTTGAGGAGATGGATAAGCTGCTGCTTCTCATGGCACAGCGCTGCATCGTTCTCCGCAAGGCCATCCAGGAAGTCAAGGACAAACTCCAGGCCAACGTACGTAAGCATGAAGACAGCGAAAGCTTCTGAACGAGTGAGTGTATGCTCTGAGAAGATTTCATGTCACATTCACTGATTTGATATAGCTTGCCGCTATCGCACCTGTTATGATGGTTGGAAGATGGGACATATTCATCACTTGGGACCGATCAGATAGCCAATCAATCGAACCATAAATACGTACTGCATTGAATCTTATGACTACTTGGGGTGCCTCAAACTAGTAGTTTCTTTCACCCAAATATAGTCTGTTAGAGACCTTCTCCGAACATCTTCGGAACACACAAACTATTGTGCATTCTGATGCTATACTTTCGAGAGCGTCGACTATGGAGAGAGATTGAGAGCTGAGAGAGCTTATCTCGATCAATGGTCTTCACACTTATCTTTCCACTTGTCAAGTGTTTGATACGTTTGACTCGTCTGTGAAGGAAGGCGTCTGGTCAACACATTTACTTCTTCTCATGCTGCTCATTTCTTCTACCCCATCGACCATCTACAGATATATCAACTACCTACTCAATATCAGCAAAATCGCTCCATGTGAGTACCTTCCGCCGCACCTGTACACAAACAATGCTGACCATCACTTGACACAGAACTCGCATTGCGAGGTAAGTGCGCACACTGGCATAGACTGCACAGCTCACGCAGTCCCTTCCGCGGTGCTAACCACGTTGCGCTATAGCGCGTGCAAGAACTAACATATGTTATCTCTCGCAGTCGGACTTGGTCTTCGGACCTGTTCGTTCCTTCGCATACTTTGCGCGCTGCCTTCACCTCAAGAGAGATGTTCGAGTCGGCTCTGACCACTGTCAGCTTCGCCTTCGTTGATCATCACGAGTACTTCGACTTTGATGTGCTCGGGGTTTGCGTCCGCCGAACTCCTTGAAGACGGCACCCTCATCGAGGTCTTCAGTGTAGGTTTTCTGAGCTTCTATCTGAACTGATGTGAAGCTCTGTTTCTGTCCCTCCGACCAGATCCTCGATGATCTCGAATACCACACCTGGGGGCTCATATCTGCAGGTCATGACCATATCGTTCGGAACGGAGTGCGCCTAGCACCCCAGTCCTGGTATAGGAGCGAGTCCGTCCATCTTTTCGAGCTCTTTCGTGAACACGGTTGTCCACAGCGCCGAAAGTTTTATGGAGATTTCAAGGGTCATACGTAAAACTACTGCAAAATGCTATGGATGCATTAGACCTGCGGACCTCATGCTAGCGTGAAGTCATACCTATAGCGAAATGAAGTCTACGGGCGAGAGAAGTCTCTCAATCGTCGCATACTTGGATGGACTCCACGCATGGGACAGCACCAGGACAGCCTGTTACTTATGGAGAAGTCGCGCGCCCAATCGAGGGAAGGAACGAAACAGACCATTGCGTCACACGTTATCAACGCAGCACTGCCTATACTCCATATTCACTTCACGGTAGGAGAGCTTGCACGACTTGACCGTTCCAAGATGGTGTCGAACCAGTTTTGCGCCATACAACTTGCTCTGATCGTCGCCGAGTATGTACTCAACGGACTCCGACATCGGACTTGGAAGAGGATGGATCTGCTGCTTTTGGGCATAGCTTGGCAGGACATGGCGATATATACCACTTCCAAAGGGTCTCCAGTATGGTCCTTAGTCTTCTCGATCATCATAGCGGCAGTTGGTGTTGCTCCAATCTCACTGCCAGGCCCTGCTGTGACATCAAGTCCGCCACTGAGTGGACTATCAAAACCAGACTTGCTGCGTCACGGTTCATCAGAGCCAGGACCTTCGATGCGTCACTTTGGTTCATCAGAGCCAGGACCTTCGATGCGTCACTTTCACATCTTCAGCGTATCCTTGTTGTTAGCTCACTTACTTTATGACTACCCGGTATTGTCATCTTGGCTTCTGAGATGTAGCCCATGGATGGGGTCGTACTCATACCTTTGGATCCTTATCGTACTGTTCCTTCTCCACGGTGGTGTACAACATTGGTACCAAACACAACAACAAGATCAGCCTTTCTTGCAACATGTACGGACATTTGTCTCCCGGCTTCACACATCAGCACCAAAAATGCTGCGATGCGATGTCATGTGGCCATTGGTCGCTGTAGTATTTCACCTGCTTCTCTTCTTTGCGACCAATTATCTGACGTCATGCCTTGGTTTTCGAAATCTGCTACTAAGGCTTCCACGATCCACGCCACGACTGTGGGATGGAGGAATCTTTGGAGGATTTGTCTATTGGATCTTGGCTGCCACTCATTTGATCTGGCAAGGAGAAAAGACCAAGGCTGATAAGCCAGGTGGAAGGTATTATTTCGCTCTGTCTCTCGCTATAGCTTTTGCGCAGACCATCACTGCCCTTACTACTATCGCAGGCGTCATGTACATGGTACACACGATCTGCTAATCTGTACGATGATTCTGTTTACACAAAATCATTGAATCTTGTCATGCTCAAAATCTCCAAGAAACTCTTCTATAAACCAACAAAGAAAACGGCCATTCAGCAACAATGACAAAGCTCCAGGAATCCTGGAACGTTCGGTGTTTCTCTCTTAGATGGTACCACCATTGAGAATTTCCTTCTTCTTGCTTTGCTACCATGATACTGCAAGTAGGTCTCGATGAGTGCGAAAACATGAAGTCGAAGGTAGTCGTCTCGAGACTGAAGTGAATGTCTTTCATAAGTCGCTCGAGAAGCACTGCCCGTCTCACATCGCGACAAAATTTTTCTCTCTCACTAGCACACCCTCCTTTCTCGCATCCACCGCAAAGGAATGAGTCAAGACAAACCAGATACTACCAGCTGCAAATAATCATCATCACCACAAGCATACTAACCTCGTAAGCTATCTGCCTCTTCCCCTGAGCGCGTCTATACTGAAACCCTCCGCGAAGATCTCCACCATGTTCAAGCATTCCTTCTGCTCGACCGCAGCCGCAACACCCTTGCTCAGCTCGCCAACATCCGCCGCATGCACCGCGTCAAAGCAGGAGTCAACCGCCACCTCGACAGTATGGAGGACTTGGTTGAAGAATTCGGCTCGCTACCTCTTTGCCTCCGCGACGAGTACCTGGTTCGCGCCATCGACAACGCACTCGACAACAGTCTTGCGCTGCACCTCCGAGTCAAGGCATGGAATTTTGAGGAGGGAGAGGTTGTAGCAGGAGATGTGGTCAAGGGCGCTGAGGATTACCTCAAGAAGTGTGTGGAAGTTGTGGACGACATCCGCGAGGCTATCATGAACAGGCTGATGAGCAGGCTGGTAAGCAGAGAGAAGATGGTGAGGAGACCGGAGACGAGGAAATGTACGAGCACGAGAACGAGGAACACGAGGATGTCTGAGCAGGGGCAAGGCCAGAGGCTGGGGAACTGTTTTGGGAGTATGTGGATGCAAAGCAGATCGTCAAACGCGAATCCTGCCATCAAATCGCACCAACCTTTTGTCATGGTATGGCTATTCCATTGAAACGCGTGAGGATTTGAGAAAGATCCAGGGCGCTCGTTGGACGTATGTCCAAGTCTTGATACTTCTTTGCGTTCCGATATCGAGTCTTCAACAATGAGTCGTTTCTCGGGAATGCGTCAGCTACCATAAGAACATGTCATTTTGTGGCATTCAATTAAGCATGCATGATTTCTCAGCTTATAGAAATGCAGCGAATGTGGTCAGGAGAGTTTTTGTCCCAATAGCGAGCTTCCGGTACTGAAAATAGCCTTCTTGTGGGAAGACATGCTGATCGAACGTGCAATAAGTTTGAGTAGATGGCAGGCCAGCACGACACATGATTCAGGTGTGTTTATATCGTCTACAAGGCCACGATGTCGTCGTCGTCGTCGTCGTCGTCGTCGTCGTGGACCCCTGGCTGTTCCCCACAGCGATGTGCGAACCGAGGCACGTCCAAGACATGCGGGGTGTTCTGGCTGGTCAGCACGACCTCGGACCATCTCATTGAGCGCCACATGCTTCTCTTCTGGTCGATAAAAGTAGTTCCTTGCAATTTCCTTCGCTGATAAAAACACCCACTATTCTCCATCATGCCTGGTGTAATCTCTGCAGGAACTTATTCGCGCGACGAAGTCGCAAAGAACAACACCGAAGATTCTCTGTGGTGCATTGTCGACCACAAAGTGTACGACCTCACAGACTTCCTGGATGCGCATCCCGGTGGCAACGTAGTCTTGCAACAAGTTGCAGGTCAAGACGCCACGACAGCTTTTTACAATCTACACCGTCATGAAGTATTGCAAAAGTACTCATCCCTATGCATCGGCACTGTGCAAAACGAAACTCCGGAAGTGATTGATCCTCAACCTGGCGATCTCAGCGCAGTTCCATACGCCGAACCTACTTGGCTTAGCCCTCAATTCGCGAGCCCATACTACAACGAATCACATCGCAAGTTTAGGAAGGGTCTCAGAAAATTCGTGGATGCGGAGCTCAAGCCGGAGGCCCAAGAAAAAGAGGCCGACGGTACCTATATCAGTCAGGAGATGATTGACAAGATGGCAAAGAACAATATGCTGGCTATGCGACTCGGTCCTGGTCAGCACTTGCACGGTAGAACATTGCCAGGTGGCGTCAAGGGCGAAGACATCGACTACTTCCACGATCTGATTACATGTCAGGAAATGGCTCGGGTTTTGTCAAGAGGCTTCCAAGATGGTAATATGGCAGGAATGTCAATCTCTCTCACTGCCGTCAGAAGCTGGATGAAAGACGTCAAGTTACGAGACGCTGTCACTGAAGAATGTCTGAGTGGAAAGAAGAAAATGTCGCTCGCCATTACTGAGGCTTTTGCTGGTAGTGATGTCGCTGGCCTCCGCACCACGGCTGAAAAGACCGCCGATGGTTCCCACTACATTATCAACGGCACGAAGAAATGGATCACCAACGGCATGTTCAGTGACTACTTTGTCGTTGGCTGCAAGACTGTCAAAGGCTTCAGCGTAATCTTGGTTCCGAGAGATGACAATGTCGAGACCAAGAAGATCAAGGTATGTTACATTCTATACATATAATCGTTCGAGATATCGTTCTGACTTTGATCAGACGAGCTACTCTACGGCAGCAGCTACAGCCTATATCCAATTCGACAATGTCAAGGTTCCTGTCAACCATCTCTTGGGCGAAGAGGACAAAGGCTTTCAGGTCATTATGAGCAACTTCAATCACGAACGCTGGGCAATGACTGCAGCAGTGATTCAATGGATGCGAGCTGTCACGGAGGAGTGCCTGAAGTGGAGCAACCAACGCATCGTCTTTGGGAAGCCGCTATCTGAACAACCAGTCATCCGTGGAAAGTAAGTTGTTTCGTGATGGGATAGATAGACACCAGACACTGACATCGGTCTCTCAGGCTTGCACGCATGATCCAACACACAGAAGCCACCCAAGCTTGGCTCGAGCAGATCACGCACCAGATGAACACAATGTCCTACCAAAACCAGAACAAGTATCTCGGCGGACCGATCGGCTTGCTCAAGTCCTTCACCACCCGCTGTGCCCACGAAGTCGCTGACGATGCCTGCAACGTCTTCGGAGGTCGTGGTATAACTCAAGGAGGTATGGGAAAGGTTGTCGAGCAGTTCCATCGCACATATAAATTCGACGCTATCTTGGGTGGAACCGAAGAAATCCTTAGCGATCTCGGCGTCAGACAAGCTCTCAAGCAGATGCCCAAGGCAAGACTATAGAGTCGACTCTGATGATATGTATTCTAGTTGGAGCTGAGGACTTTTCATTGAGAAGAGAAGAATTTACAACTGAGGACCTTCGTCGTCTCGCATTCTTTCTTTGTGTTTTGGGGCGTGGAAGTTGTCCAGAATCTCGGTAGACGACTATTTAATAGGATTGCCGTCTTGTACAACGAAGGTCTTCGCCGCCAACTCCATATCTTGATTTTGCATAAAAGTACTCTGTGCATTAATATAGCTACCTACATTACGTACTTTAACATACCAAAAGCCAGAGGACCTGTAGGCAACTCCCCTCAGTCACCCGTAGCACGTTCCTCATTCGCCAACCCTCTAAACACAGCAGAAGATGACCGTGGTGGTGGTGGCCGCGAGCTATAAGGTTTGTTCTGCAGACTGACCGAGAATGCCATATTCGCCATTGCTGTAGACAAGCGCGAGACAAAAGATGTTGCAGTAGGGACCATGGAGTCTTTGCGTGCAACTGCTGCAGGATACGTGGAGGGTACTGATGCTCTTCGCTTGGTCTCGATCACTGCTGCTTTCTCGGTTAACTGCTCCGGTAGATTGTCCGCGATGATTATTCCAACAAGCCATGGTCGGCGCATTGCGCGTGGTTCGAATAGCGAAGAGAATTGGTCTACCAAGTCTGTAACGTGGCGGCTTGTTGGCATGGTCGTAGCAGAACTCCGTCTCTCTGACTTCGCGAACATTGGTGGCGGACCACTCGTCTGTGGTGGGTCTGACCTGAAGCTGGCGTGCAAAGGTACGCCAACTTCACCAACAGCAAGCGACCGGACATACGCTTTTATCTCATTATGGCGATTCTGCAGGTGATCGATCTGTACTCCTTCGGCCAAAAGCTCCGCCTGGATATTGCCAAGGACATCAAGATTGGGTGGCCAGTTCAGTGTCGTTGACGAGACTTTGAAGCTCACTAGCAGACTTTTGAGTGTAGTGGCATAGCTCACAAGCTTCGATTGCAAGTATCGCAATCCTCCCTTTGACAAAGATGCATCCGCTACAAATAGTGATCTCTCTTGCCAGTCAAGCTGGGCGAATGATGTCCAGATGCTGCGAATGTTTGTCAAGTTGCGATCGCATGCTTCGAGAGCGCTCCAGAGTTCTGACGCTTGCTCTCTTGTAGCCATGTCGAAGAGAGCGACGGACGGGTTAGTCGCATCTGCAAAGAGCGCGATAGTCTCTGACAGATGTCTGACATCAAGCGCAACCGCTGATAGCTCAGAAGGGCCCTCTTCAACACACCGGAGTGTTGCTGTTGAGCTTCGGTAAACGTCGTTGATCCTGCTCTCGAGGTGGAAGGGCATGACGTCGAGGAACTTCGCTGATTAGGTTTGGAGTCGACAGCAGCACACCAGGTGGTCTCAATAAACAGAAGACTCGACTTCCGTATGTATGCCTCGCAAATGGATAGGTGTGAGACGCTCATACTCACGCACTATATACTCTACCAAGCTATCGCACAAGACGTGGTGACGCGTTCTGTCGCTGTGAGCTCTCAAGAGTGCAGAAGCAATTTGGTCGTGTCGATCGCCCAAGACTGATGTACAGTATCCTTGTACATACTCCATGCAGGAGACGAGACCGCAGCATGGCCGCGTAACCTGCCAATGTGGCTCCCACATACATGGACTGACATCTCAAGTATGCATACGGACGCGTCGGGTATGCTATGATCGTGAGTCTCAAGAGCCGGTCTTACGGCGCACCACATCAGTCGATGTTGGCGGTGAGACGAAAGCTTGTTGCGCTCTACAGCCTCAAGAGGGTCTCGTGAGCGCCAAGCTCTTGGTAGATTTGCCCATTGCTATATCAGGTCTGAGCAGCGAGCTTCCACGAGATGTGATTACAAAAAGATAAGACGTTGAACCAGAGATGAACACGAGATTGTCTGAGCAATGTGCGCTTCTTTGTTTGGACAACAATGTAGGTGAGGAATGATAAGAAGGGCAGCTATGGGGTGTCTGTCTACTGACTCGATTATGTAAGCAGGCTCCCTGTTGCACCGATCCCTCCGTGCCGCCCTTCGAAGCTTCGTCGTTCCGCTGACGACTTCTTATCAAACTACACATGTCAGACATTTGTCTCGTGACAATGATTTTATTCGAGGCTCTTACCTTCAAGTCTGAAAAGATATATCCCCAGAAAGACCAGATCAGGCTAATCGCCTGGCCGAAATCTGTGATTTTGCCCTCGCACCTGAACCACGAACGACCGCTTTCTGCTCTTCGCAATCTCCACACGTCTCGGCCTAGCCATGACCGTGAGGTAAGCGAGTTTCAAAGATCATGTGATCTTCCAGGAATCCAACAGGGAGTTGTGAGTCACAATGTGAGCCGAGATAACACGTCTCGCTATTAGAATCATTCCCTGACCAAAACTTCAAACTCAACGCCATGGCTCATCCGCGACAGTCTGCCTTGGAAGACTTCCGTTGGCATCCGAGACCGGTAGACGATGCCATCAACGGTGTTCGTATACCTGACTTCCTTGGACTGGAACTTGTTCAGCTCTGTGTCATTGCGGGTATTCGTCGAAATGCCGGCTTTGGCCATGAGCTTCGAGGTCTTACGCCTCGCTTCACTCGCGCACTCAACGCTCAAGCTATCATGTATAGCAGAGATATCCCTGACATGCACGACCCAGAAGATTTCCCGTACTGCATATGGTATCCTTCAGTGCCCGATCGCGATACCTGCCGGAAGCTGGTCACACGGTATCCGCGGATGAAGTACCAGGTTGGCCGTGTCTGTGCCGTGGCGAACTACGAAGATCTCTACAAGGAACTTGATATTCTGCCCGAAGTAGGCATTGCTGAGGAAGCCCGTGAGAACGGAAGTGAGGCTATCTATTCAGCGATTGTCAAACAGCCTGTCAAGTACGCTGTGTTCAACGACTACTCAAATTCTCTCGTCGTGGAAAACCCACCAATTTCTCCGATGAACGGCGACACTTGCGTGACTGCACTCCTGGAGATGAAGCAATCATTTGAGCGACCAAGACCAAAGGAACAGTATGCTCCGAAGGCCCACCGCAACGGGTTTGAGAGCCGGATGTTTGACCTCTGCGAGGATATGTCAGTGGACTTCAAAGAAAGCGAGCGTCGCTCAATCGATCAATCGGTGGTCCTGCCACTACTCTATTCCCCTCTTCCAGCGGATCTTCCCACAGTCGACAAAGACATGCTCATCCTTTCAGCGGCGTATCACGGCGACATTGATCGATACGTGCGCCTGCGACGTCCAAAAAAGATACAAGGCGAGCTTGCGTGCTTGATCCGAGGCATCTACCATGATCCATTGTTTGCCAAGTTCTGGTCGCTCCAGCCATTGGCCGAGTTCTGGTCCTCTCAGTCATCTACCAGATCCGATGACTGGCGCATACGACGGGCAATCAATGCCCGTTTCATCATGAGTAATGATTTATCACGAATCGCGCCCACAACTAGCGTCTCCGAGTTGCCCTATTGTATATGGTTCCCACAACCCGCTTATTGGACTGTCTATGAACACCTAGCGCGATTGCGGCCTGATATGAAGTTGCAGGCGGCGCGGGCATGTATAGTCGCCGACTACCAGAGAAGCTTCGAGATAATCGATCCACCACACGATTCCGCCCTTGTAAAAGAAGCTCAAGTATCTCTCAACCCATTCTATCTGAAATATCTCCAAGCCAAAGAAGTACAAGGCGATACGACAAGGAAAGATTATGACGTTGAATGGTGGAAGTACTACACCACCAAGCACGCACTCATGCCATCACCTTCTAGTGTCTACGGTAAGCTCAATGCATCTAGCATTGGAACCACGCAAACTTGGATATACGACGGTGTCGAAGCGGACATGTCGGATGTGGAGGTTCAGATTTGTACGCCTGAAGAAGTCAAGCAGAGCGGTATCAGAGAAGTGAGCGACAGGTATCCATCTATAGAATGAACACGCATTCGACGTCTGTTCAATATCTGCTCTTTATCAATATTGTGTTTCCTCAAACGCTACGCGTTTGCTACATAAGAGGTTTTACTTATTAAGATGTATCGGTTTGCAAACTCCACATGGATCCAACAATCTCGACCGTCACTTGAAGAATTGTGTCGAGACTGCAGGGTACTGAGCCCTAACGTGCAGCTTCCATCTTGCTTGGCTGTTCTCACGCAACTTTCGTCTTATATCAAGATTTTCTTGGAATCCGAGTCAGCATGCTGCAGCCCCTCGAGTGGAAAAGTTGAGTGTCAACCACGATCCTGAGCCCTAGTTCTATATCGAAGCGGCGTCCACAACTTGGACGAATATATCCTCTGATAGTCCGAAGAAGCAAGTTCTTGCAGCGCGTGCAAAGTTCGATAGGTAGTCTTGGAAAGGGGCGGAAGGTATCGTCGAGCATCTTCTGACCCCTTAGGGCGAAATGCGGGACCATGCTTGTGTGTCTAGCCTGTAGAAATTTGTGCCAGAAAGCATCCAAACATTATTGGAGCTCCACGAGGATGTCACACACGACAGATCAAGTGTCAAAGAGATTCTCATCAAGTTTGTAATCACTGCTTTCAAGTTTTCCAAGCATCAGCAAATGCCGATCCTTGACTATGATGCCTCTAACGAGGTCTGGGAGGATCAAATAACCGGAGTCTTTTTGTTTGTTGTGCCACCAATCTTCGTCTATCAGTGAGCACATGACATGGAGACTTTCTTGCTCGGGTTTGACACCACATCATATATGACCGTCGAGTCTTAGAACCTGTACGATGAGTTACACAGATTGTGCGGAGAGTCCGCTCGCAGCGATGTCAGGAAAACCATGGAATTCCTGCTAGGTGATCAGGTAGGGCTCGAGAAGACTCTTGTGGTACTCACCTTATACTTTATCGTCACCGAACGCAACAAGTTCGCTAGCGAATTCCACCGTACCAGACCATGAGACTCGGGGTAAACAGTAATTGGAACAAAGCGTACTGCTTCCGGCTAGGTCTGAGTCCTTGACTGGAAGAACACCTAACGTTGCAGCTACAGACTTGGTCAAGGAGCTTGATCGCCAGTACCAATGTCAACAGCAGACGTCTAGTAGACACGGTTCGTAAGGTGACGATCGAGTTCATGCTCTCTGATCACCATCGTACTGTTCAGACCTCCAGTTCCCACAACTCCAGAGCCTCACCATAGTTAACGATGGGGATCTTCCTGGCAGCAACCTTGACGTAATGCGTTCCTTGGGACCATGACTGCTGGCGCTAGAAGTCAGCTTCCAGGGGCGTTGATGGCGAAGAGGGACAGAGCGGTAAGGTAGTTTATCAAAGAGTCAACTTCACGCATCTCAAGGCTTCTGTCGTCGTTTGGTTTAGTAGATGGAGTGGTCGAGGATCCGTTTCTGATGCTTGGCTCAGTATGACATCGTTGGTTTCCGTGGCCTTGCGTCTTCGAGTCGTGGTTCGCGCGTCTTGCGCTCTCACACCTTCAACATATACGGTGCTTCAATTACAAAGCGTCTGGTCGCTCTGAACCACAACACCAGTGATCTATACCTTGCTACTCATACAACACAGCATCTTTGTATCGGCGCAACTATGCCTCCCATCATCTATCCATCACGTCACGAAAATGGCCGCCGTAAGCTGACATCATCCAGCGTCTTGCTCACACGCCTGACCAAGCGCGACAACAGGAGGCGCCATCTTTGCCTACCTTGAGGCTCGCGCTGTACTCTCTGAGTCTGTCGACCGCTCAATACTGCTCTTTAACAACTCAGTGAAAAGCACTTCCGCGAGTCTCACCTCACCCACCTTGTCGTCTCTCCGACAAGCAAGGCCCTCGCCAGACTCTCGTGGACGGCATACGAACCGTTGCTTGCCACCAACATCCAGTCCATCACTGTGACCTACAACAACACGAGTGTAACACGCTCTGATGGTCTGTGTCCTGGCATGTGGATTCGAGGTGAAGTCGACCATCTGCTTCGAGCACTCAGACATCTGCACCGTATGGGCAAGCAAGTGGAACTCATTGTCAAGATTGCCAAGACCCCCGTGGATGGCAAGAGCACGATCATCAGCATCACCTGTCCAGTACTGATGTATGTGCTTTCTGGCCACGGCGCCCAGGGCGTTAAGAAACTGTTCCTGGACTTTGACGATACCGCCTCCACCCAATTGCCAATTTACACCACTTCACAGCAAATGCTTACGTTGGAAGAGGACCTTGGTCCAAGGTACCAGCGCATCTGGGCTTGCATGATGGCCGTTAAGACTTTGACCAAGGTGCGCTTCAGATTCAGCAAGACAACTGAAAAGATGGATCCGCGCTGGGAACGGTGCCTGACCATCGTTCGCTTCGACAGCGGTATACATGTGGGCATGCAATTTCTCCAAACCTGGCACTTCGACATGATGGGCCGTTTGAACATCTTCAGCAAGGTTTTCTCCCTCAACAATCAGAACTGTGCACTCATCACTCGCCACCGGGATGATCTATTCAAGAATCGCAACCTTCTGGGTCTTGTCTTAGGGAACGTGGATCTGCACGCAGTGCACCGTTCCATCAACCCTCCATCCGCTTTCCATACTCTCAAGTATTGGTATCACACAATGACTTTCATCGCTGCCAATACAGCTCTGGAGGAATTTCAGGCCTACTCTCTTCGCAACAGCGATGATCAGGTCCTGCACCCTCAGCCGTGGATACTTACATCGACTGCCGAGCGTTCGGTCAATCAGACTCTTCGCCTCAACTACCCCTCCTGAATGGACTGGCTGGATCTTCGTGCGAGACTCTACACAAGATTTGAATTCGTGCATCCTTCAGCGCAACTCTTCAAGACTTTACAACAACGTTTCTCACAGGTGCAAGCCGGGTACGCAGACATGATCTCTCCTCTTCCATAACAGAATGCTAACACTCTTGGTGAAGCACAGCTAAGAAGCCCTTCTCTGACTTATCATCGCTGCTCGTCGACGTCCTGGCCTCGAACTAAGAAAGAATGAGAGATCGCCAAATGTCTCTGGTGGGAAGTTCTGAGGGTCGGCATGACAAAGTAGCGAGAGCGTTATTTACAATGACAAGTCCAATTGGAAAGATTCCAACAAGCGATGCCTTACTGCAGAAGAGAGCTTCAGAGTCATGACAGTCTCAACGCCAGTAGACTCACAGTGTTCTATACCTTTGCTTCCTTCATGACCTCAAACATGATGAAGTGATCCCAATTAATGTTTTCCTAAAGCCTCGCAAACATCGACGGTAGTCTAATAACCACTTGGTCATCATTTGTATCACTACCTACTTGTACGTCTGCGAAAGAAATGACTGCTTCGTAACCATCCACCCAGTGCTATCATACCTACAGCATGGTCAATAGTGTCTCCACTATACTCTATCGAGACTTTGCCCAGTGCTTGTTGCTCCTCTTCTGCATCTCTCAGACATTGATTGTGAAGACAAAAAATAGGGTTTGCATAGCTACACCAGTGATTTCGGAGCCCAATGTTATGGCTGCGTATAGCAAAATTGCACAACTTGATGTCCTTCAAGAACTTCCAGATTAGCCAGGGCATGGGAAAATCCATGCTTGATCTAACAACTTCTCTTGGCTCGACTACAGCGCTCAAAACGGTAGTACGTTGCTTTGACTTCTATGGTAACAAGTAACGTGAAATCCGGCCAAAGTCTACCAGCACAGTAGCCTGATCAATCACGTTGTAGGGCTATCCCGACCCCTATCTCCTTTTAGGTGTTTCCTTGACGTCTACGGTCGGATACGGGTGTACGGGCTCCTCTGTACAAGCGAGCTGTTTCTCTAGACAACGACGTGTTTGGAATCATCTCGACATTCGAAGATCGTCACTGTCGATCACGAATACTGCCACTTCATCAAACACCTCTACAAAAGAACACGACACGCCTCTAAATCCCACATGTCACACGAAACACGAAGCAAAAAAACCCCAACCCGAGTTCTCAACAAAAAGACACGAAAAGAAAAGTTTCAATGTGAAATAGAGAGAAAAAGATTGCGTGAAAACTTTGTAGGAAGCTTGTCATGCCCTTCTAGATTCTACTCCTCTGCATCTACGAAAAGCGCCTAAGCAGACCCAAAGGGAAAAGAATCGGCAAAAGCCAAAAAGCAATAACGCCAAACTGGATGCCCGCTACCAAAGAACCAAGAACTCCTTGCTCTTTGTTTAATAGAGATGGAAACGATTAATAGGAAATGTATACAATGAAGCCAGTGAGACCTGGTAGGACCAAGCATGGGAAGGCGTGCTCGAGGAGAAGTCGATGAATGAAGTGCTCAATCGCTGCAAATGCAAGTCAGTAAAAAAGACTCCAGGCTAGTTAGTTCCGAGCGGCAAAAAGAACTTACTAGATCTCCAAAGGAGCAATCTGATCGATATTGTAAAGCCAATTGCCGCCTTTTTCTTCTCTCTCAAGCCTGTGCATCAAAGTCAGCATCAACCACTCACACTTTCATCACTACTACAGGAATTCAACTCACCAATCATAAGGCCAAACAACCAAATGCCCCTGCACCAACTTCAACAGTCCTTCCGCCTCATCCTTCGTCAAAACCTCTGGCTCGAAAACACCTCCGTTCCTCATACTGCCTTTGGTATTCGCTCTATTGCGTCTGCGTTTCGTAGAAGTGCTGTGTTGCATGTTGCCACTGCCACTGACAGTAGCTGCATGTTGGAACGGACCGGCTTCAAAGTTCTTTTCCTTTTCGGTCATTTCGGGGAACTGGATGGTGCGGGATTTGAGGGGGCGGAACGGGGTGGAGGAAGTGGTGTTGGTGGGCACGCCGTCGAGTGGTGCCGCGAGTGTGGTGTCGGTTGTTGCGGTGTCGTTGCGTGCAGCGGCTGCTTTTTCGTCAAAGGGTTCTTCGGCAGCGGTGGCGTCGTCGGCGTGGTTGGTGAGTGCTGAGTCTGAAGCTCGGGGTCCACCGTCCAGGCCCTGCTTTTCAGATATATCGGCGGTGGCGGCGGTAGCAGTGGATTGCGAAGTGCCAGGGCGCCCACCAAACAGTTTGCTCAATCCGCTGAACCTATTACTGGCGTGCTTGGCAATGCGTTCTGAAGGGTTTGCGACGGAGGAAAGAGCATCGGTGCCGCCAGAGCCGGGAGGACCGCTGGTGTCAGGGGCATCGCCCGATGGCTTGGAAAACGGCGAACCCATACCCATACCTTGCGACTGCATGAACTTTTCGCTGTAAGCGTTGAATTGGCGATATTCAGCCCATGACTGGACGTCAGAATCAGGCATACAACGGAATACCTGGCGGTAGATGCGAGTGTTGTTCTCTGCTACCTGATGCCAGATCTTCTTGTAGAAGTCGTTGTCCAGCGGATCACGCATGCAGTCCTCATCAACCAGAGGTCGTGTCATGGAGTTGAGAAGCGGGTTGATAACGTGAGCATTCTCTGAATTGACCTCCTTGACCAATGACGGGCCACCTATGTCCGAGTCATCAGAGACGGGAAGTGGAGGGAGTTGAGACAGATGAGTGAGACCAAGCTCGCGCGTGTTCATGCGAGGTGGCATTGGTGGAGGGAGGATGCGACCTGCCTCGGTGGCATTGTGAGGGTGGTCATAGATGTGGTGGTTGATGATGTCTCTTCTCACCGACGAAGATCTGGGACGTGCAGCAGCATCGAGCAGATTGGCACTCTTGAGCACTTCCTTGCCGTGAGGTGTGATGTACGTGTCTCTTGCAGACATGTCGGCTACGTTCTCGAGATTCTTCATGTTGTCGGGACCATACCCAGCAACATCGAGGTCATGCTTGATGTCAAACGACTGCTTCTTGCTGCCGGCGCCATCAACCTGGCCAGTATGGGTAGTGTTGGTCTCGTTGAGGAAGTTCTGCAAGACACCAGCCTTACCATCAGGCTCGCTATTGTACTGCAAGTTCTCCTCAGTCAGACCGTGAGCTGCTGTGGGAGTCTCAGGAGGTGTGATGGAGTCATCTCTGTAGATGCGCTCCATCTCCTCATCTTGGAATGCCTTCTCGGCTTCACACTCGCGACGGTAGATGTCGTCGACATCGATGCCAAGGTGCTCACGCATAAGGCGCATGCGAAGCGTGTGAGGGAAAGTGCCAACGTCATAAGGCTTGCCGCCCATGAGAGAAGGAATCATTTCCTGATCAGTGACGATGGCAGCCACCTCAGAGTCTCTAGAGCCCAACATGGAGCGCTCGTTGATGTTGGCAGATCCGATGATGACACTGCGGTCGTCGACAACCATACACTTGGCGTGAATGTAGAGTTGCTCGGTAGTCAAACACTTGCGAGGACCAATCTTGCCCCATTGTCTCAGAGCGTAAAATTCGATGTATTGCGTAGGGTCGATGCCCTGGGCACGCAGCCTGCCAAAGATTGATGATTCGCCTCTGCAGATGCTACGATATTGGCACTGCATGATTAGACGAACACTGGTACCATCTTGAGAATCGACTTGGTTCTGGAAACCAGGCATGAGCGGGATGATCAAGCATGCTCTCCACTTGTCACCTCTCTGATGAGCAAGCTCAATTCTCTCAACAAGAGCATCGCCAATCTTGTTGTTGATTTGAGTACCTTCAACAACGCAGCTAGTGATGAAGAACTGGTTTTCGATGTACACAAAGTGCTCAGAGTTGGTGATCAGGTAGACGTAGGCGTTCATGATGCTGCATTCAGTCTTGTTCGGTGTGCCAATCGACCAAGACGTACAAGAGCGGAGGATCTGAATTTGGCAAGTACCAGTCATGCCGAGACGTTCGAGTTCGCTCTGATCGAATTCAGGCGGAGGCAGGAGGATAGGTGTAGGACGAGAAGGTACACGCTGTCTGAGAATATAGTTCCATCGCTGAACAAAGTGACGAGCCACATCTCTAGCAGGCTGACCAACAATTGTCATGGCAATGTCGTGCCAAGGCATACGAGGCACCTTAGTACGATCATACATCTCCTCGTACGGACGATCCAGGGCGTAGAAGTCCTGAACTCTGGGGTTCGAGTAATCTTTACCAGGCCAGACTTGACAGTTGTCAGCAGTTCTGGGTCCTTCCATATCCAATTCGAAACCAGTTAGCTTGTCGTCAGTCAAAGAGTGGTGAGGGTCGTCCCATCTTCCGAAACACAGATCTACACCTCCCACGAACGCCATGGCATTGTCAATAACAACTAGCTTTTCGTGGTGCGCCCAAAAGAACTGATTCTGCCTGAACTGGTTGGGCGAGCGTTGGACGCAGATGTTGGGATGAAGGTCCAGGAGCGAGGCTTTCGTGTATTCAGAGTCAATGGGGATGGCGGACTCGATATTGCGGTAGACGATGACGAATATCTTGACGCCTTCTTGAGCTTTGCGTAGGAGCAGACGGTCGAGTCGCCACTTCTGACTAATGGCAGCTGGTCTGCGCAGGTACAACTCGGGACTCAACCACCAGTCGTGAATGTACACAAAGCTTCTGGCGTTGTCAATAGCTCTCGAGACCTGCCACATGTGATCTCTGCCATCAACCAGCCAGCGAGCAAAGACATTCTTGCGGACTGGGGCAAAACTATCGAAGCGATGTTTCAGCGACCAAACCGTGTTTCGCACCATGTAGTCGATCGACTCGTTGAACTGCACCAGTTGGCGCTCGTTCTTGGCCAACATCTTCAATTTCCGCTCCGAGTTGTAGAGTCGAAGAATGTGATGTTTTGGTTGTGTGGCGTTGCCTGCAGTTTTGGCCAGCTCTTCTGCTGTTTGATCTCTCAGGCGTTTTTTGCTGGCCTTGTCGGTAGTGAAATCGCCGTCTACAAGGAAGACTTCGCGTGGCTCCAGTGACTCGGGACTATCCAAGGCAACTATGTAGCTGTGGCGGATCATGAACCACTTGGGCTCGGCGTTTCGCTTGAATGCAGAGACCGACCCAGTGACTGGCCTTCTACGCAGGTCGATGTTAGGTTTGGAGATGATGGACATCAAGCCCTCCTTTCCATGATAACCACCCTCCACCGACAAGCGCAAAGACAGAGCGGAAAGCTCAAGGAACTTGCACAGTCGTGTGCTGTCAGGACGGAAGACTAGCCATCTGATCATTTGCTGCAGATAGTTCTCCAGCTTCCTGCGTTGACGCTCATTGTATAGATCTTTTGCCTTGGCGCCTCCACCAACAATACTGCCAGCTCGAGTGGCATCACCGTTTTCGGCACCAGATGCATGACCGGTGCTTGACTTGCGTCTGGAGAGTGCAAAGGACGTTCTACGACGCTTCTTCATTCCAGGTCGTTCAGGTCCACTTGCTTCGCCATCGGGACCGCTCGCTTCGGCGATCGCGTTGTCGTCCTCTTCTTCCTCGTCATCGGCCAGACCTCTCACACCACGAAGGTATGGAAAGGCACTCCTCGGAAATCGAGGAATTTTGGCTTTCGAACGATCTTCAGTCTTGAGTATTGAGTAGCGCTCCGATTGGCTCTGGAACTTGTACTTGAGATGCAGGTTGCTGAAATCTCTGAGAGAGCGGTGGATAGTCCACGACATGCGTGACGGTCCACTTCCGTATTCCAGATTGATGGTGAAGACCATATGGCGATCGCCAGACTTACTCTCGCGGTTCTGACTGGATGGAATGGTGATTTTGAGTTGCTCGAGCAAGACAGGAATCTTGCGGCGTCCGTGTTCGTCGCGCTGGTACATACTGGCCAAGAAGATGGCGGCAGGGGAGCCGGCCAGCAGCTCGGCCATGAGCTCTGTAGACTTTTGATGATCCACCTTGACTCGCTCGTCCTTTTTGCGTTGACCAAGAAGTTTCAGACCAGCTTTGACTTGTTTCCACTTTTGAGCGCTGGTACTTTGTTGACGCTCTCCGCGACCTCGCCAAGGGGAGGCGGATCCGTCGAGGGCACCAAAGCCGGTAAATCTTCTCGCGGTCGGCGGACGGTTCGAGTCTGATTGCTCGGCAGCATCGTTTGTCGGTCTGCTGCTACGAGGGGCATAACTAAGCCCTCTTGCACCCTCGAGCCCACGCCTCCAAGCACTTTTGGCCAGACGGTCACGACCTTCATCCTCGCTGACGCCTGCTCTCGAATTCTCAGGAATATCTGTCATTGTGGCTCTGCGAGGCAGACGCGGAGTACGATCTGCATGGTCACGGAGGAAAGAAGGAAAGCGCGGAGTGCGTGGTGTGGAAGGGCCAGCAGAGGCAGTCTTGTCCATCTTCCTCCTGGCCTTGCGCTTTTGGCGAGGTTCGTGGTTCTCGTGAGCCTCATCCATGGAGCTCTCTTCGATATCACCCTCTGCTTCACTGCCATCGTGCTGCGACTGCGAGTATATGGGGAAATGGGGCTCATCCAACTCTTCGGTAGGGGTCATGAGGACCGAAGCATTTGTGAATTCACTCGGATGGCGCGAGTGGGTGGGTGTAGCCATGGCCTTTAGACGCGAGAAGAAAGAGCCTTGTCGACCGTGTTCATCTGCACCTTCGATATGGTCATCTCCCAACCCCGGCCTTCTTTCTGGCGGAGTCATGGTACCACTACCTCCACTGGCATCTCTATTGCGCGGTGTTCGCATGGTGGGATCCGAGTCATGTCGCAAGACGAAGGGTCTGGGTCGAGGGCTGGTAGCCGAGACGGAGCGAATGGCCGAGCCATTGTGGAAGCTTTTTGTTGGGGGCAGGTTGAAGTCTGCAGGAGTCGGAGGGCCGAAATGGACAGAGACGGCGGTGGGCGGTCGGAGCAGGTCGTTGGACAGGGTGACTTCGGCGGGCGTAGGCAGTGTGGGAGTAAAGGTAGCGCGTAGGGGAGACGAGGGCTGGCTGTTTCCTTCTCCCAGACGGGACCGCGTCATTGGCGACAAGACCCTCGGCGCCTCCTCTTCTTCCACCATCTGCATCCTGACGGGTCCTTGTAAATATTCTTTCGTGTAATGTCTCAGTGCATATTATGGCGGTACAAGTCGCAGGCTGTAGAGATTGTTGGCTTGGTATGTAGAAATTGTGCTGCCGGCGTCGAAAGGGGAAGAGCTGGCGACTGAAACGCGGATAGAGAGTCGAAGAGATGCAAAGCGCTGGAGTCGACTAGTAGGACTGAACAAGACTGTCGTCGGAGCAAGAGAAAGGAGTGTGAGAGAGAGAAGCTTTCCAGAAGTTCCCAGTTTAGATTCAATAATCTTGAATTGCACTTGGTCACTCATGCACATCCAAGACTCCCGCCCTCCCCATCAACCCGCGGCGCCGTCATCTCCGCCATTCTTGGCTGCGTATTCATACAAATACTACCCTGTCGTCTTGATCATCATCATTAGAACCATCAAAGAACATCACTAATCATTGCAAAGGCAAAGCCGATCTTTGATAAAATCATCAGATTCGATTGATCTGCACAAATGCCACTTTTCGGAACGCCCGCTATACCACCACAAAGCCGTGTTTGAATAAATGCTGCCACCAACAAAACCATATTTTTCTCTGACGAATCGCTTTACTCTTGACGCTGGCGCTTGTAGTTTCCACCTTGTCTGGGTTGACTGCCGTATGCACGACGAACTCCCTGCTTCTTCTCCATCTTCATGCTCGAGCCCAATTGCATGTCCACGCGCGGCGGTGTGTTGAAGCCGAAACTCTTGGCCACCTTGACCAGGTCGAGTTCGTTGACGTTGAACACTGAGCGCAGAGAGTGCGATGCGTACGCTTGGAGATATGATCGGTATCCGTCCTTGGCCGACTGTACAAACACCTGTTAGCATTGTCCCGATAATCAATACAAGACCATCCAAGCTTACCTTGTTCAAGTAGTAGTTCTTGCCAATCAGCATTTCCAACTGACTCTGGATGTTCAAAACCTTCTTCTCGGGCATCTCAAACTCGGTCAAAGGCACACGAGCCTCCTCAAGGTGCTTCAAGAAACCAACCTCGTTGGGCTGCAAGAACATCAAACTCTTGCCCTTGGTGTTGGCTCCTCTGGCAGTACGACCGACACGGTGAATGTAATCTCTGGGGTCATCCGGAGGGTCGAACTGCACAATCCAATCAACCGCAGGAATGTCCAGACCACGTGCTGCAACATCGGTACAGATCAAAGTGCCCTGCTTGGCATTGCAGAATTCGAAAAACGTGTTTGTGCGCTTCTGTTGCTTTTGCTTGCCGTGAAGATCCAGCACGGGCAGGTCGATGTAGTTGAGGAGTTCGGCGTAGTACTTGACACAGTTGCATGACGAGAAGAAGACGATGATCTTCTTCTTGGGGTGTTTCTTAAGGAAAGTGAAGAGCAGACGGAAACGCATGTCGGGTTGGCAGACAATGAAGCCCTGCTCCAGACCCTCGACGGTACTGTGCTCTTTCCTGTGGTCGACGTTGATGTAGAGGGGACCAGGTCGTAGCGAGATTCTGGCTAGATCCTCGACCTTTGTTGTCTGGGTAGCCGAGAAGAGCATCGTCTGTCTCTCGTCCTTAGGCAGAATCTTGATGATCTGGCGCATTTCGTCTTCGAAACCGACTTCGAGAATACGATCAGCTTCATCGATAATCAGCGCCTTGATGTTTTTGTAGACAAAGCCCTGGGTGTTCTGCAGGTGATCGAGCAGACGTCCGGGGGTAGCGATGAGCAAGTTGACACCCTTGACCAGCTTCTCGGCCTCGGCGCGGCGGTTGGCTCCTCCAATAACGATACCGAAGGTTTGCGAGTGGTGGGCCATGAGTTCGCGGGCAACACCGAAGATCTGGAGAGCGAGTTCGCGGGTGGGAGAAACGACAATGACACCGGTTCCTACATGAATGAGTCAGTTGGTAGTCGCAAAAACACAAGCGAGCATGCTTACCGTTTCTGGGCTTGAACTTGAGCGAGTGCAGCATCTCAATGGCAGGAATCAAGAAAGCCAGAGTCTTGCCCGAACCAGTCTTTGCAGCACCCAGGACATCCTTTCCAGCGAGAAGAGGCGGGATACCTCTTGCCTGAATCTCGGTCATGTTCTCAAACTTCATGTCGGCGAGCGCCTTGAGCGTCTTGTCGGAAAGGTTGATGTCGGTGAACTTTTCGGGCAGAGCATCCTGTCCAGGGAGCGAGACTCCAAGCGCCGAGGGCAGGTCTGAAGGCTCGCCAATGTCTGCCTGCTCCTTCTCCTCGTCTGCCTCGCCCATTTCCTCGTCGGCTTCCTCCTCATCAGAGGCTGCCTCGTCGCTGATGTTGGCGACCAAAGATTCGGCTGCGGCCTCGCGCAACTCGTCGTTCACCTCGTCCTCATTCTTCTCGACGTCCTTCGCTTTTCCTCCTACAGACTTGGTCTTCTTGCGCGGCTTCATTTCAGCGTCCGGGGCGGCGACAGCGGCGACGGCAGGGACGGGAACATCGGCGGGTTTGGCAGCGACGTGCTTTCTCTTTCTCTTCTTAGTGGCGAGCTCCGGGTTCGACATGATGTTGTGTTGTGGTGGGGAATGACAGATGACAGGCAAAAAAGTCCAGTCCTGCGCAGACTTTGGCCGGGCGCATGCTCGAACAAAAAAATTAAGGTTATCGCGCGCAAAAGATCGCCAAGACAAAATCCCATCAGATATGACAATCCATCTTTTCGCTCCTCTCCATCGAATACATGGACCCTTGTGTCTCTCAATCAATCAAGACCAGTGCCAGATAGATTGGCTGGATATCATGGCTGCACTGTATCGTCATTGAGTTTGCACAGCCTTACAGCGAATTCTACCTCCGTATAGCAGCCTCTGTAAAGCTATGCCCCTCAAGGTCCTCTCCTCCTTTCTCTCTGGGAAGCCGAGTACCGCTTGGTCAATCTCCGAACACGAATGTATTCGGCAACCCATGTCTCCGTATCATACCACGCCCATGTCGCTTGTCACAGGCATCCTTCCTCCTTTCCAGCATGACCGATCATGGAGAATCGGTTTCTAGACTTCGTATTATCTAGGCATACTTTCTCTCCTGGAAGCTGTTGGCAATTTGTGACTGTGGGCCAACGGTAAACTGCCCGTTGCTGGGAAGATTAGATCCAGCCCGCGACAACAAACTCACTTCATGTCGTCCTGTACAACATCAATACTATTGCGTAGACCTGCCGGTTTTCATGACCATGTATATAGTCTTGCAGGAGGCCGCGTACTCCGAGAACAAGGTAGCTCGGCACCGTCAAGCCCTGGCCAGTATTGGCATCATTCATTCCGCACAGAGGAGATGCTGTTGAAGCATTGCCATCGGTGAGACAGATGACTGCAAGATGAGTGCCAATCATGTCCAAGATCCTTGTACTCATTCCATATCCATACCAAGGTCGGCGCAGCTCTATGTTGGCATCCGTATGCAAATACGCTGAGGCCGGCCAAGCATATGGCCATCCGTATTATGGAGCTTGGCGGCTGAGATCGAGACAGCCTGCGACGACTCCGCTCTTTGGTAGAGGATGGACGGGAAATGATGTTTTCATGCCAAACAGGTGAAGTAACGGCCTTGTCGAATTGCAAGGAGAGAACCAGATGCAAATGAAGGAGAGAGTCCAAGAGACTTTAAGCAGTGCTGTCGCTGTACAGAGGCCGTTTGCGGGACTGCAAGCCCGTTGTCTATTTTGAGGGCGCACGGGGTTTGTTTGACCAGCTGCCCTCTGAACATGATGCGGTGGCTTTCGAGGTCGGTCTGCTGCGGATGTCGTCTTGCAGATGAGACTCCCCGAGGCGAACTGAACCACTGTACGCACGAGGCCGTGTACAGACTGCAGAGGCGTCGGAGTGATTGCGATGGACGAGAAGCACATCGAAGGAGTTTCATCTTCTTCCCCAGCTTTTCTCGGTGCCGCGTAATAAACAGCAGTCTGGTGGCGCACTGATCGCCAAACGGGAAGAGTGGATTGGAGCGTCGTCTCAGGACAAGACCCCTGAGCGAGCGTGTGGGATCATTATTGTGTGGAAACAAAGCTGCACAGCCCCCTTGTACGAGCAGCCAATCCGACTGTAAAACAGCATTCGACGAAGGCCCATACGGCGTGCTGATACTCGAGCGCAACTCATCCATTCTTCCTGCAAGCCAACGTGACGGCGGCAACAAAACAACGATCTGCTCAGACTCGATCGGAAAAAGGAAAAAGATCGCTCCGGTCGTTGACAAGTTGACATCAGCTGGCGTGGCTTTGGCGCTAATCTGCGCTTGTTTGTCGGGTCACGCACGTCTTTGGGACTCTGGGAGGCCCTTTTGGCTGTGTTGAGGGTCGTGTTTCTCGTTCTTCCGTCGTCGGATTCCTGCTTTGCTGGTTCACTATTCCCACGTTCGTTGTCCCTTTCGTCCAACGAACCGCCCCGTCGCCGCTGCACCTTCCAAGCAGCTGCACCCGCTGCAATCCGCCGACGCCATCACTACTTCCCACTTTCCTTGCCTACATCTCCAACTCTTTTCCCCCATTCTCCCAGCCTCCCCGCGCGCCTTCCTCTTTTTCGATAATCATCAACTCCGTCACTCGTCACTCGCTCATCAGTCGCGACTCGTCCGACGTCAAGACTTGATTTTCCCCGTCCCTTCCGGTTTGAGCAAAGGCCCAAGAGCCTCGCCATCCGCTTTTACATTCCAACCACCTGTTTGCCATCCAAACACAGGCACACGCATCCACGACAACTCACCTCCCCGCTCGTTCTCGCCGCTGTGAACCGCAACACCTGCATTCGGACCTCTTGACCAGCAGCAGCAGACTGCATCTCCAGCATTGGCATCGTCGGGAGCATTTATTAATTGGTATTCTCTATTCATCGCCCAGCATGCGTCCTTCAAGGTCGCCTCTCGGCTTCCTAATAGCCCTCTTCGTCGCCCTCATCCCCATGGCCCAGGCTGGTGGCGGCATTGACAAGCAACGCGTGATTTCATCCTCGTCGCTCAGCACTTGCATGGCAAACTCCAACTTCTCGGCCAGTCTGTTCAACGTCGCCTTCACCCCTGACAACCGTACTCTTACCTTCAACATCGTTGGTGTCACCACAGTCACTGGTAACGTCACCATCGACCTGGTCGTCAGCGCCTATGGCTTGAAGATCGTCACAAAGACACTCGACCCTTGTGAGGAAGGATGGGCTGGCCTTTGCCCCATGAACGAGGGTCAGATCGACCTCGACTCCAACATTGTCTTGCCTGCCGACACAGTCAGCCAGATTCCCGGTATGAAGTCTTGGGCGTTTTCGTTGTCTGGCTTTCCACTGACATGTTCTAGGCATCGCATACACCATCCCTGACCTCGACGCCAAGGTCCAGGTCTACGTCAACAGCACCGACACTGGTAGAGCCACTGCCTGCGTGCAAGCCGAACTCACAAACGGCAAGACTGTCGACCAGAAAGCCGTCTCTTGGACTGTCGCCGTCATTGTCGGCCTCGCTCTGTTCGTCTCTGCCGTCACTTCGGGTCTCGGACACTCCAACACTGCCGCTCATGTCGCTGCCAACACTCTTGCGCTCTTTGGTTACTTCCAGGCCCAGTCTCTGGTCGGTATGACTGCTGTTCCTCTTCCACCCATTGTCGCTTCCTGGACTCAGAACTTCCAGTGGAGCATGGGTATCATCCGTGTCGGCTTTATCCAAGACATCGCTACCTGGTACCAGCGCTCTACTGGAGGCACTCCCAGCACTGTCCTGTCTGAGTTGTCGACCGAGTCTGTCGAAGTTCAGAAGCGTTCCGTCCACGTTGCTGAGCGTCTCCTCGCCCGCGGTGCCATGAAGCTTCATCAACTCCTTCCCAGAGCAACCACCACCGATGCCACCACCAAGACTATCATTCTTCGCGGTATCGAGCGTGTCGGTTTCCGCTCCAAGATCGAGTTGACCAACATCTTCCTTACTGGATACATCTTCCTTCTCATTTTCGTTGTCTTTGTCGTTATGGGCGTCATCATCTTCAAGTTCATCTGCGAGGGTCTCGTCAAGATGGGCAGAATGAAGGGCGATAAATTCCAGGACTTCCGCAACGGCTGGACCACCGTCCTCAAGGGTATTCTCTTCCGTCTGGTCTTGATCGGTTTCCCTCAAATGGTTGTTCTCTGCTTCTGGGAATTCACCAAGCGCGACTCGGCTGCTGAGGTTGTTCTCGCTGTCTTCACCGTCTTCACCATGATCGGCATACTCGCCTGGGCCTCATCCAAGGTCATCCGTCTTGCCCGTCGTTCCGTGTCGATGCACAAGAACCCAGCCTACATCCTCTACTCGGATCCCGTTTCGCTTAACAAGTGGGGATTCCTCTACGTCCAGTTCAAGGCCACTGCATACTACTTCATTGTCCCCGTCTTGGGTTACCTCCTCCTCAAGGGCATGTTTGTCGCTCTTGGCCAAGGTAGCGGCACCCTTCAAGCCATCGCCTTCCTCATCATCGAGGCCGTCTTCTTCATCGTCGTCTGCGTCCTCACACCCTACATGGACAAGAAGACCAACGTTTTCAACATTTTCATCTGCTTCTTCAACTTCCTCAACGCCATCTTCTTGCTCTTCTTCACCGGCATCTTCACCCTGCCTGGTCTGGTCAATGGAGTCATGGGTATCCTCTTCTTCATCTTCAACGCCGTCTTCTCTCTTATTCTTCTGATCTCCATTCTCGTCGCTTCGGCATTCGCCATCTTCTCCAAGAACCCCGACACCAGATACCAGCCCATGCGCGATGATCGCGGTTCCTTCATCAAATCCCAGACTCAACTCAACACCGAGCTCGACGCACTGGGTGCTACCGCTCGTGGTGAAGGCAAGGGTGGCTGGAAGGGCGCTCGCATTGAAGATGACGAGGACGGTTGGTCTGGTAGTTCCACTTCCGAGCCTCGCGTTGGCGGCAACAGCTCCTCTATGGCCGGCAGATATGGCGAGATCCCTCGCTCTCCTCACGACCCTAGCATCTCGAGCTTCCCTGCAGATGGCGGTCTGCCGAGACACAACCCTCCCACATATCTCGACGAGAAGACCGGTTTTGGAACACCGGATATGCGCAGCACTCACAGCGCCAGCCCAGCTCGCACGCCACAAGTTCAACAAACAGGCAGAGCGAGTCCGTGGCAACGCGGAGCCGGCTATGAATAAAAGGCAGCAGTACATTTGATTATTGCGGGTCATGACTATATCTCCTTTATCAATCTCTTTTTTTCATTCCATTGCTCATTCATGTTTCTCCTCCCATGTTGCAGGCGGCTTTCCAATGGAAAAGGAAAGTCGAACAAATGTATCAACACAAGCCATTTTCCAAAAGACTCGATCGTCCCATCAGAAGATGCATAACGCTTCACAAAGTGATGCTGGTCTTTTATCTTCTCGCTCGCATCCAGGCTTGCTCCTGTGCATCATTCTTGTTTGTTCTTTTTTTTCCACTTTTGTTTTGGTTTGTCATGGGGCTCAGGAATACCATTAGGGTTTTGCAGAATACCCTTGGAAGTGGCGTTCGGTCGCCGTAGTTTATCTTGAGTGAGGAACAGGCACAAGGTTCTTTTGTCCGAGATTATCAAATTCATTGTTCTTATTGAGCTCTTCTCCATCTTGTCAAGTCTCTGCTGTTTCCTGTGACTGAGTCTGAGTATTGCAATTGTGTCTGTGGCAGTGCTACTTTGTGTTGCAAAGCACCGTTTCAAGATCTGCAGGCACTACCTATTTTTGCGGCAGTCTTTTTTCGAGACATGTCAACTGACAATATAACGGAACGGGATTACGTGGGATCAGTAGATCTCGGACAAAACGATGAGATCTGTGTCATTGGTTGGTTGTGCTCGGAGCCGCTGATGTTGTAGGGACGATGACATGAGGAAGTGTGTTGAGGTGAATTTGTACGAGTCTGAGTATGTGATTTTGATGGAGTGACATTGGGAAGTAGTTTTTGGTCATTATGGCATCGAATCTTGAGCTTGATTAGACATCCTTAGCCTCTATCCGTCTTCATACCATGGATGATAAATTGGCCAACTTAGATATCTTCAAACGATCTTATAGCGGCCACGATCTCGCTGCCAACCTCAAAATTGCTTGTCTGTGATGTCACCCTGGCTGCAGCACATCTCTTGGCGTGTTGTTGTTGCCATCACCACCTCGGCATTAAGCATATCTCGTGGCCAACAAAAGTGATGAAGATGATCATGATCATGAAGATGATGCTATCGATGATGCCATCAGAGGTCGAAAGAGGAGTTTAGCCTCTCTTCTTCCCGCGCCGTCCCGACCGGCATCTCCATGCATCATGCATGTGCAGAGCAAAAGGGAAGCAACTCGTCACAATATTGATGCCCAAGAAGCTTGTGCGTCGAGTCCTGAGGAACGCGTCAAGTTTGGTACGAGGGACAGTGCTGTATTGCATTCATGTCTATGATGTCGGGAGTCCCTTCTTTGTGTCGCGTCTAGGGGCGGAGACTTGACGCGTTCGTACAGAGGGCTGAGGGTGTATACTGTGAGTGTTCAACAACTGAAGAACGTTGTACGCGGTACCTTGAGGGGTCAAGCGAGCCACACTCAATTTGAGAGTATCTGATTCCCGATTTGCACCTGCGTTTGTACGACGTATCGGATCCATCCACGACTGTCTTCCCGGACCTCAGGTCGGACTTCTCGTCGAGTCTAAGCATGCCACGAAGGTTGATTGCTACAACTTCTATCAGGACAATTATTCTGATACGTGATTGTCAGCTTTGCAATCTTGCCACGTCCGATGTGCTATATCAATCTCGGCAATGCTTACCATCCCACGGGGTGCAGCAAGACTAATGCATATCGCGGGAATCGGCTTCAGACCCGATGGAGTGGGGGTCTATTTTGCTTGTTACACGTTACACGAACATCTGCTCTGGTCTTCTCACACTGTGATTAGATACAACAGACAGTGCGTGGATCTGGCAGAGTACGAGGCTCCCGGTTTGGCTCTGTCAGACTTTCTTGTCACCTTTGCAACCTTTGGTTACTGTCATGATGGTACAGATGAGGTGATGCAGCTTTGTGTATCGTTCTTGCCCTCGACGTGGCAGATTTATTTGACTTGCATGTGGTTTCGACAGCGTTGACGTGTCAAGTATGCGTTGTTGATCTATTGACATAGCACATCGGGGTTTGCGAAACATGGGGGAAGGGGTCTAGATGTATACATATACATGCACGGGGTGAGGTGATAAGGTAAGGTAAGGTTTGATATCGTCAATGGGAATCGCTTGTGTTTCTCTCGTTCCTTCGGTCTTCTGTTTCTGTTTCTATACTGTAAGATTTATATAGCAGACTCACGAATCCCGCTTCACCCGTCTGCATACTGGACCCAAGTCTGTCTTCAAGGAGAACATCTTCGGAGGCCATTCCACTGGACCACTACCAAGCCCTCGGATGCTGTACCTCGAGAACCTATCGCCATTTTACGATAGAAAACTCCAAAGTCATTCCAACGACTATCTTTAACAGAAGCTCTGGAAATACCGACGCAACAATCATGTCGAATGACCTCTCCTCAATCCTCGCCCGCCATAACCTCAAAGGCATAAATGTAGCGAATTTCTCACCTTCCTCTGCCTCCTCTGCATCATCTCAGCGTCCGTCCCCTCAGCATCAGTCATATCAATACGCTCCTCCTCCTCCGCAACAACCATATCAGTATCCAACATCGGTACCTCAGCCCAGGGCACAATATACTTGGACACCGCCGCAAGGAGGAGGGGGTGCAGCGGTAAGGCCATCGTTTGCTTGGCCAGCGCCTCCACAGCCGAGATATACAATTGATCCGAGACATTATAGTTATGATATCTGGGGCAAAGCGCCGGTGTTTTCGATGGATGAGGAGGACGAGGCTGGGGAAGAGAATGAGGCAGAAGGGGAGGAAGAAGCTGGAAAAGAGGAAGAGGCAAAGGCAGACGATGGTGTTCAAGGGACGGGAGAGGTGGCATTGGAAGGAGAGGATGCTCAAGAGAACGGACAACAAGACAATGGTGTTCAAGAGGGGGAAGAGGCAGTCGCTGGAATGGAGGAAGAGGTGACGGCTGAGGGCAATGCTCAGGGCAAGGAAGAGGCAGGGGCAGAAGGCGATGCTGACGGTGAGTGTTTCGATGATGCTTTGACGAGTCAGACTGATGCCATTTAGCTGCCGCGGGTATGGAAGAGAGTATAGAGGCTGAGACGACTGCTGACGAAGTTCTGGCCGAGGAGACAGTGGGAGCGTCGACCCAGGGCGAGAACATATCGCTCGAGGGACCGGAACCGGAACTGGACGCTGCCACCAGCGTAACGGAGACTAGCCCTGATGCATCAAACGCAGAGCCGCCTTCCGACCTTCCACAAGATGACGCATCTTCCTCGCCGGATGTACTGACGACTACTGGCCCTCCTGTCGAAGAAGTGACAGCAGCTGCGCCAACAGAGAGCACTCCCGGGGAGACCGACGCTGAAGCTCCCTCTGAGCTTGTTGCTTCAAGTGCAGCAGACGCAGCAGCTCACAAGTCAGAGTCCGTGCCAGACGCCGATGTCCACAAGGAAGTAGATGATCAGACTGATAAGAGAAGTATAGAGCTTGCGGACACCTCGGTGGAGGAAATGGCTGCTACTGAGGAGCCTGTAGCCGAGCAGCCTGATGAATTTTCAGACCACGAGAGTAGAGGTTTCGAGCCTGCTTCAGAAGTGAAAGAAGAGCCTGTTGATCCTCCTCAGCAATTGGAGTCCCAGGCCGAAGATATAGGCACGGATGATAAAGCGGTAGCCGGAACACCAGAGCCATCTGATGGCAATCCCTCTTCCACAGACCCGATTCCCGAGGACGCAATCGCCGAAGACGAGCCTTCGGATGATATACCAGAGGAACCACCGTCAGCGCCGGAAGTGGACGCCAAAACTCCAGAAACGGAGCCAGCTGTAGATACCGTTTCGACAGAGTCTGACGATGCTGGCCTCGTGGCAATCTCACCAGAGTCAGAACACACGCCAGGCTCTGCCCCTATAGAAGCCTCGAGTGATCCTGACGAGACTGTTCAGATTATAGATGCCGGCAACGATGGCTCAACAGACGACACAGCAGCTATAATTGTTGTGGTACCTCCCTCTGACGATACAGCAGCTATCATTGTTCCACCACCGCCACCATCACCAGGCCCGCGTGTGACAATAGCCGAACCCATCAAACCTTCAAAGCTCAGTAAGAAAAAAACCAGCTCCAGCAAATCTAGCAAATCCCGAAGTTCTGAGAGGCCGAAAGAAAAACCTGTGGAGATTATACAGCTTAGAGAGGGCAAGAGCAAGACTATTTCCAAAGCAAAGAGTAAGAAGAAGAGTAAGAGTGTGTCGAGCAAAGGAGGAGAGTCGTCGGGACCGCCACCACCGCCGCCGCCGCTAACGGTCGTGGATGTGCCGCCGCGTGCGCCGAGCCCGCCGCCGAACGGGCATGTTATAGACTCGGAGGATGTTGAGGTCGAGGAGACAAAAGTCATCAATATCACTGCCGTGTTAGATGATACTGCATTTCTCCCTGAAGCTGAATGTGAGGCTATGGAGATCATAGCGGCTGAAGAGGCGCCGATGGTTGATGTGCCTGATCAGGGGGAGACGAGCGCCGAGACAATGGAGCAGAAAGAAGAGATAATCCCAGCCAACGCACTGCTAACACCACCCGAAGTAGAAGCTATCATATGTCCACTGGAGAATGGAAACCCAGGAGAGGGAGTCGAATTTGGTGCTGATGCTGAAAACGAGTCCGTTCTCACTCCTGCGGAAATCGATTTAAGCCCGCCAGAAGCCAATCATACCTCTGAAAAGCCACAAGCGGACGACCCTGCAGATGTCAACCCACCTCAAGGCCTTCCTCCACATACCAGCCTTTCCGATGATGGAACCAGCATTGCAGAACCAATAACAATAAATCCAGAGAACCATAACGGACCAGAGCCTGTGACTGCAAAAGAACAAACTCAAACTGCATCTATAGCAGAGCCTCTTGTCGAAGAGAATGGCGAAACTGAGACTCCGATCCCACCGAATGTCGAGTCGCAGGTCGATGAAGAACTGGAGAGCGTGGATGAGCCCTCTGAAGCTGTGATCGAAGAGACTGTTTCTTCAGACGACACGCACAACGGCGTGGACGAAGCTGAGAGCCAGAACTTATCCATTGAACCAGAAAATCCAGAAGGAAGTATACCCAAAGACGCTCACGAGGTGGTGCTCGGCCTAGGGACTGTCGAGCCCAAACCAGAAGAGAATATATCCATTGAGGAAACAGCGCCGATTGCAGATACCGAGCCGGCATCTTCTGTATCGATGGAAGAGTCACAACCTGTTTCTTCAGAGATTGTCAACGAGCCTAAACCGACCTTGATGGAGTTGGCCGCTCTTGTACTTTCCACTGAAGCAGCTCTGATGATCTCGAAGACTACCGCGGTGCCAGAAGCTGCACCTGCCGACACGGACGTCAGTACCACGCAATCGGCTGCCGTGGAAGAAGCGTCCGATCCTGTACCCGAAGCGATCGGCGGCCAAGACAACGATCTTAATGGTCAAGCTGTCATTGTGTTGCTTCCAGACGATGAAGACACCCTTGATGTACCTCCAGAAGCCCCCATGCCTCCGGAGAAAGAGGCACCAGACGCTAATCTCGAAGCTGGTGATGCGGGCGAGGCTAACCAACACCAAGAGACAGAAGAGACGTCTGAGCAAATGGAGAACGAAAATATACAGCCAGAACTTTCGCCTAAGGTCGTAGCGCCTGTCGAAGATGAAGTAGGCGACCGGGAGCCGAAGGTCAAGACGGAAGTTTCTGACAGTCTGGATCGCAACGCTGAGACACTGGTAGCAGATGTTAGCAGAGCTTCGGCTACGACCGGCGTTCTCGATGAGCAAAATCCAGAAGCAGGGAAGCTCAACACGGATGCCCTTACGACTGATGCGCCAGAAGTGTCCGAGCCTCAAACAACGGTTATATCATCGCCGGCTGTTGAGGAGCCGGATGCAATTCAGACGGTCGAAGCTCCCCAGCAGTCAAAAGACCAAGATTTGAGTGACGCGAATATAGACGTGGTCAGACAAACTGACGTGCCGGCCTCAGAGGAAGAAGCTCTTGCAGACTCTGTGACGGACACGGAAGTGCACGATCTCGACACGCCGGTCACGGAAGGGGATAGCGGCGAGGACGTGAGTGCAACCAGTCCTGCTTCAACTCCTAAGAACAAGACGGAATATGCTGAACCTGCTGAAGAGCTCCAACAAGTAGCCTTAGCAGAAGTCAGCACCGAAGCTGAAGTCGCAAAAGAGCTTGTGACTGACGATGTTGAGGTTGGAAAGCTTGCTGACAACGAGGCACCAACCGGGCCCGTGATTGAAGAGCCTGCTAATGATGTGGCTGAAGGTGTTGTCGCATCAGAGTCTGTTTTTGAACAAGTCGAAGACGCAAGCAAGCCGTTTGTTGTCGAGCCTGCTGATTCTGAAGCTCGTGAGACGCCAGAAAAGCACGTCTCTGTGCATTTCACAGAGTCTCACAACATTGAAGATTTTTCTGAGCAGTCCATTGAAGTAGCACTCGAGTATATATCGGGGAAAGAGGTCGACGCTGTTGTAAACACCATAAACGACACTGACAATGCCTCCACCACGACGGTTGGAGCTGGTGCGCAAGCGGAAGACCACGACTTACAATTGCTATCTATGCCCGTGTTGGCCGAAGAAGCGCAAGCCGTCGAAATCGAAGGCACCAAAACCTCCCAAGGAGCTGGAGAGGATATATCCAAATCAGAGAAGGAGGAGAAGACCACAAAGGCCGCAGAACCCGTAGATACTCCATTGCTCGACGAGACACCAGAATCTAACGAGATATATAGTCCTGGAGAGCAACCTATACCGCCTGTAGAAGAAAGCCCAACGGAACCACCAGAGCTTGCAGAGCCCGAAGAGCAACCTGAGCCGGTCGTATCGGAAGAACCAATCGAGTCCGAACGAGCAGCTCAGCCAAATACTCCTACACAAGCGCCCTCCACCGAAGCAGAAGTGTTGCCAGGAGATTCCGCATCACAACAATCGGGTATCGAGACCTTACGAGATTCAGAGGCAACGCATGGGTCGCCTTTGCTCGAAGAACCAGCGGCTGATATGCCTGCACCTGTGGAAGATGCACCGGCAAAGCAGTCTTCGAAGGTCTCGTTCGAAAAACCGCCAGTTGCTCCACATAGCAGAGAACCAGTCTCACCTCCACGAGAGCGACGCAAGTCTTCCAAGTCATCTTCCAGTCGCCACAGCTCCTCACGCCACAAGGTCAAGGATGTCTCGAGTACTGCACCAGACCCAAAGCCAGCGCCACCTTCAACTCGATCACGTCGACGTAGCTCGACAGCCAATGCACCTGCACCCGGGCTCTTCCGCACCCCTAGCACCACAAAGCCAAGACCCACTCGTGCAGAACTAGCAGAGCAAGCGGAAATGAGACGTCGAGAAGCAGAAATCGCAGCTCGCGAGCAAGAAGTCCAACGCCAGCTCCGGCGTGCCCGCAAACGTGCTGCTGTCGAGGAACAAGAAAGGCGACTGCAAGAAAAGGAAGAGGAGCTAGCAAGACTGGAGGCGATTGAGAAGGAGCAAAAGAAAGCTAGACGTGAAGAAAAGAAGAGACGTGCTCAAGAAGCTCTGGAGCAAGAACGTGCGGCTCGTGAAAGGACTGAAGAAGAGGCCAGACAAAAGGAGTTTGAGCGAGCAGAACGACGTAGACGTAGAAAGGAGGCTGAGGTGTCTGATAGTCGACGTCACCGAGAAGATCGTGCCAAAGCACACAAACAGTCCACTTCGCATCGAGAGCCACGGATCAGAGAGACTTCACCAATACCAGAGCCGAAGGTCAGTAGACACAGGACTGAGGACATAGGAGCTGAACGCCGAAGATCAGGAGATGAGTACTATATACGGGAAGTGCCAGCACCATCAAGAGATCCAGAACAGAGAAGACATCGTCGAAGCACTCGTAGGACCTCTGAGAAGAATGAGAAACCCAAGAAGGGCTTTTGGAAGAGTATACTGGGCAGAATATGAGAAGCCAGGGATCGCAGAAGGGGCTTTGTACGATGTATCTATCTGATCTCTGATGAATGGTATGTGACTTTGAAAGCGAGTTGGGTACTATCCTACACCCTTCTGCCTGCCCAATCTAACCCAGAGCTCCTCCGTTCCCTTCTCCGAAAGAGTGGTGCCATGTTCGGTGATTCTGCGAGTAGTAACTGTTGCACGCCAAGATCCTCGTCTATACGACTGCTTGACTGGTGCTTTCCTTCGGTTTCTTCTATGTTTCTTACCATTGAATAGCCAAGCCCATAGAGTTCGAGGAGCACGCGAAGTACAGAACTGTCATGTTCATGCGTGCAGCCCGGCCCCTGGATGGGTTCAAGCCATGGAGATCTCGCTGCCTTCTTTGACCAACAGGACCAGCCCACGAAGAGTGATCCGGTGTTGTGAGTTCTCTATTGACAGATACGGAGGTAGGAGAGCGAGTGTAGCATGGATAGGATAGCTTGATGTGACAAGAGATGGGGGAAAGTATTGTTGAGCGGACTTCTAGTCAGGCCTTCTCAAGTCCCATTGTCTTCGATGATTATGTTCGAGTCTCATCTGGTGTCGAGAGAAGAGGGCCATGCGACTAGAGGAGATGTGTGATGACGTTGTTGAGACTACAGCGACCTGATTGTCGTAGGGAAGGATGCAGGCGGAGATGAGAGGAAAGGGAATCTTCTTGATGTTTTCGCAATCGGCAGGAAAGCTCATGCAAGGTGTGGCAGTGGTCTCATGGATGATAATGTCCAACATCGGCTCATAACTTGCGTCTTCGATCGTGCCGGTGGGCTCAAGGTCACGGCTGTCAAAGTGCAGTCTGAGACTCTGGGAGACACCACGAGCATAGGCGATCTCGGTTCTGATAGGTTTGGTCTTTGAAGAGGTTGAACGCTCATGATAGTACTATCATCCTTTGTACATTCGTCTCCTAGCATAGGTTGTATGGAACGATGGAAATGCTCAGGAAGGAGGAACGTGCACGTGGGACGTTTTGGGATGGTCGTGCTGTACCATGCCTCAATCTGAGACTTGTTGGACAAATAGCAGACGTGGTGCACAAAGTGTGGAAGTTGAAGTTGATGCGGCAGAGGAGAAAAGAGGATAGGGTTCGTCGAGATCGTCGTTGACAGGGTTTGTATGGGTGTTCTCTTGAATGTTCGAGTCTCATATGCTCCTGGGTAAAAAGAGTAACTATTCATTCTCAAGAAGGCGAGATGCGTGGCAAAATCGATGGCGGTATGGATGCAGCATGGATAGTTCTCAACTCTTGATGAAACTCGGCCATGCTTTGCTCCACGGATCTGAGCACCAGGTGTGCCAATACAAGTCCCAGTAGAGTTTTCTGTATCCAATAGGGAGACCGGTATCCAAATCCGGAAGGGACCTTGAGTGATGCTCTAGCCATTGAGCCACAGCTGCTTTTGTTATCACGGAGAGCTTGGCAGATATATAGAGGCTAAGCTTACAGCAACCGATCATACGAGTATAGAGAGCGCAGATAGTGAAATGTGCGACATGAACACTCTTGCGAGCATTTTCCAGGAAAGGTTCACCGTAGATGCACTCTCAAGTTGGTCAGATCAGAAGTTGGCATGGCTAAGAACCTCATTCCAAAAGCAAAGATTGCACTACAGATTGACTCGGGCCAAGGACAGTAAGACCAATCGAAGCAGAAACAGATTCATACGAAAGAAGTGGACAAGGCAACACCAAGCGTGAAAACGCAACCGGACAAAGGAAAACAGTTAGAAGCCCAACAAGATCCTTGAGGAGACCTCTCTCCCTTCTCCAGACTGGTCGTTCCACCCCTACCAAAGTATTCGAGGCGTATGACTATCACGCTCGGGAAGCATGACGTTGGCGGGGTCTTTCTGATGGGGAAGTTGACACGGTCGCAAGGAACAATCAGACGGCTTTCTTGGTGGTCTCCATGAGCAGGGAGAAGCCGTGTTGAGTGTTCGCAGCAAGAAGTGGGCAATGATTTTGATAACGGGATATTTGAGGGTTATGCTCGCATGAGGTTTGCTGCTGGAATGCTAAGGTGGTGCTTGATCAAGAGGGGTCTCATAGAACAGAGCTTAAGCAGAAGATGCAATCCCCGGAAAGTGGTACCATTAGGGTGTTTCGATCCAAGATTAAGACTACCACACTGTGCCCCATGAAAGAAAGGACAAGTAGCCATTAGACGCAGGTATGACCAGTGGTAGGTAACAGAAAGGTGCTGACGGGCAAAGAAGGAAACAAAGAAAGAGACCACAAAGGAAAACCCAAATTCTCCACCGGTTCTCGAAGAGATTCCCAGCTTCTTCTACGAGACTGATCGTTGCTCCAAATACGTCCAAGATGCTCCGCCACTGTCGATCTACCGAGGGCCATCTTGAGATGATGTGTTTATTGGTGGTGCTTGTTGTATGAAGGTGAAATGACTAACCTTGCCGGGTCATCGAGTATGTCGTATGCTGCTTGTATCTTGGTGATAACGATGGTAGTGATTAGTCGATGGTTAGTGCCGTGAGAAAGGAGAGAGAATCGTAAGAGGTCTTGATGACGGATCCTGTGCTAACCTCAGACGACGTCGTTTGGTTGTGGTGAGACGCTAGATCAAGGCAGCGGCAGCGAAGTACGAGGCTCTCAAGAGTGTTGTAGCTGTTCAGTTCTTGCTCTTGGTAGCCTTCTTGTGCGTGCAGCGGAGCTTCTTGTGCTTAAAGGACTTCTTACGAGGCTTGCGAGGCTCAGAGTAGACAGAGTTTGCCTTCTTGAATGCTAGGCGAGAGCATTTCTTCCATTTGAGGTCACGAAGTAGCTTCTTGACGTTTTCGGTACCGTGGGTCTCCCAAGTGACTCCAGTCTGGTTGGTGTAGTGGAATGATAGCTGACCGAGACGACAGCTCGACAGGTTTGGGCTTCGAGCGAGCAATCCGGCAAACACTGCTCTCCAGTCTTGGAGCAGAACGTTCAAGGTGCTGGGGTTCACAAAGTGCCAGTTTTCAGTCATGTCGCGGTTCTGGACCAGTGTAACGTCCTTGACTGAGAGGGACTCCAGCGAGGAAACGGTGATTAAGTTGTCAAAGGCTCGGAATTCTACATTGCAGTCGAAGAGCTTGACGACCTTCAGCTTGGTCGATCGTGGTAACCATTGTAAGACCACTTTCCAGTCGTCCGCTTCAAGGTGCACGGCATCCAGCGATTGCTTTACAGGATCGTAGATGACCGACGGCGACCTACGGGTACCCTCCTGGCCAATCAAGGCAAACTTGAAACCGCGACCGATGTCCGCGCACGACAGGGTATCAAATCCTTCGGCGATAGCGGAGGCTACTTCGACTTCCTCGGTGAAGTCGCCCTGAACTGGCGAGGGATGTGTCCAGGCACGTCTCTGGAGGCCGCTCCAGTCAATGATGTCGGCAGGTACCTCCAGCTCGAACACCAGACTGCTGACAAGTAGCTTTGCTCTCTTCGCAGTTGCAAGAAGCTGTCCCGCAAAGGCTTGGATGTGGAAGTCTGCTGCAATCGTGTGTGCTCCGGGGGTGTTTTGGCGACTCGAGCGGCGGGCACCAACAGTAGTGAGGTTCTTGGAAACTATGCTGAAGTGTTCCAGAGCTTCGGAGAGTGTCTTGAAGAGACTGAGAGGCGGGACCGTACCATCATGGACGATGATCAAGGTTCTGAGATACGGTGCAGAGGTGGTGTCTTTGCTGAGTTCAAGCAGAGATGCCATTCCTTCCTCGGAGAGGTGGTATGTCCTGACTGAACCGAAGATCAAAGCCATCACCGGTTTGACGAGCGAACGTAGGGCGCGGCAGGTGGAGTTCAGCGTCAAAACGTCCTTCTCCTCGACGCGGTTCGCAATCATCAGCTGCATCTCAGGCGGCATAGTAAGTAAGGTAGCCATGATGGAGTGGTATGTGGTGACTGGAAAGTTGCCGTTAGGGAGAGTTGCGAGACTGTGCGGTTGTATGGTTTGGTGGATAGATGTCGAAAGCGTACGCTGGGATGAATTATAGCGAATACTCGTTCCCCTAGGCAACGAAGTTCCGACGACTGAGATAAGTGAGGGAACAAACAAAGTGTAGTCACGACCAATTCTCCGTCAACCGTCCCAGAAGGTCGAGGGTTTATATTGAGCTAGAATTGGGAGAGTAAATGTGCTCAGTAGTGTAGGGGTTGATTCCAATAGGTAGTTTGGGTCAACCCTGAAATAAGAGTGCATAGCAGGCAAGGGCCTGAGGTCGACTACGCGAGCGGCCCTTTCTTTTTGCACTTTTTGCTGGATCGAAATTCAAGTCTCCTTTCTCCGCACCACGCACATCTCTCAATACAAAAAAATATCAAACCACTTCACCACCAAACTGCCCCTCAAAATATCACCAACTCGATCATCAACACCAGATTTCACCAACCAGCATGTCCCAACACAGTCCCTTCAATAGCAGCTTCTTCCGCTCAGGAGTCCTTATCATCGCTATCCTTGGCCTCTTCCTCCTCTGGGCAGCCGGCAGCCGCGGGCCTCAGGTCTATCTATCTATCGTAATCGCCATGCTTGTCGTGGGCTCCATTCTGAGCGCCTATGGTCAGTGATCTTTATGTTGCACGTCAGGCAGTACTGATCCAGTGTCTAGTCTTGCTGTGGCTTTACCTGGAAGAACGTTCACGCCCCTTTGCCAACGTCAACGTCAACATCCCCATGACTGAGCTGGAACCCTACGACAGCTCCGAAGACGAGAACCTCAACGTGCACTAGGCTACAAAGCAGTACAATCCCATGGCGTCCGATGTGACTGGAGATATTCAGGGAGGAGACCGGCAAGGTACAGACATGGGATCTTCGCAGAGTGCTTGCGACAAGGGTCAGGAGGCATATGCTAACAAACAGCAGGCTGGGTAACAAAAGCATCGATGCGTTGGTCTCTGCTATGTACAAGAAGGAGACCGGCATGGATATGAAGAAGCGGATACGCTGGACCATGAAGCAGCAACAAAAACAAATGAAACAACCACCTGAGGTTCTGGTTTCGATGAACCTTTCTCCTCCCTGATTCTCTCTCATGATGGTTGCCTCCAATCCTTCTTCCAATCGTGACTTCGTTCATGCATGAATCGTTCTTGGTTCATTACAATAGCGGGCGACATGTTGATGCGCGACTGACTCGAGAGGAGTGCAAGTACTCAGTAAAGGCGTCTGTGGCCCATCATGATAGCGATGGTCTCCATGAGCTCGGGGCTAGAGTACACGTCAGTAACTGATACTGTTGATGAGAAACAAAGTAGACTTACTCGAGAGGCTCAGTAGAGTGGGCCTTTGTACCTTCAAGGACGGCGAGAGCGTCATCGCGCTGGACGTTGTTGCACTCAATGCTGCCGTGGTCGAAGAGAAGCGAAACTGAGATTGAAGTCAGCATGGCTGTACATGGATTTGGAGAGAGGGTGGGGAGGATGACTTACCACGCTGATACTCCATAGCACGTTCAGTGTCATAGTCCTCAGGGGAAGGGGTAGTGGGAGCATATTCAACCTCGAGCTTTGACTCAACTCCGTGCTCGTCGTCGAAAGGGGAGGTGTCGACGTCAGAAGAGGCATCACGGATGAGTTGCTTTCCAGGAACGAGAAGAGCGTCCGAGGCATGGTGCGAAGCGTTTGGGACCTCGTCGCCGCTGTTGGTGATGTTGTGGGTAGAGTCAGGGGCGAAAAGAGTGTTTTGGATCTCGTGCTGGTCGCTGAAGGGAGAAGAGATGACCTCGCGTGCCTTAGAGGGTTGAGCGAACTTGGTAGGAGTGGAGAGGTCGACATCATCGAAGGTACCGTTGCTGGTGAACGAGTTGTGGCGCGAGCACATGCTGGCGATTGATTCGTGCTCGAACATAGCGAAGGAAGTGCTGGAGGAGACAAAGACATCCAGCTGAGGAATGGGCTTGGGCGAGATGGGCAGGTAGGAGGTGACGTTCAAGGGCATTGGCTTTGGCATGGCGATGCGCACAAGAGGGAAAGGCTCAGAGTCGTTGTCCTCGTCGCAGAAGCAGTACTTGATGAACTTGAAAATACTCATGTTGTGCTTTGTGTTGATGATGGTAACGCGGGTAGAGAGTGCGGTGATGATCAGTTGTATGACGCTAGAGCAAACGCAGCGCCGAGCCCCAGCCACCCGATCCATGACCTTCTATACCAAACTGTCGTGCAAGACACTGCCAGGCCTATCTGACGACATGACCGATTTGTATAACGTCGTGCATGTACAGAACGTCCCGGAGACTTGCCTACCCACCAGCCACCAGAATGTCACAGCCGCCCATGCTTTTTTGTAACGTTTGGACTAGGCTTTTCGTGAGAGACAGACATGAAGCAGCTTCAATAGCCCCATCTCGAAAGATATTTTTCGAGATTCTTCCCAATCGCCACTTTGACAGCCTGCTTCTGTTCATCCGTACGCTTCGCCAACCAACGGGGCATGTTGAAGAACGGAGGGCAGACATCTATCAAGAACCAGTAAATGTCAGCAAGCTCGGCGATACGTTTAATGTCAGTCGGGCCATGAACATGATGTTTGCGCAGCGTAGCTTGCCAGAGTCGTGCCATGTCCAGATCAATTGGAGGATCCTCGACCTTTCCAAGTGGCGTTGAGTCTGGAAATCCCTGAATTTGGTACTCTCTCAAACGGTCCAGTTCATCCCCTTCGAAGGGGCAAGGTACCAGTCCACCAAAATCCATGAAGGAATAGAAGAACTCATCTGCCTCCGAGGCGACGTGGGAGAAATCGAAGTCGAGCAGTCCTGTTATTTGGTGCGTCTCTGGATCGATCAGGATATTTTCTGCCGCTGTACAGAGGTCAGCTGTGAATCCAATCGCTCGACTGGGTACTGACAGATATCTCCATGTACGAGAGTCGACCTCATGTTTTCAAAAGGGCGCAGCAATGACCTGAGCCCACCCGATGCACCAAAGTGATGTAGTCTCTCCTTTAGACCACCTTCACTCCAACCATCCAAGAGGGGCGTCGTGGCTACCGACTCCAGTTGCTTGTCAAATATGCCCTGATACCAGTCTGCATAGTTTGATGAGGGTCCTACGGACCACAGAGACGAGCGTCCAGCGATGACTCGCCCACTCGCATCGAAACCAAATCCTCCGAAGCCGTTGACCTCCGGGTCAAAGGCTTGAATCTTACCAAACAGCTCAGCGACTTGATCAAAGATCAAAGCCTTCTCATCGAGTGAGAGATCGGGAAAGTGCTGACTCAGCTTCTCTCCTTCCATAAACTCTTCGACAATCCAACCGCTACCGGCTGAGCTCGAGGCCTCCCAGGCAAATACCTTGGGAATGAGATTGTACGGCGAGCCGGCCAATGCTCTATGCATAAGAGTAATGGCGGCGACTTCGTTCTTCACACGCACATCTTCGTCTAGCATCGCACCAGGATTCGAGACCCGTACCACTATCCTGGTCACAGAGGAATCGAGCTTATGGGTACCATGCTGGAGAGGAAGGTCATGGTTTGCTTCTTGATCCAAGCTTGATTCCTTGAGCTGCACCAAATTGACAAAGTTATTCGAGTCACGGCCAAGAGGCGTAATGGTTTTGATCTGAAGCAAATTGTCAGTCGCACGCTGTCACTTCGATAGGTTGTTACTGACCTCACGGTGTAATCTCTGTTGGACAAGTGTCCTTATGACGGCCAGTCGTTCTTCGAGAGCTGCCGTGCTTTCTGTCGCAGATACGTTTGGTTCACTCATGCTGGACTAGACACAGTGTTCAGTTGATCGAAATTTCAGAGCATACGTTTCGTTCAGACTTTGGAGGAAAAGGGAGGTTAGTCTTGATTTATAACGACACTGTCCAATTTGACGCGCAATCATAGGCGGAAGGATTCGAGATATCGCGCCATCGGCTATGCTTATCAGGAAGGTGCTGTTTATCGGTATCAATCTTTACGGCCGTATGATAATATAACTTCCCGGAAGTGCCATGTACTTCTAGGCTTGAGAGAACGTCTTTTGAATGATCAACTCTATTTCGTGAATATCAGAGTAGAAACTCGACTGCGAGACTTGCAGTGTGAAGTCGAGAGCGGCGTCTAGATTTGATTGCCGACCTTTACAACCGAGGTTGAACCTTTTCTGACTCGACGACGTCAACTGTCCCCGGACAAGGACCCACAAGACCTACTCTGCTTTCTCACAACACAGATACGTATAAGCGCTCAAGAATCTACAAAAGTGGCTTCCCGATTCTGAAGACATCCTATAGCGCAAGCGACTCGACAAAGACCAATTGTGAACAAAGGCACCATGGCCGACAAACCCACCGACGCCCGCGAGCGTCTCCGCCAAAACTTTCTCGACCATGATCCAAAACAGCACCCGAATCGCTGGGAGCACCTGTGGCAACAAGACGATTTGCCATGGGACAAAGGTTTCGCTTCTCCGGCTCTAGCTGATCTTTTGGCTGAGAGAAAGGACTTGCTGCCGACTGCGCAATCCGGCCGCCGCTTGCGCGCTTTGGTGCCCGGATGCGGCAAAGGCTATGACGTGCTCTTGCTTGCCAGCTGGGGTTTCGATGCTGTTGGTGTCGAGGCTGCTGCGACTGCTGTCAAGGCTGCCAATGCCGAGTCCGAGGGCTGGCAGGATAAACCTGAGTATGCGATCAAGGACGAGGTCAAGGGCCGCGGAAGTGCCAAATTCGTGTTTGGTGATTTCTTCGAGAAGGACTGGGAGAAGAATGCGATTGGTGAGGATGGTTCGAAGGAAGGTCAATGGGATTTGATCTATGATTATACCGTAGGTCCTCACTGTCACGTGTGAAACGATGGATGCTCACTGACAGCATGCAGTTCTTGTGTGCCTTGCCACCAGCATTGAGACCTAGTTGGGCGGCTCGTCAATCCTCGCTCTTGTCGCCGACTGGTCGCTTGATCTGTCTCGAGTTCCCAACTTACAAGCCTCCATCAACTGGTGGACCTCCATGGGCTCTCCGTCCTGAGACTTACCTTGCGCATCTGAGCCAGCCAGGCAAGGAAGCCGAATATGACGACGAGGGCTTGGCTGTTTGGAATGAAGGCCAGACTCTTGGTGATGGCGCTTTGGAAAGGATTGCGCATTGGAAGCCTGAGAGAACTCATAAAATCGGTGAAGGCACAGACAATGTCAGCGTTTGGAAGAGAAGATGAGTAGATGAGCTCTTCTCTACCGCGTTCGTGCATTCCCACAAGTTGTACAGTCTGGTTGAAGTAGTAGAACATCGGAAACATAATCGTATCGCCACCACCGCTCAGAGAGAGCCTTAGGAGTGTTCTCTTACTTGGACTTGGCCTGACGCAGCCGAATTGTGAGCTGCGGCGGTATCACTGCGCCGTCGATTGTGGAACCGCTTGATGGATCTTTCCCAACAGCCACTGCAAGCAGCTATCCCGCGAGATGATCTCAGTATCTGGTGACATACACGCCGTGAAACACTCGCCATTTATCGTAAATGTCCTTAGTTCCTGAGACGAGCCAGAGGGTCCAGAGCAGGCGTTGAATCGTGGATAGAATGGTAACCTGTCGTCGATTCCCATGTTCTCCTGACATCGCCGATGGGGATGGTGGTCCCAGTGCTCTGCGATAATTGCGTGAGCAGTAGTAATGTAATCTTGCCATCCGGCAGGGTGTGCACGAATTGTGTTGGTGTCAATGAAAGCAATACCCAACTCTGACATGAACGTGGGGTACTTGTAGCCTCGAGGCCGATCCATGTCTCCAGGTAGACAACAACTCTCGCTAAATGCCCATCAGTCTTTGTTCATGAGCAAGGGATAGAAACCTACGTGTCGATGGAGATCAGTCTGACGTTAAGTCCATCTGGGGGCCAGACTGTCTCCGGTGGATTGCCAGTCTGGATACTTGATAGTAAATGCAGCTTCGCTAGGTCTTCCATGAGCAACCCGGTGAGTATCAGGGTGCTGACCGCGTCTTCCACAGCGCAATGTTGTACAGGATGACGATCCGTACGCTGCTCACCGTTTGAATAGCATGTAAGCAGCTCCATCTGAGAGGTCATAGAAAGACCAAACTCTTCGGATGCCTCGACCAGTTTGTACTGACCGTTATAACCTTTGCTCGCCACCTTGCCATATGGCCGCATGTACTTCGTCATTGGTTGAATGTCGAAAGACCTCCAGATAAGGTTATCGAATTCGAATCCAAGCTTCTCCAACTCGGCTTTGTCGCCATGCGCATTCCAGAATGTGATGACGAGAGGAGTGGTTCTGATAGGGTAGTCGGAGGCATAGAAAGCAGCTGAAGATAGAGAACGGGCTAGATCGTGTATGCTGCTGGATGCAGAAATCTCTGCTTTGGGCGTGGGCATCTTTACCTTGGAGGTCGGCGTGGCTGTATTAGAGTGAGTGTCCAGCGCCGTGAACGCTGCGGCATGAGGATTTAAAGATGTAAGGTGCATGACTGGCGCAAGTAGGACACACTGAGTTACTGACACCAATGGTTGCGCTGCCAAAGCCCAAGGATGTCCCGCCAAGCTTGTTGAGACGGAGATTGTAATGTGTGTTGCCTCGAGATTGTCGTGACCCAACACGCACCCATCCACGCACCCTATCGCGTATCCTACCACATATCCCATCAAGCGGCCTATCTACGCATCTAGAAGATACATCCAATCTACAAGCTCGACTCACATCACGTCCACACAAGAACAACAACAACAACCTGCACCCGAGCTCCGCAAACATGTTGAAAACCGCCATGCTGATCTCAATCTCCATCGTGAACTCGGTCTTCCTCATCCTGACCATCTGGGCACGCTTCCAACTCGCTCACACCGACTGGTGGGCCGTCTTCCTCGTGGCCTTCATCATGGGCTTTATCTATCAGCTCGAGTACAGTGAGTTGACCCATCCCATAGCCCCTGAGCTCCACTGACGATCCAAAAAGTGCGCCGTATGATCTTCCGCGCTAATTCACCTGAACACGACCACCTCGAGTACGAATTGAATGTGTTGTCTCGTCCCACAGCCGCTCACCCGCGTGCTGAACGTGGCGCTCGTGGTTCCGTCGCAACAATCCCTCGCATCGACACTTCTCCACCTCATCGCGCAGTCAACACGACTCTCTGAGAGCTGTCATCATGTCAGTGGATCAAAAATAGACCCTATCGTGATCCTGCTGACTGATTTTCATAGCAGCTGAACAACTTCAAGCATGCCATACAGCTTTCTTCTGGGCAAAGCCATGACAAACTGCAGGGAGAGTACGCACTCAAGCATGGGCTTGTAGAAAAAGCAGAACGAAGGCTAGATCAAGGGCTGCAGCAGTATCAGGAGAAAGTATTGAGTCATCAGAGCAAGGCATAATCACAAGCTCTCCACGTACGGTTATTGGAGGAAGCAAACGACACACAGAAAGGAACATCCAGGTTATCAAACACTTCATTCGTTCTAGCCACCTCCAATTGTCTTCCGCTATTCTGGGATCCTTGATGCATTGCTTAAATTGTCATAGCATGATTGCCGAGCCACTGAGTAGCTCAACTCAACGAAGTTGTGAGGGGCTATTCATCGTACTCGCTGTCCTTCTGTTCGACCGAGGTGATCTTGCCGATCTGATCACTGGCGGAGGAGATGGCTGAGCAGGTAGTGCCACATTTGAATGAGTCGCAATATCACCAAGAGCTGGTGTAGAGACCCCGAAGTGGACTGCTGGATGTGAAACCTTCTTCGAATCCCACGGCTTTCCATATTTGTAGCGCGTGATTGGTACCGAGGCTAGAGGGAAGGGCGAGTTGGGATAAATGTAAGTAGGAGATTTGGAAGATCTCTGGGACCTCCTGCTCGATCGCGGGATACCTGAGGAGTTGAGTGCAGCAGGTGGGGTCGGTGGCCAGAAGGTTGCTTCGACTGCTCTGGCAAATGATGCGAACGGTCCGTAGGGAACGTCAGCATGCCATGCCGCGTCATCCTCTTGACTCAAGCCCTCAGGCTTTTTCAAGGTCAAGGTATATATGTCGCCGTTCTGCTGGAAGAAGTAGTCGCCGACTGGCCCGTAAGGATTCAAATTGAAATCAAAGTCTGAGAAGACCCAGTCCCAACAAGCCATTCCCCACATTAGATGACCAAATTCATCGTCGTACTTATCTCCGGCCTCATCTTCGTCTTCGTACTCTTCATACCCCTCGGTGTAGTCAACCGGGAAGCCCAAAGGAGAAAAGGGATCATACAAGGGACGACCTATTCTCAACTTCAGAATAGCATCAGAGATCTCGACGACCAGACAAGGATCCACGATACGTTTCAATGGTATGCGGAAGTGCTTGGAGACAGCCTCATCGACGTCTTGGGTCTTTAGAGGTTCAGTACTGATCCAAGTCTCGTGATCGGTGATGATGGCGAGCGGCATCTCTCTGACATGGACGACTCCATATTTGGTCAAGTGGAACGCGGGCTGTGTGCGCAAATCAAGCCCAGGATGGCCACGAGTCTTGAGCTGGCTTTCCCAAGCAAGTTGTATCGTGGGTGGAGGAGTAAGGTGGAACGTCTCGTGCACACATCCAGTTCCTGAGATGATCCAGTACCTCCAAGTTCCCAATGCTTGATCCCGGAACCAGACGTGATCAGAAACGTCCCTCTTTGAGATATAACGGAATCCAAAGGTACCGAAGGGGGCTCTGTCAACGCCTTTCTTGTATGCGCGGTCGTGAGCCTTTTTCCTTTGCTGGTATGGGAGCCGATCTATTTTCTCCCAATACGCTCGTGCCTCAGCTGGTGAGTGACCTGGTAAACGATTGGACTGGTCTATGAAGTCCTGCCATAGATCCATGCGATAGATTCGTTCGATAGTGGCGACTGTCATTGGCAGTTCTTGCTCTGATCTCGAGAACTTGACAAACCGTGAGCCGTCCTTCTGTCTTCTTCCACGCTTGAGCTATTTTGTCGCAGCTGACTGAGCAGCAATGCGCGCTGAGCGACGAAGAGCTGGGTCATCGGCCACGTTGTCTGATCCCGGTGGTTTTGACGCATCTGTCTTTCGTTCCTTTCTACGGGCTTGCGAGACATTGGGCTTTCTTGCCTCGGACTTCCTATCTTGGACTTAGCAGTCTTCGTGGCTTCGCGAAACATTTTCTCCTTCACGGTCATGTTGAGTAGCAGGTCGGAGCTTCGATTGTTGCAGGTCCGAGGAACATGTGATATTGAGAGAACTATCGTCAGAGTGTTTGAGCGAGGATATGGCCTGTTGCGGGCTCCAAACTTCGCCGGATGCGGCGATCCAGTGGTCGGCTCCATTTTTGACAAAGAAGACATCCACGAGCTTCATCCTACTACTTTTTCAAACTTCTTGACAAAGACGAAAATCCGACGAATCCTGGGTTTGGCAGTATGCGAATTTGCTCGAGCGACATCGTGTCGAAAGAGTCAAAGATGAGGAGCACAGTCTATAATAGATCCTATCGTGCTAGCATTGATGATTAGATATATTTCGTGATGTCAGGCCGTCTCGACGCAAACTTCAATGTATCCACCGAGTCACAGCACTGCGGTTCCTTTCGACTTAGCTTCATACTGACGTAGTGCGTCACCAACAATCGAGGTAGAGAGCTCCGTAAGCGTCGCTGCGGAGGTTGCGATCCTTGGTTCATTCTGACCTCCACGCTGTCCCGCAAGGTGTATATCTTCCGGGTTGCTTAGCATGAGGATTTACAGGGTGGGCCGAAAGGAAAACAGTCATTAAAATCTCAGATCGAGTTGATGCAGCGAGCAGTGGGAGGCGCCATGGCGACGCTCTTTTCTTTTGCTATCGTATCTGATGCAATCCCGGCTCGGCCGTCCTGGATGAAGGCAAAGATACTTCTGGGATATCGATCCGAGCAAGGTAGGACGTAGTCGTCACCTCGTCGTGTCGGGTCGAGCACAAAGCCTTGGCGGCCACACAGGGTCCCAAATCCACTACAACATACAATGCGAACTCGTTCGTTCTGACCTTTTCACTACTTGCATCCCGACGTAGAGCATCGTTGTTCTCGCACGCCATCCTCTCAACATGGCTCTGCCACCTTCCGCAATCATGACGTCAAACACGACTGTGAGTAGTCTACGCTTTGGTCCATCGAGATGGCTACTGACGGTCAACTATGCCTGCTCGCTCAAGCCCTGTTCGAGACTTCCAACCGAAGTCCTCACCATGATTGCCAGTGAGGCTGACCATGAAGATCTGCCTGAGCAATGTCTCGTCTGCAAGGCCTGGTCAAGGACCACGTCAAGAAGGTTCGCAACAATGTTCCAGCAGACAGCATTCCCTTTCACAAAGCGCGGGATGGTCGAGATGCTTGCCACGTGCCAGCATCCTCAGTTTGGACCCGAGATTCAGACCCTCGTCATCATCATCGACGATAAGCGCAAACACGCGGCAGTGATCCACGATACCTACAGAGGGGCACTGCTAGCTCTGGCCGTTCGCGGACAGCGTGTCCGTCTTGGAATCCGCTGGTGGTCCAGATCTGGTGGCGACTATGGTGCATTTGACCAGGCAGCTGGTCGTTTGCCTGCTTTGCTAAGAAAGAGAGTCCTACCAGCAGCAAGCGTCGTGGGACTTGATGTCAAAGATCTGCTTCTCGAACTGCCGGACGCTCACTCAACTCAGCACCCACCCCTGCATGTACACAACGGCTGGCAAAAGCTCGTTGACTTGTTCTCTCAACTTCAAGGAACTCACAACTTCTTCGGTGGGCGCTTCAATCCAGACATCTACCTCCGTCTCCACGATCCCCTGAAGACATCCTCCGCTGGCTCTCCGCGCATGGTAGGGCGCTCACGGTAGCTCTGATGGAGTTTGTCGTAGATGTTCGGGTTAGCCTTGCGACAGTCATCACAAGGTCGAATCAAGTTAACTGTAAGTTGGGCTCTCTCGATCTCGCATTTGGGAGTGCAGATGCGAGGCGGCATGATCTCGCGACTGATCTTACCACATGAGCACTCGTAGACTATAATCGTTTGTCCGCACATTATAGTTGGTCGCAGTTCGTTCTTAGTCGTGCCTGCACGAGTTGGATGATGACTGCGTTCGTGATCGATTCAAGTGATTCCATGTTGGCGAATGTCAATGATATATAAAATCGTGGCATTTTGAAACAATCGCGTTGTTGTCTTTGTGTTCGTGAGACAAAGACTCGAGTTCGTCTGAGCCTTTGTTCGGCTTGCTTTGTTGGTCGAGACGTTCTGCATCTATTTTGACTTTGTCGCAAAGATGAAATTTCGGCTCAGCACTCATGAGCTGATGACTTTCTTTGGACATGAGTCTAATCCAGAGTTTGTTATGTCTTTGGATGATTCTGCCGAGTAGAGTTCTGCTACAAGCGTGAGTTTGGGCAGTAGAGATCTCACTCCGGGAGCAAATACTCGAAGACAGCGGCGATGGAACCCAGGAAGAGCACGAGAATACAGTAGTTGTCGCCAGTTTGCTTTTGCGGCTGCTTCCTCATAATTTTCGGCAAGAGGCTTGAAAACCACATTCAAAGTCGTCTATCACAGCAATCAGAAATGCATGGTCAGATAGACGCTATAGAACCGCACGAACTCCCGGAGTCAGAAGGATTCCCATTGAGATGCAAGCTCCAATGAGTTTCTTTAGACGAGTCGCTGCCCGGATACAATCTGTGCGTCCCAACAGTCCTGCAAATGTGAGACGAACCATGAACAAGATAGGTCACTACTTGCAACTGTGTATAGGCGGAGGAGATGACTGGTCGGTCGTGCGTTAGAAAAGAAGCCAAGCAACACAGGTCCACGAGCGCTTGTGATTATCCACGCTATGCTCATAATCGTCATGTATCCAGTGGACACCAGAGTCTCACCCATCCGCGAAGACAGCGATATGGAACCCGTTTATCCAGATGATGCAGCTACTAATTCCGAAAACGAGGCCAGCCATGAAGCGCGCCATGAAGTATGTTCAGATGCAATTGGATTGTGCCCTACTGCGTTCTGACAGATCGATAGCCCACCATCAAGGTCGCAGGCTGGACGTGCCTGAGCGTGCGTTTCGCGGTCTCCACAACTCCCAAACACGACCCTCCTGAGACCAAAGAAGGCAATGGCTATGATGGGGACAGAAATGCCAAAGACGAAGAAGACAACTCTGCAATCTCTCAGACCATTATTTGCACTGGCATCTGCGAATGGGAAGGTTGCGACCAAATCCTCAGAGGCCCGGACACTTCTTTCAATCTCTACGTCAGAAAATCTCTTTCTCGATACACTTTACCACACATCTGACTATACCATAGCACCATATCGTCAAGGAACACGTCGGCAAGCCCGGAGACACAAACAATTACGACCCGAATTGCCATTGGGCAGCCTGCGACTACGAAGGCAAGATCCGACGTTACCTTCTCTCCCACATCATCACCCACGTCCCGGAATACAAGCCCCTGACTTGCAGCGAATGCGGATGGAAATTCCAGCGTGTGTCCAACTTGCGTACTGACCAGAAGAGTTGCAAGAACAAGCAGAAGTGAGACTGAGACATGGGTAGGGATGCATGTTTGATCTTGGGAGGGTGACAAGTCCAGGAAAGTTTGACAACACTTTGGTTCTCGATTGACACCAACGCGAGCGACTGGATCTTGGGCATGGAGTGCTTGGTAAAAGCGAGTTCCAGTGAAGCGATCGAACAACTGCGCGGCCTTTGTGCCTTTGTTGCGTCTTGTCAAGCAAAAGAAGTTCATTGTGTTTTTGCGCTTCCCTTTGAAGATCCTTTGTGTCAAAACTGTTTCAGGACATTGTACTGTCTCAGCCGCGGGAACCTGAGAATATTTAATTGCCTCTCGAGTCTGAGTTGATCTCAGCTCACTCACCAACAATCTTCACCGTTGAAGCACCCAAACACAACCAACAAAAGTACAACTTACCGATCAAAATGTGCGTCGGCTCAATTGTCACCATTCGCTGCGAGGCCTGTGGTTCTTCTACGGATAAGTCCTCGTACCTTGGCTGCGCTACTGGCGAGCATGATCGTTCAGGCTGGGAAACTCGTACTGACTCAATCATCAGTCGATCCACCCACCTCATGCCCTCTTGCTCTTCCTGCCCCAGCTCTGACTCCTCGGACTCGAGCGACTTCTCGCTCAAGAGCGCTAGTTCTTCCTCAAGCCTTGCCTCGCTGGACGAGTACGAAGATGAGGTCAGTCAAAACACAATTCCCTATTACTCACTCGGACAGGCATCCCTACTCACTGAGGTTTGGAGCGAAAATGCCTTCAGCTCCCTCAACAGCTTTTATGACTCGATGGGCTCCTTGATTGACCGCATTATCGCCCTTCCCTCTCTGTCCGCCACCAAAAGCCTCAAACTCAACATCTTCCTCATCTACAGCGAATGCGATGCCTATCTCCAATGGACTGAGACTGAACATGCTCGCGCTATCTCCACTGAAACTTCTCTTGCTGACGTTCTGAACAACACTGGTGTTGATGGGTTCAATGCAATCAACGTTGAGGACATGACCGCTGACATGGTTGATCTTTTCGAGTGTTTGACGAGCTTCCACCCTTTCTATGATGTTGCGTACAATGCTGGTAGGTTCGCAGGTTATTTGAGTGTTTTGGAGGAGAGACTGAGAAGCCTTGAAACTGAGAATTAATTCAATAAGATTCCTCTCCTTGATATTCTGTCAACAAGCTCTTCCGCAAATAGGCCTTACGCAGGTGTTCTTGCTTGCTTGCATATGATAAACAAAATGCGTTTCTCCAATGACAACTCCCTTGAATTATGAACATGTGCCGTGCCTTGACTGTATACCTTTCTTAGTCACAATCCCAGCTTCTATAGCGTTCAGATCCATAAGCAGATGCTGTGTATAACCACCGTGACCATATTACGGTCAGCTCTATATGCGAAAGAGCCATCGCTATCCGCGATAGACATCATCAGTCTATGAAGACGAAGGCCCACCAGTCTTCGTCGACTCCGCTTTGTATGATCCAGCGATCCATAACCTGTTACACTCAGGGGTGATTAGTGTCGTGACAAAGAACGAATCGGTGGACTTTGCTGACATCTTTGCTCATCGGAGCGGTGCAAATGACAGGGTAGAGTAGTGTCATTCTCAGATATGTTAGTACGTGGATTGGAAAGTCAACAGCAGTGTAGTGATCTCGATGATTGACGGGAACGTGGAAGTGAAGCTGTCGCGCGTCATTCTCCGCGGAATCCTTCGCCCGTTCGGAAACAGTGGGGGCGCACGTGTTTTGGTCATCCAAGATGGATATTACTGCCTGTCTGATCTTCTCTTATAAGAATCTATCGCTTAGTGGACCGGTACGAGAAGACAGGGAAGGAGCTCGCCGAGGAAATCAAGAAGCATGAAGTTCTCGAGGCAAACGTGGAGTTGATATCCAAGTATCTCACGGCACAGAAAGAGTAAACTGAAAGCACGTGGTCCAACGAGATGGTAAGATATGGGTAGTCCAACTACTGTTTCATTCAATTACTGTGATCATTACAGCATTGTCATGACATCAAGCCACAATCATACTAAGAACTCTATCAACGAAAGATTTCCTCTTCTCCTTCGTCTCAGGAACCTCAAGTCCAACACCATAAATCACAGCTTCCCTTCTGCACACCTCCTCAGCAGCTTCCAAAGCACCCCAAACCTCACCAACCGCAACCCCGAACCCTTTAGTAACAGCATCAGCACACCCCTCATCACTACACAAATCACAATAGTTCATCCTCATCTCAAAAAGCGCAGATCGGATATCATCAGGCTCAACATCATCATTTTCTCCTCCGGCGCATAGGCGCAACCAAGTAGAAAGTTCAATGATATATTCGAGTTGTTGCAGGGATTCAGTGAGTGTGGTTTCGATGCTGGCTTCGAGGAGACCGAGTTTGAGGATCAGAGCGACGTTTTTGGTGGCGATGCAGCGGGTGCGTATGGAGGGGATTGAGCGGCGGATGGAGTTGAGGTGGTGCTCGATGTCCTCGTACCATGTGCAGATGAGGTGGAGGTGTTCTTCAGGGTCGTCTGTGTAGGATTCCTCTGATGACACGGAAGCCAAATAACTACAATTACAAACATCTTCGTGATTTGAGTTCTTGAGAAGAGCGGAGTCGTCGCCATTCGTAGAGTCAGTCAGAGAAATCTGAGAAGTCGGCGAAGCGAGATTGTCGAACCAGTTGAAGAGATGGGAGCATGAGTTGCAAGGCTCATTGAGCGAGAACTCTCCGAGTATGACACAGGGGAGAATCCACCAGGTCTCTGGTGGAGAAGAGCCAAAGGGGCAGACGCCCTGTTGTTCGAAAATCTGCTCTGTGGTGTTACAGCGGGGGCAGGTTATGAAGACTGAGTCGCCGTAGCACATGATTGATGAGGATCTATGTGGACTGGGTTAGTAGAAAGGAAAGGGATATACGTACCTGTACTGAGCTAGCAGACAGTGAGGTGCAGAGCAGCGACTCTTGAGGGGTACTGTACTCGATATATGCCTGTGGAGGACAAAGCACTATGACACAAAGAGATTGTCACGGTTTGAAGAACACTTGTGCTGGACAAACGGACTTTGTCAGTGGACAACAAAGGTCAAAGAACACTAATCAAACAATCGTCTTTGTTGGTAGAAGCCGAATCTGATGATGGGAGTCGTTGGGTCTGTCAACTCGAGCTGAGTGACCAAGCCTTGGCAGGCTGCGAGAGAATGGTTTCTGCAATGTAGACTGAAGTGATTCAAGTGCGACCAGACCATAATTCTCTTGCAGCATCAGCCAGCGAATCATCTCATTCTGGTGATGCTGGGACGGTGTGTGGATTTTGTATGATACAAACCCACCAGTGATACGATGCTAGGCTGTGTGGGATGGATGTTCTCCTTCGAGATTACAAGGTCTTTTCTCGACTGTGCTCATGCTATACTACAAGCCACTACCGACATATGGCCACTATAAAGGGTGAACATAGTGCATCTAGACCTCAAGTTACCATGACCTTCCCAATCGGAATGTATACGGCCGTAAGCCATAGCGGTGGATGGGGAAGCAGGAGAGATGCACTCAAGAGCGGACAGAGATGAATTGTGGGAACAAGGCTGAACGATAGAGTAATGTTTATGTTTCTGTTGTCATAGAGGAGAGTGGATATGATGGACGTAAGCGAGTCGATGAGCAAAGCGAAGAGGTATCTCGGCAAAGACATTGTTGTAACAGAACGCAGGGTAGTCATGGAAAGAATGATTCGGCCGTACAGAAATAATCAAAAACAATGCAAAGAACGAAAAGCAGAGGTCCAAAAGGGCAAGACGCTTCTAAACAAAGGAGATCAGTGATGGCTGCACCCCATCACGTCGTGTTTGACAATTACTGCCTCCGCTGCTGCAAAGGCGGCGGATGCTGTTGATCGTGCCGGAGATCGTCTTTGTCTGGAGCTTTCGGTGTCCGATCGTATGCGTAGTCGGCAGCATACCTTCGATCTCTGGGTTCAGCGGTATGAGTCACGGCATCGTAGCCATCGTCAAACTCTGCATCCTCGTCGTCCTGTCTGTCGTCGGGACCACAGTTCTCATCAGGGTAGCTCTGAGCAGGAGCAGGCTTTCCCTTTGCATTGTTCTTTTTCCCTTTCCTGTTCTTCTGCTTTGCTTTTTCCAGCAAACGTCTTCTTTCTTCAGCCTTCTGTCGCTCCTTGCGGTCCTTGATTTCGTACTGGCGGATCAAAGCTTCAGGACGAGAGCCCCAGATGTCTTCATACTCGCAAAATTCGCAGATCCACATGGAGGCCGGGGTTGGGCGAGAGTGGTAGTTTGTGTATTCTTGCTGAAGACGTCGTTGGCGTTCTTGTAAGGCAAACTCCTTGCTGGGACGGCGCGGGCGGGGTTTGCGAGGCTGCTGGTGTTGTTGAACAGGCTGAACAGGCGGGGCAGAAGAATTTGTGTGAGCAGGAGGGTGAATTTGCTGGGAGCGACTGGCCGAGTGATTGGCCAAGGGCGAGCGCGGCATCGAATTGGGGGTGGGAGTGGGCTGTTGAGGCCAGAGCATTTTGTTGGACGAGTCGGACTCGCAGGTAAAGGTGAATTGCGTCTGAGGCGTCGTTGTCTGCGAGGGCGAGCGGGCAAGGAGACTCTCGTTGTTCTGCTTGGTCGGTGTCGTCGGGGTGTCCTGATCTTGGTCTTGGTCTCTGTGGGCGCTGGCGATTGCTTGGGAGATGATGCCGTCGGCTTGTTCTGTGCAGGTCGTGTAAGTCTCGTATGCAACGTCACAATCAGTGCATTGCCTCTTACTGGTGCGGGTGCCGTCGCCCTTCCAATTGCCTCCGCGCGACTTTGCCGAAAGACTTGAAGCGTAGGCATTGTGTTGGCTGTTGAATCTGCCACGTCCACTGCCCGACAATTGCCTCGAATCCTGATGATGCTCTTCCCTCGATGCGATTCCCATGTTGGCCAGCTCTTGCGACAGACTCGACTGGTGTACTCTTCCACCGCCAGACAAGGGGATCTTGCGCTTTTTCTTGTTGCTTGTGTTTTCGAAAGATTCGTAACCGTCAGCTGAGGAGGCGGTGGATGCGGGGGCTGGCGGAGCCTTTGCTGCCATAAGCTTTCTCTGGACGCTGTCCACTCTGGGACCGTCGTTGATGGGCGATGACCAACGGTAGCTCGGGTGGTCGTAGGCAATCAGCTCTTCGTCATCGTCGCTCTCGTCGACATGATCGTCTCCGTTGCAAGTGCAGTGGCTGTGCGAGTCGTGGTGGTTGAGTGCGCGAGGATCCATCTTTTCGACGACTCCGTAAGGAAAGCTGAAGAGGGGGGAGGTTGAAGGAGGCTCTGGTGGATAAATAATCTGGCTCTGCTGTTCAGGCGACAGTTGCTCTCGTAGGCGATTCTTGGGGAGGGGTCTGATGGGCCGGTCAGGGTAGACTGGTGATAAGGTATCGGGCGATCGGGTTAGTGAAGACCTTCGCGGCCACACATAGTCTGAACAAGGACAAGCGGTCAGTTGGCTTGCTTCTTATTGCTACCGGACTTGTGTGTGGTGGGATGAGGCTGCTGCGGGGTGTTATGGCTGCTGCGTTCCGAGCACACGACTGTACTCGGAGTGCCGCCACTCCACCGCCAGCAAGACTGCCTATACGAAGACCCCCGGACAAGAGCAGCGGGGAGGCATGAACAAAGAAAGAGACATACCTGCGGCCGCCATGGTCATGACATGCGGTGGTGGCGGACAAAAGGTCAAATGTCCTCAGCCTGTGCCAAATGCCAGTGCCCAATCTGCCAAGGCCCCGTCTTTTTGGGAGATGCCGGTGTAAGCCCGTGAGATATCTCGCCGGTTGTTACCTCTCGGACTCGTGAATTCTCTGTGTCTGTCGGGGGTTGGAAGACTCGTACTTCTGGTTGCAACAGATGACACCAGTCTTGTAGTCTGATCAGCTCTCTGTGCGACATGAGTTGGCAACCTCTGAAAAGACGTTGATTGCATCTTTAGTCAGCTTTCGTCCGTGCAGCCTCTCTCCGCCAGACCTCCGAGACCGACCGCCTTTCCGCTTGTCTCCTTTTCCTGCCATGTTCTTGATATCCAGTGGCAAGACAAACAGCAATCGGAGACAGTCCAGATATTTATTGTCCCAGATATTTGAGTTGAGTGGATCAGATGAGGACCTCAGCAGTAATGGCGGTGAGGATAGAGATAGTCCAAGACATGAGGCTCCAAGATGTTTGGTGACCCTGTCAAAGTGTGGAGTTCTGCCTGCAGGTCCGTGCGGAAGACAATCGACTTCAGCTGTTGAACGAAGACTTGTTCTCTTCCTCTTAGCAAGACAATGGCAGAAACTCATCAGCAAATTGATTTCGGTAACCTCTCGTGCTGCACGACTGTTTGAAGACAAGTTGGTATCATGTATGTGACCAAACTAGTCCAGGTAGCCATGATGTAGGTGCGTGGTTGCGACAAACAAGTTTTGTTGGCTCGGGTGAACGAGATTCAGAGACATGCAGGTTGGCGAAGACAGCCTATGAATGACACAGTAGGTTGTGAATGTCGTCCAGCGAGAGGTGGGATGAGTTGATGTTCGCTTGTGGTGAGGATTCTTAGACAGGTATCGAGCCTTGAACCGCGAAGCCGCAAATTTGGACCGGGACCCAGGCAGCCGCAGCAGCATCGCGCCTTCCCATGCACACAACTCGCGGCTTGCAGCTTCCCTCCATCTCAACTTTCCGTGGTCTCACCCAACTCTCCAACTCACATCTCTCGGCGCCGAGACACCCCAGCGCTTCTGTCCTTTGCACCTTCACTCATGCTCAAAACGCTCACCACCTTCTTTGCGCCTTCACAACAGCTGCTTATCAGACTCTTCTTTTCTCGTACTCGCTCTTCATTACACAGTCTTCTCCACCCACGTCTTACATCCCACTTCCACAACTCCTCTTTGCGCACCTAGCATCATGCAACGCTACTCTGTCGTTGTCAGCGACACAGGCTGGCCCGAGCCTCTCAAGCTCCTCGTGCCCTTCCAGTCTTCTTCCAAATCGGCTGCTCTTGTCATCGAAATTGTCAAACGCGTATTGCGTTTTGGCAAGACTCTCGATGCCGCCAAATGCACCTTGCGCCTGGCCATTGTCGATGGTCCCATCCTCGATCCTGAAGACATCCTGTCCGATGTCGTCGTTGACGAGCAGCTTTTCGCGGTCTTCGATACTGCCAATGCTGGAGCTCCGGCTCAGGTAAGTCAACAGGCCATCACACGCACTATTTCCACATGACTGACTTCTCTCAGTCTAACGACGTCGACGTGATCGGGGTCCAGAACGAGACAGCCCGCTCTCCGCAGCCTCTACCCTTCCGCAAAGCCATCTCGATCCGCATCATCACTCCCGCCATCGCCAAGCTGATGACCAAAGACACAAACGCCTTGCCTGCACCAGCCTTCAGCCTTCCTGCCACTGCTAAGATGCAGCAGTTACACGATGATGCCGTGCGCCACCTGAGCAACAACCCCCCCGACTGGCTGGACGCTGCCTCTCTCCTTGATCTTCACATTCATGAGCTCCCCATCGCCACGTCTTGTCTGGACATGACTCTCGGAGAAACCGACCTCGTTTCGTGTCTCAAGGACGACGTGCTCACTGTCTATGCTGTCCCACGTCCTGTTTCTCTCATCCGCTCCGCTGAGCCAACCGGCAGAGTTGGCATGAACGACTTCTTCACCGCTGGCCCTCATTGGCAGACCGAAGTCCCTCAATCCGATCGTGGTGTGGCCATGTTCTTGTCTTCCCTCAGAGTCTTTGCTCACCTGTTGAAGAGTAGCTCGATCTCGGGCGAGCACAGAGACAGAGTCATCTACGTTTTTGACCTGCTCTGCTCATTCCCACCCGCCGTGCGCGCTTTGCACTTGTTGGTTCAAGGCCGCACCATCACCCGCTTGGCATGCGCCGCCTTGAGTCAGGCCTTCTACTGCATTCTCGAAGACTTGGGCCACAAAAAGCTGATCAAGAACGACAACGCCAGGCTCTTTGAAGGCGCCCGTCTTGTCCTTGGCCTGATCATGGAAAAGGCTAACCAACTCAAATCCACAAACTTTGTTGTGCCCGTCTACTCGTTGCATATCCACAAGGTGCAATTCCAGACTTCTGCACCAGCCGCGTTTCCTCATCTCATGCCTGTCGATGGCCCATCTTCTCGTCCTGCTACCTCGACCTATGTGCAGCCAGACGCCGGTTCAGGAGAGATGAACCTGGTCCTGCTCTCAGAGTCCAACCAGAATGCCGTCATCTTCAATCCTCCCGACGACCTATTCGCTCGCGTCCAGTCTTTGCATGAAGTTGTCAGTCCTGTCGATCTCCGCAACCTGCACCAGCTCGCCAATCTATGTGGCAAGGTCTCTCTATCGGTTGTCAGACCCTCTCTGTTGTCTTCGGTTGCACCCGAGCACTTGACCTTCGACGCTGAGGGACACGTTGCCGTCTACACTGGCAAGGCTGGTTGTGCTGCTCCCGGAGAAGACACAGTCCTCTTTCGTCCCATGCATGGTGAAGAAACCCCGAATGTAGGTCATGTTGAGCAGCAACTTGCTCCCATCCTCCAGATATACGAGCAGGATGGCACCTGCGTCTTCGATGTACTTGGTTCATCCCAGACTCGCGCGCTTGCCGAGCCCGATGAGATAGTCATGTTTGCTGTCGACTGCAGTGCCAGCATGACCACCTCATCCGATCTGGTAGGCATCGATCACAATGAGGATACCGTACAAGAGCCAGACGTGTACGAAATCTCGCCCGATGTCTACACCAAAGTCAAGCTAGATGAGACAAAGCGATGGCTTTCAGAGCACGAGGCCTACGCAGACGTTATCGGTGTCGTTGTCGATTCTGCACTCGGCGCGAAGTCTGTTGTTGCAGCCAAGATGCTGCGGCTGATATTCGATTTGCTGATTGATCAGCTGGGAAATCTTCACAAGGAATCGTCTCTCAGCCACTGGCAACGCAGGATGCATGACAAGAAGATCAAAGAACTCGAAACCTTCGCTGCTGGTCTCAAACGCTTCGACCAAGAACTCGTCGACATAGTCATTCTTGGTGCCATGGCGGTGTCTCCTCAGAAGTGGACATGGCGTCTTGGCCAACAATTGCCCGGACGATCGCAGATTCCAGCTCTTCCAAATGAAGTCACTCTCGTTCCAGCTGCCCTGAGGTGCCCAATTAGACTAGATCTCATCGAGGATCCTGTCATGGCAGCTGATGGTCAGATCTATGGCCGTCAAGCCATCACTAAATGGATGTCGTACAAACGCTCGTCACCATTGACCGGCTTGATGCTCTCAGACACCGAATTGACTCCAGACGGTCCATTGGCTGAGCGAGCAGACAAATGGTTACAAGCTGAGGACCTCGTGGAGCCCGTGGAACGTCCAGTCAGCAAGCGTCGCCGTACTTCACCTCGACACAATACAATGACATTTTCGAACTCGTCTCACCACTTCACTCGTACACTCCCACCTACTACCACTCTGCTTGACTTGTTCAAGGTCGCATTCCGTGGCATGAAAGGTCGGCACAACGCGTTCCAGCTCCTGTGCCAAGGCGTACTTCTACAACCTACTGCCAATACCATTGCAAGCTCTGGGATTTCGGGAGGGAGTTTCATCGCTATCGTTGTAGCCGATGATGCCAACACCGTTCCCAATGAGACAGTGCCTCTGTGCTTGATCAAAGTCTACTCGAACTACTCGCACATGGCCTTTGCTTACTGGGTGCCCAGAGACACCGACAACACCTTCATGTCTGTCGTGACCAAGTACTGGCGCTTCCAATGGACAAGTCAGCCCTGGCTCAGCTACACCAAACAAGAAGTCTGGGCCGGCCTTGCGAGTAATGGTGACAACCATTATCTCGGCACCCTTCCGACTAGTGCCGAGCTTCTGCGAGACTATCTTACGGCCTACCACGCTTTTGGATCCCTGCATGCTGAGCCTGTCTACAGAAACCAATCGACAGGCTTATCTGACAGCCATGGTTCGGACAGTGAGGAAGATGACGAGGAAGATAGCAAGCCTCTGGTTTTGAAGTTGCACATCTCTCAGGTGTCCACACGCAAGAAGAGTGAACGCCGTCTGTCTCGTCTTGAGGTGTTGAAACAATGCTTTGAAGCCATCGTCAACAGAATGATTGCTTACTCGTACAAAACTCACATTGGTCTGGTCACCTTCGACTCGTCCGCAAGAGTGGCACAGTCGATAACCCATGTGATTGAAAACTTCCGAAGAAGTGTTGCAAACATGCGTGCAACTGGCGATACTGCTCTCTGGGATGCGCTCAAGCTTGCGCAGACTCAGATCATGAAACACGCCGAGAAATACCCTCAAGCACAACGCCGTATTATCTGTCTCTCCGACGGCGACGACAACAAGTCAGTCGCTGGCGTTGCAGATCTCTGCTTCAAGCTTCGCGAGGACAAGATCGCGGTCGATTCTATCTGTATTGGAAATGATGACAACATGGATCTGAAGGCTCTCTCGATCATGCTCAGATCCTACTGCTTCTACCCTAGAATTCTGACCAGTGCGCTAGCCATTTGCGAGATGGAGCCCTTCCTGTCACAGACCGAACGCCCAGCACCAGAGGTAGCCACTGCTGATCTGCCACGTACGTCAGCTTTGAATAACTTCTACATCACGCGCAACCGTGCCGAATTCACTGTCGTCACCCAGGACGTGTTCCCCAAGCGCAAGGAACACCCAAGATTGGAAGACACCTTCATCCAACTCAGCAACAGCGTCCGTTCGAACGCTGGTACTCAGTCCCGCTTGCCTACGCTCAGAGCATCTCGTCTTCTTGTGGAGATGCGCGAGATCGCAGCTGATCCTCACCCGATGTATGACTGCTATGTCTCCGAAAGTGACATGTTTTTCTGGAAAGTCGTCATGCAAGGCGTAAGTTCAAATTCAAGGAATTATACTTTGACAAGCTGCTGACATGTGTGATCGTGATAGCCTCCTGAGACTCCCTATGAAAACTGCAACTTCATGCTCTACCTCGAGATGCCCGACAACTTTCCCGCCTTCCCTCCAAAGGGCCGCTTCGTGACTAATGTCTTCCACCCCAACATCGATCGCCACGGTCGTATCTGCCACAGTATCTTCGACCGCGACTGGACCACTGACACCACTCTGAAGAGTGTTCTCGATACTGTCTACGGCCTCTTGCTCCAGGCTGAAGCCGGCGATGCTGTGTGAGTTTTCGGAGTAGTTTTTGATCATTGACAGCCGCTTACTCTCACGACAGGCACACCACCGTCACCCTCGGATTCCATCACGACGAAGTGGCCTTTGCGGAGGAAGCTCGCCGTCACGCCAGAAAGCACGGCAGCAAGTCTCGTGAGGATTGGAAATACGAGTTGCTCGAAATCGACGATGAGGATGATGAAGACCACGAAGGCGAGGACGAGGAAGATTTGTGAGAAAAAGGCTGAAGTCTTAGAGCACGCGGAGCTTTGATAGACCGAGATGGTTCTAATCTCGCGTTGAACGATGATCATGGCTCGAACAGGAAAAGATGGAGTTTCGCACGCAGCTCGGTGACGAAGGGAGACTTTTTCTTATGGCTTCCGCACTGGCGGATATTGCTTTTTTGTACACTACGAACATGAGCTTCGCTTCCCATTAACGAATGCTTCTTCCACATTTTCCTTGACAGAAATTATCGGTGCGTGTATCTTTTACTTTATACAACGCGCATGGATTCCTCTCATTCCCGCAAGCAACAACATTAGAGACGAACATGATAGGTCTGTGAATTGCGTCGAGGAACAGAAGCAAGAATAAATCACTTGTTTTTTTAGTGGTTGTGAGGAGCACCCTGTTGACGATCTACGAGATCATTCTGATCACGATTTGAGATTTGTTGTCGTTCTCTGTATCGGTTCCTCGTGTTGATATCGAGAACGGCTATCTTATCGTTACTCGAGTCACACCAGCGTGGCGGAGAGCCTTTGGCATCAGAGTGGAGTGTTGGGGTCATGTTTTGTTAGTTATCACAATTTGAGCTTTTCGGATGTGGACGCTGCAAATGATTCCCACAACGTCTTCGCGGCCCCAAGTCGTGAGTGGGACTACCCTACATTTGGAACCCGCACACATGATGAAGGTACAGCAGCAGAGCTCTACGTAGAGGGGTCTTCGATATTTAGTTCATCTCTTTTCTTGGTCACAAAAGGTATCTTTACACACGATCATTCACATGAACAAGGATTTTGCGCCAAGGGGAAAGCAAGGGTATGTTTTTCAATTCATTTCCTGTCTGGTGCTTCCCACGTTTGTGTAATCATGTGGTTCGCGATGGTTTCAGGTATGTGATGGAGGTGAGAGCACTTTGAGACAATGTGAGGAGTTCCTGGTGGAATTGCACGACTTACCGTCTGGTATCTCGGGGCGGCTCAATCGTGGTATAGGTTTTAGATGATATGTGAAGAGAAGCTTGTACATGTCGGAAGTGCGGTATACTGTTCGACATGGGTCGAGGTGGGAAAGAGAGCGTTGCTGTTTGGTCAGCCGACGAGGGGCGTGTCTCCATGAGGAAGAGGGAGTCAAGACGAAGAACATTGGGTGCGACCATAGAAGCGACGCGACGTAGTATGAGTGCTGTGTTAATCGAATAAGCCGATTGTAGTTGAGTGTTGATGATCATGCCTTGATCATGACATTGTAGGCAGTTGAGATATTCGCGACGTTTGATTTGCAAACCGGACGGCTGGTCGATGGAAAATTCGAGCTCGAAAAATAGGTCAGCTTGCTGGAAACCACAGGAAATTGGACGACCACCAGTCGCAAAGGAATGCGCATGAATGCAAGTTCCGAACCCCGGGATTTTGCGGTGCGGTGCATTGCTGAAAGGATTGGTGAACGGAAGCAGGAAAGGAGAGGGTGACGTTTCCAGTCGGAATTAATCCACAAGCAGACAGGAAGTCAGCGACGGTTGTCAAGACGGCTCGCCGTAGCAGACGGTTGTCCCCGAAAGACAGCGATGCTGCGAGCTGTTCCGTCAGCTTGCAAGATGCAAGCATATTCAGGAGATCTTGCGAAGGTCTCAGTGCTTGTGAATTGATCCGGATGAAGGGTGTATTGAGCGTTTGATATGCAGTCGCCTAACCCAGCTGCGTATCGAGGAGCGTTGTGCCTAGGCCATGGCGATGACGGTACCGGGCTTGAGATAAAGGAGGAAGCAGAACATGCAATATCATGCATGCGGGTTGTGGAAACGAGATAGATTGCATCTCGGCTGTGGGAGAGCAGCGCGGCCCACACTGCAGGCGTTCATACCATTCCATCGGGGAAATGGCAAGAGCATCTGCCGCTGACGCCACCAAGAGAGTGGCATGTCTTCACAGTTGTGTATTCCAGATATACGTGATCGACAAGATGGCAGCCAGATCCGATGATTGGCATCCACTGTGACGGTTTCCAGCTGGATGGAACGAAATGCTTGTGCAGGGCTGATGCTCGATATTTCTTGTGGAACCTTTCAGATAGGTGGGAGAGTGGAGCCTGTGTCATGACGCATCTCGCATCATGGCTTCACAGATGCAGGTTGTCAAGAAGCGTCAACATGCAGCCTGGCGAAATGAAGATGGTCTCATGGTGGTGTTGTTGGGAAGGAGATTTTGAAGGACGCGTCGCGGGAGAAAAGGCGGAGAGAGTCGGACAACGGCCGAATCGAGGGCAAGAACGTTTGGGTACTTCCTCCTTCGGCCACGAAGTCTCTGAAGCAGAGCCCTATCTGATGTTCTCTTTCTTGGGTCGTCGGATTAGGCCTGCGCGTGAGACAAGATCTGAGACATGTCCCAAGGATATGACACGACCTGGCAGAGCTACGATCATCGCTCTCGCGGGTTCCAGCCTGATCAAGCGTAGTCCTGACGAACACTAGACGGCGCCTGCTTCCTCCATCGATAGACCAACTGTCGTGTATATAGGAGATACGAGCTTCAACAGTGTCGACCCACCACGCTACAGGGTACAATTCATAACACGGTATTGTCGGACTCCAGCTAAACGCTCGTCCACCAGTCGAACATCTGACCCGCTGACGACCACTCGCATTCGTCCCGATGCTGCTTCCTCGCGTGGTGTAGCATCCCTTTTGGTACATCTGGCAATCTTGAGTGCATCAAAAAACCACAAGGGGCAATATCTCGGTTGGTTGTTGATCGATCTGGACATTATTACTCGAAGGAAAACACGCCTCTGAGCCGTCACGTTTGCGGAGCGGAGCGATCCGTCTCTCGCGGGCCGTCGGAACCACACACCAGACGAACCTTCTTTTTTCATCAACCCTCGACGTCGTCTTCTCCAGTTCGAAAAACAGTCGCATGGCCATCACGTTGTTGAACAACGATTGTCGACAAGCGAGAGTGCACTGTTGCGAAAGGGGCATGCGTGGGCATAGATGCCGAGGTCAGGTCGAGTCTCGCCAGGGAAAAGCTGGCAGCGTTGCAGACAAGCCTCGTGGACACGTCCCCAAGTAAGTGAAAAGTGCCGTTGCTAATGCAGTCCTGTTTCCAAGAACATTTTCCACATGATGACAATCTGCATGTCAAGGGTTTGCGCGTGCGCCCATGTCCGAGTGTCTCCTGAGCTGTGAATAGCAACGTACATGCGGCCAACACGCCGTCGACGACACTGCTAGCTCCATGGTCAAATCATGTCGCGTTCCAAGGATCTTGCATATTTTCCTGGCATCGCATGTCGATGATTCTCAAATTCTTCGCATTAGCTTGATGGCGTTGCGTGAAGCAGGTCGATCAGTCTCCCGGCTAAGATGGTCCGCAGCTAACAAGACAGCCCTGGAGAAGCTACCGCCAGATCGGGTTCCTCAATAAAGTGACAGCGCCGCAAACTCCACACTACGAATGCAACAACACGGATTCGGGTCCCTTGGAATGAACTCTCTTATATTGCATACCAGGCCCGAATGAATTTCGTGAAGCCTGAAGGATTCGTGGATGCACGTTGACCGTTTGCACTCAGACACCGGTACCAATGCAGACGCTGAGCTGATCTCGTTGTTTTCTTCTGCGTTCTTCATGTCGGCAACGCGGACTTCGGAAGTAAAGGAGGGCTATACGTGCAACGCACACGGGAAGAGATGAATTCGTACGAGAGGTGGAACCGTTCTTCTAACGGTTCGCTCTAATCATCCGGACTTGGTATCGACATGCACATCACCGTTGCGACATATGTCTACATTGAGGCATTACCCAACAACCTGGTTCTGATGGACCCGGTAACAAGGGTTGGTAACTCGTCATGACGCCTCTCCAGATCCAATATGGGATCAATCTATCTTGCACATATGATCGAGGATGCGAACTGGACGGCCGTAGCTTGTCGCCAGGGCTGCAAAGTATTCTTTGAGATTTGTCAAACGGCATGGATCCTTATCCACAGCTGTGGCTCGCCTGTCATTGTTCGTTCCCTACCTGGAAACGATCTCAAGGCTCCCCGTTACGCCACCACCGCTGTCGAGGCTCAAGTGTGGTAAAACAAAGAAACTTTATCCTGAGTCTAATCTGGTGATATCTTACTTCCCGTGTCATGAATATAAATCTAGGGGCTTGGTGTCTCTCATCTCGCTGGGTACGCAGCTCTTCCTCATCACACTCTTTTATCTGCTCCTCGGCTCTTCGAGAGGTCAAGACTAGTACTGCTCATCTCCAGTACTTCTGCGACATCACAGACTCTTGTTGTTAGCCTTGTACCATATTCGAACACCATCTCGGCATCTAGGACCTACTGTTGTATCTCTACCTGGTCTTCCAAGATGATCACCGACGGCTCTCTCGACAAGGATCTGGAGAAGGGTAATGACAAGCAAGTCGTCGTGATCACAGAGAAGAACTCAGTGTCTTCCCTCTCGTCAAGCTTGTCGACATCATCAACGCTTGTCAGTTTGTCAAAACCCGAGTTGACGCAAGCCGAGGAATCTGTTCCACCGAAACGACAAGCCAGGATCGTTCGATACCTACGACACACCGGCCTCAATGTCTATCGACGCATATTCTCCATCGTATTCCTCGCTAATCTTGCTGGTTTGATCGGCCTATTGGCGTCGGGTCATTCTTCCATCTTGACCCACATGCCGTATGCGGCCAACGCTGCAGCAGCGAACTTCTTAGTCGCAATTCTGATACGTCAAGATTATATCTTCAACATGATCTTCAGAATGTGCCAATTGGTGCCACTGTCGGCGCCACTGCGACTCCGCAGAGTACTAGCCAAAGTTTACGAACATGGTGGTATGCATTCCGGATGCGCGATCGCCGGAACCATGTGGTTCATCTTGTTGACCGTCCTCATCGTCGTAAACTTCGAGACCGGCGCAATTATCCACACGCCTGTTGTTCCGATTTTCACCGTCTTTTTGCTCATCATCTTCCTGGTTATGTGTGTTTTCGCGCATCCTACCATTCGTCACAAGTTCCACAACTCGTTCGAGTTTACTCATCGTTTCGCTGGTTGGTGTTCAATTGTCGTCTTTTGGGTTGATCTGGTTCTCATTGCCGACACTGTTCGTATTCAGAACACTACAAACCCTGACCCGCTTGGTTTGGCTCTGGTCAAGATGCCTGCATTCTGGTTCCTCATCATCATGAGTTTCCACATTGTCCTGCCTTGGCTTCGTCTTCGCAAGGTCGCTTTCACCGCCGAACGTTTGTCGGAGCACGCTGTTCGTCTGCACCATAAGGAACAGATGGGTCCATACCGCGGTATCGCAATTGCTGAGTCGCCTCTTGGCGAATGGCACCCCTTCGCCTGTTTCCCCGATGGAGATGGCGTGAACAACAGCATCATGATCAGCCATGCTGGCGACTGGACTCGCAGAACCATCGACAGCCCCAAATCACACTACTACGTCAAGGGTCTTCTCAAGACCAACGTCTTGAGTATGGCTTCCATCTTCAACCGTGTGTTGCTCGTCACCACCGGCACAGGCATCGGTCCCGCACTTTCTTTCGTCGCCGAGCCCAGCCGCAAAGGTCAATGCCAGGTCTTGTGGGTGTCATCATCTCCCGAAAAGACATTCGGACAGCCTTTGATCGACTGGGTGTACACTCTCAACGGAAATGCAATCGTGTGGGACTCGAAGAAAGACGGTCGTCCTGACATGGTTGCGCTGACGTTGAGGCTGTACAAGGAGATGAATGCTGAGGCTGTCTTTGTCGTGAGTAATCCCAAGTTGACCAAGCAATTGGTGTATGGGTGTGAAAGCCGTGGAGTGCCAGCATACGGACCTATCTTCGACTCTTAGATTCCTGGTTTCTAAGCCATTGTCTCTTTCCCGTCTCTTTCTTGTCATTTTCATTTTTTCTGTCTTTTCCATTCTCTCCATACACCTTGGCTACATACCTTTCTCTCTTTTTGTTTTTACTTGCCTTCTCTGTTCACCATACACTTCCAGACGCAAGTCTACCTTTACTTTTCTTGTCTTTTTCTTCTGTTCTATTAGCGACTTCAAAAGTCAGCGTGGTGTTTGAGTTTAACCATTTCGCATTGGGAGCCACATTGAACATACCTCATACTCTTACCTATACTTGTACAATATGATCGTCCATCGTCTAAAGTGCAATACCTTTTATATCATTGTTATTGTCATACACTTTGAGTTGCTTTTCACGACTAAGGGTCAAGTCTCAATCTGAGGACCTACCTCGCTTGTGCGGAAATTGGTCGTTGCCGTGTCTTTGTGCGCCATCCCTTCTTCTTGCTGTTGTAAAGACTATTGATAGATTTGAGCGACGTCGTCTTATCGCAGGTCTTTCTTCGAAACTACTCCCGAAGAATCTCGCGTGGTTACAAACCCTTTGTTATGAACGGTTAGTCCGCGTGGCAAGAAGCGGGATGTTTCCACATCGGGGTCTCAATAGGACCAATACAGCTGCCGACATGCCTTGTTTGATTGAATGTCTAAAACCTTGATCAACCGTGTCTGATGCAGGTGAGAGCACAAGATCATGTGATCCTTCTCCGGTGTATGTGAGAGATGTTGACATCGCTGAGCTCCAATCTTGTCCTCGAAGCAGAATTGAAGAGGTTGGAAAGTCTTGGCATTTTCGCTTGCTTGAGGCTTCCCGCCTTCTTTCTCGGTGAGCACGAGAACGACCAATCAATCGTATAACATGTGGTTCTTGAAGGTCGAGAGAAGGTTGCTAAGCATTGTAGTGGCGCTATAGCTGTATAATCTGGATCGATGTGTTTGTCGTGGTCTCGTAGGTCAAAAGCGCTGTTGCGAGTAGCTGTCGCAAAGTCGTGCGAACTTGGCCACGATAACACCGATTATCAAGAGGTCTTGCGTATCTTTGAGGCGAGGACCGAGATGCGAAGGCATCGCTGACTGCCATGATATCGAGATAGGCATCTTCCAAGTTATCCGGAACTCTCTTCACCGACCCCAGAAATATCATGACGACCTTCCCGATTGGCGCTCGCCGATGACGGTCGCGGCCGACAAGATTTTTGATGTGGAGGAGCTTCCAGCCAATCATTCGCTGCACGCACGTCCGAGAGCTATCTTCATCTGCAGTATGGCTTCATAGCATTAACAGAAGAAAGTATGGCGATCAGGGTATATAAAGAGATGGAGATGGCGGCGCTTGGTTGTATCCAACACACAGCTTTCGTTCCTTGAGCTTCTCGTCAAGATGCGTTATTCAATTGCTGCGGCTTCGCTGTTCTCGACTTCGGCTTTGGCTGTGCTGTATCCTGGCCAGAGCAATGTCAACCACACTTGCCAATTGAGTGAGTATCTCGAGTTGATGCGACGAGTGTCAGTAGTCGCTAACACGGTATACCCATAGCCAACTCGGACGCCGTCCTGTCGTGCTCCAGTGCCGCCAACCCCAACACGGTCGATTCATGCTGTGCCGAGACATACGGAGGCCTCTTCCTCTCGACCCAATTCTGGTCTACATACACTGGTCTCGAGTCCGAGGGCCAATTGCTGCCTGCCGATGACTGGACGCTGCATGGCCTGTGGCCTGACTTCTGCAATGGTACGCATCAGGCACTCGGCTGACATGGACTAGACTGATCTCCTTCACAGGCTCGTACACCCAATACTGCGATCTGAACCGTCAATACGACCCTACGCCATCGCCCAACACTACCAACTCGCTGCCCAATGGTACTGTCGTCCCGCCGTACAAGGGTCCCTCAATTGACACCTTCCTCGAGCCCTTTGGCAAATACGACCTCCTGGCATGGATGAAGAAATATTGGATCAATCAAGGTGCCCCCAACAGCGACTTCTGGGGCCATGAATTCAGCAAGCACGGCACCTGCTTCTCCACTTTCGACGTGCCTTGCTATGGCCCCGAATACGTTCAACACCAAGAGGTCGTACAGTTCTTCGAGACTGCCATTCTCTACTACCGCCGCCTGCCAACTTACGGTTGGTTGAACGCAGCGGGCATCAAGCCTAGCAACACTACTACCTACTCGATTGGCCAGTTCCAGAATGCGCTTACCAAAGGTTACGGTGCTCTGCCCTACATCGGTTGCAGTGGCCCTCGCTACAACGAAACTGCTGCCGGTGCAGGCTCGACCGACAATGGTAGAACCCAGATTTCTGAGACTTGGTACTACTTCCATGTAAGTTCGATCATATCTGCTTACGATGAAGCGGTCGACTAATACTCCTCACAGGCTCTTGGTCAGCCTCAGAGAGGTGCTTGGCTCCCTACCAACGCCACTGGCTCGGTTACCAGCTGCGCAAAGGCCCCCAATGCCCTTCGCTACCCTCTCCGCGCCAACGGCTCTACCTGGGGTGCTTGAAGCGAGTGAACATGAATTCAAGAACATGGAGACAGTAGTAGGACAAAATGTGTAATGTATAGATATTTCCTAAAGACTGTATTGGAGCAAGTTAGACTTCCCTTCTCCCTTCGCTTTCGCTCTTTGTTCAATCTCCATGTGCGTCTTCTTGAACGTTTCGACATCTTGTACCACGCCCTTTGACCACGCCTTAGGCGCCCTACCAGATTTTTCTTACCCTGATTCTGCCTATCAACCCCGCCAACCTTATCACCGTCCAGGAACTTCTTTCCATTTTCCATGTTTCCATCTTTGCTTATCTAGCAGAATCGCATCCTTCGAAGCGATCCGAGTCATTGAAAAACACCCAACACCGAAGGAAGCCGAAGCTTGCTCGGCCTGCAGTACACAAACTCCCGCGAGCTTCACGGCTCAGTACCCCGACTATGCCAAGCGATCTTTCCCCATACCGATTCCACGAGTTTGGCAACCATTCACCGTGCGTCTGTACATCGTCGAGCTACGAGGTTTCTGTTACTTGATAGTGTACTATCGATGCGGAGGGCGTGTTGCGGGGTTGTTACTGATAAGATTCGGTTGTAGAGGTAGGGAAGGTGAAGTCCTTTGGCCAGGTATATGTAGGTGGCCGTCGCTTTTCTTTCCTGTTCGCTTTTCTCATCAAAGTCTTTTCGTCGTTGTCAAAAAGTTTTTCTTTCTTGGTTCCGCGTCTGTTTTCGAGCGCTGCCATTATGGAGGATAATAGTGATGTGAAGGAGTTTCCTCAAGTGACCTCTGCTGTCACCAAGGATGTCGGCGATGTCGAGAACGCTGGTGCTCGCAATACCCACACTAAGAGAGGTCTATCCTCTCGACAAATCCAGTTCCTGGCTCTCGGTATGTCGACTGCATTCAAACACTACTCTCATCACTGACCACTATGCAGGCGGTGCTATCGGTACTGGTCTGTTCATCGGAAGCGGAGCCACACTCTCCGCAGTCGGCCCTGCTCCTCTGCTCATGGGCTACATCGTCATGTCCTTTGTCGTCTACGGAGTCATGAACGTCCTTGCGGAAATGACCACCTATCTCCCTCTTGAGGGTCTCTCCGTCCCTTACTTTGTCAACCGTTTCGTGGACCCCTCTCTGGCTTTCGCTATGGGTATGCTATCTGCACTGCCTCATCCGACATTCGATCACTAACGAAGATTCAGGATGGAACTACTGGTACACCTTCGCGATGCTCCTCGCCGCCGAAGTCACCGCTGCCGCAATCATCATCCAATACTGGACCGAGAGCGTACCTGTCGCCGTCTGGATTGCCATCATCCTACTCGTCATTCTTGCACTGAACATCATCGCTGTTTCCTTCTTTGGAGAAGCAGAGTTCATCTTCTGTTCGATTAAGATTCTTGCTATTCTTGGGCTTATCGTTCTTGGTATTGTGCTGTTCTTTGGTGGTGGACCAAACCATGATCGTCTTGGGTTTAGATACTGGAAAGAGGGGAATCCTGTAAGTTTGATCGGCTATGATATGCGAGAAGACATGCTAACAGACCGCTAGGGAGCTTTCCACCCATTCATCGCTAAAGGCAACACTGGAAAGTTTTTGGCGTTCTGGTACGCCTTCATCAAATCGGGTTTTGCTTTCATCATGTCACCCGAGTTGGTCGTCACCGCTGCTGGAGAAGCAGAAGCTCCTCGTCGCAACATTCCCAAGGCAGCGAATCGCTTCATCTACCGACTGTTCGCATTCTATGTGCTGGGAACGCTCGTCATCGGAGTCACTGTGGCCTACAACGATAAGAGTCTTCTCAACGCCATCAACAACGGAGAACATGCCGCCGGCGCATCGCCCTTCGTCATTGCTATCCAGAACGCTGGTATCAAGGGCTTGAACCATGTCATTAACGCCGCCATTCTGACTTCTGCTTGGTCTTCTGGAAACGCATGGCTATTCTCTGGTTCCAGAATGCTATACTCCCTTGCTCTCACCAATCAAGCGCCGAAAATATTCCTTCGCTGTAACAAGAATGGTGTGCCTTGGGTTGCAGTCCTCTTCACCTTCGCCATCGGCTGCCTGGCTTTCTTGAACGTCAGCAGCAATGGAGCTACAGTCTTCAACTGGTTCACCAACATCACCACCATCTCCGGCTTCATCGCCTGGATCGTCGTCCTCATCACCTACATCCGCTTCCGCAAAGCAATGATTTTTCACAATATGCTTGATGCCCTACCCTTCCGCACACCTCTTCAACCATACTCTTGCTGGTTCTCACTCGTCGTGATGGTGTTGGTTACCTTGACAAATGGCTTCTATGTCTTTGTTCCTTCGAGATGGAATGTTTCAGACTTTTTGGTTTGCTACATCACCATTCCTATCTTTTTGGTATTGTGGTTTGGACATAAGGTGTGGAGTAGGAATTGGAGGTGGTGTATTCCGATCAGAGAGGTGGATGTGTGGACAGGTAAGGATGTTGCTGATGCGGAGGAATTGGAGTATGAGGTCCGTGAACCGAGGAATCTGGCTGAAAAGATTTGGTTCTGGATTGTTTGATGGTGTTGTGGAAGAAAAGTTCTGGTTTTCTTGGGGTCGGATGAGAATGCAAGTATACACGATAATGACGTGCCTTTTTCATGACTCAGTGCTTTTAGTGCTCTTTGCTCTCGGCCTTGGTGATCTTGTTGCTCTCGCCCTTGCTGACTTGGCCGTTCTCGTCTTTGCCAATCACAACACCTTCGTCCACCTTCTCAGCTTCCTTCTCCGCTTCTTTCTTCTTTTCCGCTTCGATCTTTTCCTACACAATCGTGATTCTCTCCTCTAAACTAGGACCACTGAGGTACCCGGGACCATATTCAGTGATGGTAAACACCACTTCCACGGAGCTGCGAGTAGGAACTAAGCTCTCGCGCCTGTCGATCACGGAGATCTGTTGTGCTGTTAGTCTTTCGGGATGTGATGAGGAGTTGAGGTGATGGAAGCTTACAGGGGGTTGTCGAGGGTGGTTACGGGGGCTGGTGGTGGTCACTTCGATGGAGGAGTCTTTGGTGGGAGGCTGCTCGGACATGGCTGGTTGCATGGAGTTGTACGTGTAGATGTTGAGGGAGTTGAGATTGATGGAGGTAAGCTTGCGAGTGTAGAGGTTGTGTGGTACTCCACTAGATAGTGAGCCGCGTTTACATTGACGCTTGGGGTGGTGGTTTTGTATACTTCACTTGCTTTGTTCTTCGTTGCTGTCTCTCTAGGCTGCTGACTATGAGTTCTGAGCGTTAACAATGCATGGAGTCTTGCAGATAACAGTGATGTCCCCTGAGAGAGGTAGGGTTGAGGGGTTTCTTTGGCCACACTTGTAGTTGTGAGGATGTTGTGCATTTGGATAGTATCTGCACACATACCGATGTCTATATGAGAGTGGAGAACGATAGATACATCAAGCAAGTAGGTATGGTGTGATTTCGGTATGATTGTCCTCTCCTGTAGCGTAACACTTCACTCAATTCGTCTTCTGCTCGACCTCATTGATTCAAGAGCGCCTTAAGTGCATTGTGATGGATCAATGAGCGTGTTGGGACAAGAGTTCACATCTAGAGACTCGATCAGGTCTTCCTACGCTGCTTCCTAGCTATCTAGACGCATGGTACTGTATTGATCACGTTGGAGTTCATTGAGAAAAGTCATATCGAAGGCTCTCACTGGGGACGCTCGGAAGATGTGGAAACTTGTGCATTGGGATGGTAGAGAAGCAGACTGCCAATCGCTTGGAGGGTTAACAGTGATATCTAAAAACGCTCACACCTGAACGTCTACGATATGTCTTGGAGAAACAGAACGCGTAGTAGAAGAGAATGCTATCACAACCAAACACCACTGCTATAGCACATTAAACACAACTCGTTCGTAAGACAGGAAGCGAAATTTTGATTGCGAATATCCTGGTTGACCAATCCTGGATGACCAAGGACTCGAAAAAAGATAATTATACATACACCGAACGAAGAATCGCCTGAGACGCTCAAGGGACATAACCTGTCAGATTTCCATCCGCGCCTCGAATAATGACAAACTCTGAGGGATTGGGCACACCATATGCCAGAGGAACGAGCAAAGGATGACCAGTAGAGAGATGAAGAGCCGGGTAACCCTCAGTATATTCACTGTCGTTCAAATATCCAATGCCATACTTGTTGTACTCTTTATCACGTTTTCTGGTTGCCGCGATGATGTCGTTGTCCCAGGGCGTCGGTTCGATCCAGTCGTCAGCAGAACCAGACCGTTCGAATCCTTGCATTCTCATTTGATCGCGTATCTCTTCTTGCTCAAACGCGAGATTGATCGCTTTGCGGGCGGGCGGTAGTGTTGTACTGGCTCCAATGGTGGCGACGACGGAGGAGTAATCGTCCCAGATGATCCCGATCCACTCGTTGAAGCGACGATGATGGCTTCGTACACTGTTGTCTGGGTTTCTAGTAATCTCGGCGATCCAGGCTCTGACTTGCTCCTCCGTCGCACTGGTCGCTCGGTATCTGAAGACGATATCACTGCGGCGGAATGCTTCTTCACGAAGGGCCCGTAAGGAATCGTAGAGCACTTCCAAAGCATCCATAATTTCCTCCAGTGCGGGATGCGGCGTCTGGATATTCACTGCCTTGTTTAATATATTGACGATATGTCTATCGCCACAAATTTCGCAGACTTTGCTCATGAGATCGGCGTGGTACGAGATGCGTTGTAAAGTGCTGCGGTGGAGTGGAATGTCAGTGGGGTTGATTATGTCGTAAACAGGGGCCCGTCCGCTAGTCACAGCCTGATGATATGTAGGGAGTGGAGTGTTGTTGAGAGCAGTTTCGGGGATTGGGTCTTGGAAAACAGATTCAGAGATGTGCGACGGGGTCCGGATTTGAATAGGAGTTGTTGGAGGATTGGGAGTGAGATTCTTTTCTTCGTCTACGTCGATCTCATGAGCGTCGGGAACTGGGGTATCAAAACTTCTGTTCGAGATGATTGTTGATATCTCCTGCATGAGCGCGTGTTCAGGGACCATAGTCTGAACTAATGTTGTGCCGCCGTGGTTGTCGAGCTCCCGAGCAACCCGCATGGGCATGGTCAACTCTCCCGTCGTCTTGAGGACGTGCTGCTCGGATGCTTCATAGTGGAGAATTGGAGGATGTTCGTGTCCGCGGTCCTCAGGGTGGTATCTCTCAGGAGGGGACGGCGGGGGCGGAGAGTCCTCGTTGAATCTCGTCAAACAAGCTACACAAAATTTCTCCTGTTGATGATAGCTCATGTATGGGTCGATGCAAGAGCCCACGGGTTTGCCCAAGGCACACTTGTCTGGCTCAGCGCCGAACGTATACCATCTCGTCTCCCATGACTTGTTGTCGCACATCGACATTGGACAGACATAGGTTGTCCTTTCGCCGAAGCACATCCTGATCGTCAATAGGTTGGTTTTTGGACGACGGGATGCGTTTGGAGATCTGCAGTTGTTGTGATACGAGGGAAGAAAGTTTTGTGGCACCTCTTGTGTATGTTTTGATGATCCCAGCGAGCTTTGAGAGACTCCGCTAGCCGAGTGCCGCAAACAATGGATTCCGTCGGGAGACTCGCAATGCTGGCGGAAAGTTGGTTGCCCGGTCAGATGTTCCTACGTACGCCCTGTCCCCCTCGACGTGATCTGATGCTACAATCTCATGGTGAACCACAATATCGTTGGGCTCTTCGGATCACGTCCACGGAATGAAGAAAATGATCGACTAGCATTACAAAGGGCTAAACACAGATAATATCTAAGTCCATGCGAATGCTGAAATGCATAGTCCTTGAGAATGGGAGCAATGTCTTGTGTAAGAGTGCACGAAGCTAATACCGACAGTTTGACTATGCTTTGCGGCTTTATATCTGTATGTTCATGCAAGCCAGACCGCTACAGCTGGGCCATCACTCTACCACGGCCACCGTAAACGACAAGAAAATCAAGCTCTGCTGGCTTTGAAGCAGTGTTGAGGCCAATTGGTGTGTGCCAACCACGCTTCGAAATCCATCGGTCACAAACCTCTACTGCGGCTGCGTCTCCATCGCTCAGAGCATCTTCTGCTAGCAGCACAGAGCAAATGACCCAAGTCAGCTCCTTTGCAAGAATTCTGCCCCTCGATAAAAGTTCCTCTTTGCTCATCAGCTCAACATTACATCGCACGTCTGTCCACAGAATTTCGAGCTGCTCTGCCCAGGCGTGGCAGAGCTGCTTCGACTTTGAAAAGATCCCACCGTTGCGGCGCCATCTCTCTGTAGCTGTTGAAACCGTACTGTCCAGCGCAGCTAGTGTCGCAGGACCAACGGAGCCTTTGACAATGCGTATCACGTCGTCAGCCATGATATTAGTCGTGCCTTCCCAGATACTGAGCACATTTGCATCGCGGAAGAGTCGAGCTATGTTGAGCGCCGCATCCTCGTTCTCGAGGTAGCCGAGTCCCCCTAGACTTTCCATACATTCCGCCAACCCTGCAATCGAGACCTTTGCCGCCGTCATCTCCGCTAAAGGTGTGAGTAATCTGAGAATCAGAGGTGCTGCTTCATCTGACACAAGTTCTGATTGTTCGCAGCGTAACTCGTTGATTGACGGTCCTTGTTGACCTTCACAGACTCCTAGAAGAGCGGCGGTGTAGTAGGTAAGGAACATCACTGCGCGATACTCAACATGTAACTTTGCCAGTGTATGAACATGCACAGGGGTATCCATTAGAAGCCGATCGCGGGCTCTTCTGACTTTTGCAAAAGCTCTCGCAACAGCAAGACCCCGACCCAGAAGGCCAATCGCGGTCATCCCAGTATGCAGTCGAGTGATATTCAAGATCGTGCTTATCTCTTTGACGCCTTGTCCTGGCTTTCCCACACGCCAAGCTCGCATGTCAGTAAGCACGAGTTCGGCGGTAGGGAGCGCGCGAGTGCCTAGTTTGGACTTCAGTCTTTGGATCTGGACTCCGTTGAGTTCGGTGTCGGTTGTGTCAATGCCCGAAGAAGTCCTTCTCATCGGTGTGAAGAAGGACGATAGACTGCCATCGGGCTCCTTCGCAAGTAGTACCGTCGCATTGGCATCGGTGGCAGATGAGAACCATTTGAAGCCAGTGATGGACATCGGGCCCAGCGGCTTCCCTGTGAGATCCAACTGTTGAGGCTCAGAGCCAGTGGGAGGTGCGGAGACGAAATCGAAAGCTTGTGTCTCTGTAGCCCTCACATCACTGCCGCCAGGCCGTTCGGTCATCCACTGACCACTCGTCCATGCTTGTTCCGGATAACGGCTGGTAAGGCGTTTGTAGTAATCTTCAAAGATCGCTCTTCGCGATTCGTCCAGATCATTCTTCGCCAACTGCAGTTTCAGCAATTGCGCACCTCCATCTGTTATAGCACTCGGACATGTCACGCAAGCGTTACAAGGCGCCCAGATGTGATACTTGACAAATTGATAGGTTCGCGCATGACGTCCGTAAGTTTGATCGTGTCCAATCGCAACGATACCCTCAGCGATGCCCAATTCTGGAGCTTTTGCCAGCCAGTTGTAGTGATTAATTCGTCGACACGCTTGCCAAATGAAACACGCAACGATGGAGCAAGGTAGTAGTAACGACGAACTCAACAACTAGAGGACTGATGGTATTCGATGGGGTTGATGGTATTGGTATTGAGGAGGATGGCAACTAGCTAGCTAAGTGGATGGCAACACCGAAGTGGCAACCTTGCGCCAAGGTTTCCTGCTCCCAGCTCCACAACGTGCTCTTGTACTCCGTGACAAATTCGTCAACCTTTCGCATATCCATGCTCTCAATGATGTCTCATGCATGTGCTGTGACGAGGGACCACAAAGGGTAAGATCCTGATGACACTCGAGGTCCATGATGGCTGAGTTCTTCAAGGGATTGTATGACTCGTTGTTGAGACTCGGAGATGATAGCCCTCTTCTTGCACCTCGAGGGGGTTCAGGGGTTAGAACGCTTGCCGTCCTTGAGAGCCTTGAAACTCCAGTTGGCGATCCCGAACTTGTCGATAGCGACAGGAGCGCTTCTAGGAGTGGCCTGGCTCACACTGTCCATCTCTGCGTTGAACTCAACAGGAGCTTCCTTGGTCTCCTTGGCCTCCTTGGTCTCCTTGTTGACCTCGTTAACCTGGTTGACCTGGTTGACCTGGTTGTACTCGCTGGCCTCGTTGACCTTCTGCAGATCTCCAACCTCCTCAACCTCCTCGTCTTCTTCCTCCTCTTCTTCGATGTCACTCAGTTTGTTGTTCTCGTCCATGGTGGCGTCCTGTTCCTCGATGATGGCAAGAGTGCGCTTAGCCAGAGCCAGGAGTTTGGCAACCTGGCTGTCGTCGTCCTTGAGTGTGTTGACGGCTTGCTCGGCCTCCTGAACAGCGATGCGAGCGTGGGTCAAACCATGGTCGATGCCGTAGGCAAGAATCTGTTATGCTGTTAGCTTTTTGCTATGGCTCAAGAACAGATGGCCAGGCGGTAGAGCAGGCAAGATGTGCGTGCACGAGAGATAGCGAGGCTATCACGAGCAAGAGTAGTGTTCAGCGAAAGCGTGATGCAGAAACCGTTCTCACTGGGTCATGCTCTTTGCCGAAAGACCTCGTGCATCATGCAAGCTGGACTCTATCGAATAGCCTCACAGCGGGGATCAGAAGTGGGAGCTTACCAGGTGAGCGTACACTCTGAACAGCAGGGTACCCTGAAGCAGCAAGACGCGAGCATAAATTTGCGCCTTCTCGGTGTTGCCGTCGCCAAATGCGTCAAACATTGTCTTGCAGAGCTTGTGCTGCTGGGAGTTGGAGTCGACGGATGGGGACCAGGGGGCCTCGTAGTGGGCGGTGTCAAGGGCGTCTGGAACTCGAGCCTCCTCTTTGGAGGTGAAGAGCTGATCGAAGTGCTGGTCGGTCATGATGCGTGATTGCTCGGTGGTGTTTTCGTGGTTGGCGAGCATGGAAGCGTTTGGGGCTTGCTTCTGCTGAGGCGAAGTAGGGATTTGATCAGGCTGCTGGTCTGCCATGGTGTACAGTTGATTGCTTGATTGAAGTCGCGTGGAATATAGACTGAAGTTTTGGAACCGATGTTTGGTGACAGGTGATGACGGAAAATCCGGTTGACGACGACCCTTCCCTTGTGGGACTGGTGGCCCGACTACACGACGCTTTTACCATACACAAGGCAGATGTTTTCCCCGAGTGCTGGGTGTTCTCAAACACCTTCTTGCGTTCGTGCACATTCATTCTACATACGATGACCTAACAAGGAATGAAGAACTTCTTCAAATTGAGCAGTGTGGGAAAGTTGATCTTGTACTGAGGCACGAAAGAGATGAAGGTGGGAAGAGTAATATTACAAGTAGGAGAATGGTCTTTGACAAAAGAAATAAGAAAGGTCGTACTCAGGACGTGCCGGGCGCAGTCTTAAGGAAGAAGCCCGCGAAAGCATAACCACCTCCACATCTGACATTCGAGCTGTTGGGTATCATGTATAATGCGTTCGTGTTAGGACACCAGCCAAACCCATAGACAACAGGATTGCCGTTGGGCGGTCCAGAGCTCTGGCAAGTGCCGTAGTAATCTCCGGCGTTGGGTCCCTTGTAGTAACAAGACAAGGAATATGATGCCGAAGAAGGAGCCTCGATATAGATCCTGTTATCTGCCGTGCCGGAATTGGGCTCGTAGTGATCAACGAGGGTCATTGAAGGATCTTGCCATGAGCGAAGAGCACCGGAACCATCGATATAGAAGACATGGGCGGCGTTGATGTCTGTGATGAATAAAACAGCGCCTGAGCCCTCACGGCTGACATACAAGGCTTGATTGCCTGAACTGGCGAGAACGAAGAGCTTTGGTGTCCTCGTCTGGGTTGCATATGCAGTGATGGTAGTTGTGGTTGATGTTGTTTCGGTGATGGTGGTAGACACAGGCATGGCTTCGACGCTGCAAGCATCGGTGACATCCTGCGGAGCGAAGGTGGCAAGAGGGTTTACCGATCCGGTACTCATAATAGTCGAAGCTGTCGTTGTATCGTTGGCTGGTACATCGAGCTGTCGAGGCCTCAACGACCTTGTTGCAATTTCAGGTGCGGCAGTGACTATACCTCGTCTACGCTTGGCGAAGTTGACAGTCATTGTCGATGTGGTTGTAGTGCTGATGACTTCGGTCAAGGTCGTCGTTGGTGTGGTGTACGACAAAAGCGAAGAGCAGTAAGGCTGCAACGTGGCCGACTGAATAGTATCTCTGGCTCCTTTGAAGCCACAAATCTCAGCTGCACCCACATCTGTAGGGTCGTAAGCAGCTAGCAACCTGACATTGTTGAATCCCAAGTTCAAGCTTGGCCATGGACCGCCAGGTTGACCTTGACAATACGCGGTTATCGAGAAACTTCCCGTTCCGTTGTAGCTTGCAGTGGTGGTAGTATTGAACGAGACAAAAGAAGGGCTGCTGCTGTCGTAGCGCACATAGCTCAGAGTATCATGCTCTGTACCTTTGACCTGAATGTCACATCTCACACCGCTTGGAAGGCCCGTAGGATAATTCAAGAAGATGTCGTAACCGAGGAATAGCTGTTCGCCCATGTACAGAGTGACTCCTGGCTGACTGATACCGCCCCAGGCGTAACCGTTGACGAAGTTGCTGTTGGGAGTGATCGATAGCATGCCAGCGAAAGCGTAGCATGACTGAGTAGCATTGACCGCAGGTGTAGTCAGGCCCATGTCAGAGCTCCTGCCTTGCGTGAACTTGCCCCACGGTGCAGCAGAGCTTGCGGCAAACTCTCCATTGGTGAGCAACTTCTGATTGGTAGAATGTGTGGGGTATTTGATCGCAGAGTTCGATGTCAGAGGCACAGCCTTGAGTGAAATACCAGTCGCGTTGCTCTGAGACATAGCCAGGTATCGAGCATCACCAGTGCTAACCGCCCAACCCTGGAAAGCATTAGGGGATCGAGGGGACGTGTACTGACAGTTCAGGGCAAAGTTGCCATCGATGCTGCAACTCAAAGGAGAGTTGTTTGAGTCACCAAGAGGTGCTACGACGACCGATTGACTTTTGACGGAGAACGCCTGTCTGTTGCCTGACAGGACAGAGTTTGATCCCCAGTAGACATAGCCAGTGGTACAATCAAGAGTAAAGTTCAGCGCGGCATATCCGACACTGAACCCGACTGCTGTAGCACCGTTGAGCAAGCCTTGCATCGGGGTACCATCGATCGCACTGTTGGTGCCGTAGATATAGAGCTGGAAAGTCGCGTTCGAGCTCAGGGGAGAAGTACAGATAGGGCTTGGCTTGGAAATGGGCTTCGTTTCCGCTGTGCTTGTAGCGCTAATTGTCGGGACTGCTGCAGAGCTGGAAGGTTCGGTGACGACTGGGACTGAGACGGCGGACTTGGCTGTCTTCGTCGAGATAGAGCGACTGGTAGTGCTTGATTTGCCAAGAGTAGCAGATCTGAGCTTGGTTGAGGTGATAGTGGATGCAGGAAGGGTAGCAGTCGACGTAGGCAGGGATCCACCATCAGTTGAGGTCGTCGTAGGCAGGGATCCGGCGTCAGTCGGTACAGATGTCGGAGAGGATCCATCATCTGAGGTTGCAGAACCATCATCACTCGCCGAAGTGGTAGCAGCAGGCTCGTCAGAAGTCACTGGAGCATCACCATCTCCAGCTTGAGTCGTCTCTGAAGCCCCTGATCCGCCAGTGTCTGACGAAATGGAACCAGAATCATCACCGCCAGAGTCAGATCCTGAACCATCTTCTGAACCAGAAGTAGGCTTGGCCTTGAGTGTAGTCGATAAAGATTTTCTAGATGAAATGCCCTTGTCTACAGTGCCTGTGACAGAAGACGACAACTTCGTGCTGCTCTTCGAGGTGGACGATATCTTGGTGCCTGATCTTGAGGCGGAGCTTTTGGAAGAGACGCTACTACCAGACTTGCTAGAGGCCGCAGATGATTTGGATCTCGAGCTTGACAGCTGTGTTGAGCTTTTGGCAGATGTGCCTGTCTTAGACGAGGTTTTGGCTGTGAGCTTGCTACAAGCGACACCAATGCATGGGCGCGTTGATGAGCTCGAGGCAGATGGACTGCTCTTCGCTGAGGCCTTCGACGACGACCAAGGCTTCAGTGTGAGCTTGCTGCATGGATAAAGACCGCAGTAGCGAACTGACGAAGTGGAGACAGAGGAACTCGAAGACGAGGACTTTTTGATTGAGGTAGTGATAGCTTTGTTCGGTGTCGTTGATGAGAGTTTCTTGCTCGAGATGCTCGAGATGCTCGATGATGTCTTGATGGATACCTTCGGTGTGGTTTTGATGACCGCAGCCGTCGTCTTCGGTGTCGTCTTCGCCGTTGTCTTCACGACAGGTTTGGGGATCGGTTTGGCAGAAGTTTTGGCGACTCGTACTACAGGCAACTGCAATGCAAGTTTCATCTCTTGCGAAGCGTGCGATATACAATCGCAGGCCGCCGTGAGCTCGTCCGGGGTCATCCCTTGGATGGCTGACGATTGGCTCTGACTAGGAACGAGATCAGCGGCGTTCTCATGTCGAGCGGGTACCACTCCTACCTGTCCAACCATGATTTACATAGGCCAGGCTGTGTCTGAGAGTTGAACTGCACTAAAGCAATGTCGGCCTTGTTACAAGCTGTTGAATCGGTGAGCAGGGAAGTTGTAGTGTACGAAGCGTAGGTCTTACCACTGAGGAGGTTCGAGGAGCCATCGTCTGTTGCGACAGCAGTGGCCAGACCTGCCAAGCAGAGTGGTAGAAGATGTTGGAGCAACATTTTCTGCCAAACACGTTTGCGTCTTCCAAGGATAGCAAGGCAGAGTTTTATACAATCTCGCACGACCACTCACCCGGAGCGTGGACATACACCTTCGTGAGCAATGGAAATTGCACCAACAACGGTATATCTCTGCTCAACGAAAAGCACCATCAGAGAGACTTGTCTCAGAACCATAAAGTCTGCAAAGCTCATTTCGATATATCGGTTGGGCATCTGATCTGTGGACATTCTCTCCTCTGCGAGCAGTCGAACGGTATGGGGAGTAGCTGAAAACCCGTCGGGGATATTGGTGATTCCGTTTCTGGAGGAAGTCACTTGTAGGCTGTTCGCGGCACGAGGATGGCGCAGAGTATGCGCTGGAGCGTTGCAACAGAACAAGTCGTCCCACGCGATGTTGAGAGCGGAGAGGCCGACACAGATTCACGGAGTAACGTTATCCGAACAGGGTTCGGACTGACAGTCATGGAGCAGAAGAACCAGGCTCGAGATGAGGTCGCTGCTTAAGCCATTTCGGGAGCACGAGAACGAAGCGGGACTCGGAGACCCCGTGGAATACGAAGGTCTACGTTGAAATCGCTGCGCGAATACCGACCGTTGATTGAGTATAAGACATGAGATTCAGGGCTTCAGCTCACAACCAAGCGGGAAACGACTGCTGCGTCCAGTGCTCGCGTCCAGGCCTCACAGCACGCTGGTAACTGTGTCCAAAAGACGTTGTTTTCTCGCTGAGCAGATCCAGACGAAGACGAGGCCAGCATATCGATTGTCGCTAGCGGCGAAATGATTGTATGCAAAGGAGTTGTTGTTGCGTTCTAGGACTCGTCGAGAAGAAAGCCGTGAGCTGAAAGAAAACGTCTTGATCGTCTTTGTGGGGTAGTTGCCAAGCTCGTATGTTTAGCCGAGGGATGAAATGCTCCAAAGCGCAATCCCTGCGTTCCGTAGATAGGCCAAGCAACAAGCGGAGGGTGCTTTCTCAATCCTACGTTCTATATAGATATATGTGTCCATGTCCGAGACATCTCTATTGCTAGAGCCGGTGAGCTTGATTTGAGCTTATCTCCTTTGAAGACCAACGTCCTGTCAGCTACCTTCTCACCATCGCACAACCCTGCTTTTCTCCTGAGTTGTCTATATACCAAAGACTAATGGCAATCGAGGCGTTAAACGGTGACACTGTTTGTGGAAGTTGGAAATGTCGGCCTGGCCGGAAGCGCAGCATGGCAAGGTTGAAAGAAACGCACCATCGAGTCGCTCAGGTATATATACAATGGAGCCAGGTAACTTTTGCAAATCAGCAAGGCTGTCAGCGCCAACTCGGTTTCTTATCTGGTCAATAATTTGACTGTTCGTTCTTTTTCTTACACTCGTTTGCTTGCCTGCCCCATAGGCGCGCGTGAGGATGTTGCGTTTCTCAACCATCATCACCTGGCTTGTCTGGGCTATTGCTTTCGAGCATCTTATCCAAGCAGCACCAGCCAAGGCATCCTGCACTTCTACCGATCCTATTCTTGCTTCCATCAAGAATGACTTCGGATCACCTCTTGCCTTCTGTCAGTGGTGGTCCGGAGCTTCATACATCTCCTCCAGCCCGATCAATGGCGTATCTCCCGTCGATATCAGCAGAGTCTGCAGATGTATCAACGCAAACTCAGCTCTCATCGGCAAGACAACAACCAAAGCCATGGCTTCCCCGACTGGCGTGAGCAAAGTGCCCAATTTGGATGCCCTTCGAAAGCTTGTAGCTCAGCCCTTGCCTTTCTGCAAGTTTTGGTTCAATGCGTGAGCCTCCGAGAACCGAGCAACTGACACTTGTCTAACCATTTCCAGTCCTGTTCGTAAAGGCAGTCCCTTTGCAGCACTTCCTGCTCCGGTGGTGTCCCAGGTCTGCAAGGCCGTCACTGCTACACCCGCCCTCGTGACTAGTTCCGTCAGGTCAACAGCCAAAGCCTCTTCGTCTACCAAGAAGATCTCTTCTTCTTCGTCTACAAGGGTCTCGAGTTCGACAGTTTCTCCTTCCAAGATCTCGAGCTCCAGCAAAATCACCAGTAGCTCAGTCAAGCCTACAACGTCTTCGACAAAGCCAGTTGTCTCCTCGTCGAAGCCTGCCGTGTCTTCATCCAAAAATAGCGTCAGTTTCTCGAGCTCCACATCTTCGACTTTCACAAGCTCTTCGATAAGCGTCGTCAGCGCCTTGCCTACCGCTACGGCCGTGGGAAATGTATTCACAGCATCCGAAGTCACTCTTCCGCCAGCGCCTACTGCCACACTAGGATCTATGGCTCCGCCTGGCCTCGACTTGGACAATGTTGAAAACTTGACTCCTGCTCCTCAAGCAAACCTTTACTTTGGTGGTGCCCCCTCCGCTGATAATGCGACCTCGACTGTTGCCAAGGTCGGTGTTGGTTTCCAGCACCCTTCCGTCGTCCTCGATCACACCAGTTATATCAAGAGTGTTCACTGCGACGCCTCGAGCATAACCATTGTCTTCAATGACCTTTCCGCCTTCCAGCACTCGGAGTCGGAGTGGCAAATGGATGGCCACGTCATTTTGGTCACCTCAGAGGACTCGTGTGGTGCCAACGGAACCAGTACCATGTTCTTGACCGAATCTTTCACATTCGATACTACCAACCTCATCGCTGTCGGTAAAGGTCAAGAGGCACAGCTGGCTGATATTTTTGACACCCTCGATCTTGACTTTGGTACCGTCACAACCTCAAACACCTCATACACACCAAACTGCGGCACCATGAACGGAACAGATGGCACTTTCCCATCCGCTGCTTGCGGAACCTCTTTTGATTCTACCCTCGATCAGGAACTTGGATACTACACTGGAGATGATGACTCTATCATCGCTATTGTGGCTCCGACATCGCAGAGTACCCTGAGCAAGAGATGGTCTCTCAAGGGTGCCATCAGCAAGGTAACCAGCGTGGCTAAGGCAATTGCAGCGCCGGTCGCCAAGGCAGCTGCCGCAGTCGTCCCTGCCTCGATTCAGAAGGCAGCGTCAAGTCTCGGTAGCACCATCAAGTCTGCAGTCTCGGCCGTTGCGTCTCTGGTTCCTGCCATCACTCTGTCCAAGTCCTTGGACGTACCGCTCAACCTTGGACCTGCTCAGAACGACCCTTCGCCTTGGGGCCCGCAATACAAGTTCTTTGAGTACAGCCCGGATTCGCAGAAGGACGCCTCGATGATCGCTGCCACACAAAAGTCCCTGAGTGGCATGTCCACCTCGCTGAATGGTATCTCTGATCCTAAGCCTGGTATTCAAATGTATTGCGTGGATTGCGGTATCAAGGGCGATTTCCAAGCAGTAGGTACTGTCTCAGCCAGTCTTGCCCAGGGTGTGACAAAGTGCGATGTCAGTCTCGACGGCAATCTCTACGCAGGAGTCTTTGTCGGAGTCAATGCCTTTGCCGCCTACGAGAAGAACATCAACAAGGATCTGATCAACAAGGGTCTTCCAACTCTGTCTATCCCCGGTATCGCCGTGTTGGGCCCCAAGGTCACTGTCTCCCTGAACAGCAATCTCAAAGTCCAAGCTGCTGGTCAGCTGCTTGTCGGAGCATCTCTGAACTGGCCTAAGATCCATGCCAACCTCGATCTGTTGGACAAGTCGAAGTCTGTCCAGACTGGCTTTACCCCCGAGATTGTCAAGAAGTTCGACGCATGGGGAGATGTCACAGCTGACGCTTCTCTTGCGCTACCCGTGACTCTCTTCTTCGGTGTGGACATATTGAACGGAAAGTATCAGAAGGGTGTCTCGCTTGTCAATACCCCTGCAGTCACTGCATCTGCCGAACTTGCCATCGCCGCCAGTTACGGCACAGGTGCTTCCAACAGTATCACTAGCTCTACCGGCTGTTTCGGAATCAAGTACAACATCGGACTGAGCAACAACCTCGCGGTTCACCTTCTCGACATCAACACATTCACGCTTTTGGACTACCAGAGACCCAGTCTCGCAAACGGCTGTCTCGGTCGTGCCGTACCCACCGTCAAGCGCACCACATCTTCCTCTGCCGCTCCTACTTCCACAGACGACGGATCTGATGGTTCCGCCGCAACTGACGGTCCCGCCCCTACGGACGGCTCAGGCTCTGGCTCGTCAGATGGTGGTGATAATGGAGGTAGCAGTGCATCGACCATTGCAGACTCTGGTGGCTCGCCCGCACCTACTGATGGTGGTAGTCAACCAACCACAACCGATGCCGGCAGTCAGCCAACTTCAAACGATGCTGGCAGCCAACCAACTACGACCAATAGCGGAAGTGCGCAGACCACAGCCAATGGTGGAAATGCTGGAAGTGCACAGACTACAACCGCTGGTTCCGTCGCGCAAACATCCACCACCAGCGTTGTCGCACCCACGCCCAGCGCTCTCAAGTGTGGCGACTATTACACTACCAGCGATGGTACCTATTGGCAAGTTCAATGTGGCTTTGATTGGCCCGGAAGAGATATCATGCACACTCCCTACTTCAACATGTCATCTTGTATCGACGCTTGCTCTGATTATGGCTCAAGCTGTGTGGGAGTCATCTGGGTCCAACGCGGTCAAGATGCTCAGAACTGCTGGTTGAAGAGCTCTACGCCCGTCAAAGGAAGTGTTCCATCTGGTCTCACTCTCTTCGCCGCCTCACCCGTAACATATGCTCCTCTGGCCTCCTGCCCTGCTGCAGATGGCACCACCTTTGTCGATGCCCAGAAGCAGGTCTATCAGGTCAAATGTAACATGGACTACCAAGGTTACGACCTCGGTGGTCTGACCGGGTACACCAATTTGGAGTCATGCATCAACTACTGTGATACCAACCTGGACTGTATCGGTGTGTCTTACGCCTACAGCGGAACCTACAAGACTCCGCTCTGCTATCCCAAGTATGAGATCACCGACGTGCCTCTCAACGCCACAAGGTTCAAGTACAAGGTCGACACCGCCATCAAGATGAACAGACCTCAGAAAAAAGCATTGGGCTCATGTCCTTCCATTGACGGAAGCACTTTCTACGACGCTGCTGGCAAGTACTACAAGATCTCATGTGGTTTGGATTACCAAGGCAACGACATCATCGAGAAAGACAACATTGCCACACTCGAGCAGTGTATCAACGCTTGCGATGCTAACAATGGTTGTACCGGTGTCAGCTTCGCCCACGATGGCTACTATGGAAACAACCCTGGCTGCTACCTCAAGAGCGCGCAATCAAGCAACGCTGTCAACAGTACTACCGATCTCTCATACATTGTCGACTCTGCATACTTGGTCAGCGGATCCATGAAGAAGAGAGATGTCGTCTCTGTCAACGTCAAGGTCGCCTCCAGTTCTACAGTTTCCGCAGCCTCATCATCGTCGTCGGTTCTCAGCAGCAGGTCTTCCACCCTATCTGCCTCATCATCTTCAGCCGCCTCGACCACTCTCTCGTCAAGCTTCACAAGCTCTTCCGCCTCGGTCAAAACCTCTGTCAGCTCGTCCGTGTCTTCAAGCAAGTCAAGCTCCCTTTCAAGATCTATGACCAGCTCGTCAACTTCTTCTTCAGTCAGCTCATCGGCCACTGCCGCAGCCGACAACACTACCAACATCATCATTACTGACACTTCTGGCCAACTCCAACTCACACCTTCCGGCGACGGCAACATGTACATGTCTCCGAACGCCTCCAGCGCAAGCTTTGGCTCAGACGGCTATGTCGCTCTGGGAGACGCGACTGGAAACCTCTTCGTCTACTACCCCGACATGCTGGCAGCTCATGGAGCCTCTCGTTTCCGTCTTGCCGCTTGGGGGTCTATTCCCCACGGTGCTCGCCTCCTCACTCTTACACCTTTCAAGAGTGGAGACGTTACTGCCTTGTTGGCAGTAGATACCTTGGGACACTTCTTCTTCCCTGTGCTGTGCTCGTTCGAGGGCGCACAACAGGCCAAGGTCTTCCTCGTCAAGGATCCTACAGCTGATCTCAGCTACATTGCTGACCCCGAGTTGAGATTCATCTTGACCGGTGGTGTTGTCAGCCAGTGTAATCCATTGGCTTTGACGTCCAAGAGTCTCAAGGCTCTTGCTTAGTGGATCCTCTTTCGCTTTTCTTTTGTCAATCATCATAGAAACATATCTTTCGTAATGTCATATTCTTAATCTCCAAACTTTTGCATATTCTGTCGTGACTTGAATGCTGTATGTCCCACCGTGGAGTCTAATCTTGCCGATGCTCGCTGCCACTGCGTTGCCCCCGACGATTCGAGTGTGGAGATTTCCCGTGGTATTCAGGCTTGCTTCACTGAAGTGAAATCTTTTCGGTTCCATTTGTCGTGGCTCGCTCGTCCGCGCACAACACCGCATCACACTCGAACCAACTACAACAACACCCTCGCCGTTCAACCGCAGCCATCAGCAAGAGGAAATGCTGGAACACGCTATGACTCCCGCGATGGTTAGGCTATCTGACAGAATCAGTCAACACCGCCGTTGGGTTGAATCGCAATCAGAGCGCAAGATGACCGTCGACTGCACCGGACGCACCATCCTCCCCGAGCAAATCCTCTGGTGCGCCAACAACGACGGAGCAGCAAAACAGTGGCTGGTCAACGAGGCGCTGCCTTGGTGGTTCTTTGCTTCTTTCCTCAACTACTGCGCTTCCGCTGTCAATGGTCACGCTCGTAGCCCCAGAGTCAGACGCTGCTACACACCCGCACAGCGCCAGTTGATGGCCCGCTTGCGAAAATATCCCTCGGATGAAGATGAGTTGATTCAAGAGTTCAAATGGTATATCACTGGTCCAGCACACAATGTATCGTTTAGGGGAGGGCCTGTTGACTTTGAGACACTGAGTATGTTTGAGCCCTCGTTTGATGAGTATGAAAGGAGGCTAACAGATGATCAGAAGGCCATGACAACCCTGAACTTCTCCTTTCCCGCGCTCAGGAGGAACTCTACAATATGGTCTTTTCTGCTGGGCAGCGTACCAACCATCAACTCATCATGGCGCTTGACATGCCCACCGTTCCAAACGATGAGATGGAAGAGGACGAGACGGCCCCTGCCCCTGTCGCCTTCCACACTTTCGTCCTCCCTCTGTGTCTGAGTGCTCCTCACTCCCTCAATGGTGCCACCGGCCTTGTTGAGCAGCAACATGGCTCCGATACTCTTCTCGTTCAGGATCACGACGATGATGTTCTCATGAGACTTGATTGAGTTTTTTATGGAGACGAGCAACGACTTTGTGCAGTATCGCAGCAACACAGGAATGAAACGAGGGCATGGGACATGATCGGAAGCAACACAAGTAAAACAGCAGAAAGTAGACTATGCTTTCGAATCGAGCCTCAAAACCGAAGGTGTCTCATTTGCTGTCCTTCGGGTAAACAGTCATCAAGTAGTGCGATCGGACCACTTCCCTCAATATCCAATTCTGTCCTTATGCTCGACCACTCCCACTGTTCTTCGTATGCTTGATCAAGAACTCTCTGCGTTTGACTCATCCACTCTTGCTTCTTATGCTCAAATGAGTCGTCATCAAACGCCCTCTTCGCGGCATGCAGGTCTTTGGCCTTGTCATTCCAACCACAGGCCATGTAAACCTGACGGACACTGAACTTGACGAACCGCAGCTGAATATCTGCCACGAGATCGACATCACCCTTTGCTATCTTCACATCATCCCTATCCGGCTCCGTCACAATCTCATCCCCAAAAGGCACCCATTCCAGCTTCAACATCTTCTCTATCCAAGGCCCGAGAATCTCCTCGGCAGCCTTCGCATCCTCCATCTCAAACGGATTCTCCACCTCCGCAATTTCGAAGTCAACATGTTTACCCCACGCTTCCCAAGGCAGCAGTTTCTCAGAAATGGTATCGTAGATCAAAGCAGTGCCATAGATATTTGGATTGCTCAACACGAACGCATCTACAGAGATCTCGGGATCGTCTTGAAACGTTGGTCTTCGCGACCAGGAGAGGTCGGAGTCAGTGTAGAAGACTGGTTGGGTGCCATCGGGGAGGAGTGGAAGTGTGTTGAGGTCGGGGTGCAGTTGTGGAAGTCTTTGGAGTAGGGAGATTGCTGAGGAGGATAGGCCGGCTTCGTTGGCTGCGGGGATGTTGATGCGGGTTGGAGGTGGGGGGATGTCGGCGGGAGAGATGTGATGGATCGCGGCGAGAGTTTGGTAGTATAGAGTCAGATTGGTGATCAAAGATTCGTGGGTCATTGTTGATGGGCTCGTAATGCATCAATGATCGTCAACGACTGTGGTCTGACGTCCAAGCGGAGTCGGTAAAGCTTGGATAAACAAACAAGGCAACCTGACTTTTTCATGAGTGTGTTATTTTCGCAAGAAGTCTCAATACAGAATTAATAGAAGAAGGCTGTTCTGAGATTATCGACAAGAAACAATTGATCGAACAGATCGTTCATATGGCGCTGCCACAGAGAATCTTTCACATGCCCATGTCTCTAAAGTGACCCTGTCGCAAAGCAGAAATGTGAAATGATTCCGACTACGCCCTGATATCGATCTCTCAGCACAACATACTGCTAAGTCACATCTATCTCTCACGCTGCTTGCGGTTAGAAGTCCGTGAAGATGAATCTACAGACGATGTTGATAACCCGGGAATTACGCTCGCATTGACGTTCACAGAGTTATATCCGGCCTGACCTTGGAGACGTGCCATTGCTACGGCGATCAAGAAAAGCCGCTCCGCAGCTTTGCAACGAGCCAGAGACTTTCGGTTGCCGGCATGTGAATGTGCTCTCGTATCGTATCGTCAAAACAAGCATCTACTGAGTCCAGAAAGTTGTCGCCAAGAATGGTATCGATTTTCGGGAAGGCTGACGACGTGGCGACGCGGCCCTGGAGCGAAAACTTCTTGCGGCTTCCTTCAACCGTTTCCAGCGTTCTCTCACCAATAATACTTTGCTTTCATAGCGACGTCTGTTGCAAAGACGCGTATACATGTTGAATTTGCTATGGCGGGATCCCTGCCAAGTCCCCGCAGCACTTGAGATCATGATGAAAATGGCTTGATGAGGCTTTTCTGCAAAGTTGCTCGTGTTGAGTGAGGAACGGTGTAGGATTCAATATATTCCATGGCTGCCTACCTGTTTGGTTTTCTCCAGTCTTGATATCGCCAGATCTTCGCTCGGTTAGGAAGGCGCCACCCTCAATCATCAACAGCATAAACAAATACGTGCGTAGCGTTCAACTTCGCGACCCATACCACAATCACCATCAATCGTCTTTGTTTCTCTATCTCGCATACACAACCGGCTTGAATTCGCAAAATCATTCAAAATGTCAAAACTCAACCCTCTCCACTGGTCGCGGAAATGGCAAATCATCGGAGGTGTCGGCGCGACAGTCATTCTCGTTGCGGTAATCGTAGGCGCAGTCGAAGGCACAAAATCATCAGATTCGACTTCGTACCCGGACTATACTGCATTGAACTACACAATCTCGGAGCGCATGAACGGGACCACGTTCTTTGACCACTTCGACTACTACACCGCCGCCGATCCGAGCAGTGGCAACGTCGTGTATCTATCCGAGGAGCAATCGACATACAGCAATCTCACGTATGCTGGATCATCGTCAGCCATCCTCAGAGTCGACGATACGAGCACAGGAATCACGAACAGAAACTCTGTGCGCATCACCTCCAAGAATCAGTGGGATACTGGACTATTCGTTTTCGATATCATTCATTCACCGTATGGCTGTGGCACTTGGCCTGCTGTGTGGCTCAGTGACCCAAACAATTGGCCCGAGCACGGAGAGATTGATGTTATCGAGGCTGTCGAGCAGGGCAACAAGGGAAACCAGATGACGTTGCATACATCGAAAGGGTGCACCATGAAGACGAAGCGCGAAGAGACTGGCACAGTATCCGGCACAAACTGCTGGAACTCGACAAACGAGAATGAAGGATGTGGTGTCTTTGGCCCCAAGGACACTTACGGAGCAACTTTGAATGAAAACGGTGGTGCAGTAAGTCTACCCCCAATACCTTCTTTCCTATGCTTATCATGCTAACCTGTCGAAAAGCTTTACGCCATGGAACTGCGCGACGCCGGCATTCGTATGTGGTGGTTCGACCGTGACTCCATCCCCTCAGATTTGGTCGCTTCCAACGACTCTTCGCCTGACCCGTCAACATGGGGTACCCCTGTCGCCGACTTCCCCAGCACTGATTGCGACATATCTTCGCACTTCAAGAACCAATCCATCATTGCGAACATCGATCTGTGTGGTAGCTGGGCTGGTGCTACCAGTGTCTACTCTACCGAGTACGGTTGTCCAGGCACTTGTGCAGACCTTGTAAAGAACAACGCGACTGCGTTTGAGAATGCCTATTGGGAGTTTGGAAGCTTCCGAGTGTGGACATCATTTTAAGTGGAGTTCCCACACAGAGCTAATAGAATAATTATCCTGTCCCCAAACAATGGAAAGCAGATTAATTCCTTCCATCACTAGCCAACAACTCCGTTGCAATACCCTGCGCTGCAGCCAACTCATCGTCAGAAGGCATGTCAACAATAAGGAGGTACAGAACATCCTGTGACTTTGTCAATTCTAGTCCAATTCTGCAAGCCCTGTTGCAACATACCTTCTTCATGACCTTCTGCAAGAGACCCAATGGACCTGCACTGCTGCCACCTCGGCCGCCAGCAAGTCCTCCCAGCCCACGCTGTACTCCCCTGCCAATGTCTCCTCGAGCTCCTTCACGTTCACTCGCTCCACCAAAGCCTCGCCCAAATGCTGCTCGACCGCCTATGGAGTTACTAACTCCACGTCCTCCGCGGTTGCTCAGCATATCTTGGCGCTCAGGCATTTGTATCACACCTCCCGAGATCAAGGTAACCAGTGACCCGCTGTTTGCCGCATGACTCGGATCAGCATAGCGTGAAGTAAACTGTGGCTTTGGACCTGCAGCAAGAGCACTACTCGGATTGTCCTTTGCCTGACAAAAACACTCATCAGTTCCCGATGGATCAAAAGGTAGGGGGGAAAAAAGCAGGGGCGCAGGGGAAACCTACGAATTTCGCTTGCGCCCTTCTGTCCATGTAATCCTCCACGAACCTCTTCTTGTCCTGCAAAGACGACTTTTTCTTCGCTTCTACCCCATTCCCTGACACTGTAGTCGAGTCATCAACAGCAGGATAAATCAACGGCGCAATCTCAGGCCATTCAGACTCTCCATAAGTACTTCCGTTCGACTTTTTCAACGTTTGCATCGGGTTGTTCTTGCCACCTTTCTGCATCACTTTCTTTGCGATACCTTCGAAATCCACGCTTGTTCTTGCGTCGCTGGTGTCAGGATTCCAAGTAACCACTAAGCAGAAAAGTCCTCTGGGCATGAAAAACGATGCGTTGACTTTATCGAGGAATCGATTTGTTTTGACGCGGCCTTGGACTTCCATTGCTGCTGTTGTGGCGGCGGTGATGGCCATGGATACCAGCACGGAGGTGAGGGTGGGCAGCATGACTGTAGCCAAGGAAGCGAGATTGAGTGCAGCGATCCATTTCGTGGCGCGTGTGGAGGTGTTGAAGGTGCAGAGGAAGTCGAGGAAGGTTGATGAGGTGATGGAGCGGGTGGCAAGGATTGGTGGGTAGGCTTGGAGGAAGCCGCGGGTGCGGTCGCTGGGGCGGCGCTGAGGGATTATGATGGGGTAGGGGAGGGGTCGGGACGGTGAATGTGGAGGGCTGGAGGAAGGGAGGCGGGAGATGAAGGATTCTGCTAGGGTCACGGGGTCGGTTGGTTCGTCTGGTTCATGTGCTTCTGTGGGTTCTTGGTCGGTGGTGAGGTCTGTGTGGGCTTCTTCGGCGAGTGCATATGTTTCTTGATCGCCATTGTGAGTCGTTGGTATATCATTCGACGATGGCTCGAGTCCATGGAAGCTGTCTCTTGCTTGTTTTTGTGCTTTTGTCGCTTTATGGGCTTTGTAGGCTTCAGAGACGAAACCGATGCCACCGCCGACACCTTGGACAATGTTGGTGATGATTTGAGCCATGCTTTCTGCGGGTGTCGAGAAATAAATAGATGAGAGAGGAAGTGGTTGAAGGAGGACGAGATAAAAAACAGATTTATGTTGTAGAAATGTGAGCAGTATATGAACTGTCGATTAAAAGCCGCTCCATGGAAAGTCCGCGGACCATCCGAATGCCAATATGTATCAGAGTGGCTGAGTCTGATCCTGCGACTCCTTCGCTTTACCCTTTTGCGGAATATGGTTATGAAAAACCGCACCAAGATTTCAGGCATCGGTGAATGCTTGGGAATGCTTGGTTGTGCTTTCGCATCCTTGTGGTTCTGTTGCTTTGCATGGTGGGGCTGGAGGGTGCAGCTCTTCAGTCTCAGGAATCGGGGTCCGCGCTAGCATGGACCGCATGCTGAAAAGACTACTTTCCTGCACCAGTCTATGTGCAGACAGAATCGAAAGATAGGTAAAGAAGGAAAAGCAAAGACTCAGAGAGATCCTTTCATACCATTTGTAGCAAAAGACTTGAAAAATGCCACCATCATCACCCTACGCATGATCCGGTCGCATCTCTCTCAACTTTCGCAAAGACTGCGCACCCCCCAACATCTCTGTTAACAACCTCTGATAATCCCATCCCAACTCTGCCGCAGCAATCGCACTCAAACTCGCCTGATCCTCTCTACCCGGTCTTCCCGGTCCAGTCATATTGGGCTTCATATTCACATCAAACAGCGCAAACTCGGATCTAGGTTCATCCTCAAAGCGACGCACGTCTATACGCATGATGGCCGTTAATCCCATCAAAGCAGCCACTTGTTCGCATTGCTTTGCGATGGCTGCGTAAGTGGGATCCTTCGCGTACTCAGCAGCGGTGACTGCGCGAGAGTTTGCGGTCACGGCGACGATGCCATTGTAGGGTGCGACGCCATTGGCGTGGTTGAAGCGTGTGACGATGGGTAGAGCGCGGTGAGTGGGATGGGATTCTGAAGGCGGCATGACTGTTACGGTTGCTTCTTCGCCTGCGAGATAGTCTTCGAGGATTATGGCTGGGGATTCTTTGAATAGAGAGTGGATGTGCGATTGCAAGTCGGACATGTCATGGCAGACTCTTACGCCGTGGCTGCCGCGGCCTCTGACTGGTTTCCCCACGGTGGGGAAATGGAGGTCTAGGGATGTGAGTCTGGCGTCGAGGTCTGAGGCGTCGTCTTCGAGTAGCCAGCCGCGAGGTAAGGTGAATTTGCCGGATTTGCGAAGCATGTCGTTGACGTAATGTTTGTCGTCATGCAGTTCTACCATGCATGGAGGATGTCCCACCACTTTGACTTTATCTTGGTATTCTCCGACTCTTGATGATGTTTGCAATGGATGGCTGGCGAAGACGACAGTGTTGGCGAACAGATGGGTGGCTCCCTTTTGTAGAGCTGCGAGAATTCCATCTTCAGAGTCTGGGAAGCTCCATCCGACGTGTTCTCGAGGGTTGGGTGAGTCGATGGGGGTGATGATGTCGATGCCGGGTTGCTTGCTTAGGTTGAAAGCAATGTCGGCGCATCCGTCTTGGTAGCCTATGCAGGGTTGGTTTTGTCTTTGTTCGAGCTGTGGTAGAGGGATACATACCACCAGGCTTCATTGGTTTGCGGACGCCGTTGATGCTTGGAGGTTCAATGGCCTGGTAGAGCAGAGCCACACGAGCTGTGTGGACACCTCTGCTGTTCTGCATTTGGGCAGACATATTTCGGAGAAGCTGTTTTGCGACTAAGGGCATGAGGGAATGAAGGAAACACTATTTTGTACTACCTGGTAAGAAGGCTGCAGTTATATCCGGGCACAAGATGTGAATACGGGCGCGAAGTCGTGATGCCGTTCGGAGCCGCGCACTTGTTGCCGACCGACCGGCATCGGCTTTTCCTTACCTGGCCGTGATTCACCATGGTGAACTCGTTGCGGTGCCGAATGGCAGGCAGGCGCATCTATCGGCCATTGTGGAGGACATGTACTCGAGTCATCGGAGCGAGTGGTCGTGTAGGTCATGGACAGAGAGGAAGAGGCAGCGGAGAGCTCGACAAGTGGACCCTTCCGTGCCCAGTCATGACAACATCTTGGCCCGTGTCAAGTCCTTCAACCTCACCTCCTCGCTTTGCACCTCAGCTCACAGAAACACAATCACATACGACACTGGAACTGAACATGAAGAGTAAGGAGACTGTATTCGATGATATATTGTATTGACATAGGAGATGTAATAGAAAATGTAGTAAGAGACGGAAAAAACAGAAAAGAAACGCATCAAGTTTTGCGCTCTTGTGAAAGAAGAAAAGAAAGGAAAAAGAAAAATCAAGGAGCCTGCCCTGAAGATGCCGAAGTCGAACTTTGACCCGCAGAACTCGAGTTTCTGTCATACGAACTCGATGCCTGCGACGTCTTTCCGGCGTAGCGCGGATCGTCGGGGTCCATCTCCTCTTCGTCTTCTTCCGCGATGAAGTCGGCGACGTGGGTGCTGCGGCGGTTGTTCTTTTGCGCTTCGAAGCCCTCTGGCGGCTTGGGCGATGACATGACGGTCGAGCCCAAAGCCACCTTTTCGGCATCGTTGAGGATGGCGCCGTCGACAATGGTTGGGCGTCTGGCGAGTGGGTCGACATCGGCGCCTGCGACGAGAGTGGGGCGTCTGAGCATGTGGCCGGCTCCCACTGTTGTCGCCGGCTCTCCTCCAACGGCCGTCTCCTCATCCTTGGTTGCGGCAGTTTCGCTGTTGCGATCAAGGAAGAGGCCGCGAGGGAAAGGCTCGAGAGTGGGTTGCTTGGGTACCTTGGGCTCCATGGCCCAGCGGGCAATGTTGCGACAGCAAGCTGCGGTAATCGTCTCGGTCAGGAAAGAGATACAAAGTACGGCCAACGCGAGCGTGAAGTAACAGACAACTGCTGTTGCCAAGAGTACTCCCCAGTAGGGTGCGCCAGACGATCCGATCAAGACGACCATGTACGATCCAAGAGTCCACCAGATGAAACCATGGACAAGGTAGATGGTGAAGGCGTGAGGGAAGATGGGTTGCCAAACAGCCATCGAAAGGAATGCCTGAACCCAGGTGCTGGTTTCAACCAGGAATTGCATAGCCACAGCAAAGACAAGGGTGTTGAGACGAGGCTCAAAGTACAATGGATAACCTCCATCGACGGTCTTACCAAGTCTTTGGCCAGTGTACATGCTGGGGTGGATATTTCTCTCTGCGGTCATGGTCGGGATCTGCAGACGATCTTCCAAGAGGGTCATGGCAATGCAAGCGAGGACAAACAGCCAACAGACCATACAGAACAAGACACAAAGGACAGGACGAGCCTGGACCCTGGCACTGAACTTGTAAGTCACCTGCAGATCTGCCAACATCAACCCGGCCCAGAAGCAAGATCCCCAACTCAGCGCGTACCAATGAGCGACGATGCACCAAGAGTAGAAAGCGAAGCGCTTCCAGTGGGTCTTGATATCGCGGATCATGACGACAGCGAGCAAAGTCATGAAACTGAACTGGAGCTGGACAGGAATGGACCAGAGCACACCGACACAGTAGTGACTGACAACCTGGGGTGCAGCGTTGGGAATCAAGTATGCCAGCTCCAACATTGCGTTGAGGTAGTGACCGAAGTTGTCATAGTTGGACATGAACGCCCATTCAGACCAGGAGATTGAAGGCAACCACTGGAGCCACTGCATGAAGTCGAGCTCAAAGCAGAAATACTCAATCGCGGCAACAATGAAACAAGGCAGCAGCAGACGGGGTGCACGGAGAAGTGTCTTCTCGGCGATCATGCCCAAGTCCCCGTCGCGGAGATATCTGGCAGCCAAGAATCGACAAGAAGTAACGAAGAAGGGACCGAGCTGTCAACATGTTAGTATGGACAAACGTGAATCATGAGATGCTGACTTACCCAGATGGGGTTGAGGATGGCAGGGGTGACAGTCCAACGAGCCCAGTATTCACTTCTGTAATGCTGGCCGTAGTTCAGACCACCGGCGTAGGGGTTGAATGACAGCATGAAATGGATGACAGTAACACCAAGAGAGGAGAAAGCGACAAGACCAGCGAGATAGTTGATACGGGCTTCGTGCTCCTTTGCCTTGGGCAAGGGCATATCGACAGCCGACACGGGCACAGCCTCGGCGAGAGTGATGCGGCGACCGGTCTTGATTTGCGACTCATGGGGAGGATCGAGAGTGCTGACTTCGTGTAGTTCCTGAGTGTTCCAGTCGTGGATCGAGATGGATGCGCGAGAAACACCAGACGAGGAGACACCTCCAATACTGGCAAAGTGGTTGTCACGATAACGCTCAAGCACGCTGGGCTGTCTGCCTCTGGCGATGGTCGAGCGACGAGCATCGGGTGATTGGTGGGAAAGGTCGAGGTCCTGCAAAGTATCGGGATCACGCATGATTGTACCGGCGAAGTTGGCATGGCTCTCTCTTCGTGCAGAGGGCTTGCCATCGGCGCTGGCTTCAGATCCACTTCGCAGTTGACTGTTACGCCATCCGCTGCCGCCGGGTTCAACGCGCTCAGCCTCGTTCATACCGTGCGCGAGAACGTGTCCAAGCGCTTTGACGGTGCTGCCGCTGCGACCTTTGATGCTTTGGAAAGTGCTGCCTTGACGTTGACGGACGGGTGCGTCGGCGAATGCAACACTGGCCTTTCTGATCTTCTTTGCCATGTCGCTTCTCTCGGGAAGCATTTCAGGGAGTTGACCGTGGTAAGCCATACTCTTCCTGCGCCAATCGGTGGGTTGTGCGGTAGAGAGACTTCTGGGAACTTCGGCAGCCGAGGTGAAAGCGTTGCTGTGTCTCTTGACAAAGTCATCTCCAGAGTCTCCGTCGAAGGGGTTGAAGAACTTGACACTTCTTCTGCGCATGCTGTCACGTTTGTCGCCAACAGGTGCGTTGGTGCCAAAGCTGACCGTTGACATCTTCTTTTCAAATGGTGTGGGGATTGGAGTCTTCTCATCCAGGGCTGCTCCAAGGATCTGCTGAACGAACGGCGACGGCGAGCTGAGTTCTGGTTCGACGTGTATCTTTGGACCTCTGTTCTTCTTGAGCAGCAACTTCCAAGGAGCTCTTCTGAAAAGTACATTGAGGAGGGTCAAACAACCGAAGCCAAAGACTGCACCAGCAGTGGCACCAGCCGGAACGCGCCAGCTCTTGCTCTGCTTAGGCAACTTGAATCGAGTGAGAGCGGCTTGTTGGTAAGGACTGGATCCACGGAGCGTGATATCTTCAACGGAACACATCGGAACCCCTCTGCAGCGGCTGTCGAAAGAGGCTTGTTCGTTTTCGGTGGTCAGGGAAGAGTTGAAGAAAGCACGAACCCAGGCAACATCTGCTTGGTTGCGCTGGTTGGGAGGGCCAGCCATGTAGTACTTGTCGCCAATCGACCAGTGCTTGAAGATCAATGGCAGAGGCTCGCTCAGATCAAGGCGACTACGCCTCGCCGATCTGGTCTGGTTGCCTCCGAAAGTCCAGTTGACGTGCTTGTAGGTCCAGTCAATCTTGCTTTCAACAAACTCCCAGGGATCACCACCAACGGTAGCGTTCTTGTCGTTCGCAAAGTATGTGTAGTTGAGCTGGAATTGCGTCTCCGGGAATTCACCGTCCTTGATAGCCAGGAACTTGGCGTCCTCGGGATATTGCATGTTACACATGTCGGCATCGATGAACGATGTACGGTTGTAGTACAGCTGCATAGACATTGCGGAGCCACTGCAAAACGAAAACGTCAGTCACCGCATCTCTGTTCCTCTCGCCCAGATGTACTTACCCAGTGTTCTTGGGAGGTCCGCGCATGGACGAACGGAATGTACCAAAATGGATATCCTGTCTCAAGGCCTCAATACCAGCACCCTCCACCAAATGCTGGCCGCTACCTTTGTCGATCCAGAGCTGCAGAGCCTGCTGGTCGACATTCTCATCCTGAACATTGCCAATGATGACATTATTAGGAGTTGCGCCCTGTCGGTACAGCGCATTGTAGCCGAACTCTCTGTGATGTTTGAAATCGAGAGCCTTGAACTCATCAGGTAGTGAGTTTGTCTCGTTGAAATAGACAATCAGCGCATCCGTCCACACTTGAGCATCTGATGCATCGTAGAAACCGCAAGAACAGTCAGAGACATCCAGAGCGGAGGTTGTTGTGGCCGCCAAGATGGCACTTGTCAGTGCAATCCCCCACTTCATGGTTGCGGTGTTGGGGGTGGGAAGCAAAACAATATCGATAGAGAAGAAGGATAAGAGGGGAAAGTGTATGAGAAAAGGCAAACAGGCTGAAGCAGTTTTGGATTATATCCAAGCCGCACGTGCCTTGTCCTACCGAAATGGTTGACGTGTGAGGTGGCAGGTATTGGACACAGAATAAGCAGGAAGCAACGTATCAATGTATGATGCGAAGGATTATCATTGAAGATCTAGGCCGAAATCAGTGGCGTTGCATTTCCTATGATGGTATGTACTCTCCAACATCATCAGATTGTAACCGTCAGCCGCGCAGAGTGCAAAGACCTTAATGACCGGTAGCTATTGCCATCTGGATGGTTATGGAGAATAAGGGTCAGCACTATGGGCAGTTGCGAGGTAGCGTACAGATCATCCTACCTTGTTTCAGTTGCTTATTTTGGCGCCGCCGACTGACCTTCGTGGCAACTTCCAATGCTTCTGTAGATCGTTAGACCGGATGGAACGGGAAGGTAGGGTAGGGGTCTGAGGGTGAACCTACACTTTCTGTTTATCGAGTGGTGGAGCAATCCAAAATTGTGTTTATGTGGTCGAGAGTAGGATTATATTAGCCGTTGAAACGGCTTCTGTCGGATGCGGATCGCGCGTCGTAAAATCGAAGAATGTGCTCCACGTTTTGTCATGAATCAGACAGACAACTGACATGCGCACGGAGCAAAAACCGTTGGAGAAAGCGTTGTGAGATCAAATTATCGAGAGCTTGCAGCAACGGTCATCTATTCAATCTACCAAGTGCTTTGGACGTTGTCGAGGAATGATGTTGGTTATGGTGATGAGATGATATTATCAATAGTAGTTCTACAGATCCTTTTGAATGCTAAGCTGTGCGATCCAGACCATAATAACAAAGGAAAAAGTATCTAAAGGGGGAATGGAATAGAAAGGGAATATGATGATGATGGAGAAGGATAAAGGAAAATACGAGAAAGATAGCGCATGACTCTACTTTCTCGAGGTGGGGTTCCATGAGGAATAGCCGATGACCTCACGGAAGTGTCCGTAGATACCTGGATGTTTGATCAGCAAGAGTTGCGTAGCGTGTCTTGGGTTACGGCAGAACTTACCCATGGTACCCTGAAGAATGAGGTAGGGAATGTAGATCGCGGAGAAAAGGATCATGTCGAAGAAGGAAGTAAACTCGGATCGAACAATCTCAGTGATCCACAGTGTGACAATCAGACTTCCGACAGTGAGGAAGAGGAACCACTCAGACAAGGCGTAGCGGAAGAAGATCAATCTGGCGAGTTCACCTGAGCTCTTGGGCCAGCCAGTGATGAGGAAACTCATAAGAAGAGAAGTGTGCCTGGGTATGCTTGTCAGCGTGATTTCATTCGGATATAGCGGTCTCTGAAACTTACAGTGTGACGAGGTAGTAACTCATTTCACGAACAATGATAAGAGAAAGAAGACCGTAACGTTCGCTCAATGAGCGAGTGCCGTTGGGAGGGTTGGTCCAGATCATGTTTGCGTGACGAATGGAAGCCTGAGTCCAACCTTGAGTCCAACGCATTCTCTGCTTCCAGAAAGCCATCCAGAAGGTGGGAGCCATCTCGTAAGACTTGACGTTCATGTCGTGAACGGCTCTCTTGCCTTCTCCGTAAGCTCTGAGGGCAGAATCAATATCCTCGCAAAGCATGTGACCGTGCATTTGATGACCACGAAGCAGCTCGGCCTTCCAGTAACCGTTACTGCCACAGAAAAGACCGAAAGAGAACAGACGCGAACGACCGGGATGCGATACAGCGTAAATCTTGTCGAATTCGAGAGCAATCATGCGTGTGAAGAAAGTCTCCTTGGAGTTGTAGACGATACATCTGCCTTGTACGATATCGACGGTAGGATCGGCGATGAAGCGTTCAGCAGCCCAGCGAGCATTGTAAGGATGAGGGAAATGATCGCAATCGAAGACAGCAATGATCTCAGCGCCAGTATCGAGAGTGAAGAAGAAGTTCAAGTTGTCGGCCTTTGACTTTGAGCCGACGACCTTGGTGACACGAAGCAAACCACCGTGCTGCTTCTCCATCTCGAGCAACTCGGTCTCCAGAGGTTCGATTGGCTTGGGGGTGTTGTAGAGCAGGTTGATTCTCAGCTTGTCGCGAGGGTAGACAATCTCCTCGAGGGCGTAGTTGACTTGATCCTTGACAATGTCCTGCTCGTTGGGCAAGTATGCGACAATGACAATGTCGAGGATAGGAAGAAGCTCATCCGGAGTAGGGAATTCACCGCAAGTGTTGACCCTGATAGCAGCTGCTCTGGCATCGCGAAGCGGAGAGATACCCAAGAAAGCTTCGATCACAGTGCAGGCGGCGATGTAGAAGTTGATGACCATGAAGAAGTAGTAGAAGCCTTTGATAGTTTTTTCATCGCAGGAAACGAAGAAACATATCGATGACACCCAGTAGCAAATGGTGAGGATAAAGGGTGTCCACTCGAAGACCCAGTTTGACGAGTATTTGACAGCATAGTCGAGTTTGCCAAAGACCTGCTTCAAGCCCGAGGCTGCGGCCTTGCCACCCTTGAACTCGTCGGCCATGACTGTGGTTGTGTTGGTGTTCAAACAAGTGTGTGATTTTGGTGTAGAGAGCAGAGAATGATCACGGCAAAACTTCAAAGACCTTGGTTGAGTATTCAATTTATTCAGGCAACATCCTTGATCAAGCCTATCATCACTAGGCTTCTAGATCTGGAAGCTTGCTGAATCTCTAGGCTCATCGTAACGAAATGATCAACGTTCGCGAATGGAAATGTTGTTCCAGTTTCGGCGACTGCTTGACGTAGCGGCCATGTCGCGTACTGGGTTGAACGTTTGGTCGAGGGCGTGCGGTGGGCATAAGATTGCCAAGTGTACGGACGTATGGGGCTCGGCAGACGAATTCGGTCAGGGAGTACTCCAAACAGATGGAGTTTGCATGACGCCACCAAGGCATACCGCGGGGTGTGATTGACAGTCAAGTGTCGTATCATGGAAAAGCAAAACGACATGTCTTACTATGGCGAGAACAAAACAAAGGGACTGCCTGACTAGGGGTGCAAAGTGTGAAAGCGGTATCGGGTCCGCAAATCCGACGTTGTCCGGAAGAACCAGGTAAACATGGCTGTCATATGTTTCAGAACGGCGTCGCTGGTAGAGCGCGAATCGTCCAGATCAGGCAAGGGTCGTGAGTAGGCCGTGGTTGTTGTTCAAACGGTGCGGCTTGCGGCCGTTGACAGGCTGGCAGTTGGTATCACGGGCCAAATTCGGATCAATCGAGCCGACGTTGACATCAAGATTTCCTACCGTGGACGATTTGCAGGATGTGTAGGATGAACGGGTGGAGGAAAAAGAAGCCTGGACACAACTAGGGTGATCAACGCCTATAGTCGACCGTTTTGATCAAAACATGACGAGAGAGTGGAAAGACAACGCATGCCAGAGTCGAGAAGGTTATGAGCAGTTGAGAAGGAGGCCGGTACTTGACCATATCAAACAGTCCGATTCGGACATTTGAACTTGAACTCACCTTGATATCTTCCTCTTTGTCGCCCTTAGCACGCTTCGCAGCGGCAAAGTCAACACCATGTCGGGCTTTCAACCGCAGAATTACATGACGCCTCGACGAAAGTCGTCTGTCACCAGCAACTCTCAAGATCACCTTTGGGGCATCCGCGCCGTCCTCGCAGTGCAGAGCTTCGCGTGGCTGTTCTTCAAGGTGTTCAACCCGGCGCTGACAATCCCAAGTGCGACGCCGACCGGAGAACACGTTCCCGAGGCCTCGCCATCGACCGTGCCTGGAGTCTTTGGTGGTCCCGGTATTGTTGGACCTGGAGCTGATTCCGGAATCGTCTCTGGCAGCAGTTTGCAAGGTCGCGACCTGTTCCGCCGCAGTCTCAGTAAGTTGATCCTCCCCCTGCTCCTTTTCCAAATCACGCAGAAAGTGGAAAGAGGGAGCGAGCGATGTGGGGAAGCGACGACTCGCGCGGAGAAACATCGGCTTGGCTGCACGTCATGCCTCGACAGCCTCGACTGCCTCGTCGCGTCGTCCATCTCACAATGCTCCGTATCCCAAAGTTGCCGTCTTCCGAGCCTTCCGCTGGCAAGGCACTCTAGACTGTCAAACCAACTGAGATGTCGGACGCTGCGTGGAGGGGCGAGGTAGAGGGAAGCTGTGCTGTCTGAGCTGTGCCCGACACAAGGTTGTGCGGAGCAAGGGCGTGCAACTGCGGTAGTCGCGTCTTGCAGAGGTGCAAGGTGCCTGCCGTTTTCCGTGTCAAAGCCGACTTCCCTCGCCTTGGTCGCTCTGTCTGCTTGGAAGCTTCATTCAGAGATTGAACTAATCTTCTTCTTCTCCAGGCGACATCCCGTATCTCGAAGAAACATCCCCTCATTACCAAGTTCTCATTCGCAAGATCTTGTCTCCTCTTCTCTGGGATGAATCCTTCATCTTCTGCTTCTTCATCCTCTTGTCCGCCCGCACCGTCGCCGTCCCCTTCCTGCGCAATGTCTCATCCTCGACTTACGCTCGCTCCCTGATCTCTCGCCCTATTCGCATGGGCATCCCCCTTGCCGTTGGCCTTGCTCTCTCATGCATCATCTTCAGCACAATCAACACACAATACCTCGAAGAGTTTGCCACACTGAACGGAAACCCCTATCTGCGTGCACCCGAGAAGCCTGCTTCTGCTTTGGCTTGCTTCAACAGCATTTGGGACCTTCTGTGGGTGACCAGAGATTACTCGATGCAAATGGGTAACTTGGCCTTCCCCAGTTGGACTCTTTGGGTACCCAGTGCCATCTATCTGCAGTCGTACACTGTCTACATCTTTATGGTTGTCTTGCCTTACAGCAGACCCTCTTGGCACGTCATCGGACTCTTGATGTTCGCATTCGGCTCCTGGTGGTTCAACTCTTGGGGTTGGTACTCGGCCACTGGCCTCTTCCTCGCCGACATTGCCATCAACCCTCCCTTGCGCACCGCCTTCTTCCGCGGCTGGGTCAATCAGAAAGACACGGTGAGAATGCCTTACTGGGCTTTGGCCATGGTCTTCCTCGGTATCGGTACTGGACTCAAGTACATGTGGACCGCCGGCCTTCCAGGAGACTTCTGGAGTGGCGAGGCTCATGCTCACCCGGCTAGATACCTCGGTGGCAGCAGTTTTGGCTACTTTGACGGCACCCAGCCTTACCCTCGTATGGACAACTGGCTCGTAATTGTCGGTATTTTACTTCTCATCGAGTACAGCGAGGCAGCCCAGAAGATTCTTGGTAACGCTTTCTTCAAGGCTGTAGGAAAACGCGCATTGAGTAAGTTCATCTTCTTAGTCCTCTGATCACTCGAATATTCGACTGACTGTTGTCTGCTAGGTTACTACCTCGTGTCCACTCTCCTCATGTACACCGCTGGCATCAAGATTTTCCTTCGGTGCAACGTCAACGCCGGCATCAGCTCTGCTGGATCCAAAGCAGCCGTCTTTTTTGCAATTTTGCCCCTGTCCATCATCGGCGGAGAGATCTACCACCGCGCTTTCGACAGACCCGCCTACTGGCTCGGCCACGCAGTCTTTGACTGGACCAGAAAGTAGCATCGAGAATGACCGTCTTCTTTCTCGTCGTGGATGGCGTGAGAGCCACACAAGTAGCATTTTGATCACTAGTTTTCCTTTGTTCATTTTCTTTTCTCTTGGGCATCACTTAGCTTTATCTTCTACACATTATCTAGTCGCTATATAGAGCAAAATTGACATGTGTCGATATTTCCATCATGATCTTATCTTTGCCGCTACGATTCTTATGAAGTTCCTTTTTTAATTACATTCTGTATTCTTTCTGTGGCTGAGATGATGAACGGCTGCATCTTTGCTCTCGTAACGCGAAGATGGCAGGGGGTCTCTGCAGCGAATATGCCAAGCACTCTGCCGCCGCTCCGTGCGGAGAAACAGGGTCGTACCCTCAACGATGGCTTTGAAGTCGACGACAGCGATATCACATGCCTTGAAGGCCGTATTTATTCAACATTGCACCAAATAGATCCCAAAGTTATATGAAACGGTCTGTGTGAATCTTGGCGAGATCAGTTGGAAGATGCAGTCGTGGTGTTTAGTTTCATGTTTTTGATCATCGAATTCTGAGAGAACGACCGTATACCAAAGCCCTCGTACACCACAAGCTGACATTCGAATATCATTTATTTGTTTTTCCCAGATTCACGTCATCAGAACACGTCGAAGTAAAAGACGCACGCACGCGTCAAACATTCCCTGCACTCTGCACTCTATCCGCAGCGGAAAAACTCCAATCTATACTCTAGCCTCTCTCCTCCGCCAATTAGCTCACCCCCTCAATCTCTCCCCCTTGACAGCAATAGGAATAACACCACCAGTAGGCAACGCAAATCTCCTATGTCCCACCGCCCCCAACACCGCAGCAATGGTCCCCGAATGCGCGGTTATGCTCAAAAACTGCTTGTCCTTGCTCTCCGTCCAGATTTCCTCCAAACACCAGTGTTCGCGCAAGATATGCTCGGTGGGCTTTTCGCGGTGATCGGGTGTCCACGAGACGTCGGTTTCTGGCAATCCGGGTTCAAGAGTGTAGGAAGGAAAGTCAGAGCGGATGATCGAGGATGCACCGCGGCGGTCGCAGGTGTGTACGCCGTTGGTTTCGCGGAGGAGTTCTTTGACGATTGGCGCAAAGGGTGATGAGGCTGGTAGAGACAGGTTGTGGAAACTGAGCCAGCTGGTTTGGAGGCAGCGATAGAAAGGTGACGTGTAATACTTTTCCGGCGCTGGGACTTTTGCGTGAGTCAATGCAGAGGTCCAAAAGGCGTTGACGTCTAGAGCTTGTTGTTCACCAATTGGCGTCAAGTGGGCATCGGCCCAGTGGGCGTGCTCGTCGCCTTCTTGTTTCGCCCAGTACGAGTCCCAGAGTGCAGTGCCGTAGCGAGATTCGGCGACGTTGTGGTAGCCTTGGCCATGGCGACCTAGATACAAGATTTTGTATACGATGCCGTCTTCGGCATTCTTGTTCAAGTCACGAATGTAGTGTTCGAATCTTTGCCATTGTGTTTTATCCTCGGCATTCTCGAGGGTGGCATCTGAAGGGTAGGATTGATGGATCAGACCAAAGTTTTCTTTTGCCTGATGATGCGATGGAATCAGTATGGCCGAGTTTGTGAATAGTCGCAGCTTACGAAAACATGTCAGGAATAGTTCGCAAAAACATACGTAGTCAAAGGTATCAGCATCAGTGTTGGGGAGACCTTGCTTGAAGATGTTTGTCAAGATGCTGAACTGGTAGTTGGCGTTTGGTGGTGGAAGGGTGATTGTTGCCATATTTGTCGATGCGTGCAGGTATGTCAAGATGCTTGCGATGAGGAGGAGAAGGCTTTGACAAGTTGGTCAGAGAGTTTTCTTCTCCAGAGGAAAGGTATCGAAGAGACAAGTTGTTGCCGGAGATTGATGTTTGTCGTTGACGGAATAATTCGAGGTTCCTTGATTGTTGCGGGCAAGCCACTCTGGACGTTGTTATTCCGCTCCGACGGCCGCAACGTGGGAGGATGGCTGGTTGAAGAAGAGCAACACTCACAAGAATAATGGATGGAGTCGGAGCTGGATGCGAGCAATTCTCAGATTGATATTGGTCGAAAGCGTCTTCATAGATGCTCTGTCCGGAGAGAGGGAGCATGCTTGAAAAGGCGTCGCAACTTGGACAAAGACAAATTCAAGTTCGTCCAAGCAGCGTCATCTCAAGCTCAGCCAGCACGAATTGACACATCTCGTCACAAAAAGAACAAGCACACAAGGGCATTTGATGTAGACATTTCATTCTTCTTGTTTGCAGATGGACATCACCTCAAGACACTTTTGAGTTTTTGTATATCATTCGGGCCCCCCAAATCTTCATTCGTCAGTCCTTTGTCAAAAAAAGCGACGCCCTGAACGCCATGCCAATGCCGTAGTTCACAAAGTCCCCTTGCTTTTCCTTTGTGACAGAAACAATTACAGCCTCATCTCACGCTCAACCTCAAACTTGAAATCAAAGTAGGGCTGGTCGAAGTGGTGGACGCGGACGTAACCATCCTCACCACCAGAGGCGTAGCCGGTACCGAGAGGCGAGACGGCGACGTAGTTGAGAGGACCGAAGTGACCTCTGACACGGCCAATCTCCTCTTCGAAGATCTTGTGGTAGAAACGGGCTTCGAACTTTCCTTGGCGGGCGCTGGTGGTGGTGACATCCATGGCGGCTTGACCACCTCCGACGATAACGTAGTCCTTGACGGGTGTGATGGCGGCAGAGTTGAGAGGGGTGTCGGCGACATATGTCTTCATGACTTCGAGCGTCTTGGCGTCCATGAGCTGCGAGAGTGTGTTAGTCGTTGGCTGAGATGGCTGGAGCAGAGGGAGACGATACCTTTGCGGTCTTGTCCTTGGAAGAGGTCACGAAGTAGGTGCGGTCGGCGGACCATTGCAAGTCGGTGACCATCATACCGTCCTCGTGAGGGTAGGCGCGCTCGTACTCCTCGCCCGTCTTTGCGTCCCACTGGGTGACGGAGCCGTCCTCGTGGCCAGAGATGATGTATCTGGTGCAGGCGGAGAAACCGGCGACTGTGACCTTGGGAATGTCGTCGACGACAATGCGCAGCGAGTGCTCGTTGGCCTGCTCGCCCTCAGGGTCCTGGTTGATGTCGTAGACGAGGATTGTGCTGAGCTGGCCCTGACGCTTCTCGGTGACACCGAGCAGTTGGGTGCCGTCCTCGTTGAACTCGACGCGCTTGATGGCGGTTCCAAACTCCCACGTCTTCAGCAGCTTTCCAGTCTTGACCTCCCAGAGTCTGATGGTGTTGTCGGCGCCGCCGGTTGCGAGCAGGACGGTGCGCGGGTCGACATCGACGGTCCAGAGAGCGCCCTGATGGCCCTTGTAGACACCGAAGCGCTCACCGTTGTGTGACCACCAGCCGCATGCGTTGTGATCCTTGGAGACGGAGAAGATGAAGTCGCCCTCCTTGCTGAACCTGCTCGTGTGGTTAGTCGCCGTGTCGTGTCCGTCTCTTTTGAAAAACCAGTGGGCGCACGCACTTGACTTGGGTCAGAGCTCTCTCCTGCGACGGGGGTCAGTTTGTGCGGCGCTTGATATACCGTGAGGGAGAAGACGTACGTGACCGGATAGCAGGATAGGTCTCATGTTGGCGGTGATGTGGAGGGATCTGGTCGCTGTCGTCGCTGCTCGGGTCGCTATGAAAATGTGCGTCGCCCGCGCAGAGTCGCTTGGCCCGTGCGGCTGCGACTTCCCTCGCGGCGTAAATTATTCGCAGTTTCCCCTCGCTAGTCGTAAAGCGCGTCGCACCTGCCCGATTCGACGCTCCGTTCTTCTCCGCAGGCTGGAAACAGCTCTACTCACACAGCTGTCTGACTCACTCGCCTTGCATCTTCTTTCTCAGCCACTGGGATGGTCCAATGAGCATACAAGACCTGGAGAAACACAGTCCCAAGTCGACCAAGTGGTAGCAAGTTGAACCAAGCGAGGCAGAAGCAAGAGGAGCGCCTTCCGGTGGCAGGACGTCTGGAGCTCTCCCCAGACTCAGTGACACACAGTCCACCCAAATTCTGCTCGATTGTATGTAATTGAAACCAACCCGCCGCGCCTGCCCCACGCCCACGCCAGGCCTCCGTCACTCCATTCACCTCTCCTGTCCAGTGTCTCGTTGTAGTTGTTAGCAGAGTGCTTGCATACTCTTCTCAAAGTAGAAGGTGGACTGCCCTCGAGCCATGCACGGCCAATTGATCAGCGGTCGGCGTATCGCCCTGCGGGGCCAAAATCTGCGTTTTCTCGTCAAGTCACCCTCGTCCTCGTCCTCGTCCTCGCCCTCTCTTTCCTTCCTTTCTCCCAACATCCACCGCGCTGCCTTCAGCACCACCCTGCGCCAAATGACGGCCCAAAAGATCGATGGCACTGCCATCGCAAAGTCGATCCGCGAACGCATCAACAAGGAAATCACCGACAAGAAGGCCGCCAACCCCCGCTACAAGCCCTCGCTCAAAATTGTTCAGGTCGGCGCCCGCTCAGACTCGTCGACCTATGTGCGCATGAAGCTCAAGGCCGCCACCGAGGCCAACATCGACTGTGACCTCGAGAACTACCCCGAGGACATCAGCGAGTCGGAGCTCCTCTACCACATCGACCGCTTCAACAACGACCCTTCAATCCACGGCATCCTCGTCCAATTGCCTGTCCCCAAGCACATCTCCGAGCACGCCGTCACCTCGGCTGTCGCTGATGAGAAAGATGTCGATGGCTTCGGCGTAGCAAACATTGGCGAGCTGGCCAAGCGCGGCGGCAAGCCCCTCTTCACACCCTGCACACCCAAGGGAGTCATGGTCCTGCTCAGCGAGAGCGGCGTCGATATCAAGGGCAAGAACGCTGTCGTCATTGGCCGCAGTGACATTGTCGGCAGCCCCGTCAGCTACCTTCTCAAGAACGCCGATGCCACCGTCACCGTGTGCCACAGCAAGACCAAGGACCTTCCCGGTTACGTCAAGCAGGCCGACATTGTTGTCGCTGCCATTGGCGCTCCTGGCTTCGTCAAGGGCGAATGGCTCAAGGAGGGTGCCGTCGTGATTGACGTGGGTACCAACTACATTCCCGACGAGACCAAGAAGTCGGGCCAGCGTCTGGTCGGTGACGTCGACTACGAATCTGCCGTCGAGGTCGCTTCCCAGATCACTCCTGTCCCTGGTGGTGTTGGACCCATGACAGTGGCCATGCTCCTTCGCAACGTCGTCGACTCGGCCGACAGCTACTTTGACCGCCAAAAGTCTCGCAAGATCACACCCCTTCACCTCAAGCTCGAGCAGCCCGTTCCCGCCGATTGGGAAGTGTCGCGCAAGCAGCACCCCAAGCTCATCACCAAGCTGGCCTCGGAGATTGGTCTCTCGGCACACGAACTCGAGCCCCACGGCGCCTACAAGGCCAAGGTCAGTCTCGATGTCCTCAAGCGTCTGGAGCACCGCAAGAACGGCCGCTACGTTCTGGTCGCCGGTATCACCCCCACTCCCCTCGGTGAGGGCAAGTCGACAACCACCATCGGTCTCGTCCAGGCTCTCGCCGGTCAGCTCGGCCGCATTGCCTTTGCCAACGTCCGCCAGCCCAGTCAAGGACCCACTTTCGGCATCAAGGGTGGTGCCGCTGGTGGTGGCTACAGTCAGGTCATTCCCATGGACGAGTTCAACTTGCACCTGACTGGCGACATCCACGCCATCACTGCCGCCAACAACCTGCTCGCCGCTGCCATCGAGACTCGCATCTTCCACGAAAACACACAGAAAGACGGTCCTCTGTACAAGCGTCTTGTGCCAACCCAGAAGGGCAAGCGCGAGTTCAAGCCCATCATGTTCCGCCGTCTCAACAAGCTCGGCATCGACAAGACCAACCCCGACGACCTGACCGAGGAAGAGATTCGCCGCTTTGCTCGTCTGGACATTGACCCCGACACCATCACCTGGCGCCGTGTGCTTGACGTCAACGACAGACATCTCCGTGGTATCACCGTCGGCCAAGCTCCCACCGAGAAGGGCCAGACCCGCCAGACTGGCTTCGACATTTCTGTCGCCAGTGAGTGCATGGCTGTCCTTGCTCTCAGCAACTCTCTCCCCGACATGCGTGAAAGACTTGGCCGCATGGTCGTGGCCAGCTCTCGTGCCGGCGACCCCGTGACTTGCGACGACATTGGTGTTGGTGGTGCCTTGACCGCCCTCATGAGAGATGCCATCAAGCCCAACCTCATGCAGACCCTCGAGGGTACCCCCGTCTTTGTTCACGCCGGTCCCTTCGCCAACATCTCGATCGGTGCTTCTTCCGTCCTTGCCGACAAGCTCGCTCTCAAGCTGGCCGGTACCGAGCCTGACGAGGACTACAACTCGAGAACTGGTTTCGTCGTTACCGAGGCTGGCTTCGACTTTACCATGGGCGGCGAGCGCTTCATGAACATCAAGTGCCGTTCTTCTGAGCTCAAGCCTGACGTCGTCGTCATTGTCGCTACTGTTCGTGCCCTCAAGACCCACGGCGGTGGTCCCGCCATCACTCCCGGTGCCCAGCTTCACGAAGTCTACCGCACCGAAAACATCGACATCCTCCGCAAGGGCTGTGTCAACCTCAAGAAGCACATCGAGAACGCCCGTCAATACGGTGTCAAGGTTGTCGTTGCTATCAACAAGTTCGAGACTGACACCGAGAAGGAGGTTCAAGTCATCCGCGAGGAGGCTCTTGCTGCTGGTGCTGAGGATGCCATCCCCGCCAATCACTGGGCTGAGGGTGGCAAGGGTGCTGTCGACCTTGCTCAAGGTGTCATCACTGCTTGCGAGAAGGCCGAGGCCAACGACTTCAAGCTGTTGTACGGACTCGAGGACTCTGTCCAGGAGCGTATTGAGAAGATCGCCAAGAACATGTACGGCGCATCTGGTGTCGAGTTCAGCGAGACTGCTCAGAAAAAGGTCGACGCCTACACTCGCCAGGGCTTCGGCAACTTGCCCATCTGTATCGCCAAGACACAGTACTCGCTCTCGCACGACCCTGATCTCAAGGGTGCGCCTTCAGGCTTTGTTGTTCCTATTAGAGATGTCCGCATGGCTGCCGGTGCTGGTTACCTGTAAGCTTCAATCATTCCATTCCACTACCGCACTCCTTTGCTAACCAAGTCGTCAGATATGCGCTCGCTGCCGACATCCAGACCATCCCTGGTCTTCCCACCGCTCCCGGCTACCTCAACGTCGACGTTGATGCCGAGACCGGCGAGATCGATGGTCTCTTCTAAGGTCGTCTCACTCTCAACAACGAAACGACTCGCATAATGTACGACTATGGGTGGTGATTGGGGCTTCAACATAACAAAAATGACTTCAACAGCGTCGGTGTTCCGGGATACTATTTTAACAATTTTTCACAAGGGATCAAATGTTTACACGAAACAACAACGAATGATAACGGATACAAGACGTCAACTTAACTTTGACTGTCGCAGGTGTGGGAAGATAGAATCTTAGATGTAGGAAAGAATATCCGCATGGATCGCAAATTGTTTTCCTCTACCTCTTACCGTCTTCTCTCAGTACTCGCTGGCTATTCCGAGTTCGGGATTGTTTCACACATGGCTTACAATAGATCCATAATGCCTTGCTGAGCGCATTGATCGCCTAGACAAATATCTTGGCTGGCACCTAACCGATGTTTCGTCCCCAATCTATAGACTTCACATATGATCACCACTCTTTGATTCCTTTTTCCAATCAAAAAAACAGACAACCTTGCCAACATCCAGTCTGCGAACAAGATGGATGACCCTGACCAACCACTCCAGGAGCACAGCAGAATTGAGGACGACTACAACATAGACCATCTGGATGAGGGATACGACATCTACGCTCTCTTCTGTTTCGAAGACATCCCTCTCGAGATGATCGACGATATCCTCGAAGGAACCGCGAGGGAATCGTCCTACATCTACTACTACTGGCTGGCTGATGACTACTCAACTCTGCCTCAAGAACAAGACGGTGAGGAGATCGAGGGAACCGTACCACCTCTGCCTTGTACCTGGCGGTCTTCATTTCTTGGTTCAACCGTCGAAGCGGCATTTGAATGTGTCAAGAACGCCCCAGGCAAGCTCCTGAACAGAAAGCATATCGTCGGGTTAGCCAGGAAGCTCTTCGAGGAAAGACGGACGCTGAAAGTCTATCGTATGGAGGGAGCCGACCCAGATTTTGCCGTCGAGCTGGGCTTGGATGTAAAACCAGGGAATATCACGGGAGTCGGAGGAGAGGCGCACACAACCATCTTGGGGCTGTTTTACGACGTGGGACAGGCGACTGGGGATTCAATGTCTGGGAGTGGAAGGATGAAGGATTACCGTTTTGTTGAGTAGTAGTCGTGAACCAGGCAGGAATCATGTGTCAATTATGAGCAAGCTGTGGCCATTGTTCGTTTTGCACAAAGCAATATCTAAAATCGGTACGAGATCAAGCTAATGCCATCATTACATGCCGCGGATCCCACAATGCCTATCTTCGTCAAAAAATACTCTGCTCAGATATCAAACTCGAATGCCCAAGCAGTATTCTCATCCTGTGAAGTCTGGAAGACTGGGAAAGTGACCGAATCACCATCATATTGGTGTCCATAAACACCACGATCAGAAGGACCCGCCACAGCGCCAAAGTGTCCTGCATCATCAAAGCCCCAAGTCTGGATGCTGAGAGTGCCCGACGACGACAGACCCACAGCGGAAAGTCCGGAGATGGTGATATACCAAGTTCCCTGTTGATTGAGCACACCAGTGAGAACGCGGACCTTATCGCTGCCGACGGTGGTGAAGACATCCATGACGCCGTCGCCAGTGGAAGTAGTGGTTGCTCGCTCGCCAGTCATGTTCTGGTGGTAGTATTTGTAAACATTGAACTCGCCGTTGCCCTGATATCCAGTACCAGTGTAATCATTAGTGTCGGTTTTAGTCAAGAGACTAGCGAGGAAGTCACGTAACTGCCAGCCAGACAGCCAGTTTCCTCTCAGACCTCTGAGATTGTAGCGTTCCAGTCTAGAGATCCACCAGGCGGCTCCGGCGGAAATTTGCTGATTAAAGGTGGCGTATTCGTTGATGTTGATCTCGCGGTCGGGCAGATTGTATTGACTTCGGATATCGGCCCAGCGAGGGACATCGTTGGCAACATCGCCGGGCTCATCATGCCAGGTATACTGGTCAGGGATGGTGTTGTCAGCCACAATACGTTGCACCCAATTGGTCCACCAATCGTTGCCGGTGTTGGGCTGAGAAGCGTAGGAGGGTCCACTGATCAAAACTCCATTCAAGTCCGAGTCTGACCTGATACGATTGTACGTGCGAGACCAGAGATCCAGGTACTGCGCCTGCGAGCGATCCCAAAAGGAGCCATCGGGTTCATTCCAAGTGTCATACACCAGACCATCCAGCATGTCATTAGCCTTGAGATCTCCAATCAATTGGTTGAGATAATTGTCGTAATCAGTCCAATCGCCATTATCGCCCGGCCAATTGGATGACTGATTCGCGTGATCAGTGCCCCAGATATCGTGAGGTAGGATGATAACTTTCGCCCCAAATTTGCGGGCTTGGAAGTAATTGTCCCTGGTATTGTTGAAACGTGCGTAGTACGTCTCGAGACCATCAACCCAGCCGCCAGCTTCCATCTGGGCTCCACCAATACGGGCGTAGTTGAAGCCCATGTCGCTGTAGAAGTGGTCTGGAATTTGAGTTGGGTCATCTGGGATTCCGTAGAGCACGCCTGCAGCCAGGTTTTGGGGAGCTCCGCGGCGAGCACCGGTTGTTAGGTTGACTGTGGCGGTGTCTTGGGAGGATTGACGAGGTAAAAAGTTTGGTGCTGCATTGATGCAAAGAGGCAAGGTTGCCAGAAGAGCAAGAATGTTGACGCCCATTGGGATAGATCAAGAGGTGTTTGAATATCGTGTTGCTGAGATACCTTTCGAATTATTGGTGACCAGCTCTGGGGGAGGATGGTGATCAGCATTATATACATGTTCGCTCCCCACAAAAGCCTCCCGCAGAGCCTTCCGCGATTGTGTGGATGCATCTGGGGAACTGACCTCGAGAATCTGGAGACCATTCTCCTCCGGAGACGACGAAGATCATGCCGTGCAGCACGAGAAGGTCGAAGAGGTGAGCAGTGCAGATCAGTTGGCCCCTCCGGAATAGTTGCTCGTATAACTCCTACTTTACGGCCATGTGGATGGATGATGATATACCTCGTGATCAATCATCCAGCTTGAGTATCTGAGCCAGGGCTGCCGGCCCGCTCTACTTCAACCGAACAATCTACGTCTAGGGACATTTTATCATAGAGCAAGTGTAGATCTACCCCTCCGGAATCTGTCAAACATGCTATAGATCTGCATGGGGTAAAACTTAACTCCACCAGACTGGAGAGAATTGAGAAAGCACCGCGACTCAATTGACACTTCGCAATCAATTGTCCTTTTCGGCAACTCTAAAGGATGATAAATCACTTGCATTATCCATGTAAGTGCCATAGCAGGTGATGACCTGGATATAGCTGTAAAAGAATCTTGTGTATGGAGCTGGCAGCCCTGTTCCGCCACTGTAGAATCTTTTGTCCACCAATCTTTCCTGCAGCGACGGGAATTCGACTCTGTCGCAGCTTTGATGACTTTGGAACAGATTGACGATCCAGCGTAGACTGTGAAAAACGCACCACCAACGACTCAAGAGGCTTGAGTCGCGGCTTGATGATAGAAGCAATGCGCGATGTTGTTGTCCAGCGAATAAGTGATGGTCGAAAGATTGTCCTTTTCGCGCCGAGCTCTCACCTGAGCCGCGACCTAGATATGCTTGTGGTTGGAATTGGAAGAAGTAGCCCACGTCAAGAAGCGGAGAGGTTTTGTACGTGTGTTATCGATGTTCTAGGTTGTATGTGTCGACAGTTGGAAGTGTGTCGTCGTCGCAAATAGCGACAAGCCTTCTGAGGACGCCCTCGCTCGCTGCTGTCCAGAGAATTTCCTCGATTCATTTCCCTTCTCGACTACATGTTGCTGCCAGCTCACAATGTTTCATGCCTTCCTTTTTCCTAACAACTTACTTCTGACGTAGCGACGGGAGAAGAATATAACTTTTTCTGCGGTAAAATTACCTAGCTGCACCGATCGTCATGGAGCATCTATCCGAGACGTTATTAATAGTCTAGAAGCACTAGGATCTCATACTGTTCTCCCAATCGCCTCAATGACCGTTAAGCCAGCGATGGCCCACAGGGCGGTCATGCTTTCACTGTGGTGGATAGGTCTGCCTATGGCTTTGGCAATACTCTGCGTTGCTCTACTGCTCTGCTCTACAGAGCATAACAGAGCAAATAGAGCTACATACATACACCCATCGTGTATTGTGTGAGCAGGTAGACAATCCCTCGCTAGGAGGTCCTGCGTTCAACTTAATTTGTTATTTCAATAGTCTCTTTGGTATACACTACTACCCACTCTACTGGCAGCCCTTTCTTGACACTCCTCTTCACGATTCATGATCATCTTACCTACAATGGTTGGCTGTGATGAATAAGTTCTGACTGGATTGTAAACATGAATGCGAGCAGAGGACAGATGACTGATTGTGAATGAATTATAGCTACTGTGGACTTGCCGAGGTGGCGACGATCGTAGCCGAGGGTCTCAACTAGTGTATTATCTAGCTATGACCTCTTGTCGTACTCGAGACACATCTATTTGTGGACACGACGCACTTCAATCTTTGCGAATGGATCCACCATTCCATAAAAGCCGGAATACATTGGCTTCGGCTTATATCCTTCCTGCAATCGCAAGTCGTAGTTGAGCAACATGTGAGCAAGACACAACTTTAACTCGGTATCGGCGAAGAAGCGACCGGGACAAATCGATCTGCCTAGACCAAAGGATGTGTGTTCCTTGCTCGATGCCGTGAAGACTTGCGAAGACGCTCCCGAGTCGCGGAGTTCAAGATAGCGATGCCCCTTGAAGGTTTTTGCAGAGTTGTAGATGTTCTCGTCCCACATCAACGACGAGTCCACTGCAATGTGGGTGCCCTTTGGCACTTTGCCACCGTCGGGCATGATTGTGTCGCGCAGGGCTTTGCGCTCGAGAGAAACTAAAACATTCATCAGCTTAGGAATGTCACGTTGAATGATTTGCAACTTACCAATAGGCGGTAAAGTTCGCTGGCCTTCCTTCATCACACTGTCAAGCAGTTTCATCTTGAACAAGGCGGCCATGGTCCATCCAGACTCCAAGACAGCTTGCTCGATCTCCTCACGCAGAGAAGAGATGAGATCAGGGTGTGCGGCAATCTCTAGAATGGTTTGTCTCAAGGCCTCGGAAGTCGTAAAAAGTGCAGCGACTCCGAGACCCAGCTGCTGGGCGGCCATATCGACTGGGCGGCCACCAGCTGCTTTCGTGATCCATTCGAAAGCATCATTGTAGTCAACATGGCTGTTGGCGCGGTCGGCATTCCTCTTGACATTCTCTTCCTGCATAATGATGCGAGCACGTTTCATGTTAGACCGACACCTGTTGGACAGAGCGTTGAAGCGTTGTGCGATGGGTCTCAACGATGCAGGCCACTGATGTAGTTGACCGATGGCTGTAAAGAAATCCAAGACATATGTGACAGTGAGATCCACCCATTCTTGATTCTTCGCTAGGCGGGGACCAACAAAGATCGAGGCTGCTGCTGTTGAAACGATGCTCGTAGTGTCTTGATGCCAATCGATGGCATGCCAAGCTTCAGACTCTGTCCATCGTTGACCCAATGCTTCGACGATATGCGCATTGAGCACAGGCACGGCACCATCGTTCTTTGAGAGTTTGGACTTGATAACGGTGGTCAAAATATGACTTGGATGGTGGAGTGCTGTCTGCCCATCAAAACCAGGGTACCCGCTGAAGTAGTCTTCTTTGACATGCTCTACGTGGTCAAGATCTTTGTTGTTCTTGACCCACTCAGTAAGCGAAGAGGGCAGAATAAGCTTCGTGCCTTGAGGTGTTTTGATGACGATCGGGCTACCATGATCTTTGATGCCATTGGCGATCAGCTCCTTTGCATTCGCTTGGTACTGCTGATGAGCTTTCTTCTGATCCCGGTCTCCACAGTAAGAGTTGACGATTGGGAAGGAGAGTTGCTGCTTGGTGTTGAAGCGATAGAAGATAGTTGTAAGGACAATAACAACCAAGGCATAGCCAAGTTGTTTTATGAGTTCGCTCATTGTAGGATTGGGTTTGTCGGTGATCGAGTGTTGGTGTCCATTGCTGCCTGTTGTACCACATACACTATATATACTCAAGATTGCAGCGTGAAGTGATACAAATTTCTTTACAGGTTGACACTATTGTTGTTTTCGGATTCTCGGTTGCTGGTGGTGTTTGTTTGGTCGGAAGCTCGGAAGCGATTCAACCCGAGCTATGAAGGGTGAGTACGGGCGAGCTTCTTGCACGGTGTCCCAGAATGGACACAGCCTTAAGCACAGCCCATCGGCTGCTCAACGACTTCACAACTTCAATGGTGAATAGCAAAGAGCGCAGTCGAAGAAGTTAATCAATACGCAGATACGGGTCTAAGCTATACGACGAGACGTAGACAAGGAGACAAAGAGATAAAGAGGTGATAGGTAACATACCAACGACTTGAGCAACTCCCCTGAGACCTCCATCGCTTAACGAGTTTCCTAGCAATATCGTTATAGCAATATCAACCACTGCTAGTATCTAGACTCGAACACCAGTCATGAGTGTTGCTTACTGCTACATACGAGAAATCATTTTCAAAACTTTTGACCACATTTTCAAGTTGGTTGCAAGAGCTGAAACTCATTCTCAAATGCCGCTACCATGTGTGCATCATTATAAGCGTAGTAATGGTGAAGATTATATAAATATATCGAAATGGGGGTCCCACTGAGGCAGATCCATCAGCTCCTCGTCATATCGCTCAGGGTCCCAGAACTTGTTGTTTTCGTCCATTCGAGCACGTGGCTGTGTGTCGCAAAACCTTGGAAGAGACAAATCAATCAACTGGCCGGTCGTGTTGAGCATATCTATTAGTTCTACGACATCGGGGCTCAGTCGTTCAGCAGTGAGGGATGTGACGTTGCTAGCAGACGCAAACGATGTAGTATCGATGACGAAGTCGATGACCACAGATGCAACACCCACGTTGTCGTTATCAAGCCGCAATGAATTGAGAATAGAGAGCTCTGTCAACTTTGACAAGTAATCAGAGGACGATTGGACAAGAAGAAACCCATATCCTAGCCGTACAGACCGAAGCCGCAAGGAATTACCTGCTTTCCACCAATATTTCGATCGCATCAGCTGCGAACCATACTTTTGACACTCGAAGGTCTGACCTCTGTTCTGTGTATCGTCATAAACATATCATACAGTGAACATTAGAATATACCTATATATTGAATCTGATCATTACTACATTACAAGTGCAAATACAACGCTCGGTCGCTCGACTGTCCGAAATCGCTAAGTCATTTGTTCGCTCCCATCGCTTTTACCTCCAGCTTCTCACACGCCACAATGTCGATTTTGTAGAGCCAGAACTGGGTCAAGTCTCTCCTTCAGTGAGGTCCTCCCGGGCCGCCAGCTGGAGGGGGAGGTGGGGGGTTGCCACCGCTGCCACCGTTGCCGCTGCTGCCGGTGTTGTCGCCATTGTTGAAGAGCTCAGCAGTGCTATCCTCGAGAGTACTCTCTTCGGCAGAACCAATATCAGCGCCGAGATCCGCAGCTTCGTTGGTACCATCTCCATCGATAACGTTACCTTCCGCGTCAACAGGGTTGCCGACAGCAGAAAGACCGGCGTCGTTTGCAAGATCACCAAAACCGTCAGAGATCTTGTTCAGCTGACGCCTGAACTTGGGTGGTGGTGGAGGGGGAGGGTTGCCACCACTGCCACCGTTGCCACCGCTGCCTGTGTTGTGGCCATTGTTGAGCTCGGCAGTGGCGCCTTCGAGGATGCTCTCTTCAGCAGAGCCGATGTCAGCACCAACCTCTGCGGCGCCATTGGTGCCATCTCCATCGACGATGTTGCCGTACTTGTCGACAGGATTGCCAACCACGGAGAGGCCAGCGTCGTTGGCAAGATCACCAAAGCCGTCAGAAATCTTGTTCAGCTGGCGCCTGGCGGGAGCACCTTTGACACTTGCGATATCATTGCCAACGCCTTCCTCAATGTTCTTTGTCGCGAAGCCAGAAGCGTTGTCCAGGTCAGTCAAGACGGAATCGCAGCCACTGCCGACTCCAGCAATTTGGCGCTTGGTGTTGGCGCCTTTGACACCTGCAATGTCGTTGCCAACTCCTTCCTCAATGTTCTTGGTTGCGAACCCAGAAGCATTGTCCAAGTCGGTCAGAACGGAGTTACAGGCGCTGCCGAATCCAGCAATCTGAGGAACGGGAGCGGCAGTAACGAGAGCCAGCTGCGTTACAGCGGCCAAGAAGATGATTGATCTGTTGATGGAAGGCATATGTCTCAGACTTGGGACACTTTGAAAAAAATTGACGGGAAAGTTCAGTTGAGAGGATCTAGAGATGATGTGCTGTCTGATACCAGAGGTGTTGTTATTGTTGATTGATGGATCATAGAACTCAGGAGGGCTTCAAGGTCATATTTGTATCCAGAGCTGTCATGTACGGTTGAATAGAACATGATTAGACATGGGGCCCTCTGCCATGACTCAAAGCCTCTTGCGTAGGCTTACGGATGATGGCATATACCATGTAGCGTTCCTCGGAGCCTCTGGTGACTGTGTGCTATACTGAAGTAGACCGAAAGAGAAAAGGGCTCCTCCGGCCCTCGAGGCTGGACTCGGAGGGCTGTCCACTACCTCGAAGCAGGAGCAGAGAGTGTTGATCACCACCTACAGAAAGGCTCTCGGAAGACTGCGGCGATTGTACGCTGCCCAGAAACGGAACTGAACGCGGCTGATCAGAAGCTAAGTTGCTTTCGTGAGCCGACCAGGCCACGGTTTAAGTTTCGGAAGATCAAGCTTGAACTTCGCACTGTAAGCTGCAGCACCTGAGGTAGTATACAAAGCTCGTAATGACGAAGGCGGTGCATACAACTCCTCTGAGGTCACCAGCTCCTTTGAGGAGTATAGCAGGATGAAGTCACTGTGCGGGCTCGTCAGGACACTGCTGTCAATGTCAGAATCAATTGCCGAGTGCTTGGAATGCACTATTTGTTGCTCTTGCAGCGGAAAGAGCCTCTCCAATAATGCTCCAGATGCCTCAGTCGAAGATCGAGCCGGATTAACATCGTTTCTGAGCTATAAAGTGCCCTGACTCTACTTTGGAGAGCTTTGACATCCTCGCCCTGTAGATTGAGTATCGCGGCAAGAGGCTGCCGAAAAGCCATGCCTGAGCATACTGTGTAAGTGTGATGCCGTCTATCCGGTTTACGGGTCCATACACACTGTGTCAGCTGAATATGTGTCGCCGTGGCTTGCGAAACTTTGAATCCTGACCGTGATGGTATGCCGTGAAAAGGAAGGTGACTGAGCTTCTAGGACGTCACTGACGCGTGTGCAAGGTCGGCGCTATGTAGCGGAAGGAAGCAAAGGGTCATCGACCTCGAATCTTCGGAGCCTTTATGCGCCATCCACTGCAGGGACGCACAACCATTCCCGAAGGAGGGTACCGATGAGCTTGTGTGTAGAGCCAAGATCGAAGCCAATACCAATCAAGCGTCCAACGTCCGAGGACGTGCCCTTGGCATGACCGCGAGGCGTCACGGGAATAAGACATCCCAACTACTCCGCATCAGGAAAGCCGAACAAGGGTGGAAATGTCTCCTCAGTCTTGGCGTCACGATCAATCACCTCCGATGACGGACGTGCATCTCCCGTCCGGACTTTTCCTTTATGACTGTGACTGTGTCTCCTGTTTCTGCTTGAAGTTTCCTCAGCAAAAGAATAGTGAGCAATATGCCAGGACGGACTGTTGATATCGCTTAATCAGGATCTGGGTGCGTTTGCTTGCTGGAATTTACTCGAACTGGCGGAACACGACCACGCTCTCTCATCACTAGGGCCAGTATGATCGCTTTCGTCTGTCAAATAGTCGTTGGTATAGCCTGGAAACAGGCAGAAAGGCTTGAGCCACACTCGAAGAAAGCTATTGCCTTCGCACTCACCAGACCATCCAATGCTTGCGCCATTGAATTGCGACGACGTTGGCGCTGACCAAGCGTTCAACAGTTGAAGTTGATCTTCGAGATGTGAGAGCAACGCCGGATCTGCTCGCTCAAGATGCGAAAGCAGATCCAGGACCCAACGCTTTGTACACACGTAGTCATTGCGCAAAGGAATGAAGACTACACATCCAATGGAAAGGGACGTAAGTCAGCTGGGCTGTATGAAAGCGTTCTGGAGCCCTCTTCAGCCGTTATCGTTTAACGCCATCGATCACTTCCCCGCACGTTCCGCCCAACCTTGCTCCAGGAAAAGGAGCAAACGAGCTACGATATAACATGCTATAATCACCTCATAGTGTCTGAGAGACAACTCATTGACAATACGTATGTTTGAGATATATTGTTACGAGTTTTACGGCTGCGTTGTGCAAAGAAAAAATGTTAGTGTCAGGATCACTTCTTGTCGAGGAGAAGTGATCCAAAAACTCAGAAACGCCATGTCACTAGTCACAACAAGCTTATATTTCTCCGAGCCAGTCAGAGGGACGCATGATCATCAAGGGTCAGCCATCTCTGTTTGTCATTTGTGATTTGAAGCCCAGACAACTCGACGTTTGGGTCTCAGGTGTTGACGATCAACAATCAATGGAACTCAAACAGACAGCGACTGCGTCTATATAAGTCTCGCTCTTTCTGATCAGAATCTCTGCGACACCTCTCACTATACTTGATCGACTTGCTCTCTCAAACGCAATATGAAGACTTTCACTGTTCCCGTCATCTCATCTCTTGTGGCCTCCGCCTACGCGGCGTCCCATTCCATCGATGTTGGTGAAGACGGCCTTGTGTTCTCTCCGAACTCGACCACTGCCGCTGTTGGCGATACAATTACTTTCCACTACTACCCTCGTGCTCACGGCGTTGCTCGCAGTAGCTTCTCGAGCCCTTGCGCGGCCATAGATAATGGCTTCAACTCTGGCTTCGTCAGAGTTGCAAGCGGAGAGTCGAACACGACGTTCACCATCACCATCAACAACACTGATCCGATCTGGTACTACTGTCCTCAAGGTGATCATTGTCAAGCTGGTATGGTTGGTGTAATCAATCCTCCGTAAGTTCAAACATCACATGCTCCTATGCTGCTTGCTTATCGCCTTGTCGCAGCTCTTCGGGGAACGAGAATATCGGTGCATTTATTGTTGCTGCATCCACCGCTGGGACCAGTACCGTGCCTGGTGAAGTTTACGGTGGTGTTCTTGCCGTCGACGGTGCATCTAGTGGTGCCGTGGCCGGAGGTTCTTCGTCTTCTGCCCAATCAGCAAGCAGTGCGACCATGTCCTCAGGTTCTTCTTCGCAGATGTCTTCCATGATGTCGTCTTCAAGAGCTTCTTCCAGCATGACTTCATCCGCTTCTTCAGCTGCGGTCGCTGGTGGCTCTTCCAGTCGTGCCATGACGTGTAAGTTTTGCGTCATTGTGTCTCATCGTCCACAAGTATTGTCGAGCTGACTTTTCTTCCATAGCTTCTGCTGCATCATCCGCCTCCTCCACAGCAGGAACTGCTTCGCACAGTTCGGGCTCTGCGACTTCTAGAGCTGCAAGTGCAACGAGCAGTATCGCTGTGTCTACAGGTGCAGCTGCTTCTCTTAAGACGATTGGGCTGGCGAACATTGGAATGGGACTGTTGTTGAGTGGTTGGTACCTCTCGTAAGACTTGATGTTCCGAGAGTATCTTGTAGTCACCTATCCTGAGCGCCAGCCTACGCGACGCACAAGGGTCTAAGCTTGTTCACCATTTTGGACACCAAGAAAGCAGAAACATGATATGTGGCAAGTAGTTCTGTTCATGAAGCTGCCCGATGCACAATACAAGTGTAAAAAGATTTCAAATATGAACTAAACAGACTTGCATGACGATAACGACTTTGTCACGCTTGAGAAGTCTCAATAATGCAAAGGTATGCCGGCCAGAGCAGAACGACTGTTTGATCAGCAGCTCAATGATTCGACTCTGATGAGAATTTCTAAATTGAGTACAAGGTACAACGATATCTGAGTTGTGAGCTTATGCGTCTTGATTACCACGCAAGTTGTGTATCATCGAATGCAAGAAACTTGCCCGAAGACCCTTCACGGGTTGCGATATCGATCTGCAGAACCAGAATAAGGTCAGATCAGACCGGGGAAGAAAAAGGGATCGATGATACGTACCTTGCTGACGACTCCATTCACAGCATCTTTGACCTCGATGAAAGCCTCGTGAAGACCGAATGCTTGTGCAGCTTCTTTCGTGGTAAGGCAAACCGACGGCTCGTTACCTCGCAAAAGCTGACATCTGCCCAGATAAGAAGGCCAAGGAACGTGAAATAGAGGCCCAGTCGCTTGCAGAATCTCGCGAGACACCGTTAAGCTCCGCAAGCCATGATAGCCAAACCTCGGCCGCATCACGACTTGCGCATAATCAAATTTCGTCTACCAGCCCGGCCTTTGACACATCGGCGCCACTAAAAGATAACTTCGCGAACTTCATATCCGATCCTAATCCTTTCCACACAGCAACAACTTTCGAACAATGGAATTTGTGTGACCAAAGTCGTGGGCACGCCGTCAACATACCTCTCTATACGCCCCCAACTTTTACGTTTGTGCCAGATGGGCTGGCTTAGACTTCGCTTTACCAAAGTATCGTGCTCGACGAAACGTCTGCTCTATCTGGTTCCCTAGATGCCCCTTTCCAGCAAGACCGAAATATTCAAGGCATGGGCTTGGAGTGGCTCTTTGACCAACCATGCGTCTTGGCCGAAAAGAGTCCAGTGATCGACGCCCAAGGACCACTGATGTTCCCCGTACTGCAGCATACACAATTCTCCCCGTCTCAAGATCCGAGGGAATCAAGCAGGAGTGATCCGAGGAACTAGGGCCTTGGTCCCAGAGCATCATCAGACTACTCTTTCGATAACCAGCGACCTTCGGTGATGAGTTATGGCAGTGACGCTTCTGGTTCCCGCTCCTCCCGATATACTAATCCCCACGTACGATGATTGGGTATCACAAGGCTGCAGCGACACGACCAGGTCAACGTGTCACATGCCCGCTGTTGACGGACATGATAGTGACTCTCGTTTGTCACTTTACGAGGGTGTGGATCTCGGCGAAATGGACGCACAACAGGTCGTGCCGCAACCAAATCCAGGCGTACGTGAGGTAGAGGCTTCTCAGCTCGATTTAGATCTAGGCAGCGTGAAGACCGTAGTCGGCAGTGAAGACGTGTACATCATCCGAAGTCGGGGTGCGAATCTTCCGGCGTGACTGTTGATGGGACTCACAGCGTGGAAGGGGAAAGATTGCCATCGCACCCCTGAGCGACTCTCAACTCTACGTGGCGACAATCTGTTTCCAATCAACAGAAGGAATTTGATTGCAGATTTTTGAAGGATAGCTCCGCGTGATGGATGTTCATAGGGCCGGTCGTCTGGTCACCACCACCCCCCCCGGAACGGTCATGAGGGCGGTTGCGCCTTGTGGGGAGCCCCACAGCCACCTCCGGAGGGTAGACACAGCTTCACATTTGATCACGCCTCGGGCGCAACGATGTAGAGGAAGCGGACACGGTCGACTGGTCCTCCGGGACTTCCTTGATCTCAGAATTCATGCACTCGAGAGCTTATAATTTACGCAAGGCCGGCCCGCACAATGGCAACCTGATCTAATTCATCGTTTGTCCCTTCGGTCTGGCTTTTTGACACCCGCATCTTGTCTGCGCAATGGCCTATCCACAGACTTCGTTTTGTCATACGACACTGGCCCCTAGGACTCTCCTCGGACAACGCCGACGAGCAGTCGCAGCAAATACATTGCAGTACCAGCTTGACGTGCTGAAGAAGACTGGTCGCTACGATGCTTTCAGATTGAAATGGCATCCGGTGTACGATCGCGCGCCAGAGGTTTGGCCAATTCCGGATCATCTTTTCTGGGACTCTGACGTTGCAAAATGGATCGAAGGCGCTTGTTATTTTCTGCAACAAGAGTGCATGCCAGAGATCGCGGATGCCGTTGACGAGCTTGTCAATATGATCAGATCTGCTCAGCAACCTGACGGATACCTGAATATACACTACACCGTAGTCGAACCGGGTAAACGATTTACAAACCTCAAAGATATGCACGAACTTTACAACTGCGGTCATCTGATCGAAGCTGCTCTAGCACATCATGCACTTTACGACAATGATCAGCTTCTTGGTCCTATCTGCCTGTATGTCGACCTCCTGTGCAAGACTTTCGGATCAGACCCTGGACAAACGCATGGCTATCCTGGACATCCTGAGATCGAGCTTGCACTACTCCGCCTCTACGATCGCACAGAAATTCCGCGCTATCTCATGTTGGCCAAATACTTCATCACGGAAAGAGGAAATCCCACTGGTTGTGACGGAAGACACTATTTCGACGTGGAGGCTGAGGCGCGTGGAGCAGACCCCAACATGAAACCCGCATTCTATCCCGAGCCTCGCTCACTATGGTATCACCAGGCACACCTACCTATTGTCGAGCAGCAGACCATCGAGGGCCATTCAGTCCGTGCGATGTATCTCTTGACCAGCGTCGCGGACCTCGTGCGCATCGAGCAAGGTCACAATGATCTGCGAGCTGCAACACACAGATTGTGGAGAAATATGGTCAACCAGAAGATGTACTCGACAGGTGGTATTGGTGCCATCAAGCAGTGGGAAGGCTTTGGTCTCGATTACTATCTGCCCCAAGGAACCTCAGAAGGTGGCTGTTATTCAGAGACTTGTGCTGCGATAGGTGTCATGATGCTGGCTCAACGACTGCTCCAGGTGAGCAGATGCAGAATCATGTGACGATGGCGAATACTAACATCGAATATAGACTGATCTGGACGGAAGATTTGCAGATATCATGGAACTGTGTTTGTACAACGCTGTTCTGACCGCGATGTCCACGGACGGTAGAAAGTTCACATATGTCAACCAGCTGGCGTCAAGCGAGGAGGATTCCTCATCCCGCAACGACTGGTTCACGGTCGCATGTTGCCCGGTGAGTCTCAAGGTCCTATTCAGTCGGTTGACCTGACCGTGTGATATAGCCAAATATGTTGCGCCTGCTAGGTACCATCGGAGGTTACATCTGGACGTACAGCACCTTGAACACGGAACAAAAAGCGCGCATCGATGTGCATCTGTACATAGGCGCAAAGCTTGAGTTTGATTGCGCCGGTGACATGATAGAGCTTGAGCAAGAAACGCAGTGGCCATCTTCTGGGGACGTAAAGTTCAGACTGCGCTCCCGAAAGGTCAAAGTCGACCTTCGGCTGAGGATACCTGGCTGGGCTGAGTCATGGAAGGCAAGTCAAGAACGCAGACATCGTACCTGGAGCAACATACTAATTATACCAGATCTCGCCAGAGTGTCCAGGGCTTGTGGTGAATAAAGGCTATGTTACGATCTCTTCGGACTGGCTCGAACAACAACCTGAGTTCACGCTCTCGATACCACTTAAACCTCGTCTTCTAAGCTCCCATCCTCTTACCACCCAGAACACAGTCACGATCGCCAGGGGTCCTGTTGTATACTGCGTTGAAGACTCGGATAATCCCTGGGTTCAGGACCACTTTGCGGTAAGTCGACACAGGTGGATATTCAAATCGTGTCACTGACTCAAACTTCAGACACTCCTGATGGATCCGTCTTGCAGCATGGTAGAACAGAGCGTGCACGACCGCGACCTGGGAGATTCGTATGTCGCTCTGACCGTCACGCGTGGTTGTTCAATCTTGGAACCGGACAAGTTCGAAGACAGTCCGTTCTTGAGAGACAACGGTCTCGACAAGGCGAAGCCGCTGTCGGACGTCAACTTTGTTCCATACTACTTCCGTGCCAATCGCGGCGGAAAGGGCCACATGCGTGTAGGCATTAAAAAAGCTGGATGAGAGGAGGCTACGGAGCACAAATTGACATGCGATGTGCCCCACTTAGTTCAGAGGCGCTGCACTGGCTATGGGAGAGCCAAGACACAAGCTTTATCATCGATGATCTCTTATGCTGCTTAAGAAATTTGATGTCTGTTTTTCGATAGAGAAGATAGAACAGAACGAGTTCTCCACGTGTTGACCACGACCGTTGCTTTACCTCGGATAGTTACAAAGTCTATTGGCCCGGAGGAGGCGCGAGGGTGCTTTCTGTTTACCCCTCACACTCCGAACTTCCTCTTCTTCACATTCCGCAGGCAAAGTCATTCTCTCACCGGATGGCTGAACGCGCGACTGAGGGCAAGTCGCTGCCATGCCAATTCTGTGACAAGAGTTTCGGCCGCTCTGAGCATCTGAAGCGTCACATCTTAACACACACCAAATCGCGGGAGCACAAATGTCGGTTTTGCGACAAGGCATTCTTTCGCAAGTAAGTCGATGCGACACCTACGACAGGCACCACCTTCTGACGTATGCGAAGAGACGCCCGCTCGCGGCATGAGCACACTCACCAGTCCCCTGGTCCAAGTCTTCTCCAACAGGGAGGCAGAGCATGTATAGCATGCGCATCATCCAAAACCCGATGTTCGGGACAAAAGCCATGTGCAAGATGCCAACAAAGATTGCTGCAATGCACTTATCCTGGCGAAATATCGAACGAGGACATTCCAACAGAAGCTTGTACGGGCAGTCCTAATCCCAACCACGGTATGCTTCAATCTGACGCTGGATGCGATCATGCAAAATCTGATTTTCCAAAGGTAATACAGAAGTCGACCTCGAAAGCAGGGCAGAGATCATTTTCGGTAGCGCTCCTGAAAACACCTCGTATGCTACGTACCATGTGGATCAAGAACTCCCATCATATGGCATGGTTCCACCGTTGCATGCTATCTCTTCGTTGTCGCACATGAGGCTATCCGCGAGTCCACCCGTGGCCATGATGGATGGCGCACATCGACATCAAGATGCACTTAGCGCGACTGGTCTATTCGCGTCACTACCCATTAACCAATCCACGATAAACTGGCTTGGATTCGAGGACGGAAGTGGGTTAAATGGTTCGCTGGATCATGAGTGGCAATATCCTGATCACTTGTTCGACTTCTACGTGCCTGCCAGTGAGACACAGAGTATATCGGAAGTCTCGCCCGCTGCTTCGAGAGATATCGAACACATGGCCGGCGGCTCTACGATTCGTTCAAGTAATTGTGGAATGACCCCCCAGGACGACAACACGACAAATACAATGGGCACAGAGCCAAGGCCTGAGCCGCCTGGAAAGTTCTATGCAGATGGAGGAACAGCCCGACTACCACGAATGCGCAAGCGAAGGGCAATCATGAGTCATGCAGCTTATGAGCGTCCAAAACAGACGTTCTCACTCTTGCTACCGTCGAATCTTGTGATCCAACCTTCCGCAAACGAGTGGCTAGACAGCCAAGGTTATGCCGAACTACAGTCACATTACTCAGCTCAGTGTACAACGACCTCAGGTCTTTTTGTACCATTCGAGGCTATCGAGCTTCCACCCAAAGCTCTATTCGATCATCTGTCTGATCTCTATGCTGACAACTGTAGCTCGATTCTCCCATTCATCCATCTGCCCTCATTGAGAATACAAATCCAACACCCTCTTCTCATCCTTAGTATAGCGGCAGTTGGCAGTCATTATCTCAAGAACCCTGATCTGGATCAATTCGTGCTTTCGCTGCACGAGTTCGTCCGGCGAGTTATAATCTCCGCTGCCGAATCCTTAGGAGGAAATGAGATTGGGTCAGCAACCGAACACAGTATCACCCTACTACATGCCGTCGGTGCCGCATACTGTGGTGAGAAGACTTCAAGAGATGGAGCCTTCGCACTTAGGCTAAAGCTAGCGACTTTCTTCTTGGATGAGCACGGTCCGAACACGACGCCACTCGCAACAGAAGACAACTGGAAGCAATGGGTCGAGAGGGAGTCACGTCTCCGACTGCGGCACTGTATCTGGATGATGGACTGTATATGGTCTTTCCAGTTCCAGACGAGGACATTACTATCGTTGAGCGACGCGAGACTCGATCTGCCGTCTACAGAGAGGTTATGGAATGCTAATACGGCATCTCATTGGGTGCAACTCATGCATGAACAGCAGCCATTACCAGATTTGGCTACAGCTGTCAACGACCTGTACATGCACAAGAAACTCGCGGCAGGTGTTGGCGAGTTTGCTCGTATACTTCTGATCTACGGGCTTCACCGACGTCTCGCTGATGTTGCAGCCTTTTACGGTCAGAGATTATCGAGTTGGATTCCCAAGGACCAGCACTCGGTAGGGACAACACTCCCACCCAGCAGCTCTGTTTGGCTGCCATCGCTTCCGATCTTCAAACAGTGGCAGAATCATACGTGCGATAGCTTGGATGTTTTACACTGGGCAGCAAATGCTACCATTGGAGAGGCAAGCGGATTTGAGCATACAACTGTCTTGCATCTTCATCTTGCTCGCGTCGTTTTACTGACGCCCATCCAAGAGATTGTTAGTCTTGCGCGATATCTTGCGGGCGAGAAGGGCCTCAGATCCGAAGCAATGATATTGGGAGACCGACACGCCGTCCATAGGTGGGCTAATCAACATCAGTACAAGGCCCGACTGGCAGCTATTCATGCGGGTGTGGTCTTCTGGCATATTCGGAGGTTCTCGACAAATGCATTCTATGAGCCCACCGCTGTCGCTCATGCAGCCCTTGTTCTTTGGGCTTTCAGTGCGTTCTCCTCGAAGACGGCAACACCACCTAGTCTACCACCAGATGAGAAGCAACCTGCGTTGGAAGACAACGATGGCCATAGCTCGGACAGCGAGAGCTCATCAGACACTATCATTCTTCTGGATCGTCCAGCCGACGATGAGATCGTGCAGGAATTCGTCTTGAACGGTCCCCGTATGCGGGCTAACATGACCGGAGTTGGTGACTTGTACGGAGAGAAGGGACCAGAGCGTGTCGTGAGGGAAGGTGCAAGAATTCTTCGGACCCTGGGTTGTTGGCGGGAATGGGAATTCTGGGCGAACGTACTCGACAAACTGGTTATTGTTTGTAAACGTGAGAGGAGAAAGACGAAGGAGGCCGCTTCGTCGGATGGCCACGCAATATCGGTCCCAAGCACAAGGGGATCGGGTGATGGATGAGACTGGAATACCTGTCTCAAGCCGTGGATCAACGAAGGTCTCTGTCACGTACTGGTCTGGTCAGATGAGCAGTCTCCGGAGGGCTGACCGTACGCTCGGATTCTGACAGGGTCGTGTCTGGAGGATAAACTTCCATTAGAGCAGCCCACGTAAGCCCGCCGGGGGGTCAGTGTGAGGGGTGGGGGGTACCGGTGGGTGGGGGATACGAATCTACTCGCGTGAACACTGGCTGACCTCTCTTTGGAATCATCGTGCGGGGAATCAACCATAACGTTCCCGAACCAATTCGATCGCCAGCGCAGCCCTGAAGAAGCATTCTCCGTGAAGACCTCGCCATACAAAACTTCAACTTCTTCCATCCGACATCAGGGTCTCCGGGGGGTGAAGACACACCCATTCTATAAGATGACGCGACTGGTATGCAGATCCTCCGTGTCGTACCATCGGAAGAGTGATTCGAATCACACCTCAATCATGGCTACACACAACAATGGCATCGATGCGCCGGTCGCAAGCACCAACAATCTGGAGTTTCGCGCACTCGTCACTCAAGCACAAACAAGCGCCGACTTGGATTCGAAGTTGACCGTCATGCAAGCCCTCAAGAAGCACAAGAAAGCTGTCTTCTGGGCCATGATTCTCTCAACCAGTTTGGTCATGGAGGGTTATGATCTGGTCATTGTGAGAATCTCTGGCTGTTCTCTATCGACATATTCGCTGACCTTACCACAAAGATCAACTCGTTCTATGGTCAACCACAATTCCAGCAAAGATTCGGCGAGCAAGTCTCACCTGGGAAGTGGGCCATCTCCGCTGCCTGGCAGTCTGGACTGTCCAACTCGGCTGTTGTTGGCCAACTGATTGGTCTCGTCTTGAACACAGAGTTTCAAGATCGCTTTGGGTCTCGTCACACCATGATGTTCTTTATGGTGTGGTTAGTCGGCGCTATCTTCATTCCTTTCTTCGCCCCTTCTCTCCCCGTCCTTGCTGTCGGAGAAGCCCTCTGCGGCATCCCATGGGGTGTCTTCCAGGTCAGCCGACGCTATTCTGAGACCTTTCAACTCGTACTGATCGTCCTTCACAGACCCTTTCCACCTCATACGCTTCTGAAGTCGTTCCGACCGTTCTTCGACCATATGTAACAGCCTATGTCTGCATGTGCTGGGGAGCCGGCATCCTTCTGTCATCTGGTGTCGCTCGTGCTGCCATCACGCTCAATGGAGATATCGCCTGGCGCCTTCCGTTTGCTCTACAATGGATGTGGCCAGTACCACTCTTCGTTCTGGCATATCTCGCCCCAGAGTCGCCATGGAACGCAGTCCGACGCCAAAAGCTCGATCTCGCGAGGAACAGTCTACACCGTCTCATCGACCAAGGCCCTGCCCATGAGGCTGAGGTAGAATGCAGTTTGGCTTACATTATATACACCAACGAGCAAGAGCAGATGGAAACAGAGGGTGCTAGATTGATCGATTGCTTCCGTGGCACCAACCTTCGCCGAACCGAGATCGTAAGCAATTCCCTCTTGCTGCAACCATGATGTTGCTAACATTTGCAGAACTGTGTAGTTTGGGCAGCTCAAATCCTCTGCGGAAATGCGATCCTGGGTTACAGCGTGGTGTTCCTGGAAGCCGCAGGTTTTGCTCCCGTCGCAGCGCTCAATTTGAACATCGCGCTTTCCGCTTGCTACATCGTGGGCGGCGTCATTTGTTGGTTCTTGTTCCCCCGCTTCGGTCGGGCGACAATCTACATGACTGGACTTACCTTCATGTTCTTCTGTCTTGTCGCCATCGGTGGCCTCGGCTTCAGCACCAGCAAGCATGCTGAGTTGGCCATCGGCATCTTACTCATCGTGTCTACTCTTGCCAACATGATTACGATCGGTCCGGTATGCTATCCGATTGTATCTGAAACACCTTCAGGTCGCCTGCGCTACAAGACCATCACTATCGGTAGATTTGTGTACAACCTGACGGGTATCTTCTCAAACAGCGTCACACCACGCATGATCTCTGCGTCTGGTAAGCCTTTATTTAACATATGAGCAAAACGAAGAGTATCAACTGATGTGTTCTCCTAAATAGCATGGAACTGGGGCGCCAAAGCCGGTCTCTTCTACGCCGGCACGAATCTGCTCTGCAACATCTGGTGCTGGTTCCGCCTGCCGGAGACAAAAGATCGCAGTTTTGGCGAGATTGACCTGCTCTTCGAACACAAAGTCCCAGCTAGAAAGTTCAGGACCACAGAGGCCGACCGTAAGTTCGTCTGGTGTACTACAGATCTAGGACGACTGTACTAACCGATCCTTTTTCTGCAGAGTTCGCTACCAGCCAGTTGATCTTGGATACTAAAGAGAAAGAGGTGGCCGTTCACGTCGAGAATGTCACACAGTAGTCTGACATCTATGCTCTGGGTCCCGTCGAGTATGATAGTCGTGACAGAGTGGCCGCTGTCACCAATCTCAGATACCCAACGGGCTTCCCGATTAATTTGCGGTCTTTGATCATGGCATCATACTCGGTGGGTGAGCTTCACAGAATGACACTTGGTTCGAACATCTTTAAATATATCCGACCTTCTTAAAGAACATATTGAAACGGTATCCTAGAATTATACCTGTTTGTTGATGCATGGTGCGTGGAATCCTCCGACCCATTCGTCTGTAAGTATGTCAGGTCTGTATGCCATAGCTTGATAGCTTGGAGAGGCCCTTGTTTCCTTAACCTCTCTGCGAACCCAATCTGTCTGGCGTGCTATAACCGAACTATATGCCTTCCAAATCAACGTCCCTAGGACCATCTATAGGATACTTAAGCTATAACAAAAGACTAGGATAGATTGTCATTGGCTTAACACTACTGTGAAGAACAGCTTACAAGTCCGCCAATCTAAGTTTTGATTTATAATGTACCAGGATCAATGCTATATATGGTCTGTCTATCAGGGTCACAAATTTGGAGTGGAAATGACACAGCGGCAAAGCCCTTACGGCGAACAGATGCGTAGATCTTACGCTGCTTAATATTGAAATTTCAAGTGACTATCACTGTCTTTTCTGTCCCTATCGCCCCAAAGGTACTCCACTGCCCTAAGCACGGATCTGATCATAATGAGAGGACTGGCCGTATACAAGGTGTAAGTATGCTTTCGCCACGGAAGGGGGCTGCGCGACTACATGGTATGTTTGCTAACTAATCTTCCGTGGAAGACGACAGCGAGAACCATGAAGAATCTAGGGAATGCGAGTTACGCGAAAAGCCCCGCTATGATGATGTGAGAACCTAGGACTGCTGTCTTAATCCCCGATCATCACGACCACCACCTGCAAGGATAAGCTAGCTTCGATATAGCAGAAGCAAGCGGTCTTGGAGATCGTGCGTACCACCATCTTGGAGGAAGAATGATAGGACGCCGCCCGCCACGAATATCTTCGTGATCCACTTGTGACGAATGACGGTGTACTGCTCTGCACCCAATCGAGTCGCGAGTCTTGCAAACTCCATGTAGATGGTTGCTACGAACAAAGCCTGCTGAGAAATTTGCGTCAGTAAGCAAGAGTGTTGGGCAAATCAGGAAGAATGACCGGGATCACAAATTAGGATATAGCTTAAACAATGTATGGTCCGGGGATCTAGTCTGGTGTTTCTTTGCTTGAGATCGCAATGCCGAGCTTTTGAGCCTCGATCAAATCCGCCGGCGCAAGAAACTGGCCAATAAAGACCTTCTCATAAGTTTCCAGTCTCGTCTCTAGCTGATCCAGGTGTAATGACTTAGGGTATATTGTCCGGCCGGCATCGAAAGGACTGGTGTTGGAAATGCACGCGGACACAAAGAGGTTCAATATGTGGAAGACAGCAAAGCGCCTCGAACGATTAGAGAATTCATCTCTAACTACCTTTCTGACCAGTATAAGCTGTCATGATAGCGTTGGGGGCATACAAGATGGGACTAGAACAGCTGCGTACTAGATCATTTGCGCGAAGGTCGGTTCCATGTCACCAAAGCCGCCAATATAGCTTTACGAGCCCGCGGGGTCACATGAATGAGGACGTGTCTCCTCCAAAAGGGCGATCTGGAAGCTTAAAAAACAACCGTGGTCCCTGTGGATCAGAAAGATTGAGCCTCCTGGGCGTCAAGCGTGAGCATATTGTAGACGGTCCTTTGCATTCAATGCTCAGTCTTGGCCACCGGGAGCAATTTGAGCCAAATGCAGCCCTAAACGAATCGAAGGAGAGCGCTATGTGGTCTCATGCAGAGGTCGTCCTGAAGAGGCAACTTCTGTTCGACGACCTTGCGAAGATAGGCACAGACACATACCCTACAAGATGCAGCAGAACTTCACGCATGTCTGTAACGGGATGTAGAGAAGTCTCGTACTGTCGTCGCGCGAGATTTTAGGCCCTCATCTTGCTGACACTCATGAGGAGCGTTAAAAAGACCGCGTGGACAGAAATGCATACGAGCGTCCGGTGATTCAAGGTTTGAACCACATGCTAAGTCAACGAATAAGAATCGAGGAAATGGAGTTGTTGGGCGCGAGAAGCCGACTAGAGTTTTGAGGCGTCCGCTTTGAGAGACACCTTGATGGGCACCGGCAGCGTCTTCCGCACTGTCACTCGTGGCCGCCCGACCTTCATATAGAGACCCATCTCCCTCAGAAGTCAAGCGACCCAAGCATTTAAAGCCAAGATTTTGCAAGTCTCATTTCTCTGTCGCTCACCATGTCTTCCGCGTCCAGTTTCGACCCTAACAACGTCGATCTTGCTACCGCGAATCCTGCCCAGGTCATTTGCGCCCTCAATGCATCTGGAAACGATTACAACGGTCATCTTGGAGCACGCATCTCTGCCCTTTTTGTCATTCTGATCGTCTCTACCGCAGTCACCTTCTTCCCAGTCCTGGCCAAACGTGTGAGATGGCTCAAGATTCCCTTGGTTGTCTACCTCTTCGCCAGATATTTCGGTGCCGGTGTGATCATCGCTACAGCTTTCATCCATCTGCTTGACCCGGCCTACGGCGAGATCGGGTAAGTCAGCCATGTTGCCGCACAACACGAACCATGACTGATTCGTGAACCCTACAGTCCTCAAACTTGTGTTGGCATGACTGGTGGTTGGGCAGTGTACTCATGGCCACCTGCTATTGTGCTCGTCTCTGTTATGGTTGTGTTTTTGATGGACCTTCTGTCGGAGAGATATGTCGAAACCAAATACGGCCAACAGAACGATGAGACCGTGGAAGATATTATCACCACCAGTAGTAGGTCCGTCAGCCACCGACACCCAGACGCAGGCAACTTTCCGCCCATAATTCTCCAGAATGATGACCTCGAAGCTGCAGCTCATGCTGAGGTTCAGGCCGAGCAGCAGGGTCATGGAGACGTCACAAGCACTAGTGGCAAATCGCATACTCCCTTCGGCGACGACATGGACAAGATCAAGGACCCTGTTGTCCTCGAGAAACTCGAAGCGGCACAGACTCAAGCATACAAGCAGCAAATAGCCGCTTTCCTGGTACTGGAGTTCGGTGTTATCTTCCATTCCGTAAGTCTAATTTGGAACATGATCGAATTGAAATGCTAAGCGCTCAAATCAGGTCGTTATTGGTCTCAACTTGGGAGTTGTTGGCAAGGAATTTTCGACCCTATACCCAGTCCTTGTTTTCCACCAGTCTTTCGAGGGTCTTGGTATTGGGGCTCGAATGTCCGCCATACCTTTCCCCAAGAAAAGCTGGCTACCATGGTTCTTATGCGCCGCATACGGTATGACCACTCCAATTGCGATCGCCATTGGTCTGGGTGTGCGCACGACCTACAATCCAAATTCGGACACCGCCAACATCGTATCTGGTATCTTGGATTCCATCAGTGCTGGTATCCTCATTTACACGGGACTGGTCGAGCTTCTTGCTAGAGACTTCTTGTTCGACCCGTTGCGAACCAAAGACAATAAGCGGTTGAGCTTCATGGTATTCTGTGTATTGCTGGGAGCAGGTATCATGGCTTTGCTGGGTAAATGGGCTTGAGGATTGAGCATAGAGGTGACAGTAGATGGACTGACCTAGATCCAAGCTTAGGTCAGGTCCATCAAGTCTTGTTGGACCGGTGCAGTCGAGCCAGGAATCGTTCAATTGTCTGTCCATTCGTTCGTGTATAGACTTGTCTGTTGCACTCGCTTGACCATTCTGTTCCTGGTATTTCGCGTCTATCCTTTCTTTCCCGCTTCTAACTTTCAGACATGACGTCTGCTCGAGGACGCTGATACCGAGCATAGCTGTCAGGGCTTGTTCAGTCAGGCAGGCAATTGACCGGCTCTTCCAGTCCATCGCGCTTGCCTGTCTGGGACGATTGAGACAGAGAAGAGCGTTGACAATGTCGACACACATGTCCGATACAGACGCAGAGCAATCATTCAACTGGTCCATCGACACTTGTCATTGCTTCTAATTCCTCCATCGTCGGAGCTTCCTGCTTGTCAATTTGACCCATGATCTTCTCCAACTGCTCTTTCTGCTCACTCGTCGCGGTCCAATTTGGCAACGCTCCAGTTATCTTGGCAAGTCCATCTCTAAGTGCTTCTTCAGACTTGAGCCATGGTCCATGCAGCGCTCCAACAGCCGAACCAATACCGCTTCCCAAACCTCCAACAACCAGCGTACCCACGCCTCCGACCAGAGCTCCAGTCAACGTGCCGACCAACGTCCCCAGTCCGACGCCAACGATTGTTCCCACACTGCCACCTGCGAGAAGACCTTGGAAACCGCCAGAACTGAGGAATTTTGCTGTCTTCCCCAGCGATTCAGCCTCCTTGGATTTCGCAAGCGCTTCGTCTAGCAATCTTTGTCGCTCTTCCGGATCTCCAGCGTCGGCGGCAGCTTGTGTAAGGTCTTTGGAACGGATTTGAAGTTCAAGAGCTTTTTTCGCTGCCTTTGAAGATTCTGTGTTGATTTCTTCCTTACTCGGTCCGCCGAACTCGCGTTCTTTCTCCGCACGTGCGGCTCCTCCAGGCTTCGGAGTGCTCTCGCCTCCAACGGGTCTACCAGTATGTTTCTTCAAAGTCGACATCTGGAGAACCCTTCGACTCGATAATTTCTCTCGCGATAGCTTGAGAAAGTTGTGTTTGGCAGAAAGACGAGAGCAACTGATCGATAAAGAACACGGCTTGTTATGCAAGATGACTCGCGAATGACGTATTTTTCGCACAACCTTGGATCAGATTGTCAGAATGCTTGAATCGTAGTTTGGCACCACTATGCTCTTGCACAGCATTCTCAGCGATAGCATTACGGTAAAATAGTCGTATAAGTTACATCTGATGCGTCGAAATGTTGCGAAGAAGATGCGACGTAAACTATGCGACAATTTCCGGCTCATCTCGCAACAAGCGGGTCCGTTCTTTTGCCCGATCCACTGAGTGCTTCGTCATGATATCATGATCCGCCCTTGGACACCTTTGAATTCCTGAAAAACAGCAGGAAAAGTTCAAGATTAATGCCGGCATCTCTCATCACAAGTGGCTCGAAAGGCCACCGATCCCGTGTACTGCCTACCGCTAGAGGCTCTAATACCATGTTCAAACATATGATTGCCTTGCAGAGAGATCATCCGGAGACGGTACCGTACTCCCGGTGATGAATACGACAGATTCTGACGTTAGGCTTCTGACAACTGACGCATCGCAGGACCAATGACTTTTATACAGAGACTAGAATATGGCAAAAGGTCGAAATTGGGCTGCAGACGACAAAGACAATGATACAATCATCTGATATACTACCAGCATGATTCATAGCAAAGAGTCATCAACCTGGCAGCGAGTCATTTTCTCGGAAGAGTAAGGAGAAATAAGTCATGTTTAGCTGCATTACTACCCGTTTCTACAAACCATAGTTCCAATGAACTGTGGGACGATTGAGAGATTTGCCGACGTTGACATCGAATTCGCCAAGGTAGTTACCTGTAGCATGATAAGTAAAATGTCGAGCATAGAAGAAGAAGAAGATTTCAGTGAACTGACCTGGCGGTCCGTAATTGCACACGGTAAAGTATGGTGGAGTGTAAGGTCCGACATTGGCAAGACCTTTGGAGCAGTACTGTGTAGCGCAGCCGACCTTCGAGGTGCCCTTCCAGACGATTTGAGAAAAGTGACCCCAGTTGCCAAAGTTGGACATGTCAGGGTTAGCCTGTCCGTAGAGGTTTTGGAAGTACCCAACCTCGCTGTTGTAGAAGAGTTCGGTAATGGTGGCTGTTATATTGTCCGCAGCAAGTCCGGCCGCGATGTTTTGACCGTAGCCACCACCGTCGGTTGTGGTGTTGTGAGCATACACACAAGTAGAAGCGATCTTTGCGGCGGTCGATGCGAGAGCATTATCCCATACGAGATTGCTGGCGGAATGATTGGCACGGTGGACGTTGTGCGAAACAAGGACGCGCTGCTGATACGTCGTGGCCTTTGCCGGGGCCGCAGATGTACTTGAAGTTTTCTTCGAAGTGCTGCTGACCTTCACTGAAGAAGTGGACGCCTGTTTTGTCGAGATGGGTGATGCTTTCGCAGTCGAGGTCGTCTTGATTGAAGTAGTAGCTCTCTTGACTACATTGATGCCTTCCTTGGCGTTGACCTGACCAGCTACGATGGGATAGCCAACTTCGTAGTCGATACCATCGCCAAGATCGAGCTTGACCGGACTGGCGAGACTCCGGACAACCAGCGCGATACTGAGGAGAAGGGTACTGGCTCGCATGGTAATACACTTCAGAGTGTTCGGGCTGTTGTACAAGCGGTGGTGGAGTGGAGTGTCTCAGGTATGTGTTATTTGAGTACCAGATCGAAGAAGACTAGAAGAATGATGGAGTAGAGCAAGATGAGGGAAAGCAAATCCTGGCTGCTAATACTGGTCCTTCAAGGAGCGGAGCAGTGCAGCCTTTATGTCTGTTCGTCGTATATGGGTGTGAGGCAAACGTACACATACTGACATCAACAACCGTTTGATGTAGAGCTAGCAATAGTACTGTTGCATATCTTCTAAAAAGTGGAAATCACATTGTACTTTGTGAGAAGCAAGTGTGGCCAGGGAAAATCTAGGCCTGTTTGATAGGCGATGGCGAACGTTAATGTTTGAGAACGGCAGAGAGCTGTGAGAAGAGGGCGATGGACAAATGAACACTTACGACCTGTTTTGAAAGGATCAATTCTGGTCAGCACATTCATTCAAAGCACATGGGGATGCGCCATCGGATCAACATCAAGTTTTTGGATGTATGCCATAGCAGAATTCCAGAATTCAGAGAAGAGACGACTCAGAAATCGACGCCCAGAAGAAGACCGGGGTTGCGAAATCTGGAGACGTTCAACGTTTTCTGTAAAACAGTTTAGACGCGGCTTCCTAATCGCGCGCACACGCCGTGATGACTAACGGCTTCGAGATGACCTAATATCTTCATACGTGAATTTATGCCGCATATCGCTTGTCTGTTTTAACACAGGCTGACGAGCGAATGGCGACGAGACAAGCGATCGTTTGCGTCATGTCTTGGGCATAGGGATGTAAGGGTGTGCTAACAGTAAAAAGCAGGGGGAGGATCATCACCCGTTCGCTTCTAGAGCAGGCTATGCCGAGATACCCAATGGAAGACACTCACGAGAAGAACTTCTCTAAATGACGTGGTAGAGTTCTGGGCATGACTGTCTATTTCCAGATCTAGTGGATGGCTTTGCTGTTCTTGTATGAGTAAGCGTCCGAGTTAACCCCCTATAAGCAAATCTCATAGCACCATAGTCCTGCTCTCATAAGCAGCTCCTAACAAGTGATGAGAGCAGCTCTCATTGCCGAGACATTCCTACTCTGTCCTTATCACGAGATCGTGACACCAATCTCCTTCTTCAATGTCCACCGCCACATCTAAACTTCATCCCTCCAGGCTACACCATTCGACGCTTGACATTGCGATGTTAGGCCTTAGGTTAGACCTATCGCCCACCCTGGTTTACAACTGTTCTGGAAAAGTGTCTCGGGGGAATGCGAAGCGCATACAACTTATCAATCTCCTCAAAGGTTCGTCCCTGATCTCAGATTTAGCTTTCATGCGGCAGATATACCAACAACAGAGTAGCATACCTTGGTCTCGGGAGTGAAAAAGTATGCCGCTACAGATAGCGCTATCAAAGCCCCGAAGAACACAAAAGCAACTTTACCACCCCAATCGGCCTCGTCTGGGTTGACGATATAGGGAAGAACGAACTGCCAGAGGCAGCTGTTGAGACCATTGGTGATGGTGCATAGAGACTGAGTGACACCACGAAGCGATGATGTTGGGATCTCTGAGGCTATAGCAAATCCAGCAGATCCGATCGATACTTGATATGCAAACGCCCAGATAGCCATGAAGGCAACCTGAGACAACACGACTGATTGTCCCTTTGAGGTGAAGATGGACAAGACGGCTATGATCAACATACACACAGTCATTGTGTATAAGCCTACAATTCTTGTGTTAGCGCGTCACTCAGCACTGGATACGTCGCTACGTACCATTAGTGATTGTGGAGCGTCGGCCGACAATCTGGAGCATGAATGCTCCCGCCAAATTGCCGATGCACATGATTCCGGCAATGGCAACAGTGAGGTTGAATACTGTCGTACCCTTCAGTCCACCCAATTGCATGAAGTATCCCATATATCCGAGGACCCAAGCAACTCCTGACCAATTTTGGATGAAGAAGACGCCCATTGCGGAGAGCGTCCTTAGAAGATTGGTGCCGATAAAGCAATCCTTGAAGCTTCCAGCATGAGCCGCGGCTTCGGTGTCTCCAGCGAGTCTTGCTTGGATGGCGTCGATTTGTGCTTGGACTCCTTCTTCATCGACGGGATAGAGGCGGCGGATGCTGTTCTTCGCAGAATCGACTTTGCCGCGTGCTAGCAACCTAATTGGTGACTCTGGTAGGAATGGAAGCAACACGAACAAAATGGCGCTGAAGCCCCACTGGACCGCGAATATGATTCGGTAAGAGTTGGGACCCATGATTGTCTGCGTCTGACGCATGACACCATAAGCTAGCAGTTGCCCGAGAGAGATGCAGAAGCTGACACCAGCTGTGACAGCTCCTCTGGTAGCTAGAGGAGCGATTTCAGAGCAGTAAAGTGGCGCGACGGTGAGGAAAACTCCTAAAGGCACACCGGTGAGTAACTTTCCGGCGAGGAAGAGGGCGTTATCGCCGTCTGAGAACCACTGAGCACAAACACCGCCGATACTTATGACTGAATCGCGTCAACTAAAAGGTCGCACAATATCATTACAACCATCAACTTACCAAAGGCACAGCCGAGCGGGATACGCTCTCCCACATATTTAGTGGACATACCAGCTCCAAGACCACCGAGGAGAGAGCCGGCAGCGGTACCACCGGTGAAAGCAAGTTGCCACTTCGCAAGGACGACATATTGACCCTAGGCAGAGTCAGCACAAAACATTCGGCCGGAAGGCATGTAAATTCTAACCATGAAAGGGACCCCGTATGACTGCCTGAACTGTGGGAGAGTTATGACAATGCCAGCTGCGAGTCCGTCGTAGCCCCACATGATGCAAGTGAAGAGCATGTATGTGCACCACATCATGGCGATTGGGTTTTGCCTTGCGGTGCCCCAGAATCCGAGCTTGTCATCCTCCAAGACTGAGACATTGTTGTCCTTCTCGATATGCTCCAGATGCATGGAAGCCTGATCCTTGGTGACTTGGGGGGGTTCTTTGTTGTCGTGCATGTTTGGTCTCGAAGTGGGACGGGTTGATCAGAGATAGGTTATGAAACAGTGGGTCAGGCACGATTCAAATACAATGCGAAGAAGATCTAGGGATTTAGGGCTTGGGTCTAGATTTCTCTGGGGTAAATGGAATGCGGGGCGACGTGGAATGTATGATGTCGAAGTCTGAACACCAGATGCTCTTATCATTAGGCTATGGAACAAAGTTCAGAGCAAAGTGATGTGGGATAATCTCGACAGGCCCTGTAGAACAGACGGCGGCTAAAAGCATGATGAGGGCATGAGGTTCAGCTCAGTCTATTCCATGATCGCAGGGCTTCAATAGGGAGGATAGCGTAACATCTGTGGCGATATCAGATCTCGATTTGTTCGAACATCATGTGGAACAGTCCGAACACATCCGCTTTCGAAACCAGTCTCAACTATATGTAGTCCTTCGAAAAAGCTTCCTTGTCTGCTATATTGAATCGTTGATTTCGCAGTGTCTCATCTCGAACTTTCGACAGTGTGTCGAATTATGATCATGGCCTACATAAGCGTGTTGACGGATCAGTATAGTCATTGACCACGCTGATCAGCCATGATTCAACTTCAAAGTTGTTTCCATTGCAACCAGATTATCCAGACCCGTTGCGACCTTGCGGAACGGTCAGGATATGATTATCCTCCGAGCCTAAGAACGATTGATGGCTCAAGGTAGAGCACTAACGCCATCCCATGTTGTTCTGGACGTATCAGCTAACAAAATCTGAAGTTCTCAGCTGATCTGACTACATGATTTGCGCCGTTTAGTCCAAGAGAAGTATGTTTCTCTTAGAGGGATACCTGAAGAAGAAGCGGTGTTGGACTGTACCACTGTTAGCATACGCTAGCTCCTACTAATCGATATTATGATCCTGGAAACGCCTACTCCTACCGGGATGAGTATAGGAGGCAGCACTAGCTTGCGAGTATGGTTATTCGGACGCCCGGAGCTCTTCTCGGCTGTTTCTCATGTTTAGGGCTCTCATTGCAACACAAACTCTGGCTATCCAGTCTGAGGACAGTAGCTTCGGTAGTCTCAGGAGGAGACAGTGGACAGAAGGGAAGGCGTCGGCTAGCTTGAGATCCGAGACGTCCGTATCTCTAAACGTCCCTCGGGATATTACGTTTCCGAGCGCCGATGCTTGGCGACATCGTGCTCTCGTACTCTTATTCGTACCTGTATCTCTCGACTTCACCTTAGGCTATTATGCTATAGCAGGCAGAATCAGACTCTTGGCTGATTGCAAATTGTTATGCCATCAATCTGAACTTCAAGCATAAAGACTCGATATCCTTACCCTTCACTGATCCCTGGCACCAGCAACACTCGAGCGCCCTTTACCCCTTATCTCTTTTACCACAGAAGACAACAACATGGCTACCATCACTGACTTCCCGTCAGCCGTTCAGGCAGTCATTCAGGGAGCATCACCTGAGACTGTCGCTGAGACTTTGCTGTCACAAATGACCCCGAAAGAACGTCTCTGGCTCCTTGATGGAGATGAACCTTTCTGGTCCGGGTTCATGGAAATGCTCACAGTGGGCTACAACATAAGACCTTATATCCACGGACAGCTTGACAGGCTGTCACTACCTGGTCTTCGCTTCAGCGATGGACCTCGTGGAATCGTCATAGGGAAAAGTACCCCCTTCCCTGTCTCGATGGCACGTGCAGCCACTTGGGACACCTCCTTGGAGGAGAAAGTCGGCCGAGCAATTGGTCTTGAGGCTCGCGCACATGGTGCAAATTTCTTCGGTGGAGTTTGCATCAATCTTGTTCGTCATCCAGCGTGGGGCCGAGCACAGGAGAGTTACGGAGAGGATCCTATCATCCTTGGAGAATTTGGTTCTGCTCTCTGCCGTGGAGTACAACGCAACGCCATAGCAGTCGCCAAACACTATGCTCTCAATTCAATGGAGAATGCTCGATTCACAGCTGATGTCACCGCATCTGAGGCTGTCCTTCAAGAAGTCTATCTCCCGCACTTCCGCCGGGTTATCGAAGAGGGATGTCTCGGAATCATGTCTGCCTATAACTCTGTCAATGGTCAGTGGGCGGGGCAGAACGAAGAGTTGTTGGAGAACACTTTGCGTCACCAGTTCAACTTCAAAGGTGTTGTGGTCTCAGATTTCATCTGGGGACTTCGCGATGGCCCCCTCTCCCTTAAAGCAGGACTCGACGTTGAAGAACCATTCCAGCAACAAAGGGCTCAACAACTTACTGAGGCTCTGGAGAAAGGTGATGTGGTCACGCAATACCATGTAGATCGCTCTGCGAAGCGTATCATAGCCACACAGCTTGCGCATTACGCTAATAGGGATAAGGCTGAGCCTGGCATGGAAGTCGTCTTTTGCAAGGACCATCAAAACCTTGCCAGGGAAGTTTCGGCACGATCAATGGTTCTCCTCAAGAACGAGCTGGTAGAAGATAGCCCAATTCTTCCTCTTCGTCGCGCTGAACTGCGCAACGTCGCTGTGATAGGTCGCTTGGCCAATGTAGCAAACACCGGAGATAACGGGTCTTCGGCTCTCAGGAACAATCATGACATTGTGACTCCGTTCGGAGGTCTCAAGTCCGGTCTACCAAACGCGTCTGTCACACTCGAAGAAAAGGATGATGCACAAGCAGCCGCCAAAGCAGCTGATGAGGCCGACGTCGCCATCATCATCGTTGGATACACCTCAGCGGACGAAGGAGAGTATCTCGACCCAGCTATATTGGGCGACACGTCATTGACTGGAGTGTTCCCACCACACGATGGTTCACCTGCGGCAGATGCGATGGTGAATATGATTAATGGAAAAGGAGACAGTGTAAGCATGATAGGATCAAGCGAAGGCTTCGGTGGCGACCGCCAAAACCTTCGCATTCGACCCATCGACGTCGAGATCATCAAGGCAGTCAGTGCCGTCAATCCTCGTACTGTTGTCTGTATTGTCACGGCAGGTGCAGTGATCACCGAAGAGTGGCGCTCACTAGTCCCCGGGGTCGTCGTTTCGTGGTACTCCGGAGCCCAGGGTGGAAACGCATTGGCCGACGTTCTGCTTGGTGATGTGGACGCTTCAGGTCGTTTGCCTTACTCCATTCCCACCACTGAAGACCACCTGCCTTACTTCGACATCAACGCCAGAACTATCACCTACGACCGTTGGCACGGCCAGAGATTACTGGATCGTCTCGGTGAGGACGCAGCTTTCCCTCTCGGCTTCGGTTTGTCTTATACCTCTTTTCATCTCAATGACCTCACCGTCAAAGCTTCAAGTCTTTCCGAGGAGCTAGACGTCACTGTCATGGTCAAGAATACTGGCACCCGTGGAGGACGTCATGTGGTACAAGTCTATGGTAAACCCCAACGCGATGATAAGGAGTTCCCGGCTCGTCTTCTTCTCGGGTTTGCCTGTGTCAATCTGCTGGCGAAGGAGACAAAGATGCTTAGGATCTCGGCATCGACTCGCCCGTTGAAGATGTGGACAGATGGGAAGTTCGAGTGGGCAAGCAAGGAGGCTGAGATCGAAGTTGGCGCGTATTCGGGCGACGAATCGGCACTTAGCCGTCGTATTGCTTTGGTGTAGTTCATTTTAGGATGATCGTGTCTTTTGTATATCTAAAGCTGTACGACAATCTCACCTCCATTTTCACGTTTGTTCTGCCAAAATGTTTCATGTGCGAGAGGGGTTATGCCAACATTCAGCGCTTGACTGTGGTTGATGGCACAGTCATGAGAAGAGTATGTCACTTCTGTTAGCATCACAATCACTTCGGGGAAGTATTACGAGGAAATGTGAGTTGGATAGAAGAGTCTTGCTTCCGATCTTCAGCTGGCCATGGAGTCAGTCATCATCGACGGCTCGACTTCCTGCTTTCTGTGCATCTTTCTTGCTGGTACAGTCTGGAAGATCTTTATTCATTCTGCTACCCAACAACACTGTCCTCCCTTTGCTCAGACTCTTCCAGGCAATGACTTCTCTAGAATTGCCCCTGGAGTACTGCCCGAACGGCCCTTTTGCTTATCTCATCCCTCTTATACGCTCATAGCAGTCGTGTCTGTGTTGATGGTTTACAGAGCTGGCACTCGAGTGTTGGCGGAGCTGTCGGCAGTAAGGAAGGCGGCAGTTTCAGTCTCCTGGGCGGCGATTATGGAGTTGATGCGACATGGTGATTGATGTTTTGGATGGATGGCGTGGTGGAGGGTATTTGTTAGATGTGAGTTGCGTGGACTTGGATGGAAGTCGTTGTCAGTGAAGATATGATCGCTCAAGGAAATGCGCTTCAGAATTTGTTTGTTTCTGTCCCCAGACGGATCCAGCACATTGGCAGGTATTTTCTGACTCTTCCTCATCACTTGGAAAGACTGATTATGTTTACATAATAACTAACGGGTTTGTCATCCGGGTCAGGTTCAAAGCATTCACGACATGCATGTCAGAGACTAATAAGTCTTGCAAAAAGTCATGGTTAGGGTATTCATTGATACCATCTAACCCCAATCGCTGTAACAACTGTGCTTTTTATATGACTTTGGCCTGTTACTACTTACTCCATCTTTAAGACTCTTAGCTTAATTTCCTTCTCCCAAGGCTAGCCCCTATTTAAGTTCTTCTCAAGTCAGTCACATAAGTCTCGAGGTTAACATCATAGAATGCTATAGAGGCATGATAAGTTGGATGGTCGTCGTATCTTATATGGTTGTAGTAGCCTAGTGAATCTAGCGGTATAGAGGGATGGCTATTAGTAAGATGTAGAAAGAGTCGTAGAATGATAGTTATAATTAACGCAAGCTTTAAGAGAGCTTCTATTTCAATTTTGTGTGGTATCTTTACGTATAGGTTACGGAATAATGTCATGGTTACAAGCTTTAGAATCTGTGCTTAGATCTAACGAACGTAATTAAAATACTAAGACATCTTAACTATCTTTACCTAGACTTATCTACTATTACTAGTTAAATGTCTTTAAACCTTTATAAACCCTACTATACCTACTTAGTCTACCCTTCTAAATATATTCTACCCTTTTAAGATAGCTATTCCTAACGCTAAAGTATATTATTATAAGATTAAAGACACTAGAATTCTAATATAAGATATTATTAAGGGTATAGGCACTAAATACGGCTTTAATAGTAAATGGGTAACTAAGTTATATAGAGTCTAGACTAATAAATATAACTAGTAGGAGTAAGAGAAGGAAATTTACTAGTAGAATTACTTTACTACTAATATTAAAGACTTTAATATCTACTTTATATACTATAGATCTAAGAATCTAGATATAATTCCTTTACTCCTTATCTATAGTTAGTGTTATAGCTAACTATTCTTCTTAAAAAGAATAACTAGTTATAGAGTTAGACTTATAAAGAGAAGTATTAAGTAAGTAATAAAGTAGTAGTATAATATATAGTAGTATATACTAAAGGGACTGTTAGAATAACTAATTAAGTTAGATATAGGACTTCCTAGTAGAGACTTACTTACCTATATACTAGAATAACTTATAAGAAGTATAGTATTACTATAGACTTAAAGGCTATTGTTATAGCTAACTATCTTAGATAAGATAATAGGTTACGGGGTTAGACTCGTAAAGTAGAGTGTTAAGCGAAGTAAAGTAGGGTATATATAGTAGTATATACTAAAGGGACTATTAGAATAACTAATTAAGTTAAACGTAGAACTACTAGAGGTTGTTCTGCCTTCCTATATACCTTATCTATAATAAGCGTATATAAGTATCTCACTTACTCGCTAGGTAAGGTGGTAAGGATCTACTTCGTAGCTTACTAGCTTACGGCGTAAGGGAGTAATGATTTTCCTCGTAGCTTACTTGCTAAGTAAGCGAGCTATTAGGGTTACTCTAACCGCACCACTAGTTAGTTAGCTTACCTGCTAAGTGCGTAAGGATCGGCATATAGCCATCCTACTCACTTCCTTAGCGGGTGAGGCCCTCTAGCTAATAGTGGATCGTAACATACTAGCTTACTAAAGAATATCTTTAAAGAGAGTAAAGATAAAGAAGTAAGGGTACTCTAGACTAAGACTTTAATATGTAATAGACTAGTTATATATTCTCTAAGCTATCTTATAAGTCGTATTCTTATATTATAATTAAACTTAGGCTATCTCTATATAGGCATTTAATAGTAGAGAAAGAGGTAGTTAAGCTTAGTAAGTAAGATTTTATATTATATCCTAGCTACTAATACTAACTAAACGTTATAAGCCGTATAATATAACCATAATATCTTGTTTAATGTAAGTGCCGAATAACCATATTTTTTTACTTCTATAACTAACTAGGTATTTCGTATTATTGCTATACGAGTTATTAGCTATTATGATATAGTGTAGCCCTATAGCCTAGACCTATTTAGGCTAGAAGTATAGGCATTATATAAGATCACGTAAAGGTTAGCGGCTAAAAACATTAAGTATGGGGCATAGATCTTAAATGCTGTCTACATCATCGTATTAGTATACGAACCCTAAGGATGCTAGCTAACCCCGCACTGTCATGCTAGAAACAACGTTCCGGGATGTGTATTATGCCCGTGCTATTGTATTAAACGACCGATTGTTCCGTACGCTGCTGACCCCACACCGTTGTGTTCCAAATACGTAGGGTAACTACTCATTCCTACCGTTATTCTCGGGATCTGGGTTTCCGCACATCCGCTGATATTTACTGTCGTTCTCGGAAGTCAAGACGCCGAAGATCCGCTGATCACGTGAAGTTTCGATAGGCGAGGCGTCGGAAAGTTGAGGCCTGCTTCTGCGTCCGGCAAGGACCTTTTGCATATTCTATGATATTGTCGAACACTATCGTTCGTACTCCTTTGCTGCACAGAAGACACGTGGTCTTCAAAAAAGAATAAATTACTTGAGCAAGATGATGTCCAGTCCAATCCAAAGCCAATCTAAAGATTTAAAGGCTGAAGTTCACCACCTTTATCCCTACTTCGTGCGAGAAACCGATCCAGTCTACGTCTTCCGTCTTCACCAAGGAACCACGCCTGGCCTCCTGCTCCGCATAGATGAGTTTAAGCAGGGCGAGTGATCGTAGACTTCCATTGCTCAGTCCCACGGCCTGCATACTTTCCATGAGTTTCACAGCTTGGACCTTTTCCTGTATGCTTTTGCTTGCATAGCCAGCCAAGAAGAGCGGGAAAGACAGGTGATGTTGGCCGAGACTCTGATTCGATACAAGAGATAGTATCTTGGAACAGTGTTGCGCAACCCATTTCCGCATAGGAGACAAGCGAAGGGACTGACCTGGATACATGCTAGTATGCAAGTAGATGACGGTAGTCGAGTATTGCAGCAAAGCCTTACACGAGCATTAGTAGACCGACTTTAAGATATTTGAGCTTGACCGGAGGCTTGACTTACAAAGTCCAACATCGTACGTGATAGCGGATCCACCCATAGTCTGGCCTCTGACGAGGTCCGTACGAGAATCACCTGGTACCTTCGGGTCCAGCCTGAGTAAAGATGGTAGTGGAAGTCCTCGATGCACTTCTGACGCATCGCAACATCGCTCTTCCCTTCCTTGGTCTCCTTTCGCATCCGCAAAGCCAGCTGGCTCAGCTTGGCGAACTGCTTGCACATAAAGAGTGCTAAATCGTGAACCGTCGAGGAGTTACCAGAATCGTTCTGCGAGTCGATATCCTCATGCGCGTACTGCAATTGAGTCCAACTTGGGAGAAAGGAGCCGTTGGCGAGATGAGCTCGTACACACGATCCTGCCTCGTCATTTCCTGCCAGACTCGATTGTGTATCGAGATACAGGATGTACCACAGTATGTATGCCTGTGTCTTGTCCAGCTCGTCTTTTCGCAGGCAGTACATCAACCGCGCGAGATGCTGGAGATGCTGGGCCCACATGTCTTGATCTGGGATGCCCTGCGCTACACAACAGATGTCGTAGATAAGTAGAATGAAGTGCAGATAAAACAGAGAGCTGGGTTCAGCCCATGCGCAGCCGATGCAGGTGGAGATAGCCCAGTCGTAGTGCTGGAAGGCCTCTATGAGAAAGCTCTGCTGACCTCCGAGTACCAAGCTCAATGACGAGAGGGCGCAGATAGCATGATAAAGCTAGCCAATAGTCAGATATCCTGAAAGAGGGAAGGATTTTAGGATGCGGTCTGTCACAATCCAGAAGCTCATCTGAGGGTTGTGTACTTACCGGCTTGAAGCCCTTGGAATGATTCAAAACTGCTTCCTCAGCTTCAGCATCGATGCAAAGCTTGTGTAATGTTCCAAGCGGCATGATTCGCGGTGAAACAAAGGCTCTGTAACGCAGCAGATGATCTACAGAGTTTTCTGTACTGTAGTTGATTAGACCAAGAGAGACTGACGGAGCAGAAAAGGCCCGCACCGGATCATTTATGGCGGCCTCGCTATGCTTGAACAGAAACGGCAGGAACTCTGGAGGCCCGAAATCCTCAAATCTCGAGGATATGGCTAAATCTGATCCATTTGTGTAGTCGTTCCCAACACGGTCAGGATCTGGAGATTGCCTGAATCGAACGTCCAACAGTCCTTCGGATTTGTGCAATCTCGTGAGGTTGTCCGGATTGATGATGAAACTGAGGGAATTGATATCTTTACTTGAACATATGCCCACTCTGTCGCTCTCGTTACCCATACTCATCAAGGCTGGTTGCGATCCTTCTTCTGGAGCCCATGATCCAAAGTCGCTGGTAGATTCTTGCGTGTATTGTTCCCAATGTGGTGTACCAGAGGTGATGAAGTGATCATGCATACATCCAACGTGTTCGCTAACATGGCGGAACTTCCATTCGTAGTCAAAGTGGCATTCCATACGCGACCGCGTACGTGCACCGCAACGTGGATAGATCTCATCACATCTGACTCTTCTATGTCGACACGACCAGCAATTCGTTTTACACCGCTTCTGAGAAAGTCTCCTTCTTGGTTCTCGGGAGCTTTGAACATCGATTGCAGAGTTTGTGTCCGAGTATGATGCAGGCGCTTGTCGCATGGTGGGAATCGAATACTCAAGGGAACTAGCATTGTCGAGGCCGAAAATTTGCTTCATAGGTGATGGCGTAGGTGGTTGATCCAAGACGCGAGATAGAGCATGAATGGTGGGGTTTGTAGTTTGTATGCAATCTTGGGAACAACACTATTATATTACTACACCTCTTCAGAAGTTTTCAGAACAGTCGAGATGATCAGACAGACTTTGCCTAAAGTCCCCTGACTGCTCACTACCGAGCCAAACATCTGCACCACTATCATTAGCGGTATGCGCTAATCACTCTAGGGCCGCATGCAGAAGATGTCACTCTCCTAGGTATCGCACAAGACCATCGAAGCAGATTCATAAAGATGGCACGGAAGACAATTAAGACATGTTCCGTAACGTGCGGATTCTATAGCATGTAGGAACGGGAAATTGCCACTTCCGAATGAACGGAACTGCGGAGACAGTTGTGTTAAGCACGGACATTAACGTTTTAGTTTGCCCTATTAAGCCGTACTTCCTCTAACCTTCTTTAGGCGAGCTATACGAGGACCTCGTACTCGTAAGTATACGACATGCACTAGTCTATTATTAACGATCTAGGCAACTCTATTACATAATCTACCTAGAACGTTATATATCTAGATCTAGATATAGAGCCTATTAAGTGCCTTAGAACGTATTAAGATAGGCTTATATATATAAGCCTTAATAGCGCTAGCTAGTAATATAGTTATAAATATAGGTCGGTTACTAGGATATAATAGCATTATAAATCTATCTATAAGTAGGTAAATCTAAATTAAAGAGGTAGTAATATACGTATAAAAGTAGTATAGACTTAGATTATTCTATAGGAAAGTTATTCTTACTACTAGACGTTTCTCTATAATAACCTCTAGATATAATTCTTTAAGGTAAACCCTAAAATAACCTAGCTTTTAGGTCTAAGATAAAATAATCCTTATAGATAAGCTAGAGCTTTTAGATCTAAAGAAGACATAATTTCCTTATATATCCTATTTATACTTAAATTAAAAGAGAAGGCTTACTACTTATCTTATTAATAGATTAGTTATTAAGGCTAGACGAAAGTTAATTCTTCTCCTTAGTTAGAGATAATAAGACAGACTAGGTATATAAACGGTTACGCCTTTACTACTCTAGTACTACTTACTTACCTTATAGATCCTATAAAGGAGGCCTTTATGTTTTAGCTAAGAGAGAGCTTAAATTAGATTATAGAGTAAGTAAATAAGTCTATCCACTAGGATAAGATTAACGTTTTTAATTAAATAAGGATTAATAGCTTTATATAGCGTCTATAGGCCTCTAATCGACTACTTATATTTAAATTATAAAAAGCATCTTATTATTAGTATATAGGCCTTTAGAAGCGCTTAATCTGCTTTATCTATTAGATAATAGTATTTAATTAAGGCATTAAGCTTATATATTAACTTATACTAAGCTAGTTTGTGAGCGGATGTCATCTGCACTGCGTGAGTGATTGATGTCTCAAACTAGGGCGGCCGGCTGCCGGGAGAGGATCGCACCGAGCCGGATCCTATCGAGACACTTGCTGACGAATTTGTTCAAGCCACTTGGGACTTGTCTACGATCCGTCTGTGGGCAGATGATACTCCTCGCGCACCCGAAATGGTTGAATAGGGGATCAAGTCGTCACATCGTGTGTCACGATCGTGCGTCAGTTTCAGCGGGTGGGAGATCGAGTGCGAGATGAAAGTTCTGTGCAAGCCATGCGTGCGACGGGATCTGGCTTTAGGGTTAGGGTTAGGGTTAGGGTTAGGGTTAGGGTTAGGGTTAGGGTTAGGGTTAGGGTTAGGGTTAGGGTTAGGGTTAGGGTTAGGGTTAGG